CTTCAAACTAGAGAAAAGAAGAACCAGAAGGGAAAAGGAAACAGACAGACTAAATACAGAAGAGCAACAAAGAACGACAAACAGGATCACGTAATCCGGCTTGTGCCTTCAGATCTTCACATTGCCAATATAAAAGTTGATTTCTCAGGACCAGGCAGGACAGTGCCAAAAGTCTATAAATCCTAACGAGATTAATGAAATTGGAGGGGCAGACCTACCGCAAATCAGACATATTTGAGTGTTAGGCTTTCGGCTCGCACCTGAACTAGTAACCCCATTCTGCTCTTTCATTTGGTAATATCGAGACTAGGACCACATAGCATAGCATACATAGCGCTACACCCCTTATAAGAATTCCAACCAATTAGCTTTTAGAAACTACATAATACTAGACTTCGGTGTTCAACAAAGTTTTAAAACCGTCAACATCTATCTAGTTCCTTGTTTTTTCGCGATATGCAATTGATAGCGCTCCTAAGCACATGTGACCGTGGTGATGATTAGATATTCACTTTTTACGAGGTCAACACTAAATGAAGTCAACGAACTAACCAACCGACCATAACATGGTTTACTAATTAAGTTCACCATTTGTAATGCGGTACAAAAAAAGGGCACAAGCAGACTAGATTAGAGTACGAGTAGACGATCCTTTTTCTATTCCTTTTTCTCTCCTCTTTATGTTGCCCCTACCAATATTTACTATACCAAGTAGATAAACCATTGATTGTTCGTAAAATAATAGATAGATCCACTCTATTATTAGTGGACTCGATCGTCCAAATCCTAGGGCTAGCATTAATGATATCGTGGGGATTAAGATCCTGGGTGTGGTATATTTTACAAAATGAATACCGCAGTACAGGTTTCTCATTCCGAAACCTAAATGCACTATCCATTATCTGTTATAGAAGGGATACAGATGAGAATATAGAGATAGTATCGAGTAAGCAGTATGGATTTAATATGATACCCAAGGAGAAAACAAGTCCACCTAAACATGATCGTTGTAAGTTGCGTTCCTTTGTTCTGCATAGACTAGTGTGCGTTACAACGCGGTAGTTTTAGAGTTGCACAGTTTTGAGCAAGACAAGCGGAGCAGCTTCTATTATCTACTAGTCACATCTACTACAATGTAGTAGCAGTTGATATCACGCGAATCCAAGCAAGTTGCGAAGGGGAAGTTTACTTTTATATACCACTAATTACGCTATCTAGGATACTTATAGTAGAGGTTTCCTATGCTATAGGAGATTCTACAAAACATAACTCAACTACTCCTGCTATATCTAGCTATTAGTTTAACTAGCGTTAAGAAACGCTTAATTAAACAATTTGCGATTATTTCAATTATAGCGCGTAGTCGTTTTAGTTAAGGTCGAAGATCTAATGAGATGAATAACATACGATTAGGCTAGTAGTAGGCCAGAACTACATATACTCTATTTTTATTAGTTGAGGTTCGCTCAATATTGAACTAAAAGGGTGAATCGAGAACGCCAATGAGGCCAATTCGGCTATGCCCTCTTGATTCTCGTGGCAAGTCGTTACTATAATATAGGTAGGACGTTGACAACTTGTTGAACAGCATATTTCTAACCGCAGCGAGCTAGTGATAATTATTTTGCTACCAATTATACGACAAAGAACTATAACAAATCGCGGACGAACCATTTCCTTTTAACGTAATGTTCTACGCATTCTTTTCTTTTGTACCCTCGTCGAGGGTAAGGCATATACTGATTATATTTACTTGAATATAGACCTGATTATACTTCGTGCGAGGTCCTAAAAACTATTTTCTTTGACACTATACTATTCACTGGATAGTCCGACGAGGAAATTATTATCGTTGTTCATTATATATTAAGGGGCTTCAAGCCCTTGATTGTTGCTAAATTTCTTAATTACTAAAACCAAGATATTAGAAATTGTGAACGATAATCTAACCCTATAGGAGAACCTAGCTTATAGGATAGTCAATCTGTTAATTAGTAGATCGATGGTCTTTCTCTCGACTATAAGATAGTGAATTAATTTAGTTCACGGAAGTCGATACGAACATAGTTAAGGAGGTTTGATCTCGTACTTCTTAGTATATGAACTCTGCTAACTAGATTGAAAAGTTTGAACCTCCTTATATTATACTAGAAATTTTAAATTTGAGACTAAAGTACCTCGATACTAGAAAGATTCACTTCTTAATATTTAACCCTTTATATTAGCCTTGATTATATAGTATAATGTATCGATTCGTAATAGAGTTTCAATCTACATGGTATAGATGTGATTGGCCGTCTTTCATACTATAGTATAGCATTTAAAATAGCGACTTAGGGTACAACTTGTTAAAGATAAGTACCATATATATTTAATTAACAAGTTTGAATATTGTTTAGTAGATAAAGTCGCGACCGTTATTGCCTTTTATATTAGAAACATGGAGACGCTCTTTTAAACCCTAGTCACATAATATACTAAACCTAATATAGATTGTGCGTAAATAACTAGGTTTATACGTACTCCTTCATAATAATATTATATTTTACATAAAAAACCCTCTAATACCTACGACCTCTCTTCTACCGAATGCCTATCGACGTCCCTATGAATATAGTTTAATATGTTTATACTTTTCTAAATTGTACTAGTATCGAAGAGAGTGGTCTAATAAGGACGTCTATAAAAAGTGCGGAGATCCTTTAGGACCATAATGCTAAAGATTAGTTATCATTAGCTTAGATATTCTAAGCGATTCATAAAGCGATATAGCGGCCGTCCTTCCGTTTCACTTACTATATATGACTAATAGATAAAAAGAATCTAGCACTATTTATATACATAAATACCTCAAGTTATAAGTATACTTACAAGCCTCACGTTTTATACAAACTCAATCTACAGACTAAAGAAGCAGTTGACCCTATCCTTAAATAACAAGCAGTCATCACAAATATTATGTTTAGGTAAGCTTATCAAAATATTTGCGCGGCGCAAAGTCCTTTCTAGCTCCTTTGCTAACATATAGTTTAGGCGGCTGTAAAGGTCCTTTTTACATTCGAATAGCAGCCGCATCTAACGCTCTTAATTTAAGCCCCTATTTCCTTTATTTTAAGAAGTTTTTTAAGGCGAGCAATTTGTTGTGCCCTAATTTGACCTAATTAGAAGAGAGTACGCTAGAAAAATGGGTTATTTCATTCTATTGCATAGAGGAATATAGCTTCATAGAGGAATAATATTAATTGCTAGCGAGGTTAAGCGAGTTGATCTCTATTAAATCGTATATAGCTAAGAGGCAGCGGATGGGAGACTTTTTAGTTTTGAAGGGTATCTAGCAAGTTTAATAATTATTCTTTCTATTGATTGGCTATATTCAAACCCTCCTATTTAATGATACTATGGTTTCGCGAAAGCGATTTGAAACTACACTTCTATATTGTGATAATGCTAAGGTTCCTGCTAATTTCATTTTCTATGGCTCATAGTATTATATTATAGCACGCATAGGGATTTTCCTTATAGAAACGGGTATGAAATTTGTCCTTATCGGCAAATAAATTTAGAGGTTCTAATTTTGTCTTGAATAAGACATTTTAGTACCCGAACGGTATCTATATGACTTTCTATCCTAGAACTTCAATTCTTAATCATGTTGTACTAGAGCACAATAAGGACAACAAAGAGACTCTATGTAGTCTCTATAGGCTAAGCCCTTTATGCTAGAGGACTCCCTCATCTCGCCTCTTTGGATTATAAGTAGTACCTACTAGAGTCTATAAAGCGTAAGCGATGCAAATAGATAACACTAGAAATTGGCCATTAGTATCACCCTATATTTAACGTAAAGTGATTGTTTGATACATTTAAGCTCGAGTAGCTTTCCTTATAACTTCGCTTTTATCGACGCGACGAAATTTCGCCGAAAAAATAATCCGTATAGGAAATAATAAGCAAAACAACCTATAAGGATATTAGTAGTCTTCGTTGATTTGATGATAGCGGATAGGGAGACTTCCTAGCTGTCTTATTGGAACAATAGCTCTATAATGAATGCTTCTACTTTCCTTCGGCCTTAGAAATGGACATCTCAGTGCACGATATATAGATTTTCTACTAAATAAAGAATCGTGAAGATAAAAATTCTAGAGCGGACGAGCGAGAGGGCATATTGAAATAGCCCGTTTCGATAGTAGAACCCGGATGCTACTATAGGTAGAAACATTTAGAATCGAGCCCTCTCTATCCGAGCTCTACTATTTTGGGTATGGCCCACTCGTTCAACAAGGATTAAATTAGCCTAGCTTTAGTAATTGATGTTCTTATAGTCCCCTTAGACGGTAATAGCGTCTATCAAAATAGGGAAGGTCAACCTCCTATGAACCTATTAAGGCTCCGATCATTCTACGCATTATTAGGTATAATATACAAACGTTGGCCCGCTGAGTTTACTAATCAGGTTGCTTTGCTAAAGTTGGGCTTGTATGATTTGCGGTAGGACCGTAGGCGGTCTATACAGAACGAAAGTTCTTATCAACGTAGTATGTCTAGTTGGTAGAGTCTAGGTTCAGATAATATCAGAACTTCAGACTTACAATAAGCACGGCCTATGTTGAACGAAAATGGACATCCAATACTATTCGCGACGCGTTTCTACTGGTCTAATTTGAAAAGAGGTGTAGGCGGTGAAAAGGGGCGGTGAAAAGGGGCGGTGTAAGGGGGGTGGTATTAGACATTTGCGATGCCACTGTAGCTCTGTAACGATGTACTTGACTGAACTATAGAAGAGAGAAAAACATAAGTGTATTCAAATTACGGGAAAAGAATCGGAAACTCTGCCAAGACCCTTTCTCTATACTTCATGTGAGAGATAATAATAGATTGTGACAATTGCATGTATGAGGAGTTCTACTAACTTCAATCTAATACACCGAGCCCTTCTTTGGCATGTTTTTCATCAGGTAGTTTAAAAATGAATTTTCATGTAAAATATACATCTTCACTCAGACCCGTACACACGATAACCGCACTTGATCAGCATCTCTCATCCGCAAAAGCAGCTGGAGATCGACATCTTGAGTGGTAGCTAGAATTCTGCCACGAGTCTGCCCACACGTTTCTCCTGGTTTAGGAATAGCGCGCACGCGATGGTAACGTAACACCTTGGCCATGACTGCCACAAATTCTACCTGGGAGAACTTGTTACCAGGACAGCTGTGCCCGCCATCAGCCCAGGGAAAATAGGTGCACCGTGCCGGGGTGACAATCCGCTCATCAGCTGGTGCAGTTGATCCCAACTTCGGAGTAAGGATTCGCCCAGTTTCTAGCAAGAGCGCTGCGTCAGACTCGGATGCAGATGAGGTTGTGATCCATCGTGCTGGCTTCCAGGAGAATGGATCAACCCAGTAGTTTGAGCTTATGTGGGTATTGATGAGGTTGATGAGCAGTCCGGAATTTTGAGGGATCACTATGGTCTTGTCTTTCACTTTTAGAGATTGGGGAGAGCCGTATGTCAACTTCGGGAGAGATGGAACTGGCGGGAAGAGTCGGAGAGTTTCGAGCTATTTATGTAAGATTGGGGGTTCTGATATGATGAGATAGATATTTGACTGACCATAATCGCTCTGCATCGATTAAGCTTGGGAAATATATCGGAATAATGTCCCTTGGTATTTTCCGGGATTGATTGCAGCTCTTCTGCTACCCAATCTTGCACCTCTGGGTACGCAGACAAGAGTAATATCGCAAAACTCAGGGTGTTGGCCGTCGTATCGTGACCAGCAAAGTTGATCACAAAGATATTACCAAAAATCTCATCAATAGAGAGTCCTTTGGATGACGCACCAGACATCTCGCTTTTGGGACTCTTGTTCTCGATATCCATGGCTCGTACTAAAGTCGTCATTAGACTTCCGGAACCAGGCTTTCCTTCATTCAAGGCCTTGGTCTCGTCATTGAGCATCGTAACCATGTGATTTTTAAAATCCTTGGCTGCCTTGCCAAGTCTTTTCCACCCTTTTGGCGCAAACGGCAGACATAGAATATTTCGTGGGGCAACCATCAATAAAATTGCATTGTCGAGAATAGTTTGCAAGGAGTCACGGTAGTTGGCTGGGCCACTCTGATCATGGGCATTGCGGAAAGGGTACGATTTGCGAAATCCAGTTGCAGCCAGAACGTTTAATGACACCGTGCGTGTATCCCTTGGGACGCTGCTGATCTCGCTCGACTCCTCACCAGCCCATACATCGAGCATTTGGCAAGCTTGCTCGACACTTTCGTCCCATGTATAAGACATGATGCCTTCGTTGAATGGAGCCGCCACGATCTTTCGATGGCGTGCCCAGTCCGGTCCATTAGCTGTGGAGATACAGGGACCATAGACTTCTAACACCTCTGTTGGACAGGAGTAGTTAGTTCAGGAAAATCATTAGAGCATGCATTAGTTCAACGCACTATACATGATGCTTGGACGAACAAAGTCCATTCGTCTTTGAAAAATGTTGTGGATAGCCTCAGATTCAGCCACAATAACGGTGATCTCACGCGGAGTGGCAAGAGCCCAAATCGGTCCATAGCGACGATCTGAATCTCCTCGATCAAGAAAAAACCACCCTCGACGCGAATAACGCCCGAAGCTGCCAAAGGTGAAAGACAACTTGTCGAGCAATGGCCACACATGGGGCTCGAGAATCATCCAAAGTAAGTTCTGGGAGTCAATGCACAAACGCACGACGGGAATGCCCATAGCGGACGCCCGGCGATAGTTAATCTCCATCATAACCATACTCCACCCGAAGTAGATCAGGGCCAGTAAGCCTAGAAACAGCAGGAACATTTCGGCTAGTCTGAGGGCCTCAGAAGAAAACGATGAATGTGAATAATTTAGAAAATTACGAAGACGCGAATAAGGGGAAATGGGAATTTTTGCAAAGGGATAAACAAAGACGAGGTACCCTGGCTATTCGACTGAAACGCTGCCCCCGCTAGCTGTTGGAGCTACTGGTCGGTCACAGATTGTGCCATCAGGAGAGGTACAAGATTAGCAGGGATCTACATACCTTTTTTAATTGACTAATCGCGACGAGAACAATTCGTAATGCCTACGCTAGGCGCTATGATACCCAACACGCTAAGCGGAATCCCTCAACGGAGCGCTCCGCATGCTAGTCACACAGAGCCCCCAGCTAGTATCATCTTTACGAGGAGGAATCTTACTTAGCACATCTGCCCTGTGCACCAGAGTACATTTCAGCCTTCAGGAGCCCTCGTGCGTAGAGTACGACCTGTTAAGGCTCTCCGTGCTTATAGTGGCTGTTGGGCCCGCTCCAGGGCTCCAATCAAAGACCCACGTCTGCCTGAGCCAAATTTAACAGGTTCATGATTGGACTAGCCTTTGGCCCCCAGAAAAAGCTTGGAGGAATAAGGCTGGCCTAGAATCATCGGACATATGTGTTCAATCGTTCCCAAAAAGCTCAACCAAAGGATACTTTAGACGGGTACATATCACCAGAGGAGGCTTGAACCGTGAATAGCCTGGCTGAGTACCTTCACATGAGGTTATCCTGTTCTCTGGCCTGTCTACTGTAGGCTCCACATTTCAGTCCCTACACTCCAGGGGCCGTTGGGAGGCTTATCTATCTGAGCCTACTTCCCTTGCAGTTTGAAAGTCGGACATAAACCCAACCTATTTGCGGGTTGGGTTGCGTTGGGTAACGGGTTCGATGGTTTTTGCGGGGGCCTAGTTATTATTACCTCGCCGGTGATGCTTTTATCTAATCTTCTTACAATTCAAATATATAGCATAGCATATATCCTAATTTCGTCCGACGGACATGACATACAAGGGATTTGCTCCTAGACATGTATAACTGTTACTCGAGATTTGTTCATGATACCTAGACAGCTAGCACTAAAACCTGCGCTAACAGATTCTTCATATTGTGTGAGCATCTGGATTGGCCATATATCGCGCGCCGTACAGCTACTTGTTAGTATACCTTACCTCTATTATTTATAATACGTCTATCTATAGTTTGAGTACCCTTCTAGACCATCGTTCTTCACGTAGCTAATAAGTATTTACCCCAAAATAGTTATCTTATACCAGGAAGGAGAACTTTCTCCTAGCCTCAAGTTACTAATACACTGTCTATGTAGATTATTGATAATTGATCCTCTTGTAGCTTAGGGAATACCCGGGATAGTTAAGTATCTAGTTTTTCAGTTTCTTCTAATTCCTATATCAAGCCAACGTATAGTTAATAGTAGAACCCCCCCCCCCCCCCCCCCCCCCCAAACACAGAAGAGGTAGAAGTAGACGCATAGGTATACGCTAAAATGTCGATCTAGACCTACCTAATAGGTTGTGACTGGTGTCAAATATTGACAACACCTAGAGTAATTAGGATTTTGAACTAGGATATAAGGCTCGAGGAACTCTAATTAGCGAGATAATATAAGAAAACGAGGTTGCTAAAAAGTAGTCCATTTCTATATAAATTTAGTCAATACTAGGGCCTCTCTTGGTGAGATAACATATAAAAGTAATTAACAATGCATTTACTATAGTGCATTAGGGTAGAAAGGATGCCTGTGGAATATGTTTGAATGTGATAATCCTGCGATCTCAGCACATCACTAAGTGGCCTTAGTAGTAGTTAGTGAAGGTAGTTAACTCTGGCACCCTAAGCTAAATATTTAACCACTTGCTGGTCCTGACCAGTTCATTCTAGTCTCAGCTTGGTCCCATAGGTCTTCCTGATATTGTAAATAATTGCTGCTCGACTCTTCAGATAGCCCTGAGCAAGGAGAAGCTGACTCATACGACCGCAAAAATGAATAGCGTGGATGGGACGCAAATGGTATCTCGATCCAAGGCCGGCTCCACCGAAACTGACCCCTTACTCCTTGTCAGACCAAATCCTCGTGCAAAGACAGGGGGCGTTTTCAACCAGAGTACATAATAAGCCAAGAGGAACAAAATTGCAATTACAATCGCACCAGTCCCAGCTAGATCTCCAGCCTCCCATGCAAATTGACGCCAAGCCATTCGCTTCAAACGCTAGCTTCAATGATGGTGAAGATCACCCGTCTTATCCCATTATTGTTCCACATTCTTGTCATCATGCGTCTCCTGCGTTCCCCTTGAAGCCCCTGTAATATATTTGGAGCTTGGTCCTGCATAGTGAGTGGTCCTGTTCAAAAAAATTTCTCACATGCAGCTGTGGTTCCCACGCTTGGAGCACCTAGCATCGTTGAGAGTCTTGACAGCCATGTCTAGTCGCATAAAGTTTGCAGAACCTATTTCGAGGAACGGGTCAAACGAACCCTCAAGGAGGCATCTGGGAGAAAAGGGCTCGGCACGAAGAGTACCGTCCCCAGGAAGTGAAATTGTTTACCCTACAGGATGGAGACTTATCCTTACCACGATAGGGTAAATTTCCAGCTAAGTGCCCGAGGGCTGCTGGATGGCGAAGACTTACCCATTATTTGGCAATAGGCTCCTGATTGGATTTTTTCTCTCCAATTTGGATGTTACTATTGTAAGCTCGTCTCTCACGAGTATCACAGATAGCCTGGAAGGCTTCGAGAAGAGAAGCTGGATTGTCACTGGATATTTGGCCACTTACACAGGTATGAATCAGAATGCAACTGTTCAATTGTAATCATTCCCTTCGCCTCCTGCCCTTTCAGAGAATTAATTCCATATACCTCGACACGACTTCCCATTCCCTATCCTCGTTCTTTATAACTGATTTCAAACCTTTTCTAGGTTCCATGGCAATATGGACCAAAGTCAGCGATATAATTGGGAGGAAATATGCCACAATTGCCGCACTTGTGATTCTGCTCGCGTTCTCTCTTGGATGTGGGTGCGCCCAGACAGTCAATCAATTGTGAGGTCTAGAATAGTCCTATGCTGGCCAGTCGTTCCAAAACTAACCCTGCTGGCGCAGAATAATACTACGAGCATTACAAGGAATAGGAGGTGCTGGTGCGTACGCACTGGCAATCTTATGCACCTACGAGATAGCCCCTAAAACGAAGCTTCCGACCTACAGCGGTCTCATGTCATTCTGTCTGGCCCTTGCCTCTTTGATAGGCCCAATCATCGGAGGTGCCCTTGCTCAACGCTCTGCCTGGAGATGGGTTTTTCTCATCAAGTACGTGAGGGTCCAATGGCTCTGTATATCGAATGGTCAACTAACCATTGTTTTCAGCGCTCCGCTGTGCGCTACTGCGATCATTGTCCTTGTTATCGCCATGCCTAATAACTTTGGTCTTGATCAGCACACCCCCTCATTCAGAACGCGAGCGTCATATCGCTCATTTGCTAATCTTGATCTCGTGGGCTCGCTTCTGATAATGACTGGCTCGTTTTTAACAGTCACCGTCTTGAATGAAACGGATTTGGCATTTTCATGGTCCTCGAGAGAGGCGATTGCCCTCCTTGTGCTTTCGAGTGTTTCCTGGCTTGCTTTCTTTGTCTGGGAATGGCACATCTCGGGCATCCCGGGGAAAGACCCAATATTTCCTAAGCGGTGGCTTTTTGATCGTCCATGGCTGGGCATCCTCATGTGAGCCAAAACCACACTTTCTTTGATGGAGCGATCCACTCTGACTGACAATTTCCAAGTTCCGCGTTTGTCACCGGTGCACCATTCAACGTCGTTCTAGTCTATGTTCCACAGCAAGCTCAGATTCTGTTAGGCAAGTCGCCTCTCGATTCCGGTATATATTTGATTGGGTATTCGGCTGTTGCAGCTGTTGCCGCGGCCCTGGCCAATATCGCTAGCTCCAGAGGACGCATCCCATTCATTTACTCTCTGCTCGTGGGCTGTGCCATCCACACCGTCGGTGTGGGACTTCTTTCGACTGTTGCCACTTCGAAGGGCTTCCACGTCACAGATATTGTCTACGAGATTATTGCGGGTGCAGGAATAGGGCTGACAATGGGTATCCTGATGCTCTCGATACCATACGTAGTCGAGGACAGAGATATCGGTAGGTCTCCCACCGAGCAACTCGCTGATAATAGCTTATGTATTGACTGACTAACCTTTTTTTTCCCTCAACATAGCGATTGCCACTGGCGCCGTGATCCAGTTCCGATTCCTTGGTGGTGCTATCAGCCTCGCTATTGCATCTAACATCCTAAATGGCAATCTGGCGCATCGTTTGCAGGGTATTCTGTCATCGCATGAACTACATCTTTTCCTTGAGAATGTGAAATCGATTCAATATCTATCTCCGGATCTACAGGAAGAGGTGCAGAATATTTTTGCGTCTAGCTACAGTACGCAGCTGAAAGTCATGATCGGATTCGCGGCCGCTCAGTTACCGGCAATTCTGCTACTGGTGAAGCCAGGCCGACAGCTAGCGGCCCACAGAGTACATTCAGGATAATAACGGCGGCCCCTTGGCTTGCCGCTAACTGTTTCCGGAGTCCTGCCTGAAGGGCGAATGTCGTGCTGGCGCTGACAGGGCAAGATCAGGTGACTTGGTCTCGATTACGAACCGGATTCAGTTTACCTCGATGCGTGGGCTATTGGTTGAATAATATCTAAATGAATTGGCTAATTTATGGGCACGCCATCCGAAAAGGGAGCGACGTGAGGACGGAGTTCTATAGCAAGTGCGGACTCTTAATCGTTAACTGTAGCCTGAGCGTTTTACCAATAATATATTCATTGCACCATATTTTCCTTTTTTTTTTTTTCTTTAAAACTAAGATTGGTCAATATCCATGGGGTCGTCGTCCAGATCATCCGTGTTAGTCTTCTTGCTTTCCCTGCTCGCCAAAGTGGCCGAAGTGGAACTCTGTCTCCCAGACCTGGCCCGCGCTCTGAAATCCTCAATCGCTCTCCTTGTCCAGTCGGACTCCCTCGGGACCGTCAACGACGAAGAATCCTGGTATAGAACCAGTTCTTTGCCCGCCGAACTTGCCGATTCCGGGATCGACATCAGCTGGGCGATGCCCGGGAGAAAGATCAGCGCATCCCCCTCGGTGGTGTTATCATCCGCCAGCTCGCGATCGAGGTCGTGAATGTACGTGGTCGTGTTGGTGTCATCCAGAAGCATCGGATCGTGGTCACTGGGAGCAGGGGAGGGATCTGCTAGGAAGGAGAAGAATGTGTCAACCTCGTCTGCGACCTGGGCCAGGGCGCACCATCATCATCCTACCCAGCAGGTGCAGGCGACTGAGTTTCTTGGCTAAGGGCTGCGCGCCATCGGGATCACCCTCGGCCGGGCGTTTCTTCTGTACCCCATCTTTCGCCATCCACCCCGTCTCTTCGCGCTGGTCGGATCGCGAAACGTCGTCGTCGTCGTTGGTCGCGTGGGGTGGCTCGATGCGCGGACGGGGGAGGAAGTTGACTCATCTGGGCTGCCACACCTTTTCTTCCTCTTTCTTTCCTTCCTGCACCACCACCACCACCACCACTCCCACCACTCCCACTACCCGCAAAATGGCCTCCAACGATGGCCCCCAGTGGACGGCGCAGCGAGTGCGCGATACCTTTCTGGACTATTTCCAGCAAAACGGTCACTCCTTCGGTGCGTTGCTACCCCGCCACCGAGAATTTTTTTGGGGCTCTTCCCTTTCCCTTGACCTGGCTGACTCGCTGCTGCTCAGTTGCCTCCTCTCCTGTCGTGCCCCTATCAGACCCAACGCTGCTTTTTACCAATGCGGGCATGAACCAGTTCAAATCTATCTTCCTGGGCACCGTCGACCCGCAGTCCGACTTTGCCAAGTTGAAGCGCGCCGTGAACTCGCAAAAGGTAGGATTCACTCCCAGCCGTAGGCTCGGCCGTGGTTAATTGTTCGATCTAGTGTCTACGTGCGGGCGGAAAGCATAATGTGAGTGTGACCGGCTGTGTTCCACGGGGGGGGGGGTAGGTAGGATGCTAACCAGCCCAGGATTTGGATGATGTTGGAAAGGACAGTTATCACCATGTGAGCGTCTCCGCGAGACATTTGCCGGATCTAAGTGAGATACTGACTGCTGTCAAACGTTCAGACCTTCTTCGAGATGCTCGGTAACTGGAGCTTCGGCGACTACTTCAAGAAAGAAGCAATCACCTACTCCTGGACTCTCTTGACCAAGGTCTACGGACTCGACCCGGACCGTCTCTACGTTACCTATTTCGAGGGCGACGAGGCGGGTGGTCTGGAGCCCGACCTAGAGGCCAAAGAGCTGTGGAGGTCCGTGGGGGTCCCCCCATCTCACATTCTCCCCGGGAACATGAAGGACAACTTCTGGGAAATGGGTGACCAAGGCCCCTGCGGACCTTGCAGCGAGTTGCACTATGACCGAATCGGCGGACGCAATGCGGCTCACCTGGTCAACCAAGACGACCCTAATGTTCTCGAAATCTGGAACAACGTGTTTATCCAGTACAACCGCGAGTCGGATCGCTCCCTGCAACCTCTCCCGAACAAGCACATCGACACAGGAATGGGGTTCGAACGTCTGGTGTCAATCTTGCAAGATAAATCGTCGAATTACGACACAGATGTCTTCACCCCGATTTTCGAAGCCATTCGACAAGTGACTGGAGCTCGCGAGTACCAGGGCAAATTCGGTGCCGAGGACGCTGATGGGATTGATACAGCGTACCGGGTCGTTGCGGACCATGTTCGGACCCTCATGTTTGCCATCTCGGACGGGGTGATCCCCAACAATGAGGGTCGCGGATATGTTATTCGGCGGGTGCTACGCAGAGGCGCGCGGTATGCTCGGAAATACTTCCAGGTGGATATCGGAAATTTCTTCTCAAGACTCGTACCGACGGTGGTAGATCAGTTGGGGGGCATGTTCCCTGAGCTGCAACGAAAGCAGCAAGATGTCATGGAGATTCTGGATGAGGAAGAGTTGTCATTCGCTAAGACCCTGGATCGGGGTGAGCGGCAGTTTGAGCAGTACGCTCAGCAAGCCAAGGTCAAGGGGTCCGATCAACTACATGGCGCCGATGTCTGGCGGCTGTATGATACCTTTGGCTTCCCAGTCGACCTGACCCGCATTATGGCCGAGGAACGCAGCCTAAGGATTGACGACACCCAGTTCGAAGAAGCAAGATTGCGCGCTAAGGAAGCCAGCAAGGGCCAGAAAAAGGCTGCCACACACACAGTGAAACTTGATGTCCATGACCTCGGAAAGCTAGAGAAGATGAACGACGTCCACAAAACGGATGACTCTGCTAAATTTGCCAAGGGCAACATCACTGCTTCCATCAAGGCGATTTACCACGGAAAAACGTTTTACAATAACACCGACAGTATCCCTGATGGAGAGCAGCTTGGCCTAATTCTGGATCGTACAAACTTCTACGCCGAACAGGGCGGTCAGGAAAATGACACCGGTCGGATTGTCATCGATGGACAGACAGAGCTGGAGGTTGGTGATGTTCAAGTCTACGCAGGCTACGTGCTGCACACAGGCTTCATGAAATACGGGTCCTTTTCCGTGGGCGACACTGTCATCTGTGAATACGACGAACTTCGCCGTTGGCCCATCCGCAACAACCATACTGGCACCCACATTCTAAATTTCGCCCTACGAGAGGTTCTGGGGGATGGTGTGGATCAGAAAGGCTCCCTCGTGGCGGCCGAGAAGCTCCGGTTTGACTTCTCTCACAAGTCCGCCGTTTCAGATGCAGAGCTGGAAAAGATCGAAGCCAAGTCGACCGAGTATATCCGGCAGAATTGCGCGGTCTACGCCCAAGAAGTTCCTCTGGCAACTGCCCAGCAAATTTCCGGACTACGAGCTGTTTTCGGCGAGACTTACCCAGATCCTGTCCGCGTCGTCTCCGTTGGGGTCGAACTGGAAGAAATCCTGAAGGATGTCAAGGACCCTCGATGGAAAGAGGTCAGCATTGAATTATGTGGTGGAACGCATGTCCAGAAGACAGGTGATATCAAGGATCTGATTATCTTGGAAGAAAGCGGCATCGCCAAGGGTATTCGTCGAATCATCGCCGTCACGGGCGAGGAGGCCCACGAGGTGCAGCGGGTCGCGGAGGAGTTTGGGAAACGCGTTGACCGACTGGAAGGCCTACCTTTCGGACCTGAGAAAGAGCAGGATGCCAAGCAGATACAGGTGGATCTGAACCAACTCACCATCTCTGCAATCCAGAAGGCAAGGCTCCGGGAGCGCTTCCTTGCGATCAACAAGAAGATCCTCGATGGACAGAAAGCGCAACAAAAGTTGGAGTCCAAGAAGGCGCTGGAAACCATCACCTCCTACTTCGAGTCACCCGATAACCAAGGCAAGTCTTGGTTGGTAGCTCGGCTTCCCATCTCGGCCAATGCCAAGGCCGTTAGTGAGTCTCTCAATCACGTCAAATCCAAATTACAGAACAAGACGGTGTATCTGCTGGCCGCAGACACGGAGCAAGGTCGGGTTGCGCACGGATGCTACGTTTCCAAGGTTAGATTTCACTCTATTGATGTTGCCGACTGATGTTAACTTTCGTTGCAGGAGTTGAGTGACCAAGGCGCATCCGCGAGCGATTGGGCCGCTGCTGTCTCCAGCGCGGTTGGAGGCAAGGCGGGAGGCAAAGGACCGACGTCCATTGGCAATGGAACCAATCCGGACAAGGTCGATGAAGCCATTTCGCTGGCTTCGGACTACCTGAGCAAATTCAAGCTCTAGTCTACTCGGAAGAGGAACACTCTTGGAGAGAGCGCCGTGGTCTCGGATAAAATTTTATCGCCAATATTGTGTTATATCGATTTTGACATGAAGAAGAGATTAACCATGAATTGAGCTCGTATTTCTTGCGCCATAGCCACCGATTTTTAAGTTATTGTAGTAAAACCACCATTCTTACATCTCCCCGCACTGAACAATCGTGACATCCTGATTCGGTCGGTCTTTCGTCGTCCGTGTCCGCTCAATCATGTGGACAACATCCATGCCGTCAATGACCTGACCAAATACCACGTGTTTATTGTTCAGGAATGACGTTTGGGTGGTGGTGATGAAGAACTGGCAGCCGTTGGTGTTCGGGCCCGAGTTCTAAGTGACTCAGTCTTCGTGTCGAACATGGAAGGGGGAAGAAAGAACTTACTGCCATGCTCAAGAGCCCGGCCCGGTCATGCTTCAGCGAGAAGTTCTCATCGGCGAACTTGGGGGTTCCGTAGATGGTACAGCTTCCCGATCCATCTCCGTTGACAAAATCGCCGCCTTGGATCATGAAATCCTTGATGACACGGTGAAACTTGCTCCCCTTGTAGCCCTGAGGCCGTCCCTGGGGGTTCTTGCTCTCGCCGGTGCAGAATTGGCGAAAGTTCTCTGCCGTCCGCGGGGTGACGTTGGCAAAAAGCTCTATCTTGATCCGACCGAGCGACTCGCCTAGGACCGATTTAGTTGAATTGGAACTTGAAGGGGGACAGAGGTTATGTATAACTCACCCCCTAGAGCAATGTCAAAGAAGACGACAGGGTTGGCGTCCGCCATATGTAGGATATGATATGTAGATATGGTCTGACTGGTTGGTGATTGCCTTTTTTTAAAGGTCCAATCAAGTCAGTCGGTCCCGTGACCGCCCAACCCCAGACCCTGCTTACCTCAGAAACTACCTTCCTTCCCCGTCTCCACTTGGGATTTCCTTCGTCTGACGACTACGCCTTAGTATTATTCTTCCTCAACGAACACGACATCCCTTGAATGCCAGGCCGCTCTCGGTCTCGGCCATCCTCATTCAGGTTTGCTTTCTGCCTGCCTCTGGGATTCCGTGTCGCCGACCGGCGTGTTCACTGCCAACCCCCCTCTCGCAGCCAGCCTCCGCTGCATCTAGTCTCCTGAAGCGCGAAGGCATGCATATGCTCGACTGGGGATGAGACTCTGAGAGCTCATTAACTGTCGGGAAGATTTTAACCATCTTGACAACCATCGCCTCCTTCCCCCGTCTCCCACCCCTTCTCCTTTCTTAATCACCCCAAAATGGCATCCACCACGACCACGGCTGCTGCCGCTGCTACGACTACTAGTAATAGTGGCAATAACGGGGGCAGCACAACCAGCTCACCTCTACTTTTCTTCGTCGCTCTCGGCTTTGGCGTGGTATTCACCAATTTATGGTAAGTCTCACGGAACATCCGGGAGGGCATCAATCCCTCCTCGGAACGGTCGGCGTTTGGATAAGATTAGATGTCTGATGAATATGCACGCAGGATTATCGTGGGAGTAAAATACTGTTTTCGCTACAACCAGCGGAACCGTCAACTTCGAGGAGAAGACACTGGAGAGCCCATTGACTTGGTAGCCATGCCTCGAACCCATCGACGACGGAGGGAAAAGAAGCTGATGACGATGGACGAAGTCAACGAGCGCTTCCCGCTTGTCAAATACAAAGTATGGAGGTCTTCTCGCGCAAACCAAGGCCTACCAACAGAAGGAGGGATAACGGCCCCGAATAGCAGGCCCAATAGCCTGAAAGATGAATCGGGTGTAGTCTCTGGGGTCGTGACAGCCGCACTATCGCCATCCGAGAGCGCAAATGGCCGAACGGAATCGAACGCCTCGCAAGCCTCGCAAGACCAACATGCCGGAAATTCGGTGCAGCCGACAGACGAGAAAGCGGCCCCTGTGACTGGTCTCTCTTCCGAGCCACATAGCATAGGTGCAAGCAATTCTCCGCAAGAATTTAAATGGCAGCACAATCTGAACTCGGAGACCGTTGAGCCAGATGAAGATGAAGATGATGGCGATCAGATCCGCAACGCACTTCCTGCTGAACTCTTGCCAAACCCAGGGGACTCTTGTGCCATCTGTCTGGACCTGATTGAGGATGACGACGATATAAGAGGTCTGACCTGTGGGCATGCTTTCCATGCCTCCTGTGTCGATCCCTGGCTGACGAGCCGGAGAGCGTGTTGTCCTCTGTGTAAGGCGGATTACTACATACCGAAACCCCGTGCGCCAGGCACGGAAAATCAACCAACAGGGGACCGGCAAGGTCGTCGTCTTGTTATGGCTAATCTGGATACGATTACGAGGCCATCTCCAACTGCTCGGACCGGTCATCGAGCGAATCCGTTCCGAACGCAATTATCATTACCGGGGCGATTATTCTCACCATCCAATCGAAGGGGGGACCGATCTGCTCCGCCGGATGGGCGTTCGCAACAAACGCCCCACGAACCTCGCAGGGTGGATGAGCCGGTGAGCGCGGAACAGCATACCTGGCCACGCCTAGTCCCAAGTCGCCTTCGGGGCCTTTTCAACCGCACCAGTCGAGGGCAGCCTCCGTCGACTGATACGGGGTTGGCGCCAGCTGACCTTTCACGATCCGAGCGCCGGACGCCTCGCGAACTGGAAGCTGGTCCGAACTAATGGCTCACTCACGAAACCTTCTCTGCATGCTGGATCAACATCTGGAATGTTGACTGAGACGCCTGCTTCTTGTTATTGATGACTTGATATGTGTAATTTATTCTTTCATCTTTGATCTTTGATCTTCTGGCGGGAGTTCTGGCATCCATGCGATTTGGTTTCCCAGGGTAGCCTTCGGGGCTTGCTCTAACCCTTGCAATACCAGGAAGTCCAAAAGAAATCGATGGGGAATCAACTTTGGGCGGTTTCATGACATGAAGTGGAGGAAGCATTTACATTCCAATTTTATCTACAAATGGATAAAGCGCACTTGTGACGAACGAACCCGTGAGCCTAGGTGGTTATATGAAAGTAGATACGTATGACATTTCCCCCTCTGCCTTCAGATCTTTACATTGGGGCCTTGGTGCCGCCCACACCTGCCCCGATCACGCTCGGCAGCTCCTGCTGGCCCACACTGAACAGCATCCCGATCGCGCTGCTGACCATTGCCACAACCAAAATGCTGACCCCAGCGATCAGGAAGAAGGGCGAGCTGATATCCCTCTTCTGACAAGCTGACCCACCCCATTGGATGGTCTCGGTCGTGCCATCGTCTTTCTTCACCACTGTTTCTGTGCATCGGCAGGCATAGCAGCTGTCCCCGGCTCCTGAATTGCCTGATCCGGATTTTTTATAGCAGTGGCCGTGACCCGAGCAATTATTCGTTGCTTCAACACAGGACGAGTTGGAGGCATGGCACACGGGGGTGAGTGTGGACGGCACCGACAAGTCTTGGGCCGACCTTCTAACTGCTCTGGGTTGAATCGGGTTCGGGGCTCGAGAGAGCATGTTTGAGATGCCCCGGCGGGCCAGCTTGTGTTCCGAGTCATTGCGGCGCGGTAGAATCAGGGCGGTTATCTCCTGTTTGCCGGAAGAAGATAATTTGGTTAAAGTGTGGAAGAAGGACTCCAAAGAGTTGGCGACGCGCTCAGAATCACCCGAAGAACTTTGGGACTGAGAGGAGTGATTTGATTAGAGTCTATCAGTTGAATCTGAGGGGCATTCCATTACCTTCAGTAGTATTCTCGAAGCCGACAGTCCGGGGCCGTTAGGGGTCCAGGTTTCCACCGAATCAATGAGTCTGAGAAAGTCGTGGCCGAGCAAGTCCCCCCCGGAGGAGAGAATGGGGTCTTCGGATACGCATTTTTTGGCATTCTAGATGTGAGGTGCTCATTAACTCGGGGCCATTCAAATCTTGGATTGGCATCAGAGAGTAGTTACCTCAGAGGTCATTGGCAGACCGGCCGTACTGTGGTAGGTGCAATGTTTGCCATTGATTGCGGTCCCATCACTTCCGAGGAATGACTCCAGAGCATCGCTGTTCATGAAATCGGAGGAAGCATGAGGTACGCGGATATAGCTTGGTTGGCTCTTTTGGATCGCCGAACCTGTTCGGAGGATCAGTCGTCGCCCACAAATCCTAGGGACCAAACAACATACCCACTTGCCCATCGATCCCCTCGAGCAGCACCAAGCTTCTCTTGGGGGCGTCATGGTCATCGGCGCCTCCAAATAGCGTACCATCGGACTGGACAAACTGATTCAACTGATCCGCGGTCTCTGTTTCCATCTTGCCCAGCACCGCTGCGAGAGAGGACTTGGTCCGGAGCTCCAAAATCAAGTGGGCGACATCTTCCGAGACGGCCTCTTGTCCATCCTGAAGGTGGAAGGTGAAGAGAGAGGCATCAAAGGCGCTTGCTCCAAGTGCACCTGTAACGGCCAGGGCCAGGATCCGGGAGGACCAGCGCATGTTTGAAGAAGAATGGGAAGCCGTGATGCAGAGAGAATCAATTACATAGGTAACTCCGTTGGACGGAAGGCGGGTGATAAGGTCACGTGGCTCTAGACTCATCCTGTGGACTAGCCTGGCCGTCCACGGTTCTGGTCTTCCTCTTTCTTGCTTTCGTTCTTTTCTTCTTTGCTACCTCTTTCACTCCTCTTTTCAATGCTCCCGCTCAGGCGTCTCCTCCGACCTGCGCGCGCCGCTTCCTCTGTCTTCCGCCGCGCTCCATACTCTCATCATACAGAGCCTCCAAATGTCCGTCATGTAAGGTTCAGGCGGCCCTGGATCAGGTGTGTATTTCAACGTCCTCCCTCCTGGAGCCATCATGCTCATGCAGCTCAGGTCCTTCGTCACAAAGGCTTTGCTATACGGCACAGCATTTCATCTCTGGACTACTTTCGTGCTGGTCCGATTCGACGACGACGCAGACGACACCGACTCCGCTCAGGAACCCAGCCAGGTGGCTGCGAGTCGAAATCTCCACGGCGGCAATGAACCTGGCGGAGGCGATGTCGAAGAGGTGGAAGCAGAGAGTCCTCTGTTCATCCCGTTGGGCTGGTCCTGGCTACAAGAGGGCGAGCGGTACACAGCAGCGGACCCGGAATGGCAACAGTTTGTCAAGATTTCCATGGACCGCCAAAAACTTCAAAAGTTGAGAAGTGAGACGACCCTTTTTCTGTCTGACTCCCGAATTACTGACTGTTGCAAAAGAGGAACTGGCTACGATTGTACAGGATTCCGTCTCTGGTCGAATATCGCAAATCCTCGGGGGCCCCATCTCGATCACCGGATTTTGGCTGGTCCATCAGTTTCCCTCCCGCGCTCCACCATACTACATGCGATCAGGGTAAGTGCATGTGGTTGCTTGTGGCCGACTGTAGCACCTGCTGACACCAAACACAGGATCGAGTACTCCGATGACGGCATATCTTGGGTTTCCAAACCTCTGGATCCCGAAATGGGTGATCGATTGCAGAGTTACATGAAACCGGTCCACGTGGCTCTCGCGATTAAGGATGCCTATATGTTGGTCTTGAAAAGGCAATGGACCCGCTTTACCGATCCCGAAGGACAGGCACTGGATGTCGTGGAGGGTCTCTCGGAGGGTCGTCTTTCACCAAACGGTGAAAACCTGGATGCAGTTCAAGAGCGCGGATCTCCCGGTTTGCCAATGCCGGACGGTTTGCAGGAAAAACCAGCACCTAGCTCCGAAAAAGCCATCTCGCACCCATCCTCGATCCTCTCCTCCTTACAACGGCTCCCCTTGCCGAACCTTGGCCCCGGATCCGATCTATACCTGGCGTCGATGGCTTTCAAGTTGCGCTTGAGCGATTACCGGAGCCGAACCCCACGGACTCCTCGCCGAGGCACCTTCTTTATCTCCGGGCCGGTGGGCCTGAAGGGCCCGAATGGATTCTGCCGTTTCGAAGTGAAGGGCGAATATGATCCAGCGACCGGTCAATGGCGAACGGTGGACCTGTTGCTGAAGGACCTGAACTTCCGGCGACAACGGGCGCTGGGGTGATTGGGACAATAATAATGATGATGATCATGATAATCAATAATGTACATAGTTGCAGTAGTTAACTAGATCGCGGGGTGATGACGCCACTCCCCCCCCACACTGGCTGGCATCTGCTCTTCTTCTGCTACCTCTTTTCTTCCTCCTTCTCTTTTCCCTCTCCCTCCTCTTCTTCCCCCCTTGTCCAAACATAGTACCTATACCATGTCTGTGCCGCCCAAATTCGCGGGTATCAAGCTCGCCTCAGCAGGACCCTCTCCCCACACGCTCGAGTTGTGTAGGTATTGATGAATCCGACCAACAATTACATACTGAACTAAACCTCCCTATCCAGATCTCGACTACGTCTGTCCGGTTAGCCTATCCTCGCCAGACAGATCCCATGTACAACCATTGACCGGCCTCTAGTTCTCGGCCAAGCTGTTCAACACCTTCTACGCGCTCCGACCGATGATTGCCCAGCAGTACAGCCCGAAACTCCAGGTCATCTTCCGCCAGCACATTCAACCGTGGCACCCGTCGTCGACCCTCGTCCACGAGGCCGGGGCGGCAGTCCTCCAACTTTCCCCCGAGAAGTTCTGGGAATTCAGTGCGGTCTTGTTCCAACACCAGACCGAGTTCTTCGATGTTAGCGTGGTCAACGAAACCCGGAACAAGACATATGCCCGTCTGGCCAAAATTGCTGGGAGTGTCGGCGTGGACGACAAGCAATTCCTGGACTTGCTGACGATCAGCGACACACCCGGCGAGAATGGCAGTCTGAATAGTGGCAATCAAGTCACCAACGACATCAAATTCATGATCAAGGTAAGCACCGGACTTGGCCATCACATCGCATGTTTCTAATGTCATCTAGGCGGATCGAGCCCTGGGGGTCCATGTTTCGCCAACGGTGTACTTCAACGTAGGAAGTCCCCGACCCCATCGACACAGAGATACCCAAGGTACTGACGAGTGCGCAGGGCGTGGAAGAGCCTGGTATCAGCAGCAGCTTCACGGCCGCCCAGTGGGAGGAATGGCTGGCCAAGAACGTGGTCTGAAAGCCACCGGGACCGTACATGTTAGGGAGACCGTCCACTTCGTCGGGTCAGGCAACGGAGCAGGAAAACAACAGAGAAAAATAAATGAACCATGTCTCATTTCAGAACTTCCATTACGAAGCTGTAGGGGGGACCCTTATTGAACACACTCATTCCGCATGTCCATACCATCATGATGGCCCCCGAATGGTATCGTCTCTCCTGGTGTTTACCAGACAGTTTCATGGTGGTGGATCTTTGTCCCACCACCACCCGTCGGCTGAAAGCCAGAAGCCAGAACCGTCGATGTTCCAATGCACCGTCACCACCAGGCTACTGGGTCAGTGGAGGCTGGTAGTTAAGAGGGCGCCTGCTCGGTGAGTTAGCGGCGCGCGAGAAAATGGTGTCCATGGACAAGACCAACTTGAATAGCAGGATGTGCGGTTCTGGCTCATGCACCTCGTAGTGTTCCCATCCCAAGCTCTGAGAGAAGCAGGTTAGCTTTTGTTCTTTCGGTCGTATTGGGCAACCTCCACCTGTGTGATCCCCAGTGCGCGCCACTCCTCCTCCCACAACAGTTTCAATGTCCCCTTGGCGCTGTCGAAGTACTCGGCCGGGATTTTCTTTAGCATGTTCTTGGGCAGCTGAACATGGCGGTATTCGAACTTGTCATCGGAATACCTGTTTGCGTTAGTGATTGACTTTGGAGGCAGCGGTTCCTCCGGTACCTTGCCGAATAGTGGATTGAGTCGATGAATTCATCCAGCCGTTCTCGCTCGGATTCTAGCAGGAGACGCGGCTTTTTGTTTCTTCTGGTCGGATCGATCTCCATCGGGGAGAGGATGGGAGGATAAACACGCGGTGATATGTGCAAGGTTTCTGTCAAAGACGACTAACGGTGGTCAATTTGACGGATCTTGGGGGGTGGTAGGCGAGGCGCGTGAGCTGATCGGGGGAGGTGGAGGGATGGAGACGCGCTCACCGAATGTATGTGCTATTCCGGCGCGTGGATGTGCACTGACAGGGAAGAGGAAGGGAAAAAACCAAGGGGGAAACGAGCGATAGCAGGATGGTCGACTTGGTTTGTTTTGGAGGGGAAAGAACAAGACCGAGCCGTGAGGTGCCTGAATGCCTGATTGCCTCAGGCGGTAATACCGCTCTGACTAACCACCTGAACCCAGTAACTATGGGCGCGTCTCCCCCAACACGTCCTTCTGCCTGTCGGCTGGCCATTGGGATCTTCGAGATCAGCCATTGCTTTTCAGCGCGCTCTGTGAATCCGACGAACTAGCTTTTTGCTTTCTCACTTTCTTCGCGCATAACTTCGCCACTTCTGCCGGACCAATCCCCAATATGAGCACCAAACGGCGCGTGGCCGTGGCTGCGCCCTCAGAGACCAGGCTCCGTGGACAGAAGCGCCGGAAAGTGTCGGTAAGTTTCTCTTCTGTGGATGTCACGAATGTGGTAGATCTCGAGTGGCCGTGGGCGTTGTCGCTGGACGCGCCGTGCGACGGAGCTGGATGAGCAACATCCGAGCGCAACCCTCGTGCCCTGTCCTTCATGCGCAAAGACCATGGTTATTCAAACAATCTAATTATGGACGACACGAAATAGGATGATGATGACCACATGGACTCCGACACCTCGCGAATGATTACAGATATCGGCTCCGAGCTTTTGTCGCAAATCAAAGCAGCAAAGGACCGAAGGTACGCTACATTCGCGCACTCATCCATGCATTGCTTGTTGCCACAGGTGCTGACACCGGCTCTCCTATAGGGGTCGTCTCATTGCTGAGGAATTTCTGGAGTTGCCTGACCGAGTACGTCGCATTCATCTCACGCGCTCCGCAATTGCCTTCGGAGGTTCTACTAATGCTCGAGCATAGAAGCGGAACGCCGCATATTACAAAGCTATTCCGAACCCTATCGCATTGGATCTTGTCAAGGTGCGCGCTCGCTATCTTCCCCAGTATTGCCTGGGTGTTGCATTTACACCTGCTCACCTGACCCCTTCACAACAGGATAAGTTGAACGACCACCAGTATGATTCGACAGAGGCACTAGAAGAGGATTTGGTCCTCATGGTTGAAAATGCGAAATCATATAACGAGGATTCCAGCCAGATCTTCGCCGATGCGATGCGCATCCGAAGGATGGTCATCGACCTTATGCCCAAATTGATCAAGCAACACGGTGGCCTTCCAGCAGGGGCAAGGGCAAGCGAAGATGCGAAAGACAAAGGGTTATCGCAAGGGGCCTCAGACGGCGAAGAAGATGAAGAGGAGGATGACGAGGAGGAGGAGGAAGAGGAGGAGGAGGAAGAGGAGGAGGATGACGAGGAGGAACACGATGAGGAGACCGAGGAGAGTTTCGAAGGCGATACCCTCCAGCAGGCACAAGATAAGATTATGACAGAGCTGGCACGGCTAAGAGACGACGAGTGAGCATTATGACCGGACCCATTTTCTGCCGTCTATTGGCTGACCCTTGATCCAGTGGCGATGAGGTTTCCTATCCGTTCATCGGGAAGCCTGATCGGAATCTCTATCGTGACTACTATGAGATCATCCAGCATCCTGTGTCTATCAGGAGTATCCAAAAGAAAGTCCGCGGCACAGACATCAGAAACAACCCTACTAAGGTGACCGCGTATCCAACCTGGCAGGCCTTTGAAGAGGAGGTCAGCTACATATGGCGAAATGCCAGAGAATACAACGAGGATGGCAGCGATATCAGCAATCTCGCGGGCATCTTGGAAGTAAGATTATTTTGATGATTTCTCAAGTTCTCCCATTGACGAATCGACCAGGAATATTTTCGACGGCGAGTTGCAGAAGCCAAAAAGCTGGTCCTGGATCCCCCTCAGGTAGATGGAGACCCCGATCCGCCTCGCATCAAACTCAAGATGGGCTCAATGACGCCCAACCCAATGGGCCAAAAGTTGACATTGAAAATGTCTGTGCAGAACTCGGACCCGCCCTCGCGAGATGATGCACGTCGATCCGGCGTCACGGTCGATAACGAAGCGCTGAAACGCCAACAGGACCTTGTCCGAGCGGGATCTGCTAGTCAAGAGCTCGACGCGCACCGAATGTCCCCTCGGACGAGACTCCGAAGAGGCTTTGCAAGTCCGGGATCGAGCACACCATCCGCTGTAGAGCAATCGCAAACCATTTCTATGGGAATCAAGGATGATGTGTCATCCCAGTACGAGATGTCACAGCCTTCTTTGAATGTTCCCATGGGGTATGCCAGACACTCGCTTCCCGGGCCTGGGGGGTTACCCTATCACGAGAGTGCGTTTGGCCCAGCCATCTCAATCCCCTTACATAGTGACCTCTCTGTTGACGATGCGATTAGATCAGACACCGTACCAACAGCCCCCCGGCATGGATTCTCATTTGCGACGGCCTGGACAAGGTTCGTTTTTGGTCACCCAATGCGGTGTTGATGCAGCTACTAACCGTGTCCTAGACGCCAGCTCTGCTCTGATCCAGAATATTCAGATACTCACCCATCCGACGCTCGCCTTGCCGCAAGACTTTTGCTTGGATATCCCTCCGTCGGCCACGGTTGCCCAGCAGTCGATCACGATCAACCTGCCCTCGTCACACAACCTGTTGACGGTGCGGCCTACCTTAGCATCCAGTACACCACAGCGACAGATCAAGTTGGCCACTCTCATGGGCATGCAGCGGCTGAATCCGACATCTGGGGAGGCTACCACTCTGAATTATGATATACAGCTGCCGCCGGGCATGAGCAAGGTCGACGTGGAAGCCATTGCAGGACCGGCACGAGGCGTGCCCAAGACTGGGGGGTCGGAGATCGACTATGAGCGAGTCAGCATCTTCTTCAATGTTTTGCGGTGACTACCGGGTTTGATTTCTCTATCTAGTTATTCAAGGATTATTATTGTAGTTCATAGTTCACCATTGAAGAGTATTGACAGATGACTAATCCCGAATAAGATTCCCACCGCGTGTCTTTTACACGGAACTTGCCTACACCAACTGCCTCAAGGAATGGCCCCAACACCCTCTGTGACTCCCATTCGGCAACAATGATGCCGGCTACTCCGGCCTGGCCGGATGGTCCTTCTTCAGGTTAGTCTCGATGATTGCCACGGTTGCACTCAACTCACTCCCTAACGTTCCTTCCCCAGACGACCCCTTCTCCGTGGCGCACATCCCCGATTCCTTGTTGAGAGCAGAGCTCCTGCGACGAGATGCCGACTCGGCAGCATGTGGCACCACCGAGCGCGGGGCCTACAACACTCCATTGCATGTTATGGCGCTATTCCTCATTCTCGGACTCAGCACATTCGGTACGTTCTCTCTCATTCCTTTTTCTGGGCGGGCCCGGCTGATTGCTGTTCGCGTGCAATCAGCATGCTCATTTCCTATTCTCGCTCGTCGTTTTCCCCGTCTCCCGATTCCACGCCGCTTTCTTTTCATATCAAGACACTTTGGCACTGGCGTGCTCATCGCAACGGCCTTTGTGCATCTGCTTCCGACGGCCTTTGTCTCCTTGACGGACCCGTGTCTCCCTCGATTCTGGAGCGTAACGTACCGGGCAATGGCCGGTTTTGTAGCTATGATATCCGTCTTCGCCGTTGTATGCGTTGAGATGTTTTTCGCCATGAAAGGTGCGGGCCATGTTCATGGGAATGAGTACGATAATCTCATCGGTGAAATTGGGCGCGACTCGATGAGTGATTTTGGACCCGAGGGCACCAGTTATTCGAGACTGGAGGCGAACGAAGCCCCGGACAATATCCGCCTTGACAATCTCGACAACCATCGGGTAGAAGCTGCAGATCGGCCATCTGGTTCATCCCATGGGTCTGACCAGCGGCGCTTAACAGGTACGCTCTCGGATAAAGAGCGCAATGATGGAGAGACTGATGATGATACGCCCGCCAACGGGCACACGTCACGAACGTCTCATCAGCACCTTCGGCCACGTCTGAGTGGAAGTTATCGGCACCAGACGCACTCGGAGCTGCCGATCCAGAACCCACAACGCCAGCTTCTGCAGTGCCTACTTCTCGAAGCGGGGATTCTGTTTCACAGCATCTTCATTGGCATGGCGCTGAGCGTGGCCACGGGCACTTCGTTCATCGTCCTCCTGGTCGCCATCGGTTTTCACCAGACCTTCGAGGGATTTGCGCTTGGGTCTCGAATCGCTTCACTGATTCCGGATCTCTTTGCGCCGTCCTCGATGAAGCCGTGGCTGATGTCACTGGCGTACGGCACGACCACTCCCCTTGGCCAGGCTATCGGTTTGGTGCTCCACAATCTCTATGATCCAGCAAGCACGACAGGTCTTCTCATGGTTGGTATCACCAATGCGATCAGCAGCGGCCTTCTCCTGTTCGCAGGTCTCGTTGAACTTCTGGCGGAGGACTTTCTGAGCGAATCCAGTTATGAGAACCTCAAAGGCCGGCGGCGGATCGAAGCCTGTGTGTCAGTGGCTTGTGGTGCCATCCTAATGGCTTTTGTTGGTGCCTTTGCATGAAATGAGTAATGTTATAGAGTTCAGCCCCCAGGGGCGTTCAGTATTGTCTCGTTTATCTTTTGTATAGTAAATATATCTCTGATGGATGTGCATCTACTGTACTCTCCAAGAAGAATGGTCGTCCGTAATTAGTTCATTTCAATCGATAGCCAACTATATATCTGGGTATTCTATTTTTCACTCCGCATATTCGCACTAGCAGGCGTCATATCGTCCATCATTACCATTCTTTACAGCAGAGACTCAATCACCAGGGCACTCGCGCCGCCGCCGCCATTGCAAATCCCAACACAGCCCAGCTTGCCCTTCTTGTCCTTCAGGACTCCGATCAAGGTGGCCAGGATGCGAGCACCACTGGCTCCGAGAGGGTGACCAATCGCCACAGCACCGCCGTGGATATTGACCTTGTCCTCTGAGAGACCGAGGAGCTTCAGGTTGGCCAGTGCCACCACACTGAAGGCTTCGTTGATCTCAAAGGCGTCAATGGCATCCTGGGTCACTCCTGCGTGCTTCAAAGCCTTGGGGATCGCCAGGGCAGGGGCGGTTGTGAACTTGCTGGGCTTTTGAGCAGCATCACCCCAGCCCAGGATTTTGGCAATGGGCTTCAGGTTAAGCTCCTTGACCTTGGCCTCGGATACCAAGACCACGGCGGAGGCACCATCGTTCAGCGGTGACGAATTCGGCGCGGTCACAGTACCAGTACCGGGGATAAAAGCCGGTTTCATGCCGCGAAGCTTGTCGGGGTTAAGCTGGGGAAAAAGAAAGCCCATCGTCAGCTGGATTCACATGGGCCAATTTGAACGGTGCTTACATTCTTCGGCTCGTCATCCTGAGAAATAGTTACGCCAGGCTTGCCCCTGAATCCGGGAATCTCGATGGGCGCAATCTCGTAATCGAAAAGGCCAGCCTTTTGCGCGGCCTGGGCCTTCTCGTAGGAGCGGATGGCATACTCATCCTGCTGCTCACGGTTGAATCCATGATCCTGCGCACACTCCTCGGCCTGCAGGCCCATAAGCTCCTGCTTACCGTAGGCATCCATCAGGCCGTCCTTCATGATACCATCCACTAGACTCTGGTGGCCGTATTTGGCGCCGGAGCGCATGTTGGGCAGGTAGTGGGGGGTGTTGGACATGGATTCGGTGCCACCGGCCACAACAACGTCGGCGTTGCCGGTCATGATAGTCTGGGCACCGAGGATGACAGCCTTAAGACCAGATGCGCACACCTTGTTCACTGTGGTGCAGACGGTGGAGTCCTGAAGCCCAGCACCGATAGCGCATTGCCGGGCAGGGTTCTGGCCGACGCTGCAGAGAGAAAGGTTAGCCGGGTCCCAACCGATCTGAAGGGTGTGCCACTCACTTGGCCGAAAGGACATTGCCAAAGAAGACCTCCTCAACGTCGGTGGCATTGATACCCTCAGCCCGGTCCACAGCCGCTGCAAATGGCGTTAGTACTGGGAAGTGATATTCGCACGCAGAATTGTACCGCACCTTTGATCGCATGGGAACCTAGCTGCGGGGCCGTCAGACTGGACAGTGAGCTACAAACAGACGATGTTAGCAATTGAAGCAACAACCGAGTTTATCTCTCCGCCACCTACCCCAGGAACGAGCCCACAGGTGTGCGGGCGGTCGAGACGATGTAGACAGGAGGCAGGGAAGAAGACATGGTGGGTGATAGCAGTAGTGGTAGTAGTATGTAAGAAGATGAGAGGGAAATAATGAATCAATCGAACGAGAAAGAAAAGGGGGGAGGGAAGGGAAAGGAAAAGGAAGAAGAACAGAAGATACAGTGTAGCCCACAGTATGCTCGGTGGGCCGGTGTGACTGACTGGACGCTCGGGCCACCCAGAACTCTTTCTACTTATTCTTTCCGTCCTTCAACTCCCACCAACGAAACCACCCAAACTCTACCCACGATGGACGACCTCTACGATGAGTTTGGTAACTATATCGGTGGCGCCGAGTCCGACGAGGAGGAAGTCCAACAGGAGGTCCATGCCTTTAATCTGGACGCCTACGGCGAGGACGACGGCGAGGAGGAAGATGTGGTCCATGACCAGCAATTAATGGAGGTCGACGGTAGGTTATGCCTCCAATGATCCTGGGGCCATGCTCACCCCATCAATTACAGAGGGCCCTTCGAACGCTGTGGTCTTGCACGAGGACAAGCAGTATTATCCTAGCGCATCCCAAGTCTACGGCACCGACGTCGAAACCATGGTCCAGGAAGAAGATGCGCAGCCGCTGTCCGAACCGATCATCGCCCCCGTTCAGCAAAAGAAGTTTGCAATCTCAGAGACCGAACTCCCGCCCGTGCATTTCTCCCGCGAGTTTATGACAGATCTCCTCAATTTCCCCGAGCAAATACGGAACGTCGCGCTGGCCGGCCACCTGCACCACGGGAAAACCGCGTTTATGGACATGCTGGTGAAGCAGACCCACGATCTGACCGACCGGCTAGAGAAGCGCATCGGCCGACGACGGGAAGAGCAGCTCCGATACACCGACGTCCACTTTCTAGAGCGAGAACGCGGCCTCTCGATCAAATCGGCGCCAATGAGCTTGGTTCTTCAGGGAACCAAGGGCAAGTCGCATCTCCTCAACATTCTTGATACTCCGGGACATGTCAATTTTGTCGATGAAGTCGCGACCTCGGTTCGCCTGGCCGACGGCGTGGTGCTCGTTGTGGATGTCGTCGAGGGCGTTCAAGCAAACACCGAACAGATCATCAAACATGCGGTCTTAGAGGATATACCCCTGACTCTGGTTGTGAATAAGATGGATCGACTCATTATGGAGCTGAAGCTGCCGCCGAACGACGCCTATTTCAAGCTGAAGCATGTGATCGAAGAAGTCAACACGGTGATCGAGAGTGTTCTGTCAGATCAGGGCGAGAAGCGGCGCTTGAGCCCGGAGAAGGGCAATGTTGCCTTTGCGTCTAGCTCGATGAACTGGTGTTTCACTTTGCAGTCCTTCGCTCGGATGTATGCAGACACCTATCCACGGCTGGATTCGTCAGAGTTTGCTGCGCGACTGTGGGGGGATATCTTCTACAATCCACGGAGCCGCAAATTTACTCGCAAGGGAATGGAGGAAAACGCAAAACGGTCGTTTGTCAAGTTTGTCCTGGAGCCCATCTATAAGCTCTACTCCCATACGATCAGTGAGAGCCCCGAGGATCTCAAAGAGACCCTGGCAAGCGTTGGAGTCAGCCTAAAGCCGTCTCAGCTCAAGTCGGATGCAAAAGAGCTGCTCAACCTGGTTTGTGAGCAATTTTTCGGCCCTGCCACCGGGTTTGTGGATATGCTTGTTCAGCACGTCCCATCCCCGGTGGAGGGTGCCCAGCACAAATTGGATCGGTACTACACCGGCCCTCTGGACACAAAAATCGCGGCTTCCATGGCCTCCTGCGACCAGGATGGCCCCCTGGTGATCCATGTCACCAAACTTTTCAGCACAACCGACGCGGCCAGCTTCAATGCCTTTGGAAGGATCATGAGTGGTACGGCTCGACCGGGCCAGCAAGTCCGCGTTCTGGGCGAGGGATACACGCCCGAGGATGAAGAAGACATGGTCGTTGCCACCATTTCAGATACGTGGATTGCGGAGACAGCCTACAACATCTCCACGAATGGTGTTCCCGCCGGGAACTGGGTGCTGCTGGGTGGCGTGGACAATTCCATTGTGAAAACGGCGACTCTGATGCCTCTCAAGTTGGATGATGACGAAGAAGCATATATCTTCCGGCCTCTTCGGCACATGACTGAATCCGTCTTCAAAGTCGCCGTCGAGCCAGTCAACCCATCTGAATTGCCCAAGATGCTGGAAGGGTTGCGCAAAATCAATAAAAGCTACCCGCTCATCTCCACCAAGGTTGAAGAGTCTGGTGAGCATGTGGTCTTGGGAACTGGAGAGCTCTACATGGACTGCGTGATGCATGATCTGCGCAGATTGTATTCCGAGATGGAGATCAAAGTGTCCGACCCCGTCACTCGTTTCTGTGAAACCGTGGTCGAAACCTCTGCGATCATGTGCTATTCGATCACGCCGAACAAAAAGAATAAGATTACCATGATTGCGGAGCCCTTGGACGATGGCATCGCAGAGGGGATCGAAGGGGGCAAGGTCAGCATCAAGGACCCTATCCGCAAGGTGGCTCGGTACTTTGAGGAGAACTTTGATTGGGATAAGCTCGCCGCCCGGAGTATCTGGGCATTTGGCCCCGAGGAATTGGGCCCCAATATCCTCCAGGATGATACATTACCGTCACAAGTGGACAAGAAGCTTCTCGGCACCGTTCGTGACTCCATCACCCAGGGCTTCAGCTGGGGTACGCGAGAGGGTCCCTTGTGTGAAGAACGTAAGTATTTTACTCCCCCGAAATCCATTGATATTGACTGACTGACTCTCATTTAGCGATTCGGAACACCAAGTTCAAACTCACCGACGTGTCCCTTGCCGATCAAGCCATCTACCGTGGAGGAGGTCAGATTATTCCCACCGCCCGCCGGGCTGTGTATTCGTCATTCCTGATGGCATCTCCTCGTCTCATGGAACCGATCTATTCTTGTACGATGACGGGGCCCGCCGATGCCGTTGCTTCGGTCTACACGGTCCTGTCTCGGCGCAGAGGGCACGTCCTCTCGGACGGTCCGATTGCCGGTACGCCCTTGTACTCCGTTCGCGGCTTGATCCCGGTGATCGATTCATTCGGGTTTGAAACCGATCTACGGATCCATACCCAGGGTCAGGCCAAGCTCAGTCTCGCTTTTGATAAGTGGAGTGTGGTGCCCGGCGATCCACTAGACCGAGACGTCAAACTCAAGCCGCTGGAAATGGCACCAGCGATGGCCACTGCGCGAGACTTTGTCCTGAAGACGAGGCGCCGCAAAGGCCTGGCGGAGGATGTCACGGTCAGCAAATTCCTGGAGCCGGAGCTGTGGAAGGGTCTGAAGGAGAGTGGCGTTTTGGACTCATGATGATTAGAAAAAAGGGTTGGGTGGGAATCTGGAGTCATCTTATTAGGAGTTTTGCCCATGTACTCTATCTCTAATAGACACTACGCTGGTGGTTGATTTGGTGTCATAGCAAAATGGTCTCATTATCATCATGTCAGGTATTCCGCATAAACATCATGGTCTCGATGGACCGCGGGCCCAGTGTTAAAAGTACATAGATTGGCGGGGAATGGAATCACTTGCAGGTCTCCAACATCTTGGCAATCACCTTCATCAGCGCTCCATTCTCCAGCGCAGCAGCGACCCGTTCCTTATCCGCGAGCTGCTTGTTGACTTCATCTGCCGTACTATGGGTACCTTCTTTAATACGCACATCCAGACGGAAGCGAGGAGGCAGCGACTGCTCCAGGCGAACGCGTACCCCAAGGCCGATGACGGTGGCCAGACTGCAGTGGGTGATGGTGGGAGTGATAAGGACGGTGACGGTCTGCAGAGGCGAATCAGGGACGTTCGGGAGGGTCGGAGTAATTTTGATGTCGGGCAGCGAGACAACAGCCAGCTCTCCCAGCGAGACGGGGTGCTCAGGGTCCGAAACCGAGCCTACGAGATCTGCTGGCTTGTGAGTGACCGCCCACACTAGAGGAGCGAGGTCTTACCGTAAATCTCCTGTTCATCTATCGGCTCCTCAAGGAGATTGTCATCATCCGAGTCTTCTGACTCGTAGGGACTGGCGCAGAGGAAGTCAGCCGGGTTGGCAGGTGAGGGCAGAGCCGACGCAAAGATGCCGGTGCCGTAGCCGGGCTTGTGCGGGACCGCAGGGCGTAGACGGGTGGGCAGATCAGCCGCATTGAGGATGGTCGGATTGGAGTTCTGCATCTCAGCCATGGTGAATGGGTGTGGGAGAGGCAGTGCGAGAAGGAGATGGACGAAAGAGAGAGAGAGAGAGAGAGAGAGAGAGAGAAAGAAAGGTCGAGGGGCAGCGATAACGGGAGCAAGGATCTTATCTCCATCACGTGCCCTCAGCTAGACCAGCCTCGGCCAGTTGGTGTTTGAGAAGCCAACATAATAAGTTGGGGAAAAATAGGGGTTCATCACCATGATCATTCAGGGGCTGAGTCCCTCCTTTGACCTGGGCATTTTGCCTAAAGACTATGGCACCGTAGCGGTGTCCCCATGTCTATGTCAATAACCAGTGAAATCTCGACTCGGGGGGGTATGTCCCCTCCTAGGATGTCGAGGACATCCTTTCCTGTATGATATACATATATATTTAAATATGATTGCATCATCAGGTCCAACCTTCATATATGTAGTATAATAATCAGAGTGATCGGTATACAAACGATCTGCCGCTCTCCACCTTCGGTTCCACTTGGCAACCCGTCCGCCCCTCAATAATCCTCTCGCTCGCTCGCTCGCTCAGCTTCACCTCCTTCCTCAGCGGCACCACCACCATCTCCTACCCCTCCTGTTGTCTCTCCCCTTCGGTCCCAATTTTTCTTCTTCCGACTGTGTCGACACTATGACCATCTAATACCTCTCTCCTGTTCAGTCTGTTCGACAAGCTGCTCATGCTCTCAGCCTCTACGGATCCCGTTCGCCCATCCGCGCTCCCCCTGCCCAATTCGACGGCAATGCGCCCAGCCGTTTCATCGACTTGATTTATCCCCCGTGACCACTTCGCGACTCTACTCCCGACCATTCCGTCCGATTCCCGTGTCCCCCCACACGCCCCAGCTACTCTCCAGCAGGATCGCACTATCCATCGGGCGCTCTGTCGCGTTTGTGTGAACGGGTCTGTTTCGATGACCTGCTCCTGTTCGACGCTTTCTGGACACCCTATTCCTCTGATCCTTTTCCGATGTCTATTGGTTGCTACGACACTACACTTGTGCATATAATCCCTGCTTCCGTTTGCTGTCGACGTCATCTCTGCGAGCTGATACGACCTCTCTCCCCGATCTCAACGTGATTCAAAGGCGGGCCTTTGCACATATATCTTCTTGGATTTCTTTGATATCGTCTTGACTATTCCATGAAATTGGAATCCCCCTAAAAGTATCAATTGTACATCTTCGCCAACTCAAAACTTTGTCACCAGCGATGCAGGGTTACACTTTTACGCCTCCGTCGGGGCCTCCTCGAGAAGGCCAAAAAAGTCCGTCATACCCCAGAAAGCTGATTTGTTTACTTCGTGTCATTCCAAGTGGCCGCTGATCTGATTTCCGTATAGATTATGTGTTCGTGGACGAACATAACCGGCATAAGAGATTGAAAGGTACGCGAAAGAAACTCCGAATCCCATGTGTCAGATGCTGATGTGCGTGATACCCAGTGATGCGGGCATGTAATGGTTGCCGGAAACGAAAAATCAAATGCGACGCAGCCACAACGAATACATGGCCTTGTTCCGCATGCACTCGGCTGAAGCTCGTTTGTGTTCCTCCGGCTATCGGCCAAGATGGAGAGTTTCCGGAAACCCAGGTTGATGCAGCTTCAACAGACGCTGGAGGCAGCTCTGCTCCTTCCGAAGCTTCGCATCATTCTTTTCCGGTTCCTCCGACTTACAGGGACACTAGTCAAGCTGCAATGGGCACGATGCCTTCTTATGACTCAATGGGGATATATTCCCAATTTGTCCAGGCGCCTCAAGGCCAGCCCGGTATATACAGCTCTCCTCCGATGGCAATGCCACAGCAATCATACCGGCAACAACAGCCTTTCCCAGCACAACCACAGATGTATGTGGAGCCGGAACAATCAACAGCGGAGAACCTCAGCGAGGTCCTTGGCGAGTTGAAGATCGACGAATCTGGCATCGGTAGGTTTCCTCCTCTCGCCAACTTCAAAATGCTGTCAAACAGCCATGGGAAACGCCACTGACATTTCCTTCAAGCCCCATACATCAGAAGACAGAGGGCGGACCGTGTCGAGCCTGATGCCCCTGTTCAAGACGATACTGAGGACAGACTTCCGCCTCTGAGCACGGGGGCCGGCGCAACGATTCGTATTCCACCAGAGCTCATGCCTGCGGACGAAGATGTGATGGCTTATTTCAAGATATTCTTTGATGATATTCACCCCTACCTGCCAGTAATCCCCCGTTCCCATCTTTACTATCAATGGCAGAACGATCGGACTTCTATCTCCCCTCTCCTTCTTGAAGCACTGTTTGCGTGCGCGGGTCGACTGTCCGACGAGGCTTCAGAAGGTGCCCAGTGGCTCGCTTTGGCAAACAGTCAGTCGAAACCAATTTACATTCAATCCCGTCAAAACTACCTGTGCTAACTTTATTCTGGCAGGGCACGAGCCAAGTTTCATGGATGTTCCGCGGCTGAGTACCATACAAGCATTGCTTCTTCTGTTGAAGGCCAGAGAATCCCGCCCAAAGAAAGGATATTACTACAGATCCTGGCAGACCGTCAAGACCATTGTATCCATGGCCAAGGATTTGGATATCCACGAGCATTACAGTCTTCACGCGGAAGGCAAGCCTTGTGACCTCAGCCCGATTGAATGTTTGGTGTCCACACGGGTATGGCAGGCTCTGTTGGTCGTTGAAGTCATGATTGGAGCACCTCAAGGTAACTTTTAACCCTCTTGTTCTTTTTGACCCAAATGGTGGTCTAACTGAGTCCTTCAGGCCGATCGGATTTTGGCGTCGATCCAGAGACAGTGGACATGCGTCCGACGTTGGACATCCGAGGTCTCGATCAGTACGAGGTTGACCGCTCCCGACAGCACGCCTATTTTGTTCGTAATGCTCACCACATTCGCATCATCGCGGATGTCTATCACAAAGTAAAGAAACAGAAGGATTGGGAAGCCGACCCTCGCTTTGCACAAAAGAATCCGCTCTTCACCGACTGGCTTCGTAACTTACCCCCGGACTTGCAGGTCAATTACCCAGCTGATGGTTCGCCTCCGTGGCTTCCATCACACTTTGTGGGCAATATGCATTCGCACTGCCACCTTGGGATAATTCTCTTGCATCGCCCGCAGCTGCTTGCATCACAATCATTTACAGCTGGGGGTGGCTGGAAGGTTCACATGTCGCTATGTTATTCTTCTGCTCGAAGCCTGTGTCGACTCCAAGAGGCTATTCTCAAGCAGTTTGGTCTACCTGGTCTGCTGTATATGCAGAGAGGTATTAACTTTGCCATCTATTGCATTCTCACATGTACCATGCTACACCTGGTTTGTGTTCCTTGACACGGATTTCCCCCGTATGCGTCTGACATCTGCAGGTTGCCATCACTTCTCCCGATCCTCAGTTTAACTCTGACGCCCGGGAGTATTTCACTCGGCATATGCGAATCCTTGAGCGATGCTCGGCTGCCTGGCCGATGCCGGAAATCCAAGCTCAGATCGACTCCTTGAGGCTGGCCTTCTCCGCCGATACGAGTCGCCCGTTTGAGTTGAAACCGAGCTTTCCATATGGGAGTCCTTCGGAGCCATATCACCCCAGCCCGCCACTTGACGCGCATTATCATCCGCATCTCAGTCAAGTCCCAGCCAATGTCCAATCCAGAGTGGGTTTCAACATGCATCCATTAACTCCTCCAATTTCGGCTGGTACTGAAGACTCCAAGTCCGACACATCCTCCCAGTTGCAGTCCCTAGGAATGGTGCCCCACCAGCCCCCTACAACTCATCCACTGGATGCACCGTTGGTAGATGAAAATAGTTGGGACCCGACTCGAATCATCAAGTATGTGATCATCTGTAATCTTCTTCGGTGGGAAATCGTATCTTTGCTGACCCAGGATTTCATTTAGCCAATGGGACATGGCCTTCTCCGTCGCACCCTCCTCCGTTAGCACGAATTCGCCCCCAATGCCTATGAACAACGCGGCCCAGAGCGTACCCAATATGGTGCATGATCAGTACGTTCAATACGACTCGCCCACTAAAGTGACTTCTGTTGCACCACAGCAATCTATTTCTCCACAATTCCAACAACCTCCGATGATGATCACGGCCCGAGATTGGCAGCAAAGCGTTGCTAGCGTGTATGACCCTCAGGGCCTGAAGCGGCGATGGAACTACTCGGTTGATCTCGGTTCCCAAGATCATATGATGAAGCGGCATCGTGGATGAAATCTTCTACTGCCTGGATTCCTCTCTTCTGGACGGGCGCCTTTCGGCTGCCCTGTCTTTTGTCTTGGTATATTTATACCTCTTTCATTTGGCTCTCTGTTTCATAATCGGCGCCATGGAACATAAAGCAAGGTGTCATGGAATACAACTAGGGCACAGCGACAGTGGATGGGATGTGATGTTGAGGGCAATGCAGGCACCGCCGGCTACTTGACATGACCAATTTCACGAACTTTGCTGTGCATCACAACTCCCTCTCACCCTCTGCCTTCGGATTCACTGTTTCGGTGGGTTGCATGGAATCCAGACCGTAATTCAATGGCTCCAATAATTCTCTTTGTATCAAACAGTCGGTATCTGTCGTTTAGATCGTGAAAGAAGAGTCGCAGCTGCAGACCGCTTCGTGTATTTGTTTTCTTTGAGGCACTCGGTTTGTAGTTGGAGAATTCCGACTCGAGGGGACCCAAAGGAAGAGACAAGGATTGCAGCGCCAAGAAATAATGACCGAGGGCTGCTCCTAGCATCAAAAGAAGACTTCTTTTTCTTTGTGGCTAGATTCTCGACATATAGATAGATGTGAGGTATCATTTCCTGACATTCATGGCTGAAGCTGCTTAACCCACTCTGTCGCCGTAGACACAATCAACCACGCCGACCAATGCCGATTCTTTCCTCGCGGGATCGCACAATCCTCGCCTTGTCGCCTGGCAGAGGCTTTAGTTCGTCGCTTGGGTCAAAACCGACCGTCGAAGTACCCTTAGCATGCTCAGGCTGCTTGTTTTCTTCGGCCAGCTTGCGAAGTCGCGCTTCCTCAAATGCAGCGACGTCTTCAGACGTGACTGCGATGGCTGTAGGTTTTCGTCGAAGCATATTATTTGATGACCGAGGATGGTTGTAGGAGTCGGTGTGTGTTTGTTTCTGCCAGCAAGAGGAGCGGACGAGCACGTGACCATGCACAGTCTTCTTTCCGTCTCCCCGGCCTTGTTCGTTCTTCATCTCCATCCCTTGGCACACCATGTTCCGCCCACAGCTTCGGCAGGCGCTGTATTATGATCGCGCCCGGACCGCAGTTTTCACTCCTGCCCGTCAACTTTCAGTTACCCGTCCACTGGCTGCAGACAAGAGCCAGTCTCCAGGTATGTCCGGCCACAAGAGACAGCCATGCTCAATTGAACACCCGGAACTTGAGAGCAAAGTCTCAAGCCGTCAATTATTCGTTTATTGTACTAATATCGCCCCCAAACAGCCCAATCCTCCGGGCAAAATCGACGCGGTCCTTCTTCTTCATCGGCCGGCCCTCAGAAGAATGCGCGAGGAATCGATGCACGATCATTCGCGGCACCACGGGCTGGTGGAGAGCCCGCGAAGATTCTTCAAACCGCACGACTGCGTCGGGGCCCTGCAGCCCGCAAGACTGGCAAACCGCCAGCAAAAGGAGGTGTGAAAGGAAAGAAACAGCAACGGGCCCGAGGTCCACGGAGATCTGAAGCGGATGAGGGCGATGATTTTGGAGCATCTGATATCGACAAAATCGAACAGGAGCAAGTGCTCCAGTCTCGACCGCGTCCCACGCGCTACGAACCCCAGGATATCGACTTCTCCACGCTCAAGGAGACCTGGCCCTCTCTCCCAACAGACGCAAATTCACGGTCAGCGGCCGTTTTCGAAAAGTTGTCCAGTTTGAGTGGCCGCTTTGCGAATGGATACGTCCCGCCATATGAATTGGGAAGACGGCTGTGGAAGGGCCAGAGCGTGCTCTTCTTCAGCGAAGAGGAAAAGGCAGAGGCTCTGCAAGAGACTAAGCGGTTGGCCCAGCTGCGTGCCGACAAGTTGACACAGAAGAAGGGTGAGGATGTGGAGCCCAAGGAGATCGATTTCGCACCCATCGACGCGAAAACCACGAACGGCTTGATGGAGACACTCGCGCAAGGGAAATACCCTACATTGGACGCAGACAAGGACCAATTACCCGCAATCAGCAACGTGATGAGGAACTTGCGCAGCAATGGGACCTACCAGTCGGCAGGCAAGCAGCCCCAATTTGTGGCCAAGGTCGAGTCGCTGCTCGCGGGGCCCAAGGTCAAGCGCACCTAGCCATCTGCTGCTTCCAGAGGGAAACTAACTGTACGATATCACTTCTCCTGCCCATATCGGGGCCTCTGGTGTACCTAGATTTACATATGGAATTTATTTCTTTATATTACAAAAGTCTTCACGGGGACAGCTCATGCTTGTTCCAATGCGCGCTTGGCCGCCTCGAATAGATCCTTAACGTCTTTCTGGCCCTTATCGGAAGCCTTTTCCATCTGGTCATGAGCTTTGCGCACATCGTCCGGCCTTGCCACCTTCTTCTTCTGCATATCTTGCAGACGCTTGTGCATCGCTCCGCGCGAGTCGCGGACTGCACTGGCGGCTTTCTCAAATGCCTGCTTAGCAGCTAGAACACTCTGATCCCGGGACTCCTTCGTGGGCGGGGGAATGGCGATGTTGAGCTGGAGGGCATTGTGCGGATCGGGCTGCGGCGTTAGGGAAAGGGTTGAGGAGACAATTGCCGATGTGATGGGTTTGATGTGCTGCCAAAGGAGGTCAGGTAGTCAGTCAACAGCGGACAGATTGAATTGAAACGAAATAAAATGCTCACATCCTCATCGGCCGCCAGGACGGTGACCGTCCGCCCACCCTTGGGCACGACCTGGGCCAGGTCCCCCAGCCTGACGGAGTCATTACGTTCTTTGCTCAGATGAACCCTCAGTCCCTCCAGGGTCGTAGTGTTGAAGCGGCCTCCAGCACGAAGCTTAGACAGATCATCTTTCAGGCGCGCGGCCGCGGCCGCAATGCCGGTGTGCAATTGTGAGAGATCAAATGGGTCATCAGATGGCGAGTCATTGCTAGTAGATTCCGGCTCAGGCGGAGCGCTTCTCTTGGGCTTGTCCTTTTTCTTGTAGAGGGCCGGCGAGTGGGTGAAGCTACGGCTGTGTTGGGGCAAAGTCGGCCGGTGCGGGAGGTATTCTGGGACAGCAATTGGCCGAGCACGAATTGCTACACGTAGCCAGAGCGCGCGGGAGGACTGGGCCACGATGCGGTGCATGGTGGATGGGGTAGTTGAAGGTGTTTTGCTTGGGGCAGGTGGTGAAGCGCAGACGGACGGTCGCCGCCCGCCGATCCAGACCAGTCACTCACTTATATAATACAATATTACGAGGAGGCATTCATTCATCACGAAGTCATTAAATTGCAAAAATAAAAGGCGTCATCTACAGGAAATCCATACTTTTAAAACTGCGCCCAAGGTGTCCGGCTTCGTTAAAACACACAATGAACTGGGGAAATCAAAAGGCCGGAAGTCTATAAATCATGCCATTTACCGAGTAGCCATGGCCTTGGTGATCAGGCGCTTGAGGGCCAGCTCCTTCTTCTTCAAGTCTTCGGGGGTGGAGTCCTCAATCTCCAGTTGGGCCATGGCGTCACTGAGAGCGGACTCGATCTTCTCCTTGTTGCCGCGCTTGATCTTCAGGGACATGGTCGGGTCGGAGACAATCTCCTCGACACGCGAGATGTACGACTCGAGCTGTTGGCGGGACTCGAACTTCTTGGTGAAGGCCTCGTCGCTGGTCTTGAACTTGGCGGCGTCCTCAACCATTTGATCAATCTCGGTGCTGGACAGCTTGCCAACAGCGTTGGAGATGGTGATGTTGGCGCTGCGGCCGGAGGACTTCTCGGTGGCGGTAACCTTCAGGATACCGTTGACGTCGACCTCGAAAACACACTCCAGAGCGGCCTCACCAGCCCGCATCGGGGGGATGGGAGCCAGGGTGAACTCACCCAGGGAGGTGTTATCGGCACAGTTGGTGCGCTCACCCTGGTAGACGGGGAACTGCACGGTGGTCTGGTTGTCAACCACGGTGGTGAAAGTCCGCTTCTTGATGGTGGGGACGGTCTGGCCACGGGTAACGACGGGGGCGAAGATGTTGCCCTCCATGGCAACACCCAGAGAGAGGGGAACAACATCCAGAAGCAGCAGGTCCTGGGTCTCAGCAGAAGTAGCCTTGCCCGAAAGGATGCCGGCCTGGACGGCAGCACCGTAGGCAACGGCCTCGTCGGGGTTGATGCTCTATAGATATAGATTAACACGGGGTTTACTCGAGAAACTTCTTTTGGATCTTACCTTCTCAAGCTTCTTGCCATCGAAGAAGTCGCTCAGGAGCTTCTGGATACGGGGGATACGGGTAGAACCACCAACAAGGACAATCTCGTCAACCTTGCTCTTCTCCAGGCCAGAGTCCTTCAGAACCTGCTGGACGGGCTCCAGGGTGCCGCTGAAGCTCTTGGCGTTCAGGTCCTCGAAACGGGCACGGGTGACCGACGAGTTGAAGTCCTCACCGTCGAACAGGGAGTCGATCTCCACGGTGGTCTGGGTAGCGTTGGACAGGGTACGCTTAGCACGCTCGCAAGCGGTACGCAGACGACGGAGGGCACGGGCATCACCGGACAGATCCTTGCCGGTCTTGCGCTGGAACTCCTTCTTGAAGAAGTCGAGCAGGTTGGTGTCGAAGTCCTGACCACCCAGGTGGGTGTCACCAGCGGTGGCCTTGACAGTGAAGACGCCACCCTGGATGTTCAGCAGAGACACATCGAAGGTACCACCACCCAGATCGTAGATCAGGACATTGCGCTCCTTCTCAGACTTACCAGAGCCAAGACCGTAGGCAATGGCAGCGGCGGTAGGCTCGTTGATGATACGGAGAACGTTGAGACCGGCGATGGCGCCGGCATCCTTGGTAGCCTGACGTTGGTTGTCGTTGAAGTAGGCGGGCACGGTGACGACGGCCTTCTCGACCTTCTTGCCGAGCTTGATCTCGGCAACTTCCTTCATCTGTTCGACCGGGTTAGACCAGTATTCGCCAATGCGAATCAAGATATCAGCCTACCTTCATGAGGACCATGGAAGAGATCTCCTGGGGAGTGAAGGTCTTCTCCTCACCGAGGTACTCAACCTGGACGGCAGGGCTGCCACCCTGATCGACGACCTTGAAGGGCCAGGACTCGACATCCTTCTTCACGATGGGGTCATCAAACCGCCGACCGATCAGACGCCTTTACCACACTAGTCAGAACCATATATTACCGCAGTGCGATGGGGTTGTCACGACTCACTTGATGTCGAAGATGGTGTTCGCCGGGTTCATGGCGGCCTGGTTCTTGGCGGCCTCACCGATCAAACGCTCCTTGTCGGTGAACGAGACGAAGGAGGGGGTAGTGTAGCTACCCTGGTCGTTGGCAACTGCACGAGGCCGTGGGTCAGCGGGCGGAGTTCATTTGTCATTTTTTTCGAATCGACAACATACTGATCTCGACATTGGTGCCCTCGTAGTTGGCAACACACGAGTAGGTAGTACCTGAATGAACCGAGTCAGTAAATAATCGAGAACACACACAATTGAACCGGAACACGAACCCAGGTCGATGCCGACCGCGCCGTCATAAACTTCGTCAGACATTCTCAAGGATAAAGAAAAATGGGGGGGAAATAATCAGAGAGGGAAGGGATGAGAGAGGAAGAAGAGAAGAGGAAAAGAGAGGGGCAGTCCAAGCGAAATTTTTTTTTATGAAGAGAGTCGCCCACACTCGCTTTGATTGGACCATGAAAATTTTTCGGGAGGCGGAGATCACGTGAGTGGGTCTGGAAGGCGGTGAACGGATGATTATTCTCTATAGTTCTCTACTTGCAGTGCCTATGGACCTCAGTTACTTCTACTTCAGCTTCGTCCATTTGCCATCCGAGGCCTGGCCTGTCGCCTCCTCATGCCATTCCTGCTCTTCCAGTAGCTCCCATTCCGCACTCGCCATCTCCCCAAGTAGGACCGCCTTCAACTTGTCCACGATCTTCGTCGGGCTCGGCAGTTTCCAGGTCCGCATAAACTCAGTTCCCTCCGCGGCCCCGAGGAAGGAATGTGCTGTGCCGTGAGAATAGTGTCCCAGCATGGGAAATGACTTGGTCCGCTGGATCGTCGTCTTGGGTGAATCTTTGCCGCCTGTCATCTGGGTCTGAGTGTCCCGACCCGCAAAGGCTCTCATGAGAGTTGACGCCGGCGTGGGCGGGGCGACCAGGAGCTGCCACATATTCTTCCCAATGTCACACACGTCTTCCCATGACTCCGAGGCCAGGTTGATGCCTTGAGTCCGACAAAGCCAAGCGACATTCCAAGCGAGCAGCGTGGCCCCTTCGAGAAAGAGAGCATATGTTCCCGGGTCCTCCTTGACGAGCTTGGTCAGCGGTTTTTCAATTGTCAGAGGCCTGGGGCGTGGCAAGTGGATGCGTGACTCGGCGGTTTTCGATGCCGTCGGACTGGATGAGGAGGATCGAGAAGCCTTGTCCGGGGTCTCGCGCGCGCGATACGACCCAGCCGGTGCGTAGATAGTAGCTGTCGGGTAGTTTCGGTGTGGGAGAGTCACTTCGGCGGGAAGTCGTAATGACAAGTAATGTGAGACCAGGACAAGCAGGTGGGCGATATTGGAGAGAGACGTCGAGATCTGGGCTGGCGTAGCACCTGCATACCTCTTGTTAATACACCTCCCCACAGAACATGACCGTAAACTTAAAACTTACCATTCATGTCTCTCAAGTCTTTGATCACGATTCCACCAATTGCATAGCCTCCTGGAACTTGTCCTTTCCTCGAGACTTTCTGTCGTAAACCGTATAGATTCGCCGCTTCCCGACAAAGGAAGATGCGTGCCTCCGCCGTCTTGCTGTGCAGGGAGTGCCATAGGTGCTCCGTCCTCTTCGTTGTGTTCTGGACGCCTGTCAGAATCCCCGTTTCTCGCTCCGAAAGCTGATACTTGGCGGATTCCGCGTCAGAATGTCTGCGTGATAGGCGTGCCTTGCAGCCGGAGACGTGGGCCTGTTTGTCCCTGATCTCTGATCTCAAGTCATCGATCTGACGAGAAACGACCTCTCTTCTCGATGACAACTCGGCTTGCCGAGTAGTGATCGCTTGGATGGTCCAGCGTCGCGACGAGTCAGGAATGGACTCCACAGATCTCTTTTGATGATTTCCATCGGTCACTACTGATTCGATCTGCTGCCCCAAAAATTCTCGCTCCAGGAGAATCTGGGTGCTGTCGATGCGAAGCTGATAGAGCTGGTTGCGGGCACATGTTGGACAGTAAAAGGGCAGGCGAGCATGAGGAGTGCGGGAACATGCGTGGCAACTCATCGCTGAGTGTGGGTGTTCGATGTCGGTCGCATTTCCATGCTGGCCGGGGGAAGAACCATAGAGGTGGTCATCGGGAGAGTGTCATGCCGCATGATGATGAAGTCGCATGGTCAAGTGTGAGCGGATCACCTGACAAGGGTAGTTACCTAATCCAAACATTGATCGGTTTCGACCCTCCCTTCAACTTCACCATGGATAAGGACGAGCATCTGGTTCACGGCTTGGAAGCTTGCGACTGGGAACAGCTGCAACACCGCTATACCGACGCGATGGATGAGTATGGCCGAATGGAAGAGAATCTGCGTGCCGAAGCTGCAACACTGCTCGAGGTAGAATCGTCAATCACCACACAGAGCTTCAAAATCCTGACCGATCTGTAGATCTTTACGGCGTGGTCTCAGACTACAGTGCTGCAAGATGAAAACAGAGCTTTCAAAAGGTTCGACTATCTCCATTTTCCCTTTTTGGAGACGAATCTGACCTCTGGTAGGTTCAAGACTCAGATGCAGCATGTGCAGCACTCGGAAGTCAACGTGGAGCACAAGAAACAACACTGTACGTGAACAGTCCTTATTTTTTTGATATCAGACCCTGACCTGGAGGCCAAGACATGGAGGTTGTGAAAGCCTTTGAAAGTGCACTGAAATTGCTCAACGAGCAGCTCAAGGGATGAATGCCCTGCTAAGGGTGACGCGATATCTTTCGACTTGATTGATCATGGTGTCTGCTTTACCTCGGTTCATGGATACGAAGTTATGAAATGAAAGCAATGTACTTTTAGTATTAAAATCACTGGTTGATCGCATAATCAAGAGATAACTGTCAGTGAAGGACTTATACAAGCACGGGTGGGGTCTACTTTAAGAGAGGGATGTTCCAACTGAACAGAATATGAAGATTTAAACACCAATATAAACGAAAAATTGATTGTTAATTGAAATATCCATCAAATTCAACTCGCCCGGCCACTGATGTCTTGCCAAGTAGCATTGAAGCGTCTGCCAGTGCTGGCCAACAGTCCTTCCTCTTCTGCCTCCTCGGCGTCTTCATCGAGCTGTCTCTCGTCCAGTTTCGGCGAGCGAACCAGCGAGGTGACAAAGACAATTAGATACAGCCCTACAGCAGTCATGTTAGATGTTGAAAGGATAAAAAAGAAGGAGAAAGTCCTTACCCAAGAAGAAAAATTGCCCCCAGAAGAAGACAACCCCAAAGAAAGGGTAATTCAAAGTAACGCGATTGAGGAATGTGCTGACAACACTCGGCGTGCACACTCGCTGCGCGGCAGAGTTATTTGCTGCCAGTTCCGAACATGGTTTGATAAGCTCCATAGCATCTGAGCAATCGGGTTGTTCCAGAGGAGAACGAGGAGTGCGATCACAGAATGTCTGTGGGCCAAATGTTGCGTACTGGGGGGCAACCACCATAGAAATGGAGTAATTCAGAGCCAATATGATCAGCATTACCAGGGCAGTCGCCAAAAGGAGGGCCTGGGGAGAGGTATGGCCTTTCCGAATTTGAAAGATCCGAATCCACAAGAAGCGAATTCCCACAGCAGCAATTCCAACAACGGAGCTGCAAAATAGTAGCAGAACGAGAATGGTAAAAATGACATAGTCGATGGGGAATACCTTGGCCGATTGAACAAGGGCCCAGTTAACCGGATTGAAAATATTGACGTGACCAAGAATATACCCACATCGGTGCTTGCAGACGGAGTTTTTGGCCTTGTCGATTGCCGTCAGAAGCATCGAGACCCATATGATGAGTGCAATCAAAAGCATGAGAATGCCAAACAGGAGCTTGAAGGGGCGGAAAATTGCCCCAATCTTGTACCATGCCTTTATCAACCAACTGCGACCCTCGCCCTGGGCCTCTTCAACCAGACGCTGTCGCCGAATGAGAGTCCGCTCTTCCCTTATCAAAGTATCGAGCTCCCGACGGTCCTTAGATGATAGATGGTCCGGATTCCCCCCACAACGGCCTTCTAGTTGTCGCTGCCGCTCACGATTTGTCTCAAGCAGCACTTCCGTGTTGGCTTGTAGGCTTGGACTGGAGATAGATGGTGCAGACTTGATCAAACTGATAGGGAGAAGAGCCAGACCCGAAGAAGTATACAGGACGTAGAGACAGAGCCCAATGGTCATCAAGAGCCCAAGCGCAAAAGTCAGCGCACGCTCGCCGTCTGAAACTTTGTTAGATTTGCGGACCGCTGCAGAGCCTCTAGGATTGGCACTCACGATTTTCCGTCAGCAACTTCTTGAAATAATCCAAGTCCATGCCACTTTTATTCTTTGACGACACGGGCACGAAGAATCCGACGACGAAAAGGATGATTACGATCGCAACAAAGGATATGGTGTACTTAAGGGCACCCCAAAGACGCTGCCCGATCGTTTGCTCTCCCGTTTCATTGGAAACCTCGTCATATTCCTCATACCAGAAATAAGTAAAGGGAATGACCAGGAGACAGAGGAGGGCATCCAGCGAATAGAGGACGTAGTAGACGATGGTCAGGGAATAAGTGATCTTATCGACCTCATCCTGGGTGGCCCAGTCCTTGCGCCGGCCCAGTTTGGAAGACGTGGTCGAGGAAACAAGAGCGACATCCACAGGTAACAACAGCGCCGTCGCAAGAAGACAGGTAATGGAGACAATGCATGTCAGCGTTACTGATGGCGAGCGGTCTCGAGGGGTCTGGTAGATATAGATAAATACCGAGGCCACTGCAAGCAGAAGGATGATCACCACTGCATACACAACCCCGATCAGGGACGTCTGGAGCAGCGCCATCTTGAGTAGATGCCGTCAGTCGCTAGCTTTGTAGTTCATATAGACAGACTGATGCTATTCACAGCAGCAGGAGTTGGTTGATTGAAGAAGGATGGTTGTGATCTAGTGCAAGTTCTTGATTTCCAGGTTGTCGTCATTTGTTACTTCGAGATGCCGCTAGCCCATAGCGGGGATAGCGTGTCCCGTGACGATAAGGAGTCACCTGATGTTATCAATCAACTCCGTCGCGTTTCTGCTTGTCCTTGTTGGGTCCCTCAATTCAATTGCAATGATCCTCATCCAACGAGGACTTGAGGCCGTTCAAAAAGTCTGAAGCCGATCTGCGCATCGACGCGGCTGGGTTCTCCAGATGCAGTGCTATACGGAGCTGTTACCCCCAACCGGGGTCACCCATGCCGTGGCTGTTCCTTTTCTCTCGGCAACCGCCCGGAATCTGATTGTCGTTAGAACATCTCTTTTACAAATATTCACTCTGGTCAATGTGTCTCATCAACCGACATCTGAAAGTGTCGACAATGCCAGCCAAGAGACAACGACGAAATTAGTTCTCGAGAAGGAGTACCCTCTCCCAGGAACGGTGACAGATTTGAGCCGGGTCAAGGTCTTGAACTCCAAAAGTGGTGGTGAGGCTATTTTGCTTGCAGTTCGAAATGCCAAACTTAGCTTGATCGAGTGGAACCCCGAGCGGCATAACATTTCTACGATCTCCATCCACTACTATGAACGAGAAGACTTGACCCGCAGCCCCTGGGTCCCCGACCTGAGCCAATGTGGCAGTATCCTCAGCGTGGATCCAAGCAGTAGGTGTGCGGTCTACAATTTTGGGATTCACAACCTTGCCATTCTGCCTTTCCACCAGGCCGGAGATGACCTGGTGATGGACGATTATGGATCGGAGCTCGACGGCGAACGCCCTGGCCGCAAGGATGAAGCGGAAGCCGACAAAAGCAAAGACACAGCAGCACACCAGACTCCTTACGCATCGTCCTTTGTTCTGCCATTGGCGGCCTTGGATCCGTCTTTACTGCATCCCATAAGTCTCGCATTTCTATACGAATATAGGGAGCCGACATTCGGCATATTGTATTCACAAGTTGCAACCTCCAATGCCCTTATCCACGAGAGAAAAGACGTGGTTTTCTACACTGTTTTCACGCTAGATCTGGAGCAGCGGGCGTCCACGACTCTACTTTCGGTTTCAAGATTGCCGAGCGACTTGTTCAAGGTGGTTGCCCTCCCGCCCCCCGTGGGTGGTGCTCTGCTCATTGGTTCGAATGAGATTGTGCATGTTGACCAAGGCGGCAAGACCAACGCTGTGGGTGTCAACGAGTTTTCCAGACAGGTCTCATCATTCTCGATGACAGATCAGTCAAATCTGGCCTTCCGACTGGAGGGCTGTGTGGTCGAGCGCCTCGGCGGCGATAGTGGTGACCTGTTGCTGGCACTTTCATCGGGGGAGATGGCACTGATCAAGTTCAAGCTCGATGGACGCTCAGTGTCCGGCCTCACAGTTCACACTTTACCTGCACATACAGGTGGAGATCTTTTGAAGTCAGCTGCATCATGCTCAGCTTGCATCGGTGATGGTAACGTCTTCATCGGTAGCGAGGACGCAGATTCCGTGCTTTTGGAGTGGATCTCTGCAAAAAAGCTTCGGGCCGAGTCAAAGCAAACAGCCAACGGCCATGAGGATTCTGCAGAAGATGACCAAATGGATGACGATGTGTACGAAGATGATCTGTATTCTACTGCCCCTCAGATGACAGAACTCGACCGACGTACATCGTCCGCGAACTCGACTCCTGACTTCTATCATTTCCGATTTCAGGATCGGCTTTCCAGCATCGGCCCTTTGAGAGACATCACTCTAGGCAAAGCTTTACCAACCGCGAAGAGCATGCATTCCACACACATTGACGGTGTTTCCGCCGAGTTGGAATTGGTGGCAGCCCATGGTTCAGACAAAGGGAGTGGTCTTGTGGTTATGAAGCGAGAGATTGACCCTTCTACAACCATGTCTATGCAAATTGATGGCGCTGATTGTGTCTGGTCGGCCACCGTGACCAATGTCAAAGGAGTTTCGTCCAATCCCAATCAAGTGGAAAGCAGTGCCTCCCGTCAATATGTGATTATTACGCGGCCCACAGATGAAGAAAAGGAATCATCTGAAGTTCGTGTGGTAGAGGGGCAAGAACTGAAGCCTTTTACAGCCCCCGATTTCAACCCGAATGAAGATCAAACGGTCGATATCGGATCGTTGGCAGATGGTACCCGAGTTATTCAAGTCTTGCAGAATGAGGTTAGAAGTTACGACATGGGTAAGTTTCCTACCGAAAGTATAAGTGAGAATGGGAAGGCTAACAGACCACGTAGATTTGGGTTTGGCACAAATCTATCCCGTGTGGGATGATGAAGAAACTAGCGAGGAACGCGTGGCTGTGAGCGCAAGCTTCGCTGATCCCTATGTTGTGATCGTTCGGGACGATGCAAGTCTCTTGCTCTTGCAAGTGGATGAAAGTGGTGACCTTGATGAAGTGTCACTTCCTAATGAGATCACTTCATTAACATGGCGCTCTGCCTGTCTGTATCATGACAAAACTAGAGCCTTCGCGATCACCGAGCCGAGCTCCCATAACGATACCCTGATGTTTTCACTGGACGTTGAATATAAGCTCTCGGTAAGCTGACCAGTTATGACCATCTAATTGAAGTTTCTAACCAGGCCTTGCAGATATTCCGACTGTCTGATTTGAAGCTGGTATCGGCTGTCGAAGGCATTGATTGTCTGCAACCAGTACTTTCAGCTGAACCACCCAGACGGTCCAATACACGGGAAACTTTGACCGAAGCGATTATTGCCAATCTTGGTGACCAGTCTTGCTCCTTCCCTTACTTGATCGTATGATCGTCCCCATTTCGTTGCATATCCCTTAGATGCTGATTGAGTCATCTTTTAGCTGCGGACCGACGGCGATGATATTTTTGTTTACAAGCCAGTGTTAACACCGCCTGATCTTGATGATGGGGGTTTGAAGAGTCTGCGATTCTACCGGGAAGCCAACCATACCCTGCCGAGGACGCCTTCACAAGCGACTTCTGCTCAACAAGACGAGAATCAGCAGCGATTTAGGCCTCTCCGAATCTTGCCTGACGTGTCGGGGCTAAGTGCGGTTTTCATGCCTGGAGAATCGGCGGGATTCATCATCAGAACGCCGGCGAGCTCACCACACATTATGCGCCTCCGAGGTGGATTTGTTCGATGGCTGAGTAGCTTTGATTCGTCAGTCATGGGCTGCGAGAAAGGTTTCATCTATGTGGATTCCAAGGTAAATTATTTTCTCATCGATTTGGATCCTTCAAACTAATGGCCACTCTAGGAATGCGTCCGCGCCTGCCAATTACCCCCAGAAACCCTGTTCGACTATTCGTGGACGTTGCGCAAAGTTCCCCTGGACGAACAGGTTGATTTCTTGGCCTATTCGTCATCCTCCGAGACCTATGTTCTCGCAACAAGTCAGCAGGTTGATTGGAAACTGCCAGATGACGATGAGCTGCACCCTGAATGGCGCAATGAATGTGTGTTGCTCTTTATATGCGTTTGAAAGGATATTATCGTGTGCTAATGCAAGTCTCCAGTGAATTCATTTTCCCCAAAAGTCACCCAGAGCTCCATACAGGTCATCAGTCCTAAAACGTGGACAGTGATCGATAGGTAAAGCCTTCTGTGATGTTTATGGCCGGGATATTTCTCTAATCTTCGTTGTCCCTTAGCTATCCTTTGGATGCCGCTGAACAAGTAACTGCCGTTAAAAACGTCAGTTTGGAGCTTTCGGAGTCTGGCAATGATCGCAGAGATATGATCGTCGTCGGCACTGCCATTACCAAGGGTGAAGATATACCAGCTCGTGGTTGTATCTATGTTTTTAGCGTGGCCAATGTGGTCCCGGACCCCGAAAAGCCCGAATCAGGCCGCAAACTCAAGTTGATCGGAAAGGAGCCCGTGAAGGGCGCGGTTACGGCGCTGTCGGGCATCGGCGGCCAAGGCTTCGTGATCGTAGCTCAAGGCCAGAAGTGTTTGGTTCGTGGATTGAAGGAGGACGGCAGTCTGCTTCCGGTGGCATTCATGGACATGCAATGCTACGTCAACGTCGCGAAAGAACTAAAGGGCACAGGGATGTGCATCCTAGGAGACGCAGTGAAGGGACTTTGGTTTGTCGGATACTCGGTAAGCTTGTTCCCACTTCCTTTATTCGATCAATCCCAACGAAGGATCTAACACCCCGCTCAGGAGGAGCCTTACAAGATGACACTCTTCGGCAAGGACCCCGAATACCTGGAGGTGGTAGCCGCGGATTTCCTTCCCGATGGAAACAAGCTTTACATTCTGATCGCCGATACCGACTGCAACCTACACGTTCTACAATACGATCCAGAAGGTACGTTATGGATAAATAAAAGCTTCGCTAGCTCGGTTTTTGGCATTAGCTCACTGATCTTTTCCCTTTCAGATCCAAAGTCCTCCAATGGCGATCGACTGCTCAGCCGAAGTAAATTCTACACGGGCAACTTTGCATCCACTGTGACCCTGCTACCGCGTACTGCCGTTTCATCCGAGCTCATCGCCCCCAGCGAGGACGAAATGGACTTGGATCAGAGCCTCTCCAAACACCAAGTGCTCGTCACGGCGCAGAATGGATCCCTGGCGCTGGTGACCACTGTCGCGGAAGAGTCGTACCGCCGACTGTCAGCCCTGCAGTCACAACTAACCAACACGTTGGAACATCCTGGTGGGTTGAACCCACGCGCATTCCGTGCCGTGGAGAGTGATGGCACCGCGGGACGAGGGATGGTCGATGGCAACCTGCTACGCCAGTGGTTGGACCTGAGCCGGCAACGCCAGGCCGAGATCGCCGGCCGCGTTGGTGCGACGGAGTGGGAAATTCGAGCTGATTTGGAAAGCATCGGTGGGGATGGACTTGGCTATTTGTGATCCCTTTAATGAAGGGGCGTATTATTAACAATCAAGTCATCCATCTATTTCACCCAATTTCGCAGGCTCAGATCCGATCGTAGTTAGATCTTCCTTTGTTGCCCTTTCTACATATTTAATTGAACTAGACACAATTGGACAGATCAATGATTTTTCGTATATTGCCAAAGAGATGCTGCGGATTGGTCACCGTCGGAAGACGAGAGAATCGGCATCACGATCACTGCGAGTAAATAGCGGCGTGACATCATAACACGATGGGATATAACAGGAAGAGACAAGAAAACACCAAGGCGAAACCGTAAATCCAAGGTTCCCCCACCTCCAGGGCCTATAAGCCAAATCCCAGCGGCCCAAGTCCCAAAATAAGACAAAAAAACACACACAAAACTCCATTACACGCCCTTTTTCGCCGGGTACCCAAAAAAAAAAAAGAAGAGAGACCCCCCAAAACCCCCCAAGTGGTATGCCGTATCCATATCCGTATCCGTAACAGTTCCAAATAAGCAAAAGCACATGCAGCATGGCAGCATTGAATAAATCATGTTTTTGGTTTCAAGGGGGAAAAAGAATGGACGAGTGGTCTAGCAGAGCGAATGATAAACCAGACGAGGAGCAGACCTCGATTTGCAAAATGCAGATGCAACCGCAAGAGATATAATGAAACGAAACGCCGCCACTGTCCTTTGGTGCGCCAGGCTGATCATCAATGAACAAGAATCAGAAGACATCTTCTGCGGCAAAGTAGCGCTTATTCCGCCCACGGGTGGCGGCGAATTTCACCTCGGGCATGTTGGTGTGGTGGACGACATGCGGCCGGTAGACTGCATCGACGGGTGCCTGCCAGTCATCCAGTCCGAGAGGGAAGTACTCATACAGCAGATCGGTGCTCTCATTCGGGAAGGGCAGCGAAGATGCAAACTGGTGCGGCAGATTAGCCGTCTCCAGTAAAGGCAAGGATGACACGGTGCTGCGTGCCGGGCCATGGGAATGAGACATCTTGCGCATCTTGGCCGGCGGAATGGACGAGTCGAGGTTGATGGCCCGCTGCGGAGGCATCTGTTGAGGGGAAATCTGCTGGGGAGAAATTTGCTGGGGAGAGATCTGCTGAGGAGAGATCTGCTGCGGGGGGATCTCGCTAGTATTGTAAGAAGTCACCATTGTGGAGTCTAGTTGAAGATTGGGATCCCCGCCCTCTTCCTCATCCAGCAGGGACAAGTTGATAGGTGCTGCAGCACCAACGGACACAGCGCTCACACGGCGTTGGTGCTCAGCTGCCTGAGAAAGTTGTTCTGGACTGGACTGAGGAAAGTAGGATTGATGAGCCTGAGGGATGACATTGCTCGATGCGGACTGCGGGATCGACGTCCAGTCTGGCGTCATCTGTGGTTGCTGAAGGATGCTAGGTGGGGGGGACGGACGTTGTCTCTGGGGAGCTACTCTGCACAGCACCTGATGAGGCCTTGGCCTTGGCAGGGGTGATGCTGGCGCGGCGTGGGACGGACTCGCTAGTTGGTGTGCGGTTGAGTGTTGGCGCGTTGTTTGCTTGATTCTTGCGAGAGGCGGCAGCACTACCACTCAATGGCAGGTCCTTGCGGGACTGGAAGTTCCGTGGGCTGCGGCCACGAACGATGACCGGCCCCGACTGCACCTCCGAGATGGAGATCTTGGCGCCGGTCGACAACGTGGCGACCACCTTGAGCCGAACCACAAAATGTTGTTGTAATTCCTTCCGACGTCCATTGTTGGCGGTAGCCACGCGGAACTGCAGACGCTTCCAGGCGATGGGGAAGGTCGCGTAATCGGTGTCCAGGTCCTGTCCGGCCATGATGTCCAGCGGAATTGGTGGCGGTTCCTTCTCCACCTTGGCACCCGTGCTGGGGTTGCTCTCTTCGACCGCTGTGCCAGAGTTGGCAGCGGCTGCCGACGGAGTTTTCCATGGCACAGAGATGATCTTCACCGGGTTCCCCTCGACAGACTCGGTGGCCGAGACGGTGAGCTCCTGGGCGAGAATTGGAATGCGGTCGCCTTGATCGGTCATGATATAGCGCATCCCTCGCGGCAGGGTGACGGATCCGGTAATTTGGAACAGATTGCGACGATAGCAGGTCAGTTCGGCGCCTTGCTGAGGCGGCGCGTGCTCGGAAGGCGAGGTTGTATAAGGCGACTCGGCCAGGAAGAACATCCCGTGTAGCTGCGCCGACACGGATAATGATGTCCTCCGCATTGAGTAGTCGAGCAGGGTGAAGTGGTAGACTGGCAGGGAAAAACTGAGCAGCTTGTTGTTGTGGTCGATGGAGGAATCTTGGGGTTGCTCTGGCGGCACGGGGTCGAAGGGAGCGACCATATCGGTGAAAGGGTCCTCATATCCGGACGGAAAGCGCTTGAGCGAGTGTGGGATGTTATTTTGTTGAAAGGCGATATCATCGCTGCTACTCGCGACCCATCAGCCCTAGTGTCCTCGGATGGACGATCTTCCCTCGTGGGTCCCGTCCCCCCGTGCGATCGGATGCATCACTTACCTGACAAAGGTCTCCGTGTCGAAGTTGGACCGGTGGTCTGGCAGGTCCAAGCCAGGCATGGCATTCAGATAGTCGGTTCCCTGGAGATTTCCGAGGGACAGCGGACTGGCCAGGTACGGCGGCATAGCCATGGTGTCGAAGCCCTCCATGGCGAGGGTTGGGGGAGATGCGCGCTCGAGGATAGGGAGAGGGAGAGGGCGCGTACGAAGAGGAAGAAGAAAAGAAGAACAAGGAGGGAAAAGAGAGAGAGTAAAGAAGACAGGGACGGGAACAGAAAGTTGGGAGGGAAAGAGAGGGAGAGAAGAGAGGGAGAGAGACCGAGAGAGACGGAGCCGGAGACAGTCGACGATGGGAACGGATTCGGGGAAAAGTGGGACCGTTTTGCGGAGACGAACGCAGCGGGTTAGACCGGTTTATCGTGCAGGGTGTATAGCACGATGGCGATAGGAGCGGACAGGATAGGACAGGTAGGAGAGGATAGGTCGGATAGGATAGGATAGGATGCAGGAGAGAGGATGTGAACAAGTGACGAGGGTTTCCCCCGTACTAATAATCTTCACCTTTTTTGCCTCCCACTGCCGACCCTGAAGATCATAGTCTTGCACATCTTCAGATACCTACAAGGCTCTCCGGATCCCAAATAAAATAAAATCTCTAAAATGATTCTGCAGGGCACTCTTTTCCGCTCTTCCTCTTCTCAGCCGATCAGCGACCGTTCGGGGCTGGACCACCCCGGGGAGGGGAAGCAGAGGATTACGCCCCCCGTCCATGATCAACATGGGCCCGTCTGACATGCAGCGCTGGCCCAGACGATGCCCACACACCAATCACTGGGGCGGGTGTTGGTTTCGGGTCTCTCGCGTTCTCCGGGGGGTTGCCCTACGCCAGCCTGATTGGGCCCAGCTCCGCCCAGGAACCGGCCTCTGGACCGTCGAGGCACACCACGAAGAAGTCGCCTCGTGGGGGCCAATCACGGCGGCGATGTCCGTCTTTCATCATCATAATCTACTTGTTGGTTCTATCCCCCGTTGATGCCTCAACCCCCCAAACACCCAAAGAAAAACCACCGAAAGACAAAACCCGGTCACGACCGTCCTGTAATCTGCCGCTGGTGAAACCACCCCCGTCGCGGCTCGCCTCGTGTGGAACCGTGGAAGACTCACGCTCTTGCCTGATCCAGGGTGGGAAACAAAACCCATGTGAAAAGAGGAAAACAGGAACGATAACAGACAACCGCCAGATAAAGCACGAAACAAGAGGTGAAGCTCTGGTGGGCGATCATCGAGCTCCCCCCCCGATCCTTCATCTCCTGTGCATTTGCCCGATCCGTCCATTTTTAGGTCGCTCATCCGCACTCACCCCTCTGGCGATCCGGTGATGCCGAAGCCCTGTTCCTGCGCTGGAAGCTGCAGTCCTGTTCCGCCCAATCAATGGCCGGGTGCCTCGGGACCAGCATGTTGAAGTTTAGAGGGCCCTGTCCATCATGACATCTTGCCTCCCCCCCCACCCACCCTTCTGGAGATCATTGCGCGCTTCCCGATGCGTATTTGTGCCCGAGCAGACACATCGGAGCAAGGGTATACATCCGGCGAGGATCGCCTCGAGACCTCTGCGCACTGTTCTTAGGCGTGTACGAGTGATAGAAAGGCACAAGAAAAACTAGCACCCCGCCTAACAAGAATGGTGGGATGCCGGTGATCATCGAGTCGATCGATCTAAGCGCGTTCAGGGAGGATCTGGTCCACATCCAGCGACCCAGCGACGCGGTCGACCTCTTGCTGTCGAGGTATGCAGCGAATGCAAAGTGCGCGCCAGGAACAACTGAGATAGAGTGGTACTGGAAGCATACCGCGCCCTGATCCCTTGGTACGGCCATTTCCCGAACGAGCAAGATAGAGGAATGTGGGCCGGCGCCAGCCCATGACCGGCAGCAGAATCCACCCATTCCCGGTTCAGCTGGATTCGAATCAATCTTCCCGTTCGGACCATGTACTCTCTCTGCATCTGTTGCGGGTATCAATTCCACATGCTCCTCGGATCTTTCTTTTGCCCCCGCGACGGGTGCATGTTTGATCGACGAAGGATGTGAGAGGATTCAACCGTCCATGGTCATGACATGGCGAGGGGAGATTCCTTATCGGCAGAGGTAGCGGCTATTGTTTCTATTCTTTTCTTGTGATGTGCAAAACACGAAACAGGCGCACCCCCCAATCCGGCCTAGGCGAATTCACTGGTCTGTAAACTCCGGGCCTGATTTGGCCCCGATGTCCGAGGGCAATCCCTCGTTTTCGTTTCACGGTATGGACGTGCCCTAGCCAGTGAGCCCTGCAAAGCCCCAAAGCCCGACGGTTTTCTGCTTTGGCCCGCTGACGGGCACACGGGATACACGATCGATAGAGGATCATTGCTGTCTGCAGACCCTGAGCCGGGTGCCGTTTCCACTACACGATCGCGCACCCCGTGCCGAAGCCCTCACTAAAAGCGGGAGGCAAAAAGTGGGTGCTTGACTTTCCAAGCGGAGTCCGGCTAAGCCCCCAAGGACCCTGGTCCCTCCGTTTGAGCCCAACGGACGTCCGGGCCATTGAGCGTTCGCGGGGAGGGAGGTGAAGTGGAGTTGGGACAGGAATAGTAGTTCACTAAGGTGCTAGTCGCGGCCAGCCAATTAATTCCCAACACCCTCAACCCATGGACGGGAGTTCATTATACCAGTCGTCGCAAGGCTGTTCTTCCCCCACCCCTGCGACGTGCAGCGGAGGGCGCACAGAAGCCCGAAAGAAGGACGCAGGGGGAGAGTTTAGTATTTTCGAGACGATCTCCCGTGATGCTGCTCGTGCAAGCTGCGGTCACTCGCTCGCTGCAGGCATCCAGAAAACTCCAATTGATTCTACGGACAGTACGTTTCTGTGCGACCCGCATGCGGACTCGATGTATATGTCCCGAACCAACTTTCGCCGTGGCCAATAATCGTGGTATATGCAGGAAACTCCTCTCGGTCACAAAAATAAATAATAAATCAAAAAAAGAGTCAACCAGTCCATCCTTCCGAAGAGAGAAAGAGAAAGGAAAAAGCACCCCCCCAGATAACCCCTCCTCCAAGTAACACCGAACGCGGGATGGATATCATAGACTGTGGTGGAAGGCGAAAATCAAGCAGCTAAAATTAGAAACGTGTAGAGACTATCACCAGCCCCCGCACTTCGGTCAGGATGAATGCATGATCGTCCAAGTAGCGGCGTCGCAGTTGACCTCTTCGAAATTGTGTAGCATAGTAAATCCCATGGTGGATAGACAGTCGAAGTTGCCGTCGCCGTCGACCTGCAGGACAGCGGTCAGTATCTACCGAAAAGATTGAGCCCACTATCAAAACGGAAGGAAGCACCTACGCAATCCATGACCACCGCATTCGCTTTTAGCTTGCGGATCTGTTTGATAGCCAACAGAATCAACCCCTGCATGACGGTGGCGTATTCTCCTGCATAGGGGGAGATGACCGGAGAGGAAATACCGCCGACAGATGTCTGCACTGCGCGCAGCGCTGGCATGTGTTCGGCCAACGCCGACCGCTCATTGTATATCACAACGCTTCCTAGGACCACGCCATCCAGCGGACGCTTTGCGCGGATGATGCCGCAATTGGGTGCACCGCCTAGAGCCATACGGTAGATGTCGATGACTCCCTGCCGTGCAGTTGTCTTGATGTGGTCGAGGATCGCCCGCGCAAAGTCCCAGCCGTAGACGAGGTCGTAAGTCACTTCCGCGTTCTGCAGACTGGTAGCCAAGCCCTCTGGGGGAGTCCATGAAGCCAAGTTGTGCAGCACTACGCTGCAGACAGGACGCGACAGCGCGGTGTTCCAGCCAAGGTTGGCGAACCACTGCCGTAGTCGCTTGCGCTCCACGGGGTTCGCAGTCGGAATGCCCAGGTAGATTCCAGGCAGGCGCGATCCGAGCTGGAAGCGTTTCATGCCTTTGCGCTGTAGAAGGGTGCGAATAGCACGGTTGTGTAGCGAGTGTCCGATGGACAGCTTGCGCCGGTCAGGGTCGACAATCAGACAGGCAATGACGCCGGTGCCGGTAGACCGAAAGAAGTAGGTCGCGCAGAATCCATACAGCGCCTGCGTGCTGCTGTTGCGGACCACAAAGTGTGCTTCATCGATCTCTTCCTGGCGCAGCAGAAAGCTGTTGGAGGTCACGCCGAGCAGTTCAGAGCGTTGGCCAAGAGCACAATCGCCCCGAATTGTATCCAACAACACATCCAAAGCATTGCCGTCTCGCTCCTCGTTCCAGCTCTCCACAAGCCAATGTTGCCGTGACTGATGGATCTTCTGACTGCGACTAATCGAGCCTGGTAATGCACCCGTTGGCGTCAATTCGCCGTATAGAACCTTGACCAGTGCTTGGAGTGCCGTCTCCGTGAAGTCGTATGTACAGAGATAAGTCTCAATCGTTGGATCCATGGCGAAGTCATACGGCGAGCTGACCGCCACCACGATCACTGGCTTTTCACGACGTTCCCCGGACGGGGAGTATTGGGACTGGCAGATCATCGAAACATGTTTGGTGAACCCTTGTTGGTAGAGATTGCGGTTGGCATCTGCCGTGATCACGATAACCGCACTCGCCCGATTGATAAGGTCCTCGTGGATAGGACGCACGCCATTAGCCGTGTACGAGGTGTGCAACACACGCCCGCTCCTCTGTCGCGAAAGCGAGCGCCCAAGTTCCTTGAAGACACTTTCTCCACTCATCACCGAGGCGGTTCGGTCCCAAGACAGCGAGCCGTGCGGGAAATGACTGTTTTTTCCTGACACTGATTGTGACACTGCTGATGCCGGCAGTGGCTTCACCAACGGAGTCAAGAGCAAAAGTTCCTCGCCGGCATCGATAACATTTGACAGGGGAAGAAGGTTGTGCTTGTCCCGCAAGACCGAGATGGAGCTGTTGTATGCTCGCGTGGAGAGGCTGGTGTGGGATGGTTGCATCTGAGTGAGCGAGAGGAGTCCCGGTGGGTTTAATGCCTGGTCCCAGGAAGTGCAGCGAGCCTTCAGATTGAGCACACGGCGCAAAGACTGCTGAATCCGAGGTCGGCCAATAATCCCGTTCTCCACACCCAGCTTTAACCCGTTGATAGCTTCTTGTTGCACGGGAAATGACCGACAGATGATGATAACATCGCACCCAGCATTATTTGCCATCACCGTGCCACCACCAACACCAATATTGTGCGTCAAGGCCTCCATCTCGAGACACTCTGATACGACGACTCCTTGAAAATCGAGGTCTTTTCGAAGAAGATCATCCACGACTTGGTCGCTCAGACACGCGTGCATGACATTCATGCCAGCGGACGACATGGATACCCCACCTACCATCATGGCATCCAGCCCGTGGGTGATGGCATTGCGGAAGGGTACTAAGGCGCTCAGGCTGAGTTGCTCCAGCGACTCCGTGATGATGGGGACGTCGGTATCCGAGCCGAGAAACTCCAGGTTGCCGTAAGAAGGGAAGTGCTTGCCACAGGTGACGAGCCCTGCTTCTTGATATCCTCTCATAACCTGCACGCCGTATTGTGAGGCTTCCTGGGGGTCGTCACCAGCGGTTCGGACGCCCAATGGTTGATTGCGCACATTGGTCAACACGTCCAGCACCGGGCCGAGAATCCAATTGACCCCGACAGCCTTGAGCTCCTGCGCTGTTGCCACTGCCACTTCATGAGCCAGCGACTTGGAACCAGTCGCCGCAATGCCCATGGCGCTGGGAAATTGGCGTATATAAATTTCGTCATATAAACTGTTGACGCCGCCATTCTCTTGATCCAGAGCGATCAGTAATGGGACCGGATGGCCAGCATCACGGGCGATCGTCTGCAGTTCAAGAACCAACCGGGTTGTCTCCTCAGCGGCTGGAGTGGGAGAGTCAGTAAGAGCGGTCAATCAATGGCAAGGAAATCGAATCATAATACATTTGAGATTTTTGGCCGTGAGCAGCACGGAGCCCAGGTGGTAGTCCTCAATGAGTGAGCGGATCTGGGGGGTGACCGTGGTGCCATCAAAGCCCATCATAAAGAGCTGGCCCATTTGTCTGGGGAGTATGTGTTAGCTGGAGGTAAACAAGCTGCCTTCCCAAAGGGGAAATGAGCTGAATCAGTTGCGCGCCCTGGGGTCCCACAGCCACACCACGCCCGTGGAGGCGGGAAATCTGGGGGAAAAGCTGGGGGGGCACAGGGGGAGGGAGCATGGGGCACCGAGTGAACCAGGCCCAGAGACGGATTGCGACGAGGCTGATCGACATACCTATCCAGATCCTCCCAACCCGGGGGCAGCAGCATGTCCTCCATCGGGGCCATGGTGGCCCTGGGACGAGGAATGCCAGCCAGTGTCCCCCCTCCAGGCCGAGAGCCGCGATCGGGGGGCGGGGGCGCGATGATGGAGGATGCAAACAGCCAGAGGACACCAAGCTCGGAGGGAAACGTGGGATGGGGTGTGCACCGTGTTGGACAGTTCGTTCGTTACGTGTCCAGGGGAGGGAGGGAAGTTCACGCGCAACGTTGCTCTCCGCTCGTTAGCTCACTGACAGCAGTCGATAAGATCGATCCGATAACTACCATGCAACAATAAATGCATCTGTCATCATGGTCACGTGTGTCTCGGTCTGGCCCGAGGCTCCGCAGTGTATGGACAGTGGCACCGCAGTCGGAGACCCCCTTCTCTGACCGCCTACGTTCTGCCACCTCTATTCTGCCGGCCTAAGACGCTGCCAGGCGTGCGGGCGTGTCCGGCTGGTCTCCTCTAGGAAAGCGGTAGGGCGTATTGGTCCAATACATGAACCCGTAACTGCACAGATGCAACCGTCGCACTGGGGCTTCTTGATGGGACTGATGCAACCAACCGAGATGGAACCATTCCATGCCCTTGTTGAGAGCCAGCACTACGTACAGACAGAGACGCTCTCAGTAGTTTGTTAGTGTAGGGATTTACCTAGGTGGTAACTAACTCTGGGTCCAACACTACTACCACAGTCACGACGTAACAGCCATGGCGCTTTGGGGTCTGGAGCCTTCTTGACTTGTTCATCCTTTTGACTCTTCTTCTCTCTTCCTCTCTTGAACTTCATCCTTTCTCTCTTACCCAACACTCTTCTTGACTCGACATCTCCCTCTCAGCCCTATTGTTCCCTTTGACCTGTCCGAGCGCCCTCGGTGACGTAGCCATCATGTACGTGTCTCCACAATTGTCTCGGACTTAATCCTGACAGCTGCCAGGCGTGTCATTATCAGAGAAGATCCCCAGACGGCCTCGGAGTACATCGCCGAATACATCATCAGTATGTCCTCTCGATCGCCAATGATGATCTCGACACTGACAGATCCCAAGGCCGCATCAAGACGTACAACCCGACCGAGAGCCAGCCGTTCGTGCTGGGTCTGCCCACCGGCAGCAGCCCGGAGATCATCTATAAGATCCTGGTGCAGCGCCACCGCGCCGGCGAGATCTCCTTCAAGAATGTCGTGACGTTCAACATGGTATGTTTGTCCGGAGGCACTGATTGAAAACATATTCCTAACTTCCCACAGGATGAATACGTGGGGTTGCCGCGCGACCACCCGGAGTCCTACCACAGCTTCATGTACAAGCACTTCTTCTCGCATGTCGACATCCCACCTCAGAACATCAACATCCTCGACGGCACGGCGCCCGATCTCGCGGCCGAGTGCGCATCGTTCGAAGCGCGCATTGCCCGCGTGGGCGGCATTGAACTGTTCCTGGGTGGCGTCGGACCGGACGGACACATTGCATTCAACGAGCCCGGCTCGTCGTTGAACAGCCGCACGCGCGTCAAGACTCTGGCGTACGATACGATTCTGGCTAACTCGCGCTTCTTCGATAACGACATCACCAAAGTCCCCCGCATGGCGATGACGGTGGGTATCCAGACGATCATGGACTCGCGGGAGGTGGTGATCGTAGCGACGGGTGCGCACAAGGCGTTTGCCATCCAAAAGGGACTCGAAGATGGAGTGAACCACATGTGGACACTCTCGGCTCTACAGCTACATCAGCACCCGCTGGTGGTCTGTGATCGTGATGCCACGCTGGAACTTAAGGTGAAGACCGTCCGGTACTTTGAGGGCATCGAGCAAGCCGGCACGGATGCGCGCACGCAGGGTCCCGCCCTCGTCTATCGTCCTCGCACCTACGTCCCCGCTCCGCTGCCGACCAAGAGGCCCTCGCCGCGCCAGCAGCCCACCCCCGACGGCACGCCGCAGAAGGTGCCCATGGATCTGCGCATCAACACGGAGCTCCAGCGTTCAATGGAGGAGGACGAGCTCACACCTGACAGTATGTCCTCGCGCATGATCGACTCGGCCGTTGGTGGCCTTGACAGTACGCTGAAGAACGACCTAGTCCTTGACCGTATGGGCGCGCGGATGGCCGCCCACTGAAAAGGTTTTCAAATTCATAGCGTTATTTTCTGATTTCCTATCTGGTCCCTAAGACAATGTGTTTTCTGGGGTTCTTGATCTTTTCCTGCTTTCTAGTCAATATCGGCATGGTTTTCCGAAGATCTTATTTTTCTCTATGGTTACGGAGGTCGCGGAGTTTTTGTCTTTTATTTCTCATTTCATTTCACATCTGCAAAGAGAATAGATACGTGGTGAATATCACTCCAATCAATATCCCATATGACATTATTTTGATACATGAACGCTCTACCGAGTAAAAAATGGATTGGCTGGGATGGACTTTTGTTGCTAAATACATACACTCTATCCATGCAATCAATCATCGCGACATATACAACATCTTATAGCTTGGCAAACACCGAGGCCACCGCACCGCTCATATCGACCAGGGTGCTCTTGTTCTGCATCCAAGACTCAATGCCGCGGCGGCCATTCTCCACGCCCAGACCGCTCTTCTTCCATCCACCCACGGCCATCTCGGCGGGACTCTCGCCCCACGTGTTCACCCAGGTGATACCGGCCTGGAGCTGGTCGATGATCCGGTGGGCCTGGTTCAGATCCTTGGTGAAGACGCCGGCAGCGAGACCCAGCTCGGTGGTGTTGGCGCGTTTGACAGCCTCCTCGACAGTGTCGTAGTACAGGATCGACATGACAGGTCCAAAAATCTCCTCCTGGACAATGCGCATCGAGTCATTGCAATCCGTGAAAACAGTCGGCTGGACCCAGAATCCAGCCTGGAGGTCCTTGGGCACGGCCGGTTTCTCGGGACCACCACAGAGGAGGGTAGCCTTGTCAGTATCGATTCCGTGGCGGATATACGAGACCACCTTCTCGTAGTGAATAGCAGAGCTCAGGGGACCAAAGTTTGTCGCCTCATCAAAGAGCGGACCCGGCCGCACATGCTGGATCTTCTCGAGCAGGCGCTTCTCAAAAGCTGCCTTCATCGAACGAGGGACAAACACCCGGGTACCGTTGGTGCACACCTGGCCCGTGGAGTAGAAATTGGCCATCATGGCACCGTCAACCGCACTCTCCAGGTCGGCATCAGGGCAGACGATCAGCGGGCTCTTGCCGCCCAGCTCCATGGTCACGTATTTCATGCTGCCCGCCGCAGCCCCCGCCACTTTCATGCCTGTGGCAACCTGGCCAGTGAACGAGACCTTGGCGATGGTCGGATGGCTGGTCAGGTACGCGCCCACGTCACCAGCACCGTTGATGACATTAAATACGCCGGCGGGCAGACCAGCTTCTGTGTAAATCTCCGCAAGGGTCTGTCCGTGGAGCGGGGTGTATTCACTTGGCTTGTAGACCATGGTGTTGCCGGCGGCAAGGCAAGCAGCTGATTTCCAGAGGGCACTAGAGGAATGTGTGAGAGGGCTTTCTCTTACATAGAAAGGGAAAATCATACATCTGAATAGGGTAGTTCCAAGCTCCAATACCGGCACATACCCCCAAAGGCGCCTTCTTGGTGTACACCCAGGCATCCTCGCGCAGCTGGGTAGTCTCTCCGTTGAGGCCGCCACCGCCAATAAAGTTGGCATAGTATTCCAGGACATCGGCACCGGTCACGACGTCGACAGTACTCGTCTCCGTAAAGGCCTTGCCCGAGTCGAGGGTCTCGGTCTTGGCAATTTCATCGTTGCGTTCGCGGAGGAGGGCAGCGGCCTTGTGAAGGATGCGGGCACGAGCAATGGGCGGGGTATTGGACCATCCCTGGAAAGCCTTGTCGGCAGCCGCAATGGCAGAGTCGATGTCGGCGTGCGCGGCGATCTGGATGTCGGCCAGCGGGGTTGCGGTGGCGGGGTTGATGGTCTGAAAAGTCTTGCCGGACGAGGCCGCACGGACCTGGCCGTTGTAGTAGAGCTGGCGAGTCGGGTAGGGGAGGGACATTGTGGGAGGTGAGGAGGGAAGGACGGAGGAGTTTCGGGAGTAATGATGATCTGTTTCTGGCCTCGGACCAGAGATTCTTCTACACACCGCTAGGGTCACCGCCTGTGCAGGCGATGGCCGAGCCGTTAGGTAACGGGTACAAGTGGGGCCCGCAAAGGTTGTATGGCGCGGGCCAGTAATGGGTATTCACGTCGTCGTCGTAGGAGGAGAAGTAGAAGTGAATAATTAAAAGTATAGTAGTGAGAGTGCTACGATGGGCCACTGAGGCTGTGGCGTGAGTCTGGTATCACTTGTAGGAGTACGAGTACAAAGTATGTGAGGGGAAAGTGAGGCTGGAGCTCCGAGGGAAAAAGAACGCTAAAGAGCCCCAATTCGCTGCATGACGTAGGTGTTGGACTATCTATACCAGGTAGACGTTCCAACCACAATTGACATGGATTCACTGGTTGAGCTAATGGGTGATAGTATAGTTGCATAGATCGGCCTATCGATATCCGACTCGCTTATTGCAGTCTCCAGATACAGACGCAGATACAACTCTGAATCCATGTGGACCTGCATTATCTAATGCACTCCACCTTCCAGATCGCCGCCACTCACAATGCGCCAATCGTCGGGTCCAACGAGAAAAAAAAACCCAAAAGCACACGCGAGGGACGGCCGAATCGGGCTACTAGAGAGAGAAGCCACTTAAAGGCCTTCCCGCTCTTTCCCGTCACTAGACTTTCCCCCTCTGCACCTTCACTTTCTCTGCCTGGCTCCAATCCCATTTCAACATGGCCACCACTAACGAACTCCCCGCTGTCGACGTCAACTCCTACGACTATGTCATTGTTGGTGGCGGCACCGCGGGCTGTGTCATTGCCGCACGCCTGGCGCAGTACCTGCCCAACAAGCGCATCATTGTCATTGAGGGGGGTCCCAGCGACTACAACGATGACCGCGTGCTCAACCTGAAAGAGTGGCTTGCCCTGCTCGGTGGAGAGCTCGACTACGACTATCCCACGACCGAGCAGCCCATGGGCAACAGCCATATCCGGCACTCCCGCGCCAAGGTGCTCGGTGGTTGCTCCAGCCACAACACTCTCATCTCCTTCCGCCCCTTCGAGTACGACTGCCAGAACTGGGTTGCCAAGGGCTGCAAGGGCTGGGACTTTGAGACCTTCACCCGCCTGGCTGACAACCTGCGCAACACCATCCAGCCCGTGCACGCCCGCCACCAGAACCAGCTGTGCAAGGACTGGATCCAGGCCTGTTCGTCGGCCATGCAAATCCCCATGATCGACAATTTCAACGACGACATCCGCAAAAAGGGCGAGCTGACCGAGGGTGTGGGCTTCTTCAACGTCTCGTACAACCCGGACGATGGCCGCCGCAGCAGCGCGAGCGTTGCCTACATCCACCCCATCCTGCGTGGTGAGGAGAAGCGTCCCAATCTGACCATCCTGACCAATGCCTGGGTGTCCAAGGTGAACGTGGAGGGTGACGAAGTCACTGGTGTCAACGTGACCCTGCAGTCCGGTGTCAAACACACCCTGCGCGCCAAAAAGGAGACCATCCTGTGCGCCGGTGCCGTGGACACCCCGCGTCTGATGCTGTTGTCCGGTCTGGGTCCCCGGGAGCAGCTGTCCTCGCTGGGAATCCCCGTGGTGAAGAACCTACCCGGTGTCGGCGAGAATCTCCTAGACCATCCGGAAAGTATCATCATCTGGGAGCTCAACCAGCCCGTGCCTCCGAACCAGACTACTATGGACTCGGACGCCGGTATCTTCTTGCGTCGCGAGAAGCCCAACGCTGCCGGCTTCGACGGCCGCGCCGCCGACGTGATGATGCACTGCTACCAGATTCCCTTCTGCCTCAACACCGCTCGTCTGGGATACGACGTGCCCGCTGACGCCTTCTGCATGACCCCCAACATCCCGCGCCCCCGTTCGCGTGGTCGTCTTTACCTGACCTCGGCCGACCCCTCTGTGAAGCCGGCGCTGGACTTCCGCTACTTCACCGACCCCGAGGGCTACGATGCCGCCACCATTGTGGCTGGTCTTCGGGCTGCCCGTGAGATCGCCAAGGAGGCTCCGTTCAAGAACTGGCTCAAGCGCGAGGTGGCTCCCGGCCCCAAGCTCCAGACCGACGAGGAGCTCTCCGAGTACGGCCGTCGTGTGGCCCACACTGTGTACCACCCTGCCGGAACCACCAAGATGGGTGATGTGGCCAATGATCCTCTGGCGGTGGTGGATCCCAAGCTGAAGATCCGCGGCCTGAAGAACGTCCGCATTGCGGATGCCGGTGTGTTTCCCGACATGCCCAGCATCAACCCCATGGTGACCGTTCTGTCCATTGGTGAGCGTGCCGCCGAGCTCATTGCCGAAGAGGCCGGCTGGACACCCTCTCAACCTCGTCTGTAATCGACGGAATGGTGATGTGAAAAGTGTTGCTTTCTTTTGTTTTTCGTTTTGCATATGAGCGAGCGGCGCAGTGCTCCGTCCGAGTCATAGATAGAGGGTCCACGCGAGACGTGGATTGTTCTGTAATCCCTTTCCACCCCTTCACCATCTGCTAGACAGAGTGTGAGATTCTTCCGTTCATGGATATTTATATATGACATGCAGTTTTAACTAGTATATCTTGGACATAGGAAGTTAACTCATGAAGACTAAAATATACATGCAAGTTCCAATGCACATTTACAGATACACATATATATATATATATACACATTGATATCTGAATCTATCATCATATGCTTTCTTGTCGTGCTCTATGCGATCTTTCGCTGGAGATAAGAAAAAAAGTGCAATCAACGCCGAAGATCCATCCCATCGCAGAGAGAAACCACCCATAAAATGTTGGAAAATACGCAGATAATGACGTCCTGGGATATTCAACGCCAAGAAAAAAATTTCACATCGCCGCCGCTTTATCGGTATCATGGATTTTGACCCCAAGCTTCCACACCTGGTCAACCGTCAGTGTCCGACCCGAGTAATCGTCCTCCTTCTCACCCAGCACAACTAGATCGGCATCAGCGCCGCTCGCCAGGGATCCCTTGACGCCCTCCAAGCCCAGCAAGCGTGCCGGCGTGGCCGTGACGGCATTGATCGCGTCTGCCGTGGAGGAACCCGACCAGCGACGGAAGTTGTTCACACACTCGATGAGCGTAGCCGAGCTGCCAGCAATCTTATCGGATCCCTCCAGGGTCAGACGAGCGCCGGTCTTAACAATGCGCTCGCCGTTGGTCCACTCGTACACACCATCCGGCAAACCACAGAGGCGCATTGCATCCGTGACCAGCACCAGCCCGTCCGGATGCGCGTTGTACGCGATCTTGATGGAGGTAGGATGCAAATGGATGCCGTCGGCAATGACCCCGTAGAACGGACGGCGCCGCTCGCTCTGGCCCAGTAGGCCGAAGATGCCCGGGTTGCGGTGGTAGAAGGGCCGCATGGCGTTGAAAAGATGGGTAATCATGCGCGCGCCCTGGTGCGTGGCCGATACGGCCTGTTCGTAGGTGGCGTCCGAGTGACCGATGGAGAAGATGATACCACGCTTCGTGATTTCAGGAATCTGCGACATCATGTCACCCACCTCGGGGGCGGCGGTGATCATCTTGATTGGACCGGGGTTGTTCATATGCTCCGCGCCGTAGCAATGCAACAGATCCTCCAGGTTCTGAGCGGCGCGCAACACTTCGGGCTTGTGGATGCCATTGCGGCCGGCGCTGAGGAAGGGGCCCTCGACGTGCGCACCCAGGGACTCGGCGCCATCTTCGGGGCGGAGCGTACTCGCTGAGGGGCCAAGAGACGGCAACACCTGTCATAGCCATTTAGTTTTCGCAATAGACCGTCGAGAACATCTCGCGCTTACCTTCCAGTAAACCTCCGGCGTGGAGCTGATCACCGTTGGCAGGTAGGACGTCACACCGGTGCGGGCCAGACCGTGATTGACCATGCGCAGGCCCTCATCGTACTCCTCCTTGGTGTCACAGGGCACCGAGAAATCAAAACCCTGCGCGCCGTTCAGCTGCACATCGATCAGACCGGGGGCCAGAATGCGGCCGCCCAGATCGATAATCTCGTCGGGGGAGAGGTGAAGTTCATAAAAGGCCTCCTGGTCCTTGAGGATCTTGCCGGACAGCGAGTCGATCCAGAGATCCTGTTCGACGAGCTCAGCACCGCGCACCAGTCGGCAGTTGGTGAACTTGGTGATGCGCGGGTGGGAGGCCGTCTTGCCGGGCATGATGGTCATGGGTGGATGATTCGTAGGATGGGGAGTCACCGCGAAGCAGCGGGGAGCCATGATATAATGGGGCCAAACATATTAGGGTAGGGTAGACTACCATGACGATAGATGGATGCAACAGTAGTGGACGGACGGTATGCCGAGTCCGAGAGCAGAGACAGAGAGCGAGAAGGATGTACCTGTGCGGGTAAATTGTGTGGGGAGGTACATGTGGTGTACAGTGGCGTGTACCTGAGCCCACTGCGACGCTAAAAGGTTGCATCCCGTATTTACAATACAAGGTTTGCATCATGACCAATGGATCATCCGGACGGTCGCATTCGGCAAGGCTGCCTCTACCAAGTCACAGAGCCTCCAGTTTTCGACATCCCCACAACTTCTCCAGTCTGGCGGGGAATCGGTCGACTTCCGAAGACCATAATGAATCATAACGAGGGTGTCCCACGTCGCATGCGACATATCCCCACGGGCGGGAGGCACAATGGAACAGACACTGCTCTCCCCCGGCGATGATTTAACTAACCAGTATGGCCTCCATCGATGAGAAAATCTTCCGTTTTCATGTTCGCTCTTGCCCGACACCCACCCACCCCCAGACACCGGAATTGGCTCACGGGGCCCACCAAACATTCCAGCCGTGATCCTTGATCGGATCGTTGCTCGCATCCCTTTCTGGCTCGTTTCTTCCTCTTTTCCATCATGGCCAAGGTCCAGTCCGAGCTGGAGATGTCGGAGAACGTGGCACACGAGTCCACACAGAAGAAGCAGCAAGATGAGCAATATTCAGAGACAACGACCATCCAGAGAGACGACCCCGAGGCCGGGCCCGACCACGCCGTCGTCGGCCCGCCATGGATGTACAAGCCGATGCTGACCATCGGCTCCTTCCAGCTGCCGTGGTTTGCCTCGCCCGAAACCCAGCTGGTGCTGGTCTCGTTCGTCTGTTTCCTCTGCCCCGGCATGTTCAATGCTGTCTCGGGGCTCGGAGGCGCGGGCCAGCTCAAAACCACCGATGTCAACAACGCCAACACCGCGCTCTACAGCACTTTTGCCGTCGTGGGCTTCTTTGCCGGGTCGGTCGCTAATCGCATTGGGCTTCGTTTGACGCTCTCGATCGGTGGCTTCGGCTACTTCCTCTATGTTGCATCGCTCCTCTCCTATAATATCAACCAGAATGCCGGGTTTCTGATCTTTGCCGGCGCGCTGCTCGGCGTCTGCGGTGGTCTGCTGTGGTGTGCACAGGGTGCGGTGATGATGAGCTATCCCCATGAACATGAGAAGGGCAAGTTTATCTCGATCTTTTGGGTTATCTTCAATCTGGGTGGCGTAATTGGCAGCCTGGTAAGTTTTTGAATATTAAGCAGCGCCCGATTAAAAAAAAAAGATCTAGCGCTGATATGACATTGATAGATCCCTCTCGGTCAGAACATACATTCCAAAGCTGGCAAGGTGGACAATGGCACCTACATTGCATTTCTGGTTCTCATGGCAGTAGGATTCGTCCTCTGCTGGGGCCTCGCCGACGCGAAGCACATCATGCGCAAGGATGGGTCCCGGGTTATTGTGATCAAGAATCCCACCTGGAAATCCGAGTTCCTGGGGCTGTGGGAGACGCTTCGCAGCGACTCCTATATCATTCTCCTGTTCCCCATGTTCCTGGCCAGTAACTGGTTCTACGGGTATCACTTCAACACCGTCAACGGCGCCTACTTCACGATCCGCACACGTGCCCTCAATAGTCTTCTCTACTGGCTGATGCAGATGGTCGGCGCGTTTATCTTTGGCCAGCTGCTCGATCTGAAGTTCTTCTCTCGGCCCATGCGCGCCAGGCTCAACTTTGGCTTGCTTTTTATGATCACGATGGGTATCTGGGGCGGTGGCTATGCTTTCCAGAGACAGTATACGCGGGAAATGGTCAAGGATGACAAGAACTTTGTCAAGACGGACTTCACAGACGGCGGCTATATTGGTCCCATGTTCTTGTACATGTTTTACGGCTTCTATGATGCTGCGTTCCAGACCTGCACCTACTGGTAAGTGGACGAACGACTCGGAATTTCACCCAACCCTTGCTAATTTGCTGCTTAGGTACATGGGCTCGCTTTCTAACAACGCCCGGAAGCTGGCCAATTTCGCTGGTTTCTACAAAGGAATCCAGTCGGCCGGTGCAGCTGCCATGTGGCGGTAAGTTTTGATCCTCATTTCCTCCGGTGTCCCATCACTGATAGCCCTCACAGCCTGGATGCTGAAAACACACCGTTCATAACCGAGTTTGCCTCATGCTGGGGTCTGTTGCTTGGCAGCATGCTAATCGCATCGCCTGTGATCTGGTTCAAGGTCAAGGAGAGCACCGCGGTGGAAGATGACCTGCGCTTCTCGGACGAGACGGCCGCCGACGTTATCGGTGATGAGGATAAGCAGCGACCTGCAGAGGAGCTTTGAGAAAAGAAAGAGATGGGAACGTCAAAGCCGAATCTTTTCTGCGTGATTGTATTTTTATATTGGGCGAGTGCTACGATACGTCTGTAGATATAAAATCTCCTAAAAATCCATATATCTATATGTTAAGCAATGCCTATCGCGACATTTAGATATTCGGATAAGGCTCAATTGTCCCCTGTAAGCACTAAAATAACCCTAAGCAAGCCACTCGGGCCCGAGCGTCCATCACGCAATATTCATATACAGACAACGCACGATCACCGCAAAGAAACAGAATTAGACAGGTACCACCATCAACGTCGGCAGCGACTCGTAATGTGTTGCTGAATTGGGGCCATGAGACCCGAAATTCGGACTGTGTTTCCATCTGAATTGGAAGGTCCAGGATGTTCAAGAGGACTTGGCTATGCTTTCCATGGGTTGAATATGCAACTAGTTTCACTTCTACTACTACTGTCTCAGGGTCTTCAGCATGAACTTGATCTCCACAATCCACGCCAGTCCCTGCCGATCAGATCCAGACTAACGGGCACTGCTGCCTAGGCAGATGATGACAACGTTCCCGTACCGATGTCTTGCATCCATCACATGTGATGCCGAGTTCCAATCGGCCCGTGAGACATGAAGATCGGATGCATTGCACACAAAGTTATGTTGTTTATGAAAATTAATCATTTCCATTTCCAATTGCTATGATTTGCCCGAATAGGTATCCTTCTATCACAAAATACAACACAGACATCACTGTCGTCACGGACATTAGAAGAAGTAACGCGCCGAGGAACACCGCTCCCATTTTTTTTTTCTGGTGTCGGACGCACCAGATCCTCCCAAAAAAATAATAAGACAATAAGTAATTAAAAAATGTCCAGGATAAAAAAGGAGTTAAAAAAAAACAAAAGCACATGCTTTACTCGCCCACGGTGAGTCCAAGATCCGTGTCCAGATCGGCGGAGAGACCGGCCGGGTTGCGTGCGTGAGCCTCGGCAGCGCGGGCCTCGGAGCGATCGGCACGGTCCAGAGTCGCGCCGTCAGTCGATTTGGGATAGATAGAATCGAACATTGCGTTCATAGTATTGTCCGTCATAGTGGGGCCGGATGAAGCGCCATTTTCGTCCGCAGCAAAAAAGTCATTGCCTGCGTCGTCGAAGTTGATCAGGGCGTCGAAATCGTTCTGGGTCACTTCAGCGTCGTTGGCCAGGTCCATCAGTTCGGTCAGGCTCATTTCAGACTCCAGGGCAGGCATGGCGAGGGAATCTTTTTGCGTGAAGTTCGGGTTGAGGTTGTTTGTGCTGCCGTTGTCGCTACCGTCGGAGTGTGGCGGGGTCGAGGCGAATATACCTGAGGCGGTCCGCGCGCCGGCGGTTGCCTCCTTGGGGTTGGGGTAGGTCAGATCTGGAATCTTCTGGGCGAGAGAGTCGGGCGGTGGTGTCAGGGTATCAAGGCGGCTGCCTTCGCCGGTGACGTTGCGTCGGGTTGACTGCACGTCCTGCGGAGCAACTGTGAGTTGGATGCCGGCCTTGCGAATCGCGGCCTCCAAGAACGATGTGGCGAAGTCGGCCGACGCGTAGATCTCGCGCAGGCGTTGGAGGATGCGCATGCACTGATAGAAGCGCTGGAGGCTGGTCATTCGAATGCTCGGGTCGCTCGACTTGATGTCCAGCAGATGGATAATGACTGCCGGCAGGAGCACCGTGACTCCAGTCGTAGGGTAATACCGAGTCAAGTCTAGGCTATGAAGGTCCTGGGCAATGTTGGTAATTTCCACTGCCGCATATCGTACCTTGTTTCGCGACATGTCCTGCAGCTCCGCGTCCATAGATGGATACGGGATGGCCGGAAGAACCTGGGGGCGATGTAGCGCACTAGATGTCGTGAGGTAGACCATCTTCAGCAGGGCACGATGTGAGTGCAACACCTCCTCTGCCTCGGACAGTTTAGATCCGCCGGATGAGACGTATTGGGTTTCCACGGGGAGGTTGGCCAGCCAATCCTCCAAGTCCTGATCGCAACGGCGCACTTCGAATGTTTCCGCAGTTGACTTCTTCGGAACAAGCATCATAGTCGTCTCCATGGTGCCGCCGAATTTGTGACTCAAAACCGAGTACTGGGCTGACAGGACGTGGCTGACGCAAAGGCACAGCTTGGCCTTCTCGATGAACATGAGAGCCAGCTCGCGCTGGTGACCCACGTTCTGCAAGATCTCCGAGTTGCCCACCATGCTGACAATTTCTGGTGAGAATGGGTGGAATTCAAAGTCGTCCAGGGTCAACATCGGCACGTCGCAGTCATCGTCCTTGACGCGCATCGGGCGCCGCATGCCTAGGGCAATCAGCCGGTCGCGAGTGTATGTGCTCCACCAGATACGTTTCCACATCCGCTGGCGGCGAAGATCCATTCGCGAGTTCCCGGGGTCCCGGTGAAGGCCGATGGTGTGAGCCAAAGACAAACTGACTCCCATCCAATGCCAGGTGTCCTTCTGGTCGTCCGGGGTTTCGTACCAGTAGGTCATGAGAAGAAGAGACTGCACCAAGGAGATGCGGTCGACTTCATAGTCGAAATCATAGAGCAACCGAGCGCGTTGGAAAAAGATTTTGCGAGCTGCTTTGCGAGTTTGGTAGCCCGCGGCCTGCAGATGCTTCATGTCAATGAAGGCCATGCCAGCGAACATAACCGCCTGAAACAGCAGTAAACTGATCCGGTGAATGCCGTCGTTGTGAACGATCGTTTGCAGAAACTCCTCCAGATCCAACAAGGGCATGTAGGTGTGTACGTAGTGGATGTAGCTCTTCAACAGTTCATTCCGCAGGGCCACATCAGGGACGGTCAGCGCTCCTTTGGCGGCTAGATACTCGATGTCCTCCTTTTGCAGTCGTGCGGGCAGACCGCGAATATAGTCTGGGAGATAGACACCGCCGCGTGGGCTACCAAACGACGGGTCCAACAGCTGCTGAATCTGCGAAGTGACGTTGGCTAGGGGCATCGATGCTGGCACGGCCAGGTTGGGTGCCATGCGACGACGGTAACGGTCATCGGAGCCAATTCGCTGCACCTGGGTTTGATCTGGACCTGAGGTCAGCTATATACAACAAGGATTTGGTGGGAAAGGACGAACACAGCATATGCGGCATATGCTCCCGGTGGTCAATATCGACCGAGGTCTGCGAGGGCGAGGTGGGCTCCATCTCGTTGAACCCCAAGGAGTCGCTCAGTCTGTTGTGCAGAGTCAGATTGTCCTCCGACGCCTCGCCGGGCGAGTCAACAATCTGATTGTTGTTGTCTACTTCGACCCGAGATTTCCTGCGAGGCAGGCTCTATTAGCCTCAGGGGATTCTTTTTCTTTTCTTATTTTTTTTTTAAAGAAAAATTTATGATTCTTATCGACTTACTTTCTGCGCTTGCTCTCCGTCACGATGCACTCGACCTGGTCGAGGCGACAATTCGTGCAGGGCGAGCCGTTTTCTACGACATCGCAGCGCACCTTGCGGGCGCGGCAGCAACAGCATGCTTTGGAAGCGCGGCGCTTGACGGGCCGATTGTGGCCCGACAGGCCGGCGACAGAGGCCTTGCGCTTCCCTTGCGAGTCAGATTCGGTCATTGTCGCGGTGGCATTAATAGTCATAGTGTGAATGGGGAAGCGGCGTGGGCGGACATGCGTGTGGCGAAGCACATACGGTGTTGTTGAGAGAGTATAGTGTGGTTCGCGCGCCCGCCGGGGAGAAGGATGGTTAAGTATGCGGGAGTTAAGTTGAGTCTGGGGGCCCCGGCAGAACCGGGGAAAAGCCACTGGACTAGTGTCTGTTCCCCACCACGAGAGACATTTCCACCTTTGTCCCACAGGCGTGTCGTCACTCTGAGCTCGGGCCGGTCACGTTACCCCTCTCGGTCCGTTCGGAAGGTATTCCTGTTTAGGTGAGTCGGCTGTATGCTACGATTCTTATTAACTATGAAATGTTTCTCATCTTTGGGGATGATGATGAATCTGGCAGTGGTACTACTATCATGATACTCGTTGGACCCAAGGAAAAAGAAGACGAATAGTAACCATCCTGCCAGGAAAACTTCTCCAGTGGGCCTGGACAGAACTCCGAAATACTCCAGCAAAACCCCGATCCCGTGTGTGGTCGTGGAGCGAAAAGGGATCGGAGCCGCTAGCGTAGGGGGGACCAGTCGAGGCTGCCAGACAGGCCGATGGGCGGAGAATGGTTGGGCCTGGTGGGGGCGGTGTCGCAAGTAGGTCTGTTTTGGTGAGAGGCATGATTCTTCTTTCTTGGAAGCCCCATCCATCATCATAATGCCTCGAGAGATGTAACAGTGTCACAGGGTGAACTCCTCTATCAGCGGTATAATTGCCATGGAGAATCTAATTGATGTACTATTTAGTATAGGCCCCGCCAGAGTGAAAGAATTCTGCTCGAGTCGCCGAGACTGATCTTCCATGCCCCTGACCCGTCGTAAACCGTGGCAAGGGCCCAGATCACGGATTAGATAATAATAATAATCGCCCGGCGTTCGACGTTTCTGTGGGACCGAGTCAATCATTCCTGCAGCTGGAGAAGAAACTGCCGATTGTCGGAGAATTCATTATGAGTTTGATCATGGTCAAGGATGGCATTGTTCTTGTGCTTCAATTGTCCCGGACATGATTGGTTGGTATTGCCCCTCGGCTGACTACTGGAGAGAGCCAGCCCTCGTTCCGCGGATGCCAGCAATCTTCGACCACTCCGTTGTGCGCAATAATAATGGAGGACTGTGGGGAATCCCAACGCCTCTCCAGGCCGGTCGGGGCTTTGCGGGGCGTGATGCTGAGAATTCTGCGCTCGCACGCGGATCCAGTAGTGGGACGCCAATCATGGTCAGTATCGCTGGAAATTCCGAAACCTTGCACAATTCCGCTGTCTCTCCCAGATCCAGGTTCCATGCCACGGAACACCACCCGATCCCTGTATACAATTAGTCAGGTCAGGCAGGTATGTGTAGTTCTCCCGACTCGGCCAGGCCAGCAGTGCCGAGTCTAGCTTCCGAGTCCACGTTGAGTAAGGGTCTTGCCATGATTGGTAAGGGCGAAACTCTGCACCACGGATAACCGGATATGTAGGTTGCTGTAAGAAATCATTCACTGCAGGATTGCGGAGTGCCCTATCCCACGCCCTCGGACTTCTGCCCGCACAGCCTATTAGCCCCCATGGATTCCAGGGTTGGGGAAAACGGCTGATCGGAGGCTAGCGAGTACATAGTTCCCCAGTCATCCCACGAGCGCGGACGGGCCTGTGGCACGAACAGGACATATGTTGCTCGACTGCTCCGTACTATGGAATTATTTCCCCACGCTTTTTGACTTCGAAGAGAAGCCGATATGGAGGGCTCGCCCTGTCAGCAGGCTCGAAATCGACTAGGGGGAGGGGGTGGCGGTAGCACCGCTTGGAGCTCCCACATGGTTGGGCTAGACTGAAGCCGATCGCAACACGAGGGGAAACGGCGTCGTCATACCTAAGCAGTGAAAGTTGGTATTGGCTGCCAACTCGCTCACAATTCACAATAGGTGTGGGCGTGCATAGTCAATGCGCGCGCGGCTCATAACAGGCTGCTCACACACCAAAAAACCGGGTGTGGACTTTGGTGGATTTGCCTCCAACGGGAGTGGTGGCACTACTTACCTAGGGTTAAGCTCGGACGGGCGATTCGCGGGCTGACAGGCGATTCTCGGGGTCAGACTGGGTTGGATGGTGATTCGCTATGCCTGTGGTGCCAGTAAATAGCATCATCACATTTAGTAGATACTCTACAGGGTACGTACGCAGTCATTCAATAAATCATATTCACATATTCACAATAAAGTACGCCTGGAGGTACCAGGTCTTGAAGAATCATAACATTTCCGAAACAACGAGAACACCAACATCGGCGAGGGAGGGGAATCAAACGAAGAGAATCCAAAAACACACTGAAAATCATACAAGGTCTAGTATTCACTCATATGCCGCCACGGCCCATTCTCTCAATCGATCCCATGATCCCTCCACGGCCAGGGGTGAAGACTGCAATGCCCGACTTGCCGCCGCTGTTGGTTCGCGAGTGACCACCCGGAGCACCGTATCGGGGGATGCGCTTCTCGCCGTGACTGGGGTGACGGATGGACCCAGATCGACCAACGCTGCGACGGAGGGTGTCGCAGTCTTGTTCAGCAGATCCATCATTATTATCGTCCGCAGGAGCAGACGAGGAGACGGACGGTTCGCGGACCGGGTTTGGAGGCTGGCTTTGCTGAATAGCAAGCCACTCGTCCACCGCAGCGACCAGCTCGCCCTTCTCAGCGCGTTCGGACTTGAGTTCAAAACGCAGGTGGGCACTGTCTTCCTTCAGCGCGGCCATTTCCTGTTGCAGGCCCTTGATCTGCGCCTCCAGGACGCGCTTCTCGGTCTCATGCTCGTCGTTCTCACGGGCAATCATGCTAGCATTGGCAGCAACCATAGATTCCGAGGTTGCGGCGTCACGCTCAGACCGAAGACGCCTAGCTTCCTCGCGAGCAGTCGCGAGTTTATTTTCAGCCTCGCGCACGCGCTTCTCCCAGCGTCCCTCATAGCTCTTCTTGAGCGCGGCGACCTTGGTCTCATGCTTGCTCTTGTACAGAGTATGCAACTCACGAGCGACTTTCTCCACGGCGTCCTGGACTTCCCGCGCGGTATCTTCAGCGCATTTGGAGGCCGGAGCTGCCGAGCCAGATACCTCTGATGCAGAGGTACGGGCGGCCGACAATTGGCTTTCCAGCTCGACGAGCTTGCCCTCCAGCTGTTCTTTGCTCTTCTCAGCCTCCTCGGCCTTCCGGGTCAGACGGTCTCGTTCGCGCTCGCCTTCGACTAACTCTGCACGGACAGACCGCAAGACACTTTCCATCTCCTTGCCCCGGCGATCCCATTCACCTTGCTCAATCTGCAGAGCTTCTTTGCGCGCAGCTTCGTTCCGTACTTCTTCTAGAGCTTCACCGACGCGTCTTTCCGCATCGGCTATCGCCTTCTTCAGACTGGCGACCTCGGCGTCCTTTCCACTCAGCGTGGCCTTGAGGGACGAGATCTCAGACATGAACCCTGATTTAAGAGACTCCAATTCCCGGGGCGTGATGGTGGGGATAGAGCGAGGAGTCGGTGCAGGTGGAATATCAAAATCCAGTAGGGACGCCTTCGACGGAGACCGAATAGACTCCCGTAGTGCCCTCAGAGGTGACCGTCGCGACGGAGAGTACCGGCCACTCTGCATGGAGTGACGGGGGAGGAAATTCATGTGATCTGTGAGATCAAGCAGGTTGGGTGTTTCGCCCGGATTGTCTGTCTCCTGAAACTGTCTCCGTCTTGGGGTAGGGGATCCAACAGGCGGGTCACCGTCAACTATCGCACTGCCTCTGTATGCCCTGCGCGCTGTTCCCGGGGTGGCCGGATTATGGCGGTCTGTCAGGGCCGGACTGGGCGCAATGCTGTTACGCATAGCTTTGACAGGTGAGGCACCCCGAAGGCTTGCAAATTCAGTCATGTCCACATTGGGCACAGCGGAGAAGGTGCTGAGGCATGTGTCGTCCATTGAGTCATGCATATCATCGTCACCAGCTGGGATGAAGTTTTCTTTGTTTGCGATTCCACTATCGCCATCCTCTCGAAGCACAGTGCTCATTCCCTCGTTGTGCTTGTCTTCCATCACGCTATTGGCTACCGTTGAGCGGTTATGGGCGGCCGAGACCATGCTCTGGTTGTCGATGAGACTGGGATCATCGTCGACATGGATGTCAGGATCGCCCACTCGACTCACCATGCCCTTCTTGCATCTCTCGTTCATTTGCGTCTCATCCCCATGATCCTGTGGGGTCTGGTCAAACGACCGCTTTCGGGGCGTAGCCGTAGCGGAATTTCTACGATAGGGCGACTGGGACATGTGGCGCAATTTCTGAGAGTTGATTGCATTTTCCTCCGGCCAGAAGGGTGAGCTAGCACCCGCGTCGATGACCGGCTGTGCATCCAAGTCAGGCGATCCACCTTGCAGTTCGCGCAGCTTTTCGAAATCAACCGTGTCGTCCCTACCCTCAGGCCGGAATGGGGAGCTTGTCGGGACGTCAAGTGCAAATCTTTTATTCAGACCCGGTGACATGGCCGGCTGCACCTGACGCAGCCTTTGGAAGTCCACCGTCTCCTCACGAGCGTCAGGCTGGAAGGGCGAGCTAGTGATATCATCTGTGTCGCGCTCACTCAGACCAGGAGACATGCGCTGGATCTCGCGCAGTTTGTGAAAATCGACTGTGTCCTCGCGAGTCTCGGGTTGGAAGGGTGAGCTCGGGGCCTCGTGGAAGGAGTCGTTATCATTGACATCATCATTATCATTCTCGTGATCATTTTGGACGTAGAAATCGTTTTCGTCGACGGGGTACTCATGAGACTCCATATTGAGCTCCAGGGAATTCTTCAGCGGACTCGAGGGGAAGGGGCCCGCAGACATGGGCTTGGTGAGAAACGGCGAGGAAGTCAACTTTGGGGAGTGGGCTCGCACGTTATGGTGGGAGGAGGATAAGGGGGAGAGCGGATTTGACATGGTGCGTGGTGCAATGGTGGTCGTTACCTGGCGTTGCAGATATGCAGAACGTCAACACGAGCCTGTGGTGATGCTTTGTTGTGGCGGTTGCCCAGTCAACACCGCTAGTCCATATTGGGTCATCCGCTCTGTATACCGGCATGAAGTCAAGGAACACGCGATAGTTCTCTCTCGAATACACTGTCCTTCTATACACAGTACTAAGATCTGTGGGTATCTATCTATTGATGTTTCTCTGCCTTCATCGGACCCCTGAACGCCACCTCTTATATCGTAACCAACAATGATTCGTAGACCGCCAATCAGGCCCGTCCCAAAGCTCCAAGCTTTGTCCTCCCGTAGGCACCGCCCTTTGCCTTTCTCATCTCCAAGGCCCGCCGATAGGGTGGAGCCGTGGGCGGTTGCACCGGATCTAGACTGACGTGGTCTGGCGGCAGAGTGTAAGATGCGTCAGAGTCCCAGGCGGAGAGATCGCCACAGGCGATAAAAGAGGGGATCCATCGGTTCTCAGTTGCGAATTTGTCAGATGACACTTGCTGTGCTGGTGGTGGATTTGTGGCCGGGTGAAGAAGCCGGACCTCTGTGGTGTGATTGGGCGGAGCAGTACTCGTTGAAGTCGACGATACGCCTGGTTGCTGAACACACCTGGCTTCCGCATTTTCATCTTGTCCATCAGGCACTTGAACACCGACATTGCCATTTTCTGATAGAGACACTGGCGCTGCGGCCCCACCAAAGAGGGGGTTCTTCAATGCCTCCATTCCTGCGACCCCACCATGGCTGACGGGTGGGATGAAGCCCTCACAGACCACGAAAGCTTCGAGGCTGCTTGCACGACTACTCCGTGGCTTCGCTACGCTGACTCGCTCGAACACAGTGCGCAGCTGTGCATAAAGCAGGTCGACATCGCGGCCACGGAAGATTTTGGCCACAAATTTGCCCCCGGGGCGGAGCACGCCTAGCGCCAGGTTGAGTGCTGCGTAAAGCAATTGAGATTGAATATAGATATCGAGGTCATGAAGACCCGTCACATCCGGGGCACCATCAGAGATCACCAGGTCGACCGGGTGAGGTTGTCTGATGGCTGCTGGCGCCGGAGATGGCGAAGCAGAGGAAGAGGTAGATGAAGATTCGTAGGCCTCCGGGTCCAGGGCACGCAGAAGAAGAGGGATAGTCGAGGGGTGGGTGATATCTGCCTTGAGAGTCGTGATGCCCTCGAGGGGCGCCATGGGCTGCAAATCAATCGAGACGATTTTGACATTCTTGCGAGGCTTTAGCTCCGAGTTTGGCGTGACGTCCCTGTTCATCTCAATGTCTGAATCCACTGTTGTGGCACCCTCTTGTAGTGCTTGGCTTTCCCTCCGCTTCTTCTCAATCCATGACCGTCGACCAAAGCTCTCGCCCTTGATAAGCACTCGGCTCAACACTTGGCTCCAGCTTCCCGGTGCAGCGCACAAATCCACGACGCGGGTGACGTTGTCTGGGTTCTCGTACTCGAAAAGATCGAATTGCTCGTCGATCTGGATGAGCTTGAAGGCCGAGCGCGCGCGCCAGTTCTGCTCCTTGGCGAGGCGGTAGTAGGCATCGCGCTTATCCTTGGAGGATTTGCCCATAATGAACCGCAATGGTGAATATAAATGAGAATGATGATGAATAATTAATTCATGGACGTGGGGAGCGATAAGATGCGAAGGCGGCCATTTTTTTCTGCCGCTTTTTTTTTTCCTTTGGCTTCGGTCGTTTCTCCCACATCATCCCATTGCTTTGGCCAAACTCAACCAGCATCATGGGCCAGAAACGAGGGAGCGAATCCAAGACCCAGGCGCTGCAATCAAAGAAGCGCCGGAAGGCCGCCAAGGCCTCTGCAGAGGACGATTCTTGGGACGGACTTGTCGAAATTGATGATCTCAACTGGAAGGAAGTCGCTCTTCCTGATCGACTAGAAGATGCCCATGGGTTTTTTGGGCTCGAAGAGATTGACGGAGTCGACATTGTGCGACCGGAAGGCTCTGGCGAAATCCGATTCAAGGTATGCTGTGACTGAGTTCATTGCCGCAGAGCTGCTGCTGACCAATGCGCTGGTTGTTTATAGGCGAAAGCCGGAAAACCGAAGAAGTCCATTCTGAAGACACCCTCAGTGCCAATCGAAAACAGCGATGCAGAAGAATGGGCGGGTTTTAGTGACGGAGAGTCATCCAATGAGACTGCTGGCCCGGCCCACAATGCGCAAGAATTGAAGGAGGGCAAGGAGGCGAATAGAAAGGAGGCAAAGGAGGCCAAGAAGAAAGGACCCAAAGCCAAAGAACCGGCACAAGATCGGAATATCAAATTGGGTCTCTCATTTGCAGCGCTCCAGGAAACAGAAGACGATGATGGCGTTGATGTATCGACCTGGGATACTCTTGGCCTTTCCCCTGAGCTCTTGACGAGTCTGTCAAAGTTAAAATTTGGCAGTCCGACACCGGTCCAAAAGTCCTGTATTCCCGCGATTTTGAATGGGCATGATGTCGTTGGAAAGGCGTCTACCGGTTCCGGTAAAACTCTGGCATTCGGAATTCCAATCCTCGAATATTATCTCGAGCAACGGAGGGAGGATGACGGCCAAGAAAAAGGCCAATCGTCTCCAATAGCGCTTATACTTTCCCCTACCAGAGAACTGGCGCATCAGCTGGCTAAACATATCGGAGACCTCACTACGAATGCCCCGGACACCGATGCACGAGTTGCTCTTTTGACCGGAGGTCTGTCAATTCAAAAGCAGCAGAGGCAACTTGCCACAGCTGACATTGTCATTGGCACACCGGGCCGAGTTTGGGAGATTCTCAGCACTGGGCAGGGGTTGATCCGCAAGATGCAACAGATTCGATTCCTCGTCGTTGATGAAGCGGACAGGCTCCTCAGCGAAGGAAATTTCAAGGAGGTCGAAGAGATCCTTGCCGCCTTGGATCGGCAAGAAGATGGAGATTCGAACATGGATGACGATGAGGACAAAAAGCAAGAGCCCAAATATCGGCAGACTCTCGTGTTCTCGGCTACGTTCCACCGTGATTTACAGCAGAAGTTGGCAGGGAAACGCCAATGGACTAGCGGTGATCTCCTAAACAAGAAGGAGTCTATGGAGTATCTCCTCAAGAAGCTGAAATTCAGGGAAGAAAAGCCCAAGTTCATCGACGTCAACCCCGTACAGCAGATGGCAGAGGGACTTAAGGAGGGCATTGTCGAGTGTCCTGCGATGGAAAAGGACCTTTACCTCTATTCTCTTCTCCTCTATCATCCCAAGCATCGAACCCTTGTCTTTACCAACTCCATCTCCGCCGTCCGCCGGCTCACCCAACTTCTTCAAAACTTGCAACTCCCTGCACTCGCTCTTCACTCATCAATGGCCCAAAAAGCGCGACTGCGCTCAGTCGAGCGGTTCTCTTCACCTACGTCAAATCCTAGCTCCATTCTTGTGGCTACTGACGTTGCGGCACGCGGTCTCGATATTAAAGGCATCGACTGCGTTATCCACTACCACGCACCACGCACAGCAGACACCTACGTCCACCGATCAGGACGTACGGCCCGCGCGGGAACGACCGGTAAAAGCGTGATCATCTGCGCCCCCGAAGAAGTTGTCGGAGTTGCTCGACTAGCCGCCAAGACGCATGTTCAGAAGTCCAACGGCAACGGACCAACGAAGAAGCTTCCCCTGGAGTCCATTGAAATCGACCGGCGCGTTGTCTCTCGCGTGCGACAGCGAATAAATCTTGCCAAACGCATCACTGACTCCACCATCGCGAAAGAGAAGATCTCTGCGGAGGATAACTGGATGCGAGCTGCTGCCGATGATCTCGGCGTTGAATATGACAGTGAGGAGTTCGATGAGTCGAAGGGTAAGGGTCGGGGTCGTGGTGGAGGACGGCACCAGCGTGACAAGCAGGCTAGTAGCATGACCAAGGCTGAGATGGCTGGACTCAGAGCAGAGTTGAAGCAATTGCTCTCGCAGCGGATCAATATTGGGGTCAGCGAGCGCTACCTGACTGCTGGGCGGATCGATATTGAGGCTCTTCTTCGTGGAGAAGGAAACAAGTCGTTCCTCGGGCACCTTGACCCACTGAACTTCTAACCCTTCTGTGTATATCCTATGTATCCTCCAATATACCAATTCGCCTTGCTTAAGAATCCAAAGGTAGATACTGAAGCTACGGTTCCATAAGAGAGGCCAGGGGAAGAGAGTGAAATGACAGGCAACTATCATGGTTATGTAAATATTGCTTAGGCTGCCTCATATGGAACCTATACGTACAACGCCCACGGTCGATTCCCAATGCTGCCTAGATGCATTATTTAGAGGCATCTCTACAAGAGCATTAACAAAAATTGGCACAATCTCGAGGTCGAGGGCATCAAGCGTAGTCACTCCTATCGTTTTAAACTGCGTCTAATTGATCGAAGCCCTAACTGGCTCATCGGTATCCTTATCGTTGCCGGCATGCCGAGTTGATACGGGCCGAACTACATCCCGATACTCGGCTTCTGCCCCACTATTGAACAGAAAAATCAGTTTGCGGGCTCTGAACAAGAACTCAGGTGAGATGTTCATTTACATGGGAAAATTAAAATACCAAAATATCCTAGCGAATAATATATCCATTTGTCACTGGGGAAAGAGAGGTAGTGGCCTAAAAAAGATCCCGAGTCCGATTGCCGGAAGATCTCGCAGGTCCACTCGGCGCCATAAATCAAAAATTTCCATCGCAAGCCTTGCGATCATTCTTTCACCTAACAGGACTGCCTATATCTAGGTATCGACCATTGTTTGCACCAAGCTAGCTGCTCCGAAACCCGCTTCCACATCTGGATACTCCCTTATTATACTCGACGTCACAACCAGGTACTTGGTCTGAGCGCAGCCTTATGGTCACCGCTAACCCACCCCGTCTTAGATCCCATCAGCGAGGAGTATATACTCTGCCGCAATGTCTTATTTCCCCCGAGCAGCCCGAGAGCTGCTTCGCCAACCATCAATCGCAATTCCTAAAGTCCCATCCTCGCCCTTCGGGCAAATCGCCCATCTACACCAGAAGGGACCTGCACGATCGGCAGTTGTCCACGAACAAGCACTCCCACAAGTCCAAACACAAATCCCTCCAGTCAAAGCGGCACAATCCTCACAAGTTGAGCCAGCCAACATCGACACACTTATCTCCCACATTCCTCTGGTCCAATCTCTGCGCGCAGCACACAAAACCTACAAAGAAACTCGCCCACACCTCGCTATCCCACCACCGATACGGCAGCACCACTTCGTGGGCGGGAGTCTTTCTGGGTCGGGGAAGCTGGCCTTCCAACCGTATATGTGGACCAGCTCTACCCCAGCCTCTCAACAAGAACCAAATTCCAAATCCGGAAAGGGTACATCTAACAGCAACGTGACATCAATCTTCCACATCGGCAGCGATCTATGCGGGCACCCCGGCTTCGTACACGGCGGTCTTCTGACTGTGCTATTTGACGAGGTCTTTGCGCGGTGCGTCTCAGCATCCTTCCCGAGCGGGTTGGGAATGACAGCAAATCTTAATGTGGATTTCCGGAAACCTGCTCTCCCAGACCGTTTGTATGTCCTCCACGCGAAGACAGTCAAGGATGAAGGACGAAAGGCTTGGGTGGAAGGGCAGATGACATATCTTCCCTTGCCGCTGTCTATACCTTTGGAGTTCGGCGGCATTGTTCCCGATGCCACGGAGGCGTTGACGGAAGAGAGTGAAGGAGCTGTTATGGTTGCGGAGGGCAGGGCGCTTTTCGTAGAGCCGAAGTTCGCAGATGTGAGTATTCAATCCTTATTCACTGCCCTGTGTCCAGGTGTGGTCGGCTGACATGATTGAATAGTCCATGGTTTCGATTTATCGGAACTAGACTGTGGAGAGACGAGTTACGATATAATGTTGCTGGGTTCTATAGAGGCGGATTCTAGACAGATACCTTATTATAATAAACACTATAATGTTTCTTGCAAGTGCCACCTATCGCGGTCTCAGGGACCACGTATATCTCTACGAGGGTTAACCAGCTGAAAAGGAAAGATCGTCCATTGCTATCTAATACCGGGATGATAAAGGCTTGTCCCTCACCTTGATGACGCCGATCAACCCAGATGGCATAAAGAATCAAGGAACAAAACAAACGCCCGGTTGAAACAAATTTGGGGGAGTGGCGAAATGGGAGGGGGATACAATCCGGAAAAGTGTAATCAGGTCATCGCATCATGAGAAAAAAAAGCACGTTCGCTTTCAGTCTTCGTCAGAGAAGACGCGGTATGAAAATCATTGAATTTAGCAATGCCGGCAGTGCCAAGTGGTAGAGCAGAGGGGAAGGGGGGAAGGGGAAGAGGACCGAGGTATGTAATTTACGACAGGTGGAAAGCACCCTGGCCCTCTTTGATGGCGACTGACAATCGCTCCTTCAGGAAGTCCAGACTGCTGTAGTCTGGCAGCTTGAGGTAGTTGACGCAGGTCATTACGCTGGGAAGATAGTCATCGGGTGTGTATGGCGGTTCGCTTGGGCGGCAGACGACCGTGAAAATGGGGGTAAGACTCTTGAATCCTGCATTTCAACGTTAGTCTCAGCTGATCACCTAAACTGTTAGAAGACTTACCGCCGATGGGTAGTTTCGGGCTACCCGTAACAAACTGCAGGAAATCTCGGCGCTGCTGCTTGCCCATCTCGCTCATGGTCTGGAGCAGGTTACGCACACTGCGGCTGTCCATGTTGAAACCGTGATCGGCCTTGATTGAGTCTGTGAGGGTTTCGATGGTCCAATCCTCTTCAGCCTGCCCGAACAACATGACAAGTTCGTTCGGGGTGAATGCCCGAAGGGCAGAGTAAAGGAAGACTTGGGAAAATCCGGTTCGGAAGGCATCCACCTGGCGCCGAACACCGCTGCCCAGTGTCATGTCCACAACTCTGTCAACATAGGTGTCGACATTCTCTATGGACAGCGGAACGTTGGAACCATTTGGAATCAGGTCAATGTTGGGGTAGCCTGGCAGTGTAAAGTCAAGGCCCAGATCGTCGACAGAAACACCATCAATCAGCACCTCCTGCAGCGCCTTGGTTTTCTCTGAGGAAGACATTGACTTGCTCTCTTCAATGTCGCTCTTGGCACTGGCAAATCGTTGCAGCATGATCAGCGACTTGGCAAGGTCCTCGTCCACTGCCTTGACAGTACCGAGCGACGGGGCGACGGAAGAAAGATTATCTGCAATTCTGAAGAAGGCCGGGTTGAAGGAGATATCGATAATCCTGGAGTCGAGCATGGAGCGCGCAACAAATTTGCCCAGGATCTTGAAGATATTCAGCTGCTTCTTGCCAGATTCCGAAGCAGCTTGCTCATCGCTTATGGGCGCCGGGAACAGACCTCGTTTGCCATATGCGTACTCCCCTGCGGAGTCGCCATCGTTCTCTCTCCAAATCTTAAGTTTCTTCTTCGAGAATTCCTTGGACACCGTAGAATAGAACTCAAGAGTGGGACCCAAGCCAGTTCCCACTTCCTCGAAGTACTCCACTTCCAGAATGCTTGCTGAAGACCCGTAGAGCTCCATTACCTTCATTGCAGAGTCGAGGATACGTGTCCGTGAGATTCGCACCTTTTGACGTTGGAGACGACCAAGGAACGGCCTGTCATCGCGTCGCAGATCACGGCGGCTATCCTCCCCGCTCTGAGAGTTGTGCCATCTCATCATCGCCCGAGAATAGCCAAATGCGGTAGACTGCAAGAACAGATGCCTGGTCTCGAAGGGGAACAGGAATGGGAACAGTCGAGATAAATCTTCACTCCAGCTGGGGAGGCAGCTGCTCGCCACAATCAAAGGCTCTTCCAGTTGCCGGTTCATCTTGGCTGTGAGCTTGGTATTGATGAATTGGGCCAAGGGCTCCGGCGTAATGGTAGGAAGATCTCGGGACACGGTAAGAATGTCATCGATTGTGGCATTCATTTCATGCAGTACACGGAGGAGACGAAGAATTGACGCAGTGATGGTGTCCTTATTCAAGGAAGAGGGCATTTCAAGGCTATTTCCCTGAGCCGAAAAGTCGGGCATGCTAGTCGTAAGAGTGGACGGCTCCGGTGGCGGCGGACCAGGAACACGTTTGAAAGTGACAGTGTGAACAGCAGACCAGACATTTCTGGCATAGCCTTCGCCCACGTGTTCACGATTATGATGAACAGCACGATAGACGGTGGTCTCACTTGAGATAGGCTTGCCGTCCACACTGAACTCAATATGCCAGTCCTGGGGAATCGAGGCCATCGCAGCGGCGTAGGAAGAGAAGGGGCGCCCAGCAGTAGCCAAAGAGCTGCCACCCATGGGGGTAGATGAAGCAGTATTTGGAGCCGACGAAGACGGCTTGGAAGCCGGAGTAGACTGAGAGGGAGTTCCCACTCGAGTCCCATCCTCTTTCCGGGCCGTAACCTTGCCAGAGGATCCAACCTCCATATTGACGGCCGTGGGATCATGAACATTGTCATCCTCAAGGTCGTTTTCAAGATCGTCAACGATAGCGTTGAGCTCCTCATCCTCATCAGGTTCATCAATCTCGTCTTCATCCTCGCTCAGTTGTCTTTCGTCAGCACACTCAAGGGGCTCGTCATCATGCTCTCCGTCCTCCTCCTGGAGAGGGGAACGGAGACGAGATTGCTGGGTAGGAGCCGTCCGATCGTCATCAGTGGGTTCGGTTGCTTGACCACGCGCGCCTCCAGTGCGGGTTGGAAGATTGCCACCCAGCTGTGATCTAGGCGAGTTGGACGCAGCAAGCTGGTCGCGAATCCGAGCAGCGTTAGCGATCTGAGAAAGAATATTGTCTCTAGATCGTGACTGCCGAGGACGCTCTGACATGGTAATTCGTGGCTGCAGGAAATCTTCGAGGGCCTTGAACGTAGCAATGGCATGGATCGAGACCATGATGTTTCTGTACGGGCGAGGCACCTCAGACCCATCCTCAGCAACGAGTTTTAGCCGAAGCTGTTTGCCCAGCATGTACGTCGCGTTGCTGCGGGTGTTCTCCAGTGAGTTGTGGCTGACAGTGATCACCTCAAAATGTTCAGTTCGGCTCAACAGGTCCTGCAGCTTTCGAATCAGAACACTGAATGGTGTGGTTGCGGTACTTTGACTCTGGGCCTTCTCAGAAATGGATGCGCCCATAAATGCCTGCAAAAATGCAGCTCGCGCATTGCGAATGCCTGGAGCCTGCAAGTTACCAAGAACATCCAGCAGGACTTGGATAATGCCAGAGTTAAGCAGCTCCGAACTCGTAATGCTTTCCAGAGCATCCCCATCGAAGTAATATGCCAGTTTCTGGAAAAGAGAAAGGCCCTTTTTGTTTCCGCGATTGGAGAAACATTTCTCGATGTCGGCAGCCAGCGATTGAAGCTCGGTCAGAATCTTCATAGCCGCCGCCCGAACCGCACCACCGTTGGTGGCTTCATACATCTTGAGGAAAGCACGAGCATCATGAATAACAATGTCGTTGATAGCAGTGTCCATTTTCTTGAGATCCTGGCGTCCAGAAATTGACGAACTGTCTGATTCCGACAGATCGTCGTTGTCCTCGTCCGGATCATCATCCTGATCATCGTAATCATCGGCATCCTCATCTGCGGAATCATTGTCTTCCTCGGCTGCCGGCTTGATTTCATGAGATGAGTCAGCTGGTGGTTCAATAGCCGCAGCGCCGGAAGAGCCAGGGAGATCTTTGCCATTTGAAAGGAGTCCCTCTGATAATTTGACAATTTCGGATATGACCCCTTCGCGATGGAACTGGTGCTGATAGACGTGCTCGAGTCGCTGGAGGAGCAGCTCGGAGCACCGAAGAGCCAACGCAACCAGAGACGGATGGTCCTTTTGAGAAAGAATGGCAGCAAGGAAAGAGGCATACGGCACTGTACGCAAAGCGTCTTCAATGAGGGTAGGCTCCAGGATGTGCAGCATCTTTAGCTGTGCAATAAGAACCTTTTGCCGAACATTGAGATTGACCGTACTGGAGAAGGCGTCGGTTAAAGTCGGGAACAGTATCGTAGCAAACCGCTTGAGTTCTGACTTGCTCTCGGCCAACAACTTGCGCCTCTCCTCTGCGGTTTCTTTTGACCTGGACGACTTCAAGCTGACAGACATGCTATTGTCAAGATAGGAGCTGAGCACGGTATCTGTCCGCGAGCCCTCACGGTTGGGAATGCCTGGCAGCAGCTCGCAGATAACATTAAGTGTCTCGAACACCTGCTCACGCGGCCGGTGAATCAATGCCTGCATGACCAAAACACTGTCCATCTTGACGGCCGTGTTATCCACGTCTTGAGGGGGGGAGACGCCTGTCAGAATTTGGTAGAGGGTATCGACCACGTCCATTGTGAGCAATTCATTCGACAGTCGAGGGCTGGCCTTTGCTGTGATAGCCAACACGCGAAGGAATTGAGTGTGGACATGAGGACCAATCAAATTTGTAGTCCCCGGAAGCAAGAGTCGGAGAATGGCTTTCAGCATGGCTGGTTCAATCAACTCCTCCAGATTTGTATGGCGATGTTTGAAACTCTCAACGATACGCGAAACACATAGACAGCCCTGCTCGACAACTTTCGGATCATTGCTCGAGAGAACATTGAGAAGAGTGGGCATCACATCTCGAACAACGGGGAACGAATCGTGGGGGAGATTGCGACAGCAGTTGGCCGCTGTTGTCACAGCAGTGCGTTGGGTACTTGTCGGGAAGAAATCCAGGTAAGTCAGACAAGCCGTGAGCCCGCCTTCGCGTACGATGGACGCAGGAAAATCGACTGAGATTTTGGCCAGAGTCTAGAAGAAAGCAACGTCAGTCATAAATCGAAGGCAAAAGATGTCCAACTCTCACGCTTAAGGCCTGCTCGGCGAGGTCAATGAACTGTATATCCAGGAGTTTTTGACACAAGATGGGCACTGCCCCCCCGTAGACAACGTTAGCGACAGAGCCACGCAAAGCCTCCATGAGGTTGGCAAGACAGCGACAGGCAAGCAGCATAATCTCCGGATTCTCTTCGCCAAACTGGTTTGGCTGCATAAGTGCCACCAGCTCCTTCACGTACGGATCGGGCGAGAACTGGCCCGACAAATTATCTTCGTTCGACACCAGCAGGAGGTCCGACAACTCCTGGAGGGCGATCAGTTGAACGGAGGGATCATCCTTTTCCCTCAGATTACAGAGAATATCTCGAAGGCGTGAAGACATGCCAGACATCATGCCACTGAGGGCACGAAGGGTACTCTGCAAACCCATAGGGCCCCGGCTACCGAATAGGCTGCTATGGAACGGGTCCAAATCTTCCTCGTCGAAAGCCGAGGGATTGGTGTCATCATTGCTATCTCCCGTTGGGGACGCTTCCCGTTCTTCTTTGTAATCATGTTCCTCCAGATCCTCCTCCGCATCTCGCATTAAGACGTCCGGGTTTGCCTTTGCAGAGCGCTTCTTCTGTCGCCGGGGTGGAGGAGACTGCGTTGCTCCAAGTCGATCTGCTACAGGCAGATGATGCCGTTAGTATTGAGAAACTATAATAGGATATCTTATTCGCTTACCATTTCGGCTCGTTTTTCGACTCGGAGCGGGTGGAGACGTAGCGTTCTTGGAAGACTCCTCCGATGGTCGTGACGACGGACTATTCAGGTACAGTTAGCTTCTCCTTCGGTTTCCAAAAGGGTCTTAAACCCACCCCGGTTGTGACATGGCTGGGCGGCTGCGGGCGCCTCGGCGAGCAACTGCGGCAGCAGGGCCAGCAGAAGTAGCCGATTGCGAGGCTGTGGTCCGCTGTCTCTTGGATCTCCGCGGGGGTGAAGGTTGTGCTGGCTGGTCTGGGATATCAGAAGGGCGGTCGCGACGTGAGGAGATCTTGCGTTTTCGAGATGGAGCCGAGCCAGCGGCCGAGATGGGGGCAGCACCGGAGTCGGTGGAGGGAGGAGGATCTGCAGCGGTTCTCGCGGACGAGCGAGTGGTTCTGGATGACATGAGAAACTGGCCTTCTTAGGATCTCGATGGGTGGATGACGTGAGAAGAGAGGGTAAGGAGACAACACCGAGGTAGGTAGTTGGGAGAGAGAGATGACGAAGGAATGTGGAATCCTCCCGCAGTCCGGAGAATCCACGCCGAGGAAGTGGAGCAGGACCGCGGCCAAGGTGGGTAGAAAAGGGACGAAGGAGAGAGTTCGGTCGTCCACGGGGTTCTCGCAGGGTGGGAATCCCGTGGAGATCGAGGGTCGGGGGGTTGGGGATAGATAGGTCAAGTCACGGCGAAGAGAGAGGAAAGTACCTCAGGGCAGGAGAGGTGGCAGCTCCCGCGGGAGAGACGGTGGGATAGTCCTCAAGGGGGTCCTGGCGGTTGGCGGAGGGCCTTTGCCTGGCCATAAGTCGTTGGGGAGAGGGGGTTGGAGGAGCTGGGATTGGGTTGTGGTCAACACCGTTTCAACCCGCCATCCGGACACCAGTCGAAGGCTAGCCGAGACGGGCGAGAGGATGAGTAGGTCTGAAGAGTGGAAAGCTTTGGCAGCACAAAGAGAAAAGAGTGGATGGGAGGGAGATGATGGACGAGTAGGGATGAAGGGGAGGAAGAAGATGTGATGTGGTGGAGGATGTGGTGGTGACGACGGGAGTCGGGAGAGAGTGCAACATTCGTGCCTGGCTGCCTTAGTGTTCAAACGCCCTCTTATTATCGTTACTACTCCCTAGGTAGCGATATCCTTCCTATTCCAGCCAACTATTTCCATTCTGCCCAGTCTCCGATCGGGCATGAACTGGCGAGCGCTGCTCCGCGGATCATAGTCCGGGTCCTAGTAGTTACCTAACGACGGTAACTACTATATACTAACTACCGTGTAGGTAGTATATACCTCCTACATGTAGATACCGGTATTCTCATCATTCATAATCCTCATCACCGAGACATAGTATTTAATCGAATCTAATCATCTGTTGTTGTCCACTCTGGTTCGGTGGTCTAGTTCTGTCTCTCTTGACTCACCGAACACTTCCCTTTCCTCCTCCTCCGCCTTCGGCTGTTTCGCCCCTTCGATTTCGCCATCGCTTTTCTTTCCGCCTACTCTTCCCTCTCTCAATCTCTCTCCTTCTCTCCCACATTTCTCTCACGTCCCCTACGAAATTGTCCTCTCTTACCCCAGATTCCTCCCGGAATCCCTTTCCCAAACGGCTGTTCCTACCCCGGCCCCTCCCCCGCCATGGCGACGGAAATGATCGGAGGGCAGAGTGATGATGTCCACCAACCTCCAGCCCATATCCCCCCAGCCCCGATGGAGGACTACGTCTTCCCCGAACTGCGCTTGAAGCGCAAGATGGCCGACCCCGAGAAGACACCGCTGATGCTAATCGCGTGCGGCTCGTTTTCACCCATCACCTACCTTCACCTGCGCATGTTCGAGATGGCCGCGGATTATGTCAAATTCAGCACCGACTTTGAACTCCTCGGAGGATATCTCTCGCCAGTGTCTGATGCATACCGCAAGGCTGGCTTGGCCAGTGCCGAGCATCGGTAAGGAAATCTTGCTCTCGGAGCCGGTCGCACTGGAGCGCTGATTATAAATCCAACAGAGTCGCAATGTGTCAATTGGCAGTAGACCAAACATCCGACTGGCTGATGGTCGATACGTGGGAGCCGATGCAAAAGGAGTATCAGCCCACCGCCGTGGTGCTGGACCACTTTGATCACGAAATCAACACCGTCCGGGGAGGCGTGGATGCCGGAAATGGAACCCGGAAGCCCGTACGGATTGCTCTGCTGGCGGGCGCGGACCTGATCCACACGATGTCTACTCCTGGTGTTTGGAGCGAGAAGGATCTCGACCACATTCTGGGCAAATATGGGGTATGTGGGCTGCCTGTTCTTCTTGTTTCGTCTGCTAATCATCGCATCAGTCTTTCATTGTGGAACGCAGCGGTACCGACATCGATGAGGCGCTGGCGAGCCTGCAGCCCTGGAAGGATAATATCTATGTGATTCAGCAGCTCATCCAAAACGACGTCAGTAGCACCAAGATCCGGCTCTTCCTCCGGCGGGAGATGAGCGTGCGCTACCTCATCCCCGTGCCCGTCATCCACTATATTGAGCAACACCATCTGTACGAAGATGACGGCACAGCGGAGAAGGGCAAGGAACGGCAGGACGCAGGGAAGTCGGGTTGATGCCCAACCACCCATTGCAACCAGCGATACGCAAGATACGATACCCTCTGCCGGCGGGAGGTGAAGCGACGACATGACAATGATTTTTTCCCTTGGCGTTTTCCAGGAAGTGGACTGGCGGCTGTCTCACCTGCTTGATTATTCTTTTTCCGATGTACATAATGCCTCGTTCCAGCCTTGATTGATATACCCTCTGTACATATGACGAGGATAATTAGACCTGCCTAGACCCGTCACGGTGTGGGAGTATATGTATCCGCTGTAGTAGATCGGAGTTACTCGATCGGGCATCTAAGGATTCACCATCGGAGATTCGGATGACACCATCTGGGCATCTTACGGATGTATACTATCTGCAATAATCCTATCCGGGATATATTATAAATAGAGGCTGTGTAGAATTTAACGAATGGTACCCAGTCAATGTACGAATATCCTCCTCACTACTAGTATGTCTGATCCGTTATCATCCTTTATCGATCACCTCCGATCTTCCTTCGCCTCCACAATTTCCACTCCTTCAACGCAGCCCGTGTTGGTCTGGGCAGCCTTCGTCCATCAGCCGAGATAAATTGGTCTGACTCTCCCTAGCCCTCTCCATGATGGACTATTAGCCCTTCTTCTCTCTCTCCCCCTGCCCTCCATGTCCTCCCACAACGGCCTCTCGCCCTGGCCACTCACCCCACCAGATCAGAGCGATCCTCATTCTTCCCCGACAAATCAAGATGTCTCCACCGTGGTAACAGCCATCCACGTCCTCTCCACCGAGCGAGCCGCCCTCGCCCACCTCGAACACATCTACCAGACCGATGCACGGGCACAGCAGGATCTCGCCCGAGCCGTGGAGCAGATCGCGCGCAGCGTGCGCGAGGGCGGGAAGTTGGTAGTTTGTGGAGTGGGCAAGAGTGGCAAGATCGGGCGCAAGATCGAGGCGACGATGAATAGTTTGGGGGTGTATAGTGCGTTCCTGCACCCGACGGAGGCGCTGCATGGGGATCTGGGATTGGTGCGGCCGGTAAGCCTGATCTCCGTCCATTGTGCATGGATAGGGCTGACTGACTCGGGATCTAGAGTGATACAATGCTCCTGATTTCTTTTTCAGGCCGTTCGCCTGAGTTGATTGCTCTGTTACCGCATATTCCGGCCTCGGTCCCTGTCATTGCGCTTACATCTCACACTTCGCCATATACATGTCCCTTATTGTCTCTGCATGGTCCGTCTGGGATGGGAATTCTGCTTCCTGCCCCTATTCATGAAGACGAGGGGTTATCTTTTGGTGTGGGTGCGCCGACTTCATCTACAACAGTGGCTTTGTCGTTGGGAGATGCATTGGCCATCGCTACAGCACGGAAACTTCACACGACACCCGGCAAAGGTCCAGCAGAAGTCTTCCGAAGTTTCCACCCTGGTGGAGCTATCGGGGCAGCGACAGCCGCAGCAAACACGCCGACGACCGCGCCACCCAGCGATACAACGACGGCATTTGACTCCCCTACTTCCTCCGTTTCGACCTCCTGGGATGACCCCGCCGGCGGCACTATGATCCCATGTTTTTCGTTGCAACCACCGCCAAAACCTCGTCAGATTCCTCGATCCATGCTCGTTCCTATAGATCAGATCCCCACAGTGCCTCTTTCATCCGCATTGTCACCTCATGATATCCGCTTGCTCGACATACTTCTCACAGCAATCCAACATCCCGACGCCAAGTCCTGGGTATTTCTATCTTCGTCGGATATTGTGCCTCCACGGCGATTTCGCTCTGTTCTCGCACAGTACGATAACGTGGATAGGCGCGTTTGCCAGATAGATACTAAAGTGTCTGTACCTCGAACAGAATGGTTGCTGGTATCAGACTCGACGTCCCTGGAGGAACTGCGCCAAATGATCTCCACATCCCGAGACGGGCCTGACCCGGTCTCTGTCATTGCGGTGGTAGATGATATTGCAAATATGACCAGGTGCATCGGGGTGATGGAGGCGGCCGATCTGTGGGATGAATGATTTTGTTGAATCTTGTATATACTATCTGCATGGTTGCATCTGGTTGACGATGTTATGCTCCTTTCACTTCTGTCTTTTCTGCATTGGATTTAGATCATGGCATTGAACAGTCCTGCCATGTTTTGTTGGATTCTCTATTGTTAATACAGAGACAATGCAATAGCTAGGTAAAAATACATTTTATACACTCCCTTCAAAATCAAGCCTTGTGAATGGGCTTAATTCCCTTATGAATTGCCGCAATTCCACCCGTCAAATTCTCATACCCTTGCCCCGGAATCATAAACCCAGCCTTCTGGATCATACCCCGGAACTCCTCCTGGCTAGGAAACCGCTCAATGCTCTCCACCAGATACTGGTAACTATCGCGGTCACCAGCGACGATCTGCCCGATGAGGGGGATAGCACTGAAATTCCAACGCTTATACACCGCATCAAAGAGCGGGTTATCGACCTTGCTGAACTCCATGCACGCAAAAACACCGCCAGGCTTAAGAACCCGGAAGGCCTCATTCAGCGCCGCCTGCTTATCCGTGAAATTGCGAATCCCAAAGACAACGGTGTACAAATCAATCGAGTCCGACGGGATGGAGGGTATGCTTTCGGCGTTGGCTTCGAGGAAGGAGAGGCGCGGCGTGTTGTAGTAGGGTGTTTGTACGGAGCGCTTGCGACCCTCAGCGAGCATGGAGGCATTGATATCGCTGATCGTCACGCGGGTGTCGAGATCGTGGTTGATGTTTGTGGCGTGGTCGAGCATGCGGAAGGCGATGTCGCCGGTCCCGCCGGCGATGTCGAGGATGTTCCAGCCCTTTTGGGCGGAGGGGTCACGCGCGGGCAGGGAGGAACCTGGGTTGAGGGAGCGCACGAAGTGGTCTTTCCAGAGACGGTGGATACCCAGGGACATGAGGTCGTTCATCGTGTCGTAGGAGGCTGCGACGGAGCTGAAGACGGCACCCACTGGGGGTCTCGGTCAGCCCCATTGCTGTCACTCGTAAGCAGATTGTAGACATACCTCGCGACTCCTTCTCGGATTCGGGCACATTGGTGAACCCAAAGTGTGTCATGCGTTCATCCTGTTGGGGCTTCGTCTGCTCCCGGACGATGGGTGCGCACGAAAAACAGCGGTAGGAAGCTGGAGCATGGAAGACATGCCGGGTGGTGCCAGATCGCAGGGCGCGAACGAGGCGTGGTGACATTGTGAATTAAGTAGTTGTGTAGATAGGCAGGTAGTTGGAGCAACAGGGGTTTTGCCTGCCACCGACGATCCTGCCTGACTTTTCCGCTACGGGACCCACCTCGGCCTGACAGTGTCTAGAGTAAACAGCTGGTACGTATAGGTATAGGGAATAATAGCAACAGTTAATGAGGTCGGATTTATTGGGTGGGTTGCAGTTTGAACAAATTACTGGAGACTTCCTATGAAGACATGGTGTTACTCTAACAAGAAAATGTATGTATATAGAGCAGTCTGTCCACCTATTGGACAATGAAGTATAAAAACACCTGGAATATGATTCCTAATCTTATGAATAACGGATTGTGTGTACTTGTCAATCCCAATCATCAATAAATACATACATACTCCCAGAACGACGCCCGTTAAGGTCCATTCTATGCAAGGACCGGATCGATTCACCCAATCACCACTTGTTGTTGAACACTTTTCCATCAACATAGTTCACCAGCTCCTTAACCGGAGAGAGGTGATCATGACCCGCACCAAAGAGCATACCCTGGCGCAGAACCTTGCGGTAGTTCTTGCCCGGAGATACCTTTCCAAGCACGTACTCCTGGCGAGTCTCAACGCGCGTGGGGACGGGAATAGAGCGGCCCACAACGGCCTCCATACCCTGCCAGGCAAAGGTGATGGCCTCCTTTGCACCAGCGGGAATCCCGGCTTCGTCTAACATCATAATGCGGGTGTTGGGATAGTTCTTCTGGATGAACGCCGTGATATTCGGGTTGTATGCACCACCGCCGCACATGAAGATCTCCGCAATCTCCAGATCCTTCGGTGCATAGCGACGGTAGTGGTCCACGATGGCCTGGGCCGTGACACGGGTGATGGTGGCCACCACATCATCAGCACGAAGACCCTTGGCCTCGGCCTTGGTGATCAGCTCATGCGCGAGGGTGTCGCGGAAAACTTCACGCCCGGTGGTCTTGGGAGGGTCCAGGTCAAAGTATGGGTGGCGTAAGAAGTCGTCGACGAGCTCCTGGTCAACGGTGCCACGCGCACCCATCTCGCCGTCCTTGTCGTACTCACGTTCGCCGTTAGTGTAGTGGCGCACCACGGCGTCGATAAACACATTGCCTGGGCCGGTATCAAAGTCATAACATTCGTCCACGCCGCCGTGAGTATCTGGCGGAATGAAGCACACATTGGCGATGCCGCCGATATTCTGGCATGCCCGTAGTTTAGTTGGATGGTGCAGCACCAGCGCGTCGAAGAATGCAATCAGTGGAGCGCCCTGGCGTCCGGCAGCCTGATCACTGACACGGAAGTCTGTAACCGAGGTGATCCCGGTGCGTGAGGCCAAAAATGAGCCCTCGGCCATAGTAAGCGCGCTCCGAGTCTCCCCCGGCTCGGGCATGGAAAGCAGCCAGATAGTCTGGCCGTGGGAGCCCAATACATCGATGGTGTTGATGTCGACCTGATAGTCCTTGCAGAATTGATGAACCGCAGATGCAAACGTCTCGCCCAGTATGACATTCACTTCTGACAACTCGGAGGGCGAAGTCTGGTTATGCAGAATCATGTTCATTACCCGCTTCTTGATTACCGGCTCCAGTGGGATTTCCCCATACTGTACAGAGTTACGTATTAGTAGTGCTTTGCGGATGTCAGAAAATACTCACCTTGAGCAGTTCAAAGTGCATTGGCGACTCGGGAGTCTCCTGGCGGAAGCGGCAAAGAGCACAGTCGATACCGTCCTTGATTAAATGTGAGCTTCATCTTCCTATAACGGAAAGAACAATACTCACCATCGACGTCCCGCTGTTCAAACCCAGGACAGTAATGTCCAAGGCATGGCCGGAGGTGCCGTTGACTGTGTTTGATGTCATTTGAGATTTACTATACGAAGCCAACAGCAATATCGGAGGAATCGGAGAAAGCCATGAGGGAGCACTGGGTCTTATTTAATGAAACCTTGAACCCACACCCCATCGCTAAAACGACCGGATGGTGGAGAACACATGCCCAGCGCAAATCGACATCACTTTTGACATCCAATTGGCCTGATCCCCGAGAATGCCGTTTCGGTTGAAGGGGTGATCGGCAAAACGCTTAATTCCCGCTCACGGCGAGACACCGAACAAGGGCTCACCATTCGAAAGCATGGGTAAACGGCTATACGCTTGAATAAATCGTGGAGGAAGCTCGTCCCCACGCTTCGTAATATCAAGCGCATCCCGATCAACTGGGGACGCTCCGCTTTATATATGATTCGAGATCGCCCGATGGCAACCGGCCGATGAACTGCCGGGCACAGCGACATGGGCTACACGACTCTGTGGAAACGGCTCTCGCCACGGCAACTGAATGTTGCCATCCAGACTTTATCACTAATTTCGATCTTTTTCGAGGGCTATGACCAAGGTGTCATGGGCGGCGTCAACGCCTCGCCCGACTACGTGACCACGGTGGGCATCGGGAAGCCGGATGGCACCGTGACAGACACCACGCACCAAGGCGGCATCGTCAGTGTCTACTACTTCGGCGCTATCTTCGGCTGCTTTGCTGGTGGCTGGCTGGCAGACCGAATCGGTCGAATTAATGGCCTTTTGATTGGCGCGTTGTTTGCTTTGGTCGGCGGCGCCTTGCAGTCTGCTGCTCAGAACTCAAATTTTATGATATGTGCTCGAGTGGTGACGGGAATTGGCACTGGAGGCAAGTTTATGGGTGTTTAGAAAGGTGCCTCATACTAACTCTCATCATTGCAAAAACAGCCCTCACCGGTATCACCCCTGTCTTGGTGTCGGAAACCTCTTCGGCAAACCATCGCGGGGGGTTTCTCGGATACGTCTTCATTGCCAACTGTGAGTTGAACCAAATACCATTGTGGCAGACATTTCTAATTTCATCTAGACCTAGGAATATCTATCGCGTATTGGATCTCCTTCGGCCTCGCCTTCGTCAACAATGGATACTCAGCTGTGCGATGGAGGTTTCTCCTGGCCTTCCAGTGTTTCCCTGCCCTCATCCTTGTCAGCTTTATCAAAATGCTGCCGGATAGTCCCCGATACCTTGCGTCCGTTGGTCGGAATGAAGAGGCGCACGATCTCTTGCAGCGTATTCGCAACCACAAGGCCACACCGGAAGAGATTGATCGGGAATACTTGGAAATTATCACTTTGGCAAAGGACTGCCAACGCAGTTCTCCCATCCAGTTTGCAAAGATATTGCTTGGGAAGGGTTCAAAGACCCATGCAAACTTGGGCCGACGAGCCTGGCTCTGTATCTGGCTTCAGATCATGGCTTCCTGGACTGGTATCACAGTGCGTATATCCCGAATTTTCTCTCAGATCTTTATTAACCTACGTTGCAATCCAGGCCGTCACTGCATATTCCCCGGTCCTTCTGCGCCAAGCTGGATACAGCACCATCAAGCAGAATGGTCTGGCTGGAGGCCTTAATACAATTGGAATTATCGGCACAATTATCAGTGCTCATATTGTTGATCGCCTAGGCCGCCGTCCCTGTCTGATGGGTGGCGCGGCTGTTTTGTTCGCTGTCAATCTCATTGTATGTATCTGTCTCTCTATGTGTTGTCTATTGCTAACTGTATTCCAGGCTGGAGCTGTGTATGAAGGCTCGTTGCATAATCCGGAGAAGGCCGCCCAGTACGCCCCTGGTGCTGTGACCATGCTGTTCTTGTTTAACATTGGGTGGGTTATCTATACACCACTTCGAACCCTTTTCTTAACTGACATGATGGGATTTGACAGTTATGCTGCTACCTGGGGGACCGTCGCATTCCTAATTCCCACAGAGATCTTTCCTAGCGAACTGCGAGCCCAAGGAAATGGCTTTGGGATTACTGGATGGGCCATTGGCGTGGGAATGACTACTTTGGTCAACCCGATCATGTTTGATACTATGAAGGTATGTTTGCCAAGTAGTCTTTTGCTATTGGCGCCGCTGACCATCTCATCTTAGAGCCGAACATACTTTCTCTTTGCTGGTCTCAATCTCATTTGGATCCCCATTGTCTACCTCTGTGAGTCTGGCCCTGGAATACCTAAAAAGATGCAAGCTGACAATTGGTTTAGTCTACCCGGAGACTCGTAACCGCTCCTTAGAATCGATTGAAACACTATTCTCGACTTCAAGTCCCTTCTACTGGAAGATGGAGAAAGCATATGAACTGCATGGTGATGTTCTGGCCGAACACAGAGTCAACAAGGGCGGAGCTCCTGATGCTGGAAAGAATGCGCGGACTTCTTCTGAGAAGCCAAAGGTGGAGAGGATTGTGTAATACCACTTGTATCTTGTACATTATAGGGAGGGTGTTCTTGGTTGGTTGAATTTGGTTCTGTGAACGGGACAGAAGGGAATAGATATAGAAAATCCATAGTTCCAAACGAGCTTATTGATCCCGCATGCAATCCTTCGATGTGTCACGAGATCTCAAAAGAGCGTTAGAGCAATACCCTCATGGAGTTTACTTGATCCTAGGTACGACCGCCCTTAATCAGTGTATAACTTGTAACCTAACTAACTAGATGAGATAAATTACAACTCGATATCTCAACAACAATAGCTTTTTATAGTATCCTCATAGTATTTAGATCATATCTAACCTATTTCTGAGATTTAGACACTGTGAGATTCTGTTCAAATATATATATCTAGCGCATGCACTCCTATATTTGTTAGTAATGCAATAAATGTCTGTTGAACTTTGTTTTCACTTCGTTTGTACTATTGATGACGCATAATAGTTTTCTACTAATAATAACATACAAGGAACTTGTGGTTATTGAAAAATTGAGTTACGAAAATCATGTTTTTACTATGGTTGTTTTGGGGTGCGGCGCTCCCTTCTGGATTACATTACTTACGGGTTCCAGGTGATCGTGCGCCAAAAAACACCTGATGGTGGGTCAAACGGAAAAGCTCCCTCACATACCCGCTGACTAAGAACGCGTGACTTCATACTTGCTGACTCATCTCCTCAGTGCGGTCTCGCGGTTCTCTTCTTTTGTTCCACTGCACTTACTTTCTTGAGACAAGAATTAATCGCAAGGGGGGAACTTAATTGATTGATGCATTTCTCAGTCTTGTCCTACATTCGACGACATCGATCTCCTCTCCCCAGACAGACTACACGTGTCGTAGTACACTAGGCGCTCCTTACTGTCAAGCTTCGTGCAATCTGCAAAGCTCCGCGCCTTTACCCAAACCTCCTACCAACCTGGAATGATCTAATGAATGAATGAATGTCGCTAAAACCGCAAAAACCACGGAAGCTGCAGCGCATTTCCAAAGCCTGTACGTATCCTCTGGCCCCGGCCGATCTGGGGTTCTCCACTCTTTAGTTTGGTGACCTGTACCCCGGATATCAGACACTAACCCACGCAATGCAGGTGACTTCTGCAATAGACGCAGTATAAAATGCAGTCCAAGCGAGGATCCGCTAGGTCGCTGTCAGAATTGTGTCGATTTTGATGTGTCGTGCACCTTTAATCGCCCGGCGAAACGCCGGGGCGTCAAGGCCGGCACTCGCTTTAGTAGTAGTGACGTTCAACTCGGGAGGGAATCGGTCGATCATGGTGTCCCTTCCTCAACAGCATCTGGATACCGAGAAAGAGCCTCCGCATCTCCCGCTTCTCGAAGTTCCTACCGTTTGTCAGTCTCTGGCGACCCCTGGCCTACTTTCAACCCGGGTTGGTTGGCAAGAGAGGGTGATGACGAAGATGCGGCGCTGCGCAGTTCGTGGAAAGCATTTGCCATTGCGTGTGACCGGCAAATAATGAACTTGGTCCAAGTTTATTTCGAGATCGTCTATCCAATGTATGGCCCGTCAAATTGTTCCAGCTGACTATAGTGACTGAACAGCTCATCTCTAGATTTCCATTATTTCACAAGCCGTCGTTTATCGAGAAGATCAATCGCAAGGAGCATCTCCGCAACCAAGGGCTTTTTGCCTCAACGATGGCGGTTTGCTCCTTGGTCTCCGGTCGTGCGCGTGACGGTGCATTGTACTCAAATAAGTGGCATCGAGAAGAGCTCATGGATCCACCATCCGAAGCCTTCTATGCAGCAGCGAGGGACTCTATTCCTCGAGATCTTGTGGCTGCTAAAGGAATTAATTATATGCGTGCTTGTGCCATTCTTGCTATTGCCAGCATTCAGAATGGTCAAATCAAATGCATGCAGAAGTATTCTGGGCTGTATCACACGCTGACGTCGATGGAGGGCCTTCATGACGAAAAGCTTTGGCCAAAAGATTTAAGTCCCATTGAAATCGAAGAGCGTCGGAGACTGGTACGGACTTTTCTTTTCTATATATTGCTGCTTTACTGACCAACGTGGCAGTTCTGGTCAATCTATACCTTAGATATCTATGCAAGTGTTGTGTGGGGAGGCGTTATTCGATACCGCGAGGCCCATTCATTGGTGCGCTATCCGACTGAAGTGGATGACGAATTCATCACAAGTCAAGGCTATAGCGTGCCACCAATATCACCGGAAGCAACATCCTTTCCTCCAGGCGAAGCCACCGTGGTATCCCACCAGCCTGTGAATTGGCTGCGTGGTTGGAACTTTACCACAGACCTTTATCGCATCCTTGAGCACGTTATTGATGGAAACAGACGGCGATTTTCTTCAGTAAATGGGACTACACAAGTCTGGTCTCTATTCAGCCCAACATCCATGTCGGAACCAATCGTTATGGATAAAGTCCTCACTCTGTACTCTGTACTTCCGTCACAGTTTCGAGAGACGCCGCCAATTACAGGAGACATGTCTAAGGACTTGTTTGGATTCCAGTCCGCCAATATCCAGGCGACACTACAGCTCCTTCGCATGGTCCTTCTGTCTGCGGAAGAGATTGGCGTCGAGCGAAAATGTGACGTTGCAGGAGAACTGCTCAGCGTATTTTCGAATGTACCAGTGGAGTATCTGAAAGCGATCAACTCCCCTCTGGTATGTCTTCTTCCCACTACATATGTCGAATAAGTGCTAATAGTCTCTAGCTTCATCACCTCGGCGGTATCGGTTATATCCTTGGGTCTGTCATGGAGGGAAACCTGTGTGAAGCATCATACATCCGGGTTCGCACACTACTGTACGTGCTCAATCCATTCCCCTGTCGTTGCATACAACCCGACCTTTGACTGATCTGGAATGTAGTCTTGAAATGGCAAATTTACTTCAACGTCTCGAGACTGGCCTCCACCGAGCTGCCGGCACCAGCGAACGACTACGGTCTCAGGTTGATCGACTAGACGCTTATATGCGTGCCTCGAGGATGTTAGATCTTACAGCAGCAAGCAACGCGATGCAAGTATCAGACACAAAGGCCGAACTTGCTCTTCCCTCAGCATATCCACAGGCCAACCCGCCCGTCGGAACCACACCTGCTGCTGGCTTCGACCAGATGCCACAATTCCAGCTGCCACCAGAACTGTTAGCAGATTGGCCATGGCCGTTTGATTCTTCCAATTCCGAGGGATTTTTTCCTCTGCCGTTTGAATGATATTCTACTGGGGTTTTGATGCTGGGGTCTAGGGAGTGTGGATTTATAACTGGATCGGTATGTAAAGCGGATGTTACAATATATTGTGCGAGTATCAATAAACATATCTGAAGTGAGGATGCTCCTTGTCTGTGAGATCCTGGAAATCTGCGGAGGATACACCTACGGGTGCTTGGGATTCGGATGGGACTTTTCTGGCCTTCTTGCGATTTTCTCTAGCCAAATAGAGCCTGATGGGAAAATATGTCAGCTACGGGTGCTTTATTGCCTCCTGAAGTAAAGACTTACACCATTAGAATCTCGATCACGATCATGAGGGCAACGCTGACGTAAAACGCTCGGAACCCAGTAGGATACGTAGGGGCTTGGCTGTCAATAAAAAACTGTGGAGCAACAATTTGTCCAACAGCATAAGAAATGAACATCATTACCTATTGATCAAACGTAAGTGTCAGCATTTTGCTATAATCTCAAGAGACGGGGAAACTGACACCACAAGTGGCCTTCTTAGTAAATCCACCAATATTCGAAGAGATCAAGCTCAAGCACATAATATATGGAATAGTGTTGACGTAGAGAACTATTAACCACGTTAGATTTGCTTTTAAAAGGCGGTTAAAAGCATGGATACTTACTATAATTTGGCGCAAGTCTCTGTGAGACAGGTAGAGCTATTTGTAGAAAGAAGAGAAAGTTAACGGAGTAAAACTCAAGCAGTGGAATAGAACTTACTCTCAATCAATACACTTCCAATCAGCACGATGATATTTGCAAGAATCATCATCATGCATCTTGTATTAGGAATAACCTGGGAGATAACACCGGCCAGGACATTGATGAGTAGTTGAATTCCATTGGCAGGCATGCCCATAACCACGGTCTCGCGGTCTGAGTATCCCAAACCTTGGAGAACAATCTTGCCAAACTGCTCGTCTTTAGCAGAAATCTCAAAAGGATGTGCCTCATGGACTTACAGCAGTCAACCCCCCTCCGGGAATACATTGTAAAAAGCTCTGAGCACACAGCATCCAGACTTGTATGTCAAGGAGAGCCTCCTTAACCTGGTATAGTTTGTATTTGCGATTTTCAATACCCGTGTGATTTTGAGCAACCTGAAAAACTTCATTAGTATGTCAATTATATATAAATTCCTGACAAGGGACATACTCTCATAACGCTAATTTTTCTTTCACGCTCTGTCAAGAACCAAGCAGTCATCGGAGAGGTCGGCAGGAAGAAGAAGAGGAAAATCCCCCATGCAATACTGATGGGACCAAAAACAAGAAAAACAACCTGGTAATTTGGATTAGATTTGAGATTTTATCAATCGGAGAAGGAGGCGTCGTACCTGCCATGTGGCATATTGACTTCCGGTCCACGCTCCCCCGGACACAGCATATGTGATCGAGTCGGCTATAAACCCACCGACGCCTCCACCGGCCCACCAAATCGAAGCGCGTAGCGGTTGCTCGCCTCGAGTCCAGTATTGAGAAACTAGAATTGTCAAAATGGGGGAGTAGCAAGTCTCAAAGACACCCAAGAAGAACCGACACACGGACAAGCCCGCGAAAGAGTTGGTCGCCGCTGTGCATGTTGTAGCGACACCCCACAAGATGATCATCACTCCAAAATATCTGCCAATTGGCAATTTTTGCATCAGAATCGAGCTTGGATACTGCGCAAAGAGGTATCCGAAATAAAAAATTGAGTTGGCCCAGCTATATTGTTGCCCTTTCAAGTGCTGTTCCCCCGAGCAAGTCATTGTCAGTTTAGTTTGCGAAATAGCTGCAAGGGTAATTGATTTCAGGACGCACATCGCCGTCCAAAATTCCAAAGATTGAAGATTCTCCCAAAGCCACTTTGTCCATGAAGGAAAGAATATATGTAATAGCCATCTGCAGAGAGGCCCGTCAGTTCTCAACGAAGCTCTGTACCCGATATATTCTCTCTTCAAAACATACCATTGGCAATAAAATGAGATCAAGCTTCCAACGAACAACCCGCGCCTCATCTGCAGAATATTCAAACATGTCTCCTCCAGATGAAGCGAAAATTTGCATTGAGTCATCCTGATTCTGGTCTGGTGGACCGTCTTTCGGGGTTTCGACGCGGGCCTCGCCCGCCTCCGAGTGCTTCTCCGTCATATTGTCAAGTAGCAGACACGTATATGGCAAAAGGGAGGAATTCGACAAAGTACATAGCCAGTGCTGGTATATCTTGCCACAGCATATTTATACGTAGCTTTCAATTTAAAATCAGCTAGCAGAGAAGGACTATCTCCCCGCATAGCTGATCCCTGCGCGTGTGGAGAAACCGTCGGCTCTGCATTCCGCTTTGCCTTTTCGGGAGCACTTGGCGACCCTGTCGCTGATAAGCCCTAATTAGGAAGCGCCAAGTAGATTCCACGCTAGAGATGGATATGAGAACACCCACATATTATTATTTGGGGTCAAGTGACAGGCCATTAATCTTCCATTTGTGGAACACATAACTGACTTTGGTTGGTGCGTTCTTACAAGATAGCGTCGCTAACAGCACCTAAAAAGGAAACTTCCCTCATAGCCAATCACGATACTTCTGTCTTTACTTTAAAGATCAGGCAACAAATTGCCGTTCATATAAGAGCACGCTTCTGGATGTCCACTATTAGTGAAAAAAATTAACTTGAGCGAGCTCCAATCTGCGGCACCAAACTAAATCATCATGAGGACCGCAGTTGATTCTTCTTCCTACCAACATGTGGTCGTTCGAGGCCTACCATACGAACGTGGTTATTCTCACGGCCAGCAAGCTGCCCCCAAAGTCAAGGCCAATGTGGAATACTACAAACGGCCCGGGAAGCTGACTGAACAGTAAGGAATCTAATAAGCATTCATTGCACGCTTCTCTAATAAATACCGCTAGTGCATTGATGGAAAAGCTCATTAAGGATGTGTATATTCCCAACATCTCCGCGCACTATCCTGCGGCCCTCGAAGAGATGAAGGGTATTGCCGATGGTGCTGGTGTGTCGCTGGAAGACATCGTTCTGCTGAATGCTCGATATGACCTGGCGCGAGTGGATAACCCTGAAGACGACCAAGCGAACGAATGCACGAGCGCATTCTTTCTCAAGGAGACCACACAGAGCGGAGATGTCCTGAACTGCCAGAATTGGGACATGTCTGCGCGGCTGTGGTTGACGGACTGCATCATCTACCTCGAAGTGCATCCAGACCCGTCCGAGGCGAAGCCGTCCATGTTTCTGGTCACTGAAGCCGGACAGCTGGGCCGTTCCGGGATGAACTCATTGGGGATTGCCGTGACAGCCAACTCACTCATGTCTACCGAGGACTATGCGCCCAGCCCCAAAACACAAAAGCCGGTGATGCCAATGTCTTTGCTTCGACGCATGATCCTCGAATGCAGTCATTTATCTGAGGCGTTCACCTTGCTTGAGAATTTCCCACGCCATGTCTCGAATAATCTCACCCTCGCCACCGCCGAAGGGTTTGGTATCTGCCTGGAGATAACTCCTAGCCGAATTCACAAGGTCTACTGTGACATCGACGACAGTTACCTCGTTCACACGAACCACTTCACGGAAACTTCGTTTCTGGCGCGCCAGGATGTGAAAGACCGGTATCCAGGTGGAAGTAGCTGGTTTCGACGCCAGCGATTCGAACAAGGCATCCGGCCATACAAGAACGGCCTCGTCAGCAACGAACAGCTGATCAAGGCTTTCTCGGATCATCTGAGCTATCCTGAAGCCTTGTGCTGTCACCCGGATAAAAACCCACTTGATAAGGTCATTGGAGGTTTGCCTGGGTACCCGTTCCGAGGATCGACTGCCACAGTGGCCTGCGTGATCTATAATCTTTCCCAAAGGACAGTCACGACGTGCAAAGGACCTCCATGCCAAGGTATTTTCAAAACTTTCCAGCTTGAAGGACCGGTGTCGCTGGAGGATACTGCGCCCAAAAAGAATGGTAGTGAATGCAAGGAGCGTCGAGAAGTCCCGTGATGTGACCCCGGATGGGGAATGTACGAGGTTGGTGGTTTTTGCATTATTCATAGAACTGATATTGATATAATCACAATTCAAAAAAGATCTTTCATACTTGCCCTGCTGCCATTGCTATCCTGCCATTGGATAATCTGTTCCAATAACTCTCTGCTTTTGACCACATGGAGACCCCATTGATTGAGATCTTTCATATAATCAAGAATCCAGTCTTGATAGACCTCATCGTCAATTTCGATTCCAGCGACAAATAAGGGGAGGGGCCAAATAACAGAGCGAGGGGATTCAAGGGACTTCGATTTTCGGAAAACCCTGCAGAGACGGACAATCTCTCGCGCCGCGGATTGGGCGTCTGGATCTGTTCGAACAGTTGGGTTGGTGACTCGGTTGAGCATTATTGTAGAGGATAGGCAAAGTGCGCGGACGGTCATGATGTGAAAAGTGCTTGTGTCAACATTTTGGGCCCAATTTGAGCCTAGCATATGCGAAGGAAAGACGAGTTCACACTCCTGAACAAGTCTTAGTTAGCACTTACGAAAGAAAGAGTCTAGTAAAGACAAAAAGCAACTCGTGGTCACTCACTGCGTGGATTCTCGCTAGGTTAGCACGCAAAGCATCGATTTTCGCCTCTCGCAGCTCCTTCAATAAGGGTTCGGCGTTACTACTGGATGGCTGTTTCTCGCTTTCCCAAACCTCAAAAGATCGAAGTTTACTGAGGTACGAGAATATCACGTCGAACTTTTCGCGACATCGTTCCTTCCCCAGTTCCTGGTCATTTTCTTCCTTGGGAAGACCGTTTCCAAAGCATTCCCGGAGATAGGACTGCTGCTTCCGAGGCCCCCGTAGAGTTGGAAGGGCGTTCAATTCAACCAACAGCCCCATCAGGTCTTGTTGCTCATGGTCGGCAGGGTCGACACTCCCACCCAGAAACAGAAAACGTAACTCCATAAAAGCAAGCCAGATGACGATCCGAGACTCGATTATCCCAGGCATAGTATTATTTTTCCAGTGCCGGCGGAATGTCACTTTAGTTTCATTTATTCGGGCGATAAATGAACTGAAATCGCCCACGATGAGATCGTGATGACATAGGAAGAATGTGGTCGAAATATACTGAGAGAGTTTCTCCGACGAATCAATCGGAAAGGATGCTGGAGATGTGGTCGAAGATCGGTCACTCAGCTCATCGGATAGTAATTGAACAAATTGCGACGCAGTGGTGTAATGAGTTACTCGTGAGGATTCCGAGTAAAGTCCCAAACGGAAGAGATATGCATATGTCCAGCTGAGGATACCATGGAACAGTGGTGAGTTCGGAATTGCTTGCGCCAAGTTGATGAGATAGTGGTAACAGCTCCAGATAGAGCTTTTAGTCGAAAGCCACTCCGGGACTCGGTTCATGTATTGACTCCAGACTACAAAATCCCAAGCTGGGTCTGTTAAACTAGTTAGAGGACCTGAAGTAAAGTTGTCCTCAGTACTTGATTGTGGAGAGTGCAATATGGAAGGCGGAAACAGGACTTGGTAAGCGGCAAATGGGTCCATTGGAATAGTCTCAGTGCCCTGTCGTTGCCGAGCAGTTGTAATAAGATCAGCCCGTCTGTTGAAGTTGTCTGGAGCAATAGATGCATCCAAGCTTGATGTTCCCATGTCTATTCGGAAGTTATCGAACAGTTCATCGAACATTGAGCCCGAAGGCGTGTCGCCGACGGAATTTGCTTGCATAGGTGATTGAACTCCATGACCCGGCGTCTGCCTATTGCATGAAATGAGAGGACTGGAAACCTGAAATTCCGATGGATCATCCTGTCTCTGCTGAGATGTGGACCATGATCTGAAATTCTGATGGAAAGAAGAAACACAGGATAGCCGTAGGCGGCGACAAGCGTCACAGGGCGTGGAACGCGAATTACACTTGACTCTGCGCCGGCGACAGGTGAGGCAACCGGCGACGGAGCGAGATCCTCGGCGCGCTGAAGTTTGGTCGCTCCCTGAATGTCTCATGGTGTGTCCGGATGGGATTGTCCGGCGGTGCGGAGTTGACCATGTTTCTCTCCCCCACGCTCTAACCAACCCTGGAAAGTCAACCCCAATCCGTGAAGCCTCAGGCATCACAAACATTGTGTTGATGTCCTTGGAATGAAGCACGTCCTATTTCTTGGAGTGCCAGGCCATATTTTGTTTACCACAGCTTTCAGTATGGATTATATTGCAACAATAAGCTGGAGAATGTCAAAGGTGACCTCTAACAATGTATGTATGCATATCACTTATCTCGATAAGTTTCCACTTTAGTTCCGGTACTAATTGTATCCCACTTTTTCAAAGCACCGCAGGGGGAAGAACCCCAGACTGGCCCCGGATATATCATTAGGAATAAATCATAACGTCATCCAGCCTCTCTAACATCGGGCTCACCTTAACCCTCAGACAGGGTTGTAGCTTGCCAAATCTGCCGAAGCAAAATCTGGGAACACGCGTGTGATAGTTGCATCGTACTAGATTAGATGACCTCTACGTCTACGGCATTCCGGACATATTGTTTAGGGGACATAGACATTTACGCGAATAATAGTACAAGTGCGAGTATCATACAGAGCCATCGATAAAAGTTCGGTGATAGCGTTGCGCCCGATGAGACTGGACAGTCAAATGAGACGACAGCGGTGACGTGCTGCGCCAATCGTTTACTCATCCTTGGATCCGATGGCCAGAGCCTGCTGAGCGAGCTTTTTGTTCCGCCGAAGAAGAGCGGAAAACTTCTTGTCCAGCGAGTCCACCTCCTTGCGGGTTCCTTCCAGGTCTTTCTGCGACTTACCCGCGAATGCTTTCAGTTCATCATCCGTTAGGGCCGCAAGCTCTTCCAAGTCAGGGTTGTTTCCGGACGCAATGCCTCCGCCGAGGAGGTGCTTGGCGGTGGCTGCGGCGAAAGATCGCACAGCAGCCGGGGTCGAGTTGACCAGCTCGGCAGTGTTTGCGACTGCCCAATTATGAGTGCGAGTTGTGTCCGCGTCCATAGCAGACAGCACATTCGGTGGCAGCGTGGAGGCGGATTCGGGCGATTCCGCCGCAACCAGCGCTGCATTCGGGGATGTAGCGCCCAGTCTGTTTGACGTGTCGTCCACCCAGCAAATGTTAAATTTCTCGGGAGTCGCGAAAAGCGCTTCGAGACCACCACTGCGATTGCTGGGATCGGGTCCATCCAAGGTAGGATCCACTACATCATTCATTCTCTTCTCCAGCTCGATGTACTTATTCTCTTCTTCAGTCGATAGATGGGGGATCACGCAGCCACGTGGGGTGATCAGACATCGATTCTTGGCCTCGGTACCAATGCGAACAAACTCCCCGCGCAAAAGGGTCTTCCGATGGTCCTCGGTCAACTCAATGGGATGTCTGAGCAGGTCATAGTCATCGGCAGTGCACTTCATGTCGACACGCTGAGAGAGGTTGGCGGGGTTGAACAGCGAAGAAGTATGGAGATTCAGTTCCTCAGACCTGTGCATAGCAGCAAGCAGTTCATGAAGTGGCTTCGTTCGTTCCAGGAAAAGATCTCTAATAGAAATCCCAGTGGCTTCAGAATCCCTCATCAATTGTTCCACGGTGTTGTGTGAGCGCCACTCCTCCACAGGAGCCCTTTGCTCGATGGGCTGCTCTGGCATTGTAGGGGTCTTTGCCTCTCGGGCCAGTTCTTCCTTTTCTTTCACGTTCTTGGAAGAATCAGTTTTGGGTTGATTCTTCTTTGGAGAAGACTTGTCTGGCTTGGCTGCAGTCACACTCTCCGGCACAGCGTCGGCAGCTACGCTACCAGACTCAACAATGCTGTTGGCAGGCTTCTTGGTTTTGCGCTTTCTTCCAAGGATTGGAGCTTGCACAGTTTCCTCAACTGCAGGAACGGTCTCGACCTTCTTTGCCTCTGCTTCTTTAGCCTTCTGTCGTCGCTCCTTCTTGGCTTGGCTCTTGGTAATGGCCCGAACTGGGGCAGAGCCGATACGGTTAGAAGCTGGAGGCGAGCTGGCGCGAGACACAGAACCGGACGCATAAAAGTCAGCCTCGGACCCAAACTCAATCGGGGTATCCGGACGACTGTTGGACGATATGCTTTGTTTGCGGGATCTTGCGCCACCTGTTCCCGCAAACGATGCGACAGATGGAGCAGTCGGGACTGGTGGAGTTTCGGCCTTGGGGGTGTCCACCACACGCAGTACACGAGGTTGGCGAGGCCCCGAAGAGTCAGAAATTCGCGATGCAGTAGTGAATGGCGAGTTCGGGCGCGATCCAATTGCAGAGGCTTGAGCAGGATGCGACTCAATCTTGGCAGAAACAGCTTCTTGAGGCTGGGCAGTACCAACTGACGTATTGAGCTTGATCGGATTTACTTTTTCGACGGAAGACAAGTTCGCCTCAGAGCCAAGTCTAACAGCGGAATCAATCTTGCCGGGGGCGATTGAAAAGTCGTCCTTGAGGCGGCCTTCAGTCTTGGTGGCAGATTTCGGCACGGGCGAGCCAAACGATATCTGAGATGCATCTTTGACATGACTGGAAGGACGTGTTGTATTAACACCGATGGGAGGGGTTGAAGGGCGAGACAAAGCGTCGTCATTTTTCGGTGTACCAAATCCAGAGGACAATTCTCCACCCAGGCCAGGGGGCGGCATGGGAGCAGGGGATGAACGATTAGAAGCAGTCAGGTGGTCCTGAAAGGTACCCGAACCGGGATGAGCGTGGGGAACCGGCAGACCAGGGGGCAGATTTGGGGTCCCGGCGCGGATGGACGAGTCGCTGGATTTGAGAAAGCCAAAACTGTCGACAGGTCGGCGTTCTTTCGACTGCATACCGAGCGGAGGAAACTCCTCATCCACTAGAAGACCCTAGTCAGCGTTGGTTCTTCCCACTCAAATCCAGTGAGTTGGTGAGCGAAAGGTTTCCCCAGAATGGTATTGGCAGAGGTCAACAGAAGGCGAAGGAATCTCACGGTCAAGACAACTAGGTGATTGATGACAGACAGCGACGACTAATCGGGGATACAGAACACGCAAACAATGGTGATTACACGACGGGCCCCGCTCAATCACGGTCAGGTACAGAAGAGGGCTGAATATCTATACAAACCGCCGGTGTGAGACAAATTTTTTCAATAGCGCCCTGCTTTGGTTTGAAAAGGCAGGGCAGGGAGGTCTTAACGTACATTAATCCATGATCGGGCCATCTGGGCAGTCATCAAGACGCCACGAATAGCAGATCGAAGCCCGAATGCAAAATGATTGAAAGGGATGAATGAGAGCCACCGAACGAGAAGGGAGACCCAGAAGACATGCGAATATGTCCATGTTTGAAATGCAAGGAAACACTTGAGCCAGAAGCACGGGAATAGAGCACAACAGTAAAACAAACAAGGCCCATCACCAGACGCCAAAGACAAAGCTAGCTCGTTCAGAGCCGCCTGCCTTGTGTGAAAGAAAACAACAACAAACAAATCGAAATGCAAACCAGACACCATGGGAAGAAATGATATCATGTCATCAAGGGATACAGACCCGGTCAAACAATGGAAAAGGACCAAGGAAATTTGATGACCCAACGAAAGGCAACGAGATAGGAAAGATGCAAGGACGTAGGAAGTTGGGAGAGTGATGATCGCGACCTTCAAAAGCGACCGATTCCGCTGCCGTATACCATCGAAGGATTGTACCCACCTTGGCCTTGACTCCCGTACAACGCTTGCCCAGCACCAGCGTTCGCGCCGACCTGATGCATTCTCGCTTGCAAAATGCTCGGGTCCGCAAGATCTACTACACCACCTCCGCCGGAGGAAGTGTTAGCGTGTCTGTGCTTCTTCCCCTTCTTCTTCTGCTTCTGTGGGCCACCAGATTCAGGATATGCTCCCAGCTGGGGCCCATAGAAAGAGCTGAGAAGGCCATTCGTAGGAGTCATGGGAGATGGGGTATTGTGCTGTTGGAAAAAAGGAAATAGGGACTCACGCTTAGTATTTTCCTGGCCTTGCAAGCCACCCACATTCGTGCCACCTCGGCCACGCAACAACTCACGCATCAGCTCCGGCGTCGCTTCTTGCTTTCCGATGTTGGATCCGAGTCCAAGGTTGTTGTTTGACGTGAAACCATGTCCTTGTGCAAACATCCCACCTCCGCTAATGGGGGGTGTACCAGCGGTCTTCAAGCCTGGCGGGGGGCCCTGAGCACCACTTGCGTAGAAACCGCCCGCAAGAGCCTGTTGAGGACTGGGAGCAGACAGGGGGTTTGGAGTTCCGGATTGCATCTGACCCAACAATCGTGGGTTGGGGACATTCTTCGAACCGGCCTCGTTGGCAAAGGCGAAACGGGACGACTGCCGATTCTGCGCCTGTAAGGCATTGAACTGCGCCATTTGACTATGTAGGAGACCTTGACGAACCTGAGCAGCTTGATCCAAGGCAGCAGAGCTCAAGGGATCAGCTAGACCAGCCTGCTGGTTGCTCGCAGATTTCAGTAGCATCAATTGCTGTTGCTGGAGGGGGTTAAGCTGCGGCCTGCAAGATTCAAACCTTGGAACTGGTGGCTCGAGGCAGAAACAGGGGAGCCGACAGTGGAGTTGTCTGCAGTGCCTTGCTGGGAAGGTGGTTGGATAGCTCCATGGGATTCACGGCTTTGACGACCTCGGGGTGCATTGGCCTCTTCTGGTTCTCCACCCAGCTGCAAGCTACCGGCTTCAGGTCCCTCATCTTCGGTGGAAGACTGAAGAAGCTCATGCTCACGCTTGACGCGTTCTTGCTCAACCTTCTCGCGCATTGCCCTTCTCTTCACACCCCCGTACGGATCAATGAAAGACGGGTAGTTTAGGATCATGGCAGCTTCATCTGGTGACAACTCGGAGGCCGAGAAAACAAACTTGAAGTCGGGAGACGTGACTGCTTTCAACAGACTGTCAAAAGGTGTTTCCGCCTTGATAGGAGCTTGGCGGGACGCGGTTGCCAGCGATCGAGTGGGGGGCAGCGATGGTCGTTGGGCATCCTGAGTAACCGGCGAAGGTTTCTCACTGCGCTTGTGATCTTCAGTGGAGGTCGCGATTGTGGCGCTCACAGGTCGTGGGCTCTGAGAAGCCTGGCTCCCGGTAAGACTGGCTCGCCTCGTCCGACTGATAGGAGCGTTGGTGTTCGCCCAGCTTGCGGATGAGGGCAAGGCCGGTCCATCTAGAATACCAGGACGGCCACTGATGGAATCGTCCTTACTCGGCTGACGGCGTATGGGGTGGGAGACCGGTTGGGTGGCACGAGCACTGGGGTGAGATGGGCGTTGGCTGGACAATGTGTTCATCGACGAAAGATCCTGACGGCTGTAGCTATCACTATCCTCTCCGGTCTCATGCAAGAATGTGCAGTTGCGGTTATTGCACTGCTCATTGCGAAGAAAAGACGAGCAATACTTGGTCGTTCCGTATTGAGCCCTGTTAGCGTCGAGCAATGTTAGCACAGGTTGACAGGCCTTTTGGTACAGCGCATCATCTTACCTTAGAACCCGGTCACCATTCGCCGATCCATCCACGGCAGCGATGCATGTAGCAGCATCGAGCTTCCGCGAGAACGTAACGTAGACACCAATACCCTGATTGGGATTGCCGCCAGGCTTCGCCTTGCTGACCACGATCTTTTCGATATCTCCATATTGCCCAAAGTAATCTCTTCCACGGAGAGTTTGGAGAAGTTGATTTTCGTCCCGTATCGTCGGGTTGAGGCCGATCACGTAGACCAGGTTCTTCTGGACAACGCGAACCCCGGCCAAGTTCTTTCGGCTGGACGCTTCGATTTCTCGTTTCTCTGCCTCCTTCTTCTTTGCTGCTGCGGCCTTGCGGTGTTTCAAGGCCAAGTCTGCTTTGAACCTGATGCGAGAAGACGATGTGAGCAATTTTAGTATAGGAATGCTGGGGGAAAACTTACTCATCCGCATTTGGAACCTTGTACTCGATCGTGCTGTCGTCGTAAGAGCGTCGGCAGTTCGGGCATCGACCTTCCTCGCTGTGGGTTTTGATATTGTTGTAGCAGAATTGGCAAATCTATAGAGCGCCAAGTATCAGCGGTTGCACGGAGGAAAATGAACGCCAGGTTCCAGCTGAAGGACTGGCGCATGCTAAGGGGGTGTCATAGAACGTACCTGATACCCACAGGGACAGGGCTTGAAGTTCTTGTCCGAGAGATCGAACTCTTCGATGCAAAGGGGGCTAGCGGGGATGTCAGTGCCGGAGTTGCGAGTTCTGAAACCCAAGGTAAACGTACCAGAACTCATCATCGTCGTCGATGACTGAGTCGATCTGTTGGCGACTAGACATAGTCACGGGAAATCTGCGATAGAGCGAAAGGCCAAGTGGAGATCAACCGTCGAACAGATGGGTGAAGGACGGGAGGAGAGAAAAAAACGCGCTCGCCTGGAGACGATGGGTGAAAAGAAGAGAACGGAAGGGGAGTGGGAGAGGGGGGAGAGTGGACGGAAGGAAGGACGCGATACAGGCGAGAGATGATGGGGAAGGAGGTTGAGCGGCGAAGGAGAGAAAGAAGGGAAGGAAAAGAAGCGCGGCTGCAATTTGCTGGCATTGCCCGATCGCGTTAGGCCCGACGGGTTATGTCAGCATATCCACGTGACTGGTTACTCTCGCCCAACCCAACTCACCTCCCATCACAATTCGTGCCCTTTCCTTTCCAGTTGCGACCGCGCCTGCCATTGCCCTCCCGCCACCATGGCTTCTGCACGCTCTTTGATGCGAATGGGCACCGGCCGCTCGGTGGCTTCGGCCTCGAGATCCTCAATGGCCGGCCGTGCCTTTTCCTCGTCTTCCCTGCACCACGCTCCCAAGGCATCGACTGCGCCGGGCACACCGGAGCCCGAGAACATGCGGCAGGCCCAGCGTCCGCGTATGTGGATAATATCAATGGCGGATCTCTCATACAATTGAACTGACTTTTCTTCATCTTCCAGCCCAGGGACCTCTGCGTGCCCCGGTCATCAACCCCACGGACAAGTACCAGGACAAGGCCGACAGCCTGCATAAATATGGACAATATGTCATGTCTTGTCTCCCAAAATACATCCAGCAGTTTACGGTCTGGAAGGATGAGCTCACCGTGTACACTGCCCCAGCGGGTGTTCTCCCCGTCATGAGCTTCTTGAAGAACCACACAGCGGCCGAGTTCACCCAGGTCTCCGACATCACCGGCGTGGATTTCCCGACCCGCGACCAGCGCTTCGAGGTGGTGTACAACCTGCTCAGTGTCCGCTATAACTCCCGCATCCGCGTCAAGACCTACGCCGACGAGGCCACCCCGGTGCCCAGTGTGACCAGCCTGTTTGAGGGTGCTCTCTGGTACGAGCGTGAGGTGTACGACATGTTCGGTGTCTTCTTCTCGGGCCACCCCGATCTGCGCCGCATTATGACCGACTACGGTTTTGACGGCCACCCACTGCGCAAGGACTTCCCGCTGACGGGATACACCGAGCTGCGGTATGACGAGGAGAAGAAGCGCATTGTCATCGAGCCGCTCGAGCTCACCCAGGCCTTCCGCAACTTTGAGAGTGGCAGCACTGCGTGGGAGCCTGTTGGCGCCGGTCAAAACCGGACGCCCGAGTCGGTATGCAAAATCCCGTTCTGAAGTGGGCAATCATCGCTAACTCACCGGATCATATAGTTCAATCTTCCGACCCCGAAGCCCGAGGAGAAGAAGGAGGAAGAAAAGAAATAGAAAGGCATTGTATGCGTATTACTTTCCTTGCCATATTTGTATGTACATACCAGTCTGCGTTAAATCGACGGTGTTTCCACGAACGTGGTCTCCAACTCAAGAATGTCGCAATCCTGTAGACTTCGTAATTCTTTTCGTACATTTCGCTATCATTATCAACAAGAAAATTCACTCAAATCTAGCCCATTAGCAAGTTGCGAGTGTGGTGTGTCGTGACTACTACTACTACTACTACTACTATTATCAGTCTTGGCACATGATCCCGCCCAAGCGCAAAAAAAAAGTTACCCAGCACCTTCTTTATTCAACTCAACCAAAAACCGCCCTCCGCAACAACCACCCTCATCCTCCTCTCAATCGCAGTCTTTGGCTATCTCGGATTATTGTCTCGTGCGATCTAATAACATCCACCATGCCGAAACGCAAGCTCTCCGAGCTCAACGGCCCCGCGCGGTCCAGCGACGCCCGCAAACTCTCCATGCAGGCCGTGCGACTAACACACAAGTTCGACCTCGGCGTCCAGATTCTCATTCGCGGCCTGAAGGTAGCGCGTGGCTTTGAGCGACAGAAACTGAGCCGGCGTGAGAAGACAGCAAAGTCGCAGGAGAATGCTTCCACGACGTTGTCACGGCTGGCGGAGGAAGTGAAGGCTTTGAAGGTGTGTTTCCAGGTGCTGCTCAAGGTTTTGCTTTGACAACCTCTATCTTGGGAGCCTTTACTAAACACTGGATTTATTTGCCAACAGGAACTCGACTACCAAGTTACCGCAGAGAAGTACCTATTCAAGCAGCTTTCCAAGACAAAGCGGATTGCCGAGACATCTGCGTTCGGCGAGTTTCAGGAATCGAAGAAGATCTCCACAGAGGGACCCAAAAGCACTGCCGAAGCGAATATCCAGGCGCGACTGTTCAAATCGACCCCCGTACAAAAAGTGATGCCGGACATCATGGCTGGAATTCGGACGCTGCTGAAGTTGGAGGAGCTCCCGGCTGGAAAGCAGCAGAACGCTAAATCCAAGACGGGTCCAGCGCAGAAGGATAAACACGCCCAGCGGAAGCCAGAAGAAGTGGAGGCCGAGTCATCGTCAGCGGGAGAAAAGGAAGCCAAGCCCGACTCCAAAAAGAAATCTCTTTCGACTACGCAACGCATTCTTCCACCGGAAGCAGATCAAAACATCTCTGGCGCAGAAGGATCAGAAAGCGAGGACTTTGCCCAATTCGACAATCTCGTGGGTGGCTCAGACTCCGAAGATGAAGACTCCGAAGAAGAAGCCTCCGCCAACCACGACCTCCGGACCCAACGCAACCTCAAAGCAACAGCAGCAGACGACATCTCCATCTCATCAGTCTCCCGCTCCCCCTCGCCCTCACCCTCCTTTTCCGCCGCGGAAGACGCCCCACCACCACCAACAAAAAAGCCAAAAGACAGCACCAAACCCTCCAAAGCCCCAGCAAAAGACACCACATTCCTCCCCTCACTAATGATGGGCGGATACTGGTCTGGCTCTGAGTCCGAAGCAACAGATGACGAAGCCGCAGCGGGGCCACCAAAGCGCAAGAACCGGATGGGCCAGCAGGCTCGACGCGCGCTATGGGAGAAGAAATACGGTGAAAAAGCGAATCATGTCCAGAAAGAAATGAAGAAGCAGAAGAGGAACAGAGATGCTGGGTGGGACGTTAAGCGTGGTGCAATGGATGCTGGGAGGCGTGGTGGACGGCCACAGAATCGCCGCGATGAGCAAACGGGTGCTAATACTTTGCCTTTGGGTAAAAGTAAGAGTGCGGCGCAGGATACCGGGCCGTTGCATCCTTCTTGGGAGGCGAAGAAGAAGGCGAAGGAACAGGCGTCCACGGCCTCGTTCCAGGGAACGAAGGTTGTGTTTGATTAGGATTTTCCTAGAAACTAGACATGCTGTCATGCCCAAAATCTTTCATCGCCAACTACATGAACATCGGGGGGTCTCGGTGTGACCTGACTTCATCAGGGCGCGGTACATCGTCAAGGTGCGGCCGGATACATACAAGTGCAATCATCTGCATACAGACCTGAACTAGATATTATATTCATATGCATATTCGGCTCTGAGTAGCTTCAGACGAGTCCATGGCATTATAGATATTCTCTCTCACCAAAATTAAAAACAACAAAGTACAGACTGAGCTGACATTCAACATAAAATGGTATACCGAGCAGTTAAACAAACCAAGCAATGACAAAAACGCTGAATGCAAGTCGACAAAACACAAGGTCACTCATTCATAAACTGCAGCCAGTGCGGATCGGCAGCAACTTCATTCTTCACATCCGAACCCACCATGCCAGGCTGGTGAGTCTGCGCATCAGGTTCAAAGAAGGGGATGGCATTGAACTCGCCGAGCTCCTGCGGAAAATTCGACACGAAGTGATCGAAGCCATAATTTGGCATTTGGGATAGCGACTGCTGGGAAACTGAGAAGTTATCTGAAAGCCCGCTGCTGGGAACATCCCCCCCAGGATATCCTGATCTGGACCCATTATGCCTGGATCAGAGCCGTTGCGGCCGTCGGCCATTACTGCTGTTGACGGTGTTATGGGCAAGCCGGGTACGGCCGCGGCCGCGGCGGCTGCAGCGGCGGCGGCAGCAGCGGGAGCATGGAGAGAGCTCAATCCTTGATGCGCGGGTGGATCGTTGACAGCGTAGACTTCCTGCTGCTGTCTGGCGATGGTGGACGGGGAGACAGGCCCGGTTTTCCAAAGCATCTCCCAGTTTTTGAAACGGTCGTAGGCAGACTCAATGCCCCCATTGCTTTGGGTCTGCTGGGTCTCGCTCCACACTTCTAAACGACGAATAGCGCGCTCGAGCGCTTCAATGACGCTGACTGCTGAACGCGCCGAACCAACACCCATGGACATGATCTTGATCAAGGAAATACCCTGTTCCAGGGCGGCGCCAAGTCGTTCGGTCCGTTTGGTCAGACCTTGTGCCAGGATCACCAAGAGTGCAGCCCGGCAGGAACTAAACTCAGTGAACGAAGCACGAGCAAGTCCAGTCTCATCACGGAGAAGTCGACATAGATCAATGATTTCCAGGGCCGCCTCCACACAATCGGTGACGAGGGCCACGCGGTTCTTGGAAAGACCGGATGAACCCTTGTACAGAGGCGCATGAGGAAGACCCTTGATGTTGCTGAACAGGAACGGTCGTCCAATGAAGACTCTGGTCAGACAGTAGTCCAACTTCAGATGGACATTGGAGCGGAAAAAAGGCTCTCTGGGGTTGAGATCGCGACAATCTTCCGGTAAAGTCGACCACCACTCGACCAGATGTTTGCGCAGGTTGAGTAGCCGCTCAAGACAGTCCGGCTGCTGGGTTTTGCGACAGGTCCGGAGAGAGGTGCTGATCGAGTGTTAGTTCGAGTAAAATTGACATAACGGGGAAATGCCTACATTTCATTCGAGACTTCTCCAAGCTTTAACGTCAATGTGATCAAGGTCACCATGTTTGTGTGGTTGGACGGCTGCCCTGCGGGTGTTAGACCGGGGAAGTCTACTGGGGGTGGTGCATCGACGTCGGAATCAGCTAAAGAGGCTGGCCTGCCATGAAGAATGCTGATCCGCCTGGGAAATTGTTAGAGTAGGGATCAGAAATCTAGAGGCAAGACTCACTTCTCAATCGTATAAGCCGTCCAGAAAACTCGATTCCGCACTTCAATTATCCGTGGTGAAAGCCCTTCCCCATGGTATCTCCGATGCATCCCATTCTGAATTGCCAGCTTGAGAGCCAGACCGAAATATGTATAGCATAGCCCCGATGTGTCCAGCGGGAGCAGGTATGTCCCAATCAAAAGACACGCCTGCACGCTCCGAACAGAAGCTGTGGCAATGATATCCGGTAAAAGCTTGGACGCAAATTGATAGAACGTCAGGCCAACCTCGTCCTCCGAGAAATGGTGGTCCTGGTTCGCCGCAGAATCATAGGGCAAGCAATTTACCGGGGTGGATGATTCCATATGGGCAAACTGCGTGCCTACCGCTAGGACCATCAGGATAGCGCACACCGCTCCGGCGTCGTCGGGCAATAAACCGTCCGGATTCGTATAGCAGACCGCCAGCTTCTCGCGGAGCCAATCTTCTTCAATGTAGAAGTTGTTGGTCTGCGCATATTTAAAGAAGATCTGGACCAGGAAGTCTGCCACATATCGGGGTGGGAGACAGGTGATTGATGCAGAGACCAACGAAGACCCAGATTGCAGCTGTGTCGATCGCCATCGTTCCTCAAATGGCTCGACTTCGGTGGTAGCCTGGAAACTCAATTAGCACATATTTTTGGACACTCAAAGTAACTCACTTCTGGGGCCGCAGTCTTCATCCACTCGTCAATCTTCTTCCGGATTTTCATGGAGAAATTCAAGTAAGAAAACTCCCCGGAGTATTCTTGCAACGCCCAAGTCAGTCTATCAAGTGAGCCTCAAAGCAACATAATAACATACGGGTGGTATTATCAGGCAAAGCCTTGATAGTGAAATCCTCCTCGTCAATAGCCAAATCCTCCATGTCATTACCATCCATCTGATTCGAGAACACATCCGAGTCCGAGCTCCGATGTTTGCCTTTCAAATCCTCGGCGGCCTGGCGCAGGGAATGGATATCGAAGGTGCTATTAGGCATGTAATGCGACAGGATGCGTTCCATGAGTCGCACCCTCTCCGCCTCAGCAATATCATGACGATTCAAGGTCGCCGCTCGCTCCAGGAGCCTGTCATGTTCGTCCAGTCGTCAGACAAACCAGCGCGAATCGAAAACGAGGGGTCGAACTCACGAGACACTCGCCGACCGGCTCTTCTCGCTCTGGTCGATATGCGTGAAGAGACATTGTCTCCGATAGCGCAGGCACCGGCGACAAGGGACACCGCCCTCGCATTTCTCCTTTACTCTCCGGCAGCCGTCACACCTGCGCGGAATGCATTAGCGAACCCGTGCGGGCACCACGGGGTAGAGACAGCATACGCTCTGACGGCTCGTTTGCGATTTTCTTCAGCTACGCGCGGGCGCTTCTGCTGGTGCTGCGCGGGAGTCGAGGCCGGGTCGTCCATGGCAAGCAAAATCGAGTCACAGAGAGGCGGCCGACATTGCGGAGGTGCGGAGCCGAAGCGGAGACAGAAAGCGGTGCGGGCGTGGAAATAGTCTCAGACTGCAGAAGTGCCGAAAGTGCCCACCGACTATACGATAAACTCCAAAGTAAGGGTTACCGAGTTATCGGCTGGGTAGTTTGAGGAAGTGAGTTCTGATTCTGTCGGAGGCACAGAGGAGGCGAGAGGGGATCAGCTGGACGATAATGCTACTGTCATTCTAGGGTCTCTTTCTTCTTGTTCTACGACGATGTACTATTGTCTATGTCTGATGATGCGCCTGTTTCAGATAAGACGCCTGTTCAACGGGCAGTGCTTGCCAAACGGCCCCCAGAACAGTGGGGGCCGTCAAACACGAGGTGTGGCTCAGGAACCATCGGCCGATCTGCCTTGTAACAGGCATCGGCAAAGCATCCATCCTTGCTGAATTAGGCAGGTGAAGGACATGACAGGCAGTCTCTTGACATCACCTCTATAGGCCAGCGAGCCGATCCGCACTGCCGTCAGAATCCCTCGACGTGCGTGCCCAGGCCCATCTCGCGCCCAACCTCTAGCACCTTCTTCCCCACCACCAGGTCCATGAGTCCCATGCCCACGCATTTGTAGATGACATTGCAATCCGGGCGCACGTCCAGCGCACCGCCTGGCCCCAGCGCCCCCAGTAAATCGCCCATTTCGGTCAACTGCTCCTCGTGGATCTGCGCGGTGATGAGCTCGCCTGCCTCCTCGAGACAAGCGGTCTTGGAGTCGACGTAGATCTTCCCACCCCCTGACAAGAGCGTGTCGGTATCAATCTCATGCATATGCGGCTTGTATGAGCCGATGAGGGAGATAAATCGCTGTTTCGGAGCAGCTTGGAGCGCAGAGAACGAGAAGTTGGGTGCAGGCGATGGAGTGCAGCTGAAGATCACGTCGCAAGCTGCTAGTTCTGCGGTGAGTCGGGCCTCGTAGTCATCCACGCCCTCCTTGGCGAGCGTAGCAAATTCCACATGCGAGTGACTCTGGCGCAGAGGAGCAATGACATCGCGCTCCGTTTCCTCCAGACGCTTCCAACCCCGGTTCACGAAGGTGATGCGACGGATCTGGTCCGGGTACAGCAACAGAGCCAGTCGGGCATGCCATTCCGCCTGGCGACCAGATCCGAAAATAAGAATGGTTTCTTTAGAGATTGCTGTACACCTCACGAAGAGGGTCATCGTGGCCAGCGCCGTGCGAAAGGCCGTCACTTCCGCCGCAGCGAGAAGACCCTGCAAGCGACCCTCTGGCGAGAAGACATTGATGACCCCACGAATCCCACTGCTGCTGACGGTGACAATCTTGATACCGGTGCTGGCAGTGTCGGAGACCGGCATGAATATGCAGGTGTTCTGATCTTTGGTGGTGAACACGGTGCGCAATGGCTGGTGGATGAGCTGCTCCGATGCCGGAGCTGTCGATTTGGACTCAGCAGAGATGGCAATCAGGGCTTCACCGAGTGCGGTGATGAGTCCATGGCTTTGTTTTTGAGTCAGGCTGCGGAAAATCTGGGCTACGTCTGGCTCGGAGAGGACGTGCATTTTGGATTGAGCGGGTATGGGGCTGGCCGGGTTGATGTGTCCGCGGCAGTTTGTGAATCAAGTTTTTTAGGTGGCAAACTTATTGTTGTCTGTGTCGATAGATGGTTGCGTCGGACAGATTCTCACAGTGGTCTTGCGCAAGGAGATGGGGTGTAGGAAATGTTCCGCACATCAGATGGACGATCCGCGGGTTATCTGGGCGGGGTGGAATCGTGGAGAATGCTACAACTATGATTTATTTACAATAATGATTCTACATACTCGGTATCCCATTAATCATAAGAATAAAGTTGGATTACTATCATCATCGGCAGCCATAACTCATGAGCAAACACGCTAACACCATCTATAGGATGCATCCCAAATGCAAAAATGCAATCAACCACAACAAAAAGAAACCACCAGTCGTCCGCAATGCAGCAAAAGCAAAAGAGAAACTAAAAAATTACGCTTCAGTTGCCGCCTCTGAGAATCATCCAGCATCGGCGCTTCAACTCGCTCATCATCGCCAGCTGGGACTCCTTGGTGCGCCCGACCGCCTCGGTATTCTCCATAGCCCGCCGCATGAGAAAACCCATGCACTCCTTGACGGATCCCCACGTCAGCAGCTTGTAGACATGAGGCGCCTCAAGCGGTGTGACACCGACAGCGGCTTCGGCGCTCTCGAAGCCCTGCACCAGCTCGCAGCTCACTTCGTCGGCCATGCCTTGCAGCTGGGCGTAGCTCAGATCCACGTCGTAGTTTTCGCCACGAGTCGCCTGCAGCATGCGCAGGGCGTGGGCCTTCTTCACAGATTCGCGGTTGTGCGTGGCGATGATGACGTTCACCGATGGCAGTTCCGTGGGGGTATCCTTCGCAGGAGGCTGCAGCATGGAGTTGTAGCGACGAGTCAGGAGAGCCTCGACAATCCCGTCGTAGCATACGTCTGTCTCCTCCTTCTCCGCCCAGATCAGATTCCTCGGCTCCGTCTTGAGATATGCACCGCGGACGAGCTTGACACCCAGCGTGTAGCCCTCGCGTCGGGAAGTCTCAAGGTGACGGGCCAGAGTGGCGGGTGTAGAGCGCAGGTAGGCCTGGTAGGTGCCGTAGAAAGTGGCGCGGCCCGGGGTCTTGGTGTTGCAGTATTTCTGGTACTTCATGATCCAAGCCTCGATGCCAGGTTGCACGGCTTGCTCCTCGGCGTCGACGAGCAGACGCACACCGCGGGCGACAGCCATATCACAGACTTTCTTGATCGAGACATCCATGAATTCAGTTGGTGGAGCTTCCTGCTGCAGCAGGCGGAGGGCGTCGATGCCCATTCCGGTGAATCTAAGTATCGCGTTAGACAGATAGTCCAGAAAGGTTGGAAGATGAACTTACTTCAAAGCAATGAAGTCGCCTTCATGGGCCATATCAACAGTGGCCAAAGTGCCATCCAGCCACATCTGGATCTCCGCGCGAGCAGCCTTCGCATCATACACCGCATCCTGGTTTTCGCCCACCAGAATCTCCCGCGCATATCCCAACAGAACACCACGGCAGCCCAGGGACTTGATATTCTGAATTGACTGCTGCACTTCGGCCTTGTTCTCGCCGGCATTAAACTGCTTGTAGATGGTGTGCTTGACCAGCATGTTCAGGAGCGGGTTCTTGGCGACATCCCACAGTGCGGTGCGTGGGTGCGCCAGGCGAGACAGGGTATATATGCATGGCTTGAGTAGGATGGGGGATGACGAAATAGACAACACCAGCAACGATCTCAACACGTTCGCCAGCGGCAACTTGGCCAGTGGCGCGGCGAGAGCCTGCCGCGGCGGCGGAGCGGGAGCAGGCGCGAGAGGCTGCCAGAGCGCGCTGGTCGCAGTGGCCGCAACCGAGGAGCGGGTGTTGCTCGTTTCACTGACAAACCTCTTGCCAGCCCGGCAGGGCGCAAGAAGGGAAGCGACCTGTGGGCGAGGTGCAGCTTTCATTACTAACTTTTGTGGCGGACGAATTATACTTGTGATGTAGGAGATGAGGAATAGAAAAGAACAGGAGTTCCAAAAAGGATTATGGTTGGTAGGAGGTTTGGTTGAGAGCCACGGTCGAGTGAACCTGATATGTAGGCCCAAGCAGGACTAGTTATCTACACTTGCTGGACAAGGGCCGGTGGCAACCGCCTGCCACCGGTACGGTCGGGGAGAGGGCGATGACACACAGGAACCACCCGTAGCTTCTGGCGCGGAAGATCGGGAAACGATGGCACTACGATGACCGACCGAGTATACCTCTCTGGCCGACTTGGATATTTTCCCCGGACCGCCAGGCGGATGGCCTGGTGCAGAAAGACTGCATGAACTGCCATCCTCATCCCCGCGGCCATGCTTATCTCACACCTGGTCTGTAGGGTGTCGGGGGCCCGAGTCCCTATACGGACGCGGCCCGGTTGGAGATTGGGTGATTGATAAGAATGGCAAAATGACCGGCCCGGTGGTGAGTGCGATGGGGGTCACGTGGAGACGGCTATTTTCGGCTGGTTGGTTTGATCACGAGGTTCCACAGCAGATCATGCTATGGGGTACGAGTATGATCATCACGGGCTATCTACTGAGTGTTGGTCAATTTTTGCTGTTCATCGGTGCAAGATATGGTGGAAATCACTCCAGACGAGGTTGATCCCTGTGCACCGGGACTCCCTCTCCTATAGGCTCCGCAGCGACCACCCACCCGCCGATCCGCAGCACTGAATCTCATCTTAAAACCAGCCACCAATCAAACCGCTCCCACCCCGGCCCGCTGGCCTTAAGCCTCACCCGTACCGGGAGACGACAGAGTATATACCGGCACCAGTGGCTGAAGTCACAATCATAATGTCATTATTGTAAACGTAATAATTACTATGTCACGACGAGAGTCCATCCTACCGATAGGACACGCCCCGAGCGAACCCTGGCGCCGAGGACAAGCGCCGATCGGGCTCCAGTTTCTCGGCCTGGACACCCCACAAATGGGGGGGGCACCTTTTCTAGAACGGGCGAAGTTTTCCATGCACATGTCTGGCTAGCCCTGATACTGATACGCCCCGTTTAGCCAAGAACCCATTGTAGGTACCCTCCGATCAGACCCGGATCCGGTAGGGGAGTCTCGTTTGTGTTTCTGCTTCCCCACAAGTCAGACTCATCGTTCTCGCCGTCTTTATCCCTCACACCCCTGGGGCATAATTCAGTGGCAACTGTTTCAACTCTCTTATTACGCGGGGGATCCAGTCCGGGGAACGAGAAGAATAAAAAGAGCACGCTCCACCCCGTTTTCCCAGTCAATTGGGTTCTAGGGACTGTTAAAGTTTTCTTCCCCCGTCTATCTTTTTTTCTTTCCCACACTCAGTCAGCGACCTACCTTCTGACACTTTTCAAAATTCCTGCCCACCATGGAGACATCACCGAAGGGTCTGGAGGAAGGCATATCAGCCACCCCTCTGGAGTACAATGACGAGAAATCGATGGGCCAGGTGGATCCCATGCCGAACTCGCAAACCCACCGTGGACTGAGCTCCCGGCACATCCAATTTCTGGCATTAGGTGGTTGTATTGGTACCGGCCTGTTCGTGGGAAGTGGTGCGTCGCTATCGACCGTTGGTCCTGGTAAGTGTCCTTCATGAACAATCGTTAGGGAGATGTGAGAGCTAACCTTCTTGGACTGGAAGCCCCCCTGCTCATGGGATACATCGTCATGTCGACTGTTGTATATTTTGTCATGAATATGCTAGGCGAAATGACAACCTACCTACCCGTCCAGGGAGTCTCCGTCCCGTATCTCATTAACCGCTTTACAGAGCCAAGTTTGGGGTTCGCCATTGGTAAGTCCTGTTGGTGGTGAGTGGTGGAGAACCGTTCTAACTATGTGGCCAGGGTACAACTATTGGTACTCCTTCTCAATGTTGCTAGCATCCGAAGTCACAGCCGCCGGATTGGTCATCCAGTATTGGCCAACCTCCGTAAGTGTGGGCGTGTGGATTGCAATTATCCTCGTGGGTAAGTAAATCACGTCGGGATGTATCTGCCTCTTATCTAACGGAACCCAGTGATTCTCGTTCTCAACATCGTTGCCGTCTCATGGTACGGCGAGGCGGAGTTCTGGTTTGCGTCTCTCAAGATCATCGCCATCATTGGTCTCATCATCCTGGGCGTGGTGCTTTTCTTCGGCGGCGGCCCGAACCATGACCGGCTTGGATTCCGATACTGGGAGCACCCGGGCGCTTTCAAGAAGGGATATCTCGTGTCCAATGTGAACACCAGCCGCTTTCTAGCCTTTTGGACTGCATTGATCAAGTCCGGATTCTCGTTCATTTTCTCGCCAGAACTCATCACCACCGCCGCTGGGGAGGCTGTCGCCCCGCGTCGCAACATTCCCAAGGCGACCAATCGCTTCATCTACCGTCTGTTTGCCTTTTACGTGCTCGGAAGCTTGGTCATCGGTGTGACTGTCGCTTACAACGACAAAAGCCTCCTTTCCGGTGTGGCCAGCGGTGGCTCTGGTGCTGGTGCTAGTCCGTTTGTCATTGGCATTCAGAACGCTGGTATCCATGGTCTGAACCATGTGATTAACGCTGTTATTTTGACATCTGCTTGGTCCTCGGGGAATTCCTGGGTGTACGCTGGATCTCGTACGTTGTATTCGCTTGCATGCGAGGGCCAGGCCCCGAAGGTGTTTACCCGCTGCAACAAGAATGGCGTGCCCTACGTGGCTGTTCTGATCACCTGGGCGATTGGCCTGCTCGCCTTTTTGAACCTGTCAAGTTCGGGAGCCGATGTTTTCTACTGGTTCACCAACATCACCACCGTGGGCGGGTTTATCTCCTGGGTCTTGGTGGGAGTTGCTTATCTGGTTTGTTGCCCTCCCTCATTTCGGTATGTTGTGCTGACCAGATACCTACAGCGTTTCCGAAGTGCCCTGCAGTTCCACGGGCTTCTTGAGTCCCGGCCATTTAAAACTCCCTTCCAGCCATGGGGGACGTACTATGCCATTTTGATGGTGGGGCTGCTGGCCATCACCAATGGCTACGCGGTGTTCTTCCCGGGCTCCTTCACGGCGTCGAGTTTTCTCGTGTCGTATATTGTTTTCGTCATCTTTTTCGTGCTCTATCTGGGCCATAAGTTTTGGTACAAGACGCCGTGGATGGTCAAGGCGTCCGAAGTTGATATCTTCTCTGGTAAAGAGGAGATTGACCGATTGAGTGAAGAGGATTTTGAGAGACAGCCGCGGAACTGGCTGCAGCGGGTGTGGTGGTGGATTGCATAGATAAAAGTGGACACTATAAATTTCTCCATAGATCACTAGAAGAATTTTCATTGCTCTCTAAAGAAGATGGCACCGTAAGAAGTATTTGGTACCTACTTCAGCCCCACAAGGTTAATCTCACCGGCCAACCACTCTTCAGTCCCGGCCCGGTTGTGCCACCCGGGAGCGCTGCCGGCCCTGCTCGCTCGCCGATGTGGGCCCGGCCACTTTTGTACTGGGTGATGTACTGGGTACCTTCAAGCCGGTGGTAGCCGGTACTTAGCATCGCCCACGGTTTTGTACCCCGCGTGCTTCTCCAACGGACGCATTCTTCTTCCTCTTCTTTACTTCTTTTCCTTCCCCTCTGCATCTTCCACAGTTTTGGTCCGTGGTTTATTGTACCGCAAATATCCAAGATGCAGTCGGTTCTCATGCGTGCCAGAGCTCCCTCCGTTGCGCGGTGGCAGTCGCTCACCTCGCGCGTGTCTCCAAGCTCGCGGACCTTGGGCACGTACGCAACTTTCAAGATTCCGCAGATTAACAACGAACCAAACGTAAGTTTTTTGTTTGGAAGCAATGACAATGTTGACTCTCTCTCTAATGATGGATTTTAGAAACACTATGTGCCTGGCTCACCGGACCGCAAGGGATTGGAAGATGCGCTCGCCGCCACCAAGAAGAATGCCCCGCACACCGTGCCTCTCGTGGTTGCAGGGAAGGAGGTAAGTGCTTGGTCGACGAAAAAGATACATGCAGCCATCTAACCCCATTGCCTACAGATTAAGAGCTCTCAGACCTTGACACAGACCAATCCTGCCACCCATGCTCCGCTCGCGACCTACTCTAATGCTTCCAAAGCTGATGTCCAGTCCGCCATTGACGCGGCTCTGGCTGCTCGCAAGTCCTGGGCGCAAACTCCCTTTGCAGAACGCGCCAGCATCTTCCTGAAGGCTGCTGATTTGATTGCGACCAAGTACCGTTATGAAATCATGGCTCTGACTATGCACGGCCAAGGCAAGAATGCCTGGCAGGCCGAGATTGACTCGGCTGCTGAGCTGGTCGATTTCTTCCGATTTGGCGTCAAGTACGCCGAGGAGCTGTATGCGCAGCAGCCTGTGCACCATGCGCCGGGAGTCTGGAAGTGAGTTCTTTTTTGCCCTCATGAAGACTACTTTTTGCTAAGTCTATACCAGCCGTCTTGAGTATCGTCCCCTGGAAGGCTTTGTCTATGCGGTCAGCCCGTTCAACTTCACTGCTATCGGTGGAAACCTGGCTGGCGCGCCCGCGTTGATGGGCAACGTTGTGGTGTGGAAGCCCTCGCCGTCCGCTATTGCCTCCAACTGGCTGGTCCACCAGATCCTGCTTGAAGCTGGGCTTCCCAAGGATGTCATCCAGTTCGTGCCTGGAGAGGCCGAAGAAGTGACCAGCACTGTCCTTAACCACCGTGATTTTGCTGCCCTCCACTTCACGGGCAGCACGGATGTCTTCCGAATGCTGTATGGCAAGATTTCTCAGGGTGTGGCGGATGGCAAATACCGCTCCTACCCTCGAATCGTCGGCGAGACTGGTGGCAAGAACTTCCATCTGGTCCACAAGTCGGCAGACGTCCGCAACGCGGTGGTCCAGACCGTGCGTGGTGCCTTTGAATTCCAGGGCCAGAAGTGCAGCGCCACTTCCCGCGTATACATTGCCTCTTCTATCGCAGACTCGTTCACGAAGCAGTTGGTCGAAGAGGTGCAGAAGCTGAACGTTGGAGAGCCGTCTGAGTTCACGAACTTCTGTGGCCCTGTCATCCACGAGGCCTCGTTCAACAAGCTTTCCGGTGTCATCGAGGAGGCGAAGAAGGACCCTGAGCTCGAGCTGCTGGCTGGCGGCACCTATGACTCCTCGAAGGGTTGGTACATCCAGCCCACCGTCTACCGCACCTCGAACCCAGACCACCCCCTTCTTTCGCGGGAGCTGTTTGGACCCGTCCTGGTGATTCATTCGTACAAGGATGCCACCGTGACGGACTTCACCAAGATCTGCGAGAAGATCGACAGCAGCAGCATCTACGGCCTGACGGGATCCGTGTTCGCGCAGGACCGCGGGGCCATCCAGGTTGCTGACGACGCTCTGCGCAACTCGGCCGGAAACTTCTACATTAACTGCAAGAGCACTGGTGCTGTTGTCGGCCAGCAGCCATTCGGTGGTGCTCGTGCCAGCGGCACGAACGACAAGGCTGGCAGTGCCAACTTGCTGTCGCGCTTTGTGAGCTTGCGCTCTGTCAAGGAGGAGTTCTGCCCTACCTACACCGTTGCCTATCCCAGCAACGCTAACTAGAATCATTTCTCCGCGTTGACATGGCATGTCTTATGATATACGGACACCATCTTGCATTTTACCCTTGGCGTTATGTTTCTCCCCCTAAACGGGAAATCCAGTGGATTGTTTCAGTGGCGGAAATGGTTTTCATGTATAAAATTCCATCCATAGTCGCAAAAATGGTCGATTTTCTCTATGTATTGCAATCAGCCGCACAATTTGTTAAGAGCTTTTGCATATTCTCCATAGCCTTCTTCGCAAACGCATCCATCTCATACTTCTTTCCTTTCCCCTGTGGACCCGCATCAAAGATCTCCATCGAGAACCAACCCCGAAACCCCGTCTTCAGCACTGCCCTAGCCACATCCTCAATGGGCAGATATCCCCCATCATACGGCATGGGTCTATAATCATGACTCCACCGCCCACGGGGTCTTAGTCCATCGATAGTCTTATCCTCTAGCGGCGGAGAGACCTTGTACGCATCCGAGATCTGGAGCAGGTAGATCTTATCCGCCGGCACGGAACGGGCGAGCTCGCACATGCTGGCTTCAAACCGCCTACGGAGCTCCTCTTGAGAAACATTTTCAATCAATCCAGACTGAGTGGTCGGATCGCCCCATTCGCTGCCGCCTGTCTGGAACGTGTCGAGACACAGTCCGACGTTCGGCTTGTCGACGGCTTGCACAACCTCCCAGACGTCTTTCCAGCCCGGTGCGTGCGTGGACCAGCACCAGTTCTCGTAGGCGAGCCGAAAGTTATGCTTGGCCAGCAAGTCGGCTAGTTCTCGGAGATCAGCGACAATGGTGTCGCGCGCCGTGGAGATTTTGGAGACAGGTGTATCAGTCGCGCCCACCTATATCCCCACAAACTATCATAAACAACCAATCTTTTGCGGAGATGAAAAAAAAGGAAGGAAATCAAGTACATACCTGTAATAAATCAGTTCCCACAACCTTCATAATCTCAATCCAGCCAAGCGCCCTCTTAAACGCGTCCTCCCTCTCCGGCGAGCCCTTAGCCCAGCCCTCGAAATTCGAAAATGGCTGCAACATCATGACCTTCAGTTGATTCGCATCGCACAATTTCCGGATCTCCCGCGCAACCGTCAGAAGCTCGGAGTAGTTCTCCGGCTCGATGGAGTGGTTTAGCACATGGGAGCCGTAGTCGAGTATGTCGGGGAAGGAGAGCTCGATGGCGACGAAGCCTGCTTGGGCGATTGCCTCAAGCTTGCGCGGGAGGCTGTCACTGGGGCTGCAGCCTATTGAGCAGGTGGCGTAGGAGAGGGGGATGCGTTGGAGGGAGGATAAGTCGATTTTGGACGCCATGTCTTTATTTTCGAGTCTGGTGATATTCTGGTGAAAAGAACGATCTGGTGGACTTTGCACAGTTGCCACGAGATATTAGGCCAGATTGGTAATTGAAATTGCGACTGAATTCAGTAGGAATACTGAGCTTCCTGTCTGTTTATTCTGCGTTCATCATGATGCAGTGGGGTTGTTTTTAGGGATGATTGCGCATGTCGTCAAGGTTGCATCATTCGTCTCATCAGAACAACCAATTCTCATATGCTTTGTATTTTAGCCGAACCACCTGAATCATCTCCGGAGAAAATGTTCCGTCCCGTTCTTTGTGCCTGGAATTCCACCCAGACCTTAAGGTGGTCGTCTCTCAAGAAATCCTGATTGGCCGCCATGATGTAACCTGGTCGTCTAGTAGCAACAACAACTCGGATTGCAGACCCGATTGCCACCACCGATTATTTGCTCAAGAGATAGATGTCTCCCACTTGATACTGAAACGCTCTGCTCTCGGCTAACCTGACCCTCCTATACCCTTCTGAAATAGCACATCCGAAGGACAAAATATCCAAAATGCCATCCGCAGACCCACTTCAGAGATTCAAGCGTATTGGGGTCGTGGGTGCTGGTAACATGGGCTCAATGATGACCTTTGCCTTCTCGGAGCTGGGGCTCGACGTCTCAGTCTGGGACGTCGAAAGGAAGAACGTCGATCAGATTATAGATTGGACCAAAAAAGCGAAAAACGTCAAAGGCAAGATCGAGGGTTTCTACAAGATCGAAGAGTTCACCAGGAGCCTTGAGGGTAAATCAGATCGAAAGCTATTCATCTTCTCTATCACACACGGCCAGCCCGCTGACTCGGTTTTGAGCATGATGAAACCGGACTTGAAAAAGGGTGATATTATTCTCGACGGAGGCAATGAGAACTACCGTCGGACTGAACGGCGTCAAAAAGAGTGTGCGGCTATTGGAGTCAGTTGGATCGGAATGGGGGTCTCTGGCGGATATCAGTCTGCACGGCATGGACCCAGTCTGTCCCCTGGTGGAGATGCCAAAGCGCTGGAGCTCGTCATGCCTCTGCTGGAGATGTATGCCGCCAAGGACCGCAAGACCGGCACGCCGTGCGTGACGCGGGTCGGCCCGGGAGGCTCAGGGCATTTTGTCAAGATGATCCATAACGGCATCGAGGGTGGCATGTTGTCGGTGCTGGCTGAGGCGTGGTCCTTTATGCACCACGGGCTGGGGATGGACTACGACCAGATTGGAAACGTCTTGATCAAGTGGAATGAAAGCGGCGAGCTGCGAAACAACTACCTCGTCCAGATTGGCGCCGATATGTTGAAGAGAAAGAGAACCACCCAGGGCGACTACAAGGGCGAAGGTGCCAGCCGAGACGATGGATACGTGTTGGACGACGTCCTCGACAAAGTGGTGCAGGACGATGATGGCACCGAAGGTACACCTTTCTGGTCGATCATGGACTCTGCAGCACGCCATGTGGCGTGCCCGACTCTTGCCGCGGCACATTATCTGCGAATCGCAAGTGGCAATCGCGAGGAGAGACTGCGCGCGTCCAAGAAGCTGCACATGCCTATTCCCAAGCCAATTGAGAAAACTCAGGACTACAAGAGCGTGATTGAGAATCTCCGTTGCGCGGTTTATTGTTCTTTTCTCGTGTCATTTTGTCAGGGCCTGGAGCTGATTGCTCGTGCGTCCGAGGACGAAGGCTGGGACATTGATCTCGGTCGGTGTCTGCAGATATGGCGCGCGGGCTGCATCATTCAGTCCGAGTACATTGCTGACATGTTGCAGCCCGCGCTGACGTCGAACAAGCGTCTCACCAACATGAAGTTCGTGGATGAGGTGGCCCGCGAACTGCACAAGAACTTTGATGCGCTAAAGGAGACCGTCATTGAGGCAACCCTATCGGATCAGTATATTCCCGCCATCTCGGCGAGCTTGGAGTATCTCAAGTATGAGGGGAGCATGGCACTGCCGACCAAGTTCATGGAGGGCCAATTGGACTACTTTGGTGCCCATGCCTACAACAAGCCGGGCATTCCTGGTGAAGATCCGGGTCCAGTCAAGAAAGGGCCACATCATTACGAGTGGAGGCCTGCGTAAGCTGGGAGAAGCTGTTGCCGATAGATCTAGCTGCAAAAAATTGTACACATTATGATGGTCCTTTCCTTAGGAATGAATGCCTCGCTCTAATTCATAGATCAGATCTGTGGATGCCTGCTGCCTCAGGCATTTAGGGCCCACCCCGCCACTTGGTCTGCGTGTAAATTCTGGTCTTCACCACATATTTCCGGTCGCAAGTTCGTTCACTTTTCTGAATCTCAAAAAGAATCCGCGACCTAGTTGGCCCGCAGAATGACTGCTCTCCCTGATACCTACGATGGTACGTGTATCCTGCCCGCCTCTCCCTCTCGAATGCCCCGCTGGGTTGATTTAGGCTGACAGATCCTCAATCTCACAGGCCCTGTGCCGATTGCTGTCATTGGCGGCACTGGTCTTCGCGAGCTGCCCGGCTTCACCCAAGTGGCCTCGCTGAACGTCTCGACGCCATGGGGCGCTCCTTCCTCCCCCATCACTATCCTCCACCACCAATGCCGACACAATCACAAGACCGTTGCCGTGGCTTTCCTCAGCCGGCACGGTCTGCACCACCAGATCGCACCGCATGAGGTTCCCGCTCGTGCCAACATTGCTGCCCTCCGCTCAATCGGCGTGCGCAGCATCATTGCCTTCTCCGCCGTCGGCAGTCTCCAGGAGGAGATCAAGCCGCGCGACTTTGTCATCCCGGACCAGGTGATTGATCGCACCAAGGGTGTGCGGCCATGGACCTACTTCGAGGGTGGTGTGGTTGCCCACGTCCCTTTCGGCGACCCGTTCGATGAGGGTATTGCCAAGGTCGTGCGCGAATGCGGACACAGTCTGGAGGGTGATGGTGTGGTTCTGCACGACCGCGGCACCCTGGTCTGCATGGGTATGTGACATTCTCCCCACTGACTTTCGAGTCGTCGCTAATATTCCAACCTTTGATACAATAGAGGGACCTCAGTTCTCCACCCGCGCCGAGAGCAACATGTACCGCTCCTTCGGCGGCAGCGTGATCAACATGTCCGCCCTCCCCGAGGGCAAGCTGGCCCGCGAGGCCGAGATCGCCTACCAGATGATCTGCATGTCCACGGACTATGACTGCTGGCATGCGACCACCGCCGACGTCACGGTGGAGATGGTTATGGGCAACATGAAGGCCAACGCCGACAATGCGCGTCGCTTCGTGACGGCCGTTCTCGATGCCCTTGCCGAGGATGTGAACGCCGATCTTGTCCAGGCCAAGCACCTTGCTGGGTCGATTAAGTTTGGTGTCAGCACGCCTCTGGAGCAATGGAGCTCGGAGGCCCGGAAGAAGATCGATTGGTTGTTCCCGGGCTACTTTTGATGTGGACCGTTTACGAACGTATGGTTTTCGGGGATTTTTGGGTTTGTGGATATATGTTTGATGAGTATATCTTCTTGATAGATACTTTATGGATAGAATGCCCTTTGCAGGGCAAATGAATATGGCATGACTATGACGGCAATCGGCCTCAGTTGTAATTGCTGTGTTATGCTACTATAATTTCACCTGTCAAACCGGTTGAAATTCCATCCTTCCATATGCCCCCGACGCTCATCCCCCGGTCCCATAGATCCCAGGCCCCAGAGCCTCGGATCCCGCCAGTGTCAGCCCCGTCATGCTCATCACATCAAATGGGAGCTGGAAAGAGTTCCAAGCAGAACCGCAGAACTCAAACGAATGTTATGGAGAAGACATGAATCATTCGACCACGCTGAACAGTCACAAGGTATCATTTGCAGCAAGGCTAAGCTAACTCCGAGATACGATGTTTGAATGCTGGGATCGATACCGTTTGACCTGAGCAGCGGAGCACGATAATCAATGGTCATGCAGGTGCATATAACGCAGTAGCCACTGGTGCTACTAGAGTAAGCACTGACCAGGTCTCAGAAAACTGAAAAGAAAAGGTAGGAGAGAGAGGGGGGAGGGAGACGACCAGTTTAGAAGACAAAAGCGAGAAGAAAGCATTACTATAAACAAAATCCTGCATGAGAGGCGTTAGACACCCCCAGGCCACAAAGCAAACGGAGATACATCTTAGCACCTTCTCGCCTGGCAGGGCAAGAAGACAGCATTGTACACACGGAGGATAATAAGGAGGTTGGTTTTCTGATTTAGAAACGAGAAGTTACATTGTTTGACAATTTAGAGACAGCAACGGCCAAATTAATATAGCTTCATACCAGTGCATCAGAAAAGGCAAATAAGAAAGCAGTTTCTATTAAATCATCTTGAATTATACCAACATTAGTTCAAGCCCAAAAAGAAAGGAAGGAAGCTGGCAGAGCAAAGCTGAATAGCGAGAGGAATGATCGCGTTGTTTGCATCCGAGTAGGGACCGGGTTTGATTGTCCAGCCCCAAGGAGCTCCGACGGCGAAATATATCATAGCTAGACCATGCCATGTCAGTGTATCCGCGATAGAGTTACAAACAAGAAGTACAGCGAGAACTTACCAGCTGATATGACAAGACAAATTGCCCAAGTCCACTTGAACTTCTGGACCATCTTGTCCAACCCAATGTAGAACCCAGTTGGACCGGGTTCCTTGGCGGTAGAGGCCCACTCGATATTGATACTGAATGCGTGGCAGAGGAGGGCCTTGGCACAATTCAAACTGATACCGCTGAAGTAAATGATCAGGAAGGGAAGCCACTTCAGAGCATTCAACAGGGCCCTCCAGAATGTTACTTCCTTCAGCTGGTGCCGAACCATGCTGAAGGCAACAGAGGCAAAGCCATTGAAGACAACTACCAAAGAGCACCAGATACCCCACGATGGAAGATAGTAATGGTCGATTTCGGAGTTGAAAAGACCGACTAGGAAGTAGTTGACAGTTGCCAACAGCATGCCTGCCGCAAGGGCGTAATCTGGGACAGGTTAGCGTGTCTCGTTGGGCAAGATTCCTGACAGCCTTACAGGTGAAAATATAGGATATGATGGTAACTTTGCTTGTAATAGGCATGTTGCTCCAAAGAAAGCGCAGGAAGAGCCTCGTCACTGGACCCCTGTAGAACCATTGGTAGCTAATTTATAGGTGTTAGCATGCAACACCTTGATAGGTTGAGTAAAGCTAGTATCACTCACAAGGGATGGAAGACCAGCTCATTACAACCGTAGGCGTATTTCTCCCACCGAGTCAACTCGTCGTATAGTGTGAGAGACACGCCTTCCTTAAAGCCACCGTTGTGGTAGGTCGCCAGACGGACCACCATGCCTTGCATCTGCAAGCGAAGACTGATATCAAAATCTTCCGAGACATGTGCATCAGACCACCACTTTGTCTGGCCGTCCTTTGGATCGACAAATTCAATACTCTGCAGAGCCTTCCATCGAAGAAAAGCATTGTGACCCACAAAGGGAGAAACATCGCCAGAGCCAACACCATATTTGATAGCAGTGTAGACGACGTTTGTGAAGTATGCAACTATCAAAAGGGTGAGACAGAATGGAAACAAGCCAAGATCGGGGAAGTGGGAGACACGTACTGCCGTTCTCGAACGTGTTGTGAACAACTTGCATAACACCTGATCCATGCTGGAGAATCGCCACTTCAGGACTCTCATGCATCTCCAACGCACCGTAGAGAAGAGAGTCAACGGGAACTCGTGTATCGCAATCAATGCTGTAAAGAATATTTAGTGATTGAATGAATATACTGCAGAATAGACTTACAGTAGGATAATCTCCCCGATGCGAATATTGCCCTCGGCCCCTAGGGTTTGTTAGTGGACTTCCAGGAGTTGTGTTTTCAAAAACTGACAGGTGCGACCTTCATCAGCAGCGAGCATGTTATCGAGCGCCTGCTGGTATAGCCGATCATCGTCATCGACCGTGATATCCTCCATGGCACAACCTCGCTGTTGAATATCTAATTGTGTGAGACGAGCTAGCTCATCCTCAACACGGTTTGAGAAGGCAAGACCGTAATTCATGTTACTGGCTTTCTTGAATTTGCCTTTACGTTCAAATCCAATCTTGTTAGCCAAGGCTTGAGGCGTTTCAAGATCATCCTCTTTCTCAGTATTCAGGTCCTCGCCAGCAGGCTTGGACTTGCGGAACCATCCCAAGCATGACCGGCTTTGCTTCTTTGTTTTTTTGTTTGGCAAACGTGCCGTGTATCCAATTCCGTTTTCTCGGTAGTACTGCCTTCGTGCCTCCGCGAGCTCTGGCTGGATGCATTGCATGCCGTCATCATTGATAAAGACAGAGGCGGTTCCTCCTTGTTCTTCATAGTATTGGACGGCGGCAAGGACACTCATCATTGTTGGCACAATGACACTGTGCAGTTCGAATTAGTATCTAACGTCGAAGGAAGTCAAGCCAGCTTACCCTTTGAGACCTTCCTTATAAACAGGCATTTGGATTGTAACATGGGGCAACTCATAATCTCGGTGTGCCTTGGGGTTGGGTTTGATGGCCGAATGAAACTTGGAGTTCTTGAGACAAAATCCGGCGGGTAGAAAGAGCTGGAAGACACTGGTGACCAAGACGATGAAAAAGAACTAGAAGCTGTCAGTATACTCCAAAATGAGATAGAAAAGACCCATACCAACGAAAATAAACCAAGTGGCGGGATTGTCGCGGCCTGAAGAATCTCAATAAGCGGCAGATCAAAACGTAAATAAGCGAAGAGCCTACCAAAGCAAAACGAATATAACCACCATCCCAGCTGTATTCATTTATCAACTGCGGACTATAGTTAGTTAGATGCACAAAGATAAGATTCCAGAAGACTCACTCTGGATACGCCAAGTGCTTGTGTCAGGATAACCAGCATGATTGCCAGACTGATCTTGACGGCATGAACTCGGAGTGTTGGCCTGGGAGCTGAGTTGCTTTCCAAATCTGGAGCGTCAGCGTCATCTTTTTCTTCCAATGCGACAGCTCTGCTATAGATCTCATGTTTCTCATCTAGCGCGCCGCGGACAGGGGTGGAGGGAATGTTGCTGTCGGCCTTCGTTGATCGCAGCATATCCGAACTGTTGAAATCCATTGGGGAAGAACGCCCGGAGATGCGAGGAGTAGTCGATGTCGAAATTCGAGGGCCCTGGTAGTTATCGTCATGCTTAGCAGAAAGCAAAAAACCTCCAGGTGAAAAACTCACTCTTCCACCAAGCTGTTTCTCAACATCAAATGCTACGTTTAGAATAGCACTTGCATCGTGAGACCAGATCAGGACCACACGCTCTTGTATAACAATACATGCTCGTGAGAAATGGACCAACGCAGGGTCCACATCGCTAAGAGAGGCCACAATTGGGATACGTGCGCTGGTGCTGTCAACAATGAGACTTTTCTGACCCGGAGTGATGGTGTCGATTATGGCGGTAGTTAATCTGGAAGACATGGCCACTGCGGCCGTTTCGTTCAACCTAAAGATCGCATCTGCCAGCAGGGGAGACACTTCTGCGGGGAAGAAGGAATATCCTCGGTCTGGGATCTTAACTGCGACGCAAGTTGAAGACAAGCCTTGCGACCGAGAATTGCCCTGCGCCTCGTCGAACCAGCCGAGAAGGGTTGCTCTTCGAGCCAAATACTGTGACATCTGTACAAATTAAGACATGCCGTGAAGCGAGCCAACTTGAGATTAAATCAGAACATACCGCGATAGGATCATCATCTTCTTCGTTTTCAGAGATTGCGTGCGAGACCAAGGAATGAGCCACAGATGGCGTCCCTCGTCGAGAGCGCGAGCTTGCGCGCGGAACAGCCATGGGAGACAAGACTCGTGCGACCTCAGCAGTATCTAGACGGGGAGTTGAGGATCGAGAGGAAATGTACACAACTTCAGTTCGGCCTTCATTCTCAATAGAGTCATCGCCTGCTGGAAGCGGCCAATGTTCTGGCTTAGATGGTCCATTGGAAAGGTCGCCGTCTTGCGGATTGACATCCATTGTAAACCGCGACTGTGTTGAGAAGAGACGTGCACGGAGATTGTCACAAAAGGTGCTCTGGCGGATATCAATGGGCTTCTTTCATATCTTACAGGCGAGACAGGTGGGTAAAAAAGGAACTCGGAATATAAAGATATACACAGCTAGGAAATCGTGAACACGAAAAAAAAGTAGAAGATACCGACAAGGACAGCACTCCCTGGTCTAGACCCGAACATACAAAGCGGCAAACCGACGGTCATCGCCGATACATTTGATTTAGAATATAACAGGCGACACGACTGCGCCAGCAAGCGCTATTGAATGTGGCACTTGCAAGTTGTGCTGAGCCAACTCTCGTTTCCATAGGAAAGGCCCAATCGTCGAAGAGGATAGCCTCACGGCCCTATGCTAGAGCGGTGCCTTAGACAGTGTGGATCAGGCTGGACTTCAGCGGATCCACGGACACAGCTTCAGTATTCGCGTAATTGAGCTTGTATTAGATGGTTAGTAGAATCCAGTCTCGGTCACACCGAGTTGACAGCGCATACGAGTAAGCGCTATGTGAGCCATTCGGCCGGTGAAAGGTGTACCTGGAACGGTGCAAACAGACTCCACGGGTAATTTTGGGCGAGCCTGAAGCGCTCTGGTACTTTTGTCCAGAACCCCCTGGGAGTTTTGCCGTGATAAGTGGCTTATCGGGCTGTTGATTGGTGCTCGGGTCTCTCACCCCGGCGGACCGACCCTGGCTGAAATCTAGACTAAAGCTGGCTGTATTAGCGGCCCGCACCTTTGAGCTTGTTATTCTAATGTCCTTCCAGAACCGGTAGTAGTGCTTGATAACAACTATATTTTTGGCTGGTGAAGATAAGTGATTTATTTTTGCCAGTCAGACTTGCAGCTCTACAGAATAATCAATCATACATCATTTTACCCGACAACATGTAATGCGCCTCCACACCATGGCAAGTTTGGCGTGCAGAAAAATCGTATCAGTATTCAAAAGAGAACTAAAGAACTAGTAAAGAGATCTAGAACGATCAACACGCTCCCTGCTGCCACATTCGGACAGATTTGACGATCATGGCCCGGTCCTCGGGCTCGCCCCAGCTCGGCAGCCAGGTATTATTTGCCAGCCAGAAGTCTCGTGCGGGAGTCTTGCTACCATCCGTCCATGGCTTGCCTCCAACATCATCTCTGGAAGATGGGAGTAAATCATTAATTGATGCTTAAGAACATCGAGAGAGAATAAACTCACGGGAAATATCCGTTGGTTCCGCCCACAGCGACATTGAGAATGAGATAAAACGGCTGGTCAAAGGGCGTGTTGTCTCTGCCAGTCTGCCAGGGGTCGGTTGGTGCAGAGCCGTTTACCGTATCGTCGGCAAAGTCGCCATACGTCCACATATTCTTGTTCTTCTTAAAGTTAAAGAAGAGAACTTGCTGTAGTGACACAAAACTATTAGCATAGGCATAACCCCGTCGATAATCAAGAACGTACTCGGAGGCGGCCATCAAGCCAAGTAAAGAGGTAATCTTCCGACCACTCCAGACCAAAAGTATGAAAGCCATCGGAGTACTTGGTTCTCTTGGCCCCCCATTCGCCATAGCTTTTCTCGTACGCATCATTCTCATATGTTGTGCCCCAGTGCATTGCTGAACTGATAATGTTGTTCCCCAGTGGGTATATTTGCGCATCGTTGCCCCTGCTTTCAGCGATATCGATCTCGCCGCTAGCTGGCCAGGGGCCATAGACATTACCCTGAGGCATCATCCTGCATAGATAAGTACGTGCATATGCCTTGAATAATATGAGGACAAGGTAAAGCATACCAAATAGCTGGCCATAGCCAATCCCCAGCAGGAAATTTTGCAACCACCTCGATTCGGCCATACGTGATGGTTTTCTTTCCGAAAGTAGTAAGACGGGCAGACTGAACTGGATTGATAATCTCGCCCGAGGTCGCATTGCTGTGGACTGCACATTCTGAATTCTGGTTCAAGTCAGATACTCGCTGGTTTTTCGAAGTGCATGTTCCCGCGGCAGTCAAATTGACAGTGTACCCGTTCATCAGTTGGCTCGGAGTGATATTCGTGCTTTCAGTGGTCAGCGTCGGCAAGATATGGAGGCCGTCAGAATCAACAAATGAATTCTTGGAGTCCGCAGTAGTCCAGTCGAATGAACCAGTTCTAGATTGCAATGATTAGATGAGGGACAATCTCGGTGGAAGTCGTCCACTCACCCAAATCCATTAAGCTGGACTTCATGGCTCCATACATCTAGATTCAGTGTGGAGAAGTCATCATCGAGTATCAAACAGTACTATAATTTGGTCATTAGAGCCTGATTTCGAGTCTGACTTTCTAGAACAAACAAACCTCATGCCGCGGAACGGTAACGTAAGAATTATAGCAGATGTAAGTAGAAACCGCTGGATAACAGTTACAAACTGAATAACAAAACCTTTCCAAGGGACATTGTACTTACCGATTGCGATAGAAACGCAGGTATAGAAGATAATGCTGTCCCAGTTTGGGATTCGCTTGCCGCCCTGAAGCCAGGGCTTTTCAAACCTGAGACAGTCAAATAAGCCACGGCGACTCGCAAATGAGGAATGCTGCTTACTCTCCAATCAACCGCGAGCTCTTGAAGCGACGTCGAGGACGAGTTGCTGCCGGTTCTTGTGGTAGGATTAGTAGCTGGTTTTCTATGCAACAGAGGCCACATACCCTGAACTTCGGATACAGCTGATGATGCTGGCCTCCGCGACCGAATAGACCGAATGGATGGAATAGGGGTCGCGAATGGTGGAGTTGCGAAAGGGTTTTGAGAAACGTGGAAATTCTCTGGAGTATCTGCTCGGTCCATCATGTTGGATGTCTATGTCCAGCTCTCGATTACTATTTTTTTCGTATGAGTATACCACGGCGAGAAATGTAAACTGTCGGTTCCATCTGGAATCATAATATAAGATAGATCGTCGCGACCCATTTTTTGACTACGCCTCCCGACCGATCCAGATTTTCGCTCTGGCTATCGACGATAAGTGAAGCTTGGTGCCTTTTTTGTTCTTGCGGTGACTCGCGAAAATATCTGGAAGAACCAGCCGAGCGATAAAAAAAGCGTGGCGTGGCCATTTTCAAAAGTACTAGAACTGCTAGGTGGTGACTAGAGAGGTAGTAGCCGAGCACCCGGAGTGATTGGTCTAACACAAAAGCGTGGCCAGGAACATGATCTTCCCTGGGATTCGCCGGAACCCTATTGGCCCCACCGATCCTATCGCATAAAAAACCCTATTTCTAGGCTCATTATTGACCGTTGACCTGCAGCGTGTAACTCCGGTATACTTAGAACCGGCCGAATGTTCTCCGATGACGTGTCTTGGTAGATTTTCAATTTTGAAAAGATAGGTTATTTTAGCAGAAGCTCAGCCGCAACTATGAGAGAAACACTAACCATGAACTCGCTTGCAAGTCACCTACGTTAACCACGTAGCTAGCGCTGAGATCTACATCGAGGAACGACGAAACTTGCATGAGGCATCTATGTACTAGTCGGTCTCATATGCTATGAATATATCTAACACTAAGATAATAATTCCTATCGCCCTTATTTCTGCCAAATAGAATGGACTTTATATTCAACCAAAGCATAGCTTGCTACAAACCGGAGTCGCCGATAGCCAAAACATGACTTTTTGGGCTGAAATTGACGAGGTTGCCTGATACCAGCTCATCGAAGACAATGACCGGTATTTCCGTAACCACACATCTCCCTGGTGGCTTGACACGTTCGCGGATTCTCGCCAAAGACGCTCATTGATAGGCCCGTGAACTCCGTCCCCACCGCTGAACTGGCAGAGGAGCTGAAGAAAAGCTAAACCAGGCCGAGCCATCTCTGCGGGTGTTTTTGGCGGCGCTGAGAACATGCTCTATAGGGTTTGGTGGAACTGGTCACACTCATGCCTTCAGCCCTTGGGCGCATTTCTGGCGTCGCTATTGAATTCTGTGTCTGGGAGAGGCACGGGAGCCCCGAATAATATCTGCGTTGATTCGCAGTTGAGCTATATAAGGCCACTGCGCACCGTGTCATCTATCTCCAACCCCGATCTTGTTATCATATGCAACATCTCCTCATTTCAGCGAGATCTTTTTGGTACTTCACTTATCAAATGGCTGCACTTACGCTCCTTTTCTCCACTTTTGCTGTGGCCTCTGCCACTCCGACAGGCTTTACTGTATGTTGAGGCCCACTCCCACAACTTCGCAAAGATATACTGACCATCCAATAGGCCGCTTTGGTCCCCAGACAATCAGTCTCCAATAATGGACTCTGCGGTGCATACAACGGCACTGCTACCTGCACTGGCAGCATCTACGGCACCTGCTGCAGCCAATTCGGATACTGTGGTAGTGATACCGACTACTGCGGATCCGGCTGCCAGAGTGGCTACGGCACCTGCGGAGCCGATACCACTCTGAGCTGGTACGGTCTAGGGTGCTACTCCGACAGCACCAATGCTCGCGCCCTGAACACCTCCGTTCTCGTCTCCGGCAACACCGTCGAGGCATGCCAGTCAACATGTGCTGCTGGAGGCTTTACCTACGCCGGAATGGAGTTTGGAAGCCAGTGCTACTGCGGTACCGCCATCGAGAACGACTCGGAACCCATTTCGTCCTCTAGTTGTAATATGGCATGCGCAGCAGACGAGAGCGAGATCTGTGGCGGATCGAACGCTCTGAGTTTGTATGTCATCGTGCCTATCTGGCAGAGCGTGGGATGCTACTCCGACACCACTCTTAAACGCACTTTGGCTGAGTCCTACAATGTTGGCGGTAATACTGTGGAGAAATGCCAGGCGGCGTGCAAAGCGGGCGGATATATCTATGCCGGCATGGAATTTGGCACTCAGTGTTTCTGTGGCAACACTATCGACAACGGCGGTGCCCCTACCTCTGGCTGTGGTACCCCATGCCCGGGCGACGCATCTGAGACCTGTGGCGGAGCCAATGCTTTAAGTTTGTACTACCTTTTCGGGGGATCTGAACCCGAGGAGAAGAAGTAGTTCGTCACCTATTTAGTTGCTCTTTGGCTTTCGAGCTATTTTTCGGCTTCATATTCTCTTGTTGCAGTGGAGTATAATAAGTGTAGTGATAATGCTATAAGTTGTTTATCTATTTGAATTTTGCGTACAGAAAGGGAGATAAAGGTCACTTGTGAAGCCTAAGCAACTCGCCCGCGAATCGATTTGGAATCAAGCGCTTTCAGCTTTCATGTCCTCTTCAGCCTGGCTCTTAACGATCTCCCTGACCTTCTGCCATGAGTTCTCTACCTCGGTCACGCGTGTTTCCATTGTTAGGAGAGTTTTGAGCTCGTCGGGAAGAACCTGCTTGTCGAAATCGAAGCCGGGTTCGTCCTTTAGGGCCTTTTGCACAACATCAGAGAACTTCGCAGGGTGGGCAGTTGACAGAGAGATATGATGCTGTTGCGAGCCAACCCGAGCGATCGATCGGTTGGCAGCGGTAACTGCGACTGCCGAATGGGGATCAAGGATGTATTTCGTCTTTTGGTAGCACGACTTGATGGTTTCGATGGTCTCTGCATTGCTTACGCGGTCACTCTCAAAGGTTGACCGTCCGTTGTCCAAAATGTCCTTGGGTACGGGACCGAAGCCGCCGGTGCTTTTTAAGGACTGATACCAGGCTAGGACGTCTTGAGCAGCTTGTTTTTTGCTAGCTTGATCATCCATGCCCCCCTTCGCGGCATGTTCTCTAGCGAGGAACCACATGAGTCTCTCAAAGTTGCTAGAGACTAAGATGTCCATTGCCGGGCTGTGGGTCTCTTTGCAAGCGTCGTCATTCTTTTCATATCGGCCAGTCGTCCAGAAACGATGTAGGATGTCGTTTTCGTTGGTCGCCACTTCTAGCTTCTCCACAGGCAACCCCATCTTAGAGGCAAAGTAGCCCGCAAGGATGTTGCCAAAGTTTCCAGTAGGAGTCACGAATTTGACCTTGTCTCCTAGCTTGAACGATGGTGATTTCTTGACCAGCTGGAAGTAGGCAAAGAAGTAAAAGACGATCTGGGCGAGAATTCTCGCGAAGTTGATCGAATTGACGGCACCGAGCTTCAAGGCCGCGTTTGTATCAGCATCGCCAAATAGAGCCTTGACGATATCCTGGCAATCGTCAAAGGTGCCCGTGACAGTAAGATTGTGAACATTCCTGTCTGTACAGGTTGTCATTTGCGCCTCTTGGATTGCGCTGATACGCCCCTTGGGGTACAAGATGGTAACTGAGACATCCTTCTTGCCCCGAAGACCGTAGATGGCTGCGGATCCGGTCTGTTCCATATGTTAATACGAAGTCAGATCAACGGCGCATATTAAACGTACATCACCACTTGTGGCACCGACCACGGTCAGATGGTGGCGGTCTTTCCCGGTTTTCCCCTTATTTTTGCGGACCAGGAAAAATTCAAAGAGGTTACCCAGACACTGCAATGCACAATCCTTGAATGACCAGCTTGGGCCGTGGAATAGCTCAAGAAGGTGAATGTTGTCGTCCTGTAGATGTACTAGGGGTGTAATATCGTCTGCGCGGAATGTCGAGTAGCTGCGATCAATGATGGCTTTCAAATCGTCCGCGGGAATCTCGGCGCGGGAGATATAGAGGCTGAGGATTTGGAAGGCTGGACAGGCGGTTAGATATACTCATTCGGGCATAACAACTCATACGTACCGAGCTCTTGGTAGGAGAGGTCTGCCCAACTCCGCTACATCGCCGTTAGCTCTCGTTCTTCTCCAATGGTCAATGGTTCCCTACCCAGTCCTTTGCAATTGGAACCTCATGGGGCAGGAACAGGCCGCCGTCCGCGGCGAGTCCCTTCAAGACAACGGTCTCGAAGGAAAGCTTGAACAGATCAGCAGATGGTCAAGGAGCCACACAGTATTACTCACGCCGTAGTCACCGCCTCTGGTCGAGAGATATTTCTGGGATTCAGTCGCCATGATGATGCAATTGTCCTTCGAATAATTGATATCTGTCTGTTCTCACGGCAAAGTTTTTGCCCCGCGGAGGCCGGCATCGGCCGTGACTCAACGGAACATCAATGGTCCGGTCCGGTCAACATCTAGTCGAACTCTTGAGCTCGGGGCCTAGGGCTAGCGTTCATGTTGATTCTCAGATTCTTTATCTAGAATTAAGAACAATCACCACTAGCTCGTCTCAGAATTGGTTTCTGCTGAAATAATGGTAAATTCAGACTCTAGAAGCGTGACAATATATAGTGGGGGACCCATTCAACCCCCACTTTCACCGCTTTCCCACATCCATTCCCGAGCAACATCGACCGGGGTAGCAACTATTTTGCAATAGATGTCAGAGATGTGTTCGTAGGACCACTAGAGGTCCATCACGAGCGGAGATTCGGAACTTTTGGGCTTTTAAGTCGGAGTTGAGCCAGGGCGATTCGGGCTTTTTGACGCGTGATTGGACGCCGGCCGAAACTATTTCCTCGACCTTCTTGAATGGGATAAGCTTGGTGCCATCGGAGAGGTGCCGACGCGTTTGGTCTGCCTATCGCGATCGGCTAACCTCGTTGGCTCACGGACTCCGCGCAGCAATTAGTTTGGATATAAATACGCAGGGGGGAGGGGAGAGATATTTTGTTGGAACATGGGCGACCCTATCGCGAAACACCCCTGTAACCTAATCGCAAGAACACGGCCAGTATGGGCAGCAATAGCAGATATCGCATCGGTGTTGATGTAGGAGGTGAGCGAAGAAATTCTGCAACCAAATAAGAGAACTCAAACTGAGAAAAGAGATCAGGCACCAACACCGATGCCGTCCTCATCTCCCTCGACCCTGTTTCGATCATCGCGTCTCATAAGGCACCAACTACCCCGGATGTCACGACGGGAATTATCAATTCCGTTCGCGAAGTGATTCATGCGTCGAAGGTGTCTCTTAGCTCCATTGGGTGCGTCATCATCGGTACGACACACTTTGTCAACGCTGTCGTCCAGCGCTCGGCAGCTCTTCGCCGCGTCGGTGTTGTAAGACTATGCGGCGGTCCGGATGAGGGCTTTGGGCGCAACATTCCACCGTTTGTCGACTTTCCTGTCGATTTACGAGCGTGCATCGAGACGCCTCACAAGTATTTCTGCAATGGTGGCTATCAGATCTCCGGTACTGAGATCAGCCCTTTAGACGAAGCGGAGATTCGTCGTGTTACGGAAGAATTAGCTAAAGACAAAATTACTAATGTGGTTCTCTCCGGGATGTACGCCCCTTTGAACCATGCGCAAGAGATTGCCGCTAAAGAAATCATGGAGAAGACTGTGGCGGAACATGCGGGTTTCAAGCCACGGATTACTTTATCTCATCAAGTATCGGGATTGGGGTTTCTGGCTCGCGAGAACGCTGCCATTCTGAACGCCACTTTGAGGCCTCTGGCAGAGAAGACCATATACGGCTTCCAGAAGGCCATGGAAGATATATTCCAAGGAAACCCCTACACTCTTTACCTGACACAAAATGACGGTAGTGTTCTCGGTGCCTCCGAAGCAGTTGAGCTACCTATTCGCACTTTCAACTCAGGCCCAACAAACTCTATTCGTGGTGGAGAGTTCCTCTGGCGCACTGCAGAGAACGCAGACAATCAAAGTAAAACACGCACGGAGCCTTTGGTGGTCATTGATATTGGAGGAACTACATCCGACAGTGGCTTACTGCTTCCAAATGGTCTACCTCGGATGAGTTCTGTCATGAGCCTTGTGGGAGGTGTCCGCACGAACTTTGCACTTCCAGCTGTCGAAAGTATTGGTCTGGGTGGTGGCACAATCATCAGAGACCTGAGTAATGGGGAACTTTCCGTGGGGCCAGATAGCGTGGCTCTGGAACTCTTACAGAAAGCACGGCTTTTTGGCGGGTCATACCTCACCTCCACCGACATCGTTGCTGCATCTGAGCTTCACATGCCTACCGGGGATAATCCCTTCCAGGGAATGGGTGATCCGAGCCTTCTTGCAGATATTACTCCCAAGGTGGTCAGCAACGCTCAGATGCTCATGCGACAAAAGATTGAGGAGGTCGTGGATCGAACCAAGATTCAGAAGGGAGATGTGGACGTCTTGATTGTCGGTGGTGGAGCGCCGATTGTAAACACCAAAGAGCCTCTCATCGGAGTCCGTATGGTGCGAACGGTCAAGGGCGGCGAAGTAGCCAATGCGGTTGGTGCTGCTATCTCACAAGTATCGGGTGTCATTGATACTGTTGTCGATACATCGAACTGTACACTCAAAGAGGCACAAGAGACCGTTTCTCAGTTGGCGATTGGCAAGGCTATCGAGAATGGAGCCAAGAAGGACACCGTTCAAGTCGCTGAGGTGACCATGTTACCTATTCAGTACGTGGATGCGAAAGCTCGAATCTTGATACGAGCTGTTGGACAACTTGACATTGTTTCTCAGCAACAAGAATCGACGAAGCCCATCAATGCGCCCATTTCGGAGGGATCTGAAGAAGAAACCCCAAACATGCCCATGTCGAAGACGATTTCGCAGCTTGAAGCGGAGAAAGTGAATATCCAGACTTACCGACCTCAAATCAATGATCAGCAATGGATTATATCCGCCACAGATCTCGATTTCATTGCACGTGGATGCAAAATTCTGGGCTGTGGTGGTGGAGGTGATCCCTACCAGGAGTATCTCAAAGCAAAAGCCATTATCCGCAACTCACCTGGTACAGTCAAAGTGGTCTCTCCCGAATATCTCCCAGATGACTCGTTGGTAGGCTGGACCGGCTGCATGGGTAGCCCAGAAGTGAGCATGGAGAGGCTAGAAAACAACGAATGTTTGCAGGCGCATGACGAGCTCATGCGAGTCACAGGAAGCCCACCCGTGTCCGGATTTGTGGCGCTCGAGATCGGCGGTGGAAATGGCGTTGTCAATCTCAGTGTTTCGTCCCATTATGGCGTGCCTTGCGTCGATGCCGACTATATGGGTCGCGCGTATCCGACTTGCTGGCAAGTGACTCCAAATGTTTATGGGTCACCCAGAGGCGATGCTCTCGTACCGACGACTATCGCCAGCGGAGATGGGTCGTTTATCACTATGACCAAGTCCCGCACAGACAGGCTGGTTGATAAGTCATTGAGAGCTGCCTGCGTGGAGATGGGCTGCCGTGCCGGTAGTGCCGGCCCGCCAAAGACTGCCAAAGTGGTTAAGGAACAAGCAGTCACGAATACTATTTCACTGGCCTGGTGGATCGGACGAGCAGTCGCTTTGGAGAAGAACATCACCGACAAGGCTCAGCGTATCATAGATGAAGTTGGTGGCCCGGAAAGCGCCTCCATTCTCGGCCAGGGGAAGATCATCAGCGTCTCTCGAGTTCTCAAAACAGGCCATACATACGGTGTATTGGAAGTGGAAGGCTCTCTTAAAGACGGAACAAAAGCAATTCTCAGTGTCCCGTTCAAAAACGAGAATGCTTTTGTCGAAGCCGTCACTACTGAGGGTGAAAAGAAAGTTCTGGCGGCTGTTCCAGACCTGATCGCCGTGATCGACGCGGAAACAGGTGATGGATTGGGCACACCGGAGTACAAGTATGGCCTTAAGGTGGTCATAATTGCCATTGCAGCCTCACCAAGGTGGACTGATACGAAGAGAGGTATGGAGGTGGGCGGGCCTGGGTCAATGGGCTTCGAGGAGATTGGATATGTTCCGATCGGGAAGTACAGCAAGCCACGCAGTGTAATCGAGGTCTTTGGTTGATATCTGGAGTATATACAAGACTTTGCTATCCATTGATTAGAAATTATTAGACTTTGAAATATAAGTGCGCACTAGATACAGAGTTCCGATTGGACACACTGAGTAACGAGAAAGTTGCGCTCATTGGATATTTGGTAGCTTCCACGGGAGTAGCATCAATGAATCAATCCCCCAAGGCTTCAAAGTCTGCCTGAAGAGATGAACATATCCCATCGACGAATAGATCCTCCTCCTCTAGCGGCACCCCCAAGGCTCCAGCTTGCCAACTGACGGCACACACCAAGCTACGTCCCTTGACACTGACGATGTTAAACACAAGCGGTGCGCTGAGAACATTAGCGGGCTGCGCAAACACCATCTTGCTGATCTTGTATTTGGGACTTGCACCGTCGTCAGTGTCATCAAAAGCAAGTAAGTTGCTCACTTCGTACGAGCCATCCCGCCGCTGCCCGACTTTTCCCAGCGTCCAATTCCTGATACTGGGGGCGTATCGCAACAGGCCAATTGCTTGGTCCTGCAGCCTTGTGGCGCATGCAGCGAGCTTCTTCGTCATCGAGCTTGCAGCCGCCCACATCTCATCCGACAACGCAGGCGTTATGTGCGTTAGACGCGGAATTACCTCGTGATGGCCAGATACAAAAAGACCCCAGGTGTAGCCTGGGGTGCCAATGGATCCTCGCATGTCAACCGCCGTCTGTGAGACGAAATTGGTTATGTCAGGGTTGGGAATGGCTTTGCTCAACGCCCGGACAATCAGCTGATGCACTATTGCGGTGAGTTTGGCATCATGGCTTCTCGACACCTGCAGAGCCTTTTGTACTATCGGGGCCTCGATCTCAAGGAGTCTCACTCTGCTGTTGAAGGCGGCCGGGTCGAAGCTCATGCGCGAGCCAGTCCAAGTACCGGCATCGACTGTGCTGGCGGCTGCGCGGAGCCCGAGGATTCCGGCTAAGGATTTTGGCAAGTATACTGCCATCAACGGCCCAAGTAGAAACTTCCAAGATATGGGAAGTCTTTCGGGTGTGTCAAAGGGTGCCGAAAGAGTTCGAGTTGGTGGGGTCACTAAGAAAGACCTCTTCTCATCCGTACAGGTCTTTTGTCGCCATGCGTCTAGAAAAGTGCGATGAAAGGCTAGTCCGACCATGCCGTCCCCGAGAGTATGAGAGAACGCAAAAGCTATAAAGCAGCGCGTCACTGCGGAGTCATCGGGCGCCACCAGTGGGAGGACGACGATTCGCCAAGGTGGAATATCAGCAGGCCATGGCCGGTCGAGTATTGGTGGCAGGATCTTCTGAAGAGTTGCCGTCTCTCCATGACTATCGCTGTCATGGATTATAGAGATATGGTCCTCGAGATTAATAGTGGAAACCCCTTCGTAGGCTGGCTTTTCGGTATGCTTGTCCTTGACGACCACGCTTAGATATGGATACGTCAGGATGCAGTGCTTCAGGGGCGGAATGAAGGACTGAGCCGAGTTCACGTCTATCTCTTCACTCGCAACCTCGTAAATTGCTCCAATGACGAGCGCGTTGTAGAAACCGAGGTCTTCGCGACTGATGGTGCGGCGCTCATTGGGACCTGCTTTTTCGTTAGCGCTGCAGATGTACTCCTGCATACAAATGGCCACTAACTTGCGAATCTCATGAACATCTTAGGCTGCGACAGCCGCGAGGGTATCCTAATTGATTGAATTTTCGTGCTGTAAGCCGCCAGGTCTGTTCAGTTCAGATTGTGGCTAGCGCTGACTGAGCCTGTGGATCTTCTGGCGCGACCCGATAAGGAAACCGCCCGAGAAGTGGTTTGGAGGGAACCTCTGCGTCCCTGACACCAGCGAAAGATGTGGATCTGAAGACGATCGATCTATGGGGACAGGCTGGTGGAATTGAAAATTGAGTTTGACCCGAAGACTGTCTTCAAGGACAGTCTTACTCAGTTGGATGTAGAGCAGGCTAGAGTGTCTCGAACATATTGTTTTTCTATTCCTTCCTCAATTGCTCCTGGCACTCACGGCACCTGTGGAGTATGTCTCGCAACATCCATTATGGATTCACGCACAATGAAGTGTGGAGATGGGCCGCTATGGGACTCCATACATTTACCCCAGTGAGTTGCCCTAACTAATTGAACTCCCCCTCTATTGAGATGGATTCGGTATTTTCTCGGCCGTGAATAAGGTGGCTAAGCATAAATCGCCATCTGGGTCATCAGTGCTGGCCCGGGATTTTCTCTCGCCTCCCCCGGAAATGGCAGCCACCTCCCAGGTTTTTCTCCTGAAGCTCCCGATCGCATCGGTGGCGCCCGGGGAGTGCCCACGTGACTTCGATTTTTTCGGGCGTAAAAAAGTCATCCCCCCCCCCCAAATAATCTTCAATTTTGTCTCTTCCAACCGTTCAAGCTTTCATCCCCAGCTCCCTCCCATCAATAGAGCTTCTTTCCCTCCGTCGCCTTTCGTCCCTGCGACTTCTTTGAATCCGACCCTCACTCTCCTCCTCCCTCCCTTATATTCCCAATGGATCACTCAAGGGACCCTTGCCCGTGGGTCGCCCTCAGCGACTTCGGCGGTGCTTTCTGCATGGGCGTACGTCTCGTCAACAACCGTCTTTTCAACCATCCAAGCTAACTCAGCTCCAGGCGATCGGTGGTGCAGTCTGGCACGGTGTGAAGGGCTTCCGGAACAGCCCATACGGTGAGCGCCGGATAGGTGCCCTCACAGCCATCAAGGCTCGCGCTCCTGTGCTCGGTGGAAACTTCGGCGTGTGGGGAGGACTTTTCTCGGTAAGGAAGGATGTGTGACCCATCTTGAAGGTCTATACCTAATAAATGATCAGGTGTTCGACTGCACCGTGAAGGGAATCCGCAAGAAGGAAGATCCTTACAATGCTATCATCGCTGGTTTCTTCACCGGTGGTGCTCTGGCTGTTCGTGGTGGTGTCAAGGCTGCTCGGAACTCTGCAATCATGTGCGGTGTCTTCCTGGCAGTCATTGAGGGTGTTGGAATCGGTTTCCAGCGGATGATGGCAGACAACACAAAACTCGAGGTATGATGATCGTGATCGGCTTCCCGTGCAGGTTCATCCGCTGACATGGCCATCGTTATAGCTGCCCCCGGCGCCTTCGACCGAACAGAAGGCCCTTGCTTAAGTCGATTTTCCACCCACACCCCCGGGCCTCCTCCACCTCCCCTCTCGGCGGCCTGCTCGCTTTTCCTTCTCGCTGTATCAAAACTCACGTCAAGTCTCTCTTCTCAGGAGTTTGGTTTGGGACATTATCATCATCATTTTTAAACGACACGGCATAGAGATTTCCTTTTTTTTCCCCGGCATTTTGCGCTTTTACCCGGTTAATGTCTTCTTGAGCGCTGTGGTCCGACCCGATTTCCAGCGTCGGCGTGTGTGTTTTTCTCGGCAGGCAATTATGATCCTGCCACGAAAGAAAAGCTCCTCTTTTCATCCCCCAAAACCAAAAGCATTCGGATGGGATGGTGATGGATTCTTGTACATTAACACATCAGTGCGCAACTTCACTGCATATACACATTTTCAACTACTCATGAGATCAATTGCCGAGTAGGATTCTATGACTAACTGATAGCCTATCTTCTGCCTCAACCAGCACTAGACCAACGCCAATTCAGGCAAAAGCCGCTCCCCCGCATCAACCACCAACTATTAATTCTCGCTCCCCCCGCCGAACCTGGTTACACCTTGGAACACACGCCAGCATGTCCGACCTACCAACCTTCAAGCCCGCATTGATCCTGCACGGCGGCGCAGGCAACATCCAACGCTCCAAAATCCCACCAGATCTCTACGCCAGCTACCACGCCTCGCTACAATCCTTCCTGCGCTCGACCTACGCGCTTCTCAATGAAGGCGCCAGCGCCCTCGACGCGGCAGTGCATTGTGTCTCGCTACTGGAAGATGACGAGCTGTTCAATTCCGGTCGCGGCAGCGTGTTCACCAAAGCGGGAACCATCGAAATGGAAGCTTCGGTGATGGTCACGTCGCTCCGCGACGACCCTAATCAGGAGGGCCAGGGCGCAATCAAGCGCGGCGCAGGCGTGATGGGGATCAGGAATGTCCGCAATCCTATCCGTCTCGCTCGCGAATCTCTTTTACGTTCTGGCGTCACTGCAGACGGCGAGCCCTCCAACGATGGAGGGTGTCTGCACTCCCAGCTCGTCGGGCCACATGTCGAGAAGATGGCTAGCGAATGGGGGCTCAAATTTGAGCCGGACGAGTACTTTCGGACGCAGCGCCGCTGGGACGAGCACCGGCGCGGCCTGAAGGGTGAGGAAGATCCCATCTTTATGAGCCAGGGTACTGTGGGCTGTGTCTGCTTGGACCAGTGGGGCAATCTGGCGGTTGCAACTAGCACGGGTGGAATGACCAACAAGCTTCCCGGCCGGATTGGCGATACGCCTACGCTGGGCACGGGGTTCTGGGCTGAGTCCTGGGAGGAAGCATCCAGCGGTACCGCTGGGAGTGGTGATTCCAACGCCGGTGCCTTTTCGGTCAACGACCTGGTCCAGGAGGCACGGTCCTGCATGACGGATTGTTTTCCCGGTTGCATGAGGGATTCGCCTTCTCCGTCCCTGCCCGTTCGAGAGCATTCCGCATCTGAAAAGGCGCCGCTACTGTATCAAGGAGCCGCATCTCAACATCGAACTAAGAAGCGAGCCATTGCCGTCTCCGGAACTGGAAACGGTGACTCGTTCCTTCGCGTTGCAGCCTCCCGCACCGCTGCCGCCATGCTACGATTCGGCTCGTCTGACAAGTCCCTTGCTGACGCAGTCACCGCCGTTGCCGGGCCAGGCGGCGACCTGCAACGCTCCGCTGGACCGCGTTGGAAGAAGACAGGTGAAGGCGAGGGCGGTATGATTGGCATCGAAGCTGACACGGGACCCGCTGCTGCTGATAAAAAGCTTCGCCGTGGCAAGGTTGTCTTCGATTTCAACAGCGGGGGCATGTGGCGTGCTTGGGTTGAAGAGGATGAGAATGGGAATGATGTCGAGAGGGTTATGGTTTTCAGGGGGGAATATAAATAATCTCATATAGATGGCGGTAACTAGAATCTGACATCGTTGTTGGCATGGTTTTACAAGATCCTTACATGTATAACCCTGTAGATGACAGAGCGAGGTGGGCCTCGCGCATAAGCTATCGGGGTTTAAGTACAGCAACTCATGAGGAGAAATTCATCATATCATAATCATGACCATCACCATCTACCAACCCTCCAACGGAGTAAGCTTGGCCAAAACCCCATCCTTCGGCGACACCGTAGCACTCTCTCTCACTTCCAACTTGGCATCCGGGAACTTCAATTCCATTTGAAAGTGACCGACCATAGCAGCAAGCAAACAAGCGAGCTCCGACTGGGCGAATTTCTGCCCAATACAGCTGCGCGGACCATGCAAGAACGTCAAGAAGGCATAGTTGCTCGTCGCGCCACCAGTATTCGCCTTCCCCGGACCCATAAAGCGGTCCGGGTTAAATTCCTCTGCATCAGGACCCCATAGTTCTTTCATGTGGTTCGTGACCTCTGGGGCGATGATCATAATGGTACCCTTGGGAATCGGGTGGCCGACCAGCGACGTGTCGCGAGCGGCTGCGCGCAAGGTTGTAGGCACAGAGGGGTGGAAGCGGAGGATTTCGTTGCAGACTGCGTTGAGGTAGGGGAGGTTATCCACCATGGAAGCGTTGATGGGGTCTGGGTCTTCCGTTGATACGGAGGGTAGATTTGCGCGGACTTCTTCGCGGAGACGAGTTTGCACGTCGGGATTCTTGCACAGAGCATAGACAGCCCATTGGAGTGCTGTGGCGGTGGTTTCGTGGCCTGCGCCGAGGAAAGTCATGAGTTGGTCGACAAGGTTTTCCTCATCGAATGTGCCGCTGCGCAGTGCGACGGAGATGATATCCACGCTTTGCTGCGCATCCGGGTCCTTCATCTTCTCTTTCTTCTGTCGGATTGTCTGTCGGGCAACGTTGCGGATCGTCTCGCCGCCCTCGTTGATATCCTTGTTGCGCTTTGTGGGGAGTTTCTGCATATACTTGCCGGGGATGAGAAGGATGCTAATGACGATCAGGATCTTGGTGAAGAACCCAGGCGGAGTGAAAATCTTCTTGTAGCCCAGGCTGAGCGGATTGGATGGATCCCGTAGCGAGTCGAAGTCTTGGTCCATGCCTGCTACGCCGATGATGTCGAGCGTGGCCCGGCTCGCCCAGTTGCGGATCTGGACCGTGTTGTCCTCCTCGGGCTTTCTTTGCGCCAAGTCCATGTCGATTCTTTTCACCATCTCTACGCTCTTGGCCCAGAATATGGGGTACAGATCCTTGATGTGGCGGAAGGCAAATGCCGGCATCAGGTTCTTGCGTTGGAGCTACTACAATGTTAACGTGCCTCCCATTCAAAAAGCATATCTGTCATACCTTGTGCTCATCGCCCTCGGCAAGCAGGATGCCATCACCGGTAACGCGGCGCAAATTATCACGGACCGGCCCAGGCTTCTCAAAGTCATAGACCTTTGTCACAAGCAGCTCGCTCAATGCCTTGGGGCTGGTTAAGAGGACGCGCTCCAGATTGCCGATTCCATAAAACCGAATGAGTCCATCATTGGGTATGGTTTTTACCCATCCGAGCATCCGCTCATATGGCGTCTGGAACACGTTCGTATACCCATGGCCTGTGAGCAAGCTCCGTCCCTGAATTGTGTCCGTTAGTTGCATTCAAGGAAGCAATGGGACTGATCCATACCGCGGGAGCCGGTATGTGCTTCAGAGGAGTGAAAAGCTCAGGATACAGAACGACCTGGTAGAGAATTCGGGACACGGTGAGGATGGAGAAGAGCACGGCGACGGTCACTATGCGCGAGTCGTAAAAGGCGTATTCGGGCTTGAAGTACATGGCGGCGGCCACGCCCACGTACAGCGCGCCGAAACCCTCGTTGACGCGTCCCATTGTTTTTTTCAGTGGGCAAGAGGACCAGATCGCATGCACTCACTCGTTGGTCGAATTAATCCTTCAGCACCACCCAGGGGATCGTTACGGGCGAGATTCGCAAAGTAGTTAGGAATTCAATGTTGCGTGGTCAAAACTCGGCCCGTCAGCAAAATGTCGCAGCCTCGGATTGGATTAGCATATGATAACACAACCCACACCGTTCGGTCTCTTTGCAAACATCGACTGACTGACGGACTACTGGCTGACTGTGCGATTGTCTTTCTGGGCGCTAGGTTGATAGTTCCAAATTTTTTTAGAAAGGAACAGGATACATCAGGCATCCATTTATTGTCGCCGGAGACGGGATTTCTCAACACCGACGGGGGTGGGATTATTCGCAACCCTTCCCTCATTAGGACTACCCGCTCGTTGGACCTAGGCATGGTTATTGGGGACAGATCACCACTATGGAACCATGAACTCGCAGATCAAACCCCCATTATTACTCTCCAACCCCCGTAATCCGCTTGAACTCGCCCACAGTGTGCTCCCACACCTGCGTGTCCATTCCCTGTCGGCGGAGCTTCGCCAGAATACCCACAACCTTGGCCTTAGTGCCTTCCCCATCCCAGTTGACACTATACACTCCACTACCACTCTCCCCGTCCGTCCCCACGGCTATTTGAACATCCCCCGCCACGGGGACCACCTTGATGGACTTATCCGCAACACGGGCGGGATATTTCGCACTCGTCGCCAGGAACAGATGCCGCTCGCCGGCCTCCTTAATCGGGATGCAGAACAGCCATCCGAACAGAAACAGAAAGACGCCCATGATGCTCACGTAGATGTTACTGGTGTCTTTGCCAAGGCCCGTCTTCACAGCGCCTGGGTAGTCGTGGATGAAACTCACTTCCGGGGCGCGTTGGGCCAATACCTCGAGCGCTAGATCTGTCATGGAGACGAGGTGCGCACGCGCGGCCAGGAGCGAAAGCTTCCTAATTTGAAAATCCTCGGGGTCTATTGCGCCTTCTTTGCCGCCCGCCAGCACGCTGACAACGCGTCGGAGACTGGTGGCCTCGCGCAGGAGTGGGAGGAGGTTGAGTGCGAATCGCGTGCGGGCATAGTATCCGATAGCGACGGGGATATGCATCTCCTCCGATGTTTCTTTGGGGTCCTCATTAGCATCAAAAACTAACTGTAGACTATCACAATGCGTACCAGTATGGAACATGGCAGTCCCGCAACTGAGGAAGAGCAGATTGATGGCATTCTCCTTGTTCTTGATCTCGCGACAGACCTCATCCACCGCCTTGATGAGACTGCAATCCGCCTTGATGAAGATAAACTCGCCCTCTGGATTTAGTTGGCGGCATTCGGCTTTGATGCGATTGCCTGCGTCTTGCGAGCGCCCGACAAAATACACACGAGGCTGACGAGCATTGCGTGCGAATTCCTTTAGAGTGCTCTCGCCGATCCCGCTGGTGGCTCCGACGAAGACAGCGACGAGACCGGGCGGCAGGGACGTCGCGATCTGAGCATTTGAGGCCTGGACCTCGGATAGGGAGACCATTCTGGGCAATATAGATAAAAAATAAAATTTACGACTGGACTGCCTTGCATCAGGGGTCCTCTTAAATAGGAATCCATCATTAACATTCTTTCGTCGGAATATCAAGTTGTCATTCACCTCGGATTTAAGGCGGACGGGCAAAAATGAGCCCGTCGGCCCGGGGGGCAACAAACCTCCCGACTCCAAATGGCATCACATATCATTAAAGCATGGTGTCGTCCGTGAACGTGTGTTGCAGTGTTTGAAATGTCTGTGTCTTGGTTTGTACATTGATATGGTCTCTAAATAATTGGAACCCTCCTAAGCAACTATAGACTGCAAGTCTGATGACCTAACTGTGGCCTATTGGCCAATTGACTCAACTCAAGCAGAATCAAACAACCCAAGCAACGCACCCCCAACTCCAATAATCAGCGGTGCATACCCCCAATGCGCTCCTTGGCCCTCTCCCCACGTCCAACACACAAATCCATCCGCCAAGGCCACCGCACCATTAGCAACAAGCACCCACCCCAGGGACTGGCGTGTTCCCCAGAAAGAGCAGATGTAAATAGCGACTCCCATGAAGATGTCGCGGATGCCATAGATATACATTAAGCTATCGACTAGCTGCCTCTCTGGCAGAGACGTGGGATAGTCCCATGCGAAGAAGGTTAGCCCATGTTGCGGGCGGAGGAAGGCGTTGAAGCCGAAGCCGATGGAGATGGTTGCGATGGTGTTTGCGGCGAGGTGAAGGGCTTTGTTTTGGGAGAGTGGCATTTTGTTGGGAATTATATTTTGGATGATAATGATAAATTCTGGCTTGGTGGATTGAATCCAACGATTGACGACGGCGTTGTTTGCTGTACCTGGTAGATGGGAGAAAACGTGAACAGGGAGAGAGAAAAGATGGCTGGGGTATCGTTGCCATTATGTACTTTCGCGATGGAGCAGCTAGGACGCTAGCCGTGCCGAGGGTCCACCATTCCTGGGGTTTAGAACGTGCTCCGGGGTCGGGTTTAAAGTTTTGAGCTCGTGGGGAAGTCGGAACTGGTCCTATAGTGGTTGCTCGGATCGATTTCTATGGAACAATCGCATTTAATACCCCCCCGACTCTCCCTCCTCCGCCATCGGCTTAAACGAAACCTCGACAGGCTGATTCCCAATCCCCCGTTTCCTTGCCTCCTCCAAAATGGCCACTGTCGCCGTCGCCCCGATTCTCGTAACCCCCAAACTCATAACGTGCAACAAATCATCCAACGTCCGCACCCCGCCGGCCGCCTTAATCTGCACTTTCTCCCCAGACGAAGCACGCATCAACTTGAGATGTTTCACCGTTGCGCCTTTGTAATTATACGATCCATCAGCCTGCTTGACAAACCCATATCCCGTCGAGGTCTTCACAAAGGCAACCTCCAACTCGGTACAAATCTCACAAAGCCGCGCAATGTGTTCCGTCTGCAGATAATCATTCTCAAAGATCACCTTGAGAATCGCATGGTTTGCCGTGACAGCCTCATTGATCAACCGGATCTCCTCGCGCACATACCTCCAGTCCCCGCCGAGGACCTTGCCGATATTCACCACCATATCGATCTCGGCGCCGCCGGCCTGCGCTGCGGCAGTGGCTTCAGCGACTTTGATTTCGGTGGTGCTGTTGCCGTGTGGGAACCCGATGACGGGGCAGACGAGCACATCGGTGCCTTCTAATTCTTTTTTGGCAAGCGAGATTAGATATGGTTTCACGCAGGCTGTCGCGACGTGGTTTTCTTTGGCGATCTTGAGGCCGGAGAGGATGTCACTGTCTGTCATGGTTGGGTGGAGGAGGGAGTGGTCGATCATTTTGGCGAGCTGGGGGAGCGAGACCGTGATTCGGTTGGTGGTGGTGGTGGTGGCCATTTTGTGGAAGTCTTGTTCACTTTATCTGCTTTGTTTTCAGCAAAATGGGGGGAGTCGAGGGGCTCTTTTATACTCCCGGTATGACTGAGGGGGTCCCACTGTATCAGAGAAAATGGCTCTGGTGGAGACGGAGCTGCTTTGCCACCTATCATTGGGGTTATTCTGGGGCAGGCTCACTATTGTAGAACGTTCATGGAATCTATACTACGGGGCCATATTGAAACAGAATATACAGCACGAAGTATATCACTAGACTGAACGCAATCTTTGTTCATTATTAGTCGCTTTTGATTCAACATGTCTAGTCAAGTATGTCGATCTTATCCTGCCGATTTCTTCAGATACACACCACCTCCCCGACTCGAGAATCCCCACCGGATCTGGTTGGCCATGGAGATTTCCACATCCAATTCTTCGGCCCAGGTCCAGACCAGTCCCGGGTTCTTCTGGAACCCACGACCGACAAGCACGAAATCCAGCCCGTTGTTCTCCAACAGAGAATTGGCCAGAGAAGCATTGCTGATCATCCCGACGCTACCAACCTGGATGCGATCCCCAACAGCCTTCTTGACCTCCACGGCAAAAGGAGCCTGGAAGCCCGCCTTGGCATGGATGTGCTGCGCCTGGTGGTTGCCGCCACTGCTGATATCCAGCACATCGATATTCCCGCTCTCAGCCAGTGCCTGCGCGAAGCGAACAGTATCCTCCACACGCCAGCTGGGTTCGTTGGGCATCACCTCCTCCAGCCAGTCGGTCGCCGAGACACGCAGAAACACGGGCATATCCTTGGGCACGTTCTCACGGGTCAGCTTGGCAATCTCCATGGACAGACGAGTGCGATTCTCAAAGCTGCCGCCGTACTCATCGGTGCGATTATTCGTAGCAGGAGAAATGAAGCTCATGAGCAGGTATCCGTGCGCATTGTGGATTTCCACAAAGTCCACCCCGGCCTTGATGGCACGCTTCAGCGCGGCCACGTAGTCCCGCTTGAAATCCTCAATATCGGATTTAGTCATGGCCTTCGGGGTCGGGAACCGATCGGTGAAGGGCACGTTGGTCGGACCATAGACCTTGTCCGGCCATCCGCCCACCGCGGCGGTCGCCATATCGCCCGAGCTTAACCAGGGCGCGACAGTGCTCGCTTTGCGGCCGGCGTGCGCCAGCTGGATGCCGATATGCTGGTTCTGGCTGTGCACGAATTCGACGACGCGACGGAGCGGTTCGATCTGCGAGTCCTTCCACAGGCCGTGGTCTTGCGGGGTGATGCGGCCCTCCGGTTGCACGGCGGTTGCTTCGACCATGATGAACCCGGCCCCACGCTGGGCAATGCCGCCCAGATGCGCCATGTGCCAGTCCGTCATGTGTCCATCGTCGGCGCTGTACTGGCAGAGCGGGGAGAGCTGTCAAGCAAGATATCAGCCAATAGTTCGAAAATTTTCGGTGGACCAAGAACACTCACCCCGATTCGGTTCTGGAAGGTTAAGCCCCGCACCTTCATGGGCTGGAAGAGCTTGGGAGGCTGTGATCCATCCGATTGCGGGATCGCGGCAGATCCGGCCGGAGGCACTTGGGCCGGGGTGTAGTAGGAGATACCCTTGGCGGGCTTATTGGCGATGTCGGGGTGATTAGGTTGGGCCATGGTCGCGAAGGAGTGTGAGGGAAGTATGTAGGTGGGATGCAATGGAGCATTTATATAGACCTGCCATTTTGTCCGTCTTACTCCACCGGCTTATAAATGCGCTGGTTCGCCGACGTCACCATTATAGCTCTGATCGGAAGCGGAACCCGCTTTGAGGAAGAAGAATATCGGGTAGAAGTCCGATAATCGCATCCTGCGTTGGATGTGCCCTTGTATATGAAAACCCAGACGGTGAACGGGGTTACGCGAGTCCCTGCATTCAATTCATTCATTGGGCCTCAGACGGCGGGAGTGACGGAGTTACGCGAGCCGCTGGCGGGCAAACCAGAGGCGCTTACTGGTCCCGGCTAGCGTTCCATTGTTGTTGCAACGGCGGAGTGGGTGCCCCTTTTTGACGGCGAGGGTGAATAACAAGTGTGATAGTTCGAAGAATTATCGGAGTCGTCACGAATCAGAATAGCCAGAAGAGTACAATGACAATTATAATCGAGATCATCATGATCGGGCACCACGATCAATACACAGTAGATTTCCCTTCACCGACTGACGATCCATCAGCCCTAAGACGAACCCCTTCTCCACCCCTGTGTTTCATCGCTTCTGCTCTCCTCTCTTCCACACTCTTTCGCTCTTTCTTTGTCCCTCACACGCGACATTCATTCTCTCTGGCACCATCACTCGTCGTTCTTTCATCTAGCCGCATTACAGTCGACATTCTTTCTCCACCATCGAGCTCTCGTCGAATCCCATCCGCCCCTTGTTAGCGCCTGCGATCACCGAGAGAACCACTCCAAGCGCCGGTCCCGTCAATCACAACTACATACAACAACTGCAGTGCAGGCCGTTCTGAAACATCCCTGGTCCGGATCGTCCAGGCGCTGCGTGGAACTTGCGTCAGTTGCAACTCGACCTGGCCCCTTCAACATTCCTTTGCCCGGCCTCCCGCTGTAATGCGCCATTCTCGCCTCTAAGACACCCATTTATTCAGTCGCTCTCTTTTGCCGGAATTTCCATCCTTCAGATTTCCTGTCCGTCTCGCTCTTCCGATCCGTGACTTTTTTCGGCTGGTCCGAGGAAAGTCCATATCTGTCCATCTGTGATCTCCCCACCCGTTTGCCGCCTCTCGATCGCTTCCTGGCAGGACCAGGCTCATACCGACGATGTCTTGCTGCGGAGATCGCGAAAAGGGTCACGCCAAGTTGGAGGAAAAGTGGGATTATGTGGTACGTGGGCAATGAACATAGACAGGACGGGTGTATGATTGACTGACATTGCCAGAATCTGGACGACTTCAAATCCGAATCTTGCTGGACACCCTTCTCCTACTTCTTCCTTTGGGTTTTTCTGTTTGTCTCGTTGGCTGTCTATGGGGTCGACACGTTCACCGCAGTCAATCTGATCGCCTTCTCCCGATGGGCCGGTCGAATCAAACCGGCCATCCCATTCTACATCTCGCGATGGATCTTTGCTGCTTGCATTCTCTTCTCGTTCGCTCTCTTGGCCTACCGTTGGATGAACGCGATTCGTGCGATGCGCTCAGGCAGCATCACACGCAGTTACATGGATCCCCTTGCGGTTCGCGTTCAGAGTTTCCGCATCTTTGGCTCCAAAGGTCGTGGCTGGAAGCGATACCTTGTCTTCGCGGAATTGACAAAGAGTAAGAAAGGTGCGGAGTACGTCGCCCTGTACTCATACTTCTCTTTTCATTCCTGGATGACGACGGTGTTCGCCGATGGGCCGCGGCAGGTGCTCAACGGCATCACGCTGTATTCGGTGACCAAGATGGATCTTCTCCCGGGGGGCGAAAATGCCCATAAGGACGATAACGCTTCGGGAATCAGCCAGTTCTTCAACAACCTCCAAAGTATGGCCGATGACAACGTTCTCCAATTGGTGGTGTTGCTTGGCATGCTCTTCACGGTGATCATTTGGATCATCTCAGCTTTGAGGCTGGCCTCGGCAATTGTGCTGTACCTGATCTACCTGTTTCACCATATCCCGGCCGAAGATGGTACCTTGACCAGGTATTGTCGCCGCAAGATTAGCACGCGGCTGACGCGGATTGTGCAGCGCAAAGTCAATAAGGCTCTGCAAAAGGGCTTTATGTTGCAGGAACGCACACCCACTCAACCGAGTCTCGCGAATTTAGATACGAAACCGACGCTGCCGTCTCTCGACCAAGACAAGGGCCCAACCGTGGCTACTATATCGCGCAGTACCACCATGACCACCCTGCCGCCTTACACGCGATCAAATTCTTTTGCCCCAGAACAGAACCCCACTCTGCCAAATCTGGAGTCACCTTACTCGCGATCAAATTCTGCGGCCCCAGAGCAGAATCCCACTCTTCCAAATCTGGAAGGTGGTTTTAATGCCAGGCCGCCGCTCACTCGAACAACCACTCAGTCATCAGCTTATTCTGAGTCGGCTTCGTTGATGGGCCATGCGGCGACGATGGGATATAGTCCTCTGGACCGTCAGAACTCGCCGGCGCCACCAGTTCCACCGCTGCCGGCCTCCATTCAACCTCCCAGATCTCGAGGTACTCCTGGTCCGCCGCCGTTTGCCAACGAGTCCGGCCGCAGCAGCCCTGGGCCGGGGTATCGCAATTTGACTGACAGTACCCCCGGACCTGGCCAATATCACGCGTTCAGTCCTGCCACGGACCCCTATGCTTCCCGGTCACACACACCCGGCGCTTCTATTTCTGATGACTATTTTAGTCGCGACGAAAATCCAACTCGCTATGACGCCTATGGTGCTCCTGGCGTTGCACAAGGCGGAGAAGACGACTATTACGCTCGATCTGGAACCCAAATGAGTCAACGTGGTACCCATCGCCCGCAGGCTGGTCCTTACCAAAGATCTTTCACACCAGCCAGCACGGGGGGAACGCCTCCGCCCATGAGCGCTGGCCCCACTGCGCGATCCATGACCCCGGCAAGCTACCGTGGAACCCCTCCCCCGCCATCAGGCGGACCAGCAGTACGACCTCCACCTCGAAATTTCACACCTCTCAGCCAGACCAGCACCCCTGGTCCTCAACAAGGAGATAGCAGCGGTGGTGGTGGCGGGTATGCAGCCTACAGCCCAACATCGATGGGCCCCCCTCGACCACCACCAAATCGGCCAATCCCTTCCGCGCCATCAGGCTACCAACCCTTCACACGCGCAAACACCGCCTCTCCTTCCGCCATGAACCGCAATGCCAACAATGGCACTCCCCAGGGATATGGGTTTACTCGCGCAAACACAGACCAGTTCTGAGCTGAAGCGGAGCTGCCGTAAGAAACAGAAAAAGGAACGTCGATTTATGAAGTACCAACTGCAGAAGAGCTGGCTCTGTCTACTGTTGCTGTCCCTGATGACCGGATCGGAAGGATTCACACTCTCCTTGTTAATACTTCTTCATGACCAGCGAGCGAGTCTGAAGATTATTGTACATATTCCAACCCTAACCCCATACCCACGCGCCCTTTTTTGTCGGTTTGACGGTGTCTATGATGGATCTTTTGCTTCGAATATGATATGGATTATCACCTTATTTGATTTTGCTTGGCGTAAGATGTCGTAGATGGTCGCTATGTACATGTACATATGGGCTGTTGCTTCTGCTATTAAGTAGGCACTTAAGATACACATTAGAGCCCTTTGATTCGCTCCTCCCTACCCTTCTCACACTGACTCTCCATAGTAGAAATCCCCTATGCTTTCTTGTTTCTAGCGTGACCGCCAATCACAACTAGTTAGTTGTTATCTAATTGCGAGGCTGAGTCAATCGGCTCCGCTCTCAAAACAACACTTTCATTTCTTGCATCTGTTACCAGCGCACGAGATGCCATTGCTTGACCTCCCGCCGGAGGTGATGGACCTCATCATTCGCGCTCTCTCGTCAGAAGCAGACATCAACGCGCTGGCTCAAACAAACCGAGGCTTCCACGCTCTCCTGAACCACTACCTCTACTCTGTCAACATCCACAACGGCGGCTCTGGACTAGTATGGGCTACCCGCAAAAGACAAATACGGGCAATACAAAAATTTCGGAGCAGCGGCGATATCGACGAGATACATACTAGTTACACTTTCGAGGCATTCCTACTCCTGATTGAGGACAATGACTTGGCCACGGTGCAAGTTTTGGTTGACCTTGGTTTCGTCCCAGACATCCCAGATCTTCTAAGTTTGGCAGTGACCCTTGGACATGAGGATATGGTGCGGTTGCTAATCGCCTCGGGTACTAATCCCACCTGCCCCTACGCTCTCGCCGAGGCTGTTACTTCTGATAGGGTCTCTATTGCAACCTTCCTGCTGGAGAGTGGTGCAGATGGACACCATCGGCACTATGACGATGGCGTCACCCTGCTGCATGTGGCTGCTCAGGCTGGTTATGAGACCATGGTCAGACTTCTACTGGACCACGGTGCCTGCCCAAGGGGCCGCAACCATCGCCAAGAGACTCCAATCCATCTAGCAATGGCCGAGGGCCACGCCGGTGTTGTGAAAATTCTTCACGAAGAAGTAATGACAACCGAACCACGCGACTCAGATGGCCGCACGTTTCTACATGTGGCAGCTCTTGCTGGCAGCGTGGATATGGTCAAGTATCTGCTCCATCACCGCGCCGATCCAGAAGCGCTCACCAATCAGCTGGAAACGCCTCTGATGCTAGCATCGCAGGGTGGCTGCACAGAGGTCGTCAAGCTTCTCCTTAACAAGGGGGTATTGACTGAATTAAGTGATCACGGTGGCTGGCGCGCATTGCATCATGCGGCGCGTGGCGGACACGATGATGTACTGCGGGTTCTGCTGGAGCATGGAGTGAACAAACAGCCCTTGAGCACATCGACTCCTCCGGAGACGCCGCTTCAGCAAGCTGCACTGGAGGGACACCTGGGTGTTGTGACGCTTATGCTTGAATACGGAGTCGAGGTAGACCCGGATGCCCTAGAAACTGCTAATGTAAAAGGCCACCAGGCTGTGGTCGAGGTATTGGAAAATTGGGGGAGGTGATGCCAAGATCCATTAGCTGTCTGATAAAATATAAAATCCATGGGGCTCACTGCAAACAACTAGATTATGTATAGTTATACCTCCCTACAAAGTTGGTTAACTATACTACTTTCTGCCTGAGGCACCTACTGCGACGGGCCAGATAATCTCCGATGATCTTATCTTTCCCGTTGCATCACCCTTACTCTCCTTCCCCCTTGCATCTGCGAAAGCGTGATACGTCGCCATCAGCTGCATCGGTCGCGTCTCCATGCTTGTTCCCCAGTCGAACCCTCGCCAAGCTTGAGCGCGCCACGGCTTTCCTTCCTTACGATCTGCGACGCAGCCCTGGATAATGCACGTCGAGATATCTCCGCAGTCGTCAGGATGAATGGTGAACACCGACAAGTCAAGCCCCGCGCGTTGACATTACAAGACAACATGAATGGGATCTCCAAGGGCAGTCAGGACCCTGCTGGAAACAGATTGGGCAACGGTCTTAATGGAAATACGAAGTCTTCTGGGACAGATGCAACGTCATCGCCTCCACCGGACAATGATAGCATGGGAACCTCAGCCTGGCCCGATATTCCCGCCGACGAGGAAATCATAACCCGAGATCTCGGCTTGAATGACCATGTCGAAGCGAATAGCACAGCCTCATCGGGCTGGCACTCCACGAATGGGACACATAAAAAAGAACTTCAGCCAGCGGAATCGCCAGACCAGGGTCTGGGTATCCTTGTCGAGCATACCCATGACGATACAACGAATACTGGTCGGTCATCGGTCGTGGATGTCTTGGAAGGCCAGAAGATCACGGCGGCCCTGGCAGAGCTCACCGGAGACGGCTCGTCGCAATCGGCCGAGGGAAAGGAAAAAGTGATAAAACTATCTCCAGCGAAGATCCAAGAACTCACGTCGTCACCGGACTCGATTCCCTACCGTGTTGCAACACCAGACACAAAGCCCGGCAGAAGAGGGGTTTCGGATTACGACAATATCAATGCGGTGATTTCTCGATCCGAGGTACCGGATATCGAACAAGCACCTATCAGTGCACGGACAGCCGTCACGGATAGCGTGCTGGAGGCTCGGCCAGGTAAAGATGTCCCCTTCGAAGAAGCATCTGTACCGGCAAGCCCATTGTCCGCTCGGCAAACCATTCCTCCATCTGCTCGAAATCGACCCCATCCATCACGCACATTTTCAACACCTGCTTCTTTGCGACGGACACTACCTGTTTCACCTAATAATGAACGGTTGGCACAAACTTGGGCTTCACGGCCGAAACAAGACAGGCCCACAACAAAACATATGGATCGCGAGTCCAAGGGCCATCTTGGCCCGTCGCCCCAGATCAATGAGACACCTTTGTCTTCTCCACTGCCGCCATACCCATTGCCTCCCGTTTCAATACCCACGTACCTCCAGCTCGAGCTCGCGTCGGGTCGCCCATCTCCACTGTATATTCATCGCTCTGCAACAAGCGACTTTCCCTACGAATCGGCACATGTGAAGCTTGAGAGGCTGATGAATTTTCTTCGACTGCCTTTCGAACTGGAGCAGGTGCTTTGGTTTGGCGCCCTCGCGTGTCTCGATTCATGGCTCCATACATTCACCATTCTCCCTCTTCGGTTCGTCAAAGCTGTGTATATATTGGCCGAGTCTTGGGTGATGAACCTGGACGCCGAAATTCGCTTTATCTGGAACTTCGTTCTCAATGGAGTTGGACGAGTCTGGCAAAGAAAGATCCAATCGTCTACGGACGATGCAGGTGAAAGACGTGGAAGCGAGCCCGATGCAGCCCCTCGACTCGCATCTAGCTCCTCGGTAGCGCCAGAGTCTACTTCGGTTGACCGAGAATCCAAACATCGACACGGAGACTCTTCACGGAGGAGACACCGCACTTCCGAGGTTCGCAAGCATCATCACCATCATCGAAGGCGTAAATCGATGCCCTCGGCGTTGCTGCCCGATGACAAGGCCGATATTTTGACTGGCCTTCTCATGATTGCCACTTGTTGTGTTTTGATGTATCTCGATGCGAGTCGGATGTATCACTGGATTCGAGGACAGGCGGCCATCAAGTTGTACGTGATTTACAACGTCTTGGAAGTGAGCGACCGGCTGTTGGCTGCTATTGGACAAGATGTGCTTGAGAGTCTTTTCTCACGGGAAGCACTCGAACGTCGACCGGATGGACGCAGCAAGATTTTTCGTCCATTTGGGCTATTTTTGCTTTCCCTGGTTTATACTGTGACACATGCCACATCACTCTTTTACCAGGCCATGACACTCAACGTGGCAGTGAACGCGTACTCCAACGCCCTCATCACTCTACTCATGTCAAATCAGTTCGTGGAGATCAAATCTACAGTCTTCCGCAAGTTTGAGAAAGAGAATCTCTTTCAACTCACCTGCGCCGACGTTGTTGAACGATTCCAACTCTGGCTGATGCTCACTATTATTGCCTCTCGCAATATCGTGGAAACAGGGGCATTCAACTTCGTTGGTGATCTAGGGCTCGGGTCCAGCATTTCCAGCCAGTCCTCGTCCACTGCCACCAACAGCACACCTCTGTCAACACCGCCCCGGACCGCGTCGTCTATCATACCTCAATCGTTCACCTTCTTTCCGTCGTCAATATTGACCTCTCTGAGCAATGCCAATTCTTTCCTCCCGACGCTGGCACAAGTCTTGGGCCCCGTTATGGTTGTTCTTGGGTCCGAGATGCTTGTGGATTGGCTGAAGCATGCGTACATCAACAAGTTTAACAATACTCGTCCCGCCATCTATGGCCGTTTCCTTGACTTGCTCGCCAAAGATTACTACACCAATGCCTTTGGTGATCATAATCTCACCCGTCGTCTTGGTCTACCTGTCATCCCGCTGTCCTGCCTGTTTGTCAGGGTTTCCGTGCAAACGTACCAGATGTTCCTCGCGTCCCTGCTACCCCAGCATCCTTCATCCACCGTAATGGATTCCGCCTCCCTTTCATCCATCCACGACCATTACTCCCCAGTGCCCATCCCGTCCGGACCGCCTTTGAGTCTGCGGACCCTCCTGCCTGCCTCCGCCGCGCACTTCAATACCTTCGTCCGCACCGTCCTAGCCAACCTCATCCCTACCCCCGCGCAATCAGTTCAGATTTTCACCGTCATCCTGGTCCTCACAGGATTTGTGGTCCTACTCATTCTCAAGCTCCTCTTGGGTATGGTCCTTCTTGCCTTCGCCCGCTCCCGCTATCGCAAGATGAACCTATCTGAAAACGAGGCCCCGCCATCCCATTCCTCGTCTCATCCTCAGACGGCCACTGGATCTTCGGCCCCACGCCACCGCGAGTTTGCTGTGGAAGGCAGTCGTCGTGTCGGAGGCTGGGGCATGGTGGAAGTAGGCGATGAAAGGCGTCGATGGATTTATGCGGATGACCCTGACGGGCTCCAGCGCCTCAAGGAGAAAGAGGAACGAGACAAGAATAAGGACGGGGATATGAACATCGACCATGTGCAGCGGTATGAGATGGTTGCTAAGAAGATCTGGTAGTAAGTGGCGGTATGGTGTATTCGTGTAATTTAGATGTATAGCATAGTAAGCGCCATAATCATCGTGAATTCTTCAATATTAGAGCTCTAGCTATGTATAATGTCTCAATGTCTAGGTCGTACAAAAACACTACCATCTCATTCAAGACGGCAGATTCCAAATAAAATCTAGTCCGCCCCCCTCATACATAGGAAACTGCCCGCCGGTACTGCTGATCCCAAACGGGGCCATGGAAGGATCAAATGGAAGTGAAAGCCACTCGTCACCCGCCATGTCGTTCAACGAAGGCATGAACCCCAGCTCGGGCGTCAAATTCTGCGACGCAGGCGTGCCCATCGGATTCGCACGGTCTGCATTATTATTATTGCTGGTATTATCCGGCCAAGGTGGAGGAGCCATCGATGATCGTCGCGTTGTGCCTTGACTGTTTTTCATGACTTTCGACGATGCCAGGAGATTGCGCCGTAAGCGCGAGACGTGCATGTCTAGGAGAGCTGCGTAGCGGGTACTCAGGTGGACGTCGTCAAGGGCATTGGACTTGAGCGCGTCGATTGCTTTTTCCAAGATCTCCAGCGCCTCTTGGAGCTTTGCATGCCGCGTGCCGAGGCTGAGCGCCTTCATCAGGAAGATCGAGGCGCTGGTGATGCGCAGCACAATTCGCACAGGCGAGAAACGCAGCGCCCCTGCCTCGGCGAGATGGGTCACTTTCTGTAGAATCTGGCAGCATCCATCGATGACTTCCTGGATGTATTCGTAGTCGGTGGGATCGATGGTCATAGGCCGCATTTCGTCGAAGTGGTTTGGCTCTGTGTCTGCCACGGCGCGTTCCACGACGGCCTGCATGCCCACTGAGTGGGTGTACACGCGCACGAAGTTGTATTCGATGAAGAGGTCGTTGTAGAATGCTTTGTCCAGGACTTGGGGCTGTAGGTACTTGTCTTTCCACTGGTTGAGCAGTGGCCGGAAGTGTTCTAGGAGGCCAACATATCGGCCCGTGAGAAGTTGTTGTCGCGAGAAGACGGCTGATGGGAAGAACATGTCAGTCACTGATTTGGCGAGCTTGGTCAGCTCGATCCACGAGTCCATGAACGTGAGCCAGGTGTTTCCTGGCTGGCTGAGTCCGCGGGGTCGGCGGCCTCCCAGGATGGCGTGGTTGAGAGACTGCGGGATTGGAGACATGCATCCTATGCGCCAGGCGAGCTGGTTAATATACACGTATAGAAGACGCTGGACGCGCTGCCTGCGCAGGGTCATTTGGTCGACCCATTGCTGTTCTTCTTCGGAAGAGCAGTTCGTATCGCTATCGTCATTGTCGAAAATGCCCAGTTCATGTGCAAGAGAGAGTCCGCACCCGAGGAGCATCCAAGACATCTGGTCCGATCTTCTGGCGGGCTCGATCATATCTTCCACCCATCGACTCCCAGAGTTATTGTCTCCGTTCTCTGAATGTTTCAAATTCGGGGCAGGAGAGATCAGATCGTCATCCCACCCGTCCGTTTCAGGAGGAAAATGTAGAGACCGAGGATGCCACTCAGACATCAGAAGAAGTGCTTCGACAGTCCCCAGGCTTCGGACCTTGGACTTGGTGGACTTTTCTTGACCGAAGATGAGTCGCATCGTTAACTGTTGGCAATGCTGCCAGAGTCGATGGTGAATGAAGAAGTTTCTGGACTCGCCGCCTGCCCCGGGAAGGATATGATATCGAGAAGAAATCATGAGTATGGTACAGCATAACACCGGCTCTCGAGTGATTAGCAAGTAGTGATTATTATGATTGGCGTAGAAATCAGTCAAAATTGGGGAGAGCCAAGACATATTCTTAAAGAACCTGGCAGTAGTGTTAGTTATGAGCGTGAAAAAGATATCCTGAGGAGCTTACATATCAATATAAGTGACAGCCTCCCGAGCGGTAAACCAGCCCTGTTTCACGAATCGACACGCTTCCCATATATCCAAGGTCTCTCTTGCAGCATCGGATAGCTCTACAGGGCGTCTAACCCTGGGCATCGGCTCAAAGGCCGCGGGACTGTCGTAGTTCCTGGGAGTGGCTCGTTTTGTAGCCCTCAAAGACGCATTACCAGTAACTGACTCGGGCGTTGTGTCATTCTCGTGATTTTCTTGGTCATGCGCAGTTGCAGCCTCGAACAAGATGTTCAGCGCATCATTCCCGCTCGCGACGACCGTCCGCATCATCGAGCTTGCTAGGGTGGAATTGGACCGGTGTCGATTATTGGGATCATATGATTGTGATGGGGAGTTGTCGGTGTGTCCATTATGCTCGTTAACAATGGGCTCTCGGCCTCGTGAGTCTAGGGGAGTCTGTCTCTGAGGTCGAGCGAAGTTCCATCCTGACTGGAATGGACTTGTCGCACTTGGAGTGTACGGCCCGCCACCGGGAGTTGATTGTAGATTGTGGTAAGTCGAGTTACCGTCTGGCGCAACGCCATGATATGAATGTTGGATATTCGACTGGTCTAGAATAGTTTGTGAGTCTGTCCTCGCATGTTGAGGCGAGACACCATCTTCGTTTTCCTCAGATGACCGAGCTGCATCACCGTTAGCACCTACCCTAGAGACTAAAAGTGGAAACTAACCTCGTTTGCGAGACCTCTCCCAAGCGCGCTTCTCCGGGAAAACACATTGCCTTAGCTCCCTCCGGCATCTCGCACACGGTGGGCCGATGGGTAACCCATCCGGCCCGGTGCCTAGGTCGCACTTCGCCTTGCGTTGCCGACAAGGAATGCATGCCTTGTAAGTTCGCTGGTAGGGCCGGTCCGGGCGGGGTGGCCGAGTGCCGTCGTCCATGCTCAACGAGCCGTCGCTGTGCGGCTGGATCAGGGAGAAGTTGATGATGAATTCTCCGTGGTGTGGAGAGTGAGTGGATGAACGTTGCAAACGCGCTCCAGTCGCTACTGCTAGCACTGTCACCGGCCTGTCTGGCTCGTTGGTCGAGACTCAATTGGAGCCTTAGAGGTTGCAATGTGGTTTGTCGTGAGGTGTGGGCGTTAGCCGCCGGTATCCGATGCTGACCGCTCAGCAATTCGGGGTTACAACTGGGACGGGCTTGGTCTGTTTACGCAACGAAATTGAATGTTGGGGTCAGAGACATTATTCGCAGAATACTACCTGATTACAACATGCAGGTACCATCCATTGCGAAACATGGTTTCTACTGGAATGGTTACACGCTGCGTGCAGCGGGCCACATGGAGATCGACCTACCTATACCTCGGTATTCCGCAGGAGCTTGCATGCAATGCACGACATAATACTAAGACAATCGTCGTTTTATTCGCACCCCTGACATTGTTAACTTTAATGTCGACAATTGGAATAGGGTACTTGCACTAAACATGAGATCCGTGAGAAACGGGCTCAGCAGAAGATTCTTTCGTACTAAGCGGCCCATCCTCTCAACGGCACATACAATACGACAATTATGGAGATATTTACCTACCAGGCGGTGATGAAGTCATTCAATAATATATTGATTGGCTCCATAATAAACACAGAGGGAAATCAGCGGATATGCAGGTTGAGTTTCAGAACGTGAACACTCGGATGATTACAGCGGGGCTGGTCAATACGAAAGGATTGACATTCCTGAATAACTATAATTTCAGTGTGATTGGGGGTGCACCTCCGGCCGTTGTAGCGTTACAGACTGCCGAATGAAAAGGTTTGGCTGCTAAATTATCGAACTATACGCTACCTCTAGTCGATACGCTGGAGGAGTTGTTTCTCAATGCGAGGATCGCACTGATGAATTCTTATCTACTACAGCAGGTCATGAATTTCCCATTCATCGAGTCGCAAACCAAGGTTGAGATACCCGACTCAATGGCTAATTCATGCTTTAAAATTATTCATCCCCCATGTCCCCCACCTGAGCCGTTTGCGACCATCTTTCAATGCTACAACATCTGCGTCTACTCTCTCCTGATCCTCTGGCTTTCCTATGGAGTCGCCATAGTCCTCACCCTTCTCAGAATTGCTTCTGGCATCTCTCCATCGTTGCTAATACTGGCTCTTACACGAAAACTTTTCCAACAATTCTCTGACTTTCTCGTGCCATCTCTCTATCTGCTCCGGTCAGGGTCGCTGATGCGGACGCTATAGACCTAACGCCAGAATATGTGAATAATCTGATCGTATCTTTCCGGACTATTATATATCTGTTTCTGAGGATGAAGATGTACCGATGCAGGACTATGGAGATTCCCAAAAGGCTGTATGGTCTCGAAACAGGATTGGATTATGTATCTTTAAAGTCGGAGATGAAGTAGGTTATAATGATGAAACCCTATCTTGTGCTAGAAAGAACTTACAGTAAACGGAATAAAGTAAAAGATACCCCTTTTTACCCTAGGACGAAAATATAATTGACTATTATTAATAGCTTCCCGTAAGACGGTCTCCGAGCATGCCCGTCCGGCCCAAAGCGGCTTCCTGCTTCCCCAGATCAGTCCCGGAACCCATTCCGCGCCAGTGTTCACACCAAGTATAAACCCGTACGCCAGTCGCGGAGGTTAAGCATTTCACCATTTGTCCAAGACCTCCTAGACAGACCAAATAATTACCATGGCCGATGATCTCACGCTCTACACCTACTTCCGCTCGTCCTGCTCAGCGCGGGTCCGCATCGCCCTCCACCTCAAGGGCCTCACTTTCACATCCGTCTACGTCAATCTCCTTAAAGGCGAGCAGTCTTCCGCCGAACACAAAGAAATCAATCCCTCAGGAACCGTCCCAGCACTCGTGGTCAAGCGTGTCTCTGCCAAGCCCTTAACAATTACCCAGTCTCTCGCTGCACTGGAATACCTCGACGAGGCATTCCCAGACACAACACCCCTCCTCCCCTCAGACCCAGAAACTCGCGCTACAGTGCGCAGTCTCGCATCTATCATTGCATGCGATGTCCAGCCCGTGACGAATCTGAAGATCCTGAAGCGCGTGGCCCCGCTCGGCGCTGATCGGGAGGGCTGGTCGAGGGATTTGATCGAGGATGGTCTGCGCGCATATGAGGCTATTGCTGCCAAGTCGGCGGGCAAGTTTAGTGTTGGGGACACGATCTCCCTGGCGGATGTATGTCTGATTCCGGCGGCTTGGGGTGCTGAGCGGGTGGGCGTGGATTTGAAAATGTTTCCGGTTGTGAATGAGATTGTGCAACGTTTGGAGGGGGAGAGTGCCGTAAAGGCGGGGCATTGGAGAAGTCAAAAGGATACGCCAGAGGAATTTAGAGTAAAGCAGTAGGGATAGGCTCTTGGTTCTTGTCACTGTTGCAGCAAGCGACCCTTAACGATGATCGATGCCAGTGATTCGTGTATTTCATTCATTGCGAAGTTTCTATTTACGACCCATCAAGATGATTCCCATTCTTTTTCATTTCGCGTTGTCTAGAGCGGGTGTGCAGGCAAGATGGTGCCGACACAATCACCGAAACCGACATAGTTCCCTTCGGAGCCAGCCACGCCGCGTAGAACGACCGTGTCGCCATCCTCTAGGAAAAGACGCTCCGACCCATCCTCCAGCTTCAGCGGGTTCTTGCCATTAGTCTGTTCCAGCAGACTTCCCTGGGTCTTGGGCTCCGTGCCTGAGATAGTGCCCGAGCCCAGCAAGTCACCGGTGTTCATATTGCAGCCCGTGATGGTGTGGTGAGCGAGCATCTGAGGGAATGAAAAGAGGAGGTTGCGAGCATTAGTCTTGGAGATGGTCGTGGGCTTACCGCCCTTGTTGGTCAGCTCGACTTCAAGGGCGATGTCAAAGGCGCTGTCCGCGTGCTTCTCGCGCAGATACGGCAGCAAAGACTCGCGGTTTCCTGGTTCCAGGCCGGAGGCACGGAAAGGCTCGAGAGCATCAATCAGGACCACCCAGGGCGTGATGGTCGTGCCAAAGTTCTTGGCGTTGAACGGGCCCAGTGGGACGTACTCCCAGGCCTGAATGTCGCGCGCAGACCAGTCGTTCATGAGCACCAGGCCGAAGATGTGGTCTTCGGCCTCCTCGATGGGGACAGGCTTGCCGAGATCATTGGGCGTGCTGACGAAGGCGGCAAGTTCCAGTTCGATATCGAGGCGCTTGCACGGCGAGAACGTCGGCACTTTGGGGGTAGCGGCCGGGTTGGCCAGGATCTGGCCGTTGGGACGGTGCAGAGGCGTGCCCGAAGTTACCACCGACGAGGCACGGCCGTGGTAGCCCACGGGAAGGTGCTTGTAGTTAGGCTGCAGGGCGTTGTCCGGCCCACGGAAGAGCACACCAATGTTGTAAGCGTGGTTCAGGCCGGCATAGAAATCCGTGTAGTCGCCGATCTGCATGGGGAGGTGGTTGGTGACCTGCGACAGAGGCAACAGGGCCGACTGCTGTAGCGAGGCATTATCTTTAAGCACCTGGGGGAACTGGGTGTCGGCACGGAAGACGTTTTGCAGATACTCGCGCACCTGGCGGTGCACGGGGCGTCCCAGCGCTGCGAAGGCATTCAGAGTGGGCTGGCTGAACACACCCAAGTGCTGCTGGATGGCGGGGAGCTGTGCAAAGCCGCCAGACGAGGCGAAAGCGCTCAGGTTGAGCGCATAGTCGCCGATGGCAACCGCGGGGACCCGCGAGGCGGACTGGCCTGAGATGATACCGAAGGGGATGTTGGCCAGCGAGAAGGGCGAGTTCTTGGGGATCTGGAGCCACGACGCCATGATGGATAGAGATGTGTGTGTGTTTGTGTGTGTGTGAACCGTCAGGAAATAATGTTTACAGCCGAGTGGCTCTTTACTACTTTAACTGCGGGTTGTTGCGCTGCCCATTCCGGGACAGCGGAAACCCTCCGCGCCGGGGTTGTATGGATTGGGTGCGGTGTAGGGTGGCTATGACGCTATTCCCATTTTTCTGTCCACCGTATCTGATCTATTAATGAAATAATAACAAGGGCGGTAACCCTATAGAATAACCCTCGAATCATTAATCTCGCAGAACCGACAGTTTCCGACAATTCATTATGGTGTGGATGGTCGGAAGACGAATTAATCATAATGATGACGACGGGACGGGCGTGTGGATTGCACTCATCTAGACCGAACGGACTAACATCTCTAGGACAACCCCGCTTAGTCCCGGCAATCATGGATTCCGCGGTTGCGGACATGCGTTGCCGCGATGATGATATTATTATAGTCAAGTAACAGACGGGCTCAACTTCAACAGCATTCTCTCCAACCATGCCCGTCACTAACTTCGCCCATCCGGATCCCTACGCCTACCAGACGGGCTTCGACTCGTACCACGAGTATGTGTCATTGATTCATCCGTTGAGATCTAGCTACTAACCGCGACCAGGACCGAGGCCGTCAAGGGCGCCCTCCCCATCGGCCAGAACTCGCCTCAAAAGGCACCGTATGGTCTATACACCGAGAAACTCTCGGGCACTGCATTCACGGCGCCGCGCCACGAGAACAAGCAGACATGGGTCTACCGCATCATTCCCGCCGCGGCGCACGAGAACTTCACCGCTGAAGATGCGGACTCGTATCACACTTGCATGACCACCGAAACGCACAAGCTGCACCACATCCCCAACCAGCTACGCTGGAACCCCTTTGATCTCAACGAGAAAGTTGACTGGGTACATGGTTTGCACCTGGTAGCCGGCGCCGGTGACCCCACCCTCAAACAGGGCATGGGTATTTTGCTATATGCGGCCGGCAAGGATATGGGCAAGGAAGCCTTTTATTCGGCGGATGGCGATTTCCTGATTGTGCCGCAGCACGGTGTGCTGGATATCCAGACGGAGCTGGGCCGTATTCTCTTGCGTCCGAATGAGATCTGCGTCATTCCCCGAGGTGTCCGGTAAGCACTCTTCCACAATGGCTCGAATTCATATTGTTAACCCCCTGTTAGATACCGTGTAACCCTCCCCTCAGGCCCGGTACGGGGCTATATCTGCGAGCTGTACCAGGGCCACTACCAGCTTCCCGAACTCGGGCCCATCGGCTCGAACTGCCTCGCCAATGCGCGCGACTTCCAAGCGCCCGTCGCTGCCTTTGACGATGAGGAAGAGCGCAGCGAGTACAGACTGTACAGCAAGTTCAACAACACGCTCTTCTCTGCACGCCAGGACCACACACCCTTCGACGTGGTCGCCTGGCACGGCAATTACTACCCGTTCAAGTATGACCTCGGCCGGTTCAACACCATCGGATCGATCTCATTCGACCACCCCGATCCCTCGATCTTTACCGTACTCACCGGTCCCTCGGACCATGTGGGCACCGCCATTGCAGACTTTGTTATCTTCCCGCCTCGTTGGCTGGTCGCGGAGGGGACCTTCCGTCCACCGTGGTATCACCGTAACACTATGTCCGAGTTCATGGGCCTGATCTGCGGGAACTACGACGCGAAGACGGGCGGTGGGTTCCAGCCCGCAGGTGCAAGTCTGCACAATGTCATGAGCGCTCACGGACCGGACTCGGCTGCCTTTGAGGGAGCGAGTAATGCGGAGTTGAAGCCGCAGAAGATCGGGGATGGGAGCTTGGCGTTCATGTTTGAGAGGTATGTTGGCTTCCATTGCTGTTACGTATGCACTGTGCTGACCCGATTTTTTTTTTTTAATTAGCTCTCTCATGGTTGGTGTCTCGGAGTGGGGATTGAAGACCTGCCAGAAAGTGCAGGAGGAGTATAATGAACATAGCTGGAAGCCTCTGAAACGGCATTTCGTGAACCCAGACAAGAAGGCCTGATTGAGATGAGCCAGTATAGGGAAAATGTGATGCGTGTATGGATGCTCTTAGTGAAATAGTCTAACACAATACGGGATACTTTTGGACCAATCTCTAGCACCCCCGGTGGTGAGGATTGAGAAATATATAAGTGATCTAGAAGTGGACTGTTGTAAAAAGATAGATATTGATTTTTGTATATTTTCTACCATCCCACTATTTACCTGATCTCACTGGTATCTCAGGCGAATCATGCAATCACGGTTTGGGTTCCCAAGGCCTGCCCATATGTCTGCATGCAAAATCAAAGTGCGCCAAAAACTGGATCTCTCGATGTTTCTCACGCCGCGAGTAGTAGAGTAAGCTTCCAGTACTTCCAAGCTGTCCATAATCCAAAAGGACTTCTTCTGGTATTCATCGAACATATCCAGCACATGTTCTGTGATAGGCAAAAGAACGAGTCTCGCGGAATATCGAGCTAAAATTAGTCAATACCAGCGTAGGGCCGAAAAATCCTGCGTGCTTGTTATCGGCTTACCGTATTTTAGCCGCTTGTTGTTAGAAGATCCCTGACCTCTGACGCTCCGCACGACCCCGCTCCACGTATCTTGGAAGAAGCTACTGAGTGCAACCCGATAAATATCAACCATCGAGCCACCGGTTTCCTTTGCTCCGACTTGTCAAGCCCATCGACTGAATCCTTGGAATCAAAAACAGTCTCGAATCATTAAATTATAAAAAATGAGCATCGACATAGTTCAAGGCAGTGATCTCGAATTCATTGCACCACCCCTCAAACATCGCGGCGACGGCCTCGCTTTCAAGAATCTTTTCCGCGGTGAAGATGGCACGCCCGAGAACTACTACCTCGCGTTAGCGCGGCAACGCGACTTCTACTCGCCCCGCCACAAGCACAACTTCGACCAGTTCCGATACGCTGTGCGGAACGACGTCTCCATCGGCCCAGACATGCTACTGCGCGAAGGCGAGCTGTGCTATCACCCCGAAGCCGTGCACTATGGACCACAGAAAGATGAGGGCGGAGACCGCGATGTCCTCGTCCTGCAGTTCGGCGGAGCCAGCAAGCAAGGATATCTGTCGTTTGACCAACTGGCGACTGCGCAGGCGGCGTTGAAGGAGAAGGGCCGCTTTGAAGGGGGCAGATACTACGCCGATAGCGACGGTGCCGCGTCCGAGGGTAAAGATGGCTATGAAACGCTCTGGGAATACTATAACCACCGGCCTCTGGTATACGCCGAGCCTCGATTCGATAAACCGATCATCGTCAAGCCGAAAGGGTTCGACTGGAAGCCATACACCAGTGCTGGCCAGGGGGTTTTCAAGAAGACGCTCGGAGTGTTCACTGAGCGGGAAACGTGCGTGCAGATAGTGAAGATTGTTGCTGGGAACAAATGGCACGTTCGCGTCCAGGATGCGATCCAGCTTCTGTACGTGCTCCAAGGGAAGGGCGTGGGATCTCAGCCGACTGGAGGCACAGTGGTGCTGTTACACGAAGAGAGTGCTATCCGCCTGACGCGGAATTCGCACGATATCCATCTTTCAGCAAGTACGGACGTCGAGATCATGCGGTTTGTTCTACCTACGTTGTCCTAGAGGCAGAGAGCAGAAATATGATTTGCCGTATATACATTGTTTTAGAGATGGCTCTGTGGACCAAGGTATGTAGGGTGAGATATATAAATCAGTGTAGATCATGTTCAATCCAAGCAAGTCACCCCTCAACCTCCTTTCTCATCGCCTCCTTCACGATTGCGCCGCACATCTTCGCATACGGATTCGTCTGCACAGCTAACTGTTGTGCAACCTTATTCCCATACCGTCCCCCAAGAAAGAAATCCTGACTCGCCATCTCCTCGAGCTGATCAGCGGCCAGTCCGCGCAGTCGCTCCGGTCCCCCACCGGTTTCTTCTTTCTCTCCGTTCATGTTCTTTTTCAACCGTGCCGCTTTTAGTAGCAGGTACCCACGATGAGTGTGTACGTCTGCTAATAATCGTGCTTGTGCGTTTGAGACTGGGTCTGCGGGGGAGCGTGGTGTGGCGAGGGTGATAGCTTGGCCGAGGTCGTTGAAGATACGGGTGGCGAGGAGGGTGGATTGGGGTGTGAAGAGAGAGTCGTCTGAGTTAGAGTCTGTGTTTTTGGTCTTGCTTTCGTCTTGTACGTCTGCTAGGAGTCGCAGTGTTTGTGCGCGGTTGGTGTATGCTGATGGATAGGTCGGGTATTTCTCGACGAGAGCGTCGAAATCGCCGACCGCAGATTCAACTATTTCTCGGGTTGGGCTATCACCAGATATTTGGCGGATTATTGATGCCTCCCGCTCTTTGAGCGAGGCCAAGTCTTGCTCAGAGATGGATACACTTGACGGCCATGGTGGGAGCGAAGGGTCGATCACAACCCCGGATGAGGGCGAGGACTCGGCGTCGAAGAGAGCCTGGAGGACTGCCGCATCATTGGTGGTGAGATGTGGTTTAGTTGTAGTCATTTTGCTGATTGATTGTGCTGTCAGAGTAAGTGCAACAACTAAATTCAGTGGTGATGCCGCGATGATAATATGGCGGATATTCCCGGCAATCGGCGGGTATTTCGCCAAAATCCGTGGTCAGCCGAACTATGAACCACCAGCTTCACAGAATATCCGAGCCATGGTGGCGGCTACTGTGGGCAGTCCATATGGATGTGACTTAAAGGTGCAGTTCTGCAGCCAGATTTAGGAAAGTTCCATCATCAACTTCCATCACCAACTTGCCCCTTCGAAAAATACTTGACAGAGAAACCAAAAATGGCTCCCTCAGCCATCTCAACCAGCCCTCCCCCCTCCGAAACAAACGGGACCTCGTCACTGGCGAGCTACCGGGGCTATGACTATATCCACTGGTACGTCGGCAACGCCAAGCAAGCGGCAACCTACTACATAACCCGCATGGGATTCAAGCGGGTCGCATACCGCGGCCTAGAAACCGGCAGCCGGGCAACATGCTCGCACGTCGTTCGCAACGGCGACATCACCTTCATCCTCACCTCTCCACTGCGCTCGCTGGACCAGCTCGAGCGGTTTGATGCCGAGGAGCAGGAGCTACTGAAAGAGATGCACCGACACCTTGAGAAGCACGGCGACGCTGTCAAGGATGTTGCGTTTGAGGTGGATGACGTCGAGGCCGTGTACTATGCTGCTGTGAAGAACGGTGCAAAGGCCGTTTCGGAGCCGAAGATTCTCGAGGATGCCAATGGGTGTGTCAAGGTCGCTACGATCCAGACTTACGGAGAGACGACACATACTCTCATCGAGCGGAATGAGTATCACGGCGTCTTTATGCCGGGGTATCGCTCTGAATCGGGCGCCGAGGATCCTCTGGCGAAGTTCTTGCCCGGCGTGCAGTTGAAGCGAATTGATCACTGTGTTGGGAATCAGGACTGGGATGAGATGGACAAGATCTGCGAGTAGTAAGAACCCCTCCCTCCTTTGTCTCTACCATATCATCAACTAACAGCCATGATCCAGCTACGAGAAAGCGCTCGGCTTCCACCGCTTCTGGTCCGTAGACGACAGCCAAATCTGCACAGAGTTCTCAGCGCTCAAGAGCATCGTGATGTCATCCCCGAATGACATCGTCAAAATGCCCATAAACGAGCCCGCCAAGGGCAAGAAGCAGTCCCAGATCGAGGAGTACGTGGACTTTTACAATGGAGCGGGTGTGCAGCACATCGCCCTCCTAACGGACGACATCATCCGCGACATCACGAATCTGAAGGCGCGCGGCGTCGAGTTCATCAAGGTGCCAGAGACGTATTACACGGACATGCAGGCGCGTCTGAAGAAGGCCGGGCTCGTGCTCCACGAGGACTTTGAGACGATTCGGAGTTTGGATATTCTGATTGATTTTGATGAGGGAGGGTATTTGCTCCAGCTTTTCACAAAGGTATGTGTCTCTATCTCTATATCAAACTTGGTTGTTTGGTTGGGAGTGAATGGGTGACTGATTTGCGGTATAGCATCTCATGGATCGGCCTACGGTGTTCATTGAGATTATCCAGAGACACAACTTCTCCGGATTTGGGGCTGGGAATTTCAAGTCCCTCTTTGAGGCTATTGAGAGGGAGCAGGAGCTGCGCGGGAATCTAATTTGATGCGGACGGGGACAGTTGCTTTGACCCAGACTGGTTTTTTATATTTCTTACGATTGCATCTAGCGCATCTCTATGTAAAATTGCTCAATACCATCGCATAATTGATCTGAGTACCGTCTCTTTGCTTGGCGTGGACAAAGTGGGATATGATGCTGGACCAGCAAATGCAGTGCGTGAACTGCTGCTCCGTGATCACTTCTTTTTCGATGAGCTGGAACCACCAGGAACTGTTGCTCCTCGCCGTTTGTATTTCCGAGGATCTAGACCGTCAGGACATATTCTCGTATCATTTAGACAGACACATACCTTTCCGGCTCATCAGCGCCCGGTTTCGGGTCCCCTTTCCACCTTCCCAGAATCCGCTGCCCGCCTTACCGACAAGAACTGCTTTGCAGATGCCACAGGCTTCGGGTCTGTAAATCTGTTCGCGGGAGCAGAAGCCACTGTGATTCGTTAGTTTATCGCTTACTTATTTCCACCGAGGAGAAAGGCCAACATACCAGATCATGCGGTTGGCGTGTTCATTGGGATGATCTGTTTCAGCGTCATGGCATCTACAATATCGTTAGCATGTCCGCTTGTACTACGATGCTGTCAACTGCCAATTAAACCATACCTGTCACATGGAAATACTTTGGCACAACAGCCGAATCTGAACCAGCGGTAGCTTTTCCCGTAATGTTGACAGCGGCCACGCCGGGGCAGCTCCTGACCAGCGACAATACCAAGGACCTCTTTGGGCTGTTATTTGGTCAGTACAATCTTCAAATATCTTTAAGGGGGCTTCTAGCCTTCTTCTTCAAAGGAAGAGCACCGCGGCCAGATACTTTTCGAGTATACGAGTTAGAATGAAGTCGTTTCAACGCTTGATTTCTTTGACTCACCCGCTGCGGTCCCGACAACCAGGAACTTGACTTCTGGAATCTTTAAGACTATTTTAAAGTAAGCGGTAGGCTAAAGTTTGTAACAGGTAAATGCTCACCCATCTTGCGATGGCACTGTCGGCAAATCGCCATGGCGCTTTCTCCACGAACGGCCGACACTCCCGGAGAAGGATATACAGTTGAACACTCTGAACATGTTGGAATGAAATGACTGTTCTAAAATTAGTTACCGAGCCAACAACAGAAACAAAAGGCTCACCTTGGAAGAAGATCCCCTACAGTGCAGCCATCTAGGTCCAAGTAGCCAGCGCGATTGGAGTGAGAATGCATCAACTGTCGCCGGAAGGCTGGAATAAACTCAATAAGCCTCTGGTCCGCAAAGTAGCTAGTTAATTGGACTCACCAATGCTCATGGGATTAGCGCATTTCTTGCACGATTCCATCTTTGGCGAAACATCCTTCTCATCCTTGGCCTGCGGCACATTCTTCACATCGAGTGGTTCTTTGCATCGTTCACATTTGACCGTGATATAAAGATTGGTAAGCTCCAATAGCTCGATGCCGTACAGCTCCAGGAAAGGAAATGACAGAGCAACACCTTTGCCAGGAGGCTTGTCCACGATTGCAGGGACAGGTGCGCCACCATCCTCCTCTTCCTCTTCTTCTTCTTCTTCGAAGGAGTCCTCGTCATAACTTGATTCTTCTGTGGTTTCATCGTCACTGTTTCCATCTGGAACAGACCATTCAGGCGGCCGCGGGATGACATGTAAATGTGGTCGATCTTCTGTATCTGCCGCCAGACCGTCATGGACGGGTGGAGCTTGGGTGGGTTCATCAACGGTTTCTAAGACTGGTAAGGGCACATCTTCAGGCTCCTCGGGAAGTGGCGTTTTGGCAAAATTATGCAGGTTGCTGGCCAAGTAGTTGATCTGAGACACCAAATTCAATTGAGAATTCTGCTCAATCCATTGCGCAAATCCCATCTCCGCTGATCTTGCCTCGGTGCTGTCGACTCCTTGTATCTCAATAGAGCTACGTTCCAACGGATATAGTTGGGGAACCAGCAACTTCACGGTCTTGACAGCTTGAAGTGTTCGGGGTAGACGGTCTTGTTTGGTCGGCTGAATGGGGACGACGAAAGAGACTCCATCTGGCCTTTTCTGAAACATGGGAAGTCTCCCTAACCGAGCTTCAATCTGCTTGGTTTCGGTTGCCCGTCGTTTCTCAGCCTGGGCTCTCTCTTCAGCTGTGTAAGTGGGTTTCGCAGGTGGCGGTTTTGGTTTTGGCGCTTCCGTTGCAACCTTCGGCGCTGCTGTTGTGGTGTGCGATACTGGAAGTCGGATTTGAGCGTTTTCAGAGCCTGCAGCCCCAGTGCTACCACCGATATTTGCGACAAATTTCAGTTTTGGGCCCCTTTCGAGGGTTGTAAGCAAACGCTCGAGCTGTCTGTCCAGAGCCTTCATCCAATTGAGCAGATTCCCTTGGCCACTTGTCCGCAAGGTAAAGTCGACAATGTCATCAAACCCTCTGGCAACGTTTTCTCGGAACTCGGGTGCCATATCGGAGTTCGTGACCTGCAGCGCCGGTCGCCCTTTCCCTGGGTATGAAGAAGGGACATGAAGAACACATTGCAAGCTGTCCAGCTCAAATGGAAAATCCGGATCTGACGGAGCCAAGCCAAAGGTTAGAGTCGATCCCAGATCATCGCCGCTTTCTTGAGGGCGGAAGCGCCGCCTCAACTGGTTGATCTGAAACTCTCTTGGATTCGTCTGTTCAACTTTCGACATGGGCCTTTGAGGTCGGGCAGTACTGGTCGACGGATTTCCATCCACAGTCAAATTTTGGATGTTGGCGGCTACATCTTGGACCGAAGGCTGGGCATCATCCTGCGGTCCGGACGGCTGTTCAGACGCGCTCTGGTTTGATGTAATGACAGAAGCGTCATGAACATACGGGCAAGATGCGCCAGCACGGCATCCTAAACGAGTGTCAGTTTCGAGATGCTCTGAATAGACATTCCAAACAACGGCCTCCTGTTATCGCTCTCATGACGATATGGCCCCGACTGGCATGCCAGGCGTGTATACTTGCAAAACAACACCAGGCGTATACGAAATACCAGGACAAGTACATACACCTCGTATATCCTGCAGAGTGAAGGACCTACCTTTTTTGGAAGCATAAAAGCGGCACTTGATAGGCTTGCGGGGGTGTGATTGGGGCGGCCGAGGCGACCTGTCTGGGTCCGGAACGCCTGGCGACTGAGCCGCTGACAAGTCATCACTTGTAGAAGACGGCGGCTCTGGCCCTAGCATAGTGGTGAGCGTGTGATCAAAAAGGTTGCGGGCCGCGGAGTGCCTGGTGGTGGGGGGCGAAGAGACCAGCCCTGAGCGTCAAGGGGCGGAGTGCATATCACCAACAGGAGGACCAAAAAAGATACGAGATGACGACTTACGGTGAGCGTCAACTGACATGGGGAAGGGCGGCAGTCGATCGGGGCTGGATTGCCAACGCAGAGATCGGGTGACGGGCAGTGGGCACGTGACGGAGAAGAAGTGAAGCCGTGGTGCAGGTGAAAAATCAAGGCATACGGCGTAGGGGTGGAATGTAGTACAATGGAGCAGATCGTAAATATAGCAGTCGTCTCTGCAGAAAGCGCGTGGATGATTTCATGGCGGGGCCCGCTTAGTGCGGGTCTAAACACGTTTTGACTCATTTTGAGTAATTCTGTCTACACCACCACGCTTCCAGTCACTCAGGATCGATAGTTACTGTGTATGCCATCATAGACCGAGCAATGGGAGGAGTCATTCGACTGAAATTACTTGATTATTTCCATGGGACTGCGTGGCGGCTACATTATCTTGATACTTGCAGCGTTACTATAGTATCGACCTGAGCCACAGGCCATAGAGCAACATAGCGATCTAACAATCTATTCCTCTCCAAATATCTCGCAGCAGTTGGAGCAGAGCACCGTTGTTGGCATGGCTGGGCACTGCCGTGCTGTTGGATTCCGCGGCTTCCCTCGGCGATACGCTCGTTAGTTAGCATTGGGGTATCCCCTGCGGTGCGATGACGATGCCGTAATATTCTCCGGGTGAGTTGAAGGGAAATCCGCCGTTGAATACACTCTACATGTACGTATAACAAAATAGGCAGCGCTAGACTACCACAGGGAAATATGTTACAGATGGCTCGATCGATGTGATGCGAAAACATCAGCAACTAATCTTTCGGGCCATCCATGCAATGGATTGGAGTCGGCTTGTGGCTGTCTGTGCAGCACCGCTGGACATGTCGATATCTGCCTGAAGCTATTATGGGACTGAAAAACGAAAAGATCAACAGTATATCATGCACAACCACGAAACCCTCTCGGAACTCCCCGTCATCGGCCACATGGTCAACCCCTGCTCCTCCCGAGACGGCCATGCTCCTTTCCATAGTTCTGCCGCTACCTTCCGATAAACCCTGCCTTATTTCCCCCAACAAGAGCGGCGGCCTGAGCTACGACTATTGTCTCCGCTCACCCGCAGAAGAGGGGTCTGTTTTCTAGAACTCAAGCACCCCGGTCACTTCGATCGGGATGCAACATCGGCCCCCTGCCAGTATGACTCAGGTGATTTTACGCTACGGGGATGGCTTCTGAGCCTGTTTACACCGACATTTACTTTTTTCCTCTGCTGCGTGAGGGGTTATGACAACTGCGGCAAATGAGACACGCAGATTAGCCAATAGTGATGTAGCACGGAAATCAGAGAGCCGGGAGGATCCCCCATATTATCATATTATCGGGATGGAAAGTTCCGACCGAGCAGTACGCGGGGAAAAGTTTATGGTGGCTTGCGATAGCGGCCCTCACCATGGAGGGTGGCACCCTCCCACATCGTTTCACACCCTGGTCGCCTCGGCGAACATACAACGGCGTATCCAGAGCCCTGGGATTCGGTTGAATATGATCCGAAAGAATATTCGAAGATTTCTCGGGTACAGGAGGACAAGCAAGTACGTAGGTATAAAGATACATCTTGGCATCAACTCTCGTCCGAAAGCAATTGTTCCTGCCCCAGTCAGACAGAACAAAAGCTTTCTTTTGGGCCAGCGCCATGTGGCGCGAAAAGACCCGAAACAGTGGAAGCGGAATCGCCGTCAGGTATGGTCAGGTATGTAATGGGCCTCGTACGACGCTAAACCCCTTGCGGGGCACCGGATCGCCCCTTCTAGAACGCTTCCAGAAACTGTTCACAAGACCGTGGGTGTGCGGCGCTCTTGACCACGGCTGTCTGCGTTGGGATTGTCGGTTGGGAAATCTTCATTCACCCCTTTCATCAGCGTGAGTACGAGATGATGCAATCTTGCTTTCGCGTTGGGAGTCTGAACATGTCCACTTGTATTTCAACAGAATGGTCTGATTCGCCGGAGCAGAGCACTCCCAGAAGAGTCGAGACCAGGGCGGGGCGCACGTGATTTGATGTGCTCGGCAGGAAACTGTCCCGAGAAATATCAAAACAGGCGGAGGATCGGTCATCGAGCTACTATTCTTATCATTCGGGATTGACGCCCAACTCACTCGGCGTTCAGCGCCTGGTCTCGTCGGGCTGTAACTGTAGGATGGGGCGGAAGCAAAGGATCCGTAATGACAGCAAATGACATCAGGTAAAGGCCGCATAATCACACACGTACAATAAAGGCAAGTCTTGTAGAAGATAGGAAGTAATCTATTCCTTGAATCAAACAGGATACAGATGCAATCAATCCAATTGAAATTAGCCCAATTCCGGCTTAGTGTTTGACAGTCAAATGACCCCTACAAGGTCGGATTCGGCTTGCCGACTCCTTCGCGGACATGTCAGTGGCTTACGGGTACTCCGCAGGCGATATCAAGCCAAATCCTTTGAGCTGAAACTCAAACCAATGCCAAAACATTGAACACTCTGACCGATCATTTCGCACAAATATGTTGATCTCATGCATCCCACATACACACGGCATCAATAATCCGACATCTCTAACAACTAAATAGATACAACGGTCATAAACTACATCAGTTTCATGAAAAACACACTGATACTCGGTGAGACGAGGCGAAAACTACACGCGTCGGAACTTCCGACGAATCATGCCTAGTCCCAGTTCTCTGGAAGGTCCACTGGGTATCCACCAACTAAGTCCTAACGTAGACAAGATGGGACAAAACACAGCTGAGATTCGAAAAACGAGTGATATTCAGCTGGCTAGAACCTTTTGAGGGACTTTAACGTCTCCCTCTTTTTTTTGTTTGAGTGGAGGTGGCTGGACTCGCTCCGATGTTACCGGCAAGCGGCTCTGCAGAGCCTCGCTCGTACATGGATCGCGACGCGCATTGATTTCTTAGCTTAAGCAGTTACCGCTGCGACCGCGTGTAATTGGGCAGATGTGCATGTAGCTCTCTACCTACAGTGTTACTTTCTTAAAGAACCCCACCGCTATGTTGTTTGGGTGGCCGGATACAAGCCGACATGCTATGTCAGGCTGAACATGTATGTAAAAGTTCGTGGAGAAAGCATATCCTAAAAAGGAGGCGGTGTCGGGCGTTTTAGGAATCTGTGATGGGTGTGGAGTGTTCCTAGGTTCTGGAGCACAATCCCGGATCCACACTTCTCGAATTGATGCAACATAGCCTTTCACGTCAAAAAGGGTTATTACTACTTACTATTATTGATTATTAACTAAGAAAATAAAGAAGGTTCTGTAATTACGTCACTCGACAAAGATTCCTAGGGAGGACAACATGAGAGGCTGCCTTTTAACCGGAAGTAGTTCCCATACTATTGAAGGTGTATCTAAACTATGGATGGTACTACTGTTATATACGGTCATGTGCATGGCAGGAAGAGAACCACATGACCAGCTCTGGATTGGGGGCCGAGGTGGATCCGACGGGCACTACGATAGCATCTACCTCACCTTGACTTATGCATGATGAGACAGATAAATTTAGACCGAGGTGCAATTCAAACATCCGGATTCCTTTGGTGGATGTTACTGCATATGTCCGTATTCATTGGACATGGCAAGCTTCATTGGCAGAAGTTCAAATCAAATCAGACCAGCGAACTACAACAAAGTCTTGACAGGACAAAAAGCGACGAATTGAAGTGCAGCGATTTGTATAGAATTACACATACATCGAGAACACTCCCATAGCTATTTGTGGTGGTTTTAGTATGGAGCCGATGTAGAATTAGATCGTAAATAACGATCGGAGATGCTCTTTCAGCCTCACATTCTCCTCATGGCAGTAGTTAGCCCAGAGCCATAACGACAGTCTTTACTCTTCCAAGATGTGATTTATATGAGAGCATGTATGTATGATGTGCGCCTCTCCGCCTTAGCCTCGCCGAGGAAGTCTCCATCGCTGCAGCCAGACTGTGTTGAGAAGCACGCGCTCAACCATCCACGTGGAAATTCAGTCCGATCGCGAAAGTCAGGCGAAGTGCGCATCATGAATCAATCTGATTTATATACCAGTAACAAGATATGTGGTAGGCATTAAAGACGAGACCAAGAGTCCTTCCTCGCGTTTCCTTCCCAACTTGCTCTGTCCGCATCTCACTCCATACTCCATAGACCCCACCCAATTACCCCCGGTGGAGACATCACGCTGTCAAGTCAAAACAGATGATGAAAAAAGATGTCATAGACCGACATGCAGACATGTGGAAGCGATCTGTGCTGCTAAGAACTCAAAAAGGAGATCCCGGGAGGGGGCTGGCCAGGGATCTAGGCCCTTGCCCTAGAGAGGCAGGTAGCGAACCTGATTGCTCCAGGCTAAGTTTAGTTCAATCTATGAAAGGTACTTTTGTTCCCCTCTCCCTCCGGGCCGGGGGTACAGGATCCCAATCCGCACGGGTGGAGGGTTCTCAGCTGATCGTGCCCGGTCACCGAGGGTCTGGGTTCCCTTCCCATACACCCCCGATCCTTCGGTTGGATTTCAGTTGTTGCACACCTTGTAAGCGATTGTCTATTTCTGCGATTTCCCTCTTAGGCAGGTCCCATTTACATACAGTAACTAATTTCCACCTGGACTAGTTGCCTAGTTAGTTAGCTAGCTAGATAGAACAGGGATGTAGCTATAGCTACAGTACATAGCTCCCCTTTAAAGCAATGCTTACTTTCTGCTCCTGATAGATACAGATAATGGTAAGTAATCTTGAATTCAGGACTTTTTCCCCCCCCCACACCACCACCACCACCCTCCTTCATACGTGTCAGCGCCACAGACAATGCGCTGCAGACGCCAGGGCGGCTTGAGTCAACCTCGTAGGGAGATGCCGTTATGAGCAGGGGTAGAGGCGCCGGGAAACATTTTGCGGACCTCTAGAGATCCATAGCTGGACAGCGCCTACATATAGCTATCAGCACGTAATGGGGAGAGCTCCAGACCGCTAATTCCTCCCTGCGTGGCGCCAGCCTCACTTCATGTCTACATACTAACAACAGGTCTTTAGGTATGATTGTGCATGCGAGTTGTGTCCGTTCCAAGTTTTGATTGAATTTTATTTTACTTTTTGGCCCGCTGAAGGAGCACGGGTGTCGTGATAGTTATCTAGCGTACACAGGGAGACAGCATGTGAGAAAGGAATCAAGAGATCGATCAGGATGGTGGCTGGAGGATGCGGTCTCGACCCCAAACCACCCAACGCTTGGCAAATCACGATAAAAACAGAGATACAAAGCGCATGATCATTGGCAAGTCAGATCCTTTGGCCGAATTGTTTTTTGGGAGGGGGGAACTTTGTATCAAGATTCTTTCTTACAAGCCAAAAAGGCAGCATTAAGCCCCCAATGTGTGTTTGTTTCACATGAGACCCGAGAGGAAATTAAGAGGCTGTACAAGAAAATTAATATCGTAAAAACCAAAATAGTAGTACTAGTAGTAGTAGTAGGGCCGGCGCCCAGCGAATGCTGTGTAAGGATAACACCCCCCAAGCCTCCTAACAAAAACATAAAATCCAAATATCCAGATGTGTGCGCCCTTGATGCAAATGCAGGTTCATAATCGTACGTGGATGTTGTCACATGAGACAGTCCAACAAGAAAAAGAAAAAATCACCACCCCTTGACATGGTACTCCCAAGGCCCGAAATCAGTCGTGTAATTTGTCCAAGAGCCATTTTTAGCCAGGTCTTTGTCCTTGGGCTGGCCGCCCGGATTGGCATTCGGCCCGATATTAGCTGAGGCTTCGACTTGAGCTCTCCGAGGGTCTGGGTACTCCTGGAGGTTCTTCATGTCGTGGGCGGTGTGTCGGCGTTTGAAAGCATTGGCGGTTGCGCTCTTTTGTTGGCGCTCCCACAAGAGGTGTTTGCGAAGAGACTCTGTCAGCTCGGTTGCAAGCATATTGCGTCGAGTGGTGCGTGGAGAATGCGCGAGAGATTGCGTCGTTGGCGGTTTCATGACGATGGGTTTAGATCGAGGAACGTCGGGGCCGCGCATAGTCAAGTTCTCTTCGTCGTTCTCTGGTGGAGAGGCCGGAATAGATGGGCCATTAGGTGATGTCAGGCGCGAGCGCTGTAGCGCGGGACTAGATCGGAAAGCGTTGTTTTGCATCCGTCCCGGTTGGTGCATCATCATTGTAAGCAGCGAGCGCCGCGATACCAAATTAGGTCGGGAATCCACCCGCTGGAACATTTCTGGTCGCTCTCGCTCATCCACGCTGGACCGTCCGCTCTCCGTCACTGAATCTTCCCAATCCGAGTCTTCGTCATCCTCGATGGCACTCTCCGAAACATCGTCGTCGGTCTCGATGGCATCCTCGTCCAAGCGGCTCGGGCTCTTGGGATGTCGTATAGTTCGTGATGTGACATGGTCGCTAAACGAGGCCATCTTCTTGGCTGGGCTGGGTTTGCTACCCACCGCGGGTGAATCAGCGACAGGGTTTTCCGAAGCAACCATGCGATCTTCAAAAGAGCTCTCGTCATCGTCACCGGACGAACCACCTAGTGTGAACATTCCGCCCTTTTTCTTGAGTGGTGATGGCTTTAATTGCGTGGTGGATTGAGAGGGGCTAGGGTCGGCGGATAGCTTGGCCTGCGATCGAAAGGACGACGAGATGTGGGAAGGTGAGAAGCCACGAACAACGCTGGGGGATTTCATCAGACCGGGACAGGGAAGAACTCCCGAAGACGAAACACTAGTGTCGGACGCGGTAACTTGCGTCGAATCGCTGTCGTCGTTGCCTTCCGGGGCAGTGGTCGAGCATGACTCCGTCGAGTCGTGGGGTTTTTGGGTCGGTCGTGGAGGGAATATAACCTGCTTGGCTGTCGAGACAGCGGAGGGAGGAGTGGGAGTAGAAGTCGACGGGCGTGGGGTGATGTCGACCACGGGCGCGGTAGGGCTGACCACGGTGGTCAGAGGTTCTAGGCACTTGCGTTCTTTGATGTTGAGAACCATGCGCTCCAGATCTAGGGAAGTGATATGCTTCTCCTTGCCCCGGCCTAGGCTGGCCATCGAGTCATCACGAACGACCGCTGGCCGATAGTCCTGGCATTTGGGTCGTTTGATGTGAGCCTCTATCCGCTCTGCTTGATCGGATGCGGCCGACTCGACACTAGCGGAGAGCTCCGGAGGCTCCCCGGCTTCCGAGCGAAGGAGTGGGAGCACGGAGGTATCGCTGGATTTCTCGGGTTCGACGCAGAAGGTTTCGCGAGTCCATAGGCGCCAGCTGAGGTTTTCGAGTCGACGGCCCTGATCCATGTAGTCGGCACATTTTGAGAAGACTGCGTCCCGAGTTAGTTTTTGGTTCCAATTTCAAAGACAATTCAGCGTCAATCTCACCCATCCACATGCCATGCAGACTCTGTGCATTTGCGGTGTCCACCTTGTGGATATTATCAGCGTCCACCGTTAACACCGGTGTTGTAAAACGCGACGGCATTCTAGCGACGCCACAGCTGCTGCGGGAGCGTTTACTGTCGATTGATGTGATGTGTGGGAGTTGTTCCGGGGTCGCCGTCTCCCCCGAGAGTGATCGTACGGCGCTGAGGAGCGGTGGTTCAAGAATCTCTTCGGATCCGGCGGTGTTCTCGTTAAGATCGGAGAGAGGGCGGTCTAGATGCTGACAGGGGGATGTTTGCAGCAGATCGAATTGTATCTGGCGGCAGAGGTATATCGAGTGCTCAGATACGAGTTGAGTTGTCAAGAGAGGGGTGAAGAAGAGAGAATTCGTAGAGGCCCGTCAAATTTCCGTCCAGAGCGCCACTCGCGATGCGGAGATCTGGCAGTGGGTTAGGGCGGAGGTTATCGGAACGGAGGCGTAATGGGAGTGGGTCGGTCGAACAGCGGTGGGTATGTGCCGCGTTTGGGGTTGAGAAGAAGAAAACGAGAGCGAGAGAGGATGGGAATGGGAGATTGGGGTTGATGAGTGGAAGGCGAGGGAAAGAGGTGAATGAAGGAGGAGGGAAAGGGACGGAGCGAGATAGAAGAGGAACCGAAACCGATAATTATGACAGAGAGAAAGAGAGGGGAATTATTATTTATGATGTACGGTACGGTAACAACCAAAAAGGGAAAATATTAAATGATTTAATCGAATTACTACCGAGGGTCGGTGAGAAAAATCAGTGTGTCACGAGGGACGGGTAAATACCAAACGGTCATTACCGGTATGGGCCCCGGCCTGTTTCCGTCTAGAAGGCGCTTCAGATTCCTTACTGCTTGTGACTTGGAGGGAAGATGAACTGTCGCACTTGCTGGTTGGCCACTGGAGAGTCCGGCTGATAGTATTGCTGTGTTGTCTCTTCTGGTCACGGAAGGGTCGTTCAACGAGCGAGCAGAGATCGGGACGCCACGTTGTTCTAGTGTTCAAGCCCCCAATAATGGCAATATACTCATGAAGGAATCTCGAACGGGGAGGCATTGCCGGGCATCATCAGGTGGCGGAGGGAGCACTGTCTCTTACCGCTCTTTTTTTCTCTTTTCTTCGGTGTCTTCCGAAAGGACACACCCTAGTTAGGTAGAAGAACCTACGTACAGATTAGAAATCACCTTCCAAACGGAGCCACCGTCACAAGCTCTCCCAACACTTAAGTTCTATGGAGGAAGTATGTCAAAAGATTTAGCCGTCCGGCGGTGCCCCGGACTGACGGAAAGGCTCAGAGCTCCCGGGGGACTGGGGAGGACGGGGCCGATCGATCCTCTGGTGGCCCCCTTGGTCAGAGAGTCACACAAGATGCACGTTTCATCCATCATGTGATGTGAGTCGGTCTGGGGTAATTGGATGTCCGCCAGCCGTCTCCGCTACTGACCTCGCACTACGACCGTTCTCCATATTCGGGTGGTACCAGTAGATGGAGCATATCCCAGTCGATGCTGTGGCGAGAGTCGTAGTTAGTTGCTCTAGTCTATCCAGCCGAGGCAGCGCAGCTGAACAGCTGATAAGGAAGACAACGCATTGGTGGCAAATCACGGGTCACGCGGTCACGAGGGCATCACCTGACATGGGGTCCAATAGTAACAGTATAGGAGTAGACAGGAGTAGTAGAGATCCTATTATTATTGTCGCCGTGTAGATGAATTGGTGGCGACGTGCTGTCACATTACCCTGAGCCCGTCAGGTCTCCCGGTGCCTGGATTCGGCGACCCGCGCCACCCCGCCGACCAAATGTGACAGCCCTAATTCGCATCAACAAATGAGCGCCCCGATTTCAATGCTTTTTCTTCGTGTCGCATCTCCTGTCAATAATCACATTCCGTTCCCCTCGCCCGCCCTATGTACCCCGGCCCGCCCTCCCCGGTAAGGTATAGATTGTATGTTGTTCTCTGTCCCGGATCTGCGCAAGGGGCATCAATCCGGGGATCGCGGAGGCGGCATCCGCGCATAGTTTCGTCGCTCGCCCTTCTAGACTCTTGGTCAGCTGAGCGGTCGATCGAGGGATCGTAGAGTTAATCTGTAATGAGCTGGTAGGATGCGTTCATGCCAGGAGGGAATGCTGCGATCCATGGGTTCCTTTGTTGTTTATTCTGGGGTAAACTATCGACTATTTCCCGTGTACCCCGTACTGCAGGAAGGGAATGAATGACACAGTGACGGCCGGGCGAAGTATCCAAATCGAGTAGTGACTGACTCGTCTAATGGTTCGATTGCAAGCCAGCCGGAAGGAAGATTTGCCTTTCCGGCCGATCATCTTGTACTTTGGAGAATCATCTGTTTCACCTCAACCCGATCAATATGAAGAGAAACGTAGCTGTATCCCCAATGCGATACATATCACAGGCGATCAAGAGAGCCTTCTTTCTGATAAATTCGAGATCGACCTATACTCATCGCTGTCTTACCCTCAAGCCTCGATATACAATTGAGAGAGACCGTCGCACTCACGCCGAGCATGCCTCCCAACGTTCTAGATCCAGCCCTGTTTCTCCTTGTTTATTGATATGTGAGGTAATCTCTCTCCCCTTGACTCCTGCAGGGAAGGGTATGTAATCGGGTATCTGGGAGCCCTAGCATGCCTCTGTTCATTCTCCGACAGCTGCGGACCCACTTCCCGGTACACGGACTTGAATCTCCAAGGGGTGATTTGTATAATGTTATCCATGTGCTCTGGCCCTCTATCTCTCTGCGACAATGCGAGGGCAGAGCCTCCTAGTCAGGGCGACAATGGGTTGAAAGAAAACTGTGTTAGTTTTTACAGTATCTGGTATTTCATGTTTCTGGTGTTTCTGTACCCCCGATCCGGCCAGACGTTGGTCCCAAGACTACACTCCAGATTCTTTGTCCAAACCCGGAAAATTTTTCAGACAGGGGCTGGGAGACGGATCGAACCACTCAAAGGGAGGGTTACGTTCTGGTTCGTTGGTTACCAACTGCCTAACTGTCCATACCGTTCTTGCATGCACGCAGCCGTCGTGATCTGGAGTCAGCCTCACTTCCCAGAGTTATCAAATCGAATCCTCAGTCTCCCTAATACACTGAGTTCTGCTTTTTCGTTCGCCGGACAAACAACGCCACGATCCGCCAGTTTTGCAGCGCTTTCTGCCAATGATCCCAGCAACAGTAGCTATTTCGGGCTATATGCAGCAGCTTATTGGACCAGGGGCGGCTATATTTTCTTGAAGTATTCCTTCCCCTGATTCGCGGCGACGATCAAAGACAGTTGACGTAAAACGATTTGCTGGCGAGCTCATGTAATTCACTAGGGCCTTTGTCTGTCCATGTACAGCTGATCCGTGGGGTAAAGTCTAGACCATCACACATTTGCCATCCTTTTTGTAACTGTCTATTTGCCGGACGCCACGGCGCGCCAACTAAGATCGATGGGGGGTACCATGATGGCTGTTTGCATTTATTGGGCGCTTTTTTCCCCGCCCACTAAAGAATAAACGGCTGTCTACTGACACATGACGCCTAAACACAGAGCCCGGGTTGATGTTCAGCCTAATTTCTGGGCTTTGTCACCTGGCTTTTTCCCCGTCCGCCACGGCGCCTGTTGGGCTTCGGGGCTCCGTCCGGGGCGAACGAAACACGAAGAAATGAGTCTCGCTTCGCCCGATGGCTTGCAGGGCATGTCGATCATTTTTTTGTTTTGTTGGGCTCTTTGTTGAGAGGGCGTAAACGACGAACTTAGTCGTAAAATTAACACCATGTGCCAGCCGGATGCTGATCAATCCCGGGTCTCCTGTTTGTTTACTACCCCAGATTGTTCCCGCCGCGTCCGGACTGAAGGACAACACAAGAAATAAAATGACCCGTGTCCGGTCGCATTTTGCAGACGAAGTATCGTATCGTCCGTCGCTGAATGAATACGATACGAACTCCTATTTCTTTTCTTTTTGATGAGTTGGCAGTCGTGTGATGGGATCAACAGCAGCCCGAAATAGAGACGAGAAGATATGAGACGGGATGAAGGGCGGCAAGAGAGATCCTAAGACCCGGGCGCCTACGAACAGAACGCAGCCACGTCAATGAGACCCCCGCGCCATGTGATGAGGGAGGAGCGGGAAACCCGACACTCAATCATGAGGCTGATGCCCTCCGTCGCCCGTCCCGCATGGAATCCCTATTTTTACCGCAGGTCATATGAACCACGCCGGCCAGCAGCTAAAAAATTCGAAGGCAAGGAGAGAAGAGCCCATGAATGGCATCATTCGCACACAGGGTCACGTTAGGCGCATTTTCAACCGAAGCCACAGACCAGGTCTCACCGGTTGCAATATGGGCTTGGACGACGAAAATTGGAGACCATCTCCCGGATCGGAGTTCTCAGATGCTACTGTCACACCGTACCGCCGATGAGTTCGCATCGGAGCCGTCGACGCGGGTGAGTTCGAAGTTTAACCTACTTGACTTGACATTCAAGATATTTCTGTCGGATGTCGCGGTATTCACGACTGGCACAGCGCTAGTCGGGGAATGTTTTCTTTTCTTGCGCAGCATGAAATCGAGCTTGTGTTCTCGTAACTATCTCCTGAGCGGTTATGCTTGAGCTCTGATGATTAGTGTCTCTCGGGTGACGCTTAGATTAATTTATGGCATGTTTCACCTCCAAGATTGCTGATTACGAACTACAGGCCTGCAGTAACGTTATCGCATACGGCTTTCGAACACATCCATACAGTTCGCTCTCCTGAATTCTTGACAATTTATTTCTAGATATTCGGACATGTCTTAGCCCTCTTTCGCCGTGAACATCAAGGTTTCCAATTCATGAACCACGAGTCGCAGGAATCGGGTTATACTACTCGTGAAATCATGGGTCGGGCCAGGCTAAACTCTGATCTCGATTTAAACCGGCTCAAGCAGCCTTTTCTGACGCCTTGTCTCTCTTTCCTCTAAAAAGGGACATAGAGTTGACGCAGCGGACGGACGGCTTTACTCAGATGGCGACTTCCATAGGAGATGGTGGAACACTTTCGTTTTTTGTGGCTGCTTATTCTGATCTGGACTTACTAGTCGAATAACACCGAGCGGGTGAGTGGTGGCTAAGCGTTATACATTATACCATACCCGTGGTCTTTTTTCCAGGGAGTCCTATAGGTTGGGTAATTTGTAGTGTTGCGCGATGTATGTCCGGTGGTTCATTCACCGTGTGAGATGGTAGTGGGAGTAACTAGAGCCCGGACTTGTGTAGCTGTTACACTTATCAAGATATTCCGTGGAAGTCGTGGGTTAGTTAACTTGGATGTGTCATAGCTCTTCCGATAGCTTGTCCCTATCTACACTTGTGCAACAAATGATTTCGTCATAGCTCCCGTTTCGGCTAGTGATGCTCGTCGCAACTAGGATCCGTGTGTAGATCTTCAATTTGTGACTCTGCGATCATGACGACGTACAAAAATCGATGTACACATTACCACTAGCAAAGAAATAAATTAAATGCTGTCAGTTGATATTCTCTTGTCGGGTAGGTCTAGATTGTGAATGTGATAAGTCCAGCCTTTTACCGAGAACCACTTGCCGCGGCAAGAAGTGTAGATCATCTGGATCGTGAGGTCACCACGCCCAAGTGCCGAGCGAATCTAAGATACATCCTGGGGAAATAAAGTACAGACCGAGGTATGCATGAGACCAAAAGAATTTCCTGATCCCCGGAAAAAGGGTGTTCAAGCCTGCTTTCTCTTCCTTTGAATCCTTCCTTTCACCTCGGCTGACACGGCGGTGGCTGGCTCTCGTGAATACAGACAAATGCACATAACAATTCTAGCTCTTTCTCACAAGCTTTCATGAATCTCTATTGCTCCGATTAGTCTGCCGCCCGCATGAAGATATTTCAGCGTACAATAAGCCAATATCCTCCTTTTGTATGACATCTGGTCGTGCTGGTACATACACATCTACGGAGCAGTATAGACTAATACGTATGCATATTCGTGCGATATAATATTTATCCATTGCTTTCGCTGGGTATATCTGGTTGAGACCCAGGATTTTCTGAGTGAACAGATCCCCGTAGGTGTTATTATGTCTGACAGATTTTGCGACCTGGAACTCCTTCTTTTTGTGTGAAAGTATCCCATTTATGTTCGACCACCCCAAAACCCGGGTCCGCGTTGGCTGATGCCCAGAGCAATGAGAAAGCAAAGAGACAAGAAGATAGGATCCCCCACATGGGGATCGTCAGAATGCCGAGAGACTTCGTACGTCGAACGGGTTGAGATGAGGAGACTGACAAAATATTTTTTCGGAGAGTGTCAATGGAGGGTCCTCGAACCGAAATAAGTAATCCTGGAGGGCGCAGAATTGCCAGAAAGTCGCAGCGCCCAACACTCCTCCAAGTTTATCCTAGAGGGTTCTTGTCCGCCCTCTTTCCCCTAGCTAGGTGGAAACCAGGTGATTAGTGAATCCTACGGGGCCCTCAAGTGGAATAAGAAATAAAAGCTTCTTTGAACTGGCTCCTGGGCGGATCTGTTTCTACCGTTATACCAAAAGATGCAAGAACCCTGCAATCAGCCTCGCTGTCCATGTTGACCTGGATAAGGGGGGAAGTTAGTTGAATCATTGGAATTCGAGAGAATACTTCACTTTCCCATCATCTGAATGCGATTAATATGTACTTGCAAGTCCATAGGTGGACCCGTATGGATCGGCAATCGCTCAAGCTAAGTCAATTTCTGGAAAGTTCGGGACGTATGTTAGCGTTCGATTGACAGTTCTGACTGGGCCCCAAGGATTTCAATAATCATTATTAAACAGAAAATTATACGTCCTGATATAGGATATATCATAACTGGGCCTTGCATTTTTTTACCACATGTTTTGTGGGTAAGATATGCGATTGACCAAAAGTATTTTTATATGGTTCGAGGTCCAAAATATACATCTACTACTCTTTGCTATATTTCTTGAACATTACTGCTGGAACAGACCGAAGAACAGCACTCCTGAAAAAATAGCGACATTCCATATTATAGAGAAAAGGTAAACATCCACTTGAATAGATCTAGGGACATCCCGGCATGACAGATCATCAATCCTTTTTTTCGTTGCCACTATAACTTTCTATGTAAGAGACCATGCTTTACATAAGGCCTAATAAGAAAAGACCTTTTTTTTGAAGATTCCACTGCTACCAGTCTATCCGCGAATGATCTAGAACTCCTGGTCATCATCACCGGAGATGATGACATTGTTGATCTATGATCTATTAGCAATATTCACAACGAAGCTGGTGAAAACCGTACCTTGAGGACCATGCGGCACAGCTGGGTCGCGAGCAGAAGCTGCTGGCGTTTCCCGATCAGCGGGTCAATGGCAAAGTGCTCCCTCATGTCTGTACCCAGAAAGTTAATCAGAGAATATTATGGAGGAAGAGGGTGGCCTACCGTTGGTACCGGTCATCATGCAGTCAACACCCAGGCGGGCATTCTTCTCCTTGACCTGACGCGACTTGATCGACGCCAGGGTCTCAATCGGACTCAAACCAGAGTTCTCGGCCAGTGCCATTGGCACGGCATCTAGCGCATCGGCGAAGGCGCGCATAGCGTACTGCTCAATACCGGGGCTCTAGAACAAACAATTAGTCAGTGAGTCTTAGGAGAGAAATGGTAGGCAACGCACATTGACAGCAGCATCCTCAACGGCCAAAGAGCAAGCAATCTCCGCTGCACCTCCACCGTACACCACACGGTTGTCTCGGACAAGGTTGCGCACCACACACAGGGCATCGTGTAATGACCGCTTGGCCTCATCGATAATCTTTGGATCAAGTTAGCCACTGGTATGATTTGCTGAGAGGTTAAACTCAAAAACTCACCATCTTGTTGCTTCCACGGATGAAGACGGTCACTGCTCGGCTGTTGGCACACTCCTCAATGACCAGCATCTTCTCCCTCGTGGTTCCAAAAGTCATCTCACGGACACGACCCGCAGTGCCCAGCTTGTCCGCGCTCAGATCTTCAAATCGTGGCACGATACGGCCATTTGTGGCAATGGCAATCAGCTCGATTTCGGGACCACCAACCCACCGAACAGCAGGCAGGTGGTTCTGGAGAAGCAGATGGTTGGCCTCGTCATCAAAACCCCACTGGCAAATGACCAGATTGGCACCCGAGTCCTTGAGATTCTGGATCATCTCCGTGAACTTGTTCTTCTCGTAATCCTGAAGCTTCTTGAACTCCTCCACGGACGTGATGTCCAGCTTGTGCTTGGTCTTGGGCTTCGGGGGCTCGAACGGGCAAGTCAGGATGGCCAGCTTGGCGTCCCGGACCTCATCGGGCATCTGAGGGTGCGAGAAATCCTTATCGACGATCACACCCTGGACCAGTAGCGAGTCCTCGAGAGAGCCGCCCACTTTTCCGTCAACCTTGATCAGCTCGAAGTCGACATCCTTGCGCTGCAGGTCCGCAACCGAGAGCACGGCATCAACGGCGATCTTGGCGAATTGGTCATGAGACTTGGAGACACTGATAAAGTTTTAGCGTGGATCAAGAAGACAAAGGGGAAGTGGCGCATACATCTTGCTGCCCAAGCTGGTTTTGGCAACCTGCAAGAGGTTGGAAGTATCGTCACGGGAGAAGGGGATCTCATCACTGATCTTGTCAAGCTCTGCGATGGCAATCTCGCAGGCCTGGTCGTATCCGTCTGCTATCCGAATGGGGTGGATGCCCTTATCGATGAGTTCCGAAGCCTGTTCCAGCATGGCCGCTGCCAGCACCACGACACCCGTTGTCCCATCACCGATTTCCTCATCCTGCGACTTGGAGAGCTCGACCAGCAGCTTGGCCACGTTATTCGTGATTTCCATCTATCAAAGCCCCAGACATCAATATTGCTCAACACCAATTGCGAATGATAAAAAGGGGTGGTGCTGTCGTACCTGACCGAGAATGGTTGCGCCATCGTTCGTAACCGTAATATCCCCGTCGGGGGAGATCAAAATCTTGTCGAGACCGCGGGGACCCTATATGACAGAAATCAGAGGCTGCTCATCCCAGCACAGGTTCGACCACCTACCAGAGAAGTCTTGACAATGCTGGCCACTGTCTTGGCGGCAACAATGTGCGACTTGACGGCCTCGTTGCCATGTACTCTCTTCTTCTTCCCCTGGCTGTATGATAGAAAGGTCGCGGGTCAGCGCAAGGTATAGTTGGCGGGCAACGCATCCCACATACTCTCGGACCACAATGAACGGACGCCCATTTTCATCCTTCAACATCTGGGCTGGAGTGGGTGTCAGTCGCTATCACAAAAATCGGCCGTTGAATGTTAATCACCTTGAGATAGATCCAGCTCTGTTCCGTCCAACAGTCAGTAACCGCACGGTAAGAGGAATGAGGGGCATGAGATGAGGGAGGCGTACGCATTGCCATATTGACGGCGGGCTGCCACCGGGCAGGAGAAACAATTCCGCAGCGAGAACACTAGAAAGAGAGAATGAAGCAAGGAGAGTGGTGGCAGAACAACACAGTAGTCGAGGAGTTGTTTCGTTGTGGTGGAGGGAAGAGTGAGGGATGAAATTCTGGAGACACACACCCGATCGGGCTAGTCGAAAGCTGCTTGCCTAATCCGACGTAGCGCCTGCCCTTTCCTTCCGCCTTTATTCACGCGCCTCGCGATTCACCAATCATTCATTGTCCTCGTGAACTTGTCTCTCCTTCTGCTGTTTCGCCCATCTAGTGCCCCCGAGGTGTACGCCTCCAGTCGCCAAGCTGTTCAAACGATTGCTTCACCTCGTTTCCCCCTCCTCGCCTGGAACCATGCCGCGTGAGTGTTTGCGCCTGGATGCGTCGCGAGCGCGGTCGAAGCTGACCCCAATTCCCAGCGCCCCTGGAGGACCTTGAATCTGACGGTGAGGATCTCGGCGATATCCCACACGGTGGTCCCGAGACCGAGCAGGAAGACTCGGAAGAGGATGGCGAGGAGGAGGAAGGACTGTGAGGCGCCGCGTTGGATCTCTGGTCGATTTCAAGCATCTAATAGGGTCATAGATATGTCGTTGAAGATATCCTGGATCACAGATTTGTCAAAGTATGCCACATCCACCCCGCCAATGGTACCCTTCCACGCGCGCTAACCAAGATCACAGGGCGAGCTTGAACTATTGGTGAAGTGGAAAGGATACGAGGAACCCGAGGATCAAACATTCGAGCCAGAGGAGGGCCTTTTGTATGCTCTTTATATCTCTCTATCTCAATTGAAGCCCTGTTCACATGTCCCTACAGAGAGGGAGCCCACGATATCGTCGCCGAGTACTACAAGAGGATCGGTGGCCGCCCCCGGCCACCTCCCAAGCCGGCCAAGGGCCCAGGACGCAAGCGCAAATCCATGACCGATCCAAAGCCCGCCCCGTCACTGGAATCACCACTCTCGCCAATCAAGCGGCGCAAGCCATCCCCCAAGGAGGAGGCAGAGGAGGCAGCCAAGAAAGAGAAGGGCAGTGAGGAGGTCGGCTTGAACTGGGTGTCCAAAGCCAAAAACTGGGAGAACCAAGTCGACTCCGTGGATACCATTGTGCGCGACCCGGATACCGACACTCTCTTTGCTTTCCTCAAATGGACCAATGGCAAGCAGACGAAGGTCTCCATCCAAAGTTGCTACGAGAACTGTCCGCAGAAGGTATACTTCGATTTCAATATAGCTCGAATGATACTGTTGCTAACGCTGTTTCTTTCCTCAGATGCTCAAGTTTTATGAATCACATCTGTATGTCTTGGCTCTGCTGGAGGTAGGAGATGAGCTGCTAACCTTTTCTTGGCTAGTGTTTTCAAGGACGAGAACAAGGACGAGAACAACGATGAAATGAATGGAAACACGGTTACGAATGCGAATGCGATGGATACTTGAGCGTATCATCTCGTTCTGTGCTTGTATCGACCGGATAATGGCTGGCATGCCTTGGCCTTCCATTTTCCTTTTTAATGCTCACCCCATGCCGCTTTCGCTCCCTGAGTATCATTGAGCAGAACCCCGAGTGACCTTTTGGTTTCGGCATTGTGAGATGCCCTAGAGGTCTGAGGCTTTTTCTGGTGCAACGTCTAGAGACATGGTGATTTCAACATAGTAATTTCGAGCCAACGGGATTAGCCTAGATTTGGACATGGCCTTATCATTTGCCATTTCAAACACGCTGTTCAAACTACGTAGTCTTAAGCCTCCGCCTCTACTAACTAATCAGGGGATCCCTGACTCCCGCACAGCCATCAACATTCCGATTGGCCAATTACAAATACAATATCAATCATGACCTGAATTCTCGCCAGATTTTTATCTCGATATCATTGAATGCTTCGCTCCACCCCCGGCGCGTTGCTTAGTCCGGCTTATCGGCCTCACCAAAGAAGTCTGGCTGGGGATTTTGATCTTCGGAGGAGCCATACCTTGAGGCCAGAGATTGTGTATTTTTCGCATTCTCCAGTATCCCCATTCATGATAATACCCATTGGTATCGGCGTTCCCAATCACCTGCTCATTGTCGGGAATTGGGTTGCCATCGTTCTTCATCTCACTGCTAAAGGCATAGCCATATTTTGAATCTTACGTGGAGACCTTTTACTCTCCACTTGGTCTATCGATGTTATTGGGAATGATTCATTCCGGTTTCAATCATTCTCCATTTCACGTACTTACTTTACAAACAAACGCCGTTTCCCTTATCCATTGCTACCCGCTGAGACGAGATGTACCCGCAAAAAAGTCATTAAACTCGTTCTTTATCCCCGTGCCATGCTCAAATATTCCCATCTGGCAGTGACCGCCTCGTCTCCATGTTTTTTCAGCACGCGCTCGACGCCGTAACTATCACCTCCCTCAAGACACTGGTCGTCCTCTGGTGTCCAGAACCCGCGCATGTCGGTGGGAATATCCTTTCCGGCAGCGACGAGTCTGAGGACTTTGTCCGCGATTATGGGATTCATGCTCGTGCATCGCAGGGTATTGATCACTTCCGATTCATCGACGCCGTGTCGTGCGATTCGTGAATCGATCCACAAATTAATATCGTGAATACCAACCCACTCGTCATAGTCTATGTCTTCGTCTTCGTCCTCGGATTTCCCATCGTCCTCTTCTGGCTCTGGAGGAGATGGGAAGAAAGGGAGTTCGAGCAGAAATGCTGCTGACATCGCTGGCTCACTTGGTGGGGGCTTGCTCTGGGTTGCAGCAGCCTCGGCTGCATGTGGTGACTGGGTAGGGTGAGTAGCAGCGGGTTGAGTGGGATCTGGTTGGTAATTCCGCGGCAAGGGTATTGCCAGACTCGGCGATAGTGGCCTGGATTCACGAACTTCATGCGGAGACTGGCGCGTTGCCGGCGTGGCATTTATTAGAGTAGTCCCCGCAGATATCCGCTTTGGAGATGGTGCCAGGTCAGCACCAATTGGAAAGACACTGGATGGTCCGGGAGTAGAATCGCGTTTCCTTTTGGGAGTCCTTGAGGAAGCCGCTTGTAGCTTCGGCTCCTCTACCCTAACAGCCGGCTCTTCTCGATATTGAACGACTGCCCACCTAGGGGGATTAGACTCGATTGGTAGAAGATCTTCGATTGGCCTGGGTTCACCACCTCCTGGACGAGGACTGCCCCGAAGTCTCTTGACATAGCGAGAACGCCAGGACTGCCAAGGATGCTGGGGATACTGCACGAAAATGACAGTTAAACGGTGGTCCTTCTATAGTGCACACTCACACATACATATTTCTCGAGCTCTTGATATACGCCGTTACCGTTTCCCCCCGTACCTGTAATCTCTTTGTACGCTGCAACCCAGTCAAAGAGGAGTTGGTCATCTTTGAGCGTGTAGCCTGCTCTGGTGGCCTTTGGGGCGATGTAAGAGGCACCCATTGGACGCGGCCCTGAGGGTTGTACCTGGTAGGGTTCAAAAGGCTCCAGCTGGCCTTTCTCGACGGTACGCTCTACCCACATGTAAGAGTAGCTGGTTTCGGTAGTTTAGTAAGAGTGAGTCTATCATGAGGTGACAAGAGTGGCCTTACGTGTCAAGAGACACATCATGGCCCTTTTTTTCAGGGTCCACCAATCTGATGTCGGCATCTTTGGGACTTATCACTACACGGCCGCCGTGATGCTATGTCCGAGTCAGCTCGATGGTCGAGACACGAACGAGGGAAACCATACTTTGATCAACTCCTTCAATGCGCGTCTTCGGGAGACATACGAAGACACCCAGAAGAGTGTTCCGTTGAACAAGTTGGACAATGGCGCGGCCATGTTGAGTTTCAAGCTCACTTGCGATTCACTGCGACGCGTCACATGCCCCCGTATCGCAGGGCATGCTCTCCGGACAGACGCGACCAGTCGAGCGGATTGATCTGTTTAGCAATCTATGGTTGGCTGATGTTCTGGAAGTGAAGTCGAGGTATGAATGAATGACCGCATGTCTATCTTTGTTGGGCCCGACGGACCAAGACACGGGATCACATGACCGTGTGGTGCCTGACAGCCGCATCAACACGAAGTCTTCCTTTGTTTCGGTGCAGGTTGCTGGGACAATTCATCCCCCGTCAGAATGGGCACTCTACGGACTGTGGCCCTGACCATCCTGGGGATCTCGGCGTTTGTCTTCATTGCCCTCTTCGGCAGACTGCCGCTATTCCGGTGAGACGGCCTCAAGTTGTGGTGAAAGCAAAACTAACCTTCGTCCCAGCAAAACCCCCGTGGCTGTTCTACACCGGGCCCTGTGGGTATATATCCCCAATGGAATTAACTTCATCGACTCTCGCCTGCTTGGGGGTCGAGTAGTGTGGCTGTGGAAACGATCCGGCAGTTACGTCCTCAATGAGAACCATCCATTAGTCTTGGTGAGTGTGACAGACCCATCAAAGAACGACCACACTAACTCCGATCGAGATTTTCTTTTTGTCCTTGCTCTTGATTGGCGAGTATATCTTCCTGCCACCGGCCTGGCCCCGGCTCTCCAGCTCTCACAAGTCCTGGGTGCTCGCCGTGGTCGTCGTACCATATTTTCTGATCTACAAGTGCGTGGTGACCAAGTCCTTCATCACCTCGCAAAACTACGAGGAAGAGATGAAGCGATATCCCTACGACCGGGCCCTCTTCCACCCAGGGAATCACTGCAGCACCTGTCACTTCCTCAAGCCGGCCCGTAGCAAACACTGCAGCATCTGCCGGGCCTGCGTGTCAAGACATGATCACCACTGCGTGTGGCTGATGAACTGTGTCGGGGCTCAAAACTACCCCTACTTCCTCTTGCTGCTCCTGTCACTTTCCGTACTGTTGATCTACGGCTCCGTTCTGGGCTATTCGCTGCTCTGCCAGACCCTGGAGCAGTACGTGTCGCTCGATATGCGCGAAGATATGCGGGGGAGCTGGGTAACCTATATCAATGTCTGGACGTCGGTTATTACCTTTGATCCCCAGATCGGGACGGTGTTTTTGTTGATGCTCATGACGGCCCCGTTGACTGTCGCGTTTCTTGTCTACCATACCTATCTCGTCTGGGCAGGCATGACGACCAACGAGAGCGCTAAATGGTCGGATTGGAAGGAAGACGTTCTCGATGGATTCGTCTACAAGGCCAATCGGAATGAGATTTTTGGGCTATCGTCCCGGTCAGACTGGCCGGTCCATAGCGATCAGATTCTGGTCGTCGACGACGAACCTCCACGAGGCGAGTACGTGTTGGCAGCTGCCTCCAGCCGGATCGCCCATCAGGGTCGGCCTGAGGCACCGGTGGATGTGCGGTGGAGGCGACTGCGTAGTATGCGGGATGTGGACAATATTTATGACATGGGATTTTGGCTCAATTTGCGAGATGCCATGGGATTTTCCGTGCGACAATAATAATAACGAATTTATTGACCTGACGCATCTTCTACATAGTCCGGAGTGCTGCTATACGTACATAGTTGCTCCCAGCGAATAGCGGGACCAAATTCTGCGGGCGGAAATTTTCCCGACCTTCTCACCTTCTTCCTCACCCACGCCCTTTGTCCCTGCCACGTCCAACCCTCGCAGGCAGAATGGCGGAGGCCAAACCCCGTTGCACTCCGGCGGAGCTAATGCTCAAGGTCATCCTGGCCGGCACTCTGAGCCACTACGAGACTCGAGGCATGATTGACGACAAGCGCCTGGAGCACATGCTGGCCGCTGGAAAGCAGATCTTGTACAAGACACACCAGGAGAGCGATGTTCGGTAGGTACATTGTAGTTATTGTGATTGATAGTGCTAATAGTCTTGCATAGGCACAATCTCGGTATGTCGCCGGACATCTGGAAAGGCCTCACCGACGTCCTCACCAACGCCATCCCCGTCCTCGAGTCGCAGTCCTTTGCGTGGAAAAACCCTGCCTCAGCAAACTACGACCACTCCTCCTCCAACCTCATCGCGTTCCATTATTTCTCGCTCGTCAAGGACATCGAGCGTCTCAATGACCTCTGCACCATCGCGCGCAACCTTCTGGCAACAACAAAGAAAGCACAGAACCTTGCCGCGGAGAAAGGGTTCGACCAGAGGATTCTTGCATTGATTGACACCTGTGTGCGTGTAACGGCTCGTGGATTCGATGGAGAAACAAATGCACGAAATGAGGAACGGTGGCAGAAAGTGGTCAACCTGTACAAGCGGCTGTTGATTACCTGCCTCCAATACCTGCACAATTTCATCATGCATAACGAACAACGGAAGATGGTGCTGTGGCTGGATCTTTTTGGGTATCATTCCACTGGTGATTCGAACATTATTCAGCCCAAGGAACCGTTGGACCAGATCAATGGTCGCGCGGAGGGAGTGGCACCCATCGTAAAGACTGGAGAACGCGTGGTGAACCCTCCCATTCGAGCATTATATGATCAGACCGCCGAGGACTTGTTATTGGAGACTATCTCGAACTTCCCTCGGGAGCCATCCACGATCAAGGAAGAAGCGGCGATGTTGCTTCTCGCCAATATCAAGGACCACATGGAAAAACTACTAGGCCGAGACTTGACCGCTATCCAGGAAATGGGCAAGGACCCGGTACAAGTCAAGGAGATCCGCGCTGCATTGACAGCTATCCTGGGCGCCAAGGTGGATGGGTGGTCCGATCTTCAAGACCGCGCTCGTGATCTCCCACCTGCGCTTCCGGAAGATGAACCTCCGCGCAAACGGCCGATTCTGACGATCGACCGCAGTTATACCGCTGGTTACCCGCGCATCTGCTGGGCTGATATGCCAGACCTCAATGAGTTTGGTGCACTTGCTGCTGTGGATGCACCGGTCACGGAAGAAGACACCAGCATGCCACGGTCAGCTCAGTCTGCGGCTGAGACGCTTCAAGAAGCCAAGGATGAACTTATGGCACGGCTGCAGGAGTCGTCCCAGCTCGGCGGTGATCCAGATGGGGACTATGATCACGACCATGATCATGACCACGATCACGATCACGAACACGACCACGATCACGACCATGACCACGATCACGACCACGACCACGAACACGAACATGACCACGATCACGACCACGGCGATGTAGGGACAGTGGGCGACGACGATTCGCGCAGTTTGGAAGCTGTCGCTGACGGAAGTATTGAAGAGGACGATGAAGAAGACGATGAGGACGACGACGACTACCGGGGTCGACCAGGCGATCAACAGCGTGGCCTTCTGACCGATATTCCTCTTGTCTTGGGACCCGCGGAGATTGAAGCTCTACCTATGATTGTCCAGGCCGGCATCGTCGACAGCTTTGGGTTGAAGGGAGGCGAACGCAATGGTTCTCGGAACATGCAAGCCATGCGGTGTCATGTTCTGCTCACCCAGGAGACGGGTCGAAACCTGCTGCGCGAACTTCTGATCTTCATTGCGGCATGGGACCTCCCTGACGATGAGCTCTACTTCAAAATGATGGTCCAGATCATGGAGGCCGTGCTCAAGAACGGACTCATGTCTCACGCATACTCGGACTTTGGCCAACCCAAGGACATCATTTCTCCCGCGCAGGCAGTGGTCATCAAAATCCTCACCCACATCTTTCGCTCCAAGTACTCCCCGTCCCCGGTCACCGGCTCCTCGCAAAAGCGCGTTCCCTCGCCACTGTCGCGCGTCGACATCCTGACTGTGCGCTACATCTTCACCATCTTCCGCGGTAACATCATCCCAGAAACCTGCGCCCTGATCTACCTGCAAGGCCAGATCCGCGACGGCATGGCCCTGCCCGAGGACTTCCCCTTAAATCTGTGGGACATGGAACGGGTGTACGAAGGCGTCTATCAGTTCCTGGAGTTCTTCGCCGTGCTCACAGAGAACAACGACTGGAAGAACCTGCTCGTGAAATGGGAGATTGTCTATGACCTGGTAACCCTCATCAAGGAGCTGGAAGCCAGCATCCCCAAGGGCCAGCTCAATTCTCTATCCTTTGGCTCTGTCCCTCCGCCTCCCCCACCCCCGCGCAGCACCTCGCGCAGCACCGCCGAGTCTGCCCTCCCCACCGCCCCCGTGGCCGTCGAGCGGCCCTACGACCCTAACGACCCCGATCCCATCGACACCTGCGCCGCCAGCGTGGACTCCCGCCCGGAATCCCCACCTATCTCAGAAGACCCCTCTGAATTCGAATGGCGCAACCTCAAGAAACTCGTTGTCCTCGTTCTCTCGTCACTCGTGTGGAAATGTCCCGAGGTGCAAGAACAGATCCGTCGACATGGCGGCGTCGAGGCTATTCTCTGCTGCACGGCTTTCGACGCCCATAACCCTTACATCAAGGAGCACGCCGTTATGTGTTTGAAGTTCTTGCTGGAGGGGAACCGCGAGAACCAGCGGCTTATTGAGGAGTTGGAGGCGCGCGAGGTCGTTAAGGATGAGGGAGGTGTTTTGGAACGCAGTGGTGTTCAGGCTATGATTGATCAGGCTGGTAAGCTGGCTATTCGGCCAAAGGACGGTGGTTTGTTGATCCACGAGTAGATTAGATGGTGTGTTTGCGCTGAATGTCGGCCCACAGTATAGATATGAAGATGAATCCTTGCTCTTATTCCCGTTTCCTCCTAAAACCAACCGCCTAATAGAGGAACAGCTTTCTCTACCAATGTTCTTTCTTAATGAAGCCAATGGTATCTGATCTATGTTGATAGCAATTACCCATACATCCCATCCCACTCTTCCTCCTCATCCTCCTCCACGATCTTCTTCCGCGCCTCCGCCTTCTCCCGTAATTGCTTCGCAAAATCCACCCGATCCAGCGGACACGTCCCGCGCAGCCGCAGCCAGGGCCGCACGCACTCCAGATCGAACAGGTGCGTCGGGTGGCAGGGGAGCTGGACGACAAGCGGGTATTCGTCTTCCAGGAAGGGGTTGTTGCAGATTGGGCAGGTTTGCGTGGCTGTTAGGGATGATTTGGGGATGCGGTCGAGCACTGCAATGAACGGATTAGTTTTTCTTCCTTTTTCCTCCCTGGTTTAAGAGGGGTGGGTAGCAAGGGAACGAAGGAAAAAGGAAGGAAGGTATATCATACTATCGCAAAACTCCTCACTAACACCCTCCACCTCCCGCGGCGGTGTATCCGCCTCCTGGAGTAGCGTCTGAATCATCTGCGTCAACAGATCGCGATCTACACCCGCGCCAGTGCTGGCGCTATCGTCGCCGCTGGCACTGGTCTCCTGACCCCCCGCAGCGAAAGTGGTACCTGCAGGGTCTGCACCACTACCAACATCGGCGTCGCGGCGCATGACTTCCAGCGCCTCAGCGAGGCTGTAAAATGCGGCGCTCACATCGCCGGGTACGGGCACGGCATGCGGACGGTGGTCTGGGCCCGGGGTGATTTCGGAGAGAGTTGCGAAGAAGGTGGAGAGGTCGGGGCGGCGGCGGCGTGGGGAATGGGTTGTTGTTGAGGGGTCAGTTGTGTTGTGTTCGACTGAATTGGGTTGGGATGTTAGCAGTGTGCTTTCTTCTGTGGTCTTTCTTGTGCTGGATTGGAATGGATTGGAGACGGGAGGGTTCTTTCTGGGAGGATGGAGGATGGCGTACTTTCGTAGGTGGACATGTTGGCGGTGGTTATCTGGTTGGAAGATCCAAGGAGGAAAGGAGGAGCGATGAGCCCGGAATGGGCTGGGCTGGGGGGAAATGTCACACAGAACTGTTTGGGGAATTGGAGAGGAAGAAGTGGAGGAAAGCCGAGGAGAGAGGTGTTGAGGCAGCAGACTGATAACGCAAGCGTGAGTGGGGCAGATCTACAGCCAACTACAACGAAGTAACTACGAAGTATATAGGCGAAAGATGGAATATTCAATGTCTAGCGCAATGCCCATCAGAATAAATACTTGATATCAATCGTCCTGCTCAGCTCCAACGCCATGCCAAAGCCGCTGGCAACAACACAATAGAGAAGTAAGCAAAATTATGAGATCGAGTCGTATCCCCCGTACCCTCATTCCACCACAGGATTTCTCTCCTCCTGTTCCTCCGTAATCCCGGAGCGCAAGTAAGCATCATTGAAAATCTGCGATAGACACATTTGCAGTATGATCGAGATAGCCTCCAAAAAGTCCATCCAATATGCATGGGCCCATTCAATGAGGTGTTCCGGAACTCGAGGGTACAAATAGCGGGCGATCAGGTTGTCGATTTTCATCTGGGTGTCGTCGTGGATGCCCAAGGACGCGTATCGGGCTGCCAGTTCTTCCAAGATTTCATCCATGTTCGTTGGTTGCGTATTGTAATCCGAGCACTAGCAATTCAAATATGTCGTAGACTAAGGGAAGCGACCAAATATCGATCTCTTCAAGTCGGAAAGGTCTGGGCGGGTGTATCGACAAGGTGAGCAACAAAGACCGAATATATATATATATGTATGCCCTATTCTGATATGCAACGCCAAATGAAACCTACCGAACGCTCCTATGAAAAAAAAAACAAAATTTTTTTTAAAAAAAAATCACTGAATGACCGATTTCCGCCGGGGCGACTTGGTAGTCAACAACTGCCTCATGCGCCGAATCTTTGCCCACCATTCACGGTCCGCAGTCTTCTTTGCCTCGTCATTTTCATCGTCTTCTCCGAAATCTGCCGATGGGGTACTCGCGTCCGTCTGGACTGTATCCATGGGTGTCGTCGAACGGAGGTGACGGCGATGCTTGACCCGTACAGCTTGCGCCACGAGCTCCCAGCCACTCCGTAAATCCTCTGTTCTCTGGTTTGGCTTGCCTGTGCCGCTCTGGGCGATCCGGTCAATCCATGGACAGTACTCCATGTGCTCGGATGCCACGTCCAAGGAAACGTAGACGGTTACATCGCCGTTGGCCTTGGGCTTGTACAGCCAGAGACCGAGACGGCGGAAGCACGCTCCACAGCCGACAAGACCGGCGGCTCCATCGGATACTGCATCCCAGCCGAAAAAGGCTAGGGTAAATGCCGCGCGATTTAGAGGAGTCTCCGTCGACGACAGACCCTTGGCTTCTGTGCTGTCTTGGTTCTCACTGCTGGCTGCTTCGTTATTCTCTGCTGGTTTGTCGGACGTCTTCGACCAATCCTCGGGCAGGATCTTCAAAAGCTCGTCAAGTTGAAAGTTCTCTGGTGTTTGCATAACATCATCGGCCGGTAGCTTATCGCCCATCTGCAACATGTTCAAATAGCGTTTGCGAAGCCCCGCAAGGGCAGAGTCGGCGTTGGTCAACGGCAGATGTTGAATGGTGTCTAGTAAAATGTTAAAGAGGGAAATCCATCCGGTATCGTGGCTGTACAAACCATCACAACCCCTGTTCCGCCACGGACAGCTCTCACCATGGCCATCATGTAGTAATTTCGCGAATTCTTCGACCAGTTTTGCACCTGCAGGAGTGTCATTTAACATTCCCCCTTCCTTCTTTTGTTTTCATCGTAAACCACTTACGGACTTCTTTCCGCTCCTGCACCTTCTCCGCGTCATAGCCATCCAGCTCATCAATCTCATCCGGCAGCTTAACCACCACGGAGCCACCACACCCACTAATGCAAGACACGCGCATCGCATCCGTGCAAATCCAACCACACTTCGCCCATTGTACCTCGTTGATGGGGTTTGGTTTCGAGGTCCACCGGTCCACACGCCGGAAGGTCTCCAGACGCTCGAGGAAACGCTCGCGATCCCAAGGCACGAAGCTTGGGCGCTTGTTCGACGACGCGGATGCGAGCCTGTGTGCAGGCCGGGAGATCTTCTGGATGGAGTTGCGCACTGCAGCCAGATCCGATTGGTCGCCGCTACTCAGTCGGACTTTCTTGATTGATAGGTTCGCGGGGAGGCGATCTTGCGCCGTCGCGGACGTTGTGGCGGAAGCTGTTGCTTTGGAGACATTGTCGGTGATGGGCTTGGAGATGGATTCTAGCATGCGGTGGAATTTGCGCTTCTTGGATTCCACGGCGTAGGACATGTTGGGCGCGCGGAGGGTTGGGCGAGGTTGAAAGGAAGGTCAGGTTGCGGCGAAGAGTAAGAGCTGTGGGTGCCTCAGGCAGAAGGTCAGGTCAGCTCAAATCAGCTTGTTGAAAGTCAGAAGGCTGACAAGAAATAGTTTGTTAATACCGTTATTTAGTAACCAGGCAATTCTCTCATTCATCGTTAAGTTTGTAAAATACCTCTTGTCAGTTCTTGAACTACGACTTGCTTGAATGACGAGTGTCGTGATTGGCCCACTCTTTATCAGCAACATTCCCTTGATGCGTTTTCTTCTTCCTTTCCGCACTCTCGACCTCGACCGCCATGGCCTCGTTGGTACCAACTCTGCCGCTATGGCGCACCCTTGCACCTCGTCTCTCCAGAGACCTCTTCACCTGCCGCCAATGCCTGCGCAACCAAGGCCTCGCGGCTAAACCTTTGCGCCGATATCACGCCGTGCCTTCCCCCCAGACCCGAGTCCGGTCCACCATCCTGAACAGCAAGAACCGCCAATTTTTCACATCCAGTCTGAGAAAATCGGCTACTGCATCGACCTTTGAAAGCGCTGCTGCAAATGGAGCTAAGGAAGCCAAGTCCACGTCAAGCTTCCCCGGCGTCAGCGATAAGTCCGTTGCGTACTGGCTTCTGGGCAGTGCTGCCAGCGTCTTCGGAATTGTGGTCTTTGGTGGGCTGACACGACTGACTGAATCGGGGTATGTTCTTTCTTCACAATTGTGGCACTGTGAACATTTCACTGACAAGCCAATCCTTACCAGACTGAGTATCACCGAATGGCGACCCGTCACCGGCTCTATGCCCCCCATGAATACAGAAGACTGGGAATCCGAGTTTTCGAAATACCGCGCCTCCCCGGAATTCCAGTTGCTGAACCCACACATGACCCTGTCTGAATTCAAGTCGATCTACTACATGGAATGGATCCACCGGCTCTGGGGCCGGTTCATTGGGCTGTCCTTTGTCCTGCCTGCCGTGTACTTTGTCGCGCGCAAGAAGGTGTCCACGCCCATGGCGTGGCGTCTGGCAGGTATTGCAGGTCTTATTGGATTTCAGGGCTTCCTGGGCTGGTGGATGGTCAAGTCTGGTCTGAAAGATGACCTCTTTGCGCCGGGCAGCCACCCGCGAGTGAGTCAGTACCGGCTTACAGCACACCTAGGCGCGGCGTTCACGTGCTACGTCGCGATGCTGTGGAACGGGCTTGCTATCCTGCGATCTCACCGGCTTCTGGCGGATGCGACTTCGGGCCTGGGCCAGCTCGACATGTTGCGTGATCCGCGCCTAAAGCTATTCCGCCGCTCTGTCGCGGGCCTGGCTCTCCTGGTTTTCGTCACTGCCATGTCTGGAGGTCTGGTGGCCGGCCTGGACGCAGGTCTTATTTACAACGAGTTCCCCTATATGGGTAAGGGCCTGACACCACCGAGTTCCGAGCTGTGGGACGCACACTACTCCCGTCGCGAGGACCGCTCTGATCTCTGGTGGCGCAACATGCTCGAGAACCCGTCCCTCGTCCAACTGGATCACCGCATTCTCGCCATGACCACTTTCACGGCTATCATGGGTCTCTGGGCGTACACGCGCCGCTCAGCAACGATGAAGCGTCTGCTGCCGCCAGCCGCGAAGAAGGGCGTGCATGGCGTTGTGGCGTTTGCCTTTATGCAGGTCGGTCTCGGCCTCTCCACTCTGCTCTATCTTGTCCCGACCCCTCTGGCCTCCGCCCACCAGGCTGGAAGCTTGTTTCTGCTCACCTGGGTCCTTGTTCTCGGTAGCCGCGTCTGGCACCCGTCGCGGACGGCGAAGTTGCTGCAAATGGCAGCCAAGGCTCGTGGGCAGCAGCTATCGCACGCGGCTGCTTCCAAGAGGCTGTGATTGAAGACATGAAGTGTCGTGAAGCCATCCAATTAATTGTGAAATCATTTCCGTAAGGTTGGGTAGCTCATCGTGGAACCTGTCTTGTACCATCTCCATTCATCTTCTGCTGTATGTTTTTATTATAAATCTCTTTTCAGCCCCTTACTATGTAAAAAAAAGACCGGATTCAAATCCAGTGAACCGCATTATTCTTCCATTGACCAATTCACCATCTAGATATGGTACATTTAATCAATTCGTGCACTCATCCCATTCCGCCAATTCCAAAAGAAGCACACAGATAAACAGATCCTCCAACCTAATTCGAATCCGCCGTCATCGAGGACGAAAATCTCGCGCGGCGCCCCGGGTTGCGCCGAACCCTCCGCGACTTTGCCCTCTGCTCATCCTCAACACTACTGTGCGAAGTCCACGATAGTGTCTCCTCGGTATCCATCGACTCATCCGGTCTCGCGTAGTCGAGATCCGTTGGCTCGGGCAGCTCTCCACTGGTTCCACTAGCATCACCGCCGCCACTTGCGGAGGATACGTCTCGAGAGCCAGATCCAGACGGAGGAGTCGCGCTCAAAGAAGACAGATCAGATGTGCGCGTCAAATCACTCGGCTCGGAGCCAAGGCTATCATCGGCAGTACTAGCGCCACCACCAGCACCAGTAGTCGTAGTAGGTGTAGGTGTAGGTGTCGATATATGTCTCTGCTGAACAACAACAGAAGCCGAAACCTCAGAAGCAGGCGTATGGAGTGTGCCCAAGTAATGATGCGAGCGATCGCCGCCCTTCGCTTCGAGACAGAGCCGGCAGCACTGCCAACCACAGGACAGGCAGCGGACCATACCGTTCTTGTTGCGACGGTCACACTTGTCACATTTCGCCGTGTGGGCGGCAACGTTGGCGAACTGGACTGCCACGATTTCTGGGCCGGTTGTCTGCGGAGGTGGGTGCCATTCTGGTCGAGGAAGAAGGAGTCGAGGCTGCTGGTGCTGAATCCGGGCCTGCTGCTGCTGCTGCTGCTGGTAGTTACGCTGGAAAGAGGTGGTGGAAGGAGTGAGAGGAGTCACAGTCACAGAACTGGTATTCTCATGAGGTGGATACTGATAGTGGTACGTCCTCTGCGGCGTATGGCAGTAGTAAGCCTCTGCGCAGTGATAAACCTCCTGTGTCTGGGGGTATTGGTGTTGAGCAGACTGAGCAAGAGATGTGTTGAAGCGCGTAACTGCACTGTGCCACATTTCTGTGTCCAGGGAGATATAAATGTTAGCATGTTTACTTCCTTCACGACCGATATGCGCTTCAAATGACGAAGCAGACCAGATTGTTCATCGTCTCCATTTCGTCATTTCTCTTTCATTTTTTCGGATATGCTCACCTTCAAGGTCCACCTTGGGCTCGCGGCGTCTGTGCTCCTGGTAAATAACATCTCGCGCATGTACAGAATGATATAGCGCGTAGGCCACAGGTTGAGAGCTCAGATATGCATCAGCCATGATGGGAGGACCACCCGGTCGAAAGCCCGAGTAGTAGTACGCCTGCAAGATAGAATATATCAGTAAGTATCGTATCCCAGCGAGGTCTGCTCTGCTTGTAAGAAAGACAGAAGAAAAGACAAGAATCAGACATACATTGTGACTCGGATCAGGAAACTTTCGTGGGCCGTGAACAGGATACAGCGGAAAGTCATTGGTGATGGGATTTGGGTCGACCTGGAAGCGGAGTCCGTTGTCTGCCTCGAGCCAGTAGCCTGGATGGCAGTCGATGAAGATGGCGATGCCCTTTTCGTGGACGGAAGGGAGGTGGCGGTTGGGGTCTTGTGGGAGGGGGACGGTTGTGTACTCCATCGTTGTGGTTGGTGAGGATACCTGATAGATGAAAGACGGTTATGGGGAGAGTGAAAAGGGGAGTTGAAGGAGAGGAGAGAAAGAGGGAGAATGATAAACAGAGAGTGTCTGTGGGAGAGAGAGGAGCAGGACGTAAGGCAACTTGATAGAGGATATCATCTGGCCTGGATCGACGGTGACTTAGGGCTGTTGGCAACTCCCCGAGCATTTTAGGAATAGAAGGAATATCCCGCCATCCGGATTCTTCTACATCTACTTTCTAGTGGAGAAGATTTGAATGTTCTTTTTTGGAAACCCTAAGTTCATCTGATGCATTCCTCGTATAGAACCATTTACCATTTGCAACCACATCATGCGAGACAACCAGGAAACGAAAACTCCCTGGTATCAACATTCCATTCCATCCTGGACAAAGATTCATTTCAATTCAATTATTTGTGGGCTGTATATTCATCGTCAGTGAGACCGGCTCATAGAGATTGGCGGAAATCAATAACGTACGAATTCCCTCCTCGGGCTGGGGCTCAACGCCAGCGACCTCGGCAGCAAGCTTGTGCTCGGACTTGGTCACATCGTCCTTCATCATGGGGAAGGCCAGCACCTCCTTGATGCTGTAGTTGTCCGTCAAGAACATGACCAGACGGTCGATGCCCATGCCCCAGCCACCCGTTGGGGGCAGACCGTACTCGAGAGAGTTGCAGAAGGTCTCGTCGATCAGCTGGGCCTCGTCGTCGCCCTGCTCCTTCTGTCGGGCCTGCTCCTCGAAGCGCAGACGCTGCTCGAACACGTTGTTCAACTCAGTGTAGGCATTGACGATCTCCTTCTTGCAGACGAAGGCCTCGAATCGCTCGCACAGACCGGGGTTCTTGCGGTGGTACTTGGCCAGCGGCGACATCATCTGCGGGTGGCCGGTGATGAAGGTTGGGTTGACGCAAGTTTCCTCGATGAACTCGCCAACCAGCTTGTCCAGCATGCGTGCGTTGGTCAGAGGGGGCGAGCAGTCCACGTTCATCTTCTTCAGCATGCGCTTGAGGAACTCGTTTGTCTCATCCGTGTGCAGCTGGTCGCCCGGCGGGAACTTCTCGCCGCACGCCTCCTCCAGCGCAGGAATCATCTCCACCCGCCGCCAGGGTGCCTTCCAGTTCACGTTGTACTCCTCACCGGACTGGGTGTGGAACGTAGTCTCGTAGCCACCAGTGACGTGCTTCACGAGGCCCGAGACCAGCTCCTCCGTCAAGTTCATCACATCGTACACATCCGCATAGGCCCAGTAGAACTCGCAGGTGGTGAACTCGGGATTGTGCGTGAGGTCAATGCCCTCGTTGCGGAATTGCCGGCCCAACTCGTACACACGCTCGAGACCGCCGACAATCAGCATCTTCAGGTACAGCTCGGGAGCGACGCGCATAAACAGGTTCATGTCCAGGTCGTTGTGGTGTGTGACAAAGGGTTTGGCCGTAGCGCCACCGGCGATGGCGTTCATCATGGGGGTTTCGACCTCGGTGAAATCACGGCTGTCGAAGTAGTTGCGGATGTAGGAGACGATCTTGGCACGCGTGCGGAAGATGTTGCGCGAGCGGTCGTTCATGATCAGATCCAGGTAGCGCTGGCGGAAACGCTGCTCCTTGTCCTGGAAACCGTAGTGCTCGGAGGGGATGGCGTGCAGGCAGGGCGCCAGGAGGATGACCTCGGAGGCGAAGATGGACAGCTCGCCATCGTCGCGGTTCTTGGGGTTGGTGCGGCCGGGGAAACCAACAATACCGATCACGTCGCCTCTCCGCAGGTGCTCGTGCTGGTCCTCGAACGACACGCTACCAGCCGCATTCTGAGCCTGGCACATGACCTGGACCTTGACACCCTCGGCACGAATATCGTAGAAGATCAACTTGGTGCCGGAGGAACGCTTGGTGTAGATACGGCCGGCGATGCGAATGGGAACGTCGGGCTTCTGCTCGCCCTTGGCCAGGCCGTCGTACTCCTTGAGGAATTCACGCAGATCGTTGGTGACCTGGAACTTGTGCGGATACGGGTCCGGCTTCTTGGTCTCGCACAGCTTGTTGATCTTCTTGCAGCGGATTTCGAAGTATTGCTGTTCAGCGGAATGAGTCAGTCTGGCTTATCGGAGTCATTAAGTGGGAATTTTGGTACTTACGTTGGGAGTCAGGTTCGCCTCCTCCTCCTCCTCTGACACCTTCTTCTTCTCAGCCTTGGGAGGAGCAGCAGCCTCCTTCTCCTTCTTCTTGGCCTCCTTCTCGCGGACCTTCTGGCGGCGCTTCAATTCCGACTTGGACACCTTCTCGCCGGTGACCTCATCGAGCAGAAGGTTGGCCATGGAAGCCTCAGCCTCCTTCACGGGGTTGGAATCCGTCATGATTGTGGAGGGTGGTGCTGTGTTCAAGGTCGGAAGTGGATGGTGGGATGAATCATGATCCAGGCGGGAGAAATTTTGGGGGAGGGAAAGGCTGCCCCGCCGCTCATTGGGCCGTGCATTATATACAACGCCCTTGCTTGCGATGACTCAATTCAATGAGTGGGAGATGGTAGTCAACTAGTGGGAATATTCTTTATGGTTTCTAGTCTTGTACCTGTATTTCTTTTCTTGCTGTAGTATCCTCGTCGCATCATGAGCGGCATTCTCCAAACGGGAGTCAGGGCTTAGGGCTAACTGATAAACAATAACCAATCAGAGCACTCCAGTCGAGCTGGGCGAGTTGTTATCGCCCCGCCGGCATACGATCTATATGAATTCAACCAAAGCAATCTTTTTCATATTCTCACTATCCCAGATATTCCTACAAGACACTTTTTTATTCCACACAAAACTTCGAAACCACTGACTCCCAGTCTCAAAACACCACCACTCAAAACCCCCACAGTTCCAATTCACCATTTTTGTAAATCGCCATTCACACCCATCCACAACCAAACGCCAATCAATCATTCAAACAACACGTCGCTCCAGAAAAGAACTTTGCTCCAGCCCTAAAAAACACCCAATCAACCCCTTATTCGAAAGAATCCATCTTGTAGTCATCCTGCTCCACAAACAGAGTATTATCCGTATCTTCATCCTCCGGGTTGCGGAAGGTATCCAGCCATGCCAGCGCCTTCTTGACCTTCTCGTGCACCTTCTGCAGATAGTTGCGACGGTGCTGGCGCTCTGGATCTTCTGCCATGAGCTCAAGGCAACGATCGAATGCTAAGATGGTCCAATGATTAGCCGCGTTCGGAAGAGAAAGAAAGAAGGGAAGGGATAGGAAGAGCAGGAAATTTACAGTTCGGGCCGAAGATCTTCAACTGAGCGTCAATGGCACCCACGAGCTCATTGCGACATTTCAAGAACAGCTTCATATAGACGGACTGTCCGATGACGTCGAGGAAACGGGAGCTCGCAACGTCGTAGTATGCGCGAGCTCTCTGTACACGCAGTTAGAGATGCCTCTATTTAATCCTTCGTATAGGAGGATCGCTTACCGCCATCATTTCCACCTCCTGTGCAAATGGGTCCGGACCAAGATCTTCGAGGGAAAGCTTGCTGTTCACCACGGGACTAGCCTCATTGGTCGAGCTAAACTGAAATCCACGGAGCTCGAGGTAGCTCTTGCCGCGGGCGAGAAAGCGGGCGCGAGTGAGCTCCTTCAATGCCGTGTTCTGAGCCTTGTTGAGCTGGTCGATAGCCCGAGTGAAGGGCTTGCCGTTCTCCATTTTGTAGATCTCACGTCCGTAGGCCAGGTGCTCGGATTTAAGCTGGATCAAGTAGTTCATGATACTGCCTTTGACTTCCCGGTACAGGCCGGTCTGATGGTAGTCACTAAACACTTTTTCGACCATGTCCAGCAACGTGTTCTGGACTTCCGTATTGGTGGCATCAACAAAACGATGCATCAAGCCCTCCCAATGTTCGATACTGGCACGCTGCAGGGTTTCAATAGCACGAGGGTCAATTTGGTTCGGCATACCAGCCGAGCAGAACTCGTCCTTGATGTCCCTAATACCCTCCCAAGTGAATTTCTTTCCTGGTCCATCCCACACGCTGAAATACAACAATTCGTATCCCGATGCGCGGACGATGACTGCCGACGAGGGGTTTACCTCTGGCGATCGCGGCTCGGCGATGGAGATCTTGCGTTTCTTGGGCGTTGCGCCTGGGCCGTCAAGAACGACACAGTCAGAGTCCCGAGCCAGAGATTCCTTGTCAGAAATTGCGGGCAATACCACAGTGGGACGGGTTTTGGCAAGTGCCAGTTGGAAATCGTTGACAACCTGGTTCCAACGCTTCTGCAAAGAGTACTCCGAGGTGCCGCTGCCGCCATCAATATTCGCACGAAGTTTCTCCAGGAGCTCGCACCGCTTCTGGTAGATTATGCTCTGCACGTTTTCAATCATGCAAGCGGGAAGAGTGCCCAACTCAGCATCGATGGTGGCCTCTTTCTCCCTGATCTTCGCAATGATGGACGGTAAACATTTCTTGATCTGCTTCAAAAGCAGATCAGACAGTGCGGACTGGAGCCGCTTGGTGCCGAAACGGTTCCGATACATGTAGAGATCATCGGTCCACAAGCCGCCGGCGAAGAATCTCTCCTCTTCCACACGCGCCTGTGTGTGGTCCACCGCAGGGTTGGGGTTGTTACGCACGACGAAGTAGCCATATCCAACCGTGAACTTCAAACCTGCAAGAATGTCCGCCCACTGTTGATAGTTATCACGGCCCGAAGGCACTCGGTCGGGCTTGGTCAACACACCGAGGGTGCGGTCATTGGCGCCGCGAATCTCACGAATCAATCGGGCAGCGTTAGAGTTGGTAGCATCCTCGGTCATGGTGACCGCTAGCAAAACAATACAATTCTCCTGAGACACGTATTGTTTGACAAGGTTTTCAACGAGCTTGACTAGATATTGTTCATGGGCGTGCTCGGGCTGGCTAATCACACCGGGAAGATCGTAGAACGACAGATTCGGGAATCCAGGAGAGCAGATGTCCAGGCGAACAACGTTCGGAGAGAATTTTACCAGTATCTCTCGAGAGGTTTTGTCGTTACGACCGGGAACGTAATCATGGAAGTCGCTGCTAGGGTTCAAGGTCGCCAGCTGCGCCCACGATAGAGCATCCTCGACCTCACTCTTGTCTGTCAGAGTGACAAAGAGTTCATCCTCTTGGGCACCACCCATCAGGACCCAGGGCCCCAACGGCTCGGAGCGGCGAGGGAGCTTGGTCATCTTTCGATCAGGATCGTAGATATATCTTTGCGATAGATAGATATCGACCCTCCACAGCTGGCCGGGCTCGCTCTCAGACATGTTGATTTCAAGAGGGCAGCGAGTGCAGGTGTCAGCGCTTCTAGGGACCTTGATCTCAGAAATGCCCTCGATAAGAGAGCTCTTCCCGGTACTCTGGTCGCCAACCACGCAGATTTTGGGAAGGGCGATCTTACTATCTTCGATTCCCAGGTGGCTGAGAGCCTGGATCTTCTTGACCAAGTCCTTCATGTCCAGGGCGAGGAGGTCGAACGTGCCCCGCGCCATAGAGGGGAGAGCATTAGGGTAAGACATACTGAGCGGAGCTGTAGAGAGTGAGGTCATATCGGCTTCTTGTTCAGCAGGTATGGCTAGACGGCCAGCATACTCACCGCTGTCTCCTTCACGCTTGAAAAGAAGGGAGGGTGTTGAGAAGGCCGAGTCCATCCAATCTTGCGTTGATGGAGGGAAGAATAGAGAGATGTTGAACCAGACTAGAAGATGGAATGAAGAACACAAAAGAGGGGAAAAGAGAAGAGAAGTTGAAAGAAGAACAAAGAGAGAGGAAGAAAGAGAGAGGAAGAAAGAGAGAGGAAGAAAGAGAGAGGAAGAAAGAGAGAAGAAGAAAGAGAGAAGATGAAAGAGAGAAGATGAAAGAGAGAAGATGAAAGAAGAAAGAGAGAAGATGAAGGAGGAAGAAGAAGAAGAAGAAGAAGAAAAGAGCACGGAGGGGGAGCTGAAGGAACAAAAGGAAAGAGAGAAGACGGAGGAGGAAGAGAGAGTAGAAGAGGAAGAGAAAGAGAGCAAGAGTCTACAAACAATCAGGAAGTTCATGTTCTGTTTTATACCCAGAGCCAACATTGAGTGATTCCATGTTTACCTAGTATGCCCAACAATAATAATCTAGATTATACATAATGGTTTACTGCTCAATTTCGATTTTCAAATAGACGCTGCGCTGAAGTAAATGGCACGACAGAGAATAATTATCATAGCTGCATCGAAGGCCACATGGTGAGAAGAAGGAGTAGTTATTTTCATCAAAGTCCAAACAAAAGACCCAAGATTCTGACCAGTCTCTTTACATGATGACCTCGTTGGCGACATCCTGCATCATTGTGGTTAGCGACGTTGGCGGTTAGGGAATCAAAGAGACATCATACCCGTTTCAGCTCCTTATATGGCAGACACACACAGTTCTGCACCCGAACCTCATCGCCGACGCTGCACTCCTTGCCGAGGATCGTAATGCTCTGGACTTTGACGCCCTGCTTGACGATGCTGGTCGAGTGACTGCCAATGGGGATCGGGGTGCCTTCGACGCGCGCCCAGGACCCGACCCGGCTCGCCCAGCCAATGATCGAGTGCATGACACAGGCGTCGTGGCGGATCTCTGCATCTTCGAGCACAATCGAATCCTTGACACGGGCACCGGGACCGACCACCACGCGCGGACCGATGGAGACGTTCGGGCCCAGTTTGGCGGTAGGATCGACGGTAGCGGTGGGGTGGATATACACCGGGGGCACGATGGTGGCGGACGGTGCCGTAAGCTCCGGGGACTCCGCCTGGAAGGCCTTCTGGAGGTACAGGGCGTTGGCGGGGACGGCCGAGCCGGCCGACTTGATCTGCCGCCAAAAGTCTTTGGTCTCGTGGACAAAGAATCGGTTGCTATCAGCCAGATCGGACAGGATGTCCTGCTCCAGGCGGAGGACCTCGTTCTTCTCGGGATCGTCCTCGTCGTCCGTGGCGGCAATGAACGACGACTCGAGGTTGTCGGAGGACGGGTACGACAAGATGCGCGGGCGGGTGGTGCGGCGCTTGATGGCGCTGCGGATAGACGGGAAAATGCACTCCGTCGCAAAGAGGTACACACCACAGTTGATCAAGTTGGAGATATGCGACTCGGGCTTCTCGACGTAGTGCAGGACCCGCTTGGTGTGCGAATCCGACACGATGCATCCAAAGTTCGTCGCGGCCTCGTTGCTCACCCGCGTGCCGAGGATGACGGCCTCGGCGTCCTTCTCCTCAAACAGCTTCAGCATCTCGCCGAGCGGGAACGAGCAGCACACGTCAGCGTTCAATACGAGTAGCCGCTCAGGCTTGCCCTTGAGGATCGCATCGCGGAAGTGGTACAGCCCGCCTGCGGTGCCTAATGCCGTATACTCGCGCAGATACAGGATGCGGAACTGGGGGAACTCCTTGGCGGCGTCCTTGATAAAGTCCCGGAACACGGACTCGTCGTAGTATCCCACCAGAATGACCTCGCGCACCTCATCGACCTTGGCTAGCGCCTTGAGGCAGTGGTGAATGATCGGGTGACCGGCGACTTCGAAGAGGGGCTATCGGGGGTGTTAGCGATGGGCACGGATGCATCACTGGAGATGGGCAACGCACCTTGGGGACATCGAGCGACAATGGGCGGAATCGAGTGCCTCTGGAGGGACCTCCGACCTGTGGTGGGGTCCGTCAGTCCATGTTTTCTTCCGGGGGGGAGAGCCATCACTGACCAAGATCACGGCCTTGGTGGAGGCCTGGGCTGGGTGTTCCCGCACGGGCACTTGCAGCATGGTGTAGGGAGAGGTGTAGAGAATATGTAGTGTTGACAAGGGTCAATAATAATGGTGAAGGTGGTCAGTTCCCGGCCAAGCTACCACGCCAAGCGACGCATGCGGCGGTGGGGCGTCTGGCCCCTGACCAACATGATTGGTGAGGGAACTAACTATGGATGGATGTATAGAGCTGCGAACTACGCGATAAGCGCTAAGTAACTTGACAAGAGATGATTGATTTTCATTCTTAGTGACGTTGCTCTCAACCTGTCAAGGGGAGCGCCGATCATGTTCAACTATGTCTTTTGTAGACGCCCTTGTTGCGCGTAATTCCACTCATTCTCTTCGCACCTCGTCAACATGCGCTCGAAACAGATGCCTTTCGGGCCCTCGATTTATTCACCGCTATCCTTTCATATCATTCGCACCATCGCCTTCGTGTCATCCGCTGTCGCCGGTACCATTCTGAGCGTGTTTATCTACCACCTCCATAAAGATGGCTACATGCTGCCATACACCTTCCTGGTGGTAAGTAACGACCTCGCTGATTCCATAAATCAACCAAATCAACATATCCATTAACAACCTTGGAATCTAGCTCCTGGTCTCAGCCATCCTCTCCCTCCTCACCATCTTGCTCACCAGCCTAATTCAATGCACCTGCGGCCTCTCGACCCAACTATCGACCACACTCAACACCCTCCTTCTACTCCTGTGGCTGACATCAGTAGCTTTGATGAGCTGGAGCATGTCTGGTACTATATTGACGCAGTGCAATACTTCCGACTGGGGCAATGGCACCGGTATTGCTGTCTGTCGCTCCTACAAGGCGCTGTATGCATTTACGGTAACAAGTATGATGGCGTGTATTGCGTCACTGTGGATTGATATCCGCGCGCAGGGGATACAGCGCCGATATCGACGTGGTCAATATGGTGTTGTGATGGGTAGCGAGTTTCGGTTGGGTGAGGATCCTGTTGGTGGGGATATCAAGCTTGCGGAGCGAAACTATGAGCCTGGGCCTGTACCGGTGTCTATGCCTGCAGCGGCGACTTTTGATGAAATTCCTCCGCCATCAACGTCCCAGACTGGTCAAATATACTCCGCCACGTTGGAACGGGACCACGCGCGTGAGGCGCAGGAATACTATGAGGCCGCGTCAGCGCGGAGTCGACACAGTGCGCCGCAGGGGAGGTTTGGTGCGGGCGCGGTTGGGCGTGGGCATGGATATGGTCATGCATTTCCAGAATGAGTGGACATAACTGTATAGCAAGATGTACCAGCACCGATTTCTAAAGAACTATCTCGTCTACACGAACATAACTCTGCTCTATGGCCCGCCTTTATCTGCGGTCGTCGGGTCAGGGAAGCGGAGAAAGCCACATCTTCTCTGTCATTCTCCGTTGTTTGTTAGCCGGTGCTTGCAAAATACGACTCCTGCCAGTCACCCTTCCGAGTATTTCTCCAGATCTCTGATCGTGGACTGATGTTTGAAATGGCAGTTAATCAACCCATGTATCGGGCAGGTCTGGTTATCGCTGAAAATTCCTGAGTGAGTACGAGAGGACAGACCTCCTCTGTCCTCCTGTCAAGTAAAATATGCTCCAACGGGAACATGCACCTCAACGTTCCGCAAGCAATTCGATGATTGGAAGGATTTTCGCTCTGCGATTTGCGTAAGGAATACGAACAGATGCCGACTATTGACACGGTTAGGACTGGCCAAGTTGAATTCCGCATTTGACGCTGTTTGTCGTGATTGAGGCTCTGGGCTAGCGATGTCCATTTTTTAGTCACTGGGTTGAACTTAAGCTAGGATTTGACCAGGGTATGGTTAATTAGGGCTACGGGAGAACGGGACTGGGGGGATGCATTCGATTTCGTTCTTATGTTTCCTTTTTCTTTCTCTTTCTTTTTTGAGAACTGTGGGAGGTCTGTGAATGGTGCGTTGATTCTTTGCTGATTCTTTGCTGATTCTTTTTTATTTTGGAACGTACAGGGGAATCAGATTGCTCTATCTTTTGCAACTCGTCGGTGTAGTTGGTGCCTGGATCCTCAGGGATGTTCAGGCCCCAACGTCCAGACCCGCGCAGAGCTTTGTTCCTGTAACCACTGACTCCTGCATCTCCCAGTGAGCGCATTTTAGAACATTTTATTCTCTCATTTCTCATCAACTCCCACTTCACCTCGCCTCGCCCCACCTATCAACCTGACCTTGGCAACCATACACCGAAAAATGGAGTCTTCTACCAGCTCTGCAGCTGTGAAACCGCCTTCGGCACGGCCAGCAGTGGACAGCAAGGACAACGCAACCGCTTCGCTCACCCCAGCGGCCGAGCAAAATGGATACCCCAGTGACCAGAAGCGGAAGATGACAGAAGAAGAGGCATCCGCCGTCGAGCAATCCAGACAGGCATCTGGACCCGCTTCAAAGCGCAAGCGACTCCAAGAACGACACCAGGCACGCAGACGCGGACGCACACCACCCCCTCGGTCTTCTCCCGCCGTGACCGTGCTCGCAGTCCGAACGATACTATGCCACGCGATGACTACACCCGGCGATCACGATCCCCACTCCCACCCCGATCTCCTTCGCCGGACGCACAGCCGCGACAGCGGAAACGACCTGGTGGTGGAGCGCGCATGGGGCTGGTGGATCCTCAAACGATGCGCCGTCGGCAGGAGGAGCGCGACCGTGCACAGGAGGAGGACGCGATGCGAATGTCTCGTGATCGAGGGGTGTCAGATGTGGTCCGGCAGCACTACAATGCGGTTCCCCAGCGAGGGCGCGAGTGGCGCAAGACAGAAAGCAAGATCAAGGGGCTTCGGAGCTTCAACAATTGGGTGAAGAGCACGCTGATCCAGAAATTTTCGCCGGACGAGGAGTTCCTCTCTCGCTTCGGCAAGACCGATGAATGGGCGAACGACGGCAGCTCGGGCCCGCCCCCAACAGACGACAAGCGACTGCTCGTGCTCGATCTGGGCTGCGGCAAGGGCGGCGATCTGGGCAAATGGCAGCTGGCTCCGCAGCCGGTTGATCTCTATGTCGGCCTTGATCCGGCTAATATCTCCATCGAACAGGCGCGAGAGCGGTATAATGGCATGCGGAGTGGTCGTGGACAGCGCGGCCGTCGGCCCCCGCAGCCGATTTTCCACGCTGAGTTCGTTCCAAAGGACTGCTTCGGCGAGTGGCTGGGCGATGTCCAGATCATCCAGCAGGTGGGAATTGATGCCAATGCTGGACCCGGCGGGTCGATGATGGCTGCCCGCTGGGGCGGTGGTGGTGGCTTCGATATTGTCACGTCCATGTTTGCCATTCATTACGCATTTGAAAGCGAGGAGAAGGCTCGCCAGATGCTCCGCAATGTGTCCGGATGTCTCAAGAAAGGCGGCCGTTTCCTCGCCGTGTGCCCCAACCCGGATATCATCAGCAGCCGGGTCGCTGCATTTCACAAGCAGCGCCAGGAGCGCGAGGCGACCAAACCCGCCCAGCCGGAAGGTCCCGAGGATGGGGAAGTCGAGGAGGATGACCGAGCGCAATGGGGCAACGATATCTACCGTGTCCGTTTTCCGGGACAGACACCCGAGGACGGTGTCTTCCGGCCGCCGTTTGGATGGAAATACAGCTATTTCATGCAGGAGGCCGTCGAGGAGGTTCCTGAATACGTCGTCCCGTGGGAAGCATTCCGAGCGTGAGTATCCTTGGGAGGTTTTGGGTGCGCGGCTGACTTATTTGTGGCTAGTTTGACCGAGGACTATAACCTGGAGTTGCAGTACCGCAAGCCGTTTATGGAGATCTGGGAGGAAGAGAAGAACGACCCGGAACTGGGCCCACTGAGCGAGCGCATGGGTGTCCGAGACCGTGCGACGGGCGCGTTGGCGATGACCGAGGAGGAGAAGGAGGCAGTCAGTAAGTGGATGTTGGCCTGCTGGGTGTTATATTTACTGACTTTTCCAGGCTTCTATCATGCATTCTGTTTCTACAAGGTTTAGCGGAGATCAAGGGCATATTTGTATTCTAGTAGACAATCCAATAGTTATACCATGTGCCACATGTTAGATATAGTTCCAATAGTGGATGTCGAATCGACTGCCCCAGGCACTAATGATTACCCCATTCGGCCTAGTGCTATCGCGTCGCGTAATCTCAACTCTTTCATCATCTTCACCGTCAACCCTCCATTCAACGAGCAGGAGAGCATAAATCCCCTTTTGTCCACCATGCTATCGGCAACACCACGCCAATCGGCAACGCCGCGCCGATCCCGGGCGCCGCAATCACATAACCCATCCAGCGCGGCCCGCAGCAGAAGACAAGAAAGCCTACCGGCCTCACGGCCGCCTCTACCACCCTACGAACTGCCCGAAGCGCCTCTTACAGCCGAAGCCCATCGCAAGCTAGCCTCGCTGCTTGAATCCCCATCTTTGCGCCATCTGAAAACTCACATCCAGCACGCGACGGAGAAACTCACTGATTCGGCGGGCGAGATAAACGACCGCCTCTGCGACGCGAAGGTACGATACCAGCGTAGCAAAGATGCTCGACGACGCAATGAGGAGAGTGCAGATGGTAACGAAGAAGAGGGGACTGCCGAGAGCGATGAAGAGCATCGCCGTCTCGAGGACGCGGAGACCAAGGTCAATGCCGTTACTGAGCGGCTCGAGGCTAGGATGCGTCTGATGATTGATACAGAGGGGAAGTTGCAGGGTCTGACAGATGCTGTTACGGATGTGCAGATGGAGGAGGCGCAGGCGCAGACTGCTGCGTTGGGACCTAGACGAACTCGGAGACAGAGGCCGCGACATGGGAATGATCAGGAGGAGGAGGATAATGATGATGATGATGATGATCAAGAGGATGAGGATTTTGAAGACACGCCGGAAAGGGAGGTGCGAGAGCGCAATGCGCAGAATCCGCTTAGTCGCAGGGTGGAAGACGCGATTGCGGAGAAGGGAGGCAAGTGGGAGGATCTGTCTCTCACAGAGAGGTGAGTGTTTTTGACCCCTTCTATCACTCCAACAACCCATCAACGGTGCTAATCTTGACCTGCAGGTATTCAACACACAACGCCTACGTCGGCTTTTACCGAATGGTCCACGACTCCAAATTCCCCGGTGACGAAGTGCCGCCGCTCCCACACTCCTCGACCTGGTTCTCGCACCTCGAAGACCTACATACGCAATCCTCCCAACACCGAAACACCAGCACTAGCCAGGCCCAAGCGCGACGATCCCGCAAACGCGCCCACAGCGTTGACTCAGACGACATCGCCATCGAGCGCGAGCGCATCTCGCTCAAATGCCCACTCACGTTACTCGACTTCCGCGATCCAGTTACCAGTACGAAGTGCCCACACAGCTTCGAACGTGCCGCAATCACGGACATGATATCGCGCAGCAACTCGTATGCTCCCGCTGGTGGGAGCGCGGGTGGACGGCGTGTCCGCATCGTCAAGTGTCCTGTGTGCGACATCCCGTTGTCGCTGGCTGATCTACGGGCTGATCCTGTGTTGTTGCGACGGGTGCGCAGGGTGCAGGAGCGGGCGGGTGATGAGGATGAGGATGGAGATGGAGGCAGGGATGAGAGTGCGAGCCATGGCGGTCTGTTGCTTACAAGTGATGGGCCCAATGGAGGGGATGAGGATGTGGATGTTGATTTGGATGGCGAGGATCAGAGGGAGGAGAGGGAGAGCGCTGCTGCTGCTGCCGTTAGGATCAAGTCGGAGCGGAGGAGTGTGGCCCCAGAGCAGAGAAGTGTGTCCTCGGAGCAGATGAAGGTTGAAGGGATGGAAGATAGTAACGATGAAGCAGATGGATCATCGGAGGAGGAGGATGGGAGGACGGACTCTTCGGACGAATAATACTTTCCCTTTCAGGAGACAGGAGAATATAATTCTGATGGAACGCATTTCATTTACCGGAATAGAAGTTGTGGGAACAGCATCTGTCTGCCCGGGCACTATAGAACGAGAACCGGGGCTCTAGTGGGAATGGATCATAAACACGTAATAAAAAAGAGCTCTGGCTCTAGCTCTCTCTTTGGAATTGGCAACGCAGAAAGTGTGCACTGGACAAAAGAAATAGACAAAAAGAAACGGAGTCATCTGCGGTCGACGCAGGATGGACGACTCGACACAAAAACAACATGGCACTAACAATGTCCGCACAACGGAGAAGACCCAGATCCGGTCATCCATTGCTCGGAGAAAGATCAAGGGATGGGGATAGTGGGTATTGGTATTCGCTCGTGGAGGAAAAAGGAAAGAATAGAAACAAACAAACAAACATCAAGTTCGTCAGGGACCAAAAAAGCCATCGCTTTCCGCGGAGAAGAAAGTGACCCAGTCAGCCAGCCATTTCAGCTGTCCGGCACGGGCACACTTGCGCAATCCCCTCCGAGGCGATGAGCACACACGCAAAAAACAGATCTTGTTTCTCCGGCGGGAATTCTCCCCAACATTGCTTTTCCGGCTGGCATGTCAAGGCAGAAGAAGGCGAAGCAGGGCAATCTACCGTAGATAGGGCGAACGGATCATCTTCCCGTCAACACTCAAACCTTCCCGGATGTGTAATAGAAAGAACCTAGCGGAACGGGTCTATCGATTCGACGGGTGGGAGACCATCAATCACAACTGCGACGATGATGGGGATGGGGATGGGGACTCGGCGATCAAAAAACGCGGGCAAGGGGACCGGGTGATAGGAACGGAGCCGATTGAAAAAAAAAACGATGCAGACCTAGACGATTCGGCTGTATGAAGAAAGCGTCGCGGGAAATCGCCTATTTCGTGATGAGGTTCAGATAATCGGCGACGATAAGGGTGACCATCCTGATTAGAAAAAGAAAATATGGGGTTAGTGGGGACACACGATCAACCACGAAGTGGGGGCAACTAACGCATGAGGCGCGATCCGCACGTAGTATGTTCCAAACCCGCGGTAGAAGCGCAACCAGCCCTCCTCCTTGACGACCTTGCGGGCGCAGTCCAGCAGGCCACGGTAAGGAAATTTCCCGGTGTTCGGGTCCTTCTGCTGCTTCTGCAGACGGGTCTTGATGAAGTCGAAGGGCAGAGAGAGGAATGAGGCGAAGAATCCCGCGATGGCGGATGCTGCGAAGGTCTGGTTTTGCGCGGTCAGCGTCGTGTGCTGTTTCAGCTGCTGCTTCGCTTCCGCGAAGAAGGTCAGCTGGCCGAGGTTCAGTGCCATGGCGCGCACGACTGTGGGCAGGGCGCCGGCCCACAGCGCGGCGATGCCTTCGTGCTTGGGGATGCGAATCAATGCATCGAAGACGGAGCGGTAATTAGCGCGGGCTGCAGGTGGCTTGAGGCCGTCGGACTGCATGCGCACGAGGGCTAGGTCCGCCGGGTTTCCAATCATGGCTGCTACGCCGCCGGCCGTTAGGCCTGCGGCGGCACGCTCGGCGAAGGTGACCTTGCGATCTGCGGCGTCGGCGCGCACAGTCAGGGCTTTGATGAAGGTGTCGAAGAAGCCGAGCCGGGCAGTAGTGTAGACGGCTTGACGGAGAAGTCCCGCCGAGAGACCCGTGTACAGGTCGAGGACCTTGCCCGAAGCGATGATTTCGCGAGTCACGCCCAGGGCGGATGGGCGCGGACCTGCCCGCGCTCCCTCACCGGCTAGCTGGAGACGCACCTTGACCATGTCGACGGGCTGGATCACGCAGGTGGCTGTCATGCCAGACAGGCCGCCGTTGACGAAAGGGAGTGCGGCACGGGTCCATGGGTGACGCAGAAAGTCGGAGGTGGTCTGGGATGGATTCTCAATGGCGGACTGGGTAGTCTCGGCCGCCTGGCTGGCGGCATCTTTGACAGACTTGGATGCCATGGTCGTGGCGGACGATTCACACCGGATCTGGGATATGGTTAGTGTTGTGGACTAGACGGTAGATTGGTGGCCAAGGGCAGAAGAGCAGGCCATCAGCGTCCCCTGCGTTGATGCGGGCGGAAACGGAGAACTCAGAGGGGAACCCCAGACAGGGAACAGACAGGGGAATGAACCTTCTTTTCGTGATGTAGATTGGGATGTGGGAGAGTTCAGCGATGGACAGGTACAGCGAACTCGATGACGTGAACACTGAACTTCAAATGTTGAAGGTAGCACAAGAAGAGACGACCGCAGTGAGAAACCAGGATAGAAAGAAGAACAGAAGCAGAGAGGAGAGGAACAAGCCGATGAGGAGGCGCGTCACGGGCAGTCAGATGATGCGGGGAGGGGGCTGTACTGGACTTTGTACTTCTCTTCTGGTCTTTGTATTGTACTGGTCTCCCTGCTCTCCGGATCGGGCGGCTACTCTTGTCCCCGGGCCCATTAAATACTGTACGATCGAGTATGCCCTCTTGGTCTCTACGAAACAGCTCCCCACCGTTACGTCGATCCGCCGGGGTTGTCGCACGAGGGACAACTGTCGCACTCGTGGGAATGCGGGGGACAGGCAACGGTCATCCCTGTTGAGCAGACACCGCTATTTATGGCTACTCTGCCCATTCCCTCTTCTTTCTATCCCTTGCTTCTTCTTCTTCTACTTCGTTTCTTCTTCACTCTCCATCCTTCTTGTCATCTTTCTCCACATCTTCCATAGCGCCACGAGCTAAACTCGGAACCCCACTTTGTCGCGCTATCCCCCTTTGGGCGCCCACGAGAACTGCTCGGGAAACCGCCTGGCCCGATTACACAGTACAGAGCTCGGTCAGCTTGGCCTGACAGCACTGCTGCTCTCCGCCTGCCCGGATATCCGAGGGAAACAGGCATCTTCTCGAGACAAGCCCTCGCCGGCGGACAATGAATACCCTTGACACCGATGCTCGCGGAGTCGTCATTACTCACCCATTAAGTTAAGGCACGCTTCCTATCTTCAACCAACTCCGGGAACACTACGCGGGACACCATCTCCCGACAATTCGGCAAGGCAAACTCTCAATGGCAATCCAGATCGGCTATTCCGCACAACCAACACCTGCGGTTATTCCGCCTCAGTAATATTCTCCCGCCACGCAATCCGCGCCTCGGGCCAGTACCCGAGCACGTCAACGACCACGGCAGTTAATCCAATCGGCGCTCCACAATTACATTCACTTCGGGAGCAGCGATGTTGACCTGACCATGGCCCACTCATCCACCTAGCCAATCTCCTGCTCCCGCATACCAATTGACTTGCCCGTTCTTAGCTAGCTTTTGTTGAGGCGACGACAGGGCCCAGCCTCGACCCACCGGATCTACGCTAATGTTATGATTCCTCCGATTCGGGATGAATTTTTCTGCCGATGACCGGCATTTTCTCTGCGGTATCATCACTCGGCTATCATCGCGGTGTTTCTCGGCGCTGGGTTTTGTGACTGTTTTAACTTGCGGCATGCCTAAGGCGTCAGTGCTCTCAAGCCTAGAGGGAGAGTAGAGTTAGAAATACGTGATCGTCTAGACAGACGATCCAACAGGCTGACGGACTCACCAGTTCCTATTCTCGGTTCAGCACAAGCTTGCCGATTAGATAAAAATGAGCCTGATCCATATGAGTGTGACAGAAAGGCGTTATCCGTAGCCTCAGAGAGGCTATCGGTGTTGTAAAGGGGTCCTAGCCTGGGACCGCCGTCTTGAACACGCACTGACATGGTCTTTACCTATCCAAGTAACAGGCTTGAACTGGACGGGAAATAGGAATTGGTGAGGCCGTCGTCCTGTTGGGGCCGAGCTCCTGTACGTAGGATACGATACGTTTTCGGACTTTGCTTTGGTCCGTTGGGGGTCGATCCAACTAGATCGCAAACCCCGGAGATGTCTAGAGATGTGCTTTGCAGACAATTCTCTATAATGGATCCGTCGGAGTCTAGACTACTCTCATTCTCACAAGGCTAAGCTAAGCAGCCGATTAACCGGGCATTAGTATTGACCTGCCAATGTACACGCTCATATTTTCTAAAATATAGTGAAGTTAAGTCATGGACTACTATTAATAATGTACCCAAGTAAATACCTACATATCACCTCATTTGTTATTTTCCGAGACAATCATGACCCTCGAGGCCTGGAATCTGTATACTCCGTACGCTATGAAGTCAAACGGACTCCTCCGGTATTCCAATCAGCAAGTAGTCGCAAAACCCGGACCTCCGCGCCAAGCACAATCTTTGCACCGGGTTCCGCCGAATATAGTACCGTACTACATACACAGTATAGTAAGTAGTGCCAATCCAATTCCTACGTACAACACGTGGTATTCCTCCGATATCTGGAGTGTGTAAAAGATGATGCCCACCGCGGGATCGAATCCTCCCCGCCAAATATCCGTCGGTCCTCCTCCGCGGAAAGGGTTGTCGGCAAGGACGCACAGCTCGGAAGCCTTTCCGCCACCGGCTGGGAGAGAGGAACCGGCAAATACGTCTGTATGTGTCGGGCGGCGGCTGTGAGGATGCGGGTTGCGGGTTCTCGGAGCGGTGCGCGGCAATGTTGATGGTTTCTCGGTGGGGGGTTCAGCAGTGGGGGACGTGTCCACTCTATGGAGGGAGAGTGTCTATTTATTTCTCTGGACGGGAAGAAGCAGGTCAGCTGTTGGTTCTAGAGATTTGGATGGCTTTTGTTCCTCTAGGATTAAAATAATACACCACAACACCGGATGACGGTAAATTGGGTGCAGAAAATGGCTACCTTAAGGAATTCACGAGGCCCTTTGTACAAGATCTTGATCATCCACACGAGATGTGATACGATTGATTATGAACTTACTGAGCGCTCAGGGGTATTAAGTAGTCAGCTCAGGCTTCACTCAAGAGGGTGGTCAGAGCAGATAATCAGAGGTGACGTGAGACATCATTCTATTAGGCACAGTCCGAGTCAAAAACAGATTCCCCTTCTTTCACTCAGGAATTGTTTCCTGAACCCTAACAGAAGTGCATTAAACTGCCTTTAGTTACTCTATAAATAATCTCTGCTTAGTTGTATCATATTAAGTGATTTCGCTAAATAAGTCATTACAAGATACTGTAAATCTCCATAGGGTCGGGTAGAATAGTTCTGGCAAGAGTATCTCTCAGTATGGAAGCCTGGCATGTCAGTCGCCCACTCACTCCTCCTGCATGCACACGGTCTTTGTCTACTCACTTAACTATCACTCATTTTACTTTATATCAAAATTTCATTCGTTACTAGCGTCTGTTCAAAGCTGACAACCCCACCTAGGCTGATGGATCTCCCAGGGTTTCGATTGAGTTTAGATGTAAGTGGAAGTCGGCACTATATCGATTACCCATCTCAACCTGCAGAGCTCGAATCATGGGAACAGGAGTCGTAGTACACCCCGACCCCAGGATATTTTCGTAGCCTCTACGACACGCGATCCACCGGTAGCCCTACATCTCAGCTATGCACCCAAAGGGCTCTCAATTCTTGGTTGTCTGATTAGTCACATTAGTGCCTTTTGTTAACTAGCTAACTAACTAACTAGTTAAGTTAAATTAACTAATTAAGTTAACTAACGTAACTAAGTTGGAAACCATTGTAGAGCATATGCTAACCCAGTCCTGGCGCCAAGCCTACCGACCCCTCCTCAGCCACAGATAAAACCCTCGGTTTCAGACAACTCTCAACCTCATCGTCACCTAACCAAATCACGAGAGGACAGGGCTTCTGCTCCCATGCTTCCAAATGGATGGGGTTTCTGCGATCGCAAGCGTGATTGCGGTCATTCAGCTTGCGAGGAGCGTTGTGAAAATCTGTGCGGGGTACATTCAGGAGGTGAAGGATGCACGAGACGATATCATTATCTTACAGCAGACGATTATAGGCCTCCAAGACGTTCTTCAAAAACTTGACGGATTGATTCAACGCCCTGAACATGCAGATCTACGCACCTCGCCGGTGGTCAATCATATCAGCGACTGTTTTTCAGAACTCAAGGCCTTAGAAGAGGACCTTGATCCAGGAAAGCGGGAAAAGGTGATGAATTGGGTTGGGTTTCGAGCCTTAAAATGGCCTCTCAAACGTACAGAGATGGATAGAATCATCCAGGTTCTCGAGTCATACAAATCATCTTTCACTCTATCTTTGCAGATTGACCAGACGTAGGTTACTTGATTGAGCACACTCAGACCTTGCACCACCAGCTCATACTTACCTAGTTCTCGCATCACCGACCTGGCTCAGAGTGCAAATCGTATCGACGAAAAGTCGGATCTTGAGAAGTTGCCAATTGCGCGTTGGGCCGCATTCAACTCATACGTGGATCAACATGAAGATGGATGTCTTCCAGGGACGAGATCTGATCTACTTCAACAAATTGCAGAATGGGCTGCCTCACCCAAGGGAAAATGCATCTTCTGGCTGAACGGGATGGCTGGGACAGGAAAATCGACAATTTCCCGCACGGTTGCAAAATCGTTCGAGCAAGACAACCTACTAGCTGCCAGTTTCTTCTTCAAGAGGGGCGAAGAGGATCGAGGGAATGGCATGAAGTTTTTTACCACAATTTCTAGACAACTAGTGGACCGCATTCCTCAAGTGTTACCTAGCATTCGGAAAGCAATTCGCGACGACCCCGACGTTGTAGCAAAGTCGCTGAGGGAGCAGTTTGATAAACTGATTCTTCAGCCACTTTTGAGTTTGGAACAAGGCACTCCCCATATCCCAACGGTGGTGATTGTGATTGATGCATTGGACGAATGTGAAAATGACAATGAAATACGGGTTATACTGCAATTACTACCACAGCTACGAAAGTCAAATGCGGTGCGTCTACGTGTTTTCTTGACAAGCAGACCTGAAATGCCAATTCGCCTGGGGTTTTCGCGGATTGGGGATTATGAATATCAACATCTGGCTCTCCATGAAATTCCAGAGGCAGTGACAGAAAAAGACATTTCTTTATTTCTGCATTACCGATTTGCCCATATCAGAGAGGAGAGAAGGATGAAAACGAAGCGTGATGAGAGGGATGGAAAAGGCGAGGAAGATCAGAGTGACTGGCCTGGGAACGATATTATTCAAATCCTGGTTGGGATGACAGTCCCGTTATTCATCTCGGCTGCCACTTTGTGCCGATACGTTGGAGATCCAAAGTGGAACCCTCAGTTGCGCCTTAACGACCTCCTGAAGGACCAAACCAAATATGCAACGAAGATGGAAAAGATTTACCTACCCATCCTTGCACGACTTCTTGATGGCCAGGATGATGACGAGTCAGAACAGCTGGTACAAGAATTCAAGGAAATAGTTGGTGCTATTGTCCTCCTTGCTGCCCCCATTTCGGTCACTGCGCTCTCCCACTTTTTTGGCATTGACGAGGAAGTTATCAGCATTCGATTGGACTCGTTGCAGTCCGTTCTCAACATACCAGATGACCGAGATCTGCCGGTCAGGATTCTCCATTTATCTTTTCGCGATTTTCTGGTTACCTCCAAGAGTAGATTTCACGTGGACGAACCGCAGACACACAAGAATATCACCGTTCGTTGCCTTGACACGATGCGAAGCTGTCTGAAAAAAGATATCTGCAACCTAGCAGTCTATGGAACCCGAAGATCAGAGATCGAAACACAGTCCATCCACCAGCATTTAACACCGGAATTGCAATACTCCTGTCGTTATTGGGTACATCATCTAGTGCGAAGCAAGGACCAACGCACTGTAATACATGTGATTCTTCTATTCCTTCAAGAACACTTCCTGCATTGGGTGGAAGCAATGAGCATTCTGGGCCTTGTATCCGAAGTTGCTGGGATGATCAACGTATTGCAGACAGTTCTACATGTAAGACCTATTGAACTCCTTTGTATATTAATGCTAACGGCTTAGGACGAGGACGATTCCGCAATCTCCGATTTTCTTCATGATGCAAAGCGATTTGTACTGAAAAATAGACAAATAGCCGATATCGCGCCTCTCCAACTTTATTGCTCCGGTCTTTTGTTTGCACCCACAGAGTCAATAACCCGGATGGCTTTCGAATCAGAGCTTCCTAAGTGGATATTTCGGTCACCTGAGGTTGAGGAAAACTGGAGCGCCATGCAACAGACTCTTGAGGGCCATTCGGCTTCGGTTCAGTCTGTAGCGTTTTCCCCTGATGGCCGTCTCCTAGTGTCCAGTTCCTCTGATCGGACAATCCGGCTCTGGGATTCCGCCACAGGCCTCCTACAGCAGACTTTAGAAGGTCATCTAGGAGCGATTCCATCTGTGGCATTCTCCCCTGACGGCGGGCTACTAGTTTCCGGCTCATTTGACAATACTATCCGGCTCTGGGACCCCGTTACAGGAGCCCTACTACGGACACTCGAAGGTCACTCAGCGTTAGTTCAGTCAGTGGCCTTCTCCCCCGACGGTCGATTACTTGTGTCCGGCTCTAGAGATAGCACAGTCCGACTATGGGAGACCTCGACGGGCGACTTGCAGAAGACTCTCATTGGCCATTCAAATTCCGTTGAATCTGTGATATTCTCCCCCAACAGCCTCCTACTAGCGTCCGCTTCTAGTGATAAAACAGTCAGGCTCTGGGATGCCACTACGGGAGCGTTGTATCAAACTCTTGAAGGCCATTTAGGAGCAGTTTTATCAGTGGCATTCTCCCCTACTGACTGGCTGCTGGTATCCGGCTCCTCTGATAACACAGTTCGGCTCTGGGATCTATCCACCGGAGCCTGGAAGCAGACTCTCGAGGGTCATTCGGGGCCGGTTCAATCGCTAGCATTCTCCCCCGACGGCCGGCGGCTAGTGTCTAGCTCTAGGGATAACCGAATTCGGCTCTTCGATCCCGCTACAGGCGCCCTACAGCAGATTTTTGAGGGACATTCGGGAGCCGTTCCATCGGTGGCATTTTCGCCCGACGGACGGCTGCTAGTGTCAGGCTCCAAGGATAAAACAGTCCGCCTCTGGGATCCGGCTGCAGGTGCCTGGAGACAGACTCGCGAGGGCCATTCGGGAGCGATTCAGGCGCTAGCATTCTCCTCTAATGGCCGGCTGCTGGTGTCCGGCTCATTCGATAACACAGTCAAGCTGTGGGACACAGCTACGGGAGCCTTACAGAAAACCCTTAAAGGCCATTCGGGACCGGTTCTATCGGTTACATTCTCGCCAAACGGCCGGCAGCTTGTCTCTGGCTCCTTTGATAACACTATCCGACTCTGGGATTCCGCGAGGGGAGCCCTACAATATAGTCTTACGGGCCATTCCGGGGCGATAATGTCATTAGCTTTCTCCCCCGATGGCCGGCTACTAGTGTCCGGCTCATTTGATAATAGAGTTCGGCTCTGGAATCCCGCTACAGGCGCCTTACAGCAGACTCTCGAAGGCCATTTAGGTTCTGTAATGTCAGTTGCGTTCTCCGATGATGGTCAGCTACTGGCATCCGGCTCTAGGGATAAAAGCATCCGACTTTGGAATTCCACTACGGGCGCCTTGCTGAAGACTTTTGAGGGCCATTTAGGAGCGGTTCAGTCACTGGCATTCTCTCCCGACAGCCGATTGCTGGTTTCGGGTTCCTGGGACAGGACCGTTCGGCTCTGGGATCCCACTTCGGGTGCCCTACAGCAGACCTTTATGGTTGAAGGGGTAGTCACGCAGCTAGAGTTTTCAGAAGATGGTAGACATCTCAGTACTAATCTGGGGCCCCTCGAGATCTGGTCCTGTCGTGACAAGCATGCCCCAAATCTACCTCGAACCACTCTCGAGATAACTATACAAGAGGACCGATGGATAAGTTTTAACGGTATGAAAGTACTGTGGCTTCCTTCTGAATTTCGACCCATGTGTTCAGCAGTTAAACATACCACTCTTGCTTTGGGTCATGCATCAGGGCACGTTTCGTTTTTAGAATTTACGAGCCAAATAAAGCCTTCTTGAATGATCAATCTCTTCTCAGAGGTAGGGATTGGGGGCATCGAAGAATCGTGAACTGCTCTATTCTCCCAAGAAAATGTGCAATAGAACCTTAACAGATGCCTAGAATATGCTCATAGCTATTAGAGTTATCTGTTCTCAAAATAGCAGTGACGCAAGCAGTAAGAACAAGAAAGAAGAAATCCCGAATATGTTAGATAATCCGGCCAGAGAGCAGTCGCATCTGGGGCGTAGCTGGGCATCCTTGAGCTTCATCTGCTGTATAATACATCAAGCAGCCTTTTCTTTCCATTCTGCCCTAACCATAACCACAAGCGCTTTAAGGCATTTCTGCAGCAGATTCCTTGATACCATCCTTCTCGCACACTATGACAGTCGTCTTTCGTAGCGATTCCTTAACGGGATTAGAGCTGTGGAATATATGAGTGAGCTCTTCGATAGAGCGACCCTTGGTCTCGGGCAAAGTGAAGAACATGAGAGCGAATTCGAGGAAGTGGAATAACACTGCGACGCTGAGTCAGTAACAACATTAGCTCGGTGAGAGAGTAACCGACTCACAGAAAATTGTATACATCTTCCAACCAATGTTCTTTAGGGCAGTCGGGGTCGCGTAGAAATTCACAAAGTTAGCAGCAGCGCTAATAATGCCCTGGAAAGCCATGCCTTTTGCACGGATGTTGTTGGGAAGGATCTCCGCGGGATACACGGTCTGCAACGTGGACCAGGTAAAGGAGAAAAAAACGCCGTAGAGGAAGATACAGGCGATGAAGCCGTATCCCATACTCTGGGTAATTTCAGGTACGGGAAAAGATGCAAGAACATTTATGGGGATATAGACAAGACCAGTGATGAATGTTCCCCAGAGGAACAGCTGACGACGGCCCCACCGGTCGACAAAGACGGTTCCAATGAGACCGCTGACAAAAGATATTACGGTGTTGATGGCGTTCATAAGCAGCTGCTGGCTTGAGCTGGTAATCCCGGCATTCTCCAGCATAACCGGCATGAAGTAGCTAATGACGGAGCCACCAATGAACTGGGAGAAGACCGAGACCAGGAAGATCAGCCAAAGTCGATAAAGATTGGCCTTGGTGCTGAACAGCGCTTTGAAGTCCCACCAACGGCGGCCACCCGTCTCAACTTCGAATTGATAGTCCTCTTCAATTTGAGCACACTCCCAATTGACGAGAGGCGAGCTTTCCTTGCCACTGCCGTGGTATTTGACGAGCATGTTGCGGGCCTGCTCCTGCTTTCCTGCCGCCCATAGCCAACGTGGACTCTCGGGGAGGAAAAACACCGTGAAGATAACGATCAAAGATGGGACAGCCTGGATGATGACTGGAGCTCTCCAAGACCAGTTGGACGCAAGGAAGCCAGTTCCATAAGACGTCCAGGTGCACGCTGTTGACAAACGTTAGCCTATCTTTCTGCTGCACGGTAGACTTGAAATACCAATTGCTCCAATGTAGTATCCACAAACGTTATATAGGCCACCAAAGAGACCGCGCCATTGCGGAAAGGCAACTTCGACCAGGTAGACAGGGGCCGCCGTATTGGTCAGACTAACTCCCAGACCGATTAAGAACCGGCCACCCATGAACAGCTTTACATCACTGGCAACCGCTTCAAGGATAGCGCCTAGAACAATGAAAAGAGACCCTGTGAACATGCCAACGCGACGCCCAAAGAGATCAGAGAGAGGTGCTGCAAAGGCTGCACCGACCAGGTTGCCGAAAGAGTAGATGGAAAATAGCAGGCCCGTGCCACTGCCTTCCATGGCTGTGCCAAAGTAGCTATGGAAGTAGGGCATAGCATTGATGCTGCTCATGAGTGTACCGTCGAACCCATTCATGCAGCAGTCTAAGTGGATTACCAAGTCAGTATCATTCTTTTCGGCACACCAGACAGCAAAACATACTCAGCGTAGTGACGACGATGACACCGTAGAGAGCAAAGGAGCTCCGACACCACGGATTCAGTTGCTCTTGAGCTAGGGCATTCTGGAAGCTGACAGACGCAACTTGCTTCTCCTTGATGCCCTCGGTGATTTGAGGGTGGAAGAGGTCTTCAATATGCTTGGTATCAGGATTTTGTTCGGCAGCCGCTGCCTTAACCTCAGTTTCCATAATGTATTTCTTGTCAGATAGGCCTCAAGGAAGTAACATTATTATCCGCATGGCCGATTTCCGCAGTATATACGTTGAATTAGCGGCTTTCAGTCAACACCACGCCACGTGAGCTACATTGACGCCTCAGACAGAGTCGTTCAGACATTGCCGACTTCTCTAAGAGAACCAGGGGGAGTTAAATCGTTTGCCCCTTGGCCAAAGAGGAAGGAGCGGGGCCAGCCGCTGGACGCCGACATTGGCCCCGCGGTTCGACTGGTCGTTTGACGTGGAGATTACCCCAGTTTCGCGGTTGGCTTCGCTTCAAGCAATGGCTTCGGCAAGGCTTCGTGCGAACTCTCCGAAACTTGCTCCACGCTAGCCCATTTTGTGCTTCTGGAGGAAGATAATATCGTTCCGCGCTCAATGCGTGCCGTCTACCCCGCCATCGGGTTGGCGGGAACGGCATCCCAGGATCCGTCGATATCGACTCCCCTCCCAGTGCAGCAGACTACTGATACTGTGGCGCCGGGGCCAATCTCGGGAGTCCACATGCCCTGGTGGGTTGGGGGAGCCCAGAGCTCCCATTATAAAACAATTTTCAATGTTCAATTGACCTGAGCAGCTGTGTGAAACCGCTCCTATTCAAGGCTCACGAGTTAGGTCGTACGCGATGGAGGACGACCGTACCTTTCCCCAGCGTGCCTCTGGCAGCACCGTCAAGCCCAACCCGACTACGGAAGCCACTCAACGCGTAGCTGGTCCCAACCTCTTTCGGGATGGAGAGAATGTTCAGTTCATGTGGGCAGACAAAGTCCTGGAGCACAGCTTCTCGGACAATGTGCTGCGCCTGAAGGTGGTCACTCTGCACCAGACGCACCGCACTGCTCAGACCCATGATTCGGTAATGCACCAGTTCATCAAGGAAGAAGATTCCTTCGGCCAGCTCGTCTTTGAGGTCTTCTTTATAACTAATCACATTTTTCGTGTGCGTTATGCTGGCCAGCAGAGCATTCTGGATGCCGTGAACGATGACCCGGCTTTCCCACCTCCCGAAGCACGCATGTTGTCGAATATCCCCAAGATCGTCCCCTCAACCTTCTCTCTGAATGCCGATAACGGCAATATGGAGCTATCTACATCCAGCGTCCGCGTGATTGTGCAGCCGAGCCCCTTCCGCCTGCTCGGATACCTGACAGGCGCAACTACCCCGTTTTGGAAACAGCGTCTCAGCGATCTATTCACCAGCGATGTCATTCCTTGCTCGATTGCTTCCCACCAGAGTCGCGAGGCTGTCTTCGAGTCTTTCACTCTTGATCCACAGGAGCATGTTTTCGGTCTCGGCGAGCGCTTCGACAGTGTAGAGCGCCGCGGTCGCCCGGTGGACTTTGTCAACCACGACGCTATTGGCACTAGCAACACTCGCACTTACATCAACGTTCCCTTCTTCTGGAGTACGAACGGCTACGGCTGTTTCGTGAACTCGATCGCCCGTACCGAATGGGATATGGGCATGAGCGAGGCTGGTAGCATTGGCTTCTGCACTGAGGAGAATTACATGGACTACTTCATTCTGGCTGGCCCTTCTCCCAAGGAAATTCTGTGCAGGTACACCAACGACCTCACCGGTACTGCGCCCATTCCTCCCGTCTGGTCTTTCGGTCTCTGGCTGAGCCGGAACTCCTATCAAAACTGGGATGTCGTCCACGAGATTGTCAAGAAGGCCGAGGAGGTTAACCTTCCTTTCGATGTGATTCACCTCGACACGGCCTGGTTTCAAGAGGACTGGAACCCCGATCTCAAGTTCGGTGACCGCTTCCCCGAGCCCGAGAAGCACATGGCGACCCTGAAGGAGCAGGGCATTCGCACCTCCCTGTGGCAGTACAACTTTGTGCCTCCTAGAGAAGACAACTCGCTCTTTGTAGAGGCTCGTGAGGGTGATTTCTTCGGACACGCTATCAAGCCCGATGGAACCCGCAGCAAGGACTTTCACTATTACCCTAATGACACCACCGGTTGGAAGACCGACGATCTGGTCATTGATTTCTCCAACCCTGAAGCCGCCGACTGGTACGGCAAGAAGATCGAGCATCTGATCGAGCAAGGCGCATCTGCCATCAAGACTGATTTTGGTGACTGCATCCCCGCCGAAGCTTCCTACTTTAACATTGAGGGACGTCGCTTCAACAACCTCTATAGTCTGGTCTATAATGCTGCCGTGCGCAAGCACGTGCTGGAGGTCAGCACCGACACTGCTCAGTGGGCCCGTAGTGGAACTGCAGGCAGTCAGCGCTACCCTATTCACTGGGGTGGTGACTCTCAGTGCTCCTGGTCCGCACTGCAGGGTAGTCTGCGCGCCACCCTGTCAATCGGGCTGAGTGGCTTTGCTTTCTTTAGCCACGACCTTGGCGGCTTCATCGGAAAGCCGACTCCTGAGCTCTACATTCGTTGGGCCCAGCTGGCTGTCTTCAGCAGTCATGTCCGCTCTCATGGCGCTGGTGACGAGAACGGTCGCGAGCCCTGGTTCTTCGGCGAGCAGGCTGTTGAGATTGTGGGCGCCTTCATGCGCCAGCGCTACCGCATGCTGCCTTATATCGTTGAGCAGGCTCATGTCAGCACTACAACCGGTCTGCCCATGGTCCGTGGGCTTGTGCTCGAGTATCCCGAAGATCGCAACGTCTGGGGCATCGAAGGTCAGTACATGTTCGGATCCGATCTGATGGTCGCCCCGACCCTGCAGCCTCTGGCCGAGGCCAGTAAGCACGCTATTTATCTTCCTGCTGGCATCTGGTACGACTTCTGGGACAAGAAGAAGATTCTCAGCCGCGGCGAGTGGGTCGACTTTGACATAGCTCCTCTGGACCGCATTTATGTCTTTGTCAAGGCGGGTGCCATGCTGTGTTGGGCGTCTGACCGCAAGCGCACCTTCAACAAGGTTGGGGCCATTGAGAGAGTTGAGATCTATGGTCAGCGCGAGGGTGCCTGGTCTTGTGGCGATGGCCAGGCCTCTGTTGTTGATGTGATTCGCGGCGAGAGCGGGTACAGTGTTGTCGGTCGGGAAGCCGTCAAGGTCGATGCGTTTGAATAGATATATAGATAGAAAGCTGTTGAGTTGGACGTGTTTGAATAGATATAGAGCGACTACCCTATATTAAGATCTTTTATATTGCCTAGATGTAGTACCGTTTTAGTACGAAATTAGGCTAAAGAATATCTATAACTTTAATTTAAATAGCTTCTCACTAGGCTAAGGAAAACCTTAGCGCGTCGAAAGATTGATCATTGCAAAGGTAGATAGCATATCAACCCCAAAATTCATGCGGTACAGAGATTCGGAATCGCCATCTTTTCCAAGAGCTGAGGATATACTTTTAGTCCAGTCGGGTAGGTTTTCAAATTCTCCTGAAACTCCTTCGTCATGATCGCGTCGGCAAGGCTTGTAGATGATTCCCAATGCGCAACGTTAATTATGACATTGCTCTCCACGCCGGCATATACTTGGGCAGAATGAAAGCCGCTTTGGGCCTTCATTATTGCTGCGTCTGTCTTCCAGACCGCTAGAAATTCGTCCATCTTGCCCGGAGGCACGACGAATGTGTTCACCAATGTGACAGGGCCCCGATGTTGCTGAATTTGGTTGAGGAATGGCATGTTAGGGTCAAGGTCGCTGAAGAAATGGGACTCGTCGGCCATCTTTGCAGTCGAAAATGGGGTTGTCTGGCAATGTGCATGGGAAGGTTTTAGTGGAGTCAAAATGTAGAATTTGACGAAAGGTTTTCTTGAGCGATCATATCCAGTCTTCAATGCAACGAGAGGCTTTTATCTGTAATTTTTAATTTGGAGGGGTTTCTGTATCTCGCTGTCTGTGCAATGATACAAAAGCCGCTAAAACCGACCGGAGTTTGTTTTAATTTAATGTCGTCATAACTTCCGCGGGAAGCTTGAAATAAAGTGCGGTATTCGGTAGTGAATTCGGTCGGTATCTAAATTTTTTTGTTATCCATTTGTTCCGTCTCAAATTAGATCCCTCTCAAAGGACTGATCCCTGAAGAGAAATATGACCTCGATTCCCATGAGTTTCCGTATCGCCCAGGTTGTTGGCTTCGCCGGTGCTGCTTGGCTCTCTGGTGAGTTTCGGTTTTTTTTGAGCCAGAGCCCCTGCAAACTGAAGTCATAAGGCTTGGATGATGTTCACAGTTGACAGCTTGCAGGGAACATCGCAGCACTTAGCATGAATGCTGTTCCGAGTATTCAACGTTCTTGGCGTGAAGATCGGCTGCCTACCATCGTGCTAGTTAAACAGTGGAGGAACTTTTTTGAGGCAGGGAAAGCACAAAATCCCCCTATTGCGGCCGCAACTGCATCGGCGTTCTTCTACCTCGCATGGTCAGTTAGAAGTGGAGCTCCACTGTTCCGACGATCTGCTCCACGTAGCTCCATGTTGTACTCTACGGCCGCGATTCTGACCTTGGGCATTGTACCTTTCACCGTGGCTGTCATGAAACATACAAACGAGGAGCTGCTTGCAAAGGCAAAAGGAGATCCACAGTTATCGCAACATGCCGATTTTGAGGTCCAAAGCCTAATCAGCAAATGGATTACTCTTAATGGCCTTCGAAGCCTTTTTCCCCTAGCAGGAGGTCTCGCGGGTTTGATAGCCGTGTTATCGTGAAGGTTGACCAAATAATTGAAGGACTATGGTCTGTTATACAAAAAGTCAGCCAATTGGCTAGAATCAAGGTTAAGAGGGGGAGGGGGTTGGAGGAGATGAAAAGAGAACATACCATGTTTCGTATACATTAATTTTCGAAATTGCCATGAAATAGTAACTATATCCTTTTTGCACACCGTATCGGGCCATGAGGTCGGAAACAAGCGGCGCGTGGACGTTTTTCATATACTCGCAGTATGCTTCTTGTGTTAGTCCAGGCTTTCGAAACCCGGTAATTGTAAGGCAGAGCTTTCTCTCTGGGTCTGACATAGCTAAGCTTATGCTCCAAACTGAATGCACCAATGTATCTGATAAGCCTCCGTGAGTCTGGGCAAAATAAAATGATGCAGTGAAAGTAAGCTCCTTTGGAAAAGCGAGCAGTCTATATTTGAAAGGAAGATGCCAAGCTTGGAACGTACTAGGAATAAATACTCGGAAAAAACTTAGACGCTCGGTGTGCCACCCTTCAAAGGGTAATAATTTTCAATCCTGGTAGGATGAGGTGGGACGCTACTCAGGGCATGCTTTCTACTAGTACGTAGACGCAGTGTGATTATACGGAGTCTAAGCAAGACCACTCAACCACCAGTTTGTCACTGGTTTCATACGCCGACTGTGCTGTCCCTCGGTTTTCGTTTGTTAGACGCTAAGAGTTCAACAGATCCTTGCGGGACCATAGTTATCGTGCGGGGTCTCTTGTCCCACATTTTGGAAAGATCGTTAAGCAAATCGAGGACAGTACAACTCAAATGCCCCGGAGTTTTTTGTTTCCGTTTGCCTGCGTAGGTTAGCTTTATACCAACTCAGCAACTAATACTATTGACTCTCAGATTTATGAGTCCGGCTTTCATGGTACGAATGGCGATCTCTTAGATCGAATGTTGAGGCTAACCTTGCCGACTTGATGCAAACCACTCGCAGAAAAGTTACACCGAGTTAGCACAAGAGCCGCCCTGAGCGCTCCCTGAGTACGTCCTGAGCACGCCCTGAGAAACACTGGGCACTCCCTGAGCACGCGCCCAAAGCGACCCTGAGCATTCCTTGTGCACGCTATCAGTGCCTACCCCGCGCCAGTCCCTACGGTCTGTCGTCTCGCTTCTAGATTTTTGCCGGCTTCGATGCTAGCCGGGCTACGCACTAAAATCCTGGGAGCTCAGCGAGATGACGTATATCTATGTCGCTACACTAGTCTAGCCTTACGCTCTGCGCTTCCCGTCGACTCGATATACCCTGCCCGTAATATTAAACACCCACTGACCTAATAAATATTCGCTTTAGTAAAAGACATTCGAGCAGTAAGCCTCACCAGATACGATCAATGACAAAGAAATGAATTTTGCAGCAAGTTAGATTTGAAGGGATCACTTGGAGGGAAGCTCTCATACAGCGCACGGCCCTGGCCATCGGTTGCTCTCGCCACTGACGTTTAGCTTTCGGTGGGGCGCTTGATGATAAATTGGAACATCTCTATAGCTTTCTTTGCTTCAGCACCAGGGGCCTAAAGAAAAGAGCAGTAATGGTAGCGTTACCGTAACCGCCTGATTATCCGCTAATGATGTATTCTCTCTGCGTTGCCAATCGGCACAACCTTCTGGATGAAGACATATGCAGGTACTGTACAATGGCGGTTCCCGCCGAAGCCCGCTCAACCTCAAATCAGGTTTATCGGTGGCGACACTGCCATTAAGGTGGTTTCATGGTAGTTTATATACAAAGGCCACCTCGCTCGACTTCCAGCAGTACATTTTTTCCATTCCAGATCTCATCGCGCAACACGATGGCTCAAGACTCCGCCTCTCATAATCCAAGTATGTAACTACATGATTTCCGCTCGACCAAGACTATACTGAAGCCTATAGTCGGTGTTTCGTTTGGTAATCTGACGGAACCACCACCACCGGTCGATGATGATACGAAGACCAAGATTTCCGAAGCCGCAGAGAAAGATCCGACGGGCCAGAGTCTAGGGGGTTCAGGTAAAGAAGATATAGAAAAGTCGGAAAAGACCTGTACACAAGCCCACTATTTGAACGGTCGCCTTCAGAGGCTAACAGTTGCTAACAATATAACAATATTTAGTGGATCTTGAGCGTCAGCGCGCCGAGACAACGACCAGGTTCGCCCGGACAAACCATTAATCCTTTTTCTCTTCCAATTTCCGCCATTACCACGTCCTTTACTTATGCGAGTGCGAGTCGAGTTGGGTCTCGAAGTATATGGACGAAAGGAAGTGTTCATTTAGAAACAGATGGCCACCCTCGCCCGTCTGTTTACTGTCAATTTTGAGTAGCACAGAATTGAGGAAGAAGAAGCCAATAAAATATACTGTAGCAACTTTTTGAGAAAATCAGAACTTAGCGCAATTTTCAATACCTTTTAAGCCTGGCAAACTCCATCGGATGATGCTCATCCCTCGTTCGATTCGGTTCATGGTCTAATGCAGGACATTGATATCTCATCACAGCCTTCGCGAAATTTTGGCCCATATCGATTACGTGTTTGCGAGTTCAAGATTACAGACTAATTGCAGATGGTAAAACTAACCAGCGGAAGAAACACTGGCAAGTGTGACGATCTCTTGCGTTAATTACGCAAAAGGCTGAAAGCCCAGCAATTTTTGAGAATATCAAAGAATCAAACACAAAAACCAGAGCTTCATTCAACCTCAATCCTGATACACCCCACGGTGTCTTCCAGCTAAGCAGACTAAAGCGGGCCCAGCCCGCGCGGATCCAGGCGAGGTTTAAATTCTTCGCTCTCGCGATGATTTAAATCCAACCAAAGGATGCCTTAATTTCTTTGCCATTCATTTCTTGTCAGGTGTGCTTGCTCACTTGTGCTTTGGACTATTAGCTCGATTGTGGGGGCTTGCGTCAAGATGATCACCCAAAGCCTGAGTGAGCACAAACTCCAATGAGGAAGAATGGACACTCATTATGCCCAAAGCGTTGCAGACTTGATTTCAAGAGCATAGTTCTTGGTAAGCTAAATCCTCAAAATGCCTCCATCTAATCCAAACCCAATCATCGTGGCAAGAAAAAGCAATCCGGACTAGCATATAAATCACCAATAAAGTTATCGTAGTTAACCCACGCGTTGTTGTCGATAGGACCTTGTAACTCCGTATCGGCAAAGTCCACCTCATCACATATGTTTGGGAAGGGTGTAAACGGCATAGTTGTCTGTGGTATTGCGACAGCTGGGTTGAATTGGTGGCCGGTAGCAATATTCGACGTACCCCAACGTAATGGAGAGTTCGCCGCAGCCTGAGCGTTCAGTTGTTCGGCGTTCAACAGTTCGGGCTTTATTGGCTGCATCGGCCGTTCAGGAACAGAAGCAAAGAAAATGTCACCCGGCGAGACTTGGTCAATTGCTTCGCAAGGGGACTCGTTGCCTAGCAATTCTCTCTTGTGGGTTCGTGCCTGGTCCATGAGCTTCTCTAGAGGCTTCCACAGCATTCCATGCTGGGAATCAGCAATCAAGAAGCTAGATCGGTGGTACGTTTCCTCTACCACTGGCCAGTACTTGGACAGTGTGACCGGATCCTTGCACACGCACATCTCCGCAAGGGCAACTGCCAGTCCATGCCACGGAACCCACAAAGATCCGAACCACGCCCATGGAGCCATGGTAGGATCGCTATATGATTCGTGTGCTTTCTGCAAGTTATCAGCGGCCAACCTGAGAAGCCAATCTCCTGGAACCGGAGGAGGGGTGAAGTGTCGACTTCTTGAAATTGGTCGTAAAATTCCCAGCTGCAACCAGCCATGGATGATCGTTGCTGTCCTTCTCACATACAGTTGAAAGGCGGATAGCTCTGGTCTGGACCCAGTCAAGAGAGTGGACACCGTTCGCTGGAAGTCATTCAGCTTCTGCTGTCGAATGCTCATGATTTTCACGGCTTCCTCAATAAAATCAGTAAACGCAATCGATCTGGCTACCGACTGTGCTTCTGCAATGATTAATGTGTGGGTCATGTCCGTGAATGTGCCCTCGGGGGATTCCTCAAACGGTTCAACCATGTCGAACCAGATATCTTCATCATTGATGTTTGCGGGTGGATGTGACATTAACCATGCAGATTGCATCATTGGTTCAGATGCCCGGTCCAACGAGGCTGCCATGTCGAGAACCCCAATGGCTTGCCAAGTACGCCGACGCATTTCCTGCTCGAAAGGGTTGACATGAAAAGGTGGATCACGCATATGAAGACAGAGCGCTTGGCCTACTCGGAGAGCCATGGCAAGCATGGTCCACACGCGTCGGCTTTGATCTTGGCAGCGGGCAGCAAGCTAAAAATGATCAGGTTCAGCTTCCAATTCGATTTGAATGAAATGCCGCTAGGTCAGGGATAATAACTTACCAATGAAATAACATACGCCTGTAAGACAGTCAATTCATTGGTGGCCACAAAATCGGCCTTTCTCAGCATGGCATCGGTTTGCCTCTGGAGATTGGCTGATACTGTTGTTTTGTCTGTACCAAATAGCAGTTGGCACTGCGAGTCATCCATCGTACACACAGCCGCATAGTAGACAGCAGAAGCCAGGGTGGCTGGGACCTGGTGATCCAATTCATAGTCAAGGTATGGCTGTTCATCGTGAAGGAATGCAATTAGCGAGGGACGATGCAGGATCTTGAACACCGGATCAACATTGCGCAAGTAGATCTCGCACAGGCTTCGACGCGTTAGAGCTGAGATACTGCCGCCTCGATAAAACACAGGTGAGTTGGATACGCTTTCCGGGGTGGCGGAGCTGACAAGTGAAGTCTCGTTGTCAGATGGTTGCCTGGTTTCCAGCTGCTCGTTTTCAAGACGGTCATCCAGAACAGCGCGCAGTTCTTGTGTCTATCATACTGACATCAACTGCAGTTCGACGCATGGGAGAATCATGTGCCTACCTGCTGCATAATATCTTCCCAAAATGAACTAGCCAAGTAAGTCGTCGACGGGCGAGGCCGATGCGGCGGGCTCATGGTCATGGAGGGATGATCTTGCCAAGCCTTGACACCGACTATCTCGGTTTCAAAGCCGTGCTTGGTGTTGGTGCCGGGTACCGTCGACGGTGGCGGCTTAGAGGAGGTCGAATCACCATCACGCTCCGCGGTGACTTGTTTCAAAAGCTGTTCGAGCTTCGCGACTCGATCTGCTAATCCCCTGTCGAAGCCCTGATCCCGTTCGGGGAGCTTCCTTGCCCGGCCTCGCGGCAGACGGGCTCTTTCAACAGGTCGACAGGCAAAGCCGAGCCGCACGCAGCTTGTACAAGGGCTGAGCTTATCGCATTTCACTTTGCGCAGGCGGCAATCTTCGCAGCTGAGCCGGACCCGCGGCGCAGACGATCGAGACTGAACCGCAGCTCCTGAAAGCTTGACAGCGGGGTTGGTCGGATCCACCATCGTGAACCATCCACGGTGCAGGATAGAAACAGTATGTATTTACAGGAGGAATAGGGAATTTGGAGTGTTCTTTGATGTAAGGCTCAGTTCAACAGGCCAGAACATGAGGGCGAAGACCGGGTTTAAATTCGTTCAGTCTAGGCCTGGGCGTTGGTTCATTTTCCTTTGGCGCATTCAGCCCTCGAGCCTATTGGTTCCGCATTTCTCAAATCGAGGCCAATCCTGAGAGTAGAGGGTGTAGTTCTTGGGAACTAGTTGTAGGTGCCTGGTGTCGTGACACTTGTTGCGGCCATACGTTACAGTTCTTGCTCTCTTAAGGTTGGCTTACCGCCCAGGTCATGTGAATTAGAGCTTTCAGTTAAGAGCCGGAACCCACGGGAACACAGCTTGCAGTACGCCAGTGTCCGCTGCCCGTACTTTGGTGTCACTGAATCCGGGTACATAGACAACAAGATCTCTATTTTCTTTTGACATGGCTCGTTTTTCGTCTGCAGGAGCGGTGATACCAAAAAGGTGACAAAGGCATGTTCCCTAAGTAGGTAGGCGAGGGATGAGCCTCAAAAGGGCAAGAGGAGATCTAGCGAGCGACAGAGAAAAGGCAGATACAGTAATTCCCCCCAATTGAAGAAATTCGAATGGAAACACCTCTTGCTCGTAAATCCGAGGGTCCTGTTAATTATAAGTTTGTTACATAATACATACAGTCATTCTCGAAATCTGCTTGACAACACACACTTGATAACTCTCTTCTGGTCCCACCGCCAAGACCTTAACGCATATCAGTCATTGAGCAAGTCGCCTTGAATTAAGGGACAGAGTAATGTCCATCCTATATGGTATCGTATCTTTCTACGTAATATTACTTGATTACTTAACGCGAACGAAAACAAATTTCCTACACGAGTTGCCTATTTCATTTGTTAAATATCTATCCGCAAGAGAAGCCACAGTGTGCACTGTCCTGTTGATCACGGGCAACAATTGTTTATTATGTAGAAATATGATTGCATCCATTCTGAATATCACTATTTGGCCTTATAGTAGTTCCAGGAAACGGTGTTCCCACCTGCACTCTTTCGTTGTTTCTCGAACCCTAATGCCAAGAAACGCTAAACTATTTATTGGAATCGATACAGAATCCCTGGTCGTATAGATGTACTATAAATCACTGTATTATTATAACAGCGGAGCGTTTGTTTATTGCCCTCATAGCTCATACCGACGCTATTTAATCCTACTCCAAGTATAGTATAGTCCCAAGCCGAAGCGCAATCACGTGAATTTCGGAGTCTTCAGCATGCCCCAGGCTTTAAATATATCTTCTTTCAAACTACGTGGGTCAAGTGCGAGTTCTGTGCGGTTAGGTATGTACCAGCCAGAACTTATTTTTTGGTGGAACGAGGAGGTTCGTTTGACAGTATCTCAGTGTTTGACTTTATCAATCTTCTCTGCATCTTCGCACTATGGCATTTAAATCTTCGAGGAGGTTGCTCAATCTCTATAAATCAGTCCTTCAGTTCAATCGCCCCAGAAGATGTGCTGCAAGCAGTCCACCTAATCTCTTTCGGCCCTTCAGCATCTTCCCCCATCGATACGATTCTAGAGCCACAGTTCAAATTCTCACACTGGGTGGGGAGTCCTTGAAAGAGGCAACGGTGCAGTCATTCAATCACAAAGTGGGGGAATATGTGGAACAGCACGATGTGCTAGCAGTTATCGAAACCGAAAAAGTTACAGTGGAAGTATATGCTCCCAAGACAGGCGTTATACAACATCTCCTCGTAAAAGAAAGAGACATCGTTACCATCGGCCAAGCAGTTGCTGAGATTACTGTTGAATCTGAGCCTGGAAACGCAAGGAACAAGAGCGCTTTAAGCGAAGAATAGTGGATTTTGGGTAAAGCTGAGATCATTCTTCGAGAGAGTTATTTTTTGCCGAAAGCACCCGCCGTCTTCCGAATATGAGGAAGTGCACTTGTGTATTGATCAAGTTTAGAGTTAGATATTCAATTATTTTTCTCATCTTGAGACTCTAATATATACATATGTCCTTTCATTGGTTTCTTGTCTTCCTCATTCCGGTGGACCTTTTTAGAATGCAGTGTAATGAAAGAGTGTAGGCGGTAACACCGTTTCCCAAAAATACTGTAGAGCCACATGAATCAAAGGGGGTTTCTAAGCACTGAAATTGGGGGGGATACAGGTCCCTTCGGCAGGCGAGTCGTTATTAGATAGAGCAGATTCAAAGCAGCAGCCAGGTTCTCTACTGATAGCGGCGCAGGTCTTCCTGAAGCTGGAATAATTATTTGCACTCGGAGCTGTTTGTTTAATGTAGGTCAGCAAGATTTTATCCTTGCCAAATGTCTTGGTTATGAGAGGATTTATCTTACCGGCAGTGCAGGTCAGGTAGGGCGGTGCATCACCCCTTTTGATGAATTTGCAGCAGGAAGGAATAGTAGGCGGGATGGGACAGACACTGCCAGCGCGCTCGACAAAAGAAGTAGGCTGAGCTAGGGAAAAGCTAGCAGAGGCGGCAATAAGAAGAATCGAAGCCTTCATTTTGAAAATGTGGTGGTTGTTGGAACGTGGATAGACGTTTTGCTCGAAACAGTAGGTGCGAGTTAGGGGTATTTATACATGAGACTTGCGTCTGATCGATCTAATGGATCCACTATTTGTTGTACCCTTCCTACAGATTTACTCGATCTACAAAGTAAGCGGGAACTAGTTACTGCTAGCTTGAACATGCGATGAGGTGGTGGTTCATCCCTTTTCTATTTAAACTTCTAGTCTACAGATCCTTCTTCTTTCACTCATGATTCTCCACTGTAATATTCCGATCTGCAGCTTCCTAGTAGAATACGAGTAACAAATAGTATGGCCGGCTTGTAGTGGGGCAGATCAGCTGAAGAACTCACCATCATCGCAAGTTCAGCTGCTCTCACAGAAATTTTTGAGGCCTCACCATTGTATACCTAATTAGGAAATGGGCGGTGTATATCAAAAGACGGGTGTATTTTCTATTCATCGTTTAGGTAATAGATGTCACGCGGACTCTTCTTCGGATAGTGTGTGGATACCCATAATCGTCTTCTAAAGAACTCCCTTGAGTTCTCTACTCTGTACGTACTGTGTAAGATTCCATACAGTAGGAGGATACGGTACCATACGATGTGGATTTTACGTTGCTCCACGATTGAATCTGGCCCTCTAATGAATTATCGGCGCTAAGGTCTTGGCCGTGGGGTTATGGAAGCGTTATTGAATAGTGTACTGGTCAAGCCGATTTCGAGCACAGCTTTATATTATTGAACGAAACATATCTTTTCAACCAGCTAGCCTCAATAACTACGTATGTTAGTTTGACGATGATAATTGGCCTCCTGGCTAATTTATAGCCTCGAGATCCTCTGATTTGGCTTCATCTTGGTGCAATTTGACTGTGCACGTCCTGCAATAGCCCTGCTATAGTCACTAACCCGTGACATTTCCCACAAGACTAAAAACATCTTGGTCCATTTGCTAGGTCCCGTTAGTCCCGTGAGGATTCTGAAATTTTAGTCTCATGTCCTACTACTCCCGTGCTAGCATAAATCTACCAAGAACTATGATTACTCAAAACGGATGGATAGAGCACTGTGAAGATCCAAATACTCACGTCTGCGAGTTTATTCAAGACAAGATCCACCACAAAGAGGCAACTGAGTGGAAATTCGATTCTGAGAATGGACTTGTGGTGCCCAGCATTACTTGAGGCTGTGCCTGTACTTCGAGCGGTTATCACAAAGAGAAATGAGGCCGCAGCCGGAATTTCAATCTCTGAAGTCTTGAACTTGCTTTGTTTACTCTAGAGTAGGAGAACTCTGGATGCATCATTCTGACGTGTATCTCTGGTCAGAGTCTAGCAATGATAGAGATTCACGAAATGCCAATTAATTGGTTTTTCTTTCCTTGATATCGCTATGTAGCCAAGTAAAATATAGCTCACGTCGAGGTGAGAGCAATTCTATAACTAATACCAGCTAAGTCCAAACAACCACTCCATTCCATACTTGAAGCTTGCTACTAAAGGCACGAGCGTGCCTAATTCAGCCACATCAGCGGCGGCCTACCCCATCTGATCAATTCACTAGTATTGCTCTACCACGAATAGCGTACATAAGATGACAAGTTTCATGATTTGCAAGGATTTACGATAGTTGGCCGAAAGTTGAAGTTTTGGAATTAATTGACTAACTATTTTGAAATAGGTTATGTCGGTAGATCGGTAAGACAAAGAAGCATTCAAAAAGCAATACACGATTTCATAAACCAGTTTACCCGGTCTTTGTCTTTCCCCCTAGACTAGCAAAATGGCTAGAAAGAGCGTACTCCGCCTGCCAATACCCAGGCACAAATTGGAATAACAAGCCTCGAATGACCTTTCCGATGACAAACGGCATATACAGCAATTGATTTTCAGCTCTTGCGCTTGACACACCAATCGCAGCGGTATTCGCATACTCGGGCAATCTGGCCAGCTGCACAAATCCATCCGCCAGATCTTCGTAGGATACTGCGATGTATGCAAACTCTGAACTGATCACGCATCCTGTTGCTGGCTCCTTGACGAGCGCATTAGGCTGGACCAAAAGCAGATCTACGAGATCAGGGACATCCAGGAGCATTTGTTGAGCTTTGACTAAGTCGCTATACGGCCGGGAAAAGGCATTGCGAATCATCCAGTGCAGCAACACTGGTCGATCAGCGGCAAAGCGAGGGTTCCATGTTGCGGACGACAACAAGAGCAAGCGTGGCGGTACCCACCCGGTTGGTGTTGGTGTACTGGCTCGCAGTGACGATAGGGCGTCGAGGATAGCCCTGGCACAATCCCGCAAAATGGATACTCCAGGGATATTCTCATTTTCACCAACGGTACAGATGATTGTATTTGCTCCGGAAAGGCAATTGAGGATCAGAGTTTTATCTTTGAGGCTTCCTTCGAAGATGGTGATTCGCGGGTCGGAAGATAGGGAAGGAAAGAGGCCCTCGAGCTTTAAATGAGAGCGGACATAAATGTTGATCTCTATCCCAGGAGACGTCGTCTGTAGTAGCTTTTTTAATATTAGACGCCCAGTGTTCCCTGTAGCACCTAATAAGGCGAAGCATTGTCCAGTTGGCGCGGCTGTTACATTCGCCATATCGAACGAGAGGGATAATATCTTAGTGTCTGGTACTGTTTGCGGTGGTAAGTTAGCCTTTAGCTCAAGCTTTACACCGAGCTTCACATACATGATGAATTTTCAACCAGCGGGCTACCGTAGTATGGGTTGGCGTAGGACAATGGTCTCAAGTGATTCTGTAGGAAGCAGGCATGGGTTCTACGACACAGCTCATACATTATAATCTTGACGCAGCTCAGTTACCCCCCAGTCTATGTAGATCCAAAGAATAACTCTTTGTTGCAAGACCACCTCTACGCCCCGCCCTCGGAGCTCGACCCCTGGGATTCTTCCTAAAAAGGGGCCTCCGTGGAAAGGTCCCGCACGCCGCACCGGTCTTTGTCGGCTTTTGACAGCGCGCCACCAAAGTATATGCCCTATGTGGACCTTATTGCACTCGTCACGAAACCAAGAAGCCTACGTCTTTTCCTTGTAAGTCACATTTCATCGTTGGGAGCCTTTTGTCCTATTTCAAATATTTGTAATTCGTCCAGGAAGTAATTATGTGGTCATCTGTCGAGTTTCGTGTAGCCCAGGCCATCGGCTTCACCGGGGCAGCCTGGCTCTGGTAAGGGCAGCGAGCCCCATATTCATACAGTACTCTGGTGCCTCCTGTCTAACCCTCATTCTCCAGGTAACATCGCCCTCTATGCCGGGCGGAGTAGTGCTGCAACCGCCCGGCATAGAAACCAACCTACCAATGACATTAATCACAAAAGCAGTGGCGATAAATCTACGAGTCTGGTAAACTCCAGAACCCTCCCGTCACTGCCCTCGCGATCGGTGCCTTCGTTTATCTCAGCGTCTCCTCTGTTCGACGTCACCTCTGTTCCGCGCACCGCCGTACAGCCCCGCAGGGTAATACACCACCGGGGCGATTCTCTCTGGGTGTGGTCCATTTCACTTTGATCACCATGTGCAAAATCAATAATGCCCGTCCGAGACTCGCTAAGTCCGGTGGATAGTACGGCGGAGGTGTATTGGTTGCACGAGGGGAGTGACTTTCCAGCAAAAGGGGGTCGAGGCGAGTGTCGAATGGACTCACTTTTGTATTTTGTTGAATGGTGCTCAAAAGTGGCATTCCTTAAGCACTTGGTTAAGCTCTATTGCAAGGATGGATGGAATTAAACAGTTTCACCAACTTGTGCCGGTACATCCTGGGTCTTCCCTCTCTCAGATTGTTCTCGTAGCCTGTGCAATAGATCTACTTCTACTTCGTCGTACATGTTACCGCCTGCCTGAGTCCCGAATTTGTTGCAACTTGCACCACTTCCACAATGGCTGACGGAAGGCTTGGGTCGTGGTTGACAGCTGGAGGGTTAGATGGTCGTTGTTTTTCCTAGTACTACAGTACAGATGCGGGATTATCGTAATTCAGCCGCGCCTGCAGACTGATTAATTTAGTTGTGTTTGGCAGAGTGCAGCGCGATTTGCTGTTAAGTCACCTGAAGTCACCTGATAATGAGGCTAAGGTACCTTTCTCTTGATTATGTGGCCAGTTCCTTGTCCCTTACCTGAAGATGCACATTGCACCCCAAGAGTTGCTTGAATCATGGCATGGCTCTCATTTGGCAGCGCAAACTCGGGGCTCCAGATTGGGATTAATAATGCCCCTATCCACAACCCGCAGTTCTATCTGCCCTCAGGTAGATTTCGCAAGGCCCTAGAAAAGTGATCAAGTTAATTAATCGCCGCTTCTTGGCCCAGAGCGACCCGAAACCCCACCGAATCCTCTATCGACCGTCCCGTTCCGTCGCGACCCAGACTTTGTCGACCGTGGAACGCTACTTGATCAAATACACGAAAAAGGCTCTGTACCGGGATCTCGGATAGCACTTCTCGGCCTAGGTGGCGTTGGGTGGGTTCGGAAAGGACGACGGATTTACCCATGCTAATAGATTAGAAGAAAATCGCAACTTGCTATCGAATACTGTTATCGAGTTCGAGATCAATCGCCCGAGACGTGGGTTTTCTGGATTCACGCCAGCAATGCAACTCGCTTCGAGCAAAGTTGTCGAGATATTGTCGACCGAGCTCGGATACCCGGTCGGCAGCATCCCAAGGCAAACGTATTCAAACTCCTTCATGACTGGCTTCAGGACGAAACAAAGGGAAAATGGGTTCTCATCCTTGATAACCTGGATGATGAGCAATCACTCCATAAAATTTCACTGGTCGCTCAGGATGGCCTAGGGAGTAATCAGAGTGGCACGCCAGAACAATGTATCCGGGCATACTTCCCGCAGAGCTTGAACGGCTTAATCATCATGACAAGTCGGCGCAGACGCGTGGTATCACACATGGTGGAAGATAGGGATATTATTTTAGTTGAACCGATGGACGAAACCCATGCAACAACACTCTTTGACAAGAAGCTCGGAGTGCAAGCTGCCAGGGAAGACGTCATTCAGCTGACTGCGGCACTCGAGTTCATGCCGCTTGCGATTGTACAAGCCGCGGCCTATATCAAGCAACGGTTACCGCGCCTATCAGTTACACAGTATCTGGAAAACTTTCGGAGAAGCGACCGCCAGAAGAAAAGCCTCCTTACTTATGAGGGGGGCCAGCTTCGCAGAGACTGGGAAGCCAAAAACTCCATCCTCATCACCTGGCAAATATCATTTGATTGTATTCGGCAAGAAAGCCCATCCGCGGCGGATTTATTGTCTCTTATGAGCTTTTTCGATAGACAGGGCATACCTGACAGTCTACTTCGAGAAAACGAAGAGATGAGACAGAAATTGAGCGGTGTTCCTGCATCTAACGTGGATCCGACAAGGGATGGCAGGAATGAAGACGAAAGCGCAAGTGTCAGCGTGGTTGACAAGTTTGAGGACGATATATTGGTGCTAAGAGACTACTCGTTCATATCCATCAGTGCAGATGGAGTGAACTTTGAGATACATCGCCTGGTACAACTAGCTATGCAAGAGTGGCTAGAGGCGCATGAACAGCTTGAAAAGTGGGAGGGACAGTTCATCCGAACCCTTCACCGCAAATTCCCAGAAGGAAAATATGAGAACTGGCCTAGGTGCCAGTTGCTATTCGCTCACGTGCAAAAAGCAGTTGCACACCAGCCACATGAAAAGGACATATTAGGAGAATGGGGTTCGCTGCTTCACGAGGCAGCATCTTTTGCCTGGACTCGAGGAGATTTCGTCGATAGCCAAATAATGGCAAAGAAAGCAACAATTGCAAGGTTGAATTTATTCGGCCTGGATAATGAAAAGACGCTTGACAGCTTTGAAATGCTTGGGTTGGCATACAAGCTTGGAGGCCAGTGGAACGACGCCGAAAAGCTACAGCTACAAGTAATGGAGACCCGCAAGCAGATCTTAGGACCAGAGCATCCCGACACTCTGGATAGCATTACCAACCTGGCCTTAACCTACTGCGATCAGGGTCGATGGAAGGACGCTGAAGAGTTACAGTTGCAAGTAATGGAGAGCTATAAGCGGGTCTTAGGGCTAGAGAATCCTCATACTCTGGTTGGCATTGGCAACCTAGCCTCAACCTACCGGAATCAGGGTCGATGGAAGGACGCCGAAGAGCTAGAGTTGCAAGTGATGGAGACCCGCAAGCGGGTCTTAGGGCCAGAGCATCCCGACACTCTGACTAGCATGAACAACCTAGCCTCAACCTACCGGAATCAGGGTCGATGGAAGGACGCCGAAGAGCTAGAGTTGCAAGTGCTGGAGACCCGCAAGCGAGTCCTAGGGCCAGAGCATCCCGACATTCTGAATGGCATGAACAACCTAGCCTTAACCTACTGGAATCAGGGTCGATGGAAGGACGCCGAAGAGCTACAGTTGCAAGTGATGGAGACCCGCAAGCGGGTCTTAGGGCCAGAGCATCCCGACACTCTGACTGGCATGAACAACCTAGCCCATACCTTTAGGTCATTGGGTCAAGACAAGACCGCTTTGCTGTTGATGGCCGAATGCGTTCGACTCCGCGACCAAAAACTAGGCCCTGACCACCCGCATACCGTGTCTTCCAAGTCTACTTTAAATGAATGGCGTGCGAAGGGTGACCACCCGTCTTCCCAGTCTGACAAAATGGCAACGAAAACAAAAGAGGACCCAATCCTAGCCAGTTTTACAGAAACCTCAAAGCGAGTTTCCCAAGCCGACGGACACCGTAGGTGCGAAATCTTCTCGCGCCTCTTCAGCAGAAAGCAGGATTAATATAGAAAGGACGTTATTTTGGTGATAACGAAACGTAAAGAAAGCAGCAAATTTTGTCATCGTAAAGATGAACAGCTCGGTTTCTCTTACAGTAATGCGTTGGATGTCCAGGGTGTAACATCCAGCAGTTAAGATTCCATCAAAACACATAGCGTCTGAATGCATTAAGTATAGTAGCATTGAAAGTAGTTCGTATCTAATAAACTCATTAATATCAGATTGTAGGAGCCCATCGGCAGGCAACGGCCCTTGGTTTGTATGCAAGTTTCTAGAATTCTTCTTTCGAATAAACGAGTAACTTGCGAGCCCGTATTACGTCCGTATACGTCAAGACTGTTCAAAGCAAGGACGATATGCAGCCAAGCCGAATCTAGCCTAGGAGGTTTCACCAGCATGTTGGCAGTGTGGCTTGAGATAGTTTCTCGTGTAAAACATGGAAGCCAATTGCGAATATAGCTGTATATCCAATTCTTAGACAGGCTCTTTGTTGACGGCAATGTAAAGGCTCCAACTGATATGCTATGAGTGTTTTATAGTAGTAGACAGATTGATGAGAACAGTTCTCGAACAGATTTTCTTCCAAAATACAAGACTTCATTTCGACAGGAATTGCTGTGGCGTTAAGTAGGCTTCTAATCGGCACGGCATATACATACACCGACCAAATCACAAAAAGACGCTGGACATATTACTCCAGAACCTATTGAGCCTTACTATTGTCACGATTTATCGCAAAGTCAGGAAAACTCAGTTGTCCAAGTGTGCACGGACTCCTCAATTCAAAAACCCTCTCTCGCGATAGAACCTCTCTGCCGCAGGGTGCAGAGGGACTGTTGATTGGGCCATCTTCGCTGGCTCGAGAGGATATGACAGAGGACTGCGCTCAGGGGGGATATGCTTATACTGGGCTTCAATGGTCTCCTTCGTCTCGACCAAGCACCATGTTAGCAGATAGGCAACATCATCAGGCATATCTGTGCGGACTAGGACCAAGAAATCGGCGAAGTCGACACATGAGATATCTTCATCAACGGTATTCCAGAAATTACCCTGCACAGTTGCCTGTTGGAAGCCGATGCGGGATGCCAGCTTGTTCATGGGCCTTTCCTCAACGGGCACGGGGACAAGCGCCTGACTCTCGATCAAATTTCTCCACCAGGGCGTCATTATGGCTTCCTGGATTACAGCATCCGCTTGGCCAGTTTCCACCAAGGCCAGAACTTGCTCTGGTCGACATGCTTTCAACCAAGACCCACCCCAGGACTGAACGGTCTGTTCATCTAGCCCGTGTGCTTCCAGGATCCGCGCCGAGACATACCCGATGAGATTCGTCCCGTCATCGACGGAGACGGCAATCCGCAAAGGAACCTTTTTCTCGCGAATGTCAGTAAACGACCGCACCCCAAATGAGGGTTTCACGGCAAACATCATCCGATCCCGCTGCGGCAAGACCGCGAGACAGCGCAAATCAGGCAACGGGCCCGTCGATTCAAAGATCTCCTTCCCCTCCGCCGCGGCTTTAAGCAATCCCGCAGGCGTGCAGATTCCCATATCCGCCTGCCCATTATGCACCTGAAGGGGGGACTCGAGGCCGCCGTCCCGGAGCGACATTATCAATGTGCGGCTGGCGGGGCCGGCACGGTCGCAGAAATCTTGAGTTAACCATGACAGGATGCGGTGGAAGTTGGCCTGGCCCCAGTCTCCTATGCAGCGGAGTTCGATTGAGCGCTTGATCGAGGGGCAGTTTGTTTGGCTAGTCATGGTCAGGACGTGTCGGCTAATGCTGCAACTAGTTGAGTTCGCGTGAATTGGGGATTCCTCTAGTTTTCTTGCGAATGTAAAGCAAGAACGACATGAGCCAAATGAAGATATATCGCTTCATTCTATTCTGCTTTATAATTCGTTGGGTCCCATATCCACCAACATAAGAGGGGAGAGGGGACACTGTACAGTGGAGTAGGCTCGGGGATTCCTGTGGTGGAGATATCGCTATAGTAGATGCTTAGGAGTATTTCACCCAAAAGCCGCAAAGACCGAGACCTCTCCTCATTAAGTTTCGGATAACCAAGTCACTTTTGGTTGACTAACGTTAGATAGCGCAAATCCCCGAGGTAAATTATCTTGCGTACAGGTGCCAATCTGTTTTGTCTCTCCTTTAGGATCCCCATCGCGGAGAGTGCCGGTGAAGCAACAACCCCTTGGAATATCAGATGCCATGGTTAGAACGGAGAAAATTGATAGCGGACATATACTGGGAGTATAAGAGAGGGGCTATACAATAGCAATAAGCTAGGAAAGATAAATGCCAAGCAGAATTACTAAAGCCGATGCTTGTCCCGTCGAAGCCCATTGTCTGAATCCAAAAGCCGAGCATTACAATAACCTCTCCTGGACCCTTGCAGTGTCCCACTGCACCCAATACCGTGCGGGGAACGTTGTACGTACCTATTGCATGTGTGGTATCTTGGGGAATACCGAATCATGGCCGCTGGAGCAACATAAAATGTATAAGCATACTCTCCTGGAGAGACGTAGCCTACGAGTGTTCATGCACGAAAAATATCAGAATGGCCACTGAACTTAATGGATCACCCCCGCGACTGGTCCGGCTTCCACGACCTACCCACCTGAATAGCCTGAAACCTGTGTACATCCTTGATATACAGGACGAGAGGGCAAACACGCTGCGCCGCCTCCTTCAGCAGGGTCACACCGCCGTTGCCCCTTTGCGCGAACCGAAGTTGATTCTTCACAGCCATCTTCCTCATGTACTATCCCTCCCAGCGCACAGTGCGGTCTGTTTGCTAACGAAGGAGTAGCTACTGGGCTCGGCCTATTTCCTGGGTGCATCTGCCGAGCAGCTAGAAGAGCTCTATGAACACGAAGTCACGACATTGAAAGAGATTAATGATACGTTCATTACAGGCGCTGCTATTTCACGGAATAATTGGAGAGAGTTTTTAGGGCAGAAATCGTATGTAGGAGAAGCCCATTCTATCATTGACTTTACGCTGACTGGAGAAAAGGTATACGGTGGCCTACGTGCAGTACTTCGATGAAGAATTGAAGCGCAACAATGGTGACTGGAAGAAGGTGCTGCGACAGTATCTGTTTCCTAGGCCGGAGCCGCTCATCAATGGCTTCAGTGGTGGTCGTAAGTCTTTGTTTTTTGGCTCTTCCGCCTCGAATCCTGCTGATCGACGCACCATACCATAGTTGGTCATCCCTTTATCCACCTCGCCTATGCGTGGGAGCTCCGAGCTCCCACGGTTGCAACGGAGGCATTGTCATTGGGCTGCACTGAAAATATCGAAGTACATGGCTTACTAGACAACTATCCCGCTGACAACTCCACCTACAAAACATCCAGCTTGGCGGACGTCATCAGGCGCATCCACGATGACAAACGCTTTGACGGCCTCTTCGAGCATCAGGGCATCACGAACGCCGAATCTCTGATGCAACAGCGTTTTGAGGCCGTCCTGGAACACTGGAATGCATGGGAAGTAGACAACCCTCTCCAGCAGCTGGAAAATTGCTGCGACGTCTCGGTCCTGCTGGCTATTGCAACCGGTGATAGAGAGCGCAAGTTTGACTTTTACCTTGTCCACACCATGACTGTTGCGCATGCCCTGCGCGTTCTGTGGGAGTTGTTCCCTGAGGACCAGCGGAGCTGTATTCTGAGACAATATGCGCTTTTCGTGATTATTGTGTACATCTGTCAGCTTAAACCTGAGGTTAACTTCGATCAGATTGACGCGATTGAGTCTGTGCAGCTGGCTGATGGGGATGACTGGGATTTGGTAGCCAGGAGGGCTCTACGGCACAAGTGGATGAAGGATTCGCATTTCTTTAAGGTGATCCGGGCTCCGAAGGCGTTTGAGGAGACGTATGGGTCGAAGAATGATTTCTATCGGAAGGCGTCTGCTAAGTTTTTAGCTGAGTTTGACGGGTGGGAGGGGTTTGGACTGGGTGTTGAGGGATTTCTTCCGAATCGCGATGGATATATACCTGAGTGATACTAGCTTTCTCAGTGCTATTGCAGTCGGTTTTCCTTGGATTAGCATCTATAGAGTACACCCCTTTGGCAGTGATGTACTGTAAAGGACCGATATTGAGCAGTATCTCAAGCATCCTATTACCGAGGAGATTAGATTTCATTTCCATCTCAGGATTGAGTGGGATATCTAGAAGAACGAGCGCAAAGCGCTATAAGTAGATCTACGACCAGCATTTGTTACTACCGATGAATACAAGAATCCAGCTAATTACTCAAGCTATGTCAAAAGTGAGCGAATGCGTATCATTGTGGTCGAGACCTGTCCGAGAATAAAGTTACGAATAGTAACCTGTGCCTATCCAATTGAGCTAAACCATCATCGTATGTAGTCCCATCCTCACATGGGCCGACCGCGCACTCGATCAATCAATCGGCTTCCTGCCTTTGACCTCCGCTCAGTTGTATACTCCTTGAGCTCCCCCGCCTTGACTCTTTTGATAGACATGTCGTCAATCTCCCGACAACTCAGTCCTGCTGTTTCAGGGTGGCACAAGAAGAGGAACACGGTGCTCAGAATATAGGGGAAGGCAAATTTCAAGGCAACCTGCCCCTGAGGTTCCCGTTGTCCGGATTAAACATATAAAGTACGAGAAAAGCGAGGGCACACTAAGTGGATCTAGACTTGGCATAGCCACTCATAACTCTAGGCAGTGAAATATATACTAAGCTACCGCCCGACACCAACCCAACCCAGTTCCAACCTTGAGCCTCACCATCGATCTATCCTACATCATTAGAAACCACACCTAGATCCTAATTAATGAGTAATGGGAACCGCGGCCTCCACCTCAAATTCCACAAACAACAACCAAGTCTACTACCCACGAAACCCCTCCGATGCACTCTTAGCCTTGATTATCCTGTCGCAGAAAGTTCCCACCGAAATAACCCTTCAGATCCTCGAACACGCCAAATACTGGGTCCGGCACCGCGTCTCCCGCACCGAACAAGTTACCTACACCCAGCGCAACTCCGACAGCCAGGAACCCTATCTCCGCAGCTTACCTATCGAAGGGGCACGCTTCCCCGTCCGCGAAATTCGAATCCAGATTCAGAGCCACGACCAGGGGTGGAGCAATTTCCGAGAGGATCATGGCACGCTCCGAAACTCGTGGACGTGGTTTGATTTGAAGGTTGAGCGCGCGTCTGACCGCGGAGAGAGTTGTGTTTCTTCGGAGCGGGATAGGTATAGGCGGCTTGTGACAAATGTGCATGCTAGTAAGACTGTTAGAGAGAATGTTGTTATTTATCGGGCTGGCGTGGAGAATGAGCAGGATGATGATTCGGGTGTTGGGGATGGGTTGAGTGTGCGGGAGCTAGCAGAGTTGGAACTCCAGGCCGGAGATTGCATTTCTATTATCCCGCGCGCGAGGTTTGCTGGATGGACCAACTTCGTGTGTTCTGCTTCGATTGAGATTTATCTGAGACCACAATTTCGATGATGTTGTAATGATTAACTACATAGGCAGGTTGCTACCTACCTACCTACTACACTGCAGAAGGTTCATTCATTTATCGAATTCTGATTTCATTTAACTATTCGTATTGTAGACCGGGGACGGCCATCGTCGCAACTCCCTATTCAGAGATAAAAAAGAACATATCCGGTAAATTGAGTAAGAAATAGATCATCGCGGCACTTATCCACAAGTGCGGACGCCGAAAGGGCACGAAAGATCGAAAGCAAAAAGGAAACGCAACGCGCCATGCAATGAGTCGAAAAAGAAATTTGAGAAACAAGAAACAGAAATTTTGGGGCGAATGAGTTCAGTTTATAGCGGCTTGGGTCCGGCAGCAATGACCTCGGGAGTGGCCTCGTCAGAGTACTTCTTGAAGTTCTCGTTGAAGAGGCCGGCCAGTTTGTTGACCTCGTCCTTGAAGGACGTAGAGGCAGTCCAGCTGTTCTTGGGGTTGAGCAGCTCATCCGGCACACCGGGGCAGGCCTTGGGCACGTGCAGGTTGAAAACGTCGTAAGTCTCGTAGTCGGCCTTTGCCAGCTCGCCGCTGTGGATGGCGTCCAGGATGGCGCGGGTGTACTTGAGCGGGCAGCGCTTGCCGCCGGTGGTGGCGCCGGCGCCGACCCAGCCGGTGTTCAGCAGCCAGGCGTTGACCTTGTGCTGCTTGATCTTGTCGGCCAGCATGCTGGCGTAGCGCATTGGGTGCAGGGCCAGGAAGGGCTGGGCGAAGCACGACGAGAAGGTTGCCTGGGGCTCGGTGACACCGTCCTCCGTACCGGCCATCTTGGAGGTGTAGCCCGAGATGAAGTGGAACATGGTCTGCTCGGTGGTGAGCTTGGAGATCGGGGGCAGGACACCGCGCGCGTCGCAGGTCAGCAGGATGATGTTGGTCGGGTGCGAATCGCTCTTGCAGGGGATCTTGGCGTTCTCGATGTACTCGATGGGGTAAGCGCAGCGGGTGTTCTCGGTCAGGGTGCTGTCGTCGTAGTTGACGACACGGGTGGTGGGGTCGAAGACGACGTTCTCCAGAACGGAGCCGAAGCGGATAGCGTTGAAAATATCAGGCTCCTTCTCGCCAGAGAGGCCAATACACTTGGCGTAGCAGCCGCCCTCGATGTTGAAGACACCCTTGTCGGTCCAGCAGTGCTCGTCGTCACCGATCAGGGCACGCTTGGGGTCGGCGGACAGAGTGGTTTTGCCCGTACCGGACAGACCGAAGAAGACAGTGACATCGCCGTTCTGGCCCTCGTTGGCCGAGGAGTGCAGGGTCAACACGTTGTGCTTGACGGGCATCTCGTAGAAGAGGACTGTGAAGACACCCTTCTTCATCTCACCGGCGTACTCGGTACCCAGGATAACCATCTCCTTCTCGGCAAAGTTGATCGCCACGGAGGTGGCCGAGGTCATACCCTCGGTGAAGCGGTTGGCGGGGAAAGAGCCAGCGTTGTAGATGACATAGTCGGGATGGAAGTGCTCCAGCTCCTCACGAGTAGGGCGGATCAGCATGTTGCGCATGAACAGAGCATGGTAGGCACGGGCGCAGACGACGCGCACGCTGATGCGGTAGCGCTCGTCCCAACCGGCGTACCCATCAATGACATAGATGCGATTCCGGGTGTTGAGGTAGTCGACAGCACGCTCACGGTTAATGCGCCAGACCTGGGGGAGTCAGTATGATGTCATTGCATGAGATGCGGAATAGCCGAGGTAAAAGTAAGGAAGGAAACAATTGGGGAAGTATGGAGGACCAGAATAGAAAAAAGGAAAGCGAAGTGCAGAGGGAGGGGTGGTTTGCGTTACACAAACTAGAAAAGCTTGAACCCCGGATGTATATGCAAGGGATCCCTGGAGGCTGCAAGGGCATGCTTCCGAGGTATGTGAAGGAAAGCGAAAAAAGACACATGAGCACTTACATCAGGAGTCATGGGCTTGTTGACCGGTCCCCACCAGACCTGGTTCTCGGAGGACTCTTCTTTGACAATGCGCTTGTCGGATGGTGATCGGCCGGTCTTGGCACCGGAGTATGCGCTGAGGGCACCGCTGGAGGTGATGGCAGTACCGGTCTCGTAGACCAGGGCATCTTCATAGAGAGCAGGGACAGCAGGGTTGGCAATGATTGCGACGCGATCGTAGTCGATGTGCGCGGTCTCGTGCAGCTCCTCCTCCAGCTCGGTGTGACCCTTGCCCGGTCTATGGATGGATAGGTTAGCGACGGCGACCTAAGGACGACAACGACATCAAGAAACAACATACTGGACACCACCGGGGTGCAGGGCTGTGCGGTTTACAGAAGTGGCAACCATGTTTCTGAGGGAAGTAGAATGGTAGTTGTTGTTGCGTTGTTTCGCGACTTGCTGTTTAATGAAGTCTTCTGCCAAAGGACCAGGAGACTCGGGGCGGCCGGGGGGTATATAATTGTTGCCGGCAGGGGCCATGGTCCGCGACGATACTTGGTATGAAGGTCAACTTTCCCCTGCGCTTCTCCACAGTGCCACGGGTGATGTCGGGGCTGAGGGCCGAGCTGAAGCGCCGAACGGTTGTCGAGGTGGAAGCGTTGCCGTGGGTTGCAAATGCGAGGAGGCGTTGTCCGACTTGACCCGAGGGGTAACGAATTCCAGCCGGATATCTATTTCACTCGTATTGTTGTGCAGTTGATGATATGGAGAGTCAAAAGCTATGGATGCCAGTGGTTCTCTTTTATCGCTCACCAGCAACCTAGGTTCTACAGTTGAGCGCTTCCTGTCTTGTGAACGGTGATCTCTTTCCCTGGCACGACTGGTCGCATTCAGCCACGGACGACTGGAATGACGCGCCAATGACTTCACCAGAAGGGAAATCATCGCGGGGAGGCGCTGACCTAAGCTCTTCACGGTCGATCAACACGACTGCCGGCCTCCTATCCTATCACTCCTCCGATACTCATTATTAGTCCGTTACTCGGCTGCCGAACAATCATACATCGGAGCTCCTCGACAATTCTGACGGAATGACGACAGCCCCTTGGAACACGTTAACCCTTGGGTCCTCCTCTTCTCCGCCGTCTCCAATAACGGCGATTAACCAGCCGAGGATGATGTAGTCTGGATCATCGATCGCGGCGCTCTCAGCCAATCATACCCCACACATTTCCACCTCACCAGGAGGTGTCGGGTGGGCTGAACATATTGCCGCTGTTTCCCGGCGTCTTTTCAATCAGAAAGAAAAAATGCTGGCCGCACAAAAATACTCTCAATGGCTCCGGTTCCGGAAATTCCTGGGAGGCCATGGTCTCGACCTGCCATCCCTGACACGGCCAAAATAACCTTTGATCAGTCACGGGGTCTCTTTCGTGAGCAGTTTTCGCTTTCCCCCGGCCCGGCCTAACAATGTCCGGTTTTTTGTCCACAGGATCACAAGCTCGCCCAGATCTTCCGTGGTTAGCGGCGGATCCCGACTCCGGCTACGGTCTCGGGAAACCTTTGAGGTTACGAGTTCCAGACCATGATGATTTGCCTTGTTTCTGCGCGAATTTTGGTCGGCTTACGTAGCGGATTCAATTTTAACGGCATCCCGCCGATCCAATAATGTAAGACGGGTTTGAACTATGTAGGAGGCTGAGGCCTTTTTTTTTTCTAGTAGTAGTGGAGAACCAGTTCACCCTGTCCTCCGCAGAACAAAAACTCCGTTGTTGACCTGTTTCTTATCAAGCGGACCAACAGACCACCTCTAACAGGGGCTATCGGTATCAAACACCCCGAGATGGCCTTCCTACTTCACCCGCCCTGATAGGCGAGTCTTGTTTTTGATTCATCATCCGGCTGAGTGCCCAACCGGCGCGGTTTCAAAGTGGTCTGGCCCGCGAGGCAAGAGAGACAAGATCGACTGGGCTCCTAATTTGCCCGACACGGCTGACATGTATAGATTCTCGTCATGCCCCCACGGCATCACCTAAATATAATCAATGGTGGCTGTGCTATGATGATTACTGTAGTATTATTGCAGGGCACAGCATTTCTCCGACGCACCTGACCATGTTCATCTTGGCATCCATGTCTGGGGAAACCGCATGGTCAGTAAGAATGCGGGGTCTAGCGTGGGCACTGGTCCTGTTTATAGCTGCTCTCGGTTATCCTTACCAATCGCTTGTCTAAGCCCCTCCCGCTGGGGGATCTGTCTTACCCACGGCTATGGTTTAGGCCATGTCAGTTGACCACGCGGGTTGTTTGCGCTCGAATAATTTGTTCGACATATCTGTTTTCCTGGGCCGAGGAAGAGTTCGTGCAATCCGGGAACTAGATCCGGGGTCGTTCCGTTCCCCTGGCTTGTTCACTTTCAAGAGTACGACCATGGTAGTCTTGAGATGTCTTCTTTGACATTCTCAATACTCGTTCATTTTATATACAATCACAGATCTAGGTCCAATGCATTGTAGAATTGACTATTCTGTTTATTTACAACATCACAATAGGGCCTGCACTGGTCCTCCTCCAGCACAGAGACTCTCCACGACAGCAACGTCCGCCAATGCCTCCCGGGCTCCTGCTTTTTCCTCGTGCTTTCCGCTAGATGCCGCTTCCAGGAAAGCCTTGACCTCTTCTGAGACACCCTCTCCATCAATGATCTCTTCGTCCTTAGTACCATCCGCCTTCTCAATAACGATGCGTCGGCGATCCTTCGCATCCTCCACAGCCGAGATGGTCACAGATCCTTGATCACCAACAAAAACAAACTCGAAAACTCCCTTGCAGGAGGCAAAGCAAATACTTAGAGACCCAGAAGCGCCGCTGTCAAACTGCAGGGCTGCGTTAACGGTGTCCAGAGGAGGTAGATGCGGATATGTCTGACGGCACATGCTGAGAGTCTTGACGATCTCCAGCCCGGAGACATAACGAATCAACGCGATAAAGTGCACGCCGCCATCTAGAACAAATCCGCCCTGATACTCCGGGTTCTTGCGCCACTCGGTCTCGTAATACTGATTTTCAACAGGCTGGATGTTTCCCCAAACGCGGGCATGGATGTGATTCAACTTGCCAATGCGGCCACCGGCCACTACTAGCTCGCGAGCACGGGTGAAAGCACGATCGTAGCGGAATTGCTCGGCCACTGAGAACACCAGTCCGCGAGGACGGAAGTCCTTTTCGTAGTCGGAAATCAACTGCACCGCTGTCTGCACATTCTTGGCAACGGGCTTTTCGCACAGCACGTGTTTGCCAGCCGCCAGACACTGGCGGACAACTTCGGGCTGAATGAGGATTGGAAGGGCAACAATGACGGCACCAATATCCTCGCGCTTGAGTAATGCCGACAGCCCTTTGTTCTCCGAGGTCAGCTCATCGGCGTAGACATCGATGTGCGAGGTTGGTGCATCCAGAGCAGCGGCGGCAGTGACAAGGGACTGGGCCGATTTGATCGAGCGCGAATAAACCGCGAGTATATCGGCCTGGTGTTTTATCAAAGCCGGCAGATGGGCTAGATACAAATGGTGAGTGTTCGAATTTAAGCGGTTGTAAATAGTATTCACATACCCTCTTTGGCGAACAGGCCAGCACCCAGTACAGCGATTCCAACCATTTCGCTGTTAGAAACAAGATAAAGTTTTTATCTTTTTCGATGAGTTGCAAACGGCAAAGCCCTTTAAAATAATCCGCGTCCCGGTACTCGGGGAGATAAAATGCGGACCATGCCGATCCGACTGCCTAGAGTGAAACGGCCTGTTCTCCGCATTGCACCTATTATTCAGCGCGAAGTGGTTAACTGGGCATTACCCCACATGGCTTTGTGCCCTTGACAATATCAAGCACTGTGTCGAGGAACCTCCCTACATATTGGTTGCCGGCAAGAGGACGGTATTGTGGTGAGATGTGCTATCTATATAGGTTGTGACACAGTTATTCCAGAGAAGGTGGTAGTGGAATTCTGATTTACATTTGGCTTTTCTATCTTGTTAAACCTGCTGATTCAGATCGCATATTACCCTTGAGTGCAGCATTTGATAGAGTGGAACATCTTTGCAACGTAGCAGCCACCTAGAAATCATCAGCGATGTAAATACAATTCGGGACAAACATTCTCACCAAGAAATAAAGCTGTGTAGTATCAAGACAACTCCTGCCGGTGGGGTCATAATGCTTTCTGTCACAAACCCTAACCCCCTTTGGTAGACTCCACAGAGTCCGATTGCACCCAGGACGATGACGAAGAAGACATTCCATAAATAGACAGGAGCTACATAAACAGTGGGATCGGGCCTTCTGCGCCTAGACATTTCCCGCATCTCTCGTGTGCGCTCCTCTTGCTCTTCTTTCGAGAGAAGAGGGGAAGAAGGGGAGCTACGAGGCGCGACGCATCGTCTTATATGCTTTAGTTGATCATCAGTCAATTCTTGGGGCATGTTGAAGAGTGGTTAAGTAAAGATGTGGTCGGGCCTAGGAAATAGATATGGTCGAGGGAGTCCGAACGATGATATACTGAGTGGGTCGGTTGGGGGCCAATTTGCGCACTGGCAAGGTAAACGGGGCGCAAACCGGCACCACTATAATATTATTCAAAGGCAAAAATGCTGAGCATCAAGTCGGGTGTGTAACTATGTAGTACATGGTTGCTTCAGCATGGATTAACTCCGTCGAAATAGTTTAAAAATAGTCCGGTTAGTAAGTCCAGTAGGCAGAGCATTTGTCTCGTTCTGATTGGCGGGCTAGATCTTCACGCCCATCCGCACAAATGAGACATGTACAACGAACAAACAAACAATGCTAAGATGACCGAGCCAAAGGACCTCCAGGCCTTCCTGCGGCCTCTCCGCACAGATAGGGAAACTCTGTACCGATTATCTCGCCACCTGTCGGACATCTACCGCGAGCTTGCCTCGAGCTCCTCCGAGCAATTCTTTCCCACAGCCATCACCCGCTTGCCCACGGGGCGGGAGACCGGCCACTATTTGGCTGTCTATCTTGGCCTGCACTATCTTCGAGTAGCATTTATCGACCTCCTGGGAGACCAACCCACTGGGCGGCAGCCCCCTGTGCGGCGAACGCTCGAAAAGGCTTGGCCCATTGAAGATCGTCTACGCCGAGACCAGCCGCAGTCTCTGTTCGCCTGGATTGGCGATTGTATTGCAGAGGTGATTGCCGACAGCTTGTCCAACTCCCGCGAAGATGTGCCCTCCGAAATAATGATGGGGATCTCCTTTTGCTTTCCAATCAAGTTTGTTTTCCTTCCTCTTCGTGTCCATTGAAACTGGATTAACTTGGTGACAGACAGAAGTTTCTAAATGAGGCTATCCTCATGCCAACGGGGAAAGGGTTTGCTTTGACCTCTTCCTTGAACCTTCATCAGGCTCTCGTCGAGGGCTATGAATGCCATACCGGCCGCTCGGATGAGGATTCAAGAGCCGAGCGGACGAAACGGCAGAGACGGTTTTGTCTGCCCAAGTTGAGAGTTACTGTCATGACGAACGATACCGTTGCCACGCTCGCCTCGTTAGCGTACTCCATCCACTCACTCCCCAACGCGCGGGTCGTGATGGGTCTCATCGTGGGGGCTGGTTGTAACTCTGCCATCCCCATGAGAATTTCTGATCTGGACGAATTCAAAACACGGCACATTCGAGAGAAGGAACCGAATGCCACGGAAACAGTTGTTTCGACTGAATGGACCCTCCGGGGAGCAACGTCTCCCTTGGAAGAACTCAGGTTCATCACTAAATGGGATGCCGAGCTCGATGCTCATTGCAGTCGGCCTGGGTTCCAGCCTCTCGAGTACATGGTGGGGGGTCGGTATGTTGGCGAATTAGTTCGAATAATCTGCTACGACTGGTTCCATGAGACCTTGGGAGTCTCAAGGTCTGAACTGCCCTTGAAGCTGGTCGAGGCATACTCTTTGACTACAGAATTTCTCTCGTTGGTGGTAGCCTCTGCGTCTAATAACGAAAGCTTGGCGCAAGAATTGTCAGAGCGTCTTGCACCGCCATCTTCCAGTGATTGGCGGTGGACACCTGAGTATGCTGGCCATATCCGGTCTATTGCAGCGGCTGTGCAAGCTCGATCAGCGGGTTTGGTCGCTGCCGCCACTATTGGGCTTCTCGCATGTACTGGAGAACTTCAACTGCAAGACAGAGAATCCATTGAAGGTCTGACTGGCCAAGTCTCGGATCTGTCAGCAGCCCCAAAGAAAGAACAGACACCCTCCGAAGTTGTGTCCTCAATTTCGGGATGGCGAAATGGGCCTGAAGAGTTGGTGGTTGCGGTCTCCGGCGGAGTGATTCAACATTATCCCCATTATAAAGAGACCATTCAGCAATATATTGATCGACTCATCATCCTCGCCGGACCCCAAGCCGAAGGGAAAAGCGTCTTTCTTCGAGATGTCAGCGACGGCGGGATTATTGGAGTGGGTGTTCTAGCAGGAACTGTGGCAGGAAAGATTGAAGGCATTGTGGGCTCGACCTTAGATGAACAGCACAGTCCGGAGACAGAAACAGGCGCAAAGGAAAAGAAATAAATCCATAATATTGCCTATAAAAAGAGGCATTTGCATAGTTATATCGACGAATCTACTCACTATACCCGATCAAAACAGGATAATATCCTCACTGACACCACCCTCTTCCTTCCATTTAGCAAGAATAGCCTTACAATCATTCACAACATTAGCCGCATAGTCCGGTCCAGGCGGCGCAGTAGGGGCCTTCGCCGGATCCCCCAATAACCATGCCACAGGAGCAAGAGCAGCGCCAGCACATGCTTTTCGGAGCTCCTCGACCTGCTCCTCATCAAAAGCTCGGCCCAGAATCACAGCGCGCGGGGGCTGGCTGTAATTGTGTGTACCGACGTTGTCGTCGTTGGCCTCCGACACCTGGGGATCGCGGCCCGCAAGGAGAAGCGGGAGCTCCGCTTTTGCTGCTTCGAAGCTCTGGAGGAAGTGGATCGCTGTGGGATCAGTGTGAGATTTATCGCTCATGGGTTGACAACCACATAAAAAGTATGTGGAGAGAAAAGAGAGGTTGATTCGTACGAACCTTCATATTCTGGGAGAAGGAGCTTCGCCACCGGTTTGCCGACCTTGGTGGTTTTGCCACAGAGCACGACGGGAAGGGGAGTCGGGAAGGTAGACATTTTTCGCAGTGGATGATGCAAGATGGAAGATGACAGACGAACGGGAAACATGGCGGCTTATATTTAGGGTCGTGTTAGCTACGCGGGCGGGCAGCTGGATATTTATACGGATTTGGCATAGTCTCAAGGCTAATGATGCTGCCAAGAGATGGACCATACTAGATTTAGATAGAAATCTAATTGACTGCGTATTGCCTACCCCTCTAGGAGCGTGCAGCTGAAAGTCTGTGAGATTGGATTTTTGCTTTCAGCTCTCCCCGCAAGGCTGGCCCGGTCCAGCCAGTCGACGTCACCGTCTCCGCTTGTTAACCAACGTAGGTACTAATATCCTATCATGGAGATTATTACAAACTTAATGAACACCATGATAACATGACTTAAGCATAAAGGCATTTATAGCAGAAGAACTTGTTTATTTATACTCTATAAAACGTCCTTAACCAAGGTCATTCGAATGACAAGCTAGTAGCTATGGCCTCGATCAAGCAAACAATGACCGCAGAGCCACCTCCTCCATCGCGCTTAGCTCTCGCCAAACAAGCACAAAAATATCGGATTCTGTCTTCCCTCCTTTCCCTCCTAGACCGGTATCTCTCCTGGCCTTGGCCCTCAAATCCTTCACTAGAGTTCTCCATACCGTCCACTATCAGCAAACATCCCGGCTCAATCGGGCTGTACTTTTTCACTGCGCCTTCCAGAGCACTCACTCCCAACACTATCGCAACCGCTACGCAGTCTACTCAAGACTCTCATTCTACACCACGACCAAAAAGACCCGTTCTCATCAATTTTCACGGCGGCGGCTTCTCCATCGCCCATGCGCGCGACGATGCCCGCTGGGCTACGGCTGTCGTCCAGGCCATCCCAGATGCCGTGGTAGTTAGCGTTAATTACCGGCTCGCTCCTGAACACCCTTTCCCGGTGGGAATTGAGGACTGTGTCGATGCTGTCCTGTGGTTGTGGGATCATGCAGAGCAATATAATCTCGACCAAGCCCGCTTTGCACTTAGTGGATCGAGTGCCGGTGGGAATTTTGCCCTGGCAGTTCCATTTCGACTGCGTGAAGAGCTTGATAAGCGAGCATCACAGTTTACGAACGGGCTATCTCTTGCCGGTATAGTGGGCTTCTACCCCAGCACGGACTGGACACGAGCCCGCGCGGAGAGAGACGCCACGAACCCGATTGCAAAGCAGAAATCTATGATTTCACCGTCTATTTTCCGCTTCTTTGACCAGTCCTACCTCATGCCTGAAGATCTGCCAAAATCCCTAGGGGATGATGGTATATACGCTGTCGACATGGCCCACCCTTTTCTCTCCCCAGGACTGGCTCCTGCGTCTCTCCTGCTGGCTTCATACCCACCCGCTGTGGCAATCTATACCTGCGGCTGGGACCAGCTGCTCGTTGAGGGGAATACATTCCGAAATAGACTGGCCGGACTAGTGGCAGAGGGTCAGATGAAGCATGTAGGTGGGATGGTGATTGAGGATAAGATCCATGCGTTTGATAAGAAGCCTTCGTTTTGGGCGGGGAATCCGAAGAGGGATGTGATGTATGCGGATGCGATTCGAGAGTTGGGGATGATGTGGACATAGCGATAAACGTATTTATTCTATTGTTCATAATTAATAATGAAGTCCTCGCTGTTGGTCTGACTCGAGTAGAAGAGCGGGGCAGCTGACCTGCTCGTCTTCGGCGGGGCATCAACTAGCCGTGTTTTCCTCTTTCCTCTCCTTCTCTTTCTCTTTCTCCTCCAGATTCCCCCAAGGTTTTATTCCCCATCCTTCATATCCCAGGTCCGAGTCTCCACAGACATGGTACGACTCTTTCTCTAACTGACCCGTAGGACACCCAACAAATCCAACTAAACACGATGTCCCACGCTAGTTGCCCCAAGTGCGGAGCCTCGGTCGGTTCGTCCAAGAGCTGTAGCTCCTGCGGTGCCGTTCGTTATGCATTTCCCTTGTTGAGAGACTGATGATACTAATATCTTTTGTAGACCTGCCCGGTCTGAATGCAGGTCGTTGAAAGAGGTGTTGGGCGTGTTGCAGAGAGTTGGGTCCGATATGTGCCGAGTCTTTAACTCTTATCCATCAATACAATAGTGACATTGTCTCCTATTACTTTTATTCTTCACGGATAGATGTACGACTGGACAATCTATCATAAATAAGCCTGCTGGCCTCTATAGATAGACGCAAGGATAACAGAACAAATGAAATTTCCATGTATGAGAACAGGAAGAAAAAGCGAGATCTGCAAGCATCTCTTAAAACAAGATAGACGAGGGTGTTGTTTATAGGGAATCAAAAACGCAACATGAAGCGCATCCTACAACACAAACAAAATATGCCAGCATCGAGCCGGACACACGTTGTCATAATAAGGATAGAGGTAACCTTAAACTCTCGAGACCAGTCGGAAGAAACTCATCAGCCACCAACTGTGGTCTTGCCAACTTTGGTCTCCGCGGACTCTCCGTCAGAGCCTGTCAACAACCTTCCTCTCTCTCCCCCCCTCTCCCCCCCCTCTCTCCCCCCCTCTCTCTCTGTCATCGACAGTGCGATCATGCGCTCTTGCGCCACTGCGACCAAACACCGATCAAACTGCTGACCGTACCAGCAATGCCGACCAGACCATCATCAAACGAGGCCACCCCGAGGGCAGCAGCGGGGACGGTCAAGTCACACAGATCAGAGAGGAGCTGGATCCTCACAGCGGCGCGCTCCCTACAAAGCAACGATTAGCATTCCTCACTCTCCAGACAAGATTTAGGGAGTAACATACTTCTCAAGCTTCTTCGCCTCAACAGCCCCTTCTCCTTCCTTAAGATTAACGCCCCTCTCCTGCTCCCTCAGCCGGAAGAGCGTATAGATACCCGCAACAGCCGAGCACGCCAAACCCGCGCCCCACGCACGGTACGCGGATTCCTGCAGACGCTTCGCAGACGCCAGTTTCTTGACACCGATGGCGTCGACGACAGTGATAGTGTCGAGGGTCAGGTAGCCTGCATAACCGAGCTGGCGGCCAATGGCGAGGTAGCGCAGGACGGGGTCGATCGGGCTCTTGTTATCGAGGGCGAGCGCGGCGGCTTTGAGGTGCTCGACAAATTTGCCGATGCGCAGGATCTTGCGCGTTGTTCCGAATTGTTTCTTGATAGCGTTGTAAGGGTCGATTGCGCTCTGCGGCTTGTTCGTCCGGTATAGGTACCATGCGTAGAAGCGGGAGAAGTACTGGATTGTGCGGAGAAGCTTGTCGCGGCCGACTGCGGCGGGATTATTGTTAGTGAACTCTCTATGTTTTCCTTGGGGTCTTTGAAGGGTTATGTACCAGTCGTAGCGACGAAGCGGAGGTAGTGCGCCAGCGCGGGGTGGTACACGAGGGCGTCGGCGACCATGTTGGGCGGAGGAGGTGGTGGTTCCTTGAATTCCCGAGGTGACGGACGATAGGAGACCCCGTGGTAACGAGGTCGACAGTATCAGGCTTGAGTTGTGTGGAGGTGAAAGAGATAGACACCAAGGCTAGATTGTGGAGATGAAGTCAGGGTCTTAAAGAAGGGGAAAAAGGGGATGGAGCTGGAGATGAGGTGAATGGAGGGAGTCGCTCGGTCGGTAATTGACCGGCGTGTCTTGGGCCGCGGGAGAAGAACCTCGGCTGATGCCGGTTTGGGCAGGGCACCGGAGTAGCGCTCGTCGTACGCAGGCCCTATGTAGGATTCATGTGAAGGAGATTTATTGAAAATTGAGGATTTATTTATACAGAGCAACGAGCAGTTCAAAATGGCATTTGCATTTGCCCTATGTAGTTGTTTCCTGGTCGCTCCCAATCCCTTCGCAGCTACTGGCGGATGCAGTCATCCCGCATAACGATGTGTGACTACCATGAAAGATTAAGTAGGATACATGAAGCGCAAACGCATCAGCACCACGCAGATCAGTAAGGAAAAGTGCTCAAAGACTATGTGTCGCGGGGGGCAGATTCAGTTCGCGTCGCATAGGCAGGGCAGGTCATCAGGGATCGTCGCAAAGGGCTCATCGTCAGGGCAGCGGATGGCGCGTCGGGAAGAGAAAATGTCATCGAAGTCGCATAGAGACAGTGGGATATCAAGGCACGAGCAGGGCGGATGTTGACACCGGTTTACTTCAGCTCCTCGGCTTCCGAGGTGCTCTCCTCTGTCTTGGTGCCCATGGTCGCGGTGTTGTAGCCGTTTTCCTGCAAAAAGGCGCGGAACCGGGCGTCTTCAGCGGTAATGGTGTCCTACAGTCGATCACAATTAGTCTGACCATACAATATCCATTGATCAGGATCCGAGTCATACCTGGTTAATTTGCGGCAGCAGGAAGAAAGCCAGCGCGGAACTGAGAAGGCACAGCGAGCTCGACACGAAGAACGGATCCATGCCTGAGCGGATCTTGTTGGGTGCGTTCTTCTGGACGATCGGAATGACATAGGTGCCCACGAAAGCACCAATTTTGCCAGAAGCCGCGGCGTATGAGTAGTACTGGCCACGAATGGCAGTGGCGCTTGTCTTGGATGCAACTAGGCCGATGTTGTCGCCGGGTCCGAATTCGCCGAGAGCCTGGAAGATCCTGTATTCCTCATTGTATTAGCAGGATGTCTGATGTAGCTCTCTCGAGAATACTTACCCGAGAACAACGACAAAAGCAGCCACATTCTCTGGGGTTGCAAGGTACTTATAGCATCCTGCCATGATGAACCCCACAACCCCTTGGAGACCAACTCCAATGGCCAGGGTCCGTTTCGGGCCGATCCAGTCACTCGCCCAAGCTCCAGCGAAGGAACCAGGGATGTAGAACAGGTTGAGGACGGTGTTCCAGCCAAAAGTCTTCCACATTGGGGAGTTGTCACCCAAGATGATGCTCAGCCACTTCGAGGAATAGATGTTGAAGGAATAAGCCATGAAATCATAGATGAACCAGATCAGCGAAACGAGTGTCTAGAAAGCAAGGTTAGTATTCAACCAGTTGTCAAATGGGGGAACAAGTCGTACCAGGCGCTTCCAGTAGAACCTATTCTCATCAGTCAATATGCTCGTTGCAAAGAATTTCATTGTCGACTTACTTGACAATCAGCTTGATCGGGAACTTGTGCATGCGCTCACGGCTAAACTCCTCTGGCTCACTCATCTTCAACCGCAAGTAGAATAGACTCAGTGGTGGAATGACGCCGAGGCCCAAAGCCACTCGCCAGACCGCGCGCAGGTGGTCCTCGGTGAAAATCAGAACTAGGATCATAGGTACCAAGGCGGACACCACGTAGGCGAGATCAATTTGGAAGTTGGTGAACATGATGAACCAGCGATTGCGATGGCCATCCTTGAGTTCGCCCGTATTCTCTGATGCTGCCACAGAACCTGCCGGATACTCGCCACCAATCCCGATTCCGAGGAAGAACCGGTAGGCCGTTAGAGCAGCAAACAGACCATAGATGTTGTCATTGTAGCCGTAGGCACCAGCACAGAGGGCAGCGAACAAAAACAGAATGATTGTCGAGATGATCAGAGACCACTTACGCGACCAGTGGTCACTCGTGTATCCAAAGATCAGCATACCCACCACGGTTCCTGCGAAGGTGATGGCAGAGACATTCTGGCTGGCGGGGGAGTCACTGTACGCTTTGGGGTAGAGCGTGCTCAGAATCGTATTCACTTGACCGATCACCTTGAATGGCACGGGTTAGCACGCTTGCTCTATAGTAGACGACTCTGTGATAGCCCTATGCGGCATAATCCGAAAACAGTTAAACATACCCCATTCAGATATCCGTCAGAGAAGAGACCGGCACCGCACGCGATTGTGGGCCAGCTGCGCTCCCAGCGACCCTTCTGTGGGGTTTCCAGCGGCACGATCTCGACAGGGGCCTGTTCAAGCGGCGCAGGGCCCTTCTCGGTGTCCTCCTTCATCACAGAGTCTTTCACCACGGATTCCTCCGTTTTGGCACTCATGGGTTTGGATTGGGATTGATGATAAATGATAACGGGTTTGTGGCCGGGTCCTCACAGACGTAAGGTTTGGGTAGTGTGGTTGGCGCAAGAAAAGAGAGAAACCAGTGATCGCGTGGGGAGGTCCGAGTTGAAGCAGATGACGTTGGGATCACCGGAAGTAGATCAACTGGGGATCACCACGAAGCTCAGCTTCGAGAGAAAAGAAGGAGACGGACCAGAAGGGAAAGAAGAAGTAGAAGTAGAAAGAAACGTGCGACTGAAAAGAAAGCAATAGAAGGGGAAGAAAAAACGACGGAGATCTTAGGGGCCCATCCGGCAGGCTGTGGTACCTGGGAGGTACCACTTGCCTTGGTAGCGCAACGCTGTAGCCCTCGGTACACGGCTGGTCACATCGTGGGGCGTATCCGCTCTGGGGCCGGATAACTGTGGTCCAGGTGAAGGGCCAATGAGCGGGTACCATTTTATCACGGCGTTCCATTGCTATTTGGGGGTCAATGAAAGGACGAGAGTGTATACTATGGTTTACAAGGCACAGGGACGTAAATAAGCCTTTTCGGCCCGTTCCCGAACTCGCAGGCATCTCCACCAAAATTGAGCCATCATTCAGGCGAGCAAAATAATGAGCCTATGGTAGTCGCATGGGCAAGCCCATGGCTGGCCGGGCTTAACCGGATTGGGCATAGACCCAAGCCTAGCACCGAAGAGAACAGTAGGACGGAGCGTAGGTAGGCCGACTCGGGATTGCTGAACAAACTCGATCCTGAACACGCCACAGCCCGTGTCCTGCGGCAGAGCGACCATCAGAGGCTTGAATGGCTTGCTCAGTCCCACTGGGAACGAACTGGGTTCCTGATCTCAGCCCTAATCCGGCAGTCGATATGGATGAACACGTGACATCAAGAAATGCGCGAAATTTGGCCTGCCAGAGACATCCCCAAGGTTCTCTGAGCCGTGGCTGCATTGATGTTCCAGTCTCGAACAATATTGTCGGGTGTTTTGATATCGAACACACGCGAAGTTGCGGGATGGCCGGCCTCTAGAGTCTCGGCTCGGAAAAACATTCCGCCAGCTGAGCTCTCTCTCCGCCGGATCACCTGGCCAGCATCATCAACAATCCCTCCGTGTCTGGCCCTCGCTCCATCTACACCCTCTACTCCCGTCGATCGCATCCTCTACTCATCCTTCCTCGCCCACCTCTGCCGCCATCATGGGGTCCGATCCACAGTACATCAAGTACCCCGATCTCAGCCTCGCCCAGCATGTCTTCAATCTCTCCAACCCAGCCTGTGACGCAGCCCTTCGCCAGACCTCATTGAAGCACCTGCAAGATGCCATCTCCGAGCACAAGATGGCCCCGTTCTACCGCTACCTAGCCCACCCGGTCGAAGGCATCCTCAACACCTCCGGCGAGGGTGCACCGCAACATCCGCATCATGGCGCGAATGCGACCAAGCCTCTCATCACTTCCAACATGCTCGCCTCCCGAAAGTCTCCGCAAAAGGTGGATTTCCCATGGGACGAGGAGTTGTACCAGTCCCTGGTGGAAGATAACAAGAAGGAATTGGAGACGTTCCAGAAGGAGGAAGAGGACGCGGAAGAGGCGGCCGGTGAGACCGAGGTGCAGGCTGCGCGGGGGAAGAGAGCTGAGTTCTGGGCCCGAGTAGGAGACAAGGTATGGGATTTGAGTCTTTCCAGCCTGTAAGACTCTTTACTGACGGTGATCGGTTTGACAGGACAAAGCCATCGAGTCCGGCGAAGCCCTCCTTGAAAAGACGGGATTCCTGGGCACCAAGATCGACCTGACGCTGGCGATGATTCGGATTGGGCTATTCTTTGGGGATCTGCTGTTTGTCAAGAAGATCATCGAACGAGCGGAGACGTTGGTCGAGAGCGGTGGTGACTGGGATCGAAGGAATCGCCTCAAGGCATACAAGGGACTGCATCTCCTCACTATTCGCTCCTATAGTCTGGCTGCGCCTCTCCTGTTGGACAGTCTGTCTACGTTTACGAGCTATGAACTGTGCAGTTACTCCTCGTTGGTGATCTACTCCGTGCTCGCGGGATCATTGTCCCTCAAGCGCGTGGATTTCAAGGCGAAGGTGGTGGATGCCCCGGAGATCAAGGCGATCCTCGGTGCCGGCGAGGACCAGCTGGCTGCGCTGACCGGTGAGGTGTCCGCTGGTCCCGGTGCCCAGGACGAAGAGATGAAGGATGCGACGGTGACGAAAGCGACCCCGGCCGGTGCCACTACCGCCGTCAACCTGGCCTCACTAGTCACCGGGTCTGGCGTGCAAGCTGAGGCCGAAGCCGCCGTGGACTTTTCGTCGCTGGCAAACCTGGTCAACAGCCTGTACAATGGCAACTACCGGTCGTTCTTCCGGGCGCTAGCAGCAGTCGAGGACCACTTCCTGACGCAAGACCGGTACCTGCATGAGCACCGGGCGTGGTTTGTGCGCGAGATGCGACTCCGCGCCTACCAACAGCTGCTGCAGAGCTACCGCGTGGTAGGATTGAACAGCATGGCGAGCGACTTTGGCGTGACGGTGGACTTCTTGGACCGGTTAGTATTCCCCACAACAGCGATTAGTTGCATTCACGCTAACCCATCCCAGCGATCTGGCCAAGTTCATCTCCAGCAACCGCATTTCATGCACCATCGACCGGGTCAACGGCATCATCGAGACAAACCGGCCGGACGACAAGAACAAGCAGTATGCGGATGTGGTCAAGCACGGCGACTCGCTTATCACCAAGATCCAGAAATACGGGCAGGCGGTACGTCTGCGGGGCAGTGAGCGCAGCTAGTTAGATGTGTACTCTAAAATGAGTGGAGTGGGCTAGAATTCAACGTTGATTCCTATAGCGTATCCACCTACATGGCCTCCATATCAGGGTTCCCAAATAAGGATGGCGGAATATGTACTGCTCCATAGACAACTGTAAAAGAATAGCCCGCGAGAATATGTGATAACTATCTTTCCTCCGGTGACCGGGGGTTGACAAGGCATGGCATCTGCGGCTCTATGAATATACTCCCTGTTAGAAAGGGCCAAAAAAACATCCTCGAACCCTGAAAACACGCTTAGTCCTCTAATTTCGGTTTGTGTAGTGTGATCCTGATGGATCCTTGTATATTTAAATACATACAATGTAATACTCGTGCCAACAAACAATTCAATCTGGGTTAGGCCTTTAGGACGCCCCTTTCGTATGTAAATTATGGCTCATTGCCGTGGTCCCTATCTATGACTTTGCTAGTGCGAAGCAAGCATAATTCGAGGGATTCGATGGATTCGGGCTGGCCCCAAGGTTGAAGGAAAGTCATCTTAGAGTAGTACTCCGGACTCCGTACATGTGTACTCCGCATTAACTCAACTAAGTAAACTGTTCAAAGATGATGACAAGATAGAATCGGCTTGCTTTCAGTATTTAGTGGCTTAGCATCAATCTATAATGAATCAACACTAGGTCTTTCCGAAGTACATACGGAGTCACAAGGGCCAGAAAGGGTATGTTAGAATTCCACGTAGATTCCGACATACAAGCCACAACCCTCCTCACTATGCCCTATTCTACTCCGTAAGGTCCATCCTGCCCCCGCTCTCCGTCCATCGGGCGGCTCCGGAGAACGTCGGACTTGGGGATCAGCCCCACGTTTGCCTATCATCTCGACGACTGTCTGGCCGACTGTCATGACGTGCATGAAGTTGTCTCTTTTCTCGTCCGACACATGGAAGATCATGATTCTTCTCCGCACGCTCGAGGCTCGATCCATGGCGCCCATCAGCCCGAACGTGGGGAAGCGTTGACTCACTATGCTGACTCAGCCATGTCCTCCCGCTCCCTTCTTTTTTTCCCGCAAGCGGCGCTTCGTGCCTGACGGAATCCTGCCAATCAGTCCGATCTGCCCCTCCCCCATGTCCGTTTCATTTAGGCTCGCGCGGGCGTCTCCGCTACGGGCAACCCGGCCGAATAATGCGTTTCTCCTACATCGCCCGGCGTGGGGTCCATCTGGTGAGTACTACATGGATTATTATAACTTTTGGCCTCATCTCTCCCTTCTCACCACTCTTCCCATTCACTGACCTAATCCAGCCATGACTCAAGCCAAGGTCGCTCAACCCACCAAGCGGGCTTTGTCTGCTGTCCCGTCCAAATGCCTAAACATCGACAACGTGAACCCCTCCATCAAGGCGGCCAAGTACGCTGTGCGCGGGGAACTGGCCGTCAAGGCGGAAAGCTATCGCCAGCGCCTGGCCGACGGCGACAAGGCTCTGCCCTTTGAGAGCGTCATATTCGCCAACATCGGCAACCCGCAGCAACTCGACCAGAAGCCCATCACCTTTTTCCGCCAAGTGCTCAGTCTCGTCGAAAACCCCATGCTCCTCGAGAACCCGGAGGCACTCAAGACTTCGTTCGGATACCAGCAGGATGTCATTGATCGGGCCAAGACGCTGCTGGCCAATGTGCAGAGCGTCGGCGCATATAGTCACAGCCAGGGCGCACCGGGGATCCGGAACAGCGTGGCCAAGTTTATTGAAGAGCGCGATGGCTTCCCCGCGAACCCGCAGGACCTGTTCCTGACCGGCGGTGCCTCGTCTGGTGTCAATACCCTGCTGAACGTGATCTGCAACAGCCCCAACGCGGGTGTTCTCGTACCAATCCCTCAGTACCCGCTCTATACCGCGACGCTGGCGTTGCTGAATGCGCAGTGCGTCCCGTATCATTTGGATGAACAAAAGGCGTGGGGTACGGATATTGATGTTATGCACAAGGCCATCAAGGGCGCCAAGGCGTCTGACATCGATGTGCGCGCCGTGGTGGTGATCAACCCGGGCAACCCGACGGGTGCGTCGCTGAGCGCGGAGGATATCAAGAAGGTCATCGATCTAGCTGCCGAGGAGAAGCTGGTGATCATGGCAGACGAGGTGTATCAGACGAATGTATTCGAGGGTGAATTCGTGTCGTTCAAGAAGCGCCTGCGCCAGCTCCAGCAGGCCGAGCCTGGCAAGTACGACGACGTGGAGCTGGTCTCGCTGCACAGTACCTCCAAGGGCATGGTGGGCGAGTGCGGCCACCGCGGCGGCTACTTTGAGCTCGTTGGCTTCGACCCACTGGTCGTCGAGCAAATCTACAAGCTGGTGAGCATCATGCTGTGCCCGCCCGTTGTGGCGCAATGCCTGCTCGAGACCATGGTCAACCCTCCCCAGAAGGGCGATCCCAGCTACGAACTGTACCAGGCGGAGTATAACGGCATCCGGGATGGTCTGCACAAGCGCGCCCGCGCTCTGTACAATGCCTTCCAGCGCATGGAGGGTGTCGAGTGCCAGGAGCCTCAGGTATGTTTTATTCCACGCCCACCATGTTGCTTCAATTACTAACTCTACCAACAGGGTGCCATGTACCTCTTCCCAACCATCAAGCTCCCCACCAAGGCCGTCGAAGCCGCCCAGGCGGAGGGCCGTCCCGCCGACGAGTTCTACTGCCTGCGTCTGCTCGATGCCACAGGCGTGTGCGTGGTCCCGGGCTCTGGCTTCGGTCAGAAGGAGAACACTTTGCACTTCCGCACAACGTTCCTTGCCCCCGGCACCGACTGGGTCGAGCGCATCGTCAAGTTCCACGCCGAGTTCATGGAGAAGTACCGGTAAACGCCAGTGGATGAGTGACAGATGATGAACCCACGAACCCAGCTGGGATACTTTCCCTCTGGAATCCACGCCATTTATGCGAGACGAGACGAGTCGTTTGTGATTTCCTTGTACCATCAGGAAAGAGGGCTAGCTGATGCCTCTTGATACTTATCTTATAGACCACCTACACCCAATCCACCTGGACAAAAATTGTTTTTTGGCATACACATCTACCATTTGATTGGTATTGGCAAATTCAGTTCTGGGAATATATTGATTATTCATTGGGAATTAAATCTAGCGACATAAATCTATACACCATTTGCTCTTTGTAACATTTATTCCAACAGTTCTCCGTCCTGTCTTGTTTGCCTTGTGCTCGTATGTCTTTCCGTCCGAGGACGGACACAAACAGACAGTCTAGCCTGGCCTAGACAGATGCATGCATGGCCTCGTCAGCCTCAGTCCAACACATGGAATGTGTCTGCCCCCTTGCATAGTAAAACCATGCACCGTAAATCCGGATCATCCTGCCGGGCATGTATCTTTGTCAAGTATGTTTCCTCTCGATCAACTGGAGTCTATCCCTTTGCAGACAAGTGGATTGTGGACGTAGGATACAGTTGTGATATGTGTCATGTGTCTCCAATCCGACTCCAAATCTCCCTTCCTTCCAGGTGGGCCTAACGTCTCAACGGCCTGAAGCCGTGTATGTATTCCGGCATCCACACCCGACTACATTTTTATTATAGTACTTGCACCTTCTATCTGGAACGGAATGGCGTTTAGAGCATGATATGACCCGTGAATAGATAGATACACTCATCGACTTGTTGGAACCGGCTTCCCGAACAGTCCATGTAACTAACTGCCTCCACATCTTCCACATGCCTCCTCGGACTCTATACGTTATGTACTTGGACTATACGGTTGGTTACCTATTAGGCACAATCCCATAATGCCGGATCGATCCACAAAACACACAAATCTTACCCGAACAGGGTCCTCCCCTGCCAGACTCTGTGGACAGGTAGGCTAAGCCTTAGCCAAGGCTGCAGTCAAGGCTTATATCGCGAGGAATCTGCACTCTGTACGGGCGGAATGTATGTGCCTACCATGCAGGATCCGATCAAAAGGCTTGTTTTTGTTTTCTCGCGAGACATTCGACACGTCAGCCTTTTCCCTTAGCCATCGGTCAAAGGGATAGATTATGTGAAATGTGGAGGATTGCTTCGAAGTAACAAAGTAACGAATAATACCGAAACTGAGGGCGGTACACCGCTTCTTTCCTGGTGTGATGTTAGTTGCGCCGGTGTGATGTTGTTATACTTTAGTTACTGCTCTCAGAGCTTACGAGAGACCGGTAGAGCTGAACAAATACTACGTAAGTTTCCTTCAAATACGAACTTGAACTTGGATACCGTGACACACAGTCAGCAGACTGACTGTACGAAAAGATCCGAGCCACAAAAGCTGGGCTGAGCTGGACCGAGCTGAGCCGAGCCGGGCTTCGTATGTTCTCGCATATACAAAGAGTGCAAAGTCCAGATTCTGTACCAGGTACACAGGAGGTACATCATGTATCTAGAAGCACAATAGCTAAACCACCTAACTATAAAGTTAGTAGGGTACAGTACTCGCACGAAATACATAAAATGACCAAAGAAAACCTGCTTGCGGGCGACGATCTGAGACACGCGCGCACCGGTGGTTCAGCCGAGTCGTCAGAGAAAGCAAGTGCGAGCCGCTCGCTCGCTCACCGCTAGAAGTTAGCGCACCCCCTCTTCACTGCATCTCCCTAACGAAAACAATACGGGATGCTTTTGGTAATTAAAGCCTGCCCTGCTCTTATTCTGGTATTTTATTATTGATGGGATGGTGATATGTACTGATTTATTGGTTTGATTTATTTCTAATAATTGTTAGGTCGGAAAGCAGGATCTCTCTTTGTTCTTGAATCATGGATCGACTCCGCCTGAGAGAGGAATGCTGGTGTCCCGAATCAGTATAGTTTCCAGCCGGCTGTACAACACGAGAATCTGTACTCCGACATGGGGTAGTGGGAGGTAGAGGCCCGTTCTTGTAGATACAGAACGATACAATACTGGCGCAGCGCAGTACACACATGGCAATGTGGCAATGGCAAATCACGAAACCCTCTAGATTTGACGCAATAATCACGGGAGGAATTCTAGACTGGCTAATAAAACACGGAGACAAAGAGCTAGAACAAAAAACATTTATATCATCATCTCTCATCAAGGTCATGAAGACGGTGTGGAGGTGGTGGTGGTTTAAGTTACCGCAAAGAAGCAGCAAGAAGAGAGGGAGGGAGGGAACATGACGTGCCGCACAATTACAGCGCCCACGATTGCCGGAAGTAACTCTCATCCATGGGCGGGGTGGAGCCGGCATCGAACAGGCTACTGGGCCACAGAGGAACCGAATCCGGTGGCGACGGCATGCTGTTGGATAGGGGCTTGTTGTTGTAGCTGGGTGACTGCGACGACACGGCATACATGTCCTGTGCGGGGACGGGCTTGGGTTCCATCGCCATGCTGGCGTGCAGCTGGTGCTCGAGCGCGGCGGTGGATTCGTTGGCCGACTTAAGGAAATCGTCAATGTTGATGGAGTCCAGATCATTCGACGACAGGAGCTGCGCTTGAGGCAGCCCGACCAATGAGGACGCAGAGCTGACGCGGAGGTGGTCCATGTCCGATGCTTCACTCACGCTGTGGAGATCGTGCATGTCACCGCCGTTGCCTGCATGCCCCAGAGCCGGGAGCGGTCCGAACTCGTCGGCCTCGGAGATCTCGCCAGAGGAGGACGGCGGTGGGAGACCGGTCGGGTATGAGTTGTAATCGAAGCTGGCGTATGACGGCGTCTGCGTACTGGTCGCCGCTGGTACGTCCGAGGAGTACAGGGGGAAACTCGACCAATCGACGGAGGGAGCACCCAGTCCCGCAGAGCCCAAGGGCAGTTCCGAGTCGGGGGACGCAAAGTACGGTTCCTGGTAGGGATCTTGGAATGCCATGCACGTAATCGGCGAGTTGCTCGTGGTGTTGGGGAACGAGGTGAAGGTCGAGACATCGAGAGGTGGCGGTACGCTCGTTATGATCCGCTCCAGGGGCCGCTCGTCCAAGTTGGGCGGGGCAGAGGTCGGTTTCACATCTTGGGTATGGTCGAGCGAGGTGGAAGCGTAGTGATCCAGGAACGACTGGTCGAGAGGGGCGGACGTCGTCGCGATCTCCTCGCCACCGGCGCCGGGCGCGCTGTGCGGAGAACCTTGCTGCGACGGCTGCTGCGATTGTGGTTGTGAATCCATCGACAGCGCGAGGGGCTCGTTGACAAACGCCGACTGCGTCAAGGGCAGATGGTCCGCAGATCGACGGGGTAGGTCGGACGGGTGGTGGATGGTGTGCGATCGGGGGATGGTGTAAGGCAAACCGCACTTGTGAGCCATGTCATTGTGCTTGTGGGCGGGCTTGTGGTGCCCATCTCGGAAGATTGTCAATGTCGACTCGGACTTGGTCGAGGTGAGATGGGGTTTAGTGGGACCCGACGGCTGAGACAAGGGCAGACCAGTCTCGGGAACGGTATCTAGATGGGATTCCTTTTTCAGCGCACACGTGCAGCGCTGACCATGACTGCAGCCACAGCGATGAAGTGCGTCCTCTGTAATTTCAGATCAGAAAAAGTGATTCCGGAAACCAGCGCCAGCATGCTCACGCTTCAAATCTCGCTTCTCTCCCGCATGGCAGTCAAACATGTCGGATTTCTTCTTCTTCTCGCCACAATCGCACTTGACGTGGGTTGTTCGAGACTTGCGTAGGCCGCGGCAGTGGGTGCATTGAGAGACTGGACGGCCTTTTTTGTTGATGTGGGTCAGGGGGCGGTCTATTCACGACGAGTTAGTTTTTCGAAGACCGTGATGTACGTGATCGGATCGACATACCACTGTGGTGACAACTGCTGACCCGGTGACCCCGGACGCAAGCTTCACAAGCCCACTTCTCACCTTCGATCAGCATCGCGTGTGGTTACTGAAGAGCACACATGCGATAAATCACGAAATAAAAAAATCAAAGTTGAAATAAAAAACAGTCAGTCGTGGAGACTGAGAGGTATCAAAAGCCGTCAAGGCTTAGGGGTCCGTGCGATATTCTTCGAGAAGTAGTCGGACCGAACGAAGGAGAACGAAGACAAGCAAGGGTATCTTAGGCGAAGGTGCCAATGTGCACACAAGTCACAGAAACGCCGATCCAGCAGTATACAAGGCTCGTTGGAGAAGCCACTGTCACTGCGAAATTGGTAGGAAAAAAGGGCGAGAACGGAGAGAATCCAGTGGTGGTGAGAGGGGGATTGTGCGGGTTGCGCTGAGGCAAGAGGCGAAAAAAAGTAGAAGAGGGGAGATTTGGGGGGAGCCCAAGCCTACGCACCGTTTGGCGCCGGCCGTTAGACAGGACACCAGAGACCGGTAGTGGCGGCCAAGTGAGAAACTCGATGTCAAAGCGTGTCGGGACACTCTGTGCAGTGAGGAAGAAGAAGAAGTGAAAAGCGGGCGAGCGGCGGTTAGTTAATAACGGGCTGGGGGGTGTCGCTGCGGAAATGGTCGCTGTGGTTGCCCTGAGTGGTAAGGATACGGTAACGGGGGCAATTCTGGTACTGCTGCCTCAGGCCACCGTACTCTCGGTGTACGCAGTACAGACCCGTCTATTACTCCTTTCTTGCTATCTGCAACTACATCTTTCCTTGACTAACGACATCTACCCGACAGGGGACTGCTACATCTATCCAACTGCACGCCGGTGCATCTGTACGTGGCATCGCAGTGCCGTCTCCACTAGCATCAAATACATTGGCCCTCGCGTGTCGGGTCCCACAGGAACCATGATTTACGGGTTAGGGGGCCCCGTTAGGGTTACCTGCGTGTACACTGGCGTGAGAAGGATTCAGTCCCAAGCCGAGTTCGGTGATCATCGTTGAGAGGACGGACAGGACGAATTATTTTCTTCTTGTGTCCTTCCCGTCAGTGCCAATCTGCTCTTGGGGGTGGTTGCCTGACTGGGGTGGCAATGCCCAAATGCGGCGGCCCCTTTGGACACCCAGTAAAAAAAAAATTCGAATCCAGGGGTCAGCATGAAACAGAACACCGCCGTGTTTTTTTGCCTAACTAATCGTGTGTCCTTTTCTACGCTTATCTTCGCACGAACTCACCCCCCACCGCAATGGATCTCGCTAGCTAGAATCTGGGGCCGCACCAACTGCCTGACACCTGGTCTGTAGTGACAACAAGTCCTAAGAATAGTGAATCACGGGCCAAATTGGGGCCGCTGTTCTCAGGGGCCTACCCCCAAAGGATCTAGGTACAATGCGTACTGGACCATGTTCCGCCTTTCCGCAGAACATTCCACGATCCCTGTCGGGCTGTTCTTTCATTGGCAGATAATGCACACAAGCAGAACACGGACGACGCAGCGCGTTACGACTCGGTACCAGAACTGGTCATGGCGCGGTACGAGGCAGCCTGATGGCGTCAGAGTGCCTGCTTCGGGCTGCCTGCAGAGGCTTTGGCGCCGGCTCGTCGACGAAGCCCTGATCTGCGCGGGCGGACCCACGAATGAACACGCCGCTGCTAAGGAATCCGGGTTTACATACTTACAAGCGTAATACGGCCTCGTGCTCGTCCCGATCGGCCTGAGTGTATGCACTCAAAATATCCACTTCGGACGCTGCGCCGTATACTAGACAGCTTAGTGTTAGTTATTGGACACATCTCGTTTTGAGAATCACTAATCTACAACAACCGGGTAAATGCCCTCTACGTATGCGAGTCTTTTTCGACCTGATAGTCTAGGCGTTAGTCTCTATAAGAGAAAGAACTTCAGTATCTTTCTTATTCTTCGGACTATCTATGTCTCCCTCATGAGACCGAATATACGATTTTCACTCGATTTATTCTATTCTTTCTAGCCATGAGTCCTTCTAGCACCAACAACACTCCTCTGGTTCTTTCGCTCTGACAGTACCAACCGAGCGGGCCAAAGTGCAACATACCTCGGCAGAAACAACACAAAAGCAACCTGTCAAGCTACGACCGGCGAATAATCAAACAAGCAAGTCCTAATGACGGAATTGGCGATAACTTGGCCGACACCGAATGGGCAATTGTCCTGGATCGTCTGGGAGTTCGTCGAACAGTTCATCGCGAAGACGTCGCAATCTCTGCCGAAGTCTGAACAGTTTCATAATTATTTCAGCACAGTCTTCTCCCCGCGTGACAGGAGCATATGCGCTGCGAAGTCGTGAGTCGTGTCGAGATTGGGGAGTAGACGAGAATGAGGTCGCCAGCATGGACCGCAGACCTAGAACCGAAGTCTTCGAGGCCATTTTGAGTGTTGATGGATGCTATGTTACCAGCGATAGAGCACTCCAATTCTTATGTATATGTATTAGGTTAAGACTACACGGAATGAGGATATCCAGATCATGTCGACCCCGAAGACGGCAGAAAGGAGTAGACACTAATACGATCCATGTCTATTTATGGTTGTGAGTCTCCGGTCGCTGTATTGGATAATCAGAGGCGTGGAGAGCGTCATCATCACGACCGGGTGGCGAGTCAACGACAGTGAGTGGGATACCACTGAGAACAGTCTAGATGATGCTGCGAATGGTATCGCTGTATCATCCCCGGCCATAGTGAGGGAGTGAAGGAGTGATGGATCAGGAAGTACATAGGCCCGGTCGGCCGTAGTTAATCCGTTCGCCACGCAGAAATGAATCGCCGTCTCCGTGATCAACTAACTATAGGGCTGGAGTATATGGCTAAGGAACAAATTATAAGGAAATGGAGAATCCAAAAGACACAATTCCTCGCAGCAATGTTGGTCTCGCTCAGCGCGCTAGCCCCTTCAGCATGCCCGCTCCTTTTTTTAGCCTGTAGAGCAGAAAACCTTGCAACTTCCCTTCACCTTCCCTCCTCCCACTCCCTCCCTGTCACCCCGGAAGCTCGCTTTTCTCAACACCATCCCCCCTCGAGCCAGCTCGGGTGATTTCTCGCGCTATGAATTCTCGCGAACATTCCGACATGCCTCCGGCGCCCTCCTACCCCTCCCCCAACGCCGCGCAGATGGCCCAAGGCGCCATGCCCTACTACAGCAACCGCCAGCTGACGGACGACGAGCTCCTGACAGCCGAGCTGTCTCGCGAAACCTCCGGTGCCAATCTCGGGGGCGGTTCGAGTAACGGCGTCCACCAGGGCCAGTCGATGGTGCTGGGCTCGTCCAATGCCGGCGCGCCTGACATGGGCCGTCACGACTCTGAGGATCAACACCAGCAGATGCTACAGTTTCCGCCAAGTCAGCAAGTCGGCGTCGACCCGAATCACGATCTGAGTTACGGTGAACAAAGCGCGCGTAAGCGTTCGAAAATCTCGAGGGCCTGCGATGAGTGTCGCCGAAAGAAGGTATGATTTCTGCCCTGGTGACGGGACGCGACCTCGAGTCTCTCCAGCTAACGCGATTGTTTTTATTCAGGTGCGATGCGATGCCACCTCCGAGACTGGCCTCGAAGGATGCTCCAACTGCCGCCGTCTGGGCATTGTGTGCCAATTCAGTCGCGTGCCGATGAAACGCGGTCCCAGTAAAGGGTAGGAATAACACGCCTCCATCTTCGCTACCCATACTGACCTTCAACAAGTTATATCAAGGAACTTGCCGAGCGCCTTCACACCCTGGAGAGTCAAATGCAACCTGCGATGGTCCAGCCCGATGTGCCCTACCAGTCAATGAACGACCTCCCCCGAGCCTACCAAGACTTCGCCTCGCCGGTGGACTCGAGCGGCGGCAACCGAAAGAGAACATACTCGGTCTTTGAGGGTCTGCCCAGCTCGTCATTCGCGCAGCCGAACTTCAATGCGCGTGGGTCACAGAATGCCTTCGATGCGACGGAGTCATCGGCGGACCCTTACAACCCAGCAGTCACAAGCGGCGGTGCTCCCAAGCCGGGCAACCTGTTTTGGAACCCGGCTGGTAATGAGCACGACCTGCCCAGCGGTCTTGAAATGACCGACCTGCCCAAGCATGAGGGCGACGATGACATGACTCCAGTCAGCCTAGACGAAGGCGCCCTTGATGCGTATGTTGAACCCTACATTACTCGTGCTCATGAACTTACAAAACGCGCAGCTATTATCAAAAAATCCATACTCTGCTGCCGATTCTACCGCACACCAGGGAGAGGACATTAGAGCTGCTCCACCAGTGCCACCGAGAAGCGCAAGAGATCTTCTGCTATGCGTTGTACACCATCACTCGGACGGACTTGTCGCGCGTGGCAAGCAATTTCGAAAAAGTCACGTCCTTTGACAATGCCCAAGACCTCCTTCTTTTCCACACCCGCCAGCCGCTCATGGTTCACTCCACCGCAGTCAACTTGGTATGGCTACAGACTCTTCTGCTGATGATCATCGATTGTGACACTCGTGGCCCGGAGAATTTTGTGTTGAAAGATGGTATTCCCAAACACACTCTGGTCCAGGCCGCCAGTAAGCTCGGATATGATCTGGCAAAGAGCCAGGGTCAATTGAAGAACAAGCGTGATACTGATCCTGATGTTGACTCGGATTCCAACCTTACACGGCGCAACTGGGTGTCTTTGGTCATTTTGGCTCGGTGGTATGCCATTAGCGTAGCGGATGCGACTGTTCTTGGCTCCCATGAGATCGGTGGGCGTGAAGATGAGCGGGTTGTTGGGCAGATCACCACGGGGATTGCCTGTAAGTTGAGTCCGGTCTTTTTTTCCACGCATGCTGACTTTGATATCCTAGCCTACTCGACCTTCCTGTCCGAGATGGTCACTCTCGCGACTGTTGAACCCAACGTGTGCCAGGCGAACACCGGATTGGGCCGCATGGTCGGCGCCAACTTGGTCGCTTCGCTTGAGCGTCTCGCCGAGATGGAGGACGTGTTCAAAGTGCATGAGTTGCCCGAGAACACCAGCACGCGACCACTCTTCGAGAGTCTTCAAGCGCAGCTGTACTGGACCATCCGCCTGCTGATCAAGCGCCACGTCTTCGTCTACAGCCCTTACGAAATCATTTACTGCGCGCAGGAGGTGATCAATGAGATGCACAAAGCGACTCTGCAGAACCGCCAACCTTCCCCCATTGACCTACACAGTCTAGCCCTCGCATCGATGACCCTTCTCGAAGCCACCGTCCTCCCGGAACACGGTAGCGAATGCTGGGACTCGCTCGGAAAAGTTGAAGAGATCTTGGACCACCGCTCCAGGCGCTCCACCAACGCATCCGAGTTTGACGACATCTTCGGGACCCCCGGCTGGGACGCAAAGATCCGCATCTTCCTCGAATGGCGCCGCGCCAAGGCCCAGGAGAGCCAGCTCCATGAGTCGGGTAGTCTGCCCAAGACATCCTCGTCCAACCACCCGCCCATGGGTCCCAACGAGCAGCGCTCCCTGCAGCACCTGGCCGATCTCGCCGTCGGCGCCGAAGGTTCTGTCACCCAGAACGCCTCCGCCACACCCCCGCCAGGTTTATCGTCCACCGAGCACGGCGAAACCTCCCCGAACCTCGCTCCGCAGCTTTCGCAGTCGCATGGGGGTGCGGGTCGCGTCGTTGTGGACTTTACAATGCTCACAAAGGAGGGATATCTCAATGTGTTTTCGGGGTTGATTTATCGGCGTTCGCGCTGAGATGAGATGAGATGCACCCACAGTAGACGTTCGTTGTCTTTCAACTCAACTCCCGTTTTGAATGATATCCCCTTTCATATCTTACGCTTTTCCTTTCCTTGCCCCGCTCCTTGGTTTCTACTTACGTCGTTGCGTTATGCATACGAATTGACTTACTTGACTAGCTGTTGCTATGGAGAAAATATCGGTTGTACTCTACCACTTTACCTACTGTTTCTTGTCTTGTGTGGTCTCTCCTGTTTAGTTTAGTCTTGTTTTTTTACTAGGTGTTAAGGTTAATATGGAGAATGTACTCATTAACCCAGGGCTGCAGTTCTCGTTTCTTTCACTCATGCTGTTGTCTTCACTGAAGTATTTTGGTAATGCCTAGGTAGTCCGATATATTAAAACAGAAAAAGAGAGAAAAATCCCACGCAGTCAGCTAATCTCTATGCTATAGATGATGCACTTATAATTTCAAAAGGACAGAGAAAGAAAGCAAAAAAGAATATAATGAAAGCTGGACCGAGAAAAAGCCAAGAAATGACCCGAGTCAACAACGCTTCAACACAATAGAGATATCAATGACAGATAATCCCCGAAACTCACGTCTTCTTCCCAAACGCAAATCGCCTCCACACCCCCTCGACATCCTCACACAGGACCATGAACTTATCATCCTCGAGCAGCTCGCACATCCAGTTCTCGAGCATGGCGGTGCGTTCCGCTGTTGGTGCGGAGAAATATTGCGAAAGGCTTAGTTCAATTGAGGACGAGGATAGGGATGGTGGGTGGGCAGGTGGTTGCGGCCGTGGATTTTGGTGCTGGTTCTGGCTTTGGGTTTCGGGCTGTGTTATAAATGTGGTGTTGGGCGGAATGTCTGGGCAGAGCTGTGCAGCCGATGAAGTATAGTCATCGAGATCTGTACTGCGCTCCGTAAATGTATTTGGTCGAAAGATTGGCGGAGGCTTAGGAGAGTGCAGATGGACTCTTTGCGTTGGCAGTCGCTGTGGATGCAGCTGCGTTGGTGTCGGTGAGGGAGGTTGGGATTGGAAGACTTGGATGTTCGAGGCGCAACGTGATAATCCCCGCAATGGAGCATTTGCATGGGAGTCCTGTCTCTCGTTGAGTTCGGGACGTGCATGCGGGAGTTGCGACGACGGTGGACGTGGAGTAGAACTGGGTGTCTGAGTTTGAAGCACTGCATTTGTTCGGGGTCTTTTCGCGATTGGGTTCGGGGTTGAGAATGGAAGGTTTCGCTTGGGGGGAAGGTCATGGCTGAGCGATTCAATGTCATGGTGTGCTGCGGAGATAGTAGGTCTAGCAGCAGTAGTTGTTGTGCTAGTACGCCTGACTTGTTCTGAGCGAGGGGGCAGCATTTGGTTCAGTTGTTCGACGTCGTGATATGGCACGGTGGTTGACGATAGGGTATAGGTGTTTGTGCGTCGCATAGGTTCATGATTGAAGCTCGGAGTATCCTGGTGTCGTTGTAAAGTTGCCTGTGCTCTGTTATTGCTGGGACCGATGCTTCTGACCGAAGGACGCGTGAGGTAGGATGTAATAAGGGAGGCACTTCCTGAGCACGAGAGCGGTGGGCTGGTAGCTGAGTAGATCAAGATATTAGAATGGCTTGGACTGTGTCTGAGGTAGAGGAGAGATGCGGCATACTTGTCGCCATGGCAGGTCTGTATGCTGCAGAATGATGAAAAGGGATCGCAGGGCTGGTGTGCGGCTCCCCAGTATAGCTTGTTGCAAGTGACGGGGCGTATTCCGAGTTCAAAGACATGGTTGAGGGCAGTCTTCGAGAGGACGGGACCGAAGGCGCACTCCCTTCTGTCAAGGGACAATTGATCTCGCCCAAGAGAGCGAGTGCCGTATAGTAGTCGCGATCAGACACGAACTTGATTTGGAAACGACGGAGCTGCTGATACTCAATACGTGAACGAAAATGGCAGAAGAGATATACCCACATAGGTTGGTCCTGAAGGGTATTTGATTGCCAGACAGGGCATCTTCACAATGACAGTAAAGAGTGTTCTCTGAGGAGAACCATTCAAATCTTGAGCAGTGGTCATTGCGTGCAAAAGGTCAATTTGCTCCTGTGACCAGACATCCTCTCAGCCTGCTGCAAATTGTCTCGACGAGGAACTGGAAGTCATACCAGTGTGGTCTGGTGTTGAACCACGCGCAGTATCAGTCTGGTAGGCATTGAGACGCTGTCTGGCAATTTTTCAAAGATGCAGAGCAGCTCGCCATTCCCATTAACATGGTGCCAGGTCAGTGGACCGGCATGCTCGATGGGGGTGGTGGTATGGGAGAACTTGGCGAGGGCCAGGTGAGTGAGGTAGGGTATGTTTGGGCTCATTGTGAAGAAAAGTTGATATATTCATATACAGATATAGCCCTCGAAGATGTTGGAAGAAACAAGAACGGTGGGAGGGAAGTACTGGACGGAGTCATTTGATCCAGCAGAGAAATATATATTTGCAGCATCCACACGCAGAACATGAATCAGCAGTCCACGGTAGTCCTTGCGGGATAAATCAATTACTTGAAATCAAAAGGCAATCACGTTGAACAAAATAGAACATTGTCCAAGCCTGTCCACTATCATGTGATGTTTCCATGTACTGTATGCTCCCAATCTCGACACCCCAGGCAGCAACTACCGGAACGGAACAACCCAGCCATCCGACGCGACTTTACTTTTGGCTGGGATGATCAATCAGGTCGGTCGATCACCAACTCTTGTTCTGCGTCTCAGGGCCACTTCCTCTAGGCATTGGCGCTTATTCCACGGATGGTCTTGGTCGCCGGAATCCCTTTCATTCACGCAGCCATCACTCCCTTCTACACCTCCTCCCGCTAGCGAGCAGTCTGTGTTCAGTCTGTCGCGCATCGTCGCCGCGAGACCTGATCCCAGCTCGAACGCGCCGCATCGGTCACCTTGTCGCGGGGCACCACACTCTTGTCACTCGACAAGCAGACTGAATCCTCGCCGATATTCCTTGGCGCCGATTTCACCACGAGGACCGCAGCAAGACGATCGCCAAAACCAGCCTCCCTACAAAAGCCCTTCCCTCAAGGGCTGTGAAAACGACCCGGCACTTTCACCATCTCCTGGGCAAGATACCTTCTTTGAAGCCGGTCGGCTTAGATCCACTTGCGCGGCCTTGGGAAATCCGTTTCCCAAGGGAGACACCGCCGTGAATCCGCTTCTGCGCCTGTCCCCTTCATCTGTCCCAATCGGCAACATGTCCACCCCTACAACTCGGCACTCCCTGCGACGTACGCCCCCATGCCCCAAGTAGTAACACTGACAAATTGTACTGACTCGAGCAACAGAGGGCCTGCGCCAGGCGCCCAAAGTCAACCAGCCCTTCACCCCAGACACCGGACGCGAGCGACGTTCCCACACCCAGCAAGGCTTCACATCTCCTCAACCTCCAACCGGCTCCCATGTGACCCTCAGCTCTGCTGCACAACACCAGCCGGGTACGCATTTCGGTGTCGAAACCTGGGAGGGAAAGGAACAAATTCCACTACCGATGTCCACGCGGGAAGTCGCAACGCCGGGGAACCGCCCTGTGCTGTATGCCAACCTCAACCGAAAACAAGTGAAACAGCCCGATTTCTATGACCCTTATTTTCCTCTCCGGTATCTTGAAGTACCAAGGAGTAAGTAAATCACCAATCCGACTCATGGTGTGGCGACAAACTGATCTCATTTTCTACAGCTGATCACATCTACAAGCGTGCCCATTATGGCCTGCAATCTGGCATACCCGACGAAATCGACTTTGCCTTGTACCATCTGGTCCAGATTTCTAACCAACGATGGGACAAATTCAAGTTTGAAGGATTTCCTTTGCTGGCGGAAACCCTGATGGAGAAGGCGTTGGACGTCACTCGGATCTGCACTGGAGTAAAGTGGGAACTCCAGTACGATCCTCGGCAGCCCATCGATAGGGTTAACGTGCTAAATTCACTACACGGAACGCGCAACATCCTCGACAAGATTCAAAAAATCCCCATGAACTTGCCATACGACAGTCTTGAAACGTACGAGCTCAGCCATGAACTTCGAAATGTTAAAGAGGCCGTTTTGGTGATGCGTAACATGGTGTTGCTGAAAGAGAATGCTTGGTACGTCTCGCGCTACGCGAAGGGGCTTCTGAGGGATTTCCTGGTCGTCTTGATCAATCTACCGAATCAGCCTCGCCTGAATGAAATCAGAAACGATGCTCTCGATATTGCCGAAGAGTGCACCAAATTCATGCGGACGGACGTTGAAGATCCCCTGTGGGTCTCCCTGGTCAATTGCCTCGACTCATCAGATCGTGCGCATGTCGTGCGAGCTCTCTGGGCATTGACACACTTCTCTACCGAGATGGATGAAGGTGACGGAAACCGGGCCATGGAACGCATATCCAAACAGACTCTACAGCAACTGTACTACCACACGCTACTGGACCTCGACAAGGACGTCCTGAGTGGTGCACTTGATTTTTGGTATCAATACACACTCAGCCCGGATAACATTGAAAAATTGATGGACATTATCAACTTTCCGGTGGTTTTTGTGCCTCGCATGGTCGCACTGCTCACCTACGAATCGCGGCCTACCAAAAAGGAAACCGTTCTCCAAGAAGAAAAAGTCGCGCCCGCTCCGTCAGAAATCCCGCGTGTGCCTGCAGAGCTTCTGAAGGACCTGATGGACCTTTCTGAGCCCGAGCGCAGCTCTCAATGGCTTCGTTGCTGCTTCATTGAAGACACAGAGTGTGAGATCACGCAGATTGCATTGTGGCAGGCCTACCAGAGCCGGTTCGCTGATCCTCGTGTTCCTGGAGGAGGCGTTCTTCCTGCTGCCGAGTTTATCAAGAACGTCAGCAATACGTTCACAAACGCCCAAGCTCAAGTCATCAATGGCCCGGGAACGGCCACTAAGTTCATCATCAAGGGTATCCGACCTTTGGAGACTGCTTATACGTTTGAAGGGTTCCCATACCTGTACTGCAAGTGGGCCGACAACTCGAGTCCCTCCAAAATGTGCCAGCAGGCTTTCGCATCTCCTACCGACCTCCGGAACCACGTCTTCGCCGATCATATGAACCTAGAGGCTGCTGAGGAGCCAGGCCAGTACAAACTGGATGCCGCAGAAAGGCCCATTCACACCTGTCAATGGGATAATTGCAATCGATTCCGGGTGTCTGGACCAAGCACTAACACCGCAATGGTCGCTGGCCACGTCTCCTCCCACCTCCCCGAAGACCGCCCTGCCGACGCACGGCCCCCCAGTTCCAAACGCGCCGTTCTCCAAGAACGTATCGTCCGCAAGTGGTATTACATGGATACCCCCGTCAACGAGAAAGGCGAGCCCTTCGGCATCGCCTACAAGGCTGCGTTGGTACTGCGGAACATTGCGCGCGGGATTCCTGATCGCATGGCTTCGCAGTACGGCCTTCCCTGGAAGAAGGCAGTATTCCTAAGCCAGCGTACCAAGATCGTCGAGTCCTGGGACCGCAATCGCGCTCTGCGGAAGGAACTCACTGAGTTGATGATGGTGGTCGAACGAGAAGATGATTACTGAGTCCCTGGCTGATCGAGTGTCATCATCCCTCGACCTCTCTTGTATGATTAATACCCTGGTGTTTTTGTTTTACCTATCTTCTTTCCTCTATCGTTGCATTGACGTCACTTTTCCTCTGCTTCTCACGTCCTTCCAAAAGAGAATAAAAGTCTACTTTACTGCCATGGGCGGTTTTTATACTTTTTTTCCCTGGAGATTTTCATCTTGCTCGTAAGTGAAGTGGAGGAGGGCGGCTTACGTTGAGACTGCTGGCTGGATTTATGCCGCCAACGCAAAAAGTGGCCTCGAAAGAGGAGTTGTTTATTTTTCTTCGGATTTTGGGGTTAGTGATCTTTCTTTAGTCTTCTGGCGTCTCTGGGGGTCGAGGAAGATAGAATTCGAGTTCAAGTATTTCTGCTACAAGATCCTTGATAGCCTGTACGCGTAGATTTGAGAAAGTGGCTGTCTAGACGCACTGCCCCATCCTGGCTGCTCGCATTTGGGAAGTTGGCTTAGGTGGATGTTGACTTAGGCTGCTTTCCCACAAGAGAAAGGCAGAGCTCTCATAGTCGATATTCCAAAATTAGCTAAATCAATCCTTTTCCATATCTCTTTCAATCGTGATCCAAAAGCAAGAGTCAATCCCGTTTCCCAAGATATGGCCTACGACTGTGGGAGATTCTCGGGCGACTGCGGCAGCAGCTATACTCAGGCCTTGGTCATAGAGTTTATCCAGTTTTTGCGCTGGGATTTATTCACCATACTTGAAATAGCCTAGCGCTTGTTGACATTAAAGTCGCGTAAGTGCCTCGTATAACACTGCCATGATCTACAGCCTGCATGAGTCATGGTAAATGTTGAGGTTAACTTATATAAAGTTCTATTTAGAAAAAGCAAGAGTCTCTTCAATATTAAACTGACCTTGTTGCAAGAGCTCTGCTAAGAGTGTCAAAATGTCAAAAACGTCGCAGAGTCCAAATAAATTGCAACGCCAGGTGATAGCGGAGGAGACCCATTCGCTAACCTCACAGATTCTCAACTCAACCGAAGCCTCCACGGAGTCAAATCTATACCGTCGCCTCCTTCCAAGTATCGCTCCGGTACGCGATGGAAGAAAGCCAAAGATAACAGTCCAAAACAGGGACACTTTTACTGCTGCAAAGTTGATTCTGGACCGCGAACCCGGTGCCAAAATTGGCGTTTTAAATATGGCTAGTGAAAAAAACCCTGGAGGAGGATGGCTTCGTGGTGCGTTGGCGCAAGAGGAAGCACTTTGTATTCGAAGTACATTGGCCGCAACCCTTCACAAGCGATACTACCCTCTCCCTGTATTTGGCGCAATCTGGTCCCCCAAAGTTGCCATTTTCAGAGATGAGATAGGAGCATGGTGTCGAGTCTATGAAAGTAAGGAGATTTTCACTGTCGGTGTTGTGAGTCTTGCAGCTTTGCGGCGTCCTCTATTAACGCCAGACAAGAAACGGTTTGGTATGCTTCGACACAGTTCTTAAGAGTTCGGCCGAGTGCTGATAGACAATAGGTCGCCCAAAAGATATTGAAATCCTCAAGGACAAAATGCGACAAGTGTTCCGAGTCCTGGCACAAAACAAAGCGACTCATTGTGTGCTCGGGGCGATGGGCTGCGGAGCATTCCAGAATCCACCATCCGAGGTCGCCAGGGTTTACAAGGAAGTATTGGAAGAGACAGAATGGAAGGGAATTTTTGAGGAGATTGTGTTTGCTGTTCTTGATACTCGAGGGGAAGGAAACTATGCGATATTTCGCAATCATATAGAGAACAGTGCATGAAAGGAAGACCAAATACGAAGGCGCCGTCTGTTGGCAGAAAAACCAACAGATACACAATAGACACGGGAACATATATTATTTCAAGTAGATCCTAAAGAGGAACGATGGCTATCATACACAATGCAGGCTCACTTTGCATTTGCAAATTCCCCAAGAACTTGCATCGCATCCTGTGCCCGATCCACCGGAACATAGATGTGATCATGAAAATATCCGCTAACAACATTGGTACTGATACCATGATCCTTGAGACGAGAAGTAATAGTCGCAATCAGACCGACAGCCTCAAGACTGGAGTGGATAGCAAGCGAGATCTTTTTGCAAGGATAGGTCTGCTCTTTGAAGCCGTGGGATGTGGCTAATGCCTCAGTGGTCACGATAGTGATGCCTTCAGCCTCCTGGACAATAAGCTGTGGCTCGAGAGTGGCCAGAGGGAGGGACGTGAGAGGCTGTCTGGTGTTGAGAAAGACGTAGGTGGTTGGGTCCAAGGTTGGTTGCATTGTCGCAAGGAGGACGGAGAGATTTTCTTCACCAGATGGAGGTGCCATTTTGACGACAGTTATTCTTGTGTGGGCAAATATGAGAGAAGAATGCTTGCTGCTTGTGCGTGTGACTCAAAGAGAGAGATTGAGAGAGGTTTAAATAAAGTTGAAGTTGGATGTCGTTCAAAGGGCGTAGAGTGGGAACGACAAACAGTGCAAATATCAAGGCCCGTCACAACGTTCAAAATATAGTTTAGGTACCACCATAATTTACCAAATGGGTTGGGTTGATGGATACGGATATTGATATTTAAAAAAGACTACAAGCTGTACAAAAGCTTTTGTTGTACGTATGGCATATGACCTCCCAAATTCTGCTCTCTAATAATCGCCAGTAGGCAGCCCTACTCTCGGAACATGCTGTCCGTGAAACCCGAACCCAACAGGTCCATTGACGTTGGCTCTGCCAAGCTCTGTGAGGTCATGGGCATCTAGACAAAGAAGATAGCTTTTGCCTCGCATCCCATCCAGGACAACGCTGAGAAGCACTCCGTCGTCTTCATTGCTTCCATTCGGATCAGCGATGAATAACGCTTCTCCAGGGATTGACCGTGGTGCGACCACACATGGGTTTCCTTGGTCTCGCAGTTAAATTTCATAATACTGTCGGTGAAGGTTGACTTGCCGCCAAACGTCACAGCGTAGACATATTGGTGTCGCCGGGTGATAAAATTGGGGTTCATTGTTGGAAGCTCGGGATTGAGCGCCTGACATTCACTCCACTCGATAGATGCCTTGCCGATTTCAGTTGTGGGAGCAGAAGGCACCGCATGGAGACGGAAACGAGAAAAGGACGAGTGCAAGGAATCGTCCCGTTGCTCGGCAAGAGTTTTCGCCGCGGAGGACGTGGAAATGAGATTTTCGAAATATAGAGTCTTCAAAAATTCCGGGCTCTCGAGCCTCACAAGATCTGCCACCACATCCGTCTTGCTGGGGTCTTCTTTGGATGGTTCCTGCCATGCATTGATGGTGTGGAAGCAGAAGAATGCAGGGCTCTCATATTTTGCAACTAGTCCCTGGCCCTTCCTGCGGTCGATGACGTACCAGGTTGCTGGTTGTGTCGGGTCCATCGGCATTATGGCATCCATGAAAGAGCCGCCAGCAAGTTTCATCGGATTCAGATGCGAATTCCACACACAGAGCAAAACATAATCTTCCGTGAGAACCAAGGAATGAAGGTACGCTGGTGTTCCAGGAAAGGTCGCGAGAATTGTCGTCTTCCCCGTAGAGGTAGATACTTGGAAAACGCGATATGTGGAGGTTGGACCCAGTGAGCAATTGAAATTGAAAACGTCTCCAGCATTAGGATCGGATCGAGCATGTGAGGCTGACAGGTGCCCGTTGAGATCGGGGTGAAGATCTGCCTGCGAGGCGAGTCCTATGGGCTCCAAGGTCTCCGGGTCAAGTTTCTTGAAGGTACTGTAATCGGTCTTTGCGTAGAGATTCTGGATCCGCTTAGAACCGTCCCAGCGCTTGTTAGGTTCGGCAGTAGATGTGTCATTCAGACCAGGCATATTGACGGATAGAGTGACGCCGACGTTGACGGCAGATGGATCTTGAGGGGGAGTATGTTCACTTTGAACCTTGTTGAACACACTCTTGCAAGGATCGCGTTTCTGTCCGAACCCCATACGTTCGAGAGAACCAGTCTTTCTCACACTCTCAATCAAAGCATCAGTTGAGAAGCGCGAATTGTAGAAGACCCGAACGGTCCCATGAACGTTGTCAGGGACCATGATTTGGAAACGATGCGTTTGGCTGAACCCGTCAAACCAGTGAGATAAATGGAATATCCCGTCATTTTCCGTGTCCACTTTGCTTTTGCCTGGTCCAGTCCGGTATAGGGTTCCAGCAGCATAGGCGGGAATGTGGCCAGTTACCGACAGTTCCACGGGACTACGCTCTTCAAATTCAGGATCGAACTGAGTACTTGCGTTAGAGCCTTATTCAACTTAAATCTAAGGCATTTAAACTTACTCCCTTGTCATTAGGCCAGTTATTGAAATGTTCCTCAGCTGCCTGCGAGTTACTCGCTACTGCTGTAGATGAGACTGCAATGGACGACATGATTTGAAGGGCTGTTGTTAGCGATGAAATATGGATCTTGAACGACCTCTTGGCTAATCGGACTTGGCTAATCAGACTCTGAATACGGAAAGAGAGAAAGGGAGTAGTAGGGTTTGAAACAGCCTTTAAATATGTGGCAAAGAATGTACTCTGTTCCATTTTGTGGAGGAAAGGCTTCGGAAACGCGCGGTCGGTGCGGGGGGAATCGCGACGGGTCGAGTGGATCGTTACCGACCCGGCCCAATCTGACACTTCCACCTCTCGCTCGTCAATCGGTTTGGTCGAAACGGTCGGACACGGCCTCGGAAACACCTAAGAGCCTCGGTTTAACTGGTGCTAATCTCTTATCGCCCGATGAACTCATGTTTCACCGTTGATCAGGCATCTCGGCGGTGTGACGGTCCTCATCGGCGGGCATAACCCACATATAGACGACGTTCGAGGAACACCAGGCTGTCTTTTGTCGGTTACTTGGGTATCACACAGAGACAAAAATTCATTGAACAAACTATTTCCGATCACTTATAAACACTCAACCAGTCGATATCCAGCAAAAGAAAAAAAAGCCTACAGGACCAAATTGTCGGAATGGACCAGTCTCGGCGGCAAGGGTCCGGTGTCAACAGCAAGCAATGGTGCTGTGATAAGTGCATGTCGAAGTTCGGACGACAGGATCATTTGAAGCGCCATGAATTGACTCGTTAGTGCATTCACTATAAACAACATCTCACGGTTTTGCTGATATCACATCCAGATAAGACGGGAAAAAGCAACATCTGTCCTTTTTGTAGATCCTCTTTTAGCAGAGGGTATGTCTACCATAATTCCCTTGCGATAAAGCAAAGATTACTCACCAGTTCCGAAGAGATGTTTTGCGAAGACATTGGAAATCCTGCAAAGCTCGTGTAGACGATGGACATTCTATCCCCGAGCCACACCAAGGAGGTAAACAGCGACGTGCGTGTGATAGCTGTGCGGGTCTGAGAAAAGCTTGCAACGGGGAACAACCGTGCTCCGAGTGCAGCGACAGAGGCCGGCAATGCTCCTATCAACGTTTGTGCGAGATTCCTGGCAATCCACCCAGCTCTCTCCAGAGAGGTAGTCGACACATCCCAGAAACGGATGCGGATATTGATGATATGCCCGAGTCAACCTGGGATCTTGGATTGCAGACATTCTATCCGTCTACAAGAGCATCTTACAACCGCTAGTTTCACAACTTTTCGACATCTTAGGTCTGATCTACTAGAAGGATTGGCACTTATAGGACTTCGGCAGTCAAGATTTGACTCACGAATTTGAAGACCTGCGGAGTTACTGGGTTTGTTGCCCCCAACTCTATCTAAGCCTGGAATGGAGGTCTCTTTTTCTTCGCAATCTGCCTTGTTGAGACCCTTAACTCCTCGACAAATCCCAACCATACAAATCCAATTTAAAGGATCGGGAGGCATGGGGTAACTGAATTGCATTCAATCAAGATGATAAGCAATGGCTTGGTAACCCAATTTAAGTCCGGGCGTGGCCTTCACTCTCCAAGCCTTTGAAATAGCGGTATAAAGTCACAAAAGCCTCTAACCATTCCTCTTCCCTTCCATCATGAGGCTCATACAGTTGAAACGGCTTATCCCGACGAAACGCAGGGCGAGGTCCAGAATTATGTGGCGTAAAACACGGGGTCTCTAAATTAAGGTCCGGAAATATGAACGGCTTTCCAGACCAAGGCGTGTTCGCAGTTCGGAAAATCTGGTTCTTCTTATTTGTTATGAGAGGATGCTTGGAATGAGGTAGCGAGTGAGGAAAAGATGAATAGAAATATGGCATTCCGATGATCAGGATTTGGGCGGAGCGCTTGATAGATGTGGGATGTTCAATTGAAATTGCAATCCCATCTTCTGGCATCCTCTCGGGCACTTCAGCTTCTCCATCAGGGCTTTCGGTGGCCAAATGGTGCTTTACCAGCATATCGATCAGCTCCTCCAAGGCCCAGTCGAACGGAATGATAGGAAAAAATTCATAAAGGAGGTACTCTGAGCCTGCATAATAGAGGCGATGCACTTTGGCAATTTTGTCGGCGCTAGACCTCATTCTCTGAACGACATGCGCGATATTCCGTCGCGGCTGTTGGCCTGGATCCAGTGTTCTCTTTAAGATGTCCGGGTTCGTTTGTAGCATATCTGCAGCCCAACGCAGCTGAGCAATGCTCTTGTGGGCAAGGTTCCCCCTCGCTTCTTTCGTGGCGTTCCAGCGCTCTTCCAGGGCCTCAACTGTTGAGTAGTCCCAGACTTCGGGAAGTCCTGGCCCAGAAGTATGCTCCGGAGCGTAACGATTCAGATTCGCAATCTTGGTGGCCGATTGAATCTGGGCGTAGATGCGCGAGTGCATTGTGTCTAGAATTTGGTTGTATCGTTTAGATTTGACAGAGAGGATGTTCAAGGCCAGGATGGAGTTCTTGGGTGCCATTTCAAGTTGACAGTCTGAATAAAATTCATAATAGAAGCGAGCGGCCTCGCGCACTTTGGCAAGAATGCCGTGGTCATGATCGAAGACCTGGCCACAGGTTTGATGTGAGAGAATGCAATCGTTTATATAAAGATTGTCATGAATCAAAAGCCTGAGAATGTCCCAGACGCGGAGATCATCGATGATTTGGTGCGTAAGCTCTGGTGGTGTTGTAACAAGCCCTCGAACGACGGCTTGGAGAGGAAGCGGGACCATCGTGTCGATATTGGTGGTGGGACTACACTGGATAGTCTCCGGTAGAATGAACGTGTTATTTTGGGCCCGCCCTCCTTTTATAAGGCGCTTCGTGCGGCTCAAAGTTCGCGTGAGTCACTAGCGGCTTCGTGTTTGGGGCCAATTCAGCTGCCCACGTCACACCGTGGGTTATACGTGACAATCCCACAACCAACGCATGTTCGATACAACCGTTTAAAAAGAACCGAGAAAATTGGATATGCTGAAAATATGAAGCCAACCCCAAATGATTTACATTTCGACGAATGCGATGACCCGGAAGTTATCGCACTACGCCTGAGGGAGGATCATCAACTATGTCGCGAGAAAAAGATACCCAGCAGTCTAGCACTTCACTTGCCTACTGCTAGGTGTCCTTTGTTAGAGAGGGTATCATGGCACCTGACTCCTCAGAGCGAGGTGCCGATGGCCCTGCGGTGGGCAAGATGCGAGAGCATGATTCAAGGAATCATAGCCTATCTGAACCAACTGGACACTGTGGCGGACAATGATGCGGACGAACCGACAGCTTCAAGTGACAATATACCTACAAATGAAGAGTTTCAAGCAGCACTAAAGGTGCTGGACTACCTTCATATGCACAAGTCCATCTCGCAGCTCGAATCATCAAGCCCCTTGTGCGACGTGATCCTCGCGGTGCGAACACAACTTGGGATGGACAGCCGCCTGCGAGCTCAGCATCATACCTCGCAAGCGCCAGAAGCCCGAAAAGACAAATACTCCAAATATTCCAGGTGCTATATTTGTTGTTATCGCTTCCCAGACTCGGAAGCCCATGAGTTATATCCGTCATTGTGTCGATCGTGTGGAATGTTCAATATTGCCTCATCTCGGCTTTCATTGCCCGAAAAACTGAATCTTTCAGGAAAGACCGCTCTGATTACCGGAGGGCGAATCAACCTTGGCTATCATACTGCGCTACGCATGCTTCGTTGCGGTGCTCGAGTCATCGTTTCATCTCGGTACCCCGGTGATGCAGCAACTCGATATGCAAGGGAGCCAGATTTCAAGCAATGGAGCTCACGTTTGAAAGTCGTTGGTGCGGACTTTCGAGCTGCAAGTGACGCTTTCAGGCTCGTACATGTTGTGAAGGAGCTATTGCGTACATGGAATGAACGGCATAATTCTGATTCGCGAATGACACTCGATATTCTGATCAATAATGCCGCGCAGACTTTGACGGATCCCGTAAAGGCAGAAATGAAGGCTATATCCCGTGAAGGGGCATTCAAGGATCTACCAGAAGCCAAGACACTACTCGCAGGCGGTGTCAGTGTGGACTACCAGCCACGGTTAAGGGGAGGGATGCAAGCATCCTGGATACCGGGCATTGAGGACGGGCAAACACAACAGCTGCTTGAAAATGGAATTAGCCAGGACGCCCTGAATGGTGGCCAAGTCATTCAGAAAGGACTTCGCACCACCGGTGACTTCGACTCTGACTCGAAATCATCATGGGTGCAAACTCTGAATGAGATCCCGTACGAGGACCTGATCAGCGCCCACTCGGTGAACGCCTTCGTTCCACTGATATTATGCCGCGAGCTACTCCCTCTCATGGGTGCAGCCGGTTCATCGTCGACATCGACATCAAAGCCGATGGGATACATTGTCAACGTTTCATCGCGGGAAGGGATTCTGGAAGACTTGCCCAATTCACGAAGCAAGGCTGGACACCATGTCCACACGAACATGTCTAAGGCTGCTATAAACATGATTACGGAAACAGAAGCCGGGAAGGCGTGGGAAATGCGCCGTGTGGCGATGAATTCCGTGGACCCGGGGTATATGAGTGCTGCACCAGAGTGCCAGCCCAAAAACGGATGTCCTATTGGTTTTGAAGATGGGGCTGCTCGGGTGTTGTGGCCTATCGCTGTTGGTGAGGTAGAGGACCGTGTTATCTCTGGGAGATTCTTAAAGCATTTTGAGAAAGGAGCTGCTGTTGTTAAACGTATGAACTGAGAACCGTGGAAGGCTGGGAACGTCTACATAGGGATATAGAAGAATCCAACGTCAAATCGAAGAATATTAACTTTCTGACAACTCCTTCGGTCGTGCGTATTTGCAGGCGAATCTCGGGTCTGACAGGGGCCACAGTGCCAATTCGCCAACCAACACTGCTGGACATGCACCTAGTTGTGAGAGATCATTGCTTTCCCAGGTGCGTACTTCCAGCCCTATGTTTCTACCCGGACTCGTTCTCCTTGTCCCACTCACAGCACAGACTGGCAATAACATTAGATTCGGTGTTGCAGGCCGTCTTCAGTGAGTGCTTCATACACAGTTGAATGAACAGGCTCTTAGTCGCGCGGGTCCACTCGTACCTTTTAGCCCGTGGCCTTTTGTTGACGGTCAGAGTGACCCTCTCCAGGCTGTTGGGACGATGGTGACTCAGAAAATCATCAATCTTCTCAAGGCAGAGTCGGGGTCCCCACCGGTAGTGGCTCAACTCAGCACAGTCGTCTCGGAGATGAAGCTCACGCAGCGACTGGGGCAATTTCTGTAGCGTTATCTGTGGCGGAGGAGCCTCCCACCCGAAAAGGATGATGAACGGAATGGTTAGCGATTCCAGCTTGCGGTGGCTCGCCAGGGAGCCGAGAGTGCCTTTGAAGGATCCCTTCCAGCGAATGGGGCATTTCCACCGCAAGTCATGCACCACCAGGCATAGGATCCTGAGAGAGTGTTTCAGGTGCGAGAGGGCTCGAGACAGTTGGTCAATATCATACCGGAGGAACTGCGGCCGGCCAAGGAAGCAGGTATCTGCAAAACAGTAACAGAGCTCCTGGAGATTAGGCGTCGTTGATAGTACCATAGCCAAGTCAGTTGGGGTCATGTCAGTGGGGATGAGACGCAAAACGGTGAGTTTGGACGCGAGGGGAGACCTGGGTATCGGCCAGCAAAAACGCACCGAGTTGAGAAGCACGGTGTGAATGACTTCGATGCGTGGAAGATAGAACATTGTGGAAATCTGATGGAGGTCATCTTTACACCGAGGAGAGAGACGGACAAGTGATCCGTGAGGGCCTTGCCGGCTCCTGGTCAAAAGACATGTAAAGCTGCGCAACGTGCGAAGGGGGTAGTTGGGAGTTTGATGCTCGAGATTAAATTGAATGTCCTTGCAAAGTTCCCGGAAGGGATTTGTGTCTGCGAGCATGAAATCAAGCGAAAGGTTAATCATATTCTTGCTGAACGTCAGGTAGGTAGACAATAACAGGCGAATGTCGTAGGTCATGATCGTAGAGAGGAGCCCTGCAGCGAGCGCGTGGACATTGACTCTTTGCAGCGGGCGGGATGTTTTCCACTTCCACCTGAAGGGGGTCGACAGCTCGTTCTCGCTAATCCAGCATTCGAATCGGAGATTCTGCACCAAGGCCCCTAGATGGGGCTTCTCCAGGAGAGCTACCAGCAGCCGATGGCTTGCGGGGCATCTGCCCTTGCCATTGTTATCCCATCTCATTCCGACGTGATGGTAGAGAAACGGCGTGAGGATCCATCGAAGCTGCAAGCAGGTACGCGTGCATGCAGAGATATCGCGGGTTCGAAGGCGGGACACGATCATCCACAAGATCTCGGCAGGTAGTTTGGCCAACATGATAGATTGCCTCAAGGGCCTGCACCGGATGACTTCCATGTTGCACGAGGGAACGGACGATGGAGCAGCTGGAGGTCATGAATAGTAGAAGAGTTGACCGGTGTGGACTACATGATGTGTATCTGTGCGTCTTGAGATAAGCGAACAGGGACTGGAGGTAGCAATCCAGAGACGAAGAAAAGGAAAGTACAGGGCCGGCACGTGAGGCTTGTTGTTGCCTCTCATGCTGGCAACAACAAGCCCTTTCAGGACTTATCTGCTATACCGAAGACAGGCTTGCACCTCAGCGGTTGGTCTGGAAAAACGGATTCGCAAACCAATAATCCACGAAGAAAGATAAACACGGCCATTCTCGACTGCTGATCTCAACCTGCAACGGCCAATGTTAATCATCATATATGCCACAAGGAAAGTCAACGCGATTTCAATGCCTATCACTATGAATTAGGCTGTTCAACCGAGCCATGTCTATCAGAGTGGCTCCATATATTGAAGATCTTAACTCGAAATTAATAGTTCTGGGCATTTACATTGCCATGCCCTGTGCACATCGGCAACGCATCGTCGTGGCTAATAAAAGTGAAGTTACGATAAACACGGCATCGGGTTTCCCCCTGAGCGACTTACATATGCAGGGGCCGTGCGCGCGCGATGGGCACGGCCGCGGCATCTGTTTCTTTTTTTCTCTCCCGGAGAACAGGGGAGGTGGGGAGGCCTTGGCTTAGATCAACGTAGACCGCTTCGGATCAATTGCGTTGTGCCTCCTAGGAAGTTGATGATCACGTTCGAGAAACTGCCGACGAGTTGTTTCAGATGATTTCGCCTCTGGACATGATTTCCACGGGTTCGTCCAGTTCAGTGAGGCAACAACCGCATTGTTCTACTCAAGACAACGTCTACTACCACCAGCCTTGTACTATTGAATCTATTGTACGCCACCAGGTCCTCACCGAGCTCCTAGTGTGGTGGATTCGGCACTTCCGCGCACGAGCTGCCAGACTACTTTAGCCGCGAACCGGAAAATGGCTGACGCTACTGACAAGCAGAAAATGGGTCCTGCTAACTAGTGTTCGACTAGTATAGCAACCATGTACTGTACACAGACCCCGATGTGCTCAGTCAGGCTGTTGTATTTCATGTCGGGGTACGGGGGGCCCGGATCCCGCGCTTGCGCTAATCGATCCTGCGCGGAGTTCCTCAGGATTTATCTACGAAGAAGTCTTCGTTAATCTGTTTCCCACAGATCAATAGTTCCAACTGATACACCGAGTGTGCGGGAACTTCGGGACAATTTTCAAGCGTGGGCTGGTTCCCTGGTTCGAATGTGCGTTTCAAAAGTATCCCTCATGACTGGTTCGAGCGGTTGCCAGAATGAGGCTACGGCACGTCCGTGCATACTAGTATCCACGCAGCGAGAAGCCCGCGTTCCCCGATCGTCCCCTGCCTAGAAACCCGAATTGCAGGTCCACAGAACAACGGGTTCTCGAGTCAATCTCAATATGGGCAAGATCACTGGATTATTAACATCAACCCTCGATGGCTCACAGCCTGCAGCAGGACGATCAACGCGCATTGGTCTAAGCTCGTGGGTTACCCCTGATGGAATCAAGAACCCTTCACCTCATAGGCTCCGGCTTTCGTACTACTACGTTTTGGGTCGTCATCCAACGCGGCCACTGTCCGTCCTTTGCAGTGCCTGCCCCTCAGCTGGCGGGCTGTCAAACTCTGCTTTCCCTAGCTGCAATTCGGCTGGTCGGAAAAATAGCACTTCTAATATTCTTTTGGCTGTAGTAGTGGGTGGGGACTGATAGCGTGCAGAATATTAAATCTTAGTGGGTTTAAACCATAGCCTTGTCCTCCGCTGAATCGCCCCTCTCTCTAGCGCTGTGGTGGCTGAAAAGGATTTCCCGGGGTGGTTATATGCAAGCCATCCATTGAATTTGTCGGATCTACTCCATTTCTTCCAGTGAGATTAGTTCCTTATCTGAGATTCGAAATGGCCGAGTGAATTCGCCTTCATTCATCTACGTCCACATTCGCTTCGATTCCATCTCTCCTTAGTCATTCATTTGACGTTTAACCTCTTCGGGTTTTAACCTCTTCGGGTCGATTCCACCTCTCCTTAGTCATTCATTTGACCTTCAATAACCTCAATCGGGGTTCCAGGCGGCATCAGATCAGTCTTTTCATATTGCGATGGCAGAGCTATCAACAGCTCGTGGCCGTTCGGCCCTTGCCGTGAGCATTGTCTTCACGTCGCTGGCTACCATATTTCTTGCCATTCGTATCTATACCCGAGCGTTTTTGGTGAAACAGATGGGAAGTGATGATTATACGATTATTATTGCCTTGGTAAGAAGCCAAAAGAGACAGTTCCACGAATTAAATCTAATCAATCCTGTCGTCTATCCAGGCTTTCTCATGGGCGTTCTTTGGACTGTTCGTTGGAGGTGAGCCTGACGCAACTCCTCGTCTGTATAATCATCCTGTCGCTCACAATCCCTCAGAAACCTACCACGGCATGGGTGCTCATTTCGACACCATTCCGCACCCGATTTATATCACGCAAATGATTGTAGGCTTAGATTCCTCGCGGTCAAAATATGGAGAGTTGCTAATCTATGAACTCCCCGTTCCAAGTGCTTCTGGGCCTCAATCCCGGTTTACCAAACCAGTCTCATCATGACCAAGATGTCCATCCTTCTACAATACCGACGAGTCTTCTCGACAACACCGCGCATGCGCCTGGCCTGTTTCATCCTAATCGGGTTTCTAGCTGCCTATGGCACTTGGACAATCGTCAGCGCCTGGGCCAATTGTGTCCCTGTCGCCAAATTCTGGAACCCAGATACTCCGGGCTTTTGTCTGGACAAGGAGGCATTGTGGTTTTCTAACTCTGCTGTGCACATCCTTACCGATTTCTTGATCTTGATATACCCCATGCCGGTTCTGCGGTCTTTGCAGCTGCCAAGGAAGCAGAAGGTGGCCGTTATGGGCATCTTTGCTCTCGGTGGATTGTCAGTATTCGGCCCCCTGTATCAGACAACCGACCGGCACGACTAACTGATCAACCCTACAGTGTCATGATCACAAGTATCCTCCGTTTGAAGAGTCTCCTCGTCATCTCCAAATCCACCGACCCAACCTGTGCGTCCTCCCCAGACCCTTTTTTAACTCCCCACCCCCATCATCCCCAGAACCAGCCAACTAACAACACCCCCCGGTTCAAACAGACGACAACGTCGGCGCCGCCACCTGGTCCGCGGTAGAATGCAATGTGGCCATCATCTGCGCCTGCCTCCCCGGCACACGCGCCTTCTTCGCCAAAGTCTTCCCACACATCTTCTCCACCCGCAGCGGCGGCTACAAGAGCAAGTTCACCCAGCCCTCGCGCACCCACCGCAGCGCAAACCCCACCACCTACCAAACATCCCAGGTCCAAGCATCCGTCGTCGGCGGCCACCGCGAATCCGAATATGACTTGGATGACTTCTCGCACTCGGGCTCGTCACGTGGCGGCTCGATGAAGGAGAGTGAATCTAATGAAGGTCGTGCGGGGATTAAGGTAACGACGTTTATGACTCAGGAGTCGACTTCGAATACAGCTGGTCATAATCATATGGAGATGGATGCGGAGAGTACGAGAAATTTGGTGCATAAGCGGAGTGTGAATAGCTTTTGATTTTGATTGCATTCATTCGGTTTCTTCCGCCTCTCCGGTAGTTCTTCAGTGTACATATTTTCTTTCTTTTCTCTTTCTATTACTTACTCATGGCGCTATATACCTTTCAGTTTAATATTGAGCAATGGGCATGGGGAAATTCGTCCCATCATGCCAGACAAACAGACATGATATCAAATACACCATACAAAATTCCGAAGTAAATGAACAGCCTAATGCACAGACTAAGAGCTAGGTCTACTCGCCATGGCTAGGATACAAACTATTACAAATGGTTGATTCAAAGAAAACTGTATATGAATCGATGAGACCAGCCCATTTTTGCCTCAGGGAACCACCGCACAAGAAAGAAAGAAACACGGTGTCGAGGACCACCAAAGCAGTGAGAGAAACAAATGAACAGAGAAGAGGGAAGAGCAAGTACGTAGCGTAAGTAGACCTGTCGCGCGCTAGGAAGTCAAAGGACGAAACGAAGAAACACCCAGGTATGTGCAATGCCCACTAGCACCTATGCAACTAACTACCCATAACCCAGAATAACGCAATCTGCTTTCCACCCTCCACGCCACTCAGTCTAATAATTTGAAACAAAATAAGAGTTCCTGCCTTTTTTACTCCCAGACGTTGGAGAAAAGGTCGTCATTGCCGCCAAACCCGCCCGCCGGCTTGGTTGAGCTGGACATGTTGTTCGTGGTGGTCGTCGTGGTGTTTGAGGAGACTGGGGCGGCACTGGTCCAGCCACCGAAGTCCTCATCTGCTGCGACGGTGGGGGTTTGCTTGGACGGTGCACCCCAGCCTGATCCTATGTCGTTGGCGGTCAATGTGTCGGGGACCTTCATCATCGATGCGGCGGATGGGGCGGCGGTCGGGGCGGGAGCCGGCATCGGTGCAGGATCAGGCGTGTTCCATTCATTACCACCCCATGGGTCGATGCTCGCTGGGAACATACTGGCGGGCGCCTTGGTGGAAGATGTCTGCGTGGGAGGCGCAGAGGGCTGCATCACGGGGCTGGAGAGGTTGAATGCCGATTTCATTTCTTGCTGCGGAGATGGAGCCTTGGGTTGTGGGGGCGGCGAAGAAACGGCCGCAGGCGCAGGCGGGGGAGAGGAGAGGCCAAATAGATCGTTTGACAAGGGGATGGATGGAGGGTTGGGCTTGGCGGGAGGAGACGCGAATCCGCCGAATCCGCCGAATCCGTGGTCTTGCCCATTCGAAGAGATCGAAGTTGTTCTGGACTGTGGCTTCGGGGCAGACATGGTAGGGGAGGTCAGGCTACCAAAAAGGTCTCCGCCAGCAGTGTCAGAAGGCGAGGTAACCTTGGGCGTGGCCGGCATGGACTTGACATTGCCAAAGTTGGAGAGATTGGCGAAAGGTGCTGGCTTCTCTGCTGGTCTGGGAGGCGGAGAGGTGGTCGAAGATGGGAAACTCAGTCCACTGAAAGCGTCTGTCAAGCCACCCATGTTTGAGGATGCGGAAGGACCTGTAGGAGAAGCCATATCGCCGAAGGAATTGTTCCGCTCATGCTGGGTGGGAGGAGGCGGCTGCGGCTTCGAATACAAGGACAGAATAGACTGCTTCAGATCGGGGCGAGACATTCCGGTTGGGGCAGCAGGCGTTGACGCAGTGCTACTCGGGCGACTGCCGGCGGCCGCCTGAGTGCTTCCAAAGAAGTCCAGTCCAAGCAACGAATCGCCTGGTTTTTGAGCCTTCGGTTGTGTGGGAGGTGCTTGTCTCGGCTGCGCGCGAGCGGACGGTTCGGTCGTGCTGGGGCGCACCGGTGGAGCGATAGGATCGTCACCGAACAGGTCGATCGAGGGTTGCTGTCGGCGCACGGCGGGCTGGTTCGGGGATGTCATTCGTTGCGAAGCAGAACGTTCAATCTTTGCCTGTTGCTGTACAACCGCAAGAGGCTGGCAGGTCAGTTTTTTCTGCTCTTTCTTGATTTGTCGGTACAGGCAGGCACTCACCACATCATCGCCGTCATCAAGAGTGGAAGGATCGGGCATCCCCCCGTCCATGACCCATCGCTTGGAGTCGTACTTCGTGCGGATGAAGTTTTCGATTTTCCTATAAACACTCCAAGTTAGCACGCCATCAAAAGACACGGAACAGTTTCCTTCGTTCACTTACGCTTCTGCCGGGACATGGCCCGGCGCCAGCTTCGCTTCCCAATACCTGTGACTTGGGTCAGCACGTGGCCGTTCCAACGCGAGAGTCAATTGCTGATGACGAACTTGTTGGCTCTTGAGTTGCCCCATTTTAGGACACTCTGCAATTGTTCATCGGTCCATGCATCGAGGTCGACCGACTTGACGCGGCTGATGTGCGTGCCCATGCCCCGATGGATGCCCGAGCACCGAATGCAGACGAAAATACCCAGATTCCAAGACGCCCATCGTGGATCTAAGTCAGTGAAATGTCAGACCAGTAATTGTCAACCCAGCGCGATAGAGTAGAGAACCGGGCGCAGGAATCTTCTTGCAAAGGAGGGGGGGGCTCACGCTTGTTGCGCTTGCAGTCGGCACAGATCTTGTTGGACTCGAGTTTCAGGAGATTCTTGATAATCTGCTGGTTCTGAGCAGCCTGGGTCGGGTTGGCGCGTCGAGACATTGTCTGTGGCAACTCGAGTAGGGAGCGAAGGAAGAATAGGGAGGAAGAACAATGATCATAATAAGGGACCACGACTTCAATCATCGGGTGGCGGTCGGGTCATTATGATGGCCTGAGGCAGCAATATTGGATTACGGGCGAGGAAGAGGACCACATGTGCAGTTTTGCATAGCGTGTGAAGACCAATAGGTAAACAAAAGGCAGAGCTATCGAGCTCATGGTGAAGTCAACTCTAATGAAATCAGAATTCAATCTTTGTAGTGGGTTGCACCGACTCCAATTTAACCACATCTGCTGCGCTCAAAGATATATTTCTCCCGCTCCGATCCAGGATCTATATTACGCCTTCGCCTTCGGATTCTGCTCATCCTCCGTAAACCGCAAACTAATACTATTCACGCAGTGACGTTCATCAGTGGGCGTGTCATACCCCTCCCCCTCAAAGACATGGCCGAGATGCCCGCCACAGTTGCTGCAGACGATCTCCGTCCGTTTCATGCCAAAGGTATTATCGACATGTCTAGTCACTGCGCCAGGAATAGAATCAAAGTAGGCTGGCCAGCCACAGCCGGACTTGAACTTGTGGTTGGCTTTATAGAGCGGCGCGTTGCACCCGGCGCAGTTGTACACGCCCTGTGAGGGGGAGTGCTTGTCGTACTCGCCCGTGCCGGGGGCCTCGGTGCCCTTTTGGCGGAGGATGCGGAATTGTTCTGGATACATACTGGGTCAGTAATGATGAGGTATTTGCATGGATGTTTCTTTCTAGCACTCACCCGGACTCAAAACGGTCCTCCACTGGTCGTCACTTCGTTGGTCGGGGTAGGACATGCTTTTGGACGGTTCCTCAGCTTTGGCGTTTGAGCTGAAGAAGGCGCTGAAGAAGGGGATGGTGGGGGCGGCTTTGAGCAGTTTACTCCCGGAGATGGAACGCGGGGCTTTGAAGGTCGAGCTTGAGAGAGGCCTCAGAGGCGCAAAAGTGGCCGGTTTGATGACGGGAAGAGCGCGGGGGCTGAAGAAGGAGAAGAAGGGGCGGACTACAAGTTGAGAGCGCATGGAGATAAATAGAGGGAAGGTTGACAAAATGTTCTGCAGAGTAAATCAGCAGAGCAGAGCAGATCAAATGCGGGTTGGCCCGGGTTACGTCATCACCTGGGATCTAGAAGTATACGAGGGCGGATACGAGGGCGGTAAGCATCTGGAAGCTGATTCTACGGCGACTATATGAAGAATAGAAGCTGGGTTAACTATGAATGTCCCCGGTAGTCGACTACTGGCGTTGAGACAAAATCCAAGGCAGCAGCGCTTCAATGTATTGGGTATCTCAGACATGTAACAAGCAAATGCGAAAAGTATGTTCAGCGACGGGCAACCCCAAGCACCGTCAGCTCGCCCTCCCCAATCTCCAGGCGCCACCCCTCTCGCACCAGCATCTTGCTCACGGCGGGCCCCAGGCGCGAGGTGCCATCCCGACTGTGACGCCCAACGCCCGTAATGATGCGAAATCCACCACGAGCGCCGAGGCCACCTCCGCGCTGGTACTTCGCTTCGCCCAGTGACCCCCACCAGGCCGCCACCCGATCACGAGTGATACGGACGGCGTCCTGGACAGGGACGCCGTGAAGGTCAATACAGGAGCCGGAAGACTGCTCTTCGACAAGGGCATCAGCAGCGGCGGCGATGTTGGCTTTGGCTTTGCTGAAGTGGTCCCGTCCGACCTCTGAATAGTAGGCCGCGGCACCACGCAGCAAGGGGGTGGAAGCACCCCGGCGATAGGCCTGGGAGGCCTGGGAATAGGCTTGTGAGCCGGCGGCAAATTGGGTGGTGGCAGAGGCGTGGGCCTCGTCGTAACTGACAGGGGGGTGCGAGGTGTACGGGCGTCTTTTTGGCTGGTCATGGTCGGACGTGATATCGATGGGCGGCGCAGTGAATTTGATGAGGTCGGAGAGTATCGGAGGAGAGGCTTGGCTGGTCATTTTGGCAGCCAGCTCACTGGTTGCGGACATTATGTTCTGCGTGACGGCGCAAAGCCCAGCAAGGGTGGAGGAGGGGATGGAAGGGAAGTCATGTGAAAGTTCTGTGACCTGAACTGACGTTACGAGATCTTCTTGATTGTCCGAGTGCTTCTCTGGAGAATTCGCAACAGCAAGAGCCCGAATGGTGGCAGGCAACGACATTGCATTTGCATGATACATGGAAGTAACATACTGCTTGGTCAACACAGCTGATGTTCGGGTCCAGATAAACTCAATGTCTCTCTGCCCCGACTGCCATTTATTTGGGGGCTCGGCATCCAGTGAGTCCATTAACGATGATTCAAACTCCGAATTGCCATAATTCTTGGTCTGGCGCTTCTTGCGGCCCTTCTTGCGACTGGACCCAACAATATCTTCTTGCATGAAGCCATCAATGCCCTTGGGAAGCGAGACCTTCGTACCGTCCTCGTCAATGTAGTTCTCGTCAAAGAATATGAGATTTAGAAGGACATCCATGGACCTATCAATATCACCTGCACATTTTTGCAGTGTTTGTTTAATGGTCAACGGAGTGATTGTGGGGAACAGGTCGTGCAAAGAGTCAACCTTGTCTTGCAGAGTTGCCCCAGACAGAGATCGAGACCCATCAGCAGCAACTGTGTATGCGAGGTGGGGCTTGGGGCTCGTTTCGGACTTGGTGGCTCTGCCGCCTTCATCGGTCGGATCTTCCAGGGAGAGTAAAGTTGTGGCGTCCGTAAGACCGGGCAACGAGCCGGCCCCAGTCCCTTCATCCGTGCTGTTGGCAGTGCCCGAGGGATCAAAAGGGAGATGCTCTTGCTCCAAAGCTGACTCCTTCAAGGATTTCAAGGTGTCCCGCAGCTGTTCCACTTGAGCAGGAATTGCGAGGTCAAAGTCGGATACGATGGCGCTGAAAAGGGCAGGATCTATTGGAGGGCAGTGACATTTCTCCAGCTCCTACAAGAATGCAAGTTCACCGATCAGCAGGTATTCTTGGATATGGACCTTTAAGGCTACTACTGACATTCAACAAGCCGTCATGAGGGTCGTCCATCGCTGAAGCTGCATGACACGCACAGTCGGAGCTGTGCCAGGGAATTTGGTCATGTCGGTTCACAGGAGCTCCATTATGCAAAGGATGAATGCCATCGGCTTTTAACAGAGCGGCAGGGTAAAAAGAAGGAAAGGTGAATGGGGTGTGTCGGTGGTGGGCAAGAAGCAAGATCCAACAAGAATCATAACGCGGGATGATCTGCCACACGCTACCGCCCGCGGAGATCGGAGCAATTCCAGCCGAAGTATATCCAGACCGTGCCATAAAGGACATCATGGCAGACAGATTGCAAGTTTCCCAGGCCTGTTCAAGCGGAACTGGGTGAAAGAAAAAAGCTCAATGTGCAATGTAGAGCTGGCAGATGCTCCTCATCGCCTAACCAGCATTTCCAATTCACACTTTGAACTGTCGTTAGTTTGCTCTTAAGCACGAATAAAATGGATGTAATAAGACAATAGAGCGAAAAGAAAGAATTAAGAGGCAAACACCTTCCTCAACGACAGCAAACAATTTTGCCACGTCGCTGCTTTTTTGGTAAACAAATCCATCCACTTCTCCCACACTCACCCACCTAACCTTCTACCAACCACTCTTCCACTCTTTACCATCTACAGTTAATTACATGGAAAAATGGCTCCTAATACGGAGATAATTGGAATAGTTCAAGAACTTGAGACGTATCTCCAGCTGGTCAAGTATCATCCGGATGAAACTTCCGAGACTCGCGGACAGAGGCGCCATCTGGAGGAAGAGCTTGCGACTGCTCCTCTCTTCTCGTCTCTCATTCGCTTCACGCTCTATAACAAGAGCCAGGGAAATGCAAAGAAGGCTGAATACTATCAGCAGTATGGCTTGCTGGGCGTTCGGGTCTCCGTTCATCCGATTCTCTGCCTCGAGAATCACCTCGTTTACACCAACATCGTTGCTCCGTGGTCTGCATTTGTCTGTTGGCAGTCAGAGCAGCGGTTAGAGTCATACCATCTCTGTGCTTTTGAAGTTCTCCCGTGGGCAAGCTGACCTCGCCTCTGACGGGGCTGGCCCTGCACTTGACAAGTTCCCAATAGTGACTTCTTTCGTAACAAGGATCAGTCCCGAAGTGTAATCCAGGCCTCGACTGAACTATTTTGATTTCCTTCGAAGCATCAAATACCCAATGATGGCTTTTCCGAACCTGTGGGTGCGCAGTATAGAACGCGTCGAGAGTATTCTAAGACAACCTCAAGGCAACCATTTTTGTCACAGTAGCGATATCCAGGAGAAAAAGAAGTCACTGTGGTAATTAATGTATGGAAGTCATGATGATTCGCCGGTTGGCAACATCTTACTCGCCAAGTTCTAAATCCAAGTGACTGCTGCTCTTAGTCTTGTCCTACCCGAAACCACGCGCACAGATCCAGGCATTCCGGAGTGCCAAGTACTTCGGATCTGCTGTTTCACATTCGGAACTTTCTAAAACATATCTGTTGCAACGAATCTCAACGAATTGACTTGTGGTTTCTTTTTAAACTCCAAGGCATTAGATTGGATTCTATCACCTCGAAGGTTGAAACCGAATCAGTCTCAGCAAGTGCTGTCTATTCAGGCACCAATTAGACCCATGTTAAGCTCAAATAGATCTAGCAACTTAATTCAATCAAACATCTCCAGGGAACGAGAAGTAGTACCAACTGGACTGGTAAATAATCCCAGGGGCCGTGTTCCTGGACCAATGACATCAAATACTACACAGCGTAATGGCGCGGTAAGATCTGCTGAAATTGTAACACGGACAGGAGCTCAGACGCGCGGCCGGTCAATATCACACCTTCATGCTTCATTTACTCAATCAGAGATCAAGTCGAGACGAAGTTCAAGATGGCAGGCTACAGCATCAAAAGTCGATATTGGTGCCAAAGCTCGCCGCAATTGACGATTAACCATCAGAGTTCATTCCGACATGTCGAAGATAGGTCCATTGATTATATGTATGACCCACAGAGCTGGAAGCACGAGACCGGACGAACCAAGGCACCACGAGTCACCTACCCGGCCCAAAAATAAAGCATGTCACTCACTCAAGGAAAACGGGCATGGTAAGGATCCTGGATCGTTTTGTTCGTGCTGCTATGCCATGATGCTCATTAGGGCTATAAAACAACCCTTCTCCATTGCCTGCGGACTTCCTCTTCCTTTCTCTTCCACCTCAAGCTTCCAAGCTCTGTCTTTACACTCTTGATAATCGTTTTGTGCTTTTTAAATTCATCACAATGCGCATCGCAATTGCGTCTTCCCTTCTGGCATATGCTGCTACCGTTGCAGGTATGACCTTGAATGAGGATGCATGTTGATTGATTCTGATACTAGCGCAGGGCTATCTGTGACATCTCCTGTCAAAGGCGAAAAGGTCGACTTGAGCAAGCCTGTGACAATCAGATGGCAGTCTGTCAGGTACGACAATACAGATCAGTGACAGCAGGAGCAGAAGGTTTAATGTTACAAAATCCTAGCACCGACCCGAAAACGTTCTCGATATATCTGGTCAACCAGAACGTCTACCCCAATGTAGAGACATTGATTGCCTCAGATGTGGATACCTCGACGGGCCACTACACGATGAAGGCTCAGGATGGCATTGATAAGGAGTATGCTAACTTCCCCTTCTTCTAAATTAGAGAACCTCGTTAATTTGTGCAGGGGATATCAAATCAATTTTATCTCTAATGAGAACAACGGCATCCTAGCCCAGTCACAGCAGTTCACTGTGAGCAAGTCCAAGTCCTCGGGGCCGGTGTCTTCAAGCTCTGGTAAGGCCACCACTACTAGTACTGCGCGTCACACTTCAAAGTCTGCTTCTGCCTCTTCGACTTCCATGTCTTCTCAATCTGCCTCCTCATCAGCCTCGAATACTGTTACTCATCCCTCGACTGCTACTTCTTCGACGCTTGCTTCTACTTCCTCATCGACTCAATCTCCCACTTCTTCCTCGACTTCTGCTCACAGTTCCACCAGTGCGTCTACCCATACCACCTCTCCTTCCTCTAGTGCTTCCAACAGCGCTACTGCTTCTATTACTGTCTCATCTTATCCTTCTATGATGTCTACCAGTGCGTCTACCAACACCATCGCCACCTCATCCTTATCTTCGTCTGTTTTGGCCTCGAGCTCTTCCATCTCTATTGGGTCTTCTTCCACAAGCACTGTTTTTTCCAGCACTTTTCGTAGCGAAATTACCCATTCCACACATTCACAACCTACAAAAACCCATTCTACTCATTCTGATACCCGTTCTCATTCTCGTTCTACCCTTACTGGCACTACTACTCCTGGTGAGTTCACGGTGCCAAGACTTCTGGCTCCCAGGATTTTATGTCATTGCAATTTGCTCTCCTCTCACCTTGCACGATAGGGCAGCCTCTCATTAACTTCTGTTTGTACATAGTGACGAGCACGACGACCAAGACACACACCAAGCACATGACCACCTCCAGCATAACTGAAACGACCGTATCCACTGGTACTATGACCGCCACTGGCTCGGCGACCACGACTACTAATGCTGCCAATGCTCTGGTGGCACCTGCACAGGCTGGTCTGCTGCTGGGTCTTGCGGCCCTTGCATTCTAGACTTCAGCAGTTAGTCAGTTGGCCATGGATCAGTTATACAGGGCCAAACAAATCAATTGTGACTGTTGGGTTTACGTGATGTTGTTTCGTCTGCATACTTTGCCTTTGCTAGCAGAAGGACCTTGAAAGGGAGATTGAGAGTTATCCTGCTTGAGTATTACTGCTTTATGTTGGGCGTTAGTTATGCGCCCCAGATCCTAATAATACCTGGCCTTAATTCTTTCTTTTGCCCCATAACAAAATGCATTTGTGCTTAGGCGGTCGGTTCTAGCCTTCAAGGCGGCCGAAATGGCCTAATTAAGAACAAATTTATTTTTTGGGAACAGAATCGTGTTTGATAACATGATACTTCTATACACCCAGTATAGGTATATCAATCATAATCTGTCCCAGGAAGCAGAGCTTCTTAGGAAAACCGCCGTGCATGTCGGATGCAGTATTGGGAAGTGGGGAATCACTTAAATCGATATGTTTATCAATTAGGGAGGCGTTGGTGAGGAGGACTAGATGAGGATGATAATGAATTCTATTACTATGATGTAGCATCTTCCAGCTCTTGTTAGGCACTATGCAGACCTTCATCGGCGTAGATATTAGATGGGCACACAGTTGGAAGTACCCGGGAATCCGGTGAAAGTACTCGCTTTCCAAATAGAGTTGCTAACTAACCAGCTCTACTTGAACCTCGGCAATCGTCTGTAACATCCCCAACTTCTCCTCACCACGAAACCATAATAAAAATCTCAACTCCTCCCCCATCCTCACAAATTCACATTCATCTCAACCATCAAGAGACCAAATATACGATGCCCGTTCTAACCCTCCACCTCCTCACCCTAAACTCCCCCACCAACCTCCAACCCTTCATCCAACAACTCAAACAATCCCCAAATCTAGAAGTCATTCTCGCATCCCGCCCGCGACATGTGGTCATCCACCCAACAACCCTTGACAACGACCCCCTCACAAAAACAACATGGGACCTAATGGTCCTCCTCAAATGTGCCTCTAACACCACCAATCCAATCCCGTCGGCTTTACACAGCTGGGTCAAAAATGAGTACAAAGTCACAACAGGGATCCCTTCAAAACTCCTATCAACCTACCCAGCCCGCGACGCAGACCTAAAGCATTCCGCGCCTTCAGCTCCTCTAACAGGGTCACTAGAGAATATTCTCCGCGACGAGGGAAGAAGCTCTACCGCGCAAAACCTCGAAGTCTCACCGCAGCTCCTGGAATTCATGACCGATCTTTCGAAAATACATCCTGGCCCCGTGACAATGCTAAATCTGTTGCAATTCCACTATCCCAATGGGAAAGAAAGCTATTATCAATACGGACAAGCGTTTATCCCTGTCGCGGGTAAGCGAGGCGGGAGCGCGAAACTTGTAGGTGCGGTGGTGAACCCATCGTCATCGCCAGACGTGACGGACTCGAGGGGAGATCAATCCCCGCGTCCCGAAACGGAGTGGTGGAATGAGGTTTCTGTCGTGCATTATCCGTCCATTAGGCATTTTTGTGATATGCTTGCTGGGGAGGATTATCAGGGTATCAATGAGAAGTATCGTTTGTCGGTAAGTCGGCTTTCCTTGAACTATAATTATAGGGTGTGTTGCTAATAATTATATCGGGTTTAGGCTTTGAGGGATACGTTCTTGCTGTGTACGACTGAGTTTGATGTGGAGGAGGGTGCTGGGGTTGCGAAGCTTTAAGTACCTATTTAGGGCATTGCGGCAGGGTATTGAATGGAGTGAATGATCCAAGAGCATAAATATAGGTTAACTGGTATTTAATCAGGGTATCTGAAAGGCAAAAGCAAAACGTGATACAATATTCAGAGAGAAAAAAAAAAAAAAAAAAAAAAAACACGCTAGAGAATTCCACGCCATAGGCAAGATCGTAGAGCCAAACATGAGAATAGCGATATGGAGAGAGTTATAATCATACTTCACGCCTTCTTGCTACCGACCAGGGATGAAGGACGGTCAGGGTTGATGACGCTATCAAGTGGCCGGTCCCAAGTACGGATATGACCTATTGTAGTGTTGAAATATCAGTGGCTGAACGAGATGAAGTGCGATAACTATTGCACACATACCTTCAAGAGAAGAGGTCATAATGCTATCCTTCTGAAAGCCCAACCAGCAAATAGGGTCTTGGCCGACAACTTTGGACTAAAGGCATGGTTAGAGTGAGGCCTTCAGAATATTTTCGAGGCCAGGCCACTATTTAGTGACTCGACTCACCATGAGAGGGGGCAGCAGAGCAGTCCGCGCTCTTGGTTCGATGGGGTGGCTAGTCTGGTCAATATCGCCGTCGGATTTTTCGGTTTTCTCAGAGTCCGATCTGAGGCGAGTACCAGCAGGCTGTAAGCTGGGTGCGGCAATACTACTCCGTTGACGAGCGGTTGCCTGGCGGAGTGGAATATCCGTTAGTTTTGACTCCCAGATAGAAAACAAGTGGGAAACGTACTGCGCGAGGACGGTGGAGCATGCCGACACTGAAATCCCAGAGGAGCAGTCTGCAGTCATCTCCAACGCTCCCAAATCGGTAGGTCCGCTTGTCACAGCGCCATGGATCAAATGCAACGGCCGAAACAAATGAGTTGTGGCCTTGACATCGAGCAACTATCTTGCGCTCGGGAAAAGACCAGATGGTTACCAGATCATCTTGACCGCCAGTCACGATGTACTTGCCATCGGGGGACCAGCAAACGCAGATCAGACCGCCGTAGTAGCTGCGGAAAATGTCCAGCATTCTATGTAGCCATACATTAGCACAATTCAATGATAAAAAAGCATAGTACTCACTCTTCCTTCAAGTAATCCATAAGCCGCAGCGACCCATCTTCCAGAACAACGGCTAAGTGCCTCTGATCCGGCGAGAAAGCAAACTGGGCGATTTTATGGATGGTCAATTTCCACAGCGCGACCGGGTTGGTCTTCTGGTTTTTGGAGTTGACGGATTTCTGGACCTCCAGAGGTAGTTGGCCGCTCTCCCTCTCAGACTGAGTGCTAGCCTCGGATGCGAACAGGGCATCCTCTTTCTCCTTATCATAAACCACCAGCACCCCGTTTGCATGCGATGCCATGAATAAGTGCTCAGAGCCAGGTAGCCATTTGATATGAGTGACGGGGGAGTTGTTGATCACTCCATTCTTGTTGATCCGGGCGTATTTCTGCGACATGGGTTCGTACCAGATGATGTCGCCCGCGGAAGAACCCATGACTATGTCCAAGTGGGTTGAAGACTTGGTAACGTCGTTAATGTCGTGACACAACATATGCGCTTTGGTGAAGAGAACTTTGGTCAGATGTTCCTCTTTCTGCGCAGCGCTGAGGTCGAGCCATTGGAATGCGCGGTTGATGTTGGCAAACGCAAAAACACCATTGGGGTCACGGTCATTCAGCCGCTTCGCCGACGTCTCGTGAGTGATGACTCTCGAAACGAACGAGGAGCTGCTCTTGATTATATTGTTCTTCGGCTTCCTCCTTTTCGCGTCCTTCGAGTTCGCTGGCGGCGGAGCGAGCGCAGAATTTCCATCGCCAAATTGTGGTGCCGTAACCTTGGTCGTTAAGAATGTAGGTGGTCTCTTGCGCGCGTCTAGGGTGACCAAAGAAACCTTCACACCAGATGTCGGAGGGTTCGGGACAGTCGCAAGAGGGTTTGGGTTGACAATCGGTGCTTCAGATGGGTGCGGAGGCGGTGTTGCAAGATGGAGATCATCCTTCAGAGTGTATGTTCCTGCGATTAACTGATGTTAGCAACGATATGGCCCGATATATCACCGCCAGGCTCAGCAACGTACCTTCACCAACTTGCAGCGGACATCCGCCATCAGGGTGGGAGATGGTATTGTTGGTTTCGATGACCGGCACGGCCATGCCATTCGACGCCCCCGCCGCATAAGCGATAGGGACGGTGTAACGTGGAGGAGGGGGCGGTAGAACACTCGGGACCGAGTCAGCAAATCAACGAACCGACATAGGGCAAAACAATATCTCCGCAAGGTGCCGGTAGTCGAGACCACTTTCGCTCGACACTTCCGGAATGGTTTCTTCCATAACATCTCGAAGCTGACATCCGAAGCGGAGATGGGGGATCGAATGACTCGAAGGGGAATCCGTAAAAGGAGAGACTTACAACATGGCTGCAGATACACTGGTATAGCAGGAGAATACAGTCTCAGTCCCGACAAGTACAGAGCTGCGGACGACACCTGGGGGTGGCAGGCAATTCTCAACGTAGAGAGGGGTTCCGGGTTCGACTGTTTTTCACTCCACAGGACGAGCGATAAGAGCCACTAAAGACAGTAACAATCCAAGGAGACTCAGGGGTAGTAGATTATCGAGAAGAGGACCGATAGAAACTCAAGGTCGAGGCCGTATGCAGGGAGAGCCGGGGTGATCACTAGTCTCCACGCGGCCGGGATCGGCGGGAATGGCTGCAAGATGAAGAGATTGATGATGAGCGGAGATGGGGGATTATATGGTGGGAGGGAGACTCAAGGGAGAGTGTGGGAATGGGGAAGGAGAAAGAAAGACAGGAGAGGAGGGTAGGTGAGGAGAAGGCTGTCAGCACAAGAGCGAAGAGGCAGCAGAGGTCCGGGGTAAAACGTGGGAGGCAAAGGCGGTAGGTATCTGTCTGCGGGGCAAAATGGAGGATCCACCAGGTACAAGGGGTATGTATGGGTTCGGGCCATTAGTATTGGAACTATAAGTATTCTCACAGGGGTGATACATGGACTAGGGTCAGGTAACGGGCTAAGTATCAACTATTCTACACAACCTTCTCACGTCCCACTCCCACCCATTCGTCGCCAGATCATCGTCGCCGCGGCTCCAGCACACACCACGGCCCCCAGCGCAATCCCCCACGCCATCCACTTGCCCTCCACGTCCTCCTCATTGCGCGGGAAGACGGTGCTAGGCTCCATAGCAGCCTCAGCAATATGCACAAATACCTCCTGGATAGAATTCCACGTCACGCTGGCATGTAGCGGAGGGCTGGGCATGTTCAACATGGCCGTGTACTCATGGGGTTGATACTCCGCCCGCTGGGTGGTCCGATCCAAGTCGGCTTTCAGGGCAATAAAGACACTGGGAAGTTCCTCCAGATGCGGGTACTTGGCGCGCAAGGCCGGAATGTACGCAAAGGAGTCCGGATCGGACGAGTCGTAGGTGTAAGCTATCACATCGCATTGGTCGAGTAATTTGGCCTGGTTCTCGAGGATAGCGGGTTCAAGCTCCCCGAGCTCGTCCATGATTAGGTAGCACTGCTTCCCGCCGGGCAGTTCAACGGTGTTCACTGCCGTGCGTGGCTGGATGGTAGGGTGGTATGTGGTGCTGAACCCGCGCGACAGGAAAGCATCGAGTAAGGCGGACTTGCCAGAGCCAGAGGCGCCCAGGACATGGCATTGCACCACATTTCGTCCGACTCGGCCAGGTCGCCGCCGCCTCTTGCGCGGCCGCGTCACTTTTAGTGCCGCTGTGGTAGATGGATTGCTTCGGTCAGATGACTCGAAGCCCAGGTAGGCCAAGTATTCCAACGTGGTCTTGGGCGACATGAAGGTCGTCATGCTCCACTGGGCCAGCCAGCCTTGGAGGGTCACATGTCCGGCTTCGCTTCGCACGGTCGAGGATGGAAACGAGCCATCAGCCCACGACGCCGGCAAGCCCGGGGTCGGAGCGAACAACGATGCTAGCTCGGCGTTGTTCAACCCGCCATCGTTGTCTTTGTCTGACAGAAGGAAGAGATTCACAAAAAAGCGATATCCTTCGGGAGACAATTCAGCCGAGGCGAATGGCGGGACCTCGAAGCGGGGGGTGAAAAAGCTCTCTTGCAAGGACAGATTATCCGTGTATTGAAAGGCCCGCAAGATAATCCACACCGTCTCATGGCGCCCTTTCTCCGCATACATCTTGTTCAAATGAATGAATCCCCGGCAGTCAATCCCGGAGTCGGACACCGATTCCGGATAGGTTTTCTGGATGGTGTCCTTAATATGTATCAGATCTTCCTCGCTCAAGGGCTTCCCGAAACACCGGGTTTGAAACTCTTTGATCTCCTTATCCGACAGATAACCATCGCGATCCTTGTCGCTGAGGTAAAAGATGCGCTGCAGAGCTGCGACGGCGGCCGGCTTGAGCGCGGCCTCCTTGGAGTCGAAAAGGGGTGCGATGGGATGGGTGACAGCCTTTTGGCAGACAAAGAAAGCTTCGTTGACATTGCGGTGTTCGCGGGCACTCGTGCGGATGCATGAATCAATCTCCTTGAATTCCGCCATCAGCGGCAGCATCTCATCCTCGATCACCTGGGCCTCGCTGTGCTCCGCAGCAAGATCAGACTTGTTGGAGCACAGGACGACGGGGACATTCACTCCCAGAGACCGGAAATGCGGCAGCCAGAAGAGCGCCACGCGCTCGTAGCTATAGTGATCGGAGTAGACCAGCAAGATCACGTTGGATTTCCGAATCTCGCGGGCTAGGTTGTTGCGCTCCTGGGGTAGAGCCGAGGTATCGACGACGGTGGTTGTGGTGACATTTTCTGGGGTTCCGATCGTTGGAGGGATGGTGATCTGGGGCAGGACTGGCTGAATTTTGTTGGTGACGAAGACACCCTTGACCAGCGAGGTGATGAGGCTGGACTTGCCGGTGCCTTCGTCGCCGCAGACGCAGATGCGGACTGAGATGGGTCAGCAAAGAAGAGGGTAGCATTGACAGAGATTGACAGACCTGTTGCCATGAGCAAGGTATATGCTACAGCAGCAAGGACGGCTATAGCCTAACCATTGCGATTGTAACTGTGGCGGGTTGCCGGGTCAAGCTGTTTTGAAAGGAGACGCGGCTGCGGGAGAGATATGAGATAGTGCCTGAGGCGGCCACGGCCACGTGAAAGTACCTGACTGTGGTGCACCGCACAAATGTATGACTAGTTAGTTAGTTACAGCGAAATTATGGAGCGCAGGAATGAAATATAGGCAGTGTTAGGTGCAGAGAAGTACTTGAGCCTAATACTGTCACTCTGCATCGCTCTTGGCTGCTGTGCCTGGAAGATATACTTCTTCCTCTTCGGCACCCGTTTGCTCCGCCACCTTTCCCTTGGCCACCGTCAGCTTCTCTCTCCTCACAAACACTTTCCAGGTGAATCACCGTTACCAGGAACAGGTAGTCACCTCCCACCACTCGCAGCATTTGTCTGACACGCCGGGACCTGACCCTCCCTCTGTCCCCCAACCGGAGTTCCTCTCATCCGTCGCCCGGCCCACCTACCTGACTAACGCTGAACTACCGCAACACATCAGCCTCACCCTTCTCTTTCTCTTACATCCTTAGTCGAGTCCTCGCCCGTTCCCTCGACACCTCCGCCAAGATGCCTTTCGGGATCAATAACCCGCTCCCGGCGTCGATGAACAGTACGGAACATATCCTGCATCTCCCCTCGTGCCTGCTTCCCCGCAATCGCGCTGACCGTGTCTCTTGTCGCTCCCAACAGGTGAATGCAAGAAGGCAGCCAAGATCCTGACATCTTTCATCGATCCGAAGCAAGCATTTGGCCCTGATAAAGTCATTCCGCCGGAGATTCTGGCTAATGCTAAGGTGAGGCATACGTGGTCCTCGGATTGCATTCCCCGGCGTGCCAGATGAACGAACGAACTAACCTCCGCATCCATAGGGTCTTGCAATTCTCACTGTCCTCAAAGCTGGATTCATAGGCTCTGGTCGATTCGGCTCTGGGCTCGTCGTCGCCCGTCTCGCAGATGGCTCCTGGTCGGCCCCGTCGGCGATCGCGACCGGCGGTGCGGGTGTTGGAGGACAGATTGGGTTTGAGTTGACCGACTTCGTCTTTATTCTCAACGACGCATCGGCCGTTCGCACATTCTCGCAGGTTGGTACGCTGACACTGGGTGGAAATGTTTCGCTCGCTGCGGGACCCATTGGCCGGAATGCGGAAGCAGCGGGAGCGGCCAGCACACGCGGTGTGGCGGCGGTGTTCTCTTATTCCAAGACCAAGGGTCTCTTTGCCGGTGTCAGCTTGGAGGGTAGCATGCTGATCGAGCGCAAGGATGCCAACGCGAAGATGTATGGTAGTCGAGTCTCGGCAAGCCAGCTGCTGACCGGCACCGTTCGCTCCCCACCCCAAGCAGATGCCCTGATGCGCGTCCTCAACTCCCGGGCCTTCCAGAGCGGTGCGGGGAGAGTGTATGGCGACTCCATGTACAACGACATTCCAGTCTACGACTCCAGCCACGATGATGTTGTCTGGGAGGGCCGTCGCGGCGATGCCTACGGCCAGGGCCAACGGGGGCGCGCCAACACTTACGGCGATGATGATTATGGCTCCCGTGACCGACCCAGCCGCTCGAACACATGGACCGACGATGTTTACGATCGCCCCGCAGGGGGTCTGGGTCGCTCGAATACGACACGGGCACCTCCAGGCGACGCCTGGGGAGACAACTACGGCCGCAACCGCAGCAACACCGGGCCATACGAGGACGATTATTCGTATTCTGACCGCAAGCCTGGCCGCCCAACGGCTCCCAAACCGGCCTTTGGCCAACGGACTGGTCAAGGTTTGCGATCAGATCAAGTTGTCGCCCTCTACACGTTTGATGCCGACCAGGAAGGTGATCTAGGGTTCAAGAAGGGGGAGATCATCACGATCTTGAAGCGAACAGAAAAGGCCGAAGACTGGTGGACGGGGCGCATCGGCGACCGCGTCGGCATTTTCCCCAGGTAAGAAACTTGTGTGTCTGTGTGCGGCCATTCAACCCAGTTCACTAATTCGGATTCCTGCAGCAACTATGTCGATGCTTCCTCCTAGGTCTACGTCTGCTCCATGCTGGCTCATGCGGCACAATGCATTATCGCGAGAAGCCCCATTGATTCGAGGCCTCGTCCATGGACATAACAACGCCCCGGGATCTGTCTGGGTGTATGTGATTTGACTCGTTTTCCTGCCCCCGTCGGGTGTCGTTTCATAGTCTTGAGCGCTGGTGTTCTTGTTTTCATTCTCGGGTCCTCTTCGCTCTGGGATCCTCTTTTTTTATGGTCTACGATCGTTTCGTGCAAGTCGGATTCTCCCCATTTTGTTGTAGCCTAGAAGATTTTTTTTGTTTTTCTTCTGCCTGACTCCAGTAAGCACTGTAAGCACTGGAAGCCTTTGTTTCTATTAGTGTCCATTAGGTACCATGTACTCGCCCTGCCGATTGGTTCTCCCTACTGGCTGTGTTCAGGGCCTTGGGCGCCTCTCGAAAAAAGGAAAAGATGAACCCCGACAGCCAATGGCACGAAGACTCTGCCTTTTTCCATCCGGAGCGTAGCGAGTGACACCGGGGGCGTTCACATTCCAATATCAAAAGCGCCGCGCTCGTTGGTCCAAGGCAGAGAGCCCTGACCCATGTCCTGGACCCATATCCTGGACCCGGGCGCAGGCCGGTCGTACTTAGTACACCATCCGGGGTGCGTTGGAAATCCCTAGAGATCCATCAGGGGGTAATAGGAGGATGATAAGCATGTTGACTTGGGGGATTTAAGCCAGGATAGATTGCATTTAGCGTGCAGAAATATCCTGGTCTTCGATCTGAAGGGCTCAGGACGACCTAACAGACCCCTCGCTGTGACGTGCATGGATGAGGTGCCACGAGTCGAGTACAGATCGTGGCAGAATGGACGGACGGGGGGTCGCACTTGTATACTCTGGCGTCCGATAGGACTGGAATCCATACCCCCGTGGTTGTTCACAGTAAAGTCTAGAGACATAGATCTTTCCAAACAGATACTCGTACGGGAGCCTTGAGCGGGCCACTGAGGACAGCCGCAAACGACTGTCGGACGGATAGGATAGTCAGTCAGCCGGAGTTTAGCACCACCGCCAAACCAACACCGCCCGCCAAACCAATCATTCTTCCTTTTCTTCCTTCCCTCTATTCTTCATTCTCATTCACACTTAGATCCCCTGCTTCTTCGAATGACCGTCCCGCGACGGTAACTGCCGAATGTCGGTCGCTTGTGGTCTCTTCTTTTCTTCTCCGCTTCGATGATACTTCTTCTTCGTTCGCTTCCCCAGGTGGTAACATTGACCTCCTCGAGCCTCCCCCTCCCCCTCCCTCTCCTAGCGAGCCGTCGCCCTTCCCAGGTTCTTCGGGTCATCGCTGGTTCCTGGACAACTGGCTTCCATGCAGGTGCGTTATTTTTCTCATTCTATTCTCTTTGTTTTGCCGGTGCCCGATTTCATGGGGAGATTGCAGCCCCGTGCCTCGGGGTCCTCACGCGGGCATACCCATCTGGCTAGGGCTGTCGTGATCTGCCTACAAGCCTGAACCCATGATCTTTTAACGCCTCTTTCACTGAATACTGATGCTCGTCTGCCGTCATTTAGGCTTCCGCGAGCGCCCATGAGGCTGGCGGAGGACATGCAACGCGGAGAGGCCATGCCCCAACTCTGTCAATCAGCGACCCTAGCCACCATGTGACGGAGGCAATCGGCCATATGTACGACGATGACTACGATCGCAATGATCCTAGGCGGCTCAGCTACATATCCTCCCCTCTCGGCGAGTCAATATCGACCATTCCACGTGCCACGGGCGCGGGCGCAGAGTCCTCCTCCCCCTCTCCGACCCTGCTCTCACCGACCTCGGCGGAAGTGCGCCCAAAACAGTCAAATGGACATCTACGCCCGCAACCCATCATTCAACGCCGGTCCTACGATCGGGACAGCGAACCCGGTTCTCCCGACAGCCCACGTTCCCCGTCCGAGACAGCCACATCCTCCTTTCCTCTGAACGATATCGACTATGAATCCGATCCTGCGGCGGTGGCCCAGGAACTTAATAATCTGGCTGCTATTCGTCGCATGTCTATGGATGTGGCGGCCACCGGGGACCCCGATCTTCCAGGCTTTGGAAACAACTTTGCAGTGCCCTCTTTACCGCCATCCCCCTCCGCCGATGAAAATGATGCGTCTCGGTTATTTTGGGTGCCAGCCCGCTTACATCCAGAACTGGCCCCGACTGAATTCAAAACGTTTCTGGAAAGCAAGGCAGATCATATCAAGCGCAAGTCGGGGGATTTCTCGTCCCTGAGCCCGGAGCGTTCAGGATCCGGGAGTAGTCTGCGCCGCAAGCGGTCTATGCTATCCCGGGAGATTGACGATTCGTCGGGCTATACGGACGGCGCGGATCGACTAGACCGGCAGCGCTCGCTGGCTCGTAAGCGAGAAGGCATGTTGAGTCCTAATTTGCAGGAGCTGGAAGCATTGGTGGATGATGGGAAATCCCCGGACTCGCTGGTACAAGGACTGCGGAATGCGAGCATCTCCTCCGCCGACGAAGACAAGCCGATTCTACCCCCGGCACCTCCGGGCCACAGTCTACGACGGTCGACTCGCACCCAGTACAGAAAGGGAAGCTTGAAAAAGGGCGAGAAGCTTCCTTACTCCAAGCGTCTGGGGAGGACCTCGGAATCTTCAGATACTATGGCCTCGATTGCTGCTGCTTCTGATGAGCCGCCAATACTTGGACTCACTCGCGTCTCAACCGATCCCACCTCAAATGCTAGCCCACCAACGCGGACCCTGTCCGCTTCATCGCGGGCTACGGCCTACGCTCCAGGATCCACTCCAAGTTCAACGTTCGATTCCATACTCGAGAATCCCCAGGACGAGCAGGGCGACAGGTCCCTTGCTAGCTCTCAGACTGATGTCACGCTCGGTCGATCGGACTCGGGAGGCCGGTCGAGTGCCACTTCCCAGACACGAAACTGGCAATCGCGTCTCAGCTCGAATGGTCGCTCAACCTTGAATATCCCCCCATCGGAACAAAAAGTTCCCGCCATTGTCGAAACGCCCTCCGTTGATCTCAATCGATCGGCAGCTAGCCAAGTCCCACAAGGCAGCCGGGTAACAGAGCGCGATGGCCCGCCTGCAATGTCCAAAGCTACAACAATGAAAGAATCCGGCTTGAGTAAGCGATCTTTGTCCAATCGCCAGTCCAACAAGGATACCACCTCGCTCAATGACTTTGCCAACAACCCGCAAATGATTCCTGGCAACAGTATGCGAACCGACACTCTTTCCTTCATTCCCACCCTTCCCGAAGAACGCAAGCCCGAGGATCGCAAGTCGGAGAGCAAAAAGTCCAAGGACAAGAAGGACTCGGAAGGTGGCCGCAAGTCTAGCTGGCACTGGCTGCTGGGCAATGAGGAAAAGGATAAAAAGAAGGACAAGGACAAGGACAAGGACCATGACTCGAAAAAGACAAAATCGAAATCTGTCGAGAAGGCTCATGACAATACCCGTCTGGATGTGTTGCAGTCATCTATCGACAACAGCCAGCGCGGGCGTGAGAGCATCGTTATTGATCGCCTCGACCCGAAACTGGAGGAAGAGCGACGCAAAGATGGAGCCAGACGGGCTTCGGGAGAGTCCAAGAAGGAAAAAGATGGGATCTTCTCATCAATTTTTGGTGGCGGACGAAGGAAGCATGGAGAGAGCCATCACAAGAAGAGCTCTTCGCGCAACATGTCCCCCGATCCTCCGGTCCGCGAGCTGCGCGCAGACATCGACTACCCATGGACCCGATTTTCGATTCTTGAAGAACGAGCAATCTACCGCATGGCACATATCAAGCTTGCAAATCCTCGGCGTGCACTCTACTCTCAGGTGTTGCTGAGCAACTTCATGTACTCATACCTAGCCAAGGTCCAACAGATGCATCCTCAGCAGATGATGGTTGCCTCCAGTGGATCCCAGAGGGAAGCCAAATCCAGGGACCAGCAGCCGGAAGAGTACCTTCAATATCAGCGATACCAAGAAGTAAGTGGAGCCGGCACCAATCTCGTCGACGAAGGGCCATAATGCTGATGGCTTTCAACTTTTTTTCGCAGGCACAGGAGCAGCAACAACACCAGCAGCATTATGGGAATGGTGCATATGACGACCCTTCCATGTACGACTATGATGACGATCCGCATAATCGTTATCACCACTCAGGAGGAAACAAGCATGGCTATGAGAACGGCAATGCTTATGATGGTTCGGGACATTACCAGTATGGGCACTCGTCTTTTGGCGAGGATGTCCAACTTGACGATGACGACGACGACGATATGTGGTGAAATTCAGGCGTCTTCACTCGCTTTTTTCCTTCTTCTAGCCTTTTTTCTAGCCTGTCGTTTTCTTCTTTCTTTTCTTCTTCATTTGCTACGCACGGAAATACCCATGCCTCTTTTCCTTTTCTTTCTTTGTTCTGGTGCCTCCTAGAACATGTACACTGAACTCATCATTCTCCCTACCATCCATCACCCCCAAACTCAACCCTTTTGCTCTTCTCTTCATCTTTTCCTTTATAGTTCATATGGCCTGCCCAGTCAGTCACCGCGACTCGTATTGTGACGCACACGATCGACACTAATACTATGCGAGCGACAACGGGATCTCGGCAGTATGGACCTTGATGGATGGATTGTTTCTATGGGTTACCGCCACATCTTTAGTTTCTTTTCGTTGCTCATGCGGTCTGATCTGCTTTTTCTTTTTTTCCCCTCCTTTTTCCATTTCTTTTCGTTCGCATAGCGTCAGGTGTTCTTTATTTTGCCCTTTCTTAATCGCACTATCACACACACTGTCTATACAGTTTTGCTTGTTCACTCCTGTAGTTTTTTCCTCTTCTTTTCTTCTGATTCGGCTCGGATTCTTAACTATACCAATGAATCTATGAGGACGTCTGCCGTATATCTGTTTGCATTTTTGCATTAGTTGTGTTGGTAGCATAGCCTATCAATGACCGCAAGATGCAAGTAGTTTTCCGCGCTCGTAGTGAGTGAATGAAATTAATCTACATATGTAGATTCCAGCTTTGTGTGTTTCATGTGGCATGTGTGTGCTTAAAAGTGCACCTTGTTAGATATATGGTAAAAACTTGACTGCCTAGCAGGATAGGGCAGATATAGCCAGGCATAAGGCGTGTGCGTCTTGAAAGATAGTGGGTTGACGGCATCCATAGGACTCTTCATGTCTTCAGCCTTGTGATAATACTAAAGCATATTCAGTGATGATTATGTTTCTTGCGGGGACCTAAAATCCTGTGTAGTGGGATTTTCCTCGGGGTGCCCACCTGAAAAGAACCCGACATTCTTATTAATCTCGAATTCTCCCCTTCAATTTTCCAAACGTCCCATGATACTACATCATTCACTGGAAACCATCATCCCATCTAGCGCACCCATTCCGACGCGTTCACACCCCGGCTGCCATAATTTTATAATCCACACTTTCCGATTATCCCACATATCATTCGACACTCAGTTTTATGCAACTTCTTCAATATCTGCAACTTGTGCACATTTAGTCTAGTCTCCAAATGGCCTCGAACAAACTATCCATTCTACCACCGGACATCATGGAGTCCCAATTGTCCACAATTGACCTCCTAATGGCGATGTTCCCGTCTCCCGGCGAGCTGGAAATCCCTGAATCCACAATGCAGTGCGTCGAGACACTTCGGGACTGGTGCCAGAACCCGAACTTCACACCTTCTAAAATCCCTTCAAGTATATTTCTCATCGTCAGTCTACCCATTGCCGACGGAGACAAAGCGATTGAAGTCAGCATTTCCGTTCCACTGCAATGTGAAGATCCAGCAACAATTGAACAGCCGCCGTCATTAAGCTATTCACTTCGGCAACCGGAATGGATGTCCAAAGCCGAAGTCGCTGGACTCGCCGCGGCAATACCACAAGGCGATGCCTTGGAGGCATTCGAATACATCCAAACAGAGGCCAGCCGCTTTCTTGAAAACAAACAGTCCCAGACCGTGAGCTCAAAAGAGACGGAGCCACAGACAAGTTTCGGAGGGCCGATCGTGAGAGTCTGGTTCTATTTCCCTTCTTTGTCCACTCGTAAAAAGAGGGAAGATATGGTCAACTTTGCACCGGGATATTCTCTGACAGGCTTTGTGCTCGCGGGTAAGCCAGGGGTATTATGTCTCGAGGGTACGTCACGAGATATCGATGCCTATATGAGCTTCGTCAAGACACATTCATGGGGCGATATCCCCAGTCACCAGAAAAAAGTCAGCGAGAGATTTCGAGAGACCGAAGGAATCAAGAGAGTGTTTTCGGGGATGGAGGAAATCACAGACTCGCTAGGAGAGCGAAGTGGGCAACGGGCCAATCGGGGTGATATGCAGGCACTGGAGGCGTGGTTAGGGACCAAAGGACTGCAAGAGGCATTTGAAAAGGTGATATTTTAGCTGCTCTAGGGAAGACTAAGAAATAATGTAATTCTAATTCCGCACGCCCATTAGATGTTGGGTGAGTCGAGACCTAGATCTCAGACTCGAGACCAGCCTGACCCTATCACCACTGTCCCAGTGACCTTTACTTGACGCCTTGGGGTAGCTTTTACGATAATAGGAGTCCTTTATTGGTCGAATATGAGAAGAGACGGTTCCCTTGTAAGAACCGTGCATACAGTGTGTGGTTATCTTATGAAATAACATATGATCCCAGCAACCAACCCAGGTAGGTGACAAGTTTGTTGGAGCCACATCTGCCCGTAGTGGGTTGACTTTAGGTCATCGAAATGCGAACGGAGTAATTGTGGGGGATGTGGTGTAGACATGTTAGCATCAGGGGAAGCGACACTGCGCTTTGACCTACTCGACATGGATGCTTGCCCGGAAAATACTTTAAGAGCCTGTGCTTCAAGTAACTAGTATATTGCTCAAATGACACTAGAATGAACAGTGCTAGCAAAAGTGGGGAACCCGCCAGACACTGAATTCACGAGAAATGACTTCATTCTGGTCCTGGAGATGACGACCTTGGGTTGAGATATTCTTGCAGGACCTGCTTATCATGGCAAGGAATTCGAGAAGATAGAGGAAGACCGCCGACGAAACTCCGTGGATCCCTATGATGAGGAAGGCTAGCAAAGTCTAGCATGTAGGGGTACGCGGAGAAGCTGGCAGAAGTAGGATAGTGCAAGTTATTGGGGCCAAGCATTGAGTAGATGCCCGTACCCGAAAGCCGGAAGGAGCCTTCTATGGCTCTGTATACTGTACCATGACCAAGGCAGAAATGGAAAAGGCAGGCCCTTCCCCACCTCCCCCCAACCGCCAGGATCTGCTAAACATGCTATAGGCCACAGATGGCGAAGCTCGACCTTGACTGGTGCGTTTTTTCCGAGGGAGGGAGCAGTGAGCACCCGATCCAGGATCTTTTTTTTTGATGCAATTTTTCATTGACGGGAGCATGGCTATATAAAATGCGCCTCCCCGCACTCTTCGACCTTCCTTGCCACTTCTACATGCAAAATCTTTTCTACAAGTTCTAGTATGCTTGGTCCAGCGTCCCTACTGACTAAACGACCGCTACTAGAAATAGCTTCTGCACCATCCTATGGAAAGTCTCTGATCACATCCTATCTTGAGCTAACATCACCCTCTCCGCGACGATACGCTGCTCAACTCCTACAGTCTCCCTGCGCGTGTACTGCAACACCAGACGCACCTTGCCGCTAACAACCTCCGCAGGCAATACACAAAAATCCAACACCCGCTGATCATCCGGTGGGACGCATCCAAGCTGATCTAGAAATCCCATCGCCGGAACTTCATTCGTCGACGGTCCTGTCTCCTCGACCGCCACAATAGCAGCCACAACGTGCGTTGCCAACGCTCCCAGATAGAAGCTCTGAATTTGCGGCGCCTGCCGCTGAAGGCGAAGTGCCTGGCGCCGAACCGCCGGCGATCGACACTTGAGCGCTGTAATGAGCAGGGGCATGCCGATACCCATGTCGAAGACAAAGGGGGGTTGCTGGTCGTCATCACAGGCCGTGGCAGCTAGCGCCACGGGTGCGTGCGTGATTATTTGCACGAACTCAGAATTGTAGGCGTCGTAGACGGATTCGCTATAGTTGATAATTGTTTGAGTGAGGATAAGGATGCTGGTGTATGTCATTATTAGGCCAGCGATGATGCCGTCGTGGGTATTTCGTTTGCCTAGAAGCCGGTTTTCAATGGCTGCATGGGTATGTGTATATCGCTGAACCTCTAGCATTGTGCTAAATCGAGCATGCCAAGCCAGAATACGGTGTTCGAGGAGTTTTTGACGGATGTGAAGCGAGCTATCTGGTGTAGATGTTACTGTGTGTTGTCTAGAGCGAGAGTCGCAGTCAAGGCTCTTCCAGTCCGGAAAGAAGGCATGAAGACAACTTCGCGCTTCGGAGATAGAGGGAAAGGGGGTCTTCGCACAAGACTCGTCACCACTACAATTCCCTTCAGACATATGTGGAATACCCCCAATGATGAGTGCCCATGGGCCCATGCGCTGCAGCACAGATGTAATCACAATCATCGTCGAGGTGGGTGCCGTTGTAGATCTTACTAGTTGCAACCCCTGTTTATATAACGCTAGGGCTTCACGGACGTTCCCCTGGAGGAGTTCGATGCAGATGAACAGAATGCAGCTAACCAGCGCCACCGAAACATCCACCACCCCTCGTTCGATCTGCCGCCGTAGCGACCCTATGGACCGGGAGTACCATGTTAAGGCCTGCTGCTGACGTTGAGTCGGCACTGTAACAGACAACAAATGCGACGACAAGTCCCTGGACCGCACAGGGAGCGCATCATACAACCTGGATCGCACAGGGGGCGCATCATACAGCTTGGACAACACAGTGGGCGACTCATACAATGTGCTCAGAGCTACGATAGCATCCCAGACGGTAGGCTCGGCGCGGCAGATCTGGAGTACTGTCCCACACCAGAAGCCGAAATCGAGCGGGTCAGACAGCGCTTGAGCGACATGATGGAAATAGTATTCAAAGGCGTGACGCTCACCCTGAACAAGCGAGGATGTTGACAGTGGATACTGTAGAGCGGTAGAAGTGGCATGTTTGTACTCGCAATTTCGGCCCGTGCTTGTACATCGCGTGCACGATGGTCTCTCCTCTCCGCATTTGACCCGACGGATTCTGATCGAGTTAGAAGGGAGTCAAGCCAATACCGGGACACTCACTTGCAGGTCTTGCATCCAGTCTTGGACTTTATGCTCCCAGAGGAATGGGACCGAGTCATATAGGCATACATGTTAAAATGCCTCCATATTCGGCGTGACTCCTGACCGTCAAGAAAGATCGGACTTTTTCGACGCAGAAGTTTTCAATATGATTGGCCGGTTCGGTATGATGTCATAGGCTATACCCAATTTGGCACATACCTGCAGCTTCAACGTTCTATTTTGTTGAGACCGTCGTAACGATACTCACAAGGTACTTGGAAAAGAACCAAATTCCGGTCAATCGCGACGCGTCGCAGCGAAAAGCTGAGTACTACTCATCTGATCTGATATTCCAGCCAAACTTACATCGAGATCTCCTGGCACCATATGAACGGATGACAATAGCGCGCAAGGGTAGTAGGGAATAATTTTGGGGGACTTTGCTAGAAGGTCTAGCGCATTGATCAGCTCGTCACCAGCCAGTCTGATTAAACCAAATGCCCCCGCCGATGTAAATGCTAAGATTGTAAAATTATAACTACGGTATTTCCGTCTTTGGCTGTCTACTAGTGTCAGCGACCGCAATGGGTTGATTGGAACAGATCTGGTTGATCAAGTCGACATCCTCTCCTCAAACCGCATAGCTTGAAGGAACGGTGGTTGTGGTGGTTGTAGTGAGAGTGGTTGTTATGAGAGTGGTTGTGGTGAAAGTGGTGAAGAGAGTTGCTCAAGACGATATCATTTTGGTCGTTTCAACAAGTTCTTGTAACAAGTATGCTCGCCTTTCCAGGCTCTTGGCGTATCCAAGAATTGTTATGATTCATAGGACTGGTTACGATACGATATCAGCAAATGTCTAATCAAAGGTCTGCCAATATCGTCAACAGCCCTCGCTTAGAACTTGGCATTGTTAACCGGTATGAAATTTATGGCACAATTTTGTCCGCAAGAACACTACAAGTTGCTCAAGAACTGATAGCAATTTGTAACGGATCATACTTTGCCACATCTTACCACTTATGTAGTACGATCCATGCATCTGACACCGGTTGAAGGGGGCACAAATATGTTTGTGTTCCATACGTTTCAGTAAAGCTGGATGGTTCCCCAACTGGAATGGCTGGCTAGCAAGATTAGAACAGACCCAATAATTTGCGTACGATCTTGATGGTATTGTATTGTATCGATCGAAATCTCTGTGTGCAATCCATTGGCTCCGTTGTGCTGGCGGATCATCGTGGTCAGCGTCACCTCCGAGCCAGTGCGACCAAGTGCTACTCCAAGAACAAATTCAGCGCGTAGGAAGCCATGCCTAGTTGCAAACTGTAGAGGTACCAGGTTCCTAATTGTGAAATATACCAATGCTACGATAAGTGGAATCGGAGGGTTCGGTCGCGGCCTTCTGCTGCTGCCTCATCGGTTATGCCTGTCTCGAGGCCTTCCACTCATTTCGTGCTGCTAGTATGCTCCCAATAGTTTATCTGCGATATAGTATCCAGTGTCAAACGACTGATGTTGCCGACAAGTAAGATAATTTTGTATTACATTTAACTCATAATCTACTAGACATCAGGGCCACCGATAGTTGCGGAATTCGTACAAGCGGATTACGTCATGATTGTCTACGGCTCAGCTTTTAGAGTTCTTGGCAGAGGTTTTGGACTTTTTGGAAGCACACATTATACATTCTAAGAAGGACTTGGATCCGAAGAGGGCACAAAATTTCCAGGGCCGTTCCCGATATCCGCTTTAACCGATAAAGCGGATAATTATCTGCACGGATATCCGCGCAGATAATTATCTGCAGAAATTTTTGACGTGGATACGGTCTGCCGATATTCAAAATCCTAGGCGGATAATATCGGCAGACCAGCGAATTAGCCCGATTAGGCTTAGTTTATAGTCACCTGACTAGTTAGGAGTCAGTTTTTTCACTAACTACTAGTAATAACTATTATAGGCCATGTATATATGTCATCTATGCATGTATTTTCTCTCTTGAATAGTTCAACAATTTAATTACTCTCCCTCTTAATACAACTAATTAATTAATAAATTCAACTAATCAAGCAATAAATTCAACTAACGTCCTTCATCAACATCAACATCCTCATAGTATCTGCTTGTAAAGCAAACCTTCGGACTTTTAAAAGATCTCTCCCTATACTAAATAATCTCTCAACCGATACCTCTGAAGCTGGGATAGCAAGAAATTCCCTTGCAGCCTCTGCCATTTGAGGATATTCAGCCCTATGGGTACGCCACCAATTGAAGAGCCAGCCCGGATCGTCTGTATCCCTAATAGTAACCCGGGGACTATCAAAGTACTGATCAATATCAGAAACAAATTGACTATCCTGGGCTGTAACTTTTGGAGCATCCGTAATCTCATTGTTTTGCGATTGAGAGTTGAATCTGGGTGTGAATTTGACTGTGGAATTGACTGTGGAATTGACTGTGGAATTGACTGTGGAATTGACTGTGGAATTGACTGTGGAATTGACTGTGGAATTGACTGTGGAATTGACTGTGGAATTGACTGTGGAATTGACTATAGAAATGACTCTGGATTTGGCTGTGAATTTGACTGTGGATTTGGCTGTAGAATTGGAAATCTTTCATGGAGTAGAGTCCGAGTCGCTTGTATAACTAGCTTAGCAGCTGCTTGGTCCTGTACCTCATGAAGTATAAGATCACCTTTGACCTGTGGGTCAAGAATTAAGGCTGTATAATATGTGTCTGATTCATCCATGAAGTCGTAGTACTTTTGGTACTTCTTTAGGCTTGCCTTTATTGCAATTGCGATATCACTATCGTATTCCACTAAGGCATTATCCCGTAATAGATCATGAAGCTCATAATAAATTGGGATAGTCAGACTGATTTGTGGCCTTTGGGTAGATACCAAGTGCGATAGGTCATCAAAGACTTTGAGAGCTTTATGAATCTGAAGAAGTCGAGACCACTCTGTATTGGTAAAGAGAGGAAAGCCTTGTATAGAGCAGAATCGATTAATCTGTTCTTGAGCATGTAATCCATCATCAAGCATTTGAAAGGTAGAATTCCACCGTGTTTCTACATCATACTCAATCAATTTATTAGGGAGCTTCATGAGATCACAGATCTGCTTCCATTCTTGTTTCCGTTGGGGACTGCGAGAAATCCAAAGAGCAAGAATCCGGAGCTTAGCTAATGCTGATTGAGATGAGATTGATAGAGAGCTCAATTGAGAATTTTGTAGATTCTCACAGATCGAATTAGCCTCTGAAATATTTCCTGATTTCAATGCTCGAAGAATATCTTTAACGATGAGGTTCAAGATATGAGCTAGACAGCGAATATAGCTATCAGCCCCACGGAAGCGAATAGGTTCCAAAGAGTTCTCTTCCAAAGTACAATATAGCTCAGAAACCAGCTCAGAAACATTAGAAGCATTATCCCCAGTGATTGTAGTCAACTTTAAAGTAATACCTAACTCTTTCAGAGTTTCATAGACAGTAGCAGCAATATTCTGCCCTGTATGCGGTCCAAATATCTCACAGAATTCTAGAGTCTCTTCACGATAGTGAAAATCTTCTGTAAGCCAGTGGCCAATGATACCAATGATTGAAATCTGGTTTTGGCTTGTCCACGTGTCAAGAGAGAGTGCAATTGTTTTGCATGTAGTAGCCAAATCTTCTTTAAGCTTTGATCGTTGGATAACAAATTCATCCTCTATTCTTCGACGCATAGTTGATCGCGATTTGAATGGTAGAGTGACTCCTGGAATATCTTCAAAAATCTGTTGAAAAGCAAGAGATTTAATAGCTGTAAAAGCTTGCTTATCTTGAATAACCCATCGAATGAGATTCTTTTCAAGACGCTCTTGAACTGAGAGATTCTCCTGATTTGTAAGGAAATACCGGATGTCTTGGGTTTTTGGCTTTAGCTTTGAATGTTGATGATCAAGGCGAATCAAGTGCTTAGTCTCAAGATGACGCTGCATATTTGAAGTTGATGATTGCCTTTGTGAATCTGAAGTTTTCCAAGTACATTGTAGACCAGTTTTGTCGTCGATGACTGTACAGTAGATATCTCTATCTATAGTCCGTATATTCCCTGAACGATAAACAGTCCACTCACGGGATACCTCAGTTGTAGAGAAGTAATTCCAAACCCATTGGGTGGCTAGTGCTGGGCGAGGTTTCTTAACCTTCCGAGTAAGGATTTGTGAGGCAGATTCATGAGGCGAAATTTCTGAAGAAACTTGAGAATCTTGATTTGTAGATGTAGAGGGAGCATTCGATAGCCATGGCGATTGTGGAAAGAACTGGGATATATCAGACCCTGTGATTTGGTCTGATAGTAGAACTCCTTCTATAGGGGAATCAGGGCCACCATTTAGCAATTCATAGTCGATTCGTGGTCTACCTCGTGTAGTCATCTGCCAGTCTTCATTAGATGCCATGATTGATGATTGATAATAGTAGTAGGGAGGGAGGCTTGAAGTTGGTAGATAAAAGCAATCAAAACTAGGCTCAGGGGGAAGTAAAATTTTACTACCAACTACTTGCTACTATGAATGATAATATAATTAGTAATATCCGTATTACAACCGATATCCGTATCCGCCCTAAAAATTCATGGCGGATATCGTATCTGTCATATTTTTGATGGCGGATACGGTCTACAGATAATTATCCGCCATGAATTGGGAAGCGGATACGGATAGCCGATATTGAGAATTGAGGCGGATACCGTATCGGGAACAGCCCTATATTTGGATAAGTGTCTATCTTCTTTTCCTAGGAATAGGCTATTTGATGAAGACATCGGATGAGCGCACAGGTAGTTAAACCAAAGAAGTAAAATGGGTTAGGATCATTCTATCGACTGATGCTTGCTAGTCTGGTCACAATGTTCCCACGATGGACGATCTGGATCGCCTGGTCCACGCGAATTATCCCGTGTTGTCCACTGACTGGCCTCATCGCTATCGGGCTAGTTCCTGGAGGCATCGCAGGGATAGTGTATAAACGCACTACAACTTCGCCCTGCACATCCCCCTACGAGTTGCAGAGCGAGTCCATCTGCATCGATGACACCCAGACGCAGAGCCTTACCCTGCTGGCGAATTGCGGGTACACTTGGAATGTAACCGATGCCGATGTGACCTCCTGGTTCATCGACTACAACGATAATCCGGCGTTCCCCCGCAGTACCCATGTCGCCCAGGCAGTTACTAGCAACAGTACTGTTCTGAACATTCAGCTCGACGCCTCGAAGATCACAGGCTTCAGCGTCAATGGCCCGAGCACGCTCAATGTTCTACCACTCGCTAGCGCCCTGATGAGCGGGCAAGCCAGACCTACCCTTACTCGCACCAAGGTCGGGCAGTACAACATTCCCTGGCTGAGCGTCAAGAGCGACATCACGGGCGGCGCATATACGCATGCGAAGAGCACGCTGAAGCAGATGTTCGGCGTGAACGTGACGTATGACCCCAACACGCACGCGCAGCTGTCGCTGGAGCTGCCGGGGCTGGTGGACGCTTCTATCGGGACTGAAAATGCCTCGGTCACCCTCGCGGGGGGTGATGGGTACTATACCTCTGAATATACCCTCCGCGCGGATACATTGATAGAGTCCTGGAAGAACGGCAAGACCAACTATAACCTCCGCGAAGGCGATTTGGTAATCAACATGGGCGACTATCTGATTGTCGATACGGACAGCGGACGCGAATGGAGCTGTCTGGGGGGCGACGGACAGGGGAACTATATATTCAAACTGGAGGTGGCGGGGATCACGTACAATGGCCTCCCCGTGGCCTCGCAGCAGTTCAGCATCCACATCTACATTTACGGGTATAACTACTCCAGCGATGCGGCCACCAAGTACGGGGCAGGCACCACTATTGAACCTGTCTTTAAGCCCCTGAGCGACAAGATCGACCAGGCCCCTGAGGCGGGGTCTGTGCCAGTGTTCACCTGGGTTGGGGAAGGCGATGAGCCGAACCTGGCTGATGCGTTCGAGGACGATGTTTACATCACCTGGCCGACGGATACCGATGCGTCTGATTTGGAGGCGGGGGATATTGAGATTGTCTTGTCCAACCTCTTCGGGGATAAGATCACGTTGGGACCTGATCTGGACTACTTGGTCAACACTTCCAGTAGCGAGACCCAGATAGCGATTGTCCTGCAGAACTGGCCCTTCCAGCCCGTGTACACTGAGATGACCATCGCAGTCAATGCAGCGAGGCTGCACTGCACCATTCCAGCCGTGGATGCCCTTCGCACCACCTACAAGATCGTCAGCGTGTACGTCTACCTCACGCAGCAAGGGGGTGGGGGCACCACCATCGACGGGACGGTGACCACGTACAGCTTCTACGGACTAGCCAATCTGACGGACGTCAACCAGATCACGGTGCCGTCCAACTACACACTCAGTACGACGGTCGATGGAGCCACCCAGTATTTCTCGGAAACCACCAACGGGACTGGTGTCTTTACACACTCCAGCTCTGCGGCAACGGTGTTTGACGGCTCGGGCGTCGATGATCTGAATGTGCAGTTGATCGGCAACACAGTGTATGTGACGACACGGATCAATGCCACCGCCACCAAGACCGTGAAAGGGGAGCCCGTCACTTTCACCAAGGCGTACAATGGGGGCGTTACGCTGTCTCCCAACGAGGTGTCACCATACCTGCACGGGGCGCCCGGGTATACGATCAACCGGACTGCGACGTGGATCTTCCATGAGAAATGGGCGTGGCAGGAGAGCGTCGCGATCGGCTGGGGCGGGATCGATGTGCTGCCTTACTCGGGGAAATTTGAGTACGAGATGAACAAGAGCACCAGCCAACAGTTCTACGCAGACGCCCCGGCGGTCACCTGGAGCATCTTGGGCAACACCTCGAACAAGACGGCTATTTCCAGTAATGGCACGCTGTTCTATGCCGAGGATGAGGAGGCTGCAGCGGTTGCGGTCGTTGCATCTTCCACGACGGACAAGTCGTACGGGGGTCAGGGATGTGTCAATGTAGTGTCATCTGTGTTAGCATAGATTGACAGTAACTAGTATCCAAAATGTTCCTAGTAAGAGTATAGCTCTATGGTTACTACTTAACTATCATTAATACTCATTGATGTATGGATTCTAAGAAAGATATAAAAACCCATCCTAAGCCTATAGGTCCTCTACTTCTCACTAGCCCACGTCTCGGTCACTTCCCGCTCGATTAAGTCTGGGCGGGACCGTGACAGGGGTACTAATTGCTACGCCGTACAGTAAGTAGGGATGGGTACTGGATATTCCATACATAGACACCTCAGCAAAGGCTACCCCACATTTTAATATAACGAGCCTAAAGTGGATTGGATATATTGGGGTGGCTCACTTGTTGAGCTCTCTTTTCCCACACTGACGAAATACAGGCGCTAACTCCAGGGGCGGATGCATGTGAGATTCGCAGCATACGATAAGTGGCTGAGATGAAATGGAAGGATCTAGGGTGCTTTGACCGTCACGCGACTTCCTAAGATAAATTCTGGGAAATTAGACAAGCCGCATTGTGGAGAAATTGTGGAGAGATTGTGGAGAGATAATGGGATATTGTTTGTATGTGTTGACAGGGAAGAGCAGAACAAGGTCCAGGTTTCTTATTTTCACTCCTTGTTGCGTTGTTTGACTAACTTGTTACGTCGCCTTTGTCTGACCAGCTGGGCCTGATACGTTATCAAATAAAGGCGGCTCCGAGGCCACTGTTATATACGGGGTGTTGCAATTCTGATTGAGATCTCGTATATAAAACTGCAGCTAGGTCTAAACAGTGTTGAGTTTGGTGTGCCATCACGCTAAGCTGCTTCATCCTTCCCCGCTTTCCAATTTGACCCCAGCCACAAACTCGACGTCGTATCTCATAGGCCTACGGCCGGATTGGCGGAGATTTAGTGATGAATCTTTATCCGGATCTCTATAGTTTCTATAGTAGACCACGTAAGCACAGCTCTGTATACCAGAGAACAATCAGTCAAATCATAAATACCGCTCTTGTCCATCCTATTTCTTCATTATTCACGCTCAGCGATCGACATTGACTAGTAGTTGCGTCGCTTCAACATCGCAGATGAGTGCTTCTTACTTGGCAGCCATTTTGGCTGCTGGATTTCTTGCCGTTGTCCATGCTACATCCTCACTGGCAGATGTGTGCACTGTCGCTCACGTCAAAGCATCTCTGCCCGATGATGCTCTACTCGGAATTATACTTCAGCATACGACTGTGACCGCTGCTCCAGTCTACAACTACAATGACACTGGATCGCCCTCCTTCCCCGACACCATTATCAGCTTTTGCAATGTGACCTTTGGTTACAGCCACGAAGGGAAAGATGATCAAGTTCTGGTTAATTACCTCCTACCAGCACCAGCAACATTCGAAAAACGCTATGTCTCCCAGGGTGGTGGTGCCCTTGACATCTACTCCGGCGTGGCATCACTCGCAGGAGGTGTTCAATACGGCGCCGTGAATGGCGGAACTGACGGTGGATTTGGAAGCTTCTCGGCCTCATTCGATGAAGTTGCTCTCCTGGCCAACGGAACTGTCAATCTCGATATAGTCAATTTATTCGGGTACCAGGCTCACTATGAGCTGGGTGTCATTGGAAGGGCATTTACTCGTCTTTTTTATGGAATGTCTGAAAAGGAGAAGCTATATTCCTACTTCCAGGCTTGTTCTGAGGGCGGTCGTGAAGCTTTCAGTCAGCTTCAGCGTTACGGTGATCTTTGGGATGGCGCCACTGTTGGTGCTCCGGCATTCCGTTATTCCTTCCAGCAGGTTCAGCATCTTTTCTCGAATGTGGTTGAGAAGACCATTGGATATAATCCTCCTCCCTGTGAAATGGCCACGATCGTCAATGCTACTATCAACTACTGTGATGGGTTGGATGGTAAAAATGATGGGGTTGTGGCCCGAACTGATCTTTGCAAATTGAAGTTCAACCTTGATTCCCTGGTCGGCAAGAGCTACGAGTGCGCCGCCTCAAGGGGTACACCTGTTCAAAAGGGCAAGATCACGAAGAAGGGAGTTGAGGTTGCGCAGGAAATCATCAATGGCTTGCATGATTCCGAGGGCCGCCGAGTCTATATCTCTTATCAGCCAACAGCCGATTTCCACGATGCCCAGACGACATATAACTCTGGGACTGGTGAATGGGATATCTCAATTGTCGGACTCGGTGGGGAATACGTGACTCAGTTGCTCCAGAACCTCAACATTGAGAATCTCCCCAGCCTCGATGATGTCACCTACGACACACTCAAATATTGGATGATCGAGGGCATGCAAAGATACCAGGACAGCCTTCAAGTCAACTGGCCTGATTTAACGCCATTTCACACCAACGGAGGTAAAATCATCCACTTCCACGGTGAATCCGACAGCAGCATTCCCACAGCATCCTCAGTTCGCTACTGGGAGTCTGTTCGCAAGACTATGTATCCCAACCTAGGCGATGACGCTAGTACGGCTGCGATTAAAAAATGGTATAAACTTTACCTCGTTCCAGGGGCTGCGCATTGTGATTGGAATACGGAGCAGCCCAATGGTGGGTGGCCTCAGACTGGCCTTCAGACCATCATTGATTGGGTCGAGAACGATGTCGAGCCTGTGACACTCAATGGAACTATCGGAGGAGGTGATTATGTTGGCGAAACTACGAAGATTTGTGCATGGCCACTTCGGCCAATGTGGACTCATGATGGGGAGAAACTTGAGTGTGAGTATGACCAAACTTCTATCGATACATGGTTGTATGATTTCGATGGTGTTCCGGTGCCGGTTTACTAGAGAAACGCATGCTACCCCACAATCCTAGACAGGGGCAAAATCGGCTACGGTACCTAAATGTATTTTTCGAAGTTGGCTAAGTGTCAATACCTATAGCATTATTATCATACGCGCTTCATCTCCACAAAACTCCACGTTGATGGGACTCGCTGCTTTAGTTGGGACCTCAAAACCTTCCAGTCGGGACATAAGATGATGCTGATAGAAAACCGCAGTCTGTAATAAATACGCATTCTACCTACTGATCTGCAACCACGTACTCTACTTATTGAACCTTCATCCACCTTCTACTTTACCTTCTGCTCTACCTTCTCTTCCTTCCTCACCCTGAACTTCTCATTCCTTTGCTCGCTCTCAGTTGAGATTCTTCCAATCGCCTACTTGTTACACCTAGAACTTCGACCTTGATTGCTCTTATTCGAGACTCATCCGGACACCTGCCATATTCAGATCCAAGATGGCGTCACGGATCGAGGACTTGAATTTCGCGACACGTCGTCAGAACCATACGTTATACTCGGTTCAAGCACTCCAGGCTTGCTCTCGTGAGATAAACAGCATCATCACTCGCATCTCCGAAAGTTATCAAAGCATCCTCGACCATGAGGAAAGCTTCGCAGTGTACAAGAACAACACATCCCATGCTTCTAGAATCGAAGAAGATTTCAGAACAAGATTGTTCGACGGCCGCAAACCGTCTGTCACTGTCACCAATAACCGGACTGTCGATAGTCGAACCACAGCAGATGTTACTTGGCTTGACCTCATTTGGGGAGTGCCGCCGGAACAGTTTGTGCGTCAGGATGATGGAGCCTTTTGTTGCCGCTTCAGAGGCCAGACGGTGACGATTCTGGAATGTGACCTCGCCAGATTACAATTTTCACCGCGACATCCTCTAGGCGGCCCGACCAAAGTCGTCAAGGAAGATGCTATGGCAGAGCATGAGACACTTTTAGAGATGCGGGCTGCCATGAAGCAAATAGATGAATGTAGGTAAACCCTGATGTTAAACCATATTCTGCTGATACTCATTCATGACCACAGGTTATCAAAACCTCAAGTGTTCTGAAGCTGGGATGGATGCGCGCTTCAAAATGTTCGCTGAATATCTGGGCCTCCCTATAGAGACTCCCAGGACTTCCAATGCCCAACTGTCGGATGCTTCTCGAGATGCCTCGCCTGCGAACTCGATATCGGTTGACCCGGAAGGGGATATTCCATACATGGCAACTCATCAACTCAATCTGCGTGTTAGGCAAGCCCCAAGGCGAGACGAGACCCCCAATACTACCGCTGAAGGATCTCAAGGGCCTGACACATCTCACGCCCAGAGATCACTGGATGCAATGCCTCGTGATGCCGATATCGAGATGACGAACACCGACTCCTTATGGACATCTTCGCTTCCCAATAACAGGCCGCTTGCCCCAACAGAGTACTCAGCCACCGATTTCTCTGCATCCTCGGTGTTTGACGGATCGTACATTGTGCCTAAACTGGAATATCCGGAGGAGAACATGGATATTCAGTCTTCATTCTTGGGCCTGCCTTCCGACTCCAACAACATCCAACCTCAGAGTGAAGACATTGCGGGACATGCTGGTCATATCATTGTTTCCAAGAAAGGGATGAGCGTGAACCACACCCCACAGGAGTTCGCGGAAGCGAGCTACTTCATAAAAGCCCTCAAACTAAAGGGAATGTCCTGGTCACAGATTTCCGAAGAGTACGCTAAGTATTTTGGAGTTCGCCGCAGTCCGGCAGCTTTAGCAAATCCTCAGATACACTGGCGCAATTTACAACGGGACCAACTGTTAGTGCTAAAAATCCGTGCCCGGGCGGCCTCGCGAGATCCCATCAACCGATACTCGCTCGGATTTGCCTCTCCAGTCTGAGTATCTTCGAGCTGAACCGATCATCCCTACGCAGTAATGTCGAACGATATTCAAATAGTGATGCATCAGTCACCCTTAACTAATGGTCCTGCTTCATGTATGATATGTTGATACTTAATGATTTGACGTTTTCACAACGCAAGTAATTCTTGATGACACGGAGGTATATCCTTCGCCTACCTCAATATGGGATAGCCTGGTTTCATTAGTATGCTGTGGGAGGGGTGCTTGTACAGGTTATACATCTTGATAGATCAATAGCAAACACTATTTTGCGCGGCTTACAAGTATGATCATAAAGCTGCATTTATCCAACAATCGTCGAACCGTACATCTTGATTCAGGAGACCACCTTGGCGATTCCACTTCAGATATGATAGGCTGATACTTTCTATGATTGAATTTCACGCTTTCGCAATACACCGGGGTTGTTTGCGCTATTCGGGTCATCACAGACCACGATATCGCAGTAGTCCATTGATGATAACTCTGAACATCGCTCCCATACTTGCCAGCTTCGCAAACCACGTCGAAACACTTGCGCTGGATGTAACCTAGTATCTAAATTGTCGGGCATTCCCAGATTTATCTGAATCAGAGATTTATTTCTTCGTGAATTACACGTCCATGTGGGACTGTCGTACGCCCAGATTTTGCAACATCTACAAAATGAAAAACCAAATCGATTCTCAGCATCGTATGCTGCTCGTCTTGTGATGATGGAGATTGATATATAGCGGAAGGGGAGTCACCGGGGTTGGGCTGCGATGTGCATTTAAAGTCGATAGGGCGGACCCAGGGCAATGGTTTGGGCCCGCTGCAGTCCTTGCAGAACCAACGGGCAGAGCCGAGTCTAATTTACACGTGGAGTGAGAATAACGATCAGTCGCATCCTAACTCCACACTGCACCTTCCAATGGAGACAGCCCTTACCCATGCGCTCGCTCTCTTGGTCGGAAGATATATTCGGCAGGATCGGGTCAAGACATCGCACAGGATGGTCTAGAATAGGGGGTGTTCTAATAGTCACTCCGTTGCGGCCTAACAAAAAAGTTGAATCTAAAGCGATCACTTCAGTAGTATTGCCTATGAAACAATGGTCAGTGCCACAAGGTCAGAAAATCGGAATAATTAGTCCTGCAGAGCGAGATACGCAGCCTTGTCGCTAAAAAACCGAGGTGATCGTCAGAGCTGATGGCCTGGCCCGAGCACGTTCATTGGCCTGCTAGTGTCATAGTGCATGCACTAATCCAGCCGTCTGGCTCCAGCCGCTCATCATTGCTCATTTCTGTCTAGCCTAGGGGAATTGCCAAACCCTCGTGCAGGGAGGGACCAATCCAGACCCCGAGTACTCCGTAGGCATTTTCTGCTTGGGGGCTAAGTTTATCATCTGTCTCAATTATTAAACCCTACGTTCACGGAACTTATTTCTGACGGCCCCCATGTTAATCATCATAACGTAGTAGTCATAAGCTCCTACCCCCTCTTTCGTCTTTCGTTTCATCTAGCACCATTTCCTGCCTCTGATCCGATAGAACTGGCTACGAGGCGAAAGGACGGTGAAAGCTGTTTCTTGACCATCACTCATCATGACGAGTCTAGCGGCCGATGCCGCTCAAAGTGGTTTTCAGGGGTGGTACATCCTCAACGAGTCCCGTTTGTGCACCCTGACCTAGAAACTACTGACTGTACCAACTGATCATTATTGCAGCCGAGGCGATTGTGTGTGAACCCGGGTATTTCACCACAAGCGGATCCTATGCGGCGTGTGCGCAACATTCAAGTACGCCGTCGTCGTTCACTTGGAATACAGGATGCGACGGGTCAAACACACTTCTATATCAGGGCGGCGGAGGAGAATGGTAAGCATCTACTCTTTGTTGCCCTGTATTCTTGTGCCATCTATCTCACCAGAATATTGTCTACAGCATCAGTGGGGCATCCTGTCTGGGCATGACTATCTTTCAAACATCCCCGTATGGAATGCCAGTTGTGACACAGTTTGAGTGCGTAACAAACTGGGTCGCTTCAACTTTGTACCGCGAACTTGGCAATGGATTTGCGACCACTAGTGAGTTTCTCAGCATTTCATCTCGCGATTAACTCTTTCATCCCGTACTAACATCCCCTAGGCACCTCGGTAAAGACTGTCGCCCCAGCTGAAACCTCCCAAACGATGCATACGCCACTAGCGACCTCGACCACCATGACCCAATCCCCATCAACCGCAACGCCAACCAGCTCTAATGACAATAGCTCACAACCTGTTAGCTCGGCACCTGCTAGCTCAGGGCTTTCTGGAGGCGCGATAGCGGGTATTGTTGTGGGGTGTCTTGCAGGCGGGTTTATCCTGGCGTGTATATTCTTTTTCCGCAAGAGAATTGCTGCTGCCTTCTCAGGGGAACGGGAACCAGAGGCACAATATTACGATTCTCCATGGTATCGAGGGCACCCGCAGCCACAGGTCGCGGGGGCCGTGTCTGAAATGTCGTCAGACCGACCCCCGGTGGAGCTACACGGAGCTCATATTGCACGGGAACTCGATGGAGCGAACTCAGAATCAAAGTATTATGCATGAAGTTGACTATCGATAGATGTTATGACTGTTATGCATGGAAGCGCTATATGCGTTGCTTGTAATATCATTAATACTAGGAGTATTTTTATTTTGCAGCCCTTGCCATTATACACACTGGTTTCTATATCGAGCTTGTAGAATATTTCATGGAAAAAAAGCTTACAAATCAGCGATCCCTATTCGTTGCGGAAACCAAGCATCTCAGGTCTATGGTCTGCTTAGTTTATGGGACAGTGAGAGTGCGAGTGATTCAACAGTTGGTCACGCTGGCTATCTATCTGCCCCATACACTCTACCTACGACAACCTTGCACTCGATATTCTCTAAGCTATACGATCTCCATACCCATCCCCGTATACCTCAAGTATTTCAATTCTCTTGCAGTGTAATGCCGTTGACAGGTGACAAGAGCTTCAGTCTCTGCTCATGGATGTATTTCAGGTCCATCCGCTTCCGATTGTGCGCCGAATTGTGCTTGAGATTAGGAACACGGCCCTGCACGGCCCGCTTCCGTCTTCTCCGGTCGCCAAGAACCCGGAAGCGCACCGGATTACTCTTCTATACCCCACCTAAGTTATCCTATCGAAATTTCGATGCCCGCGATTCAAGACACCTGTCCATGTCTTAACCATTTTCCTTATCAGCAGAACTCTGAGAATGGCAGTGGCTAAAAGTGGCTCGATCATTATTGTCGGCGCAGGTGTATTTGGCCTCTCGACAGCGCTGGAGCTTAAAAAGAGAGGATACAGCGACATCACCGTTCTGGACCGATTTGTGCCTCCTGCAGCTGATGGAAGCAGCGTCGACATATCACGCATTATTCGCAGTGATTATGCGGACCCAATTTATTCCAAAATGGCCCGCGAGGCCCTTGATGGATGGAGGACCGAGTACCAAGACCAATACTACGAATCTGGCTTTGCGCTGCTCTCGGAAACACCCAATAATGCCTGGATCGAAAAGTCAAAGGCAGTAATCAAAGCCTCGGGTGGTCACATCGATGAACTTGCTGACGCGAGTGAGTTGCGAAAGTTCTATCCGAACGTACAATCCAATTTGTCCGGCTTGAATGGATACCATAATCCCTTAGGCGGCTGGGCCGATGCAGCGGGCGGTATCCAGAAACTGGCTTCGCGGTGTAGTGTGGCTGGGATATCTTTCATTACCGGGCCTCGGGGAACTGTGGCTTCTCTCCGCAAGGAAGAATCCCGTGTCGTGGGAGTCAATCTTGTCGGAGGGCAGTATCTACTTGCCTCACAAGTAATTGTAAGCACAGGAGCTTGGACAAACCGCCTGCTGGATATTGATCACGCTGCATCTTCATCTGGGCAGCCAGTTGGCTTTATACGACTTACTCCGGAGGAAGCTCGGTCCTTGGATTCGACCCCGGTCATGATCAACATGAGCACTGGCGTGTTCTGCTTTCCACCGACGCCAGGAACCAATATCCTCAAGCTCGCGCGCCATGGATACGGTTTCGCGAATGAAGTCACGCTTGAGCGTGATGGCAAGCCAGAGTTGGTCTCGTCGCCAAAATTTGAGAGCAGCAATGCGGAGTCTGGCTATCTTCCAAATGATGCGGAGGAGTCTCTACGACAAGGGCTGCGCCAGTTTTTCCCTAAATTCGCGGACCGCCCATGGATAAACCGCCGTCTCTGCTGGTATACTGACACCCCGAAAGGCGACTTCATCATCGACTGCCACCCAACCTTGCAAGGGTTGTTTGTGGCGACGGGTGGTGCAGGACAGTAAGTTGCATATTCATCAGCCTTGATATAGCATACTGATAGTATATTAGTGCGTACAAATTTCTTCCGGTATTGGGCAAGTATATCGCAGATTGCTTCGAGAATAAGGCTCCAGAGGAATTGCGCCAGAAATGGAGGCTACTTCCTCTACAGGGTCCGAAAGGAAAGGGCATGGCGGGTGATGGAAGCAGAGCCGGGCCTCCTCTCCGGAAGCTTACTCCGTTGGAGCAGGCTAAGCTGTGAAATGTCTCATGATTACAATGACACCTACATTAGAGATTTCTCTTGTCGAGAAACAGATAGGAAAAGCAAGTTGCCAGGTGTAAAAATGGCATTCGAGCCCCACTCCCCCGCAGTCGGCGATTTCACGGGGCTTGGCCGCTATGGAGAAACGAACTATATTTCCAAATAAGTTAGTGCCTTACTGTACTAAACCTGGATCGAAAGCATTCCACCTTTCTGCTCGCTTGGTTGTGAAATCCGGGGCTCTCCGCTTCTCCACAAGTCGGCGATTTTGCGGAACATCGAAGTAATCTGTTACCCAACAATAATAATCCACAATGGAAAACTATAGAATTTAAATACCGAATAAAAGGGTTCCATCCCATGGCCTGCAGGGGTAAGCATCTTAGTTTGACCGATCCTGCCATAATGTTTTCTTCTTACCGGCAGGAGGTCGCGGAGGCTGAAGAGGCAGGTGTTTATATTGGTGGTTGGAGTTTGAAGAATGTGTTCAGACCAACGAAAGATACTCATGGAGAATATGGTGAATCTGATGCTCATTTGAGAATGACAGACATGTACTGACTCTCGCAAGACACCGCTGAGGATCGAATCGAGCGCCTCACAGTTGAGACCCCCGACTGGTCTGCCGAAGAGGAACGACGACTTGTCCGAAAATTAGATTGTCGGGTTGTTGTTCCATGCTGTATGATGTACATTCTTGCCTACCTCGACCGATCCAACCTAGCAAATGTCAAGATCCTCCAGAATGATACTCCAGATTCGCTGGAAGAGAGCTTAGGTTTGAAAGGAATTGATTTCAATTGGGTAAGTTGTTCAAGAATTGGACTGGATCAACAACGGGTTTGATAAAAATTGTGCTTTTAGGCTGTATCCGTTGCCTATTTCGCGGTAACTGCCATGTTGATACCGGCCACTTTGATGCTGAAGAAATTGTCCGCTAAAATATTTTTCCCCCTCTGCATGATCACCTGTTAGTTGTCTGATATGCCTGACCTTGTTCGAAATGAGCTGACTCAATATCTAGGGGGGATCATAATCATGACCATGGCGGCTTGCAGCAACGCAGCGGGCCTGATTGCCTCCAGGGTATTCCTGGGAATTCCCGAAGCTGGTGTTGTGACTTGTGGCGTGATGTACTTTAGTTTCTGGGTGACTATCCACTTCTCTCTCTCGTGCGGTTTTCAATCGTTGTTGCTTACTATTTGCATAGTATAAACCGCGCGAACGCGCTGTCCGAATTGGAATATTCTACAGTTCCAACTCTATTGCGCAGGCAGTTTCGGGGTTCTTGGCTGTTGGAATCAACAAAGTAATTGCGCATTCCATCTGTGATCCCATAATGCTGACAGTGAGTTCAGCTCAATGGACGAGGTGGATTAATGTCATGGCAATGGGTCTTCATAATTGAAGGCGCAATGTCGATCGCTGTCGCCATCCCAATCTATTTTACTCTGTTGACGTTCCCTGAAACTTCAACCAGTTTGTCGTCTCGAGGCAAGAAAAATTACTTTTATTAACATATCATTCTCTAATCGGTGTTTTAGAGCGGCACATAGCGACCAACCGGTTCGGTCGTGGCAGTACTCGCCAAACCGACGTGACTTGGAGCACGAGTGCATTTATTCAGTACGTCAAATGGGCCTGGTATTACCTAGGTACATATGAGTCTGACAAATTTGTTCCAGGATTATGACCCGCCCCTCGACCTATACATTCTTCATAAGCTATATCTGCATTGCCATTGCAGCCGTCGCGCAAGCTACTTTTCTACCAACCATCCTCAACACGGTAAGCACTTTCCTAACTTTAGGGCTCGCTTTGAACTCGCACTAACAAACCCAGCTCCTGGAATTCCCCACTCAGCGAGCAAATTTATATGCTGCCATTGTCAATCTCGTCGCAATCCCACTGTACTGGACTTACCCTCTCCACTCTGACTGGACACGCGAACGAATGTGGCATTTCATCGTCCCCGTTATGGCCTCAATCCCTTGCTATGCCGTATGGACACACTACAGTTCGCACCATGCCACACACGATATCAGCTACATGTCGCTGTACGGCATGGCATTCCTGGGGCAAATGCTACTAGTAGCCCAGCCCGTTCTCCTATCATATCGCAGCGCGACACTATATGGTGCCGCAGAGCAAGCTGTTGGGACCTCAATTGCGGTAGCTGCTCTGTCTATTGCGAGTATTATTGCGCCACAAATGTATCCTAATCAGGATGCCCCGTACTACCTAGCTGGATTTTCGGCGACGGTAGCTTTGCTGGCCATCAGTATCCCGTTCTACCTTCTTACTCCTCTCTGCCTTTACTGGGAAGCTAGGTGGCGCAAGAAGAAAACTGGACAGGTGCTGCCTCTGCAAGTGGATGAAGATGTGGCTAGGAGCCAAGCTCAAGCAGTGACAGAGGCGGAGATTGAGAAGGGAGTTGGACAATATATCGGAAGTTGTTGAGATAGAACAGGCTCATCATTGATGGCAATATGCGAATATACGAGGTTGGCTTCTGTGGACTATTATATGGTCAGTGGCCAGTTTCACGTTGCAATTTCATATAGAACCAATATATCAGGGCAAATATAGGAGGAAAAAGAGAAGAGTTGGGGTTCCAATGATGTATCCGTGGCTGCTTGCATATGAGTCCAATTGTCAAAGCACTGAAGTGCCCAATATATATATATGGATTGTCTACATAACAGGCTTCAGATAATCATTTAATCTGACACGGATGCGATACTGTAAGTATAGATGAAGAGAATCGAAAAAGAAACTCTCTCAGAATACGGTCGGAAATTAAGTAGAGGCAGTGTCGGGACAGCTGTCAGCGCAGGCTTGACTTTGACGAAATTTCCACGCCAATGCCTGGTGAAACTTCCTCGAGCTTAGTCAAGAGCTCGTTGAAAAAAGCCTTTTGGATCCTTGCACCTTTAGCGTTGGTTACTGTACAAGATGGCCTTGATGGACATCAGTAATGTTATTCGAGGTTGTGATGGGACACCTTACCGCTTCACCTGACAGTTATCAAGGTACTGACCACTGCTTTCTTTTCCAGACAGAATCGCATGAACCAAAGCCCGGCTACCCTCTTCAGTACTGCGCGCTAGCATACGCTCCCCGAAGCGTAAGCCAGGACTGCTCGATTCTCGCATTAACTGAGACTTGCACCAGCTAGGGTTTGGCGAGTTGATTATGACTAATTGCTCTTTGCCGTTTTCCAACTGCTCGGCGAATGCCCTGACACCAAAGAGGACCAACAGCTTTGATAATGGATATCGCATGGCCATGTCTGCAGTTTCTTTGTTGTTCAGCCGAGCAAAGATTCCGTGTCCATCATCAGAATCAATTTCCTTCAAAGGCGCAATGTAATGCAAAGCCGAATTCACAATCGAGACACGTGGAACGATACCAAACATCGAGGCAGACTCGCGTAGTTTCGGGACAAGCAAGGAAACAAGGAGAAATGTGCTGACCACATTGACTGTGATTGTCCTCTCGTTGTCTTCTGCCAAGCTGAAAGTATTTGTGGCCAAGCCAGCGTTAGCCAGAACAGCGTCAAGACGTGGAAGTGTTCCAGCGCGAGCCGCAAAGCTTCTGACAGAGCTGTAGCGATCCATATCCAGTTCCCAGACTTCAATAGTGTTGTGATCCCGACCAGTGGCCTTCAGAAGTTCCAATCTCGCAACTTCACCCTTGTCAATATTCCTGACGGCCATGATAAGACGATCAACTCCTAGGCTCAATAAATGACGACTGGCTTCGTAGCCGAGACCTTGGTTTGAGCCCGAGACGATGATTGTCTGGCCCGTGAGATCGCCCTTGGGAAAAGGTAGTTCTATGAAAATGTTGGAATACATTGTCGACGAAACACCTTTCAGAGCCGAGAGGGCTGCCATGTTTTCTGATAGAGGGAGATAGTGTGATTGATATCCCGAGCCTGATATACTTTCGAGATTGTTAAAATTGGACCAAAGAGAAGGAGGAAAACAAGAGCAAACGAAGGCCTTAAGTATTTCTTTTGGTAACGCTGCCCTTCCAATTTAAAGCCCCAGTGCTTCTAGCGGGGATAATACATCCGACACAGCGTTCTAAACTTAAATATGTGATCCACTGCTTCCAAAACGTATCTGCATTGTACTTACTTATTTGGAGAGCCAGGATCGAGAAACCAATTTTGATGCTCGTAACTATCATTGGATGTACATATCATATCAAAGCTCTATGCTCCGCTACGACGGGGATGAGCCAATAGGGACTGCCGATGTTGATTCTTGACGTAAACATGACTCTACCCATCTATAGTTTGTAGGAAGCAGGAAGCAAGAGGGCTTGTCTTGCTAGGCTCAAGGGCCGAAAATAATTCTCTGTCTTCCTTACACGGTCGATCATTTCAATGCGGTGATAACTGCGACCAGCACCCGTGTAGTGTCGAGCGGATATATTAACTCCGCCCCGCACGGCTCGCATTTCAAGCACTTTAACTCCGGCAACTTCCCAGCCGACCTTGACTGTCCAGAACGAAAGCTCGCAAATCAATAATCAATCATATTGACACGTCATTGACTCTTGTCACCGAGAAACGCCTTTCATGGATACACCATCACAAAAAGTCGAAAAAAGAAATAGGCCCCCTGTGTCCTGTGAGCCCTGTCGCGCTCGAAAGTAAATGCTCCCAACCAACGACAATCGTCACCCCAGAGCTAATTCTAACATCACAGATTGAAGTGTAACAGACAAGTACCGTGCGACACATGTGTCAAACGGAAAGTCCAAGGCTCATGCCAGTATGCCGCGAATGCCGAGCGTAATAGACCCAAAGTTTCTGGCCACTCCAGGCTGAATGACAGACTCAAGAACATCGAGGAGCTGGTCTATTCTTTAATCAACACAGGAACTAATTTCCAATCGGGATCACGTTCTAGAGGAGGAGATGATGTGACTGAGTCTTCACCTTCCGATCCTGGAAACCTTCCTGAACCAACTGTGAATGATCAATTTTCACAATTGAGAATGAAAAGCGCACCTGGAAGAGAAGCGCCTCGTTTTGTTCATAATCAGAACGGCGAACCTATCTATATGGAACCAAGCCACTGGATGTCAATTTTGCAAGATATCAAAGACATGCGAGCCGACTTGTCCGCCCCTAGCTCAGTTGCCTTTCATGAGCTTGCAAGCAGCGAGGAGCTCAGATTAGAGCCTGATATCAGCCTAAGTATTGCTCGACAGGATATTTTGACCATTTCTGATGTTTTAAAATCCCTTCCCGCTCAACCCACTTGCGACATGTTACTTTCTCAATACTTTAATTCCCGATATATGGTCTTGGGTATGCAGCGAACTCACAGATAACCAGCCTTGGACTAACATGTCATTCTATAGGGATCGTGCATTATGGAAAGTTTCGCATTGAAGTAAGTCTTGGTTGATCGAATCAGTTTCGGAAATTTTTAAACATACTGAGCCGCTGAATGAAGTACGAGAATTTCTGGAAACACCCCCAAAACGCTTCACTTGGCTGGCTTGCCCTCCTCTATGCCATAATGAGCATGTCGACGATCTTAAACAGCAAAACAAAAGCCCCAACCGCCCCCAGTCAACAATCAATGGTCTCCACGAAAGCATTACAGCAGATGGCGGCCCAGTGCCTCGTCTTGGGCGGATATGCAACTGCGAAGGAATATGCGTTGGAAGCATTACTTCTGTACCTTCAAAGCCGATTCATAACACAAACAAACTCCAATGCACAACTGTGGCTCGAGCTTGGAACTCTCATTCGACTTGCGTTTCGAATGGCCTACCATCGCGACCCTAGCCAGTTGACAGATATGCCCGAATTTGAAGGTGAAATGCGCCGCCGTGTCTGGTTACATGTCTTTCAGATTGACGCCCTGGCTTCTTTCCATATGGGTCTTCCGAGCATGATTCCCACGGAATATTGTGACTCGCAAGTTCCAAGGAATTTATATGATACAGATCTGTATGTGGGCATGGAGAGCCTGCCTCCTTCGCGTCCACACACAGAATTGACTCCGATACTCTATGGGGTGGCCAAGGCTGACGTCATGGGCGTCTTCAAGAAGATTGTCGCTCACACACAATCTCTTGCTTCTCCCGGATATGACGAGACGCTTGCTCTAGATCGCGAAATGAAGGAAACGTACGAAAGAACTCCAGATGTCCTACGCCGGAGAGATGTCTGTCAATCTTTCATGGACTCATCCGATATAATTTTGGAGCGCTGTACCATCGAACTGCTATATCTGAAGGGTATTGTGGTACTTCATCGGCGCTACATTCGACACGAACCTGAGAATCCAACGTACGAACTCTCGCGCCGTTTCTGCTTAGAAGCAGCTCTCGAGATTCTTGCCCGCCAAGCAGATATACACCAGGCGACCCTCCCCGGCGGGCGCCTGCACGAGGATCGGTGGATGGTCACTTCTCTGACCGTGCAGGATTTTCTCCTAGCCGCTATGGTGGTTTGTCTTGATCTTTCTGTGAGGATGGAGACTCTCCAAGAAGAAGATGATCAGAGCTTTCCGTCTAGAAAGCTGCATGCACTCCAAGTTTCGCAGAAGATATGGTCAGCAAATGGGAGCTTTCCTCCTCAATCACGCCTAGCCTCGCTAGCCCTAGATTGGATGATCCAAAAGGTGAAAAAGGTGAAGGTAAATCCCCCTACTGAAAGTCCTCACGTCCCAGATACAGACATGTATTCTTTTCCTGGGACTGAGTTGCCATATATTGAGACTGTGTCTGATATGATCGATGGCACGGAAGCTCTGGATTGGGTAAGTTCGGTTACGAAAATATTGAAGCTTTCGGCTCTAACTAGTGTTGCAGTCTTTCATAGACCAATTTTTGCAGAGTCCGGGGGTGAACTCGCCTTGAGAACTCAGAGAGAAATGGAAGAAGGATCCGTCGGAAAAACGAATCCATTATCAATGAGTATCTGGTGGCGGTATCTTGGTTCATCCAGGAATCAATGATGATATAGTCAAGTCATTGCTTTCATAATTAATGCCCTTCAAAGTGGCGTGAACTTCTCGATAGATTATCCAATAATTCCAAAGAGGGAGTACATGTAGTCAAGACTGTTACAATCAGATATGCAGATAAAATTATAACACGCCACAAAATCTAACCACAAAATGCCAGCGAAAATCGATAGACAAGAAGAGATATATACACACCAGTGCCCACCCACACTATGACCCCCCAAACCCAGAATTAGCATTAGGAAGAGCCCACCAAGGCTCAGATATATCCTCCAAATCAGGGATCGTGCCATCGTCCTGAAACGGGGGAGACGACAGGTGTTCTGCCCCGTTGCCGTTGCCGTTGCCGTTGCCATCGCTGCCAACATTCTCAGAGAGAAGATGCAAATCCGAATTCCGAATCCAGTCAAAATCACCTGCCTGAGAGGGTGCTGCAGGGAAATGATGTTGATAAGGGGTCGAATATGATGGAGCGCGCTGGTGGTGGTGGGATGGCAATGACGAGGATGGATGGAATGTGGCGTCGACATTGGATGACGATGGAGGGATCCCTGCCCCTGCTGAGAGTTCGGGATAGTTATTCTTATTATTATTATTATGAATGCCCTGCGAGCCAGAAGTGTGAGCTTGTGTGTCCGCATTCGCAAGTCGGGATTTCTTCCGGGCGCCTTCCAGTCCCTGTGCATTCCGATTGGTCTGTGAGGAAGAGGCCGGTTGCTGATGCTGCTGCTGTTGTTGCTGTTGCAGCGACTGGAGATTCGCACTGCTGATCTGCCGCTTCGTAGCCGATCCTGATCGATGCAGATGTGCCTGCCAGCGGCGCTGCAGGGTGACAAGGTAGTCACGTGTGCGTTTCGCATTCTCAAACGACTGACCGAGTTCATCGAGAGCGCGGAAACAGAGATTCAGGTAGGCGACCATTTCGGCATTGGGCGGGTGTCTATTCGGACTGTTGCCAGATTTTCCTGGTGCTGATGGCGAGTTGGAGTTGGATAGCGTGACAAACAGGAGCATTAGGGCTGCGCTGAAGATTATTGCCACGACCTGGTTGTTCATGCGGCGGAAGGTGTAGTGCTTTTCGTAGATGTGGAGGAGCCGTGCTACGGCGGTGGCGGATTCGACGCACATTCGTCGTGCGTGGTGATATCCAGGTCCTTGACGAGGAGCGCGGGGTTGGATGTAGCTCTTAGATAGCCATGGTCGGTGGAAGAAGATGACTATTTGGTGGTATTGCATGCTGGAAGACATACTTAGAATATGGATATCGATCGAGGACGGATTTACTTACTGCAGCATGAGAAGGTGGGGCAGTTTCGGCGTTGTATCATCATCCAGGTCAATCTCAAGATTGGAAGGTAGATTAGCTTTCCAGGCAAAAAGATCCTCAGTGACCTGGTAGCACAATCTCTGCAAATCGTGCCGGGAGATGTCAGAACAACCGTACCTGGAAGCAAGCATATTAGTGGGATTCAAAGAAAGGGCTACAAGAGCCACGTACAGAATATGTCCAGCCGGGGAAATCATCTCCCACAGCACAACAAACTGCCTACAAATCAACTCCATCGGGTTCTTCAAGCCTTCTCTGGGGTGAGTCTCGGAGGAATTCTGCAAGCCATAGGGTCGCCATATTGCCTCCCTCTCACCACCAAGAGCGAAAGCTGGTTTTGGAACGCTAATGTCCCCAGCATTCATGCGGAACGGGCGTCCGAGATAGAAGCCCCAGAAACTACTATTGTTAGTCAGAGATCACGCAGTAGAGTGACATGGCTTACTGGTCTGCGACATAACTTCCCCAGAAGGCTGCTCGACGGACCTCGGCTTCGGAGGAACTCATTTGGCCCTGATTGACGTATGGAGTCATGTCAAGATGTAGTCCAAGATCGAAAGCGAGCCGCATAGACATCCCTAGAGAATCTGAGTTGAAGGCCTTTGGGTTGCTTGAAAGATTACCCACCGCTATAAAGCCAACCTCGCGCATCACGGTTCGATGCCCCTTCGTGGCAGCTCAATATAACCAGTGCCTGAACTGTGGCCACACAGGGAGAATCAAGTTCAATCTCCAGAAGGGCCTTAGCCCGGTCTGCAAAGAACTCTGCCAAGGATTTGGGAAATGTAATGAATGTCGGATGATATCGAGCTTCAAACGCACTTCCAATGGCGCACCTGCACGATATTAGCGCTGTCATACAGCAGTGAATAGAGAACATACATAGCGTTGGTCAGAACCTCCGAGTAGAACGGCGTATCATCATATTCATTGCGCCACTTGGAGCGGGAAGTCATGTACATTTCCTTGTCGACGACGTAAATGCTGGGGTTTTGCCAAGTAAAGTAAAGCTCGACCAGGTGGTCTTCCAAGGCTTGGTCAACGGGCTGGCCGACCCGAAGATGGTTGAGAATATCTTGACCGTCATGACGCACGGTACGTGCATCCGGACGCTGTCGTTGTTGAGTTGCCGACACATCGACCAGGTTGAGATTGGATGTTGCGCCGTAAAAGCGTAAATGACCGTCTCCTGCGATTTTCAATGTGCCAATGCGATGCGACAGCTGCTCGATCACGTCATTCTCGGCATCGTCTTCTTCTCCGCTATCGGACTCGGTGTCTTTTTCGTTCTGGGTCTGGCCGAGCAAGTCCCCTGGCTGCGGAGCCATGTCCATACCGAGTGGATAGCTCTCTGGCCCCAGCTCCGTGTTGATCGGCAGGTCGGGGCCATTATTGATATTTGCATAAATAGTATCCAGGCTTTCAGCGGTTGGAAGAGTGAAGCCCCAATGGACAAAGCTCTGGTTGTCCGATGGCCCTTGAGTCATTCCGAATGGGTTCCAAGGTTCGGCTGATGCCAACTGCGGATGAGCAGTGAGCTCCTCTGGTGTTGATGTGCCTGTCCCAGAGGCATGTGGAACCTGGCCCTTCTCTGGATTCTGATGCTGAACAGGGGATGTGCCGGACCCCGTAAGGCGAATATTTTCTGACTCTTGACCAGCGGCTGTATCTCTATTAAACCCACGAGGGATTTGAAGGGTATCCAGGACCCTATTCATACCCGCCTCATCTTCAGGTCTCATAGGCGGAGGCTGCAAACCCTGTTCATGGATAAATCGACAAAGCTGGTCGATGCGAACAGAGAAGAGTTCCGTAGCAGCGCGCAGAGACACTCTAGATATGCATTAGTCGCTAAGCTCTGATAGCGGATCGACAGAAATATTAGAATAACACATACTTGCGCTTGTCATCGCCATGCTGGTACTTGCAATCTTTCCCCTTGCGCAGGCAATTCTGGCAATTTGGCGTCGTTCCGTCGCATCTGATTTTGCTCTCCCGACACGGCACGCAGGCGGTGGTGACGTGTTTGCGGGGAGGCTTCTTAGGCTTCTCAGGATCGGGCGACGGCATCTTGAACCTTGACCGAACCGCTTTGAAATCGCTATGCGACTTGAGAAATGCGCCCGGAAGTTGTCCTCGAGGCCTGGTGCTTGTCTGGTGCCTTGTCGGCGTGTCTCCGAGGGCGCTGTCTTAGTAGCTGAAGATCCCCGCACAGGAGCAAAGCAGAGTGAGATGCATCAAGTCATGGTGTCGCCGCGCGCAACTGGACATGCGTTACTGGCCATGGATATTATTGACACTGCGCGAGTGCTGGGCTGTTAACTGTCAGGTGATGAAAAGGAAAGGGTTGGTCTTGGGGCGGCGGGGAACAATGAAGGGTCCACCGCGTCGGCCTATCAGATACTGGATGATGCGGATGATACTATGGTATCGGAATAAGAAGTCAATTTGGTCCGGGACTAACTACTAGTAACTATCTATAGTACTAGACCAAACTACACGTTGGCCGTGCGCTTGAGTTTGTCGTTCTGGACCACCTCGATCCAGTACCCATCCGGATCGAGAAGGAAGGCAATGTTGTGCATCCGCCCATCCGTCAGTCGCTTTTTGAAGTTGACCTTGAGGGACTCAAAGCGGTCACATGCCGCCTGGATATCGTCCACCGAGATACCTACGAAACTGGATTAGCGCCTGACAGATCGGCCAGTTGACTACGGACAGCACTTACAGATATGGCCGAAGCCCTGGGGCTCCGCATTGCCGTTGTGGTAAACGGGACCCTCCTGCTTCTCCGTGCCGTAGTTCCAGGTGAGCTCAAGCAGGCCTTCCCAATCAGCGACCGGGTTGCGCGCACCCTCTTGGATCTTGGGGTTGGCGCCCGGGTAGCCCAGGAAGTACAGGTTGAATTTGTTGTCCGGGTTCTCGGCGGTGCGCACCAGGGTCATGCCCAATTTCTCCTGGTAGAACTTCAGGCTCTCCTCGGCAGACTTGACGCGCAGCATGGTGTGGTTGAGCCGGTAGGAACTGGGGTCTGTGGTAGTGCCTATGTCCTCATCGCCGCGCCGGATGATCTCTACCCAGTAGCCGTCCGGGTCCTTGGCGAAGGCGATATGCTTCATGCGGCCCTCTGTGAGTTTCTTTTGGAAAGCATACCCGGCGTCTTCGATCCGCTTGCAGGCGGCCTCAATGTTGTCGACCGAGATGGCCAGGTGGCCGAAGCCGCGATAGGGCTCAGTGTTGCCATTCACGATGCTGTAGTTGGGGTCGTTCTCCGTGCCATAGTTGTGGGTTAGTTCCAGCACGGCGTTGCGGTCGGTCCAGTAGTTGCACTCGCCCTGCAAAGACTTGGGGCCGGTGTAGGCCAGGAAGTAGTTGCAAAACTTAGCCTCGGGCATGTCGAGCTTGTTGACCAGGGTGAGGCCCAGGAACTGATAGAACTCCACCGAACGCTTCGGGTCCTTGACCCGAATCATCGTGTCTGCAGGGATACATCGTGTCAGTGGTGGTTCTGGACTGCAGGTGGGAGACACCAACGGTTCAATTTGTAGGTGGAGGGATCGGACGCCATGGTTGCGAGAGATCGAGCTTCTGCTAGACAGTCAGTGACGGGCCGAGAGGGTGCGTGGGGATAGAGGCATACTCGGCACACAATGAAGAGGTGTGAGGGCCCTGAGAGATGGAGAAAACAGTCGAGCGAACATGAATTGGGGGAGATGTTATGAGCCGGTTATGGGGATTGTTAGCTAACTTATCTGCACGAGGGGGAGTTTGTCAGCGCGGGTGGGGCATGACGCTGTAGAATGGAAATCCGATGCTTCGTAGGTTGTGACCACCAGCTTGCCGGAGAGAAGAGCGACGGGGAGATAGGAGTTAGTCCGAGTCTGGTCAATTGGCACAGAACCAGAGCCGAAGGCAGGCAGGCAGGTGGATCGCGAACTATACCAATGACCACTCACTCTTCCTCCTCTTCTACTCCCACGAGCTACTCCTGCTTCCACCCCTACCACTCCCTCACCAGCTTCGTAAGTGCTTCTCGTCTTTACCCCCCACACTGGATCGTCCCTTCCTGCCCTGCCATTGGCCTCTTCCCTCCGCCATCGGTCGTGTCGCGCGCCCTCTGGATTCGGTCTTACTCTCTTTTGTTTCCCTATCTTTCTTCCTCTACCGCGCTTAGCCCGGCGGCCAGGCACCCATCTGCCCCTCTCCTCCCAATCATACCGACGCATACCTTCACGTTCACCATGGGGGTCTTCCTGGCAGTTGAGCCGCGCATGTCCCCATGACTCTCGTGGTCCTACCCTGGCTGCCTCATATAGCCCTCCGGGCAAGTCCCTGCTTCTGTGCCACCGGGTGTTGGGGAATTATCGTGGCTTGCCATTTGGACCAGCAGCCCAAGCGCGTCGAGTTCAACGTTCCGAGCTCATGCCCACATTTCCTCACCACCTTGCCCAGCGTTTGATCCCGAGCAGACCAGGGGAAAAGAAGCTATGAAAACAACGCCTTTCGCTCGCGTGCCTCCTCCTCCTGGCTGATCTGATCCGATCCCCACTGCTGCGATACTCGTTATTCTGTATTCCTAAGAAAAATGGGTGTGTTGATGGCTGAATACAAACCTCCTCCAGTCTCCTCCAACCACTACATCGCCGCCAAGACCGATCCCTCGACTCCCGCGATATCCACCGCAGATCCCTACGACCCCAACTTCCTCCCCTACTGGGCCCGCTATAGCGCGCACTACGCCCAGAACCTGCTCGACTGCTCCGACAAACCGATCGAGTACGACCACGACGACGCAGACTACCAGGACAACTCGTTTTTCTTCCCGGAGGATTGCTCGTGGACCCCGCCCAAGGATTGGGTCGTAGAGGCGCACCGGATAGAAGTCCCCCAACGGCGCGCGGTCGAACAACCCAACGCCTTGTCGGCGGGCCAGGATACAAATACAATCGACACCATGATTCCTGGGCTCCCGGATATTAAGATGCTGGACTCGGAGGCGCTGGGAGACCTCCTGGACGACAATCTGTCTCCGCCGGAGATCACGACCATCCTGTACGTCGCACGGGAATTGTCTTGTCCCCGCTAATCACTCTCCGATTCCTTGATGCTAACTTCCCTTCTCAGCGTCTTCGCAACCAATGGCGCCGTATTCGCCTATGCCTCCTCCCTCTCCTCCCGCCAACTGCGCAACCTAAGCGCAACCTACGGCGCCGCCTACACCTGCTACGCAAAGACCGCCTCGACGGGCAACCTTACAGGCGTCAACCCCGCCAGCCACCCATCCTCCTATGTAACGGCGCAATCAATGTCGCTGGGCGACGTGGGATCGATCGTTTTCGAACTCGACGACTCCGTCGCAGTGGTCACCCGCCTCGCTGATAAAGTGCTCCTCGCCGCCGTCGGCCCGTCCAAACCCGATGCGCCCAGCACAAACGGAGCGCTAGACCCAACGGCCCATCTCAGCGTGCCAGACGGCGGATACTCGTTCCCTGACTCGAATGGCACGCCGGACGGCTCTCACGATGGCCAGCGCACGCCCACTACAGCACCAGCGTCTCCGAACGCGACTGCACGCAATGGAACAGCCACTGACTCGGGGGCTGTCGACTCACAGCACGAAATAGACCGCAGCGCCGACCTCGAGCGTCTCGCTAGCTTGAACCTCTCAGCATCCCCCGCCGTTCTATTAGCGCTGGAGTCTAAATGCGCTGCGTTGGGCCGATTTCTCGATCAGAAATTGAATGATCTGGAGAGTCCGGATGATTTCTAGGAATTCATCTAAAGTTGACGAATCGGTTATTTCTCGATGGGACTTTTGAGGCGAAGCACTGTGTTGTCAACTAGCGAGATGGCTGCTTATAGGTTGAGTTGGGTTGGTTCTTCGCATTAGGGCATAGTAATGTGCATTGCATTGCATGTATGCCAGGACATGAATTGATGACAGACATTGTTTCATTCACACTTTTGTTTTCTCGTGTTCTTCATTCGAGTGCCCAAGTCTAGTTAGTGAGTGAGCGGCAACGACGTATACATGGAATCATGCCGTCTCGCAAATTGAATTCCAAGACTGATTGGGTACCTCTTCTTCTTCATCTCTTCTTTAGCACCCCTCTTGCCTTCTGCAGTCATCCTGTTATAATGACGGTCTTCTTGTCGAGTTTATCCTCTGTTAGAATAGACGCAGACGCAAAAGCCAAGCGCAACAATAGCCTAAATGCCTATATCAACGGGTTCACAGCTGCCAATTACTTTTCCTTTCCCCAGCGATCTCCAGTTGTTTCGGATCCACGCATAAACTGACATGACTGAAGATGGTAACCTGCTTTTCAATCCGTGCTTCTTCCTACTCTACCCAGAGAAAGTCTTGGATAAGTATCCACTTGACCCTCTCAATATGAATGCGATGGTCCCGGTGAAAGATCCAGCTGACTATGACGCTATTTTGGAGGAGTACAACAAGGTATGGCCAAAGGCAGACCCCCAAAAATATCCAACCAAAACGTACGTGGAACAGATATAGTTACTTGCCAACGATTGGCTCTCTATATCCGGCAGATACATCAACACGTCGATAGCCAGATGAAATCGCGGAATAGAAAGGACTATCCGATTCCTTAGGCTCCTCGAAATTGCGCCTCCTATGATGATTTGGGAGTGAGTGAACGGCGGAGAGTTCGAAGATCTCTAGTTAGTATGGATAGATGCTAAGTATGTCCAGAAACCCATTTGTCCCGTTCTCCATTCATTCTGGCTGTTTTGGCCAAACATGCCCTTGAGCACCGTCTCACCTCACTAGCAGACGCCAACTGAAAGGGTTCTCTGCCTCATATGGGTTTGCTGTATCGGGGGTGGATAAAGTACTCACTGTTTCTTAACTACGTTATGAGCAGCAAATTTTGGAAACACGATTATTGACATAAGCGCTTCGTTTCGCTCCGCTATAGTGTATGATGAGTAACTGTACCCAAAGCGCTCTTGCAAGACCAATATTCAAACAGACAATGCCAGACGCCATGTAAAACCAAAAGGCTCTCGATATATTACTTTTTAAATATTCAAAAATTCGAAGGTCTATTTAGAACTTACATAACGTCTCATACACCAAATGACACAGTACTAATCAAACGCGTCGAGGCACCTCCACCAAGAAATCTCTCATAGCTGGCCATTGTTAATTGGGAGAGTATCTGCAAAGTCCCCCATGTCATTCAATAGCTCTTGGGTAAACCACTGGGGATCACCAGCCGACGGCATATAGTCAAGTCCCATGATCCATTCCTGGAATGGCGCATAAGCTTCCATATTTGGAGGCCTTGCCTGATTGTGATCACTATTCATCCAATCCAAATCGTCAAGATTAACCTTGGGATCTGACGTCAGAGGTGCCAGCAATTCGGCAACCTGCGCGGAAGGAGAAACACCCATTCCCTCAGATTCGGTGCGACGATTGTCCCCAGACATCATATTGATGGTCCTCTCGGACAGGGACTCAAATATGTCCCGGTACGACGAGGCCTGACTCCAACGCTCGGCAATAATGACCAGCAGCGTAGTGCACGCCATGCAAGTGTTGACCACCACGCTCTGGGGTGTGGATTCGCGGAGGCGACGTGAACGCCACAAACAGTAATTAAAGGTCAGTCCAGCGAGAAATAAGATATGAAGACTGCCCCATGTGAATTGAACGCGGCCTCGGGATTGGTATAGACGACGATATCGCTGACATATATCGCGAGCGGAGTCAGCACAGACCTGGAAGGCCGCATCGATGGACTGAGACTCCTCTAGTGCTGCTAATGGGCATGTGATTCGGGGACGGTATAATAAAAGTAGTGAATAGTCATAAGCGATATAGAACCAGTTTGGCGACTCAAAGACAGAGAGTGGAGGGGCATTGGAGGTATCAAGATCATCTGGCGCACCCGAGCGCCATTCTTCTAGCTCTTGGCGCAGATTTTCAACCAAAGTTGAATCATAGGAATTCCTTTCTCCCAGACGGAATATATTTAGGTATAGATTGTTACTGATTTTGGACCAAAGTTGTCGCAGCTTGATAACATGGATAACTCCGGTCATGCTTGTTCGAGGCTCCCCGGGCGAGGATCGCGGGGGTTGCAGAAAACCACTGAACGTGATATTTTCATCATCAATGTCGACAGGTAGCTGTTCTCATTCACACGATCAGTAATAATCCAGTGTTTAGGATATTCAGAAGAAGGATAAGAGACCCTACCTCGACATCAATAGCGTTGTCTGGAATTCCCTTTGGGCGTCCCAAAATGAATGATGCTACACAATCCAAATCGTAGGCAACCCAAAAGCAGCGTTTGGAGATCTCCTTGGTTAATGAGTCGACACGGGTTCGGTATTTCTCGGTACTACGGTGATAGCCGAGCTCGACGCATTGGCGAATTGCCATGCCAGAGAGTTTCCTGATTTAAACCATCAGCCATCGCGAATGCATCTTCCCGTAACCACTTTGCAGGGGACACACCAAAGACTAGCGCCATTGTAAGACCGGATTGAATAAACGGCACAGCAAAGAAGAGCCTGGATTGACTGTAGCCCATCCGTATGGAGCAAAGGCGCAATGAGATCAAGGGCCCATGAGAAATACACCTGAAGGAATTAGCAAATATGAGACTGTAAAATTTGACTTGGTGCCTAGTTTACTGGAGCCGCTTCTGTCTCAGTCTGTCCTAGGACTAATGAGCCGATCGCATAAGCCTATAGGAAACTGTCTCAGTATAGTAGGGAAGGTCTTACGCGACGCAAGGATTGGGCTGCTAACCATGAGTACAAAGAATAATGAAGCCGAATCAGCTGTACTGACATCACCTAATGCGCTGGCACTCAGGCATTCTTTTTCCATGGACTGAAAAGTCGGCCGGTGCAAAAAAGGGTACTGTGGATGGATGCTCTTGAAGTAAGCCTGGGATAGTATGGCCGCTTTCATCGGAGATGGAAGTTCAACGGGAGGCATTGGACTCCAGCGTGACCTGGTATGATATTCGCTATTGTCTCCAATATGGGGTGGGTCTTTCCAGCCAGACCGTTTGAGAGGTAAATCGATGCTTGCGCTGGCGATACGGGAGAAAAAGACAGCTGAAGATGGACCAAAGAATTGTGGCTCACGACCAGCAGCACTCAGACACAACAGGGCCACTTCATTACTGAGCAGGTCGAGATTGGGTGTTGACTCCGCAGCAACTGAGTTTGTGTCATCGGCAGAAGCAACTCTTGGATCAGTACTCGGAGAATCCTGGTTATCTGGTAGTATTTCTTGCTGATAATTCTGCAGGAGTCCCTCAAGGTACGCTACGCGAGCTTCCAGGCCTTGCATATAGTCTCGCGGTCTGTGTAGGCCGGTTGCTGGGTCTTCTACGAGGCATTCTGCAGTGCTGTTAGTGAAGCATAAGTCCATAATTAGAACTGAATCGTACCTCGATTCGTTCGTGTACAATTTTTGCATTTTGGGCTTTTGCCATCGCACTTTGGATTAATAAGAGACCCAAGTCAGGTTCAATGATTTCTCAATCAAACGCCACGTCGCTGAGCTGACGGGGAACAGGGTTACGGACCTTCAACTTGCGCAGCTTGCAGCTTATGCAAGCTAGGAGGGTACGCTCACTTATGCGTGGCCTTTTGGCCGAATGGTTTCTGTTGTCTTGCTCGCTCATGGTGTTTCATAATCCGACAATGGTGTCTACGGAATGGTGCGAGGAGCGGGGAGAACACCGGGCTGGGCGGGCATCTTATCAGCACCGGTAACCAATCATTTCAAGACCCTGGCGACTGACTGCCTCTTTATATAACTGGGGCTAATGGGATCTGATTTTTGCTCTCCTTGTACAATATTTCTTTTTGGCAAGTGGACTAAAATCAATAACTGGATTATAGTTAAGAGTAATTTTTGAGAAAGATAGACTATATATTAGGCTTTACTTAAAAACATGGATATAATATGGTGTAGCCAGGTAATGAACGCAGGACTTCTAGAAAACCTCATGTCCGGTAAAAGAAAGTGACTACCATAATTATCATGACAAATTGGTAAGTAGATCAAAAGCATTTAATCCCAACTGTTGCGCGCATTTCTCAATGCTCTTACGCTGGATACTGGCATACAGAGTGTTACTATCCAGAACTGCGCAACCAAGAGACTTTTCGAATCCTTCCTGGTCGGCATATGGTTTTTTCTGGCCCATAGCGGAAGACGAAGGGTTCCCTAGATTGGACTGGAAGATACCAGCTGCAGAAAATGGAAGAAAATCTTCATATGTGATTGGTACAGCGGTCACAATTCCCGCCAGCAGAAGTTCTTCGAGTAGGTCCTCGTGTGTCTTATCACGGGCTGCTAAGTGTGCAGGGAGAAACTTCCCGGTTGGGATAAATTCACAGTAGATCAGCCTCTGCTGACGGAGCTCGGCCCATGTATCTGGGTATCTAGTGAAGACCTGGGCGACCACTTTATCCACGTTCTGTCCTGTGGTACGGGAAATTTCCATCGCCTCGTCAAATAGCTCATCATATAGCTTCCGCCCAGTTGGGGTTAAAGCTGCTCCTCGCTCTTCAATCTCTCCAAAACGAGCTTTGTGATAGCTGTCGATAAGCGTGCTATATTGATTGCTCGAGGATGCGAAGCTAACCGCCTCCTGGATAGCCAAGAAGCTAGTCTGCCGTAAAAGAATGGGGCATTCGCGTTTTGGAGGGCCTTCAATAGTGTCTTTTACTTCCATACCCCGGGCTTGCATAGCCAACTGAGAGAGACCAATATCGAGAGTTCGGGGCGTCAAGTGGTTGATATGGGCAGTCTGAAAGCACACAATATCTGCTAAGACGGGATGCTCTTCCTTCAATGTATTGTACACGTCGAACGTGGCGGCTGCCACAGACTGCCAACAAAAAGTCTCCAGGGCACTGTCGATAAATATTTCTGCTTGGTCATAAGTAAAGCGACCATGTTTCGACTCTGCGATACTCATAACATCAAGCAACGTATCGCTGAAAATTTTGCGCTGTTGAAGGAGGCTTAGAGCACGCTCCCGGGCTTCGGGCGATTCCAAGAGTTCAGGTCGTAGAAGGGTTGTAAAGACTCGGAAGGGGTTTTTGGCCAATGACTGAGCGTCCCGTGGTCGGAAACATGTAGCATGCATTGGAAGACTGGCAATGGAGAGATCGTAGTAGCCAACGGGGTGCATGCCTAATAGACCGAAGATCCGACGAGCAATATGGAGCTCATATGGACTGCCTAGGCGTATGGCACCGTGGCGCTCGAGAGTAATGCGCTCGACACTATCGTTGATATTATCTTGTACAAGAACAGACCGGTTTACATCTTGTACAATGGAAACCAAATCTCCGTAAAGAGGTACCTCTGCCTTGTACATGTTGGACAAGGCGAGGGCGAAGCGAGTACGGAGGACATCGGTGTCGACATATCTGTGCTCAACCGTGCGAAGCTGATTATGAGTTACAACAGGAATATCAGCTTCCATCATGGAATTACGGAGAATGACACAGAAAGCTTGGGATGCTCTGATCGGAGCTGATAATTCACGAGGTTACCATGGACATCGGCTTATGATAAGTGGTCGCCTCGATGGGTTTCCATAATCACAAGACGGAAGTATCCATCATAGCTTTAGATTGCACCAACTTCGTGACCAGGAGATATGGGGTTTTCCGATCAATGTGATCATTGCGATGCTATGACGAGGCCGAACTTGGAATTTCGGGAATTTCCATATCTAATATCGGGAGAAGCCGAGACTCGACCTGTTGCATCAATCCTAGAAGTAGAGAGCAATCTGATTAAGTATAGAGACCTCAGAATATTACCGAGGACTGTCCGAGTCTACTTTCATGCTCAGGTACTCGAATCTATGCCATGATGAATCTTGCCGCCCCCACAGAACATATGCTCGCTCCTCTGGCCAAGACCAAGGTCACTGGCCAGGCGCTGAACATATCCAGACCTGGGACAGGTGAAGTCAAGCGTCTTCATCATATACCAAGGCCTGCGTCTCCTTTAGAGTGGCGTAAATGGCAACTTGAGCAGATGGCGGGAGCTTTTCGCATTTTTGCGAAACTTGGCTTTGCCGATGGAGGTAGTGGACATATCAGTTTGCGGGGTACGTCCTAACTACTTTCTTGTTTAGTGAATATTTACGAAGAGTAAAATTGAATTGACTCTTTCAAACAGACCCGATTGATCCAAAGACATTTTGGCTCAACCCTTATGGCGTCCACTTTGGTCTACTCACTGTCTCCGACATGGTCCAGGTCGACGATCAAGGCCGCCGTGTGGGCGGCGCCGACAAGCCCGTCAATGCCGCTGGTTTCATGATTCATAGTGCCATTCATGCCGCTCGACCGGATTTGCACGCTGTATGTCATGCTCACAGCCCCCACGCTCGAGCATGGAGCACTTTCGGATTACCTATCGACATGCTTAATCAGGACAGCTGCATGTTCTACGATGACTTGGCCGTATATCCATCGTTTGGGGGAGTGGTTTTTGCTGCCGAGGAGGGTTGTCGTATTGCCTCTGCTATGGGACCGAAGAAGAAGAATTTGATCCTTCAGAATCACGGTTCGTTGACTGCTGGTGGCACGATTGCTGAAGCGGCAGCCTTCTTCATTGCTCTTGAGCGGGCATGCCACAACCAGCTGCTTGTTGAGGCTGCCCTTACTTCACCGAGTCTGAAGAAGACATTAGTGGGTGAAGAGGAGGCCGAGTATACTAAAAAGGGAACTGGTAGTCCAGAAGTGATGTACATGCAGTTCATGCCAGAATACCTGCTGATCCTCAAAGAGTGCAAAGGTGACTTTGTAAAGTAAATAAGCCGCATGAAGAAAGTCTTTATTCCAGTCGTATTCAAGTCGTAAACTAACCAAATTACAATGGAAACTTATCATATCCTATAGATTTCAAATTACAGAATTGTCAAGACTAGACTGGCATCAACCTCCTTGTCTTCTGCTTTGAAATGATCGCGGGTTTTCAAACTCAATTTGGCAATAGAGATGATTTCAACTCATTTCTCGAATGGTTTCCTCTGGACATGCTAATTTAAAGAATCACTTTTCATAGTGCTGCCTTTGCCGTCGGTTTCATTGCTGATTCCTTAGACAATGCAATGTTCCTCCAGGCGCGTTCTCCTTGCGAGCCCTCCATGAGATCATTGATTGGTGGCGTACTTCCCAAGTCTCTCCATCGCCAGGCTTGAATAGCCTTGCGGTCTGTATTGACATTTTCCATAATATCTACCACCCAATTGCCAATGTTGGGAAGATACTTGAATGCATGACCACTGCCTCCTGTAGCAACCATCAAGCCCTGCTTTCTGGGCACTCGATCGACCACGAAATGGTTATCAAATGTATCAGTATACCAGCAGATTCGCGTGGTCAAGATGGAAATATTCTCCTCACGCAGTTCCGGCAGATACTTATCCAAAAATGTTTGTATGACCTGATACGCTTGTCGCGGGAAATCCGTAAGTCGCTCACCGACCGGCTGGGTCCCATCGCGCTCTGCGACAGACCATCGTGTGGCGGGTGTGCTGCGCTCTTTGCCATCACTGTGTTGTAAAGGGTTGGTGTACTTGGTGCCGCGATACCCAATTTTGAAGTAACCGTTTTCAGTGCGAGGAAATCCGTACAGACCTCCTTTGCTTCCAGCACGCATGTTGAACGTAAACGTTGGAAACTGCTCCGGTCCCAGACGGTCCCATAATGGCGAACTGGTAGGGATTTTGATGAGAATCACACTACCAGCTGTGGCTTCGCAGAGGCCGTCCAGTTCCGGTAACAGTACTGGAGTCCAAGCACCGCAGGCCAGAATGGTCATTGCAGCTTGATGTAACTTTCCATCCCGAGTTTCAATTCCAATAACCCTGTTACCGTTGTAGCGTAAGGATTGCAGGCCTCCAGCTTTGGGTCCGAAGACGAATTTCGCACCAGCTTCACGCGCCTTGTGGAGGGCAAAGCGACAGGCCTTATCCGCAATGGCCATCCCCCCTGTTGTGTCTAATACACCCACGTGCCTCTGTCCACGACGCCTTTGCTGAAATGGGTCCATATAAGATGATAGCCCACGGCTTGTGGCAATCTCACAATGGCGTGGATTTGTGGTCGCTAGCTGCGTGTTATGATGCCCCGCCTTCTCCATCTCATCAATACAGGCCTTCTCCCAGGGGGGTAGCTCTGCATCCGTGGACATGGAGATATTTCCATTCGCAATGAAAACGCGGTCCTTTCTAGTCATCCCCTGAGGAACTGTCTTGCCGCTAGCGATTTCTTCGTTCCACTCATGCCAGGCAGTAATCGCCTCAATGGATAGAGATTGGTATTCGGTCTGCCCCCCATAGGCAGAGCGAATTATTTTGTTTATGTCGGCAGACGCCGCGTCTGCTCCCTGCAAATAAGAGTATTGTGACTCGTCATAGGGATGTCGGTCAAAGACAGTCACGCTGTAGCCGCGGCGGGCAAGATGCAGCGCGGTACTGAGACCGAAAATGCCTGCGCCCACCACGATGATCGGATCTCCCTCCTTCATAATTGCGATTAATTCTGATCTACGCAGAGCACTCGCATTATTTTGTAATCATCTGCTGATGGAGGGGGAGCGATAGGGAGAACCCGGTGGCTGCTCGGGTTCTACCGACTCGCTATGGGAGAAGAGAAAGGTTTAGTATCTGCACGTTACTCCGCACTTCGCTGCATCCGGGATCATGCACGCTTAGCTTATCTTTACTTAGCACCGGTCCTAGGTTCAAATTAAAATGCATGGTGCTCGCGCACCTCTGAAGCAGTCCATTATGATTTTCTGTATTGCTTGAGATCTGCTTTTCTCTCTCTCTCTCTCTCTCTCTCTCTCTCTCACACACACACACATATCAATATCAGAAACCAGTGTGATGGGTTACAAGCAAATTTTCTCGGAATCAACAATCGCCAGATATGTTCGTACAACCCGGGCGACGCCCAGGGAGCTGATTTACAACCCCCGACTGCTCCTTTCTGTGGCCCTATATGCATGTGCTGGCATTCCCCTGAGTAAGTTTCGCTCTGCATGCTATCTCTCTTTCTTGAGGTTCGCTGACCAGGAGGATTATCAGCTTGGGATCAAGGATCATCGTCGGTAGTGGCGTCGCTGCCAGGATTCCAGCAGCATTTTGGAATTAGTTCTGGTGCAAATGCAAGCCAAATATCCAAGTTGGTGTCCCTGGTATACATTGGATGCGGTGTGGGCGCAGGACTGTCTTTTTTCATTAATGACCGTGTCGGTCGGCTCTGGTCACTGCGCCTCTACATGCTCATTTGGATTGCCGGTCAGCTGGTGGCCACCTTGGCCCCAAATATCGGCATGCTATATGCCGCACGAGTCATTAGTGGATTGGGAATTGGGCCTCTCACTGTGACAGGCACCAATTCCATTGTCGAGATTGCGCCTACCGAGATCCGTGGACTCCTCGCAACATGGTTCAGTGTGGCCATGCTCCTTGCTCTGTGGGTCTCAATCTTTTGTGTTTACGGCGTGTACCAGACAATGGAGGTAGGCCGCTTGCAATATCAGGTTGTCTGGTTCGGGCCTTGCATCTTCATCTGTTTCTGCATTATCGCTAGTTTCTTCCTGAGCGAATCACCTCGCTGGCTCTTCCTCGTCAACAAGCAAGAGAAGGCTGTCGAAACACTGGTACGTCTGCGTGGATTACCAGCTGAACATCCTCGAGTACGAATAGAACTTCAGGAGATCCAACAGAGCATTGCTAAGGAACGAAGCGAGGAGAGCGGTATGCCTGGAATGCTTGAGATTGCCCGCGAGACCTTTTTCGTCCCAGCAAACCTACGCCGTCTTACGCAAGCACTCATCGTATTTGCCCTTGCACAACTATCCGGCGCAAATTCAATCAGTTCTTATTTCGTACCGATCCTGACTCTTGTCGGAGCTAGCGATGATACCACGCACAGTCTTTTTCTAAGTGGCATGTACAGCTTGGCAAAATTCTTCTTCACACTGATTGCCTCGTTTCTCATCATTGATGCATTGGGGCGTCGGAAGTCAGCATTTATCGGAATCACCATTCAGGTCATCACCGATTTGTATATTGGCATCTTCATAAAGTACCGCCAAGAGGGCCCCGTCTCTACCAACGCCGCTCAGGGTGCTATCGTAGCCATTTTTTTCCACGGTTTCGGATACGCCATTGGTGAGAGGATTTTCGTTGATTGAGCTTCTTTTCCTTCCCCTTCGAACTAACCTCTTGATATACAATCAGGTCTTTTAATCCTTCCCTACATTTTTGGCGGCGAGCTATGGCCTAACCAAATTCGGTCCTTTGGCAGCGCATTTTGTCAAATGTTCCACTGGCTTTTTTTCTACGGCGTCAATTCAGGGACTCCCTCGTTGCTGGCTAATACGGATAATTGGGGCGCTTTTGTCTTTTTTGCTGCCTTCAACTGTATCGCACTTGCTTATGTGTTCTTTATGGTTCCTGAGATTGCCGGCCTGGGTATTGAAGAGATCGATAGCTTGTTCCGCGGGCCGTGGTTCAACGCCTACAAGCGTTCCCAGGAGCCGAGTTTGCTGACCGGCATTGATACATCTGATAAAGCACAGTAAGTTTCAAGTCTTATTTTTGGGGTTTGTAGGGAATATGAGTCTAATGTACTGCTCTTTGTCATAGGTCTGCTGAGCCTGCGGCGGCGCCTGTTACCAAAAAGGCTAGTATGTGCTGATAGATCAGAGGTGATCACTGTTCAGTTATATGGTTGTTATATTTCACGCACAATTTGAGATTTACTCAGTAAACGTTATTCGGCTTCGTAGATTCGACCACGTAGCTCTCACGATCCAGGCGGCGAATTCTGACAGATCTCCCTATGGTATACGTTTACGTGGTAACTGCGGGTTAGACAGAACCGGAAAAGCCCTAACTTCAGAACAATTAACATGTGCACGATGGTCAAAGACGTCTGGGTTTGCTGCATTATGTGCTCATCTTGCAGTAGTTCACGAGAGTCCCGACTATAAGGATATTGATAATGTGTATTTCCTCTACCATGCAGCGATGTTGTGGAGACGTGTATAGGATGCTATATTTGAAGTCTAGAAAGTTTGAAACTTTCAGATGAATAAATCAAAAATCCCATTAAAGCTTAGTGCTTCATAAGTCCCAGGTTAACAGGACTATTTGCCTTCCCTGTTTTAAAGAAGGCCCTGATGTTCTCGAAACATTCCTTTTCAGCCTTATAGAAAGCAACGTCTGTAAGGCCGCCCAAATGCGGCTGCACGGTCACATTATTGGATTCCTCCAGGAACCAAGGATCCACATTGGGTTCATCGCATAAGACATCGACTCCGGCACGTGCAACTTTTCCTGATTGCAAGGCCTGCTTCAGGGCAGACTCTTTAACTATGGCACCGCGAGCTGTGTTGACCAAGAAAGCGCCGTCCTTCATCGCGGCGAACTCAGACTCACCGATTAAATTTGTTGTCTCCGGGTTGAGTGGGCAATTGAGAGAGACAACATCGGAACTGCCAAGTAGCTCGTGCAATGAAGGGCAATATGTCGCGTTGTAGATCCGCTCAACCTCTTCCGGAAGTCGACGGCGGTTATGATAGCGAATTTTCATGTTGAAGGCGATGGCCTTCTTAGCAAGATACTATTAAAGAAAATTTGTCAGATGAAGTACAGTACCACTAGGGCTCACCAGGCTCAAAGCGCTTACCTTGCCTATGGAGCCCATGCCAACGATTCCCAATGTCAAATTGGTTGGATCGCGAGTGGGTACCAAATTTTTTCTCCAGTTCCCTGCCTTTGCACTCTTTTCTGCATTTGAGGCGTTCTTTAGAACGGAAAGTATCAGGAACATGGCCATGTCGGCAGTTGCCTCGGCTACTGCATCCACGGAATTGCAAAAAACGATACCCTGCTCGGCCATCCAACCGATATCGAATTCGTTAAAGCCGGCTGAGGCCGAAGTGATGATGCGACACTCTGGAGTGAGCAATTTCAAAAGATCCTCATCGAAGGGTTCGTACGGAGGCGTGCCCATGCGGATAATGAACCCGTCAATTGGACCGCGTGCTCTTACCAAGGAAGGGAGCTTTTCCTTGGTCTCGGCGCGATCATAGGCTTCAAGCACCTCGAAGTCAAATTCTTTGCTGAAATCATTCAGGTAATTGCTACCGATGTACTTTGGGGCACCCAGGCAAATGATTCTGGGCTTACTCTCAGCGCGACCGGTCGACATTTTGAATCAGCGTACTTGGATAGTGAAATGGGAGTGCTAGGCTGGATGTGGTACGGAGACGAGGAGAATAAAAATGTTTCTGTAACTTGGCAGATGACAGGTGGTCGGACTTTTAAATGATCCTGACCTTCTTTGCTTAATCCACATGCGCTAATTGCTTGCCTCTAATATTGGGAGCTTCCTTCCGTCCGTTTAGAGTTTCTAAATCTCGGGACTTCCCGACCACAGAGACACCTCCGCTTCCCCACTCCACGCATTCCGAGACCGGCCTTTTCACTATCTTAGTGGATCATTTTTCTGAAATTAGAAGATAAAAGAGAGGTGTTTTTTCCGGGGCTCTGACTGGGAACTATGTGGCAAGAAACGAGGTTAGTATCGACACTTTAACATCTAATTTACGAAATACATGGTTTGGTATCATTAATATGAACTGCTTTTTCAACAGGACTTCCTCTAAATCATCACCTCCACCGATCAGACTATTAAATCCATCCGGGTCACAGTTTCTCAGGATATGTCCAACAACAAGAATGCTCCACCAATGGGCTTTTTGGCTGTTGAGGTTAACATAGCTAGACCCCCTGGTGATCCATATAACGAGCGAACATGGAGCTTCCCTCTTATAAGGGAGACAGTGCCTGGTTCATCTGTCTCTGAAATCGTGACGAATAAACCATACGATGATGACTTCATTGAGCGTTTTGTCGCTTCCGGAATTAGACTAGCCGAGCGCGGGGCTGTTGGGATTCTTACAAGTTGCGGGTTTCTTGCTATTGCACAAAACCGGTACAGAACATCATCTCGATGACAATATAGTCACCCTGCTGCTCAAGAAGCTTATTTTGGAGCAGACTATCTGCCAGGCTGCCCATACCTATAGCCACATCGTCACTTATTCAGATTCCAATGCTCCGCGCAATCATTCAACCTGCCCATAAGATCGGAGTTCTGACATACGATGCTGGCCAGTTGACAGATAGGCACCTGACTGAACTTGGTATCGATCCAGCTACAGTACAGATTTGCGGTGCTTTACCCCAAGGACATCTAAGAGGGTTTGTCTCGCAGGGTGAACCATATAATCCCCAAAAGGTCGAAGACGAGCTCGTTGCGCAGGCCAAGAAACTGGTCAAAGACGCTGAAGGCAAAATCGGGGCTATTGTGCTGGAGTGCACCAATATGGCACCTCACGGCGAAGCGATTCGTGCTGCGACAGGGTTACCCGTTTATGATGCATATACACTTGGGGAATGGTTCTACGCAGGTATAAACAGGCAAAATCCATCATCCTGGGTTAAGTAAAGTCAAAAAGTCTGTGAAAATCGGAAAGTATAGAGAAATAGTGATGTTTGATCTTCAAGATCGACGACTTTTAGTCTCAAGCTTGTAAGCTTGTCAACATATTATATATTATGTACAAAACTGACTTTCATGTAGAGACAAACGGAGTCAGCTCTGTCCACATGGTGTGTATATCTTCTTGAGTTTTTGCTTTAGGTAACTAACTAGATGCAAACAGCAATCGACTCTTATATAACAAAGGAAATGTGGGAGCATGTCGTTACAGAGGCAATTATATCCTTAGAAACACCAAAGGCACGCATGCCTTCTCTGCATGAAGCCTGCCTCGTCTATACTCACCTTCTCTGGCCTATGGTTGACCTTCGCCCTCCCCGGTGGTCTGGTGTGCCTACGTCCTGCCTAACCCTAATGACCGAAATTATTTCTTTATTATCAACTTCTAGCGTGGCCCATAACCTCGAGAGGTCAAATCGTGACCAAATAATGCCGTATAAGGCGGAGCAGATATATACACGGGCGCTAGCTAGGAGAAGGCGCTAGGAGCAGACCACACCTTAACCCTTGATACTATTAACAACCTTGGGAACCTTTATCGTAGGGCTTATTTTGCCACATGATTCTAAATGGCTGCTAGGTTCTACCGGTGCTAACACTACGATTTCACCCTTCGTTGTGTCTATTCAGAATGTTGGTATCTCGGATCTGGCTTCAGTTAAGAATGCAAATATCACAATTTCTGTTATTATTAGCGTTGCTAACTCCGCACCATTTGCGTCGAGTCGCACTCAGGCCCTGGTAGAGCAGGGGATGATCTATCTAGTGCGTCCAACTACAGATTGTGCTTGGCATCTTAGCGCTTATTGAGAATCTTCAATGCGCACACGGTGCCAAGCGTTCACCAGGTTGCCCCGGAAATTCCATGTCGGGCCATGAGTCTCAGGCTGGACATTATATGCTTCGTCAACGGCCTTGACGATGACAAAATTGCCTGCCAGTGGGGGGGGGACAACGATAATTCCATAACGACCAGCTCCATGCTTTGTGTCCTCCCTGCTCATGGGGCTCAATCTGAGCTTGTTGCCAAGTTTGGCCATTGTCCACGCTGACGTCGACTCGGATGATCCTCCGACCGCCTCCAGAAAATGCGTAGCCCTCCACAACCATTGAATCGGGTTCATGTCGGATCGCCGTGATCGCTGATTGCACTGGTGTTTCTTGAATAGCGGGGGCCTTGTTCCAATTAACTTTTTCGCGCAATTCATTCGGACCGAAACATTTGTAGTCTCGCTGTTGCCATTGTGACGGGCTCTCCTCGTTCGAGAGCGTAATTTGGTTAACCCATTTGACACTCCGTGCACCTGTGCTGCCGGGAACAATTACTCGAACTGGGTATCCGTGATCCGGAGGCAGGACCTCTTTGTTCATCTCACAGGCAAGAATCACGTCTCCGCGTGGATCGATGGCTTTATCCAGTGGTATGGATGCGCCATACGAATCTTCACTGGTGAAATGTGCATGTTGCAGATCTTCTGGAAATCGCTCTAGGTCAAGTCCCGCGTCTCGGAGGACGTCACGCAGGAGAGGGCCACGCCATTGGGCGTTGCTAATGGCACCAACGTCCCACTTCAGGCCGCTCGCCTCACGGCCCGAACCTGCAGACATATGAGTGCGTCTGTTGCCAGAGCATTGGACCACGGCTGTGATGGAGTGTTGCGGAAATTTGGTCCGCAGGTCATTGAGAGTGTATGTTTTTGCGTCGGAGCCATCGCCGAGATCAATGGTGATTTGCCACGACGATTCATCGATCTGAGGGACCCAGAAGTGGTGCCGAACATAGAACAAGGGTGTCTGCGTGATGAAAGATGATAATGCGGATGGCGGTGTCTCCGCGTTGCATGGCCGCGCAGTCAAAACAACCAGGCCAGGGTGGCGCTGAGGATCATCTCGAAACGGATCGACAATGGAGTCACGCGGTACCTGTCCGTCAATAAGGTCACGCGGGTCCACGTCGCCAATGCGGTACTGCTCCAGAATCTGGTATACATCTTCCCTCTTATGGATGGTGAAGATGTCCCAGTAGGGCTCGACAGCTGATCCCGCCGCGCGTAGGATGATCTTTCCCCCAGGGTGACAGCTAATCCAATCGGTGATGTCGTAAACCCCAGTTCCCTTGATTATCCACGGCCGTTCAGCGTCTGGGCCATGTTGACGAATTTCGTCCAGACGCCAAACTTTTTTGCCGTCTTCTCTGCTATCAAATCTGCGATCGAGGGGTGCTTCCACATATAACTCGGATTTGTCTTCATGTAATGCTACCGCTACGGCGGTAACGGCAAATGCCGCGGAGAGACCTGCAATAGACCAGCTTGTTCCGAAGCTGCGTGCCCGAGCTACAGGAGAGCTGTTGCATTGAGTGCTATATTTCTTTCTGAGCGGCGTGGTCCTGTGGTTTTGGTAATCTCTGCCCTTCGGACATGATGACAAGGCTTGGTGGGATAATCTCCTGCGCTGCAGACAGTTCGATATTGAATGGCAGGGCAAGCTATCAGACAAAACGCGCGACCCTGACCATCTAGGTCCAGTTTTGAACACAGCTCTGGTCAAACACGTCCGAGCTGTGAGGAACTCAGCCGGCTGCATGGTGCTGCCTTTCAAGCACTTACGCAGGCAGCACTGCCGTTATCACAGAGAACCCGTGAGAGACGCGTCGTAGCAAAGGGCCTTGGTGGCGGATTGTCCTAGTATATATAAAGCAGAAACTGCAGACTCCTAGGTGTCGTACTAAGGAGTGAAGTTTCAATTTTGAGGGGATTTGGGGGCGTCCCGTCGGGGCACCTGCCATCTCAGCTACATAAGAGTCAGTGCAGCCCCTGTCTGAGGATCTTCGGAGGTCCTTTCGGGCAGTCGCTTCGGTCGGTCGCCGACTTGAGATGGCGATGCTATCTCCGACACTAGCCGCCAGTAAATGCAGGCCCAAGCGTCTTCTATATATTTTTGAAAGGTTAGTATGATGCTGGGCACATATTAAGAAATATCGAAGAGTCGTCGATGTCCATGTTTGAGGGGTCTATCCGACACTGATGAAATTGACAGTACTTATTAGATAGTTGGAACGGATCATAATACTTGTCTCAGCGGACCGCCTGAGGCTCAATCGCCGATTGACATCATGGGTCGCCGACTAAGCTAATCGACTCAACATCTCATTAGTCGAACACGCGTACTATCCCCGATAACTTGCATTCACAATATGAAACAATAATATAACCTAAGCACGTCATCCAGATGACGAAAGTCATACTGCCTCAAACGTTCTGGCTACTGTGCAGTAGTCGTATATTCTCTAATCGGCCGAGTTATTCACCCCTGTCATACCCCGCGGGGATCAGACTTCCCACCCCTCTGATTCGTCCCTGGTCTGTCGCCGGTTCGACGCCCGTCCACCGCCGCACCGTGCTTCCTCTCAATCTTGAATTTTAATCGACCATCATCCTAGCCCGAAGGGTAGGTCTTGTTGTAGGAAGCGGATAGGAACAAGAATTCGCCGGTATGAGGGGCCTATTGGTTTGTCGATCACAACTATTATCAACTATACATAGAGCATAATCAGATTTTGACGCCGATCGCACTCAAGTTTCAGTATGTGAGCGAGCGAGCATTTCAATAGTCGAATGTCTTAACCAAAAAAATCCAATACATGAAAATATACTGTGGAAGGCTGCGTCCTTCTGCCGCGAACAGGTTGCAGAATTTAATTAGTCGCCTCAGGAACTATTCACGGTCCGGTCCTTGAGTATTTAGGAAGGGTCAATAGTGGAATCAACGGGAAAATGTCTCTTGCTTTTGACGGAGATGTCTCTGCGCAACAGCTGACAGACGTTTGGCCCATTGGCATCGCTATCCTCAATCACTACGTTGAGATTGGTCTCCATTAACCGGTGTTTACGGGAGCTAATAACAACATGTTTCATTATCAAATTTTCTGAATGATGGTTGCAATCGATTTACTTAGGTGACTATGATCTGGTGGCCACTTGGTATAATGAAGCCGCGACTTCGAAAAAGTGCTCCCATTGAACACTGGATGTGCGACCCAAGCTGCGTGTGACGTGTAGCAAAGTTGAACCCACTCAATGATTCAGATCTGCCGCGCTTCAGTATAGGCGACGACGGCAGGGATATTTGCACAATTACGGATATATAGTGGCTGTTCCTTGCAACGAATCCCGGATCTGCGCAATGGACTCCCTTTTATAAAAATATCATTATATATGGACCAACCACGCACCCCTCAGATACAACGACGACTAGAGAAGGGGCATTTGCGTGCTGGGCAATATAATACATAGTAGGGAGCTCATCTTCGACCTTGAAGTGGGAGCAATGGCTTGACTAAAGCGAACCAGTGCGTGATATCCGTTTTCAACTGGCGGATCAATCGTCATCATCGGGGAACTTGGGGCTTCTTCTAATGACAATTCGAGTCCCTGCTTGCAGAGTTCTGAGAGATACCATCGACACCCCTAGGCAGATTCGCGTTATAGATTAGGCAACCGCCGATACTCCGGCCGTTGGTCGACATTCATGTTGACTCCCTCAAATACAGACTGGGGTAAATTCCGGTGGAGCGTGTCGATCGGCGGGGAAAGGCTGCCCTAACCCCGGATATGGCGATCGACACAAAGACGAGCCCGCGTAGATGATAGTCCGCGCACCTCGACCAATTCGACGGGTCTCAATCAAGTTTCCGTCGAAAAATATGACAAAGGAATGAAAATATCGATTTTAATTTACCAGGCATTTTCCCGGATCTGATAGTCGCAAAACATGTACAATCGTCATCCGGCCACACCGGCTGCCGAGGATATGCCGAGTCTGCTCTCTAAATGGACAAGTCGCGATGCTTCGGAGATCGGCAGCTTATTCTAAACTATCACGGTACTCGGTTAATTGGAAGCCCAGTATATACTTAGAATCCTGCTCCGCCAATGTCGCCCTAGACTCCAAAGCACCCAATTTCAGAACCAGTCTTCATCAGTCACTTGGTTGGTTTTGTCAGATTTAAACAGGCCACACCATGAGATTCGATATCTCAGTGCTGAGGGTAACACTTCTGACGCTGTGCCTCGGCCTCGTCACAGCATTAGGCCACCCATCCTCCCGCTCTGTTACACAGAATACAGCCCTCTTGCAAAATGTCGTCACCTGGGATGAAAAGTCCTTGTTTGTGCACGGAGAACGATTACTCGTGCTGTCTGGTGAATTCCACCCTTTTAGACTTCCTTCACCTGGCCTGTGGCTGGACGTGTTCCAAAAGATCCGTGCTCTCGGGTATTCCGGGGTTTCATTTTATGTAGACTGGGCCTTGGTCGAAGGTGATCAAGGCCACATCCGCACCGACGGAGTCTTCGCTCTCGAAGAGTTCTTCGATGCAGCACAAGAAGCCGGTATCTACCTGATTGCCCGACCGGGTCCCTACATCAATGCTGAGACGTCTGGGGGCGGCTTTCCCGGCTGGTTGCAGCGCTTGAATGGTCGACTCAAGCGGACTGATCCCGCCTATCTCGCTGCGATCACTCCATACATCAAGGCCATAGGCAAGCTTATCTCGAAAGCCCAGATAACTAATGGTGGTCCTATTATTCTGCTGCAAATTGAAAATGAGTATTCGCTCTGCGTTAACGAAACCGGGTATACCCAGATGAACAATTTAACCATCACCTCTATTGAGAGCTCCTGCCTCGAGAAAGAATACATGGCATACGTTGAGCATCAGTACCGCAAAGTAGGGGTGGCTGTTCCATTTATATTCAACGATGCCCTTCCGTTGGGCAACTTTGCGCCAGGCACGGGAGTCGGTGCGGTTGACATCTACGGATTTGACCACTACCCCCTCAGTTGGGCCACTGCGCGTATGTCCCTATGTTCACAATAGTTGGCTATTATCATTCAACTAATATCGAACTTGCGGATAGCTCGCAATGCGTCTGACTGGTCAGGTTTGACCAGTCCTCTGTCCTCATACAATTACACAGTTCACGAGGAGCAGAGTCCGGCCACTCCTTTCGCGCTATCTGAATTTCAGGGCGGATGCCCTGATGCTTGGTTTGTTTCCACCATACAGCTTTCTTTTATAATTCCACAAGATGTTAATATCAATTCAGGGGCGGAGTTGGCGTGGAAACCTCTGCGGCACATATTGGGCCCGAGTTTGCGCGCATATTCTACAAGCTCAATTATAGCTTCCGAGCTGCCATCCACAGCCTATATATGGTAAGTGGTGGGTGTCATTATCGTTTGTAATCTGTAGCTAATCGGGGTAGATCTTTGGCGGCACCAACTGGGGAAACCTAGGACATCCTGGAGGTTATACTTCTTACGACGTTGGAGCAGCGATTAAAGAGGACCGTCAAGTCATCCGGGAGAAGTATAGCGAAATGAAGCTTCAAGCTGGTCTTCTCCAGGCCTCCCCGGCCTATCTACTCTCGCAACCCGATAACGGAAGCTATGGCGTCTACACAGATAGTACCACGCTAGCCACAACCCGCTTGCGCACCAGATCCACGAGCTTCTATGTTGTCCGTCATGGAGAACTGGCCTCAGATGGGACCGTCTCATACAAGTTACAAGTCCCAACTTCGATCGGTAATGTGAGCATTCCTCAGCTGGGGGGCTCCCTTAGCCTCCGTGGTCGAGACTCAAAGATCCATGTGGTGGACTATAATGTGGGCGGTATCAATTTGATATACTCCTCGGCCGAAGTGTTCTCTTGGAAAAAAGCAGGCTCCAAGTCTGTCCTCGTTCTCTATGGAGGCGAAGATGAGACCCATGAGTTTGCGGTTCCTGGCTCACTGGGGCTACCATCTAAAATCGAGGGTTCCGGATTGATCACCCGCCGACCCACGTCTACTGCCACGGTTATTCACTGGTCAGTCGAGCCCTCGCGCCGGGTAGTCCACTTTGGAAACGAGCTAGAAGTCCATCTTCTGTGGCGCAATGATGCTTATAACCACTGGGTCCTCGATCTTCCTCTCCCAGCACCCATCCACAGACATGCATCCCCCGCTCGCGCTAATAGCTCAGTCATCGTGAAAGCTGGATACCTCCTACGGACTGCTGAGATTTCCGGCAGTGCGCTGAAGCTCACAGGGGACATCAACGCCACCACTGATATTGAAATCATTGCAGCCCCCAGCGCCGTATCGTCGCTTTATTTCAACGAGAAAAAAGTTACCACCAGAACCATTGACGGGCGTCTCAAAGGCCGCATCACGTATGATCGTCCCCATTTCGAGTGTCCGGATTTGAAATCCCAGAAATGGCATTTCGTGGACTCTCTCCCCGAGGTGAAGTCGGGGTACGATGATAGTCGGTGGACATGGTGCAACAATACTCACTCCAACAACCCACGCAATCTCACCACGCCTACGTCGCTGTACTCGAGCGATTACGGATTCAGCGCAGGCTCCCTGCTGTACCGGGGTGAGTTCACGACAAATGGGTCTGAGACTTCCTTCTATCTCCTCACAGAAGGAGGTTTTGCCTACGGACATTCGATCTGGCTCAACTCAACCTACCTTACATCCTGGACAGGCAGCGGGGCAGATATGTTCTACAATCAGACCTTGCCTTTGAGACACCTGCAAGCCGGTGAGACATACATCATCACGGTATTGATCGATCATTTGGGCAACGACGAAAACTTCCCTGCCAATACTGAGCTTATGAAAGATCCTCGCGGTCTTGTCGACTACAGCTTGAATGGACGTGACAAAGAGGCCATTTCGTGGAAGATCACTGGTAACCTCGGTGGGGAACAGTACCAGGATCACAGTCGAGGCCCCTTCAACGAGGGTGCATTTTACGCTGAACGTCAGGGATATCATCTTCCTGGTGCCCCTGTCACTCAGTGGAAGTCTCAGTCACCTTTTACTGAGATCACCGAACCTGGTGTGGGTTTCTGGTCCACTTCATTCGATCTCAATGTTCCGATGGGCTATGATGTTCCGCTAAGTGTGCAGTTTAGCAACACCACGGCTAAGGATTCTTCCATTGCCAAATTTCGCTCAGAGCTGTTTGTGAATGGCTGGCAATTTGGGAAATACGGTATGTTTCTGCTTAATACTTTGATATTGCTTCCGTATTGTCATTTCAAAAACGAGCTAATAGCCCAACCAAAGTGAACAATATCGGCCCACAAACACGATTCCCAGTTCCAGAGGGCATTCTCAACTATAATGGCCCCAATTATCTGGCTCTGACGATTTGGTCAATGGACTCAAAGCCCTTCCAGCTGGCTGGTCTTCAGCTACAGGCAGATGCAGTGATTCAGAGTGGTTATAGAAAGCCTGATCTGGTCCAGGGACAGCGCTATGCCAAGCGAGTGGATAGCTACTAGATGGAGTTACTTCAGCATAAATAGTTTCTGCCTCAGGCAAGATTCCATTTTTGGTACATATGCCTTCAGAAGACATCTCAAATGTTTAACACTTAGTAACGCTTCAGTTCTGCTATTACAGGAAGTATGTACGTCATGTGTATACATAGAACAAGAATAGGCAAGACCAGGAATATAATCAAGCATCATGCAAGAGAAAGAAAACGAATTATGCAGATTAGATGCTCTCTGTGGAGGCTACGACTTCTCCGACTTCTCCTGCACAGCCGAGCCACCGGGTGACGTGTGGAAGTGACTAGCCGTGCTAGCCGAGCGACTCAACGCCGTCGGGCTGGCGACCTGATCCTTTGTATCGGTGATGTTGGTGGTAATAACGCCCGTCTCTGCGGCGTCACTGGCCTTCTCGGGCTGGTGGGATGCCGAGGTGCTGCGCGAGCTAGCGGGGGAGGCGCCCGACGAGGGAAGAGGCTGGGATTGGGACTGCGACTGCGACTGGCTGCGGGTCGACTCTTTGATAACGCTCCACCATTTCTCGGCATCGGAGGGGGTGTGCGCCTTGAAGGTGAGCTCTGTGTTGGCAGTGAATGCATTCCCGACTTTGCCGTTCGACACATCCTTGCCCTTGACGTTGAACTTGACGCCGTCGATGGACCCAATCACGCAGTCGGGCAGGTACAGCGACAGCTCGGGGGTGGGGTCACGACGGAAGTCGTCGGTGTCCTTGAACTCGTGTAGGTACTTAGCGGGGGTGACGACGTAGTACCCCGTGCTGAAGCCCTTGATCACGGCGCGGGAGCGACGCTCCAGCGAGCCCTCGATGAGCGGCTGCGTGGAACGGTGGTCCTGGTTCGGGAAGGAAATATTTCCGAACTGCCGCGGCGGCGAGTCCGGGTTGACCAGCTTGGAGTCGTTGCTGACGATAAAATTGATCCACTCGAAGTCCGGCGGGATGAGCTGCGCCGTGCCCAGGATGTCGGCGTACATGGCGCGCTGCCGGTCCAACTGGTTGTTCATCTGCTGGAAGAACTGCTCCAGCGCGCCTTGGACGGTCTGCAGAATGTGTGCTTCGAATTGCTGGAAGGAGTTCTGCAGTGCGAGGACGTCCTGGCGGTGGGTGTTCTCTTCGTTGACTTGCTTGTTGAGTCGGTGGTTGATCATCCGGCGGAGGAGGTAGGGGTCGTGCTGCTGCTCAATCTTGCCTGCAGCGGCGGCGTCGAAGGCCGCCGAGTTCTGGCCCAGGAGCTCGATGTGCTTCTGGGTTGCTTGCCGGGCCTTCTCGACGGCTTTGGCGCCCTTCACTGCGCCCGACTTCAGTTCCTTCGACTTGTTCTTGATTTCTTTGTGCAAACGCTCGAGGGTCGGAAGCACGCCGCTCTTCAGGTTCTTCTCGGTTTCGAGGTACATGTTCACAATTCCCTATCCGTCTATCGTCAGTTGCTGTCCACAACTGCAAGCTGCCTGCTGCGCCATACCTGAGAATTATTCCGCATGTTCTCGAACAGGCCCGCGACGCCTCCGGCGCTGGAGCTAAAGTGATGGCCCTCCTTCAGAGGATCGCTCACGGTCTGATGAATTGTCGGTCAGTTGATTCCGAGCGACCCGAGTACCCGACACACTCACCTTCAAGACCTTCTCATAATCCTTGGAATTAGCCCTGGAAACCTTGGCAGTCGTGGAGACATAGTCCTCAAGATAGGCGGTCATGTGCTTCCAGGCTCTCAGACGCTCAAGCAGGAGATTGGTGCTCTACAAACACACAAAGTCAGTTCCCATGCGCTTTTTTCTTTTTCCCTTGCCTGAGTATAGACACCGCACGGATAATTTCCGTTCGAACGCACCTCACTGCTATCTGTATGGGGAATGGCCTCGTCATCGGCATCGCTCATAGACGTCCGCCGGGTGAGGGTGCTGGTGACCGTTCCCGAGCGCGCGGGGACCGTCGCGGCGCGCGAGGGGAGCTTGACATCCATGGGACTGGTGGGGGGTCGTAGTGGTGGGGAGGTAGGTCGGCGGGGAGAGAGAGAGAGCCTCGCGGGGAGGGAAAAGAACACAATCAGCAATAACGAACCCCAGGGGAGGAAATCCGGGAGCCTTAAAGCAAAGATCGGAGATCGCGGAGGGGTGGTGGGCCGACCGACGGTGTAGGGTTGGGTTGGGTTGAGTTGGGGGAGAAGATTGACAGTAGTGGCTGAAGACGAGCCACAATAAACCGGGTCGGGGAGCGGCGCTAGACTGATGGTGGACTAGTCAAGGTGATGGTTGACGAGCTAGTTGATGGCCAGTGGGGGCGTGTGTAGTGGCGCAGAGTCGGAGAGCGCGATGAATGGAGGCAGGAAACGGTAGGTGAAGGGAATGGTGTACTGTTGTGGGCTATCGATACATTCCTCGATCGATCGGGTCCTATGAGGTCATACGGTGGCGTTATTTAGGTTTGCATTCCGCATTGCATTATTTATTGACAGTACTGATGAGGGAGTGGATTATTGTTTAAGGTACATCAGAGAGATTGTAATCATGCGTGACTCGTGCTGCCGGGCAGCTATTTCATAAAACCAAAAAAACACCATCTATCTATCAGAAGAGAAAAATCCATGTAGTTGCCAAACGCCGAGAGCAAGAAAAGAAACCGGTGATGAATGCTGTGAGGAGTCTTGTCTGTATCGCAATGCTGAGAATAAAAGAGGAGCAAAGGACGAGTGAAGCGGGATTGCCCAGCGTCCAGCACCGGGCGTAATGAGATATCGGTAAAAAGAGAGGCGGGAGAGAGGCGGGGGAGAGAGCAAGAGCGAGAGAGAGCGATTGCACGCTCCTACCTCGCTCGGGCTTGCACAAGGCGAAGTCGGCGTTCCTCGTCGTCAGCAGCGGTGCCGTGAGCGTCAAAATATTGGGAGCGGTTAGGCACCTCCGCGGGGGTCGAGGTGCCTGTTGACCGGCCACTGCGCAGATGAGCCTGCTGCGGAGACTGGATCATGGGCGGTGAGGGAACTTCGCTCGCCATGACGGCGTTGTAGTCGGGCAAACCCGTGTCGCACGGCCGAATGGTGCTACGAACGGCAGTCGAGTAACTGGGCACCCGGCTCAGGGTCTCGACCTCGGCGTATTGAGGATGGAAGGGCGTCGCCATGCCGGAGGAGATAACGTCGTGGTCGACTTCGTCAGATGGTCTCCGCGATAGATCGGGGCTCCCAGGGCTGTGCGTGTTGGCACCAGACATGGCGCCAAAGTAATCCGTATTAGCATTGACCCGTCGCGGCGCGGCATCACCCTCCGCTGGAGGAGAGCCGTGCGGCTCATTGAGCGTGGGTTGTCCGGGTGGATTGGTGCTCAGATTGGCCAGGCGGCTCTGCAGCGCCGAGGCGGAGATGTCTGTCGTCGTCAAGGCATTCATGGAGGCGAGGTTCTCTGCTGAGAGATTGCGGCTCAGTGGGCCGAATGGCGTGCCTGGACCACTACCAGGGCCGGGTGTTCGGTAGCCGCTGGGATCCAGTTCGCTGTACAGTTGATCGAACTGGTGTTCACCGTATAAGGGAGGCGCATGCTGAACCAGTTCGTCCGCAGCTCTCCGGGCCGCCTGCGGAGTTGCCTCCACGAGGTTGTTGTGTTCATCGATTGCGATATGTGGCGAAATGAAAATGGATACTGGGAGTGTCGCACGTAGCTACATCACCATTAGCATCGGGCAGGATACAACGTATGAACAATGCTTACCTCGCTGACATGGCCGTCCGGGTTGTGTAATTGAATGCGGAACTTGAGCTTGTGTCGAATTTTAATGCCCTTGGTATCTGTGTCCTGCAGACACCGGGTCAAGGTCTGTGGCATATCCAGGTATCGCACGAGCTGGTGTCCCTCGGCAGCCTCGTCGATGATTTCTATGTTATTTTCGTCCAATTCAACCTCGTCGGTCAGAATGGTCCTGGTGATTTTGAAGGTGTTGCGAATCGCCTCGGGGTCTTCCGGGTTCAGCGTCAGATCGTGGCTCTCGATCAGCTGCGACGTGATTTGGCCAATGCGCAGGCCCTTCAGCAAGGGAATCAGTTTGAAATCCACGCGGATCGACGTTCCGAAAATGACCGCCTTGGTCGGTGTGCAGATGGAGTATTCGATCTTGTTCGGCCAGATGTTTTCGACAGACTGCGCAGACAAATATTAGCGCAAGCTTCCCCGCTCAGAGAAAATCCCAAACCGACCATTGCATGCGACAGCTCCAGTGCGCTGGGATCGAGCGTCCGGATGATTCGCAGTGGCTTGCGAACCACGATGTCCTTGGCGTATTTCCTGCCGATCTCTGCCTTGAACCGGTACATCACCCATGTCTCATGCAGGCCCTCCACGCTTTCGGGCATCGAGCCCTCGAGGACGATATCGAAGGGATACTCGTAGTTGCCCGCCGCCAGGATCTCGGTCTTGCCTTTGCCCGGGTCCCGAAATCGCCAGGTCTGCTCGTAGAAGACTCGTTCGCGCCACGACTTGCGACCCCCGGCGGTCGAGGTGGAGGGCAGATGCCAGCTGCATGACCGACTTGTCAGAAAGAACGAAAATCTACCCCGGCAATCAGAATGTCTTACCACACGCGCGACATGCCCGTTAATTGGAGGCGCAAGTGCTTGATCGACAGTGGTTCGGACAAGCACAGCACCAACGTGCCCTTGAGATGGGCGCTGGCGGCTTCATCTTCACCACCTCGGAACACGATGTAGTCGTCATTTAGCCTGAACACACAATTATTATTAACATAGGCTACAGGGCTCGGCCATGGGATCTGACTCACCGGATATCGAAGTACTTGGCATTGCTTGCGCTCCCGCCGCCACTGAAAAAGCTGAGAGCCATGACGTGCCCGGCTGGATGCGACGGGGGTCGCTTGTGTGTCGGGGTATAGCGGTTTGTGTGGGCGCGAGAGAGAGGGGATGAGAAAGAAGAGAAGACCAAAATAAAAAAATAAAACAGGGCAGTATGTTCTGATGTATTTTTTTCGTTCCTTTTTTTCGCGATCTACCGGGTGAATGTCCAGAATCAATCCGGTCCGACAACGGGTCTTGGGTGGAGTCAGTCCGTTTCCGTCGACGGTCGGGTTGGTGGCGATAACGCGATAATGCTAGGCCGAAGTGGGACGGTGCGGTGATAAGAGTGTGTGGAAGGGTGATATGAGGGAGACGGGAGAAGACGATGAGGAAAATCAAAAACGAAAGAAAGCCAGGCGGAAGAATTCATTGAGACAGGAATTAACCGGTGATATTTACGTCAGCGCGATCATATGAACAGAACGGAGGAGGGCCTTTCGTTTACCCATGGCCATCACGCCATAGCCTCGGGCTACGCTTATCGCGACGAGATGACCCGATCGTGATTATTATTATTGACAGCGGTGTGATACGGATGGCGCCATTATTATTGGTACAAGGACTCCGCCAGGGCACTCGATCGGTCTGTTTTGCTCGATCGGAGCTCCACCCATCATCAATTCTCTATGTGGCCTCTCGGAGTTGTTGTGACGCACAGGAGGATAAACCAGGAACCGATCCACCGGTCTACAGAAAAGAGCATGCTGCCGTCCAATTATGGAAATGGCTCCACGACGGGCCCTATCGGGATCCCTTGCACGACCCGGCGGCTCTCGACCGCTCTTCACCGGGACGGCATACCGGCATCCCGATTCTTCGCATCCCGGTGTGTTGCTCTGGTTGCTGGCTATCAGTCGACCATGCTTACTATTCGACTGTGCTCACCAAATCGGTCTAGAACACACTCTATTGTAGTCAAGAAATCGTCAGTTTTCACAACCCAGTCTCGCAGAGTCTAGGAAGGAGGCTCCATGATGATGATTTCGTCACCACGGACTACAATACTCCTGTCGCAAGGTCTCCGCCCGTCAAGATTTTTTTTTGCCCGGACCCACTCCGGGATCCAGGCAGATCACGGCTTAGCTTTGCAAGTACAGTCGTACGTCAGTCCCTGATTTGCAGATCAAGTTGCGCAGCAGCTCCATCCAGCGCCCGGTGTGGACGTGTTCCAGAACTCGTTCACGGTCGACAGCCATCATCGATCGCATCATCCGAGTGGCCGAACTCAATATTGTGGATCTTGATTGTGCTTCCCTTGCTGCAGCTCCTATAGCTGTGCTGCATATGTAACTGGCTTGCAAGCTATCCTGTCCAATGGAGCCTGACATCACCCGGCAGACCGGCAGACTTGCCATTCTCAGCACGCCACATGTGTAAAAGAGTTCTGTCGTACATGGCACGCTTACTGCTTTGCAGAATCGTACAGCAGATAGTACAGCTGAACGGCAAATCGCCCTAGGTTTTGCCGATCCTATGTAAAAATAAATTTGGTCAATTACCTCTTGCCGCCGGTAAAGATCTCTATGGCGCACGACTACTACATCCCAGAAACAGGAATCTGACAGTAAGTCTTACCAACGGAATCATCCGAAATCTATTGCCCTTTAACCATACAACACCCAGAGGAAACAAATGTGGATCCCAATTGACAGGCAAGTTCACCAATGGTCGCCCCGAGATAGGGCACACTCCCTCGGGACGAGAAAACAAAAGAAAAGAGAAACACACATATCGGGACCCACCGCGATAGCTCCGGGAGGGTTCAGTGGACAGGGAACGAAAAACATGGCCAATTTGTGTTTAGTCCCATCGGAGGGCGTCAGACACGGCGCCATGTAACCGTGGCCAAGCACTTTCTTTTACAGAAAGATTTTAGCGATGTACTAATTATGAACTAAAGAGAGTCTAAACCTAAAGCATTCGCCGATAGGATCTAGACCTAGAATCTTTCCTGGATACGTTCTACTAGTATGTATGCTCAAATAGACATCTGTCACAAATTTTGCTATACTCGCGTGCTTTTTATATGCAGGCTGATCTGCGACGACCCTATTTCTAGCGCATTACTTGTATATTCGACATAATTCTAGTATGGGGTGTCGCTGCTATTGTGCAATGGGCGACCTCGACCAACCTTTGGATGGAAGAGCACGATTGATGTTTGATTTCGTCGCCAGGACATTGAACTCGTTCTATTGTTTATCAACGTCGCACCTTTAGGTAGCTTCTCTCTCCACACGCTTAGTCAATTGCAATCGGCCTCTCCGGTTGACTGTTGGATTTAAAAATCCGATAAGTCATTGTAAGACGTCCTAGACCCCCCATAAAAGGGGTGAGAAAGACTGGCTAGATCCTCGCTCACTTTGTTTCTTTCCCAAATCCTACTTTTGTGGATCAAGGCGGATTCGATATGAGCTTGTCCGTAGGGGAAACGGTTTTCGAAATCAACTGTACCCGGGCAAATAATATGTATTGGAATAGGTGACGGGACGGGGCTATGCCAAGAGTAGGTCACAATTTTCGTATCGTAAGCTATAGTTGCAAGTGATTGAGGAATACCGCGCTGTAGAAAAAAGCCAAACAGCTTTAGTTTATCGAAATAGCCTAGACCATAAGAGTATGGCTCTCTCGATCCTAATAATCATCTACTCGAATCGCTGTCGGGAATAGATTCATTCGTAGGCACCCTTGTAATACAGACTAGATATCATATAATTCTGTCAACTTGCTCCTAAATTAGCTCAGGTCACGTTTGAAATAGAGAAAAAAATGCAGCCATTCGTCTTGCTTGAACTATAGTACAGACTTCACACATCTGCGCTTCCAACGCCCAAAATGAACACCCAGTTTGACCCCCGGGATTCCAAGAACATGAAACAAAAAAAAAAAAGAAGTTTGGACCTGAGCACCAAACATCAATGACTCTCCAGCCTTCATGTCGGCGGCACCCAGGACGGTTCATTAAAGTGCGGGAGACACTTCACCATAGGCGGCGGCGCGAGCTGCCACTCGACAAACTCCTCGTTGGCCATGAGAGAGCGCGACATATTAACATGGTCAGCAACATAGCCACGTCGAGCTTTGGTACCCAACGCCTCATCATCATTATACGCAACATTAACAGAAGGCACAGCCATGATCTTGCCGAGGCCGTGCCGAAAGAGATCCTTCGCAAGCAGCATGGGCTCGCCCATGTAACACTCACCCGTCCTGGAAGAGCGGAATTTGACCGTCTCCGCGACAAACGGGGCTGCGTTGAGCACGACCATCCCTCCCCAGCAGGAGTACACCTGCAGCGGGCGGAACGCTTCGTACCGCTTCCGGCTGTACGGATCGTCGAAGAATAGGTCCTTGCTATAGGCCCACGACCCATCCTGCGGGATCTCGAAGAATAAGTTGCCCGCCAGTGACCGCGAGACCCAGGCGTCGTAGAATGTGGTCCCATTGAAGATCCAGTCGAAGGCACATGTCATGTGTGAGTCTTGGTTGACGTGCTGATATACCAGCTCGAGGATATCCTCCGGGCACAGCGCGATATCGTTGAGGAAAATCACCATCGCGTCGGGCGAATAAATTCCCGCCATTTTGTTCATTTCATCATCAGCCGTCAACGGTGCCAGCGCCGCATTCCGCAGCTCCGCCAGTGCTTCAATGCGGTTCATATCGCCTTTCTTGGGGTAAATGTTACTGTGTTTGAGGAAGAATCGACCCCCCATAGCCTCGACTTGTGGTTTTAGCGCCCGCAGAATCTCATCCGTTCCGTCCGTGGACCGTCCCTCGACCACGGAGATGGCACAGTGCTCCGGTCCCAGGAACCGCATCGCCTCAACGATGCTGCTCATCAGCCGCGGAAGCACCAGCCGAGACTGATGCAGGTTCAGCGCGAAGAAATACCGCACTTGACCTCCGTGTGCGGCCTCTCCGCGCAGTGGCTTATACCGTGACCCGATCTCTGACGGGCATGAAATCCGGTTGTAGATGGGGTTGTGTTGGAAGTCCATGATCGAGTAGAGGTACTGTTTCACAGTGGAGTGTGAGATATGAGATGTTGGTAACGATGCTATCGCCGAGTGTGACGAAGACGTCGAGTTGCTAGGTTTTGGATGCTTCGGCCAAGTCTCCTTGTCGTTCCACGCGGGATTCCAATCTCCATACCAAGAGCGCGAAGACGTTGGCGTTGCGCTTACCATCAGTGGCGTCGGCTTCACCAAGGTAGAGATAGGGGATGGTGACGATGCTGAACCAGCATTCTCAGCATGTTCGATTTCCGGAATATCCACCTTCATCTTCAGATCCTCCTCCAACCTGTCATCTTCAGGCAAAGAGTCATAAACATCGCCACCGCTTTGAGGCTGCTGCTCGTCTATCTCGTGCGATTGAAATGGCGGTTCATCCGGCTGGTAATGCGGTACTGGTGGTAGATTGCCATTAAAAATGGCGAGGTAGGCATCGTTTTTCCACCTTGGGATATTCAACTCGTGAAACCACGCCAGCATGAACCATAGACCGACGACTAGGGCGATACCGGCCCCCAGAGCCTGGTATTGTCGGGCTCTCACCATGTTCGCATATTCTGTCGGCAGCGAGTGATGTGCGACAAGAAATGGTAGCAGGGGCAAAATCCGGAGAGGACGGACTATCTTCGAGATTAACGAGAGGCGTTGAGCACTGACGAAGATTGACGAGGAGCGGAAGAAAGAAAAGAATACAATCGAAAATCCTCAACTGGTGTGACCAGCAACAGGATGGATGTTGCAAACAATTTTTTTTTCTCTCGCTGCGTCTGCCTACTACAAATAACCCGAATGCCATCCCGCAAGCGCATCAAGCCATACCTCGGGTCCGAATACGGGGGGTGTGGGCAGTTAGACCGCCGGAAACAGCCACAGCTTCACTGATTGCACTGGAGACCCACCAAAAAGGTAGATAAGGTTCGTGGATCAGGTCATCAATGATGCTCTCGCCTGTCCAAAAATATCCAGTCTAGTTCTAGGAAATCTGGGCCTTGGCCATCGCGGTGTACGCTGTGGTCCGAATTTCCGCATTAGGTTAGTGCATGGAAACCCTAATCCTGGGGTTGTGTATGCCGAGCCCGAATACCGTGGTCGGATGTAATGAGAAAATTGGAAGAAATAGCAGCTAAAGACTCGTATATGTTCATGTTCCAGTTCCAGTGTATATTATTAGGTTGGCAAAAAAAAGGGCTCTGGAGAGAGCAAATTATGTCCAGGAAGACAGCAGATCTTGAATCATAACACAGCAAAGAGAAAACAACACACCCCTCACATCCATATGCAAACAGGAAAAAACAAAACAACTTTATACCCAGGGCAAAGAAGAAATAACTCCGCTCCAGCTTGGCTTGTTTGCAAAGTCGTCACAACGTCAATCGATCGGGCCAAGACGAGGCGATTTTGGGAGGCATCTGGAGCCGCATCGTGGCACGTAGGTCTCAAAGTGATCTTGAGAGCGTTCTGCTGCCAGGGCGGAGTCCAGAGTCATGAGGTGACTTGAGTCTCGGGCCAGCGAGTGATCCACCCATGAGGTGGATGGTATAAAGGTACAACTTGCAAAAACAAGGTGTCCAATGTGTCCATCCCTCCCTCCTTTCCCATCTTCCCACGTCTCCCTAAAAGATCCATCCCAGAATCATATAAATCAATATTCCCGCCGCTATGCACATGCCCGCGATTTTGAGGACGGCGACCGTGTCACCTTGTTTTGCCATCATCGTCAGTCGAGTGGCGCTGCCTTTCAGGTTCGTCGAGAATGAGGAGAACACTTCGCTCTGTTTACAGGGGAGACGTGAGTATTTATCTCGTAAAACATAACCACAAACGATTCTGCAGGCCCGAATAAAAAACCAGTGCTGCGAGATGGGCTTCTGGTAGACATACCGAATGATCAAGGGTGTCCTGGTCCCGCGCATTGTCATGGATATCGATCGTCACGGACCGGAGGGCGGAGACCTTTGATGAGAGAGAGTTAAGGAGCGCATTGTTTTGTCTGGTTCACAAATGTCAGAAACGGTCGCAGCGAAAGAGAAACCGAAGCGGCGACAAGTTGCCGGGCAGGGTTAAAGAAGAAAGGAGACATACTGCTCGCGCTCGTAGGCATCGCTCATCTTGTCGGATGTCAAGGGACGCCGAATATTGTTCTTTCTGGGAGTTTCGGGCGTTTTTGACTCGACAGGGCAGACAAGTGGTGAAACTGGGGTGAGATGGAGGGAGATAGAGAAGGGCTTGGCCACCCCTAGCAGCGGAGCTGACAGGCGGGTAGGTCACGTGATTCGTGAAGTATACGCAATGAATATTGGATTGAATTATTCATGTCCCTGAATTCCTTCTCTTAATGTGATACTTGAAGGTGATTGTGGGTTGAATGTGGCTCCAATATCCAGAGCCACATCGAAAAGTTAAGAAAGAGCCATTTTTAACATTATTGGTCTTATAGCTATTTTTCCATCGACCCATCAAGTGCATCTTTCAGCCAAATTCCCACCTCATCCAGCTCAACAGTACCATCGGCATCACTGATAGGGACTGCTGATAGGGTCACCCGCCGCTCACCAACCCCTTTCTCCTGGCCCCAGAAGCAAGCCCGTTGCATAACGGAGACCATCTCCTCAGCCTGTCGCGCAAGGATCGTGACCTCTGTCTCGGTCTCTTTAGTTTTTGTTCGTCGGCTATTATGAAGCGATACCAGCGATGAGAGACTACCATCTGGCAGGAAGATCCGAACCCACGGCAGAGTCATCTGCAGGCGTCCAATGCCGTGCGACGGGCCAGACAATGCCGATCCGCTGAGTCCGTAGTCCAATCCGTAGGGCGGCCAGCGGGACATCGCTTTCCGACGGCGGATGACAGGGCCGCTGGACGTTTCCGAAATGTCGCTGTCTTCTGATCCAATGTCTACATCCGGATAGACATCTCTATCCCAAAGAGATCCGTTGAGTGCGGAGTAATTCTCTGCCGGGATAGGTTTGGCAGCGCTTTTGATCGTTGGGATCGGGTACTCCGGTCCTGTGAGATACTGTGGGAATGCGCGGGGAACATCTCGCCCTGCGGAGCGGAGGAAGAGAACTGGAGAGGCAAAGGCGTCAAAATACTTCTCTGGCCTTGCAAAGAACTGCTCGCGTGCGTCCAGGAGGGGGACTAGATCCGGGGGAGCCACTGCTCCCCGGAAGCCTTTCCTCTTGGATGGTCGCTTTTGTTTCATGGCGCTCGTAAGCGAAAATGAGTCAGAGCCAGTGCTTTCATCTGTGCTGGATTTGGGTTGTGTTTCCGGACTATCCTCACTAATACAGTATTCGTCTAATCCCGGCCAGTCGCAAACAGGCTCTAGAGCGGTGACGGCTCGCACTAACTGTGCCTCTGTGAGAGCTAGCATGAGGGCCAACGAGCCACCGACGTGCGTCCCAAATACTCCGAGCTGTTCTGGCTGAAGGTTGTTTCGAATCCAGTCAAACCCGGCGAGCGTGTCGTGTACGGGCGTTGGGTACTGATAAAAGCTGGATTTGTCGATCAGTTGATCATTGGTAATGGACTTTTGTAAATTGTCGGCATTTTGTTCGAGCTTGGCTGCTTTGCTTGAATTATCCAAAGGTTCCATAGTACCGAGGCGGTAATTGACGGTGACAACCGTCGCAGAGGTCAGAGAGGCCAGCACATGTTGCGGTGATGGACTAGTAGAATTTGGAGACCCATTCTCTTGGGCTTGGTGGCGTTTAAACCTCGCAAAAAGATCGAAGCGGGTTGATCTGTCCCCAGAATCTTGGAACAGAGGTCCTGGCGGCAGGTAGAGGATTACATTTGGGCCTTGAGAAGGCTGTTCCTGTTTGGGCGGGCTTTGGCCGAGTGGTCGGGTTACACTGCGGATGGGTTAGCAATGAAGTATCTAACATTGAAACCCCTGGAATACACCTACATGAGAGATATACATCCATTGTTCCCCACAGGAATTGAAATTGTTTCATCGCTGCAATGCGGCGAGACAGGGGGGTCGAGAATGGACGCGTCCCCTGACGAGCGATGCGATGACAGCCAGCTACCCTGCGCAGACGAAAGCACAACGCGATTTGGCAGGTAGATGAAGCCAAGAGGCGCATAGCGCCACTCGGGGACGTAATTTGATATTTTGATTGTTAGAGGAGAGTTGATATCGCGTGGCCAAGGATGTTCCGATACTAGTCACGGGACTTGGCGTTCCCTAACAAAATATATTCTGCAGAGAAGCACTAACGAAACTGGTCAGGATTGATATCAATTGCTATATGCAAGATCCAATTTCATTTTGAACAGATGATAACTACACGCTATAGATATGCGAAGACTAAATAATGCCAATTTGTTATCGTATACATCCCGTTTAACAAAACCTATCTCACATTCGCCCAGTGACGCGACTACTCCACAAGTGCTTCTCCGTTGTCGCCGAAGCAGCAGCAGGATCATCACGATCGAGAGGCGCCTCCATATCATCCTCCGGCGACGGATGTATAACCTCGAGGCTCAGTTGCGGGTCCTGCGAGTACACTCGCAGGCCAACGACGCACACAGCGTTCCACGGATCAGCCGCGTTCTCGTCTAGATCCGGACCTGGGGATGGACGCGGGCTCTTCGGATACGCTATGCCTTCAGGCGGCATATCGAGATCAGTGTCGAACTCGAACCCCTCCAACAACTCCAAATCACTGGGATCCAGTCCATCCATTGCAAAGCGAGTATCGAGACTTGGCCGCGGAGATGTTTCTGTCATGCGTCGCACATAGCGGCGAGTATGCGAGCCATTGAGCTGGATAGTCGGGACCGACCCACCGGCTGTTATTGATACCCGCCGGTCACTGCCATCACTCGAGATGCTCGCAGCATCCGTAGGAGATTGATGAACCGGGCCATCATTTAGAATCTGCTCAGGCATGCGCTCGGGACTGCGGCCGAGACGGCCTCCGCTTCCTGCTGCTGCAAGCCCAGAGCGTCGGGCAGCCATGCGTTGTTGACGCGCAGCCATCTTCTGCTCACGAATCCACTCCTTCTGAAGCCGCTTCTTGGTTTCAGCAGCTAGTCTCTTTCTTTCGGCTGCTTTGCGGGCCGCGTTGTCCCGCTTTTCTTGCTCTGTATCAGCGATCAGGCCCTTGGCGTGCGCGAGATCATACGAGAGTCCGATCTGCACTAGTTTTTCGCGCCGGGTCGATGCCATGCGGCGAAGGATCTCCTCTGTCGATTCGAGGTCGTCGTGTCGGAACGCCGTAATTTTCATGAGCACATGGTACCGGCCTGGTTCGAGGTCGATCTCGGCGTTGACGGACCGGCTCATGAATTGGCTACTGTGGCTGCGCACCATGTAGTCTTCTTCTCCGTCTCGCTGAAGACGGAATTTCAGCATGAAATCATACTCGCCCGCAAGGCCCCTGAAATATCGCGAGTCAAGCTGTGGCTGTCAGCAGCGGATCTTGAATCTCCAATCAATTGGGACGAACCTGCGATAGGACGATGACCACCGGTCCACCTGTGGTCACATCGAGTCTGAACTTTGTGCTATGATAGTCGGCAGACCATGGGACATTCAAGGTGGTCCACTGCTGCGTGATAGTCCATTCTGTCCCAAACAGGCGGGTACGGTCCAGGTGCTGATATTTCTTGAGGAGGTCATTATAGGAGATCCAGAAGAACTGTCTCCACGTCAGCACATGAACCAATTTCTAGAATTCGGGATTCGTACCCCGTCATTGCCAAATTTGTGACCAAGCAGCTTCATCCACTCGGGCGTCCACTGCTCAGATCCATCACCCCATGCACCATGCCATTCCTTCTTCCCCCACGGGTTCCTGGACTATGTAAGTACCATGCTTCTTGCATCCTGACCATGTCAGCACGTACCTGAGTCGAAGAAGACGATGCCCTTCTACCTCTCGTGCCTCCATGATCGAATAAGAGTGATTCGTCTCAATACCCTTTCGGTCCCGCGGAGGACCACGATACTTGGGATCCAACCAATTGGAAAAGAAGCCCGTGCCACACCCAAACAGAAACTCCTTATTGACCTTCATGAGCTCTTCATTCCAGAAGCGCTCCTTATCCAGGATGTTGCTCGGCAGAATCTCCGATGTGACTCCGCCCGTCAGGTCTTCAATGGCTTCGCCGACAAACCCGCCCTCAATGGCGGAGTAATCCCCGTGGGCCTTTGCAAACGCCTTCTCAAGAAGCGGCAGCCAGGTCTCATTCTCATCCACGCATTGCGCAAAGTACAGGGCCCGAGAGCCTGTCTGCCAGGCGCGCCGATATTCCTCTTCCGTATCGGTGCGGTTGATATCATCCCAGATTGGTCTTTCATCCATCGATTCGTCATAGTCGGCTGCTCGCAGATATAATTTGTCGTCCACGATGCACTGCTGCCACTCGCCATCTATCATACCAGACTCAGATCTTACATTCATGTCGAGGATTCCCGCAAATACTCACCGCGGTAAAACACAAAACCATAGATGCCAACGTTCTCATTTCTTGCGACGCAAATGTTCTCAATCAGACCCTCTTTGTTGCCCAGGGTACACAGCGCCGCCATAACCCAGCAGTCCCCGTCGCGGCCCTGTCGCACATCCGACGCCGTGGGCCCATTGACATAAAACCGCGGATTTTCAAAAATTTCCTGGACACACGTCAGTCAGCATCGCCATTCCTTAGCACAAGAAACACCATTTCACAAACCGTCACCCGCTTAACGCCCCGTGGCCTCATAGCATCATTCTTCTTCCCCAGCCCATCAAGATAATTCCTCCTCCCGGACTTAAGATCAACCTCGATATCAAAATGCGGATCCGTATATTTCTGATTCAGCCGCTCGCACTCCTTGACAATCCGCTCGACAGACCGCACGCACTCGCGCCGCGCCTGCTCATACGACTTCACGGCCTCCTGGCCCCTGATCACCCCGGTGGGCACATTCTGCGCCCGCGTCCGCGCATACGGGTTGTCCGGCAGCACCGTGTACACCCGGCCTGGGTACTTGGTGTTGAACTGTTCCCAGAACTGCTTGACGGTTTCCTGCGGCGCTTGGAACCGTGCTCGCTGAGGTGGTCGGCTGTTTGAGCGCGATGAGGCTGGTCGACCGTATCCTGTGCCTTCTAGTTCGTCGTTGAAGTCCATCGTGGCGGTCTTGGAGAACAAGACCAGCTGACGATTGTTGGTCTTGGTGTTTCTTTGCGCGATCTTCTTACCGGAATACGTCCAGCACTTGGGATCGGAGCGTAGTGGGGAAGAAACGAGGAAGCTATTCCCTTTTCTTATATTCGCACTGACCACCTGCCAAGTTAGCTCGGTTGATCGAACGGAAATAACAACAACACAAACCAACAGGCGCCCCATCCGCACTTTAAGTGAATTAACTAAGTTGAATAATGCACGGCCACCATCAGCCGCTCTCAACGCACACCGTAAGGCTGCATTAGTTAGAGCATTAGGGCCGGCGAATGAACATCCAACCGGAACCCCCGCTGCCGCAGCCCCCACGGCCTCAGCCATTGACCTGGCCGTTCCTGTGTTTTGGCCCCAGGGACGGATGCTGTGAGTCTTGCAGAATCATTGACTCAGCCTTAATGTGTCTCAGGGCGATCTCCAGTTTTACCAATAATAGTCATACATACATAGTCGAGTCTGTTCATCTATATCTTAAACTTGTTTTTGTGCCCGGTGGGGCGCCCCTTTTCAGCTCGGACACGGACACGAGGTGCGTGCTCGCATTTGCACCCGGGTTCGTCATTGGGGTCTGGGCAGATAACGCCCTGGTATCATTCGTTGCAATGCGTTAGATTAATGTAGTCATCAGAAAGGCCCGAGGTCAAGGACCCGGGTGAGACTGTGGGTTCTATCCACGGCACAATAATTAGGGCATACGCAAAACTAGTCGACGCAGCGCCAGCTGAAGGGGGTATGTACGCCTGGATTGAACTAAAGCACGCTTTCTTAGAACCCCCAGAAGTCCTCCTGCCCCGACCACTCCCTATCCCATCCCATTGAACGCCGGATACATCACACGCAGAACATTGCCCCGCGGGAGGAGAGCTACCGAAACACCGGTGCTGCTGGTCTCTCTCCCGGAGGTGAGTGAATGAATAAGATTACACGATAAACATCACTGGAAACATAAGAAAAACTAAAGCCTTAGTGATATCCGTTCCGCGTGGTGGTGCGTCCCGAGTAGTACGAGCTGCCGTTCCGGAAGTAAGGATGCATGCAGGCCTGCTTGGCCGACAGCCGGTGCGCGGGATCAAATTCGAGAAGGGCTTCCAGCAGTTGAACGCCGGCTTCTTCGAGCCCTGGGACCAGGACTGTGTCGGGGCGCTTCCACTTCGGGAAGGTGGCCTTGAAGTCTGGGAAGGAGGTCACACCGGGCCAATTGTCTTCGTCAGGGGTGCCGAGGACGCTGTGAGACAAACGTGTTAGCAATTTCACTTGATTAAGAGGAACAGAGCATACCGGAAGATCTTGAAAATCTCATCAATTTCAGAGTCGCCGGGGAACAGCGGCTTGCGGGTGCACATCTCTGCAAAGATGGCTCCGACGGACCACATGTCCACGCCCGTGGAGTACTGACGGCCACCTAGGAGAATTTCTGGAGAGCGGTACCACAGCGTCACGACCTGTAGATCGGGTCAGTTTCCTCTGACATAAAAAATAAAGCGTATGTCTCACCTCGTGAGTATAAGTCCGCAAAGGCACACCGAACGCCCTTGCCAGCCCAAAATCAGCAAGCTTCAGGTTCCCGTCACGGTCGATGAGCAAGTTCTGGGGTTTCAGATCGCGGTGCAGGATACGGTGGCTGTGACAATAGCGAATGCCCTCCACAAGCTGGGCCATGAACTTCTTGACCATAGCATCGCCCAGGCCCAGATTTGCACCCATCATTGATCCATCCGGGAGTGCCTTCCCCCGACCACCTTCACTGACCGGCAATGCCTCCATGTATTTCTTGAGATCGAGATCCAGATACTCGAAGACGAGGTATAGTTTGTGGCCATCGGCGTGAACGATGTTAAACAGCTGGACGATATTGGGATCCTGCATTTCCTTGAGGAGGGAGATCTCGCGGATCGCCGTGCTAGGGACACCCTCATCTTCAGCCTCCAGTCGGATCTTTTTTAAGGCGACAATTCGATTCGGATGGTTGAGTTCGCGGGCCTTGTAGACAACCCCGTAGGTTCCTGTGGACCGAAGACGCGTGAGATTGGGACCATTGGGGTGTTATGCTTATTTATCGCGTGCAAACACGTACCTTCGCCGATTTTCTCAATCTTCTGATAGTTCTCCATGGCGTCGGTGCACTGCGTACCCGTTCTGGCTCCCGGACTGTTAGTTAGGGTACGGACACAGGGATCGAATTGACGGAGATGGAGGGATGGGGTCAAGGGGAACGAATCTGGGGACGCAAGGGGCACGAGGAGGAATAATAGGCTCAACCCACAGAATACTCGGGCGTATCACAGACTCCAGTCCAATATTTGGTTATGTTGTTGGTGTTGGTGTTGTTGTCGCGGTGGGGAGGAAAAAACAAACAAAAACACCCCGCGCTACCTGGGCGGTGAGTGTGTTTTATCGTTCTCGTTCCTCGACAAGAAATCTACTTTTCGCTCGCAGCTCCCCATGGCTCAGATCAAAGGCCTTAACGCCCATGATCGGCCCCCAGAAGCCATTCGCCAGCGATACAAGCACTATTCCAAGATCTCGCTGAACGAGATTGACCATGACCCGGGTATCCTCGACCTGCAGCGAGTCGATCCCGATCAGCTACCCGACGAACTGACGCTATCGCAGTATATGTCAAGCCAAGATGTCCGACTGGCATTTGATGACTATGTACAAGGGCGCCATGAATTGACCAAAGAACATGCTCCGTTAGCTGAAAATATCCCGGTCTTTGCCCACCGTTCAGTTTCTGGTCAGCATCGTCACGCTCCACTGTTGACAGAATCAAGAACCACACCCTGACCAATCCCCAGGCCTACTGATGATCCCTTCGTTATTCCCACCCACTGTTCAAACAGAGTTGCTGTCGCGCTTACTCCACCGAGACCTGTCCAATCCCGCACATCGCACCAATCTGCATCTGCACTACGACGTCACTTATCCTGGACATACCGGAAGCTCTGAGAACAGCATCACATCACACTCATCGCAATCCTTCTTCGCCGATGACCCGGCCCGACTGTTATATCCCAAGGATGCTACGATCCACCATCCCGTCACCGTCCAAAACATGTTAGAGAAGAAGCTTCGCTGGGTTACTTTAGGCGGACAATACGATTGGACAGCCAAAGTGTACCCCAATGAAACACCTCCTCCGTTCCCAGAAGATGTCTCAAAGCTATTGCGGGCTGCCTTCCCGGAGACTGAGGCCCAAGCAGCCATCCTGAACCTCTACTCGGCCGGAGATACCCTCAGCGTGCATCGCGACGTGAGTGAGGAATGTGACAGTGGATTGATCAGTGTCAGTTTTGGATGTGATGGGTTGTTCGTGGTGAGCCATGATGATGGGAATGACTGTGAGGTTATTCGGCTGCGGTCGGGCGATGCCGTATATATGAATGGCACGTCGCGGTTCGCTTGGCATGGAGTGCCGAAGATCCTTCCGGAAACCTGTCCAAAATGGCTGTCCGAGTGGCCTTCCGGAGAAGATGTGCCGGGCGCTGCTCCTAGTCCCTACCAGATGTGGAGGGGCTGGATGGCAGGGAAACGGATCAATCTGAATGTGCGACAGATGACAACAAACAGTATCGCATGAGTTGTTAACAATCTTTGCTTGAAGAACAGAAGCCATCATGCCAATCGCAAGGATGCAAATACGTACGGCGAGGCCTACAAAGCCTGAATGGTGACTCCCGCGCAATTGCTTGGTTCCTGCATAAACATGAGACCAGCCGATCCATCAAACGGGAGTTGATCGCCTGTTAGTTCCGGCCCGCAGTGAAGCACGCCAGCACACTGGGTACATGGTCGAGCCACGCTCGTTTCCCAGCCACACTAGCCTACTCAAAATACGAGATGATAACGATTCATTGAACGTTCTAAGCCCGAGGTAATACCCGAAAAAAAGCATCTCCAACGACCCCAACGACCCCGCTTCTCCGTATCTCGCACCACCACGACTGATAAGAAAGACCATAAATACCCGGTTGACCGTCCCCAAGAGTTCCTCATCGCTACAACACACCATGACGATAGAAGACTGGCTTGCCCAGGGCAAGACAAAGCGCCAATCCATCTACAACGCAATCCCAAAGAAATGGAGACTGAAAGACCCCGTCCCCTCCGCAGCGGATTTGCGCGATGTCACCGGCCCCTATATCCAGCAGTTTCTTAGTGCGCGTGAGATTGAAATCACCGAGTCCGATGCATTTGAGATCACCTCGCAGACTACCACGGGCTGCTGGTCTGCCGTCGAAGTCACTGAGGCTTTTTGTCATCGCGCTGCGTTGGCTCACCAACTGGTCAGCTGTCTGCACGAGATATTCTTCGACGCTGCTATAGAAAGCGCGAGGAAACTCGATGCCTACTTTGCAAAGCACCAGTCCCCCGTGGGACCTTTACACGGTCTCCCCGTCAGTCTGAAGGACCAATTTCATGTCAAGGGTGTCGAAACCACCATGGGCTACGTGGGCTGGATCGGCACCTTCGAGGGTAAGCGAGATGATCCCCGCCGCGGGACAGTGGAAAGCGAGCTGGTGCGGGAATTGCGCAATCTCGGAGCTGTGCTATACTGCAAGACTAGTGTGCCTGCAACCCTGATGACAGGCGAAACCGTCAACCACATCATCGGCTACACCACGAACCCGAAGAATCGGCTGCTCTCCTGCGGTGGGAGCTCCGGCGGCGAGGGCGCGCTGATTGCCCTTCGTGGATCGCCCGCTGGCTTTGGAACCGATATTGGAGGCAGTGTGCGCATTCCCGCTGGGTTCAATGGGCTGTATGGTATCCGGCCTTCTGCGGGGAGGATTCCTTACCAGGGAGCAGCGAACTCGTTCGATGGTCAGAATACGATATTGTCGGTCATCGGCCCGCTGGCAACTACTGCGCGGTCTTTGACTTTGTTGTTCAAGTCTGTCCTTAGCCAGGAGCCTTGGTATCAGGATCCTCTTGTCTTGGAGCTGCCATGGCGGGATGCTATTGTTGAGGAAACGCGTAACTTGATCCAGCAGGCTCAAGCTGGGTCGCCCACGCTCGCCTTTGCTATGATGCATTGGAATGGTATAGACCGGATTCATCCGCCCGTTGCACGAGGGTTGCGCATTGTCGAACAGACATTAAAACGTCTAGGGCACAAGGTATGTATGTTCCTGCACCACCGACTCGGCACATCTGACGATTCTTGGAATTAGGTGATTTCCTGGGATCCGCCGTCCCATGCCGTGCTCCACGAACTGGCTGTAAGTTCGACTGACCAACAAATGGGACGTAACTGACTTGAATCAGAGCAAGACGTTCAACATGGATGGCGGCGCAGATATGCGCCATCAGTTCGGTCTCTCTGGCGAACCCAAGCCGCCGCAGGTCATCGTGGAGGAAAATGGTACCGAACTCACTACGTCTGCGATTGCCGCACTCAACGTTGCCAAACGCGAGTATCAGAAACGCTACATGGACTACTGGAACAGTACCGCGGAGCTAACGGGGACCGGACGCCCGGTGGACGGCGTCGTTAGCCCTCTAGCACCTCATGCGGCGGTGATTCCGCACCACTACCATAGTGTAGGATACTCGAGCTTCGTGAATGTTCTCGACTATACTAGTGTGGTGATACCAGTCACCTCGGCCGACCAGGCGGTAGATACGCGACCGCCAGAGACTTCTCTAGGGCCGCATATCGAGTGGGACTGTGAGTTTGGACCCCTCTGGCAACGAAACTATAGACTGATGTCCGTGCAGACGATGCCGATACGTACCATGGAGCTCCCGTGGCGGTGCAGTTGCTGGGTAGGCGATTGCAGGAGGAGAAGATGTTGACGCTGGCCGAGTATTTGGGGAGTGAAATATGTCGTAGATAGGATCGTTAGTAGTACCTACTCTAGTTCATTACCGTTGTCTGGTCGATCCTGGCCCGACTCGGCGCTGTTCAGGGTCTCTCCACATCAAAGCTTGGCGCCTCCTCTTCACTTTCGTTCTTTCTTTCACTCTCTTACGAACATAGTACACCCGCCCTTCACGTCCGGGTTCTTCTCGGGCTGTCCCAACCTTCCCTTCCCTAATTATACCTCCCTCTTGCCTTCCCGCCATGAAGGAAGAAAACCCCCCAGTCAACTCGCCCGACGACTCGGTCATCGGCGACGAAAATTCGCAGACCGCATCCAAGACCGTGAACCCGTCCGCCAAGGACCGCAAATGCCAGTACTGCGGACAGGCATTCACATCCTCGTCACTCGGACGACACCTCGATCAGTTCCTCTTCAAAAAGAAGCCCGACGGGATCCACGATGTCGAGGAGATTCGGCGCATCCGGAGCGGCATCACTCGTCGGCAAGCCCGTACCTCCTCAGGGAAGCACGACAGCCCCGATCGCGCAACGAAGAAGGCTTCCTCCGACCTATACGCAATGGGAGAGTCCGGGTCGAAAGCACGCGATACCCCCGTGCGCATGATGTTCAACACGCCGACGTGGCATGCTACCGGCGTCATCAACGATATCCCAAACCCGAGTCGGGGGCCTGAGGGACTGCGTCTCGCCCCGTCGCAGTCGCGGACGGGGTCTATGCAGTTGCCGGATTATGCCAGTCGGGGCGCTAGTGCCAAAGATCCGGATACAATGAGGGCACTGGAGCTGGCACTGCGGGAAGTGTTGGACAACATTAAGGCGGCAACGTGTGTACCCTTTTTACCCCTACAGTGCAAAGCTTACTCTGTCCCAGATCTCGCCTCCGGCCTCGTACATCTCCCTTCGAGTTCGACATCCAAGCCCAGACCTTTCCCTCCCTCTGTCTCCACCTCCTGCCCCCACCACCGAGCCTGTTCGCGTCACATCCCTTTTCCTCGCCCTCATCTTTCCCTCTTGAACAACCGGGCGCCGAGCACCTCGAAGTCGTCCGCCAAGCGCTCCGCTCTCAGATCTCTCAATGGCTAAGCGACCAGCTGGCAGGAGATGCCGCCTCTACGCCCCATGCACGGGCCCCGAATAATAGTGGCACCGAGACAAACTTGCTCTACCGCAGCGCCCAACAACACGAAGAAATGAGTTTCCGACAGCTCGACCTCGCCTTCAACCACTGGACCTCCTTATCTCATGACACCCGCCGCGACGCATGGCAACTAGAAATGACACGCGCGTTCGCTCGCGAAGCCGAGAAACGCAAATCCCTCGACGAGCAGCTCGCACGCGTCCAGCAGGAAGCAAATCAGCTTCGAGCGCAGGTGGAGCGCCTTGGATCCTGCCAGTGGCCCCGAGAGTTTGCGCTTTTCCCTCCAGACACTCTCCCCTTGCCCCGGGACGTCGCCCGGGAACTGGACGTGAAGGAAAGCCAAATGATGAGCGCGGACGCGGCGCGGTGGGACTATGACAGCGTCGTTACAAAATGGAAGCGCGTCGTCATGCACGACAAGAGTATGGGCCGGATCGGCGTGGGATACGCAAATACTGCATATGAACAAGACCCAAACCATACCACCACCACCACCCAGCCGCCTTCCTACCACCACAATGCATCCCGACAAACGCCCGATGTGCGCCCCCCACGTCCTGGCGAAGATACCTCATCTCACCCAAACCGCCTTCGTCCCATACAATCCTCCGCCGCCGCAACCATGAGCCCCGACCCAGCTGCGGCATCTACACCAACCTCATCAACGCACTACGCCTCGCCATACTCTCACACTGATCCCCGCAGCCCCCCAGCAGGCAGTGCCGGCGGAGGCCCGCCACAGGCGAAGCGTCCACGGCTGATGAATGGGAATGATGGTCCCCAGGCCCCAGAGTCGAGTGTGGAAGGCGTGGGCGGGTTACCTGCTCCTTCGACGAGGACGGATAGGCCTCCCGGTCTGTGGAGCTCTTCGACTCCGCTTTTGTCGAACATTGCTGCGCCGTCGCCGACTCCGCCGTCACGCCCGTAGACATCGGCAGGTTAATATATGGACATCATATTGCATATATCATGAGTCCAATTGTATTTTAGTAGCCTATATTCCAATCAACTTTATATTTACCATCTTCCCAAAGCAAACTGAATTCTCGGACTCGGCATCGTCCCTAAATGGCCCAGAGCCCACATACCCCAGCCTTCTCAAGGAACCGATCTGGAACATTGGTGATGTGGTGATGACGGTGACGGTTTACTGATTGTATATTTTGGAGTTGGATGCCAGACGTATTATATAGTTCGTATCCGGGTGGGATTTAGATAGGGTCTGTATAGTACCTAGGCAAGCAAGTCCGCAATGTTGGCGATGTATTATCTTTACTTGGGTTTATTTGGAGTGAAGATCCTTCTGTGCATTCTGTTCTAATTAACTAATTACCGTCTCCATTCAAGCTGGGTTTGCACCCTTCCTCGTCTGCCGAGCACTAATCCGCCGCTTCATGTCTCTTACGCCATGAAGGTACAACCAGGACAAAGCGAAAACAAGGGCGAAGTTGAAGATCACATACCCCCAGAAAATACCCTAATACGTATACCTGTCAGACCAATTTGGAAGTATGTGGAGGAAGAAAACTCACATAGTCACGCCATTTGTGCGAGTAGAAGACATTAAAGCTAGCAGCCTGTAAGGAGCCCAGCGAATGAGCATTGCCAATCTCACACATATAGAGCAAAAAACACTGCAAGACTTACAAACTGGTCCCCGGTCGAATACTGACAAAAAGCACACATCCCACCCCCAATGTCCCTCACATATCCACCAGACTGGTTAGCATAAGCACCGGCATATTGCTGACACGACATGCCAGAGGGGGTACTAAATCGCGCCTCCTCGCGCGGGAGACACCGAACCGGAATGTTGTGGGTTACAACTCCCAGAAACCCTTCAAGCAGGTAGTGGAATGGCGTGAGCCAGTACATCCACGACTGCCAGAAGTGCGGCAGGGCCGCGAACGGCACGACGACGCCGCAGAATGCAACAACAAAAGTGAAAAAGGTCGGAACGAGGAGGGAAGCGAAAAGCTCGTTTGGTGATGCGGCTGCGATGAATTGCCCGAAGCCGATGTAGAATGTTTCGAAAAGCATGAGGAGCATCCAGACATAGCCAGATGTGAAAGAGTCGCGTGGGAACCAGATTCCCCAGTACCTTGATTTACCAAATATTTTTTAGATTGAATGATGATCCAGAGCAGAGGAGGTGGTGACGTACCAGCAGTTGAAGTAGATAGAGCCCGCGACGATAGAGTAGGGCAATTCTGGGAGGATGGCGCTCACGACAAATGCGACCCAGGAGTAGATCTTTGAATTTGACTCACGGGATTTGTATAGATTCCGGAAATGCAGGAACTGGGGCTGCAGCTGCTGGATCAAGGGTGGTGAGATGGTCAGCGTCATAAAGACGGAGAAGAGCCGCGACTGCATGTCGATGTAGCTGTGACCGAGATGCCAAAAGGTGAAAGTGTTGAATAGGCCGGTGAAGATGTGGAGCATGAATTTGCCCTGTTTTATTTATCAATGGTTAGAAAGACCATAAACCCAACCGAGCATTGAGAAATCGTACCAAGATGTAGTCGGGTGTCCTCCAGTAGGCAACAAAGGCACGTCTTGTCACTGCCACAATCTGCACATGGACCGGCATTGCGTATTCGCGGTCATCCTTGATGGAATCGTTCTGCACGTTGCGCCGTGAGCTGACTATGCCCTCGAGGTCTCGGGAGAGCTGCGTTGATTCGGACGAGTTGGCCCATACATCTCCCCAATCCTTTCCTTTGTAGTCTGGATTGCCAGCACCAATGACTTCAAGCATGTACTGTTTAAATGTCAGAGTGATGCGAGGAAAAAAATTGCATAGCAACAAACCTCGGCTGGATTCGCACGCGGCGAACATTTCTTGCCACCATTGTGTTCGAAGTAGTTGATCAAGGTTTTCGAGTCATGCCCGAGTTCGCCGTTGTAGACAACTCTCCCACCACTCTTTAACAAAAGCAAATCGTCGAACTGCTCGAATAAAACAGCCGATGGCTGATGCACAGTACAAAGAACTGCCTGTCCGGCATCTGCGAGTCGTCGAAGAAATCGAACAATGTTAAAAGCAGCCAGAGAGTCAAGACCAGAGGTCGGTTCGTCCAGGAAAAGAAGCAGTTCTGGCTTGCTGGCCAATTCCACTGCAATGGTGAGTCTCTTCCGCTGTTCTTGATTCAGACCAGTGCCTGTAGTGCCGACGGTTGCTCCGGCGATTGATCTCATTTCTAGCAAATCAATCACTTTTTCACAATAGTCATACTTCTCTTTTATTGGGACTTCCTTTGGCTGTCGTAAAAGAGCAGAGAATCGGAGTGACTCTCGCACGGTAGCCGTTGGCTCGTGGATGTCCATTTGCTCGGCAAATCCTGTGGCTCTCTGGAAGCTTTTGGGCAGGGGGCTGTGGCTGTTAGCTTGGGTCGATTCTTTCTAAGTTGAGGTAAACTTGCTTTCCATCGACTAGAAAGTCACCAGAGACAACTCCAAAATTGATTCTTCCTGCTAGTACGTTGAGAAGAGTGGTTTTTCTAGATTAATTAGTAGAATTCCAACCTTCCTTATGGCACTGGGAACGTACCCGGCTCCAGATGCTCCCATCAACGCCGTGAGTCGGCCAGGCTTGACATAGCCTTCAACATTCTGCAACAGCTGTTTCTGCCCACCTTTGTAGGGGATGGTATAGTTGACATTCTGCCATGTGAAAACAGCAGTATTCTTTGCAATTTTCGGCACTTTCTTGCTCAAGTCACTCGACTCATCGTCTTTGCCGTTTGGAATTATCTCATCTTTCTCTCCTGATTCTTCATCGTGGTGCAATCCGGGCTGATCCAGGGCAACTTCAACCCCTTCCGGTGCCTCACCCCTCTTGAACACAGTTACAGAGCTCCCACCTTTATTAGGTTTCTGCAGCTCCATTCCCAGCATAGTCAGAGCCACAAAGAAAATAAACCACCCAATTATTATACCAAAGTTTCGCCACAGATGAGAGCGCGAGTATGTATAGGCTGCTTTGATATAGTCTGCACCTCGCACAGTGGTCTGGTCCGGCGTGCTCCCCTGTAAAGCGCAACTCTGATGAGACGGCAACGCATTGGGTCCGTCGGGAACTATGTATGGCGGTTCACACCGTATATCAAGGTTGTGAAATTCGTTGGCCATCAATGCTTCAAAGGCATACTGAACGGGATTTATCCAGATAAGCCATTTTAGCCATGGGTGCATCTTCCACGGCGGAATCAGGTAACCTGCGAGTGATCAGCTAGGGTGGCTGGTGGACAATGTATATCTCCCGTACCGGTATATACAATCAATGCCTGAATTGAAACTCCAGTAAGGCGTGTTGCTTTGACTTGTCAGTTCTTTTCATTAAAATAACTCTCTAATATCACCTACCAATATCAAGTGACGCACACAGGGCGCCAAGTGAGCGGAAGAAAGAATACATTGTCATTGTCAGAATGAATATGAAAAGTAAGTTGATAAAAAACTGGGATGGTGTTCGAGCAAGGTTTGCCATACTGTAACCGCTTGTCAGCTTGAGAATGAAAGTCAAGTAAATCCAACATACAAGTATACAATCAGATCAAAAAGTACAACCTGAATGAACACCAAAGGGACATCGACCACAACCTGCGCAAGAGCGAATGCTGATGGTCGGTAGAACGAACTAAAGACGATCAGCCATTTTGTCCATGACCGTTATCACGGTACATACAAGCTTTTATGCTTCATTAAGATCGGCCGACTCCCGAATGTAGCCGTGAGCTCGGCCAGAGCAAGGAGGGCATTGAATAGAAGTATGAAAAACATGACACCTCCTCTTGTGAAGACTCCAGAGCTGGAAGTTTTCAATCAGTATGAAGCATACTTGAATTTTTGGATAATATACTAACCTTGTATCCGGTAGGTTATAAAACAGACTACCAATAATCAAGGCCTGGAAGACAAGGAGTGCCCATTTCCCGATTAATGACTGCCTGTCTCCAAACATGATGAGAAACTGCCGGTGGGTGAGAATCATGACCTGTTTATAAAACGAAACAGTATAGTTCTTCTTGGCCACTTTCTTTCTGGCACTCTCTCTCTCATGTTCTTGGACTTCATTCTCCCTTTCATATTTTTCGATATCCGCAAGTGCAGTTTGACAGATGTTACTTTTGCGATAGGCCTCTTGAAACTCCCCTGCTGAGCGAGGAATACGATCTTCCCATCCAGCCCTAACGCGTCGAGCATGAGGGTCACTGACGGAGGTTAGGAAATCGGGGGTTGTCCATCGCGGTGGACATTGAAAACCTAGCCCTTCAAAGTAGGCTTTTGCTTCCTCGGAGCGTCCAAAGAAAGCGCACTTGCCGTCTTCAATAAGGATGACCTTGTCAAACAAATTGAACAGATTCTCGGATGCTTGATAAAGAGCGACCAGCGTTGAGACGTTCGCGGTGTTTGTCAGGCTTCTCAAGCTCTGAACGTATTCTAGAGCCGTGCTTGCATCCAAGCCCCTGGTTGAGTTGTCCCAGCACTGAGTACTGGCTTTTGTGACCATTGCCTCTCCGATAGAGACTCGTTTCTTCTCTCCACCGGACACTCCACGGATAAGCTCGTTGCCAACTTTGGTTCCCAACGCATGTTCAATCCAGAACAGTTTGGCAATTGCGGAAAGAAATGTTTGCTGGTATTCTTTTCGGCTCTCTCCTGAAATGCGAGATGCTTTGTCTGGCGTTCGAGTCTTCAAAGCGAAGAGCAGAGTGTCATGTACAGACAGTGTGGCGTAGTGAAGGTCATCCTCGGGGTTGTACAAAACTAAAGGAATCAGTCACTTAAAATAACTTGATAGACGGTGGCCTACCTTCAGAACGATAATTTCGCGCCATCTTTTCGGAATCCGCTCCACCATACCGTACATCGCCGTCGATACTTTCATACCCAGACCGCTGATTGCCAATGACCTTCAAGAATGTTGAACAGCCTGAGCCGGGGCGTCCTAGAACAAGGAGCATTTCCCCGGGACGAACACAGCCCTATCAACGATAGTCAGTGCCAACGTTTTCGCTTGCTAGTAAGACCGATCCTACTGTAAAATCATCCAGAATTGTTCGCACAGGCGGCTTTCCACCGCTGTTGCCCTTTCCGCGCCGGGTGACCAACCGCCTAATCAGTCGTGGTAAGCCAAGAAAGATATCCCCGTTCGTCCGCTGGAGGGTAGCTCCAAGACCCAGCCCTCTAACAGTGAGATTCTTCCAGACAACGCCAACATGCCGCGTTTTTTCTTCCTCTGAATTTGCTTTCCGCTCGCGGCCGAACATCCGTGATATCAGCCGTTCGATCTGCTCCCAATCATCTCCTGCTCCCTCGTGACCCGAGGCATAGCTCCGTCGCTGGGATATTGTGTGAGCGAATTCTTCATTGCTCAGTGATGATCCCGATGTGGTTTTGTCAGTCTCATCTGATGGTGCACTGCGAACTGGGGCAAAACTGTCTTCCTCGTCTGAGTCGGAAGAAATACTGGAAGCGGGAAGCTGGCAGGAACTGCTCGAAACATATACATTCTCACGAGGAGGAGCGCGCGCATCCTTGTCAACGGAATTGCCTTCCTCCATGAAAGCTATTCGCGCAAGTGTTATTTCGAATGCTGTGTCTCAAGTAATACAAGAGATGCCGTATCCACCATGAACAAGAGTTCAGACAAAAGACTGTGGCACCTTGCTTATTCAGGGAACCTATCTGGTTAAATAGGAGAGGTGATTTCTAAGGAAGATTATATCGATACGAATTACGTCAAGTAGCCATGGGTGCATTTGCGGCCTCGGTCTCAAATCGGCCGACCTCCTTTATGCAGTACAAAACGCGCGGCGATCGGATCAAGGGCCAGCCGGCAAGCCAATGATCGGGATAAAAGCATACCGATGCCCAATCATGAACTACCTAGGTCGTATTTCTTGAATTGCCATTGTTTGGTTTGGGGGACAATCGATGACCCGCTGGATCGCGGACAGCCCCGGGAAGCGATCATGAAGTCATCGATCGGACACGGCCTCTTCTCAGCCCGATGAACCTTATTGTTTTAATAATGACTTATGTAGTTCTTATGTATCTAGTTATATCACAGTGAATTCATTGAGGCCTATCAGTTAACCGTAAAAGCGTTGCGTGTAACCCTCACAGCAAGACTACATTGCACGCATATCTAGATGCGCAGATTGCCCATTTCAAATAGCATTCCTACAGGCTCGTCGATTTTGAATGCAAGCTATATCCCAAACCCTCAAGCGCAGCTGCCTAAAGATCTTTCGCGAAGTATTGCTTATTATTGTTCTGTTTTTCATTTTCTGCACATATCGTGGCTTTGAAGAGTCACTGACCGTCGTATACATTTTCTTTCTTTAATATCCCCCTGAAATCAAGAAAGCAGAGAGATACGAATCTAGGAGTTTTTATCTGGGTTCCTGCGGAGTATCTGCGTCATTACCGCAGTGCTGTGCCTTCCATACACAGATATCCTAATTCCGATTATGCGTCCCATAATAAGCACATCTCAAGTTGAAAAGGTCCATTCGGCAAACCTTACTTTCATGTACTTGAAAACTATTATTGTAGAAGCCTTGACACCAGTATTCTTGATGACGCGCTGGAGTCATATTTTGTGATAAGCTGGTTCTCGGATCACCATTCCTTCTCCCGAGAAAGGATAGACGCCATTGTTACAACATATCAGTACAGCAACCTAAATATTGCTGTCAGGAAGATAAAATAGCAGAGTTCCACAAAAATCACTGTGCCATTGATCAGTTCTTGGACGTGGAAACGGATGCTTTGAGTTGGACCATCCAATCCCTTCAGCTATACAACATCCTTATCTGTGAAACTCTTTTATCTCAAAGGATCGTAATGAAGACACAGCGAGGACGCAGAATTGTGCGCAAGATCCTTGAATTCTTTCACCTATGCTCCCTATCGAAGCCGCCGAGTCCTTGGAGCGAGTACGGCCCACCCCTTTGAAACAACAAAACACAGCTCACCAAATGGTCTTCTAGTGCGAGAGTCCGCAGTACAGAGAAAGGTTTCCTCTCAATCCATACCTTAGGTCTTTGTCAGGGCAATAGGCCGCTTCTGGAGGCAATTGACGACCTAGACAATCCGCCCGAATACAGCTCGAACGCGATATCGTCAGCACCGCCTCTCTCCCGTGAAGATCTGGAGACCCGTATCATCCATCTATGGAAGACTATCTGGCTGGGTCTGTACAAAGTGAAAGACACTGAGGGCCCCTCGCACTACGAATGGCTGCAAGCCCTGTCTCGAGGAGCGAATTTCGGCAACTCGTATGGGGTGTTGGGATCTTTGAATCGCCATTTCCTACAGTATAGCAGCATCAACGGCATGGCCTCGTTGAAAATATTTGATAACATGCCGATGTCTACGCTTAGGTGTGTCGTTGATATCTTAGAAGCGTATGAAAGCGAGATCCCGAATCTCGAGCAACTTTATTCGGTCCTGCGTCAGGCGCAGATTGGCCTGCATCAGAGAGTCGATGAGAACGGCAAGGATGACGCCCGGAAAGCTATTTTAAAGAAGCGGTATTTGGCTATTGCTGAGCCGATGGGAAGAAGACTTGCGCACTATGATAATCGTATGGATGTCTTGGCCATCGACATGTATGAGGAGGCGGCGACGCTGCGGGGAGATGGTTCGAGAGATACGGGACAGCATGTTTACTATAGAGCATTTCCGTGCTGCTGGTGAGAGGGATCTTAGTTAGGTCTATTTTTCGTCGTTCTGGTAAACATTTGACTTTTATTGAACCCATTTTACACGGCCTATTGAAACCGTATATTTGACGTTAAAATGACTCGAAGTATATGTCGACCTAGATGCCGATAAAAGTCATATAACGAACGATACTTCCCCATTTTCAAAGCAGAGCTTGCAGTAAATTTTGACGGTCGGCTACCGACGCGTCGGCTTTTCGCAGTGCGGTCTTGTTTTCGAAAGGCCAGACAGAAGGTCTCTAGGCTGATTTCCAAGCCCATTTCATGGTTCGAGAAGCCTTCTGTCGATTAAACGCTGACTGTCGCGGGCCGAAGCTGTTCTTCTCATGGGTCCCAGAGTCTAGTCATTGGATGGTGCAATGAGAATCTTCCATTCTTCCAGGATATCTACAGGCCACATATGGCGGGTACTGGCATATATTTGTACTGGTGTTCAACAGTCAAACTCTGGCGGCTCAGCTAGCACTGTTTAATTAGTTATGGGCGCCTGTCGCCCCACCGAGCCGCCCTTGGTGATTACTCCGTGTTAGCGTGGATCATGACGTCAAAATGACACGAAAGTTCAAGATCGCTTATACACCGGAAACAGGGCATTATTAGCAGGGGAGCATTGGTTTTAAGAGACACTCTTTGAACGTAGCCTTTAAACTGCTCTATCCGCATTGAACAAGACATTCACACTTCTCGGTATAATACTTCTCATCGATTATCTATCCGTCTCTCGAATCCATCTTCTTTCTCTTTCCAGCAAATCAACCTCCCATACCTCACAATGTTGAAAAGAATCGTCCCCAGCAGTCAACAAACTTACGCTTTGACGAGGCATCAGGCATTGCCCCTGACAACGAAGACGCAACGTTTTCTAAGCACGACGACACCCCGTCACCAGAAACACAACCCATCGTCCGCCACCGAAGACCGCAGCCGGTTGAATCCCGAGCGCTCGGAAGTGACCAAGTCCGGAACAGACAGCGAGGTTGCCCATCATCCGGCAGCGTACGATCCATCGAAAACCGCACCAGAGACGGAGCTCCGGGCCACGGGGGAGGAACACGAGAACGAAGGCAAGTCGGGGAATCCGCTGGACATGAGCCCAGCCAATAAAGATGTCAGTGGGTGGAGAGGGCCGACGGAGGGTGGACCGGTGCAGAGTGCCGATAAGCCTGGACCGAGTGGTCGGGGCCAGACGAGGAAGAATCGGAAGGTTGAGGTGAAGGAGGACGGGACGCATGTTTCTCATAGATAGAGCAGAAAGATGAATACAACAATGAGGCATGTGTATTATCATATTGGGAATAGGAAGGGAATATCGAACTGCGAGGCATTTTCCTCAAAAACTGAAGCCAAACTTCTTGGCTGCCCGCTTTCTCGACTCGCAGGGGGACTGCAGGGTGTTGTGCGTTGGGACTGGAGAAAACCCGAACGAGGTAGTGAAGCTATAAACCAGACCAGACAAACAAAAACAATAAAAAGCAATGGATAACACCAATTTAAGATGACTCATTACCCAACTTGATAATATCACTCCCACTCAGCACCCAGACCTTCTCACTGCCAGCAGGCACATCCCCCTCCAGCGCCTTGAGCCCAGCATTCACAGCGGCCCGCCCAATAACATCGGCCTCCTGCGCCCACGAATCCTTCAAGGTAGAATGCAACTTGCCCGCCCAACCGGCAACAAACCTTGCCGCGGCCTCAAGCGGCCGACTCTCCTCCCGAGTACCAGCAATCAGCCCGGGGCGCAGGATAACAGTATGCTCAAAGCCCAGCGCCTTGACATCCTCCTCGATTTCGCCCTTCATCCGGGAGTACGGGATAGACGAGGTCTTGCTCGCGCCGCTGGAGGAGATGAGCACGTACACCTTCGAGCCGGCCTCGTGCGCGGCCTTGGCCATTTCGATGTTCAGCCCGTGCTCGATCTTATACTGGTTCTCGAAGCCGCCGGCTGCGCCGCGCGTCGTGGCGAAGGCCGAGATGAAGATTCCGGGCGTGGGTGTGAGCGCTGCGAGCTGGCTGGCCCAGGTGGAGGTCTCGTTCGTGACGATTGTGGTGAGTTTGGCTTGGGGGGCGTCTGCGGCGGCTTGCGGGGTGCGGCGGGAGATGGTGTCGATGCGAGCCACAGCTGGGTTGGCGATGAGGCTGTTGAGGATGTGGGCGCCCTGTTGCATCGGTGAGTATCATCGTAACAAGTCTGGGAGGTGCTCTTTCTTTGTTGTGGTGGTCAAGCGAGGGGTTGCTTGCTGGTTGGGGAGAGGGGGGGACGAGGGTGTGCGATAGCTGAGACTGTTTGGACTTACCACCATCCCAGTGGCGCCGATCATTGCGACGTTAGCCATGATGTATGTTCAGGACGTTATTGTTGTGGTATGGTTGGGGAGTAGCGAGCTTGGCAGAGGTTGCGGTCGAGACAAGCACGATGCATCATGGACCCACATGATAAACTCAGTGTTGGAACAACGATAACGTCCCTAGAAAACCACTCAATCGTGCTGGATGAATAGTCGGTCGGGAAATAAACAGGATGTTCAAAATAAGTTCATTGCTAAATCAATAATAAAGCAAGGCAAATGCTGGACCTCGGAAGCTCGGTAACATGGTAAGATATATAATTGCAGGGAAAGTGCGGTAGATGCAAATGTCGCACTGCTCTGCTGGGGACGGCTCACGTACAATTACCAGCTCTGTCAAACCTCGGCAAGCATTAGTTTAGTTCTGTTCTTCGGAAAATGAACAGTCTATCTCACTGCGGCCCCACCGAACGGTCCGCGGTCACGGTCCTTGCCAAGGACATACGGTCCGAAAATCAGGTATTTAGAGTAAACACCAAAGGTTAACCTCGGAAATATGCGTTCAGCGTCTAAAGCAGAGATTTAACGGGCAGAGAGGATTGGATCTCTATATTCGTTTATCTGAGGACTATATACGATGCTTATGCCGAAATCTCTCATCGACACATTTCAGGGGGGTATAATGGAAAAGCTCAAATCTTCGAGCTCTGGGAGAGCATCTTCTCCTGAGCCTGGTAGACTTTGACCAATTGGCGGACAGACAGGTCCAGCAAAACATCCTCCGAACCACCGGGAATCCGTGCCCCAGGGACATCGCGCAGAATAGCTGTGTGGAAGATTAGCAACCAGAAAGAAAAAAAAGCCACACGATCAAAAATAACATACCTTCAACAAGTTCACCCTGGCCCGTCTTCGTGAAACCGTTGCCGCCAAACAGCAGAACCGCACACTGAGCACACTCATTCAGCACCATGGCGGACTTGGCCTTCGCCAGCGCCGTCAGCCCACCAAGCTGGCGGTCACTCTCCTCTTTGGAGAGATGACACAGCTGATACAGAATCTGCTCAACCCACGCCCACATCGTCTCCAATTCCGCACCAGCTTTCGCCAGCCGGTGCCGAACAACAGGCTGGTCCATGAGCGTCTTGCCAAAGGCCTCGCGCTTGAGGCAGTAGGAAAAGGCAGCGGACAGCGCCACGCGTGCCGAGCGAGTGACGCCAACAGAGATGACAAGACGCTCGTGGTTGAAGTTGGTCATGATGATGCGCATGCCATCGCCTTCTTTACCGACCAGGTTCTCGACGGGAACTTTGACGTCGTCCAGTTCGATGTATGTCGTGCCTCCGGCGACCTGCCCGGAGACTTTGAGTCGGCGCATGTTGACACCCGGGTGGTTCTTCAGAGGCACCACTAGCACCGAGAGGCCGGTGGGACCTTTCCCGCCAGTACGTACGGCCATGGTAGCATAGTCTGACCAGATGCCGTTGGTGATCCTGGTGAGAGTTAAACTAGAACAGACTTTGATATTGACGTGTCATACCATTTCTTCGTTCCATTGATAATGTAATGTTTGCCGTCCGCACTCTTAGTCGCGGTCGTGACGATGTTGGCCACATCACTGCCAGCCTCCGGTTCCGTGATAGCAATACAACCGCGCTTTTTGCCAGTCAGGAGATCGGGAAGGAAGCGTTCCTGCAGCTGGCGACTGCCAAACTTGACAATCGGCGGGATTCCAAAAGCAAAGCCAGCATTCAACGAGCCACCGGGACCAGAGAGGCCGGACCGGGCCATCTATACAACCATACTTCAGCTCGAGCCACTGGCATCATCAAAAGGAATTCACCCACCTCATCGCAATAGATGCCTGTGTAGATATAATCCCAATCCTCCACCTTGACACCCAGGATGTCATTGATCCCCAATTTCTTGCACCACTCGACGGGCAAGGGCGCCGGCATGTTGGGCAGCAGCATGTTATGCTTGCAGAATGTGCCGAAGACGTGGTCGGGAACGGTCCCCTCGCGCTCCCACTCGAGCGCATGCTGGATTAGGTTCTCCCAGGCGAACTTGCGGCATGCTTGCTGGAACTGCCGGTGGGCGGGCGTGATGTACGGAGACGGCAGCCCGCGTAGGTATGGGGGCTCGGAGAAGGGGATGGGATTGGGCGAGTTGGTGGCCATTGTTCCTGGAGGATGTGTTGATGCAGAAAGATGGATTGTGCAGCTCTCATATTTATTATGTACATCTGCACTTCTCCGCATCACTTGACCGAGCCTCGGTCGGTTTCCCTTGTGCTGCATGCGAGTGGGGCTCAATGCCTGAGGCACAAACTCTGTGGAGTGTATGCCTGAGGCAGACACATTCAGGCACGGAAGACGTGATTACTGCCTCAGGCACCAAAGCTGTTTATCGATAAGAAATTGCGTGATTGCGTGATTCGCGCTAGCCGGATGAGGCAAGCCTCGCCATTTTTCTTCTATACCGGCCGAAGAGAATGCGGGCTCCCCTCTTTTCCTCTCCACATTCTCTGTGATTGTGTGTTTTTCTGGCTGAGATCGATACGGAACTCTCCAGTGTCGAGTCAAGAAACAGTCACAATGGCCGCTCATACCACTCCGGCCCTGTCGGCCTTGTCTGGCCCGACATATACCACAGCCCAGACGCTGATCCAGCAGGTGGCGTACCTGTTGAGCGACAAGATCTTCTCCTACTCGCCCGAAACATTCGACTTGGATGCCGCCCTTCGTGAATGGTCCGCGGCCCGTGAAACGAATGCCAACGGAGAGTCTCCCGTCGTCAAGACCATGGAGACCCGCCAGGGCGCCGGCAACATTGCCCTCGGCTACCTCTTCTCGCAGGACTTTGATCTGAAGAAGCGCCATGTGCCGCAGGGCATCGTCGCCTCCTCCGCTACCCTTCCGTACATGCGTGCAGCGCTGGAGCAACTCTCGCTGCTCTATTCTGTAGCCAGCCCCGTCGCTGCCCACGTCGCCGCTGTCGACTATGCCGGCGAGGAGGGTTTGGTATCAGACTATGCTTCTGCTCTCTCGCTTGCCGAGGACCTCGGACTGGGTCTTGTCTCTAGCGGTTCGGCTCATGAGTCTCAGCACATGGCTCTGTTCACGACGCTCCTTGCCTCTGTCCTCCCTTCCATCCATATCTATGACGGTGTCCGCGTTGGCCGCGAAACTACCCGGATTATCGACGTTCTCGATCAGGATGGGCTCAACCGTACATACGAGACTGTCCGCAAGACCCTGAACGACTCTCGGAATCGCCACCTTGATGCCCAGGGCAAAGTGTTGGACTTGCTCAAGACCCTGAATGGCGAACTTGGAACCGACTATGGTGCCTTCGAGTACCATGGTCATTCGGAGCCTGTTTCCGTCCTGGTGGCCTTTGGCACTATCGAGGCTGCCCTCACCGCTCAGGTCGCCCGGTCGTTGGCCAAGGACGGTGTCCGTGTTGGAGTCGTCAACGTCCGTGTCTATCGCCCCTTTGTCGAGGAGGAGTTCCTGCGTGTTCTCCCTCAGTCCGCCAAGACCGTTGGCATTCTTGGCCAAGTTGTCAACGAGGAGGCTGTTCAGGAGGAGGGAATCCACTCTGCCCTTTACGAGGATGTGCTTGCCGCTTTGACGTTTGCCACGGGCCGTGAGCATACTCCGGCCTGCGTCGAAATCAAGTACGCTCGCTCCCAGCGTTGGGATCTGATCACAGCCGCTGCTGCATTCCAGCGTATCTTTGACAAGCCCGTCCTGCCGGTCAACACGGAGACCAACCAGGCTGCGGCTCTGCAGTTGCTGGACCCCGCTACCGTCCAGGAATACACTTTCTGGGATGTCGACAGCTCTGACTCCGAGGATGCCACTCGCACCCTGAGCCAGGCTCTTGCCGCCGACTCGGCTAGCAATGTCACTGCCAGCAAGATCCACGACAACCTGGTGCAGGGTGGTGCTGTTCGCATCGACATCCGCAAGAGTGCCAAGATCCTGGATGCTCCTTATGCCGTGACAGCTGCGGATGTTTCTTATGTTGGAAACATCAAGCTGCTTAATGACGTTGATGTGCTCGCTTCTGTCAAGGACAACGCTAAGGTCATTATCAGCGCCCCGGGTATCAAGGATGAAGATCTGGAGAAGAAGCTGCCGGCCGCCTTCAAGCAAACTGTGGCTCACCGCGGCATCTCTCTCTTTGTTGTCGACCCTTCGGTTACCGAAGATCAGTCCCTCGACGCCCTTATTCTGCAGGCTACGTTCTTCCGTGTTGCTCTGCCCTCTCAAGAGACCCTGGGAACCAAGAAGCTGTCATCGATTGTCGGCAATGCCGAGGCTCTCGAGAAGGTGACCAAGGATCTTGACACGATGCTGCGTCAGATCGAGATTCCTGAGTCCTGGAAGGAGCCCGAGGAGGCCAATGAACCCCTTCTGCTTCCCAAAGATCTCTCGATCAACAGCTTCGTGCCCTTTGATAAGGCTGAGACTGAGCCCTCAACCCTTCTCAAAGACTGGGAGACTGCTGCTCGTGGCCTGGCGTTCAAGGAGGCTTTCGGCACCAAGACCGCTCTCCGCCCTGACCTGGCCACCAAGACCTTCACCGTGCACGTTAAGGAGAACCGTCGCCTCACCCCTACCACCTATGATCGCAACATCTTCCACATCGAATTCGACCTTGGCGACTCTGGCCTCACTTATGACATCGGTGAAGCCCTGGGTGTCCACGCAGAGAACGACCCCAAGGATATCATGGACTTCATCGCGTTCTATGGGCTAAACCCCGACGCCATCGTCGAAGTCCCAAGTCGCGAGGATCCCACCGTGCTGGAAAACCGGACGGTGTACCAAGCGCTCGTCCAGAACGTCGATATCTTCGGCCGCCCACCCAAGCGATTCTACGAGGCTCTCGCCGAATTCGCCACAGACAGAGAGAGAAGACCTCCCTCCGAACCCTCGGCGGGCCCGACGGTGCCGTGGAGTTCAAGCGCCGCGCCGAAGTCGACACCGTGACCTTTGCCGACATCCTGCTGGAGTACCCATCCGCGCACCCAGAATTCCACGAAATCGTCCGCATCGTCGGCCCGCTCAAGCGTCGCGAGTACTCCATCGCCTCGTGCCAAAAGGTGACCCCGACCACGGTGGCGCTGATGATCGTCGCTGTGAACTGGGTCGACCCCAACGGCCGCGACCGCTTCGGTATGGCAACCCGCTACCTAAGCCGACTGCAAGTTGGCGCCCCGATCACCGTCAGCGTGAAGTCGAGCGTGATGAAGCTGCCCCCAAGTCGACGCAGCCGCTGATCATGGCTGGTCTGGGCACAGGCCTGGCGCCGTTCCGCGCATTTGTGCAGCACCGCGCCCTCGAGAAGGCCCAGGGCAAGGAGATCGGTGCTGTCCTCCTGTACATGGGCTCGCGCCACCAGCGCGAGGAGTACTGCTACGGTGAAGAGTGGGAGGCCTATCAGGAGGCCGGCGTGATCACTCTTCTTGGTCGTGCCTTCTCGCGCGACCAGCCTGAGAAGATCTATATCCAGGACCGCATGCGCCAAACTCTGCCTGAAATCATCCAGGCTTATATGCGCGAGGAGGGCGCTTTCTACCTCTGTGGTCCTACCTGGCCCGTTCCCGATGTCACTGCTGTGCTGGAGGAGGCTATTGCCACCGAAGCGAAGAATAATGGCAAGAAGGTGGACACCCGCAAGGAGATCGAGAAGCTTAAGGATGAGGAGCGCTATGTTCTGGAGGTTTACTAGGTTTCTGGGATGTGGTTGTGTTTTTCTTCTTTCTTCCTCTCCCACGATCTGACGACGTTCGCATTTGCACCCCCTCTAGATCGTCCTGTTTTGGTCTAGCGCAGTGAGATGCCTTATAGACAGACTTGGATAACATTGCATTTATGAATAATACTCTCGATTTTATACTACCGCTGCTTTTATGAGGGCGCTTAGATTCCGGCCTATTGGTTTATCTTGACGTAAAGGGCGGGGAGTCCGCCTTAAAATGGAAAGAAACAGCTTAAATCTTCATCTATCCTCTCCAAAATAAACACATTCCGCTGTTGATAACTACAGGAATGACTGTTTATGGTACTATAATCTCTGGTTAGGGCTCATCTATAAGCTGGGTGCCTTAAGTAAAGGTTGCAGGGGTCAGTCCGGTACCTAACAGGTTAGTCGATGCCAACTGATGCTGAGACCCCGCTACATGCCTGTGTGCTCATGGAGGATTAACGCCCAGGTTAATTCCGAAACAAAGCCTGTAGAGCACGTTCACTTTGAAAAAACACGAAACTATTGTTTAAAATGCATGTATCTCGTGTCATTGTCGCTATTACATGACCCTTATTTGTCTTCGCACCTCCCATCAGTTTTCCGGCTTTTGGGCCCAAAAGATGTAACTTTGGCAGAAAAACCATCAGGTGTTAGTATAATAACCGACTCTAAAGTCTTAACCAACCATGAATCACTTACCCGTGCCTGTACGCCTTGATTTTTGGCTCATCCATGTCACGTAGTGCATCGGCGAGAACAGACTCCACTTCTTCTGCCGATAGGTTGAGCACAGGTTGTAATCCTCTTTCTGCGATAATGGTTGCATCCATTCTGTGAAATATTGCGGAAGATTCCGCGATTTCCTTCATATCAACGTTATCTGAAAAGTCGGAAAATGGTAGTTTGCGCTTCGTGACAGAAGTGTTTTGAAAACCAACGTCTGCCACTATTTGGCCGAGGAGTGAAGGGGTTTCAAGTTTGTCGCCCATTCTTGCTAAGGTGTCCTCGAACATTTTATCGAAGCGACGGAGTCCGTCAGCCTGATCTAGTGAACCATCGTCACTGAATGTCACATAGCTTATATCGGCAATCTCAATCCAGCCTCCTGGTGCAAGACAACTGTTTAAGATGTGCGTTAGCTTTTCCACCGCCGTAGTAATGAGTGGAAGATGTACTTCAATGCTTTACGCAACAATCCAGACCAGCTTTGAATAAAACCAACCAAGCCTCGTATGTGTAGGAAATCGATTGGTTGCTCGGGGAGCCACGTCCAGGCACTTTGAATGTCACCAGACACAAATCTGCAGTTTGGAACGTCGCTGGGAGCATTAGTATGCACTCAGATAAAACTTTAGCTTAACATACCTCGGGCATGGTCCAGGATTGATATCAATACCGATTACCTTCAAATAATTTAGAAAGTAGAAACTAGCAAGACAATGGCAATGGAACCGTCCTACTTCACATGATGGGTTCGCTTTTGCTAAGGGAGTGTTAGCTGATTGTTACTGGATAACGACGAGAAATTCAGCAGCTACCGAAATCGATTGTCCAAGTGCCCGACCCGCATCCCAAATCCAGTGCAAATTTGGGCCTACCAAGCGGGGCTCGATGGAGCTTTCCGTTATTCAGTGATACAAAGAGTCTATGAGTGAGCTCTAGGGCCCCCTTGATGTTAGACGCTTTCTCTGTACGGTTGTGTGTATACGTCTCTTTCCATGCACAAGTATCAAAAAATTTGAGAGAATGAGACCGCTGTGCATACCGTTGTATAGCTCATCTCCCTGACAGGTTGTCAGATCCGGTTGGCAAAAGCCAATGACTTAATTACTCACTTCTTGGTGTGCGCCGTTAACTTTAAAGCATCGAATCGATTAGCACATATATGTACAATCATCGAGAGAATACCAAAATAACCTGCCTTGAGCCATGCCGTATACGTGTACTGCAATGATTTTGAGTCTGACTTCACAAGTCTAAACATGCAAAGCACTGGAGGATTCGATTTAATATCCAGGCAATACGCAAGACCTCAATTCTGGAGAGATGATCAGCTGATTTCATACCCATATAAACATACCCATTAATTGTGAATATTTGCTTATTTTGGCGAGAGCAAGAGCCCTTGGCCAGTGGAGCAATGGGGTTGATTACGGCTGGTTTATTTTTTTACTTTTCATTTTGAAATTTCCTTGATGAATAGATTGTTTTCATGTATTACGTTACAGTGCATGAAATATTGTGAAGCACATTGACATAAAGAGTTCTTGCCATTTTGATTGGTGATGTTCATGAAGACTCTTCGCTGTTGAGCAATTCTACCCCTTGCGGAAAGTGCCGTTGTACATATTCAGCTCGAGGTTGTTGGTGCCACCGTCTATTGGCACTGACGGTAAGAAACTGACGTTTTTGCGCTTCATTGGGAGCTGCTAATGATATCTGCCAACCATGCTATTGCTTTCGGTGTTCGCTGTGATCGGCTGGTTGGTTGCCTCCGCCTTGCTCACTAAGATTAGAGCATGTGTAATTTGCCACTCTCTGTAAACATATGCAGGCAAAAATTATTCGGCTCTCGGTGACACTTAAAAGCCACTACCGACTCCAATAGGAGGTGATACTATAAATCATAAACAAAACTATCCTCTTCTCTGCTACTGCAGAAATGGTATCAGCACCCACTGGCGGAACCTCCAAAATGATGTCGTTCATCGTGACGGTGGCAGAGTCCATACCTTCAAACCCCATCCTAGGATTGGTATCTATGATTGCATGCGTATGCTCTCTGTTTATAATTCCAGACTGCGTCCTCAGCTGGAAGAAGAGAAGAGGCGTGGGAAAAATCCCGTATATACTTCAAGAAAGCTTTTTTGGTCCATGGTTAGAATGGATAAACCCTGATCGTGACTTCGACGGAGAAATTGCTCGAGCATATCAGAAGGTTAGCTTGCTGAAAATAAAAATATCTCTCCGCATTATACCGGTGGGAACTAATTGATACTGCGGCAGTACACCAAAAAAGGCAAGCCTTTTGCTATCCCCAACCTCAACGGTTCAGGTTCTTTTATTGTACTTCCACCTCAATCGTGCGATGAATGGGCCAATCTCCCTAGAGAACGCCTAAGTTGGACGGCTCTCATGACCGGTGTAGGTGCTAGCCTTTTGAGACTGAGTCTGGAAAAAAAAACCAATTTTGTCCTTTTTTCCTAGGAATTTCTATTGCACGACATCAACTTTGACATGACATGGCAAATCGCATCTCAGGCAGTGCTTGCGTGTAATCGAAGTGGTGTTATAAGTAAGTAGCGGGTGGCTGTCTTGCTGGAGGCTCAAATGATACGGTTATTAACCAATCTCACCTACGCAGAGCAAGTTGAACATCGCATTATTCAAGAAGTGGATGGATATCTCATCCGCATGTTTCCCAGCCAAGTTGAGAATGGTAAGCATAGGATCATCATGATCTATACTATTGTGATCGTCAGCTAATAGACAAAATCAAGATTGGAGAGAAATCAAGGTGACCGATATGGTCATCGAGTTGGCTTCATCTCTTGCCCTACTCGTCGTCTTCAATGACGGAATCGGAAAGGACCCAAGGCTTCTCCAGCATCTGATGTCATATTCTGAGAATCTTGAGGGACGAGTCGGCACACAGATGAAATATCCGTTTCTCCTGAGACCATTTGTGCGACGCTTCTCGCACAGTACTCGCACACTAAATTCAAGCATCGCGGCCCTCAAAGGGATCCTGGTTCCCGAGATTCGACGTAGAATGGAGAAAATTGATCAGAAACAGACAAGCACGACAGCAGGCAGCGAAATTTTCTATCTTGATTCTATGATACACCTAGCCTACAAAAAAAACATTATCAATTCGTATAGCGGAGAGAAGGAAAAGAATAAGTTGGCCGATCTCATTTCGGAGCATACTCTGATGATCTGCTTTGAATTCTCAGGACCTATCTGGATGTTTGCTGCCATAATGCTCTTTGAGGTCATGTTGAGGCCAAAATATGTCACTCCTCTGCGAGAAGAACTCGAAGCAGCCGTGGAACTTTCCAAGGGGGAATGGAGCTTTGATACTTTCAAACACACCCCAAAGCTAGAGAGCTTTACTAGAGAGACCCTGCGTGTCAACCCACCATCTACATGTGAGCTGACTATCCAGGCTCGCTGAGTTACGCCAAATCTGTTGACAAATATTTGAACAGTGACAAGCGGGCGACTGGTGATTGAACCGCTCCATCTTCCCTCATTGGGATTAACTCTCGAACCTGGCAGTAAAATCGCATTGCCTAGTCGATGGGCTATGTTGGATCCCGATATATATCCTGACCCTCACACATTTGACGGATACCGCTTCATTGATCCTGCTTCGGGAATCTGTGATATCCGCGACACTACTACGCCCTCCAAAACGTGGCTGCCATTCGCCATAGGTACTTTGACCTGTCCTGGACGCCTGATAGGGTTGAGAGTTTGCCAGACCATTCTCAGCAAAATGCTGATGGATTACGACATGGAACTTGTGAATCATGATAACCATCCTCTTATGCTACACGGCCTAGGCGTGGCCGTCCCGAACCCGGAGATTAAAATGCGAGTCAAAAGCCGCCACACAGGTAGAGAGAAAGTCCAGTCTGCTTCGTGAAACCTGACAGTCTCAATCTCCTTGGATGTTGTCATTTCATATATGAAAAAACATCAATCGCCATATCATATTCATTGAGGGACAGTAGTACCAAGTAGAACGAATTTCCGAAATTCTCGTTCAATTTCATGACGAGCCCAGTATGTGCTTGCTCGTAGAACCAGCTCGATAAATCATCTGTGCACGAGCCCATAGCCTTGAAACAAAATGTCGACGTCACTAGAAACTCCACTAAATATTCCAACTCAGAGTGAATTATACTCTAGGGTGACAACATAAACTCCCCGTTTACATGGGAATGACAGGCTTTCGAAAGACAATGACAGTTTGCTGGTATGCCCGGTTTGATACATGAGAAAAGCGATAGTTACATAACAGCGAATAACTTCGAACGGGATCTACCGAGACAACTATCTTTTCCTTCCTAAATCCAGACATTCCTGCTAGTCTGACAAAACTCTCGGAATGTCCGTGGCGGCACGCCGGTCACATTCTTGATAGCGTGATTCAGTCGGTCCTCCAAGCCCGGCTTGATAATAGAGTCGTCCATATCTGCTGTCATCTGTGCCCATTCAGTATCCATGCCCAAATCTTCAACAAGGTGCCGTACAAGGTCCTTGGGCGGAAGGTTGATGTGGGTGACTTTGAAACCCATTGTCTGGGTTAGAATCTCGGCGACCTTGAGTGTTATACTGCATTAGCAAACCAATTTCTACAAATCCTGACAGAGCAAAAATTGGGCCAGGCTAACCTGATCATGCGAGATAGATTGTGGTCCCAGAAGAACATGATCTGTATTATGAGCCTTCTTGTCTGTCAGGCTCCGGAAAGCCACTCGGGCTATATCATCGACGGACACGAAGGGAATCTTGCCATTCCCTGCTGAAGTGTAGATAATTCTCTTCGTTTTTATCGTCTCTGTAAACCGCGGATCCTCAGAGAAATTTTCTAGCCGAGTAGATAAGCAAACCATGAAGCAAGTCATATTCTAGTTCAACATACCCATAAACCAGGTAGGCCTCAATACAGTCCATTCTAGTTCTCCGCTCAACGAATCAAGATATTCGTGAACCTGGCCCATTTGCTCCCCACCCTTTTCGAGGATACTTGCACTGACGAATACGATGCGCTTTATAGTCTTAGTCCGCGCAAAATCAATGAACTTGATGACGTGCGGGACGATGTCGAGAACGGGAGGTGCAACAATGTAAGCGGCAGAGATCTGTCCTAAGCCATTTACAAGCGTCTGGTGGAACGGATTGCCGTATGTGCTCTCATCATCCCAGTCAAAATAGCATTGCGTGTAAAGACAGGTGTTTGACCGGGTACGGGAGGCCAGTAGAAACTGTATGTTGGCGTTATCGAGAAGCGAGGCTAGGCGAATAGAGGTCTTTCCGCGCCCACCAAGCACGAGTATCGTCATTCCTTTGGATGGTACTCACGGCCAATGTCGGAAGAAAATGCAGCATGGATCATTTGGTAGGAAGTGAAGTATCCTTAGCTACTGTTGTACCAATAGTTTGTTTCCTTAAAAACCAGAAATCAAATGAGAAGAAGATCACATGTCCCCACTAACACAGGCGAGCAAGGGGTTATTTTCTTTCTTTTTCTGTCCACAAGTACTAGTAATTGTTGACATGACTTGTTTTCGGCGACCTCAAAACCATTGAAACCCAGGCATCTTGTACTCAGAATCTTGCAGCTTGGCTACATTGAGGAGTGGTAGGGCGTGGTACATCGGTAATGATCTAAAATGTGTAACAGCTACGAGGTCTCATCGAAAATTGGCCTGTGCCTGATGATCTCGCAAGATATACTCAATATACTCAGAATCCCGGAGTTGAGCCCAAACAAGGCTTGCTCGAACAGGGTAGTCGGAGACTGATGGTCTCGTAATATATGCCCTTGTCCATTTGCATGATAGGACACAAATTTCTCGAGCTGTCCATAGTTTGCAGCAAAACTGCACAGTGCAGCAGTAAATGACAATGATGTTCCACAATACGTCGAATCAAATCATAGGAAGCCCCCTCCCCGGCGGGGAGGGGAAGGGGGAGGGACCTATTAATACATGCCATCTTCCTGTCTTTTCTCGTCCGCATATCCTAAGAACTTCCTTGCCGAGGTAATAGACTATCTCGAGACTCTAGATTGGACGTGATTTTTCAAAACGACATTAAACAAGTATGCATCCCAAAACCAAGAAATGGAAACCAGGTTAGAATTTCCTTGACCGAAATCTCATAAACAGCATTCATTATGTCGAAGAAGATCAAGCCTATCCCTGCCACCCAGTACGATGAAGTTCTCGAAGCAGCCAGTATATATGTGGATGGTATGCGGCGAGGAGACAGGGCCTATACCTCCACGGGCTTTCGGGAAACGGCCAGTGTTTATGGATATATTGAGGGACTATTCCGCGAAGGCTCTGTGAAGTTGATCTACGACTACATGGATTCCCAGACGGAGGCTCCCAAGTTCACAGCTCATCTGAGCGTGATTGGAATGACACCAAGTACCGCGGTTGTCAAATGTGAAATGGACATTCAGGCACCCGAGAACGAATACACGGACTTTATGTCGCTGGCTAAGGTAGATGGCAAGTGGCAGATTGTGGCTAAGGTATTTCATGCGTATGAGGGGTGATTTGGTTACTTTTTGACACTTGTCTCCCCGTCCATACTACTTTCATCTTTGCTCGGAGAGAATAAGATCAAGAAACATTGGGTTCGGCAAATAGTGCGCAGAAAACGGTCGTTTGTAACGGTGATGCTGTAATGCTTATTGCGACGTGCTGTAGCCACTCGATCTTCTCGGATTATTAGACCAGGAGCTTGATTTAGACATCAGAGATCGTAAATTTGACGACTTCCCCAAAGCGGGAGCAACGGCGAGTGTGTGTAACTCCACGGACGAAGGGCATATAGTGCTGAATATCAGTGAATTGAAGGGCTCAATACCCTTAAGTGATGATATTATATGAGCAGGCCTGTGTAATAGCAGGGTTGGCATGTTGAAGAACCTAAGCTACAGACCTATTCGAAGATAATGATCATTTGATATTGAAGAAGCAAATATCAGTGTGACTGCAATTTCCACCAATATTACTCATGACCTACAGCCAAAGAAACCACTATCGAGCTATTCCTCGGCCTCTCCAATCTCTCCCATTGCTCGGTTTGCCTGTATGCTTTTCTCAACACTGGATTGTACTATGCCTGGGAGATCGCCCTTCCGGAGGTTGAGGATTGCTTTCTCTGTACTCCCTCCAGGGACGCACACTTCCTGGCGCAACGACTCGACCGACCGATTTGCAGCTCGCGCCAAAACTCCAGCTCCGATACATGATTGAGTAATCATCGCTTCTGCAATGTCAGGAGACAAGCCATGGGCCCCCGCAGCAGCCACCAGGGATTCAATCAGATAGTAGAAATAAGCAGGTGCCGACCTATACAGTGAGATCCAAGATGTTTAGCCTTTGCAGACCCAAGAAGAGGGGAAGTAGAGATTCGTCCTTACCCAGCCACCGCAGCCACCACATCCAACAAGTGCTCCTCTACTACACGCACAACAGGACAGATGGTCTGGAATATAGCAGCAACATGGTTAACTCGACCAGAAGCACCAGGATTGGCACATAGTGCAGTAGCTCCCTCGCCGACTTCCAGCGGTGTATTGGGCATAGATCGAATAATGGCGCTGTTCGCGGGCAACCGCTCTTCCAACTGAGCAATTCGAACCCCTGGGCACATTGTTACGAGAGTGGGTCTGATTGTTGGATCCAGTGTCACAAGAAGATTGCTCAGCTGGGTGAATATACCCGGCACGTCGGCAGGTCGAGTGCAAACAAAAACCGTGTGCGATGTAATCGGAGCCCAGAGGTCTGGGTCAAGATTATCCAGAGTCACCAGCGCATCTGGGAATTTCGCCTTCAATTCTCGTGCACGGTCGGAACGACGAGCTGTAATGGCGATCCTGTCCACTTCTTTTGCCTTTTCGCTGCTCAAGATGCCTTGGATCATGGCTTGAGCCAGATGTCCTCCACCGATGAAAGTGATACAAAAACGTTCGGTGGGTGTGGGCCGCACTGGATTAATCGTCATGATGCTGCCTGATGAGTTGCAGCAATTAAGGCAATGTTTAAACGAGAAAAATTCCAGTCAGGAGGTTTCGGTAAATTTTAACAGAGCACAGCGACGGGTACAGCTCGATCATATCTAATGCGGTCTTGCTGTTCTAGACATATTTTTGTCTCTCGTTTCCCCTCATTGCAAAGTACTGAAGCAGGGGGCGTTGCATGCAAGCTCCTGAGACTGCTTTCAAAGCGGATGTGATGAAATGCAGATCGAGAAGGGCCATCAATATTGGTTGGGAGGCATGATCGGCAGCTGCATGAGGGACATGACCATCTGAGACATCACTAGTTAACTACTTATTAGTTATTTCTTATTTTGTGTTTGCTGAGAGACCATCCCAGGTATAGGAAAATGTGATATGTCAGTAGTACTACATATTCAGGGTGACACTTATCTTGCATATTAATGCCCCCACATCCCGGCCTGCATACTACATATTCATGAATTCTGCAGCCGCTGTTTCACCAATTTACTCATGTTTGGGACTGTCCGCGACGCTATTATTGACCATGGCGTCCATGAAGATCATTCCAGGAATTTTGATTAAAGTGGCTTCGAAATTGGACTCTGTTCGACCTCGAAGGTTATTATTCGCATTCAGCGTAATAAAAAGCCTCGCAGGGTTATTCAGGGAAGTCGAGAATGGGTTATAGTGGTTAAATGTGTAAACCCAAAGGGGATATCATCTTAAAAGCAGGATCTCAACCAGTCACTTGCTATTAAAAATCTGCTCTTTTTAACAATTAAGACTAAGGTAAAGCGGCCCCCACATTGATGTTTGCACCATATACCGGCCGCGAGTCTTCGCTTAACAACCAAACAATCGTCCTTGCTACATCCTCGGGCTTGATAATTGTGAATCCTTCTTTGCTGTATGCTTCTTTGACCTCGTGAACCGTCTTCGCCTCTGGCATGAATTTGGGTAAGAGGGGAGTATCCGTGATTCCTTGATATGGATGTTATCAGCCCTAAATTGCCCACACCGCAATTACCAGTCGAGGAGTATGCTCTTACCGGGAGAAACACTATTAACCCGAATCCCACAAGGAAGCGCATCAATCGCCACACAAGTCGTAAAATACGCGCAGGCACCCTTTGAAGTCCCATATGCATAAACATCGGGCATATGAGAAATGGAGGCGATGCTCGCGACATTGACGATACTCCGATCTTCCAGAGGCAAGTCCTTCATTGCCCGGACCTCAGCCCGAGTGCAGTAGAAGACTCCATCCAGGTTGACCTTGAAAGTTCTGCTCCATTCCTCATTTGTTTCCTCCAGAATTGTGGGTTGCTTTCGTAGACCTGCTCCCTGGGCTATGCCTGCAATGTTGGCAGCTCCGTGCAAGGCCCCAAAAGTCGAGATGATATTTTGGATCCACTTGTCCACCTCGTCCGAGGAGGTCACATCGAGAGATGTAAAATGAACTTTTGTTGATGGGTTGATCTTCTGGATAGACTTTTCAACGTGGTCAAAATGTTGATATGAGATGTCTCCAATACATAGAGTCGCTGCTCCGCGTTCGGCAAGCAAGCAGCTTGTTGCAGCCCCAATGCCGGATGCACCGCCGGTGATGGCAAAAACTCGGGATGATACGGACGCCATGGCCGGACCAAGGGTTTATTCTGCTCTTCGGTTATGACAACAGGAATAAAATCGTTCAATGAGTTTTTCCGTTGGAGGTCTAGAAACTTTAAAAGTGCAGCAGGACTAGATCATGGAGGACATCCTTTATCCTTGCATTTCAGCTGATCACTTGCGTAGAAAAAGCAAAGAGTATGAGCGATATGTGACACATACCATATTTTGATTGACATTGCGTCTACTAGGAGACCATTTTACGTGCTTTCTCATTCCCCCCAATCTATGGGGACGATCGCGGCCAAATGCTCAACTGATATGAGAGATAATTGCCTAATATAGTGATCAACTATGGGCATCGTCGTTTGAGGTCTTAGTATCTTAATATTACGATGTCATGCACAACGCTGCCTCTAAGGATGACAATATTGCTCTCTTGTCATAATTTACAGGGATGTATCATCCGCTAGTGGTTCACCGTGGTTGCAAATTACAGGTAATGCGAATGAAGAGAATGTCAGAGAGAGCTTGCATTGGCTAATGTCTTAGCGGACCAGGAATTATTGACAAAACGTCGGTAGCTCACCTTAAGCAGCATCGAATAGCCTAATTAGCTTACTTCCCAACGTGCATGGTGTTCTGAAACCACTCCTTTAATGAAAGAAGCTTAGCTTCCCTGGGGTCCTTTTCCATCGCCTCAAAGGCCTTGGCTTTCAGATGCGCAGAGACTGCTGCGGTTGTGGGCTCATTCGCAAAGTACTTTGCATTTGACAGATGACCAAAATGGAATAGCCTCCGTTGATCCTCGAGCTCAGGGATACCACCCCCGAATGTTTCCCAAGAAGGCTGAATGACATATCGTGTCTTCTTCCCAGTCACTATGGCAAGCAATGGTTAGTAGAATGACTTGAATTGGAAGACAAGGGATTGCAGCGTACCAGATTGGAAGGTACGTGCTACCTCTGGGAATGAGCTAGGATCGCTCAATGCTGGGACGATTTTCTTGTGATACTTCTCAGGGGCCAACAATACCCCATGTACAATGTCACCGAAGTCTTCTTTCACAGCGATCCAACCAACAGGCATGTCGGTTTCAGTGCCCCATCGTGGAGTACTGAGAGTTAAAAATCCTTCCTCGTCCGAGAAATAGGGAAACCCTCCAAATACTGGCGCCATCTCCTTACTGGCGAAAAGCTCCATGTAGAACCCTGCGAACACGGGACAGACAGTCTCAAAGAACCCGGTGTCCATAGCGTATTTCTCAATTTTAGATTTCACTAGCCCGAACGTCAGCTCTTGGGGTCCATATTTGAGCGCGGGTGTGAAAGAAATTGGCGCTACGACATACTCTCAGCTGCGTTGGCATGGACCTTTCCACCAGTGAAGGCGGAAGTGGAAACAGCCGAGCTATATACAAGGTGCTTCACCGTGTTTGCCTCCACGATCCCATCAATGATGGTTTTCCCAAGGTCTAACTCGTTGGGGCCATTTTTGTCTAAGAATTGCTACAAAAGTTAGCGATCTCTATACCGATTACAAATGTCGAGGTCAAGGGTAAGCCTACCGGATCCTCAGAGTTGGTGTTCACAAATGCAGCCCACGAGCCAGCAAAGGCTGCGGTGATTTCCTCCCTCTTCCATCCATCTGCTTGAACAACCTCAACTCCCAAGTTACGCAGCTCTTGAGCAGCCTTGGAGTATGGTTTTCGGGTGATGGCAGTGACCTTGAAGGCTTTGTTTTGAACCAGTGAGCGGACTACCGAGCCACCTTGAGAGCCGGTAGCTCCGAACACAGTAACAATCTTGGGAAGGGCAGAGTCATGAGTCATTTTGAGCTATGTAAAGGGAAATTCACATTTTTTTTGTTTCGACTTTCCAGTCCAAATATATGGCGGGCCTTCGACACCATAGACCGAAACTTGAAAAGGGTCACACTTCAAATGGGGAGACGTGAAGGGCAAAAGCACGGTGACGGGGGTATCAACACTTGCAAGATAACCAAGGCTGAGGTTCTGTGAGGTGGCACGACATGTGAGGTAGCAAGGGGCAATGTGGAAGAGCATATAGCTGTCGTGTAACAAAGGCCTTTCCAAATTGCCCTGCATATGCGTATTTATTTCGATGAACCAGAGACTCAGAACTATTATGTATAATATACAAGGTAGCACAAAGTGTATGGAGATGGCTGATGAACTGAGGGAAGAGTTATGTTACCACTATGGATCCACGGGTAGTCTTATTCAACGTCCGCTCATTCCTCTAAGTTAGCTAGTTACTTACCCCATTCTCTCATTAATTGATTCTAATGAAAACAACTTAACGGAGCTAGAGGCTATCCCAAGTACCAGGTGAATAGCTTGTATTACGCAATTTACATATTCCTGTACTCGTCAGCGAGACCAATCTCTACCTATTTTCTCTCTGCAATCACGGAGCAACGTTCTTTTCCATTGAAGCTGTTAAACTAATAGTTTGTACTTCCACTCCACTCGCAATGTCGAAGATTAGGAAACAGCTTCCCCTGCCCCGTTGCCCGATCATGGGGATCAATGAGACCTCATCGGAAGGTGGAAACTATCCTGAAGATAGGAATACTCAGGTGCTCGACAAATTGGCGCGATTTAACCGTGAAAAGATACCCGAGCGAGCTGTGCATGCCAAAGGTGCAGGGGCCTACGGAGTGTTTGAGGTGAGTTATTGCATCATTTCTCCTCCCATTCTCATCTGATGGACGAAATATAGGTCACCGCCGACATATCCGATATTTGCGATATTGACATGCTACTCGGAATAGGGAAAAAGACACACTGTGTCACGCGATTTTCTACCACCGGCCTCGAGCGTGGCTCCGCTGAAGGAGTCCGTGATCTGAAGGGCATGGCGACAAAATTCTTCACTAAACAGGGTGAATGGGACTGGGTGTGCCTGAACTTTCCATTCTTTTTCATCCGCGACCCAGCAAAGTTCCCCAGCCTGATGCATGCCCAGAGACGGGATCCTCAGACCAACTTGCTGAATCCCAACATGTACTGGGACTGGGTGACAGACAACCATGAAGCGCTGCATATGACTCTGCTACAATTTAGTGACTTTGGGACCATGTTTAACTGGCGCACTCTTAGTGGCTATATGGGCCATGCTTATAAATGGGTCATGCCGGATGGTTCCTTCAAATACGTGCACATATTTCTATCATCGGACCTTGGGCCCAACTTCACCGACGGCGGACAAGGAAGTAACTCAAACAAAGACAGTGATCCAGATCATGCCACTAGGGATCTTTACGAGGCGATTGAGCGCGGTGAACATCCCAGCTGGACTGCCAACATCCAGGTCGTGGATCCCATGGATGCTCCAAAGCTAGGATTCAATATCCTAGACGTGACAAAGCACTGGAACTTGGGCACGTATCCATCAGGCGTGTCACTGATTGAATCACGACCATTCGGCAAGCTCACGCTAAATCTGAATGCCCAAAACTACAATTCCGAGATTGAACAGCTTGCTTTCTCCCCATCAAATATGGTCCCGGGGGTTGAGCCGTCGGAGGATCCAGTGTTGCAAGCGCGAATGTTTGCATACCCGGACGCTCAACGATACCGTCTTGGTCGTCAGAAGCCACCTGTCAAAACAACAGAGAGCAAAATACACAAGAACCTGGGACCTGAATTTGTGGACTGGGTTGCTCAGACTTCCTCGAAGACTTGGTCGCAGCCAAATGCCGACGACTATAAGTTTGCTGGAGAGTTTTACAGTGTCCTTCCTGAATTTCGCAGCAAGGAGTTTCAGGACAAGATGGTCCAGAATATCGTTGAGTCCGTGTCACTGACGCGTGATGATATTAGACAGAAAGTATACCAGACCTTTGGGTTGGTTCATTCTGACCTTGCGCACCGTGTCCGTCAAGGTGCTGAGAGCCTTATTGCGGACCGAACTCATGGACTTGCTCCAAGGGAAGTCCCAGGGTCGGCAAAACTATAGAATACATTTCTTGTGGGAATCAACAGAATGAAGAATAAAGTCAAACCGAACAGGTAGTTAAAGGGCGAATTCAAAATATTCTCGGGATAAAAGCTTTCAACGTAAGGGATTATATGTACGCATGCCGCCCAGACCGAGGCGATCTTTTTACGCGTCCGTCTGATGCAAATCCACGCATATATTCTAGTATTTAAAACTTACCACATGGGTACAACTATCAGCTTGAACACTTAGGCAAGCTTCAAAATATTACATATATTATTGTGACGTGAATACCGGCCTTCGTTTTGAGCCCAAGTATTTTACTCTTTATGGAAGCGATCTGTGCTGTGTCACTTATATTGCAATATCGATTCAGCCTCACTCGCTAACGAAAGGGCATTTACAACAAAACCAAAGTTTAATAATCCATGCCTCACATTACTCCGCTGATGGTAGTAAGTATATATTCGATTTTTAGGACCGAGATGTGACATACTTGAAAAAACTATACAGTTCAATCGGTGGGTTAACTAGGGGCAGAGTGCCCACGTTCTAAGCCACCTTGGCACAATCTCAAACATCACCGGCTGTCTATTTCACGAATCTAAAGATTGAAATTTCCGACCTCGGCCTTGCTATTACATTGTGAAATGAAAAGGTAGGCGAAAAGCAGTTTGAAAATAAAAAGCAATCCGTGAGTCTGCTGTTCATTGACATGGTTATATCCCACACGGTGTGTAATCTGGGATATCCACTCAGGCTTTCACTGCAGAAATGGAGCTTTGGAGCTTCGTTTCTGGAGCTGGATTACAGTGGAAGATTGGATGTTCGTGACAAACGATCTTGCAGTTTTCTTGGGGCATAGTCAAGTCCACTACAGCATGGTTAGACTAAACTGCAGAATTGAAGGGGACCCATCATGCCCGTCTTCTCTTTTCAGATCATTTACAACAGGAACTTACATAAGGACCAATCTCCAGTCTCGAAAGTCTGGAGGTACACACTTAAATATGGCATCTGCTTTCGATACGAGAATGAGATATATGCGTGCAGATAGTTGAGGCTGTCACTGTCTTCATGGGGGCTGTTGTGTGGTCAGCGTGGATTCGACCTGCAAGACAATACATTGATATGGAGACAACATACTAATAGGAAAGTAAGCTCTCTTTGTATGATTCAGCTATGTCTGTCCATCCTTGCTGTTGGAAAAACTCGGTCAAGGCGTCCGCTATCTTCATGTCGTTCATTCCGAACGTGGTGAAATAAACCTGAGGCTCAGGCATGGTTTCGTTAGGGTACAGTGTATAATTAGCCATGAGTGGAAGCTGCTCATTCGGAGTTGTACCGAGGGGTAGATATCCGTTGGGATAAGTCAATAGACCAGTCGGGAGTTTGATCAAGTCCCAGAGCTCCCTGATAAGGCGAAGTCCAGCCAGAGTCGATGGATCTTGACGGCGGCCTCCCATGGTCCACAAGTTCTCCATGGATTCAAGCGATACCATGCGTTCAAGAAGATATATCTTAGTTCGGGACTTTTCCGGGCTCAGGAGATCACATGAAAGTAGCCGTGTAGTTGCTGTACTGTTTTGGCCGCGGGAACGAACATATTCTTCCAGTACATGCAGAGGTTCAAGGAGAATTGGAATCTGCTGGCAGTACGAACGGACGGATTGAAACATGAGGTCATCGATCGATCGGCCAGTAGCAAGTGATTTGAGAGCGGGATAGATATAGGCTTTCAGCACCATGCCGCCCTCCGGCTGGAGATCGACAGCAAGCTTGTTCTGGGTCTTGATCTCACTTCCCACCAAGTCATTTTTAAAGAGGCGCTCGGATTCGTTGTCGCTCAAAGTCAGGTCGGCTTTATAATGCTTAAAAGACTGCAGATCAATGTCTTTTTGAAGAGGCAGAAACTTCCCGAGACTATCCCAGACCGCGCGGGTGTTGAATGGATCCTCAGCCGTTCCAGTGGAGGCATTGATGGGCTCAAATGTATAGCGCACCAGGTTAGAGGAACAATTGAGACTCAACTCGAAAGGGGTACCGTAACGAGTAAGAATGCTTAGCCATCGGTCACGGCTATTGGTATGATAAGGTCCCAGAAAAGGAATGACAGCCTTTTTCCACAGCCCTAGTATCATGTACTGCTGATGAAGATCGTACCGCGCCATTCGCAGCATCTCTGCAAACATCGGCGCCGTGCTGTGCCACCAGAGGTTCTGATCATCGTTGGGAAAGTCAAGAAGATTGCTCAGGATTTTGTAGCTTAATGACTGGGAAGCATTTCGTTTCATATTTTCCTTCATATTTTGATACTTGGAGGCCATGGATAAGGTGCCGAGATTGGATGTATGAGGGCAAGAAGGCTAAACGTCAAGCTATATATGTTCAGATATCTCAAGTCCAAGCTCGAGAAATATGAAATTTTAGCGTCCTGCAATAGCAACTGTCGATCTTCGTCTGCAAAGCAATCAGTAAGGTAAGCCTTCAAATACTGGGTTTTTTCTATTTCTTTTTTTCGATGCTGTCCCAAGCATGACTGCATGTGACAAGATGCCTACTTCTCAGCGTGCAACTCCACATCATGAAACCGCGTTAAGGCTGGAGAGACCTTTTCTAATAATTCATTATTGACGCCGTGCAACAATGCTTGGTCCATTACAGCTACAAATGCGCCCCATAAATCGGGACCATTGCAGATATTGTTTGTGAAAGTGAATACGGCATGTGTTGTACATGCTGCTGCGCTTGAATCTCCCCAACCAATGATTCGTGACATTTCTGCGACAAGAGCTGAAAGTGACCAAGTATACTTCAATGGAACCCTGAAGTGCTTTAGTCACATCCGATGCTGAAGTTGCTGTTCTTTCTCTCGTAATCCTTTAATACTCGTATCATGGACGATACCTAGTTTCAAGGTTGCAATAGATAATATCCTATCCTCTTGCATCGGTCGAGCAAATTGTTCCTGCGCCAGAATGCAATACATTTTCTTCGCGTCAGTTTTGTTAATAAGCTGGATTTTCGCATCTACACATTTTACTGTGTCCCTCTGTCGGTGTCTGCCTGAGCACAATTGTTGGCCGTCAGACGAGGAGTGGTCAACTTTCAACGCCTCAATAAATGGAAACCTAATCCGCCTATACCCAGTAGGCTCCGTCTGCCACGATCCCACATTCAATCGGAGAGCCTGTGAAGAGCTCAAGGAGTTATCCCGCGACACTGGATGGAGGGCCAGCCAACCGGGTATCAATAGCTTTTACTACCGTTTACTTAATATAATTGCCCTGGCTCATTATATCCTACTAGGTGCCTTACAGGACTGGATTTGGGAAATTGGCTCCAGAGACAATGAGTCATGCTTTTTGACAACCCCCAAGAAGACTTCCTGTCATCAGGGTAACATTCCGTTCTATTCTGCCGTTGTGGAATCAGAAAATCACGTCCAAGTCGCCATCCGCTTTGCCACGCGGAATAATATACGCTTAGTGATCCGCAATACTGGTCATGATTTGGGAGGCCGCTCAAGTTCGCCAAATTCTCTGCAGATAAATACCCATCGTCTCCAGTATACACAGTTTTATGATGATTTTCGCCCCAGTGCGTCCAACCAGTCCTTGGGACCAGCTGTAACTGTTGGAGCCGGTGTTGTGATGGGAGAATTGTACGCGAGATGTGCTCTAAAAAGACAGATTGTCGTGGGTGGAGATTGTCCCACTGTGGGGGTAGCTGGTGGTTATATTCAAGGCGGAGGGGTGTCGGATTTTCTCAGTCATAACCGAGGGCTCGCTGTTGACAATGTTCTAGAGTTTGAACTAGTGACGGCCAACGCAAGTTGAACCAGCTTTTACCCCATGTTAGCAGCACAAGTGACTAATGTTTCCGCAGGGAGAGCTCATCGTTGCCAATGCGATACAGAATAACGACCTCTTTTGGGCCCTGAGAGGAGGTGGTGGGGGTAGTTTTGGCGTTGTTACGCGGGTAACAATGAAAACATATCCTGATGTTCCAGTTGTGGTAGTCAAGCTAGCACTCTCAACCACGCAGATCAGCTCCATGAATTGGTCTCACGACCTGAAAGTCCTCCTACAGGCTCTGCAAGCCATGAATCGCGACGGTGTCAGTGGTCAAATTCTTGTCTCTGCAGTTCACGATGGCGCAGCGAATGCTCTCCTCACAATGTGGTTCTTGAACCACACTGATATCACTCAAGGAGAGAGGTTAATGCAGCCCTTCTTCGCGATGCTCAGCCAGAATGGCACATCAAATTCCTTGTCCTCAAGAGCTCTATCTAGACTCACCTCTAGCTACCGCCAAGTCCCGGACAAAAACCCGACAAACAATGGGATTGTAGCCGGGTCAGTGGTTCTTTCCAATGAGCTTTTTAACTCTAAATACGGACCAGACCGCATCGCACAGGCATTTGCAGATTTACCTATGGCTCCCGGTGATCTTTTTTTCACCAGCAATCTCGGTGGTCGTGTAGTTGCTATGCAGGATGGTGATAACACGGCCATGCATCCAGGCTGGCGGTCCTCAGCACATCTAGTGAGCTACATTCAAACTGTACAACCCTCGTTTGAAGCCAAGGCCTCAGCTTTGGATAGATTGACGCATGAGTTAATGCCCTTGCTTTACTCTATTGACCCAGAATTTCGTCTGTCCTACCGAAATGTGGGAGACCCCAATGAGAACGATTTTCAGAGGGTCTATTGGGGCCCAAAATACGGGCGCTTACGAAGGGTGAAGAACAAGTGGGACCCTGAAGATCTTTTCATCTGCAAGTTGGGGGTTGGTAGTGAGCAATGGGACGACCAACTTTTCTGCAGAAATCGCCCCCGAGTGGTGGATCGGATTTTGGATTGGGTACGTGGGTATATGCCATGATCAACATTGTTATTTGCTTTTTCCAAGTGTTTGCATGCATGGAGAGGGTTATTCAACACGAGTCTCGATGCAGGAATCTACTATTGCTGGCCCCGCCCGTTGGCGTCATGCTGGAGAAAGGGGTATACTAAGAAGCTTGTATGCGTGTCACCACCTCGTTAACTCCACAAGTCACAAATTCGAATGATAAGCAGAATATATATGGTGAAAACGCATAATATGTACTACCTGACCAAATTATAAAGGAGATTGAAATAGGGTACACCCAGTCCCAATCCACGAAATAGCTACAAGTCGGGATGTCGAGATCCAGTGCTTCAATCCTCGACATCCGTCGCAGCAAATTCGATGAATCTATCCCAAACCAGGTTGTGCAAGGTCTTAAGAGCCAACCCAAGACTCTTCCGGCTCTCCTCTTCTACAGTACTGAGGGGATTCGACATTGGAATAGACACTCTCAAGCCTCAGACTTTTATCCTCGGAAAGAGGAGATCTACATACTGGAGAAGAAAGCACAAGAAATAGCCGCATCTGCCAGAGATCAGAGTGTTATTGTCGATTTTGGTAGTGCGTAAGTTAACATAGAACCCTATCCAAAGCCAGATAGTCATCGTCTCACCCATCATCGTGTTGAGCAGGTCTCTGGACAAGGTTATCTTGTTATTGGAAGCGCTTGAAGCTGAACAGAAGTCTATTACCTACTATGCTCTAGATTTGAGTTTTGAAGAGTTGGAATCTACCATTCACGCTATTCCACAAAACAAATTCCATTACGTGAACATCAAAGGTCTGCATGGGACTTTCGAAGATGGACTACACTGGCTGAAGGAGACGCCTAGCATCCGGGACCTTCCTCACATTCTCCTCCTCCTTGGACTGACAATTGGCAATTTCTCGCGGCCCAATGCGGCGAAATTTCTTCTCAGTATTGCACAGCATGCCATGACCCGGAATGCAGAGAATAGCTCTATCATCTTAACCCTGGACAGCTGCAAAGTGCCGACGAAGGTTCTGCGTGCCTACAACGCGGATGGTGTAGTTCCATTTGCCTTGGAGTCTTTAAATTATGGGAATTTTCTTTTGCAGCAGGAATCTAGCCGGGAGAAGAGGCAGGTATTCAATTTATGTGAATGGCACTACTTGAGCGAGTGGAACTTTGTCGACGGGAGACATGAAGCCTCGTTGATTCCTTCGTCAAAGGATATCAGGTTAGGCTCCCCACTGGATGAAATCGTTATTCGGCAAGACGAGAAAGTCCGGTTTGGCTGCAGTTATAAATATGACTGTCTCGAGCGTAATGAGCTCTTTTCTGCTGCAGGTCTGCGTGAGGTTGCTGTGTGGTCCCAGGAGGGTTGCGATGTGGCATTCTATTGTTTAAAATTACCTGTTGGTTAGGGCTTAGTCGTGGAGGATGCCGAAATAACATGTTGGTGGAGTGACATATTACGAGTGTCAGACCTATGATCGTGAGGAATTGCCTCTCTTTGTCTGTTTGTTGATCTCCGAGGGTTGCTACGGTATCCTAACCTCCGGCGTGTTGCAGACCTTCTCAAATAGCTTCAATCTTCCTTTATACTATCTCATATGATTCGATGGTTTCGGCACCTTGCCTTTTGTCCCGAACTTTTCATAACTCAGTCGCAGAAGTCATAATCTAAAGATATTTGTGTCACCCAATCCCCAGATGGCCTCATTAGCCAACGAGAATATTACAAGATAGATGAAGTTATTCAAGGCTTCACATATCATGCTGCTACACTTCCTTTTCCGACCCGCACAGACAGGAATAATCGGAACAGTAGCTTAACTCACATTTCTATATTTGCAAGAAGGAAACAGCAAGAAAAAAACTCTAATAATGGACTATATTCGGCGCACTTCAACGCAATCGTAGGAGATGATTTGGTGGCTAGCTCAGTACATGTACGGCGGAACATGTACGTGGAATGTAAAAGGATCTTGGGGGGGGGGGACGACATAAGACGCAAGGAATAACGTATTCATTGATATTTTCCTTGTTTTTTCTGGCTCGCATCGATCAACTAAAACGCATACACTATATTTATCTATATTTGAGCGCGTCGTACATCGTATTTCGTTGTGCAGCAAATTGGTGGATAAATGTGGTACACTTATTCGAGGAAATCTGAGTTTAGGATCACTGAACATAGACATCTGCATGGTAGATTTGAAATATCGAACTACGCTCACAGACTATCTATTTACTCAGTGTGGGTCATGTTCGAATAGAAAGCAGGACACAGCGACATCAGGAAATGCGCTCAACGAATACAGACTGTGTTCAGAACAAGCAATCTTATCTATTGATTACTGTAAATCCCCCTTTTTGTTTTTTGAGGTATATAGTAGGTATAAACAAGGTGGGGTTTCACTTCTCCATCGTTCACCAAGTTCACTATTCCTAAACCACATCTCTTTAGCTTTTCATATCCATTCGTCCACCACTTGGCTACTTTCATTTCAGTGAATATGGCAAGCAAGGTTATTACGACAACCTACAATGGATCTGCATCAACCAATGTAAAACTTGAGGGTGTAAGCCCTGGTCTTGGAGAGCTGTTATACGAAAATGTTCGGAAGCACCCTGGAAACATCGCGATTGAGTTCGGTGAACGGAAAGTCACATATGCAGAACTTCATTGTTATGGGCTGATCCTGTCCCGTCAACTCGTCAAGCGAGGGTTGAAGGCCGAGGAACCAGTGGCCATCATTACCGACGCTGGAATCGACCAAATCATCGCGCAAGTAGCCATTATCTACAGTGGTGGCGTTTGTTGTGGCCTTGACCCATCTCTTCCCGAGAAAGAAATCAAGGATCGGCTGCTTAACGCTGCATGCCGGTTGTGCCTCCTCGATGACCAAAATATGGGCCGCCTGAAAGATTTCACAATGATGGCCATACCAAGCCGTCCACTCACTGTCGATGATGTGGAACTAGCCATTCAATGCCCGCCTTCACGAAGCACGATAAGTGACCAGCTTTGCCATTTGATGCACACATCAGGCTCGACTGGTAAATCCAAGGCTGTGCGGATCAAGAGCAAGGCAATTTTACAAGTTGCGAGATGTAGGCGGACTGTACCCATAAGCTCTCGAGATCGGGTGGCCCAGATAGGCATGGTAAGCTTTGATGTCTCTATGTGGGAGATTTGGGTCACTATGATTCACGGGGCAACTATCATTCCTATTCGCCGCAGTATTGTGTCGGACGTTTTCCAACTATCCCAACTTTTGACGGAACTGGCAGTCACAGCTATTCTTGTTCCCGCAGCGTTACTCTCGCCACTCGTACTTGCTTCGCCTACTGTTTTCTCTAAAATGAATGTGGTCTATAGTGGTGGAGAGGCACCAAATCTTGCGGCGATGCAATCCGTCTTGGAAACTGCGCCACCCAAGCACATGTTCAACGGATACGGACCCACAGAGTGCTGCATTTTCTCACTTGTGCGTGAGATCACTCTCGAGGATGCCAAAAAGCGTTGTACGTCCCTTAACATTCCTGTCGGAGAGACAAAATACATGATTTTGAACGACCAGTATTTGCCTGTGGCAACAGGGGAGACCGGAGAGCTCTTCCTGGGGGGGGACGGGGTTTCACCAGGTTATCTCAACCTTGCTGAGAAGACTGCAGAGCGGTTCTTGACAAGTCTCGATCATCCTACCCTAGATTCTTCATGTAACTGGTTTGCGACGGGTGATTTGGCCCAGCAGACTAGTTCTGGCGATATTCAGATTGTTGGACGGAAGGATTACCAGGTGAAGATTCGGGGTTTCCGTATCGAATTGGAAGGTGTTGAGGCCGCTTTGATGGAGACCGGTTTCTTCTACGCCGCTTCTGCTTGTAAGGTGCAGCGCGACGATGACCAAACGAATGCAATTCTCGTCGCATTTGTGGTTCCTAAAAGCGCCGACTTCAACGTGAAGGATGCTATTGCATTATTAGAGAAACAATTGCCAGGTTATATGATACCCCGGATTGAGATACACGAGAAACTCCCATTGAACGGACATTGCAAGGTCGATCGTCACCAGTTAGTCCGCGACTATCTCGAAAATGCCACTGCAAGACAGGCCGAGTCGCATAGATCAACCAACGATGCTTCCATTATTGAAAGACTGAGAAAGATCTGGTACAGCGTACTACCATCATACGGTGGAGAGATCCGGTACACGGATGACTTTTTGACAATTGGCGGCAGCTCGCTACAGGCGGCTATGCTCCTCATTCGGATCAAGAAAGAGTTTGGAACGCAATTGACGGCGGTGGACATATTCGAACACACTACCCTCGCAGGGATGGCAGACCTGATAGGCGCTGGAAATAAGTCATTTCGTTTGGACGAGGTCCAAAATCAACTCTTCCGCAAAGACGCAAGCCTGTTTTCTACACTCAACCTGCGGCCATTGGCTGATGCACCAGTCAACTGGAACGCGCCATCTGAAGGCCATATATTCTTAACTGGAGCGACTGGATACGTGGGGGCATTTACCCTACACGCAATGCTTACTCTGCCCGAGGTGAAATCTGTCACATGTCTCGTGCGCGGTGATACTCAAAGCGATGCCCGCGCACGTGTCATGAAAACGCAGGCTCAGTATTGCCTTGATTCCAATTCATCTGCATACGACAAGCTCGTGGTCATTGAAGGAAGTCTCGATCATGAGACATTGGGACTTGGAACCGAAAAATTCCTGGAACTAGCAGAGCAAACCTCCGCTATTTTCCATCTGGCTGCTCATGTCAATTATGCTCATCCATATGTTAACCATCGGACTGCTAATGTCATTGGCACTGCGACACTACTTCGACTGCAGTCAATTGGCAAGCCAAAACGCCTTCACTATATGTCATCCATCTCCATATACGGACCAACCGGGCTTATTCACAACCGCCGCAGCGTGGGAGAAAATGATTCTCCGATGAAGTACATTGACTCAGTCCAGTATGACAACGGATATGCTCAAAGCAAGTGGGTTTCGGAGAAATTAGTGTATGACGCTATTCAGTCGGGCTTTCCCATCACTATCTATCGTCCGGGCTCGGTCTTTTGTCATAGCGTTACAGGAGTGGGTAATGCCTCCGACTTCAATAGCCGGTTGATGCTCAGTTGCCTCCGGATGAAGTGCTTCCCAACCATGATGGATCAAAGCAAGAACTTTATCCCGGTCGACTACCTCACTAAGGCTATGCTCCATCTGTCCAAAAGGGATGATAGTATCGGACAAGGCTACAACCTGGTCCCGGAACTGCTAGAGCCGCCGACAACCGAGCTTCAGAAAACGTTTAAGATGGTAGAAGAAGCAAGTGGGGTTTCTCTTGAAGAATTGCCGTATCGAACCTGGTTGGATCGTCTCCAGGCACAGGATGACAGCGATCCCCTTCGTCCTTTGCTACCAATGTTAGACGAGAAGGTTTTCAACGGCCTTTGCCGGTGGGAAACATACGCCAAGATGCCAATCTACGAGACTAGCAATCTCAAGAGGCATCTGCAAAGTGACCCAACATTGGGCAAGTGTCCTCCGTTGAGTATGAATTTGTTGAAAAAGTTTCTTACCAACTTGGGAGCGCTGGATAATATCTAATTTCATAACCTCCGTGCTGAAACGCCTTCTGCTGGCATGTCTTGGGGTATTTTTGGGGTATCACTCTTCGTCATTTCTGTCGTTATTCTTTTTTTGACTTCTCTTTCAATTTCCCCGAAGAAATATCACATAAACTGAACCATACATAATATTTGATGGAAAAAATTAAAAATTTCCTTATGGCACTATAAATTGGATAGATATACCAACAAAGCATGAACATTGCAATCATTATAACATTGCTTTCTTAATTGAAGGAGGGCCAAGCAAAGCTCAATGTCAAACTATCTCAATGCGATGAACATGTTTAATTACTATTAGCACATATCCATATTATGCCCGGAGAAAACAGACTTAGGACCCTCTTGAGTCCCCCGTGAATCTTCCGTAACACCTAATCCATTACCAGGATCCCTACAGTGTATTTGGGAACTTTGTGCAAAAGGACAACCCTAGATGTGGCTCTGCTATTGAGCTTTCATCCGGAGTCGGTTAAACTATTGTCAAGTAGTACTCTCTGTCCCTTGAGTTACACGACCATAGACAATACATGAAATTATTTATCGGTCACCACACTTAGGAGGTCCAACTTTCATACAAATGCCATAATTTGTTGCGCAACTTGTTGGCCCATTGCTAGTTTCATGGGGCTACTAAGCTTGGCTCCAAATTCTTTTATTCAAAAGTCCCACATTCGTGCACGATATGTACTTTCACAACAGAAAAAAAGGCGACAGCGAGCTGATAATAGAAGGTAGTAATAATATCGTCAGGACCATTTTCAGTCCTCATGCCCTTTCCATGCACTAATGTCGTCTACTGTTTTCTGCCAATACCATTCTCATTTAATGAGTCTAGAAGATAGTTTGTAGCTCGCGAAATGAAATCTGCAAAGTATATTTGAATCCCCCACTGCTAACCATCTTAAGATCTTTTTAAAATCGGTTTTCCATTACTGTATTGCCAAAGCGATGGGTAATATCCGCTATTCTGACAGCATAATAGTGTATCTTCTTCCGCAGGCGCGCTGTTTGCCAAACATAGCGCTGCGAGTCATAGCCGTGTAATAGTTTCCCAATGCTACCTTCGTGAAACTATGTCTCTCATATCTAGTCTTTATACTTCCTCAATTGTTGAGGCTTATTCTAAAGCAAGTGCATAAATGAATCTTGCCTCAATGCGATCTCAATGGTTGAGAGACCACCCCATCTAGGGCTATGGATATTGATGACTTGGAGCTTTGGATCAGCTTTTTTGGCCAGCACCTCGAACTGCATTGGTGTTCTCTCTAGCGCATTAAAGCAAGCCCACATTTCCATGTCGCACATCCTGGAAGACGAGTTAATGAGAAACTTTTTTGAAGGTCATTTGTGATGGGTTAACAGAAATCGGAAAACGAAGCCAGGGAACTTACCGAACTAATCTCTGGTTCATTTCCCCTCCTTCTCCGGGATTGGGCATAATCATTTCAACAAGCACGATGCGGTCTCCAGGTTTCATCCCAGCTAATATAGATTGGAGGATCTTGCAGGCATATCTATCACTCCAGTCGTGCAGGATTGTCCGGAGAAAAAAAACAGCCTGATGACCTTCAATACCCCTCTGAGGCTCGAATAGGTCATGAGCCTCGAATTTGATGCGATCACGAAATTCTTCGGGTAACGCAAGGTCGCCCTCCTCACAAACATGCGCATAGTCCTGGACGACAAATTGGAGATTGGGGAATTTTCTGGCCAAAGCAATCGATCCTTGTCCGCGGGACCCTCCCACCTGATAATATTTTGTTAGAGACATATACTGTACTGAGATCTTTCAGCCATCTAGAACTTACATCAATGACTGTGGCATTTCCACAGGCTGACCAATCGAATCCATCCACAACCTCGCGTTCCCAGAACTTATCATTGCCATAAAGGTAAGCACAACCATCAGTGAACCGATCATAGGAGGGCCTATTCTTCTCCAGATGCTTCCAAAAGGTTGTGGGGGTGATAATGGCCGAACCTGAGCTTGTTGCGATACTGAGTCCGGTCTCTGTTGGCTCTTCACTTGGTCCCCATTTTGACAAGGCATCAGGAATACGGCTTGCCCACCCATGTAAATCCTCGAATTCAAGTCCAATGAGGGCGTTGAACCTGTCATCTGTGGCCATAAGTCGTGACAGATTGGTATGTGACACGTGATCTGGATGCGGCGAGTAAAAGTACTGCGCTATCATGAGAAGCCCAAAGACTCGCCTGAGCGTGGTATCGTCCAGGCCAGTGGAGGTTGCAATGTCCGCAAAACTGACACAACCTTCTAGGGGAACATGATGAGCAAGCTTGTATCTATGGGCGATTTTCAATGCAGTGGCAATGTGAACCTGTTACGAGTATTAGTCAAAGTGTATTCAATATACCCAGGTTAACATGCCTGGGAGCTTTGGATCATTGCGGACTCCCCAGGACTCAGCGACAGATGCATTAAAGATGATGCAGCATCATAGAGAGCCGAACGAGCCAAGCGTAATTCTGTTGTTTCCTCCGAGAATGAATAAGCGTTTTGCGGGTTGAACGAGAGAGGTCTCCCATTCTGAACGAGAAATTGGTTTATCTCTTCCACCGCTTTCGAAACCTTGTTGGATAGTTCAAAGAGATTTGGTGAAAGAGAATGCATCGTTGATCTAATTCCGGAATGAATGTATGGAGTGACAGTCAGAAAAGTCAGGGAGATGAGATAAGTTTGATATCTGGAGGAAATTCCTCCGGAGAAAAATCCTCTTGAACATCTTATAAAGCAAGGGTTACACCGAGATTGTCACTGTTCGGTTAAGATGAGGTTTGGAGTATGTGTGTGACAAGACAGGACCACATAGTCACCTTGTACTTGTAAAGCAAGTTCGAATCTTAAGTGCACAACTCTGACCTCCGTTGCGAAGGTGGTTAGTATGTCAAGTAGTACAGTAACCTGCACGACAATGCAATGTGCGACCTTTTTGTATCATGCACCTGGTAATATGACGATCTATTTACCTGAGCATAGCATTATACAATGAAATAACTCATAATTTATCACTAATTATGCTAGTGGAACGTATCATCAAAGCCTCGAAATCATAGGGGGCGGAAGTACATGAAGATGTGGGTTCAGCTGAGACAGTCAGAGAAGGCAAGACGTTCCCGATATGATTATGCAGCAGTTGCAGCAATACTACCATATATATGTATATATAGAGACGGTTCTTATCAATACTATATTCTAATAATTGAAGAATTTATTCTCTCGTCTTCTCTTGAGAATAGACGTTACCGCTTCCTCGGCCTCCACATGAGTTATAGCTTGTAATGCCCAACACCACCCAATACTTATCTAGAGAGGTACTACTATAGTCAAGCCAAAATCTCAAGACTTGGATCACAATGTTGCCCTTGTGGTTTTATTTTCAGATAATTATGACGATGTGGACTGCATGTCTCGGGCTGAGGGCTATCTATCGTCTTTATTTCCACCCGCTCCGTGGAATACCGGGTCCCAAGTTAGCGGCGACTACACACCTTTACGAATTCTACTATGATGTTTTTCATGGAGGTAAATTTTTACTGCAGATGGAGCAGATGCACAAGAAATATGGTGGAATACCTGTCTAAAACCCTTCAGGTGACCATGACTGACATCCATCAGGGCCAATTGTCCGAATAAATCCTCGCGAAGTTCACATAGCTGATCCCACATTCTATGATGAAATATATGCATCGAGTACCCGGCGGAGGAACAAGGATCCCGCCTTTGTTCCCGTATTCGGTCTTCCTCGGTGTATCGCTGCAACTGTGGACCATGAACACCACCGAGTACGGCGAAACATTCTCAACACGTTTTTCTCCCGGCGCTCTGTTGTGGAACTATCTGATTCTATTGATGCAAAAATCAAACAACTGGCGCGGCGCCTTCAGGAATATCATCATACCGAGTCTGTACTTCAGGTGGATGATGCTTTTGTTGCTCTAACATCCGACGTGATAACGGACTATTGTTACGGCAAGAGCTGGAATTTTTTAGATGACAAGAACTTTCGAAGTGAAATTCGACTTGCCGCTAATGAGTCTAACGCTTTTGTTCACCTTTATCGATTTTTCCCATGGCTGCAGGACATTTTGCCTCTAATTCCTGAATCTGTTTGGTGCTATATCCAACCCGGAATAGCGCCTCTCTTCAGTTACCAGAAAACTGTGCTTGCTAAATCATCGGAAGGAGTTAGATCAAGTCAAGGCAAGACAGGGAGGACGATCTTTGATACATTGACGGATCCCGCTTTACCACCCGAGGAGCGAACATTGCGCCGGATTCAAGATGAGGCACTGGAAGTGCTTTTGGCATCAACAGAGACCACCGGATCCGTGTTGACGAAGGCTATCTACTATCTTCTGGAGAATGAAGGTATGTGGCGTCGGCTCCAAATGGAGTTGAAACAGCTACTTCCGTATCCAGCGAGCACAGCGTCCTGGACAGATCTGGAGAAAATGCCTTACTTGGTAGGTTTAACATGTTCTGCATCTTTTGATGTAGGCATTACGTGAGATTGAAAGGCTAATGTGGAATTACAGACAGGCGTAGTTAACGAGGCACTTCGGCTATCCTACGGGTTGATTATTCGCCTGCCTCGTATTGCACCTAATGAGGATCTGAGATACAAAGATTACACCATACCTGCGGGAGTTAGTGTTTTCTTGAACATTCCCATCATCGGTTGAGTGTTTTGAGTCTGTACTTACTGGATTTAGACCCCAATGAGCACGAGTTCATACTTCGTACATCGCAATCCTACCATTTTCATCCATCCCAACAAGTTCGACCCTGAGCGATGGATGACAGCCGGAGAGCGTGATACACCCTTGAGTCGATATCTAGTGCCATTCACGAGGGGAAGTAGAATGTGCTTGGGGATGAAGTGAGTCTCTCTGCCCAGCCGGCGTTAACGATTCCCAACGAGAGTTAACTATGTAGCCTTGCTTTGATGGAAATCTACAAGACCATCGCGTATATCGTGCGACAATTCAATATGGAGCTCCATAATACAGAAGCAGCCGACATTGAGCTGACTGGGGCCACCATGTCAGCAGGCACCAGACGTGGTTCCTTGAGGGTATATGTCAAGGTGACTGAGGTGCTGGGGTAGGGTATAAAGAAGCTAAGGTTAAGAACCGGATATTAATTGCTATAATTCATGTCTTTAAATATATTCCGTGTTCTTACTGCTATCACTTCATCTTTGTCAGTAATATCCATCTCGTATCTTCCAAAGTTATAAGATGGACTCATACTGCGCCTTAGGCCTTATAATTGTAGCACCGGACAGAGTTTCTAATAAGGTTGTCCTATTTTGTGTAAAGGTGTTTCCAAGTAGGTGAAGAAGGGAATTGTATGTGTGCTGGGTGGACGGGTGGAATCTCGGGCAAACTGGGTCGAACGGGCCTGTAAATTAAAACTATTTTTTTTCTGGCATACAATACTACTCAGATTGACAGAGGTAAAGACCTGTTGAAGTGGTACCTAAGAATAAACGGCACTACAGACAAATCTATGTAAAGGGATATGATCCCAGGCCGGTGGACCTACTAATGCAGCCGCTGTATAACAATGATGGAGCTTCTGTTTTGACGCTGTATCGCTTTATGTTCCTAAAATGTTCCGCTGTAGTATCTAAGTAGGTAACAATAACCGCCACCTTCCTCCTTGATGGATACTTCGTACTAAAGCATAATTTACATATGTCACAAGACTCCCAAATATGCTGCAAAGCTCGCCCTAAAATGGAAATAGAGCCTCTCGCCATAAGATCTTAGCAAGCTTATCGCGCAGAATTGGACGGTATCAATTTTTTTTACCGTCATAAATCCCCAGAAACCAGGTGCATGGGTCCCCATTGGAACCTATCCCGATAAATTCATGCAGTTGAATGGGAAACAGGTTGTACATGGTTTGGAGGCCCTGTAAAAGTAAGGACTAGCGGTCAACTTCGCCAAGGCGATTATTTCTCTTATTTTCTCTCCTATTTGACCTTTGTGATATTTTCTATCTGGTTAGCTCCGTCAACCATAAGACTGGTAATGGATTCGCAGCCGGTAAACAATAGTCAACTATTGCCATTTATCGACACTCAGGACTGCCAAGGTTGCACATGTTGATTTCTATGTCGTATGACTTGAACTGGCAACTATTGGTTACAACATGGCATATGCAATGTATCTCCATGCAAGCGTTAGCTACATAATTCACTAGCAATTCGGTCAGCGCCGGGAGGCTGGCACAGTGGCGGGCATAAGTATTCGACCCATGTGATTGCACTAAACCATCCTAGGTTTAGCTTGCTCCGTAGTATATTAGCAACTATTTTCTACTACAACTTCCAGTGATGCGCATCGTCGAATATCACAGCGATGTCAATTACAGAGGGCTCCGATAGTGAAGTCACTAAAGTATTATGCGTTGACTCGGCCGTTTATCCAATTTCTTCCCAGCGAAGGCTCGGCCAAAAGGCGGCAGCTTTAGCATCTCCGGAACAGGATCATGATGGGCGACCAGATTCAGAATGGGGTCGTTCCATCTCATTTTCGCTCGTGTGCGCTAAAAGCAAACTATCATCTGTAGTTTGCGCTGCCTTCGTCTTGCTGGTTGCATCCGATATGAAATCCAGTGAAGGAATGTACAGCGTGATCGTTGAGGAAAAGAGATCAGTGCAGGAGACAGAAGGCGGTGTTTCCCATTATATCCCCGTTCATGTGATTTTCAATTGGGACTGGACGGTGGAAACCATGCTAGAGCACATTTCTGCTAGGACGATCAGCGGCAAAGACCACGAGCCATTGAAGCAAATCGAAGAAGGAAGCCATTTTCAAGTGCTCCTCGACATCGAAGGATGCTTCCAGTTGACAGTGAATGGACACGACGAATATTCTGTCGCAGGAGGTAAATTCAGATTCGCATGCCACATACATGCTTCAAACTTCGAATCGAGGATCATTTGCGATACAGGAACCATCGAGACAAGCCAGGTTTCGGGGATGAGCAGACTATTACAATGCCTGATGCAAAGACTGAGCTCGGAAGAATTCAGTTTGTCAAAGCTGAGAGATATCACAGTCTTCAAGCTAGGTGAAGGAGAGGATGAGTTTGCGCAAGGAGAGTGTGATCCAACGGTGAGCGACGCAGACCTCAACCAGATTTGGCAGTGGAACTCGACTGTGTTCCCAAGCATCGACCGATGTATGCATGACGTGATCATGGAGGTTGCTCGCAGACAGCCCGAGGCCATCGCTGTTGAAGCTTGGGACGGCAAAATGACCTATGGGATGTTGGATCATCTGTCAACATCCATTGCCAGTGAACTGATTGAACTTGGTGTCCGGAGAAACGATATCATCCCTCTTTGCTTTGAAAAGTCCATGTGGGTTGTGCTCGCCTTGTTTGGCGTGTTGAAGGCAGGAGGCGCCGCGCTTCTGCTAGAATCGTCGCTGCCCGAGTCCCGTGCCCAGGCAATCCTTGACCAAGTAAAGGCTCCACTGATCCTTTGTTCTCGTGCTCAAGAAGGATTATGTTCCATATGGTTTCCCAGCCCGGTAGTTATAAGTGCAGACTCGGAACTCCTGGGAGCTGGCCATGAGGACTGGGTCCCTCGCATTTTTCCCACCCTTCCCGCCGTTTCTCCCTCCGATTTATTATATGTTGTGTTTACTAGTGGAAGCACTGGGACCCCAAAGGGGTGTCTCATCGAGCATCGGCATTTCAGCAGCGCAGTGGTGCATCAGAGAACGACCCTTCGGATGAATAGCACCTCGCGTGTCTATGACTTTTCATCGCATTCATTTGATGTAGTCTGGTGGAGTATTTTTCAGACATTATCATCCGGGGCTACCCTATGCATTCCCAGTGACGACGAAAAAAAAAGTGAATTAACCGAGAGTCTGCATCGCTTCGGGACAACAGATGTATTCTTGACGCCGTCGGTCGCTCGCATAGTGGACGTTTCACGGGTTCCCACCTTGAGAAATATCTATCTCGGGGGGGATGCAGTTACGAGCGAGGACCTAGGCCGCTGGAGGCCCGGCGCCAATGCATCTAATATGTACGGGCCCGCCGAGGCCACACCAGCCACCATCTATATCCGAAACCGAGACTCGATACACACTCGACCCTGCATCGGCAAGGCTGTTGGTGTTTCAAGCTGGATCGTGGATCCGGCATCCCCCGAGGACCGGCTGGCGCCTGTGGGTACCATTGGTGAGCTTTACTTGGAGGGACCTCTTGTTGGCCGAGGTTATCTCGGTGACGAGCTCAAGACAGCCGCTTCTTTTATACAAGATCCTGCCTGGCTACTGGCAGGAGCACCTGATGGCACGGTCCCTGGAAGATCCGGTAGACTTTACAAAACTGGGGATATGGTCCAGTATGATCCCGCTGATGGAACCCTGCTTTTCATCGGAAGAAAAGACACGCAAGTCAAATTGCGAGGACAGCGCATCGAGCTTTCAGAGGTAGAATCACATTGCCGACAATATATGGCGGATATGATCCCATCCGCGATGGTGCCAGAGTTGGTGGCCGAAGTCATCGTTCCCAAGTGTACGGCACAACCAGTCCTCGTGCTATTTATTCAGGGAAGTCAGGATATGGCAAAAACCTTGCAGGTGACTTTGGAGCCCGCGTTGCGAAGCCGACTGCCTTCATATATGATCCCTGGTGCCTTCATATCACTACCTACCTTAACTTTAACGGTCAACGGCAAAATGGATCGGAGGCACCTGCGCGAGATCGGTAGTAATCTTTCCCTGGAACAGTTAACAGGATTTACTGCCTCAAAGACTGGCCAGGCCCCTCGCACAATCTCGGAAAGATTTCTTCAGAGGTTGTGGACGACGATTTTGGGTGTCCCAGCTGGCCGTATCGGCACAGAGAGCAGTTTCCTGCGTCTCGGTGGAGATTCCATTTCTGCTATGCGACTGGCCGCATTGGCTCGCGAGCAGGGATCTATTTTGACAGTCCAGGATATATTTTCTTCGCCTACGCTGTCAGGAATGGCAAGCATTATGACCAACGCGGAATCTGGAGACGTTATACACAGTTACGATGTGATCCCTTTTTCGCTCTTAAAAGGCCTGTCGCCCATTGATTCAATCATCAGCGATATATCTAAGCAATGTGACATCGACGTCTCTCAGATCAGCGACGTATTTCCCTGTACGAGTGTGCAGAAGTCCCTCCTGTCCCTGACTGCAATGCAAGACAACTCATATGTAGCTCGATTTATACTCCCTCTCAGAAATGATGTTGATTTCGAATGCCTGTTTCGAGCCTGGGAAGAAGTTAGCCGGACGGTTGCCCCAATTCTTTCCTGTCGCATCGTCAACATCCCAGCCGAAGGGCTTCTTCAGGTACTTGTGAACGAGCCCCTGCAATGGGAGATGAGTGACGATTTGGAAGCGTATCTTGAGCAGGACTTGAGAAAATATATGGGCCTGTCAACACCTCTCACGCGGCTCGCACTAATTGAAAATACCGGGACCGGGTGCCACTACTGTGTCCTCACCCAACATCATGCCACACATGACGGCTACTCAATGAACTTGCTTCTCGAGGAGGTATCAAAGGTATATGCTGGAAAAGTCAAGCAGAAACCGGTGGTCCCTTTTCAGGCGTTTATTAAACATATAATGAAGACCGATCGAGAGGAAGCAAAGGGTTTCTGGCGCCAGCAATTCTCCGAATCCGAAGCAATTTCATTCCCAGCATTGCCCCATCCGAATTACAAGCCTCGCGCTGATTGTGTAGTGGAGTGCGATCTTGCTGACTTTCAATGGCCAAATCTAGACGCCACTCCCTCTACCAGTAAGTCACCAGGCCTTATATGTTCCTTTGTTATGCGATTAGACTGATGCATATTACTGCATAGTTCTTCGAACTGCCTGGGCGATCCTTACTGCGCGCTATACAGACACAGATGATGTTGTGTTCGGAGCTATAGTTACAGGACGACAAATGTCCTTGCCGGGAGTCGAAAGCATAATTGCACCTTTGATCAACGCGGTGCCGGTCCGAGTCAAATTCGATTCTAAACAGAGTGTTGAGCGGCTGCTTCAAGATGTGCAGAAACAATCTATTGATATGATTGCGTACGAACAGACAGAGCTTCTGGACATCCGTCGGATCGATGCAAATACCGATCGTGGGAGCCGTTTCAACACTCTTCTCGTCGTCCAACCCTCGGATTATGACCATGTACTCGACACACACAACGGACCATTTGAAATGCAAACGGGTATGGCGACAACAAACAGGGCTCTTGTGGAATCGAACCCAAATGCCGTCATGATTATCTGCCAATTGACTAAGGCTGGCAGTCTCCGCTTGAAGGTCACCTTCGATTCCAAGATCGTGGATTCGGAACAGATGGAGCGTATTACAGGACAGTTTGAACATGTTGTGCGCCAGATCTGCACGCTTCAAACTCAGTCGGTTGATGCCGTTGAGACCATCTCTCCACGCGAAATCGACGAGCTTTGGGGTTGGAATTCGCCTCTGCCTAGTGCCGTACCTGAGTGCGTCCACGACCTGATTGGTAAAACCATCAAACGACAGCCTCAGGCCCCAGCAGTATGCTCCTGGGATGGCAATTTGACATATGCCGAACTGGACAACTTGTCTACCTATCTCGCCTCCCTGCTGATTGCTCGGGAAGTGGGGTCTGGGGCCATAATTCCTCTCTGTTTCGAAAAATCCATGTGGCACCCCGTCGCCGCCCTGGCAGTGATGAAGTCTGGAGCGGCCTGTGTCTCGATGGACGTGACCCAACCTGAATCACGTCTACGGTCGATTGTCAACCAGGTCAGCCCCTTGGTTGTTCTAGCCTCAGCCATCAACGCAGAGCTGGCAGCCCACCTGAGTGACGCGGATGTGATGGTGATAGACCGCGATCATCTTTCAGGCTGGTCCCAAAGCCTCCAATTAGCCCCTTTGCCCCAGGTTCATCCCACCGATGTCCTATATGGTTAGATACTCTTTGTCTGCGAGCACCCATCCCGTATGAGCTATGCTGACTCCACGTCATTTCAATAGTTGTCTTCACTAGCGGTTCCACAGGCACTCCTAAAGGTGTGTTGACACAACATCAAAACTTTTCCTCAGCCTCCATTCACCAAGAGGACATACTTCATATTCGAGGAACATCGCGAGTTTTTGATTTCGTCTCATACAGTTTCGATGTGTCCTGGTCCAACACCTTACACACTCTGATCTGTGGTGGCTGTCTTTGCATTCCTTCCGAATGGGAGCGGCGCAACGATATCGATGGTGCCTTCAACCGGATGAATTGCAATTATGCCTATCTGACGCCGTCCGTGGCTCGATCCGTGAGACCGTCTGCGATTCCAAGTCTCCGTACGCTAGCGATGGGAGGAGAGCCAATCACACGCGCAGAGGTCTGCCGTTGGACGCAGACGGAGACCATTGTGGGAATATACGGCCCGGCTGAATGCGCTCAAGCGCTCTCCTTTACCCGACTGAACAGCGACAGCCGCAACTACCATGTTGGCCACCCTTTTGGTGCAAAGACCTGGCTTGTACAGCCTAATGATCCAGATCGGCTGGCCGGAATCGGAACCGTCGGCGAATTGCTCATAGAGGGCCCTACCGTCTCCCAAGGGTACTTGGGGAATCCTGAGAAGACTGCCGCCGCATACATCAAAAACCCACCGTGGCTTCTCCGGGGCGCTCGAGGGCACTTGGGTCGGCAAGGAAGACTATATCGAACAGGGGACCTTTTTCGGTATAATTCTGACGGATCGCTGGACTTTCTGAATCGCAAGGACGGCATGGTCAAGCTTCGCGGTCAGCGAGTGGAACTGGCCGAGGTTGAATATCATGTTCGTGCTCATCTCCAACGCCCAGATCTTTGGGACGAGATAGCAGCGGAGATTATCACACCACAGAACGGCAAGAATGCCATTCTTGCCGTTTTTGTTGGCCTACGGAATAATAAGGAAGGAATGATGTCTGAGGAAAACATCCTGACGGATCTGGCATGCGTCATTCAAGGGACAGAAGAGAAGCTCTCGAATTGTGTACCTCAATAGTATGTACTTTGCGATCTTTGGTCGGTCTCCATGCAAACATACTCATTACCTGCAGCATGCTTCCAGGCGCCTACATCCCAATCACGAAGATCCCAACCACAACAACCAACAAAGTTGACCGGCGAGCCTTGCGAATCTTTGGCAACACTCATACTCTTGAGGCGCTGGCCGGATTGCAATCTCACGGCAAATCTCTTCGCGCGCCATCCACGTTCATGGAAAAGCGCCTCCAAGATCTTTGGGCCACTGTCCTGGGAATCGAGGCAAGTACCATCCATGCAGACAGTTCTTTCTTTCGGATCGGGGGAGAGTCCATTGCTGCCATGCAGTTAGTCTCAGTGGCCCGGAAAAAGAAGCTTTCGTTTACTGTCGCGGACATTTTCACCGCTCCTCGGCTGAGTGAGCTCGCAGCCGTGATCAAGGATATGACCTAGTCTTGCGACAGTAAGCTGTGCAGGTGATTGTATCTTCTTTTTCGGGCTATTCAATTAATCTGGACTATTTGCGGCGTGTTATGATCGGTTGCAAAAGTAGATCAGCGGATTTATAATAAGATTCGGATAGTTATGGATTCAAGTTAATTTTCGATCCGGTGTTCAGCACGGCGTCCAGTGAACAAATCTAAGGACATAAACTCGTCGAAATTTAAATTTATAATTCATTAATCTCAATGCTTGCGATGGGAAACCGATGTGTTCCGACTTGTCTAACCAGCAACACCATACCCAGTCCACGACCGCTGCAACAAAAACTCCCCCGCCGTCAGATCCTCATACCGCGGAACTTCACCTTCTCCACACATCTCAGGCAACGACTTCACCGAACTAGTCCTGTTCGGTTTGGCAAAATACGCGACTGAGAATCGAGCTGGCAGCTCTGAGGACTGAAGCTGGATATCCTGCTGAGCAATGTGCACTCGGTGCCGCGTGGACCGCAGCCGATCATTACTCCAGCGCTGAAGACAATCGCCCAGGTTGACGATCATCTCATCGATCTTCGTCGATATCACTGGGTCATATTGGCCCGGGAAAGCCGGATTCTCGATTTCCAATCCACCCACTGAGTCCTGGAAAAGAAGTGTGATGCTGCCAAAATCCGTATGCTTGGCGATTCGGGTGCCGTTCGCATCAGGGAGCAAATTGGCCATGGGGACGGCTGGATAATGTGCAAGTCGCATCTCATTCTCTTGTTGGTCATGGCGCTTGGTTAGGGTCGTGGGTGGCAGGTCGAGGCCAATTTCGAGGGCTTCGAGGATTTGGAGCTGGCAACGGTAGCAAATGAGATAGTATTTCTCCATGAAAGAGCGAAATCCAGGTAGGTCTGATTCAGGAATCCAAATATTATCATATAGTTGGTCCTGGGCAGAGCCTTGATCGAAGGATTCCTGCGGGCAATGCTGAGGAGTTTGGTTCGTTTCCGTTGTGGGTCTATAATACTCACTTTAAAATCCTTCAAAACCATTCCATGTTTCTCCTGTCCCCCAAAGATAGATGTATTTTCAATACCCACGCCGGTCCAGCCTCGATGTGGAATTGGCCCGGGAGGATGTATGGCTCTCTGTTTAACCGTATCTGGTAAGGAGAAAAATCGCTTACTCTGGCAGTAATAATGAGAGTTTAGATGTCATATTTTCAACGCAGAAAGGTGCAGTTTTCGATGTGTTCATACCCATTCGAAGAGCTGTTCCACTATCTGGCGCGAAATACCATGATTGACTAGTTTGAGAAATCCCTGTCGCTGAAAGGCATCGGCAATGGCAGTCCCAATCGCTCTCCGCTGCTCAACAGTACCGGATTGGAAATCGGCAAAATCAATTGTGGAGATCTCAGTTGGTTCTCGACACAATGAATCTTGAAAGAATGAGTCATTTCCACTTGGCATTTGTTTTCGATCCATTTTCTGATTCTTATGGGTACAATGCACCCAATAAGCAGTCACTGGTCAGCCACATACATAGGTTGTAGATTTACTCAAGGACTTCCGATGAGTTATATGGTTATCCAGCGTATAAGACTTGGTGGGTTCACCTGAGGCATGAAAACTGAGAAAACAAGCCATTCTATAATGTCGCGTTAATCTAGTATGGTGGTGGGGAAGTATGTGTAATGTGGCCACAACTAGTTCAGGCACACGGCCTATCAATGCACCTATCAGAGACTTCGACGATGCAAGGGGGAGGAGAAAACACTATGAAAAATCTAGCTCATGTTCCGTCAATTACGGTCCTATTTTTCTGCAGTTCAGGTGCCACAACAGCAAAGCTGAGTTATTTCGCACATGCCAAGTCAATATATATACGTACTTATCCTCCTAGTGGGAATAGAGAATTTATTACATTATCCTACATGATTGTAATATCCCCACTTCTTCACCAAACATTCAGTACTTCCTGCAATATTGTTGAGTTTTTCAGCAATCGGCTTTTTGCTCCGCGCTGGACAAGGGCTACGGTACCACGTCTGTTGGTCTGAATAATATCGTACTGCATATTTGTACATAAATATTTCTTTTCTCTGTAAAGACCGATTGCAGCTTGTTACCCCTACCTTCCATCCAGCCGGTATCTTCTGTGTCACAAGCCATATTGGGTTCCATTCCCTACTTTTAACAGTCTACTGGACAAACTGCCTCTAATCACCGCTCTTCAATAGCTACATATAATACACGATAATGCATGTTTTGGTAGCACTTCTTGTAACTTGAACATACGATATCAATCGAAGATTGATGTATAAGCGTAGGCTTGTAACAAGAAATTTGACCGAAAAGGACTAAATGATGTCTAATTTTGCAAAATATTTAGTAACAAATCTAGAGGAATTTCATGGGACATATACAGTTCGACTATAAATAGACTGTAGAAATTTGACCGAAAAAGTACAAATTTAACCCAAAAATGAGCCTACTAATCACAACATTATCTCAGACAAAGGCAGATCAGGGGAGGCGGACAATTTCTCCATGATCTGCACCACTGTGCGTATGAAGCTCTCCCCAGCATACTGTGGCATGGACAAATTCCGTGGTATGTACATGGCAAGACTTAGGCCTTCACCCTCATCAGCGAGCCAAAGATAGACTTCTTTCATCTCATCCTCAGTACCCTCCGGATAATGATATTTATGTGGGCATTCTCTCCCATCCAATGTTATGCGAGGTGTCACATCAAACTCTTCGCCCATCACAATACTACTTAGCTGATATTGTCCCCATGATGTGCATTGGCGCGCAATTACTTTCATGTCAACGGTCTCATAGGGGACTCTTTCAATGTATCTCTCTTTACATTGAAGAAGAAGTTCCTTGGCCGTTGTGACTCGAGAAATCTGTATGCGCATGGGGCAGACTCCGACGGTGCACCCGACTACTTCGCTGACACCTTCGGCGGGGAAGCTTCTCCCATGCACAACCTCCCCGAAAACAATGTCGTCGCTTTCAGTGCGCTGAGATAAGACAAGGGCCCAGGCAGCACGCATTATCATGCTTGGCGTAATTCCGACAGGAGGCGTCATAGACGCGAGAGTCTTACTCAGATAGTAAGGCTCATGAGCCGCTGGAGATTGGCCACTAATACCGTGGAGAACGGGAATTTTCGACCCTCGTAGAAACTCCCCCAAAATTCCAGAGCCTGGGGAGATCCATTCTGCTGTAAACGGCGACTCATGTACTCCGGGAAGTCGATCTGGGCAGGCTTCAAGGGGCCTTCATATGCCGCAACAAAGTCATTCAAGAGAACCCCAACAGCTACTGGATCGAATTGAGCATGATGAGTCCTCAGAACAAGAGCACTGCTCTCGGGACCATCAATTCGCCATATACGCCAGTATAAGTTGCCCTCTGGGATTTGCTCTAGACCAGTCTTTTTGCAAAACTCCGCGACAAATTCAACCAGTGGTCGTCCGTCACAGTTGGATATCGGAATTGTGGTAGTAAGTTGCCGCAGGAATGCTTGATATGTTACCCCCTCGTAGGAAAGGTAGACAGAGCGGAGGACGGCATGTTTCTGTTGGACAGCATTCCATGCATTTTCTAATCGCCCGTGATTGACTGGAGGTATCTCTAATGTCAGAAACAATGGCCGTCCCTGGAGGCACTCCTTCTGAAACTCTGTTACAGGGACAACATCGCCCATGATGTCCTTGCCTTTCAGAGGACCATAGCATGCAAGATTATGCACGATAGATTGCTTTAGGTGGTAGCTCGATGATGTTGACGTCCCAACAGAAGAGTTTAATGCCCCGGGCTTTTTCAATTCTCTTGCCATCGCCCGGATCGTTGGGTGCTTGAAGACTAACAACGGCGAGAAATTTGGGAGCCCTCTCTTATGAGACACGCTAGTGAGGCTCATGGCAGACATAGACGTACCACCCAGGTGAAAGAAATTGTCCTCGACGCCGATCTGATCAGGATTCAACTTCAAGATCGAGGCCCAAATATATAGCAGGGACTGTTCTTCAGGCGAGGAAGGCACGTTCTTGGTCTGACTGAGGAGCGTACCATAGATTCTGCGATCTTCAGCTGAAAGGGATTCCGCATAGGTTCGAATTTTCCGACGGTCAGCCTTGTCCGTTCGTGTCATTGGAATATGGGAAATGAAAAATAGGTCCGATGGTATCATATACGAAGGAAGTACAGCCGACAAGGAAGCATGTGCTCTGCGAGCATCCGTCTGGGATTTAGCATCTGGGAGTAGAAAGAGCCCGCGGGGGTGTTGGCTAGGCTGCTGCACTGGATTTTGAGTCTCTCTGTAGACAAATCCGACAAGTATCGGAGACAAGTCATTCTTCCGATGGATTAACTCCACCACGGTCGTAGATTGCTCCCTGAGGGCCTGCTTTAGCTTGCTTTCAATCTCTCCCAACTCAACGCGCTGTCCATGGATCTTCACTTGGTTGTCTGCTCGACCGAAGAAACGCAGTGATCCATCTGGAGAATACTGGACGATATCACCAGTCTTGTATAATCGCCCATAGGATATCTTTCCATGTCTATAAAGCCACTCGGGGGGGTCGAGGAACGAGGATTTTGCCTCCTTTGCACGTCCGAGATAGCCCCGACCAACATTTGGGCCTTGAACAATCAGCTCACCCTTCTCTCCAAGCGGGAGAAGGATGTTGTGGTCATTTGGGTCAACCACCCAGCCAATAGCACATGTAACATGCCCGATATTGTTAGGAGGGGTGCTGTCGCTCATGGATGAATGGACCGATACCGCAACTGCACATTCAGCTGGGCCATATCCCTGGACCACTTTGAAACGTGGATACCACGTTCGAATGAGCTCGGAAGACAATGCCTCTCCACCGAGGGCGAGAACCTGAAGACTTGGGACACGCTCTGGGTCAAGCAATCGAGCAACGGATGGCGTGGTTCCCACCCAGGTACACTGTAAATCATCCACCAATGAAGAGAGGTCGCCTTTTCTTTGAGAATCAGACGGGATGCAAACGCACCCCCCAAGAATCAGCGTAACCAAGTGGTCCGTGATGGAGGCATCCCAAGCATAAGATGAGAACTGAAGGACCCTTGACTTTCTGTTCAACCCAAATGCAAGCCCTGTGGTTAGAGCACTCGTACAGAATGCCGAGTGCTCCATGACCACACCCTTGGGTCTCCCTGTTGAGCCAGAGGTAAATACAACATAGAGTGCGCTATTTGGTGTCACACTGGCTATGAATTCTCCATCAGGATGCTCATTTATTTTCCAGGCTGCGAGATGTGTGGCATTGACTGTCACGGCCCTTGGTGCCAATTTTGCAGCCATGGCGGTCTTCTCACTGGAGGCAATCAGGATCTTGGCATTCACATCATGACATATTCCCTTCAGTCGATCTTCCGGCTGCGAGGCATCAAGAAGTACAAATGCTGCCCCAGTGCGAATAACTCCAAGAAGCGCAACCGGGGTATATTTGGACTTTTCGAATAATAGAGGCACAAAGTCACCCGGACCGATGCCCTGGGCTCTCAGATGAGATGCCACACCTGCGGACAACTCATCCAGTTCGCCGTATGTGTAGCGTCCGTCCCAGCTATGAATGGCAGGGGAATCGGGCTGGTCGACAAAATGTATCTGTATGAGATTGTGCACACAGCTATCGATCAGGTTCAAGGCCGCGGCATTCAAGGTACCCTTGGGCACGTAAAGCAAATCGCCTCTACTGAACTCATCTTCAGTCCTCGTCATTGTTCTGAACAAGGTAAGTCAACTTGAATGCAACTTTCGTAGTGAATAGCGGCTACAGTAAAGGGGGTGCTCGGGAAAAGGATAGATTTCGTACAGAGTTTCTCAAGTCGAGATTATGGAGGGCGGACAAAGTATAGACGAGCACAAGCATTACGTAGTCGCTTTGTACCAGCTGCAATCCTGATCCAAAAGCACCTGTGAAACATATGCAGCCATCAGCTCTCATGCGAGATTCTACCTCAAATATCCAAAAAAAACATTAGATTACCTTTCTTACATTTGGTACCTCATTGCAAATGAGCTAGGGACTCAGTGAAAACTGAAGTCTGCTTGGATCGAAATTTATTGCTAGCACTGATTTGCTTTTTTTCTCTTTTTCATCTTCCCTCCTCCGTCGAAGCACATCGCTTTTTACTTCTTCTGTCCTTCTCTGTAGAAAGCTGATCTGGATCTGCAAAGCCACGCTTTACGAAAATTACAGACCCTCAATCTCGCTTTGCGAGGATCCGCCATCCATATGAATATTTCTACCATGATCTCCCAACTAGCTGAATCATCATTTGTAAACCCCCAATATTTCCAAAGATCCCAAAGAAAGCGCGGCCAAGTTAATTCATGAGCGAAGTTCGAACCCGGTGGTATTATTCGTGTGGGTTACGGACCCTTGTATTTTTATAAAAATGAATGTAAGGGCCGGTTATTCACCCTTGCATGTCTATCCATGGAGCTATCAAGGTCAGAACAAGGCCAGAAGAGAGATTCCACGGTGGTTAGAAAGAGAAGATAAATTGAATAGTTGTGTTGCTGATATTATTTCTTCAGAATTTAGGTAGAATTTGAAGACAAATATTTTCTCCAGGCAACGGACAACCTTAAATCATTTCCTTTCCATAATCTTTGATGGTAACAAAATTTGATGGCATTACGCCCAAGAATGCTACTTGTGGAAGTACGTTATCCCAATAGGTACTAAATTCAGCCTATAAAGTTAACTATCCTTTTCTTCTTTCCAGCCATACTACGAAGTCGTAATCACTGTAATTGCCCAATGCAGTCTCAGCTGGTTCCGAGTATAAAAATAGTATCCATCCCGTTCGTATCCTTATCCAGTACATTCAACCCGGCAGCTTTAATGTCCGACAAAAACTCCTCTTCAGTCCAGGTACGAAGTTTGAACAGGGTGCTCATTGTTTGGATCACCTTCTCTTCACCATCTGGACTCTTTTGAATAACCTCAACCTTGCATTTCGTGGTATTAAGTTTGCCATCCTCTTCATATCCTGAGATAGAATTTCGATAAATTGTCTCTGGGAAAATCTTGCTTGGATAATCTTTCACTTCCGCTGACATGCCTTCATGCTCGGCCTCGTCCCAAGTCGACCAGTCGTCCATGAAGAGAGCCGAAATGCAGGCTCTCCCAGTATGGGGCCGGAGAACCGATGCAACATGGTTGAAAACCTGTTGCGCTTCTCCGGGCTTGGTGAAGTGTGAAATGGTGCCGATCGCGATGACCAGAAGATCCACTTTGGCATCCTTGCCCTCAGACGTAGCTAGGGCCTGAGCAAGGTCCGTTGCTTGGTCACAAATCCATGAGACCTTGCGAAACTGGGTGAGGCAGGTGTTTTTCTGCTTCGCGAAGTCGACCATATGCTGGGATTGATCGAGTCCGATAAATGTGCTCTCTGTGAGAGATCCGGGAGATTTAGTCGCGAGGCGATCTAATCCCTCGAGAATACGACCCGTGCCGCTGCCCACATCAAGGACTACCACCGATTCCGGCTCGTTGTTGGCAATCTTGAGCTTCCGAATTTGCGAGATAGTTTTCCAGTGAACATCAACATCGCGAGATGCTCCAGGATAAGTCTCCTGGAGTTCATAATTCTCAGCCAGGTAAGGAGAATCATAGTAATCCGTCACGGTGTCCTGTGAGATTGCCATTGCTTTGAAATAAGGTCTGGACGCGTACGTCGTCCGATTGAAGGTGTTCGAATATATTTATTGGAAGGTGGTTGCGATAATGAAGAATATATCCAAAGAAAAACTATTTATGTCTTCAAGTTGGTCTCCTGGATGCGGCTCACCCTACTCTAGACAACAGGCAGTGACGTCGCTATGGAGCTATATACATATACGATCCTGCTGTGCTCAGATGATTCTTGCAAGATGCAGAAGATTGTACAACTATCAAAAATTTGCAGCTAAGCTGGTTGTCATTGCAGACTGTATGACTCCAGGCACAGCCGTGCAATATTGGGGTGAGAAGTGGTTCTTTTTCTTACGTCCTGAACAAGGGTTTCTTCAGAGTGGTACCTGATCCAGCGCAGATCGATTATGAAGTAAATCCTTTTAATTACCCTTGCACTTTTATTCCTCTAAAGCCTGGTTAGGAGACCGTGAGGCCAGGGCCCAGTAGGCACAGTATTCTTAGTTATGAATTTGGAACATGAGATATAATAGTAATCGGCAGGCTAAGTAGCAGGTTCTGTTTCGCGCAGTTAATTGCAGGAAGTTTATCAGGATAGATGGTCACGTTGATGATTTCAGTGGTATTTGAAGGTACAATGGGAGAATTTTATGAGTGAGGGTGGCACATTAATGGGACTAGCGTGTTGCATTTTATTAAGATCATTTCTACGGGCTACTCACCTCCATGTTCTACTCAGTTCTACACTGTGAGCAAAAGGCGTCTAGGAGTGGGCGCTAAAATGAAATGGGGAAGCAAGGAAATGGGGAAATCCGCTACTGCAAGTACTGATCAGTGTTTCGGATTTCGGAAGCGTTCAGAATAGGAACGCTGGGGGATTTTCGGCCCTAAGCCCCAATTCTCACTGGTACTAGTCTCGTCTCATCTCGTCTGACAGGGGTTTTCTTAAAATGCTTCTCTGTGCTTCGCTATGTGTCAAACTGGGCGCTTATGTATGTTTCATAGATATACCATAAATTCCTATTTCTATCAGAAGCAAGATATAATTTGTTCCGTACAAAAGATATTTTCAAGAGCTCAAAAAACAAATGGTTGAACAGCCTCCCTGGAAGACGTACTTAATTAGGACCAGGATTAGCCTCACTAGGGACCTTGAAGCTAAACATATATAATTTTGGGAGTCTTTTCATCTCCACCAACTCCAAGCCTGCTTTTCCCGCCATTTGAACAAACTCTTCAGTTCCCCACACCCGATTCTTATGGTGATATTCATTGGTCTCTAAAAGAATCTCATTGCCTTGCTCATCTTTCTTCATAATGGCAGTCTTATGATCCATGATGTGAGTACCATTCTCAACACGTTCGCTGAAATGCAGCGACTTGACAGTGAACACAACAGATTGATCTCCGCTTCGCTGGTCCATTGCATCCATTGATTCGTCATATATACTCGGTTTCTGCCCATTTTTGTAGGCTTCGGTAACTTGGTATTCGAAAAGGGCGATAAATGCCCGTCCACTATCTGGGCGTAGCAACTGAGCGACATGGGAGCAAAATGTTTCTGTTTCTCCTGGCTGGTATAGATACCCAATACACCCATCTGCGAAGGTCACGAGATCCAACTGATGTTTCAGTGAACTCAGAGATGGCTGAGCAAGAAGGTTATTAGCGTCTCCCAACAACCACTGAACGGACCCGACGCCAGAAATCTTGGAGGTCTCCTTTTGGGCTTCTTCCAACATTGCGGGAGAACTGTCCAGCCCAATAAGGTCGACTTGGGTCAGATCTTCGCCTTGTTTGCTGGCGTAGTTTGCTAGATTGCGAAGAACGCGGCCTGGGCCAGTTGCTACGTCCAAGACGACAATGCGGTCTGCGTTGTGCTCCGATTTGCCAATGTGAAGAATGTCCTTTAGAGCATTCCAAAACACGGTGTGATCCTCATAGCCGTCCCAATCAAGAGAGTTCACTGAATTGAGCATCTCAGCCACATAGGTTGACTTGTAGAAATCCGTGTGGGGCACTTCGTTCGTCGCCATCTTGATCAAGAAGTTGATGAATGGCGCACAGGTTGGACACTGAATAGTAAATATAGTATAAAGACTGAAAGGGAAAGATTCCAACTATGTTTTTCTGAGATATATTTTGGTGGATTCCCAAAGGAACCGTCAAGTAATATAACATTCTAGGGTGAATTGATGCAGACACCCGGTGTACCACAAGGAGAGTCATTCCCTGCATATACATAAGAAGCCTGTACTACATGGTTCTGTATTTTTCAATAAAGTGTCGCTAACCTGGTTAAATATCTGCGACCGAATTTGGATAGCATGGGCGACGAGCGATAAGGAGGCCCAGTTACAACACACCTGAAGCCATGAGGTATGGTGGTAAAGAAATGCAAGGGGGGATGGTTTTTATTGAAGGAAGGTGTAATACAACGCGCAAGAGAGAATCTATATCTAATTGAAAAAATATTTCTACGTAAATTTCTCTCTTTGCAAATTCAGGAATCATGTCGCTCAACGTTCCCGGTGATGAAGAGTCTCCAATGGTGGCCGAGGCCGGCCAGATTAACCCCGTTCGGCTCAGTCCTGCTGGGAACCCTCTCGTCCCAGCTGTGACCTATGATCCTCTGGATCCGCTGAACTGGGGATCTTTCCAGAAATGTGCCTGTATTTTCATTGCGTGCTTTGCCTACTTCACAATGACCTATTCCGTAACTGTGCCGGTGCCATCGTTCACTGAGCTTCAGGCGCAATTCGATACGACATATACAAAAGTCACCTGGACCTTCGCAGTACCAGGTCTAGGTCTTGCTATTGGCCCACTTATCACTTCGTCATTAGCCGAGACCTATGGGCGCCGTATTGTGCTAATTGTCTGTACTGCTATCGCCGTTCTGGCGAGTGGGTGCACCTCATTGAAAGGGGCCTCTTTGTCGAGCTATATGGTGTTGCGCTTCTTCCAGGGTCTAGGTGCAGGTCCGTTGGCAAACATTTGTTTGACGATCATTAATGATGTGTCTTTTGAACATGAGCGAGGTTTTCGCGTGGGTCTTTGGGCAATGACCGCCAATATTGGTACAGTTTTGGGCCCTATTCGTAAGTATCCTTCTCTTCAATAAATTTTACGGGTACTGAGTTGATCGCAGTGGGTGGTTTCTTGGCCTCGGTCTCGGCATATTGGATCGGATATCATGTCACGATGTTATTTGCGTTCTTGTTGATCTGTGAGTGTTTCTTCTTGCCGGAAACACATTACCCGCGGGCTGTGATGCTTGAGCGAGAGGCACATATAAGAATTGGCAAGGACAAGTCGAGCGACGATCCATATGGCCTCAAGAGAACCAAGCAACTGGGGTATTTGGTGGGAAACACGTAAACTTCCCTTATTTCGCTGATGCGCTGATACCTTAATAGCACTGCCGATCGATTCCTGGCGTGAGACACCCCAAGTGGTGGGATGCAATCCTCATATTCTGCCAACTTTGGACGTATCCCACGATCTCCATCAGTGTGTGCGCCTTTGTCGCTTTCCAATATTGGTGGTAAGCGACGAATCCTGGTCCATTCCTAATGAATGAATGCTCATTGTTGCACCAGGATCTGTTCCATCATGGCAATGGAGCCATTAGCCTATAAAACACAAAGTATGCATGTCCAGGGCCTTCTATTTATTGGCCTTATTGTCGGGCTAGTATTCGGCGAGCTTCTAGTTTCTGGGCGACTGAGTGATTGGCTCGTGGCTCAACTAGCTCGCAGGAATCACGATCAGCGGGTACCTGAGATGAGATTATGGCTTGGGTATCCAGCAGCGATTGTCGCGTCAGTGGGTCTTGCTCTATGGGGCGTCTCGGTGGATAGGAACTGGCACTGGATGACAGGCCAAGCGGCGTTCTTTCTCTGTGAGTGTTGATCAGGTAACTTGTGTGGCGAGGCTCTTTTCTGACCGCTTGTGTCTTCTTTAGATGCTGCGGGGACGCAGGTCGGGAACACGGTTCTCTCAACTTATATTGTCGACAATTACCCGGAGTATGCGATGGAAGTAACTATGTTTTATGCAGTGCTGATCAATGTGAGTTTTGCGGAATGTAATGTTCGCTCCGCACGCTGATTCTCCGAATCACAGCTCGCGGGGTTTATCAATCCATGGTTCATCAGTGTGTGGGTTGAGCGCTCAGGTACGTCCCCGAAGTTGCCCCTTCTTTGCTTTCCTTCCCTCTTTTCATTTTCGGCGATTGTTCTGATTGTGCAATCTCTAGGCTGGACCTGGACCTTCTCAGCCCAAGCTCTAATCTGCAGCTTCGGTCTGATCCCTACATATGCACTACTACACCACTATGGCCATCGTATGCGAAAGAATCTGCATTAACAGCCGTTTCTGCCTAGCACCACAAAAGGGGGTGAATGACTAGGATCCGGACATTGATTGAGTTATAAGTTATCTAATAGTCGCTTCCATGTGTCAAGTCCGAGATTATGTGGATTATATTAAACTAATTGAATAAGAGCTGTGCTCAATTGCTGGTGTCCATTCTCCATACTTATCACCGTGAACGCTGGTATGATCCAGGACAGGCTCCCTGGATACGATTTTCGGCACAGTAGTCAATTATCCAATTCACTCTTCCCTTCAAGAGAGGTAATGATCCCTCTGCATGGCCATCCAAACCAGCCCCAACCCAGCCGTGACGAACGGGAAAGTACTCTCCCTCGCTCCGACCGTATTATATACGAATCTCTCCAGCCCATACAAACCCAACACCCCGGCAAACGTGACAATGGCCAAGTCATACACAGCCGCATTCGAGATATGATAAGCTGCATACAGACGAATCATGCCCGTGTATACATTTTTAACTCCATAGACATGCGCAAGGAGCGCATGCGGAGGCGGGGCTGAAGGACCTCGGAATCCCGCTAGTGCGGTTGCGGGGTTGAAAGCATAGCAGACTATGGCGTGAATGAGGGCTGAAATGCTTGTCTGGATGGTGTATTAGAGATGTTGGCGTTGGGTGGCTTTTAAAGGGGTTCTTTACGTAGAGGAGTAGATAAGGCAGATATCCCTGGTCTGTTTGGGGTAGCATCGAAGTCATCGTGTTGATTCCAATGAAAAAAGAAGGAAATGTAAGTTAGATCAAGCACCAGGAGGATAATGAAGGGAAAGGGATGAATAATGAGATTTTTCTGCTTATATCACGTGTCGTATAGATGCAGCCTTGTCGTTTCAATGTGGAACAACACTTCATATTAACATTATAGCCTCTGAACTCAAAATCATCATATCCAAAACGCTAATCAAAAACAAATTCTCCAAAACACCGTGCAATGTAATTGCTCAAATCACGCCAAGTGCAGCAAAAAGAATGACAAAAAGCATAAAACTCGACGAAGAAAACAAGACATCCAGGCATAATCGTGTTTGCATGTAGAAAATAGGAGCGTTGACCAATTTAATGGCACGCAGGCTCAGTGAGCAGTCGTTTCACCATCATCATCAACCTCGGTAACAATAACCTCAATAACTTCTTTCTGCGGCTCATCGGGAATAGAAACATACTGGCAGGAAACCACCGGGCTCACTGTGGCGGCGGCGCCTCTATTGGGCTGAATGAACCACAGCTGGAACATACCCATAAAGGCAACAAAAGCACTTGCCCACCAAGCGATAGCAGTGCAACCAATCTCCGCACCAGTGCTATATAACCATCCCGCAACGGGAGGTGCAATGGTACGAGATGCAGCACCGGCCGAAGCAGCGAGACCGTTAATTTTGCCCATGACGGAGTCGGCGGGGGTCGCCTGCTTAATGAGGATCAGAAGGACAGGGTAGTCGATAATCGAGAGGATGTTGCGAACGATTAGACAGGTGTAAATGCCAACCATGACGAGGTTTTGTGGTAGGAAGACTAGGAACGGGACCATGAAGTAGGCGATTGGATGAAGGACCGTCACGAGAATGAAAAGCCGCCAGATACCCAGGTAATGGGCCAGCGCGGGGAAGACGACCCCTTGGATGAAAAGCGCAATGACGCCGTTGGCAGACATGATCAGGCCGACTGTGCGAGTTGAAAGGCCCACGCCACCGGGGATGTCGAGGAAAGAGCCGTGGAAGCTACCAGGAAGGGCCGTCTTCTTGTCCTGCAAGAAGATAGGAAAGAGATGGTCATAGCTCATGGAATGATAGGAAAAAATGGCCAGCGCCACCACGAGCATGACGATTTTCCATGTAAAAGCTTTGGGCTTCTCAGGTTTACCGGTGGGCGAGGAGCTATCAGCTCTCGCATCCCAGGTTTCCTCTTGGTGGAGGTCAACCTGGTTAAAGGTGCCATAAGACTCAGCTCGAAGATCGACTTCGGCATGAGCAGTGGAACCCGAGGTTGCCAGAAGGGGCTGCTCGACCGACGGGTGGTTGACATGTGCGCTGACACGACCAGGTTGCATGTCTGGGTGAGTCTCCTGCAGGTAAAACCAACTGATGATAATGCTCAGAAAAAGCAGAATAGAGCATACAAGGTTCGGGAGGAGGTAAGGAAATTTTCCAAACAATCCATTAGCAGGGAAAACGGAAGGAAAACCTTCAGATGGTTTTGCCAGTAGACCTCCAATGGCTTAGGTAGGCTATTAGCAGCCGTAGACTAGATATACAGAGTAAACATGACTCACCTGGTCCAAGGATAGTCCCAATCGCCCAGACAAAAGGCATGACTGCATAGGCTCGGGCTGTTGATACGCATGTCAGCAAGTTTCGTTCGGCAAAAAAAGGAAAGCAAGTGAGAAAAGAATAAGAAAAAAGCAAAGATCAAGACTTACGCTCATGCTCAGGCCGTTTCACCAACTCGCCAACCATGGTCTGAATAACTCCAATATTCCCATTCAGAGCACCACCCAGCGCGCGACCTGCGAGAGCGACCCAGAAGTTCCTCGCAAAGCCCACAAGGAGGAGGGAGAGCATAGTACCAAAGCAGCCGGACAGAAGAATAGGCTTACGGCCAACGCGGTCGGACAGACCACCCCAGAACATGCCGGTGAGGGCCTCTGCAAGAGAAAAAGCCGAGATCAAAATGCCGGCGTAGAAGGATGCGTCGTTGCCGTTACCCGTGTGGAAGTCCTTGACCATCACCCATGAGTAGGGGAAGATGGAGGTCAAGGCTATGGGCTCCGCGACGCGGCATATTGCTGTCATGGCGTTAGCGAGTGACCGGCGAGAGAGGTTGCAGTGGGAGGCAAGTAATGCGAACATACCCAGAAGGAAAAGTTGTGCGGTGGGAAAGCTGTCGTCGGAGGAAGCGAGTGATCTTTCCTGTTGGGTTAATACCATCTTCTTGAAACCGTCCAAGATTCTTACGGCAGGCCCTCCCAGCAACGGTGTCGATTGGTTTGTTTTTCTTTTATTATGTGACAAACGCAGCGTCTGCTATGCAATGCGCTGTGATATCGGCAATGCGCTGTGATATTGAGAATCAAGCCGACCGAAAGCCAGAAAAGCCACTGGAAGCAGCAATACCGACTGTGTTTAGCTGTGGGAAGCAGTGGTGGGAAAGAGGGAAGGTGGTAGAGGAGGGAGGGGAGGAAGAAAAGAGGAGAAGCAGACGGAAATCCAGGTCCTTTATTATGGAGGCGAAAGTGGAGGCCGCTAGGCAAAACAGGAAAAGGTGTCCCTACCGATAAGAAAAGACACACATGACCAACTGCTATTTTCACTGAATGCTAATCCTTGGCTATCTTTCCTTCCCTAGCACCTGGGGATCGATTGCACTGCAGGGGAGTGTGCCAGGCAGTAATCTCCTCGTGGGGAAAAAATCTGATGGTGGCGAACGGTCTGACCGCGGTCCAAGTGCCAGCGATGTGGCCTTATCTCAACATCTATAGTATGCTGTGCAATTTTCCAGACAGGGTCTCTGTGTGAGACATCTTGCAGAAATGTTCACTCGAGTTCATATCGCCGGTGACTCGTGTCTGACGGTTCTATAGATGCGCCCTCCCCACTCATTTGCACACCGTCGAGATCTTTAATCCGCTCTCGCCCAATCACGGTGCGCTAGGGCCCCGCCAAGCCTTCCTGAAAGAGGTCTGTTGTGAGGATCGTCTACAACCTGTTAAGGAAGCGAGAAGAAGCATACAATTATGTCTATCACGGCCATATCAAATTACAGGGAAAGAGTATGCCCGACAGACCGCTCGCCATGAGGAAATGAAAAATAAAGAAAGATAAATCGTTGTAAAACCTGTGCCGACCAAAGAATGTCCTGCTGCGCCGGCTAATCCATAATCATGCGGCCCCGATGTCAGATAATACTCAACAGAAAATAAAGCAAACCAGACAATAGAAAAATCAACAAGAGGGTGCCTCCGGATTCTCCGGAGCGTTGGTGATCTCAACGGAGCGAGTCTCCAGCTCTTTGGGTAATATCCCATGGGCGCCGGGCACACCGACGGGAGGTTCAGCGGCGGGCGCCGTCAGCTCCGACGCGGCTGTCTCTGTTGTCTCCGATGACGGCTGGTGAACGGAGGGCGCTGCGCTAGAGGCGGATCCCTCGGCTTGCGGCCTCGGAGAAGTGTCCTCGATATGCTCCGCAGACTCGTCGCCTTTCTCTTCGTCGCCGATGATAGCGGCTAGGCTTCGGAAGTTGAACATGGGCTCGAGAGAAGGGTTGCTACTTCCATCAGCAGAGGAAGGGCATCCGGTGCGATCCTCTGGGGTCGTTTCTATCACAGAAGAGAAGGAGGAGGATGTCGATACATGTCGTAGATGGGAAGGCCGTGACCCCTCAGGAGCTGCAGACTGCTCGATGGCCTGGAATGTAGAGGTCGGCTCTGCTGGATTGGCGCTGTTCGCGGGAGAAGACAGATTCGGGTCCTCTGCAGCTGGGGGCACTCGATCGACTGCCTTGCCTTTGCCCGCTGCGGTGGCGTCGCCACGATCGATTGAAGAGGCGCTGCTGGCCATCTTTCCTGACCCCATTCCGGGTATATCCAATGCTGAGGTGCTGACACTTTGACTATACAGACCAGTCTTGCGCGCCACTTTGTCCGCCTTTTTGGCTTCCTTCTCCCTCCGCTTGGCCTCTTTCTTGATGTCCTTCTCTTCCCTTTTCCGGCGCTCCTCTTCGCTGGCCAAGCTCAGTCGAATCGCTTCCATCATCATCATCTCCTCCAAATCATCGATGCGGGTACGTCTGGAGCTGCCACGCGGCGGAGCCAAGGTTCCCGATTCTTCCTCACCAGTGTCCAGTTCAGGAGGTCCAGCTCCGCGCGCGGGAGCTGCCCTCTCCGCTCGTTCGGTTAAAAAAGCCAACGCATTAAGTGCAGGTGAGCCGGTTCGCCCGCCGGGTGATTCGTCTGCAGTAGCTCTTCGCATTCCTCGGCGTGCCAGACTGAACCCACGGGAGTCGCCCCCAGAACCGTTTGAGTTCATTAGATACGCCGCGGTGTGCAGAGCGGTTGCAGCTGCAGACCGCCGGGCTGCATGTGCTCGGGCGTTCGCTAGCTTCTGGGCCCAGTCGGGCCGGACACGGTCAGTCGTGACCACAGATGGGTCAGTAGCGGATAACGAGGTGGCGCGTCGGCGGCCCGGAATGGGAGCACCGAGATTTGCAGATGATAATGAAGAAGTAGATGACACTGGCGAAGTGATGTGTGGAGAAGGGCGTATATTGGGATCTGCGGCGTAGGTCAAGCCGCGGCGGAACGGGGGGTGCGCATAGGTTATTCCAAATTCAGGTTGAACGCAGAAGGGACACGCGGAGGGTTCGGAAACTAGTTGGCCTTCGACGGACTCGGGCTGTTCTTCACCCTCGGCGGGAGGGGGGCATTGGGGTCTGCGTGCTCTGGAGGGTGGGGGTCTGGACGCTTGATCTGAACGAAGCATTCGGAGCAGATGGGTTGGTCACAGCATCTGGTACGGTTCAAGTATGGAGGATAGTAAAGGAAGCAGATGGGGCATTCGCTCGCATCTTTGTACAGATACACCTCGATTGGCTGTCCGTTGACAAACGGGTCCTTTGGGAGCTGCAGCTCTCGCGGAGTCAGATCTGTCTGCGAGCTGTGTCGAGAGGATGTTGTCAGCGCCGCGAGGGTCTTTGCCCTTGTCCGGAAGAGAGGTGAAGTGGATGTGCCGGACGCGACCGGGGGCTGAGCGTGGGTGGAACTTTGTGAAACGTCAGAGTTGTAGGACTGAGAACGTGCCGTTATGGGCACCGTCAAGTGCTGGATGTTGGCTGGATCCGCTGGCTGTTTGGTTTCAACGGGCCTGGGCAGCTTGTATTCCAGCTCTGGGGGAATCTCATCCGGTGGGGGAATGGGCATGCCCCGTGCAGCTGCCATGAGCTGATGTTCCGCCCACGAGTCGGAAAAATCGTTCAAGCCTCTCCAGAATGGGGCCATGCGGCGTTCAATCTGAAGGATCGGTTGTCAGCATGCACTTGCAACGAGGGGTATCAGGGCACCCTACCATCAATTGCCGCACGACCGCCTTGCTGAAGTCTTCCGTCCCTACATATACTCCTTGTGTCACCAAGTAGCCTCCGTCTACATGTTCTTCCTTCATGCTGCGTTCCCGTTCCTTGATACGGGCCGTGCGTTCCCTCTCCAGGCGGCGTGCTTCTCGCTCCTGTTTTGTCTCTCGTCGATGCTCCAGGGCTGCGATATCTCGATCCCGACTGTGACTGGAGCCGATCCCAAGAATGGAAAGGTCTGGTCCGCTGCCTCTGGAACGGCCACCGTGTTGATATGGCGAGCGCTCGGAGCCACCGGAAGTGCCTGCGGGAGGCCATTGATGGCTGCGGCGACGCAGCGGAGCAGTGGAACGCGCCTCCTTGGTCTGTGAGTTACCCATGATGGGGGGAGATAAGGGGGTTGTGGTCGGGAAATGGGATTGCGGATAATAGAGGGATCACCGTGTCAATACGGCGTTGGGTCCGATGCTGACAGCGAAGGCGGAACCCCCACAAGGGGAGGGTGCAAGGTGGAGTCGAGAACGCCAACGGGGAAGAGAGAACGCGGAAGTCCAAACAGAAAGGGGGAGAAAGCAGAAGGTGGTGTGTTAGAGCGGAGGTTGAAACATGAGGACGGCGTGGAGGCGAAGCTGGGGGAGGAGCGGGGGGGAAGTGGGAATCGGTGAGCGAAGACGGAGAAGACGGGGGATGCGATGGCGCAAGTCAGATAAATGAGCACGGATGTCGGCGGGAGAATAAAGGGATGCGCGAGGTCGCGATAGACAAAGATATCCCCAAGTGTCTAGAATAAGAAGTGAAGAATACAGAAAGAAGAAAGAAAGCCAGAAAGACCGTCGGGTGCGAGTAACAGGTGACGGGCGAGATCGCTCTGATTACATCAGTTGCCGGATTACTTAGTTCATCTTTCATATGATCTGAGGGATCCCCGTCTATACTCGGAAGGAGCGTGTCGATCAACACCAATCCTACACATACTTTGCATGTACAATGATCATTTCATAATTTCAGGGAGAATGTTCAGAATGTCCTTTGCTGTGACGGTGATGATGGAAAGGGAAGGCGGTCATAGGGGGCAGTTTGGGTTAAAAAAAGTTGTGCCGTCTCTCTCGTGTCTCTCTCCCACCAAACACACCATGTCAACACTTCCCCGGCGATGACAGAAGCATTAACCCGGCTTCATATCACTCCTTTTACCCCGGAGATTCTGCCGTCGGTGCTTCCCGCCTCCCTCCGACAGTCGGCGACAGATATCTCCTTCCATTCCATCCCCACGTTCCTTGAGAACAGCTACGGCTACGTCACATTGCCAGCCATGGAGGCGGAGAAGATCAAGAAGAAGTTTAATGGCTCGTTCCTAAAAGGCAAAAAGTTCAAAGTCGAGACCGCTCGGCCTCAAAAAAGACAGCGACCCGACGAAGAGGCCGGGGCGGAAAATGACACGAAAAAGAAATCCAAGAAGTGCAAGCCGGAGGATGACGTATTGGATGGTGTTGAGCTGCCCGCAGACCGCAAGGTGAAGCGAGGCTGGACGGAGTCAAGCACTGCGAAGAAGGAACGGCGGATGGGAGAGAAAGACAAGGAGAAGAAAAAAAGCAGCAAAGACAAGAAGGATAAGACGCAAGCCAAGTCCAAGTACACTGAGAAGTCAGAGTGTCTATTCCGCACTAAGATCCCACCAAATCGAACTGCGGACGATGCGGCCGACGGCAAAAAGGCTAAGAAACGGAAGCAGTCGTCGCAGGAATCGGTTGTCCATGAGTTTGCCAAGACGGTCACCCAGCCGAGTTTCTTGCGAGATGCAAAAGAGAGTGCTGCACCTACTGCGACATTTGAGGAGGGGAAGGGCTGGGTGGATGCGTTGGGGGAGGTGAAAGAGCCCGCCAGCGAGAAGATCAGAAAGGCCAATTATCAGCCGGGCAAGGTTGCGGGTGCTAAAGAGAAACGAAACGCTGGCTCAATGAAGAACAAAAGGAAGAACACAGCCAAGGCGGAGCCATCGGACGGCTCATCGTCTGAAGACTGGACCTCCTCCAGTGGGTCATCGGATGAGAGCTCGGACTCGGAAAGCAAGGACGATACGCCCAGCTCGACCAATGCTTCGGCGGCGTCTCCTGCAGAGAGAGAAAATGCAAATCACGCTGTGCCTTCCAAGCCTGAGGTAGCCGACGCTGCGGAGACTACCCAAGAAACAACACAGGACGAACGCTCCGATGAACCCACACACGAGACAGTTGCTTCTGCCAAGGAAGTTCACCCACTAGAAGCTCTTTTTAAACGGCCCGGCCCAGTTGCATCTGACGTACCAGCTGTGCCAGATGCCAACGCCGGTTTTAGCTTCTTTGGAAATGATGATATCGAGTCTGAAGAGGAACAGCCGCGAATGACCGAGCCTCAGACTCCATTCACCAAGATGGATCTCCAAGCACGAGGCTTACGGAGTGCGGCGCCAACGCCAGACACGGCGATGCTTGGTCGACGCATGAAATGGAACGACTTTGATGAGATGGAAGATGAGGATGAGGACGATGTCAACAATACCCCCGTCGCCAAGACCCGGAATTTCGAGGTTCCTCAAGAGGAGACCGAGTTTGTGAAATGGTTCTGGGAGAACCGCGGTGAGAATAACCGGGCGTGGAAGAAACGTCGGCGCGACGCTGGCAAGGAGGAGCGGCAGAGAGAGAACCGAAAGAAGGGCCTGAAGGGCAAGTCCTGATTCTGAGCGATTTGTGCATATACATATTCTGTAGCATCTGCCAACTATACTACTACTCCTTGACTATAGTTATCAATCCCTGGTTCTTATGCTTGATTCTCCGTCAGGGCTAGTTAGTTGATCACCTGACCCGATAACGCGATAACAAGTCAATGACCGCGAGGCTCTTCACACAACTATCCATCACCCCCTGTTGCAAGATGGATCGCACGACGTCATTACAGGGCAGCAGTTGGCTGCTGCTGCTCCTGCTGTTCTTCTTCGGCTTTACATCGTTGAGTCTTGCCGGTTGTGAGTACCACCCGACCCACGAAAAAGAGAGAGGAGAGAGAGCAGCACGAGCCCGATCCTCGAAGAAACAACTCCCAGAAAACACATCCACCGCCGGCACGCTGCAAGAAAAGCTGCTAACCATCACGTTAAATAGCACCCACCTCATTCTGTAAATGCACCTGCTTCTCCAACAGCACCATCATCCCCCTCGATCCCGCCAAATCCACCAGCAGCTCCTCGCCCCTCGACAACGTGCTCCTCAAATATCGGCATCTCAGCGCAGGCACGCAATCCGAACACATGGAAGACGCTGCAAATGAATACGAGAAGCGCGCTGCAGCCAAGTACCGGCCACTGACTTGCAACGACTGCAATCGCAAGTTCTGTCTGGACTACGAACTGCCGACCTGCAAGGGTGCCAAGGAGGAGGATGTGTTTACCACGTGCTTTCGTAAGTGGGGGTGTCACAGCAGGAAGTGATCGTGTGGATGTTAGTGGTGACTGACTTGACCAGAGCGCGATTCGCAGAAGGATGAGGCGGTGGTGTTTATTTTCATTATTGCGACGGGGGGGTTGGTTGCGTGGGCGGCGCTGAGGCCGTGGGTTCAGAAGTGGCTCGAGGTAGGTCTTCTGTCTCTCTCTTTTGTACATGGATTGATCTCTAACTGTTCTCACTGTCAGGCGGCCCGCGAGCGAAGATCGTATATCCCTGTGGCCCAACCGGAGACCCGGTAGTGTGTTAGCTAGTTCTGTATATGCGTTGTGGGAGGTTGACCCAATGAACATACTTACTTCCATATCTACTGCGTATATAGTCACCATCTCAATCAGACCAATTGAGTTAGTGATCTTCAATCACACGGTGTGCGGATGCGCAAGCTCCCGATTGGAATACTAATCGAGTCTGGCCCCGATCGCGGTGTGGAGCAGGGCCAACGGCTGTGGTTTCATGTTTCAGATTGCCCGGGCCGACCGGACTGACAGGAAGATGGCCATGATAATACGGTTGGACAATAGGGAGTACAGTAGGGAGCGAATAATCGATCGAGATACACCGTACATACATGGTAGGACGCGATGGGCCTGGCATTCCACGCGCAGTGATCTCATCGCTGAATGCAGGTTTTCGTTGGAAACGGGGATCATGTATTCCTGCAATTAAAGACCCTCCTCCCCTCCTGGTCTTCTTTTTCTTCCCACACACACTCTTTCTCTCTTCCTTCTCCCCCATTCACTCCTTCATTCCGATCGGGGAGTCGGTAGTCACCTAACTACAAGCCTCAAGTGATCGCCCAGCCTAATAATACTCAATTTGTGGCGCGCCCGTTTTTACTCCACCGATCACCGCGATGGCCATCTTCGACGCGGAAAAGCGGCCTCGCGGGCTGCGCATGCCGTCTTTGTCCGCCATGAAAGGCGGCTCGGCAGCTTCCAAGTCACAATTCACACTACACAGCATGCACAGCATGCACAGCAAGAAGTTCGAAGAACTCACCGCGAACGACTTGCCGGCCATTCCTCCGCCTCATGCCGCCGCAACCATCTATCCCTCTCCGCCACCACCACGCCCGCCTCCTCCACCCAGCAAGGAACTGCCGCCAACGCCCGGGGAGCAGCCACTGCCTGCCGCGCCGCCGCCGCTGCCAGCAAAATCCATGAGCCCGCCCACCCCGCCTTCCAAGACCCCGACGACAGGTCTGCGATCCGCTAATGCGCCTGCTCGCAAACCGCCAGCTGCGGGTAATGCGTTCGCCATTGAACAAGCTGCTGCTGCTCGTTCGCCGCCTCCACGTCCTACGCGAGCTACAGATCGTCCAACGCTGGAGAGCTCTCCGCCGCTCCAGCCACAGTCGGTGACCCTCTCCCCCTCTACGAGCGAGCAGTCGGTTCAGTCTTTGCGACCTGGCCGATCTACAGATAGACTTCCGCTCGATTCGCCATCTCAGCCGAAACCACTACCGCAACCGCAATTGCAGTCGCTATCGCAATCGCAATCCCAGCCACAACTACAAACACGAGCGCAGCCAAAGCCAGATCCACTACCTGAGCCGCAACCCCAAGCACAAGCACAACCAAAGCCACGCCCGCAACCGCAACCTCAAGCACAAGCGCAGCCAAAGCCGCTCCCCAAGCCACAACCTCCGACACAGTCGCAGCCCGCAAAACCTACGTCCGCCGGGCCACTGTGCAGCGGCTCCATCACCACACTCGAAGACTTCAATCTCTCCCCCGCAGCAATGGGAATGGGCGACCCATTCGACAGAACATCAAGCGATGAGCAGGACCCAGTGCCTGACACGCCCCCCGTAGAAGTGGAGATCCAGCCGGCGCCGTTGAAACCAGTACATTTCTTCTGCTTTCAGGAGCACCGCGCCATGCCCGTGTCCCAGAACGTGTGGCATCCCGTGCCTTGCATGGCATGCCAAAAGCGAGACACCGAGATCCGGCATCGCTGTGTCTTCTGCGATCTACGCATATGCCAAGGTTGCTACAAGAAGTTGGTGCAGTCTCGGCAAAGGTCGTTGCAGGAGATGATGGGTAGCCTGCGTTGATTCGTCTCGTTTCGTTTATGCCAACCAAACCAGGGAATCATGGGATAGAACGGGATGGGACTTGCGGCGTCTTTGTGGTCCAGTGTTCATGTTCAGGAGTGGAATCGGATGGGGGCTCCAGGTCTATGGCGAAAGTGTCAGTTATGTCTTTATTTTGCTTTTGATGATACCAAGGAACGTCCGTGTACATTATTTACCCCGGATGGTGACAAAAACATCGCATGGCATCGTCTGCATGTCTTTAAGAATATGCCTTCCATTCAATCATGATCCTCCTCCGTGAGGCCAGGACAGCCCTCCAGCTCCTCATCCGTCTCGTAGCGATACTTACACCAGAAGCAATACCGATATGTCTCACGGAGGAAGACAACCAGCTTCTGCAGCTTCTCCGCAGGTTCCAAGGCATTAAAGGCGTCCAGCTCCGGGTCCTCTTCCTCGAGTTCCTGCTCAAACGCAGCGGTATGCGGATCAAGCCGAAGGCCCAGTGCTTTCTGGTCATCTCGTTCGAGAGTGTCGTCGTATGTGGGGAGGCGCGGATTGGGGAAGAAGGACGAGGGCAGCGAGGTTTGGAGGGCGTGGCGGGCGTGGAGATCGCGTTCGCGCTCTTCTCGCTCTCGTACCAGCCCGCGATAGAGTACATTCAGCTTGGCAGTCGGTTTGACGCTTGGTTTCTTATTCTTGGTGTGCGACGCTTCAGGTGTGGCGTGCTCATCAGTAGGCTTTGCGTCATTCTTGGCTCGAGGTTTATTTCCACCATCGTTAATGTCGTCTTGCCCGTCCTCGCTATCTCTCTTCGCTGGTGAAGCTGATGATAATGGCTCCCCCTCTGCCTCGCCATCCAGCCTCTCCGCCACCTTCTGCGCAGCCCGCACCTGGGCCTCCGTCCGGCGCAGCTCACGTTCCTCCCTCACACGATCACGATAGTCACCTTCCTCGTGCTTGATTTTCTTCACTGCCTCAGCTGCCTCTTCCCGGATCTTGCGCTTCTTCTCGCTATCCAACCCAATGCCGCCGCGATCCTCCTTGAACACGAGATTCAGCGGCTCCGAGCGAGCAGCGCCCAGACCCAGGCCCGGGCGCGGGCCCTCAGCCAGTGGCGCGGTATCTTCGGGTGCAGTAGCTACTGTCTCGCGTTTGCCGAGTGATTCGCCGGGCTTGAAGCCCAGCTTCGCCATCATCTGGAACCCCTTGTTGGAGGGGTCGAGCGTGCTGGTGGCTAGGGCTTCTTCGCGGCGGGCGGCTTCTTGCGCGGCGCGCTCGGCTTTGGAAGGGACTCTGGCGCGGGCTTCGGACTAGTCATGGTTATACGGATGATCAGCCAGTGTCTTTTTCGTGTGGTTGTCGGCCAGTTGTCGGCCAATCGGGCGCAACAAAAACTCACCTCGCGTTGTTGGCGCCGCTTCCGCTGGGTAAAGGTTTCTTTCTGCTGCGCGGGCTCCTCGATTATCATTGACATGTAGTCATCCTCTTCATCGTCGGGGGACGGCATTGTGGTGTGGGTGGTGTGGGTGGTGGTTGAGAAGAACAAAGAAAGAAAGACAAAAAAGATGGTTTTGCGGGGAAGTAAAGTGGATCGGCCCTTGCATCACTTGAAACCCATCACTAACACTCACCAGGTCACTTCACAGGATGCTCGAATCGGAGGTATCGCTGATGCCTGAGATGAATTGAAACTCTTTTGAATGAAAGAGCAAAAAGAAAACCAATCGACAAAAAGAGATGAAGTATACAAGTGGATGCTCAACAAGGACGGCCTAAACGATTACGCCAAACGAGGCTAAACGAATCTCCGCTCGGAGCCTCCGCTCGGAGTCTTGTTCTGAGCCCGAGATTGAAGGATGGATGTAACAGCGACCGACTAGTTAGCTGCGACATTCCGCGGCCAACTGGTTAAAATGCTCCGGTCTCGCTCTGTCGCTCTGCCTCCTTCCAGTATTCATCCGTCCGAATTCCCCGTACAGCATGGCGCTCGCTCGCTCCATCTCACTGTGTTTCTTTCTCTTTCTGGCCTCTGCGCAGGCCGCAGTCGTCGACTTGGGCTATGCCAGCTACATGGGCCGCTCGCTGTCCAACGGCGTCTCGCAGTGGCTCGGGGTGCGCTTTGCCGCGGCGCCTATCGGACCTCTGCGCTTCGCAGCACCGCAGGACCCTCCCAAACAGGCTGGTGTCCAACTGGCAAACAAAGTAAGAGATCACTCGGTTGTTTATCATAATTTTTTGATGCTGATTCCACCTTTCGTAGCATGGGGACCTCTGTATTCCCACTGCGGAGTATCCGATCCCGAGTGGGACCTCGGAGGACTGTCTCTTCCTAGACGTTTACGCCCCCACGGGGGCAGCAAATGCCGCTGCCAAGCTACCGGTCTTTTTCTGGATCCAAGGCGGCGGTTTTGCGGCGGACTCTAACCCAAACTACAATGGGTCTGCCCTGATTGAGGCGTCGGATAAGAACATCGTCATCGTCACCTTCAACTACCGTGTCGGTCCTTACGGCTTCTTGTCTGGTAAAGAGGTTCAGGACGGTGCCAGTCTGAATAATGGTCTGAAAGATCAACTCAAGGCACTGGAGTGGGTGCAAAAATATATCAGCAAGGTATTTATTGGCTTGGCAGTTCTCTGTTTCGTCATGCCCAGCCCTAACTGATTTCTTATATATAGTTCGGCGGTGATCCCGATCATGTCGTCATCGGTGGTGACAGTGCTGGCGGTGCGTCTGTAACGCTGCTGCTTTCTGCATACGGTGGTAGAGACGATGGTCTTTTCCACGCCGCCGCCGCGGAGTCGCAGAGCTTCGCCACCATGTTCAACGTGACGGGAAGCCAATTCGCATACAACAACCTCGCCGCCCGTACGGGGTGCAACACGAGCAAAGACAGCCTGGAATGCCTGCGCAATCTAAACGTTACCGCTCTGCAGAAGCAAAACATCAACACGCCCTTCCCTGGTGCACCTGGCTCACCTCTGTACCTCTACGGTCCCACGGTAGACGGCGACTTGGTGCAAGACGACACATATAAACTCTTCGCGGAGGGCAAGTTCATCAGAGTCCCCGTGATATTCGGCGACGACACAAACGAAGGCACGATCTTCGTTCCCCAGAGCACAAACAGCACAGACGACGCCGACGCATTCATCAAGGACCAGTTCCCTGCCATTACACAACGACAACTCGCAACCATCAACAGAATCTACCTGAACCCGTGGCAGACAGAGTCATTCCCCAATTCCGGAATCTACTGGCGTCCCGCAGCGACAGCCTACGGTGAAATGCGCTACATCTGTCCAGGAATCGACATGTCATCCATCTATGCGGCCGCCGGCCTGCCAAGCTGGAACTACCACTACGCCGTGCTAGACCCGACATCCGAGAGCGAGGGCTACGGCGTCTCGCACACGATCGAAACAAACGCCATCTGGGGACCAGATATGGTCAGCGGCACGCCGCCTGCGTCCTACTATACCACCAACGCGCCAATCATCCCCATCATGCAGGGATACTGGACCAGCTTTATCCGGTCGATGAACCCCAATACGCATCGTGATCCATCTAGTCCAGAGTGGGAGACTTGGGGACACGGCAGGGATGCCTATCGACGGATTTTTCTGCGGACGAACCAGACTGCTATGGAGACTGTGCCGATGGATCAGCGCAAGAGATGTCAGTTTTTGACGGGCATTGGCGGGCAGTTGCATCAGTAGATGCATTCTATATCCTAAATTCATGCGCAAATTAGCGGTGGTTGGGGTGGTTTGAAGTGAAGGAGGAGTATAAGTATATAGCCAGTGGTATGGGGGTTTCAGCTATGCGCACCAGCAATTCATTTGGAGAGCCCTACTTATTTAGACATATTGTATACGTACGTTCAACCTATATACCTAAGAATAGTTATCCTTAGTACACTTTGTAGTGAGTTATGCTTCCTTTATGTTCCCTTCACCCCCCTGTGCTAAAATCGTTGAGACGCGTCCAACACTTTTGATCTGTTAATAGGCTCCAGAAAGCTACGAGGGCGCGAATAATTGAATTATAAGTTAACTAGCGGGAGAAATATTCTAATGCTGCACATATACTAGGTTTTATCTGCCTTTTTGATAATGAATGACTGTAGGGCGCAACAACCTTGCCAAGGACAAAATATTAACATGACTATTGTGTGTTTTGTGAGAGTTATACTATAATACCTCTTATATCTTATAGGGATAGCCAAGTGTTTGGTTAAGTTGATCTATAGATTCGAGTTCAAATTCAAAACATCACAATTTGGAGAAAACTATCAGCTAGCAGGTCTTGAAGATCGAACACTATACCAAAAGACACGAGATAAACTCAAGCGACAATCTACTTCACTCCTCCAATTTGGACCCCAACCTCAAGGACTGGCTTCATTACTTCCGTGCAGGCACATCGCCTAGAGTGATAACAATGTCTTCCGATTCAAGGTCTTGATAAACCCCATATCTCCCAGTTGACATGCTAAACAAATCAGAACTCAGTAAGCGACCATTAAATAATCCCATGGATGATTCCGCAATGGCTTACCTCCACGACAGATTGCCAGTGCAATAATACTTGCACCCGAGAATAAAGCTGTCGAGCATTTGAGCCACTTCGCGGTTGTTGGAATGCCGCATTCGAAGCCTCTTAGCTGAGATGTCAAATTCTTTGATCGTAAGCCGGATTGTGTGCATAACTTGGTCCACTGCTTTCTGGGCAGATCCCAGTTCTGCAAATAAAATCGGGACCAAGCTTTCGGCGGATCCTTGTGCCTATGGATTGATTAGAATATATTTGGCTCGAAGATACGGAGTTAGACTCACAATTTCTTTCTTAACGGACAAGAGATCGTTTACACTGGTGGGCTAGTCAGTACTTTTGTTTCTGCTATCACTGTTGACAAAAAACCTACTTGCAGATGTTCACATTGGTCAGATCCCACAGCTTGTCAAACTCTGGGTCATCAGTCACCTCGGGGGGCAGATGGGTGCCATTGCAGAATCTGAGATTTGTCAGTTGGCAACTCCATAGATAACCAGGTAAACGAGAATGAGTTTACTCATTGATAGCCAGCACAACTCGGACTGCACTAGTGCCGAGACGATATCTCGAGAACTCGTCCACTGTCACCAAATCCTCCTTTAACCGCAGGGCTTGTTCTGTCTCTGATTTATCCATAAAAAATCGAAATTCATGTAGGAATCTCTCTCGCTGATCTGGGAACCCCGTATTTTGTTATTATGAAGTCCAATTCGATAGGGAGGAATGGATTTGCTCGTACCGCGACTGCATGACTCGCGCAAAGCGTCACCGATAACATCAAAGCTATTAATGACCTCGTTGCTGCTTTGCCACAAAGTCTTGGATTCATCTAGACCCAATCGACTCCTCACAAAGTCAAGTGTTTCCGCGCGGTATTCCTGCCCAAGCTCGAAGTCGCCGGCCAAACTCCCGACGTCGGAATCCAGCTCTAGTGCCCGTGGGTATACCCGTCAGTATGCGAAGAGGTAGGATGTTTCGCTGCAGAGGAAGGAATTACCGTCGTCCCACATGAATAACTTCTCACCATTAGCTTAGTGTCTTATCATGACATGGAATGATTTTCATACCCATAGCGAGAGATACGTAGCAATAAGCAAGCCTTCATAGCTAGCGTTCGGCCACCATGTTGCTCCGAAAAGGCCATAGTCACCCTGCAGCAGCTTATGGAGCTTAGGATGGTGGGGGAAACGACTGTTCCTGAGAGTTAGCCTGCAAGTCTTCAGGTCCTTTGACGAACCCAAATCCCAATGTACCGTACCGCGTCACCATGTAGTTTACATCATACCGAACTTGGTCCACGTAAGAGTTCACTTGGAATGGCCAGTTGCGGAAAGACGAATGAAGTCCTTTGATATGCAAGGTCTGGTTCTGAAGCTTTTGAAGAACGTTCTGGCGAGAGATTGAGGCCATGGCGACGGTGTGGCCAAAGTGTATAGCAAAGGAAATGCTCTGAAGCTCCCGCTGCGTACCAGGCTTCGTTTTTATTAGCTAATAGTAGTTTATTAATTGATATTCATAACTACCAACAAGACAGCCACCATCAAAAGTCGCCCACCATGTCCCGAGGTCCTTTTATCCGGCCCTGAATCCTTCTGTCGGAACTATTGACGTCGACATTCTTCACTACAGGCACTAGTTCTATCACGATCACAAATCGCATTTCTGTCCGCCTTAAAATAAGTGGGCCAACAGCCTTGATGGCCTGCACGATGTGACTCTAGACACACGGCATACATGTACGGGTCTTAGCGTTGGGGCCAAGTGGGTTGCAACTCCAACTGCAGGGTTTCTGCATATACAACATGCAGATCCCGTCGGTTTTTCCTCAATGAGTTTGGGGGCCGTAACAACAACCAGACTTTCTCTGAATCTTATTTGCGCAGATCCCGGCCCCTCCTTTTGTACATGTTGATATTCTTAGTAGCAAAAGGCTGCGTCATTTTATGCAGAAAGTGGGTAATTCAGGATGCGTATGGGGGCCTTAACAAGGATCTGGCACATAATACATGGCGTTCTTACTGGCGTCCCTACTTTGAACCCCAATTGTGCCTCGTTCCCGCTTCTCTGTCTTTGTTTTCTAGACATTCGCTGCATGTACGCATTTTCTTCAATCTCTTAACCTCACATCGCGATACGTGAACCATGGCTTCACAAGTGCCTCCACAAGTGCCAGTCAGAGGAGCAACGGACTATCTTGGTGCCCTTGGACCTGCGATTGTTGGTGTCAGTGTGTCGCTGTGTGCCTTTGCCACCATCCTTGTGGCCCTGCGTGTCTATACCTACTTCTTTGTGGTCAGGAACAAAGGGGGTTGGGCCCTTCTGTGGGCAGTTGTTGCTTGGGTATGTTCTCGTTACGATCGTTGCAAAGCAGAAATGTCTTCTAACAAAAAATAGGGACTCGGAGTCCCTAGTACTGTACTCTATTCTATTGCTGCCTACTATGGCGCCGGAAACCATATCTGGATTGTGGAACGAGCCCCCAAGCTCTCATCCGCGTTGCTGTTCCTCTGGATCACTGCGAACCTCGTCTGTTTCTCAGTGGGGTTTGCAAAGCTCAGCATGACTATGTACATTCTCGAGGTACAGGATCGAACCTACAAATGGGGAAAGTGGATCCTGCTCGGCGCGGTGGGTGTGAATGTATGTTGACTAACATCTCTTTTTGTTTGCCGACGACTCCCGCTTACTTTGGATGATACTAGTTCATGTGCTACATTGTCACCATTCCCATGGTTTTCACACAGTGCACCCCATCAGAGAAGCTCTGGTACCAAACCTTGCCTGGTAATTGTGACGGGACCCATCGGGCATTTTATTGGGCCATCTGGACTGGTGGTGCGTTGTTTCTCCCCTTTCATCGATGCTGTCATTGCTAATAATCGTGATACCATATCTAGCTTGGGGCACTGCAACCGACTTATTACTCGCCATTTACCCCGTATTTATCATATGGAATCTCCGGATTCGCACCCAGCTCAAGCTGGTTATTTCCGTGTTGATGGGTCTCGGTGTTGTCACGGCTGCCTGCAGTCTGGCCAAGACAATTAATTATGGCCGTCTACTGGTTGCCACTGATCAAACCTGTGAGTCCCGTCCCGACCCTTTGCTGTGGGAGATTTTCCTAACCTATGTCTCATTGTAGACGAGATTGCGCCACTGATGATATACGGTATCACCGAGATGTGGGTCGTCCTTATTGCATCGAGCGGTGCTCCGCTGTGGCCGCTTGTTAGAATAATTGCGGGTGGCGCACGTCCCCAGTATGGACCCTCCAGCGCGTACGCTTCAAGCCGGAACGGGTACCTCAAATCCGTGGATACGAACCATGACCCCGTCGGTCTGCACAGCGTTCATGGTATCGCCTCGAGGAACCACCCAAGTCGAACCGGCAGTGAAGATGCAATGATCTCTCCTAGAGGCATTATGATGACGCAGGATCTGACCGTGAAGCACGAAAGTGTGAGACAAATGTTCTAGCTTACATTAGATTTGTATCTTGCTTTCTTTCGCTGGACGAAATTCTTCACGGGGTGGCTTGACGGCCTTCATTTACGAGCTATATTGATGTTACTTCCTTTCTACTTTTACTCCCCATTTGAACAAAGCCAATTGTTGTGTCTTGTCTCCTGCAAAAATAAATTAGATATTAAAATTAAGGATAAGGAGGGGCTCAATTTACGAACTGAAATTGGATTCTTCCTTACCAACACAGATATTATTACTTTACATTGGCCGCAGTTGATTGCACAATGCGAACTATCTCCTCGGGTTGGCTCAAAAAGGGGCAATGACCGGCATCGATCGTCTCAAGGATCAACTTTCCTCCCGCGTTCACAGCATCCTGAACCATGCCCTGCTGCAAAGGAAGCATGATCGCCAGGTCCTGAGCACAGTGCACGTATGTCGTAGGAAGATCTTTCCACGGGGCCCCTTTCATCGGGCCCAAGGCTGCACCCCAATTGTGGGTCACATTCTCTTTGGCGAACTCCTCAGCAGTCTTGGGTTCAAGGTCATTGTAGAAGGATTCGGGGGCGTTCTTAGCAAAAACAGTACCATCTCCGTTATTGCCGAGATCCACTTTGGATTGAAAGCCGTGCTTGCCGATCACATCTTCCAGTGTGTCCCCCTGTTGCAGTAACCATGCGCTGAGGTAAAGCAGAGATACAACGCCATTGCCATTGTTGGCGTACAGGTCTTGGTTGATAGCTTCCGAGGCAACCATGCCGCCGTAAGAATGGGCCAAGACCAGAATAGAGTGGCCCGTATCAGTGAGCTCCTGGGCCACTTTTCGGACCGCCGCCACATCATGTTCACGTAGTGCAGTGGGTGGCCGTTCATCACCGCATGAGGGCAGCCGGGGACATTGGACTACAAACCCCGCTTTGCGAAGTCGATTGCTCAATGTGCCCCACGCTGGCGGCAGGAAGTAACCGCCGTGGACAATGAGTATCGCTGTGGGTTTTGCGCTTGTCATGATGGGCGTGTCGTATTGCGTTTTTCGGAGTCACAAGGATGGATGGGAGAACGAGCAACCTTGGAGGTTTGGACAAGACATTCAAATAACAATAAAATGGCAGATCGTGGTAACTATTTGAATCTTGAATGAAGAGTGATTTGTGGAATTTGTTGCACTTACGTCAACGTCGTCCTGCAGGATCAGCCACCCTGCACGTTGACTTACATGGGTGGTGGGGCTGACGGCCCGCAATGGCCAAGGGGCTGCTCGGGGGCAATGTTGCAGAGGATACTTGAATCGGAAATGATTATCACTATGTACCATGTCATTCTTGGGGGCCAACCCCTCATTGATAAGGGACAAGCAGGGGTTCGATCCAATAACCGTCGTGGCTGTATCCACATGGACTTAATGCCAATGTGGCATGCAAAGGAGTAGTAACCCAGTGGCGCCAGACACTCCAATATCCTGAGAGTATTGTGCAATCTGCAGTCGGGTCGAGTGAAGGACTCTTTTCTATATTGCCGACATTTGAGAGTTCCTCCCGGGCTTGGGTTAAAATAATTGCAGATTGAGTGTGCTGGGTTTCCAACCATGCTTTCGTTCTTTTTCATTCTCTGGGGAATGGTGAGCTTCGTGCTCTACCAGATCTGTCTGCTTGTTTATCGTCTCTACTTTCATCCGCTGGCTCGTTTTCCTGGTCCCAAACTTGCAGCATCCACTTTCTGGTGGGAATGCTACCAGGATTTGTTCGTCGGTGAAGGCGGCCAGTATATGAATCAGGTGGAGGCTATGCATGATAAGTATGGTGAGTCAAGAGACTCCAAAGCTCTCAGCAAGAACATAATCCTCTAACATTGAACCGACAAGGCCCTATTGTCCGAGTAACGCCCGACGAGGTGCATATTCGGGACCCCGAATGGGCGCCGGTATTGTATGCTGGGCCGGGACATGTACAGAACCCCTCCCAGATTCTTCTATCCTCAAAACAGCTCATCCGGAACTGACTGGTATTCAAGATCCGAGACAAGGACCCTTCACTTGCACATGCGGCAGGAACGGCAGATGGGAGTATGTCTTGATGATATTTCTTGAGTGCAAAATCAGCTAACCCGGAGTTCACAGCGTTTGGAACCGTTTCTCATGAAATTCACCGCCGACGCCGAACCCCAATCAGCTCATACTTCTCCAAATCCTCGATTTACCAGTATTTGTACCCCAAAATCTGGCAAAAGACCGAGCATATGTGTGAGGTTTTGGAGAAACACTATCGGCAAGGCTCTGTAGTCAGTGGGAGAGCCACTTTCCTCGGCTGGTCAAATGACAGTCTCAGAATGTGCTCCTTTGGGGACAGTCTCAATCTGCTAGACGATCCCAAGCATGCCATGGCTTTTGATGAAGTGTTCAAGGCATTTGCAGTTTTGTATCCAATCCTGAAGCAATTCGGGGGGATTATTCCATTGATTCTGGAATTGCCCTTTGGATTCAGGCACATTTACAAGCCGCTTGACACACTTCTCACTGTCCACACTGTAAGTCATGTTTCTTTCTGGCAATGTGATTTCTGGATTTTGTCTCATACGATGCAGCAAATGATCAACATGGCCAAAGAGCATCGTGAGGAGTACCTGGCACTGAAGGGATCGGAGAAAGACGTGGTGTCCGAAGAAAACGCAAGAGGTCCTCGTCAGCATACCCTTTTTCATTCTCTCACTGCGAGCAGCCTGCCTGAAGATGAAAAACAACCTAAGCGGATGGCGCATGACGGCTTCGAAGTTCTGCTGGCTGGTAGTGACACGACCGCTCGCAGTATGGGCATTGCAACGTATCATATCATCGCGAATCCGGAAATAAACCAACGTCTTTATGAGGAGCTTAAAACTGTCATGCCAAATCCGAGGGATAAGGTAGAGCTCAAGGCTCTTGAAACCCTTCCCTTCCTGGTAAGCCGACAGGTCGTGTTTCCAGTAGGGAGAACAGGCTAATTTTCATTGGTATTTAGAATGCTATTCTGAAGGAGACACTTCGAATTGGCAAGGTCACAGATCATAGACTTAGCCTTGTCGCACCTAACGAGGCCCTTCAATATCAGAACTGGACAATGCCCGCAGGTGTGAGTATCCTACAACAATGCGAGATATTCAACGCAACAATCGAGAATGATATGACTGACAATACAAAAGACTCGAGTTTCTATGACTCCAACCAGGAACTCCTATGATCCCCATTTCTTCCCCGAACCCGAGAAGTTTGCCCCAGAACGGTGGCTTCAGTCAGAAGAGACAGTTGCGGCGATGAATCGCGTGTTCATGCCATTCGCGTATGGCCGACGAGGGTGTCTGGGGATGCAGTACGTCTTCGGTTTCAATACACTAACTTCAGTCGTAAACATATCAACTAACACAAATTTCAAATGCAGCTTTGCCCAGGCGGAGCTTCGAACAGCTCTCGCTTGTCTCTTCCGGCGCTTCGAGTTCGAGTTGTTTGATACAATTCGCAAGCGCGATATTGATCACACCTGGGCTCATATTTCCGGTGAGCCAAATAAAAAGGGCAAAGGCTTGCGATTTAAAGTGGTAAAGGTGTACTAAAGAGAAAGCGGTGGTACTGGTTGACTCTCTAACCAAATACAGTCAGTGAACGGAGAATATATGTGAGCTGAGTGTATTTAGTATAGTATTTTAGTATATAGGACTATAATAGTAGTATAGTAGTTCACAGTGTTTGACGTCATCTTTTTATATGAAGGACATAAGAAAAAAGAACGCACACGATCACCCGAGGAGTAGCGCCACCATGGGAATTGAGTAGGCACCCAGTCCAGCGACCTAGTAGCTGCCGTGGCAAAGGAGAGTGGGGTGAAAAACACTACCGAGTTATAAGAGGGGCCGGACATCCCTGCTTTCCTCTGGGAAATCAGTTTGCTGTACTTACGCCTAAGAAGATGACGGCCGACCCAGTTACTCTCGCCTCCCAGTCAGCAGCCCCCACTGTGCCAGAAAGACATTCATGATCGACTCCATTAACACTCAGCAGACCTCAAGAAACTCCAAGAGCATACCCATTTTTGAACAATGTAAGTGACCCCGCCTTCTTCTATGTGGGAAGAGCTAGCCTGCTTACTTGGCCCTCGAAAGTCGACCATCGAAACGAATCGCTTGGGTAGGTGCGTCAACCATATTTTATTCCGTTCAATCAATAACAGATATATTCCTATAGATGGTCAGCATGCAGTCTTTACCGTCCGCATTGGGGGACTATACCGAGCCCCATTCATGAAGGGGAAGTCACCTCCCCGAGTGCTAGACGTGGGCTGCGGGACTGGCATATGGACTCGCAGGTTTGCAGCTATGCATCCATCATCCCAAGTGTTGGGCATCGACCTCAATCCAGCTGCGGATATGTCTAAAAATGACAATGAACAGCTGCCTAACTGTACCTTTGCCAAGGCCGACTTTGAACAAGAGTGGACATTTTCTAGCCAGTTCGATTACATCTACATGAGAATGCTCATGGCAGCTGTGAAGGACTGGCCCGCACTGTTCCAAAAAGCGTTTGCAAACTTGCAACCAGGTGGCACGCTAGAAGTATTCGAAGGCTTGATGGAAGTGAATGCCGAGGACGGCAGCACGGCAGCCACCTCAGCTGCCATTCGCTGGTTTGAACTAGCTCAGGAGTACCTGGCTATGCACAATATTAAGTGGGATCTCGCGCGCAACCTTCCACAGCAGCTGCGTGACGCCGGATTTGAACTCCTTGAGGATTTGCCTATCAAAATGCGGTTGTACCCAGATTACCGGGACCCGGAAGCTGATCGGGTCTGGGTGGCTGAACAGTATGTGAAGGATATGTATGGTGTGGTGCATGGAATGACCATTCGCATGCGAAATGATCTCTCTCACAGGCTGTCTCCGGAAGAATGGGACGAGTTAGAGCGAGATGCCAAACGAGAACTCACTGAGGAAGCTAAGCAGCGAGGCTTCTTTACCACCCTGTAAGTCGATACTATATCTGTCACTTTTTGTGGAATACGTAGCTGATTGGCATTTTTCAGGTATGTTCGTGTTGCGCAGAAGCCAAACTAGGCATACAGCCTCAGTCTGCGGAACAGTGCTTGGTGGCTGGGGTCTCAAAAGGGCAACCACAACAGTTTACAATTGTCAGTCGCAGAATAAGAAGGAGGCTTGTTCACCAGTGTTTCAAATTCAATACCGTAATTTGTAGTCTCCTCTGAGGTCCCCGGGACGTCATGATTCATAATTAGGATATTAAAGCTGGATCCAATCTACAAAACACGATACGGTGGAGAAAAGATGGCGCCGGGATTGCAACTATCATACGTTAAGTAGATTGCATTCAGGACGCACCCCTGGTTCATCTGGAGTTTAGTTCCCTCTGGAGTTCCCACTGGCACTGTCAGGTACCCCTGCTCATAGTTCGTAGGCTACAAAAATGCGACACTTGTCCTCCGTCGCTTATACGCGTGGTCTTGCTACTACAGCTGCTGGTATTCGCTGCCTCTGCACTACACCTGGCCGAATATTGGTGCGTGCCATCTTTATATCTATGTACTATATTTTTATTCGTGTTGACTTGTTTTCAATTTGTCCGCAGATTAAGTCGCGACCATTTGATACATGGAAAATTCATGGTCTTTTTAATCCGGGGTAAGTAAATGCATTGGGATGAATCCTACGCTGTGGAGACAATAATACAAAGGGTAAATCGCAAGAGACTGTAACTGCCCAATCCCAGGGGAATAGTTAGTTTGAAGCGGTCCAGAGAAACAAGGACACCCGGTGAAGTCTTTCGCCCCCCGAATTGACCGGAGCTTCACCGGGTTTGCAACCCCTAATTCGGCTTTTCGTCAATGCTGATCTACTCACAAATGTTCCTGGTTCCTGGTTTCATACGAGTATCGGCCGATCAATCATCACATCACCCGTGACTTCAGCGGCAAATGCTAGGACGAGTTTCCACATCGGGTAAGTGGATAATGCAATGCCACCCTACGATCTGCAGGACAATAGGCTATTCTGAGTATAACCCGTTTCATCCACCAATGAAACGACTCCATTATTGATGAAAGTCATTATACTAGAGCGTTTCATATTCTTCAGACACGGAGTTTGTTCGTCTTAAATATACTTGATCCCCTTACTCTTACTCAACCCAAATATATCAAGGCATCGACTTCCTAATTCCCGGAGAAGGAATACTTCGTTACCCATTTTCCCAACCAACATCCACCATGAAGACGAATATAATTTCCTCGATCGTGCTACTTCCCTCTTCGGTGCTCGTGCTAGCTACACCGATGTGGGACCACATGCACGCACCTCATGCACCGTTCATGTCTTCATCGGTTTCTTCATCCGCAACCCCATCCGCGACTCGATCCGGAACACAGACAAGCTGCGCACCTGGCGGCTACATGTCCGTCTTGGGCGATTTTGACCTCCAGCTACCCATCGCGACCTCCAGCGGTGGATCCGCCGAACAAATCTCCGCAACAGCTGTTGCTGGCTGTAACGGATACCAAAATCCAGACTGGTTCTACTGGAACACTGCCAGCTCATACCTTGTGATGAAGGCCCCGCCGACCAGCACGCCCTGCGCCAAAACATCAGGCAGCGAGCATTGTCGCACCGAGCTCCGCGAGGCAGACCCGTCGAGCTGGAGTCCCTCGGGGACGAACACGATGACCGTCAAGCTCAAGGTCCCGCAGGCCGATGATGGCGATTACGGCACGGTCATCGGGCAGGTGTTTTCGGCAAGTTATTCAAAGCCTATCATCGAGCTCTACTATAACCCGCAGGGGGTTGTTACTGTCGGTCTGGAAACGACGACTTCGGGAGGAGATGAGAACTTCACGCAGATTGGGACTATTCCGGAGAATACCGTCTTCACCTATGAGTTGAACTACTCGAATGACGAGCTCACGGTGTCTCTTAATGGAGGGGCGGCCAACCATTTCTCTGTAACGCCGTTGGGTACGCCTGATGCTTACTTCAAGGCTGGTGACTATAACCAGGGGAAGAATGTGGCTAGTGAGGTTGACATCTACTCTATTGATGTAGTGCACTCCTGAAGTGTATGCGGATGATAGGGAAGAAGAAAGAAAGACCGGGGAAATATTGCGGAACAATTCTTACGCATTTTCTCATAAACAGTTCAAGGGAAGAATAGTGAAACCAAAGAATCTATTTTTGAAGTCCCACGCCTGTACCAGAGGAATAGAAAGTAATATATAGAGTAATATATAGACACAGCAAGACAGGAGGTATATGCATAGCCCAGGATCAGCGTTTGCCCTGACGCGCCCTCTTCTGGCGCTCGTAATCGTTCGCCGCACGACCCTCCTCGTTCTGAATCTCGGCCACAAGCCGCTTGTACTTGTGCTCGTACGCTGCATCGCGCTCCTTCTTCTCGCGCAGCTTCTCGCGTGCCACGAAGCTGGCGTCCTTGCGCAGCTCGCGGAGAGCACCCTTGCGCTCGCGTTTGTACTCTGCCTTGAGGCGGTTGGCCTCTGCGCGCTCGCGATCCGGATCGTAGTGCTTGTCCGGGTTGAAGTTCTCCTCGAACTTAGGGATGGCGGATTTGATGGCTAGGGGTTTGTGGTTGTGGAGGAAAAGAGGGCGGCGCGATTCCTTGGCGCTGGTGAGATGGGAGTCAAGAGTGTCCAGCGCGGATTGAGTAGACTCCCGGGCTGCGGCGAAAGATTTGTTCTTAAAGCACTGGCGGAGGTGCTGGAGGACTGCACGGGCTGGGGTGAAGATCTCCGTGAAGGCAGATTTTGAGGACCACAGGTCCGAGGCGGAGCGAAGGAGGGAGACGATGGTGGTGATGAGGGAGATCTTGAGGTCTTCCGCTGCCTGGGAGTCGGTGAGCGATGACACCACATCGCGGAAGTGCAGCTTGCGTGGGGTTGCCTTCTTGGATGATGTCAACAGCCGGACAGAATCTTGAGGTTTTCTAGAAGGAAAGAAGCCAAGGCTGGTGGCTGGCTCGATGGGAGCTAGGTTGCAGAGAGCATTCAGGGTGAAATTGATGAACTCGGGCATGTATCGTTTCGAGACAGTCTGGTACTGAAGACATAGGCTAGCGGCGAAAGAACCGGTTGCAAAATCCGCCAGGGTGTTGGTAGAGCACTGGCCAAGGTATCGGGCAAGGACTAAATGAGCTGGTGTGACCACTGCGTGGAAGTGATCCGATGTTGGGAAGATGGTCGAGATGCCTGTAAGGATCAGAAGGTCGCCGGGGAGGAGACTGAGCGGTCGGTTTTTGGACATCTCCCGAAGGCGTGCGCGAAACGCCGTGGCCACGTTCACGGGGTGCGTCTTGGCCAGCGAGTGGACGTGGCGCAGAATATTCTCCAAGACGGTGAATTGGGGTTGTTCAGTTTCATTGCCCACGTAGGAAACGTGCTCAACCAGGATTTCGGAAAATCGGCCAAGCTTCGCCTTATTCTCGGGGTGGAGGCGAGGATGGTGCAAGGCTCGAACACGCTGAATGACAGTTGGGAGATCCTGGACGGGCACGTCCTCGATAATCTCGAGAAACTGCTCATGGCTGTTGGGACAGGGGTATGTGAAGGCCAGCTTTCCGTCAGCGGCCCGGTCCACTTTGACGGCTGTCGATGTGGCACCAGCAGTGGTATTCGTAGGAAGTGTTAGGCCATTAATAAGCTCATCTTCCTGCTCATCTGTTGAATCGTCTTCCTCGGAAAGTTCTTCTTGCTCCATGTCGCTATCATCAAACTCGAGGCTTGCATCAGATCTCGTCTCAACCAGGTCATCGTCAATGATGAAGTCATCCTCGTCTTCGACGCCAAGATCGGAACGCGGTTGAAAAGAATTCGTGGGAAGTCCAAACGCCATGGCATCGTCAAAATCCGAGTCTTCGTCCTCGGCCTGTGACTCCTTCTGTTCTTCTTCTTCTTCCTCCTCTTCCTCGTCGCTTAATGGCTCACCGCGCATTCTTCGGACTCGGTCTTCTTCCAGCCGTTTTAGCCGTTCTGCTTCTTCCTCGACCATCTCCTCTGCAGTCTTCGTGCGATCCGTAGGCTGAGAACGCTTGTCAAAGGTCAACTGTTTGAGTCGTTGGTCGTATTCCCGCTCGGTGTCCTTGCTTTCTGGTCCTTGCAACAAAGCTGCGCGTTCCGGGTTCATGGCTGCTAAATCTTCCGTGACGGGCTCCGGCTTAGGCGGAGGCTTTACACCTCTCAAAGCCTCAAACAGATCAGGAAGCTCTTGGTCAAGCTTCTCCCGTAGGTCCTCGTCATCCTCTTTAGCCTGTTGCCGTTCGTGTTTGTAGAACTTCGACTTGGCAATGACTTCCTTCATGACCTCCGCTTTCGATTTTTTCCGCCCTGGCTGCTCCTCCTCCTCGTCATGGATAAAGTCCTCCATTTCTCCATCATCTTCAAGGAAACGCTTCCGTTTCCGTGGTGAATCTTCATCGGACTCCGCATCGTCCAAGTCACCCGCCTCGAAATCGTCCAGCTTCGCTCCGTCAAACGTCAAAGACTGGCCCAGGTGCGTAAGTTCAAGTTCGTCCTCCTCATCTTCAAGATTGAACATCGATTCCTTGCGCATCTTCCTTTGGCTCTCTCGAGCAAATCGCTCGGCGGCACGCTCTTCGGGCGTCATGGTCGGGTCGTTCTCACCAAACCGGCGATCGACAAGGCCACCGACTTTGTTGCGCCTGTTCATCTCCTGCAAGAGCGTTTCTCGTCGCTAGTGAGGGGATTTATTAGCTGGATATTCGCACTTGACCATAGCATTGAACTTACCCGTTCTTCACCTAGAGATTTTGTGACACCAGGCCGCGCACGGGCGGCTGTCGTCGAACCACCATCTCGGGTGGTCACATCGAATTTGCTTTGTCGGCCCGTGGCCTTGATCTCGAATGGGTTGAACCGATCGCGAATTGCCTGCAGGGCAGCGTTGCGCTGATTGCGATTCTGGGAAGCGGCACCCGACTTCGCATTCTGGCGCTTTTGCTTCTTGGATTGCTGGGGACCGAGCACTCCACTCTCCTTCAGCGAGGACTTCAGCTGCTTCAACTGAGACGGCGGCATTGCGTGGTGGTTGAGGGAGTGGAATGCGGTAACTTTTTTTTCGGGCTCAAAAAATAGTGGCTTCACCGCCTCGCTGAAATCATTCATTCTGCCGCGCCGGAGTCTCCGCATTTTACACCAACCAACAGCATCTACCATGGCGGTCTTCTCGGGCGACGGGGTGTTGTGGCTCTGTCTGGGCATCTCCCTCTTCTTTGCCGTGCGCGGCATCACCACAGATCTTCGCCAAGTGGTCGATTTGACTGAGATCAAGAACGTCGAGACAGAAGACAAGATCATCAGTGAGGGAACCGAAGAAGGTGCGCAAGATCCAAGCAATTCATACCGAATGGCAACTGACATTATCACTTTTCCAGCTCTCAAATTAGACACCCTTCTCAAGCTCTCCGAAAGCACAAGTCATGACCTCCGCTCTGCGTATGAATCGACATGTTCCCTCCAAGCATAACTTCCCAACTAATTCATCTACAGAGCTCTACGCATTATCTCCGAACGGTCCACCAAAGGGGGAACGCGAGACCTGCTTCTAGAGGATCTGGCAAGCACGAACAAACTACGAAGGGCGCGCGCACTGAACGCATTGAACTTCCTCGTTTCCAACCGAGCATGTAAGCCGCCCGCGTCCATAACTCTCGAATACTTGTCCTAACGTTGTCCAGTATCTCGAACCTCAGTATGCAGCCGACTGAGCGACCTCCCAACCTACACGGCCCTGATAAACTGCCTCTGCAATTTCTTAAGCGAACACACCGACCAAACTTCTACAACAAACTCGCCCATCCTCCCAAAAACCAGACCAATCGGAGAGAAAAAAGCGCTGAACATCCTCAATATTTTGCTGCCCGAGAATGTTCCCGCCGCGCTAGAGGCAGGGATTATAAGCCGGTGGCTGTGCAATTATCCATTTCCATGCGCTCTGTCCGAGCCATCACGGCGACAGGATGCGGTGATTCTCATGAAGACATGGTTTCTAGACGACGGCGTCATGAGCTCGATATTCAACACGCTTACCAATTACAATGATGGCATAAAGCAGCTGCGGAAACATGGGTTGATGGGGAGTATGATTGAAGAGAATGATCAGGACGATGAGGATGATGATGACGATGTGTGGATGGTTAATGGGGAGGATACCGCGGGTTCGACGAGGCGGGTCTCTTTGGGGCGCCGGCTGCAAGAAGGGAGCGTCGAGGAGCAGGCGCTGAGACGGCGAAGAAGGGAGGCCATGGTGCTGAGTGACGGTGGACGGCCTCTTCGGGGTGATGATATTATTCAGCGCCCTGTGGATTTCTAACGAGACGACTTTGGCTTTCTTTTTTTGCTGGCGTGTACTGCGTGTCTATGATACCCCCATTTCGAAAAATCGAATGCTTTACAATAACATAATCATGACGATAAGGACTACATTACAGGCCCATCCAAGCAGACTTGGCCAGATGGTCAGCTTTCTTGCGAGTGTTCTTGACCATGCCGAAGGTCTTCAACTCCGACATGGCGCTGTAGAACAATGCCATGACAACGCGGTCATCGCACCGATCACCTTGGTCACTTTCAAAGACTGCCCGGAACGCCTGCCAGAGATCGTGAACGTTCACTAATGCCCCGGATTCCAGGTAGAGTTGGTATAAGATGGCAGTAGCGGGCTGTTTAGCCGAGATTTTGGTTTCAGAGACATCGGACGAGGATATCAGGTAATCGAACGGACTGGTGAGGGCGCGCTCGATGGCAAAGCGCGGTCGAGGCGCGAAGGTTTCTTTCAGTGGGTTTCTGAGATCAAACAAGAATATCTCGTGCAGAGGCAGGTCCTGCGGGTTGTTCAACTTCGCTGTGAAATATCCTCGCAGCCCATCAATGAGCTCGTCAATAAGTTGAGTGTATTCGAGGTCTTGCTCTGATAATTGGGCTTGACCCTTGCTAAGGCGGACACGTTGCTGTTCGACGGTCGTCTTAACCACGGAGCTGTTGACGTTGTAGGCACTTTGCAGTGTTCCAGATTCAGCATTGGACTGTACCAAGTTTTGGAAATCTTCGGAGATGCCAGGCACCGGATTGTCGTCTGCCAAAGACTCGACCAATGTACGCAAATTCTCGGAGTCGAATGTTTTCAGGGTGATGAGCATGTCATCAATTATTTGCGATTCACTGAGTTCTCCGGAGAGGGCACGAATCGAGAGATCGGACTTGCTGGTCTTTTTCACGCTCTGTGTGCACTGAAGACAGGTATGCAGAATGCTAACAGCTTGGAAAATCCCTCTCATGGTCTCTTGCCCATGGTTGATATGTTGAGTCGCTTGGTGGAGAAGATAATTGTCGTCTTCTAATAGACTCCGTGTTTGTTGGACAGAGCCATTCTCCGCCAAATCCTCACAAAGCCTAGATACCATTAGATCAGGTTTTCCATAAAAATCAATAGTATACCCACATTCGAAAGGATGGGACGTTCCTGATGGCTTGGCATAAAGGGCCAGGAGATGAGATTGTGGGAGCCGGTTTTGCCAGCAAGACCGCCAAGGGATTTGCAAAGAAATGAGACATATACGCATACTATATGAAGGTTAGCAAGGGATGTCCTCATTTGCGGCGAACACAAATACCTTCAGCATTTGGCTGAAAGCCTCCGGGCTCTGAAAGTAGTCGCTCGACTTTTCGAACAGGGTGGCGCTGATATTGCGGCCCAGTCTGAGCCGTGAGTCGTCTCTGAGTTGCAACATTTCATAGATCTCGTCGACGCAATTGCCTGCCTCTTGGGCCTCAAATTGCTTTCCTTGGAGAAGGGCAACACATGAGCGAGAAAGCCGGCTTTGGAATATCTCGACAGAAGTGGAAATCCCGAACACCAGCGTGAACGGTATGCGATCCAGCCAAGAGCTGATAGAAGATGAGCATGACGGTCAACACGCGCATTGGATGTCGAACTTACCTGAACAATGACAATAGATCTGTCAATAAGTTTGGATCAAAAGCTTCGCTATCTCGAAGAGCTAGTACCAATTTCTTGGTCCCCTTCCTTTGGACATAGTCATAGAGCAGGTCCAGATCGTACCCGAGAAGCCTGGGTCCCTGTGGCTAAGTTAGCCTGAGATTGTTCGGATGTGTAACGAGCACGCACATCTCTATCGGTAAGGAATTTCTGGTAGCCGTCATTGCCTTCGGTATTCGTGACCGCCGCGCGAATGATGTTCTTCAGCGTTGTTTTCAAATTCGGTGCATCGCCTGATTCTAACACCACCACACCGCCGTCGCAGGAGGATGTCAATTGATCATTTAGCCGTGAGAGCAGTCTGGTGAGAGAAGAAACATTGGAGCCGACTGTGACGAGCGCGGTAGGGATGCAGCCATTGCACCTGGAAAGCAGTCAGATCGGAGTTTTGGAACATTCGCAGGGAGTAGCAACGTACGTCTCCGGGGACATTGTTCGAACGAAGGACAGCACATCCCTCAAAACTCCGGCGTCAACTTCGTCCAGGATTCCCTAGTGGACATAAGCATTGGACCTCGGTTGGCCCGTCAGTATCTCCAACTAACCTGGATGGATGTTTCCTGCTCCGACCATAGCTTCTTGTATGTGTCGTACCGCAATTGAACGCATTCGGCGGGCTCCTCCCCATTCAACAATGGCACAAAGCAGTGCGAGTCGGAGTGCGGGTGGTCGGTGGGCGCGACTTTGCGGCGCTTCGAGGGTCGCTCGCCTTGGTAGATGTACACGCCCTGGGCTGCGTTAGTCTTCCCACACCACCCCAATAACGTTAACACGAACCTGGTTCTGGGACTTGTCCCTGGTCCCTGCATCCATGATAGCTGGTCGAAGCAAGAGCAAGCAACAAACAAGGGAAACAAACCCACGGAAGGGCGACTTCAACGCGGGCGCTAAACCCAAACGAGCCAGATACTTTTCACCTCCGAAGTGCTGGTCCGCAACTTCTCTTCTACACCTACACCCAACCACGGCGTCCCTGCCTTCATGCTTCGCCAGGCGTTTCATGGCGCTCGATGGTATGTGGCTCATGGCCGCCCGTCGGTTCGAGCCTTTTCCGCCAATACTCCGCGCCGTCTCGACTATGGCGGACCAAACGACAAAGTGACATTCTACGAACAGGATGCGCCGGGGAGCAAGAAACGAAGAAAGATCGATCCCGAGGCCGAGGACAATGAAGAGCGAAAGGGAGTCGAGGATGAGCTTGCGAAGCTCCGGGACGAACTAAAGGTCTTGGAGGAGGGCCCGTTCAGCCCCAACAGTCCCTTCATCAGAAGTTTGCCAGAGGCGGATCGCAAGATCGCCCTGGAAGCTCTAGAAAAATATGAAAGGGAGCAGGGCGAGCGGGGGCCTCAGCCATCTCTGGATGAGGTCTTCGACGAGGAACTCGACGAGATGCTGAAGGAGGAGTTTGAGGGTCTCGCGTTGGAGCAAGAAAACCCGCAAAAGGCCGCCAAACGAGACCGACAACTGTCCCCGAAATCAAAAGAAACTGGACTGGAGGACGACGAGTTTCATCCATACATCAAAAGATTTCACGACTGCGTGATCAATTTCAAGACGAACAGCGAGGACGAGCGGACAAAACATGAGCTATGGAGATGGTACCGGCGATGCAAGCAGGTTATCCCCGAATTTCTGGAATCGATGCCGCAAGAGACTCGACAAATAATGTGGGAGTCACAAAACACCGCACACTTGACGAGCACTACACGATCAACACATCTGCAGACGCTCATTGAAGACGCCAAGTCTGTTAATCAACTCTTCCCGACGCCCCAGATCCTCACTTATATTACTGCTTTGCATGATAGCGGATCGACCAATAAGGCATTGGAGCAATGGGAGGCATATCAAGCCGAACTGTCCCAAAGCAAGGAGGACTTAGAACCATACTGGATGCTTGGAGTGCGACTCTTTGCAGCTGGGAACAATCCCCAACGAGCTCAGGATATTGCTTTGGCTTTTCTCACAAACGATCGATCCCGTCAACCCCGAGTCCTCATCCCTGTTATCACCGCATGGGGCAGATTACCTGGGAAAGAAGCGGAGGTCAAGGCGTGGGCTTTATACCTCCAGCTGAAGACCTTCTTGGGATCAGAAATGGGCATGGGGGACTACGATCAGATCAGCATTGGTCTCCTCACGGCCGGCCGTTTGGATACGGCAGTTGCCGTCTTCAAAGACATGATGGTGACGGGGCAGGACCCGGCAAAGGACTCTACAGCTTTATACAAGGCTGCTCTCGGCCTGGCAGGCAATCTCCATGCGTCGAGCATCAATGAAGAGGCCGTGAATAAAGTCTCGCTCTCCGCGCTGACAGTGTTACCGCGGCAGTTCCAGAATCGGTTTTTCTACGCGAGCTGGATGAAAAAGCTCATCGGAATGGGCGAGGTCGACTCAGCTGCGCTAGTCATCGAGTTGATGTATGAGCGAGGTGTGAAGCCCGACAGCAAGCATATTAATGGAGTCATTGCCGGCTGGCTCCGCGATGGCAGCGCTGGTGCGCGGGACAAGGCCGAGCGGCTTGGCTGGTCCATGATCCAGCGTCGAATCGATGCAGCATGGAAGAAATTCCAGCCGACCAAAGCTATTCCTCAGCTTGGCTTCAACCAGGACACGATCGATCCTGCTCGCATACCGAAGTTCATGCAGCGCGAAGTTCCTCAAGCCAGCATCGAAACATTTTCCATTCTCCTTCTGCATTATACGCGCCGAGGCGACGACGGCATGATCAAATACCTAGTCAAGAGCCTCGGAGATGCACAAATCCAGCCTAATTCCTACTTCATGAATCACCTCCTGTACGCGGAACTGCGAAAACAAGACATCAAATCCCTCTGGACGAAATTCCAGACGATGTCTCAAACAGTGCGTCCAGATCTGGAAACATACGCCTGCCTCTGGGACTGCGCCAAAATCCAATACGACCATGGCCGCACCGCCTATGACTCTGGCTTCCCGTCTGCGCGCCAGCTGTTCGCAGGCATGACACGCTGGTACGCACAGCTTTCACCACGCAGCCGCAAGACCGCCCAATCCGAGTTCTCCAAAGGTCTATATGACCAAATCGTCCGCTGTTTTTGTTTGTCGAAGGATGTTTCCGGGACGCTAGTCGCGCTGCATGCCATGCGAGCAGTCTTCGGCTTTGCCCCAGACGACACAACCGCCCGCTTGATCGTCCTCCAAGTCGCACGCCTGGCCGGTGTCCCCGCCGATACACCCAAACGCCGCCTCCGCCGACTATCAAGCACCCCGCGCAACAAAGAAAGCATCGCTCAGGTGAACCAGCTCCTCGAGATCCTGGGCGACCGCAAAGCCGCGGCCTTGCAAGTGCAGGGTCTAAGCCCGGACCAGTTGGACCCCCATGAGAGACAGCAGTACCAGCTCGAAATCATGGTCAGTCTCCTGCGAATTGTGCTCAGCCGCAGCGACGGGCTAGACCCAGTGGGCGTCGAAGAAAAGCTTGCCAACGCCGCGGCGGAGATGCAGGTTGGGGGTCTGGACCTTGGGCCGCCTCCGGGTGTTGAAGATAGCCAGCTACTACTATAGTCTGGCTCGTTTCTTAGTTATTTTGTTTCTTGCACGCATCTCCGCGACATGGATTCCGAGCATTTGGGGAAATGGACATTCCGAACTGGTCTCGGAAAGCATTGGCTGGCGTTTTTCTCATGGTCTTTTGTATCCCTTGGTATTGGGTTACAGTGTATATTATTATCTCAGTGTATAGATAGGATCAAGAGTCTCCGATGAGGTCAATATGAACATTCTCCTCTACACGAAGCGTCTCATAATTTTGGGACATGCATTATCGTAGAAGAGAAAAACAACAGATGCTAGGTATACAAGTGCACAAAGCAGCCCATGAATCATAAGAAATGAATCCCATCACCCAGCAGAAGAGAGAAAAAGCCCGAATTCCAGCCCCTAATCAGAAACAATGCAAATCCGAAGGATGGAAACAGAATCTAAGCATTCCCAAAGAAATAAAAAAAATCTAAGAGATAACAGATAAAAAACAAGTGATCTATTTCTTCCCCTTGCCCTTCTTTTTCTTCCCACCACCGCCGCTGCCACCAGGAGTAATACCCGCCGCCGAGGACGGATCAGCCTCAACGAGGACTGCGTCGTCATCACTGGTCTGTACTGAAGAGGCAGTCGGTTGTGCGGGAGCAGCTGCAGCTGCAGAAGCAGCCGCCGGAGCAGACAAAGAAGAATCACCGTCAAGCTCCTTCATGAATCCCTCCTTGATGCTAGCCTTCTTCTTATCCCACCACTCGCGCTCCTCGGCCAGTTTCCCCTGGTGCTCATCCAGACGGCGCCGGTAGACATCGTTGTTCATCATTTCATTAGCGGATTGGAAGATAGTTTGGCCCCAGTTGGGAGTGTACGCATTCGCCTATTTGTTCCAATATTAGCATACTCCAGTCTCTCCAAAAGTCAACCTCCAAAAAGGTTCATAGCCCCTTCCACAAGGTAAAAGGCCAATAGGTACTCACCTCGGCAACAACATCGCGCACCTCTTCCTCCATCTCCTTCTCGGCGCGCTGGAAGCGCTGCCACAGGTCATCGCCGACACTGCCGCGCTGGAGGAGCATGGAAAGGGCCTGTTTCTGGGACCGCAGGGTCATGACGCGCTTGATGTCTTCTGTTGCGCGGCGGAGGAGCGCGGCCTTGAGGACGGATTCTGGGACAGAGGGGGCTTTCTTTTCCTTGGCGGAGGTGGAGGGTGGCTCGAGGTGGAGGAGGGAGAAGTAGATGTCGCGTTGGAGGTGCGCTGGGAACCATGCTTCCAGGGAGGCTGCTTTTGCTGTTTGCGAGGGGAGGTTAGCTGGTGCTCTTTCGGGAGGGATGAGGATGGGGCTCGGTGCTTGGAGTTGGGGTCGGGGTTGGGGGGTTCCTTGTCATGGTTGTGTAGTTGCACGCGCAATGGAACGGAGGATGGGGAATGGGAGGGATACGTACTGGCCTTGCGCTTGCGGTATAGCGAGGCGAATGTCGCGAGTGAGCCGATTAGGACGCCTAGGTAGGCGAACGGCACGGCCAGACTGAGCCAGTCGACCATTGTGATGGGTGTTGTGGATTGCAAGGGAAGAAGAGTTGTTGGAGAGGAGGCGCTCCGGAATAAAATGCGGGTATTGTTATTTATTCAAAGAGCAAAACATATGGTCGAGAAGGTAAGGTGCAGGTCCAGGTGAAGCGGAAGATCACAAAGGGACCAAGTTAAGGCCAGGTGGAAGGGTGGGTCTCGCGTCACATGTGCTCCCCCCATAGTGATATAGCAGCCCTAACCACCGAACATCATAAGAGTAGTAATTAGAGAGTACACTTTATTGTCCTTATTTATTGACATCTGTCGATCAAATCAAATGGTCTGCTGCAAGTACAATAAGAGCAAAACAACAAGCGCTGGGACGCGAAACAAAAACATCATGCACCGATCCACCCTGCCATCCATCTGCTAACACTTGAACTATCAACTCGCCAGGGAAATATGGAGACATATAGACAATGACAGGGAAAAAACAGGTTACACCCGGAAACCCGCGTTCCACAACTGCTCCTTCGACTTCTGGCTGATGGGCCCGATCTCCTGCAACGACTGAATGTCCTCCAGGACAGCATTGAAGGTCTCCGTGATACCCGTCGCGACAAGGGTGCGATTCCATTCACCGCGCATGCGCCAGATGTAGTCCATCAGGTTGGTGCTGATCTGCTCCAGTTGCTCCACGGAGCAGCCACTGGTGCGCTGGGCGAGTTGCTCGTGCAGACTGTCGACGTACGAAGGGTCAATGATCAGCGTGGGTGAGGGCTCGTCGTTGAGCAACGATTGCAGGTCGGCGGGGCCGTTGCTTTCAGGCTTGGACGGGGCATCGAATAGTGGAGGCTGCGGCTTGGATTGTGACTGGCTTCCATTCAGCACGCTGTTCTCCGAGTGTGCAGCATCTTGGCGAGGCGGCGAGAACTGGCTGCTGCCACCTTGCTGCGTATCTGGGAGATGCTCCTCCTGCGACACACGGTCTGGGTACAAAGACAAATCTGGACCATCGTGCCTCATGCCCTGTCCAGCATTGAAGCTTTGAGTGTGGTGTTGATTCGACGACTGCGCCGACGATTTCTTGTCCGAAGTCGTTTGGGTAGTTGATGCTTCATTGGTGTAGTCCGCCGGCTGCGAGCCCGGAGCCATCGGAGTGATGGGGCTGTCCTGGGGAAGACTAGAGAGACCAGATTCGCGCCGGAGCTGCTGAGAAGGCGCTGTGTACGAATATGGCGGTTTTGGCTGTGCGGAAGGCCCAAAGGAGCTGGTCTGTGTCTCTTTGCTGCCCGAATTGCCCTCAGGATTGGCCATGAACACATCGCCATCTTCATCTTCGTGAGAGCCATTGCTGAGACCGCCATGGGGGACGGTATCATTCAGGTCTGAGCCACCACCTTGGTGGTACCCATTTGTGAAGCTCACATTCGACTTTCGCGTAGGAGTTACTGGGCGCCCGGCGTCCCCGGAGAGCCATTCACCCAGATGGACCGGGCCAGATGACGGGGCCGACTCAGTGTTTCCGTGCGGGACGTTGCCCGTTCCGAAATGAGCCGTCGCTAGACGTTCCTCAGCCTCGGCAACCCGCTTTGCACGCTCTACCGCTTCCTTCTCGCGGGCCAATTCCCGAGTGTAGACATTCTCACACTCAGAAACAAGAGCAGGCTCGGTCTGTTCAATGGTAGAAATATCGACCTCAACATTAGAAAGAAGCTCATTTGCTCTCAGCAACCGTTCTTGGTCGTGGAATTGACGAGCATCCTTGGCGATCCGCTTGATGTCGGCCAGAAAATCAGTTGGGCGTTTGTAGTACCCGTTGGAGAGGCGTTTCTCCATAGTCACGATTTCCATGTTGTAGAAGAACTTGCCGGTTGCAACTTCACGAAGACCGGGTACGCCATGTTTATCGTACGCTTTCTCAAACGGTCGATGGATGGCTTGCTCTTCCGGGGGAAGATCACTGGTCACAATATTCGGATCTTCCTCTTCCCACAGGTATCGAATCTGAGACTCTTCAATGACACCAGATCGGAAGCGCTTGTACTTCTTAATCTGATCCATGATGGGCTGGATGCGGATTTTCAACAGGTTCAAGGTCTGACGGTCCTTCTTTTTCTGAGCCTTCATCTGCTCCTTGGTAAGTGGCGTCTCGGCCTTTGGTGGTGGTGGCGGTGCGACCTCCAACTCCTCCAGTTTTCGCTTTTTGCGTTTCTCGGGGTCGGGGAAGTCGGCAGGCGGCGTCTTGACGTATTCGATGATGTTGTTGAAGAATTCATAACGCGCCGCATTGTCAGGGGCAGCGAGATCGTAGATGTTCTTCTTCGAAAATCCAAACAAGTTTTTCAACGGACCAGGCAGGGTCTTCAATAGACTTTGTTCCATCTGATTAGCGGCCGGCCTCTCATCATCTATCAACAAGTCGTCGCCTGTCACCTCGAGGACGCCAAGGAGCAGAACAGGATCGGTGGGCGGCACGGATCGTAGAAGGCCCATGAATGTTGACATTACAGCCGGACCCACGGTCTCATACCATATTTGAATGTTCGGGATGTAGATCACACTGGGCTTGTGTCTCTTGACCTCCGCAAAGAGTTGGATGACGGTTGCTTCAGGCGAGCGGGTCGAGTCGCTGAGGAGAGTGGGAAGGTCAAACGCCTGTACATGGAGACCCTCGAAATGATGCAGGAGGGCGGCTGCAAGGTACTGCTGGCCCATACCCTGAGCACCGCGGAGAAGCATCCGAGGCCGGAAAACTCGCGATCGGTCGAATTCTGACATGATTTGTTCGCGTTTGAACCCACGTGCATCTTCGGGCTCTTCAAAGTGAGCTTCTTCCAGAGCAGTGAGTTGTTTCCTCTGGGGCAGAATCTCTGACAGCAATGCCTCGATGTCGAGTAATGGCCGGCGCAGCAGAGGCTCAACGTTCTTCGGCAGGGCGGATGCGCCGGACGCAGTCGAGCGTTCCGACGAGGGGACCATCTTCTTGATTGCAATCATGAAATCTTTGGGGGTCACGTCGATCATCTTCGGATCAATCACGAGCTTCTTGTCGGATTTGTAGATTTGAGGGTATCTTCTCTGCACCGCATTGAGGGCAGCCTCAGTACAAAGGGCCCGCAAATCCGCACCACCATAGCCCTTGCTGATCTCTGCAAGTTCATCTTTGATGTTGTCTGGAAGGGGCGGGTCCCAGCCTTTGGTGTGGATATCAAGAATAGCACGCCGCCCTTCAACATTTGGTAGCGGGAAGTAGAATTCACGGTCAAAGCGGCCTGGTCGGCGAAGGGCCGGGTCAACAGAGTCTGGCCGATTAGTCGCACCGATGACAATCACTTGACCACGACCGTCCATGCCGTCCATCAACGCGAGGAGAGTCGATACAATTGAAGCATGAATCTGTTCCTGTTTACTTGACCGCACAGGAGCCAAACCTAGAGCGAGTATGTTAGTGATTGAAGGAGAATCAAGCGATTGTTTATTGCTTACCATCAATCTCGTCGAAAAAAATGATACTGGGTTGCGTTTTGCGAGCCTCTTCAAACAGGAGACGAAGCTGTCGCTCAGCTTCACCAACCCATTTGCTCAATGCATCCGCTCCCTTTCGCATGTAGAAGGTCACCTTGCGGCCCTCGGAGCTGACGCTGTTCGCCAGAGCGCGAGCCAGAAGCGTCTTTCCCGTACCAGGGGGTCCATGGAATAATACACCACGCGGGGGAACAATGTGGAACCGTTGGAAGATTTCCGGATACAAGAGAGGGAGGGAAACCATCTCCTTCAGTTGATCGATGTGTCCCTGCAGGCCTCCAACATTGTCAAAATTAACATTCATGTCCACACCCAAGGGGTCCGCATCGGCCAAGGCCTGCTTGTCCTTCATCTTGCCCAAGTTTGCCGGGGTACCAGAAGCACCTTGAGCGGCATCAGCCGAGTGGCCTTGAGGGGCAATACCTCCGCCAGAAGCTAGGCCAGGAGGACCTTTGGGATGAGACACAGGCTCGTCATCGCTGCTGTCACTATCAGCACCTCCCGCGGCAGCAGGTGCACCGGGAGGGCCAAGAATTGCGGAAGAGCCAGCACCACCAAAGGGGCCGTAAGTCGGAAAGAGAGTGCGCTGCCAGCTCGAGCCACCTCCACCGCGACCACGTCGGGAGGGAGATTCGTTTACTTCATTCTCAGCCTCCTCGAGGGGAAATAGCAGATCCGGTCGAATGAGACGGTAATCAACGTCCTTGCGATTGCGTCGAGGTTTCTCGTGAATGATTTCCGGCAGACGACGACGTCGACGACCACCTCGCAGGTCCTCTAGCTCTTCAGCCAACTCGACTGCTTCTGGGAGTTCAGAAACTCCACGAGATCGAGAGCCTCGCTTACGCAGACCAGCACGCCGGCTGGTGGAGCTGTCCTCCTCTTCTTCGGCATGACTTTTGCGAGGCGAGCCATGGGACGGACCAGTTTCTGACACCGCATCCTCGTCCTCTTCTTCTTCCTCTTCATCGGGTTCGAAGTCGCTCTCTTCAGTCTTCGACTTGCGCTGGGATGCGGGCTTCTTTCGGCCGGACCGGCGCACCTGTGCGTCATCTTCTGCCTCGGCCGATTGCTTTGATTGCCGTCGCAACCGCCGTGGCACTACCGGACCTTCGTCGTCGTCCTCATCCTCCTCTTCGGCTTCATCGGCTTTGGCTTCCACCGTATCAGATTCGGGGACGACACCCTCGTCGTCGGCCATCACAGCGTCAGCCTTTTCTGCTTCAGCCTCGGGGTCACTCTCCATGATCTCTGGCTGAGAGCCCTCAACAACATTCTCCTCCACAGCCTCCTCTTCTTGATCGACTTTGGATTCTTCGTACACTCCATCGAGGGGAAGCTGCTTGACCGCTCGATTACTCCTGGATCCGTGCCGTGGCGGAAGTGCAGTCTCAGGGCTACGCGTACCACGCCGAATAGTCTCCATGTGGTGGCCCGAATTGGTCAGAGCATACATGTCTTCCGAGGGGCCTCGATGTCGACGGGTGATTCGTCTATTATCAAAAGCCTCCGGTGGAACTTTCAGAGAAATCACTTTGCTCTTTTTCTGCGGAGGAGAGGCATCAGCATCCTCCTCATCCTCATCCTCATCCTCATCCTCATCCTTCGCCTCATCCTCGTCATCAGAAGATGGTTCCGCGTACACCAGCTGCTTCTGGGTTGTTTGACGACGCTTGCTGCCTCTGGCATTCCGTTCGATATTCGGGTCATCTGAATCTTCTTCGTCATCGTCGAAAGAACTATCCCCGCCTAAATCGTCGTCATCCGAAAGGAGATCATCATCGCTCGAGCCCCGACGTTGGCGTTTCTTCGAGCGCTTAACCTTCTTCGATGTCGACCGCGACTTTGCGCGTCCCGAGGAGCGAGGTTGGTGATCGTCGTAGTCTTCGTCATCTGAGTCGGATTTGTTTATGATCTCCTCGAGGGAGCGTTTTTTGGAAGAAGAGCGCATGATGGCGATCTTCTAATGGAGTCACTGTCGGAGAAGGATATCAGCAAATCAAGAAATGGACCGGATGCCCAGCTCCGAGTAATCACATGTCTGCAATTTTCGACAATACCAAGCAATAAACGCATGGGGAACATACATGCACCGATTGATGATCCAATCTCGCCCAGCGATAAAAGGGACCGGTTGCGCCGAGCCCCGGGTCTCCGTGCACCGCGATAACAATCCACCCGCCGTAAAGCGAACGACAAGTCACCGGTCAATGAATCGAAGTCAGAATGGTGAGTTCAAATGGGTTGAGGATGCGAGAGAGTCGAGGCCGACGGCTGGACGGACGGGGGGGCCGACGCGTGAGAAAACAACGTTTCGAACAGTGAACCGCCCGCAACGATACACAATGCTAGACACTGAGGACGACCGACACAAGAGCCGACTGCATGTCCGATGGAATCGAGGATCCAGCAGGCAGCAGGTGGAGAGAGTGTGGAGGGAGTAGAAACGTAGTCGGACAGTAGTAGCGTGATGGGCCAAGGGCGGAAGTGACTCGCGCGATTTGTCCTGCGCACGAGCCACTACAGGCACCAGTTTTGCCGTTGTACACCGCCTTCTAATTTGGCGCCGTATCTGTACAGTCGTGCACGGGCCACTTCAACTGTCGTTTTCCAGAGTCAAGGGCGACGGTAATGGGCACCCCCCAGTCCGCCCTGAATGGGCCATTGAGGGCGCCCAGTCGGAGTGGTTTGGGGTGAATCGGCCAGTTGGTCTGCTGGGAACATCTTATCGATGGAGATCGAGGCCCGTTGATGCGGGGGGAAGGGGTGGATGGTCGGGGGAAATGAGGGCAGGAGGTGTCAGAGAGAGTGCTGAGGAGACGACAGAGAAAGCGTTCTGGTCCGGCGGTTCTGGTGGTCCATTCCTGCGGCCTGCCAGAATCAATGGGACTGATATCATGTGACTGCTGACTCATCTCCCCTTCTCAGCCATCTGGAGCATGAAGACAGGAAAACATCGACGGCAACAACGAACGCACAGCACGGAGAGCGGAAGAGGCTCTGCTCAAAGATCAATGGTCATGTCTCTCTGGCAGTCAGCCCTTCGGCTGTCCAGACCCCGTGCTCTTCTCAGGCAATCCCGGCCCTTCACCTCCACAACTGCCGCGCGCAACACATCCCAACCAAGCTCTTACAGGCAAGGTGTATGTCTTTCCCCTCTTCTCTTTCTGTTACCTCGCACTGCGATCATCGTGTTTAATATTCTAACACAACTCCAGATGGCCGCATACCGAACATTCGCCGGTCCCTTCGCCAAGGTGTTCTTGGGGGCCGTCTTCACCTACCAGGTCATCTACCAGACCTGGCTGAAGCTAGAGATGGACGAGTCGAAGCTCGAGAAGAATGGTGTGTTATATTTGAATCACAATCTTTTTTTTCTTCGGTAGGAGGAAATGCTAACTCCTGCGCAGAAGAGGTGGCGGTGCTGGAGAGAAAAAGCTCGCGAGATGGCCGGCTCCAAAAAATGAGCGGGTTTCTGAAGAACTACCACCCCTGTAACTATATATTGATTTGATTTAATGAAGACAAGAAAGATACCAAGGCGAAATAGCCGAATCTCATTGCTCGTACAAAGATGCACAAATAATACACTACAATATATATATCTGCTCCACACAGTCATCGCAGGGCCCCAAACTTGCGTTTCCTCCCGTCCTCATCATCGTGAGAGACGGACTGGGTATCTGAGCATGTGGTGGAAGCCTCATACCAATCCATAGATCTATGATAAATATCAATTAGCCAACCATATTTAACGAAATCACAATCTCCGGATCCATACATACCTCTTCAATAGTACATCGGCATCCTCATCCCCATGCATTCGGGCCAGATGTTGCCGGAAGTTATCCAAGCGCGGCCACTTCTTACTCGGACGCGGGCAGTTCTTCCCAAGACACATATACACCATCTTGGGCCCGCGCTCGGGCTCCTGGTTGTGCACACATTTCTTATGGCGGGCCAGGTCGTTGATCGTGCCGAATCCCTCTTTGCGGGAACAGTTCGGCTCGTCGCACTTGAAGCGCTTCTGGTGTCGGGCGTTGTGTTTTCTGCTCGTGCTCGTTTAGTCTTTTTGAAGTTGATCAGAAAAGATAGAAGAACTTCCGTACCTCTTGTCTGATAGACACTTGCCTACCCACGAACAGCGCGGATAGTCACATTTCACCGAGCCGTTATACATATGTGAGGGCGAGGACTGGTTGAATGAGCATGTAGTTTGGTCTTGACTGTCCATCTGTGAAGGACTGGAGGTCATGTCCATGCCGTACGAGGACGGTACGACTGAGGGCGTGGCACAGCTCGCAGTACCATACCCCGAATCCGAGTGCAGACTGCTCATATACTGGCTTTCGCACTCCGAGGGTGTGCCGTAGTGGTTGTGGCTATTGGAGAAGTAGAAATCCGCATTCATATGGGACAGTGAAGAACAAGGGTTATTAGCCGGTACCCCGGTGATCTGTAGCGGGGTCCAGGCATCCTGGGAGGTGGTGGTGTATTGCGAGGAGTATAGGTCGTAGGATTCAGCAGATGACCAAAACTGAGTCTGCTGGAGTTGGAGATCTAGCAGAGAGTCGCCAAAATCCAGGTCGGAGTGTTTGTATGGGCCAGCCAGATCTGAGTGGAGAGGAGTGAGACCATCATAGCTGTCCAGCAGCGAGTCTCCAAAGGGCAGTCCGGAGTTCTTGAATGGATCGAACAGGTCCGAGGGCACGGAAGTCATGGCCTCACAACCGGCCATCAGGCCGTGGAGTAGATCGGCGTCGGGGTCTTGCCAGGTGGGATGCTTCAGGTATATCCAAGTCAGATGTGCCTCAGGAGAACAAGCCATACAAAACTCACCTCCATGTTGTGTTGTGGTGTGTGGTAAGGGACAGTGTTTCAAGCCAAAACAAAGAAAAGATGAAACTGTCAGATCCAACCTCGCAGGAGGGGAGGTAGTTTGTTTTATATTATGATAGGATATGAAATCATGGCTACTGCACTCCATGTGGATTGCATGGACACGGGCCCTTCCCACGCATGCGAAACTAAAGCTGCACGCGAGAGACGAACTTGACTTTCCCACGCGATGCCGATCAAGGGTTGGAATGAGAAAACACAGAGAAAAGAAAAGACATGCATGCCGTTCATCCCTTGATGTCGCACATCCCTGGTGGGTGCACAGCCCCCCGCCGCGGCTTTACCCGGGCAAAAATGTGCCCTAAGGACAACGAAGAACCATGAGATAAGCACAAGGTAACAACCAGACCCGTCAGCCAGAACATATTCGGTACCGGAATTGGATGTTAGATAAAACAAGGACACAATAATCTGTTCCACGATCTATGTATAGCCGGAGCGTCTTTCTTAGCCTGAGGCAGACAGAAGTCATCCCTGCAAGAGGCATGCGAGGAGCCCAACTCGGCTCGCAAAGATCCGCTCCCTCCCCGACACACCGGAGCAAAAAGAAAAAACAAAAAACAAAACAAAACAGCCGGTGGCTTGCACGGTTCGGTTCGAAGCAAGGACGAATCGGGAAGGATATGATCGGCGGGGGGGTTGAGCTAGGCCGGATGGCCACGCCACGCCACGCCATGCCTCTTCCTTTCAAGGGATGACCATGACGCCGCTGTCATGTTTATGTACCTCCATTGCCCTGAAACAGATATCCTGAAACTTGACACCAGGCGATCTCCCCCTTTCAAGGTGGCTGACACCCATGCGTCTATCGTCCCTATTGCCAGGGCAATCACTAACGATCGGAAGCGCTCCGGCAGGGCAGGACCAACATGATTGCTCACATGCACGGCGGAGCGGCGGATGTTCGGGAGGTTGGTCTGAGACAGAATTCCCGAAGGAAGCGAGAAGGCATGCAGTTTATGTACGGGCCAAAGCCTAAATAAAGAAGTTTGCGCGGCTTTTCTGTTCATCCGAATATGCAATTATGCTTCGCCTCAATTCGCTTGCATGGCTGCCTGTCTATCATAGGTATAACGCTGAGGGAATAATAAATGAAACAAAAGAGAAGACCGTCACGAGCGAAGGGGGTATAGGGTATATACATTCTCAAAAAATGACAGGGGAAAACAAACACCAGTGGCCAAAGAAAGAAATCGTCAATCACATCTGCGTGGCGGGATACCCAGAGGAGTAAGACGCGGCCGTATACGCCATGGACGGGTGGTATGCGGAATAGTTCTCTTGGGCGGGGTACATGGACACCTGTTGAGGCGGGTACGGGGATCCCATGCTGGAATACGAATCCTGTAGCAAGCCTGAATTCGGGTCCGGAGTTCGCTGCCTCGGCACCGCGTTGTAGGGCGGCGGGTAGGAAACCGAGTTCGGATGCAGGGGGTTGGTCTGGGCCTGGGCCGGGTGAAGCGCAGCTGATTGCCCGAACTGGTCCACAGCATACCCCGGATATTGACTACCCGTATCGACCATCGATTCTGGCTCCATTGAGAATTGCTCGCCAGATATGGATGTGTAGTTGAGAAGTGGAACCTCGAACGGCATGGTGGGGGTCGCGCCCGTGACGGGCGGGCTACTATTGTCGATCGGGTACTGCCCCTGCTGGAAATGCGTTTGCGCGCTAGTCTGGTATGCTGCAGTAAGCGGAGCTTGGTGTTGTTCCGGCACCGCGGAGGAGGCGACGTTTGCTACAGTGGTGGTTGTTGTTGTTGAGTGGAGACCGGTGCTGGATGAGGCAACGCTCTGCTTCGACAGCTCCAGAACCGGCATGGCCAATTGCTCCAAGTGCTTGCCCAAGTGGACCGTGAGCTTTTTCCAGTTCCCGCAGATATTTCCGCAGAACCGGCACCGCTCCTGCTCTGAGCGCTGCTTGGTTTCTTGCCGGCATTGCTCGACCATCTCCCACAGTCGCTCAATATCCTGTTCTCGTTGGGCCTCCGAATGCTTTTCCGAAGCAGAGGCCTTGCTCTTCTTCATCTTCGGCTCGGGCATCTTGTGCTCGCGAACCAGGTGCTGCACAAAATTGTCTTTTCGGTAGCACGTGTGGCTGCAATCTGGGTAGGTGCAGGTCCACCACTCTAACTGCCGGTGCCGCTCGTTCTCATGGCGTACCCAGTCCGCTTTCCGTTTGAATGACTTGGGCTCATTGCACTGGGGAAATGTGCAGGTAAACGGCTGCACATCCTCGTGGACATGCTTGGACCAGTCGGATGGTTTCTGGAACTTCTTGACCTCGAAACAGATGGGACATTCGAACTGGGCAGGGAGCCGCGAAACCGGTGGAAGGGGAACACCGGGAGGGAACTGAGCCGCTGCGATGGCTCCTTCGGCTATAGCATAGGGCTGATCGCGATTCTGGTTGAAATCCGTCACCCGAAACTGGGTATTGCCCGTGTCGGAGTTCGCAGGTTGCTTGCGAAGTTGCAACAACGACGCATCTCCTCCCAAGGCAAAGCAGAACTTGCCCGAGCGGCACGAACGGTTCGTGAGAGCTTGCACGTGCTTTTGTTGGAGCTTGACGAGATTCTCATACCGCCGAAGTTGCTCGTTGGCAAAGCGATGAATCAAAGCCGGCTCGAGCAGCGGGTTCAACTGCATGATCTGCGCTTTGAATCCCTCAATGGTAGGAACAGGGAGACGTGATACCACAGGGAAGTCCATCACAAGCCCCGAGTCATCACCCATGCCCATCTCGTCGTCGTCATCAGCACCTTCAGCGCCATCACCTCCGCGAGCTGTGCTCCCCGGGCTTTGTTCAGTGTCATACCCAGGTTTTGCAGGGTTTGCAAGATTGGCAACGGGTGGACCACCGTGGCTGGTCATGAGATCCATGAGTCCCGGGCTCGCCGGCCGCGGAATTTCACTACGGGCTCGAGGACGGCCCTTGAGCGAGAGAGACCTGGGGCTAGCCTCTGTGTTGGGTGAGGCGGCGCGAGCGGAGTGATTGCTGCCAATCGCCGCTATTTGGCTTGACATTGCCATAACTGCACTATTGATGCTCGATCCCCGCGAGTGCTTGTGCAAGCTCAGACGATGGCGTGGCGAGTGGCCGCTATCTTTCCGTTGAGGTTCCTGATTGTCCTCTTTGGACTTGGAGGGGCTGTGTGATTGACCGAGGGACAGATCCGACGCCTGGCGCTTTAATCTTGAAAAAGGTCGCTTCAGAAGGCTAGGCCGTCTCTCCGATTTCTTGGGTCGATCCTCAAGTGAAAAATTTTCCAGAGTAGCTCGCACGTTGATGATGCTGTTGTTATCAATGGTCGCTGCAAGTGATGCGGTCTCCAAATCTCGCACACGCGATTCAAATGCAACCATTGCTGCATGGGAACTCGAGGGCTGCAACTGTTCTGTTCGAGGGGCCGGATAGCGTGGCGGGTCTTGCCATGGATAAAGACGGAAATCATCGTCGCCGGTGGTGGTCAGGTCAACCGACGGAAAATGTTCCTGTTTGGAATTGTCGTAGCCGGTGTCATTGACATTGACGTGAGCCGGCTCCTCGTCGCTAGCGACTTCAGACTCATTTTCACTGAGATCCTCATCGCTGCTCTCGTGAATCAACACCCCAGGTCCCGGGATTCGTTTATCGCCCTTCAGGTCAAGGTAGTCTTGCTGCTGCAGGGGTCGGTCTCCAGTACTCCTTGCTCTCAAGCGAGAGCCTGCCTGATTTCTGCGATGCGACGGAACGCCGAGTGCCCCGCCGACTCCGTCGGTTGCTGCGCTCACCCTCGCCGACCAAATGGTGATATCGGCGTTTCTATCTTGACGATCGTGCTGGTTCTTGACCTGGTTCGGACTCGGGACATACTCGTCCCCGCGGGATCGCGGGCCCAAGCCTGCCTGGCCGGTAGAAGGGTCTGCCAACCAGGCGCCGTCGTGAGATCGCACTACAGACAAGGAAGAAATCGACCGATGGTCATCGGTGTCATTATCTTCTGATTCACTGGACAATTCACCAAGGCCCCGAGGGGAGAGATGAAGAGGCGATCTGCTAAATTGCTTTTTGGGGGCATACACGTCTGTCGGTGAGTCCCCTCGCGACACCTCTTCCACCATCACGATGGGGCTCCCATTATTATTCGCGTCCAGATTACTCGTGGAGATTCGGGGGCGCGACGGCGCAAAGGGCGCATTTTGCGAAACACTCAGACCCGCTTGCGCCTCGGTTGGCGTAGGATTGTTATTGGTGGGTTCCGGGGTCAGCAACTGGGAAGGGTTCACGGCCATAGACGAGGACCAAGCTTGGGTCGTTGGCGCCGTGGTACCACCACGGGCGGTTCGCGACGAAGACCGTTGAGTCTGCCAAGCGCCGACCGTACCACCACCGATGCTGTAACCCTGCGGGTCCAAATAGGCCGGATTTGAAGGGGAGGAGGGGTTGTATCGGTCGTTCGGCGACGACCCGGGGCCCGCACTGTGGTTGGGACTGCCACCCGCGGGTGTTAGGCGGATTGCGCTGGCCTGGAAGTCGAGTTCATCTTGGTCGGACGGGGCCGAGAGATATGGATCCTGCGCACTGGGGGTGGTATTGTCTGCGGGCGAGCGGTGGGCGAACTGCGGCGAGGCGGTCGACATCGTCGGAGATCCAGAGCCGCGGGACAGAAACGCGAGTAGGATCGGAGGGGAGGATTATTAGGAAATCATTGATCTGTCACGACGGGGGAGAATAATGATTCAATGGAGGAAGTGGGGGGCGGATAGTCGAGAGGATAAAGGGGGAGGGAGTGAGGGAGTGAGTAAATGGAGGGGGTATTATTCAGAAGCAGAAGCAGACAAGGCTCGGTAGATCAGGGAAACCGATTGGGGGCGGACGGACAAGAGTGACAAGAAGCAGAACGCCTTGTGGCCGATCATCGCGGCTGACTGGTGACTGCAGGACAGCCCTCACTCACGGGCTCCCGTCGTTCGTATGCCGCCGTTATCGCCCTCTCCTGTTTGGACCGGAGATTCCATTCTGCAGGGACACCGCACGCGACGCCCAACCAACCGTCCGAGTACCTCGGAGCGTCTACTATACACAGTAAGGGTTCGCTCCCCACACAAACAGGCGATGATATAGCTCCTGTCTGGCCCCCAGCCCTAGCGAAGTAAGAAGAGGCAGTGCCGAACTCCCAGACAAGTAGTGTGTGCCACATGGCTCGTTTCAGATCCGCTTCTATTCTTAACCCGTGGGGTCCTTTTTGTAAACCCCGGCGGCTCTCCATGAGCTTGGCTTGTCTGCCATTGCTGATCTGCCCACTTTCGGGCCAGTGAAACCCGAGACGAACGTGGCGCAGCCGCGAGGCAGTCCCTCGGCGGGTGTTTCAGTGTACTCATCGGGATGAAGAAGAAGACCGGGGAGGATTGTGGATCCTTGGGGGAAAGGATGCAAAGTATGTACCCCTGAACTAGTTGCGGTGGATCTGAAATATTCATCGGAAAATTGTAAAATACCTAATTCAGAATAACAAACAGGCTATGCGATCCTTGAAACCAACCACAACAATTAACGAGTAGAAATCATAGACGGGAAAATCACGGAGGTAGAAACAAGCATAAACCCTTGTCCCAACACCCAACCCAGCTACCTAACTATGCTCTCACCAGTCCCTTTGCGCCCGGGGTCACAGGTGGCGACGGAACACTCAATGTGATATTCCCCAGTATAAGTTTCTTGTCGCCAGAATCGTCTATTTCCCTCGGGCTGTCGATCTGAGACATCTCGATGTTAGATCCTTCGGCAGACATGGTTACCAATTCCTCCAGGCGGGCCTGGATGACAGGCGAGTCAGAGTAAAGAACGATCCCGGGCGAGTAAATGCAGGGGTTCGCACGCTCCTCGCCATCGGTGAGGTCTTCGTGGGCCGCCTCGCGCAGGATACGAGGAAAAGTCTGCAGCACCACACGGCGAGTAGGGCCAGTAGGATTATGTTTCCGAGGGCCGGAGTCCCAACATTTCCCCTCTTCTTCTCCTGCTGCTGCTGGTGCTGCTGGCCCATACTCTAGCCAGTCCTCGTTCGAGACATCTTCTGCCCCCGGGCCGGCAAACCCAGCCAGCACGAGTTCTCGCTCAACTCGTGCATGGCGCCACGTCTCGGCCGCTAGTTTTACTATCTTCCGCACGCCAGTGAGCAACGAGTCGAGGTGCTTGGGGTCAGCGAAGTGCTTGATATGGTCGATGATCTCATCCACGAGGACAGCAGCGGCGACGTTGATGGATTGCTTCGCGTCCGAGGTGGTGTAGGCTGCTTTGAGGGTTTGCTGTCTCCAGAATGCTTCACAACAGACGGACTTGCGGCGGATGTCCGTGGACAGCATTTGGAAGAAGGTGTCGGCTTTGTCGTATCGCCGGCCCAGAGTAAATAAGAACGGCTGGAAGATGCGGCAGGTAAGCGTTTTGGATATGATGTGCTGCACGTAGGCACAGCGAAGCTCGCGAGAGGCCGGGGTGTTGTCAAGGAACGGGGGAATATCAGTGGGGATCTTGGATAGGATGTCCCTTGGAGGGTCGATGGGGAGAGAGGAGAAATGCTCGTAGGACAGATCGGAGATCAGATGCGCGAGCTGAGTGAAGCAGTCGAAACTAGAACCGCAAACCTCTCGTTAGAATTTGTACGATTGGGTGGTATCGAATCAACCTACAAGAATTGATCGCCCTTTGTGTTTTTGAGATCGGTGGCTTCTCCCAGACCGTGAAGCGTCTTTCTCAGTCTGTCACAGTCCTTGTCGAGATGGTCGATGGTCGATCGCATCTCCATCTCGACTTTCTCCTTTTCTCGCTCAATACTCGAAACCTCGCGGTCTTTTTCAGAGAGCAACGTCTCCAGCACAGCGCGCTCTTCAGCCCACTGCTGTTCTTGCTCCCTGAAGTTAATTTTTAGGGACGTGATATGGTCTTCCATTTCCTCGGCTGCAGCAGCAAGATCCTCTTCATGGGACTGTCGTAAGGATTCCAGTTCACCAGCATGGCCTTGGTGGAGTGCCTCCAGATCTCTTGTCTTGGTCACATTGGTTTCTTCCAATTCCTTCTGTTTCGCTGCCAGCTCAGCCGTCAATTCGCGGCGAGTCGTCTTGAGTTCAGCCAAAGTTGCCTCCAGCTCAGTCTTCTTGGACTCGCACTCTGCAATCTTTGCAGTGAGTTCTGCGTTGGTACTCTCCATATTGTTGCGCTCGAATTCCAGTAATGATGTTATTTGTGCTTTCTCCTTTTCCCATTCACCCCTGTTGGTCGCATGTTGGTCGAATAACTCTTTCTCGCGAGTCTCCAGTGCCTCTGCAGCCGTTTTTTCATCCTCGTTCTTGATTTCCTCAAATAACTCGGTCAGCTCCTGTTTCTGTGTTGCAAGAGCCTCGTCTCGTTCCCTTTGCTGCTTTTCCATCTCCTTCTCATGAGCATGCTGCGTTTCCTGGATAAGGATATTGAGTTTGGTTATCTGCGCTTCAAGGCCGAGGTTAGACTGCGAGAGCTCCTCGTTGGACTTTTGCTGAGTCGCCAAACCATCCGAAAGACTCTTCTCTCTCTCATAGAGGTCCTCTAGTTCCAGATGCAATTCATCGGCCGTGTTTTTCAGTCTGGCGCATTCTGCAGCACTTTCGTTGGCCGTCTTTCGCATCTGTGCCTGCAGGGCTTCAATATAGAAATCCTTGTGCATCAGTGCCTGCTCGTGTTGGTTTCTAATATGCTTGATCTCGGCTTCGCGACTCGACAGTTTGCTGTACGTGGTTTTGAACCCATGCACCAGACGGTTGATATCGGGGATCGCAGATTGGATCCGCTGGAGAAGTTCAATGTGTTCACTTTCATTCTCTGGTGGTGAGATGGCCCCGTTATCGTGTACATGGCTGAGAGATAAATCCCGCATCGCTGGGAACGCCGCGGTATAAGACGGGTCGGGGTAGCTGTAGGCACGAGACGGGAAGTGCGATTCGGGAGGTGGCGGGGTACGAGAAGAAGGGGCATATGAAGGTACGACACCAATGGAACTCATCGCAGGAGAATGCAGAACAGGTGCAATCGAGGGTGGTACTGTAGGGACCACCGTCCCTGCCATTGACGGTACTGGTGGCGGCGGTGTTCCGTATGGAGACATACCGCGTGACATTCGAGGTATATGAGAATATGCAAGCGGGCTGCTATATCTTGGTGCTGGGTAGCCCACAAAGCCTGGATACGGCGGGTGAGAGAAGTGATTCTCTGGAGAAGGGTTGTGCATAAACCGTGCCTCGGTCAAGGATGGTGACGGCAATGGCACCAAAGCCGGGATTGGAGAGAACGGAGCAGCTGGTGATGACGGAAAGCGTTCCGAGCTCTGTTTCTGGTGCTCTGATATATGTTTTCCTTCGATACCATCCTCGAGCGGCGTTGACGAACTTAGTTCGTCCACGGGTGGCAATGTGAGCACTTCAGGGTCAGTTTTCTCGTCTTCCACTGTGGGTTTCTTGCTCGCCACGCGATCAGGACTGGCAAGTCGTGCAATATCGCCTTCGTTGTCGGATGTTGATATGTACTCGAGGTATGATAAGGCCTGACCAGTGCCCGACTCCTGGTCTTGCTTTACCGACAGAGAAGGACTACCAGGAGCGGTTGATTCGGAGACAGTCGTCTGATCGTCCGTCCCTTCCGGATCCTTACTCTTTTTCACCTTCGGCTTTGCTCCCACCTTGCCGTTCTTATCCCTGAGCTTGACCTTCTTGCCCGCTACAACCATCGAGGTAGGGTGTTGCGTGCCCAAGTTGAGACACAAGACGTGCCTCCAACCAAGCCAGCGCCGATAAGAAGATATAGTAGAATTTTGCCAGGTATGCTTTTTACGCCGGCAAGGTCGCAAGATATAGTAAACCCAAAAGATGGGTAAGGTATGATGGGTCAACCGTGAAAGACGATCGGGCACATAATCATATTTTGGGGGGAAGAAGCGCAAATGATGGAGATACACGATGAAAGTGGCAGCAGGCCGACAAGTTAGGCGAGTCCACATTCCCAGGCATGATGCAAAGACATAAATGCAGATATGCGCCTTTCAGCCCTTCCAGAGCTGAGCAAGGTCGCAGCGGACCGGACCGTCGTTAGTGGCGTGGATACCCCTTATGGGAGGGCAGACATGGTCGCACGGCTCATCATTGAATTCCTAACTGAAGCGAGAGACCAATTGGCAGGCGACAGGGTGGCATTGGGCATCAGTTTTCGGGACGAAGGGATAAAACCTGGTGGGTGGGGGGTGGAGTAAGAGGTGACATGTTCGATCGATGGCTAGTGGCACTCAATGCCTTGCATGAATGGTAGGGTGCGATTCATCCAATTGAGCCGAGTCCGTGCAGACAGCATCGCCGGTTAGGGTGGATGAGATGAGGCCGCAACGTCGTGACATGCGACTCGGCTGCTATCATCTGCCACGGTACCATGCCTGGATGCTGACTGCATCATCGTGGTCAATTGAAGCATTGAAAAAGAATAACAAGCACAAGAAAAAGAAAAAGGAATCAAGAAGCCCAATCACCCAATGTAAATAAAGAGTCCCGTGACCGGTGACTAATCTCACGTCACATGACCACTTCGCTTCCACCTAAACCGCCCGAAAGGTCATCGTTCACCTCCATTGCACCCTTACTCCCTCAACACAACATGTTCGCCGCCCGACGCACCGCTGCCTCGACGCGGCAGCTGCTGCGCAACCAGCAGCCTCGTCGGTTCGCGAGCCACCACGCCGAACCGGTGAACGAAGGCTTCGGCGTAAGCTCCTCCCATCCTCCCCCGCCAGTCCAGCGTAACGAGACCGGCCAATTGCCTCGTCTCTCAATCGCAATATCCTGAAAGCAATTCACTAATGTCCAATTGCACCAACAGCCCAGTTTCTACATCACCATTGGCAGTTTCGCCTCCGCGTACCTGCTGTACCGCATCAGCCAGTCGAATGAGGATTCCGGCTCGGAGTCCTTCATCTCAGGCCTGATCAGCAAGTGGACGCCCTCGCAAGAAGTTTTCGAGCAGCGCAATGCCATTCGCACCGCTGTCATGGAGAAGGCCGCGCATGACCGTCACCTGCTGCAGAGCCAAGGGCCCCGCCAGGCGTATGAGCTGATGCAGCCTGAGTATGTTGTCCCACTCGGCGGATCTTGATGGTTTCGAGGTATTAACTTGTATGTCTGTGTCTAGTTTAATGAACGCCGGCTCGCCATACAACGTTTCTCCCGGTTCGCAGGCCGACCTGAGCGCCGTCGTGGCTCACTACCATCGCCAGAATCAGGAGATGGAGGAGGCGCGGGTGGCGCGGATGAAGGACGGCAAGGTTGTGTCGGTGTATGATGTCGAGAGGACAACCCCTCTAGACGGTCTGGGGAAATAAACAACATGTACATATAACTAAGTTGGGGTTTGAAGTGTTTCTCAATCCGGCACCAGGATAATCCGATTTCATTTGTTCGTCTCCGTGCCTGCGAGGGTTGATTGATTGCCCGTTTTGTCTCTTTAAGATTATGCATTATCCACGATTGTAGAGAATCCCCAACTAGTGACTCGCCAGTCCGATCTCCAGAATTACCCGACCAACGCCCTCAGACTGGACATCCAACTTCTGCTGCACATCCAACCCGTCGGGACAGATATTCGCCAGCACAGCGAGGAACTCATCCACACCACCGCCGACACCGAAATAGACCTTCTTCGCAGCCACCAGGGCGCGAGTCTGGACGGTTGATGTTGATGCACTGGATGCACGACGCAACAAATCCAAAATAGTCTCCGAGAAAGCCCCCAGCGAAGAAGGGGAGTAGATGGTCTCACTGGCGAGAATAAGGGTGTGTCTTTTTCCGACGTTGTTGAGATTCTGTGCGGAGAAAACCAGGTCCACGAACTCTGGCGACCAGGCGCCTGAAATGAAGGAGATGGTGATTCTGCGTTGGGTCAAGTCATTTTTGAATTCGGTGATGAGTTCGGGCGTGATGTCCAGCTCTAATTCCTCTTGCGTCTGTTGTGGTTGGCTTTCTGGGCCAGGCTGCGCGCGGCTGTTGTGCCATGTCAAGAGTAGATTTGGGAGCGTGACCAGCCGTAGCACCGAAGCATTATAATCTGCAAATGTAAAGTGTGTTTTTTCCCGCTGCTCGGATCCTGATGTCTGAGTCAAAAGGCTTGCAAAAAGAGCCAGAGACGGCACAGCAGTGCCCGCACCCATCTAGTTACACATCGCGAGTATGGTCAGCTTCCATCCGTAAATACCAAATTAAATTCGGTAATCAACCAGACAAACAAACCTCGATAAAATGAGTATCCTCTTCTTGTCTTTCCTCTCCAGTCTCACCAGTCACCAATCTGGCAAGATCCAACGCACACTCCCATGTCTTGAACCCCCCCTCATAGAACTGGGGCTTGATATCGCCTTTTTCCAGTCCGGCAATGAGCGCTTCGTTATCGTAGCCCGCGCTGTCCTCGGCCATCAGCTGGGTGCGGATATCGAAGATTTCTCGCCGGGCAATTTGGTGGTCGCCCTTGATTGCGAGGATGTTGTATGATATTTGAGATGGGAGGGTTGAGAGCTAGTGTGATAGTTAGGATAGGAGTTGAGGTGAAGATTCCTTTCTTATACTCGAGACCTTGATGGAAAGGACTGCCGCCACGAGGTCGGTGGAATACGTACCCATTCATTCATGTCATGTTGACCCGCCTTCACCAGTTCAGGAAGTGAACTGTCCTTCTCCCGCAGAGCGGAGACATCAGGAACCTCATTATTGCCTTCGAACTCCTCGACATCGATATCATCTCCAGAGAACCCGAAGCTGAAGGCCATTGTCGAAGCAGGCCTATCTAAGCGAGTGATCACTGAGGCTGGGTAAAGGAGACGAGACAACTAGATTCAAACAACAGCCGAGCCCCTGCTGTGTCCCAATTCTTCTAATAAGGTAACTCCCTGGTGCATATAAAAATTGCAGTGGGATAGAATATGCTGACTAAGCAGGTCCGATGCCCCGCCGGAGACCATCAGACAGCCAGATCTATAGGAACTAGGCGGGAATGCAAGTATTTACTGATGGTCTGGAAAATGTAGGTGTTTCTCTCTCATAGGAACAGGTTTGATCCTAAGAGTATCGAGATATGCAGGCAGCATCGAGCCTCGTGCACGATATATATATCCACCCGACGCACGCATTAAAGCAAAGTCTATGTCAAATCACCAACCCTTAAAAGAAAAAAAGCATCAGAAAGCGGTCAAAGATCCCAGACATAACACATCTATCTCATGATCTTGATTTCATTTCCAGCTCAAAAGCCGCCATTGACCGTCTTCTCCACACCCGCCACAGCCCTCTCCAGAGCCTGCAACACATCCAACCTCAAATCCTCGGCATCCTCCACACCACAACTCACACGCACAAGATCATCAAACACCCCCGCCGCCTCGCGCTGATCCTTCGGAATGCCCGCATGGGTCATGCTCGAGGGGACCTCACAGAGACTCTCCACGCCACCCAAACTCTCCGCCAGCGTAAAGATCTTCGTATACTGACAGAAGAGGTGCGCAGCGCGCTGGCCGCCCTTGATGCGGAAACTGAGCATCCCGCCGCCCATGCCGTTGCGGTGCTGCTTGATCGCAATGGCGCGGTGTGGGTGCGAGTCGATGCCCGGGTAGTTGACGGAGAGGACGTGCGGAGAAGCCTCGAGGGCTAGGGCGACGGCTGTGGCGTTGGTGGTGGCCTCGCGCGCGCGCAGATGTAGCGTCTTCAGACCACGGTGGGCGAGCCAGCAGTCGAAGGGGGAGGGGACGGCACCGATGGCATTTTGGAGGAAGGTGAGGCGCTCTTTGAGAGTCTCGGAATTGAAGGCTGCGACGCCCATCAAAACATCCTGGAATGAATAGTTAGCTACATGAGTTATTATTAACTCATCCAAGGGATCCATCACTCACAGAGTGGCCGTTGATATACTTGGTCACGGAATGAACAACAATATCCGCGCCGTGGAGGAGCGGGTTCTGCACATAGGGGCTCATGAAAGTGTTATCCACAACCACCAAAATTCCATGGCGATGCGCCATGTCCGCCACGGCCTTGATATCGACTAGGCCCAGCGTCGGGTTCGAGGGTGTCTCAATCCAGATGAGCTTGGTGTCATTCGGCCGAATCAGATCCTCGACGTGCAGCTCGATGCATGGTGAGAAAGTAACGTGGACGCCGTGTGCAGCGGCAACCTTGGTGAAGTATCTGTGCGTACCGCCGTACACATCAGACACGGAGACGACGTGGGAGCCTGCGGCTAGAGACTGGAGGATGGTAGCTGTTGTGGCGGAGCCTGAAGAAAAGGCCAGGGCGTATTTGGCGTGCTCGAGAGCGGCAACTGCCTGCTCGAAGTTGTCACTAGGTTATAATGTCAATCTCTGGCGCCCTTTTTTTTTTTTCTTTTTCTTTTTGGAGGACTCGGATCACTGACCGGTTGGGGTTGGAGCTGCGAGTGTACTCGTACAGACCGACAGGATTGCCGACGCTAGTCTGTTCGTAAGTGGTCGATAGGGAGATCTAGCAGGGGCGGGTAATCAGCTCTGTCCTGGCGAAGCTAGTTGGCAGTAAAAGCTCACAGGCGCAATGACCGCTCCAGTGACCGGGTCGTGAGGCGCACCAGCATGAACAGCTAGCGTGCCAAACCGGCGCTCTGTCACGCCATTTCCATTCTCCATAGATCCTGTCATTGTGTTTCTGTTGTCGAAGGAAAGATTTGCGGGACCAAGGTTGAAGAGGGAGACAGAGTATTTATCGATAACGAGCAGCGATGAGATCAGCCGCCCTTGCGATGGCGAAGGATTGGTAAGCCCAGAATGTCACACAATAACCGAATAAGAACCCCTGGCGAGGAAAAGATCTCCTAGAATAACCCAATTCTTATTATCAATCAGGTAAAAACTTTGTCGCACCGTTTCAGTATACTTGCGGTCGGATCGTCCTAAGCCCCACTAGGAAAAAGATGCCGGCGGCAGCCGAGTTAGCGTCGGAGAGATGCTGGGTTCTCCGAGCGATCGGAGTATTCGGAGTGATGGGGTGAGGAGGGGGAGACTGTGTTCCCAATTAACTACACCTTTACTTCTACACTTGTGTCGAGATTAGAATACCCTTCTCACTCTCACGAATTGTTTCCTGAACCCTGTCTTGAAATGTCCAATTCCCGATTTGGCCACTCATCCCTGTTTAATTGTATCGTTTCGGGAATAAAAATAGTCAGCGTAACTTAGCCGTAAACTCCAGAATATTCTTTGCAAACAGACCTAGAAGGCGAAAAATCCGACAACGTCCCCTAGGACCTGACATGGCGGAATACCTACCCGAAGGGTGTCGGCAGCATAACGCATGGAGCAAATGCCTGGAATGTGCGCATTGCTACTCCCTTGGCTTTCAATCCGAACCTAACGATTGTTTCACTTTGGTCCCTTGAGGCTTAGCAAGCATGTTTGTTTTGTACGATGGCGCATACTACTACCATGTCTCTACCATCAAGTCTGCGTATTCCGCGCCAGAACGTGTTGAACGCATTGAGGATGCATCGCTATTCCAGTTCGTCAGTGTGTGATATTTTGAGCATATTATAATACATAGTCTGCGCAAGATGCAGTGTTGCCGGCATCAATGCCCTCGCTTTCACCGAATATGGTAGATGTCTAGAGAAGGTAGAGTGAAGGGCACAAAGCTCGCACGTGTACGGCGATTTTCTGCAAGATACATCATTATAGGTCACACAATCGAATTGGTCTCTTTCTTGGAAAGGGAAGATCTGTGATAAACCGAATACAGATAAGGGTGTGTTCCTAGATAGGGTTCGGGAAACAGTTCTTGATTGTTCTTGGGGGAAGCTTTTTCAACTCCCACTTTAAAGATAAAGACCGAAATGATCGTTGATATTGATTTGATTGCAGGGGTATCTGACCGGACTATGAATTCGAAGGCTTCTACAATCACCACCACGAGGTAGGACCCAACCCAGCCATCTGCATCGAGCCCTAGAAATGAACAGTCAGCTTGAACTATGTACCATCGCCAACAAAAAAAAGACTCACCCGAATGGAATACGCGGGCTTCCTCTCCATGGGCGCGCTGCCATCTAGATCTGGCGCATTGGGGATCTGGTCATGCCACTCCTCGCTCTCGACGCGGAACCGAACCACCTCGCCCACATCAAAGTAGAAATCGGTGCCATCATCGTTTCGCCAGATCCAGACCTGGTCCGCATAATCACTGCCACGGGTTAGTAGGTTGACCATACAAGAAAGAAAGGATCACACACAATCGAGTACCGTCTAACAAAAGCTCCGGGGGAACGATGATGTCGTTAAAGAATTCCACGCCAACTGTCGGGTTGTTAGTGTCAATCTCAACCACGAGTCTGCGAGGGTTCGCACTTTTGATGCCGCGATCTGTCGCACCGGCGATCTTCCCCAGCATGATCTCGCCTCTGAAGGGCCGGAAGACAATCATTCGGAATTTCACTGGCAGGCGTTAAAATGGTCTTCCTTAAATCATCATGGAAAAAGAAAGGCTTACCATTAACATTGACCAGACCGGTGCCATGGCCGATCAAGCCATCTGAAGACTCCAACAGGTCGTAGAAACTAATACACAGGCCAACCTTTTGAATGACCTTGTTGGCGTATTTCTCGTTGATATTATCTTCAATTGCCACGGCACTGAACTTGGAGAAGTCCTCGGGCGCGACCTGGATCAGATCGGCGAGTGTCGTCTTGGTTGCGGGCAGTCAGTTCGGATATTCCAGGCTGAGAAGCAGGGGACCAAGCATACAAGGATGAACATGTTGTATGGTTAGGTCGCGGATGGAACTGTCATCTCCATATCTCACGGCTGGAAGCGCATTATTGTATTGTTGCTGCTTGATCTTGCCGAACCAAAAACCCTGCCCAGCCATTGACTGACAGCTCCTAGGCACGTGACCCCGCGGAACGGATCAACCCGTCGATCAGCTCAATGATTTTCTGGATCCCAAAAGCACCAACGATGAGCTCCCAGGGCTTTTCGTTCCCTCCTCCGCCGCCGCCTCCGCCTCCGGCAGCGGCTCAGCAGCCACCCTACAACTCGGCGTCTCATGGACAGCAGTCGGGTCGTTGGGCTTCTCGCGGCGGCGGGGCCCGAGGAGGCCGTGGCAGAGGACATGGAAACAGGAGAGGACGCGGTGGGCAAGATGGCAGTCGACCTTCAGCCTATCCTTCAAACCCAGCAGGATTCAACAATCATTCGCCGGTGAATTATGGGTATCCTCCCCAACCGCAGCCGACGCTCTACATGCCATATCCTCAGTCTCAATCTCCGAGCTACCAACCTCCTCAGAACCCGTCTCCATACGCAACCGGCGCACCTCCCCAATCTTCCTCGCAACATTCTTATCATATTTATAATACCTCCTCTCATCCACAACCGACTGCATCATACCCACAACAGCCAGCACCTGGATATTCATCCGGTGCGCCAACATCAACAAGCCCTATGCAGTGGGGGGTTGACATGCAGAGTGGTTATATGCCTACACAACAAGCGTGGCAGGCACGCTCACATGGCACCAGTGACAGAAAGCCTCAACCGCACCATCACCACAAGCGCGACCACTCGGCAGCATTTGGCAAACCCCAGTCGACCGCACCGCGAACTCCAGCACCGCCTCCCGTGCCCAGCTTTGGCAATCCCCTACCCTCGAAGCCGCCTGCAGTGGTCGATGCTACACGCAAACTACCGAAGAAGAGAAAGCGAAAACACAACCAGCTAGGCCTGACCCCCAAGACGGACGAGCACGAATCCAGTGAGGAGGACGACGTGGACGAAGAATCGAAGCTGGCTGCCTCCGATGCAGCCCCGCTGCAATTTACCTACAAAGGACGCACGTCTACATTGCAGTCGGCGACGGACATTGCGGCATGGATCGCGGAGCGCCGAAAGAATTTCCCTACTCAGACGCGAGTAGAGGAAAAGAAGAAGGTCGCCGAGGAGGCCAAATCGATCCGGGAGGCTGCCCGGGAAGCTGCTCGGCAGAAGACCAAGCCAGCGGCAGATCCGGTCGATGAGGCGATGCGGGCGCAACAGAAGGCCGAGAAGTTGCGGCGCAACCTCGACCGAGAACAGAAACGGTTCGCCAAGGCCGAAGCGCAGGCTGAAGCGGCTCGTCGTCGGGTGGAGGCTCTAACGAAGGCGACTGAGACGGGCATGAACCCAGAGGTGGCTGTGTCGGAGCATAATGTGGGATCGCCGGTCGACGCCCACGACGCTACACAAGAGCCTCATGACCTGTCCGGACTGTCCGATGATGACAGCGATGACTGGACATCGTCCAGCGGCTCTAGTAATTCATCCGAGTCGGACTCTGATTCCGCACCAGAGGAGGTAAGCGCACGGCGCCACCAACCCGAGCGTGTGCCACCGCCACCCCGGGATGGCCACAAGAAACCCACGGTGTGTCGCTATTTCGGCCGACATGGGCGCTGTAACCGAGGAGACCAGTGCAAGTTCTCGCACGAGGTGGCAGAGCGCGGTGGCAAGACCAAGACGCCCACCGAGACCAAGGGTCGCAAGGGGCTCTTCCAGGCTGTGAGTTTATTATTGTTTTTTTGTCCGCACCCTCACATGATGCTGATTCTTTTTAGCTGTTGGAGCGGCAGAGAGAAGATGAGAACCGGCTAGTGATGGAGGTGATTATGCAGCTGGGCCAGGGTGGATTGTTAGAGGCTGACCCGGAGACTCCGAGCAATTCCTAGAAAGTACGCCTCGAGTTAGGGCTAATCCAGTCCATGATTTGTATATTATTATGATTCACTCTACTAAGACACCCCCACGCTTTGCTGATCGTCCCTGGTTCTGTTTGCAATATTTAGATCTCCCGTGGATCATGTCTCACAACCTCAGTTAAGCATCCGGTAGTCGGTTCCTGGCAATCGCTGCCGACCGAGGCAACCTCCGGGTCGACCAATAACCACGATTCTCGTGGAGTCCCACGCGCGGCCCACGAGACACGGACCAATGCGCTAGTTAGTGATTGACTTAGCTAGCTCGGGTATTTTTATTAGAGGGAAGTCACCCCCGGCTGTGCTGCTTCTTTTGCCCCTGCCGTGTTTGTTCTTCTTCTTAGTCTTCGCTCCTTTCGTTTGCGCCGTCTGCCCTTCTCTCTTTTACCTTTGTTCATCACTCGCAGACTTATTCGATCTCGACGGACTTTTCCATTTTCATCACCGCTCTCATATTCTATATACCCCCCCCCAAATACCCATACCCCCCATACATACGCATCATACCATCATGCGCGCCGTTATCTCCACCGCCACGGCCCTCTTCGCTGCCCTCGCGACAGCCCAGAGCTCCGACAACTCCTTCAACAACCCCGCCGGTGGCTACAAATTCACAGCTGGACAGACCACTACCCTGACCTGGGAGGCGGACACCCCCGGCACCGTGTCGCTGCTCCTGCAGCAGGCCGGCGGCGTGACGACTGCAGAGTCTGGCATGGCCATTGCCTGTAAGCACCTCCCATGTTGAATAATAGCGCCCAATACTGACTGTATTTGTGACCTCCAGCCAATATCGCCAACTCGGGAACCTACAGCTGGAGCGTGCCCGCGGACCTGGTCGCCGGGCAGGAGTACACCATTGAGATCATCGACGACGCCAATGAGAACGACTACAACTTCCTGCCCATTTTCACCGTCGCTGGTGCGACAGGTGCAGCCTCTACCACGGCCGCCTCTAGCTCGTCCGCTCCTACTAGCACCAGCGCCAGCGCCAGCACGACTTCGACCTCGTCCTCGACTGCGTCCACTAGCGCCACCACCCAGACCACCATGAGCACCATGAGCACTATGAGCTCCATGAGCTCCATGAGTTCCATGAGCACCATGAGCACGGCTGCTACCGGCTCGTCTCACACCCCTACCAAGTCGTCGACCTCTAAGACAGCCTCTCAGACGGCCTCGCAGTCCTCTGTGCCGGATGTTAACGCCGGCGTAGCGAACCGCGTCTCGGGCGGGATGCTGGCTGCTGCTATCGGTGTGCTGGCTGTGATGTAAGGATGCATCTTCGTTGTTGTCCCTGGGTTGTTTTGTGATGTCACGACCCGGACTTGGGATTGATTCATTGGTTACTTTGTTTTGGTAATTTTGCGTATTCATTATCCCTGTAGTTGTGTCTGGGGACTAGCCGATGTAATTTCTACTACGAGACTCTTTCTGCATTGCGCGATCGGTACTTTTTTTTCTTGAGATGCTTGGTCACTGAGCGATTATGAGCGTGCTTTTCTCCTGCTCCCCCGAGTATTTCTAGTGGTATATCCCTTGACCAGAGGTAAACAAGCAGTGCATCATAGATAGTCAGGGCACGGTAAGGAGTCAAGTAATAACGATCTGCACAGTGGGGCCCGCCGAACACGCTAAAACCAGGAAGGAACAGCGATCGACGCCTATCGGGATTCGCCGCGGGGGTGTGTTTGTCTATGATGAACTAACCAACTATACAATAGAACTATAATTAGAAGATCTACCCTGCCACGACAGAATGCCAATTGCAATCTGGATGGACCCTGTTTGCATCTGGTTTCATCATCATCTTTTATTTTAGCGATGCCATTGCCATTCGGGCCGGCTCAGCCCATGTGGTTTTCTTGCTGATGTTCAGCTCCTGACATGACATAATATCGCGATGCAGAAATGCAAGGTTCATTTCACCATTCCATTTCATTTCTATATCCTCCGTGCCGAGCCTCGTGTCGGCAAGGGGACTGACTGCCCTGGTCGTTCCAAACAACCCGGAGCCCTAGCCATTCGCCAAATGCAAAAACGATCGGGTGATGTGCATGTGAGGTATGCGCGCACAAGGATCGGGGCCCTCATCCGATCGGGTGAGTCTGTACGACCATGCACTGAGTGCCAGCGATGACAGTTCCGTTAGCAATGATTGTTGCTGCTGATGCTGCCTATCCTGCCCGACCCGCAGCCATGGGGTCTTGAACGAACGACTATATAATGCAGAGGACAGTCCCGTGTACAAAAACTCAAAAAAGATAACCAGCGCCAGGCCGAATCTGATCTTTCCATTCTTGACTTTCTATTTCCGGAAATATAGAATAGCGTCATCGCATCTCATCCACCATGCTCGCCCGCATTTATCTCTATCTCCCTGCTGTTGCCGCATTGGCCGGCTTGTCCGCGGCCCAGACCAATATCACTGCCAGCGACTGTGCCGCATCGGATGGGTATACTTCCTGCAACACCGATGTCGCGGATCAGTGGTCGTCGTGTGTGAATGGATGCAATGGCGACGGCGATTGCTCGGTCAACTGTGGTTGTACCGCGCACCAGCGATACATCAATTGCATGGCCGAGTCGTGCTGGAACCAGGTATTTCCCTATCTTTTCTGCCTCGTCTATTACTATCTTTTCTTAAATACTGACCCAACTTACCTATCCAGGTCTACTCTTGCGAATACCAGCTCTTCGTGCAACAGTACTTCTCCATCTGCCCCAATGCAGTGGAGCCGATCCCCTTCTGGCCTGCACCGGATGATGCGCCGCGCCGCTGCTCCTGCAGCTTGGGTAAGGTGCTTCAGTCGACGCTCTCGGCTCGCAAAGAGATTGCAAAATGCATTAGCAATGTCAGCAGCGACGTTACAGAAGATTTGTCGAACTGGAATGCCCTGGGCGATGGACTTGATATCGCCAGACAGGCGAGTGAATGTGCCTGCTGCGGCGCCAGCGCCAGTATTTCTGCGTAAGTCTTCCCTCCCCTAGCTACCTTGTAACTACAAATTTTCTTTTTTAACAAAAAGAAAACAGAGCATGGGAAGTCTGCCCAAACACCGACCCCGTCCTCGCAGGCGCAGACCTCTGGGGCGTATTCTTCCCAACCGACCTGCCCGATCTATACCGTACAGACCCAAGCTGGGCCTGGGACTCCTGCGACGCCACGCTAGGTAACATAAGCTGCCCGAATGTCGGCTTCACGGACCCCTCAGACAAGTTCTACCAGCCGAACAACCTGCCCAAGAACGGCACCGCCACGCTGTCCAATGTCGCAGGCACCATCACCGCGCCGCCCTTGGGCACCATCATCACCTGGTCCCAGTCGTCCACTACGTGGACTGTTACTGCGTCCGGGTATAATGAGAAGGATGTTGCGCAGCAGAGTCAGTTCCGCGCTACTGCGACGGGGACGGATGCGTTTGCCACGCAAACGGGGACGAATGCTGCGGCGGGGATGAAGCCTACGGATGTGGTGGCTGCGTTGGGGGGTGTTTTTGGGGTTGTTGTTTTGGCCTTGTAGTTAGGTCATTGCGCACGCAGACCGCGACTTTTTGCATCTATACTGTCTGCTGTCTGTGATCTAGATAGGTCGGCGGGTGGATGGAATGGTGGTGATGTTGTTGTGTTCCTTTGACGATGGACACGCTGAGATGACCTTGTTTCTGCGAGTAATTATTGCTTCTACTGTCTATGTCTTCAGTTGATTTCGAGTTTATAATATTGTGGTATGTTATTTACTTATGGATCTGCGCCTAGGTACTTGCTTTAAACTCTAACTAAGCTCGAGGAAGTGATTACCTCCATTTGTTATCCCACCCAGACTGCTCCACCACAAAGGCAATCGCCAACTCTGTGAATCGTGCCATATGCTATCCGTACTTTTCAGCAGGAATCCTCATTGAAAATAGAATAGGAAGGGAGAATCAGACTTACATCAACTGAGAAAGAACCCGTCTCATCGTCAACCCACATAGTGTCGCACACCCCGTGGACATACGGGTCGAATTCGCCGGGGAAGTTACCACCAGCCTTGGGGTTTCCCTCAGAAGCAAAAGCAGCCGGGTAACCGAGTTGCGTGTAGGACATGTAGTCCGAGCCAGCGCCTCTGCTTCCGTCAGCTAAAGGTGTGCAAGCAAGCAAGAAAGAACAAGCTCAACTTAACTTACCCGGGGAGGTCGTAGACCTTGGCAGGAATCGAGATATACTTCTTGCTCAGGCTCACTGTCCAGTTTGTGAGTGCATCATCCGCCTGGGTTGCTATAAAGCCAATAGTCTCCGTTGCGTTCCGAGCAATGAACGCTGTCATGTCCTGCATAGATATCCATCATTAGTATTATTGTAGCTGTGTATTCAAATCGGAGTGTATGAGTCCACTGAGCCCACTCACAAATTCCATCATCGCCCCAATCCGCGCGCCCTGCTCTTTCTTGTACCGGGCAATATGCTGACTACCCAGCAATCCCCCTTCTTCAGCAGCATACCAGTGAAACTCGACCGGGCCATTCTGGGGGGTATACCCAGTCTCAGCCAGAATCCGGAATGCCTCGAGGATACTGACGGTGCCGGAACAGTCATCGTCCGCGCCGGGCGCAGGCAGGAGCGGGAAGAGATAGTTGGCTGAGTCCTGGTGCGCGCCGAGGATGGTCAATGGCGCGGAGAAATTGCGAACCTTGGGCTCGAAGCGGGCGATGATTGATGATTGGCGGAAGGGGTGGGTGAAATATTCCAGCGAGATGTGAGTGCGATGGGGAGATTTGGCGATGATCTTAGTTGATTGAATGTTAGCACCGTCTTGGTATGTAGCTGCTGAGTTTGAGGATGGAATGATTACCTGGGCAATATGGTCATGAAGCCACTCCGAGCTCAGTTCCCCATGGATGTCATTGAAGTAGCGGTTGTAGTAGCCGGTCATGTGCTCGAGGACATCGAGCATTCGTCCGGTGTCAACTTTAGGGAATAGAGGCCGGACAAGCGACTCATGTACCAGATCAGGAAGATCTGCCATATGAAATGTCAAACGGTGCCTAATACACCCCACAAGAATAGAGCCAGCTTACTTGGCTTTCCAGCCGACGCCTCATGCACCAGCTCCGCATAGAAATCCGCATGATCGGTAATATCTATGAATTTCTTCACCTGTCTTCGCAGACGCAGCTTATCTCCCTCGGTCCTCCATTCTGGCTTCGAATCGCCGATAACTTGCAAGAGACGAGGCTCGGCCATGACCGCTTCAGCTTCAGGGTGAAGAGCAACAAAGGCCGCGACCGGGTCGGGATACTCGTGCAGCGCAGCCAGGACAGCATCAGGAACGGTGTAATCGCCATGTTGGGCCCACACGCTCGGAATGTCGGGGGCTGGCGCGAGGACGTGTTGCGTATCGGCGGGCACCGCTGTTGCTAGGTGGGCGGTGCCCCAGAGATAGGCGAGAATAGACCCTCGCATTCTTATGATTGTTTGGAGGGTAATTTTTGTTCAAAGCGTAGGGTCTTTCCGAGTGATGCAGTTGAAAGCGTTGCCTGCGCGGTGGGGTCCCCACCTGGTTAGCGCACAGATAAGCAGACCTAAGCGGCCAAGACTCTAACTATCAGCCCGAAGTTGAGAGTCATCTTATCATGTGTCTCCAACTATCTCCCTTCCTTGTCCTCACTTGGAGAATCAATCAAAGGGCGTAGGTGGTCGCACCAGTTTCGAGGCGTACTGCAATAGAAAAAAGGGGCAACGTGTCCGCAGTGTTGACTACCTCCGGGGACGACTGGATATTGAATCCGACTGTCTGCATTTCTGCATTGTCTCCTGTCAACGCCTACCTGCTGCTAGTCCATATCCAATTTTGAAGAGCAAAGATCCCTCGTAGGTAGTTATAGCACCCTGCACTCTGAGATTCCATGATTGACCAATTCGTCGCTTCAGATCAGGACTTCACTCCAAGACCTCTCATTTCACAAGATGGTAGAGACAGCGCCAACGAGACAAGCATGCCACGGATCCTGTCACTGCGGATTGACGCAGTACGTCGTCTTCCTCACCCTTCCACATCCATTCTCGTCGTCTCATCCACCACAACGAATCCAACAAGAAGTCTACCGCTGTAACTGCAGCACGTGTTACAAAATGAACTTCTTCCACGTTCATCCTGCCAATCCTCGAGACGATTTCATGCTCCTTTCACCACTTGATCCAGATCATGAATTGAGTACCTACCAATGTTACGACAAGAAACGGAAATACTACTTCTGTCCAAAATGTGGAGTGCGATGCTTTACGTTTACTGGCGTGGGCGAGACCGATGTCGTGGATTTTACAGAGCTTGCTGATAACAAAGAAGGGAAGAGAGAAGTTTGGCGCGCGAACTGGGATGGAGAGAATGATACGAGACCGTATGTTTCAGTTAATGGGACTACGATTGATGCTAGAGAGGATTTCGATCTACGTGTTCTCACTGAGGAGAAGAGAGTGCAGTATTTTGATGATCGGAGTGAGCCTGAGGAGAAGAAGAAGGAGGCAAGATGGGACAGACCACATTATGGTGGAAGTTATTGACCGGTTGAGAAGGGTAGTAGGGTCATTGATGCCAACGCGCAGTAAGGTCAGAGCCTAGAGTGTCCATTTGACATCACGAAAAAGAGAACAAGAGTCGGTTCTCGCTTCGCTTCCTTCCGCTAGGCCCTCTGTAGAGAGCCGCCATTATGATCTACGAACCTAAATTCTTCCGCAGAGCAGGCTCCAGAGGAAACGATTGCTCTTCCTCCGTAACATCTTTGTATACTGTATCCCAGCGGTGTTGAAGCGGTTCAGGAGTAGCCCAAGCATTCTCAGGATCACGAAGCCAGAGTCGCAGAAGATATCGTCTACTTTCCGTTAGAGAAACTCCAACTAATGTCAAGGTGTAAAGAAGTACTGACTCTTTCCCAGGCTCATCCCTAAATCCGTTCCGTGCATGGAAAATGCTCAGATTGTTGATATATTGCACATCCCCTTTTTGAAAGCCTAGCGAAGCACTATGTTTCTCTGCCAGAAAGTGCAGAGCATCCAGTGCTTCAGCCTGCGCTTCCGTTATCGGAGGAATGTCGGTAGACCTAGGCTGGGAGAGGAACCCCGTAAAATATCTCCGGGCGTATTGAATGAGGACACGCTCAGGAGTCGTCGCCGTGGCTGGTTGGTGATACAGAAGAGGACGAAGCGTGTATGGTTTCTCGGGGTTGTTGAACCTTGAATCGGTTAGCTTAGAAGGTAATCTGTTGACTTAGAATGTCCATACCCGTCAACCGGCCAATCCTGCGACAGAGTGTGGATCAAGTCAGGTCGTTCCTTTGCAAGAATGTTGTACACATTCCAGCTGCTGGACAGATAGCTCTCGCCCGCTTCTGCGGCAGGACTCAAGCAGAGAAGTGAAACAATATCCCCCGCATCGGTATGGAAGACCTGCTTGTCAGCGGTGTTGGAAGGCGCACCGATCTGCCCTTTGTCCACAGTGTTGGTGAGGTCCTTGATATGGGACAACATTGGAGAGGTTCCATTTTGCAGTCGTGTGTCCTGCTGGCGGCCACGAATACTTCCGATGTGGGAGGACACTCCAGTATAGATTATGATATTGTCCTCTTTAGAATAGTCATCGATGCACAGGCCACGGATAACGACGAATCCTCGGCCGTTATGGATCTCTCTGGAGAGATCCCTCAAGATTGGACGAAGATTCGGAAGAGGGAAAGTTAACTCGTTAATGTGCCCCAGTGGCTTGTTCAGGGCTGGCTATACTGTTAGTTCAAAACTAATTCAGATCAAGAATGCGTACCTTTGAAACTTTTCAGGGCAGCATCGATCTCATCCAGTTGAGCATCACTCAGTTGATAAATCCAGTCACTCCGTTTCTCAACCTCTTTGCCCTCCCAAACGAGCGGCGAAACCAGTTTCTGAGGAAATCCTGCTGGCAAGGTAGTCTGCAACGACTCTGTCTCCTTGCGAAGACGGGTACGCGCTTGATATTGCTCCAAGTTCGGATGATACTGGATCTCCGGCTGAGCGGGCTTGATGATGGTTTGAACGGCAGACATGATGGATGGTCTCTATTACTGGTACTGGAAGTCCGAGAGGGGTTTGAAAATCTAGGGCCAAAACGCTGCCTATGAATCTTCGCCGTTGCGCAATACTGCTGACGCCGCTACTAATATAGCCGATCGCGGATTATCGCGTCATATCCCCCGCATCAACGTTGATTAATCGGCGTGCAACTATTCGCCATTATTCGCCATTATTCGCGACATCGGTCTCGCCCACGACGAGACTGACCGAGTTACGCAGCTCGGCAGGCTAAGCCTCCGCGAGGTGGAGTAATGAACGTGGAATGTAATCCATAGATGCGGCGGAAATTTTGGATATACAGCATGCGTGGGAATTCCTTTACCCCGACTCATCGCTGACGCAGACCCAAGTCTATGTTCAGCCTATAATACGTATCTGCATCTGGCGACTTACAGCCGGGGTGGACCAAACGTTCGTGTTCTAGTGTAGTCTTCCATGCACATTGCCGGGCTAAGCGATGACAACATTCCATGCTACATTATTGCCATCGCGCGAACTCCAGCGATGTGTAGAATGACACACCAGAATTTAAAAGGATTTCTGAAATGGCCTTCAAAATAGTGCCACGACAGAAAAAAAATTAAGCAAATACCCTGAAGATGTCGAAAGTGCTGCAAGAAGCATACAGTATGCTCCTCTATATCTTCTCAAGCCCTAATCGCTGATAAGCCAGGCCCCCCTTCCCTGAAAGCATCGCTCAGTCGCGACGATGACTCAAGCATTGGCAATGCCTCAAGATCCAGCGTCCAGATCAAAGAGGCACATATTCTGCAAGAGCGCCGGATTGGTGTCTGGGGCGCGATATCGCTTATCATGAATAAGATCATCGGATCCGGGTCCAGTATCTCTCTCACGAGAAAAAGGGACAACTGCTCATTCGAAACAGAATATTCTCTACTCCGTCGACTATCCTTGAACTGTGCGGTAGTCCAGGACTGGCTCTTATCCTTTGGACTATTGCGGGTATTCTATCAACATGTGGAGCGATGGTGATGCTCGAGTTTGGCAGCAGCATTCCGATCTCTGGGGGGATGAAAGTTTACATGGAACGCTCGTTCTCGCCGAAACTACTCATGACATGCATATATCTGTTCTACTGTGTCTTTCTGCGTGAGCTTTATGGTCTCTTCGTTTGCTCGATCGTTGGCTAACGTTCATCTCAATGTAGAGACCTCGGCGAGTAACGCAATCACGGCCTCGTCATACCTCCTTGAAGCCGGGGAGTGGAATCAACAGGTTGGAAAATGCGTGGTCTGGCCATCGCTGCGGTATCATTTGCGGTAATAACTCACGCTGTCGCGCCACGAGTGGGCAGAGCATTGCAGGATGTCCTCAGCGCAGTAAAGCTGTTTATCCTATTCTTCATTGTCTGCACAGGCTTTGCAGCGCTTGGGGGCCATCTTCGAGTCCCCAAGCCTGATAATCTTTCTGTGTCCCAATCCTTCCGAGGAACGTCAAGCAGTGCCTATGGGATCGGCACGGCGCTTTTGAATGTCATTTTCTCGTACCAAGGATATGACAACTTGAACGCGGTAAGGGATTAAAAAAGGGTTATCAGAAGTCATGCTGAAATTTGGTCTCTAGGTCTTGTCAGAAGTCAAGAACCCCCAAAGAACTCTTCGTATTGCACTGCCTACCGCCATGAGTCTGGTGACTGTGCTCTATATTCTGGCTAACATTGCATACGTGAGTCCGGTTGATCTGGAAGTTGACAACAACAGCCTAATGATACTAATAGTTTGCCGGTGTTTCGAGGGAAGACTTCCTGAATTCTGAGCTGACCATCGCAGCTACTCTCTTCAGAAACGTGTATGGCCAGTCTGCCGCAGTAAAAGTCCTGCCTGCCCTAGTAGCCCTTTCGGCTGTTGGTCATCTTCTCAGTGTGGCTTTTACAGTTTGTAAGTTTCTCTTGCCCTGTTATCCACTGAAAACTAATCAATCGCAGCACGGTTAATCCAGGAGCTTGCCAAAGATGGCACTACTCCCTTCCCAGACCTTCTCATGCAGAACCGTCCTTTCAGAACACCAATTTTCTCTCTTGCTGTTCATCTCGGTGTCACGATTCTTTTCATCTGCGCCCCTCCAGCAGGCTCCGCCTTCAAATTTATCGTCGGCCTGGGTACCTACCCCGCGGTGGTTCTTTTGACCGCTATCACGATTGGCTTGATGAAGCTGCGCCTGTCCGAGCTTGAAGACTTCCAGTCCTCATTTACTGTGCCTTGGCCAGTCCTAGTATTTTATCTTGCAGGAAATTTTGTAAGTGTTTATCTGATGACCTGGAACAGTGAAACTGACTCGCCCAGTTCCTTCTGATCATGTCCTTCGTGCCACCAACGAACGATGATGATAGCAGTCTTCCTTATTGGCTGTCTCCAGTAGTTTCTCTAGCTATTTTAACTCTGGGCATTATCTACTATTACAGCCGGTGGGCCATCCTACCCCGCATCTTTGGTTATCAGCTTGATCGAGTGGTGGTGGGCCTTAGTGATGGAAGCCAAGTATCGCGGTATAAAATGAGGAAGTCAAGAGATTAAATAGATCTTGTGGAATTTAAGATACCCACCATCTTTATTATCAAATTCACCGAGCAATAGTGTGAAAAGTACTGCAGATCTATATATATTTTCCGTCTTTGGTAGGCGGTCGGTGGGCGTAAGCTGATGTCACCTTAAGCATCGGTGGACTCCGACGACAAACCATTTCCCCCATTTCCAGATGAGAGACGTCACAGCAAACAAGGGAGTCATTGGGCCATGATCCCAGATAGTGTGAGCAGGCCACAATTGCCAGGCACAGCAATAGCCCAGCAACAACAAAAACAAAACAATTATGGAGACAAACCGAAGCGGAGTCTCGACTATATCATAAAGAGCGGGTTGGCCGGCGGACTGGCAGGATGCGCCGTGAGTCCAACATCCCCCCCAAAAACCAAAAACCAAAATTAACATATGATTATCAGGCCAAAACTGTGGTCGCACCGCTCGACCGAGTCAAAATTCTTTTCCAAACATCAACCCCAGAATACACCCGCTACAGAGGCAGCTGGCACGGCTTCCTGTCCGCCATCTCGGTGATCAGACGGAACGAAGGCACCCGCGGTTTATTCAAGGGCCACTCCGCGACTCTGCTTCAGAAATTCCCGTACGCGGCGATTAATTTCCTACGAACAGATCCGCGCAACGCTTATCCCGTCCAAGGACAAGGAGACGCCATTCCGCAGACTTCTGTCCGGCAGCCTTGCGGGGGTGGTCTCTGTCTTGTTTACTTATCCGTTTGATCTCATCCGTGTGCGAATGGCAATTGAGATTAGCCATCAGCATCGGTCTTCGATGAGGGCTGTTTGTCGGCAGATATACCATGAGCATTCGCATCCTCATCCTCCAAGTGCCGCAGTGTCAACACCAGCAAGAGCAACCGACACGAACGAAACACTTTTTAACAAACTCAGCCAACGATTCAAACTAGCGAACTTCTACCGCGGCTTCAGTCCCACACTGCTAGGTATGATCCCTTACGCGGGGATGTCTTTCTTTACCCACGACCAAGTCGGCGACTGGCTACGCCGTCCAGCATTGGCACCGTACACCACGATCCCAAACTCAGTCACGAAGCCCGGGTCCAGACACGCAGGGCGCCCACAACTCATTGCCCCGGCAGAGTTGTCCGCCGGCGCGCTCGCCGGCGTGGTTGCACAGACGACCTCGTATCCCTTCGAGGTTCTGCGGCGGCGGATGCAGGTTGGTGGCCATCGACTGGGGATTGGCGGGACGTGTCGCAAGATGTGGGCGGAGAATGGGTTTCGGGGATTTTGGGTCGGATTGAGCATTGGGTATTTTAAGGTTGTGCCGCTTGTTGCAACGAGTTTCTTGGTTTATGAGAGGCTGAAGTGGGCATTTGGGATTTAACTGCACATATGCTACTACACAGGCCTTCAAGAAAGGCATTCAAAGAATTGTGTTTGGCGAAATAAATAGCGTGGACGTGACCGAGGGATTCATCTACCAGTCTAACCTTCTATCTGTGACATTTATCAGTCTGCCTTTAACTCTATGCTCTCTTCAGAGCCAGAAATTTCCAGTCTAGAAACAAGCACTTTCACTGGGCCTGCACTGATAGCCTGCTATAATGCAGATATTGCGAAGAGAGTCGGTGAGCAGAATATCAAGTCAGACAAACTATGCATCTGCATTCAGCCCCTCCATTTCCCACTGCAGCAAAGTTTCCGAAATAGAGACAGCAGAGCGGTGACGAGGCTCCAAGACCGATTCCATCCTAGCGCTACATTCTCTCAATAAATTGAGAGCCTCAAGGTCTCGGCCAGATGATTTCCAGGTGAAAGCAAGGCTGACCATCGCCTGCACTTCGAGCTTCTCAGCCTCCTTCTCCCGGCCCTGATTCCTATATGTCGCAGCAAGGTTTCCCATTCTTGTTAACGTATCAGGATGGTCCTCGCCGAGCACCGTCTTGCTTTTGTCCATCACCTGCACCCTGAGCTTCTCAGCCTCCCGCAACCGACCCTGTTCCATATACGTCGTTGCCAGATTTCCCATAGCCATCAGCGTATGAGGATGGTCCTCGCTGAACCGCCTCTTCCGAGTCTCTACCACTCGCACTTGGAGCTTCTCGGCCTCTTCTAGTTGCCCTTGGAGATAGTATACTCTCGCTAGCATCGCAGTGCTGGCAAGGGTTGCTAGATCCTCCTCACCTAGTAGTTTCCTGTTCTGTTCCAGTGACTTCGATGCCATTTCCCTCGCGTCTGCAAGATTTCCGCTTCGCCACGCGTACCCTGCACCATTGTACAGGAGCGATGCCCATTGGTGCTGAACGTCCGGTGACTCTGGCGGCTCGGACATCGCCGATTTAACATGTGGAAAGAGCCAGCGGCACTTTTCCCAACTTTCCGAATTTTCAGAGTAGGGATCAGTCGGAAACTGGTGGCACAGAATGCTGATAAATTGTTCCTTCCATTTCTCGATTTGTGCTTGATCCTGTAGCCACGCACGCGCAGCCAGCTGCACCAGCCGATGCATCGTGAAGACAGTGCCGTCTTCACCGACGGAAATGAATGAATGGGCTCTCAGGGTTGCAATATCGTCCTCGAAGTCGTGATCCGTGTCCAATCTAGACGGAATATTGGTATCCTCTGAGCTCAAATGGTTTCTTCTGTGTTGCACTCGCAAAAGGTCTTCTGAAATTCTCTGCCGGTCGAAAAAGCTCATGAGAGAGAGCAAGTCTGCCGCTGACTGTTTGATTTGTCGGAGATGGTTGAATGATATTCGCCATGTAACTAGAATGGAGTTCTTCGCCTCCCAGTCTCGGTGCAGATGGCCTGGCTCATATTCAAGAAGCCTCTTCGCATCGCCATTCCGAAGTCTTTCCAGGTATTGCGATACCGAAAAACGTGGTGCTCGGTGGCTGATATAGCCGGCTGCCTGAACGATCGCTAGTGGCATAAACTCGAGCTCTTCCACCAATTCAAGGGCCTCTTGACGATCACCTGGTGACTTGAGCTTTTTTTGGAGGAGTTCTAGCGCCTCAGACCCTTCCATCGGTTTGATCTCAATGAGGTCCTTGTGTTCGACGATTTTCAGCGCAACTTCTTTCGTCCGACTCGTGACGATGACTGAACCATGTAGAGCTCGCGGGAGGAATTCGAACAGTGGTTTTGTCGGAATATTGACATGATCCTGACCGTCCCTCTGGCCCTCCTGGCCTGACGCGGGGAGCCGATGAAGAAGCCCATCATCGTCAACATTATCCACGATAACAAGCCACTTCCCTCGCCGTTCATCCTGGAGCCAATTCTCAACTAACTGGAAGATGCTGGTCTTGGGATTCTCACGCCCAGGGATTTTCACCTGGTCCGCAATGCCTCGGAAGCTTTGCTCAAACCGGGCCGCGTTACTCGCATGGATCCAGAACACCCATGTCGCCCGCGACAGACTTCGGACCTGATAGGAATATTCGATGGCAAGTTGCGATTTCCTTTTGAGTTGTCAGCAATAAAACACCCGCTGGTCATTATTGACACCAACCCAACGCCGCCAAGACCGACAAGCGCTATCCTGGATCCTTCGACCGAGCATTTGTCGCGAATCTGTTCAAGCAGTGTGTCGCGACTGACAAAGTCTGGATCACGCATAAACGGCACAGTCGATAGCGGGCTTGGGGTAGTTTCGGGCTGGACTAGGGATTCAGTGATTAACATGAGGATCCTTCTCTCCTTCCTAGAAACTTACCATGATACTGGTGGACGTGGGTGTCAGCATGGAAGGTGGCCCTGATACTATTATCCGCGAGCCCTGCAAACATTCTTCCACTTGATTCCGCGCTCACCCCAGAGATATGCAGGGTGGAGGGCGCCCTCGGGGTCGTTGCTCTGGTCGTGTCCATTGTATCATGATATCTTCCAGGCTTCATGAATTCGTAGAGCGTGAAACGGGTGACACACCATTATATGGAGGCTTGGCTGTCAGCGAGGACAGTCGTTCCGTCCCATATAGCACGTCATTGCCGTGTGGCCGAGGATTCACCCAGGATTTTGCGCTGCTGCCGCTCAGTCTGCTCGCTAACTAGTGTGTCCAATTAACCCACTCGCGAATGGACCACTTGCAGGAACTACTGCACGCTCCATAATTAACCGTGGAAATTGCCAGCTGTACCGCTAGGTCAAAAAGCAGCATAGACTCTTTCTTAGCCAATACCGTCACTTTACTCGACACTATTCAGTAACGTGTCGTCTCGCAATCGGCACATGATCAAGCCTCTTGTGTCTTAGCACGATTTCAGACGCCACCATTCTCGTCTGACGTCCCCTCTCCCACCCTTGTTGCGATAATGGATCCGTTCAGTGTGGCAGTCGGGACTCTAAGTATCGTCCAAGCGGCGGTACTGAGTATAAATGCTTTAATCCATGATATCAACGCGATCAAGGATGCGCCTGCCGTTATCGTGGATCTGAGAAACGAACTAGCAGCCATTCACGCCATTCTCGCGGCGCTGGAGGATGCGAGGAAAGATTCAAAGCTAGAGGCACTCACTCCCGACGTATTAATCGCGCTGAAGTCGGCTATTGCGATTTGCGAAACAGCCTGCGACCGGTTTGGGGTGAAGCTGAAGCGATGGACTAGACATTCTGAGGATAGAGTCCACTGGTGGGATCGAGTTCGCATCGGCTTGTTCGCGGAGGCGACGATTGAGGCTCTGAGGAAGCAGCTGGGCTATTGCAAGTCTACTGTGAATTTGGCAGTTAGCACAGCTGCCTTGTATGTTATCTGACTATTAGACGTATTACTGCTCACTTGTTACTACATAGGCTGAGGTCGGCTACATCAACCCCCATTACCGATGCAATCCAACGCGGGCTGCAGGAAAGGGAGATTGCGATCTCGCAGGACATTACGGAATTAGATAGACAGAACGAGGAGAGGGAGACGACGCTACAGGAGATCACAGCAGCGCGGCCCATGGATAACAACAATAACGATCCGTCCGACGTGGTCGAGCAACTTGAGGACCAGCGGGTTGCACTACGTGCATCTCGGACGCTCTTAGAAGACCTCCTATCGGACATCCGGCGCACCGGACAAAGGATCACCAAGGTCGAGATGAATGACGGTGGGAAACTCCTCGTTGGCCTCATCAATGTCGACGCTGGTGATGGTGAGATCCGCCAGGAAATCCACAACGTCAAGGCCACCACCGGTGGGAAGGGCGTTGTGGGCAAGATCCAAGGGTTTGATGTAAATGCGTTTTTTGCAGATTAGCTAGCTATCGAGGATATATATCTGTCGGAGAATACTGCTAGACTGAACGAAATGTCGTCTGAAGCTTGTTCAGGCCAGGGACACCGTCATCCCAACAATTCTAGGTGGTACTATAGACTCTTACGGGAAGAAAGCAAAGTGAAGAATAGATAGGGTAGGGTATAAGATATAAAGCTACCTTAGGGCATAAACCCCGCCGGCCAAGTATAAAAGTCTAAAAACAAAGGGCAAACCAGTACCCAGGAACGCCAGGCCAGAAGCCATTCGAATCAATAACCAATCACGCCGCCGTCCATGTAGGAACAACCCGCTTTAAATACTTCATAAACTTGAAGAACCCAACGGCATACTCGACATTCCCAAGGGGATCAACCACACGCTCGGGGAAAGCAATACCAGCACCATATAACCCCGGCACGACGTCGCCAGAACCGGGCTCATGAAAGCGGCTCGTTTCATGATCATACTCCAGCGTAATAGGCACTTGCTCATTTCGAGACAGTCTCGGCAGTGGATCGCGAGTAAATCCCACCGCTTGCACGATATGCGAACAAGCAGGCAGGTTCTTCTCATACTGCGCCTGCTCCTTGTCTGGCCCGCCGCCGCAGTCGATCTTGCGGATGACCGTGCCCGCTGTCGAGGTAGCCAGCTTATCGTCTTCCAGTTGGGAGCGCGCAAAGTCCGCGGCTAGACCCTTGAGGCCTGTGTTGTCGCGCAGGATCCAGCCGTCCTTGTACTCTGCGTACCGCAGGGGATGGCGCGTGAACCATCGCACGCGCAGGTGCGGGTGTGAAGACTGGGCGAGGCTGAGTAGATTCAGGAGGGCTAGGATGGCGCTGTGGCTGGCGCCGACGACAGCGACGGTGGATGGGGAGTCGGTGGGGAGGGTGGTGCGTAGCTCGGAGGGCTTGAGGACCGTGTCCAGGTCGAGGTGGCGGATGTCTAGCCCTGGCACTGGGACGGGGAGGTTGGTCGGGTGGCTGCCTGTGCAGAGGACGAGGCGAGAGGTGTTGATCTCCAGCTCGTCGGAAGATCCGTGCTGCTTGACACGGACTGTCCACTGCGACGCAGACGAGGATGAGGGTGATTTGGACAGATTGGCAGCCGTCACGAACCCGCGACACGCGTAGACTTGCTCCATCTTCACCAGGCCGTCCGTCAGGGAGCGCACCATGTCCGCGGCATGATGCAGATGGCAGGGCTTATCCTGGTCGAGCTTGTTGAGGGTGGAGAACGGGTTTGGTTTGGGGGTGTTGTCGATGACTGTCTGGAAGGGCTTGGTCGCCGTGGCGAAGGCCGTGAACAGGGCGACTCTGGTGTTGCTGGGTTGAGGGTCGGTCAGACTTAACATGCACAAGGTGATTGATGATCCCTTTACACGAGGCAACTCACGATGGTACCTCGCGGTATTTGCGGTTCACGCGGCCGGCCTCGAAGGTGGGATCGATCCAGGCGATAGTGCCGAGTTGGCGCTCGAGCAGGTTGCCCACGGCGGCCACACCGGCGGGACCAGCGCCCACGACCACAGCGGCGCAGGTGCGAGATGCCATTTTTGGGGGTTGTTAGTATATAGCGTTGCTGGTGGGGAAAGAAAATGGGAGAAATCGTGGAAGTGAGTGAAATGGAGAGAAAAGTCATTCATTGGGGTTTTAGTTAAGTAATAAATAGAGATGGGGGAACACAAGAGCCAAGGGAATGTTGCTGCGTCACTGAAACGAGGACCCGCGGCATCATTGGCGGTGCAGATAACGCAACCATGAGCCAGTCGCAGCGGGGAGTTGGTCAATTAGTCTGGGGGCAGATCCTCTTTCTCGCCCGATCAGTGCATAATAGTCGCGGTGGAAGTCCACTCCCAGAGTCCAGTCCAAGCGAACCGTGGCAACCCGGCCGAGAGAGGCAGAGAGGGGGATGGGCATGTCCTGCCCCACCGCCGGGTCCGTCCTGGCGCTTTCCATCGGCTGGTCGGCTGCGTCGGGTGTGCCTGGGGGTGGTGGAAGAGTAGGTGTTGCGCTGCCCTCACCCATCATGGTCGAGGGATCCAGGGAGGGCGTTCTGTAGGGTTCACATAGTCGATTTCGTCGCACTGGGCGTGCGAATGGGAGAAAACAAAAGTTGATGGTGGTCGAGGGAGTTGTACCTCTTATATGGGGCATGGCTAGCGTCCCTCAGAGGCCTTGGCACAATTGCGTGCTTCGTTCTGGCTGTGATTCGCTGTGGGCGGAGGTGTGTGCCTGAGGCAGCGAGGCAGCCAGGAGTATACTCTCTCGTGGTGAACTGGAGCGTGTATGATTCAAGGTTGCGATTCATTATTATTCTTTCCCTCCTCACTATATTGCCCAGAAGACTTGCACCCTCGCCCGTGCCACCCGATTCGACCACCCGGGAAACCTCGCCCTGGCCCACACCGCAATGGAATCACCCACCTCCAACTCTCTCACTCCCCGGCCATCCAGCGTAAGTTTCCCCCGGCCCTGCGTCCTTTCGACCTCCTCCGCCTCCAGCGAGTCCGGCGACACATCATCCAGATAATGCCAAACGATACTATGCTCCTGCATACTCGACACACGACACCGATTTACCTGTAACTTATCCCCTCTTGGTAGGAGCTTCGGATGCTCAGGCCCAAAATGCGTCGCTACCTGCCCGCGCTCATTCTCCAGGACCTCCTGCTCCTTGTAGTCTTTATACATATTCTTCAGATGCGCGGCGCGGATAACCTCCGTGTCGAACCAGGTCCAGGACCCCTCGTACATATTCTCGCGTTGGCCGCTGCCGCCGCCGCCTTGGTCATGGGCCGAGATGTGGAAGATTATTTTTCGGCAGGGGTGCTTGCTCCGGTGGGGCATTGGGAGTGGTGAGGACTCTAGACTTGCGCGGTCGTAGCAGAGGGGGACGGTTTTCAGGATTACTTGGTCGCGGTCTTTGTGGATGACTCGCTCGCCTGGCTGCATGTCCACTTCCGCGCTGGGCCAGTACTCTGCGGAGTCGAGGATTAAATCGATTAGTTCCTCTGGGAGTGGGTGGGTGATCTTGTTTCGTAGGATATAGCGGACTTGGAGTACCTCCCATACGGTGGCATCTCGTGGCTGGTATGTGGGCAGGGTGTGTGGGGTGTCTGCAGCTGGAGGGTTGCTGGAATTTGCAGGGGTGGTGGGTTCTCCTGGTAAGGATTGTTGGAGCTGGTTCCAAAAGCGCCGGAAGGGCAGCATGGTGATGGTGATGGTGGTGGTGGTGGTAGAGGAGTGAGGGATGGTGGTTGTGGAGGGGAAGAGTCAGCAAGTCTGGGACAGGCAGCGATAATCGGTTAAGTATGTAGTCTGTCAAGTTGTTTGAGAGAGATGCCAGTCATTATCTATAGTCGCCTAGAGAGTGTGAGCGGGATGATAGCGAGAGGAGCCTTGAACTGACTGGAATGACGTCAAGCCCTAGATAGGCACGATCGACTACGAACAATGGGAGATACAAAGTTCAACAATGACAAATGCCCTTATAGATCGATAGACGCCAGGATAAATACACCTTCCATTCTCACTCACGGCTTCTTCCCTCCAGCAGCCCGGTACGCCGCCGCCCGCTTACTGCTGCGATTCTTCGGCTTCCCCTTGGACCCGCGACTCTTCGTCTTCACCTTCATACTGGCCGAGCCCTCCGTCGCACGGTGACCCTCAAACACAAACCCATTCGCCGCAATGGAGCCCTTCCCGTCCCTCTTCATCTGATGCGCGGCCGACCTTCCCAGCAACTTGCCCGCCCGACCCTGCATCGTCTTCTGCGCCTTGCCCATCTTCCGCTCGCCGTCGTCATTATTGTTGCCATCCCGCTTCTTCGCCATTTTTCGGGCGCGCGTCACTCGCAATTTGCGCGGCAGCATCGGCGGGAATTTCTTCTCGTTCAGCAGTAGCGCCTCCTCCACCCCGTTTCCATCGTAGAATTGCACGTAGGCGAATCCTTTGCCCACACGCGTCGACCGGTCGCGGATCACGCGCACGAACTCGACGCTGCCCTTCCCGGTCTTCTTCTTGTCCTTCCCGCCTGTGTGCGCGTTGAAGGTCCGCCACAGACCCTCCTCAACATCAGCAGCAGCCCGGGTCTTCTTCTTCTTGCCGGGCTCGGCATCCTCAACTTCCTTATCCACAAAGTCCAGATTTCCCACAAAGACACACCGCTTGTTGTCGATTTCCGCGGGATGCGCGATACTATCGACGCGGAGATGGCGGTCCAGAACGACAGTCCCGTTCAAGGCAGCGGGCGCCTTGCGCGCGGCCTGGGTGGTAGTGTAGACGGCGTAGGCGTTCGTGCTGGGGGTTGTCTCGTCGAGAATTTCCATCTTGGCATACGACGCCCGCTTCGGCAGGCCGCCACCGCTGGAGAAGGGCACAGAGCGGAATCGGATCGACTCGACTTTGTGCGGGCCGCTGGATTCAGGTAGAGATGCACAAAAGGATGCCAGGTGTCGCAGCAGGGTCTTCTTGCCAGACTTGGATTTGATCGCTTCCGTTGAGACATTTCCCAGGAATACCGTGCGGTTGGACTTTTCGACCTCGCTGGTGCTCTTCGCCACGCTTTCATGCACCGGGGCGGGGGATGGGTCTTCATCGTCCTCACTAGTCCCTGATACTGCTTCCTCGTCGGACTGTTCGCTCCCTTCGAGATCCTCACCAGCCTCCTCGCTAGCGTCTTGATCAGCTTTCTTTAGCCGCTTAGCCTGTTCCTCCTTCCTCTTTTCATCGGCCTTCTGCTCCTCCTTAGCGATGCGACGCATATATGACTCCTCCAGATCCTCCTCAGCGCCAGCCCTCTTTCGTTTCCGGCCCTGTGGCTCTGCAGCTTTTTCCTCGTCCGCACTTCCAGAGTCGCTGGCGTCGGAGGCATCCTCCATCACTTCGTCGTCGGAGTCGGCCGATTGCTGCTGCTCCTCATCCTGGTCTAGATCTGCAACCTCGCGCTGCTTGGCTTTGAAAATCGTGAATGATTCAGGGATTACGGGTGCTTTCACGGGCCCGGACTGAAAAAGGTTAGCTATCGGAATGTGAATTCAATCAGACAGATAAGTGGACGTACACTCTTCTCGAACAACGAGGAAAGCGTCGGGTCCAGAGCTGCGCTGGCCCCGAGGAAGGGCAGAGTGCTGGACGCATCGGTCTTGGTGGACTGCGACTTGGACTTGGACTTGGACTTGCCCATTGTGTCAATTGGGGTGGGTTGGGCGGGGGAGGGAGTTAAGGTGTGGTCGTACAACCACTTGCGTTCCTGGTTGCACTTTTTTTTTCCTGGACTTTTGCTTATCGGCTTGGCTATCAGTCATGTGATCACGCATGTTGCTCTTGAGTGGAGTTGTTTTCAAAGTGTTTTAGAGTACAGTAAAGTGATAAATAAATAGGATACGAAACATACACATGAACAGTCCAATGTATTTCTTGAATAAGTGAGCTGCTGTCATTCTTGGCTGGATGGTCGGATGCGGTAAAGACGGCCGCCGGGGATTCTTGTCTCCCGCAACAGTAAACACGACAGCCGGTCCGTCGTGGTCGCTGGGTAAAGAGCTTCCACAATGGTAATACTGCCAATAACCAATCGCAATGCGTCAATCTCTTCATGTACATCAAAGACTCCGGCCCCTGCCACAATCACATGACCCAGCACGGGACTGGTGGTTCCGGTCAGGGCGGTGACCGATCTCGCGGCAGAACCCCGTCACCGGTGCCATCCAGCACCCCATCATAGCGCTTTGTGACCTTCTCCTCCCTCTCCTGCGTCCCCTCGCGCGCGTGCTTCCCATTCCCCTCTGTCCGTGTCTGCGATACACTGCCTCACTCCTCTCCATACTTCATGCCCGTTCGTGCCGCGACCTCCTCACGTCTCGCCCGCTTCCTATCCTCCCCTCTCGCCCTCCAGTCGGTCGGTCTGCGCAGGATCAGTGGTCACTCGCACCCAAGAGGTTCCTGGCGGAATACAACGGTCTCGAGGTGGTACACGTGTTTCTGAACCTGGTTGATCCCCTACAACCCAGGAACGCGGTGGTTTGGACACTCGTGCTCGGTCGCGAGCAGCTGTGCTCACCACTGGCGCTGCTGGCGCATTGCTGAAAAGGTACGTCGCTTACAGTATTCCTTCGATCTCAGTGCTTCACCCGACGTCGGCTACGTGAGCAATTTGCTTTTTGAACCCTCTGCTGCGATATGGGCAGCGCAGGCTCCGTGGATTTCGCCTGGCTGCCGACTCTGGGGGCGATGATCAAATCTCCGCACCGCCTTCTGAAGACGCTGGCCGACCTCTTCCCTCCCACCCACCGGATCACTTTTTCTTCCATACTGCTGCTGTCCCCCGTCTCATCACACCAGCATGGCACGGCCACTGAGCTAATCGATTTTGCGGTTCCTCCAGGTTTCAAATTCCCCGTCTGGTGGACCGGCAAACCTTCCACACCCTTTCTCCTCACACGCCCATAACGAACGCCAACCCTGCCGAAAACAACCTCCCCTCCGATCGCCCCTTCTAAACCCCTCCTTCATACCAGTCTCGCGTAAGGTTCCTCCCCTCACACAGCTGCAGATGGAGGTCGCCGAGAGCAGAGAACAAGCCTCCGTTGGTCCGACCACGGGGGCGGACTCCAGCATTGCCAATGGCGAGCGGAATCCGTACCTGGACGACCCTCTCATGGACGATGGACGCTCAAGTAGCTTGAGTGAGATTGATGACGTTTCCGACGACGAGCCGTCGGACCTCGACGAGGACCTCGTCGAACCAGAGAAGTCTTCGGTGCTAGAGAATGACTCGGAAGCCGAGACCGAGCGCATCGAGGACTCCCCACAACACTTTCGAAAACGAGACATTGTGGTGAGCGCGGGGAGCGTTGGGCCTAGTCCCAGCAAGCTTCACCAGTCCACCACGCTCGATGATTTCGACGACGAAACGCCTCTGGCGGACGATTCGCCCACCAAAACTCGCTCTTCCAAAAATAACGGTATCACCGACGATGACCCCGACCTAGATGACTCCGAGCTTCCTGATAGCGTCAGCAAGAAACGAAAACGCGTCGACGTGGGTGACGACACCGGAACCGAAGTCGGCGACGAAGAAGAGCCTCTCAAAAAACGCCGTAGCTCGATCAAGAGCGATCTGAGTGACCCGATCGACGATGATACCCCGCTATCGCCGGAGCCGATCGAAGATCCCATTGTCGCGAACGAGGACGACACGCTCGCCGACGATGTCCCCGAGTTAGACCTTCCCATCGCACAGCCCAGCACCAAGAAGAGTAAAAGGGCCAAGCGAAAAGGAGGACGAAGAGCGCGAGATGTGGATGAAGATACTGAAACAGGTGGTGCTGAGACGGCAGCAGACGACGTCGTTGATGAGAACCTTGGAGAAGACGAGGAGACTGCGGAACGTGTCGACGAGGCTGACGATACTGAGACCGCGGCCAAAGCGGAAGAAGAGTGTAAGTATCTCTTGCACTCTTTGATGATCAAAGCTGACGCGTTGTACAGCTGCGAAGAAGATGTCTGCCATGGAGTCCTTGGCGACACTAGAGAAGGAGTTCGCAACATTGCGTGACAAGTATGTGCCTTGCACCTTGCTTCATTTTTTGGGGAGGTTACTCACCCGCGCCTGCAGGATTTACGATGAACGGATATCCAAGCTGAATCGCGAATTGGAGATGCTGACTGGACCAAAACCCACCCATCCCGAGTACCTGCGACAGGTCGAGTGTGTGCAACGTTACCGGGATGCCAAGATCAAATATGAGCACACCTTGTTCCAATACCGATTGAAGTCACTGTTGAACAAGGGGCTGGCGGAACGATCCCAGGCGCACAGCACATATTTCCAGCGCATCCGAGACGTGCGGGAACGGCACTCGAGTGCGATGAGCAAACAATTCTATGCGATCCAACACGATCGCTTCAAGACTGACGAGCTCAGCCCGCACCATATCATTCCCTTCCCGACCCGCCGATCGCAGCAGATCTCACATCAAACCGCGTATAACCATGAGGTATCTGTCATGGCTGGTGTCGCAAAGTATGTCGGCTTCCCAGCTGCACCGACCTTGCTTGGGGCGCGTCCTTCGGAGTTGGATGATGATCTAGAGAAGATGGGGGTAAGTCGCATCGAATCGGTGGGGGCGCCCGCAACTGTCTAACCAGCGCACTAGATATCTGTCGAATCTCGAGTCTCAGCGCCGCGGCCTTCAACATTACAGCCCCGGGTGGCCATGTCGTCCATGTCCTCTAATGTGTTTCGCACCGCTGCCGAGGAAGCGTTTCTGGAACAAACACCGTGGGCCAACCCGCAGCACCCAATCCATCAACAACAGATGCAGCAGCAGGCACAACGACCGCAGGCATCATCATATACTACTCCCGCGGCGCAAAAGCGAGTAGTGGACATCAATGCGCCAAACGGATCGGCATCGACCATTCCCGAAAATCCCTCTGCCGCGAACTCCTCGGCGAACAATACGCCATACGGCACGGAACAGGAGCCTCGACAACCGCAGGGACCCTTCAGTAACCCGGATTATGACGCCGAGCGTAAACCCGGGTATCGAGATCCAAGCTCTTCCCCGCTGGACGTGCGAAAACCCCAACCACATCCGAGTCACGCCTTTGTCGAAGGCTCCACCCGCAACCCCATCTTCTCCCCACCTCCCGCTCGACCAGGCCTCTTTCAACCGTCTAGCAGCATGAAGCGGGATACGTCGCCATCGCTCCCACCCAAACCCGTCGATTCAGTCCATTATCGCCCTCATCAATCCGCGGGAATCTCCACTGGGTCTGGCTCGAACCACATGTCGGCCCGGTAACTTCTCCTCGAGCCTGCATCTTGCTTACTACTCTTCTCTTCTCCGATCATGATCCTCCTGAAATTGCATTTTCTGCGTGTTTCTGTTTCTCTTCATAAATCTGTCTTTTTTAACTGCCGTTGATTGGGAGATCGGATGTACTGTGATTCTATCACCGTCTCGAGCCTCTGACTGGCAGAACCTTTGTCTTGCAGTCATGGCAATTCTCATCAACGGGTGGCTTTGGTGTTGGTGTATGGGGTATGGATATGGATATGTACGCCGGTCTGGAGTCCATGTGCTGCTCTACGGCACGGTCTTTCTTCTTTTGAATTCCTTGCATTTGGAGCTATGCTGTTTTCTACTTTGTCTGTGTGGGTATTATGGTATGATGAACCCCGAGTACATTGTCCGTTGAGTTGCGCTTTTTTTCTTTCTTTACCCCTGTGTGTCTTGTGTCTTGGGTTGGATCGAATTGGATCGAACTTTGCGTGTCGGTCGGTGTACATACACGCATGTATAGGCCATGTAGCTGTCATCCCTGCTGGCCCTGGAGTGTGCTTCTCTTTTTTTTCGACTGTTAATCATCATAATATCATAGACTATGGATGGAGTCTTCACCTTGTGACTTTTTCTTTCTCTACTTTATCTGGCCTTGTTATTGATGAACAATACCTATCATGGTGTCACACATTGAAATCGAGGGTGTTCCATCTTCCCCCCAATTACAGTGAATTGTCTAAAGTGGCGAGATTCCTCAGCCAAAATAGAAGATCCATGTCTACGATCCTTTACTTCTACAGGTTCCTCCTTCATCTCCATCGATGTCCTAGCCTCGGTTCTCGAACGGGTGGGGGGAGATCTGGCGAAACTCGGTGACATCCGCTTTTACGAGCTGACTGGTGACTCACGTCTCTACTTTCTATTTATTGCACAACTCACCTTGCGTCCTCACGGTTGCATCCTGTACTTTAAACGCTCTCAATCAATCCCGTTGATCATGCAGACTTCTGTTTCCGTGGTGCCCGCAGCCCTTCGGCGCGGCGACACTATCGCCTTTGTCGCCCCCTCTGCGCGTATTAATCATATTTTCCCTCTACGCATTGCCCGAGCGCGCGCCTTTCTGGAAGCACAAGGCTTCCGCGTCCGTGAAATCTACTCACCTGAGCTTCCTACAACCTCGTTCCGTGCTGCTCTCAAGACAAGAGTGGATGAACTGCATGAAGCTTTTCGTGACGATGAAGTGCGCTGTATTATATGCTGTATTGGCGGGCTGACTGCCAATGAGATCCTGCCCCATCTTGACTATGAGTTGATTCGCGAGCATCCCAAGATTTTCATAGGCAGTTCGGATATTACATTGCTGCATCATGCCTTGCTTACTGGTGCTGGATTACGGACTTTCTATGGAGCAAGTGCAATTGTGCAGTTGGGTGAATATCCTGCCCCGCTGGACTTTACTTGGGAACACTTCCTTCGTGTGTTAGTTTCAGAGGGGGAAGGGAACGGCGCACTCACACAAGAAGTTGGGTTTATGCCTCGGGCGACTCATTATACTGATGAATTTCTTGACTGGTCCGGCGAGCCTGGCAATCTCCGCGCTCGTGAGACTACACCAGCTCCGGGGTGGAAATGGCTTCGTCCTGGTCGAGCACAGGGCCGTATCTTTGGCGGCTGTTTACCTAGCGCCTTGCAGTTGTTCGGCACCCCATGGCAAGTGTCATACAAGGGCCGGATTTTACTCCTCGAGCTCCCAGAAGGCCTGAAACCCGACAGCCCGTGGCCATTAGAGCTGGTTCGCTGGAACCTGGCGGATCTAGGAACCCGGGGTGTGTGGGACGACATCACGGGATTAATCCTGGGTAGACCGTACAGACACACAGAGGAGCAGGCGGCTGAGTGGGAGAAGACGGTACTTGAGATCACGGAGGGTTATGAATTCCCTATTCTTGCTGGTGTGGACGTGGGGCATACCGATCCGATGTTGACGGTGCCGCTGGACGCGTTGTGTCGGCTGGATAGTGAGAAGGATGAGTGGTTTATTTTGGAGAGAGGAGTTGAAAACAAGTAGCCGCAGATGAGCATTATATCTTTTTGGAGATCGATTCTCGACCTCACCCCATTTAATGAAGGCAGAGTCCTATTCTCACAGTTGAATCCAAAGCCTACGTACGAGTCTCTATTGCCCGAATCCGTAAAATAACCAACTCAGGAGTACTGTGAAGCACTATTTTCGGCGATGCCTATAGAATTTGCTCGAGTAAACATACTCACGTGATATAGTGTCTCTGCTCACGTCATCGACTTCCCCATGAACGAACCGAACCAATTTGGTGGGTCTATTCCAATCAACTAATGCAGCCTACCCGCAAATACTCCGAATGCTGAGGCGGTGTCACGTTGATACAAGACGAGGAACGACGTGTGCTTTGAACTCGTCGAATGCGTGATACGAAGATGAGCCGTGCAGCAGTCCTTGTGCGATTATTCTATTGGAATTGCCACACGCTATGGATCAGTTGACCCACGATCACCTGGATCTGGCGAGCATGGGCTACAAGCAGGCATTCTCGCGCAAGTTCAATACATGGAGTATGCTCGCTTTAGCCTTCAATATCCTGGGTACTTGGTCAACATTAGCGTACGACTTGGCTAGTGGCTTGGCTAACGGTGGGCCTGTCAGTATCCTCTGGGGTTTGTGCGTCGTTACCGTGTGCAACATTTGCGTCGCCATATCACTTGGCGAGCTATGCAGCAGCATGCCCACTACTCTGGGGCAGGCGTACTGGGTATTTCGCCTCTGGGACCATCCTGCGGGGCGTTTCCTCTCGTACCTCTGCGCCTGGATCAACACATTTGGCTGGTGGACTGCCACGGCGTCACAAGCTGCCTTTATGACTGACTTCATGTTCTCAATCAATTCAATGGTCAATCCTGCGTGGCGAGGCGCCAGTGGCTGGTTACTATTTCTTGTCTACATTGGCATCACACTGCTATTTACCATCGTCAACGCGGTAGCGTGCCGCAAGGATAATATTCTGCCATGGTTCAATAACGTCGTCGCTGTCCAATTCGGTGCCCTTTTTATCGCATTCTCCCTGGCATTCTCAATCTCGGTCGGTATTGACTCGAACCTGCGATATCAACCGGCATCATTTGTGTTTGGCCAGTGGCTTAATGAAACAGGATGGTCTAATGGCATTGTGTGGTTCATCGGGCTTCGCGGCGCCGCCTATGGCCTGTCCGCGTTTGACTGTGTTATTCATATGTCAGAGGAGATCCCAGCCCCACGGGTCAATATACCACGAGTACTTTATCTCGTCGTGGTCATCGGCGCGGTCACGGGAGCTCTCTTCATGGTCGTCTGCTTGTTTTCCATCCAGAATTTATTTTTGATCCTAAATCCTCCCACGGGTCTCGCCTTTACAGAGCTAGCAGTGACCACGGTGGGACTGAAGGGCGCAGTTGCGCTGATGGTTCTGTTTGAAATCAATGGCATAGGGCAGGGTGTCAGTGTCATGACGGCCACGTCACGTCTCACATGGGGCTTGTGTCGTGATGGTGGTTTCCCCTGGGGCAATTATTTGTCACATATTCATTCCTATTGGAATGTGCCGTTGCGAATGCTGTGTGCTGATGGCTTCATTATCGCACTGATCGGAGTGCTCTACCTCTTTAGCCAGACAGCGCTTGAGGCTGTGGTAAGTGCCAGCACGATCGCCCTGACTATCTCATATGGGCTGCCAATCATCACGTTGGTTTTTGTTGGTCGTGACAAACTACCGTCGCGAAGATTTGATCTTGGCCGTTGGGGCTATTTGCTCAATTGGGTCAGCGTCGTTTACTGTTGCATTATCACAGTATTTTTTTTCTTTCCAGAAACGCCAAATCCGCCGTCCAATGAAATGAACTACGCGATTGCCGCTTTCGGCATCATGTTGGTGGTTTCAGTGATTCTCTGGTTCATACAGGGCAGGAAAGTCTACTTGAAAGAGGACAGAACGATGCAGGAGATTATTCGTGCCGAGAATCTACTACCTGCGACCGAACAGCTCCGCTCTGACCAGATCCGGTACTACCTTGAGACCGATCGGACCAGGCTGGCGGCATCTCGCTTGATGGCCCTGTGGAGCTTAGATTCTCCCGGGCAATTGTAAAGCTTGGCGTCCCTCGCACATCTTGCCCCGAGCCTCATTCTAAACTCTAGGTCGGTCGACAAGGGGTTTCTCATCGCGGCAAAAAAGAGGGACAATCTCGGACCTCACCTCCGCGCTGCCGTCACGAACTCTTAAGCTGGTCGTGATAACATCATCTTCTGTGATCCGGAACAAGGCTTCCATCCTGGATGTTCACGGCTCAAAGACTGGAGTACTATCAGTGTCTGGTATCGAGTCAGCCCCTAGATGGGCCACTTGGACATAAAGGGCAGAGGGAGCTGATAGGTTGGAGACAGACCCTCAAAGGCCTCTGGGGCGTTTCACTTTGTTGCATTATTATGGAGATTCTGGTTGCCTCAGGTCACCGCCAATACGCTTACAGGACATGGCAGTGTACAGTAGTTTTCGAATACGCTTTTCCAGGACGGTTCGAAATCTGCTTCACCACTTTATTTGATGTACAGTAGATCCTTTCCCAAACACTATTTTCGAGCACACTATGCCTAATAGGGTTAGTATACCCTTGAGTACTTAGTTATATTTGACAATATCCGTGTCCTATATTTGAACAATACTATATAAGAAGCTAGGCACACAAATTAGAATAGAGCCAGCTGCCAGATCACTATAATCAATAGCACAATTATTCTATAAGATCACAGTTGCGACCGTTATTGCCTTATACGTCGAATATATAGAGACAAGTCTCGTTGTAACAAGTTAGACAAATGGATTGAATTGAGACGTTGTATATGTACTTCAGGTAGAGGCCAAGCTTCTCAGATAGTTAGATGATCGCAAAATGCTTATATAATAAGTAAGTATGTTTAATTTGGCCGCCTTCAAGCTCCCGCCCGAGCCACTATTCCTTTCACCAGCCTAACTCACCATTTCACCCCAGAAGCAATGATCAACGGCGGAATTTGAACACATCTTTACCGCCCATTTAAATCACTTCGAAATTTACCAACATGGTCAAATTTACTCACTCATTAGTTACATCGCAATCCACTAGCCAGTACCCCTTGTGTTGGAATGACGGCCACACATATTACGTCATTAATATGGTGCTGAGGGTTTGCTGTCCAATGTAGGTCTGCCAACTAGGTGTAGTTGTGGTAGTAGAAAGTTAATGAAGCGTGATCCATGGCTTCAGAATCTCCTTGGAATATTAGTTGCTGCCTAGGTTGTCAAGGAGCTCAAAACCGTGGCTAGCTACGTAGGGGTTTACTGAGCTACTTTAAGTTTGCCTCACCTTAGACTAGACCTTTTTAATGGCCAAAGTGCCATCTTCTTTCTTCTGAATCGTAATCTTCCACATTTTTTTCAATTTCATAATGCAGAAATTTCACCGAGTGATTTGTACACGACGTGCACAACCATCCCTCTTTATAAATCCTTATCTTCGACGCCAGATGGCCTTCTCTCGAAGCAAGGTCTTGCTATCTGAAGACGAGTTGACACATCACGTGCCAAAAACGAAAGGCCGTGGAAAATCGTCCAAAGCGGATCTGAGCAAAAGGGACGCAAAGTACAAGGAAGGTGAATGCTCACCCGCGGACAAAGTTATACAATTAACTAAATCTTTACCAGAGCCGTCCAAGTTGACTTCTGCAACATCCGAAACGAAAGAAAGAAATCATAAACATGACAGTCTCAAAATGTATCGTGAAGGGCCTAATACTGAGAGCGGTGAATTAGATCCTAAATTCCAGTCGGAGGAAGTCAAAAGCCATAACAAATCTGTTGCTGATCATTATGATAAGCGTTAAAGGTGTCTGTTTAATCTTACATTGATTCACCCGCAGCACACCTTCATATTGTCTGCACTTCAATTTATGTTTCAATGCTCTAGCAAGAATCTGCGCCTTTGAACGCTCTTGTTTTGTTTCTCAAGCAGTTGACGTTATTTAAGAACCCCACCTGGGTGCCTCTCACCGGATCAGGCGGAGATGTCTCCTTTTTATCAACGCTGGATGTTGCTACCACTGACTTTTTTGGAATGTGATCTTCGTCCGGATTTAGTATTGCACAGTTTCATTCGAGAAGCACTGTAAATAGTCCTTCTCCCCCAAGAACTTCTTCAGATGCCCAATCTTAACAACGCATTTGTATGCCATTCCCGTACTTCTTTGTATAACCTTGTTCCCTTCCTCTCCTCTTTCAAAGCAACGGTATGTGATATAAGTTCTTTGATATATGGAGCCCGTTGTTATAGGAATCCTGGGTGGGGATGCCTAACTGGTCACAGACAACAAAGCCCGGAAGGTTTCGTTGCCAACATATTTCCCGACCGACCTCCGCACCCAGCATTTCGCTATATGTATTAGTGGTATAAAACACAGAGGCAAATGTTAGATATTGTTACTGATCAAGAAGCTTAGTGCCTCCAATTAATCGCTTTTCTCTTACTTGAATTAATCTTTTTTTTGGTCATCTTTATGGTAGATAGTGTTGTCCGGCGACTGCGATCTTTTTCATATTACACGGAAATTGGTGTCACCACCTACACTTTTTGCTTGTTTCTCAAACCTAATGTCAAGGAACGCTAACATTCTTTGAACAAGATACAAAAACGCCAACATTTGAAGAACTTGTACCGTAAAACCCAGAAGTATTAGTTCCTCACAATAGAGGAACTGTCGTATTGTCCCTATTTGACTGTTGGGCTGCTCGCGCTCTCCTGCTGAATGACATGTTGAGTTATTTCAAGGTCAGTGTGACAATTTGATCTCAGCCTTGGTGAAAGACAGGGTTCTCCTGTCCTTCCTTGTTTGTGAGTTGATCTTCAGTATTTGTTCGCTGAAGGAGAGGACTCTTTTCCGGACTCGCACTCTTCCTATTCGCATCTTCATTTGCATCTTTGTCAACGTTACAAGAGGCTGGGATAGGGGCGTAAGGGTGTGAAATGCTGTCCCGGCGGGGATGCATTTTGCCTGTGTGAATAGCACCGTTGTCGGTCACACGATCAGCAGCGGAAAGAGCGAAATCGCCAGAGTCAAAAAACGTCCGTTCCTTCCGGTTGTTGGTTAGCACGCGTCGTTATAGAGTATTCTCCAAGTACCTTGGACTTTTGACCGAATAACCCTCCACGCTGCAACGTTCCGTACTTGCTGAAGCGACGTTTCTCACTTTCAGACAATCGCTGAGAGAATAGTGTTAGCGTCTTTGCTTCCAGGTAAGATTTGGAAAGCTCCTACTTCGGGATCTGGTCCCTTGTCTCCTGACTGCATTCTGAGAGATTAGCCTTGTGTTTCCCAGATTCTTTTTCAAGCTTGCGATGGGAACTGCATCTGAACAAGAGTAGACTGGCGAACCAACTTGTTATGACGTTCTGTCATATCGCGTGACCCACTTGCGTTAGTCATCACATCCACGCTCACCACATCCCATTTATCTCTTTGTTTGCAATAATCCACACTACTTTAGAGTTAATGACAGATCAAACTCTCCATCCAATGGGGTCACGAGCTGAACCCCCATAATAGAGAAGAGCAGTTGTCTCGAGTTTCAGCGCGTTGATATCACCGACCAGAATGTGTTGTTACATGTCTGTCGAGTTATTACCAATTATGAGGCCCTTAGTAGGAAGGATGGTTGCGAATTGGCAGTGGCTGAGCAAATGTCCACAAGATATCCGCTTCCAGGGCGAGCCCGGCTCATTTGCAGGGAATTGATATCTCGTCATGGTTCAAAATTGGACTAGATTTTGAAATTTGGCTATCACCATTTTAGCGAAAGGAAACGTCGCTAGACGTGACCTCAAATTCTGCGGAGTCGTAAGTAGAGTCCCTCAAGGCTGGTATAATTACCCCGCGGTTCTTAAAGCCGATTCAAGGTTTTCTGAAAGTAATTTGGGTCCATCGGAATTTTGGTCTTTTCTTCTTCTACTACTACTACTACTACTACCCGTTTATCAAGGGGGAACTAAGTTGGAACGTATCTAGTTAACTATCTAATAACTAAGTAAAAAGTCAGTTAACGTTTCTGACCTGCTCGATGAGGATAACCTGCCGTTTGCCTCGTTTGAGGATTGACACGAAGAAAGGCAGGCACGCACTATCCGTGCCAATCCTTTGGATCTTCAGCTCCCATGGCTCCATCATGCAATCAAACAATTTCCAGCCCCATTACTGTCAAACTTCATGGACCCGAACTATTTTGATAGCAGGATTGATGTTTTAGTCACAGCTAATCGCATTGACTGGTACATGCACGACAGATACTTTTCTCAATGTTCATTCCAATTACGTACTGTGTCGTTTCTTCCTGTCATCCTTCTGCCTGCCTCTTCTCAGCGTTTTCCTGTGGTTAAATCGGAACGCATTCGATCACAGAATTACACCTCGGGGAGTAAGTATAAATCTTTCTAATCTTCAAGCCCGCCTTTTCCATCAAAGTATGCCATTGCTCCTCTGTGCGCTCTTGTGAGGCCAGCGTTGTCATCATGGTAATGTCAAACTGGGTAGAATGCCAATGAACTCCAGAGTCAGGGAGAACCATATCATCAATGAGAATGACAGAATCAGGTCCAAGGACAGGAATCGTGTTCTTGAGAATAGCTGCCGCTTGTTCATCTGGATAGTCGTGCATGATCATCCGAAAGTAATAGATCCGGGCTCCTATTTTACGATGCGTCGGATTAGCCAATATTCAAGACACTAACACCCTATGTGAGGATACCTTGAACGACCTGGGGTTGAAAGAAATCGAATTTCATAGTCTCCACGCCCGGATGCTTTATGAAATCATTGGGATCGACATGCAAATCCTGCACGATGGCTGAGTTATGAATCTCGGGCAGTTGCTTCTTTAACGCGACGGCTTGATGACCTAGTCCGCCTCCAACGTCGACAAATAGAACCTGTTGCGGTTCTAAATCACGACAACGTTCAGTTATAGGGTAGGCGTCAACCCACGGCCGCATCCCTTTCTGTTCTGCTTCCATGTACCTGTGCATGTGGCCTAGTCTCTCTGGTTGAGTCACTGCCCAGACAAATGCCGGCACATCTATGTTGAATGCCTTCTGCAGAGGAGTATTCACTGGACTCTTAATATCTCGGTACTTGTTTTCCGCAAGAAAATCCGGCAAAGCGAAAATAGCAGGCCCAATGGTATTCACACTGTAGAGTTTGTCTTGTCAGGAGGCGAGACTCTTATCCAACGAAAGTGAAGAAAGCATACTTATGATACACAGCACTTTGAACTCCCGGGTCACTCAAATATTTGGTGATGTTATTCGCGGTGAACATGTCTTTCTCGGTCTCTCTGATAACACCCACTGAAGCCAGGTAGCGAAGTAGACGGCCTTCGATGCCGAAAGTCAGTATGAGAAACGACTCGCTTCGTTGTTATAAAGCCTCTCTCTTCCTTATCGTTGAGACTAGAAGTCTTACCAAGAAGAGTCGGTGCTGCACCGGTCTCCCCAGATAGCTCAGAAACGCTCAAAGGGGTGTCAACCTCGCTGAGCCTGTTGAAGATTTTCAAGTCCAGGCCAACTCGAATAAGCACGGGTTGAAAGTGCTAATTTTTCGAGTATGGAAATCAGCATCGGAGTAAGTACTGACAAAAACAATCAATCCATGTAACATACAACGTAAGCAATTCTCTGCACTGTATCCTGTGATGACTCGAGCGATGAAGCAAGATTACGAAGGCCATCTAGGATATCACGTCTAGTACTTTCATTGGCATTCTCTGCCAAAGCTTGAACTTGTGATATAATGCTATCCATTCTGAGTATGGTAAGAAAATGGGTTTCTAGATCTGATCGAAGCGGCTTATGCTGGCGGGGAAAGCCCCTTTTTATATAGTTCAGTGGCGAGGCCAGATTCGGAAACCAACTCGTTAGTTAGTTAAATTAGTTAACTGGCTTACTCAGATCTTTAAAAGTCATTCCTAAAGAGGATACGAGATACTTCATGGCTTAAGTATTTGTCAGACGGCGCTTTATGTGGCGTAAATAGTTGGGTGAACTTGTCTTAAGGCAACCCGTCCATGGATTTTGCTCGATATTTACCCTTTTGACTTGTAACTTGCCCGCGAGTGTGAACTAGATGAGAAAGTGTTTTATGAAAAGGTTTAAACCGAATTTGATTTGTTCAAAATCCTATAAATAGTGTGGGTATTCGAAAAATAAATCCATGTAATGTACAACTCCTACCTGTGCTTGGCAGCGGTATGCAAAAATGCTTGGGGCGCCTTACGCACCGGCCCATGTCAAGCAACTGAGAAGACTAAATTTAAAGCTGGGATTCGCGAGTCGTTAATGCAAAGGTTATTCATGGTATAAACTTGGGCGTTTATTGCGTGACCATCAAGAACCCCGAGGGCAAATCAGCTTCTCTGTTCCCGTCGGATTTCCTCAGTGACCGTCGTTGGTGCTGTAGCGAGGTCAATTTCACACGTCAAGGGTCGCTATGCTAATTAAAGAAAAGCTTTGCGCCAAGCCAATGCGCCGACGACACGACAAAGAACAAACCCGCTCGGGGCAGTGAGCATGCAAATAAGTCTTGAGATAGTTATTCCAATGAGCTTGCCACGTGATCAATTTGAACTGTTGGAGCACTACCCTCGCAGGGGTCACGTGACCATGTGTCCGACCTCACTTAGTCAGCTCATAGTCTAGATAACGTTAACTAACTTAACGTTAGTTGGGCTGCCCCCGGAGCCCCTTCCAATCACACACACTCACCAACATGACATGACGAAATTTTGATTATGGATCCCAGGAAGAAAGCTATATTGATTACAGAGAGATTTTGCGCCAAAGCGACCCGCCGTGGAAGCGTTTCTGCAAGGCGTGTCCGAGAGGCATAAAAGCTGAACATGACTAACATCGTTTAATTCACAATACAAGGAGAGGCTAAGATGACAACACAGCCTGGGGAGCCTGCCCCTATGTGGGCGGCTGTTCCGAGCCTGGAGCCAACCCTTATATCACGCAGCTAGGCCATCCTTTTCCGACGCCTGTTCCCCTGTTCGTGAATGCGGGAACCTCGGAGCTATTCTTGAAGCGCATAACACGGTGGGCCGTGGAGATGCGCGGAGTTGAGGGTAACGTAGAGGAACTACATAATAAGGGAGACGCAGTCCACGATACGTACTGGATCGGCCAATTAATGCGGTTTGAGGGAAGCGCTTGGGGCGTCGCGGCAAAGGTTGCTTAGTTTGTGTAGAACCTCTAGCCGCCTGCAATATGTCATATTTCCACTGGGCCGGTACGAGTAATTATGAGTAGGCCACGATGGCGAGAAAGTATTAGGTCTGCCAGATACATTGATCACAATAGGGGAAGAACACACAACGGCTGGGTGGCTTACTGTATAAATACATGTCGCTGGTTCTCATTCTTCTATAATTGATATCTCTTACCATAATCCATCACGAGAAACTCCACGTTCAAGTATCAGAACTCGTATGGCAACACGGATTGAGAGCTTGATTGAAGTTATAGATCAATGGCACGACACAAGAATAAGCCCGCTCGGGCTGCTGTGGTGAAAGTTCAAACCCCACAATCGAGGCTTGTGCCGCCAGCGCAGCTACACCCCACTAGCGCGATCGACCAATCAGTTATTGCGAAACGTTCCATAGCCACGATAGAAGACGTGAGAAGCGTTAGGACACACGTTATAGTATGTATGAAGAAAAAGCTATGGTAGTGCTGGGATTTTACAGACGCTAAGAACAAAAAAAGCAAAGAGCTTGTAACAGTCCAAATGCAGAGACTTTTCAAAGATTGCGATCAACACAATTTACGGCCCTTTTGTTGTATCGTGGCCCCTTTTTGAAAAAAAGGGCGATTTCCATGTTTACTGATTCTGTACATAATAGTTCATGTCGATCTTACATAAATCGCTTCGAAGCTCACAAACACCTCTTCTGGGCCCTCTGCATAGTCTCACCAAGTGGTGGTCGTCATGAAATTTTCCTCCTTCGTTGCGGCCTTTGCTCTCTCGGCTATAGTCCGAGCGGCTATAATACCAAAAATATCTTCAGCAGATTTAGACCCTGGACCGAATGCTTTGTCCCAGCGAGGCGATTCACCGGAAGGTGGCATTGATGACATTTCGGAGGAAGATTGTCTTACTACGAAGACCGTCTTGGAAAAGGCCGTCAGTATTGGGATCAACTCCAAGCTGTCCTAAAAAATCCCAAGTCTACTGATCTTTCTCTGATCAATTTTGACACAAACTGGAAGGTAGTTTCGGAATCAAAACCAGCTCCCATCAGCGGCCCTTTGCCATATGGTTTGAAAGAAGCAGGACTCGATCCCAAGGAGGAGTTTCAGACCACGAAGGCTCAGGTTAAAGGTGCATTTGCGCATTATACCAACGCTATGTCAACCTCATCTGGAGCTATAATCGCAAGCGAAATCTATGGACGTTTTACGACCGCTGTTATGTCGGATGCCCCTGACCGATGGTCCGCTGTAACATGGTATCTTTGGAAGAAAGCTTGCGAGAAAGCAAATCAAGTTCCATCGAAACTTGATTTCATTTTTCAAGACACGATCATGAATGACAAAACAAATAAAGTCCTAAATGTTGGAATGGCCGCCGCAGACAAGCAGAAACAGGGTAAGGGAGGTGAGATAATAGTCACGAGGTGGACGCCAGACGATGATCAATTTTATGCTGCACTCGCAGCACCCAACAGCATTGGTTCTCTTTATCTTGCGAAGGATTATCCTAATGAACTGGGTTGGAAGACTATCGAAAGTATTTCGGTGTACTGGCCTCAGAAGCTGAACCAGCCGGTTATGTGGATCACCTATGTACCTTTTTGTGGGTGACGGAGTGGAACTTATTCGTCGTCATGTATGACAGATTTTGAAGACGAACTCCGCATCATTCTTGTATTTATTATCATCGGCACAAGTTTGGTCGTCATTACACTTGTCCTTTAGAAAATTGGTGTATCTGTTTTACTCTGCTATGATTGTCTGTCTGATATTTCTTGTATTGTTTAGGAGGAGCGCCCGAGGCATTCGATAAATACATGTAGCTGGTTCTCATCCTTCAGTAACTCATTTCTCATTCCATAAACCACCACGAGCAATTCCACGTTGTAGGGCTACACAGATTGAGGATAGATCATGGATTCACTAGCCATTAAAGAAATGAAGCATACCCAGAAAGTATGATATATTCGTATACAAATATAGACGTACAAAAGATAGCAGCTGCTCATCTATCCCGCGTGCACGTGGTACCTGACTACATTGCATTTCAAACTATGCGGGAGCCGCCGCAGCAGGGGGAGCACTACTACCACCATCACCATTAGTCTCCGCCGACGACTGTGCAGTCAAAGACTGCATCTTCTCCGGCCGCCACCTTGTCAGAACCTTCCCAGCAGCGGGACGTGATTCCTCGTCTGTTATCAAACTTGTCAGATGGACAGTGACAATCAAAAGGGGGGAAGGGAGGGAGCTTACAAGTTTGGTAGACATCCTCGAGTGTATTCAGGCACATTTCTCGCGCGGGGGGACGGAACATCACCAGGTACCTGTCGACATTATCAATACGTTTGTTTAGAACATAAATCCGACCAAAAAAGGACGCGCGCAGACTTACATCAATGCCTGAACACAAAGATTAACCCGCTCCGGATCTCGGGCTAGGCTAGCTACGCGCTGCGTAACCGAGATCGTAACATCGGGAATCTCGCTGAGAAACCGGACGAGGACCTTGATATCCCTTGAATCGAGATAGGGCAGGATACCATCAAGGAGGCGGATAACCCATGTATCGTAGTGCAATGCCACGGTAGGCGGGGATTCTTCTTCCTCTCCTTGATTATCGATTCGGCTCTCCGCCGCAGCCTTCATTTGAATGCGGTCATTGTACCACTCCTCGTTCAACCATGTGATTCCGATATTCAGCCGCGCGCGGAAGTCCTCGAGGATATACCTGTATAGCGTTTCCCGAATGGAGTCTGAGATGGCCGTCTGGCGCCGTGAGGAGCTGCCCCCCTTGGCTTTGCTGTGATCTTCCTCTAAGCCGGCGGGTGCGCGCGTGGCGAGACGGGTGAGAAGCACAACCCATGCATCGCGGTCGAACGTGCTACCCGCCAGCCGCGCGAAACCGAGCTGTTGCTGTGTCTTGCCCTTGGCGCTCGCCGGTGATGTCTCGGACATGTTCAACATGCCGAACACGCGGGCGACGGCGCTACGGCCGATTTCGCCGGCTTCTTCTTCCGTTAGAGGGGGTGGTTGGGGTAGGACGAAGGGGCCGAGAGAGACGAGGTCCGGTTGGAGTTCTGCTACCTCTGCGGCGATGGCGCTGGCTTCTTGGGAGACGTTGTCGCTTACGTCCATGGGTTGGTATTCGGGCTCGTAGTCGTCATCTTCATCCGCTCCTGTGGCTGCGTGTTGTTGGTGTTGTTGCCGTTGCAGGTTTTGTTGCTTAGTTACGGCTTGAAGACGTGCTCGGATGGCCTGAGATTACTTTTTAGCGATGGCAGAGCATAGGTAAGGAAAACACATACATCAACTGCTTGTGTAAGTGTAGACGGATTGACGTGTGCAAGGAGAGGAATAGCAATCTTGACAACCAGGTCGGCTGGGATCTGTTTCACATCGAATGAAGATAGCCCAATATCCTCGGTCAGAGTGAAGAGCTGCGCATAGCTGAGCGGGCCCGGAGGCAGCGGCGGAATCTTGAGCAATGGAGGAGTCAACGCATCAAGACGGGCTCGCTTGGCGTTATCAAGACCGTCCGTCGGTTCACTGGGGAACCCACGCTTCCGTGAAGCATCCTCCGTTGTCTCAAGTCGAGACTGCATGAGACGCTCAACGTACATCTGCATCTTACCCGTTAGAGGGTGATTTGGGTTCCTGGCATTTATTAGTCGTGGTTCTCAGCTAGAGATTTGGATCTGCGTACTTCTTCACAACGTTCATGATTAATGCTCGTGCAGTTCGCTCCATTGACTTGACATTGACACGCACGGTTGGTGTAAATGGCGGACGGACGTGCTGTGTCGGATAGAAATCCAGGACTGCATTGATGATCTTGTTTGAGATCGACTGGCGCGAGCGGATAAGGGAAGCAAGACAGTTCAACGTCGCGTTGACAAGAAGCGTATCACTGGCAAGAGAATTAGTAGACGTTGCAGTACATCTTTCTATATCCACATACCTAGCTTCTTCTTGGAAAACGCCTAGCAGTCGATCGAGCAGACCTGATGACTCGGCCTCTAGGTTCGGAATCGATAGCAGAGCATGACTGCGAGGGACAATCGCCAGCGATGTCTCATTTTGTTCGGGCCGCTATCACCAAGGTCAGAGAATCGTTAACAGTAACATTTTCCGCGGGTACATACTCTTGGATCCGCAATTGGACCTGGCGTCTGAACCTGCACGACGCGTTGCAAGAACTTGACGCAGGAAATCTTTATTGAATACGGAAACGAGTCCATTCTGCGGAGGATTTCCTGCTTAATTGCGTTCATGTTCTCCCACGACGTGCTGTCTTCCGGGTGCTTGACACTATCACCGTATGTGTGAGTATATGACCGCCATCATACTAACTCCCATGCCCAATTGTCGGATGATGAACTCACATATGTCTAAAGAGGGAAGGATACAAACTAGCCACAGCCTGCACCAACCCCTTCATAACGGCAGCATCCTGGTCCGGCACCTCGCTCAGCTGGCGAATCGTCTGCAACACAGCCGTCGCCATGGGCTCCTTCTGCACAGCAGACAGCAAGGGGCTAGCGAAGGCTTCAGCCAGGAACTCGGCGCCCCATCGTCGCAGCTCGACCCGCGCGTGGGCCCCGACGATGGGGAGGACGCCGTTCACGATCTGCGGGTATAGGGCGGCATCGCCGAGGACAAGGGTGCGCGCGGCGTCGAGCTGGGCGACCTGATCGGCGACATGGTCTGTTGCCTCGGCCATCGTTGGCTGGCTCCGGGAGGGAAGGAGAAGGGAATGAAACGGGAGTTGAAGTTGTTCGGAGGATGTCGAGTCGAGGCGAATCGGATTGGATCGGGGAATTATGCGAGAAAGAAGCCGACAGGGAGGTAGATGAAAGGCCGATGGCAGCGACGATGGCACTTAAAACAATCGAAGTAGAATCGAGAACAATTGGAGACCTCGTCACGTTGACACGAGATGGCTTGCTTGACCCTGGAATAACCGTGTCGCGCGACATCCACCAGACAAGGATGAGAGAAATCCAACCTGGGCAGTCACCGCGTAGTCGTCGTACGAAACGACGGAGAGCAGAGCGAGCTACGAAGGGGGAGGGGATTCTATTCTCCGTCGAGTGTTGAGTCTGTCTGTGATGAAAGGAAGTTCGGGGCAAGTCGACCTCCGGCGCCAAGACATTTTCTCTCTCTTCCTTCTTCCGCGTTTCTTCTTCCCCACCGCAACGCAACACTTCGCCGGCCATGGCTTCTGGAATGTATGTGGACGATATATGACATACAATAGTCAATTGTTGACAACTCTCTTCGTCCAGCTTTAACTCCACCTACTACGGCAAGGACTACCGCGCCGGAGCGGCGCTGCTGCGCGCCCGGCGGCCATATCTCTTCAAGAACGCCGTGACGGGTCTTGGGCTGGTTGTCTGTGTGGCAGGTATCTGTACGTGAGCTGAGCCATGCGCTTTGTTTCCTTTCCCCTTGGTTCCAGGGCATTGTTCTTGTCTACCTGAATGATGCCGAGGGACAGAGAGACAGACAGAACGATCCTATCTATCCATACCCGTACCACCGTCTGCCCTTCCAAAACCATCACGCTGACTCGAATTCTACACAAACAGATACCTACACCCTCCGTGCCGTTGGCCAAGAAGATTTCTCCGACGTTAAAGTCCCCGACGCTCCCGTGCAGAGCCAGTCGCAACAGAAATAAATCGGTCTCGTTCTCGCGACTCTTGGTCTTTCTTGAATGCGGCATTTTTACCTTTCCATGTATATCATCTGTCTGTGGGATAATTCCGGGGAGAAAAATGTGTTGGCGGACTGCCATCGCCAGCGGATGGAAAGCGACGGTGCAAATTGGAGTTTGGGAGTCTTGAGGGTATTAGGAATATATCTCCATTCCTCAATAACAGTTTTCTACCCTATACCAGACTACCTGACTAGGGATTACTTTGCCAGTTCTTGGTTTTTTTTCCCTGGCCACGACTTTCCTCCATCTACACTATTTGCTTTATCCTGCACAAATTCAGACAAGCACTAGAGATCATCACCCTGCCTTTTTTTGCGCTGGCTCTGGTGCCTAATGGGTGCAATGGTGGAATCATCCTCCGTATTCTAATATCAAGATTACCTGATTTGGTCAAATTTGATCAAGTATAGGATGACAGTGATTACAAGAAGAGGAAGGGAAACGGAACTACCAGACTATATGAGAATGAGAAGATAGTAATACAGACCAGGTGATCAATAGAAAGGATTCTTAGTCAACACTAGACCTCCACTATTCTTCGGGTGCTTTAGAGTAGCAGAGTACCAAACGTGCGAGCTATGACATGCTTTTGCTGGGGACATAGTCAGATCGGCCCTTTCGATAGAAGGTACGCTTGGCAGCCCATCTCAATGCTTCAACCTCATTTTGAAGATTAGTATGATTTTGGATTAAGGAATTATAGCATAGCTAGTGACCCGCCGCATGTGTCTATTGAGGCGAACCAGGAGAGGGGGCGTCGGAAGGGGATTTCGAGCGTATATCGCCGCCAAGAAACCCCAGGTACATCCATCGCATCAAAAGAAGCGAGAAAATAATCGCGATCCGACTCGATATATTGTTACGGTAATAGCGGCATGAATCCGTATCACAGTATTGGCGACAGACGGGAGAGAATAATAGATAGGGAGATGCAAGAAGGAAAGTCATAAACCTATGCAGCGCAGGGTCAGTATTACGGACTGTTGAGTTCAAATAGGATGAGGGGATTTTACAAGACTGGATGATTCCAGAATCCAAGCTTGTTTAGTACAAGCTCCGGAAGACCAGGCTTCATGTGAGGGCGGTCCTCGATAGCTTGTGTTTGTTGAGCCAATGCCGGAGAGGAGTCACCGGAGGGATATTTTATGTCCATAGTGAATCCCAGATGATCACGCGAGGAAAGGTGTGAAACTAGGAAGAAAAGGCAGACCTGATGGGCTTAAGTACGGAAAGCGAAAGGGGAAAAGGGCGGGGGCAGCTTGGGTCACCAGGTGGGAAATGTACTTTTTTGGGGGGAAATACAAATCTTATTCACCTAGCGAGGTCAGTACATAGCGATGGTAATTGTTGTAATTTAATGGCAAAAGATTCATTATTATATATTCTATTAACGCCTCCGAGTAACTAATAATTACTATAAAGAAAACGTACTGGTAATTACTAGTTGACCCTATTAGTACTATCCTCTCGTAGCAAAGACGAGAGGGCCAACGATAGCGAAAAGTTCTAGGCGCCAAGTAGCTTTACGATTTCTAGATGACCGTTTTCAATCGTAATGAATAGCAGGGTTTCGTGTCAAACATTCTGATTGATCTCAACGGCTTTAAGGCGAACAAGTTGGCGCACAACTTCCAAATGTCCCGTTTCGGCAGTGCAGACAAACGGAAGGACTTCATGCCAAAAGATTCTTCAAGCTCCATCTTCTTATCACTTGTTAAGGTAATGTCATGATCGTCCTCGCTTAGCTGAATCAACCCAAGCTCGATAAGATCAGTTCGTCTGGCACAAAGGTCCATACATCGTTCCACCCTTCACCTTTTCCCAGTCCTCACTTCCGACACAGTGCCAGCACCAGAACACCTCACTCGGATCATACTTCTTCTTGACCGAGCTGAGCCACTGATATTTATCTCCGAACCAATCCTGCTTCCAATCAGGATCAGCTCTATCAGCTTCGTTGAGATAGGTTCCCATGCCGGGAGAAACGAAGGATAGATCAGGAGTCCAGTTGAATGGGCAGAATTGTAGGGGCGTAGCGACAGGTGTATAATAGAGTGAGGAGATGGGATCAGGAAGAGAATATAAATGGGGCGAGGCCGGGTCTTTCGTGTCGGAGAAATCGAGGAGAGGGTGAAAGACAAAACTCACCAGAAAAGGAAATTCACAGGTGCTCGTTTTGCAAGAAAATTGTCATCTCATCTATTTCATTTGCCTTCATGCCTAGAAGAACATCAAACCATGCACACTCGGGGGAAGAAGCAAAGGGCTGTGTACAAGGCATATAATACACCCAAAACAATAGGTGATCAGTCAAAGCCGGCTCTGCTGAGCGTCCTAGCCTAGGGACTTGGCCGAAAAAGACTTGAAGTACCCATTAAGAGCGTCAACGGCTAGGGCTTCGTTTAATACTTTGAGCACATTTTTCTCTTCGGTCTAAAACATCTTCTTATTGGCTAGTAAGATCGAACGATTGGTATATCAGCTACTCCACACAGGCCTCCAGGGGCAGCCTAGCGTCTGCGCTATTGCCAGATAACAGCCTTCGGAAAAGAGATCCCAGCCCTCGGAAAAGAGGGGGAAGACGGACCGCTGCCTTACCTATAATTATTGCACGAACCTATCTAAAACGATATTTATATAATGTACTTCAATATCGACAACATGGCAATTGAGACTTACGACTTCACAATAAGGAGTCACTTCCCAGCATCCAAATTCGACTCAATATCATACAGCCCGAAGGAATTCTTATCCCAGAGATTTCATGGCGACGTCAGCGCAGATCTTGCCCAGGAAGTGTCTACACATCTAGATCAAGCTGGCGTCAGAGACTCCCCTATGGGGTTAGTTGGTAGAAATACTTCCCCAAAACTGCTTGCTTTATTAATACTTCAGCAGCATTATTGAAATTGAGAGATATACCCCAGCTATTGCCCACGCCTTACTGATATCTTTGCCCGAATTTCCAGGGCATCTTCTCGAAAAGGTCGTCCTCAACACATCCAGTAATCGGAATCTCTCAGAGATCCCAAGCGCCAACAAAGACTCTACTAGTATGTTACTACTAAAAACATTTTCGTCTGTGCACCTAAGATAACATGACTCTTTTAGGTATCGTTTCTCTCTTAAACTTTCCCTCATCTGCAGAATCGTCCCATGTGCATGGTTCCACTACTGGCAATTTTTATCAAATCGCCATTTGGATTCGTCAAGTTTCAGTGACTAGTCAAACGGTCGGAGACTCAGATCATCATGGTACGACGAATATATGGCTTATCTGCACAAGCCCCAATGTGCGCACGCGTCTCGCAAAGCACTACTTCTCCGGTGAAAATCCAAAACGATGGGTACGACTACACAAGCACCCATTGTGGATATTTGCCGATATATTGCATGTTTTTGGTGACTGGGCCCAAATTTGGGACGCCATAAAAGAAAAGCTTACGCCGTATCATGACAAGATCCTTCTCGCTAGTCATGTGCCAACCTTGCTGGAGTTAACTCGTGACCTTCATCACGAAACCGCAACATTGCTGTTAGTGCGTGAGCAGCTCCGTGTTCATTCCGCTGCACTTACTCGATTGCTTCACTTAGGTGCGCGACCTACGTCACAAGATCCTACAGAGAGGAAACAGGATCCTACAGAGAGGAGGCTGCAAGTGCATCTTGAAGACATCAAATATCACGAGGAAACTTCTCAGGATATCTCAAGACAGCTAGAAAATATGATAAACTTAGTAGCTAGCCCCGATTTCCCACTTTCCACACTGTCCACACTGTCCACTAACAAGCTTTCCAAATCAGGCCTTTAATATCGAAACCATGAATCAAGGCCAAGCAATGGCCAAATTGAATTTCTTTGCTTTCGCATTTCTTCCTTTAACCTGGGTTGCCGTAAGTCTGAGCTTCCTAACCATACTGAATGTGGACTTTAATGGATGCAATGAACGAACAGAGCTTATTCGGAATGACCCAACTCTCCATATCAGCCGCCTGGTACCCTCTCTGGGCATTCGCTGCCTTGGCCAGTGTGTTCTTGATTTCATTTTCCCTTCCAATTCATAGATTTAACCGGTCTATGCTTGGATTCCATATCCCATCATGGATTAAAAGGACCTTGTCAAAACCAGCAGAAGTGTCTGGAATGGCATTAAATTCCTCTTTCCTTCATCCTAAATCGAGCAGTCCGGTATAGCGTGTTAACAGTCCTTGCACTCTGATTCTCCCCCGGCCCTCCGAGGGGGTCCGGCGTTTCCCGCCCTTCCGCCAATCCGCCAAGACATCCCAGTCAGCGGGTTCTAGAACGAGCATCCGAAGCTGCGTTCCTGTGAGCCTATCTGACACTCACATGGGCACGAGCGACGTGCTCATAGGACGCGGTAGCCCCTGCAGCCGCGGCCACGCCCAGCCGCCAAGCCCCTCAGGCCTCTCTGCCACAGTATAAAGTCCGGCCACGCCCAGCTTTGCCAAGGTCGCCAACCTGACTTGTGTCAGCCGTGGGAACGAGATTTTGTCGTCTTGGCTTGCCATTCATTGTGGGTTTGCCCGGAGCCGATATGTCCATTTACAATCACAGGCCGATTTTGGGGCTAGATGTCTGCCAAGCTCTCTGCGACTGATGGCGGCGAGGCCTATATGGCTAGTCACGACAGCACGTGTTGCCCATCTCGAACGATAATGGCCTTGAAACTGGGTGGACTGGGTGAAATGACTCTGGAGAAGGGGCGCCTTTCGCGCGAGCACATTGTCTGGTACTATGACTAGTATCGCATATAAAGGCCAGCCTCCTTCTCGTTCCTTTCGCTGGGAATTGAATTGTCCAGCGTTGATCATTGTGGTCGGATATCGGAGTTCTTGCACGCCATCAAGATGTACCTCCATCAGTATGACTATATCTTTGCCATTGGCACCTTCTTTGCCATGCTCGATGCCTTCAACAACGGCGCAAGTGAGTTATAATACCGGTTGATCCCCAGTCATATTATCTCCGCGTACTGATTGGGAGCAAGACGATGTGGCCAATTCTTGGGCGACCAGTGTGTCGTCGAGATCCATCTCGTACAGGCAAGCAATGGTCCTGGGTACCATCTTTGAATTCCTCGGCGCGGTCACGGTCGGCTCCCGAACGGCAGCCACGATCAAAGACGGGATCATTCCTATCGAAGCTTTCAAGGACAATGCTGGTGTACAGATGCTGGCCTTCACGTGTGCCTTGGCTGGTGCATCGTCTTGGGTGATGTGGTGCAGTAGGCACTCGGTTCACGTCTCATCGAGCTACTCACTCATCTCGGCCGTTGCTGGTGTCGGTGTCGCAACCGCTGGTGCCGCGCAGGTTCAGTGGGGCTGGCATGAGGGCAAAGGTCTGGGTGCTATCTTTGCAGGTCTGGGGATGGCCCCGGTCATCTCCGCCGGCTTTGCGGCCATCATCTTTACGCTCATCAAGGTCGTTGTGCACATTCGCAAGAACCCGGTCCCGTGGGCCGTTTACAGTTCTCCTCTCTGGTTTCTCGTCGCCGCCAGCGTTTGCACTCTCTCTGTTGTCTACAAGGGCTCTCCCCAGCTCAATCTCAAGGAGAAACCCGCCTGGTATATTGCCGCAGTGACCGTGAGCTGTGGTGGTGGCGTTGCCATCTTGTCCGCCATTTTCTTCGTTCCTTTTGTCCACGCGCGAGTGGTCAAGAAGGATCACTCTGTCAAGGGGTGGATGTTCATCATGGGTCCCTTGCTCCTGAGCCGGCCTGCCACTGGCGGCGCTGAGACGGCCAATATCCCGAACTACGCTGTTATGCAAGACGGGGAGGACGATGAAATTTCAAATATCTCGAAGGAATCCATTCATAAGGACGCCTTGAGCTCCGCTCCGTCCGAGGACAAGGAGAAAGGACCTGTCGTGTTGGAGGAGCCCCAGCTCACTTACAAGGAACTCATGGCTCAGTCGGAGGCAAAGCACCATGCGAAGCTCATGAAGGGTCGTGGTCCTCTGGCTTGGGCGATGCGCTTCCTCCGCGACAACCCCGTGGGCGCCGGTGAGATCTACGAACTGCACAACATTTTGGCCTTCGTCAAGCGCATCCCTGCTATTGCCGTCGTCGGTCTCCTCTATGGTGCCCACTATGACATCCACACTGCTCAGAGTGGTATCTCTGGCACTCCAGAAGGCAAGCGGATGAGGCGTGTGTATGCCCATGCCAAAAAGTATCCCAACGAAGTCGAGCACACCTACTCGTTCATCCAGATTCTTACCGCTTGCACTGCCTCCTTTGCCCACGGTGCCAACGACATTGGCAACTCGGTCGGTCCCTGGGCCGTGATCTACGCTGCCTGGTCGACCGGTAATCCTGCTGCTGCCGAGGCTACTGTCCCGGTTTGGCAGCTCGCTGTCTTGGCTTTGTGCATTTCCATCGGTCTGATCACTTATGGTTACAATATTATGAAAGGCAAGCTACAACACCTTCATTCCGCCTTTGCTTTAATGTTCGGGGGCTAACTTTCCTTAATTTAGTCATGGGCAACAAGATCACCTATCACTCGCCTAGCCGTGGATCCAGTATGGAATTGGGTGCCGCCATCACTGTGCTTATCTTCTCACAGTACGCCCTGCCTGTTTCTACCTCAATGTGTATCACCGGTGCCACCGTCGGCGTTGGTCTTTGCAACGGTACCTACAAGGCCGTCAACTTCCAGCGCGTTGGTCTTCTGCTTCTGGGCTGGATATTGACTATCCCCATCGCCGGCACTGTTGCAGGTTGTCTTGCAGGACTGTTCCTCAACGCCCCCCACTTCGCTTAGGTAGACAAGTTTTGCACTTACTATCTGTACAAATTAGTACTAGCAACGAATATGGTGTACCTTTGCCCATGTATCTACTCAGCGTTGTGGTGTAGACTCTTTCCCACGGTTTTGTGGTAGAGCTGACACCACAATCTCTAATTGTAGTGTAGGATACTAAACTTTTTTGATGATGAAGTTATGTAGAAACCAGTCCAGAAAAGCCTTCACATGGCCTTTTGTAGCTGCGACAAGGAATTAAAGAGGATCCTCCGCCAAGTAAGCACAGTGTCTAGCTTATTGACATAATCTCCCAAACGAACACTCATGGGCCTACGGCGGATCTGAGCTGCTCTTTTGTCTTTAGAATGGCAAAAATATTCCCAAAACGACTATCCGCAGTATGTGGTTTTTCCCGAGATAAGAACAAGCTAACAGATAGCAGGGATATGGAAAATATAGCGTGGACATCAGACACGGCAAACTATTTCCGGCCAGGGGAAGACGAATCCATGAGTTGCTTCACGTATCATGCGTTGTGAAAGCGGTACAAGACACCCCGACAGTTGGTTGATCGAGACTCCTTAAAGTACAGAGGCTGGTCGCCAAAAACGTCGTTTATTGTCTTGACTAAATAGATAAAGGGCCTCTAGTTTAAATCTGTCGGCGCTATGTGCATGTTCGCACTTCCCCTTTGTTTCATCAATGCAAAACAATCGCAGGGGGCTTTTTCAATACGCGGAGCGATATTGAATTTCAGAGAGCCTCCTAAAATGATTCCCACCTGCCTTTCAGAGATGGTCCCGAAAATCATCTCCAGGATCGACGTTGTGTATGCATCGATAGGGGCCAATCTTGTATCGTACATTCAGAGCCGGAACCATCACATGGATGAATCCTGCCCAGAGAAATCAGGGTACCTGACTTGGGGTCCTAGGAGGTCGTATAGGGTCTGGCCATTCGCGAATCTGGGACGGCTCCTGTGGTTTCCGGGACCTGCTACTACTCACCAATGAGACGCTTTGAGATGCACATGCCTTCAGACAGATGAATTGCATAGACACACATAGCGAGTCGCAAGTGAACGTACAGGTCGGTAATCCCATCATGTATGAAGAACAGACCAAATCAGTTCATCTGTATGTACTGAGCAAACTTCTTTTTCAAAGCTTGCAAAACGACCGGTTTCGCCAGGTAATCATTCATTCCCGAATCCAGACATCTCTCCCGGTCGCCCTGAATCGCCGAGGCTGTGAGAGCAATAATCAGGATACGCCTCACAGCATCCACTGGATCATTGCGCAGACGACGTGTGGCAGCATACCCGTCCATGACAGGCATCTGGACATCCATCAAGATCAGGTGATATGGTTGCTCCGCACTGGCCTTCTTCTGGATGCCCTCCACAGCTTCGAGGCCGTTATTGTAGGCATCTACTCGGGCAAATCCTAGCTTCTTGAGAAACTGCACCGTGATTCTCTGATTGATGAGATTGTCCTCCGCGATGCAGACGTGGAGATCGGAGAGGGGGATCTGGGACAGATCAATGCAAGCCGGGGCTGCTTTATCGAGCAAGCCTATTGAACTGTCATGGGGCGTGGTGGGAGTAGTAGTCCCTGAGCCGCCGGGATTGACCTTCGGCACGATGATCGAGAAAGAGACAGTCGTGCCGACGTTATCGACGCTCTTGAGCTCGATGGTGCCTCCCATCAAATCTACAAGAGATTTGCAAATACTGAGGCCCAAACCACTGCCTCCGAAACGGCGTGCAGTGCTGGCATCAGCTTGGGTGAACGGCTTGAACAGGTGCTGTATAAGTCGCGCAGGGATCCCAATACCCGTGTCCGTCACCCATAAAGAAAGACGAACAGAGTCCTCATTTTCATCGTCTGCCCTGCATCCTATCGTGATGGACCCTCTCTCGGTGAATTTCAGGCTGTTACCGAGCAAGTTACCCAAAATCTGCTGTATTCGCACGGGATCCCCATATACGTGGGTTTGGGGTGGTTTGACATCCTGTATAATGCGGACATTGTTGGATCTTTGCCTGTTCGCAAAGCCGGCCGGCATTGAGCGAACGACTTCCTTCACCATTTTCTCGACATCAAAGGACACAATATGCAACTGCACCTTGTTCGCTTCAATCCGGGAGAAGTCGAGGATGTCATTGATCACAGCGAGCAGGATGTTCGCAGACATGCGAATCGAATCTGCCATTTCCAGCTGCTCCCCCGATAATGTACCGCTGAGCAAAAGCTCCGAGTTCCCAATAACCCCATTGAGTGGCGTTCGTAGCTCATGGGATATATTGGCGAGAAATACGCTTTTGGCCTTGGCGGCCTCTTCGGCCAGCTGGGCATGACGCAGAGCCTCCGCCGTAGCGATGTTTGCCTTTTGCTCAGCCTCCATCGCTTCCGCCAATGCCTTCTTCTGGACGTCTACCAAGGATTGGTTGATGGTGGATACGCGTTCCACTTCCCTGAGGGTCAGTGCATTGGAATAGCTGATTCCGAGTTGGCCGACGAGCAACTGTAAAACGACGCGATTGCGATACGAGAAGGCGTTGGGCAGTCCCTCCAGATACATAACCGCGATGGGCTCGTTCTCCTCGCCACCGTACGAGATGGGTAACGCCACGACCGACTTATTAATGGGATTCTGAGCCGCCCACGCTTCGCTAACGTAGCTGAATCGCGGGTCCTGCAAGACATCCGGTAAATATGCTGCCTCACGAAAGCGAACGCAGTAATTCACAATGCTTTCTGCGACAAGATGGGAGTGCTCAATCGGAGTCGGAGGATCATGCACTTTTATGTTACCAGCAGCGTCACCACTGGCCGCGACGGCCCACCGCATTGTCAAATCCTCCTTGGTGATGATAACCGCCATCGTAGCAGCACCATGGCAGCTCTGCATGATAATCTTGCACATTGTCCGAAGAAGCTCATCAACCCTTAGAACGCTGGATATCACCTGTGACCCTTCGAGGATGGAGGTGAGATCTAGAATATGGAGAGCACGCTCTGCCACGGCCCCCCCTGCGCTCGATGTTTCGTCGTTCCCAAGTTCTGACACTTGAGGGCGAATACGTGTCATATTTTCGTCTGGTTCGGTTTGAGTGGCAGCTTCTCGTGCCATTTCTTTGGTTTGCTGCTCCAAATCATGGGAATGCAAGATGTGATCCGCCACGCCGGTAGCCCCAATTCGTCGGTAGACACTAACTGCCTCCTTCAGAGCCAGTGTGCCTAGTCGTGAAGAGCCTTCACGCATGAGATGCCCACCTAACAGATGGTGGGCAAGGGCTTCTTCGAAACCAAACCCATGGATTGAAGCGTGATCTATTGCCTCTTGATAGTAACGAAGAGCAGCGCTTTGGTCACGCTCCATCTCGGCGATCTGAGCGCCCAGAAGTTTAGTCCATGCTAGATAGTTCACGTCTGCGATGACCTGCCACTGCTCAATCTTGCGCTTAAAATAACGCAGCATCTTTGCAAGGCTTGTCATCTCCTCCTCGAAAACCGCGTCGAAAGATCGCCGGTCGACATCGGACGCCAGCTTGGGGGCGCCTGCACGGTATGCGGCATCGAGCTGTTGCTGTTTCCGGATCCACACACATCCTGCTAGAGAAAGGGAATGAAAGAACATGAGGAACCGCGTATTTCGTGCAGACCATATGGCGTTGACTTTCTTGAGACAAGAATTCCCCAGTGCTACCGCTCGCTCGTAGTGGCCGTACAGAAATAACGGTGCGATTTCCATGCTCTCATAGAGCATCAGCGGTCGGTCGCTATTTTTGATGGTTCTTACTAGCCAAGACTTATATGCGGCCGAACTGTGCTCTTGGTCACTCATTACCCTGAACGAATCGTGTGTATATGTTTTTCCTTGCAAAGCACGGCTGAGCTGGCAAATTGTGATGAGGATCGTACCGCCGGCAGTATCCGTCTGCCAGCTGGGAATGTCCCGGCAGCTGTAGACGCAGAAGGTCTCCAGCTCGACCAGGTCTTCGGAAGCAAAAAACTTCATGGTAGCCAGAGACCCGAAGTTCAAAATGGTGGCAATTCGGTCACCAGCGCTGATAGAGGAATCCACCGCCTCTTCCAGTTGCGAGATTGAAGACTGAACATGGTTTTGAGTATGGCCGACAAAGGTGGAGTGTAGCGCGATACCACGACCTACAGTATGTGGATCTTTGGACTGTTCGATCAGTGCCAGGGCAAGTTCCCCACAATGTTTTGCGAAGGTAATTGCGTTGTCTCGAGTAATTGCTATCACAGCCAACTGCATGAGTCCCATGCCTGCCTGGGGAAAAGGGCCACGCGAGAGATAGGCGTCAACCATGACGAGCGTCATTTGGTAGAAGGTCAGCGTGTCTGACCAGAAAGCCGCGCTAGTGGCCTCCAGAAGAACCGCTCCGGCAGCAGCCAGGGCGGGTTGCGCAGGAGGGACGGTCTCGACAACAGCTTCTGTCTGGACAGCGGAAACGGCCTCGCATAGCCGTCGAAGTTCTTTGTCACATTTAAAAAAGGTTGGATCGTCATCAACCGTGATGTCCAGCGCCAGGAGGCATTCCTTCAGGGCATGAAAAGCACCAGTCGAGTTACCCAGTTGTGCAAGCATACGAGATTGCAAGATCCAGGTGGGAGCCTTGTCAACTGGGCTCCGAGCATTGGAGAGTATAGCGTGCAGCAAGCGGCTAGCTTCGTCATGCTGTCCTTGGTACAAGTAGCATTCAGCAGCGGACGTGAATATTTGCAGCGTCTCGCTGTAGCTCACGTCCACAGCATCGTCGTTCCATATATCCTCTTGAAGCAGTGTGATGCAGCTTGCGTACGAGTTGATAGCGGTCGAGCGTAATCCAGTCTCACTTGCAGCGTTCGCATACTCAAACAGAAAGTTTCTGAAAGGCTTTCTTATTGCAACGGAGCCTTTGATGATCGGTGCTGATTCGATAAGGGCCGATGCCAACATGCTGCGATATTTATCGTCGTGGGAATAATATTGAAACAGTACTTGTGCTTTCATAAAGTTCACAAAATCCTTGTCTCTGGTGTGGAATGACGCTGCGATATGCATGTAATGGCTATATGTAAAGGAAAAGACGTCATGATCCTCTGTGGGCACAATAACGTAGGCTTGGATGATCGCCTGCAGACCCTGAATCACTTCTCGCTCGGGCAAGCCAGATTCGGAAGCCATCTGATCGTTGTTGAGAAGCCTCTGGACCAACTGAAACGAGAAAGTCATGCCTAAAACGGATGCCCAGGCCAAGATGGACTTGCAGACAGGCGAAAGGCTGCGCAGGCGTTTGGCTAAGAAATCATCGAAGGCGGCGTCGTTGTAACTGTCTGCCTTAAAATGCTCAGAGATACGACTAAGATCAAACGACCAGAGCCCTTCCTGGAAGTCATAGCAGATAAATCCATATTCATGACAATCATTCAATATTTCACGGACATAAAGAGGATTCCCATTAGTTCTTGACTGGATGAATGCCCCCAGAGGCCAGATAACAGGGACAGACAAGGACAACGTGTTCGCTACATATTGCATCACGCAGTCTTCACTGAGTGGCGTGAGTGAGATGGTGGTAAGACCTACGTCTCTTCCTTTCAAAACTCCTATATTGGTCAGCATGATGGTTCGTAATCAGACCACAATGGTAGAACGATCAATTGAAGAAAGACCGCGGGTAAATTACCTTCATTGTTAGAAGTCTGAAATATCCGCTTCATCATTTCCGAGGAAACATTTTCGGGTCGGTAGGCCATTATCACCACCATTTTGATTCGAGCCGACACCATCTGGGCAATGAATTCCAACGATTCCTCATCTGCCAAGTGGAAATCGTCCAGGCAAAGACATACCAACTTGTATCGCGTGAAGACTCGTAGGATATCCAGTAACGTCCGTACGAGAGGCAAAGACTTGGTCGAGGATCCGGTCCGAAGAAATTCCTGAGAACTCTCAGTCCCAATATTCTCTGGTGGAGGAGGCCGGTGGGGTAATGCGAGAGACGTATGAGCATATTTGTTGGGCACCCGCTCTGGCAAGCTGAGGCTCGAACCGAGAAGAAATTTGGGCAGGCCTAAAATCTTGTGCAGAGTGTTCCATGTAGATCCAATATGATTTCGTAACATCGGCAGGAAACTGGGCTCATTCATATTTTCCGAGAATGCCTGATGGAACAGGCTCGAAAACAACTGTAAAACGGGACGCATGCGCTCTTTGGCTTCGACATCGAATCGCGAGCTGGCAAAGAAGCCCCTTCGTCGGGCTTCAATCTGCACCGATGTTATCAGCCGAGTTTTGCCCAAACCAGGCCCTCCCTCAATGCTGATAACCTCGCATAGTCCTTTCGGCGCCACTATGGAATGTGCAGCCGTCTTTCCCGCATTTTCACTGGATCGTGAGCTTCCCTCACCACTGGTGCTGTCAATCGAGGAGATTGACAATCGCTGCTCTAGTCCCTTCCTCTCGGAGATGACAGGCCCGGGCTCGCTACCCTCGCTCGAGGCGTAGAGCGAATCTCTGGGGGAACGCATGCGGCCCGTATTCGCTGGATACGATGGGGTCACCCCAGCGGATGTCCCGCTCACGGATGTTCCGCTCATGGAACCGGCCAAGCTGGGAGATGCATCGACCAAATTAAGGGCTACCTCTTCCCCGGGAGTATTGCCTGGTGAGGGAAGGACGGTAAACGTTGCGAATTGGTCCTCCGGCAGCGACGACAAGTGAAGCCCTCTCCCTCCCTGATACAGTCTCAGAGTACGATCCAGGACCTCGACGATGGCATCCCGCTCGGCCGCCCGGCCGACCATCGTGCGTGGGAGCGCGAAAAAAGGGAGAAACATCCTTGCCGGCGACTTCCCAGCTTTCCAGGACTGCCGCATCTCCCGCTGCCAGCAATTCCCGTACCTCCACGAGGTCATGTCGCAGACCGCGGGCAGAGTTGTACCGCTCCGAGACATTCTTTGCCGTCGCCTTGGCAATGATCCGTGCAAAGACCTCTGGCACATCGGGTCGCAAGGTCGATACTGGCGGAAGCTCCTGTCCAAGCATCTCCTTGATGATTCCCATGGGAGTCTTGGCCCCAAACGGGGTCTCGCGGACGAGAGCGCTCCAAAACATGATACCGAGGGAGTAGATATCGGCGCGATTGTCAGCTCGGATCGGCGTCCGGCCAGTTTGCTCGGGGCTCAAATAGGAGATGTGCGCCGTGGCAGCTTTCTGATTCTCTAGGGCTGGCCAGTCCGCGCTCACCCGTCCGGTGTCATAGGACTGCAGACCCGCCCCGAGATGAATCAAGCGCACACGGCCGGTTTCTTGGTTGAAGTGGAATGCCTCCCCTCGGATCTGCCCATGGACAATCTGCTGGCTATGCAGCATTTGGATGCACTCCGCCGCACCGATGGCGAAATCCATAAATGCTGGCAACGGCATGCGCTCGTCCCGATCGGATCGAGGCGAGGCCCCATTATTGGTCTCATTGTGGCTTGCATCTTCCTCAGAGCGCATCTGATACCAGGTCACGCCGCAATCGATGTAGCGCAGTAGATCATTTGGGCCGGGGCTTTCGTAGATGCAGACCAGGAGCGATGGGTTGTGGTCATCATCGAGATTGGGTAAGCGCTGCATCTCCACGGGTCGCAGGAGATATTTGCGGTGAGGAGCGGCAACGGATGCCAGCATCTGATACTCCTCTTGCATCCTTTCTCCTTGGACCAGATTCTCACCAATGCGCGCCACCACTTCGATCGTTCTCTCTGACCCTCTGCCCTGGTCCCCGTCGCCGTCCTTTCCGGGTCCACATGGGGCAGATGTACCGCTCGAATCGCTGGGAGAGGAGGCACTTCGAAGGCGATTGGTGTGAGCATGATTCAGGCGAATGGTACGGTCGAGGTGTTTGGTACCAAAAACGTGCCTAAGAGACGCGTCAGCATGAAATCTCCCTTCCGTCTAGGGACTGGGGTTTGGTTCGCGCACCATACGCCATAACTGGAGCGGAATTGTCTCGATTCGTCCCAGGTATAAGCCACCAGGCCATTCAGTTTGTCCATCAGTCCCATGGGAGGCTTGGGAGCCCGTTCGTACCCAGAGGGGACGCGGGAGGGTGGGTGATCGGGTGGAAGAATCAACTGCCGGTCGATGTCATGGTCGTCGTGGGTTTCGCCAAGATCCCAGGGAGGTTGTCCGGCTGTCAAGAGGTAAAGAGGTGTAGTAGGTGGGAGCGAGAGAGTTCGTCAATTATGATGCTCGTCTGTGTTCCGCATGCATAGTTGCCTGTGGAGAAACACCGAATGAGCTAACGCGGACAGTGAAAGAACAGAGCTTGACCGACGGCAGAACCACTAGTCGAAAAACCGGATTTTTTCCTTCTATCCCCTTTGGTCAGCGCCACCCAACGGCGTGGAGATCGGATAAGTGGACAGTATTGCCCGCGAAACGATACCCGTAGAGTAAGTGGCTCGATAGCGCCGTGATCGATCCTCTTGGCAAGCGTGTCACTCGCTCTGCTCTCTATTTAACCCTTCCCGTGTAACTAAAATTGACACGGATAAGATAAGCCATCCGCCAGGAGCGTTGGGCAGTAATACCCACCCTGCCTGACAGCGGTCTTGTGTGGGGGAAAGGAAGGATCCAGAATCCCCGGGTCGAATCTGGAACCTCTAGCTGGGTGTCTCCATTTCCCGTCCACCTATATCAGTCTCTTTATCTGGGCCTCGTCGTTTTCCTCGGTGGCTTCTTCCGCCAGATCGAGCAGAGCACAGTCGTCGCCACCATGTCCGAAGAGACGCGGGGCACCCCGTAAGTCTTGTTATTGCCTTCTCCCTCCCTTCGGCCTCGCGCGGTGTCCTGTCCTGCTCCGGTACTCTGACTGGCCTGTTGCCAACATCGCCATGTCATTCCCGAATCCCTACTGACCCCTGCGCCGTCCACTAGTCTGCGTCTGGGATCGATTGCCCCCAACTTTCAAGCGGAAACCACGATCGGCCCTATCGACTTTCACGAGTGGTTGGGCAATGACTGGGCCATCCTCTTCTCCCACCCGGAGGATTACACCCCCATCTGCACTACCGAGCTGGCTGCCCTCGCCAAGTACGAGCCCGAATTCACCAGGCGCCACGTCAAGCTGATTGGACTGTCGGCCAACTCCATCGAGTCGCACGATGGCTGGATCAACGACATTAGCGAGATCGCGGGATGCCCGTTGACCTTTCCCGTGATCGGCGATAAGGATCGTCAGATCGCATTTGCCTATGATATGTGAGTGGCTTCCTGGATTTCCCTTTCGCGGTCCCGCCTAGATCCTCCAGACACTAACCACCTCACCTGAACAGGTTGGATCACCAAGATACAACCAATGTGGACGCCAGAGGAATGGCCTACACAATCCGGTCTGTCTTTATCATCGACCCCAACAAGGTCATCCGCCTGATCCAGTCCTATCCCGCCTCCACGGGTCGTGACACGGCTGAACTGCTGCGCGTCGTTGACTCTTTACTTGCTACCGACAAACATAGCATCAATACCCCCGTCAACTGGCAGCCCGGTGACGATGTGGTCGTCCCTGTCAGTATCGGTGATGAAGAAGCCAAGGCCCGGTTCCCGGATATGCGCGTGGTCAAACCGTACCTGCGGTTCACCCCGTTGGCGAAAGAGAATTTTCTCCTTTCTCGGTAATGTCAAATCAATTTAAGCATACATAATGTTATGGTGTGACTGCCGATCTGATCAAGAAACTTGGATGAGCGATGTCAGCTTCTACAGTAGTCTTCGAATTAAAATGGCTCCGTTGGGAGCCGAGAAGTCAAAGAACTAAGGGTCCTAAGATTTCGTCCGATGCGGCTGTATTCTCTAGAGGAACAGCCTAATGGTCTTCTAGGGCCACTCAATTGCAACAAGAGCAAATCCAAATACAGCCTCCTCAAAAGACTTTAGAGCGAGGATCTGTACATGCTGTTATTTTAGCAGCTGATGTCTTGCGGCAAGTTTTGGAGGGCCTCTTAAAGCAATTGCAAGACCAAGGAAATATCAGAAAATCGACTGTTCCTCACCAAGTATGTAACGGCCTAAAGCATACAATTGCGATGCATAGACAAAGAAAGTTTTCACATTTTTCACTACGTCCTCGGAAAAATTTAAATGACCTACTGGACACCAATTCCCTGGACCACCAGATAGCCCTGGTAAAAGGGGCTATCATTGCTTTGGAGACCCAAAAAACCTAGTGTCAAAATATAACATAAAGTCATCATAATCAGAAGGATTCAGTGGCAGTGCCTATTAGCCTGATCAAGGTAACGACCGACCTTAACGACCGACCTCTTACTTTTCAGTGTTCAGCAACATATCAAAAATGACTTTACCTCGCGCATGGCCACTCTCTAGACGTTCGTACGCATTTTTAAACTGCTCCAAGGGCCAGACACTGTCAACAACTGGTCGGCATTTGCCCTTGTCCATCAACTTTGTGATTTCTGCCAAGTCCGCACCAGATGGCTCCATGATGAAGAAAAGATCTTTCACGCCGGATACGGCAAATCCTGTTGGCCGGCGGTGCTCTGGCGGCTGGTTGATACTAATAATCACGCCGTTTTCACGGAGAGACCACCAGGCGTCTTCAAGTGATTGCCCGCCAATGCAGTCAATGACGACGTCGACTTTGTTCACTGGGCTCTGGCCCCATTCGGAGAGTTGGATTGACCGATAGTTCAGCACATCCGTGGCTCCTAGGGCCCGGACATGGTCTATGTTGCCTGGTCCGCAGGTACCAACCACTTCCGCGCCTGTGAGACTTGCAATCTGAACGATCCAGGTCCCAACCCCTCCGGAAGCCCCAGTCACCAAGATGCGTTTACCCTTCCAGTTCGGGCTATTAAATTTGCCAATCCCAGCATGCTTGAACAGAGCCTGCCACGCAGTTTCCGCAGAAAGAGGCACAGCTGCAGACTCCACCCAGCTCAGCTTACGGGGCCGTACGGCTAATTCGTCGGTGGTCGCGATTGCGTAGTCACGAGCGCACCCGGGGCGATAGTAGCTTGTCCGAGCGTATACTTCGTCTCCTGCTTTGAAAGGAGAGCCTTCGGGGGCTCTCGCTACCACCCCTGCAACGTCGTCGCAGGTAATGATCTCCTTCCCAGGAGCGTCAACGAAACTGGGCCAGAGGAGTTCTCCTGCGCATGGGGAGGCAGCATAAACACGGATCAGATGCTCGCCCCTCTCCAAATCTGGCGTTGGCAGAGGGCGCTCGACGAGCGTAACGAGGTTAGAAGTAGGGTCTGCTTGCAGCAGAGCGCGCACGGTAGATGGGAGAGTGTTTGGTGACATCGGTGGTATGAGCGGAATGTTTTCTTTTCTGTAGATAAATGCCAATCCTCAAGTACCGCCGAATTTGATGGCAACCGGACATTTTTATGTGTTTTCGAGTACTCTAACGTTCTGTGATGTCAGTTTAACATCCTTGAGCCAATAGGAGGTTTATACGGTTCGAGTAAAAAACAGTGCGGGAAGCTCAGCCGCAATCCACCAGACAGACATATTTGGTCGACATAACCTAGATTCCATGGTCAATCATCAGATAGCCATGGGTCGCGTTTTATAAGCGTTGCAAAAGGGCTGTCGAAGACAACATCCTATTGAAATAATAGACTGAAGAACAGTTATACGGCATTAATCTCCATATCCTCCAGCAAATATATATATTTCGAATTTAATAAGTGTGCCCGTTCAGATACTCACGAGAATTCATACATTCTTTCCCGTAATACCTCGCCTGAGCGGTTTTGGCATGGGCAGTGTAGAAAAGGCAAGAGGGGACAATAAGGATGAAGAGTATGCCATCAATAACAAAAATGCAGGTCATTGGTATTTCATTGATGCGACGTTACCATAAATATGTTGGCGCCAGGGGCGACGTGAGAGGCTGGCAAAACAACTGTACATTCCAAGTGTCCTATGAAAACCTTGGCATTTTTTACAGCTTTAGTCAACCCTAGTTTAGGATTGAAGTCTCATTAAAATAATATATAGCTTAACCGGCCCCTTTCTTTTTGATGCCCGCTTCGACAAACCCATTCTCAAAGTCAATCTTTTCTATCGAAACGTCTTCATTCAAGATGCATTTGATTCATTATATGCTCTACTCTCTGCTTCCATTAGCCTTGGCATTGGGAGGACAACCTGAAACTCCCCGGGACTTTATCAACTCCGCACTCGATATTCCCGAGAGCAAGAACCTCCCGTTATCGCTGAAGAAGCCGTATTGTCCAGGTCGTCCAGCCGGCAAGAAGGCCCAGAGCCAGATATTCGCGAAATTCATCGATATTTTGTATGGCGAAAAAAATGTGTCCAAAGCTTTCGAAGGTTACGTCGATCTTAAGATCATTGAACATGATCCTGACGACCCGCAAGACCGCGCCGCTATTATTGAAAGACTGAATCATATCATCCCTTATGCAAACACCACAATTCTGTTTTCAAGCTTTGGCGATGACATTGGCCTGGTCTATTTGAAGGTTGAAGATAACCCCGAGCCGCTCGCTCTTGCGGATATCTATCGAATGGATGGTACTTGCATCGTTGAGCACTGGGATGTCCAACAGTCCAGGCCGGCGAATACGACAAATCCACTTGCCATGTTTTAATTTTCTTGTCGCCTGGCCAAATTGATTGATTAAATGCGTTCTTTGTTTTGTTTTATCGTGGTTTTGATTCATTATCTGCTTTGTCCTTTTATTAATCCTCTAATAATTGATATAATAGTAATTATCAATCAACCATATACATGATCCTTACAAACGCCTCTCTTTTCTAATAAAGGTGACTGTAAACCGTCCACCTCTGCTGGCGATCGGCTCTGAGATCACACGATCTCGGAGCAGGACCTGAGCTGCTCACCCCCAACCGCCGCCCCTTAGTCCTCATTGTGCCTCTAGCCCTTCGCCTGCTCTGTGAGTACCCGCTCTGCTGCCTATTGGTGTTCCTAAGAGTCTAGGCCAAGAAGTGTCCACAGTACACCTGATGAGGTTGTTCTACGGATTGGGGCAATAACCAGTTTTGTACGTACTTCGTGATAATACCAGATTCTCTATGATACCAGTATGAAAGATACAAATTCTAAAAACATCTAGACTAGAAGGTTCCATGCAAACATAGCAAACCTCCTTTGGCAATTTGTAGAATATGTCGACAATCTTCTCTGCATCTCGCAGTCGCTTCACTACGGAGGCCTGGCGTTTCCCTGGGTGTGCATCTAGGGTCAAGTTGGTGGGCAAGACTCGACGGTAAGGTTTCTTTCGTGATCTCCACCATTACTTATCATTATGCTGCCGCTTCGGGCCTTATTGAACACCAGAGATTACTGGCTAACCCCTTACAGTTAACCTCACCCAAAGATATCCACGATGCCTAGTAGCGTTTTCGATGAAGATGCCTATCAACAGACCCCCGCGACCCTAGTAACTCCGGCATGATGCAAGAGCAAACGACTACGTGTGAGGACTGCGATTGAGGGTTGTACTCAATAGGTGACACAGGACAAAGACTGTTGTACTTATGTGGAGACTCTTCCTCTGTCTCCTCCTCTTCTTCCTTCTCCAACTTAGATCTCCGGTCGACCATGGCTCTCAAATTGAATTCTTTCATCGTCTTCTTTCTTGACCTGGCACCCGGTCACAGTCTCTTGGTTTATCATAGATCTAGGGCTCGGATGGATGAGGCATTTAAGTTAATTAGCTATTTATTTCTAAACCTTTGTAGCCTCAAACCGTCACATGATACCTAGTATCATATATACAATAGAGCCAGTGGTTATAATGGAACACCTAAGCTACCGGAAAACCATAGTGCTCCCTATGGGATCATAGCCCACCTGCGTCACTGACCCTCGTGGTTCTTTGGGAACCATGCAACACCATGGCAGTCCCTGAATCAGTGAGCAGAAGTAGTTCTTGGGAATTGGGGAGTCCGGCAAGACTGGGGAGTCCGGCAAGACTGGGGAATCCGGCAAGACTGGGGAATCCGCCAAGATTGGGGAATCCGGCAAGACTGGAGGGTACAGCGGGACTGGGGGGTCCGGCTGCTGCGACACTGAAAGCAGTGTCGTAGCATAGAGAGGTCAGCGATGTTAGAAAGGCTATTATGGCTTGAGTTGCTCCCCCAAAGTCTATTGCGATACCGAAAACAGTATTCCTTTCTTGTCTTGTGTGGAAGGCTTCCCTTATTATCCTTCTTTTTCTCTTTCCCTTACCTCCGTGTTAAGACAGGTTTCCCCGCTTTTTCCTTGGCCTGGGGATACCCGAGCCCTCTGAACAGTATACCTTTCTTGTCTTGTGTGGAAAGCTTATTATTTTGCTTTTTCCCTTTCTCTTACCTCCGTGTTAAACGGAGGTTTCCCCGCTTTTTCCTTGGCCTGGGGATACCCGAGCCCTATGGCACGAGTAATGTACTTTTGCTGAGAGACAATTTAGGCGATAGTGGTTAAAGAATTCAGGGGTTGGGCCTCCAGGCAATATTTGCATGCCGCTTGTGAATACACATGAATCTCAACATGGGTATTACTTGCGTATACCCGAGTGAGGCCTGTGTAGTTCTCGGCTCTCCCACTTTCTTATTCGTGGGGTCCCCAGGAAATATATCGTCGGCGCCACAGTTCTAGTCGTGCGACATGACCAGGATCGTGTATGCATCACAATCTTCTAATTTAACCGGAATGGTGGCGTTTTAGCCAAATCATCACGAGTGAAGTTGTTTACCCAGTCAGCCAGACGCATAGTTCGGTGGGTCACCTGGAGCATGAGCATTCTTATATGAGGGTGTTCTGCCACTTCCCAAGAACCAAACGGCTCGACACGAAACATTGGCTCGAAAAATTGGCATATTGTGCTGTTCACATCCGTTCGTACGCTCTCTTGTTCGCACACAATTGTCACCTCACCGTATTGATAGCTCTTCATACACAAAGCTACAGCTACCGCTATTCCCACCATGACGGAAGTCAAGGAACCAGGGGCCTCGGTCGAGGAGCGCCCTCATGTCGCCAACATGCAACCACCACAGTTCGAGCATGTCGACTGGACAAAGGACCCGGCTCTTCGCAAGCTCTACATACTCTGCATTTTTGGTCTTCTAGTTGCCTCCGCTACCACCGGTTATGATGGGTAAGTTGAAAGCGACAGAATAAAAAATGCCCCACGTGGAAAACGGCGCGTCTGCTGATCTGGCTTCTCTCTCGACTCTAGATCCCTTCTCAACCTCTTGCAGAATTATAACTACTGGGAGAAATATTTCGGCAACATTGGAAGTATTCATGCCTCCGCTCACCAGGCCAGTATGCTTGGTCTTTTGACCAACATGTTCACTATCGGCTCTATTATCTCTATGTTCATCGTGTGAGTCTCATGTCGGAAGCCCAAGGTGGCTGTAGCCGGTTGGCTAACGCTTAAGTTTAGGCCGTGGGTCGTCGATCGATGGGGTCGCAAGCCCTGCATCATGGTTGGCTGTGTCTTCATGATCCTTGGTTGTCTCATTAACACTTTCGCGAAAAACTACGGAAGTGAGTTGTGCTTGATGAGCGACGGTATATAATTGTGTTTGCTACTAGCTAACCGTCTCTAGTGTTCTGTGCAGGTCGTTTCATTCTTGGGTTCGGCAACTCGCTATCCCAGCTGGTCTCTCCAATGCTGTTGACCGAGATTGCCCACCCCCAGCACCGTGCTCCTCTAACCGCCGTATACAACTGCCTGTGGAACTTCGGAAGTCTAAGTATGGGATACCTTTTCCCCCCTTCTTGCCTCTCCTAGAACCCGATCTAACCGCAACTAGTCTGTACTTTAATTGGCTATGGCCTCCAATTTGTTGAGAACGACTGGTCGTGGCGAGCCCTCACCCTCTTTCAGCTCGTGCCCGCCGCTACTCAGATATGCTTCATCTGGTGTAAGTCCCAGACTACATCTTTCCTCGATAACATTTGGCTAACTAGTTCACCAAGTTATTCCCGAGTCTCCGAGATGGCTGATCTCTAAGGACCGCAATGAGGAGGCCCTTAAGACGTTAGCTAAATACCACGCCAACGGTAACGAGAACAACTTGACCGTCCAATTCGAGTACCGGGAAATTAAGGAAACTCTCCGGATCGAGACGGAGGTTAGACACAGCACGACATACCTGGACTTCTTTAAGACGAAAGGCAACCGATGGAGGCTTGCTATTATCATATCCATTGGCATTATCTCCCAATACAGCGGCAACGCCGTTATCTCTAACTACGCGCATCTAATCTACCAAAGCTCTGGTATTGATGGGCAGAAACAGCAGCTCGGGGTAAGGACAAAACTATACCCTACTACCCTAACCTTTCTCTAATTTGTCGCACTCTCTAACTCGCTTGTCTAGCTCCAAATCGGTAACACTCTCCTCAGCTTGATTGTGTCTATCAGTGCTGCCTTTTTGATCGACCGCGTAGGACGACGCCCCCTCTTCCTCATCTCTTCTTGCGGTATGTACCGCCTGACTGGATAAATAAGGGTAATATGAGATAACTGACATATAACCCTTATTATAGGCATGGTTATCTCCTTTACGCTTTGGACTATTATGGCTGCTGAGTATGAGAATCGTAACGGGGCGGAACAGTTTGGTATCGCCCAGATTGTCTTCGTCTGGGTCTTCGGTATCTTCTACTCTATTGGCTTCTCAGGTCTACTTGTCGCCTATACCCTCGAGATCCTACCTTATCATCTTCGTGCAAAGGGTGTTATGATCATGAATATCTCTGTACAGATCATCCTTGCCATTTCAGGCCAGACGAACAATATTGCTATTACGCAATTGCCAAAAACCTATTATTTCTGGATCTTCTACACGGTATGTTTTTTCTTAAAACCTTCTAACCTTTTTAATCCTTCTTCTCTAATACCGTCGTATCTATAGTGTTGGGATGTACTTGAAGCGATTTGGGTTTACTTCGTCTTTCCTGAGACTAAAGGCCCTACTCTTGAGGAGATCGCTTATGTCTTCGATGGTGATGAGGCCGTGGCTCATATCGATATGGAACAGACTGGGAAAGAGATTGAGATTCAGCAGATTGAGAACGCTGATGAGAGGCATGTCTAAGCCCGTAGTATAATTTACTGCTCTAGTAGCTTTCACTGTTATTCTTCTGTATTTGCCTGACCACTTATCCACTATACCAGTGGGCTAGATTGTAGATCCACTGTTAACTACCCCTTATGGCTTTAATAATGGCTTATATTCACCATCAGGGAAATTCCGACCTCGACTAAGTGACTATTTTTTTTGGAATGAACGGGTAACTTGCGGGTCTGTATTACATCCGATGTTCCGTACCATACATCAAGACTGTTCAAAACAAGGACGATCTGCAGCGTAGCTGAATCTGGACTTGGCGGTTTCACCACCGTCTTGGCGGTGGGGCATGATATAGTTTATATGTGTAAAACAAGGAAGCCAATTTCGAATATTGCTGTAGTAGAAATCCCGTAGTTTAGGGTTCTGTTCTTTGGATTTCTGCTAGGCTTTCTTTTTCGGCTAGTCAGCCCGGGAAAGAGCACGTTTGATGTTAGATGATGATGGTAATATGTTGAACTCGTCCCATAGAAAGGCAGCCATCTCTTCGACATATAGGCCAGGCTTTTCAGCGGGGTGGTCATAAAGAGCGTCCAACATCACAGGAGTGAAGCTTGGTGGCCGGCCGGGGGGAATAGGGGAGATCTGGGACTGCTGAATAACCGCATGTTCTTGCGTACGTTAGTGATAGAACGCTCACTACACTTCGCCAGCTTGGCCATTTGTGATGTAGTGAGTCTGTTCTTGCTGCATATAATAGGGACAATCGTCTCACGCTGCCAGAGATCGAGGTTTCGTGCCATTTTGCGGCGTTTGGGCGCTGTTGGCGGGTTGACCTAGCATGCCTGAGTTAGAAGGAGGTGGGAGTAGTCTATTTTTGGAGCTGTGACAACACGAACATCCAGCTTATTCATGATTTCATGCGTATAGTATTATACCATTCAACCTCAGAACAGATCTTCAAATACGTACATAGCCATATCGGGATTAACTTATCATGTGATTGGGTTTGAAAGAGCTTCTCAATGATTCTAACATGGAAGGCAATACGGTCGCGACTATAAGGAAACGATTTGACACGATCCGAGCTATTCCCGTGACAGCGCGACCCTTTGAGCCTCGAGTCTTCCTCATGGTCTAAGTCCATGATCGGGAAACTGAGTTGGATGATCATCGAAGCAACCGAATCCAGTAGAATTGCTGATCAGGATAGCGCATCGGATCTAGCTGGTTGAACAAGACTTGGTGCTTTATGAGATCACCCTGCAAGGGTTTAGTTTCTTGGCTCTCCTATAATTTTCCTGATTCGGCAATCCAGGTCGAATCCGAATCCTGCATCGTCGAATCCGATCGTTGCTAACTAACTAGAATGACGCAAAAGGATGGGTAAACAGGGCACCTTTGGTCATGTCTCAGCGGGAGATATTATCCATATTACGATCCAGATGACGATCGCCCTTCTGGGGCCTTCTATCTTCGTTCCGTACATAAGGCTAATGGCGATCGTATACTCTAGTGGTGTTCTGGGTATGACGTTATCCGATGTCATCGGCTCCCGTTCCTTGCAAAACATCGCTTTTCCATAACATCACAACCATCTCCGCTTTGATAGCATTCATCATTCTGTGGGACTACGAAGTTCAACGTCATTTTGTTTTGTTGGTTTCGTTTTGGCGATAAATGGCGTCATGATCTTAATTGGGTATATATACTGTCTTCATCACTGTGTGATCTAGCATTAATCTACTCCAAATCAATTTTCCCATTTACAACCCATTCTTCAACTAAGTTTTATCTCTTCATATATTTCATATCATATCAACATGTCTAGCATCGTTCACAAGGTCAAGGACGCCGTTACCAACCACGGCTCGTCCAACAACGAGCACCACCACACCGGCACTGGCTCCGCTAACGCCTACGACTCTGCCAAATCCTCTAATCACGGCCCTCACGATAGCAATATTACCAACGCCGCCGATCCCCGTATCGACAGCGACCGTTCTCAGATGACCGGTGCCGCTTACAACGCGGGAACTACTGGCACTGGCGCCAATAACACCGTTGGAGGTGCTCCCCAATATTCTACTCACTCGGCCGCTACTGGCCCTACTTCTTCCACCACTACCGGTCCTCACAAGAGCAACATCGCCAACGAGGCCGATCCCCGTATCGATAGCAACCTCGATAGCCATGGCAGACACGGCACCGCTAGCCGCCCCTATGGAGGCGTCTCCACGCATTCGGCCACCACCGGCCCTGCCAGCTCGACCGCTGGCCCTCACAAGAGCAACGTTGCCAACGAGGCTGACCCCCGCGTCGATAGCGACCTAAGTAAGGAGCGCGGCGACGTCGTCGGCTCCGGTCGTTTCGACAAGGACGTGCACAAGTCCAGCATTGGCGGCGGGGGTGTGATGCACGGCCTGGGTGGCAGCAGCGGCCCGACTACCACCAAGACCTTCGAGCAGGCGCAGAACAACAGTGTCGCAGGAAGTAGCTACAACAACAAAAAGACTGCCGGTCCCCACAAGAGCGACATGGTGAATAAGATGGATCCCCGTGTGGACTCTGATTTGGATGGATCGAAGACTATTGGTTCTCAGCGTGTTTAGATTAAAGTGTATAATAGCTATGACAGTTAGGGGAAATCCTACGAAAGAATGAGCGAATAAACCAACCTTCAATTAGCCGAATGTGTACAGTAGGAAGGTACGCTAGGATGTGCCGGGAGATCGACCTGGGAGCCGTCTTTCTTCGTCAAGGAAATAGCATACGTAGTAGTATCTTTCAAGGCATTGATTGTATGGGCTTATCCTAAGTATATCCACCTAGAAAACCCAACATGCCAGAAAAAGACATCATGCAGAGACGAACAAAACACAAAATGCAAAGCAACACGGATAATACAACATATCAGAAGCACCGTTACTCGGTTCGCAGAACACGAGGGCCCTTTTTTGGCAGCGCGCTTCTTCTTGTGTCCCTTGTCAAAGGCGACAGCGCTGCTGTGGTCACGACCGAAATTGTCCAGGTCCTTAACCTTGTAGATGCGGATAATCCAGTTCTCGCTGGTGAAGGCTTCGTCGAGCGTGTTGAGCTGCGGGGTGTCGACGGGCAGCTTCGTGCCACGGACGCGGTCTGCGGCTTGGCCGGCTGGGAAGAGGTTCTGGTAGTTGTGGTAGGACATTTTGTACCTAACAATTAGGTGAGCGATGATCATCAGAAAAAGAGCGAAAGAAAGGACGTACATCAGACTGTTCTTCATGGTCGGAGTGGCCTCGTCATCAACGCGGTACTCGCCGCGAGCGGTAAAGAAGTCACGCTCGCTCACCTCGTCCGGCCAGATACCCTCGGCGATGCGGACCATCCACAGGAACTTGTTCAGGTCGTCGCCCGAGTAGCCGAGCAGACCGCCAAACACGACCAGGACATAGTCGACGTCATGCTGCCGCAGGATCGGGTAGCTGACCTCCTCGCGTGAGCTCATGGCCTTGCCAACGGTGGCAATATGGGTGTTGTTCCAGGTGTTGTTGTCGACCAGCGTGGGACGGTCAGCCATGCCACCGATTTGGTAACCGTAATCCCACCAGGACATAATCTTGGCGTTATCCGGGGTGTTCTGTCGGAGCCAGTAGTAGGCCTCGCGGTAGTCGTCGATGATGTACTGGCTGCCATCGGGAAGCTTGCTGGCGAGAACAACGGACGGAGACGAGTACGCATTGGAGGTGACCCAAGTGCAGTGCGCGACAAAGATGAGTAGGTAAAGGACGGCGGAGCAGGTCATAAAGGTCTTGGAGAAGTACGAGTAGATGCCGACGGGTTTCTTGGCCTTGTCCGACTTGTTGGTGTCCGTTTTGGCGGGAGGAGTCGGGGCGGAAATGACCAGGAAGTTGTCGAGAATGGCCGAGAGAGCCAATGCCGCCGCAACACACACAATCGGAGTCAGAGTCAGCATCAGACGGACCATGACACCCGCAAAGTAGCTGGAAAGCACTGAGTAGATGACCACGAACACATGTTCATCCTTGAGCTTCTGGAAGCACAGGTACACACCCGCGGGGAAGAGCCATATCAGGAAGTTCAGGTCGAAAAAGAAGGCGGGCCAGGCGGTCGGTTGGTGCTCGGAGACGGACGCAATGATGGGAATGTGGATCTTGGCGTAGCCGGTATCCCACAGCGAGTAGAAACGACCACTCCACGGGGCAATGACACCGGAGACGCTGAGCAGAACGAGGATGCCAAATCCAAGGCCAAAAGTGATCAAAACCATAGATGTGAGCAGCTTTTGGAATTGCTTGCCAGGCAGGAAGCCTCGGATGAATTCCGCAAAGGCCACGAGTTGGATCAGCCCAAACACACCCAGCGCCGACATGTGGTCACTGTTTCGAATGGGCAGGAAGCCAACAAACGGAATCTGCATGCTGGCCAAAGTTCCCAGCGCGTACCACGTGGTGTAGCTGATGTAGAGACGGGAGCTGTAGCGTCCCATGCAGAGCAGGACGAAGATGTGCAGCGGGATGAGGTTGGTGATGAACACGTATCCACCCCAGGCCGACACCATGTATCCGTAGAACAGAGCTGTCAGTGCTCCCCACATGATCGAGCCATTCTTGACAGCCTTGATCCACAGGAAGAACGTAAACACCAGCAGGAAGATGGCAATGGCTTCGTTGTCGTAGCTGCCCGCCACAGACCGAGAGATGTAGCCGGGGGTGATGCCCATGAACGCCGCAGCCAGCAGGCCGGCGGACGGCGACGTAGTCATCTCAGAAGTCAGGAGGTACATTGCCAGGGCCGTCAGACCGGAGAAACCGGGGGCAAGAAGCACGCAAATGTTGCGAATGTCGACGGGAAAGGTCAGGAACCGCAGGATATGGTAGATCACGCCGCTGGTCACCATGAGTCCGGGGTACAGCGTGCCACCGGTGACACGGCCCAGAGGGTGCCAGGTTCCTAGTCCAGTCAGTCCACCTGTGATGACGCGCAAGCTCGAGGTTTTGAGAGGGGGGAGGAAACGCACGGTCATCAAACCAATCCCAGAAGCTGTAGAATCCATTTTGGACCAGATATTTTGTTGCACGGAAGTTGAACCACGGATCGACTGGATAAACATTAATTGGGTTGTCCTTGGGCAGCGTTGGTCAGGGGGGAACAGCATACATTCGTGAATGATACTTTCGAAGCCTGGAAGTCACGTCAGTACCAATGGAGCAATCAACGACGACCGACAAAACATACGGATAACACTGAACAGTCGGCTGGACACGGCGGCCGCAGCAATTGTACAGAGAATGATGATGCGCAGCAGACCGCGGGTGCTCCGGCCGGAGCTGCCTTTCAGCAGTACATCGAGCGCAGGATGGGCCATAATGGCCGAGAGAAAAAAGAAGCCAAAAACACGATCAATGCAATGGACACAACATCCAACAGAATGTCGACACTCTCACACGAACCAATTGATGGAGGAGGGAGAGAGAGATGGGTGTTGTGGTGGATGGATGAGTGAATAAGGGAAGAAGGTGAAGGTGGTCTCTTTGGGTCTTGGCGCGACCAGATCTCCCCGCATCGTCACTGACTTCCTCTCCCTTCACCACCACAACATGGGCCTCCCTCCCCTGTCCACAGCCCAGCTCGACACCCTGACTACCTCCAACCTCCCTCCCTCCCAGCTTTTCGAGACCCTTTCGCACTATGAATCCGAGGCCTGTCTCACGGCCGCGGGCCCCGGCAGTACAGATCCGCACCTGCTGAGCTTGTTCTACTCGAGCTTTTTCATCGTCCACCTACTCACCGATCAAGTGTTAGTACTCGCTTCACGCTCTTCGTGGATTAAATCACTGAAAGCATCCGGCCTCTAGACCAGAAGCGCGCGCCTTGACACAACGGATGCCAGAGACCCTGCGGAGTCAGGATCCTTCTCTCCAGAACTGCCTGGCCCTCCTTCGAGCTCTCTGGCAAAACCAGCATGCCCAAGTCTACCACATTCTTCGGGATCTACCGTGGCCGGAGACACTACAGCCGTTAGTACGGCGATACGAGAGTACGTCTTCTCGATTGACTTTTTGGGGAGGCAATTTGCTCACCAGCTCCTGCCAGGCTTCTTCCAAGACAAGACTTTGATCGCAGTGAGCAGTTCCTACGAGGCAATCCGGCCCGCGGTCGCCGCAAATTACCTAGGTCTGGACGAGCAAGCCGCTGAGAAGGGCGACCCGAGTATCATACAAAAGTTCACGGGGGTTGGATGGACCTGGGACGGAGAGGCTGAGCTGTTGCATCCCAAACCAATCCCTACAGCTGCCACCGACGCCCAGTCGTCTAATCGCATCCAGGAGGCCATGGGCATGCTGGGGGGGCGCGGAAGCTGAACAGAAGAGAGAACTCGCTCAAGTGATTCAACTTCCCATTACGAGATTACGAGAATGACCTGTCCTCCGGTCCGCCATCCAAGGGCGGACACGATTAAAGCCACCACTACCACTGACTCTGGGCCGAGAGAAATGCCGCAATGCACAAACGCAATCTTTTGCTCATTCTTGTGGTCCAACTGTAGTGTACAGACGCACGACAGCCCAGGGTATGTACAGGACTCGGAGAGAGAGAACAAAACGTCTAAGACAAAAGAGAATAAAACTAAAAACAACCAAATCATCCCATCTTTCGCTTGCAATGCCACACGACTTCGGGGGGCCACATTAGACAGACCCAAACAATCGTACACAAAATGGAGCCGACTCGATTTCTAATACCCTGGGGCGAGGTGCGAGTTCCGCAAAGAGTTCATTGCGTAATAATTCCTCTCTCGTTCCACTCCTAAGACGACTCGGCAGCCTTGGCCTTCAAGAATGCCTCCAGGTCGAATTTGGGGTCCTCGAAGTTCGTGATCACTGTGCTCCATTAGTCCGGGTTCTGGGCCATCTCAAGAGAGAACGAAAAGTTCAATGCGAGAGTACGTACATCCGCTGGCTTGTGGCTGGGTCTCCTGGGGCATGGTCTTCTTCTTCCACTCGGCCTTGGCCTGCTCGATCAGGCGCTCCTTGCGTGCGTATTCGTGCTCGATCTCTGCGCGCTTCGCCGACTTGTTGAGGGACGACTGGTGATAGACTCCGTATACGAGACCGGCCACAAGAGCCGAGTAGCGGAGGACCTGCAGATATGATTGAATGTTAGTGAACCACCGGGTCCTGATTAAAAGGGCCGTTCTCCCTCGGCCGGGTGAAACCCACGTTGACACCCTGGCTGGCCATGTTGCTGCGAGACTCTGAGAAAAGACAGAAAGGAGAGGATACGTCAAACAAGACAAAAAAGGGCGAATCCGCAGGTGTCGAGCGTCAATGGCAGCGAGTTCCTGGCGAGAAGAAGATGCCGTTCAGTCCCTGTTCTGCGCGAGTTTTTCCGGTCGGCCCGTTGCTTATGTCATCGCCTGTAAATAAAGACAGCATCAACACGCCCCAGATATCCCAGCCCCAACGATGTCGTCCATGCAGCAGCGCAAGAATGAGATCCTCGCCAAGCGGGCTAAGCTTGCTGAGCTGAAAAAGCAGCGCGAGCTGCGCCAGAAGGAGTTCACCAACACCCGCAACAGCGTCGGCGATGTTTCAGAGGTATGCTCATGCACCATGCCCAGCTCCGTCGGGTTCTAATATCCCGTCGATGTAGATTGTGTCGCCCATACCCGGCCGGTCAGATAATAGAGCTGAGCTCGACGACCTGATCTCCCGTCTCGTGGACCGCCCGGGGTCAGCATCCATCAGCCACGGCGCCGAAACCCAGTCCCGCAAAGGAAGCCGGCCAAACTCCATACTCAGCGCCAGCCAACTGAGCGGCGAGAACGCCGAGTCCTCCTATGTGCCTTCGTCGCGACCGCAGTCCCAATCCATTGCCGTGCAGACCGTTGGAGAGGAGTCGTACACTCCATCCGTGCCTGAAGCCTCAGCCCCGCAACCCCCTGAGCCTAAACCGGAGGTGGTCACATACAGCAAAGCTGTACAAACAGACCTGTCAGACCCTTCCGCCGAATCTCAAGATGGCTCCGTTGCCTCGGATGACGAAGACGCTGCTGGGACTAAGCGGTCAAGCAAACGGCTCAGCCGCCGGGAGCGGGAGCGGGACGAGGAGATCCGGCAGAAGCTGCGGACGGAGATTGAGGAGGAACTGCAAGCAACCAACCAGAGGGGAGATGATTCTACGGCCGTCCAATCCACACAACTACGATACCCTCTACGCACACTCGAGGAGGACGAGCTGAAGGCGGTGACTTCCTCGGATGATTTTCTGGACTTTGTGGAGCGGTCCGCCAAGGTCATTGAGCGGGCTCTGGATGAGGAATACGATGTTCTCGCGGACTATGAGCTGGGCGGCGTTGATGGAGATTTGGAAGAAGATGAAGAGACTGGGAGGAAGAGGAGGGGCATCAAAGAGGTTTGCCAGTTCTGGGACGAGCGATGGAGCAAGAAGCGCATGGTCAGCGACCTCAGCTTCTCTCCCAAGGTGGGTACCTCTGTGATCTCCGTCCTTCCCAACTACTAATTCTGTTTCTAGTTCCCTGAGCTTGTGCTGGCTGCATATACCAAGAACCCGTCTGCACCCCATGAACCCGATGGCCTCGTCCAAGTCTGGAATCAACACCTGCACTCTCGACCGGAATACGTGTTCCACTCCACGTCCGATATTCTCTCCGCTAAATTCTCTCCTTTCCATCCCAACCTCATTGTGGGCGGCTCGTACTCGGGCCAGGTGCTTCTATGGGACACTCGGTCGTCTCGTGCAGGTGGAGGCGCCCCCGTCCAGAAGACTCCGCTAACCGGGTCTGGCCATACCCATCCCGTCTACAGTATCTCGATCGTCGGCACGCAAAACGCACATAATATCATCACCGCCTCCACCGATGGCGTGGTCTGTGGTTGGACGGTGGACATGCTTTCGCAACCTCAGGAGTATTTGGAGTTGACTACGCCTCCGCCATCCAAGACGGAGGATCTTGCTCCGACGACCATGTCGTTCCCACAATCCGATCCAACGTTTTTTATTGTGGGTACTGAAGAAGGGGGGATCTATCCATGCCACCGGTACGATCGCGCAGGGGCCAAGGCCGGCACTGACCACCGCCTGGCCTATCGCGGGCATGCGGCACCGATCATGTCCACCGCATTCCATCCCGCCCGCGGACCTGTGGACCTCGGCGACTTGATGCTCAGCTCCAGTCTAGACTGGAGCGTGAAGCTCTGGCGTGTCCGTCCCCCAGCGACAACTGCCTCTGCCACATCCGGCACGGCAGACCCTCAAGTCGTCTCTCCTATTCTGGATATCACGCGTGAAGACGTTGTCTACGATGCGCGCTGGTCCCCGCACAAACCAGGCGTATTCTCTCTCGTTGATGGGGGTGGCAACGTCGAAGTCTGGGACCTGTACACCGATACAGAAGTCCCCGTCGTGCGGACGACTCCGACCCGCGGCCGCGGCGGCATCTTGTCCCGTAGCTTGAACAAGGTTGCCTGGGAAGAGCGGGAAGGCCGACGCCTGGCGACTGGCGGGCTGGACGGCGTTGTGACCGTTTTCGAAGTCGGTAAAGGCCTGGGTGGGCTTCCAGATGAGGTACCCGCCGAGGAATGGACAGGTATGAAGCGGCTGGTGGGGAAACTGGAACAGAAAGATCGGATCGCCTAATAGGCCGTTTGGGGGATCTTCAAAGGCGTTTAGGCGTTTATCCCCGACTTATCTCCCCGGCTGTCCATACTCCGCCGGCCTTGTCCAGCGTTTTCACTTGCATATACCCTTTCTTCCTTCGACTGCATAAATGTATTTGGGGCATGTACCTAATCTCCCAATTCACTCGACGCATTGTAGTCTATGATATACTGAAAATCAGAAAAGTTCCACCGCGGAAGAGGACTCAAATTTCCATACCAGAAAGTCTTGCCCAACTCAGCCGCCTACCTGCAATCTGCCAGGTAGGAGTGAGCGGATGAAGGTCCCACCAACAACCTTTCGGCCCCAAGACAGAAGAAGTATAGCCATTCCACTCCACTGGGAGCGCTCCGTCATGACGATTGACCGATTGGCAAGAATAACAAAACCGGTTCACAAACCCTCAGCGAAGCTTAGCGGTAGCGTTTGCCACAAAAATAAGTGTTGAGGAAGAAGCTTTCTTCGGAACCCCCCGATGGACCTTCCGATGGACCCCTTGGATCCTCCGATCGAGGGCCGGGACCCTTGGTGACGGCGAACGAAAAAGGCAACCGAGCGAGGTACGCGACAAGAGCAGGCAAGCGAGATACGCGAAACCATGCGAATATTATGCATTAAGCCTCCGGTATACCCGAGACTGTGGTTCCTCGCCAAATCAGGTTATATAGCCGCCACGGGAGTAGAACTGCCGTGAAGGCATACATCTCGTTAGTTGGGCATGATGTCAAGACTACACCTTTGGGTTTTTGCGGGGGGGTGCGGATGCGCGCATCCTGCCATGTGGGGTCAACCTTAAATCCGGCGCTGATCAATGAGAGATCCCGGACAGTGGTTTTCTTCGTGGTTCGCGGGTACTATGTGCCCGGGGGGGAACTATTTTTCGAGAACCTCCGAGCGAGATGGCCGTGTTATTCCGGATTCATGTTCCGCGATTTCAGGTTCCGCGATTTCATGTTCCGACGGCTATTCAAACCGTTGGAATCTGGAGTTTCGGTTCTGGCCCCATTTTGTCACCGAGATGTCTTGGGACATGTGGCTGCATATATGAAAGCCTTGTCCTGCAGAGAATAATCCCAAAAAGGCCCAAGTTCTTATAAGGCGAGCCTCAGCCTATCTACTTACGTATCCTACAACGTATCCCTCTGATGCGGAAACGGACTATCGCCTTAATTCACTATGGGAGAGCGTCCCTACGAAGGCGATGACCTGATAGGCGTGTGTGTGGCGCTGGCCGCCGTGCAGATTCTTATTGTCACCGCGCGTTTCTATACGCGGTATATGCTGCAGATGCGCTATGGGCTTGATGACTATCTTATTTTGGTCGCGCTGGTGGGTGTTGACCTCGGATGATTGAGCAGCTGGCGGATGCTAATTGTGGGGTGTATAGGCTGCGAATCTGGCTAAGGCTATCATCTACATCGTTTGTAGGCACACCTTTTTTCGTCAATGGAGAGCATCATACTAATCTGTCCTGTGCAGTGGTCAACATCTCCGGGCTTGGTTACCATCTTGATTATATCACCTCTACAGCACCACAGGATCTACTCCTCCTAAAAAAGGTACGCACAACTCTTCGGGGATAAGTACTCTGAGCATCACGAACTAACACACTACAAAAGGGCCTCTTCGCCATCGAAATCCTCGACTTCCCCTTCTCAGTAACACCCGCCAAAATCTCTCTCCTCCTCTTCTACGCTCGAATCTTCACCGTGCGCCGCTTCCAAATCTTCGCCTATGCAGTCGCGTCTTTGGTCCTGGTGCATGGAGACATCGTTCTCTTTGCTATTATCTTCCAGTGCAAGCCCATCCCTTACGCCTGGGACAAGAGCATTCCCGATGGAACGTGTACTGTTCAACACGTGCTGTACCGCTTTATATCGCCACCGAATGTCTTGACAGGCATTTTCATCCTGGTGATGCCCATGCCTTTTGTGTGGAGACTGCATGTACCAAGGGCGCAGAAGATGGCGCTGACAGGGGTGTTTTTGCTGGGTGGACTGTGAGTTTTCTCGTCTTCCTGTAGTCATCATCTATTATTGATTGAGATGGTTGTACTAACTTACTACGACAGGGGCACCGTGGCGAGTATCCTGCGCATGGTAATCTACTACATGTGCACCGACCTGGCGCAAGGAGATGTAACCTGGTACTCCGTCGAACTCGGGATCCTCAGCCAAGTCGAGAGCGGTGTTCTCGTCATCGCCGCATGCCTAATCACGATCTGGCCATTCATCACCAAGCTACTGCCACAATATGTGCTTAGACTGTTTTCATTTGGCACAGACCGAGAGCGCCAGCACCGGCGCTGGTATATGCGCTCTACCCAATCGCGACCCACTCATAATAGTGGTATCATCATCACCACTACCACCACCACCACCATCAGCGAGAGCCAGGACGAGATTGCTCATTACAGTCAAGATATGGGACGGTGGCCGCACAGTTCGTGTAGTGTGTCGTCGTCGTCGTCGTCGTTGGCGGATCTTGAAGATCAGAGGTGGTCCATATTTGCGGACGAGGCGAGAGGTGCAGAAAAGGCATGAGTACGAGTGGGGAGTATACACAGACTAATATATATAAACTTAACTGAAAAGAGGGTTTATTTAGAGGTCATTTTCGTTATATTGTATCTCGCTGCGTAAATTGTCGGTTGGTCGGAGTCACTGATCAGACAAGCTTGCTAGTAAGTGTATCTGAATCCGGGCTGTTCTCGTCGTCAGGTCCAGTCAGAAGGGAATAAGAAGAAAGGGGAAAATCAGACATACCACACCCTCCAGTATTCTGAGCCCTCGTTTTTGCTGTTGATTGGCAATGTAAAAGTACAATGTAAAAGCACCCACAAGGGAGATCATGAGGATATGGGACCTGACTGGAGTCAGTATATGGGCAAACTCTCAACAGACGCAGGACTCACCCGATCGACACCCACACCGCAGTCAGATACTCCGGAGCCTCGTTCTGACGCACGATAAAGCTGCCTGCCACACCACCTAGCCCATTGCATGCAGTTACCGCTGCAGCGGTGGCTGCACGCTTCCATTGGCCAACGATGTTGTTGGCTTGAAAGGCATTCAGCGCCGCCCAGTTAGAGACGTAGGCGCCGGTAGCAAGAAAGGTCCCAATGTATCGCACCGTCACTTGGGTTGAGGCCGGGAGACCGAACATCAGAAATCCGGCGATGAGCACAATCGCATTGAATGTGATTAGCGGGCCGCGGATGCGGTAGATATCCCCGATCAAGGATGTGAGAATGACCGGTATCACAGCATAATAGTAGGGCTGGCAGAGCGTCAATATGGCCTGAAAGGATTAGAGGGGTTTCTGACTTACTGGCGTCGAGAGAAGGATGGATTTATTGGACGAAAATCCCATGCCTGACTCCAGAATGATCGGAAGAAAGTACGACAGACACGTCGAGATCATGTTGAGCAAGAAGAACATGGCCGAGAAGCCATAGATCTTGGGATCTGCGAAATTGGCCAGGACAGTGCGCCATGCGAACGGCTCCGGAACGAGGTCGGCACGATCATCCTGGATTCGGCGCGTCGCCACACGCACTTCGCGGTCCGAGAGAAAGCAGAAACTACGCTGGGCATTCTCTGGAAAGTCCACCATCCACCAGTAGGTCAGAATACCCAGTAAACAGGTAATCGACCCTTGGACGATGTACATCCATCTCCACCCTGCCAAACCTGCCTTGCCGTCCAAGTGGTTGAGGCCGAAGTTGACCAGATTCCCTGTTGCCAAGACGAGCACCTCGCCGGACTGGACAAAGGCAAACCGAAGCTGCTGCTCGCGCCGCGGGTACCACGTGCTGATGAGATAGGTCAGGCCCGGGTAAATGCCGGACATGGCAATGCCCAAAAGGATGCGCAGGGCGATCATCTGGCGCCAGGTGTGGATGAACGCTGTGCACAGGGTGAGCAGCCCAAACATAAATGTAATCATCGCAAACCAGGCCCGAGGTCCAACGAAGCGGACTGCCAGGGTACACGGCAGCTGGAAGACGACACTGGCGATTGTGAAGATGAAGATGGACACAGAGTACCGGTTTCCTTGATTCAGGTCGAGATCTTCGAGCATGCTTGTCACCGCGGCAGATGACAATATCCCCGAGTCTAGTAGATTGAGACTGCACAGGAGTCCTGCAATGGTGCAGAGGCGAATGTCGACCTTCCACCGGACCTGCTTCTGTAGAGCAGCCCACTCCGCCCCGATCTCGAGGGGAATTGAATCCGAGTTGTCTGGGACCTCCGCTTCTTTGCCCATCATCACTGCCGGGGCAATAGTAATGGATGTGGCCTTGTCGGATTCAGCCATGCCGGCGGTGTTTGGTTGGGAATGAGTCAATGGGAGGTTGCACGGTGCGAACGAGACCATCTCGGAGATGGAATCCGACCGACACCAACAGAACCATCTTACACGATTCCGTGATCATTTCTCTATCACTCAGGTTTTCGTAATGATTATTACAATCCAGCTGTTTCGCATTGTTATGATAATTTCTCTATCGTGGTTCGCCGGTAACAGGCCTAGCCCTAATTAACCATTGTTTACTTAGCACCCATGGAACACCACCCGCCCGAGCTCTTTTTTCTCACTGCCCCACGCCATTGTTCGGGCGAAGGGATCGGTCCCCGCTGGAATAATAATGGCTTCTCACTCTGTCCTGCATCTTCTCTTCTTGTCTCACCCCTTCCTCTGCTCTCATAGTTAACAACCCGCACACCTACTATGGTTGAGCTCATCAGCCCGCCTGATTCCCGGGCGTTACTCCCTCCCCTGCTCGCCTGTCTTCCCACGGCCTTTGTCTCGCCACTCCCACCACCGGCACTGCTCCCCCTGCTGTCTCCGATCCTTCGCCAACGCGTGCAGATCCTCACCTCGGTCGCGACCTCCTCCACAGAATCCTGGCTCCGACTCTTATGCTGGGATGCGGACAAGGCCGAGCACCTTCAGCGCATCGTCGGGGGCACCGTCTTCGAGCCCCACCCGGTCTCTGGTGAGATCGAACTCCCCGATGACCTCCCCGTGAGCTACAAACGCGTCGACGACGAGACGCTCCGGGCGCTGCTCGTGGTCCCGGAATACAGCCTAGCGGTGATTTATCTCTGGTGTTCAACCGACGAGCAAGGGGGCGGACCCGGCTGGCGGGTTGCGGAACTGCTTCCGCGCGAAGGGCCCGCTACAGACGAGAGCACTTGGGCCCCGTCAATCGGGGAGGCAAATGTCCAGGCTAGAGAGCAGCTCATGGAAGATGCGATCAGCGCTGCTGAGCGCGAGGAACTCCAACCGCAGCCAGAGGGAAAGAAGGACGACGACGACGACGATGACGATTACTGGGCCCAGTATGATGCGACACCGGGGCGGACGCCTGGTCCAAATCCCCCAGCGGCGGCGGGATCATCAACGCAACGGCCGTCCGGTCTGTCGGAGTCATCGTACTTTTCGCAGTATGCAGACGTCCAACCGGCCATGGACAACCACGATCCAACTGAGGAGCAGCCAGAGGTTGGACCGACCTCTTTGAATGGGGACATACTCGCCAATCTCTTGCAGCGGAAGGTGGACGGAGCCAACTCGACGGATATGCCACGCACTAATGGCTATGCCTCGGGTAACATGCCCAGCGACGCAGCAGCTCAGGCACTGAGCCACCCACGACCAGCGTCGAACTCGTCCAAAAGCTCTGATGCCGTGGCCAGACTGGAGCAAGAAGCACAGAGCCAGTCCACGGGTGAGGTGGGCGTCAAGCAGCATATCAGCACCAGCATCAAGAGCTTGTTCCGCCTGGCCAAGGCCACGGGCGTGTCCCGGGCAGAGTTCCAGGAGATTGTGCAGACAGAATTGGAGATGTTGAGCCTATCGGAGGATGATGATTGATTGATTTGCTTTTGATACCCTGGATATACAGAGTTTGTTTGCATGTCTTGCATTCTGTGATGCATTCTTGGACGCTTGGTGTTTTGCTTGTTTCATGCATATGGTAGCGACGAATTGATTCAGGCCAATTTATCATCATCTATCTACAAAGTTCTATCTTGGCATGTCCTTGTGTCCGTTCAGGGGACTTTAGGTGTTTACTTTTTCTTCCGAACCCCAATTCACCACTATAAATTCCTCTCATATTCTATCAAAACCTGCCCGTGAAGAGCTTAGAAACCCTGCCATGCAAACGTCAGTCAATGAGAGGCTGGATAACCCAAACCCGTTGGTTGACCATATTATTTGAGAACAGATCACGAACAGACAGAGGGTTGAGTAGTAACACTATTATTCTACACGTACTATCCGGGAGTCCAATGTTGTTAGAGCTGAATGACTATTATGTCAGCCGGCCAAGAAGACACGCAACCCTCGGCCCCCCGTCGTCATCCCATCTCCTTCTTTATTTCCCTGGCTTCAATTCTTCTAGGGCCATGCTCTTTTGGTGATTCGAGTAAGTTGCGCAGGCTGTCTCTTTCTGTGATTGATTGCCCCACACCCTACGCCTGTCCTCCCGCAGTGTGTTTGTTGACGCTAACGCCGCGCAAGTCTATTTGTTTAGGTGGTATCTCGGACGCTCTCTAGATTTTTATTTTCCCCCTTTCACCATGTCGTCCCCTGCACCCTCTCTGCGCAAGAGAGGTGGAAAGCGGGATACCTCTGCGGCGCCTTCGGGCAAAGACTTCCCGGTCTCGGTGCCGGCAGCCAGCAAAGCACCTTCCGAATGGGACTACTGGGTCGCCCTAGGCGTCGTCACCCTACTGGCTTTTGTAACGCGGTTTTACAGACTGGATTACCCGAATGAGGTGGTCTTTGACGAGGTCCACTTCGGCAAGGTATGGCATCCGCTGCTTCTGAATTGCTGTGGGAAAGGGGGCTAACCTTCTGTCAGTTCGCCTCGTACTACCTACAACGCACCTATTTCTTCGATGTCCACCCGCCCTTTGCTAAATTGTTGTTCGCGTTTACCGGTTGGCTGGTCGGCTATGATGGCAGTTTCCATTTTGACAACATCGGTGACTCGTACATTGAGCACAAGGTCCCCTACTTGGCTTACCGAGCGATGCCGGCCACCCTCGGAGCATTGACGATCCCGACGGTGTTTCTGATTATGTGGGAGTCCGGCTACTCGCTTCCCGCCTGTGTGCTGTCTGCGGGCCTCATGGTGTTCGACAATGCCCATGTGGCCGAGGACCGGCTGATTCTCCTGGATGCCCCGCTGGTGCTGTCGATGGCCCTCAGTGTGTTGTGCTATGTCCGTTTCTACAAGCTGCGGCACGAACCCTTCGGCCGCAAATGGTGGAAATGGCTTCTCCTGACCGGATTCTGCATGAGCTGCGTCATCTCCACCAAATACGTCGGCATGTTTACTTTTGTGACAATCGGTGCGGCGGTCCTGTGTGACCTGTGGGATCTCCTGGACGTCAATCGCCCGCAGGGGTCGCTCAGCATGATCGACTTTGGCAAGCACTTCGTGGCTCGGCTGGTTGGCCTCATCCTCATCCCATTCTTCTTCTACCTTTTCTGGTTCCAGGTTCACTTTGCCATCCTCACCAGATCTGGTCCTGGAGATGATTTCATGAGCCCCGAGTTCCAGCAGACCCTCAGCGACAATGTGATGACCGCGAATTCTGTCGGTATCGAGTATTACGATACTATCTCGATGCGCCACAAGGAAACCGGCGTCTTCCTTCACAGCCATCTTGAACGGTATCCTCTGCGCTACGACGACGGACGCATCTCCAGCCAGGGCCAGCAGGTCACTGGATATCCGCACAATGATACCAACAACCACTGGCAGATTATTCCGACGAAGCCCCTGGCGGATGGTGCAAACAGCGTGCACAACGGAGATGTCGTCCAACTCTTTCATGTCGGCACGGAGACATATCTCCTTTCTCACGATGTCGCTTCCCCTTACTACCCGACGAACCAGGAGTTCACCACCGTCCCGCCAGAGGAGGCGAGCGGCGAGCGGCACAATGACACCCTATTCGAGATCAAGGTCGAGAACGGCAAGGCAGGCGCGGAATTCCGCACACTCGCCAGCCTTTTCAAACTGATTCACCAGCCGAGTCGCGTGGCCATGTGGACTCACTCGACACCTCTGCCGGAATGGGGGTTCAAGCAGGCCGAGATCAACGGCAACAAGAACGCCGCGCAGACAAGCAATCTATGGTTCGTGGAGAGCATCGAGGGCATCGAGCCCGACAGCCCCCGCCTGACCAAGAAGGAAGAGCGAAAAGTCAAGCCGCTCCCCTTTATGCGCAAGTGGCTGGAGCTGCAGGGAGCCATGTTCTACCACAACAATGCCCTGACCAGTAGCCACCCCTACGCAACCGAGCCCTACCAGTGGCCGTTCCTGCTGCGTGGCGTGAGTTTCTGGACCAAGAACGAGCCCCGTGAGCAGATCTACTTCCTGGGTAACCCGGTGGGATGGTGGATTGCCAGCAGTCTGCTGGCCGTGTTCGTCGGCATCGTTGGTGCCGACCAGCTCTCGCTACGTCGTGGCGTCGATGCGGTGGAGGAACGTAAGTTGCATTTTCCCCGTCCTTTTGTCTTTCATGGGTATCTCGCTAACCAATCGGACTCAGTCTGGGGTCACGGCGCCCGATCGCGTCTGTACAACAGCACCGGATTCCTGTTCCTGTGTTGGGCCGCCCACTACTTCCCCTTCTGGCTCATGGGCCGCCAGCGTTTCCTGCACCACTACCTGCCCGCCCATCTGGCGTCGACGCTCGTGGCCGGTGCACTGATCGAGTTTGTCTGCAATATCGACCCGCGCACTCCGCCTGCTGCGCCCGTCGCCGCGGATGACCCGACGGGCAAGTCCAAGGGCCTCCGGTCGTCTCCCCGTCGATTTGTCACGGCCAAGGAGCGCATGGGACCCAGGTCGGTCGCCACGGGGTGGCTAGCCACCCTGGCCATCCTCGCCGCCACCGTCTGGGGATTCTGCTTCTATGCGCCGCTGACCTACGGCACTCCTGGATTGGATGTTGCCGGCGTCCAGGCGCGCCAGTGGCTGGGCTACGACCTGCACTTTGCGAAATAAGCCTCACCGTTAAGTAGTTTAGAGGATCGGGGAGTGGAGAGAGAGAGAGCGCGTGCGAGTATCCGAAAATTCCGGCGCGTGGGAGAGAGGACGAAGCGTGGTTGGCTGTATTATATGTAATGTCTGATAGACTGGCGAACGGGTGGAGGAATTGACTGTGGTGAGCCTGTCGTGTACCTGAGCGAAACCCCCATGTCGCTGCCACATCGAGTCCTGTATCACCAATAATCATTGGGCGCTGAAAGGCTGCCAAATATGCGATTGATGGTTGCGAAGAAGAATAATGCATACCAGAGTAATCCATCCAAGAGCCTCTGCCAAGTCCCGGTGGCGCAGGCTTGCATTTTGTTTATTTTTAGCCCGTTTCCGGGCTGGCGAAACCTGTGGAAAGGCCGTACATACAGTTGCACCTAGACTCACATCGAACGCAATATCCAGCGAAAATCCTGACTCGGGCTTATATTGACGCTTCCACCAGTATGTCGCGCTAACCACGGGAATCCCCTGAGGTCAGACTATAGGTAGTTAGTACTGAGGACAGCGCTAAGGAGAGTCAGTGGCGGCGGGTCTCGGCGTGTTTTTCTGTTTCATTCTTTCTTTCTAGCTTTTCTCCCTCACTCTTTCTTCACCTGGACACCTTCACCTCTACCGACTCTCCCCTCCCTTCCTCTCCTAACGCTAGGCCTGTGAGAGGTGTGAATTTATCCAGGGCCCCAACCGATCGGCCCTTTGCATCAGCTCCACTCACTCCCCACTGGGGTAGTCATCTGGCCCCGGGCGGACAAGCAGTGAAACGAACACCAGCGTGTTGGTGTCCGAAAGCCTTGGTTTCACCGTCTCCAGCGACGACCGTCATCATCACCATCATCACACGGTGAGTTCAATTTCTTCTCTGACAACCAGTTGGGCTGTGCACCCTTCCTTCTACCCAAAAACAGCCCACAGGTGGATTCCTGCCGGGCTTGATCAGCCGCTAAGGACAGACTGCGTTGGTCGGCTGTTAGATCCGTGTCCAGAAGCTTTTTTCCACCGGACTGACGCTCTTCTTTCCTCCAGCATTCCGCCCCTGATCAACCCTGCTGCTGGGAAACTCCCTTCTTCTCCCTTGTTGTTGCGTCCCGGCCCGACTGAATCCTCCGGTCGATTCATCGCTTTCAAGGGTCGATCTGCTGCCTCCTGCATTTGACACATCAAGCAACCGAGGGATATTCACGACAACACGAACGCGTCATTCCTACATCAGTCCCTTGGTGAGCGCTGACTTTCAAACCAAGAAGCGGACTTACTACAGTACAACATTGCCTGTCTGTTGCAAGCGCTGAGTGAGACAAGGGAAAATCTGCAGGAGATCCCACCCCCTCAATAATGCCCATCAAACTCCCCAAGCTCTCTGCGCGGCGGAAGTCGTCCGGGAACATTCTGGATGAGGTGGAATCAGCACCCCAACCCTCCTTTCGCGTATTCGAGCGTCCTGGTGGTCCCGTCCGGTCCATGACTGACGGCGTCCCGCTGACCAAGCGCATGAGCGAGGGGAACTTGGTCACCGTCAACTTGGACGACTCGGACAACATTTTCGCCGATCGTGCTCTAGACAAACATCATCGGTATGACCGCTCCCGGCCCATGGATTACCTGCGGAAACGACTGACCCGTCGCCGTGACAGTGCCCAAACCTACGAGAGCTCCACGTCGACTCGGCTCAGCTCCTCGTCCACCCTCCCTTCCTCCACGGAGATCCATCCAGCGGATGATGTCCTCGCCTCCCCACATTCGCGACACCATGATATCCCCGTTCCACCGCAGTTGTCCGGCGCACTGAGGGCCGCCGGTCGGACATTCTCGTTTGGGGGACGATTCAGCAAGAGCTCGACATCATCGGTACAACCGCAACAGCAAGCAATGCCGGATACGTCGAACAGCCACCGTACTATGACTAGCCGCACCGATAACACTGCTACGCCACCGAAGCTACCAGACGCGAACTTCGAGTTCGGCGGGGATGATAATGATTTTCATAATATGTTTGACACTTTGGGCAAACGGATTAGTGCAGTAATGCGGAAGCCGTCTCCTCAGCCAATTAATACAGATCGATCAACCGCTGTTGAGCCTGCACCTTACTCCTGGGCCAGTCAGTATCCTGAGGATGCCCCGGATGCTGAGCAGAATGAGAGCCTCCTGGCCAGGAAACCTTTACCAACCCCTCCCGCCTCTGATGCTCCGACTGGAATGCGACGAGCATCGCCGTCTCCTGCTCAAATGCTTGCCACGACTTCCCACCGATCGCTCGACCGTCTGGCTCGACAGTCCGATCAAGGATTGCGCCGGAGTGGAGCATACCCTGAACGACGTGAATCAGACGAGCACATTGATGACGAAGATGCGAAGTTAGTTCGGCAGTCTCTGCTGTGGACTAAGGAGAACGCCTTTTCTGCAGATACTGATGAAGCTCCGGTTGACAAGGGCAAGGGGATAAGTCCCTCTGACCACTTGAGTCCGGATGGCGATACGATGTTCGCGGATCGTCGGTCGCCAGCACCAACCAAGTCCTTTGACTCGTCGATCGAGGATCAAGCACGACTGGCCGTGCAGTTCGCGGAAAGTCTGCCCCAAAGGACCTCCCCGGGCAACAAGGTGATGACACCGTCTCAGTTTGAGCATTATCGTAAACAGCAGGAACTCCGTCGGTCCAGGAGTGACGCATCCAAGAGCGACGATGAGTCGGTCAATGACGAATATGACGAAGAGGATGAGGCAGAGAAGCAGCGAGAGGCGGAGCGCCAGCGCCGGAAGCAAGAGGCTCATCTATCTGTTTATCGCCAGCAGATGATGAAGGTGACTGGTCAGATGGCCGCTGAGCCAACACTGCGTCCGGAAATGAGCGGGGCCCGCAGCAGCACTCCCAACCTCATGCCTCCCCTGTTCAACCCGGTCGACAAGTCCATCAGCGGAAAGAGCAGCGAGGATGATGACGAGGAGGTGCCGCTGGGTATCTTGGCCGCGCACGGGTTCCCCAGCCGCAATCGTCCACCCACCCGCTTGACCAGCGCCGGCTCTAATCCGAATCTCCGCGCTTCCATGCAGCCATCATATATATCATCCGCTAGCTCAGTGACGGGTGCGGAACTGGATATGGGTAAACGAAACAGCACCTTGCCTGTCTTCGCTCGAAACCTGCCCCGGGATCCCTACTTTGGCGCTGGTCTGGTCAACCCGTCCAACCGCGAGTCTCTGGCCATGGGTGGAGGGTCGGTATACGGGGGCTCGCAGTCTCCGATGCCGCCGCCAGGAGGTCTTGTGGGCGTTATTGCTAATGAGGAACGTGCCCGCGCCACGAGACGTGGAAGTCCCAATACACAAGCCATGTACAATATGGGAGACGTTCCTCGGCCATACTCGATGTTGCCACAACCACCAAACATGTCTACCAATGAGCAGCAAGCCCAAATCGAGTTATCGCAACAAATGCAACAGATGATGCAAATGCAAATGCAGTGGATGCAACAGATGATGCAGATGCAGGGCTACCAGGGCCCGCCAATGCCTCTGCCACCGATGATGATGAAGGGCGGCATGCCCACCCCTCCAGCGTGGGGGGCGGGCCCCATGCCAGGAGCACCCATGGGCCCTCCCTCGATGATGGGAGGGATGCCACCGCCTCCGTCAATGAGCGGAGCCAACCCAAACATGAGACCAATGTCCGTCGCTCCCGGGTCAATCGCTCCCGGGGCCTCGTCTCAGTTTGACCAGCGCACCCTCAGCATGCTGGACCCCAATATCTCGGCTCGTCACACCGGGTCGCTAATGCCACCTCATTCCAACAACACCTTCCGCCCCAACACTGCCACCGGCGGCTATGCCCCGTCGATTGCCCCATCAGAGCGCAGCAATGCAGGAATGGCCTCGCGGTACAGACCGGTATCCGTCATGCAGGGTGGCGGGTGGCAGGACGAAAACAATCCCAGCAAGACCATGACCATGCCCTCGCAACAGTCTCGTCCGCAAATCCCCAAATCCACATCGCTTGCTACAATCACCATTCGCCCCGTCTCGACAGATCGTCTGTCTGCAACTGGCGGCAAAAAGGGGCACGGTGGATCGGATGATGATGACGATGATGAGGCCTGGGCGGAGATGATGAAGAAGCGCGATAAGAAGAAGAGCTCCTGGAAGATGAAGCGGGCTACCTCGTCTCTTGGGGATCTGTTGAGCGCCGTGCATTAGAGTTTTGTATAGCATGCATCTTTCCATGCAATCTTCATAATATCTTTTGTTTGCCCTCTCGTTTTTCCCTCCCTGCTGGCATAAACGGTGCATGCATATGCCTTCGAACCTTCTGTTGATGTCTCGGCTCCATATGCCCGGGTGATTGTTCGGGCTTCTTGTGTTCACTGGAGGCTCTGGCATTGACACGCACGAATAAATATGCTCTGCTCTTGTTGTTTGTTTCGGTTTCCAGAAGTAGGGGGATTGTGTGTGTGTGTGTGTGATTTCTGGCATCGGCGCAGGCGAAGCATGGCGTTTACTTTGGTTTTCTCTCTGTTCCTAAGCACTTCTTTCTTGACATAGTCACATAATTTATTTCGGGCCCTGAGGCCATCTCCCTTAATCTCAAAATTGCACAGGTTGACTGGCTCAATGAAACAAATCGATATACTGCATTCAAGTAAACAACTCTGGGTAGCTAACTACTATATTCTCTTTCCATCTTTCACTGCCACGCCATCAACCGCCCAATAACACCCTTCATATCCTCCCAAACCTCGCGCAATATCTCCTGCGCAACAAGCACTCTATTCACAAAGTCCCACTCTGTTCCCAGCATACGTCGTCATCCTACCCCGAGGACCCCGAGGACCCCATCCGTCATCCCCCTTTGCAATTTCCAATTGGTACAACCTTCGATTCTCCTCGTCATCCATGACCCCCTCCACAGCATCAATATAACTCCGATTCACAAACAGCGTCCAGGGCGGGAGTCGGTTTATCTCAGGTTGCGTGTAAGTCTACGGATCAGAGTACATAGCGCGGAGGAGGTATGTACGGCGTACGTATGGAGGATATATCATCGGTTGGCACGATGAACATCACTTGAGATTGAGATGGCTATAATGATAAGTAAACCCCACATTATCTCCAGGACAAATGCACACCTCTCATCCCAACCAGTAATATCTTCCTCAACTGCTTCTCCCAAAGACCAACGGAAGTAGGTCACAGCATATCACGTGATCTCGCAGGCGTTATCGATCATGTGACCACTGCTTATCACGGTCTGCTTCCCGCGCATCGACACCTCTGCTTTTCATCCAGCCCATCAATTCGGATCCTCTGCCGCCCCGGACCCGGCATTGCAGTGACTATCATATACAAGATATCTTTCGTGCGGTTTTATCAGCCTGACCCGGATTGCAGCCCTTCTGCGGTTCACAGCCACTTTTGGAAGCGCTGTGGTGGCTCCTTAACCGTGACCACGACGAAACATTGCCTCGAAGGCCATCTCTGCGGTCTCCAGTTCACGACAGAGACGGGGAGTCAACGCTATACCGATCATATATTTCTTATCTGTCGACATTCTTGTCGACGATAGCCTTCAACAGAAATCTTCAGCTTCATCATCGCACTTCCCGCGGTGACAATCGCTCACTGTCACCATGAACGCGCCGGACCGGTAGGTTTTTCTGCATTATTTTCTTGCCTTATGCCTTGAATTAGCATGGATTTATTTCTTTGCGTTTCCCCTCCCCTTTCTGCCTTCTGCTGCCCGTGGGGAAAGCGCTGGAACGATAGCTGTGTGATGCATGCAGTGTTCTTGCTCCGGAGGCATTTGGATTGGGAACAATAAACTTGTGTCCTTTTGTCCCTTCAAGATGTGGTCTAGATGCCTAAGTAAAGCTGTTCTATGGCTAGACACTGGGTATGGGAGACCAAGCGTGGGCGACACAGTAGGACTCGTTCCTTCCCTCTTCTGATATCCTGCTTGCTTGCCTTCTTTCTTCCACGCTCCTTCACCTTTCTCGCCCGCTTGTCTTCCTCCCATTTACCGATGCCAACATCCCTGTCTACTTTCCCCCTTCCAACCATGTCGGACCATCATCTCAGGGCCGTGCCTCTCGTGACTACCACCCAGGCGATCGCAAAGGCGCTGGCTGGTCGACACATGTCCGAGCGCCCAGCTCCCCGCCACCAGCGAGTGCCGCTTGATGATGATCGTCCCGATGTGTCAGTCCCTATATAAACGCTTGATATCATTCTGCCTTGTTCATTCGATAACTCTGAGCTACTGTACGAAGTCGACTGACATCCACTCTAGATACGAGGCTATCCTGCTCGCTCCAGGTGAGAACAAGATCGATGTCGAGATCGATACCCGTAAGTACTCGGTCGTTGGATTAGCAAAACGTCGTATTAACTCGACCCCAGGAATGCCCAATGCCGCCATCTTCACCTTCCACAAGGAGGACCACACCCTCGCCAACCTGCTTCGCTCCCGTCTGATCAAGACCCCCCACGTCATTTTCGCTGCCTACAAGGTACGTCTCCGGAATATGTTATGATATGAATGGCTTACTGACTCCGTTCAGGTCCCCCACCCGTTGACTCCCAACTTCCTCCTGCGCGTCCAGACTGACGGTGAAGTCACTCCGCGCGAGGTTGTCATCAACGCTTGCCACGCACTGATCAAGGACCTGGGCATTTTGTCGCGCGAGTTCACCAAGGAGTACGAGCTCCGCAAGGCGGCCAATGCTGCCAACTTACAGCAACAGAATGCGGTCGAGTAAATGGCCGACCTTTTATGGTCGGATGCGCCTTTGGCCGTGGCTTTAGCTTCTTGCGCACCGACCGAACAACAAAAGACCTAGCAAGAGGGGTTCTTTCTTCAGTGAGGAAACTTGGCAGACTCCATAGATTATTCTTCTTCTGGTTGTTTCTCTCCTCTGGGCTTTTCTTTGGGCTTGGTTCTGTTTGTTGATATTCGACATCCGGATCTGGTTTCTCATGTGTTTACGTTATGTTTTGGGTGTTTAGGCATTTTTCCGTCCCGGCGAGGACGTTGCACAGGATGGTCATGACCGATTAGCATGCATCTATCTAGCTCGATACCAATGAATGAAGCAATAGTATAACAGTTATTGTTCATTCCGCCCGGGTCGACTGTTAACCACGATGAGTAAGCACCCGGTCCGGGCTAGCGCGTCCCTGCTACCGGCGTCATGCTCCTCCTGACACTCCCTCACTTCCTCCGCTCGTTCTCTTCTCGCTCATCAATCCCTTCGTTCTTCTTTGCCCCATGCGAGCGTCATTTTCATAAATTATGTATTCCTCGTCGAATTCCTTTCTCGGCGGTGGTGCCGGTGGTCGACCTGGCCAGGCACCATTCATGCCGCAGCAGCAGCAACAGTACACGCAATTCCCCCAGGGCCAGCAGCAACAACCGCCAATGCAGCAGCCCCAGCCCACTGGCCTCGCTCCTCAACCCACCGGTTTCGCTGGCCAACCCTCGCCATTCGGTAGCTCGCAACTGCAGCCCCAGGCTACCGGATTCCCCGCCGGACAGCTCCAGCCACAGTTCACCGGTTATCCTGGCGCCCCCCAGCCGCCTCCACCGTCGCAGCAGCAGCAGCAACAGCAGCCGCCGCAGGGCTTCCAGCAGCAGCAATATACTGGATATCCTCCCCAAGCCCCCCAACCCCAGCAGCAACCCCAGCAGCAGCCTCCGCAGTTTCAAGTCTCGCAGCCCACGGGGCTGCCCTCTCGACCGGCTCCCAAGACATCCGCCGAGATCGCAAATTCCTTCCAAGGTGCTAGCGCCGCCGAGGTGCGGCCTCAGGTGCCCCCCAAGACGGGGTCGAGGATCCCGAGCATTCGCCTCTCGTTTATCACCGCCCAGGATCAGGCCAAGTTCGAGCAGCTCTTCAAGTCTGCGGTTGGCGATAGCAAGACAATGGATGGCGACAAAGCAAGGGACCTTCTAATGCGCTCGAAGCTCGCCGGTGCCGACCTGTCCAAGATCTGGGTCTTGTCGGATTCTACAAAATCTGGACAGCTGTTCTTCCCCGAGTTCGCCCTGGCGATGTACCTGTGTAATCTGCGCCTCACCGGTCGAGAGCTCCCTCCCGCCCTGCCGGAAACAATCAAGAACGAGGTGTCTAGTATGGTTGATATCATCTCGTTTGACGTTCCAGATGAACAACCGGGGCCTGCGCCACGGACGAATGTCCCCAACTTCGATGGATCTCTTCTGGAGAACAAGGCTACGCCACCGGTCGTCCAACAACCCCAGCCCCAGCAGCCCAACAATTCACAGCTTCTGTCGCAACTGACGGCGCAACCCACCGGGTTCTTCCCTCAGCAGACTGGCATGCAGCAGCCTCAGCAAACTGGGTTTCCTGGCCAGAATAATCAGTCCCAGTTTCTCCAGCCCCAGCAAACCGGTTTTATGACCAACCCGCAGGCTACGGGGTACAGCGGTCCTCGGCCCCCGATGCCGCCCATGCCCACCGGCTTTGGCTCCAATCTCAGCCCGGCGCAGACTGGAGGCATGCAAGGACTAACTGCACAACCCACCGGTATACCGGGTCAGTGGGGCTTTATCAACACCCCGGCACAGGGTTTGCCGAATATTGAGGCCATGAAGCAGCAACTGATGCCCCAACCTGGCCGTGAAGGTGGCTTTACTACTACTGGGCTTTCTGGAAATGCCACAGTTGCCTGGGCCATTACAAAGGAAGAGAAGAAAATTTATGACGACCTCTTCCGCGCGTGGGATGGTTTGCGCAAGGGCTTTGTTAGCGGCGAGACTGCTATCGAGATCATGGGCCAGAGCGGGCTGAACCGGAAGGATCTTGAGCGGATTTGGACTCTGGCGGACCCTCACAACCGGGGTCGACTGAACATGGATGAGTTCGCTGTGGGCATGCATCTGATCTACCGAGCCCTGAACGGGTATCCGGTCCCCAGTCGTTTACCTCCAGAGCTGATCCCGCCGTCCACCAGACACCTGAACGACTCCATCGGCACTGTCAAGTCACTCCTTTCTCAGGATGCTGAATCTCGGAAAGCCAGCGGAGCGTTCCTGCAGCCGCAGAAGACCGGTGTCAGCTATCTCAAGGACCATTCGTTCCGCGGTGGGGGTTCGGCCGGATTTGGCCGCAAGGATGCGACCATGTTCAAGAATAACGATTCCGCTAGTGGCTATCGGTCCAGCGCGCGTCGTCGTGTTGGTGGCGATCCTCGCTCCCCCTCGCCCTCTGCTTCCTCGCAAGCTTCAGAGGAAGACCTATCCCCGGACCAGTTGCGCAAGAAGATCCGTGAGACCAAGATCATGCTCGACGCTGTAGACTTCCAAGACGAGAACCGGGCTGAAGATGACGAGGCTCTGGATCGCCGAGATCGCCGTGAGGCCGAGAGCCTGATGGATCGGATTCGCCGCGTGCAGGATGACATTGACACCCATCCCAATGCCTCGTTCCGCCAAGTGGATAGCGGGGCTGAGCGTCGGGCCCTTCGACGCCAATTGCAGTCCTTTGAGGACCAAGTTCCGCAGGTTGCCTCTGATGTCCGTCGCCTTGAACGGGAGATTGCAGATGCGAAGCTTGAGCTCTTCCGCCTGAAGGATGCCAAGGCCCACCCCAGCAGTGCCGCTAACATTGTGGGCACTGGTCCCGGTGGCGCGGTTACCGAAGCCGATCGGATCAAGGCTCGTGCCCGTGCGCGCATGCAGGCACGGGCTGCCGAACTTTCTGGGCGCCCAGCCCCCGCTGCGGAAGATGATGATGGCCAGGCCGCTCGCCGTCTGGAGAGCGAAAGTTTGAAGGTGGGGTCTGAGCGCGAGCGCAATGATACCATGACGCGTGATGTTGAAGAAAGCGTTCGGGACTTTGCTCGCAGTTTGGAGGAGAGTCTCCGCGAGGAAGGGCAGAACTCAACCCGTGAGCATGAGAAACGCCGCTGGGAGGATGCTCTGGGTGTCGAAGATACCATTCGCGACTTTATCTACGATCTGAGCCGAAACAGCCGGACAGCCAGTATTCGCAAGGAAGAGTAAGTTATCCCAGATGACTCTCAAGACTACAGCTGACGATTTACAAGGCGAGAGAGACCCGCACAGGAACAGCGTCGTTATGAATCTCCGGCTGTCGAAAGCCCAGCTGCACGTTCGTCAGTGTCGCCGTCTGCTACCTCCCCGGTTCCCGGTAACACACATGAGGATCGCGTAGCGGCTGCCCGGCAGCGTGCACAGCAGCGTATTGCCGAGCGCATGGCTGCTGCTGGTCTGAAGCCCAGTGATGCGAACGAGACCCTTCTCCAACGCCAGGAACGGGAGAAGAAGGAGCGTGAGGAACGACTGAAACGTGCCGAGGAAGATGATGCCAAACGGGAACAAGAGAGACAACGCCGCCTGGCTGAAGAGAAGGGTGGCCCCAGTGCTGCTGCTCCGAAGACAGTGGGCAAGAAACCTCCGCCAGCCCCTCCCACGCGGAGAGCCCGTACCGACAGCTCTGGTCAGGCTGATGCGAAGAAGGGGGATGAAGTCTCCCGTGAGCAGGCAATCAGGGATGAGCAAGAGGTGCAAGAGGCGGAGACCAAGCATCTTGAGTGAGTACCCTTTGGATATGTGGTGAGAGAAGAGACTTTTTGCTAACTCGATACCAGGGACGAGGCAAAGCAGCGTGAAGCTGAATTCAATAAAGAGAAGGAGGCTCAAGCAGCTCGGCTGCGTGCTCTGGAGGAGCAGGTCAAGCAGGGCAAAGTCAAGAAGCAAGAAGAGAAGCGCCGCAGGGAAGAAGCGGCTCGCCAGGCCAAAGAGCAAGAAGACAAACTTGCGACCCAGCGTGCTGAGCTCGAGATGGCCAAGGAACGCGAGCGCGAGCTGCAGCGTCAACTGGAGTCATTGGACGATGAAGAGAGCTCGTCTGACGAAGAAGAAACTGGCTATGTTACCCCACGTGATAGCACACCCACGCAGAGCCAGGTCCTGCCTCCGGCTCCGCCGCCGGTGCCTACTGTGTCGACTTCCGAACCGGAGCCCGAAGCCCCTGCTATTCCTGCCGTCTCCCCGGACACCGAGTCCAAGAACCCTTATTTCAGCAGGATGGCGGGTCAGCCGGTCGAGGCCACACCGGCCACGTCACCTCCCGCGTCCACGAACCCATTCCACCGGCTCCAGCAGCAGGAGGCTGTTAAGCCAACCTTCACGGGGGCTGGACCGTTGGAGCGCAAGTCCCGCGCACGTCCCGAAGAAGACGATGACTGGTCTCAAGCCGGCTCTGAGTTCGACGACTCCTCCGACGACGATGAGGACCGTCCTGGCGGCGGTAGCGCCAAGCAGCTGGCTAGCATTTTGTTCGGCACGATGGCACCGCCGCGCCCTCTGAGCGCCATGGACGAGGAGAAGTCGACGTCTAAGTCCGCCACTCCTGTGCAGGACAGTCCTGTTGCTCCTCCGCCACCTGTACCTTCTGCTCCCGCGGAGACAGAGACTAACGGCTTCTCTTCTCCCCCACCAACCGGTGCGCCGCCTCCGCCGCCGCCACCCCCTCCCCCAGGTGCCGCTGCTCCTCCCCCTCCGCCTCCGCCTCCGCCTGGCGGAGCCCCGACTGCACCGCCGCCGCCCCCTCCGGGCGCTGCACCTCCACCACCTGCGCCACCAGCCATGGGCGGCGGCGGTGGTGACAATCGCTCTGCGCTCCTTGCGTCTATCCAGGCGGGCAAGGGTCTCAAAAAGGTCCAGACAAACGATCGGAGTCAGAGCAGCTCCGCTGGACGCGTTCTGTAAAGATGAGGGTGACGATGAGGACGTCACAGGGGACGAGTATATATATTGCACTGGATTTGGTTTCCAAGGAAATAATTCCCCTTGGTTTGCTTCATTCCATTCTTGTTGAGTCAGTTGTTTTTAAGTCTCGTTGCGTTATTTTGGCTCGCTGTGTCTGATAGTAAAACTTCTACATTAACGGTAGCTGTAGTCAATGAACACCGGAAATTCTACATAGAACCGGCTAAACATGAGGCATTCTCTATTTTACTTCCTCGGAAGTTGTAGGCAGAGACGACATCCGGGCCTCAGCCCTTTCCCTCTTCGACTTTTTTGATTGCCGACATCCCCCCACGCAATCAAGTATTAAAATCCAGAAAGTCGCAACCCTAGTCAGGGCCATTTATTAGCTTTCTGAAAAGTCCTTTGTTTCTTCACGTTGAGATAGCTCCTTACACCAGACCAATCATCAGATCAAACGCGAGATCCTGTTTACTTCTCCAGGGAACGGGATACCCCACCGGCGCATCTCCAAGACTATAGTCACTGAAAATGACCTCGATTATCGCGTAAATCCCAACACCGAGGACGATCACGTCCCCAAAGCCAACGAGACAAGTGTGCGGCCGCTTGATCGTGTGTGTTGGATCTGAGAGGGGAATGAGTTCGACGAGATTCATGAGGATTGCCATCACAGCCTAATTATTTTGCTCCATTATTAGTACATGGCATTTTCCATATTGATATCGATGCTGGTGGTTCCTGAAATAAGAACCTTGGAAGGTAGATAGATCGAACCGTAGAAATAGCTCCTCCAAATGTTTTGCCTTGGTGGTTGTTTGCATCGGGGTATTCGATGGCTAATTCGATTAGGATTACGAGGGCCGTGATTGCTATGCCTAGACTCGCTAGACGGAGCGCGATTTGGATGATTGCAGAGAAACGTGGGACACGAGCCCGGGTTGCGCGAGACATGTTCTGTTGCAGTTTGAATAATGCATATGATTCATTCGGTTTGCGGTCTTCTGAGCAGTAAAATAAATGGATTAAGATTAAAGTAGAGTAGAGGCGGAGAGGCGGGGGAGAAGGATTCAACGCAGAACTATGTAAGACAGAGGAGCTTACTACTATATATAGATAATTGATATTATTGATGAGCTAGCATACCATTGTGCATAATAACCGAAGCCAGTAGTTAGCAAGTAGTTCTTGGCCTTGACTCAAGACCCACGAGTTTGGAGATTGGGCACACAATCCGGAAAGTAACCCTTTAAACGAGGCTGAGGCCTTGTTCGAGGACAAAAAAGGCTGGAACTGACCAATCGGGTTGTAAGCCCAGCGCCGGTTTTCTGAATGGCCAAGAGCGGCTTAACCCACAGCAGACAATACCAAGAACCTATCTTCCTTTGCCAAGGGGTCTGGCATGTTTGGAACGGGTGGAGGTTGCTGTGTACAGCATCCGTCCCTGACGACCCCAACTGAGCTAGCGAAAGGGGCGAAGTTGCTTGATAAATATGGCATAAGTATTTACCCTAAGTGCCGTTGAAAGAGTTGGCATATTGGCCAATGATGGCTGGTATTATATATGACTTAGGATTCTACTGCCCGTAGATTTGCTTACTGTCCCTTTTCATAAACTGCCTGAAGCAAAACCAGCATCACCTCGTAGTTTGTTTCATGCTTTATATATACCCCTGAGGGAGGATGTAGATAAATGGTCACGGAGATGTGCATTGTTCCGAATGCAAAGTAAATACAAATGCAAAATGTAAAGAAACGCCCAAGGCAAATGAAATGTACTATGTGACGACCTCGGCAATCACATTGCCCAAGGTGCTCACACACCAAACCACCATCAGTCCCCACCCGATCTTGCGGTCCATGCGCCAGTTGTTCATAGGTACGACGATGAGAAGTCCCACCAGGACGACCAGGAGAGTCGCACCACTGATAACCAAAACCTTGGATATGACAATCTCGTATGTCACCTTGGCAGGAGGAACATGCCCCATCGCGCCAGGTGTCTGTTGCTTCCTTCCTCCGTTCAGGGTCATGTAGAGGCCGCCCAGGCCGATACCGAGCAGGATGTTCAGCATTGGGCCTCCAAAACAGGCGCTCAAGGCCATAACGGGGTATCCGAGACGGGCGACGGTGATGTCAGCGACGAGGTCACCGAGTGAATTACCGACGGCAAAGATAGTCAGGCCTAAAAGTGAATCGGAAATGTTGAGGATGACGCCCAGGGTTTTGAGGAGAGCAACGACCTCCGTAGCAATTGTGGCGATCCAGGATATGGCGACCAGGAAACCGAGGAGCGAGAGGAAGGGGCGCCAAGCCGTCGGGAGTTTACGAGATGAAAAAACCTGAGGCTCGTTGATGCTGTGGCGGTGATGCCAGGGTCGGCGGGTGCCGATGATGAGTACTGTGAGACACACGAAGGAGAAGAGGAGAGAGATGAGTGAAGGTAGCAGGAGATTGCGCGGGTTGCGTGTCTCGTCGGCGGTGATCCAGCCGATCAGTACGACGAAGAAAGGACCCGTAAAAAGCTGGATAGAGACAAGCCAGCGATTGCAATCCTTGGCTGGCACCCCAACCGGAGGCTCACACGTCGGCGGCGCAGCTGGAAGCTCCGAGTCCCAACGTGGACGGCGATGATACTCCTGCTGCGAAGACTTGCGGTGTGGGTGCGAAGGTGGTAACCCAGAGGCAGAGTCACGGTCCAGAGAGTGAAGGATAGGACTGTCGGCAGGCAGTCTCACTTTTGGGGCTGGGTTATCTCCATCGGAGACCTGCTCAATGACAACAGATGGAATTGGATCCGGCTCGGCAGATTCAGAGGCCTGGGGCTCAACTACCGGGACGGTGAGGGTGAGGAGAAGTACGCTTGGTGCGGCAACCAAGCCCAGCATCCACTCCCATATGTTCTTGGACTTCCAGCCAGCCAGAGTGGGGAAGAGTGTGCAGCCAAGCTGCTGGGGAGACGGAAGGACTGAGTCAGGCCAGAGCTTGCTCAAAGATTTGCGGACAGAACCGTTCTCATGGACAGAGTCATCAAGGCTGTCGTGAAACTGTAACCGCTCGGCTGGGCTGGCTGCTGGATTTGGTAGGCGGATGCTGGGTGCGCGTGAGGAAGGGGAAGAGGGCATATCGGTGTAATTAGGAAACGGGGCAGAGGGGCTATCCGAGAGCGTCTCACGGCTGCCTCTACCTCGGGGAGATACTGGTTGCGGGGAGTGAGCATGGACCGTTGAGGAATGATAATCGGGTGAATGAAAACTATTCAGAGTATTTGGAGGAGCGAGCAACTCGGGCGTTTGGAGAGCCGCGGAGCTAGCGTCCGACGATGGTTCAAAGGACGTTGGAGAAGCGGTCATCATCGCACTCGTATCAATTCGAGGAGGCTGTGGTAGTCGCAGGGTTTGTTGCTCCCCAGTATGTTCGTTGGATGGCCTCCTCACAGTAAGACGAGGCGTCTGTTCCGGTCGACGATCTAGCAAACTGGTGTCCAGTTTAAGCCCATCCGCATCGTTGGCGGATACAGCCCGAACTCGAGAAGAGCCAGTAGCACTGAGAGGCGACAAACGGTCCGGGGCGGGCGGCCTGCTGGTGCGAGGATGCGAAGCAACAGACCGGGTATCGAAAGGTTGAGATGATGTTTCGTCGTCATCCGAATAGCTGCTAATACTGACAGCCGGATTGTGATAGATATTCTTCGACTTCTTGAGCGATTGAAGTACCGACTGAAACTCCAATGCACCAACCAAACTCGGTCGGATGGGGTTCACGGTGTTTCGTCGCGAAGGTCCGGAAGGTCGGTAGACATGCATATTGTCGCGGATTTCTGCTAAGAACCGGTTGCGAGTTTCTTCATCCTCGTCATCTTCCTCCTTCCAATTGGGAATGCCTTCTGCAAGTTCAAGAAGGTCGAAGTCCTCGGTTGACGCTCCATGAAGGAGACTCCGTGATTCTGACGCCACGCCGGGGTCATCGTCTTCTATAGCTTCCTCAATCTCAAGTTCTTGATTTGCAGGGATGTGAAAATGCGTCCGCGCCGCAACGTCCCTTTCATATCTCCGTCGTTGCCGAACCAGGTACCAGTGCCAGGTCACAACCATCACGACGTAGAAAGCGTACAGGCCTACCATGGCCGCTGACTCCCAAACGTGAAGCTTTCCATCGGCGAGCAGTATCATGGTGAAACTGACAGCGATGACAAAAAACCCGACATCTCGGACAAAACTCCGTCGTGCCACCCTGAAAGGACGAATCAAAGCCATGGAGCCCGCCACGACAGACGTGATAAAGCTGGCGGCACCAATCAATTCACCAATTGCTAGACTCCCGCTGTTCGACCGCATGGCGGCGAACGTAGAGAAGACGTCGGGACTGCCATTACCAAAGGCCAGAAATGTCACCCCGGTCAAGCTCTCGCTCATGCCCAGAATGCTGGCCAGTGCGCTCAGATCGATACATAGAAAGTCGCTGGCCGCAATTCCAATGGTAGTGAACAGAATGGACAGCCAGAGAATCAGTAATATAAACGCCAGCGGTTTCGCATCGGCCAAGGAACAGTAGTATAGCTGGAGGTAGGAAAACAAGCCGTCCTCATGATCCGGGCAGTTGGAACGGACAAAGGCACATTGGTCTTTAACGGTTCGAACTAGGCGACACTATATTGAAGTAACACGAAAGTTAGCCGGGGTGTCCCTATGCGATACTCGTAATCTGATAAGAGACCTAGGGGTTTGTGGTACCTCTGATTCCTCTTCCCGCTTAAACAGGGATCCGACCGCTGGTGTCCGCTGCTGTGCGGAGTAAGGTATCTGCACCGAGGGATGTCCACGCTCGCTCAGCACCCAGCTGACCGTCGCGAGAACCGTAAAGACGAACAGAGTCGCACAGAACGGCCGTACAGAGTATCGAGGTCCCGTGCGGGCGGCAGGCCGCAGGGAAGACGGTAAGTGCTTCATGGCCATCGAGACGGTGGCATCGTGGACGCGGGGGAAAGGATTGGTAGGTAGACCACGGTCACACTGTTGGAACACGAGGCTAATAATCCTAATAATATATGTCGCGAATCGGTCTGTGAGAGCTGAAGGGCTTAGGCAATATCCATGAAAGTGGCCATGACAAGCTTGGATGCGGTGAGCGCGGTGATGTCAGCCTGGACGGAGGTGTGGCGTGCGGGAGGAGGGGTGGGTCAGTGCGCGCGAGGTTAAGTTGCAGGCGACACGACATGGACGCAGATCTCAGAACCGGTCTTGATCCCAGCGGAGTCCAGAGCATAGGTGGTGTGGCGGTGTGTGTTGCCTAGCATAGCCACGACTGTCAGTCTAGCCCTCTCCAGAGAGACGTGAATCACGTGATTGCGCTCCGGGTCGCTCCCGACCGCCGTATGTTTTGTTGACGTCTTTTGTTTTGGCACGCCCCTCGCCCCGACTACGCCTGCCACGACAAGACCATCCTCGTTGACCTCGCACCTGCCACAACCCCAACAGCCCTCCATCTCATCCCCTACTGGGGGCAACCGCAACCATGCCCCGTGTCGCCAATAAAGTCCACCGCCGTTCCGGTGGTAGGGAGGACGCCCATCGCAACACGCCCGTCATGTACGTCTGACGCCCATTATCCAGCAACAACACTCCCAACTGACTTTGATCTAGGATCCCGCTCAACGATGATATGGGAGAGAAAGCTGCTCGCAAGGAGGCCCGACAGGCACTCCACGACCGTCAAATGAACCAGATCAAAGCCGCAGTCAAGACGCCCATGCCTGCCCGTCGATACACATCTTACAACCGCGATGGAAGCGAGAGCCCCTCCACCACCCCGCGAGGCTCTGGCCACCGAAAACGCGATAGCGATGCGGGCGGTCGGGCCACGACGCCGGCGAAGCGCGTGCCTATCCTGGCCAATTTCGAGGAGTGGATGAAGATGGCAACCGACAACAAGATCAACGCGAATAACTCTTGGAACTTCGCCCTCATCGATTACTTTCACGACATGTCGCTGCTCAAGGAGGGCGACGGTGTGAACTTCCAAAAAGCCAGTTGCACGCTTGATGGATGTGTCAAGATCTACACCAGCCGAGTCGACAGTGTGGCAACCGAGACCGGAAAGCTTCTCAGTGGTTTGGCTGACAGTCGCGATAAGAGGGGGCGCGAAGCCGATGGAGAGGGAGAAGATGGCGAAGAAGATGAAGAAGGCGAGGATGGAGCGCCTCGCAAGTCGCGCAAGAAGGTATAGGATATGTGTCATGCTGGCTTTTACAACTTTACTAATCCCAACGCTTTCTTAGACACGCTCACATGAGGCCACACTTGCCCCATCATTTGCAGCATTGCAACTCAAGAAGTTTGAGCTGGAGTTCGCGGTGGATCCGCTCTTCAAGAAGGCGTCTGCGGATTTTGATGAAGGGGGTGCCAAGGGTTTGCTTCTGAATCACTTGGCGATCGATGGGCAAGGAAAGATCGTATTTGACAGCAGCGATGATGCCGTGGATGACAGCGCTAAGACGGCCGACGGTGAACAACAGGACTCTACCGAGTCCGATACACCAGCTCCTCAGCCCACAAGCGATACCTTTGAAGATGATACCGAAATCGATCTTGGCTCCTTGGCGAGCCAGTTCTTCCCAGACTTGGATCGGCTGGGGGAACAAGATATCTGCCCGTCGCTTAAGAACTTCGACCTTGGTGATCCCAGTGGATCGTTGGATATTGCTCTCCTCAAGGCACCTGAGGAGTGGAGGCAGGATAAGAACGGCGAAGATGAGCATGGCAGCGAGGACCCGTCCGGTATCATGCTTGATGATGACAACGCTGTCGGTTTTGACGATGACGATGCCACTTTGGGTGGCTTCGACCTCAGTGGTGACACCGGTTTCGGTGATGGCGGTGAGGCCTGGGCTCGTGAGGCCGCTTTGGAACCAATGCTCAAAGTTCACCGACTTGATCATGATGGCGAAAACGATGACGAGGACGGCGAATTTGACAACGAAGATGCATACGCCATCTCGCTATCTCACCAACCGGATAGCCGGGAGCACGAGAACATCCTGAGTTATTTCGATAATGCGCTCCAAAAGAACTGGGCCGGCCCAGAGCACTGGAAGATTCGACGAATCAAGGAACACGCAGCGGCAACAGACAAGAGTGCGGCACCCAAGCCAAAGAAGGAGAAGGAGCCTTTCGAGATCAACTTCGAGGCGCCTCTGGATCCCGCTCTGGCCGAGTTGATCTATACCCCCGCCAGCTCCAACTCCGCCGTCTCATTACCGAAGACCCAATGGAAGACCAAAGGCCGTAATCTCCTTCCCGATGACAAACATTTCAACTCCCGCCAGCTTCTCCGCCTCTTCCTGAAGCCCAAAGCGCGGATGGGCTCGAGGAAACTCATCGACAAGCGGATGGTCAACCGGCGACCAGACCAGACATCTGGCAACGGCGAGATGGACGAGGCATTCTGGGCAAACCACAAACAGGAAAACGACGCCGCTGGCGAAGATGGCGCCCCGGGTGCCTACGATGCCAATTTCTTTGCTGACGATGACGGCCTCGCGTTCCCTAATGGCATGGATCTTGACGATGACGATGATAATATGCCGTTTGCAGATGCCCGTGAGATGCTTTCTCCGCCGACTGATGGACGTCCAACAACCTCAGCTGGCGAAAGCAGCAACACTTCTGGACTTACCGCGCTGCTGAACATGGTGGGTGCCACACCCGGCCGACCTGGAGCTGGTGTGGGTGGATACGGCTCCCAACTCGTGACCCAGGGCGGTCGACGCGCACGACCAGACTACGTGAACTACGCGCGTGTGGCCAAGAAGGTAGATGTGCGACGACTAAAGACCGAGATGTGGAGGGGTATGGGCGAGCGGTTGATCGCAGCAACAGACTTCAGTTCTGCTTCACAACCGGGATCCGTGTCCAACGAAGTGCGCCCTGAAGCTGAAAGCAGCGAGGCAGAAATTCCGCCCACTCCTCAATCCGAGTTCCCAGAAAAGTCCGTCGATGGCAAGGACGACAGCCGGTTACGCTTCACCCATATCATGAACTCGCTCAAGAAGGTCTATCCCGCCGAGACCTTGCGGGACATCAGTACCTCATTCGGGTTCATCTGTCTTCTCCACCTCGCCAACGAACAGGGACTGGTGTTGCAAAATGAACTCTCCAAGGTCGGCATGGATGCTGGCAGCCTTGAGGAAATCTTTGTTTCGAAGGACATTCACGCTGTCTTGGAAGAGGGTGGAATGTAAAGTCTCGTTTCATTCTGTACAGTTCAGTTCAGGTCGATCTCTCCGGGTTATTCTTCCTTACACAGTCAACGCATATTAGATATGAATGATGGGCTCATTCCTCGCGGAGTTGGTGGTTCTCGTTTTCCTTCCTGTGTGCTTGCAAAGTGGCGCTGTTGTTTCTGTTTTCATCCTGTTCTTCTGGTTAAGAATGCAAGAATTCGCTTCAGACAATATTTCTGGCGTAGTCACTACTATCCTTCTACCAGAAATAAATCTATTATGGGATCGATTGAATATGGGATGGACCGCGATGGCATTGAAGCATCGAATGAGGTAACTTATAAATAACAATGTAAATAATAGGTCCCAAATAAGAAATAGGTATCTGTAAACTATCCATTATATATGACCACCCAAACTCCCTGCTCACCGAACATACAATAAATTAAGGGAACGAGAAAAAAAAGGGCCAGCAAGTAGAGGATATGTAAGTTTTCTCGAGGGTGGTTTGTAGGAAAACCCACGCCTTTGGTCCTCCATGTCTTTTTTTGGATTTTTGTTCTTTTTTTCAAGGTTTTCTTTCCTTTCTTTTTCTTTGCTTTTCATTTTTCGTGCAATTGAAGAAGAAAAAGAGAGCGTTCTCAGGAGTGAAGTGCCGGTCCCGAGGGACTAGCTATAAGCGCCTGGAATAGGCACAGAGCCGTAGCTCGGCTCACCGGCGGCAGCAGCCGCAGAGTGATGAGAAACAGAAGGCTGTGAGACAGGACCAGAGTGCTGGGAAGATGGCGGAGACGGCGTTCGAGATGAGTTCGGAGGGGCGAACTCCCCCTGTCCCATCTGGGGCGATGCTCCTTGGACCTTGATTGGCGGGGCCTGCAGCTGGAAGGTCGGCGCTGGACGGGTCGGCGAACGTGGCGAGGCGTACTGGGTCGCCGGATTGTGGTACTCGCCCTTCTCGGCGGTGGAGTAGGGATCCAATTGCGCGGAGTAAATAAATGGGGACTTGGGCGGGTACGGCGAGAAGCCTGGGAAGCCTGGTGTATTGGGGGCAGACTGCAGACGCAGCTGGGCGAGGTACAGATCCGAGCGGGCTCTGTCGCGCTGGTCCATGGTCTTCATGAGCTTGCGCTTGCTCCACACGCGGTAGGCGACGACGGCGTAGATCAAGATTACCAGAACTTCGATGACAATTTCAATGATGGCGCACATGAGACCCCAGTCCTGCAGACGGCAGAGCAAAGCATAGTTGACGACGTTGGAGAAGTCCTGCTCGCGGGTGTTCTGCGCACAGGACCAGGACCACATATCCGTGCCGTTGGGTGACGTCTTGGAGTGAGCGTAGACCGCTGCGCCGACTATCCACATGACCAGACTGAAAACGAAGAAGCAGACGGTGAAGGTTGTGTAGTAGACGGCTGTCTTCTGGGCGCGTCGGTGTCCACCCTTGTAGTAGCCCCAGAATACAATCATACATGCAAACAGCGATACACATGACATGCCCAGGAGCATGTACTGTGCCCAGGGGTTCGTGCCCTCCGCCCAGGCGGGGAGACTGTTTCTCGCCTCTATCGTCTTGGTTGCGTTGAAGATGGACAGCGTGACTGCCAGCAGGGACAGCACGATGAGACTGCAGCCGAAGTTGACGAAGCGCAGGAAGATCTTGGCGATCCGTACACGGAGTTTTATTTTCTGCAGAAACTTGTCAGAAAAGGGAAAGATTGTTCGTCTTGGAAGGAGTCCTCTTACCAGATCTTTCTCATTCGCCTTCTCCGTGACCTTCTCTTGCTTCTCCAGCATGTACTCCTCCCGGAAGGTTGGGCTCCTTATGTCCAGAGTGCGAGCTGTCCCAGGTACTCTCAGCGCGCTCTTCAGCGGCGAGGCTGGGGGCCGCGAGTCGTCCACATGCTGGGAAGGGTTATTGGCAGCCACGTAGCCGAACCCGACATCTCCCACATTCCCTTGAGGTTGAGGGTCGGCGAAGGGAGAGTGTCTGGAATTCTCGTCCACGGGAGAATGAACGGCGGTGGCTTCGGCAAAGCGAGCCGTCCGAGGGCTCTTCAGGGACTCTGAAGAGCTGCGAGCTTCTTCTGCAGTGGGTTGCGGAGGCTGACCCATTGCGCTGTGATAGGAACCAAGGTTGAGATCGATAGGGACGACGGGTTTATACGTCTGGGGAGAGCTGTTCCGACTGGAATCTGACATCGAAGCAAGACAAAGTATGAATTAGAAAAGATTAGGTCAAGAGAACCGGCTCTCGACAGATGGAAAGGGGAAAAAAAGGTGACAATAGCTGAGCTAGATCAGCGTTCTTCAGGCAGGTTAACCACGAAAGTTCCCGTGTACGAAGCCTGCGTCCACGAGGAATGATGCCACACAGAGCAAAGCAGAGGGTAGAACGAGAGGTATGAGGAGACGAGACTCGACAGGACCTGGCGTGGCCGGCCCTTGAATAGTAGACATTTTGTAGGCGGGGAATGTGCAACCGCTGCGATGCCCGTCACCCGTGCCAGAGTAAGCGCCCGCGAGGGAAACACGGTGCGCCATCGGCAGGCATGCTGATTGGAAGTTACCCCGGGGGAGATGTCGGTGACTGGGTGATAGGGCAAGCTTGTCACAGTGGAGGAGCCAGTCCTGGCCGACGGTTCGCTGGGCGGATGCACGTCCGTCACCTCAACCGGCGCTAACCCGCCGATCGACTGACCAACCACACGGTCTGCAGAACCGCTGGAGTGTCGCCGGGAGGGTGTGGTGATGTTAATAATATCCCCGGGTGAACCGCCAAGTGGTGACAGTAGGGCTAGGCTTAGGGAGAAGGAGGGCGGAGGGAGAACACTTATTCCCGGATAATAAGCGTAAGTGAGTTAGGGCTTGGAAGAATGGCTTCCCACGTTCGAATCATTGTTAGTCAATTGTCTCCTCGTGTCACCAGAGGAATACAATTTATATGCTTGACGGGGAATCAGCCACGCCCAAGAACCAAATTCTTTAACTCTAGCGATAACACGCTCTCCTACGAATGCATGACCTTGCTGTCAATGTCCTTGGCTGAGGTCAAACCGGCACTCCACCGACTTAAATGAGCCCGCCCTGGCGCTACCTGAAACTCGGCCCATCTGTTCCTGGCGCTCCAGCAGTGGTACCTTGGACCTGTTCGTCCCGACCAAGGCCGAGCTGGTTCCGCCAGCAGATCTGCCGTCCCGATCGTGGCGATCCGCCGTGCGCTTCAGCTCGGTTGTGTGGCGTGACATCACTGGCGTCGTCCGTCGCGCCAGTATGGCGGTGGCAAGACCGAGTGAGGGACAATCATCAAATAGAACCAAACGAGCCGGATCAAGGATAATCGGTATCCTAGACCCTCTAACATGACCTCATTCTCGATGTACTCGGTCCCTCGTGTCTGGTTTTCTCGTGTTTACGCTCGGTCATCTGATTACAGAGCTAACCGCATCGCGTTAGGCTCTGCACAGCCTCAATCGCAAAAAGGTACTGGTACTTGCGGCTATATACAAAAGTGTAGGGGGCAGCAAGTACCCCTACACGCCGAGTAACGTAACTGTTCCCAGAGCCTCGACCTTACGCCCCTGCCCGGTTTCTGGACCTCGCTGTCTCTCTCTCTTCCTCAAGTTCCAGCCTCCCGAATATCTTTTCCCTCTCTTTCTTCTCCTCGCATCCGGACCGCGCCAATTATCCTTCTGCACTGGTTGCCTTTGCTACCTGCTTGGATTACCCTTCTCCTGTCCGCCCGCGTTGCTCACTTCCCAACACCCGGTTCCAACCTCCAATGCCCACCCCCCATCATCGCTCTTTCGGTCTCCTCTAGTTTAAAGGCGAGGCCTAAGCCCTCTTCCCCCTCTCCACCTCCACCAGCCCCGAGGCATTCCTGGTGGATCGCCTGGTCTGACAAGCAGAAGCTGAAACCACCTCGTCAGCTTGCGCCACACTCGGTTCCAGGTGAGTTGAGAACGCGCCGCCCCACACGCCCTGAACTGGACGGGACGACAACTGCTCGGCCACCCGCTCCCTCCTCTTTTCTATCCTTCTACAAAATCAAACCCCTTGCTCTTACTCCCTGGATGAAGTCGGTCGAGTCCTCCCTTGTCTACATCTGCCTTATCTGATCCCCACGTGTGTCTAACATGCCCTCGGAACTAGCCGTCGCCTTGGTTCATCCTCCCCACGAGGCTGGCCGAAATCTGTCTGCCTCCATGGCGGCATTGATGCAATCTACCTCCGAGTCCGTCGCCGTGTCCAACCCGCTATCCGCTCCCTCCATCATCGCCAGTCCCGACTCCATTTCCTTCCTCAAACAATCCAAACCTGATAACCTGAGTTCGATCGCTAGCGCCGGGTTACACGTCTCACGGCCCGGAGATCAGCCCCAGATGGCCAGTTCAGCCACAGAACGACCGGCGGAACAGGACCGAGAGGCTGAACGCAACAGTTCGCAAGTGGCCCGGGAAGCGTTGGGTGCAAGTGAGAAATCGCCAGGCCCCCCGGCTCATGCGTCATCGGGGCAGATGCATGTAGACTCCAGAACGAACACCGAGCCATCCGACCCCTACGGATCGACAGATCACCATCAAGACTCTCTTATACACACCTCCACCATGGCCAGCCCCGGCCCCATCGAAGAATCGGCCTCTCAGGATGGAGACCGTCCACGGAACCCTTCGGAGATCGACCAAGACAGTAATAAATCGTTTTCATATCCCATGCCTACAGGTGGCATCAATGATGCGCGACGCGGTTTAAGCCTGCCGAACACCGGCTACAACAGGGGCAGCCCGCGGTCCCCGGGGGCGAAGAGACATCGATGCCCTTACTGCTCTACAGAATTCACTCGCCAGCATAACCTGAAAAGTCATCTCCTTACACACAGTCAAGAGAAGCCTTTTGTTTGCCAGACCTGCCAGTCTCGCTTCCGCAGATTACACGACCTGAAACGACACACTAAACTCCACACTGGCGAGCGGCCACACATTTGCCCTAAATGCGGGCGTCGCTTTGCGCGCGGTGATGCGCTTGCACGGCACAACAAGGGCCAAGGCGGGTGTGCTGGCCGACGTGCGAGCATGGGAAGCTTTGGCCCAGATGACGAGTACGGAGATGGTGGTCCGGACGATGCGATGGACGGGCTGGTGTATGCGGAACCGGAGCGCATGGACGAGGAAGACGAGAGACGACTCAACATGCCGAGCATTCGGGAACACGATGCGCAGCCGCTGCCTCGGTCCGATTCACTTCACACTCACCAGCGCAGCACCTATCCACCTATCGCGGCAAGTCGTTCTGGCGCCGGCGGCCTCCTCCCTCCCTCCAACAACCTTGGGGGAGCCGGCTCATTGACGTCGCCTACTTCCCAAACTGGCAATAATATGACATTTCCCCCGACCGGGCACCATTCGGGAGCCTCAATTTACCCGTCAACCTCGACCAGCGACAATCCCAAACCATTGTCCCCGAACGCGCTATCATCCCAGCATGAGATTGGCGCACAAGGCCATCGCGCACACTCTCCGAGCATGGCAGGGTCATTGCCACACCCACAACCATCATTTGGACGGTCAGGCCAGCCTAACCATGTTTCTTCGGGATTAGGGCTCCCCCGCCTCAGCCGGGAGCGCCCCAGCTCCCCCCACCGCCGGGCATGAGTTCGCCGGATTCTCGATTTGGTCTGCAGGCCGCAACAAAACGCGCCTCGTCGCACAGCCATTCCAGCTCTCACGGCTTGGTAGCATCCGAGGGAGATGCCAACCAAATCGACAAGCTCTGGTCATATGTCCGGTCCATGAATGATGAAATGAAAGGTCTGCGGGCCGAAGTGGCGTCTCTGCGCGCCCAACTTGCCTCAACCTCCAATACATCAGCCACGGCACCAGCCGATGCCAACGCAGTGAATACGTCCTCGCGGTGATTACTGAAAATGTGTACGATACGACAGGATGCCCTTGCCGCGTCCTTCGCCTGCCGTTCACGGTTATCTTCCCTGTTCATACGATTAATTTTTTTCTTTTTATTGGCCGGTATCGGGGTCGGTCGAACTTCTTGATGCGCTCACGACCACCCATCATACCCAAACGACAACTATTGGCGTTTTTATCTTCTGGTGGCTTATATCCCCTTTTGCCCTCTCTGATTCTTGTGTTATGTCTAGATCTCTTCAGCGGTTTCTAGTCTTTTTTTTCCTCTGCCGTTTATGGTTTTTTTCTTCTCCTAGGACTAGGACGTGGGTCAATCGGGTTGGAAGGTGTTCGGCGTACCAAAACCAGTCTGCATTGGACTTGACGTTATATAGGCGATATGGACCGGTCTAAGGGGTTTGGTTTCTCTCTTCTTTTTCTTCCTCTTATCTTCTGTGTGAAGTTTCTCTGTTCTCCACCTTCACCACCCCAAGTACCCTTTCTTGGCTTGTGATGCATGTAGCGAATATGCTGTGAGGTCTTCTTCTCCTCCTTCTTGTTTGTGCTATGCCTGAGCTATGTAGCGAGTAATATCCCTATTGATATGGATAGCATCAAATATGCCTTATTGATGTTGGACATGCCAAATTTGTTTGCCCTTTCATCTGCTAGCGGCTCAAGTGGTTGGTGAACAGGCGGCATTGGGCAGAAACTCTAAATATAGAAATGAGCAGAGCCGCCCCATCGGGATCGGCATTCGTTTCGTCTGTAATTGAATGCTCGTCAGCTACCCACGTTCGTTCCCTTTCAAGTCTAACATTGGCATTGTCAGGAGTAGTCGGAGGCATGAGTATGCTGGGGGGTGCTTTTGATCTTAGCGTAATTTCTCCAAGGAGATGGTTAACGGTCTAGTCAGAGAATTCAGTTGTCTTTTTGCTTTTCCTGCTTGCTTCAGCAGTTACATGAAATAAGATCAGCGCGCCTTCTTGATTGAAAAGCATCACTTAAGTAATTGAAGGTTGATATTATCCATGAGATATAATCGATTCATGAACTATATTGAATGTCTGTGGAACGCTCCTCTTATGTATAACATGAAGAAATCTAGTATGAAACTTTCTCAACAGACGCTCAAGAACACAGACCCCTGCAATGCATATTATGTCGCGCGTAAGAAACTAGTAAAAAAGAGAGACAAAAAGAAAAGATCACTTTTGAGCATCGCCCGACTTGCGCGAGAACGGCCTCTTAATCGCATTGACCAGAGCACCAGCCGCAGCGAAGACATACCCGAAGCCAAAGCTCCAGCCACGGACACGGACAGTGTAGATGAAGAAGTAGACGAGGAACCAGTTGATGATGACAAACGCCAGGAAGATGCCAAAGCAGTGCCACTTATCGTCAGCATGGACATTCAGCTGGGCCATGTACTCGGAGCCGTTCTTGTAAGGGCAGTATTGGCAAACCCCGTCGCTTTCGACCAGGTAGCCAGCCTTGGCAATTTCATTCACGAAATTGCCAGCGTACTGCGCACAGGTCTGGCCTGGGGGCGGGCTGAAGTGGGTTGTTTCCTGCGGGGCGCACTGGATGTCGACGGGGGGAGGATGGCAGAGAGAACGCCGCGCAGCCACCAGGTCACCGGGTTGACGTAGTACATCCAGTACTTCCAGAAGACCGGGTAGGCGGCGTACGGGCGGACGATGCCGTTGAACAGGTTGACCATGACAAAGAAGAAGGGCAGCACGTTGGAGATGACGGTGAAGGAGGGCGCGAAGGCGCAGATCCACTGGCCCCAAGAGGCTTGAAAGAGGAAGAATAGCATCGACATGAGGAAGACGTAGCCTGCCGTGCTGGAGTCGGTGGGTAATCCCACGGGGTAGTACCAGAGCACCCAGTAGACGAAGCCTGTTATGATGGCGGCGGGGATTTCGCAGACGACGCTAGCTGTGCAGAAGGCCACCCAACCGTAGATGCGCGAGGGGTACTCGCGTGCTTCCCAGAGAGCGCGGTTGATGTAGAACTTGGGCACGACCGAGTTCAGAACGATGGGCGGGATGAGAATGATCAGGAACACTGAGAACATGCGATCCTGCATGCTAGCCACGGTTTTGGGCAGCATCCAGAAGGTGAACCCGTTGAAGATACCGATGATCACGCTGACGAATAGCTTGCCGTAGTAGTATGATGGGTCGCGCCAGTATTGCAGGAAAAGTCGCCGGGTGAGCTCAACGATTTGCACCGAAGTGGGAGCGGCAAATTCGTAAGGCGATTCGCCGCTCTCTGCCTGGGGAATCTTGCTGCGCTCTGCCTTGATGAGCTCGATCTCGTCCAACATCTGCTTGTTCTCGTCCGATTGCCGCCACTCGTCGTTCCAGTCAATCTGCTTGCCATCACGGTGTGTCGCCTTGGCTGCTGTTTCCAGAATGAATTCTGCAACGTTCTTAGATGGGGGGCAGACGAAGCCGCGGTCTGCAAAGTACTTCCTCACGGCCGAGCCGTCCTTGCCGACAGGACCGAAATAGAACGTGTTGCCTCCCGGGTTGAGCGCCAGAATCATGTCGAACTGCGAAATCAGCACACCAGATGGCTGGTGAATCGTGCAAACAATAGCCTGGCCAGCCTGCGATAGCTTCTTCAAGAAGCGAACAATCGAGAAGGCAGCCTGGCTGTCAAGCCCGGAGGTGGGCTCGTCCAAAAACAGGAGAAGACTGGGCTTTGCGGCCAGCTCGACGCCGATAGTAACTCGTTTTTTCTGCTCCACGTTGAGAGAACCAATAATGGCATCCTGGATATCCTCAAGCTCCAAAAGATCAATAATGCGGTTGACATACTCGATCTTCTCGTGGCGCGGGACGCTCCGGTCCTGGCGGAGGATAGCCGAGAATTCAAAGGCCTCACGAATAGTCGACGTATTGTCGTGCAGATCCATCTGCTCGCAGAAGCCTGTGCCACGCTGGAAGTCGGCTCCCAGAGGATGGCCATCAACGAGCATGTCGCCGGAGACCACGCCCATTTTCTGGCGCTGAGCCAGTGTGTTGAGCAGCGTCGTCTTACCGGCACCCGATGCACCCATCAGAGCAATCATAACACCCGGCTTGGCGTATCCATTCACGCCATTCAAGAGCTTCCGGGTACCATTACCGTAAGGAACTGTGTACTCGACGTTCGACCAGGTGAAGCAGCGGTCACTGGAGGACAGCCGGTTGAAGGTGGCATCGCTGTCAGCGGAAGAAGGCAGCTCGCCGCGGGACAGGGCTGCGTCATCGTCCACCCTAGACAACTGCTCTTCATCATTCGACTTGGCCGGGCCGGCGACCTTCTTGGTACGCTTGGACTTCTTGAAAACAAGCGCGCCGCCGCCGCCGCCAACAAACGAGAGCGTCTCAGCAGCGATGACGGTTACCAAGATGTAGAGCACAGTAAACGCAATGACAACGCCAAAGTTCCGCCACAGGTGGCTGCGCGTGAATTCAAAGTTGGCCATCAAATACTGGTCACCAGAGACCGATGTGTGGCCCAGTTGCGATCCGGTGAGAGCACAGCCTTGGTATCGCGGGTCGACACCAGGGCCCTGGGGAACCAATTGTGATGGGTTACATTGCATCAGGCGACCGGAGAACTCATTCGTCAAGACAGACTCGTAACTGTACGAGATCGGGTTGACATACAACAGCCATCCAAACCAAATGGAATTGTGGACCAGGGTCTGCTTCGGGATGACATAGCCGACGTACAGGATCAGCAGGTTCAGCGCGATTCCCGCAAAGCGGACTGCATCGTCGATTGTCGGTGAGAGAGCTGCAAACATCCGGTATAGGGAGGTGATGCAGAACGTGGTGGTGTAGACGAACAGGAAGTAGATGAAAAACTTTGAAACGGTCACATCCAGACCTGCCATGAAGTAGACGACGATGGTGAAAGGTACAACCATGCAGAAGATGGCTGGAAAGTCCACGACCACGCGGGCAATCGCGACAGCAGATGGCCGGTAGAAAGCATAGCTCTTGTGCCGGGCAACGATGCCTCGACCAGTGACAGCGGGCATCAGCTCAGTCAACTGAAGCCAACCCAGGAACAGGATCGAGAAGAAGAGAGCACCGCCACGCGCGAAGGCTCCGCTGGTATCCAGAGATTCACCGAAGAAGAGGGATGACACAATGAGAGCGTTGGAGATGATGATGAAGTACTTCGTGTAGAGAGAGGTCTTATCACCCCAGAGCAGCCAGAACTCGCGCTGCACACAGGCCATAACCTGGCGCACGAAGGAAACAGTGTACGACGACTTTTTGGAGACGGTCTTACTCTTGGACTGGGCGACCATCTTCTGGAACCGACGCATATCCTCCTGCTCAGTCTCCTGGAGACGGTTCTCGTAGTTGGTGACGTCGTCCAAGATGCGCTTGTACGTGTGGCTGGTTTTGAATACCTGCTCGAGCTCCTCGGCGGTCTTGGGGGTCGAAGCTTCCCGGCCAGGCTGGAATTGGCGTGCATTGGGGTCACAGAGTGAAGTCAAGAAGTCGGCCGTGGTCGTTTGCTCGGAGCAATCGAATCCCAGGTTGAGGAAGTACTGACGTGCTTCATAGGCCGGACCCTGGTACAGCATGCGGCCTTGATCGATGACCATGACCTTGTCCATAAGCTCGTAGATGCTCTCGCCGGCCTGGTACAGAGTAACAAAGGTAGTCCGCTTGCTAACATCGGTCATAATGCGCAGAGACTTAGCGTAGTCCAAGGCGGTACTAGCGTCCAGACCACGGGTAGAGTTGTCCCAGCAGACGACGCTGGACTTGGTGGCAAGGGTCTCGGCAATGCTGACTCGCTTTCGCTCACCTCCGGAGACACCACGGACGTATTCGTTGCCCACCAAGGTGTTCTTGGTATGACTGATGCCAAATATCTTCAACAAAGCATCAATGATGATGGGAATACTGGCACGGTCGTGTTTGCGGGTCTTGTTGATGAGCGAGAACTTGAGCGTCTGCCACACGGTGAGCGACGGGAAATGCTGGTCATCTTCCGGGTTGTAATTGACTTCGCCGCGGAAATGGCGATTTTGCTCTTCTGCTGAGAGACTGCCGTAATTGACTTCGCCTTTGACGGCCGCAAATGCGTCGCGGTCGTTGGCAATTGCCTTCAGAAAAGTGGTACATCCGGCACCGGGGCGGCCCAGCACCAGCATCATCTCGCCCTCGCGTACGGCGCCATTGAAATCGGAAATTAAATCCCGGACAGGCGGTTTCTTGCCAAACTGTAGGGCCGGAATGAATCGACAGACAAGATTGTACAGATCCGGACCAAATGTGCCCACGACGGCATGTGGCAACGTCCGCACAAACGACGCGCCCGTTTCCACGCCCTGGACGGTGAGGTTCTTGAAGACGACGCCAATCTGCTTGGCCGGCTCGCCGGCGGTGGTGCGCCGCTCCAGGTGCCCACCGACCAGGAACTCGCCCAGATCGAATTCCCCGTCAACCTCAGTATCGGATGCGGCCTCTTGGATTGCTTTTTCTTCATCACGACGCTGACTAGCACGGGACTTGAAGCGACGAACGCTTCGCGCCGTATTTGACTTGCTGCGTTGCAAGCTCAACTGCGTCAATTCGCGCCGCATCTCTTCGAGATCCTCAATGGCGCCGCTGCGGGAGACGTGCTCACCGACCTCTTGCTCTCCCCAGCGGCCTTCGACACTGTCTCCGGAAGAGCTCTCGGTAGAGTTGGTGACGATGGACTCTACCGGCGCTTCCGTTTCGTACTGAGTTTCCTCATGGCGAGTCTCCTGGCCATGGAGGTCTTCATGATGGTTTTCCTGGTAGCCTGTTTCAGATTGCACTCCCTGAGACGTGTGCTGCTCGGACTGTGGCTCCATGGCGCGATGTTCGACATCCATGTCGCCGGTGCAAGCACGGACGTTCTACTCTGATCCAGTGGTGTTATTGAGAGTGAATTGGGGTAGAGAAGGATATTACAACAGCACCCAGGCCAGCGGGCCAAAAGGGAAAAAAAAGGATATGGAAAGAGTAGGACAATGGGAGTTGGGTCGGGAACTGTTAACTAAATAACCCGAACGGCCTCTTGATTTCCAATTTTTTGGCATTATTAACTCCGATGGATTCTGACAAATCCCGAAATGGCTGCATGAATAATATTGAGCAACGGCATTGGCCAAAACCGTTCACGAACCAGCGCAACGAGCTATTGTGGATCCCGGCTTTGAGTCAGGTTGAATCATGGCGGATCTTGCCGAAGTGGCGCCGAGCATCATCAGTCATCAGCAGAGATTTTTCGACGGAGATTGCGGAATATCCATTCCTATCGTCCCCTTATCGCGAATTAGGCCCGAACATTGGTTGGTAAACATACGCATCCGATGCCCCGCCGGCATTCGCCATCGATCCCCCCGGCTCGGCGACTTTTTGAATTTCGCTCTATAGATCTGGGGGTTCACCGCTATCCGCAGTCATACGTGTTATAATAGTTGTCGCGCATACTAATGGGTTCGCTCTTAGTTATGCACGGGCACATGCATCGTGGCGGCAGAATTGTCGGTCATTGGGCCGGTTGAGATCTAGACCAGAGCTCCATCTGCAGTGGGCATCTCATCCATCTCAACGTTTTTATATATCACCAATTATGAGGGTCATTACATTACATTAAAATTTTATTGTATTATATCATATAGCACCCAGGATGCATTCCCATCGAAATGTAATTGACAACCAGAAGGCCCTGGATTCGGCAGGTCAAAACGTGTCAAATGAAGCTAACTCATTGGATCCCACGAAGTTTATGCCTCAGGCATTAAGGCAGACATGAAAATGAGGCATGAAATGATGCCTCAGGCGTCAATACAACATGTGATGCGCTAACCGGACTGGGGATAGTGTATTGACTTTCGTCCCTCCCGTTTATTATTATGGTCGTTGCCATAGAGCTCACTCTTTTCTCTCTTGCTCCCATTGAAACGGTCTCGCACATCTGACACTCTCCGTTCAGACCCACCTGCCCTGTATAACCTGCTGTCTTCTGCTGCAAACCCCTTCTTCCCATCTGCCCTCGCTCGTGTTCATACCCCACGTTCTCCTTCAAAATGGCGGAGGGTCTTGGAGCTTTGTTGGAGGCTAGCTTGGATCCCCGGCGCAACAAGGAGGGTGAGTGTCCGAGACGCCTTCCATCGCAAAGAATTGTGCTAACCTCCTTCCTTTCTGGTCTAGCCGAGCTTGCCCTTCGTCAAGAAGAACAGAAGCCCGGTTTTTCACTGCAGCTCCTCCAGACCACCGCCACCGAATCCTATCCCTACAACATCCGGCTGGCGAGCGCCCTTTTCTTCAAGAATTTTATCAAGCGCAACTGGACCGACGAGGATGGGAACTACAAGCTGCCACTCGACGAGGTTGCGACCATCAAACGGGAGCTGATTAGCTTGATGATCTCGGTCCCCTCTGGCATTCAGAGCCAACTGGGTGAAGCCGTCAGCGCGATCGCGGACAGTGACTTCTGGGAGAGATGGGATACCCTGGTGGATGTAAGTCTTTTGAGGAGCACCGAGATGGCCAAGGCTAACATGTGTCTTTCTTAGGATCTCGTGTCGAAAATGTCGCCCGACAACCCTGCCGTCAACATCGGCGTGCTTCAGGTCGCACACTCTATCTTCAAGCGATGGAGGCCCTTGTTCCAGTCCAACGAGCTGTACACGGAGATCAACCACGTCCTCAACAAATTCGGGAATCCTTTCCTGGCCCTCTTCGAGGTCCGGCCCTAGCTTCCATTCGTGTGGATTGCATGCTAACCGTGCTGCAGGGATTGGACACCTATATTGAACAAAACAAAACCAATAAGGACAACCTCACCCAGGGCTTCACTCAGCTCAACTTGATGGTCAAGCTGTTTTATGATCTCTCCTGCCACGACCTCCCACCCATGTTTGAAGACCATCTTTCGGCAATCTCGTCGATTCTGCTCAAGTATCTGACGTACGACAACCAACTACTACACACGGACGACGAAGAAGCCGGCCCTCTTGAGTACGTTCGCGCCGGGATCTTCGAGGCTCTGACCTTGTACGTGCAGAAGTTCATGGATGCGTTCCAGCCCCACGTTGGGCAGTTCATCGACAGCTCGTGGAATTTCCTGACCACCATCGGCCCGGACACCAAATACGACATTCTCGTCAGCCGAGCATTGCACTTCCTGAGTTCGGTGGCCAGCATGCCCGAACATGCCACTGCCTTCCAGGCAGAGGAGACGTTGGGTCAGATCGTGGAGAAGGTCATTCTGCCGAATGTGAGCTTGCGGGAAGCGGATGAGGAGTTGTTCGAAGATGAGCCTATTGAGTTCATTCGGCGAGACTTGGAAGGCTCCGACAGTGAGACCAGACGCCGGGCCGCAACAGATTTCCTCCGACGACTGGCAGAGAAGTTTGAGCAGTCCGTGACCAAGGTCGTTCTCCAATACACGGAGCACTACCTCGGTGAGTATGCCAAGGACCCGGCGTCCAACTGGAAGTCCAAGGATACGGCAACCTACCTTTACTCTGCCATCGCGGCCAAGGGTGTGGCAACTTCCACCCACGGTGTTACCGCCACCAACAGTCTGGTCAGCATCACGGATTTCTTCCAGCAGCACCTTGCTTCAGACCTGATCGCAGAGGACGGTGTACATCCAATCCTCAAGGTCGACGCGATCAAGTACCTGTACACTTTCCGCAGCATCATCACAAAGGAGCAGTGGCAACAGGTTTTGCCCGTGCTGGTGAAGCATCTGGCTTCTTCCAACTACGTTGTCTACACTTATGCCGCAATTGCGGTCGAGCGGGCCCTCTTTTTAAGTGATGCCCAAGGACAGCCCATTATCTCGCCCTCTGAAATCACCCCGCTCGCAAAGGATCTCCTCGAGCATATTTTCCAGTTGATCCAGAAGGACCCAGCACCTCCGAAGGTGCAAGAGAACGAGTTCCTCATGCGATGTGTCATGAGAGTGTTGATTGTCATCAAGGATGGCGTGGTGCCGTTTACAGATACCGTGCTGCAACGATTCATCACCATCACTGAGATTATCAGCACAAACCCGAGTAACCCGAGATTCTATTACTTCCATTTCGAAGCCATGGGTGCTTTCATTCGGTTCGCGGCCCCGGCTAACCCGGACAAGCTTGAGCAGGCTCTGTACCAGCCTTTTGCCAAGATTCTTCAGGGAGATGTGCAAGAGTTCATGCCATACATCTTCCAGCTCTTCGCTGCCCTTCTCGAGGCCAACCCGTCAGCGACTCTGCCGACCTACTACCAGGAACTGATTGGTCCGATTCTGATGCCTGTGATGTGGGATTCTAAAGGAAACATTCCTGCCCTCGTGCGGCTTTTGTCTTCTATCATTCCTCGTGGATCGCAGTATATCCTCCAGCACAACCAGATCGAGCCTATCCTGGGCATCTTCCAGAAACTGGTTTCGACCAAGGCCAACGAGGCCTATGGATTTGATCTGTTGGAAAGCGTTGTCGCAAACTTCCCATCGTACGTTTCTGCCATTGCCATCAGATTGATAAACATTGCTAACCTTGATTTTAGGACTGCGTTGGAGCCATACTTTGTCTCAATCATGCAAATCATTCTTACGCGCTTGCAAAACTCCAAGACTGAGACACTGACGCTTCGCTTCGTTCGCTTCTACCACTTCATCTCCGCACATGACGACAAGGGTTACAGCGCCGATTTTGTCATCCAAGTCACGGACAAGGTGCAGGAAGGGTAAGTTTTTTTCTTGACTATTCCATCGGGCATATACTCACCCACTCCAGCCTTTTTACTCCTATCTACCTCACCATCATTCTCCCCGACACCCAGAAACTGGCCCGGCCCCTGGACCGCAAGACCGCAGTCCTCTCCTTCACCAAGACCCTCGCCAACTCCGAGGCCTTTGCGACTCGATACGCAAAGGGCTGGGGCTTCACATGCACGGCGTTGCTCAAGCTTCTCGAGCTCCCTCCGCTGCCAGCCAGCAAGGACGATCTCATTGCCGAGGCCGACATTGAAGACATGTCGTTCGGCGTCGGGTTCACTCCTCTGAACACGGTGCGCGCCGTGCCGAAGGACCCGTGGCCCGAAACGGGTGCCGATCTGAAGGCCTGGGTGGGCGCATACCTGAAGGAAGCGGATAAGAAGCAGAATGGCCGTGTGGCGCAGTTTGCGCAGGAGCGTCTGGATGAAGAGTCCAAGGCCATGCTGAGCAGCTACATTGCTTAATTGTGAGGAAGGGAGGGGGATGATCTTAAGAAAGATGTGTTGGCCAGAAAAAAAGACTTGATTTTGAACAACTGGTTAGAATGTGAGGATATGTGAAATTGACGCCCAAATTGACCGCTTCTGAGGTCAGAAACAGCTGTCCTTCCTCCCGTAACCCGTACCTGAGTTCGCAAGTATTCGCACTCGGTCCCCAACGAGTTGTGCTTCCCGTTTCGACTCGCGACTGAAATGACGCCAAAAATGGCTCAGCAAAATGACCCTCCGTCTTCTATGTCCGCTTGCACACGAAAAAATGATCTCGTAGGAGAAGATACTCGCTCACAATCACTCGACTCGCGGTTGGAAGCCGATGATTTAGTTATAGTAGTAAAAATTATAGTAGTAAGGAGCATGCTACGATTCCGAACTCTACCTCTTTTCTTCCTTAATGCCCTCCTCTCCCTCTGGATTAGACATCCTATCCTCGTCCTCATCCTTATTCTTCCCCTCCGACAAATCCCGATACTTCCTCTTACTCTTCTTCATCTTACTCGCCTTCTTCTTCCGCGCCGCCTCGGCCTTCATCGCCGCCCGACTGTCCTCCCCCTTCTCCCGCGCCTCCACTTTATCCGCCAGCAAATGACGCGCGATCTTCTCGTTTTGCGACTGCGACCGCGTCGCTTGGCATTTGACCACCACGCCGCTGGGTTTGTGGATGATCTGCACGGCAGAGTTGGTTTTGTTCTGCATAAGATGCCGTATTAGTATTGCTTACATGCGAGTGGAAATATAGTGGGATGCCTCGGGTGTTGCTAGGAGAATAATGCACATACAATCTTCTGGCCCCCGGTCCGGTACCTTTTAGGTACGATATTGTCACGTCGGCGTCGTTGATGGTCATGCGCGGAGGGAGTGGTTTCGCGTGGTGCGCAGGCGAGGACATTAGGGAGAGGCGTGGGCTGGTGGACAGCCATCTTGTTGGAATGGTGGCTTGGAGCCAGCTGCGATGCGGGCGCAGCATGTTAGGGCTGCCATTCGAGGGAAGAGAGAGAGAGATGGGGTGGGAGAAGAAGAGGATAAATGGAAGGTTCGATAAGATAAGGATTGGAGATGAGCAGTTCTCCATTACAGAACGTAGGTCAGCGTACCCTCTCAAAAAGTTCAGCGTCCCCCAGGGGTCACGCCCCCACCCAGGGTACGCTGAAAATCCTAATGGGGTACGCTGACCTGTAGTCACTCTCTGTTATGTCTGGAGAAGACAACGCCTGCTTTCTCCCATCTCCGCTACAACAAGTAAATAGGAATAGAATTGCTTCAGTGTGACGAATTGCGAAGATTATATTGACCGAAATCAATAGAAGAATCCTTGTATTTATATCATAAGAGAAATCTGATCAGGTTCAAGGGATGCTTCTCTCAGGACGTTCCCTATTTCGAGACATACTGTCCAACGCTGATTGACTTTTCGGGTCTGGCATATCTCGAATCGCAGTGCACATTATCACATGGATACCTGATAAATGAAAAATATCTCTACTTACGATATTATTCTTCTCTTCCTTGGATCCGGCAGGCTACATGTTCAAGTCGGAATGCATCGGGGAAATCAGGCGTGAAATGGGTAGTATCGGTCTGTGGATTTCCTCTCGACTATGTCCAGCCAGGCGAATTCCGCCTGCAAAAAAAAAGATTTAGCCTTAGTGACAAGTGACTCATGTAACTATGTCTTACTTTAATCTTCCCACTAGTTACCGCCTCGTATTAATAATTCGACATTTGACTGCAAATGTTGCGAAGTTATTTCCCATCTTACTAATTGCCTTCATTTTGGGGCTGTGCTGGCAGACGCTTAGAACTCGAGGGAAGCAATGAATTTGCATATAAAAACGGATTCTTTTCTCTGTCTCTTCCCATATATTTACCAGCACGGATAGTTACCTCTTCAAAATCGCCATCATGTCCAAATTGAATTTTGACACGTATTACAACGTGAGCTATGCATTTTATCTACTCGGTGGAACCCGTCAGACTAAATGACCCTCCCGTGACAGGTGATTAATGGCCAATTGAAGGGGTCCGACGAGCAATACTTCAGCATCAACCCTTTCAATGAGGAGAAGCTCTGGCCGGTCCCCGTTGCAACTGTGGAAGATCTGGACGAGGCTGTGACCGCTGGCAATGCCGCCTTTGTAAAGTGGCAGCATTCCTCCGTGGAGGAGCGGCGGAGACGATGCAACGAGTTTGCTGATGCCCTTCTTGCGCAGAAGGCTGATTGGGTTGAGCCGATTTCCAAGGAAACGGGACAGCCAAGAGAATTGGCCGAAAGTGAGGTTGACGCCGCCCACGAGTGGCTAACGACCATCTGTATGAAAGCCCCATCTGCTGAACTTCCGATCTTGTACTGTACTAAGAACCGCGCCAGCGAGGATTGACTTGCCCGAGTACATCACACATGACGACGACGAAGTGAAGGTGATTACAAAATACTTCCCGCTAGGCGTCGTCGCTGGGATCTGTCCCTGGAACTTCCCCATCTTTCTCGCCGCGGGCAAGATTGCCAGCGCCGTGTCGACGGGCAACACGATTATCATCAAGCCGTCGTAAGTTGCGAGGGCTCCTCCATCAAGCTGCTGCCTCTGATCTTGCTCAGACCATATACTCCGTACACGGCGCTCAAACTGGCAGAGCTGGCGCAACGTTTCTTCCCTCCGGGAGTTGTTCAAGCCCTGGGAGGCCACGACAGCTTGGGTCCGTGGATCACGAAACACCCGGGGATTGCGAAGATCTCCTTCACGGGGTCGTCTGCCACGGGAAAAAAGATTATGGCCGCTGCTGCGCCAACGCTGAAGCGTGTTACCTTGGAACTGTTCGAAATCCCCTTCCGTCATTTCTCTTTCAGTCACTAACAGCGGCAAGTGGCGGCAACGATGCCTCGATCGTCTGCTCCGATGTCGACATTGATGCTATTATCCCAACAATTGTTGACGATGGTAGGTGCACGAGCCTCGCAAAAGTGGAACTAGTACTGATCCATCAATGCAGCATTCAGCCACGCGGGCCAAGTTTGCATCGCCGCAAAGCGTATCTACGTGCACGAATCCATCTACAACGAATTCCTAGACAAATTCGTCGCAGCATGCAAGAACCTGACGCCCGGACAACGATACCTCAGCCCAATTCAGAACAAGATGCAGTACGATAAGATCAAGTCCATCTTCGAGGACTCCCGGAGTCAGCAGCATGAATTTGTACTTGGCAATGCGGAACCGGAGATCAAGAAGCCCGGCTATTACATGTCGCCGGCCGTTGTGTCCCGGCCGCCGGAGCAGTCGCGTCTAGTGCAAGAAGAGCCGTTTGGGCCGATTGTCCCTGTGCTCGTGTGGAAAGATGAAGAGGATGTGATTCGACGTGCTAATGGCACTGATCAGGGACTCGGGGCGACGCTGTGGTGCCGTGACCCCGAGCGAGCGGAGCGCATCGCTACGCGCCTTGAGGCTGGGAGCGTGTGGGTGAATCGGGGTGCGATGCCGATGCCCACGGCGCTTTTTGGGGGTGTCAAGCAGAGTGGTCTCGGGGGAGAATGGGGACCATTGGGACTGTTGACCTATTGCAGCGCGCGGACATTTCACTTTGCGAAGCAGTAGTTGGTTATTCCATCGCAGATTCCACAGTTCGTTAATGCCAAGAATTTTGACGTGGTGGAAAGGGGGAAAGTGGTCGGCGGTGAACGGCTAGACTCTCTTCGTTCCTTTCACTCTTCCCACCACCTACCTACCTATACCATGGCCACTTAGAACACCCACCAATTCCTCACAGACCCTAAGTTATTCTTTTCCCCCCCTTCTGGTCGCAATTATCCCGTGCACCCGGCCTTCACTGCCAATTCTGGATCTCCGGGACGGCAACTCCACTCCTCGAAGTTCCTGATCAAAAACGGCCTTCCACCCTTTCAACACCTCTCCCCACCTAAGAGATCCATTCCCTACACACCCGCCATGACCATCATCCTCTACTTCCTCACGGCCTTGGTCCGCTGGATCCGGTTGAAGATATACCAGTACGAGGTGACCTTCGCAATCTACATGCTCACCCCGACGGAAAAAATCATCTTCAGTGCGTGGTCCTTTTCTCCTCCCTCCCATCCTTCCGGTAATGCTAACGGGTCCAAAAAAGACTCGCTCATTCTCACCCTCATCACCATGATCGCTACCGGCATCTATATTTACCTGCCCGATCACCTCCGCTCCATCTACGGCCACCTGTACTACTACTGGGCCGGCGAGCGCCCGCTCATGACCACCCGCTTCGCATCCATCAATTCCGTGTTCGGTGAGACGGCGACGCAGAGTCTGAAGGTTGTGTACGAGACGGCGAAGAACGTTGCCGCCGCCGCTGCGGCTAATACGGCCCCCGCTGAGCATTTGGTCGCCGACGAGCTGTGATTCGGTCCATGTAACTATAAATTGGGACCGGCAGATTGCGACTATTATTAATTCCGGCATTTTTTTTAACCTGTTCAGTGCATTCGAGGCGTTTTTGGGAAGCGGAGGGATTGTTCTTCTTGGTTTGCATCATTGCGGTGCGAAGCCGTTTACTGGAAGATCGCACATACGTCCTTTGCTGACGGAGTGAGAGGAGCGCAGAGGTTCATCTTTAAATTGATACCCGTCTGTGACGTGGTTGCCTTGATACTTGGGCGCATATATAATAATAATTGAGACATAGTTATGCTAGTTTGTACAGAAATGAGAATAATGAAACACACCCAAACTCCACCATGCCCTGAGTAGAGTTGTATGGTACAAGTAACCCCTGTGTAACTCCCATCGAGATGCCGATCTCTTTTTCTTTGATGTTGGTAGTCAGACCAAGGCCCGTAAAAAAAAGCCGAAGCTTTTCCCACTCACGGTCATCTCCTCGAGGAAGACAAACCAAATGCGTTGACCTCGAGCAACACCCATAGAAACTTGCTTATTACCCACTCTGCGAAGCAGCCTGAGCCTCAGCTTGAGCCCTGGCTTGCGCCTCCGCGTCTTCGCGCTGTTTGCGTCGCTCACTTCGCACGGCATCGACCTGGCGCATCCGCGACAACTCCTGGTCGATCTCTTCCTTGTCGAGCGGGATCTTATGCGATTGTTCGGCGGTGGGCCAGAAGCCCTTGACGCTGAAGCGGTCGTCGAGGTTGGTGCCGAAGTAGTACATCCAGCCGATGGGGAACATGATGTACACGCCGAACTGCACGGGGTCAGTACAAAGTGGGTTAAACACGAGGGAGGAGTAAAGCGGACTTTGAATACTTCGAGGTTGCCACCCCGCAGTTTGTTTAGAATGGACGACATGGTGGATGCTGCTGTCACGGAATGCGTCAATCCATCACGTCGCTGAATGCCAAATTCGAGCAACGACCATGACTCAGCATCCATCAATGATCACCTGATCCAGCCGCGGCCCTCGGTTGTTCAGTTGTTTCCCCAAAGGCTTAAGATCCCCGCAAGAACAATAATGAACGATTATTATTTCTGTGTCTCTGGAGACTGAACAATTGCCTTTTCATCCACACTAATTCTGCTCACCATGTCCAACGACCAGCTCATCACCGTCTCCTACCGCGACCGCGTCGCTATCGTTACCCTCAACCGGCCCGATAAGCTCAACGCCCTCAATCAGGACCTTTACTACCTGCTCGGCGAGCGGCTGCGTGAGATTGACCAGCGTGATGAGATCTACATCACCGTGTTGACAGGCACTGGCCGTTTTTTCTCTGCGTACGCACCAATGACCCCGTTGAACATCCATCGAACGAACTAACATCTATACCCACCACAGCGGCGCAGACGTAACCAGCAGCCGCCCCAGCGGAGACCTCAGCTCTAACGTGCGCCGCGAGCTAGTCAAGGGCTTCGTCTCCAACAACGTCGACGTCACGCGCACCTTCTACAACCACTCCAAGATCCTCGTGGTAGCGCTCAACGGCCCCGCCGTCGGCTTGTCCGCCGCCCTGATCGCGCACGCGGACTTCATCTACGCCGCCCCGCACGCCTTCCTGCTCACCCCGTTCTCGTCGCTGGGCCTAGTCGCCGAAGGCGGCGCCAGCCGCGCCTTCGTGGAACGTCTCGGTATCGCCAAGGCCAATGAGGCGCTTATCATGAGCAAGCGGATTACCTGTGACGAGCTGGTGGCTGCGAGCTTTGTGAACAAGGTTATCCAGGCGCCTTCGGGCCGGCCGGAGGACTCGGATGGCTTTTTGAAGAAGGTTCTCGAGGAGGTGGACGAGAGGCTGGGTACGCATTTGAATCAGTCGAGTTTGCTCAAGATTAAGGAGCTGGTTAGGAGGCCTGAGCGGGAGCTCTTGGATCGTCAGAATGGCCTGGAGGCATTTATGGGCCTGGAGCGCTTCTTGAGTGGTGTGCCGCAGGAGGAGTTTCGCCGGTTGGCTTCCGGTGAGAAGAAGCATAAGCTGTGAGTGTGTGGACATATATTCTATACATACGCTGGGAGGGTATAGACCTGTCAGTCTTGAAATGTATATAGCAGCAGATCACGCAAGAATACAACTATTTTCATCATGACTATGGATCTATGTTACCACATGAAATTGGAGCTCTATGTTAAACATATCAAAACAAGTTATGTGCGGCACTGAGCGTTTGTATCGAAGCCAGGACGAGTCGCTAGGCTGTTTTCAGCCATCGTCGCGATGCTGCTGGATCTGATGCCAGATCATCAACCATATCTTCAACGCCAGGATTGTTTTCAACTAGTCCGACTCACTACCCGCCTCGCGCTCTTCCTCCATCTGTTTCTGCAGGATCTGGTGCCACTGCCCCATAAACTCGCTCATCCCACCAGGCCCAGCCAGTGATGCATCAACCACATCTTTGGGTACCTTGTGCGCTGAGTACTGCGCCGAGTTGAACGCATATGCCTCTGGATCATCTTTCTTCACCAGACGGAGCTCCGGCAAAAAGGGTGCAAGATCGTCATCTCCACCATCGTCACCACTTTCTTCTTCCTCGTCCTCCGACTCGGTGCCTGCGTCGATTCCATTTGGGCCCGAGGTAATAATACTCCCATCGTGAAGCGAGAGCCGGACAAAGCCCTCTGTCTCATCTTCTTCTTCAACAATACCCACGGGATCCTTCATCCGCAGAATCTCCAACCAACCGAATAGCAATGGATCCGTGCGTTGAGCCCAGGGATTAATATCGATCAACCACGCCCGCTGATGCGGCGGCGGGAGGTACACATCAAACACAAAATTGGGATCGGGGAAGGTATCCCGCAGCTTCTCGTCGAAGAAGGACTGGATGCGGGACCGCAACATATCGCGCATCGGGAACAAGAAGTCGAAATGGTTCTGGTCCCGCTGGGTCATACAGAGCAAGGTCCGATTGCGGACGAAGCACCGGAATTCGAGAGATGGGTTGAAGTTGACGTATTTGCGGAGAATGAGGTGGTAGGGTACTTGGGGTGGAGCGGGATTTGCTGTTGTTGTGTCGGGAACACAATCGTCGAACGGATGCTCCAGATCATGCGTGATGAAGTCGCTGCTTTTCATAAGGAGGTAGATGTCATTCGGCGTGCGGCACTTCGTGTCGTTGGTGGCGTTCATGAAGGTTGCGTCTTTGGGTGAACTCCAGTTAAGTTTTGGTGTGACCCAGCCCCCGAACTCGGTAATGGTTTCCTTAATCTGTGTGTGAATATCCTGCCACTCTGCAGACGGGTCGGGTGCTGCCTCGTCGCCGGAGTCGGAGAAGGTGTCTTCATCGTCATCGTCTTTTGGTGGGGCTTGTTCGGGGGGTAAAACGATGCCGTCGGCGCGGAGGTAGGATACAAAGGATTCTGGAAGAGGAATCACTCGTGACTTTGGTACCAGAGTGCGGTAGCTTAAAAGACCGCTGTTAGTTACGCTTGCAATTGAGTCACGAAGGAAGAACAAACCGAGGATGCCAGTCATGGTAGGAACAGTGCATAATATGGGAATAGGTCACCGGGGGAAAGGGGAGACGGTCCGGCAGACCATCCGAGTCCGCCGTGACATCTGATTCAATTAGTGGCATGGTTGTAACTGTCTCGCGGAGTGAAAGTGAAAGTTAAGATGGAGGGGACTTTTTGGACCCGTCACCTGACGATAAGATAAGAATGAGCTGACGTAATAACAATGCCTGCCTGAGGCTGCGGGTGTTAATTGATTGTCAACTTGTTCCGTTCGGCCAGACCTCTGTACTCGCTCACGTCCAGCATGGCCCCTGAGGCCCCTGATCCCCAGAGCCTGAAGACCTGGAAAGATGCCTTCCAGTATCCGATTCCCACGGTCCGCCGTGTGGAGCAGGAACTGCGCCGGGACATTGCCAGCAATAAGGAGAAGCTCCGCGCTCTCGTGGGGTAGGTGTCTCAACCAAGCCATTGCGGCGTACAAGGCTAACAGATTGCGTCTAGCACGAGATACCGAGAGCTAGTCGGCACAGCGGAGACGATTATATCTATGAACTCGGAGATTCAGGATGTGGAATTGATCTTGACGGACGTTGGCCGGCGATGTAACCCTCGCCTAGTGGAAAAGAAGCACTTGCATGCGCGGCAGATCAGAAGCGATGCTGCGGAGAAAGGTATTCTCTGTTCAAAAACGCATAGGGCGACTTGCTAATGGCTTCCTGTAGACGTCGAGAAACATACTTTCGGTGCACAGCTCGCTCTGCTTCACCGATGCACTACCTCCATTGCGCGGCTGCTGAGACGACGCGCTTCGTTGCTACTAATCGCAAAGATCCTGGTAGTGTCCAGGCAACTGCACAATACCCTTTCAAAGCACGAACCTCTGCCGCCATTCCTCGATGACCTGCGCAACCAGCTAGCGTCCCTCCGACAAACTCTCTTGAAAAGAGTCAACAAGCGCTTAGCTTCTGCGAATGCCACGGATGACCAGATCGTCGAAGCTCTGGCCGCCTACTGTCTCGCAAACAGCTATTCATCCGACGACGCCATTCATCATTTCCACGAGGTGCGCTTGGAGGTTATCATCAGCCATTTAGAATCATCACGCGAGAATATTCCCAAGATTTTGAGGCTGTTCATTCAGACGTTGCAGACTTCAAAGGCTCTGCGGTCACGCCAGTTCTCAGATGTGCTCTCCAAGGTCAAGACACGACCTATTCTCTCTGACGCCGAGATCCGCAGCCTGGATGGTCTGGAAATCGAGGTTCTGGGTCGCTGGGTGGCCCCAAATATTGAAAATTTCACGCCATGGATTAAACTGAGTGATTTGTCTCGGACAGAAGGCTTGGAGATGATTAGAGAATGGTCTCTGCAGGCATTTGAGAAATTTTGCACAGGCTGCCAAAAGTGTCTCGCTGATAGTGACGACTTCTCTGAATTACTGTCACTGCGCTATGATACTATCGAACTATGGCTCTCCTCCTGGGGTTCAACGCTCACACACCCATCTATTGATGTTCTCGAACGCCTCCGCGCCATCTTCAACGACCAACTCACGCGAGTCCTGACAGCACAGGCCCACAAACTTGATGAATTCGGGTCCCAAGTTGTGTCGATCATCTCTGACTGGAAACACACTGACAATAACGACCTGGGATCACTATGGGACATGGATCTCATCGGTGCAGATTACGTCAACGGCGCTACTCCCTTTAAACAAACCGTCATAGACCGACTGCTCGGCCGTGATGACACGGTCTCCCAAGCATTAAAACAGTACCAATCCTGGCTTGAATCTATCCAAGAAGTCAACTCATCCATCGACTCATTACGTCGTATCAGATGGCCCGATCTTCTCGTGGGAGCCGAAGAAGAAGACGACGATATTGAAGTCACTCCGGGTCTGAACGAGGCCGATCCGCGGCTGTTGACCGACGCACTTCATGAGGCTATCCGCACGGCATTCGATGCTTTGCAAACTTCATTTAGCGAAGCTTTCAAGGCACTCGGCTCGTCGCACGCAAGTGAAAAGGCCACTTTCCTCCTCCGCATGACGCGTTTCGTCCGCAGAGATATTCCTGCAGACTTCGTGGCAGAAGACTTTATCTTCTCGAGTGACACCGTTCCTGATCTGCAGAAGTTGCTTGCAACAGAAACCCTTGCCCAGGCTGGCTCTTTGACCCTCATACCGGCTTTGAGGACTAATCCACAGACTGGCTTGCTGAGGAACGTCCCTGGTCGGTCACTCTGGGAAGGCGAGCCGGTTACCCCTGTTCAGCCTTCGCCTTTGACTTTCAAATTCCTTCGCCGTCTCACGGCGACGATGGATGAGAGCGGTCCAGACCTTTGGGATCCGTCTACCCTCCACATCTTGAAGAGCACACTCCAAAACCAACTGGAGGAAGCAATCACATCTGCACTGAAGGATTTAGATACTTCAAGTACATCTGAAGCCAAGCCCGAGCCGAACGGAAACCGACCAGCCCAAGAAGACTCACAGGAAGCAAAGTCTGAGAATGAGGATGAATCCCCGAAATCGGAGGCGCACACTGCCGATGCTCCAAGTCAAGCTGAGGTCCTGCATGACTGGAAATTGCAGCTGTTTTTCGATTCTGTCTATCTGGCAGAGATGCTGGGCGGTTCTGACAAGCTGTCTGGCGCTATTGAGAAGGCTCAGAAGGGAGCAGGACTGAGCGCCCCTGTTGTGAAGAACACCAGGCAGCTTGCCCAGGACTATTGGAAACGAACGGAGCTGTTGTTTGGTCTTCTTGCACAACGTTGAGCTTGAGCCCTCCTTCCCTCTGATCGATCCTTTTAGATGAATAGAACGATGTCTCTATCAGCCTATCCTCTATCTACATAGAGCAATTGGAGTTTATACAATTTTCATTACTTTGAACAAGTCACATTCTCGTGATAGTCGTACAAAGATCACAAATCATTAATCATAAATCAGAACATCAAGCATAGCTCATACAAGGAACATCGGCGGTCGTAAAGTCGTCAAAGCATAAAGGGAATGGAATCAAAGATAACACCGCAGAGAAGAAAAGATTCAAAAAGACAAACTGCTGCCAGTGACGGCTCGGATTTTCGCAGATTTTCTTCTTTTTTTTGGGGATTTGAATTTGGGGTTTGTTGTTATTGTGTCGTAATTTAAAGTCTCTTCGGCTTGGAAGGGCAAGCAAAAGCGTCGAGCTGATGCTTAACCATTTCAGCTTCCTGCTTGATTGTCCAAAGGGCGCAGATTGCCTCGCGCGCATGCTGCTCCAGGGTTCGTGGAGACATGATCAAGATCACCGACCCGATCCACTTGAGAGACCACTTCGCTGTGAGAGCGTCCAGTCCAGCATCAACGTGGTTGATGCTCGCGCGGATCGTATCCAGATCTTCAATTTCTGCGAGGGAAAAGGTGTTCCAGAAAAAAACTTTGCAGGTATCCTTTAGACGCTGGACGTTGGCGGCCATTGTTTCCAGTTCAACCAAGATGTTGAGACCGTCGGTGAAAAGCAGCTTCCGCAGGTGGATCTTGTCCTTGATAGACAGGCGAGAGTGACCAGGGACGGAGCTGAACTTCAAAGAACACACCCTCTGCAAAGAAACGATGATATTTCCCTCGGTGGTTTCTCGCATGCGGCGTTTCTCTCCGATCAACTTCATCATACGTCGCCAACGTCGCTGGAGATTCGTGATCATGTCGAGTTCATGTTTGGAATATTCCTCCACAGCCGTCGAACCTTCACCTGTGAACATGGCTAGCGGATTGCCTGCAGGCCGTGAGGATCTCAAGGCTGTAGTCAGCTTCTCAAACCGACCGTGATTTTCAACGAAACCTCGGAAGTGAAGAGGAGGCTGGCTCTTGTTGTCAAGCGAGATGACGTACAGCTCATCCTTGCCATTATAGACTGTATAAAGACGTATGGACTCCTCTCGAAGCTTTTGGAAACCGCGGGCTGTTACCAGGCTCGGAGGAGCCGTGAAGCTAAGCGTCTGTTCACGTTTGTTAGCCTCGATACATGCATGGTCAAGAAGGACATGTAATACCTTCTGTATCTGACCCCAGATGTCCATGAACCCCTTTGGGATGACGGGCCAGTGGCTCAAATTCAGAGCCACCGTTGTCAGATAATCAGTGTTTCGTCTCTTTATCATCGCTGCTGGGACCCTGCGACGTCCCATAAATCCCAGCTGATGAGTGTGGATCGCGAATTCCATCTTGTCCAGCAGACGGCAGAAGCTCGAAACCAAGATGGTGAGGCAACTCAGGTGCGACATCTTGACACTATTTGTGAGTGCAACACTACTGGCAGAGGAAGATTGCATGGCGATGGGCAAATGGAATAGAACCCACGACCAAGGAATGACAACGGCATTCCCTGGGTTGATCAAGCAAAGCTGTATCTCAAATCAGTCGACCTTCATAAAACGATTACCGGCTTGACATACGACATATGTGGTTGCTAGTTCGACGACGGAGAGCAACGCTGGAAACCAGGTAAGCGAATTCATTTCGACTCTTTCCATGCTGGCAAGAAATTCTCGTATTCCATCATACTGCTTTCAATTAGCATTTCCCAAGCTCAAAGACGGAGGTTTACCTACGAATTCCCGAGTATTATGCCTTGCCACACCCGAGTAAATTGTCTCGGCGCCACTGAATCCTTGATATGCTGCCTTCAGAGGATCGATAGGGACCCCTTGTTGAGGATGAGACAGGCTGTACCTAATATTGCACAGTAGTGCTCGACGAAGCCCGTGGGCAACTTGAAAGCCTGTAAATATAGGAAGCATAAGGATCTGTTCTTTGTTTCTCACATTATGGATGATATTAGGAGCATACCGAGTTGACGGGCTTGCTGCATTTGCTCCAGGATCGCGGTGAAGCTTTGGCGCTGTTGCCACTCCCTTTCCAAACGGTGGAAAAGCAATTCTTCAAGACAGCCGACAGTCGCCTGGCGATGTTTGGAACCGTGAAGGGTAGAAAAAGTCGACATTATCACACTTGCAGATTGTTCATGAGATGATATGAACGTAAGTTCTTCGAGCACTAGCTCTAGCCACTGTCGCCCTATAATAGAAAATTAGTCAAATCGGCCACGTCTGAAGGGGGTTGACTTCGAAAACTTACTCCGTTTCAAGAACGTCTCTTGAAACTCACTTCCCATGACTCTTTGGATGTAAAGGGGGGTAAGCCTGGCGAAAATATCACAAATACGCAAGAGACACTTGAATCACTCCGCATTAGTATATTTCCTTGTTGGAACATGGCTGTGATGACATACAGTGACTTTTGAAATGCACGAATCGACAGTCGGTTTTTCATGAAGTAGAGTACATTCTGACCGGTGACAGAATCCTGCAATTGTGTTAACGGAGAAAGCTCGAAGTCAATCATGAGTGTCTCCGCTTACCTCTTTCGAGAAAATGTCCGCACGTTTTGGGAAATTCTCGTCGCACAAGAGCAACAGCCCTTTCATGGAACTGAGTAAGCGCCACCGCAAATTTCTTTCGAATCCAAGTTTTGGCGTTGCTGAACAACTCGCCAGGAGAAGCATTTTCAAAATATGCGTCTTCCTCGGCCTCTTTGAGAGGTGACCAGCGAAGCAGAGTGCAGGGTTTTGTTGTCTGAAGGTTGTTAAAAAGGCCACAGATAAGATTTAGGCAGTTTGATGCGATTTTGCTTTCAAATTCAAGGCCGTGGATCAGGCTTTTCGCGCGAAGGATGACATCTCTGGGAAGAAACAAGATCTTCGTTTTGTTGACAACATTCGCCTCAAACGCAATCACCTGCTAATGTTAGTTCAATATCAACAGAGGAACAAAAGTGTAGACAAACATAAAGACAGAAGAAGTCTCTTGGGATACCATCTTCCAGTCGCTTCCAATCGACGGGTCGATTCTTGTCTGCAGCCCACTGAATCATCTCAAACACTACCTGCCATTGTCCAGCAAGTTTTTCCAGCCAAGTTGATTTGGCAATTTGCAGCAGAGTGGAATCACCTCCAGGCCAATCATTGGCAAAACTCTTGAAAGTGAAGAGAGATTCAACGACAGCATAATGAAAGACCGTCTCGGCGGTTTTCTTATTAGCCGTCAAGATCAGCTTGTGGGAAAGCAGGGCGTCCATCGCGGAAGTGAGATCGCCCGCAGAAATTGACATTTCGTAGATTTCAAGCCATCTGCCTTGCTTTTCGTAGAAAATACGGAGTTGGTCGAACATCTCAAACTCTTTAAAGAAGGCCTCTTTATCCACATCCGGTCCGAGGAGGTTGATGGCCGCTGGCCTCAAGTCAGCCGAAATGCGGTTTTGTTTGACTAGAATGTTGCAGAGTCTCGAATAGCGATAAAGAGTGCTGGCGTTGAGAATCTTCTGATTGCTTAAGATATTGTCAACTTTTTTCCCCCAATGACATACTTTGAGAGGTACATACTCGGTCAGGTAGGCGATGAGCTGGTCGAATTGATCACCTCGGCGCAGGACTTCCACTGCCTGTTCATATTCACCTTTTGAATGGTAACATTCCGAGGCATCTTCAAAGAGACATGCTTTCTCGTAATACAGAGCAGCTTTGCGGTAATCGCCTTGGCCTTTCCAAAGATCTGTACTGTCTTTTAGCACTTGTTCCGTTGGTAGAATGAAAAGGCACAAACCTGCCACCTTGCCATACTGTCCCAACCCTTCAAGGCAGCTAGCTGCTTCTGGGATAAGCTCAAGCTGCAAGAAAAGCACGATTGCCTTCTCATAGCATGCAGATAATCCTTCGTGGTCATCGGCTGCCCGACAAGTTCGTCCTTCTTGCTCAAACAAGCAAGCCTGCGCATGAGATATGCCACGGGGATCATTGGCCTTTTTGTAACAGAAGAGAGCCTTTGAATCCATCAGTAAATATTCTTCCAGATACGAGCCAGGTGACTTGCGTCCGCAAAATTCTTTTGGTGCAGAAGGTGCGCTGCTCTTTTAAGCCATCTCGTGGGGTCTATAGAGCCACCGGCCCGCAAGACCATGACCTTTTTCGCAACCTTAGTCGAGGTTAGTATACTGTCTTATTATTTTCTGCTGCTAAACTCACATCCGGGTCCTTCTGTTTCACGAGATCCGCGAGTTGGGAATTGTCGCTTTCTGAGAGCGCCTGAAGAACGGGCTCCACGCTGTTCTCGCTGGTTTCTATGAACCAAAGTTGCTTTCGGGCTCTCGTAACTGCAACATAAAGATGCTATTTACCATTTGTTAGAATTTGGTAGATTATGGTTGTGCCTAGGACGTACCTTGAGTTCCGAACACAATGCCTAATTTCGTGATGTGTTAGCAGCTGCTTGTAGCTATCTGAGCCACGAACAAACACATACCGCATGTTTCTGAGAATCAAATTGAGCCCGTGCCCCTCGAGCCAGCAGGCTCAAGCATCGGTAGCTGCTCCCTAGCCCACTGGAACCGAACAAGTCATAAACGAGGACGTCGTCAAACTCCATCCCTTTACTCTCCAGGATGGTCAAAACCAGAGCAACCTCGCCAATTTGACCCTGAAGTTTGTCCTTAGACATATCGTCCCTGACAAGAATGACTTGTTCAGCACCGAAGTCGGCCACTTGGTCATTGAGCTTGACCAATCCGATCATTTTTGCCGACAATATTGATGCATCAAACCCGGCTAAATAAGCCCAAAGTCAGTATACGATCGTCAATTTACAAAAAAGGCATACCGAAAATAATGGGCCGAGGTCCTCCTGTCTGTCCCACTTCTGGCTCCAACTTGTCGATGGTGTCTGGGAACCCTAAAGAGAAAAGGATCACTTTTTTGCAAGCTTCGTTCTTGGTGATGGTGCTTACCACTCCAGAGCAGTTGCATCACCCAGGATGCAAAGCTCAATATGCCTTGGTGGGAACGATAATTCTTAGCCAGGGAGAACTGTACGGGCTTCGCGAACGAAGGCTGCTTCAGCTCCTTGGCAATGACTTCGTAGTACTCATAAAACAGAGCCTTGGTCTCCGGGAAACGAAAAGCCGAGTCCTTGGAGATGCATTGAGCAGTATCGCCAGCTTCAATGGTTTTTCGGTGTCAGCCGAGAGATCCTTGACTCAAATTGGAGCTCACTCACCCAGATGAATTCCTCTGGCATCGCTGAGACAGCTTAGGATCAGCACGATGTCCAGGCACCGCAGGTCCTGGATCTCTGTATCCATAGTTAGTTACCCGGGAAAAAAAATTATAGTTTGCATACCGTCGATATAGATCTCTTCAAAACCGCGGCGAATGAGTTTCTCCAGGGTGGAATTGTTTTTCAGCAATTTCAACAAATCGCTGACCCGGTCGAGCTCGTCAACCTCCTTCAGTTGCTTCTTCTGTCTTTCGTATCGCTCAAAAGCAGCATAAACCTTTTCACGATCTGTCTCGGCCGCAAAAGCAGGGGATGCTTTGGCCTTTCGTCGAACGTACTCTGGCCGAGTCAGCGATTTTAGGGTTTTAGCGGAGGTACCGGAGCCCTTGATGACACCCATGATTTCCGCAAAAAGAAGCTCGGGAGAACAGGGCGTAGGGGCAATGCTAGACAGGCAACCCCAGTACTCGGTCTTGAAAATGTGAAAGTCGATGATCCTTGGCTTGTTCAAAATCAGGTCAGCAGTCTTCGATTTGTCCGTGCTTTCGAGGAAATCTTTGCGATCTGCCCTCCTAGAAAGTATTAGGAAATCTTTCAAGAATTAACAGGAAAATTATTCAAACCTGATGGTATTTTCAAGCAGGCCGATAAAGTCGTCATAAGTGCAGACAAAGGGGAAGTCTACATCCTTCAGGGCAAAGAACGACGTCGGCTTCGAATCACCTGACGCATCTTCGGTTGATGCACCGGCGGAGTAGGCTGCAATCAGGCTCCGTGCATATGCCCGCAGCTTGGATGCCAGGTATGCAGAGCGAGTGAGGAGGAGCTAACACGCTGTCAGTCTTGAAAATTTAATGGCCTCGGTCAAACTTTACCTGCCGAATTGGTTGCCCGGTCGAAGCTGATTTTCTCGCTCTGTATTTGGCAAGGATCTTGAAGAGTAGACAGGTGGTCTTGCCGGTCCCACTTCTTGCAAGAATCAGAGAGGATGTGTCAAAGTGGCCGACAACCTCAAGCTCTTCCGGAGACAAGTCGAAAGGAAATTCTTCTCTGCCTGTTGCCGCCGCAATGGACTTGAGAAATGGCTCCGTGAGATTATAAAACTTGTCTGGGTTGAAAGCATTAAGTCTGATCTTTGCAATATAAAGTTCCTTCAAGGTAACGGGGGCTCTTACTTGACATCTCAACGATGGCTTGGTCGGTCTTGGACGACTTGATGCATGCCGTTTGAGCGGATGCGGAACCCTTGGCATTGCCAAACTTTTGTGGAAGGAATTTCCCATCTTCATGCTTAACGGGACGTGCCAGACAGAGCTTCGTGAACTCAGGCGTGTAAGTATTCTGGAAAGCAACGATGTTGCCAATAGCGGTATCCAGCTACAATCTCCAGTCAGTGAGACAGTCAAATTTGAAGAAGTAAACAAACCTCGTCGTTTGCCGTAACTATTTTCCAGACTTTCACGATCTGCTGTTGTATCCATGGAAGCTCATCATAGAAACCAACATCCAGCTGCCATAAGATGGACACGGATTGAGAAACAATCACCTGCAGTACTGGAACGTGCATTATCTCCCTCTGCTTCTTGGAGCCTGCACGCTGGGACAAATCTTTCCCTTTCCATTCACCACTCGCTAGCTCCCTGAGTTTCTTCGCGACGAGAGCAAATGTGCCTAGTCTATATCAGCCGAGAATCTAGAATCAAGGATGAAGATAATTACCTTCATGAGCCAACTTCCTTGCATCTGTCAAAGCTGTATCAGTTAACAGAACTTTCCACAACCCGACCCGTTTCCCGAAGATGTCATATGAATGTCCTGAGTCTTTAGTTGGATATGGCTGTACATCTGCCGGCCTTGACAATGCGACCGTTTCACCAGTCAAGCCTTCCATGCAGGGTCTGCAAGGGAAGCTCTTCAGAGCAGCACGCATCATGGATGGTATGGTGATGTTTTCAAGTTGCTCGAGTGAATCAGTCAGACCGCGCATCGACGCCAATGTTTGGATCTCGAAGAAACGCAGATCCTCGAGAACGGTGGCGGGAATCTCGATATCAGGAACAGAGTCTTGACGAACATGATGCGATTTCTTGTCGTCTAGGCCGAGAGCCTTCATTTGGTCTAGGGGAGGAAGGTTCTCGATCTTTTGAGACATCTGCTTCTTCTCCTGGGCAGCGCGGATGAGAGACCTTAGAGATTCCATCAATCTGGTCGCCTTCTCTAAGTCTTCTGAGGTGGTGACAATGCCATGATCCGCCGTGCAAGCATCGCAAAGATCGATCAAGCGCTTTACGATCTGAGTCACGACGTCCAGATCCAGGCTGTGTCGATTGGAAAGCAGCCACGTATCCAACAGCTTACTGTAATTCTCATGGACAAAGAGTATGTCGAGAAGATGTGCAATAGGCAGTAGAGTGCGCGCAAGTTGGCGGAGGTAAGGCGAGGAAGGGTGGCGGATGAGTAGAGGCAGTGCTGAGCCGACCAGATCCGCACATTGCATAACTGTGAGGCTGTTATCTCGTGGAGGAATCAGTGGTAGTACAAGAGACGTGAAGAGCTTCTCTGAGACTGGAGCAGGCAGATTCTTGATTCTCAGGATTTCGAAGCATTTCTGAAGGCGTCGCAGGGCCCTGTTGGGATTGAGCACGATCTGGCCATGGACCGATTCGTCCTGCATCTCATCATGGAGACGGTGGTAGTACTTGTCAATGCTAGAAAGAGCATGTTTGTACTCATGGAGGCCAGGGCCGGCCTCTTGGACTAGGAGTGCCATCAGGGGTGTCAACGGAGAGCCCATGATTAGGATTTCTAGTAGTCACCTAGCCCGTCAGACGTTGTCAAGTAATACAGAGAAAGTGAAGAGACGATTTTTACGCACTAAATGCGTCCTTCAGGGACCGAGGTTGGCTGAAGCGGTCAAGTAAACAGATGGGGGTGTGTAGAAACAGCGAGGACGGGATGTGATGAAAAGAGGAGAATCGTGAAGAAGGGTGGCATACAAGTAGAAGATTATTTCGAATGGTGAAACAAAAACACGAGGGTGAAATGGGGGCAAATGGGAAGGAGAGAACGGAGGGGTGGACGGATGAAGGTAGACAGGGGAAAACAACCCAGAAGAAGAGCGATATCGCCCAAAATGGAAGGAGGGATTTTTGACACCCTCGCGCCTGCCTAAAGTACACATTCACCGCACAACTGCCCAGCCCAGATCCAAGGTGGCCAGTATAAGGTACATGTACCTATTTGCCTTTATCACATAATGATGTAGGTATAGAACGAGTCTTTATCTAAGCATATACTATTCGGGTTCAAACAGACAACAGATGATTGGCTGTCGCTAGCTCGGTAGTAGAACATAATACCTAGGCGTATGTGCTCTCAACTCCAAAAGCCCCCAGGATGTACTTTTAAAGAGTGTGGTTGACTCAAATTGATATACTTCCTATAAAATATGCATAGTCTCCCCGACTGGGGTCTGCCAGCTCTAATTATACTTATCGCTTACCTAATCCTACTTACCCGCGGGGGATCAACGTGATGTTTCCGCACTATCGGAAAACTCTCGCCTCCAGTCCTTCTTCACGAACACTCCCTCACTCGCTCCCCCTACCGACTCGAGCCATGGCTGCCCCACGGCTACCCTTTCTCTACCCGAACCTGATGCGCGCGGTGAGGGCATGCGAGCCTACTCCGTACCGCTCAGCTCGCCTCCCTCGGCCCGTCCCCTATACCTTCCACGCCACTCGGCATCACAACCAAGAGGCGTACCAGCGGCGCTACGGCCCAGCGGTCGACCCAAATCTGCCTCCGCCTTCGAAGCCGAAGGGTCGGAAGTCCGCCAAGTCGGGAGAGGATGCTGCAGCATCAGAAAATGAGGGTGCTGCCAATGCCACTGAGCGCAAGAATACTCAACCCGAACAGTCGCAGCAGGCGCAGTCTCAAGACGCCTCCGCGGGTCCTGCGGATGCGCAGCCTGATCCAGAACTGGTTGCTGCAGACTCAACCCCGAGCCGCTCCAACCCGCAACCGGGCGATCAGCTCGATGAGAATCCTGCGACAGTGGACGTGGGCGAAGATAACTGGGCGGCTGCACCCACGCCACTCCATGAAGCAGCAGCGAGCGAAGAAAAGCCCGAGCCGGATCCTATCCCACCCCCAAACCAGAGCGCATTCGAAGAAGTCTACCACATGCCCGGCCCGTCCGCCTCTCTCTTCCCAACAGGGTCGTCCCCATCAGACCACAACTCGTCGCCCCATCTAACCCCAGGGCCATACGTGCACCATTTCGATACATACTCGCTAGTACGCGATCTCTCGCACGGCGGCTTCACAACCGACCACTCCATCACGATCATGAAAGCCGTGCGGAGCATCCTCCAAAGGAACCTCGATCTGGCCAGGGAGAGCCTGACCTCGAAATCAGACGTCGAGAACGAGGAGTATTTGTTCAAGGCAGCATGTTCGGAGCTGCAGTCCTCTCTGCAGACGGCTCGCGGCTCGGAAATGCAGAGACAGCGGGCTTCGCGCACGCAGCTGCAGCACGAGATCGATATCCTCTCTCAGCGCCTCAACCAGGAACTATCTGGCATGAAGGATGATATCAAGGGCATGTTCAATGACCATAGCATGCTCACGCGAGAGCAGCAGCGGAGTATCGATACTTCGGTCCAGGAGCTGAATTATAAAATCACCGTGTCGCTCAATAGTGATGGGAAGAGCGAGATTGAAGGTCTGCGCTGGGTTCTCACGAGGCGCGCTGCTTTGACGGTGGGCATTTGTGCTTGTAAGTTCTTTTCACTCTGTGTATTTCCTTAAGTGGTTACTGACCGTCTGTCTAGTCATGATTATCGTCTTCCTCAAATACTCGTCCACTCGAAAGGTGCAGGAGCCTGCCAAGGTGATCAAGGAGGTGGAGAAGCCAGTCACCAAAGAAGGATCGGAGAGTCACCCTGTCCACGATGCCGGAGTCCAGACAGAGGGCGCATCTCTCGCTGAACTCAGCGAGTCGCTGGGTTGAGCCTCATCTACGAGCCATTCCTTTCCTTATCATACCGTCATCACTCACACTTATCTGTCACTACATCTGCTACTTCCCTTTGTCTTTCATTTTCAATCCCCTCCCACCTGCCTCTCCCAAGGCGGGTTGTATCACCATCAAATAGACCAACCCTGATACCCCAATATATATTCTCTGCCCCGGCACATTCAAACATATTGATTCATAACATAAATATTAACCAACAATCATCAGTACAATGCAACACTCCCTCCACAAAGATATCCTCCCCTAGGCTTAACCTCCTTCAACCACGGCACTTCGTGCGGCAGATACTTATACGCGCGAAAGACCGCATTACTCGGATACGAAAACCCCATCTTCTCCATCTGACCCAGTTCCTCCGGATCCATAACCCGACTGTAATCATCCAGCTGCGGCACCACGAACTCCCACACCATCTGCCCGTGCCCAGTAACCTCGATAATCCGCCCCGAGGCAGCTTCGCAGATCAGCACGTTGCCATTCTGTAGCTTCTGCGCCGATCCCATGCACGGGGTGAAGAAGCCGAGTCCGCCCGTGGTGCAGTCCTTATATTCCCAGATCACCTTCTTGGAGCGGTTGACGATAATGGCGCGGGAGACAGGCACGGAAATCTCGGGTCGAAACACGCCGTTATCGAGAATGAGAATGTCGCCAGCGGCGTTGATTTCGTGGGCGCAGTGCTGTTGGCACACCGTTGGTGCGGATATTTCCCATGTCACAGATCCGGTCTGTCGAGAGATAATGAAGACGCTGGAGGCATTGCGGGTCGATGCCACGATGTTGCCCTGCGAGTTAATGGAGATGCTGCTGATCAGCGGCCAGTGTTCGCGTGAGTAGTGTGGGTGCGCCGCGAAGTTGGATGTGTCAAGGTGGTCGATGGCTCGCCATGACCAGAGGAGCTTGGCTCCGCCGGCGCCGCCTGTGCCGTCGAAGTCGGCGGATGAGGACTTGGTGGTCTTTGACCATGGATCTACGAGTTTGATGCAGTCACCGTATACCACGCCACCCGGTGCCTCACTGCCAGGGATCCCACCTTTTACCCGAGCTGCCTCTTCGGGCGTCAAAGGTTCTAAATTCGTGTAGAGGAGAGTGCCGTCGTCAAGATGGTTCTGGTCGTGATGTGCAAATGGATCGGAGTACTGTCGCAGAATCTCGCCCTTGTCGTTCACCTGCATCATGACACCGCCGCGGTATTTGGACCACATGGGGAACAGTGTCGCAGCATCAGGGTGTGCGCCATTGTAGGCTAGTGTTCCGTCACGCAGGATTCGAGCATGGCGGCCAGATCGGTGAGGCAGAATCCATCGATGCACTTCATGTCCGGATGTGGAGACTAGATGGGCTGTGTTGGAGGTTAGAGGCGAGTACAGCACGTAGCCTGGAGACACCTGCTGTGGATCGACCCCGCGAAGACCGAGGCCTCGGCGACGAAAGGTGTGCTGCTCCATTTATAAGTAATGCGTTGAAACAAAATATAGTCGACAATATCACTCACACAAACAATGACGACAGGCTTCATTATATCTAAAGTTGGTTGCATGAGCTTAGGGCACGGCGGACCGGCTTCCCTCGGTCGGTTCCGCGGCGGAGGTCATCGCTGCAATATCGGCATGGATATGGCTTCAAAGCTCGGATAGGGTTGCAAGTGTTTTGGGTGGAAATAATTTCGATAATTTTGACCAATTTGACACTGATGTCCTCAACCAGGCGTCATGTTTGGGGGACTCTGTGGGAAAAATGTCAAGTTCGACAGCAGATCCCATCCGCCGTCCACCGTCGTCCCCAGTCCCAGAAATTCAGGGAAATAATAATTGTTGAAATTCTCATCTGGAAACTCATCCGCAAGCGCAGTGAGTGGTGTTTTCTCGACCCGAGGACGCAGTTTTTGATGCACCTTGGCGATGATATTGCCAAGGGTATGCGCAGCATGACAGGGTAGCCCGATGCAGGGAAGCCACTCCACAAGACTGTGAATCAGAGAGTCCAGCTCCGCGATGTTGTGTGTAAATGTCAGTTGGCCTTCATAGACATTGAGTAAGCGGCAAATCACAATAGCTGCAAAGGTAATCATGTGGTAGATGTGATCACTGAGATGGCGAGTCTGATCATCGACTGTGTCCATGGCAAGCTGGATGATGGTAGTGGAATGCCGAATCATTTCTGAAACGACTGAGTCGCGCGCTCGAGCTGATTTGGATTTCAATGCGTGTTCGTATAGAAGCAGATTGGAGAAATGGAATCCCATCATGAGGAATTGCGATCGTGGTTGTTCTAAATGACTGTTAGACTTGAACCCCAGTATGTCCGAGGGAATGCCATACCTAGCACGAATTCCCACTTTCGTTTCCAGGCCTGCAGCGCCGCAACGGACTTGAGAAGATCAACAGATTCCTCAATCAGATTTTCATACACAGTCCAGTAGAGATGAATCTCAGCAACCATGCGCACTTCGAAATTAAGAGCATGATCCAGATCGAGGATAGTTTGGCACCTCTCAATCTGCCAGGCCTGCAGCGTCGATCTGCGGCTCGTCCCGACGCAATAGTGTAGATGAGCAAGACAAAGATGGTTCCACAAATAACAACGGTCCGTTGCGGCGTCATCCAGCCTAGCAGGAGGTTTGGACTGGGTAGTGGCCACGGTGAACAGGGGACTAGATTGGCAGTGCTGCAACGCAAATCCGCTGAGCAGCCAGCTATCAATGCTCAACGGCACTTGTCCCACGGTTGTGGACCACATGCACAGGATAAGGGTGCCCTGGAAGAATTCGATGGGTTGTGGCGACACGAGAATATTGCTCGACACCAGAGACCGTGCGCATTCATAGAGTCTAGGCGCCAGGCTGGCGGCCAGGTCCTCGGAGGTATGTCGCACAGCGATCAAGCAGCAAGCGCAGAGGAGGAGAGACGACTTGCTCACTCGCTTGAGGATGACATTCGGGTCATCTTGCGGCTCGTAGAGAATCCACGGGCCATAATACTCCAGAAAGCTGGATCGACAGTCAGTGGTGTGTAATCCAATCGAAAAAAAGAAACAGCGACGACATACATCGAAATAAGAGTCAATGCAAGATCCGGCGAGATCAGATCATCCAATACCGCATCAACCGATTTTGTATTGGTGGTTGGGAGCACTGCCGTCTCCGTAGCCAGGTCGCGGATCATGATCACCGGGGCGTCGGCCGACTCCGTCGTATCTGTGTACGCCACATCGCCCGACTCCGGGGTCGTGAAAGCCGCAGCAGACTTGTGCAATTGCCGGTCAGGGACCCTGTCAGGGTTCTCTCCTAGCCGGTCGAGGAGAATAGCCACAGTTTGTTCCAGGCGTTCCAGTCTATGGATGGATGATTATCAGTCAGTCCGGAAATCAAGTAGGGGGACCTCCGCCATACCGCGCATCAGTCGCAGGTGCGGAGACAGCACCACCCTCCTCTGCGGGGGACTCGATCTCCACAAGGGAGCAGTGCTGGCGCAATCGTTCGCATCGAAGACATGGTTTTCCTGGGGTTCCAGGTTCATAGCATCGCGTCTTTTGCTTTCTGCAAGAGGCGCACGCTCGGGAAGCGCGGCCTCGGTCCGCTGGCATGTCGACGGCGAGGACCAGGGATTAGGAGGCGAAGAGGAGGTCTCTCTCCAACAATTCCGATTCTTATGAGCCCCCTTTGAATATTCCCAGAAATTAAAATCGGAACAAGTACAAAAGCCGGCGCTAAGGCAAAGGGCATACCGATAGCGTCACCTGATGGCGATAAGAAGATAAGGGTCATGCGACTCCGGGATTATTCACCCTCGTGCGATTGGCTGAGGCCTATGTATAAGGATTGGATTGTAACTATAGCTGCTAGATATCTAGACGGGGGGAACTCCTATCGACACTTGGATACAATCTGACTGCATCCGGGAATCATAATTCTTTATTAAAAATCCATCCGCAAAGCAATACTCGGCGCCGCCTGCTGCGGGCTTTCGGCGGAATCAGTATTCGTCCTCGCCGAGGCAGCACCTACCCCGACACTGCGCAGGATTTCCTCCAAAAGTGACTTTTGATCGGGGTTCATACCGGCCACCAGCGTCCGGAATACCAGCTGATCAGCCTTGGCAAGCTCGAGGAGATGGCCCGCAGACTCCTTGTGCACAGAGGGCCCCTCGCGGGTGGCGCGTGCCAGCAAGGAAGATACCACTAGCGAGACAGCCGCGGGCAGCTCAGTGCTGGAGAAAGTGGCGTTGGTCACGCAAGATACGAGCGTTCGCGCAACGACGGTGCGGGAATTCTCAGGGTCGTTGGGGATTTCGCCGGTGTCGAGCGGGCAGCCGACGAGGAAGGCGATAAGGCGAGGGGTGAGGTATCGGGCGATCACTTCATCGGTCGTGGAGCGTGGGTGGGGTTTGAGCAAAATGGAACGGATACAGCTGGCGGCCACGGTGGCTAGGCCGATATCCTGGAGACAGTCGAGGAGCTCGTCCAGAACGCGGACGATGACTGGGTCGTTGGGTGGGATGACATGTCCGCCCGCCGTGAGGAGGAAGGTGATGGCCAGGAGTGTGTTCTTGGCACAGGGGAGAGATGTTTCGGACTCCCGGCGCTGGGCGATGGTGAGGATGGTCAAGAAGCGGGTGAGGCACCCACGGATCTGGAAGGACACCACGTCAAGGTCTTCGGGCTGGTCCGGTGCTTGGGTGATGCCGTGGACGAATTGCCGGAAGATCGGGAGAGCTTGAGGCACGACTGCAGACTGACATATACCCGTGGCGAGAATGGTAGTGAATATATGCAAGATGCAAGCATGCAGGTCGTTGCGGATGATGGACGGGAAGACCGATGCCACCTCGACGAGGGAACCGAGCGCCAGGCGAATGAGGGTCAAGGAGTCATCTGACGTGACATGAAATCGCGCGAGAGGGTTTGACTCGCGAAGATTGGGAAGCATCCCTGCAAGGACAAGGATGATGCTTCTGGTGAGCTCGAAGAGTTGTTCAATGTCATCGGAAAGATGGTCGCCTCGTTCCTGATCGCCCTTGGCCGCGGGGTGATCCAGCGAGAGATTCTGCGCGATATCGACAATGACAGTCTGGATGGGAGTGCCTTCGGTCAGGACAAGTCGGTCGAAAGTGTCCATGGTTTCCGAGAAGATGGCGTCTTGGTAGATGGCATTGCCAGAGATGACAGGTCGGAGGATTCTCTTGAGAGCCAGGAGAATAGCCATTCGTTGTGGGGGTAGAGTTGCTTGATCGACCAGAGACTCAAACGCCAGGCCGAACAAAACGAAAAAGAAGGCGACTGGCTCCTCGCGGTAATTGATATTGTGCCCCTTTCCTTCTGGGTTGCCGTTGGGGAGCTCCGTCTTTTCCTCCTCTTTCTTTTCTTTCTCATCTGCCTCTTCATTCTCCTCCCTCTCCTCCTTCTCCATTTCCTCTTCCTCCGTCCCCTCTTTCTCGGTCTCCTCCTTCTCTGTCTCTTCTTTCTCGGTCTCCTTCTCGGTCTCTTCTTTCTCCATCTCTTCATTCTCAGTCTCCTCCTTCTCCATTTCCTCTTCCTTCATCTCCTTCTTTTCCATCTCCATCTCCTCTTCCATTTCACTAGGCTCTTCAGCCAGCGGCAGCTTACCATCCAAGGCATCAAAGACAAAATCAATATCTTTCTCAACCAAGCCGGCGATTGCATCAACGAGGTATAGCCACGAATCCTGGTAAAAATTCAACAGAGTTTCCCGGTTCAGCGCAGCGTAAACCTCATCCAGGTTGCCACTCTGCGGACTGGTGCCCAGACTACCAGAGATATCCGGCTCAAAGCGCAGTCTGGCATATTCCTGCAAAGAAGAAAGCCACAAGGGGGTGAGTTTGGCAAGATAAGGTTGAACCACCCGGTTCAAGTACTCTTGTTCGATGCTTGCAATTTGGAGCCGAGCCCACGCGGAGAATAGGGCCAGTTTGACCATCACCCGGGCATTCGAGTTCAGACCTTTGAGATCACCGATCTCGGTAGTCTCGGGATTTTCTATGCAGAATGAGTTAGGCATATTTCGCACGCATTGAAAATAGAAAAAGCTTACTGGCAAAATTCTCCAGGCCAAGAACGAGGAGTTTGAGAATCCTCCCCATGCGATCAACGTTTGTGACTATCCCCGTTGCAATGAACGTGGCCGAAACATTGATCGCCTCGGAAGCGAGCTCCGCTGACGAGTCTGCCGCAAAGGCAGGAGTAAGCGCCGATCCGATCTGAGCTTGGTACTGCTCGAGGAGGGATGCCTCCGAGAAATCCGGATCGGGGGTCTTGCCAAACATTGTAAGAACCTGGTCGATAATCTTCAACCCCCACACTCGCAACTCGATGACACTGGCAGTAGACGCCGAGAATGCCATGCGGATGATGTCTCCAACTTTCGACTGCAGCGCGAGCTCAGCCGGAATAGTTTGGTCTGGGAGGATGGCCTCTTGCACGGTTGCCAATAGCCCAGAGAGACAGCTCATGGCAAAGTTGCGGGTCTGCCACTTGAGCAATTCCTGGCCCGAGGCACCATCACCGGTCGAATCACCCTGCCCTTCTGCAACGGCGAATCCCGCAACCTCATCATCTGGGATATCGGCAGCCGGAGCAGCCGTGGTTGCGGTGGCCTCTGCCTTGTTGCGTGTTTTGGTCATGACGTGTTGGCACCGTTGGATCCACAGCTCAGTTTCGGTGAGGGTAGTCTGCTGTAGCCAGTCTTGAATCATTGTCTTGAGAGACAGGTTATCCGGGGCATCATCGAACGCGAGCCAGATATCATCCTCGAGAGTTTCAGTTGCTGTCCGTATAACAGCCGCCGCATCTCGTTTCATGAGGTTATTCAGCCCGCGGACTGCCACGGCCCGCATCAGGGGATCGCTGGCGCACAGCTCGCTTTGGAGCCGGTGGACATACCCGGAGAAGTCCACGAAGCTGGAGGCGTACAGAGAAAAGTGGTCCAAGCACTTGGAGCTCTCGGTGACCAAAGCAGGGTTGTCCTCCAATTGAAACTGGCGGAGAAGGGTAAGGATAAGGTTCCGCGTCTTTGCGATATCTTGCAGATCCGGTCCAAGAACATTGATCAAGGAGTCCACACAACGACTGATCACCACGGGCGTCAGGAAGGACATTTCGACGTTGGAAGTGGCCAACGCAGCCGCTTCTTCGTTGTGGGTATCGGCGTTGTAAAGTTGTGCAAGCATTCCCAGAGAGCTGGAAACAAACGGTGAGAAAGTCAAGCCGGCAGAATTGGCAACTCTTTCCAGCCCGCCAAGTGCCCAAAAGTGAACGACTGGATGAGGATCATTGCAGAGTGACATCAAGACGCCGACAATGGTCTTGAGGTGCAGACCAGCTGCCATACCGCCGACTTGAGAATGGATACACCCCAAAGCGGAGGCGCAGCCCGCACGGGCGTTTGGTTCTCGATTGTCTACAATAGTGTCCACAAGCCACTTGACCTGGATATTGGTGCAGGCATTTCCAGCGCTATCGCAGAGCCGTCCCAATGCCTCAACGCCAATCGTGCGGACAATAGGATCGACATCAGTGACAAATTTCTATAGAAGAGTAAGTTCCCAACTCTGTTTGAAGCATCACCATCACTGAGAGAGAACAACGAACCTGTAAAAGCTCCTGCAAAATCTTATCCGTAGAAGTACTCAACTTGCCTGCCGCAAAATCCGTCTCCTTGACCGCAACCTTGAGGGCAAGCAAAAGAGCCACAGAAATATTGACAGCCAACGCTGCCTTCCTACCAGGGTTTCGCTGCAGGGCGGGGGAGCTGAGAAAGGTGGCGATTTGTTCGACGCTGCTCTCCTGGATCTTGGGGGAGTGGAGCGCGAGTGCGACGGAGAACAGCTCGATGGCTGAGTTGACGACTCCTGTCGTGGGCGGATCGACAGAGAGGGTCTCCTCAGCTCGCAGACTGTACAGAAGGACAGCGTCGTGTTCGCTGGCTTGGCAGACGGGGAATGTCAACTGAAATGATGTTAGATTTCTAATCACTTCGATGAAGAAGGGGTACTCACAGGATCATCCACACCGTCATCTGCAGAGTCAACGGCAGACCAGGCCGGTCCGTGATCATTGCCATTTGTGCCGGACAGGGTAATACGAATGTACTCTCTGGCCAGCCCGGTGACGCCAAAGCCGTAATTATCGCAAAGGTCCCATAGTCCCTCGAACTGGCCCGTCGAGCCCGCAATTGAGCTTTCCAGTGGCCGGTACTGGGCATCGGGATCGGCGAAGGAGGAGACAGCAAGACTGAGAAGCGTGGACTGAGAGATTATGTCTCCGTGACTGGGGTGGTGCACATGTACCAGCTTTGAGAAGCACTGTAGCACTCGGCGACGCACCATGGTCGTGAAATCGTGCAGCTGTAAGGAAGGATGCAGTCGCTGTGAGATATCTTCCATGGACTTGGGCCGCGGGAGATCGTCCAAGAAGTCAACGGTGTTCTGGAGCATAGTTGCTATTCTCTTGGCACCGTCTGCGGTGATCAACTTGCTGTTGAATTCCATGAAGACCAGCAGTGAACTCAGGGCGCATTCTCGGACGTGCGCGAGAAAGCTCGTCTCGAGCGTTCCGCGTTTAGCGGCATTTTCTTTGCTGAGGTGGATTGGGAGAGCATTCTTCCAAAGCAGCATCAGCTGGGACAAATGTATTTTGACGAAACTTGGTCCGAGGGGCATCAATCCGCCGATCAGGATCCACGCCACTTGGATTTGTGTGCTTGCAACTCGCAGCTCAGATGTGCTGCTCGTTTTCAGGAGATCGGTTGCCTGGGAGAATACACGCGCGAAGACATCCACGGAGCCATAGAGCGGTTGCAGGCGAGAGGTGCTCAGCATGGCTGACAGACCATTCGCGAAACCAACACAGCGTCGAGGCGATTGTCGAGGTGTCGCAAGCTGGCCGAGCTCCCTCGTCAAGCTGTTCATGCTGATAGTCACGCACGACAGGAACTGGTGGGGACATGCGAGGACGAAACTACGCAGGCAGTGCGCGGTATGCACTTGTACCGTATAGCTGGGATGAGAGAGGATTTGAATCAACGCGTCTCGGCAACTGTCAGCATGCACACCGAAAGCTGAGCCGAGCGATGAGATGAAAGACGACAACGCGCTGACGGCGCTTGTCAATGTATACTTGCTCGGCTCGCGACGTTCCTGCATGACTTGTGGGTAGTCCTTGAGGATATCATTAATCAGCCACTTGGCAGCGTTAAGCTGGCTGTTCTCGCGCAGCAATTCTCGGCCAATGGTGTCTTCGAGAATGCTCTTGACGAGCTTGCGGGTCATCAAAAGACGGAACCGGTTGTATGTCACAGTCGGGTGATTCAGCAGTTCAACAAGCAGATTGGTGGCAATCTGTCCATAGCGTTCTTCAACAACCTTGTCACCCAAGTTCCGCACGACATATTTGTAGCAGACGCAGATGCCCGCACGTGTACGGTTGGAGGTCGTACTCCGCAAATACTGCGATGAAAGCTGCCGCAACAAGTCCGGCAGCAAAAAGTAGAGCCGCGACTCGGATTTCTTCGGGGCAGAGGAGGACTCGGACACCTCGGCTTCCTCCTCATCACCGGGGCGTGATGGAGCCTTCTTGGACGCTTTTTTAGACTTCTTCAATTTGGGCTTCGGGGCCGCCTTCATATGCGCATCCGTTGCATGCAATTTCACTAATGCCCGACCAAGACAGGCAGCCGCGGCGTGTCGGACCGGAGCCGCGGGGCTGTCAATGACTTTCCAGACCAGGGTTTTCAGGTTGTCAAAGTCATTTGCATTATCGAAGTAAGGGTTCGCGTTGAGCAATTGCTCCAGGCAGCGACAGGCATGGACCTGGACGAAAGTTGACTTGTCGCTGGTCGCCGCATTGCGCACCTGCTTCCAAATATCCCGCGCGGTTGGCTCGTCGAGCGGAACGCCCACGCCCACCACGATCTTGCGCAACACTGCAAAGACGACCCCGCGAAGACCGGTGTTGTTACTGGCCGACTTGAATAGCTTGATCATGCTCGAGGTAGCAACGCTCGACTGCATGAAGGCACTCCCGCCCGCGACGGCAAAGATCTCGCCGAGACAATGCGCGGCCGCGAACTTGGTCTTCAGTTCCGCCTCACTTTTGCTAGCATTGACGAGCCCGAGAAGGTCGGCCACGGTCTCAAAGAGGATCCCACGATCCCCTTTCCCCAGAATGGCGCCAAAGCATCGTCCCAAATTATTGCGGAGGACGCGCGTGAGGGTGGGGGAGGGCAGGGTCAGGATCTTGAACAATTCCTTTTTCAGATCTTTCTGTTGCGACGAGACCTGCGCTGCGTCTAGACCGGAGATGTATTGCACCAGGTCCGAGGTGAAGGTGAGCATATAAAGGTCTTGCTGTTCGGAGGGGAGCGCATGCAGCTTGGCCACGTCGAGCTCCGGGGCCGCATTTTCGGGGTGTTGGGGTAGTTCGGGGGGAGGAGTGGACGTTGCGGGCGCAGGAGAGGCTGGGGCCGAGCTTGGGGCCGACATGGCGAGGTGAAGAAGGGAGGGCAGGCCAATTCGTTGGCCCTCCGAGTGATTGAGTGCGTAGGTGAAAGCATCATCAACAACAGACCAACTCCTTATCGTGTGGGACCGGCCTGCGGAGGCCGGAGAAACTGCCGGCCCGGGGAATGTATACGGACGGGTTGGGCCGGACCTTTTCTTCAAACAATGGCCATCCGCCTGAACAGGCTGCTGCGACAGCCATACAACAGTGGTTATGGTAGCCGCTTCAGCACTTCTGCTGGACTCTTGGCCGGACACAGCAAATGGTCCACCATCAAGCATGACAAGGCCAGGAACGACAAGGCCAAGAGCAAAGAGCGCCAGCTGGTGAGCAAAGAGATCCGCAATGCCACCCAGTGTATGAATCCTCTTCCCCCGCGGACTGTATTTCTGTTCATCATGGCTCACCCAGGATTAGTATGGGGCCCCGACCCCAAATTCAACCCCCGTCTCACCCTCGCCCTCTCCAACGCCAAACGCGCATCCATCCCTAAGACTGTGATCGAGGCCGCCATTGCCCGCGGCCAGGGCCTGAGCGTGACAGGACAAGCACTGGAATCTATCACCATTGAAGCCATTCTCCCAGGATCCGTGGCAGCGGTGATCGAGTGCCAGACAGACCAGAAAGCACGCGTGCTACAGGATATCCGGTTTCTGATCAAGGATAACGGCGGCAGTATCGCGCCGACAACATACTTGTTTGAGAAGAAGGGGAGGGTGGTTATGGAGAAGAAAGACGGAGTTGATTTGGATAATTACCTGGACCAGGCGATTGAGGCCGGCGCGGCGGATCTGACGGTCGATGAACAGGGTCGTTTAGTGGTCTTCACGGATCCGTCGGGGACGAAGAGTGTGGGCGAGAAGTTTTCCAAGCTTTCTGGGTTGGAGATTGAGGAGGTGGAGATTATCTGGGATCCGACTCAGGATGGATTGGTCAAGGAGGTGGATGAGGAGCATGCGAAGGTTCTGGATTACCTCTTGACTGCTTTACGCGAGGATCCCAGCGTGCAGGAGATCTACTTGAACCCTCCTAATATCCTCTGATCATGGTTGACTCGGACGATTTGAATCTGGACCGCTCCCGTCCGAGGGGCGGATGTACAACATTGGATACAGATACCCACGGCGTTCATGGCAAAAGAAAGATCGGGGAAATAGAGAACCAACATAGATATCAAGCGTGTTCCATTCATTTACTCCTTCCGTAGCGCCTTCATCGTGCTCCTCATCAACTCACTCGTGCCCCGACATCCAACGGCCTCCAGCCAGTCAAGCATCTGCACCCGATAATCTTGCCAAGTGACCTTCGCCCCGCCGTCCTTCTCAAGCGCCTGCAAGAACTTCTGGGTAACCGGTTTCCGCAGTCGGGGGCGATCCTCCCCGATATTTTGGTCATTTTCGATATCAGCAAAACATGCCGCGGAGAAATTGCACAGCGCGGCGTGGTAGCTGATTGAGAAGATGGATGTGACGGTAGACTGAAACGCGCTTTCTCGGTCGTATCGTCTAGATGCTTCGTTGGATCCTCGGAGGTACTCTGTGAGCGCAGTAATTGTTTCTGCGGGTATCAGACAACCAAGCGCATTGGGATCGTCTCGGTTCAGGGCGCGATTGCGCCAGACCAGATTGCACATGTCCATCACGTAGCCGTTGAACTGGCCGACCAGCTCATTGGGATACAGTGGGTCTGGGGGGTGGGGTAATTGGAGGACTTTGGAGCTCAGGGAAGTCTCAAATGCGGATTTGTAGCCTGCTAGTATGGAATTGAGCATGGAGAGAAGGCAGGCGGATGAGGTGAAAGCGAGGGTGTAGACAGTCGGTGCGAGGGGGATCGTGAGTCGGATATGCGCGTTCTGCGAGGCGTACGAGAACAGGTGTGTTAGGACTTTGTAGAATTGAAGCACAGAGAGTGTCCCGGGCTTGGTCTGGTTTTCGTCGGCCACAGCAGGTAGAAACTCGAGCATGGTTGAGGCCAGCAGTCCTGCGTGCGCAATCGCACGGCTCAGAGGGACTGACTCTTCGGAGACCGAGGGCTGCCGCTGCAGTTTGACGCCCCATTGACTGATCAGCGCGGAATAAAAGTCCAGCAAGGCCGTTCTGGACACAAGTGTGCCATCCAGCACGGCGGCCTCCGTAGGTGACAGTAATTCCTCTTGCAAGGAGTCGAAGGACTCCACGGGGAGATACTCAAGGAGTCGAAGGATATCTTCACGATTATCTTTGCCGTTCCAAATCGTGATATATGACTTCAAAAAAGAACGGACCGAGACCGGGAGTTCCTGTGACATTCAGTATCTTGAATCCACAACGCCACCAACGATCTTACCTTCGTGTACGAAGCATATCCCACAACAGAATCCAGAACATAAGATAATGTCTCAGGCTCGTCATCCACATTCTCCCGAAGCTGTTCCAGCTTATCCTCCAAAAAGCTTCTCAACCACTCATCCAAGCGACGATGTGCTGCCTCCGGCTGAACCAGGAACAAATACTTTTGAGCAATAGCATCACCAAGCGTCGAAATGATCTGATTTGGAAGCTCGATCCTGTCAATTTTCTCGACGAAGTGACCGATATCACGGATCTCTTCCAGCGAGGTATGTTTCGGCGGCACGCGAGACGTCTGCAAGCTCGGGATCACCACTTCGATCTTGCTCCTCTTCACTGTGCCTCGGTGAACCACCTGAAACAGCCGGTCATTACCAGCCTGTGCCGCTCGTTCTGCATTCTGATCATGAAGGATCTTCGCGTGGCTCGACCACTCCGGGTCCGGGTGCTTGAAAATCAACCCCATTCTCCTGGTCAATCCCAGATCCCCGACAATGATCTCGGGATAGTAGTTCTTGAAGATCCTGAGCAGACTAACGAGCTCTTTTTCCTCGCTCCCTCCTGCCCGAAGCAGCTCCATCAAAGCCTGGATGCGAAACGGCTTGACGTGTTTCCGCCGCGTGATCAACGATAGCAGATGACACAGCGGCTTCCGTAGACTGATCATGTCGAGATAATTGAAGAGCACTGCATATAGCTTGGCAAGATGCGCTCTGTCTTCGAGCAGGTCATACACCAGAATCAGCCAGCGCAGCGACAGCGCCTGCGTCGCGGCGCTGGGCTTATTCTTGCTCGGCCCCAGGCAACAAACCACCTGCGTGACCAGCTTGGACGCTATCTTCTCTTGCGGATATAGATTCTTGACCAGGGTGGTGACCGTGCCTTGGTCCAGACTGTTTTTCGTCGTGAGGATCTTCAACAGACGGGCCAGCTCGTTCGGCGGAATGCCATTCTCGTACGCGTCCGAGGCAATTATTTTGGCTAGGTCGCTGGCATCTGTGTATCTTTGCTTGACGGGCACAAATGCAACTGTAAGAGAGTCAGTTGGCGCGAGACCGGGTTTGACCGCGGTCTGTTCTTACCGGCTTCCAGGTGTTCGACCGCGTCCAGCAGCCGAACTGACTGGCGATTGTTCCCTACGGCCATCAGCGACTATCCACGAACTGAATCATCAATTGGAACATACCCAAATTATCCATGGCGATGTCTATCCCAGTCTAGGTACTGGGGATTGGGGCTGGTGATCAGGCCTCGGGAATTCGCGTTGGGTGTTCCCGTGCAAAAACAAACAGCCGCGCCCAACACGGAATCGTCAACAACTCGATAATATTATTATCTCAGGGCAACAAAGCATCGGCATTCGAACTCGGATGAAAGTCGTCTAAAGTCGCGGAACGTGCGCGCAACGGAGAAGAAATGGGCTTAAACCCAATCAGGAAATCAACAACAATGTACAATTATTATTATTTACACGAACGGGTTCTTATTATCAACTACAATAATCATGTCTAGATTCAACTATGCTTCTTTCACATTGCCAACCCTCCAAGTAATGAATTGCACTACAAGGAATAACCCAGCTCGGTCTAAATGACTTCAAAACTCATTCATTTTCTCTTCCGGGTCGACGCCTGGGACGAGCTGGGCTGGGCAGCCGACGTCTGAGCAGTCACCTCAAGCGACTTATCGATCTTAGCAGCCGCGGGCGCAGATTCGTCTTCCTCGTCGCTCTCGCCACCCTGTCCGAACTCGTTGACGCGCGTATAGTCCACCTTGTACTTCCAGCTCTGGTACACCCAGACAAAGAAGATGACGTCGTCGCGCAGGGTAGCCAGGCGGTGCAGCCACGGCATCTTGACCGTGAATGCGAAGAGGTCGTCGATGAAGGTGTTGAGGAACTTGTACGTCAGTGCCTTGCCGGGCAAGTGGGCAACGGACTGGAACAGGATTTAGTGGCTATTCGCGGCTGCTGGGGAAAGGAGACTGACCTTCAAGCGATAGTTGATATACAAACTGGGAACCATCATGAGGAATCCGTAGGCATAGACACTGCCCACGAGCGTCTGAATGATGTACGAGTACCACGACTTGTGGGTGTTGTAGATCAGGCTGTACGCGGCATAGGCGGCCAACAGGGGCACGGCAAGGATGTATAGATAGCGGAAAGCAATCTCGTCATACTCCTTGGTCTTCTCCTCGGTCTCCGACAGCTTATGCTTGTCCTCGAAGACAATAACATACGGCAAGAACGAAAAGAAGGAGCCGGCGGGTGGTGGACGAACACGAACGTCGACCGTCTTAGTGATCTTCCAGGCTTCCAGCAGAATACCGAATCCCTGACTGGCGAGAATCATCCATGAAGTGTTATCGCTGTTGTCCATCAGGTAGAGGAAGATGACGGCCTGCATGAAGACATTGGCCAGAATCGTTCGGACCGAAGTGCCGACAATGTCCTTCTTCTTGCGCCAGTGAGCCTATAATCGGGTCAGTAATTGCCGCTCACATTCAAAGGAGTAGAACTGACGATATCGTTCTTGAAAGCCAGAGTCTCAAACAACATATGCAGGATAGTGACTACACCAGTGGTGCCCAGGAGGTAAATGTTCGTGTCCAGGAGAATCTCCTTGACCATCTCCCACTCGGTTCCATCGCCACCACCGGGCACGGGGCCGCCGTACGCGGCCTGGCGAGCACTTTGCTTGGCACCTTCATCGATACTAGTGATGATGTTGAACTTCCAGTTTGCCATGTTGTTGAGAGTGATGCGCAGCGGGACCGTGTCGACCGTCGAGTTCAATTCCGTCATGTGGGTTTTCAGCTGCCAGAAGGTGTTCAGGAACACAATCGGGTAGTACCAGCCGTTTTGGCCGCTCAGATCCCGGGCACCGCTTCGTTCGAGCTGCACATACTGGCGGACTGCCGGCTGCATCTGGGGGAATTTCTGGGATCCGGAGTCGGGGATGAGAGAGACGGTAAAGTTGGGATGATAGTACGACACGGTCTGCACGTCCGGCGTGGAATCTTCCTCCTCTTCCACCTCCGTTCCGTCACTGGACAGGAGGTTCTTCAGCTTCTTGGCCTTCTTCTTGGCGAGGTACTGGTTCAGCGGGCGCACGAAGTGGACGGCATTCTCGGAGCTGTAACCCTTGGCGGCGGGATCGAGTTGGTAGCCCGTCTGAGCGACAAAGAAATGCGCCCAGAGGGTTCCGTTCTGCTGGACCTGCTTCGGAATCTTGATGGTCGTATCGATCTCCCGGCTGTCGCTGTAGTTTCCAATTGTGAAGTTCTTTTCGCTCAGGACCAGCTCGGCCGACTTCAGGTTCGGGATCACGGTGGACGGCGCCACATAGATACTGATATCGAGGGCGCTGTTAGACGGCCAGATCGGGGCGATGAGATCGGGGATGGCGCTGTAGTTGGAGACCAGGTTGGGGTCAGGACGGTCAACGAAGGCCGGCATGTTGCCCGGCTTGACGTCGGAAGCAGCATCCTGCTTGTTGCCAAAAAATCGGCCGATGACGAATTGCACCAGCAGGAAGATGCCCAGGCCTTGGAGGGCAGCCTTGAAGCCGGACTATAGTTGACGAGGTCAGCCACCCCGCGACAGTCAGACGCGATGAATTCCACACGTACATTAGCCTCGGGCTCATCCCGGCGTTGGCGCTGCTCGGGCATGATGGTTAATAGGGTTGGGGGAAACGGGGAATAGAGAAGAGAAGAAGAAAAGAAAGGAAAAGAAAAGAAAGGAGGGACAAGATGGTCACTTCCATCCGGCGGCCTTGGCACATTTGTTTCTCTAATTGCTTTCCCCAACTTTCTTAGCTAACAGTGATAATTAACGACACATACGCTCGAGTCCTCCTTTCTCATACCCCCCGATATATTCTCCATCTATCGTCGCAACCGCGATGGGCGCGCTCATCCCCCCGACATGACGGACACTCATCCCTCCTCCGACGCCTCCCGCGCGCACTTCCCGTCGCACACCGAGCCGCGAGTCTGGCTGATCACGGCCGGCGACTCGCCCATTGGCATCTCTGTCGCGCGGCAGGTGCTTGCGCATGGGGATTCAGTGCTTCTCGGACTCGCGCACTCCGTTCTAGACCGCGACGAGCGCCGTCGCGATGGGTTCGAGGCATTTCTCGCCGAGGTGGAGGGGCACCAGCACGAGGGATGGGGGCAGCGCATGAAGACAGTTCCCCTGGACATCAGGTGCGCATCCCTCCTGGCACTTATCGGAGCTTTCTAATAGGACCCTCGTACGGCAGAATGATGGGCGAATGCCAAGCTGTCTTCGCGCAAGCTGTAGCGACATTTGGAAGAGTCGATATCCTCCTGTGCTGCACGAGTCAAGGTATGGTGAGACCCGTATGCCTTATTTAAAAAGATACTGACCCCCTCTATAGCGCTCATCGGAACGGTGGAAGAACTTGCCGCATCGCAGCAGACCCTCAACCTCGTCCGCGATCAATTCGAGATCAATTACTTCGGTCCTCTGAACATCATTAAGGCCGCACTGCCTCACATGCGTCGAGAACAATCAGGCCATATCATGATCCTGTCCGGAATCAGTATGATTTCTCTACACTCTATTGAAAGGGTTCTTCTAACCAATATCAGCGGCGCACATCGGCACTCCAGGACTGGGCATGTACTGCGCAGCAGGATGGGCTCTAGAAGGGTTCTGCGACGTAAGTCTTCTTTGTATCTTTTCTGCCTACCGGCATATCTAATAATCTAATCACAGAGTCTGGCATACGAAATCGCTCCGTTCGACGTCAAACTCACCATCTTTCAATGCAGCATCGAAATCGGCATCCTCACCAACCTCGTCACCAGCGTGCCCCCAATCTTCCCAGCTTATTCACCCGCAGGCAACAGTGCGCCTCTCTTCCGCGGGATCCTCAACCATCTGGTCCCGCGTCTCCCAGATGCCCCCGCCACGCAAACAACCACCACCAAGCCCTCCACCGGGTCTAGTCGGGGAAGTCATGACTCGCAAGAAGACACACGAGTCCACGCCGCAGAGACAGGCCCCTTCTCCGTTCCCGAGGTCGTATCCATGCACCCCCCGCTCAGCGCCGCGCATCTCGAAGTCCTCGTTTCTGAAACCGTTTATGCCATCACGGCGATCGGAGGTCATGAGAATCCGCCCTCCCGCCATATTGTCGGGCAGGAAGGTGTTGCGAGTGTCAAGGAGAAACTCAAAACCGTCAGCGAGGAACTAGAGGATTTCATTCAGGCAAGCTTTGCGGTTGATGTTGCTGCGGATGCGGAACCAGCGCCGACGAGAGACGATGCGATGGGTGGGATGAATGAGGGATTATTCTAGGGTCATATTGCATACTCCCTACTACGATACATAATGAAGGCCATTTCCAACCACTGCTCGCAAGCGAGCACATCAATTACGCAAGTTGATTTATTCGTCCGTCAACTGCTGATGGTAGTGTTTGTGGAGTGCCTCGTCAAGGAGTAACATACACATCCTCCGCATACACACTACTTACGCCGCTATAAGAAGACAGACATAGCTTTAGGGCATCAACGTACACCCAGGATAATCCACGAGTAGGCACTCTTCTCTTCTTCTCTCGTATCGTAAAATCGTCATTGTCCGGCCCCAATGCATTATTCCTCCCATTCCGATTCCTCCTCCTCCTCCTCCTCATTCTCTTCCTCTTCATCCATTCGCTTCTTCCCCTGACTGAGAAACCACGCTTGCCTCACATCCCAGAGACTGCCCATATCCTGATTGTTGCGGTAGCAGCGAAACTCCCGCCAGGAATTCGCGTTTTTAACACCGGACCTGCGTCCGTCGACTTCTAGGATCTTATTCACTAGCGTCTGCAGGCTGGAGACGTTGCGGACGAGAATCTCGCCTGCTCGATGAGCAGTTGTTTCGTGAGACTGAGGCATCTTGGTATGGGATGTCTTGTCTTCTTCTTCCTCTTCTCCTTCTTTTTCTTGCCTCGGGACGTCGGGTTTCGGGTTGCTCTGCTGTTCACTGGGATCTTCTGCCATCGCTATTTTCTCGTTGGTTGATGGGATATCCAGTACGGGTTGCTGTTCGGGTCCTTTCACTGGAGCCATTGCTGGAGAAGAGGTTGGAATATCCCAGATTGGGTTGTCATCAGGTTTCTTCTCTGTTTTTTTGGGTTGCTTGGGTGGTCTGCCTCGTTTCCTCTTGACGGGAGGTTGAGGCTCTGAAGGGGGAGCTGAGCGTTTCTGTTGTCCTTCGCCATTCGAGGGCTGGTTGTGTGGGTTCGGACTGAGGACGACCACCGATGCCGGCCCATACTGGTCTTGTCCATTCAAAGCTGTGTTTGGCTCCTTCGTCATAGGGAATTCGGAAACTGTTGTGGTCTTTAACTCGGGAGAGGGCAACTCATGCTGCACGCTGGACAGGAAGACCCGTTGGCCATCGGGTATCACAAAGGTCAACTTGGAGCCTGTGCTTTCAAGGACCTTGGAACGTTTATTTAGCAAAGTGGTCACAATAAAAGCAAATAGTGTCGATCCGTACCTTGGCCTCCTTCTCCACATGCACTCTTTCCGAATGTCGGCCGAAAACGTTCGAGTATTTCCAAATATCACCCGGTAGAATGACTCCTTCTTTCACAAGAGTCGCCAGCTTCACGCGCGAGCTTTCCCCAGTCAGCACTTTGTAGTCGACTTTCTGTTTCTGGCCCCAGAACTGCTCAAACTCGCGTTCCTTGAAGGCGTCAAAGTCTCCCTCTGTGCGCTGCTGCCGCGCCTTCTCGGCCTGGCGCAGCCAGGCACCACCATACCGGCCATTCTGCAGGTCGAGCTGGAACTGCCGAATCCCGTCCCGCCAGTTATTGGAGTATCGGATGAAGGACTGCGGTAGAGGTGCGATCTTAGGGTCTGGGTCTTCGGGTGTGGCCTCGGGTTCGGGATTTGGGTGTATGCCGTCTGGCAGCAGAGCCAGGATCTCTCGTTTCTCGTCTTCTTCAAGGCAGTTCCATGCCTTGGGGTTCGCTAGCAGTTTCTAAAACATTCCTCACCTGTTAGTTTCGGTTGTCACCGGTTCCACTGCAGTACATACCACTAGATCGATGTCGATTAGTTGGGACCTGTTGCTGGTCAACAGCTGTTCCTCGCTCCAGAGGCCGCGGGCAGCCTTGCGCGGTGCACGTTTCGGTGTCCGTTTCGGCGTCGGTTGTGATTTGGCTGGGGGAGAGTCACATCCGACTGGCGACATTGCAGGGTCCTGTTGTTGCGACTGCTCCGTGATATCTTGTTGGGGCGAGGGCTGTGATTTAGCCGGAGATGTCTCCATGGCCGACGACATGGCAGGGACCTCCGGCTCTGCCATCTGAGCCGAACGGGCAGCGACACGACTAAGTCATTATTATTGTCAGAATTCCGAAGTGCAACAAGCTCCGAAGCTCACCAGGACCGCCGCGTACTGCCGACAGCCACCGCCTTTCGGCCCATTTGTGGCTGTTTACTGCGTATCTGGCACTTTCTTAGCTCGGTTCTTCTCACGCCTACCCACAATGGTGAGATCAACGCAGATTGCAAGGCTTGATGGTAAGTGTGGTATTTTCTGGAACGGAGAGTGAGTGAGGCGTCGCTGACATGAGGGTGTCGGAGCAGGCCTGATGCTGGCCGCGTCGGTGGATGATGAGCAGGTGAGAGAGAGGCTTTGCCTGGCAAACACTCCTCGTTCCTTTGGTGAAACTGACGTCCTCGCAGGCCGAGTCAGAGCTGTCGGAAATCAAGTCGCAGGCCAAGATGATCTTTCGACGATTGAACCGCAACTCCGCACCCCAAGCCAGCATCGAGTCCAAGCAATACAACCTCCAGTAAGTCGGACTCGCCCTTTTGAATGTCTTACTCCTATATCTCACACGATTGCTACATAGCTATCTGATCAAGGATGACGTCTGCTTCCTGTGCATTTGTGACAGCTCCTATCCGCGCAAACTGGCCTTCACCTATCTGGCCGATCTGGCCTCCGAATTCACCACCACCTACACCCCCTCGCAGTACCTCTCCCCAAACCTCCGTCCATATGCCTTCGTCGAGTTCGACACCTTCATCCAGCGCACCAAGAAATTGTATCAGGATAGTCGCGCGTCGCAGAACTTGGATAAGTTGAACGACGAGCTGCGCGACGTCACCAAGGTCATGACCAAGAACATCGAGGATCTCTTGTACCGCGGTGATAGTCTGGAGCGGATGGGTGAGCTGTCGGGTCGGCTGCGCGAGGATAGCAAGAAATACCGACGGGCTGCTGTGCGCATCAATTGGGAGTTGATGCTGAAGCAGGTAAGTTGCTTGTCTGTCCATGTTGATCTTGCCATGCTGATACCTAGTCTGCAGTATGGACCTTTCGCCGGCGTCGGGTTTCTCGTGATCATTCTGCTGTGGTGGCGGTTCTTCTAATTTCCTCTGTTGCCCCCTGAACACACTCTTGTATGAATGTACGCATAGTTAATATCCCCTGGTGGTTGCAGGACACAATCCACCTCTGTTTAGAAATCACACACGCTGTAGCCATTCCGAAAGATATGTTCGTAGGCATTGGCGGGTGGCTGTCGGGCTTCCTTAGATCTCATCCTCTTCTTCGTCGAAATCATCTTCCTCGCCCATGTCATAAAGAATCCGACCACCTTCACCAGGCCCATTCCCTTGCTGCGCATCAAAGTAGGGCAGCACAACGCCTTCCCTCTCGCGCCTCTGCCTCTCCGTAAGCCGCAATTCAAATGTCGACTCCGGCTCCTCGTCTCCAGCGGCAGGATCTTCCTGCACCGGCGGATTATACAAGGCGTTATCGTCAAGCAAAGTCACAATCTCTTTGACCTGCTGTGGCGAGTACCGCGACGCAGGCGGAAGAAGATACCACTCCAAAACACCACGTCCGCTCTTCCGCCGGTGTTCTAGCTCGAGCACGATTCCTTCAACAGTGTTATCGGATCGGCCGAGCAAAACGCCATCTTGTTCTTCATCCAACCCGAAGACGGGCTCGGCGACGCTGCGGTCTCGAGCAGCTTTTTGTGCGAGAACGTGTGAGAATGAGTGGAGGGTGATTATGCTTGTGGCCATGTATGTGAGGAGGGACAAGGGGGAGGGGGAGTAGGGATGCTGTGGAAAGGGTCCAGGAATATCTTGGTGGTATGTTACCACTAGAGATGTGTCAAGCTGTGCTGTTGCTGACGCAGATGGCGGGGCTAAGAACGAGCTCAAGAAAGAGGGTAGATGAAATCCAGGCTCGAGTCGCTTCGAGTTCAGTAGTGGGTTGATGGAGTCGATGAGAATCAGACGGCCTGGCGATAGCGTTAGTTTGGCATCAATGCAATTCAAGACGTAGGAAACTCACGTCGCGAGGAATAAGATCCAGCTAGCTGCTGCGCCGCACTCACTTCCCTGGCGATTTCAGCTGGGCTCTTCCGGCGCGCTGATACAAAAGCATCGACACCGTCGGGCTGTTTCAGCGTCTCGAATGCAACTAGCGTGACATGGACCTTGGAGAGCTATTCGAGACGTTCAGCACTCATTCCAACGTAGGGTTTGCGACTTGACCTACCTTAGCTCGTCGAATATATTCGCGGATGAGCGGGGTGGCTGGTTGCTGCAGAGAGTCCAGGAGCAGGGTAAGCGGCGACGCCGTGTCTCTCAGATTCAATAATTTCGAGATCAGGAGCAAATTATGCGTGCGGCGATGCGCGAGATTGACTGGAGCCATGGCTGGGTTTGGTTGGGTGGTAGGGATTATGGGAGAGAAGAAGCTGAAGTGGGGGATGAGGTGGGAGCAAAAAATTCGGGTTGTGGTTAAAGTTGAGGCTCGACGGGACGGGCCGGGCTGCATCTGCTCGCATTCATGGATTATTTCTGTCGAGACATGGGATTGAATTGCAGTAAATACATTGGTATCTTAACCTTGAACGAGAGGCAATGTTTCTTTATCCTTTTGGGTGGCTCGCTAAGGTTCTTCTTCCGCATGGTGGATTGCATGTCCCCAACGGCGGTCAATTTCATCGCTCTGATTGAAACTATCCAAATGTCCTCTGACTAGTGGCTCAGTCTCAGGTTATATAAACAAGGATATGATCAAGGTTGAGTATAATATTATGAGAGCGGCCAGTTCATTCACCGTGAAGATGTGGGACAGTATATACATAGCAGTACCTAGCTTTGCAAGGCGCTGGATTCTGCAGAGTCTTGTCTGCGTCTCAATGTCAGATTCGTTCCTCCTTTATATATCAGTGTCAATGCTTCCCTTTTAGCCGGGCAAGGTGGTATGGCCCAGTGGGAGCATTAGTTCCGGTAAATGTTGACGGACGCACCAGCTACGGTATTGGTCCCCGTGCAGATGTGGTGCTGTATGGCGCAGCTTTGCTTTGGATGCTACTGGTCTTTGGATGCTACTGGTCTGTAGATCAAATCCAGCTAGTGTCATTCTGTTTACCTTCTCTTGAGTACTGTTGAAGCAGTTGCCTAATCCAGATGCGAGCCCCCCTCTTTGGAGGAGAAGGTTTACAGTATGGAGGATCCAAATATTTTCTGGTTATTAATAAATTATAGGACAAGTAGATTTATCTAGCTATCCAATTCAAAGATCAGATCATTTATCCATGATTTTGCACACTTATCAAAGTCCTCACCCGCATGTCAAAATATATATGCCGTAGACATAGTCCAAATGTTAGATATTTGAGCTAGCACAAGTCCAAACACGACCACTAACTATTCACTCTCATTCTTTATCTTATTTCTTACTAGCCATCAATTGGTACTCTTATGTTTGTCTCGAATACCAAGTATACCAAACTACGCCAGTCGCATGCACTGCGCAAGTGGTTCGCTCCGGCTACCGGAATAAACTTCTCTTGCCGCGAGTTTGACAACGTCTTCAAGTTGAAACCCAAATTTCGATACCCAACCATGATCGCTTCTTGCACTATCGCTTAATAGTCCTCCGCCAGAATTTCACTCGATCAGACTTGCGCCCTAGTTTTTCTCTTCCTGCTCAGAACTACGTCCTACCAGACGCGGCCAACGCCTGCGTCTCGGGCATCCACCCACCATGGCGGAGCCACCAGCAAAACGGCCTCGACGGGTCGACAGCTCGACAATGTGGGAGAAGAATGACGTTCAAACACGCTCGACGGAACCAGATCCTGAACAGGACCGCCAACGGCGACATTCGCCACACCCCCGGGAGGCCCGACGCGACCCCCCCGTGAGGACCGTCGATACCGCTCGCGCTCACGAGATCGGAAGAATCTAAGGCGGGAAAGAAGCTGGTCTCGCGATCGTCGCGACAATGACCGAGACCGAAGAGATCGTGATGGACGCGGCGGAGGAAGAGACCGCAAGAGGAGCACCAGCCGCGAGCGTGCATATGACAGACGAGGTAGGCAGATTGCCATTGATACTCACCCGAATATTGTACTGATTCTATTCCCAAAAAGGCCCTGGCAAAGGTGACAAAGTGCGTGACCGCTCACGTTCACGCTCACCCGCTCGAAACGGTGCCCGGACTCACTCGACGACCCGTACACCTCCTCCTCGGGGACACAAGGGCGACCGCCGTGGCGAGCGCAAAGAGCTGCGGCCGCGTGAAGATGGACGGCAGGCCAATGGTGCCCCGGTGGGATCCGGTCGATATAAGGAGGAGATGGAGCTGGACTTCAAGGAGGACGCAGACGAAGACGAGATGGAAGCTCTCATGCGGAAGAGTATGGGTTTCACCCGATTCCGCAGTACCAAGAACACCAAGATCCCTGGAAACGACATCTACGGTGTGCGCAAGGAGAAGAAGATCGAGTACCGCCAGTACATGAACCGGCAGGGCGGTTTCAACCGACCGCTCAGTCCCTCGCGGCAATAGAAATTCTTTGGTCACACTGATCCCTTCTATCAGTTGTTTAGACTGATTGGGATTTTTTCTTTTTCGACATGATTTTGCATTTGCGGAGCACGGGTCTCCTGGCTTGTTCCTGTTTACTTCCTCTCACCTTTTGTGATATTATTACCGACCACCTTAACGGATTTCTTTTAGCGATACCAACATGTTTTGATCAGAGTTCGCATCCATTGTAGAATCCATCTATGCTTCGAGTACAATAAAAAAGTGGGTGAGTTCGGCACATGACCGGACGAACCCCCAGCACACGGTGACGTAGTTGTCTGGAGAATGAATGGCAACATTCGTTGATTCTTCTACAATTCCCACTTCCCCCACCAACGTGGCTTCGCTACGATCCCTCACTTCGAAGTTCGTACCTAACGTCAAAATGTCGGCCTCTGGAGACCGACGCGAAATCGTCGTCATTGGTAAGTTACCCATTGCGCGACTCCGGCTACCCCCGCGGTCTTGCTCTTGCAAATCACAACTGATCTCTCCATATAGGCGGTGGCATTATTGGATGCTGCACCACATACTATCTGACGCGACACCCATCCTACGACCCTACCCGCCACAAGGTAACTCTCCTCGAAGCCTCCGAGATCGCGGGCGGCGCATCAGGGAAAGCGGGGGGGCTTCTTGCCCAATGGGCCTACCCAAGCAGCATCGTGCCACTGAGCTACAGGCTGCATGCAGAACTCGCCAAGGAACATGGCGGCAAAGATCGATGGGGATACCGGGAGGTGAATTGTGGGCAGCTTGTTGTTCGCGGCCGCGCGCTCAACGACAAGAAAACCGACGGCGCAAATTCCGAGTCACTGCAGAAACGCAGCGCAGCGGCTCTGTCGAAGCTGAAATCAGCTAAGATCCCACAGGACCTAGACTGGGTTGAGCCAGAGCTCTTGCGCGCCTACGAGAGTATGAGTGGCCCGGGCGAGACGGCCCAGGTCCATCCGTACCTCTTCACCACTTCCATTGCGAAATTGGCCGAGGAGAAGGGCGCGCAGGTGATCCTGGGACAGGTCACAGATATTGCTCGTTCGAATGATGCCGTGGAATCGGTCACTTATACCGACAAAGCATCAGGCGAAGCACGCACGATCTCTGCCACGGATGTGGTCATCGCTGCCGGTCCTTGGACTCGGACGATTCTCCCCGAAGCGCCTATTTCTGCGATGCGCGCTCACAGCGTCGTTATCCGGCCAACAAGGCCCCTCAGCGCATATACCTTGTTTACGAACATTGAGATCCCCGCCAACTTCGACCCTTCCAAGAAGTCGCGGCCCACCGTGGCAGCACCAGAGATCTATACGCGCCCCGACGAGACCGTCTATGCCTGCGGTGACGGCGACCGGACTGTTCCGTTGCCTGAGACCTCTGCGGAGGTGAAGGTGGACGCGGAGAAGTGCCAGGAGATCGTGGACCAGGTCGGCAGTATTTCGGACGCGTTGCGCGATGGTGAGGTCCGCACGCGCCAGGCCTGCTATCTGCCCAATGTGGACAGTGGTGGCGGGCCATTGGTTGGCTTGACGGGGGTGAAGGGTCTGTACCTGGCTGCCGGCCATACTTGCTGGGGCATCCAGAATGCTCCTGGTACAGGGAAGGTGATGAGTGAGTTTGTGTTCGATGGCCAGGCCAAGAGTGCGAAGATCGGGTCGCTGGATCCACGAACATATCTGTAAATAAATACTCGAGTGGTAGAATGGATAATGGTATCCCGTCTGTATAGTTACTTTCGTAGGCGTTGTTAAGCTCGGGCCAAGGAGTGGAGCGTTTACATTACGTCTTGCCGGCCCCAGCTCGACTCCGACACATGTCCTCAATGCTGAAGGTGATGCTCAAACCATGCATCATCTACGCCTCTCCTTTATCCTCACATCGCTCCTAGTGGCCATTGGTGCCCTGGCAGCCCACGACCCCAACAATGTCTCCGTCCTGATCAAAGAGGCCGCCCGCGCCAACAATGAGTCCCTGCTCTGGGGCCCCTACAAGCCCAACCTCTACTTCGGCGTGCGCCCGCGCATCGGCAACAGTGTCTCGGCGGGTTTGATGTGGGCGAAACTGGATAGTCTCGAGGGCGTACAACACAGTAAGTTCCCCAAATTGGGCATTGAGAAACGGACAGACCAGCTAACACCAGTCCCCGCGCGAAGACTTTCGGCATACCTGCGAACAGAATGAGAACATGGCCGGCTATGGCTGGGATGAATACGATATCCGAAAGGGCGGCCGCGAGACGATCCACGATGCCGGCAATGGTGTCGACCTGACCATCGATTTCATCAAGGTGCCAGGCGGCCAGCGTGGAGGGAACTGGGGATTTCGCGTGAAGGGCACACCGCGGGAGGATGCGGACCCGGATACACCCATCACAATGGTATTCTATACCAGCATGGAAGGACTGGGGCATCTGCATGCGCTGTCGCAGCCCGAGGATGAGTTGGGCTTTGTGGGCGATGTCAAGTTCGAGGGACACTCTCCCGAGCTCGGGGACTTCTCAATTGATGTCACCAAGGGTCCGGAGACGAACAAGCACCCCCGTCACGACCACCCCAGCTATGACGAGAAGCCACTGGATCGCAGCATCGTGGCTAGTACAGATATTCCGCAGGAGGTGCTCTGGGCGACGAAGAGTGGGTTGTCCGCTGTGTGTGCAGATATTGTCGAGTGCTAATTACCCATTAGGGTCTTTGTTCATTCAGATCAAGTCGGAGCTCGATCGCTATATCGAGGAATACACCACCGATAACCCGCCCCCTGTCGAGCAACTATTTACTGTCCCGAACAAGCCTGGTCAGAGCAATTTCCATATTGTGCAGAAGTTCTTCACAGGTTCCTTTGAGTTTGACGTCCTGTTCTCGTCTGCCTCTGCTCCTGAGCCGATGACCTCGGAGAGTATTGACAAGAATCTCGAGAAGACTGCGCTGTCGTTCTCAAAGCGCTTCGACGAGGTTCTTTCACCGCAGGCGCCATTCGACTCAGCAGAGTACTCGCGATTCTCCAAGGCGATGCTGTCCAATCTGGTTGGCGGCATTGGATATTTCCACGGCCAAGACATCGTCGACCGTACCGCGCACCCTGCCTACGACGAGGAGAATGAGGGCTTCTGGGAGGAAACCGAAGAGGCCCGGATTACAGGTGCTTCAAAGCCAGATCTGGAGGGCCCCAAGGACCTATTCACTTGCGTTCCGTCTCGACCGTTCTTCCCGCGAGGATTCTTATGGGATGAGGGATTCCACTTGATGCCTGTCATGGAATACGACCCTGATGTCGCGTATGTTCTTCCCAAGCCCCTGCGTTTTGTCACTGGGGTACTGACACTTTCCCAGACTTGAAATCATTAAGAGTTGGTTCCAGCTGATGGACGAGGATGGCTGGATTGCCCGCGAGCAGATTCTCGGCGCAGAGGCTCGCAGCAAGGTCCCTCCCGAGTTCACCGTCCAGTACCCTCACTACGCGAACCCTCCCACGCTCTTCATGACCCTTGAAGTATTCCTGGACAAGGTGAATAGCAACAAGAGCACTCAGTCTGAGTCATTGGATCATACCGACATAGCTGAAAGCCTCCGCTCTGCTACTGTCCGCAACCCGGAGCTGGCTGATGCGTATCTCCGTTCACTCTATCCGCTGCTGAAGAAGCACTACTTCTGGTACCGAAAGACCCAGCGCGGAGATGTCACCGCGTATGACCGTGAAGCTTTCTCGACTAAGGAAGCCTACCGTTGGCGCGGCCGATCCAAGCAGCATGTCCTAACCTCCGGTCTGGACGATTACCCACGCGCCCAGCCGCCGCACCCCGGTGAGCTGCATGTCGATCTGATCAGCTGGGTGGGCATGATGACCCGCACAATGCGTCGCGTTGCCGAGACCTTAGGTGAAGAAGAAGATGCCAAAGAATTCGAGTACTACGAAATGGCCATCACGCGCAACATCGACGACTTGCACTGGGACGACACGCACAAGACTTACTGCGATGCCACGATTGATGACTTTGAAGAGGACGCACATGTCTGCCACAAGGGATATATTTCCCTCTTCCCCTTCCTGACCGGCATGTTGGCGCCTGACAACTTTCGACTCAAGCACGTCCTGGATCTCATCCAGGACCCCGAGGAACTTTGGAGCGACTACGGTATCCGCAGTCTGAGCAAGAAAGATAAGTTCTACGGTACAGAGGAGAACTACTGGAGGAGTCCGATCTGGGTGAACATTAACTATTTGGTGCTGAAGGGTCTCTATGTGGGTACCCTCCTTTCTTTACTTTTAATGACAAAACTAATGCTGTCATAGAACACTGCAACCGTCCCCGGTCCTCATCAGGATCGGGCCCGGGAGATGTACTCGCAATTGCGCAAGAACCTGGTCGAGAATGTCTTCCGGGAGTGGAAGAAGACGGGGTTCGCTTGGGAGCAGTATAACCCCGCCACGGGCAACGGACAGCGCACGCAGCACTTTACTGGCTGGACCAGTATGGTGGTGAACATGATGGCCATGCCGGATCTTCCTGGTGGTGCTAAGACTGGTCACGATGAGCTGTAGGGCTGTGGGGGAGTGAGTGTTCTCGATAAACAGTTTGATCTCTTGTCATATAGCGTAGAATTGATGATCTCTGATTAAACCGTGGCATGACGTTCCGAGCAATTTCGTTGCAATAATCGTAATAATGGATGCGAATTAACGCCGGCGGTCGACATCCTCTCGGTGCTCCCTTCGTTCATGGCGCTGACGACGGCGTTCACCAGGCGAGTAAGAGCGGTCCATCCGGCGGCTTCTGTGATCTTCTTTCCTGGCATGGGGACTCCTAGACCGTGAGCGAGATCGCCGCCGGTGTCGATCTGTATCTCTGCCACGAGACCTCGATCTCGACGTCGATCGATGCCTCCGACTACGGTGGTGCCGGTCCGCATTCTCATCGCGATGCCTCCGGTGCCTGTAGTCTTTATCCCGACCTCTCCCATCGCGACTGCGCTCTCTCCGTCGATCCCGCCGAGGACTCCGACTGCGATGTCTTGTCCGCTCTTCTGACGGTTCTCCTCCTCCCTCTTTGGACGGTCCGCCCAGCGGCACCATATTCGCATTACCCCCCTCAGCCGTCGGAGGCAGTGGGAGCCCCAACGCGCGCGCCATCGCCTCCTCCTCGGCGTTCTTGACCTGCTGGCGCTCCTCGCGCTCCTTTCGGAGACGTTCTTCTTCGTCGTCTACATCGCCCTTGGCGTACCACTGTAGGTCGCGACCCTGCTGCCACCGCCCGACGGGGGCCATCAAAGAGTGGCCCAGGTAGTTCTCGCGGTGGGTGGAGTCCTTGACATCGGACCATTTGAACTCGTTGCGGCCGCCACTAATACAGCTAATTAGCCGGTGGCCTTAGTAATATATATGTCACATACCGGCTGCCTTCCTTGCGGACACCCGCGACCAGATCCATGCTGATGTCGATGATGCTGCTGCTGCTGCTGATGATGATGGGAGCTCAAATAAAATAAAGTGAGGCTGGCACACGTCAATGAGTCCGGCACATGTGGGGCGCAGGCAAGGCGGTGAACCGCAGCATAAGTACGGCCCCGCCAAAACACATTGGCATTCAATCACTTCATGGCCTGACATGGCATGTTTCCATGGGGACTTCCGGACAGTAGTAGCACTAAGGTGGTTGGCAATGACATCCTCTTCCATGTTCTGCTGCTCCCAATCCCCTGCTTCACTCCTGACCGTCTTCCTACGTACTGAGCTCAGTAACAGCGGGAGATCATGGAGTCCCTCACTCTCGGCGCTGCCATGATGGTTGTTCCAGAGGTGAGACGGCAGACACGGCCGCAGCTTCAGGCTTTGAATGTAGAGAAGAAGGAACAGCGGGTATGTTTGTGTGGGAACGTTGAAGTGGTTACTTGAAGTATGAGCTGACTTGACTGTAGTTTCCACGGTAGGTGCGACGTCATCGAACACGAAGACAGCTGAACTGATGGGTTTGGAAGGCGTGATGACACCCACGGTCCGACCATAGCCACTTGGAGAAGCAATCTGGTAGGTGGGACCTGGTGAACACCAAACGCAATTGATACTGAGCAGGGGAGCTGACATTCCTGCAAGGCGGCTCTTTCGCAGCGCCGGAATCTACTTTTCGTAGCATATGGCTGTGATATCTACGTATGGATACCGACTGGCCCCGGGCAGCTATTGGGGGCGCAAGCCGAGATGGTCATCACTCCTGTGATGAAAGAGCCCCGAGCCAGCGGGTACATCGATCCTTCGAAGCCCCATACAATCAATAACATTCTCGTGGACGATTTGGGTCTCGATGAAGTTCTGCTCCTGGCGACAGACTCGGGCAATGTGTGTGGCTACCAGGTTGAAGCGATCTTCTCGGCAATCAATCGCTGCGCGAAGAACAACTACACGCGTCCCTACGACGGTGCCGAAGCCAGCCCGTTTTTCGTCGAGCACGTTGGCAGAAGTGCTTGGGGCTTGGCTACTCATAAATTTGCGCGGCTGATTGCCGTGAGCTCCAACACGGGTCTGATAACCGTCTTTGCATTCGCGCTTGTGGATCCCACTTCCGGAGACGACGAGCGTAGCCCACACCAGGATTTGGAATTGGATGAGCAAGAGCAGACCTGGGTCCTCATTCAGACCCATAAGCAGCTGCGACAGCTGCAGAAGCTCATGCCCAACCACCGGTCTCGCAATCTCCGACTCACCTACAGCGGCCACCATGATAACATCCCCTGCATATCCTTTGCGAATTTTGATCTCGACCCCAATGGCATGTGGATGGTCAGCACCGATATCAGCAACAGGGTCCTTGTGTGGAGAATCTGGGATGAGATCGGACCAATCCAATGGTATTATCCCGGAGATCCCTTGAACGAGCCCCGGCAAATGGGCTGGTCGGTGCTACCTCTCGACCCACGAACGTTTCGATGGCATCATTCTGCAGAAGAGGCTTGTGGTTGTGAGCCAGAGCAGTTGGGGATGGAGGGCCGTATCGTGCTGGATGTACACAAGGCGCTTCGCGGAATCCCGGATTCCTCGCAGATGTTTCTGTTCGGCGTCTCCAAAGAGAAACACGACCTGCCAGAGCTCTTGCCGGATGATCTGTTGTCTGCTGATTGCTGCGTGAATGACAACCGTCGACCGTGCTTGTCAGACGAGGACCTTCCATCTTCGCCGTCTTCGAGCCAGGTCGAAGATGAATCGTCGTTTCATGCGTCCAGGACATGGCCCGAAGATGACCAGAGCGATTTTCGCCGCGTGGCCCGCGTAGAGCAGCCCTTTACCGACATATTCCCAGAAGACAACGACCACTTGAGAGTGCCACCGTTTCTCAATGTCGATCCATCGTCCGATCAGAATACTAACGTCATGCACGACATGGACCTGCTAGGACTCCATGCCATCCATCGTAAGAACACCCACTCACACACATCACTACCGAAAAAAATAGTTACTAACAAGATCCAATGCAGCCCACGATCCAGACTTCTTCCCCGTCATGCACTTCTCCCAACACCACATCAGCCTAGCACCCTACCCTATCAGCGCAGACTTCCAGATGGTCTGCCAAGCACCGCTCTCCCAACGCACCTTCAATATGGGCATCAGCCATGCATGCGACCGCTTCAATATGATCAAGTACATCCCTGATCTCGGCCTCGTCCTGGCCACCTCCCAAAAGGGGCGCGTCGCCATCATCTCGCTCACCTGGCAGGAGAAAATCGGGTATGCCTTTCGCGTGGATTGGATTGTTCCCTTTGCTACCCAGGAACGCGATGATGAGCGTCCTATGCTGCCGCTGCTTGGTATGGCGGCTAGTCCCATGCCGGGATTTGAGGTCCCACCTGATGTGCCCATTATTCCGAGGGATGTTGATCCTACGGATGGATTGAGATTCAATTACCGCATTCTCAATCCAGGAGACGACGCAGAAGCAGAAGCAGAGGGAGATCAGTCTCTTTCCTCCTCCCCTGAGCCACCATCCTCATTCACCTCTTCAAACCCCTCTCCCGCTCCTCAACCCCGACAGCCCTCTATATCAAACACACGACGACCTACTTCATCTCCTGCCGAGGACACCGGCTCAGACGCAGTCTCTTCTTCATCGGGCAACTCAATCTCAGACTCCGATTCCCCTCCGCCAGATCTACACCACAGCCAAATCAATATCAAACCTACTCTCCCGGAACTCCACGCCAAAGCCTCGCAGGCTTATCATCCGCGGGAACGCTGGCATGGCTGGCACCCTTCCCGGCACTACAGACTCCTTTTGCTATTCTGTGACCATACCGTCATGAGTTATGAATTCTGGCATGACTGGAATAGTTAGGTGCGAGATATGGCTTGGTTTGGGGATGGTAATAGTGGTGGTGCGTGGGGGATGGTTTGGATAATGTGGAACTTAGCGAAGATAGTATCTAGCTTTCAACTTTGGCATTGTACCACAACGCTAGGTGACGGTAAATCGGGCGTCCATAGGGCTGTAGGCACGGGCCAATATCAAACATCACCTACACATCATTTTCTAACTGTTTGATAGAGAGAACTTCATTCATCAGCTCTATTAGGCCTCCCGTACACTCCTCACAATATATAGACTGTATTTGTAGACAGCGCAATAGTGTAGATATCTCCGACCAAGCCTGTCGAGATTGTCAAGATTGTCATCGCATTCGCAGTGGTCAACAACCATTGGCGATCACAGGAGAAGGGGAATCAACGACAGCCAGAGGTTCGTGCTATGTCAAGATCTAGAAGAGCATAGGAGCCCTAGCTAAGACGATTAAGATAGATTCATCGATGCGAAAAAAACAACATATATCCACGTCATTAAGCTAAACTTATGCGCATAGATAGAAAACTATACGATATTAGGTGCAACAATATCAAGGCTTTCGGAAACAACTTCTTGGAGCCATTACAGCCGTCTCAGTAACCACAGGCGCCAACAAAACGCGAGTTATGCGTTATGTGCACAGGAGAAGCTGACAAGGCGCTTATTATCGTGAGTCGCCTTCCTAGAGGCTAAAGATAACCAGCACCCAAGAACCCAATGACAGTAAGTTACGCTGAGGCATGTGTTTAGTGCCGCGGAACAGACGCACACATATATATTTACTGGCAACGTGTCCGTTGATAACGCCGCCGAGCAAGATCTGTCGAGCGTGAGCTCGTGTGACCAAGACACACAGGGCCGTTTCAAAGCCAGGTTGGTGAATGGGGCCTCACCTCTGGGATGGCAATGCCATAGGCAACCTTTCTCATCAGCAGAATCAGTGAGCCTAATGCGGGAGATACAACATTCTGACTACCATAGTAGTAAATGTCAAGAATTGGAAAATCTACAGGTCACATACGGGCATTTTACCCCTCATGAATAGTTATTTCTTAGTTATTGTGTATTAGTCATTCATTAGTTTGTACGCCCTTTGAATTGTTGGGCATTTCTCAGATTTAAATCACACAGAGATTTAGAGGCGAACTATCTAACAATAACAGACTATTACAATTAGGTATAATACCAAGGAGTAAAATCTTGGAATGTGTTGTGTAGGGATTCCAATTCTTGACTTAGTGCTAACGACCTATCGAAGATCACATGTGACTTAGGCACACCTCTTTGGCGGCAGATAACGTAATTCCCAAGCGAGCTGCGCACCACCGAAAAAGCGCTCCAACGTGACCCTACGATCTTCATCTGCTGAACGTGCCACCCAAAACGCGGCGAAAGCCCTCGAAATTCGATTGACCGGAAGGGTAGATTTACTTTTGCTATCAACATGTCGGGTTCGGGGTCAGAAAGGGCTCCCTCCCAACCAACAGCCTCGACCATTGCCAATCTCTTTAGTCTGCCTTTGGAGATTCGCAACAAGATCTACAAAAGAGTCCTCACTGTGGCACATCCACTCCGTCTGTTTCAAGATCCGGGTTGTCCCGTGGAAGCATTTGTGCCTGAAAAGCCGTATAGATGGCTTTCATTATTATACACAAATAAACAGATATCCTATGAGGCTAGGGCAGTTCTATACGGGACGAATCGTTATATCCTTGAGGAAGTGGAAATCGCACAGTACGAAAGCAGTCTCTTGGAATCATTTATAAACTGCATCGGACCTGTCAATGCAGGACTACTATCCCACTTATGCATCAACTTTCCGTCCACGGAGAAGACAGATGGCCAATCGGGAAAAATCAGGCTTAGAGAAGCTAGTTTGCGAAGATTCCAGCTTCTCCAAAAGGAGTGTTCCAATTTGAGGATATTGGAAGCCCATATCTGTGACCAAAAATCTAGCGACTTGATTAAGGAGGACCTAAACGACGCAAAACCCGTTCGAGAGCTATTGCTGGAGATCAATGCGCAGTTCAGAGGCATTGCTTCCCTGAATAAGATCATCCTCAGAGTCTACAGTGGAACTCCATCACTTTCGGTAAAGGAAGTTCTGCAAGGGCTTGGATGGATTGTATTGATAGGCGATAGATAGGTTTTGGCTGGCATATCTGAGGTCGGAATCGAACGATAGCCTTCTACTAGATAATATGATCGCTCTCGCCAGAAAAACTCGAGACAGATGCGAGAGAAGAGGATTGAGAAAGTTTTACAAGCCTACGAGGACCGGAGAAAGGGTGGAAGATAACGCAACACGCTCCAAACTCCTGTTCTTGCGGCGGGTTCATGAAAAATGGATAATGATTGCCGTAGGAAACGACCCTTCCCAAATCCCCCAGCCCGGCCCGACTCGTGCGATGATTTGGTCCATATTACAGGACGGCTTGAATAGGGAATATTTGTCCCCGTTGTAGGAAAGTAATTGATTGGATTAACGTAACTGTACACCGAAAGTCACAACATACCGAAAGTCACACTTTAATCCGCTCACATAATATATATCGCGATAATTCCACCACAACGCCTAAAATCAATTGATACTACTAATAATCTTCTTCCTCAGACGTCTGGATTACAATCTGACAGGTGCGTGCGTTATGTCCAGTCTCGCCGCAGTTGCCACAGCGCCGCGCGCGCGTTTCTTGCCTTGGTTTTCGACCACTACGTGCCTGCGTTTCCTACCTTATCTGCTGCATAATGTCCCTCTCATCTTGCAAGTCTTGTGCTTCCTATTGACTAAGTGATCCACCTTGCCGTAGACGTGTCTTTTTAGCCCTCCGGCGTTTACTAAGCTCTTCATTTGCTTGTCAAAGGATCTAAACCTCTGACTATAACAACGCCAATTTGTACATAATCTTCGACGTCCCTTTCGCAAACTAGTCGACAGCTTCGTAAATTGAGGTTGGAGAGCTATTATTATGATAGGCAATGCGATTCTTAATGAAAGTAGTCTGCGAAGTGGCTTCGATTATATTATTAGGTATCTAAGAAACCTAGGGTTCAGGGGTTCGGGGGCGGGAAGTTGTAGGTGTTGGCGTCTTTAACTTAAGATCTAGTATAGAAATCACACTTTCGGGGTCAAATGGAATAAGTCTAGCACCTCAGAAACCTCCTTGAATGTTGCTTTCCGTCATTGTAGCAAAAAATGCGCTATGAAAGGCGGGGAAGAAGTCGTCCTTCGTAATATAGGTGATATGAGCCCGCATCATATCCTCGATGTGTCGGCCATATACCTTCTTCAATAGGCTAAAACACCCAATATCTAGTGGCTAAAGGATATGAAACGAATGAGGAGGCATATAAAGGGTGATAATGTTGTTTCCTTTGCAGTATTCTTCAAATTCGTCCGAGTAGTAGCTCTCATGGCCGTCGAGGATTAAAAGGCGATAGCAACCTATAGCTCGGGCTCTAGTATACTTCTCGAAATACCGAATCCAATCCACGCCTTTCTCATTTATTGTCTAGCCGTTATCAGTAATAGCGATTACCTAGTTAGGTGGGAAACCACTATTTTAGTACCAAGACGAAAGGTGATTTTTGCCCGCAACAACGATAAATGGCGGCACCGTCCAGCCTTAGGAATTAACGCCCTGAATTACCGTAACCCATTCCCGATTACTAGGCTATAGCTTTTTTGCCTTTATACGTCCCTCTGAGCTTGTGACAACTGTTGCGGTAGAGATAACGCCTATTATAAACCTAGTCTCGTCAAAGTTATTGATATCTGACTCCACAATGCCGTACTTCGCGATTGTATTGCGCACAAGCTCAAACCAGCCACGAATGACCACTGGATCTTCGCACTTAGCTCTCTAGTAATCGTATCTCCGTTGGAAGCGCGTTCGGAGCTCTAGGCGGCGATTAATGAACCTAGAAGCCCAACGCATCCCGACGCGTGGCGCGTCGCGTGTCGCGAAAAGCCGATTTGCCATATCTCTAACAATAGACACTCGGGGAGGGAATCCTTTGATAGCTAAATCGAGGATATGTTGAATAAGGACTGATTCCTCTAGATCGGTCAAAATTTGTGAATTGGCCAGAATATCGCGTCGTGATTGTATACCGCGCTTGCGACGACTCAGCTTCTCGTGGTCCATAGAATAGATCCTCCCTGCCGCTCAAGCGCTTAACTTTGGGTCATTTTGCATAGCTTGAAGGGCTAACATGACCTGCCTTTCGTCCTTTTTTTGAGGCATCTTTTGTTGTGGAGGAATTTGGTGTTTGTTGGAGAAGACGCGTGAGCGGATTAAAGTGTGACTTTCGGTATGTTGTGACTTTCGGTGTACAATTACGTTATTCGATTTCACAATAATATCGAAAAATGACTGATAAATCGAAATACCCTCCAGAAATGTTCTATCAGTACTCGGATTCAGTATTGTTGACATCGTCCTTTAGACTGCTTTCGAAGACTCGCTCTGTCTTGTGACTGGGAGTCGGATAGCACGTTTCCTGGAGAGATTATTGCTGTACTGTAACTATTATTCTATAGCATGGGATATATTGTTGGAAAGACATGGTAATTCGGAGGCAAGAAAAGTCTAGAAACCTGACGTATCTTCTGAGAAAAAAAACCTGAACTGTCTCCAGGACTGTTATTTCTAACAAACGTTGGCATCACACATTCTGCTACATTTGCTTGCTTTTCATACGAATAATCAGTCAGTGCGGTATCCTCCGAAGTCATGTACAACTTCGACGAAACAGGCTTCGTGATGGGGCTTACGGCATCCCCGAAGGTTATAGAGTGAGCGAAATATTACTGTTGGCGTGAGCACATCTACGGCCAGGAAATCGCGAGTGGGTAGCTACAACGAAGTCAGTCAACACGTTCAGTAATTCTTCAAGAAGTCACGTAGGACAATCTTAGTCAGGATATCTAAAGTTCTAGGAAATGACTTCACCGTATTCTCATTACTTGGTCGTAGAGTCCGCTATAATTACGCCTCGGCTCTCGTTAGTATAGCCTCGCGTTATCAAAGTGTCAATATTGCCTGCCTCAGCAACATCGACAGCATGCAGGCGCTATTCTAGAAGAGTAAGCTCTGAAGTAGCCATAAATGAAGATAGCTGAAGCACTGAAACATGTTATATTTCAAATCGCTCTTTATGGACGTAGCTGGCTCTGGATATACTTTCGGAAATGACGATTTCATAAGAGTTGCTAGTCTGCATTTAAATCCAAGTATTGCAGCCGGGCTGGCGCTCGGCCGCCACGTGATATATTTTGGCCTTACAGATAGGGTGTCGACATGATTGGAGGGCCGAACTACTGACTTGACTGTATCCTAGATTCTACCATCATACACATGCTCAATATACAGAAGAGAATACAACGTTCGATTACTTCATCATTCTACTCAGTTGGCGCGTTCGGTTCTACGCTGACCGAATTCCACCCTGGTTCTCCTGTCGGCCGGTCAGTTCTGACCTGACATGCCATTGTGCGCCCTATTCCCCCGCTCCAGTATGTAAGGAAGAGCTGCGCTACCGTCCACTTGCACTCATTATGCATTCTCGATCCTCGTTCAGGTGAACCTGAAGGCGCTGCGATTTCACCAGTGACTGAGGTCGACATTCTTCTCAAAACGCGATGTAAATTTCAACGTATGTGATGCAACATCGTCTTACATACTTTATAGGACAGGACGGAGTCATACCGCGGCTTAGAAGCTGAGGAGGAATTTATTTTAATCCATTACCAATGCACAGTGTCCCACTAAGATTGGACCGCACTCTCTTTACCCTCAACCTTGACTTTCAATTGGCTCGCTCAAGTCGATATCTAATCTGCGACAGTCCGTGCGCAGTGCGCAGGCGCTGAGAGACTTATGGTTGATTGGTCCACGTCAGCGGATTCAGGGAGGCTAGACTTCGCCACGGCCCGTCCGTCCCTTCCGTCCATGGGCGGACGGACCTTCACCAGTCTGCCCACTAGCGGGCCCAAATACGGGCTATATACACAACAACAATTACAGATTATACGTATAGTGGGTGATCATAAGTCTGAAGCCCGACACAGTTTCCTTCCTTCGCCCTCCATGTTGATATTCGTATGTAGTAAAACCTTTTGTATATTACAGTACATTACCTGAATATACCTAGGTGCATGAGTAAGTGGAGAGGCATCACCATGCTTCGAAAGCACATGATTGTTCATTTCTTGGATGTTAGCTGACAGGGGGTTGAGACTTCAATGTAGTATGCCTTGTAATTACATTGCTAAGCCTTGTTACTAAATCAGTACACAAAAGCAGTTCTTACCACCAAGACTAGTCCTTTGTTGGTCGGTCCTGGTATTTAGCGCCGACTTGTTTCCTCCTTATTTGGCACACATTGTCACCGCATACAGGTATCCACGTCAACAATATCCAGCTGCCCCTAAGCTTCTTCGGTTAGCGGCGATTCCCACCTAGGCCAGCCATGGGCCCTCTTGTCTGTTCACTACCCGGATATACAGATTAAGATCGATTATGAGGGACAAGGGGGATTGATGCGGTGTACTAGATATGTGTACAGAACGACATTACTGTAACCTGCAAAACGTACGGTATACATGTTTAGTGCGGGGAAAGGGCTTCCGTTTTCAAACAATGGCTATGTCATCATCTCATCCAATGATATTCCAGTACTGGGGCATATCGTGATGATGATTCGCCGCCGTGGCAGCAAGTTAGTGTAATGAGAGAAGAAAGATGATCTACCGACTAGTTTTTCCTGGCGCTAATATACAGGTTTCTAGTGCACAGCTAGGCCCCTAAAAAATAGCCACTCCCCTGACCTGAACAGAGATTTCCTTTCCCCAGATGTGCCTTTGAACGAGTATACAAAACAACCTCCATAGCTGTTCCACCAATGACGTATCTAACAACAGAAAATGAAGGGGTCTTGCATAGTTTACGCCAACGATTAAGTCGTCGTGTCCGACAGAGATCTCAAGGTCCTCCGAACGAAATCAGTCGTTACTCACCACAACACACTCGACCAGGTCCGAGTCTTGCAACCAAGTAAGTAGTGGATCTCATTAGTCCCGAGGTCAAACAATGCTAATCCGATAAGCAAACCGACTCCAATTTCTCAGAAAGCAAAACCCATTGCTAGCCCATTGCCTCTGGAAAAAACGAGGAATGTTCCTGAAGCATCGGTCACTATCAGCGATCATGGCCCCCAGAGACACACCAGCCAAAGCACTCTACATTGGGACAGTATTGAACACAATTTGACAAGCGATCGGTTGACTCTGGGGGATGGCATTGGCAGTGGCGTGGGCTCCCCTGACCTTTGGAGTGCAGCTTATCGCGAGGCAGTGGAAAGTTTCGGAGACAGAATAGACATTGCTGCTCTAGAGGGTAGGAATGCTAGCCAGCTGTTCAGAAAATTAGAAGGCGTTGAAAAAGAGGCAACACAAGACTCGGCCTTCTTAAAGGGTGTGAGGTGTTTGCAATCTTTGACTGGGCCTCTTGAGAAGCTCAAGTTAGCATTAGATCTCACGAGCCCACTTGCAAGCATTGAACCCACTGCAGCGACGGTTTTTGGTGTGGTCAGGAGCGTGACCGCGGTAAGCTCGGTCCATAAAACCATGACCCATATCGATTTCACTCTACAACATTACATCAGAGATACTAATTCATATCCATATAGATAGCTATCAGCATCGCAACAGCTGATTTGGAATTTGCGAGGCAGATTGCCGAAATGCTGGAGCAAATTTCATGGATTGATGGTTGTGACACGCTCGGCCAGAAAGCAAATAGGAGAGATATTCACAAGGTACCTACTTATTTGACAGGGAAAGTTTGACGGTTCCTGACATATTGCAGGCACTTGTACCGGTGTACCAAAAGATCCTCGAGTTCTATACTGTCGCATTTGAGATACTAACCCGGAAAGGAGCAAAATTGGTCATGAAAATGTTTTTGGAGAATGACCGCCTTCCAAACATCGTCCGAGAATTCTTGAGATGTTCCAAAATGCTCCGAATCGTTATAGAAAATGCAACTTTTGAAATAGGGGAAGATATGAAGCGTATGCTCTATGATTCTGAAAGTAAGTCGTCAAATAATTAAAACCATGGTATACATTCTTATTCGGTCCTAGTTGATAGATGGCTAGGCTATGACAAGCTGAGCCGCCAATGTGAGTACCATGAAGAATGGCGGGTACTACGAGCCAATGAGGCTTGTGAATTCTTACTGAAGGACACCGATTTCATCAACTGGTACAACGCCCCTGATTCTCAGCAGTTGGTGATCCTCGGTGATTTGGGCTCTGGGAAAACGATTACTATGTCATTCTTAGCGGATGTACTGAGCCGAAGAAACCAGCACCAACTACCTCAGCCCAAGCTATGCTACTATTATTGCCGTGACGACGAGACAGGGAAAGCTACTGCTATATTCTCTGCTCTGATATTGGAGCTCCTTAAACAGCTTCCAGGCCTGAAGAAGCCATTCTTTGAGTGGTACAAGGAGTCTCAGGCTTCTGGAAATTACGACCCGACAAGAAGTCCGAGAAAGCTGGGAGAATTCTTGCAAAACATTCTCGAAGAAATTGATCGCCCAGTCTTCATCGTGATCGACGGCCTGGATGAGTGCGATACAACGTCTCGATACAATCTTCTCAAATTCTTGAAAAATTCGTCGCAAAAGATCCCGAGGCTGAAAACTCTACTTTCTTGTCGTCCACAGGAAGATATTCTTAAGCAGCTACCCCAAGTCCCTACGGTTCAATTGGGCTCTGACGTCGAGCGAGATAGCTTTATTGTCGACAAAACGGTTGAGATGCAATTATGTTATCTATCGCCTGAGGTTAAGAAAATCGTCAAAGACAGACTTTCTGCTCAAGCACAAGGAAGCGCCATATGGACGAAAATGATAGTTCAGCTTATCCAAAAAAAGGATACCCGGGCAATCGGAAATATGCGAGTTTTCTTGGAAAACATGCCATTGTCGGATAAACTCTCGGATCTCTATGACACTTTACTTTCTCGCTGCGCTTCAGACGATCCTGAAAACGAGGAGCTTGGCATTATAGCTCTAAAGCTCCTCACTGTCGCCGACAGGCCTTTCAGTATACTAGAGCTAGCTTGGGCTGTTGCACTAAGTATGGCTCAGCATGTCACTACTGTGGACGCTCTTGCTACGTTAGTAGACCATGAAAGAGTCATGAGCATTATTCATCCGTTCGTTGCTTGTCCCGATTTCTGTGACCTAAAGAAGTACCAAGTTCGGCTGGTACACCAGTCAGTGAAGGAATACATCATTCAGAAGTGGGCTTCTAATAATGCTGATCTGCAAAGATCTGCGCCGATTCCTGGACAATGTTTTGAGAAACTGGAGGCATTTATCTTGGATATTTGCATCAGGTATCTTCTCTTAGATGATATCGGCGAAAGGGATCTTTTCTCTGAGGAGCTAGTAGCCATTTCAGAGCTTCCTCAGGAAGTCGATCTTTTCACTGATAGCCAAGAATCGGTGGAGTACAATCCATATTGCACATGGGAGGTCTGGGAAGAAGGTATGAACCACTATGACCCGACTGAACGTGGAATTGGAGAATTCTTTGTCTATGCATCATGTCACTGGTTGAAGCATTTCGGCGCCATCAAAGTGGAACCTCTCCCAAGTCTCGCAAGCATAGAGAACTTATGCCAAGCGGGCTCGACCCGACTCAACAATTGGACTCAACAAAACTGTCGCCCGGGATGCGCTGTCATGGCCAGATTTGAATTTGACAGCAGTCTGTATGACCCTCTCAGCATCACTTCGCTCTATGGCTCAGTTGTCATGCTGCGTCATATGCTCAAGGACTCGAACTTTGACAATGACAAGTTTCTTCAAAAACCAGCTATTATGGCTGTTGATCAGATTCTCCAGTGGGGGGATGTATCAAGGCTGAGAATGCTCTTCTTCCATGATCGTCTTGGAGATCAGCTGCAGAACCTTGACTTTTTCCGACTTGTCCTCAAAAAGTGGCATGATCCAAATATTAGCCACGACAACTGGGATCATGTATTTGACCTCGTCAACGGGGTATCAGATAGAATGATCCAGGAACACTGGGGAAACGAACTCTTGTGTCTGGCCGCTGGCGCAGGCTGTATGCCCATCATCCAGCGGCTGGTTTCTGGGGCTCGAGGTAAAGCAGAGCTTAGGAGTGAATTGCTGCGTGGATTCCGTTATGAACAATGGTCATCACTTGACACCCCAATGCATCCATCAATCGCAGAGGCTATTTTGGGAGAAATCCACATTGAGATGGCAGAAAACGTACTAAGGGAGAACGGAATCAAAGCACATTTTTGAAGCCGGAACCAATTGGTTTTTCATTCGGCATTCAGGCTCTGCGGCCCGAAAATGCTCCGCCTTTTGGCTCTTCAGTAGATTCATGATATCCAAAGTGCTCTTGCAAAATGAGGAAAATTGAAATGACAATCCTTGAAATGGGCAACAAGATCCTTTGCGGGCAACTGTGCAGTTTTGTGACTTTAGATACGTGTTTCCTCTTGAAATGTACAGGCAACATCAATCCACATTTTTACGAGAGCAAAGGCCAAAATGATTCAAATGATAGAAGACGCGAGAATAAGGAGGATATACTGGATGATATTGAGCTTATGCTTGATGTTCACGGAGGCAGATCTACTCATATGAAGACATTTAAAACAAATAACTTTATGATTTGACCCCCATTCGCGCGGACGAAGCAGTCGCAGGTTTCAATGCTTCGACGATGTAATGACACATTTGATCAGATTTGCCGGCTTCGAAAGAACAGTCTTGAACCCTTTCTCAGCATCGCGCAGATCAAACGTATGAGTCGCAAGCTGCTTTAGCGATACTTGACCGCTCTGGACCAACTTGATAGCTGTCGGAAATGTATTTGCATATCTCCAAACAGCTAGCAGATCAGCCTCTCTAGCAGCAGCAGCTCCAATGGCAAGACTCTGAGTCGGACTACCCATGCCCACCAGAACTACCTTTGCCCCCGGTGCTGCGCAGTTGATTCCGATGTTGCAACACGATTCGACCCCGGTGCATTCAAAGACAACGTCAGCTGCGCCAGATTTTTCGCCCTGGATAATCTCGTTCGCGATATGCTTTGCAAAGTCCTCCTTTAAGTCTTTCGCTTTGGACGGATCAATCAGATATGACGCAGTCGCGACAGCTCGATGCGCTCTACTTCTCCCAAGAGCAAAATCTAGTCTAGCTTGATCTATGTCCGCAATAACCACCCTGGAAGCACCCGCAGTCCGTGCCAAGTTGGCGCAAAGCAACCCGATAGCACCGGCGCCGAGAATCAGAACCGACTGCCCAACCTTCAACCCGCACCGACGAACAGCATGCAACGAAACAGAAAGCGGCTCCAACAGCGCCGCTTCCTCCCAAGAAACAGTGTCTGGAATCCGATGCACAAAGTCGGCAGGGTGATTATAGTACTCCTGAAGCGATCCATGAACCGGGGGGTCCGCACTCGCAGACCCAGTAAACTTCAAGCGAGGACAAACATTATAGCGACCAGAAACACAGACATCGCATTTCTTACATGGTCGTTGAGGTTCAATAGCTACACGGTCACCGACTTGAAATTGCTGCGTGACGTCGTTCCCGACAGCCATGATTTCGCCTGCGGCCTCGTGGCCTAGGACCAGTGGTCCGCGCACAACGAACATTCCGTTTTTGCCGTGCTGGTAGTAGTGCATGTCTGTTCCGCAGATGCCCGTGGCTAGGATTCGGACTTGAACCTCGTCGGAGTTGGGTGGTGTGGTGTTTCTTGTTTCAATGCGTAAGTCTTGGGCGCCGTGGAGGACTGCGGCGATGTGAGTGTCGGCTGTCATTGTAGCGTTACTTTCGTTTTTGGAGATGGAGATAGCAACAGGGATTTTCTTTAGTAGTGATTGAAGTTCAATGAGGTGCTCTTTCGCACGTTTGATGGGACTATATGCGTAATAAAGTATCTAGGATGTATGCGTGCATACGGGTATATGGTTTTCAAGTAGCAGAACCTTTAGATGTCAAATATATCACGCAGTAAATCAATACCTTTTGACAGTTCTATCGGGTATATTCATAGTTGGCCCATTCACCTCGGCGCTCTAATGTACTTACTCCACCCGTCCAGCGTGGAGCCCACCGGTGACTAGCATCTCACCCCCAGTCATATAAGCACTCGCTTCACTCAGCAAATACACAGCTGCTCCTTTCAGGTCTGCCCGATCACCCATCCGCTTCATGGGTGGCTCAGATGTCAGAATTGATGCCAGATCCGGTCTGGACCGCGCAATATCGAACATCATGTCCGTTCGAATGTACCTGAGACTGTTAGAGTATTGTTCTCATTCAGAAACTTTGTAGAGTTATACCCTGGTGAAATACAATTGACACGAATCTCATGCTGCGCCAACTCTACAGCCAATTCTCGTACAAGGGCCAGAACGGCACCCTTGCTGGAGCAGTAGTCACTGACGAACTGCCCCGTACTGGCTCGATGAGCCGCCACAGATCCGATCATGACAATACTGGATGTAGTATTTCTGTCGTGCTTCTGGCTAACCATGTGCTTGGCGGCAAGCTGTGCTGCATAATACGTACCTAAGACGTTCACGTCGAAGCAACGCTTGACACTCTGCCATGACCTCTCAAGGAATGGTTGATCAGGACAGACCCCGGCTGCCGTGATGCTGTTGCAGTTAGAGGGTTTTTCAAACAGAACTCTAATCTCGCACTTACCAGCCATTGATATGACCAAAGTCCTCTTTGATACGTTCAAAGGTCTTCTTAAGTCCGTCATAGTCCGTGACGTCTGTCCTGAGACCTAGTCAGCGCTATGATTCAGAGATCCAGGTTTAATCATACTCACTTATAATACCTCGACTCCGGGGAAATATCTTTAAGCTTCATGTAATCTCCATGCGGTCTTTCTGCTGCATCCAGAATCGCAACCTTGGCTCCGGCTTGAGTGGCGGCAACTGCTAAAGCGAGACCGATACCTTGCGCACCGCCAGTGATGGCGATCACGCGATTTTCCAGCGAGAAGGTATCAAGGACGTTCTCACTCAGAAAGCGCTCTTGTTGATCTTTCCTTTTTGAGTTGGCATTCAGTGAGATATCAGAGGGGTTGCTGGACTGCGTTGATGAAAGACGAAAGGTGTCAATCTGGGATCTGTAGAGATTTCGAGCTGATGAGATTCGTAGAGGCAGACCTTGACTGCTTCTCATCAAACTTTGTAGGTGTCTCCTAGTAGAGATTAACATAGTTTTGGCTAAACGTGGATTGAAAAGTTGGCGTCCAACACAAGAGAAGCTAAAGGGACGCCCGTCTCGGTAGGAACTTAAGAATACATCCGGTTATCTGAGCCCGGTTATATGGTCTGCAGTACAAGGGAATGATTGAACGTGGCCCCAATAACGCTCTCCTTCAGTCAGTAAGTCCAATTTTGTTCAAAGTCTTGCGAGCTCAGGATTTGCCCTCACGTCAGGTTGAATAAGAATTTTTACATGGGCCTCCTTGTTATGAATCAACTCCAAGAATCCCTTCTCCACCACCTCACTCAATGGTACAATCGACGTAATCATCTTCTCAGCTGGAACTTCCCCAGATTCAAGAGCCTTTAGCACCCCAACAAAATCTTCCATAGTATAGCAGATACCTCCAATCAATCGTTTCTCGAAACAGGCGAGATTGTTGAGATTTAGTTGTAATGGCTTTTCGTGTATTGCCACATTGAATACAGTGCCTCCTGGTCGGATGGATGCAATCGCAGTATCCAAGGTAATTTGGAGTCCAATCGCATCAAATGCCACGTCCACTCCATCCGGGTTGGCACTGTGTACAGCCGTCTGGACCGGATCTTGCTCGTTGCCCTCTGTTGGATCTACCACGATGGTCGCACCAAAGTCTTTCGCCATCCGTTTCCGCGACGGAGCCACTTCACTCACAAAGATTGACTTGGCTCCCCAGACACGAAGAAGCATCACGATCGCCAGCCCAATGGGCCCAGCTCCTAGTACCAATACCGTTTGGCCCTGCACGAAGCCAGATAGCCGAATGGAATGCCAAGCTACCGCCAGTGGCTCGAGAAGAGCGCCAACTTGAAGTGAAACTGATTCTGGTAGAGTTATGCAATTAACCTCGTTGACCACAATCTCTGACGCAAATCCGCCACCATCAGCACTCAGCCCGTAGGACGCATAGCGCTTGCAAATATTGCGCTTTCCGAGTTTGCAGGTGGTGCAAGGATCAGCTCCATGATGCCGGTCGTCAAGAGCAGGATTAACAGCCACTTTGGCACCAACTTTAACATTGGCCACGGCGGATCCGATCTCGACAACCGTGCCAGACATTTCATGGCCAAGGGTAACGGGTAGGCTCTGGCCTGTCCAGGGATTTTTATGACCCGGCTTTGGCGGGAATATCGGTCCCCCGAGGTATTCGTGGATGTCAGAGCCACAGATTCCGCAGTAGGCGATTTGGAGCCGGACTTCACGTGGACCACATGCACTGTACAGATCAGACATTATCGCAGAGAGGATTGTCGGGCTTCATACCGTGAGGGAATTTGCTCGAGCTTAACATTCCTCTGTCCGTAGTATCGCAGGGCCGCGATTGTTTGTTCCGAGGTGGAGGTCATCTTTTGGGTAATGGCGCTGTGCTGTGACATGATCACACCGAGAAACTGTCAGCGCAGTTTCCGTTGCGTGTGAGCCTTTGGGTGACCTGGCCAGGCATGAGGCTACATATGTATCCACGCTCGTACGCTTTTAAGTCCGGCAATATCATAAGGAAGGTCCGAGGGATCCATGAGATTCATAATTGATCACCTGGCCCTGGACCAGCGTACAGATGAGTGGAGCAGTCTCCGTTACTCGGTGTCATTTATTTCTATAACTATCGTTTGCTTCTATTACATGGAGGAATTACGAGGGTCTTGTTGGCGGTGGAAATCCAGAACATTTGGTCTCTCAGGCCACATGGCACGCCATGGAGTCGCTGCATCTCTTTCTCTTTCTCTTCCTTCTGCAACACTTGGCTCCGGCAATCAACTCCCCTCTCCTATCATTTTCTCTGCGTTTTAGAAGTACCAAATCGCAATATCAGGCCTTTTCATGATAGTCCTTTTGACGCCGTTCTCGGCTATTTGCGATTACCAATCATTCAATTTCCCTCGCTGTTCTGCACGTCTGGAGAAAGCGGGGAAAGGATCCTTATCCGGGGAAGAGTTCAGGGCGCCAATGGAGATTAAGCCCAACATCTCCCCCACAAGCTATGACGCGCAATACCGAGGAATCGGAGGAAAGGCGGATCTCGTCCGAGCGGGACTTGGCTGGCCGGCTATATGGCTTATAACTTCTCGTACTCGATGCGTTTTTCACCAAGATGCCTGTGAATTGAGAGATTTGATCGCACGGTCCACGAAAACCAACCCCCGAGTCACGACAATCTAAAGACCATGCCCGAGAGACAGAAACCCGCGAGAAAGCCACAACCGCGCATTCGAGCAGGCAAAGCATGTAAGCGATGTAATCAAAAGCGCATCAAATGCGATGCAATGTATCATACCCCGTGCACGAACTGCGTGCAAAACGATAACGCCGAGTGCATCCTCCGGGAATCAAGGCGAGGGACATATATCCGCAAAACATGTCGCCAGAATGCAGCCAAACGTCCCACTAGAGCAGTGAACACGGCAGGATATGCTCATGACTCGCAAGAGGGCCCAGATGCTCCCACTGAAGCAGAAACCGATGCTACGATATCGGTACACGTCCCCGACGCAATTACAACAACCATTGTTCCACCGACTCAGATTCCCGTCGGTTCTGATGACTATCAAACAGCCAACCTTAGACCCCGGGTTGGTCCGTCGGCCCCGGGTACCGTCCCTAGCAACGACAATGCCGATCCAGAAAGCGCGAAAGTAGCAGATGGTCCGCCCGCTGCATCGTCTGAGGCCGACCGGGATGTCACGCATAGTTCCACCTCGGAAGAACCAAGACCAGTCACTGACTCACCCTTCCAATCATCATCAGTCACCTCTGACAGTAATGCTTCATCGTATCGAGATATCTCTTGGTCCTCCATGTTCGATCACTTCATCAACAGCCGACAGGACCGCCGGGAGTTTGTTGACAAATGCTCCATCACCTATTTGGGAGAATCGTTCCCTCTGGCGATTGTTCTGGAAGATCTGAACGAGAATGGCCGTCCAAAGCTTCATTACCCTGGGCCACCATTTCCTGGGATGAAACAGCGACCCGATACTCTTGATCAGCTGCAGCCTTCGCACATGATGCCTGAAGACTTGGACTTCCTGCGAATGAAAGGCGTCTTCGAGTTGCCCGAGAAAGCTCACCTTGACGCTTTCTTCGCAACCTTCCTTGAACGCATTTACCCATTATATCCCCTCGTGAACCGTCAAGAGCTCATACAACAACATGCAAATGGCAACGTGCCTTTGATTCTTCTCCACTCGATCTGCTTCATTGCCGCGACATTCTGCGACCTGCCGATCTTACACCACGCCGGCTTCACGTCCCGTCGAGACGCTCGCTTTCATTACTACAAGAAGGTAAAAGTGCTGTTTGACTCTGGGTACGAGATCAACAAGATTGTCATTCTCCAGAGTGCTATCTTGATGTCTTTCTGGGGCGGTGGGCCCAACAGCTATTGGAACTTTTACTCTTGGATCAGCACTGCTGTGACCATCGCTGAGGCCGTCGGCATTCATCGATCGACTGCAATGACGAACATGGCACCTCAAGACAGAAGCCTTCTCCGCAGATTGTGGTGGATCCTGGTGGTACGTGATAGTGCTTGCAGCGCCTTGGTCGGGCGGCCATTCCGCATCGACATCGACCAGTCTGACACGGAGATGTTGACTATCGCCGACTTCGCCCACGATGCTATGGTTCCAAACTTTCTTGAAGCCTCAAGCCACCACAAATACGCTCAGTACCAGATTGAGATTGCAAAGCTGTCATTGATCCTGCGAGATATTGTAATGAGTCGATTTTATCCCGGAAGGCCTCCAGTGCCTGCAGACGAGCTCCACGCAAGGTTAAACCGATGGAGAGACGGATTACCCATCACATTGACCTGGCAAGATGAGGCAGTGGATCACTCTAATCCATTTTCGATGACTTTGTCAGTCCAATATTATCACCATCTCATCCTAATATACCTTGGCCGCCTGCCTCACAACAACCTCAACGATCACGAGAATAACGACTACACCACCACCAGCTTTGCCGCGCAGCATATCTCGACAGTGGCATGCACAGCAGTCACGAAATCCTCGATTCTGGTTATGCCTCACGAACTGTTCCATGGCATTTTTCTCGCGCAGGCCGTGTTCTACACAAACATGAAAAGCTCGAATCAACTACTGGCAAGATTGGGCCGATCTGCCTTGACTAATTGCCAAATGGCTCTTCATGCATCTTGCGAGTGTTGGGACCCCAGCCCTTGGATAATGCAGCTGTTCGATAATCTTTCGACCAGGCGATTGGAAGAGCAGTCCTCCGGTGGAGAGCAGAACAGCTACCCATTAGGGCCTATTGATATATCGGGTTTCACCGGCGGCATGGGCTCAACACCCGATGCAGGGGTGTTCAACGGTCTCCTGGGTGGAGACCCCTGGCAGAGTAACCCTATGCTTTCTTCACTATTTGATCTACCACCGGAGATGTTACTCCCCGACCAGGAGGTAATATCTCATTAACATAACTTTTAGCATTCGTAGCGTGAGGAACCATCTATTTGAAATGTATATTACAGCCAGTGCTATGTCAGCCAATTTCTATCTGCGTCTTCCCAACCAAAGTCTTGTACCGTCCACCCAAGAATCGTCTGCTTGCCGTCCATTGGCTTCCGGAGCCCGGGGATGTGATCAGCAATACGTAGTCGGCCAATAGTGGTATGGGCCTCGTTCATCTTTGTCATCTCGTCCGGAGTCAGAGTCACGAGTTTGATATTCTCCTCAACCCGGGACAATGAGCTGCTCTTGGGAATCACGCATATTCCTCGCTGCACCGCCCATGATAGCGATAAGACCCCAGTCGAACATTGATGATTAGCCGCGATTCGCTTGAATAGCGGATGCGTTAGAATCTCATTGGCGCGTGTTGCGTACTCGGCGCCGCCGCCCATCGTACTAGTGCCATCAGCGGCTGCCCACCTCTTCGTTCTGCTCTTGGTTTCGGTGAATAGAGAGGCGCGTCAACTCACCTCCAACTCATGACCTGGATTCCTTTTTCCTGGCAATACGGAACCAATTTGAGATTAGGATTAAGTGCATGCAACTCGACCTGGTTGACCACGGGAACGATAGTCGCCTCAGAAAGCAACACATCCAGCGTCTTCTGCGTAAAGTTGCTCACTCCAATAGCCCTGCACCTACCTCCGACACATTTTTCCATCATCTTCCATGTCTCTGCAAACGTAGGAGACTCATCGATTCGCAGAGCTCGTCCATCAGGTGCCGCAGCACAAGGCCAGTGCATGAGGAAGATATCGATGTAGTCCAGTCCCAGGGCATCAAGGGACTTTTGCAACGCCTCGGCTGGGTTGTGATGCCATTCACTCCAGAACTTGGTTATCACTGTCATCTCGCTGCGAGGGACGCCTGAGTTTCGTACTGCGTCTCCGACTACTGGCTCGACGAAGTAGTATTGGGCTGTGTCGATGAGACGGTAGCCGTTGTGGAGGGCGTGGATGATTGAGTCACGCAATTCTTCCTTGGATTTCTCATTGTTTGTGCCTTTTGGCGTATAAGTCTCTGAGCGAGTTCCACGGACGCGTTGTCTTCCTACCTTGCCACGTTCCCAAGCCCACCGCGGGGAGTTTCATTCCTAGGAGTGCGTCAATATTGAAAAACGATGATAAGAGGCAGACCACGTAGCATACCATTGTTAAGTTCGAACGTAGTTGTGCAAATTCTGGGATCAGATGTCATCGTGAAGAGTCCAAAAGGAAGAACAGGCAGTGGTTGTCACTGCTCTCAATTGTAGAACATCAATCCAATTATGTATCGACTGCTATGTGAAGGAGCCCCTCCCCCTTCAACCCCACCATCTCTCCAAATACCCGGCCATCACACCGCAACGCTACTCGCCAACCGCTCGAACGAGATACTCAAAACCTCAACAACATTTCCCCACGGGTCAGCCAGATACAAACACTCATTCCCGGCAATATTGGCCATAGTCCCAATTTTCTTCCCTCCAGCCTGAACCACCTTCCTCGCCAGTTCAGCTGGATCACAATCAGTGACACAGATATGAAAGAACCCCCCATGATTGTAAGCAAACTCCTTCGAAGGCAGATGCGCAGGATCAATGAATTCGAACACTTCGAAGCCGACCCCGTTTCCCGTTGCCATGTAGGCAATTTTGACTTCTTGGAGTGTGACCGGGTATATGTGGAAGATGCCCGCTCCAGGTGTCTCTGATCGTCTGATGTGCGTGATTTTACCGATTAATTGGAAGCCCATGGTCTGGGAATACCAGTCCACGACGGCTTGGATGTCTCTGACGGATAGGGCGACATGGTTGATTGGGCGAGCGTGAACTCTCTGCTGCAAATGTTAAGACGAATTGCATCAACTGTGTTTTCGCATCTCACCAGAGACTGCATGATATGAGTTTGATCGGTTTAGATTGGATTGTGGATATTGTTTATCCATGCCATCTTTTTTGTGGTTCAAATATGGTACGTCAGTCTGGCTATATGATAGAGTTCATGGCTATATCCTCCATATCACATCCTCGAAACTAGGCGAGTTATTTTTGATAATGCATCAAATACCGCCAGCGGTTAACGAAGCGATCAGTCTTTGACATTCATTTAAGCAGTCGTATCATACCACAGACATTCAAAGGAAAGCGAGTCTAGTAAAACAATTGCATTCAGACTTCTCTCATGAATGCGCGCCACCCAACACAGGGAGGAATAGGGACCAGGACGGACAAGGAAGCCGAACGACAATTAGAGATCACAAATGAGCAGAATCTTGAACTGATCACTAACGAAGAAAGAGTCACCTAATGTCGAAACGACCATTTATCAGTCATTGGCCTCACCTTAATCAATTCGACAAGGATGGGACATCCATTTTATATCCATCGAAAACGGAGCCGCCCCCTATTAGACAATTGCGCCGTACAACTTGAGTAGGGTCGACAACCAACTGTCATTGGTGCCTAGAATCATTTATTGTTGCTACAGTATTTAGGATTCCAGAGCCAATTTCCTTGTGTAAAGCATGGAGGCTGATTTCGAATGTCACTGTATCAGTCACTACTGGACCGCTCGCGGGGAAACTTGCTGCATGATATGTATCGCGCGTCGATAGCATGAATGTGAACGATCGGCCCGCACCGGCAATATGACCTCTGCTCATCATACCCGAGAAATCCACAGGATCATCTCGCTGCTCGGCCCTAGTTCAGTGGGTCATCGCCAACCCCGCCATTCGGCAATGATCCTTCGTTATGCACCGCTGATCTTGAGTTCTGGGTATATGGTTGTACAACTACTATGTCGGTCGTGTCTGTTTAAAAGCTCGGAGTGGGTACATTCGAAAAGCCCTGTACACATGATTGAGATCAGCGATATGACATCCAACACCAAGATGGAGGGTAAACTGTGGTTCAAGCGTGGCCACCCCATCCAATTTGCCATTACATGCACATGTTTAACGGCATTTGTTCTGTCAGTCTCATCAGCTAGAGCTACGGAAGACCGACTGCTAATGGGAACTTCCATACAGGTTCGGCTACGACCAAGGAGTCTTTGGAGGTATAGTTGACGCGAATGTCATTTTGTACTGTGCTGAGGAGGCCCAGGTCTCGTCACGAATCCTGATTTTCTTAAAACCTTCGGCAATCCGAGTCCAGGCTTTACAGGGATTATCGGTGGGCTACTCCTCGTGTGTCGTTTCTGATATATTTCTTACGACTCGCCAGTCTCCATATACAATATCGGATGTCTTGTTGGCTGCATCATCAACTTCTTCGTTGGGGAGACCATCGGACGGAGGAAAGCCATTCTCATGGCGATGATCCTGACCGTCATTGGGGCAATATTGCAATGCTCTGCCTTCGGGGTTCGTCATTCCACGCCACTAATGCTCCCGAAAAATGACAGGTGCTAAATTGGAGTTCCCACAGGTACCGCAACTCATGATCGGGCGGGTGATCACAGGACTGGGTTCGCTTCACTATTCACAAAGCTATTTCCGGAGATTGACAAGTTCAAGGTGTTGGTATCGACACGTCCACTGTGCCTATGTAGTAAGTCTTGCTTGAGCTTCGAAACAGCCACATTGTAATGTATTAACAGAGATGCTCATACAGCCAGGCTGAACTCTGCAAGAGCAAGTATCGAGGCCGACTCGTTACCACCGAAGTTTGTTTACTCTCCTTCGTTGTGAACCGTTCACGACTGATATGGACAAGGTCCTCTTCGTCGGACTCGGAATCACGGTCGCCTACTTCTTCGTCTTCGGCCTCAGCTTCACCTCTGGTCCGCTATCGTGGCGTCTCCCAATTGCAGCCCAGGTTATTATCGCATTCACCATTTCCATTATTATCTTCGGTGTTCCTGAAAGCCCCAGATGGCTCACCAAGAAGGGCAGGCTTGATGAAGCTACAAGCCTGCTGGCTTATGTCTTCGACATGGCAGAGGATGACCCGTATATCATTGAAGAGAGAAACGCGATGATGAATGCCGTTCGGCTGGAGGAGGAGATCCCCTTCCGTTGGTCACAGGCTCTGAAACCTGACGCTGTCAAGACCAATAAACGTATCGGTCTGGCATTTTTGGTGCTTTTCATGAATCAAGTAAAACACTTCTTTCCTTACAAGGGGTTCGGTTACTGACAGTGAATCAGTGGGCCGGCATCAACGTTATCGTCTTCTATGCACCCACAGTTCTGGAACGAAACGTCGGCCTCCACAGAACCACCGCCCTTGTAGTCGCTGGATGTGTTGAGTTCTCGTTCGTAATTGGCTCCTTGGTTCCTTCTCTTGGCCTGGATCGATTCGGCCGCAAGAAGCCAATGATGTTTGGGTCGCTGGGTATGGCCGTCTCTATGATGATGGTGGCGATCTTGCTCTCGTTCAAGGGCACCGCCATCGAACGTCCGACTGCGGAGGCGTCGATTGCTTTTCTGATTACGGTATGCGTCTTTCCTCAAGAACATGGTCCATATACTCACAAGACACAGTTCATGCTTTGTTTCGGTGCCAGTCTGAATGCCATTCCCTGGTGTTACAGTGCGGAGATTCTGCCTCTCAGAGTGCGCGGGCAGGGAACAGCACTCGCAGTGATGAATAACTGGGTATGGGTGAGTGGCCATATATTCCTGCAAAGTCTGATCATATTTAACTCTGCTAGGTGTTTACCATCGTCATGGCCACGCCAACCATGATCGAGAGGTTGCAATGGAAGACTTACTTGATCTTCATGGCTATGGTATGCCACTTCCTTTAGCATCCCGTTTGCCTTACGCTGACATTCGCATCAGAACTTTGTGTTCATCCCCCTCATATACTTCTTGTTCCCAGAAACCAAGGGTCTCTCCCTAGAACAGATCGACTTTCTCTTCATCGACCGTGAGCAAGTCTCGCTGGATTCGGTGATTACTTCGTCTGGCCTTGAGAGCTTAAACGGAGATGCGGAGAAGGCTCCAGGTGCAGTGCACATTGAGTAAATAAGTTGATTTTCAATGGCAGCGTGGGATAGTCTCGACACTGATCTGAAAGTCAGAAAATGTGTGTAAAAGACACAGTTTCGTTTGATAGCACTGGGTTGTATAGCTACATTTCGCTAGTTTCATTGGCAATAGTTTCGTTGGTAATAGTTTCGTTAGAACCAGATCCGTACCAGTAATAATATTGAGTCCAGGAGCCACTTAGCCTTGAAACAGATTCTAGCTCTGTGTAGCAGTGTTCGGTGTCTTGAAGCAGGCTTGAGAGTGCCGAAAACCATTACATGCGTACAATTTCGAGGAAGACAGAATAAAAATTGTGCCGTGCTGGTCGAAGGCACAACAATGGGCATAGACATACCCTCTTCACCTACTGATGTCTGACCGACAGGCATTTCCGTCAATCACCATCATGCAAGTGCATGTATACAAAAGGACCAACTTCAAAGGAGATTTTAACATGAAAATATTATTGTCATCTAGAGTTTCATGCTCGGAGCAAATGCTTCGACTTGTAGACTGCCCCCATAACGACACCCGCCGTCAACGCAATAGTCAAAGTCAAAGAATGAAAGGGATGCATGGGCCTCTTCCCGGTATCACCAGAGAAATCAAAATCTTCCCACTTCGGCCAGTAGAGCTGGTACCAGAACTTCCACGTATTGTCCGGGTAGTTGGTAGTGTTACGTCCATTGGTATCCAAGTTCCAGTTCGAGCAGCCACCCGACCAAACCATTGTCTTGAGCTTCTCCTGGACAGAGTTTGCGTCATACATCTCGGCAGCCTCCTTGACGTCAATCGTTTTGAAGTAACCGTTAAGAATGGGTCGGAAAATCGTTTTGATCATATACTCGACCTGCACCTCGTTCGTGTAGATCACCGAATTATGAGCCGGGAATGCATTTGGACCGAAGACGATTCCGAAATTCGGGAAACCAGTCACCATGGAGGCTTTATATGCTTGTGCGCCGCGAGTTGTCTTCCAGTGCTCATTGAGGCTGGTGTATCGTCCGTGAATTGTGATCGGGGAAAGGAATTCCTGGATTTTGAAGCCTGTGCTGAGGACGATAGCGTCAACCAGGATATCCCGCCTAGGAGTGCGAAGACCGTGCTCGAAGAACTCGACAATAGGCTCGGTTGTAAGTTCGATGTTGTCCTCGTGAAGACAGTCGAGGTAACCAGGATCGAAAATTCGGCGTTTGCAACCGAGCGGAAACTTAGGGACTAGTATGTCGTGATATTTTGCCGGGGAATGCTGTTTGATGTAGTCGACCGAGACTTGCGTAGCTTTCTCCCTCTTCACTATGTATGCGTCTGAGTCTGACATATACAGTGTGTGCAAATCGTCGGTGCTCTTCCACAGCTTGAAGCGGTATAGGCGGTTGAGCAGAGGCACGTTGCGGAAGCACCATTTCGTGAATGCGCTGAATTCACGATTACACCTTTCTGTGACCCACTGCGGAGACCTCTGGAACTGATAAACCTTTTTAGCATCATTCACAAGGTGAGGTACCAGCTGAGCTGCGGAGCATCCGTTGCCAACTACCGCGACAGTCTTGCCGCGGACATCATAGTCGTGGTTCCAGCGGGCCGAGTGCCATATCGCGCCATCGAAGAGCTCGTGGTTTGGGATGTCGCAGTCTTTGGGTGTAGAGATTGTTCCGACGCATGAAATGAGGATCTCTGCTTCTTTCCAGAAGACATGCTCACTTTTCATATCTCGAAGACACACTCGCCATAGCGAGCGTGACTGCTCCCACCGAGCCTCGACAACCTGAATGCCAGTCTGAACATGTGGCCGAATGCCGAATTTATTCACCGTCGCGTTTAGGTACTCGAGGATCTCGGGCTGTTCCGCGAAACGTTTCGACCAGTTGGGGTTCAAGTTGAATGAGAATGAATAGAGGTGAGAATCGACATCGCAGCCGACGCCGGGGTAGGTGTTGAGGAACCAAGTACCGCCGATGTCCTTTTCGCGTTCGTAGATGATGAAATTGTTGAATCTGAGGTCTTTCTTGAGGCGAGCAGCGAGGGCGATTCCTGCGATGCCGCTGCCGATGAGGATGGCCCTGGGTTCGTGGTCTGGCATGTTGGGTGCAGATTCAGCCAACGAGAGATCACTTGCGCTGAATTGGCTGGGTCTGAGAATGCAAGTTGATTTATATTTTATCTTGCACCTGACTAAAGTTCACTATTACAGACACCCGAGCTACAGCGTCCGGGCTGCTTTTTCATCATATAGCCGGCGGCTATAACCGCTCGCCCTTCACGAAGTCATATAGCAGTCACAGTATCGGCAGAGAGCACGTGAAGATTCCGAACGACAAGTTCGTGGTAGTATATGAGAGCTGTGAAGCATTGATTTTGGAATATTTCGTTGGACCAAAGTGAAAATTACATCTAACGTTGTTCCTTCTCCCGCAAGATGACGGTCATCCAAACCACCACAGACGGAACCTCCCACTCCACAACTCCCTTGTCAGACAACGATCAAGCCGTCAAAGACCTACGCAAGCTGATCATAGACTGCTGCCGCCAAAATGGTGGCGGGCACGGGGGATCAGCCATCGGGATGGTTCCTCTAGCCGTCGCCCTCTGGCGACACACAATGCGATTCAATCCATTAAATCCAAACTGGTTCAATCGTGACCGTTTCGTTCTCTCCAACGGCCACGCTGCCATTCTGCTCTACACATTGCTCCACGCCACTGGATACCCCGATATGACAATGGACGAACTGAAACTCTACGCCAGTGCGAAGGCACCCGAAAAGAATGGCCGATGGAAGGCAACCAGATGCCACGGCCATCCAGAGATTGAGGTCCCTGGAGTGGAAGTCACCACCGGCCCTCTTGGACAAGGCATCGCCAATGCAGTCGGACTCGCCATTGCGTCGAAGAACTTGGCTGTTCAGTTCAACAAACCAGGCTACGAGATTATCACCTCAAAGATCTACTGCACAACCGGAGATGGGTGTCTTCAGGAAGGGGTTGCGCAGGAGGCGATGGCTATAGCCGGGCACCTCGGTCTGAACAATCTCATTCTATGCTACGATAACAACCAAGTCACCTGTGATGGGCCTTTGTCGTGGATTGTCTCGGAGGACACGAATGCGAGAATGCGTGCACTGGGCTGGGACGTGATTGATGTCTGGGATGGGAATAACTCTGTCGATGATATTGTGTCTGCTTTGCGGCTTGCTCGGGCCAGTACGCACAAGCCTACTTTCATCAATATCCGAACGGTTATCGGGTTTGGGACCTCGACTGCGGGTACGTTCAAATCGCATCATGGGACGTACTCGGATGAGGATGCTGGGCTCTATGGAAACGAGGGCATGGCGACGCACACTCTCTCAAATCAGACCAAGCGGTTCTTCTCTGAGCTTGTTGTCTGTGGGAAAGCACTCGAAGAAAAGTGGGACAAACTCGTCAATTCCTGGACGACGATCTACCCCAATGAATCTGAACAACTACAGAAACGCATGGCTGGCCATTTTGATGTCGAGAAACTCCTCCAGGAAATGGCACCATCCTCCGAAATCCAAGCTACAAGGCAGTGGAACGGACACGTCTTTAACACTCTCATGGAGTACATCCCGCAATTGCTAGCTGGAGGCGCCGACCTCTGGAACTCCAACCAGATGGGTGATCAATCCATCCGCATCCTCGACCGTGATCATTTCGACGGTCGCGTTATCCGATATGGTATTCGCGAACACGCGATGGCAGCTATATCAAATGGTCTTGCAGCATTTAATCCCGGCACTTTCATTCCCGTAACGGCAACATTTCTCATGTTCTATCTATACGCTGCGCCTGGGGTGCGGATGGGTGCGCTGAGCGGTTTGAGAGTCATCCATGTTGCTACGCACGATTCTATCGGTGAAGGACAAAATGGCCCTACGCACCAGCCTGTCGAAATGGACTCTCTCCTGCGGGCAATGCCCAATCTGCTATACATTCGCCCTTCCGACGAAGAAGAGGTCATTGGGGCCTGGATGTCTGCCTTGGCAGCCTCGAACCAACCGAGTATCCTCTCCCTGGCAAGAGATGCGCCAAGTTTGCGCATCTCCACTACCAGTCGGAGCAAAGTGGCACTGGGCGGTTATACTGTTCTGGAGAACGAAAATGCGCAAGTCACGCTTCTCTCCTGTGGCTCTGAGCTACAATTTGCTTTTCAAGCTGCGCCGAAATTGAGTGAGCTTGGGATCCCGACTCGAGTAGTTAGTATGCCGTGCATTAGCCTGTTCGAGAAACAGCCAGATGAGTACCAGGACGCCGTTCTCTCGAACAGTCCTCATATCATCTCAGTTGAGGCCTACGTTGCGACGGTCTGGTCTCGCTTTTGCACTGCGTCCATCTCTATGGACTCATTTGGGTATTCTGGAGCTGGATCGGCTAACTTCGAGCGTTTCGGCTTTGATAGTGATAGTATTGTCCGCAAAGTGCGAGACCATGTCACGGCCGTTCATCGGCCGACGCAACGATGGATGCGATTGGGGTAGGTAATATAGGTTATCTCTGTTACTTTTCCGAATTGTATATAAATTTCAGCAGCTCATTTCCTAGGTGCTTCTCATGGTATACGGTAGTCAAAAGGTTATATGAACCTGCACCATACCCCTTGTTCATCATATACCCGTACTCCAATCCTCTCCACATCTGAACTACTACTTAGGTCAGCATGAACCTCTACCTAGAGACTCAGCCCACAAGTCAGAACATAATGAGAAACCTCCTCCAAAACAAGGTCATTGCTATAACAGGCAGCTCCTCCGGCATCGGCCGCGCGATAGCAACCCGCTGCGCCCAGCAAGGCGCCTCAATGGTCCTCCACCATCTCGGCACCCCGCGAACAGAACAAGACGCACTCTCACTCTACGATGAGCTCCCAGGCTCACCAACACTCGACAAAAAACCAACATCCCACATTATCGTCGGCGGCGATCTGACAGAGAAAGATACACCGCGCAAAATAATCGAGAAGACTATCTCCGCATTTGGCCGCATCGATGTCCTCGTCAATAACGCGGGCATCTGCAAGTTCACCCCGGCGCACGCAGTCACCAGATCCCTGCTCGACGGCCACATGGACGTTAACTACACCTCTGCCTATCTCTTGACACAAGCCGCATCGGAGCAAATGGCAGCACAAGGGAATGGCGGGAGCGTCGTATCCATATCCTCGATTACAGCGGTGTTGGGCTCCTCAAATCTAACGCACTATGCGCCGACGAAAGCTGCGCTCCTTGCTATGTCGAAGTCGTTCGCTGTTGAGTACGGTGCTCATGATATTCGGTATAATTGCGTTCTTCCGGGGACCGTCATGACGAGTATGAATGAGAGGGATTTGGCTGAGAATGGGAAGAGACAGATCATGGAGGGCCGGATTCCACTGCGACGCTTGGGGGTCCCGGGTGATATGGCGGGGATCGTGATGTTCTTTGCGAGTGATCTTTCTGCGTACGTTTCCGGGCAGGAGATTTTGGTTGATGGGGGTGCTTCAATTAATTATCAATGACGGTTGGGAGGAGGTTAGTACCGTGACAATTGGATGCCATTGTGGCCACTCTACTTGATGAAAAATGTCAAATGGCTTAATCTCACCGAGGGTCTAATTCTCCAGGACGAATGGCAATACGAATGGGAAATTGACCACCTTCTGGAAGTTAGTCAGTCGTGCTTACTTTACACGAAGGAATCTACTCCCGTCTGCGAGGGCTCCGCCCCATGCTATAGACGATGAGAGTGCGGATTGAGATCCTAGTGTGATCCAGGACTTTCTACTGGCATTCAAGCGGACTGCAATTTGAAGTAATTGAGATTGGCAGCCGCAAGACAGCAGATTTTTGTAGTTAGACCTTTAAATATGGTATCCATAACTATATCTTCTCATTCAATTGTGGGCTATAACAGAGACAAGGGCCCTTATGCTAAATATTGTTACTAGGTTCGGGTATTGAGCGAGGGCAGGGTGACGGTAAAGGCGTTTGTCTGGGCGCTGGTGACTGCGGGCCCCGATCGATGGGACGATGAGGCGCATGGATTGGGCGGAAGGGGCCCATGGAGGAGGTAGCTTGGAGAGGATACCTGTGTTGGGATCTGTGTAGGGCGGGAGGGAATTAATGTTGCCGTCTGACAGTCTGAAGTTCGCCGGCTTAGCCGAAATAAGCTTTAAGGGTCCCATGGTTGCCCTCAATGCCTAGAACATTTTTGGTGACGTATTGAACGGCAAAGGGGCAGAACGCCAATTTGAACTATCTCCGCTCGGCCCGTAGCCGACTTCTTTGGCCGTGGTCGACCTGTTTCATTCGGCAATTTCGACAACCATGTCGTCTCAAACAGGTTCAGAAATCCCTCTCACGGCAGCAGCTGTTTCTCCGGCACTTGATGATGAAACTTCTCCGGTGCTTGATAATGGAATGGGTGATATTGCGCACAACTTCAGCGAAAGACATGCCCTGAAGCAAGGTCTTCACCAACGGCACATTCAGATGATCGGTTTGGCCGGCACAGTCGGCTCGGGGCTATTCCTCAACTCTGGCCAAGCGCTCGCAATGGGAGGGCCTCTAGGTGCCTTCCTTGGGTACTCTATTATCGGCCTCACTGTTTCTAGTGTCATCCTCGTTGTTGGAGAGATGGGCGCTTTAGTGCCTCTTAGTGGAGGCCTCGTTCGGTATTCAGAATTCTTCTTCGACCCTGCCATGTCCTTCGCGAACGGATGGAATCAAGTATACTCATACTTGGTGACTATCCCTGCCGAGATCGTGGCGGCTTCGATCTTAATTCAATTCTGGATCACTGTCAGCAGCGCAATATGGATCACTGTTTTCAGCATACTGATACTCGTCACTGCGCTGGTTTTCATCAGAGTTTTTGGGGAGATTGAGTTCGTATTTGCGATCCTGAAGATCTTACTGATTCTTGGGATAAATATTATGGCACTTGTGATTACGTGCGGTGGAGGACCAAGTGGCGAATCGATTGGATTCAAATACTGGGGAAATCCAGGACCCTTTGTTCAATACCTTGGTATCAAGGGTGCTTTGGGTCGATTCCTCGGTTTCTGGTCAACTCTGAACAATGCAGTGTTTGCATACACTGGAGCTCAAAATATTACCCTTGTTGGAGCTGAGACAAGATCTCCAAGACACGCCATCCCAAAGGCAACAAAGCGCATCTTGGTCCGCATCTTGCTCTTCTATGTCCTGTCCATATTTATGATTGGATTGGTAATTCCTTCTAATGACCCCAATCTCCTTCATTTAACTGGCACAGCTTCCGAATCCCCATTTGTTATAGCCGCTCGTCGGGCAGGGATACAGGATATACCCTCGATTATAAATGCCGCTATACTCACTTCGGCCTGGTCAGCTGGCAATTCATTTATCCTTTTCGGCTCCCGAATTCTCTTTGGCATGGCAATGCAAGGACATGCTCCTGCGGTCTTCGCTCGGCTGAACCGATTCAAGGTGCCTTACGTGGCCGTCAGCCTCTTCGGGGTCTTTATGTCCTTGGGGTATATGGTCGTCTCTAATTCAGCAAACATAGTCTTCAGCTGGTTGCAGGCCGTTGTGGCGATCTCTACTTTGGTGGACTGGGGAATTATCTGTGTCGTATATCTCCGATTCTACTACGGTTGCAAGAAGCAGGGGATCGACCGCCACAGAGAACTTCCGTGGGCTGCCCCTTTTCAACCTTATTCGACCTGGGCTTCGCTTGTGCTGATCCTTCTTTTACTTTTAACTGGGGGTTTCAGCACATTTATTCACAGCCACTGGAATACTGAAACATTTATCTCGTCCTACATCAACATTCCAATCATCCTGGCTCTATACTTTGGCTACAAATGGTGGAAGAAAACACGTATCATCGCTTTGGTGAACATTCCGATTATCGGCTTGATGCAGTTCTACCTCAGCGAAGAAAACGTCGAGCCTGAACCACCACGCAAAAAGGGACTTGCTAAACTCAACATTCTCTGGTCATAAGTCCACCGGCTGCAACTATGGGCTGCCAGAGCTTGAAACGGCAAGAACTTTTTGCTAGGGACATTCTTACAGTTCCACGGAGATTTGCAGCTCCTTAAAATAATTCACTAGCGAAACCACTCGACACGATGCAACTCAGTGGGGATTATTTATAGAGAAACCAAATATAGATTATTGCGCTTGAAATTAGGGTTCGAGAAACAACTTGTAGGTGTACGAAAGGGGACCTTTTTCGACTCGACTGTAGCTGAGAGGCAGGGGACGGGAGACCTTTTCAATTCTGAAGAGTATCGTGCAACTTATTATTCTTTCCATGGAGCCGACCACATTCAAACCCTCCAGTCCAATGACATTATAGTTTCACGGAATGGTTTTGAAGTGGCACTTCCATATTGTGATAAAACAGTGATGTGTCTTTTAGCGCATAAGGCTTGCCGCCCATTTCTAGTCGTAAGGAAATGGTTAGACGTAAGTATTTAAAATAAATGTGGTTAAGATATAGAGTTGTAACTTGTCACGTTTGATCTGGTTGAATTCTGACTTGATTGTTTGCCTATTAAGCGTTTCGATGAATGTTGATCATGCATAATCATTTTTCTCTAGCAATTGGATTTCCATCTGCCCCCACGTCAGCCCGCCTGATAGTAGTTTTTAGCTCAAGAACATGACTCAGTTCATATTATTTCTTTTAGGATTGGATCACCCCCTGAGGTTACATTTCTGCTCCAGCGGCGACTTCTCAATTCAGGGTCCACTCCTGGTGGGGGCTGGCTTATGGTTTAAATCACAGGGTGCCATGGAATTCCCTTGAGCCTTGATTATTCCCCAATCTGGACTGGCTCCTCTCTTCGTCGTAGCGTAACATATCATCATTTCTTTTTTTAACCTCCTTAATAGCCATGGTCGTGTAAATTTATTAGAATCCTTAATAAAAAGAATGCACTCTCTAGATACCTGGCGCGTAGTCAGGGCGAATAATTGCAAGATTCACTTACCAGACCTCAGGGGCGACCCTCTCCACCAAACACCTCGTTGGTACCATCCAGGTGCTTACCATTCGACCACCAGGTGATCTGCACGTATTTATACTTCGTAACGACTCGTGTGCAGGAACTCTAAATTTCTGCGCCACCTTCGCGATTTTGGACTTAGTACATGCATGGTACGCGCAAGGCCTCTTGGATAGTATCCCTCATTTCGTCAGATGTTTTAGGCATCGTGGTAGTTGGGAATTGACTATAGAAGAGACGTGGTCGATAAAAGATTTCGTTACTTCGTATAGCAATCACTACCATCCAGACCCACAACCTTGAAACGGTTAGGCGTCCGAATTGGGGCGACTATAACTAAATATAAACAATTAACATAAGAATTATTGCTTTGCCACAGGTTAACTGCGTGACAATGCCCACCCACCTAACCATTCCTTCCAGAATTGGGGTGAGTGCCTTGCCATTGAGAGCCTTGCCACTGCGAGCCTTGCTACCAGTGCTAATCCTACTTGCAGACGAAGTCGATATTCATTTGATACTCCTGCCTTGTTATAAATATGAATACGCTCCAAGTCCCTGAGCTTTCTCCGGCTTTTTACTAGATCTCCTTTTGGGCTTGTGTAGAGACTCATGTTTGGAAAATCATCCATTCTTGCCAGCCTTCTGCTGGCAGCCCTGTCATCAGGGCGTCCTCTGGAGGGTCGTTTTTATCCTACACCTTCGAACTCTGCTACACCTTCGAGCTCTGCTACACCTTTGAGCTCTGCTACACCTTTGAGCTCTGCTACACCTTCGACGCATACTGTCTGGGCTACACCACATCCACCCAGTCCTCCCTACGTTCCCCCTTCCGTCTCTATTCCCTATATTCCTCCTCCTCGTTCTTCGAGTGTCCGTGTTCCCCCGGCCGGATCTTCAGTTCCCTATATTCCTCCTCCTTCTTCGAGTGTCCGTGTTCCCCCGGCCGGATCTTCAGTTCCCTATATTCCTCCTCCCTCTTCGAGTGTCCGTGTCCCCCCGGCCGGATCTTCAGTTCCCTATAGTCCTCCACCTTTCTCTCCGAGCTTCTCACTTCCACCATGGGGTTCTTCGTCTGTCCATGTTTCTCAGAGTGCATCGGGTGCATCGGGTTCATCTATTTCGGGTCCAGGGCACCCCAGCAGGTAAGTCTGTCCTGCCGTGTTGCAGCTTCCTTTACGGTCTAATTTACACTTGCCGGATCACTAACACCTTCATTCTAGTTTGTCCAATCCCTACGTCGGGCCAACAAGCATACCTAGCGTAAGGCCTTCATTCACTTCTCACCCTACGCCTCCCGAATCCTCTGGAGCGTCGATTCCGGGATCTAAGCCATTTCCAAGCGGAGAACCTGGCCCTTCGTCCGTTCCGTCGCTATCTGGTGTCAGTACCACTTCATCTGGAACCCCAATTCCGCCTATCCCAGGACCATCAAGCTCAGGAACACCTGCTCCCATACCAATTCCCGGTCCCAAACCTGGTCCTAAGCCCGGTCCTGAACCGAAGCCTGGCCCTGGTCCCAAACCCGGCCCTGAACCCAAGCCTGGTCCTGTTCCTAAGCCCGGTCCTGGTCCAAAGCCTGGCCCTGGTCCCAAACCCGGCCCTGAACCCAAGCCTGGTCCTGGTCCAAAGCCTGGTCCTGCTCCCAAACCTGGCCCAGCTCCTAAGCCTGGTCCTGAACCCAAGCCCGGTCCTGGTCCTGCTCCCAAGCCTGGTCCTAAACCCAAGCCCGGTCCTGGCCCTGAACCCAAGCCTGGTCCTGGTCCTAAGCCTGGTCCTGGTCCAAAGCCTGGTCCTGGTCCAAAGCCTGGTCCTGCTCCCAAACCTGGCCCTGCTCCCAAACCTGGCCCAGCTCCTAAGCCTGGTCCTGAACCCAAGCCCGGTCCTGGTCCTGCTCCCAAACCTGGCCCAGCTCCTAAGCCCGGTCCAGCTCCTAAACCCGGTCCTGGTCCTAAGCCTGGTCCTGAACCGAAGCCTGGCCCTGGTCCCAAACCCGGCCCTGAACCCAAGCCTGGTCCTGGTCCAAAGCCTGGTCCTGCTCCCAAGCCTGGTCCTGAACCCAAGCCCGATCCTGGTCCTGCTCCCAAACCTGGCCCTGTTCCTGTTCCACCTGAACCTACGCCTGAACCTGGTCCTAATCCACCCAACCCGCCGAAATGCAAGCATAAGCCGCCGCATAAGCGTACCGAGAAACGCGCCGTTGATGGAGGTGATATCGCAGCCCTCATTGAGCACGGTGTCGTTAGTCCGGTAAGTCGAAGAGTTGCGGACGCCTTGGGCGCCATATTGGCTTGTATATGGAAATAACTGACTTTGGACGTCTGTGTCTGCTTAGCCGGTCTCGGTCTCCGTTACGCCTTCTTTCGTAGCCAATGTCCCAGAGAACACTCACACATATACAGTCGGACAGAATGGTGAGACGACACCAGTTCCCATCGTGGGGGGTCCTGGATGTTGGGTAAGTGCCTATGAATCTCACTCTAACTATCAAGCCCTAACTAATTCACCCTAGTTCTGCCCCAAAGAGTATGAAAATAATCATGCCGAAGGCGGATGGGCGCTGTTAGGCATCGATGGCCAAGGAACATATCAGCCATTCTCCGTTTCTGAATTCCCTGAGCCTTTTCCCGTCATCTTGGTTTCATCCAATGGGGATCCAGTCTATGCCCCTTCCCAGACGACAGACGAACCAGCTACAAAGGTCAAAAGAGGGAATCTTCCGACTCACACGCATGTGATAAAAGAACCTAGATTTAAGGTCTTCGAGAAATATGTACCTAAGCGCCTTGGATACTATTCCGGTGATGGTTTCGCTCTGAAACAAAGTATGTGGATATCGCCTCTTTACCCCCTTCTTCTTCTCTACGAGGATTGTCTTTTGAAACTGACAATGTACCTAATTCTTTAGAGAGCACCACGAGAATGTATCATGGTTTTGAAATTCCTAACCATTACGTTTTGATTGCAGGCTTCCTCAAAATTACCGTTGAGGAAGTTGAAGTGTGGGACGAATGCGGAGAGGCGCCGAAAGCGATGCAAAAAATATATACCTATGATTGGGAATCCCGGGTGTACGATCTTAATTATGATGCGGACAGGCAGGTTTTTATGACGCCGCGTACCGATTCAGCAGACTGGATTTATCGGCAGGATAACTATGAGTGGATGGGGCGTATCAAGCCGGAAGCTGACAATGAGTACATTGTACACAAGGCTGATCAGATCTTTTACAAGTGGAACGAGGCAGGGGGGTACGCCTTGTTTCGCAGAGACTGCAGGCAATTTGCGAAAAAGTTATATGAGAAAATCGCAATGTAAAGAGGAGGAGACACTTGTACGTCAATAAATTGAGGGTTGAAGTCAATACAATAATTACTTCGCACATTTATCTGTGTATTCTGTAATTGTTCTTTGGTCATGACCTTTCTTTAGAGCAAAAACAGACCATGAGATAAGAAGTCGACATTCCTGTGTTTTGATCTGTCTTACGGCTCTACGCTCTTAGTCCATGTTTTCAGATGATGCAGTCTTAGCTCCACGCCCTAAATCGATAAGAGGGCTATCCATTGAAGACTAAGGATGAGAGAAATGAGGCAAATGTAATCTACGGCATCAATTATTTAATTGGTCGATGAGATATATGCTTTTTCAAGACAGCTGAAGTGAATAGCGTTCAAGGCATACATAGAGATATCAAGTTAACCCAGAGGTCGGGATCTCCAAACCTGAGCCCTCCCCTTTCTCTATAACTCTATAGACCTTCTTCCGAGACTGGGGTCCATCTATGCCACGTTTATCGGAGGCGATAGCTTCGCCATCTTCTACTCTGTAGACGGCGATTTGAGTCACCGCAAAGCTTTTTTCGATACCTTCATCCTGCTTCTTACCAGAAACATTCTCGTTATTCCAGAACACCTCGTCGTACAAATTTCTGCTCTTATCGGCGGTGGCCGTATTCTGCAAGTATGTAACCTGACTTGTGACCGTATCAACCCTCAAGCCAACTTTTGACTCTCGATCGCCTATCCAGTATTGCGCGCCTAGATTGTCAACATGCCCTGTTGTAGATTCATGTGCTGGTGGTCGAGTATTGCCCGCTTTGTTCAATTGGATAAGCCTGAAGCTGGGCTGAAGCTGGAAGAGAAGCTGCGGAAGGTCGAGACTGCGTTCTCCGGTTTCCTCGGGTATAGCTTGATTTTTAGTGCTCATGGTCCCTGAAGTACGAGAGAAGAGTGCGCCAGTGACCTCAGGGATTCGGCTCTGGTCTTGGTCGCCGACAAAAAGAAGTAGACGAGGTCGGTGATCTGTTTCTTCCTGTGCAACACGCTGGATAATATGATTGCGAGATAGGTTGTCGTTCGATCTCTGCGTTGACGGCTCACATATTTCCTCAAATGAAAATGGTCTGAATTTCCGGGCAATCTCAGACTTTTTATGGGCTTCGTATGGAGGAACAAACAATGACACTGCACGGAGGATGTCACTGGTAGTGGAATTTGGTTGAGACGCTGTTCCAAATGCAACACTAGCCTCTGGCATAGGAGGTTGGAAGATGGCTGCCCACAGTTGATGCAAATGCTGCTCGAGATTTGGCTAACGCCAGAAATTGAGTTAGCTTGCAGATTAGACTTATAGAATATAAGTATCACGTTCTAGCTTACCAAAATATCTAAGCCTCGAATCATCGAATCGGGCGTTAAGAAACCTTCCTGGTCAAGCCGAAACGGTTGGAGTAGTATCTTCACTAGCTCCTCTTTCTGGGGGCTGGATTCTTCGAAGGAGGCGTAGTAGAACCCTTGTCCCCAGGTCAATTTATGAACTCTCATCCTACTAAACAGGCCGAGCAAAGTAGCAAGGTCGTTGAGATGCAACTTGTATGAAGGATTTGCGCCTTTTAGAAGACGTTGAACTGCTGGTGTCAGCTGATCACTAGATGGGAATCCTTTTTCAATATTGGGTTTCGTCATAGCCAGAACATCCATCATATCATCGTCTATGGACAGAGAAGGATTACTGGTATGTTGGTTCTGTTGACGACTGATGCTTCGGAAGATCCGGTTATTATTAGATCTGCATTGACAGGTCTGGTTATACCGCCAGTAGCCAATACCATCTCCTAGAGTCCCTAGGATCTCCGTGCGGTGAAAAGCGAGCAAGCTTATAGCGCGCTCAAATGCGGGTCGATCCAGTTTTTGGTGATCAGCATCATAGCGTGGGAATGGGTGATACGCGTAAAAATAGAAGCATGACCACAGAACGTCGATAGATGCGTCCGGAATGGTAGCGCCCGGATGTGTTTTTACAATGTGGTTTTCAAGGCTTTCTTTGGTCCAAACTAAGCGAGTATATTATTAGTCAAGGCCTTTAATGGTAGCTGCGGCTCCCAGTGCTTTCTGTAGGCATGGATATCTCACTTACATGGCTGCCCCTGGGGCGAGTCCTGGACGCAGCATGCGTCAAATATCGCCGGTGTGTTGGCTACAGATTGATCCTGTACCAGGCAACTGTGTAGATCATGGAGAACGGTGGCTAAATGAATACCATTAAACTCATGCTGCGACGAGCGGAGTCCTGACTCCTGGGTGACATACCTGGCGTGGCCGTTCGAAGACACTTATCAACTTCCTTCTGTTTGGTTCCAAACATAACGCGGTGACCGATCTTGTTTATTAAGTCCTGCAGCGGCATGATTGATTCGATCTTCTCTCAACCGACGAGGCGGTAGACAATCATGATGGGAGTCAGCCGATAGTTATTTGGTATTTGTTGGGGCGGTGTCGTCACGATACAGCAGAGGACAGATGGGACGCAGGCAGCCTTGCGCATTCTTCCCCACCCACTACACTTCAGCCCCCATTGGGAAGGCGAATCGCTCGAGACGATCGTCTTATGGCTGGTCTGACCTATTAATAGTGAGAGCGGGAGTGCAAGCAGACAGAGGAAAAACTTAAAGTCTAATATTAAATCTACCATGAAAATAAGATAAAATCACAATAAAACATGCTCCAGTGCGAAATAAGGCGGTGAATTCGACATTGTCAGACATAGTTGTTTCCCAGGCCATGGATTTTCGACATACTCCATTGTTCAAGGCAGTTTGTCGAGGTCTTTACGCAGGTTCCAGCTGACCGTGTGTTAGGAGATAGCTCATCGCGTGTGAGGGTTCGATTACGTGAAATTGTGACCGTGTGTCGCGTCGCATATGCGGTTCTGACACGCGATGAGCTCTTTCCTGCAGAACGTAGGTCAGCGTACCCCGTCGGAAATCTCACCGTACCCCGGGTGGGGCGCCAATAAATGTAATGGCCCCTCTAGGGTACGCTGAAATCCTGACGGGGTACGCTGACCTGTAGACGCTTTAGTTAACTAACTAACGTTAAGTCAGTTATGTAGAGGCGCTCTAACTAATTAGGGGGGTTCAACTTCCGCTTTTGCTAGTGTATACCATTTATATACGACATCATACAATTCTCTACATCACCCAAAATATTTAATTTGCTAGATACATATATTTAATTTTCTGGATCTATGTGTTTTATACGGTCGCTAAGTGAGGTTTCTTTGTGTACCAACCGCATATAGCCCGTGAACACGTGGTTGCCATAGTGGGCTTATTATCGAGATAATAACAAGCAGAGATATATATATCAAAAACTAACCTTCTTGTTCTCTCACAACACTTTCCTTTCCATCCCCTTCCCCTCCTCCATTTCTATTTTCTTATTATGCCCAACTCCAGTTGAACATGTCTCTAATCGGACTTGCCGCTCACCTATATGCCCTTCTCTCCGTCTTTCGTGAGACACTTCCCCCAAGAGCCTGCTCCCTCGTGTTGCTTCCGCTGGTAGAGGGCTCGCTCACCTATCCAGTGCAGCCGAGCAATGGCTCTGGCCGCCCAAATGATCTATTTCGCGCCAGACTATCTAGGCTGGGCGCTCCTAACGAGCACAAACTCCGTGGATTCAGAAAATAGGCGAGACCTGTCCATAACTTTTGGGGGATATATAAGAATCAGGCGGAGGCCGCTCATTATGAAAACAGGGTAATAATGCAAGAAAAAGAAACTGGAAATCGTCTCGCTAAAAGCCATCTCGTTTTGCAATCGAAGTGGTTGCAGTGGTCATCGTCACAGGGTGATAGTCGGATGGATAGAAAGGCAAGAGGGACAGAGGGCCACAAGCAAAGTAGCAAAAATAGAAGAGTATAAACGGGCAAGAATTTATGAAACAAGATTCCTACCAGCCACCCCCCTTTTGGTCCCGGGCGAAAACGTCGTGTGGCAGTGAGAATGCAATTTCATCATCATAGGTTATATCATGCCTCGTCCAAATGTTCGCCATGCAGTTTTTGTGTCGTTGATGACATCTCTGTCAATCAGTAAGAGAGAAAAGAAAAGAGTAGGTCCGTGCAAAATTAGAAATCATCGTCTAATTCATCGCTATCCCATTCGTCCTCACGATCATTTTGTACCAGATCCAGAAAGCGCTGTAGTCCCACTCTCCAATCCCGCTCCCCGCCTGGCTGCTGCACAGCGCCTGCACGGGCCAGATCAGCTCGGCGCGGCGGACGACCTGCTTCTGGGCGATTGCGGACCTCGGCCATGGCTCTCGCTTGAGCTTGGCGTTCGGCTGCGGCGGCGCGGGCGGCGGCATCATTGTGGCCGGGGTCATTGTTTCCCAATCCGCGGACGGCGCCGGGAGCGCGAGGTGGGATTGGGGCGGGAGGAGGAGGGCGACGACGGCGTTGGCGGTCGTGCTCATCACCGCTGTCGTCGAATTCCCAGGCCGGACGGTCATCATCGTCGTCGCTACTGCTGTCGGCGTCTGGGGGATCGTCGTCGAAGACGAGGAGTTCGTCGGGGATTTGATGCAGAGCTTCTGCGCCGTCTGGGTTGAGGCCATCGCCACCCTCGAGATCCCACAGTCGGTTATAGCAGCCGCTATCGAAGTCATTGAAATGGCGGTAGGGATTGTCTGCGGAGAGCCAGCTCGAGCAGAGGTAGCAGAAATGCGTGTCGCATTGGAAGCAACGCATGTGGTTGCAGCCCATGCGCTTTTGGCATGGAACGCTGCATGTCGGGCACGGCGATGTGTATAGACGAAGGTACTCTTCTGTGGCTTTTTCTTCGGCGGTCTGCTCAGCCTGGCGCCGCGGGAAACACCGCACCAGCTCGCCGTGCCAGCCTTTCTTGCAGACACAGCAGAAGGCGTAGTTGCAGTCTTCGCAGATGGCCACTCGCTCGGCCATCGGGGGCAGCTGCGCTTCATCGCCCTGGGGGTCAAATTCAAATCCGCCGTCTTCTTCATCTGAAGCTTCGAGGTCATCCGCCATGGGGTCTGTTGGTTTGGGATGTCGCTTGGAGCGTGCGGCTCCCTGGCACCATTGCCGCGGGCAGTACACCGTCGTCTTGTCTGCCTCGATTTTCTTTTTCCGTTTGAGGAAGACGTATCGCTGCACGGTCTCTGGTGACAACGGGATCTGGAGCAGCTCACTGGGCCCAAGAGTCCGATCCCGCTTGTTGCGTTTCGGGGTCGAGGCTTCCCCACTGCGGGCTGGTGCAGGTCGTTGATTCTGCTCGCAATCCGGTGCTAGGCACTTCACGCCGTCGACATCCCCCTCGGTGATGCAGGCGTTGTAAAAATTTTGCAAACACGCCACACAAAAAACGTGAGAGCAGCGCAGCAACCGGTAACAATTCGAGCCTTTCTTCGGCTCGAGACACACCCCACACTGGAAAGTTTCTCGCTCAAACTTCTCGCGTTCAGCCTTATTGCTGAAATCCAGCAGTGCGATTTTCAAGTCCCGAGACAGACACAGTTCATTATCCGGCGTGCCTTGCAAGCCAAAGGCGGTCTCGGCGAGCTGTTGGAGATGGTCGATGTAAGTATAAACCACCATGTCCTTTCCACACTCTTCCCATAACCTTCTGCAATCATCTGACAGTTGTGCACACACCGGAGAGGGTATCCATGGCGGGTCTGAACTGAGTTGAACAACTGGCGGCTTGTTCGATGGATATCCGTCCGGTAGTTCGATCTTGAGGCTAAGTGGTGGCAAGTGTGACAAGACATGAACGTCCTTGCGCGCAGGCCGGTCTAGATCCGTTTCGCTGATATCCAACGAGGTCGGTGGGGTCAAAATGGTGGGGAGTTTGGCGTCAAATGCCTGGAAACAGACGTGGGAGGGGGTCGACGGCGCCACCGGAAGGTCCAGCGCCGCGCTGAACGGAGACGATGGATCGATCTTGATTTCCGGATATATGGCAGCGATGGAGGACAGCTCCACGGAGCGATCATCCTCGGGGACGAGATCGGGGTCCGTCATCGTTTGGGTTTGCAGAGGATATAATTATTTATATAGTGGGGGGTGAGTATAGCCGAGATCTCGGAGGTGCTCTCGGTGGCAAGCAGTCCAGTGATAGAGCAAGAATTGTTAGCACTGGGTAATCATGGTTCTGCTGCCACCCAAGAGCCCATGTATAGTTGTGGGAAAAAAATCTCGAGGGCGATGCAAGGCAAGGCCGTTCACCGAAAAGGCGATCGGGCAGAAAGGGCCTGCAGGACGCGTCCGGGATTAGTGACGGGGCACGACCAGGGGGCTTGACCAAACAGTACCAATAAATAGTTATGGGTCGTGCACTATTCGAGCTGGTTCCCGTTTGGCGAGGAGAGAGGGATGTCGGTGATGTAACAGGTGGGATGGCGATGAGGGGAATGGGGACTGCGTCATGGTTTGACTGACGAGAGACGAGGTAGGGAGCAGGAGTGGGAGGAATCAGTCAGGAGTACGTGGAGAGAAAAGAAACGACGGCAGAGAAAGAGAGAGAAGAGGGAAAAACCAGGAACAAAATAACCCCCCGTTGGTGCCCAGCAGTAGTCAGTGTGGCGTGGTGGGTTCACCCTTTATCTTATCGCAGTCCTCAGGCACTGTTTTCTTCCCCATGACCACCATCACATCACCACCACCATGGGTGACACTCCCCTGGCCTCGCTGTCCCTGACCCATGTCCACTATGTGAGTTTTTCCTGGAGATCGCAGTCGTTACTATGGACTGACTTTTCCACTCTGCCAGAACCCCGACGACCCCTTATCCTTCGTGTCCGCCTGGCTCGCCCTGGTCCCGCAGGCACTATGTGTTTCCTACGCGACCCTGATGTGGGCCTCGAGGGAGGCCGAGGTGATCTTGATGTTTGTGGGCCAGATGGGCTGTGAGGCATTGAACTTTGTGCTCAAGCGCATCATCAAGGAGGAGCGGCCGAAAGGTGAGAGCTTGCGCGGGCCTCCTGAATCTATCCTCAATGGCAAACTGATAAGCAACTTTTCCACCAGAAATGTTTGGCAAGGGCTACGGCATGCCCTCCTCTCACGCCCAGTTCATGGCATTTTTCGCCGTCTACCTGACCCTATTCCTCTTGGTCCGACACACCCCGACCCCTGCCAGCGCCTATCCATTCCGCGATTTCTTACTCCGCGTTTCTCTGGCTGTGGGACTCTGTGCTGGTGCCTCCGCGGTGGCTGTTAGCCGGGTTTATTTGAGTTACCACACGCCCAGGCAGGTCCTGGCTGGGTGTAGTGCTGGGGTGGTCTGCGCCTGCGCCTGGTTCGTTGTGACGGGGGTTCTGCGCAGCTCCGGGTGGATGGATTGGGCCCTTGACTTGACGGTTGCCCGACTAGTGCGAATTCAAGATCTGGTGGTCAGTGAAGACCTGGCCGAGGCCGGGTGGCAGCGATGGCAAGTGCAGCGGTTGAAGCGGCGCGGCTGTAGTCAAGCCCGCAAGTCAGAATGAGCGGGGAATGTTATGCAGTCAATCCGCAGCTTCCAGGACAGTGCATATTTTCATCCATCTTTATTTCCCTTATCGTAGTCGTATACATCGTCTGTTGACGGGAACACGTGACATGACTCCCCACCGCATCTCCCGCCAGCATCTTTTCTGGCATCGACACAACAGGCGACATGATCGATTCTTCCCCCGGATGATCTGATTGGATTCCCGTCTCCATATTCTTTACTTCGCTCTCTTTTTGTTTCCCCCGATGTCGCCCTTTCCGCTGCAGTGATACCCCTCGTGCTGCGCGTCCACACTGCGCTTTTCTGTCATGATGGATGTCCCTCCAGGCGCCTCCGGGGCGCCCATCCAGGAACATCACATCGTCAAAGCCGACGAGGTCGACCAAACGGGAACGGACATTTCCCCCGTCTCGGACGACCAGCTGATGGAGGAGGTGGCCGAAGGTCTGCGTCAAGAAAAGGCCTCCCAAGCGCCGCCCGCGCCTGGCCCAGCGGGAGCACCACCACAGCCTGAAAAAATGGCGAAGCGTCCAGATCTTCGTCGCGGCGGCACTGCACCACCTCCACCACTGCAGCCGCCGCCCCCAGCGCCGGTTCAGCAAAACATGGATCGGCCTCCAGACTCGTTGAGCCTAGCGCAGCTCAGACGTCTGGTACATGAAATGCCCAAGGTTGAACAGCCAGCTTATGCATTCGATTACGCCGATGCGCAGCCCTTCCCGGAAGAGCTTGAGGAGTGGTTTCAGTACAACGATTTCGATCGTGTGATGCTGATGGCCTCCAAGACAACCTTTGACCGCAAGTGGAGCAGCTTCATTCAACAGAAAACTTCAGATGCAAATCATATCACGTGGGTCGAAGCATCCGAGGATCTGTGTCGGTCATTCATCATTGAAATGCTGGCTGGATTACGGCATGCCGATATCTCTGTGCGAGTGGAAGCTCTAGAGTGCATTTCCTACCAAGTCACCGGGACTTGGGCGCTTACGGCAGGGCGAGTGGCGTCCGGTTATCCCCAAGAGCCAGATTCGAAAACAGCAGAAGAAACCCCTCGATCAAAGTCTCTGCAGATCGAGTGGATGGAGAAAAATGTTTCGCTTCTCCAGCAATGCTCGGGAATCCAGGTCTTGGTCGAAAGTCTTTGCCACTTGTTTGACAAAACTAGGCCTTCCATGCACCCCGATACGGACGGAATGGAGTTTGAACGACTCAGTCCCGGGGATATTGCTGCCCCAGAGCGCGAGGCGAACCTTGTGCTTACGTGTCTCTACTTTGCTGTCGAGGTCGGCCGTCGACAGGAGGCTCAAACTCCCGACCAAACACCAGTTCGCGATGCATTCCGCGAGTCTGACCCTAATCTACTGGTCACCATCGTTGAGATCATTGCACGGTTGCGATGGGATGAGTCTGCCAACATCCCTCTGACTAGAATTATTCTTCTCTTGTGGAAGTCTTTGCTTCTAGTGTTTGGCGGCACCGAAAGCCTCAAGCGGGCAAAGGGAGCCTTGGAGCCTTCCTTCACCCCAGACAACTCCTCGAATCGCAGGACACCCTTCCTCACAGCTTCTCCCTTGGATTATCACCTCTTCCGCCAAGAAATCACGTCCAAGTATCCTGCATATAACCCTCCGCCGCCAATAGTTCCTCTCGAGTTGGAGAACAACTCGATTTTGCCACCTCTTCCGCAGCATCCTAGCCGGATCAATACCTCAAGCGGCCTTTTCTCTGGAGTTGGACCCTCAATTGCCGGCGGGAACGGCTCCATTCTTCAGCAATCTGTTCACATTGCAACGCCTGCCCCGTCTCCCCCTCCATCGCCTATTGGTCCAGGAGGGAAGACCGGAAAGAAGCAGAACTATCAAACAAACCAAAACTTTCCGTTCATGTATCCGCCACTTGATGACACTAGCAACCACATTGGTGGCAAAGGCACGACTGAACGCCAGGATACGTTGGTTGGGAAACGATGGGAGGGCAGTGATGTCCCTGCATCCATTATTGAGGCTGGAAAGCTGTTCTCTACACATGTCAAGATGACTCGCGCAATGCGGCAATTGTGGGACGAGCGCGAGCATTTTATGAAATACGATCGGGGGTGGAATTTCGACGATTCTGCATGCCCGATGGACTCCAACTCGGAGGAATTGGCCAACGAAGTGGACGAGTTAAAATTATCAGAGAAGCAAACAAATACTGAGCCTGAAACAGCGCCTGGGAAAGAGACGGACGATTCAGATGTGCAACGACGCTTGGATGCGGTGGAGACGTTCTATGTGAGCACAGCATCAAGATCAAAGTCGGACTTTACTTACTTAGATTCAGACGCAAACCTTGGCACACCTTCAGTCCATCACCATTGTCTTCCTCAAAATCATCTTGACGAATGTCAGCGCGGTGGTGAACCAGGTCAACGCTCAAAGCTCTCAGACGATGAGGTATGTTCTTTTCTTTCTGTGTACATGGTCACGGGCCAATCTAATGTCCGCAGCAACGGCTACGGTGTCAATGGGACCACAGATCTCTTCTCTGATGCCTCGATTGACGAATTGGACAATATCCGCCTGCGTGAAATCACCGGTAAAGCTGTGTCTGGGACCTTGCTACTTCTGCTGAAGTGGTTCAAGAGATCTCGTACGTCTGGCATTTCCCCGGTCCAAGTGCACTCCTAACGATATCGCAGATGTCTTGAAGTTTGAATATATGACCCAGCTTCTTCTCGACTCGAACTACCTGCCTCTTATCCTGAAAATGTTTGCCCATCAAGATGTAGACCAGGCGGTGACGCAGAAGAATGACCGGGAAGACCTGGCGTAAGTTCTTTCTTATCAACTTGTTAATCATATCATACTGACCATTGTTAGCTTCTTCCATTTCTGTCGTACCCATTCCGATCATGCCGCCGAGACACATTCAGGCGAAGATACAGAGAGTGAAGACGAGGCCGCTCCACCACCCATTGCTCGCCACCGTCCCGATCCAACAGCTGGCAGCAGCTCTGTGAAAGGCCTGTCTCCCGAGGACTCTGTTCATGACTTTTTCGATGGCCCTACCCGGCCCGAAGTGGACGAATTAGGGTATCCGACAGCACCACCACCCAAGGAACCGATCACCGTGTTTTCCTTCCGCAACTTCTTCTCTGCAATCAATTACCTCCACATCATGCAGAAGATCACACGCGACAAGGCGCACCGCTGTCTACTCCTGGTGCAATACAAATCCAGCACCATCCTTCGCAAGGGCCTGAAGATCCCCGACCCTCACCTCCGTTTTTACACGCTCAAACTCTTTAAATCGCAGGTCCCCTACTGCGGCCGCAAATGGCGCCAGAGTAACATGCGTGTCATCACTGCGATTTACCTGTACTGCCGCCCCGAGCTGCGGGATGACTGGCTGGCCGGGTCTGATGTTGACGCTGAAGTCGAAGAAGCCCTCCCGCTGGAACAGGCGCTGCGGGGGTTGACTCACTGGTGGCATCTGCGCCAGTACCAGGATGTTATGGGGGGTCCTGAGGGCACATCAATGATGGAGGAAGAGAGGGACTTCTTTGTCCGAGAGCTCGAGTCCATGGGCTGGGGCTTTGCGGATGAAATGCTCAGTGGTGTTGATGAGTCGGAGATGGTGGGTGGGCCGCCCATGATGAATGGCGAGTGGGATGGAGGGCCTTTGCAGATGGAGGGTTGGACTTCCTAGTAGTCGACCGAGATGACTTCATATACCCATAGCATAATAATGTTCTTCGTTCAGTCGTATCTAATGTGTTCCGAGTGTATACTCCCTAGTGGTTGTGGATCGTTATCGATAAGACTGGTTCACGTGATCGCGGACAAACCAAACTTTTTTTTTCTGCATCCGACGATCAACACTCCAAACTCCAACCACCACATCCTTCTTGCCCACCATGTCGGACGAAATTGTCTGGCAGGTGATCAACCAGCAATTCTGCTCCTACAAGCTGAAGTGAGTTGTACTCCTTTTTCTTTCCAGCTCTCGCGGAAGAAACTTCTCCTAGCGCTTGCTAACAGTTTTCACCAGAACAACCAAAGGCCAAAACTTCTGCCGCAACGAATACAACGTCACAGGCCTGTGCAACCGACAATCTTGTCCGCTCGCCAACAGCCGCTATGCGACCGTGCGCTCAGACCCCGAGACGGGAGCAATGTACCTGTACATGAAGACCATCGAGCGGTCGCACATGCCGAGCAAATGGTGGGAGCGCGTGCGCCTGTCCAGCAACTACGGCAAGGCGTTGGAACAGCTCGACGAGCGACTGATCTACTGGCCAAAGTTCCTGGTGCACAAGTGCAAGCAGCGCCTTACGCGGCTGACGCAGGTGAATATCCGGATGAAAAACATCGCTAAGGAGGAGGAGCGGCTGGGTGAAAAGGTGGTTCCTAAGTTGGCGCCGAAGGTTCGGCGGAGAGAGGAGACTCGTGAGCGCAAGGCGGAGAGCGCGGCTAAGGTTGAGCGCGCCATTGAGCGGGAGCTCATCGAGAGGTTGCGGTCTGGTGCTTACGGTGATCGGCCGCTTAATGTGGAAGAGGGAATTTGGAAGAAGGTTCTCCGAGGCCTGGAGAGGGCTGGTGATGGGGAGAGGGATGAGGATATGGATGACGGGGAGATGATCGAGGAGGAAGAGGAAGAGGAGGAGGGTGTCGGTCAGGTTGAGTATGTCAGTGATTTGGATGAGGATGAGGAGGACCTCGAGGATATTGAGGACTGGCTGGGCGCTGAGTCTGGGGATTCGAGCGATGAGTTTGACGATGAGAGCGAGGACGACGAGGACGAGGACAGCGATGATGACGCTGCCAGCGTTGACGACAAGAAGAAGCCTGCGCCTGCGAGCAAGCGGAAGCGTCCTGCGTCCCAAGTGAAGCCGCGCAAGAAGGGCCCGCGCATTGAAATCGAGTACGAGACGGAGGGCGCTGGCAAGGAGCAGCTCATGGCGTGAGACCAAAAAGTGTGCATGGCGTTGTCGGGTTTTGTATCTGTGTGATCGGGCATCATACCTAGAGCATCTTTTATTTGCAGATATTCTTCCATTGTTCCATAATTCATGCCTCGTCCTGTCTTTTGTCGATATTCTTGCCGCTGCGGTATAGATCATCACGTGAGTCGGGGGCGACGCTTCTCCCGTTCTCTCCCTTCCATCAACAAGCAACCACCAACTGCCTCGCAGAAGCCGGCTCTTCTGTGGACACCTCAACTACATTAATCTCTTCATTACCTTACTTCCCTGTCCATATTTTGTCCCCTCTGCAGCGTCCCTTTCGTCCGCATTCTGAAGCAGCCGGCAGTTCCACACTACCCCGCGACCAAGCTGTCCCAACATAACGACGCTCACGATGTTCTCCTCCTTCACCTCCTCATCTGCCATCTCCAATCTCGGCTCCCGCCTCACAAACCTCCGTCGTGCTATCACTCTCGGCGATGAGGGCGACGACCCCGACAACGAGGATTGCTCGCACATCTCCAACGCCCTACGCGCATACTACACCGAAAAAGGCCGCCCCTTCCCACCCTGGCTACCCCCAGACCCCAAGGCGCCGGCACCATCACCCTCGCGCATCATCGCAACCACCCAGATCCCTGCCTCGGGCCCCTACGGCCAGCCGGCGGCTGCTGTCTCAGCCCCTCACGCCCGCAGCGGCGGCGGACTAGGTGATCTGTGGGGTGACACCGGGAACGCCCCGCTACCAACCCAAACGTCGAGTCTGCGACGGCCAAGGGGACGTGGAGGAGACGGTGGTGCTAGCAGTGTTCCTCCGGGGGTGAACGTGCACCCTCCGCTCTTGCCTGCCATCAGCGCGCCTGCGGGTTCCATTCAGTCACCTCCTCCAACCTCGTCTCCGCCGCCGGGCTCGCTGCACCCGTCTGGGGCTCGCCCGCTGCCTAGTCAGCGTGCGGGCTCATATCAGGGCCAGTCAGCGCCGTTGGATCGGACCGCTTCGTCGGCGCAGGAGAGACTTCGGGCTAGACTGCATGGGGGTCAGCGGTCGCCAAGCCCTAGGGAGGATCCGAGTGTGCGCAAACCCGTTGGCCTGTCGGGCCGACGATAACTTTGTCCAAGGGGAAAGTGGGGAGCGAGTCGGAGTAGATCGGGAAGTATCGCATTTGTCGTCCGCATGGCGTTGGTGTTTTATTAGAATAGTTAGTAGTCAGTGTCCTTCTGGAATGATATGATTGTTCTTCTCGGTCAGATCCCGACTAGACTCCACACCCACAAAGTCTTTTTTTTCTGTTTCCTCCACATCTTGTCCGTCTCAGCGAATGGCACACTCGGTCCGGCCCAGGGAAATCCCGCATCCCTCCGATGTGATGCCGTGACGAAGCCCGGTTTCATGCTGTCGGGAGACGCTGAGTGGCCGGGCCGCGCAGATTCTCCGAGGTGTCCCCGAAATGGCGCGGCGGGTTCGGCGCGTTTTCTCCACGGGGAAGAACTTGGCGGAGAAGTGATTATCCTATTGTACGCATTGCCATTAGACAGTGAACTGCTTCCTCTGTAGATACTGGGTAGAATGGCAGTTTGCAGCAGATCCAAATGCAGTCTGTATAGTCTCCGAAGCATAACTCTCCAAGCTTCCTTGGCAAAGATTAAATGCGCCACAACCAACCAATGTCCATCCCCGCATTCTGCATCCCTCTCCGTCATGCCGATGAATACTCCTTTGGGCGCTTGGGGTGGCTCCCGGTGAGCCGAGTTTCCCCCAGACACACTTCCGTTTGCTCCAATCGCTGGCGCCCCCGATCGTCGTTCATTGCGCAAGTGAAATCACCTAAATACCCACCTTCTCTCCCTCCGTTCCTTGTGCGCATCTGTATACTTCCTTCCTTCCCTTCCCTCCCCCTGCCCCTGTCCTTCCCCCACCATCATGGCAGACATCAACAACAACAACCAAGAACCCAAGGACGTCGAAGCGCCCCAAGACACTCAAAAGGAAGAATTCGTCCACGAAGAAGATGACGCCAAGGTTGCCAATGTCGTCAACGAAGCCGCCATGGACGCGGAGCTGACCCAGCTCGAGGAACAGCTGCAGAGTCTCCCCAAGCGCCGCTTCGAGGTGACAATGTCCAATCCAGCATACTTCACCTACATCCTGGTTGCCTTCGCGTCCATGGGAGGCTTGTTGTCTGGTCTGGACCAGTCGCTCATTTCAGGCGCGAACCTGTTCCTGCAGAAGTCCTTGACTCTCTCTGATGGCCAGGATAGTTTGGTTAATGCCGGTATGCCCCTTGGTGCCGTTGGTGGTGCGTTGATTCTCTCGCCTGCCAATGAATATCTGGGTCGCAAGAACGCGATTATTGTTTCGTGTATCCTCTATACAATTGGTGCGGCGCTCGAGGCTGGCGCAATTGATTTCGGCATGATGTTTGCGGGTCGCTTTGTGCTTGGGATGGGTGTTGGCTTGGAGGGCGGCACGGTGCCTGTCTACGTGGCTGAGAGTGGTAAGTTCTTCTGATTTGGGTTCTTCGGTTCTGGAATACAGCTAATCAACGACTGTTGTATAGTCCCCCGTAAGATCCGTGGTAACCTTGTCTCCCTCTACCAACTCAACATCGCTCTCGGTGAAGTCCTTGGCTACGCTGTGGCTGCCATCTTCGTCGGCGTCGAAGGCAACTGGCGGTTCATCCTCGGCTCGTCGCTCGTCTTCTCCACCATCCTGCTAGTGGGCATGCTCTTTCTCCCCGAGAGCCCGCGATATCTGATGCACAAGGGCCGCGAAGTGGAAGCCTACGCGGTGTGGAAGCGGATCCGCGGGTTCAACGACCTCGAAGCCAAAGACGAGTTCCTGGGCATGCGCCAGGCCGTCAGCGCCGAGCAGGCCGAGCAGGCCGCTACCAAGAAGTTCGCCTGGATGGATTTCTTCACCGAGGGCCGTGCCCGTCGCGCCATTGTCTACGCCAATATCATGGTCTTCCTCGGCCAGTTCACCGGTGTCAATGCGATCATGTACTACATGTCCACGCTGATGGAGGCCATCGGCTTCGACGCCAAAAAATCAGTCTTCATGTCCCTCGTCGGTGGCGGCTCGCTGCTGCTCGGCACCATCCCTGCCGTGCTGTACATGGAGCGCTTCGGTCGCCGCTACTGGGCGAACGCCATGCTCCCGGGCTTCTTCGTCGGCCTCGTCCTCGTCGGTGCGGGCTACACAATCGACTACCACGCGCACCCTGCCGCCGCAGAGGGTCTCTACCTAACGGGGATTATCCTCTACATGGGCTTCTTTGGATCCTACGCATGTCTGACATGGGTGATTCCCTCAGAGGTATTCCCGACCTACCTCCGCTCGTACGGGATGACGACCGCAGATGCGAATCTGTTCCTGTGCTCGTTCATCGTGACCTACAACTTCACGCGCATGATGGACTCCATGACGCGCATTGGGCTGACGTTGGGTTTCTACGGCGGCATTGCCGTGCTCGGATGGTTCTATCAGATTATCTTCATGCCCGAGACGAAAAATAAGTCGTTGGAGGAAATCGATGATCTCTTCTCGCGCCCTACTTCTGCCATTGTCAAGGAGAACCTCAAGAGTACGAGTGAGATTATTCGCGATCTTGCCCACTTTCGGATCAAGAAGGTGTTTTCGCCGGCGCCGTCTACCTCGGTTTTGGATCATTGAGTCATTGAGTGGGGGCGTTTACGGGGTTGTCCGAGAGCACTGCACAGGCTGGGAATGGCTTGGACGAATTTTTCTATAATGTTCCAATGAATGAAGTATTGCGTGGTGTTTGCAGTATATATATACCCTCAGTCTATACTTTTGAATGCTTGAAGGAATTATGACGTTGTTGCTGCTCGGCAGTCAAGATATATATAGTCCGAGATCAAACCGCCGAGTACGAAAGAAGGTATTCCCACTGATGGCACGAAACGCATTACACCCTTCCGTGGAATATAGGTTGATAAACCATGCTATGTATAAAAGGAGAAATGCATTTTTAAATATCTCAAGTAGTCACGCTCTAACGCCTGCTGGGCTTGCGAGGACAAGATGATGTCCAAGATGCATATACAAATGTTACAGGCAACAGGGTGACAGTATGTCTCCGATGAAGTAAAAAGGGAAAAAAAACCGAAGGTAAGATGGGGAAAAAATCAACCTCGGACCTTTCGGTAGCTCGGCGGTTTCCAGGACTGCTTGATCAGCTTCCCAGCCCACACCGGGATGAGCGCTGCAGCCAACACGGCCGCGACGCGCCATACCCAGTCGATCGTGATCACGTAGCGTAGGTCAAAATACTCGCCCAGGAAGGGTACACTGCCTGCGAATACCAACAGTGTGCCGATCAGACAGATGATCATGATCGGATGCCAGGTTGTGATCGCAATAGCCACCATACCCAATTCATTGAGCACGAGCGCCGTGAATGAGATGCTGATCAGGCGCGGGCCGGTGATCTTGTCGAGCAAGATCTGAGACAGGCCTTGGATGACTGCGCCTTGGTACACCGAAATCAGCACCCAGGTGAAGAATGACCGGTAACTGAGGCTGCGTCCCGTCTTTAATTCTCTATACAGTTCGGGATAAAGATTTGCGAGTCGCTCATCTACGTCACGATCCCAGACAAGAGAGAAGACTGGAGCGTTGGTGTAGACAGTGGCGTAGCCGACCATGAGCCAGTTGATGAACAGGCCCTTGGGATCGAAATGGCTGGCAATGCTGTACATTGTCTGGCAAGCACTGATGATCAGGCCGCGGTGCATGATGAACTGCGCTAGCTTCGCGGAGCGCTTGTAGGAGTTCCGTCCGTGCCAAACCAAAAGTTTGGTGAGATGGTGGAATTGTGTGATGCTGAAGTCGGCTGCCAGGGAAGCCTGGCGGCCTTCTTTGCCCACAATACCGATTCCTACATCTGCCGCCTGGATCATGGAGACGTCGTTGCCGCCATCTCCAATACAGCACACCCGCTTTTTCGTGTGCTGGCGGATTAATTCGGCAATCTCAGCTTTTTGTGTCGGTGAGCATCGGCAGGCAATCACAGCTGGCAGGAGCACCGCAACCGAGATGAATGCTGTCCGGAACTGGCTCAGCATGAGCGCCAGAGACTCGCCATCGATCAGGAGACAGCAGTCGGTCTTATTGCGCAAGAAGTCCAGTGCTTCCTGGGCGGTTGACTTGTCCGTCGCTTTGGAGACGGTGTGGATGTATTGCCCCCGGGATACCAGTTTGGCGGAGATGGCAACACATCGCGCGGTCTCGACCTTGTCTCCAGTCAACATCCAGATCTTCACCCCAGCATTGCGCATCAATTCTAATGATGATTTGACGTCACGCTGCAGCCGATCCTCAACACCAGTGACACCGAGAAGCTCCAGGTCTCGCTCCAGGTATTCGGTCACTACCTTGGCCATGCCAGCATCCCGCCCTTGTAAAGACATAGACGCCTGCTTGTATTTGGCCGAAAACTCTTGATACTGTTGCAAGGAGAGCCGTTTCCGTCCAACCACTAGAGTTCGCAAACCTTCACGTGCCATGTTTGCCGTCTCTTCATCGAGCCAGTCATTGGTCGCAACGATCGTTGACATGACAGTATCAGCACCCTTTTGATAGAACCAGATTTCGCTGTCGGCTTGGCCGGGGGAATCAAGGACGTTTTCATCATGTTGGAACTGGACGATAATACCCATGCGCTTGCTGTCGGAAGTGAATGGAAAGATGTCAAGGATACGAACGCGCACAACAACTTGCTTGGAATCGGCGGACTCGAGAACCACGCTATGTCGGTCACGGTATGACAGCTTCAACCCAACTTCTTCGGCATACCGGACAATCGCAATCTCATCTGGAGATGAGGCTTGATAAGTCGTCACTTTCTGTCCGTCTACCTCCTCGGTGGTTGGTGTGACGTTATGGCAAAGAGCGAGTGCCAAGACGATGTCTCGGACCCGGGAACCAATCTCTCTCCTGGTCCGCGGTGCTGCCCCAAGTCCAGCTTGGGTTCCGAATACAGTGGAAGGAGTTGTCAAGGTGTTGCCCGCAAACCCTTGACGGATAAATGATCCTACTTCGTCCATAGCTTCGTTGGCGTACGAAACCGTGCCCACATGGATCTTCTTTAGCTCCATTTCTGGATATCTCATTAGCAATCATCCACACAAGAGGCTCTAAAAAAACCTACCGTTCTGGGTCAGGGTCCCAGTCTTGTCCGACAGAAGGTACTCAATTCTCCCCAAATCTTCAGGGATCGTACTTGTCCGGACCACCGTGCCAGGAATATCCTGGTCTCGCTCAATGAATCTACCGTACACAGATTTGGCCATATCGAGGTTGACGCGCAGACTCATAGGAATGATGGTCGAGAAGAGAATAAGGTAAATCATGATCGCAACGTACCACTCCTTGTCATTCGTCGGCTGGAACCCTTCCAACGCAACCAGCACAATCGATAACGTGAGCGTCAACGCACAAAGGATTTTCGTCAAGTTGTTGATTTCATATTCCAGTAAACCAACCTTTGACCGTGAAGGTGAGGTGGATAAGGCAGCTCGTGTTTGTGATCCAGTGTAGATGATGGCGGCGTAGGTAGTGGTGTTTGACGCAAGAACCGTATTGGCCCAGGCGGTGTTATCGATTGTCAGGGGAGCAGAATTGCTGGCTCCGCTTTCATTGTCCTGATTCCTTCCATCCTCGGCTTGCAGATCAGGCGACTTGTCGATGTGAGCATCATAGAGACCCGCCGGTGGCCCCAACTCAATGGCGCCCGCAAATTCGTTGACTCTCTGGTCGGGAGTACTTGCGGTGACCTTCAGTCGGGTAAAATCGCCCAGAGGAAGACTTTGAGACAATACCGAAGGAAAACGGAGCTTCCAATCGGTTTCACCGTCCAGCTGATCGGTTCGAATAAAAGTGTCGCTGGCAGACGAATCCTCAGTACCCGAACCTTCCTCCGCAGTTGGTTCGGATGGCCCTTGATTCGATTCGAGCAGATTGGCGGAGGTTCCGAGAGCAGCTTCAGCCGTAGTGGAGTCTTGACGATTGATACCCGAGTCATTTGATATACTCTTCAAAATCACCACGTCGGCCGGGAGGCGCTGATTTTTCCGGATCTTCAGGATATCGCCAACTTTCAGATCTCGAGATCTCTTGACGATCTCCATCACGTTGGATCTATCGAGTGATAAAACGCAGAACTCCTCCGCATTCGCCTCTGCGTCACGCCGCCGCCGCGCAATGTCATCCAGAGCCTCCTTGCCCAACGATATCGAAACCACAAACGCCAAAGGTGCAATATATGTAGACATATAGCCAATGCGCAGCATGGGAAGAATCTGCGACAAGGCGACGAGAAGGAAGTAGATGTTGAAGAAGAAAGAGAACTCGTTGTAGAGTGTTCGTGGCAAGAAGCTCCAGGGGGTGTATTTTGCATTCGACACCACGTTTGGGGGGTATTTGGCGGATTGGTATTGACCGACGAGGACCTCTCGTGGAGGCTTGTCTGAGGTGTCGCGAGCGTTTCGTCGTAATCGGTTTGTTGCACCGGACAAAAAACTGCCAGGGAAGCGTAACCGGCTGACCTTGGTCGACTCATCGTCATTGAAGAAACGCACAGAGCTTCTGCGGCGGTCGAGGAGAGGGGTGTCGTCGTCGTTTAAGTTGCGCGAGCTGCCGTGTGATTGCCGTAGCTCGTCGTCTTCCGCGTCATCCAGCAACGCGCTTGTGTCTTCTCCTGATTCCCTCTGGCCTGACAGACTGCGTCTCCAGTTCCGACCTCCCATCCCCACCCGCAGGTTGCGAAGCGCAATCCCGGGTCCATAGCTTCGTTTGCGTCCGTGATAGTCTCGGGATGGTCGGGACGGTAGGCCGGCTGTCGTTGTGCTGGGGTCGAGTTCTTCCAGGTCCAAGTCGTCGTCATCCGAACCTGAAAACTCTCCAGGGCCGGACGGTCCGTCCAGAGGGTGTAGGTAGTCGCTAGAGGAGGGCATGGTGACGAATGCCCGGCAGGGTGTCCTCGTACAATCACTCGAAGTCGAGCTGGGCGTCACTCGGCGCGGTCAGCCCTCGCATGCAACGAAGGAGGAAGATCCCAGGTATCACATCAGTGGTGCAAAAGGAATGGACAAGCAACAACTGGCGCATGGGAAATCGAGAAGTGGCCGATCGTGCCTGCCTGGACTGCGTGATCACATGACGGATAGTTAGCTCACTCCCAACTGGGTTATGTCATCCTTGGTGAAGAGTGTCCTCTCCGGATTAACTACTTCTCCGTCCGGTCATCGAATCGGCCCAATTCGCCCTGAGTGTCGCCGAGGTCGAGAATCTTCCCTGTTTGATCGTCTTATTCTTTCATAGTTTATTTTGTTGTCTTCTTGCCGAGTCGGCTTTTCTGCCACTTTTTTTATTACTGCGCGGTTTAATGGATCCCTGAGTCGACGCCCTTTGTTTTTCTGGTTCTCCTATTGTTGATCTCCTGAGCGTCACGGGCGACGTGTCAGGTTGATCCCTCTGGACTACGCTCTTCATCGCCAGCTCACTGATAATCCGAGGAGATACACGCAGCGACCATGGAGGATCTGTTAGCAGCGGCCGACGATGCAGGCTCGTGGAATACCGCGTCGAGACCGGAGGATACTATTGCGACGACTTCAACATGGACCGAGGGTCAAGGAGGCTTGGAGGATTTGATCGCGGCCGACGATGCGATTCAGCATACTGCTCTTGCACCCTCCGTGCCGTCTGCCATGAAGGGAGCTACCGATGCCCCTGCAAGCGACCCACTACACGCGGCGAACGTGAGCCAACCACTCGAGACGAAAGAAGATTTGCGGGAGGATGACGCATCGGCTGCGGTGGACACAACTCAGACGCAGGGTATTTCTGGAATGAATACAGAAGCTCCGAATCAGACGGATACAGGATCTCAGCATGATCCCTGGGGCTTCGAGGAAGCCGCAGAACCCGCCACGGACGTGGCTAAGCACGAGACTCAGCCTGAGCAGTCTCAGCCAGACCCGGAGCATGGTAATGACCCTTGGGGCTTCGAAGAAACTGTGGAACCTGTTTCTGGCCTGGCTGAGCAGGAGACCGAACCCGAACAACCCCAGCCGAACGCCGAGGGTAGCAAGGACCCCTGGGGCTTCGAAGAACGTCCGCAACCTGTCCGTGAACAAGAGACTCACCCCGCGCAGCCTCAGAAAGATCAGAGCACTGAGCTCCAACGTCAGCCAGAGCCTACCCCCGAGACCCAGCCCTCTGATCTGATCCTCGAGACTGAACCTCAGCCGGAAGCGATCCACGAGACCCAAGGCCTGCCAATTCCTAAACCGATCCCCGGGCCTCAAGCTCAGCCTGAATCAATCCCCGAGGCCCAAGTTCAGCATGAACCGCTCCCTGCGATTCAGACTCAACCGGAGCCGATCCCCGAGACTCAGCCTCAGTTTCATGTGGTCCCCGAGCATGAAGCTCAACCACAAGCGATCCCGGAGGCCCAATACCAATACCAGGCTGCACCAACTCTTGAGACTCAAGTTCAGCCTGAAGCTCAACCACAAGCGATCCCGGAGGCCCAATACCAATACCAGGCCGCACCAACTCTTGAGACTCAAGTTCAGCCTGGAGCTCAACCACAAGCGATCCCGGAGGCCCAATATCAATACCAGACCACACCAATCCCTGAGACTCAAGTTCAGCCTGACCTGATTTCTGAAGTCCAGCCTCACTCTGGTTGGACCTACGAGCCCCCCACAGCTGAAGTGCAGCATGGCGATAATGTTGACGAGCCGGCATCTGAGGTGGCTGCTCATGAGACAAATCAGGAAGACACCCAGACCGAGTTTCCGAAAGCGGAGATGGCTCCCAATGGGCAGGACCCATGGCGAAGGGAGCCGGACGGTGAAGCAGAGTCGGAAGAGGGCGAGTTCTTCAACCAACTCAATACTCAAACAAAACCCATTTTTGCACCGGAGGAATCCGAATCCAGGTTCGAGGAAGGGATTCCCTTGTTAGCCGAAGCTGACCCTCGTTCGCCGGTTCGCACCACGCAAACCGAAAAACCTGTGGATAACTTCTTTGCCAATGACGAGGAGGAGGCAGATGGGTTTTTCAGTTCTGTCCAAAATAGGGAAGCAAAGGAGGAACCCGCCCCTCACCTCACTCGCAAGACCACTGGCCAGGTAATTGACTACTCCTTTGGCGTTAGCTTAGACTCTCCAGCTAGCGAGGCTTCGGCAGCTGCTCAGCTTGATGCCATCCTTAACGGGGCGGCCTCTAAACCTCATGCACCTATACAGGCACCTGAGCCCGAGACAGCAAATGAACCGACTGAGGAGGAGTTGGCTGGGCGGTGGAAGGCGGAGCTGGAGGATGAAGAAGAAGAAGAATTGGATGAAACTCCCGAGGACGATATTGCTGCACGATGGGAGGCTGCGTTGGATGACGATGATGACATCCTGTTGGAGGACGAGGTTGCTGAACCTTCTGTTGCCGCACAAGATCCTGCTATTCAGGACCCGGGCATGTCTACGGGTCCAACAGGCCTGAACAGTCCGTTCAAAAGCCCCCAAAGTCACGCTCAGCCCAGACCAGCTCCCAGTGTGTACACGCCACACCAGCCATCCACTGCGGATCTGCTTCATGGCCGCTCTATGCCAGCCGCTGCACCTCCCGTCGCCGCTGTGTCGTCATATTTTCCACAACAGCAGCCTCCGAATGTGATCACCAACAGGGGGGAAAGTTTTGCTGAACGGTCGAAGGAGGGCTACAAGTCACCATATGACCTCCCAGACGACCTTTCTCGGCCCAGAAGGGCCGCCCCCAGGCCATTAGCGAAGGCACCTAGCATGCCTGTCATGGCTCCACCACCGCCCGCGGACGATAGCCTGGTCCAGCGTCCTCCTGCTGTTTCTGCCATGTCGAGCTCATCCGTGCCAGTCCCCCCTCCTATGGCTACACCTCCCACGACGGCGGCCGGTGCCCCTTCTAGTGTGCCACCGCCTGCTGCGAAGAACTTCTACGAGGACCTGCCACCACCAAAACCTAGGCAACCCAGCGGTGGACGTTATACTCCGAACCCCAATCAGGCTGCGATCACTGGGCTTCCAGCCATGTCACCACCCAAAAGCTCGTACGCACCTGCCGCTCCATCTCCGCATCCAAGTGAACCCCCCACACAGTCTTCGTTGCAGCCGCCTGAACAATTGGATCCCTACACGAACACATTGGCATCAAGTGCTCCCGCGGGGCCCAGTCTTGCTTCAAGATATTCGCCTCAACCGTCTGGCTTGCAGCCGCCGAAAAAGGCACCTTCCTTGCCGAGATATTCCCCAGCGCCCCCTGCGCCTGGTACAGCTGGCCGCAATCGTTATGTCTCTCAACCCTTGAATGTTCCCGGTCACAACACTTCTCTGCCGTTTCAGCCACGCACTTCGAGTCCACTTGCCCATCACGAGAAGACCTCGTACCAGCCGCAAGGGACTCAGCAACCGCCGTCACTTGAACCGTCAGTCACCCTTTCTCCACCTAGGACACAGCAAGGACGGACCCAAGCAACACCCCCGCCAGCTGGCTACTCCAACGTCCCCGGCCAAGAGAGTGTAGCCCCACCCGTGGACCAACAGCAGGGCACTCCGCCTAGGAATCGATATGCGCCGCAGGAGTACATCAACGAATTTGCCAAGCGCGTCGCACCGCCGACCAGTTATGCCCCCGCTGCTCCGGCTCCAGAAACTCAAACCTCCCCGCCGCCAGCTAGCGATGAACCATTGTCTCCTATGCGTCGGTCTCAAACTCAGTCTCCCGGTCAGCAAATGGCGGCTGGGCCTCGGTTGTCTATTCCCACTACTTTTGATCCTCAGCAACGGCCAGCTTCTGTGCATGGCTCAGGGTCGCCAACCAAAGCTGTGAATCCATATGCACCCTCGCAAGCCCGCAACCGCGGCCTCTCTCAGCATCTGGAGTTTATTGCTCCCAGCGATGGACAAGAACAGGATCCACTTCAACGATGGAAGGGTGCCCCGATTTTCAAATTTGGGTTCGGAGGTGCCGTGGTCTCGTGCTTCCCCAAGCATATTCCTCGGTACTCTGCCGGTCAATCAACGCCAATGATCATGCCCTCTCTTGGAGACCCGAAGGTATCTCGAGTGAATCAACTGATCTCGCCGGCTGATAGTATTGTTCAGCACCCTGGCCCCCTCAAGGCCAAGTCAAAGAAGAAGGATCTTGTAACCTGGCTTTCGAGCAAGATTGCAGCCTTTGAGAATGAAGGGATTCCCTCGTCTGGCCAGCCACACCCTGATGACCAGAAGCGCCATGAGGAAAAGATCTTGCTTTGGAAGGTTACCAAGATCTTGGTGGAGAACGATGGCGTCTTGGAAGGCTCTCCCACTGTACAACAGAGCCTACGTCAGGCTATCTTCCCACACCTCCAGGCTTCAGAAGCTGAGGGGTCGTATGGAAATTTGGTTGCTTCATCGGCCGGGTTCAAACCCATTGAGATGCCATCTCAGTCTGACGCTTCTGGCTCCCAGTGGGGCGAGGAACTTCGCCAAAAGTTGGTTATGGGTGACCGAGAGAATGCCGTGTGGAGTGCAGTCGACCGCCGCCTTTGGGGACATGCACTGATCATTGCGTCCACCTTGGATCGATCGATCTGGAAGCAGGTTGCCCAAGAGTTTGTTCGGCGCGAAGTGAGATCCGCGACTGGCAACACCGAGTCCATTGCAGCCCTTTACGACATCTTCGCCGGAAATGTTGAGGAGAGTGTTGATGAACTTGTGCCTCCGTCTGCCCGCGCTGGTTTCCATTTGATCAATAAAACGGACGGTCAAGGTGCTGCCCGGAATGTTCTTGACGGTCTTGATAGCTGGAGAGATACCTTGGGGTTGGTTTTAGGCAACCGCAGCTCCGAAGATCATCAGGCATTGCTGGCCCTTGGCAATCTGCTCGCATCGTACGGACGAACGGAAGCTGCCCATATTTGTTTCATTTTCTCTCGTGCTGCTGTATTTGGTGGCATGGATGATCCACAGGCCCACATTGTGCTTCTGGGCGCTGACCACAAGCGTTTCCCATCGTCCTTGCTGGATGAAGATTCCATTCTTCTGACCGAGGCGTACGAATTCGCTACATCTGTCCTTGCCAACTCACCAACAGCCAGCCAGCCGCATTTCCTGGCATTCAAGCTTGTGTACGCGAAGTGTCTTGCCGATCGCGGTTGCAAGTCAGAGGCGCAGAACTACTGCGACGTGGTGGCCGCATCATTGAAGGCAACCACTCGTCCTTCACCGTACTACCACCAGTACTTGTTCATGGAGGTGGATGAGCTCTCCGCACAGCTCCGGCAAACCCCAGGTGATGGTGGTTCTTCGTGGATCTCCAAGCCTAGTATGGAGAAGGTCTCCGGGTCCATGTGGGCTCGCTTTAACAGTTTCGTTGCAGGAGATGACAGCGATGCGGTGTCGACAGGCTCTGGAAAGGGCGGCGAGGCAGCGGATTTCGGACCTTTTGCCAATGTCGCTGGAACTCCAACCATCAGCCGCTCACCGTCTGTGACTGACCTCTATGGCTCTTATCCTGGATCTGGAGCACAGCCGATCCCGGCCGCTGGTGCATCGAAATATCACCCTTCGAACCAGTACGCGCCGAATGCCTCCCCTGAACAATTCCGTGGTCGAGGATCCTTCGACTCGCAGAGATCTGTTTCACAGGGAATGCCGTTCCCACAACGCCGAAGCTCCCAGGAGCCATCGCCTCCAGTCGATTCTCACATGTATCAGGGAGCGCCTATGTACGGTTCATCCCCCTCAATTTCTGGTTATCAGTCAACACCGCCTCAAACGTCCTATGTGCCTCTCGCTCCGGTCGAAGAGGATCTGAGTGCGCAATCACCCACGGTTGCGGCTTCTTCAACGCAACCTCCTGTCAACGGCTTGTTTTACCAGCCGCCGGGCCAGGACGCAGCTCCGGCTGAAGCGTCTCCCTATTACCAAGGACCGTCCGACATGCCACAAGCCGAGAGCCCTGCTTATTTGCCTCCCTCGGCGACCAATGCATATGAGCCCCCTGGACTTAGTGCAGGCCCACCCCCCGCCCCCGAGGAGGATGCAGAAGAGCCTTCTCCGGAAGCTATTCCAAAGAAGAAATCATTTATGGACGACGACGGAGATGACGAGCTTCTAGCGCAAGCATCTGCCCTCAAAAAGTCAGAAAACGATCGCAAAGCAGACGAGGCGTTTAGGAAAGCGGCTGAAGAAGATGGTAAGGGCTCACTTATTTCGAAGTATATTCTCTTTTACTAATTCCCCAATAGCCAAGAAAGACCAGCAACAGCCCGCGAAGAAGGGATGGTTCGGCGGCTGGTTTGGTGGAGGTGGTAAGAAGGAAGCGGACAATGTTGGCGGCGGCCCTATCAGGGCGAAGCTCGGCGAAGACAGCTCGTTCTACTATGATACGGAGCTGAAGAAGTGGGTCAATAAGAAAGACCCCGGCAGCAGCGCTGCTGTCCGTGCCACTCCGCCTCCTCCCAAAGCTTCTGGTCCTCCCAGCCGAACCGCAAGTTCCGGCAGCATGCCATCGATCAATGGGCCGCCTCCAATGATGCCCTCAGGCCCTAATACGCGACCTACGTCTTCCTCCAGTGCAGCCCCGCCTCCTTCTGCCAGCCCTGCGCTGTCCGGTCTAAATGTGCCCCCGCCGAGCCTAGGCCAAATGCCACGATCCGTCTCCTCTGCTGCGACTGTTTCAATACCCCCTGGGGCCACCTCGGCTGGACCGCCTCGTCCTACTGGGTCCCTGACCCATGCGCAATCCATTGATGACCTGCTGGGCGCTCCTGCCGCGCGCAAGGGAAACACTGTCCGAGGTAAAAAGAAGGGCCGCTACGTCGATGTCATGGCGCAGTGATCATTGGATTGATGGCATGGCCATCCTTGAAGCCTAAGAGGTCCACCTTTCTTTTGTTCCATTACGCTGATTTCATTTGAGATGTCCTGTATTTCTTCTACCGCGATGCCATTTTTGACCCTCACCCACACCCCCTTTGTTTTAATCATAGAACCCCTCTTGTTCCCCCTGCATTTTGCATGCTATGCCTCGGTCTCATGGGCCGGGGTAGACGCACCCCCCCCCAACCCTCGGCGTTCGTACACACTGACCTCATTGTTGCAAAGTCTTGCACTTGCACATAGCCCTGCTTCTTGCTTTCCTCCTTTGGCCGGTATCAGACTGTCCGCCGTGAATCATGTATATCACATCCCTCCCGTCGTCGGTGGTTTGTTGTGTTTGTTTTCTCGTGGGATCTGGAGGTTCCTTCTTGTGTGGCTTTGGCCATGCATCTGTCTTAATAACGAATTCTAATAATGCACCACCCCCTTGGCACGCTTTCTGAATGACCGGTCAAGATATCTTGTAGATGGGTCGTATCGGCATGGGTAATAGGTATCACTATTCGTAGGATAGTTCATGGTCGTCACAGTGCAAATGAGTTGATATAATACTGCGGGGACAGGGTCAACAGCGGCTCGATTGAACGGCAGTAGATCGACTTACGGTCAGACAAGAATCTTCGCGGTTGCGTCTCCCGGGTAAATAAACATAGAGAACCAGCGCCATCTCGTTAAGAAAGCCTGTCGCGGTAGAGTGTCAGTTTGATACCAAACCACCGAGTGCATCGAGAAGAAACTCACAAGCCACCACCTTGGGACTGAGTCTTCCGACACTTAGCACACGTCCCCAGTCGCGGCCGTCAATCCGGACAGTCGCCCACCCAGACTCGCCATCATCTTTCGCCGCGCGATTCCGCTCACTGGGCAGCTGCGAGTACTCCCTCTGCGACATCTGGGCGGGATCCAGCTCCGGGTTCACGAGTCCGGACCAGACACTCGAAAGACGCAGCTCATCCGTTACAACGGACAGCTTTAATTTGCCGTGCATGTTGGCAGACAGTTCCAGCTTGGGGGAGCTGTTCGTCGACAGCGCCGTGCCACCTGAGCCACCACTCCCCCCATTCTCATTGAATGATGCCGCGCTCAACCCCGGCGCGTCCGGTGCCAGCACGCTCGGGCGCGTATTCTTACTGTCCGAGGCAGCCAGCTTGGTAAACCGATCCGAGACACTCTTGAGTTGCTGCAGACTCGGCAGGATGATGTGCACGTCTGGATCGGGGCAGTGCGGTTCATGGAGACCGTCTACAACGGTCTCGTGGAGGATCTTGATCGGGACCTCCTGCGTGATCCAGACCTCGCGCTCTCGCGCGCCTATGTCTCCGACGACATCTCGATTTGCTGTCGTTGGGAATTGTTGGGCGTCTTCGGCGATGGGAGCGCCGTCTGTTGTACTGAGCGTCATGTTCCCCGGCGTGAACTGGGTGGTTAGCACCGTGAGTGCCAGGAGCGGTGTTTTGCCCTTCTTGGTTAGTCGGAATTGCGCTGAGGTTGAGCCGACTGCGGACCGGAGGGCGCGGTGCAGCACGCTAATGTTGATTTCGATGTTGATGGCGTCCGAGTTGGACTCGAGCTCGTAGGTCGTTTCATCGAAGATGGTATCCTGTGTACTCTCAATCAGTATAGACCTTAGAAAGCATAGACAGAACACGTACGATCGGAATCTGGGCCCATACTTGGGTGCCTTGGTCCGGGATGATGGTGAAGCGGATTACATCGTATTCCAGTCGCATCCAGCACACCTTGCCCAGGGATGCGAGCGACGCGGTCAATTCTGATCCGAGTGTCAGTCAATTACTTCTTACTACCACGCAGAAACCTACTGGAGAAGGTCAGTGGGTTGACCAGTTGCGTTCGAAAGCGCATGATGAGCTGCTGAGGTGTGCAGGAGAGAGAAATGGTTCTTATCGATCTATCTTTTATCACTACAACTCCCACCACCACACCACACAACACCACCACACTGCAACTAGTAACTAACTAATCGGCCACAGTGGCTTCTTCTTCCCCACACCCATCCGGGATGTTTTCTGCATTCATCGCTAATGCGGCTGCCAACGCGGCGCCCACGCCCGAGCCATCCTCGGCTGCGTTGAGCGCGATCAGGTCCAGCTCGTGTGGCGGCCAGTCCATGATCTCGCGCAGAGCCTGCGCCGCGCGGTCCTTGAAGCCGCTGTACTTATTGAACACCGATCCATCGACCCCGACGTGGCACCGGCGCAGATTCTTCTTTTTGCAGATGGCCGCCACGCCGCAGGCATAGAGACGCGCCGCACGCGTCGCGATCAGCCCGATAAGATACCGACACGCCTTGAGCTCCTCGAGCGACGGGTCTAGACTGAGCATTTCTTTGAACTCCGCCCTCATGTCGTCCAGGTCCTCTGAAATGTCCAGTTCGGCGATGGACAAGAACGACGCCTCCAGGGTGTTTTCCGTGCGCAGGCGCGTCGTGTCCTGGCCCTCGAAGAACTTTTCTTGCTCGTGCAGCGTGACCATTATCAGGCGCAGCATTTCTCCGATGTACAACCCGGCCACCATCTTTTCATAGATCTGCATGCCCGGCCGGATCGACTCTGCGTCGATTTGTTCGTCGAATGGCGTCCGCGGCAGAAACTGGCACTCGTTGTCGAACGCGCCGTATTCCGTGTTGATGATCACCTTTGCGTCCTGGGGCAAGCCCAACCCGCGCAGTTTGGGGATCGCGCTGCATTCTTCCATATATGCCGCATTGCAGCCCGTGCTGAAGATGCTGCCGATTTTGACGTGCCTGTTTTTGTAGTGCGACGCAATGAGCGTGCCCGTCGTATCGTTGATCAGCGCTACTACCCTCGCCGGAACTTGCTGGGTGAATAAGCCATGGTATTTTCGTCTTGGATGAGCACCTTACCTTTCTTTGTAACGCTGCCTCGAGCTGGGGCACTACATCATGATCCTGCACGCCAGAGACCTCGAAGTTCTTGGTCCAGCCCTTCAGAATTCCACTCCGGATAGACTTTTGATCCACGGGGAACGAGAAGGTGAAGGACAACGGAAACGGGCCCTTGATATGATCTTTACTATAGTGTTCGTTGATAAAAATATCCAACCGATCGGCCACAAAGTCCCAGAGCTTCTCGGCCGTGCCGGACTTGATCGCCGCCGAGATCTTGAACTTGCGCTGGGTCTGTTCAAATTCTCCCTTTCCTTCGGCCAGACACACATCGCACACGCGGAGGTTGGTGCCGCCCATGTCGAGGGTGAGGATCCGCCCTCTCTCGTGGCCGGTTGGGTAGGCCATGATCCAGCTGACAATCATGGGCTGTCTGGGAATCAGTAAGATTTCGGGTTTTCGTGCGTGGTGAATCACTGACAATGCTGCCACCTTCCACAGTGAGGCCTTTTTCCAGTTCTTGGACGATATGGTTGGTGATCTTCTTAAGTTGGCCGGATTCAATCGTGAACCAGTCTTCGAACTGCTTCATACGTTGTAGGAGATCGTCGGGCATGCCTTCCAGCATCTCGGGCCGGTAGCGAAAGCGTTCCATCTTAGGTGAATGGGTGACACGACAAGTATACACATCGCGGAGATCTATATCCAGTGGCGTGGCACGCCATTATGCGGTCATGATGATTCTCCTGATACCTCGAGGCATTCAATTAAACGATTCCATTCATTCTTCTATCTCGGTGGGTATGCAAAACCAGTATAGTAGTCACCTTCGTAGGTGGTGGTCTTACCTAGAGCAGTTAGGGCTCCACTCCCCCTTTTGGCTCCACTACAACCACGAACGCGATCAACACTGATTATTTTTCCAAGCACATCCTCGCGGGACAGTTAATTCCTCGTTACTGATTTGCTTGGGTTCCTCATTGTTTCCGTTTCTCTGCCGGACCGATGTAACCGCCGTCCTTCTGGCCCATCCAGACAACCTCGGTGTCCAGTCTCCAATCGCGCTGCTCTCTCGCGTTCTTCAATAATTACCCGTCCAGTCCAGTCCAGAACCCGATCCTCCCTCTTCACCCCAACCTTGAAATCCGCTGCAAAAACAAACGCGTCTCAGCATGCGGGCTCGACAGTGCTCTCCCCGTCTACCGCTTGCAACCCAGTTTCGCTCCCCGCGCCTCTCCTGCCACCATCAACCTCGTGGCCACTGACGGTCCAGAACCCGAGCTTGACCAGAAGCTCATGAATCGGCATGGCAGCCAGTGGAATGCCCGGTCTTCCTCCAGCCATCCGCCTCTCGCCCACCCATTCTCGAACAAACTCGCGTTCTACCTCCCCCGACAGAAATCCGGCTGTGCTCTACCAGAAAATCGACCCCCTCTTGAGTAACCTCTCCCCCGAATCCACCCTCCACGCCCTCACCTCCACGGAAGCCGTGCCGTCGAACGAGAAACGCGCCCATGATATCCTGTCACAAAGTATCTCGCAGGTGTCCCCGGCGGAACGGGCCCTCGGGATACGCGCCGCGGTAGCCGCCCAGAACTTGAGTCTCTGGCTCAACGAGGTACAGTCGTGGGGATGGCCGACTCCGAACGAGGCAAAGGCGGGAAAGGGCTTCGTTCCTCCTCCCTCCGCCGAGCCATCTCTAGGTCCTGGGTGCGCGAAGTCCTCTTCTTCATCCCTTGTTAGCAGCACCGAGGACGAGTATTATGGGAGTTTGCCGGCGGAGGTGGTGGAGGAATATGAAACGCGAATTGAAGAAATTCGCGATGGTATGGACGATCTCAACGTGGAGGAATTGAAGGAGCATGTGCTCAGTGCCCACATTCCAGCCCGGTCGAGACCCTCTTCCAACAACAGCACCGTGTCTATACCTCCACCGCTTAGCTATGTCCAGCTGAGTGATTTCACCGCCGTCATTACAACCACCATCCTGCGCGCTCTGCCGTTCTTGTCCAAGTTGAATAGCCTCCTGTCAACATGGGATGTCCGCCTGCTGGTCTTGCGTCAGATCCCTGGTCTTCTAAGGGAGCTGAACTTAACCCGGACCGCTTTAGATTCCTCGCTAAAGGAGTTACGGACCGCTGATCTGTCTGATACCAACCATTCTCCCTTTTCGAGCTCATATCTGCAGTCTCAACATGCCAAGCTCGAGTCGACCGTTGTCACTGTCGGCAGACGCATGGATCGCGTTTTGGATGCGTTGGAAGGACGTCAGGATTCATTGCCGGAGCGTTGGATCGACGATCTGGAAGGCATCGAGTCTGACTTTGCTGCGTGGGTGGTAGAGGCGGAAAGATATAAGATTCGCGCTGAATGGTTGCAGAACCAGCGTGCGGTGGATGAAACCCCTGAACTGTCTGAGCTTGAGCCCGAAGAACAGGAAAATAGTGTTCATGAAATGGAGCCTATTAAGGAGGAGCCTGCCGAGGAGGAGACCATTGAGAACGCGTCTATTGAAAATGATCCCATTGAGGAAGAGCCCCAACGGGATTCTGAATTGTCTTCCGAGGACACTGCCCAGCAACCGGTTGAGCAACCATTCGCTCAAGCAGAGCAGGAATCAATCCTTTCTCATTCTGATGCTCCGGATTCCCAGACAATGGAGATCCAATCACCTTCTGATAGCCCACCAGCTGCGGAGGTACCTGGCATCATCGTGGACAATGACGACACTCCCGAGGAACATCCTTCTATTGCAGCTGCAGAGGACTTGCGTACTCCAACACAAATGGAGTTTCTCCCAGAACGCCCTACGAATGCTGGAGAACAACAAACCCCAACTCCTTCAATAACCCAGCGACCTATTCCCGCCCAGGAAAACAAGGAAAATATCCCTCCGCTCAATTTCAAAGAAAAAGAACCAGCGACACCACCCTTCGAACAGTCACCTGCAGTGAAACCGGTTGCTCGATCCGAGCACAAAGAACTGATCGAGGATCCCTTCATTCATTCACACGCCTCTGGGTGTGAAGTCAGCCATGAGGAAGGATTGTCCGCTGATAAACCTGCTGATGATCAAGAGGACTTGGGATCCAGCAGCGAAGCGAAAGATTCAATTGAGATTGATGCCCACCAAGAGACGATCACCGAAATGAAGGCCCCCAGGACCCCGCTTTCATTGAACCGTTCATTGCCTAGAGAAGCCGAGACGGTGACGACTCCCAAACTTCCGGAACATTCTTTCATTCGAGATTCCCAAGTACAGCAATTGTCAGATACACCCAAGGTCCCTAGCACTCCGACTTTGGCAGACATCCATGAGCCAGTGCCTTCCCCGACGAGAATACCAATTCGGCAGGGCGTGCCTACGAATCCGGATAACTCTGGATCCAAGCCTCAAAGCGTGAAACCAAAGCCACCGACTGAACAAAGTCCAGCAGCACGACCAAAATCTCGCATGCCGTTACAAAGCCCCATCAAGCTATCCAAAGCGAGACGGCCAGGGAAGCTGGATCGTGATAAGAACACGCCTAACCCACGTCGGCGTCGGACTTCGTCAGGCTCTGTGGATTCTCTGCTTTCCGATACCTCGTCACTTATATCCAGTGTCGATCCTCCAGAACCTCGTACTGGCTCGTCGAACGAAACGCCACTTCTTCGGAAATCGACAAATCCGAAGCATGATAACCCTGGTGCTCTGCCACCGTACAGTGGTCATACATTGCGAGAGGACCGCCTCCGCCGTTTGGATAGTCCCAAAGGCTCATCTCTTCGGGCGGCATTCCAACAAAGCCGGACCGTCAGCTTGCCCATGGAGCGATTTATCAACGAAAGGATGGATATAAGGATGGGAGACGTGCCGGACACGCCACTGCCTGACGACAGCTCTTCAACGCCAATACAACAGGTGCCTTGTACCGCTCCTCGTCGTCCGACACTCACTCGAGGGAAGTCTGCGTCTGAATTGACTACACAACTTCAAAGATCCAGATTCGCCGATCATCCCAGGAATTTATTCTCGAAAGATTTATTCCATCGTGCCCTCAACACTCAGAGTCATCACAAATCCCATCTGCCCCTACGCAAGCGACTGACAGCTCATCCAAGTTTGGAAAGCCTCGGAATAAAGCGACAAGAGCTTGCATTTGTAGAGGAAGATGAAGCGGAGTTGCCGTCCGTGGAAATTCGTGCTTCAACGCCAATCAGACAATTCAGGAAGCCAAGAGATCGACTGGATCGGAAGGTCAGCTCTATCTTGAACACTCTTCCCGGCCGGATTCATCTCGTGGATCCTAACAACGAACCGGATACATCTTCATCTTCGTCTTCCTTGGACAGACGTTTGCGAGGGAGGTTCCGCTCCGAGTCACCTACCGGTTTGGCATCCCGAAGTATCACCCCCGCTCCGTCTCTGACTCTGATGCCCGCTGGTCGTCGGCGGCAATCTTCCCACAAGTCGGAAGATAGCTACGTCAAGCTGTATCACCTCCACCACGGTGGTCAGACCGCACCAACTAAACTGTTTGTGCGAACCGTCGGAGAGGAAGGCCAGCGTGTCATGGTCCGGGTCGGCGGCGGATGGGCCGATCTGGGCGAATACCTCCGTGAATACATCATCCATCATGGCCGTCGGAAAGTATCAGAAACTACTCCTCGTGTTGAGGTTCAAGGACTGGCATCTCGTGAATCACCAGCCTATTCGCCGTCACCGGGCATTTTGCTCTCTTCCACCACACCCACTTCATCCTACCTCTCTTCTGGCCGAGCAACTCCTTCCCGCCCACCCTCAGTGCTCAGCGCCCGCCCACCTTCTTCCCTTACAGTCCGCAAAACAAGACGCGGGTCCAATGCATCTGATGCCGTGGCCCCTAGGGCTGTCACCACAGGAAATTTGAACTCCCTCGCCACGCCACAAACAGCGTCCTCCGGTCGTCGGCGTCTCTCCGTCTCATCCAATTACTCCAATGACACCGTGGCTGCGTCGATGTCCACTCCATTAGGACTGGCTGGACCCAAACCCCGCTCGCGGCAACTGTCCATGAGCCCGGAGGGTGAAGCCTGGATCCAGGATGTGCTCCAGCAGACTCGGCGTTCAGGATCGTCCAATCCACCACCTTTCCCGTTGAACAGTGCCCCAGACTATGCTGAACCGCCCGAATCTGTGGATGGCAGCCTCCCCGATCTCTCTATGCCCAAGAAGGGCCGCCGCAGCGTCAGTGATATTGGAACCACGGGTTCTAGCAGACGGGTCGCCCTTCGAGGACTCGGGAGTCGCAGGTCATAAAACCGGACTACCCCGTACCCGCAAGGCATCATTTCTCACGGCTATCCGTCGACTGTGCTCGGTTCTTTGCTTCTCTTTCTTGATCGAAATTTGTTTACCCTCTAATATCCTTGCCTCATTTGCATACATGCTCGATTCCCCATCCCAACGAACCTTGCACGCTATACCCATCTTCATCTGCTTTGCTTCTTGTTATTCGATTAAATTGCTTGTTTCGCTTCTACCTTTTCCCCTTACTCTTTTGCTATTCTATTTCTCATTTGCATCAGCGAGGCGAATCTGTTTTGATGTTTGGGTTTCTGGTTGAGATCTTCACCACGTAGATTCTCCTGGCGCTTTGTGCATGCATACATTAACTAATGGCTAGACCCTTTTGAGGGATCTAATTGGAAATAGACAGCATATGCTTGCATCGTCAATATTACTTGTGATATTCCGTGTTTTAAGTTTCGTTTGGAGAGAATGTTTTATAGGAAACAGCTGCGATTTTGCAACAAACGAAAAAATATAGCCAAAACGCCAAAACCATTTCCCTATCTCGAATCCAGCCATGTCTCATGAAAAGCTTCTGGGAAAAGAAGCAGAACGGATGGAAAATATAATGCAATGAGTATCATCCATGTCAGTTTGCTTCATTACCATGGTTATGACGATCTTTGCTTTGGCTGTTCTTGTCCTTGCGTAGTAGTTCCCGCAGCTCTGGTGAAATGACCTTTGGCTTGTCTGCTTCCATAGCCTTCTGTAAAGCTGATCGCCCAGAAGGGCTCGAACTGACACCTGTGCTTGAGCCCACTGCTAAGGGTCGCCGAGGCGATTTGCCTTTATCGGAATCAGAGACAGAGTCTCGATCATTGTTCCCGCCCCCGGTCGGCGCTGGTGAGCTGTTGGAGCAGATGGAAAATTGTCTTTTTTATCAATGGCTTGAACGGCACGTTCAAAGCGATGGAAGAGCGATTCTGCACGAGTAAGAATAGGGAGCAGCTCCATGGTGTTAGACAGCTCGTTAACTGGGGGATTTGATTAGCAAAGTTCTATTTCAAACGACAGTCATAAATCATACTGTACTTGAGGACTTCATCAAAATGCTTCAAATGGTCCATGATGACATCACGGTGTTTTTCGAGAATGGCGAGAGCGATGAAAAGATGGAAGTTGCTGGACAAATAGTCTGTCCAAAGCGTTTCCCACAGGCGGAGTATGTCACCCCATCCAAACTCACGCTTGTACCAAACGAGCAGCATGCGGAAAAAGAAAAAGAAGTTGGTGCTATCGGCTGACTGCAGATGCAAGTAGAGTTGGGGATCCAAAAGTTGGACGAGGTGATCCAGCGCCAGAAGCTGGGAACGCATCCCAGACTGGTCTCGGAGGAAGTTTTGCTCCTAAGTATCCCTTAATTAACCAGTGGAATATAGCTGGATCTCTTCATGACGACTAACCATGCGGTTCATGAACCCCACAAATCCCCAGAAAGCCACCGCGTCGTCTTGCATGACGGCGTACACCGGGGCAAGCAGATCGCTCATTCCCTGCACATAACCCAGATCAGGGTTGTACTCGTTATACGTTAGGAGCATGTCTTTCATCTGCTCCAGATGGACATTAGTGCCCACATCGGCGAATGGAGAATCTGGGTCTGGATGAGGGGTGTCTTCTCCGGCAAATAGTGGAATGGTGCGATCGGTTCGATGGACATCCTTTTCTGTATTAAATAGTCAGCATCAGTCCTAGAATTGAAGGCTACCCTTTTACCTATTCGATTCCGCTGCTCTTTCCAATGGTCATACTCTTCTGCAGTCGAGTTACCTTCTATCATCCGTTCCCACCAGCCGGCCTTCAACCGGATGTATTCGTCACGTTTCGAGTTCATGATTGCTTGTCGTTCCTCAAGGCTGCTGTCCCACGGGTAGACTCCGAGAAGGAAGAGCCAGGCCTCCTTCCGAGCGCCATCGTTGGGATCCAGACTTCCGTGGAAAACCCGTTCTTTGACCTCTTCCGCCGTGACTTGCAGTCTCCCTGATATCGGGTCAAAGAAGCCCTCCCACTCTGTGAGTGTGACGACTCGGCGTCGTTCCTGGAGGGCCAGGTTACCGGTCTCCAGTTCCAAGATCTCGAAATCTCCAACCGAGCTGTTCTCCATCTCCAGGACATCCTGAGCTGTCCATATGCGCTGATTTCGTTCTTTCTCGCTCTGCTCGGCAACAGTCATAGCCCACCGAGCCAGGTAGAGCCTGGCGCTGTCGAACTCATCCTGGAGAGTCTGAATCTCCGGATTCTTCATCAAGCGACGCATTTGAGGGGGCAACCGAGGGTGCTCTGCGATCTCGTTGGCAGTTCGGCGGGTAAACGTGGTGATTTTGCTGAGCTGTTCGAGCACTTTCCACCGTGTTTCTTTGAGAGTTTTCATCAATGGGTCCATGCTGGCGTCGTGCTGTCCGCTGGGTCCAGCAGCAGCCTGCGATTGAGCTGCATTCAGCAGCGATCCGTCCCCTTTCGCCGCCGGCCGTCCAAATGATAGCTGGTCTTCCTCGGATGGATTGATCAGATAGACATTACGATCTACAGCCGAACGCTGTACCTGGACGTATCTCCGCAGCCATCGTAGCACCTCATCACCTCCCCAGAAAAGGCCCCCCTCGCTATCGAACGGGTCAAAGCTTTCTCGGACTCGTTTCTTCTTCTGAAGGATCGTCGACTCGCATTCGCTGTCGTGGAAAAACAAGGCCGGAAAGCTGTCACCGGCCCGAGTGTTGATCACCAGGCTACCAAACCACCAACCCAAGCTGGGTGGTCGTACCAAGAGGGAGTAGATATCTGACAAGGGAATCGCAAGGGAATAGAGGCCGACTGGATCATTGTGAGAGGTGGTGGTCGGAAGTGGCGGCACGAGGTACTTCTGTCGCGGCGGCGAACTGCCCTCGGCGAGATCAACCTTGACATATGTGCTGTAAGCATCTCCTAACGAAGATTCCGGCACCCATGAAAGGAGATACGAGGCAGTGCTGGACTGGGCGGATGGGGGAGGTTTCTGCTGGATGAGGGCGATGAAGCCAGGAATGTTGTCCTTGGCGGAGGGCGTCGGATGTACATAGACCTGGAAGTGTTGTCAGCGCAGGAAACACAGATGTCATAGGTGGAAGTCGCACTTTGCTCTTGGAGAACAGCAGCTTGACCCCGCGACCCGAGGCGGCGTGGGCGATCGTGTTGTACTCTCCCTCGTCATCGTCGCTTACATCGTAGAAGGATGCAGAGGGTGACGGGGGAGATGGGGGAGGAGTGTATTTGACGGAGTCCGCCATGGTTTTCAGGTAGAGGGCATATCAAAGAGAGAAGAGAGAGAGAGAGAATGTGTGTGTGAGTGAGAGCGAGCGAGTGACAGGGAAAGAGAGATGGCGACGTAATGGCGATAAGATAAGGCGATCGCCTGACTTTTCCCCAGGCTCAGAACGTAGGTCATTCTTGGTGCAGGAGATGGTTGCGACACTTATTATTATTATATCATGTTGTCTTTCTCTCTCTCGATATACACTCACGTTTCTCTTTGATTCTTTTCTTTTCCCAGTTAGAGACTCTCTGTTTGCTCAACGCTGCTTGTTTCTCCCGATTTAGGCAGCAACTAACCCTAACCCCCTTCGTTTATATGGTATGGATAGCAACATATACCAGTCTGGGCTCATGTCGGCGAATAGCGAGACAAGTTTTGACTACGGTGCTGAAATGTTTTCTCTTGCACATTTTTTGTATACGTCCGCTAGAAGGCCCGCTCTCGCTGGTGAGGGCCCGCCACAACGCAATTAACAATTTGCATTTTCTATGGAGTTCCCGCACGAGAACCGTCAGAAAATCAATATAGCCGCAACACCGATCAGGTTAAGCACATGCCCACAATCCAGGCGTCCGTCCACACGAGCATGTCCGCAGTTGCTTTCAAATCCCAGGATTCCACGACACAAGGTGGCTGTCGTCCTTTACCCGCTTATCCCCTTGTACTTGTCTAACCATTGAGAATACTTCAAATTCCGATTATTATTTTGATATGGGAGCCGATACTCGAGTATAAATAAACAAGTCATCATTGTAGATGGTGAGAGTTGAGTGAAAATATGTGATTTCCACACAGATTCGGGATCGACTAGAAGACTCGCACGTTAAAAGCGAACGTCGACAAACATGAAGCCCCTTATACACAGCCTAATCAATCTGTCAGGAACAAGGCTGCCCTTTCGTAGAGGTCATTTTTCGCTCTTTCCTGGACAGATCCTTTCTCATACGCTTTGTCAAATGCATGTTCACAACCGTCATACCGGAGCATCTTAACATGTTTGGTCGTCGCATCTTTGATCTTATTTCCAAGCGCCTCTCCTTCGAGACAAAGGCGATCGCAAGCCGCAGTAACGAGAAAAATTCTATCCGAAAACTTTTCAACAGGTATAAGGGCTGGTGAAGCAAGGACACTCTTCACGTCTTCGGGGTTCGTATAATAGCATCGCACGAATGCATCCAGCAGCTCGACGGAAACACCATCTCTTGATTCATCGGGAGCAATCTTGTCTGCGGAACTTTGGACCATGTCTGTTGGAGGATAGGTGGCGAGGACATTTTTGAATGTTCCTTGAGGGAAAACCACCGAGCTGAGAACTAGAGACAAGATTCCTCCTGCACTGAAACCAGAAATAGATAGCCGGGAAGCATCGAACTTCTCCGGACGCGAAAGAACCCACCGAACCGCATCTTCGGCGTCGTGGACTGCAGCAGGGAATTTATTCTCCGGTGCGAGTCGATACGCGCAGTCCAGAACCACGAATCCAGTTTTCTCGACAATGAATTTACAGAACTCGTCGTCGCTCCCATGTAGAGGATTCACGAATCCGCTACCATGGAAATTGACGAGGACTGGTGCCGGGGTATCCCTATTGAGCGTGTTGTACGCATGAATTCTAATGAACCGTCCTTCGTCTCGCGAGGGGATTTGAAGCACCTCGTCTGGGTGCGCAGTAACGCTGAAGGTTTTCAAGGCATACGCGCGAACTGGGTTTGCGATTTTGAGAAGGTCGTCCAAGGAAGGCATATCGTAGCAGTAAATAGTCTGATATGGAGAGGAGAGGATGAAAAACGGAGACAGATCGATAAGAAGAATGGAACTGGATTGTTGTTCCTACAAGTAGGTCAATGACTCTATTTAAATACTTCTCTTCGGACCTTTTTTGCAAGTAATTGATAATAACGTGGCCTGTTCATCCGAGAAAACCCTTATTTATAATTATTTACTTAGAAGTGGGTCGGTCTTTTTGCTAATCGGGGCGACTTTGCGCCGTATTCAGAATGCCCGACACAGTAACGGAGAATAAGTAAATGATTTGTCTCCGGACGTAGATGAATAATTTCAACTCACGATTATTGCGGATATTTGTTAGAGCTAGGTTAGGACTGTTTACTTAAGACCACGTCATGTTGGGATGGTTATTTTTGGTGCTGTAACAACAGTTCCATATCCACGCAGCTTACTCAAGTTTTGTTTGTTTTGAGAACTACGATCCCGAATTCCAGTTTACCCTAGTAAATCCTTTCATCGATCAGCTCGAAAATTGAAGGTTAGAATACTGTCCATTCTGTAGATCCGCGGCCACTTCCGATTGAGCAGGTCATGTCGGTAGAAGAAAGATCCGGGATGATTATGAACGCAGATCAAGCGAGAGCCAGTCTCACAGTACTAGAATCAACCAACCCACCTAGTGAGCATCGACCCGACAATCAAGGCACGGGTAGCGAGGTTTAGAAATTTGATTTAAGCACTCTTGTCACCGCCGTGGACGATGAGAATGTCGCAAGCATATTTTCTATGCCTGCAGGCTTCGAAAATTTCGACAACAATGTTCATCCCGGAAGCGACTTGGCCAATCTCATTGGAATTGGGGATACCAGCGAATACTGCGACTTGCTTGACTCTAGGTGAGTACCTTCTTCTTTGTCAGACTTCCTCTTTTGCTACCAGACCCTAGACTAATGATAATGTAGTGAGTCTGTGGACTGGGCAAACAAAATACAAGCAGGAATTGCCCTTTCGTTCGAGGATTACGTGGGGAAGGCCAACGTGTCAATGGCGGATGTGTTTGATAATGGAGCTTGGCTGGATGAACGGAAAATTCCTATTATCTCCTCTGATGTTGATGTTCACATATCTCTCTCCTATGTTGAGAGCCAAATAACACAGATCTGGACCAGTCAGTGATCAACACACTTTTGAACAACGAAGGGGTCTTTCTATACTGCTACCCTATGTCTCAAAATGGTTGTATGATCCTTCCTCCTTTCTTCAGTTTTCACGCCAGCAACTAATTGAGAGGATGAATGGGCAGTCAACTCCAACAGTGGCAAATACAACTTTAAATTGCAGGCTTGGGTCGATGAGGACCAACTCCAAGAGATATGGCAATACTGCCAGGTAAGCACCCCTTTGCTTCACTTTTAAGATCAAAGCTCTCAGAATTGCATGCTAACACTGATTCGCCCTATTAGCATCTGCGACCGCCAAGATTATGCTGATAAGAATGGGGTTACATTTTCTAAATACATAGATCTTGGTGAAGTTTGTTCTTGTGGTGATGCTCTGGAGGTTGCGTGTCAACCGGCAGCCTAAACATACGCGGCTCAGGATGACAGTGCCCACATTACACACGGGGAGCTTTACCTTGAATCACTTTGTAGGAAAGATGGAAAGCTGGTGACACCTAAATTATTTGCACTTATGTATTGGATACATAATACACTTTGTGCATGTCATCTAAAGAACCATATCCAATTTTTTGCGACACGTTGCATTATAGTCTTGGTAACGTTATCGGATATTTCACTATATATTGTCAATATGGGAGCAACAGTTAGAAGTGAGGGACGTCTCGGCTAGCATGGAAGGCCACATGATCCTTTTTCTGGCTTTCCCATATCCTTAGAATGGATGTAAACAAAGGGGCGAATTTGCGGAGCTGAACTTGCGGTCGGCCACGAGGCGCCAAAACGGAGTCATTTCCTGCCCATCAGGGCGCGCATTCGCACTCTCTAACGCCGCACATCCCACATGTCCTCATCGGGCATTATAAGGCAGAATGTATCGCCGATACTGCATGTCCAGAAGCCGGGCGGTGCTCATGAGTCAGCTTCCTAAGTTGGGGTGTCCACTTGACCTGGCGTTGTTCGGCGGGATTTGATAACTGCTTTGGGAAACGATATACCGCGGCCGAGCCAGATCACACCATGATGGCCACGAGGGAGGTGGCCATTGCATTACGAGAGCTCTGTGGTTTATCAATCTTGGGCGACTATAAAAAAAGTGTGTCTCGGTCACTGCCATCGGCAACTATCTATCATCGGTTTGAGAACCACAACAAGTAATAACAACACAATGTCTGAGCTCACTCGTACCTTGCCGGCGTCCTGGTACTGCAGCGAACCGCTGTACCAGATGGAACGACGAGCAGTGTTTATGAAGGTACATCTACTGCCATATCAATACTACTTTAACTAAAACTTTGCAGTCTTGGTATCTTCTCGGCCCTGTGACGAGATTCCTGAACGTGGGCGAAAAGGTCGACTATGAGATCGGTCAACAGCCTATTTATGCAGTTCGCGTATCTGGCGAAACCAAGCTTCCAGTTGCAGAGGAGCTCAAAGTGTTCTCTGCGAAGACGGTGGGTCAATTCGGACAGCTCGCCTTCAGATGGCACTTTGAGAACATTTAACTCATGTGGAACTACATACAGGAGAAGGAGCTGCGCAGCCATGTCACTCCAACAGGTCTTCTTTTCTCCACAATCTCCGATAATGCTCCCACCTTCCATGAGTTCTTTCCTGAACTCGAGGAGCTACTAGGCAAAGTCGACTTCACTCGACTGCCTCACCGGCGCAGTATCCGCTATGAAGGGCGATTCAACTGGAAGACCATGTAAGTGCCGCGCCATCTGCTGCCTCTGCGAATACTAACATCTGCTCTACCAGGGTGGATGGATATCAGGAGTGTCTGCACTGCCAATACACTCACCCATCCTTCTCTATCTACTATCCGCCAACCTTCTACACTGTGCGCAACAAACACAACTTCTCGCAGCATATCGCCGACCCCGATAAGCCAGATGACGGTCTATTCCTGTATTTCTTTCCCATCTGCACGCTGAACGTCTACGGCGGCGGCATGTCCTCATTTCGGGTTTGTCCCACTGCAGACCCCCATGTCACACGCATGGAATTTGACTACTACCACCTCGAGTCCGGGGACAAGTTCGAGGACTACTTCAAATTTGTGCGCCAGGTGGCCATGGAAGACTACGAGCTGTGCGAGAAGGCCCAGGATAATCTCGCCAAAGGAGTTTATCACGAGGGAATCCTAAATCCGGAGAAGGAGAACGGCGTTTCTTGTAGGTTCTTGATTCGGAATTGTTTCCGATGTTTCAGATATTAATAACTTCTACCAGATTATCAGGGTCGGGTGTTCGACATGGTCTGCGAGCAGCACGAAGCCGACCGGAGAAAGGACACTGAGGCTGCACGGGAGACTGTGGTGGCGCCATCGATGGTGGAGATGGCCGCGTAGAAGATTTCTAGTTAGGTAAAGAAAGTTCATCTGGAGCGTCTGGAATTGCAAAGCCTTCATTCTATGTGGGGAATCTGTCAATCAGGGTTAGCCGACGTGCAATAGATAGTGACCAAGTGGGCACGCGATGTGCAACGCCATGGAAGCTGGAAATTCCAACTGAAACGGGTAATGGAGGGGCATCGCATGTGGGGAGAACTATATAACAGCCATGTAACTCGAAAGTTACGAAGAATAACAATATCTATTTATTCTTCAATTTTGCTCAGAATGGAATCTGGGGAATTGGTCGAAGCATTTTCTTTGCTCTCGCCAAGCACTATCCTGGTAGGCTTCATCGCGATTCTCTTCCTGCTCACCCAAGCATGGCCCTATCTATCGCGCCAAAACCAGGTCCAAGGATCCAGTGCTTTAGCGCCTACAAACTCTGAGCGTAGCTCCCAAATATCCGTTTCTAAGGAGCCCGATGTCCCAGAAGGATGGTGGTCCGGCCACGACGCCTTCGAGCTGGAACGACGCGCCATCTTCAGCAAGGTAATTAATCATGGGCCGCACCTGTATATATTTTTTTCATAATATATTGACTCAAGTCATCCAGACTTGGATCTACCTCGCCCATCGCTCCCAGCTCACCAAGGCCGGAGCCTATCAGTCTTTCGACATTGCGGGCTTCCCCATCTTCTTAATCCGCGGCAAAGATGACAAGATCCGGGCGTTCCACAATGTTTGCCGCCATCGTGCATACACAATCACCCGCAAGGAATCTGGAGCAACAACCGTACTTGGATGTCGATATCATGGCTGGAGCTACGATACTCGCGGGCACTTGGTCAAGGCACCGCAGTTTGATGACGTGCCTGGGTTTGATAAGTCGCAAAACGGACTCTTTGAGATCCACGCACATACCACCGAGCACGGCTGGGTCTTTGTTAACCTCGACGCCGGAGAACCGAGTCCATTCAACAGTTCTACGTCGTCTTCATTGAGAAAGTTTGCAAACGCTGCTAGATTGTCCTCCCGAGACACATGGGTTACTGGACAGACCTTGCGGGGGGCCTTTAATTGGAAATTGGGTCGTGAGTTATACACAGTGTACTAGGAATTCTGATAAATCCAGCTAACACGACTCCCCTCAAAGTGAGTCCTCGTCACAATGAGGTTCTGAAAACTACATTGGAGGAACGAGCATCTGAGGTATTGGCGCCTTCTATGGTCACCAGGGCTGCCAGAATTATCACACAAAAGCGCGGCTCGCACGAGTGCTTACTCTCCCCGGGCACTCTGATTTATTCCTTTGAGAACGTAGGGATATGGCTTGCCTTGACATTCCTTCCGTCGTCCGCCACAACCACACAGGTTCGCTATGACCTATTCAAGTCCTCAGACTGCAATGCAGCAGAGTTATCGAAGGCTCTAGAAGATACAGTGCGGAATCTCACACAGCAGATCGAGTCTGAATTCCAGTCCCTCGCTGAGACACCAGGGTATGCTCGCAATTATAGCCCTTCTCCTGTTGCTATGATCTGACATTACGGATCTTGATACAGGTCTACAAATCAACTATCAGGAGAGATCGACTGGAATACTACAGGTATGCTTGAACAATCCTACAGTGTCGATATAGACAAGTCATTCTTTACTAAATGCCGACCAGGTACTCCACGCCTTGTTCTGGATCGGATCCAAGAACACGCAAAACTAGAAAAAAAGCGAGGAGCCCAAATATCCCCTGCAATGCGTCAACCCAAAGCGAGCTCGCTTTTCCAGAAAGCTGAACAAGGTAGGTCACCAAATTCTTGAAAATATTTTATTACACATGTTGGCTGACGAATGGCTCAGTGTGCAAGGAGTTGGACTGTATCGGCGGTGGTTCGCAGAACGCAACGCTACCTTCGGGTAGCCTGGCATGGTAGACTGAGTCTTGAAAGAGAGGAAGTTGACATTATAATGCTGTCCTTTTTGTTTGTGGTGCAATTAAATTGTGATTACACCGCTACTACCCTTCCGCGATATATCTCCCGTCAATGCCATCACTCCTACAAGTTGCTTAGGCCGAAATAGAGAAACGCCAAACTGTGCAACCACAGCCTCGTACACACAAGGCTGGCCTTAAATGATTCAAATATAGCAAAAAATTCTAGTGCTAATTTCGCGCCCAGGCGTCCTATCCCTCAGCCGCACCGTAGCGAGCATAGCCCTCAATGCATACGTAATAAGCGTCGTTGCGCCCTGATTGGCTGATTATTGCTGCGCAAGGCTTCGACAAATTTTCAAATCACATTAAATCACATTTGAGGGTTAGGCAAGACCCATAGCAGGAAGCAATGGCTACTAGCTCCCATGGTTGCAAAGAAAGTGAAAGTCGATGGATGTGCCTGTCCCTGCGTCGGCCTTCCCGTCCCGGTCTCCCCGTCCCGGTCTTTTTGTGAAGCGATCTACGGTAGCACCTGCGCTTGCGGGGTTGATGGAAATCGCGGTTACAGTGCATCAGTAAGTGAGGAGAAAAGGAATAAACTCGTAGAACTGAAGAGTCCTGCTCGGCACTTCCGTGGTGATCATCTAGTGAAGCGGTCGAGCGACCTACATAGTCCTATATAGGCTAGCAGCGAGCGAACACCACCAGAAGGTGGTGATACTACTTACTTAATCAGGCCATCTAGGTTTATTCATGTTTCAAATGTTTTTTAGACTCTAATCTAATGCAATCCGAGTGCATGTTCGTGGATAAATGATGTCAAATTTGTTTCGGAATCGAGATGCTGGTGCCCAGGTGCAGTACCGTTGGGTAACATATATCAACTATGATCGTATTATTGGATGAAAGGATTAACATGGCGATGGCGAACCGGCGAAGTTGCTGAGCGGACTTAAATCATTTGGATCCTGGTGTACTGGGTCGGATCGACGCCTGTTGACCAACAAGATCCTCCTCCCGCCGGACAGCTTCATTTAATGGTGGCGGGCTGATGTCATCGCCACACGGTCGAGTGGAGGTCGCCCTTCTTCGTGGAGGGCCAGAGGCCAGATTGTTACTTTCTGTGTCAATTCTTGTAATTTTTGATTGTATTCTTTGGAGATACCAAGTGCGGAAACGCTATGGAAGGCGATTCTCAATGAAATGTTGGGGGTTTTGGCCTGTTTTTCCAGAAATGGAAAAGTCATGCATCAGACCAACCAATTTGGGCAAGTGCTCTCCTAGCTACTAAGTAACGAGCTTTCTCCATTCGAACTATTCTGTGCGATAGCGAAGGTTGCAAAACGATGGGCCACATGGCATGACTTTCCCGAAGGAGCCGGATCCTCTTCGTGTATCTGACTGCTCATCCGAACTGCAAGGATGATTACAGAACTAACCCACTGCGGTCATATCCCAGGCCCAAGGAAGCCATTACTCGCGAGTTTATTTATGTACGATTCCAGCACCATGGATCAGACTGGAGCGCTTTAACACTATTGTTCTCAGTTGGTGCTACATGTGGGAGGAGTGTTTCCGCCCCCGGGTTCGATGTTTTTGGCCCCTTCATATCTTACTTTTCCACGCGTATGTGGTGGCCAACATCAACCCATTATCCGCACTTTGGCCCCCTTCCACGCTAATGTATTCCACCAACAAGCTTAAGTTGTCAACGAATGTAGGCAGGCGTCTGCAGCCGGGCGCACCAGGAAGCCAGAATGCCTGGTTTACGGACTGGTGCGTTTCAGCGCGTTGCCTCCCAATATCATCCGTACTGTATCAGCGGCCACGTGGGGATGGTGTATAACTCCACCGCAGGTCTCAAGCTGACAAGGCCTTGCACTGGTCTTCGTCAGGCCACTCTCGGGGTTCTCTTCTTTCTTATTCGCTCTTTCGTCGACGTCCATCCCGTCTTCCCATCCTATCCCTGCATAGGGCGCCCTGCGTGAGTTTCGAATAACTTTATTGCATTTCCTACTTGTAGCAATGGACGAACCATTTTCTGGCCCCTGGAAAACTGGGGAGGCCAGATGGGGAGAGTGGATTTCTGGATAATTACGGCGGATCATACAGAAATCCTACATTGTGCTAGGATGCGAAAAGTTACGCGGCGAACTCGGTGTTTCGGCCACGAGGCATTAATAATAATGATAATGTAAAACACGCTGCTTTTCGATGACTTGCTTATTCAGACGGCTGAAGGAATAAGTAATCAAATCACACAGGGGGAGGGAAGGTCGTGCTGGGGATACGGCTTCCCCCATTGTCGCCCCATCACTCGAAGGATTCTGCCTCGCTGCTTCTCGAAGGAACAGCACGTTTCGGCGGTTACGCCGGTGCGGGTCGCCCGTTATTACATAGGTTAGTAGTTAGGAGAGGTGTTTAACTCGCCGTCGGGGCATGGTCTGCGGGGGTTCCCACTGAGGATATAAGTATGCCCATCTCTCTGGAGGAGTGTTTCATGGGCTAGGAGGGTTGGGTTACACGGCAGACCGAAAGTGGCGAAAGATAAGCAACGAGTGTCGCAGGAGAGGTGAGCAGGATGATCTCCTGCGCGGATCGACTGAATCGTATTACCCGGCAGGATTGCTACGAAATAACCATAATCGCATTCCCTAAGCACTAAACAGGCCTGAGGATTCCCGTGGGGCGCCGCTACCCCTGCACGGGGCATACTCAGGAAGGTAGTAAGGCATCCTCGTGGCGCAGTTGGTGCCCTTCCCGTATTTATTTTGGTGCTGTCGGGCCCACATCGCTCGCGGATCTTTCCCGCTGACAGTTAGTTAGGCGGCCTCTCTGAATAATTATAGCACTACATTCTGGCTGTGCCAGTCCGGATACGAGCACAGCACAAAGCTTGCTGGGACTCCAGACTGTGACCTCCATGCGGCAAGGTGGTGGCGGCTGATTCCTGCGAATGGCGAGAGGAGTGTCTGGCTTGCCTGAAATGGAATGTTGGGGCTAGGCTTGTTACAGTAATAATAATCATTAAAAAAAAACAGTAACTTTTGGCCCCAGTGATCGGATCGTTGGTTCCCCTGGCCAGTCCCCTGCAGCCTTGCAGGCGACGGGTGGAGCCACTAAGCGTGCCAAACCCGACTTTGTATAGTACACGATGTCGAGCAGTTCGCGTCAGATCCAGCACCGATAGATAGCTCTTTGTATGTATCGGCGCAGTCACTGGCCCCCAGGTGCCCAGGAGCCCTAAATATTATTCTCTCGTCCTGGATCTTCCTGCGATTTTCCTCTTCTTTCCCTTTCCCATTCACTGTTCTTTCTTTGTTCGTTGCAACCGTCAGTTCACGAACCAGGTGTCGTGCGCCTCGTGCCCTACTTGCAACTGCGACTACTACCTCCCCCTCTCGCTGCCGAGAAGGAAGGAAACAAAGAAGTGTCCACTACTCGGGCTCCCCGATTGACACGTAAGTTGGCCTGCCGATTCCTGCTGCGCTTCGGGAAGATCCTCGTGATCTCCCCAGTGCGTCTGCGAATGGAGACTGACACCAAGCAGCGTAGAATGCTACTCTAAGAGAGGAGTACCGTTACATATTCCCACCATCATGGTTTCTCCTCTTCCCATTCCGCAGATTCGTGCGCGGAAGGATTCGGCTGCAGAGCGCAAGGCCATGCGTCGTCCACCGCCGCTTAAGCTGCATGACAGCAACCTGAGGAACATGAAGACGCCAGTCCAGCTGGACGAACCGGATATCAGAAGCCTCGAGGTGACCCCGATGCCCCCTCGCTCGCACACTCCCCAGCCCAACTCAGATGAGAGCGACTCTGAAACCGGCGAGATCCCCATCACCCTCGCTCCGAGTCTGACTATCTCGCCGCCGAAGCCGTTGCGCAACTATATCGAACTGGACCCGACCTCGTCTGATTCGGACGACATCGACATCTCCCCCATCACAACACAGCCTCGACCATCGGTGTCCTCAGAAATGAGACTGGCTCGTTTTTTCCCGGAGCTCAGTGGGCATTTCCAAGTCGTCGCACCCTTGGACCGAGACGGGAGCATGAAGAAGCCCGCCACCCCTACGCTGACCGGGAGGAACCTGGAAGAGCGAGCACAGAATTTCTACAAGCAGTCGATGAACGCCAATAGGGCCGAGAAAAGGCGCGAGGCCGCCCGGAACTTGAGTCTTGACGTGCAAGGGGCATTGGAGCGCAAGGCCAACCACTCATCGTCCGGGTCCGAAGAGGTACAGGACGATGGCTCATCATGCTACAGCCGGGACAGCAGCTCAGCGACCAGTGTTGACTCGGAGTATGAGCACCACCAGGATCGGGACCAATTCTGGCCCCTAAAATCCGCTGACGCTTACTCAATCATCTCCCCTGTGGCTGCGGGGGTATTCGACGATGCTGCTTCACTTCATCCACGTGCCAACTCGGCCACTCCCATGTATCCTCCTCACCTCCCCATTGACATGGTCTGTCCCCCACGTCACCACTCAGTCACGACGGCCAAGATGACCATGGACCACCTGAAGAATAAGCCGCTGCCCCTGGAGCCCCTGATGGAGACCAGCCCGGCTTTCAATTCCCTATCGCTATCACAACACACCAGGTCGCACCACTCACCGTCGACCCGTTCACCATCCGTCCAGCAAAAAGACACATATCTGTCGCCGGTGCCTCGCCATGCAACCAGCGCTCGACACACGAGCCATCGGCATCATTTCCCACAGGATTCCGCCCCCACTACCCCTCGGGCGTCTCGCAGTCAGCGTGAACACCGGCCGGGCAGCAGTCATTCCACTCGCAAGGGCAGCAGCCAACAGCGCATGCGCCATGTCCCGACGTTATCCCGGGCGACCGAGGAATTGGAGGATGCCTTGGTCGGTATGTCGCGAGACAAGAACGCGCCCCAGCGGACCCTCCTCATTCTAGATGGGCCGCTCCAGATCAGTCGCAACAACGGCGGCGACCTGATTGCGACGCGACCGGCGCCCCTGCCTCCGCAGTCGGCCAAGGCGCACTCTTCGTCGAAGAGGCCCAAGGTCGACCGCAGTTTCTCCTATGAAGCGTCCCGAACGCCCAAAAAGGAGAAACACAGCAGGTCGACCAAGCGGGGCTCGGATGAGCTGGGCACTAGCGAGGCCAGCCGGTCGAGCATTGAGAGAGAGAACTCCGAAAGGACCCACGCAGGGACGATCGATCCAAGAAGGCCGAGCCCAAAGACAGTCGGAGATCCAAAAAACGCGACTCCAAGGAGAAGGCCGAGGAGAAGGCGAAAGAAAAGGCCAAGATACAGAAGTCGTTCACACTGAAACTGCCGTCGTTCAGTCGCAAACCCAGCCAGATGCAGGCGGCAGACCTACACCGGGTCAGCTTCAACTCGCGCTCGGAGACCTCGCTCGCCCCACCTGAGGAAGCGGCTGCTGACGCTATGATCGCCCTCCGGGGGCGCCAATTGTCGGCGTCGCACTCAGATCCCAACCTGAACGAATCCACTAACCAGGCTGACCTGCGGATGCAACTACCCCGTCTGCAAATCAACGATCTCGGCTTCAAAAACCCTTTCGACGACTACAGCCAGCAGCCCAAAGAGATTTCCAAGTCGAATCACTCCCAGACCGACTCGGACGACAGTGTGGACCCGATTGACTCAGACCACGTCCTACACCTCGAGACCCCCATGTCTGAACACGTCTTGCACCTCGAGACTCCCTCCGAGGATGAGAAGATTCTCGTCTCATGCGACAAGATGCGCCAATCCCACGCCCTGGTCTCAACGTTCCAGGCCAGCAGTGTGCATTTCCCAGAACAGGTTTATGAGCTCGCTGCCTGCCCACCATCCCCCACGGTGGAGGTGTATGAGCTACCAGAGGAAGAGGCTCCAATCCACCTAGTCTTTCCAGTAAAGATGCCAGAGACGGCTCTCGTGGCCATCATGCAAAGCATCGACTCCCTCGACGATTTGTTCAATTTTGCGATCGTGAACAAACGGTTCTACGAGGTCTTCAAGCAACGCGAGCTAGCAATGATCAAAAACACTCTCTTCAAAATGTCTCCGCCCGCTTGGGAACTCCGCGAGATGAGCCCTCCATGGGACACGGAATGGCAGCTCCTGCTGGACTTGGACTCCCAGGTCCCTGAGTACACTCCAAGTTCGTATCTCCGGAAATACGCCCAAGACATCTACACTCTTGCCCAGCTCAAGACTCTCGTCCTAGAGCGCTGCTCTCCATTCCTGCGTCATGATACCGTGCGTGGATTGGCGGGTGCGGACGTCATTCGCGCCGAGGAGGTGGACGACGCCTTCTGGCGCATCTGGACCTTCTGCCGCATTTTTGGCAGCGGTAAGAACCGCGAAACAGACATCGTCGGACAGATGGATTGGTTGAAGGGTGGCCAAACCGCGAAGCGCCTCGACTCCGCCTCATCGATGGCAGAGCCGTTCGGGATGAACAACGTTCTCTTCGAGCCGCCTCAGGGATTCGGTCGCGGAAACATTGGCGGGCTATCTCAGAGACAGATGTATGATATGACCGAGATTTGGACGTGTCTTGGCGTTCTATTGCAGCCTCTGCATGGCAAGTGCATCGAGGCGAGAAAATTCGGCATTTTTGACAACATGGATGTCTCGGAGGGGGACACTGTTAAGGAGGAGACGGTACTCGGTAGGGAAAATCTCCGTATCTTTTTAGAACCGTTGCTAATCCGGATTTACAGAGGAATGGACTGCATACATAGCTACTCTCGGCCTCTCCGCCGTCCTGACGCTTGGATCATTGTGTCCCGCTGACACCACCTCTGCCACCTTCAAAAAGGCCCAGTCAATAGGCCTGACCAAGTGGGAAGCGACCGACACCAACACCAGTCGCTCGTCGTTCCTGAAAGAAGCAGTCTCACGCGCCTACGAAAACCGGGACCGAGGCGCTTCTGCTCAGTCCCCAACCGACCTCGCCGCGAAGAGGACGTCATCGCTGTCTAGCCAGCACTCCAACACGAACCGGGAGAGCCGCGAGCGTCAGGCAGCGTTTGCTATCGAGCTTCGTATTCGCCGCATGCGTGGACAAGATATCCAGCCCGATCACAATCGATCCTTCTCCGACGAACGGCCCATGTCTGTATACAGCACCGTCCTCAACGATCTTAATGGAACCGCAGACCGAGACGCTCCTCCAGTTCCGTCCGTGCCTGCTCTAGTGGTTGATCGCTTCTCCAACACCTCGAATGTCACGAGCTCCACCCCTGGTCCCCAAACCCCCAACCCCCAAACTCCTCCACCGATCCACACTCCTCCTCCGCCGATGCAAAGCCCTCGATCAATCCGCTGCTCTACGCCTACTGCTTCACTGGCACCCGCACCTCTGCGGCCTCAGGTGATGGATCCGGTCGATCGCGCAATCAACATGATCGTCAATGAACTGGGCTTCGCGCAAGAAGATGCCAAGTGGGCTTTGAAGATCACGGACACTGGCGAGGGCATCGATGTTCCGGCCGCCGTGCATATGCTCCAGCGGCAAAGAAAGAAAAATGAGCGCAACAATATTTTCTCCAACCGCAAACGCAGCAGCCTGCTCACCGACGTCATGAAGCGAGAAGGGTCTACGGACTCGGGCTGGCGTTGGGCGTGAGCAGCTCATTTCCATACTTTGCCATTTTTCCTAGCGATCTTTTTTTTTTTGGTTTATCTCTGCTTTGTTTTGCATGCGGAATTGATTTGTCCGATTCTCAACCCCCGCTCACAGCGCGTGCTTGTTTGGTTCGCAGTGCTTCCATATACCCCTCCCCATCCTTGTTGCCTGCTTGTTCAGTCATTGCAAATGTCTATATGCCCTGCCTTGCGATAGAGAATTTGGAATATTGTTCCCACCCTCCTTCCGATATGTCATTTTGCATTCTTTTGGCGACTTAATATTATTATCCAAGGCTCGGATACGGGAATAGTATCGAGCTGGACTTGATGTTATTTTGAATATTTATCAATCACGGTTGCCGCTAGTGCGGTGGTCTTATATGACGGAAAACAAATACGATATTCCCTTAGACTTATTTCTGTTCTTTTGCTTCATATGTACGTTGCGTCTACGTAGCTGCAGCTCGAACCTCGTCTCATGTCAGGGTGACACCCGCCTTCTGTGTCGAGTTTATATCCCGGAGCCAAGTATTGATAAAAGCAGTCCACTCCCATTTTATCAAAGGCAATGATATTTTCTCTTGATTTCTAATCCAATCTCGTGTGCATATCGCGAGAAGTCCAAACATGGCCGCCGTCATCGTGGGCGGCCTGCAAAAGGCCCAAGAAGCCGTTCGACAAGCGACTTCGAACGAGAAAAAAGCTGTTGATCTCGAGCGAGATACGGTAAATATCCACACTAATCAGCCCTTGACCACGGACCACGGAGTCCGCGTTGAGAACGCAGATCAGTGGTTGCGTGTGGTGGAAGATCAACATACGGGGTTCGACCCTGTTTCATTTACCGGTATGCGGGCTGTTATCAAGGCGGCTGGTGCCTTGCCAGTTATTATCGAGACTAAGCGGTCTCGTATCTACGCCGAGGGTGAATCGCCCTCTCCATCTGCAGGTCGCGGAGGGTTCAGCCCAGGTCATCAACTAGACGGGGTGCGCTGAACACTATTTGACGCAACCTTCATCCCCGGCGGTTCCCACATCAAGACTCTTTCGCAGAATGGACAGATTAAGCACTGGATTGCTGAAACATTCGGGCATATGAAGGCCCTCGGTGCGACAGCAGTGGCGGTTACTCTGGTGAAGGAGAGTCTAGGTGCCGTCTCTGGTCTGAAAGTCGGTTCCGCTGAGCAGCGAGTCGAGTTGTACGAAGTCGTCACTGCGGGTGGTGTGCAAAAGCCCGAGAGTTTCAGAGAGACCGTCAATATCGTTCGTGGAGCTACAGATTTTGCGGATTTATCTTTCTATCAGATTGCACAACATCGAAATTATCAGCGGGAGCTAGATGGGCTTGTTTCATCGGTTGCATTTTAGGCGCTAGATGACTGGATTGGATCCGTGAATGTGGAAGACAGATGAAGCTGAACACTCAAAAAGGATAGAGAATGCAGCCCTTTTTTCAGTTGGGTATAATTGATGGCTCTAAACGATAGATAGAATTGGTCAAACAGGCCGACTCTAGTTAGCATTCGCTGCTAACTGCTTCACTGACCTCTTTTCCTTCTCGATTCCATTCCTTCTCTGAGCTACGTCACACAGCTCAATATTCCCACATTCGCATTCCCCTTCTCTCAGCCACCGGTATGTGATACTCCACCGGCCAGCCCGTGGTCTCACAGTTCCATCGGCAAGAGTATCTGTCTTGCGTTTTCGAATACCATGAGTCCAATGCAGCCTCGCGTCGCCCGTGAACTGCATCATACTCCGTGGAGTTAAATCAACATCAACCGACTTGTCTCCCTTGCGAAACTGCATGACAGTCGGCGCTCCCAGAGACAGCGCATAAAGCTGTTCATAGGGGCCGTGTGCATCCACATGTGGTGGGATGCCAGCGCCCGGGGGATAGTACTGCAGACAGACCTGATCTGGTGGTCGAGCCTCGGTTGTTGGAATGAGTGACTGGAGCCAGTCTGGAAACCTCTTAAAAGGAATTTCCGGGTCTATATCGAATGTCTTATAGTCGAAGGTATAGCCGTAGTGGAGCGACAGGCGCCCGGAACGATCAGGCCATTCAAGTTCATTGAGGAAGATGGAGATTAGGCGTTGCTCATGTTCAGGTTGGATGAAGTCATCTTGCCAGAGAATGCCACGAGGTTCGATAGGCAACTCTTTGAATTTGGCCTGCCTCTCCGTTCCCATGCCCCTGACTTTGAACGCGATCGTAGGTGGTGCTGCCAGGAAGAAAGAGACGTTTGGCGTGAGGTGCAAAATTGATGTTGTTCTCGGATCCACCACGATTGATCTGATTGGCTGTATACACTTTTTGCGTCGCAGGTCTCACTTGGGCAAAGGGGAATACCATAGGAAGAAGCCTGTAGAGAGAAACAGGGAGAAATGGGGCTGCATTCAGGTGCAGTGAAAATCAAAAGATTTTCAGGCTCAACGGAACCAGAAGATCCACGTTCGGGCTTTAGCCGTCATACTCGAGTATTCAGCATAGTTGGAACTTGGATATTGTCACCTCAATTGGCGAGAATGAAACTCTTTTCTTGAATGGTCCAGAGATGGTGCTTCTACCATGATAACATACGATAACTAAGTTGTGACTGCCCTCGTGACACAAACTTAGATCCCTACTTATTGTATCATCGCTTTCAGCTGTTACGTTGAAGTAGTTAATTATCATTAGAGCGGGTTGGATCTATGGTGCGCCAGGTTGGAACTGACAGAATAGGCAGGAGAAGTAGGGGAGTGTGATCGGTTCTGGCTGAATTCAATGGCCGACTGCAATAGAGTCAACTAGTTAAAGCCATATGTTCGGTGCCCAAAAAGGGAGACGGAGATGATATGATGAAGCAGATACTGGAGTCTAGCTCACAACCAGGACGATGACTGGCTGGTAAGGCAGAAAAGGGAATCACGCGCTCCATAATGCAATTGAGATCATTGACTTCTATTCGCGCAGCGCGAGGTTAATGAATACTATTGAGCATGGTTGAAGATAGGGCCCTCGGTTAGTCAACACAACATCCGGACCCTTCGTTCTAGCTAACAGCAAAGGATGTCCTACGAAGCGCCTCGTAGACTCAAAGCTGGACGCTAAAACAAGCTCCTTTCTTTGATCCGTTTCCTCTCGCGCAAACTGATACTGAAGAAGACATATTTCTGATAGGTAGAAACACTTCAAATGAAACCATCATTCGATGTCTATTCTCTCCCAGACCATGCTTTGCATGCCAATCCTAGAGCAAACTAAAACACACACACCAGCCATTTTACATCCCAAACCAACTCCGAATAGTAGCAGTAAGGAGAATGGCAAACAGTATCATACAAGAACATCACTAAACTAAAATTCAGCGACAAGAGGCAAATCTCTCGAGCTCCTCCCGACCCAAATCCGGAAGCTACCCTCGGTAGGCAAGATCCAATTCTGGGAGCGAACGCTCCAGTAACTGAGATCCTTCCGGGACAGGGTCATATTGACGGTGGTAGTTTCACCAGGCTGAAGAGAGACCTTCTCAAAGTTGCGCAGGACACGAACAGGAAAATCAATCGCTTCGCGAGTCCAATGCTGCAAACTGCGATGTTCGACCACATTATCCGGGAAGGAAACATAGACCTGGATGACCTCTTGGCCTGCTCGGGCACCGGTGTTGGTGACGTTCACGGAGAGCTCGAGCATGGCCTCGTACAAGAATGGATTGCCGCCCGGTCCGCCGCCTGCCGGGGATGGGGGCTGCTTGTCGTTGTAGCCATCTGGATAGGGATAATCGCCCGGGTCGGTTCCCGAGAGGGAGGTGAGATAGGGGTATATGTATTTGGGGATAACGCGGAGCCAGGGTGGTACCATGGTCATGATTGGAGATTCAGGTGAGTTGTCGTAGACGGGCGGTTCGTATTCATCTTTAGGACGTGAAGAAGGAAAGCGTGATTTCGGCATCAGGGGTTCAATGTGAAGAGAAGAGAAGTTGAAGGTCGTGTAAGAAAGGCCGAAGCCAAACTCGAACCGCGGAGTGATGTTATATCGATCGAAGTATCGGTAGTCGATGTACAGAGCTTGGTTGAGATTGACTTGCGGGACAGAATCGTGCGTCTCGTAAAGCACTTGAGCGCCAGGACCATAGTCTTCAAGACTGCGACCGATGGTGTAGGGCAGTCGGCCACTGGCATCGACATCCCCGAACAGCACATCTTTCAGGGCATTGCCGCTTTCTTGACCGGGTAGATTTGCGTAGATGATGGCGTGCACTCCGGGTAGATCAACCCAGGACTCCATCACGACAGGACCGACGGCATGAACGATGACCACTGTTCTCCCCTGCCCCCCGCCGCAGTTCTTAGCTACGGTTTCCACGAGATGGGCCCCATTTTTCTGCAGGAGCAGATCATTTCGGTCTCCAGCAATGCCCTCGTACTCGATGAACCCCTCTCCCCCATCAGAGTTGGCGAAAACCAAGCACAGATCCTGATGTATCAGATCTTCGATCGCAACGTTATTTGTCAGGTAGCCTTGAGTATCCACTGTATTCGAGGGCCACGCTGATTCAAGAGCTTCCCATGGACTGACCAGGTAGGGGAAGTTGACTGCTCCGCTACCCCAGCCCTCAGCGAGAGTGCCTTGGTTGCAGCCACGGTCTGGACAGGCATTGGGTCCTTTACCAGGACCGGCATCCTCCCCATAGATGCCGACTCGGTATTTACCACCGGGTTTGGAAATCTCACGGGAGAGCGGTAACGTGCCATTGGTGTTCTTAAGAAGGACAGTGCCTTCAGCAGCCACCTTACGGGCAATGTGAGAGTGCGCATGCTCTCCATGTCCCTGCGCGTTAACAAAGTGATTGACCACGCCGGTCGTTTCATCCCCAGGGCTCCCTTCATAAAGATGACCAATACGGTCATGGGTCCATGATGAAAAGTTTGGACCGCCTTCACCGTCTGGCGGAGGAAGTTCCCATGAGTCTTGGCGAAAGTGATACCAGGCCGCCACAATGCGACTGACCATGTCGTTCAATCGGTCGATGGGGACAGACGTATTTAGCACTGCACGGGTTAACTGACTGCCCCAGAGCGAGTTGCCATCGGCCCAAATGAGGCCATCACCGGGCATACTCATGTCCAAGCCACCCAAGGCACTGTGGACGCCGGACCGCTGGGCGAGCCAGTCGGACTGTACGAAACCTTGAAAACCGAGCTCGTCCTTGAGAATACCGTTGAGAAGCTTGCTGTTTTCACAGGCATAACTATTGTTGACCATCTGATAGGAGCACATGACACTCGCCACGTCTGCACGCACGCTTTCAGCGAATGGCCAGATGAAGACTTCGTGCAATGCGCGGTCATCGATGTTGGATGACAGAGCGGAGGGAATGCCCCACGCATTTGGCTGACGGAAGTGTTCCTGTTCATTCAGCACGAAGTGCTTTGCAGTCGCCATCACCCCGTTACGCTGAATGCCTCGGATTGTCTCTGCTGCTGCAACTCCCTGCAGGATTGGATCAGACCCGAATCCCTCCCAGTTTCGACCGCCTGCCGGCATCATTCCCAAAGCCCCCATGGACGGGCCGAGAAGAACATTTACGCCTTTCAACTTGGCTTCTAATCCCATCGCAAAGCCTCGGGCCCACATGAGCTTACGGTTCCATGTTGCTCCGGTAGTGATACCTGCGGGAAATGCGGTGATATTCTCGGCATATCGCAGGCCTAGTGGGCCATCCTGGAGACAAAGGGAAGGGAAATTCATCCGCTCTGCGGGGCCTGTTGACAGTGTGGTTAGCATCTAGACCAGCAGCCAGTATGGACAAGTGCACACCCGTATTCCCAACGCAAAGACCCATCTGCCAGCCCGTCCCCGTCGTGATATTGACCTTCTCAAGAAGGGACATTTCCCCCACCAGATCCTCGGCTTTCGAATAACTTTCATGCCACTTCTCACTCGTCCCACCAAGCGGGGTTGGATACCAAGGCAGAGGCCGCTGGGAGACTGTCAGCTTCTGAATTATTGGCCACAAGAGAACCAACGGAAACTTACGTATTCCGTTGCTGCTTTTCCACGACGGAACCTTCTTAGACCCTTCATCGCAAGCCACATCATCACCAGACCAATCGAGACCAAGAAAAAGATCTGCCACCACGATTGCACACGAAAACATCTCCTCCAGACAGAGCCACAGTAACCACGCTTGATGCGCCTCTGTCTCTCCCATTTGTCTCGGTCACCCTTATCCAATGGCACACCATACCCGTCATCTTCATCGTCGCTGAGAATGAGTGAATTATCCAGTGAGTCTGCGTCTTCAAGGTCTGTATTGAATGAATCTGACAGCGCGTTCCGTTCCGACCTGAGAAGTCGTTCGATGCGATCGCCCACATTGCGTTGTTCGCGAGGTACGTCAATGAATTGTGTTTCTTCGCCTGCAGCCGCAGGTGTCTGTTGGCTTGGCGCCTTGGAAGAAAGTTGTTTCTTGTTCGGCAATAGTTTCACATTGGCGTCCTCGTCGCTCGAAGATCCGTCTCCGCTGGCCGGTGTTGTATCGGCGTTATCACCACGAAATCCATCGTCTTCGGCATGATGTTGAGGATGGGAGCGGTCGTCTACTATTGCTTCAGGATCTCCGTCTGAAGGAGTATCTTGTAGCGACGTATAACCCTTGCTGCGCGAATTGAGCCATCGGGACTTTTTTCGCGGGGACGATGATCCGCCGCTCGAGGACCAGGGCCCGTTGGCAGGTGGGGAAGCCATCACTCATCGCAAACGCGCCGAACGCATTCTATCCGCAATTGCAAAGGGGGCCACACGAGAACCGGGGTGGGCACGTTGCGAAGAAAAGAGGTTGAAGAATGATGAGAGTGCACATCCGGCCAAGCCCAGGGGAGCTGACGGGCGTGCACGGACCTCGCCCTGCTTGCGGCGATCATTGCGTGGCCACGCAGGAAGTATACGAGCAGAGCAAAAGAGAAGAACTAAACACAACTTTTGCGATTCAACCGATGACTCTACTATCGGAATAATGATGCAGTATCCAAGAGAAGAAGCTATATATACCAAATCATAAAACAACAGACCCAAACGCCGTCTATCAATTTCCACGCAGTTCCCACGAACAAGGATCGAAGAATCACATCATTACGGACTCGTCATCATGCAAGGATATCAGGAAACAAACATGAACCAAAAAAATTATGATCGTGTGACGGACAAGAAAATTTAGGCCTCATCGTCCGTGTCGACGGGCTTCGGGGTGCCCTTGGGCGAGTTCAGCCACTCAATGTGCCGCAGACGGCGGCGGACCTCACGGTCCTTCAGCTGGGCGCGAGTCATCTTCTTCTTCTTCTTCGCGCGGAACTTGAGCTCGCCGGTATCCTCGGCGCCGGAGTTGACGGCCGACGCAGCAGCGCTGGTGTTGGCAGAGGCGGCCGCAGGAGTGCCCGGGGCAGAAGGCGAATTGTTGGCGCTGTCCTCGAAGCGATCGAGAGAGACCGCCGTGTTGGTACGGCTGACAATACGGCCATCGGCGATGTGCAGCTGCTCCGGACAGAGGGCGCCCACGAACTCCTCGTTGTGAGAGATCATGACCACACCTCCCTTGAAGTCACGAATGGCCACTGCTAGGCCACCGAGTGAGTCACGGTCCAAGAAATTGGTCGGCTCGTCCAGAACCAGCAGATGCGGGTTGTTCCACATCGCACCGGCCAGCACAACCTTCACCTTCTGTCCACCGGACAGACCGGAGATCTCATTGTGATTGGCGATCTCGGGGTCCAGTCCAACATCCTCAAAGTGCTTGGAGATGGTCTTAGGGTCGAGGACGCGGAAACCCAAGCCTTCGCGGGACGCCTCGTGGTCATCAAACTCTTGGACCATCTTGAAGAATCCTCGTTCCAAGAGCGTCTCGCGGGAAATCATGGTGTTGTGTTTGGGAAGCAGCCCAATCCATTTCCTGGACAATGTCAGTGATGACCGAGTGAAGAGGGAAGTTGGGTCTACTCACACTTCGTACTGGAAGGATTTCTTCCACTTTTGGCGACCGATCAACGCCTCAATGCGACGGGGTCCACGACCATCACCCAGATCAATAGGCGTCTCCAGTTGAGCCTTGTCGGCATCAGTTAGGATACGCGTTTGCTTCAGGAACACCTCGCGATCATCCCCGTTGGCATATCGCCACTGGAGATACTGGCTTGGGGTCTTCTCCAAGTGCATCTCGACGTGCTCAAGAGCGTGCTGCTTGATGTATCCAATACGAAGATTGGGATGTTTCTCAACCTTGCCACTCTGAGGGATCGTTTCGCCCGTCAGCATTTTGATGAAAGTCGATTTGCCTGCACCGTTACCGCCGATAATGGCCACACGGGAGGACAGCGTCAGCGACAGCGAGGCCTCACTAAGAGACGGACGGGGGGCACCCGGGTAAGTGTACGAGCAGTTGGTCATCCGGAGAATGGAGCGAGTCTGAGACTTGATACCAGCCAAGATGCCTGGAGGAGGAAACTTGAACTGCACGTTGGATGACGACAGAGTGTAGTAACTACTGGCCTCAGGCTTGACCTTGACGAAGCTATAGTACAGTTAGCATACAGTGCGAACATTAGTTATCGAGTCAAGGCCACTTACTCGGCAAGGTTGCCCACGTAGTTGACGAGCTTCTTTCCCTCGTAGTGGTAGATGTCGGTGCAGACCTCATCCAAGAAACCAGAATCGTGACTGACAATCAGACTGGTGATGTCGGTATGTTGCTTGAGGTAGTCCTGCAGCCACCTAACGTTCGCCACATCGAGATGGTTAGTCGGTTCGTCCAGCAGGAGCACGTCCGCCTTCATGAGCATCGCGCGGGCCAAAGCCAGCTTCATCTTCCATCCACCGGACAGCGAGCCAACCGGCTGAGACTGACGTCCTTCGGGTCCATCAGTGAATCCGAATTCCAGCAGGACTTCGCTGATGTGTTCCTTGCCCTGGTCGGAAATTTTGGGATCTTTGGAAACGTATTCGAGGATGCTGAGATCGGCATCCTCGCCCTGATTATGCTCGACAAAGCAAGTGCGCACTTCGTCTTGTGGCGGGAAACCTTCCAGCTTTTCATTGGCGATACTGCGCATCAGCGTCGACTTTCCGCAACCGTTGCGGCCACAGAGACCGTAGCGATGGCCTTTCAGCAAGCGTAGGTTTGTGTGAGAAAGCAGCAGCATGCCTCCGTAGGCAAGGGAGAAGTCGGCGTTGACGATTTCGACCGCATTGGGATCGTCCTGAACAGGCTTGCCAAATTTGCGGTGATCTTCTTCAACAAAGTGCGTTTGTACGGCCTCAGCAAGCGCGTCTGACTGGTCATCGGCGACCAGGCCGCGAAGATATGGACCAATGCAAGCGGGGATGCGGTTGTGCATGCGGCAGTTGACATCTTCCCGAACCATACCCGCGATGAAAGACTTGACCAGGTCGTGGAACTTGGCATCGCCGAAGCCGCGCAGACCGCCATGCTCTTGGATCTTTGGGTTCAACACGGCGAGAACGTCTTCAGGAGTGGTCTTGACGATCGAACCAGAGGCAACCTCGTGGTCGCCCATGGCCTTCTCGATGACATCGAGAGCACGCGTGGCCAGTTCCCGGACCTCGGGCAGCGAGGCACGGTCCTTGACAGCCTTCACACCGGGTTGAAGCTTGGGGAGGAAAGTCCGCGCCTCTGCCGGATCATGAACCAGCTTGGTCAAGTTCTCCACCACAACGACGGTTTGTCGAAGGGTTTCCTGCGGGGTCCGGGGGGAGTTCAGGGACCGTTCAAGCAGAGGAGTCAGAAGCGCCAGTACGGGAGAGGTAACAATCGCGACGAAGGTTGTCTGGGAGAGAGCGTGGATCGCATTTTCCAGGGTCTTCTCGGAAGGCTGCTCCATAGTCTTGATGAGTAGCGGGATACGAGGAGCAACGTCGTCGTTTGAGAGAAGAGTGGTCAAGGCAGTCATCGTCTTGATGGACTGCTTGGCGACTTCGGGCTTCAAGTCATGCATGCCGGACTCGACAATGGGAATGAGCTCCTTGAGAGTCTTGCCCATAGCCTCGCGTAGCAGATCCTTCTGCAGTTCCTCCTCCTTAGATCCATTACCAATTTGCGCATTGACGGCCATCTTTTCAAGCAGTTTATAGGCGCCAACAAAGCCCTGCCACTTGCCAGATCCCTTGCCAAGGTACCGCTGCAAAGCCGGCAAGAGCGCGTTGACCATCGCCTCGGGGCTGAGCGAAGCGAACAGAGCATCAATAGCGTACTGGGCCGAATCGCGCACCACAGTGCCCTTGTCTGCCAGGGCATCCAGAGCGACATTGAGCACACCACCATCGTGCAGCAGGAAGACGACTTCGCTCAAGGGGTGCTCGCGCGGGAATCGCTCGAACAAAGCGCCAATGATCAACATGGCACTTTCCCGCTTGGCTCCATTCTTCTTATCGGCCGCAGCCTTTTTCGCTTCAGCGATGACATTGTAGTTGAGCAGACCGGCGCAGCCGACGCTCTGGATGAGAAGGTTAGTCAAGGCATAGGAGGCATCGAGGGACTGCTGCGAGGTATCGGCAGAAAAGATGGTGTTGAGAAGAGAGCCGATCTCTTCCACAGTCGGGGGAACGGCGGACTGGGTTTTGTCGACGACGGTGGGCATGGCAGGAGATTCCACGATGTGCGGCATCGTCTGGCGGGGTGGGATGGAATCAGGTGCTGCGCTGGGAGAGGGCTGGAAGACTCCCAGATGAAAGAAAGGTGTGTGTCTGGGGATCACAAAGATGGCAGTACACACGAGCCCGATACTTGCCAGCTGACCCCGACGCGATAGAAGTATGGACAATAGGGAATATGTACAGGATGAACAAGGGCTGATGGCAAAACCCTGAGACTTTTTTTTTGTTTTGGGGGCGCAGACATTTTTGCAGCCAATCAGTGGCCCTGCTGACAAGCATGCTTATCGGCCGGGCTGACCCAGGCAGCAAGGCAGCAAGGCAGTAAGGTGTCAACGGTGCTCGCCAAAGCCGTATACTTCGTTCATGATGGGGACTGCGTTCCGCACAACCTACCTTTCACTCCCTACTGCAGATCAAGACGAAGCCACACAATAATATATGCACAATTCCTCTCTCATTCCCCGTACAGCATGAACAAGACCTTATCGAAAGTATATGTTCCAAAAGAGGGACCATAGTGGGTGGACAGAAAATCACAAGTTGAAGATGGGGCCTGGCTGGACTTGGATCTCGGGCATGATCTATGCATTTTAAAGGAAAGAAGGAACACGGAATATGACTTTAGTCGCCTGAGAACCATGAGCTTCAGCCCAGGCCATCGCTTCTTGTTTACCCGCTCGTCCTCTCATATTGGGGTCAGCACCAAGCCACGATCCCACGGCGTAACAGAACATGGCAGATTCCATTCCAGGCGAGATCGACTTTAGACACGGTCCTTCTCATTGTGTTCCATATTACTGACCTGAATGACTCCAGCCCCTTGTTGTCTCCGCTCAAACGTTTTGACTTTGCTCCATGATCTGGACCCTTAACTCCCTGGTAAACCTCGCTCGGGTCTATAAGGACATATCTCGTGTAGGTGCTATAGAACTCCCGCTTGACTGGAAATATATATGTGTGTATGAAATGCATGAGACTGTTACAATGTTAATATGAATTGGTGAATCAGGATTCTATAATTGTAAACATAAGATAGATTTTGGGTTTCTGGGACAGACAACGTAATAGAGGATGTACTACTACGGGTGGCGGTTGGGGCTTTAGTCAGGCAGCAAGGCTATAAGGCGCTATCACGGTTACACGTGCTAACGGTTAGGTGCTTCAATTAGCACCCTTCCGCTCACCCGATCCCGGACCGAGATAAGGCTTTATTAATGTATCCTAGGGAGGGTTCAGAATGCTTAGGTGAGCGGGAATGCCGGTGTGGATACATCCCCCGAGGTGGGATGTATCCCTAGATGTCTATAGGGGGGTTAAACCTCACGCCTATCCTGTGAAAAAGGAAATAATAGTCACGATCTCCATATCTTTCCATGCGATCTCGGGGCCAAACCCGACTTTCGGGCTGTTGTGCGCAGGGAAATTGTTCCCGCCTGCAACCGGGCCTCGGTAGAGAACAGACCCCCGCGCTCAACCGAGACGTTTGCTGCACAGTTGATCATCACTGATTTCTTTCTTTCTTCCTCTCTCCTTCTTTTTCTCTGGCTTTGTCCTTTCCCCTTGAAATCTATTCCACCCCCTGGATATCCAGACCACTCCTTCTGACTCTCTCGGTCTCTTCTTCTCCCCACACCGAGTCTCCCGCCCCCCCGCAATTCAACCCCGGACCCATCGGCACACACAATGGCCCTCAGCCTGCGATCCACACGCCATGCCACCAAGCTGGCCAAGGTGAGTCCGACCTCAATTGCTACATATGGCTTGGGATTTCAATTAATCAATTCTCTCGCAACAGGCCTCGCGCCCTTTCTTCGCGGCCACCCGCCACTACGCAACCGCGGAGCCCGATCTCAAATCCACTCTAAAGGAGGTTATTCCCGCCAAGCGGGAACTCCTGCAGAAGGTCAAGGCTCAGAGCGACGAGGTCATTGGTGAAGTCAAGGTGGGCAATGTGATCGGTGGCATGCGCGGTCTCAAGGCCATGCTGTGGGAGGGCTCCGTCCTGGACGCCGACGAGGGCATTCGGTTCCACGGCAAGACTATCAAGGACTGCCAAAGGGAACTTCCCAAGGGCACTTCGGGCACCGAGATGCTCCCCGAGGCCATGTTCTGGCTGCTCCTGACGGGACAGGTGCCCTCGACCGCACAAGTGCGCGCCTTCTCGCGCGAACTCGCCGAGAAGTCGGAGCTGCCGCAGCATATCCTGGATCTGGTCAAGACATTCCCCAAGTCCATGCACCCAATGACCCAGTTGTCGGTTGCCGTGGCAGCTCTCAACACCGAGTCCAAGTTCGCCAAGGCTTACGAGCAGGGCCTGAACAAGGCTGAGTACTGGGAGCCTACCTTTGACGACTGCATTTCGCTGCTTGCTAAGATCCCCCGTGTCGCGGCACTTGTCTTCCGCCCAAATGATATTGACGCCGTCGGCTCACAGAAGCTGGATGCCGCCCAGGATTGGTCGTACAACTTTGCCGAGCTGCTTGGCAAAGGTGGCTCGAAGAACGAGGATTTCCACGACCTGCTGCGTCTGTACCTCGCCCTGCACGGCGATCACGAAGGTGGCAATGTGTCGGCTCACGCCACCCACCTTGTGGGCAGCGCCCTCAGTGACCCTTTCCTGAGCTACAGCGCCGGCCTGCTGGGTCTGGCTGGCCCATTGCACGGACTGGCTGCCCAGGAGGTTCTGCGTTGGATCATGGCCATGCAGGACAAGATCGGCACCAAGTTCACTGATGAAGATGTCCGCAACTACCTGTGGACAACTCTCAAGTCCGGTCGCGTGGTGCCAGGCTACGGCCACGGCGTTCTGCGCAAGCCAGACCCGCGCTTCGAAGCCCTCATGGACTTTGCTGCCACCCGGCCGGATGTGTTGGCCAACCCGGTCTTCCAGCTGGTCAAGAAGAACGCTGAGATTGCGCCTGGTGTGCTGACCGAACATGGCAAGGTAATGTACATGGCATCCTGATGTTTGTCCCAATTGACTAACCCGTGCTTCAGACTAAGAACCCTCACCCCAACGTCGATGCCGCCTCTGGTGTCCTGTTCCACCACTATGGCTTCCAGCAGCCCCTCTACTACACCGTCGCTTTCGGTGTCAGCCGTGCTCTGGGTCCTCTCGTCCAGCTCGTCTGGGATCGCGCTTTGGGCATGCCCATCGAGCGGCCCAAGAGCATCAACCTCCTCGGCCTGGTCAAGAAATAAATGCCGACTTTATGTGAGCGACGAAAAAAGTGATGCAAAGCGAGATGATCTTTTATGTTATTTTTCCTAGATTCTTATTCTATACCGAGGGCATTCTCTGGACTCGTGTTCCGTTCGATTAGTAGACCATGATGTTGCAATATACTTTTTCTTCCACCTTTACATAACGAATTGATTCCAAATATCTTAAATACTACCTGACTAGACACCAACAGATTCAAGCTTCGCCGTCTCTATAACATCTGTGCCCACGTTATCGCCTCGATCCCAGCGCTCCCGATATTCAAGCATCAACGTCTCGGCGGGAGGGGCGCATTCCACAAAATCCCGGATGGCCTTAACCGGGAAGATATAATGAAGGGCACAGTATACGGTGGCACTGATGGAAAGGCCAACCAGAAAGCAGATGTAGTAGAGATGAGTGAGGCCCAGCGGCACCTTGACTGTGGGATTGACATATCCCACAAAGCCAGGTAATGAGGGGACTGTGCCGCATACCCACTGTCGCACCATTAGTTAACAGCCACATCATAGTATATAGAGAACTTACCGCTATCACAGCTCGCCAGTTCAAGCCCCACGAGAACCAGTAGATGCTCTGACTATTCCCGAGAAACAGATCGTCGACCTTGATCTTGCGCCGATTGATCACGAAATAGGACGAGATCATTAGGCCAGTCATTGGGCCCAGGAAAACGGAATAGCTGCTCAGCACAGCCAAGAATGTCGTCGCGGTATTCACCAGTTTCCATGGATTACAGGCAACGGAGACCAAAGCAGTCAGATACGCACCGCGACGGATATTAATATACTTTGGAAAAGTAGCCGCTAAGTCAAATCCTGCAAATGCCATGTCAGCAAACCAGGCTATCAAAGCCGTTATCAACAAAGAGTGAATACATACCACCAGACAAGGCATTGCCCGGAACATTAATTCCGATCTGCGATACAATCAAAGCAGCACCACCGAAGAAAGCCGCAGCCCTCGATCTCGAGCCACCATGCTCAATCACCGCACTGAGCAAAGTAGGCAAATTCCACTTCGCACTACCGTATCGTTCCTGCGTTGCCGCCGTGACCAGAATGCCAATAACAGAACACAGAATCGCATAAATGGGAAAACTGAATACCTGCCCATACACGGCGTCTGTGGGCTTGCGCGCAAAGCGGGCATAGTCGTTCTGGTTCAGAATGCCTGCTGAGATGGACCCTATGGTACTAATGATTCCGAACGCGATGGTCCAGCCGTAGTCTTGGCTGCTACTTGTTGCTGCCATGGTCGTGCCAAACCCTGCTTTGCCCATGGTTGCTAGAGACCAGATGAGGAGAACGATTTCGAAGACTAGGATTGTGGCTGCGGATCCGTAGAAAAAATACTTGAGTTTGTATGGGCGGATGTAGATCACTGGCAGAGATATGATCATGAATAATATGTAGGCCATGAAACTGGCTGTCGTTGTCCCCGTTGAGGCGGAGAGGTGGTTTGGGATGCGCTGTTCGAGGGAGGGCCAGATGGCTTGGAGGCAGACGTAGACGCATTCACCTCCTATCCAGGCCTGGAATCCGTACCAGACTAGCAGACACAGGTCGTGAGCAAAAGAACTGTCTGATTTTCAGATTCACCGGGTTACTTACCAACGGAGAGAAGGATTCGATTCCAGATCACAAATGCACTACCGTACATTCCCCAGACATACCGATTAACAACTGGAAATCCCACTGCGGAATACTTAGCAATGCAGTCATACAAGCGCGAGCAGGACTCCATGCAACTCACAATGATAAAATGCACCAGGCAAAGAATTAAGCACAACCAGAGCTGTAGCGATGAGCTGCCCAATAATAATTGCAATTATTGCCTGCCACCACGTCAAACCGAGTGCGATAAGCGAGCTTCCAGTCATGTACGAGGAAATATTCGAGTTGCAGAGAACCCCTAAACACCACAAAAATGAAGATGTCAGTATCCTTGCGACGGCAATAGAATTCTCAACTTGCGTACAGTAGTTATGGAACGTCCAAAACCCCCACGTCCTACGGTGGGCCTCAATAGGCTTGATGTCGTTGTTGATCCATCTATCTGGCACGGGGCCGCCCTCGCTGCCGAGCTGGAGTTTTCTGAGAAGCGCCTTCATTGGGATGGCTACATGAAAGGGTAAGAGGAGTGAAATAGTTGGTTCAAGAAGGAACAAGAAGTTTAGGACTTGCGAGTCATGGTGTATGCGCTAGAATGCCCCAGTTATTTACTCCGCATCCTCGGAGAGAACCTTCGATCGGCGAATGGGGGTAAGCGGATTGCGATAACTAACATACACACGCAAGAATTACTAGCTTCAGTTAGCCTTTTCGGGCTTATCTCTGGCGCGGAGAAGACCGGCTCGTGTTGTTGCCGACAATTTTCATGGATTTGGGGCGAGTGTGTAGCTTGTCGGGGTGCTTGGAGTTTGATTGGTGGAGATGGAATATCTCCTCATTTGGTTGCGATAGGACACGGCCCAAGTTGGCAGGTTGAGAAGATCGGACGCTGGTTGGTGGCTTGGTCATTTAGAGGGACCGGGCTTGGCCCGCGAAGAATCTCTTTTTTCTGAAAAGATCGAATGCCGTTCTTTGAGGCTTTGATACTTTCGGGCAGAAGAAGAAAATATCGCATCAGATTGATAAATTCGGACTGGTAACCTAGTCCTTCTTCATTTTTCAGACGCGAGTCTTTTGTATTGAAAAACCCCCCGATATCTCTTAGACATGCCGAATTTTGGTTGAATCCACCTGCCAAGTTAAGTGCTATAATCACGAGTTCCATCCAGCCAAGACATTCGGGGTATCCCGCCTGTGGTTGGTGGAGTTGCGCCTAGAGTTGGTCTGCCGCGATAGGAGTATGCTTCCTCCCCGCACGAATTCCGACTTATGGGAGAGCCGAATAAATGAGTCAACCGGGTCCGATGTAGTATTGCTGGAACCCGACTAGGCATGCCCATTCGCTAACAGTCGCTGCTTTATAGATTTATGTTGGTAGGACCCTCAGGACTGTTCAGGGCGGAGTGCTGATCTGCGCATGTATATATATGCAAAGACTTCGGAATTGCGTGGACTCCGGACGGAAATACTTTTATGATTCATTTTTGAACCCTGTACCTCGTGCACCCTGAAGACCCTTGCCATGACACAAGGTTCGGGCCCGTACCGCATCGGCGTCGACGTGGGCGGCACCAATACCGACGCAGCCATTATCGATATCGCTGCGACTGATTCGGCGTCGCGCGGAGTATGCGCTTCGAGCAAGACTCCAACAACCACCGATGTGACCTCTGGAATTCACACGGTGATTGAAGATGTCCTATCCAAGACTGCAGTCAATCGACAGGACGTGCTCAGTGTTGCTATCGGAACCACACATTTTGTCAATGCGGTGGTCGAGGCTGATGCTCGACGATTGAGCAAAGTTGCCGTTATTCGATTGTGCGGTCCATTCACCAGGCTGGTATGTGTTGAACAGGATTTTAGAGCCATCGCTGACTCTACTTTATCGTATAAGGTGCCTCCTTTTTCGGATTTTCCACCTGCCCTGAAAAAGATCATGGGGGGCCCGGTCTTCTACTTGGACGGTGGACTCGAAATTGACGGTCGTGAGATCACTCCGCTCAACCCAGATCAAGTCAAGCAGACCGTGCAAAGTATCCAAGCCGCAGGGATTAAGATGGTTGCAGTCGTTGGCGTCTTCTCGCCCCTCGACCATCAAGGAATCCATGAGGAGACCTGCAAGCAGCTAATAATCGAGCAAGATCCTTCATTGTCGGTGGTGTGCTCTCACCAAGTTGGCGGCGTCGGGCTCCTAGAGCGCGAGAACGCAACAATTCTCAACGCCTCGATCTTGACGCTTGCCAGACGCACCGTGCGCGCATTCTGTCAAGCAATGACCACATTACAACTGAGCTGCCCATTATTCCTCACTCAGAATGATGGTACATTGACAGATGCTGCCACGGCAGCCGAGCTTCCAATTAAGACGTTCGCATCGGGTCCTACGAACAGTATGACCGGTGCTGCCTACCTGGCATCCTTGGACCGCGGTACAAATGCGAATTCCAACACACAGGTGCTGGTCATCGATGTGGGTGGCACAACAAGCGATGTTTGCGCATTGCTTCCATCCGGTTTCCCGCGTCAGGCACCGAACTTTGTCGAGGTCGGTGGAGTGCGTACTGCATTCTCTATGCCGGAGGTTTTGTCCGTCGGGCTGGGTGGAGGTAGCCGCGTGGTATACGATGCTGAATTGGACCGTGTACGTGTTGGTCCTGAATCTGTGGGCCATTACCTCACCAGCCAAGCCCTGGTGTTCGGCGGTGACGTTATGACAACCACGGACATTGTTGTCGCCTCCGGCAAGGCAAAGATTGGGGATTGTGCGAAGGCACAAGGCATTCCTTCGGACGTAGTCTCCAAGGCGCGACTGCAGATCAAGAAGATCCTTGAAAGGGCGGTTGAAGATATGAAAGTTTCTGATCTGCCAGTTACGTTGCTATTGGTTGGTGGAGGCTCAATCGTCCAGATGGATCAGCTGGAAGGCGTGGCGGAGTGCATCATCCCGCCTCATCACGACTCAGCAAATGCAGTGGGTGCTGCTATTGCCAAGGTTGCTGGGGAGGTAGACATTATTGAGATTCTGGCCAATCGTGACGAGAAAACTGTGCTTGAGTTGGCGAAGAGACAAGCCATTGAGGCTGCAGTCGCGCGTGGAGCGGACAGGGCAGATGTCAAGATCGTGGAGATCGATAAGATTCCTCTGCAGTATGTCACGAATAAGGCCACCCGGCTAGTGATCAAGGCTGTTGGTCGACTAGCTCTGCCCGATGCTACTGCGCCAGCCGTCAAGAGCACCCAATCCAATGAGGTTGCCGTTAATGGAACGAATGGCGTAGCCGACGATGATGCGGAAGACTCCAGCAATGGAGTGTCTCAAAAAGCAACATCAGATGCACTTGAATCTTCCGTGAAATTCTCAGCCTATATGGATCTTGAGGCCTATAGGCCTGACGTACGAAACGGGGTTTGGTATCTTTCCCCCGTCGATCTTGAATTCATCGCGACTGGTACGGGAGTCCTAGGCACCGGCGGCGGGGGTCCATCTCGACTTCAATATCTCCAATGCCTCGAGGCTCTTCAAAACCCAGATGCCAAAGGCAAGATGAGAGTGATGTCTCCCAAGAGCATGAAGGACTCCGATATCTGCGTTTTCGGATCTTGGTACGGGGCGCCGAGTGTGTCGGGCGAGCGCATGCCTGCTGGACCGGAGATCATGGATGCGATAGAATATTCGGTCAAATATTCCGGCCATGATCACTTTGAGGCTGTGATTGCCGATGAGATCGGTGGCGGCAATGGTATGTCCACGTTTCCCACGAGTGTACACTACGACATCCCTGTCATCGACGGTGATCTGATGGGTCGTGCGTATCCAACATTGGAGCATGGTGAGTTTTGACCCTGTATTCTCTCGTGGTCCTGGTTAGACTAATACGAGCACAGGTACTCCGTACGTATACGGCGAGCCCATTACCCCGTGCGCTATTGCAGATGGGAAAGGCAATATTTCCGTTGTCCTGGTATGTGGCAGATATACAAAAGTCCCGTCCCGGTATGGCCGACATCTAACTTGAAATTAGAAAGCCGAATCAAATAAGAGGGTGGAAACCATGATTCGTGCGCAGTGCGTAGATCTGGGTCTGAAGATAGCAGTGGCGTGCACTCCCCTGACAGGCGAGGCTATCAAACGTTATGCCATTCCTAACACCGTGTCTCAGTCATGGTATATTGGGCGTGCGGTGCACAAGGCGAGACGGTCGAAGACTAACCTTGTCAAGGCCATTGTGAGTACACCTAGTCTTTATTTCCCTTCGCCGTTTAACACAGTTCTACAGTTTGATACGTCTCCCGGTCGACTCTTGTACAGCGGCAAGATCATCGACGTAAAGCGCGACGTCAGCCGCGGGTATACAATGGGCCAATGCACCATCGCTCCTCTGAATAGCGATGAACGAGAACAAGACACCGCTGATACGGGCGCGCAATCGACACCGGATGAGCGCTGCATAATCATCCCTTTCCAGAACGAATATCTCTACGCAGCGTACGCAGACGCTGCCGACCCCGAGGACGCGTCTCGCCACGAGATGATCTGCACAGTACCAGATCTTATTTCTATTTTGGGACAAGACGGAGAGGCGATTGGATCGCAGGAGCTGCGGTATGGATTGCGAGTCAACGTCATTGGAATGTCGGCGCATCCCCTATGGACGGGCGATGCCCGGGGCCTGAAGGTTGGCGGGCCGGAGGGTTTTGGGCTGGATATGAAGTGGAAGAGTCTGGGACCGTATCAGGAGCCGAGGAGTGTGATTGAGGAGTTTGACAAGGGGACGGCATAGATGTTGGTAAATTCCTAGGTACAAGCATTCAACTATGTTTATGTCTTTAGCTCTGCGAAATAAAGTATTTACTTGACATGGTTCCTATTCATGGATATTTCTTCAAAAGCCGTTCGTATCCGAATGTACACAGTTCAAAGCTCACCCCATCACAGTCGTGCCGTCCCGTTCGAGAGCTTATCCCACTGCTCCTTTCCAAAAGGCGAATAGCTATCCTGACCGGATGCCATCCAGTGGAATTCATCCGCCTGTCCGTGTGGGACCTTGGTCCCAATCAAGGCGGGATCAATTCCCTCGTCGCGAAGAGGCACCTTGTTCTGCTTGTGGTTGTGGATATGCGTGGGATTATCGACGACCCTCAGGAAGATCGGGACAGCGTATCGGGGCAGTTTGGAACGAGCGAATCGTGCAAGAGCCGCGTAGTCAAATGTCTGACGAGCCTCCGGGCTGATTTGGAGAGCGGCACAACCGGCTCGTCCTTCATGGTTTGGCACCGTTACTCCATAGACGTTGGCTTCGAGGACACCGGGGAATTTGCCAATCACCTCGGAAACCTCCGCAGTGGCACTAACGAATGATCAGTTTGTTGTCCATCAAGCCAGGGAATTACATTACTTACACATTCTCGCTCTTCCAGCGGAACGTATCCCCAAGCCGGTCCATGAAGTACCAGCGGCCATCGTTCTGGCGGCGGAGCGCGTCACCCGATCGGTAGTACAGGTCACCCTTCTTGAAGACGTCACGGAGGAATTTCTTGCTCGTGGCTTGATCGTTGCGCCAGTATCCTTGGAACGCTTGTTCGCCGGGGATATTGACGAGAATCTCGCCACCCTGTTCATAGGGAGACCGGACAGCGAAGCCAGTCTTGGGGTCCCGGAGGACGTCGCCAGTCTCCGGATCGATGGCCACCGGCACAAAGACATTGTGCAGCAGACCACGCATTATCAGCCCATGGTGACCAACACTGCCAGCCGTAAATGGACCCCGGTTATAATTGAACAGACCGAAAATACCTTCGGTACTGTTGAAGAACTCGCCCACCTCGGGCACCCCGAACCGCTCGCGGAACTGTTCCCAGACGTCTGGACGGAGGCCATTGCCGTACATGCAGCGCACCTTGTGATTCTTGTCCTGGGGCGATGGTGGCGGTGCAAGGAGATAACGAGCTGTTTCGCCCACGTAGACGAAGAAGGTCGACTCCGAGTCTCGCACATCATTCCAGAAGTTTCGGACACTGAACTTCGGGCCGATTGCAATGCTCACCCCGGTGGTCAAACAAGCGATCATAGCCATAGCTGCCGTACCGTGGTATAAGGGCATGCAGCTATACCAGCGGTCACCGTTGGGCCCGTCTTTGTCTGCCATGGCACTACGGCGGATACCCAACGTAGTATACAGACGGGACATGGTGAACGCACAGCCCTTGGGCATGCCGGTGGTGCCCGAGGTATAGAGCAAGATAGATGGGAATTCACCCGGCATATCCACCGCAAGCTCCTTGGGCGGCGTTGCAGTGGGAAAAGTGCGAATGTGCGACTTGAGAGAATTGTCCAGGGCCATTGGTTTCATTCCCAGTTGGCCTGTGATAGCGTCCCTGCATTCGTCCACCCGGGCCTGGCAGGTCGGGTCCTCATCCACCAGCACCAGCTTGGCGCCGCTGATCTTCAAGCAGTGCAGCAGGGCATCGCCGTTCAGGTTGTAGTTGATTGCAGCCGGGGCGCATCCAATACTCCACAGCCCAATCCATCCAATGATAAACTCCTCTCGGTTCTGGAGGTAGAACGCCACCAAATCGCCTTTCTTCACCCCCTGAGACAAGAAGAAATGGGCATATTGGCATGCCTGCTCCAGGACTTCTCGATAGGTGTAGGACCGGTTGCGTGTCCATAGACAGACCATGTCGGGGTATTTCTTTGCGGTCTCGAGGAAGACGAACCAGACATTTCCGCGGCCTCGGCCGACTGCTCGCAGTTAGCATCAATGCATCCCAAGACAGGTGAGAAGCGTACAAGCACGCGCATGTCCACGTTCACTCTTCTTCAGGTTCACCAGGCTCGATACATCCTTTGCGATGTGGAATTTGGCGTTCAAGTAAGCTGCTACCGTGGCTCCTCCGGCCAGTGCAGCGGCGGCGGTACCTTGATCGTGTCGTCAGTAGTCATAGTCACATCAGGAGCATGTCCACGCACCTAGATCCATGTCTCCGTTTTCTAACACAGTCCAATGTGTTCTATACAATAAGTAAGGAATGAGCGAGGCCAATGGTCGCATGGAAGAACAGACCAAGTTGCCGTTTGCCGACCGACAAAGAACAGCCTCGGTCCCCATAATGCGGGGAAGCAGCATTATCCCTAATGCAGGCATGTAAGCATAATTCCCACCGCCTGGCAGAAACTCGCCTGTCGCCGAGTCCAAGAGGAGGGCGATGATTTACCTGGTCGACACAGAAATCGCATAACAAACGGTCTCGTCAAACCAGTGTGGGCCACAGTGGCAGATCCCACTGTCGATACCTGTGCATCTCCCTAATAAAGTCGAGTTTTTGAAGCTTCACGCCATGTCTTATGTCCACTCTACAAACGACATAGCGTATAGTCCAAGTCGCGGCATCGTGAAATCCCTCATGTAGGTTTAAGTGCTTTAGTAGCTGTGGAAAAGGCATGATCCTTCGGTTGGGCATCTTGTCTACAACGTTAACTTAACCGTCATAGGCATGCCTCCACATACTATGGTCATTGTTGTCCTTTCACGATAAAATGACCAGACGGTCTCGGGAACTGCCAATTATTCTTGCTTTCATCGAACCACTTACCTCGTCATTTCTATCGTGGCTTTGGTATCTTTGCTACCATGGCCGTGAGGAGTGGCTGCGCACTACTCTGCGTTCAAACCCAGCTAGACAGGGGTCGTGAGAGGGGCTGTACTAGCTGCATACATGCCTAAGAATAGATATGAAAAACACGAACCATGTGAGAGTTGTCTTACTGAGTCTGCAGGATTGATCAGGAGCTTTCAGAATCATAGTTGAATAGATATGGCGAGCGCGGTGCAAAAAGGCTCATGTAATGCAAGATAGATGATTAGAATCATCCACTACTCCACAGTCTAGATGGCATCAGCTGTCCCACAGGCCCCCACGACCAGCTGAGCACAATCTGACATTAGTGCTTAGATTCCGTCATCCCTGCAGCACTTCCATCTGTACAAGGGATCTGAATGGAGGTTAGACTTCGGCCCGACCGAAGCAAAGACCTCCATCGTACAGTCACATCTGGCGCAGCAATGGTCAGAATACCACTATTTATCCGGGATATCGGCCTCCCTCCAATCAGACAAATATCCATGCGAACACCCGCCTAGGATTCCACTCCTTGGCACAGTTGGCGCAGTGTACTCTGCTCAACAACCCGCCGTAAGCGCGTCTTGTCCACACCATGATGCCACACCTAAAAGTTGCTGCCTGTGGCTGGGGTTCCTGGAGTGTGGCATAGCCCATTCCAGCTCTCATATTCTTGAGCAAGTCGAATGAACCGCTGTGGCTCAGCTGACCACCGATCCGCTTGGGTGTCAGGCCATCCAGGCATAAAAGCAGCACAATGTCTCCAGCGATTACTATTCTATTCTATTCGCGGTTCAAGTCTATAATTGACTACGACTTGGCTATTGTCCATTGACACATTCAATTTGCCTTATTGCACGTTCTACGCCTCTTACTATCAATGGAGTCCACTACTTCCAGCATCCTTTCAGATATTATTGGGGTTCATCTCCCAGAGATGGGATCTATATATTGCTTTGGAAAATCACAGGCAGGTGCTGGGATTCTCCGACCTTGTGAAAGACCTCTTGGAAAGGCGAGGATAGTCAGAGCTCGGGAAATCCTTGGGCAATCTTTGACCTGTCTCCAACGAGATGGCGACAGTTACATCAAGGAATTAGCAGATCTGCTTATTCACCACGGCCACGTATATGATGCCAAATCTACTATGACTACCATATGGAATGCCAAAGTGGAACATCACCAGTCACAGCTGGGAGATCCCAGTGAATATATCTGCACGAGGTCACCGCAAGTCAACTCTTGCAGCGGAGCTCGCAGGAGTGATGATATTGTCGAGGACCTCGAATTCCAAGCCTCGTCTCGTGCGCCGACTATTATTTCATCCATTTCCATAGTACATGAGGAGGCCTCGAATGTCAACCCAGATCGTCGTGGTCCTTATATCGAATATGACCGGCTCACGGAAGAAGAAGCCGTTGAAGAGCCCATGCAACTCCCAATTTCAGAAGTTCCCAATATCGAGTGCCACAGTCTTGTTGGTATTCGTGAGCGCGTGGAATCCGAGTTTGAGGCGGTGACCGAACACACTACTAATAGCTGCTTGTCGGGATCTTCTACTATTCTTGTCTGTATCTGCAGTCTCCTCCAGATCAAAGTGGACAATACTCAGGTCCATGATGATGCAGGCCATGCAAGTAAACAAACTGTTGTTGAATTCAAGTTCCAGATGGATCTTCTGTATTCCCTTCGAGACCGGGTTGCAATTATGGCGCCTTGGTTGATAATGGTGGTGATGCTTTTTGTGCAATTGTCCTGTCTTCTGTTTTGATTGGGGTCATCTTTCTTGTTTTTTGTCAACCTTTCTTTGTCTCTTGTTTTTTATATATACCCTGGGAGATTGGCGATGGACGAAAACCGCGCGGACAAAATGCATATTTTCAACAATGTGCTTTTTTACCGTTAATTGTCTGAATTTGATATTCTATAAAGACATTCGTATTCTTATTATCATCGTAATTCTTTCATATAGTGCTAGGAAATACTGTTCTGGACAATTGAAATATAGTTTGCCGTCTTGTCTTTCCGGCGAAAGGCTCGTTTTTTTCTGCGCTTCCTTTCTAAGAGCCCTCCTCTGCACGGAACGTTGGAATGAGAAAGCGAACTGAGGCCTAACAGGAGATGGATATACGTATGGTGAAAAGAAGCTATCAAGAAAGCTACTACACTATATACAGAAAGCCGATCAACAAATGGAGCAAGCGATAATACCTAACAAACTCAATCCCGGTTTATTGTGGGCCCCCAGCAGGACCATTGTAGTCCCAATAATTAGCACCCTGAGAGCTGCAGGAGGTGCCAATGATACAATTGTACCCACCGCCCACGTTGTTGGAATTGGGCGAACGCATGATCAAGGTACTGCCGGAGGGACTAAATCCAGTGCAGTCATTATACGCTCCATTCTGGACGGTATACGCGGTATGAGCTGTGTTGTACCAGACGCACACGGTGTCGTTGCTGCTACCAGTACAGGAGTATGTGTCCCCAGTCGTCCAGCTCACGCTCACGGAAAAGCCACCCGTAAGCCATTCAAACGCAGTGGCAGAAGCGGTCCAGCCGATGGTATAAGAGATACTCTCCGACTGACCGACTGTACAGCTTGATGCCTCGCCGCAATTGACATTTTCCTAAACGGGACACTCGTTAGCTGGCCGATCTCACTCACAGCCTCTATTAGAACCAGATTTTGTAAGACACTCACACTAAGCTGTGTGTGGAGATAGTTCTGGTGCGGATCTCCATCCCCGACAATCTGGGTGCTGGAGCTCCATTGACCGCACGGAGCCTGTCGCTTGTGCATAGGCATCTCGTTCCGCTGAACTATGTTGGTCGTTTCCGTCTCAGGCGCCTTGTTCTGGGCAAGAATGGTGCGGAAAGCGGCCTGCAAGCTAGGGATATTCCCACTGTTGAAGCAGCTTGCCTTCTCCCCGTTACTGACTGGGGTCAACGGAAGAGAAGTAGGCAGGGGAACAGCACAGAGGATGAAACTCTCGACATCGTTATATGTTCGGTGGCAAGTGATACCACCAGAGGTCTCAGGATTTTCGTTAACGATATACATTTGGTTGCCAACAGCAAGGGTGCCGGCACCATTCTTGTCTAAAGTAGCGGTGATGGGCTTTTCAGCAAAGGCACCCGAGTTGAGGATATTAGAACAAGCATGACCCAGGACCTGAGAAGATTCCTGGCTCACGACCGTGATGTCCATCTCAGAAGTAGCCTTGATCTGCTGGATCATGACATCGACCTTCTGAGCCTTCTGCTTGTCATGAGGAACGGCCAAGGCAATGGGCACAAGCCCTACGATGGCGGGAATAGCCATCAAAAACCTCATATTGGTTAACAATTTCTGGATGGATTTCTCAAACGGTAATTAAACAGTAATATGATTGGGTGCTCATTCTGTTCTCACTTTGGACGACGTCGAACTCCCTTTTATATTTCTCCGATTTCATAATTTTTTTCAGACCCCAAGTTCGGCTACTGCGATACGATGTAGCAAACCAGATTGTGGAGAGCCGAAGCCAAATCGATTGAGCTAACGCCATCGAGGAATTGGTCACAGAAGCAGGATCCTGAAGCCGTCACAAAGACCACTTGACTGCTGCTAAAGACACAAAAATGAGTGGGTCAAACATTGGACCCCAATGTCCGCGCTCAGGCACCGTCAACCTCCATTCTATTATCATGGCTATCTTCTCCGTCTCCGCTGTCAAGTTTTACGCCACCTCCTTTTTTAGGGCTATGCACGAAATAACCTTTGGCCCCAACTGGAAACCGTCCAATGTTTCGTACTTATCCTATTCCTGAAGGAACCACTCAGCCCACAGTATTTTCATGAAGAATTGTGTTGATCGACAGTCTGCAAAAGAAAAGCACTGTTCGTATTCTTTCTACCTGCCTTTTTGGGTGCTTACTGCTTAAGCTGTTACAGTGGCCGGTGCAGGATCCGGTCGATCTTCCAGGGCAACTCGTGGCTTTTGTGGACAGTGTTCCAGCGTATACCCGAGTGTATTTCATATAATCGAGAGAACGGGGGACTCGAACCTTGTAGAGCTTGCATCCAGGGAGCGAGGAAGAGAGAAAGGGGGGGGGAACTAGAAGAAGTTGCTCTATTCTCCATGAAGCAGCTCGTTGAAGAAAAAGAGGGCAGGGTAATCTCATTTCCTTACAATAGAAAAATACAATAATAACGATATAATCATAATGTACGTAAAGGATCTCCGAGGTAGTATGTATCTGTGGTCGAGCAATGGCGGGGCGCAATGCTAAGCATGCAGATCTGCAGTCTGCCTCGTATCCTGGGTCGGGTTGTCGGAACGGCGGGGCTTCGCCACGCCGGGGTCGCAGGTGAGCATGTCAGGATAATGGAACCTAGGCGGTTGTTCTTAATAATCTTCATACCGCAAGTTTTCTTCACGAGCTGTTACCGACGGGCTAAGAGGATTCGATAGGCTGACTGTCGATGCAGCACCTCAAGACGGCCACTCTAATCATTCCTTCCCTAGAACTCGAATGAAACAATTATGGTCACGGCTCAAAGCTAACACTCCGCATTGAGATCTATCTATCACAAGTAACTAAACCAATTCTATCCGAAAGATGCTATGACACTCTTATACGTAGTAAAACTAGAACTACTGATAGACGGAACAGATGCTCGGAGGCTATAGGAGTGCTCGCTTTGATGCCGTTAGCGATCGTACAAGTGGCGGAGTATATTAGATGCCAATCACCGCGCTGCTCAGTGTCACAGTACCCCTTGCAATTGTAACGGAACGCACATAGACGATCAAAACTTTTAAGCCACGAGGCTAGACATGCTCAATGAGATAGTTAGGGATGCAGACGACTCCATCTTGGCTATTTCGCAAATCTCTTTTGACCTTGTCTCGAAGATCAAATGTTCTGTAGTAGGCCGCCTGTCTTTAATGAGTTATCTCAACCTATATAGGCAGTCTCGGAAGGTCTTCTACGCATACGATCTGAACGTGCCAATGGATGTCCAACGTGTTGGAGTCAAACGTCTCGTTCGGGTACTTCTCGCTAGCTACTCTAAGTTTACGGCTGTAGATTGCCCACATCTCCATTATCTTTAGCTGCTTTATATGGAGCAATGGGCTAATAGGATATATGGTGAATTTCTTTAGTAAATGAGATTGCCTTCTTGGTTCGGAGACGTTGAACTCTTGTCATTAGCGATCACGCTGCCTTTACTTTATCAGAGGCGGAATCCAAGTCTTATGCCGACCCGAACTCGGGCTACGACCTACATTGTTTACATGCTAATAAATCAGCGGCTCTTAAATCCTTCACCCACCATTCCTTACACCGGATGGGGGATCAACAGACCCGCTGCACGGACCAGCTTAGCATTGGAGCGAGTGCAATTGGCCGAAGGAACGCCAGTGGAGCCAGGGCGGTTGATGATGCAATTGACCAACGAAAACGAATGGACTGCGTTTAAGCCCCCTCGCACGAAAAATATGAGTCTGCATGTCAGGGACGGCGAACTGCGCCTGTTCCTGGCGAACCCCGGAGACGAATTCACCCGATCTTCGGTTGAAGACGGCAGATAGAGTTAAATGATTCCGAGACGATCGCCGAGGGAAACCAGGGCTAGACTGTTGGGGTCAACTCTTTCCGCTTGGTTAGTTAAACTCAGCCATTGATTGGGCTTGAAAGATCCCCACCGGGTTGTCGTCGGTGAACGATAATGTCGCTGCCCCTCGTCGAGTCATTCTTTTGTACTTCTCCAGCCATTCTCCCATCGTGCTTTTCACCCCTCCATCACAATGTCGCTCCCTCTTCGCCGGTCTCTGCCCCGGACAATCCTGCGGTCCTACGGGACGGTCCAGACTCCCCCCAGCAGTGCGGCGCTGGCGAGTCGCATTCCCGCAGCCCTGGCCGAGGCCACCGCGGCCACTAGCCCGCGCACCAACTGGACGCGGGAAGAGGTGCAGCAGATCTACGAGACCCCGTTGAACCAGCTCACCTACGCGGCGGTACGTATTCATCATTCCACCACGATGGACGCCATCTCTAATTAAACCCAGGGCGCCGTTCACCGACGATTCCACGACCCCTCCGCGATCCAGATGTGCACGCTGATGAACATCAAGACGGGTGGCTGCAGCGAGGACTGCTCCTACTGCGCCCAGTCATCACGCTACGACACCGGCCTGAAAGCGACAAAGATGAGCCCCGTGGACGAGGTGTTGGAGAAGGCGAGAATAGCCAAGGCGAATGGCAGCACGCGGTTCTGCATGGGCGCCGCCTGGCGGGACATGCGCGGGCGCAAGACCAGCCTGAAGAACGTCAAGCAGATGGTGTCGGGGATCCGCGAGATGGACATGGAAGTGTGTGTGACGCTAGGCATGATCGACCAGAACCAGGCCAAGGAACTGAAGGAGGCCGGTCTGACGGCTTACAACCACAACCTCGATACCTCGCGCGAATTCTACCCGTCCATCATCTCGACCCGGTCGTATGACGAGCGTCTGCGGACGCTGGACCATGTCCGTGATGCGGGCATCAATGTCTGCTCCGGTGGGATTCTGGGACTGGGCGAGACGGACTCCGACCGTGTGGGCCTGCTGCACACCGTCTCCAGCTTGCCTGCCCACCCAGAGTCGTTCCCCGTGAATGCCCTCGTCCCAATTCCCGGAACGCCCCTGGGCGACCGCAAGATGATCCCCTTCGATCGCCTGCTTCGGACTATTGCCACGGCCCGCGTTGTTCTACCTGCGACCATCGTTCGTCTCGCTGCTGGCCGTATTGCGCTCTCAGAGGAGCAGCAGGTTGCCTGTTTCCAAGCTGGAGCCAATGCGGTGTTTACCGGAGAAAAGATGCTGACTACGGACTGTAATGGATGGGATGAAGACCGTGTTATGTTTGATCGCTGGGGATACTATCCTATGAAGAGCTTCGAAAAAGGCAAATCTCCATTGGCTGCATCTGCTCCGACACCCTCTGCCCAGCCTGATGCCCCTGCTGCGCCGGCCGCAGCCAGCTCATAGAATTACGATGTGTTATTGCTAGCTCACTGACAAAATAAAAAGTTTCAATGGCTGCTTCTTTTCCAATGTTGCACAAGGGTGTTTAGAGACGGACACATAGTTTGATGGTTGATGCGTAGTGAGTGGCACATGTCGGGAGATATCGACCTGCGTGCGCATGGGTGTAGGCCACGGGCCGGAACTGCCATGTAGTTTCTATTTTGTTTCAGCATATGCGAGACGTTCATCTAGAACTCTTTATATTCATCACTTCTATTCTAAGACGGTTGATCTAACTTCCGCTCGTATATATTTGCAAATAAAAATCATCACAGGCCATAACAGGCTCATCGTATCATCAGGCATCGAATGGCATCACAACAACACTGGGCCACGAGGACTACCACCACACGCAACGCCAATTCACCACAGAGGCATATTGGCCGTGTTCACATAATCGACATTATCAGCCACCGACTCAATGCGGTCATGGCAAGTCCCAAAGATTTTATCCCACAGACGAGTCTGTTTACCGTAGTTATGACTCTTGCGCCAACCCTTACGGTGATGCAGATCATGATCCTCAATCACAATCTCCGCATCAAACATCTCAAGCAACCAGCTCAGTGTCGATGGAACAGTCAGATGCAGCCTCAGCCCGGAGTGTCCAAACACTTCCGCGAAAGCAACGTACTCATGGCAGATCCACCACTCATAGAAGCCCATAGGCAGGCCCATCAGCCGGAGACTGAGATAAGTCATCATCGGCACGCCGACCATATCGAAGAATTCCTGCTCATGGTCTGCATACGCAGCGAGGAGCGGATTCGGGTGTTTCGTTAGATGGTGCGTGCGGTGGTACTTCCACAGGAAGCTCACGTCGTGCATCAGGCGGTGGTACCAGTAGAACCAGAAGTCGAGGATGATACCATACAGGCCTATCTCGAGGGGAAGCCAGAGCCAGTTCATCTGCGAGGGCAGCTGTGTTTTGTTATAAGAGAGGTAGATTGATAGGATCAGCCGAGACCCGGTCGTCTTGTAGAGCGAGGCTACGACTTTGCCGATCCCTACATCGGGGACACCATCGCGCTCGTGTTTGTCGCCGTCAAGAAAGCCGAAGATGTGGCCGAGTCGCCGGAGGACATGTACTTGGTAAATGACAGTCGCATTGAATGCCATGAAGTAGAGGTTAAAGGCCGCGATCGGACCTATTGTGCGGCCTGTGTAGGCCATATATGTCTGGTGTAGAAGCAATGGTAGGGCTGAGTAGAACAGAACCCAACGCTGAAGTGACCATTGAGTCATGTATGGAATAGGTTCCTCTTTAGTGTGCACCGGCACATCCTTGTCCAGCTCGATCGGATAGGCGTTCATCAGGTGTAGAACCCAGTGGTTGTGAGTCCATTCTTTGCGGTCCGCAGTCCGCCACGTGGACCGCATCGAGTCCTTCGATAAAGACTTGGTATCCATGGCTGGGGTTGAGTAGAGTATTTTGTCTCGTTAATTGATGGTCCATATTGCTTTATTATATAGCACGCTGCGATGGGCCATTCGGGCCTACAGCAGCATGTGAAGGGTAGGCGATGACGCCGAAAGACACGCTGTGTGGATCTACTTCCCCCAACAAAATGGGGTAGATCTGTTGAAGCGAACATGAGCGGACCCATCGTGGCCAAAACGGGACCCATCGGGTTGGAACATGTGAAGCGGAAACGGATCAACCCCGCAAGTTGAGCCTCGGACTCCTCGGATAAAGTTATTATTTCTGGCCAGAAGAGGAAAACAAGCTAGCCGCTTTCATAGATTGTTGCGAGCGAATGATAGCTGCAGAGGTTGGAGCCTCATCATAGTGGTTAACTAGCAGTTAAGGCTGCTTCATCTCCTATGTGACACTACCGCTTCCTAGACATTGTCCTCGTAAATGCCAAGGACGAATAATATTTTCCCGGAGTGTACTCGAGCGCCGGGCCTGTTGTCCCAGTGGATTTGGCGAAATCGGCGAAGGACGATCGATGAAGGATCAACGGAGCGTTCGATATGTTTTAGATCATCCAGGAAATAGAGTCCAAAGTTGATGAAGTGTTTGGCCGAAGACTCCCGTTTGACCCCTTCAATGCCCAACAAAATACCGCCATGGACATTGAGCTTGGTCGACAGCCTATCTCCATGACCACTGCCTTCGTAGCCACCGTACCAGTATCGATTCGTCGTTTAGGAGACGGATCCAGCTACAAATCCATCAGATTGTCTCTTCGCCCACGAAAGTCCAGAGAATCCTGCCCGAAATAACCGCGCCTATCACAACCTGACTCCCAAATTCCTCTACGAAGCTGAACGGCATCACCGCGCTCGTCCTGACCGGCAACCTCAACGCTGTGTACGCAAACCACGGCACACACACGTAGAGCCAGGCAAGTTCCCACAGAAAGCCTAAGGAACCCATTGGTTCCAAGGGAGACGTTCCGCATACTCGAGTTCTGTAAACGTCCTCCAGCGTGATCATGACGGGAATTGTGATAAAGAACAGAAATATCGCTCCTAGGCTGTCAGGGACACCTGCATACGCTGCACTCATCAGGTGGAGAAGGCCAGACAAGGAGAAGACCAGAAAGAGATCAATAATCTTTTGTGCTTGGCGAGAAGATGAATTGCAGAGTCTGAGACAACGCCGGATATATCCGCTAAGGGTCACCAGAGGCCAACGTAATAACTGATGCCAGAATTTCCTGCAAAAAAGAACTGATAAGCAAATACAGTAAATATATATATTCATATAATTTTACACGTATTTCCCCAATGGGAAAAAATAAAAATTTGAAGCAACTTACGCCCAGAAAATTCGGATGCTGAACAATTGTAAATGTCGCATGCTACCAAATAGCGGTGGCCAGTCCTTGGGAGAGGTCAACTCCAAAAGAACAGAAACCGTGGCAAGACCCCCGTAAATCAGCGCGAAAAGTAACCGCAGATTGGCCACTAAGATACAGGAGAGCGGAATCCGGGCCATCAACTGCTCCTTGGTTGAACCAGGGCCAAGATACTCCGCCCCTGCCGCCAAAGCGTCGGGCCAATTGCGGTGAAAATACTTCAATGCCCCAAAATTCAAGAGGTCAAGGGCCAAATACTGCCAACCCAGAACAATTATAGTTTTCGCGATATATTGACCTTTAGGAGGTTCTCGACAATGTGGCCAGGTTTTCACCTCCCACGGCGTCCCAATTCCACGAGTACTTGTCACGCAGTTCAGACCAGCACAAAGGCGGGTGAAAGAGGAGCCGGATGCTGTGTCAATTAATTGGTGGATTTCCAACCGAAGGATCAGGAAGAGGCTAATGAAATGGAGAAGTTTGACGATGCAGGAGAATGCAATCACTCCTCGCAGTAATTCCGGCCCAGGTAGAAAAGACAGCAAGCGGATTTCGAGAATCGCGAGAACGAAAAGGCAGAGGATACTTAATTGTCGTGAGGATGATTCGCGGGTGGTGAAGGCCAGAGCAGTGGAGGAAACTAGGTACTCGCAGAACACAATAGCCCCCAGCGCCCAGAGGCACGACATGATGATGCAGTTGTAGCAGTCAGTAGACTTTTTGCGTTCGCGGCGAAAAGTAGATCAGTGTTAATGTTGCGGCCAATTCTCCAGATTCCAATTTAACAAAGCTGGTCGTACAGCTAATCCTCTATATATCGTATCCCTGCGACTCGGATACCATTCATTATGGCTTTTTCCCCAACCGGCTTGTGGAATTTTTTTTCTCGACCCCCTTGCAGAATGCAGCTTCCTTGCAGAATACAGCCTTTGGATCTTCAAGCCATAAATTTCGCGCCCACTTTTCTATTGCATCAAAAAAACCTGCCCAAAGTCAGTCGAAAAAGACTGAAGAAAACAGATGGCAGATTCATCCAACAGCACCTGTCGTTCAGGTGGACAGCCGATTCTCTTGTCTTCCATTATTTCGTGTCAGGATGGATTCTACTGTATGACTCTTGTCTTCTCCAATTGGTCCCATATACCTTCGTGACAACTTCCAGGCCCATCCAATAACGAACAACACCGGCCGGTGTATTGTCCCCCGTCGCCCGACTGCCTCCTGACCCGACTCCAGAGCAGTGACAACTTATGCACCGCACCCCAAGGAAATTTCGAGCCGGTAGTATGTATGCCAGGGTTCTATTGTCCACCTGGCAAGAAACAGCAGATTGAGTGTCCACGTGGGCATTTTTGCCCTCTAGGGACGGCAACTCCATTCAAATGCACGGCCTTGTCAATATGCACTGCAGGCAGCTCTCATCAGACCCCACTATTGGGACTGTTCCTTTGCCTGTTGCTTGATGTGTTAATGTTAGGGATGTGTATTATTCTGCGATCTCCGTTGCCGTTAAGAAGGTTGACGCGATATCTTCGCTTAAACCAATCTCGTCCTCCTCCCCAAGCCGATGAGAACGGTTCAAAGGCCGATCCTCCTGGCTTACAGCAGTTTCAGGACTTTTTCACCGGTAACGAAATCCATTCCATTTGCCTGGATATTAATTTTACCGACATTTGTCTCCATCCACGACGTTCACGACGCAAGATCCTGTCTGGTCTGCAGGGGACCATCCATTCCGGCTCGGTTCTCGGTATCATAGGAGCTTCAGGCTCTGGTAAATGTGAGAACCGCTGACTCCTCATCTTAGAGATAAAAGTTAAACATTATATACCACAGCAAGCTTTGTTAATATCCTATCAGGGAGGATACAGCCTACTCAGGGATGGATCTCTATTAATGGCCTCAGAAGTCAACCTGCTGAGTGAATTCCCCTTCTATCTTCACAGAACAAAAGTTTAGATACTAAACATCCCATTTTTGTTGTCTATCGTACAATAGGTTAAGAGACTTGATCGGATTTATTCCGCAACACGATACAGTTCTTCCCGATCTTACCGTACGCGAGAATATCCTATACTCCGGTCGTGTGCTACTTGGTGGGCAGCTGCCTGATCAGAAAATTCAAGAATACGTAGATTTTGTGATCTATTCGCTGGGACTAGAGAGTATCCGTGATCAACTTGTCGGCGGTCTTCTGAAAGAGGGAGGACGAGGTATATCTGGGGGGAGTATAAGCGCGTGAGTATCGCCCTCGCACTGGCTGCCGCACCCAAGGCCTTGATCTTGGACGAGCCAACCTCAGGTCTGGATGCGACGGCCGCACATTCTCTGATGAAGCTTCTGCACTCGATCTCCCGTCAGGGGATCATGGTGATTTGCGTGATCCACCAGCCACGCGTCGAAATATTTCATCTGCTGGATGATGTTCTCGTTCTGAACGCCGGGACGCAGGTATATCTTGGAAAAGCAGCCAAGGCGCAGTCGTTCTTCGAGACGCTAGGCAACAAGTTTCCCGTTGCATCAAACCCAGCGGATGTGATCCTTGATGTCTTATTAAACCATCCCCATACCCAGGGTGGTGAAGAGATCTCTCTGCGGGTATCAATAGAGGAAAACCCATCTCCCGAAACCGGAGCAGCAGAAGCCCTGACCGCGCTCTATAAGACCATCAAGCAAAGGAGAGCGTCCTGGCCTCGCCAACTTTGGCTCGTCTTTTTCAGGAGTATAGTCCAACAGAGCCAACAGACGACAGGCCTTGCTCTGGAGATTGTATCCAGCGCAGTCATTGGTCTCATGATCGGATTAGCCGCGTTTGAATCCAGAGGCCACTTCTTCCAAGGGATCTATCACCATCCATTTGACCTCCTTTCCAGTGCGGTTGAATATCGTCTGATAGCCGAACAGGGTCTCTTATGTTGTCTTGCGATAGGTAAGGCTTCTCGTTCTTCTTCGACCTCATTTCCGTTGGCTAATGAAATGTCCTGATCCCAGCTTGTGCGGCTGGACCTCCGGGAGTTAAAATATTCGGGGAGGAGAAGTTGACGTTTTATCGAGAATCTCAGTCCGGTCATTCTCGTAGCGCTTATTTTCTAGGGAAAAACCTGGCCGTCTGTTTCCGAATGTTGGTGTCGTCCTTACATTTTACGGCATTTTACTTGGTTCTAGCGGCTCCCATGATCCCGTTTCAATCGCAGCTTGGTCTTGGCTTCTTATACTTTTACTGTAACTTGCCATACTCCAAATCTTTATTCTTTTCCTTCAGTTAATCTTCATCCCAGGCATATATGGGCTTGGGTTTGTTGTATCGGCCGTCACGCGGAGAGAAGATGGACCACTGCTGTGCATGTTACTGAGTCTCATCATCTCAGCCCTGAGTGGGTGTGCTCCCCGGCTATCAACAGTGCGGAAGTGGCATCTGGCATGGTTTTGGTACTCATGGCCAGCGGTAAGCTATGATTATATTCCTTAAAATCAATCCGGACTCAAGCGAGACTTACATATCATTGTTGTCAGACTTGGTTCTCAGAAGCATTCTACCAGGAGAATACGGCTCCCCTAGCCTACCTTTATGACATCCAGGACGCTGCCAACTTCACTGGGTACAGGACAGATAGAACGGAGATGGATATGGGGTATGTATATATCCGTTAATGTAGATTTTGCAACAGTGGCACTAATTTCAACAGATTTCTTGTCTTGATTGGGACCCTGTATCGAGCATTATCTTATTTACTTTTTGTATTCTGGGGGTGGAAATCACAACGGTGATAGCTTAGAAAGCTCCCTGTTGTTCATTGACTGGAACAAATTTACATGCTGCTATAAGACTCCCTCATTTGGAAGTAGGTTGAAGTTATCGGCTCCCCAACTTCCAGCGCCCTCTTCAACACCGGGTAGGCCCATGGGCGCCAGCTCCAGAAAGAAAATATCACCACCCAGAGATATCCAATAATTCTCTTCGCGGCCGTATCCTTTTGCAGCACGCCATATCTCTTCGATAGGTATTTGGCCACATCCTCTACCGCAAATGCAATTGGCTGAACAGGAAGGAATACCATGGCGCCTGTGTCATCCAGAGATATACCGATCGCTATATCAAGTAAGAGATGGATCATTCCGGAAACGAAAAAGCAAAGGAAGTAGCGCACGTAGCGATAAGTTATCGTGTTTGGACGAAGAGGGAATACAGAGATGATGAAGTCCGCATTGGAAGGGAGGAAACTGCGGAATGATTGATGCCAAAATTGCCTTTATTTATGGATACCTTGTTAGCACTCACGGACAAGGAAAAGGTAGACTATATGGACACTCACCCCCAGAACCTCCGAATCGACCATGCTTCTCGGGCCGATGCTTGAAATGGAGGCCAGTGTGCGGGAGAAGAGAGATGGAGGAATACTGCGGCGACCGAGAGAAGGGCATAGATAGCTTTGTGCAGCAAGAAGATAGTTATAATGAAGAACAAAAAGAGATGGATCTGGGTGGGCAAAGTCTGCCAGGATGCATTGAGTAGGAGACTTCTCTTGTCCAAGAGGGAAAAGATATCATTCTGCTTGGGGATCCAGTCCAAATAGGAGCAGATCAAAAAGAGGAAGAGCGCCGTACAGCAAATGAGGACAATGCTCCGGAATCTCTCTCGGAAAAATTTCCCTCTCGTGGGAATCTTCCCTGGGTTGCCATCAAAGCTATATACCGGGATAATTTGCCATTTGGTATCGAGGCGGCGGAAGTTATTAGGAATGGACAAGGCGAACCAGATAGCATCACCGATCGCAATTGATCCTCTTTCCTTCTTCCACTCGATGTGTTCTGTATAGTTGATGCGTCTATGGACAAGAATATCATGGCTATTGAAGACCTGGATCCAGGCGCCCATCGCCAGGATTCCCCGCAGAGGGATGGGGACATTAGGAGCGTGTTGGATGGCATTTTGAATGGACAAGGCGAGTCCCAGGATAATCGCGATGGCTGGAAGACGCAAGGGGGAAGTAGCGGAGGTGAAAGTGGTCATTGATCCAAGGATAAGATGGATCAGCATATACTGACTGCTGACCTTGACGGTGGCTAGGACGGATTGAAGATGTCCCATTTGGAAGGTCCGGGTGACTAGACCCCGGAGAGTTTTATTCAGCTGTTCTTCGATATAACGTGAGAGAAAAATGAGAGAAAGAAAGAAAGAAAGTTAACCGCAATTCAAGAAATTTTTACTATTTCCATTTACGTTATAAACTTCTCCATTTCAAAAACCCTGCTCCATACCAACGTAGATTCCACTTTTCGCTCGCCCCCACCCACCCCCCACCCACCCCCCTGCCTCTTTCCTTCCCCCCCCCCCTTGCACCTGTGCAGATCGACGAGATCTGCAGAAGCCACGGAGTCAGAATTTGGTTAAGCTGCATTAATGACTTGAAAAAGAAGAGTTTCCTTTTTTAAACCAATATTGCAAGTACCATAATCCCAATTCAAATTTGACGATGGGCCATTCATTTTATCAAACTCTACTCTTCTCCACTCTCCCATGGCTAAGTCTATTCTGGGTGTTAAAGATCATAGATGATAAATCGTCATACATTATTCTGTCAATATTGAGCTGCACAATTGCTCTGATGTACCAATGTCACATTTACCCAGTCTATACAACACCTTTTCGATCCCTACCTACCCCACAGGCAAGTTTCCCTTACCCTATATTCTCCCAACCCGAAACATAATAGAGGCTGATAGAGAGGAGTGCCATCGTAGTCTCGGAGCTATTGGCTAGGCAATCATTCCAGCCCCGTTAGATTAATCGGTCAAGAGCTTCCCCAGCTTTGTACTGAGTTCCTGGGCGAGCAGATCATCAGGTATTACACCTTCTTCAGCGTAGAGATGATTCTCGTCCTGGGCCCAGAAGCCATCTCTGAGCTGTGTCTCCAACAATCTGCCAGCTTTTCGCACTCAAAAACTGTCGAGCTTCTCGCACAAGCCGGGTTAGGATACAGCGGGTTGCTTGCCGCAAGAGGACAAACACACAAAGTACGTCTCTGCAGAGGATGAACAACGTTTCTCATTTTAATTATTTTCTTTGGAGACTTTAGCCATGAAATTTTGGTTGACAATCCTCAAATAGCGCCTCCGCAAACTCTTTTCACAGGTGTTCACCCCCAGGACGTTGGCCAAGATAGCCAACCCCTTGTGGGAGAACTGCCTGGCAATGATTCGAGACATTGACCAACATACAGCGTCCGTACAGATTGGCCAATGGACATCACATACCGTTCTAGAACTCTCGGGCATTTGCGTATTTGGTCAGGACCGCGAATGGTTGGCCCGGTACCCAGATCTTCTCGGAAGCTTGGAGCGCCGAGTGGCAACCGGACACATCAAGAAGATGGTCCTTTCCATCTTCCCTAGGCCCATTCGTTCTCTTGTGATGTTGACCCTTTTCGGTCGCAAAGAGTTATCCGATCTGAGGTATCTGGAACATGTCGCGCGTGACTTGGTTCAGATCGAAAAGCGAAAGTTCACGAAGTCTATTAAGCCCGGTTGCCCCCCCAACCTCATTTCCGTTATGTTGGAAGATGGGAACCTTTCCGAGGAGCAAATCCTAGGCCACATCCTCATTTTCCTCGTCGGGGCCTCGGAGACCACCTCCGCGACGTTCCAGTGGATGATCCTCGAGCTTTGCAGACACCCAGCGGTTCAGGCGCAGCTCCGAGACGAACTTCAATTGCGCTGGTCGTCACTATCCAAAAATGACAGCGATAAGTCCCTCTTTTCGCAAATCGAAAGCTTCCCGTATCTTCGGGCGGTCGTCGATGAATTGCTCCGTCTGCATCCAGCGGTCGTGTTGACGGAGCATGAGGCGACTCATGACACCACGATTATGGGTTTTCCGATTCCCAAGGGAACGTTGTTATTATGTCCTCCTCTGGCAGCAAATTTAAACCCTCAAGTCTGGGGGAAGGACGCCGCAGCCTTCAACCCTGATCGTTGGCTGGTTAGGGGGCCGGCAAGCCAGAAGGCAATCAGTCAGCATCCTTGTGCAAATATGACATTCTCCAATGGTCCACGGAGCTGTCCCGGTCGGTCTATTGCGAGATTGATGCTGACTTGTTTAACGGCCGCATTTATCAGTCACTATCAAGTTTCACTGAAGGATCCAGAGCAATCTTTTGCGCCAACCGAAGCAGTGTATGCGAAACCAGTGCCTGAATTGACAGTTCAATTGGTCAAAGTGGCCTAATTAATCTAGGAGTTGGGATGTTTTAGCTAACCTTGTCTGGGAGACGAAGGAGACGAAAGCAATACAAAAGGATTGAGCAATGAGCAACTCCCATGACTAGTAGCCGCGAACGCTTAAAAAGGGCAAAGGTGAAGGCGGCCTCAAAGTACGAATTATTGCATCCCAGTTGAAAATATGTCGACATGGAAGGTTTATTTCTCCTGGCTGGAAATATCGATTTGGTCTAAAAACGTTTATCCGCGATGGGGACTTCAGGGTGACGTGATGGGAGAAACGATATTATGGAGCTCCAAGTTGACTACTACTTGCAATTTTTTGAGTGAGAAATAGCCATTCCCTTGGACACGTTTAGGGACAATATCCCACATCTCCTATTTCTCCCTGCCACACAAAGTGGACGACATCAACAATTGTCCGTAGAGTAACCGGATTTAGAAGATTTCGCGCGCTGTCGGCTAACCATGCTAAATGCGACTTGGGTGAAGACCGGTACAGATAATAATGTGCGTCCATCTCAGCTCGTGTCTTCGTAACCCGAGGCCCGTCATCTCCTATGGTAGAATACACTGCTAGCGCTTTCAGGAGCTGTTGATATCTGCCTCCGGTCACAGAAGCGTATTTGCAAGTTGGGTAACTCTTCACTGTAGACATCCCGCGAACCAATTCGTATAACTTGTGATGGGATGCCATAACAGCCCAGTTACAGAAGCTCATGACCACGATAGCACTTAGCGGTGAAGACTGGATGACATCGTATGCTTGCTCCACACATGACGATATCAACCCATCGAGGTACCTGCAGATACATCCACGGATACCCCTCAGGACCGTGTTTTCTCTTTGCTTCCGCATCGTGTCGCTGCGAAAATCAATCAGGTCGTTGATAAGGCTGCACACGCTGGTCAATCGCATGTATTCTTTTTCAGTGATTTCCGCGCCAGTGGCAACCGAAGCAGCCATCGTGCCAATGTAAATCGCGACGTCGATATGTCGATGGACGTTGTTTCCCGTCATACGACTACCGTATAGGCCTCCAGGAATATTTGCTCGAGCGTGGTCTCGGTAGTAACCAAGGACCCGAAACTGGATTGTTGAGGCAACATGGTTGTCGAATTGCCAGTCGGTGAGCACTCCCGCCAGAGTACTCAGTTTTAAAAACATCATAGCTGCTCCTCCAACACGCTGTAGTAGCGCAATGGTCTCTTCATCGGCTGCCTCACAGTAATCTCCGATCAACACATCGTTTCCTGAATCTGCGATTGCTTGCAGAAGCCCCTCGTCAAGATAACCTGCCCCGCAAGCCATGGCAAAGAAGTATTTGGCATCTGCACAGAGTTTCACCTGTTCGTAGGTCGGGTATAACCGGTTATGAGTGGAGCTATCGGAGTCATAACGTGTACTTGGTCGTCGATCGGGTGCCTTGACTTCTGGGAGAGCAGTGACAGAGCCATGGCAAAAACTAGGAGCAGTCTGCTTATCGGAATGGCTTAAGATCAGCTCTGTAATAGCTTTCTGAAGCTTTTCGGTGGTGAAGAGATTTCGTTTATTCCATTCGTCCTCTCGTTGTATAACCACCTCCGATGCACGTATCATTTTCCGGATCACACCACATTCGGTCTCTTTCAACATCATATCCACAGTTGCATCCTGTGGAACAGGGTAGAGCCCAGTGCATGTGCAATCGGTGCGGGAATCATAATGCTGGCTAAGGATATCTGTCTCTTCACAAGATGGAGGAATTTTTCCTCCAAGAACCACTCGCCTGGCTAGGATCTGGAGTCGCACGCCCCTCACGATCTGATGGAGTAACTTATCATCTTGCAGTTGGTGAATATTCTCATTGCTGAAAAGAAATGCGATGTCTTCAGCGTTGAAACGTGGTGGTGCAGTGGAGTCGACATGGTTAACGAACGGAATTGAGAGCCACATATCAACCCACTTGCGGTACACAGAGAGTCTTATGTTTTTACCTGACATATTAAAGAAAGGGACAAATGAAAAGGCTTTGATCTGCTTTATGTGGAGAAAGAATGCTCCAACCTGAAAGGCGATGCAGGCTGGTATTTATATTATGATTACTAGTTCTCAGAATCAGGGAATTCGGGGGTAAACGTCACAGTAAAAATGATGATAAGTCTCAAAGTTAGTTCATCAGAGCATCGAAAATCTAAAGCCAATGAGAACCACATGTTCAAGTGTAAAATATATCCATTATGCTCAACTATAAAGGTAAGATGTGCGGGCACATCGAAAAATCTCGCATAAGTGTGGGGGATGGAATTTTTTTTTTTTTTTTTTTTTTTTTTCATATAACCGCTGCCTCTACGGCAGATGGCCGCATGGACACAGATTGTTGCTTGTTTTTCCAGATCTTTTGCTCACTTGTCCTTAGGAATAGTGCTAGCCCTCAAATTCTGAATCAAAAGCCCTGGCGCGCGGTTTGCATCAATCAATTAAACGCAGTTGACGTAATCGCCCCTGTGATTTAAAAGACATTTGTTCCATGTTGCTGCATTCAACCAACGCTTCCGTGCGGCCAGTGGGATCTGATTTTTGTCAGTGCGAAGCGAGGAATGCACAAATCACAAGGCTTTGATAGAGAGATCTCACGTATGACGTCGATAACAGGGGTCCCACGAACATGGCCCGTCGCTACACCGAGAGTTCACCTTCAGCGCCAATCACGACATGCAAGTGACCCCATTTCGCTCCTTGCGAAGTGGGACCCACCAATCGGCCAAAGGAACCTAGTCTAGTACTGACCGTTCAAACTCGGTTACTTCTTCGATACTAGTCCTAGCGATCTCGCCAGTTCTCAACAACTTTCCAACCTGTACGCATTCTTCGTTCACGCCCGTCTTGCTATACTTATCGAGTCTTTGGAACTAAAAGCTCACTGATTATCGCTTTTCAGTAGTAGAATTTGCAGAGGTCTACGGTCTTACCCAAGCATGACTAGATATTCTCAAAGCATCATTCCTTTACCCATGTGGGTTATCGTGCCGCTAGGAATTTTCATCATTCCTATCTTTCCTTTCGTCATAGCATACTCGAAATCCAAAAAGAAGTTCGAGAAGTGGAAAGAGAAGGATTCGCCCGTTCGCCCACTACGTCGCAATCGAAAGCGTGCGCTAACGCTGCCTCTACCCAAAACCTTATACTCCAGTCGCAAAGCACAACGGACATATGATCAGTCACAGTCGCTTTTCTTAAATCGATTATCATGTGATATTCGTCTAATAATATATGAATACGTATTAGCCCCACCGGGCAATCAGGTCCTACATGTTACGGCCATCTCTGGTCGTCTATGTGGCATCCGATGCTACGAAACGGACCCAACACGACCGGCGTGGAAGCACAAATGCTGGGAACGTTCTGATCTCAGTCAAGCCCATCCCCGATACCCCAAATCTCTCTCTTTACTATGCTCGTGCCGTCAAATGTTGGTAAATGAACATACGCAAATATGATCTTTATTGCTGATAGGCATAGTTATTCCGAGGCAGTCAATATTCTCTATACGAAGAATGTCTTGAGTGTACAGCAGACAAGAGCGGTTCTAAATTTTCCACATGTGATGCTGCCCCATCGCCTTGCACTAATCCGCGAGTTGAATATCGATCTTCTTATTTATGCGAAAGCCACCGTTAATGCCACGTGGCGCTATGAATGGCCAAAAGCCTTCAGTAAGGACTGGAAGAGCTTTTGTCAGGTCCTATTTAAAATGGACACTTGTGGCCTTCAACGCCTTGAAATCATATTCAAACTTTGTGGCGGTAATGGAAGGACATTTGGATCTTGGGCCACCGACGATAAACTTACCTCAGTCTTGGATCCGCTCATGGGTATCCAGGTTCTAGAGTTCAATGTTTTCCTGCATGACTGGCCACAGAGCAAAGAAGATGTGTTGCGCATCCTTGGGAGCGACCCTCCATTTCTATTGGAAACAGGTTGCGATGATTAATTAATGTCTCTCTACATAGAATTAACTCCTAAGTTCTTGGTCAGCCATAGGACCCTGCTGAGTCCGCTATCTTTAAACCATGTAGGCAGTATCACTGCTTACTTAGTGTGTGGTCGCAATATAGCATGGAATCCCGCTATTATTCATCCTAGCACCAGTTTCTAAGCGAATGCCAACTGGACGATTCATGAAGGGGAATAAATAACACAGCATGGGATGCCTACAAATCAACTCATATTTATTTGACTATACGCCGGGAGGTAGTCACAAAGTATGGAGATGACCGCAATTTGGTGACTCATGGACGGACACTTGCCAGCCAGCTCACGCAAAGTATTCTCATGAGGCCTTACCGGCCACCAGATAGCCAAGGGAGGCAGTCAGAGTCATCGCCAAGGTCAGAGATATCGTTGTTCATGATTTTGCGATTGAGGGTTCTAAGAAATGAGATGAGGACATAGAATGAGCTGAACGTTAGATACTTTCACCCAGACGAACCAATTTCACTGAGATTATATGACGACGTATTAGGGTCGCCAAACCCTGAAACGAAATTAACCCTAAAATGGAATTCAATGGCTCTTATAGCACGTAAAACAACATAGACGTGGCTCCCAAATCCTTGCCCGACCGGTTGAGGCTAGCACGGTAGCGTGGATGCAAACTATTTGTCTTTATAAAAACGTATCACCCAAGTCACTATAGAGTCCAGCCATCGACAGACATAAAGCTGTCCGTACATAGGATTGTCTCGCTCATCTCAAGCTCCATATTCTGTACTAACTGAATGTTAAAAGTGATCAACCAGTAAGCTGAGCTCTCCACTTGCCCCACTTATCATCAGCAACGATATTCTCCCTCACGACTACAACAACAACACTACCCACCACCACCCATCTACTTACTCGCCATGGCCTCAGCGAAACAGCCATCCACCATGAAAGCCTGGCTCTACAGTACCACCGCCGGCGGTCTCGATAAGAACCTATCTTTAGACAAAGCCGCCCGCGCACCACCCACTCTCCGCGGCGACGAAGTCCTAATCGAAGTGACATCAGCCGCGCTCAACCCCGCCGACTACAAAGTCCCCGAAATGGGACTCCCAGCACGCCTGGTTATCGGAATGCCCGCCAGCCCGGGGCTAGACTTCTGTGGCCGTGTTGCCGCCACGGGGCCCGATGTCACCGACTTCAAACCGGACGACGAGGTCTTCGGCAGCCATAACCAGCCTGTCAAGTTCGGGGCACTGGGTGGGTACACGGTTAGTCGGGCGAGCATAATAGCCCACCTCCCGGAGGGAGTGAACCCTGACCACGCGGCTGGCTTGGGCATCGCGGGCCAATCGGCGTACCAGGCCCTAAACGGGTACAAACACGTGCATTCCGGCGCGAAAGTCTTCATCAACGGCGGATCCGGCGGGTGTGGCGTCTTCGCTATCCAGATCGCGAAGCAGATGGGGTGTCATGTTACGACCACGTGTTCGACGCGCAACGTCGAGTTCTGCCGCGCCCTCGGCGCAGACGAGGTCATCGACTACACCGCTGTCGAGGACTTGCCAGCCGAGCTGCGCACGCGAGGGGTGATCTTTGATCATATCCTCGACCACATCGGCACCCCTGCTGCTCTGTACCGCGAGTCGCATCATTTCCTGCGCGAGGGCGGGGCCTTTGTCCAAGTTGGTGCGTCGGCTTTTACGACTTTTGCGGAGAGGCTGGTGCGTCCTGGGTTTTTGGGCGGGGGGAAGAGGAAGTATGTCATTTTCTTCTACAAGAATACGCAGGAGCATATTCGGATCCTGGGGGATTGGGTTGCAAAGGGGAAAGTCGCGGTTGAGCTGGATAGTGTCTATGAGTTTGAGGATGCGGTGCAAGCGTTTCAAAAGTTGAGGTCTGGGAGGGCTAGGGGGAAAATTATTGTTCATGTGGGCTCGCCTTGATTTGCTTTGCTTCACGGTGTTGGGTGTCCTGTGTTTCGGGGTCATTTGGAGAGAATTATCATTCAATTTCTTCTTTATACCTCATTGCTTTTGCTTGAGGAAGGTCAGCGCACCCAGCACTATGGCGTCCACGCCCGTGCGCAGCGTCGGCTCGATAACAGGCGCAAAGAAGGGAGAGTGATTACTCGGAAGCTCATCCACAGTCCCCGTGGCTACGGCCTCATCCCAGGTCTTTTCATCCGTGCCGCCAAACATCCACATCACGTAAGGTGCGTTCACAGCGGTGGCGAGCAGAGAGAAATCCTCGCTAGCAGTCGGAGGCTCCATTTCGACGAGATTATCCCCAAAATATGGCTGAAAGGTCTCGCGAAGCGCATCAATGGTCTTTCCATCATTGATCGTCGCGGGAGTCGAGTACGTCTTTGTGATAAGAGGCTCCTGTGTCGCGCCGGCAGCCTGGCACTCCGCCTTAACAATCCGGTGGATAGCCGTGCAGACCTTTTCCCGCACTGCAGGATCATAAGTACGCACGTTGAGCTTCATGTCCAACTCGTCCGGGATGATGTTAGGGCTATGTCCGGATTGGATACTGCCACACGAGACGACCGCCAGCTTCCCCGGAGTCACCTCGCGCGAGACAATAGACTGCAAGCGCATAATGATCGCCGCACCGATAACGATGGGATCGATAGTCGTCTGTGGTGCAGAGCCGTGGCCTCCGCGCCCATAGATGCGCACGTCAAAGGAGTCCGCGGCTGTGAGTAGCGGCCCCGCGCGGAGATTGATAGAGCCCGCGCGCATGCGCCCGACATGTTGCGCGAGGACGACGTCCGGCTTGGGAATGCGCTCGTACAGCCCATCATCCAGCATCGCCTTCGCGCCATCCAAGTGTTCTTCCGACGGTTGAAACAGACAGATCAGTGTGCCGGACCAGTGCTCGCGCGCAGCGTGCAAGAGAGACGACGCCGCCATCATCGTCGTAACGTGCGTATCGTGCCCGCACGCATGCATCACCGGCTTGCGCACGCCGTCTTGGTCCTTGACGGTCCGTTTGCTCGCGTAGTTCAGGCCCGTCTTCTCTTCCATCGGTAGGGCGTCCATGTCCGCCCGCAGGAGGATGGTCGGGCCGTCGCCGTTGCGTAGAATCCCTACGACACCGTGCCCGCCAATTTTCGCATGTACTTCATATCCCACGCTGCGCAGGTGTTCAGCGGCCTTCTGGGCGGTGATCTCTTCCTGCCCGGACAGTTCGGGCTCGCTGTGTAGAGTCCGGTAGATGGCCTCGTAAGGTTTGAGGTCGGGCCGGAAGCGATCCAGCAGTTTTTGTAGGTTGTTATGATTGGAGGCTGTCGAGCGGTTAGTCAAGATGTTATAGTTTGCTTTCGTGGTTGTACGCACTTAACTGCATTGTGGTTATGGGGGATACAAGCACCTTGATACAAAACTGGCTTCTCCAAATATATATATGGGCTTATCCCCGCTACATCGGCAAACTGCCCCAGTCGTGTCCCCGCATTACTCGGCAATTGATAGCGGCCACCATAGAAGTTGGAAGCGGAGCGATAGCTGTGATAACTGCCGAATCGTCAATTCCGATAAGTTCATAATTATCATGTCGGGTGGCCCGACGCGAAATGAGGATGTCTTCACTTTCTCGCGACTGACTATCATTATCATCTCCACATTGAGTAACTGACTAATTAATCCACTCATGCAGCCCTGTCATTGTTGCCTGCAGGAACAAGGCTGCACGATGGCACCATCCAACATTCTGCAACATGTATAGTTAGTCTCTTTTCCGATGATCGCGAGCAGCCCAATAGATAATCCACTCCGATCCGAGGCGGGATCCGCCTTGCGCTCAGACCCTATACACCAGCCACAGCCATCGTGCTTACGGAGCGATTCAGGCGTACCATTTTTATTTTACTTCGTCCTTGCGGTGCAGGAACATTGCTGCCTCAGTCCAGCCTCTGACGTGATTTCAGCTGGCATGTCCAAGCATACTATCTATGCTTTTAGCTCTGGCCTTCATGCGTTCATGCTCGACCGACCGCTCCGGCCCGACCGCTCCACCCGGTGGAGTCCCCGTCGCGCGCATCAGCCACTCATACCACACACATCCAAAAAAATTTTGATCGGGACACAAAAAAAAGGTCTCAAGATGTTCTTAGGAATAGCCGAACGCGGGGGTCGAACCCGCAGCCTTGAGATTAAGAGTCTCACGCTCTACCGATTGAGCTAGCCCGGCAGGGCTTGAGAGAATGGGGGATGGTGATGCTTTACAGGGCATGAGTGAGTGTCGTACTGGGGGAGTTGTGACAGTTCCGTTCGGAGGATTCGGGGAATGATGATTGGTTTCACCCGGGTAGAAGACAGATAAACACGAGACCACCAAGCATAATCATTTCATCGTGCTCGTGTTGTTGGGGCGATCGCACGCAACTAGGCCATCTGACCAGGTGGCATCACGGACCCCCGTCACAACACAGATCATTTCGCGGATGCCTGGTAAGGCAGATGGAAGGAACTTGGATAGTTCAGTCGGAGCTTCAGACCTAGACCGAACCTCTCCATGCCAGGGTGCGGCGGAGATTCGTCTCATTGGCGATTCGTAAGTTCGATATCTAGATCTCTCCCCTGTCAGCTTGTGGCTCGGGCACCGAATCACACGACCGGCGCAGAGACGAAGTTGTGGCTTGAGACCTGGCACGCGGACGATGATTGGGGATACGAACATGATGACAGAGGCTTGACGAGAGTGAGATACGGGACTGTGGCTTGAGGCTGAGCTGACTCGAGGCTGGTGCGCGCGGAATTGGTTGGGGGCGGTGGAAATCGGTAGGCGGGCAGTTGTCGTGGCTATTTTGGAACACTCGCGATGGTTGAAACATGCATCGTATCAGCAAATATGGAAGCGTTTGAAGGAGAACAATTCTCGCGCTTAGTGATGCTAATTGTGGTGGTGAATCCGGAGACGCTGGGCGAGCGGCTGCAGCACAAATGACGGAGGGTGCACGCAACCAGACCGGGACTCGATCAAACACACCAGCCACGATGCCCTCATTTCCCGAGTACGGAAAGGAGTTGGCGAACAGGCCTCCAGCGGGTTCACCGTGCCCTGTCCGCATGGGCACCAATCAGAGGGGGGGCTGAGGGCCGAAACTGGCGGCGTTTCTATTCTCGCCCTAACTAACCGTCCCGCCCGCCAATGCACAGCCGCAAGCCTGAGCCTCTAGGCCACGATCGTCATGTCTGTCAGAACGAACTATACTGGGTGGATGCCTTGCCTGCTTAAATAGCTCCCTTCCCCCAGTCCAGAACATCCAGCTTCATTTTCCATCGTTCATCATTCATCATTTATCAGTTATATTGTCCTGATTCACCGTGATCCATCCATCCCGGATCTATACCTCGCGTGACCCTCGCATATAGTCACGGTGTCGCCCTCACGCATAACCACCTATTCCCTCCGCCGCCCCTCCTCGTCCTTCCAACAACAAGACACAACCCACCGCCGCAGCGTGGTCCGCCGATTCTTCTCTATCGGCCGCTCCAACACCATGCCTGCCCCCGTCGAACCCACCAACTTCGTTGTCGTGGTGCGCGACCTCGGCGACGACGAGCACTATGTGATGGAAGCCTTTGAGTCCCACGCTGAACACTGCCCCCACTGCGCCGATCCGCTACAAACCCACCGCGACGGCGGCGACCTTTGCGAGCGCGGCCGCCAGTACGCCCGCGACGTCGCCGAGTACCTATACTGCCAAAACGGGAAACACTACTCCGTCGTCGACCGCGAGAGCGGCCAACCCAAGCGTGTCAAGCTCCCGCGCGACGCTCTTGCCGTCCGCAGCTTGCTCGCCGCTCTGGAAGATGGTCTCCGTCTCCGTGCGCCGGCTGTGCGCGCTCCGGAAATCAGCTACGACCGCACCTACCCCGTTGGCCCTCGTCGCCCGGCTGTCGAGCACATCCAGCCTCGGCCCAGCACGCCTGAGTCGCCCTCGCGTGCTATCATCGAGCGTGAGCCTCGCTCGCCGAAACGACGCACTATCGTCTACCATTCGCCGCGTGTCTCGCCCGCCCGAGGCTCCTTGTACAATGCGGACCGCGTGGACCGCGTGGAGCGTCTGTACGAGTCCTCGCGCATCTATCGGCCGGCGGAGTACTACCGCTGAAGGATTCCTGCACGCATTGCCATTTCGATCTCTCGAGAATGGCGATCTGTGACTGTCAAACCGCCTACAACATTGAACCCTACGCTCCGGTTACTGGACACCTCAAACCAGGCTGAAAGAAAATCCCGACGGATTGCCCGAGTTTCACGCTGGGGATACCTAGATACCCGTCTCTCTGGTCTTGGCCAAGAGAGCAAACCCCGCCTTGATACATTCAGTCAGTCATTTCATCGACTTGGAATTGAATTGAAGATGGCGGCGGCCTCCCAATCGGGAATAGCTGCGGCTGTGCCGTCTGCAGCACAGTCGGTGATTGGCCCCCTGCTGCAGTGCCGACTCCAACGGCGAATCAGACTTGCAGTAGGGCGCCGCTGTGCATGACTCGGGGATGGATCTGAGTCGTTGCTGTGGTGACTCATGGGCATAAACGACTAGTTATGCCTGAGGAGGATAATTAGTGATGGCGTTCCAAGGCTCTGTATAAGAATTCATACCTACAATCTGGTCGAGCTGGCCTTCAATCATGGTCTATTGTACGGAGGTAAACCCAAGTCTTCAAGTAATTCAAGTCCAGTACGCAGTAACCCTCAACACACACCACCGGTCGTCATTGTCCCAGCACACCTTGACTCATCCATCACTTCCTATACTTCCCCACCACCCCCCTCAACTCCTCCTCCGTCATCTCCTTCACCCCAACCAACCGATTCGCCAAGCGCCCCTCCTCAAAGTGACTCCCAAACCCGTCCCCAAAGATCGCCCTTTGCAGAAAACACTGGGTCGCCAAGTTCCAATCAGATTTCCCCTTCTGCACCTCCGCGTAGCCTCCGCGTAGCCCTGACTCTCCAAATCAACCGTGCGCACCTCCTTTATCGCAACCATTCGTTCACCCGCAAGCCGCAACAGTTGTTTCTGCGAAACAGCCGCCTCGCGCACATACACGATGAGATTCCTCGTCATCTCCAGACGCGTCACGATGCCCACAACAGCCCTCCCCGCACCTGCCTGCATAGTCGTACTAAACTTCTGATCTCCACCATCGAGATCTCCACCGCAGCCCCTGACCCGGAATTTGCCTCCGATCCACCCTGTGAACAAAACGCCAGATTAAGCAGAAATCCTTTCCGCAACTCATAGTCCAGAAATGGCCCATGAAAAAAAGGCATATAAATCAGTGCCGTAGAACGCCTACGGATTTCGCGCAGGTGTTTCTGCACATCGATCTTCTCTTGGAAAATCGACCGCGCCCCCGTGCGTGGCTTGCTCATGTCGACACCGAACTCCGACGGGATCACCCGCTGCACGCCGGCTGCGAGGCTGGCGAGGCTGGCGTCGATGAGCCGAAGGTGTACATGTACCCTTACGAGCCCGAACCCTAGTGTATTTACCAGTACGTCTTTGCCTTGCAGTGCGCTTGTTAGGGAGTCTAGCGATGTGAGGTCCACTTCGCGAGATGGGGCGCGTGTGTCGGAGCCTTTTTTGCTGCCCGCGCGTCGGAGCTGGGTGACTTTGATTCGTGGGTCGGTGAGGAGGGCGTTCAGGATCGCGGGGACGAGGTTGCCGGCCGCCTTTTGGGGTTGATTATTGTTTTTGGTTGGACGGGACGGGGCGATGCACTTACCCCTGCTAAGGCTACATTGATGGTGTCCATGTTGTGTTGCTGGATTGAACGATACAGGGTAGGTACAAAGCAGGCCGAAGTTTTGTTATGTTGCCATGTTAGGGTAAACCCAGGAGTCTTGGAGGGTACGAATGACGAGATGAAACGGCCATACGTCGAATGCTATTTGCAGGCCCCCACGCACTATGCACTACTATCTCAGACATAATATACGAGCGATCTGATGAACAGAAAATCCTCGGGGCAGACGACGGTCGAACCGAGAATGTTAGTGGCTTCGATGAATGGCTAACCTGTATACATCACCACCAACCAATGAATATCATTCAGTCACATGACCAGCGAATAAAAATCACGTGCCAGATAACCCCGTTTTGCTCCGTCGCGGAATCTCGAATTTGTGTCTCCCCAGATCGAGCATCCCGGTTGAATCCCACCACCCGCCTGCAAGATGGCCAAGAAATGTGCGTTTCTTTCAATTTATCGTCAAAATCAAACAACTCAACTCCACTGCATTCTCAAATCCATCCCCCCCTCCCATTGCCCAGCAAGCAGTGTCGTGAATCGCAACCCTCCCAGACACCCAATCCACTCATCCATTCAATTGCTTAACTAACACGCTTTCCCCCCTCCAGCAAAGTCACGCACCATCGCCGTCCGGCTCATCTCCATGGCCATGACAGGCTACTACCGCACAATGATTCGTCCGCGCGTGCACCGGCCGCTCAGCATGTTGAAGTACGATCCCGTCGTCAAGAAGAAGGTGCTTTTCCTTGAAGCGACCAAGGGCGGCAAGGCGAAATAAGTTCAGCACCACGCATCGATTCCATTTGATTTCCAGTTTCTCGATGAGGGTGGTCGACTCTAGCCGACCTTGTATGTGTGGCTGAGTCGTTGGAAGGGCCACAGTTGGTCGCACGGAGATGGATTTCCGATTTGCTGTCTGTCATCCATTGATTCTGCATACATCTGCACCTCCATTTCATTCTATCGAGTTGTACCACACGGTGAGAATACCAACTTGGAGGTCTTTTGCGGAGGAACTTTGTTTGAGGCTGCGGTTCCTCGAGGGACTACGTGCGTCTCGACTGTTATGTGTACATTATCAACTCGGGAGTTTTGACCGCTGGGATATTTCCCCCAGTTGGTCGACTCGCCCATGGAGCATCATGTTTGGCGTTTTGAAGATACACAATTTTGGGGTATATTGTTGAAGATAAACTACTTTTCTCGCTTCGCCACTTTCCCTCGCTTTGGTAAATCATACTTTCCATATTCCTAGTCGCTTCCATCATAGCAAATGAGTTCCATAAGTTATATATTCGTTTGCCGTCCTCAGCAATGATGAATAGACTCCAGGATCACCTGAAGGTTGTTTCCTAACAATGTCCCCGCTCATTTTCGCCTTGTGTTTTCGCGATTCTGATTCCATAAAAGACTCATTCCTCCTTATCAAAGCGGGCGCTGTAGCGTTTACCTACTACCTGTTAGCACAGTGCCTCCTTTCGGGGTTCGGCCATCATACCACGGGATCGACTTCGGCCACGACGGGCGGTAGTCTGGCCACCCGTGTGATTTTGACTGCTTACAGAAACCAGATTACGCGGGATCACTCTTCGCTCCAGTACATCGGACGCATCATGCGACTTTCGAGATGACTTGGGCCCCTGACCGGCGCTGGCCTTCATCGTCTTAGTCGATGTGTGCTGCATCGTCTCCAGGCAGATGTTCTCGCTGGTCACACTCTGGCTTGCACGGACATTCTGAGAAGCTTGGTCGCTTCTCTTGCGGCTGTACGTGTGCACATGGACACGCTTTGTCTTCTTGCTCGAGTGGTCCTCGTCCAAGTCTCCCTCGACCTGAATTGATCCTTGCCGTGATCCTCCAATGGGCTCAGAAGTGGTGTGCGGATGTCCAAAGCTGACTGCTTTGCGTTTGATCGTGGAATGCTCTGCTTTTGCAATTTCATCAGCCGCTCCCGCAACAGAAGGGCTTGCAGGGCTTCCGATAAACGTGTCAGGCTTTCCGCATCGCATGAGTGAGTCATCTATCGAAATGCTCCCTTCGTTCTTCGTGATCGGAGCTGGTTCCGAGGCACACAAAGCTGCTGCTTGATTCGGGATGTCTGGGGTTGACATGAAAAGCATCTCAAGCTCGGCCGGGTCATCAAATGGTGAGATTGAATCATCGTCCATTGAATGTCGAGCTCCGAGACTCGCAAATGAAGAAATGTTGCTCGTAGGATTGTGGGTATTCGAAGTCGATTCCGTGTCACTGTTGGCAATCACAGATGGTGACGACTCATGCGGTTCCGAGGCGTATACTGCAGCTGGTTGGACACTTGGACGCTGTTGGAGCAAATCTCTGGTTCGCATCAAACTACCCTTGCCTTTGGATGGGGAGGAGGTAGCAATCCCCTTTGATGAGACATCGATGCCATTGCCAGTGGCAGTCTCTTTGCGTGTAGAGTAATGGGAGGCTTGTTTCTGAACCTCGGCAGCTGCGCATTGCAGTAAGGTCTCCAACTTGCTCCATGTGCATGCAAAAGGCTCTCCTGAGTCCATTGCTGTAAATTTTGCCGCGGCTTCTCTGATGGTATTCAAGCAACTCTCCCCTTCTTGAACTCGGCGGAGGAGGGAATGTATCTCGGCCTTGGCCTTTTTCTTTCCCGTCTCGAGGTTCGACTTGGCTGAATTCGCTGCATCCAAATTCTGGTTGGTGATCTGCAGCTCCTCGTCTTTTTGACGAATCTTCGCCTGAAGACTCTCAAGCTTTTGTAGAACTTGCGCTGTTTCAGACTTCCCAGTCTCAGTCTGGGTAAGGAGGCTCGCCTCAAGGTCCATCTTGGCTGAATTTGCTGCATCCAAATTCTGGCCCATGGCCATCAGCTCTTCATCCTTTTGGCAAATCACGGCTTTCAGTCTCTCGATCTGTTGTGCCACTTTCTCTGCCTCGAGTTTCTCATCCTTCATCTGCCACTTTAGATTGACTTCAAGGTTATGAACAGTTGTCTGTAACTCTTCAAGATGCCTCTGAAGCCGATCACGCTGTCCATGCATGGACACCATTTCGTCAACCTGCAAGTCCAGTTTGGTTGCGGCGCCTGAGCAGACGCCTTTGAGCTCCTTGATTTGCTGTTGCATTTCTCCAAGCTGGTAAAGTCAATATGAGTATCCTTGGTATCTTTGATATAGGGTGACACTTACCATGGCGTCTTGCCGTCTTCGTTCCTTCCTGGCTTCCTCGGTGACTTGGAGCTGCATAGCGCGTGTAAGCACATGTTCAATATGCCAAAGAAATATCCTACCAAAGCTCCTTCGGCCTTCTCCACTTGCTTTTGGAGCTTGGCAGATTCTTTTTCAAGAGCTTCCTTCTCCTTCTCAAGGCCTTGAAGCTGTTGCTTGTACGTCGCTTCCAGGCTGTTCTGAGAAACCGTATTTGCTTTTGTGAAGTGTTCGCGTGCCCTTTGCTCAACCACTTGGATTTCGTTCTTCAAGGCAACTTTCTCAGATTCGAGATTGATCACACGGTCTTGAAAAGCTTGCTTCTTTAAGCTGGCATCATTCAAAGACTGTAGAAGCCTTTAAGTTTCCGCTTTCTTGCCTGTGAATTGTGTCCCTAAAGATTTCAGCTCTGCAGATACCTCCTGTAATCGAGATTGCAGCTGCGAAATCTCAACAGATTTGTTGGAAAGTTCCATCTCAAGAGCCGGGTTAGCCGCCACAAGCCGGCCCTTGCCCAATTTGCCCCCAAATTCTTCCAGTCCACGGGAAAGATTGTGCTCGGTGGTCTCCAACGACTTGACTGATGTATCGAGTTTGCTGATTGCTGGCTCAATTGCATCTAGCTTCCGTTCAACGCTTTTCTGCGCACTCTCGCTATCAATAAGCTTTTTGAACAGTGATGAATCACTTCCCAGATTGCGTTTGACAGATTGCAACTCTTGCATAAGACTTTGCATGGTGACAGTGTTGATAACAGTGCTTTTGTCAACATCATTGGAAAATTGACTTGCACGGGAGTCGATTCTGTTCTGCTATCAGCCATTGCAACTGCCCACTTCGGATCCATCACTTACCGAGAAACTACTTCCTGAACAATGCTTGTTAATTGCTGGGCATCCGTCCTTTCTGCAGAGCAAGCATCGCGCAACTCTCTGACCGAAGATACACATTCATGAAGGGGTTCAAGAACACTCTCCACAACCCCCTTTTCAGAGGCTGATGCAGTCTCAGAAATCAACTCGAGGACTGAACTCAGTTTGCCGAGGATCTTTCCCTGGTCATCTCGGCAACTCCAAGTTGTCGTGTTTGGCTTTGAGTGTGGTTCTGAATAAAGGTCTCGAGAGTCAATACTCTTTTCCGCTCCTCAGACAGTTGCAATTTTGTCTCCAGTCCACTTTCGTCCGAGTGTTGTAGATCTTGCTCCAGGACAGCAATGCGTCTTTTTGATTCAGCGAGCTTATCTCGCTGTCTGTCGATGGTATTTGCGGCTTGAGATATATCGGCCCTGATCTCATTGGTTTCTTTCATGATGCCTTCCTTCTCCTTTTCAAGAGACTCCGCAGTTGTCATGAATCTGTTGGACTGCTCTCGTAACATTCCATAAGCATCACCCAATCCGTTGACGACCTCCTTGAATTTGCTGAGTTTCACTTTCCAAGAATCCATCTGGGTCTTGTAAACATTTGATTCGGAAATCTTCTTTCGTAGTTGGATCTGGCACGCCTCGAGATCTCCTTTGAGTGATTGGTTTTCACCTTTGAGCTCTGTATTTTCGGACTCGAACTGCCGTTGAAGACAAGCGGAAGCAAACTCCTTTTCCTCTCGCTGTCGGATTTTGTTGACCAGCAGCTCGAAAAGGTCATCTTCTGTCATTTGAGAGCCGCTTTGAACGACGCTTTTGGTCGTTCGACGTTTGGTCGATAAGCCCTTGCGGCTGCCATGCCGGCGCTTTAAGACTCGTGTATCATGTGATGAGATATTGGATACTCGGGATGAAGAGCGGTCTCGAGCTCGACGGCTGGGCAGACCTTGCTTCTCGATCTGCATAGGCCCGGATGAGCTCGGACGAGTATTACCAGGCTTCACTTGTCAACGATACACTTTCAACGTGACGTATCCACACTCACCTCTGTCGCAATTCCAGGTTGATTTCCTTTGTCCTTGGAACTTGACAGCAAAGAAGTGACCGAAATTGCTCCTTTATCGACAGTGCCAGCCGGTGATTTGGAATGCGTGTTGCTTTCAGGATCGTGTTTTCCCGTGGAGCGGCGCGATTGCAAATCCAAAGAGCGCTCATCCACAAGATTATTGCCAGTTCCATGGTGCTTCGAGATAATCGAGGGATTGAATGGGGATTGACTTCATATAAAAAGGATCGTGAGCATACCAGACTGTAGAGCTTGGGACAAACTTACCGATCTCCTGCTGCGACAAGAAATTCATTGTTCCCACTGATTTCTCCTCGTTCTGCCGTCGGGTGGGAACTGGGAGCTTTCTCTACGCTGAGGGACATATACCTGGTCGAGTTTTGGAGAAGGTTGCCCTTTCGTTTCTGAGCAGGCCTCGCGAATGAAAATGCCGAGACATCGATGCCGGAACTTTGAGGGCGCTGAAAAAGCAAAGGAACGAGTTTGTTTCCCATCGGGGCGGCTTCCTTGTCTGTACTCGTATTCACAGTGGCCTCGAGTCCTGGAAGACGTGATTCCTCATCGCCGATGGTTTGCAGAAGTAGTGCTGCGTTTGCTTCCATGGCAGATCGAGAATCCATCCGAGTGAAGATGTTGGTGGACTCAGATGGCTCGCCTGCCATGGTGGATTTGGCTTCGGAATGGGAGATGAATCTGAGTCGATCGATGTGTGCGATGAAAGGAGAGATTGGAATTGAATCTGCAAATGGCAAATTTTTGAACTGTCGATTAAGAAACAGGAAAGAGAGGGAATGTGACGAGAGTGAAAGAGAAGGAGGAAGAGGAAGAGCAGACGGACACATCAAGAAGGAGCGTCCAAGTAGCATCCCGTGAGTGGCACATCTACATTCAGCAGCAGAACAGAATGGCTTCAATTGGCAGAAGAAATATGGGAGTAGAGCAAAAGTCAAATTCGATATATAAACAGGAGATTCGTAAAACATGCATTAGCCTTGCTCACCTTCCATCTCGACACACTTGTGTCTCAAAGAAGAGGAACAAACGACCAGCCAACTTCTTTCCACGCCGAGAGATCATTATAGATCAAAAACCATCAGACTATAAATCATTCCTTAGGTAAAGGTTGCAGTGCCGAATCGCATGCTGTACTCTAAAATAGTTAGAAGTGCGAATTCTGATATTATGGATCGGGCGCTAAAAATCTGGCTTAAGGTCAAGAGCCATATTAGAAAGAAGGAACCTGTAAGCATACTCCCCAGCCACTAGCAGACTCTAAAATTAGGTCCCGTTCACAAATCCAATGCCACCAGCATCCATATCGATAGCCATCGCAGTCCCAAGGCCACAGGCTTCAAATAAATTGCGAGGTCCAAACCCATCTGGTGTGCCCACCACTCCGCGTGTCTTGAGATTTTCCAGAGCAGTGCGGATACCCAAGTAAGCTGGGATCGAGCACGCGAAAGAGAAAAGCATCACGCGGAACCCCATCTCTTCTGCTTCAGCCACGGTAATGACGGGACCGACGCCGTTCTCCACCATATTGAGAACGAGTGGCCAGGGAGCAAGGTCTTGGACCACCTGCTTGGCCATCGCTTTGGATGTAAGGCCCTCCAGAAGCCCGCAGTCAGCGCCCAGATCACGGGCAGCTTTCAGGCGGCGGATACATTCATCGTACCCATGCTGCTGCAATGCATCAGTGCGGGCAATTAGAACAATATCTGATTGTAGCCGCTCTCTTGTTAAATTTGCAGCGCGGATCCGAGTCAAATACTCCTCAAGCTCCACCACCTTCTTGCCCTTCAGGTGTCCACAACGCTTGGTCAAGATCTGGTCCTCAATATGGAAACCGGCCACACCAGCTTGGATATAACTCTGGACGGCCCTGGAGACCATGAGAGGGCCTGCCTCTATTAAGAACCATGTATTTGGCCTTGGAATTGGGTGACCACTTACCTCCATACCCAGTATCCATGTCTGCAATTAAAGGCGGACCGAAGGGGTCGAGGTTGGCGATCATCTCGGCATTGGTTCGCATATCGTGAAGCTGAGCTACCCCCAGGTCGGCCATGCCCAAGCAAGATGCGGTGGTTCCCGCTCCAGTCTGACCAGAATGCTCAGTCTCATGGCATCCACGAAGTACATGCAGGGACAAGACTAACCATATACATTCCCTCAAAACCAAGCTCCAATGCAGTTCGGGCAGAGATTCCGTCGTAGACCCCGGGACATACAAGGATCTTGCTGTTCGTGATAAGGTTGCGCAGCTTTGACGCTGCGCTGGCCACTTTGACTGAAGTAGTGGTCTCAGTTGCTATTCCATTCATCTTGGAACTGATATTCGACAGGCTAGAAATAGTGAGAGTCATGTTGAGAGTAAAATGATGGTTGAATATATTATGCTTCACCCAGAGAGAAATATTGATCCTTTAACAGACAGCCCTGATCCTTTAGGTTTAGCGTGTAATTATAAGGAATGTGAATAGCATTCCTTACATGTAAATTTTATTCAAGACGTCGGCGGATGCGTCCTCGGTACTGAGTGAAGAGAACAAACGCAGATTCGGCGTCTCCTGCCACAACCGCAAGAACTGTGGTCACACTGGTGAATTCCTCCCCGGGTTGCAGAATTTGGGTCCATTGATGATTCTGGTCCGTGGGACCACCCGCGTCTAGATAGAGTCCATGAACAATGTTACGGATACCGAGCTCCCATTGCCACGCGCCACTATGTTCGATCTGCCAGCTACTTTTCCGGGTAAGTGCTCCCATCGGCAGCCAGCCGTTTGTGGAAAAGGTTCCGATGTTGGATTTCACCACGGCAGCCCGTTTCCTCGGCCTTTCAAAGTCGCTTTCTCCAACTTCATCCATTCCAATGTCAGAAAAATTGAAACTCTGCCACTGAACTTTTTTGAAGCTGTTGTTGTTCGCAATGACAATTTCGTAGTCATGCCACCCTTCTTTGGTCCCACGATTCAAATTGCCAAGTAACAATGAAGCTAGCACTTGAAAGTGGACGTCCTTGGGCCCTTTGTTTTCCACACTCGTGGTTCTATGAAAAATCTGGATCCCATCAAAAACAGAGTGTCGGCTGCGGACCCGGAGACCGATCTGCAGATCCTGTGTGATGATATCCAAAAAAATGATTATTTTCACTTGCCGTCCACTCCTTGTGCTGCACACAGCGCGGCCGATGAGAATTTGCTCCGAGAACCTGACGCTTCGATGTACACGATACCGAACCTTCACTTACAAGGCGAAGCTGCGTTAATGGCAGCGCGTGATCCAGCTCTGCGTCAATCTCACAGGCCTTCACACTCTATCACACTCTATGAGGAATCTGCTGCAACCTCAAGACATTGATGGCACTTTACGTTGACCATCGCGATAAATTCCAAGCGCCTACTTCTGTTCCGCTTCAGCGTGGGTGGTGTAGACCTCCTTGTTGTTGAAATGCTCATGTTTTCAGGACATCGAAGCAGTCTTTGATGGCGTTATTGCCGTCGAGACAACACATTGGGCTGGGAGTTCTAATGCAAAACATCATCTTGATCCCTTTCTCGCTGAAAAGCCGCAGGATTAGCCGGCGGCTGTAGATTCTAGGGAGTTGCCTTTCCAGAATGGAGGCACGGACGCGATGGGTGCGGTGGTTGACGCCCAGTGTTGAGTGAAGGACGTCCAGAATCTTTGCATCTACGAGGCTAGCCTTCTCCCTGTTCTGTCGGCGGGTCATTGTCAGGCGCCGATGTACGCTCTGGAAGAGCGGTGGCGGATATGCTACTTAGACACTAGAGAGATACGTCTTCTGCATTTCAGTAAATTCCGCGCTGACCGGGATACTGTAGATAATAGATCGATTCCATTATATGTATCATGCTTCTGCTTGTTTTCTGCAGCAAGGAGTACATAAGGTGCTTTTCGGGACATATCGCATCCGCAACACAAATACTGGGACAATCTGGAATCCGTTCTGTACGCGCTGCAGAGAAACGCCAGATCACACCGCTAAACAAAAATCAGTACAGTGAGTGATGTAGGCGGCGTCGAAGAGGGTCCGGACAGCGGAGATGTAATCGACAGGGTTCAGGCCAAAGTTAAATCAGGGGTGAAACACTGGCAGGCTGATCTGCTCTTTGTTGCAAGTGTGAAACACCACCGTCGGACAAATTCTGCTTATCCACAGTATTGAGACCCGCTCGTTAGTTCGTTAGTTAGTACTGGCGGTGGGCATAGTTGACCATTCCTGCACACGCAAGAGGCGGTCGGCAACATGGCGGCCACAAGTGCACGGGTCTGTCTGTCTGTCTGTACCGCAGTAGTCGCGTGGCAAGGGTGTTCATTTACTGCTGCCCCTGTCTGCCAGAATCAGGCTTAGGCGACCACTAGGCTCTTTCCGGCCCCTGCAAATAGCGATCGCCCGGCCACAGCACCGAATCTCGTAACTATTAACGGCGTGGATATGCTGGCTCCGTCTCACGGCGCCTTTGGATCATCAGGATGCGCGCCGCAGGATGCGCGCCTTACTGCGGGTGTGCGAAATGAGCCAAATGAGTCCACATGGTCCACTCCGTTCTCGTTGCTCGCTCCCCTTTCCTTCCACGTGGGTCCATGCAGCAGTAGTCTCGGGTAGGCAATGCTCGACAAACCCCCCCTCTGGAAGCTAGAGAAAAAGGGAACTAATTTGAAAGCGTCCATGCACGGCAGAGGGAGTAAGGAACTACTACCACAGCTCTTTTGCTCTTTTGGAGCCCTTTTCCGGATCACCTGATTGAAATATACTGCCCAGTCTGACCGCCAGCCCGCCTCTTTCCCCTTTCCACGACTTCTGTCGAAACACCTGCGAGACATTCGAATCTCGCCTGAAGAAACTGCCTCCCGCCTTCGGTGTCTTCTCGAACATTTGTTGTTTCTTCTGTTCCACGCAGATACATATTCTTTCGCCGGCCCCCAACCGCCTGCGCTTGGGCTCCTCTACACTAGTTCCCGGGTCCTTCCACCATCCTTTTCCAAAATCTAGATATCCTCGGTCAATTTATTGGTCTGCTCACCTCGGATTTGACAACGTCTCGGTGTGCTGTGCAATAATCGCCCTGCCTGGCTCTCAGGCCCGTCGACGAAGATCCCAGTGCCTCCACGCGCGGACCCCCGCTCCACGAAACCGCCCCCTCGAATAAGGACTCCGATGGACATCACGATCTGACTTCATCATTTGCCACTCCTTTTGCAATTGCCCTTTGCTCGTGGTTTCTACCAAATCCCAACAAGGGTGATGTCTCTGGGAAGTCACTAGTCGAGACACAGAACTTTTGGTCAAGCCAGACCCCGCAACATGGGGAATTCTCAAGGGAAACCGGTGTCCTACACCGATGCAGGTATGTTGTTGAGGGAGATGCCGAAGAGCGCACGCTCATGGTCTTCGAATTGCGTTGCTAATCAATATTTTCGGTCATCTAGTCAATCTCAATCATTTCCGCCTCCTCCGCGTGGTCGGAAAAGGCGCGTTCGGAAAGGTCCGCATCGTCGAGAGGAAAGATACAGGTCTTACATTTGCCCTCAAGTATATCCGCAAGGAAGAAGGTGAGTGTGGAATGTCGTGGACCCGGGTGGCCGCATCTAACATCTCATCTAGTGGTACGATCGGAAAGTGTACGGAATATCATTCGTGAACGGCGGATGCTCGAGCATCTGAACCACCCATTCCTCTGCAATTTGCGCTATAGTTTTCAGGATATGGAATACATGTAAGTTCAACGACATGGCGAGAAATGTGCGTCTCTGACAGCGATGTAGCTACATTGTCGTCGACCTGATGAACGGAGGCGACCTACGTTTTCACATTTCGCGAAAGTGTTTCACAGAAGAGGCGGTGCGATTCTGGATGGCCGAGCTGGGCTGTGCGTTGAAGTACATCCATTCCCAGGGAATTATCCATCGAGATTTGAAACCGGACAACGTGCTGTTGGACTCCGAGGGCCATGTTCATTTGGCAGACTTCGTATGTGGCGTCCGCCCGTGTCTTACCTTGTGGGAACTAACATGCCTGTCTAGAACGTGGCGTCAGATTTCCGACCGGGCAAGCCGCTCACCAGCAAGTCCGGAACCCTGGCTTATCTAGCCCCAGAGGTGTACGAAGGAGTCGGTTATTACAACGAGGTCGATTGGTGGTCATTGGGTGTCACTTTCTACGAATGCATTTACAGCAAGGTATGTTGCTTTTTCTTCACTACTTTGTGCGGTTTCTGACATCTCTGTTTAGCGACCATTCGAAGGACGCAGCCAGGACACCCTCAGCGAGAACATCAAGAAAGCTCAACCGAAGTATTATGTGACCAACCCAGCAGTGTCAGTCGCATGCCTTCGCGCTCTGGGCTCATTAATGGAGAAGGATCGAAGCAAGCGAATCGGCGCTACTGGCTTCGAAACCTTCACCAACCACGAGTTCTTCGCTGACATCAACTTTGACGCCCTCCAGCGCAAAGAGATCCCCCCGTGTTCATTCCATCCAGTGACAAAACCAATTTCGATGCCACCTATGATCTGGAGGAGTTACTTCTGGAGGAAGCACCATTGGAGGCCAGAGCTCGTCGACAAAAGCCGCGTGCGGAGCTACGAGAGGATGCTACAGCCAAAGAGATTCGGGATGATGAGCTCCATCGCTTAATTGAGACCATGTTTGAGCCGTTTGACTACACGACTGTCAACTACCAAGGGTATGCGTGTACTGGAGAAAGCACCGTGGTTAAATACTGACTCCTGTTTACAGAAACGCCGCCGAAGCGATTGCCGCCTCGTCGAATCCCGAAGATATCCTTCCAATCACCCAGACGACCTCCCACACCCGCCAATCGTCACAGCCGGAATCCCAGTCCAGGAATTCTCCACCACCTCCACAGGTGCCTCCGAAGAAAGCCCCTCCGATCAACACCAACGCCGAGAATCTCGCAGCCCAGGAGGCTACAGCGCAACCGCCCTCACCCTCGAGCCAAACATCTGGTTCTCCAACGCCTGCTCCGTCCTTCCACCGGCCCTTCCCACCGCCCAACAATAACAACGGCCCTCGACAACAACAACGCGGCACCCTTCGGAAACCGAGCAAGGGCGGCGGAGTGCAAATGGTTCTTGAAGAATCCGGCAGCTGGAGCGAGCTTGCGGACCACAGCTCCACTCTTCCTGCGGAAGGGCTGGACGGTGCTGGAGGCAAGGGCAAGCCCGGAAACAGTGGTATGCTGTCGTTCTTGAGTCGGAAAAAGGGCCGCGATCGCAGCCCCAAGCCGACCGAGCCGGGTGTTCTGGGCAAGGAAGGTGCCCGACAAATCATCAGCTGAAGCTGTGTGCCGTTGCGGTTTACCAGCGGGAAAACATGCCGATAGTCTTACATGTTTCTTTTACTTGCGCAGCGGTTTGCGCTCCACCGGACTCTGGTCCCCGGCCCTCACTCATGGCTTCTAGTCTGCGAGTGCTGATTCGGCCGAGGTCTTCTACCATTCAATTACATGACGTGTGGATCAAATCCCGCCTGCCGCCTTTCTCCCTCTTTTTTGGGTTCCGGAGATGTGTTATTACTTCAAGAGGCCTGTGATAAAAACATTTGGTCTCGGTCTGCCATCTTCATCTCTATTTCACTCACTCACCTGTTGGCTATGCCCTGCAAGAAGGCAAACTGCCCACGTTCTATATCCTTTCCTTTCTAGATTCCCCTGGTCGAGCCAGAATTTGATATTATTCTACTCTTTCTCTTTCCTAGTGGAGTTATGCCAATGTACTCAACCACTATATATCCCTTGGGTTACTACCGTGCCCCCTCACAGGGCTGTTGTCTCTCGGGCGCATCCAATGTCAATTTCTTTTCTCTTATTTGGATCCACATACCCGCGTTGTTGAAGGATGGACATAAAGTTCGTTTTGTTGTGATTAGAAGGGTCGGGAACGTTTTACACTTTTTGCATTCCCTGTCGGGTGTGGCATTTTGTATTTGATCGTGGCCATTTTCCGGATTTTCCCAGCATAGTTCGGTCCTCTCCCAATATCATATCATATATACACGAATTCATTGTGCGTAACTAAGTAAGAGTGTGATGATGAACCCCCACGGCTCCCGCCGGTTGCGCCGCAACCAACCCTCTTCCACCCGCCAGGGGAACCGACCACTAGGGGGCGATCGCCAAGCAAGATAACGCTCTCCAGCACGAGCTACGTGCATCGACATAACCTCCTGCATTCATTGACCACGAAACCATTCGGCTATCATCGCGCGGGCGTCTCCATTGCGGCGTGTTTACATCGAGGCCGAACCGGGGCGACGCGCGTTGTTGTCGGGGAGCAAGCCAACAGGGGGTTTGGTGTTATTATTATCTGAGCAACAATAATCATAATAACTTCCACGACTCCAACAACTGAACGATACATACGATACAACCATCTCTCCAGTCTGATCCACCAAGCACAACAGACAGCTCAATCGCACCGATTGCGATCCCGACGGCCTGGCCCAGCGCGATTCCACTTCACCTCGGACACAGACGCGTTTAGTTCGCGCAATTCGCAGCATTAGGTACCTCATAACAAGACCACCACCACACCTGCTGCCCAGTCAAATTGTGTTCCATTCCAGGGGCACCACGAGGGCAAGCGCCGCGTGGATCGGCCCGTGCCCCGTCGCGCTGCCAGTGACATTCCAGTGACTATTTGGGTTGATCGACAGACAGCAGCTCATCTAGCATGCCGAGTCAGTCGCGCAGTCGGGACCGGTACGGCGGGGGGCGCGAACAATACCGGGAGCGAGATCGCGCGCGGGAAAGGGAACGCGAACGCAGACGGGAACGCGAGCGAGAGCGAGAATACGTTCGCGGCCGATACGAGGAGGCCGATGAGGGGGGAGACGGCGGTGTGGCGTCGAGTCCCAACAATGCCAATGCACGTGGTGGACGATATAATTTCCCCAGGTCGGGTCGTGATTCCTACGACTACGATGCAGATGATGGGTATGAGGAGGAGCGGCGAAGAGAACGGGAGCAGCGACGGGAGCGCCGGAGGCAGCGCGATGAGGAGAAAGCGTACAATGAAGCTGTGGAGGAGAGACGGAGGGAGAGATCTAAGGCGAAAGAGTCACCTGCTACGTCACCGACAAAGAAGAGAGATCGCGAGCGGGATCGTGAAGGGCATCGCAGGCAACGCGGGTATGAGGACAGGGAAGGCAGCCCGGCCAAGGATGTCCGCGATAGGAGATCTCGGCCTCGAGAAGAGGAGCGCGAGAGGTCGCGAGATGCGGATGCTGAAGACAGACGGAGGAGACGACGAGAAAGAGAACGAGACCGCGAACGGAGCATTGAGGCTGCGGCGGCGGCTGATGTGGCTCGGAGACAGAAGCACCAGAGCAGCGAGTCGACGAACAGTGCGTCGCATCTGTTGAGCGCGGATGCGCTGGCTCGCTTGACGTCTGAGCATGCCGAGGTGGACCGGCGAGCGCGATCGCGTCCGCCAGATGATACCCGCAGAGACCGAAGACAGCGCAAACGCGCTGTTTTAGAAGGCGCCGCTGGGGCTGCCCTTGGTGCTGGGCTTGCTGAGGGGAGGTCAAGACATAAGTCCGGGGCCCGAGTTGTCTCCGGGGCCTACTTGGAGGAGGGCCGCAGCCCTGAGATGAAGGTCCGTCGTCGTGGAGCCACGTCTGTCATGGATTCCCGGTGGAATAAAGAAGGGCCATGGGAGACTGGCTCGGATTCAGGTGATGGAGGCCCGCCAGCCTGGAGATTCTGGGCTGATTGGTCCAAGAAGAAGCGGCTATGGATGGGTGGCATTGCGGCTGTGGTTTTGCTGCTTGTTATTATAATTCCGATAGCGGTGGCTGTGTCAAAAAAGCACAGTTCCAAGTCAGACTCCTCGAGCTCGTCTGATTCCTCTTCGAGTGATCCTTCTAACTCCAATCTGGATGGCATCAGTGAGGATAGTATTCCGGTAAGTCACTATCAAAGGTTGGTCACAACTTTTATGCTGACAGGTATTGCGTTCAGTCCTACGCACAAGGTACTTACTTGGACCCTTTCACCTGGTACGAGACCGATGGCTTTAATGTCACCTTTACCAATGAAACTGTGGGAGGGCTCTCCATCATGGGCATCAACTCAACATGGGACGACTCTGCCCGACCAAACGACCAAGTACCTCCTCTTAACGAAAAGTTTCCTTACGGCTCACGGCCGATCCGCGGAGTGAACCTGGGTGGATGGCTATCCATCGAGCCTTTCATCGTGCCGTCACTCTTCGAATCCTATTCGGCTTTGGACGCTGTGGTCGACGAGTGGACTCTGAGCCAAGCGCTAGGAGGCGCTGCCTCAACAACAATCGAGAAGCACTACGCCACCTTCATTACTGAGCAGGATTTTGCGGAAATTGCGGAAGCAGGCCTTGACCATATCCGCATCCAATACTCATACTGGTCGGTCAAGACGTACGATGGCGACCCCTACGTCCCGAAGATTGCATGGCGCTATCTTCTCCGAGCCATTGAGTACGCGCGCAAGTACGGACTTCGCGTCAAGCTTGACATCCATGGGATTCCCGGCAGTCAGAATGGTTGGAACCACAGCGGCCACCAAGGCTCGATTGGGTGGATAAACGGCACAGATGGCGAGTTGAACGTCCAGCGCTCTTTGGAGATCCATGACCAGCTATCTCAGTTCTTCGCACAGGACCGATACAAGAACGTAGTGACGATCTACGGGCTTGTCAATGAACCACTCATGCTCGATCTGTCTGTCGAGAAAGTGCTCGATTGGAATGAGCAAGTCTCTCAGCTCATCCGCAAGAACGGCGTCACTGCCACTTTGGTCTTCCATGACGGGTTCTTGAACCTGAGCAAGTGGAAGTCCATGTTCAAGACTCATCCAGATAACATGTACCTCGACACGCACCAGTATACCATCTTCAATACTGGCGAAATTGTGCTGAACCACACAGCTAAGGTAGAGCTTATTTGCAATAGCTGGTTACCTATGCTTCAGCAAGTCAACAGCACAACAGAAGGGTATGTAATTCACTCACCCAACGATCACCACTTTTCAATTGAGTCTAACTAACCTTGTTGACAGATGGGGTCCAACTATGTGCGGCGAATGGTCCCAAGCAGACACAGACTGCGCCAAGTACCTCAACAATGTGGGCCGCGGCACACGCTGGGAAGGAACGATGTCAACTACCTCGTCAACAGCATACTGCCCCACCGCCGATACGGATGCGGGATGTAGCTGCACAGACGCTAACGCGGATGTCTCCCAGTACTCGGATGTATACAAGTCATGGCTGCTGACGTACGCGGAGGCCCAAATGTCTGCCTTTGAGAATGCGATGGGCTGGTTTTACTGGACGTGGCATACGGAGTCTGCTGCGCAGTGGAGTTACCGTACTGCGTGGCAGAATGGGTTCATGCCGAAACTGGCGTATGAGCCGTCGTTCAAGTGCGGTGATACAGTGCCGGATTTCGAGGGGTTGCCGGAGTACTACTGATATGATGAAATGTATATACAAATATTTCTACTTTGAGTTTTGTGTTGGATGTACATACCATGTGTTTTTATTATTGTTCTATACTTGCATTGTTGGTAGTATAAAGCCGTTTACACTTACCATGATGACCGATTTGTTTTGCGTAGATGTTTGGTAGTACTGATATTTCATTTGTATCTCAACGCCCGTCTCTTTGATGTCCTTCACCCGTTTAGTGGTTCGTCAACCACCTTATCTGCAGTCCATGAAGGTGACCGATGGAACCAGCCGCCCTGTTCCCACAGCCCAGCTTGATAGATACAAGAATCGCGAGCTGCATCACACCTAACTCCGCCAAGCAGCACATTGGCGCGCTGGAAATCAATTGGTTTCATGATCCAGCCATCGAATCCGGAATCAACATAGCTTTGCCAGTCCTTCTCCACCAAAGATGCGGAGACAGCAAACACGGGTGTTCGAGCGTGATCTGTATTTGCTTGCATTTGCTCCTCGTTCTGACGAATCATTCTCGTAGAGCCTACGCCGTCGACGATCGGCATCTGTGAGAGCACATTAAATTATTAGCGAAACCATAGATAACCAATGGATGGATGATAATTAAGGATTGCATTTTCCTTACTTGTAGATCCATCAACACTGCATCAAACGAATCAGGACTCTCTCGATAAACAGAGGCGCATTCCTTGCCGTTCCCTGTCATGCGCACTGAATGTCCGAATTTCTCAAGTCTCTTCCGGACAATGATACTGTTGATCGGGTCATCTTCCGCGACTAGAACGTGCAGCTTGCATTGTGCAGTGTTTGGTTCGGGGGATGTAGCGGGTTTAGGTGCGTCTGTTGTTGTTTTTGCCGATGTTGCAGGCTTGGCTTGTCCAGCTGGAACCTCTTTGACGGGAGGTTGAGTCTCTTTTAAATTGAGTTCGGAGGGGCTATCTTGCTCAGGCGATGAGGATAATTTCAGCCATGTTTCTGGTGTTGTCTCGTTTGGTTCTGGGGTTGGCAGCTTGGTCGTTTCCGACGTTGGCACAGATTTCTGTGTGGATACGCCAGACTCCAAGGAGATATCAACGTTCAGGAAGGGCTTGTCTTTGTCGTGGAGACGGCTAGCTTGCTCATTACTTTCACCACAGAAGCATGGGACACCGTCCGATTCCTGGTTGGGCTTGTCGATCGTCTGAATATTGTCCCTGGAGAATGGTTCATCTGTTCCTGGTTTGGCTGTGTGCTCGCTTTTTGAACGAGATAATGTACCCGCACTGGAAGAAGCATTTGGAGCAGCCGGGATTTCCTCCACAGAAGACACCTGAAACTTCAGCCTAACTTTGAAGCAGCTTCCTTTCCCGTATTCTGACTTCACGCTAAGCTGTCCATCCATGTTCCGAACAATCCTAGCAACCAGCGCCAGGCCCAGCCCAAGAACAGATTTCGACTCCGAAGACAAGTCAGCGGAGGAATTACCGACAATGTTAGGGCTCTGGATATAGCCCTTGTTTGAGACCTGCTCAAGCTCACAAAAGAGTGCCTCCACGGTGTCCCGAGACATGCCAGAACCCGTATCGTGGATAGCCACCTCAATGGCAATATGTCCCGGCTCACCACAATCTGAGAGTACACAAGACTCAATTGTGACAGCTCCCGTAGATGTATGTTGGATGGCGTTGCTGATCAAGTTGGTGATTACTTGGCGGACACGTCGTTGGTCGCCCAGCACTGGAGGTAGGGAAGAGTGTTGAACCACCTGAAGATCCACGTGTTTCTGCATCGCTTCTTCCCAAAAGATATCCGTTGCCTCAGACAGGGTCTTAGTGAGGTCGAAGACCTCATTTTCAATGAGACTCCGGCCGTTCTCGGCATTGGTCAGATCCAGCAGGTCGTTGATGATGTATATGAGGGACTTGGACGCGGAGTGGGAGCGCGAGAGATTCTCTCTTGTTTCTTGGTTGAGAGATCCGTCCAGTACAATTTCCAGGTAGTTGATTGTGGCATTTAGGGGGGTTCGAAATTCATGTGCAGAGTTTGCCAGGAGGAGTCTCATGAGCTGGTTGTTCTGCATCGCTGCCTCTTTTTCTTGCCATATCTCCGTGAATGTCCTATAAAGCAGGGACAGCATGGATGCTTTCCCGAACTCTGCGGCAGACCATTCAATTGATTTCTCGGATACTTTGACAGTTGTTTTTCTGTCATGCTCACTCATATGTCGACCGCCGGCTGAGTTGGCTCGGAAGAATATGATGAAGTCGGTCCCGTCAGCAGACAGCGGTATATAGAGTAAGCCAGCAAGATGATGGAAGCCCGGCGAGTAACTCAGGTCTTGAAAGTCCACTGTGATATCAGTGGACCACAAGACCGTATCCAGCTGCTTGGCTCTCAAATATTCAATCAGAACAAGAACCTCTTGAGAGTCCGGCGGTTTGCCAAGAATCTTGGTTTCGGCCATTATAGACGCAGCGGCGTAGTCGGCGCCAAAAAGACCAAGTAGATCGCCGGATGGGGCACTGATGTGTGACAAATCACTGTCTGAAGAGACAACGGTTTGATCTGGCATTGGAAATGGAAGAGTGTATGAGAGACGCTCAATGTTGCTCGAAACAGCTTCAGCAATGGACCAGCATGTCTTTTGGACGAGTGGGTGGAGTTTTTGGCTCGCGTCGTAGGACTGACAGGATATCAAGCCCCATAACTTGCCGAAAACACTAATATTAATGGATAAGCAGGCATAGGTAGGAGTGCCTGCAAGGTGCTTGGAGGGTGCAGAGGCGGTGGAGAGATAGGTGTGTTTCATGTCCAACGCGGTCTTGTTCGTCGATGTCCGGAATACCAGCTCCGCTGGATCTGTTGCATTGCAATATGAGAAACATACGGTGTTACGCAGATATGATTTTTTCATATTATCTGGAAAAGTCGATTCGGGGAAATGAATACCTTCGTAGGAGGCCAAGTTCAAGGATGGGTCGACTGCTTCGGCCACAACGATGCCATTTCGATCTGCGTCAAAATGGTACATCGTCACTCGGTGGAATTTTGTCAGCTGCTGGAGGGCAAAGATGATGTGATGAACCAGCGATTCTAATGTCTGTGCACTCGCCATCCGTTGAAAGATTCTGGGAAGGGTGTTTAGAAGTTCTGTAGATTGTACAACCTCGCCGTCACCTAAATTTGGCAAAGTCGTAAGCGATTCGGTCTTGCTGAACACATTGTCCGAAGACTCGGACATTGGTTGTGTATCCTTTGTTTCCAAGTTTCCCTCCCTGTCTACTGGAACATCTGGCTCCAGCTCACAAATGACATAGTCTTGAAATGCTTTGCTCGTGTGCATGGTACACCACAAGTTCCGAGTACCGCCTTCCGGGGTGATGATAGAAAGACAAAAGACCTCAGCACCAAGCCTTTCGACATCGTAGTCGTCACTCAGAACGAACCTGGCATGGTCCAGGAAAGTGTTCTTCTGTGAAGAAAACATAATATTGCAAAATGATTCGAGCTTGAATAGTTCATCCGTAGAGTAACCCATAATATCTCTGGAGTTGCTGCTCACAATTTGGACGTTCAGATTACCACCAGATCCTGATACCACTAGTAGGGTCCCGGACGGCTGTATGGTAACGGCTCTATCATCTTCTCGTGAGTGAAGAACCCAATTCATGTGCTCATGAGTAGCCAAGATATTTCCTCCTTTGCGAATGGTCTGCTGGAGTTGTGTCGATAGGCTGATAATGTCACCAGGACTGCGATTGCAGACCGAATGTTGCCCACATGGAGATGCGAGGGTTCCGATCTGGGGAAAGGAAGGAGAGCCGGGCGTTGAGCCTTTGGCAAGTTCCGAGAGAGTACTCTCCAGACTAGTCTTTTTCTGATGCATACGAGACAAATAGTCCGGTCTTTTGGAGGCAACTGGGCCGTGATCGGTGTCTTTCTCCCGGGAGCTGGCTGTCTGTGCGGTCCCTTTTTGATCGTCGGTAGTGCTGGTCCAGAAAGCGTCGGAGAATGGTGATATGGGGCTTTCCAACTTATCCAGCGAAGGTGTATGTAACGCTGACGAGGGATTTGAGTCGAACGAAACCACTGAGCGAATGGGGAAAACACGTTCGGCCGTCTCGCTTCCTAGATGGGGCAGCCTTAGCTTCGAAGGAAGGAGTTCGGGTACAGATGGCATCTCTGTCTTTGTGTCGGACAGAATACACATGGACTTTGGTACGGACCACGTCCGGGCAAGGGTTCGCCTGTCCTCGGCTGATTTGTCGTCCTTCTCATTTTGTTCGTTGTGAACGATCGACCAGTTGCCGCATGTGCTGAATTTGGAGGGTGTAGTCATATTTCTTGTAAAGCCTACTCAAACTAGATGTTAGTCGCTTGCTGAACCGAAGTCTTCCTTAAATTCCAACAGTTTAATATGGAAATTAGAGCAAATGGAACCCTACTCTTGACAGCAATAGCGAGAGAAGCTGCAAATAATCTGCTCAAAGAATATCCCCAAATTTAAGATCTCACATCACAAGCTGATAATAAAGAAAAGACACTCCCATTGATGACAATGATCAAAACAGATTTTAAGACTTTCCCGGGGGGAGTATAATCTCTCGCCTCCGAGTACCACGGCACATTCCCTCAGCATAACCGACCAGCCTACCAGCGCTCAATCCAAACGAGGATAAGGCTTCCCACGAGGCGCACATTTTCGGTTCCTTCGTCCGGTTCGCCAGGGACTACCACCGGGACGGGGAGCGCAATCTTTCAGCCGGAAGTCCAGGACCATGGGTATGGTGGGCGAGATCATTGCGTGAATGGGATCTCTCGTGTTGGTCTTTACAGGCCTGTGGATTCATCCAAATTTCAAGATGTGGAGTATTGTCCACCCCTGAGCTTGACGGGATTAAGATAGAGACTACGGTACGCTAGGCGCATTCGATATACATGGATCGCCGGGACTATCGATGTGTCTAGACGCGGAACAGCCGGAGCTTGAGGTATGCTTGTTTTGCTTAGGCTTTGTGCTTATATTCTGTTTATTTCTATTAAGCTTGCTGTCGAACACTACTATGCATCTATAATGGAGTTCTGTGGAAGCCGAAGCCATCTACGAGGTGAAACTCCTATTGACAACCTTCATTTCGGAGACATAGAGCATCACCACCGAATGAACTGCTAATTCCCCTCTCGGGCCACTATTCCGGTCAGACTTACACCCAACTCTGGGAGTCGCCATTATGTGCCACACAATGGCCCTACTTGTATCTAACTCGTGGACCTCTTCTCCGATTTGGTGGGTGGCTGACCATGCAACCGTGACACCCAAAAACTTGGTTCAAATGCGAAATGCTTTTTGTTAATTGTTTTCAGTTTCTCTAAAGTATCTTTGCGTCTGTAGCCGAGCGCCAAGATCTGAAATTCCATTTACAAGGTAGAGATAAACACCTAGGGACAAACTTGCTGTCCAGTGTAGTGAAAACAGACTAGTTACCTGATAAAGGTAACCACGAACATTTATTGTAGGAAGTCATGAAAAGTTCAATTGCGTAGGTACGCCAAAAAATTCGAACAGAAAAATCTACAACCAAAAACTCCCCACCCAAAAAAGGTCGTACCATATCAAAGTAATCATTAAATCCTGCAGGAACGCAGGCTGGGCCCTGCACCGTGCTAGTCGTGCCGCGTCACCGGAACCGGCAATGTACACACACCAGACCATAGCATCGAGACTCGACCCATTATTATTATTATTCACCAACGTCGGCCATAAACTGAATTATCAGGTCTCACAGGAGGCCGGTGCGGCTGCTGATACGGACGATTGCGATGATCTCGGGACAGATCAGACAGCGATGACGATGGTGGAGCAGCGGCGGGGGGCTCGTCCGCCGAGCTCAGCAAGCGGGTCGACTGCTTGAAGTCGAGAGTGTCCTGTCTGCTAGTATAGCTGTGCTCGGCGTCGCGGCCAAAGAGGGCCATCATGTCGCGCATGGTCAGCTTGCCGGCTGCCGATTTGCCTTCGAGCGTCGCGTTGGCGAGCTCGCGCTTGCGCTCCTGTAGATCGACGATACGCTCTTCGACTGTGCCCTTGACTATCATCTTGTAGATTTTCACGTCTAGGGTTTGGTTTAGACGGTGGACGCGGTCGATAGCTTGCTCTTCCACAAACTGAAGAAAATGTGTTAATTAATAGTTCACGGGTTGTATGTGCAGCAGGGTACTTACGGGGTTCCAGAAGGGCTCGAGAATCACAACGCGACTGGCCGCAGTCAGATTAAGGCCGAGAGCGCCCGCGCGCAAGCTGCAGAGCAGCACGCGGGTCCCGCTGTGGTTTCGCAGCTTGTTCAAACTGGCCTCGCGGTGGTCGTTTCGCATTGCTCCGTCGTACCGCGCGAACCCAATATTGGCTCGTTTCAAGAAAGGCTCGACCTTGTCGAGCATCGAGGTGAATACGGAGAAGACAATAAACTTGTGGTCGGCGGATTCGCGGTTGAGGATCCGCATGAGATGGCGGATCTTGGTCGACGGAAGTATGTTGCTGCCGTCTCCGGGGTCTTGATAGATATCTTCTTCAGAATCGGTCTCGTTCTTGGAGTCAGATCCTTCCTCGGAGCTGCTCAGAACGATCGATTGGCTCTTCTTGCCAGTCGAGGAATCAACTTCATCCTCTGTCTCTGAATCTTCAGAATTCAACCATTCGCCGCCGCCTTCGGCGTTCTCGTCATCCGATCCTCCAGTCTTGCCGAGATTTAGTGCCTTACGCTGGTCCTCTGGAACGAGCCATTCGGCCTCATCTTCGTCGTCACTGTCAAGAATAACCCTGCGGTTCTTCCGCAAGCGGGCAGGCTGGGCCTCAGAATCTGCTTTGCCCTGCTTGTGCACCTTCTTCTTCGACTTGTGATTCTTTTTGGCCTTGCCCATGAAGTCTGTCTTCAGATCAGCCTCGCACTCGCTGCACCGACTAGTGCCGTTTTGGGTTTCCGCCGGGCTGAGCTCCATCTGGCACACATCGCACTTCTTTGTAACAACGCTGAGAGCCCCAAAAAGATCGGCCACAGAATCTAGATCGTCCTGCTTTCCTTGACTCTGTTGGGGTCCGTTCTGCAGTAGAACATCCTTATCCTTGGCCAGATCACTCTTAACCAAATCAGGATGATTGCAGGATTGGCGAAGTCGCAGCAGCAAGACCAAGGCGCCGGCATAGTCGAGTTTGGAACCGCCCATCATCTTATCAAGGCTGTTTTCAGTGCGTTGTTCTAGGCGCTGATAGAAGTTCAATTCACCGGGCATGAATTCAGCCTCCACTTTAATGACCTCACGTTCGGTGATCTGAAACCCATTCGAGGACTTCTTCTCTTCTTCACCAGACTCTGATTTCTCAGACTTGAAATTGGCGTTGAGTTTCAGGACGTCCTTGGTACGTCGCTTCATGAAGGCTTTCAGGTAAACCTGCAGACGCTGGATGGCTAGACCCCCGCGCCCATTAGCCAGGGGTCTGCTGATCTGGTCCCGCCAGGCTGCCAAGTCATCATATGGCTTGATGCGAAGGAATTTGATCAGACTTTGTAGCTCATCCAGGTTGTTTTGCAACGGTGTTCCGGTCAAGCACCAGCGGTACTCGGCGTCCAAGGCGCAAGCTGACTGTGTAGCCTTGGCATTGCGATTCTTGATTGTATGAGCTTCGTCGAGAATGATGCGGTACCAGTTCACGGAAAAGAGACCGGACTTTTTTGCCTTGTCCGCGGCTGAGGTGGCCGATTCCGAGGTCAAAGTCCCGTAGGTAGTGATCACTACGTCGTAATCGTCCAAAGATCCAGAAGTCTTTGCGCGGTTGGTTCCATGATAGAGGCAGACGCGGAGCTTGTGGGTCTTTTCCACTTTGGCATCAATTTCAAATTCCCATTGCTTGATGAGGGCTAAAGGGGCCACCACCAAGGTGCTCTTGCTGACTTTGGCAGATAGCTTCGGCTGGTCTTCATTGTCGTTGGATTCATCGCTGTGTTCGTGTTTCGGTCTGCGGTTTCTGAGCATGAGGGCGATAGCTTGCACAGTCTTACCCAAACCCATATCATCTGCGAGAATCCCGCCTTTGGGAAAGATGCCTTTGGTTGTTCTGCGGCCAGTCTCTTTGTCGCACATCCATCTCACGCCCTCAACCTGATGTGGTAGAAGCTGGACTTTCAGCCCTTCGACAGTAGCATCTTCTTCATCATCGTCCTCTTCTTCCTCATCATCATCGTCTTCGGCTTCGGCGTCGAGCTCGTCTTGTTCCTCGGCTTCTCTATCCTCGATATCTTGTTTAAATGTTTCCTTGGCGGTTGGGGCATCATCGGCCTTCTTTTCTTTCAATTCCATTTGATCCTTGACAGTGACTCCCTGGAGCTGATCGGCCAAATCATCAAGATCGGAGGACTCCTTCTTTTCGGTTGAACTCTTTTTATTCTTCTGGGTCTTTTTCTTGGTGTTCTTTTTCTTGCCCTTAGAACTCGAACGAGCCTTCTCCTTCTCCTCCTCATCCTCAAAGGCGCCCTCAAGCAAAGCCTTGATGTTCTCATTGGCCTTAGCCGAATCGACGTATCCATGCACATCCATAGCACCGAAGGTAGACGCATTATTGGTCTGCCTCGCGGTCGGGAAGCTGTCGTCCTTGGTCAAGTCGATGAACTTCTGGAGATTCTTCGACGCGTTGGACATCTTCGGGGGTATCGGCTGCGACGTGTAGATAGTTCTGGCGGCGCGGGGGGTAGTCCAGGTGACATTCTCGGGACGCTTGATTTCAGTCGCACCCGGAGGGATTACTGGTCTCTGGCTGGTATAGTCTGCTGGCCGGACGGGCTTGAACGGATCCCAAGGTTCGCTGCGCTTCACGGACGGGGTGGCATTGGTGCCCGGCGGGGCAGCTGGCCGATAGCTTTGAGGTACAGCATTCTGAGAACTGTGATATTGCGGCTGTGAGGTGGACACGGGCCGATGGTGTTCTGGGCGCGATTGGTTTGACTTCGGGACATTAAAGAGGTGGTTTGACCGAGACTGCGGCTGGCCGAGCGGAGATGGCTTTCCAAACTCAGGTTCCTGTACGCGCGGAGCCGAGGGCTGATCGTTTGGACGTCGCGGGGTGAGAGGGTGTTTTGGCGCATCGCTTTCTCTTGCCATGGCTGCCGTCTAGTCTGGATGCCGGTGTGGCAAGGAGCGTTACTTGGCGATGAGTTGGCGATGAGTTGGCGACGAGTTGGCGAGGCTTTTAAAAGTACCAATCGACAGGGTAGTAGCGACAGATGGATCTGAGATTTGGTGACGGAAAGAATGCTCTAAGTGGAACACTGTCTAGTCAGCCCTTGCACATTTTGCTGGGCGCAAAGAGTGCGCCTTCGGAGTCCCGCAGGCGTTTCAGGCCCTCAAAAACATCAACTGTGAACACTCACTTCAGATCAAGGCATTCCACATCGAGGACTGTGGTAAAAGAGTGGAGTGTGGAGGAGTGTGAAAGCAAAGAAGAAGAATGAAAGACAAGAGCCGACGTTATCGATAACCACCGATTTGTTTGGGGCGGAGCGGGTCTGATGCCCCAGCAACGGGTTGATGCCTGGGTGCCTGAACAAGTATATACTACGATTGATGAGTGCTTTCTCGCTTGCTGATCTTATGCTCGTCGGTTTGCAATCATATGATACTCATGGTAGATTCTTTTGTGGCAGTCCCAACGTGTGGAATATAACTTTTCATGGAAGACCCAGGGCTAAATTCGATGCACTATACCGCTAAACTCAACGGACTATACGCTTGCTAACTGTACCACTCGTCAAATCTCTCCAATCACGCTCTTGAGAATCTCTGGCACGATAACACCCGCATCCCCCTGGAAGAACCAGTCTCCATGATCCAGCCCACTGCCAGGGAGATCATCGGGGTCCATATTGATCACCGCGACGCGAGCACCCTTGTCCCGCGCCTCATCCACATACCCGGCAGCAGGCCAGACGCGAGAGCTCGTGCCGATAACCAGCATCAGGTCGACCGGGGGCCCAGCTTCCATCCAGTTATCCACCGCCCTCAGCGTGCCAGCGGGTAAGCTCTCTCCAAACCAAACGACTCCCGGCCGGAGCAGACCGTTCTTGCACTTCGGACACTGGGGGAGGTTGGCTGGGGTTAGCTCGGGGATAGGGTTGCGCTGGTCGGAGATATCGACTTCGTGTCCTGCTCTGCTTTGGGAGAGTGCATTCTGAAGCGACTGGGACGCTTCTGCGCCAGTCTTATCGATGGTGGAGGGGTCGGGGTGCGCGGTTTGGGATGGGATGGCTAGAGCCGGGACGATGGGGTCCGTGAAGTCGTTATCCCGGGAGTAGTCGCAGTAGAAGGAGGTGCATCTGATATTGAAGAGGGAGCCATGGAGCAGATGTAGCTGTTCCGGCGGATGGTGCGCTCGCTGCGAGAGACCTATCGAAAACCACCGACAACACCGCGTAAGTCAGCTTGCCACGGAACGGGGTAGACAAGAACAAATAATCTGGTCAGCACCATCGACATTCTGGCTCAAGGTGATAAAATCTTTATTCCGTCGCGACAGCTCCGCTAGCGCGTAGTGTGCTCGGTTGGGTTCCGCCTTCAGCGCCATGTGTCGCCGATAGCTATAAAACTGCCAAACCAGACCCGGGTTAGCATTGAAGGCGCTCGGTGTCGCAAGGGAGGTGGCATCGTAGGAGCGCCAAAGGCCGCCTGCGCCTCGGAAGGTGGGAAGGCCGGACGACGCGGAGAGCCCAGCTCCGAGAAGTGCGAGGATACGTTTGCAGCCTTTCAAGTACTCGGAGAAGGACTGGAGGTCGGCGGCTGGGATAGCTATCGAGGACATTGTCGAAGACACTCGGATGGGTGGTTATTCCAACCAGGGCGTGATGAGAAAGTGAATGAGTTGCTTTGTTTTGTTTGGTGGGGATGACGTGGGGTGTCTCGAGTCAGTCAGTAATGGCCACTGGGCATACAATGGCAACAGTAGCGACCGCTATCACCTTCCATGTCGGACAACATAGAGAAGCTTCTTCAAACCCTAATCACATGCTACACTAATCCAGTATTTGAGGATCTGTTCCAAGGCTGAAAGGTATCATGCTCAATGAGGAAACACCAGTGTGAGGAATTTGTGTATGTATTATTGCAGCTCCAAAAATACGCCGCACCTACAATTGGCCAGAACGTTTTGTGGGCACTCGACATATCTTCACGGCCTGAAACGGCCTTCCTAGTGACGATTCGAAGGATTACTCTATGCACTGGTACTCCGATTGACCAAATATATGAGACGTGTTATTCTAATTGGAGATTCTGTTTATCGAAAATAAGTGCCGGCGCTGATTCAGCTTCGAAGGCCTCGGGAATAAGGCATTAAAGTGGACGAATCTAACACACCAGTTCCGAGGATCCTCTTTACCCGACAGAATCCAACCCCAGAGAGATCCTGCCGAATTACAGTGGACATTTGAAAGCCGCTTCCTCAGTGGAACTAGATCATCCTGCTCCGTCTGCACCGGCTCATTCATTCCGAACTGGGAACATTCTGAACTCTTTGGCACGTCATCAATATCAACTCGACTTGGGTAATCATTGATCAAACGCTGGGCAGCTCTACTGCACCCAGATGGAGCAAGGTACCCGAGAGCCATGTTATACTTGTCGTCGTCGCCGCATTCAATGCGACAGATCCCAAATGCCTTGTGCCAAATGTGTCAAGGCCGGAATAGAGTGCTTCGACACTAGACCACTAAGATGGGTCAAAGGGATTGCCATTCGGGGTAAGATGCAAGGGCACTCATACGATGGCCATTCAGCTGCTTCGCCCGTGGCCACTATCATACACACGTCAACCAAATCGGAGCAATCTCTCGTCAAATCCTCTACCAGAAACCTTCAGCCGACAGTCATCAACTTTCCATTTATGGTGCAACATCCATCGTTCTCAACAATGAACAGAATCTCTAAATATTACCTGGACTATTGTGGGTCCTCTCTTACGGAGTTCTTCCAAAAGCGAGAACGCGCTGACGAACGACATCCAGATAATGAGCGCATATGCAAACTCTTCATTGTGTACGACAGTGAAAGAAATCCTTTCAGAAATCTCATCCCGCTTGGATTCGAGGATCCAGTTCTACTGAAGGCTATTCTTACTCTAGCCGCACGCCATCATGCCAACAGTGGTCAGCCTTTCCACCAACTTGAAGGCACCGCGTCACCTGAGTTCATCAAAATCAATCACGATGCACTTCTCTTCAAACACGAGGCCGTGAAAGCACTCTCAAGTGCTCTAGCTGATACATCATCAGCCAAGCGTGACTCTATAGTGGCCAGTATTTTCCTATTGATATTTCTGGATCTCCTCGAATCTGGCAGTAGTGGTTGGAATTTCCACCTTGAGGGTGCCAAGCGTTTGATCGCCTATACAGAGCCTCCCGAAAGTCAAAACGGGATAAATGGTGGGCTTGGACAAACCGTGCAGGAGATACGAACATTCATGATGAAGCAAATACACTTGTACGAGGCTGTCATCCACGAAACTGAAAGGCTATTTAGATTTCTAACTCCTACATCCACTCAGAATTGAAATCCTTGGGGCGACATTTCTTCGACCAAAACTATTATCCCAGCCCACGCCTTATAACCAATCTGACGCTGAGCCACCGGAAGCCATCGAACAGTCCTTTTTGGGGTGCCCAGGATATCTTTTATCGGCTATACAGCGTCTCTCTGCGCGAAGAGACAGCATCGCTGGCCCCGAGCCTCTTGATGATATCGCTATTCAGTCTCATGTACGAGAGACTACTGCTGTGATACATCAAATTCAAGCCTTTGATTGCTACATTTGGGCCTGCAGTCTCAAGCAACCGCAACCTCAATCTTCCTCTAGGCAAGAGATCGGCAATCTTTGCAAACTGTCACAGACCTACAAGACTGGAGCTCTGATCTACGGAGGACGTATCCTAGACGCTTTGAGTCAGGATACCACTCCACCTTCGGGACAGGATGGCTTGGTTTCCGAATCCCTCGGACTGATCGATGCCCTAAGAGAAGACCAAGATTTGTTCAAGTGCATACTTTGGCCGATCTTTGTGACCGGTCTAGAATGCCGATGGCAGGCTGAACGAGAATTTCTCACTGGCTGCTTAGACAAATTCTGGATAGCGACGAAGTGTTTGAATGTGATTAATGCGGCTGAAATCTTGCAGGAATATTGGCAGCAAGAAGACAGCAAACCCCCCGGGGAGAACTCGTCACGTTGGATTTTCAATATTGGTCGTGCGGGCCAGGACTGGCTCCTGATATAGAGAAAATTAAACATAATAACAACTCCCCAAATCCATTTGCCAAAAGCATAATAGCTAAAAAAAAGAACATAATAAAGTAGACATTTCAACCCTCCACAAGTGCCTTGAAAGCCTGAAGCAAATCACCCTTCAGATCCTCCCAATTCTCTAAACCAACACTAATTCTTAACAACTTCCGGTCAACCTTAGAATCCGACAACGCCCGCCATTCAATCAAAGACTCCACTCCACCCAGACTAGTGGCATGCATGAAGAAATCGAGCTTGCTTGGTAAAGAGCGAGCAAAGTCTTTATTCTTCAAAATAATAGAAAACACAGGCCCGAAGCCATTAGGCATTTGCTGGCGCACCCATGGCTCAGTCTGAAGCGATGCATGGGAAATATCCTTCAACACCATCTGAATAACCTGCTCATCACCGCCCACGACAGGATTCTGTGCTTTCAGAGCATCATGCAACCAGGATACCAATTTCTCGCAATTCTGGCTCGCGCGATGGACGCGGACCTCGAGGGTACGCAGACTCCGAGTACCGAGCCAGCCCTCGAGATTACCCATCACATTTCCGATCGCGGAGCGGTCTTCGTATAGCTTTTTTGTCCACTCGGGGCGCTTAGTTGCGAGCACACCGCAGAGGAGATCGCTGTGGCCGCCGAGGTATTTGGATCCGGAGTGCATCACGATATCAGCACCGAGCAGGAAAGGGTCTTGCAGGCCTGGAGGAGCGAATGTGCTATCCACGACGAGATATGCTCCCCTTGAGCGGGCCTTGGCCGCGTATTCCAGGATGTTGACGGCTGTGCCGAAGGGGTTGATTGGCGTTTCTAGTAGGATAACGTCTCCTGCTTGCAAGTCCTCGGCAGGACAGTCCAAAGGAAGCTTTTGCAGGCCTGAGAGGCGGGAGATCACTGAGATAACCTCATGGCTACCGTGGTACCCTTCACCCACAGAAATTCGACGGGGATTTAAGAGAGTCAGTGCTGCATGGAACGCTGCAAGTCCTGATGAGTAGCTCACTGCCTCGCCATTAAGAAGGGATGAGCAGATTGCTTCGAAGCGAGTTGCATTTGGTGCGAACTCTCGAGCGTACACGAAGTTCTTTCCGTCGAAATCGCCCTGAATGGTGTGTTAGGTCGCAGGTTCAGGTATATCGGAGACAGAATGCACGGCACATACAATGGGATCTTCGGAGGGAATTAGATCCTCCGGTTCCCTGGGAAATCTGAAGGTCGTGGACAAATGAATTGGAGGTGCGACATCAGTCACCAAGTTCAGCTTATCATCGGCGTGCAATGCCTGGGTAGCTGGGTGGCTATTGCTCTTTGGTGGCATTATTGATCAGACTCGTCGCTTTGCGGGTGACGGGACGGTAATATGGTGGGATGCGACTAAATTTCAAGGCCTTGAATTCGATTTCTGCGGGCCAGGTGTCTTATTTATATCAATTCTCGAGGAGGATTGAGCTATTAGCTATGGAAGCGAACAAACTTGGACATATCAGCCCCACTGGGTCAAATTCCTGACTGAGAACTCGGCCAATCAGCGATCTGATAGCATGGCCCCACTCCCGTCAAGTTCCTAATGCGGTTGGTTCCGTTCGATGAGTTTTCGATCAGCGCATTTTGTATCTCCAAACAGCGAATTATATTGGCAAATTCAGACCCCTCCAATTCATATTCTAACAAAGCTCTGACATGACATTTTTCGGTGGCTAGAGCCAACAGCATCTTCATGCCCTATCTGAAAGGACGTGAAAACTGTGCGGCGAAGAAAAGAATGAAAAATATAAATATGACGAATCCTTAAGTCTAGAATTGCATGACATTGTGGTTTGAACTTCGCCGCTTCTAGCCACATACCCTGGGTCTTGGACAGTTCTCAGACGACCCCAACGTCTGATATTTATTACCGAGTGAGGGACAAAACAAATAATTTACCTATACATATCTGGATCAGTGTATCATGTAATTGGAGTTTGAAAGAGCATCTCGATGTTTCTGACATGGAAGGCGATAGCGGTCACCTCTGTAGAAAGAGATGAATCACATTACACCACAACGTGGCATTTTCGATTCAACCACCTCGGCAAAGAATGGACTCATTGGACTACGGAGATTTGGACAGTCAACAAGAACAAGAACCGCCAGAGCTCTATATCTGCAGAAGAAAGTTGACATGGTTTCTCATCAAAATTAATTAACGTACAACCCAATGCATTGAAATAATGCCGTAGGAGAAAAGAGCAAGACAATTTATTACATATCCTTAGGACCCTCGTAGACGGGATGGAGGGTGGAACTGTCCGGTGTGGGTGGAGCATTCGCTGGCGTTTCTTCAATTTCCTCCTGCAAGATGAGATTGAGGAACATAGCCACACTAGTTGATGATCGATTATCAGTATTTAGTCGATACGGCGGCAAGTAAGTGCAGATAACGCAAGAGGAAGACAGATCGATACTTACAATGCGGTCACGGCAAAGCCAGTCTCCAGAACGAGGATGACGGCATCCTCCAAACCCAGGAGGCTCTTGTTTGTGGTAGGGCTGAAGACATAGGCGAACCAGGTGGGGACGAGAGTCGCTCCGTAACTGTGATTTAGTCATTATGGCTGTTGTTGTGACGATCAGAAAGGAGAGAAGAACGAACCCCAAAGCCAACGAAGCTGTCATGACGAAACGATTGCGACGGGTGAACGGCACTTTCGAGATAATCGCCAGACCACTGACGGCCACAGAAGTGAACAGGAAGGTGGTCATCCCCCCAAGAACGGCGGAAGGAATGGCAGTGATGGCGGCGGCGAACTTGGAGAAGATTCCGGCGATGATCAGGAAGAGACTATACGATTGTGTGAGAACCCATCATCGGAGAAACCATCGTCTGCTTCAACGATTGCTTCTATTTATTGCGGTCTACATACCAGCAGCAGTAACCCGCTTTTCGGTTGGCACAGCGGGTCAGAGCAATGACACCGTTATTCTGAGCAAAGGTGGTCATAGGCGTCACCGTCATCAGAGAGGCGGCTACACAGTTGAGGCCGTCCGCTAAGACCGCACCCTGCAGACGGGATTCGAAGACCTCGCCCTCGACCTCGAGGCGGGAGACATCGCAAGTGGCGGTGGTGTCTCCGATAGATTCACAGGCGCAGATGATGGACACGGCAAGGAGAGGGAGCACGAGAGGACCATAGACTTGGAGTTTGAAGGTGTGAACCCAGATGAAGGAGGCGACAGGAGCCTACAGGAACCATCCGTGATAAAATGTCAGAATCGGTTCATTAAAACAACAAGAACGCTCAAGATGAATGATCTGTTCACTTACCTCATTAATGCCCGAAGGATCGAAGTATCCGCAGGCCGCAGCAATGATGCAGCCGACCAACAGACCGAGAACGACGGAGCAGGACTTCATGATGGGGGACCCAAATCGCTCACAGATGAGGATAGTCAAGAAAACCACAAACCCCAATCCGACAAATTCGGCACTACCCCAGGGTAGCGCGTGCGGCGCACCGACTTGGGGACACACCATGTACATGCCGCTGGTGGGCCGCGACATACAACTACCGGAACCACCGAGCCAGTCGTCAAAGCCACTTTGGACCAGGGAGAGCCCGATCAGCATGACCGTGGGGCCGGTGACAATGGGTGGGAAGATCTTGCGCAGCGTCTTAGGGGGGATGAAGGACAACAGGATTTCAATCAGGGCCGTGACGGCGGCGGTGGCTATCAGGGCGCCGTAGCCATCTGGGCAGGGCAGCGGCGTCCCATCGTCGGCCGTGGGACAGAAGCCATTTTCGTACATCTGAGCGAAGGCGGCGGGACCGACACTGATAATTGCGAAGGAGACCCCAACGACGGAGAGCACGCCGGAACCGACGTAGTAATTGGTTTTGTAGACATGGAAGCGGGTGATCTGGACCGAGGAGAGCAGCCCACAGACGATGAGCGAGACTGAGACCAGGTATTGAGTCAGCTCAGCAGATAGGTTCAGACCGGCGGCCAGAATGATGGGCGGCGTGACGATGCCGGCCAACATAGCCAGCGCATGCTGCAGCCCTAGCAGCAGCGCCAGGAACACCGGCATAGGATCATTCAGGCCAAAGAACGGCGCGGGCCGAGGATCCTTCTTGAAGAAGGGAATGGCGGGTCGAAAAAGGAACGCATAATCGTAATCCCCGACCAGGCCCTCTCGAGTAGTGAACGCCTTGACGACCCGTCGCATGCGCTGACTGAAACGCAGCTGGGGCGTCGTGCCCGGCACGATGATGTCGGGGCCATCCGTCGAGTGGATGGAGTGATCCATCTGGGCGCAGGGCTTAATCAGACCAGACCGTGCGTGTACGAGGCAGTGAGAATACAGAAAGTGAAGGAGTGCTGATACATAAGAAGAACAACAGACGCATGGAACGATCCATCAAGGAGGGTTCCGCGCGTGCATTTTGTCTCCGAATTCCAGGCTGATTCTAATCGGAGTCATGTCGTTACTGTGATGATAACGTCCACCGCTGAGGCGTTCCCAGACCGATGCTTATCCGTTGATTCGTCAGGAAGGGGACGATAGAAGCCGGATATACGGTATCAAAGCTTCGATAACGACCGGGCCAAAGCCGAGATAAGCAGGGAGGGAGGCGGTGGACGCTGAGATGAACCATCCCAGCCAGTGGGTTACGTAGTCTCGCCGGTGATCAGCCTATCCAATCACACGCGAATGACCGGTGCTCTGGCCGCAAAGCTCGGTCCGACGCCGGAGGAGCGCTTGGAGGGAATTTGCTAAGGGCAATGTTCTTATCAGTCTTCTCCTGATTGTCGTGTTTTAAGTGAGGTCCGTCGGCCACCTCCGACGCGTGCCTGAAAGATCACCAGTCGACCCCGGAGGTGGCCAGTTCCGTTCCCAATTCCGTCGAGTGAGTGGTGAGGGAATGAATGGGGTCCCGAGAATTTCTGGACTGGTATAATCACCAGATGCTACCGATCTCAGGAAGAAAAGAATAAACAATAATCATCCACAACTATAGCGACGATGCTCTACACCCATGCCACCATCATCACGGTGGATGCCTCGCGACGCATCATCGAGGACGGGGCGATCCGCGTCGACGGCCCTGTCATTGCGGACATTGGCAAGACGGCAGCCCTGCAACAGAAGTATCCCCACGACGAGCAATATGACCTGACCGGCCGCATCGTCATCCCCGGCTTGATCTCGACGCATATGCACACTGCCCAGACGTTGCTCCGGGGCACGGCCGACGATCTGGAACTGGTCTCGTGGTTGTGTGAGCGGATCTGGGTCCTGCAGGGCAATTTCACCGAAGAAGATGGCTACGCTGCTGCTCGGTTATCGATTGGGGAAATGTTGAAATCGGGCACCACCTGTTTCTTGGAGAGTATGGTTAGTCCTTCCTTGCTCCTTGCTGTTTCGTTTCTTCTCGAATCACGACGATGAGTCCTGTTCTTCAATTGTTCGCGAGAGCGTTCTAACGGGTATAGTTCGCCAACCGGTACGGTTTCGATGGATTGGCTCGTGCCGTCGAGGAGAGTGGCATTCGCGGCTGTTTGGGTAAGATTGTCATGGATATTGCCAAATATGCCGAGGACGACGCCTGGGCCATGTATCCCGGCCTGGTCGAGGATCGTGAAACCTCGCTGGGGGGCACCCTGAAGATGTGGGAGAAGTGGAATGGCAAAGCCAACGACCGCATCCGCGTCTGGTTTGGCGCAAGAACCCCCGGAGGGTAAGCACTCTGGCTCCCTCCTCGCAGAATCCCCCTCCTGACCGCGGAACACAGCGTGTCCGACGCCCTCTACAAAGAAATGACTGCTCTCTCGCGTGAGAAATCCATCCCCATCACTATGCACTGCGCCGAAGTCAAGGCCGACCGCGACTTCTTCGCCTCCGTCTCCCACACGCCCATGTCCTACTGTGAGTCCGTCGGTCTGTTGTCGCCGTCCACCGTGCTCGTCCACATGGTGCACCTCGATGACTCCGACATCCGCCGGCTGGCAGCCTCGGGCACCCACGTCGCCCACTGCCCGACATCCAACGCCAAACTGGCCTCGGGGATCTGTCGCGTCCCCGATATGCAGGCGGCCGGTGTCAATATCGGTCTGGGCACGGACGGCGCTCCTTGCAACAATACCTGCGATCTGCTGCAGGAGATGAAGTTGGCGGGCATCATCCACAAGAGCATCTCGTACGATCCCACGGCTGTGCCTGCCGAGACCGTCCTGGAGATGGCCACCATCAATGGTGCCCAAGCGCTGGGTTTGCAGGATACTATCGGGAGCCTGGAGATCGGGAAGAAGGCGGACTTCGTCGCGGTTGACATGCGCGGCATCCATTCCCAGCCTTGGTTTAACCCGGTCAGTGCCATCGTGTACACGGCCACTGGGCGGGATGTCGACTTGGTCGTCGTGGACGGCCAGGTTGTGGTCCAGGACGGCAAACTGCTAACGATGAACGAGACGGAGATTGTCGAGGAGGCGAAGCGGCGGAGTCGCGAGGTTGTGGCACGGGCAGGCTTGACGGACAAGGTGAAGTCCCGATGGCCGGTCGTGTAGGGAGACCAATGGATCGATCGCCGACAGCCCCATGTTCATGTATGTTCATGTATCGGTCATTAAAGTTGCATCCAGAATAGACCTCGACTCTTTGTTCGCCTACCTTTCATCTTCGCAAGTGTCGTGTCATGAAGAAAAGTGAGCTGAATTTCCTAGCTTTTCGAACATTTGCATCAACAGTTTGTAGCATTAGGAGTTAGAGGTAGCTTCACTACTCCCATCACTGATTTTGCCTGCCTGTGATTCGATCGGCGGCTGGCTTCCTCCATCAATCTGGGACATCAGTGGTATGACAAAACAAAGCCTACCCGATGATCGGCAAACAATCTAGTCCGCCTTTCTTGTATCGGTGTCGGCTTACACTGAGAGCTAATTATGCGCTAGTTTACGCCGAAAAGAATGATCGAACTGATATCTAGCGCTCCTTTGGCAACGCTAACGAGGGTGAGGAAGCTCATAAGAAGGATTGGGACCTTAGGGACGAGGATCTCAAGACTCTTTGTTAAGGCCAGATTAGCTTGGCTCTGCTGCCAAATCCATTGTGATTACCTCGTAATAGAAGTTAATATGAAATATACCACAGGTCATTATACCAAGCTTAAAATATGGGTAATGAAGTTATTAGCTTATGCTTCACTGGTCTAAATATACCCTGAAGAAAAACGTTTTGATGTTAGGAGATATTCATATTAAGAGAATTGGATGAAGCTGACATCAAAAGTGCAAGAAGCAACGCTCGAGAACCTTGCTCCAATTTCGAATTGCGATTTGCCCAAGATTTCTGCACGAAGAGGGCTTGTTTCTTTTAAAGACAATGCAGTCCTATCACGGGGCAGGGACTGTATTGGATGAGAAAAGTGCTAGTAGGTTAATCCATTCCAAAATCAATATCTGTAGGGTCGTTCCTGGCGGCTAGCTCCCTTACGGAACTGGTGTTGAATTGACCTTCTCTTCCTCCCTTCCCTTTTCTTCTCATCCTTTTTCTTCTTCATCTCATCTTAGTCACGCTTGGTGTCAACTAGCTTCGGGATACAACTAGCAAAGATCCGACGCCTGTGCACGTCTAATCTGCCTCACGCCTATCATGTTTTTTGCTGGCTTTTGCAAATAAAGAGCGAAAAGTTCCCCGTATAGTATATTATTCAATATGTCCAAAAAGAAGAGCACTTATCTTCTACTTTCAAGGAACGATAAATTCTTACCTTTGCTTTCGAATTTGGGACCTGTCTAACGAGGTCTTCTTTTTTGGTAGTTTGGTTGATGTTTTAGAGTCTGATACTCTCCTTCCTAACATGTATGCAGAGGCCGTGGAGCTTTATTCTTTACCCAACTTTGATGGGAATGAATAATAGTGGGGAATAAATAGGGATACCTGGGCTTTTGAAACTAAGTCCCCAATTTATGCCACAAAATCGACATTTGCTTAAAGCCCATGGCAGTCCCTACGGGATAGCAGACCGAGTGGACTCCTGCCGGCGGCTGAACTTGAAAATTTATGTGTTGATGTGAGTAGCGCTTTCTCAACCGCATGATATAAAGGAGCACATCATCTGCATACCAATTGTGTCATCTCATCTCGGCCGATATGGTCTCCATTACTGAAATACTCTCTAAAGTAAGACTTTGCACAATAATTTGACTTCCAGTCATCCGAATCTAGTTCACCAAAGCAGATCAGTTGATGTCGTCGTGTAGAACTATATCCGCACCATAATCACTACCAATGATGTAATGAAATATCCAAATCCTAAAAGGAGAATAATGTTTCATACATGGCAAACTACTTAGAGCTACTCAATTATTCTCCAAATCCCAGTTATCTGAATTGATTATTACTTCGAATATCCTGATTTTTCCATTCACCATGACCACCACAGCAGCTCAAGATACTACCCAAAACCACCTTAAGAACCCTATGGATATTGAAAAACAGAACTCAGGTAGTCCATCTGCAGTTGATCCTCCCAAATCCTTAGGGGCAGGGGTAAGTACATGACTCTGCAACAAGACATCCGAACCTCTAACACCCTTCTTTAGTCCGCATTGGCACTTGGGGCGTTCGGTACAACACTGACGACTCTCTCACTGAGTCTGATGGAGTGGAGAGGCGTCACCACGACAAATGTCTTTGTTGCGAACTTCTTCTTTATCGCTGCCTTTGGGCTGGTGGTGACCGCCCAATGGGAGTTATCCATCGGAAATGGCTTTGCATACACTGTTTTCAGTGCATTTGGTGAGCTTCAAAACGAATCATGTCTTGGGATCAGTGAGCTTATTCTATTCCTGACAGGCCTCTTCTACGCCGGCTACGGCGCTCTGCTGACTCCCTCCTTCGGAATAGAACAAGCATATGGCAACGACAACGCGCAGTATAACAATGCGGTTGGCTTCTTCATGATTCTGTGGACAGTCTTCGTGTTCACATTTTTCATAGCCTCCCTTCCCACAAATCTGGCTTACGTTTTAGTTTTCTTTCTCGTTGACCTTGGTTTTCTCATGGTTGCGGCCAGCTACTTTGCTGAAGCGGACGGCCATGCTGCTTCTTCTACTGCACTGAAGAAATCGGGCGGAGCGTTTTGTTTTCTGGCGGGATTGGTGGGGTGGTATATTGTTTTTCATTTATTGTTGAAAGATTCACTTCTGGAGTTACCGTTGGGTGACACTTCGAGGTACTTTGGGAAGAAGAAGGGTGACTAGAGTTGCTTTGGTGATAGGAGGACTTGGTTCATCCCAATGTCATGTGCATTCATAACTTTTTACAGATCCATTCGTTCTCTGCGACTTACTTAGCGGAAATAGAGTTGACTTTCCTTGAAAAGAAGACTAATCATCCCAGCGAGATGGGCTCGGCTTTGGTAACTTTGATAGCCTGGGTTTCGGCCCATAAGCAAAGACACGCTTCAAAAATACCCCAACTCTATGACACAGGTCTAGCGCAAGAATTCTTGGACTAGAATCATCAATCTCAAAGTGTTGCCTTATTATATATCTGAGTTGAGTTTGTTAGAACCAGGAATCACGTCAACTTCTCGGGCCCGGTGGACCGAGATGTCGCAATGATTTGCGCTTCCCATCAAATAACGACATACTTCTCTGACTTAACGAAATCGACGCAATTGGTAATGTCACCATTTTGGCCAAAAACTTGCAATCTAGCCATTTGTTCCAGTCGAGCTACTTGGATAGATATGCAGCGCTTTTCCCTACAAAAGGAAAGTAAAGAAGCATACCAACTTTCCCTGAATTAACAACCTCGTCGATCAGAATCATATAACTAGTCATTGTATTGAACGATGACACAGACACCTGTCCCAGCAACGGACCCGGCTGTTTACGCCCCATACGAGGCTAAGTGGTCTATCAACCCAGACACAGCAGACGCATGGCTCGGTCGCGCCCGCGAAGTCGCCGCCGTGCTGGCGCAGGACGCCGCGCAACGTGACCAAGAGAACAAATCGCCCCGCGCGGAGGTTGCCCTGCTCAAGCACTCAGGTCTGCTAAAGCTTCTTGGACCAAAGAAGTATGGCGGGGGCGCGCAGTCCTGGGAAGTGGGATATAAAGCAATTCGCGAGGTGGCCAAGGCAGACGGGTAAGACATGCAATGCACAAGACTGCTAGGCTCAAATTGATATCTAATGCTATATCTAGCTCTATTGGCATGCTTCTCGGTTATCATCTTCTCTGGTCAACGACAGCCAACGTCGTCGGCACCTCCGAGCAAGCAGATCGCATTAATGAACTGATCATCTCCAACAACTATTTCGTCGGCGGGGCCGTCAACCCGCGGGACAACGACCTGCGCATTACCTCAGATGGAGATAATATTATCTTCAATGGATCCAAGCACTTCAATACCGGCGGCGTCGTCTCCGATCTTACCGTCCTGGAAGGTGTGCTGGACGAGACGAACGATCATATCTTTGCCCTGGTTCCCACTGTCCAGCCCGGTATACAGTTTGCGCACAACTGGCACAATATAGGCCTGCGCCTGACGGAATCCGGTGGTGTCGCGATCAAGGACGTCCGCGCACCGTGGTCAGATGCGCTGGGCTGGGATACAGCAACTAAGAAACCGCGTGCCGATGTTTTGCAGATTCCGTTTGCCAGTTTACTCTTGCCGACGTGAGAAAACCATTATTAACTATTACTATGACCCATACTGACCTGTGTCGGCAGCATCCAACTCGTGTTCAGTAACTTCTACCTCGGCATCGCCATCGGCGCTCTGGAGTTCGCAGCGAAGTATACGACTACCTCGACGCGCGCCTGGCCATTTGGCGGTGACAACAAAGACTCCGCCCCCGAGGAATTCTACATTCTCGAGCGGTACGGCAACTTCTTTGCGCATCTACGTGGGGCTGAGGCTCTAGCTGATCGAGCAGGCGAGCGGCTATCCACACTTTATAGCCAGCACTCGACGAATAGAGAGGGCGTGACAGCTCAAGACCGAGGGGAGGTGGCTGAGTGGGTGGCCAGCGTCAAGGTTGTCACCACAGATGTTGGACTTAGGGTAACTTCCGGCGTGTTCGAGGTGACCGGGGCGCGGGCGACGGCGCTGAAAGTGGGCTTAGATCGGTTCTGGAGAGACCTGAGAACGCACACACTGCATGATCCAGTGGCTTACAAGAACCGGGAGCTTGGGCGATATGCGCTTTTGCATGAGGCGCCGGAACCCACTTGGTACACCTGAGCATCAGCTAGGACGTACCTTGGATACTCTATTCGTACATAGTCGCCGGATTTCAAGAATTCCACCCAAACCGAATGCTATAACATTTTCGCTAAACGATGAGATATATTATTCCAGAGAAACGGAGAGTCAAGCGAGTCTGAACCGACAAGATCCGTTTTCATCTACAACAACTCTCGAACATCCACCCCCCAGGCCCACTGTGCAATGGCCGTCGCCCCGAAACTTATCGTAGCAACCATAGGCATACTTACGTCATTAATATCCAGTCAAATATGGGCCCCCTAAATTTGACGGCGCTGATGGCCCTCCGCATGGGTACGTCCGGGCTTCGTCCCTGACGACATCATTGTGAGGCCGCTGCCAGGTAGTGTAGCTATATGTCGAGATACGAAAATGACTGTATTAGCTAGTCAAAAGCCCGTGGTGCTTTTTGATCTAGTGGTATAGCATCTTTGACACTATATCACAATAGCTTCGGTTCTGCGCAGCTGTGTGCCACCCGTTCCTTCAGTGGACTGAGGTACACAGTCCAACTTATTACGGATAGGTGCCAAGAATGAAGTTGTAGTAGTTAATTAATTTAGTGGGGCAGCATCGTGGGATCGCGCACTGGCGGCAGTAAGATCTACTCGAGAGGAGAACCCCAGGGAGTTGTAGGAAGAACGGTTTGATATGTGCTACTACTAGTGAGCACGACATATACACACACTAGGTCATCTGACAATTCGCTCACTCAAACGCTTGGAATATCGGCGTACCCGAATCAAAATGCGTCCTGTTCTCATTTCTGTTTCCGTGGCGTTAATGCGTCGGGTCTCCCGACAACATCCTCATGGGGCTTAGAGGAAAAAGTAGTCGATTCCTCCACTTAAATCGACCAGTCAGAGTCCTTGTGAATACGAGAATTTTAAGATAAAGTCTATTTATGCTGCATGGTTAAGTATTTTCACAAATATCTGGCCACGACTTTAGAGCTGCCCAAGCACCACCACAATGGCACAGACAACCGTCTTCCAGAACGGCAGGGTTTTCAGTCCAAGCAAAGCACCAATCGAGAATGAGTTTCTGAGAAGCTTTGTGGTCTCAGGAGAGACGATTACGCATGTCGGATATGAAAGTGACGATGCCATCCAGACAGCAAAGCGAGAAGGTGGCGAGGTAATTGACCTGCATAATCGGGTGGTGGTGCCTGGGTTCATCGACGGCCACACGCATTTTCTTCTCTTTGGACTAGCTCGCCAGAAACTCGATTTAACTGATTGCAAAAGTTTTGAGGCCATTGAAAACACGCTCGTCAACTACGCCAAAGCAAACCCGGAGCTGCCACGAATTCTTTGCCGAGGTTGGCATCAGCCTTCAACCAACGGAAAAGCCCTGGCGGGCATGATCGATCACATCGATCCTCGTCCTATCTTCATCGAAGCTTTAGATCTTCATTCCACTTGGTGCAATACGGCCGCTTTGAATGAACTGGGGGTTGGTTCGACGACCGATCCAGCGGGGGGCACAATTCATCGAGATGAAAGTGGACGGCCTTCTGGTCTTTTAGATGAAGCTGCGCAGACAGGAATTGTCTGGCCGCATCTGATGAGTGTCTGCACTGTGGAAGACCGACTGGGGGCTTTAGATGATGCTTTAACGGCCTACCTTGAAGCGGGCTATACAGGTTTAGTTGATATGGCCATGGATAATCATGCATGGGAGGCCTTAAGGCTGCTGCGAGCGAAGCAGAGTGTTCCAATCCATGTGGCAGCTCACTGGTATGTCCCATTCACTGAGGACCAAACGGAGCTATCCAAGCACATAGACGAAGCCATTGCAAAACACCGGGAATTTCATCCGTCCGCCTCACCAGACTTCTGCGTGATCGGGATCAAAATGATCTCCGATGGCGTCGTGGACGGCTGTACAGCAGCCCTGAGCCATGCATACAGTCAAAAGCAGGGTGGCATTGCTGTCAATCCGATCTGGTCGGTGGAGGCTATGAACCTAGTGGTGAAAAGGGCTGCCGATGCGGGTCTGCAAGTTGCAATCCATGCAGTTGGTGATGTTGCTATCACGCAAGCCATCGATAGCATTGCCGCCGCCAATAGCCCACAAGGACGACATAGGATTGAGCACCTCGAGCTGGCCTCGGTGGAGGATGCAAAGCGACTTGGCCAGCTTGGAATCACCGCATCCATCCAGCCTGTTCACTCCGATCCAGCCCTCACCAAAGCGTACCCCCAGATTTTGGAGCCTCATTTATGGGAGCGGGCATTCCCATATCGAGAGTACGTCGATGGGAATGCCTGCGTTGCCATTGGAACTGACTCGCCGACAGCAAGACATCTGCCCTTGCCCAACTTTTACAATGCCACTGTGCGGAGATCAGCCCTCGAGCCAAAATCCAACCAGATGGTCAACCCTCACAACGGGCTTACTCTGCTCCAGGCGATTAGTGCAGCGACTTCAGGAGCAGCTTATTCGCGTTTTGCTGAGGGGTGGGTAGGAAGTATTGCTCCAAATCATCGGGCGGATTTTGTAGTGCTGGAGACTGAATGGACCCCAGAGGCGTTGCTGAAAGCAACGATTCATCAGACCTGGGCCAAGTGAAAGAAAGTCTTTGAGAGTTAAGGTACGACATAGGGAAGATTAGAAATGCAAAACATAGTTTCTAAACCTGTCAAGCGCTTTGTAAGCAAAGCGGGATTGGATTAACTCGACAGTATGCGGGTGGCGTTGACGGTAAGGATGGAATAGAAGGTTCAGACAATCCATTCCGCTCCGAACCAACCGCTCATACCCTTCACCTTCGGCAGTTTATAGCGGCCACCCTGCCAAAACTACGTCATTGGGATTTATGTCCGTCAGAAAGGGCAGGATCAAAATGGCTATTTCAGCCCGCTTCTGTTAACTATCTCTTTCCCACCTCCATATTTGTTTTCTGCCTCTGGAATAGCGGAATCGGGGCACGTACACGGCGGGCCGTGCCGGCCACTGGAAGGCGTCCCCCTTGGTGGGTCGGGACTTAAACCTGCCGCTCATGCAACTTGCCCTATATACGAAGTCAAAGCCAAGTACCAGAGGACACTTTAGACTCGTAACATACATCTCCTCCTGGTATTTTTTGGCTATGTTATCCTGGTCGTTGAAAGAGAACGACTCTCTAAGACCCCTCTGTTTCCTCAAGCTGTGCTAGGCATGGGGAAAATAACAGTTGCCCAGAGATTGTTCCACGGATGGTGTACATGGATACAACAATCCAGAACAAAGTGACTGCGACAGTTAAAACCTTGCGCTTCAGTTAGTCTCTGACCCCATCGTATTAGAGGCAATATATGCATATGAATAAAACTCACTGTTCCGAGAACATCAAAAAATCTAGAACCCATCTCCTGCCCCAATGTTATGGTTGACCCAGTGAAGACACCAGTAGCAAAAACAATGCTCCACCAACCCATGTTAAACGGAGACTTCGCTCTGCCAAAAGAAGCGAAGGCCCAAAACAACCACGCAAGTGCAAAGCCCCACATCAGAAGGGCGGTCAAGAAGCCAAATATATACACAGTCGGGCCAGCCTCAGGTATAAGTGTATGTGTCGCAGGGATGACTTTCATTAAAACTTGCCCTAATTTCATGATCCCGAATCCTCCTTCACCAAGTGGTCCTAAGGGAAGGAATACGGAGGAAACAATGTCTCGTGGGGGGATTTGGTGCATTGTCAAGCGATGGTAATAAAGCATCAACGTGAATGTAGCGAGAGGTATGCCAATTCCCCAGAGAATATAGCTGACAATCAGTGTCCATAGAGCGTGTGCAGAATTAGTTAAAGCGTCTGCAACGATGGCTCCGGTGGCTGCGCAAATGACTGTCGAAACAATTGGCAGGAGCCAGAAAGTCGTCACAGAAGAGATCTTAACTTCGTGGATCGACATACTATACGTAGCTGTTAGCCAGAGCGCTCAGCATGACCATTGAAGCCAGGACGTACGTGTTGAAAGGCAGGTAGAAGCATATTGCGACAGAGGTCACCACCTCAATCCACCATAGCGTCCAAGCAAGAGTAACCGCCCATGGACCCCAATGTGGTACAGTTATGCTTATAATCCCCTGAATAATGATACCGAGACCCATGGGAAATGTCCCTAAAAACAGCGACTCCACAGGGTGTTTTACCATTGCCTTCCAGATTTCCGGATAGCATAGATATCGCATGGCCGATATGGAGAAGAAAAGAGTGAACAATGAGATGTCTAGGACGAAGATGGCCGCTGATATCCAATAGATCCATGTTCCATTATATGGCAATTTGGACAGTAGAATCGAGATTATTCCAGTCCCCATAGTAACGGCAAACCATCTATTGCAGAGATCAGAATATACCACTTGTCCCCTACAATATTTGAAACTCACGAAGGGGTGAATCTGCGGACAACGCCGCACAATTTCGAGTTCCAAAAATTTGTTGAGCCTTTCGAAACGGTGCCAGCTGCTGGTTGCTGAATGGATGAAGAAGCCATGTTTTATTGGATGGATGGGAAATACCCACTTGCGAATTCTTAAATGAACTCACTTGACGACGAACCGTCAGATATATTTATAGCCGTTGTGACATGTTATCGGTAATACTTGATGCCACCTGAATGGGCAAGCCAGACTTGGCCATTTATCAAAGGACCCGGAAAGAATGCTTCAACTGAGCATAGCAGATCTCATACTGGTGGCAAGATCTAGGAACTTGCCAATCAACCAATTGCAGGATGCGGTAGGCCGACCTAGGCTTTTGAGGTGAAAGAAGTACGGCATGCTCGGCAGTACGGGAGACATCATTTGCAGAGACCAGAAGCGGAGCGATACAAGACGTACCGTTCATGTGTGACTTTGCTAGGACAGTACCGGCATTGACGGCCCGTAGTTTTGGTATGTGATGGCGCCGGAAATCACGGCAGTATGACTAATGCCATTGGCTGGCTGAGGCGGGACCCCCACTGGCCTAGCTGTATTTGCCGCATTTTTGTGGTGGCGAAACATTGCTATTCGGACGCGAGGCTAGTGAATCGGAATGGTGTCTTGGTGATAGTAAATAACTAACATGCTTCATGATTTGGAGTTCCTAAACTGATCAGGTATCAACTCACAAATCATGTACAACGAAGCAAATGGGTTGTTGCTGGAAGTTCCGTAATTCAAAACCGCATGTACTCTACGCCCCCCATAATAATGACAAATTGAGTTAATTAAGTCACATTGACTAGTTAGGTTAGTTACGTTAACTTAACTAACGTATGTAATCTGTGTTAGTCAGCCAAAAAACTAAACGATGATACTGCAACGACCCTCATGTAGTATCTAATTTTTTCCAAATGACACCCATTCGCTTCAAAAACAATCAAACAGCGACATGGTTATCGACATGACAGAATCATCAGAGGGAGGCGGGCGTGAGAAAACTGCCTCTGAACAACTTGAGACACACCAGCGTCACGCTATCACACGGACAAGGTCCGAATCATTAACTTCGCGTCCGAATAGCAATGGTTCTCCAGGCCACGAATTATCCAGAAGAAATCAGAGGATCAGAAGAGCGTGTGATGAATGCCGAGGGAGGAAGATAAAATGCGATGGAAAGCAGCCATGCACTCACTGCAGTTCGCTCAACCTCGGTAAGTGCTTCGTCATACTAGAAATATTCGTTATCTGAGTCCGAAAAAGACTGTAGCTACAATCGACCGGACAAAAGGCCAACACGCATCTCCAGAAGAGAGCTTGAAGAGCTAGAGACCAGGTTGCAAAGAGCACGAAACCTTCTATATGCTCTTGTACCTGGTTTAGATTTGGACAACCCGAAGCTAGATGCTGATGCACTCGGAAAATTACGACTGCCTACCAATAAGACCCAGTCGAGAACAACAACTAGTGAGAATGGTCCAAATGCTAACCTGCGGAGACTGCAGCATATCAATACCGAGCATGATGTGCATTTAGAAACTGTTCTTGAGGCGACCGGGAGACTTGATCTTGATGAGCTTGGCAACTGGAACTACCAAGGTCATGGATCATCATCTGCCTTTGTGCGTCGACTAGGGGAACGATTTGGCGATATCACGGATTCTGGCCTTGGGAATAATACGACACTCCGACTTCGATCAATTCCCCAAAACTCCGAGTCGCCAGGAAACTTGGAGGACCAAGCATGCGATTCGGCAAAGGACTGGATCCCACTGCCTCCACGAGATGTTGCACTTGAATTGACGACAAGCGCATTCAAGGAGGCATGCGCTATACTTAACTTCATCCACCAGCCAAGCTTCTACTCTATATTCGATCGATTGTATCGTGTCGGTCATGCACAATACGGCCACGAGGAGCGCAAATTTTTGCCTCTATTGTACGCTACTTTTGCTGTGGGCTACCTTTTCTTAAAAAGTGAGCGAGCTTATTTCGGTTATGCACATGCCGTATCTGAAGGGTGTGTCGATCTCTTACACATATATCTGCTTTCTAGCCTCTTTTCTAATCGAAGCAGAACCAAATACTTCACAGCAGCGCGGCAAATGCTGGATATTACGCAATGTCGCGATCTTTGGTCACTGCAAGCAGTCGTCTTCATGATCATCTTTCTACAATCCTCGGCTACAATGTCCACGTGTCACTCATATGTCAGCGCGGCGATGACTGCCTCTCTGCAGATGGGTCTTCACCGCTGTCAACCTGAAGCCATGAACCCTATCGAGCGAGAAACTCGAAAGAGAATTTTCTGGACGATTCGTACCATGGAAACCTACATTGTTGCCATCCTAGGACTGCCGAGGATTGTGACTGATGATGACGTTGACCAAGAGATGCCATTAGAGGTTGATGATCAGTACCTGACGAAGCAATGTGTAGTATCAATGCCAGATGGACAGGTATCCATGATGGCTGGGGTCAATGCTCACACGAGGCTAATTCAGATTTTGGGCAAGATCGTGACAGAAGTTTATCCTGCAAAACGAATGGAAAATGAGGCGTCTAAAAGCACGAGAGCATACATTGTCAGCGATGCGAAGGTCCGCGAAGTGGATAGGGCTTTACAGTACTGGGCCAGGAGCCTTCCGATGCATTTCCAACCAGGTGCAGACTCGTCAAAGGAACTTTTAAGGTATTTTTACCAGCGTTATCTTCGCTATGCCATTGATTATCTAATACCATAATCAGGATTCAGCATTTGCTCCGGCTAGCTTTTACGCACGTGCAAATTAGTCTCTACAAGCCATTCTTACATTATATCTCATGTTCGAGGACAGATACTCCAACAAGCAATCAGTGCTATGCTTATGCTGCAGCATGCGTTGACGTGGGTCGAAATATCATTCACAATGCAAGACAAATGGAAAAGCACGATATGCTCAATGGACCATATTGGTTTTCGATTTATACGACATTCTGTGCGACACTTTCCCTCGTTTTTTATGTCTGGGAGAATTCTGGGGTACAAGAGGCCTTAAAGACGCTGAAGGACGCTGAATATGGTCGGGACGTGCTTGCAAAGCTTGCTTATAAAAGTACAGCTGCAGGAAGTCACTCGGAGACATTGGCAGTGAGTTCATATCAGTTGTAATTATGAATTGTACTCTAACCCCCACAGATCATTTTCACGCACCTCCCTAGGAGATTAGGAAAAGCCCAGCCTACGAAATTGACAAGTCAAAGAAAGCGTCACATAGCAATGTCAAAACAGGATGAGCCTGACCGATCTCACTGCCATCAAGATACGATAGCGACTAAGTACGGTTCATACGAGCCCTTATCACTGAATAATCCACCCATGGATCTGCAAGCCTTTGCTCAGACAAGCGATTCAGTGGATATAGACAACTCTGTATCTCTTCAGTCCCCGCCTGATCCTTTATTTCCATCAAACATCTCTCAGACCACCAAACGCCCTTATATCTCCCGCTTTCTGGGTCCTGATCCGATTGAAGAAATTTTTGGGCTCCAAATACCGAATTCAAGTGCCATGATGTCTCCAAGTCTGGGACTCACATCTATGGTTTCTCCCCAAACCTTTATCTCCCTGGACCAGTATGTAAGCACACTGGATTTGCAGGGAGGGCAGGCACACACTTTTGGCATCAGAAGTAGTGTGAATGGGACAGGAACACTGCCCTGGCATAATGCTACGGTTGATGGCGGTAATCAGCCTTTTTTCCCTCAGTCTCCTTATATTATGCAAATCCATCCGCCCAGTGGTAGTCCTCCTGTGTCTCCCAAGACCTACGAATTCCTCACAAGAGATTACGACTTTGCGGGTCAAAACGATAACCCACAAGAGATATAGCTGCAGTTGAGGCAGGGCTGCGAGCTGCGAGACGTCATCTCTGTACTCGGGTCCTGCCTCAGTTTTGAAGTAAATGAACATTTTCTACTTTTCAATGCATCAATGGAGCCCCTCGATTATTCTCTCCTTGTTTTAGGACTAAGGTGAGATATTGGTGAAGCTAAAACGGCCATTGAAATGTTGAATAGTACTTAGGGCGTCGTGTTTGTGAGGGCAATTTTACTGCGACCTTAAACTGCGCTTGCACCCCTGATCTTTGAGGCTCATATCCTGTCTCACTGCTGCGTACTGATCGTATGCATGGACGCATAGATAAGCGGGTAAAGAGACTGTATATGAATATCACTCTGGCGCCTAGCTTTCAGGGGCCAACGATCAGTCTTAGAATCATACTAAGTCGTTCCTAAAGACTTCATACGAGTCTGCATTGCCTAAATGCATAGAACAACAAATCTAGTGGTATCGAAAAACACTCTTGACATTCTAATAACGCCTTGTTCTATATATAGAGTACCGGCTAGACTTCTACACTTCAAATATCTCGTTCCATGACAATTCTCTTCTTATTAAGATTTGGTCCCTCACAACTATTTCCATGTTACTTTACCGACGGATTTGTATTTACGGTTCCCTTACTTAGTGCCTCGTCTCAATTGGGGACGAAACTGCAAGATAAGGTTGTTTGTGACTGAAAATGAGTTGTTAACTAGTCACTTAATCGATAACGGACCTTGACTATACAACGCAATAATTAACGACTCTTAGCTCTATTATTGGATATAACATTGCTAATTTACAATAACGCAATGCTAGACCAAGCTACATATATATTGTGCAAGGCCAATTTTCAACGTGCCCTCGATACCCCTGTCATGTTGAAATGGCGATGAAAAGTTCCCTGGGGTGAGTGTGGGTGATATGGGTGAGAAATTTGAAGACTGGGGAGATAGAGGTGAGAATGGGGTGGGAAGGGCTGATCCCCTCGCCCCCCGAGCCATCGTGAAAAAGATGAATTTAGGACCTAGGGCCTTATATCCTCTTCAGAATTGCTCTAATGATCCCGCAAGCACGATGTCTACCGGATTGAAAATCTAAAAGCTCTTGTAAGACGAAGCGAGTGTTGTACTGTAAAACTAGGGAAGAACTTTGAGTGCATTCAAACAACATTGTTTGCCCCCCAGGGGGAGGGGCGGCTCAAAGCAGTCCGAGAGCCGCTCAAACAAAGAAAACCACTCAAGCCTCTCGGGTCGGCATGAGAACTGCACCTCGAACGTCCGAAGAAGCCAGAGACTGAGCCATTCTCACCAAGTCAAGAACACGAAAGGCGACGACGAGCGGCATCGAAGGTCCAACTTGCGTGCTGTGAAGCATTCTGGCAACTTGAATGCACCTTTTATGAATCGGGAGGTTACGCATTCTTAAAGTTGATCAGACCTTTGCTTTGATTACACTTTCAAACCTGTTGACGTATAATTTGGAGAATGGCCCGCGGGCACTTGGGGGCTTCAGCATTCTTTTCTCTACAATAAGCATCGCAACTACAGGGGAAAGCCTATCTTAATAGATTGCGTACGGTAGAGTTTGTGTTTATGAATAAATTTGGAAGGTAGATCAATAATTACAAATTCGAAACAGATGGACTAGACTGTGTTTACTCTGAATGAAAGACAATCTTCGGCGAAGTTTTACATGTCTTGTGAAGTGAACCATAAGACAAGCACTTGTATTGAGTAGATAGTGAAGCATGCATAAAAGGATTTCTTTTTACGGAGAGACCTGAGAGGTTCCGGCAGAAATGACAAGCAGTTGGCACATTACTAGCAAAAGGCCTGTCAGTTCCTGGGACACTTATCGCTCCTAGGAATCCTCAAAGGATTGTCCATGCTACAGTGCCTGGCTTCAGTGGTCAAAATACTACGCATTCTTCTCAATTAGTTTACTTAAGGGCCTTTGGCCGCGAGCCTCGCACGCACTTTCTACTTTGAATTTCACACATCAGAAATCATACGCCAGGCTATCTGTATTGCTGTTCTCTGCGATGCTTTGCCCGCCGCCGGTAAGCTCATGGGTCTCTCACAGCTGCATCTCTCACGTATGAGTGGGTTGTAAGCATCCCATTAGACGAACGTCTGCCGTGCAAATTTCATTTGACTTATCTACGAGCGACTCCGACGGTGGACTCTAGTTTTTCCCATGTGGAAAGGAATTTTTTGGTCTTAGCTAGGAAATCTGGTGTATACTAGATTCAACTTTCCCGTGCCTGTAGGATCTTCGCACGTTCGTTTCTTCCCATCGTACCTTCCTCCACGATAGATGCACCTGCCTTCGTAATAGCTTCCACTGTTGGTTTACAAGGACTTCCTGCTCGATTCCATAATGTTTACTTTTTTACTCTCCTCGTGCACCCACACAAATCCTCAGGCAAGTTATATACCCACCCATCATGCAAGAAAACTGGATTGCGCTGATTATCAGTTGTCTCGCTCTCAGAGTGTCGGTGGCAAGTATGCTGCTCCCTGTCAAGGAATGGCTGCACTACTGGTTTCCCCGACTGTGGCCGCCGTCGGACCAGATTGATGAGCGCCATCTAGCCAATCTCGAGTCAGGTGGTGTGATCAGAACAGAGGCTGCTGGAAGCGCTCCTGTCACACTTGCCTCCTTGAACCAGCGCGTTGCACAGCTCGAGGCTGAAGCAAGCTTTGTCGGGAGAGTCCAAACTCTCGATCCTCCGACACCATCTGACTTAGATGGTGCCAGGGCTGTTCAGCGCGCCGGCTAAAGGGGGCACTGGCGAGGACGGACAGGCGCAGGGCATGAAGGTCAACTTGACTCGTCTCCGAAGACACGAGATCGGTTGATTGGATTGGTACACTTCGAGACCCCACCCCTACACCCAGGAAGCGGTGGCCGAAAGAATGGTATAGGAGAGCTCCATGTTTCGAGGCGGCTCACCTTGATAGATGGAGTGGTGGGGCCACTAGTGACGGTCTCGCACTTCTTCGCAGTGCTAGTGACTAGTAACCTTCGGGTGAAGCCAAGACGAGCCCACATGGAGCGCTGGGGAATGGCATGAGACAACTCACTTCCTTTTGTTTCTCGACACTATTCTTGCTTCGAACGGACAACCTCTATGCCACCCGTTCTCCCAGGATAGGCTCGGGTCAGTACATTGTCCTCAAGGCGAGTTTCAAGGGAAAATTGGCCAAACAGTATGCCGAGGAACAAAAGATGGCGAAACAGACCAGACGAACGTTCAAAGCACCATGCAAGAAAGTGCTGCGGCTCTACGCGGGCCTGCCGAGGCCGTACGACTCGATCCTGATAGGAAACATGGGGATGTGGGCGAACTAACTAGGCATGAGGGCTTCAATTATTAGGGTGACACCATCAATTCATGTACATTATGTCGTCACTCTTTATGCTGGATGCCAAATGCTGGAGCTTGGACATGTCCTGTACTGGGATGAAATGAAGCCTCATTGATTTATCAAACAATCATTCAGTCAGTATTCCTCCCTAAAATTGAAATAAGCTGTCCCAGGAGTGCACATCATGTTTTGTTTTTCCTTCAACAGTACGGCGCTGCAAGAAGCAGCGCCGGGATGGTACTAGTGATCTGGATTCCTTCATCCGCAGTTCGCGAGGCTTCGCGCTGGTGTTGAAGCAACCTTCTTCTCTGTTCCAGGCAGTAATCTCTTTTCCACTGACCGTGAACACCTTGAGTCATCTTCCGCAAGTTCTGCGACCGATACCTATAGGGAAATTTTAAGTAGTAGTTCTTCTTTCTTTGCGGAACCCTTGATAAGCTCACCAGTATTTTTCATTATGCGAAAACCATGCTCCAGTGAGACGACACTGGTCAAGCCAAGGACGGTCTGCGAGCCATTCACAACTTCCCAGATTTCGAACCACCCAGAAAACAGCCTGACTCATGTCTTCAGACAAAGCGTATTTTGTAATCAAAGTCTGACACATGGGACAGGCTTTTGAGACCAGCTTCCCGGGGGCAAGAGACAGTAGATCCTGATGAGGTTTTGAAGAAATCAAAGTCTGGCACATGTGAAGATCTTTTGCGGCTTGGTTCCTGGGGACGAGAGATAGAAGATCCTGATGAGGACAAGCAAAGGTAGGCTCAGCTGTGAGATGAGCGTCGGAGGAAGAGAAGCTTATAGTATGCCGAGCCGCTACACATAACTGGCCAGTTTCCTTGATAAATAAAACCAGAGCAACTCGCACATCGTAGCCAGACCTAGTGCTAAATAAACAGACGTGGCCGAGGCCGGGTTGTTCTCCATCGTCAAAGTCATACTCGAATGGGCCATATTTGGTTTTGGCTGGCTTCGCGGGTGATTTGAGAATCTTGACAAGCCGGTCTCGTCCTCGAATTGTCAGAGAAATACAGGGACATAGGTCAGCTATACCAGCGTAGTATGTGCAGGATCTCTCTAGAGCTGACTGTCTCAGTAAATGTCTCGTAAATTCTTTCCGTGGATGGAGTTTCAAACACTTTGCACAGTAGGCCCAGCGGCGATTTTCGAGTCGAAGGAGGAGTTGATTTCGCAGCACATCCGGACTGTTCACGCACAGTATTGGATTCCTAATACGCAAGAGTCGTGGAAATCCAAGCTCTTTGTGCTTCACTGTCGTCCCGAATAGGCCGAAGAGCTCTTTGCAGCTAAGGGATAGACAAACTTGATCGACTGGTGAGAGGTGTTGGTAGATCTTCTGTAAGATGCTTTCATCCAAAAAAAGCATAGCGGAGTATTTTGGCTCTTTCTTCCAAAACCTATGAAGCAGCCTGAGGAGCATCTTTCGACATCGCGACATCTTCGAGTCTTCCAGGAGAAAGATGATGTTGAACGTGAGGCAACTGGGTTTTGATTTTGGATACAGACGCGATGTAAAAGCGACTAGACCGAGAGAGTCAATCTGGTCTATGGATATTAATATTGAGAACGAAAAGATCCCAGGGCTGCCGCCTGTGTTTAAGAATTGTGACTTTGTGACGTACTGATTGCAAGTTCAAATTCCAAAATTATCTAATTTGGCATCGGTAACTAGTACAGTATTCCCTTGGGATCCACGTACCCGGCAACCTTTACCAGCTCTCTGTACCATCGGCGGCGACGTACCCCCTTCTCTCTCCATGAAATACGAAGGACCTATCACATCTGCGTAAAGGCAACTTCCATAATTACAACTTCAGGCTTGCTGGAATAAAACTCCGAAGGCCGATCCTTCGGCCCAGCCTAGCCGAATCATGTGACGCATGGTCTGTGCACAATGTAGAGATACTGCCTCTCTAGCCATGAGATAAAGGGCGTCTCCTGTACTTCCCACAGCTAGGGCAATGGACCCGCGTGAAGTCGAGTCCCCCCGGCGGCGTCGACCAACAGAGCAGAGAAGAAGCGAAAATTGAACAGGCCTATCACAAGTTGCACGCGATGTCGTAAGAACAAGACCAAATGCGACGCTCAATCTGGCAGCCGAAGCTGCCGTCGCTGCTCCTCGTTACGGTTTGTCATTGCCCATCTCATGCTTCCTCATGAAAGGCAAAGTCTCTAATCCTGCCTCAGTCTCGATTGCGAGTTGCCTCCTCCGGCCGAGGCCGTAGAGTCCTCTCAAGCCATCCATTTCCAGGAAGACTTGTCCGAGCGTCTGTCTGGCATAGAACGGAGCGTTGTGAGACTCACGTCTTTGGTCCAAGATGTCCTCGACAACCGTAGCCACGCTCAACAGGTGGAGACACCAATCACACAGTCCGTGAAGAGAGCTCAGAACCGTGTGAAGGATGTTGGTTTTGTCACCACCCAGCCCACTGAAGGCGTCACCCGGCCAGTCCTCTTGGTCCGGAATCTCCAAAGACAGTTCTTTGGGCCCAAGCAGGACTTCTCGGATGAAGAACTTGCCGTGGGATCTGTCGTATCTGCCGGCATTATCAGTATCCTCATGGCACAGTCACTCCTTCGCATGTGAGTCTCCTAGCCAGCCGCATTAATAGCCTTGTTCTGACTGATGAGATTCATTAAACATTATGGCACATGGATCTCAGTAGAGACTATGGACGATATGCCTTATGAAGACGAGAATATACATCCCCTTCTGTTCAGTACGGCCTACCTTATTGCCGCCCGCCATGTTCCGCGGGTGTCTAAATCGACAATTCAAGACATGTATATGATGGTTCGACATCTAGTCTCCAGTGTCGTTTTCAAGACACCACCCTTAAACTATGAATCACTTCAGGCCATGGCACTGCTGAGCATGTTCACTCCCACAATCCAGACAGCCATGCCCATTGACAGCTGGATGGTCAGCGCCATCGGCATGAGCCACGCAAGCTTGGCCTTTGACTTGACAACCAGCTATTCGCCTAACTCTCAAGAGTTCGAGTTGCAACTGAAGCAGCTTCGCATTTGGTGTGCATTGTGCCTGACAAATATACAGTGAGTCTGGTCTCGAAGATGGTGACGATTTCATTAAAACAGCCCTAGGTTTTCAATTGGCAACGGGCGTCCAAGCGCAGTACAGCCACGCTTTGTGGACCAATGCTTGCGCATTGTTGATTACCCAGACGCTCGTTGTACTGATGCACAGTTACTGGTCGAGGTGTTGGTCTACACCAAGACGGAGTCCATCTTATCCGAGGGACCACACAACCACTTTCGACCTCTAGATAGACTTGGCTATCCGACACTCTCCAGTGTGAGATCCAAGTGGGATCATCTCTTTCAGCTACCAGAGTGCCTGTCGCTGACAGTTGGCTACTGGTACTGTCATCTTCTGCTCTACCGTGCCTCACTTAGAGACACAAAGGTGGACATGCCATCTGCCAGTGAAGCTTTGCTGAACACCTGCACTAATATTCTCGAGACTTTTCTGGAGCAAGAATTCTCCATTATACTTAATATGCCCGACCACTTCTTTTTTATGATTATCTATGCGGCCCTCACTTTGTGCAAGTTCTATATCAGGCATCGTCTTATTGCTTCCACGCAGCATCGTCTAATGGATCTTTCTCCAAACGATGAACACATTGCGTATCGATTTGGCACCATACTTTCCGAGATCAAACAGAAAGCCGCTGCTGCTAGAGCAGACATGACGCCGTCAGATAATGGGCAACAGATCGACAATCCCCACGCGGTTAACCCACTCGTCTATAACGACTTGCTCCTCGGTGACGACTACAGATGGCCCTTCTTGCCTTGGGCCAACGTCTCCGATGGCCAATTCAATGCTGCGGCGCGAAATTCTCTCACAACGTCTGATGAGACTGGATGGACAGGCTTCTCCGAAGATGTAATGCCCGATATCTCAGACACTGTCGTTTAGCCTAACTACACATATATGTATATATGTCACAGTATGTAATTTTCCTTGTATTCATCTCTTGACATTTTGATTCAAATATGATCCATACCCGCATTTGACTGTAGGTAACCATGCAGCATTCACAACTATGCGGTCCTGCGGTCAACGCACTCACGGGCTAAACGCTTTGTTGACTACTGACTGTACGCCAACCACGACCGTTTCCCATCATTTCTTCTCCTCAATGTTCGTTGCCGCAAACCTGCGGCGCACCCAGTCAGCGCAAGATATAGGCTCATACTTGGCAGGATGCTCTTCATCAATGCAGCTTGGGAGCACGCCACAAGTCTCATTGAAGTTGAATCCTGGCTCGCGTCAGCTTCATCGTTACATTGCTTGGGCCTCCCTGTGGGTCACTTACCGAAGAAGAAGGGCATCGAGAACCTTTCAGTCGCCTTGAGGTTCTTTGCACGATGCACGGTCGAGATGAAACGGTCGTTGCTAATACGCATCAGGTAATCACCAATGTTAATCACGAAGGTTCCCTCAATGGGCTTTGCATTCAGCCACTGGCCATCACGGTTCAAGACCTGCAAACCTCCGTTCAAGTCTTGCCACAACATGGTGAAAAATTGTAGATCTGTGTGTGAGCCGATGCTGACTGCCTCTTCTCCCTTCTTCAATGCGCTCTCTGGGATTGTCGGATAGTAATTCAGCGCGATGGCGGCATCGGGGTGCGACGTCATCTTGTCAAAATAGTCCTCGGGCAGCTCGAGTGCCAGAGCAAAGATGCGCACCAGCCTCCGGGCGAGGAAAAGGCACTCTCTCCAGTAGTTCAGCACGTTCTCCTTGAATTGGGGAAGATTTGATGTTTCGGTCCAGCAGTACTCTTCGGCGCGGAAACCGTCCTGGATGTCCTGTGGAATTGCGTCGACATTGTCCACAAGGGGGTCGTATCTTGGATCGTATCGCATACCGAAACTTTCACGATAATCGACCGACTCGACCGGGTTTGCCCTGTGGGAATCGGGGCCGTTCCATCCGTTGAAGTGCTTCGAGTTGGCCTGATTCACACGCTGTTTGATGTCTTGAGGTTGATGGAAGAACTGCTTGGAGGATTCCAGTGCAGAAGCGATGGTGCTCTCTTTGATGCCATGGTTTTTCACGTAGAAGAATCCAATGGTCGTAGCTGCCTCTCGGACTTTGTCGGCGACGGCCTTGCGATCTGCAATGTCATCACTGTAGATGTCGGACATGTCAATGATGGGAATCTCTTCGGTGGTTGCATCGCGTGGTGGGCTGTCCTTGATCGATCTGAACACCGATCCGTATGCAGATGTGAGTTCAAGGATGGTTCTGCCCTTCTCGGCGACTGGCGGCTGTACAAGCGTCTGAGTTACTGCCATGATGACTGAGTTGAACGAGCGTAGAGGAGGCGTCCTTTCAATTCCACCTGGGGTCAATTATATGAGAACCATCTACCAACGGACCCCGGCGCTCCACGACGTGTAAATATGGAGACGCAAAAGCTTCTTTCGGGTGACCGGTCGAGATCCGGTGTCTGCATTCGACCTTCGCATCATCTCCGACGGCGTACGTTTGTGTTCGTCTGATGAATCGGTGACTGCGAACTCAACAGCCAATTATGAGAGGCGCTTTGGATATCCACGTCGGGTTTGACCGAGGGTCAACCGGACGACCGACGGGTGACCGCTCAGGGGAGATAAGATAAGTTGTGAGGCTTGCGCATCAATAGTTCTTAGACGACATGTATATCTGCACATGATTCAACCCGATAGACCTGGGTGGTTGCGTCTGCAAGCTTATAAGGCCGATGCGAGATGATGCTGCTGGTAACCAGCTGTACTGTAAAAGCCAAAGCCGCCTAACTTCCCTCCCGAACTCCTCTCCTGGGACTCGTCTTTCCTATAAGCGCGCAAATGACATCCCCGTTCATCCATCGTTTTGAAACCAAAGAGTACCATGAGACGAGATCCATTGGCAAGAACCAATGGCTCGACAATGTGGACCTCCGACCTGTGCCCGTGCAGGACAGGACCTTTGGCTGGAAGGACTACTTCTTCTTCTGGCTTTCCGCCAACGCTACACCGGCATCTTTCTATGGTGTTAATGCTGCACTAGCAGCGGGCCTGAGTCTATGGGAAGCTTTGGGAGTTCAGTTGGCTGGACAAGGTAAGTTTCGCTGTTTCCTGGTGGGATGAGATTTCCAGCTAACCTTGTGCCAGTTATGATTGCAACGGTCTTCTGCTTCAACGGACGAGCAGGAGCTACCTATCATATACCCTTTCCCCCTATTGCTCGGGCTTCGTTCGGAGTCTGGGGTGCATACTGGCCGGTTATCAATCGGGTTATCATGACGCTTGTTTGGACTGGAGTAAATGCCGTTCAAGGTGGCCAGTGTGCTTATGTTATGCTTCACTCGATCTTTCCGAGTATCGCTAACATTCCCGATATCTTTCCCGCCGGAATGTCTGCTCTGAACGGTGGCGGTATGATTGGCTTCATGGTTTTCTGGTAAGTTGAAAAGCTGTAGGAGAATACAGGAGTGCAGCTGACTTGTTTCAGGGTTGTCACAACGTCCCTTCTCCATATCAAGATCCCGAAGCTCAAGCCGTACATGTATACCAAACTGATATTGTTCTTCATTTGCGCCATTTCACTGCTCGGCTGGGCCTTAGCTCAAGCCGGTGGTATTGGAGAGGTTGCGAAGCAGGGAAGTACCATCTCAGGAAGTATGAAGTCATGGACCATCGCCAGATACATTTTTATCTACTGTGCCAACGGTGCGACCTATGCGACCAATGCGGCCGACTTTCTGCGCTACGCCAAGACGCCGAAAGATGCGTTTTGGCCACAGTTGATTGGCTTTCCGCTGTCAACCTTCCTCATTGGTCTCATAGGAAATCTGATCGTTTCGAGCTCGGTCATTACTATGGGGGAGGTGAGTCTGAATTCCTTTGCAACGGAGTAGAATAGCGGCTGACTTTTACGGTTCAGCTGGTATGGAATCCTGTGGATCTCATGGATATGATGCTCGGAAAAGACTACAGCTCTGCAACAAGGGCTGGAGTCTTCTTCATTGCTTTCGGGTTCTTCATTTCATCGGTCATTTCCTCTATCTTCGAGAATTCTATCCCAGCAGGCAATGATTTGGCAGCTTTATGGCCTAGATTCATCACCATTCATCGTGGTTTCTACATCGCCGCTGTCATATCGTACGCTATGTGCCCTTGGTACATTCTCGGCTCAGCATCGAGCTTCGTCGGATGGCTTGTCTCCTACCAGTAAGTCCTCCTCCTTTCAAATGAAAATTCGTTTTTCAAGCTTAATATTCCGAAGGATTTTCCTTTCCTCAATCACCGGCGTCCTCACCTGTCATTACTACCTGATCCAACGCGGCCTCCTCAGCATTCCCGAACTCTACACATCGGAGGCATCCGGTATGTACTACTACTCCAAGGGCTGGAACTACCGTGCCTACATCGCCTATGTGGTCGGCATTGCGCCCAACTTCTACGGATTCCTGGGCGTCTTCGGTGTCAACGTGACTACTGCCGCCTCCCAGATGTACTACTTCGCATACCCCATGGGCTTGGGACTATCGTTCGGCACCTACTGGGCTTTGAATAAGCTCGATCCCCCAAAAGCCTTTGTCGTTGGAGGCGTGTGGCGAGAGCCCGCCGACTATATTGAGGAGCCGGAGTTGGAGGATGGAACTGTCGTAGATGGCGTTGAACCAAGCGTGGAATTGCCCGGCAAAGCCCCTGAAACGTTAAGGACTGAGAAACTTTTGTGTGATAATGCTTTTATGTAATTAATACTTTAGTGTAATAATCTCTCAAAGAGCGCAGCTCGTCGACTCGCAACTGTACATTAAACTGCGGGGTCTTAAATTTAAGGCGTCGACCACCTAGTTAGATTACCTTCCTGGCCAATTTTAGTGCCTAATAACTATAGCATTAAGATAACAGGTATTAAGGAGATATTTATATTATTAGTCGATAAGTTAAAGAATAAATTCCTCTTTATTTATTTCTATCTTAATTATCTATACCCAACTTTCTCAGTTCCCTCGGTCAGGGATTGAATCAGTGGCGTATGTTGGTCGTAGTTACATACCAATATGCAGAATCGATACACACAGAATGGGGGTAATGCATGAAGGTGCGGGGCAATACGTGATGATTTGTGCGGTAGTCTTGACATTTTGCCCTGTCCCATGGGATTTCCATTATGGTCACCTCGTTTCCTTGACTGTTGAGTGATTTATGGTTACATCTAAAACCCTGGTATGCCTGCGGGGTTGTAAGACACTACTGTGACGACCCCTGTAGCTGCTATTTGAAGGACGCAGGTTACAGATACGGCTACCTGCCGACCCTGGCCGACAGATGTCGCTTATTTAGAAGAGTGAGCATCGACTCCCTACATAGTCGGCTTCCAGTGGACGGTCTACGGACTACCAATTAGCACTCAGTGGATGTCAGCCTAACAGAGGGTTTCTAGACCTGCCAGTCTAGTACAATCTGTGTGATAAGATTCCTATCCCTTTAGTTGCAAATAAGGCTTTGGGATGTCTAGAATTGATTCACAGGTGCGGCTGTAGTAGCAGGTAGCTCCAGCCCCAAAAAAAATAGGGGCCTTTCTCGGCCCCTGTAAGAACCGGTGCCATCTAAAGTCCGTAGTACAGCAGGACAGATGTGTGTCTCCCTTCTAATTGGTTATGGTGATTCCGAGGCTGAAGCGATCTAGGGATCATACGATCGAACTGGGGGCGCCAATGCATGCAACTGCGCCGCACTAGACATTTTTTACGACGATCGACAGATACAGGCCGCTGGTCAGTAGGGAAAACGACTAGCGACGGGTGATGCTTCGTCCAAGAAGGCCAATGCACATTGCTTAGCCCTTTGGATGAGCCTCTCCCCCTCCCTGATGCTAGGGCACAGGTCACGCAGCCTAGTCTGTGCGCCCTACGCTTTAATCCCTGGCAAAATAGGTATAAATAGCGGCTCAGATGCTGCTAGAGAATGAGACGTGGGAGTAAACCAGATATACATATCCATCTTTTTCATCTTGTTACTCGCAGTCAATTCTATGCTCCTTAGCTTCCGGCAGTCGATCGACCTACAGAGGACAAACACAGGTCTAGGTGGCTATCCGCTTGAACGCCGCTCAGTTCATCATTTTAAAGTTGTCGTCACACGGCGCTTTTCGTGCTCTCCCTTGCCCACGGCTTTGAAACAGCATATTATTGGGCTCATTGGGTTCTATCAGTGATCCGTTTAGGAATCAAAGCCAAAGAAGGTGAGACTAAGGATTTCTAAAATTCTCTGCTCCTATAGAGGCTGCTCTATGAGCAATGCGGGACTGAATACTTTACCCTACACACATTGATTCATATATCAGAATATAAATGCTGACCTGCATTTTACAAAAAATTAGGAGCTCTCTAGTAGTTACGCTTATCCCGAATTGCTTGCGGCAACACATCGAGCACAAATTCATCATTTAGTCGCTATAAGGTTTAGTGCTAAATGGAGCTTCTTGGAAGTCTGCTATGGTTCATAAGCCTAACAAGCATTATTGTGTCAGCTACCAATATTTGTATGGTCGGGCCAATGGAGTCCAGCGATCTTATATCACCTGGTGTCATCCGATTCACTAGTAGCACTCCTCAATCAACATTTGTCAAATACGTAAGCGATACCAAAGACGCTACCAAAGAGGATATGGTTACCATTGAATACATGGGAAGTTATTCTCTCGATCAGTCCGGCCGATATGTGATCAGAGATAGAAAAAGAAGGCCCGTGGCTATGCTCAGCAAAGAATATAGCGAAGCGTATGGTGGGAGCGCGATGAAAGTCCTAACTAAGCACGATTACGTGGTGGATTACGATGCCTTTGACGAAGCTCTTCGTTTAGCTCGGCAAGACGATGCACCCAGAAAAGAGGCTATACAGTGGACCGAAGAAATCAAACAGAAACGCAAGGAGAGAGCTGCAGTCGAAACAGGAGCCGCAGTGGAAACAGGAGCTGCAGCCGAAACAGGAACTGCAGCCGAAACAGGAACTGCAGCCGAAACAGGAACTGCAGCCGAAACAGGTCCAAAGGAGGACTATGTCCTTTGCCACAGTCAACCTGGCTGTGACTTTATTGGGGCAACCATGTGTCAGCATTTCAACAGCAGAGTATGCAATGTCTGTATAGATGATAATTGCTATGATCAATTGCTGCCAGATGGATGCTAAAGCGCCGTGGCTTGGAGACTCTTTTGAATGGAGCGGGTGGAATTCTAGCCTGACGAGCAGTGTGGGTCATTATCTCGTTTATCGTTCAACCGAAGCGCGAGCTGGGACTATGTGACCGGGTGCTCGACCATCTCGAGACGCAGAAATGCAGAGCTAGTTAGAGGCTTGCTCTAGAGGAGAGGAGAGAGGAATTCGGTCCATTCATTGTTCTCTTTTGCGTAGTGTCTGTACACTGTTCCGCGTTCAAGAATACTGAACACGGGTATAGCCGAATATAGATAGAATATGTATGTGATGCTGCTCTGATTATGAGATAGAGCTTAGGTACATGTAATGACATTTCTTATAGTTGGGCCTGGTTCCCGCTAGACACTTGAATCTTGAACACATCGTAAAGTCACGTAGACCCCTCACAAAAGATACTGTGCGGCAGGCCTAACCAGAGAAGCTCCCCGACACTTACCCTTAGGTTAGCCGGGGTGGGCCGGGGTCGGTGGTTATCACTGACTCGGCCAAAGCGATAGCGGTTTGCATGCATCTGTCCTGGGAAGTGGGAGCGGTACACTTCCTGTTTCCTTGCACGCGGTCAACTGAGCCGACACGTCATTATGGGAGCAGCGTGATTCATCCCTCGGTAGCGGGGCTCAACTCGTGCGAGATAAACCAGAGACTGACTGTAGTGTAGACATGCTCAACTAAGCTTGTCAAAGTATTCATCGCATTCGCAGTGGTCAACAAACATGGGCGATCAAAGGAGACGGAGAATCAACGACGCTGAAGAGGTTCGTGCTGCTGGAATTCGACCGGGTATTCAACAGAAGTGATCAGTTGCTTAAGTGCTGCGTTCGACCTTTCGTCCTGAAAATAGTTGATCAAGTAGGGAAAGTGTCGGACATTGTTGATGGACAGGCACAAAATCGATGCCTCGGGGGGAGGGTCAGTGGGAGGAAGGAAGAGGTGGCCTGCGAAAGAGCAACTGGTAATGGACAAAAAAAACCATTCAGATGATGACCTCGATCTGAGGACCTGTGTCCAATTGTGCCATTAGTCAAAGAGCAAATGTCCTAGGGTCGAGTGCCCGCGGTTGGAGGGCTGCGGGTCGAAATATAAGGATAGAAATCAAATGAGTTCGGGCCAAGCGTCCCTGACCTTGGCCCACTTTCCTACGCGGACTCGGCCGGGGCCCATGATCCATCGGGGCCAATCGCCCCTCAACTTGCAGCCAGGCTGGATTTCTTGAGAAAAATGGCACTAGAAAACAGAATATGAGTGGAACAAAAAGAACATGGGAGCAGAACCTGACTGTCAACTTAAGAAATATTGATTTCTACTTGGGTACTTTGGGTGTCAGAACTCCCTAAGCGCCTCCTCAGTCCAATCCCACAAGCGCTCTGCTAGAGCATTGGCCCTCGCCGTCTTATCCAGCTTCTTCTGTGCCAACTGACCCACAGGTATAGTACACTCCATTCTTAGTCTTCTCACGAGATGTGGTAGCCGCCCACACCTGGTTGTAAGCCCCCTCATCTGGTTTGAGAACCTTCCCCCGGTTCGTCGCATATATCAGAGCCTTAGTAATATAACCAAAGCCGCCCAACATATTGGTTGCGACTACTCCGGGGTGGATCGAGACAGACGTGATATCTGGGTATCGACGGGACAGCTCTCGCGCATAGAGGAGATTGGCCAGCTTGCTCTGTCCATATCGTCGCCATGGTCCGCCGAGCCAGAAATGATGGACTGTCTTGAGCTTGTCGAAGACAATATCTCCCTTGGGATGAAGCATCCAGACGTCAGATGTGAGAATGACGATGCGAGGGTCAATGCCCTCTCAAAATTAAGTAGAGATCACGTGACGACACTAACCCACACTAACCTCGTCAATATTTACAAAGGGTGCAGCGGATCATCGACTCCATCACCGACAGTAGTTCCACACAGACTTCGGAAAAGAAGACGAAAATTCGTTGGCGCTCGAAGAATGACGTCTGTATAGCACTGTCACAGCCTTCTATTGTATATAGAACGAGCCAGGCTCAAGGCTGCATCCGATGAGGACGTTGAGATAAATGGACTTCATATGAAATCACTCTTCTAGGCTTGTAATCCGCTTATAATCCTAGAGCAGTCATCCTTGGCCCAATTTAATCATAAAATATGGGTACTGAGGTCTAGAGTCAGCCTGCCGGATGGTCTCCTCACAGTTAATCCAAGCGTCCACCAGTCATTAGAGTATTTCGCGCTCGGTCGCCTTACAGGTCGCTGCAGTATTGGACAGTTAGCTCCGCTGCCTACTGAGGCATGATGGCAAATATTTGGGGTTTTCATTAGCTCGTCTACTCAAGAAGGTGGATCGCACTGCAGGGTTATACCGCAGTGGACTGCTATTGGACGATTGTCGGTGGGACTGCGGCTTTCCCGCAGTCAGTCCTTCTAGTATATATTTCCTGGTTGCGTCGTCCGCTGATTGACTCGCTGATTACAGACAGAGACTGTATATGAGGGCTCGGGGTTCTGTCAGGGTTCTACACAACCAGTCACCGGGATTTTAAGAACCCTTGTTCGGAATAGAAAACCCAAGACACATTTTGACGCATTCGCTCAATACAGTACCTGGCCCATAGGCAACTACCGCTTTCGCGCCGGGTAGTTAACAGTTCCATTGGATGAGAAATCCCACCAACAATGTTCATCTGATTTGTGGGATTATGGCCAGGGAGTATGACGTGTCATTGAACCCCCTCACTCAGAATTGGTCTGGCCAGATATCGCATTTATGTTAAGCTCATGGACCTACTCTCTCAGGCGAGGGAGCACTGACTGTCTGGGTGCCACCCTGGTAATGAGGCGCTATCGAAATGGACGGCCATTTTTGGCCGTCCATTTGCCGTCATATTGTTTAATGGAGTTTCTTATTTAGGGGCCCTCTATATTTAAGAGTAAGAGAAGTAGAAATATAGGCGATAAATTTAGACCTAGAAATAGAGATAGTATTTCGCTAGCTATTAAAAGTTTTATATATAAGAGATTAGTTATCTGAGAATAAGAAGATAGGATTAAGAGTATTGATTAACGGGGTAAGTTCAAGGTCTATTCTAGACGGAGACTAGTGCCTCTCTTGACTATGGGCGAGGGTCGCTACAATTTCCATGCCATCGCCTGAAATCCCTTGAGGCGGTTCTTTTCGGCTTCCACAAACGGTATTCTCTGGAACGGACAGCCACACCACTCTCCAGTCATAAGAGTGACCAGTGGCAAGCTCCGTGATTTCATTGCCATGACTTTTGCGCCACTCGAAACGCACTCGCCCGGCGCCTTTACCAGCCGCATTCGTTTCAAAAGTAAACGTCGGCGATATGTGCTTCACCGGAATCATCTCCTCCACGATGGCATCTCCGTGTGAACCTTCCGGCCGAAGAGGGAGAGTAATAATTGCGGGTCTGGTCCGACCCCATTTGTCGGTGTGAACCGTTGCCATGATCGGGTCTTTATCAGTTGGCCCATCATGTAGAGTGACCTCGGCTTCTTGCCGAACATATTGGCATGAGTTGACGCTGCGAAATGCTTCTCCTCGGCTGTCGGGCCCAAGTGGAAAGTGCTGGTCAGCTTCCAATGGAGGTAGCCGTTCGTGGAGGGAGGGAATTTGATTGTCGCATTTTGTATCGTTTTCGAGCTGCTCGCTTACTGATGATAAGAGGGCAGTTCATCCCGCAGTATCGGCCCGGGGTCGCCCTGGTCGCGCTCCGAATATCGTGATAGTGGATCTGTGATGACTTTGAGGGCAGGGTCTAATGCCGCCAAGTATATTATGACACTGTGGCTGGCAGGTAAACGGAGCGAGCATAGCCCCATGCGTGTCAATAGGCTTAGATGATCTAGGGCTGTAGTTACACTAAGCCCATTTAAGCAGTATGCACCGCTGGCCCCCAAACTAGAGCGAGAAAAGCAATAATCTTGCCTGAACTATGCAGCCTTACTCTGAAAATGCCTCGAGAAGCTTGGCTTCCTTTTCAGCATGTAGCAAGAAAAATTCCTCAACAAACTGTTCAATTGGTTGTGCTATCCCTTAAGGACATAGTGAAATCTTCCAGGGTTCTAACTTGCTACGTACGGTAATTTGTTCTAATCGGCTTTTTGTTCGCAAATAAGATCGTTACTTACTTAGCAGGTAAGAAATTCAGGATTATCTCTATTGGAGAGGTGCAGTATGCCTTACCCGAACTAGCTAGCCACGATAGGTAGTACATACCGCTTTCATGAACGAACTCTATTGGTTTTGGTTTTGGGGCCTAATGCCAATCTCAGTTCCTTGATCTAGGAGACAGCGGCATATACCGCCTAATTGGGTTCAATGTACTGCCCTACGTCACTTAAGCCTCGTACCCGACTCGACATCACGGACTATAAGTAGCAGTAATCTTGCCGGCAGTGAGCGGAGAGGTCGAGTATCCTCCAATTCTCACACTCCTCTTTGAAACCATGCGAACCCTCAAAACCGCTCTCACACTTCTTCCATTCTGCTGCATCCCTGCAGTCCTTGGCAATCTCCCTGGCCCGTCTTACCCTGCTCCTAAGGAAATCAGCAACAATTCCAGCTGGGTGGCTGCTAGTTGGAAAAATGTAACGACAGCTTTGGACCAGACCCTCGATGGCTGTGGAATGGGCAAATTGGCCTCGTCCCTACTAAAGAACACCACCTTCTCTATAGGCTTGTTCTCACTGCATGACCAGGGCGCCCATTCCATGCAGTACCACCACACAGCCTTAGCCACCCTCAATGGCACCGTGGGCGCGAAAAAGGTCGATGGCAACACAATCTACCGAATTGCCAGTATATCTAAGCTCATCACCACCTACGCGGGCATGATTGAGCTGGATGAGAATGACTGGAACATTCCTTTATCACACATTTTCTCGGGCTTCAAGGACGTTGTGGAAAAGACGGCCCAGAATTACGATGCCGTGCAGGATATACAATGGGACAGGATTACCATCGGCGATATCGCGGCCCAGATTGGCGGCATCCCGCGCCTAGGTATACCGATCAGTTCGGACTTCCTGTTAGCAGCTCTGGAGAACCCCTCCGTCCTAGACACCTGGGGCCTGCCGCCTCCTAACTTGACCGAGGATGAGGCCCAGTATCCCTGTGCGAAGTACCTAGCATCTGGCTCTTATACCAAGTGCAGTATCCAGGAATATGCCCAAGGTATCGCTTCCAATCCACCTAGATACCCGCCCGCCGCTAGTCCACTCTATTCCGACAGCGGCTTCTTCCTCCTCGGCGGGGCGCTGTCTAACCTCACTGGGATGTCCATGGATAAGTTGTACCGCAAAGCCATTTTCGAGCCCCTCGGTCTCAGGAACACCTTATCTAACCCGCCCACCGATCCTGCAGTCATCGCTCGCACTGTTATCCCCAAAACCCTGGCAGCTGAATTCCTCAATATTCCCATGTCCACGCCCTCCGGTGGCCTGTACTCGACCATCGATGACCTGTCCAAAATCGGCATCAGCATTCTCAACTCAACCCTCTTGCCTACCGATAAGACTAACCGCTGGATGAAACCGGTCTCCTTCACCGGGGATCTGCGCTATGCCGTCGGCCGCCCATGGGAAATCTATCGATATGTGCACCAAGACACAGGTGTAGTCACAGACATCTATACCAAGCTGGGTGATTCAGGAGACTATTGTGGTCTGCTCGTGCTTTTACCGGATTTTGAGATCGGCTTCACTATTCTCGGTGCCAGCTCCGTGGGAGTTCACACGCAAGCAGTGCAGCTTGTCGCCGACCTCCTCACAGACTCCATGATGCCCGCTCTCATGACTCAAGCCCGTCACGAAGCGGTTACCAACCTGGTGGGGACCTACACCCCTAAAGACAAGGGTCTGAACACCACTCTGACCCTGTCCGTTCCCTCGTCATCCAAGTCGGCCCCGGGACTTGTCATCTCGGAGTGGATCAGCAACGGCACAGACATCAAGAACATCCTAGCCACAGCTTTGGTAGACCTGGTTCCCCATATTCCGGTGCCACCGGCGAATCCCGACATGGTCAGGCTTGTTCCAACAATTCAGGATATCGCAGCTTCAGGTCAGATTGCATTTCAAATGGATACGGTCAACCCTACCGGGCCCGTTACAGGCCATTTATTCTCCCAGATGTATGATGTGGGAGACTGGGCTAGCATAATCGATCAACTCACGTACCAAGATATACCTATCAACGAGTTCGTGTTCCACGTCGATAAGAAGACAGGGAAGGCATATTCGGTGACGCCGAGTGCGTACCATGTCGAGCTGGAGCGGAGGAAATGAGCATTAATCAATGAACCGGCAGAAATTAGGGGGGAAGATCAGTGCGGGTGGTCACTCTAATTGTAATAATCTTCTTGTTGAGTACATTTCTAAGTTCCCCCGTACGGTTTCATGAGCGTGAAATTAGAACCACAAATGCTCGATGTGGCGGAAATCGAGAGTAGTCTCCGCGGTATCAAGCTATTATCATTTAGCTCCCTGGATTTGGTTTTATGTTGTGATTAGTTCAGGGCCGTTAAGTGAAGAGGACAAGAGTAAAAAGGGAAGAGCCAGAAAGAAAAGTGACATGAACTATATACTCTCGAAAAATATATACTGCCCAAAAACAAGAACTATCATATTTGGTTAGTGCTGCTCCTCCGGGGGCAATTGCACTTTCACCGCATCCTCCGCCAGAGCTTGATTCTGCTTGTTCTTGTTGGAAATGAAGGAGTTGATATACTCCGGCACCTCTTGCACCTCGTTCTCGGCGCTAGGGACCGGCTTTCCAAAGGTCTCCCAGACCGGAACCACGCCAGTCCAGACACGGCCGGTGACCTCGCGATTATCCGTATCCTTGCGCTCATCTGACACGCCCCCATCACGGATCTTGCCGCTCCCATCAACAATCCTGACCTTGAGGATGACGGTGGACGACATCTCCGCCTTGTCAGGCGGCACACGCGAGTGGTCCCAGCGGTCCTCAAGCACGGAGTTAGTGATCAGCTTCATGGCCCAGAGCTTCTCCTGCTCGTCGGTGACGAGCGTGGCGTACCCGTGCAGCACGGCCGAGCGGTAGTTGTAGCTGTGCGAGTTGGGCGTGAGGGATAAGATCAGGCCGTCGACTTTGCTGGTGGCCACGCAGATGGGCAGTCCGTCTCCCTCGGAGTTGCGCGCCAGATTCATGATGCGAGAGCTGACGTAGCCATGCAGATAGCACTCCAGCGGCTCTTCAATGGTGGCTGAAGGATAGTCGAACGATCCCATCTGCCCGATCATGGGCAGGATGGTCGGGAACGGGTCCGACGGCCCCGGATTGAAGGAGACATGGAGCACCTGGGAGGCGTTGATGATGGAGTGGATCGCCCCCAAGTCGTATGTTGCTAGCAGTGCGGTCTTAGCGGTGAAGTTTGAGACAAGCGGGAAACCTACCGCGGTGGTTATAGCGGTTGACAGTATTGGAAGGCCGCTTCGGGTATGTCAGTGTTCGTCCCATGATTACTACTGCAGTGATATTTTGATTGTGAATGACAATGATCAATAATCTGGAAACAGACGCTTATTTAAAGAATGGCCGGGTCACGATAGGTCCGTCCGCCGCGCGCAATTGCTGCCCTTTCAAGCAGGTCTAACCGAGTCGCAATGCTTCCTTCCCCGCGGTGGCACGGATGGAATCATAATCCTCATGAGTCAAATCATCGTTATTATTAATGTGGTAATCCGCCTATGATCATTCGCCCGAGAACAGCAGTTTCCAATGTACAGTATGGAGGCAAGAAGGGCTTGGAATGGTGTGCAATAGTGATTGGCCCACACCGCCGACCGGCCGATAACAACATCCTCCTCCGACGATAAACGATCGTTGTTTCCGGACCAACACAACCACCAGCATGACGTGTAGATCGCTGCTGCGATGCGCCCTGCGAGGTCGCTTACCTGCACCCTCTCGCCCGATATATCGGAGTCCGACTCAACGAGCTCCTCTTCGGTCGTATGCGACGTCGGTGGCCGCCGCGGATCTCAAGTTCGGCCAGCCATTGCACGAGACACACCCCCATATCCTCAATCCCGGAGAACGTGTGTGCTCTTCGATCCCCCAGCGAAATTGCGCTCACTCGACTGACCCGCTTGACCAGTCACGCCCGGGATAACCGCCCTGGAATATGCCCATCGCCGCTCCCGACTCGCCAATAAGCTACCCAAGGGCGCAGTTGCAGTGCTGGCCGCGTCCGAGGTCAAGTACCGTGCTCCGGGCATCTTCCATGAGTACCGGCAAGAGTCCAATTTCTACTACCTGACAGGTAAGGGTTCGCATGCACAGGACGGACAGCAAAAACACTGACGCTTTGGTGTCGACAGGATTCAACGAACCGAATGCTCTGGCGGTTATCGCGAACGACGGATCCTGCAACAATCACATCTTCCATCTCTATGTGCGCGAGAAAAATCCCAAGGCGGAGCTCTGGGATGGGGCCCGGTCCGGCACTCGAGCGGCCGTGGACGTCTTCAATGCGGACGAAGTGAGAGATGCCAAATCCACATCCTACAGCAATAACTGACTCGGAGGCTGCAGACCGGAGACATCGAACAAATCGGTGAGATTCTTCCGAAGATCCTCAGCGAAGCTACCGAGGTTTTCTCCGACATCCCCACGTTTGACGGCTCGAGGTCGACTCTGCATCGCTTTCTATACGGACCGACAGTTGCATCAGAGAAGCTGAAGAAATTTGTCGACCACCGAAAGGTCAAGCCGCTGAAGGGGATGTTGAATGAGATGAGGGCGTTCAAGAGCGAAAATGAAGTGGTGCATATGCGTCGACTGGGCCAAGCGTCTGGCCGCGCCTTCACCGAGTCCATGCGGCATGATTTCGACGGAGAAAAAGATCTGTGCTCGTTCCTGGAGTACCAGTTCAAAGTAAATGGCTGCGATACCAGCGCGTTCGTCCCCGTCGTCGCTGGTGGCTCTAATGCCCTGAGTATTCATTACACGAGGAACGACGATCTCCTACGAGATGGAGATCTGATTCTGGTTGATGGTGGCGGCGAACTAGGTGGCTATATCTCCGATATCACCAGGACATGGCCCGTCAATGGGAAATTCACTGCGCCGCAACGGGATCTCTACAACGCTGTGCTCAATGTCCACCGAACTTGTCTCGCTCTATGTCGAGAAAGCTCGAAGCTTACTTTGGATAAGCTGCACGGAATTGCCGAGAATGGGCTCAAGGACCAGCTACAGCAGCTTGGCTTCGATGTCTCAGGAACTGTATGTACCATGCCCTCGCAAAAATTATTAGTTGCTAACGGCTGCCAGGCTATGACGACTCTTTTCCCGCATCACTTGGGACACTATATTGGTCTGGATGTTCATGACTGCGCTGGCTATTCCCGGGGTTATGAACTGAAGGCGGGCCAATGTATCACGATCGAACCGTTTGTCTCCCTCGTGCCGTTGCTGTAATGATTTATATTAACTGCCGATCGCAGCGGTATCTATGTTCCCGACGACGACCGATGGCCTGCACACTTCCGTGGCATTGGCATTCGCATCGAGGATAGCGTGTGTGTTGGTGACGACCATCCGATTGTGTTGACTACGGAGGCAGTTAAAGAGGTATGTTTGGGAGACTGGATTTTCGTGGCATATACTAACTCGAGCCAGGTCGATGACATCGAAGCCCTGCGGTCATAGATGATTTGTACAGTAATTATCCGATGCCCTGCATTGTACTATAAAGAAGCGTTTTTGTAATCGAGGTGAAATGGTCATGTAACGCAGGTGGCTGGGGAGTCTCCGGCGTGTAAACTCATGGTATGGCCATTTTTAAAATAGTTAACCAAATGATTCAATAATAGAACGAGTCAATCAAGAACTCCACAACAGTCCGTCGCGGTGGCAAGAATGCACTCGCAGAGGTGATGTTCATGCTTCGCGCGTGGTTGTCCGGCGCACGAGCAAAACAAACTCGGGCTCCACCACACGACCTTCCGCCCTCTCTTCCTCTTCTTCCCTTCCATACCACCCCATCTCACCTTTCCCTCAATACTGGGTCAATAATGCCCACCCTCTAGCCTCACCCCCGAGCTCTGCTAGACGTGTGCCATTACACGTCGCGTGCTCGACATCCACACACACCCCTCTTTGAATCTCAATCCACCACTCCCTCGACGCGTATTATTCCCCCCAACCCATCATACACATGGCCGCTGTGTTCATTCCCCCTTCGCCACAGCCCACCCTGAACATGTCGACTCGCCGACCGCTCGCCAATGTGCCGAATGCCACCAATTCTCCCCACAGGTCCGGCCTCGTGCCCGCCAAACGAGCTCGACCAACTCAAATCGAGATTCCCTATGGCCAGCCCCCGCCAAAGAAGCAGGTGACAGAGACGGATGCCCGATCTCCTACGCGGACCAAGTCCATCTCCACGGCCTATCAGGGTGCAGACTCGAGGCAGCTCTTCGCTGCGCGGCGGTCCAACAACGCGACGCCTAGTGCCTTTGAAAAGAAGCTCGTCGCGGCCCGGGATAAGGATCGGCCGCCCCAGACGAAAGCTGCTAAGACGGAGAAGCCCTCGGCGGAGACGCTCGATACAATTCGTCAATGGCAGAGACACTACCGCAAGGCGTTCCCGCAGTTTGTCTTTTACTTTGATAGCATCCCGGAGGATGTTCGACGGAAATGTTCCCGCCAAGTTACTGCCCTCGGAGCTGTGAGTTTTGTCCTTACATCTTACCTTTGTGTGGATTCGATGGTATTGTTTAGGAGTCGTACTAACAACATTCCAGCAAGAGGAGAAGTTCTTCTCGCGCCTAGTCACCCATGTGATCACATCGCGTCCCATTCCCCCCGAAGCCGCCAACACAAGCCCGACCGAGTTGGAGGCAGAGCTGGTGAATGGAGATGGCCACATGCAAACGGTCAACCCATCGTTGTTGGAAAAGAATGGTGACTTGCATTTGCATGCCTCACTGAAAAGTGACACACGCCGTGAGCAGAGCAATATGGATATCCTCCAGAGAGCCAGACAGATGGGCATGAAAATCTGGGCACTGGAAAAATTGCAGCGTATGATTGCCACGATCAATGACAGTGAGATTGGCGGCCAGCATGATAGTGCCGCTCGTGGTAAAGCTGCTGGTGGGAGTACCGCGCATGGAAAGGGCGACAATGACCTCTCTCGAGTCCTGCGCCAAGAAATGTTGAATGGACCTTCGGACCGTGATCCCTTGTCGTCGATGGAGATGATCATGTTCAAGGGATCGTTCATCTACATTCACGACATGAACGAGAAAACCAAGCCAGTTATGGTCAAGGAATACCCGCGGGTTCCCAGACGGCAGGATGGAATTTGGCCGCAGTTTAGAAGTGCGCCTCTGGGTAAATGCCCTTTCATTGACGAGCCTCCAAGCAGGAAGGACTATGACAGTCACCGAATTCGTGAACACAAGGAGAAGAAAGCCGCCATGCGCAAGACCCAGGAATCTCGAGGCACCAGGGAAACCAAAGCGGCGGCTCCCGAGGGAGCAGCAGGCTCCAAGGCCAAGGATATGGCCAAGCCTGACACTAGCGAAAGCCAGGGACGGCGTATATCCCCTCCAATTCAGGCAGAGATACCGGCAAAGCTCTCACTAGACGGCCACGAGCGAAAGAGTTCTGAAAGCTTCATCCCACCCCACTTTCCTCGGACCGGTCCCTTCTACACTGGTCGTGAACCTGCCGCATCTGGTGTGCAACCGTCCAACATCACCTCGGCCATTCGCTCCCAGATGATCTCCTCGACTGCTGCAGGACCAGGCGCCAAGGCAGGCTTGAGTAAGGAAGTTCATGGCTTGCAGCGAAAGGTCCTTGAAAAAGGTGCCGGTGGTCCTCCAACGGGCTCAATGGCAGCTCCTCAGCGCCATGTTGATGGATCCACAACGCAGCCTGCTTCCCAAGGCAAGAGCATCCAACAGGGCAAGAGCGGCTACACCAATGAGAAAGAAGCAACCAGGACTGAAGGGAATGGGGCGAAACGGCCACGGGAAGAGCGCAGGAACAGCCAACAACCCCAGCAGAAGAAGCCTGAGCGGAAGAGAGACCCGAAACCCGGGTATTGCGAGAACTGCAGGGACAAATTTGATGACTTCGAAGAGGTATGTCCCGTGTCATGATTCTCGATGCCCCTATACTAATCTATCTCAGCACACCCTCACGAGGAAGCACCGCCGGTTTGCGGCCAACTCGACCAACTGGGCCGAGCTGGATGCATTGCTCTTTGATATCCAACGGCCTCTGAAGGAGGAATACCGATTCGATGATTAGCTGCACGCTGTTGGTCTAACCAACGGAGTTGCAATACCATCGACTTTGCGTGCATTATAGCGACAACCTGGATATTATCCAGCTATTCATCTGCCGCATATTCTTTTTGAATTCCCTCTGTCGTGCCTTTTCTTGGAAAACATTCGGAATTGTTCAGCCACACCACCCTCGGCTTCGACGTTCATGCATCTTGTGGAGTTTTCATTGTTCTTTCCTGCATCAACACCTCGCGATTTCCCCATATGAAAGCGCGATCGCGCTTCGTTTCGTTTAAACACCGACTCTCAGCCGAAATCGTTCGTTCGTTACGCCGACTTTCTCTCCTATCTCTCTCCGTTGTTTATTTTGGTATTCGACTTCACATCGGCACAAAACCGTGGGACAGAAGACTCCTTCCGTCCTACATCGTCAGCTGGGAGGCCTTTCTGGATTAATTACCAGCATTCTCTTTTCTCATATCTTCTTAGGAGGTCGAATCTACCGGATCTGCCTGTCTATCTGCCCATCGACCATGGTAACGAATCAGACAATGATCCGATATCCGTTGCACAATATCAACGGCTATAATCGACAACCAGCCTTTCATTCTTGCGCGTGTGCGTTCACCCCGATGCATTTCCAGCGCTGGTCGAGCTTGATTGATTCGAGATCGGAAGCATTGCTTGCATTGTATTGCATACGCGCGCCTGTCGCGGTTTCTTTGTTCATACAAATTCCCCCTCCCATTGCGATCCTGCGGGACAACAATATTGTCAAATCTGTTCTGGTGGCCTTTCTCTTTCTCGCTCTGCACGGTCGGTGTCTATTTGTGCATTCTTATGTCTGCCCGGAGCAAGTGGCTTCTTCCTTCTCGTTACATTACATAATAGGACGGATACGCATTTATTCGGCCTGGTGGCGATCTGTCTTGTGTACGGTGGTATTAATTGACATTTGTTCTATTGTGTGTGTGGCCTCCTGTGTGCTGTAGGATCAGATCAACATAGCCAACTCACCACATCCAGACCGTCCTCGACTCCCAAATCCCCTTCGCCTCAATATCTTTAATATGAAACCCGTCATATTCTTGTAGAAACCATCAGTCCACAAACAGGGATATCAAAATATGCATACGCCAAAAAAAAACTTCAAACAAGTCGACATTCACCCACCTCCCACCATCTGCCATATCAGTTTGGAGATATAAGTTTCAAGTCTCCCGTAGTTATCGTAATCCTGTGCTTCTCCCCCGCCACATCCAAAGATATTTCCCACATCAGCGAATTCTTGTGCCTGATGCAATATGTGACAAAATCCGGGTACAGTACGGGACACCTTGAGTAAGCTTTTAGCGAAAGATTTTTATTGCCAGACTTCAACCCGCTCCGATGGAGTGTGAGCTGGAACATATTCCCTAAATTGATCGGTTTATCGGCCCTGCCGTCTGCAGTGTATATTTCTAACGGTGATTCTAGTGTCTCTAGCACCTTCTCAAGGCCCAGATCATGGGATGATGTTTGCGTGTCGCTGTGGAGATTCGAGTTTGAGCGGATATATGTCCAGCTCGAGATGGACATTTTGACAGAGGTAATCTCGATTCTCTGTGAGACGTCTCTGATCTCTTCACTAGTTTTACGGGGTAATGGCTCGATCTCGAAGATAATCGGGATTGGTTCTGGATTGCCAAACTGAATGATTTTCGGGTAGGTGATGTTGAACTTGAAGCAAAACTCGGGAACCTTAGACGACCCGAAAGACTTCTGCATCTTTTGCTTGAATGAAAGACCCCTATGCCTCATTCCCGGAACGAGTCGCTGGCTCTGGATTCGTCGTTGCGTTGACGTCTTCGTCAGCTGCCCGACCTGGTCGATGCCCTCTGGCGGATGTCGAAGAGTAATCGGCCATGTTGCGGTGATGGTCTTCGATTCGCTGCCATACTTATATCTTAGCTGAGCAGTCAGATAATACTCGATAAAGGACTTCGAGTCACGGCCGTAGCTGTGATTACTTGATGAGAATGTCCCGGGCAAGATATGAAGAGCCGGGTGATCTTTGTCCAGTGGAAGGAAAACTGACATCCTCTGAAAGACCCCTGTTGCGCATATCAACCGGCTCAGTGGGTATTTTGATAGAAAAAGGCCAGCTAAGCGGCTCGGTGGCGACGCCCCCGGGCTGAATGCCTTCGGGGAGATGCAGAGGTCCCTTGAAGAGAACATCTTGCTCCAAGCCCAGATAGGAACATCCGCCAGTGTGGTGACGGGTGCTGCGCTGGTTGCCTGACTCGATAATCTCCGTCACCGCGCGGCCGACTAGGCCTACTTTGACGGTGGCTTCTGGTGAGACGATCCCTTCCTTGCGCACTAGGTTGCCCATGATGGTGTCGCCTGGGGAGTATGACCAGTTTGGGGGCTCGGCGACGTCGAATTTGAGTGCATCGTTGCCCGTTTTTATGGTACGGCTATTTTCGCGAATGAATAGGGGTGGTGATCCCCCGGCAGTGAACATGGTTGTACAGAGTAAGTATGTGATGTCGTGTCAAGCGAGGCTTCTTATATATGTATGGGATTGGGGCCAAAAGATCTGCATGGTGAGGTCAGTGGGAGGCTTAAACCAGCACGTGAGGCTATACATAGTGCGCCAATCGCAGCTAGTACTATGTACATAGGTTTTGTCTATGGACAGATACAGATCTGAATATCGAACAGCCCTATCGTAGCACTTTCGAATCCTCATACATACTATCATCTGCTGTTTGTAGCTGACCTGCATACTAATGTGGAGTTTCTCCACACCAGGTGAACCGAGGCACGGCTCCACGGCTTTGGTATGGTAGACCTCCTCCGCCTGACGCCTACAAATACTTAACCTCCTATCATCACCCCAACATCATATTGATTTATCTCCATCCACAATAATAATGGCCACCCCATCGCGCTCCCTGCAGGCATCTGCCCTAACCTTCGCCCTCCTCTCCATCGGACACACGGTAACTAAATACACCCCACATCCACATCCATATGCCCTCCATATCCATCCGCGCTATTCCATCTACTAACAAATGCTTCAATCCTCTAGCTCGGCGGCAAAGAATGGCAATCCGACCCACGTTTCAAGTCCCTCGCGCGTACCAGGTCATGGTCCTGCGCCAAAGTCGGCTGGTACCAGGGGAGCGCTTTTTTCTTGATCACCGGTATTCTTCACTACCAATGGTCCCATAACCCCCAGGCCCTCCAGGACCCGCTGAACAGGGCCATGGCTGGTCTTGTTAATGCGCTGCTGTGGGCGAGCTCTGGCTGGTACTTCAAGAATGGGGTTAAGGATAATGGTTGGGCTGTTGGGTTGTCTGCTCTGTGGCATGCTTATAGTGTTGTGAGCAACGCTTTTTAGGTTAAGGGTGGAGGGATATAGTTAGTGTTGCTCTGGGCTTTTGCGTTTGGTTTAGGATAGTGCCTACATAGGTTTGACTATTCATGTATATTTGTATTCGTTGGTATCTGTCCTTCCGTTCGAGAAACATTTCTCCCCTTCTTTAGAACAGAGACAATTAACAACTAGTTACCACTCGTCGCTCGCTTCTTCCTCTCCTGGTCAGTCCACCCAATAAACAATCCCACATCCGCAACGACCGCGCGCGGAACACCCCCCAACGTCCAGTTCCTCTGAACCCACTGCGGAATCGATCCACCAGCGTCGGAGGTTGTCGCCATAGTCCACTGTACATGGCTGGAACCTGTAGTGTCTGGATTAGAGCCGCCTTGGGTTGAAGAGCGGCGCGACACGACGCGCTCCACGCTGGCGTAGTTAGCGAATATCGCTCTCCGCGGCACGACGGAGTGGATTCTTTGGTGCAGCTCTGTCGGCGTAGAGGATGGGTCTGGGTGTAATGATATCTGAATGGTGAGGAAGCCTGGTGGGCTCTGCTCGGTGCCTAGCTTGTCACTGGTTTTGGCGGATACCGTTAGAGAGAGAAACGAGCGCGGCGCGATTAGCGCGCCTGGGCGGAAGGTGTGTGTGATCAGATTGACTGGTTGGATGACAGTGTTAGGAAGAAAAGAAACCACCATACAGAAAGAAAGAGCTTCGACTTACCTTCCACTTCGAAATCCGTATACACTACCCCCTCGACCTCCAATTCCGTCTCCATCTCCGGGCCCTCCCACTGTAACAATCTCTCCACACCCGTCACGCTGGGCGTATACTCCATCTCGTGCTTAGCATGATCTTGCCGCAATCCATCCTCAAACTCCTCCCAAGACGCCGTGCCAGGCGCAGCTGAGTCAACATGTTCGCTTTGGCGACAGACCCAAAACTCTCCCTTCCCTGACCCGTTTCGAACCTGAGGAGAGTCTGAGTCTGCAGGCTTTCTCCACCCGCGCAGTAGCTTTACTTTCGCGTGCGATGGTGGCGACGAACGGGGCTTCGAGTCTGCGGTTAGGGTGGAAGGGATGGTTGTGTCGAGAAGGGAGATGGCCTCGCGAAGGGCGGTGGTGACGAACTGGGATAGTTCCGGACGGGATGGGCTGGAGGGGAGAGATGGGTGAGCCGGGAGGGAGGCGAAAGGGTGTGGACTGAGTTGGATGAGAGGCATTGCGAATGAGCGTTGGGATGAATGAGAAGCAGAGTTGACGAAGTAAGGTCCGGGTGAGACCGACCAAGGGGCATGAATGTTTATCAGCTTATCGTGGCACAAGTGATCGTTAGCTATCTCCGGGGCGATTTACTTCTAATATACAACCTATGATCTATAGGCAGCGCACCCCCGGTCCGACACTGCCAGTCTCGAATATCTCGACCAGTCCTGCGCCCAGGGCTTCTTCCAGCACCCAGCGAAACTGCATCCCGTACAACTCCTTCCACTTCTTCGTCTTGCCAGGCAAGACCCCCGCAAATTCTCCTCGCGCTCTCTTCGCCATGTGGAAACTTTTCTCAGTCTCCACGGCGCCATCCCACCGGTCCTTCAACAGACTCAGTGGTGCTTCGGCTGAGCTGGACCGCCGTAGGAGTGTCAGCAGGTGTGCGCGACCCGCTCCTAGCAGGCGGAGATAGGTGCCAGTGTTGGGGAGAGACAAAAACAGAGTTGCGGCGCGAGCCTGGGCGTCGGATTGTACGGGTTTGTCGGTGATAGGGATTGACTCGCTTCGGCTGGCAGATGGAGTTGACACGGTTTTGGGTAGATTGGGTAGAGATGCGATGCTCAACGAGCCCTGTGTGTATGCCGACGAGGACACCAGGAACCCGGCGCGTATCAGCGCCCTATACTCGTCTGGCGTAAAGACGCTCTGCGAAATAGCGGAGCTAGTGCCAATGCGATTGAGGATATCCATGAATTTCTCTGCGCATTGTCAGATTTGATGCCTCCCATGGACAATCAAACATACTCACCCTTGACTGATGCACCCAACGCAGCGTTCCCTTGTACCAGCTCCTCCCAGTCCTCGGCTAGAACCAAGCAATCGCCCAGTCCCGCAGCGTCACCGCCACGGCCAGGAACAATCAAGCGCCGAACCCGACCCGACTGAACCAACTCCACAATCTCCCGTTCGACCTGAGTCGGCGCATCGAGGAGGGTATGCACGTGGGCCACCGAGGCGAGGGGTGGCAAAGAGCGGCGCAGGTTGAGGACTTCGGCGATCCGAGTGCTGTTCATGCCGGCTCGGGCGGGCAGGTCGTCGAACATGCCTGTTCGGATATACTGGATCGCTTGCACCACATTTTGAACAGGTGCTGTCGTGGAGATATATTGTGAGCTGCCTTGGTCCGGCAGGGGGTCATCGACTCCCCAGTCCGGGACAGCAGCCTTCACACCGGCCCCGCTGGCGGTGGCTTTGCGGCGCGCATGGGCAGCAAAGGGCGAGGGTTGGGCGCGAGCAGTAGAGGATCGTTTCTTAATACCAGAGACCGGGGCAGAAGTTAGACGCAGGGTCATGGCCTGGTGGATGATGAGATGGGATGAGTGTAGGAGGAAAGTTGCATCGGATGCGGATAAAGGCGGAAATTACCGCCCCGGCAATTCATTATTATTGTCAGCAGTACGACCTAGTTAACTAACTAGTGACTCGTTACTGGGTTAATATTCTTCTCACCCTGTTTTGGTTCTGGTCTGAGATCACTCTCGATCTGCTCCCTCTCTTTCCCACCATTGTTTGTCCAGGTATTGTCCGACCGTCTTCCTTGCCTTCCCGATCGGCACATGACGTAGCTGTGAGAAAATGGCAGCACTGAACATGTGGAGTGAGTAAGCATCATATATTCCCAGTTCTCTCCGTTCAGTCCATTCCGACTCTACTCCTCCTCCTCCCCGGCTGGGGCCATATTCGCCATGACTGTCCTCATCGCATCGCTGTAAGTAGCATCCAATGCTTCCAATTGAACTGCCGAGGGTCGTTCATTGACCCCATACACCCTAGGTTCTTGCCATACACTGTCAATTTCCATGTCGCCAACTCGCGCAAGCTTCGCCCGTCGATAAATCCATCGGCGGCGGCTACCGCTCCTCCTACGACCACCAAACTTCCCGCCGAACCCGTCACGTCACATCCCACTGCAGCTGCTAGTTTGTTTGAGAAGAACAATCCATCCGCACCGCCAGGTCTTACACCCGGTGCAACCACCGATCATGAGCGCATCTTCACTGCGAGCCTGAACCAGGCGGAGAAGGAGGGCTCGGGATATCCATTTCCCTCAGAGATAACCGAGGGAACCCCACCGCTCACGGAAAGCGAGGGCCATTCGCCCGCATGGGGTGCGACTACTTCACTTACCCAGCCAAAGCCACAGACAATTGTGTCTCCATCTCCCTCCATCTTGAAGCACCAGGACCCAATCGCCCCGCTGAAAGAGCCTGTGTCACACAGAGCGCCCGGGACTGAGCCTGCACCATACCTGGCCTTGAAAAATGCCGACAACCGTAGTCGCAAAGAATCATTCTCCAAAGTGGAATGGACCGTGGAAACTGCGGAGCAAGGCAATGGTGGTCTGCGCAATGCGGTCCGCTCGGCAACGGACAATGGATACATAAAGGATATGATGTGGGTGGGCACGTTGGGAATGCCGACAGACGCACTATCACCATACACGAAGTCTGCCATTGCAGAGAAGCTGCAGAGGCAGTATGGGTCGGTGACGGTGTTTGTCAATGACGGTGACTTTGATGGCCACTACACCCATTTCTGCAAGACCATCCTCTGGCCGGTCTTCCACTACCAGATTCCAGACAACCCAAAGAGCAAGGCGTACGAGGATCATTCGTGGATCTACTACGTCAAGCTTAACCAGGCATTTGCAGATCGCATTGCCAAACAGTGGAAGCGAGGCGACTCCATCTGGGTGCAGGATTATCATCTCTTGTTAGTCCCAGCCATGCTCCGGAAGATGCTGCCCGATGCCCAGATCGGCTTCTTCTTGCATATTGCCTTTCCGTCATCCGAAGTCTTCAAGTGTCTGGCTCCACGCAAAGAACTCCTGGAGGGCATGCTGGGAGCCAACCTACTCGGCTTTCAGACTGACGAGTACTGCCGCCACTTCCTGCAAACATGCAGTCGCATCCTGTGTGTGGAAGCTACCAACGAAGGGATTCAGATGGAGGACCGATTTATCAATGTTGGCACGTTTCCAATTGGCATCGATCCAACTTCCTGGGACAAGCGCCGCCAGGCTGCAGACGTGGAGCGCTGGGTCGCGACAATCTCCAAACGATACCACGGGAAGAGGCTGATTGTCTCTCGTGACAAGATCGACTCGGTCCGGGGTATCCGCCAGAAGCTTCTGAGCTATGAATTGTTTCTCAACACCTACCCGGAATGGGCAGATAAAGTTGTTCTCATCCAGGTCGCAACCAGCACCACAGAACAGCCTGAGCTGGAAGCGACCGTCTCCGACATTGCCATGCGGATTAATTCCACTCATTCCACTCTCGCCCATCAGCCCTTGGTTTTTCTCAAGCAAGATCTTGCCTTTCCGCAGTATCTCGCGCTCATCACCGTGGCGGACGCCCTCATGATCACCAGTCTCCGCGAGGGAATGAATTTGACCAGTCATGAGTTTGTTTACTGCCAAGATGGCCGCTACGGTGACAAAGCATACGGATCCTTGATCCTCAGTGAGTTCACGGGAAGCGCGTCGGTCTTTGGAAATGCCGCGCTTCTGGTCAACCCATGGGACTACCGACAGTGCTCAGCGGCTATCCATACCGCGCTGACCCGGGACCAGAAGAAACGCAAAGAGGTGTGGGACAAGCTGCATAGTGCCGTCCTGCAGAACTCGACCGCCAACTGGGTCAAGTCGTTTAGTGAGACCCTGAGTCGGGTGTGGAACGAACAGTCGTCGCGCGAGATCATGGCCGTTCCACGGCTGTCCGTTCCCCGGCTTGAGGAGCGGTACCGGCGTTCCAGATGTCGACTTATGATCGTCGACTACGAAGACACGCTCGCATCGTGGGGATCACCGCGCAGCATCATTCTCACCACGCCTCAGCGGGCGATCACCACTCTGACCGAGCTGACCGACGACCCTGCGAATATAGTTTATGTGATGAGCGCACGCATGCCGGAGGAGATGGAACGCCTCTTCCGCGTGGTCCCCAACCTGGGACTCATTGCCGAGAACGGGTGTTTCGTGCGCGAGCCCAATGCCGACAAATGGACCAATCTCGCAGACAAGGCGCACATGGTGGCTTGGAAGGACAGCGTTTCACACATTCTTTCCTACTTCCAGGAACGGTCCGAGGGCAGCTGGATCGAAGAGCGGCACTGCTCACTTGTGTTCCATCACGGATCCGCCGAGGACCGGACAGTCGCGGCGCGACTTGCCGCCGAGTGTGCGGGCAATATCAACGACGCTTGCGCCAGTCAGGGCGTACACGCCATCCCTGTTGGAGGGGCTCTGGTCGTCGAGAACGTCCACACTAGCAAGGCCTCTGCGGCTGAACTGGTGTGGCGCCGCGCTCTAGAAAAGGATGGCGGAGATACCACGAAGCCAGACTTTCTGCTCGTTGTAGGCGATGGCCGCGAAGATGAGCCTGTCTTCCGGTGGGCCAATAAACTCGAGACGGCCAAAGCAGTTGATTATGTGATGACAGTGACTCTGGGGTCGCGAAATACGGATGCGAAGGCGACCCTGACGCAGGGAGTGACTGGTAGGTGTTTAGATGATTTCCCGTTGATCAGGAATGCTAATTGCAACTCCAGGTGTTCTCTCTTGCCTGCAACAACTGGCCAATCCGGAGGTGGTTACGGCGACGTTACCGGTGCGGTAATCGTCGCAGACAGCGAGATCGATGCGACTACGTGAAGACGAGTGATGCTAGAAACAAGACCCGGAGTTCTTGGGTAAATTGGCCCTCTGCGATGATTCGATTTCGGGTTCCTTCTACTGGTGTTCATTGTGTTGAATGGGTTATACACGGAAATGCAGCAGAGTACATAGTATTTTGTAGTCTTCTCTCATACAAAAATTTCGGTTTCCACTCTGGTACTATCTCGGATAAGATAAGGCTGGATTCCGGGGAATTCTGTCTCCAGAATGACTGCCGAGGTTCTCCGAGCACGCACCGAGGTGATCGTAATCATCTGCGTAGAACAAATTGCGAGCTTCGAATCATAATAACTCTCTTCTCTCATCACTTCACTTCTCACTCTCTACCTTCAACCCACCATGTCGCCCCCTCTCAACTCCGCCTTCGAGGACGCCATCCGCGTCACTCCCCAGGGCTCCAACAAGTACAGAGCCTACCTACACCCTGAGTGGTGTATTGGAACAGGTATCAACCTACCGACCACTACATGCTAGCCCCAATCCAGTCCATCAAACTAACCAACACCCATCAGTCCCCCATGGCGGCTACACAACAGCAGTCCTATACCGCCTTGCAATCACGCATTTCGCCCACGCCCATCCTAAACAATACTCCAGCTCCGCCAGCCCAATCTCGCTGCAACTCTCCTTCCTCCGCCGCACCGCCTCCGGAACCGCAATTTGCGAAGTCGAAGACGTCAAGCTGGGCCTGCGCACCAGCACCATTCACGTGAAACTGCTCCAGGAATCCGAGAAGCATAAGGGCACCTTTGAAGTCAAAGTCGCGGGCTACATCACGGTCAGTCCGCCGGACGCGGAGGTGGGGATCAGCGCTGCAACTGGGTGGGTGCCACAGCCATCTCCGCCGCCTGGATCCAAGCCCAATGGGGGGATCGACTTCGCGGCCCTAGCGCAACGCGGCTCCGACGGCGCCTGGGTGCGCCTCGAACCACCCTTCACCGAATTCCGGCGCGCCGCCGCGCAGCTAGAGCTATACGGTCCCGGCAAAGGAGAAGCGCAGCATCGACGCACGGGATCGCTGGCTATAGATCAATGGGCGCGCTTCCGGCCCGGCGGGGACTCCAATGCGCGCTGGACCGACGCGGCGGTTGTGTATCTGCTCGACATGTTCCCCATGGCGCTGGACGGGTTCGATACTGTCTCTGCGACGGCGGAGGCTAAGGCGCAGGGCACGGATGTGCCTGAGAACGTGGCAAAGTTCTGGTATCCGACTGTTACGCTCAATATCGATATGAAGAAGCGCCTCCCTGCTGAGGGGGTTGAGTGGCTGTATAGTCGCATTGTGACGAAGGTGGTGCGCGATGGACGCACGGATCTGGATGTTACGGTGTTGGATCGCAATGGGGAGGTTATTGCGTTGAGTACACAGGTTGGACTGGTTGTTAGTGCGAGTCGGAATTTGGGGAGTAGGAAGGTACAGCAGAAGCTGTAGTTGGGGTTGTTTACACTTGTATATAGGATTGCGGAATAGAAACAAACCTGTTTATAGTAGTGTCTATATACTGTGAACTGCATATAGTGTTATTTAGTATATGTAGTATGTGCAAACCCTCAATCTTATGTACATGAAGGGGAAAATCATCTCTAATGCTCACCCCCCACTCTCAAAGCTTGGTATCCGAGGTAACAATCCAAAAAGCCATCGCATCCGCCTTGACCACCTTCCTCCTCGCCCACTCCAAATGACCGCCCGCACCCTCCTCATCCTCCTGCACCGCCTGAGCCCGAACCCAGAATTTCCTCCCCGCGCGCCCAACAACCCTACTCCGCACAACCAGCAGCGCCGGCGTAACCACCCGCTTCCGATACCGCACATCCAACTGCACCGTAAAGGTCTTGCCGCGCGGGTTCTTCTCCACATCACTCTCACCCTCGGCGGCCGTCGGCGCCGATGTAGCTGCAGGTAGAGGTCTAGAAGTATGAGCCGCAACAGCCAAGGACATCGCCTCATCAATTAGCGTCGCAACAATCCCTCCATGCACGGTAGCCGGATGGCCCGATAGACCCGGCGACCCAAGATCAAAAATCATAATGATATCCGCCGGGTTGACGCCCGGCGTGGACTTTGCGGCGCTCGCCGCATCATCTTTCGTCGCCGGCAACCATGCTGGGACCTCGTTTGGTGCGGAGGCGAGTTGCGTTCGTTGCAGTGTGACCAGATGCGGGATTGTCTGTGCTGTCGCAAGCGTTCCGGCGAAGAAGCCGTCTTCGCCAGTGCTCGGCTTGAAGCGCCGTGAGTCTGTTGGGATGGCGGTGTAGTCCGGTGAGGAGATGAGGTTGTTGGCCCAGGGATTGGTGCGGAGGTGGGCGATTTCGGCGTCTGGGTCAGCCATTGTATGCGGTTTGTAAAGAAAGGCAGGAATGGGGAGGAGATCAATTGTGTCTCAAGCTTCTTTTACGTTTTGTAGTTCGTTCTGCCGCTCGCTGCGTTTACCTCGGCCCATAGATCCGGGTGTAGTCACGTGATTGGAGATCACATGATGGGGTGTGCCCTGAGCGATCGATTCGTATAGATCGAATGGATTGGAAGTCACTTGATCGATGCTAGATACAGTCGATTGTCTGCGTCTGGAGTGGTACATGTGAGGACACGGGCATGTTCCTGGCGCGAGTACGTATGCGCTCGGCGCTGACAGCCGCAAGGAGGTGTTCCTGTCGATGAGGAATGGGCAAGGAATGTCGAGGAGTTCAAGTTGTTTATTCACTGAGACAGGGCACTGTACCTAATCCCTGCGATCGTGCGAGTAATTCAGGATTTAACTCGAGAATGTATAGTGTTTCAGGCAGAGGAATAGGATAGTACAGGAAGTATGCAACCCAGGGCGTTACCCTGGCAGAGGTGTCGTCCACACAGGGAAGGTGCGACACTCCCATTCCTGCCTCCTTGTTGTTGTCCTGTGTGTCTGCTCCTTCTTCTGCTTCTTTTTCTTTCTCTGCTTTCTTCTTCTTCCTCCCACCATCTCCCTTTCCCATCACACCATACTCTCTGCGTCCGTCTACCATTCATTCACATCTGCATCCACTCCTCCTCCATATACATCACCATGCGTTCTACCATCCTTGCTCTCTCTGCCCTGGTCGCCTCGGCCGTGGGCCAGAACTCCACTGCCTACAACATGCCGGCTGACTTCAACATCGGCCTGGTCAAGACCGATGATCTGAGTATGTCCTGACTTTTCCCTCCTCTTCTGGGCAACACTGATTACCGATTCACAGACTCCTGGTGCTTGGGCCAGCGGAACACATGCCCTGAAATCTGCAACGGTGACACCAAGCAGAACTCCTGCGACCCTGTATGTGAATTCAACCCGAACTTTTCAGTCTGTTACTGACTCCTACCTCCAGGCCACTCTGAAGTATCAGTGCATGTGCGGTGACGGCTCTGTTCCTGACGTATCATCCTACGTCGAGACCGTCCCCTTCTACGTCTGCCAGGCCACGTACGGCCAGTGCATCGACTCGCATCCCAACGACGCCACGGGCCAGCGCACCTGCAAGAAGAGTGCCAAGTGTGGTTCCAAGAACGCCAGTGCGACCGACACCACCGCTTCGTCCTCGGTTCATGCCTCGAGCACTCTGACCATGGCCACCTCCACTGGCTCCAGCAGCAGCAACAGCGCCAAGAGCGGATCCGTCTCTTCTGTGGCTGCTGCCAGCACCACCAGCAACGCTGCTGTGATGGACGGTCTGCAGGTCTACTCGACCGGCCTGCTCGCGGGTGCCATGTTCTTTGCCATGCGTCTGGTTCTGTAAGCCTTCGGGTGTGTCTTTGGTCTGGGCCATCCCGTGTTTCTTCCTTGTTCTATCCACTTATCTCCACGCGATGACGGTTTTGTGCCGGCTTTTTGAATCGATTCCCCCTCATCCTTTCTTCGAGTGCTTGTCACTGAAGATGTTGCCCACATATCTATGAGCGTGGCCGCTTGTCTTTCCCTGTCTTGTTGCTTTTGCAGAGGTATTTGTCTACGCCAGACGACGTTGACTGAACTATTCTCTTAATCATAATATTTTTGAAATGCGTGGTAAAAAGTAGTGTAGTTCCGAAGTGTCGTCGGTGTTGGCTGTGGTTGAGTCTCTCGCCAAGACTTTGGCACACACTGAAATTTCCCACTGATCGATACTCGGGCTCCACCGTCAAAGAAACACTCCCTCCTTCTTTCTCTCTCTCCCTTCTACTCTCACCCACCATCCACCCCATCATGCCCGCTCCGACCAACACCCTCCTCATCGAGGGCTCTTTTTCCGAGCTCGCCGAGGAGTTCGCTCAGTACATCGACGCTCTTCGCAAGCCCGAGGGCGCTACCCTCCAGTCCGAGATCGCCCCGCTCCTCCAACCTCTCCGCGAGCAGGAACAATCCGAAGGCGAGCCGGATCTCAAGCAGCGCGATGAAGTCCTGAAGAAGCTTGTGTCGTCCGCGACGGCTTTGAACGGCGCCCCCGAGAAGGGTGAGTCTTGGATGCTGGGTCCCCCGCCAAACAAAAGGGAAAAAAAAAAAAAAAAAAGAGACTGACCATTTCAATTCAGAAATCACATCCTCCTACAACCTCCTCGTGCACCTCGTCCACCAGTCCTCCGACCCGGACGTGTTCCTTCCTCGCATCTGCACCTACCTCGCCAAGCCCATCACCACCTCGCCGCAGTTCGGTCCCACTCTGGCCATCTCCATCCTCACCACCATCTTCAACACCCTGTCCACCAACGACTCGAGCCGGTACCACGTCCTGCTGGCAATTGTCGCCGTGATCCGGCAGTCCGGGTCCGGGTACGCTTTTGAAGCACTGAAGCCACAGCTGGCGAGCCAGCTGGAGACGTGGCTGACGGCCTGGGAGCTGGACAATGAGGAGGCGCAGAAGTTGCACTTGGCAATTGCGGACGCCTCTACAGCCGCAGGCGATGACGAGCTGGCGCAGTCACACATCGTCAAAGCGTTGGAGACCATCCCCGCCGCGGACGCGAGCCAGCCCGCAGCCCGCGAATTGGCAGTGCGCGCGCTCGCCTCGGCCCTGCGCCGTTCCACCGTCTTCGACTTCACTCCCCTGACGGCCTCGGATGCTGTGCAGGCTCTGCGCTCCAGCGACAGCACGCTCTTCGAGCTCCTCGAGATCTTCACCTCCGACACCCTCGACGCCTACGAGGCCTTTGTCTCCGCCAACCCGCTCGCCTCGATCTCCAACGGTGTGCTCGCCGACGCCGGCACCGCCCTGCAGACCAAGATGCGACTCCTCACTCTTACCTCGCTGGCCGCATCCACCCCGTCGCGCTCCCTCCCCTACTCCTCCATCGTCTCCGCGCTGCGCATCCCCGCCTCCGACGTCGAGATGTGGGTCATCGACACCATCCGCGCCGGCCTGGTCGAGGGCAAGCTCTCGCAGCTGAAGTCGGAGTTCCTCATCCACCGCGCTACCTACCGCGTCTTCGGCGAGAAGCAGTGGGCCGAAGTGCAGGGCCGTCTGATGGTCTGGCGCCGCTCGCTCGAGGGCGTGCTGGACGTTGTCCGCTCCGAGAAGGAGCGCTTTGTCCGCGAGGGCATCCAGGCTGCTGCTGACCAGGAGGCGACTGCGGGCCAGGGCAAGTTCGGAGATAAGGCTCGTGCTGGTGGTGACCGGCGGCGGAATCCCCAGCAGCAGCAGCAGCAGCAGTCGCAGTCGCAGCCACAGGCACAACCTCGCGAGGTTGAGGCTGGTGCTGAGTAAAGTGATTTCTGCTATGTGCATGGATGGTGTTTTTTTACGAGGAGAGAGAAAGGAAAAAAACCCCAAAAGCAAGGCCACTTGGAAGAATTTTATATTTGGTAGAAAAGGGTGGATGTCCTTGTCCTCCTGTCCGCGGTTGGGATGTTGGTTATTTTGGGATGGATCCCCACGAGTTCATGTCATGTCTGTCTTGTTTATGCGTCCAAGAGGAACAACCCTTTTCTTTTGTCATATTTCCTCACTGTTCTTTTCTTTTTTCTATAGGAGAATATCAATTCTTAGACTTGGACAGAGTTTCTATTAACTAGCGAAGTTGAAGAGAACAAAAGAAAGTCTACATTCTATAGCAGATGTCCACACAGCATAAATTGACAAGTATACCACACCCACCTCACAGAGGATGCAACCCGCGAGCCTCAATGCCTGCCTTAACATGCGCATACACCTCATCAACCGAGCCAGTCGCCTTGACCGAAACAACCTTATTCTGCTTCTCAAAAGCATGCACAACAGGCATGGAGGTCTCCACGAAAGTGCGGAACCGCTTCCGAATAGACTCAGCATTATCATCATCGCGCCCACTCGTCTCTCCGCGCTTCAGCAAGCGTGTCTCCATAACCTCCTCGGGACAATCAAGGAAAAGCACCAACTCCGACGGGCAAACAGTGTCCTCGAAGAAGACAGCCTGGTCCAGCTTGCGGGGGAACCCATCGATAAGGAACCGGGCCTTGTGGCCCTTGTTCGCGCCGGGGGCACTGCCCGCCGCTAGGGACTCGGCCATTGCGTTCGACAGCAACTTCACCGTCACCTCCATCGGCACGATCTTGCCTTCCCGGATGTAGGTCTTGATCAGCTCACCATACTGGCTTCCCTCGCGTACCTGCTCGGCTCGCAGCAGGTCGCCGGCGGATAGGTGCACGAAGCCGTAGTCCTTCACCAGGTTGGCGGACTGCGTGCCTTTCCCACTGCCGGGTCCGCCGAGAAAGAAGACCACTGTCACATCTGCCGTGGAGAAGCGCGGGGTCGTGTTAGTAGAGGTGGTTGGTGGGGTGGGCTGCGAGGCCGGCAGGGCGGTGTTGGTGTCGGCGGTGACGTTGGCCATTTTTTGTTATTTGTGTTGTATTCTTGTTGGGGGGATGGTGGTGAGGCTAGGTCGATGATGATCGAGGGTTCTTGTTGGCTCCTGTGCGTGATTTGACTAGGAGGACGTAGGATCCTGAGCCGAGGCCGATGATGGCGAGGATTGGGAGGATCTTGAAATGCGAGCGGTTGGTATGGGGGGGGAGGATGAGGGGCGTGGCGGTGGTGGTGGCGGGCGAGATGGAGTGCTGTAGGCACGACGGGAGAGTGTAGTCAATTGGAATCGACCGGACACGAAGTGCGATGCAGGGACAGTCTGGCGGGCAGTAGAGAGGAACATGGCGAGAGAAAGGAAAAGGAGGGAAAGGAAGATACCGTTTTTGGTGTGGCCAGAAGAAGACGGGAAGATCGCGACGAATCCGGTTAGCGTGGATTATCTTGATTGGCATCACTTGTTCACTTCCATCACTTCACAGCTGGCAACTACCTACTGCAGTCGGGCGAATTGCCTCTGTTAGCCTGCGATCTAGTGCATGTATCCCTAACGTACTCACCGATAGCAGCATAATCGGGTATCTATGGCCTCCTCTCTGGTTAATTTCACCACCGCCGTGAGCATGATTTCTATCATGCATCGCTACACTAACTACTCAGGGATCTATCTAGGGTACCCAGAGGGCTGCATTAACGGTGCCATCCAACACATATGAGATGCCATCCAGCGAAAATGACCCGTGCTTAGTCGGTGCTGCTTAGTCGGCGACTGCTCTTTCCATCTGGATACACACACATCTCTCTTTTACTTCTCTCTCTCTCTCATCATCTTTCAAAAAAGACATTCTACCAACATGGCTCTCAACATGGCTGATCAAGGCGTTCTCGCTGGTCATGACGGGGCCAGTCCCTTCGATGTCAACCACCACCACCGCCACTACCACCATGAGGAACACACCGAGGGAGACTTCGAATACCTGGTGAACCTCAAGGCTCACACAGCTGCTTCCAGTCAGCCCTGCTCTCCCCACTGCCTGGATGAGTACATCTGCGGCGTTACCAGTCTCCCCAACCCTGACGATTGGGAGTGGTTCAAAAATTCGGATCTCGAGCACACCAAGCAAAACGAGATTGCTCGCTTCGCCGCTTCCGAAAGAGCCCCTCTCCCCCCGGTCCTGCCGAAGCCAGCGACCCAGGATGGTGTCCTGACTCGAAAGGACCATGCGCCAAACCTGCCGTCCCTGCTGCGGCTGCTCGGAGAGGCCCGCATGAAGATCTACAACTACTTGTGGGACTCTTATCGTGTGTCCATCGAACTTAGCTTCCTGGACAGTGACTAATTGTCATGGCTGTTTCTTTTCTTAGAGTAGGGTCTTATAAAAGCAACTTAGTATGATCAGTACGGCGAGAGCGTTCTTTGGCGCTCCCTAGCAAGAACCGGTTCGTGGTCTTGGAAAGAGATGAGGCAGGCAGAACGGGGCCCTAGTGGAGCGAATAGCCGCACTGGAACTTATACAAAGCGACCCGGACACGCCCGAGTCGCTTTGCCATCGCGGCTGAAGGAGCCCGACGAGTCATATTCGCCGAAAACACTCCCAGCAGGCCGCACTGATCACTTTCTTTATTCATAATCGAGACGGGGTTTTCAGAGTCCCAGAACAAGTTGCGCAGCAATGCCAATTTGTGGGTGACCGATTCCAATGGCGATATGAACATCGACCTCTTTATGTGCACCAGTAAGAAAAAGAAGGACGTCGCATTCGACATCTTTCGGCCTGGCTACCGCTTCATTCGAGGTTACCCTGCCAGGATAATTGCCGAATTGAGAAGCAAAAAGCAACCATCAAGTCCAACAGGGATGGCCAAGCCGTGGCTGACGGGCATCTCAGAATTCCAGTATAGAATATCTTCCTGCTACGCCCTGACTCGCCCGATAAAGATATCATTTTCTCGGAGGATGACTTGATCGAGATCGCAGAGGTGGCCTGGGGTTCTCAGTTTTCAGATGTTCTGATATCATGTCGTAGAGAGATCCAGAGCAACAATTTGTTAGTAGTGTATCACTTTCAGTATGGTTCACGCCGAGGGCATGTTTTCCAGAACTTCTGTCCTATTTCATCTAGATCTCTCTGTATCCTTAGCCCGAGCGGAAGAACTACATATTGTAATTCGGTCGGCGCGAGAACTCGGTTTCGGGGATCAAAAATAAATAAACGAGCCAAAGTACATACAATATAGAGTCTCAAAGTAGAGAGGTACCGTCTCTAGGTATTGTAGTAATGGAATATCTGTTTCTCAAGTCACGTTTGTTTCCGTTAAATTAGGTTGTAGATAGATTGTGGAGAAGGTCTACACAACTCAATTTCTTTCTCTCCGCTCCTGTGGATTCATAGAGAGAGCACATGGAGCAAGTAGTAGTCCTCGTTATTTGAATCGGTCCGGATGAATTAAAATATATGACAAACTTCGTCATATCTTGCTTCCTATATGTTAAAATTCCACGGTTGTTGCCGGAGATATGATCTAGAAGGATATCGCTTAAACTGCCAATCAGAAACAAACAGTGGACAGGCACACCTACCAAATATTATCGAAGCCAAAAACCTACACAAACACATAAATGCAAACCTCTTAGCCGATGCCCGACCATACATAGCATAGCCACCTGCCAAAAAAAGAACATCGCCACAAATAAACTCTAGGACCTGCAGCCTCGCTCCGCTCGTATCTAGCCTAGCCACTCGCCACTCTCGGCCCCCGCACAGACAATCAAATCAAAGGGGGAGTCCGAGAATACGAGAACGTGGCTTAAATCTTATTATTATTATTGTTTTCTTGAACTCTAAAACAATCACATAGTAGTACGGAGGTACCGGGGAGGTACTCCGGAGCTATTATTGTTTGCTCTTCAAATAGAGTATTTGTAAACCTTATGATCCAAGACACTTTACAGGGGGCTTGTAGCCTATTTCAATAAAGAAGGTTACATGGGGGGGCCTTATCGAGCGAACTATCCGGCCAACGATCTTCTCCGAATAATAATAATGATCGTCGAGTTGTACTGTGAATAATAACCAACTGGGCCGGGTCCCTGCTTACAGGCAGGGAGGAGGGCAGCAAGAATAGTGGGCCAGGGTTCATGAATAATGTTGTTCAGGTTAGATGATTATCTCAAATTGGTTAAAGTCCCTTCCTAGGCGCAGATCAAAGGATTTAGATAGCCATGCTGAAACAGTTGTATGCATATCTAAGACAAAGAATTCCGAGGTTACATCATTTTCGTTTAGCGGCCCCCATGGGGACGAGGGAAGCGCTGAAGAAAATCTTGCAGGTGGGATTATTGATATGGGTAACTCCTGTAGGGAAGTAATGGCGATAAGGCAGTTCAGTAGGTAAGATGTGCAACGAGTCCAATTCGATTATGCAATATATACATGGAGTTGTCACAACGAAACAATAAAAAGGAAAGATGAGACGGTGAGTGAGAGAAGGATAGTATTATACAGGGACTGGACTCTTCGTGGTTCCTGTGGCCCCGAACAATCAAGAAACGACCCCAAATAAGTAGCAAAAAAGAGCAAAAGTAGCAAGACAACGCCAAATGGGGTATGATATGCATGAACGATCATGACCGACCTGACCAGTATATACCCATACCCTCAGCTCCTCTGTGTTTTTCTTTGTTTTTTAGAGGTGTTTGTGTCATAATTTGGGGGTCGGGGTTGGTGCCAAATTTGGACCTCAAGGCAGTTTGGACCCAATGTCGGCAGTTGTGAGGGCGAGGGGCGTGGCGATGGATCGTGGACAATGACAACACAATGCGGATGCAAGAGAGCAGATGATGCAAGGGATGCTAAGTCATGCAGAGAGACAGAAAAAAAAAAAGGAATCACTCGGGGCGAGGCGATCTGGCTTCGTTATCCAGAGAGCGAGCCTCGTCTAGAGAAAAAGAGCGGGCCTCATTCACAACTCGGGCTTCATCCATGGGCAAGCCCTCATCGGTAGGGAGGTGGTGGTATGCACGGTGACGGCGGTAACGAATCATGCGCCAGGCACCGTAGAGCGCACCACCCACAGAGCAGACCACCAGGATAAAGATCAAAAAGCCACCAACGCCCTTAATCACCTCGTAGGCCTTGTACACGGCCTTTGTGACCTGCTTAGCATCGGCGTACGAGCTGCCAGACTTCGAGCTGTCGTCCGACATGCCATCCATGCCATCCATGCCATCCATGTTCCCGTCGGTGTCCGCGGCAGGCGAATTGTCCAGGTTGGCGTTGATGAGCTCTGGGTCATCGGGCGCCGGGTGCTCCGAGTTACCCTGCCAGCCGGAATTCTTCCAGTGAGTAGGGGTCTCGGTGCGGTGCATCTTGGAAGTGCCCATCACTGTGCCGTTGGCATCGACCGCCTCCGCAGAGATCCAGTCCATAAAGCCATCCACAATGTACATGGTCTCGAAATCGACCTTGTCGGCATAACCAATCAACACCTTGTCACCCCTGTCGTATGCCTGAGCGTAAAAGTTCCACCCGGCGACATCCGTAGCGCCGTTCCAGCTAACGTACACGATCGTCGTCAGATCTTCGTCGTTGGTGCCAAAAACAGAAGAGACCACATCTGGTGGGGTCAGGGGCCGACCGACGAAGGGGAACTTGTAGGCACGGTACGTCGAGTAGCGAGTCGACGCAAATCGGGCACTTAGTAGCAGGTCACCGTTAGGAGCATGCTCAGTATGGTAGCCTCGCTCACTCCAGCCGATGAAGACATTGTCGTTAGGGAGCATCTGAACGTTACCACGCAGACGGGTGAGACCGCCGTCCGGGCGGTCGATACGACGAATGAGCTTAGCTGACATGTCCGTCTCGTCGATCTCAACGATTAACGCGGAGGAGTGATCCTCATCGTTGCTGCCCTCGGTGGATGCGTTATTCATGAACGAGACGACGTGGTGTGTGCCGTTCGAAGAGAGGAATTTGACATCGTGCTGGTGGGAGAATCGGAAGTCGAAGTTGAAATCGCTGTCCGTTCCACCTAGGCGCCAGATGATATGGCCATCCTTGCCGTCGATATAGTAGAGAGTGTTGGTAAAACGCATCGAGATGATGTAGTTGCCAGCGTCGTTCTTGTCGACAGCGTTGATGTGCACATAGTCAAATCCCGGTTTGCCAGCCGGAGCGTCCCAAGCGTGGAACATATTAGACTCGTGTAGGTTAACGAGGTCGCGGGAATCCCATTCGTGAAGAACCTCCGAGGTTGCGATATCGAGTTCGACAAACCCGCCTGTCTGCAACCAAGTCTTCTCGTTGGGCCGGTCGAAATCAGACATGTCCTTCTCCTGCGACCGGTACGTGCAAGCCAACGCTGTCTTGCCACCTGGCAAGATGTTGAACTCGTGCATATTGAAGGCAACGAGGTCATTAGTCACACCGACCTCATTCTCGACCTCATAATGATGGTTCAACACCATTCCGCTCCCTGGCGTCGAGGCTTCAAAATCACGTTGCCAGATGAACGACAGGTGCGGGTCTCCGTCTATGTTCCAGACGGCCTTGAAATCGAACACATTGAGGTTATTAGACATGGGCGATCCACCCCAGATGAGGATCTGTGGCGCAAAGTGTCAGTCAGTCGGGGCGACATGGCAGAAAATCAAGAAGGAAACATACGCCATCATTGTCGTAGATATACGGCCCAATTTGATATTGCTCGTATCGCTTGGTCGGGTGCTCGGGGTCAATCTGGCCATACGGCGCCACGAACCAGTAGCCTTCGGTCAAGCGTTCCCGGTCTTTGATTTCCGTTTCGAATTTCATTGCCCTCAAGTCGGGAAGCTGGACACATAGATCAGATTCCTGCCAGGTTATCAGGAATGTTGGGCGTGGCCACTCACGGTCTTGAAGGACATCATGTCCGCATCATTGCTTTGTGCAACGGCATTATGCACGAAGGGCAGTGACAACAATACGCTGAGAAACATCATGATGGTGGTTTGAAAGAGTGGCTAGGAAGGAAAATCTTCCAAATAAAAGAAGGGAGATCCAGAGGCGAAGCAGGGGGGCCAAGAGGAGATGGATTGAAGGAAACAGAAGGGCCCTACTCGGGGGTGCCGGGAACCGGGAGTCGACAAGGCGGCCTGTCGTCAGGAGGGAGGGGGCAAGGAATGATATGGGGGAGACGGAGGGAAAGAGAGAGAGAAAACGAGAGGGAGGGGGCCCACGCGGCTGAGCTAGGGAGAGAAAGGCTTGGACCAGAAGATAATAACTCCAGCCAAATGAGCGCGCAAAGAAAAACTGGGGGCAAACGGGCGACGATGCGAGGCGTCGCGGCCCCCAGCCGGCCCACGTAATTGGAGTGATGCGTATTAGGAGTCTGGCTTGGCAGTGTTTCGGGCAGTGGAGAAGAGGCGAAGCCCACTAGGGAGGGTGAGGACTCTGCGCGGGCGGAGAGGCAGAGGAGCGAGAGTTCCTCTCGTATTGCTCGAGCGAATCACTCGCCAGTCGGGTTCCACAGCCGCTGCGCGTGGTTGGGTCGCTGCGAGCCGACCGGGACCCATCCGTCGCGTTTCGTGTTGACCACTCAGTCGGGCTAGCGCACTGCCAGGGGTGTTAGGCGATGGCGAATAACAACGAGCGCTGAGAGCGAGGACCGTCGCACCAGCACACGCGGTCCCCTGGAACTGGCCACACAGAATGGAAATTCTGGAAAGAATTGGGTTCGCCACCGCGAGTCCGGTGGAGCAGCCAGGGGGATAGCCTTGGCACTTTTGCCGTGTTGGGATTAGAGACTCGGCAATCCACGCCAGCTTCCTCAGCGAAAAGGGGCCCGTAAATGAGGATGTGCAGGGCGGGAGGAAAGACGGCCGTGGAAAGCGAGCAATCGCAAATGGGACAGTGGCAAGCAGAGCAAAAGACCAGTGTGCCAGAGTGCATATCTGAATCAGGTGACAGATCAACTCGCCGACCTTTCGTTCCCCAGCCGATGTCGCCATCGGTCCACCCATTAAGCATCCGGTCGATGGGATCATTTCTGGGCATTCTGATCGAATCAATCCATATTAAGCTATGCACTAACTCCCCAATGCCGATGTTATACTGAACTAGTGGGCAAATTGAGGCTTTTGCATTTTTTTTCCGGGTCCCAATCGCTTGGGAACTCGATGAGCGCCCACTCAATCCAAGTAGGAAGCTCGGCGCGACGCATAGTTCTGGGTGGCTTCTTCACCCGTTCACCAGACGCAGCGACAACATTGCCCTTGACAGATTGAGAGCACGTACTCCTACTCTTGTTGTTCGTGACCAGTATCATTCTCTTCTTGTCAGTTGCATATGTCTGCCTCTCGTGATCCCCCGTGGCGTAAAGAGTCCCGGCACTTTCATGCCGGATCCCTTCCCCGTAGGGCTTGCTCTTTCTGATAAATCTGATTTCATCCCCTTGAGTTTCGATCTCCTCTTCAATGGCGCGCAGGCTCGGATAGTCGACGCGTAGGTTCGCCGCGTCTGTATCCCCATTCTTCACCCCTTTCGGTCCACTCCTTGAATCCGATATGAAGAGAGTCAGAACGTGTCAACCAAAATGTGTGCCAAATATACCGCTAAGCCAAAAGTGCCGAAGGCAGAATCTCGGCTCTGAAAGGTAATAATCACGGTTGACACTAGCTTTAATACAGTAACTGTTTTAGGCACTTACGATGCGAAGGATTCCGGAACGTCCTTCTCCTGCTGGGGCATCACACAATGCGTACGCGTTGTCCCAAATGTTTTCCGTTGCCACTGGAGCTCTATAAAACCCCCAAGACTTTCACTGATGTTCATGTCTCCGGATGGAGTGACACTCTCTCTAACCCCCAAGAAGACTTGTGTCGAAGCCAATACAAGCTCCCCAGCTGTAACGATCTTTCAAGACATCTCTATAAAGCTCATCCTCGACGAACTTAACTGCGACGTCTGGGAGACGGTATTTTTTCGGGAGGCGGACGACTTCTTCGCGCGCGGTGTTTCCGTGTAAGGCGTTGCTTTCTACAGGATAAGAACGGAGATGTGGCCCAGCAACGCGCAAGTCTTTCAAATATAGTTTAGCAAGAAAGGTCTGCCGGTGTTTGCCTCATCAGGATGATCACTAGGAAGCGAAGAAGCAAAGTATAATGGAATTCATCAATTAATATAGTCAATCAACCAGTGCTGACCGAATTCCTCGTGTTTCTTCCGCTCCGTCTGTCTATCTCAACAGGCATGCCACTTTGTGCGACCAGTCTGCTCCACTATGTGTTACTTCTTAACTACCCAACTACCGTTTGGTTCCGCTTCGCGTACGCCCGGATTGCCGGTTCGCTCGTAGCCAGCGGTTGATACGCCAGGATCTCTGCCACGGCCACTGTGAGAGAGATGCTTTGGTCAACATATTGCTATTTGAGGCAAAGAGAACGAGCACAATGAAAGAAAACCTACCCAACAGCAGCCCCTCGGTCCCCAACACATCATCCAGGCCCAGAGTTGGTGGCACTACTTGCTGACACACGCGAGCGAGATCAATGCGATCCAAACTAGCCGGACCTCGGTGCGCGATTGCGTCAGCCGCTAGCGCCCATGCAAGTGGGTTGTACAAGACGCCCTCGTGGGTATAGAACCCGCCCGCGGGTTTGTCCGCGCAGACTGTCTGGAGGTGGGCATTGGTGACTCCGACGCCACGCGCGTCGCGGAGGAAAGCCGATGCATTGCTGCCGCCGGACTGGGGCTCCACAATCTCGTCGAAGCTGGAGTAGACCGTCGTGGTGGGGACGTAAGCCGAATCGCCGTCGTCTGCGCGCAGGACCTGGATGAACTGCGCGGTCCATTCCTGCTGGAAGATTGATGGCGTGCAGGCTAGATGGTCCAGTGCTGGGCAGAGGACATTCGCTTCTATGGTTCCGTGGAAGTCGGGGCTGATGGCTATGAAGTCGGCCACTATGAGCCGTGTCGAGGGCCAGTATTTCAGTGCCCATTGCGTGTCTAGGCCGCCCTGCGACCAGGAGATCACCCCCACCGACTGCCCAGCGCTGAGCGCCGAAATGTAATTGATCGCATACGCCACGTACTCCGCGTTCACCTGTGCGTCTGACAGCGATGCGCGCGGCATGTTCACCCACACCACATCGATGCCCGCGGAGCTATTGGCCAACTTGCTGAAACTATAGTAGTAGGTTGTTCCCGCCGGAATCGCCGTCCCGGGGATGAGGATGACCGGAGTGTTGCCATTGCGACCGAAGGAGAACGAGTCGGGGATGTGGATGGCCGCGCGAAGAGTGCTCTCGGGAACCGAATACGGGGCATCGGCGGCGGCCTTGTAAGGGTAGATGTTCTGCTTGGCGGCAGGGTTTGAATTGTCCCGTGAATTCAGCTCACTGTCCAGGTATCCATTGAGGAACGACGCAATCTCGTTCGGAATGAGTCCGGCCGCCGTGATGGCGGTGGCTGCGTCCACGATGCTGGACGCTCCCGACACGGCCTGTTCGATGCTCGACAAGGCCGCCTGGACGGACCCCGGCGTTGTGGACTGTGTGCCATGCTGGAGCTGCGAAACTAAGTCTGAGACCGAGGCCGCTGTGTCTTCTCCGATCTCCGAGGGTTCGTTCGCGACGGTCGACAGCACCTGGATGAGGTCGGGCGTGGCACGTCGACCAGCATGGTCGGCGATGGCGCCGCATGCGAGCCCTAGATTTACAATGACACCGGCCTTCATGATGACTGACCAGCAAGTGAACATCCTGGCTACATTTAGCATTATGCCTCTGGATGTGGCAGCGATATTCTCCGAAAACACGGAGTACACTTACCACCGGCCTCCCTTGACGGCTAGGTACCGAATATAGCACTACCTCTTGCTTGGTGAAGAAAAGAATTTGAACAACCTCCCTTTCTCCTCCGTGTATAGCTGGGCCCCCACCTCGGTCTCATGTGTCTTGAACGCTGACCGCGTGTCGATCCTTCTCCGGTGACTTACTCTTCCGGAGGATCGACCGAACTAGTCATGGCCTAGGACTTCTCCAGCCGAGGAAATGCGCTCGAAAACAGGATTCTGTGAGGGCCGCCATTATTATTATTGAAGCGTTTCCGAACTCTAACCAGGTCATCAACTCGAATCACAGGCCCCTCCACCTCGGGCGCTGGAAGATGCGAAGCCTGCGTGCGGGGAAAGGTGTGCGGCGTAACGCAGGTACAGGCTCAAAAACTGGTCTTGCTGAATGAATTGAGTACTGATCGAATGTAGTATATTTGTAGAGCATACCAGAACTATACAACTGGAGAGTCAACACAAAAACGTGGCCGCCTGGTCGCTCCACTCGTTCTCCCCACAGATCGGCACGCGGGGTTCAACTGCCGGGAACGGCAAGGTAGATTAGATGGATGTATACGATAATAATGTCAACAGTAGAGATGGATCATTATCGTCGCCCGATACGGGTACAGAGATACTTCTGACTTTAGAAGCACAGGTAGGATGCGTTGGTATATCAATTTCATATATCTAGCCAGAATATATATTTTCCATCCCGACAGGTATACGTGACAAGAATGACTTGCATTACTTCTTTTCCAGCGTGCTAGGATTGTGCGCAACCCTATGCCCGTGCTGATCTATATAAATGACCTGCTTCCTTCCTGTTAGTTGCTTGCATTCTGCTGTCCAGACAAACGAGGACTCGCCTTGGGAGGATTAGCGACACCTTCTTCTCGCGCGCCCGCGTCATCCATCACGATCCTTTTGACCTATTCGGGTCAATAATGATGGCTCCATTCCCACAAAAAGGGACAGTACCTCTCCCTCGTGGGTTCCGCCGCGAAACCTAGTGTAGACATAGTCGCCCTCCATGATGGGTTCGCCGTTTTTATCCTGCACTCGTTCGGCCGACATTGTTTGCTGCATGTAGTTGGCAGGCTACTAGAATCTACAAATGCTAGGCGCCTAGCAGATGATGTGAATCCTACACGCGGGTGATGTCATCCTCCCAGCCCTATTGCAAACTCCTCCGGCGCATCGAAGTTCCAGAAAGTTGCCACTGACCCAGATCCGGGGAAGGATGAATCCTCCTTGGACCCTTGATTGTGTAGGAAGAGACTCCTACTACTACATACGATGTCACTACTGCCAAATTAGACTACTACTACCACGTAATCAACGCCCGACAGCCAAGCCGGGCGCTCCGGGCAGTGGTTGCATAGAGACCCGATCCCCGGAGTTAAACCCTATGTTTCAGATGATTCTGATCCTGTGATGGCGACAGGTCCGGGGTTCATGGCGATCCGAAGAAGCTATGGCCAGTCATTATAAAGACTGCAAGTCGATCGGACGGACAGGCCACCGCTTTTATGCCTGGCGACGGGATGGCACAGTTCCTGGGGCAGATGGCAGAAAACTCCACATGTAACCGTCCCGGGCAACGCTAACGTTGCACTCAAGGGGGTGTCGCATTGAGTATGCGAGTGTTAGGCACCATACCACGCGAGGAATGAGCGAGGGATAATCGTTTTGACTTGCAGAGGGAAAAGAAGTTGGAAGCCAAAAAGAAGAAAAAAACCGTTCAACAACGAAGAAATCGGCATCAAGCAGGGTTGGTCCTGTCGGTCCTTAGTAGTAGTGCGACCGCCCCACCCGGCAGAGAAGGTCACTCTCGTGATTACCCACTGCCGCTGCGACGCCGACGGCCTTCAGAGTTGCACTTTCTGCCACGGCCTGCGGTGACACGCTCGGAATGGACCAATGCTGATCCATGCTTGGACGCGACTCTCTTTTCTGCCGCCGCTGAAACTCCTGGCCCCTACAACACACCATCACAAGTGGGGAGAGTCAAGAGAGACAAGATAATCTGTGAAAGCGACTCTATCCCACCGGTCCACCTGGCGACTGTCACCTCACTCAACTACTTATTATCTTCACCCGATCCCCCCCTGATTACCTCTTTCGTTCACATTACACATGCCGTCTGACTGATTGTTCCCCTTCCCCACCCCCCGAATAACTTGCGGCTCTCAACATCACCCGCCCTCCCCCCCTGATCGAGACCATGTCGGCCCCGCTGGTCAAGATCTTGCACCGACTGCAGGAGCTCTTCCACAATGTGGTGACCGCACTGGAAACCATGATTCTCTTCCCCTCGCTTTTCCGTGGCTTCTCACAACGGCGGCGAAAGCCCTTCCTGGGCGCGCACTGGCGCCGCCGGACCCTCGATGATTTCGCCGATGAAGTCGATACCCTCTTCAGCAAACCCTTGTCCTCCACCCGCAAGATGGCCGACATGTCAGAGAAGATCCGCGCACAGTTCCGCCACTGCCTGCAGTCCAGTCCCTGCTGCATGCTGCCTTCCTACAACCACGTCCTGCCAGCCGGCACCGAAAAGGGAACCTTCCTCGCCCTGGATGTAGGCGGATCGACGTTCCGCGTGGCGTTGATTGAACTGAATGGCCGGGACGACGCGATGCGCATTGTGAAGGTAGCGTCATCGCGGATCGACAACGTGGTCAAGTTGCTGGAAGGAACACAGTTCTTTGACTGGATGGCCGAGCGCATTGATGAGATGCTGAGGGACGTGGGCACCGACTACGGCCGCGGTGACGTGCCGCTGGCCATGGGCCTGTCCTGGTCCTTCCCGATTGAGCAGACCTCGGTCAACAGTGGGCTGGTGATCCACATGGGCAAAGGGTTCATGTGCTCGAACGGAACTCTGGGACAAGAACTGGGCGATCTGATCATCCGATCCTGTCGCAAGCGCAGCCTCAACGTGTCGATGGCGGCTCTGGTCAACGACAGCTCCGCGGCACTCCTTTCGCGCGCCTATGTCGACCCTAAGACCCGCATGTCACTGATCTTGGGGACCGGTACCAACATGGCTATCCACTTCCCTGTGCATGAAATTGGCCGGTCCAAGTTTGGAGAGCGCCCAGGGGGCTGGTTCGACCACGCCAAGCACGTTATCATCAACAGCGAACTGAGCATGTTCGGTGGCGGCGTGTTGCCCATGACCCGGTGGGACGACATCCTGAACCGCACCCACCTGCGTCCCGACTACCAGCCGCTCGAGTACATGATCACCGGCCGGTATCTGGGCGAAATCGTCCGCTTGATCATCGTTGAGGCCGTCGAAACCGCCGGTCTCTTCAGTGGCGAGCTGCCACATTCCATGCGCGAGACGTATTCCTTGGATACTAGCATTGTCGCCTTCCTTGAAGAGGACTCATCCGCCTCGCTTGCCGCTTCGGCCGCCCTCCTCCAGAAAGAACACACCTTTCCTTCCTATCCCTCCGTCGAAGATCTTCGGTTCCTGCGCCGGGTCTGCCAGCTTGTCTCACGTCGCGCCGCGGCATACCTGGCTACAGGCATCCACAGCATGTGGTGTCTGCGCAACGAGGCCGAGTTCTCCACAACCCCTCCCCTCGCCTCCGAATCCCCCATTAAGGAGACCCCAGAAGTCACCGTGGTTGAAAGTGAAGAGGCCTCCAATAACCTCTCCATCGCCTGCGACGGCACCGTCATCAACAAGTACCCGGGCTTCCGTTCTAACTGCCAGATCTACTTGGATCAGTTGACCGCGGAGACACACCCCGGCTGTGACGCATCCATCCAGCTGAACCCGGCGCCCGAAAGTGCCATCCTAGGCGCAGCGGTGGCCGTTGCAGTCGCGGTGGCCGAGCAGCAGCAGCAATTGGTGCCCGACCTTTAAATCCGACATGAAATGATGCATGACCACCTTGCGCATAGACCTTGTTCCTTTTCCGTTTTACTCCATCTCGCATCTTTATTATCTCCCGCCCTGGTCATCGGCGCATGGTCTCTGATTCTCCTCTGGTCTCATTTTGCACGTGCATCTTTCGCATCATTCCTCGTGGACGGAAGGAACACTGGATGGATAAGGATGGCTGAACTCCCCGAAAGGAGTTTCAACCATAAAAATGGGAGGATTTCTCGACTGTTTTTTATTTCTTGTTAATCTCGTCATTTTCTCCCATCAGCATTGCAACGGAGTTACTATCAAGTGTCTTTATGATCGCTCTAACGATCGATTCATTTCTCTCGCATGGGATCCAGCTCCATCGTGCTCTCTTCTTTCTTTCCTTTATTGATGTCATTTTCATTCATACAAGGTTCACACATCTAATGTGAGTCCCGTTTGCCATTCCGTCCTAGATGCTCAACGGACATGGTTGGAGTTCTGGCGTGTCACTGGGCTGGCTGGTTGTTTTCGGTCTGGACAGTTGTGTGTTGCCAGTGGCCTTCTTCCTTTTTACCTATGGTTTTATTGCTCCCTACGGGCACTGCATGAATCAATGGCCCTGATTATCAGGATTTTTTGCTGTCTGAGGGTGTAGAGCCTCATCGTCGGCATGGTAGCCATGCTAGAGAACAAAAGCTTTTGCAGTTTCTACTTCCTATCTCTATCGCAACAGGATCTGCCTGACTTGAATTTTCATGCGGTTGATGAAGGGTAGATGGAATAGAGGAACATATCTCCTCTCTGCTTGTATCCAGGTCTATATCCATCTCCCATTCCTGGAGGCGAGGGTCTGGTCAGTGTCCTGCAAGCTCCATGGTGCTGTGAAGGGTAGCAACGTTGGACGGAGGGACGGTATGGTCTGCTCGCTTCAGTCCTGCAGAGGGCCTAGTCCAGAAAGCAAAGGTTTGCCAGACATCGATCTTTGTTCCCATTCATCGATCGTCTACTCCCAGAAAGGGGAAACGTGCCTTTGAACTTGGTCGTTCGGGTTAGTCCACTCGGAGTAGCCGTGAATTCTGATGATTATAGCTCAATAACCCACGGCACCGCTGCCTCCCAAGGCGTCCGAGGATGTGGAGCGGGATCGGTAGTTCACGGGCATTGGGTACTGATCTCGATGTCACCTTGAACCAGGGTGTATCACTCCGTTGCAAGCGCGGGATCTGCGTGGCGGGAGAACCACATCTCAGGGCCTTCCTCATTGTATGGGAATGTGCACTGTCGAGATCACGCCCTTTTCTTTCGTGCAATCCCGAGCCCAATCTGCAGTACGAGGAAGGCGCTTGATGCGCCTACTCAAAAGCCTCACTCCTTACACAGATCTTGCAGCAGCTCCAGCATGCGACGCTGCAAGTCCAGCAGCTCAGAAGCCGTCAACTTCGCCTCATCATTGTTCACCGCTTCACTCCTCACGAGATCCTTCCTCATCGTCCCAAAGAACGGAATCCCCATCCCACGCAACTCAGCCGCCATGGATTCCGCCATCTGCGCGGAGGCCTTGTACACCTTCTCGTCATAGTTCGTGAGCGCCGCACGGTCTTCGGCCGCTGTAGATACTTCTTTCGGGTCAACCGGTGCGCCGATCGATCGACTAGAAGAACCGTCAGTTATGGTTCTGATTCAGGTCGACACAAAGAAAAGAGAAGAAAAGGAGTATGTACAGGACAGCGTCTAGTTCCTTCTTCTTCTCACCCCGCGCGGCTTGTTTTGCGAGGAGTGCTTCGCGCCCTCTCCACCATTGCCGCTCGTGGGTATGTTGGCTTTGGATTAGACCGCGGATGCGCAGCTGGGTCTCTTCGTTTTGGCCTACGGTGCGCATCACATAGCGGAGCGCTGCTGGCCAGGTGGTTATTGTAGCTAGGTCGGCGGGTGGTGTGCGGGTGTGAGATGATGGCTTGTCCCGGCCATGGTGGTGCTGTTCTCGGGCAGCAGACTGCCCCGGCTGGGACTGAGCCTGTGCCGTCAAGTCGGAGAGAGTACGGAGGACCGAGGACAGGTCTGCAGCATTGTAATTTTCCATGGCATTTTCGGGTTGTGTTGTAGGCAATAAGGGAGCGAGTGGGTGCAACTTGTACTTGGCTCCGTCAGTCTTGGCGTCCCGTGCTGCGCTGGAAAATTTACCTCGTCAACCATTTCACTTCCTCCGTTGTTTCTCCCCCACACTCCAATCCAAGAACCCCAACCCTCCCATTCAGGCTCCCAAAGCCTTGCCTTGAGTTCTCCTCCGCCTCCCACCCATCCTCCGCGCCATGTCCCGATCCGCCGCAGACGCAACGCGGTTCACAGCGACGGGCCCCTACGCCAGCTCCAAAGCCAGCGGCAAGCCGTACAATCTCCCCGACTCCATTCAATCGAAGAATAACACCGCCACGTCACACAATGCAAATGCACCAAACCAATCTACAGGCCCGGATGGGAAACCCGAATCTCCCCGGGAGAAGGTCGAACGGCTGCGGGCCCAGGCGCGTGCGAACCGCATGGTGAAGGAGTCGCTCGTGGACCGCTGGGTAGCTTCGGGACAGAAAGTGGCGAATAAAGCGCACAAGGGGATGGTGTATACGTTAATTGCTGCAACGGGTGTGTATCTTTCCTCTTGTCTTCCTTTTCTGACAAAAGGCTTTTTCCTTTTCTTGGTCTATGTCTAGCGAGAGACCCGCCTTGCTAAACAGCTTTCGAAACAGGCATCTGCGGCGTCCTAACAGTCTACTCGATGGTCTCATTGACGCTATACAACCGCCGCCAAAAGAAACTGTGGATCGAACGCGAACTCGAATTTCTCAAGCAAGCACGCATCGCCTACGCGGCTGGCACGGCGACCCCGGAGCAGATCGAGATGGTCAAGAACGAGGAAATCGGCGCAATCTATAAACAGAAGAAGGAAGAGGAGAAGGCGCAGCGCCCGTGGAACAAGGCGAAGCGGTTTCTTGCCGAGAGATTGGGTGGGGAGGAGCAGGATTCTGGTGTGATTGCTGTGGGTGCGACTACTGCCGCCGTCGCTGCTGGAGAGGATGCCAGACAGACTGGTGCGGGTGTGATGGATGCTGTCAATGCGAAGAGGGCTATCGATGCGGCGGCGTCGAAGACGAAGACCTACGCGCCGGGCCAGTTGGATGTTATGGCTCAGAACGCGGAGCGCGCAGCCCAAGAGTCGACAAAGGGATGGGTCAGCTGGTTGACGGGGCGGTAGACCTTTCGACGGCTGGTTTATCTCGCATTCATCTTGACTGACTGGCTGGTCGTCAATTACCTCCCTTTTTTTTTTTGCATGGCATGCTGCCGATCTCACCGGTCTATACTGTGCGGCGTGCTTCCATCGTGCCAGGGGTTCTGCGGCGTTTTTTCTGTGCTTTATTCTGTCTTCTTCTGGGCTGTATTCTCCATTTTTTCCCCTCTCTTATCCAGTGAGTCCGACCAGGGCCTCCTGTATATCATATTATGTACAGTACATAGATCTAGCTCAACAAAGCACCGTGGTCTCACTCGTCAATCCTCCATATCTATCAGTAGTAAATCTATTGTTCATTATTGCCATAACGGCCTGGCCTGGCCAATAAGAGAGAAAACAGGGTCTTCCGGGTATGCGCTTTGCCCGAGACCACTGGCCCCTGCACCGGTGGAGCAGCAGAACAGGAAACCCTACTTAAGACTCGATCTTCCCTCGACAATCCTGTCCGTGGGTCCATTCTACTTTTTCACATTGCCAAACCAGGTTCGCAGAATCACTAACAGAAGGGAAACGGCTGAAAACAAGCCTCGAGGCCATGCCAACGGGCACACATACATTCGCAAAATAAACTAACTATCGGTATCTTCTTCACCCCTTCAGGCTCCACCACCAATTCAACTTCAGAACACAAAAGACTTTTCTAGTGGCCATTCGCGCCATTGGCCTTTGATTTCCGCGCCGCGCGACGCGCGCGCACGCCGTCCGCCAGATCTTCCAGCACATCGACGGTCATTTCCCAGTTGATGCAGGCGTCGGTGATGCTGACGCCCTTGAGCAAGCCGGCGGCACCCTCGGGGGGAACCTTCTGGTTCCCCTCGTAGATGTTGGACTCGATCATGACGCCGATAATGGCGGACTCGCCCTCGCGCAGCTGGTCGGAGACCTCCTTGGCGACGACGGGCTGGTTGAGGTGGTTCTTGCGTGAGTTGCCGTGCGAGCAGTCGACCATCAGCACCTCACGCTGCTTCTTGGCGCGCAGGGCCTCGCGCGCGCTTCGGATGCTCTCGCGGTCGTAGTTCGTGCCCCTGTTGCCGCCGCGCAGGATGACGAATCCGTGCTCGTTGCCGGCGGTCTTGGTGATCGCTGCCAGGCCCTGCTTCGTCACACCGAGGAAGCGGTGCGGGTGCGCGGCGGCCCCGATGGCATCGATGGCGACGCCCAGGTTGCCGTCCGTGCCGTTCTTGTAGCCGATCGGGAAGCTCAGGCCCGAGGCGAGCTCCCGGTGCAGCTGGGACTCGGTGGTGCGGGCACCGATGGCTCCCAGGGAGATCAGATCAGCGAGGAACTGCGGTGAAATGGTGTCGAGCATCTCCGAGGCGATGGGCAGGCCCGTGCTGGTCAGGTCGGTGTACAGCTTGCGGGACACGCGCAAGCCCTTGTTGATGTTGTAGGACTCGTCGATGTCCGGGTCGTTGATGAGGCCCTTCCAGCCGACGGTGGTCCGGGGCTTCTCGAGGTAGGCGCGCATGATGATGCACAGGTCCTTGGACAGTTTGTCCGCCACCTCCTTCAGCCGCCGGGCGTACTCGAGCGCCGTGTCGGGGTCGTGGATTGAGCAGGGCCCGACGACCACGAGTAATCGGTCATCGCGCTGCTCGATGATCTCGATGGCCTGATTCCGGCCGGAGCGCACGGCTTCCGTGGCACGGCTGGGCTGTTGTGGAATGTGCCTGTCAGTTTTTTTCTTCTCTCTACTCTCTGGCGGGGTTGAAAAATCAGCATGACTCACGGCAGGGATCTCAGTCTGGAGGAACTGCGGCGACAGGAGCGGATCGTATCCGAGGACTAGATAGGATAGAGACGTTAGTTATGTGTGCAATTGACTTGTCCAGTTGGCGACTTACCGCGAGTGTCCTCGCTGACTTCGGTGGTGTTGACGAGGGGCATGGCGCAGGTGGGATGAATCTGGCGCAGTGAGTACAATCACCAATGAATGGAAGTCCCGTCTGGCCGAAAAAAAGATACACACCAGCAGCGACGAGAGAGAATGGACAATGGCAGATTGACTCACACACGTTGCGAAGTCGGAGAGAAATCAGAGCAGAAAAGGCGGAGTGGGTCAAGCGCCGGGTGACTCCGACTTTAAAGCACTCGGTGTCTGCAGCAATCGCGGACTATTGGACCCGGGAGAATAATAATAGCGAGCGGACGCAATAAATATGTACGCGGCGGTGCGACCGGGCTGCGTCGTACTCGGGACGATCATAGGCGCTGTGCAAGACAATCAAGGCACACTCGACAAGTATGATTGGATACACCAGGATGTACATGCGGTGTCTAGAGTGACGTCTCCGCCCTTGCTTCCCCATGATTTTCTTCCTTCTTCCACCTTCCTCCATGTTCGGCGTCAAGCGACCGAGAGATCCCTCGGAGCCCGAGGGCCATGACCCCAAGGTGTGTCTATCCCTCTGTCGCTCATCGCTTTACTCACCCCTCCCAGAAACAGCGTCCGGGGCAACTGCCACCGTCCGCACTGCGGCCCGATCTCGATCAGTCCTTGCGCTTCCGGGCACCCACCCTCACCCCAGTCGACTCGTCAGACGAGGAGAGAGACGAGGATGGAGATGGAGATGTTGCTCTGCAGAAGAACCTGGGGCCGGGTCGTCTGCCGACGTTGCAGCTGAATCCCGGCCACCTCAACGGCGGGAAGCCTCCCTGGCCCAACGGCGACGACCTCTCCCCCTGGCAGTTGAACGCGAACACCAGCAACAGCAGTGTCCTGCCGTCGCCCATCCCACACAATCTCGTCCACCAGTCGCTCAGCCTCAGCGAGTCCGCCACCGCGCCGAGCCATGGCTACTTCCCGACCCCCCGATCCTACCCTGATGACCCCGTGAACTCGATGGAGGGCGTGGCCTTCGACCAACCCCCTACAATTGCACCCCGTCTCCCCAGCCCAATCAGCGAGGACGAGGACGTCAGCAGCAGGGCGGGCGGCCGGACCCCCAGCGACGTGGAGATGATCTACGATTCGACCTCAACGCCGCTGCCCTTTGCTGAATCGAGCGGGCGGCCGTGGACGGATTCGCTCGTGATACCGCAGGCGGGCCGGTTGTCTGCCTCGATCTCGCCCAAGCCCTCGGAGCGTCCCCGGAAGAAGCCCGCGCTGGTGATGGGATACCGAGCGGACTGCGACAAGTGTCGACGGAGGGTTCCGGGGCATTACAGCCACATCAACAACGACAACTGAGATGTGTGCACTAGGACCATGACTCTGCGTCCTTTTTTGCGTACCTGGTTTGCGATGGGTTTTGCTTTACGGCCCTACATAGGGCCCGGTTTATGATATCCCCCGGTGGCAGGCGTTTTTGTTTCCTCATTTCGTTAGTTGGGCGTGGGAACCAGATGGTCGGATTCAAGGGCGGAGTTTCAGGGAGTTTGGAGAGCATCAATAATAATAGCATAAATCCAACCGACGACACCCTCCGCTGCGGTGCTGTTCCGATGCGCATCCGAAATAGATGACATAAGCAGATAGATCCGACGACTCGTCCAGACACGAAGAATCAAAGAGTAGTGATTTCGGGATTCATTGCAGGATATGGTCTAGGAGCAGTGGCTATAGGTAGACCGAACTGTGCTGTCTGGTGCAATTGACACCAAGAACCAAAATACCCGCGGCGGGCGGGAGGCGGGAGTATCGCTTAGCCGATCACCATTGCCGGCCGACGGTAAGTCGCCATCCAATGCGCTTCCGACCCCGGCATTTTCCTATAAGACCATTCCGGGGTTCCTTTTTCTTTTTCTCATTTCTAGCCAGGCGTGTGCAGTTCATTTATTAGACATACACACACAGAAACCGCCGGCCATGGCATCCCCGATCCCGCGCGGCCTCAAACAGGTCCTCCAGAAGACACCCAACGACATCGTGATCCTCTCCTCGCTGCGCACACCCGTCACTCGCGCCAAGAAAGGCGGTTTTAAGGACTCCTACCCAGAGGAGCTGCTGTCCAACGTACTGCGCGCCACCCTCAAAGCCAACCCGAACCTCGACCCAGCCCTGATCGACGACGTGACCATCGGCTCCGTCCTACAAGAGCTGGGAGGCGCCAAGGCAGGCCGCATGGCCCAGATCCACGCCGGCTTCCCGCACTCCGTCCCTTTCAACACCGTAAACCGCCAATGCTCGTCCGGCCTCGCAGCCATCACGACAGTGGCAAATGGCATCCGCGCAGGCGCTATCAACGTCGGCGTCGGCGGTGGCATGGAGTCCATGACCCGCAACTATGGCTCGCGCGCGATTCCCACCGTCCTCTGGCCCGATCTGAAAGAGTCACACTCCCAGGACGCCCGCGACTGTATCATGCCCATGGGACTCACGTCCGAGAACGTGGCTGAGCGGTATGGCGTCTCGCGCGCTGACCAGGATGCCTTCGCGGCGGACTCGCACCACAAGGCTTCCGCCGCACAAGCCGCCGGAAACTTCGATTCCGAGATCGTCCCCGTCACCACCAAGTCCTTTGACCCCGAGCAACCCGATGCCCCGGCCAAGGATGTGACTGTCAGCGCGGACGACGGCATCCGGCACAACATCTCAGTCGAGAAGATGGCCGCGCTCAAGCCCGCGTTCAAGGAGAACGGCGCCAGCACAGCTGGCAATAGTTCGCAGGTGAGCGACGGCGCTGCGGCCGCGCTGTTGATGCGCCGGTCTACCGCCGACGCGCTCGGCCTGTCGGGCAACATCAAGGCCCGCTGGGTCGCCACCGCCGTGGCGGGGTGTGCGCCTGACGAGATGGGCGTCGGCCCCGCCGTGGCCATTCCCAAGCTCCTTGAGAGTGTCGGTGTCACGGTTCCCGACGTGGGTGTATGGGAAATCAACGAGGCCTTCGCCTCGCAGGCGCTGTATAGTATCCGCAAGCTGGGCATCGACCAGGCTAAGGTGAATCCTAACGGTGGCGCTATCGCTATCGGACACCCTCTTGGCGCGACTGGTGCTCGCCAGCTGGCTACTCTATTGCCGGAGTTGGAGCGCAGTGGTCAGCAGGTTGGTGTTGTCAGTATGTGCATTGGTACGGGGATGGGTATGGCGGGTATGTTTGTTCGGGAGTAAAGTGTTCGTTTTTGGGTTCTATAGTGTAATTGATATAGCGGTGCATGTATATACCTGAGTACATAATTGGCATTCATTGCGTTATTTCAAAGGGCAGCTACTCTATCAACCACTCGGCACCTCTCCATACGGCAGATGATAAACCCATGAGCGCTCTTTCTTTTTAGCAGGCTCCGTCTCGGTGCATGTTTGCCTTTGTCCCAGGCAATCAGCAGAGTAGATGTATCCACGGCTCAGACTCCTTCCTTCTGCCTACAAACAACCAAACAAAGTTAATACTTGAACTCCTCGCCTACCAATTCCTCGCTCAACTGCCACAATTTTTCAGCTTCGAGGAAGCTCGTGGCCCACGGCTTCGCAGTGTCAGACAAGGGATCTGCCACCCGGGCATCAATGAGATAGGCGCCGTTATTTACTAGTAGCCGAAAGCAAGTTAGCAAATGTGATGGTTGATTTCTAGATCAATAAACACAAACCTCTGAGATTGGGGTCAAACGAAGCAAAGACATGAGTGGCAACACCCTGATCTGGTGTTTTGAAACTCAACTCTCTCCAGCCTTCTGCATTGCCCAATGACTTGTCCGTAGATTCTATAACCTGTCCGTTAGTACGGCAAATGGAAACGAGCAAAGTCGCTCACGAAGACCCGCAATATCAACGCTCCAGTCTAGATGGTCGCCTAGATGGGTTGCGATGGCGCCTGGGTGTAGGCTGAATGCGAGAAGTCCGTATTTGACACCTAGTTTTGAGGCGAGCGAGAGTGCCAGCAGCATATTGGCTGTCTTGGATTGGCCATATGCGACCCATCCATTGTACATTTTGCCGCCCTGATCGATAACTGTAATTAGCCAATTACTTCTGTGGATGGCGAAGATGCTCTAGCTTGCGTAGACAGAATGTGCGTCAATTACCTCGAAATTAAAATCAGCGAAGCGGATAGGACTCAGACGGTGCCCATCACTGCTGACATTCACCACACGAGGACTTTCTGACTTCAGAATCTTGTCCATGATCAAATTTGTGAACAAAAACGAAGCAAGATGGTTTGTAGCCAGTTGCTTCTCAAACCCATCGACCGATAGCCCGTATTCCACCGCCATGATGCCGGCATTGTTCACCAACACATCAATAGCGGGAATGTCTGCCCAGCTATTGACCTGGCCTGCTGCAGTATGCACACTCTGCAGTGAGTCAAGGTCCATTTTCAGCGTGCGCACGTCGGTCTCTGGACTGATGGCCTGGATGTCTCCCTTGTACTCTTCAAGTTTGGTGTCGTTGCGGCCCGCTAGAATCAGGCAAGCTGGCTGGGCTTTTGCTAAGCTTTGTACAAAATATCCGCCTAGTGACCCGGGAGACACACCCGTTGTTAGAATGGTTTTGTTTTTAATTAGAGCTGCGTAGGACGCGACTAGCTCGCTGGCTGTTTTCATGGTCTTAGTATTTGATGATAACATGGTGGTGGAAGAACTTGTCTTGATGAGATGCGTGGATTCTGTAGATGAGGATAATAAGAACAGAAACCAGAATATTTTATCGGGTCAATGTATTGACACCATTTTCATACTTGACGTCAATGCTTCTATCGCATTCGCTGAAAGGTAAGCTGGAGGGAGATTGCGGACCTAGGGCTGGCCAAGGCTTATCATCGAGGGCTTATCGCCCAACGCCGAAATTTACTTTCTTTATTGCACAGCACCAGTGAGCCATAGAGGCGTGCGAGGAGATGCTGGAATGGGTTAAATTGGTTCCAAAGACGATCTGATCATCTTGGCCTCCGAGCTGTCATAACCCCTACCACGGGCTTAACTAGATGCAAAGTAGGGAATATAGAGGCTATTTAATAACGTAACCCCTCTAAGTTTCAAACTACTGTTGTGTATGCTCTGACTAGTGGATCTACGACATACCATGCTGATAGATAGATTTAGGGGTATAGACTTCGGCTAGATCTTCGTTGAGAGCGTCCGTAAACGATCCTGAGGAATATATGTTCTAAGGTGCTTCGGGGTCGCGAGCTGTCGTAGCTTCACTATATTCCTTGGCTACTTCATCTTTAACTATTCATGTCCATTTATATCAGTATACGTTCCTCACAACCTAAGCAACCAAATTCTCCTTATTCTCCTCCGCCCACTGCTCAGACCTCATTGGAGTCTTGTGGATATAATTCTGCGCAATGCCCTTTGCAACCTGGCATTCCGGCACGTCCCAAATGAAACTCTTCTGCCCGATAGCAGCTTCAACAACTACTTGACAGTTGGCTCTGGGAGCTCTTTCTACTACATATCCTCCACACCCTGTTCTTTTCCAACAATAGTGATCGTGATTTTCTTGCTTAGGACACGGCCAATAATAATACACAAAGCATCCTCCAAGGACAATCGATTTAGCCCAACCAAAGGAACAGAGCGCTCCTGTGCATTACATGCTTACCCCAACAACCTGCCCAACCTCTTCAGGTGAGATCCAGTCGAACTCAACGTCTGCGTTTAGCAGCCTGACATCGCCCTGCATAATCTCCTCCTCATACTACAGCGCATTGTTCGCAAAATACCCTGGTCGCACGGCACACCACTGGCCACCCAAGACATCCTCAAGAGCTTTTTCCACCGTAGCATGCATACATGGAACTATGTCAGTGGGTGCTATAGCATGTAGATCACCCTGGACGTTAAAGCCTGGACGTTAAAGCCTGGACGTTAAAGCCTGGACGTTAAAGCCTGGACGTTAAAGCCTGGACGTTAAAGCCTGGACGTTAAAGCCTGGACGGTGAAGCTGCTCAGCAGAACAACAAACTCGACTCCACCTTCTTTGAGCGCCACAAGGGCGCGCCGCATGCTATGGTTTGGTGTCCGTAGTGGGGTAATAGTTTGGTGTCTTGGCACGGCTAAACTGAAAAATTGACTGCTTCAAAGTTGTGTTAGTAGTGTATTAGTCATGTTTACGAATGGCGCGCGGGCCTTCGGGACTGACCTGCCTCGGCGTGCCCCATATTTATTCAGTGTTTTTTTCTTCTTTGCTCTTCATCTCTTGATTTAATAATTGGTTTCATAAATAACTACTATAGCCGAGCAACTACAAAATCTGAGGCTTCAAGGAGCGAGCAATGCCACGGAAGTTCATTGCGGCCAATTGGGCGAGTGAGCCCGTCGGCAATTTTCACCCTGGCCCTGGGGGACTTGTAGAAGCCAACGGTTCTCGCCCAAGAAATGACTAGAAAAACATAGAAAAGACCGGCGAAACAGGACAAAGATAGAGTAATGGCACATTAAGTCCCAGCTTTGCCTTGTTTTGTCCTTACGGACACCGTTTGGCACCTCTTGGCATGTTTTTAATTCACTCTCGCCCACAGCTCGATGGATGCATCTAGTCCTGTCTAGACTCTCGATCGCTTTCCCTTGTGTCTTACGCGCTAGCCCCAAGTTTCATCTCATTTGGTTCCATTCCGTTCCTTTCTGTGAATTCTCCTCATTACTTGAGATCTTTTCGGAAACTCCAAAACCTCGAAAGGGGAAATAAGGAAGCTATCGTTATTGCGAAGCTTATGTAGGTGTTACACAGGTCTGCGATCCTTGTTCTCTTTCAGCGCGCTGACTTTGCAATCCATCAGGCATGCATCTCGGACACTCTTTTAGGTCGGTGGATTCATCTATCTTGAATCGCTCCGTCTAGGGATTTTTATCGGATCAAGCGGCCTTTGTGCTTTTATAGCCCTGGTCGCATGGCCGTGACCGGATGCGCATTCCAATTGCCGTGCAGCTAGGGATACTGGTGCTGCTGACGGCTATCTTGGGTGTCGCTGCACTCGCGATTGCCACGGTAAGCTCTCATTTCCCCCTATGATCCAATACATCAACTAACGATCTGCATAGTGGTTCACCACCTATGATTTTGTAGTAGGGGTCGAGTACGTGATGATCGGCTCTTCACATTCTTAACTAGGACCTAACCCAGCGACAGATCCCAGAGCCTTGAACTCGTTGCGACCATCAAAGCTAGTCAGATCGCCTCCAACCTGAACCTCCTCGAAACCACCTGCAAGACCATCGCGACAAGACTACTCATCCAGTCAGCCTTAAAACGATACTATGCGGGAAACACATCGGATTCGAATTGGGTGAATTCCATCGCCGACGTGCAATCGGCACTGGGGACTCGAGGGGACTTGAGTCTATATCAGGCCAGAATTTATTCAGAGAACGGACAAGGAGGCATTGAAACATTACTCAACGTCACCAGCGATGCCGCTCCGAACATCACCCTTCCATATGTGGCTGCGAATGGCAGTTCGGTGATGCTGGGAGATGATGGCCTCGGCTATCCTCCTTCGCTGTATCCGAACCTGACATATGTAACCACGGCCGACAACGGTTCTACTACCGCATATGCCTTCAGCGACTTCCCCCTTGGTTTGAACGCCACGCTGGTTTTGGGTCCCCTGAAAGTCAATTCCTCCTTCTCGCTCCTTTCCTTGACCCTGCCTATTATTAATAACACATCGAACACCGATCTCCTGGGATATATGACGTGAGTAGCTGATGCACTGTTAAAGATCGTCGAAGGGGTTGACGCGCAGTATACACTAACGATCTCTAGTGTGGTCGCGAGCGCCGCCAACCTACAGAGCGTCGTGAGTTCACGAGATGGGCTCGGGAACAGCGGACAGGTTCTCCTCATTGGCCCTGATCGGCCAGAAAACACCTTCGCTTCCACTAGTCAGCCTGCAACAGCTACATCCGCGCCTGACGCAGCGGCCCTTGCCCAAGCACAAGTGCATTTTATCTTCGAGCCCACTGCGCTGCCTAATCAGGTTGGTAGACACCGTGGCGTATCGACGGATACACCATTTGTTCTCTCTTCATACCCGATGGCGCTCAAAGTCATGGCCGAGCCATATAATGACGCGACTAAATCAATCAGCCGGCTGTCAACTTCAAACGAAAAAGGGTCCAATGTTGCTGTAGGTGCCGTCCGTCCTCAAAACTCTCTTGTAGAGTGGATTCTTCTTGTGGAGGAACCCCACTCTGAAGCATTCGCACCTATTGTTCGACTCCGCAAGATTATACTTGCTTGTGTCTTTGGCACTGCAGGAGCGATAATCGTCATGGTTCCTCTCTTGACCCACTGGGCGGTCGCTCCTATTCGGAGGCTGCGTGAAGCCGCAATGAAATCAGTCGAACCCGAGGTCGCGCCCCATTCGACCCGAGAGTTACAGAGAGCCGGAATGGATGCTGAAGATGAACGAACGGAGACAGTCGAAGCTACCGAAGAGCATATGAACGAGAAAGGGTCGCCTACCATGTGGGTAAAGCGCCTTCGACACCCGCTGGCAAGACTCAACAGTTCTGCCAGCATTGGCAGGGTCCCGACTTCTCGTAATTTTCAAATTCCAGGCAGGGTCAAGGAGAAAAAGCATTGCGTGACAGACGAGCTCACGGAACTCACCAAAACATTCAATGAGATGTCAGACGAGTTGACCATTCAGTATAACCGACTCGAGGAGCGGGTGGCCGAGCGGACCCGAGAGCTTGAGAAGGCGAAGCTGGCTGCAGAGACTGCCAATGAAAGTAAGACACTTTTCATCGCCAACATCTCCCACGAGCTGAAAACTCCCCTGAATGGAATTCTCGGCATGTGCGCGGTATGCATGGGGGAGGACGATCTGTCCCGGATCAAAAAATCCCTTAAAGTGGTCTATCAATCCGGCGACCTCCTATTGCATCTGTTGAACGATTTGCTCACCTTCAGCAAGAATCAAATCGACCAGGCTATCCAGATCGAAAAAAGAGAGTTCAAGATGTCCGACATCCGATCCCAACTGGCCATTATCTTCCAAAATCAGGTCCATGAAAAGCAAATCGACTTTAGTGTGAAATTCGTTTCCGCTGGGATCACTGAGTCGAGAGGTACTATGTGCCGTGAGCGATCACTCGACCTGACACACCCAAGTTCTAGCTCAGTACAACCGGACAGACTGGCCGATATGGTCTTGTGGGGTGATCAACACCGCATCCTCCAAGTGCTGATCAACCTGGTTAGCAACAGTCTCAAGTTCACACCCGAGAAGGGGAAGGTGGAAGTACGGATTCAACTTCTCGAAGAAGCCTCCGGGCTTGATAACCAGGTTACCCTGAGAGGTCAGTCTCGCAATGACCATCGATTACGACCGCAGACCGCGTCAAGCCTAGGCTCCTCTGTTCCGGACGCAGCCGGTGGAGCTGAGAATCATCTTGAGCCGCCGAGAACCACCCAACCCAACTTTCGTCAAGTCACATTTGGATTCGAAGTCAAGGATAATGGACCAGGTATACCCGCCAACCTCCATCGACGGATCTTTGATCCATTCGTTCAAGGCGACCTGGGGCTGAATCGCAAATACGGCGGAACTGGCCTCGGGCTCAGCATTTGTGCTCAATTGTCTCGTATTATGGGGGGTGATATTTTGCTGGACAGCGAGGAGGGCAAAGGATCTCGTTTCACATTGAGAATTCCACTGGGCTTTGTCAAAGAATTGACACCAAGTATGCAAACATCAAGCATTCCAGGGTCCCGAACCCCAAGTGTACTGTCTTTGGAGGATTTCTCCAACGTTGTGCGAACGCCCTCGAACCACAGCTCAGTGAGGAATGAGCCCCATGCACATGCTCCTGGGTTTGAAAAGTCGGAAATTCAACCACGCTTGGTTGGCCTGAGCCACCCATTTTTCACTCCCACCGTTCCTTCGTCTCCTGCTTCAAATTCAAACAACATTCCTCCTAGCCAGGGGCCAGCTAACAAGGGGAACGAGTCCAAAAAGATTCGTGTATTGGTGGCTGAAGACAACACTGTGAACCAGGAAGTCGTGAGACGGTATGCCCTAAGAGCCTAGGAGCAATGAGATGAAATTTAATGCTAACCATGACTAGGATGCTTGCGCTTGAAGAGGTTTACGACGTGACAATTGTCAAAGACGGCCAGGAAGCATATGACACCGTCAAATCCAACATGGAGAAGGGCGAGGTCTTTGATCTTATTTTTATGGACATCCAAGTAAGTTCTTCACGGCGATGTGTGTCGTCATCTATGGCGCTAATCATTGTAGATGCCGATTCTTGATGGTCTTGAAAGCACACGCCTTATCCGACAGATTGGTTACTCAGCCCCCATTGTCGCCTTGAGTGCATTCACAGAAGAAAGCAACATCAAGGACTGCATGGACTCGGGGATGGACATGTTCATAAGGTTAGTAAATGCAGGCTTATCCATTCTTGTTTTAGTACTAATTGAAACAGCAAACCTATTCGCAGGCCTGTATTGAAACAGGTTCTAAGCAAATTTTCGACGATCTTTGAGGAACCTGATACCGGATCTTGATGCATTCATTCAAACCCAAATATGGACTCGGCGTACATGATTCAGTCCATATTCACCTGTACCATACCAACAGGCTATATTCGTTTGTAATAAGTCCATTTTCTACCTCTTCCATCCAATCTCCCTATTTCCGCCCTATCTTTTGGAATTTTGGAATTCAAGCACGTCAGCTAGGCTGCGACTTAAATCCTGATGTCTCCCGAAATCCCACCCAGATTGGACGATCCTGAGGACCACTCTCCCAAGATGGAAGCCACCCCTTAACTTTATTGCAATGCTCACTAAGTATAATGTATGAAGAGCGTAGAGGTACACACGAATACATGATACTCAGTCACGGAACAGGGAATCAACGGTTATGAGTCTTTTAAAGTATTTTTTTCCCACATACGACCACAGGGCGTTCAGAACAAGGCTTCCCGTCCGCCCAGTCGTACTTAAGCCACATATTGTGCAAGGCAAATCCTCAACGTGCCCTCGACACCCCTGTCATTTTAAAAGGGCGATGGAAAGTGCTCTAGGATGTGTGTGGGTGATATGGGTGAGAAATTTGAAGACTAGGGTGAGAGAGGTGAGGACGGGTTGAGAATTATCACCCCGATGGGTCCCGCAAGCACGATGTCCACGAATTGAAAAATCAAAAAGCTCTTGAAGAGCGCATTGCACGTGCCGCGTCACGTAGATTCACGCGAGAGTACCAGGATCAGAGGGAACAAGAAGACAATACCATCTGCCACATAGAACTCGCACCCGCGAAGCTTGAAAGATACGACTAGACAGCTTTGAATTAGGCTCAATAAGTTTTTAGTCCATAGCGGCCATAGGGATTCTAACATTTAGTAGATAGAGACTTACCCGGAACGAAGCCAAAGATACAAACTTCTCTAAAGACGAACCTGATCCCACTTCCCAATTCCTCAAACTGTTCGTAGAAGAGTACATTGTGACAAGAAATGATTCACCCTCTCAAAAGACTACGGGAAACCTCGCGGTATCTTCTAGCTAAAGTCAAAAAAGATGTCCTGAACGTAAGACCTAACGCGTTTGATTTTCTAGCGCATACTTGCTTATATTTTGATAGTTTATCAGGACATAATTGACACCCAAACATAGCCTCTCTACGAAGCCTAGAGAGCGGTTTACAGTAACAGCAAAGGATATAGATATACTCTAGAGACATCTTTTCGTTAACGACTGTCATGACTATAAGCATAAGAGAGTATAGACTAGAAGCACGCTCGCTCTTTTCGCTAGCTTAGGTGCGAGAGCTAGTGCGATAGTCGAATCGAGTGCTTATCTCAAAAGCAATGAATGTCTATACTATCGGGTTTATCTTACTTTAATCAGCCAAGTTCTACCAAAATATATATGGGTAAGCTCTAGACAAGACATAAGCCGCAGAGTTACCGACCTATAGTATGCTTTGAAGGAGGGTTATAAAGTGCTGTGAGTGGTCAATCAACCCTGGATGTTATTCAACAGCTGTGGGACTCTGGTGTCCATAAAATCTGAGGTTAAAGCCAACCGTCCAAACGAAGGTCCTTCGATACAATCCTGATTATGTAATATAGGTGACAGTAAAACTGCCGTATTGAGAAGTGATCGGCTCATGGGGGAATAAGGCTAAGCGATTTCTGGCAACGCTGATATTATAGGTGATATCATCTTTCATGCTTAAAGTATAACGTTATGGGACTCGAACAGCCAGTTCAGATCACTGCGCCCGATGAATAATGCCATATTATCAGGAGCAATTTTTACCCTATCCCATTTGGACAACAGATAGATAACCTGAGCGGGAGTACCGATGGATTCAGAGAAGATGTGCTGATAGGCGTCACCGGGTATATGCGAAAAGTTTTCGGAGAACAGCGATGTGGTCCTAAATACCCAGCGTCGGGGCTTGGGGGATTTAATCTACAAGAATGTTCATTCTATCGCTCCAAGTGCAACAGAGTATAAAATCGACGTTCGAAGTCTTTCCTCCTGTTGATCACTTGTTTGAGCTGTCACTGCTACTCAGTTGAGTTGGCCTCAAATCTTTTCTCTCTAGATAGTCTCTTAGCTACCGGCTTTCGAGACCGCAAAAACCTTACCATGGCTAGTTCGACTTCAATTAAACTTTATACCAATCGAAACTGCCCGTGTATGTTTGTGAAGTCCAGGAGCAGATATTGCCGTTTCGATGCAAAAACGCTAACAAGGTCGATCAGGGGCCCACCGTGCCCATATTGCGCTGGCAGAATTGGGTCTACCATTTGAGGAGTTGATAATTGACTATAGCAAGGCGAGAACGCCAGAGTACCTCAAGATTAATCCTAGTGGGAAAGTGCCCACGATGATATATAACGACAATATCATTTTCGAGTCGGCTATCATCGCGCAGTTTCTGGTTGACTCGGTCCCATCGACACATTTAATTCCGCGTACTGGGGAACCCGAAGGAGCCCTCATGCGCGGAAGGATCGCCTTATTCGTTGAAACATATTCTTCGAAAGCCAATCTCTATTACTACCGCATGATTGAAGCTAAGACTGACGAGGATGCCGAGGAACTCGGCCAGCGCTACGTTGATGCTGTTGTCACTGAAATTGAGCCTCTCTTGCAGGACGCGAAACCGTTCTTTGGTGGTAGCGATAGGCTGACAATGGCTGAGGTAAGTAGTCTATATTCTCGCTTTGCCCCTAAAGTACCCGAAATTTGGAGTGGCTGAGACAGCATCCAGATCCTGACAGCTTCATTTATTTTGCGTATTTTCACCTTGCCTTTCACCGAAAATGCACCCCTCCCAAAATCCATGATAGCCGGATTGACAGAGAGGGCACCGAAGTTCTGCGCGTGGGCCAAGATTACGATAATGCATCCATCTGTGATTGGCATCTACAACAGAGATGGTTGTGCGGCGGAGATGCGTGATCGACGAGCAAGGGTTCGCGCTCGGTATGATTCGTAAGTCCAATTCTTGAACTCTTATTCAAGGCTGCCAGTCTCGCAAAAAGATGTTTTGCTAAGTTTACGCAATGGTTTAGATATAGAGTTGAATGACATGATATTTCTAGAGTGACGATGGCAAGCCAAAAAACAGGGAGCAGGTGATTGGTGCCAGATGTATATCCATTCACTGATCAATGGTTCATTATTGACGATTGACATTGCGGTACTCAATAGCAGCTTCATTGAACTCCAAATATACTCCGTAGATTTGTAAACAATCTTGCAGGGCTTATTGACAGGTTTTCCATAGAAAGAGCATCTGTGATAGAGGATCAGTAGTCCCAATTATCGAGGCGCTGGCTTCGTACAGTCGTTTGATGGCTTACATTCCCCCCATCTGTTTGATATAGCTCATGACTATTCATTCTTTTTTCCCTGATGAGCGGCCCACGTAGGTGAGGAAGATTATGAGCATCTAACAGAAAAGGTCTGCGGCAAGTTACCACTAGACCAAAAATGTTCCATGAGCAACATGCTTAATCTATACGGCTGACTTTTCTCGACAGGATCAGCCATAACTAAACCCAGAACTTAGTTATGGCTGGTCAACCTGAACGATCGGGAGGTATGTGAGCGAACTTTCCTAAGACTTCTTCCGAAGCCATGGATGTCATTATCACTACTGTAGAAACTGTAGGTACTCGGTCCAATGAAATACTTCATTAGCCTAACAGAGACTCTTCACTCGAGCAGTAAAACTTCTGGCCGGTGCCAGCATTGTCAGTTGTCTAGGGTTATGCATCGTCTCTTTTTCCAATAGCTAGACATGATTCACATTCATATTGAAATGTATAAGTCCGGGTTATTGATGGGGTTAAACCTCTTGTATGGGGCCAACAGGTTCTCAGTGGGGGTTTACTCGGGATTCCGAGATCGGTTGATGCACCATCTAGCGAAGCGTCCGGGACTACGTATTCCAAGGAGGATTTTGTTTGCCTCCATGAATACTAAACGAGAATGATAGTTACAGATAAAGAAAGATGTGAGTTCTGATGGATTTATCATGAGGACTATCGGGATTCTCCAACAACGATGATCTCAGATTCGCGAAATACCACCAAATAGCATCGGGATTCTCCGAAAACTCCACCCCAGGTAATTCGCTTCAATCAACTCAAAGAAGCTGCTGTTCAATTCAATTTCACCCATTATAAATATTTTTCCAGCGCGCAAATTGACAAAATCAAGACTTCACTCTATTACCCTCAATTTCTCCTGGCTCCTCTACCCAAAGCTCTGTCTACTGTTTTTATTCATACAGCCACATCTCGAACTGAGCTGTAGGTACAATCCGCGGATATATTTATCATCACCTGCTCGAAAAGGAGAACCATGCAGCCCTTCCATCTCACCGCCACTGGCTATAATCTCAATTATCTACCAGAATACATCGCTCTACGACATGGCTTCTTTCGAGAACAGGGACTGGATGTAACCGTTAATATTCCTACACCCTGGGATGGTGTGCTTAATGCGCTCGCCGATGGCTCCGCGGTGATGTGCCTTGGTGGAATCTGGGTGCCATCAATGTACCGCAAAAGGGTACAGGATTACACTGTATTCGCGCAGATTGCGAATAGGTCGCCTCTCGCCTTGATTAGACGCACCGGTGACAAAAGTTTTAAGCTGGCTGACGTGGCTGGACGTACTGTCCTGATGAAATCGGGTGGCGGGGCTAGTGTCGGCCTGTTCTTCAAGATGCTGCTGCATGAGAACGGGATCGATGCGAGATCGGTTGACTACATCCAAGACCTAGACGGCGTGATGCTGGGCGACTTGTTTCAAGGGGGCATGGGTGACTATTTTGTCACAGACAATCTCTCTGCCCAGGCCATGGTTGCCTCCAATGCTGAAGTGACTATTGCCATGCAGATGGTTACACAAGGCGACGTCCCCTGGAGCGTTTATTACCGGGAAACTGCAACGATTACCTCGGAGATTCTCGATGCACAAAAGAGGTTTTGTATTGGACTTCAAAAGGGCATAGACTGGGTCCTCCAGCACGAGGCAGAATCCTTTCAGGACGAGCTCGCTGAGCTCTTTCCCAAAATTCCGATCGACGTCGTTGTGACTGTCACTAACGACTTCCGCCGAAATGGCATGTGGACAACCACTTCTGTGCCTCGTGAGGGTTATGACCGCTGGCAGCTTGGGCTGCGTGATGCGCGACTGATTACGGAGCCAATCCTTTATGAGGACCTTGTCGACAATGCTCCCTCGGCCGCTGCATTTGCGATAGCGAAATCTCAATGTCGACAATAACAGCAGACGACGTATGGCAGAATGATGTCATATTGACACTAGGATTTCATATGATATAAGGAAGCTCCTATATTGATTTGAATCGCGAGAGTATGCTGGCTGATATGAGATCGCAATATTATTGTACAAATGTTAAAAAATGCACGATTTTCTTTTCAGTAAGAAATCTCACTAAGTCATGTGCACACGTGGCTAGATCTACAAGCCATCCAATAAGAGGGCCGGATGTTATCCGAATCCTCGAGTGCCATCAACAAAGGCTTACGTTGCGAGACTTTACGATCAAAGTAGTACATATGTGCTCTATAGCAATCTTGATAGCTCGGCCATTCCGGTTATCCGGTCGAGTGGACCCTCTTAAATTCCCTCCTCTTATGTGCTTTAGGTGGTAATGGATTGACTCAAATGCTAAACCAGCTGGAAAGACTCGGCCGCTCGATTAGGAAAACAATCGTAAAGTTATCGTTAAGCCATCACCGTTCAAAAAGAACGCCGTCAAAGCGCCATTAGGAAGAGATCATATCTCGTTTGAAAGAGCCACAGCACCCCATGACTCCCTTTTCTAGCCCCATTAAGCATGGCAGGAATATACGAGTCTCTCCTCATACCACTGGGTCAAAGCTCACATCATTCAGCCCGTTGTCCTCGGTATTGGGCCATTGAGCAGCGCTGCTAAGCATTTCGCCGAAACAAAAGCTATCAGCCGAGAAAACGCCTGAAGTGTCCATTCCAATATTTTCATTTATTCCATGAGTTTGCTGCAGCAGCAGCATCAGGTCCTCTGCTTGTTTCTCGAACTTCCGGCGGTCCTCTTGTTGTTCCACTGCATTATCATTGACGATCCAATCAATTGTCGCCGATGATAAAGTCTCAAACACATCTCGACAGCCTGCGACCCCTGGGAAGCTCTCAGCCAGTGCAGAGAGTGTCGAGGCGCAGGATTGTAAGGTGGAAATGCTGCTCCCAGCAGGATTCCCGTCCCGTACTTCCCTCGACTGCCAAAGGCTGTATATAACTCCCAAACCCGCCATGAACAGATCATGAGCAGATTTCCAGAGTATATCAATCTTCCCTTTTCGCTGCAAGATTTTGATACTTCCAATCAACTGACAAGAGGCATTGAAAGAGAGAACCTTTTCTTCTGGAGACGTTTGTGATCCTGTAGAATTGGGTCGGTACAATAAGAGAATGGCGTTATTGAAGATATAGTCCCAATAAGCCTGATGAGCGAATATAGATGATGGGTGGGCCCTGTTAGTTTGTGGAATCGTAGCGTACCATTCCTCAAGACGGGGCTGAATATCCTGAACCCATGCCGCATAGTTTGCCCTAGGGTAGGCTAATTTCGGAGCCCAAGTCTGGCTATGTTGCACATGTTTGATCTCAGACTCGATCTTCGATAAGATAAATAGGTGGTTGTGAGCTCGTTGGCTATGGATATCAAATTCGGTACATTCGCTGTGAGATAGCCCCCGATAGACAGCCCAAGGATTTGGAAGTGGTACACGAATGCTTTCATCGATGATACCAAACGGGCGACCGAGCGTGATGCATAAGATACGGTCAAGTTGGTATGTGCAATACCAGAGACGTCGGCGATCGTACAATATGGTGGGATCCATGTTCATTGTATGCTCTTCGCTTTCCCAATGCAAGCCTATGTCAATGCATAATCGCAACGCGGTGCCAGTCAAATGCCACAGACTTCCTCGAGACGGGCACAGTGCAACGAATTGAGCCAGCAAAAGGATAGTGCGGAGGGTCTCGATATCACTCTTTGAGTTCGCGACGACCTTTTCATACCAACCTATTGCTGACCCGAAGCATCCTTCACTCTGACTGGGTCGACCTCCGCATGGGTTTGAAACGTCGCAGAGGGCGATGGCGAGGATCATGAACGATATGAAAATGTCCCTCTCTATCGGTCGGTCTGGAAGCTGCTGGCCATTCATAGCCTGGTATGCGCTCTCTATGGCCTCATTGACCATTGAACGTCCCATGATGGGCAGGTGGGGTGTGTGATACTGAAAATAAACGTCAACCAGGTGATTCGCGGCTTGACGCGGTGGAAGAGAAGCCTCTGTTGCCATTGAAACAGAAGAAGGGTTATATGAGCGTTTCTCGGTAAGCAAGGGTGAAGGTAAGGCGTCGACGCGGATTGCTGATATGACCAATTTGGCGAGAGTGATACCACCGCTCTGACCCAAAAATCGTGGCTGTCTTGACGGCTCAACAACAATATCCTTGACGCTGTTTACCAAGTTTTGCACGTGGTTCGAACTCGCATCTGACCCAGCCGGACTTGATGTTGAATGTTCTCCAGAACCAACACTTCCTTGCCGGGAGCATCCATGGGGAGCAGGCATTTCACCATTCATCCAAGTGGACTGAGCTCGTGCTTTCAGTTCTCGGTTCTCCCGAGTCAACCTCTCAATCTCCGTCTCGAGCTCGGATACGTAGTTTCGGGGAATCTTCTAGCATCTTAGCTGAGCGTCATGAGATTAAAGCTAGTATTGCGCGCACTTACCTCGTTGTGGTTCCTTGAGTGATAAGTTAGGCACTGGGCGCCTGCGCTCTCGCAATTGGAGCATTTTGGTAACATGAGATCACACTGCGTATTCATCGCATTCTCAGCAAAAAGACTTTGGTGGGGGTCAAACACCCTAGCTACCTTCTGCTTTCTTCGACGACATCTATGAGATTCTAGTTAGCTTCGCATTGTCGCCTTGCCGTACCAACCATTCCGTCACCACCGGGGGCGCTCACCTCAAACATGCGGTCGCTCCTTTCGCGAGTCTTTGACCCGAAGGCAATGACGAGTTCATTTGCAGCTGTACAAGCTGTAGAATTAATGGCTGACATAGACCATGGCATGACTGCTTCCGAGACTTCAAGAGCCAGTAAGTTATTAAGGCAAGCCAATCGTAAATTCAGCACCATGCCGCTTCGGAGGATACCGTTTGGGCTTGCCCCGCATCTGGAAGACATCATTCGCTGAAGAGCCCTCAGAGTCAGCAGATCGACTTTATCGCCCATTGAAATGCTTGCGATAAGCTATCGCGCCTACTCGGCTTTGTCCGATGCAATTGCTTATCAGGGAGGCTCAGATTAGTTATCAGAGTAATCCGTATATTAGGCTTTTACCAAAACTTTCAGAAACCATTGCTGAGGCCCGATCTTGGAAACACCAAGCCTTCGAGAAACGGCACTATTGTTGTGTATATACCTTGAGCTGACGGTATCAGTATCCGACTAGGAAGTATTTAGTGACGCGATTGGGCGACATTAAAGATGGTGTCCTTTCTCACCTCACAACCGGTTCCATACCCTTAACACTATTTCTATAGACTTGTATCACGCAATATCGCCTCAATGGATTCCGAGTTGAAAACAGCAGACAAAAAGACCGCAATCGTTGATATCGAGAGTGGCATTGACATTCATTCCAATGAGGCCAGCTCAGTCATCTATGTTGATCCGGAGAAAGAGGCAGCCGCTCGAAGAAAATTCGACAAATACCTTGTCCCGACTTCCCTTGTCTTCATCATCCTATCTGCTCTAGACAGAAACAATGTGAGCGGACTCTTGGCTTCAAGAGAAACATACTTCTCATCTCTGACCGTTGACTAGATCGGAAATGCTGTTGTCTTCGGGTTCTCGACAGACCTAGGCCTTGCGGGCAACCAGTTCAATACTATCCAAACTCTTTCAAGCTTTTGCAGTTTTGCTGGCGAGATCCCATGGACCCTGGCTGTTAGACGCTTCGGTGCTAGGAAGGCACTCGGTACTGCATTCGTCCTGTGGAGTATTTGCACCCTCGGGACTGCCTTTATCCACACATACGGTCAAGCCATCGCCGTCCGTATGATTCTTTGCGCCTGTGAAAGTGGATTATCTCCCGGTTTTGCCTTTGTGTACTCAACAATATACCCTCAGGAACAAGCGGGAAAGCGTATTATGACTACAAACCTTGCTCAATGCATTTCTGGAGCTTTTGGTGGTCTCTTTGCTTACGCAATTCAAACTATGGGAACTAGAAGAGGCCTTGCAGCTTGGAGATGGCTGTTCATCATTGAGTTTTGCGTAACCATTCTCGTTGGTGGAATTGGCTGGATCTTCATCCCCGATTCGGCCGAAACGGCATGGTATCTTAACGAAGAAGAGAAGAAGACAATGCGTCTGAAGAGAAAGCGAGACTACGTTCTTCGAGGAGAGCACAAGTTTGATTGGAAGTGGGCTAGGGAATCGCTGATGGATCCCTTTGTGTACCTTCTAGGCACCGCTTTCTTCACTTCATCGGTCGCAATTAACGGATTCGGGGTCTTTCTACCCTCTATCATTAAGGGTCTTGGGTTAGTACCTGAATAAGACAAGACCTTTGAGCCTCCTTACTGACTGAATCAGATTCACCTCGCTTCAAGCCAACTACCTTACCATTCCGGTTTATGTGCTGGGTGCTATCTCTCTGTTGACCCAGGTCTATTTTTCTGATAAGCTCAAGAGACGGAGCATATTTATCATCGGCTGCTGTGTTCCGGTTGCAGTCGGCTACTTGATTTGTGTCGGAACATCAGTTCCCGGTGCTGGTTACGCTGGAATGTTTATCCTCGTCATAGGTAAGCAAACGCAAAAAACCTCCGCCCACTGTATGCCATGACTGACCTTTGATGTAGGCCTTTATCCAATTTCTACGCTCGCTGTGACCTGGGCAACTAATACGTTTTCGCCGGATTCCAAGCGTGCGATCGCCATGCCACTAGTATATACAATGGCTGATATCTCTTCTATGGTATCATCGCAATTGTACCCAAGCACGCAGGCGCCTCGATATGTGCAGGGTAATGCGGTCTCTGCTGGTTTGACGTGCATCGCTGGGTTTCTATACATCGCGAGTTGGTATCTGCTTCGGTGCAGAAACATGAGGAAGGAGAAACTCCTTGCTGAAGGTGCAACTTCGAATGACATGGAGGGAGATAGAGGTCTCAATTCCATGTACATTTTGTAGGCGGCGGCAATCCTTGGTATTTTGTCAGACGAGGCTTTGGGGTTGCTGCAGCGCCCAATTTTACCGTGACTTAGCGTTAAAGTGTTATTTTAACCTTTCCACATTGAAAATAAACTTCAGGCTTTGTATTCTGTCTACATATAAGGAGGTTTTGCAGACTTCACTCCCACTACTCTCGGTCACTCAGAGAGTATACGGAGATGACGGAACTGTTTACAACAAAGAGTCTACATGATTCCATGAAACGATACGCTGTTATAACATTGACTTTCATCGACCATTGTTAGGCATTACGATACATTCCAGCAGGGATTGCTGAGGGAGAAACTAAAATTAGACTAGCACGTTTCGGATTAAGGATCGGGAATTATACCGTGTGAGAATATTGATATATCTGATTTCGAATATCGCTGTAGCATTCATCTATTCCCATAGGCTCGAACCCACACATTTATAGACGACATAGTTGTTCATCAAGTACTGAAATCTAGCTATAGATAGAGCTGGTCGTGAATCCTGAGTTTAATGACGCATATAGTATTAAATCCTAGACTCCCGCAGAAGTCTTTACAAGAAAAATGGACAAACTGGTGATCTTAATCCTCATAACCACCACTCAAGCAGTTCCCTAGAGTCTGGATGGTAATCCCTTTCGTGTATGCTCTAGCTCCAAAGGCTTGGGCCAAGTTCCCTAGCCGACTCCCTGTGCCATACGTGTCAGAGTCCGGATTTTCCTTGAGTAGGGCGTTTCGCATCTCTCCAAAGCAGCTGGCAAAATAGTTCGCGGGTCTAGCATAGGTTCAATTTCCCGATCAATTAGCGTTTTTAGAGAGACACGGTGCTCCACGTGTTCCAGCGGGATTTCCGATTCAGATAAATATTCATATTTGAAGGGTTCCGCATCCAGATATTTCATCTTCTGCGCAAGTTCCTGGGCCTCGGATTAGTCATGACGAGGAGCCTCCAATCGTTAATGTTACCGAAAGCAAGGGATTATAGGCCATCTTCCAACGAGATTAGAAAACGGGTGATGCGAGGCTCAAGCGACTAAGGATTTAGACTGATCTATTGATATCTCGGAGTAAATCTCGTTCATGGGCCGAAAATGGCGATTCTGTATTTCCAGCGTTGGGAGATTGAAAGGTTCCCAGAAGATTCTCAAGTTTTCCCGTAATTCTTACCAGATCGGTATCTTAATCTTTATATATATTTTAAAGGTTAGCCAGGGAGTGGGGGGCTCCGATCCCAAGAGAGGGCAGCCCGGCAATTCCTGAAATAACGAGAGAGGGTCAGGCATGGCGAATGGTCAGTTGTCCAAGGTTTGAGAAGGTTTGTTTCCGCTCTTCAGTGACTGATCTCGGAGGCTTCGAAGTACCAGTGGGCAGTGTGAGCATTATGTATTACATTTCTGTGATGATGGACGATAAGCGGCAAAGAAGTCTTGCGGGGTTTCGCGTTGACATAAGTGACCTTGAAGTTAAATGCGGTGCCACGTTCGGTCACTAGAAGCATGAATTTAAGGGAGGTTCTGGTTGAAGCCAGCTCAACATGCATGTTGTTATCTTATCTAAACGCCTTGGAGAAATACGAAGAACCGCTATTGGTTCCCACAAATGGCAGTGGGCCTGTCGAAAATAGAGTTGGACCTTGAGTTTGGCATGGCTCGAGCACGAGGGTAGCTCGATGATAAGAGACGGGGATATGCAAACGAAATGTACCGTTATGCTCTAAATAGTAGTGAGAACGAATCCTCACAATAAATATTGGTGATCAGAGACTCGAACGTTCATCAAACGAAGCACACATAGGTCCCACGTTCCGTTGTGACCTCCTCTGGGCCTGCGATCCTAATCGTGTTTTCATCAGGTTCATCCCACACACGTCGAGGAATTTCAGCCACGAAGCAACGTTGGATTGCGAGGTAAAAAGACGCATATGACGTCCGTCGGTGGGGGAAAGTCAGCAACGTTCTGTCGGTGGCGGGTTGAGCTTGAGACCGAGACCCCACTCTATTTTGAAGAGCCCTGCAGGCAACTCGCGGTCACCAATAAGTCCGTTCCACCTCAGCGCGACTAGATAAAATGTTGGAAATTGCTTGGCAGTAGATCCCAACATGCACTAACTTATAGATAACACAACTATTGCAGCCGGGCTGGCGCTCGGCGGCCACGTGATATGTTTTGGCCTTACAGATAGGGAATCGACATGGTTGGAGGACGAAACTACTGTATCCTAGATTCTACCATCATACACATGCTCGGTACACAGGAGAGAATATACAAACGTTCGATTGCTTCATCATTCTACTCAGTCGAAGCACTCCGTGTTGACCGAATTCTGCCCTGGTTCTCCTGTCGGTCTGTCAGTTCTGACCTGACATGCCATTGTGCGCCCTACTTCCCGCTCCACTATCTAGTTAATCTAAAATTAATTCACAAGCAAGTCCAAAACACTATATCAAAGGCTAAATTTTATATCCTCGTAGCATCGCAACAACTATTATTTTTCATTTAATGTAATTCTATTTTCGTTTTTGTTGGTGCTGCACCGGACTATACGCCCTTATTGAACGCATCCACGCTGTAGCCTAGAGAAATAGCATAGACTTTCTGAAATCTCAAGACCAATTTGAGCACGACCGCAACATCTTTTATCATACAAACCAGACGCTCTTCTCAACGCCACCACATTCCAACATTTAATCTCCTCCGCAGATCATGCACTGCCTAGAGGACGATCCCGAGAAGAGAATTGGGCTGACTGAGATGGTGCTGTTCTGGGAGAGCAGCAGCAGATTTACCGAGTTTAGCAGTTATTTGTGGCATGGGACGGAACTGAACTTGGCATGATGGTGCCTAGCCATCGGCCAGTTTTTAAGAATAGAACATCGCTATAAAGGCGTATTATCGATTGTAGAGAGAATCATAGTAGTTAGTCTGTCTATCTTCTAGCCCCCCACTAACATTAATCTCATTACCTAAAAATCCCCCCCCGACCGAAGCGAGGGCAGCAACTTTGATCTAAAAAGAAAAAGGAAAAAAAAAAAGGATTGGTAGGATAGCATGTCCTGGTTTCGATCCAGGGACCTGGTTCGGGAGTCAGTTTGTTGAACGAATTGTTGTTTGATAAGTGGATCGTACCTCCGGGTTATGAGCCCCTAAGATTTTGTTAATGTATGAGCGCGGGTCAAGTTGTACCACGTGACTTACGGCGCTCTTCCCCTGAGCTAACATGCTGAGATGGGTAGAAAACTGGTGCCAAATAAAAACCATGACCAAGTGTTTTTTGATCTTTTCAGGCTGTGCAGCCTTAACGCGGGATGAAGTACATGGTAGATTTAGGGTCGTTTTGCTTGTGCCCCCAGGCTACTTCGATTACCTTCCTTACAAATTTGCACAAGCGTAGAATAAAGTGTACTCTGTTCGTCTCAGGACCTCGGGAAGATTTCTAAAGAAGGATGTTTGTGTGGTACTTGAGGGCTAACCTAGACATCCTAACCGTTGGTGGCATTCATTGAAGGCTTAGGATTTTAGAGGAAGGTTGTGGGGTGTTAGGACTGCGGTCTGACAGTACGGGATACTACCATATAGTATGACGAAGTTGGAGAACTTCGTGATAGTGGCCTTTTGATCTAGCTGGGTAGAGTGTGCTTAGGCGAACTCCTCACACGGGGATATTCGGGAAACATTTGCGAAAGGAGCAAAAAATGCCGTGCCACCTCTTAAAAGTCGAAACGACTTAATTATATTTTGGGCCATAGAATGAATGAGCAATATATTCGAAGGAAAAGAAAGAACGGCAAAGCAAGAAACTCCCATAAAAAGATAGGCACAGTATAATTGTGCCATCATATGATCAACCAAGTAACGACTAGTAGTATTTTTCCACAACTTTTAAATATTCGATTTATCTTTGATTGATGTTCAAACTAAGGAATAGAGATTTAGTATACAGACTAAGAGTTGCATGAAACGCTTGAGGAGTGTAGTTTATTATGCATTTCATGGCATAAACTCTCGCGGAGACGATCATTCCTTGTCAATTCCATATCCGAATATATCTATTAGAGATATCAAAGCTTCGCCGAATGCTATTGATTAAATAAAATGGCTATCTAAATTGGAACATTTGTTGCTAAGCTTTGCACAACTCTAGCAGATGAAGTTCTTGGTAAGGCCCAGATGCTGTTATTTTCAGACAGTATCGGATAATCTTATATTCCCACGTTTCTTCTTCGGAAGTTTCCCCTTTCTACTGTTTGCTTTCAGCTAGGAGTAATCCGGGTCGTCTAAGACATTTCACCATCTGACATCTTTCCACTCCCACAAACATTCTGAGCTTCCCCTTCCCCATTTCTCTTTTCCCACCAACTCTACCTTGACTAGCTTCCCTGACTGGCTTAGTTTTGTCTGTCTGCCCTTAATCAATTCCCACCATTTGTCTCTTTTCCTTGCATTAGCAAGTTCTGGCAATTTCGAGTCACCTGGTACCGTATCTCCCCATCCTGTTACAATGGAGACGCCATACACGATCTGTACTTGTCGCGCAGAGGGATACGATGAGTGCGTATGCCGTTTCTGCTGGAAATGTGGATCTCTGGGTCATACAAGAGACAAATGCAGCAGGGGACGCTCACGGGGAAAACGTCTCCGGCAAAGGGTGCTGCAAGGCAATACAAAGCTTGGATATGGAGATAAAGGAGTGTTTATGCGGCCCAGTGTTGAGGTGAGGGAATCAACTGCTGGTGCTACTTATCCATCACCTATTTACTAAGAAATCTTTTTCTAGGACCAATATTTCCCAGAGGGGGCAAAAAAGGACATACCGGAGGAAGAAACAGTTAAAGAGACATCAAGCATACCAGGAAACTTAGCAAACGTAACTTTTTTTGGAGTCGGGCTCCCGAAACTCGGCCCTGTCGATCGAGTTTCGATTCTCGCCTCCCTCATTTTGAAAGTTAGAGTCAAAATGGAAGAGCGCTATTCGTCGGCGCTCGATACATACGACATCGCCAAGATTCTCGATGAGAGCTTGAATCCAGCGGTTAAGGTCAGTTGTGAGGAAGGCAAATTTGACTTAGGAAGGCAGGTCTTCTCGGGTATAGTAGTCCATTTACGGATTGCTAACAAGGGCTGTTAGCCTGATAAACCTTGGGCAAGAGCCAGAAACCTCTGCAAATGGTGGGATTTACCTCCACATTCTGTGGAAGGAAAGTGACCTGACAACCTTCTGGCTATACATTGGCCAAGCGTCAAAGTTCTGCGACAGAATCCTAAAACATAATGATCCCAGGTTTCGCTACAGATTTCCATCTCTGCATTACAAGGTGTGGGATTCAGCAGAGGAAATGAAGTCAAAGTTCGTCACTCTAGCAAGCCTCATTCCACCTGAATGCCGCCAGACCCAGCTTGTTTTCAACCTAGCCGAGATGTGGTTATGCCTTATTTTCCAGACCTTACCAGAACTTCAGATGGGCCAGTGGCTGCCGGAAGATGTGAAACCACTATGGTCTGGCCACCATCTTAATGTCGCGCTGCCACTATGGCAAGGGTTCACAGACACAAAGGAGAATCAGGCCATCAGTGAGGCGACCGGTGGAAGAATTGCCTTTCAACAATATCTGTTGTCTGATGACCCCTTCATTCGAGAATGGGCAGAGCATGCAAGAGATGCGTTCAACGACGTTCGGAACTCCCCCAACCCCATCATACGAAAGTATTGGTGGGACCTTCATCAGCAACGGCGCCTAAAGTCCCAGGAGACATGGGAGGCCAAGAAGGAAGAAAGAGCCAAAGAGCTCCTTTCGGGAGCAATGGCGATAGTTAAAAGTTCCCACAACGGCGAGATGACTGAGGTCATGGGTGGTAGGTTCAGATTTACTGTGGCACGAAGTCTCGGACTCTACCTCCACCACGGCGATGAAGTCACTCTTCAATATCACTTGACGGCAACACGACACCAAAACCCTTATGCCACTAAATCCCTGCCTACAGACCCTGCATCTCGTCTAGGGATATCTATCCGTGGAAGGGACATGAATGGAGAGTTTCATCGTTGGCTACATACAAACGGAGAGCTAAACGTCAGAAAAATGAACTCTCTTGTCGATGTTTTGGAAGGGTATTCTCTGGGAGAAAGCAAGAACTTCAAGAGGCGTTGGCATGTCAACAAAACCCAAGATTTAGTGAGCGAGAAAGAATGGCGGGGAAATGTGTACACCTAAGTTCGCCCTTGACCTCAGTTTATTATTTGTTTTTGTTTTTGTTTTTGTCCTTAAGTATCCGTGGACTTGCAAGGATCTTGCACACTTATGATGCTCTTGATTCACTGGAGTTAGAAGTGGTTTAAGATGAACAAGAGTCATAGATAACATGGGGGTATTATCAGAAACAGAGAGCAGATAAAGCCAATAAGCGGTTGCTCCTAAATCATATCTCAACCGTCATAGCCAATCTAAGTCGAACTCATTGACTCAAAGGAAATCAGCTTAGAAATTTTATTTGTAACTACAAGAAATTCTCTATATGAAATTTTCATTTGGTTAGTTAAGACTGACAAAACTTGTAGCCTTAACGAAAAGCCTGATAACGTAGTTGGCTTTTCTCAAGCCAAGACATAACCCATAAACTGGTCCATATTCTTGTACATTACATATGTTACAATACTGTCCTGCTACTGGCCCCTTGTTCTAAATGAAAACCAGCGATCTTATGTTAATGTATTCCAAGGAGACATAGTAGGGCCTTTGTTGGTGACCTCTTAACACGACATTCCTATACCGCGTTACCCATAGTAAACATAGTAATGTAATCGATAAGAAGAGTGTCGTACTCCAAAACACAAAGTGAAAGCGATTATTTACAACCTTATATTTAAACAATGAAAGGTTTTCATGGGGGCATATTGATGGGGTTTGAAATTAGTTTAACCTGTAATGACTAAAGGATATATATTTGGAGCTCACATCTCTGTATAATTTTTGGTAATGCAATAAAATAATGGATTATCTGGCTTAATGTCAATACATAATATATATTTTATGCTAGGACACAATTGCACATCAATGATGAAATAAAATCAGCACGTGGTTGTCGATATATTCAGTCGCATTTACTAGGTACCTGAGGGCGGCGTTCGCTCACCGATTATGTTAGTAGCTTCGGTCACTCGGGTCACCTCATCATACCTTCAAGATCTAAAAATCTGGTCCGAAGACTAAATACGTTACAGGTTGGGAATCTTTAGGAGGTGGAAAGTGGCGGCAACACTTGCGATAGGAGCGGCAGGCGTCATGCCAGATACATCATCATTATACCTTTTGATTGCCCACCTGTCGAACTGTTAAAGGCGCCTGCGATATTTGGATCATAAGAAATGTTAAAAAAAATTCGGAGAGAAAAAGAGAAAAAAAAATTGACAGGATAGCATGTCCTGGTTTCGATCCAGGGACCTGATTAGAGGGTTAGTTTGTTGAACGAGGTGTTGTTTGATAAGAGGATCGTACCTCCGGGTTATGAGCCCCTAAGATTTTGTTAATGTTTGAGCGCGGGTCAAGTTGTACCACGTGACTTACGGCGCTCTTCCCCTGAGCTAACATGCTGACTTGGGTACTCGAAATATCCCTGCTTTGCAACTTGATCGACGATGGACAAATGTATACTTCTGGGTACCATCAATACATTTCATCATGAAACCATATAGTGAATGTGTCGCTCATCTATGCCTCTGTCTTTCTCTGTTTTTTTTTCTCTCTCTTTCTTTCTCTCTCTCCCTCCCTCCGTCTTTCTCTTCCTCTGTCTCTCCCCATTCTTCCGACAAAAAAAAACCACCTTCGCTTTTTCAACAAGTGCCATCTTGTTGATCCTATCTCTAGATCTTCCCCAGTCAGCATCGCCTCTATTATTGCAGCAATTTTCATCTGCTTCACACCTTGATAAGCCAACGCTATCAAATTCTCACAAATACTTATCTTTTAACTCGAGCTGCTCGCCATGACCATTCCAACGCGCAAAATATACCGACGAGCTGACTCTCGGATCTGGGCACGATGGAACTCGCTGTTCGTACAGCCCTGGAGTCACAGCCTCTGTGTTCCTTGGGGAATGGATTCAAACCCTTGGGGATGTTCTCAATTTTAATGGAACAGAAGCAGTTCCTGAATGGAGTCAGTTCTTGCAGTTTATGAACGCCATCGAGTCTCATCCCGATATGGAACCTTGGGCTCGTGACTATCACGTAGAAGGAAAGGAATCAGGTCTGATGTCCCATGTCTACTCTAGCTTCATGAGCTACGCAAGCGGCCTACCAGCCCATAAGGAGCTCTTTCTGTTTGTAGCTCGGTCGTCTACCGGAAGCCGTGCCGAGCAGATACCATTTCTCGAACGCAGTTTGAAACTGACCAAGAAATCATACGAGGAGGATTATGGGCCCCTGCGTTGTTCAGATGCGACTGTCGATTTTACACATTCATACAGTCATCCAACGCTCCGTTCCCGCACAGAGGGGAGACAAGCAATTTGTTCGCTAGCCTTCGCGACGATGTTGAAAAGTATGATGGACGACTGATCGTAGTGATCAATGGCTGGGATGGATTGACCACAGACCGACATAGCTTCGTGAAGCTGTTTTCCGCCTGAGCCAAACGTGTCACCCTGCATGTTTTTGCGGAGACACCAAGAAAGTTTTTCGAGGCGGATGTCACCAAGATTTGCCAATATTTTGATGGAAAAATACAAATCGAAGTTGAGAAAGAAAAGTGTCAGAACTCTAAGTTACCGCCTTATTTTTAAGCAGATTTCATGATATTTCGGTCCTCAAGGAACAGCTTTCACTAGACTCGACATTCCTGCGAGAGCTGACCGAGTACCGAAACTGGCACCCAGACATGCGAGACTTGTCGAAGTATGTGTGCGAAAAGTGTGGAACGCCATGTGATACCGCATTGAGTTTAAACCGGCATATGCATCATCAACATGAGCCGTATGAGAATCCTGAAACTGATCTAGTCTGTCCACATTGCGGAGAAAAATTCAAACGAAAATATCATCGCGATAGACATGCATCAACAACTTGTCCACAACGCCCATCCAACTTTGAAACAGATGCAAGCGGGCGGGAGCTTGATCGGGAGGGTGAACGCCCATTAAAAAAGCAGAAACGCGCTAAGCGAGGTACTAAACTACGAACGCTGCCAGCAGATGCTCAACCGCGTGGCTCAGATAATGGTTTGCTGTCTTACTTGCAATTGACCGAACAGCATGTCGGGCGCCTCCCTCGGGTTGAACTTGATCTTACTAGGCTTGAGGGTCTAGAGACAGACATAGTCTACAAGGGCGAGATTTATTGTCGGTACCCTGGCTGCACACACCCCCACCGGTATAGTGAAGCAACAAAATTACGACCGCACTATCAAATAAATCACCAGTTTGAATACCGGAGATCTTCCCCTGGTCATTTGAACCCCGCAGACGACCGGGAACATCAAAATGGCCTCAGATGGCTGGCGATTCAGCTCAGATTGGGGTGGAAGCTGCTGGACAAAAGCCAAAGCCATCAAGGAAATAGGAAATGAAGACTGTGTTTTTGTACCGCATAGGCTGGCTCGAGAGCATGAATTAAGGATAGAATTTCAGACATCTCAATTGCTCGAGGTCTTTAGGTTACATAAAAGCGTGCGTATAAGCCCCAGGTACGTGAACCCTTGAAAATATTTCAATGGGAGGGATGTTTATCAAGCCAAAGGCTGTCTCGTCGACGACCGGATGCCATAAAGTGCGAATTGTTGGAGTCACCAACCTTTTCTACAAACGGAACCGTACAAAGACTTGAGAGCTAGATAATCAATAGAAAGATAAACGCCTAAATGTCGGATATGAGAAGAACAAGTAATATTACTATTGTTATTGATCAAGTAGCACTTTCATACCGAAGCTGAGTTTATTGCCAATGACTTTTACATATAATACCAGCGATCCCAAATGGCGTTTGTTCCATCCCTGGAATTCCGGGTTTCATGTATCATGAGCGGCAATCTGCTTGGCCTGTTGCACCTTTGCAATTTCCTCATCCACCTCCCCTTTCTGTAAGGAAGCAGCCTTACGAGGATTCCGGGCCTGGAAGATCAAATTCAGCTCCTCAAGTGTGTGCCCTTTTGTTTCCACCATAAAGATGTAATAGTAAACAGCCTGACAAAAACACACGGCCATGTAGATAAAGTAGGTCTTCCAACTAATCACCTCGAGAGCGATGGGAAGCGCAAACTGATTGATGAGACCGGATGCATTCCCAGCAAAACTAGAAGGTTATTAGCATCAGACGAGAGACGTGCATATTAAGACATCGCGTAAACTGACTTTTGTAGGGCCATGCCTTTGGCGCGTTGGTCGAATGCCAGAACCTCGACGGGGTACAGTGCTTGCAGCGGCGTGTAGGCGGCAGAGAAAACAATGCCAACCAGAAAGATGAAGGTAATAGACACGTCCGCGGCTGGGACGCTTTTGTAGATATGGTATCCGCCCGTGCCACCAACCATTCCAGCCCATAGGAGACATAGAATTGCACAGCAGGTAATCATCATCTTGCGTCGCCCAAATCGGTCCATCTGGCTGGCACCAAGGCAAGCGGCTGCAGCGGACGCCAGGGTAATGCCCAGGTTGATATCAAGGACGGTGGCAGTGTTTGTGATACCAGAAGTGTTGAGCATGGCAGGTAGAAAATACGACACACCGGACTGGCCAGTCACTTGACTAAAAGCAGACACAGCGACAGCGCAAAGGATGGCACGGTAAATGGCGGCGCGTGAGTTGAATAGCGAGCGGTAGTCCCACCAGCGCTTATCTGCACCATCAAGTTCCAGTTCCTCGGCAAACTCTCGCATTTCCAACCTCACGTAGAGGGAGTCGGGGTTATCGTTACCGTGGTACTTGACCAGTATTTCACGGCACTTATCAGCCTGCCCATGGACGTATAACCAGCGCGGCGATTCGGGGAAGGTGACACAACCAATCAGCAAGATGCACGGGAAAAGCATCTGCAGCCAGGTGGGAATGAGCCAGGCCATATTGGTGGTATAGTGAACACAGCCACGCAGGACGGCGGCGGCCAATATTGCACCAAGGTAATAGCAGCAGTTATAGAAACCAGTAATCACGCCACGATAGGCTGGGTGGGCAAATTCCACGACGTAGGACGGACAGGCGACGTTGCAGATAATGCCACCAAACCCGAGGAAGAACCGGCCGGCAAGAAATTGGGGCAAGTGATGAGAGACGCCTTCAATGATGGTACCCATGATAATGAAGGCGCATCCAATGGCAATGCCTATGCGACGACCCCATGTATCGGTGAGAGGCCCAATGAAAGGCAGACCGCACACAGAGCCAATCGAGTACATGCTCATAATGATGCCGGTCTGAACTCCCAGAATCTTTGCGCCGAATTGATCTTGAAAGGGCTTCATGGCAATTAGGTTGCCCATCAGGGAGCCATCGTAGCCACCCATTGTTGAACCCAGAAAGGCAAGGCTGCAGATGGCATAGAGCTGAAGCATGCGCTTGCTGAGTTTCTGGACGGGCTCCAAGCGCGTGCACACTTCCAGAGCAGCGGTACCGCGTACATCGCGGAAGACGTCGACTGGCGCCTCGAGATGCTCTGCGCCGGCGTCAGAGGCCTTTTCGTCCTGGATGGAGACCATGGATGTAAGAAATGACTGATCAACAGAAGCTAGGGAGCCGGAATGTTGGGGTTGTTTTCGTCGCAGATTCCAATGGAGACAATGGAGATCTGGGGTAGGATTTGCTGTCATTCATGTACCTTCTCCATATTTAAGCGCAGACTTGGTACTGATCCAATGCCGACGATTTTTCCGACGAGAGTCCGGGGAAATGCACAACTAGGCCTAGCCCATCTTAGCCCGAAACCTTGGCCCCGGCACGCGGGGTAAACAGCCAAAAATCTCGCCGACGTTCTTTCCGATGTAGATTTAGAAAGCAATATTTGATAATAAATAACGCGCAATTGTTCCCGTCTTCCTATGGAGGTATAGTACTTTACTTTTACTTGTTTTTGCTACGTTTCGAGATCATGCCCTCCACCACATACTCCTCCACGCCGCCCACAATCACACCCGCCTCGCGCGAGGGCGATGCCAACTACAAGCAGCCTATATTTCCACTAGGTCCCTTTACGAAGTATGCTGGCAATCCATTGCTGGTTCCCAACCCGGCAAACGAGTTCGAATCGGCATACATTTACAATGCCGCGGCCATTGTCCTGGATGACACAGTGTTTTTGCTCTATCGCGCCCAGAACGCTGCCAAGGTATCCACTATTGGACTGGCATGGTCGTCGGATGGCTATGAATTCACACGCCTAGATCGTCCGATACTAGAACCAAGCAAGCCCTGGGAAATGGGCGGTGGTGTCGAGGATCCGCGTGTTGTGCGCATCGATGGTGTCTTCTACATGACCTACACTGCGTGGGATCTCAAAGTGCCGAAACTCTGCCTGGCAACATCCACAGACCTGGTACACTGGGAGAAGCAGGGTGGACCACTGTTTCCGGATTTCATAGATATCGATAACACTCTGGATGGACGGACTGAGATCCGGTTCGGTCACTCTAAATCCGGTGCAATCTTCCCAGAGAAAACGGCAGATGGAAAGTTTATGATGATATTTGGCGAGGCATACCTCTGTGTGGCGGAGAGTGAAGATCTGATCCACTGGCGCGCATGGCCCTTCAATAAGTACTTTGCAACCGGAGTCCATGAATGGGAAAATCGACTGCTGGAACCTGGGCCAACCCCTGTCAAAACTCGAGACGGCCGATGGATTCTGGTGTACAATGTTGCCACGCGCGGTGCCCCAGGATTCCACAACAACCAGTACTCCATAAGCCAGATGCTGATCGACCTCGAGCACCTCAGCGATGGCCCGCTGGCGCGTCTTGACCGGCCATCGGTTGTTGTGTCAGCGAAGAACGAGCACCTTGGGCAAGTCAACGAGGTTGTTTTCTGCGAGGGAATGGTTCAATTTCACGGTAAATGGTTTATGTATTATGGCCAGGGGGATAGCGAGCTTGGAGTTGCGACAGCTGACGTTCAGCCGTGAAATTCAGGGCAACGAAATGCTGGGTCCAGTATAAACTAGATTGCAAGAGTAGAAATAGAATGTTCATTTATCGTCATTCATGTGCGTGAATCAGATTGTTGCCCAGCAGAGTAAGTGTAACCCACAAAAGGAATTGGAGAAGACATGGTTTCAGCGGCCAGCTGCGGAACTGCATCTTCAAGATGTAAGCTACGAAGATCGCGAAACGTCCAGAAGACGGAATAGCCGTCTGTCTGATCGATAGTCCAGGGTCCAGAACCAATCTCCTCGCGCACCTCTCGGGCCAGTTCCGGATAGCGGTCCAGCGCGTCGTCCCACAAATTCAATAGACCGCGGAAATTTTCAAACTGCGTTTGGCGCCAAAGTTGTAGGATAATGTGAGCTGTTGTGGCCTGGATGTCCGAGAGGATAGCCCAATGGATGAGCATTTCGCGCGGGCAAATAAAGACTGACCGAACGAGAGAACAGATATAATGCAGCACACCTGGTACAGGGCGCAAGGCCAGCAACTTGCCAAGGGTATTTTGCCGACCAAGTACTGTGGCGTAAAACGACAGCACTACCAAATTATGGAGCGAATGGATCGTGATCGCCTCTGGTCGAGCTGGCATTTCATCGCGAAGGTCAAGTAGCGATGAAGGAAGTTGAACCGCCCAGAATAGACACTCATACTCTAGCCGACACCACAAGAGTTTTGCATCTGGTCCGAGGCCTTCATGCTCCTCCGCAAGCCTTAACCGGTCGAGGCTCAGGCCTAGGTTGGAAATTCGCAGATAATGATGCGCAAAAGTAGAGGGATCCACCGATTGAGTATAGCTCTTCAGGAAATCATCTGGGATGTCAAGCGGTGTTAGCGGGGAGCCGATCAGTCGGAGCCAGGTGTTGGCGACGATTGCACCCGCAAGAATGGGAGCTGGTAGCTCCTCTCCAATAAGTAAAGCTGCGTGCAAGGTGCCGAATACCTGATTTTATTTATTCAATAGCAACCCGAGAAATGTGTGAAATTGACTGCTTACCCGTTGTACAGAGTCGTTCTCGACCGGAAAGCGAAGCATCATCAACAAGGCGCCGGCGAGGCATTGCAGTGTCATCTCGCCCTGAGTCACCAATGCCAGAGAATCACTGGCCCGTTGTGGCAAATTCGCATCGGGCCTATGATGAAGCCAGATACCGGCAGCTAGCGCGACACATTCGTGTAGCACCGGGTCCCAGCTCTCGTTGTCGTCCTGGATCATTTCTGATGGCACAAATGGAGTGAGCGGGTGAACATAATCCCAATACTTTCTCGCCGTTGAATCGGGGATATTGGGATCGTCATCTTTGAGGATAATCTTTTGGCCATCGGAGTGAGTAACACCCGCAGAATTCAACTGACTATCCCCGTCCTTGACGACAGAGACAATGCTGCCAGTGTTGGCCCACCGGCGCTCTTCTGCTGGACTTGGTACAGAAGCTGCGGCGACAGCCGAGACTCGTGACGCAATGCGCTGGGAGGTTTGGCGACGCTTCAGACTGGGCTGACGCCGGCTAAACTCGCATACCAGGTCCAAATGCTTACATTCGGTGCAGCGGCTAGCCCACGGGCTGTCCAAGGCACATTTCTTCTTCCTGTGTCTGCAGTAGTTGCAGGATTTGAACATGGGACTATCAAAGCGGGAGAAACGTCGGAAAAGCTCTCATTAGACAATGCCTAGGGCCAAGACAAAATTGCAGTGTGCGGAGGAATGTTCGGGGTGGATTAACGTGCTAAATGCCCCCCGCATTAATAAAGCTAGTGAAAATGCCGCGATACCGACGCTTGCTCCGCCCCCAGGCTTATTCCTGGCTCGTCAATTGCCCGATTGACGTTCATTGGTCCAATTTTTCCTAGAACCATCCAGATTGCACTCAATGGTTTGAAGAGCCCACCCTGACCAGGTAACTATTCTATCAGTTTACTTATTGTTCAGGGTAACCCTAACTGTTGCAATTGCGGAGCATTCCGTATTGGCAATATTTCTATTTAACAACAAATTCAAAATAGTGTATTCTAAACCGCGAAGTACATAGCTTGTAGACAGTTTTGAGCAAGCTCTAAACTAGAAATCCGACCCGTAATACCGCAATTCCACCTTGTCGTCCTTGGCCAAGCCCTGTGCATATATAGTATACACATCATCCGGGAAGACATCAACTCCATTGTCCTCAAAATCAACGTGACGGTCATCGGCAACAGAAACCACAACACCCTTAACAGGCACCTTTGTCCGAATTTCAAGTTTACCGTCCAGCACAGATACAGTGATATCTGGAGATGCACCCAGAGTGACATACTTCAGTGGCTGAGGCCAGTCTGATGCGCGGGCAACGACATGACCAGCCTGAGGATCCCTCATGATTGCCTGGACGGCAGTCTTATCATCAACGCTCAAATCTTCCAGTAACTCCGTAGTGCGGTTGGACAAAAGGGTTTGAATGTCCATTGACCTTTCCTCGCGCAGAGCACCGGTTGCGATGTCATATAGCCGGACTTCGATTTGGGCTGGAACATCGTTCCATGTCCCATTCAGGGCCCACACATCAACGAAGTGTTTCTTTAGAGTAAGGTCATGGGGAGGAGCGAGAATCTGAGGAGGCGGTGACTTGAGCTTTTTGAGCTCAGGTGTCGAACGACTCATTCCAAGAGCGAGAGGGGCACTGTCACGCATTGTCATGAAGTAAGCCATCTTCTTCTCTCCGTAGAAATCGACCATGGCCCAACTGGAGACTGGCCAGCAATCATTGATCTAGAAAAGGATGAGTAATGAGATAAAAGAGATATGGGGACTCCACGAACCTGCCATACGAGCTGTCCAGCACAGTATTCTCGGCCCGGACCCTTCCACTGACGTCGGCAGCTGCGGACTGCAAAACCGAGACATTCGGCTTGAATGAGCTGGGTGGCATAGATCCAGCTGTCGAGGTCCAAGGAGTTCACTCGAATGTTCTCCAGAACGTACAAGGCCAATCGACGCTCTGCACCATCCGCTTTATTGTGCAAATCTAGCACGCGGCTCTGGGGATAGCGCTGCGCCGGGTCGGTCACATAACGACGGATAGACTTGGCAGCTGGGAACCCAAGCATGCCGAACTCAGAGACAAACCGACCGACGAGCTTGTCCCAGAGTTGGTATTTCTCCTGCGAGCCGTGCCAGACATTCCATTGATGGATATCTCCAACAGAGCCGTCTGTCGTCCCTTTGCCGCCCCAAGGTGAGCTCGGATGGTAGGGAACACCAGGTGAATATTCAGTAACCACGGCAGGCAAGTGAGTTTCATAGAGCGTCCGCGCTGGGAAGTCTGTGTTGGTCCAGTCGCCTGAATGGTCCTCAGGGTCCCATGTAAGGTTGAGCATCTCAGCAATTTGATAGTCCTCGTTGTTACCGGCCCAGAGAACGATAGAACAGTACTGCCGCAGCCGTTTGACTTGGTCCACGGCTTCCCGTTTCACAGTCGCCGCGAATTCAGGATAGCAAGGATACTGGGCGCAGGCAAAAGCGAAGTCCTGCCAGACCAGAATACCCCGTCGGTCACACTCCTCATATAGTGCATCGTGTTCATAGATGCCACCGCCCCAGATACGTAGCATGTTTTGATTCCCTTTCACGCACAGGTCAACGGCCGAAGCATAGTCTTTGGCCGTCATGGAAGTGAGAAACGAATGACCAGGAATCCAGTTGCTTCCAGACGAGTACACAGGCCTGTTGTTGATTTCGATGAAAAAAGAAGTCCCTGGTTCGTCAATCAAGGGTTGTTGTACCAGACGGAGACGTCGGATGCCAACAGGTTTTCTGACATAGTGAAGAGGAACTTGGCCAGGACCCATGATTGCCACATCCACTAGGTAGAAGACCTGAGGGCCATGACCAACAGAATACCAGAGTTCTGGTTGATGAATCTCCAGTGAAACCGAACCTCGGGAATCTTTTGCACTGAGGCTGAGGGCGGCGCTTGGGCGGAATACATGGCCGCTGGGAGCAGTGACGGTGACATCCGCAGTGACATCTCTGTCCAGAATAGCATCAAAAGAGATTTTCATAGACGCAGTTTGAAGATCCTCAGACACCTGTGCATCGGCAAAGACGTTTTCTACCGTAGAAGCATAGGTCTGAAGGCTGATCTCCCCACATGGTCCGCAAGTCATCAACAGAGGGCCCCAGTCCCAGCCATAATGGTACTGTGCCTTGCGAACATGCACCCGCGAATTCTCTCCACTGAACGCTCGATAGCTCCCATGCTTCTTTTCAAGCTCACGACCGTAATGGAGGGCGCTCTTGAACACGATGCGAAGGGTATTCAGGCCGCGACGTAGTTTGCCTGTAACGTCGATGCGGTGCCGATGAAACATGTTGGTCGACTCCAGAATCTTGTCCTGGTCATTCAAATAGACAGTTGCCACAGTATCCAGCCCTGCGAAAAGCAGGTCCTGGCGGGAGTGACTTGACTCAGGCTCATATTGGAAGTCGCAGGCATACTCCCAGTCGGCCTCGCCGACCCACTGCACAAGGCGTTCATTCTCATCGATGAACGGATCTGGTATGACTTTGGCATCAATGAGGTCGGTGAAAATCTCTGTGGTCGGCTTTTCATGTGTGCACTGGTGCCATTCTTCGTCGACGTTGCCGTGTTGTCGCCATCTCCAACCGGAGAGTGTCACAGTGCTCGCAACAGACATGGTCAATGGAAGTGAACGTAAAAAAGGGCTTGGAATAATTTCTTTTCAGCCATTGTAAAAGCTAAATAGCCGGACATCCTCGTCTTTTGTATAGATTGCATTGTGTTACTGATTAAAATAATTCTCGCCTTCATTGCTATTAGATACTCCACTCATCGCCGACGTTTTTTCCGACGCTACCTTGAGAGGGCCGGGCACGCTAAAGATAAAACCAGCAAAGATCAACAATACCAGGGCTTCAGGAGAAGCTTAGGTTATTCTCCGACCCCGCGTTTGATGCTTTTTGACACTAACTGTGTGGGATGATACCCCAAGGTCGGGAGTTGCGCCGAAAAAAAAAAAGTCAACTATGGCTAATCTCCGCACGCCTTTAAAGGAGCTGCTGCCTCATTGTTGGAGACAAGCAATTTCTTCATCATCATTCATTACACAATTTGATTGTCAATATTTCAGATCATAATGAAGGCTTCACTGCAGTGTCTCCTCGTGTTAGGACTTGGGGCTAGCAGCGCCCTTGCGGCCTCCTCCAACACGCCTCCCAAAATCACGCCTAAGTCGCAACAGAATGAGGCCAATTACACGGCGCCATACTTCCCATTGCTCGGTTTCGAGCAGTATGCGAACAACCCCATCATGAGACCTGATCCCGACCACTCATGGGAGTCTTCATACCTCTACAACCCGAGCGCCATCGTTCTTGATGACATGGTCTTCCTGCTCTATCGGGCTCAGGACAAGCAGAAGACTTCGAGCATTGGCCTCGCCTGGTCAAGCGATGGATACAATTTCACCCGTTACGATCAGCCAATCGTTTATCCCACAGAGCCGTACGAAAAAACAGGTGGCTGTGAGGATCCGCGCGTCGTGCGTATCGACGGAACCTTCTATTTAACCTACACGGCCTACGATGGCACAACCGCCCGTCTTTGCCTTGCGACTTCAACCGATCTGGTCCACTGGAAGAAATTCGGTCCCATCCTGCCTACCTTCACGGAAACCGTCTACAATTGGCGCGATCCCGTCACCTATTTCGCTCCCAACCCCATTGGCTGGACCAAGAGTGGTGCTATCATCGATGAGCGCCAGCCTGATGGGTACTACTATATGCAATTCGGAGACACTTATCTTTACACTGCGAACTCGACGGACTTGATCCATTGGGAGGTCTCGGGCAACGGCCAGCCGTTTGCTCCACTGATGAATGTGTGGGAGCAGGCATTGACTGAGAGTGGGCCGCCTCCGATCAAGACGAGAGATGGCATGTGGCTGAAGGTCTACAACGGTATGGCCACCGGTGGTGTTGGCGGTTATGCTATTGGCCAATACAGCACCGGACAGATGCTCATTGATCCGGCCAACTCCCCTCTGGGACCTCCCGTTGCGCGCCTCGAGACCCCCATCTTGCAGCCGACGACAGCCACAGAAATCACTGGACAGGTGGATAATGTTGTGTTCAGCGAGGGATTAGTGCAGTTCAAGGGCAAGTGGCTACTTTACTTTGGAGCGGGTGATGCATTCCTGTCGGTTGCGCAGACTCCTGTGCAGCCTTGAGTGTGTGCATCCTATAGTTTGACAATCCCGCGGAATCGAAGGCAACGTTGGCCATATATTCATAGCTTAAATTATCCCAGATGTTTAATATGGGCACCAATAATTTTGATCTTTCTTTTGTGTGAAAATATATCGAAGCAGTCTGGACTTTGTTGTCTTGATTATGTGTTGACGAGTGCTTTGTCTTCATCGACCTCATGGTTCTCCCTCCGCTTCGGGCCATGATTTCGACCCTTTTCCCCTACCACTCCAGTATGTTGATCCAAAGTCAATGTAGTCGAGATTTCTTACAACGTGAGAAGAGAACTAGCCAACTTTCTTCTGCTCAGCACCCAATACCAATCAAATAAGATTAGTCATAGAACACGTGACCCTCTCCTAAGATTTGTTTCTTCGGTCAAATCAATCCAACGCGAGTCTTCCCAACGCTGCCCTTCCTCCAACCATGCAGCCTTCAATGCGGCTTCTCAGCCGGGAGGCATTGGCCTCTAAATCGCTCTATGTCTGCTCCACCTGCAGACAGGAGGTCTCACCGCGAGGCCTTGCGCCGCTCACCCGTCCGTTCCGACGCTACGCCTCGGATAACTCTTTCACTGAGAGAGCTCGGAAAAAGATATGGGGTACTGAGAACCCTCCAGGCTCTAAAGACCCATACGGTGGCGAGGGGCAAATTGCGAAAGCGTGGCGCGAGAGGGGGAGCAGGCAGCAAACGCCCCGGCCAGCCAGACCGACCTCGAGCAAGGCGAGACAAAACTTGAAGTTCCCGAAGAGGTTGAAGAGAAAGATCTCCTTCCCAGCGACGAGTATGAACAGGCGGACACTTGGCAGGGTCTGAAGCGTCTTGGCTATCTGGAGAAGAACGCCTGGAGACAACAGAGTCCCACAGACGCGGATGAAGTGCAGCCGTACGTTTGATTTCTCCTTTAGAGTCCTATGTGTTTTGCTAGACGCTAACTTCGTGCTTGCGATTCACTACAGATTCGCAGCCAGACCCGTGGACGTCACCCCCGATGCCATCGCCCAAAAAGTCCGTCAGGTCGCTACGGAGATCTGCATTATGCACATGCTCAAGAAGAAGGAGCAAGTCGCCAATATCTGCAGTGTTGATGTGCACGACCGCAAGATCCAAGAATATCTCAATTCGTGTGTTCTGCACCCATCTGCGGACGGAAACTGGGAGACGGCCTTGAAATTCCGCAGCAAGCATGTCAGGGACGTGCTCTTCTTTGTTTTCAAGCAGATCGGCGGCGAGCAGGAGCCCGATCTGGGGTCCAAGACTTCCTCTGACCACGTTGGACTGCCGAAGGAGCAGCCGGTGCTCGCCAATTTGCCCTTGAGTGACCCGAGTGTGAAGTTTATCGTTTGTCTTTCCCTTCCCTTTTCCTCCCATTCATGCTAACAAACGTCCATCCAACAGTTCTTCAAGAGACTGGCTCAACTGACTGGATATCGCTTCTCGGACAAGAACATCAACACCCTGACTACTGTCGGGCATGCTAGCGAACACCTCCAAAAGTGGGCCGAGTCCCGCTCCCCCAAAGCCAAGAAGAAGCAATGGTTCGACGACGTTGCCCTCCCATCAAATCTCAGGTTCAAGCCTCGCAGGGAGAGGAAGTCGGACCGTGACGAGGATTTTGGCCGCAAGAAGCTCTACATGGCGGAGCTCTACAAGAGTGGCTTGTACCAGGTTCCCGACACTATCGTTCCCCCATGGAAGCGGCCGGCGTCCGAATAGATGTTGCGGTTGATGCTGCATTCTGAATTAGCGTGAAGATGCTGAGTGATGTTGCTTGGGAGGTGGACAGAAGAGTGTAGTTTTACCATTTTACTTCATCTGCGACGCATGTGTGATTTGTGACAAAACGTCTTGTTCGTGTATACTAGAAACCCTGATCGAACTGTCTCTTTCTTTATTTCAAGAATGTACATTTTTATTTCAAGATCATATACCAGGACTACTGACTACTCGTCCCCGAGACGCCGGTTCCAATATCGCCGAAAACCAAACTCCAGAGCCAGCAATGAAGGACAATTCGAAGCGAAACACAAGATCTACCTCCGCGCCGAAGCAGGAATAGTAAATCCTCTGGTCATAAAATCTGCACTCTTGACACCGCCGTCCTTGTCCTTCTTCGTAAAGAGGCTATCAATATTCTCATTTCCGCCCATCATCTTGCGACGCTTTTTCTTATCATTTTCCTCCCCCAGCACTCGCGCGGTGAGTGTTGCCGTGGCTGCATTCTTGATTCCATTGCTAGAAGCGTTGTTGGGAATTAGTGTGGATGTGTTGCTTCGGCTATTTGATGCCGATGTGGTTTTAGGTGCTGTTGATCCGGTAGTCTCTGCCGCTGGCTCGGTCGATACCTCCGCGGTAGCGTGCTTCTTGCGCTTTTTCGAGCCGGGGGCTTTCTTGAGAGAATGGGTGAGGCCCTGTTCGGCGAGTTTCTGGCCGCGGGCAATCAGACGCTGCTTGTCTGTTTCTTTGGTGGGCAGAATCGTGATGATGTTGTCTTCGGTATAAGATTCGTTGCACTAGACAAATGTGTTAATCACAGAAAGAGATACCTGTCTCTTGGAACCCACCTGCAAGCATTTGTCGCCTTTCAACTGCCGAATCGCCTCCTCGGCAAAGACATGCCCGCAAGGCACTAAGTACACGGCCTTGACATTCGGACCCAGCGGCTTTGCAGTGATCGGACAGATCCAGCCCTCACGGCGCTCGTGCCGGTGCGCCTGGACGCGGTCTGACGGGTGCTCGGAAAGTTCGGTGTCAATTTCAAAGTGCAGTTCCACCACGTCCCTCAGCGATTTCACACGCCCGCACAGGATCTCCTCGCAGTCGGACTTGGAGCTCATGCCCTCGCCGTCGTCGCCGGGGAGCAGGAACCGGAGCACTGCATCCTTATTATAGAGATTGCCGACACTGTCTGAGACAATCGGTCGGACGAGCGCTTTATGGGAGAGCGGGCAAGTCGTCCAGTGATGCTCTTGCTGTTCGCGCTGGGTTTCTTTCAGTTGCGCCGTGCTCGGGTTGCGGGCCGCCTCGCGCACGAGTTCGCGGCGAGTGGGAATACTGCGGAGGTCAGAAAGAGATCGGACGTATGTTATGAAGAGGAGACTCACCTGCCACCATCGTTACCCATGTTGGTAGGTCGGGCGGTTTGTAGAGTGTAAGGAGAAAGAGCAGCCTTGCCACTGACGACCAAAAGAGAGATAGCTGACTCAGCCACGATAACAAGAGCACCAGCTGGCCTGAATGGAGGGAGCTCTCTCCGCACCTCCACACTTGTGTAAAACATGAGACTGAACCACCCGGTGTTACTGCTGGCCGTGGCCGGATCTGTCGCTGCCAGCGACAAAGTGGCTCGTCCACGGGGTGTGGCTCCAGAGTGTGAGTTGTTGAACAAGAATGGCCTTGAATGCTGCTCCAGCCCATACTAATCGACTTCCCAAGTTGCCAAATTCTACCAGGACACGACCTCATTCACCTGCATCTCGCATCCCTCGATTAAGATCCCCTTCTCTACCATCAATGATGATTTCTGCGACTGTCCGGACGGCAGTGACGAGCCCGGCACCTCGGCCTGCTCACATCTGTCCCGCAACTCGCCATTGACCGTGGCAGACCGTCCGGGAAACAGTGAATTGGAGCTTACGCCCGCCCTTCCGGGGTTCTACTGCAAGAATAAGGGTCATCGGCCATCGTACATCCCCTTCCAACGTATCAATGACGGGATCTGTGACTATGACCAGTGCTGCGATGGAAGCGATGAGTGGGCGCAGGTCGGAGGCACCAAATGCCCGGACCGCTGCAAGGAAATTGGCAAGAAGTGGCGGAAGGAAGAAGAGCAGCGCCAGAAGTCCATGACGGCGGCTTTGAAAAAGAAGAACGAACTCCTTGTCGACGCTGGGCGTCAGCAGAAGGAGGTCGAAGACCATATCATCCGTCTGGAGGCGGAGATCCAGGGCGCGGAAGTCAAGGTGCAGAACCTGGAGGCCGATTTACAGGCTGCCGAGGAACGGGACCGCAAAATAATCCGCACTGGAAAGCAGAAGGGCTCGGGCAAGGTTAGCGCCCTAGCGGGTTTGGCTAAGGGCCGTGTGAATGAGTTGCGTAATGCTCTCATCGATGTCCGTCGCCAACGGGACGAGACTCGGTCGCGTCTCAAGGAGCTCGAGGATATCCTGTCCACGTTTAAGGTCGAATACAATCCCAACTTCAACGACGAGGGCGTGAAGCGTGCAGTGCGCGGCTGGGAAGAGTACGCCGCCCGGGAGAACGTGGAAGGCGACGATGTGAACAGTGCAGAGGAGCGTGATCTGGACGAGATTGCCAAAGCTGATAGTGAGAACTCGGGCATTCACTGGGAGCACTGGGAGAATGAGAAAGATGGCAGCGACCATTCCGATCTGGGTAAGCACACATCTCGTCATCTACACATCTCAATGCTGACACGATCTCTACAGTTTACAAGCTCGCAGCCTACCTGCCGCCATCACTAGTCAGCTTCATCGAAGGCAAAGTCACCTCGGTCAGGTCCTTCCTCGAGGACCAAGGAATCCTAGCAAAGACCGAAGTAGACCCCTCTTCCGAGTCCAAGGCCGTGACCGAGGCAAAAAACGCCCTTAAATCCGGCGAGGACTCGCTCCGAGATCTCAAAAACAAGGTGCGTGACCACCGAGCCGACCTTGAAAAGGACTACGGCACGGCATCCATCTTCCGCGCTCTCAAAGGCGTGTGCATCCAGCAAGATGCAGGCGAGTACACGTACGAGCACTGCTTCCTGGAAAACACGAAACAGAACCAGCGGAAGGGCGGGTCGAGCATGAACATGGGCAAGTTCGTGAAGATTGGAACCACGAGCGTCGAGGAGGTCAACGAGGCGGGCGAGATGGTCTCTGTAGAGAAGGTCTCGCTCGAGTACGCGAATGGCCAGCACTGCTGGAACGGGCCGAATCGATCGACCAACGTCATCTTGGAGTGTGGCGAGGAGAACGCAATTCTGAAGACCATGGAGGATGAGAAGTGCGTCTACTCGATGATTGTGACGACGCCGGCGGTCTGTGCCGGTGGTGAGGCGGAGGGCGATACTGCCCCTCGTCGCAAGGATGAGCTGTGATCTGTGTTGGGGTCTTATGTCACGTACAGAGCCGACTGAATGTTTTTGAGCCTCTAGATTCTTCAATATACGTTTTCGATGGTTACTCCGGCCTGTTACCTGGCTGGAGGCTTTCTACAATAGACGCTACGACTCGGGAACAAGTGTATAAGTCAACAATGTATATAGACGCGAAGCGCAGGGCCGGACGTAATACAAGATAAACGCAACGGAATTCCACAAAATCGCCGCAACCAAGAGATCCCAAGCCTTTAGAAGAAACGCGACTGCTGTAGACCGTATAGTGCCCACTAATTCGAGAGCAGCGGGATACCCGGCCGCGGATGAATTGATGCCGCAAACTTGGGAGTGGATGGCCGTGGAGCGGGCGACGCGGAGGCCGGCTTAGTGCTGTTTTGGTAGTAGTCAGCGCGATGTTCAGACATGTTTTCATATCGTCCATCATTCTTCGAGGGGTAGGTAAATGGACATACAGTGCAGCTAGTGCATGAGCTGCACGAGCCGTTGCAGGTGCTGGAGCAGCAGTTGCATGAGCAGGGACCCATTGTCGCGAAGGTGACTTGAGATAGGATAAAAGCTAAGGAGTGTTTGAGAGTATCCGAGGATATTTCTTGTGCTTGATGTTATGAAACAAAAGAAGGAAAGCAGCAAGACAAGGAGGGAATCAAGGCCATTTTTATACTTCACCACCATCCCAAGCGCCACCATCATCACAACACAAACACTCTCTCCTCTTGAGCATCGTGGCCGAGTCAAAGGCGCAGAGAAGCAGCTCAACGCAGAGCGCCGAATGATCATCCATCCATCTGCCGCTCCTCATTAAAACGTGGGTGGACATGTGCGCGCTGACACGTAATAGGCAACTCTACCTAGCGGGACGCCAATCGAGACCCCCTGTTCTCGAAAACCCTCTACAGCTAGCTCCGTTCTTTTGGAGTAGATGCAGAATCTCCACCGAATCATGTAGTGTAGGGTTGTAGGTGGCCGGCTTCGGTGATAGTGGACTTGCTCCGATCTTATTTCTTGACTCGATGGAGGCGCATGCCTTGGCTCCTGTGCAGATGCAGCTGCAGCTAAAGGGCTGGCGGGAAGAAACGCAGGACCCATATAGCGTCATCTATGAAAAAAGAAAGAAAAAGACTACGTAAGGCTTTCTTTGGAGTCGTGGGACTGGACTGTGACTGTTATATTATGGGGCTCTATGATATAGTACGGCGGGCGTCGGGCAGAGAGCTCCATCGCGGAGAGACTAGGTGCCCAACTTATAGTAGTCTCGATTCATGTCTCTATAGGAGATAATAGTGCACATTTCAACACTCCTGATGGTCTCACAACAGTAGTTCACTAGCATGGAGGACAGACGACTAGTATTTGCAAAATGTATGACAACCTAACTTGATCTCCTCAGTATACTAGAAAGTACCAGGTAGTCTCCATAACCCACTCCATCACGGCTATCTTTCAGAAAGAAGTAATATAAACATGTAATACCATCGACTGAGGGGACAACTGACAAATTTCCGGCGCCAGCAGCGGAACCAACAGGTGAGGACCTTGGGGGATAGTTAGGGTCGCAGGTCTGTTTCATTGGCGCAGGCGAGGAGTGAGGATCCTATAGGTACTGTATCCACTTGTGTTTCGTTCTGTTTTAATGTGCTCTGAGCGAATATTATTTTATTGTAACAGTCCAGATCAGTATCACCAGCCATGGATAGGGCTTCTTTATATCATTTCTATATACTTACCCCACCCCGATGAAAAGCACGTCAAACAGAAAAGACCTGGACATCAGAGAGTGATTATCTTGGCCAGTCAGGATCAGATAACCACGCACCCCTGTATGAGGAATCACCCTCGGCTCCGGCTGAAGTCATCTCCAGCAGATCTCGGGTGGAGAGAACGAGGCACTGAGCGCGTATCATCAGCGTACACACAGACCCTCCGACGTGCATGCAGATGCTCGTCTCGCATTGGCCCTGGAATCTTGACCTTCCTATGATTGGCCGCGCGGGCTTGCTTATGGAGGATGCGAGGACGTGGAAGCCCCGAGATGGGCTGGGTGGTGGATGCTAGGGCGTGATTGCCAGCGCCACGTTCAAAGAAGGAAGAGTGGTTCCGGCAAGAGTTAGGAATAGCCGGGGAAGCCGATTCGACCCTTGAGATAGAATGATAGAGGGATGGAGGTCGGAACGTGTCGGATAGGGAAGTGTGGCTGTTGGTTGGGTGGTGGAACTCACTGGGCGTGGCTCCCCAGAGAAGAAGAAGGGCTGCCCGGCCCTCGGTGGGCGATTTTCTGGATAATTGCAAATACAGCGCAACAAGAGACTGTTACGCTTCTTCCAGGGAATGTTCACGTCTACATGACCCGAGCAGCGGCCTGATGCCCGCAAGGTCCCTCCTTCATTCAGAGGATATAAAAACAACGAAGGATCCCGCAACTGAACTGCACGTGTCATTGAATAGTTACAGCAGGAAGCTATTTTGCAACGAAAAAGAAAACATCGCAACAGTCTGCTGTCCCCGTCTAGCCAAGCGCACGGCCTAGACACACATCAGTCTCACTGCATCTGGCCCCGAGGAGGCAGACACACCATAACTGGACGGCTTATTTCTTCTGCGCGGACAGAAATTCGGAGTCAGCATGAAGTATTATAAGACGATGCGACGGCAGGGAATAGCACGTACAGGGCAGTTGCATTGGCCGGCAGGGCATTGGCACGAAGCGCCGCAGGTGCAACCGTGGTCGGCTGGTGGGTGGTCAGCAGTGAATCCAGGATACGAGATGGTAGGCTGCTCACGCATATTGATATGTGGTGAAGTGGTTTGGTGTTTGATGTTGATGATGATCGGGTGGTGCAGAGGCGAAAGTGGGATGAAGCGAAGCCAAAGTGGGGAAAGAGAGAGAGACCCTTATATACCCGGAATGCTGACTACCACACTACTGTATGTATGATTCTGCGAGCTAGATTGAGTGCATATTCGGACACAGACCCCAGGAACTACTACTGCAGCCAAATGTCGTCCTCGGTCGCCTGTCTGTGTGGACAAGTGGTGCTGCCCATCACACTCAAGTCGTCATCGAATCTGGATCTATGTCATTGCCATCGCTGTCGCGCCGTTTCGGGGCTGTTGTGCTCGGCTTATTACTTCGTCCAGCAAGGACCGCCTGCCCTAACGGGTCTGCGCGAGTACCGACAGTCCAACCATGCCTCGCGATTCTTCTGTAGGACCTGTGGTGCTCACGTCTTTGCCCGTTCAGCGTCGGGGGAATATCTGGTTGCGGCGGGGGTTCTCGCAGCGGAGGACGCGCCGCCGGTCTCGACAGTGCAGCACTGGCAGGCCGGCGACACTGGCGACGGTGGACTTAGCACGTTCCTGGCGGGCACAATCTCTCCCACCCCAGGCTGTCTGTTGAGCGCCGGACAAGGCGACCCCCAAAGCCCAAGCGCCGACACCTCTGACCACGCTGACAAATTGCAAGCGCGTTGCGACTGCGGCGGCATTGATTTCTACGTCACTCCACCAGATACGTCCTCCGCGGAGGCATCATCCCCCTGGGCCGACCTGCTCGTGCCATTCCACTCGTCGTCATCCGCCAACCTGGACGACGTCAAGTGGTGGCTGCGCGACGGGAACACCAAGTATCTCGCCGGCACCTGCGCCTGCACCTCCTGTCGCCTGGGGAGCGGATTTCCCATTCAGACATGGGCCTTTATCCCCAAATCCAATCTGTGGAATACCGGCCGCTCGCCCCTCACTTTCACCCAGGGATCCATGCAGCGGTATAACAGCTCACCGGGTGTATACAGGGAATTCTGCAGTCGTTGCGGTGCCAATGCCTTCTGGCATTGCGATGAGCGGCCATCACTGATCGATGTGAGTGTGGGTTTGCTCCGTTCGCGGAACGTCCGTGCCGAGGAGTGGTTGGACTGGGCTACGGGGCGAGTCAGCTTTGCTGAGATGGGAGTACAACAGGACCTGGTGCGGTTGTTGGAAGATGGACTGAAGAAATATGGAGAGTCGAAGAAGTAGCTAGTTAGCTAGTAGTGTTTATAAACAGGATGCGCCTCCGTCCTCATTGTCGTTCCGGTTAGCTTTTCCCTCGCGACTCGAGGGATGGTAATATGAGCGCTGTCGGAACAGTAGCTGGAGTGCATCACGACAAGAGCTTCATCGGCCAGGAAATGGTGCAGAGTCTCGATATATTCTTGCAAAAGACCCGCGCTTCTATTGGAGCTGATTGTGGAGTCTTCGATGATTTGCGATTGATACCGGATATAAAAAGCATGGCGTGTGAAGGAAGAGAGAACAAGTTCATCCAAGGAGGAACTAAACACAAAAAAGGCGGACACCGCCTTCCCGATCGGGCCCTTCCCTAAAATTTCCTGCGCATCCACTCCGGCATCTTTCTTTGCTTTCCTTTCTGTTTGTAGCTCTTGTTTGTCGCCCTCGACGATGCCGCCATTCGAGTTTCGAGGCAACGGCAGAGGCCCCGACCGTCGGTCACATCCCAGACAGAATTTCACCTTCCGCTACCCACGCCCTCACATTTCCGAACGCCCGTTGTTATCGTCCCAACCAGGGTCCATCAGCGAACAGTTTGTCGGAGAGCAGGAGAAGCAAGCACCCAAATTCACATCATGGGAGGACCTGAGTGACAGCGAAGAGGCAGAAATGGACCTGTCCACCGACGAAGACGCGGAGGAAACATCGCGGCCTCGCAAGAAGCTCGCTCTCGGTCTCGACGGTGCTGAATCCCCTGTGCCTGCACCGCCTGCACCCAAATGGTCGAATCCGGACCCGTACACGGCCTTGCCGCCTCCTGACGAGAGTCGAGAGAAGAGGGTGGATGTGGTCAAGTTGATTCGCAAGGCGAAAATCGCTGCCAGCGCGACCAAACCCGATGTCACCAACGAGGTGACCACGAACCAGGACTTCATCTCTTTCGGTGCCATGGGCATTGATGACGAGCCGCCAAACAATGCTCCAGAGAACGCGCCAAGGGGGCCTAAGGGGATGGATATGAGAGAGTCCGCGTTGGCGGGTCGGAAACGCACCCGCGACGACGAGGTCAAGGGCTACTCTAAAAAGACTGGGAAACCCGCGAGCAAATTCTACTATGACGCCTCCATACTAGACCAGTGGAGGGCACTGCCTCAGCAGACCCCTGTGCCCTGGATGGAGCACACGGCTCCTGCGATGAATATGGGGACAAGGTGAGTTCCGTCCACACACTAGCTGAACAAGTCTAATATTTCCGTTAGATTGCACAACGAAATTATCAGCTTTTACCACTGGGCCAAACCGCAAAAATTTGAGCAGATTGTTCGCGCAGACCTGATCGCGCGGCTTCAAAGTGCATTCCAAAACAGATACCGCGGTGTACAAATCCGAGCATTCGGGTCGTTTGCTTCGGGACTGTACTTGCCCACGGCAGATGTTGATCTTGTCCTTCTGTCGACCTCCTTCATGAGCAGTGGACGAAAGACTTTCGGCGAGAGAAAAGGGCAGATTTACGCATTTTCAGGCTTCCTGAAGAACCTGAACATCGTGGTCCCCAATTCGATTGAGGTCATTGCGCATGCTCGAGTGCCGATTCTCAAGTTCGTGGACAAGCTGACTGGACTGCGGGTCGATTTGTCCTTTGACAATGATAGCGGTCTGGTTGCGAACGAAACCTTTCAGATGTGGAAAGCCGAGTATCCGGTGATGCCCGTGGTGATCTCGATTGTCAAGCAGTTCTTGCTGCTTCGCGGTCTCAATGAAGTGCCGACGGGCGGTTTGGGAGGGTTCTCCATCACCTGTCTGGTTGTCAGTCTCCTTCAGCATATGCCGCACGGCCATGTCCAGCAAAACCTTGGCAATATCCTGATGGACTTTTTCAATTTCTACGGGAATATTTTCAATTATGAGCGGATGGGTATCAGCATGAACCCACCCGGCTACTTCAACAAGCGTGTTTTTCAAGACAAAAACGATCGCCTGACAATCGAGGACCCCAACAACCGGGACAATGATATCTCAGGTGGGACCAAAGAGATTGCCTTGATCTTGCGGGCCTTCTCGAAAGCACACGACGTCATGAAAAACGCGATGATTGACATGTCCATGACTGGTGCATCCCACACAAGCATCTTGCAATACATTATCGGGGCAAACTACGACGAGTACACGGAACAGCGATTCCAGCTGCGTCAAGTCTTCGAAACATGTGACCGGTTTGACCATCATCGGTCCCCGCCCCCGCCACCTCCGGGCCTCCCTCCTCCTGATAGGGAGGCTCCTCCCCCTCCACCAGAGCCTTCTCAAAGACCGTCTGCTGATAAAAGCGTCCCGAATGGACCGAAGGCAAAACAAACCAATCAGCAGAAACAAGGTGTGCAAAATGGTGCTGGTAAACAGGCTCCTGTCAAGGTCACTCCCTCAGCGCCAACACCAGCGCCACAGACGAAGCTACCCTCGAAGGGGAAACAAAGTAGTGAACAGAAACAGGGTGCTCAGAATGGTGCTGGTAAACAGGCTCCTGTCAAGGTCGCTCCTTCAGCACCTGCACCAGCGCCAAAAATGAAGCCTTCCAAGCCATCCAACCAGCAAAAGCAAACCATCCAGACGAATGGTGCTCCTGACCCAGCCCCAGCCCCCGCTTCAAAAGAAACATCTTCAGCGGAAGCGGAGAGTGGCTCTGAGCAGGATCCCTCTGCCCTCCCGATGACAGCGAAAGCCAAAGCGACTTATCGCAGAAACGTGAAATGTCAGGAGCGTGCCGATCGGCTGCGACGTCTGCGACCAGATCTGAAGGTCAGGGCCAGTGTCAGTCTCAGACAGGCCCGTCTTCTTGCTGGGTACAAAGACAACAAGGAGATGGAGATGGACCTAGACGAACGGGAGAAACAGATGGCTCCTGCGCCGAGCTCTGCATGAGCCCGAGTCTGCTGGTCGATTGTTATGCCCTGTCACGAGTTTCCTTTCTTTCTTGATCGTATGTTAGTATTTGGTCACTTGTGTCCGATGATACCCTTTTTTCCCGTGGACAAAACGAGGAGTCCATAGATTTGATTGTTTCTGTTTTTTCTCATGTGTGGGCTTCCGCCTCATCAGGAGGAGGAGAAGCTAGGCGGAGCTGGAACGGGGGATGTGTTTTGATAGCTGCTGTGATCTTGTGATACTCACTTTCTAGGATCGTTTCCTGTCGCTGCAGACACAAACTTGACATCTTCCGACATCACAATGAGGTCTTGGTCGACAATTCCGAACACGACCGTGAGCAGAAGATCTACATGAGAAGCTGAAACGACGAACCGGGCACGCGCTGAGTCTTGCAAGATGACAGTCGGTGATATCCCCCTGTTCGTCAGATTGATGTCCCCTCTTCTAGGGACCCGAGCTAGTTCTTCAATGCAACAGGCCTAACGGCCGGTTTTACCGCCGGGCTGGCGGTCTTTACTGCTGCTCTTCCTTCCCTGTGCTTCCCCTTCCACTTCCATTCCTCCTTTCTCACCGAGCAATGCGCTATATGCGCGTTCTTGGAGAGGATCGTGAAGCAATGGGTTGGGGTTTGTGTTGGCTGGAATAAGATCAGTCGTTCAATCGCTCAACAGGTAAGGTATGAATCGATCTGTTCATCGCATTAGGTCTATAAACTTCCACACGTAACATGGGCACGGGCAATATATATATGAGGCGCCCTATATACAGTCCCCACTACCAACAAACTGTCATATAGACAAGGTCCATCGTCTATTCAAATTGCTTTTCCACATCCAAGGGCGGCGTGAGCATCCGATCCGGCCCACCAGGGGTATACGCATCTTCCTCCGTCTTCCCCATATCTATTGCTAGTTGCTGCAAAGTAGCAATATGCTCCTCAGGCAACAAATTCACAAAGTCCGCCGGCGGACTCGCCCATACATAATCAATCCACTCCTCACCGAGTACACTGCGGATCTCACGAGCCAACCCCAGGATCTGAGCGCAGCGCGTGGAAGACCAAGCGCGATCGGTGATGAGGCCTTCAGAGGGCGTAAGGATGCTGGAGGCATGTTCGGCAGACGAAGGAACGGGCCCCTTGGCGTTCGTTTCGTTATTGGGAGTTCTGCGGTTGGCAGCAAGCGCCTCGGATTGAAGCGTGTCGAGGTCCACCAGCTCGTCGTCGTCGTCCCAGTTCTCCAGCCCGTGGAGGATACTGTGCCAGACTCGAAGCGTCTCGTCCAGCTCGGCGACATTGCTCACCCCCATCACGCTGACGCCTAGTCTGCGGCCCGTGCCGATGTTGGCGACGGACAAGAATCCCGGGTCTGCGTCGGCCGCGCGAGCGAGTGGTGCTCCCAGTGCGCCTGCCTTGGCTCCAGCGCGGAGCCAGGACTCGAGAGCGAAGCGAATCGCAACGACCTCCAGTTTCTCGCCGTGGTCTGCCGCGCAGTCCGACGCACATTGGATCGCGCGACGCAGCGGATCCGGCGCGGGGTGGAAGTCGCCCATCGACCCGATAGGCACGCCGTCGCGGCGCAGCAGGCCCATGCCCAGCGGCGAGGCATTCGGGACCACATCCACACCCGCAGCGAGGAGCCGCGGCAGCGCAGCGGATTGCAGCCGGGTATTCTGCAGTGTGAAATTGGCATAACTCATCACCGCATCCAGGGGCTCGCCCGTCTCCCGCAGCACCATCTCCGCGAGCTCACTCAGCCTCTCCACGGGATAACCCGAGATCCCAATATAGCGCACAACACCACCTTCCTCATCTCGCAACCTTCTTAACTCCCGCACTGCGCCCAGCACGTCGGCGGGAGGCACAAACTCCACATCGTGACAATACACCACATCCAGATAAGTCGTATGCAGCCGCTTCAAACTGCGCCGCACGGAGTGTCGGATCCAATTCGGCGAGTAATCAAACGCCGACGCAGCAACGCGACCTACCTTCGTGAGGAGTCGGTATGTGTCTCGCGGGTAGTGGCGCTGGACATGTTCTGTTGCGAGCGCGCGGCCGAGCAGCTCTTCGGCGGGGCCGTAGTAGGGGGAAGTGTCGAAGGCGCGGATACCGCAGGCTAGCGCCCGCTGCACTAGTTCTGTCGTTGGGAGGGTGTATGGGTCGGCGTTATATTGGGAGTTGAAGGTTGCGGTACCCATTATCAGCGGTGGGAGGTCCGCTGATAGCGGGGTGGTGGAGGGTCGCATTGGGGGTGGTCCAAGAGGGAGTGTATATGCCGGGAGGATAGGAGAGTTATTTGGTGTCCAAGAGGACTGGTAGGATTGTAGAAAGAGAGACAATGACAGCTCGGTTGACAGCTCGGTTGCCAGAGCAGGGAACAGGTTTCTTATCAATCAGTCGGGCGAAAAACTCAACGAAATCCTCCGGCTCCGCTCCGGATGGCGCCATGGCGGGGGCCGATGAGGGACATGTTCGCGATGCTATGGGACGGTCGGGATGCGGCCATTGTTGTCTTTGGTCGGACAGCGTATAGTTAATTGTCGACTGAAATTTATCTCGGCGATGATGCGTTTGGTGCTGCGGTTCCTGGATGCGACCAAGCGGTGGCAAAAAAGGAACCAAAAAAAGGTTGGTCGATCGCTACAGAGAAAAAAAAAATAAAAAATGAAGACATGATACATCTTGATGCAAAGTATACAGCTATATAGTACATGGTACATAGGTTTGATCCTTCTGGCACAGGATAGGATGGAGTGGAGAGACAAGGGGGATGATCGTTTGGTGGTGTACAGAAACAGAGAGAAGAACGAGAAAGAAGAGAAGACCTCTGGTCTGAAGGGGTCAGATGAATCACCCCCGGTCTAGAAGGCCTCCCAGGTATGGCCCAACAACAACAAAAAACGCCATGCTATGCCGCGAAAATCGAGAGAGGAAAAGGGCGGGTCGATCGGAGGGGACACCGGAGTTGCTGGTCGGAGTCGGAGGTCGAGTTGATGTCGGGTCGTTGGCTCAGCGATCGAGGGAGAGATGGATAGAGACGATGGAAAGAGGGCGAGAGCCAGAGCGACCAAATTCACCCACCTCACCGATCCTTGTACACCTTCGGCTTCCAACCTTCCTTCAACTCTTTCTCCGCTGCAACCTTCCTCTCTGCCTCGCGCACCTCCATTTCCAGTCGCTCTCTGGCGCGCAAGATCTTGCTCTGCAGATAGAAACTGCCTCCCTTTTGCGGATCGTTGATATCGAAGAGCTTCTTGAAGCGCTCCATGACCTGTTCCAGGCCGGCCTCACTGGCGCCGCCGTTGGGTGGCTTGACGTTCAGGATCTTGCACGCCTCGTCAAGGGTCAGGCCCGAGGAGGTGAAGCTGCCGCCGCTCTTGCCCTTGTTCTGGGCGGCGTATTTGCCCGAGGCCTGGGCTTGTTTGTAGGCTTCGGCGAAGGCGCGGCCAAAGACGCGGGCGCCGGTGACGACGACTTGGGTGACGATGCGGTGGGCCTGGATATCGTGGGTGATTAGGGGTAAGCATTAATTAAGGGCAAGAGAGATACATACCATGACGCGGAGTGGACGGGCGGACGAGCACAGGGAGAAGCGCAGGTGGAGGTTGAGGCAAAGGGGAAAAATTCGGCGGCGGTCTGAGCTCGGGCCGTCGTTGATCAGCGGTGCGGTTCACTCTGTATGGGCCGCTGGGATCTATACAAAGCACTGGTATGATTATGATTTTATGATTCGTAGTAGTTGTAGTATTTTAATTGATTCTGACTCTGTTTATTGTTGTAACGATCTCTTTCCACCACCCTGTTACACAAATGTATAGGAAACGTAAACGCTGGGGTTCTCGTAATCCTCACAGGCCCATTCGCCCCAACTCGCATTTCGGGGACTTCCAGAAGTCAACCATGCACTGTGTGACCAACTCTTTTCATGGAATCTGAGAATCAAGAGACTTCGCCATCATATCACACCGAAGCAGAAGCGTCCAGCAATACTTGAGGTACTCGGCCAGCTCTTTTCGGTTAGACCGATGAAACGGATCGTGGGTCTTTTTGAGTCTGCGTTTCGGGTGATACTCGGCGAACTCCATGATCTTGCCCGCAAGTTCAATGGGAAGACCCTTCCGACACAGGATACTGCGAAAGCTTTGACAAAACAAACTGGGAAGATTGGAAACAGAGTGAGATTCTCAAGAGGGCTTGGATGTCAGACTCAGCACTGAGACAGCCACACGTCTCACCTCAAAAACATTGCCCAGAGCACCGCTAGAGCAAGTATCACATGCTAGACTATACTCGGTAATCAGTAAATAGCAAGAAGTGAAACAAAATGTATACAACATGGAGGGCATAGAGTGCCAGAAAAGTGGAGTTTCCTGATCGGTAATTGACGCCCGTGACTTAGCCCATTCTAAGTAAACCTATAAAACCCCTCGTACGATATAACGCATTCTAATCGATTACACTACTCCCTCTGGCAAACTAATCCCCCAAAATCTCTGCATTCGCTCACGAAATGTCTCATAGTATGAGCCCATTCGCAGCACTTTCATGTTAGCAAAGTCCACCAAGGTAGACGGCCGCCCAAAATCATGGCAGCGTTGCAGACCATAATCCACAATCAAATCTGCGGCCTCCTTGATCTCATGTTCAATGTCCTCCACACAATGTTTCTGTCCACTCCCGGTTATATTGGCACTAGACCCAACCATCGCCTGGCCTGCTGTGAAGTGTAGCCGGGCAATCTCTTGTGTCAGGGGCCCACCGCCGACGAAGATGCAAATAGTGTCATTTTTGGTGATGTTCGCGATCGTGTCTGGCGTAAAGTTTTGCACCATCGGATGGTTGTTTCGATATGGTGCTACTATTCCCAGTGGTATACCCAAGTCTTGGGTCAGAACATGTGTCATTTCAAATTTCCACTCATCGAGGATGTGTAGTTCACGATGGAGTTCATATGGGCCGATTAATGCTTGCGCATGGCCGGCTTGACGTTTTTTAGTTGCAAAAGCCTTCCCAACAGCTTCAGACGATGAAGAAGCAAGGCCGTACCCGAACTCTGAGGGAACGATCGCAACCCCACCGGCCTGAAGAGCCTGGAAGACGCGCTGTGCATCTGAATTGACATTAGGTAGTTGACCTGGGGCCGGGATAGTCTTGGCTTGGATGCTGGCCATGCTTAAGCATAAGAACAGAATGGCGTATAGCAGAAAAGTTGAGATAAATTGCCTGCGAAGGACAGAAATGGCTTCGTTCTGGTCAGCGTGTGCATGAATTTGCGCCCTTTCTCTTCACGTGGAATCATTATTCATCATGGGTCCTGTCCATGTTGGGTTAGGCGTACTGTAACGCCTTATTTGACGTTTGTATTGGGGGGAGAGGAGGCGTGGGCGTGGGCAATAACAGCCTACCTGGAGGCCTAAAAGGGCAAGGAGTGCGATTGGAAATGTTTGAGAAATTCTAAGTCTCCAAGTAGCCGGAACGAACACAAGGTGCGGGAATGCTAGGCGGTCTTGATTTAATTTGGTACTAATTAAGTATAAATATAGCATCGTAGGTGGGCAATGGAAGAGCGGGGGATTGTTCCGTACCCAATTTGGGGGTGCCAATCCTAAAGTTGATTCTTTCGTAGCTTGGGCAGGGGACCCTTAGAGCTGCATCCTGCATCGGAGTTAAGCGGCTTCGTCACGACCTCGAATGCGGGTTGCATGAGGTCGGGTTGCCTAAAATATGGGCCGAGTCTCCTCCATTCGAAGTTTCACACGGATTTCTGTGGGGTTGCTAAAATGAGGCGTATTACTAGTAAAGTTCCCAGGTAGTATATCAAGCATGACAATGATGAAAAGATGGTGTTCTGTTTAGCTATCCCGTTTGTATTTTTAGCAGAGAAGCGAGCAAACTTTACTTAACGAGATCCGTCTACATCGGGATATTGCGTTGCTGTCGAGCTTTAAAGATGCTAGTAGTTCAGTAGATCCTAACCCAAAGCACCCCATAGGTCCAAACATCCAAATATGAAGAGATTGCTTGCAATCCTCAAACATGCAGAAACAGAACACACAAAACACCCAAACAGGTCTATACAGTGATCGTCACCACCCAACAATTGCTCTCTAGGTCATATTCTTCACAATGGTATGACTTAGCTGAACTTGGTAGATCTTATTAAATGCAAAAACAATAACCTTGTCTCCTGCTAAAGCAAAATTCTGCAATGGCATTTTGTCGGAATCGACACCTTGTTTTCCTTGAATCGCCAACGCATTTATCATCCCGAGAACTTTGCCAGTCGGGCCGCGAACCACAATTCCGTCTTGCTCACCTGTCCAGACGCGGCCATTGTCATCAAGGTGTAGGCCATCGGGAATTCCGCGTTGCGCGATGCCGAATAAGCGCTTGTTGTGCGGGAAACCGTCATCATTGAGGTCGAAGACATAGATTGCCGAGCTGTCACTACCGTAGTAAAGCTCCATCGAAGATACCTGCTCGAACCCACTGCCTGGGATCGGTGTGCTCGGCGTGTCGGTCACATAAAGCTTGGTGCTATCTTTATTTACCCGGATGCCATTGGGAACGAGGATATCGGTGCGATCGATGACGGGAAGTAGGGTCTTCTCTGCGGGATCCCAGCGCCAGATGGCATCAGGGATAGTGGGATATTCGCCGTTGCTGAAGTAGTAGCTCAGTGGGTCATCTGTGAAGAACAACCATGATTTGTTGCATCTTTGGGCCCAGGTTAAATCATTTGGCCCGTTGAACCTCAGTCCAAAATAGCTATCCACCACCACCTGCGCCTCATGGGTGACTGGATCGATTTCGTAAATAGCCGGTGGAATAGTCATATTGCCGTCCCCGGCTATGTATAACTTCCCATTGAAGTACCCACCGCCGTTCGGATTGACAATTGAAATCCCGTTCGACGATACGTCAAATGGCTTGACTGTGTGGTTGTTCAAATCCAGGATGTAGGTGGAGCTGACATTGTCTATACCGGCTGAGGACATCCACACCTGGTTATGATCCCAAACCCAGATACCCATTTCATCTGCCACTGGCTTAAGGTCGGAACTATTGTATATAAGCTCCAGGGTAGCGTTGGCAGCGAGGAGATTGGCAAATTCGTCGTCGTATGCGATAAACGGCTTCCTCATTTGGGAGCTAGCCTCTTGGGCTGTACCATTGAAGAGCCCATCAGTTTGGAGGAAAGATTGGGAATAATTGCCTTTGAAGGTGGCAGGAAGGTTGTAGAGCGAGGTTGGCTCCAGAATTAGGATGTTTTGGTTTTCCGCGCCAGCTCCCAAGGCACTGGCTGCTAGGAATGAAAAGGCAAACGGCTGCAGTCTTCTTGTCAGACCGTGCATGTCGTCAATATTCTGTTGTCCTCCGGGTTACAGAAGTAATTTGGGGAACACGAGCTCTTGCCGGGGGACTACGGGGTCTTATACAACGACGTTAATGTACAAGCCACAGTTACTAGCTCCAAAAAGTCAATTACAAGTTTTTCTCTAATAATAAAACATATGTACGCGCATAGGAGAGATCATCCTAGCAAAATTAGTTGTCAAGTGCTCGTGTCCCATTCAGGCGTCCAGCCGCCGCAAAAACAAGCTTTTGCGGAATTGGGCATGCAGCGAGTGCGCCCCCGAGGTGGTTACGATGTCGGGGTTAGCTCGCCACTCTCTTTAGCCAATCGAAAATGCCACATTGCGCCCCCACTCAACCTCTTGCTCAGCCTAGAATGTGCATTCAGAACGATTCGAAATTTCGGGTTCCTTTCGTTCTATTTAATCCTTTTGCTATTGGGCTGAATGTGACTGTGACTCTGATGACCCTGCGCCATCAGTAGCTAAGCTCTTCGTAGTTTCGTAAGTATTCTTCCAACTGGATTGTTTTCCCTGTCTTCACATTTCAAGCCGATAACCTCACTTGACACACCATTCATATATTTTCCCAGCCTCCCTGAGTCATACGAAGAGATGACGAATCGCTAGGAGTCAGAACAGACACCCTCTTGCCAGAATTCTCTTCTATCGTGGCTTCTGATCCGATCCAGGTCTCTTCCACGGCTGCGGCGTTGTTTTGCATAGTCAAAGAAATTGCACAGGCCAGACGTGCATTGGGTCGGACCGGGGGCCCTGTATGTTTTGTGCTTGCTCTTTGATCTGCCGAATAAGGAAAATCGAACTCCTGTATAGCTGGAAGAGGATTGCTAGCCACATTGATCCCGGTCAAGAGTGTCCTGATCTCGTTCTGTATACGACGTACAGAAAATTCTTTATAATATCTGTAAGTCGAACCCTGCTTTATAGCGCCTCTGGTCACTGGTGCCCTCTCTCCCCATGTCGACCATCCATTGAACTTTATAGGATCCGATGTCGGACCTCCGTGGTTCAGTCTGAGGTTTAGAATTGCATGTGTGAGATATCCATCTTTTTCGATGTATGGCTCCTTAAAGACTTCTGCAAAGTTTGCCGTCTCTTTCCCTGGCTCAGATATTTTATCTAGTTCTTCTCTAGGAACTCGACCGATGATGTCTCCATAGTTGGTCCGAATCATGAACACGAAGCTCACGTCCCAGTTGTAATAAGCCAGCACGCTATCGGTAGGACATGCAGTGGTCTGCATGCTTCGAACCCGACCCGCACCCCCTTCAGACGAAGAATCCAATAGGAAGCGCTGGTAGGTTACGGGCACTCCTAGACGAGGGGCATCGACATAGGTGTCTCCAGAGCCGCTGAAAACAAAGTCATACAGTTCTCCTCTCAGAGACGGTGGTGGTGCTCGGGGCTCAAGAACAGCAGCGGCGGAGCTAGTAGTCGAAAGATGCAGATGAAAGAGCAGATAATATAAGAACAAAAGTGCGGACCAAGCCATCGTGAAGTTTGAAGATCGGAGGAACTAGCAAAAACCAGGTGCTCTGCGCGGACCATGCTCTATTTATGACTGTAAAGCTAGGCGCGGCCAAGGGAGCTAAATTACGGTAGGGCACTGAAGGATCGGGATTCTCTGTCGCGGGCCAAAATTTGCACATTTCCTTGCATTAGTTATCTTTATTAGATCCCGCCCCTTAAAGTGTAGTGCCCCATAGAGTTATCCAACATAGCCTGATTGACCGCTAGCTTATTAGCTCAAATACTTGATTCAGGCGATTGAGACTTTTCCACTTGCCATGAAAAAAAATCCACATACAATAATGATACCAGGTTATGGAGTGTGAAAGTTATACAAAGAGTCAAATACCTCGACGCCGCATCGATTGCAAGGAGGAGAAATTCTATCCACGGGTCAGGGTACGATCATTCATCGAAATAACCATTCTGCCGATGCCGGTGCTACGTAATGCTAGTCCCGCGGAGAACAGCCTATTTAACGCGAGGATCTTTCCCTGAACCCCGCATTTCCATTATTCAGTCGATACCTTCAGCCCTTAGTCTTCGACTTCAAATTCTCAAGCAATGGAAAGGCCAAGTCTATTCAAAGTGCCACCTGGTGCTGTTGCCCATGTCAAAATTATTGACACAACATCAAAAATCAACAACTTGGAGGCTAAATATCTTATGGAACCTCCGATTCCAGGTTTCAAGCATTTCCCCGAGTTGCCATCTTGGTCCTTTCTGATTGAGAGTGGCACTGGTTGCAAATCCCTCTTTGATCTCGGAGTTCCCAAAGACTGGCGGAAAATGGCTCCCGCCAGTATTGAACATATTGGTCCGCTAGGGTGGCAGGTGGAGGTTGACCACGATGTTTCCGAAATTCTGCAGCAGAATGATTATAAACTCGATTCGATTGATAGCATTATTTGGAGGTGAGCATTTTACACTTCGGTCTTTGCCAGGAGCTATGAATCCGCAAATTCTAACCCCATTAGCCATTGGCATTGGGATCATATAGGTGATCCGTCGACTTTTCTCGTATCCACCGAACTGGTGGTAGGACCAGGATTCAAGAACAACTTCATGCCCGGGTACCCTACAAAATCAGATGCACTGCTGCGGGATAGCTATTTTCGGTGAGTTACATGAAAAGCGTTTGTTGGTTTGCAGAGATTCATAATTTGAATAGCGATCGAGAAGTAAGGGAAATTGATTTTGAAAACGGCCAAGGCTTGCAAATTGGTGACTTCAAAGCAATCGATTTCTGGGGAGACGGTTCTTTCTACCTCCTTGATACTCCAGGTCATGCTATCGGGCATTTATGTGGCTTGGTTAGAACCACGTCGAACCCGGATACATTTATATTCATGGGAGGAGATCTTTGCCATCACGGTGCCGAGATACGGCCCTCGGAGTATGTCCAGATACCTAAAGATCTAACGCCGAATCCTTTTACACGAGCATTACAGCCACCTTGCCCTGGTGCAGCTTTTGAAAAAGTCCAAAGAGCAAGAGGAATGGGTTTGACAGAACCATTCTGCAACCCAGCGACGGCGTTTGATCTTCCAGAGGCCATTCAATCAATTCGAAAAGCCCAGAAAGCAGACGCAGAAGATAACGTTCTTTTTATTTATGCACACGACACCACAGTGCGAGGGGTTATGGAGTTGTTTCCCAAGAAGGCAAATGATTGGCAGAATCGAGGTTGCCGGGAAAAGATGTTTTGGGCCTTTCTTGGAGATTTTGAAGAAGCGTTCCGCCAACAGTCCTAGTTACATGCAGTGATCCTACACTAGGACGAGTTTCAAATTGCTCTCGGAGGGTACAACTAGTAGTCATGGTTACTATCGGTAGCTTACTTTGTAATTTCTAGGCGATGACATAGACGGGCCGAGCAGCCCAGCAGTCACATGCCCCCCCGCGGATCTGCCGAACGCCCATTCTTCGGTATAAGAACACTCGACTCTCTGCTGCCAGCGGGAGCAACTGCGACTGATGCCTCGGTCATGATAGTTGTTGGATGGCAGCGCTCGGTGTGTATTGGTTCTGGAGTCTGATTATCATCGCTAACTGAGTGCCTTCCTGCCAGAAGATCTCCCGTGGATAGATTCCATGGCCGCCCCAAACCTCCCCCAGGATGGCCAGTCGGACTCCCAGCCGCCGACCGTCGCTGCCTTCTCGCCATCCACCATCACAGGCTCGGCCTTGACATCGCGACAGCGCTCCAGTGTTATCGTGCATCGCAAATCCCCACTGCTGGTAGCCACGCCGCCACCCATCACCCGCGCTCTTGCCTACTCCCATCCATTCCTCCTACCCTTGAACAAACTTGTCGGCCTCCTCACATGGACGAGTGGGGACCCGTGGCAGGGCTTTTTGCTCGTTGCTTGCTTTTGGACGGTAGTGCTGTATAGCGATGCCATCATTCTCTGGGCGGGGCCGATCTTGGTCGTCCTCGGGTTGATCCTAGGCATGTACACGCGCCGCTACTCGCCCTTATCCTCGACTGCGGCAACGGGTGAAAAACACCACAAACGTACGAACTCTTCGGAAAATGGCACGCGCCACCACAAAAGCTTGGACGAGATCGTCGAGACCTTGCGCACATTTACCATCAGGTGCAATATCCTGTTGGAGCCTCTACTCGACCTCACCGACTTCCTCTCCACCCAACGCACGGCGACGTCAGCGACTACAAAGCCGGCACTCACAGCTCTCTTCCTACGAATCCTTCTCATTACTCCGATCTGGGTCATACTGACTCTTCCGCCATTCTACATAATCACCACCCGTCGCGTCGTCATGACTGTCGGTACCCTCATCCTCACCTATCATTCCCGGCCTGCGCGCGTATCGCGCGTTATTCTCTGGCGCTCGCGGGCTGTGCGGCGCATCGTCGCTATGCTCACAGGACTTTCCGTCGCAGACAGTCCGGACAATTCCCAAAAAGCTCAGGCGCAGGGTCTAGGCCTCAACATCGCGACTCGTCGACGGGGAGGCGCAGACGGAGTGCGATTTACTTTCATTGTGTACGAGAACCAGCGGCGCTGGCTGGGGATTGGGTGGACATATTCCCTGTTCCCGGCGGAGCGTGCAGCCTGGACCGACGAGCATCTGAACGCGGTCTCTCCGAAAGATAAGTTTGAGTTACCGGATGTTCCAACCGGAGACTCGAAATGGCAATGGGTGGAGGGCAGCGAGTGGCGCGTTGAGGGGAAAGATGGTTCACCGAGCAGGAAATCAGATTCCAAGTCCCTCAGTGAGGGATGGATTTACTCTGATAACAAGGTAAACCTCCCTTTTTGCTATTCAAGATAATGCTGATCAGCTATTCAGTGGAACGACGGCCGCCGCGGTCAAGACGGATGGGACCGGTATACAAGGCGGCGGAAGTGGTACCGCGACGCAGAACTTGTCGAAACCGGACTCGAAGAAAGCACCAACAACTCCGGGGAAACAGTTTCCAGCCTCACACAGGCGTTGGAACGCGAACCGAAAAAGGATTCTCAGCAAACGGAAGCCGACCCCGATGCCGATGCGAAGAGCATCGCCCCTTCGACCGCCTCCACGAAATCTCGTCGACGGCGCTGGTTCGGGAGTACCAAGCAAGATCGGGCCAGCAATGGCGGCGAGTCCTCATTTGACGTGGCTCGCACTACGGGATCAAATGTTGCTACTCCCGAGCACACTCCCTCACGACCAGTTAGTATTCCGAATTCTCGCAAGTCGTCCCAGCTTGGTGTCGGTGGAACGAGCTCTGGAAGCGGCAAAAACAGCAGTGTGGTAACGAGTGATAGTGCTAGCATACGAGAGAAGGAAATGGCGAAGGTGCAGGACCAGCATGATCAGTGGGGGTCGCGTGCAGCAGGTGGCACGGAGAGAGCGGAGAGGGAGTGGGGGTTGAGCGATGATTTGAATATGGCATTGAGCTGAGGCTTTCCCTCGCTTTCCCTCAATAATTGGATGTGCATAAAATAGCTCGACCTTGTTATCTCCATCATGGTACGGGATGAATTGGCTAACAAGGACCATTTATATTTCCCGCAATCTCTTAGGAGACAGGTCTACAAGTCCCTTCTTTCTGATGATACCGTATTTCATCAGTCCAATAGGAAAGTTATCAACCCCGATCATCTGACCGCAATCCAGGCCCGAGTGTGGACTTCCACGGCAGTCCTACCGGGCCGACTTACTTGAATTAGGGCTTCGATCCAGACAGCCAGTCACATGAGCGGAGCAGGCTCAAGTATATAGTGAACAACATAAGCCCAAACTCTCACGATAAGAAAGTAAAGAAGTAAAAAAGTGAGCCCGGAAAAGAAAACAGACCACCAAAAATGGAACAATACGACGTGGCAGTAATCGGCCTCGGCGTCCTAGGCAGCGCAGCCGCCTACCACGCCGCCCAAAAAGGCGCCAAAGTACTCGGCCTCGAGCAATTCGAACTGGGACATACGCGCGGCGCCTCACACGACACGTCACGAATCGTGCGGACATCCAACTTCCTTCCGGAATACGTGTCTCTCGCCAAATCGGCTTACAAGGACTGGGCCGCGCTAGAGAAAGCCGTCGACCAGCACCTGCTCAGCATCACTGGCGGTGTTGTCTTCTTCCCTGATGAAGAAGGGGCTAGCATGAACGCTGCCGATTTCACAAGTAGTCTCGATGCAAATGATGTGCCCTATGAACTGCTCGATGCCGCACAGGTTAAAACCCGCTGGCCGCAGTTTGATATCGCTGACTCGGTGAAGACGGTGTACACAGCCGACACGGGGATCGTGCATGCGTCCAAGGTTGTCACTGCGATGCAGTATGTTGCTCGTGGGCATGGCGCAGTTCTTAAAGACCGGACGCCCGTTGAGCGTGTCACGCCTCATCCCTCGGGGAAGGGAGTGATCATCTCAACAGCCACGGGCCAGGAATTCCACGCTGCAAAAGCAATCCTCACGACAGACGCTTGGACGAACACGCTCCTCGCACCGCTGGGCGTGCACATCCCTCTCTCTGTTATGCAGGAACAGATCACATATTTCAAGCCGACGGACGTATCTTCCTTTGAGTCCTCCAAGTTCCCCGTCTGGATCTGGGGCGGACGAGAATGCTACTACGGCTTCCCCTGCTACGGCGAAACGACCATTAAGGCAGGGCGCGATGTCGCGAACAACTTTATGACGCCCGCTGAGCGCACGTTTGTGCACTCGCCGCGGTTATTGGGCGAGTTGTGCTCCTTTATGGATAGCACTATGCCTGATAGTGGGCGCGAGGCGCTCAGGACCGTAACGTGTCAGTATACCATCACCCCGGATCGGCAATTTATCATTAGTCCGTTGGAGACTTGTAAGGATGTGATTTTGGGGTTGGGCGCGGCGCATGCTTTCAAATTCGCGCCGGCTTTTGGGAGAGTGCTTGCTGAGCTGGCGATTGATGGAGTGACGAAGGAGGATATTTCTACGTTCGGGATTCCTAAGAGTGCGACTTGTACTAGCAAGTTGTGATTATGATGATTGGAGTACAGATGATGTGCTTGGCAAGTAGCTTTCAGCAAATACGGCAAGATCACTTTATGAGAAATGAATTGAGTTCATAGAACTGGGCGCCTCGTAGATGGCCTCGTAGATGGTCACGATGCGGCTATATATACCACGACATAAAATTTACAAAATTACAGATAGATGGGCATATATCATGCCAGAATCAACTCCCACCCGAGTTCTTCAAGGACATCCAACCAATGCACATGCTTGCTTACCCCATCCGGGTTCTCTGCATCCCTTCTCATCCACAAGGAAGCAAGTAAGTCCTTGGCACGGCGCACATTACCAATGCCAAAGTTATTTTGCAGTTTATCAAGCGACAGCGTGACAAGTTCGCGCTGTGCTGCTGTGGTGCTTTCGCAGCCTGCGATGAATAGCGGGAATGTCAGAGCCGAGTACTCGCAGTGGTGGTCGAGATGCAGCGATTCCACGCGGGAAAGGCAGCGGTGCACGGCAGTGGATTTCGGGGTGGATATGAGGGTGCTTAGTTGGGTAGGAATATGAGAGGGTGTAGTAGTACTGTCGTTGGACGCAACGTCATAAGAATCATTTTGTTGCATGATCATGCGCTCGAGGATCGAGTGCAGATGGATGAAGGCTGCGTCGCGGAAGCATTCTGCGACGAGTTGGAGGCGGTTTAGGTTGGCCGCTGTTAGGCCCGGCGGGGTGATGCAACGCGCTGAAGCGTGGGACCAGTTTGTGAGGGTTTCATTACTGTGAAACTGTCACTATATATTCTCATAGGGTATGGGGGGTCACTCACATGGATGCAACGGCCAGTCGTAAGGCCAACATGTCATCTTTTAGAGATTGGAGCTGAGAGATCCGACCACAGGTCTTCAGAAGCTCCTCGGTGTATCCGATATAAATATCCAATCGGGGGATGCCAATATCATCGTCAACGGGCGAGACGTCTGCTGAAGTGATACGTTTTCGATTGGTTATCTGAGCCATGCTGTGGGCATAGACGAATCTGGAACCAATTAGTACCATGGCTGGGTTGAAGGGTCTCTCGCACTTACAATCCTCGCAAAAATTCAGCTGCCTCTCGATCCATCGAGGCAAACCCTCCACGGGAAACAAGCAAGCGCTGCAGAGCATCAAGGTGGACAGACCACTGTGTCACACTCCCGCGGACAACTTCGTACTTGCACAGTAGTCCCACCGCCAGCATGGCGTCGTCAGGAAGCAAATCTGTAGGCCTTTCCACGAGAGCTGTCCGAATGCCTCTGAGCGTTCCCCCGTAGAAATTGGCAGCAGCTGTTTGCGCACTAAGGCCTTGAGAGCGATTTGCAAGATGGAGCGCTGATACGGCGCACACAGCTTTCATCAGCAATGGAGACGATAGCGCGCGTGGGATCAGAATTGATCGCAGCGGATTTCCATCGCTCTCGAGATTGGCTAGAAGCCGTGAGCCCTCCTCCATGTGGTATTGCAGGTAGTGTGATTCATTTTCTGAGAGATGGCTGATATATCCATGAGGTCGAGGGGTCGTGGCTAATACATCGGAGTGGCGGTGATCCCCCATCTCCAGCATTGGGCTGACGATTTCAATCTCGGGATCTCCATTCAGATCCTGTGGTGATGACGGCACAGACCAGCCTGGCGGCGTTGCCGACCCGGGTGAGCGCTGCAGCTCTAGCCATGGGTCGACACAAGAGGTTGAGGGTGACGATGCACTGAGTCGCCGCCGCTTGGGGCCTTCTACCTTGAAGACTTGCGCAGATGGGCCAAGCGGCTCTACCCAAATAGAGCCATATCCCTCACATTGTCGGCCTTGCTTGAGGCAATTATTGCAGCTGGAGGATTGTCAGGGTTTGTCTTCTATCCAATATTTGCATCTGCATACCTCGGTTTCGCTTTATCGCAGCCCTTCCGACGTCGCTTGCATGTCAAACAGCCCGATCGAGTCCAGCCCGTGCTCGTTTGCCGACCCCTGCTCTTCTTCTGGGCTGATGCGGGCTGAGCTGCAGAAATGACGGGCGGTGGTTTGCGCACCAGTCCCGGATCGGAAAGCGCATCCATAGTGTAAAGCCCAGGATCGCTCACCTCCGCTGCATGCTGGAGAATAAGAAAAGGCACCGCAGGGATCCGCATAGCATAGAACGAGAAGAGTCATCCTACGCGAGTATAGACGATGGGAGGCGCTATCCCCGAATGGGCAATTCTTGCGCGAGTAGTCACGTGATGACATTTGACTATACCGTAGCAGAAGCGTATAGTATGGAGTGAGGGCGTGGATATACCTAGTCCAATCCTCAAATCAAGTTGTCGCTGACCATGTTTTCTATCTTCACAGATCCTTCGCTCCAACGAGTAAATCTCAGATCCACCCCACGGCCCAAACAGGCAAGTCCATCCCAGGCCCGCCTTATGTAACGCGCGCGATAAGAAGATGCGCCGATATTGAAATTCCCCACGCTTGGCTCCCTTTCCTCCCCCAGGTTCTTTATTAAAGCCGGTGTGGTGCCGTTCATTCCTTCTTCTTGTCTGTCATTCATTCACCATGTCTTCACCACACCATCCTTTCGACCCCATCACCCCGGACGAGATCAAGCTTGCCGGTCGTATTCTCGAGGCCACTTTCCCCGGAGTCCCATTGCGCTACAAGCGCATCGACGTGAACGAGCCGATCAAGAAGGATGTCCTGCCGTATATCGAAGCCGAGCGCCTGCGACGGCCCCTGCCTCCTCCACCAGCCCGTCTCCTCTACGTTCTTTTCCACCGTCTCGATACTGGCGCATTCTACAAGGCCATCCTCAATGCCGATCGACGGACCATTGTCTACGCCAAGGAACTCCCTCGGGAGGTGCAGGTATGTATACCGTCGGAAACAATATCCAATAAGCAGTGCTGATCGTTGTGTTTCTGTAGGGCCCCGTGGATACCGACGAAGTCATGGAAATCGAACAACTCTGCATGAAGCACCCCGCCGTGCTGGCCGAGATCGAGAAGTTGCAGCTACCCCCCGGCATGACCGTCTGCAATGACCCCTGGATGTACGGCACCGACAGTGAGCACGAAACCCGGCGCCTTTACCAATGCTTCATGTACATGGTCGAGGTCGACCACCCTCAGAATAACCACTACTCGTTGCCGTGCAAGTTCTCACCTGTTTTCGACTGTCTCACCCATGAATTGGTCCGCATGGATTATCTCCCTGGCGGTGCTGATTTTGAGACTACTACCACCCAGCCGTGGAAGCCCGTCAAGGCGATCCAGTATGCTCATGACTTGTTGGAGGAACCTCTCCGCACCGATCTCAAGCCCTACATTGTGCAGCAGCCTGAAGGTCCATCATACACAGTTGATGATAGATCTGTCTATTGGCAAAAGTGGCGCTTCAGGGTCGGGTTCAACATTCGAGAGGGGTTGATTCTTTACAACGTTACATACGACAATCGCAATATTTTCTACCGTCTTGCCGTTTCGGAAATGACAGTCCCGTATGGGGGTGAGTGGTGGCTACCTTTGCACTAAAGAGCTTATTATTGACCATCCTTGGCCAGATCCTCGTGCCCCCTACCATCGTAAGCAGGCCTTCGATGTGGGTGATACCGGATTCGGTGTCAATGCGAACCAACTCTCGTTAGGCTGTGACTGCTTGGGCCATATCAAATACTTTGATGGTTACCGCAATGATTCCAAGGGCAACGCCGTTTGCCTGAAGAACGTGGTCTGCATGCATGAACAAGACAATGGCCTGCAGTATAAGCACACCAATTACCGGTCTGGCGCCGCGACTGTGGTGCGCAACCGGCAGCTGGTCCTGCAGATGATCTGCACTGTTGCCAACTATGAATATATCTTTGCCTATATCTTCGACCAGGCGGGCAACATCGAGCTGGAAGTACGGGCCACCGGTATCCTGTCTACGGTCCCCTTCGATAATGAAAACGGACAGACCGTTCCCTGGGGTACCAACGTCGGTCCGGGAGTCATGGCACCCTTCCATCAGCACATGTTTTCATTCCGAATTGACCCCGCGATTGACGGGTTTAAGAACACCGTGTACTACGAAGATAGCGTCCCCATGCCAGAAGATGAGAACAACCCTTATCTGGTGGGGTACACTACCGAAGAGACGGTCATGAACAAATCTGGCTGGGCCAACACGAGCGTGGATCGTCATCGCGTCTTCAAGATCCGCAACGACTCGATCACCAACCCCGTCACTTACAAGCCTGTGGCATATAAGCTGCACGCAGCGCCTAGCCAAATGCTCCTGGTCAACAAGAACGCCCTTGGCTATAAGCGCGCCGAGTTCGCCACAAAGCCTATTTGGGTGACCAAGTACCAGGACGACGAGCTGTACGCAGCCGGCGAGTTCACCAACCAGAGCACCAAAGCGGAGGGTGTCGAGACCTGGATCCAACGCAAAGACAATACTGAGAACGATGACGTAGTGTTGTGGCATAGTAAGGTCCCCCATCTTTCATTGCTGGTGAATGCTGACTGATAATAAAAGCTTTCGGTCTTACACACAATCCTCGCGTGGAGGATTTCCCCGTCATGCCCATGGAACGCATCAGTGTCATGCTCCGGCCCGATGGGTTCTTCACCAAGAACCCGGCGCTGGACGTGCCACAGTCCTCCCAGGCATTTAATAAGTCGACGCTGCATCCGGAGCAAGCTCGTGGTGGTTGCTGCGCTCCGTCGACGGGGATGAGCAAGGCGCGGCTGTACAAGCGCATTGACTGAAAGCTGAATACCCTTGGTTATTATTAGTATATATTTGAATCTTAGCATCATACAGTGTACATACAATTCACATTGCATTCATATAACCTACTGACCGACACACAGCTATATATATAACGTTACTGCGTGTTTTCGCTATTCTCAGCTGCTCCAGGAAGACCTACTTTGGATACTACAACCCGTTGCTGATCGTTGGCGGCGCGACCTAATTGTGGGGTCTGTGCTTGGGAGATCCACAGCAGAGCTTAAAAGTGGATCGGGTATCGGACGTGTATACAGCGACTCCAAAGCAGGAATGCAGGAATTGACATTCCTAAAAGATCGTCAGAGGAGTCGGATTCGGGTCTCTTTGCAACAGCTGAATGCTAGTTAATAATAGATAAGATAAATCGATGTGTCGGGATTCCGATTCCTTTTTGGGCGTCAGGTCGTCACTCACGTGTACATCCCCCGCCTTTTTTGCCACAATCTTCGTTCATTGTTATCTTCATCACCATTACTGCGCAGACCTATGGCAGGGATTGAACGGGTCACGAAACGATCCCCGAATGCGTGAGTAGAGCACTATAGGGGAAATCATCTAGCTATGCCTGACAATGTCTTCCCGATTAGTTGTGTGCGATGCCGGAGACAAAAGATCAAGTGCTCCGGGTCGCAGCCGTGCAATGGATGCAGCAAACGCAACCTGTCCTGTATCTTTGATGATCCCGATCAAAAGATCTTGGTGAGAAGGGGGTGAGTTGGAGCGAGGCACACAAAACCCGCTACTAGGCTAGGCTAATAACTATTAACCCAGATATATTTTAGAGCTGCAGCACAAGATTGCGCTCATCGAACAAAATAAAATCCATGATATCCATGCCCATGGTTTGTTTCTTTCCATTTGCCAAAGTAACAACCGGTGCTGATGGATTGTAGATCCTAAGGACTGCGAAGATGTACCTGCACTGAGCAGAGTCAATCCACCCGATGATCATGATGATCCTCAGGAACTGACAGAGGCCTGTCTGATCAATCCGCTGTCCGGCCCCCCTGCTTTTATGTCTACGGCAAATGGGAGATTGGGTGCGTTGGTCTTCGCCTCAGTAACGCAGAAACGCGCAAGTCTGACAAACCCTTTAGTCTACCTAGGAACATCTTCGAACTGGTCATTCACTCGGCGTGTTCTTAGCATGGCACACGAACACATATACCAGGAGGCACTGCCTACAGAAACATTACTGTTTGACGGCACAACCTATGAAATCGGTTGGGATGGACTGCGAACCACCACAAGCCAGGATGTTCCCGTTATTCCAACTCATGATCACACATTATACCTGATCAACGCAGTCAAATTTCGCTGCGGACAATTGTATCACCTCTACAATGAGAGCGATTTTATGGACTCCCTGCGGCAATTTTATTTCGGGGATGGGCAGACAATGACAAATGGTTTGTGGTACATCCATTTCCTCCTCATTCTCGCTTTCGGAAAAGGATTTGTTCAACCCAAGATACAGGGGAAAAAGCCGCCAGGGATAGGCTATTTTGTGAAAGCGCTGCAGCTTTTGCCAGAACCGAATGCTCTTTGCCGGGATCCCATGGTGTCAACAGAAATCCTCTGCTGCATTGCCTTATATTATCAGTGCCTCGACTGCCGATCATCGGCACATAATTACGTATGGCCCCTCAAATATATCCCAATCTGATGAAATAAGCTGACTGAGAGCCACAGATTGGTCAGGCAATGCGGATGGCCATGGCCCAGGGAATGCACACTCGCATGCCAGTCGAATATTTGGGCGAGCATGTAGTCGAAAGGTGCCGAAAGATCTGGTGGACCGTCTATATTCTAGACCGGGAAATGACCTCCTTAATGGGTTTGCCACAATCTTTTTGTGACCGCTATGTGCAAGCCCCGCTGCCCACGTCCTCGGACTCTGCAGGCAAACCGACATCATTCGGCATGCATATTAAATTGTCCCAGATTATTGCCGATATTAATACAAGTACAAGCCAACCCCAACCATCCTTTGTGAATACTTTCTAATTGTACCGCAGCGGTCTACGCTGTTGACGGGCGGATCAATCGAACTTTCCTACTCAGCACCAAGACGGCATTAGCACATGTAGCCGGGCTTGCCGATGAGCTCCGCGAATCATTCCCGCTGCATCTGGACCGGACAATTAGCGGCGTTTCTCGAACATCGGCCTACCTGAATCTATTGTATCATCAGGTTCGTTCCTAGTCCCCAAGTATTCCCTGGCTTGAAACAGACGTCCGTGGCTGACTGTATGCCTCAACCATATCCAGTGTATTATTCTTGCGACCAGACCTCTTCTATTTTGTTTTTTGAAGATCAGATTTGAGTCCCCAGAAAGCTGCATAGAGTCACTCAATGCATCTCAGAACGTCCGGAACCTGATGCAAATGTGCTTGGAATCCGCTCAGCATATCCTCAACATCCTCAGCAGTCTCCAGGCGGAAGGTCTCCTTGGTAAAACACCCCAAAAAAAGCTTACATTAGATTCCGAGTCTGCTAACCACTGAAGGGGTCCTAGAAACTTTCATTCCATTTGATCTAGAATCAATATCTGTATCGACCGTGATCCTACTCATGGGACTAGCAGTCGATCCCCGCTTCCCGGAAAGCAATTCTATCTGGCTAGAGCGAGCTTACGCAATATTCGATGAGATGGTGAGAGACGGAAATCAAGTCGCCAATCTTCGACGCTCAGAACTCCAACAACTGGATGAGACCCTGCGCTGTATTTCTCAGGTCCAAGCTCAATCTTTGCCACCGCCAGCTTTCATTCAGCAGAACGGTGTTTTCCAAAATGAGCATTCGCCTGAGGCTACTTCCATAGAGGCATCTCTGACGGAGCCTCTTCACTGCAATTCCCCACTTAGACCGGATTCTTTGTTGGATGGGGAGTGTGATTTTGGGGCATCCTTGACTTCTGCTGGGATAATGGCCATGGCAGATTCGATTGAAAGTTACGAAACTGAGTGGGTGTCTAACGCTATGAGCGAACATAGTATTTGGTAGATTTGGCCGAGGAAGGTAACTTCAATGTAAACATGTCTCATTTTGCATTGCATTAAATGTTCTAAACGATAACAAGGAAGGTTGGGGAAGGCTAGAAATTAGGATGTTCAATATACTCTTTACCTCTGCGAGATATTCCTATATTCTTCAACACTCTGTCTAGCCTTGGATTAATTCACAATCTAGACGATCTCTTGGGTAAAACCTCAGAGATCTCCTTCGACTCCCCAACCCGCCAGCTCACGTCACCACCCCAGTTCGCTTTCCCATCGCTTGACCCGGATTGCTTCCACTGCCACCGTGTAACAGGCTGTTTCTCAGCTCTAAGAAGATCCAAAACCCAAGTCCCAAATATCGGGAACATCTTAAACCCGTGCCCTGAATCACCAGACAGCAAGATAACTGACGACGTCGTGCCGGGAACGTAATCTATAATGAAGTCCGAGTCATTGGTATCGGCAAACCAGCAAAGGCTCTTTCGCACGAGAGGCCGGTCGCTAATAGTCGGAAGGGTTTGTTCTAGCAGCCGCCTCATTTGCTTCTCGTCCTGCTCAGGTATGATTGCGCTCTCTTCTAGGGAGCTCGGCGCAAGCGATACGCCCGTCGCTGGGTTGGTGTTGATATACCCTCCTCCCATGGGGCAAAGCTTGAGCAAGTTAGTCTTTGGGTCTGGTTCAAAGAAGAACCCAAGGTCCCGGGCGTAGGTAACGGGGATTCCGCGCAGTGCTGAAGTCTCATCATCGGTAAGATGGACATGGGCGACGGACCAGGACTTAGCCACGACGTTCTTGCTAACTTCTGGAACCAGATGTCCAGCTGAACCACCCGCTGCGATGATTACGAGCGATGCAGGATGAAACTTCCCGTCTTTCGTCCGGATCCCCGAGCTTTTCTTTCCTTCCCGTGTACTAACATACACTACCTCAACCACAGATCCGTGTTCTCCTAGATAAAAACATACACCGGACTCTTGTACGGCCTGATATACAGCCGCAAGAGCATTGGCAGAGTGCGCGTAACCATCATACCGGTTCAGGTATCCATACCATCCAGGTAATGGACCCTCGAGCTGCCAGCATGCTTGACGAATATCAGTTTGGCCTTTGAGGGGAGTAACATGTGAGCGGATCTCAGCGTGTTCTTCTGCTGAAGCCTGGAATCTCTTCAGGGTATCGATTGCTTTCTGCGGTGCGTTCCCAGATACGCAGTGAAGGAATCCCGTCTGGTGAAAATGTGGCGCAAAGAGCGGGGTTTTCCAGGCCGCGATAGCTTTCTAATTCAGTTCAAGGACAGTGATTAGTATCAATTCAAGCATTTCGACTGGCCCGAAAGAGCGTCGTCGATTTAAACACGTACAATTGTCAAGTTTGTATAAAATGGGTCTTCATATTCCGCCCGCACAATCTTATTCAGGTCATTGGCAGCTGAGTACCGAGGAGGAATCCGGTCATCTTTATCAAAGACAGAGATATCCGTAAACCCATTGCGAATCAGGTGAAGAGCGGTCGAGAGGCCAAAGCATCCCCCGCCAACAATGATGATCGAGTCGGACTTGGAAATACCCATTTTCATTTGGTGCAGTCAACATGCGAGTACGTTAAACAACACCGTATCGACCTGATCATTTGATTATTATAGATAGAAATGCAAGTAGCCGTTTCACAAGCAGCGTAATGTCCCCCAATTAGGATAGCTCCGTATGACTCCTGGTACGGCTGCGTTGCCGATCGGTGGCGCGGGGATACGATAATGCATCGGGAGGATTGCCGATGTGGATCTATGTCTTATAACAAGCGGTCAAACAACGCAGCAGACCTTGAAAGTAGTATTTTTATGATAAGAAAATAGGAATATGGAAAATGAGCGGTAGGTAAGTAAGGTCATCTAAGTTTGGTGAACTTGGTTGTCGATCTGACGACTTCTCTCTACCTGGCCTTGGCCATTCTTATTACTATTAAATCAAGCTTCCTCTGCATACCGAACCCAAACGCTATGAGGAACCACATACAATGAGATAAATATTTTTAGCAAGCATTGGTCAATTGTTCCTATCCCCATATTATTACCGCTATCAGAACCTGTAGAGATGTGTTACGATAGAGGTAGAGGACATATGTCTTGAGCCATTGCCTCAACTATTCTTGCACATTGTGATGAAGTATTGAAATCAATTCGAACTAGACAAATATGAGAAACCGATGGTCGGTAAAGACATGAAAGAAGAAGTTGTATCTATACAATGCAATATCTCCTCACATTCAGGTAATTCCTGCACACTTTCAATGGTTGCTTGGGTATGTGTAACTAGGCTGAGGGAAGAATTCTTCCTTGATCATTCTAGGGCTAGTAAACCGGCGAAGAGCATCAGAGCTACCTGCCTTATCATTTGTTCCGCTCGAGCGTGCACCACCAAAGCTTTGCTGACCGATCAGCGCGGCGGTCGTCTTACAATCTAAAGGATTGCAGTTTTAGATTGGATAGAAAGGAATAAAGGAGATTATCAAACTTACTGATGTAGAAGTTGCCCGCCGAGTAACGGAGCGCATCCTCAGCTTGGCGAATGGCAGCACGATCCTGGGCGAAGACAGCACCTGTCAAAGCAAAGCCACCTCCAGATTGATCAATCTTCTTCAGAGTTGGAGACCATTCGGCATCCTTGTACACGTATACAGCAAGTACAGGGCCAAAGATCTCCTCGTTCAAGAGGCGGTGGTCTGGTGATTGGACTTGGTAGACGGTCGGATGCACGTAGTAACCAACCGAGTCATCATAAGTGCCACCAACAAGCAGTTTCAATGTCGAATCCTTATTACTGGAATCTATAACAGACTTAATCTTGTCGAATGATTTGCGGTGAATCACAGGGCCCATGAAAGCACCCAGATCTTTATCGGGGCTTCCAAGCGTGATGTCCTTGATGCCTGCCTTCAAGGCAGTAAGGAATTCTTCTGCTCGAGACTCAGGCAGGTAAACACGAGACGTAGCAGAACACTTCTGGCCCTGATATTCGAATGCCCCACGAATTGTATGATTGACGGCGCTGCTGATATCTGCGGAAGGATGGATAAGGTGGAAATTCTTCCCGCTGGTTTCGGCAACGACGCGTGGGAACTCGCGGTACGACTTATTCGCAACTCCCTGACCAATCTGGCCATAAAGAGATCGGAATACAGCAGAAGAGCCGATGAAATTTAGGCCAGCAAAATCGTGGTGCGAAAGCGCAACGTCAGTAATAGTTTCCGGGTCACCAGTCACGAATTGGATCACGTTCGGAGGCAGACCTGCTTCCAGTAGGATCTTATAAACCAAGTAACTGGCATACACATTGGATGGTGATGGTTTCCACAACACAACATTGCCCATCAGCGCCGGGCCTGATATCAGGTTACCACCAATTGCTGTGAAGTTGAAAGGTGAGATTGAGTAAACAAATCCCTCTAGCGGACGGTATTCAATACGACTGCAAAAGACATCAGTTTGAATCTTCAATGCTCATGCGTAAAAATCATATACTGACCTCCACATGCCATCACTACCACGTGTGGGCTGTCTCTCAAGAACTTCTGCCGCCAAATTGCAATTGAGTCGGAAGAAATCGGCTAATTCAGCTGCAGCATCAATCTCGGCCTGCCACATATTCTTTCCTTGTCCCAGCATTGTGGCCGCGATTATCTCATACCGATATTTGGTAGTCACCAGCTCGGCAGCCTTGAGAAATATTGAAGCTTTATCAACAAACGGGGTTTCTTCCCAGTCCTTTTTCGCGCCCAGAGCCAAGTCAATAGCAAGCCTGGTTTGTTCTGCCGTGGCCAGCGGGTAGTTTGTGAAAGTAACTGCATGTTCCGCGGGCATTGGTTGATCCCATGATTTGGAGCTATCTTGGGTCTTGCCATCGTAGATGATTTCACTCCGCACAGGAAGCTGAGAGCGAAGATTGACTAAGGCTTCTTCTAGTTTGGCCCTTTCCGGGGAGGTTTTCGCGTACGTAGGCTATGTGTAGGTATGATTAGTTTGACTGCCTTCCATATTTCCTGGCTATTACTTACATTTGGTTCGTTTCTAGGATCAGGGAGGCGGAACGGCATCGTAGCTTTGCCACGAATCTGGATTGACAAACCGCCCGGAATTGACCGTAGGTGCGGCCCAGCGGGTCGTGCCAGCCGCGACCTCAGCAGAATGGACGCTGCCATGGCAAATAGTGAAACTGTGCTTGGCTAACAACAGTTTTGTCTTTGGTAAGAAGTCAGAAGACGAAAAGCTGGTTTTAAGGCACTAAATATAAACCTCTCCGCAAGGATAGCTCCGTATCGGTGGGCCCACCGAGACTCCACCATCCACCCCCGAAAAGATTGTAGTAAAGTCACCGGAGCTATGAACATGCATTATCGGGATGATAGCCGATTATCATGTCAATAGAGAATGAGGCCTTCATTTCAGTATTGTAGATAAACAGCTGAATTTCTACATTACGCAAACAAGCTCGTTATCATGCACCGCGAATCTGAAGTGCGCAATGCTTACTGGAGCAATCCGCATATCCCACGACTCGCAGGCGACCTGGCTGCAGCAACAGCTTCAGCGATCTTAGTAACTCCAGCAGTAGCAATCATCGACAGGTAGGTCACTATATAATTATCGAGTGCGAGGCTGGCTGCGGGTGCTGATGATATATAGAGCAATCGTCGAGAAATCCTCCTTCAGCCAGCCCATTCTCCATGGCATGCGGCGGCATGCAGTTGCAGCACTTCGACAGCCGGCCTGTTTTGTCTTCCAAAGACCATTTGGCATCGTTTTCGCTCTCTACGCTGCCACTTACTCGGTCGCTAATATAACGGACACCCTCAGTGACAAATTTCAAGATGCCACGGCCAGAACTATTACATTTGCCACCACTATGATAGTTAATGTCCCGCTGGCATTGTGGAAGGACATCCAATTTGCGCAGGTATATGGCACCGGCAGAGGTTCCGATGCTAAGATACGTCACGATAAGGTCAATGCGGGGATAAGCAAAACACAACGGGGACCCGTTCCCTTCTACCAGAACCGGACAATTGCACGAGCCGCAGCGGCGATTTTTCTCATACGGGATGGAGTGACCATTTTTGGATCTTTCACCCTGGCACCCTGGTTATCGGCCGCCATTCCCAACAGCTTCATTACGCATCCCAACGCTAAGCCGATTATCACGCAGCTCACAGTGCCCGTGTTCACCCAGCTAGTAGCTACTCCGCTACATTTACTTGCTCTTGACATGTACATGCGGCAATATACTGTACCGTTTGTGGATAGAATTAAGCATTCGCAACAGCACCTGCTCTCGTCCACGATGTTGCGCTGCGTTCGCATTATTCCTGCTTTTGGAATCGGTTGTTTGACTAACTTAGAATTGCGCTCGTTTTTTCATGGGAGATTTAGAGTATAAGTGGATAATATTGTTGCCTTTATGGTGACATCTATTGTTAAACAGCCTTGTCAATAAATGAAAACCTGGCTGAAGATTTAATCGGTCTTACAAAACCATCTGGGCTCTTCAGCCACTCAAGTTATTGCAAAAACTTTGTCTTGTTTGAAATATGGCATGGTCATATATGGATTAACAAATATAATATTTGGAATATAAGGCAGAGGGAGTGACTGGAACAAAATGCAATATGTATTGCGCGGATTTCAATTCAGAGGCTATGCTCTAGGACGTTGGTGGAAAGGAAAAAGGCCTTGTCAGTCGGCGGAACATCTCGTTCTTTAATGCACGATACTCATTGTCCGTCCGTAGGACAGCATCACGATTCTCAATCGCTCGCCGCAAGAGATAGGCCAGGCACTCGCCCATGCGGCCCCATGTCGAGCACTTATAGACTTCAGGCATTTCACCACCCTCCTTCATTTGAAGAAGTGAAAAGCTAACTTCATCAGACATACCATGAAGCTGTGCGAATCGAATGGGGACTGTAGGCAAGCCCGATGCTACACGCTTCTGGTGTGTCTCGTAAGCTGCCACCATACTCTCCTTGTTATGGCCAGCTAGGAACAGATTCACCGAAGGGAAAGGGCGGCTACCGTTGACTCCAAAGTCTCCAATGCTTTGTTTCAATGCACCCTGGGCGAATGAATTATATGCGTTATCCGTATCTTCTTTCGTATCGTGAATCAAAGATCGTTCGTCCGAAGCCATATAAGCACCCCTCACTAGCTTCAGACCAAGTGTAAAACCTTCTTGTTGAGCGGCAGAGAGGTGACTCGCTAATGCGGAGGGCGTGCTCTTCAAGTAGGCTTGGTAGGTATTGTAAACAGAGGCATAACCGTCACAGTTGTACTTGCGCATTAGCTCCAAGGTCACGCGCGAGATGCCCCGTTGAAAATGCTGGGATTCGGCATCGACAAGCATTCGAACCTTCCGCTCTTTACATCTCTCGCATATTTCGTCCAAAGCGTCCAGCATTTGTTTTGGGGGCAATTCACCGGCGGCGAATGCCTCAGTGACTTTAACACCAGCCCCGGTCAACCTCAATAATAGTCAGATATCGTTCGCCAGATAGCGATCAGTCATTAACTCACTTAACTGCCAAGTAATCATCTTCCTCCATCATATCGACAGTCTTGAGCGTTCCCTCCCGCCAGGCCTCAATGCTAGCACAATGCAGGGCCCGAGAATCGGGACCCTCTCCCTTTTGCTCACTCTCCAAAGCAGAAATGCCCATTCCGTGCTGTTCTTGACTTTTATGATCAAACACGGTTTCTTTGGCGTATGTCATAATCACACCGCGAAATCCCATTTCCTTCAATTCTCGGATCGTAGCTTTAGTCTCAATGCTATTTTCTCCAGCACAAAATTGTTCATAGAACGTCTTCTTCAATATTCCATGAAGAATCGGATTCCGGTCCACATTAAATAGCCAAGGTCTGTTGGGTTTGGAGAGGACGGACATGAGCGAAAGAGCGGGGATGAGCAGGTACTTTTTCGACGAGATTGTAGCGACCAGTAAAGATCTGATGAGGACATGAGCTGGTAAAGACGAAAGAGGTGGAAGTAAGGTGCTGGGTGCAGCCTTCACCGAAATTGCTGAAGTCGAAATGAAGCGCAGCAACTGTAACTCTCTGGACAAGTTACTGTTGTGTAGGCTGGATCGTGCAAGTACAGTTAAAGGCTTTCCGGCGAACATGACACCCATTTTTTCGACCCGACCTTCACTCAATGCTGGATACTGCTTGTGTCGCTATCACATAAGGGGAGCTTACTTCTTATCAAACCATATATATGGTCTCTCTTCATAGTGGAACATCTCGGGCGCCTACCCGGCATCTTTACAACGAACAATTAGAACGGCTCGATTATGCAGGGATGATAAGCAGAGTGAGCTGTTACTTTTAATCCCCGCTTTACAATAAATTCTAAACTTGTCTATCCGTGGCTGTTCATGATAACGAAGATGGTGGATCGGGAACCCTTCCGTGAACTAACCCCAGAGCATATTCCGCAGATCACCGCACCGACGGAAGTTTGCCACTACTTTCATATTCCTTCTGGGACATTTAGCTAAATCTGGATAATAATAGCGGAGTCTCATGACAAGGTGGAGCCATACTATCTTGTGACGTCGCTCTTTATTTTGTTTTCTCTAAGCGATGCAGAAAAGTGTCACGCTGCAGTGAGTCGCATTGAGAGCAAGGGTCTAAGAGAAGAAGTAATAAATTATTAACAATTTATTGGAACTCATACACTAAAACAAGACTACCGTATGCTACTGCTTCGGCCTGCATTTATATTTATCACCGGTTTTAACCACTAGCTTGCAGTGCCGGACCCGCGGTTGATGGTAGAACCATGAATCTGAAACAGGCGAGAAAAGCAAGCAAATCATGTAGTAATTTTTTAACAGTAATTTGATGGACTGTAATCCCTGATACGGGTCAAGCTGGCGAAAGATGTTGGGTCGGCACGGTCTCCGATAGAACGACAAAGTCATATTTGCATCATTCGGGTCGGACGTGGCACCGTCACCGATCTTTAGCATCCATCCTTTTGAGGATGACAAGATAAGCTGATTATGTATATCGTCATACTGCCATAATAGAAATTTTGAATTTGCAAACCCAGTTTGCCAACGCTCCCTAATTCTCGCTTTCTGTCCAATGTGATAAAGACTACCATCATCTAAATTTTCTTTTTTCGAAATCTGCCAATCTATTCAATCTGATGCTAACGCTAATTGCAATTTGGAAAGCTACCATAATGTCATATAATTGCCCAAAAGCAAATGGACGTATTAGAGCCACATTGTTGCATAATTTAATCACCAAGCCAAAATCCCTTTCTGGATTCCGCAGCTGAGAGCTGCGCAGATCTCCTCATCCTTCTCACTCACTTGCGCGTTGCATGGTAACTTCGGTTTTGCCGGCCAAATCTCCCGTCCTTCGGATTTCTCGCGCTCAAAATGCTCTGTGATTACTTCACGTACTGTGGTCTGGAAAAATAGCGGCGCCTTTTCATATTTAGGGTGAAGTTGGCCGTTGGTAAAAACGTTCCGGTCGAGGTTCCTTTGTGTATTGTTGCAGAGAACCTTGTCTTCTCCCATAACGCGCGCATACATGTCGCTGATGAGCTTGAAATCAGTCTCAGAGGAATTCCTGTTTCGGTAGATCTCGTAGGCCATCTGGGAGCTGTTGGGGCTCTTGGGGAGGAATTTCTGGACCATTATAAAATGAGGCCTGTGTGTGTCAGAAAATCTTCCCATTTTCAAACATAGGTTGAAGAGGCAGGTCGAGGTGATACTTACGACGCAACCATGGCAGATATGGGAAAGTAGTAGGTACTAGCAGTATAAAGACCTTTCGCGATTTGCTCTGGTGTGGAAACGCAATGGTGTTGGATATGTCCGTCTTTCAAGTCGCTGTCGAAAGATTCAAGGTTTAGAAACTCAGGAATGTCGGCGTGAGTCGTAGGGCAGTGGTAGCATTCATTGAAATTATCGGCTAGAATCTTCCAGTTGTAGTGGCCCTCTAGCTCATAGGCGTGATCAAAGTCATAGTCGTCGAAATTGTAGGCATTGTACCGTTCTTGCTTGTCAACATCCTGGAAGTGCTCCTCCCATGACACTTCGGGAACTTCTTTCGCATCTAGATTAACCCAGATGAATCCATTGACATCGACCTTGACATGGATCCGGAAAAGGCCATTTTGCTCCTTGTCAAACCCATCCAGGTCTTGATATCCGGGAGCTTTGGCGAGTTTGCCATTCATTCCATAAGACCAGCCGTGGTATCGGCAGGCTAAGATTTTCGAATTCCCCGAACCTTGCTTTTCAATAACCGGGTACGCACGATGTCGGCATACGTTGTGAAACGCATTGACGTTGCCTTGTCGGTCACGGGTAATAATGAAATCGAACCCCGCAATCTCATAGCGGAGCCAGTCACCAGGTTCCTTTATCCGCAAGCTGTGGGTCATAAAGAGCCATCTTTTGGAAAATATGGCACGACGCTCCAACTCATACATCTCTGGTGAAGTATACCATGATGCGGGCAAAGCGCGCACGGGGGTGGCCTTGACTTCTTCTTTGGAAGAAGGAAGAACGGTGTTGCCGAAGCCAAAATAGTGCAGCATTGAAGTCGCCATGAAGATGATGTCACAAGAAGAAAGTCCAAGAGAAAATGTTCTAAAGCCCTAGTACATTGAAAGTTATCATGAACACCGCCCTTTATATCTTTCGTTAAACTTCTAATAATAACCCGGTACTCAGGTTTCTATTCCGATCAGGTGAGCAGCTCATTGTTCCAATTTGGCAATGCAACCCAAAATCGGCGGGTTGATTCGCCCAGATCAGACACCGGATCCCTTATCTTAAACCTACAGCACGGTATTAGAAGCCGACGAGATTTAGCGCCGTAATCGACAGGGGATAAAGTTATCAGTTGACCCGAACAATGCTCGGGTAGCATCCCGTTGCCTGTGTTTCCGCCACTCAGATTGGGGCTAGGCACTTCGCTATCTAGATTCCTGCCAATAATCCTTCGCATCCTGGATTAAGCAACGACTGCATGACTCCTAGACCCACATTCCCCGCCATGTCAAGAGCCCCATTTTTCGGCTTTGATACCGGTGGGGGCGGGGGAATTCGGCATTCCCGAACTAAAGAGATAATGGTCATACGAATCATCTGAGTCAATCGGCCACCTTTCCTATTACATGTGATTGTTGTATCCATATATTCATTGCCTGACTCAGTCCTCTGTCGCATCCGATCCATGTCTATTGACCTTGAACGATTGTCTCCGGGGGTTGGATCACCGGAAAGCAATTTAACATATGTGGTCCTATCTCATTCCTATCTCATTGGAAAAGTATAAGCAGTTGTCACAATCGCAGTAGATATAGAGCAGTTGACCAGTAAGGGGCGATATGACAGTAGGTCAACCGCGGTGGCTTGTACTAGCATCACCGTACATCTCCAGTGTAGAACTCTAATCATTCTTTAAGGTCAGAATTTGGGGTTCGGCATTAAGCCTTGAGTTCAACTGGTGCTCACTGCGTGATCTAATGGGGGACGAACGCAGTGAGTGGTAAGAAGATGGATTGGTGGTTGATGATAACCCAAGAAACCCCAAATCATTTTTCAGGATGCTCGCAGTTAACCAACTAGGGATTTAGTGAATGGCTTTAGAGTGATCTAAATTAGGGGGTGCTTCGTTAGGCTGGACAACAGCGAAGTACAATGCTGATTTGGAGACGGCACACCGGGCTCATAACTATGGAAGTGGGAAATGAGGCGTATTGCTAGCAAAAAAAAAAGCTCTTCCTATAAAAAATGCCGACCAGGTTGTAAAATCGTGCGCAAACAACAATGGCTGCCCCGGTCCAGTCACCGTGCCAATGATCCAGCACGTTCTGCTGTCGAGCCTCCAGAGCCAACCCAACTTTCACTATATCATAAAGGTCCTAGAAGGTGTGGTACAGGGTAATTACAGCGCTTTGGTGGGGGATCAGTAAGCCGATACCGTCGAATCGATCGTGGTCCTAGCGCTGGGGACGGTGATAATTATAATCCGACAGTTTCCTTCGCATTGACCTAACCGCTCTCTAGTCTGCAGTGCATCCAAGTATCCGGAGTTCAAAAAATCTTTAGCTGTAAGGTGGCGCCTCTCTGCTTGCTTTCGAGGGTATAAGCTGAACAAATCCGCCAGCGAGACATAACCGGAAATGGGATGACACCAACTTGACAGCTCCAGGTAGGAGGCATTAATTCCATTCACTCTCTGACACTTAACCCTCGGCTCCTTAGGCTACTCTACAAAGTGCAAACAGACTAATGTTCCGATAGCTCTTCTGCTCCGATTTTCCATCCCCAGCACCCAGCCCGCCTAAAATGTCGCTCGAACATCAGATGTTGCTGGTAACCGCGGACTTTGATGCAGGGTTGAGTATCATCTCCCGACATAAGCATGGACCCTTCTTTGCTGATAGAATACAGCGCCTCGACAGCATGGTCTGATTTTCCGTGGCGCAAGCCCGCAAGTCGGCATTAGTCGTCCGTCACGGAGACGGCCATGTCTCCTTCCTGCGTAAGTTCTCTGCACAAGTCCCTTGCCCAAGGCCATTGGAGCATGGAATAGTCCAATCATTTATATTTGTAGATGAACATCAGGAATCGACGTCCGTTACCGAATTTCTCCGCTCTGAAGCACCCTCAACACCTAGGTATGACACTAACACACCAGTCAGTATATATGCCTGATAAATGTAGACCTCCCATTTCGAATCCTTACAAAGTCCCTGTTCTCCCGGCTCTGGAGTAATAGGTTCCTGGTAAAATTGGTGGCTCGAGGCGGGCTAGGAAGTTACGCACAGATCGGGGCGAGGGCATCTCCACAGTTGGCGTTGAGATTTGCAAGCGAGGCATCGACTAGCATTAGAGGAGCGCCATCGGCGAGTCGAAGAAAAGAACCACTGAACTGGCCCACGATAAGCCTTGTGTATTTAAACGGTATTGTGTGTGAAACATTCGGCGTATTAAATGATTGGCGGCTCACCAAGGCGCGGACGTCAATCTTGGAATGGGCTCTTCGTAGTAAGGGCCTCAGATTGAACCACCGCACCTTCGGCCCACTGGCAAAAGCCCGGCATCATGCGTCTGACCTGATTAGTTATATGCGGCGCTGTGCTGACCTCCGATGGCTATGATCGCACACTAGCCACTGGCCGAGTGCTGATCGGGAAGGGAGGGCCCGAATCCCGCTCAGGAGGCCCCTGCGCCTCACCAGGCAACGTCATGAGCATTAAATCCCCGAGCGTTGCCTTGCTTGGTACCCTTCACCCCGCGACTAGAATTGCACTCAGAAGCCCAAATGACGGACAGACCTGTGAAAACTCATCAAGAACCACCAAAGCGTTGAATGACACCTGCAGAGGTAACAACTGATCAACTTGGCTTCTCTTGCCTCTTCGGGTTAAATACACATAGACCACAATGGCAGGGAAACCTGTAAAGCGCACCTATGCAGGAGCGACTTTGGACTATCTCGGAGCACGTTACATAGGCGTAGGCCCTGAAGCATGCAGCTACACAACGCAAGCGATCCAGATCCCCATGCAGGACGGCGTCGAGCTGGCTGCCGACTTCTACGCACCAGAATTACCGAAACACCAAGCACCCGCGGGTCTAATCATGGTCCAGTGCTGCTACGGTCGAGGCGCAGGCATCTCCTTCCTCAACGCCCGTGTCTTCGCAGCTCGAGGCTTCCAGGCCCTCTTTGTTAGCACACGCGGCACGGGTGGCTCCGGAGGCACTTTCGACCCCCACCGCAATGAACAGTCCGACAGTCAGGATATCGTCGTCTGGATGCGTCAGCAGCCCTGGTATCCTGGCTCCTTTGCTACCTTGGGCCCCTCGTATCTCGGTTATAGTCAGTGGGCGCTTTTCCATAATCCGCCTGCCGACTGCGTCGCTGCTGTCATTGCCGTCGGGCCTCATGATCAGGCCTGGCACACATGGGGCACCGGGTCCTTTCGACTTGATCGTGCATCCTGGAGCGATATGATGACGAGGCGTGACGGCGAGCGAGGGAGCTTTCTCTCGCGTCTGTCAAATATACCCGGGTTGAGCTTTTTGCGGTCATCGGAGCTCGAAGAAGCTGTGGCTGGTCTGCCGGTGGAAGCTAGTTTGCAGAAGTACTTTGGCGACAGGGCCCCGTGGCTCTTTGACTATCTGGAACATCCGAACGTTGATGATGCCTACTGGAAACCACGACGACACCACATTGCTCTTGACCGTGTGAAGGTTCCTATCTTGTTGGTCAGTGGTTGGTACGACACCTTCACATCGCAGACGATGCACCAGTTCAACCACCTGCACGATAGAGGTGTCAATGTAAGCCTCATCGTGGGTCCCTGGACACATGTTCAAGCGTCTGGTCTACATTCTACGCCGGAAATAGTGGACTTTCTCGCCGAGCACCTGACCAAAACTGGAAAATACAATCGCTCTCCAGTTCGCATCTTTGTCACTGGCTCCAAGGAATGGCGCTCAATGCCTACCTGGCCTCCAGCTACCCAGCCAATGACCCTATATCTGCAAGAAAACAGCGTTATCGGAACGAAGCAGCCTGTGCAGAACGCAAAACCTGCATCATTCGTCTTCGACCCTTTGAACCCTACTCCCAGCATCGGTGGCAACCAGATGTCTTCCGGCGGACGAGTAGACGACGGTGCCTACGCAGACAGGTCAGACGTCCTAGTCTACACGAGCGAGCCCCTTTCAGAGGATCTTGAGGTTATGTCCACTCCATCCGTTCATCTGATACATGCAAGCGACCCGCCCTTTGCAGACCTGTTCGTGCGGCTTAGCGAGGTCGATGCTCAGGGCGTGTCCCACAACATCACTGAGGTGTACCAGGCGCTTGATCCGTCGCGCGACACGTCCCAGCCACTGCAGCTGAATCTGCAAGACTGCGCTCATCGATTCCGGGTGGGTACGCGTGTGAGACTTATTGTCGCGGGCGGGTCTTTCCCGATGTATGCGAGAAGTCTTGGGACTGCTGAAGATCGTGTGCGTGGTGAAAAGACGGTTTCTCAAAGGCATACTGTTACTATTGCTGGTGGGGTGTCACGACTTGTGTTGCCTATTAGTGCTGCTGTTTGATTTCCGCATTTCTCGGCTAGCTGTTCATGTACGGTGCCCATTGATATGGGAATAGCAGCGGCTTAGCATATAGATCTTCTGTCCTTATATACAATACAATATTGAACTTAGCTTGACAAATTTCGACAGGGGAAGACTCACTGCCCATTTGAAAGAAGGATGGGCGATCGGTGACGAAGGGAAGTTCGAAAGAATGCGTGCAGCATTTTAAAGTGCGCCGGTCCCGTATCGTTAGACTGATCATGTCCAGGCGTGTCCAGCATACTCTGCCATTGTATACCTGCAATGCATCCATGATGGTCAGTCTATCTGAAGGCTGCCATGATAAATCTGGACGCTTCGACGGCGTGTTTGGCAGCGATGGCCAGCCCCCAATCTACCTTCGCACAGCCTTATGACGTTAAATGTACTTCCCAGTCATCAGGCTATCTACTGACTTATTGTTCAGTCAGGAATTTCCCTTGCCGTGACAAATTCTGAGGTCACGTGGCAGCAAGCAATTACCACATTTAGGCAGTGCGCAACTCTCTGCTGTCGGGCCATTTACTTCTTCCTAACTAGTACTAACGTCTTACATATCGCGTTCCAAGGGGCTGTGTGCATATCACATTGTAAGGGGCTGTGTACTTCCCCAAAAGTTTATGTTGTCTTATTTCTCGCATTTACTCTCTATGCCTAAGATCGGCATGCCAAGCATTCTCACGGGGAAGAAGGCGGCGTGTAGTTACCCTAAAAGCAAAGGACGCGATTGGTAATCACAATCCTAATCGTAGTCAGCAAGAGTCTCGTGACAAATAATCTTCAGATCTGTAGTATACAAACCCCAATCTGGAAGGTGCGAATCAGCGAGCGAAGGAATCTGCACCACGGCTCAGGAGACTGTGTGGGCCGAAAGACAGGCACCTACATCATCTCCCAAGTGTTCCCATTCGCTGTAGGAGCGGGTATAGGTGGGAAAGTAAGTTAGGCGCTAATCCTGAGCTCTTCAAGGATCAGATTATTTTACTGGATACGAAAACGAGGGCTTACACAAACCTTGGAACCTGGCCGCATAGTGGAGCAACCCCAGTCTAAAATAGGACTCAGCACAATATTCGAGATCAGATTGATGGGCGATTAATTGTCATCATTTATCCTGGTATCAAAGTTAAACTGACGCGTACAACAATGCCAAATAAGTCCTCATCTGTGGCTATGCTCATTTAAGGTCTAGATAAAGGGCAAGACGTCTTCGTAGATTCTTTTTCTGGCCTTTGCTTCTGACATTATTTGGTCTACATCCCTAAAATATGAAAATTTTGACATGTTTGACAGCTCTCAGTCTTAGTGAGTGTAGTATTCCCTTCTACCTTCTGCAAAATGTCTAACCCTTTTTTGAAGTATCGGTTGTGAGCGCCGGTATATATACATTTCCTGCAGCCGCCCCGGATGTGGCCTACAGCGTTACCCTACATTCGGGGGTCCCATTCTTCCAAATCGTCGCCTCGACTTCTTATCAATGGGTTGCTCTCGGTGAAGGATCACAGATGGCCGGTGCCAACATATTCGTCATCTACGCATCTGGCAGTGATAACATCACTGTGTCGCCCCGACTGGGTGTTGGCGAGATCGAACCGCTGTTCAACCCGAGCGCTCAAGTCTCTCTGCTTGAAGGGAGCGGCATTCAAGATGGCTATATGACAGCAAATATCCGATGTGATAGCTGCCTTCATTGGCCGGGTGGATCTCTCGACACTGCCAGCTCATCAAGCAACTGGATCTGGGCTGTTAAAAAGGGCAGCCCGCTAGATACTACGGATAAATCTGCATCGATAGTCCAGCACGACACTGAAGGCAACCATGTCATTGATTTGACCAAAGCAGCCCTCTCGTCTGCAAACATGGCCAACAGCAACCCCTTCAATGGATTTAATGGGACGTTCGCCGCCGCCGCCGCTGCCTCTTCGGGCGGTGGGTCTTCTTCGGGGACTATGATTCTGGTCACTCACGGCTTTCTTATGGCATTCGCCTTTGTAGTGCTGTTTCCAAGTTTCGCCGTCGGCATACGCATCATCCCTTACTCGAAGACCGTGCCCCATATTCATGCACCTCTACAAATTTTCACACTCTGCGTTGCGCTGGCTGGCCTAGGCATCGGAGTATACCTGGGTGTTACTGGTGATATGATGAACAGTTATCACCCCATTATTGGCCTTATCACAGTCGGAAGTATATTGCTCATTCAGCCTCTCATGGGCTTGAGTCAGCATTTGCACTTCCGCAAGACAGGGCAGAAAGCTTGGTTTGCTTATGTCCATCGATGGTTTGGTCGCTTTACGATCCTCTTGGGTATAATCAATGGAGGGCTGGGGTTTATGCTCGCTGGAATTGGAACTCCAGGTGTTCCTCAGGGTGCAGTGATTGCCTACTCGGTTCTAGCGGGAGGAGTTGTTTTCGTATACATTGCTGTCGTGTGTTCCCAAGCTTTCTTGTCGAAGCGTTAGAAGTGAAATTGACATGTCTCGGGAGGAGTGTGATGTATGCGCTCTCTGCTCCTTTCTGACTTGTTTACTATTATCACAACAAATGATACCCCTCTTCTGGTAGGTCCTAACGTATGGTTATACTATATATTTACATCGCCCTCGTCAAAATATCCATAATAATTGAGAACGCTATCGGTCAAGGTTTTGTCCCACCGCCCAAGGCTAGAATCCATCCAAGGTGAACAGAACGGCTCTGTACCGAGCCCATTCAAAATCGGTAGCTTGATCATAAGATTGCCGTATGGCGCATTCTTATCTTCCCTCCGATTATACTCCCAACTTCCACTTGCCCAATTTTCGGCTTGTAAACGAACGAAGTTCAACTCAACTTCAAACCTTTCTCGCTTATGATAGAGAGCATATTGCTTTTTATTCATATTCTCTTTTATCCATTTTGGTACCTATGGTCAAACAAAATGCCAGCAATTATCCCTTATTCTAGCCAAATAAATGGAATACCCGAATTCGTACACTCAACACTTTCCTCCCAGATCTCAATGTGCTCATGGTATACTACACCCTTAGTAAGAGGAGGCAGCGCGTTTGGAAGATCAGCCGAGCCAGACTGCCGATCCCGTGCTAGAATCTATGGACCGGACGGACAGGAATAACCCCCAATTGATACCCGCTCTGGGTCTAATAATTGAAATAAGACGTGTGTATAGGCATTTCTTCTTTATTTTTTGGCTTGGTTCTATATTAGGCCCCCACCTAATCTGTGCATAACTCATGCTGACTCAGCCGGCACTGCTCTTCCGGCCGGCAGCCGAGAGTCGCGGAAAAAGACATTTCCCTGTCATGCGTAATCCAAGCGTGCCGGTTGAACGGCAGCTTAAAACCCCAACATGCCGCCACTCGGCACCTTAAAAAACAGTTCTGAATCGACCAACCACACCGCTCGGCATCTGGTCACTCTATCTACCGTTGCCCGCAACGCCTCCCCCACTCTCTCCCCATACAATGCGTAGCCGAACGCTTTGCCGTCGCCCTCATGATGAGCCGTATATATAGACCTGCGATGTTTCCTCTGGGATTCCTCTCCATATTACCTCTCTCTTGACACTGACATACTCACTTTCACCATGTCTGCCCACCGCCAGTTTGACCCCAACTTCACGCCCTACGTGGTGAATGCCATGGGCCCCAAGACTCCCGAGCGTGCTCGTGTGGTCCTGGGCTCGCTGATCCGCCACATCCACGACTTTGCGCGCGAGGTTGAGCTGACCTCCGCCGAGTGGATGCTGGGCGTGGAGTTCATCAACTCCATCGGCAAGATCAGCACTCCCGTGCGCAACGAGTGCCACCGTATCTGTGATGTGATCGGTCTGGAATCGTGAGTATACGCGAAAAGAGAAAACAAAAAAAGAATGCACATTAACAGATAATTAGTCTCGTCGACGAGATCGCCAACAAGATCGTCACCGAGCAGGGCGTCTCCCCGACCTCCAACGTCATCCTGGGACCCTTCTGGTCCCCCAACGCACCTTTCCGCGCGCTAGGCGACAGCATCATCCAAGATCCCAACCCCGATGGCAAGGTCACCTTCATGCACGGCGTGCTCAAAGACATGGAGACCGGCGCGCCCATCGCCGGCGCTGTGCTGGACATCTGGCAAGCCTCAGCCAACGGGCAGTACGATTTCCAAGACCCCAACCAGTCGGAGAACAACCTGCGCGGCAAGTTCACGTCCAACGAGAAGGGCGAGTTCTGGTGGTACTGCTACCACCCAACCCCTTACTCCCTGCCCACCGACGGCCCTGCCGGTGTCCTCCTTAACCTCATGGACCGCTCGCCCATGCGTCCCGCCCACATCCACCTCATGATCACCCACCCCAACTATGCAACTATCATCAACCAGATCTATCCCAGCGACGACCCCCATCTGGACATCGACTCCGTCTTCGCCGTCAAGGATGATCTCGTCGTGGAGTTCAAGCCCTCGTCGGACCCCAAGGCCCAGCTCGACCTCAACTACCCTGTTACCATGGCCCTCAAGAAGCACCACCCCAACCCCAACTCGGCTCCGCCGGTCTCTTCGTTTGAGCGCTTTAGCAAGGGTCAGAAGGAGCAGAAGCTTTGAGTGGTAATGATGCTTCATTGAAGAATTAACGGCGTTGTGATGATCTCCATGTACAGTTAGCATTCTTTTTATTTGCGAAATTCCCATTGCATACCCATATCCATGATATATCATTTCCAGTGCTACGTAGGAGGCTCTCGATAGCGTAGATGTGCGTCAAGTTTGCATCTGGCCTGCACGGACAGGTCACGGCCAGGGTAAGCCACATGGCATTCCAAACCGGACACAAATGCGTTGGGTCAGGATCTCAATTCCTCACGATCTTATTTGGTCGGGATCTCAGTAATCGAAAGTTCAACTTCAGGAATTGTTTCGATGGGTCAACTGCAAGATTCAGAGCTCATATTTACACCACGTCTCTACCAACACGAAACAACCAATCCTCTAAACAATGCCCCCATCTAGTATGTTTCCCAAGAAGGAGGTCATCAGCCATCTTCCGACTGAACAGTTTCCGCTGTCCAGGATGCAGCCTGTCCCACTCAAGACAGAGCTCGTACGTAATTTGAGGAACCTTTCTCGCATCCAGAGGGCTGCTGACGAAGTAGCGTGGATCACGATCGATCAGATCGTCCTGAATTCCAGGCTTCCTACTCAGCGCAGGCCATTGAATATCAAGTAGCAGAGCCTGATCGCCCAGAACCAATTCCACCCACGCATCTCGCGCCGTTTCAAGTACTGTATTTCCAGAAGAATTCTCCCAAGATAACATGTCTGGAAGCCGGTCCAGAATTGCCCTCAAGATGTCCGGAAATTGTTTCATGACTGCGATATGGGCAGGGGTATTGCCTCTCGCATCGCGCAGTTCTAACTGATTTTGCCTGCTGGATTCGCCCAGGTCGAGTAGGAATTCCGCAATGGCGAGCCGGTTGTCGCGATTGGGATCATTGTCCCGGGATGGGTAGTGAAGTGGCCGATAAGACCCTTCGCAATAGGACATCCATCGTGCAAGAGGGGTAAGATGTCTCTGGCATCGTTTGTTGAGCAGGGATGGGATGATTTGTCGATCTAGAAGACCGACCATCTCGGTTAGGGCGTGTGGATTCTTGCAGGCTTCCCATTCGATAGACACTAGAGTCAAATGCAGGATGTTATTCCCGAATCGATCATGGGCTGATTGATCGGCGCCTGCATCGATGAGAATACGGGCGAAGGCGGTTCGTTGGAGCGAAAACGCTAACGCGAGAGGCGTGTGGCCTTCTGTAGATCTGCTGTTCAGATACGAGGGAAAGTTTTGGACGAGGTATCGGATTAGGCCCTCTGATTCCTCGCACTGTTCGGATATTACTGCACAATGAAGAACCAAATCATCTGCAAGGTGTTAATCACTGCTGAAGTAAACGACCTCGGGACTTACCTCTCCAACTCAACCATGTCTGCAGTGCTTCCTTCGAGCTGGTTCCGGACTGGGAAAACTGTTGCACTCTATCTTCTTCCGGGTGAGTAGAAACATACTGAAGATAGCTCCCAGCGGGGTCGGCACCAAGGAACCATTTCGTAGCAGCGAGATTTCCTTGTGTTGCCGCCGCCAGAAGGGGCGGCCGTTCACTCCTCTTGGGCTGGTTCACTGCTGATGGCAATGCCTTCGGTGCCCTTTCATTTTCCCCGATCTTGGGTTCTCTCAATGGAATCCCAAATCCGGTTTTGGTGATAATTTCAGCAAGACACTCTACACGGCCCAATTTCATAGCAAGAAGGAAATAGCGCTCGCTTAAAGTGCCCAGACGTCTGCCATGGCGATAAGGGCTGGTAAGGTCACCAATTTCCAAAAGAAATGCCAACAAGCGCGGATCATTTTCCATCACCGCATGTTCCATCAGATTCATATGCAGATTTGAATCCGAACCAGTGGTCGACATCGACATACACAGTGAGGCTGCCTTATGACTAAAAGCGTTGAAAGCATCTCGGTCGAGCGATGCGTCCGTGAAAAAATATCTAGGCTGTACAAACTTTGGAGACTGGGCCTGATAGATTCGGACGATTAGTCTTGCGGCATCCCAGTGGCGTCTCAGGGTGGCAAGTGAAAGAGGCGAGAGATCTAATCTGTCGCATTTGGAGACTTCGAGTCCGTTGTCGCCCTGCTTTTCCAGGGCTAGTCGCTTAATAGTCTCCGAATCGCCTTGCCATGCTGCTTCGAATCTGCGAGAATTAGTATACAGCCCTTCTTTTCAATAATAAGGAAATGTCGTACAGTTCCAAATATGCTTCCTGGCCAGACTCAAACGGAGATAATGCTGGCCTATTGTATATATCGCCGGTGTACTCTCGTCTTGCTTGTGACTCCCTATCGGATGTAGGGGCTTCAGGATGAAGTTCCTTGAATGGTTTTGCGCCTCGAGCTAGCAGTTCTTCTTTCAGTATCTCGTAGTCCACAATCAGACTTTGGACTGCTTGTCTTTTCGCATCGAACCCTTGAGGCTTGTTGGGCTCTTTCTTCTTTCCTTCATGTGCCCTCTGCATATTTTTATAGCAGCTATGTGCTCTGTCCAGGATGACCTTCCCGGCCCACATTTGATATGTACCCTCCGCAAGGCCCGAGAAGTATTCCTTATGTTCATCAAACGGCCTCAGAGCCCCCTGCTGGTGTAAAGACGGACTCAAAAAGGCTTTCAAGCTTTCAAGTTTCTGGCACACCGCGTCCAGAACTGAATATCCACGAGTATGACCAGTTGACAAATACCTCCAGGTGCATGGATCCGCCTCTCGCCTAAGAATCTCCATTGCAACCCGAGGCAATTCATTCTCAACAGCAGATATAATAGGCTGCCCAGCCAGTCGATAATATCTCGACGAGAAATCCAGCCGCTTAGGGGGACGAAATTTCGCGAAATCGACATTCTCGATAAAATCCTCATACCCAATAAAAGGCTTCGCTCCAGCCTCGAGTAGTTTCATTGCCGCGGCCTCTCTCTTCAAATCGAGAGCCGTATTCAAAACTGAATACACACGCGGAAAAAGAGCTGGTTTCACGTATACATAGTCCAGTGCGAGTTTGAATCCTTTTTCGTCGATCTGCGTGTATAAATCGAGAAGCTCATCGTATCCAGATGCAACGATGTATTGCAACAGCGTCGTCCGGGTCGGATTTACCTGGGCAACGGAGACGCCGCTTTCATCAAGTAGGATCCGCGATATCTCTCTGGCCTTTTCGCGGGGGAGGAGCAAGGACAGATAGAGAGTTGGAAGTAGACCGGTCTGTGGTCTGAACCGGGGGATGAGCAGGTCGCTGGCCGGAGGGTATGTCCTGAGCGACGTAACGGGATTCGCTCCAAAGGAAAGTAGTTCGACGACGGCCTCAGTGTGCCCGTGCAGGATTGCAAGATGCAGCGGCGTGGTGAAGTCCTTCCAGGATATGACATCGGGATGCTTGTAAACATCTGCGCCGACTTCGTCTATGTCTTCGAATATCCTACGAGCGGGTGAACGGTCGGTAGGATCTATTCGCAGCAAATGGACCGAGTCTCCATGTTCATCTGTGTCCAGCTCGTTGTCCAACTCCTCTCCCGAGCCGGGAGAGTGACCGCCCGTTGGGTAGGCTTTGTGTTTGTTTTCAGCACTCTTAGATAAGAGAATTCGAATGATTTCAGCATTTCCTCGCTTAGCAGCAAGGTGTAGTGCGGTTTGTCCATCTTTCGTCCGCGGGGTGATGTGGGCACCGGCTTCGATGAGGCTCCGCACGATTGCCGGGGAGGAAGCGACGCAAGCTAGTTGCAATGGTGTTCTTCCTGTGCAGTCGCGATGATTGAAGTCTATATTTCCCCTCTTCAGATATTCTTCGAAGGGCTGGATATCGGCGAGTGAGATGGTCTGGCATAGGGCCTCGCTGTCGGGACTGGCCATAGTACTTAGTGAGTGTCGAGAACAAGAAGTTGAACGAGCTTGGATTTGGACCCCACGTTACTATTTTCGGGGACCCTGATTATTGACTAGATGATGCATTTCACCTGCTTACATGAGTAGTGCATCTAGATAATCCGAGGTTGGCATTTGATTTTACACATAAAGCTTCGTTCATTGGTAAATAAAAACACACAATATGATGCCCTGCCCAGCATACAGATATCTAATAGGTACGTGCCACAGAGAATTGCAGCATCCCTGCATTCTAGTCGCACATCACACATGTATTGATGCTCTTTTTCCAAATGTTCACTCCGTCATCCATCGTGACTATACTAGACGACCTCCCTCACTCGTCAGCATCGGTACCGGCACCAGCACCATCTTTTTTCCCTCTTCCCACCCACCCTTCCCTGCGAATCTCATATATCCAAGATGACGGACTCGACGGCTTGGATATGGCTATACCACCTCCAAACTCCCTTACAAATCCTTCTTGACAACATGTGCGCTGGGGAGAGCACCGGCGCGGTCAATGGCAGCCTGGCGAGCACCAGTGAGACCGAACTGGGACTTGATGCCCTCAATGCGGTGGGTCGAGTTGATGTTCTTGACGAGGGTAAGCTGCCAGCAAGTCGCACCACCCTGGCGGGAAGTGATGGTGGAGGCAGCCAGGAAGTACTCCCAGATGCGGAACCAGCGCTTGCCGTACTTGGCCTCGACCTTGTCACGGTTGCCGAGCCAGTTGCGGTACCAGCGCCAGAGGGTGGCGGAGTAATGAACGCCAATGGTGTCGACGGCCTTGATCTCGAAGCCGGCGCCCTCGAGGCGGTCGACGACAAAGCCAAGAGGGGTGGATGCGTCGGCGCCGGGGAAGACGTACTTGTTCATGAACAGTCCCCAAATCAGGTCCTCGTACTGCCACGACTTGCGCAGACCAGCGATCTGCAGGAAGAAAACACCGTCGTCGTCGAGCATGTCATAAACCTGGGACAGGAACGAGGAGAAGTGGCGCACACCAACGTGCTCCGCCATCTCCAGACAGGTAATCTTCTTGTAGCCACCGTCGACGCGGGGCGAGTCGCGGTAGTCCGAGCACAGAATGCGGCTCTGCGTATCCTCGATGCCGGCGCGGCGAAGTCCGTTGTTACCCCATGCGGTCTGGTTGCGGCCGAGAGTGATACCGGTGACGTGGGCGCCGTAGTGGACCGAGGCGTACTTGGCCAGCGTACCCCAGCCGCAGCCCAGGTCGAGGATGGTGTCGCCAGGCTGGATGCCGATCTTCTCGCAAACAACGGCCAGCTTGTTATCCTGCAGCTCCTCAAGGGTCTCTTCCTTGTTGATATCGCTAATGATACCGGAGGTGTAGATCATGCGCGGGCCCAGGAACCAGGCGTAGAAGTCATCGCCGCGGTCGTAGTGATCACGGACCTGCTCCTCATCTAGAAAAATTTAGAGAATTAAAAAAAAATCGAGAGACGCAACGTACCTTGAGAACGAGTGTGCAGCAGCATCTCGGGAATGAAGCCAAATAGGAAGTGCTTGAACAGACCCATGGTGAAGCGGAAGTTGGCCCAGTCATGACGGTACTCGAGGCACTCAAGGGCATCGCCCTTGAAGTCGACCTCGCCGTTGAAGTACTTCTCATAGAAAGTCTCCATGGGGATCTTGCTCTTGCCACGGTAGGTAGCACGGTCATGTTCGCTGTGGAATTGCAGGTAGTGCTCGACGGGACGGCCGGCGTACTTGGCCTTCTCGGTCTTACGCGGGGAGATGGTGGAGGAGACGGTCCAGAAGGCCATCAGGACTGGGATCGTGGTGAAGATAGCAAAGAAGATGGTGGTGTACAGGCCTCCGCGGACCTGGCGGGCCAGGAACCAAGGCACCACGATGAGGAGGAAGATCATCAAGCCATTGGAGAAGCTGTCGCTACCCGGCGAGTCGGCGGGGACGGGGGCATTCTTAATGGCCGGGTACTGGAGAAAACCGAAGCTAGTCAGAGCTAGTTCCCGAGCAGAGAGCTTGGGCAAGCAAGCCACTTACTAAGGTGGTCGGCACACCGCAGTCCACGGCGGGCTTGGACTGCTGGGGGGCAGCCGGGGTTTCGATGAACTCGAAGTCCTCGGTGGACTCCGGGTGGATGGAGGACATGGCGGGCGAGAGGGATCGGGGGAGGGAGGGAGAGGTGGTGGGAGTGGAAGAAGGAAAAGGAGGAACACAACCAGAGTAAATAACTAGGCGGTGAGGACTTGATGCAGAAAGACAGTACGTGGCGGTACCAGACCCTGCCTGGTCCGTGGGTTGGCGGAGCTTGTTCCTGAATAATAATTCGGGACTGGGTTCTTCTTCTTCATGTGCGTCTCGCCTGTGGGCTTGGCTGGGTGATCGTCTGGCGAGTGGAGATTCCTGAAACAGCACGATCCGCGGTTGCGTGAGATGATGATAGGAGTAGTATCATTCTTCAGTAGTAATCAATAATCAAACGCCAGACCCCTGTCGGCTTGCCGACACAGTTAATAACTAACCCATCCCGGCCGATATCCCTCCAATACCAATACAAATATGTAAACATGCAATATGCCAGCGTCTACAGCGTCAGCTGGAAGTTCTGAGCCTCGTCGTCTTCATCAAAGGTTGGCAGCACTTCCTCCGGTTCGGTCGGAGTGGCATCCCCGTCAAAGCAGCCAGCAGTCTTGCAGCGCATCCACATGTCCGACCCCAGCGGAGGCGGTCCATACAGCTGCATGTACGCCTGCGGAGACAGCGCATCCGGAGCATTGGCCGGCTTCTGCGCGGCGGTCTTCTCCTGCAGCGTGGACGAAACACTTCGTCCCTTGGAGTACCCAACGGTCGATTTGGATGTAACTGCAGCGGCCGCGTTGCGCATCGATGACGGATTGCTCGGAGTGCGGGTCTTATTCTTCGGCATCTGCGCCATTTTCGCTTTGAGCGCGGAGGTAGTTCGAGCTGGAGCTGCACTGGGTTTGGGCGCGGCAAGGGCAGCGGCCGCGTCGCGAGATCGAATGGTAGGGATGTTGCGAGCTTGCCTGCTGGTCGTCGTAGGTCCCTTGATGCGGCGAGTCTCGGCCTGCAGTGACTTCGGCGGCTCATTCTCCTCGTCGAATGGAACCCCATCCAGTTGCTTCATGATCAACTCATCCACCAGCTTGTCGCATGCCGCCGAGTCTGCCTGGAACTTGCGCTCTTTGCTGGTGAGGCCATCGCTGCCCACCTCCTGCCGTCCGTACACGCTCTCCAAACCTAGAGCGCGGTTCCTCGGGCGGAATTGCGGGAACGTCGTGTCGTAGGTCACATCGTCCGGGATATCGGGAAGCTCCGTAGGCTTGGGGGGCATGTATTCAATCTCGGGCACATCATCCTGGGCAGCTTCCGTTTGAAGCTTTGGCTGGGCGTGCTGCGCGATGGGAGCCGCTTTCTTGATTCTCTGAGCAGTTGACGCCCTACGGTTTGTCTTCTCCGGCTTGAGCGTTCCTCCAAAGGGAGCGGGTGTCTGGAGGCCCTTCGCTTTGGCATTGGTAGTTTTCATGCCCAGAGGCGCGCGGGTTCTGGTGTCTATCCTCGCGTCAGTCTCGTGTTGTTGTATATGATATCAGAAGGTACCTACCCATCGGCGTCACGAATGCATCTTTACCGGGTTTGCCATTCTCCTGGCGATTTCCCTTGATCGTGCGTTTTCCAAAGGCCACGGGGTTGTTCTCATCGTTCAGCGGCACCTTGAAGGGGGTCTTGCCAGGTGTCTTGGGGGGCAGTTTGTTGACGCCCTGATTCAATGGTTTGGCGGCCGCAGCCGTATGATGGGTGTTAACCAGATTTTCCTGGTCTCGGAGTGCCAGCATGATGGCGATGGTGGTGTCATGCGAATGGTTGTCTCTCGCCAGGAAGTCACTATTGTTTTGTTGTTGCCCGTGGAGACCAGCGGGTGATCCGCAGCACGTGATTGGCTGTCGGGACGAGGGGCTAGAAGCGCTCGGTACATGGTACCTGACACTGTGTGTGCCGTGTGCCGGGTGGACAAGTACCTGGTACCTGGGCTGCCACACTCACTACCCTCTCTCTCTTGTCTTGTCAGCCCGCGTTCTTTCTCTCTCTCCCTACTCACTTTCAGCCCAACCCTGACTCTTCCACATCTTCTCCACTCACTACCCCCCCGACTGTCCACCTTCCACCTCCTTTCGGAATACCCCTTCTCCCTTCACCAAGACTTCCAAAATGGACAAGATCAAGGAGGTGAGTCTCCTATAAATACCCCTGCCTGTCTGGCGGGGTAGCTCGATCCATCCCACCATGCACAATGCACACACTGCACCACACCCACACCATACCACACGCACCACCCTCACTTCTCTCATCCACAACTAATGCGAACAATGAACAACTAGCGCATGAACACCCTCCGTGTTGAGGCGGACGAGGCCCACGAGCAGGTGGAGGAACTCAAGACCAAGATCAAGACGCTCGAGCAGGAGAACCTGTCCAAGGAACAGGATATCACATCCCTCAACCACCGCAACCAGCTGCTGGAGGAGGAGGTTGAGAAGCTGGAGGCTTCTCTTAAGGAGGCCAAGGACGCCGCCAGCCAGAGCGCCCAGCACGACACCCAGAACGAAGCCCTCCAGCGGCGGGTGCAGCTGCTGGAGGAGGAGGCAGAGGAGAACGACAAGACTCTGCGGGAGACGAATGAGAAGTATGCTGTTCTTTCCTTGACATGCCTTGCTCCTGTCCTAACCTCTCCCCGCTCTCTAGGCTCCGCCAAACCGACGTCAAGGCCGGCCACTACGAGCGCAAGGTGCAGGCACTCGAGACAGAACGCGATCAGTGGGAGTCCAAGTACGAGGAGATGGCGAAGAAGCACCAGGAGCTGCAGAAGGATCTGCACGACCTCGAGGTCTCCATCAGCAATGTTTAGATGTCGGGAGACGTTGGGGTTTCTTTCTGTTTTCCTATTGTCATAATGTAGCCGCCTTGTGTGTTACGTCCCTCTATTTTTTGTGTTGTTGGCCCGAGACAGCGTTCTCAATCGCAACTCCCATAACCATGCAATTATTATGTTCGTGGTAGATATATCTATCATCTTCATCTTCATCATCACCGCTCCCGACGTGCCTGGGCCTTTTTCGCTTTCGATAGTCTCTGCTTGGTCCGCGCCAGTTTCCGGTCCTCCTTGCTCTCGTATCGGAACTTCTTTTTCTTCTTCTTGGGCTTGTCTGTAGCCGCCTTGCGTGGTTTGGTGGGTTGAGTCTGCGTCTCGGCTGTTGCGCGTGCAGCTGTCTTCTGTTCGCCCTCGTTCTCATCATCTGAATCCTCTCCCCTGACGGATTTGAGAAGTCCTTCGCGGGATGTATCCATCTCCTCAACCGTGACTGTGGTGTATTTGTCTTCGTCGATATATTCGGCCTCGTAGTCCACCGCGGGTGGCTCCTCAAAGCCTTCCCATGCATCATCTTGATCGCCATCATTCCCAGGATCCGAGTCGCTGCCATCGCTGGTATCCTCTTCCTTCAAGCGTTTGAGCTGCCGCTGGTGCTCTTCCATCGCGCGCTTGAACTCTGCTGTCCGCTCTTCACGAAGCTTTGCAAGGCAATTAGGATGTTGGCAGACCACCAAACTAGACACAGGAACATACCTTCTTGCGTTCTTGTATACGTTCTTCGCGAGCTCGCTTCTCTGCGGTTTCCTGGGCATGCTTTGCGCGTTGCTTCTTTCGCTTGCTGAACCCGGTCAGGAACTCATGGCGGGCGTCGTTGTCGAAATTGACCTCTGCGACTTTGGGGTTCGGTTTGCGCCGTTTTAACTGGGGCGCCATTTTCGAGAATAAATAATGGTGTTGGTTGTCAAGTGCAGAGTCAAAAGAAGAACGAAGAAAAAAAGTCGATGGTCAGCCCAAGGCGGGATCTTGTCGACCGCCTCCGAAACAACCAACTCCCGAACACCACCTAACAACCTACACCTCTCCACCAACATAAACCACCATGCATCTCAGCAGGTTCGGACTGCTCGCCCTGGGCGCAGCGACAGTCGATGCCTTCCGAGACACATCGCCCTTTTTTCTAGCCTCAACCTCCGAGTATGTTGGGATTGATTGGGCCCCCCCGGGGTGTTGGAAGCTGCGGCCAGCTAATCACTTCTTCTGCACAGAATCCTAGCAAACTCGGCGTATATCAAGTCCGGTGCATCGCTCCTTGATACCCTTTCAACCTCGCTCAGCTCTTGTCCCTCCGACTACTATGTCGTTGTCAACCAGCCTGGCGTGCACAGCTCGGATTTCTCAACTCGCAAGTCGGCGCCCCGCCTCGGCGCGAAGATGTTGGGCAAGGATAAGGCAATTCGGTCAAAGATGACGGTTAACGAGGTGGCTGGTTTGTTGGAAGCTAAGGATGTGAGCGCGCTCTTGGAGAAGAAATGCAAGGCGAAGACGACCGCCATCGATGGGTCTTGTGAGTTACAATGCAGGCCCGAGAGGGATGCTCGCACAAACTGACACCGCTGCGTAGCTGGATCGTACCCTTCGTCATTTGAACAGGGTCCTCGCATTCTTTCCGTCGACTTCCCGATGCTCTCGCTGGGCTCAGACCGCGCCCGGCAGCTCTCCGACAACGGTTCGTGGACCATCCATACACTAGATTTCGCGGTTGCTGACAGTAACTAACCAGATGGCCTTCTCGCCGATATTGTTGACCGCATTCCCGCATCCTCCAAGTATACCATCCTCTACGTCACCTCCCCCCGGGAGTTCCCCGAATCCGACTCCGTCGTCTATGACTCTAGCGAGGGTTCCTATCAGGACGCCCTCCACCAGGATCTGAAGCGCGACTACTCGTCCTGGCCCTCCGACGCCGATTCCTCTGACGATTCCGGCTCCCAGAGCCTCTTCGAAGAATACCAGTACTTCACGCCCGGTTAGTGCTCTCCACCCAGTCGGTTTCTTATCTTCTCCGTTCTGACGTTTTGTCTAGGTATTTTTATGGGCTTCATGGCGTCCTTTTTGTGTCTTATGATTCTCTACATCGGCATCAGTGCCCTCAGCGGCCTGCAGATTCCGTATGCTGCGTTTGAGAAGGACACATCTAGTTCGGTGCAGAAGAAGCAGCAGTGATGGGAGGGAGATGTGTTTCGGGAGGGAGAACACTGAATATAGGCTATTTATTCTTCTTACTTGCATGCTACAATTATTTTCCTGATCGAACTTCACTTTATACTTTATACTTTATACTGTTGTAACGTCAGGTGATGGTCCCGGCCTGAGGCACTGACCCCTATTATTGTGTATCATGGCGCCGGCATCTTTTTCCCTCCGTCTCCTTGCTGTTCTCGCCTTCGCTAAAGCCTGTGGACTTACCTTCATTGCCATTCAAAACTCCCTGTCATTCGTTTGTTTCCCACATTTCTTGCTATCACTCTTCCTGAGACTTCCTTATATGGAAATCCACTGACGGTGGATCCCTCCGCGATCATTTGTGCCCGTCCAGTGTCAGCCAGGCTTACCCGTAGCTGAATCGAGGGCCCAGTGGTCAGCCAGACCAAACCCTGCGCGCAGGGTCTCCAGCGCCCCGATTCATATTCTAACAAAAATATTCAATCGAAATCCTTTTCTCTTGGCCGCATTCCTCGCTGTCGCTGCGATCTACGGCCCAACCCGATTGACCCGCACGTCTGTGGGGTCTTAGTTGAGATTGGTTGTTTACCGTACGCTTCGTTGCCATGCGACTCCTACCACGGGGGCTGGCATCAGGCCGGCGACCGTCATTTCTCCTTCTGGTGCTGCTAGTTCTTCTGGTCGCTGCTCGTGTGTCCGAAGCAGCGGGCGATGCCACCAAGGCCGCTGACGCCCAGACCGCCGCCGATCCCGCAGCAACCCAGGCACCTGAGACTTCCACCACGCCGCCCGAAACTTCTTCGACAACCACCGGCTCGACCACCTCCACCACCACTTCGACGTCGACGTCTGACACCTCCACCTCCACGTCCACGTCGACGACTGAGTCGACTACCACCTCATCAACTATGGACCCGACCACAACTACCTCCACAACAACCTCGTCGACCTCCTCAACGGACAGCACAACAACAACAACAACCTCGTCAACCACCACATCATCCACTGCATCCACTGCATCTACATCATCTGGAGCCGCCTCCTCAGGCGGAAACCCCATCGTGACCGTCCCTCCCACCGCCGATGCGCCCTACATGCAAACAACCAACACGCCTGAGGGCACCGTGTTTATCGCCGTCGGCGCAGCACTTGGCCTGATCGGTCTCGCTTTACTAGCCTGGCGCGCAATGGTCGCATGGTCAGTCAACCGCTCCGTCCGCCGCGCAGCGATGATGCAGTCCGAAAACAAGCGTCTCCTCCGCACAAGCAAGAAACGCTCAACCATGTACTCCGCTGCACCAACAGCCAGCATGTCCCTGGACCGCCTCGGCGCCGGCGCCAAGCGCGCCAGCAAAGCCCGCGTCCCGAGCACGCACAGCGGCCTGTTCTTCTCGCCCACGGCTGGAGGCGGTGTTGGTGTCGGCTCGCATACAAGTCTCAACGCTGGCGCCAGTCCGGCGGGGAACCGCGCGTCTAGCTATCTGCCTGCAGGGTACTATACTGCCGCTGGCAGTTCTACACCCGCCACTACCCGAGGAGGAGGACCAGAGCTCCACGCGGGCCTGTCGTCTCCGCCGGGATATCCACCCAATATTTCTCCCACTCTTCCGCCGACAAGCACGTTCCATGACCCGCCGCATAACCAGCGCCAGTCGTATGCAGGGGCCTCGACGAGTTCGTTAAATCTGAATCAGGCGCCGCAGGGCCGGGCTCCAAGTGCGTATCTCGAGGATCTATTCGAGAGCCATGTTCCGCCGCGTCATCCGGACTCGGGCCGGAGGTGATTTTGTCTGAGGTGTGCGTCCGGGTTACGATATGAAGGGTTGAGCATTTGGCATTCTATTTGATTTGTTGATTGGATTCTTTCTTGCACCTTCATGATATACTCGTACCATTTCTGTGCTATAACTCCGATATCACCTGTTTTCCTTTCTGTCTTGTTTCCTACTTTGGACCTGGCGTTAATATATGTCCTCGCATCCAAGGCATTAGTACTATTCGATGGAGTTAATCTAGTCATACCAATTCAATTCAACCAGCTATTTCTTTTCTATTTCGGGTGTGCGCTTCCACGTATTGTAACATAAAGCAACGAGAAAGTAGTCATATTAGAGACAGATTTCTGTGACCGAGACGCAGTCACGTCCATCCAATCAAGACAGCTTAACAATAGAATAGAAAATAGAGCAAAGAAAACAGAAATAAAGAGAACAGAAAAGGTAGGTGATATAATATGCATGAAGAAAGGGAGGATAAATAAAAACAAGTCCTGGTAAGATGCATCAGGCAAATCAACCAAAGCCGACAGAGGTAGGCAGTATCTGATACAAGGAGAAAAAGCAAATAGGGAACAAGGAAGGGAAGGGCACACAAATGCAATGCTAACCTTTGATGAGACAAGGCAGATAATCAATCGATCGAGAGACCCAGACAAAAAGACAGACAGACTCGCAAACACCATCGCCCGGAATCGACGATTCCATTCCATTCCATTCCCACCTACACGTACACGTCGCATACCCGCACAACAAACAGCCACACCAGAAAAAGAGGAAGAGAAAAGGAAAAGAAAAAGCCAAGGATAGACCGATCCATGCAAAACCAAAAAGAAAAGCAAATTTCAAAGGAAAGCAAAGTAAAACCAACAAAGCCCGCTAGACATGCGGGGAAGGAACAGACTAAATGGAAAAAATAAGGCATACAGCGTGAGGAATGAGGGTTCCCCTTCTTCTTCCAAGGGAAGAGTCCAGAGCCTCATAGTATCTATGGTGAGTCTAAAACAAACAGCGGGTAGGGAATAATCAAATCAGCCAGAGAAAGTTGTGGGGTTAATTTTCGCTTTTTTCTTCTTCTCGTTCCAGAGGATCGACGGCATAGAGGGATGTGCTCAGTCCGCATCGAATTTGTAGTTATATTCGCCGAGGAGAACATCGTCGGGTCCAGGTCCGTGGGAATTCCGGACTGTTGTACACAGATCGTCAGTGAATTGTGTTCAATGGAACTGGGGAAATTGTTGACATACTCCACTCAGCCTCTGTACGGAAGAAAACCCACATCCACCGCCGGGCAACTTCGAGGAACATGAGCGTAAAGTAGCCGCTCTCGGTCTCGGACAGCCACGCCAGCCCGGGGAGGGCGCGCCACAGCCATGAGAAACGGAGCGCAAGATCCGCAAAGATAACGTAGTGGTATAACCGGTCCGAGAAGTAGCGGTGGCGGCGGAGACCATACGGATGCTCTTTGTTGTGGCGATGCGGGGTCAGTAGGGTCAGATCCCAATCACGGACGACATCCCAGTAGAAGGAGTAGGCGGAGTTGATAAAGCAGAAGATGAACCTGGGCAAGGGTCAGAAACCATCTAAGGGCGGGCAACAAACCATTGGCAATATACATACAGGAACCGCATCAAACTCATTTCACTGAAACCGAAGAAATCCAACGGGCTGTAGTTCCGCACTTTGGTGGACAGCCAGATAACGGGGAACGCGGTCGAGTACTTCAAGGCGTTGAGCAGATGTCCGTTGGCGCGGTTCTCATCTCTCCGCAGGTTCGTGCGACGGGCACGCACATACTCAATCAGACACTGGCGGAGTCGGATGAGACTGGGGATGGCCACGATAAGCGGCACGATGAAGCTCCTGCCGCACGAACGAACGGGTTTTTCGGTGGAGCTGATGTCCGGCATGAAGAACATGCAGAAACTGGCGTATAGATCACCGAGTACGCGGGCGTAGCTGGTCAGGGCATCAGCCAGTAGAATATCGCCGAACTTGCCATCCTTGCTCTCGGCCAGGCCGCCGATGCTGACCCGCTTCAGGGTCCGGAGGAAATGAATGCGACCGGATCGGGCAAGGCGGTTGAAGGGCCATATGAGGATCAGGAGGAGGACGATGTAGCATGACTGCGGGATGAAGTCTAGTCGTTCGACGAGTTCGACGGAACGTCGCGTGGCGAACCAGAATACCACGATCCAGATGCCCACCGGGATGGACAGAGCGGTTGCCAGACGGTAGGCAGAGGTATGGTGGGGAGGCTGTGAGGAGGAGGAACGGGCCGGATATCGGATGAGGGACGGAACGTCCTGAGAAAAAAAGGTATGAGTGTCCGAGAGCGAGTCAAGAAGGTTTGAGCCACTTACAATATTGGCCGCGGCAAGATAATGGAGGTTAATCGCCCATCCCCAGAAACCTGTGCCACACACAACATACGATCAGCTCTCAAATCCGTGGAGAAGAAGGGCTTGTCACACATACCGGCGACTAGGATGATGGCCAGGCGCAAGGGGAACGGGAGGACCAGGCCAAAGCTGTCCAATTGAGGATGTTGATCGGGACCCATGATTCCATGTGTTTGAGTTAGAGGGAAACCCCGGAAGAGAGAGATCAAAGAGAGACTAAGGGTGAGGGAAGAAAGAGGGTAGGAGGGAAGGAGGTAGTAGGAGTGTGGATTATTGGGAGGATGAGGATCACAGGACGGCTTCAGGGAGTTCTGCAGTTAATAAGCGTCCGCTTCCAGCAGTGGTGAGGGTCGACGGATTGCGCGCCGATGACTGTGTGACAGGTCGCGAGCCATGGATCGCGCTGCGCGGGCTCAATGTGTCTAGCAACGTTGATCGAGCATCTATACCATCTCTATCCTTGATCCTGTCTGAACCTCCTATTCTTCGTTCTATGGACTTGCACACACGCACTCCTGATCTTCGTCAAGTGGGTTGTTGGTTGGGCCCAGACCGCAAACGTCAAAGGGGGCCGTCATGTGACCACGGTCGGGTCAGGTGATCATAGGTCAGTGACTGGCGTCGATGCCGAGGTAAGTGCTTGGGGATCGATCCCGGGGTAGAGCAGCTCGCCGTCGCTCTGCCGCACTCTCTCCCTCCCACCATACTCCGCCATGGCAGACGAGTCACCACCATCGGTCCCCCCAGGGAGAGCCCTCGGTGCGCCCACCTCACACTTCTACCCCTTCGCTACCTCCCCGGACGTCATCCGCTCTCACGAAAAGGATGTCTTCATGACCGGGAGCCTGGTCCAGCAAGCCCAAGGTATCATTCGCTCCTTGCGCGGCGCCCGCTTCGCACATACCCACGCCGAATCCATCAAGCATCTCACAGAGATCCTCTACTTCTCACTCACGACAGCCATTGGCAACCGCACGCTCGGCGAGGAGTACTGCGACCTGATCCAATTGGAAGACGAGACACTACGACTTCCCTCGATTACGCGGCGAGTCGGTTACATCCTGAGCAGCATCCTAGTGCCATGGACACTACAACGGTTCCTACCGAAGCTACGACAGCGCCTGCGCGCTAAGCTCGAGCGCAGCATCGCGCGACAGCAGATCCGCGCCGCGCAGCAAAAGTCATCACCGACAACCCCGCAACCATTCTTCTCCAAGCTGCGCATACAACAATATATCCTCGAACATCTGGACTCAATCACATCCCTGTCCCCGATCTATGCCCTCAGCATCGCAACCTTCTACTTCACAGGCTCATACTACCACCTCTCCAAGCGGCTCTGGAACCTCCGGTACGTCTTCACCAAGAAAATCGAAGATGAAGAGCAGCGCGTCGGCTATGAAGTGCTCGGCGTGCTTCTCGTGCTCCAAATCGCCGTGCAAGGCTTCCTACACGTCCGCAAGTTGGCCTCGAGCGCCGGCGACGACCAGAGCGCCACAGCGGACGCCGCCGAGTCCCGCTCCGAAGCGGGCGCGTTGGTGAAGTCCATCCAGAACCCCGTCTCCATGCCCCTTTTGCCGGCGTCGACACCGAACTACGATCTTGCTGAGGACCCCGGCGCCGTCTCTTGGATTCCTGATGGCCAGCAGCGCAAGTGCACGCTGTGTTTGGAGGCTTTCAAGGATCCTAGCGTCACTACATGCGGGCATGTCTTTTGCTGGGTATGTGTGCGGGATTGGGTTCGGGAGAAGCCTGAGTGTCCGCTGTGTCGGCAGGAGTTACTTTTGTCCAAGGTTCTGCCGCTGAGAGGGTAGCATTTGAGATGGTTTTGAGCGTGACGCCTTATTTGAATATTACAACACAACGCTAGATGCCGGTAAATCGGCGCCAAAAATGGCTATTATTATATGCGGAGTGTATGTTTTAAATATACCGCTGTCTTCACTTATACTATTCCCCTTCTAATATAGCGAGCAAATAATAATTACCATGATAGTGGGCATATAATGTCGAATCCAGGTGGAGAACTGATCCCAAATGGTAATCTCAGAATATGGTCAAAGCCACAAAGTAGAAGAAGTCTGACATTCTAGGGATAAACTAGCTATCTATTTCATAGTACGAAATCCATAGTAAGTGGAATAATCCCACAAAATCAAAAATGTCAAAAATCCAAAGCACTTTCGTGCTATACAAACTTTTATCCATGTCTGACATGCTGACAATATAACAACATGCAATCATGGCGTAAGTCAAGAATGGCCACCTCCCAATCAATACCTGCTTCAATACGACCAGTTGTTTCTGAACTTTTAAATTGATCATAGGGAAGTCAACGCAGGGGCTTCAGGTGTCGGGGGATGGGAGTGCTTGGTTTGCAGGAAGATCTTCTGCATTCCCTGATCACGCCGTTCGAAGGCTGCATAAGCCTTTTCAACATCTTCGAGGCGAATTCGGTGAGTGACCATATCGAGAGGATTAATTTTCTTTTTTTGGATGAGATCCATGAGCTGGTGCCAGTACTTGTGCACTGGAGCTTGGCCATTGCCAATAAGTCGCACACCGGTCTGCATCAGGGCCCCAATGTTGAAGTGATTGGTCTGCCACAGGCCGGTTAGCATTGTACCTTCACTTTGCCTCGAAAGAATCACTCACATATCCTGCGTAGACACCTGTCACGCCAACCCTTCCGAATGCGTGAACAGAAGTGATCATCTCATTCAGCAATTCAGATGTATCCGTTTCCATCCCCACCATTTGTTCAAAGTAATGTGCCCACCCTTTGGCGTACTCACCCGCAGCACACTCGAGAGCGATGTCAAGACCACCAGGAACCATCTCTTTCAGTCGAGATGTCACAGAATCGCCCCGGGATAACTGTGTAAAGTTAAGCGTCTCTAGCTTGGGCATTTTTTGTTTGAGGAAATCCAAACGCCATGCAGCATCACCACCATCAATCAAGATAACTCGACCGGCTCCATGGAAGAAACAGAACTCAGCGGTCATCTGCCCAATTGGGCCACCACCCCAAATGCCAACGATGTCGCCTTTTTGGACACCAGTATCGACCACGCAATGCCAAGAGGTAGCAACGACATCAGAGAGGTAGAGAGCCTTCTCATCAGGCACGTCAGCGGGTATGGGAAGCAAATTGACATTGCCATATGGTACCCGGATGTACTCTGCCTGGCCACCGGCAAAGCCTCCCGTGAAATGGGAGTATCCAAATATTCCTATACTGGAGTCAAAACTAGTTCGGTATATTAACGAGGGGCAGGATGCTGATTCCCACCGACATACCAGCGGTTCGCTTTCCGTACATGGCATTTGCAATCGTATTTTCGTTGGTTCTTTCACATTGGGAGAACCTCTCGTGTCGACAATTCCGGCAGTCCCCACATGCGATTGGGAAGGAAACAACCACACGTTCCCCAGCTTTGATTTTGTTTGCTTCGGGTCCAGTTGTTTCAACTATGCCGCAGCATTCGTGTCCGAGAACATCGCCCTTTTCGAGCTCGGGAACGACCCCTGTCAAAGGTCATCGGCTGTCTATCATCCCTAATCGTCACCAATTCCAACATACCATGGTATAAGTGTAGGTCGCTTCCACAAATTGTACTCCCTGTCACCCTGACGATCACATCTCCTGGGTCAATTATTCTTGGCTTCTTCATTTCCACTTATCATACCAATGAGATTCATTATCATAATTTGGAGCATATAATGGTAAACACACCGAGTTTTATGCTCTTTTTCCCTTGCCAGGTAGTGGCTAGGATCTTTTCTCCAGTTCCCATGCCGTGTTCATTCTGGTAGTTGCTGACATCAGTAGTGATCGATGCGTTATCACCATGTCCAACTGCTTTCTCCACCAGATTTGCTGCTCGTGAGGCGGCCATCGTATGTTGAAATTGTTATGCTAATGGGGCTGTGCGGGATGAAATTGGCGAACACTTTTCGTGCACAATCAACTTTCTCGATGTATACCCTAGGGACGAATAAATCACAAATGACTTATTTGTTTTAACCACTCCTAAACTTGAACGGATTTTCGGGTTTCTTAAAGTCTTGAATCTTGTTTGTTCATATTGACATCATCATGAAGCTATCCGACCCGAAAAGGGTAATAGCCTGATTTTCTCAACGCAAGGAACTTCAACACGCCACATGCGCGACTATGAGGTCATCATGGTCATTTGTACCTTGTGCCTCAGGAGAAGACAAATGGAGAGATCCTCGATAGGAAACCAGAGATCACTCATTTTTGAGAATGATGTCACCCAGTTGTGTTCACTTAGCCAAATCGCAATGCTTCTTCTAAATGAACAAATCTTGGTATATAACAATAGTGGACACGTGGATGATCATCCCCACCCTAGTTATGGTGCGTGGTAGGATACTTTCTCTTGTGGCTGGCGTGAGCGTACCTGCGAAACAAGAAAAGTGACAACAGAGATAGAGACACAATTTTGGTGGAAGCTCTAGCAGTTGAATCAGATAGGCCAGTAGCTTGTTATGATGAAGAAATTTACTCAGCCATTCAGAAGCAGAGGCAGTAAGAACAGAGCATGACATAGTCAAGTTGATTGATATGTGAATATCTCCTTGTGGGGACAAGTACCAAACTCCAAAAGACTTGTGGGGTTATGCCTGTTGAATCTATAATCACCTTGAGATCGACCAAATGGAAATCGGCCGCGCACACCTCTGAAGGCAAAGGGAGTTTGTCCAATATTTCCTATACCAGATATTGGTTCTACTGCGCGTGCTTTCTCTCAATTGATGTTGCTGACTACATTTCAACGCGATAATATAACTCTCGGGACATGCTTCCTGTGGCAGAGGTATGATGAACGCTTCCCTGCGGCCTGATACATTAGTCTTTTCCCATAATCAGAGGAGATTTTGCCTAATTGAAAATATCAAAGAGGCTGCCGGAATAGTCCCCATGCCCAGGGCTCGAACACGAAGATAATTACTGAGACATTGGGGGGCCAATTGGACAAACCAGTTGATAGACGGTCGTACAGCCGAACGCCCCAAGACAAGTTTTCCCACGGACAAACCTATGATTCTGATCAAGTATGAGAATGCAGACAGTTTACCGCCACCTATCGTCGTAGGGAATTAGATAAAAAAAATAAAGGCGGAAGTGACGATTCATGGACGGAAAGAATCGAAAACCAAAGAGAGTTCAAACAGGTTTGACATTACCAATGGTTTCGTTTTCGGTCAAATCGGAGATTATTCTTTCCGACATAATTAAGAAGTATATTATTAACCCTATCGACTTACAGGGTTTCTGACATCATACATCTTGTATTTGCGATGAGCGTTCGCCGCTGCCATTACGCCATATTTACGCAATGTTCTTTCCATCATCCATATGCAGGCTTGTCGACTAACACCGCCAGGCGTATATAAGGTCGTCTCAATACTTCATACCAAATTCATTCTCATATGCTTAAAATAGCGCTACTATTTTTGGTACGCAACGTGAATTGAATAATCACTCAAAATCAGGCGAAATGGCGGTAAGTGCAAATGATACAGAGATGATCTGCTTCACCGCCCGCAGTGATTGATACTCCTAGCTTACATACAGCCTGTCATGATGTGTAGAATCCTGAAGCTCGTCCAGATGAAATCATTGTCAAAATAAGAAAAGACACAACCGCATCTAGCGAGCAAACATCGGCCAAAGGGCACCAGCTCACAGGAGACGTGCTGGCAGTCGGAACTGGAGAAGTTCTCCAAGATGGATCTGTTCGAGAGCCTTTAGTGAAACCTGGAGACTTTGTCACGATTGCAAGGGTGCGTATGAGATATCACTGATTTGTCAACCTTCGATATTATCAACTAACTCATGTCTTATACATAGGACGCTGGCAATGAAGTAGACCTTCAAGGTCAAGAGTATCTTGTTGTACGCGAACATGAGTATGTGTCTTTCCGCATATTAATTAGTATTTTGATAAGCTAACAAAACCATGAAGGATCTTGTCAAATAATAGGCCTTCATAAAGACACCATCTCCTCAAGCGCCAAGCTAGTGCCCTCGATTTTTTGCCTCCAATTCAAACACGATTCATGTTGTTGATCGTACAATAAGCAAATTATATAAACAATTCAATAGTTACTAGCCAATAGCATGCGTACCACACCAATGCTCCATGTCGATATCTTCATTAAGCCAAAACATAACAGTAGAGATTCTGCCCTGAGCATCGTCAACACAGCGGTAGTGAGGTTCGTCTAATTTGTTCAGGTTCGACGGTTAGCGTCGTCTGATCAAGGCCAGAATAAAGGTTCGGTTTTCTATTTCAGGGTGTTGGCAGGACCAAATTATCGAGTCCGGGTGGAGAATTGATCGACCATTGATTACCCAGATGGTAATCAATGAATGTGGTCATAATCACAAGATAGAAGGCGTCTGACCGTTTAGAGATAATCTGGCTATCTATTTTATAGTACAAAATCCATAAGCAAACAAGCGTACAATACTAAAAATGTCAAACTACAGTAAGCTACGTCTCGAAACTGGGGTCGCCACCTCGTACTGCAGTTAATAGACCATATACGGTAAGGAATGGCAGAAAAACACGTTAAACCGAGTTCCCAAATTGAACAGAGAAAACCATTGTTATACAAGCATGTTAGTATGCATATACATGTATCCATCTTCCAATCAATCGTTGCCTCACTAATAGTGGTTGTGTCACCATTTCGTCATCAAGTTCTCAACACATAGTATAAATTATAATCTAGAACTTCGATAGATTCTCCCGATAACTCTATATAAAACACGAAGAAGCCTGTAACTACAAGGTAATGATTTTCACTTAATGAACTGAATTAAGGAAGAAATTAAGTTCTCGTCAACATGACTCCAAAGATTTTGATTGTTCTTTCATCCCACGGCCAGTTGGGTTCCACTGGCAGGAAGACAGGCTGGTATTTGGTAATAACATATATTCTCGCTTCTACAGCCAGAAGTGCTATTCTAATGAATCAAAGCCTGAATTTGCACATCCATACTATGTGTTCACACCTCACGTCGATTTAACTATCGCATCTCCTAAAGGTGGCCACGCACCTTTAGATCCTGGCTCCGTAGAAGCCTTCAAGAATGACTCCCAGTGTGTCGAGTTTCATCAGACACAATCTGCACTCTGGGAGAATACCGAGAAGATTTCAACCTACCTTGGGCGTGCAAATGAATTCGATGCTATCTTCTATCCTGGAGGGCACGGACGTATGTTTGCCTCGCATCAAGCCCTCTAACCTCTACTGATTATAACGAAGCAATGTTCGATATCGCTAATGACAGTGACTCAATTGCCTTGATTCGGGAATTCTGGGAGTCTGGCAAAATCGTGTCCACCGTCTGTCATGGTAGCGCAGCCTTGCTCAACGTTAAGCTGTCAGATTCCTCCTTCCTCTTGGCCAACACGCCAGTCACTGGTTATTCTAATTCGGAAGAGGATGTAACCAATATGTCACAGTACATGCCATTCATGCTTGAAACAGAGCTGAATAAGGTCTCTGGAGGCAAATACGAGAAAGCATCGTCTGATTGGGCCTCGCATGTGACTGTAGCAAAGGACGGAAGGCTGTTAACCGGTCAGAACCCAGGGAGCGCTGGAGATTTGGCGAGGGTAATTTTAGAGAAGTTGAAGGAGTAAGCACTTGGGTAACTGGGAGTTGTCTAGGAACTGGGGGTTTAAAAGCTTGCTAATCCGGTCTCCACTACCAGAAAGTAAGGAAAAGTCTCAGTAAAAGTCTCGACAGATTAATATGATTTCCACCACATTGAAAGTACTTCTAGATGGCTGGATTTGTAAGGTAATAGCTTGCACTTGTATCGGATTTTCTAGCCAAAATGGTCGCCCGGGTATGCATTTACTGCACATCTAACGAATCAGGTAAAAATGCATATTTAACGACAACAAAGTCTGGCAGCCATGAAGCAGCTATGCAACTCAGCAGCAGGTCTGAATAATAGTTCTTGATGCTAATGTGTTATCGGTCTTACTCATTAGCCAATTGGGGTAGTTATTCCTTGCCATCCACGAATGATCTTTTGCTTTTCCTCTTCTGGTGCAGCACACATTTCTTCTATGCCTTGTTCTATCCGTGATTCTTCGATTTTTCTCAGTTTGTCCTTGGATAAGGAATGACGAAGACTTTTATGAAGCCCATCAAGAGGGAAGCCTGCGAGACCACAGAGACCTAATCAACCAGTACAGTATTTTTTTGTCATGTGGTGTCTCCAAAATTCAGGATTTGTACACTTACCACTTAATGATTTGAAATATATTCCGAACAACCCTTTTCCAATGCCTGGTACCAAACCTTTGAAGCCGGATTGTCGAATGGCATGGACAGGTTGCACAAAAACTCCAGTGACACCAGCGTAAATTTCTTGAGTAAATTCCTTGGAAAAAAAAATTAGCAAACGGGACTCTCCGGGTAAATCTGGATTTGAACAATTACAGTGCCAGCGACGCGAAGCCCACTTTTGATACTTCTGACAGTGGGGATTTCTCGCACCATGGAATCATGATATAGCTTTGGCCCATTATGAAATCCCTTAGTCAAACCGAGTGCAAAATCAGCCGGGAGAATGAGCACAAAGTCAAGCAGCTTTATTGCAACTTTTCCAGCCTTATAAGAGCTTGGATCGCTGAGGGCTCTCTGAGTTGGCGTAAACTTGGCGACATTCGCTTGTGTTCTTGTCTCTCGCTGGCTGGGTGAGTCATGCCTCGGTCTTGAGTGGTTCATCAAGCCTTGTGAGGCCGAAGCTGTATCAATGCCGCCAACAGAGCCATGAGCCCGGTTTGTTTGACCTCCCAAAGAACCTTCTGCTGGCTCATGAGGCGACAAAGAGATATCGGGTATTTGTATACTTCCTGAGTTTTCTGAAGTATCTAGGGGTTCCTTCTTCTTTTCCCTTGGCACTGTTTCTGCAAAATATGCTACGGCTGAATCCCGTACTTGGGCACGGCCTTGAGCTTCCATTCGCCGGGTTCCGGAGAAAGTGGAGGGTAATTCTCCAAGAATACGTGCCATTCCCCCAACCATGTTGGTTAAGAAGCGATAAGAAACTTCTGCGCTGGCAGAAAGAGGTCCCCGATATTCGTGATTGGTTTCATACTCTCGCGGCCGATACCTGTGACAGTTAGCTCGAGATAACTTAACGTAACTGAAATGTATGCTTACATAGCCAACTGATGTGGATCAATATGTCCAGACTGCACCAAGACAGACGCTGCAAGCGCACTCAATCTAATATGAGAACGTCGTACCCACCACGCAGCCGGCTTATGTGGACACAGAGAGCAACGAAGCTTCTCAAAGTTTGTATGGTGATGAAAGCTTCTGACCGCGTTCTGTACACCATCTTCTTTCCGCATAGCGCTGCTTATAGCCTCAGCATGATTCTTGGTCGAGGACTGCAAGGCCGTTTCAATGGCGGCGACTAAATTTGCAGTAGTAAGCTGTTTATATGGAATTGCTCGAGGTCCAGCACCAGTGTGCGCAACGATTGATCCCCAGAATAGTTGGTCGCCAAAAAAAGGCACAATCACCGTGGGGCAGCCCTCAAGTAAACCAGCGGCTGTGGTTCCAGCACCTCCGTGATGTATAACGCATGAAACACGCGGGAATAGCCATTCATGGGGGCATTTATCTAAGAGAAAAACGTTGCAAGGAGTCTCGGCCGTACTCGCACCAAGATTAGACCAACCTTGAGAGACGACCGCTCGTTGACCCGTCTCCTGGATAGCTTCAAAGATAATTGTATTTAATCTGACAGGGTCAGCGACGACTACTGACCCGAATCCAATATAAATTGGACGCTCGCCTGCATCGAGAAACTCTTGCAGCTCCAAGGGGGGCTCGTAATTTCTTTCTGAAGTCAAGAACTGAAAACCACAAATGTCGATATTATCAGACCAGTCGTCTGGCTTTGGTAGGAGAGCAGGGGACCTAGGACAATCAGAAAATAAATAATATACTGTTAGTCTTCAGTCACGTACCAAAGGTAAGTGTATGGAATCTTCAATCTGTGGATGAGAGTCGGCGCCCGCATCACATCCAGTGGATCGAGGCCAAGCTCTTTCTTGCGAAATTTGTTGACCAAATCTCCTAGCCCCTCCCACATTAAGACTTCAAACAGAGCATACGAAGCAAAATTTGCAACAGATACTTTATTGCTCTTCGCCCGAACGTTCGCTAACGGATGGGGGAAAGCGCGCGTGGGGGACCATGGCATTCTGCAGTCATTCAATGCCGTGAAACAAACCGGCAGGGGTATTTGGATCAAACTCACGTAAACATCATGTGAAGAGGGATACCCAGCTTCTCAGCACAGCTGAAATGCGCGAAGCTCGGAGGGTTTGCGATAATGACATCAGCCACAAATGGCCGAACACAGTCACTCGTTTCATTGCTCCCTATGTTCTCAGGTATCTGAGGTAAATCAGACCCCTCTCCTTCTTCGAAGCATGACCGCCAACAACCGGAAAGAATAGCCTTTATTTCCTGGCGGCGCTGTTGAACGGCGCCGCTCTTGATCGTGCGTAGATCAGGTATTAGGCCAGGGTTTTGAACCATGAAAGCCATTAATTGTTCTGGGTCTCCTCCAATATCAAAGAACTCTAGCCTATTTTGTTTGATCTCTTTGCGAAATTTGAGGTGCGTTGCAAGACGAACTCTGTGTCCGCTTCCCTGGAGCTCCTTTCCAAGCGCAATAAACGGTTGAATGTCGCCTTGTGAACCAACAATCTGGATCACGATGTTCAACTGAAGGGGAGAAGGCTCTTGCACGTCATTTCGAAAATCCAAAGGCTCCGGATTTTTGTTGGCGGTCCTTGGGCGTCTCTCAAGTCGTTTCATCAGCTTTCTGAGAAAAGGACTCTGTTCTTGAAATTCAATGTCGAGTCGCGCGTTGTCTAAAACTAAACAATCAATCCTGTATGCAGTCTTAAAAGTGAAGAGCTGACCTATGATGCGGACGCCACTATCAGGTCTTTCGCCCATCAACGAGGAAGTTTCAGGGGAAGGGGAGGTCTGCGGGCCTAACCCATCTCTTTGATTTAATTCTGTTGCCGCCATGTCTTCAAGTGGTTGTGCACGCATCGAGCATTTGTCTCATATGTTGCTCGGGTCTGTTGCACCGAATGAGACCGATCTTTCATGAATACTGAGACCCCAGAAAACCCCACCTTAGATGACAGCATCGTCCCTCTTGAATTTGGGGCAGTACTTCAATGTCTACCCAATGGATTTGAAAAAGTTTATCTTCATTTTTTTCCGGATGCGGTGAGTATCGTAGTTCGGTTCCAGATGCTAAACTTTACTCCCCGTGTTTTGATCAGAGATGAATCATCCGTCTAGTCAGTTCGTATCGCTAAATCGGTAGCATGTTTGCCATCAAATAATGAACATTCTCCAGGTCATGTCCTGGAGAAATTATGAATATCTTTTTTGGTTGTCTGCATCACGTGATAGCCATGGTCCAGCACGAACCAATGTCAAATTGGTATATTGTGATTAAATTTTAACGATGACGTCTTTTCAACGGCCTGATCAGGAAGCCAGACTTCCAAAAGTCCACCAGGACCATATCTACCGCACCTGGTTCAGTCAGCACTATGATGTGTCTTCCAACGATGGACAGACACCCGTATTACGTGAATATCTCTTCGATTGATTTCCAAAAGCCCGATCTTATAATGCGTGTCGGGATCGATATCGTGATCTCAGAATCTGGAGTTATATATAATCTAACCGAACTGCGAAACATGCAAAAGATTGAAGATTGGATATGGACTGTTAAGCAAACCCAGACACAAGTGGAATCTTTAAAGAGATAAAACACAAAACAGCAGGCTAAATCAAAGATGAAAACAGGCTATGCACTGTCCTGAGAATCTATGATACTTGATGCAATGATCAGGGCACTATCAGTGCCTCTAGGGTTGTTCAACAGCATTTGCGTCTGAAGGCAAGCCTGAAGCTTCCTTTTCCTCGGTATTAACAGCCTGACCAAGGGGAAGAATGATGGGGAGATTGAGTTCAGCGTGAGCAGGGCGAGGTGGTACAGGGTCCATAGCCAATCTCTTGGTTTCCATTGCGTTGAAGAGACAAATGCAAGCGTATGGGTCAGCGGCGGCATCTAAGAAGTGGGGAAGAGTAATTAACCAGGCGTGCCATGGAATGCAAGACACCAGGGAGGGTTAAACTCACATTGGACTTGACGATAGTTCAACGCGCGAGTCCAATCGCCACAGCGAATATCCTCGGTTTTCTCCAGCGGCAGACCAAAATGCTCTTCCACTTGATCGCTGAGATTGACGCTCCGCTTGTTAACCAGCTTAGGGTTCGTCTGGGAGTACTTGACAAGTCTGTAGAGATAGCTGAGCTCGAAGATAGAGCGGGCCTCGATGCCAAGATACTTGCGCAGCCGCGTGCAGTCTGCCTTGATGGAGACGCCGACCTTAGTGATGTCTTGACACTCGAGTATATGCTTCAGGGAAGGGGAGATGAAGTCCTGTGGATCGCGTCCTGGCTTGAACGACGCAAGCTGGAAAAGCGCGATGCGCTCCTCGTTGGCGACCTGGATCAGCGAGAGGTTGTTGCGGATGCTGTCGAAGCCAAATGTCTGCGCTTTCCATTCCATGTCGAATCCGATCACTTTGCTGTTTAGGAAGAGTTGGGCTACTTCCTCAGTGCTCTGGAGGGTCCGGCAGTAGTGCACGATGATACTTTGTCCATTCGGGCCGGGATGCGAGATGTGACTCCAGAACTGCGGCACTTCAGCGTCCTTTTCGATGAACTCCTGCTCCAACGCATCTGGCGAGTCGGACAGGGCTTCATCACCCGTGCTACCTTTTAAAGACCCATTCAATGCTACTGCTGGAATCCCAAGTCCATCTGGTTTAGACAATACCTCGTGATTACCATCGTCGGGCCCCTTGGCTTTATCGCGAGGGGCAGTCGTCGTGTCAGTGCAATAGGGCCTCTCCCCGGTCTTTCCAAAAGAATATATAGGCCGCCATTTCGGAGCCACACGGACGGGTGAGCGGGGAAGCTTGGGCTTGGAAGCCTTAGCCGGCTTGACCTTGAGTTTAGGCCCTGCCGACTTTATTCTCACCGAGTTCCATTTCAAGAAAGAAAATTGAGGGGCATCGGCTTTCTTGGAAATCCGGTCTTGCAGTGTTTGAGAGAGGGGTGGTTGGGAAGGTTCGGATCTGAATTGTTTCGACCCCCATGGAGCCTTAGCTGCCTTCTTTGGTGAATTCTGCTTAGAGTCTGGCGAAACCTTGATAGGCTCTTTCTCCGCAGCTTTCTTTCCTGGAGTTGGTCGGTAGTCCTCGCTGCTATGAGCTCCCTTGGCCTCGGGTAACTTGTCTGATGCCTTGTCGGGCACATGGCTTCCATGTTGAGAGTTTCGAGCTGACGCTCTGGATTGTTTCCGGGCTTTTTTGATCCCCAATCGTTTGGCTTTCCAAGTCTGCTTCTTCTTCTTCTTTTTCATCTCCTTGAATTCATGTTTCTTGCTCTTAGACCTCCAGATTGATCTTTTCATCAATCCTAACCTGCGTAGCTGGGCCCGCGAGTAGACACTCGATATGATACTCTTCGCAGAGATGGACAACTTGCGGGGCGTCGCATATCCACCCATTGCGTTTCGGACAATCATCCTAGCAATTGACTCTTTTCTCGCATTACGCGACAGACGAAAGAGGGACAGGTATCTGGAGTTTGTACGTCGCTGCCAAAGTCGGGATACCCGGAGAGGACCAGGTTGTTGGCGGGACATTCGGAAGGGGGATCGTTTATCTTGGGTTCGAATACGGCCGTTTTTCTGGGAGCCCAAGTTCATGACCAGGGAGTTATAAGGAGACTGGATCGGTGCCGGATCCAAACGCTCGTGCAGACCTTTCCAGTATGACGGAGGCATTTGAAAGACGAGTGTCAAAGCCCACATATGCCGCCATATTGCCTGTATCCTGTAGGTCCATTGACGAAAACGCAACATATCTTCACTCAGAGGATTATGTGCAACGAAAAGTCCCGGAGCACCAGTATCGCCAGGCAGACCGAGATCGCGCAATTTGTCTGCGCACTTGAGCCGCATCCAGTTGATGTGCATGAGTTCGTCAACATTCCTGTTGAATTGGTGATAATATGTCTTGAATTCAAACCCCACCTTGGAGATGTCAACTTTGAATTTTGTTCTGGTTTCCCAATCGAGGGCGGACCACAAGCCACAATCAATGTTCAGGCTCTGCCTTAGGAACCACACTTCGCGTATTATTCGGGTTGTTGACATTTGGAGAAGTAACAACGGCGCCATTACATCCAAATGCCGCCAGTGTATGTCCTGTTGCCGGTGTAAAACCCGATCGGGACCGTTTGCCTCCTTGAGGATGGTAGACTTGTGCGTATAAAAAATCCAGAGCCTTCGCGGTATCCGGTCGAATTGTCGTTCCAGCAATTCTCGCAACTTGACTATTGTCTTGCTAGTGGAGTGGTGGAGTAAAAGGCTATCCATTTTTTTGGTTATTGGGTATTTCCGTGTGCTGATTGCCCCTTTTGTGGTAAAGGACATGGCTCTGAATTCGCCGTCTGCTAGAGAACGGTCTGCTTTTCTCCATCTGCGCCACCACAAACGATAACTGTGCGCGCAGAAGTCAAACTGTTGTCTGTGGGATCTTGTTTTTCGAAGGAGATCTGAATATTCCGATTCTCGCTGTTTATTGCGATTCCAGTGGAGGTCTGCAAAAGCCTCCCATTGAAGTGCAATGATCGAAAGTGTCTCAGAGACAGGTGCACATTTCGACCGCAGCTGCAGGTAATCATCCTCGAGCTTTTGCGCTAGTCCAAGCTGGCGATCCACCTTTACTCTTGCAACTTTTCGCGGATCCAGATAATCTCGCTTGATTAGCTCATGCAGCTCTAGAGACGAGGCACACAATTGAGAGAGCTGGCGCGAAAATATTTGTGATAGGAGCAAGAGGGTTCGTTCGCGTATTTGGGAAATGTTCTTGACAGCGCCCAATACGCTTGCCGTCCAGGTTGGAGTTTGCGCAAAGACAATTTCGCAAAATTCATGTTCCACCAGTTGGATCGCTATTTGCGCTTGCAAGAAGCCGGCCTCCACGCGAGCAAGCATGGCAGATCTCACCGCGAAGTATTCGGCGGTGAGGTCCCGATGAATCTTCGCCCATTGTTTGAGTTTGTCGTCAAATTCCTGAAAAGAGCGCTGGTAAAAGAATTGTAATGCCAATCCGATCTTCTCGCACTCAATTTGGCAATGCAGGAGAGCTTGCTCGAAGGGGAGATATTTCAGACGAACATGAACGGAGTCACAGCAATCGAAGATATGAGGCACCTGAACTCCCCAGAAATGCTTGAACTTCTCATTATACTCTTGATTCATTCGTATCCTCTCGAGATGTAGCGTTTTGGCAGTTGTATTTCGTTGCGCGAGGGTCTTTCTTGCTCGAAGAATGCTGCTAAGATCTCTATCCGGAGCGAGGTAGATATCGCCCGATCTCCCAGGCGGTTTTTTCCTCTCCCGCCGCTGGTTGGCTATCTCTCCATCTTCATCTTCGTCCTCCAGCAGCACAAGAGCGCGAGAGGTACTGGAAAACGTCCGCTTCGGGTGTGAGGCAGCGAACGGTCGGGCGTGCGGTTGTAGGGCGGAGGCGGGTCGAGGCTTTGGCCTACTATGAAAAATCGAGCAGGAACTAGATTGACTTTGTTAGGGAGCTGAGTTTGTAGGGATATGAAATGTGTAAAGGAATCATACCTCCATGTCGATGTCCGCGGAGCAGTCGCCAAGCTACCGGAGTCCCAGCCGCCGTGCCTTATAGCTGAGGACGGGTGCCTCAGGCATGCTGAAAGGCTCACCCGGGTCGGCATGCTCTGCAATCATCATGGACGTGCCACAGAAGAAGCTAGACAATACTGAGAGATTTGTGAGTTATGAAGAACGACGAAAAGCAACAGCTAGTCCGGGGTTCGCACTAGACCCGATGGGGAACACCGGCAGAACTTATAATCCGACACCCGACATGATCGGCGATTTGGGAATTGTCGTCCCGCAACTCATCTGTGATCCTCGTCAAGACCATCCACAACAATGGCGTCGCAGCTTCTTCCTTTGGGTTAGTTTCAGGCAAGGTATTCAGGCCGAGTGGGCTATTACTAACCGCTTGGATAGAGCTCATTGACAAGTGTGTCGGCTCCCGGATATGGGTGATCATGAAGGGCGACAAAGGTGAGTGCTGCATATACCTATGTCGAGTAACAGAGCGTCGATGCTGATACTAGAAAAGAGTTTTCGGGCACATTGCTCGGGTTTGACGACTACGTCAGTAAGTGTCCCTCTCTCTCTAGCGCTGTGGGGGTCCAGCAGGGTGCTAACCATGACTCTAGACATGGTCATGGAGGACGTGACGGAATTGTACGTGTTTCTCGTTCCAAATCAATGGGACTCGCGCATCTTTTAGTTTCTGATGCTCCAGCCCCCATTGTTTATCTGTTTCTTCTCTAACCGGCCTTCCAGCGACTACACCGGTGCCCAGATCAAACTTCCTAAGCTTCTGCTGAACGGGAACAATGTTTGCATGGTACGCATGTCCTCGGTTTTAGGTGCTGCTCGCAATCTAATCTCTGCTCCCTAGTTGATTCCTGGTGGTGAAGGGCCCGTGGCCAGCTCGTGAGATGGAGTCTTGCAATTTCCATCACGAAGAGAACTTTGTATTTCATCATAATACCGAATCAAATAACATGAAATTACCCTCCTAGCATGCACAAACATTTGTCTTGACATACTCTATTCCGTGGGCAGATACAAGGTTTACCTCTAAAGCATCTTCCTCATAAATGCCTCCCACAGCGTGATAACACCCCCATCTAAAGTCTTCTCCTCATACAGCGGCTCCTCCTTCCAGCTAACATACCCAATTTTTTCATACCACTCCTGGATACTAAACGACGGCATCGACAAGCCAATTCGCTCCCACATGCCTTTCCATTCTGGGCCCTCTTCATATATGTACCGTTTACTCAAGGCAGTCAGTGCAATAGACCGACAGTTGGTGCTGCCGTATGGCTCTCGAACGGCCATTTCTTCGACTAAGCTCATTGCACGTCGTCCCAATCCATACGCGCGATATTCGGGCAGGATGAAAAAGGAACTAATAGAGAGCACGGACTTGTCTGCGCGCGCGAGGTCTAGGTTGGGTGGATTGCAGTATGCGTCTAGGGAGATGTGGCCGGCGCGGATGGGGTCGTTGCTGTTGTTTGGGTTGGGAAAGATTATCCAGAAGAGATTTTTAAGGCCTTCTTGTTGTTTTGCTTTCCATTCCAGTAGGGTTTCTTCGTCGTAGTGCCAGCCGCAGATGACACGCTGTCTTTGAATCTCGGCAAATTGATCTGTATCATGGAGACAGATGGGTTCGAGGTCACACTTTCGAGACATGGCGGTCGAGGCTGTAGGTCTGGATGTTGAAAGCTGATTTGCCGCTTTGAGAGATTATTTTATTAGTCACTAGCGCTTACAGGGCGGCCATCGATAAATAAAGAGTATTCTGATTAGGTGATAACCCGTGCACAGTGGCAGGCATTGTTGAATTGCCTCATACAGAATGTGGCTTCAGCTGTAAATATTATCTTACGACCTGCAATGAAGTTTGGACTTCATACAGACATAGCGCAGCTAGAAAGGTAGCGGGTGACGAAGGTCAGCAGTGATTCTCGAAACATTGTTATAATTGAATTTTAACATGACTCAGTATCAATATTGCCAGCGGCATTTGGACCATCTCCTTATGGCCACCACATATTGTAGATTGAAGTGCATTGCCATGGGGCGTGTTTGATGACTCATATAAGTGCAAGTTATACGCATAGTTCGCAACGCCTGGATCTCGTACTTTGTCCAGATTTTGGGATACGGAAGAATCTTGATCTTCAAAATATAAATAGCCGACCGTTTACGGAATAACGTTAAGAAAACAGCTCTTCATATCCAAGGTTTCTTTGCAAATGAGATCTTTTCTCTTGACAAACAGACTATTGCTAGGTTTCAATGTAAGTATACCAATGAACAATACTTACTGCCGTCCGCTACGCATAATTACTTAAAGGAACCCTAGAGCAAGTTGTTAAATAGAAAAGTGAAAAAAGTGCATCAAGGTGGTGACGTTGAATTCAGTGAACATTAAGTCTCTGACTTGCGTAGTTATGATAATAACTAAATCTAGCAAACAAGCACATTCTCGCTAGAGAAATAGTCAATAGGAATGAACGAACGAAGAAGTAGAGCAACACCAAAACTTGACCCCCCTACTTAGCCCTTGCTTACTTCTAGGATGACAATACACCCCGCAGCCTATTACCGGCTACAGCCGGTGTGGCGTATAGCCCTGCAGCAACGCATACATGGGAAGAACAAGGTTAACCGCAAAGCCAAAACTCCATCCGCTTCGTCAGCGCAACCTCTTCCCCGCAAGATTCACCTACTAAATTGCCTCATGTCCCCCACAGTACAGCTAACGCCATGAAGTCATTGGTGGAGACGCGCTTGCGGCTATTCTCTAACCAAGTGGATCAAGGCCGGGAGGAAGGTGGAAAATGCCGCTTTGTGTTGGCAGTAGTCGGTGAAGATTATTGAGTGTGGATAGGGGCATAGAGTCTAATTTCTGTGCACCGGGCCGGTGAGCTTGGCACAGGCGGAGCCGAGGTATAGTACCGGATATGCAGGTGTTGGACATGGAGTCGGGTAAATGCATCCTGACGGTGAAGTAGTTGGTTAGAAATGCAAGACTTCAAAGAACACATCGATCTTGAAGCATAGTTAGATGAAACAGGCGAATTATGATAGACCACGAACACGCAGACAGCAGACAACCGAGACCCGAAACATAAATGACATTTCAGCGGACGATGATTCGTCCCATAGGGCCGATCTGAATTTGGAAAGTTTAGAGCGAGATCGTGTCAAAAAATACTTTGACTCTGGTTGGTACACTTTACCCGAAGGATCCCTCTGTTTTGAAACTCGGGCACCAAACCACAAACACGAATAAGGCCGACCCCGATCGCTTACCCCAGACTCTCATCCGCAAAGCCGAGTGGAAACTATTAAGTAACAGAATGGTCTATCGCCCCCGCAGCTGATCATGATGGGTCAAACAAGCGATAACTCTAATACGACAGACTCACCACTGAAAAGAAAGGATTAGTGATTGAAAGTCCGTGATAAAAGCCCCGCAGCGAGCAATCGTCATTATCACTACTTGTGACTAACTCCCGTAATTCTTTTATCTGGATTGCCGCTGTTGACACTCCACTCTCTTTCTTCCTTTCTATGGAGCGACGCCGCCATGGTTGACAGGAAACTCAAACCGACACAGAAGAAACTCTGACTCAGCCTCCAGGTTCATTATTATTACTAGGGTCAGCTCGATGTTACCGTGGCTGCTGTGTTGTGCAGGCGCAGCCAGTCGCATGTGCGCCTGAGCGCCATCCGCCCGAGTGGCTGCGGTGGCGAAAACCCCGAAGACATCGCGTAAATTTTCTACGACAGATCGTAATTGCTTGCTCGTGTCCTGCAGCTGTCTGTAGTTAGTTCCGGGCAACACTAGGTTGTCTGTATGTCAGAACCTGAAACCCGGACGTGTATGAACCAAGGTTTGCGCGAAGGATGGGGTCCTAAATTTCGCTGACCGGTATACCTACAGAGAAGGGGGGGGTTCGGGGCAACCAAAATGCAAGCCAAGGCGTTGCCAGTGGAAGGAGCGCCCAATCTCGGAAGTGATTCCTGGACCGGTGATTGGGGAGATGAGATGTCCTAGTAGTTTACGGAGTAGTTATACGAAGGGGCAGGGACACACGGGCCCAGCCCGGGCCTGGGAACACCGCGTGATATTCGGTTCTCCCGGGGTTCCATGCAGGTCACTGTGTGGCAGGGTCAATAGGATGGCGCTCCGAAACAGTCGCATTCGAGAAAAAAGTATGCCCCGGAACTAGGCCCATTGCGGGCGAGGGCTGAACTCTTTCCAGCTTCTCATGGGGCCATCCGTTCCCGCCATCAGCCATTGCGCAGCCATCCCTGGTACGCCTCGGACGCCGTCGGACAGGGGTGCTTTCACTTGTTGCTGCTACTGCTTGTCGATAATTACGGATGCGCCGGGGCAATCGTCGTATAGTTGTAGGACAAGTCGATAAGAGCTACCCACCGGCAATCCACAGCAGAATCCTACGACCTTGGCCCCTTTCTCTTATCTAGGGTTGGCCGGGTCTAATGATTGGCTAACGGGCCCTGTTTGGACATTGCGGAGAGCGACCGGGTTAGGGCTAGCGTCAGCGATCCCTGCCGTCTTGGGGGCGAAAGCTTGGCTGTCGGTTTGTACCCAGTCGGTATGATCGGGAACACGGTGATGAGAAGAGATTCAGGGGAGTCATAGTTCGTGAGAGAGTGAGGGATCCCACTGGGGGAACCAAAGGGGACATTGTAAAGTCGAGTCTACCAAGTGGTTGCTGCAGTAGTGCTCCTAGGCCTACGGAGTAGAGATAAGAGTGCCCCATCGCGGTGTCCGTAGCAGTGCCCCATCGTCCATCGGTTACTCCAGTATTCATCATGTATCAGCATACGGCCCATGCGCTCTCGACCCAACCAGCGCACGTTATCTCGGCGAGGCAAAATGCACATTATTAACTGAGGTATTAATTCTTTCAGATCTGCCTGGTCCGACTATATACAACTGGTCCCCCCCCCGCCCACTCGGTCTCCCGTCTGCTCTTCTTCATTACTTACTTCCTTCCTTCCTTCCCATCCTTCCCTTACACTTCTCCCTCCCCCTGGCAATCATGGAGGAGAAAAAGGTCATCACAGAGTCGAAGACGGCCGTCGCAGAGCCGCCCCCAGCTTATGCCTACGGCGACTCCGAGCCCACTCGCGGCACGCTGAGGGAGCGCATCGTCGATAGCTTCAGGCGCGACCCCAATGCGCATGTCACCCATGGGGGTGCGGAAGGCGCCGATGGAGCGGGCTTCGATATCGAGAGTGCCGCGCAGAACACTGCCAACTCTCCGCTGCAGCGCAAGCTGAAGTCTCGTCACCTGCAGATGATTGCCATCGGTGGTTCGATCGGTAAGGAATTGCCCCTGATCCATGTAAGAGGTCGTCTGCTAACGTGCTTCTGATAGGTACTGGTCTGTTCGTGGGTTCGGGATCGGTGCTGGCCTCGGGAGGTCCGGCCTCAGTGCTCATCGCCTACTGTCTGATCGGAATCATGCTTTACTGCACCGTCCACGCGCTGGGCGAGATGGCCGTCCTCTTCCCCGTCGCGGGTTCCTTTGCCCACTACTCGACTCGGTTCATTGATCCCGCCTGGGGCTTTGCCATGGGCTGGAACTACGCGCTGCAGTGGTTGGTGGTCTTGCCCCTGGAAATCGTTGCTGCGTCCATCACCATCGGTTACTGGAACTCCCCGGTCAACAATGCCGCCTGGGTCGCCATCTTTTGGGTGTTGATTGTCGGCATTAACATGTTTGGTGTGCGAGGCTACGGTGAAGCCGAGTTCGTGTTCGCCATTATCAAAGTCACCGCGGTCATTGGATTCATGTGAGTAATTCCTTGATTGCCTTGGTGATTGGCGTTATCCACTCACACTCTTCTCTCTAGTATTCTAGGAATTATCATCGACTGTGGTGGTGGTCCCGTAGGAGGTTACCGGGGCGGAAAGACCTGGATCAACCCAGGTGCCTTCCACGACGGCTTCAAGGGACTTTGCAGTGTCTTTGTCAACGCTGCCTTCGCCTTCGCTGGCACTGAGCTGGTCGGTCTGGCTGCGGCCGAGACGGCCAACCCGCGCAAGACTCTACCGACTGCTGTCAAGCAGGTGTTCTGGCGGATCACTCTCTTCTACGTGGTCTCTCTGACTCTCGTCGGCCTCCTTGTTCCATACACCAATAAGAAGCTTATTAGCGGCAGCTCTTCGGAAGATGCCCACGCTTCGCCGTTTGTCATTGCCATCGAATCCGCTGGTATCGATGTTCTGCCGTCGATCATGAATGTTGTGATCATGATTGCAGTCTTGTCCGTCGGCAACTCCTCCATTTACGGCTCGTCCCGTACCCTCGCTGCTCTCGCCGAACAGGGCCAGGCTCCGCGAATCCTGGCGTACATTGACCGTAAGGGCCGTCCTGTCTTCGCCATTATGTTCGCCTCTCTTCTGGGTCTGCTGTGCTTCCTTGCCGCGACCCCCAAGGAAGTCTTGGCCTTTGAGTGGATGATGGCCCTGTCGGGTCTGTCTTCGATTTTCACCTGGGGCTCCATTTGCATGAGCCACATCCGCTTCCGCCGCGCATGGAAGCTGCAGGGCCACAGCACGGACGAACTGGCCTTCAAATCGCAGGCTGGTCTGATTGGCTCGTGGGTCGGGTTCCTCTTCAACTGCCTCGTGCTCATCGCCCAATTCTGGATTGGCGTCTGGCCGTCTGGCTACGTTTCTTTGAGTGCGTCGAGCCGAGTGAAGGTGTTCTTCGAGGCCTATCTGGCTGCTCCCGTTGTGATAGCCTGCTACATCCCCTACAAAATTTACTACAGGACCAAGTTCCAGCGCTCCGCCCGTATCGACCTGGTCACCGGTCGCCGGGACCTGGATGTCCAGCATCTGATTGACCAGGAGAGGGCCGAGCAAGCCCAATGGCCTGTCTGGAAGAAGTTCTACAAATTCTTCTGCTAGACTTTTAATGAGCGTTGTTTTAATGAGAATGCTTCGTTTACCTGTGGGGGGTTCTGAAAGGGGGTGGACCATGTGTTGTATATCCATAACATACTTATATCTCTTTGCTATCACCCAGCTTAGCTTGACGATCGATATCTAGATGATATCTCACTCGCCTTTGCTGACGAATGGACATGGCATGCCATAATTAGTCCATTTGTCTCTGTTTACCCTTATACATTCCGTAGTCTGCAGATGCTCAGATGCCATTCATCTTCGATGCGCTGCCGATCCTCGCCCTTCATCTCGTGGAAAAATGCATGTCTTCTCCAGACTTGGCATGTTTGCCCTATTACAGTGCTTCCTAGCAACCTTCATCAGGTACCATGGAAGTACAAAAGCCGAAACTTCCAGGCACAAAGCAAGTACCACTAGAGTACCTCATGATTGATATATTAATATTATCCCCCCCTTTTTTCCAAACTCCGACGTAGTTTTTCAGCTCGACACCAGGCCGTGCTCTCCGGGTCTCTCGGGTCCCCCAATGGCAACACGAGAAAAAAAAGCCGCCAAAAATAGTACGAAATGGGAGTTTTACTTTAAAGGGCGTTAGTCAGTGGAGTCTTTCGTATTCATACCGTAATACGAGTTGATCTGCACCGCCGGGCTACGTCAGCTTCAATCGTAATATTACCGGGGCCCAGGGCATGACGCCGGGTTCCAGGCAGTCACCCGGATGGATCTTCGTCTTCTCTCTAACTCTGCCTTTGTACCTAAGCAAGCCACAACTTGCTGTTTTTACCTTCGTTTTGCTTTTACGTACCAGTTTGCATTGCATCGCCAGTTCCCCTGGGCTCGGCCTGCTTCCGTTCGTTCTCTTCCTTGAACTCGTCTCGTGGTCTTGCCGCAGCCGCAGCCACCAGCCACAGCGCTTACCCTCGACCTCAACCTCCCACTCCTATCCTCGCGCATTAAAATTCTCCCCTGACGGTGTGGTCCAGCAGCTCGGCCATCCTTCTCATTATCATCTACTCGGTACAGATCCTCTGCGCGGGTCTGGATCGGACCCCAATTGCCCACGAAGCCAGCTGGTCTGCCCTCGGTGAACGAACGGCCACGAAGTCTCAAGACTCCCCCACAAGCTCTGACGCTACGGGACTCTTCTCTGGAACCTGCGCGAGACCACTTCCTCGTTCCCGATTTCCATACACACGGTCTGGAGGAATCAATTGCGTGTCTGCGATTACGTGTCCAGTGGTCACTGCGTCAAGCGTTTGAAAATCGCCGGTCGTCGTCACAATGCCTGGTTTTTCGGATTCATTCTGGACGCCCGACTATGCCACCGGGCTGGGGGTGTTGTATGGCAAGTTACAGCAGGGTGTGGTGGAAAATAAGCAGATCTTGACCATTGCCTCGATGCGCGCAGATGCGGAGGAGCAGTATGGTCTTCGCATGGGCGACATTGCTCCAAGTGTCGATCGCTTGACGGGAGCTGGGTTTGGCAAGGATGATGGGGCCAGTGTTCGCAAGGTTTGTGGAATTGGATGGATTTGCTCGTTGGCAGCACAAGCGCTGATACTATTTTTCGCTCCAGGCATATGAAGGCGTCCGCACTGAGATGATCGAAGCCTCGCGGAACCATCGCAAGATTGCGAACAATATCCGCGAATTGGTCGTTTCGCCTTTCCGACGCTGGAGCGATGGGCATGATATGCGTGTCCAGCAGTCGCAAGATAGTCTTCAGTATCGCATCAAGGAGCACACGAAACAAGTTGAGCTAGTCCAGAAACTGCGCAGCCAATATTTCAACAAGTGTCGTGTGGTTGAGGACCTCGAAGAGGAGAATAAGCTCGCTTTCCAAGCGCCCGAGGCGAGCCCCCCGTCAAGACGCCGAAGCTTGTCCTGCCTACTGCTGAGGAGGAGCCCGAGGAGGAACCCGTGGAATTGGGTGATCGGATTTACCCCCGGAGGAGGTCAAGCAGCTTCTGCTGCACATGCTGGATAATATCAAGCTCGGCGATGCGAAGGTGCCCATCATCGGGACTTATCAGAACACCTCAACGGGCGCGGATATTGTGGAGTATATCCAGGCGAATATGAATGCGCATGGTCTTGCGCAGGCGGAGAGAATTGGCCAGGATCTGGTGGACAATGGCTTTCTTCGCTTGGTCGGCAACATGGGCAACGTCTTTGCCAATAGCTCTAAGATGAACTATCAGTGGCGATCCAAGGTCTTCCAGCTCACCGGCATTCCAGAGAAGAAAAAGCCTCTGTTGCGTGTGACGTCCATGGCAGCAAGCGAAGACGGCAGCGAATCACCAATCCAGTCTGTTTCGGATATTCTGAATACCTGGAATCCGCTCAACAACCCATATCCGAACGAAACGCCCGCCGAGAAGTTGCGGAGAGAGTCTCTGGAAGCCGATGAGCGGTACAAAGCCGCTGTGCGGAGACTCGACCAGATCCGGTGCCGTCTGGAAGAGGAGGTCGTTGAGAACCTCCGCTTCATGGAGCAGTGCGAGCTGGACCGCCTCAAGGCAATCAAGGCCGTGGTCCTTGACTTTTCTGGGGCGATCAGCAACGTCATTCCTAATCTCCAGAGCACCGTCGACCACATGCTGCTGTACCAAGAGACGATCCAGCCCCTGGCAGATCTGCGATATTTACTGGAGAACTATCGAACAGGTGGCTTTGTCCCTCGTGTTCAGGCGTACGAGAACTACTATGGCTCCGTTGAAGGTATGGTGTCAACGATTTGATTAATTGGAAGGACGCTAATTCCGAGGCAGATCAAAACTTTGGTGTCGACCTTGAAGCCAGAGCCCGCACTGACCGCAAGCGTGTCCCAATCTTGGTGACAACCTTACTTACCTACCTCGATAACCGTAAGGTCTTCAATCCCATCATAACCTTGGCCGAATGCTAATCAACGCTAGGCTATCCCGAACTCGAGGGTGATGAAGCACGACGGGGCATCTGGCTTCATGATGTCCCGCTAGGACAAGCGCACCGCCTGCGGAGCATTTTAAACAACAGCAAAGTGGACTACCGGGAGGAGCTGCCCAGATACGAGATACCCGTTGTTGCGAGCGTTTTGAAACTTTATTTGCTTGAATTACCAGGTCAGTCTTTAAGCCGATGTAGTTCACCGATCTCTGCTAACTCCTAGACAGACTCTCTCGTCTCTTCGCAAGTCTACGAAATCGTGAAAACAATCTATTCCACCACCGCTCACGAGACCACGGAAGAAGGACGCATTAAGGTCCTCCAAAGCACTTTGGGACAGCTCCGCCTCGTCAACATTGCCACACTTGATGCCATCATGACCCATTTCACGCGACTGGTCGACCTGACGTCGGCCGACGACAAGTACATCTCCACTCTGGCCCAAACACTGGCCCCCTGTATCTTGCGACCTCGCACAGAGAACAGCTTGACCATGGACGAGCGTCACAGCTTCCGGCTGATTCGGGATCTATTCGCCCACAAGGAAGCCATCTTCGGTGAGCTGAAGCGCCAGTCCAGTGCAATGGGGACCTCCATCTCTTCCCCGCGGCCTCGCGCGATCAGCACAGACGAGAGCAACCGCCGCGCAGCTATGGAGGCCCGCCAGCGCGCTATCGTCAATCGCAGCCGAGCCACCAGCCCCGCTGCTCGCCAACGACACCGTCGTGATCGCTCCAGCGGCGCATCCGAGTCCACCCGCTTCCCCATAAACGTCTCCAGCCCTCCGGGCAGACACAACGTGCGCGGCGGCAGTTTAGATGTGCCCAACAGCGCCACCCCTTCTGAACCAGATGACAACAGCTCTCCAACCGTGAATGTCCAAGCCGCTGCCGAAGCAGCCACCACCAACGGCGCGTCTGTCGACTCCCCAGCCTCAACAACCGGAGCCCCCGCCAGCACCGTGTCGGAGTCCTCCAGCTCCCCTCCTCCACCAGAGACCGCCTCCGACGGTTCACCCACCCCAACCCCAACACCAGCACCCACCTCCGGCGAGTTCGACAAGCGCAACTCCATCCCCCGCTCGGTCGGTGCTCGCTACACCCGCAAGCCCGGTCTCGGCAGCCTGTCTAGCTTCCCGACTGGCGCGGGCGTCAACTCCCCCGACACGGATAGTAAGCGGAATAGTCTTGCGGAGAGTGAGCCCAAGGGCGTGACTCTGGAGGACAAGCCCATGGATGATTAATCGGGAAGGGAAGCAGCGGTGGAGTTATCGTTGTTTTGGGGGTTCCCGCTTATGCGTCGAGCGAGGTTTTTTGCAATCTGTATCGAAGAGGAAGGCAGGCAAGGCACGAAGCCGGAAATATACGTCATGTCCTGCCTAGCCTTTGAATATGTATCGTTTGGCTCTGAACATGGCAGAAACGAGACTATATCTTCCCCTTTCTTCTTTTCTTGTGTGTTCTTTTTTTATCATGTTTGCTCTGGTTTTCCCTTGCGCCTTTAAGTTTTTATGGGAGCATTGTTTCCTCCAAGGCATGAATGCATTCATACCCTTATCTTCGTTCTTCATTCTGTATTTCTGGTTTACTGGTGCGTCTTGTATGTTATCCAATATATGCGTCCATGCCATTCCTCTCCTTTCTTTTCCTTAGGGACTTGAAATCCGTCCATCCGCTGTGTTCTTATCTAGGTTGGCACATTGCATGCATGTATACTCTTCTCTTATGAATGATTTCATTGAGGAATTCATCTAAAAGCATAATCATACTCCAGACATGCAAAGCAAAGTACAAACACCAAACTAACAAAGGAGATAACCATAATGAGAACAAGGATAACACATGGGCAGACGCTAGACATGATAGAGGTAATGGTAAAATGGACTCCAAGAATGCAGAGCAACAGAGAACAGACAGTGTTGTACAGAAAGAGGTAAAGGTAAACACCGTCTTTGAAAGGACTTCGTGGATGCAGGAGGAAGGATACATGCAATGAGAGAGTGCGATGCAGGGAAACAGTCAAAATCAAAGACCCTCGCCTCGGAGCAGCCGACGTAGGATTCCTTCGCCGGGACCGGCGATCTGGCTCTCAATTTCCTTCTGGGTAACGAAGCAGACAAGACCTTGTTCGTCGAGACCCTTGTGAGGCGTGGCGGGTGTGTGTCCCGATTTTGAGGGTGTGCGGCGGATATCAGAGCCGGCGGCGAGAGTCCCGCCGCGGCCGCGGCCTTGGTACTCGCCGACCAGTCCCATTGTCTCCAGATTTCCCAGGACATCCTTGAACTCGGTAGCTGTTAGAGGATGAAGGATGTTGTCGTTTCGACAAAGGGCACAGTAAGTGTCGAAGGCTTGTTTAATGCTTGGAGCTGCCATTCGGGACTTGGACGGCGTGCTGGGGATCTCGCCTTCGCGACGTTTGCGTTCGAGGGCGATTAGAGCGCATATTGCTGCTTTCTGTTGAAGGTTCAAGCCCTGCAGTCTTTGGACGGTGCCTTGCCCAAAGGCCGAGGAGGTCACCTTGGCAATGTGCGCGATGCTGGCGCGCGGTGCCGTGAGTGCAGTGTAAGATGACATCGTTACAGCAGCCTGAGAGGTCGAGCCTCCTTTGACAGGGGATGCCAAGTTCTTGTTCTCTGCTAGGATCGCGGAGTTCTCGAACTCCTCGGCTTTCTTCTTCTCCAGCTTTTGCTGCGTCTCCAGCTCAATGACATCGATGGCACGCTTGATCAGCTCAAAGGCCTTACGAAGATCACCGGTTTGGGAGGCCACCTTTTTGGAACACAGCTGGATGGCGGCAGGATGGAGGAAGGGGACGAATTTGGGGTCGGTCTCCGTTCCAGGTACAAGTAAGGACCGGAGGCGGCTGGTGATCACATTCGCGATTGAGGTAGCGTTGTACGGCAAAAATGCCAGGAGCGTTGGTTTCAGGTTCTTTGCTTTCAGCTGTGGAAGAGACCGGTCGGTTAGATCGAGGGCGTTGGCGATGCCAATCAGCAGGAGGCTCGACTTGTTATGTAGCGACCATTCAAACAGCGACTGTAGAACGCCCGAATCTCCACCCATGAGCAAGTGGTCGATTTCGTCCAGACTGACCAAGAACAAATCCTCTCTCTTCTTAGGGGGGAGGAACATTGCCTTCAATTGATCCGCCTCGCTCTTCTTGAACACTTCAGACTCCTCTCCGAAGTCCTGGATCAGCTTGCTGTAGACATCGCGCGCAGCTCGCATGCTGACACAGTTGACATGGGACACTCGAACGATGGAGAGATCAAGGTCTCGGCACACCTCTTGGACCATGGCGCTTTTCCCCGTTCCAGGAGGACCGCTCACATAGAGACATCCTCCTTTTCTGGATCGGATTCCCTCCTCAATAAAGGACACTATTTTTTGTCGCTCCGTGTCTCGCCCAACTAATGTGGTTGAAGTGGCACCGCGTGCAAATAGTTGCCTTGCCTGCGAATAAACCGACTGCGACACATGAGCCGCACTGGGAGTGGCACTTTTCCGAGGCGTCGGAAGAACATCACTATGGCGAGGGGTGCGTGGAGTCATGGACTTTGCGCCCACCTGTACTCGGTGCCTGGGCGTGACGGGCGATTGCTGTAGTGCATCCCGGAACCTCGACTTCTGTGGTGTTTTGAACTCGATTTCTCCACTCGGTTTGGCGTTTTCCTCTGCAATACCCATATGTTAGTCTTGACAAGACATCTCTCCCGAGGCTCTCAGCTTACCCTCTACCGGCTTTGAGCTGCGGAAATGCGAATTGATCTTGGTCGGAGACCCACCCTGGCCATCACGAAGGGTGTGCTTGGATGGCACGATGTCCGCAGCACCCTTGTTCCCATCGCCATTCTCCTGATCTGGCTGACCATCCTTTGTCCTCGATCGCAGTTGGCGTTTTGGCCGTGGCTCGCTCTCCTCCTGGTGAACTCGGGGAGTGCGAGTGCGGCGCTTACTGGCGGTGCGCTGCGGCAGCTCTGGATGTTGGGTTAGTTGAGTAGAAGGAAAAAGGGTAGTTGCATTCACCTTCGTCGACTGCCCGAGAGCGCTTTCCCAAAACACTGGCTGCCATATTTGGTGGGTGTGGGTTGAGATTGACGGAGAGTAAGTGCGATCAACCCCCGTTGGAGTTGTTCCTGCCAAACACGCGCCTTTGGTCGTGTTTCGCGTCGCGCGTGCCAATTTCTGCCGCAGGCGGTAAAGCGCTGCATTGTTGGCGTTCCTGGACACCCGGAGCTTAGTCAAGCGCCATGAGGTCACTGGCAGATGATCCGCGCGGTGTTTTGTAGCCTGCGAGCGCACTCCGGGTGATTTCCCCCTCAGTGTTGAACTTCCACCTCTCCCCTCCTCCTCCTTCTTCCTCTACCGACTTCGTGGGTAGTTAGCCGTGTTGGTTCCTCTGGAGTTTGCAGCAGTTTGCAGCGGTCTACTCCGGATTCGCTTGCTCCCCACCTCGATTCCATCTAGATCGTTTCTCTCGCTGCCCTGAGCGCAGAATATTTTTCGACTTTCCCACCTGCCTCATCCTGTCCGGAAGCTCGCCTGAAACACAATCATGGCGGACGACGTGGTGGCTCAGTTCACCGAAATCACCGGCTCGTCGCCGGAGCTGGCAACGCAGTACCTGCAGCTGGCGGACTCGAACATTGAACAGGCAATGCAGCTCTATTTTGAAAATGGAGGCGCCCCGTTGACAGAGGAACCGACCACACAACCTCCTGCTCCTCAACCAGCACCCCGCCGCTCCGGATTCGAAGACGAGTCGGGGGTGGTGCAGATTGATTCGGACTCGGAAGATGAGCTTGCCGCCGCGACTCGAACCCAACCATCCGCTATACCCGGTGCCAGACCAACATTCGACGATGATGCCGCCATGGCTCGCCGCCTACAAGAGGAAATGTATGGTACTGCACCGGATGGTGAGGCTGAGGATGGTGTGCGCGCACCGATGGCACGGACGACGGAAACCCTTGTGGGACCGGGATTGGATTTTGACGAGGATGATATGCATGCCAATATCCTCAGTCAACTACGTACTCGCCAGCGAGGAGGTTCGTGGCTACTTTTCTTCGTCAACAACGTCTGACTAACATTTTTTTTCCTAGGGCGACCGAATCAGCCGGGCATCTTCAATCAGCGGCAAGACCCATCGATTTGGACGGGCGACTCCGAGGAGTCACATCGTGAGCATCTAGCTGCAGCCACAGGAGGAGCCTCGGAGACTTCGTCGAAATCCAACATGCTTGCGGAGATGTATCGCCCCCCGTTTGAGATCATGTCAAGACTGCCGTGGGATGTGGCTCGTCAGGAGGGGCGCGATAACGAAAAATGGTTGCTGGTCAACATTCAAGACTCGTCCGTCTTCGACTGCCAAGTTTTGAACCGGGACTTGTGGAAAGACAAGAGCGTTCAGGAAACCGTGCTGGAGCATTTTATCTTCCTACAATTCTCCAAGGACGACCCCCGTGCTTCGCCGTACTTGCAATACTACTTCCAAGCGAGCAATGTCTCCGACAACTACCCGCACATTGCCATCGTCGACCCTCGTACTGGTGAACAAATGAAGGTGTGGTCTGGGCCTCCAGTGGTCAAGCCTGCCGAATTTCTCATGCAGCTTCACGAATTCCTCGACCGATACAGCCTGAATCACAATGTACGCAACCCTGTTGCGAAGCGGAAAATAGAGAAGAAGGAAAAGAGTATTGATGCGATGACTGAAGAGGAGATGCTGGAGATGGCGATGCGGAACAGTCTTGGCGAAGGTGGTGCTGCGGGCCCAACGCTGGAGGATCCGGATGACCTGACCCGCAGCACGGAGGACGTCAAGGGCAAGGGCCGGGCCATTGAGGAGGATGTGAGCATGACCGGGACAGAGCCAGTCGCGGAAGAAGAAGAAGCCTCTCCATTTGGCGCAATTCCAAGCGATCGTCCGCACACCGAACCCGATGCTGACCCGGCCACAACTACGCGCATTCAATTCCGCCATCCGTCCGGCAGGGTCATCCGACGGTTTGCACTTTCGGACCCAGTCCAGCGAATCTACGAATGGCTCAAAGCAAGCCCTCCACTAGAAGAAAAATCTGGGGTGGAATTTGAGCTAAATGCCATGGGCCGCAATCTCATCGACCAGCTGAGCACCAGCATTGCGGACGCGGGACTGAAGAACGGAACTGTGATGATCGGATATCTGGAGGACTGAATCCGACTTCTCTTTTGTTTTCGGCGGTCATCTATTCTCGGTTTCACTGGGCGTTAAAGATGGATGATTGCGATCATGTTCCAGACTTGCGTTGTTTTGCTCTCCTGCCGAGTATTTACGTGGCAGGGCCTACGGGTCTCAGATACAAGGATCTTCTTTGCATCTTCTGGGAGGTTATGATATTCCTAGAAGTTATCGCTGAACAGGTCCATAGAATTCCTAGACCTCTTCGAGCTCCTATTCATTTCCTATAGATCTAGCGGGTCTCTGTCGCCAGATCAACGCACTCACCGCCCTCGATAAGCTTCACCGCCTGGCAGAATGCCCCCCTCGTAGATAAACAAAACGCAAGGGAATGAATTGTTCCTTTCTTCCTCACACGGTATTCCACACCCCCTCGCTATTTTCTGAGTTGTTGAGGGTTCCTTTGCGAGTTGATGATGCACCACGACTGATGATTCCTTAACATGCTCTGACCAATCTCACCCATTGCGTAGAGAACTACCCGCCCACACTCGTTTGTTGACAGGCGTGCCACCTGTATGTTGACAGGCCACAATCGATGAACAAATGACTGACCATCCTATTCGCCATATTCACCAGACACATTCTCTATCCTGCCCCATTCTTGCTTGGTGTGGAGTACATCTCTCGGGTCTCACCCCATCCGATCGATCCATTCACACGGTATGTGCCACACGGCGAATATGACAATACCACAATACCGGGTCATATTCTTGGGCTTCTGGACTCGGACCCCAGACTTCATTTTCTCCTTGCATCGCTCTCATTCCCTAGACATCCTCGAAGCTAACACCTTGTCCAAGTTCCACACTGCTACATGAACCTCGATCCTCTCAAGCGACTCCACTAGGCTGCCAAAATGCCAGCACCAATCGACCCAGAGACAATCTACACTAAGCAGACCTGCATTGGTATGTATTCCGACCTTCATCGCAACTGCAGTTGTTGACTGTGATTCTAAACTCTCAGGCGGGGGAAGTTTTGGCAGGGTCTACAAAGGGTAAGCGGAGTACTTGGCGTAATTCAGACTCGAATGCTGACCCTCTGTCGCAGTGTAGATAAACGGACTGGAGAATCAGTCGCCATCAAAATCATCGATGTCGAAAACGCCGAGGATGAGGTCGACGACATCATCAAGGAGATTGCGATCTTGTCGGAACTGAAGTCCCCCTATGTCACCAAGTACCATGGCTCGTACTTGAAGGGATCGCACCTTTGGATTATCATGGAGTTTTGCTCTGGTGGGAGCTGTCATGGTCTGCTGCGTCCCGGAGTGATTCACGAAGAGTACATTGCCATCATCTTGCGCGAGCTTCTGCGCGGCTTGGAATACCTCCATGGGGACCAGAAGCTGCATCGTGATATCAAAGGTGGGTGATTATCCATGGAATGGGTGGATTGAAGGACTAACGACATCGCAGCGGCAAACATCCTCTTGAGCGCCAGCGGTCAGGTCAAATTGGCGGATTTCGGAGTATCTGGACAGCTATCGGCGACAATGACCAAGAAAAACACGTTTGTCGGCACTCCGTTCTGGATGGCTCCCGAGGTCATCAAGCAGTCAGGCTATGATTACAAGGCAGACATCTGGTCCCTGGGAATCACCGCGATCGAACTAGCTTGTGGAGACCCTCCATATGCCGATATACACCCGATGAAGGTGTTGTTTTTGATCCCGAAGAACCCGCCTCCTCAGTTGGTCGGTAACTTCAGTAAGCCATTCAAACAACTTGTGGAGCTTTGCTTGCGCCGAGACCCAAAGGAACGTCCGTCAGCTAAGGAGCTGCTGGAACACCCGTTCATCAAACGTGCCAAGAGGACGACATACCTGACAGAATTAATTGAACGCTCGGAGCGCTGGCAGGCAACTCATCAAGGGCAGGGGGATGACCAGGACTATGACGAGTGGGAAGTCAATCAGGAAGCAAACACAAAACCTGAAGAAGAGGACCTGTGGGACTTTGGCACTGTTCGCCCGGCTGGTGGTCGAGTTCCAGCCCCCCCTCTGCGACCATTGAAAGACTCGGATACAAACTCACGAAGTAATGAAGCAGATGAGTGGGATCTGTGTGGTGATGACACGCCCAAGAAAGCCGCAGCATCCAGCAACCAGACACCCCAGCCAACAAACACGGACAACTCCGGCCTCAACTCGTCACCATCTAAAACCCCTCTGCCACCGTCGATTCCATCCTCACCTACGAAGAAGCCTTCCACGCAGGCACTGCTAAACCCTCTTTGCACTTCTTCACCCTCAACCACCAGTGCAGTCTCCGAGCAAATCCGCACGCCAAGTGGTCAAATCACCAGAAAACCAGCACCTCTCCCTCAACCTGTCTCTCATACTGCACTCTCAAAACAACCCGAGACACCTTCTTCCCCAAAACCAGCAACAGGCCTCAAATCCAAACGCGCCGCCGCCCCAGTCCTCGAAGAGACGCGCACACCCAACTTGGCGCGAAAGTCTTCCTCTGAAACAGACCGCGCAACCGCCTGCGGAACCGTGATCATTCCCGCTCTTCGCGCAGCCATGAACCGTCGCAGCCGCAACCTGGCCCGTCTCGATCCCGGCCGCAATGCTGCTAACGGCGGCAAGCCCACCACCGAGGACGAGAAGAAGCAGTGGGAGCGCAGTGTCCATGTCCACCGCAGCATGGAGCAAGTGGCCGATGAGATCGCGAGGTCTTTCTCGAATCTTCATCGCTGGGACTGCGAGGCTCCCGTTGATATGGGCGGTGGTGTCGATGCTGTTCTTGATGCATTCTTGGAAGAGGTCCTGGTGAGGCTTCAACCTGCTTCTTCTCCATCTCACTCTGCATGAGCCTCAGTTCTTTTGTGGTAGGATTTCTCTTTTCTATGCTCTCGCTGTCTGTTTCTTAATCTGTTCTGCTTATGGGAGTTACGCTGTGGCTGGTGTCTTTGTCTGAGTGGGCATGGCTTTCGACGCGTACATGTTTCTTCTCCCCTTTCTTCTCGTTGCTGCTCCTGTTGATTTTCCACACGTACATGATCATGTCTGCGTTCCTGTCATTATTGATGCTTGATGTTCGACCGAATCTCCACGCTCTCTCGACGTGCCTCCCTAGCGGCAAATAATCAGTCAGTTCACAACCTGTCCTGTCTGTACGGGACAACACAATCCCGGTCTGGAACCGGGAAGACGATCACTGATTATTTGCTCTGGGGCATGCAACGGCCTTCTTCTGTTCTTTGTTGATTATATTTTAGAGTTTCGTTTCGAGTCAATTGAGTTGATTCCTGTTTCGCCTGCTCCCAATTCCAACTCCATTGCTTCGTATTATTTTTGAAATGAAAGGAAAGAGCAGGGTATAAATACACGACAGCGGGTAGGAAGAACACTATATATTAGGTGAACATGGCTATTTCTTTGCATAAGGCGTCAAAGGTGCAGATAGACAGGACATGAAAGGTGTTGGGTAATGTTCGGTATGAGTTGAATCTTGATATCATCCACCCGGCCGGAACAGCCAATCCGTTTCAGGTGTCGGAATCAGATAATTCGTGATGTTGAACTCGTTCGCATTCACCGTATGGCCGCCATCAACAACAGACGCCGGTTGCCCGGCGCCAGTGAGGCCATGGATGGACATGGGGTCGGGCACAGGCTCGCCCATATCGAGCTGGGCCGCAGCCCCAGCCGGGGGTCCGGGGCCCGCGGGGGCGGGACGCGAGGGACATTGAAGAAACCAAAGACGTCGAGATACTCGAGTTCGTTTGGCGCGAGGTTACGCGCCGGCACGACGGGACCCACGGAGCCGGGGTAGTGTCCGCCGCCGCCGCGGCTGCCTGCGGCAGCCGGGGACTCGCGGGGCTGGCGCGAAATGAGGAAATCAAGATCGAATGCGCAGCGGCGCATGTCGGCTAGGATTTTGACAGTGGATGGCGTGGAGCGCTCACCATCCATCAGCGCGGCAGATTGCTGGTATTCGCCGTACTCGTCCAGGACGCGTTGTAGTATGGTGCTGTAGCGCTCTGCGACTTTCCAGTATTTGCCCATGCGGGCGAGAGCGTCGACGAAGAAGAGAATGTCTGGGCTGACGGTGTGGGCTATGGTGGAGCCGTGGACAAGTAGGAGGCGGGCAGAGACCCAGAGGGTGAAGGCGAAGGGGGGGCCGAGCTTGTCGAGCATGTTGTGATCTACGACGAAGCGGGTTACGGAGAGGATGTTGTCCACGGCGAGAAGGCAGCGTTGGCTGGCGCTGTAGGATGGGGTGAAAATTGGGGACCGCGTGGTTGGGTAGGCGGCTGATGAGTGAAGGCGGATCACAGCTCTAGAAGGGTGTAAGTAGTTTTTTTCCACTAATGGGTCGGAAATGGGGTAAACTCACGTTTGATAGGTGGTATGGAGTTGCACCCAGTCACTGTGAGGACCGCGACTGTGCTTCGACCCGCTGACGAGCCGGGATGAGTTCTCAAAGGCATACTCCGCAGGCAGATTGAATTCCCACGATGTCAACTCGTTGTCGAGTTTTCTATACGTAGCCTGCCACTCTTCCACATCCGAGAGAGCTCCAATATCGACGGGTCGTTTCAGAAATGTGTGAATACGAGACAGGATCCCGAGGATCTCCACGTAGAGCCCGAAAGAGCCCACATTGTCGGCGTGACTGAGGTAGTCGGCGCGGTCACCGGAGTAGTGGAACCACCGCGTTTCCACAGGATGATTCTTCATAAAAAATTCGTCTTTGCATGGCAGCTTGCGGTCGATATCTTTGTCGTCCAAGGCGAAGTTGAATGCCGTGGCGAGGGTCGAGTATCGGTCCAGCAAGTATACCATCCAGAATAACCGACGTCTACTCTCATCCTCGATCCACGAGTCCGGTTCGGACAAGGTGACGGCTCTGAGAGTATAAATTGAAGGGTAGACGGGAGCAATGAGGGTCGACTTGGACTCCACGGCCAGCCCTAATTGGACGACAGATCGTGTAATGAGAGCCAGTAGCTTCCAGCCGGGTGGACCATTAGATGAACCGACGAGGTCCAAGGCAAGAATCACAAGCGCCTGGAGTGCTTTGACAGACGAATTTTCGAGTCCATACAGAAGAACCTTTTGTTTGGAGGAGTCGTGGAATCGTTTGCGGTTCAGCTCGTTCAGCCGAACGTCTGACGAAAAGCGAAGTGTGGTCGCCACAATCGAGTACAGAACAATGCGGTCCGCCTCTTCCAGTGGGGACGGCCCAAAGAAGGTATCAAGAGTGGTTCGACGATGGAGAATCGGGCACCAAGGATTAATATGCTCAAAATAAAGGTCCACCAAGGCGTACAGCAGATCATACGGCGGAAGATCAAGATCTGGATCTGCTAGTGATTGTTCCTGATTTGAGGATAGAGTGAAAGGGATTTTCAACGACGATTCATTCGCTGTGTAATCACCGCCATTGGAGGGATGGGCTTGCGGCAATGGGCCTAGTGACGGAGGTGCCGGAGGCCCATTTTGTAAATGAGCTGGTGCTGTCGTCTTGACGGAGGCCTCCGACGGACTGGCCATGGTGGTATCGGGGCGGCGTGAAGGCAATGTCACAGATGTTGGGTCGTTGAAGTAAAAGGCCGTCCGGGGACTCGGGCCATGCACAGCCGACGGTTCTGATGGAGAACTATAGGACAGAGGACCAGCCTGGGGTAGATCGTGACCGACTCCCGGCTGGCTCTGGAGGATGTGCATCTCGATGAGCCGAGCTTGGGCTTGGATGACTTCTTCCAGGCGATCTAAAAGGGCCGTTAGACTTGAACCCTTCGAAGAGCTCGTTGCAACTTACTCAGACGCTGCTCCAATTCCTTACCATACCCAGCCCGGAGGCCAGGCTTTTTCCGCTCCTTGTACTCACATATCTGACCGTTGCGCGTACACCAACCACAACTCGGCTGCGTGCGATCGCATTTGACTTTCCTCTGCTTGCAGAGCTCACAGCTAGAGTGATCATTAGATCGAAGGTCATCTAGTTTAAATGGCCGGGGCAACGTACGACACGGTGAGGGGACGCTTGCGTTTCAACGCGCGGGCTGAGGAACCGTTGGTGTCCGGGAGATCGTTATCCGAGTCTGCACCGGACCATGACTCTGCCGCACTGTGGTCTTTGTCGAAGTGATTGGAGGAAGGGGGCTGTTGGACGGCAGACCCTGCAGGACTCGGCATGGTGGTTTAGCCGGGAGGGCAATCTCCCATCATCCAAGCCTCGAGCCGAAGCACGGAGTGATCTCCGTGGGGGGACAACAACCACGGGGATAGTCCGATGGAGGGATTGGAATGGTGGAGTGGAGGTCAGGAAGGCAGGAACGAGAGAGGAAATTCAGTCGAAGAGTCGGAGATCGTTGGGGCCGAGCGAGTGCCTGAGGCAGAGGCGGGGCCCCGCAGAAACAGGGACGTAGGGTGCAGAGTCGCACTCGGTCCCTGGCGACGTCCAATAAGACTACTGGGGACCAGGAAGGGACTAGGCATGACGATTCGGTAATAGTGGATTCTGCTTGTGCCGAGCGTGCAGCCCACGTTGTCGTGGTGGCGTCCCTCGTGCTGGTCGCATGCCTTTCCTCCGGCCGCCTCGCCTCGGGCCATTGCGTACCGAGCTGCCCCGGCGGGAAATAGTTAAACACCAACTCGGCCGTTCTTCCCTCCCTTTCTTTTTCTACTTTCTCGGTTCCAGAATCGTTCCTCCAAAGCCACAATGATCGCAACATCCAACTTCCCTCGCATCAAGGAGGTCCGCACCTTCATCATTGACGGTGTCGGCTCCGGCGGCGACTACCACAATGTACGTGATGCCAACAACGTGCGGTGCATCAGGACTGACCCTCTCCCAGGTCAAAGGCGGCCACTGGCTGGTCGACAGCAACATCTCTACGCCCATGGCCAAGTGGGCGCAGTACCGCGGCTCGCGGACATCCTGGGGGATCAACGTGCTGGGCTCGTTCTGTGTCGAGATCGAGGCAACCGACGGCACCAAGGGCTTCGCGACGGGGTTCGGTGGCCCCCCCGCGTGCTGGCTGGTGCAGCACCACTTTGATCGGTTCCTGGTCGGTGCTGGTACGTATCACCCACAAGCAGGAGTAGCCATGCGCATCGGCTAACTGTTCTGTGACCAATAGACCCCCGCGACACCAATGACCTGTTCGAGAAGATGTACCGCGCCTCCATGTTCTACGGCCGCAAGGGTCTCCCCGTGGCGGTGATCTCGGTCATCGATCTGGCGCTGTGGGATTTGCTGGGCAAGATCCGCAACGAGCCCGTGTACAAGCTCATTGGCGGGGCTACTCGGGAGCGCCTGAATTTCTACTGCACAGGACCCCAGCCGGCCTCGGCCAAGGCGGCGGGTTTCATCGGCGCCAAGGTGGCGCTGCCGCACGGCCCCGATGAGGGGACCGAGGGCCTGCTCAAAAACGTCGAGTACCTGCGTTCACAGCGCGAGAGCGTGGGGCCGGATTTCCCGCTGCGGGTCGACTGCTACATGTCTCTGACGGTGCCCTACACAATCCAGCTGGTCAAGCGCTGCGAGGCCCTAGGTTTGGACATTGACTGGTGGGAGGAGTGCCTGTCGCCCGATGACTTTGACGGCCATGCGCTGCTCAAGCGCGCTCACCCCACCGTCAAGTTCACCACCGGCGAGCACGAGTTCTCTCGCTATGGCTTCCGCAAGCTGGTCGAGGGCCGCAACCTGGACATCCTCCAGCCCGACGTCATGTGGGTGGGCGGGATGACCGAGTTGCTCAAGGTCTCGGCGATGGCGGCCGCCTACGACATCCCCGTGGTGCCTCACGCCTCCGGCCCTTACTCCTATCACTTTGTGGTGTCGCAGACCAACAGTCCGTTCCAGGAGTACCTGGCCAACTCCGCCGACGGCAAGTCCGTTGAGCCCGTGTTTGGCAACCTCTTCCTCAACGAGCCCATCCCCACCCAGGGCTACCTCGACGTGTCCATCCTGGACAAGCCCGGCTTCGGCTTGGAACTCAACCCAGCCGCGCCGCTGATCCCTGCGGCCAACATCCTGACCCCGGCGCCGCAGAAAAGTCTTCGTGCACCGGACAGCGAGCAGCCGAACGGACCCACGGCGTAGATTTCCAGAATGAACGTATAGCGTGTGCGCATGAAACTTGGCTTTATTCCTGTTATGTCTCGGTCCTGTACATATTCCACGAATCAAACATATCCAATAGACTGAATGAATGATGACGGATAAATCTGAGTCTTGTCCCCGCTTCAGAATTAATCATTTTTCCGTCCGGTTAATAACGGCCTCGGTCTTATCCACTCCTCGGCCCAACATCACCACGAGATCCCCGAGCCGGTGGGTTATCTTATCTGGCGGGGGAATAAATGAGAACAGCCAGCCTTCCGCAACATCAATACTCACGCCACAAATGACTCTCCCACAGCTGCTGGTCGGAAAAGTCGCCGCCATTACCGGCGGTCTCACAGGCATTGGCCGTGTATGTGCCGAATTCTCGAATCCCCGGACGAAAGCTGACTGACCGGCATTGGTTAGGCAATTGCCCTGGAATACTTCCGCCATGGAGCGAAAGTCTCCGTCAGCCATCTGGGTGGTGCCAAGGAAGATGACCTGCTCGCCGCCATGCACAAGGACGTGGATGCGATCGAGGCCAGCGCAGTCCAAGAGCGCTTCCTCACCGTCGCAGGCGACATTTCCAAGCCCGAGACCGGCCGGGACTTCGTCGCCAAAACGGTCGAGAAATTTGGCCGCCTCGACGTGTTCGTGAGCAATGCAGGCGTGTGTCAATTCGCCGAGTTTCTCGAGTACGTAGCTACCCAAATCTTGAGAACGTACCATATCTCACTAACTCACTCTATCTATCCAGCCTCGAACCCTCCCTCCTCGAGCACACCATCTCAACCAACCTTTCCGGCGCCTTCTATGCCACCCAGGCTGCCGCGCGCCAGATGGCCCAGTCCCAGTCCCCGCCTGGCGGCTCCATCATCGGCGTCAGTTCCATCTCCGCGCTCGTCGGCGGCGGCCAGCAGACGCACTACACGCCCACTAAGGCCGGCGTCCTGAGTCTCATGCAGTCGTGCGCCGTCGCGCTGGGCAAATATGGCATTCGCTGTAATGCGCTGTTGCCGGGGACTATCCGCACGCAGCTGAATGATGCCGACATGGCGGATCCAACTAAGAGGGAGTATATGGAAGGCCGGATTCCGCTTGGGAGACTCGGCCAGCCACCAGATTTGGCGGGGCCGGCGGTGTTTTTGGCTTGTGAGGAATTGAGCAGTTATGTGGTGAGTCTCTCTTTGCCTAGTTCTGGTAGATTCACACTGACTTATCCCTTTTTGGGGGTTAGACGGGGGCCCAGATCCTGGTGGATGGTGGGCTGTTTGTTAATCTCCAGTAACACTTGCATATATCGACGTAGATTTTTCTCAACAAGCAGACCCAAAAAAAATTATAGTTGAATACCGTAGGCCTCCACGGCCACTCCTCCCCAAACACCCTTCTTTTGCTCCTCGGACAGCCCCCTTCTCTCCAAAATCCCCTCGACTATACGCCGCCACCGATTCCATGCGACATCACCGCTGCCACCGGTATTGCAAACCGGCCAGTCTGAACCGAACATCACTCGCTCTGCGCCGAATGCATCAAACACCGCATCTGTCCAGGGCTTGAGCCGCTCCACCAGGGCAGGGATGTCAAATTCAGACTCGGCATCTAGCGGTGGTAGCTCTGTTAGTGCCCCGGAGAGCTTCATGTATGTTCGCGGATGGGCGTGGGCCATTTTCTCCGTGAGATCTTTCCACTCGAGGTAATCAGAGTGGTTAGGGACTGACGCTGGTGGGAGACGGAGATTGGGTTTGCTGAAGTGGTCTAGAGGCAGTCAGCGAGACAGATGTCAAGTGCAAGAACGAGAAACTGACTGATGATAATGGTCACTGCCTCCTTCGAGTCCTTTGCAACCCCACTGTACACCCTTTGCATCATCTCCACCGACTCTCGCAGCTGTCCCAGCCCGCCCAGTCGCGCATTCACGCCCAGCTCAAAGGCCAGGCCTTTCGTGCCCAGCCAACGTAAACCCTCCACAAAGGCGGGAGCGAGCATAGTGCCAGCCGGTCTGTTTTGCGTCAGATACCGCACCCCGCACACCCTGCGCCACACATCCTCCGTCTTCGTCCTCTCCTTCACCTTATCCATGTACGCGCTCAATACCTTTGGTCCGCCGGGAACAGGGGCCCACGTCACAATCCCCAGGCAGAGACTGTGGTGTGCTGGCTGGTGTCCTTCTCCGGGGATCGGCTCACCCCGCGCAATCCGCGTGAGGAGCGACACCTCATCCAGGGCATGAGTCCATCCGGGTGGATCATGCTCCGCTACCGACGAGATGCGATCCACCTCCACGAAAATAAACCCGCGCAGGTATTTTGGATCATGGGTTGACGCATCAGTAGACACCGACGAGCTCGCGTGGCGGTATTCATCAACGCTGTGCTGTGCACCGATGGGGTTGCCGGGACGGTACCAGGCGAGGGTTGGGAGGTGTGATGCCGGGAAGAGGTGGACGTGGGAGTCAACTATGGGGGTAGACATGGTTAATTGAGTTATTATTGAGGGTTGAGTCTTATCGAGGTTTTAAGTACTGTAATCAGTGGATCTCCATCCCGTGGGAATCGGAGGGCATTTGCCCGAAGGATGACAGCACCAATCTGCCGCCAATTACCCGAAGGGTCCTTGGACTGAAGTACGCAATTAACTATAAAAGCATTCCACTCGATCGCGTTCGTCTCGTATCTTCGTTATTTAAATTCCGCTAGGTGCATGGCATCCAGGCATCAACCAACTAGGGCCTGCCGAGGCTGATCGCCACGACTCCACATCACCCCTCACCAAGTCTATGAATGCCTAATAGCGATGATGCTCTGGACAACAATCTGGGGGACCCGAGGCTTCCATATGCCTTGGCACTTGTCGGCGCCTTTTCCCCGCGATCCTTTCTCTCCACCTGCCTGTGATTAACCCTAGTTAAATCATATTAATAGCCCATTTCCCCCGTCTTGTGGAGGCACTGACAACAGTCATCCTCATCTGTTACATAACTTCCACTTTTGACATCCCGCCATGGCTGCTCCTGACATCCCTAAAAAGCAAAAGGCCGTCGTCTTCGACCAGCCTGGCACAGTCTCGACCAAGGTCGTCGAAATCGACGTCCCCGAGCCTGCCGCCGGCGAAGTCCTGATTAATCTGACGCACTCGGGCGTGTGCCACTCGGACTATGGCATCATGACCAACACCTGGGCGATGCTCCCATTCCCAACCCAGCCAGGCCAAGTCGGCGGCCACGAGGGTGTGGGCAAGATCGCCAAGCTCGGCCCGGGCTGCGAGTCGTCGGGCTTGAAAGTCGGCGATCGCGTAGGTATCAAGTGGATTTCCAGCGCATGCGGGCACTGCCAGCCCTGCCAGGCCGGCGCCGATGGTCTGTGCTTCAACCAAAAGGTCTCCGGCTACTACACCCCCGGCACGTTCCAGCAGTACGCTCTGGGCCCCGCCAACTACGTGACCCCGATCCCGGACGGGCTGGACTCGGCAGCTGCGGCACCAATGCTCTGCGCTGGCGTGACCGTGTACTCTGCGCTGAACCGCAGCCAAGCACGCCCGGGCCAGTGGGTGGTCATCTCCGGCGCCGGCGGCGGACTGGGTCACATTGCCGTCCAACTCGCGAGCAAAGGCATGGGTCTGCGCGTAATTGGGATTGACCACGGCAGCAAGGAAGACCTCGTCAAGTCCTCTGGCGCCGAGCACTTTGTCGACATCACCAAGTTCCCTAGCGAAGACAACGGCAAGGCACTGCAGAAGCATGTCCAGTCGCTAACCGACGGGCTGGGCGCCCACGCCGCAGTGGTGTGCACAGCTGCGAATGCCGCGTATGCACAGGCGCTGCCACTGCTGCGCTTTAATGGAACGTTGGTCTGTGTGGGTATCCCGGAGCATGAGCCCAAGGCTATTGCGACGGCGTTCCCGTCTAGCTTTATCAATAAACACTACACCATCACAGGGTCCGCGGTTGGGAACCGTACGGATGCTATTAAGACCCTGGACTTTGCGGCAAGAGGCATTATCTCGGCTCATTTCCGGACTGAGAAGATGGATGCTTTGACCGGGGTCTTCCAGGAGATGGCCGAGGGTAAACTCCAGGGTCGTGTGGTGCTGGACTTGTCGGGTTGAATGTGTTCTTACTTGTGTGTATATCCTGTGGATAACTTTCTCCACTAAGTTGCTTGAAGTAGGCTGATGAATAAATGCACGGTCTATATAAACTAAAAAAATTTGAAGGCAGATACGCCTCGGCTCCTTCCGATGAAAAATTCCCCAAAAGAATGTTGCTAGCAGGGCATATCAGCAGGTATTCCTACGGAGTCCGCTGCGGTATCGGCCATAGGATGTGCCTTTGAAGATGCTGCTGAGCATCGGGCGGGGGGTGGTGCTGAGGCGGAGATTATGGCCACTTTTACTTCTATCTGGGACCAGAGGAGAATGTTTTCTTTGATCAGAATATGCTTATCGCTAGAGCGGTGATTTAAACCCATGTAGATGGCACCATATGATATGTCTGTAGTGACAGTATACTTGTATAGAGCGTTAAGCCGGACAATGGACGCGGCAGTGGCAAAGTCTCCGGGGAATAAGATACAGATGAGAGCCCAATTCCGCTTCAGTTTCAGGAGTTGTAGAAGCGGCACTACAAGGATCGTCACATCAGTCAAGATGTGGATACCAGCAGTTGAGAAGCACGCGGCAGGGAGGTCGGCCCTTCAACTGAACAAATATCTCAAAAATATCCAAAAGAGAATGTGGGCCCCGTGATATTTCACATTATGAACTAAAAATCGATAACCGTCCTCTCTACCAGAGAGATGCAAAAAATTGACCGACGCAGGGGTCGAACCTGCAATCTCTTGATTCGTAGTCAAGCGCCTTGCCATTGGGCCAGCCGGCCAACTTGTGAAAGATGATCTCTGTGGATCTTTATGACTAAGAAATCCGGCTCCCGCTTTTTGCTGTGTTATAGTACCTCAATTGTATTGTGAGTACTCCGGAAATAAAGACAGAAATGATTTGAATTATTTTTAAATCAGAAGAAAACCTAAAGATCCAGTTAAACCGTGCATAAATGGGTATGACGAAGTTAATACTGACTCAAGTTCCAAGATATATATTTGACACCACTCCATCAATGGGCGTCATCGTACTGTGCGAACTTCAGATCAACAGAAACTGTGATTGACAAACAAGAACATTGAACCATCATGAAAAAGCTTTCTACCGGCAATTTAGGATAAACACTCATTCAAATCTCACAACTCGACCCATCATACAGCTGCCCCAATTTGAATTTCCGCCTACCATGTTGAGCACATATCGGGCGAGTATAAATAAATCCCACGATAATAGACGATTAGGGCAAGACGATAATAAACCATTCCGCAACCTGCCATATATATCTACCCCCGCCAAAACCACCCTAGACATACAGCAAGAAGAATAACTATTAATTTCAAATAATCCCGGAAAACGTTCCGAATCAAACTCTCCACAACAAACTTGTTGCCCTACACATTCCGATCTTAATCCACAGTAGGAAATAAACTTTTCTTTCTCCTGCTCCTTGTAGACAGGCGCAAGGCGCGGGTGGGTCAAGCCAAGAAAATAACTCCGGTTCAGTTCCACGGTTTCTTGCAGCTAGTGGCTGGCTGACACAAGTCCCGAGCGCTGGTTTGGGGCATCTAGCGTTTAGGGACGACGACAGTGCTTGCATTTTGAATGTTGAAGTTACCTAAAGCATATTCATAGATTGCTCTATATGTAGACCCGGAGACAAGTTCACATCGGGCACTGCACTAAGGAATGACACGAGTACCAACTTGAATCTCGCTGATGATGATGATATGATGGTATGAGGATAAGAACCGAAGTGTAACAAATCGCAAAGATCGGGGGTATTGGAATGAATGAAACACACGACAGCCTTCCGATATGATGAGTAAAAAGATCAAGGATACCTCCCAAAAAAGTAAGAGTAAGAAAAGCGTAAAAGTAATCATTCATCGACTTCGTTTCGTATTGCCTCCGGAGTTCCCAGCAGCTGGTCTCTTCTGGCCCGACCCTGGAGGCGCAGCCCCCGTCTCAGCGGCACGGACCAACGCCGTCAGCCGCAGGAGATATGGCTTCGGAGCGCGATCAACCTCGATCTTGTGCAGGATATCTCGCAGATTGGTTTTGAACTGACTCAGATCCGACGGCGGCAAGATATCCAAAGCATCAAGAACAAAGAATTCGGCGTCTGGATCGTCGTCCAGGTCTGGCGACCCGATTAACTGGTGGTACAGATTGCGCTGGTCTTCATCCTCCCCGTGAAAGGAGACCCGGCCCCAGCGATTGCCTTCGAGCGGGTCTTTATTGCGGGCTGTCACGGCCTCAAGAATGGAGATGAGAGCTTTGGCGGCGCCTTCAGAGCCATGCGGTGCGCGGGTGACGATGTTGACGCGGATGCGATCGACACACCGGCGCAGTTGCGCGATGACCTCGTCGACGTTGTAAATGCCTCCACCGGGACTGGAGCTGTCGGAACGCTCGCCTGTCGCGCAATACCGATCAAAGTCAGCCAGTAGCCGGCGTGACTGTTCCTGTGCCTTGTCAAAATAGATGGCCGCGCATGCGCCGGCGGGCATCGCCTTGCACAGACTGCTGAAGACCCCATTGTCGTGCACGGCCAGCCGGAAGATAGTCGCCTCAAAGTCTCCCTGCACCACACATTGCTCTGGAGTGCGCGCCTGCGCTGTGGTCTCCACCAGATCCTGCCGGAAATCTTCCGCCACTGTCACGGGCCTGAACGCAGACAAGATATCGCGCACTTTTTCTGCGCGAGTCATCCCCGCACCGCTGCCACTACCTTCAGCCCGTAGCAGATGCCAATTGAGCCGGCCGGCCACCGCTTCTAATTGGCCTTCCAGAAGTCCTTCGATGCGCGGGAGCACGCGCGAATGACCGTCACGAGATAGTTCTACTTCCTCTGTTGGGGGTTCCGGGATGAAGTAGCCATGGAGCTGGTCGAGAATCCACTGCACGAAGGAGGTGTCAGCCCTATCCCCCCTTGATTATTAGGGAACTACCCACGAATATATGCTGGCACGCCACGTCCGGCCGGCTCTGGAAGGTTGGACAAGTGCAAACGTATGAGTCTGGGCCAAGATGCACCTGCGGTCGGTCCGAGAGCTGGAATTCATATCCCAAGCGAGTGGCACGGCAATTAACGACGTCGAATTGGCCCGTCAATCCCACGAGTGCTCTGGCCTCGGACTCGGAGTCTAATTGCGCCAAGTCATAGGTAATTCCCGACCCAGCTAGCACGGCCGAAGTGCCGGTGGACTCGTCGTCGTCGCTCTCCTCTGCCTCGCTAGAGCTCCCGTCCAGCGAGCTGTCGTCCCCCTCGTCGTCATGGCCACTATCGTCGTCGGAAGGGTCCGGCTGCCCCGCCGCGCGGGCCGTCCTGGCCTGGGGGCGCGTCCCAGCCATATCTCGACCGATAGAGAGTCTGTGGAACTGCCTGGTCGGGGCCGACATGGCCGATCAATAGCGGACGGGGGAAGGGGAGAGAGTCGGGGAGGGAGCTTGGGGATGGGGGAGAAGGGAGAATCTTTGCACACGACGGAGAGAACAGATATGGTAAATAATAATGGTGTCGCCGATGAGAGTTCCTTTTCCGACCCAAGGGGAAAGCGGGTACGCCGAACCATGGAACGGCCTCCCTGGCGCCCGCTTTAAATAATTGCGGGAAACAAAGACTCAACAGCCTCATGGTCACTGCGCCATCTGGGCCACAGACACTGTGCCGTCGGCTCTGCGGTGAAAGGTCGGCCGTGATGATTCATTCAGTCCCCTGTTCGAGCCAAAAATCTGCGAGCGACTGCGGCAAGATGGAAGGAACAACAACGCCCCAACGGCGCTTAAAGACGAATAAAGAGGGGCTCGGCTCACCGATGTGGCAAAGGGGATGGCCGGATCTCCCATGACCGCAGGCAAGAGCACAAACGAAAGAAGTTGAAGCCCCTAAGAGGCCGCCAGACCGTTGAATTAGGCCTGGGATGATGACATCGATCCACGGCGCAGAGCGCACAGACACACCATCCGTGCGAGGGTGGAATTCCATATCTGGGGTTGGTGGATGTATCGGCACCCGAGGACGGCCCTACGGTGGACAAGGTAAGTGTAGGAGCGGCGGCCTGGTCGTGTCGGCACAGGAGACCCCCCATTGGTAGATAAGCGGAGACTCGGTGAAGAGGGAATGATCTGCTCTACAGTTTGCCAATGTGAGCAGAAAGGGTAGGTTGGAGCTGCACCCCGTATTTCGGCAGGTCTAGACGGCGCTGTGCCAGATCGGGAGCCCCGAGCAGCACCGACCAGAGCTTGAGTGAAGTGTCGAGCGAGCACAGGCGCCGCAGCGGTGGAGCCACCCGCCAAAAAAAAGGAGAAAAAGGTAGTTGAATCTTGGGAGAAAAACAAAAGGTACTCGCTTCCTCCTGGACGGTCGATCTCACACATTCCGCAGGCAAGGCATTCTGTGCCCGCCGCAGACCGTGCGCAAAGTAGCTCGTCCCACAAAGGTATGGAGCACTGTATGTACAGAGCTTCACGGCAAATGACCCGGGAACCATGCGGCGACCCGCTGGTGGGTTCCGCTTTGATTTTGGTTGGCCATGGATTGTCCCTGACAATGGCACTAACTAGTGGAACACACGAGGATACCCATGAACCAGGCAGGAATCAGACTAGGGAGTGCTCTGTCATGACGCTACTGCGCGTCACAAGCCCACGAGACACTATCCCATCCGGGGAAATAAAGGATGCCCAAAATAGTTAATGAATAATGGGGGAGGGGGCGGCTCCCGGTTGATCGATACTTGAACGCGCAAGGCGGAGACTGATTGGGGCCCGGAGGGGGCAACAAGGGGTGGAATTGCGGAGGTGCCTCGCTACTACTCGGGAGCCAGGCTATTAATTGAAGCGGGTTTCGATCTGCGCGAGCGAGCGACATGCGCTTGGCCGGAGCCCCGGAAGGAAGCAAGACGCCCTCTGGACTTGCTGCGTTGGTGATTCCAGCACCACCTTGTGCATAAGGCTCCGATCCATTGGCGGCTCACGGCGCAGGAGCAGTCCGAGACACGCACGCTATGCTGCGCACGATCGATAGGTCGGCCTTTTTGTCATTGTTGATGATCAGCATAAGCGTCCTGCGCATCGATCACAGCGAATCCGAGCGCGCTTCAGGGCCCAGGGCTGCCCGGCACAGCAATGCCCGCCGGCCTTTGTGGAAAAGTGAAGATCACTCGGATCCTTGCAAATAATTGAGGTCCAAGCACGGAAGTTATCCCGCAAGACTCCGTGTGGCAGACGTGTGTGCGCCGCAGATGGATCGGCACAAATATTGGCGTCTATTTCTCCACGCTGTTCATCGCCCGCCAATCGACATCCCTGGGCGCCTAAACGTCAGGCTCTGCGCCACCGAGGCCTGACTTCATATCTTTGCGGCGCAGGAGGCCTTTTTGTTCGACTGGTCCCTCTGACATTATTGTCTCGGGGTGCCTGAGCGTTGGATGACCGCCGTGCAGGCGAATGCAATCACTTGACCGCGTTTGCCCCCGGTTCATGGCGCAGCCACATCTGGTGGCAACGGGAGCTAGGTGGTCACTTTTACGCACAGCAGGGAGTGGTGGCTATTGGCCGGTCGAGGGTGCTGGCGCAGGAGGATCAAAAAAGTTGTTGGCACTCGTCCGGTGTTGGGGCCTTCTGTCATTGTTCTGCACTCGGGAAGCGATGTTGGGAGAGGAATCTTGCTTTCCCATGGTCTGTGTTTTTTTCTCACCGGATAAAAGGAAGAAGCAAACGTGAAAACAGCTCGGATCACTCCGTTTTTGGTTTTGGCCCGATGAATCCTTTGTGTAACATGCCTCAGGGGAAAAAGACTCCGACCTGTCCCTTTTTGACTTATTGGTTGGTCTGCGCGCTCACCGACTCACCCGACAACATGGCATATTTGGGAATGAGGAGCTGGATTATGTGGAAGTATAAAAATGAGGAAAGTAGGAAAAAAGCATCCTCGAGTGAATGCATTACTTCAGAATGAATCTACCTAAGAAAACAATAAAGCAACGCAGGCTGCCCGCTGATAACGAATGGGGTATCCGCCGAGAAATGCAGATTCAAGCAGAATCGAAGACAATAAAAGGCCCCTGATTTCAAGGATAAGTTGTTAAACGACAGGCGAGAAAAGAAGATAATTATCGGGGATGCAAGAAGGGAATTCGTCCAGTCGTGTCAGTAGTATCAATTCCATCCGTCCATTTTTCTCAAGTGGTGTCGAGCATTGCGCCACTTCCCATCGGCCAGCGCCTTGCGCAGCCTGTCTTGGTGATCCAGGCTGACCTGGAGTGGTGACGAGCTGCCTTGCGTGTTCACGTTCACGTCTTCGGCGGGGGCTGCGGAGGTTTCCCCCAGAGACTGCAGAAGATGCACAACTGTTGTCTCAATCTCGGCGGGGCTTTTCTGAATACTTTCCAGTCTGACGCGGAGGTCGTCCTGAATTTTGAGGTCCTCTTTTTGTTTTTCAGCATCCAATAGTTGAAACACACTGGGGTCCGAGTTTGCATACCACGCTTCGGCGACGGAGACGTCGTAGTCCGCATCGTTGAGAGCCATGTCTGCATCTCCGAATTTGTGTAGAATCTCTTCGGAGTCGGCGCGAAGCCGCGCGGCAAAGTTCGCCACGGACTTGAGGATCTGTTCAACTTCAGAATCCGAGAGTCCAGAAGAGGAGCGGAGAATTGTGGAGTCCAGTTGTGCTGCCTTTGCGGCGAGCGCGTCCAGGAGGCTTTGATTCATACCTAGGCCATGAAGAATTGCTCCATCGAAAGAATCCATAAGCCGGTTGGCTCGGTCGTCGCGATCCCGGGCCGCCTCCAAAATATTCCGTTTTTCCATCTGGTCAAAGTCTCCATCAAGCTGTCGGAGACCAAACGTATCGCCGATAACCACCAATGGGCGCCGCTCTGCCTTCTTCCGGCGCCGCTCACAGTCCAGAGCAAGCTCTAGGCGCTTTTGGAATCGAATCTCAAGCTTGTTGTGAACTTCGTTGACCATCTTTATAGTGCCAGACGGGCTACGCTGCTCGTTTGCCGCAGCTTTGCCCTTTTTGTTCGCGGTCGAGCTGATCAAGAGCCGCATCGTAGGACTTGCGCAGGACGGAGATCTCGGTTTGCAAACGTTTATCCAACGGGTTAAATATCTCTCCAATGAAGCTGTCGACTTCGCGACGCTCCTCATCCAGCTGAACGCGCGCTTCGCCTTGTCGGAAATCTTCTTCCATCAGATTGATATCCGCATATCCGATGACCTTTTTATTGAAGAGGGTATCGGCGTACTTCTGCGCACGATCCTGGCGCTTCATGCGTTTCCGGTCCAGCCTCTTTCGACGAGCTAGCGAGGCTGATTCCCAAGACTGGATGATCTTCTGGATGTACGTGAAGTCATCGGAAATTGCGTCCAGTTCCTCTTTTGTTGTTGCGTACCATGAACTTTCGGCTTGTCCGTCCATGGGCGCCCAGACCATGTTTCGTAGATCTTCAATAGGATTTCGAGGCAAGCCTTTGTGCAAAGATTCGGGTAGATGCGGAGGAGATGTAGGAGTTGATCGTGACATTGTGTGGTAAGCGTTGCTCCTTTGGCGGATAGCCCCGAGGAACTCTTCCCCTTGTCTTCTGAGTTGCTCAGGAGAAGCCAAGGATTGGGACCTCCCGCGAGAAAGCCCCGAGACCGCCATGACTCGACCACCCATAGCGGATTGTCGCCGCAGGTCAGTATACCCTTGGAAAGCCGGCCGATCAAAGGTCAGGTTGTCTGAGCCTCGCTGAGGTCCCTCAACGTACTGGAAAGGCGTATAAATGGATTGTGGAGGGCTTGTGACTAGAGGGCTGAAGCCTAGTTCACCTCGCAACGCATCCAGTGAGGGCGGAACAGAGCTAGACCGCCGAGAGCTGTTCCCGGGCTCTCTATCGGTCGCAAAGGAAGACACTCTTGGGACAGCGTTCGAAGTGTGACGAGCTCTCTTGGCGAGGATCGGACGCCCTCCTGAGCTATATTCACTTTCTTCACCCTCTGGGTTATCTTCGTCGGCTTCCGCCGCTGTAGGAGAGACAGGATCTCGCGACTGGAGGGGACCGAATGTGGAACCAGTTATAGGTGTTGATGTTGGGTTTCGCACAGTGAGTTGCGGAACCATCAGTCCAGCTTGCTGGACGTTGTCGATACTGTAGAGAATTTCTCGAAGCTTTGTCTCCTTTGCCGTGAAAGCTGCAAAAATCTCGAATCTCTCTGTATCCGAGTCGGCGGCCGCCTCTTTGTGCAGCATAGCCACATAGCGTGTGAGGGAAGACCTGAGCCAGGGATCGAGATCGTGAGGGTCTATGTCCTTAGCCACAGGTGCACTGCTCTGTTCGTCTATCATTTTTGAGAAGCGGAGATCCGCTTGCACACTCTTCTCAAAAAAGGTGGCCCTTCTTCAGACTCAAGTACTTCTTCTGACTCCAAATCTTCTTCTGACTCCGGGTCTTCTTCTGACTCCAGGTCTTCTTCTGACTCCAGGTCTTCTTCTGACTCCAGGTCTTCTTCTGACTCCCAGTCTTCTTCCGACTCCAGGACTTCTTCCGATTCTAGTGTCTCCGTCGGCAACCCAACGGGGCCATGTTCATTCACCGGAGTCAGCTGATCCTCCTGCTGTCGCAAGCTGGCCGAATCCGGGTTTGGAAATTCCGCTATTGCCGTAATTGGCTGAATCCATGCATCGATGATCCCATCGATGCTTTGTGACCTTTCTCCGTCCATGGAAATAGAGGGAACCGGGCTGTGTGATGAGGGAACACTAGTGTCTATTCGTATCGATGCAACCGGAGAGAACGAGGGCTCTTGCTTGCTAGTCATAGTGGCTGGGGAGATGGGAGAATAAGAAAAGTTGTGTTGTGAGATAAAATCCATCTCCGAGATAGGGCTTTTGACAGAGTCCTTGCGGATCACATGTGGCCCAGGAACGATGGAATGACGAACTCTGCCTGACAGACCCGTGGAGTACCCCGGAGGCGTCAGGACTGTGTCTTGAGATCCGGTGGGCGTTTCAACCCCGCTCCTGGGGGGAAACCACGGCCGGTCGTCGAACTCTTCTTGTGCCGGGCTACCCAAGTGCTCCCAATCCGACGGCGTGCCATGGCCCAGGACCGAAGCAGTCGGATGGTCTGAATTGGGACCATCATTAGCGCAAGGTGGAAATCCATAGCCGTGGCGTTCCTCTTCGGATTCATCAGGGAATCTTGGCGGAGGTGCCGGGGCCGGGCTGATGGCTGGCAGTGGTGTGTATGGCGGTGCAACCGGTGCAGCAAAAGCCGGATCTTCTGCCGTGGGAGGTGAGAGCAGTCGCTGATTGGGAGCAGCCGGCAGAGGCTTGTGATCCAACGGAGCTGTCGTTGGGGAAGGTAGTAGTGAGAATGACTGTGCATACGGAGGAGCATAGGGCGGCCTCTCAATTGTGTGGGGCTGGCGATGCTGTGGGAACAGTCAGTCAAGTTTGTGCACTACTGTCTCTCGTACTGACCAGTAACCCCCGGCCGCGTTGATGCTTCCTGTTAAGCCGTACTCCCCATGATGTGTGGTCCTTGGAGCTACTCCGCCCCGAGGGTGCTGTTAGGGAGTAGGACACCGGGTGACGCGGTGGGAATCTGGGTTCTGACTGTGAGGTTGGAAGATAGGGACGGTCTGCTTGTCCGAACATCGCTAGCACTGTCCATGTCAAGACGAGAGCGAGAGGAAAAAAGAAGATGCAGGAGAAAACAACACGTGCCGCTGGGCTCAGAGTGACATGGAACGGGCAAGGCATACCGGCACTATTGCGACCTTACTATTTCTGGCACAGGGGCGTAGGAGAGATCCATCGACACAATTCCCGGCCCCAAAATCCCGATCGCCCCTGGGCGTCCGGGGCCTCCGTGGGTACTACTAATAATAATTTTTAATTTTATTTCCCGGAGATATAACACGACTAACCCGAAGGCGAACTACAAGGCACATGGATGTACCATACATCCTTGCCCCCTGACGTAGGACGGGGTAGGACTCCCGAAGCCTCATACTTGCCCGAACCGGAAAGAGAGAAACTGGCTTTGTTCTATCCCGCTTCTAAATAAATCTTAGTATTTACGCCCATCGCCCTACTACGAAATGTCCACTCACTAACTATTTAGCTGTCCCCTCGCGCTTGTCCACAACTAGGCCGCCCCTCTTAAGCGAAAGTTGCCGATCTAGTTCGGACTAAATCTCTGCTATGGACGGGTCAGTAGTGATGCTCCATCAAACTTGCACTCTGCCCGAGGACCAATAATAGAAGCATAGTTCGGCTTTGTTTTGTTAGAAAGGAAAGACTCTTTCGCGCTAACAGGCCGCGCAAATTGGCTTGGGATCTGTTGGCAAACGCCACTTTGTTTTGGAATGGACCCTCCGGTCGCGGACACTCCAACATCTTTCCAACAAAGGCGCAGAGCGAGATTATACGGTTACTTCTATTTCGTGATGTCCGTATAAAAAGGCCCATGGATCCGGGAATCTATTTATAAGCTCAAAGAATTAAGTAAATGGCAAACAGACCGAGCTCTCGTTCTTTGTTTTTTGGCCTCGTGCCGGGTTGCCTGACCTGCCTCAAAGGAGACCCGACCATGAATACCGCCGTCTTTTCTCTGGGACCAATGCCTTCATGCCCCTCAAAGAAAGAAAAGTCCCAATTCACGAGGAGCGTCAATATTTAAAGCCGTAGTCCGACCAGCAATAGGAATGCCATGACTCCGTTGCCTCTTATTACTTTTGATAACTCGTTTGTGTCTGTGATCTTTGTCCACGCGGTCGAATTAGTTATTGATTCCGAGTATCTACGTTCTCCAGCAATCCACAATGACCTCCAGACCAAATTACTCCATAAATGTCCCACCGGTATCTGAAACGGAGCGACAGCCTCCTGGCTACCGGCCACGGCCTAACCTCTTTGACAAGGTAGCATTCGGCCCGTACATCAGCGCCGATGATGCAAGACTTGCATGTCGCGCGTGGTTCGAGCAAGACAGTTGCCTTGGAAAGGCATGGAAGGACCACGAATACCGTGTCTTTCCAATTCAGTTACCTGATGTGATACCCCATGATCATGACCCGCGCGTAATCAACGGGTTGGCGACCAATGTCTACGAGCACCTGATGGGCGATCCATTGTGTCCCGTTACACGATGGGAGGAAGATAACCCGGTTGACCAGACCTGGGATTTATCGGAATTGTTTGAGGAGATTAGAGATAAAGTCGCTATTCGTGACGAGAATGTTCGCATTTCGAAGTACTGGACCAATACTGTCTTGAACGCCGAGTTGAGGAAGAGAGGGTTACCCGTAGCCAAACCGATGAAGGAAAAGCTGTCAGCAAAAGATGCAAGGAGAGAAAACCAGGACCGCCTCATCAACGACGAGCTTGTCAAGTGCTACTCCTTTCAATCGCACAGTGATCTGTCGCACTGGGGAATCAATCGACCGGAGAAGTACAGGGTACAGCCCGCCACGGACACGGATATGACGCCGCTCGACATATACACCTTCGCCATTCACTTGAGTCCATACAACCCAACCTACTGGCTCAGCCGGGCATACTGCCATTACCAGCAAGAATTTTTTGACCTGGCCATCGGCGATGCCTATCGCGCTCAACTTCTCTGCAAGGTGGTGTCGGACAATCTTACTAGAAATGAGCGACCGGGACTCTACTCGCGCATCTGGCACGCAGTTGAACAACACTTTATAGCAATTCCTCAACATGGCTTTGACTGGAAGTCAGAAATTATGATCTACATGCGCAAGAACGGCATCACCAACTTCATTCCAACGGTTCAGAATGCGGCCCTTCACATCACGAGTCTCAGCCTCGCATCGCTGAATTGCTGGGATGACGTCGAGGCACAATACCGGCTGTTCTGTTCAACATTCACTTCCTCCGAGTCTGATCGTGACCAGAGAGTCGTTGAAGAGCGGAGACGACTAACCAAGCCTTCTGCGGAAGAGTGGCAAAAGGAGAAGGGTAAGCAGAACCTTTTCCCCTTTGAAAGGACATACGGATCAGTCAAGGGCACCCACAAATATCCATATGAGGAGGAAATCGATCGTTTTGACCCGAAATTTCGCGATGTGCTCAATCGCTGTCTCTTCGAAGCGCCCCCAGAGACCCTGAAACCCCCAACATGGAACTGCGAGGTCAAAAAAGTGCCCGGCAAAGAAGGCCTAGGAGTTTTCGCCACAGAAGTTATCAAACCGGGCGAGATTATCTATTGCGAGGAGCCGACCATCCGGGGTCATCTGCATATGCGAGGACTCAACGGCGATAAGACACAAAGATTCATAGAAGGTCGGCCGGGATGCCTAACCTGTAAGAAGACGGTTGACGAGACCATCGAGGCCCAATATCAGACATGGAATATACTGGATGGAACACATGAGTTTCACTGCAACTGCATTGTTGGGGAACCAACACGTGGGAACGGGAAGGGAAGCCCCAGGTGGTGCACAGGCAAGTACCCTGCCTACAGGCAGAGTAGAGAGAAGGCGTGTTTGGAGATTACGCGCGAGCAGTTCCAATTTGACAGCTGTGGAAAAGACTGGTTGTGGCTGCACGAAGCAATCAAGCCGACTCTTAAAGTCCACAAAGAGCCGAGAAGAGTTGAACCACCGCCAGGGTCCAATGAACCGGTAACTTTCAAAGACGAAGATGTTGAATATATACTTGAATTAAACGAGGACCATGGGGCTGTTTTGAGTCTGCTTCTCAAAAACGTCTTCGAGATCACACTGCACCGACGTCAGCAGGGAACGGACCCGCACTTACTCCCCCACGAGATCGATGAACTCCTTGTTCTGGACGGTTGGTCCGAGAACAATGACTACTGGACCGGCAGCAATTTCCCGTTCAACATTACCGCCAACATCCAAGTGCCATTCGACATTCTCTCCCAACTAGGAGTGGATATCTTCCGCGACTTCAGCTTCGACACATGGGTCATCCAAATTGTGTTGCGAAAACTACTCACCAACGTGGTACCCTGGGATGGACAATCGGGAGGCAGAACCAAAAGCACCCGACCAGTAGGCCCGGATACGCCTTTGAAAGAACTCGGCGAACAGCAAACGATGAAACAAAACCAGAATTCATTCGCTCAATGTGACCCGTCTTTCTCCAACCTCTATCTCTTCCCGGGATTCAGCATGTTCAACCACTGCTGTGCCATCAAGCAGCTTGGTGATCCCGCAAAGTACAATGCGGATTGGGCATATGACAATGTGGTCCCCAGCCGCATTGTTGTATGGGCGCAGAATCTTGTCAAGCCAGGCGAAGAGATCCGTCTCCGGTACAGATCTTCCGCAATCCGGTCAGACGGGCCCGGCGCGATACAGCTGTTTGGAGGGCCTTGTCAGTGTAAACAGTGCGCAGATTCCGGAGGCGCTCGAGATCCCATACGCTTTAGAGGCGCTGTTGCTGGAGGAAAAGACCCAACATCGACAAGGAAAAAGCAAGACACGGAAGGACAAACGACGGAAGAACAGACGGCTGAAGGACCAGCAACAGAAGGAGAAGGCACGTTCCGAAGAAGAAATCGCGAAGGCGACATATATTCTGACAATGCAGAAAACACAGCAAATACTGGATCCAATACACAAGACGAACAAAAGCTGAGCTCTATGAAGCGGAAAATGACCCAAGCCTTCCTTATGGTTGAGCATGAGGAGGAAAATGAAGCAACGAGGATGTTGAGGGAGGGAAAAGTACGCACAATCGCTGGAGAGATTGTGTTTTCTGAATATCCTTTATGAGGAAAGCAACAGCCTTGTATGTAGCTTGCCTCAATTGGCGCAATCGTCACACTAACCTTTAAACCATGAGACTGTGAGTATATTGACTACTTTCACCTCTTCATGCCCGGAAGATATACTAGTTATCCGAAACTAGCGCGTGGGGATTAGTTGCAGAAAAACACCAAAAATAAACACTTGAGCGCCACCAGGATCCCTGGAAGAGTTTTCTGCTATCCTTCTCAGGCACAGATTGATCAGCTCTTGCGAGGGAAGATTGAGGTAACGACGGCCTTTACTAAGACCCAGCGCTCGGGGATCGGAACAACCCGAGCGGGACCGATCGGACAGTATGAAGTCCGCTATAGAGCGATATTTAATGTGAGGATGCTCCCCAACCGATCATAATTATTTTTCTCTATTTCCAGAAAGAACTTTGCACGCAAAAGTATGAGCAAACAGGCAGACGTCATCATCGCCGGCGCTGGTCCGGTAGGGCTATTTCTAGCATGCGAGCTGGCCCTAGCCGGCGTGTCGGTACTTGTTCTGGAACGAGATACAACACCCGATACGCCATGGAAGGAAGACTTTTTCGGTCGTCGCGGTCTCTTTCTTCGTGCAATCGAGGCCTTTTACCGCCGCGGTATGCTGGACGAGATCATCGACGGCGGCAACCAGCGTCCGACGCAACTCGACAAAGGTTCCGACTTCGTGTTTGGGGGTCACTTTGCCGGTATGATGCTCAATGCAAACAAAATCGATTTTTCACGATGGAAATATCACCTTCCAGGACCTGCCTTTCTCCCTGCAGGGTCTTCACTCGGTCGTCTTGAGAGTGTGTTATCGAAGCGTGCACAGGCACTCGGTGTACAGGTCATCCGGGGGATGGGAGTCACAAAAGTCAGCGACGAAGGCGATAAAGTGAAGGTATTGGCCGGAGACGAGTGTTTTGAAGGCCAGTGGCTCATTGGATGCGATGGTGGACGCAGCACTGTTCGCAAGGCCGCTGGGTTCCAATTCGAAGGGACAGGCTCTGAGTTCATGGGCTACATCGCTAGCTGTGATCTGGACAATCAAGAGCTTCTGAAGCCGGGTTTTAACCGCACAGAGTTCGGGATGTACATTAGTACTGGACCTGGACAGATTTATGTCATTGATTTCGATCTGAGCTTCGATCGCTCACAACCCGTCACTCGAGAACACTTCCAAACTGTACTCCAACGGGTCTCCGGATTGGATATCGCTGTCAAAGCGCTGCATCTGACTACCACATTCACCGATCGCTCGAAGCAAGCCACAGAGTATCGCAGAAGCCGCGTTTTTCTGGCCGGTGACAGCGCTCACATCCATTCTCCACTAGGGGCGCAGGGATTGACTGCTGGCATGGGCGATGCGATTAATCTGGGCTGGAAGCTGGCGGCTACCATAAAGGGCTATGCACCTCCTGGGCTTCTCGACACTTATCATCAAGAACGGCATCCGGTTGGCGCGCATGTCCTCGAATGGACGCGTGCTCAAGTAGCCACTCTACGGCCGGATCCATATGGCCGAGCCGCTGCCAAAATCATGCAGGACTTGATCAATACGGACGAAGGAACGACTTATTTTGCGGACCGCATCTGGGGAATTTCGCAACGCTACGACCTGGGTGATACCCACCCGCTTGTCGGTTGCAGTGCCCCGGATTTTGAATTCGAGGACGGACTGCGCTTGGGGTCTAAGTTGGAGAGAGGTCGTTTCCTGATCATTGACTTCTTGAGTGACTCGTCTGTGGCACAGCTCGCCCAGGGCCTAGAGCCTTTTGTCGACTACTCTGCATCTAATGCAAAGGAAACATTTGGCCTCAAGGCATTGCTGGTGCGGCCGGATGGCACTGTTGCGTGGGCGACAGAAGACGAGGTTGATATCGATGCGCTGAAGACGGCATTGTCACGCTGGCTAAGTCTTCCTGGACTTGAAGGCTGAGGATAGCATAATTGTACATCAAAAATATAGACAATACATCTCCAATCACTCTTGCGGGTTTTCGTTGTAGATGGTTGAAGCGTAGGATTGGCAGAGTGCGATTTGAAGTAGATTTCCTAGAAGTGTGAATAGCATGCAATCTTCAGTTGAAGCCAATGTTTGCTTTAGTGAGCATTTCTTTCTTGTCTTCGCGGTAGTTACAAAATCTGTTAAGTCGTTTCTGGAAGAAATGTTCGGAGCGGGATTTTCCAAAAATTTGCTCAGAAGATGACCTCTAAATAAAGTCTTGATTGAGTGAGCGAAGAGCTGGGGTGTACTGGCCAATCATTTACTATGACCTGCCTAAAAAAGCACCTTTTTCCGCGGAAGGTCTCGGAAAAATGTCCGAATATCTTTGAAAGCAGACGCTATCGGTGATAGGGTCCGGATGCAAGATAAATCCCGTTATATCCATCCATATTGATTGGCTAGATATCTTCCTTCCCATTTCCACAACACCCCCTGTCGCCAATTATAAATATCAACAGTTATCTTTTAAAGCTTCCATTAAGCTTTGGCTCCGTTCCAAGCTGTGGCTCGAGTCGGCTCGGTCGGTGGAGCTTAAATGCTAGCGGAGTTTAGTAGGAGTTTGGCTAAATCCACGATTAATAATGAGATATTTCCTGCAACTTCAGTTAGTTACATCATTTCCCCGCAGGGATGTCAAAGCTATATAAAAGACCCCTCGTCGCTGTAATAGAAAAATAGAATTCAACACTACACTGATATTCACGGCAATTCTACTATCAAATAAAATCGAAATCGACCAAAATGTTCTCCGCTGCTTCCCCCCGAAATCTCGCCTGGGCCGCTACCGCCTGCTTGCCCCCACGGCTGGTGTCAAGGTTAGCCCTCTGTGCTTGGGGGCAATGAACTTCGGAACTGGATGGTATGTGTCGGATTTATCATTGAACGTATGGCATAATATTTGCTAAAATGAGACTCGATGCTTAACAGGCAGGGCAGACTTGGTGAATGCAGCAAGGAAACTTCCTTTCAAATTCTGGATACATTCTATGAGAATGGTGGCAACTTTATTGACACGTAAGTAGACAGTCCAGCCGCCTTACTGGGAAATACAGCCTCTCACCCATTTGAAGCGCAAACAATTACCAAAATGAAGAATCTGAAGAGTGGGTTGGCGAATGGATGGAAAAGCGCGGTGTGCGCGATGAAATCGTTCTGGCGACCAAGTACACCTCCCCGTTCCGCCTATACAAGCCGAACGAGATCCAGGCAAATTACGTCGGAAACAATGCCAAGGCCCTCAAGGTATCCGTTGACGCGAGTCTGCGGAAGTTGAAGACGGATTATATCGACCTTGTAAGAATCCAAATTTTTCTCAACTTGCAATAAAGCTGACTCAGGAATAGCTGTACGTGCATTGGTGGGACTTCAGCACTTCCATCGAGGAGGTGATGACATCGCTTAACTTCCTGGTAACCTCTGGAAAGGTGCTGTACCTAGGTGTTAGCGATACACCTGCATGGGTCGTAAGCCGAGCCAACCAATGTGAGTATATGCCATCCTTGTCCTGTTTGATGCCAAATGTCTAACAGGAAATAGACGCCCGCGACCATGGACTGCGCCCATTTTCTGTTTATCAGGGTCAATGGAACGCTGCCAGGCGCGACTTCGAGCGTGATATCATCCCGATGTGCGCCTCTGAGGGAATGGGTCTGTGCCCATGGGGAGCCATCGGTGGAGGTGCCTTCAAGACTGCCGCGCAGCGCGAGGAGATCGCCAAATCTGGCAACCCAGGGCGCGCTGTCGATGCGACCGAGACTGATCTGGCAGTGTCAAAGGTGCTGGAGAAGGTCGCAGCCCGCCATAACACCATCATCACCAGCGTGGCCCTGGCTTATGTGATGCGTAAGACGCCTCATGTCATGCCCATTGTGGGTGGTCGGAAGGTGGAGCATCTGCAGGGAAATATTGATGCTCTGGCACTGGAACTGTCGGATGAGGATGTCGAGGAGATCGAGTCGGCGTATCCGTTTGACATTGGTTTCCCCATGACGTTCCTTTTCCGTGGCGACAAAAAGGAGGCGCACCCTAAAAACTCGCAATTCCTAAATGCGGCTGCCAGGTTTGATTATGTTGATTTGCCTGTCGCTATCAGGTCGAAGCCCGTGGAGGAAGTGTGAATATTTGGTGGCTAAGGTTGATTGATGATGGTTTCTGATTAAAAAATATATCTGCCCTGAAGAATTTGTTATTACTGAGCACTGAAGAGAATCGAATCCAAACCCATTCCTCCTTTGACTGGTGCCTTGTGTAGACTTACAGAGTATCTAAACAATTTTGAATACCTAGCTCTTCCCATGTTTCCTGAACTAAGGGCGTACCAACCCTAACTGGGGATGTCATCGTCATTTTGACATCTAAGAAAGCACGAAATAGCGACTCGATTCTTGAGCACCATCAGTCACTCACTTCTAAAGACTTAAAGTTAACTGTGTTCGAGAACCGCCTATTCAGCATGCCCCCTGCAAACCCTGCAAATGTTCCACCAGCGACAAAGTCCAACAGCCTCAATGCGGGCGTCCTTATAGCGGTCCTCGTCGGGGTGCTAGGCCCTCTTATCTTAGTGTTCGTTTTCATTGCTTTCAAGTAAGTCTTCTGCTCGGCAATCCTCGACAATATAATATTGCATTTGAAACTAACTGCGGCTCTGGGTCTATAGACTCATCTATCGCAAGAAGGAGGTAAATGAGGGTAACGAAGACCAGCACAAAACGCCTGACCGAGCAAATGACCGAGCAAATTCGGTTGTACAGACTTCAAAGCCAATTATCCCACCACCACCAGTTATCACTCAAGCGCCAGTACATTGCACCACCTCTTGTCACTGTTGAAGAATCCCAATTCAGAACGAGCTTTGTTTCGCCGTTATATACGGCTTACTTCAACATGGGGCCCCATCATTGCTTGCTCGATTTTCGGCGTCTGATGCTTATGTTATACTCAAAATTTGCAATTATGGGATTTCTGTTTATTTCTCGTTAGTGATACCCTGTATATTTGCTAGAGAGTCTACAGAGAAAAGGCCAAAGAGGCATGTTCTCCTCTTGTCAGAGCCCGTGCAAGAAAAGCCTACTGGTTTAAATGAACAGACTACTCAAAGACAGACTAGAAGGTATGTGCTGTGAGCTTATCTTAGCACTCGCGACTAAATTTGAAATGGGAGTACCAAACTAAGCATACTCAAGGTACCGTCGTCATATCTCTAAAATCTTGATGACCAGGTCTTTTTGAATGTCACTGAAAATCCATTTCCAACTTGAATTTATTTTGCCAAAAAAAAAACCGTCAATTGTTTAAAGATGTTGCCTTATCCAGGACATTATAATAACCTCATAAAAGCAACAGTGGGCTCATCGCCTGTCTCGTTGTCGGACTTGTAAACGCTACTATTCCAAGCCGCGGCGGTCATTCAGGATCCTCTATAAATTCAGCCATACCACCATGATTATGATCGCCAGTACCATGATTATCACCACAATTATCACGATGCTTATCACTACGATGTCGGTCCCCTCGAATTCTACCACCGATAATCTCGTTGATTTCTATGACTAGGGGGTATACTAAGTATACCAAGTTCACTTGCTTGCAACTTGATATCAGAATACAATAACCCGACCGGCTATTTTCTTCAGTATGCAGATTTGAATTTTTAAAATATAGAATAAGGCCCCAAGATCATTCATGGTATGCACACAGATACGCAAAGGAAACGACACAAGTAGTTGTAAAATACAGTGAAGAGAGAAAAAGCCCCAAGCTCAAATACATACAGGACAGCACTGAGGACGGTCATCAGAACCTGAATCTCTATGCGGTAGTGGTAGACACCTGAGGCCGAGACAACTGAGGCCTGCGCAGGACCTTCTCCAGCTCACCAATGACGCCGCCACCAGAGAGACTCCATTTCTCACCAACTAGCTGGTCATTGACCACCTCGCGCAGCAGGCCACTGTGAGCGAAGTAGTTCACATAGCTCCTGGTCTCGTCGCGGGTGAGACCGCTGAGGGTCTGCAGCTCGAGGAGACCATCCTTGGACTTGGAGGCCTGGAAGAGGTCCATCACGCGGGGATCGGCGTTGCTGTAAGATTCCGGCTGCGGGTACTCTGGGGAGGACGGGCTGATGCCCTCCTGACGGGCAGCCAGCTGGTCCAGGCCGACTTCAAGACTGTAGTTGGAAGGGCTGTTGGAGGTGGAGGTGGCGTACAGGACGAGGCCGCCGTTGCCCAGAGACTGGCCCTGCGTCAGTAGCGAAAGGAAGTGCTTCACGAAAACGAGGTCGTGCGAGTGGATCGTAGTAAAGTCGGCGGCGCGGTAGACGCTCTCGCCCATCCAATGAGCGAGACCGTCCAGAGTCACGAGCATTGGGGGACGAGGTTGGAATTCATCCTTCACGCCTGGCGCTGCCTTGGTAGCGTTAAGTTCGGTCCACAGAGCTTGGAAGACGGGCCAAGCGACGGCGGCATCTTGCAATCCGAGTTTGGCGAGATCTGCCAACGTCGAGCCGGGCTTGAGTCCCTTCAAAGTTGGGTGTTGCTGAGAGATACGAAGACCAGCCAGAACATCCTGGTTGGCCTTGACAATGCGGGATAGTAGCGTAGACGTAGCGTTGGGCTGGACATACTGCGTCGGGTTGGTACCTTCAATTGGGGAGTACGCGGTATCGCCGGAGACGAGTTCTCGAGCTACCAATGATCAGCAACCGCATGAAGCGAGAGAGGATGGTGTAAGACTTACCGTCGGGTACTGTGATCACGACCCATTTCTTGATGAAAGCCATAGTCATGGCCTGCAGCAGATGCACCGTCTTCCCGGAGCCCTTCGGCCCCGTCACGATCTTCTTGACAACCTTGCCCTTCTGAGCACCCTCAACATCACCTGTGATCTGATCAATCAATCGGCCCATCTCATACGTAGTGCGACGAAAGACTGTGCTCGGCCGATGGAACAATGACCAGCTCTGCTTGGGCTTGAACGCCTCGACGGCTCTCAATTGATCCAGCTTGTCCACAGGCAGACCCATAATAGTGCCGCGAAGGCTGGGATTGGACATTGTTTCCGCTGACAGATCAACCATACCCTCGATTTCCAGCGCGTTGGGGTTGCTGAGCACGATGCGCTTCTTCAGAGCCTTGCGCTCGCCGACGGGCGGCGGACGCACACGGTCGACGGGCTTCTTCTTCTTCCTCCGGATGCTCATTGACTGACGGTGCTTCAGCATCGTTTGCGTATTGGCCTTTTTCTTCGCCGGCTGGGCATATTGGACTGCGGAGGAGTGGAAGGGGGCGCTTGCGACTCGGGGAGCGGAGGACGACGGAGGGAGAAGGGCCCGCGTGGCTGCAGCGCGAGGCCGCAGGACGCAGTTCCAGCAGCCCGAGGGGACCATTGTGGTTGTCAGGAGTACTGGCACGGCGGCCAGAGACGAGACAATACAATGGGGGGGGAGCAATGGAGGGTGGAATGGGTAAGTGATTGTGGACTGGAAGAGCAACGGGGAGACACATTTCTGAGCGGTGCTTGTTCGGGACTAGTGCAGTTTAGATAAGCAACTTTTTTTTCTTCTCATTAATCTTCGCTATCATTTTTGGACGGTTATCAGTTCAACAACAGCAGAACACACTCGCCATGACGGACGTGGGCATGACAAACTCTGCCGATGCATCGGCCTCGAAGCCCGAGAGACTGTATGTTTCGTGTTCCAGTTCTCCCCCACGCTCATCAACCAAAACCCAGAACACTAACATAACCCGAACCCAGTCCCATCACCGTCTCCAAACCCACACCCTACACATTCGACCTCGGCCACCTACTCGTCAACGACCCCAACCCCCTCGAGCTCCCCAGCAACGGACCCATCAATGCCTCACTCAAAGCCATTGCCCGCGACGGCACCCAATGCCTCCTAAACCAGCTGCTAACAACGTGCGAAATCACCTCGACCGCCGCAGACGGCGTGCTCCTCAGCCTCCCAGCGCCTGCCACAGCGCTCCCGCGGCAAAAGCCACTACCGACCCCCAAGCCGCCCACGAAATGGGAGCTGTTCGCACGCAAGAAGGGGATTGGCAAGTTCAGCAGGAAGGCCGGCGGAGCGCTGGAGGATAAGGAACGGCGCAAGAAGCTCGTGTACGACGAGGCGTCGGGTGAGTGGGTGCCTCGCTGGGGATATAAGGGAAAGAACAAGGCGAATGAAGATCAGTGGCTTGTTGAGGTTGATGAGAAAGATTGGAAGAAGGAGGAGGAGGCTGCTGCGAAAGGCGGGTCGATTCGTGGGATGTCCAGGACGGAGCGGAAGCAGCGCATTAAGCGGAATGAGAGGAAGATGCGCTCGAATGAGGCGCGGGCGAAGAGGGCTTGAATTGATATTTTTCTCTGTGTATCGATCGATGTCTGTCATGGCGTTGGGTTGGAGTCCAGCGGTTTTGGTTTCATTTTCAAAACATTTACACTACCAAAAGCACTGCTTACCTACATTACTATCACTACGACTTATTTTATACACTTCCTCGATGTATATTCCAAATGTGGTCTTGATTGATCAAACCGAAAGAATGCCCTCCCACGTTCCCAGTATATCGTACATGCATATCTCGCAAACCGTCAAAGAGATACAATAAGAGCAAATCATAGAGACAAGAATGAACATGCGAAGTGCAAGCGGGGATATCTGAAGATGCCGGAACATCAAAGCACAATTTCATGAGATGGACTGGTCGCGCTGGAAAGTAAAAAAAGACGAAGGCACGAACAAATAGCTGAAGAAGAAAAATTGTCCACCAAAACAGTAAGTACGTTGAGAAGAAAAGATCAAAATATACAAAACGATGCGAAAAAAGGCCAAAATAGGACCGTGGACAGAAATCGATGAAACAGGAGACGCCAATATGCACTGTCAATGCTGGTTCAAGGGCCAGAGACGAGGGAGACCAGCCGAACCAGAACATTCCAGCCAGTGGTCTGTTCGGATCCAGTATATACCCCATGAGCGGACCAGCCGAACAAGAAGTATCTCGGCCAAGAGCCCAAGTAGACGGGAACCAACACCCATCATCAAGAAGGGTCTTATATTTTGATAGGAGAAAGCGGCGGGCCAAGTTCTGGGAGGTGAGAGGGATTGCGACCGTGCGAGGTGTCGATATCCTTGGGCCGCTGCTTACGGCTCCGTGAAGTGTTCGGACGAGAAGATGGTTCCTCCTCGGTATGTTGGCTGCTGCTGGAAGACGAGACAGCGTGTTCATCACCGGTGGAATTTTGCGCGTTGCCCTGTGCCTTCTCCGTAGCAACAGAAGCAGCAGCCTTCTCCTCTGCGGCCTGTTGCTCCTTCTCGTCCATCTCCTTTTCTTTCTGGATGAATTCCTTCTCGGTCCAGCATCCCTGCCAACAATTTTTCCAGTCACAGACCAGGAAGTTGAAGCAGAAAGCGTCCATCTTCATACAGGGCTGGAAGCAGATGCACAGGTTGCGGTAGTCCATCTTGTTCTGGTCCACGTACGAGTGGAGGAGGTTGAGGTGGCAGGTGATGGCGAAGAGGAGGTAATAGTTGTACGGTGGTAGCTTGGACAGCTCATCCTTGAGCAGCTGCGGGGCGGTGGTAGCACCCTCGCACTTCTCTGCGATCATGTCCTGCGTCGCCTTGGGAAAGAGCTCGTCAGGCAGCTCACGGAGCCAGGCCTTGAACATCGACCCGATTATGTTGATATCGTACAGATCAGGGACGTCAAAAAGATCAATATCCAGCTCCGAGTCGAATCGCCTCTGCCAATGCTTCACCTCTCGGCCACTGCCAGGAACCCGATACAGACCTTCTTCCTCGCAGCCCTTGAAATTGAGATAATCAATACAGCGGTAAGGTAAGGCAGGCATCCAGAACTCGGTCTTGTCTCTGCAGTCTTCGAGTTTCTTCGCAATGCGGGTCTTGCGCGCCTGCTCAATCAACGGCAGGTTGATCACGGAACAGACATAAGTGTCATCGGTGAATAGCTCGCGCTCATTGGTGCTCCCACTACGTGTCATCTTGCCGAAAAATCCCTTTCCGGCCTTGCCGAGGCGACCGGCGGCACCGGTCGAGGATTGTTTCAGGTTGTTGAACAGGGCAGCAGATGCACCAGAGACTTGGCTCAAAGAGGCCGATGTGACCATAGATCCGCCGTAGCTCCTCTCTTTTCGGAGAGTAGCGCCGCTGGACTCCGTCGTGGGCGTTTTCAGTGTTTCTTGGACCGGACGATGATCCAGTCGTGGGAGTGCAGACTGTGGAGGGTTCTGCGTGTTGCTTTGGGTCCGAAGCTCCTCCAATTTCGCCAGTCCGGTTGACGGGCGTCGACCAGCTGCTTTGTTGCCCGACGACTCATCCACACGGATAGAGCGAGAGCGCGTGAGAAGACTTGCAAAGCGCGGCTTGCTCTTCTTTGGGGCCGCGGACTCCGTATCCGTGCCGGCTTTTCTGTAATCGTTTTGCATACCCCTCTCTGACGAAGCGTTAGACACAATGGCCAGCGGCAAAGATGTGAGATTGCTTACCCTTTTCGTTATCAGCTGCCCGAGCAATGGTTCCTGGCAGATCTGGGGTCGACTCGTATGACTTGGGCGACATATGCGCCTTGCGATCTCGAGAACTACCCCGGCTCTTTGGGGGTTCGGTCGTCGAATTCTCGGAGCTGTCGGACCGGTGGGCTCTGTGAGACGACTTGGGTGCTTTGAGATTGCCGAAGAATGACCGGGACGCATCTCGACCATGCTTCGGCGCGGTAGGGAAATGCTGCGGAATGGCCGTGAAGCCAGGTGTGGGAGGAGGCTCGGTTGCTTCAGCGGCCGAATCTGGAGAATTGGGCAAAGAGGGGCTGTTCGGTTTGCTGCTCGACTCTTGGGTGACGGGACGGATCGTAGCACCCTTGACGAATGTTGAGCTCGACGATGACTTGGGCGAACGAGGCGTCCGCGGACTCGGTCCATCCGAGCTCTGGCCCCCTGGGGTCAACGGAGACGCTACTTTTGCATTGCTCGACGCCGACTTGGACGAGCTGAGGTCCAAGTTGGGTACGGGCGAGTTCCGGGCCGGCATCTTGAGAGTCGGTCGAGCGAGCGTGGAGAGCCTCCGAAAAAAATTGATATATGATCCGAAAGGAACTCTTTCCGTAGGCGTCAAATCGTAAATGCTTTCGCCAAATGCGATCCTGTCTGAACGACGATTCGGTCAGCATGACACTCCGACAAGGCATCTAGGGGGGTGCCGATAGGGGAGGAATGCACCTGGAACATTCTGGACCGTGGTCCTTGTTCCTCGCGATTTGCACAGGGACTCACTTTTAATATTTAAACTCTGTGCGATATCGCGGGATGAAACCCAGCCTCGCCAATATGCCCCCGCGAGCGGTCAGAGGGCTCGGGATTAGGGGTCTGGGCGTTCAGACGAATATAGACTATCGAGGGAATGGGATCTGCCGGATTCTACGGTCAGCGAGGTTACTCAGGACACATGCTCACAGGAGGAGCCCAAAAAAGACGAGGGGGGCCCGGTGAAACCGCAATGACATATGCAGGGGGGATGCGCCACGGGAGTGTCCCAAGAGCGAAGCCACACGGGTGGTGCTACTGGGATGAGGCATTTGTCTCTTGATGTGGATGCGCCAACTCCGACCGTTGGACGACAGGAGCAACCATGTCGAGGGGGTTCCAGGGCCAGCAGCGGAGAGCACTCACCGGACCGATTCCCTTCATGATCCGATCCAAGATCTCGCAGTCGAGGAGGGAGGGAGGAGTTGTGGGAGTGTGAAGGAGAGCAAGGTGTCGCTTCCCCCTCTTTTTTCGACTGGGGTCCAGTGATCGGCAGAGTTGGATTCGCACCGACAGACCAACTGGAGACAGATGGAGAGGGAGGACGGATCACGGAGAGAGAGAGAGAGAGAGGGAGAGAGATAGGAGAGAGAGAGAAAACGAAAGTGAGTGCCGTCGAGGGTAGAGTGTTGTGACCGAGCCAAAGAAAAAAAGGAAAGCAGGCGACCAGGACTGCAAGTCACACCCTCCTAGCGCAGGTGAGATAGCGACTAGCTGTCTTTGTCGAGCGCTAGTCAGTCTCCGGTGTATCTTATCCGACAAGCAAAGACCAAAAAGGGGGAAGAAGAGAGCAAGGACAGAAAACACAGGGAGTACACCGTTGATAGCACGTCACCCATGGGCCAAATCCGAATGGATTATTGTGACGATGGGTCGGCATCATGGCTCCATTTCGCCCATTTTGCCATCATGATCGTCGAGCGATTGCATGTTTGGGGTCCGTTCAATGGTACTGCCCAGGTACTGGGTACCTTCCTGACGCTAGGTCCCAGTGTGCCTGGGCGGGTACAGGGTACGCCAGCGTCCCCACTGACTCGGAACCACTGGGTCTGGCAGCTGGAGCCACGGGTGGGATGAGATTGGCCGATGGATTGTGCCTGGCGTCTGCCGGGCAGTACAATCGGGCGGATTAGATTAATTCTGAAGGAGTTAGCTGTATGTACGGTGGTGAGGGTTGATTCGTGTTCTCGTTCTCTCCCGGCTCTCACTTCGACTACGGCGGCCGCTAGTTGATGTGAGACACGCCAGATGTCAACGAGATACAGAAATAGCAACACCCATCTGAAACTGACCCATCCCCGTACCTTTGTCCATTTGATTGACCCGGTCGCATCCCAACCCACACTGCAATGGTGACCGTGGCTCCCCTCCGTCAGTAGTGGATATCATGGTTCGTTTACTGCATTGGTATGGTACGGTGTACCTCTAGTGGCCACGCTAAAATTGTCACTGTCCACTGTGCACAATGAATCCTTCCACCCCGGCCACCTCCGCTCGTTGCCTGTGCGTCGTAGATCGAGATGCAGAATGCAGGGGGAGCAAAGAATGGAAGGATGCCGACGGATGACCGAGGTGAATGTCAGTGTCTGTAACCACGAAGGAGCGATCCGGGAATCATAGTATTTCTGCACCGCATCCTTCGAGTGTCCCCGTTCCATCCGTGTTTCAAGACCGTTGCACTACAATGGGCGGTGGGAGTTGGCGAGTCACGTGACCACACAGCTTTCCTTCTTTCCTTCCGGGCCGGTCGAGAGCTCCAGCCACAACCACCCTGGTCAATGATGACCGCATGAATGATCTTGTAACAACCTTGGACAACCCATGGACAAGTCCTGTGGCTCGTTGCCTGTTCCGCACGCCCCGGATTACTACTGACTCCAACTGACCATCTAACCCCCCCCCAAAATGTCCCTGGTGTCTGGTCCCGGCAGGGCCGGAGGCAGCCTATCCAGCCAAGACCTGTGTACTGCGAAACATGTGGCTTACATCCAAAAACTGGACACTGTGCGTGCTCCTTTGCTAGGCAGAAAAACAACCCGGAAACGATGATTGACGGTGAACCATTAGAGGAAGGACGAACTGGAATATTGGCTGACGGAGCACCTGCGACTCAATGGCCTGTACTGGGGCCTGACGGCTCTCCATCTCCTGGGCCACCCCCGACGCGCTGCCTCGGCAGGAGACCATTGACTTTGTGCTGTCCTGCCAGCATGATAATGGCGGCTTCGGCGCCGCGCCGGGCCATGATCCACACATGCTCTACACCGTCTCTGCGGTGCAGGTTCTGGTGATGCTTGACGCGGCACACGAGCTCGAGAAGAGAGGCCGAGGGGGCAAGGAGAAAGTCGGATCGTGTACGGTGCTCTTTTCTGCCCCGCAATGCCTCTGCTAACTGAATCCCAGTCATTGCCAATCTGCAAGATCGGGAAACAGGCTCTTTCATGGGCGACGAGTGGGGCGAAACCGATACTCGCTTTCTCTACGGCGCTCTCAATGCGCTGTCGCTCCTGGGTCTCTTGAATCTGGTGGATGTGCCCAAGGCCGTGGCCTATGTCCAAAGCTGCGAGAATTTGGACGGCGCCTACGGAGTCCGTCCCGGCGCGGAGTCTCACTCGGGCCAAGTGTTCACCTGCGTGGCCGCATTGGCTATTGCAGGGCGCTTGGATCTGGTGAACAAGGACCGGCTGGGGACGTGGTTATGTGAACGCCAGGTCGACCAAGGTGGTCTCAATGGCCGTCCCGAAAAGGTCGAGGATGCTTGCTACAGCTGGTGGGTGGGATCCAGCCTTGCTATGATTGATCGACTCCACTGGATCGATGGCAACAAGCTGGCTGCCTTTATCCTGAAATGCCAGGTCAGTCATCTCGATTGAGGTGTCGGGTCCAAGTTAACACCGTGCAGGATCCAGAGGCAGGCGGGTTTGCCGACCGACCAGGCAACATGGTGGATGTTTACCACACTCATTTTGCCATTGCCGGATTGAGTCTATTGAACTCTCCGGGCATTCAGGAAGTAGATCCCATTTAGTAAGTTTTTCCGTCGTTCTTTTTTCATGGACTGTGCTTGCTAACTGCCCTTCAGTTGTATGCCTAGAACAATCACATCTCGATGCTTAGCGCGGTGATCAAACTGTTTGCTTGTCTTTTGTTTATTCCCTCCCATCCTCCTGCCATCTAATAACCCGTGAATGCCCTTCTCCATGGCTCATGGGATACAAGGCAGGAGAAGAGCGATGTCCACTTTGACTTATTTCCGCTTCATATCATCCCACCATGGCCTGACCATCGGCCGTTAAGACATTGTGGCACATACTCTAATCCAGTATCCATTATCAATTCACATGCAATATACTTGATCCCGTGACCCGCTCGCTTCTTGTACTTGTAGATGTGAAGTTGAGGCAGGCAGCATCACCCGCACCCGCGCCTTCCCTGTGTATGCGTGTGGCCCTTCCTTCCCATCGTCCTCCCTCTCTCACTCACTCTCTGTGTTCATCCTTCCTTCACTCCCGTATCCACCGGGGAGTGTCTGGCTTTGTTGGTCTATTCACGTTTTGATTTGGTCAATCTCGCTCACCATCCAATATCGCAGTTGGCTCATCGGGATCCTGCCTGGACACGATGGAGACTGCAGCCCTTCAATGCATCATCTGTCCGACGCAGCCCAACTTCAGCGACAAGTCGCACCTGTTGACGCACGCTGCTTCCAAGGCCCACCTGTCCCACTACTTCAAGCTCCAGGTCCGCAGCCAGAATGAGTCTGAAGCCGTGGAGACACTCAATCGGTACGATGAGTGGTTCAGGGACAACAGTCTCGCCAAGCTTTTGTCCGATCGCATGACTTTCAAAGAGGCTCGCAAACGGAAGTCGCTGGGGAACGAGACTCCCAGCGCTCAGGCACCATCCACCAAGAAACAGCTCCTCAGGGCTCCACAAGTGGCTCCCAGTCCGCCAAAGACTGCCCCTCTGCCTGATTTCTTGGATCCTCGTCTTGCTGCTCCGTGCAAAGGAGAGCCGGACACAGATCAATCGATTTTGGTCCCAGTCATCGATACCCTTACAACAGACCCTGTGCGGGACCCGACGCGGCACAAGGTATCGAAGCCCAACCCGTTGACCCAGGATGATGGAAATGGATCTGCGGACAAAACCACCCCGGCCGTGCCAGTTACGCCAAAGCGCCCACGGAACAAGAAAGTAGCCAAACGTTTGCTCTTGACAAAAGAGGACTCTTGTGGTACATTTGTCGATCACCCCGAGCCAGTCGATGACATCGACTCTGACAAAGAACGATCCGACGAAATGACGCGGCTCAAAGGGGTTCTGTGGCCCGGAATGGACCTTTTTGATTCTGCGACGAAGCAAATGCGGCGCATGCGAAATCAGAAGAAGGGCGAAGAAGTGCTGAAGGTGATGGAGATGAAGTCTCTGTGTGTGGAGCCTACGGAGCTGGTCTTTTCGCCCAAGGGCACCTTGCGGAAGGAGCGTGAGATCACCGGGAATATTGAAGACTACAGCCCACTGAAAGGAGAGCGCCCGACTCACAAGCCCAAGCCGCGTTTTGCACGTTCCAGGCGTCGTGTCCTGCGTCAAACCAACCTCAATGTGAAACTCCGGGACCGACAGCGGACCAGGAAGGCTGCTTTGCATGACTCCAGTTCTGATCCTGAGGAATCAGCTGAGGAGAGTGCGGAGTCTCCGAGTCCCATTCGTCGCCACAAGGGTCTCGACTCACCTTCTGGCTATGATGGTGAGCTCGGCTTGACTATGCGAGCGTTCGAGAATATTCCTCGCAAGGGCTTTGCCATCTTCAACGACGAGGAAAACCCCTACAAAAAGGCCATCACGGACAAGCGTCCCGAGCCTAATATGCAGCTTGACACTCTGACCCCAACTCGCCTTGTTCTGGGTCATAAACTGGACATGCCTAGCCACAATGGCTCTGTGGCCGATCGTGCTTCTGCTGGAAAGGAAAACATTGAGCCCATTCTGAACTCGCAGGGCCGTGTCGACACTCACCGATGGCCGTCTCCGTTTGCCAAGCGCCGTTACCCCAGTGGATATGCGTCCGGCTATCTCGACGAGCATGACAAGTATGGGTATCGACCCAACCCGCTCCTGGCTCCCTCGCCAAAGCTGGCTTTGGTCGAGAACGATGCATATGGTGGGAATGTCACTACTCACCATGATGACTGGTCTGCGATTGTGCGTGCTGGTTCGCCGGATGGAACCATTTCCGGGAACGAAGGTGACTTTGGCCCACTATACCTGGATGGCAGTGCCAACTAAAAAAAGCAACTGCTCAGTTTTCATATTATGCTGAGAAACGACGAACACGATTGACGATGAAGTATGGATACAACGACAACGACTTTAAACCTTGATAATGGTTGCATGCCGTACTTTCTGTGGATTCGGTGAACGAGTCACTATTTATGTTGGTGCTGAGTGTGGGCTCTTCACTGCCTGGGAATTGGTATTCTTTCTCGTGGAGGTGTATGACAGACATTGTGTAATTAGCATGATTAGTCCCTGTATGAATACTCTTTGTATGACCTGGCCTTCTATACTTGTCGTCGGCCTCGATTCGACGTGTGGGCCGCTGAGTCAGCTCCATTAACGCGTCTGCGGCGCGTCAAGGCAAATGAAATGCGGAGTGACACTTCACATCTGGCACGGTTTCGTTTTCGTCCAGGTCTGTCTCCCAGACCGCTGAACAATAGTCTAAACGGCTATCCGACATCATGGCTCCACACTCCTCCCCATCCTCCGCGCCATCACCATCTCTGAAGCGCAAGCAACCAAGCATCTCGAGCTTCTTCACCCCAAAGCCATCTTCAACACAACCACCCCCATCCTCCGCTCCCGATGCCACACAAGACAAGCGACCTCCGAAACGGCCAGCCTCGCCAGCTGAGAAGAAGACCAATGGAATCCAAAAGGAGAAGGCCATACCTGAAGAGGAGGAAGATGAGGATGATGTCGTTGCCCCGGCCCCGAAACGAGCCAAGACCAACGGCACCGTCGATGAACACAGTCGAGAGACAAACCTGCCCGTGAACCCCCAACTTAGCAGCCGTCAGCGAGCAGATCTCTTTAAGTTCCAGAGCTCTCCCGCCGGCACGCCAGCGGTCCCGGAAGAACACGAAGAGGATGACCAACGAAAGAAAGAAAAAGAGAAACTGCACCAGAAGTTCGTCCGAAAACTCGGCGGAGTTGACTGCATGATCGGGATCGGAAGCCGTATGACAACCGACACCATCCCCGGGGATGGCGAGGAGGGCGCCGAGGCAGACGAAGACGACGAGCCCGCTCCTCCTCCGCCGCCTGCCAAGGGCAAAAGCGCGGCCAAGAAGGGCGCCGGCAAGCTTACGCCTCTCGATAGGCAGGTTATTGATATCAAGTGTAAACACGCAGATACTGTGCTAGTGATCCAAGTTGGGTACAAATTTCGCTTTTTTGGAGAAGATGCGCGCATAGCGGCGAAGGAGCTGGGCATTGTTTGTATACCTGGGAAGATGAGGTTCGATGAACATCCCTCCGAGGCTCATATGGACCGGTTTGCCTCTGCCAGTATCCCCGTCCATCGGCTGCACGTACATGTGAAACGACTCATTACCGCGGGTCACAAGGTCGGTGTGGTGCGCCAGATTGAGACTGCGGCTCTCAAGGCGGCGGGGGAGAACCGCAATGCGCCTTTTGTGCGTAAATTGACCAATCTGTACACGAAGGGCACCTATGTGGACGATGTGGAGGGCCTCGAGGGCCCCGCGCCAGCTGTTGGAGCTGCCTCACCAACAACGGGCTACATGCTCTGCATCACCGAGTCCAACGCCAAAGGTTGGGGCAATGACGAACGGGTCCATGTAGGGATCGTTGCTGTTCAGCCGGCCACTGGGGATGTGATCTATGATGACTTCGAGGATGGGTTCATGCGAAGCGAAATCGAAACGAGACTCCTTCACATTGCACCGTGCGAGATCTTGATTGTTGGGGAGATGTCTCGGGCGAGTGAGAAGCTTGTGCGGCATCTGTCCGGTAGCAAGATGAATGTTTTTGGTGAAGCGGTGCGGCTGGAACGAGCCTCGAAGAAGAAAACTGCCGCTGCCGAAGCACACAGCCATGTCTCGAGCTTTTATGCTGGGAAAATGAAAGCCACGAGCACCGACGAGGATGTGCAGGCGGCGAAGCTGCTCCAGAAAGTTTTGGATTTGCCCGAACATGTCACCATCTGCTTGTCAGCCATGATCGAGCATTTGACAGAGTATGGCCTGCAACATGTCTTTGACCTGACGAAATACTTCCAGTCATTCTCAGCCCGTTCGCATATGCTTCTCAACGGAAACACATTGGTCAGTCTTGAAATCTTCCAGAACCAAACCGATCATTCTGCAAAAGGGAGTTTGTTCTGGACATTGGATCGGACGCAGACACGATTCGGCCAGCGCCTGTTGCGGCGGTGGGTAGGACAGCCTTTGCTGGACAAGGCGCGGTTGCAAGCGCGGACCGACGCGGTGGAGGAGCTTACAAGTCCTGCTGTGTCCGGCCCCGTGGAGAGGTTGAAGGCGCTCTTGACAAAGGTCAAGAGTGACATGGAGAAAAGCTTGATCCGGATTTATTATGGCAAGGTATGTGGTTTTAAGGCCTTTTCAACATTCATACTGACGGTTGCTCTCAGTGCACTCGGCCTGAACTTCTCAATGTGCTTCAAACCCTGCAAATGTTTGCAACGGAGTTTGCACATATCAAGTCCCCATCTGACACAAAGTTCAAATCTTCTCTGGTAGGCGAAGCAATCGCCTCCCTGCCAAGCATCGGGGAAGACGTCGTTCGATTTTTGGATATGATCAACCTGCAAGCCGCCCGGAAGGACGACAAATACGGCTTCTTTCGAGACGACCAAGAGACCGATGACATGAGCGAACAGAGACTCGGCATCGCGAGCGTCGAGCACGAACTAGAAGAGCACCGCACCGTCGCTGGTGAGCGGATAGGGAAGAAGAAAGTGGATTACGTCGCCAAATCTGGGATTGAGTACTTGATTGAAGTCGATAACAAATCCAATTTCATCAAGCGCGTGCCAGCATCGTGGGTTAAAGTCAGTGGGACGAAGCAAGTTTCTCGATTCCACACCCCGGACGTGATCAGGCTGCTGCGGCAGCGCGACCAACACAAGGAAGCGCTCGAAGCTGCATGCGACAAAGCTTTCAGCGCGCTCCTGGCAGAGATTGCCACGCAGTACCAGCCCTTCCGCGACTGCGTGCAATCCCTCGCAACCCTAGACTGCCTCCTGTCTCTCGCAGTCATCGCCCAGCAACCGGGCTACATCAAACCCGAGTTCACAGAACACCCATGTCTCAACATCTCGCAGGGCCGCCACCCAATGGTCGAGCGCCTGCTCACAGACACCTACGTGCCGAATGACACACACCTCGACCACGACAGAACCCGCGCGCTCCTCGTAACAGGCCCAAACATGGGCGGTAAATCGAGCTACGTGCGCCAGGTCGCCCTGATCGCGATCATGGGCCAGATCGGCTCCTACGTGCCCGCCGCATCCGCCCAGCTTGGCCTCCTAGACGCCGTCTTCACCCGCATGGGCGCCTTTGACAACATGCTCGCCGGCGAGTCCACCTTCATGGTCGAGCTCTCCGAAACAGCAGATATCCTCAAACAAGCGACCCCGCGCTCGCTCGTGCTCCTCGACGAACTGGGCCGCGGCACGTCCACTCACGACGGCGTCGCCATCGCCCAAGCTGTTCTGGATTACATGGTCCGCTCCCTCCGCTCTCTGACTCTCTTCATCACGCACTACCAGCATCTCTCCCGCATGGCCCACTCGTACCCCGACCATGCCCTCCGCAACGTACACATGCGCTTCACCGAGTCTCCTGCCAAGGAGCCCGGCTCGGACGACGAAATTACCTTTTTGTATGAAGTTGCCGAAGGCGTTGCGCACCGGAGTTATGGATTGAATGTGGCGCGTCTCGCGAATTTGCCGGGCGCGGTATTGGATGTGGCTCGCGAGAAGAGTAAAGAGTTGGAGATTTCTATTCGCAGGAAACGGTTGGCTGCTCTTGTTGGTGCTGTTGGGGGTGTTCTCCAGGGCAATGATGATGCTGGGGAGGGATTGCTTGATCGGCTTGTTGCTGGTGCTGAGCAGTTGTAGTTGTATCTCATGTGGGAGTTGTGAATTCTCTCGTCGCAGAGCATACCTGGAGTATGCATGTATTTGTATGAAGGAGTCAGGGAATATCCATGTATGCGACACTCTACCGTTTCAGGCACTACTTGTAGGCGTAGCCTGGATGGTACTTCCAATTGACCAAGTCCAGGGCTTGATGGGACCACGTGACATTTTTGACAGGAACCATGCCGCCACCTTTAGATCCAACGTCGATCCAGATTGACTGCGATAAATAGCCTACAGTTTACACCTACAACAGTCCCAGCCGTCAACACAGCAGGACCCAGGGGATTTTTTCAAATTTTTTTGCTTTGCATTTCCACTGCTCCTGTCGTCGGTCCGGACGTGGCTCGAAACTCGGGATGTTTTGCCGGCCAAAAAAATAAATAAAACAAAAGATAGCACATCACAACCTCATATGTCGCATTGAGCCCCATGCAAGCACGTCAATTGACGTGTGTATGTTGTATGTAGTAAAACACCGGAATCGAAAACCAGACCAGACCCGACAGACACACAGAGCAAGATTCCCCTTCCATCTCCACACAACCTCGATTTTCGTTTCTCATGCTTTTTTAAAGGGTAACAAACAAAAGCGAACAAAAACATGTCTTCTCTCTTATTGCTCTCATTCATCTGCTCTCTCCCGCTCGGAATTTGTGCTCCAGTCGTAACTTCTCAGAACTTCGGGGTTGCCGAAGTCACGCCCCAACCTAGATCAGCAACATTACATTGTAATCGAGAGATGCGAACTAGGCGGGCCGGTGGCGTAAAGAGATTTCATGAGGGGGCGATGAAGTGGATGGTGAAAAAGGAAAAAGCGGTTCAGCCGAAGAACGATAGAGACTAAATACCGGGCGAGAGGGATATGCGAGAGACGAGGAGAGATAGGAAAGAAGACATGGCGCGAGCGAAACGTCGCTGGGGAGGCAGTTTAGCGGAGACGGCGGGCCTCGCGCTCGGACTCGAGCAGGCACAGGATGTCGTCGACCTTGACTGGTGAGTAGAGAAGAGGATATGTTAGCCATGATGTTTTTCTCTTTTCTTCAAGTTTCTGTGTATGTTCCCCAGATCCCATGTTTTTGTTCAACCACAAGACTCCCTCCTCTTTTGTTCGGGTTCGATAATCCTCCAGACAGAAAAAAAAAAGAGATCGCATACCTGGGCCCTTGACGTTGCGGATGATGCTGCGCGAGGTGTCGTCCATGAACTCGACGCGGACCTGGGTGACACCACCACGGGAGCCTAGACAGCAAAAAAGTCAGTATTTCCAGATCAAGAACGTCATGTTTCGTCTCCATTTCTTGTGCGGTTGTCATATTTAGGCCAGAACTGCGCCCACAATGGCTCACGGCGGATCGTGGATTCAACGAAACGGGAACTCAGGAAGAGCACGTACCGGTACGGCCGAGGACACGGGTCACCTTGACGAGCTTGACGGGCTGCTTAGCGGAATCCATCTTGGAGAGGAGGCGAGGGCGTTGAGTTCGGAGGGAGTGCGGGAGTTGGTGGTGGGTAGACGGGGGTGAGGAAGAGTTGATGGCGATGGATGATTTTGTGCGATTTTTGGGTTGGGCAAATTACGCGAGGCTGGGACACCTGAGCCGTCAGGCAGAAGTTGAGTCAGCAGAGGCGTTGTGCCTGACGTATGAGGCAGGCATTTTTGGCTGTCACTAGTCTACGTACTAACTAGAAATCGTCGGTGATAACAATATCGGGTCACTAACAAGAATGAACAGAATCATTCGTGAGTTTCTACTCGTTGTCAATCACGTGGGCCAGACCTGTCCTCTCTTTTGTCCCCCTCGGGAGTACACCGTGGTACTTGTCGCTGGCACTGATTCCCGCCGGTGTCGCAAGTACCCCCCAAGTACCGCCCGGACGGCCCCACCAAATTCTGCCTGGACAGCTCCGGTGAGTCCGATTGACTGTCTCCCACTCCCTTCAAGCCTGACGTGTGCCCGATCCCGTCTCAATTCATCCAAGACCGAGTTGCTATTTTCTGAACTGCCTTCTAATTGATCTCCCCTTCAACTGCTCTCCCGGTTGGCCTTGTCAATCGCTTCCGATATCGCATCCATCGATCGTGCCCCGCGGCGCAACACTCGATCGCCATGGATCTCGTCAACCAGTGAGTCAATTCCTATTTCGAAGCTCTAGAGGCGAGTCTCTAACGGCCAATTTGCCCATCAGCCTTGAAGGAAGACTTCTCTTCGCCGTGCCAAAGAGCAAGTTCCCCCCGCGACCATCTTGAGTCATACTTTTTTCTGCTGCCACTTACCCTGCGACATGACCCAAGGACCAACACAGACTGACAGCTTACTATAGAAGGGCGGCTGCAACAATCCACTCTTGACTTACTTTCCGGCTGCGACATTCAGTTCCGCCGCGAAAACCGCCTCGACATCGCCCTGGTCAAGAACCTCCCCATCGCGCTCATCTTCCTGCCCGCAGCAGACATCCCGACCTTTGTTGGCGAAGGCCGAGTCGACCTAGGTATCACAGGTCGCGACCAGGTCGCCGAGCACGATGCCAACCTCGCAGCCGGCGAGACATCCGGTGTGGAGGAGATCCTCGATCTCGGCTTCGGCGGCTGCAAGCTGCAGGTGCAGGTTCCTGAGAAGGGCGGCATCTCCGAGGCCAAGGAGCTGATCGGCCGAAACGTCGTGACCAGCTTCACCGCGCTGGCGTCGACTTTTTTGCCAAACTTGAGGGCGCCAAGTCAAGCCAGAAGCTCAACACGAAGATCAAGTACGTTGGTGGCAGCGTGGAGGCCGCGTGTGCACTAGGCGTTGCCGATGGAATTGTTGACCTTGTCGGTACGTACTATTTGTGTCTATCTATTCATCGCATGTGCTGACGGCCACAGAATCCGGCGAGACCATGAAGGCGGCCGGCTTGAAGGCCATCGACACCGTTGTCACAAGCACCGCCGTCCTGGTGAAGTCGCGCGGTTCGACCAATGAAACCCTGAACCTGATCACCTCGCGCATTCGCGGTGTGATCACCGCGCAGAAGTATGTTTTGTGCCAGTACAACATCCCGCGGACCGAGCTGTCGACCGCGTCCAAGATCACCCCCGGCAAGCGTGCCCCTACCATCACGGCGCTCGAGGAGGAGAACTGGGTGGCCGTCAGCTCGATGGTCGAGAAGAAGCGTATTGCCACGGTGATGGATGAGCTCAGCAAGGTTGGGGCGACGGATATCTTGGTTCTGACCATTGCCAACTCGCGGGCGGATTAGGCTCATCATCCTACTTGAGGGAGGGAGGTTGTTTGGGGGTTCTTTTTTTTCTCTTTTTTTCACATATTTGAGGCGAGATTTGGTTTCATACTCGTATATACCTCGATACTCTTCTTGTCTCGATAGTTTTTGCCGTTAGGGTTCGATAGATTGGGAAGACACAAAAGCCAATGGATTCCGGGATTTAGATTCTTACCTCCATATTATTTACGGATAAGAATAGATATTTGGCCCCTATTTATGACTTCAAGTCAAATGACGTGGGTCAAGGCGATCATTGCTCCGGCATGGGGGCGGTTTGGAACATTCTTAGGCTGCTTGGCCGCGACTAATTCTCTTCCTCCTCGAACTATATTATTATTCCCACGTTCAATCATAATGCTCGCCGTGCGGCCTTCTATGAGATACCTGCTGGTCGGGTCTGTAATTCTGTTCGCATGTGTTTTCTTTTTCCTGCTGAGTACTGGCGACCCTATCGAACCCTCCTCGATCTCAGAACTGTCATCGTCACCATCACCATCACCATCACCATCTTCAACCCCTGAACCCTCCTCCACCCCACTTCTGCAGGACCAACAACCAGATTTGAACATTACTCCTGCGCCTCCACCGAATTTGGACGACCACTGCAATGTAAATGTTGAACAGTTGCGTGAGCTTGGATACAATCAATCGATCGAATACGGGCGGTGGGACATCGCGGTCGTGCGAACCCCGAATTTTCAGGATTTCTCGCTGGATCTCAACCTGACCTTGCCGCTGTTTGAACCAATTGACCTCGATACCGAAGCTGAGGTTACCTTTGAACACTGCAGCCCAGATGCCACAATCTATGCACCGCCGCGGCAACCTCACGCCGACGCATCGCACATGATATTTGGATTTGCGACATCAAAGGAACGGCTCATAGACTCACTAGAGGGATTCCAGTATTGGGCGGGTGGTACTGGGGCGCGGATGTTCGGCTGCATTGCCAGGATCACGGAACTCGAGAAGCAGAATATCGAGCAAATGGCCCGGGACAGGGATATCCAGCTCACGATTGTTCCTGCCAATAACAGACGGCCCCCCGACATTCAGGACATGTACTTCTCGCTCACTAGGACTCTCTGGGATAATCGCGACGAAAACACCAAGTGGGCAGTCATCATCGACGACGACACTTTCTTCCCGTCCATGCGGAACCTTGTCAAGCGAATGGCGACATACGATGACTCGACACCGCATTATATTGGCGCGCCGACGGAGGACTTTGACCAGATGCGGACTATGTGGTTTATGGGATATGGCGGAGCGGGAATCTTCATGTCTATGCCACTGCTCGAACAGATAAACGAACATTACACCGAATGCTCTCGGAGCGGGAGCTACGGCGACCGGCGGGTCGCTGAGTGTATATATAAATACACCTCCACCAAGCTCACCTGGGACCGTGGACTCTTCCAACTGGACATCAGAGGCAATGCCGACGGCTTTTACGAAGCCGGTCGACCGTTGCCGTTATCCTTGCACCACTGGAAGTCCTGGACCAATGTGGATGTGGTTCGGCAGGCAATGGTCGCTGAGGTTTGTGGAGACGACTGCCAGTTGCGGCGCTGGCGGATCAACGATTACTGGTGGTTGATCAACGGGTTCTCAATCGTTCAGTACTCACAACCCTTGACCAATCTGTTGTCTATGGAGCAGACTTGGGCGTTGGGGCCTATGGTCGAGAATTTCAAATACGGACACAGTTTGGGGCCACTACGGGAAGCGGACTCTGGCAAGATCTCTTATCGGTTGAAGTCGGCCACGGTGGACGGAAACGTTGTACGGCAAATCTACGTCCATGACCAATCGCTGGAGGAACTTCCGCGCAGAGTGTGGGAGGTTGTGTGGACGGTGATCGAAGAGCCATGAATGCATTTGGTGAATCTGTGTTCTACTGTCCTTGTTAGCATATATGGCGTCCATTAGACTGTGCTGTTTTGCCATGTTCGCGATATTCATACGTCAAAGCTTGCATACCCTCTGATCCAGGGCGACATGGATTTTTTGCCAATCTTGTCTTCACCCTCTTTCTCTCTATGTATACATATCGTTGTGTCATCCATTTCTATCCCGATCCTGTCTCATACCCAATGATCCCATCTCAATCCCCCTCTATACACCAACCCGTGCGTGTCCCACATCGGCCCTTCTGCCTCAACCAGGTACCCATTCCAACAAAAATTGTACTCGACCCGCTGTTGCTCAACCTCATAAAAATGATCAAATTGAGCATCTAATGCGTCTTCTAGAGTTTGGACGTCCCCATCCGGATGTAGGACCTGCCAGGGCCGCCTGCAGGTGCTACCTTTGCAGGACTTAAGGACAAGCAGCAGGGAGTCCAAGCGGGCGACGACCTTGCTCATGGGGAAACTGGCAACTGTTGACGAACTGGTGTTGGATGATGAAGAAAAGAGGTTTTCGAGCTGCCCCGGATCAACCTTGAAACTCATGGTCAGCATCGGCTTCTTCTGTCTCCTTATGCGCAAAATATATGGGCGAATTCATACATCCATATCGTAAAGCTCACGCTCGTTGTTGCACCATATAGAATAGTACAAATTGTAGCCAGAACCCACTATCCTGATAGCTTTATACGTGTTGTGCTCATGAAGTTCGCCTGTTTTCATATCAGTACATAGAAACATCAACAGAAAAGGGGAAATCCGTCCATACGTCCGTATATTCCTTCTCCACCAGCAAAGCCCCAATATTCCACATTTACGTGCTCACGTCTGCGCTGACTAGCACTCTCAATGTCAAGATCCGACCTCGTCACCGGGATAGCATTTCCATCAAAGTCCTCGCGCTGGGGGATCCCCAACAGGTCGAAGAACGTCGGCGCAAGGTCTGTGTGGCTGGTTACAATGTCAGTTGTGTGGTTTGCTGCCACTCCGGGGCCACGAATGATAAAGGGGATGTTGATATCTTCCTCGTAGCCGCAAGATTTCCCCGGCTGGAGGCGATGCTGGCCTATGTGGAATCCGTTGTCGCTGCTGTATATGATGTAGGTATCATCCATGATGCCGTGCTGGTGAACGCGGTCAATAAGGCCATCCACCATCTCGTCTACTGCCTGCAGAGCTCGGAGTCGCTGACGGTAGAAGTGATCGTTCCAGTCGACGTTGGTTTGGTTTTGCTGCTCGAGATGCAGGAGCCAGTTGGCACCAGATGGCTAAGGACTCTGGTCAATCAACTGAGCAGAATGTGTGGGTATGATCTGTCTACTTACTTGGTCAGGATTGAAGTTCTTGGTCCGGGGAACTTTCACGTCCTCAAAAAGATGCTCGTGTCTCTTGGCAGAGACGGGCGCATCGTAAACGAAAACTGGATCTGGATCCAATATACTCCCGCTCATTTGGATGTCTGCGTGCGGAGCACTCGGTGCGATGGTCAGAAAGAAGGGCTGGTCGGCACTAACTGCCTCGTCGAGAAGACTATATGCCTTTTGAGTGAGGACGTCGGTAACATACTCCCCTTCGTAGCTTCGAGGCTCTTCGCCTGTGCGTCGAAAAGTACTGTTGAGGTAATTGTACGTGAAGGGGTCCAGAAGAAAATCCTAGAATGCCAAATCAATAGGCTTCTCTAACGGAAGATGTCCAGATCTTACTGAAGTGGTAAAGCCAGCAGCATAGGGCGAGTTATAGTTATCCACGGTGTGGACATTGAAGAGTTTGCCCGTGTAATATGTATTATATCCAGCTTGCTGCAGCCAGACTGGTAAATAGTTTTCGTTGAACCCCTGCGTGACAAACTTGGGATAACCACCTAGGATATACTCAGCTCATGATTCCCATAATGAGAGCGATATCTGTACCATATGGAGGGTTCACATCGGTGATGTTTGTATTATGTGCTGCCTTGCCGGTCCAGAGAGTCACTCTCGACGGGCAACAGACTGCTGTAGTGCAATAGTGCTTGGTAAACGATGTGCCTTGATCCAGGAGATGCTTCTTGACATGTGGCATCCATTCCAAGGAGTCAAGATGTACATCCTGATCATCTGTCAAAATAAAAATAATATTCGGGCGGCGCCCATTGACTGTGTCCTGCCCCGGACGCAGGGAGCTGCTGAGAACATCTTGACTCGGAGCAAAAAAGCCGTGCACTCCGACAATGTTGCCAAACCCCAACAACAGACTGGCGATGCGGGGAATTCGCATGGCGGCTTTTGGTTTGGATCTCTCTCTGCGAAATTGGAGCCAATAGATAGCTGTGATGCTGTTCGTGAGCGTGCAAGCGTGATGGCGTCAATTCAAGATGAATGACGAGAACTCAGCTTAGAAAATTTCGTGAAAAACTACCACGAGCCGAAAGATTCAATTTAGTCGAATTTCGGAGTGATTTCGGCTAACTAAGGCGATGGCGCAAGCATACCCCAAGCCCACGGCGGATATAACCGCCATCTTTAGCGGGGAAAATACACGCGGTCCCTCTACTAGTGGCTAAAGCGCAATCCTTCTTATTTGCTTCGGAAATCGTGTTCCATGGCGTAACACGATATAGGCATGGCGCAAGGTACAATAGCCACTCCTCACTGGTGGACTTGCGGCCGGAAATCGGACAGACCCAGGTACAAGAGCCGGAGGCACGAGCACTAGACCGGCCTTCCTCTCTTCCCCGCACACTCTCAGTCCTACAATTTTCAATTATGGCGATTTCTGAGGCATTCGGGAAGCAGGAGGCTCCAGATACGATGGCGACAGACGGGCGTGTGGCCAGTATCGAAGACGACAATGAACAAATGTCTGATCTCAAATCGGAAATGCTCAGCGCTGGGGCTAAAGCGGCTACGGACGCTGAGCATGCCCTGAGCCTTAAAGAGGCCATTAACAAATTTCCCAAAGCCATGGCATGGTCTGTTTTGCTTTCGACCGCCATTGCAATGGAAGGATATGACAGTGTCTTGGTGAACCAGTTCCTCGCGTTCCCATCCTTTGTTAAGCGCTACGGTACGATTGGGGCGGACGGAAAGCCTGCCATTTCAGCAGCCTGGCAAGCAGGTCTGTCAAATGGAGCCCGGGTGGGCGAAATCATGGGTTTAGCGCTGAATGGGTGGATTGCGGAGTTCTTTGGGTTCAAAAGGACGATGCTAGGTACTCTCGTCCTGCTGACCTTCCTCATCTTCATCCCTTTCTTCGCGCCAAATATTGAGACTCTGCAAGCGGCTCAAGTCTTATTGGGTATTCCATGGGGTGTCTTTCAGACTTTGACCACCGCTTATGCTGCCGAGGTTTGCCCAGTGGCTCTTCGAGCATATCTCACCAGTTACGTGAACATGATGTGGGGATTGGGACAGCTCATTGCCTCCGGTGTACTGCGTGGATTCCTCAATCGCACCGACGAGTGGGCGTATCGTATTCCTTTCGCGCTGCAGTGGGTGTGGCCGGTCCCCCTTATTATCGGTATCTCCTTTGCGCCAGAGTCGCCGTGGTGGTTGGTTCGCCAAAATCGAAACGCCGATGCCCGCAAGGCTTTGGCACGGTTGTCGTCCGCAGCCACCGAATCCGAACTCGATCAAACCATCTCGATGATGATCCACACCAATGAGATGGAGAAGCAGGCTTCAGTCGGAACGACTTACCTGGATTGCTTCCGGGGGTCAACTTGCGCCGCACAGAGATTACATGCGTTGCCTGGCTGATCCAGTCGGCAAGTGGCGCCAGTCTCATGGGTTACGCTGCCTATTTCTTTGAGCAAGCCGGTCTATCCACCGACATTTCGTTTGACTTTTCCATCTCCCTATATGCTCTCTCCATGATTGGTGTTCTTCTCTCCTGGTTCGCTATGACATACCTCGGCCGTCGCACGATTTACCTAACGGGCCTCATTGGTCAATTTGCCATGCTAATGGGCATCGGCTTCGCGAGTCTCGCGTCAAATGCCACAAATACGGCTCCTTCCTATGCTATTGGGAGTCTTCTTCTTGTTTACACCCTGATCTATGATATCGGCGTCGGCACTGTCGCATATTCCATGGTCGCCGAAACCCCATCGACTCGACTGCGCACGAAAACCATCGTCCTCGCACGTAACCTGTACAATGTCCAGGGCATCATTAATGGAGTTATTACACCATACATGCTCAATCAAACTGCTTGGAATTGGAAAGCAAAGGCCGGATTCTTCTGGGCGGGCACGAGTTTCCTGTGTTTGATTTGGACGTACTTTCGCCTGCCAGAACCGAAAGGACGTACGTATGGGGAGCTTGATGTGCTGTTCGAGAATGGAATCAGTGCCAGAAAGTTCAAGTCCACGGTGGTTGATCCTTTCGCAGTTAATGGCAGCCATGCGTTGGATGTGGCGGTTGGCGAGGAAGAGAAGACCGGGGCTGCTGTTCAGACCGTCGATGCCCCTCGATCGTGATCGTTGTTAGGGTCAATTAGATCATGTCCATTCTTCAAGACTCAAGGGCATAAAAGCTTCTTCTGCTGATGATGATTTTGGGAGAAATTGACGCGAATGATCCCTGCAATCATGTGTCCGCCATTAAGCGTAGAGTTATACCAACTCGTAGTAGGAAATGGCGAACCAAGGCTAACAATAGTTAACAGGATGCAGACCCTTGTAACCAACCGCATCGCTGTGGGGCAGATCCAGGGACTAGATCGACCTAGACCTCACTGCCTGACCAGTGGGTGTGACTCAGCGCTGCAGCGATCTTTAACTTACTAGGAATACTGATAAAGTGCAACAATATCCTAGTTTCTTAGTGATCAAACACATTCGACCATGACCAGCTACACCCATTCCGACGCCTTCGATCACGGCTGGCTCAAAGTCAGCGACCTCCACACGCTGCACTACGAGCAGTATGGCAAACCAGACGGCAAACCAGGTGTGTAGCAACATCATAAGCCCCCGATCAGCTTAGCCCGATTAGCTTAGCACTAACTAACCCAATTGCACAGTCATCTTCCTCCATGGCGGTCCGGGAGGACACACGTCCAAGGGCAACACCGTCTACTTCGACCCATCCGTCTATCGCGTGGTCCTGCTCGACCAGCGCGGCGCGGGCAAATCCACACCCGTCGCAGAGCTCCGCGAAAACACAACGCAATATCTAGTGTCTGACATTGAGGTCTTGAGGAAACACCTCGCCATCCCCAAATGGCATATTGTTTTCGGCGGCTCGTGGGGTTCCACACTCGCACTGGTGTATGCGCAAACTCATCCCGAGTCCGTGGGGTCGCTGGTTCTGCGGGGGATCTTTACGGTGCGACGCTCAGAGCTGGAATGGTCCCGTGGACACTTTGGGGCCGCGCAAGTTTTCCCCGAGGCTTATGAGGCTTTTGTGAATTATCTCCCCGAGGCAGATCGGGAGAAGCCTAATGAAGCCTACTACAAGCTGCTGACTTCTGAGGATCATGCGATCAGAGTCGCCGCTGCGAGAGAGTGGAATCGCTGGGATCTGAGCATCGGGGAGTTGAGACCGGATCCAAATGACATGAAGCGCTTGGAGGATGATGATTGGGTCCTCTCGCATGCTAGGATGGAGGCGCACTATTTCATGCATGCTGCTTGGTTGGAGGAGGGTCAGATCTTGACGAAAGAGAATCTGGACAAAATCCGGCATATTCCTAGTAAGTAACTAGAACACCACTAGTTACCACTGTGACTTTGAACTGACTCCTGGAAATAGCTTCTATCGTCCAGGGCCGCTACGATCTGGTTTGCCCTCCCCAGACGGCTTGGGACTTGCACAAGGGGTTACCTCATTCGCGGTTGTTTTGGACACCTGATGGGGGTCACATTGCACAGGTAAGATCGAATATTTATCCTTTTTGTTGTCACCTCTCTAACCTTGTTCACAGGAGCCGGGCACTCACGCAAGGCTGATCAAGGTGTGCGATGAGTACGCAAATCTCGAGGTCACTCAATGAGGGCAATTCGAAGCTCCTCGTCTACAAGAGGAACAAAAATCAACAACAAATCTTCGTCAAATATAATGCAGATTCAATATATACTCTATTTTCTTTTTCTTTCTCTATGTATGCACCCATCACTGGAAGACCACTGTCCATATAACACAGATCAGAAGCCAACAAACAACCGACCCATATAATACAAACACCGAAAAATCACAGAAATGGTGGTGGTGGTATCATCATCAAATCATCAAGGAGCAGACCGCCAATGGAGAGTATCAAATATTACAAAACAAGGAAAGATATGCGGTATTTACTTACTTCCCCAACCCGACGCCTTCTTTTCTTCCCCTCATAATCGCTTTCAAGCACTGTCCCACGCCGTCGAGATCACCCAGCAGCCCAACATGACCCCGATCGGTCTTCACCAGCCCATCGCGGATGAGGAGATATCCAGGCGGGAGCATCGCAGCTGAAGCAAGACATACACCGTCACCAGCCGCAAAGGCTAGATCATCGTACGAATCCTGGTGCTTGATGCCGTCACGCGAAGCGACGCGAGCCCCGTACACAGTGGGTACGCTTTTACCGTACAGCACTGCTGCAGGGGGGTATCTGTTTTCGGACTGGTGCTCGGGCCGGAAGGCTAGGTTGGACTTGAAGCGTTTGGTTTCGGTCAGGGTACGCTGTAGGTACTCCATCGCTACATCGTAGGGAATAGTGCTCGTTGTGGCGGATTTGGAGGCCGCGGCACTGCCACGAGGGCTGGTGGTGGGGCCGACAAGTCCCTCTACAGGCTGAGCGAGCATGGACTGTGCTTTTTCAGAGGTGGATGCAGCGACACCGTTGGGTGTGAAAGAGGCCGACACTGGGCGTTCGGACGTGGCGGTGCGCGGAGGGTTGCGGGCGCTGATATCCGCGTCCGTCGCGGTCACGGCATGCGAGTGCCGAAGGTCCGGAAGACCTTCTGGTTCATCACGGCTGCCGAGAGAGAACCGCTTCCCGATCAGAGCGAAGCCTTTGCCGGTGGTGGTGGGAGGCAAAGCTGGGGCGATGCAAGGGGAGAGCCGGTACTCGTCCCAGGTACGGGCATCGAAGAAGTCGATGCGGTATTCTTCCTTAGTGTTCTGGTCAATGAAGCAATGTCCATCCTCGGGTAGAAGAGCATAGCTCGTGCGGAAAGTGAAGTTGACCTGAGCTGTCAGGACACGCGAGCTGAGCAGGACGTCGTCACCGTTGCGCATCGGACCCAGGATGTTGACACAGTGCTGTGGCACGCCAGCGTACACTACACCCGCAAACAAGTCCGGGCGCTGATTCACGGCATGCCGGGTGATGAGACCACCCAGGCTGTGGGCAATGACCGTGGCACCGCGTCGGTGTTGCGAGGGAGGAACCCCTTCGGGCGGTGGCTGATTGGACGGCAGGTTTTCCAGGAATGCAATGAGTCTGCGTGACAGCAGCTCCGGGCTAAGGCGCCAATCATATCCATAATCCCAGACGCGCAGGTCGCCACGCAGGGCATTATCGCTCTTGCGCAGCCGTTTCATCAGTCGCCGACACACGTCGACCGGTCCAACATGCGACAGGACACCGGACGGGATGATCGTTTCCTCCATGCGCTCCTCGGCTTCAGCCGTTAGGCCGACCTCCAAGTCAACCCGACGCAGGTTCAGCCCGACTTTCATCGGTACCCAAAGCTGCCGGTGTGGCGGTTTGGCCGAGCGCAGAACCGAGCCTCGATAGCCACCCAGAATAACCACATCACCTGTTAGCTCCGCCATTGCCTCTTCCAAAACTGGATTTGCTGAGGACGCGATATTTTTCGGAGGCGGGGGCGTTTCCATGCCGCGTGCTCGATTGTTATCATCAGAAGTGGCCGTCGATTTTGGGCCTCCCAGGTCCGGCATAAGTGGCCGAGTGCTCCAGTCAGTGCGCATGTCCTGCAGATGCAAGGTCGGCATATTTAGAAGACGACTGCTCGAGTCTTGTAGACTGTCCTTGATTGCTTTGAACCGGCTGTTGACTTGCGAGTGGATATTTTCATAAAGCGGCCGCTGCTCCAGTGATGATGCCGTCGACGACGCCCGGAGATACAGCGACTGATCGGACGATGACCGGCGCAGGCTGGGTGGGCGCCCGGAAATCGCTGCGCTGGGCCGTCGGTAAAACGAATGTTTTGCGGCGGAGGTTCCATCCAATGGTCGCAGCTCCGAGATGGGCCGGGAATCATCTCCTTCATATTGATCTTCGCCGTCAACAAACGAGGAGTTTTGTGGGAGCCGTCGATCCAAGGACCAGGTCCTTGGCTGCAGTCCGGGGCTCAGTTTGCCGGGATTCCCAAGCGTTCGACTGCGAGATTGAATTTGATTCGCCGCTCGGAATGACAGGGAGGGCCGTTTCGTGAGAGAGCCCAGGTCCGGCAGAAATCTTTTCAGCTCCCCAGACCATGCACGCGGCCGTCGCGGCAGCGTGAGCAGGGACCGGGTGAAACTCGACCGTTGATTGAGAGCTGCAGAATCTTTGGCATCGGGCGGAGGAGACTGACGGTTCCCAGGAACAATTTTTGCTGCCGGATAAGTTGTTGGAGCTCTGCTGTGCTCTGCTGCTGCTGCTGCCTTAGCCAGAGCGGGCTCCACGGAGTCCGGCTCGGCTGTAAGACCCGATAGAAACAGGCCGTCGTCGCTCACAATGTCCGGTCCTTGGGTAAAGTACCCGCCATTGCTCTCCAGTGCTCTGTTCTTCTCTTCGGCCGGGGTTGCACGGGCCTTTATGCGGCTCTGAGCACGACCGATGCTGACGCCCACGATATTGCTGGCGGCATCCTCGTCGGCAGCGTCGGCCGGATGCGGGGCTAGCTCATCGCTATCGGAGCTTGAGGAAGACAAGTAGTTTGACGGGGAGTCATCGGAGGCGACCAGATTGGAGGACGAGAGCGAGGAATAAGAGTCATGTTGCTCCGGCAGCTGTCGTGGGGCCTTTTTGGTCGTAGATGTCTGCTCCGGGAGACCGCTCGGGGAGCGGTCGGCGGAAATTGAGCTCATAGTAGATGCGCCAGAGTGGCAGTCGCAGACAGGAACCGATCAGGGCATGAGGTAGTAGAAGAGCGACAGGTTGGGGCCCCAAAAACCGGAATACCGCATGTATGACGCAAAAGCGGCTCGACTGAGCGTTGCGAATCCAAGTTTGACAGATGGAGGGCAAACTGCTGGTTTGGCGCAATGTTTTGTCTACGTGTGAAAAGAACGAGGACATCGTCGATTATAAACCGTTGCATGCCGGAAACAGTGGGCGGGTTCCACCGCACAGCCTCCGGGACACCCGGGAAGAGATTGGGCCGTTCATCGCGGATTACCACTGAGGCTGATAATTGGTCTGGGGGCCAACCGGGCTGTCGGATCCTTTTGTTTGATTTGCACATGGAAAAAAAAATAGTTGTTCTTTCATCATGGTTTCCTGACAGACCGAACCAGTATCTATCTGCGCGAACATGATCGGCGAGGCACCGTGGACAGGCACGGGAGATCGAAGCCCTAAATTTCACCCATTAAGCTTGATCTACGCCATGACGCTGTTCCCAATCAATCCACCGCCAAGCCATGAAGCCTACAGGGGAAGACAGCCGAAAAGAGTCAACACATTTCAGACCAACAAACACTTTATCCCGAAAAGGAAAACGACATTATTGCAGCACAAATCCACTCCTCTCCTGTTAATAGTACAGACACGCGAATCAACCTAACTTTCGTCGAGCTTCATTGCTCTCGCCCGTGTATTGGCCCGATTCGATCTCTTGCTCCCCCTTTCGCGCAATCTCCTGGTTACGTTCTGTACCCTCCTGATGTCCAAATGCCTTGTCGACAGCTGCAGTGACCGTGCCGCGCAGGGACTCGCCCACGCCCTAGGTACACCAGATCAGCCCGGGCATGAAGAACCCAAACACAGATAGATACATATACTTACATGGATTCCTGCCGTTACACCGACCACCCCGCGTCCGAGTTCCTCGCTGGCGGCGTTCGCCCGCCGCTGCGTGTCTGAGCCGAACTTCCCGTCTGCGCCGGAACCCGAACCCTTGGAATGGGCAGCCCTTTCCTCCATCTTCACTCGCTGCGCGGTACTGGGTGCGTGCTCGATGCGACTGTCCTGGCCGGCGGCCTGGTCATAGCTGTTTGCCGGCGATGCCGGCTGATGGTGGTGGTGATGTGGCCCGTCTGCCGACGCCATCGAGTACCCAGCGCCAGTCGCTGGATTATACCCCGTGGTCGACGGGTCGTACTGCGATCGGGGATCCCGTAGACCAAATGGGTCACCGGGAGCGCCGGTTGAGGAACCGGGAGCGATGCGTTTGCTGGAGCTTTCGGTTGCGTTAGTATCGGTCATAGTTTAATTTTGTAGATGTGGTAGTGCAACGCAAGTTCTAGGTCCCTGTCGGTGGCCATATAGATCAAGTCTACAAATGACGTCAGGATGAACGAAGAACATTTACTATAGTAGTTATGAAATTCTGAATTGTTATTCCTATGTCTGAACACTGCATATATGCTGTGAAGTATCTTAATGATAATGTCCATAGTAATACTCATTGCTCTGAGCCGAGGTCCATCCAAGGACCTTTTCCCCAATTGGGCCAGCTCCGGTCCTTCTCCTCCTCGGCCTACAACGATGTCTTTTCTCTGATCCTCCTTTCCCTCTCCCTCCTTTCCACCCTCACACACCGTCATGTCCTACAAACAAGTCATCTACAACACCCCGCCGGCCCCGGCCATCGACCCCTCGCTCAGCTCAGGGACCTTCCGCCTACACACCGTGCCCCAACCAGACCATGTCCCCGCCGACAAGGTGCTCGTGCGCGTGCACTACCTCTCCCTCGACCCGGCCATGCGCCAATGGCTAACCGCCAAACGCTCCTACATTGCACCCGTGGAGCGCGGCGCCGTCATGCGCGGACAGAGCATCGCGCAGGTCGTGGGCGTGGGCAACAAGCTGTCCTCTGAGTACCGGGTTGGTGACTGGGTGGTCGCATACTCCGGGTGGCAGGAGTACGCGTTGCTAAGCGCGAAAGAAGCAGAGAAGATCATCGTCCCGCCGGGCGGGCGTCCGACGGACGCAATGTCGGTGCTGGGAATGACGGGGCTGACGGCTTATTTCGGTATGCTGGAAGTTGGCCAGCCGCGCGCGGGCGATACCGTCGTTGTCTCTGGCGCGGCGGGGGCAACAGGTATGGTTGCCGGTCAAATTGCGCGCATCAAGGGCGCCAAGCGCGTTGTTGGGCTGGCGGGTAGTAAAGACAAGTGTGAGTTCCTAGTTCGCGAGCTGGGCTTCGATGCGGCAGTCAACTATAAGGATGCCGATTGGCGCAAGCAACTTAAGGAGGCGACGCCCGAGTACATCGATGTGTTCTTCGATAATACCGGTGGCGACATCCTCGATGCTTGCTTGGCTCGCGCGAATCGGGATTCGCGATTCGTCATCTGCGGCGCCATCAGTCAGTACAACGCTGCGAAGCCGCAGGGCCCGGCCAGCTTCATGAATGTCATTGTAAGTTTCGTCGCTGAATCAATACTTGGATATTCTTCGCAGCTAACAAGGTCGCAGTCGCAACGTGTCACGATGAAAGGCTTCATTGTCTTCGACTATGCCAAAAAATACCCGGCCGCACTGAAGGAGCTGGCCTCCTGGTTGGCTCAAGGGAAACTCCAACGCAAGGAACATATCGTGCCCGGTGGGCTCAAGTCAGCACCGCAAGCTCTCGTGGACCTCTACAAAGGTGCAAATACGGGCAAGATGATGGTGGAGGTGGCGCCAGTAGGCGAGGCCTTGAAGGCCAAGTTGTAGATTCATGGCTTATATATGAACATTTTTTCAAGTCAAACTCTTTGGATCCCTGGAAGAGTTGTAAAACTGCGTATTATATTCTGCCTATGAATTCTGGCTTCAACAAATTCTGCTTTGATCTCACTTAACATCCGGTATATCGACAGCTATCCTAATTTGTAGAGTAAGTGATTATATCGACTCTATTATTAAGGGGAAATATGAGAATAAAGTCACCACTGCGAGACTGAGCCGTGATCAAATATGGCTACGTAGTGCTGTTTTGTTTTGGGTGGCGAATCAGTATCTTAATGGCAGACGGTGTCGTGGATGGGGGCGGGATCGGTCTGAGTTAGGTTTGCTTTTAATTCTCTAATTGTATTTCTTTATTTGTAGAAGAACGTACACATAGGAAGAAGTATGCTTTATTGGGAATCATCATCATCATAAGTCTATGAGTTGTTGTCATCCATATCAATCGGCCATCTAAGCCTCCCCACAAACCATACAAGATATCCGTTAGGAAGAATCATGAGAAAAAGAAAAGGCATAGCCATGCCAGATAACCACCACAGCAAATAAAGGAAAATAAACTCCGCTTATCAAAACAGGGGCAAAAGACACCAGCACAGCAGCAAACCACCCCCGTCATAACTTCTACCTCGCTCGGCACCATTGTTTGTGGAGGCACGATTACCACTACCATGAGATGTAAGCGATAGGGCCCTTGGGAAACAGACGAACGACCACTTTGCGTAGCTCATCCATGCAAAGAATACCCAGTGCCAGACCGAGCGGGATGAGCCAGAACTCAATGGGAACAGAGGCGGTGCCGAAGAGACTCTGCAGACCGGGAACCTCGGTGACGAAGATGGCAATGCAGAGGGAGACGAGCATAGCGAGGGGAAGCCATGGGTTGCGGCGTGCAGGACGGATAGGGTCGGCTTGTAGGAGGGACATGCGCTTGCTGCGGACGGAGAGGATGTTGCCCCATTGCAGGATGACAAGCGTCACGAAGTAGACGCACTGGCCGGTATTGTTGAAGTGCGTGAGCTGGTCCTCGGTGTAGCCGTAGAAGCCGGCGGAGTAATTCTGGAAGGCGAAGAAGAGGGAGGAGACCGGGATGCCGGCTTTGCGGTACATGTAGAGGAAGAACATGGAGTGGGCGCAGATTGTTTCCATGACGCCGATGAAGCCGTAGGCCTGGGCGTAGATGCGGAGGTTGATTAGGTGGTCTTTGCGAGGGCGGCGTGGTGGCAAGCTGAGAAGGTCGAATTCTTCTTTTTCCATGATCAGGGACAGGGACAAAAAGAGGTCCGTGAACACGCAGATAATGATCATGAGGAATGAGCTGAGTGGCAGTGGAACACCGAAGAAGACGTTGAAAATCACAGGCCAGATCTCAGACCAACTGCCGGCCGGCAGTAGGTAGGCGATGACCTTCTGCAAGTTTTGGAAGACCAGCCTGCCGAGACGGATGGCTTCGACGATCGAATCGAACCGGTCCAGTAACACCAAGTCGGCGGCCTCGATGGCGACGTCGCTGCCGCCACCGATGGCAATGCCCACATCCGCTGCCCGCAGCGCAGGGGCATCGTTCACGCCATCACCCGTCACAGCGACAAAGTTGCCACGGCTTTGGAGCTCAGACACGATCCGCAGTTTCTGCTCGGGACTAGTGCGTGCGAAGACAATCTCGTCATACCCACAGACAGTCTCCCATGCCTCCGCTGTCAACGAGGAGAGAGTAGATCCTTCGAGAAGCAGGCTGTGGCGCGAGCGAAGATTCTTTTCATCCAGCACCTTTTCATCCATCACCTTTTCATCCACTGGATCAGAAGAGGCTGCGCGCACATCGTCGATGGTGTCCGGCTCAGCCGCTCCGTCATAGATACCGATATCACGAGCAATAGCCGACGCAGTAAGACCGAAATCACCAGTAACCATGAAGAAACGGATGCCCGCACGCCGGCACGCAGCCACAGTATCAGCGGTCTCCGCGCGAGGCGGGTCGATGATACCGAAGATACCCAAAACAGTCAGGTCCTTCACACCAGAGGCCATGATCTCGTCACTGAAGTCGTTGGAGCCCGGCTCGGCCTTGGGCTCGTAGTGGCGCTGGCAAAGTACGATGACACGCTCCGCACGCCGGGAGAGCTTGGCCTGGAACTCGGAGAACTTCTGGCGGGCCTGTTCGTCCAGCGGACGGATCTCGTTGTGGATGGCAGACCAGTAGCCCGAGCAACGGTCCAGGAGCACATCGGGCGCACCCTTGACGTAGACCTGGTACCCCTTGGATGAATTGGGATCATGGTGCATGGTGAGCATCCACTTGTTCTTCGAGTTGAACGGAATCTGGTGGATACGCTCGTAGGGTGCGAGATTCTTGGCTGAGGCGGCGCCTACGGTGTCAGCCAAGCGCAGCACGGCAGCATCCGTAGCATTGCCGTTGACGATGCGGTCATGGACCGGCAGGTTTAAAGTGGCTGGGTCGAAGAAAGCGTCGTTGCAGAGCACCGAGGCGCGCAGCAGGTTCCAAAGCCCCTCCGGGATGTCGGTCGTGCCGAATTCCCCGGGGTATAGATCCTCCAGATTGTACTCCTGGTCCACGGCGCCGAGCGACTTGACATGCATGCGGTTTTGAGTCAATGTTCCGGTTTTGTCGGAGCAAATGACATTCACGCAACCGAGTGTCTCGACAGTAGACAGTCCCTTGGGCAGAATGTTGCACTGCTTCATGCGACGGGCGACCATCATGAGGGTCAACGCGACACCGACCGGCATACCCTCGGGAATGAAAGCGACGACACAGCCCATGACATTGTTCAGCATGGCGACCACACTCATGTAGGTCGGGTGGTCCACACGGAGCCAACCCACCCAAGTAAAGAGGATGGTCAAGGCCAGGACAAGAGTGAGAGCGATAATGATAGCCACAAAACGATTGATTTCCCTCTGGATCAGAGTGGTTTTCGGCTTAACTCCGGACGTGATCTTGGCAATGCGTCCCATGACAGAGCTACTTCCGGTGAGAACGACAACACCGATGGCGTTGCCATTTGTCACGAGCGTTCCCATCAGGGCAATGTTGCGGGTCTCAAGGAAGTTGGGATCGGTGCATTCGGTAGCGCCCTCGATCTCTTCCGCCTCGCCGGTCAGAATGGCGCGGTCAAAGCGGACATCGCCCGAGGTTTGCAGCAGACGCATGTCTGCTGGGACCTTGTTTCCAACCACGATCTGAACAATATCACCAGTGACAAGCTCCGTAGCAGGAAGGCGGATCTGCTTTCCTTCCCGCCAGACCAGAGCCTCCGAGGGGAGCAGATCTAAGATGGAGTTCATGACACGCTTGGTCGACCAGTCCTGGAATGCAGAGAAGCTCGCCTGCAGTGTGATGACGATGATGACTAGAATGGCCATGGCGAGGTTGGAGGGCGATGGCGGGTTGCTGAGAGGCTTCCAGCAGACGAAGAAGATGACAACGCCCACCCACAGGACGGAGCAGAAACCACCAAAGACATACCAGAAGATCTTCTTCAGGTAGTTCTCGCGGTGGTGGCTGATGACGTTTCTGCCATCGCGTTGGAGGCGCAGAGCAGCAGCAGAGTCGCTCAGTCCCGTGCGCTGGTCGACGTTGAACTCCTGCAAGAGCTTCTCGGATGACAGGTTGTGGAAGTCGAGGCTCTCGAAGTAGTCGGCGTTTGGCTGCTTCTCTTTCTTCGGAGCTTCGACGGCGGCCTTGGGGACGGTCTTGGACTCGGTGACCTGGATGGAGAGGGTGCGAAACTCGATGGGGATACCGGCGTTGGCGGCCGCAGTGTTCTGGTTGCCGCTGCGGCTGCTATCGCGGCTCATGGAACGCGCGCGTCCAAACGAACGAGTACGCTCAAAGGTAGGCGGCGAGTAGATGGAGCGCATGCCATCGGCAGTGTTGGACTCTCCCTCCCAGGTAATGCGCATGGTGCGCCCAGTGCGGTCGCTATCGTCCTTGAGCTGATCGCTCTCGGACTCCACCTCGTGGTCCGACTTGCTTTCAATACTCTTGGGGTCCATGGTGACGGCTGTCAGAGGAGTACAGGAATGACACGAAGTGCAGACCGCAAGACACCGAGGAAGAGCACGAGGGAACAAGAGGGAAGATAGGACTAAAAAGCAGAAGAAGAAGGAAGCGAGTGGCCCTGGGACAGTGCGACCTCTGGGTTTTATGTAGAAGCTGAAGGGCCTACCAGCTAGACCTGATCCAGGTGGCTCAGAATGAGCTAATCCACCGGCCAAGATGATTTAGGAAACTCCAAACCACCGTAGTAAAAGCATGCGCAGGTGGATCATGTCATAGTCGCCTCGGCCAGGTACATCGTGATTGCATGTACCTGATACAGTCATTGTGAGGCAATGCTCTGTAGTTTGGTATTGGTGTATTGTCACATTACCGCCCCTAAGCCCCACACCCACCACTACTGCCAGCTTAAAGTATGCTCCGACCAATTATAGTCCTCCTAAAAACCTGACGTGACGTCCGGAATCGAATCGTCCAGCCCTAAAATTTTCCCTTGGTCTCCGGACTCAGTCAGTTCCCTGGGAAGAATTCTGCGCGGCAAAGAAAAAAAAAAAAGAGAGAGAAAAAATCGGTTTCGGTCTGCTAATAGAAACAACAAAATGGCGCAGGCAAAATTTTATCTACCGGCAAGCCAGAAACAGCCCGGAAGCAGCGACCGGCCCAGCAGCCAAATTTCGGGTCCAAACGCGTGCGCGATTTTTCCTCACCAGACAAACGAGTGGCAGTGACACAGCCGGGTAGGCTCTCCAATTTCGGCCTCCTCCTACCTTCCTCTGCGGTAATGGCGTCCATGACTGAAAAAAAAAATAAATCCCTCAGTTCCCGCTGATGCAAATTGGCGTAGCGATCATCGTGAGCGCTTTGCTCGGCCCAATCACAGTGCGTCTACCTCAACCCCCATCCCATGCGACGAGGCGGTGGATTCTCCCCTGGCAAAGCCCAGTATAGTCGTCGAGATCTCGCGATCTGTCTTTTCTTTTGTTGAATTTATACCGCAAGAGAGGAGTAACTAGGAGGATGCAGAGTAATAATAATAGTAGTAGTAATCATCCTCATCTTAAAAGGAAACTGTACGAGGGGGAGGCAAACTCTCGCTATAAATAAAAGGGAGCCTTACACCTCCCGCAGGTTATACCTCACGACTTGATTATTCTCTATTTCTCCTCACTCTGTAGCGGTCCATGACCTACGGGCGTCGTCACAGTCACCCCGACGGTCGGGCAGCCGTGGCGGTTCGGGGAGATGGCCATCGCCATCATCTCGACCGAGGCAAGCTGTCTCATGATGCTCACGATGTCAACTATACCGAGACGATGAATGATGCCTACAACAACCTGGCTCGCCACGCCTGGCCAGTCTTCAAGCACGACCAACCTCCCCTATCCTCGGTCTCAACAAGCCGCGAGCCTTTGATCTCGACATCATCTACCACAGCCAATAATACCCAGCCTCCCACATCATTCACAGACCGATATTCCCGCTGTCTGGAGATCATCCACTACGGTACAAACAGCACAGTGCGTTTACATGAACGCAAAGCGACCCCAGGATTCCAGTCCAGACAGCTGCTCGCCATCAAGGTATATCGCCACTCGATCGTTAGCTCGGATTCCACGAGCAACAGCAACAACAGCACACGCATAATAACATCGCCTTCCTCGCTCAATGATGCACACCCGCACCATCCAAATATCCTTCCGATCCTCGATCTCCTCCAGAATGAACGCGGCGAGCTCTGTCTGGTCATGCCCTACTGTGCCGGTGGCGACCTGCGCACTCTCCTGTCTCGCAACAGCCCGCTCCCAACCACCGAGACGGACTGTATCATTGCACAGATCCTGCGCGCGTTGGCATTCTTGCATAAGCACGACGTCGCCCATCGTGATCTGCGCCTAGAGACAGTCCTCCTCACAACCCGCGGTGCAGTGAAACTCGCTGGATTCGGCGATGGCCATATTCGACGACTATGGGCTGAGTGTTCTGTACCAGCAGCAGAACCAAAAGACCATCATCCACACCCTTCCCCCCCAGCATCCTGGTCCTTCTCTCTACCCTGGCTTTTTTCTCCATTCTACCGCGCAACACCCTCTTCCAGTTCTCACTCGAATTTTTCCTCCAAAATCCCAGCCTGGATCTCAAACACATCAACAGCCTCCATCCCCGGCCTGAGTCTCCCTTACATCCCTCCTGAAGCATTTAACCACCGCCATCATAAACCTCATCACCCCCCTTTCCACAGAAAAAGCTCTACCCCGTCCACCTCCGAAGACGACGATGAACAACCATCACCACCAGACCCCCGCCCGGCCGATATATGGGCCACAGCTATGATCTACATGACACTCGTCAAAGGACGTCTGCTATGGCACAGCGCGCGTCCTGGCAGCGAGGACGGTCGATATTTGGAGTATATTCGCTGCCGGAGTGATGAGGATGGGTATTCGCCGATTGAGGCGTTGGGAAAGGTATGTTTCGAACGAAAGATGGGATGAAGTAAAAGTAAAAAAATTGCTAACTTTGGGGTTGTTTGTTCACAGAGACGACGAAATGCTCTCTATGCAATGCTGCATCCGAATCCGCGCAGGCGCATCACGGCGCAGGTCATGTTGCGATCCCAGTGGATGGACGGTGTGGCGGTTTGTGAGGCTGGGGAGAGAGGGTTTTGATTCAGCGTGCTTGCGGTGGCGATGGTTAGTATGTACATATTTTCGGAGATTGCATGAAATGGGACATGAAAGCATGGTTCTCTCCCGACTCGATTTTTGATCGTTATCCTCGACCGTGTGTGCCGGTTCTGTATAGCCAGAGGAACGGCATGATCGCGGTTATGGCGAAGCAATAGGAATCAATAAGCAGCAAAGCAGACAAAGAGAAGATTATGGATAAAGGGATAATAATAATGTATGAAAGAAGAAGGGGTACGGGTTGTTCTCGAATCGTAGACAGGAATGTCCAAAGGAGCAACTGAGGCGAGTCGCTATTGGGAGAGGGAGCTGAGCCGAGAGTTGGTATATCTCAGAGTATTTTTTTTCTGACTTGCCACCCCAATAGTTAGAAAATGATTCACCTATAGTTAGTTGGGCGTGGGTAGTTACTTGAACCTTTCGGATAGTCCGATCCACTACAATAAGCTCGGAGATCGGATCCACCGAAGAACACAGGTTCATGTCATCGTAATAATATGCTTCTATGTCGAGGATGTGGATTTATTCATAAAGTTGTGAGCGTTATACGAAAAATGGCTTCGTCTATGATTGGCCTATCCATTGTGCTTTAAAGCATATAACGTGACTTGATTTAAAGAAGGCTAGGCTTCCTTGATGTAGCTGCCATTGAATCAGGCAGGTGAAGAGAGCCGTTAGGGGTGCTTTTTGGCTCTCTTTATATTCTATATACTGTCCTGGTACTAGGTTACTAGACTCTCTAGCAAGATGGAATATTTATTTGCACTTGCCATCAAATCTGGAAAATGTAGAATTTGAGAGGCCCAACCAGATGACAAAACCATACTACAACTAAAGACCAAATAAATAATCTCGCGCTTGTATTTACAGCTTTGGCAACAAAGAATTCGCAGTCTGATCAGCGTGCCCCGTTTTGCCATCAAAAGCTTCGGCTGAAGAAGCATCCCGGGCAAGCTCAGAAGGCGGCACCCAGAGCGCAGGATTCTTTTCAAAGAAATTCGATGCCCGTATCATCACACTGACTGGCTCAGCCGGCATAATGGGAAAGTCCTCCATGCGCGGGAAATGCGTAAGCCCAAATTGGACATAGCAGACGATATCGGTATTGTCAATCGACTCGTTGCGCGCAACCCAGTCGGTAATTGTGAGGTTGTCGGGATGATGCTGTCCACTGGACTGACACACGTAATCCCCCGCGGGAAAGAGTTCATAGTCTCGATAGGGAAGCACCCAGAGGGCCTTTTGGGCGAATGCGCCTCTTTTAGCGAAGATACTATCTGGCCTCGCTAGGAGTGCTGGACACTGCGTGTTCACGATTTTATACCCAACCGGTTTCTTGGAGATTGGGCTGATCTTGCTGGGATTGATAATGTCCCAGGTTCGGGAGGTCTCGTGGCAATAGCTGGCCGCGCCATCGGTGGATGTTTTAAATAGGGTCTTCTTAGCAACGAATCCGTTACCATATGGGTTTTGATCAGTTGGAACACCAGCAGCAACTGCATCGTTTTGCATGACACTATTATTTGGACCATTAATCTCTGGGTCGACGCGCAGGGAGAAAATATGTTGATGATTTTGGGCATCAAGCCGATTCGCCACCTCCGTGCCATAGGGAGCCGATTCTTCGCTTGGGTGGAGGCAGTACGTATTCAACATGCCTGTCAATTTGACTTCGAGCTTGTATGTGCCATCTAGAGTAAATGTGTGATAGAAGGCATACTCGTAGTTTGCCGCAGTCAGGATCTGTGAAATGACCAACTTTCGATCGCGTGCTGAAACAACGCGACCATCACGGAAATCGGTATGTTTGTACAAAATCCCGTTATCCTCCTCGTGGATACACACCGCATTTTCGATGAGGAGCGGTGCACCGTTGCCCGAATTCAGGACGGCGTCTAAATAGTGAATCGCGCCTTTGCAGTCACAGCCGAGTTTGAGAGAATTGGTCATGAAGCCTGCGCCATATTCTCCGATGTCGAATGCATGTTTCTTATGATGTGGTGTTTTGGGCGACCCATATGGGACGAACATTTCGACAACGCTTAGTCTGTTGAATATGCTGCGGTAGTTGCCGCCATTTCCATGCGCCTCGTGCGGATCCCGCATACGGATGTCAGACAGGACCAGGCCCTCCCGGTAGTTGAAGCCAATATGCATCTTCAAGTTGGCCCATTGGATTTCCCTTCCGCGCATGGTGAAAGAAACCCCTTGAGGCTGGGTAATGTGAATCGGCTTGAGGAGGTTGTGCTGATAGATGTTCCGATCCACTAACTCCGGGAGATAGTTGTGTCCTTCCATGGAAATAGGAGTGCGCTCGCCATTGACGGTCCGGATATCCACTGAAAGAACCTCTTCGCGCTCTGTATCTGCAATAACGATAAAGTCCAGCGGGTGGGCGTATTGATTGTCCGACGGTGATGCACGATAGTACGGAAGCGCCTGCTGAAGCCTCCTCTCGAAACCCCAGCGCTCATCTACCCCAATCGCCCATCCGTCAAAGAAAACTTTCGACATATCCGTAATTCCTAGGCCTCTGCATGCCTCTATGACTTTCGGGTGAACTCTGGCGATTCGTTCGATTACGTCCAGATCTTCCAGGGTTAAAATAGGCATGACGTCCTTAAGGTTCTTCCAAGAATCAATTCTGTGCGTATCTAGATTGACAATGGCTTCTGATACATGCTGCGTGGCACGGGAGATGATAATAGACAAAGAACGCCGGGTTGGACGCGGTCCGCCAAAGTCACGGAAAGCGACATATTCAGCTTTCGGTGGTTCGAGGAGCGTGATGCTATTGAACTTGAGCACTGTCTGGGCGGAGGCGCGGATGAGGGCTGCTGTGGCTGAGATTTCGGCAGCTGACAATGGATCTGTGCCAACAATGAGACCCTTGACTGATTAATCTGCGCGAGATGGGTGTAGGTTACCTAAAGGGTGCGTTGAGTCAACTTCGGGTGGTTGCGCCCTGATACTGCAACCGCAGGTGATTTGGTTGGCTTGCGAGTTGGTCATTTCTTTTTGTCACACTAATAAAGCCAATTGCAAGTCGGTTTGGGCCATTTCAATGAGAGGCCAATGGATAGGACCTCTTTTATACCTTCGATGTTCAAAGACGGAAGTGACCGAACGCCAGCCAGAGAGGACAATATTACCAAATATCAATCCGAACCAAGTTCATTTCCACTTAAAGGCAGTAATTAGAGTTTTTTTGGTTCGGCATGTCCGAATTAAAAATGTTTCGTGCTGTTTGTGCAATTGTGTCGGGGCTCCCGACAGTTTCGAGAATACACTAAAGTTCCTCTTATAATACCCAGGCAATAAGGATCGAAAGGTCACGAAACCTCACAATAGGATATATTGACATTTATTACCTAGAAGAAGCGATTTAATTGTTATTGTTAGTTTTTTCTGTCGGTCCTCCTTCACGTGGCTCTTTGCGTAGTCCAAGGGCTTGGTACTGGAGCTTTGTTTCCGGTCTTAAGTTTCTTACCGTGATAGCCCATATGTGAACATCAAACAGATCATGTACAGTGCGTCTCGAAACCAGTGCCACTACCTACACTCTTTCATTGTTTCTCGAATCCTAATGCCAAGACCCACTAGTTTATTAGTAGGAATGGACCCAGGAATATCAATATTCCTGTATCAGTATAAATACAGTGACTTGCTCTAATCATAATACGTCGCTCCGTCTTGTAATTGAATTAGCGATCCAAGGCAACTACAAATTTCCATAGCAATGCAAACAAGTCAAACACCGGAGCTTGAGAGGACCCTCGAGAATCTGGCGAGGTCACACAGGCGACGGGGTTCCTTCTAGTTCAGGGAGCCACTCCTCAAAGCAGCGGACAATTGCCATCAGTTCCTTGTCGTAGATCTCGTAATTAAACTCAGCGGCAGTATATTTCTTAAAGAAGAAGAAGTCGGGCAAATTAATCCCTGTTCTGCTCGATGTCGTGAGTACGTGCCTTCTGAGCAAGCAGTTTAGACATGGCGCCGTCGTTCTCAACCTGGGCCTCTCAGTACTTGTTCCCAAGATCGTGAATGCGAGCCAGTGCATCACTGTCAGTGTTTCCGACTTCCTGCATTGATTCTGCACTTCAACTCTCCAGGATGTGGGTGTGGTGTTCCTGCAGGTCTTCGATCATCTTTAGCGGTAGAAATAGCGTTCGCCGAATTTCTTGGTGGTGAATGATGAGCTCTGGTAAGAAACTCATAACTGCTGCCACTCTCTCCGGTCTTTTATAATGCGATAGGTGTTTTTTCTCCGCAACTCTTTCTGTGGGATGTCGTGTGGACCGTCAAGTGTGCCGGGATCGAGCTCATGAAATTTAGCTGGCCTTTCGCCGTTGACAATACTTATTTAGGCATTTATCATGGTTGCAAAGCCCATCTGATCAACTACTGCATGTGGCAAGCTCAGTGCAACAACTGTGGTGTCGGTATACTTGGTAATGCTGATCGTCTGGTGGAACCACTCGAACAACTGATAGTTGGCAGAAAAAGACTTAGGCAGCTGAGATGCCAAGTCGCCTTTTTTGGTCATGTGTTTAATGCGGGCACCGAGAATAGGCAATTGATGTCGAATGAGTCGATAGTCGATCGAGGGAGTCGCGCATTGCATCTTCATCGAGGATTTCGTGTACGATCAGGAATAGGACCGAGCGAATGTTATTGATTGGTTGCAGGCTAGGCCGAATGTTATGCTCTTTCAACCCTAATCACAGAAGGAAATTGGATGTAAACTAGTCTCTTCTGCCTTTTCGCACAGTGTATTATGTTAACTGGTGTGTCTTGGCGTTGGGGCTAGAGAATCAACCGAAGAGTGTAGCTGGTCGCACCAGTTTCGAGACGTACTGTATGTGTTAAGTTTCATGAAATCTGTGATAAATACACCAGGCTATCAGTGTGAAACTGGGCTCAATCAGATTTCTTGTCACGATTCGCATTTTCTGGCTCCAGCCCAATCTGCATCTCCGGTACAGACTCTAATTGCCGAGCGTGTTCCATTTCCAGTATTGCAGCATTAGTCTGTAGGTATGTCTCCTTTCCTCGGACAAACCAGAAGAATATTGCCACTATTATCATAACGGCGAAAACGGCAATGGCATAATTCATATCTGAGGCGGTAGGTCGTGGCGAGTATGGAAAAAAGAAAAGTACCGTGGTCACAGAGCAGTAGATCAAACTGACCCAATTGATAAGCAGTCCCCAGCGGCCAAGGCGAATGCTTGCTGGTGGCAACTTGTCACGACCCACAATCACAAGAGTGAGGATCGGAATAGTATAAGATATAGTCAGCGCGATCGTACTGACACTCAATATCGCCTGCAAAACGGTCGTCGAAAACATGTAGAGAACTCCGACCAGCGAAATGATCAGTCCCTGGGCCCAAAGCGCTCGAACAGGAGCTTTCCAAGTCTTATCAATGTGAGCGAGGTAGTCACTCCATGGCAACCCCCCATCTCGAGCAAAGCCCCAGGTGAGTCGAGAAGCAGCCGTCAGCATAACTGTGCCTTGACCGAGCCCATTGAATATGAATAAAGAAATCATAGACAATGTAGCCTTTAACCCAACGGTCTGTAGCATCAATTCAACAAAAGGCAGCCCTGTTGGTGGGTTGATGACTTTGTCTGTGTTTTGAATACAAAATAGGCAGATGATCATGAAGCATATGCCAGATGTACCGCCAATGATAATCGACAGGTTGATGACCAGGGGGCCGTTCTTCCGCGGCCTCGGGAGTTCTTCAATCATATGTAGAGTCGAATCATATGCGGTCAGTCCATAAGCGCCCTGGAGAAGCCCGAGGAAGAAGACCAATCCGTCAGCCCAGCCGGTGAGATTAATCCACTTGCCAAAAGTGAAAGACGGTGGTTGGAATTTGAGGTCTGAGCGGACACCGACAGCGATGAGCAAGGCAAGGCTGAAGACAAAAAACAGGACGACGAAACAGCCGCCCACGAAGTTATTCAGCCAAGGAAGCCACCAGTCCCGACGGCACGATACCACATTGACCGAGGTGAAAAACAACGTAACACCAACATACATGAGAAACTGGACATATCCGGTATTTGCAGGAGCCCAGTCATGGTCGACAATAACCTTCATTTGCAGCAAGAATTGCCCCATGAATGCAACTTGCGATGCGGTTATCGTCCACCAACCAAATGTAGTAATCCACGCACACATGTAAGAGCAAAATCTGCCCCAAGGACCCTCCCACAATCGATAGGTCCAATATGCTTGGCCGAGAGTAGTCGGCATACTGCTGCACATTTCTCCCAATGAAAGGCCAACGCAAAGGTTACAGATACTGACTAGGCAGACCCCCCAGATGATATCAATAGGGCCCCCATTGACTAGCCCACTGGAGAGGTCCTGTGCAAAGGCTGACCATGTTCCCAGAGCACAAAATGACATAGCTAGCATGCTCCATATGTTGAACTTGCGGGATAAGGCTTGGTCATGACCCGTTGCGGCAAGATCAAGGATATCTTGAACGCTCTGGTCAATCTCTTCGAGGTCAATGTGTTTTTCCAAAAAGCGATTGGCGTCCATTGCTGTTGGCCAGAACCGTTGGTGTAGATTAAGGCAAAGGAAGTTTGTCTATTAACCACGTTTTATCCGACGTATAGCATAGAATAATCTTAAGTGTCACATTATGTGTGCACCCGGGGATTTATATATTTATAAGGCCAGCTGTAGGTCCGATATAATGGGTTTGAATATTATAGGGGTCAACAATAACTAGTCAAGGAAGACATCTCTGTCGGCCCGCCCGACAGAAGTGCATGGATCTCACGCACATCTTTTGTCGGAGTACGAACGCTCCGTAGTCGTATTTCTAGATAACCCCGCAACTTGATGGGGTTTGCGGGGGGTTAGAGGCATTGGGTGGAAAACCAGCTAAGACTTTACTTAGCGGAACAAATCAGCCTTATCAATGAACATTTCATAATGCTACAACTACAAGACAAACATTTTGTAAATGGTATGACCCAATCACAAATCCCCAATTAACCTTCACCCTTATCCAAAAAAAAAAAAAATCGCAACTATAGCCGTATCCAGTACAAGCTTCCACGCCCTATATGCACATCCTGCAAGCAGCTGTAAGTACCATTCTTCACGTAGTTCACGCAAATTGATACTCACATAGTTGTCTTTTTCATTATGTAGGCTTCGTTATTGAACTAATTTGGCCTACGCCCTGTTGGTATGGCACCGATGTCTGGTTCTTTTTTTCAATCCCAACTGGGTGCGGCGCTCGTTCAGCATTATCTCGTTCACGTTGCTTTGCCTTGTACTTTTTGAAGAGGAAAGTAGTAAGACACATGTCGTTGTTTCTTTTCCGTCTGCTGTTGAAGTGGTTGTAGATAGGGACCAATTTGGCTAACGAGGATGTGGTAGAAACACGGAAGAATATGTAAAGAATTTCAGAGTACTCAAAGTTCTGAATGTTTGAAGGATGAAATAACTCGAAGATTCGTGCAAAAAAAGGAGTCTGGCCTGCATTATATATCTTGAGTGGAGAATCATTTACTTTGTTGATATGTGCGCTTGAATAAACTTGGAAACCAGTGCGAGACACACCTTGGCTCTTTGAGGCCCCCCATTCTCAGCTGGGTATGCGGAACTCAAATAAATGCCATGATTTCTATTCTCATCACAAGAGAACGGTAGGAGGCTAACTTAATGCGGTAATACATTCGAGCTATGGTGCGGATCCACTTGGAACCAATACGAGGAGTTTTTAATACCTAGGTATCTTAGTCCAATAGAACGTAAGTGGGAACTACATGGCAAATTTTTAAACACGCAAACAACTTTTGTATGTTCAGAAGCTAGTACAATGCTCCCCAGTGTATTTATCACTCAGTCCACGAGGATCACGTGCCTTTACTTAGTCATATGGATGATCCCGCCGAGCCTCGTCCCTTGGATAAACACAGGCGCGCGGACACTTGTCACGTCCTGTTGCGCTCGGTCCACCTTTCTCTTCGACTGGCTTGAAGCCATTCCGCTATGATCAATCGCCTTATTCGGATACTTCGCCGACTGCTCCGTTCTCGCACCACCCGGTTTCTCCTGCTGACAATCGCAATATGGAATATAGCCGAAGTTCTGTTAATTCGTCATCGATTGTATAACGCCGATAATGCTCAGCCGGACCTTTCAAGGAGACATGAACGCATTTACATCGCCAGTATCCACTGGAACAATGGACCGGTCCTTCGAGATCATTGGAACGATGCTGTGGTCAAGCTAGCGGAGACAATAGGCCCAGAGAATATCTTTGTTAGTATCTTTGAGAGCGGAAGCTGGGATGACTCCAAGGCCGCTCTTTTCGAGCTAGACAGTGCGCTAGATCGCATTGGTGTACGCCGGAACATCACGGTTTCAGATGTAACACATGCAGACGAAATAGCCGCGCCCCCAGCGGAGCATGGCTGGATTGACACGCCGCGAGGACGGAAAGAATTGCGACGCATCCCATATCTTTCTCGGTTGCGGAATGTATCATTGCAACCGATGTATGACCTCTTACGTGAAGGGGTGACGTTCGATCGTATATTGTTCTTGAATGATGTGGTATTCACAGTATGCGTCTCGATCCCTCCACGCATGGTATTATCCGGACAGTTCATGAATCTAATTCGACGCAATTAATCCAGACCGACGATGTGATGACACTGTTAAACACCAACCACGGTGAGTATGCGGCGGCATGCTCGCTGGATTTTTCAAAGCCGCCACGCTATTATGACACCTTTGCATTGCGAGACTCTGATGGCCACAAGCACGTGATGCAAACATGGCCATATTTCCGATCATCAAAATCTCGTGCCGCGATGAAAAGCATGTCGCCTGTCCCCGTGAAGAGTTGCTGGAATGGCATGGGTGAGTGGTCTTCTTTGTTCTTCAAGGCCCAAACAGCTATGTTTTGCCTTGGGGCAATATCCGCCCCGCATCTGTTGAATTGAATAAGAAAACTAACATTAGCCATGTATCCAGTTGCCATGCCCGTGGGTCCATTTGTTTCCGATCCCCCTCTGGAATTTCGGGGCGTCCCAGATAATCTTGCCGCTTCTCACGTGGAGGGTTCCGAATGCTGCCTGGTACATGCGGATAACCCACTCTCGAAGAAGAAAGGTGTCTATCTCAATCCTAAAGTACGTGTTGGCTACAGTGGCCCCGCGTATTCCGCCGTCAACCCAGCACAACGATGGCTCTCTCCTCGGGAAATCTTTCTGTCTGGGTGGGAGAACCGTTTCCGGCGCCTGTTTACAACGCCTAGATTTGAAGACTGGGCAATACAACGAATCGTTTCAAAGTGGAAGTCGCAAGACAAGAGACATGAGGAGCCAGGCGAGTTTTGCTTAATTAACGAAATGCAGGTTTTGGTCTGGAATGGTTGGGCTCATGTATGATAAAACAGGTTTGAGGCAAAAATAAAAATAATTCGCCTACAGACGGCTGCCTTTCGTTCTGTAAGATTCCTGCTTATATGGATATTTGAATTCGGAGATTGTAATTCAGACGCTCTTACAACCATGACTAGTCGGAAGTAGCACAACCGTATGGGTTATGCGTACATTGCATTTTCTTTTATATGAAGGGACACTATCAGATCCACTCGTAATCTACCTAGAGAATCCGCATGTTTGCCGATCTATTCTTGTGTTTCAGTTCGATGCACAAGCCACCTTTAACAACAATAATAATCCACCAATATTCTTCAACACCCGCTAGTAATCGCCCTGGTATTGACTTCAGGGAGGCTCAGGCAATCAGGAATACGGTTTATCCGACCATGGGCTCTGTGGCTATCGCAATCAACGACTCAGGCGACTGTATACATTAGTCTCTGGGGATTGATCAGATTCGATCTCGCTTTGTCGCTACTATAAGAAAGCTGAAGGGAGACACTATTGAATTTGCTAATTTCTATATGCAATTATAGATCACCCTCCTACACCATAGAAAATACCATTGAACCAGGTATCAAATTCAAAATCGACATCCGTACCCAGATTCAAATGATCATAGGTTTCAATGTTATCTCCGACAGAATCTCCCAATACCCCGTTAAGGGGCAATTCGTCAGAAGTCGATTTCAGCGTCAAAGTCGAGAACTGTGCACAGGCGCGATTGAAATCGATCAAATTGTCGGTATTTGGGCTTGAATCTTCAGAATAAAAAATAGTGTCAATTAGCGCAACGCCTCGGTGAGCAAGCACATCGCCTTCCCGCATCGCAAGTCGAGACCGTGCCGCGGTTATGGCTGCCTTGTAGGTTTCAGTGGTAGTGGTTGGGGTATCTGAATTTGCATTCAACTCAAAGCAGAGAATAACCGCTGCAGTGATACAAAATGCCGTGTGAGTCCAAATCGAAGGATTATCATCTTCTGTTAGCTTTGCGTGTTCGCGCAGTATTGTTGTTGCGGCTGCCACGCAGGTACGTCTTGTATAGCTATACAACCGCGAAACAAAAGCGTGGAACAGGAAAGGGCGATGGACCATGATGATCTTCTCGGCCGTCGTAATTGCAAAACTTCTTCGAGCTATTGGTAACCACGGCACTTGCGCGTCTTTCTCCCTATCCGGCCGGAGGAGAAACGATGGTATGTCTTTCACAATAGCCTTCATCTTTTGATCAGTTCTCATGACATGAAGGTACTGTTCTTGGAGTGGCTTTCGCTGTCGCATCGGACCCAGTCCATCGGCTAGCTCTGGCATCAAAGCCGCTAGATTTGCCAGAACGCGGGCAAACGAACTGACTGTTGGAATATTTGTTGGCATTCCCAGTAGATCATGGTCATCTGCATTCAGTGGAATACCTGTTGAGAAATGGGCTGGAGAAATGCTGTATGTATCAGTGAAAGGAATGGCAAAATGGTCTTGGATGACCATTTGACACCAGACTCTCTTGCCGACCTCGCGCTCCACTCGCTCAGCCCACTGTTCTTCTGTTTGTGCTGATGAATTTATATGGTCCTTAATCTTGTGGACGCCGAGACATTCGGCGATGCGGACAGCGGCGTTGAACAAAGTTGCGTTAAGCTGACTCAAACCAAGGATATGAGCTGCCTCGGTTGAGATGACAATGGCTTGCAGGGCGTGGAATGAGATATTTTGAAGAAAGTCAGAGCTGTACAGAACTTGGACCATGCTGAAAAACAGTGCTCTAGAAGATTGCAAAGCCTGGGAATTGAGACCAAGGGAATCTTTCACTTGTTCGCTATTTTGAATCGAGCAAATCGTAGACGACAAGACCGAGAGATAAAGTCCTATCCACAGAGGGTGATCGCATCTCCCGCTAGCCCAGAATACTTGGCACTGCTCTAGAAAGGTTGGGCCATGGAGGCAGTTGTGATGCCATCCGAGATGGCAGATGTGGAATCGCACCAATTTCTCCGCAACTGCGGTGTCCGGGACTTGGGCAATTGACATTAGAGCAGACCCCCAAAACTGAAACGACTGGCTGTTCAAGGATAAGAATGGTTCACCATGCCGCTGATAAGGGCATGCACATTTCCTATGAGGAAAGCAGTCGACGGAATTTCGGCCCCATGCAAGATGCTCAATAGCGGTTGGCAGGGACAAATTTGGTTCCATTGAAGCGGCATTTTTCGAATCAAATCGTATCGGTTTTCTCCCACGTGTTGTGGATGAGCTTCGTTCTGGAGATGTCTCGAGGCTCTCTGGTTGCAATAGATCAATACCAGAATGCAGTTGAGAAATCCGATCTTTCAATCTTAGAATGGTCGAATGCGATGATTCGAGCGGAGACTCTTCTAGCTCCGCCACGATGGAGCGTAGAAACCCAATCTCAGCTTCATTTTGCGAGGCTTTTTTGCGAATTTGTACTACCTCCCTTGAACAATGAAGATTCCGCTGTCGGCACCTTGAGCAAGGAATCTTTTTGTCGCATTTTCTTTTCTGCTTTGAACATTCTGCGGAAATGTCAACAGAGTTTCTTTCTCATGTGATCATCGGTCTTACCTAGGCAGGCAAGTGGTTGACGCTGTGAGACCCGCATCTTGACGGCGACCGCGCGAGATGAGCAGGTGGGTTGATGTTTAAAGTCGCGGCGCGATCAATTCTTGCTGATTACCTAATGACACGCAAAGCTTAATTGCGGAGCCCCGAATTTCCGAAATGCGGGCGACTTTGTGAACTCGGCCGCTGCCGAGTTAAGAATATAAAAGAAATGCGGATGGCTACTTTTCAACCACATTTTTCTTTTCTGCTATTGTTACAACGCTGTTCTGACCCTTCAGATCACTTTAGAGAATGATTTATCATATATAATATCCTCCAACGTTGTCTTTTCTCGCAGTTACCTCTTCGGGACAAGTCCCACATCCTCACCCATTTAATTATTGATTGAGACACAAATTTCAAGGTCAGTGTAACACAGAAACTCCTTGCTGTTTAACACCAATCCAGGAATTAACGAGCAATGCCTAGATCATGTATATCGCCAAGTCAGACAGTCTCGTGCAAGAGAGCCTCATTCTCTCTGCGCGATCATCAAGCTCAGCTTCCAATTCTGGTCTTTCCCAACCAGAAAAGATCACGCTCTATGTTGTCGCGGCATTAGCAGCAGTCGCGGCTGTGGTAGGCCTCATAATAGCAGTTTTCCGTTCACGTTATCAGGGATCTCTGCTTCGCAGTCCTGTGTTGGTCAAACAAAGTCGAGCACGGGGTATTTCCCGATCAATGTTAGACACGCTTCCCACCATCCAATACGATGATACCAACGATACGCCTCCAAGCAGCCAGAAGACCAGCTTTGAGGGATTCGAAAAGCCTGCAGAGACTGGACATGAATTCTCTCAGCAAATTGCTACTAAATGCAACGGGAAACCGTCTGTGACGATTGAGACATGCCATTCGATTTGCCCCATTTGCACTGATGATTTTGAGAAAAACCAATACTTGCGCGTTTTGCCCTGTGGTCACCAGTTTCACAAGGAGTGTGTCGATTACTGGTTGCTCAGAGTGTCGGGTACTTGTCCTGTGTGGTATGTTTACCTTCAGCTTTGACAATACTCATGCGACATGGATTTTGTTAACTCTTCTCGATAGCCGTGTGGACCTCAACCCTTGTGAAGAGACAAATAAGAGCGAGAAAGGTGACCTTTCGCTAGATCTTGAGGCAGCATCATATATCCAATGCCCCAGCTCTGTACATCAGATTCCATGGAGGGGCAATTAACATTATGTGCAAATCTGGATTCTCTATATCTTAGCCTGTAGATCTTGGCTTACCTGTGAGCCATGGTAACGGCGACCTATTTGCGTGTTTGCAGTCCACCGTCATTCCATTTCGAACGCATACCTAACAAAAAGCTATAAGCACGCCTCAGTTAGAATTGCTATCATAAGGGATCGATGTTTTCGAACATGTATACCGCCATATACACAGGATAATGTCAGTCAGTGGTGCCTTTCCTATTAGGACTGAGACCGCTTTCATGGGGACAATCGTGCTTAGTCGGGATTCTTAATAGTGCACCCCATGAATACACACACGCGCGCTCTCACAGCTTATGCTAGTCCCGTGAGAGATGACAGCAGCATCATGTAGTATTAGAAGCGCTGAACGCAACCGAAAACAGTAGTAATATGAGCCTTATTCTTCACCGTTCACTTGTGAATGTGTCTGAATTTTCAACGTGTAGAGGCTCCGTCATTCTCTCTTATATGTGAACATCAGAAACCATTCATTCGTCAATCCTTCAAGATATGAACATCTGCACCGATGAACCAGATGCAGCTCTTATATCCAGTTTGTTAAGATAAGGTCAGGAGTCTCTTTTCCGTTCAATCACTAGCCAATTATTTTATGTCAAGTATAATGTTATAGCCATAGCGCAAAAGTCTAGTCACACTCTCTGGTTATGAAAAATCTATCCATTTTACCGACCTACATTGAAAATATTTATCTAACATTCTATTTGGTTTCATTAGATATTTTAGTTCTAAACTCCGTACATTAATTAATTAATTATCACTCACTTTATCTATTTGACCCCAAATGCCTAGGATAATAACCCTTTCCGCGCTTAATAGCTACAATTCGTCTCGGAACTACGCAGCTTATTAAAATTATGGAGAAAGTGGCGCTAATCGCAGGCATGCATATAAGAGCGATTGTTTTGTTGCTATTTCGTCGGACTCAAGATAGAGATTTATTTAATTGTTATCGCGCCTCTGTGTTGACACCTATGGTGTTCCATCTTCGACTGTTCGGCCTAACTTACCTTTTGGACCAGGATTTAGGTAAGCTCAGCAAAACTATCCAGAACTCCCGATACAGCTTTCGCATCATGTACACGACGCATCTGTCGGTCAATGTCAACGTTGATTTTCCATGAACGTCCTCCACTAGGAATCAGAGCTCTTCTCGAACACGAGCAGCGACAGGGCTCGGATGGGCAGCGAAAAATCGACAGACAGCTTGCCTTTCTTCGACACGTTCATGGACTTGGGGGCACCGAGCGTCATGAGCTTGCCGGCTTTGACTAACTCGTTGTACTGCTTTGAAGTCGGTTTCTGGGGAGAGCCCATGGAGACCCACTTGGCGTAAGAATTGCTGTGGTCGTCATCCACGCGGTAGTGGGTTGCTGTCACCTTGCCCTGGTTGTTGTTCGCGAAGTTGGCAGGGAGACCCTCGACATCCACAGAGACCTTGGCATCGGGGAAGTTCAGATTGTTGTCGTGGTAGTGCCACACAAACACATAGAGCGCCTGCGCATCCTTGTCAAAAGTGGCGAGGGAGCCGACGTCGGTCCGTTTGCCCTTGATGCCGTCCTTGAGCACCACGTCCAGAGGGACCTGCCCAGAGCTCTCGGCCTTGATGCGGTCGCCGCTCAGCATACTCCACATGCGGTGGAAGTTGAGAACCGGCTTGTCGATGCCCTGGGTGCTCAATACCCGAAAGCCGTCGAAGTAGCCCGTCTCATTGGGTAGAATAGCGTTCTTCTCATACTCAAAGGCCCAGGTCAGCGCTCCCTGGAGATTGACGCCACGACTGGCAGCCAGGTCCATGGCGCGGGTGAAGGATGCGGCGGAGTAGGCGCCGTAAAGAAGGCCGTTCCGGTAACCATAGGCGGCCGAAGTGCACGCCGCACAGCCGTCGGGATCATATTCGCTCATGAAGATGGGCTTGGCTTTGTATTGAGGGAAGGATGCAACGACGCCGAAGGCCTCGTCGATCTGTTGCAGCTGGGGAGACATGTTCATCTGGATATAGCCGTCACTGCCGGTGAGATTGATGAAGAGAGGCGAGCCTTTGGCGTGGAATGAGACGAAATCAAGGGCCGTTCCCTTGCTGCCGGTTGCATAATTGGTGCCGTTAGCGCAATGCTCAAGGAAGTCGCTGAGATAGGATCCGGCAGCACCACCAGCAACCTCGGGGCCACCGATGCGAGCGGTGGGCAGAGCTTTGAGGACCGAGTTGACTGCATAATCGTGAAGCTTGTAGAATCCCTGGGTCGTGCCGTTCCAGTCTGTTCTCGGGTCAGTAGGCCCACTTGACTGGTTCATGGGGATAGAGAAGGGAAGAGAGAGGACTTGCCACACAAACGTACATTGAATATTTGGCTCGTTCCAAACCTCGAAGTACCATTTATTGACCTCGTTCGCGCCATAGCGACCGACAAGGTGCTTGACTAGCTTGTATATCAGTTCACCCCAGCGCTCATAGCTTTTAGGGGGATGCGACCATCCGGTGTAGATACTGTCGGGACCAGAAGCAGGGTTGAAGTTGAAGAAGTAGGGGTTAGGGTCGACTGCCAGCGCTTTAGGAGAGAAACCAAGCTCAAGATATGGCTTGACGTTGGCAGCCAGGTAGTGGTCAAAGATCTCGTCGATAATGGTGAAGTTATAGATGGGATTACCGTTGTCATCCAACGTGTAAGCGTTGGTGCTTCCCCACTTCAGGCCTGGAACGCCGACGAGGCCGGGCTCGCCAGTCGTTAGGAGGTTATGAGTCCGGAAAAAGGTTTGATCCTTGCCAAGGTCACCAAGCTCTTTGAGAAGTGCAGAACCATGAGGGTAGTAGGCGTAGTTGGGCTCATCGCAACCGTAGAAGCGGTGGATAGGAGTCCAAGTGCCCAGACTGAAGGAGGCGTCAACCGAGACGGAGACCTGACGCCCCATTACGGTAGCCACCAGGCTTGTCACGGCCAGAAGACTCAGGACCATGGTTGGGGGGATTGAATGCAACGGAGCTCAGCACGAGGTGTTGAAAGGTGACTGACTACTTTGATAGTTTGTCAACTCAGGTCAGGTCAATGGTCGTTCCGAGAATCATAGGGCAGGGAACTCCTGGCAAGTCGGGACATAGTCTGAATTTAATAAGATTTGATCAGGCGTCGTCTACCTTGGAGAGCGGGTATATTCAGGCTCAACTCAAGTCGTCCATCCTCATTACCTCATTACCTGCAATTCCTTGCCCCAATTGACGAACCCAGTGAGAGACTCAAGAAAGCTCCGACGGCAACGTTGAGGGGCGCGCGGGGTCCGGTACCGACCGCGACAGCGGCTAAAATGGAAAGGATCAAGGGCATGGAGCCAGAGAGGCCGCCTACAAGAAAATGTGATGAATAACCGGCATTCCCTGACGGTAACAATCTGTGATTCGACGTCTCCTCCACCAGAGGTTGCTTTACTCCCCCCACATGTCCCTCTGTAAAATCTTAGTGGCCCATTACCTGATCAAATGCTGATCAACTGCCAGTTCGCTCAAACGAAGTTGCATCGTAACTCGACAATCTGCGCCTCAAATGTCGGAGTTACTCCGGGCCTAAGATGCGAAATGACCTTCTCTGCGTGTGACTAAATACTTTCTGGTCATGTTAGGTTTGTCTTGCAGATGGCGTCGGCGCATTGCCGAAGGCTAAGAGTTAGCGTCCGGCGGGGTATTGCAGCCATGAGAAAAGGATGTCAAGCCCTTTTCAGAGAGGGCGGCGCTGCACCAGTGATTGTCTGGGCGGCGCACAGTGGACCATCCGCGCTACACTCCATTGAGAATACAACGGATATCGGTTATCCTGCGATCAATCGGCAAGCCGCCGAGTGAGCCATAAACCGGGACGACGATAGCCCCGCATCCCCAGTATTCCCAAGTGAAAGCCCGGGGAAAGAATCTTGACTGGTTAACCCTTGCCTCCGCATGTATAACACCTCAAAAGCGGAGGATTTCTTACTCGAAATACTCTCTCATGCTTTGGATCTCGAGCATCATTCTTTGAAGATCATACGCAAGTTAACTTTTACCCCCTACCTACTTTTGGATCAAAATGAAGCCAGGAATCTACCAATTTCTGATAGGCTGCTTTGCCTCGCTCGGATCGTTACTATTTGGCTACGATCTAGGCGTCATCGCTGAAGCTGTAGCGTCAAGTTCGTTTAAGGCACAATTTCTTCAGTCTAGTACCAATGCCCGCAGTGGCACAGTGGTTGCCCTATTCACTGGAGGGTGTTTTGTTGGTGCTTTCGCAGCAGGGTTCGCAGATCGTCTGGGTCGCCGCGGCACGATCCTACTTGCATGCGGAATTTTCATAATAGGTGGAATTATTCAGACTGCAGGAGTTGTCATATCGATGTTGTACATAGGCAGGCTCCTCGCAGGAATCGGTGTTGGTCTTCTGACGGTTGGTCTTTTGATCTCCTCCTCATTCCAGGTCTTAGCTCATGTTTACAATATGCAGATGATTGTTCCCTTATATCAAGCAGAGATTAGTCACCGGCGTATTAGAGGGAGAGTCACCAGCCTCCAACAGCTCTTTGATGCGGTGGGGCAAATATTTGCAACTTGGATCAGCTATGGTTGCTATTCCGCCTGGGACAAGAAGGGAAGCAGTGCAGAGTGGCGTGTCCCTCTTGGAATTCAGATTGTCCCAGCAATCTTGCTTGCTACCTTCGTGTACATGATTCCCGAAAGCCCACGGTGGCTCTGTGACCATGACCAATGGGAAAAAGGGCTGGCAACTCTAGCGCAGCTCCACGCGCATGGAAATATTCATGATCCGTATGTAATCGCTGAGTATAACCTCATTGAGGCGCAGATCCGACAGGAGCATACGCAGAAACGGAAGACGTATTTCGATCTTTTCAAAGGATGGCCCAATATTCGACGCACCATCTTGGTCATGGCTGCACAAGCCAGCGCTCAAATGACAGGAGTCAGCGCCATCCGATATTTTTCGCCTGAGATATTCGCGCAGATCGGCATCCAAACATCCACCACACTGCTTCTAACTGGTGTCCAGGCTATTATCTCTTTCTTGGGTACCTCGGTTTGCATTATGGTCATTGATTCAATCGGACGACGACCGTTACAGATAGGGGGAAATTTGCTCATGGCAGTTACATTCGCGGTCAACTGCGCGCTCATAAAAGTGTTTCCTCCTACATCAACAAGCACAGCAGCACATTGGACCTTTATCGTCATGACATGGTTCTTCAGTTTTATTTTCTTCGTCACTAGTGGCCCCCTGTCGTGGGCGTTGCCAGTCGAATTCTTCGGCACTGCTATGCGCTCCAAAGGCGTGGCAGTTGGTGCAATGACATCCTTCGCCTTCAATACTATGATAGGGCAGGTTACGCCAATTGCTATATCAACCATTGGCTGGCGATATTACCTTATCTTCATTATTACAAACATCACTAACGCCATATTCTTCTGGGCCTTTCTCCCGGAAACTAAGGTTCTCAACTTGGAGGATATGGACGAGTTGTTTCTTAACACACCTCTGTTTGTCCCAGGCACCCACTGGACTCCCTCATCCCATGTAGATGTTGATGCCGAGATGATTGCCGTGGGTAAAAGGGGCTCTTCTGAGGCTGCTATTCACAAATAATTGGATAATTGGAGTGGGAAACTGAAGAACAAAAATAATAAGTCGACATGTATATGGCTAGAATAAACGAAAATGTTCTTCCACTTAGAAGGACGTTATGGTGTCTCTCAGAGAAAATGTCTGAAAGAGCGGGCGTGTTTGTTCGTATTCGACATTTCGCTCTACTAAACAATGACTTGCGGGTTGGATCCGCTGTCAACCATCCCGTTGGCGACCACAGTTTGACAGAATGCACTACGTCACCGATCGGGACCCGGTTACGCCGGAACGCTTGTGTCGCGCCTTGTATTCCCTTGCAAATTTTTGTTCTCGAACCTCTTATCACAAGTTCAAAATGAAAGTCATCATCACTGGCGCTACAGGCTTCGTGGGTAGCGCGGTAGTGCGCCAATGCATTAAAAACCCCGTCATCACAAGCGCGTTGATTCTGACGCGGAAGCCTCTAGAAAGAGACATCTCTGAAAATCCAAAAATAACTGTTATCATTCACGAAAATTTGGGAAGCTATCCAGCCGAGCTCTTAACACAGCTTAGCGGTGCGGAAGGCTGCATATGGTGCGCCAATACTAAAAGTCACTGGTCTTTCAAATACTAATAGAGGTGAACAGGACGGTCGGGGGGCCAGCTTTCCGTTTTCCTGACCTAGAAACGTGCCAAAAGGTACACGACTTCACACTTACTGCTGCAAATGCCTTTGTGAATACCTTGGCCCCGGCACTCAACGGGAAGAAGTTCAAATTTGTCTTTTGTAGCGGAGCTTGGGCAGAATGGGATCAGAAGAAGCCCTTGTGGTTCATGAAGGACACTAGAAGGATTAAGGTTGGCGCATCCAAAAACTTACCATCGTACGCTGAGATTTAGGGCTGATAACAATTCAGGGTTACATCGAGAAGCACTTGTCTGACATTGCAGACAAGGAAAGGGACGTATTCGAGGTCTCTTCCGTCCGGCCAGGCTTGATCTTATCCTCTAACCCTAATTTACTGATGAAGCTGTGTGGGATGGTATTTTCCTCGATCGAAGACGACCATCTCGCAAGAGTTATGGTCAAGGTACTTCTGGACGAAAGTTCTGAGAGAGTCATTGAAAATGACCAATTGCTGAGGATGTGAAGAGACGCTAGTCGATCTACACTAATAGGGATGCCTGTATCTAACCCACCCTGTGTTCCGGGAGCTGATCCGGCAGTGTTACCATCATTTAGACTACGCTCTGTATGAAATTTAAATCTTTTGATCGGGATGTATCTACTCGTTAATACCATATCTGGTGTTTTGTTAGTTGATCAAGGTTACTGTTGCTTTGAAGCGCCCGCGCAATTGATCCCATCCTCTCTTCTAGAGATTGAAGGGCAAGTCCAAATAAGATAGTGTTCTCGTTACTGGCACTGTCTTGATTTATGTAGTTCGTTGATACTAATTACAATTTCGAGATATTTCTCGGCTCTAGATTTGTCCATTCCTTTACGTCACGGAAATCCATGACGGTGTTAGGGCCCCCGAATCTTCCCAACGTGTTGTTCCAGTTCTTGTTCACTGCAGATTCAGGGTCCCATTTAATAGCCGCATGGATATTCGGGGGAACCTTATTATCCATCGTGTCTACAATGAGACCCCCAATTAATGGGAGATACTTGAAGCCTAGAAGAAATATTTCCATTAACCATAGACAACAGCGGACTGAATTGAGAATTTCACTGCTCACCTCTACCAGAAGCACCGCAGCCGAGAATAAGAGAAGGGTGTGATAGGTAGCGGTCAATTGTAAACCCGCGATTAGTGGTATCAGCACACCAGCAAATTCTTCCGAAACTGAATCAAAGGTCTGCCAATTGTGGCATAGTCTCCCTAAGCAGTTGCCTGAGAGAACCCGTCAAATCTAATCTCTGTCTTTCACCGCCAATCCACAAATTGTGTCCGAGAATGCTCCATCTCGGTGGCACTAGTGAACGGATCCAGAACCTTTGGAGCTTAGGTCCAACGCGCTCCAGTGGATCAGCACGGGGAGTATCGTAGAGGGCGACTGAAGTCCGAGTTAGGTATCGAAGCCACCGTTTGCTGGCTACTCGACAGATCAGGAAAATTGTTGGATTGAAGGAGGTCAGGCTCAGAAAATTGATCTGAATAATAGGATGCTTGGGACTGAGACGTATTAAGCGGTTCTAACTTCCGGGGACAGGCTAAAAAGTAGCGACCTCGACGTGTAGGAAAAAGAAATTATGGATATAATACCTACTAAACTACATGCTGATTGGATATCCACGGAAGTGCAGTTATTCTTAGGTCAACTGCACGGAACCAAAGCTACCCGCAAAAGGTCGAGGGAAAACTCCCCGTCTCCCCAAGATCAATGAATACGTAAAAATCCTTGAATATTCTGTGGGAGAACGGTATTGAAGAATAGGGGTACGTAAAACAGGCATTCTACTATCTTCTGATGCCCCTTTAATAGATCCGAGTAGAACATTAGAGGCAGATTCTTGTGGTTTTGGCTTTCCTCAAGATGTAATTATTCTGTATACACTAGTACTTAATGCAGCCAATAGTTCCACTCTGGAGGTCACGAGATGTCTGATTTTGAAGCCATCGAGATTATCCTGTTTATGTCCGGATCCTTGGTCGTCTGATTATTTGATCGACACGACTGTGAGCGGCATCGTGCGATCGGGGAGAGTGAAGATCCGGGTGCCCACCAAGAATTGCGTGTCTGGTTAAGATCTGCATGCAGATCTCACGGTCTTTCAGGCCGACTAGCCGAAGGGGGGAAAAGGTCGACTTAAATCACCCATTTTGTAAGACATTCGCTGTGTACCTAGTACTTACGTAGTACCCTATCTCGTGAAGCAAGCTGTTGTCATCATCGGCCGCTCTAGAGAAATCATGGGAATTATGGTTTCTTCACGGACTACTTGGACCCGCAACGTCATAGCAGTGGGTAACTGTTTGCACTGGAGTGAGACACAGCCATAACAGGACCAATTGTCTAACAGTTAAAGGCCCCGCCTAACAAAACTCTAAGGCGGGGTACGGGGCCAATTTCTTGAACAGGAAATCACCTAATGTTTTGTCAGCTTAATGTCTCACAACCATGTAACCGGGCACAACCAGACGATAGCTTCAAATTCGCCAAAGTAGTAGTATAAAGGGACCATCTCACCTCGCCAAGTCACTCGTTCTTGCTCCAAGCCAGATAATCCACTTCTTTGTCAGCGATCAACTCCACCATAACAAACACCCCTTTTTATCATTTCTACCATTATTCTCTCGCAATCACCGCAAAGATGAAGGTCGCCGCCGCTCTGTCTTCCCTGGCGCTTATTCACGCCGCCGCCGCCCAGACTATCCAGTCGAAGCCTTTCGAGCTAGTGATTCAGTCTTCCAACACATCGATCCACGGCAAGAAGCTGCTCGCGTCGTGCCATGAAGGCGCCGCTATTGAATCGCTCTGCATTACCGGCACCGCCAGCTCCCAATTCTTCCTCAACACCACTAAGGGAGAAACTGCGCCGGTCAAGGGCTATACGACCGATGGCAGCCTGATCTGGAACTTGCCCGTTGGAAACGGTACATGCAGACCCCCTTCGAGTGCTACGTGCATTTACTATGGAGAGCATCACTGACATCTGTTTGGTTTGCAGAACCCACTGACGAGTCCGAGCCCATGAGCTTCTACGTCGACCCATCCACCAACGTTGCCCTGCCTCTGTTTGAGCCCGGCTACCAAACCCAGAACGTGGCGTTCGAACAGTCGACCGGTGCAATGGCCATCTTCAGCTACCTCGATGACACTGTGACCCCTCCCACGGGTGGCACTCCCAAGGTTCTGAAGAACTGGTATGTCTGCGAGTACTACTACACTGGATATGTGTACCACACCTTGAACTGGGTCTTGGGTGATGCCTCCGCCAAGCCCCAGAACCCTAGCTGCGTCAAGGTCCAGGTCCACCGCAAATTTGTTTAGATCATCTAGTGTGTTGAGGACTGGGGTGGTTGGATGAAGAGCGGTCCAGAGAGCCACTAATGAAGGAAGCGTCACGGCTTGAGTTGGGATTGTGTGTGTACAAATATCTAATTTTCCTCTTGTATGGAAAACGACTACAAGAAATGTGCAACTACTTGCGAGAACAATTTTCACACTTGGTTCATTGTTTGCATTGATAGTTAGCTTCCCGGATTGGGACGACAGGCTTGAGGCGGATAGTCAACATGATGCTTATACTTCTGTTGAAAATCTAAGCCACGTCTCTGTGCCTGATAAACGACAAAATTCAAAAGCTGTTGAGAATTACTCCTGCAGTAGCAACTGCCCAGGGTACACATTAACGCAACCGTACAAGCATAACTCGAGAGCCAGAATAGAGCCAGGTAGAATTTGTGATCATGTTCCATTTCGAAAGTCCACTAATTAGAGGCATGGGGACCATAGACGCTGGCCTCATCAGGTCATCATTTCTTGGATCCCTTCCCAGGTCTTCGGCTTGTTGTCACGGCAATAGTTCCTTCACATCACTTGCTCAAATCTTGTCGCATCTCACATAATGTAACTCCACCTGCAAGTGTCATCACAGATGTAATATCCGTAGAGGTTGCTGTACGTTCAGCTCTACAACAGCGTCCCGGTCAACGGCAGGTATTCCATCTCTATCTGTGCCAACATCTCCCTGGAAGAGAAATGAATCCCGTCTGGATTGTTTAAAGTCGCGCTCCAACTTTCTAGGTAGGGCTTTTATGGTCGGATGTACAACTGGAGGCGCACAGCAGCCTATGTAGACATCTCAACCAAGATCAAAAATAGCGCAAATGGTAGCAAGAAGGCGTTGATTGCTGCCTACTAAGAGTGAGAGTAACAGGCTTGGCAAAGGAAGAGACACATCAGGATGTGAGAGGTAAGAATACACGTTGTCGGAGAGGTACGTAGGAACAGAAAGGACAAAGGGGGTAAAATAGAGCATGCAGGTCAAAACAAGACATGAGCATTGAGGGATCTATCAGATTCGATGTATAACGCTGAACGATCAGCTAACAAAAGTGGCCGAGTAACGGGGGGTGTATAAAGCGAGTGAGGGTAGCCCAGGGCGGATTCGACGCATAAAGGGCCGAGACCGAGGAAGCGAGAGAAACCTGAGTAACTAGTGCCGGGGGGAGAACAAAGTAAGATGATGGGTTCAGGTTACTTTTGCCTGACCTTGCCCGCTTCCCGCACCTCAAGCATAAATCCATCCTCATCGCCCGCAGCAGTAAGAATCCAGTAATCACCGACGCCGGGGTTAACAACCTGGCCACCACCGAAACCCGCCGCGGCGGGGGCACTGTGGCGCTCCTTCGGTTTTTGGGTATTAGTGCCGAGTTGACGGGGGCCCCAGCCGAGGATATCGCGGACAGCCGCGCGAGACTGGTCATCCGGCTGTTGGAACGAAAACAGCTGGGCCTGGAGACAGCCCATGAGAGCAACGGCGGAGCGGATCATGATGCGGTCGCCTTCGAAGACCCAGCAGTCCCAGACGCGGGAGATGCGTTCGAGGTCTAAGCCGTTGGTTAAGAGGGAGCGGAAGATGGGTTCCCAGATTTCCTCGTCGGATAGGTGCAGTGTCTCGAGGAGGTGGACGGATAGTCGGTTGAATTTGTATCGTAGTGTGTCCGAGGCCAATTGGTATGTGCGTGCCATTGCGCCGCGGTCCCATGTTAGAAAGGCTACTGGGAGCGGGCGGTTTAGGGCGTTTGCCATGGCAAGGAAGGCAGAGGCTGGGGTGGGGAATTGGAGGACGAGCAGAGCGGCGACTGTGTGAAGGCCGTGTATGTATCCCACGTCGCTGCGGTACATGGAATACGCCTGCAGAACATCAACAAGGGTTTCTCGGAGTGGTCCGCCTTCTTGGAAGAGGTTCAGGTCCGGAAACGCCTTGGAGACGTCTGCCTGGATCGCATCAAAGGATTCGAGAATTCGTTTGCTGTTCTCAGTAGGCTCTGCGTCGGTCTTGGCCTGAAAGCCCTTGGCACGCTGTAGTGCTTTGATGAACGTCTCTTCGGTCAATTCCAGTTCGTTGCCCAGGGCGCGCTTCCAGATGGCTCCACGATTTCGGGGAGGAATCCCACGCCACCACAGCTCTCGAGTGCGAGGCTCACGCAAGGCTCGGTCCCAGTTGGGAAACACATGCTCATCCCAGATGTTCTGAAGGGCATTCCGCGTGCTGTCCTTCTCACACTGTGCGGATGCGGCTCGGGAAGCTCTGCGTTTTTCTGCAGGTGACGGTCAGACAAAAGATAGCACAAGATTTATGACAGGCAACTCACCAGCTTCGCGCGACTGCGCCATCATTTGCTTGTACTCCTTCAAATGTTTCTTTTCTTCATTCTGGTCTTTGGGAGGCAACCAGCTAGGACGCGTCCGCGTCAACACCTTCTCCTTTTCCTTGCTAATAGGCAGCGGGTCAATCATGATGTTGGACTTCTGCACCGGCGGGAGTTCGATCGGGCCGTTTGCATCCTGCTGCGAATCGGAGCTCGACTTTCGCGAGGACACACCACTCTGTACGGACTCTTCGCGCTTGCGGTCGTTCTCGTCCGCGTGATATTCCAAAGCCTCGGTAATGATCTTCGCTTCTTCCGACAGATCTGACAAGTAACTGTTGTACGAGTAGGCGCGGGGGTTGCGCGGTGAGATTTGTCCACGCTCCGGCCCGGCGGAGCTCGACCGCTGTGCTGGGCGCCTCATGCGGGCTGCTTTGGAGGCATTTTGCGACGATTGTGACCTTTTATTTTCCACTGTATGCCCAAAGGGCAGCGGGCGCCGGCCTGGGCTGCGACCATTCGGGCTGGGATTGCGGGACGGAGGGCGCTCCTGTACTGGCCGGGGAGAGATTGGCACGTTCCACAGACTTGCATCATCCGGGAGGTCGTCATCTGAATCATGATATTCCTCCTCCAAGTCACGAAGGGACTTGCGATTCGGTTGCCAGGGTTGTTTCGAAACGGGGACTCGCGCAGACAGAGGAGACAATGCCAGACTGGTCGTCGAAGCTGAGCGACTGGACAATGGCCGCAATGGTGAAGTGGATCGTGACCGGCGGGGCTGGATCGGGGTGAGGTTGGGCGAATTGACGGTGCTAGTTGAGTCCCCTCTGTTCCTGGTCTTCGTGCCCAGGGAGCCCGAGGACTGAGGCGTCTTGGCTGCCGCGTTGATCTGACTATGCATAGATGGGTAGGGCCTCCGGGGCTTTGGCGTAGCAGTCAAATCGCGCGTTGTCGCGGACGGACTTTTGCTGACCATTCTGGCGGTGGACGAGCGCGCGATCACGCCCGCCCGGCCATAAGGGGTCGCTTGGTTCACGTCGGGAAGCTCGGCATCGTCCCCCAAGCCGATCTCCTCGAAATTGGAAACATCCGTGAAGACGCTGTCGGGCTCGTCTATCTGGGAGGAGTGGAAGGATGACGATTTTGAGGACTTGGACCCCGACAACTCGGGCGGGGAGTTGGGCGACGGGGAAACGGTGGTCATGATCTCATGAGGTTTCGGTTTTTTCCAGACACAAAATTCCTCCACAGAGACAATCTTCTCATCGGCGTTCCATACACAAGGGACGGAGATCGAAGGGGCGGACAAAAAAACGCAAACCACGGGGCGGTCCCGGAAGGGGTTTGGAGATCACACGCAAGGATCGGTCGAGCGTGGGAGAAATTGGGGGGCGTTCGGTGAAAAGGCACGGGGGTTTTAGCCCTGCAGGCCCCTCGCTGGAAGAATGCTGAATTGAAGAAGTAGATTGCAGGCCCAGCTGCAGCCTGATGGTGGCCAGATCAGGTCTAGGTTTTGTCGCAGAATCAGGAGGCCGCACGGCAGGCAGTGTACTGGGGGCCAAGGAGGTGGGGGATTGACGGCGGTTCAGAAACTAAATGAAGGTGGAGAGGGGAAAAAACAAACTCAAAAGCTCAAAATTGGAAAAGAAAAAGAAGAGAAAAAGGAAAGACTGTGGGGAGGACACTCAAGGAGAGAAAAAGAAGGTTGAAAGCGAACAAGGCCCCAGTCACGCATGCGGCGCGCCTCAGGCATCGACCGTTCCCGGTCTGGCCGAGAACAGGGGCTACACTAGGTCCGCTTATCGCCAGGTACAATCGGGTTGGTCACACTACCAGCCATATGTATCGATCGCTCTGGATTGGAATCTTGTATACATCTTTCCGTTCTGGTAGAATTGAACCACACATCGCCCCTCGATCTGATTCCTCCAGTCGGATCTGCACCCAGTCGCAGCAGATCCGCGGTCTGGCCTTGCACGGATGACTCAGCTGGAGTATACAGGGATTTTAAGGCGATTTTAGGGTTATGGGCGACACAAACCTTAAACCCTCGAGAGATAATGGCCAGGTAGGTTGGGGAATATTTCACATAAATTTGAATTTCCCCGTAGAATCATAACCGTACAGCTTGTCTTCCTAAAAACGCCATTCATCAAAAACGGCATTACCCTTTCGCACCACCTGCGCCATCCGCAGAGCCTCTGCATCCGAGGTCGGGCGTGCCTGTTTCGCCAGATGATCCAGCCATCGTAGCACTGTCGCGTACCGTGTTTGCTTGCGGACCAGCACAAACCGGAAGGCGGCAGCCGCGAGATACCGAATGTGCCGGCGCGCCACGAAGCACGAGAACGAGACCGAAGAAGAGGAGTTGGTGGCGGTGCTGCGCGCTTGGATCATACCCGCGGTTTGCAGAGTGAGGTCGCGGATGGTGCGGATGATGACGGGGGGCTGGGGTGTGCTCGTCCACGGAGTGATTTCATGTGGCTGTAGGTCTTCATGGCTGAGGCGACGAGGCTGGTGTAGAGATTGACGAGCACGACGGTGCGCGAGTTGTGCATGTCATCGAGGTACATTGGATGCATCTGGAGGCGATATGCAGTTAGCACTTTGCGGCGGAAGGCGTGACCGGGGAGCCGCGCCGCCTCAACGGTGAGGGTGTTGGAAATCATGGCGGCGGCTGAATCGCCGGGCTCTAGCATGCGATCGTGGTCGCGATGGATCTCCAGCGTATGTATGTCAATGAGGCACCCGCAATATGGGAAGAGTGACGATCCTTCTAGTCGGGGAATGTGGGTGCCGTTGACGGCGGCGGTGAAGTTGACCAGGCTCTTGGCTGCGTTGACGGAGACGCCGTAGGACGGCTGACCCGGGATCATGACTTGCGCAAACCGCATGGCCAAGCCCGCATCGGGAGTGATGAGAAGGAAATCGTCTATCAGGCGGAGGAGCAGGGCATCCTCGCGTCGCAGGAAGCCCAGCACCTCTCGTTCGAATTCGGCGTAGAAGAAGTTGCACAGCAGACTGGACAGTACCGAGCCCTGTGGGATACCGTTGCGCTGACGAAAGTACTTGTTGCCAATCCTCACCAGGTTATTCCGAACATGCTCGTCCAGAAGATCCAGCAAGTCCTCCGCACCGTGTGTCTTTTGATTCACCGTGTCGACAAAGACGGCGTTTTCCGACCGTCCATGGACACCACTGGTGATCAGGTCTGGCAGGCTCTGCGGTTGCATCGCAGGCGCAGCGCGGCCTGCATATTTCCGTGAGGTCTTCCATTTGGTGGTTGGGAGGTCAGATGGCCGAATCTCGATGTGTTTTGTGATGTGGTAGGATTTTTCAGAGACCAGGGTCTCGATCAGATGGATCAGCTTTTTCTGGGGGATGGTATCGAAGCAAGCCTGGATGTCAAGTTTGACAAAGAAGAGAGGTGGAATTTTTGATGGAGCACCTTTGCCTTGACCCGATTGGCGTTGTGCAAGTTGTCTCTTGAAATTCCAAAGGCGATGGTACATATCCCCCACGGAGTGCAACGAAGAGCCCATCTTTGAAGGATCTCGCTGCCTCTCGTAGGTCAGCATGTTGTAGATGGGAGTGATGCTCGAATTGATGCTGGGAGCATAGTACGACCGTTTTCCACCCCAGGCCGTTGGCTTTAGGCACCGTTTGCGCAAATTCAAAATGGGCCGCAGGCCTGTGGCCTTGGGCAACAAACGCAGAGCGCCGAAGCCTAGAGAGCTCTGTGCCACCACGGCCTGAGCTCGGTCTATAGGCAATTCTTCAAACATAGATGCCTTCAGATCGGCAAAGGGCTGCTCCGTCAGCTGTTGCCACACGTCCTGGCGGAAGTAGAAGAGACGATTGCGATGAGTCTGTGACTCGGTCACATAGAAGTTGGTGCGGATGAGGGGGATGAGAATGGAATCGAAGATGTAATACACGAATTCATGGAAAATCTCCATCCGTTTCTGGAAGTCAGACAAGGCAATGTTTTGCTTGGTATCGTGAAGTCGGAGTGGTTCCAGCCACGGTATGCTGGTTATCTGAACGGCTAGTGTCAGTGTCTCCGATGAACAAGAGGTATGGTAAACGAACTTTCACGCCTTTGCATACTTCATGAAGGCTGAGGCTCTCGAATCGACGCATCTTGATAAACTGGTCGATGTGCTTGAGCACAATTCTCCGATTCGCGCGACCGTCTGCACCTACCCCATAGAATGTAGGGGGAATGAGCTTCTGGACAACGGCTCGACAAAAAGCCGAGACGGATGGGACGGGGGTGGCATAGTCCATCATTCTGGTTTTGGGCTTTTCGATCATTCGCTGATATCCGGTCGTAGGCTCTTGGGAGGCAGCAGGGTATTCTTCGTTGTTCTGATATGGCTGGTTCATCTTCACCTGGGTTACCAGCTTTTCACCAATAGAAAATATAGGATCACTGGCGGTGCTCGAAGATTGTGTCTGTGAAGCTGGGTCGAGCCGCCCTGGTCCAATTGCCTGCTATGGTCAGTGACGGTATGAATAACGACCGACAGATACTCACATCAGAGGGACAATAGTGTTTGAGCAACTCTCCATAGGAGCATCTTGCGTGGCGATTTCGCAGCCTTTGAACCAGTTCTCCGGCTGTCCCACGAAGCCTCTTGGGTAGCTTTGGGGAATCACGGTTTTCGTTGCCCGTGTGAGCAGACTTGAGCTGGGGCTTTCGCGTTACTTTTCGTGCCTCGAGTTCTGATATCTCATTTTCACGATCCATGTAATTTTTAGAACACTCGATGCTGTCGCATGTGAAGATGTTCTGCAGGCCAAATTGTCTTGGAAAGATGTACTTCATGATATGTGCTGATTGTTCTGTCAAATCCAGCGACGCGCAGCGATTGAGGACGTCTAGTAGCAATTAGCCTTGCACCGTTGATTTGGATTGAGAAGAGTTGGTACATACGAGCACTCCCGAGTCCTAGATGAGACTTCCTATTGGACTTGCCGGTAATCCGAGCGTACAGCATGCGGCTTCGGAGGAAGATAATGCTGTTCAAACCACGGGGTTGACGAGCTTCGTGCTTTTGATGTCTCTTTTCTGTGCCGGGGTTCTGCTTGTTGCCACGCACCGGTTCCTTTCCATTAGAGACAGATTCTTCGTGCCGCGAACCGGCCACAGGCTCCAGCTTCGACAACGGCATTCCTGCGAAGTTCATCAATCAGCACGGAACATCGTATAGGACTCAAGGTGCATACCACTGAGCTGGTAGAAGATGCCTTTGCGGTCGTCAACACAGGTGAAAACGCCACAGTCGAACAACAACTCTATCATGATCTTCTCGCCGTTTTCGCCCAGCAGGCCCATGGCATCCGTCCACGGTGCCTGCTTGAGCGTCTGAACATTGTGGTTCGGGAACTGAACCGACAAGCCGGGGATGTCGGTCTGCAGGGCATTTGCGCCAGGGCCCGACCGTTGGAACCCCTGCGCGAGCAGATGTTGTGGCTTCTCGGTCACATTTCGTTGAAAGATTCTCCAGACCACAAAATCGACGACCTCTGATTGGGGACAGGTGGGCCTCGTGTCGGTGCTCACGAGAATGGACCGCGACTGCGACTGGGAAAACGCCAGATAGTCCTTCACCCGAGCCGAGTTGAGAGTGGAAGACGGCTCCTGACGCACTCCGACCAGCGTGGAGTCGAGCAGATGCGCCAGGCCCGCCACATCTTGCGACGCGAGCGACACGATCCGACGACGACGCGACTTGGAGGAGACGGGAAGACGTCGAAGCAGGTACTGGCGCAATGTCACGACCTCCGGGTAGTACAGTGAGATGACGGGATGGCGAGGGTCTTTGACTGGCGATCTGGGTTGGGGGGCGTTGGTTGCGGCGCCGGGCCTCTTGCGTTTTTTGCCCATGGTGGTGGTGGATGAGGATGAGAGCTGTTGCCGATCGGGGAGATCCGACGCGGGAGCATCGTACCGGGAGACCTACAATAATGTCTCCGATTAAACCCTACCACGATCCTCAGAATACATCGTGTATATAACGTGGTATATAGCATGGTATATAACATAGAATAACATAGTATAGATTGACTCTCTGTGCCTTTTGTTCCGTTCGCCGACCCACGGAACGGCCGGGGTCTAGAAAGGCCGTTGGCATTGCGTCTCCACTGCGTCAGGAACCCAGGAACAAAGCAGTCGGACCGTAGTGGGCAAGTAGGGAAGTAGAATCTTCGGATCGGGGTCGGTAGGAGAGAAGATGAGATCACGGATACGACGAGACTATGGTGGCCCTCCACCGCGCCTGCACCCTCGTTCCCTCTCCCCTCCTCCACTGGCCCCCAAGATCCATCCGGCTCTCCTCTTCGACTCTTTCTGCATCTCACCTCTCACCTTCTCTTCCTACTACCTATCCTCGCTGAGCGAACGATCCGGCCCGTCAGCAGGATCCTGGCCCCTCTCTCGATCAGAACTAAATAAACGCCGGCCAAACGTCAGCCGAGACGCTACCCACCCTCATTCGCTCAGGCTGCTCGACTCTCCGTCTCCAATTCACCTCTGTCCGCCGATCCCCCATCCTGCTCAATCTAACGACCCCATCCTTCTTCCACTGCTCGGTCGTGGGGGAAAGCTCCCCCCTCAGCCCTGGTCATCGCTGTCTCGAACATGAGTTTGATTGGGGGCACGCCACCCAGCTCGATTGCTTTGTAGCCTGCGCCGTTTCACCTCCGCCATTTCTCGTTGGGTGGCCAGCTCGGGACAACTCATCGGACCAACCCACCACCCTCACCCGAACGGCCGCCGCCTGAAGCATGCAGGATGTCTGGCACCGACATCGAGCAAGCTTCTGGTGACCGGAACCGTGATCCGCCGTTTGGCCAGTCTCCGGCGCCAAACCATGCCCGCATCCACAATCCCAGCCCGTCCTTTGATGCCTCACCGACTGCCGCCTCCGTCTCCCCCTCCGCTCCTCCTCCGATCTCCACGTATTCTCCGCCACCATCGGGCACCTTCGATTACCAGACTCGTTCCGCGTCAGCGAATCATCCTTCGGTGACCAAGCGCCAGCAGCGGCACTCGCCCGAACCCGATGAATACTATCGCCAACGTGGGTCCTCTGCAGCGGTGCCTGGTGCGGGCGATGCCACAAACGGTGTGAACATGGACCCGACCGCATATCCAAGTGCGGTCGACAAAGTGTCCCCGTCGCCAGCAAGCGTGCTGGGGCCATCGCGCACCAGGCCTTTGGCATATCGTACCGCGTCTGCGTCTGATTCGCCCACGTTGGGAAGCTCGTCCAATCGTGCTCATCCGCACGCCGCCTCGATCGCCAGATCTCGCAAGACCTCATTCAAGGACCTGATCAACAAGTTTAATAACGCCTCGGACGAAGTCCTTCCACTTCCCTCCGCCACTCAGTCGCGCGAGGCATCGCGAGCAGCGAGCCCAACAGCCAGTTTTGACGGCCCAGAACGACCTCGTGCTCTGCCTCGGAGGCAGAACGTGCATGATCCCACACAGTCGATAACGAGCGCTCCTCTTTCGCCTCTGGAACCACGAGGGAACCTGCTCCCAGCACCTCTTCACTCAAGCACCGCCATTCCGCCGCCTCTTTTTAACCGCATCCCAGAGTCGCATCCGCGTCGAGCGCTGTATGGTGAGCTGTTGTCAATAAACACGCAAGTCCAGAACTCGCTGTCCGGAATCCCGTCACATCTCAGACGTCGCGGTTCAGACGGGAGCATCGCCAGCCCGAACCCGGCATTCGTCGACAACCCCGAGTCAGCTATCTCAGGTCGGTCCCCGCTGACCCCGACTGCGTGGTACCTCGGACAGACAACCTCCTTGGAAGCAGTCCAGCCAGGTTTCAAGAGCCATCGACGGGCGAGGAGTGATTTGGCGGTCAACACGGCCATAGCGCCCCTTGCGGACCCTTGGAATCCTCACATGGCGGTTCCAGCATCCTTGCAGCAGGGAAAACCGGGCAATGTCTCCCCGGGGAGTCCAAATTCGAAGTCCCGCATTCCTGTCTCAGCTAACCGTGTCAACTCTGCTTTCGGCCTTGAAAGCCCCTCTCCAACCTCCAATCCGACCTTTAGCAGCCGATCTGCCTCCATTCCTGTGCCGCCAAAAGGGACGAGCCGCCTTCCTAAACCGTCGCCGAAAAATAGTCCACCCCGCATGACGGAAGATGTTCCCACATCTCCCACATCGTTTGCGATAACGTCGCGTGGCAGGCGGGACCTGACTATTGGCCGAAGCCGAACTCAGGTACCCGAACGAAGCCAGCTCCTCCAAGCTTACATTGCTGCGCCGCCGCCCAAAAAGTCTCCCACACTCCGCAGTTCCCGACGACAGTTTGTTTCAAATGGTAGCCCGACGTCGCCACGGTCGAGAGTTGGTGATACGTTATCAACCTTCCAAAGATACAATACTGTCCACGAATCCGGCCCACGCTCACGTCCTCGGCAACGACAAATACCTGAATTGGGCAACGTGGATTTTGAGACGCGCCGGCAGCGCATCCAACAGGCCTTCAATCGAACTGTCCAGGAGAATGAGAGAAAGGAAGAAGCGGCAGCGGAGCTTCGACGTCAGGCGCGGGCAAAATTTCAGAAGCACGAGGCCGCCCAGTCTCCGACGACGGACAATACGGCAACGCCTACTACTACAAAGCAACCCGAACGCCAGCCGCAAGGCGAGATGACCACTACTGTGGAAGAGCCGGCTGGCGCCGTCGGCGAGGGCGAGAAAGAGAATCGCGCCCCTCCCCATGTTAAGTTCGATACGTCTCCTCCAGCGCCAGAAAAGGATGCGCGCCGAACGGCAATGGACTCTCCCACGCTGGGACTGCCGCATGAACGGCCACCTGCGCAACAAGAATCACATCCTGAGGGCACTGCATCCCCCGGCTCAGCTGCGGGGTCGGAAGATACCCACGTTACTACTTTTGACCCCGAGCCGCAATCCGGACTGGCCCAACCTGCCGGAAGTGGATCTCACCGGACTTTGTTTAATCATATCATGCAGATTCGCGAGTCTAGCTCAAGCGATTCGTCCTGTGACGAAGCGGAGTGCAGCCTTTCAGAGGCAGATGACAAGGAGTCGATCCAGGTCATGCTTCAGAAATCGACATACTTCGATTCCTCAAGTAGCACTGATACTCAGGAGCCTCAAGCAGTGCTGATGCAACAAGCTCAGGCTGGTGACACCGTGCCCAACCGATGGAGCATGAGCTCATGGTCTTCGTCGGGACCCAACCACACAGCCTTTGATGAGACATGTGACGAGAGCAGCGATGATCTTCCTTTGCAAAGGCCTTCATCTGGGCATACCAACGAGGCGACCGCTCAGTCGTGTTCAGCCGCGTCGACGCGCCCGCCGTCCGTCGTGGTTGACGAGTCCTCTACTTCTCCAGTCCAGGACCATGGCGTGCTTGGCCCTCAGACTCTCTCGGGGTCGTCAGGTCAGCAATGGACGCCCTTCTTGTCAACTCCTCCGAGCTTGGCCAAAAAGGGAAGATGGGACTCGAAGCGGGTGACTGCGCTCTATCTGAAAGAGTTGACTCGGGGACCAAGCCAAAATATCCCTCTTCCACAATTTCGAGCGCCTCCAGAGCCTCCTCGCTCCGCTGATTCTACTAACCCACGCAACGATGGGCGAAACGACAGTCTTACGGGCGATCCAGTTCTTGTTCCGCGAATTGAGGACATCCCGATCTCGGAACGGCTCACACATAGTGCGAGTCTCGTGGGGCGAGAGGATTGGCTGCACGCCTCGCCTTCTATTATGGATTGGATGCAGGTCGCCGCTGAAGATGAAGCTATCACCCCTTCTAATGACCGGCCTGCATTCATGCCGGATATTGCGACTGTAGCCGATCCAGATGGTTCTCACAACCAGGGAGCAGGCCTCGGATTATCTATCAATGTCCAAGCTCCTACCTCAATGCCTCCTGAGTTCCAACCAGCGCCTGGTGGCATTTCGACCGGAAATGAATCTGCTCCTGATCATGCTGCTATGAAGCATCACAGCACTGGAAGCAGCGAGGACTCTTCTCTTCGACATCTGGAACCTACACCGTCACCACAGGCCGCTGACTCTTCTGTCACCTCCCTTGTACCATCCACCGAACAACCTCCGCGCGCTGAGGCTAGCAAGTCTCCTTCTCCTGAACAGCGGCGGCTTCGAAAACGACGTCATGTTATTAAGGAGCTTGTCGACACCGAGTACACCTTCGGTCGAGACATGAAAGTCGTGGATGACATCTACAAAGGGACCTCGAGTTCTTGTTTGGATCTCTCTGCAGATGATGTGAAGATTCTTTTCGCCAATTCCGAACAGATTGTGCAATTTTCTATCAGCTTCCAGGATGCCCTCAAAACGGCCGCGCGAAGCGTATACGTGATGCCCAAGTCGCAGCGATGGGGCAGCAAACGCAGCGCTTACAACGGCTCCTCGACTGCCGAAGGCCCTGAAGAACCGTCAGCCATACACACCGCCAAATCGGATCTCGAGAAGGACCGCTCAACCTTCATCGGCCAGGCTTTCATAGCCCATCTGAACTCGATGGAGAAAGTCTATTCTGACTATCTCAGGAATCACGATGCTGCCAACAAAAAGCTACAGGCTCTTCAGCGTAACCCGAAGGTGGCCATCTGGTTGAAAGAGTGCCGAGACTGGGCAGCCGATCTCACGACCGCCTGGGACTTGGACTCGCTGCTGGTTAAACCTGTTCAGCGAATCTTGAAGTATCCTCTTCTTCTGAACGAGCTTCTCGAATCAACACCCACCGACCATCCGGACCGGGCTGCTCTTGCCAGTGCTCTGCAGGAAGTCACGAACGTTTCTGTGCGCATCAATGAAATGAAGAAACGAGCAGATCTTGTCGGACAAGTCGTTGGCCGGAAGCGCAAAGAGTCTGACGTGCGTGCAGGCTTGTCCAAGGCCTTTGGTCGTCGTACCGAGAAGTTTAAGCAAAATGTCGGTCTTACGGATCTGTTTGAAGACAAAGAATATGATTCTTTGGCGATGAGGTTCGGTGACGGGTATTTCCAGCTGCAGTTAGTCATGCGCGACGTGGAGGAGTACATCAATGAGATCCAGAATTTCATGGCTCGTTTCAACGAAATTGCTGCCTCAATGGAAGCAGTCGTCGACGCGTCCCCGTCCAATTATGCTGAGCTGGAAGTCAAATGGCGTCGTTTCAAGAAAACGGTGTGGGATATCATCACCACCGCCCTGCCAGAACATGTAAGTGTGCCTCTCCTGTCTGTTGTTTGAAGGTCTAACACTTTCCCAGCTCGACGTTATCCGCAAGAGTGTTATCTCTCCGATGGTCACACTCATCAAGCTGCACGATGGGCCCCAAAAGGTCATGAAGAAACGAAACAAGCGCCTCGTTGACTACGCAAAATTCAAGGCCGTGAAGGACCGCGGCGATAAACCCGACAAGAAAATGACGGAACAAGGGGAGCAGTTTATGGCCCTGAACGACACTCTCAAGGATGAGCTCCCCAAGCTCTACAACCTGACAGCCAAATTGGCAGAAACCTGCTTGAAGAACTTCATCCAGATTCAGACTACGTGGTGGAATTTGGTGCGGAAGCAAATCGAACCTCATGTCGAGACGTTCCCTGATGATCTCCAAAAGATCATTAGTGACTGGTCCAATGACTACTCTTTCGCAGAGGCCCAAGTCCTCTCGCTCGGTATCTGCAACGGTTCCTCGGCAGCCGACACTGTCAATCTGCTCAATTTCAACGCACCCGGGTCAGCACTGAACTCGCCAAGTCGACCTTCCAACAGCTCTGCGCGTCCGGGATCTTTTGTGGACGAGTCCTCCCCCAAGGTTTCGCATGATTACAGTATCCCAAGCACGTTCTTCCAATCTCCTCAAATGGACAGCGGTCAGTCGACCAAGAGCCGTCATCGGACCAATTCTTCCATGTCTGGTCGGGCTGTTCCAAGTAGTCAAGAACTGCACCGGAGTCAAATGCTGCAGCAGGTCACCAATAACCCCTCTGCTACAAGTCCCTCCCAGGGCACCAGAGCGACTGTTGGACAGACAGAATCCTTCCCCAGCCTGCCAATGCTGAGTCTCGACACACCTTTCCTCGCCGATATTCTCAGCGGCACGCCCGATGAAAACAATCCGGCAACCTCTCCAGCCGGTCGCTACTCGGGCTTTTTCTCCTCCGCCATGCCCATGTCGGACGCCACTGACTCTCAGCCTGTCGAGCAAAGCAGCGCTGTCGCACCACCGAAGGTGCTATTCTTGGCGGCTAGCATCTACGAGTTCAATATCGACCGCGCCCGCCGCGAGGCTGGGTATCCCTACCTCACCTACGTCGCCGGAGAGATCTTCGACGTTATCGGCGAAAAAGGAGAGCTTTGGCTCGCTCGCAACCAGGACGATTCCACCGGGCAGGTGGGATGGATCTGGAATAAACATTTCGCCAAGTTGTCGACATAGACAACCGTCGTGTAATGTCATGGCCCTTCTTCCGTCACCCTTCTTCACTAGCTCCGTGCCCGGACTCTTCCATTCCATGTTTTTTTTTTTCCTTTTTTGCCTTGATAATGAGGAGCCTTCTTATCTGCCTCTTGCTAGCGGTCATTTTCTTTCATTTTCGTTACGCGTCTGATGGATTTGCTACCGGAGCATAGGAATGTACGCTTAGATACCCCGTTTTATGGATGGATGTGTGTTCTTTCATTTCTTCCTTCGTAGTCGTAGCCCTAACCGGTATTCCGTGGCTGATCACGTGCCAGCGCCACCTGTGACGCGGCGGCCCAACAGTCCATCGTAGGGCTTCCCTCACTGCTTCCATGACTCGGTCTTCTTTGCAATTTTCCTTTTCTCTTGCATTGCACTGCCTGTTCCCCAGATCCTGATCATTCTTTCCGCATCCCAATCTTGTGGTGGCGACATTGCATCCTTTACCTTGCCCCTCCATTCCACCTCGACTCTCCAGCCTCGGCCGGTCGCATTGACATTCGCGGCGGGTGATCTCCATACCGTCGGTATAGTGTCCCGCTCCCCGTTCTTCTTGCCTGTTGAACCTGCCGGCCCTACCCTCGTGTTCTTCTCTCGACACGAACCCTCGATCTTATCATCGTGAATGTTGGCGGCGTTCCTCGCTCAGGCCGCCACTTTCTGACCCCGACGGCCTCTCCCGGAGTTGTATCCGGGCCGTTCGTTCCGCGGGACGTTTTTGCAACCGAAAGCAGTGGGAGAGTCTCAAACAGTTATTCTCTGCTGCTATATTTCCTCGGCGGATCAGAACTAATTTGACTCGATCGCTCGACTGAGACGGTTATCGCGGCACGATTCCTTGCGTTGGAATCAAGGTACTTACTGTACGAACGACAGCTGGTCGCGCGTGAGAAACACCTCGGCAGTGTCGCTGAAGGTATTCACACACTGGGTTTTTTCGTCGGCTCTTCTCCATATATACGCGTCTCATTGACATACTGTCGACATGTTGGACGGCGGGTTAAACAAGCTGCACAAGCGCATGCGGGGGCGGTTTGGTGATACCGTGAGTTTACTTAGTGTCGATCTTATGCAGAGGAAATACTGACTTTGGGCACAGTTGAATCCGGATGATGCCTTCTTAAGCTGTGAGTCACCCGCACTTGATTATCTGGGCGTCGTTGTCTCAAGTGATATACTGACCAGCCGCCTGTTGACGTTTAGACTACGACGTGCGATGTAGGGCTCAGTGATCTCCCGAGTATCATGCGATTCCACCGCTGACAAGTAATTCAGTGACGCGAGAGGACATGCAAACCCTTAAGAACGATTGGCTCACAGACAACGTGGGTTCCGATTGTGAAAAACAATTCTTCTGGATAAGGCACCTGGGCTAATCTGTTACTAGATCATCTCGTTTTGGGAGGAGTAAGTCCAGTCCCCTCGATATCGACGACACGCCACAACAAGCCATGACACTGACACTGACGCCCGTCTGCCTCAGATATCTCGAACACGAGTTCCTCACCAAATTCAAGTCTTCGAACATCGTTCTCCTCCGGCCCAGCATGTCCTTCATGATCCTCCAAACCCCGGATCCTCGCACTCTCCGCGAAGCGCTCCCCGATTTCAGCCGAGCCACCCATGTCTTCCTCCCCATCAATGACTGCCGCAACGTCACTCAAGCCGAAGGCGGCACGCATTGGTCATTACTTTTGATTTCCATTGTAGACAGAATCGCGTTCCACTACGACTCGCTGTACCAAGGAAACGTCTGGGAAGCTGACACAGTCACCCGCAAGTTTGGGGTCATGCTGAACCAGCCGATCCGATTTATGCATCTGAATGATTCCCCCCAGCAAGATGGAGGCAGTGACTGCGGCGTCTTCGTGTGCTTGAACATGCGCCATCTGCTCATGAGGCGGTTGCTCATGGCCAGCGCACACGAGAAGGTTAGCATGAGCCTTGGAGGGCGGAAGGTCGACGCCCGCGCTGGCCGTAAAGAGATGGCCAAGATTATTGAGGGCTTCCGGAAAGAAGGCGAGCGACGACGATCGTAAGTGCCTCGTCATGCTTCTTTTTGTTCTATGCAAGATTCAGAGGCAAGCAAACTAACGTCCATCCATCCACAGCTCAAGCCTCAGCCCCATGGGGAAGAAGTCCCGCAGTCCGCCGCGGGTGGATTGATTTTATGATTGACTACTGACATGACTTTTCTATGGCATTCTGATTTCTTCCTTTGGTTCTTTTCTGTTCTGGAGTCTGAGTTGGACTCGATGGCTTGTTACTGATACTGACGGACGATGACTTCACGGCCTCGCTTATCCATTTTGTTCTCGTGCATACATGGTATTTATATTCATTAAGAAACAAATCTGCTCCGTTTGGGTGTATTGCCGGAGAGTCCTGTGTTGCGGGATGCTAATCTTGTAATTCATCGTGGTGGAAGTGGATGGGTGGCATACATACCAATGAACAATTTGCCTTTTTTAAGGATATGGTTAACGAGTGTTTATCGTTGCGACGGGATCAACGTAGGCAGTTATGGATCTGAGATATGGGAATTATAAATTGCAACCTACGAAGTATACTTTCAAAGTGGTTGGTGGCATGTGGTGGTCCAATATAAGGCCCTGTGCAGCTAGCCCTGACTCGGTCCACCCAGCCGGATCTAATATAATCGGATATTGATATCGATATTGCATACTCCGGGTCAAGTATCCAGTCTATATAAAATACACCACACATCATGCCTGACTGGTCATGTCTGTATGGGCTCGTCCAATGGATATTCATACTGACTAGGCATTGTGGTCTGGTTCTGGCGCTCCTTCCTCACTCGAGCTTGTTGCTTGCCAGCCAGCCGCTCCTTCCCTCCAAACGCTGCTGTCCGCTCCTGTTTCCATGGAAGCTCGCTGGCGCTCGTGGCGTGTTGTGTATCTTCCTCTACTTCCTTCTTCCCTTCTTCCCCTCCCTCTCCCACACCGTGTATGATCTTGACATGAGTCTCTAGCTTTTCTTGCTTCTGGCGTTTTCTCATCATCATCATGGGGTCTACTGCTTCTTCAATCTTCTGCCCCTGCTGCCTCTTCTTCTCTCCGCTCCCTCTCGCCGTTACAGAGGCTCCTCTTTCTTTCTCTGGTCCCCTCCCCGACCACTCGCCCGCATGTCCGGCTACGCCATACGAGGAGGTGGGGCCTCCCGTCCGGCCCCGGCTGCGTCACGCTCGGTCGCCTCGCACTACTCGCTATGTTCGAGTTCGTGCGCGTTGCGCGGATGCTTGGAAAGGATTCAGCCTTCCAATCCGCGAGGTGAGCCCTCTGCCCTCTCCCGTTTCCTCCCCCGAGCCTTCTGTCTCTTGCTCCTTCCCTGGGTCTCCTCCCTCACCCAGCAATTGTTTCTTCCCTATTGTTTCGCCCTCCCCTGCGCCTACTCCTTCACTTTTCCCCATCCCGGCGCTTCTCTTTGCTTTACCTCCGTTGCCTCTGCCTGTCTCTCGCTCTGTCTCGCGTTCTGTTGCCCCTTCCTTCGCCACGGTCGATGAGCGCATTGCTGCAATTGCTCGAGGCGAGAAGACTGCGGCCCGCTGGGCAAATATAGGACCGCTTAAGATCGGTCCTCCTCTCCGTCCACGAAAGCGTGTTACCTTTGGTGACGTTACTGTCGCCGTGGTTTCGCGCTGGATCATACGTGAGGAGCACGTCCACTCGTTTCCTCGTTGGTCTACCCCCGACCCAATTCCTGTCGCTCCTTCCCTTGTCCCCCATCACGAGACCGGTGGTCCCTCTCCCGCGAAGCATGATGATGTCGGTACGGTGCGTGTGCGCCGTCTCCAGAATCATCCTTCGTGGTGCATGAAACACGCGATCGTATGGGGTTTTCTTGTCATTCTTTTGGTCCTTCCGCCCGTTTTGGATGTGTTTTGGCCATCCGTGAACTACCGACCTTACCGGGGAGGGTGAGGTCGATGTTCATCCACCCGTTTCTTTTCGTCTTTTTAATTCCTTTTCTTTTTTGTCGAGCATCGGTCCTGAGAGGCCGGTGCTCTGTCTCTGCTGATTCGGTCACAGATCTTTTCTTGACGAATCCGATCAGTGAAGAGGAACGTCCTGTGTCTCGAGGGAACCGGAATCTCGCTAGGACGTATGGTGGCGTGGCACATTCGACCACCCTGTAAGTGCAATCCATCTCAAGTCCGATCGTGCTGAACGTGTTGTTGAACAGTTCTGAGTAACGACAACGTCCTGGTCTCATGGTCAGCAAAGACGAACCAGGATGGTGGTGGCGCGGTCCATGAGACCACCATGTAAGTTCATTCCGCCCTGCATATTTGGCTTGGCGCAAGCTGATCCTCTTCCTTCACAGTTGTTGGTGGTAGAAGGGGACTGCGAGGGGTATGGAGAAGTGACCGGGGTGGCAATGTATTCCAGACATCTATTGTATCTTCATCTCTCTTTTCTCTGTAATGTAATGGAAATAAGTATGTGTACAAGAACATGCATGCATGGACGAGGAAGTCCTCGGACGCCGAAGCAGGATCAAATAAAGTGTGGTCTGTGCGAGAGTGGAGACCGTCACGGGAGTGGGCGTACAGAAGTAGTTAAATAAAACGACGTGTGAATAGTCTCATCTCCGAAATCAGCACGCCATCATCCAGAATTTGACCTGCAGCGACGAAAAAAGCCATAGAGCCATGAGAATGGGAGCGAGTTCGGACTCAAAGCAGCTCGTCGTTTGATGGAATTAATCCCACGTCATGAACGGTTTAAGTGTCTTCCTGGAGGAACTGTATTACCAGAGATTTAAATGCCTCCTTTTTTATATAATAGAGTCCTTTCCTACCGATCGTGGGCACGGAGATGGCACATGACCCCTGTCCATCATCCCCAGTCACTCCCTCAGGAGAGCGAGAAGCTTCGTCATGAACTGCTCCTATTGCAAGACCTTGAATTTGGGTCTGTACATAGGATTTAAGATTTAAGTTTTTGAATCTATATTTGAGGCGGTAGTATGAAGAAAGGAGAACATTAATTGAATATAAAATAGGGTATAGTATCCAATCGAAGTGTCGAAGAACGAAAAGCCATAAAAGCGCCTGACCTGACTCTAATTTAAAATGAAAGTCGGAACCAAAGACGCTAAAAGACATGAAAAGTAGGCACCTCGTCTCAATAAATATACAGCCCGGTCAAGGGCTCTTAATGCCAGTCATGATATCATTCCAGATACGCGCAGCCTCCTCGCCTTGATAACCCTGCGAGGCACTTTGGGCCTCGTAGCACAGATCAATAGTCGATTGGGGAGCATTACATGGACTGCGCAGACGATTGCAGATCAGGCTCGTGGGCGACTGGATGGACGGGTCGCTGCCGAAGGGGAAGTCCGCTTGGTTGTTCGTCGTGTATGAGTACTCGGTGCGTCCATTCAACCCATACTCCCACCGGATGGTCGGATCGGAGCAGGTGCCGTAGTCAATGGTGCTGCTTGTGCAGGCTGGGTCCGTGGCTGTCGTTGTGGTGGTTTCGATCAGTGTCTTCGTCTTGGTGCTCGTGACGGTGTCCGTGATCGTTTGATAATCGACCCAAGTAGAAGTGTCGGTCACCGTATAGGTGACGGTGTCAGTTACAAAGAGCCCAGGCTCGGTTACGGTCTCGCCTCCAGTCGTCGTGGTCACAGTGGAGGTTACTGTCAGTCCTGGCTCGGTGATGGTATATGTCGATGGGTCGGCTGTGATCGTGCTCAGGTCCGTGGTTGTGTATATGCAGTCGGTAATCGTGGAGATGAGAGTATCCGTGTCCGTGACCGTTTGTGTCCTAATTGCATTACCAGTTTCGGTCGTCACGGTGGAGGTAATGGTCTCCGTGATGGTGGCCACGCCACCGTTGTGATCAGTAGTAATGGTAATCGTTGTGGTGGGCCGCAGAGGGCTAAATGATTTTGGTCAGTTTATCTGATAAACTCCATAAAGATATAGTAGACTCACCAGTCAGAAGTCACGGTCACTGTTGTGGGAGGACCACCACCGTTCCACTGGCCACCACCACCATTCCACTGACCATCACCACCATGGCCATCACCACCATGGCCATCACCACCATGGCCATCACCACCATGGCCCTTGCCACCGCCATTGGTGCCTTGGCTGATAGCTCCTTCACCGCTGCCGGGCCAGTTGCTCGGCCAGGTGAAGGTGCTGGGAGGAGCGCCAGGGGCGGGATGAGCCACGGCAAGGGGTAGCACCTGTATCAGCAGGGCCGAGAGAGTAATCAAATCCAAACCGGCGGGCATGTTGATTGAGTTTGGAGCCTGGTCCTGAAAGTAAACAATTAAGTACGGCTAAGGCGTTTCTAGGAATGACCATCCTCCTTTGTGGCTTGCTGGAAACTCAGTTTAAATATGTCGTCTGTGGTCAATGCCTCGACTGCAGTCTATTACTACTTGCCATATTAGGATATTCCAAAATAGAAGCTTCTTCAAGAATGCATGAATCGCAGTCCATAAATTCACAGTAATGACGATCAATAGTGTGAGAAACACCAAGTCTGGACTACATGTTTCCGGCCAACACCCAGTTGATCATCATCTACCATAAGATTGATTGGATGTTGCTCGTAATGTTTGGAGAATTTATCCGCACACCGAGCTGCCAGCATTCCGGATGACCGAGGTTCACTCGACATTGGTTATTGGTATGTATGTACTAAGGCAGATCTTCTCTCCTTGCTACCCTTGCTACATGATTAGCTTTTCCTAATCTACCCAACGGGGCAGGCAATGCATTCTTCTGATCCTTGGCTTATTCGTTAATACAACGTTGAATCATGATATATAGCCCTTCCAAGGCGCTACTCTCCCTTTAGACTAGCCATGAGCTCATTCTTGTTATTTGGACAATTGAACAATATGGTTCTCACCAAGACTGATGCACTAACAAGTATAGGATCCTCTTAATTTTAAGAAAAGATTTCGAATTGCATGTAGTCTGATGGATTGCATAATGCAAGCAAAAATAAACAAATATACAAAAGAGCTTTGAGGAATGCAGTGACGATCTCGATCCAGCGAGGGAGGAACATGCACATGGCTTATAGTGACCATCTCCGGTCTCCTGGGAGAACTTCAAGATCGATGTGTGTTAACCTTTATGCCGGCAAGCACATGTTACTTGGGTAATTCAATCGCGTCATTGTTTATTACTCCTTTGGTCAATCTTGCTCGTTCTTGGGGAAAGGAATAGAGATAGCGATCGCATTGGGAGGTCTCCTCTGTTAGCAGAATCCCATCAGTTCTTGAGACAGACAATTTAAGGCCTTCTCCAGGTATTAGTGATGATAGCCCTGCTGCCTCGGATAGCGATTGAAATTGAGATCACGGGGTCAGCCGCTCACTAAGTAACCTAAGCAAGGCTCTGAGAGATATGTATGGTAGCCCCGATGTCAGTGTTGATCCACTGGAAATATATATCTCGACAGGACCGACTGTAAATATGGATTATTACCACATTAAAGCATGTAACGTCTCATATTTCTAATTCTTATTCTGATTCTTACCAAGTCTAAATTCAAAAATTTACGGGGCCAATATTCCGTGATCAGTCGATGCTCAAGGAAGGCGTGTTTATCGTGGTTGTCTGCTTGTCCTCTGGACAACAGCAAGGCCACACCACGCTAAGCTAAATTCTCTAACAGAGCACACAGTATAAGTATGCAGAATGCGGGAAAGGCCAACTAAAAAGGTCGGGATAGCCATAAATAATGAATGTTTGTCATGAGAGCTAGCGCGCCGCCACGGAACGCCAGACCTTGCCTGTCCATGTAAGAACCTCCTCGGACAGCAACTAATAAACACGACAATTCTTGATGTATAAAGGTGCAACCCAGGGTGAATAGCATGAAAAACAATTCGGCACGGGTTCGAGTGGCAACCGAAAAGAAAGAAAACTAAAGTCTATACAAGGTCATGAACGTGAAAATGCGCGAATCGGCACGGGTTTCCAAACAGACAGAAACAGTTGAAGTGCAGCTGCAGAGAGGGTATGTTGACGCCGACAACAGATAGAGACAGACAAAAAGACAGACAGAAAACAACAAACCAAACCAGAAAGGATACACAGCAGAGAGGAGGGGCGCTCATGATCACATCGCATCGAAACAACAAGAGACTATGCGCGAATGAATCACCAAAACTAGAGAATTCCGCATGACTGCACAGAATGCCAAGAGGGATGGGGAGCTAGGGCGGAGTGGGAGTCTGGCCGACACCCGGACGGCTGCGTGGTGGCTTGTCGGAGGATCGCATGTACATTGCATCTGAGGAATCGGTCGTCGTTGTCGTCGAGGCCGTCGAGGAGTCCATGGGTCGTTGTTGTTGCTGTTGTTGTGTAACAACCTCACGTGCGTAAAACTCCACAAGCATCGTGCCGTAAGCTTCAAGCTCCTCGACGGGGATCGCGAGGCGGAAGTCGTTCAGCAGGAGGAACTGGAGTTCGAGATGATTGAGCTCCACCAGCGGAAGGCCGCCGACCTGTCCAGAAGTCAGTTTTGGGATCCGTAAACCGGGTCTGAAAAACACGAACCTTTGCATATCGGGAATTGGTATAAAACACATCGGAGAAAAATTTACTGGCACAGGTCACGCCCGCGATGACCAGTCGGTGAATATTAAAACTATCGACCACAAAGAAATGGGAAAGGTTCTCGTCCTCCCCTTGGGGATAGAGGGCAGGCGATATGGACGGACTGTTGGGGTCTGAGGCCGCCATACCCGTCGACGAGGGTGGTGTCACCATCGCAGATGGCTGTGTCTGGCGAGCAGCCGCACTCTCCAACGCCTGGACGGTATCGGAGGGAGAATCAGCGTGGGTAGTAGGTTCCCAATCACGTTGGATCAATTTGAGCTTTCCGCGATTGACAAGCTCGGTCATGCGGTCAAAGTAGACCAGCAAGCTCAGGAATACTTCGTATGTGGTTGGGCAATATTTGTGGATGCGGGTAAGGTAACTGAGGATGGTGATGCTGGGGACATTCTTGCCATGGAACGCGAGCACGCTCGTGGCCTGGGGACTGAGGCTGCTGGTCCCATCTGGTGGAGGAATATGGCGATGGACACGTTCATGGTGCACATCGTTGGCCGTGGTGATCTTGGTGAGAAGGCCTGCGACCATTTCGATGATGTCCGTAACCGGCATGGAGCTGATCTCAAACTGCCGGTCCTGCGATGTTTCTCCCGAGACCTGAGATCGAGGAGCTTGCGCCAGGAACTCATCGCTAGCAAGGCTTTGGATATGTGAAAGACTGCGCACTCTGATGCGACTCGACGGAGAATTGGCCGCGGAGCCCGCGAGTGACCGCATCGGCCGTAAACGCGGTGACACAGGTGACGGTTGCACCTCGCCATCAGGTTCGGTATTCATAGGATCTGCCATGCTGGTCGCGTGGCTGCCGCTCTGAGGCTGTGCGGCGTACGTTGAAGAGGAGGTATGTGAAGGGTAAGCATGGCCGGACTGAGTCGAGGTCATGGATGAGATGGGTGGATGGGACGAGGTCGGGGTGTTTGATGTAGGTCGCGCGAGAGCGTCGGGAGGGGTCTGTTGACTAATGTAGGCCGGCAAATCATTCTGCGACTGCGCAGGCAGTCGACCAGAACCCACAGTGGACGTTGACGGCGGGGCGGTGATCGAGGTGGGGGTGGTGTTAGACGAGGCGGAACTGGAGCGGGCAGTCTGCAGCGGCGTCTGCGATGAGTGCGGCGAATGGCGATAGATGGAATCCGAGGGGTTGGCCGTGCCTCCCACCATCTTGTAATGGCTGTCGATATACTCCGACGGCACGTGGTTGACGATAACGGAGCCCATGTCAAGCCGATCGAGCGCTAGTTAGCTGTTCTAGGTTCGGCGCAGCCAGGGCTGGAGTGGGTCAGTCGGGCGCAACACGGCATTGGAAGATGAAGAGCGCAGAGACAGAGCAGAGAATTAGGGACAGGAGAGAAGAAAGAGAGAGAGAATGCGACGATGAAGGGAGGTTGGAAGAGGGGAGGGAAAGGAGGGGAGGGGAACGATACACTCGATGACGAAGAGCCAGCGATCCGGTGGCTAGACCAGAACCAGGGAGAGGCGATTAGCAAGCGCCGATCGGGTCCATTGCAGGAAGGAGGGCAGGGAAGAGAGACAGAAAACAAGAAAGAAATGGAATGGGAGAAAGAGGGAAGAGGTGAGAGATGAAGAGAGAAGAGAGAGGGAGAGAGAGTGGGAGAAGGAGAGAAGGAACAGGAATCGGTGCCACAGTAGTGAGGTCAGGCAGTGGAGCGGGAGCGTTCGGGGCATTCGGGCTTCAACTGCGAAGAGAGGAGTATGTAGGCGGACTGGTTCCCCTATGATATTCTTGAAACTCTTTCTATGATATTTATACGAGTCCAATCCCAACGAGTAAAAGACGGTGTATACAAAGGTTCGACGAATGACAGCGCAATATGAGCGCACAACCCCGATGATTCCAGCCCGCATTACTGGGCCGTATAGATCGGGCGTCTTTTCGCCGACTATCCCGGTTGGTAAATACCGAAGCACATCACTTAGATTTTCCCCAGTATCCTCACGGCAGACAGGACTTGGGTACATACATATCATCTCACCCTGGACCGCCATGATGTAATCGACGTGGGTCGTGGATGAATGATCCCTGTTTTCCCTACAGAGAATCTACACTGGTTCGAAAAAAGCTCGCTCGATCATGAAACCTGTTCATTCCTAATCGACCTCTGGATATTCGTACACAGATTAATTCGTCGCCCCGGGCCCCGTGTAGCCGTTATCCGGCAGGTACAGATGCCGGACGGCGCCGCGTTTGGTGAGCACCACCAGCCGAATAACACCGCCAGAGCTGCCATCCCACTTGATCGCCTCCTGCAGCGCGCTGCGCACAAAGTCAATGCCCTCTTGCTCCGTCATATTCTCTCGCCAGTGCGCGTCCGTATAGCCGTAGATGTAGGTGGATCCAGAGCCGCCAATGGCAAACGACTGCTTGTGAAGGGAGCCGCCTAGCGGGATCGAGTACACCTGGCCTCCGTGCCGCGGGTCATATCCAGCAATGATGATGCCCGCACTATGTGTCCGTCAGCATTCAGCGCCAGCAGGGATCTGTCGGGTTTGAGTGGGGAGAAAGCCGACCTCAGCATGTTCTTGTTCTCATAGCACAGTTCCTGGAACAGCGACGCCGCCACCTGTGTGGTCGGGGCTTCGTTGTTGGTGACGCCATACATGTTCAGATGGTAGGAGACAATGTCTGCCACGGCTTGAGTGTCGGCTGCCGAGCCCGACCGGCAGCACCAGATGGTGTCGTGCACCTGTGTCAGCTTGTCGGTGACTCGATTGGCAATGTAAGCACCAGTGGTTGTTCGGCTATCTGCGCCCAAGATCACGCCGTCTTTGAAGTTGATTGCCATGCTGGTGAAGATTAGTGTTGAGATAGCAGACCGAAGAGCTTCAGGTCACTCACATCGAGGTTCCTAGGCTGTCGGAGAAGGCGCAAGTTAGCAATTACCAGAGCGAAGACAGCTTCGGGGCCAGCTTACTTGACCTCCCCGGTCTTGAGGTGGTTCATGTCGACGTGGATGCCATCTAGGATGATGCATTAGCTCCTGCTCAGACGATGACGATAGCTTGACTCGCCTTCACCGAGCATCCCTGTGGTGCCGTGGCCGACCATTTTGAGAAACAAGCAGAAAACACGAAGAGAACCAGCTGATGGAGGTTATAGGGAAATGGCGGGAAGGAAGAAGAGATCGAGGGGGAGAGGTGTGATGCTATCGGGAGCTGTGTTGAAGGCAGAAGCTCACTAACGCGTCCCCGGAGAGGCGGTGAGCATGGCTGGGAGTTGTGATTGGCGAATGAGCCCCTTCTCCTGAACCACTTGGTCGGTCTGCTCGTTCTCTTTCTTGACACTGTTTGTTGCTGCCTTTCATTCCCATCTCCCCTCCCGCGTGGCTTTGGCCGCGAGCCACTAGTCATCCACATCCATCGCAGGTTTTCACCACCTCCCAGCCATCATGTCCGATTCCCCGCCACCTCCTCCGTCTTGGAGTATCAGCAACATGGCCAACGGCGCAGTGCAGTTTCTCCGCCTGCCTGTCCTCGCATCATCGGGTCTGGCCGTGGTCGCCAGTGGCCTGCTCTATTTCAAACAGAAGTACGTTTTTTACCTTCCAGATACCTCCCCCCAAATAGGTCGATTGACCGAGTATCCAGCGAACTGATCTACCCCCGAAACGTCCCCGCCGATGCGCGCACGAATGTCCCAAGCCCTCGCATGTTCGGCATCACCGACTTTGAAGACCTGCAGATCCCTACGCCGGACGGGGAGTCGCTCAATGCTATATTCCTGCGGCAGCCGAAGACGCGCCAGAGCCGCAATCTCACCGTGTTGATGTTCCACGGAAATGCGGGTAATATCGGCCATCGCGTGCCGATTGGCAAGGCTCTCCAGGAGACCCTCCGTTGCAATGTGATCTTGCTCGAGTACCGCGGCTATGGGATGTCCACGGGCACCCCTGACGAGGTGGGCTTGAAGATCGATGCGCAGACAGCTCTTGACTATATTCGGCAACGCCCCGAGTTGAAGGACACTACGATTATTGTGCATGGACAGAGCTTGGGTGGTGCGGTGGCTATTAATTTAGTTGCTACGAATCAGGACGCGGGAGATATTGGGGGGCTGATTCTGGAGAACACGTTCATGTGTATTCGGAAATTGATCGCGACGTGAGTTTTTCCCTTCTGTCGTTTCTTCTTTCTGTGTGCTGATTCAAAGCAGGGTGTTGCCTCCGGCACGTTATGTTGCGCGCTTATGCCATCAAACTTGGGCAAGTGAAGACGTACTGCCGAAGATCACCAAGGTGCCGATTCTGTTTCTAAGTGGACTGAAAGACGAGATTGTCCCGTAAGTGCAAATTACCTTCGGCTTCGGATAAATGCCTATTCTAACGCAAATTTCAGACCACCACACATGACCGGGCTCTTTGCCCTTTGCAAATCCCCGAGCAAGGTCTTCCGCACTCTACCTAACGGCAGTCACAACGACACTGTTGCCGAGCCGGGCTATTTCGATCACATCCATTCCTTCGTCACGGAAGAGGTTCTGGCTGATTACGACTGAACTGGAACATGTTCTATTGATTTGACAGTTGGTTCGGTCACCCTCTGGCTGAATTCGACTATGATACCCCATCTGACTTAACGCTTGAGGAGGAGAGCTGAGTTGTGCTATTTCTGAGATTTGTTTTTATGAAAGGAGTCCGGTGCCATTCGATTCTTGGGTACTGGTGTTCGTTTGCATGTATTTTTCTTTTCATTTCTTGTCTTGTACCATTTTTGACAATCAACGGCCCGTGCCTGACTCGCTTGGCCCTCATTATGCTGGACGTCTTGCTCCTAGAAGAGTTTATGGCCGCGTTTGGATTCCACGTTGTTGTAAAGGGTTGATACCAGCATCATTGTTGCCCATCTACATCAAAGACAGAACGTGGGAAAATGAACTTTTCAAGATCACCTTTATTCAGTAGAGCCAGTCTTCTAACGTCCATTTATATATATTGTACAGGTCATGATATGGTTTAGTTGACTCTCTCCGTCTCCTCCATCAACTCCTCAACCTTGAAGTTCTCGACATCGCCGCGCGTGAACATGCGCACCAGCTCGCCCTTCCGGCCGCTGGCCTGGCCGTCAAAGTCATAGAATCGCTGCACGCAGCTAACCAGCCAGGTTGCCTCCGTCGTGGAGACGCCGGAGTCCGGCATGACCTGGCCGTGCATGAGGACAAGACCCTTGTCATCGGCGAGATCCAAGTGGTGCGTGATCGTCGTGTGCGGCTGCGCGAAGGAGCCGTGCATCTTGTATGCGCCGAGGCCGGTGAAGATCACGGTTGAGGTGTGGGTGTTGGCCGTGCCGGATCCTCCCTGGCCCGCGGAGGAGGAGTCCTCCGCTGGCGGGTGGAATGCCCACTGCAGAAAGTGGATGTCGGCGTTGGTGGTGGCAGTTGCGCCGTCCGGGGTTTGCTGCGGCTGGTCTGGAGATTCGGGGTCTGTTTGCTGGCGCGGCAGCGGGAGGATGAATTGCGGATTATGGCGCGCTGCCTCGGCGATGCGCTGGTACGTTTCTAGTGGAATCACGGCGCAGATGGAAGTCGGGTTGTTCGCGTGCCGCAGACGCCACAGCGCCTCGATCTCCTTTGGCGGCAATTCGCGGATCTTCTCCACGTTCACGAATGAGTTGAGCGGCTTGACTCCGCTAGAGCTATTGGAGGTTGCTGCGCGGGCGGCTTGCGCGGTGGGGGATTGGTTGGGTCGGGGAGGAGGACTTTCGGGAATGGCATTGTTCGGTGACGGAGCGCCAGTCTCTGGGGTCACAGCGGTTGAGGCCTTGTAGCGGAGGTCTTGGATCTTCTCGTTGTAGGCTTCTTTCAGGGACTCGATCGATTGGTGACCCTCTCTGCAAGGAAGAGGATTATTGTAAGCAGCATACTCATGGGACGGGTGATGCGACGCTCGAGGCACTTACTGCTTTGCTTTCTGCTCCAGCTTGGATCGATACTTATCAAGCACATAATTGGGGTCGTGGTGTGAGGCGAGGAAGCGCACATCGTGAACTTGCGCCCATCGACGTTGCGGGTTGCGCAGGAGGCGCGATTGGCCCCGGAGGAGTGATTGGAGTCCTTGGAGCCGGAGGGAGGCCATGCTCAGAAGTTGAATGAACTGTGCAGAGAACGGAGGAGTTTGGAGACGAAGATAAAAGACATTAAGTAAGTGGATACCTCAGGCACCAATGATTGTTGCCTGAGGTACACATCGTCTGTATGGGCTTAGGGTTAGCAAGGCTCTTCTACGCACCGATAGCGAGTACGGCCATGCCAAGCACAGTCGTGACAAGGTTGGACGCACAGCCACGATGCACAACGCTACCCATCAATCTTGCTGTAACCCGCAGGGCCTCGGAGAAATACGGGGAGCGTCAAGCCATTAGTCTGGGGCCCCGGCCTCTAGGATTGAGAGCTACAACGCCATGACGAAATGCCACCAACACTGAAGATGGAACTGCCTGGGAACAGGACCGAAAAACGATGCAGTCAAACAGCTGGAGAAGGGCAGGTTCAAAACCCAGGTCATTCTAGACCTTCGAGTCTCGCTTTGAGCGCCGTTCCCCTCGAGGTTGTGATTGGGCACGTTCGAATGAGGCTTGTGTTGAGAGGGGTGACAGTGGTTATGACAGAGAGGCAGTGTGGCTTTGCTTGGGCATAAACACCCACTTGTCCGTGCTCGCGTCTCTGACCTCGCTATTTCCTCCAAGTGCATCTCACATCGTCTCCCTTATGGGCTATCCTCACAGCTCCAGCCATGGGCAAGCTCTCCAGAAGTGGCTACATGGAACACGAAACCATCTACCTTCCAGCCGCCCTCGTGCCTACCGCCGAACGGCCTCGTATCCCGCGAAATATCCTGGACAGTCTGATTAAATCTCGTCGACAAATGAAGGTTTTTTGGGAAACTATCCATAGAGATCTCAGTGATGGTATCTGCAATAGGGGTGCTTCGAACGCTTTCATTCCCTACCTGCGCCTCCAGAAAGTGTGGACTGGGAGGCGCCTGAACGATTTTGTGGACGCCTTGCGCCTCGGATTGGACGATGGTCAAATCGAAACCGTCAGAGAGACCCTATTGCGGATAATATCCATTCTTATTTATATCCACTGGGACAAATGGCGGAAGTTTCGGGAGATCTTTTTCGACAACCCCCGCGCTCTCTACCGTCGAGACGAAAATATTGCTAAGTTTACCTTGGATGAGCTCGAGCATGAGTCATTCCTTGGTCCCTACTGGGCGGAGACCTTCTTGATTTACCGATGGATCTTCTATCCAGTGGAATTGACGGAAGGTCAGGTGCAGTCATGTACCAAGGAGAAGAGGCTGATATGGTGTGGTAACGAGGGAGGTGATTGCAGCTGGGCAGTTTTTCATTTCCCGGCCCAATTTTTCCTCCAACGCGCACTCAGGTGAGACTGTGCCCTTTGTTATGTTTTAATAGACTGCTAATACAATACCCAGCATGATGTTGCTGTCGCACGGAAACGGTTCGTCCGTGGAGGCTACCAACGTGAGATCAACAAACTCGCCCTCATTCGCGAAAGCCGGTCTACCCACGAGCGAATTGTTCAAGAGCTTGCGACAGTCGTTGTTGGACATGAGGTCAATATTCTCCTACCCTTGGCTCAAATGGATCTGGAAGTCTTCCTCGCGGGAGGTTATAAAGATATGGACGCAAGGTGCGGCTTGGACGACCTGATTTGCGAAGCCAAGGAATTGGCTGGCGCTCTTGTCTTCCTTCACAATGGTCTTCAGACCAACAGACCTCGGCAACAAGCTGTCTGCCACTTGGATTTGAAACCCAAAAATATTCTGGTCTTCAAAGACCCCCACTCGCCTGGAACTGGAGTTTGGAAAATCTCTGATTTCGGCATTGCGCGAAGTGCACAGCCCGTATCAGGCGCCATGACAGGCATCGAAGGTGTGACTGGTCTTCGGTTCATGGTGTCTCCACCAAATGAAGTCCATAGAGGGCCATACCAAGGCCCCGAGTCCACCAGTACCATCGGTTTAAAAAGCGATATTTGGTCCCTCGGATGCATCCTCTGTCGTGTTTTTGCTTTCGGATTTGGCCCCGACGTTCTTCAAACCCTGGATGATTTAAGAGGCAGATCGAAAGATGGTGGTTGCTTCAATGACGACTGGTTCTACCGAGGGGATCCCCCAATTCTGAACCCACACGTGGAAGAGTGGATCGGATCTCTGCCCGATAAATACTCGAATTGCTACCGCCGAGATTTCCTCGTGGCAATCGGAGATTTGCTGTTTTCAATGCTCGAGATTGATATTAACAAACGCCCTTCAGCGACTCGAGTGCAAGACAAGCTCAGCAAACTTCAAGACCTGGCATCCAGTCTAGGCTCTCACTATGCAGTTCCGCACCCACCACTAACACCACCAAGCAGTGAAAGCGTGTCTGAACTGACTACCAGGTCTTCGTCTTCGCCTCCCATAGTTCTTGACATAGGCTTTCTTGTCACTTTCATCGAATCCGGTGATATTAAACGAGTTGAGACCTGTCTTCAAGGCGATGTCGATGTGGAAGCAACTCATAACGGCGAACGGCCTTTGATCCATGCTATTAACCAGCAAAATCCTTCGATCATACAGCTTCTTCGGAATTACAGACGTAATCTCGATGTGGAATCGCCGAGCTCGAATCAGCAGACCCCACTGATGCTAGCCATCCACCAAGGTAATGCAGACGTGGTCAGTGCCTTACTCGAGGCTAAGCCGTCCCTCGACAAGCTTTCAGCGGAAGGTCTAACTCCATTGATGGAGGCTGCATTGCTCGGATACCCCGACATCGTCACCGCTTTACTGAAAGCCAAAGCACCCTATAACAAACTATCGAAGAGGGACGGCTTCAACTGCCTACATTACGCCGTCCACAATGACACGTGTGGAGGTGAATTAATTCTAGCTTTTAAAGGCTATGCCGACTTCAATGTTCAGTCACCAAGCAATGAAACCCCGCTCATGATGCATGCGAGGTACTTTGGCCGATTCTTCCGGAATGAAGGCCGTTGGCGGAGCAAGCTCGCTGCTTTAGTCGATTGCGGAGCAGAAATAAATCAAGAGATCTGTTGCGGAATATCACGAACAGTCTTGGAGCAGGCAGTGCGTGGAGAGAATGTCCTGCTGGCACAGGAGCTTGTCGACCAAGGCGCGATTTTGCCCACAGCCTTCTCAACCAAGGGCCTTAGCCGGCAGATGAAAAGTGTTGTCAGAGAGGCGCAGACACAGGGTTTTCGGGCGAGGTAATGAATGCATGTATATCGAAGGATTCATTTATTGGCAATGGTTACTTGTTCGAATACGGTCGCTGCTGCTTCGCTGGAATCATGTTCCCCATACTGCTTCAATTCCGGCTGCATTTCACGCTCCTTGATACATGTACAGATTGTGCTTCATGTAAACAGAAGAGAAAAAGTTGACATTGAGAATTTTCATCCACGTACTCTAATCCGTAACACCATATCTTGCCCTTGGACTTCCAATGCCAGGGCCGCCTGACGGGGCGCAAGAAGAAGCAATTTCCCGCCATGTGTTGGCTGAAGCTGTAGTAAGTGCAGTGGTCAAAAGGCTCCACTGATCGGTGCTTTCTTTCCAGCTCTTGGCATGCTCATCGGGCGTAATGTCTCTGAAGGGGCATTGTTCCGAGATGTCGTTATTGTTGAGGACCAGGGGCTGGTATGCCCGCATCATTTCGAATAGAGGCCAGGCACAAGGCTGCAGCAGTATCGATCAAAAGCACCCATAGTCTTCATTTGGAAGGCTTTGAGATCCGTCAAGGCGTCCATGCCATTATGATTGCCTGCTATAAAAAGAAGCAAAACGAAGGCGACTATCATTCCAAGCAAACCTGCTTTGATGTCTTTCCCAAACTGCTCGAATGAAACTGCTCGATGTTGTATAGTCGGCTGCTTTTTGTCTGAAGAATAGCACGCAGACAAGGGCATCGGCCATGTGCCCGTCTTTGACTATTGGCTTGACGTCTGCCGTGGTATGAAGAAATCAGTTGGCAATAGGGACTGAAATTATCCAGACAGATCCTCTTCTAAGAAATAAAAAGTGTAACGTTTGCGAGTGTCTCGGCTACTAGCGTGGCAAATGCCTTCCCTCTGTTTTCTGTATATCTACTAGATCCCGTCTATAGGAAACGTTGGGTAAAGTTCTCGGTATTGCTATTCCTTCACATACGATTTGTTGTACCGGTCCTCGCAAGCCTTCTCAGGAAACTTCACCCTATCTCAGCGTAAGATGCAGGGTAGTTGAATGAAGATATGGTATACACAAGAATGCAAAGTCCGGCCACTATGGCCAACTATCTCCACGAATAATGAGACCACTGCTGATTCCCTAATTATGTTCCTGGAGGTCCATGCCAACGAGACACGGTTTTCTGACCCGGGTAACCAAGGAAGAATTTCGGCTTTCCAGATTTTCCACGGAATAATTCTTGTTCGCGTTTGCGAACTCTTCGGCTGTGCTCCCTACTATGGCGCCTTCGCGCTTTCTTCTCCATTTTCGCCTTGGTTGTTTCCGGATCTTTGGCAAATAGCCCCCTGAGCCAGGCCATCATCGTAAAACGTGTCTTTGCTTGAAGTGTTGTGATTGTGTCACGGTAGACAGTCAAAATTTAAATAGCTCTGAGTGGACTTTGGGCCAGTGTAAATAGACAATGCGGACTAAGTCATTTCGTTAGTATCAGGACCTCTTTCTAATCGCGATGCGAGATATTCAACTAGAGCAATAAGCCCTTACCGTTAATGTCGCACGCTTAAACGAAAGACTAGCTCTCCACGGTCAGGGCAGAGAGCAAGCAATTGAAAAATATGAGGCCAGTTCGGTGGATTTTGGAAGTGGCTGTGCATTGTCATCAATCGTCCTAAGGCTTAGTGCCTGAGGCAGCAGTACATGTATATTCACCCCACACGGCGATTGACTCTAAAGCGTAGGTCAGCGGGAAAAAGGTATGATGAATAGAAAATAGAAAACATTCGTTTTCAGAAAGCAGACAAGTGCAAACAACAGCAGATCACGTCAATATTCTCAACCCTATCTATCTAGAAGCGCACTACCTCCGCTCGACCTCGGACCCTTGAATCCCTGCAAGCCGAACTAGCCGGGCCAACGCAGGGCCGTAAACCGCCCCCACAAAACGTCGGAATATCTTTCTCCTTTTCTTTCTTTTCTTTCTTTTCTTTCGCACGACTCCGAATCATATACGTATGCCCTTCGATCAGTTTTCGTGCTTCGAAGGCAACTGACAACTGATCACCATGCGCACATTTACCCTGGCCATTGCGGCGACTGCTGCAATCGCCTCTGCCGCCAATGTTCCGCCAGAGCTTGCTGTTATTGGGGAGCCTTCGGAGATCTTGAGCACAGTGTTTGAACCATCCTCCGGCCAAATTGTAACTCTGCATCCTGGCCAGACGATGAATGTGACTGGTAAGTAAAAAGAGTCCTCCGTCAATCGGCCAAATTCTTTAATAAAACATGCATAGATACCAAAAACGCGCCTGAGCCTCAACTGGCACACATGGACCACGTCGTCACTGAAGGTGCGAAGTATGTATTTATGATGGTCGATCCGGACATCAACATCACCAATCCCACTTACGTTGGGCTTCACACGGGAGTCGCGAATTTGAGTCTTTCCAACGAACCTCACAACAGCAACTTCGCCAAGTATATTGCGCCCATGCCTAATGGCAACTTTCCACACAACTACACATTGCTTCTCTTCAAGCAGCCTGACAGCTTCAGTATTCCATCCCACTTCGACCCCTACTTCGTCTTGAATCTAAACGACGTCTGGAACCGGGTCAATTTCCCGCTGCAGCAGTTCATCTCCCAGACCGGCCTGGGCAAGCCCATAGCTGCGAACTGGTTCCAGGAGGGAGCAGTCAATGCGACCAGCACTTCAGTTAAGAATGGTACGTCATCCGCTACCAACACTAGTGGTACGCCGACAAGCACAGCCAATGCTGCTGGGCAAATCGGGCGTCCTATCGGTTTTTGCCTTGCTTTGATGATGGGACTGGGGGCAGCTTGGGCCAGGATATACGCAGACTCACCTCATCAGTTGTTTTTTCCCCCATAATATCCCCTATTATTGGTATTGTTTTAAGCGGTTGAACTCAAAAAGAACTCTTTTTTACCCTATTACTCACCTTTTGGCCCGGAAGCTAAAAGATGTAGTTACTGATAGAGAGTTTTGATCATTGCATGTTTTCCTCCAATTTGTAGTAATTGGCTAGTTCTGTATGGCCAGAGAATGTAATGAAAGAAATCTGCGCAAATATGCCTGGCATATCATACTAACAAGCCTCATTATATACTAAAATAAAATATCAACGCGTTCCAGAGTCCTGGGACAGTCGATTTTTGTGTACTATCGATTTTGCATATCTATAACAGATCCTTGGCCTGGTGCGATGTAGTATTTGCCAGAACGGAGAGGTAAAGAGCAAGGCCCCAATTACGGTCTTGATGGTGCAAATTTTCATATTGAGAATTAATTTCTTTATGCAGGGTCTTTGCTTGGAAAGAAGTGAAGATGCCAAATGGTGAGTCCTCGTTAGCTCCATTGGCAAGCAATCCCTTAAATGGATTTTTTTTTATGGTAAGGGGTGACCATAGAATAAACAAGACGCAATTATACATTCTACTTAACAACCAATATGATTGGCGCAGGCACGTACAAAAGCTCATGCGTATTGATGATAAGTGGTTAGACATGCCTCTGCTGTTCCCCGATTATTTAAAAGGTGGTCAGATTTAACCGATCATTTGCTCAGGGCTAAATTAGTGAGTTGCAGTGTGTTTATCGGGTGACCAAATTTAAGCACCACGGTCGTTGCTTCCTGGTGAAATGACGGGTTGAGACGTTGTCAATAGGGGATCAAATTTAACCATCCGAACATTCTTGAGGTAGAATCGTGCATGGGCGGGTCACTATGTTGTGTAACATCAGTCACACCGCAGGGATGGTATGCAGCCGTTTACGGCAAGTAGCTCTGGCTGGCAAGTGTTCATACCCCTACCTCCTGTCAAATACAGACGAGTTAAAAGAATGTGTCGACCATATCGGCAGAAAAGAACTACCATTAGCATCTTCATGTCGAAGACAAGAACAAGACTTCCAATCTCGAGTGGTTCAAGATGCGATCCTTGTCTTTGCTTTTCGCTGCAGCGCTGACAGTGGCCACGGTCACTAGCTATGAATCAGATGGCAAGATAATGAAACCTGCGAATTTACACACTATCTCTCCTCGACAACAGAAGGAAGCTTTTGATGCCACCGAAGTGCCTCGGGCGGCTCTTCCCTGGGGCAAGGTCAACTTCATTCACACAACGGATACTCATGGTTGGCTAGACGGACATGCGAACGTACCCAGCTGGGGGGGCGACTGGGGTGATTTTGTCTCCTTTGTCAAACACATGCAAGATAAGGCATTTCAGAAGAAGGTAGATCTGCTTCTCGTTGACAGTGGTGAGTTTCCTCATGCTGCTGTGCTTTGAGCCATGCAGCACCGCTTCCTCAGCATTATTAATGTGGACTGATTCCCCCCTCTGTTTTCCTCTTTTAGGGGATTTTCATGATGGTGGTGGCCTCAGCGACAGCACGAACCCCAAGGGGTCCGTCTCGGATAGCATCTTCGAGAACATCGACTACGACCTCGTGACTGTAGGCAACCACGGGGTTCGGACAGGAGAAGAAGCGCTGAACATCCACCGCAACATGTCGAGAGTCTTCGGTGATCGGTTCCTCACCAGCAACGTCGACGTGAAAGTGGATGGTACACTCGAGCCTATAGGCAATCGATATCGCGCTTTCCAGACCAAAAATGGGCTCCGGATTGTGGCCTTTGGAGTCACAACGAATGACCCTCTACGTGATTTAGCCAATACGGAGGTTTACAGTGCGGATCATATGTTCAGTGAGATGTGGTTTGAGAAAGCCATGAAGGAGCAGGCTGACCTCTACGTGATCGTCGGTCATGCTCCAACCTACTCTTCTTGCCTTGATCCTAAAATGGATAACCCCCTGGTGTGTCTGCGCGATAGAATCAGGAATTCAACCGATAAGCCTATCCAGGTCTTCGGTGGCCACGCACACCATCGCAACTTCACATGTTATGATGACAAGTCCTCAGGCATTGAATCCGGGAAGTATGGTGACACAGTTGGTTGGGTGGCCTTGAACGAAGTGCCCTCTCCAGTGTGGACTGGTGCAAAAGCACTGCCGGCTGAACACAGCCCAAACAAGACCTGTTTTAGCAAACAGACAAATTCGCAGGACGCTTACCGCCTGGATCGCCGGTACCTCGACTGGAACCGGCTGACCTTTGCATACCATACAGTGGGCCTCGAAGACAATAACTCGTCCGTGCCGTCTACCTTTGATACACCACTAGGCCGCAAAGTCACCGACGATATCAGCAAGTCCCGGCACTTGCTCAACCTGACCTACTACCTGGGCTGCGCAAAGAAAGACTACTGCTTCAATTGCAAAAAAGTGGGGCAAGACGGCAACATCTATGAGGTCTTAAAAGACGCCCTTGCGGATGCAGTGGTGCAGAAAGAGCGGGCAAACATACCGCGAGTTGTGATGTCCAACGATGGTACAATCCGGGATAATATCTACCAGGGTCCTTTTACACTAGGCGACGCCTATGCTATCGTGCCCTTCCCCAACACGTTCAAGTATATTGCCAATATGTCATGCGCCCATTTTAAGAACATGACGTCGAATCTGCAAATAAAGCCTGCCTTCTCCTGCATGGATGACGACAATGATGCCATCGTCGATGAGCCTCCAGCATCCCATATGGAGCTCCGAAGCCTACCGGATGACCATCACCAGGCCACGCTCTCCATGACAAAATACAGTCCAGGCTACACGACCCACGACGGCCTGGGTGAGGATGGAGACGACACGCTACACTCGCCGATCAACGAAGATGAAATGTACATGAAACTTTTCTGGGCAAATGCCAGCTTCCCGAATCCCTCCCATTACCCGCCTTACTTTGATGTGGTTTTCACCGACTACCTGACAAATAAAATCCTCGGCGCTCTCAACAAAATTGGGGCACCCTATACGGAAAATGACGTTACCTTTTACTTGCCGCCGAGTTATACCAGCAGGGAGGTCCTTCCGGACTATGCGGCAAGGCATTGGACTCAGGATAGGAAGCATTGTCCCATTAGAAAGCCGGTCGATCGGTATTGAGAAATCAACCGGCAGGCCATCCGAGTGAGTTGGGCCACGTGCTCTCGTATTGTATCTCGTGGTGAAATGAATTGTTAGGAGGTATTTCTTGCTATCCAGGAGAAGGATTCGGCCATTCTGGCACTTCTTGTTAGTCGAGGACGCGGGGACGAATGCATCTCGATCTATCTTTATTTGAAAACAATATCAATACCTCGGCCAATAGAGCCCAGTAGATGTGTGGAATTAAAACAATAATGTATAAAGTATGTTTGGGAGACTCCGAGCAAGAGAATCGAGAAAGAGAAGAATCGATGGAAAGCCATTCTGCACGAAGCGGCACTGCTCACCTACTAGAACGGAGTTATAGCTCTTTGCTCCCCGTACAGCACTGCTTGAGCGTTTCTGTACCTCATCCTATACCTTCTAGAAATCGGGCAAGAGCTTGAATCTGCACTCTAATCTCAAATGTATTAAGATGTTCTTGAAACATGCTAGAGCAATTTTTAGAGCTTTAGAATGGAGATCAAAGGGAACTTGGTGTTTCGACTCCAGTAGCCGCTAATTACTCGAAGAGGGCTACGGCTTTACATGGGCCATCCAGAGTCAACCAAACCACGGCATAGAGCGACGCCAAACTGTAACAGCCAATACCCGAGCATCCACCAGACTGTAACCCCTAGTGAGATCCGTTGATATTTCGGCCTTCTTACGCTCCTCCTTCAGGAAGTTACGCCAATATACACCAGTCGCAGTCGCAAAACGAAGATGGTTCCTATGGACCTATACAATTATAGGATGGAGCCCAGCGCAACGCATGGAACGGCAACACCGACGAGGTTGTTGTTCTATCGCGAGTTAGTATCGCATAATCAAGCCTTTGAAAGTAATACGTACGGAAGTCGAAGGCGAGTTCTGGCAACAGGCAATGTTTTGCTTACACTCCCGGTCGATCGACAGATTCGGGTCCACAATACCGGCAGCTGGCAAATTATTAGCTTGGCTCAGAACCTGACATTGAGAATCGCTCACCGCTGAGACTAAGGTCCTGGCACTGCCCAAACAGACCTAGACCATCACCCCCAGGGCCACCGCCGAGGGCATTAGCCAGAACTCCAGCCAAAGGTCCGGTATTGGACGTGTTAATATCATGGGTGTAGGTTGCCCTTTTGCAGCACGAAAGCTTCGCATCATTCCCGCAAGTATTCTGGCCCTGGGCGATGGTGGTCTTGGGGCTAACGGGGAACTTGACATTGCTGTGGCCAGCCTGAGCCACGGCGATGGTGGTAAGACACAGGATGGTTGTGAAGAACTTCATTGTTATTGTGGGCTGTGTAGGATAAAGAGCTGGATAAGTGACTAGAAAGCTGGAATTTGGTTGAGACTGAGTGGAACTAATTATCAAACTCACAGGAAATTCCAGTACTTTTATACCTGCTTATTGGCTTCTTTGTTATTGTCCCTCTAGGGCTTGCATGCCGCTACAATCAACATTCCTACAGCGTCGTATCACCGACCAACTTTTGCCTACTCGGATTACAGGCCATACTCGCTACTGTGACTCAGCTTGAAAAACTCACCTAAGGGTTCTGGTCTGGCAATGAGGACTGCGATATTGCCTTCTTGAAACTAACCAATGAAGTCGCGTATCGCAAGACACGACTATAAGGAGCAGTCAAGGGTGCGGAAGTAGTTAGGAAAAAAGTCAAGGATGTTTTGAATTTGGTAGGTAGCTCGATTGTCGATTTCTGGAACAAAATTAACGACTTGCATCCACTAATACATCTCTACAGTTCGAAGTGGCCCTGAGCCTACGGATTAACAACGGGATGTTAGATCTAAACAACAGAATGGTAAGCCTTAATAAGGGCATGTTTGAGGTCAATCGCCGAATGCTCGGCCTTAATTAGGAACAAGAACTTTGACAAAAATGCCACAGTAAAAGTAGTTACTCTAGTGGCTCTAAGGTATTTGACTGCTAGTTTTGTTTCTATGAGTGCCACTAGGGACGAATATATCAACCTATTTACTATATTGATATGAATGGCGATAGACATTTCTGGGTATGGATCTCTTCTCTTCTGATGATGGAAGCTCTGGATTCACTATCCCCAGATAGTTCTAGCTCTTTTGGGTTATAGCTGTTCTGCTCATATTGCTTACCCTAGGATCATGGTATGTCTAGACGTGGGAGGAACAACGCAAGGGAGAGAAGTCCGAGCTATTAAGATGCAGAGTATCAAGCACGAGTATGAAGGCTTTTCGTGAGATGACATTTTATAGTTTCTCTACTTGATAAATGCGCTTGGGGTGAATTTTTTGTATGATAGTTGCTTTTATAAGATGGCACATAGGTCGTAGCTGAATTAGGTTTATCGCTTCCGCTTTTATATAAGCCCACCTTATGCGAAGTATGTCACTCAATTTTATTCCTCTTTGTTATTGCTTTCCATTATGGCTTAGTTGATAGTAATCAATGCTTTAATTGAGAAATTTTCGTATAGAAATATGAATAATTCTATAGAATATGCAGGCACGTAAAACATCTCAGCACAGCCCAGTGCACTTATTCGAACATCACACAATCAAGTCATCAGCATCAGCCACGGAAACATGGCTCTCTTCCTGAACAGGGGAGCCACTATCACCACCCGGTTTATCAGAAGACCCCAGATCTTCAACCGTACCATCCTGCTCCCGCACCGGAGCATCCTCATTCTCCTTCCCCTGCCCAGGCTCAAGCTCAAGATCAGGTTCAATCTCTTCTTGCTCCCGCTCAACCCGCTCCTCCTTCTCCTCCGCCTCCTCCCAACTATCCACAACTTCCACATTCGCCTGTTGCTGCTGCTGCGCACGCAAAGACTTTCCCGCCCCAATCCCCGAGCGCAGAACAAGTCTCTCCGTCTTCTTCATCCCTCCCCCCGTATTATCCGCCGCCAGCGCCGCAAACATGGAGCCACCATTAAACAGGCCCTGATGCACCGGAACGGGGGTCGTACTCCGTGTGCTCGCCGAACTGGTCCCATCCTTCTTGCCGCGCGAGGCAACCTGCGCCCAGCCGCCCTCCCCAGAAGCAGACTGCGTCTTCAGTGCATCACGCGCAGCTTTTGCTTCAAGGGCAGCTACGCGGCGGGCCTCCGATTCCTTGTTACGCTCGCGCTCGCGCAACTTGACGCACTCGCGGACGCTCATACCGCCAATTCCGATTGCAGAACTGTTGCTGCCTAGGCCGAAGACCGGGGGTGTCCAGGAGAGGGGCTTTAGGACGAAGACGTGGCGATGCGGATCTGGGTCATGGCTTTCTGTTACGAAGCCCCAGTCTGTTGCGAGGGAGTGGGCAAAGGCGCGGAGGGTGGATTTTGCGGGCTGGAAGCGGAACGAGCGCTGCGTTGTCGAGGCTGCCAGGGAATGTAAACTTGATTCGTAGGTTTGGAGGGTCGATAGTGGTGCTGAGGAGGCGAGTTGGATGTATTGGTCCAGTGTTTCGCTGGAGTAGGGGAGGTTCGCGGAGGTGATGGTTTGGATTGTGGTCGATTGGTTGATGTCGACGCCGAGGGCGGAAGCTATAGAGCGGTTCCGCTCGAGACGCGAGCATTCATCGTCGCATGTCAGTGGGGAAAGCTCGGGCATGCGCTGTGGTTGTTGCACTTGGCCCTTGGATGTGACTGCCTTGGCTGCGTTGCAGCGCTTGTCCTGGCGAAGTCGTCCACAGCTACATGTTACTGTGATGATGGACGAGCAGGGCGTCTTTTCTGGACACGGGTAAGGCGCGTGACAGGGTTCGGCGCAGGGATGGCCACAGATCGTCTTGGTCTTGCCACACGCCTGTTCGCAGGGCTTGGTGGAATCTTCGCATTCACCAGGACGGTGACAGTCTTTCCGACAGGAGTGAGAGCCGCATTTGAGTGACTGACCGCATACCTGACCACAGCGCGCATCTGCCAGCCAGCAGGGAACATTTTTCAGCACCTTCTTGCCGCATTGGCACTCCTTCTCCGTTAAAAATGGGCATTTCGGACAGCTTTCGTCGTCGGCATGGCAATTGTGTGTGGTCTGGGGATGGCCACATGGCTTAGGGCGTTCACACTGGAACGAGCATCGCGGTGGCTGCGTACCACACGGCTGGGGAGGAAACAGGATTGAGCGTCCACAGTTACACGCAATCTCCTCGAAGATCGCTTCCCTGCAAGTGTTGCAGGCACCCTTGTGGCAGAGCTCCGGGCAGGTGTGTCTCCCGCATTTCAGCGTTCGACCACAAACCCTGGTGCAGATATGCTCTGCCTCGATATCTTCGTCAATGGGACGGAGATGTGGTTTGAGCTTGCGACGAGCAGCTTGGCGTTCAATGGCCCGTTGTTCTCCGGGACAGCATCTTTCAGAGCAGGCGTGGCGACCGCAATGCAGAGTCGTCTTGCATACGCGGAAACACTGGGGAGGCACTATATTGCCTTGGTGGCATATAGTCGTAGATGTCGTGCGGCCACACTGGCATTGGATTGGGACGCGCCGCAAGCATGACCCGCAAGGACCGGTGTGACAGATTTGATCGCAGGAATGGCCACATGGCAGCATCTTCCCACATGGCTCACTGCAATTGGGGATGGGGTCTTCGCAGGAAGATCGAGGGACAAATCCAGGGATGGCAGGTAAGGCAGTCTTGCCACAGGGGCAATGTATCACCACATCCGGTGACCTGGGGCAATGAGTTGGATGTGACTCTTGTGGATGGCAGCCCTTCTGGCACGAATGCACGCCACAATCGTAAGAGCGGTTGCATATATCTACGCAGCCGAAGCAGCCCGTCCATTCTTCCACGGTTCCGTCATCGTGAACAAGAGTACTGTCCTTCTCTTCATCCTTGGAGCTACACAGCATTTCAGTCTGTGCTTTCCCACAGTAGCAGCGAGCATCGATCTTGACTTCGCATGCCCCACACAAGCCTTCATGACAGGGAAGAGGACATGTATGTTCACCACACGGCAAGAGATCACCACAGATCTCACCACAGCTCCATCCGTTCTCATAATCCGTGTCCTGGCATCGCCTTGTCGACGAATTCCTGCCGCAAAAACAGTCCTGGGTCGGGCCCATCGATGTACAGGGTGTACATGGCCCAGCGTGACAGGTGGAATCACAGGGATGCGGACAGCCTTTGCGCGGCCGCGAACACGTCTGACCACAGGAATGTGGAGGAAGACCGGGGAGCGGTCTGGGGTCGGTCTCTTTCTCACACCAGCAGCTGTACACGGAGGGGAAAATATCGTGGGAAAGATTGCAACCAGGACAGCGCCATGCGCGCGGTGCAAGCGGATCTTGACCATTTTGCTGTTCTCGGGAGGCATTCTGCGCTTGGTTCGTGGACCATTTCTTCACGCAGCTGAGGTGGAACACCGTCCAGCACAGTCCGCACGACCAGATGCGGGATCTGCGACCCAACTCGCTGGTGCAGATGGGGCATTCGTAGAGGTTGTGGGCGATATCTTCGTGAATGCGAGTGGCGATATCGCCGGCGGTGGATTTCGCCATTACTTTTGGTGGCTGCTGTGGCGGTAGTTTGGCCTTTGCCTTCCCTTTCCCTTTCACAGCTGGTGGCTGTGGCTGTCCCGGTACAAAATCTGGCGCATCGGCCCTGAGGTTCTGGTCACTCTGCTCTGCAACACTCTCAGCGACGTCAGCAGTAGCAAAGTTCTGACCTGGCCTCGTCAACCTGGCTTCAAACCCTCTGGCCCTCATCCCACGCGACTGGTTTCCTGGCGTCTGCCCGTCCTGTCCGGCCGCATGTGCCTGTCCCCGCCTCGGTCCTCCATTGCTGCGACCTCGTCCACGACCCGCCGCGCCCCTCCCATCCCTCTGTCCTCTGCGCGAGCGCGATGCCTCATTCTGAGTATTTGACGATGGAGCAGAAGCCGGTTGCGCTGGTGGCAACTGTGTAGGTGTAGAAGACGGTTGCTCTACCGAGGTGGCGGGTCCAGTCGGTCGTGCTTCACGATTCGCTTGGCCTCTCCCTCTGCGTCGGTTTCTGGGGCGCGGCGTACTCGGCAGCGAGGGCGTGGCCACTTCGGAGCTCATTGTGCTATGAGAAGGTGGAATGGACTGGGAGATAACTGGTCCGGCGCTCATCTGAGAGGTATAACTTGGTAGAACGGTGGCTGGAAAATCAATCCCGGATGGCAGCAAGCAGCCACTGACCCAAATCGCGTGTCCGCCGAATGCAAAAGATGTACAAATCAAGCCCCGAGGGCGTGGCAGTGGGTGTTGTGTTTGAGAAACGAAATGTTGCGCAGGCGGTGGAACCGGGCAGATCAAGAGATAAAATTGTCTTATCGGGGGGGCGGATGCGTCAGCATTTATTTGAACCCAGTCGGTGAGTCACGCTGACTCAGTGTTTGTATACATCGATGCCTTCGGTCATTATTATGGACAGAGTATGGACCATGCAACCCTCCCGTCAAGACAGATCGCGCTATGCAGAAAGCCTCCCTAAAACCAGACCCAAAACTAAGAACCCAGAAAGTACCCCTTCCATCAGACCTCATGGTGAAAGGCCCCACGGACCCGAAATGCTTCTCGTGCATCCTTCATTCATCATTCATACAGAGACAACAATCTCCCCACGATCGTTGCGCCGCAGCCGCAAGGCGCGCCACAAATCCTTCTCATCTTCAATTCTCCGCTCGCGGTCCGCCCGACTGCGACCCTGGTCGCGTCCACGGTCTGCATCATGCTCGTCCGACAGGTCGCGATGGAAGCGTTTGAGAGCTTTGTGAATGGAGCAACCCCGCTCCGAGTCCCTGCTAACAAGAGACAGGAAGTGGTGCGCCATCTCGCGCTGCAGGGCGACATCGCCTGCTGCGTCCTTAGCGTGTTTATAGACGGTGACCTGGCGATCGTGGTTGCGGCGGGGCGAGTGCGAGTGTGAGCGGTCCGAGCCGCGGCGTTCGTCGATCTGCTTCTGACGGCGAGACGGGCGGTCGCCGTCGTCGGTGGGGTTGCTGCTCTTGCGCTTCGACTTGCGGTTCTCGGCGGCGTCGCGGTGCGACGACTTTCTGGGTTGGCGGACCTCTAGCGCTCGGTCGTCGCCGCTGGAGGAGCTGCCGCGCCGGGTACGCACCAGCGCTTTGGAGGTCACTTCGGTGCCGCCGTTGCTGCTGCCCGAGACGGCAGACCCGCCGAACATGGACGAGACGAATCGTTCCGCGCGGTTCTTGATGGAGATGCCGAGACCGTCGCCGTTGGTGTCCTTGGTCCCTTTGGGTTCCTTGCTCTCCTTGCCGTTGCGACGGGTGCGCTTGATAGGCGACGAGGCGTCTTGGTATGATCGGCGCCCGTTCTCATGACCCTGGTGTGCCTCCAGCGACGGGGAGCGCATCATGCGGTTCAGCCCGCCGGTTAGTCCGGAGTGGTTGAGTTCGATGGGCGTGCCCACATTGTTGAGCACACTCGACGGCGCATCCAGCATGGGCGTATCAAGTTCGAGGTGGGGGCTGCTGAGCTCCTCCCCTTGGCCGCGCTTGCGCTTCTTCTCACTAGCAGTACCGGGCGCCTGAAGACTCTCGCGCCGACGTTCCTTGAGCTTCTTCTTCTTGGGAGCAGGAGTCACGAATTCCGTGGAGACATTGGGGATTTGATCCGGGTACATGGACGGGGGGATGGGGCCGGTGCCGTAGGAAAAGCCGTTTTCTTCGTATGCGACATCGTAGTTATGGCCTTCGTCGTCCGTCTTGTTGGCCTCTACCTGGGCAAGCGCCTTGCTCGGCTGAAACAGTGACGGCGCTCGTGCCACCATGGTCATTTGCTCCTTGGATCCGGGGAGAGTGACCCGCGACGCGTTCGGGGTCTCGTCGGTGACCAAGTAGTCGAACACGTTGACGGGCAGTCCGCCGTTGGCCGGTGCCTTGACCGCGCCAGTTGGAGGGGGCGTAGGAGCCGGCGGAGGGGGGGGCGTTTGTCCTGACATGATCCGATTCAGACGCGTCCTCGACTCGGGCCTGCAGCTGGCGGGCATTGGGGGCGGACTTGTTGTTCTGCTGGCCCTTTTTGTTGTTCTTTCCCGGCTTCTCTTTGTAGAGAGCGCCTTGATACTTTTGCGCCTCGCTCATGCAGGACTGCGCACAACAACCACTGAGTGTCAGCCTGGGTCTCTGCTAACGACCAAGTTCTCTTCATATTCATACCGTGTGCGAGCGATACTCGGTGCCATGGAAGTGCACCATACAGTCGATACATGTGAAGGACGCGCCGCGGCATTGGCCGCGGTGGGGGTCGAGTTTCTTTTTGGTGAGGACATCGCCACAATTCTAGCAAGAGATTAGAATAAATTTGAGTTGCGGTTGAGAAATTCTTTCCACCCACCTCACAGGAAAACGACACCATGTTGTCAGCGAAGAACACCCCGCTTCCCAGAAATCAGATCAGGGTCGGTCCAAGAGGTGGCAGGCAATCCAGAAGAGATTGACAAAGGAGAGCCGGTCGAGTCTGCTGGTCGGATGCGATGCGACAATGGACCGCGCTGTTGGCAGAGAGATTTATAAATAAAAGAGTGTGTGTGGTGAGACGAGGGGGGAACAGACAAGAAGGTTATCCCTTGAAAGCGAAGAACAGGGAGCAACCCGGACGACGTGCAGCAGCAGCAATGCAAAGTGCGGCGCTTCGGTCGTTCTTTTCTTGGTTCTGCGCGTGTCGCGAAAAAAGAAAGGCGCTAGCCGGATTGGGCGGAGGCGCTAACTGTGTTGGGTCGAGGATTCACGTCGGAGGAGCGGGAGAGAACAATAAGATCGGAGTTTACCAGTATGGGGGTATCAGCAGAATGAGCGATCGCACAGAGGAAGGGTAAACTGGAGAAGATGAAAAGGGGCCCGACTGATAATAAGAAAGAAAGGGGCGCGTCACAGGTGTGTTTCGGTCAGGCGCTCTGATGCGATCGGCGCGGTCCCCGGGACGGCCCCATTATGTACTACGATTAGGGTCCAAGTGAAAGAAGTACCGTATGGATGTATGAGGATGGTGGTTATCCCATGTATACCATGGTCTCTAGCACCGCATGCCGTGCCACACGACCAGTTAGTGTACGACGGCGTGCGCTTAGCCTCCATCGCTACGGGGTCATGCGCCACCCGATCCCGGGGATCACCAGATACGCCAGTGGATGGATGACTACGCATGCACAATATCGGTGATAGGCGTGACACAGGGTATAATATCGAGAAATGACTATGTACTAGTATACAATAATAAGCAGAGGAAGAAGGAAAAGCAACCAACCAGCTCCGGGGTATGCAGAAAAGGGATCGACGGGGTCAATCAACCGCGCGTGGTTCTATGTACATCGCAGTGTGTGAGAAATGGCAACAGACACAAATCGTGGATGGTCTGGACTTACGCTTCCCGCGAGATCTCCACGGCCAGGCCCTCGTGCTGGGGACTGCCATCACTCTCCTGTTGCGATGCAGCACTGCCCGCCTCCTTCTTCTCCCCCTCCTCCCCACACCCGCAATCATAGAAATCGCCCAAGGTCGTGCAGTCGAACTCAGGCTTCTCGAGCATGGCGTTGATCTCGTTATGGATAAAGCACGCCCAGCCAGCCGCGGCGTTCCGCGACGATACCTGCGGCGGGTATCTGGCGAGGTGCTGCTGGAAATGCGCGGCGCATTCGCCGCTGTTTCATCGTCAGCCCCCTTCTTCTTCTTCTGCACAGCACGCGCGTAGGGCTAGGGGTAGGGGCAGGGGGCCGGAGTGAGGGCATGTCGCAAGAGCGTGGGTGGGGGCGAAAAGAAGCGAAGCAATTGCAGTATTCTTGCTCTCTGTTTTTGGGTTTCTCACTTACCAAGGATAAAGCCGCGCAAACAAGTGGATATACGAGCGCAATGCATCCTGTTGGTCTATAGTTGGTTTTTCAGGAAAGCGCGCCATGACGGTGTGGAAGTATTTCCAAGTCGCACGACCAAGTTCAGCTCTGGAGAGATGGTTGGGGCCACGCCATCAGTAATTGTTTCCTTTTTCTTGTGCTCTCAATTAGATTGTATGACATACTTGGCGGTCGCATTGCCCAGCTTGGGCATCACCACCTCCCCGTTCAGCATATCGTCGTGAATGGTGATCCCCGGCGCGGCGGAGTGATCGATGTGTCCTGGGGCTCGGACGGCGGGACTCGGCGGGCCATGGGGCCGGATGAAGAGGAAGAAAATTAGGAAGAGGGCGATGGAGGCGCTGATGGCGATGCGCCGGGTGATTTGGCGAGTGGCCATGTTGGTTGAGGGCGGGAGGGAGGGAGTGATGGCGGAGGATTGGTTGGAGGTGGATGAGGGAAGGGAGCTGGTTAGCTGTCGGCTAGCATTCGTCGGAGGGTTCGGAAGCGACGGTCGAGTATTGACGGTAACAAGGATAAGCAGAAAGGTTCAAATGAGACGCCGGGAGAAGGTGAAAAGCCAGTTTCGCGTGGAGCCAGAGTCTCTGGTCTGGTCATCCTGAAGGAAGACAGCTGGGCTGGAACAGTTCCAAAAAGAGTGTGGCGCATTGCCCCTATGCGGCTTAGTCAGATGTGGTGCGCAGCTTGTGGTCGGCTGCTACACGAGGTGAATGGTCTCGTATACTACTACTGGTTATATGAAATAATACTAATCATGATGGACTCTCATATTCAGTATTTCATGTCTTGGCCGCTTCCAAGACCATCAGCGCTCCAAGACAACCCACGTCGGATATGCGCCGTCTCTCTTGGCGATGTATACTCTCTTCAGACAATGAGTCTGCACACCAGAATAATATCAGACCGCTAGAAGTTAAATACAGTAATGCAATAGAGAGCACTCAAGCTATCCGCTGCGTATGTATGTACGCCCTATACCCGATGCACACCCATCCCAGCCACCGCATCGCTCAAACTCGGCGGCAGGTCCTCCTTGCGTGAGCCCCAATCACTCTCCGTCTCGCCGAGGGTGAGCTCAAGGGTCATACCCTCAGTGAAAAACTCATGTCCGATCCAGCTCTTTGTGTAGGGCCTGCCATTCAGCATAGCACTCTGGATATAAATATTGCGGTAGGAGCTATCGAAATTGACATTCCGAATCGTAGCCGTGTTGTTAGTCTCGGGATGTGTGATCTCCACAGCCTCAAAAAAGGGCGGGATAATCAGGTAAACATTCTGGCCTGGATTTGGGAAGAGGCCCATCATGCTCCAGGCCAGGAAGGAGCCCATTGCGCCGGAGTCGTCGTTGCCGGGTAGGCCGGTTTCGGACGCATTGAAGGATGATGGGATGTAGGTGTGCGCGCGGGCTGCGGAGAGACCCGGTCGGCCTGCATAGTGGTACTCGTAGACTGTGAGGAAGACGGGTTCGTTGCTGATGTCGGCCAGTCCGGAGGTGTGGAAGTAGTCAAGTCGAGAGACGAATGATTCTGGGCCACCGAGGAGCTTGATCAATGTTGCCATGTCATGGGGTACGTAGCTGGACGTGTTATATTAGCATCAAACATGGAAAAAACGGGGCGCCGTACAAAAGATACTCCCACACACTGGACTCGAACGTCTCAGACGGGTTAGAGGTCAGCGAGCACCAGGAAGCCAGCGCACTGCACGCAATTGGGTCCTGGTAGCCCCAAGTACCATTGAGATATTTGGGCTGAAAGAAGCCCACAAAGCCCGTATCCGTGCCATTTTCTAGGTACGACGTCTGGTCCTTCTTGAAAAGATTCTGCCAATTATTCGACCGCGACAGATACTTGGTATACTCCCTTTTCCCGATTCCCCGGCCCACCACAGACAGGCTGTAGTCGTTGTACGAGTATTCCAGAGTGCGCGAGATACTGCGCGAGTTGGTGCCGAAGCCGAGATAGTCAAAGTCGAGGTAGGGGATGTAATTGACCCGCTTCCAGCTCTGAAGCCCTCCACGCCCTTCGTATTCCCACTCCAGTGGCTCGTTCTCGGCATCATTTACCATTGCCTTGTAGGCGAGGTCCCAGTCAATACCCGTAATATTCTTGACAAATGCATCCGCGAGAACCACGTCCGCGTTGGACCCGCCCTGCGTCCAGCCCTTGCAGAGACTCATGCGGCAGTCGGGAAGCCATCCTTCATGCTTGTAGGTATCAAGCAAGCTGCGGACCATCCGCGACAGCGCAGAAGGATCCAGGATCGCGAGGAAGGGCATCTGGGCTCTGAACTGGTCCCACATGCAGTAAAAGGAGTCATAATATGGCTCGCTGCTCTGCCACAGGGGGTTCTCGCCCGTCATGTCTTGCGGAGACAGCATGGCTCGATAGATTCCGCTCCAGAAGCTGGTGAGCATGGAACTGCTAACGCCTCCGGAGGTGATCTTGATCGGGCTCAGCTTCTCCGCCCACGCCTCTTCGGCCTCTGTGCGCAGCCGCTCAAAGTCCTCAAGCGGGCTGGGGATTTCGGACTCGGCATTCGCACATGCTTGATCGGAGCTGATATAGCTGATGCCAACGCGCGCAGTCACTTCTCCGCTGTCCGGCGAGTCAAAAGTAACCCACCCCCCAGCTTGAAGATAGAAATTGTTGAATCCTCGCGTAACAAACAGCTCCTTCGGCTCCGAACCCGCCCGATCATTCACCCAGATACCACTATCACGAACCATCGCACCAGCAAAGTCGGCGCAAAAGTACGACATGTAATAACCCGCCCCGAAACTGGGCAGAAACGTGCCGTTCCCCTTGATCCGGCCCGTGTGCGGGTCGATGGCAATAGACGCATTCTGCCGACTTTCCCACAGATCCGTCAGGTCCAACAGTATCAGCGGCTCGAGGGCATCACCATTCCCCGCCGACTTAGCGGGGAAGGTAAACCGATACAACGCCGCGCGATGCGCCGCGGTCATCTCGGCGTGGATTCCATTCTCCAGGGTCAACGCAAAATACCCCGGCCGCGAAACCACGGTATGGTTATTGTGGTACACTGCGCGCGCAGTGATGGGGAACTTGCAGTTATCCACGACATTGTCGGCGCAGTACTGTGGGAACAAGGGGAAATTGCCCAGCGAGGGGTTGCCGCCCGTGCCACTGTCGTGCATATGCGAAAAGCCAGTGACTTTACTGCCGTCCGTCGAGAAGCCGCCTGTGTTCTGGCCTGCTACGTCGGCGACAGGCTTGGCGAGGCCGTAGGGCAGACTTGCTCCTGCGAAGACATTGCCGCCGTTGTCCGTGCCAATGAGGGGGTTGACATAGCGGAGGTCTTCCTTGGCTGCGCTTGCTGTCCAGGGTAGGTGTAGGAGAGTCAACGAACAGAGTATGGCTCGATATAGGGTAGCCATTTCGCTCTCGATGCGATTGCTCACGCCATGCAAAATGACGCGTTCGTCTAGACGGAGGATGACAATGGTAAGAGCACACTTGGCTTGGTGGGAGGTCGCATGGGATCGGCAGTCCGGACAACATTAGCGGCCATGGCTGGATGGGAAGGAGACGCAAGGGGGAAAACGTGCGGGGTTTGGAGATGATCGGAATGCGACTCTGTTTCGTGCCGGCTGTCAAATACTATAATCCGAAGAACACCTTGCATGTAGGGCGGATGTAGACATTGTTAAGCGAGAAATATTTAGCCATGGTCATTCGTGATGCGAATACTCGCAACTGAGAATATGTGCGCTGTCGGATAATTACAATAATACAATGTACACAATGTTTGGCTTTTGGCCATCCGCACCAGGAGCACGGATGCACAGTCAATAAGAATAGGGCCGCATCTATAGTACGGTGCCCTTGTTTTGCTTGCGGTCGACGTTGTAGTTCTTCCACACGGCCACCGCGGGGATTGCCAGAACGAGAACACAAGTCGACGCAATGCAGTTGGCCCGCTGCGTCCAGCTCCAGGCATAAACCAGAGCATCGCGGACGGGAGTGCCGGGAGCATACTGCATCTGCGTTCCCAGGCCGTCGAGGGAGATTTTCATAGCTTGACTCTTCATATCATCAGGTAGGTGGCGCTGCAGCGCGCCCACCCACACGTTATTGTAGATGGCGGCCGTGACTGCAAGGCCGATCGCGCCGCCGATGTTGGAGAATAAGCCGATCATAGCCAACATCATCGGAATGCCCTCTCGGTCCCCGCCAGACATCACTGCCATATCCTCACCGATGACCAGCGTGCCGCCGCCAAAAGCGATGAAGATGGCGCACATCACCACGTAGCCGATTCCGTGCTCCTGTCCGCGGAAGTAGATCATTAGACCCGAGCCGAGGAGGATAATAGGTACGCCAAAGTACAAGCAGACGGGTTTGAAATGTCTGGTCTGGCGAATGAAGATACCCACGGGGATGGCCCAGAACGTGGATCCGACATTGTAGATCTGGAGCATGTATCCAGCGTCGGTGAGGTTCACGTTGTAGACCACCCGGAAGAAGTTCTGAAAGTAGAAATCCCAGAGCTCAAAGCTGAAGAAGATAACGAGAGACAGCGCGCACGCGCCGAGGATGGTGCGCTTCCTGAACAGCTCCCATCGGATGAAATGAGTGCGAGCAAACCATTTCTCCCACGCTGCGAAGACGAAGAACAAGCAGAACCCGACCACAAGCATCACGATGAATGTGGGGGTATCGTATGCCGAGCGACCGTAAGACACCAGGCTGAAAGGAAGCAGGAAGAGGACGAAGGCAACCATGATAAGCAGAGCACCAATCACTGGACTCGAATTAGCTTTGAGTGTTCAAGGTTGGAACCGGAGGATACTCTTACCGTCGAATTCGTGAATGTAGTGAACAATGGACTGCAATCTGGTGCGACCGCTCGGCTGTCGGTGGTAAATGCCCATTTTCTGGGCCTTCTTCTCGTAGTACTTGAAGATGAGGGCTAATGGAATAAAGACGAAAAACTGGACAATGGCAAAAATACCATATCCCCAGCGCCACCCAGCCGTCTCCAGCACGGAAGATGCAGCCAAAGACGCGGTGAAGGCGGTACAGATGAAAGGAGTCTGAATGAAGGCAAAGGCGAAGGCACGATTCCGCAGCCCAGACGTATCGGCAACAAACACATCCATGAGCAGATACAGACAATAGTATCCAATCCAGTAGAGGGTATAGCCAGCTGCGAAGGAGTTCGGGCCCGTACAAGCGGCCAGAATGATCATTCCAAGCAGGTAGATCGCCAGAGAGAATATCAGACCCTCCGCACGACCCCACAGGTTCAGAGTCTTGCCCAGAGGCAATTTAACGACTCCACCGATGATATTCGCCAGCATGTACGCGGTAGGAAGCTGCGGGGCCTGCTGGAAGTCGGTGAAGACATATGGATTGAGCAGATTGGTCATGGTTTGGTGGAAAGCCAGCATGAAAAAGCAGACCCAAATCCTACGTTCGTTCGATCGCAATTAGATCTTTCAACAATTGAACAGTTTGAGTCCAACTAACCAGGCATACGTCCCGAACACGGCTTTGCGGCTCCAGACGAGGGCCACCGCTTCGGCTTTTTGCAGACCGGCGTAGGTGCCCTCCGTGATGGAGTCGGGGTGTGCTGAGACCTCTTTATCCTCACGAGCCTCCAAGCTGCGAGTTTCGGGGTCGACGTTCAATCCATATTGCTGATCACCATCATTGACCCTAGTCGTGGCCGCGGTGCCCTGCTTCTCGTAAGCGTCCGTTTCCGTCGGCGCAACTTTATCTCGGCCATCTCGGCCCCGAACGATATCGAGAACGCCCATGACTGCAGAATAGCCGTGGGCCGCTGTCGATGATCGGAAAAGCAGAGGAGGGTGAAAGATGAGGGAGGGAGTGAGAAAGAGGCACGAAACGGAGAGAGATCGGCAAGTCCGGCCTTTTCTACATTTTGCGTTACAACCCCAAGCCCATTATGTAAGATCAGATAAAATCTGTGCGCCGACCATCTGATAAGTGCTCGGCCAATCGTGGTGGTTCCGCCGGGGGCGGCGGCTGCTGATTGGCGACAATAGACATGCGCCCTGGCCCGTTCGGGACTAGCGTGGCGTCGCCGCCCACGGGTCGCCCCTGCCCGAGTCGCATCATCTATCCTCATTGCGGAAGGAACTGTTTGCGGCAAGTGCGGGTGAGAGTGAGAACTTTCGATCGAACATCATGATGGGCCGTCGCGGCACGCAATTGAGTCTCCTGGTCAATTATCTCTATGCATTTTTCCACGCGACGCCAAGCGCGGCGCTATGGCCGCATGGAAAGAGAAAATGGTAAATTCCACGAGTGGGAACCCTACCACATGGATCTAATAATAATATCCATTCACCTGACCCGGCTCCATGTTCCGAAAATCCTGCTGGAGTCCTTCTTCCTCGGAACCGGATCCAATTTCAGTCCTCGAGGGAGGCTCAGGACCTCACGATTATGCATGATGTCGTTACACCCTCCGGCTAACAGACTGAACCTCTAGCGGCGCGGGTCTGTCGGACAAGATTGGTGTCAAGGACGCATCTCATCTAACGCTAGAAAGGAAACATTCGACCCAGCTCGGTTCTCTGTTTGACCCACCCCGCAACTAATGCAAGCCACTACCTAACTTCCTGTCGTGTTGATCAAACCACGGGTGATGTGGCTCCGCTCACTGATTAATTTTTGCTCATATCAATCTAATCTGATGGTTGGTTCCAGCCATGCCACAGGGCGGTCCTCACCGAATATGCCCGGCATTGTCAGTTTCTTTCCGGAGCTTCCGTGCCCCTTTTTGTTGGCGCCGCTTGGCTCAGAAATACCCATGGCTCGCTTTCCCATCGGTGAAATTTGAAGCTTGGCGACTTCGTTCTAGATGCCTGCGGGCGGTGTCGGCCCACGGGTCGTGTGAGAAAAAGATACTTGCCGGGAGAAGCCGTTACAATTGCCGCCCGACTACGGTTGATACGAGTAGTCACTCAGCCGAACCCTTGAATGTGAGATGTCCATCGAAGCAAGTGCATTTCATTCAGTCATTCAACTCGTTATTGTCACAGGATTTCTCCAGTATGGTCCAAGATATCTTTGGTCCAAGATGATAAGCGTGTATTGGTATCTTCAAAAGAAACAGTGGTTGTCAAAATCAAACGACGTTCCTCACAGTATGTCCATCTGTGGCATCGCAGCCCACTCGGTTATTTCATTCACTGGCTCTTCGGAGCTACACCGGTCACACCGGCACACAAACCGGAATGATTTTCGAAGATGCTCGCGGCGGGAGGAAATATCCGTATATTGTGTCAGATCGAAGTATGAGATGCAGCACTCTTCTCCCGGAAGAATATCGCGAGATGTGGTAAAGACCATACGTCCTTCATCATCAGGTTTATGAATGATCTGAACGTGAGTTAGCATGCACTCATTTCACAGTATGGAAAATAGCCACCTACATTCGGCGAACATGAATGGTTGGCCATTGCTGCCGTGGGATACACGGCTGCAGCAAACTGCTCCCCTCGGTCAATTGGAGGATTCGGTAGAGGGAATATGCCTGTTTCTCGTGGGTAAAGGCCGAAAGAATTTGCCTCTTCTTGACAGATGAGATGGAGGATGCGATCTGTACTCATCCCATGCGGTAGCCCTGCGCTGCTCTGGAGATACTTCTTCACAAGGGTATTCCAGGACCGAACCTTGTCATGAGACCAGGTGTCGGTAGATCCGCATAATGAGTCAATGCCATCCCAGCCATGTCTCCATTGCTGAGACTTCAATTTGACCACCCCAGCACCGGTGGAGGGATCTTGCATTTCGACATGCCGCGTAGCAAGCAGTCGAATAATCACCCACAGCATGCCGAAGTTGTATTCGCCCCATTTGGTCCGAATTGGTCCCGCGTACCTCTTCAGCCATGTGCATTCGAAGGCATGTCGAGTTCTATCGGCGTCTCTGCAGGTGTTGCTGCACCAAACCACATCCGGGATGCAGGCATTGGGGCACGGATACCGCTCAGTATTATGGCAAGTTGCTCGGCGATTACAAGCGGGACTGCTGCAGATCAGATCATCGTTCACTGCTGGCTCATCAACGACAGGAATGACTGCGTATGGACGATCGACAAGAAGACAGGTCCCTTCGGGGACGAGGTGTGACACGCGCAGCTGGCGGCCCTTGACCGGGTCGACGCTCTCAATTAAATGCGGGTGGATCCAATCAGGCTGCGTCTGGGTGATCCCGTCTACAGGATTTGGTTGCGGTTGTTCGACAGTGATATATACGACTTCAGACATGGCGTGGTGGTTGATGCCCGAGGGGTATTCCCGGGGTGAGTTTTAAGGGTTGCGCTTTTTTTTGTTACAAAAGCTGATTTTAAGCGGCCATAGCCCGGCGAGAAAAATTTGCTCCGGATTTTCTGCTTATCTGAGAATCCGCTCTGAAGAGCGTTCCGTTTGGTTAGGGTGGACTGTGGGTCATTCTTGTCGCCATAATGAGCCAATACCGGCGCCACCCGGGAGCCCGAGGTGAGGTTATTCCGAGCGACTGCGGATGATTGGCGGTACACATAACGCCGCAGCATTGACCGTACATTATTGGCCAATCGTATCCTCGGCTCAATATTTACTTGGTCTAGTAATTAACCCAGCCGGTTATATCTAACTAGAATAAAAACAATTTTTAGACCGGCAATTTATTTTCATTGTGCCTGGATGGTTAATAAAACTTCTTTCTGAAGCTTGGCTTGACACCATAAACCTAGGCTCCACTGTTTTGACAGGCTCGATGCCCACCAACCCTCGCTCGACTTTATTTTTGATAGTATTCCGCCACCCATTCCTTGATCTGTGCGACTTCAGCGTCAATCACTGCCTGCACACCCGCATTCACTGCACCATTTTCAAGAATGAGATCCGAGCAGTGAATGCCGTCTGGAATAACATGAACGGGTGCCGATGGCCGGGACTGGAGTGGCCCGCCAGGGCGGAAGCCCGAAGAGACACCTGCCTCTCTCCAGGGATCATATTGCCTATTGAACTGTGTTAGATGCCGTGCAAATATTGCCTTGAACAAGGAGAAGAAGAGATCTTGATCATACCCATTGGTCCAAGTTAGTCGAGTTGTATCAGTAAGATCCCAGCCTTTGGTCCACGCGTTGACCTCAGCTGCCGTTTTGCCCTTGGCGCTACCGTAGGTTTGGCCTTTCATCTCGGGGAAATACAGGGGGCATTGCCTCTGGTAGTATTCGCCGTTGACAGTGCGAGAAACCACGCTTGGGACATCGGACGGCGCACCACTGGGTATATAAGTCAGAACGGAGTAACAATGCAATTCAAGTAGAAGAAACATACTCTTGCCAGTAGAAGAACGGCTCGTTGCACAGGAACCACTCCCATTGCCTATCAACAGTGTTGCTCACGGACAGATCCGTATACATAGGATTGTTGGGATCATGAGTGTTATAGCATGCAGTTGTGTAGTTATCACTCCAGTAGCCGTAGGCCGCGCAGGCTAAGGTTCATGTTCATCAGTATGGCCAATCTCTTGAATCCGAACGGTGTTAGCTTACATCCAGGAAAGTAAACGTTCTTGAACCACTCTGAATAACCGTGAAGCGCTTTTTGGAGACCAACACCATCGGGCCCGGCAACGGTGCTGTTGGCATTCTAAAAATATATCAATATTTGCCCTCGCCGAGTTAAATCGAGGTTGAGTTGCTGCATACCTCAACATAGTCGCAGAATTCGTAAAATCCCGAGTAGCCTGTGTAGAAGGAATTTTCCTGCCACAGCCATGGCCCGTTCTCCAGCGCACTAATTATGAGTAAGCTTCTCTGCCAATTCCAAGCTGAATCCGAAGGGGGCGTAAATACTTTGCAAAATCATCAAAATACTCCAGATCGCCGAGCCCAAACATATCTTTCAGGTTCTGTCGCTGTCTGTCTGTTCCGTGGCTATTCACTTGATCAATGTAATCAACTACCCGAGAGACATCAAGACTGCAGTTCTGCGGCATTCCCTCCTGGATAGGCTTGAAGTATTGCCACTGCCAAATGTTAGAACACAAAATACTCTTCGGAAAGGTAATAAGATATTGGAGAAAGGCATACGTAGTTGAAAATAGCCTCAACAGGAGCACTGGATGCATGGTAAGCCCAGAACGTGCCTGGGGACGTCGACTCGGTCCAGGCTGTCAGAGCACCGCTATAAGATCCTCCACTAAGGACCCAGGGCTACGGGGGGTGACATCAAAAAGTCAGTCGACTAGAAATGACTTGAAGGAGTGAATCATCGAAACATACCGCGTTTTGAGCATTGCTGCTGTGTTTCTTGTCGAAGGGAAGTTTTACGTTCTTGGCAAAGTATGTGAGGTCGGCAATAGAATTTTCCAAAGTCAGGTACTGCAGGTTTTCCGTCGTCAACTCGCTATATGGAGATGATTCTCCCCAGTAGCGGTCTACCGAGGTCTTAGTTCAATCGTAACTCATATGTTTGAAGAGAACGTACGTTCAAGCATGACAACAGCTCCATTAATTTCCTGCGCGTAGAGCCCAGTAATGGTCTTGTTCGTCAAGTAGCCGACATATCCATCAGCTGCTTCCTCACCAGGGGTGAAGAGGACCACCTAGAGTTTGCCAGGTTAATATCCACTGCCACAACACGGACGGGAAGGTCACGTACCGGTGAACCCTCTCCGTTCCACCATTCCGCGTTCCACCAGTAGCGTTGAGAAAATGTTCCCAGTTGTGGATTCTTGTGATCAAGCAGCTGCTCAAACGTTGAATTGCCGGCTAAGTTTGAATTGCCGGCTACGGCGTGGCTGTTGAATGCAGCCCTGAAAGGGGGTGCAAGGGGTCTCCGTAACCCTACAGCTTGGGCAACGGAGACACAAAGTAAAGATAATGTCACTGAAGATAACTGCATGTTTGCGGCACCCGAAAGACTAAAGACTGACAGGTAACACCTTATTCTTTAAATACAGGTCCCACGCGGCCTCTTTATAGGAGTTCCTACGGTGTCCGGGAAGTCCCTAGGACTGCTATTACCACACTCAAATTTGCAATTAGCCTCCGATCGAATCACAGCAGGCGAGGCTTAACGAAGCGATCGTAAGATCAATTTTCAGCCAAGTGGAGAGTCGCGATAGTAACCATCCCCGCTCGGGTAGTCCTTAGCGCGAAAACTGATTAGACCCATTGCATCCCCAAGATTAAACTTCCCCGAGAGTTTGCCATTATTCTCAAGAACCTTTAACAAAATATAGGAATTTCAGCATTTGGAAATTCTTTGAATCGGGTACCTGCAGCTCATTGTTGAAGGAGTATGGATGCTTCCGCTTCATTGTTGATCATCGGGTGGTGGGTTTCAGGGGTCCGAGCTAAGTTAGCGTTGCAATGAGCACAGTGCCCTAGTATGAATTTGCCGCCGGGAGTCCGACATTGCATTGTAGGAAAACGACTGCTCTGGGTTCCCCGCTTCTAAGTGGCTGCTGATAAGCCCTAATTAGTGTTAGTAGCCTTCCTTCAAGGAGGGCCTAGGCAAAAGTCACACAAGAGTCAAAATAGCCTGTCTGAAGATTGCCTCCGCACTTGTCACAGATGTCGCAATTTGGCCAGTCGGAATCTCCGACGTGGACTACCATCATCGCGACACAGGACTTGGAGTATTTAGGGGATCAAACCCGGCCCCATGATCTAGATGTTTGCACGAACCATTGATGGGTGACAGCGCTTAAGTTCTTCGATATGCGACAGCTATGGACTCGCCAGGGGGCAGGGCCACAAAGACATCTTCACTAACGAGGCCCTTCTAGTCCCAGCGGGCCACGCGAGCACTATGGGCTATTTTCCTTCTGGCCATGGTGGCCAGCAGCTCACTTCCGATAGTCATTTGCGGGGGATATTGAGAAAATCAGAGCAAAGAGAATGAAATAGGATGTGGCAAGCAACATCTAGGACGAGGCCCTCAGCCTCTTTAATAGGGTCATGTTGTAACCAATAACCGGAAGAATAGTTATGGCCTTGGACTAATCATGGATAAAGGCATGCGGAGTGAACTGCTGTCTCCGCGAAGGAAGCGATCGGCATGTCCTAGGGGTGTCGCGGAGCATCGCCGGTGGTGATTATCCCGGTCCAATAATTGCGTCCACTGGAATCAGCATTACGTACACAATTTTTTATTCGAAGGGCCTTTATTTATAATTATTTCTATCCTTGGTGATTTAGGGGTCCCCTGACGTGTTCGTATAATCCTCTTCGGTAGCTAGGGATATCGTCCATTACAGGTCAAGATATTTTTCTGCGAGTTTTTACGGCTAACCTTTAATATCAATCCGTCGCTTCGCTAGCCGATCTGCAAATCATTTCCCGGTCTATGGCGTGTTGCATCTCTATACACAATTTACTCTCCCCTATCACCAGTCTACCTTGCTGTCCTACCTCCACTACCACTTGCTCAACTGATCCCTATATAAAGTACTAGCTTCGAGTCACTGAGCGAAACGACGATCATGACTTGTTGGTCTAGTCTTTTGATGATTATACGTCGGGTTGCGGACGCATAGATTCCGCAATATAATTCCCGTAGAGGTCGGGTAAATTCGTAAGAGGAAGGTGCTTAACAGCCGTAGAGGGGTACTCAATGGTTCCTTCTACGGTTCAACCGAGGCAAGCTATTTGTATCTTGACTACTTGGAAAGTTCAGCTTCGGTCTGTTTGTCGGGATTCCCTTAAGCTACCAAAGGCAATTCAGTGATCCAGTTAGGTTCGGCGAGGGTGCATACTGAATACATGATTCAACTTATTTAGAGTTTTCTATTAATCTCTTTATCGTGACCGAATATGATCCTTCGCGTTTAGCTAATGTGACGTTGCCTGAAAATGCGGGGAGCGTGGGGATATGCATCGGGATTTTTAGCGAGAAGCGTGTCCGCTGCATGCTACTAGGATCGCCAGAAGATAGTGAGTACCACAAGCTTAAATAGTTGACCTCCTGCTCGGCCTTTTTTCCCCGGTACGAATGATTTTCTCTCTATCACTTTAACATGCAATTGACTCGCGTGCTAGCTATTATTGGCGCCGAATTGGTCTGGGCAGCGGCGACAAGCAGAGCAGATGCCGCCCCTGTGAAATCCGGCATCCAGGTGCTTCTGGAGAACGCGAAAGAGCTGAAGTCGCTGCAAAACAACCACGGCGTAGGAATTGTGACAAACCCGACTGGCTCACTCCCGAACCTGATCAATGATGTTTATGTGCTCCAATCGGAGAATGTAACTATCAATTCAATCTTCTCGCCGGAGCAAGGGTTCAATGGCGCTCAACAAGCGGGGAGCTCGAGCGGCGGTTATATAGATCCCCAGAGTGGCGTCCCTGTTCAGACGCTGTATGCGCTGACGCCACAACAAATGCTGGCTAGCTTTCGGAACCAGAGTGTCGACACCATTTTGTTTGATCTCCAGGACGTCGGAGCTCGCTTCTACACCTATGTTTGGACCATGGCCTGGATTATGGAAGGCATCGCGGGAACCAACATCACATTGATCGTGCTGGACAGGCCAAACCCGATCAACGGCGTTGACGTCGAGGGTCCACTGCTGAACATGAATTACACCAGCGGTGTTGGACTATTCCCGATTCCGCTGCGACACGGCATGACAACCGGTGAACTGGCGCTCATGTTCAATGACAAGTTTATCCCCAACCACACCGGCGGGCGCAAGGCGAAGGTGGAAGTTGTCTGGATGGAGGGCTGGACTCGCGACATGTACTACGATGACACGGGATTGCCATTTATTTTGCCGTCGGCCAACCTGCCGACTCTCGACAGCGTAATTGTCTACCCTGGAACAGGCCTGATCGAAGGAACCAATATTTCAGAGGGCCGCGGGACAACGAAACCATTCCAACTTCTGGGTGCTACGTGGATCGACTGGCATCTAGCGCGGGCAATGCAGTCTGAGAACCTACCTGGCACTGCCTGGCGCGAGGCGGCATTCATGCCGGAATTCGACAAATACGCGAACCAGACTGCGACAGGTGTTGAATTATATATCACGGACCGGAGCGTCTTTAGCCCACTCCGCACAACAATTGCGCTCCTAGTCAACGTTCGAAAATTGTACCCGAGCAAGTTCGAATTTATCCCCGATGACTTTGACATTCTGAGCGGCTCAGCTTATATTCGCACCGCAATCGAAGCGGGCAAGAATACAAACGAGATTGTCACTGGATGGCAGGAGGAGTTGCGATCCTTCATGCGGCTTCGGACCAAGTATCTCCATTACTAACTAACCTTTGGAGAGCCTCTCAAACGGAGAGTCGATTGTCCCTGAAAACTGCTGCGTATCTCTCTAGAATACGAACTTCGTTGTGAACGCAGAAATACAAGAAAATCTCATTGACAGATCTTGTCGCAGTAAGTGTCCTCAATCATCCTGAGGTTTACACTCTGAGGTCTACGTAGATATATATACTGGTAAAAATTAGCCCTCATTCTCATACTCAAACAAAGCGGCAGGCTTTTGAAATGCGAGCTACGGAAATTATCGGTTCTACTCAAAGATCAAAAGAGGAAAGTAACATATGACTGCTTCCGAACCCGAAACTCCGAAGTCCATGGCGATTCTATCCCAAAGTCCTCTTCGCTTTATTCAGTATTATTAATAAGGTCATCCGTCATTCCTTGTCAGCAGCAGCAATGACCAGTTGCATCATAGTAAAGTAAAGATTGACGAGACCGATCTCAGAATCTCGAGCTGAAAATATAACTGGTGTTTTCCGATGTGATGACAGTATCGTGCATTCGGCATTTCCCTTCCGATCGTGTGCATGGAACCAATCAAGTGGGGGCGCTTATGCAGTTGCCATGAGCAATGCACGCGGGCATCGCATAAGGTGTTTTACTCTTTCCCATGGGTCGGCGACGAGAGAAGCAGAAATACAACCCGCCCAAAGGCTGTGGGGATATATTCCCCAGACTCGCTAGGTCTCCAGTTCCCCGCCTTTTACCTACGGGGGTCCTCATCTGGTTGTTTCGAGTTGCTATTCAATGGATCCCGGTCAAAAGCTTGGCTTCTAAACTGGTGGCGCATTCCCGATCAGAGAACGAGCCCCCGGGTGTTTTATGCATACGATATGCGCCGGGAGCCGGATGGGGAACCTGCCGACAACCTGACCAGAACCCCTATGGTGGGTAGCTCCGAAATCCTACACGGTCGCAGAGGCAGGCCGTCATTAATCGGTGCTAAAGTCCGTCCCCACCCCTAAAGCCCGGCTTCCCTGCATTAATATTATTCGGGATTGCTCATAAAGCTGTTTTCCCGCTCTGTCGCTAATACCTCCTCTTTTCACTTCCTCTCCGGCGACCTCCCCAAGCAACCGGCACGGTTCCTTTCGTGCATCCGTTCAACTGGAGGCTGTCTGGTCGTCAAAAGCTTGGTCCGGTCTTACCTGGATACTCTAATTACGCAAGTCACGCCAACAGCCTAAGGTCGCCCCCTTCAGACTGAAAATCAGCCCCCAATTGCGTCCGAGCGTGTTTCATCAAGAGTTGCCATCTGGGCGTTGCGCCTCTAAAATGGCAGACGACGAGAGTAAGCTTCCGTTTTATTCTTATTTCTTTTTGTGTGGGGAGCATTTTCCCCACCGCGGAAAACAATCTTCTGAAACCGCTCTATAGAGACCTCTTCCGTCCACGGTCCTACACCAGAGAACAGCAATACGGATATTGACCATATCAATGAGGAGAAACTTTCGCAACACGAGGTGCAAGATATAGATGTCGAGAAAGGGCCTCTTGAGACACAGGATGGCGAGAATCAACAGAAAGAGAAGGCGCCGCGGGATCCTAATATCGTCGATTGGGATGGCCCAGATGACCCGGAGAATCCGTTGAATTGGACCACGAAGCGAAAAGCCTCTGCGACAATCTCCATCTCCTTGATCACATTCCTCACGTATGTGCCCTACGAAGCCTTTGGCTCTTACAAGACTAACCATGAATCACCATTAGACCCCTCGGTTCCTCAATGTTTGCACCTGGTGTGCCCGAGTTGATGAAAGCGTTCCATCTCACCAACACCCAACTTTCTTCTTTTGTTGTATCGGTTTACCTGCTCGGCTATGTTTTCGGTCCACTGATCATTGCGCCTCTGTCGGAAATGTACGGACGCCGAATTATCTATACTACTTGCAACCTGCTCTATGTGATTTTCACGATCGCCTGTGCTCTCGCCCCGGAGATTGGCAGCTTGATTGTTTTCCGCTTTTTTGCGGGCTGCGCTGGCAGCTGTCCTTTGACTATTGGAGCCGGTTCGATCGCGGATATGTTTCCACAGGAGAGAAGAGGTGGTGCCATGGCTTCTTGGGCTATTGGTCCTCTGATTGGACCTGTCGTTGGTCCGGTTGGTAAGTCTTTTTTTCTCTTCGTATTCGATTAAAAGGCACTGAACATAATGGATAACCTTTGACATAGCTGGCGGATATCTCGCAGAAGCAAAGGGCTGGAGGTGGACTTTCTGGGTCCTTGCAATGGCGGTAAGTGCGAAATATGACATAGAGAAAAAGAATAATAACAGCTAACTCTCTTCCAGAGCGGCGCCGTCTCTATCAGCTCGTTCCTCTCCATCCGCGAGTCCTACCCCCCGACGCTTCTCGACCGCAGGACGAAAAAGCTACAGAAGGAGACCGGAAACGCTAATCTACGCTCTGCCCTCGACGACGGCCGCAGTCCGAAAGACCGCTTTTGGTTCTCTATTGTGCGCCCTACAAAGATGCTCTTCCTTTCCCCGATTGTCTTCCTGCTCTCGCTCTATGTCGCTGTGATTTATGGATACCTGTATCTGCTTTTCACTACCATAACCGAGGTTTTTGAGAGAAATTACCACTTCTCAGAGGGATCAGTTGGACTCGCATACCTCGGCATTGGAATCGGGTCTATGATCGGCCTTTTCATCCTGGGCGTGACTTCCGACCGGCTGCTGAATTACATGACGGCCAGGAATGGCGGCATCTCGAAACCGGAGTATCGACTCCCTCCCATGATCCCCGGCGCGTTGTTCATTCCACTTGCGCTGTTTATGTATGGTTGGTCTGCTGAGAAACACGATCCTTGGATCGTGCCTATTATTGGAACTTCGTTCCTTGGTGTCGGCATGTTGATAGCATTTGTAAGTGCGGATCTAACTGCGACGCCCTTTTGCAACGTATTAACTTCGCCACAGATGACTACTAGCACATATCTGGTCGACGCTTATACCGTCTATTCCGCTTCTGCCATGGCTGCGAATACCGTATTCCGGTCTCTAATAGGCGCGATCCTTCCAATGGCCGGTCCGTCAATGTATGCCGCGCTCGGTCTCGGTTGGGGCAACTCACTGCTCGGCTTTATTGCGCTGGCACTTGCCCCGCTGCCCATTGTATTCTATGTGTACGGTGAACGTATACGAAACAGTAAGATGTTCCGTGTTGAGTTTTAGGCGAGCTATATAACGTTCTTCTCTGGTTTAAAATCTGTCAACTCTCCAGTTCTTGTTTCTTTGGCATCATCCTCAAAACGAAATGGTTGGTGTCTTTCAAATCATTACGGACGCATGGATTGGCGCTCTCATGGTTACTGTTGCTATAGTCCCGTTTAAGACTTACGAGTCGCTGCTAGGAAAAACAAGGTGATAGTTCTAAAACCAAGCTGCGTGTTATGCATGAGGCACGTAACCACCCTAACCCTGTATTTGCAGTGGTCCAGTCTACTATCGACTAGTTACCTGCAATTTACTCTTCAAATGGAGGGAATCGACTCATAACCGCTTCAGCGTCCTCCAGCTCCTCCCTCAAAATCCGTCGATGTGCCTCGCTCCTTACCCGAATCTCACATTTAAATGGAAAGGGTCGTATATTGAACCCCTGCGTATAGTCAAAAGTATCATAGCTTCTCTCAGACCCGTCGGGATTTTTCGCCGGCCGAATTTCAAATGCCCACAGCAGGCGTGCCAGTGCAATGAACAAGGAGTTCTGCGCCAGTCCGGCACCAGGACAAATACGTCGGCCCCATCCAAAGGAGCTATGACCTTCCTTAGCAGGATGAGGCCTTGGTGGTGATGCCTCGGCGATGTCCTCTTCTGACAGGGAAGGGAGATACGGCAGTATGGCTGGATCGACGGACAGGAAGCGGAGTGGGTTGAAGTGGTGGGGGTTCGGGTAATAAATTGGGTTGAGATTAATAGCCCATGAGTTGGAGAGAATTGTCGTGCCCTGCGGGATTGTGTAGCCCTTATATGAGTCGGCAACAGAGTTGGCATGTGGGGTGCCCCCAGTACGGCCACGGGGCGGATTCGAAGCGTCTCATTGCAAAGTGCCTTGATATATGGCATATTCGCCTCATCACTGAACCGTGGTAATTGGGAGGTTCCAATTACGTGATCGAGTTCTGCATGCGCAATGGCTTGAACGCCTGGGTTTGTCACTAGCATAAGGATTGCGCTGCAGAGCGTACTAGCCGTTGTGTCACTGCCAGCTCCAAAGAGTGACGCAGGCACAAACGAGAAGTCCCGTTCACTGAGGACGCCAAAAGAAGCAGGGTCAGACTCGCGTGCTTCAAGAAGCAATTTTGTCAGAGAGTCGGGGACCTGGTCAGAATTCTTGATTTCATCCTGGACACGCCGAACAAGACTTATATTCGTAGCAGCCTCTTCACGGCCTCGGCGTTGAATCTCTGCTTTCCATGGCGCAAGAATATTTGGCACATGCTTGAGCCAGGGAATTGTCTCAGCGAGGAACCGGCCTGGTACATTGAGGGATGCCGAATATTGCATAAAGTCAAGTCTTTCGCGAATGACCTTAGAGCTCATAGAATCTATCCGATGACCGTAGGCGATGCTAAACACTACACTTGCCGTGAACCGGTCGATGAGCATCTCGTATGACTCCGGCCTATCAAGCAGGGCAGCACACAACCTCGTTGCCTCGGCCTCTTGCACAGGCTTGTACAGGCGGAGTGCGGAGGGGTTCAGCGCCTGATGAAGCATCCGTCGTCTTATTTGCCATTCCTTTCCATAAGGCTGCACCAAAATACCCGCATTGTCCCAATATAGTTCTCCCATTACCACGAAGCGGGGGCGGGAGCTGAACTTGGTGCTCCGTTTTTCGAGGAGGTCTACCGCCACATTCGGGTCAGATATCACAATTGTGGGACGGCGGCCAATCCACAGCGTGAATATTGGACCGTATTGTTGAGCCCATTTCTCGAATTGGATCCATGGTGATGATGTTGGGATTATTAGTTGGTTGCCGAGGAAGGGAAGAGGTATTGGTCCAGGGGGGAGGCGGAGGAATAATAAGATGTCGTGGACAAGCACTGATAGGATTGGAAGCGCGATGATTGCAAAAGCGAGGGTGTATGGTTTTGCAAGCAGGAGTTGAGGGAGGAAGGATATTGCAAAGCTATCCGTAGGCGTTGTGAGAGTCATGTTTGTCAAGGTGTAGTTATACTTTCGAGTGGTCTCCACCTCAATCATGCAAAAGAATATAGTTGTTGTACTCGATTTCTCACGGCATGTGCATTCGGAGTTATAACTGCCGGGAACCGGCCCCACGACTCCACATTGGGGGAGGGGAACTGCGGGGAAGGGCACATTTGTACAGTAGGTAAATCAACTCGCTGTCTTTGCCGGAGCAGAGGCTGGCTTAATGTGGGGCAGTTGGAGCTGTCTACTTCTATCTATGAGCTGTGAATCTTTCCGCGTTGTTTCGGTTAGGTATTCGTAATGCTGATCGATCGGATATATATTGTACAAGTGCCGGGTGGATCGAGATCCCAAGTAGCCAAACACTATTGTTATGACTTGATTTTTCATACGAGACCGGGCTTTTTGTCTTCTCTCAGTTTTAGACCTTAACTGAGGCTGTCTCTCCAATCACTCTCCAAACCCTTTCGAAACTCGGACGCTATACATGATTACCTCAGCAGAATCGTCCAATCAGGGCGTATCATGTGCTGTCGATCCCCCCCGGCCGAGGAATAATGTGAACCGTTTCTCACTCCCCAGTTCAAAGGAGCGGCATCACCACCATCTTCGATGCAGCGGGAGTGGCAATTTCCGAGTTGATGGAACGTAGCGGCCGTCGATGCCGTCGCGTCGCAGCCATACCAAGTCCCGGAAGGGCTGTTTGGAGTGTAAACGGAGACATGTCAAGGTAGGTTCGTTCATGTGCGTATTGGTCGCTCAGTTCGCCGTGTGTACACCCGCGATTGAAAACCGATAGTTTTGAATTGCCCACACTGTTTCTTCTCCTACAACTTATATTGCTCTCTGCAGAGTTAAAAGCCCAATCTAACATGTTGTCAGTGCGATGAGGGGAGCCCGAAATGCTCGCTATGCAAAAGGCGAAAACTCGAGTGTAACTATCCGCCCTCAAACGAAGAAGACAGCCCCCCTGAAACATCGACGTCTCATGATGGGTCTGACAATGGGTCTCTGATCCCGACTACGGGAGATCCGTGGTCGACTCGTATGCTGGAGACAAGGCTGCTACATCAGTACTTAACCTCGACGTATCACACTTTGTCCGAAGACGATATATCGGCCCATCATTTTTCTATCAGTATTCCTCGCATGGCTACTCTTTTCCCATACTTGCTTGATGGCTTGCTCGCATTATCTGCATTACACCTGGCCTCAATTGAGACCGTTAACCGTCCATCATGGATCAATGCTGCTTTGCGCTACCAGAGCCAAGCGTGTTCTGGGCTCGGGAAGGTTCTCTCCAACATCTCACCGCAGCATCTAGAACCGGCCTTCATGTCATCCGTATTCATCATGTTGTTTGCGACCGGTCTTCCAAGTATATCCCCTGAAAACCGCCCGGCGGATCCCCTTTCTGCGGTTCTCGAGGTCCGCACGTTGATCACTGGCTGTGCCATGTTATTCAATCAGATCAACTCGTTTGACAGCGAGGGCGAATTGAAGGGCTGGAAATGCTTTAGTGACCGACACGAAGATCTCACAAAGAGAAACCTCAATAGGTATGCAATTTCATTCCGAAGTCTGCACCAAATGGTAGGTATTGACGAGTTTTGCAGCGATGGCTTATTAGACGCAAGAATGGTAGAACTGTTGGAGTTACACCAGTATGTCCCTTGCGAATAGTATTTCACGCGGTACTGATGATTATAGAAAAATTATGGAATCGCTCGGCCGGTTGCACACCACCATCGACAAAAGCCAGTGCCCAGGAAAAATCACATATCAAACAACTTGGCAGCTTCTTTACCGGGCTGTCGAGCCGTGGCCTAAGACTGGCCCGTATGGAGGCCTTATTGCATGGCCGCTATTCATCACCGAAGAATACCTAACGCTTCTCCAAAAGGGCGACTGGCTAGCCCGAATTTTCTTCCTATATTATGGGGTATGCATGCGCCTTCTGTCCCACCGGTGGTATGTCCGGGACTGGGGCTGCCAGCTTGTTGTTGCGACGCTGGAACCACTAGAAGAGATCCCGCCTGAGTGGGCCGAGAGTGTTGCGTGGATTAGACAAGCGGTCGATACTGATAGCTAGTCTAGACAATAAACAACAAATGCTATTATGCACTTGGTAGGTGCACAGTAGAGTTTGTCGAGGACACAGTGCCGCTAGTTAGTTATCTATGTTACTCCGAGGCTTGGCAATTAATAATTAGCTTATCGGCGGGGTCTCGTGCCCCTTCCTAGTACCGACGGAATCTTTTATTATCTTCTTCTTCCATTTATAATCACCAGAAACGCTACTTATAACAGAACAAAAGGAATATTTTGGCACTATCTCTCACGCCACCGTTGCGATACTCAGTTGTGGACTTGTCTGGAATCAGCAACCTCAAATCAAAATCTTCCTAGCGGCCAAGACCCGCTAGGATCCCTGCCAAGTGGAATGCCCCTGCCACACCCTTCAGAGATCGGCACACAAGATGCGGAGAAATTGGTAAATAAGTACCCTGCCTCTTGTTTCATTCTACCCTATTACTGCTGGCGGGGTCGTTGAGAGAATAACCATTTGAACAGCCCCTGTTGCCCTCATCTGCACCATCCTCCCTTGAGTCGGGAACCGCAGTTGGATCTCATTCGACATCACGTATTGGAAGGTGGGAAAGGATCGCAAGTATGGTTCGACCGATGAGATTCCGCCTCTTCGCGGTACTGTCCTTGGTCTTGGTGGTGGTGCATTTGCCCAATGTTTACACTTCGCCGTTGGAACTCTTTGATCGGGACCTCGATGGCCGCGATGCTTCCCATCGGGGTATTGGGCCTGGCAAGCTGGGCGCTGTTGCCAGTGAGAGCTCGATTTGCTCGCGCCATGGAACAGACATTCTGGAAAAGGGCGGCAATGCCGCTGATGCTGTCAGTTTACTTCTGCTACACTATATGGATGCCTATTTCTCACACGGATTTGTAACAGTTGGTGGCGACCCAATTCTGTGTTGGAGTTATCGGTGAGTTTCTGATAAATTATGACATCCAAAACAAGTGCAGCTTGCTAACGCCGTTTAGGGATGTACCATAGTGGTATAGGTGGAGGAGGCTTCATGCTCGTACACGCACCCAATGGCTCCTACGAGTTTATTGATTTTCGCGAGAAAGCACCGGCAGCTGCCTTCCAGGAAATGTATAGAAACAACACTGACGCTTCGATTTTCGGCGGATTGGCTAGGTAGATATGACAATCTGTTTGTCGGGGACAGCTATGCTAATGCCAATATCAGCGGTGTGCCCGGTGAAGTCCGCGGCCTGGAGCATCTTCACAAGAACTATGGGTCTCTGCCGTGGGCTACACTGTTGGAGCCAGCCATCCGGACCGCCCGTGAAGGCTTCCCCGTCACAGCGGACCTGGTCAATTACATGAACTCGGCAGTCGGCGATGGGCCGAACTTCCTCGTCAATGACCCCACATGGGCCCTGGACTTTGCCCCGAATGGCACGCGCTTGGGCGTGGGAGACATCATCACCCGGCGGCGCTATGCGGATACACTCGAAGTTATTGCACAGCAGGGTCCTGATGCATTCTACTCAGGTCCCATTGCTGAGACTATGATTAATGCTTTGCAGCGCGCAAATGGCACAATGACCTTGGAAGATCTGCGCGACTACGATGTTGCCATCCGCAATATCTCTCAGATTGATTACCGTGGCTACACGATTACTAGCACCAGTGCCCCTTCGAGTGGGATTGTCGCTATGAGTATCCTGAAAATCCTCGACACTTACAAGGGTTTCTTCTCGTCTGAGGAATCTGTGGATCTGAGCACCCATCGTATGGACGAGGCCATGCGCTTTGGTTACGGCGAGGTAAGATTGTTCTCTCCGGCACCCAATGGAATTTTCTAATAAACATTTGCACAGCGAACGGAACTCGGTGACCCTCTGTTTGTCAAGGGAATGTATGAATATGAGCGCAGCATGTTGAACCAGTCCACCATCGACGAAATTCATTCCAAGATCTCCGACTTTCACACTCTGAATGTATCCGCTTATGACCCCGCGGGCTTAGAGAGCTTGGACACGTATATCTCACCCGACTCCCTGATTATCCTTTGCTATGTATGATTAACTTTGTGTTTTAGTCCGGGAACTTCCCACATCGCAGCAGCGGACCACTCTGGCCTCGCGATCTCGGTCATCACGACTATCAACCTTCTGTTCGGCAGTCAAGTCATGGTCCCTGAAACGGGAATCATCATGAACGATGAAATGAATGGTACGCATCGCCCCCTGCCATAAACAGTCAGTTTTGTCTTATTGAATTGCTGCAGATTTCTCGATCCCCGGATCCTCCAACTCCTTTGGCTTCATCCCTTCCCCTGCGAACTACATCCGACCCGGTAAGCGCCCTCTTTCGTCCTGTACACCTGCAATCGTGACCCGACCGGATGGAACACTATACCTGATCACCGGTGCTGCCGGAGGCAGTCGCATCATCACCGCTACGGTGCAGAATATCATCCACGTCGTCGATCAAGGATTGACTGCTGCCGAAGCGCTGGCCAAACCACGGCTGCATGACCAGCTCGTCCCTAACCAGGTCACCTTCGAGTATGCCTATGACAACTCTACTGTTGCATTCATGGAGTCTCGTGGTCACAACGTTTCCTGGGTTGCTCCCGGGCAGAGTACGGCGCAGGCGATTCGTGTCCTGCCGAATGGCACTTTTGATGCTGCAGGAGAGCCGAGACAATTGAGTTCGGCTGGGTATTCTGTATAGAGAGATCGAGTGAGAATATATAGAGAGAGCGTATATTGGCATAAATAATGCTGCTAATGGCTCAAAAGCCCGCGACGTAACACATCTACACCTCAACGCGAAGTGACGGTAAATCTGTATACTCCACGGGTACCTGGCGATGGTCCGTGCGCATAATTCTTCTTTGGACTTTCTCCGCAGCTCCCATTTTGTCCCTTCCTCTTTCCGTCTTGCTCTCTACCACTCTTTACCAGATCAGCTCTCTTCCTTCCGGTCCCTGACCAGTCGCCCACCGGTTTGGGACATCCTTCACGGGCCATCTCTCTGTCAAACGCGTAACTACACGCGTCAACGTCGAGACTCGCGTCTGGGCCATGCCGAGGCTGGTTGTGCCCATGGCTTTCGCGGAACCCCAGACGTCTGAGCAACCTTGAGCATCCGTGAGCCAGCTCTGACCTTGTCTGCGCATGATCTAACAAGATCTCTTTTCATTTACAGCCGAATCCTTGAGCCGACCAAGCCATCTGCCTGCGCTTCATATGCCTCCCCCGCCATAGATTTCTTCGTTTGCCGACCCCAACCTAGCCCGGTCCATACCAGCGATAGATACACGAGATGACTTCCACCAACAGGGTCTCCGTCGTCATATCGCCTCCAAACTTCGACCTCGATTCCTACAAACTACTCCACTTCAATGAGTCATTCGAGCAGCTGTTTGACCGAGCCTGTGACAATATCTTGTCTGACGAAGCGAACCTGGAGGCATCGAACTCCGAACATGCCGTCGCCGAGAGCTTGTTAATTACGTCCTCTGATGGCGCGGCAGATGAACCAGACACTGCTGCCTCGGCGTCCAAAAAGTCGCGTTATGTTTATGTGCCTTCACCCAGGAAGATCAAGCATACGTATGGAAAGAAGGGAGTGGCGAACCGAACGATCACAATGATTGACCTTTCAAGCGACGACGAGGATGAGGCTACCCAGAAGCCTCAGAGATCGAGTGAGAGTAATGTCGACAATTTTGCAGGGGCCGAAGCTCCACTACTGGACATGGATGACCCTGCATTATTAAGTGAGCATGCCAGCGAAACTTCAAACGGCGATATCGATATGATGGACGCAGATGAAGATGGTGGCATTGCCTCGTTGGAGCCGTCCAACCAAGATGAATTCAAGCAGGTCGAAGACGAATCCAGGGAGAGCTGTGTGGGAAATTCTGTGGAACCCGAAGAATCACAGATCGAAACGACTGGATTTTTGGGTAGATCTGCTGACGATGCCCTGAATGGCGATGTCAGCGACGAGGAAGCGATAGAGAAAGATACCATCTTAGCTGGACCGACCTGTCCTCCCTCGTTTGCATCCATTGCTGCAGAGGTTCCTCAGGCCCGGCCTTCCGCGACTGCGTTATCTCGGCAGAAAAAGACCGACGGTCTATTCAGCAAGAAGACGCCTGAGAAGAAAAGCGTGTTAGCTCATCCATCGGAGTTTTTCAATCAAGACAACCTGATCCAGAGCGAGGGCGAGGAACCGGACGAGAGAGCTAGCGATGCTTCAAGCAGCGTTATCGATGTGGCTGACGCAGAGGAAGCTGCGAGCTCCGAAAGGAAATCTGTGGACTTTGAAACGTTAACAATGGAGGACGCGGGATTTCCGAATAGACACACCGACGAAGCTTTGAAAGGCGATATCAAGGACGAGACAATGGAGGAAGATGCCATCTTCGCTTCATTGGAGCCTTCCAAGCGAGACAAGCTGATGCAGTCCATTGTGTCTCACCCATTCATGACGAAAGGCGGTTACCCCGTGGTACGCTCCGAGAGATGTGAATTCGTCGACCACATCAGCAAGGAAGCCATGGACGCTGGAACGGACAAGATGGCCATCTATCGCCTGATCAGATACGTGCGCAAATTGTATTTGACTATGAATAGCTCGATGTCTGAGGCCGATATTGATGCTTTGGAAGGGGTTGAATTTGGCGATGAGCGACGGAAGAAGCAAAGGAGAAACCCCGATAGACCCGTGAAGAAGTCAAAGAGAAAGAAGCGACTGCTCGACAATGACGACTTACCCGAGAACACTGGACCCGACGGGAGCAACGAAACTCGGAACTCCCCGACCGTCATGTCGGATGCTTTCTTAGAAGAATCTACCTTAGCCCCAGACAGTCAGCCCGAAGTGGAGCGGGCTGAACCCAATATTGATGCCCTGGAGGACCATCGATTTGGCGACGAGCGACAACAGAAGCGGAAGAGTGACCTTAATAGGGAGGAGAAGCCAAAGAGGAAGAAGCGGGTGCATGATAGCGATGACCCTGCAGAATTGATTGTGTCCCAAATGCCCATGGAAGGGAACAGCGTGGATGCCGAAGACCATCACCTTGATTACGACATGAAAGCTCGCCATGACAATCTGCCCGAAGTTGAGGCCCCCGACCACCATTCTTCCAACAAAGCCAAACGAAACAAGCGCAAGAGAGAGCGTCAGAAAAAGAAGAAGGCCGATAAACATCGCGAAAGCCTCTTGAAAGTAGCACCTCGCGAAGGCACTCCCCCCGCAAAAGAAGTGAAGGTGTCGACTCCAAAGGAATCGAAAGGGACGCCCTCCAAAAGTCCAGGAAGCAGTCGCAAAAGCAGTCATGACGAACTCCCAGCCGACCCAGGGCTCTGGGATGTGGATTTTTGATAACCGAGGACTCGCAAGGTGTAGCCTCCAGCGATGAGGTGATGTCAAAGTATTTCTCTGTCAACCGTTCTCCCAATAACAACCACCACCCACCATCCACACTCCCACTGTGCAATATGTCTATACCTGAAGAGACCCGCAAGATCTTGAAAGAGTTGGATTTGTCATCGGACTTTCTTTTGTCAGATTCGTCTTTGAGTGATGTCCCCAGCGATTTCGAACCTGATTCTCCCTTGCCTCCGCCTCCAGTGCTTTTCCCCGACCAACGCACTCGTCTCCCGCCTCGATATTCAACTCCCCCGCCAAGGTCCCCCGCCAAATCCCCCACGAAAAGTGCATATTTTCTCAACCCCGAAAATGCGACTCTGTCGCGAGCCAAACCGCCCAAAGTCTCACCTTACTTCCCTTCGTTGTTAGGTGACCCTGCATCATGTCTTCCTTTTCCTCCGACCGATGCCCCGTCATTTGGCCTGATTCAAGAACAGCTGGCACACAATCCCTTCCGACTGCTTATCGCGACCATCTTTCTCAATCGGACTCGAGGCGGAGTCGCCTTGCCTGTTCTTTTCCAAGTATTTGAACGTTATCCAACCATTGAGGCGATGGCCGCCGCTGAGCTCTCGGACTTGGTGTCAATGATACACTGTTTGGGCTTTCAAAACCAGCGGGCGAAGAAATGCATCAGATTGGCACAAACTTGGCTTTCTGCTCCCCCGACCAACGGCAAGCGGTATCGCAAGCTCCACTACCCACAGAAATTGGATGGCCGCGATATTGGCCGCGATGAATGTGTCGACAATGACGACCCGCGCGCTGCGTGGGAGGTTGCACACCTGCCCGGCGTCGGCGCATATTCCCTGGATAGCTGGCGAATCTTCTGTCGTGACGAACTGCGCGGCCTGGCCACGGACTGGAAGGGGACTGGTGCTACCGCTGCTGACTTTGTCCCTGAGTGGAAAACCGTGCTGCCGCAGGACAAGGAGCTACGCGCCTACCTGACTTGGATGTGGCTCAAGGAAGGCTGGCTGTGGGATCGCCATTCCGGCGACTTGACCCCTGCCAATGACAAGGTCCTCCGGGCGGCGCAACGAGGCGGCGTGGCCCATGAAGAACATGGGAACTGGGTGTTGGAGACCTCGCCGACCAAGCCGACGAATGGGCTACATGCCGTGGAGTGAATGAAGTATGAGCTGTACAGTAGTAGAATAAGTCGAATGATACCCCGAACATGTTTTCTTTCCATCCTCGTTTACGTCCTACTTGGAATAGTAGAGTTGTTGATGAAGCAGGGCCTACCACGTCACGGGGCGGGGAACTACTGACTAGTAGCCCATCTTGCTTCATGTTTTTCTCTCTTCGTCACCGCCCACTCGCCGCATGCACACGGTGCCTGAGCACACGAGCTTATTCCTTTGTTTCATCCATTATTTGGAGTTGTCCCATCGCAAGAGCTCGTCCTCGGGCTCTCGCGGAATGCAGGGAATCTCTAGCCCGGCTTCCAGGGATTCGATAAGCTGCCCGCTAGTCAGCCCGCTTCCTGCCCAACCGAAGCGCCAGGCAGACGAGCATCTCGGGGAATTGGTGGCCCAAAATAGCATCCCTCCGTGGCGGTGCAACCTGCTGCTCCTCTGAGGTAAACCGACCGCGACCGATGAACCCGCGGGATTCGATCCTCGTGCTTTGCTCTCGCCGCCCCCGAGCCCGCCAGCCATGCTGCCGTTGAGAATTAACCGAGATCGCGACAGGAACGGCTACACTCGCAAATCGTCCTCAACCTCCAAAAACAAAAACAAACAGCGTTCGTCACTGGCTCGGTCCGCCCGTCCTTCAACCAAGGATCGCGCCCGCGAACCCCCCACGGCTCCCTCCTCCACTTCTTCCTCTTCCTCCTCATCCGTCACATCCACTACATCCTCCGATCCGGATCCTCTCCACCAACGCAGGTCCTCGATGCCGAGCGTCGAATCTGAGCGGTCGGGGACCACCTCCTTCCTGAACGACTCGAGGACCAGCCTGCCATACCCGACATTTTCGAAGGCCCACAGCAAGGAGGCCGTCCGCCAGCCGGATATCCCAACACCGGACCCGACCGATCTGACCGACCGCAAAGAAAATGGAAAGACAAACGGCAACAACCATGACCGTACCGAGAACCATGCACCTCCGAGTCCGCCGTTGACCGGCGTCGATCAGTCATCATCGCGAAAAGGCACACCGGTTGATGAGCGGGATGAGAAAGGAACGGAGAAAGAGAAGCCAAAGACAAAGAGAGCAAGTATCCGGATCAAGACCGGTAGCAACAGATCATCGTCCAGTCTCTGGGCCAAGAAAGAGGATGCGATCAAATCCAGCAAGACCGCGCGATCGGAGACTCCCCCGAAACCCAAAACACCTAAAGATGAGAAGGAAGCATCACCTCGAGCGTCGCCTCGGACAACGACTCGCAAGACGTCCAGATCCAAAATTTCCGACGAGAAGAAAATGCCCAGAATGTCCACCAGCCAGTCCACAACGTCGCCTTCGCGATCCAATGTTACAGTGCGCGAGACGGGCGCAGAGTCCATCGATGGAGGGTCTGATGCAACCTCCATTGCTCCCAATCAGCAGTATACGGCTCCACGCAAACCCATGACACCGCCTGTAAAGCCCCCATCTCGCACCCAGATGCGGTCTTCAATGTCCCATCGCCACACACCGAGTGATGACTCGTTTGAGTATGGACGACCCATCATGACAGGCCCTGCATATGGAGCCCCTCCTCCACCTCCACCTCCGCCCGAAGTGCCAATTTCCATCCCGAGGGTCGATTACCTTCTTCAGCATGGTGGTCTTGACCACAAAGTACCCAAAACACTGCTTTTGAGTCCTGGCGTGGCAGATCCTTTCTCCCAGCAACAGCCGCAGACGCAAGTCGCAGCTCAAAAGCTCTTTGACCCATTTAATCGTCTGCTGGATGACTACCAAAAAGTTATGAGCAAGAATGGCTCGCTGGCGGTGGCTACAGGGTATCGATCAGTGGCTCGGCGCCTACTTGATCGCCTCGAGGCTGTCTTTGCACGCGATATCTCATCCGAGCCCTGCCAGTGCCGGATGTGCGACAACCCAGAGACAGAAGAACGGCCAGAGGGTGTAAGTTGGGGCGAGGTGCTCGAGCTGGTATCTGGACGCCGAGAACTACCAACATGGCCGCCTTTCATTATGGCACCTTCGACTGTCGAGACGGCGATGCAGGGCGACGAGCATATCCCAATGCAGAAACTGGACATTGATGTTCCGGAAGAATACCGCGAGCACTATAGACGACAGTCCCAAAAGACCAAGGTGGCTGTCGATAAGTGGCTTTCAGAGCAGACGGACCAAGTCAGCAGTGCGCCCAACGAGGTCGATGATGAAACTTTGACATTTGCCATGTTGACGCATTTGGAGTCTCAAGAGCGCTCCCTTTTCTGCGCCTTGCTTGGTATCAACTCCTCCACTCCCGTTCCACGATCAGACGACGAGCCTCGACCCAAGTCCTCTGCACTTGTATCCTCGGGACTAGCCATCCAACGGCTCTACCGACTTTCATCCCTCCCTCGAGACCCCGAGATTGCCATGTACATGTTAAACAATAGGGGACTGCACCACGTTCTGGCCACACTTGCCGCCATCAGCGATGACGAGTGGGAAATTCTCATCTCCGGTCGATTCGATGGGTTCCTCCGTAGCGGAGCTGAAGACGGCATTCCTTCTGCCACAACTTCCGGCTCTCGCTGGAATAGCAACCGTTCCAACACCCCCTTCAGTACAGGTGGAATCTCCCGTGGTACAACTCCCAGCCACATGGACGGCAGTTTCCGGCCAGCGAGCCAGCCGAACGGCGGTCCATCCTCCCCTGCTTCTTTTGGCGGCCCCATCGCCCTAGATGAGGAAACCGAGATCGCTGCGTTAGCTGAAGTCGAACGAGACATTTTCTTGGGAATGGAGGCACTGGAGGACGCATTTGAAGCTCTACATTGCAAAGCCGAAGTCGTGCGTCGGGCTCTTCGCGAGCGTGGCGCCGGCTTGTCAGTGGCCAACCAGAGCCGCCGCGGCTCATACGTCGAGGCGCGTATGGGCACCCCCTTCTCTGCGGTGGGCAATACATGGGAAAGTGGAACGGAAGATGATTTCCTCGATGATGACCGCTCCCTCGCTCCAGATGACTCGGCCAGTAACATCAGCTCTAGTCGTCGGCGCCGACCTAAGAGACGCACTGAGCGACGCACCCCAGCCCCCGTCGAAGAAGAAGATGAAGAGGACGAGCGGTCGTATGTGAATCGTCGCGATGGACGAAATGCACGACGAAGGTAGTCTCAGGATTTATTTGCACAGCGAATAGCATGGAATGACGGTTATAGCATTGAACCGGATCTGATTTCCTCACCGATGATGAATTGATACCCTCCTTCATCTGCTTTTTTGTTGGTAGTTTCGTGGATTGTATTCCTCATGCACAGACTGGATATCATAATAAACAATTTTGACCCATTCCTACAAATATCCATTAGATTTTAATGGCTGCACAGTGCACACAACAAGGCTGTGAGGCTCAACCTCGAGTAAATGGGCAATGATGTTTTTCTGTCCTGAACCCACACGCATCTGCATTTGCAACTGTAAATGAGGATCCAGATCGCGTGTTGATTATTTTTTTGGGAGGGAGACGAGGACGGGAGAACAGTAGACCCTTAGAGCAATTATTCCATGTCCATTTAAAATGGCAAGCGCATTCAGCATGCAGAATGGGATGATGCAATGGGCTGTCTGTTATTTGAGCTAAGTCCTATGCACGATATATTAGGACTATTGGGGTCACCTGCTTGGAATATGGAGCGGGAAGATCTTGCTTTCGGAAATCTGAACAGTGGAGTGGCCCCACTATTGAATAATGATTCTCGGCGGGCAACGTTTGTTGAAAAACTGGATGGAGAGGATGAATCGATATATGCTCCTACTGCTTGGAGAGGGAGCCGACATGTTGAGCTGGAACTGGAAGGAATTGAGATATGGATTTGAGACATGAATATTATTCTCGGCGCAGTATACTTCTATGGTAACTTCTTTGCCGTCTCTTCGCGGCCAAAACAGGAATAATAGCAGAGAAATACAAAGGGTTCTATCTTGGCAGTTTTGACGGTATCATTTTTTGCTTATGTACGATGCCACTAACTAGTTAGTAAATGCATGTCATAATTTCTTTTAGCCTAAATGGCGACATCATGAGCCCCTATATTTCACTCGGCACTCACGCGAGCCGCACTTATATTGTCGGTTATTACAGAGCTAAACAAAGGTTCGATGCCGATATTGAGGCTAGACAGCACACGAGGCCAAGTTACATCGTAGATGGCAATGGCAACAATGCCTATGGACGTCTAGAGTATCCAAAACAACCGGACAAAGTGAAAACAATTTGAGTCAGAAGCTGGATGATCAGGTCAAATGGCTCGTAAAGTTTTGACAGACACGATAGTCCGACGGAACTATTTGACCATTTACAATCGTGTACCTGGTGTGTCTCACTTTTGAACGATAAAACGAAATGAGAACAATCGAATTCAACTAACCCATAATAATATTGGCGCCTATCAGGACCTGACGGGTGGGGTAAGTTTTGCTACTGAAGGGTAGTCTAGATTCTTAGGTCTGGCGGTGTTCGATTTACGATCGGCGGTGCTTGACGGAGTCGCCGACAGAAATGCGGCTTTGGATACGGAGTTGTCAGTAACTTAGTTAATCAAGAATCATATTGATGGCGGATGTTCGCCTGGAATAAAATAAGCAATGGATTTCTGGATCCTTGGATATACCCGACACAATCAACGAATAATGCCTGGATCGAGGTTCGCAGCGGTCATTTGCTCTGTTTCCCGGTGTGCAAAACCTGTTCCAGGGAAAAGAAACAGCTAAGATCGCCCCTAGTCAAGGCGAGCGTAACGGCGTGGTGCGTAATCATCCTGTGGTTAATTATATGGTTGATCATCCTGCCTGTATTTGTTTGATTTCCACCGTGAGTTGCGCTAGTAGCCTGCCTGTGCATCATCCAAGGTGTGCCGAATCGGCACATGTCAGGAACGATGGGCGGGTTCCCGGTTCTCTAGCATCGTTTTGGCAGGAAAGGGGCATACCCCACCGCGGTCGCGTTTTCCCGTTGATAGCTGATGACCAGGGGATCATGGCGCAAGTTCCATTTTCACCGGGCGAATCACACTACTGAATCGATATGCTCAAGAACGATCCTTTGTGGCAAATGGCAGGAACTCCGACAAAACAGCGGAGCGAGCGGAGGACCCCTGACACGGGTTTCAAAACACATGGCCGCCAGAGAACCTTCCGGTAATCGAGCGGCCTGTGATTGAACTGTTTGTGGTGGAGCGAATCTAATTCTCCAATGGAACGGCTCAAGTGTTCGAGCGGGCTATTGTTAAATAATCCTTTCGCGACCCATAAAACCAGCAGGATCGACATTGTTTCTCGACTCATCGGCTTGGCCAACGTTTACGAAAAGAACTTGCTTTCGATAATGGGTCTCTTCATATATCATAACTAACTAAATGGCGGCTACCGGCTAATGAACGATTTGTTTGGATTGGCCAGATCATTCAGGGTCCCTGGTTCTTGCAGCCGCACTACAACATTATTGCTGACCACTAGTCCAAAATCATACGAAAAAACGAATTCTTGAGGTGGCAAATACGAAGATTTCCCCACCTGTTGATGCAACTCGGAGAAACTGCCTTTTCACACCGGGGGTGCATGCCATGTTGGCCGGCACGAATTGACCGTTTGTCTCCACTCATGTTCCAGAAGTCTGCCCCTGCAGCTGCAAGCAGTCTCCACTTGTCCGAGCACCCAGGCCAAGACCAGGAATACACGGAGAACACGCATACGGAAGGGATTTGTTAGCGATAATACTTGGCAAAAAACGCCGAACCCTAGAAGTTCATAGCTGATTGCCACAAGATGCAGGGGTTTCTTCGGTTCCTGATCGTTCTTTCTCTTTCATTGGTTCCATGCAGGCAATGCCAGCAACGGTCAGATGGGGGTCGCAGTGGGCAAAGTCGCCTAAACGGGGGCCTTTTGTGTGTTGATTTGACATTTTGGCCAGAGAGTTCGAAGATTATCCACGTAAGTTCCATAGCTGAGAGGGTATCAGGCCGTTGGGGGTGGAGCGGATTTGACGGTATGAAGGGCTATGGAATCCTTGGCTCGAGGTCGACAGTGTGTTGAGCCTAACGGAGATAGGCCCAGGATAGCTAGCTTCAGTGAAAGTTTCAATGGCGGAGGCCCGAGTCATACCATAAAGAGGCTTGTGTGAAAATGACCATTGTCTGCGTTTTACTACGTAGAGCTTAGAGTTCTTTCAGCCCACACAATACAGTATGCACTAGTGAATACTTCCCACGCTGTCAAGTTGATCCACAAGCCTAATAATCCTGTTGTGCCATTTATCTTGGATCCCCGCCTCTTTTCTTTTTCCCTGCTGGGACATTTCTGAGGGGGAGTTCACTCTTTTCACAAACTACTCTGTTTCCATCACGTTTATCGACCTTGTTCCTCGGAACTGTCCACTCTATTGGAAAAATCTCCTCGAACCCAATTCAACCCGATTCGCGCCTAAGACGAGCTCAATTCCTTCCTTCTTTCCCTCAATCAATGGTGATGGTTGGTTTTGTAGTCTGATAAACAGCAAGCACGAAGCAGAAAATGCGTGGAGTTTTATTATTGGACATGATGCGCGGAGTCGCAGCGGAGGGAAATACACTGGTCCCGCGGTTCACTGGCAAGGTCGAGCTGGACATCGATCCTCTGCCACTCGCACAACGGCGAGGACTTATTGCAGTTACGGTCATGGCATTTCTTTCTCTCGTTGCCACGGCATCTCTCCTCGCCTTCATTACCTACCGCCTGGTCTTCTGGCGCGGAAAATACACCAGATACATTGGATACAACCAATACATTATTCTCATCTATAATCTGGTGCTTGCTGATTTTCAGCAAGCACTGGGATTTCTGCTTTGCTTGAGATGGATTCTCACGGACAAAATCAAGTCTGGCACCCCTGCCTGCTTTCTTCAGGGGCTATGGCTTCAAATTGGTGATCCCGGTAGCGGCGCTTTCGTCCTGGCTATCGCTTTTCACACATTTTTACTCGTTGTCTTGGGGAAAAAGATGTCTTATAAGGTATTTGTTTCCTTCGTTGTCGGTGTCTGGGTCTTTGTGGCTATTATTGTCACAATCCCGCTGGCAATGTACGGAGCCGATGTCTTTATCCCATCTGGTGCCTGGTGCTGGATCAACGAGGATTATGAGACAGTTCGTCTATGGACTCACTACTTCTGGATCTTTCTTGCCGAGTTTGGAACTGTTTGCCTTTATGCAGTGATGTACTTCCAGCTGCGCAAGCAAATCGCACAGTCATCTATCCTCGGAAACAGTCAACTTGAGAGCCTGAAACGTCTGCGCCGCGTGGTCGGTTACATGACTATCTATCCAGTGGTCTACATTGTCCTTTCTTTGCCCTTGGCCGCTGGACGAATGGCCACCCAGAATGGCCAAACTCCCAGCGTGACCTTTTTCTGCTGTGCCGGTGCCATCATCACCAGCTCCGGACTTGCAGATGTCACTCTCTACACGCTTACACGTCGTAATCTTATCGGCGAATCTGAGCCGAGCGAGGACCGATCTTACAACAAATTTGACAACACCAAGGGCCGGAAAGGTGAAACACACTTGACGACTATCACCGCCGATCAGAGGATGAATCGGAAATTTGGGATCGGCGACGACGACCTTGGTCGTGATGGCTCAACGGACAACATTGTGCAACCCATGGAGATGGATGACTTCGGCAAGGTTTACCAAGAGACCACCATTCAGATCACACACGAACCCGCATCCTCGTCAGAAGACGGTGGGCGCTCGAGCAAAGACTTTCCTGATCCACCATCGCATAGCGGATGGAGATAACCGTTCAACGATATTTTAATTTACATAATCGGTTGTGGTGATGGAATGTTATTGTGTCGACAGAGTATAGACTACGATCAATAGGCAGTCTTTCTTTGTAGTTCTTTAACTTTCCTTGCAAATCCCCGCAAGTATGATGATATCACGCCTTATCCATAATAATCTAAACCTAAGATCTCTCATTCTCAAACGCCCGCGGGACTCTGTGTATTCTCCCATAAGAATGGTAAAATCGTCATTTCCCTACTCAATGGAAGGCCTCAAAGCCTGGCGGGGAGTCTACATTATGGAGCCTATGTTGATGGCGGTGAGACTCAGGGGAAGTCGGAGAGCCAACGTAGAGACCTGATCATGGAGATCATGAAGGAGAGGAAACGAATGGAGTGAGTTGTATTGACTAAGTGGTCTCCCAGAAGGGAAGGTCTATCTACAAGCGGCGGTGGGCGCTGACACCTCAGGCACCCACCTGATCAAATGTGCGCCATGGATATAGATTTTGGGGGCCTAAAAGGGGCCACAGAAGATAGGGGCCAGAGAAGATTGGGGCCAAAATCCACATTCTGCTCGTACAAATCTCGACATATTTCCGTGAAGCGGACCGACTCTTTTTGCAATCCAGTTCTTATACCTTTCCCCAAGTAAGCTTGGCCATCAAAAGCCCAGAAGCCTCGCAACACGAACTGCCGATCTTATTGGCTGACCTGAGAGAGCAGGCAGAGATACGAGAAAAGCGGTCGTCATAGGAACTCAGAGCTATCGTCACCGCAAAATATAACAAGGGAGAAAGAGATCTACACCCTGAGTGTCTTCGTGAACACCCACGTCAAACCCCAATCGGTCGCTCCGCGAAGTTGAACACGGATCTCCAGTATTGCGTGGAATCCCCAGACCAGATTTCCTCTAGTCGCACCCGACGTGCGGGCGAACGCAAGAGTTTAGTGTGAACATCGCCTGTGCGGAACACCTTTTTCATCACTTCGGTTTTTTCTACAATAATGGAGTCGCAATTGGGATTCGGAGCGTGCGCATTCTGCCTGGCGTTAATATGGCTATTGCAGGTAATTCTCACTACCTATAACTAATTAGGTTGAAGATTGATTGACAATAAAATCAGTGTGTATATAGGGCCATAACTTCACCTCTGCGTCGCATTCCAGGCCCGTTTTTCACTACCTTCACACGACTACCCCTGAAACTGGCGACCATAAGCGGCAAACAGCTTTACTACATCCATCGACTCCACCAAGAATATGGCCAGATTGTGCGCATTGGTCCAGACGAGGTGGCGGTATCCTCTTTGGCCGATTTCAAGGAGATCCACCGTGTGGGTTCGGGGTTTATCAAAGGCGAGTGGTATACACGACTTACTAATGGTAGGCTGGGCATCTTCGCCATGCGAGATCCAAAAATGCATGCGCAGCGAAGAAGACTTTTCGCCAAGCCCTTCTCCAAGTCGGATCTTCGACGCACCTGGGAGCCTGTAGTAAGGGATAAGGTTGAGTTGGCAGTTTCGCAGATCCTAAATGAACTCCAAAATAACGGCGTGTCGGATATCCTGAAGTGGGATACTCTCATGGCAACGGATGTCAGCACGCATTTGATGTTTGGGGAGTCTTTCGAAATGCTGCGCGTGGGCAAGGTATGGAGCCTATTCAGAGGGCAACTTACGTTAGGGGCTAATTTATGGACAGAAAAATGAGTACATTCGGACCCTCGAGTCTGCTATGATGGGGAGCGGCCTCAGCGTGGAACTACCTTGGTTCAGAACCATTGGCCGATATATCCCATCCGAGTCATTCCGGAGGCTGTTCAGGGCAGGGGATTACCTCTTCGAATATGGAAAATTAGCAGTTGTCAACGGCCGTCAGAAGGGTGATTCTACTAACAATATCTTTTCGGGTATAATCAGTGAAAGTGAAAAGAACGAGGCAACTTTGACTGATGGAGACGTGGCCATGGAAGCCGGAAACTTGATCATGGCCGGCTCTGATACCATGGCAGTCACACTCACGTACCTAATATGGGCAGTTCTATCGCAACCAGCGCTACGCTCACAGCTTGAAAGTGAGCTAGCTAACTTGAGTGACGACTACAAGGATGCTGATCTCGAGACACTTTCATTACTCAATGCGATCATTATGGAAACTCTGAGGTTATATGGCGCCGCCCCGGGATCACTTCCTCGATCTGTCCCACAGGGAGGTGTCACTTTTTCTAAGTATTATCTACCACACGGGACGACTGTGACCACGCAGAGCTACACGATGCACCGTAACCCAAATATCTTTCCCAACCCAGAGGAATTTGACCCTACACGCTGGCTGCAAACGAATCACGAAGTCTCTGATGAGGTCAAAGTTGCTTTCTCGCCTTTTGGTACTGGTTCTCGTGGTTGTCTCGGTATACACCTGGCGTGGATGGAGCTGCGGCTTGCAGCGGTTGAATTTTTCCGTCGATGCGGTAATGTTCGGCTCTCACCAAGTCTGAAAAAAGAGGATATGAAGCCCGTTCACTACTTTCTTATTGCACCTTCTGCCCATAAATGTGAAGTGGTCATGGATACATAAGATATGGACTTAGGTGATTCAAACTTCGAATGAAGAGATGAAGTGCAACTTCCATAGAACTATTGAAATCATTCGGTTTGGAATCTTAACCCCATTGTAATTCCCGGGAAATCCAACGAACGACTAGCAAGCAGTCCCTCAAAGCTGTTATAGGAGACAACTTTAAGGCAGGGGAAGAGTGAGACGGGTTCTGTTCACATCCGTGCCGAGATGCCAGTAAATATGCTACTTTTGAAGTAGACCCTCATGTTGAGATTATTTCCACCACCCCATCCAAGGCAAGACACCTCGGTTCCTGCAGTGCAGTCGACGTGGGAATTACCATTGCTCTACTTCTTCCCATCGGAAGTCATCTTGTCAAGTCAAATTAATTCCAACTTCCTGGCTAGCTATGCGGTGTTACTGATGAGTTAGGCATGTAACCTCCCAGCAAGAAATTTCAGATGTCGATCAGAAGAACAAGATGTTGAGATCTATTATTAAATCCATTGCATTATTTGCGGATTTACCAAGGATAAGTCCCGTCCTTGTTAACAAATTCTCCGACATTGTCATCCCTCTTCCCTAGGATAATGTCCATGATCAACTTCCCAGAGACCACCGGATCGCCAGCAGCACCGCCAGCGCTGATCGCCGCTTCACTTTCCCCTCTCAATCGCGACCTCACTAACCCGGGACAGACAGCGAAAACTCGAATATTCTGTGCCGACAGCCTTTTGTGCATCTGAAGTGTCATCATATTCAGGGCAGCTTTGCTCATTCGGTACTCATCCCAAGCAGATTGATAGATAGGATACTTCGGGTCCGCTGCCATCCCCAATGAACCCAGGCCGCTAGAGATTTGAATCAGATATGGTCGGCCTGATTTCAGTAGAAGGGGCACGAATGCTTCGGATACAAGCATGGCGCCGAAGACGTTGACATCAAAAATAGTTTTCAGCTTATCGAGTCCGCTTTCACTTTGAGATGTAGTTCCCGCATTGCTGATGAAGACGTCAACATGCCCAAAGGTCCTGGCGACTTCATCCACTGCCGCAGAAATTGATGATTCGGATGTAACATCGAGTTGGAGGAGAGAAAGTGTTCCTTGAATGCCGCTGGCTTGGATTTCGGATAGAGCTGTCTTTCCCTTGTCGAGATCCCGACATCCCATGATTACATGATAGTCTGCGTGAGAAGCAATAACTTGGGTTGTGGCATAACCTATCCCAGAGTTGGCGCCTGCAAATGTTGAGCATCAGATCAACTTCTCTCGATTCATTATGAAAATCTTACCGGTGATGAGAGTGATCGATTTCGACATATCCGCTAATCGTGCAAAGTTTGTGCCGTCTTATTAATGATGAGAACACTGTACACAATCTGCGATAATCGAGTGATGCCGCGCTCAGTTAGAGAAGGCTTGAGAATTTGATGGCGACAACACTTTAAATAACTAATGCCGACGGTATAATAAACCAGCCATTATGTCCTATATCCGAGTGTACGAAAGTTGGAGTAAATCGTAGATACCCCGAAGTTTAGCGGCAAATCCTGCCTTGTAACGGAGATAAATAATCTTATCACCGCTACGATCTCCGCATTGGAGACGACGTGCATCACGAAGGTAGATGTGCCAGGCCCGCTAATCAAATGTCCTTTCCATCCATTTTCTCATATTAGCATGCTGAATATGTATGTACTCCGAATTTCACATGGCACCCATACATGCCAAGCTTTCGATCTGCGATGCGTCCAGGATCGCTCCGCGAAGCGAAAACGTTATCCGCGGGCCGTTGGTGCGTCTGGTGGACTGCATTTGCGATTTCCCCTGAATAAATAGATTGTTCCTCAAATTATACCATCTACCTTTGGTGTGTCTACGCGACTAGTCTCACCCACTGAAGCATCGGAACTGAAATGTAGAGAAAGTCCGCCGGTACATTGTGGGAACAAAGTCCGTTCCTGTCAGGGAATTATTGTGGAAGATCTGGGTACTGAGGCATTCTCATGTTTCATCCGCTTGCTGCTGCATCATGGCCGAAATTGGCTCGGGCTGGTAATAGCCGAATATTAAGCCACAGTTGCAGTCACAGGATTCTTGACTGCGCGATGTCTTAACCGCTAAGCTTGAGCTAACCTGTGGGGCAAGCCGCATTCGAGTGGATCAGTTGTGGGGATCGGAGCTTCAGCAACAGCAGGGATGAGATGGGGGGCCATGTGCTTGTTCTGTGCATGGGACACGCAGTGAGTGCCATGAGGAAGACTTTATGCGAACTACTGTTCGTAGACGTAATTGAGCAGCGAAATTTGGATCATGTTATGTACTGGCTAGAGACAATGGCTGTCTCGTATGTCCCCAGTTGCTGCATGTTTAATCTGAGGCAGAGACTCAGCTGCACTGGGCTCAGACACCACCGTCCTCATGCCATGCACGATTGCAACTATGCATTGTTACATATGCTGCATCGTCTCGGTTGCAGGGAGAAGAAACAAAACGTTGTTGATGAACTTCGGCTAATTGACAATCCAGCATCTTATTGTAGCTGGCAAGTTTCAAGATGGCCGGATTACAACTCCGAAAAAATAAGCATAGGTTGCATCCCATTATTGTACCCTTGTGATGACCCCAGGCACACGACCGACCCCTCGCGATTGATGGGGAAGGTCCGCCTTGCAAGGGGCTTAGCTCGGGTTTCACTCTCACTTGGAGTTATGAGAATATCGTGGAAACTACTGCCGCACGAGTCACCCCTTGATAGATTAAGCCACTTTGCAAGTGGCCCGACCGAAGTCGGAGGAGTTCCGCCCCTGCAAGGCTGGTTCCTGAAGTGACCGGCACCCATTTTTCTTTGGAATCCGCCAATGGCAGATCTGATTCATGCGTACGTGTTGTCGATCTCGCATGCCCATGTTTCGCTCGATCTGTGTATGTGGATCTGTCGGCGGGGAGCTGAGTTACGTAGCCAATCAAGGGGCTGATGCGACAATAATGTATATTTATTTTGGCCCATGAATTATGCGACTAGGAACTGGACGGGCTACAGTATGGATGGAAATGTAACATATAAAGGAATAGCAGCCACTCACTCGTTGACTCCGGGAATTGGTAGTTTTCTCGATATAATTTAACTCATCATGTTGTTTTCGCCCCATGCCGTTGTGGCACCAGTACTCGGATCATTGCTACTAGCCCGCGGCACCTTGGCTGATGATCCAACGCAAAGAGCCGAAGCTGCTCTTGCCACCCTCCAGAACTGGTACAATTCCACGAGTGGCCTCTGGGACACCTGCGGATGGTGGAACGGTGCCAATTGTATGACGGTCATCGCAGACCTTGCTGCTGTTGATTCGTCTGTGATGAACACGGCGACCAATGTTTTCAAAAACACCTTTCAAGTCGCCCCGATATCAAACCCCAATCCTGGCTCTCAGAATACACGCATCTCCAGACGTTCGAGGCGTATCGTATCCAATGCTGCTAGCAGCAATGTCTCGCAATGGCTGGACGGGGCGAACGATGACGACGGATGGTGGGCCCTTGCATGGATTGCTGCATACGATGTCACAAACGAGCCGAGCTATCTGGAGCTAGCGGAGGGAATATTCTCGAGCCTGGTACGTATGATATTTACCTCCATGGAACTCTCAATTCCTGTGTAACGTACGTGAAAGAATATACTAAAACGAAGGCAGAGCGCAAGCTGGGGCACTAACTGCGGCAACGGCGGCATTTACTGGAGTACCACCAGCACCTATGTCAACTCAATTACGAATGAGCTCTTCCTGTCCATTGCAGCACACTTGGCCAACCGCGTGCCTGCAAGCAAAGACCAATATGTTGACTGGGCGCAAAAGCAATGGAACTGGTTTGCTGCCCAAGGCTTCATCAACAACAATGGAACCATCAATGATGGACTTACAACCAGCTGCCAGAACAATGGCCAGACCGTGTAAGTCTAGCCGGATAATGTTATTCCAGTTTTTGGAAGTCTGACATTCTTCTCAGATGGTCATATAACCAAGGAGTTGTACTCGGCGGTCTCGTGGAGCTGAACAAGGCTGCCCCGAATAGCTCCTATCTCAACTCAGCCAACAGTATTGCGACGGCTGCTATCAAAACACTCGCTGATTCCAACATGGTCATCCATGAAGAATGTGAGCCTAGCGATTGTGAGCCTAACGGCACTCAGTTCAAAGGAATATTCATCCGGAACCTGAATATGCTACAGAGCGTGACGCCAAACAGTCTGTACAAACAAGTGATCGATAGCTGTGCAAACAGCATTTCGGAGAACGATCATAACTCGCAAAACCAATTTGGTGTGGACTGGTCTGGTCCGGTCACGTCGGTGGACGCCTCGACCCATAGTTCAGCCATGGATGCACTGGTCGCTGCGATCTCTTTTTGATCTTTTCATTTGGCCAATCAGTATTTGCTTTGTTGAAATTTTCACAAAATTTCCTCGTTCCGGTCTGCATGCATATGAATTTGTCCTGATGTACATACTTTTACTTTATGACGTGACGGGAAAAAATCCCTTACGGATATGACTATCTAAAACCTGACTTTTCTAATAAGCCCTGCTTCGTGGTTTCCAAGCTGGTTGGGGAGCTGGCCCTGGCCGTGTGTAGCTAGACCGAATGATGGAAGTCGGTACCAGATCTAAACCTCCCAACCTTGCACCTTGTTTGTCTTGAGCCCAGAGAGTCAGTGCAATATAATTGTCCCCCTGATGATTTAGAATCCCTTCAGGAACAGGGAAGGATGTCTGAGGGCCAATATTATTGACTATTTACTAGTCAGTAAATGGACAGCGTAAAACTGCAAATATCTTCTCCCAGAACTTACTGTATTTCCCAAATTGGTAGCCGTTGACATAGAGTTGACATCGGTAATTGCGTCCTGTATCGTAACTGTTGATATTGTCGACGGAAGAGCCATTAAAAATAAAGCTCATGGGCACATCCCATCCATTTGGAATCTTAAGTCGAAATCTTGTCGTGTAAAATCCGACTCCAGCTTGAGAAACGCCATCCGTTATGGGATTTGAAGCCTTCCAATCTGCATCCGGTGGCTTTGGATAGTGGTATCCTTGTCTTTCTGCATACATGGCACCTTCGTTGAGTGGACCACGGACCAGATCTTCATATTGCTCGCCGCCAAGATTGCCCGCCAGCTTCCAAGAAATATCAGATTGATCATGGCCAGACAAGCCATAATTTAAGATACCTTTGGGAAATTTTATCACGTCTGTTCCTGGTGCTTCCTCGTCCTGGCCCATATTGTCGATCAATATTGACAGAACGTATGAATTGTCAACAGACAGAGTCTCTGGAATCGATACATTGTAAACAATGGTTTGATCGGATGTAGACCCGGTCCATGAACCCAAGAACGTCTTGTTCAGCCAAACAGAATGTCCAAATCCCGTACCACCAGATACATTCAACCAGAGGCTTGATTCGTGTCCATTAGCAACAAAATGGCCACGGTAGATCAGAGAACCTGTGTGATATCCATAATCCATGGCATATAAATTCATGGGTGTACTCAGCTCTCGTGGATTGTGGGTCCAATCTTTGGTGCAGGTTGTCCAGGCTGAATCGTCGTACGACGCCTGAATCTCAGGCAATGAGTTAATATACTTCCAGTTCAGGCCTTGTAGCTTGGGAATTTGAATGTTGGGAGGTTGAAAGGCAACATTCCCCGACAGTTTTCCAATGTCGGTTTTTGAGACTTTAAGCATTTCACCATTGAAAATGATTCCGTCCAAGCTTTTTGCCGGAGTTGAGATAACTTCAATCTCCGTAGTTGCATTGACATCACCGGAAATACTAAGCTGCTCATCGACCAGCTCTGCAGTGCGAACGAGATAGCCAGCCTTCACCACAGCTAGACCCTTGGATGGGGACGAGAAATTCCCGATCGGTGCTGAACTTGGTAACTCCAGAACCCAGTAGTTGTAAGCATCATTTCGCCACAGGAGCAATATCTCAAGGTTAGCTAGTCGGATGACACGACGTTTTCGTGTGACCTGCCATTGTACTATCCATGTAGGCCCCTTTTTATCGACTGTGACGTCGTCTCCTTCGACCAAGGCAGGTTTCTCAAGATGACCCGAGAGAGCGAACTCATGTATTTCGTCTGCACCACCGTAGAGAATCAGGACACGAGCAGGCCCAAATCCACGAGCCCAAGTGAATATTTCTGCAGAGGAATAGACCAAATTGATGCCGTCCATATCATAATCTGTGACATGGAATTTCGAATCCCGGCCGTTAAGCGACAGGCTTCCTCCGAGTTGAGGAATAGTCACGTTTCCGACGCTGGTCGGGACTGTGATCTTATACTGGGTATTGTTGACAGAGCTGAAATCGGCGTGCCTTATAACATAGAAGTTTGTTTCCGTGCCATTTCCATTGAGTGGAGTTACCGCGATTGTGTCTGGAACGCCATAGGATCCGTTGACTCCAAGGGCAGGTGTTGCCGTCAAATAGGCTGAAGACACTTTGAGGAAATTGGCTTCCAACTTTTCCTCGCTGTACTTCTCACGCCATATGGCTCTTTCTTCAGTCAAAGCTGCACCGTAATCGTAGGATGTGTAGCCGTTCATGTATCCAAGATTGCCCCAGTTGGTGCCACCATACGTCTAATCCCCGCGTGAGATTCATCAATTTCTCAATCGAGCTGCCTTGGCTTACCATATAGATATTGAAGATTTTCACACCAAAACTGTAATTGTTTTTGTATACAACCCGGATAGCCTCTTCGTTGATCAACTCGGCACACATTTCCTCGGCGACTCCACCCCTGTAACATTATCAGCAAGGAGATTTCTTGATCGTAAGCTACTGGTTTACGAACCATCCCTCTCCTGATCCGCCCTGAAACTCGGCAATCGCAAATGGGGTGTTTGGGCTCTCTTCCTGGTGAATTATCTGCCAAGTGTGCGGAAATTCGTAAGTTGGCCACACACTGGGATTTGCACCTTATTGATTGTCAGCCTTCGACAGCCTCATGATCATTCCGAGAGCTGGGTTTGCAAAACTTTACTCACAATCGTAACGAAGTGGATATGCATCGATTCCATAAAGATCCACTGCCCCCAACCCTGATCCAGGAGCCCAGTACCCCTTTACTTCGTTGTCATTTACAATCAAGGGAACTGTTATTCCGGCATCGAGGAGTTGGTTCTCCACGAAGGCCATATACTCTCGATTCATTTGAGTCGGAAAGTCCGTGACTCCAGGCCAAGTCGAAAACTCGTTTTCTGGCTGTACCATTATCACTGGTCCGCCATGTGTGATTTGAGCCTTTTCAATTATATGGCCAATTGTTGACATGTAATTCCCAGTTTTGTTTAGATATCCGGGACTGTAAGATCGGATCGTTGCCTCGCTTCGCAAAACCCATCCCGGGATTCCTCCCCCAGAGGTTTCCGCGTTGATGTATGGACCCGGGCGTGCAATGAGATAGATACCTGCTTGCGTAGCGGCGCGAAAGAACTCTTCGAGACTCCAGATTCCATCGGTCACGACGTGGCCTGGATTAGCCTCGATCAGGCCCCAGTCCACGTAAAATGAAACGCCTGTGAATCCCATGCTTTTGATTTTCTGAAAGACATCGAGCCAGAGGCCGGGTACTGGGAGTCGGAATGGATGAAACTCGCCGGAGTAGATCATAATCCGTTCCCCACGAATGAACAAGGAGTGCATGTCCCATGTTACCTATCATGAATGGCTGGTTGTTAGGAGAATTTTAAGACCCAGTAGCAAGCAGAGAAGTTTCAGACCAGATTTTGTAGGCCATTTCCTTCTGTGGAGAGTTTACTTGAAGGGCTTGTCTCAATGGATCTCCAACCCCATGCTGCTGGCAATGAAAATACTCCCAGCCATATAGGGATAAACAATAACATTGTCGGAAGTAGCATACTGAAATTTTAATGCCACCAATTGAATTTCGACTGGCTTTTCATAGAAATAAGTATAAATTGAATAAAAAAGCACTGTGGGAAGGTTTTTTTACAGCTTGTTTATCTACCACTTCAACCCCGCATCCTAATTTCTCTTCCGCTAAAGAGGTTTGCCTATTCAGGTCTCCGGCTCGAAATGCAAGCACACTATTGATGGAATATATCTAACTCAATTTTAGCTACCGGTTCTACGGTTAAAGCTCCCTCGGTGTCTAGCGCCGAAGCAAGAAAGAATAGCAGCCACAATCATTGCTAATAGATCAGCCTAAATTCAAGCAAGCTTCCCTATTTCTCCGATTTCGCCGGATGGCATCGGTTGCCCCTATTACATCATCGCGGAATCACCCCCCGCCATCTGTGGGTGCCAATCGCTTCATTAGACCAAATCTTTGCACACCAGAAATTTGCAGCATCAATCTGGTCAAGAAAGATGGCCGCCCATATGAAGCCTGTCATTCTACACGCCCATGCGACGGGCCCGAATCCTATCAAGGTGGCGATGGCCTTAGAGTCACTGAAAGTTCCTTTCACAATCAAGATGTGGGATTTCGGCGATGACCCAAACACCGGCGTCAAGGGCACTACTTTTCTGAAGATCAACGAAAATGGCCGAGTGCCGGCTCTGGAAGACCCAAATACGGGAGTTGTCTCGTGGGAATCTGGGGCTTGTATGAATTATATACGTCGAGTGTACGACAAGGCGAACACGATTGGCCCTCCTGGTACTTCAGCACAGGAGCTGGTAGATTTCGAGAAATGGGAGTATTTCTTGTTATCGACCTTAGGTCCAATGACGGGTCAGACAAATTGGTTCCGGTTGGCATATCCTTCCTTTGTGTGGCATGTTTTGCCAGGCAGACTGATTACTTTAGACACTATCACTCCCAGAAGAATGATGATGCCCTCGAACGTTATACTTCTCAGACTTATCGATGTTATGATGTTCTGGAAGAACAACTGGACAAGTCTCAAGGTCAGAGCATTATTCCGGGCCGAGTCACGGCTGTCGATTATCACTTTGAACCTTGGGTTAGACAACATTCATTTGCTGGACTTTCTCTGGAGAAGTACCCTATGATCAAAGGATGGTTAGACTTAATGGGAACTCGGGAGGAAGTCCAGGAGGCTTATCTTAGAATCAAAAATGCTAAATGAGAAAAGCAGTGATGCTTGACAACGATTTAGGGTATTTACCTGAATGCTTTTGTCAGGAAAAGAACGGCCAGGGGCAAATTCTTTTTATGATGACTAGTTCCCAAATAAGAAGTACCCAGGAACGTGCCTGCTTCGTTGTAAAGACAATCCCATAATTGTATTCGAGAAATATGTGTCATTTTACTTCCTGACTGATCTTGTTCAAAGGAGCAAAATGTCCCCATCGCATGTTGCCTCCCTTCATCAGACGCTGCTGGTTGAAACTATGTATTTATGATCATCGCTCGATCATCTCGGAAAGTCCGAAAAGAATCGAACTACCTTCAAGAAAAGGCTGGCAATAAAACCATGCAAGTTCTTCATTTCTTGAGCCGTTTGCCGTACATAAATCTGACGACTCATATAGTATTTGTGAGGAAACTGGAACAGGAATCAGATGTATCAGCCGCCCAATCAGAACCCACAAATTGTGCCTCCTAACTTCTTCCTAACCATTCTAATAATTCTTCACGTTTACTTCTTTTCGAGTCAAACAACCTCCGTTTTCAATACTCATCCAATGTTGCTTGCTAAGCGAGACTTGTTAAATAGTAGTCGGGACTGGACTTGAACAGCCATTACGGCATAGTCGCTTAGGCTTTGTCGTTATTAGCCAAAGTAGATAGTGCTGGGGGAGGTGTCTCCGGCAGAGCTGCCGCTGGGGGAGAATGGCTCCATGTCAGGATGTTCGATAGGCGTGACCCACTGAGCGACCTGCAGATTAAGAGTGTGGCCACGTTGATTGAAGCGGCATTGCCAGCTCTTCACAGCCTTACAGCCAGGTTTCTGGCACATGTGACCTAAGTAGCACTTTATGGATCGACAAGCGCGACCACGAGAGCAAGGATGCTGAAGTAGTATGTGTCTAAGAACTTCGATGATCGCGTCGGAGACATCACTGTGGTCGAAAGGGCAGCTCATGTCACCACATACTCCTGAAAGATGATAGCTGTTGCAGACTTTGTGGAGCTTGGCCCGGTGGTGGTATTCGTCAAACGCTTCCTGGCTTGGAGGAGGGCAATAAGTGTCGATGCGGTCTCCGTCTTTATTCACGGGAATGAACTCCTTCGACTTGAGGCCTGAGAGAGGTAGCGTGGTTTCAAAAAATTCTTCAGAGCGACCGACAACCGATGGGGCGGACCATAGCTGCTTAGAGGCATTTTTCTCTTCTTCGTGAGGATGAGACAACTGTTGGTCGGGCATGATGTGCTGTTTGTTGCAACCATTGCCAAACTTGCAGATCCCCTGTTCCGTGTCAGTCAGAAAGTGTGCACACAACGGAGGGCCAAAATGCTACCTACTTTCTGAAAGTGTTTACAGACCAGCTTAACCGTCGAAGCAGTCGGGACAAGCTTGGGTTTGCCATTGATTAAGGCAGTCGGTTTAATGCTGCCGTTGGTATTGGCTAGAGGAGCTGAGGTGAATACAGAGGGCAACTCCCTGATGGGAAGGCCTAGAGATTCAAAGTCGCGATGGAACGAGGCAGCTTTGATAAGGGTGATACGGTCGCTGCCCCTATGGGGAGTCAATAGAGAGCCGTATCCAGTGTCATGACATCCCGCAAAATAAATATGCCGACATTGGTTGAGATCTGCGAAGAGTCGAAACATTTCTGTTGTAAGGCAGGATTTAGCAAGGCAAAAGACACCAACGCTTTCGATAAGTCACTGGAACTCACCCCGGATCTTGAAATCACTTCCTTCCTTCTTTTCCGCAGCATCTACAAAGTCAAATAGATCCTGTGCTCGCGTGAACGCAGCGCAGAACGGAGACAGGGATCGAGCCTCATGCCCCGACAGCCCAGCGCGAGCGAAGGCTTTGGACAATCCGAGCAGATTGGCGTAGACGCGAACCATAATCCGGCACTGGTCTGCCTGAGCTCCCATTGTCGAATGCATGAGTTCCTTGATCGAGTCACTCAGCTCACGAGCCGCATTAATTCCGCCTTCACTGCCGGCCTTGACGAAGTGTTCTTTGAACTAAGTGGGGTCGTCAGTACCCCTGGCATTAGACAGGCCCATTCTAAACGTACATGGTAACCATCGCCATCAACAAGAACTAGCACAAACGGATTGCGCTCCTGTGGCCCCATTAGCTCTCTATACCTTTTTTGGCAGCTTGGCAAGCTCTTACCTGACCGCGGGCCTGCTTCTTGTACTTCTCCCTGCCATCCTTAACTTCCTCGTAATCGCTCTTCAAAGCACTATAATCATCCAGCAAGCTCCGAAACTGGGTGAGCAAATTTTGGAGGCTGGCATGGTGCTGTTCGTTTTCCCGGGATAGGGATGAGACGTGATTGTTCAGGGAATCTATGTCCGCGTCCCGCAGCATGTTGACAGAGGATGGGAAGGCACACGCCGGTCCCAGAATCCAAAGAAGGGTGCAACGGAGCCGGCGAACATCAATAGTGGACCGAGCAGGGTAGCAGCGAGAGAGATGCAAAAAGTCTGGCGCCTGCCCTTTGCGTAGTTATATTTAAGGGAAAACGAAAATAAACGATGTTTGCGAAAGGGACGGAGGGCGGTCAGTAATTGTCCCGCATCACGTGCACTGATACTATGACAAAGGTCTCTGATATTATTCGCCTTGTAGAAAGAACCACTGAAAATACAAAGAAAATCTGTGCCGGATGCTATTCCAGAACCGGCTAAGGAAGCTCTGGAATCATTCCCATCTCGGCAAACTCCTCCACTACGCGAAGCATGGACTCCACCGAATCAACAAACCCAAAATACCCCATCTTCTTGGCCTTGGTCGTGCTAATTATGCAATGACAATGGTTAGCAGCCCTCAGGTAGATTGTAGAAAAGAAAAATTAAGTCCTACCTTAGCATAATTGACTGACCTGCGGTAATGGCCAAGTCTGTGAAACCAAAGATCCGGTCGATTTCTCGGAATTTTTTCTCTCGGAGATCATGTCTCTCAGAGACTTCGGACCAAGCCTTCTGGATTTCGGGCTTTTTGGCCCATTCAGCCAGGGTGAAACGATAGCGAGATCTTCCCGGAGGACCATAACCACGCGGAGGTGGGGCTGGGGATGTGATGGTCCGATACTGAGCGTCGTCGCTTGTATCGGGACCTGTCCATGGCATCTTAAATCGTTTGGCTAGCTGAGGCCAAAACTTCGCCCATGTAAATAGACAGTCATCAGATGCATTGAAGCTTTCATTTTCGGCCTGTTTGGTTAGCACGGCCCATTCGGCGAGGTATGCATTGGCCTGTGCAGTGGAAATAGTGGTATGTGATTCCCACGCGATCAGGTCCCCAGGATACTCGAGAGGCTTGTTGAGGTATTTCTGTATCGTAGCATAAACGGCCAAGGGATAGCATAGATTCATGGCAGCATCGGGCACGGCACCGGCGATATGGGAGGGTCTAGTTGTGTTCCAGCCGATCTGATGCTTCTTTGTAAATGATCGCAGATAGTCTTCCTGGTCGTAGTAGAAGTTTGGTCCGATCAGAATCCGAGGATCTGATTCTTCTTGTGGGGGGATACCAGGGCCGTGGTGTAAACCATAGTATTTTGCACCTAGTTGCAGTAAGACCCGCTTGGGGATTGTGTTGTTCAGTTCCAGGCCTTCTAGAAAGTTCGAGAGCAAATGCTCTGCCAGATGTCAGTGAGATTATGATGTGTAACCATTTTCGATTTCAAGAATTGTCACTCACTATTGAGTCTGACCATCTCATCTTCCGCACTCCATATGCCTCCTCCGTCCCGGGGAACCGGCTGGATGTAGGCGAAGAAAAACACATAGTCAGCGCGAATGTTTCTCTCCGCTAACTGCGCTGCAACCTGTTCTGGTGGCTGCAAAAGATCAACCGATAGATGTTCGACATTGCCTGGCCATGAGCCATGTGGAGGCCGCCGGGACAATGCATAGATCTTCTTCCACCGACGAGGGGACTCGCAGAGAACTTTGAGCTGGTATGCGCCTGATATACCATTGCTACCTGTAACGATTGCCGTTAACCCTTCAGTGTCATCAGGAAAAATTGGAAGACCATGGTAGATTGATTTGGACTGGATTTCTTGAGGCATGATGGTGGTCGCTTGACTGTTGACTTCGTCAGTGAGCTCTCGTCGTCAAAATATATTTCGCGTTAACCCCGCCCGCAAGGCGACATCATGAGTACTCTGATTTCTAATCTCTCGGATTATCAATCCAGGCGGCCAAAAATTAACCCGTGTCTAGCTGTCTCTTGCGATAGTTGCAACATGCTGGCTATAAGACAACATGACATATTTATAGGGACGTTGGAGACGTATATTCCCTGTGGAGATTAACAGTCCACTCTACATTTAGACTACTTTGTAAGTAATTCATTCACCTTGGCATTTCTAATGTTATTGCCCTGGCAATAATATTATTTACAAGTCTCAAATCCCCGCACTGAAATTCATGAAGCCAAAAATTGTATACATTATTTTATAAAGTCCAAGATACTGGAGGTGGGAGTTTGGGAGAAATCGCACGTGATTGATCGACTAGGGGGGGGTTGGGACTCAGGGAGAGAAGAGAACCCATAGCTTCAATCAAGGATCACTTTTCTTATAATGATTGAGTCGCTATAGACAAGGAAATCGATAGGAGACGGCGAGGTCTATTAAACAATGACGGTGGAGGGATATACAAAGCGCTACTACTGGAATGTGGGCTTTCCCCCCTCCCCCCACATAAACATTTCAACCTCTATACTCCAAGTACCCCTGATCTATATTCTTTTTAAATTGTACGGCTCACAAATTAATTACTATCCTAGTCTAAATGTAGAGTGGGGTGTAGGAATCTTGTGAATGGAGTGTAGAAATCTCCACGGAGGGTGTCTGTTTCCAACGTCCCTTCTTATACCTTCAGTTCCACAGACACCGACCGTGCATAAAGTGGCCCGAGCTTCCGAGTATGCCGTCATAACAGCCGCCGTTCGAATTCAAATGTGGATCATTTTCTCTGCTAAGAACTGACTGATCTCTTGATAGGAAGTGCGAAATACAACAAAGTATGGCATATGTAAACACGGAATAAGTTATCCTCCTGATCACTAAATGGCCCGCTAATACTATCTCGGTATGCAGTATGTCAAGACTCCACATTTGCCATGTGAAACCGCCAGGGATCGACCGGGGGATCGGTTACATCAAACCGCCCGGGAGCTGCGGCTCGATCCAAGCCTCGGTTGGTCGCACAAGCCATATGATCCCTGTGGCGGACATTTAAACGTTCCGACTCCCCAAATCGACGTGTAATGACTTGACGAACACATTCTTACGACCGCCACCATGAGATACGTTCTGTTTTCCCTCAGCGCGCTCGTGTTCTACGCGATCTTCTACTTCTCATTCGTCAATGGACTCAATGCCCTCGCCGAGAAGTCTGTCGCCTCCGGGAAACTGCCAGGCGCCAATGAGCCTTTGCGCACAGTGTATACTGGCGTCGAGCCGGTAGATCATCTGCTGACCATATTGACGACCTTTTTCTATCCCGCTCTGGACGGCCAGAATGCCACGCTGTTGCTGCATAGTGTCGGATTTTCCGGAACTTTCGGAGCTGCTTGGACTCTTGTTGTCGTGGAGTCCTGGAGAAAGGGTAACACGGGAACAATTGCTGCTTAGTATGTAACTTCAGAGTGGCTTTGCGAAGCTCAAGTGCTGATGGTCCATGTAGTCCCGCCGTTTTTGGCTTGATGGCCCAGGTTTTTACGTTCGCTTTTGCAACTCCCCTGCTTTGCGGACTTCAGCTGGGTTGCTCCATCACAGCAAAACGGCCCCATGCTGACAACATCCGCGTTCCGCGTGCTGTGTTGGTTTCTCTGCCTCTAATTTTTATAATTGGATTCATGGTGCCAACCCACGCGATGGTGCTGCCCGCGCCAACCTTAATCTCGGTGGATTTGAAGCAAATTGCGATCGCAATCTGGCAGCCTTGGCCCGCCTATGTCTCTATTCTGGCGACTCTTTCCTACTTCATTCTATCTCCGCTTTTCCCCAATAACCACCGTGCCTCCATGTCCAGTCTGCGATGGGTTTACGCGTTTGCATTTTTCAATGCGGCCGTCCCGCACCTGGTCTCGTGGACTCTGTCTCTGTCCTCAGTCCTTGTCCCCGTCATATACAATGACCGATTCCTTGACGCTCTGCATCCGGCGAACGTGTTTTCAGTTCCGCTTCCATGGTCCGGCCAGACGGTAGATACGGTGGCAGAAGGAGTGCATTTTTTCTTGCGCTGGGATTATATGATCGGATCCGCCGGCATCCTGCTCTGGGCGTTGAAACTATATACCGTTGCCCATAAGCAGATTTTAAGCACCGTGTGCTGGTCAGGTCTGCTCCTCAAGGTCGGATTGCTGACGGTATTTGCTGGTCCTGCCGGAGCAGCTGTTGAACTGATGTGGGAGAGGGACGAACTAGTGTTTGGCGAGACTGGAGGCACTAGACAGCAGGTCACAAAAGCCAAAAAGTCTTCCTAGGTGAAAATTGGGATTTTGGAAAGCTGGTGAACAACCGCCGGGCTAATCACGGACACTCAAATGATCTATATCCTTTTCATAGTATCGGGGATTGCAGTCTCCGAGATCAATAGAAAGGGTACCCCATGTCAAATCCTATTCAATCGGGTGTTCAAAATGTATTCCTCCGAAGAAATTGTGAATTAACCTAGAGCTCATCCATCCTCTTTAACGCGTTTTATCGATAAGCATGACATCCAAACCGTGACGTCATCATTTCTTTTCGCAACAGATTCGCAAGGGGCTCTGCCTTGCAGAAAATATCCCTTGCAACCATCCGACCGTCCAGTAGACCTGACAACAATATTTCAAACACTATAAGTCTCGAGATCCAAACCCAATGTCAATACCTTGGTTCGACCACTAAAACGGACCAACCGGGGAAATGGTCACTTGATGACGCCCTCGACGATTGACTCGAGTGAACAAAATGGTACCTCCAGGCGCAGGTACCGTGGTACGCGGATTCAGATACCCCTCCAGTCAAATATCTTCAATATCCATTACCTGCCTTCGCACCCAGTCCATGCCGTCTGATTCACCACCATGGAGCCAAGCAGCTCCTCTCAGCCCGGTTATCGTGAGACTAGCACCAGTGAAAGCGATGAGCTGAGTACAACCGCCACTCAGACACAGCGAGGATCCGGATACGAGGCCATCCACTCCGATACCCTCAGTCGCCTCGCAACCAGCCTCAATCAAGTCGAGCTAGAACGCATCAACACCTATCGACTTCAACATCGCTCTACTGTCGGATCAGGCCCAGGTCCTGCACCACGCGAGAAATGGCTACCCCTTGGGGCTGGCAAGCCGTATCCTCCCGATCTACCGGACCCTGAGCAGTACTTAGTAGAGTTCAATGATGCCAATGACCCTTTACATCCCCAGAATTGGCCGTTCGGACGGAAACTTGTCATTTCGGCTGTGTTAGCATATTCCAGTTTTGCATCCTCCTTTGCCAGTGCTATTTTCTCCTCTGCTGTGGTAGAGGTCAGTCCTGAATTTCACGTCAGTTCTGAAGTGGCCATTCTTGGAGTGACCCTGTACGTGATGGGGTTTGCTTCGGGCCCTATCCTTTGGGCCCCGGCAAGTGAATTGATTGGTCGTCGATGGCCAATGTTCGTCGGACTATTCGGTTTTTCGATTTTTACTATCAGTGCGGCGACCAGCAAAGACATCCAGACTCTGATGTTGACTCGGTTCTTCGCCGGTTTCTTCGCAGCCTGCCCCCTCTCTGTTGTGCCGGCGGTATTTGCCGACATTTACAATAACCAGAATCGTGGAGTTGCAATTGCCATATTTGCCATGGCAGTGTTTATCGGTCCATTTGCATCACCTTTCATTGGTGGCTTTATTACCATGTCATTTCTAGGCTGGAGATGGACAATGTATATTGCATCCTTCATGGGGTTTCTGGCCACTGTCCTTCTTCTTTTCTTCCACAGAGAAACCTACGCTCCTGTAGTTCTCGTGGAAAAGGCTAGGATTTTGCGAAGACAAACACATAATTGGGGTATCCGTGCCCGACAGGAGGAAGTCGAGGTTGATTGGGAGGAGTTGATCAAAAATAACTTCAGTCGACCATTTCGGATGCTCTTTACTGAGCCTATTGTGTTTCTGGTAAGTACAATCAAGTACAATTTGCCCTTGTCTTGAAAAAAGCTAATATCACTCTAGATATCCCTCTGGATGAGTTTTGTCTATGGTCTCATTTACGCACTTTTGGGTGCTTACCCTGTTGTCTTCGAAGGTGTGCATGGCATGAACCTGGGAGTCGGCAGTCTCCCATTTATTGGACTGATCATCGGAGAGCTTTTGGCAGGAGCCTACATCCTCTACGACCAGAGGGCATACGCCAAGAAGCTTGCCGCCAATAACAACATTCCGATTCCAGAGTGGCGACTGCCGCCTTCCATTCTTGGCGGAATCTGCTTTACCGTCGGATTATTCTGGTTTGGATGGACCGGATGGACGAAATCGATCCATTGGATGGCCCCGACGGCCAGTGGTGTCGCAACCGGCTTCGGCATCTATGTCATCTTCCTGCAGTGTTTCAACTATTTGGTAGATTCATATTTGACATTGTAAGTCAATCTAGAATGAGCCAATGTTCACTAACACTAACTTGGGAATCAGTGCTGCATCCGTTTTCGCCGCCAATACAATGATGCGGTCTAGTGTAGCAGCAGCGTTTCCTCTCTTTTCGAAGCAGTTGTTCCAAAATCTAGGCGTCCAGTGGGCGGGAACTCTTTTGGGATGTTTAGCCCTCATTATGGTGCCTATTCCATTGGCATTTATTAAATGGGGCCCTGCATTGAGGAAGATGTCCAAGTTTGCGCCTACATTTGAGATGATGGGAGAGAGGCGGCCGGAAAAAGAACCCCGGGCCTCAGTCTAGCATCTCAACAAATTGCAAGATGCCCGCTGCTGATTTGTGTCAATCAGTCCAATGGACCTTGTCGGAGCTTTTCCGTCCGATATTCGGTGAATTTCTGCTCGCGATCACGGCAATCGTACTGGCTGCAGCCAAGAAATTCTCAACATCTCAACAGCGACTGTCTATTTAGCTATCTATGATTAATTGCATTTTCATGAAAGCCATTTCAAGTCCGTAACATTAAAATGGTTCCGAAAGAAAATTGTGGATCAAGATTTATCGGCTGGTTCCGTCCAGTTCGCCTCAATCGACCTGGACCTTGTTCATCTTCTGAGGCCAAGATAAGATAGCGCATCCACATGGCTAGAGCGAATACGAATGCATCTTGGCGATTCAGATCTACATGCCTTGCGTTTGCTTTCAATATGGCCAATCTCTCTCTCTTATGAACAAACTCAGGTCCTACATGTTTGGCCGTTGCTGTCACGATTTTCTTCTGTCGTGACCCACCGGCTTGCCGAGTCCCCATCCATGGAAATGGAACTGTCGGCAAGCCGGCAATCACCCCATTCGACCTCAGATGATTTAGTCCCGCCAAGTCCGCCAAGGTCGGAGGCGGAGGGCGCGGGTGGGCAGACATGGGCGAATTTTTTTTCGCCCTATCGGAGGAATATGGTTGGCTATCTGTTTTTCTTTTCTTCCTGGCATTCCTTCTTTCCTTTGGGGCATCTGTTTTGACAACATCTTGGACACGCCTCTTCGGCTGGGAAGCCATTCTACAGGATATAGGAAATTTTGTCCGTCGTCATGGGCTTCAAGGCTTGGATACATGACACCAACTTGCGTGTTGCGCGCAGCCCCGTGGGGAGATGGTTTCGACTCGAGAATTCAGGCCATGTGAGTGATCGACGGCGCGAAAAAGTTGCTACGTACTAATGTCACATAGCCCATGGAGCGAAAGGGTAGCTTTTTCTTTACTGAACTCCGCGCCGGCCTAGCAACATTCTTTGCTATGGCATATATCATCTCCGTCAACAGCAACATCACTTCAGAAACTGGCGGTACCTGTGTTTGCCCGCCGGAAGACATGGCGGACTACTGCGCAACCAACTCCGAGTACCTCATTTGTATGCAGGAAGTCAAGCGTGATATCGTTACTGCCACATCTGCTATTGCCGCTCTTTCGACGTTTTGCATGGGCCTATTTGCTAACCTACCTATTGCACTGGCACCTGGTATGGGATTGAATGCATACTTCGCCTACACTGTCGTTGGAGTTCATGGAGCCGGCATGATCCCGTACGATGTCGCGCTGACTGCAGTGTTTGTGGAGGGTTGGGTCTTTCTCGGCCTTACCTTGATTGGTATGCGGCAATGGCTTGCTCGCGCTCTACCAGCGTCGATTAAACTTGCGACTGGTGTTGGGATTGGACTATACCTTGCTCTAATCGGTCTGACATACAGCGCGGGAATCGGATTGGTGCAGGGTGGTTCAGACACCCCGATCGAGTTGGCTGGCTGCGCATCACAATTCATTGACTCTAGCACCGGTGAGTGTTTGAGTAGCGAGAAGATGCGCAGTGCCACCATGTGGGTGGGCATTTTCTGTGGTGGTGTTCTCACGGCAATGCTCATGATGTACCGCATCAAAGGTGCTGTGATCATTGGCATCTTGCTAGTCTCCATCATTTCCTGGCCCCGTACCACACCCGTCACCTACTTTCCCTATACGGAACTTGGAACAAGCATGTTCGACTTTTTCAAGCAGGTTGTCACCTTTCATCCGATCAAGCATACCCTTGCTGTTCAGAAGTGGGACATCTCTGGACATGGCGGCCAGTTCGGACTGGCGTTTATCACTTTTCTTGTAAGTAATCTATCTTGACACTGACTTGCAAAGATACTAACATGGCATTTTAGTATGTCGATATTCTGGATACAACTGGTACCATGTATTCAATGGCCCGCTTTGCTGGCGCTATTGACGAGCGCACGCAAGATTTTGAAGGGAGTGCCATCGCCTACGTAAGAATAATTCCCTCTTCTTTCTGGTATTGTCATAAAATGCTAACTGAGAAACCAGATGGTCGACGCCATCTCCATCTCGATCGGATCGCTCTTAGGCAGCCCTCCGGTGACAGCATTTGTCGAGTCCGGCGCTGGAATCTCCGAGGGAGGGAAAACAGGACTGACATCGTGCATGACGGGTTTCGCCTTCTTCATTGCCGTGTTCTTCGCACCGATTTTTGCATCCATTCCTGCATGGGCGACGGGTTGCACGCTCGTCATCGTGGGGGCGTTGATGGCGAAGGCTGCTGCAGATATCAACTGGCGTTACTACGGCGATGCCATCCCGGCATTTCTTACTATTGCTATCATGCCTTTCACCTATAGCATCGCCTATGGTCTTATTGCTGGCATTCTCAGCTATATCACCCTAAATGGCGTCGCATGGCTACTAGAGAAAATCAGTGGTGGCCGCATTGTCCCACCTAACAAAGATGAGTCCGACCCTTGGTCTTGGAAGGTACCTGGTGGTTTCTTCCCACCGTGGGTGAAGCGTGCAGCTCATGGCCAGAAGGACTTTTGGCGCCGGGATGAGGAGAGCGTTGGGTCGAAAGAAGTGGTTTCGCTCGCGTCTTCTCAGGAATGTGTTGCTGTTGTGAAGAATCACGCCGAAGGTGGGGAGCCAGGAGAAAAGCCAATATAAAAGGCTTCTAAAGAGTCGGGCGATGGTATTCTCAAGTTTTCCGCAGTTTCTAATGGTGTCATAACGCATGTGTCTTTTACAACCACCTAATAGTTGTATATCATCCCAGATGCTACCAATTATAATTATAATACAAGTCAAAAATATGGTTTATATATCTCTTGGCCTGCATAGGGTGTCGCTTGATATCAACATTGGCATGCATACCTAGGGTCCAATCAAAAACCCACAAGGCTGAAATGCGTTCCAAGTGATGTAGGACTCCCGGAAGACCCAGTTTTAATACCTATGCCCGAGAATAACGGTTGTCACGGACTTCGGTAGTCCAAGGGTGGTGAGAGACTGACCCCTCTAAATGAAGTCATAATGTCGGTAGATATCAGGGTGCATACAATAGCGCACCCGGCAAAATGCAGATCGGGGGCAGTGCAGGCCGCGATGCAGTCCCATACCTGGGGTTTATATGTATGGCAGCAGTTTAACAAAGAGCATTGATTAGCCAAGCAGCTGTTCCTCCCCCAACCCAACGGATTTCATATCTGATGTCTCAAGTGGAAGGATCTAAATTGCGTCCGCGTCGAGATATCTGACCTCGTCTCGCTCAATCATCCCAAAGATCTGGGTGAATCAGCCCTGTCGGGAGGGCGTTACCAAGGGTATTGAAAGCTTATCATTCTAGTTAACTGGTTATCAAGGTCGCGGGATCAGTCATTCTTCAAGAGGCGAACTGCCCATATTTCCTCAAATCGGTACAACCTGTGCACGCCAGTCTTCTGCCGGAAGTACTAGCAGATTCCGCGGGAGGCTTTGACAGTTTCGTAAGCCGCTAGTAACAGTCGGGAAGGAGTAAGGCTGTTAAATGCGAGGATCAGACCCACAACTGCTCAATAAATACCATCCCAGTGGTGCGATTGGCGAAATTACCCACAGAGATTCTCCCGCGTTTGAATGGGCGTCAAGCTCATTGCATGCGGCGCCAATCTGACCCAGCACCATTTCCCCGAAGCTGTCCCGAAAGCTGAATTGCTAGCGTTGGAAAACCATCCGGGGTCCACTGATCGATCGGGGACCAGGGGATCAGGAAAGCAGCCCATTCGATGATTGTTATGACCCCGGGCCCAATCAACATGTAAGCTCAACGGGCTCAGATCTGCGCAACGCACCCTTATTATGCCTGTTAGTTGGTCCCCAGCGATGTGAATGTGCTGGGATTAAGAGACGCAGGCAGGGGTTGTCAGTCAGCCACACTGCCATGGGCGATGATGATCAAAAGGCTTCCTGCTTCCGGAAGTTGATGCAATTATGAGAGCAACTAGCAGTACTTGCCATATTTAATCGAGTGAGTCAGTGCAGTGCAGCCGATTCGAAGACCTCCGTGGAGACAGACCAGTCCCACACTATTTAGGCCAGAAGGTTCAAAAGTACCACATCCACTCCGTCCGTTGGCGAAATGCACCATGGACAAGTTACCACCTCAAGACTCCCCGGAGGGCTCTCCAGATGATTTGGTAGGCGTACCCGCTCCGGAACCATGGCCTGGGGAAAAGAATGTCGGCGCGGCCTGCATATCATGCCAGCGGGGAAAGTTGAAGGTAATTATTCGTCTGTCCAACCAAAACAAATACATCAACACGAATGATCGTTGAGGATTTGTTGGTAGTGTTCCGGTGAGACGCCATGCCAACAGTGCGATGAAATCGGACTTGACTGTGTGATCGACGAAAGCATGGATCAGCGGCGAAGGATAGTCCTCGAACACAATATGGACATCCTTGAAGAGAAAGGGGAGCCGATAGATATGGATCAGCTATTAGCCACTGTCCAAGAACTGGACTCGTCTTCCGCCACCCAGATCATGAACCTTGTTCGGAATCAAGCGCCGTTGGATGAGATTAAGATGCAGATTGAGGGTCTGCTAGAGCGCGGAGCACTTGAAAGATCGGAACAGTTGATTGAGGTTTGCAACGAGGTTCAACGACTGTACGAATCCGATGATAAGGCCCAGCGCCGTGAGAATGTCGCGGAAAACAAGGACTATGTACCCATCTCCCTTCTTCCAAGTTTATCTGATTGCATCTGTACTTGAACTCGATTGACCAAAACAAGCGGTCCGGAGACCTAGACACGCATTTCTTTTCACTGTTTCCTTGACCATGATCCTTGCAGATCGATGCGTGAGTCGTTCTTCGCACTTACATACAATCTCTTTAGGACATGCAATAACCTCGTCCAGGCATACTTCAATCATCCCAAACCGTCCGATGTGCGTGGAAGCCCATCAATCCAGGGAGTTCTTTGCTATCGGTCGACCAAACATCGCCGGGTCCATAATCCATTAGGCTTCAGTTTCGGACGCGCGGTACCACCATGGAGAAGGACATGACTGTCATATCAGAAGGCCGCAACATTTAGTGCCCCATAATGGCCATGACTGACATGCGCATGTCTCAAGAGACGATCACGTCTGCCATACCTGTTGAGCCTTCAGTATGTTATGTCATTGCCGCAAGGAAGACATGCGTTCAACTAACACCCCGATTGACCTCATCAACCACACAATCATTCAGACCGTCTGCGAGTTTTCTCAAATATTTTAACAAAGATGAAGATGGTGAGAAAGATGGTGAGAAAGACGGCACAAGTCTGCAGGAGGCCCATCAATGGGCCCGATGGCTTCTGTGTCCAGTCTGACAGTTGCAGTCTTAGCCTTTTCCTATCAGTGGCCACTGGGCAAGGATTTGCTGCGGCTATGCCAGGTCACCTCCAAGCAGATGGTAGTGACTCTGTCAACAGAGACAAACGTTCTATTCGTCCACACGGGACGAGATAGTGGAGCACTGAGAACTGGAAATCGTTGAACAGCCAATATCCCACCTTCGCGTATGGTACAAAACGGGGCGAGGTGGAGGAAATTGATATGAATGTGACCCAGGAGAAATTTGATCATATAGATATCATTGGTAGTCGAGAAGCACCCACCAGTCAGTCTGAGAGTGAACCTAGGGCCACCAGGAGTGTAGACAGGGCAAACGCACCGAGAAGCCATGTGGATATTTCGTTCATTCTGGGCTAGCTCAAAAACAAATGAAAAATATGTTCAGCCAGCCCACTGCTGTTGTCGCTGTTGATGTCCGAAGAAGGACCCAAGAGAAGGGAGAAAACGGGATGTTGACACCAGTGTGAAACCAATATTATTACGAGCGCCAGGACTCTTTCTCCGGTCACGGGGTAACGGTGGATCTCCAGCCGCAAAGCAAGTCTATAGAAAGATGGAAGTAATAGCCGCACACTCTTTGTTGTGGAAACCACCGCAAACAGAGTCGGTCAAAAGAGTCATGAAAGAGCCAGAGCACGTTGCATGCGCAAAAAGTATTATCATTATTATTACCGCATCCGCCATAGAGCTGCCATAGAGAAGAGACAAAGCGATATCCTGTCGTCAACGCTGCGTTCAGTCAATTCCGAACCCGTTCCCTTCTCAGCCACCATATCCCTCCCTCTTAATAACGTCACATAAATGGGTATTCATAAAAACAAGAGACTCGCGTCGCACAAAGTCTGAGCAAGACATTCAGCAAGAGCCAGCCTGCGCTGCTGCATTGAAGTGCGAAAGACACCACGAGAGGCAAGATCATGGGCTGCACATGGTTTGCACCATGGTCGATGGTAGCCCCGAAGCAGTGGCAGGTGGCGCGATTACCCAGTGGCTTCAGTGGTTTCGTATGATTCCTTCTCGGCTTTCCGTTTCAGCCAGCGCCGGTAGATGAAGAGCGAAGCGATGCCACAGCCGACCAGGAACACGATGCAAAACACAAGGACCACACCGGGGTTCTTGGCAGCCCAATTCTTTCGCTTGATCAACGAATGGATATTGGAGGACGGAGAGCGTTCAATCAGACCGATCGCAGCCATGGTGAGGGAAACGTGGAATTAGAGGATGAACTGCACGTAACGCGTCGGGCTTGTGGTTAGAGATCAAGATCTGTTGTCAGGAAGGCAAGAGAGCGTACAGAAGCTGGAAAGGGTTTCTCGGTGGAAATGACAGAGAAGATGATTGACAATCTTTGGGCTGCGCAGAGAACGGATTAACACGATGTAGATAGTCGGGGGATAAATCACGGAAGTGTGGAGGGGAAACGGCGAAGACGAAAGGGAAGGAGGGAAGCACATACGGTGACACCGAGTCTAGAAACACAAAGAAGCTAAGCACCAGCTGCTCCAGACCACATCTCAGTATTGCAGAGCGGGAGGGAAATAGAGGGGTGAGTGGAATCCAAGCTGTTTCCTTCCTTCGGCAGCCAGCGGAGATCAAGCTAGTCGATGATGCTGCCAGACTCCCCCGGTCGGTGTCTACACTTTACCTTGTCTCTACGGCCTGTGATTGGTATCCGGCAACACTCGAGCCATGGTTACACCTTCCGTTGCGCTCAACCGCTAAGGAACACGCGAGTCATGGACGTCAGTCTATTCGAAATATATCCGAAATATACTATGTAGGCAGAGCTCTCCCACATAATCAGCGTGATCGACACAGACCCTGCACAATCTCTCACTTGGGATCCACAATATATGTCTATAATTGGAGTTAAGGTCATCTCTGCATTGCTGGCGATAAGCATTCCCGACTGGGCCGGGAGACCGGCAATTGACTTTCTTGACGTCATCCATGGCCGTATGAAGGTTGGACAGCGCCCAGCCGAGTTAAACAAAACATCCACGATATCGCGCGGGACACTGGGAAGAGGCCATTTCTCCTCAGCTGCGGGTAATAAATTCGCTTCTTCTCAACTCTCATACGACTTGTGCTCCAATGACTGACTTGAAGACAGTGTCACGTGATCTAACATAGGGCTCCTCTATATCTTTTCGTGCAAGGAAATCAAATCAATACGTTCCAGGAAACAGCGCCATCCAAATACCACTGCGATTTTATTCAAAAACTTCAGGGATAGTGTGTCAAACCCCTGGATTGTTGTGCCTTCCATTTTGCTTCTTGGGCAGAATTGCCTGGAGATCTTGGAACTGGGGCATCTTCGCCAACGAAAATACCGTCCATCCGGAGCTGTCCACAAGCTTTGGATCTGCCCCTGCTTCAAGAAGGAGCTGCGCGACTTTATAATTTGATCGCCAGCATGCAACAAACAGAGGTGTTGATCCGAAGCGTCCACCTCGAGCATTGATATCGAGTTCCGGGTCAGAGGCAAGGATGGCCTTGACAACTGGCACCAATCCGAATGACGCCGCGTAGTACAATGGCTCTGTGGACTGAATACTTTCAAAGCTCACATCTTTGACGAGTGTCTGCACCCATACCCCGAAGTTGCCTCGATTAGGAAGACGTTTGGAATCAAACAGACGGTTGACGAGCTCACGATCATGGCCCTCGAATTCACACGACAAGCCGTGTGTGGCCCAAAACTGTGCCGCATATTCCAAGAAAGGGTGATCCCTTTCGCGCGCCTCGATAGTATAAAAAGACGGCGTAGCTCCAGATCGGAAGTTCTCCAGACAGAGGTAAGCGAGACACTGGCGCATAATGGTTTGGTCGGCTGTCGTAGGGTCCAGACTAAAGTATTTAACGTTGGAAGAAGTAATCCACTCGGATGTGAGGAAATCTTTGATAGATGCGTGGGCCAGAACCACGGCTCCAAACTTGTCTTGCGTGATGAGTCCCTGGCAGATTTGGAGCAGAATCTGTGGAGACACTAGTTCCATATCATCATCAAAGACAGTGCATGTCTCGTCCAGCACCGCTGCCTCGTTGAGTTCGCGCAAGGTGAGCGTTCGCTTGGAGAAACAGAGCCAGAAAAGCGCCGCGCGGGCGAGCTCCCAGTCATCGGGCTCAATTCTTTCGAGGATGTTGACGTATGTTTCACGCAGTGTGCCGGGTAATGTCCGTAATGCTTCTCGAATTGCCTTGGGAGTTCGCTTTGTTCTGAGGCTTTCTAATGATAGCTGGGCCCAGCGGAACCTGTGAAGCAGTCAGACTGTGCACCTTGTGGTAACATCTGGTACTAACGATCCGTCGGCGCCCCTGACCAAGGTCCCCCAAATTTCATCTTTGAGCTTAGCGCTCAGGTTTCTCAACATGTCATCATGTTCCAGCCTGTAACGTACAAACGTGTCGATGTCGTCCCGTATAATGCTGGCATTCATATTGACTATGCTGGCATAGCCTTTGGAAATCACATCGGCCGTACCGGACATCAGGATACGGATATTTGAAGATTCGCTAGAGAGCTTTAATAGAGAACGTTTGATGTCTTCCATATGAGAGCTTTCGTTAATTGCATCAAGGAGAAGTACAATTGGTCTTTCGCTGAACGTAGCCTTGATGAGGGCATCCTCGAGAGCAGAAACATCGATCGGGTGCCTGTGTGCTTGACTTTTGGCCTTTTCTTCATAGATTGGCCAAATAGTATCCAATATGGAGGGCATAGATTCAGAAAGCTGGGCCACAAAGGATCCCAGAATATTCACTGGATCTTGAGAGGCAGTATCGCCGAAAGTGCAGTAAAAGTAAGCGAAATGGAACTCTTGACCTTGTGAAGCCATGGAAATCAATTCATCAACCGCGTGGGCACTATGAGCCGTTAGTGGAGCCACAGTAAACGAAAGTAATCAAACTTGCAAAAGCGTTGTCTTTCCGGTTCCAGCTTTATTTAATCAGTATGTCGGTAAGTGGCTTCCTATGTTTGATTGTCCAAAACGTACATTTACCCAAGAGGAAGAGAATCTTCCGGTACGTGCCATGATTCCATAGCCAATCTCTGAAAGTTCGATTAATGAACCAATTCCCTGTTTGATTCCCGCGTCCCTTTGAAGCTCGCATGTGGATATGGTTTGGACTGACGGGAGCCAACCAGTGGAAAAGATCTTCGTGGGCAGTCCTGATCCGTTCATCCTTTCGAATTTTCAAGTCATCCTCGAGAGAGCTTGCAAGGTTCGTTATTTCTTTGTGCAAGTCCCGCTGAAGAGCGGCACTGTCACTCGTGAGAACGAGAATCAGCCATGACTTGACTCTTTCCAAGCGGGTCAGGTGGGCGTTGAATTGATCTTGAGTGAATGGCCATTCCAGCTTTTTTTAAGTTGCTTGAATCTGCTTGCCGGCGCTTCGAGGTCATGAAGGAGGGATGTGAGAAACTCATGGGTTGTTTTCAGGGTGCCCCTTAGTAGTTCGGAGTCAAAAGCTACGGCTTCTGAGTAGGACGGCAATCTTTCCGAATCTTCAGGCTCGATGTGTACTGAAAGATGTTCCAGTATCCCTTTAAGCGCAAAAAGCTCCTCACTCAATTTTTGAGTGTCAGACCTTGCATCTCGTACAGCTTTTGCGTAGGTTATGGTGGCCTTGATTATCGAACTGACGTCCACGATCAGTCCCACAATTGATATTGGATCGGCCATCGTTGAAAAATATGCACTCGAGCCGGGCGCGATGTATGTGTTGGAGATTCAAGCAGCCACTACTGGCACCGGCGAAACAGCCACGAAGAACCGTGGAACGATGTGCAGGGCTGATCGAGTTAGTTTTGGCAGGGCGGGGTAATTAATTCGTAGTCACTTGTTTGTCATGGTCTAGTGTTTTCCTAAGCTGGTCTAGTGCATACGCAAGTGTTTTATGTCCAGCAAATTATTCCGTTTCCGTGCGCCTCGTATTCGACCCACCTGGTACCAATCAAGTTGTTCTATATTGATGAGCGTCTTTGGCCTGATTCTGAACCCTGTCGCAAGACACGATATGAGCTTATTAGGCCGTGACTGTGTTCCTTGAAGTTCTTTAGGGCCCAGAGAATGTCGTCTGGTCCGCTTTTCGATCGATTTACTCGCCTCGTTTCCATGGCCATTGTGTCTGCTGGTTAGGAAGTTTATTTCTCGGCTAGCCACAGAGAGCATTTCTGTTTGCTTAATTCGATAGGCAGCGGAATGAGTCCATCTGCACGAGCCGGTCATCTTGTCGATCTCCTCCCTCTCCTAGTAGAGATCAGCTACCAAAGCGAGTGCAGGGTCACCTACTGTACGCTTACTGGCTGGCGAACACGGGTTGAATGGTCACAATGGAGCATCGAGGCTCGTCGTGAATACGAGCTTAATCCTTCCTGCTTGTGGTGGCTGACAGATCCCATGCTTCGCCGCCGTGCTTAAAAACCAGGCCCCACCCCATTTTGAGGTGATTAAAGTTTTGAACGTATTGAACTCATTATATCCTCTAGCATGATCACCGCAAAGATGCTGCTAGTATACGCCCTCTCCTTTATTCCATTAGTGAACGGATGGACCTTCCTTTGGACCAACGCCACAGGCAAGGCTACCATAATTCACAATGGTACTCAGCATCTAAAGTGCACACAGATCAGTCTCGCAAAAGGCAAAGAGTTTCAATGGGATCCGGAGAATGATGGAGTTTGCATCGGCATATACTACGATACCGAGTGCAAAACGGCCGGTGGTCTTTCGTGCAATGCGTGGGACAAGAACGCCAGCACGAACTTCGATGCCATTTCAATCTTTCCACCAGATGAGTCTTCCACTGTGACAGTCGGACCTGCTCCAACCTCAACGAGCGGACCCTCAAGCTCCCCAGCCTCGACTGCCGCAACTACTACCTCCTCCTCTTCCACCTCCTCTTCCACCTCCTCTTCCTCCTCCACGTCTACTTCGACCAGTGTTGCAACAACAGGTAACAAGCCGTCTTCATCTGGCTCGTCTCTCTCGGGAGGGGCAATAGCAGGTATTGTCATCGGAGTAGTTGCCGGCGTCGTCCTAATTGCCGCTCTATTCTTCTTTGTTGGCCGACGGAACCGCAAGAACAAGGCTGCTGCTGCGAGCGCGCAGGCAGATTCCATGCCTCGAGGACCCTATGCGCCACAGGGTCCAACGCCGGATGGAATATATGCACAAACTTCATCATTGAATAAACCTGAAAAGCCGCCTACCTCGTCGTCAGGTGTGCCATTGACCCATCCTGCTTTAGGATCGAGGGTGGCGGAGGTTAGTGGAGACAAGCCGGCTGCTGAGATGGCACACACTCCGGTAATGACCGAGATTGAACTTGATGGGACAAGTGCCGGTAATCGGCAGTTGTACAGATAATTCTGGACTACCAGCTTCTCTGTGTCGAGTTATGTAGCTTATTCCCATTCGGGGAAGATGCCTGTGAAAATGATAGCATGTGTCAGATTTTTTGTTTAGTGGTAGCAAGCGATGGGTCTGTATTTGGTCATTGTTGTTTGGCGTATTTGTCAGGGAGGCTGTTTGACCGCGCTTCTTTCCATTAGTGGACACTTTGAAAAGGCTCCTTCATGAAGAAAAAGTAATTGGTGAGGTGCATCGCACATTCTGTGATCTATCGCTCGAGCTAAACTTGACCTCACTGGATTGCAATTCGCGGCTCAAAGTCCGGAGCCTTGGTGTAGGAAGCCTGCTAGATGATGGTGTCTACAGCTTGATATGGGGGCTCTTCACGCTGGAGGCCGATTGCGGTGCTGAAAATCCCACTGTCGTGGCTGTACAGTCATTATCGGAGGGAATCGATGTTGCAACATCCATACTGATGCAATTTCCGTCTACGGGCAAGCACGGCATCCTCACATCGAGCTCTGTGGTCAGGACCGGTAATACCTTTTGTCGAATTGAAGGAGAAAATGGACGTATCACTCTGAGGGCGTGTCAGCATCTGCGCCATCTGCATTCGAAATGCACCGCAAGACGCAGTCCAAGCCTGAGAGGTATGAGTTCGAAAATCCGGGGATCGGTCTATTCTGGGAAGCAAATGCGGTAGCATTGGATATCATGGCAGGCCGTACGGAGAATAGCATCATGCCCATGGAAAGAAACCATCATATTGATGGAGATGATGGACCATATTCGGAGGCAGGGAGGTACTCGATATCCCCAAAATGACAACCTTGCATGACGATTCAATCGTTGTTTTCTAGCATAATGATGATATATCTTAATTAATATCCAGTTACATTCCATTCGCAGAAGATCTATGCAGAAGATGTATGGATAAGAATTCCAAGTACAACAATATTATCCTCGGTCTTCTATACAACCAAATCCACAAGGAACCAGGTGCACGGACCAGGCAAAAAGGACGGCTGGGATCGGGTGACCATCCCGTCATCACTGACCGAATCCGCCGGAAAGAAGACAAATCCCCTGTAACAGCTGCCTACTCACGGCAGACCATAATCATGCTCCGCCTTGCTATAACAGCAACAGCTCTGATCACCGGCTCCTCGGCAGTTTATTTCTACATTCTCCACCTCAGACTGTCGGCCCGCGTGCAACACGAAACCCACTTCGAGACGCTCTCAGCATCATCTTCACGGCCCACCGCGATCGAGTCAGTTCCAGATAGAGTGTTCACGGACCAGTCCTATGCATTCTTCGATCGTGCCTCAAAGACAGTCCCACGGGACTCGCTGCCGCTAGCTGAGTCCCTTGAGAGCCTTTTCACGAAATACGTCCGTCGCAATATGACGGCCTTCTCTCATCTACCAGCTGCATTAATGCTGCGAGCTGTCAGTAAAACTTCAGAACAAAAGAAAAGTTTCAGGACATCGCACATTGCTTCCCTGAGCTTCCAGGAGGGGGATCTTATCTGTGGCGCCTATCGGGTCAAGGTACGCCGTGAGAATAAAGTGGAGTTTGAGATGAAAATGCAAATGATGGATTATGTGGATGGTCGGTTGGCCATTAGTTGCCGAGAGGAGGATGGGGAAGTCGTGTTTTGTACGGAAGTGATGATGTGGAAGCCGGCGGATGAGAAGAGGGCCATGCCCATGGAAAACCCTGCTGCTCGCTGGATGCATGAGCTGGCTTCATGGTGGCTAGTGGATTCGGGGGTGCAATATTTGATGGATCTGGAGTCATAGTGGTGATGTGTTTCTTTGATGTCTTCTCTTCAAATCAAAGTCTTGGGTGTTAGATTAAATCAGATGGAAAGTCCCAAGAGTCAAGGCGTTGGCCCTGCTCCTGGGTTGTCGTATATGTTGAAAGGGAGCTTCATCTCCCACTGCTTTGAATGAAAAAGGGCTTACACCGAGGCCTGTGTAACAAGGATGATTGGCCCGGTGTTCGAGATATTGCACGACAAAGGGAGAAACACGAGACATTTCAACAGATCACCCTGAATGTTTAGATTATCCCCTTCTTACAATCCATTGTTGTCCTTTGACTCAGAACTCGGCTTTGTACTTGTTTTGCAGCGACTCTCCGGCAGATTCAACAACACCCAGACACAGGGTCTATATAAGTTTTCAGGATCAAGTCAGAATGGCCGTATTCACAACTGCCGTGGCACCCTCCAAACACTCTGATCAACATGTGTCTATACACATACCACCACTACCCAGTATGTGGGCACATCTCCAACTGGAGCGTGACCAGCTGTCTCGAATTCACCAACTATGTCCGCCAAGTAGCAGGCACCGGCCAGACAGTCTCCTGCAAACATGTCCAAATAGCGCACGATCTCCTTCCCGCCGCACAGCCCAGTCTCTGTGTCCAATGCGAGATGGAGTGGAGTGAAGCTATTCAGCACAATGGTCGCTATCCGGTACTACCAGATACCTATCGGATCATCGAGGGCCTGGATGCGAAGAGCCCGATCATCCAATTTGATACACAGATGACCCTTGATGTGAGGAAGACCTCTCCCAGCAGCAAGTATTTTGTGCGCACAATTGACAACGATCAGTGCGATCTCTTCGCCGACGTCTCATTGCACGAACCGGGGCTTAGGAGTTGTCGGGCCTATCGTCCGCCCAAGGGAAAGGTGCGGGATTCGGGCTTCTCCAGAAATGTGAGTCGCTCCACCCGGACTGGTGTGAACAACATCGATCAAAGCGGAAGGAAACTATCTGCCGATTACTTAACGCAGTCTCCCCTGAGCAGCCGGTATGACGAAGCCAGGAAATCCGCAGGTGAGAATCCAGCGAAACACAGCCCCTCCGCTCAGCATGATCTAAAAACTGACATTCGTGTATCACGGAAAACTGCTGATACGACTAAAGACTTGATCAACTTTGCTCCGACCGCTTGCAAGCCGAGGTGCAGCGCTCGCTGGACTAGCTTGGACGGCATGAGCAAACTGGATATCCCCAACAAACCCACTACCTCTCTCGACAGTCTGGAAGCCCACGGGTCATCTTCCCCTCGTCCAGATTTATCTAGTGACGAACTGCCTATATTCATGTCTTACAGCCCTTACGACTGGATCTCAGCTCTCAGTCCTAGCCACACCTTTCTCGAAGACGCAACTCCGGTGCTTGCAAAACAATTCGAAGGGTACCAGGACGAATCTGACGAGAATTCTATTGAGCAGTCTGACTCTTCGGATCAGAGTCCTGCGCGCCATTCTCCAGCTTCCGCCCTGAAGCCAGTGGGTGGTCGAAAAGGAACACCCTATACGAGGCATCTGCCTCATCTCCAGCGGCTTCAGTCAATGCCTTCAGACACTCAGGCAGACGGGTTGGGTATGTTTCTACCCCCGGAATGGGACAGTTATCTTGATCGTTTCTTTCGGGGTCGGTTCTGTTGAGGGATATTTGTTGCGGCGTATAGCGGGGTCTTGAGGTTCGGTCAGTCGTGTGTCCCGTTAGTTTTCTAGGATATACCAGTCATAGACTGCAGTTCTTTCACCTTGTCCTACCCATTCGGAAGATATCCCTAATACGCCGACCCGAGGCTACCCGTATGCCCCAATTTTGGCTAAAGTCGGCAGCTTGACTATGTAGATCGGGACTCGGACTTGCACCGACTAGCTTCCCATCTTCCCCCACCATAAAACCTGCACCCCCACGCAGGTCCGGCACAGGGATAAAGGCTTCGTTCGTCGCATTTCTATTATCATTCCGTCGCATCCAGTTGTACATAATATTCTGCATTCTGCGACAATCATGTCTAAGCCAGCTGTGGGTTTTGTCGGTCTAGGAGCCATGGGCTTCGGCATGGCTACCCACCTCGTCAAGGAGGGATACCCCGTTCACGGCTTTGATGTGTTCCCCGCCTCGGTTGAGCGCTTCAAGGCTGCGGGTGGGATACCCGCAAATTCGCTGCAGGATTCTGCTAGCGGGAAGCAGTACTATGTCTGCATGGTGGCATCGGCGCCCCAGGTACAATCCGTGCTTTTTGGAGAGGGAGGAGTAGTGTCTGGTAAGCCTTAGACCATTCATTCGCAGGCTCGCTTGCTAACGATTATCGATATTATGCACAGCTCTCCCTCCAAATGCGACTCTCCTTCTCTGCTCTACCGTCCCGGCATCCTATGCCCAGTCCGTCGCCGCCGAACTGCAATCACGCGGTCGGGGAGACATCTACTTCATCGACTCCCCCGTATCAGGCGGTGCCAAGCGCGCCGCCGACGGGACGCTGTCAATCATGGCGGGCGCGCCTGATGCACCCCTCGAGAGCGGCCGGTTCCTTCTCGAGGCTATGTCGGATGCGAACAAGCTGTACCTAGTCCCAGGAGGGATTGGCGCAGGCAGCAATATGAAGATGGTGCATCAGGTTCTGGCGGGCATTCAGATTCTCGGTGGTAGCGAGGCGATGGGTTTCGCGGCCCAATTGGGACTGGATGCAACCAAGACGGCGGAGGCTATCAAGTCTTCCGATGCGTGGTCGTGGATGCATGAGAACCGCCTGCAGCGCATGTTAGAGGAGGATTGGCACCCTGGTGCTAGCGCGCTGACTATCATTCTGAAAGACGTGGTATGTGTATAATGTTTGGTTTGTTTCATTATCATTCAATTGCTAATACGCGGTCAGGGCATCATCACCACCTCCGCTCGTGAAAACCAATTCCCCACTCCGCTCTGCTCAACAGCCGAGCAGGTTTATCTCTCCGCCCTCCTACAAGGCTACGGACCAGTTGATGACTCCTCCATGGTCCGCCAGTATTTCTCCGAGCCCATTATGAAAGTAACCTGCACCAAATCTGCCGCAGAAACCGCCGAGTCCCTGCAGCTGGTTCTTGATATGATGGAGGTGACAAACACCGTCGCTGCGGCGGAGGCTATCGCGTTTGCCCGCTACCTGCATGTCGACCTCAAGCAATTTTTCACGCTTGTCAGCGATGCGGCGGGGTCCAGTCGGGCTTTCATGACCAAAGGCCTAGAAATGATTGAGGGCCGGGTCGGGCAGAACACCGAGACGGTCAACGATGCGATCCGGCGTCTGGAGAAGGCGGTGCAACGAGCTCGGGACTTGCACTGTCCGCTGCACCTGGGTAATGCGGCGATGAACGTACTGTTTATGGCTAAGAAGGCCGGGTTTGGAGCTGAGGGGAGCACGAGTGTGATCAAAGTGTATGGCAATTAGGATCTAGTCGTATATAATCCTCCAATGTCATTATTATTGACGTAATCCCACCATCGCGGAGTGTCTCCGGCCCCACACTCGGGCGGGGTGCGATGCCCTGAACCGCGACGGATTAACTATAAAACTGTGTATTCCAGGACCGGCCGGTCAATTCCCCCAGTTCACTATATTATTCCCCCTCTCCCGCTCCCAATCATGCCACTCTCCAACAACCGCGCCCTCAGCATCCTCAACCATGCCGCCACCAACCGGTACGGCGTGCCAGCGATGTGCTGCTACAATGTGGAGGGCATTCTCGCAACGGTACGCGCCGCAGAAGCCAAGCGGTCCCCGGCAATGATCCTCCTCTTCCCATGGGCGGTGCACTACGCCGACGGTATCCTTGTGCACGCCGCCGCGGAGGCAGCCTCCAAGGCCTCCGTACCGGTCACCGTACACATGGACCACGCACAAACGCCCGAGATCATCCGCTACGCGGCCGACCTGGGCGGGTTCGACAGTATCATGGTCGACATGTCGCACTACGAGAAGGAGGAGAACCTAGCCCTGACGCGGGAGCTGGTTGAGTACTGCCATGCGCGCGGGATCGCGACGGAGGCGGAGCCAGGCCGCATTGAGGGCGGGGAAGATGGCGTTGCCGATACGGCGGATCTGGAGGGACTTCTTACGACCCCTGAGGAGAGCCAGGAGTTTGTCGATACGGGGATTGACTGGCTGGCGCCGGCTTTTGGGAATGTGCATGGCGAGTACGGGCCGCGCGGGATCAGGCTCGAGTATGACCGACTGCAATCTATCAATAATGCCGTTGGAGATAAGGTTCAGCTTGTCCTGCACGGCGCGGATCCTTTTACCAAGGAGATTTTCCAGAAGTGTATCGAGTGTGGTGTGTCCAAGATCAATATCAACAAGGTCTTGAATAATGAGTATGTCAAGGTGCAGCAGGAAAAGGCCGGCAAGGTGCCCCTCACGACTCTCCTTGAAGAAGCAACCAATGCCATGCAGAAGGCGGTTGAGCGGTGTATGGATATGCTGGGCTCTGCAGGACGATACCCTTGAAGTGTGAAGATAGAAAGAAGTGCGGCATGCAATTGCATTTTGTTTACCATATTTCCCAAGTTCAACGCAATGAGACGACCGAAGCATGCTGCTCTGAATTAAATCTCTTGGATATCGGAACACCAGAACAACAAAACAACACCATTCAAAATATCGTCATCCCCAGCAAAAGAATTGAAGTACAAGTATGAGCTCAATTGTCACTTGGACAACGTATCAGGCTCCAAAACAAGATCCCACTATTCAACAGGAAGATACTACTGACTACTCTATGCGCGGCGGAGAGTACTGCCAAGCATGGGACCAAGGAGTGGGATACCCTCAAGTAGAGAATTGAGTGGTGACGACGGTGCGGGCTTCGCGGACGGGGTCGGTGTTGGGGCAGCCGACGAGCTGTCGTCCGAGTCCGCGTCGGAGCTCGAAGAAGCGACCGTCATGTGCTTATGGTGGATGCTAGCAGCCTTGGCGGGATGTGTGACCATGGTCTTAACGGCGTGTGTGGCATGAGTCGCAGGCACTTGCGCAGAGTGGGTCTCGACGACGGTAGCCTCATGCGTGGGAGCAGCGTGAGTAGCAGTCGGTTTCATCTCAGGCTTCAGGGAAGTCATGGGCTCGTGTTCATGCTTCTGCTCGGCCTTGTGGGTAGGCTTAGCCTCTGGCTTGGACATGGACATGGAAGACGATTCAGGCATCATAGATGCCTCAGGGATGGATGGCGACTCGATCTCAGCCGAGGACATTGGCGTCTCAGCGTCATCCTGCATCGGAGGCAGGGCAGGCATTTCCTCCATGGGGAGTTCAAAGTTCTGATCAGGAGAACTGTTCTTCACCGAGGATGCGGGAGTGGACTGGGCAGGCAGGAGGTCTAGGGCCGACGAGGCAACCTGGGCCCCTGTGGAACCTTTGTCGAAACCATAGGGTATATCATTGCCCGGGTCGGTCTTGGGGGAATCCATCTCCAAGCTGCCAACGCCGTTGGCCGGGTTGAAGGGGAAGCTGTTGAAGGGAGCGCCCTGCTTGTGAGGGGCTGAAGGGGCCGCAGTGGCGGCGATGGCAAAGAGCGCCAGGGAGATGTAGGCGTGCATCTTGGTTTTGTTGTGTCGATAAATATAGATTGTCAGTGAGGGTGATCGGGTGTCGTGGGATTCTGAGCCGGAAAAAAAAAACAAAAGGAAGGAAAAGAATACAACGAGAAAAAAAAGTCCGAGCTATACTCGAGAAAAAGGGATGCGCAGCTTTTATGGCTAGCATGGCAAGGAATTCTTGATGTGCTCTATGTTGTGATCCTCGACCACCGCGTCGTCCATGCCGCCGGATACACGCGCGGATAGGATCAGCAGCCTCTGTTGCATAGCCGAAGGGGGCTTTTTGCTCGTACATTGTCCTGTAAGTAGTATTAAGCGACAGGGGAAAGTAGCACCAAGCCCTGTTTGGTTGTGTGGAATGATCACCGTGCAAGTTGCCCTTGTCTACTCCAGTGACATGCGTGAAATGAACAGTGTGTTCGACGATGATGATCACGCCCTCGATGCCGACTTAAAGCCAGTGCAACCCTGGACGCTCCAGGAGATGGCTGGTTGGAAGCTGGTTATGTACATACCTAATCATTGTACTATGCTTTGACTTTTGATATGTACTATATCTATCATAAAGATACAAGATACCCAGATAAGATAGCTTTCTGCAGATTTCTGTCAAAAAGTACTAACTCGACGCCAAAAGCAGAACTGACAGACCATCGATCCTAGTACTGGTCAATTACGGGGTTGGTCGTTTTCAAATCCTCAAAAGGCGCCGACGTGTCTAAACTTTTCTGAAGGAGTTCAACCCGCGACTGTTTCAGTATGTAGGGATATTCGGAGAATATGTACATACTTGGCGCTGGATCGCTCATTCCCGTGGCAACCCTAGTTACCCCTTGCAGTCAATCTCTCACTGTTATCCCGACAGCTTGCTTTCTACTTTTACCATTCAGCCTCGCGAGTGAATGGAGATTTCGTCTTGTGCGGTCGTGATGGTGCCATTCATTCTGGCCATTTTCCGGTTGAGTTTGCTTTCTATCATCCCCGTAAGCCTTTAGAACCATTCTCAATAAATTATCCGTGAATCAGAGGTATCTGAATGCATAGTATCTTATTTTGTCTTATATCAGTCAGTGGTCAAGTAGTTTTGCGAGAGAAATGCGCTTGCTCCGACCAACTTTTTCAACAGTCAAATTGAGTAGGTAAACAGAATCTTATCAAGCACTCTAGACACTAGATCATGTAGAAATATGAAGACGGAACATTCAATGTAATTGATCATATACAGCTTTTTAGTTCGCTTCGAACCACATTATACGGGTTATTGGTACCAAACGTGGTGAACCGTATGTTGGGGCCGATATATATATCTTGGGCGGTAACCCTAACTCAACCCCAGGAACTCAACATATATCACCACCAATCTTAGCCAAATCTACAACTCAAATTTGAGACTCAATTTCAAAAATATCCATACTGTGCTATTAACCAGCATTTACTATGTACCTGGAACAACCCATTCGCCAAATCCCCGAGATAGATAGACCGACACCACATCAACAGACTATGTGCGAAACAGCTAATATGCAAAACGTTCGATCAGACCAGATCACTGCAAGCATTCATCCAAATAGCCGGGATTTGATCCGAATAACCATACTCCAACAATATGGACCCAAACATCTCGAGCACTCAATCCTCTACAATGGCTGACACAGTCGCCCGAACCCCAAAGCGACCCTCCTTCGGATATCCAATCCCCAGTTCACGCCAAACACTAACATTTGCAACGGTCGTGTCATACGGCGCGAAGTCGAATCGGCGCACGACGTGCGCTAGAGCGAGGTAGATTTCTGCGTAGGCGAGACTTTTCTCTCTCTGTTAATGCTGTAAATATACAAAAACAAGAACATTCCTGATGCTGGGAGATCTGAGTGATGGATGCGACGGAAAGACGTACTTGATTCCGAGACACTGCCGACTCCCCTTGGTGAACGCGACAATAAATCGACTCAGATACTCACCTCTTTCTGCTGCGCGGATCCAGCGCTCGGGATCAAACGTTTCCGGATGAGGGAATAGGGTCGAGTCCATGTGTACGAAGTAATTGGACTGGCTGACGGGTGTCTAGAGGAATACACAAGTCAGTCTACTTGACCTGCACTGCATACACTGCTATGCCTGGTACCCACACCTGCAGGTATGACCCAGTCCTTGTAGAAGAGAGGGTCGGTCGGCGAAATGCGCGCCAGACGAGCTGTCATGCCGTGTGCTAGACGCAAACCTTCGTTCACTACTCCGGTCTATGTGAAACAGTGAGCTCGGCATTCTTCGTGGCGGTGAGTACACACGGACGACAAGGAAATCCAGCCCCAAAACTTACCAGGTACGGCAGCTTCTCCAGATCAGTCCACGAGGCCTTGGAGGTAGGCGTCGACAGCACTGTCTTCAGCTCCTCGCGCAGTGTATGCATAAGCCCCGGACGGCTCATCAGATGAAACATGGCAACCGTAATCGCTCTAGCCGTGGTCTCCGTACCAGCACCCAACAGCAAAGCAGACTCATCCTCCAACCTGTCCAGCGTTCTCTCCTGCGCGGGGACATCCGAACTAATCAGCGAGTCGAATATGGTGCCGCCACCTCCAGCATCGACATCCACCTTCTCAACCATCTTCTTCTGGATCGTATCCATTGCCTGTTGACGCAGTTTCGCCTTCAAATCAAACAAATCAGCCATGTTCGGCTGCAACCAGCGCAACAGGGCCGGCGGCGCAGCACGGAAAACCGTGATCAGGAACGGCATGAAGCGATTGATGTGAAACATGGACATGACACCGTTGACCGCATCAACGAGATCGTTGCTGCGGGAGCTACTCTCATTATCCAGGTATCCGTAGCTCCAGCCGTAGGAGTAGTGCGTGATCACGTCGGCAGTCAGTGCCGCGAAATCTAGCTGCAAGTGTAGCACGGTGTCATTGTGACAGGCCTTTTCGAAGCGGTGGATGAGCTGGTCGACTTTCTCGTGGATGTACGGCGTCAGACTTGCTACCGAGCGGCGCGAGAAGTAGTTGCTCAGAAAGCTGCGACGAAGACGGTGGTGGTCGTGGTGGATGGTTTGGACGAGCGAGTTCGGGGAGCCGTAGGCCACGGCATACCGGGGGTCTTTGGCTCGTTTGTAAGAACTGCTGGCGTGTATGTCCTCGTAGAAGGACGGGTCCTTGATGTGCAGTTCACGGGGGTTGATGCGTACAATGGGACCTGGAGAACGTTAGTTCAAAATGTTTTCTTAGGCAGGACTGTCATTCTCACCGTAGGTTTCATGCATGCGCTCGATCTCCCAGAGATACATGCCTCTTTTCAGGACGTCGTAGTAGAACTCATACAGGAAGGTCGCCGCAGCAAGTTTGGGACCGGGGAAATTGGCCAGCGGGTGTGCATTCAGGCGATAGACAATGTGGCGTACGAGCAGGTACAGCAGCAGGGCTAGCACCAGCACTATGTACAGTACGGGGGAGTTCATGTGGGCGATATTGAGGGAAGGGGAGAGCAATAGGAAAAGATAGACGCAGCCTCGGGCGAAAGAGGCACCGTTCAAGATGGAAGAGGAAGAAAGAGAGAAAAGAAAAGAAGAGGACCGTGGCATTATTTAAAGATGCCTGTTGTTACTGGGTGTGTTCGTCTCTGCTGCACTCGATATCACACCCGATCCCTCCCTATACTATGCCACCTAAGCCGTGTCCATCCACTCACGACAGCCGCGACTGCATCCCAGGCGCCCATGGAGTGAGCGAAACATACTATTGGGAACAATGGGCGATTCAGACGAAGCATCAGATCGAGCACAGGTCACTCGATCGAATGGTGGCGGCCACGAGGCCCAATCGGGTTCTCGGACGGCGGTTGAGATGCCAACGGCTGCGGCATCATGTACCGCATATGGAACAGCCAGCCAACAATTACCGGAAAGGACCTGAAACAATAAAGCAGGAAATGTCAACAAGTGGACTCCTGGCTTGCAAAAAGATACCAGGTGATTAGAGAGAATCGAAAATTACGATCAGACAATAAGAAGTAGTTATACTGGCTGGATTCATGTGGAACAAAGGGAAGATCCTCAATTTACACCTATTGAAACATTCGTGAAAGGAAATCCTTGGGAAAAGTAAGAGACACAAAAAGAACGGAGGAAATAGCGACAGGCGAAGACATAGATGGGGAGCAGGTGGGACAGAAAGAGACATCCATGCCACTCCCAATTTTGGGGTTATGTCTAGGGCGAGGCCAGCATCTTCTTGACCTCAGCAATGGCGCGACCGGGGTTCAGGCCCTTGGGGCAGGTCCGTGTGCAGTTGAGAATGGTGTGGCAGCGGTACACGCTCATGCTGTTGTCGAGGGCTTGCTTGCGCTCGGCGGTCTTCTCGTCACGGGAATCGGCCAGCCAGCGGTACGACTGCAGCAGGATGGCGGGGCCCAGGTACTCCTCGCTGTTCCACCAGTAGGACGGGCAGGATGTCGAGCAGCACGCGCACAGGATGCACTCGTACAGACCGTCGAGCTTGCGGCGATCTTCGGGACTTTGGCGGTTCTCCAGACCCTGCACCGGAGTTAGAATCGATACCATAGATGTATACACAGGGGGTGAATACTCACATCCGGGGTGGGGGTATCATTCTGCAGATATGGCTTGATCGACTTGTATTGCTTGTAGAAGTGGGTGAGATCGGGGACCAGGTCCTTGACCACGTAGGTGTGAGGCAGTGGGTAGATGCGCGACTCCTTCGAGGTCTCCGTGGGAATGCGGCCTGGAGATTATGGTCAGTAATGGATACATTGACAGACACGACTACTGCGAAAGTACATACACAAGCAGGCCAGGGTGTTAACGCCGTCAATGTTCATGGCGCAGCTGCCGCAAATGCCTTCACGGCAACTCCTCCGGAAGGTGAGGGTCGGGTCGAGCTCGTTCTTTATCCGGATGAGCGCATCGAGCATCATGGGGCCGGTCTTGTTCAGGTCCAGATCGTAGCTCTGCATCTGCGGCTTCTCGGACGGCTTGTCGGGGTTCCAGCGGTAGATCTTGAAGGTCTTCATCGCGGGCTGCTTGGAGGCATTGGGGTCCACGGAATCGACGGTCGCATAGGTACGAGCCAGGGGCGCGGGCCGGAACATCGGCCGCGCAGCTGCGAAGAGGCGGGAGGTGGTGCGAAGGGAGGCCATGGCGAATGGAGGGTGTGCAAATTACGGGCCGCGACCGGGGGAGGGACAGCTGATCGCGTGGGACGACAGCGGTAGGTGGCACTGGGAGGGGAGATGGGCCAAGGAAGAGGGCACGCAACTGCAGTTCGCAGGGGGAACAAGAGCCTCACGACAAACGAAAATAATGAAGTCAGGGAGTTGCGTTGTGCTGTCCGTCACTAACCTCGGGTCGGGCGGCGGAAAGGGCTGACTCAGCCGCGACAGCCAATCACGGGGGATCCAATTGTCACAACGAACAAGCCGATTCGGGCCAACACGGCTGTACGAAAAGCCGGTCGCATAGAGAGCCACGCGGTACAGTAAGATCCTACGAGGATGTTGATCTCATTGATACGATTCATGGGTCATATTCATCGGCCCAGTCTTGATTTTCGAAGTACTGGAGTCTGGTTATGGGGACAGGCTCGATCTCCATTGAGTGGGTGCCCCAGGCACCAAACAGAACCCGGCCGATCTGCCGAAGGGTAGCCCGTGATCCTGTTTCCCTTCGACATACTCAACCCCGGTTGACATAGTTCTGATGCCACTCATAATCCGGATTGTCCGTCAATAGTGCCCGAAGCGCCTCGCGGGGCGGTACCGGCTGCCGGCCCAGCACATCCGCCATGAGCGGATCGACGGTGCTCGTATCGCCCTGGGAAATGGCCTCGTACCACGATACCAGTTTCTCAAAGAACGCCGCTGGTTTCCCGCCCTCATCGTCGGCCGCCGTCAACCGGACAAACTCCTGCGGCGGAACAATCTTCAACTGAACCTGTCGGCCCGTGGTCTCATTGATCACATCCACGATCTCGGTGAAGGTGATGGTTTCTTGTGCCGTCAGGAGCACAATCTCCTTTTCATGGCCGCCCTGAATCATCAGGCGCGCGTTGGCTTCGCCGAGCTCGGACCGCAGGGTGAATGCGACGGGACCATCTGCGGGGAGGTACACGGTTGACGTGCTGGGATACCAGCCCAGGAAGATGGGAAAGGCTTCAGTGTATACACCCTCCCGGATGGAGGTGAAGGTGACACCGGACCTGCCTGGTGTCAATGTCTGCGGTGCGCTGGCCCGAGGACAACTTACTCTTTTAGCATCTGCTCCGTCATCAGATGGGCCTGCTGCACGTCCGCTTTGGAGTCCGAACGGAGGCCACCAAATGCGAGGGACGTATACCACACCTAGCGAGCATAGGTCAGCTACGCATGGCTCTTGATCAATGGCCCGGTTTAAAGAAACCCTACATGTTTCACACCAGCCTTTTTTGCCGCATCGACGAAGCTCTGGTGCTGCTTGCGCCGCTTCTCGACATCAAAGGTATTAGTGCTAACGAAGAAGAGATTCTCCACGTCCTGGAAGGACGTCTCCATGCTCTGTGGGTCATCGTAGTTGACTAGCCGGAAGGCAATGCCCCGGTCTTCGAATTGCTTGCGATTTGTTTCCTGTGAGGACGCTGCTGCGTATTCGGAAGATGGGACATTGGCTACCAAGTACGAGAGTACTCCTGCGCCCAGTCCGCCGGTGGCGCCAGTGATGAGGTACTTGAGTGTCATGGTTACGGGTATATAGTAAGTTTTAAGGAACGCTGCGAAGGAGACCGAGACCAGCGAATGGAATGATTTCACCAGTATAGTACAGAGCGGCCTGTTATTTAATTCCTACCAGGTTTATAACGTGAACTACGCACCGCATTGGTAAGCACGGTGTTGGTAAGCAGTGGGTCCAAATGCAGCCAACGACATGAACCTCAGGTTGATTGGCTTCCTTTCCTTTACATATTTGGTAATGAACAAGGTTGCAACCAAGTCGCCTCGCTTTTACTCAAGCCCCGAAAGCCGACAATAATGAATGAATTGGCCGTGGGCTTCGGACAAGGCTGTGTGTCGCGAGGTTAGGACATCACCACCCTCCCCACAACCCCGTGGACCTTGCGTGGAAATATTCTTTGCAGATCAATCAATCAAATCTATGTTTCGTAACTTGTATCATGACATTGAACCCGTCAGAATCAACCTAAGTAGGCCCAGGCTCCTGCGAGGTCCTGGATGAAGCCCTCTCCTTTCCCCTCGAGATATCAATCTCATTAGTAACCCGAATGCCTTGACCCTTCTCTGCATCCGGCGTTGACGACGACCTTTGATCGGGTGTAACCGAGACTTCAGAAGCCATCATCTCATAATCATCACGATTATGTGTCGACCAATGCAGCAGCCGGTTGCTGTCACGGGTATTAGATCCGACGGCACTCGTAGGTTTCGAATGGCCTTTTAACCGCGCAGACCGCGAGCGCGTATGGCTGGGCGTGTGTTCTGTTAATCGGGAGAATACATTCCCGAACACGGGTTTTAGAGCTGGCACTGAGAGTGCGATCAGCGTTCCTGCGATCTCGGCATTTTCGATGGCTAGCATGGGATTGTAGGCCCAGCTGCCGTCGGAGGCCCATTGGCCTATAGCCACGAGCCAGACGCGGATGGCGGAGATGACGATGACACTGAGGTGGATCGAATTAGTTCACGTCGCGGAAGAACGGAATGGAATGGAAGGAAGGATGAACGAACAGAACACCGGGGAACATGACAAGAGACAGCTTGATCTTCTTCTCCCTTGAGATATGAAGCTGCTTGATGAGGATAGCAGGGATGATAAACATCAGAACGTCACAGGCTAGCGAAATACCCGAGTTCACCGAGTATACCAATCCCCACGAGAGACATTTATAGTCCGTGGTTTCATGCTGCCACCCATAAGGCCACAGACCCGTCACAGGACGGCAGTGGAACAGCAGAAGAAAGAATTGAGGCAGGTATGCGGCGAGAAGCAACGGTACTGCGACGATGATAGCCTGGTGCAGTTTGCCGGACCGCGCACTGAGCCGGTAGTAGAAGGCCAGACCGGATAGTCGGCATGTAAAGAGCGCAGTCGTGTACAGGATGTGTGCGACGAAATCGAGGACCTCGGTTTTGCGGACCGTGGTCATTGGTAGGACATACTGGATGTATTCGATATGTCGACCGCTTCCTAGGTTGATGAGGATGATGCAGAGGACGACGAAGGGGATGTAGAGTGTCTGTTATGAGCATTATTAGTGTAGTTCTTTCTGAGGCAGTTAGTTTTAGATCGACGGACCAGCGTAAACGTAGCCAACGCATCGTCTAACCCAAGCTTTTTGACAAGAAATATCCGAGCGTATAGCCGCACACTCATCAGGACACCCGTAAAGCAGACCATGAAGATAATTCCCGCAATCGCTGGCCCATCGCGGGACTGGGCGAGATACTCGAGTGAGACATTGTCAGGAATCCTCCCCGCTGCTTTGGCAGCGAGAATATCAGCGGGGATGGTCATATCACGATATGCGCGCTCAAGGACATGACAAAAAGTGACAAGCAGCAGAAGCTAATTTCTTCTTCTTTCCTTTGCGATTCTTCCCACTCGTCGATAACCATCCATCGGACCAAAGCTAAGCGTGTGAGCGTTTCTAAAGGAGGAAAGTAGAAGCGGGTCTTTTTTCCGGAATATCATGGAAGTGACTACCATTCTCCAACAATATCTCAGCATGCCACCCGAAGTAAACCCGGGGAGGTGCCGGTGGAGGCAAAATATGTTCTAATGTTGCATCTGGAACTCAGCGAACCGTAGTTCGTCACTCGGCAAATCGCAAAACTCTGTGCTGAAGACCGTGGCATATGTCATCACTATGTGGAACGGGTATGAACGCCGGACTATCTTATTGTGTTTGCATTTCAAAGCAAACTCTTGTCGGATGAGTCCGTCGGATTGATACAGATTAGGGAATTGGTAAGAGCCGCCATCTCCCGGTCGGTGGATCTGGGATCCGCATTAGTGAGTCCGATCAAGTTGATCGGATAGGGTCCTTGAAACCGTGGTACCTGGTTCTGCAGGACGAACTGCTGTTTTGCAACTACGTGCTAAAAAGGTTGGAGGGGTTATTAAAACTGTTTTATGGATTTGCTGGCGCAAATAATAGGTCCACTGGAGATGCGAAATACTGGAGGATCGCTCCGCCACTCCCGAGATCGTAATGTGGGCCTCTCATCGTGGAATGAGGGATCATCAGGCTCGAACGCGAAATTCTTGGCAGAGTACTTGAACAAACAATCCCTGCCCTGACATCCGCCACATGGACTGTGGGGGATTTTTGTCCTGAACATCAACTTCTTTCATCATGGCCCCTTCGTTGCTCCAGGCTCTGGCCACGGCCCTGGCATTGACAGGCGCTGCTGTTGGTTTTTCGCAAAACCACAGCGATGGCGAAGTGGACAGTCTGGTCGCCTCGCAGATTCTGACAGACCCCTATGCCTTTGACTTCCCTCGTCTGGGCTCCCCAGGCTCCTCGCTATTCCCCATGCGACGCTGCCATGGGCTCAAGCTAGAGGAAGCCAGCATTGATGATATCCAGGAGCAGCTTGGCAAGAAGACTCTCACTAGCGTGGATCTCCTGGCATGCTACCTGGACCGTATTTCGCAGACCCAGCCTTATCTCAAGTAGGTTGGATTTTTGGAAGGTTCAGTTCGCAGACTAATAAAATCCAGCGCCATCCTGCAATTCAACCCGGATGCGTTCTCCATCGCTCAAAAGCTGGATGCCGAGCGCGCCCAGGGAAAGATCCGTGGTCCCCTTCATGGCATTCCCTTCATTGTGAAGGACAATATCGCCACAAAGGACCGCATGGAGACTACCGCCGGCAGCTGGGCACTTCTGGGCAATGTCGTGCCCCGTGATTCTCACGTTGTGTACAGCCTCCGCAGGGCCGGTGCGCTACTTCTTGGGAAGGGCGCTTTGAGCGAATGGGCCGATATGCGCTCCAATAACTACTCCGAGGGCTTCTCGGGCCGTGGCGGCCAGTGCCGTAGCGCGTACAACTTCACCGTCAATCCCGGTGGCAGTAGCACGGGTCCTGGTGTTGCTGTTGGTGCTAATCTGGTTCCATTTGCCCTGGGGACCGAAACTGACGGAAGTGGTATGCCCGACATATAACACTGCCTCCGTTTTATATACAACCCTCGCTGACAGATTCCTAGTCATCAACCCTGCCCAGCGAAACGCTATTGTGGGCATCAAGCCCACTGTCGGCCTGACCTCCCGTGCAGGCGTCATCCCAGAGTCCTTGCACCAGGATACCGTTGGTACATTCGGTAAGACTGTTCGTGACGCCGTCTACGCACTTGATGCCATCTACGGTGTCGATGCTCGCGATAACTACACACTCGCGCAGCGGGGCCGGACTCCGCAAGGCGGCTACACGCAGTTCCTCACGAACAAGGATGCTCTAAAGGGCGCCGTCTTCGGTTTGCCATGGAAGTCCTTCTGGGCTCTTGGTGACGCAGACCAGATCGCACAGCTCACGGAACTGGTGGATCTGATCAAGGAAGCTGGAGCGACAGTTATCAACGGCACCGAGCTCCCGCACTACAAGGAAATCGTCTCCCCGGACGGCTGGAATTGGGACTACGGCTCCACTCGAGGATACGCCAATGAGTCTGAGTACTCGTACATCAAAGTCGACTTCTACAATAACCTGCGCGACTATCTAGCCGACGTGACAAACACCAACATCAAATCCGTTGAGGATCTGGTCCAGTATAATATCGACAACTACGGCTCGGAGGGTGGCTACCCCGGTATCCACCCTGCCTTTGGCTCCGGCCAGGACGGCCTAGTCGCATCCCTGAATAGCAAAGGGATCATGAACGAGACTTACTTCCAGGCGCTGGAGTTCTGCCGTCGCACGACCCGTGAAGAGGGCATTGACGCCGCGTTGAAGTACAAGAATCGCACTCTAGACGGCCTGTTGGTGCCCCCGGATGTTGCGCAGAGTATCCAGATTGCCGCCCAGGCTGGGTATCCTGTTATTACTGTGCCTGCCGGCACTGAAAATGTTTCGGGTATGCCGTACGGTCTGGGGATCATGAACACGGCCTTCTCGGAGCCGGCATTGATCAAATATGCGAGTGCCATTGAAGACCTTCAGAAGACTTCGGGTACGAAGTGGCAGCGCACCCTTCCTGAATGGCGTGGCTACCTCGAGCGCAACCTCCCCGTTATCATGTAAGATGGCCACCTGGGTGGGTCATTGGTATAGACGGCGTGATCATTTCTTGCATATACATTGTACATCTGTATCATCACAGATAGACTACTGTTAATATATCGCATACCTCACTACTCATGAGGCAGATGACTGATTTTCTCTGAGTCAAATGCACCAAGTACTAACCACGAGAGGCTGATTGTACGACAGGTAAACAGCTACTGGTACGACAGCAGCTGCCACGCATTCGAAATGGACGAGGGTGGGTACGTCCTTGCAAGGGGGTGTCTTCCAGAATATTCAATCGGCGTGGGCTTAGACTTCTTTAGAGTCTAGTGTACTTGCCAATGCAGGGCAGGGGAAATTGAGATGACCAATTTCACGGAGCAGTAGGGGAAATTATATTTACTTGGATGGGTACTTGTGATGTAGGAGCAATACATAATGAAAGAAGGATAGTGCATTTAGGCCTCCGTCAACTCTATGTTAATGTTGGGTAATGATAGGGGCTTCTGTCATGACAGTCAATCAGTTGATGGTGATGAAACCAGGTCCAGCGATCGTGTGCGCGGCCACCGCGTATGCGTTGCCGAAAGGTCCGCTGCTCTTTGTAATAGCCGCAATGGTAAAACCGTTCATCTCGTGCTCGGTATAAGGGAAACTTGCCTCTGCAGCTACGTTGCCATGCTCCTGAGAGAGGATCTTCAGAGGTTCGACGATCGGGAGATTCTGTTGGTTGATATAGGTGATCCACAGTTCATTTCGATCGTTGAAGTCAGTATCTTTGAAAAAAACGGTGATATTCTGCGTCTCGGGACCAGGAGGAGTGGCAATGGTCAAGGGCTCGAATGTCGTTAGTGGGATTTCCTGGATGTTGGGGCAGCTGCCCGGGACGACAAAGCTTTGGATGGCAGTGAACGCAAAGCTCAGATCACTGGTTGTCAGGAATGGAAGCTCGCTCGGAATTTTGCCCTGTATAACACGATACCAGCCCTGCTGCTCGCCCTCCTGCCCGATAATTGAGGATATCTGCCGCGCAAGGTCGAAGTCTTGACCAATGGCGAACCTCTCCACGACGTCTTGCAGCGTGCCGAGAACCACGTCCGTGAAGGTGGAAGCTAGAACAACGGCAGACTTAAAGTCCTCGACGGGGAACTGGTACTGGCACGGCTGAATCGGGTCGACGCCGAAGTGGCTCAAGCCGCCGTTCGCGCTGAGCGCATGAAGCTCCTCTTGCTATCGGCCACGTCAGTATAGAACAGGATCTATGAGGAATAGTCACTGACCGCCAGGATAGCCGTGAATGCCTCGATAACAAAGTCGCGGTCATTTTCGTCGGAGATGGTATACCCAGTGACGTTGGTGGTGATGTTCAGGAGCAGCTCGTTGAAGTAGGCGACCTCGAACAGCTCGTTGAACGCGATCAGCTTCAAGTTTGTGACGCCCTCTTGGCTGATAAAAGGTGGCGGGGGAGTGTTTGGCAGGGTCCCACGCGCATTCTGCTCGATCTCAGCCAGCTGCTCTTGGCTGGGGTTGGGTAGCCCATCCGGCAGTTGGGTCTGGACCTCTGTGGTTCCAGTGGGTGCTGCACAGACAAACACGGTCATGCTCAACAGAGCGGTGGCAGCTCCGTGGAAACGCATGTTGATATTGTGAAAGAGTAAATGCTGTGCGGTAATAGAACGGATGGTGGTGAGTGGTACTGATGTTGATGAGAAGAGATAGAGGAGGGAAGAGGAAACAGTAAGGAAGGCGACAACAAAGACATCGCTGGCAGTGTCTCAACAGGCAGGGGCGACCCAAGCAGTTCCCAGCATGTCCCGGTACTGATGTCGCACAGGTGAACCACCAGTACCCTTGCAGTAATGTAATTGACTCTGGGCTGTGGTCCAAGTCAGGGATAGGGCTCCATGCCAGTCAGCACAGGACTGTGATACTCGAGGTAGACATTATCTGGAGTTTGGCGAACGGCCAAGGATTTTCGTGGCCATGCTACATACTCAGCCCCAGCATATTTATAGCTTAATATCTGACACTGACGCGGTCCTGGTTATCATTAATTCGACACTCCTGGTCTGCTTTTCATTTCCGCGCTAAAAGATAAGCGCGTATCTCCTTTTAATCGTCGTCAATTTGCTTGTAGACCTCAAGTATATCCACATGTGCCACGGCCGCATCATCCCCGTCAAAGATTTTTGCCAGCTCTTCCAAGGTGGGACCTCTTGTTTCGACATAAAAGAAGTAGACGAAGAGGAGTTCCATGAAGATCCAAATCTAGTACAACGACGGCAATTAGCATGGGACACAAAAAGAGGGATTATTCTGAAAGGATGACGTACTGTGTAAATCAAAGACATATTCCAGTGATGGGGCAGTCGGGTCCAGGCAATAGCGTTTGTATAACTGTATTTAATTAGCTGGTCTGCTTCATACAAAAAGAGCTAATGTATACGTACTTTCCCAAAACCAGGGAGGACTGGACCGTCAAGTTCATGATCATAAGCCCTTTAGCTCGCAGGCGATATGGGAGGATTTCAAGCGCGTATGCAACAAGAAGGCCAGACCAGGCGATGGCGTAGAAAACGGAAAACATCCAGACAAAGACAACTTGCGGATACCCTGTTGTTTTGATATCATGGGTCTTTTCGTAGAAGGCGGAGACAATTGTCCATGACAGAAACATCAGGACCATGCCTAGAGCAAGAACTGTTAGAAACTAACATACCACCAATAATCATCGATATAGTCACCTGTTGTGGATATGAGGAAGAGCGGCCTTCTACCGACACGATCCACAAAGAACGCACTCGACACACTAACAACCAGGCTCAGAAGGGTATTTCCACCATTAAGCTAGTAAACAAAAAGGTTAGAAGACCATCACCAAATCCGAAAAGACTTCAAGACAAACCGGAATCTTTTTGGCCTGCTCAGTAATGCCCATACTATCGTATATGAGGCTCGTATAGTTGGTGAATAGTGCGTTGCCACTGTACTGTGAGATGATGCCTAGGGAGACGAGAAGGGCAAGACGATATCGATTCCCCCGTGTCTTCATGAAGTCGAGGTAGCTGCTGTCCTTCTGCAATTGCATCTCCAGACGGATGGTCTCCTTAATCTCACGATACTCAAATCGAACAGTCGTGTTATACGGGTCGCCGTTTGCGTGGTAATAGGTAAGAATATCCAAAGCTTCGTCGTAGCGTTCCTTGGATACAAGCCAACGAGGCGACTCCGGGACCCCTAGAAAGCGTCAGGCAAATGTAAAACGCAGTGCAGACAAACTGAAAATTTTTCTGAGCATAATACTCACACCAAATAAAGATAATCTGGATAACAGCTGGGAAGACCTGAAGAAGAGTCAAGCTTCTCCACGACCAGTCGTTCTTGATATACATAGTGCCCCATGCCATCCACGCAACAACTGCCTCAACATTATTAAAGCTTATTCAACCTCGGGATTTGACTTACCCAGCGCTCCCAGATTCCACAGGCAGTTGTAAATGGTGGTGACTTTTCCTCGGTGTTGCGGGTGGCAGATCTCAATTAGCAGAACAGGCGATGCCATCTGGGCCAGACTGTTGCCGAAACCGAGAAGCAATCGGCCAACAACATACACTACTCCAATAGTAAGCAAATATTAAACTAAATCCAAGGGAATATGATCATACTCGGATAGTCCTTGCAGAATGCACCAAGGCAACCCCCAATGATCATGAGAACACAGCCGATGATAATAGGAACCTTCCGACCCCACAAATCAGCAATGAAGGGCCTAGTTGATCATCAATCTTTCAAAATATTCCAAAATTATTTATTGTAAGAACTCACACGATTGGAAAACTAGCCAAACTGCCAATCTGGTAGATGGCATTCATTAACCCTAGCTTGGAGCCAACTGGTGTTCCAAAGTAGGTCTGCCATGCGTCCAAATTTTGAGATGTGTTTAGCATCATTCTAATAAAAATCATTAGTAGGCTCAAAATACCACGTCTATATATTTTAGAAACTAACCCATCATAACCGGTCGTGGCAGATGCAACACAGAGAATGGAAGCCCAGAAGTAGAGCCTTCGCAGACCAGGCTCCCTCCACCACTTGACCTGTTCCAATTCAGGACTTTCAGCCTGGGCCACCTCCACCTCCGACTTGAGGCCCGGTCCTCTTAGTCTAGTAGGCATTATGTCCTAGACCTCTGTCTGGCGTTGGCACAATAAGTTAATTCAGGAAATGTGTCGCGTGCGAAGTATTAGAGAATGGGCGAACATCACTGTTCACACGAAAGAGGATGACGCAGACCAGCCTCGTGGGCAGGGTCCTTTGGGGAGAGGGCCTTATAGCATATAAGGCAATTGGATTTTGCCATGCGCATTCTTTTGCGGGATTAGCCGGTGAACCGAGAACGATAGTGGTGGCTGTCCTGGTCGAAAGCTTTCCCCAGTTTTTGCCACGAAAGGAAACTCTAGAATTCTCGCATCCATGCAATGTTGGAGATGACTAGGATGAATTTGAAAGGTGCATGACCTAGCGCTTGATTAGGGCCCTTCTAACCGGGCCTTACCCTACATCTCCTTGTCGTCTACAAAGTTTGACAAGGGTGCAAGTTCCACGCTTCGCGTTTTCTCACTGTGTTTCAAGATTCTTCGGCTTATCATTGGTCATGCAAGCCATCTATAATGCTCGCCGATGTCCATACACAGTCATCATTCGCTTGTCTTGTGGAGAGTGAGAATAATACGTCCGAGAGGCCATTCGTCGCTCCACAACGAATCCTGGTCGGTTCGATGTACCGACGCCCCGCCATGTGAGCGATCAAAGCGATCATCTGGAAGAAAAGAAGGGGATCCCCGTTTCATTCTGGGATCATCACGGCCTTAAAGCTGTCATTCGCTCGTGTTGGATATTTTCTCAGATCTCGTTGGTCATTTCATTGTCCTCTGGTGTAGAATCGAAGTTTAGCAACGAGGCTCCGTGACGAAATAAGTAAAGTAACGCGGGCTTACTTGCGCAGAATGCGGTCCCGAAACAGAAGATGGCAAGACGCCAAGCAACTAACTCAGGGGCTTGTTCATTTCCGACATAGTGTGGCTGGGTGCCGGTCTCGATAGGTGGGCTACTCCTGGTATGTTGGTTGTCAAGGTCAATGAAGTGGAAAATTAGCCGGAATGGTGCCTGGACCACACGCTCGTTCGCCCGGTGAATCTGTAAGAGAGATGCAACACAGGCTATTGTGCTGACGGTTTTAAGGGGGCATTGTTCTCGTATTCTCAACGGGGCCCAGCCTCAGTTCAAAATCAATTGTACACTTAGACGGTCCCAAGGAGAAGCATTTCAATTATGGTGAATCGAATCCCTGCGTAATATGTACATGATATTCAGCTCCTCATAACAAGAAGGAATGCTAATTCTCCGGGAAGTTCGGCAAACAATGCAGCCATGACAATGTAAAAGAACGCCACTACAACAGTTTCGACTGTGCCGGGTGGCTGTTTGCCAGACCCCGACATGGATAGATGGAAGATAATCTACGCTCAGCCCTGGTGGGCGTTGGATTCGGCAAATGGGTTAGTTAGATCTCTAGTCAAAAATTAGTCTAGTGCTCTTTCTACATTCGCCGAAGGCTCCGCGGCGAGAATAGTTATCGTTCGGGGCTTTGCCTCGCTAGGCTGTAAATTGTTGTTCGGTACCAAGTAATTGGATTTGGTATTCGTTAAACAAGCGAAGCGAAAAGAAGGAACTATTGTGCTGCAAAGCGTTGATGCTAGCACAAAAATGACCATAGTCGACAAGGCCACCAATTAAGGCCCATGAACTGTTTTGGGATGTCTTATCCCTCCGAACCGAACATAGACTCGGACGTGCGCATCACCAGAAAGCGATCCTCGCCCTCGCGCGGCTCCATCTCCCGCTTCTCCAGCTTGACCACCTGAGCCGTGCGGGGGCCCTTGTTGATCTGCTGGAGGAACTTCTGCACGGTCTCACCGCTGCCCTGGGCCTCACCCTCAACCTGCAACCAGTTGGTCAGTCAGAGCGCGAAGGCAGTCCGACACCTAGGAAGAGAGGGCTACGTACTCTTCCGCACGTAGTATTTCTCACATAGCCTTGCAAGCCAAGACTACTAGCAGATTTCTGAGCGAAGTCGCTGTGATGGTCAATATCGACATTGATGATGTCATCGGTTGGTGATCTGGGGATTGTTCCCTACCGGAATCCGACACCTGTGGGAAATGTCAGTAGGAGAGAAATTATTTCTATTTACTGACCAGTATAGTACGGATCAAGCTGGTTGGCTGTGTTGGGGGAGGAGAGACAGTACCTTGCACTGTGCCGTGGACCTTGAACGCAATCTGGGGTCGAGTGTCAGCCTTGCGGAGATCTCGATATGGCTTTAAATGGCCTCTGCGGATGGGGCAGGCATCAATAGGAAAATCTGGGATATACCGACCCGTTTGGTTGACATGATGGATGGGAGTGAGGGAGAGAAGGCGAGGGAGTTGATGACGAGTGGCGCTTCACCGCGTCGGAGAGGTTTATACCGGAGGTTGTTTACAAAGTTTGAATCACAACGGCTCTTCAACTCGCCCACAAAAGGGCTACAATGGCATTGAATGTTTGTCAAATTCATCATATCTCTGGTCGCGCTTTTGATTTGCGACAAAATCAGCATGGTGGTTGGAAATTCGCTTCCCAGACCCTGACAGTCGTATCATCGGAAGCACACAGGACTAATTTCCCATCTGGGGACAGCTTAGCCAGAATGGCCTTTCAAAACTTTGCATCAACAGCCAGTGGCAACATTCCAAAGCCTGATTGTGGTGTCTTTGGAAGCAGATGCCACTAGTCTGCCATCTGGGGAGAAGTTCACAGCCCCCACCAAGTCTGAATGGCCTTCAATTATCTTATGAATCATGCCCGTCATGGCATCCCATAGATGGACTCTCAGATCATCCGATGTAGACACCAATAGTGTACCATCTGGGGGGATTGCGACTGCCCTGACCCAGCCAGAGTGGCCACTCAGCATTTTTGTGTAAGGAGCCTGTACCTACATCCCAGAGCTGGTTTGCAGTATCATTCAAGGCCGATGCCAGCAGCTTGCCATCGGGAGAACTCACACAGTCGCGGTGACAGTCAATGGTTTTGTATTCGAAGCCTGTTTTAGCAACAAAGAGCCTGACGGCCATCGGGAGAGAACGTCACTGCTCGGAACGAGCTACAATGGCCTTCTAATATCTTATGAATGAGTCCAGTGGTCTCGCATTTCACAGTCTGTTGATCATATCATTAGAGACGACACCGCCGGTCTCCCATTTGGAGAGAGTTTTGCGTCCCAAACCCAGCCGGTGTAGCCTTCCAGTGTCCTGAGCAGGTTGAGAATCATATTCTGGAGGGTTGCAGGTATGAAAATATAGAAAATAAGACGACGGTGGACTGTGGTTTTGTGCAAGAGGGCCCTCGGTTGATGGAATCATGGGGGCTGCTGGTTGGATGGATAATTGATTGCCTGCAACAAAAGTGATGGGAAAAATAGATATAATACACTAAACCAAAAAATAAAAAGATAGAAGACCGAAAATAGCAAGGTCGACATCTATAACCATATATATAATTCCATTCGTTGCACTGCGAGACATTCGTCAGTTGACAACCCCTGAGAAACAACCGCGGTTCTCCCAGCTTCACTTCCTTCCCACTTCCAACTCCTTGTCTCCCTCCCTCCCTCCCTCCCGCGCCAGCCATGCCACTGCGCGTATAATAGAAGATGCCCTCACTCTTTTCCTGGCTGCGGCGGCTCTACTCGCTCGACACCCTTGACACTCGCTTTACATCCTCCGCCTCTGCGCCTGCCCAGGCCGCCGCCGACACGCGACCTCCCGCCGCCAAAGATGCCCGCGCCAACGCTATCGCCCAGAACGCGCATGCGCCGCTTTGGCGTACTCCAGAGTTCTTCGTTTACTATCTCTTCTTCATCACACTGGTTCCACTGATGTTCAAGACGGTCGTGGATGCTTCGAAGGGTGGGTGTTGTCGAAATGAAGATGGTTGCAATGGGGATGCTTACCCCATGCTTCTACAGAGAACCACCCGATCTATGCCAAGTACTCGCATCTGTTGTCTCCAGGCTGGGTTCCTGGCCGTTTGATGGTGAGTGGTGGCATGGCCCCAAAGACTGCCAATTGAACCTCCGCTGATCTGCGCTGCTTCCACGACTAGGACAACTCGGACGCCCAATATGCGAGCTTTCACGACAACATCCCTTACCTTGTAGCGCTCCTCGTTGCGCACCCGCTACTCCGCCGTGTTTATAACATGTTTTCGGCTCGTTTAACGGAATCCTCAACTTCCTCCGCGGCAGCTGCCGGTGACGCTCAGCGCGAACAGCGCATGCGATTTGATTTTGGATTTGGGTTGGTGTTTCTTGCCGCCATTCATGGGCTATCTGCTATCAAGATCCTTTTCATCTTCAACATTAATTACCGAATTGCCAAAAGCCTCCCTCGGTCCTACGTCCCCGCTGCCACTTGGGTCTTCAACATCGGCATCTTATTCGCCAACGAGCTATGCCATGGATACCCTCTGGAGCCGATTGCAATGGCGCTATCTCCTGGTAGCGGAACGCCAGGAGATAAAGGCACGCTGCTGGTGCAGTGGGCTCGGACACTGGATGGATTTGGAGGGTTAATGCCGCGATGGGAGGTTCTCTTCAAAGTTACCCTCCTGCGCCTGATCAGTTTCAACATGGACTACCACTGGAGTCTCGACTACCCATCGGCAAGTCCAATTGAAGTAAGTCATCCATCCTCTCTGATTTTCCACCTAACTGACCGGGCTCTCCAAGAAGAAACAACTCGACCCTGCGGCCCTATCTGATAGAGATCGCGTCAAGATCCCCGCAGAACCGGCTGCTTTCAACATGCGTAACTATATCGCCTATCTACTCTATTCCCCCTTATACCTTGCTGGGCCTATTGTCACATTCAACGACTACGTCTCGCAGCAACGACACACTCCACTATCGCTCACTAGCACCCGCACCATCCTCTACGGCATCCGGTTCTTCCTCACCCTGCTCTGCATGGAACTTATCCTCCACTACATCTACGCAGTAGCAATCTCCAAGTCCTCCCCGGACTGGTCGATCTTCAGCCCGGGCCAACTCAGCATGCTCGCCTTCTTCAACCTCCACATCATCTGGCTCAAGCTCCTCATTCCCTGGCGATTTTTCCGTCTGTGGGCTCTTGTCGACGGCATCGATCCCCCGGAAAACATGGTCCGCTGCATGTCCAACAACTACTCCGCTTTTGCATTTTGGCGCGGCTGGCACCGTTCCTTCAACCGCTGGATCGTGCGATACATCTACATCCCACTGGGTGGTGGCGGTGGAGGCCAGCGTCCTGCCAACAGCAAACCCACCACCTCTCCCCCGTCGGCCGGATTCGGCGCCAAGTTACAGAAAATCCGTAACTTCCTGCTCGTCTTCACCTTCGTTGCGCTTTGGCACGATATCAATCTCCGCCTGCTTATGTGGGGTTGGCTGGTTACGCTGTTCGTCTTGCCGGAAGTGCTGGCTACCATGGCGTTCCCCGCTAAACGCTGGAACTCCCGGCCAACGGCGTATCGGGTGCTCTGTGGTATCGGAAGTGTAGGCAATATCCTCATGATGATGGCTGCGAATTTGGTTGGCTTTGCGCTCGGTCTGGACGGGCTGAACGACTTGCTTGTTAGTCTGACGAGCTCGTACATGGGACTCACGTACATGGTCTCGTGCTGTGTGGTGCTCTTTGTCGGAGTGCAGGTGATGTTCGAGATCCGGGAGGGAGAGTTGCGCGCGGGCATCAATTTGAAGTGCTGATCAGATGTGTATTGTGGTTCTTAGAAGTTGAACTGCTCTCAGCTGTGCCCTACGTAATTTGCAATGAATATAGTATAAATGCAAGTTCTTCTTTTGCATAGATCCCCATCAAGGGCAGTATCGAGCAAGGTGTATAGTACATAAAGTTCATAAGTCGTTAAACAGGCTCTCTCATATCACGCAAAGAGCCCTGCCGCCAGAGTCCTGTTTTGCACGGACTCCTTCCGCTCCCCAGAGCACTTCTCCCTTTCGTGAAGCTCAGAAAAACGCCCCACACCTCGAATCCTCATGTAACTTATAACATTCTAGCCCACAAGTCCGCAGATAGCAGCTCTTGCACCGGATCTTACCCCAATACCCGCACATGCAACAGAAATGCCGCGGCGGCGCAGTCGACGAAGGCTGCCCTGCCCGCGACGCATTGTATGACAGAGGCGGTTCGGCGAGGAGGCGTTGCATGATTCGTACTGAGGGCGCTGTGGGCGCATATGAGCGGAGGAGGGGGTCGTTGTCGTATTCGGTTTTGAGGAGCTTGGGTTTGCGCGCTGATTCGTCGTCGTCGGCTTTCTCGTCTGCGCCTGTACTTGCCTCTGCTGTCTCGGGCAGTGAGGGTGCGGGTGTTGCAGATGCCGAGGTTGTCGCTCCTGCCGCTAAAGGACGTTTCCGTTGTGCAGCACCGCTGCTCTTGCTCGTCTTGGTGGCTGTCCCGCTCTTCGCTTGCACCGCTCCGCCGCTCATTCCACCCATACCCGGACCCTGCGCTGCGCCTCCTCCTCCTCCTCCTCCTCCTCCTCCTCCCGATACACCCGCGGCGCCCAAAGAAATAGCAGCCTCCTCATCATCAAGGTGATTCCGAAACGTCTTCTGCGACTGCAAGATGCGACGCACATTCGAGGTTGTCTTTGCGCGCGTCCCGCGCGCACCAGCCTCCTTAGCCTGCTTGACGGGAACGGGGATCTGCACGTCGCGCTGGTTCTCACGGTCCAGCTCGGCAAGGTGTCGCACGATCGCTGTGTTCTGGCGCGACGTCATGTCGCCGCCCTTGCCTGCGTCGCGGATTCCGCGTTTTCGGCCGAGCGCCGGCGCCATCGCTGCTTTGGCGGGGTCGAAGCCTCGGTCTGGCACGTAGGCCCATCCTGGTTGGGCGGTCGATTTAGTGTCCGTGAGAAGCTCGACGCGGAACATTATTGCTTGGTTGTTTGTGTTTAAGGGTGGAGTGGAGGGAGTTGGAGAGTTGGAGTTGAGAGGAGCCGATAATGTGATGTTTGTCTTGTTTGCACCGCTTTTTGTAAGGTAACAGGGCGAGCTGCTATGTTGCGGGGATTGGAATGGAGGATCAAGTAATGAGTTTGTATTTGCACAATATCCCCAAATGTATCCTGAGGCAAATCCACAGCCCCGAGGTCAGAGACAACAGTTTCGTGTCCAACGCAGCTTGCTCCGATCTCAACAACTCAATGCAAAATACATCCAACACCCATATAGCTAACACTAGACTAAAGAAGATAGTTTTTCATTTCTTCTTGTGCAGCCGATCCACCTTACCCTCAAGTTCTCTGACATATGACTGCAACTGAAGAGTAGCTGACTGAAGCGCCTAAATGCCCATATAGCCTCCCCCAAAACAAGAGGGGGATATTCTGATCAGCCGCCTGCGCACACAAGAAACAAGAAGAGCTGATATGGGAAAGTAGGGAGATACCGTAATGTCATCTGAGAGCATCTCGTTTGCAATCCGGTAGTTGCCCAAAATATACCAGTACACCGAGGCACCGGCAACGACGGCTCCAGTGAGGAAGCCGAAGAGACTGTCGGGTTTTGTGAGCTTTGCTTTATAAGAACCAGAAACGCAGGATTCAAATACGTGATTTCATCATTTAAAATAGACATGGGGAAAGGACAAAGCGAAGAGAAGATCTACTTACCCGCCCCGAAACGCGCCAACAGGTTTCCGCGCCGGTAGAGGCGCCGCGTTGCGACGGGCGTGGGAGATGGAGAACACGCGCGCGGCGATGTGGCCTCTTCGCAGGGGAAAGAACGGCGGTCTGGTCATGGCGGCGACACACAAACTCACGTCCGAGGTTGAGTTGCGAGTTCAGGACAATGTATGTGTTTGGATGGTGGCGAGGCGTGCGGTTGGAAGGGTTGATGACGAAGGGATGGTCCGGGCGTCGGCGGAACTCTACTTTGGGGATCTATACAAACACATCCACAATAACAACGAGGCACAATCGATATAAGAAACAAGAGGATATATTTGATGGCAAAATAAAAACTACATGATGCAAGATGATATCCTAGACGCCGACGATCCCAAAATCTATCTATACAGCAGCCGGGCGACAATATTCCTTAGTTTGCCATCGTGCTCTCGTTGAATAGGTCCGCCAGGAGGTCGTCGCGGCATACGCCCAGGTCTGGTCCTTCCAGTCCATACGTACTCTCGAAGAAACGGATGCTCAGTCGGGCAAAAAATGGTCGCAGAATCCGCTCGACGATCTCATCTTTCGCGGTGTCACGGATCTGATCTGAGACCAGCCACGGCTGCTTGAGGCCGCGCGACCCGGTCTCAGTGGACTCGCCGGCGTTGGGAACGGTCGGTGAGACGCCGCCGCGGGGACCGAGACTTTGTGATACCTCGTCTGCCAGGGCGACCGGATCCCAGCGGGAGGGTGGGTAGATGGCATCGATGGTGTCGGTGACAAAGAGCCACTCGAGGAGCTGGAAGTCATCGGGGGCGAGGACGAGGAGCGTGTCGAGCAGTTTCGATGCTTGCAAAAGGGAGTAAGGGCTATAAAGATCTGACTGTGACCCCTGGGGTACGGACGCGATGGCTTCCTGTAGCTCGGTATTGATCAATGGCCAGAAAGGTGCCATAGTGGTTGACGAGGTCTTCAGCGCGAGAGCACGAAGGACCATGAACACCTCTGCTCGGGTAGCAGATGACGGCGACGAGGAGCTGCTGGCACCCAGAAGATCTTCCAGCTTCTGGAGCAGACTCGGTAGCTCGCCAACGAAATAGTCGTTATTGGCGGAGAGGATCAGCAACGCAATACGCCGGAGGTTGAGTTGCGCCTTACGATCGGCTTCTAGCCGAGCTGCAGAGGCCCCCACGCCGAACATAATGCCCGCGGCGCTGGGTGGTGGAAGGCGGCCTAGAATTTCAGCCATGCGGTCTTTGTCCACGAGAACCCATTGTCGCAGAAGGTCCATCCAGCTGTCTTTGGCCAGGTTGACAGAAAATCCGAAAAATCGAGGGTCATTGAATGCGTCGGCGATGTCCTTTTTCCACGTCTTTGTGGCAGATGGTGCTTTGGCCATGTGCTGCAACAAGACCATGACATTCCGGTTGATGTTGTTGGGAAACAGACGTGACCGAATTAGGGGTCCAATTACATTAGCCGAGACATTCGAGATAGCAGTGCTAATGCGATCCGAATCGACCAACGTGGTGATGAAAGACGGCATGGAAAATGCCAGGATGCTCAGCATATCATCGGGTCCAGTATGCGAAACGGAAGTCCGATCGTAGTCCAAAGACGATCTGGCCAAAAGACCACCATCCTGGTTGAGACCCAGGGGCTTGCTCGTAAAGACTGCTGTGAGTAGTCGCACCAGTACGTCCTACAGCCAAGTGGTCAGTACACGAACCCAGATCAGTGAAATCAATACTTACTCCGAGCTCCCTACGCATCCGGCGATCTTCACCAAACGTCGTATTCTCCAACTTCGCTCCCAGAATCGCAGCGAATTCGATCAAGCGAGGAAGAATCTGGCGATGCGGGAAGGGGTTGCTAAGGACATCCCGCAGGAAGGTTGTGCAGTCGCTCCAGATCTCATCGAGAACATCATCGTCCAACGAGCGAGCGTATGCAACCAGAAAACTAGCGAGCTCAGACTCGGACAGATTGGAAGTCAGAGAGGATTTGCGGCTCGCATCCAGCGCGGCTGGGTTGGTGCGGGTGTAGATCGCGTTGAAGACGGCAGGAATGGTGATCTTCGGTTGGGATCCGTCAAGTGTATGAAGTAGGTTAAAGATGAGCGTCGCAGTCTCGGTATCGGACTTGGTCCACATCTCAACGACCGTCTCAAGACACTCAAGAGCCTCTGCAGCAAAGAAATGCTCCAGAATTCGCCGTGCTCGATTTCTCATCCGCAATGAGGTATACTGGTAAGACGCAATAGACTCAATATCGGGGGAGCCACTTCGATCACCTACTCCCCACTCCCAGATGGCAAAGCAAAGGCGAACGGCATCTTGAAAACAGAGCAGGACGGTCAGTCGGTCGTTGGCAGCATTAGAGCGACCATGAGCGCCGTCCGAGTTGAATACCCCAGATACCATGTTACCGAAGAAGCCCGGCGGTTGATCAGGACTTTTCACGGCCGCAGCGTTGGCCTCTTGATGTAGCAGCCGCTGGTGGGCGTTCGCAATGCAAGTCTCCAGACCAGTGAGCAAAGCGATAGTAACATGTTCTGAGTGGTCCTGAGGCCAGTCTTCTGTCTGCTGAAAGGCAAGCTGGAGTCTCCCATGGGATGTGCGAATTTCCCTGCAGAAGCATGCTACCAGCATTAACATGACCTGGAATATCGAGCCCGAGTACAAAGGTAGCACCTCGCAAAGTAGCTCAATCCATTTGTCCACGATCTCCCGGGACTTCATCGAACTGATACCTTTCAAAAGGCAATCCAGCAGGCGTTCAGGAGGCTGAGGCACCTGAGGCAGCGACGGGCCTTTATCTCCTTTATCGCTTGTAAATGATAGGATAGAGGGACTTGTCAAGCGCTCCCGAGAAGCAGCTCTGTGGTGTTTGGGCCGAGGCGGGGGTGGTGGCAAGTAGGCCTGCGCAAATCGCACCTTCAATGCAGCGAGGAGAGCATCGATAATAGCCGCCTGTACAGTAACGCTGCCACCCTCGTCTGCGGCAACCAGCAGGCGATCAACCAGAAGCTCATCGATGCCAGAATCAGCCAACTCTTCAGATCCGGGGCCAAGGAGTAGCTGTCGCATGAGATGGAGAGCTTCCCTTTGCAATTTCTCTCCTTCAGGAGTCAGATCGGTCGGATCGGGCGCCTGCCGGCTGACTATTCGGAGAGAGATCTCAAAAATAGCGCTGTGAAGAGTTTTTCTTTCGCTGCCATCTTCTGGTTTCGAGCTCTCCGAACGCTTTTCCACCTGAGCTAACATTTTAGTAAGAATCGTAGCCCATCCGTTATGCGAGAGCGCAGAAAGTATATTCGATGACGTTCGAAGGAAGTAGTTGCATTCCTTGTAATCGTCAGGTGAGATGGTTTGATTGTCTCCATCGCTGTCGTCAAGACCATCGCGCTCAAAAAGCTCCTCGAGTTTCGAAACAACAAGAAGAAGCACCCTAAAGACAAGTCAATTTAGTATTCTGAGACCACTGGGTGCAAAACGGGAGATGGACTGACCGATAGATGGATGATAAGTCCCCAAGCCAACGCTGGACACTCTGGGAGACGTCACTTGGTTCTTGGGACAGCAGATCAAGAACAATAAAAAGAGGACGTTCAAGCATCGCGCACTGGTAAGAGAACAATGTGCCCCCGACTTCTAGCACTTGTTTTGGAGGTTGGTCATGCGAGCTGTTGTGGCTATGGTTCCAAAGCACATAGAACCGTTCAGCTTGTTCCTCCAAAGAGAGATGATACGATCCTGCCGGCGACGTGCTGACCATCAAAGATGTGAGAGATGCCTCAACAAGATGATCAACCCAGGATAGCGAATGCAAGAGCCACAGGCATCGAACAGCTTCAACATGGAACTTCGGGCTCATTGGCGATAAATACTCCCACAGATAGCCGACAAGGGTGGGAATAAGATCAGAAGCGTCTTCGTAGCTGATATAGAAGCCAGGAGTGTGGATGAAATACAAACTGGTTATCGCCGAAGCGATTGTGGAGATAGTTGCAAAGGAAGCGGTGGATGGTTTGCTCTTTCCAATATCCATTCGCCCGGATAGCGCCTCATAAAAGCGCCGATCTCGAAGCACACGAGATTTCGGAATTTTTTGGAGCAAGGTTACCAGGATGTTAATCTTCTCGTGGAGGGAGGAGACATCGTCATGGCGTTCCAGCGCCGCGACTGCCAGTTCATGTGCTTCGCGAAGAATCATCTCTCCAGTGTGCTTAGAAGCAAATGGCAGAGGGGGAGATCTAGACTGTTCTTGCTGAGGTCGTAGAAGCGATGGATCTTGTGCAAAATGTCGGCGCCCCGGTTCTTCGAGGTGCCATTGCTGGCAACGTTCTTCTCGGAGTTGATTTTCCTCGAGAATGCTCTATCTGTGAGCAGCCCAGTCAGGGAGTTTAACACACTAGCCAATGCTCCTGACACAGCCTGTTTGTTGGCATGACTCGCGGACTGCATAGATGAGATTTGGGTCATCTTGACCAGGACAGACAAGGTCAGCATAGGAACATGTACTTGAAGCATGTCTTCTTCTCGCACGTTGAAGTTCCCGAGTATGAATTGAGCCAGATTCAAGTCGTTCACAACTTTCTCGTTGTCACCATCCACATCACTGGACTGGTAGTCAATCAAATCCAGCAACTCGGAGAAAATAACACCGCTTTCAACTCCATCGAAAAAGGCACTGGCACTTCGGAAAACATCTTCAAACTGGCCTCTGGGTGCTTCCTTCTCAAAGGCTTGGACGTTCCGCATAGTCGGCAGGAAAACCGCAGGAACAATGTATCCACCGATTTCCCAGCGGTCCATTAGCGATAAAGCAATCCTGAAGGGCTTGGTCCGCTCTGACGGGACAGGTGATGCCTGTTTGATCATATCCAGAAGGCCGGTAACCAATGGCTGCCGACCGACCCGACTGAAGTATTCGGATTGTGAGAGCTCCTTGCCATCAGAGGAATTCTGAACAGCATCCGATGACGGCTTTCGGCCGTCAAGCGATGGGCGGTCATTCACAGGGTCAGGTCCCAGGAACCAGGCCCAGAGGCGCCGGTTGAGGCTCATGTCTCGCCGGGCGACCACACCTACTCCAGCGATGATCAAGGTTCGAAGATCGTCCTCGGGGATTCTGGATTGCAAGATTGGGGAGTTTAAGGGCAGATGAGTGACAAGCAAATCGAGAAAATTGCGCTGAACCAGGATCTGTTCGTCAGATAGACCCGACGCAAAGCACCGAATGAGCAGGCCCGGCTCCGGGAGAATGACGGCGTCGGCAGCGGCAAGCATTTCGGGCGGAAGCTTTTGCTCATCGGTCGTGTCAGTTGTACTTTTGCGACGGCCCGCAATACCCAATCTCGGAAGGTAGCGGTTCAGATAGGCCAGTATGCCTAAGCGTCGACTGGGGTTCGTGATCGACGCAAGGAACAAACATTGCCAAAAGTACTGCCCAGATGCCCCTGCGTCTGCTGTTCGCTGTGTTTCCATGCGACCACCAACATCCCGAAGCTTGTTGATAATGCGTAGTGTTGGCTCGAACTCATCGCTCGTCTCCTCCTCAAGGCCAGGCAGCAGCGCTAGCAGGATAGACTTCAGCGCCGGCCGGATAGCCCACAACTCCAGGTCAACGACGTATCCCTCCACTAATGACAGAAACAGCGGACGAACGGTGAGTGACGCAAAGGTCAGTGTGGGTGCAAGGCCAGGGAAATACAATGGCAGGTCATGCGATAGTCCTTCGAGCTGATTGCGAGCGATATTGATCAGCCGGGCTTCTTGTGTTCAATAGCAACAGTCATACGCACCTTGATGAGTCCGAAGATGTACGTGTAGACTTCCAGAGCCTTCTGGTGGACGCCCGCGGGCAGCGATGGGTTCATGCATTGAGCCAGGCGTTTCGCGACGACCACCTTATGGGGCACGGTTGGCTGGTCGGGAGGGTGTGCTTGGAGTGCCTGGTAGTGTGACAATCAGTGAGAAAGACGTCGGTAACGAGTCCGCATCGATTGGGCAACTCACCTTCAACAGGCGACTGAGAAAGGAAATGTAGTCAGCCCATTCTTGCAAAGCATTGTCGAACAAGGACAGCGCTCGCTCGACACTGGACGCATATCGACGGTAGTTCTTGTCTTTCTTCAAGGATCCTATACCGAACAGTCAGAGATAGTCTCTAGCCATATAAAATCCCAGACGCCGACCTTGTTCCTTTCTGCGCGTCAAGCTGTCGGAGCTTGCAGGAGAGTCCGACCTCGGAAAAGCACTAGGATCGACGCTCATGCTGCCAATATTGGAGGTAGGATAGATGACAGACCACCTCCGTCATGCCTATAACTCTAGCACATCGAGGAGGGCAGTGAATCGGGGGTTGGTAGTTGGGAAAGGGTGTCAAGTTGGGCGAGGTGTGAAGGGGAAGGAAGGCCACGAATTGTTGTTTGAGTTGCCGATCGATCGACGTCAGCCAACTTGTCCACCTCCTTCTCCCCCACATCTTCACACCAACAAAGACCCAACGAAACTCCAACCATGCCAATAAACTGATGGGACCACTACTGCGAGAAGCGCATGTCCCCAGCGCGCACCCGATATGAGCGCGCAGGATCTGTCGCCCCCCCAGAGCGACCACCGGGAGGATGATCCCCAGGTCCGCAGCGCCACTCCAGAGGGCGAGCGCCCTCCATTGCCTCCGAGACCGAATACGCTGAGCTTGTTAAATGATGAAGCGTCATCACGAGCGACCTTACAGGCGGAGGCCACAACTGCGGTATCACGTACGGAAATTGGGACTCAGTCTCCAGATGGCCGAACAAGCGCCTACTCCACCCTGGCAGGGCGTGGACTTCCCCGGGGTGTGAAGGCGAGAGCAAGCTTAGGTCACCTGGCAAGCCCTCGAAGCAGTGAGGCAGGCGACTCGGCTAGTATTCGAAGCTCGATCCAGAACGGGGATGTTGCGGACACGGATGGATTGTTCAAGGACTTTGTCGCTACAACACCGGGGGGGTATCTGCAGGATACGACCAGCTTGCTTCATTTCCCCGAATTTCCGGCAGATGATGTGGACGATGATACGTTCCTGGGCGAGTTTGAGCCAGTGGGCGAGCTAGACGAAAAAGGCGGCAACGAGGGTATGGGCTTCAAAGACAAATCATTCGGTGGATGCGATGCTGACGTCTTCAGAATTGCTTCTCCGTTGCTGGAAATCGAAGCAGAAACACTTTCTCATTCTCTCTGCAGCAGGCAAGCCGATCTGGACCCGCCATGGCGACGGCGGATTGATTTCGTCGTATGTCGGGGTGGTCCAAACCATCATTTCATTCTACGAGGACTCTAAAGACTGTCTACGAAGCTTTACAGCTGGCAACACTCGATTCACCGTCGTCACCAAGGGCCCTCTGCATCTGGTTGCAATCAGCCGCATGATGGAGAGCGAGAACCAGCTCCGGCTGCAGCTTGAGGCTCTGTATATGCAGATCTTATCTACCCTGACCCTCCCTTCGCTCGAACATCTGTTCTCAGTCCGTCCATCAACGGATTTGAAGCGACCACTTCAAGGCACCGAGACCCTTCTTTCTACCCTGGCGGACAGTTTTACGCGAGGATCGCCTTCCACGCTACTGTCGGCCTTAGAATGCCTAAAAATTCGCAAAACCCACCGTCAGACCATCAATAATGCTCTGATGAAGAACAAGGTTAGCAACCTGTTATATGGCTTGGTTGTGGCCGGCGGACGACTGGTCAGCGTTGTTCGACCAAGAAAACACTCGCTTCATCCGGGCGATCTGCAGCTGCTCTTTAACATGATATTCGAGGCCGAGGGTGTCAAAGCCGGTGGTGGCGAGAGTTGGATCCCCGTTTGTCTCCCTGGCTTCAACAGCAGTGGTTATCTGTACATGTACGTCAGCTTTCTCGACCTAAGAGGGGATGCCGACAACAACGAAGAAGATCCCACTGTGAAAGGCGAATCCGTCGCCATTATTTTGATCAGTCCCGACAAAGAAAGCTTCTTTGAAATGCAAGGGATGCGCAATTCTCTTGTAGAGGTAAATCTCTTGCATTTATTCGTTTTCGCATTTGTTTGTTACTGACCTGATCCAAAGCAAATGGAGAAAAACGGCAGCCTCGAGGTCATCAAGGCCGCGATTGACACCGGTCGACCTGCAACCACCGATATCGTACCAGGAACAGTGCTGCACCACTTCCTATACAAATCACGTCGGAACGTGCAATTCACCATGTCATCATACGCTCCAGAATTCTCTTCAATTTCTCGCTGGCGAAGGTTAGTACTCTTCAGCTGGGTCAATTTATATTTTGTGGATCACGAAACTCACACACTCTCTCTCTCCCCAGATTGATGTCCATCTACAACAACCTCCACTCAAGCATTCATGCCAAGAACACCCATGTCAAGGTCCATCATTGTGTCTCACGGTCAGCAAGCTCTTTCAGCTGGGTGACCTCGGAATTCGAGCTTTACTGCGTCGCTGAGCCAAATACAAATCGAAATGCGCTTGCACAGAGTGCTAGTAAGATTGTCCAATGGGTGCAGAAGGAAGAAGAGCGGCTGTTTATCATCGGTGGTGCGGTATGTATTTCCTTCATGACTTGCTGCCTTCGAGAACTGACAGTTATCAACACAGGTTTTCTAAACTGATATCATCAACGTTGGCCGTGCCTTTTTCATGAAACACGTTGCTCCCCACATGTCATTTTGTACATATATTTCTACATATTATACCCACTATGAGATCACCAATATATATCGATTCATTGCACTGCAGCATTCATATATGTACCATGTATAGTAATTTATCGTTCTCAATGATCTGTGCAACACTTCAGACAGATTCCTATGGAGTCAATAGGCTTGACCTAGTCTATCGAATCATCCCGCAGATCAAAGAGCTGCTGGATCACCTCGCCAGACTTACTGCGCAGGGCATCATGGTACATGGTATTGGTGATGAACTGCTTGGTCCCGTTGATCCGGGCGGCAGTGTTCGTCGCCAGATCGAAGTCGACGAACATGTCATCAAAATAAGTTGCAGCATAGACCGGCACCTCGTTCCTAGCAAGTTGGGCCTCGTCATAGAGAGCGGGCCAGTTGTCAACTCTGGCGATGATGTCCGCAGCCTCTCGCACTTGCCTGAGTTCGGTGTACGACTCGAACATGTCTTTGTAGATCTAGAGAAATAAGAAGAAGTCAGACACAAACAAAGAAGTCTGGGTGGAGACCGTTACCATCTCTCCAGTAAAGAAGATCTCACGCGTCTCCGAGTCTAGTTGGAAGCGTGCATTGCCGGCCCGTTGTCGGTCCGCAGACCAAAGCGATGCTTGTCTATTTTGGTTATTAGTGTAGCACGATGAGAGTGTTCGGGAGATATTTCTTACCCTTGACAATAGATCGCTTCATGCAAGACAGCATAGAGGATTGTCTTATCGTAGCCACCATAGCCGTCAATTGTGCACAGAGTCGGGTAAGTGAGGGAGCCGAATATCTCTAGGTCATTGGTGGCTCGCACGACGATATCTAAGATAATCAGTTCTCTGACTTTTCTTGCGAATGAAGAGCGTTTCTTTACCATGCAGAGCACCAATCCCACCTACTATATGTTAGATACACTCTAAAACTCAAAATAATCTCGTCTCTACTTACCATGCACTCCAAATACGATACCTAACTGCTGGAAGCGAGCAGGGGTGAGTGTTCCGGAGGGCAAAGCCGGGGTGTTCTCCTTCAGATATTGTATGATCTTCTTCACTCGGTCAACGTCTTCAGGGTACTTGGCGTAGTACGCCCTGTTTCTCTCTTCCACTTTTTCTGATATCGGGTTAATGAGCATGTTGGTAATCCCAATTTCGTGGAGGTACACAAACCGTAGGTTCGCTGGTAGACTGAATCTGGCCCGGAAACCAGTGGAGCGAGTCCGCCAGTGATAAATGCTTCCTTCAGACCTTCCGGGCTGCGGTAGAGCAAGAATGTCAGTTGCCTTGGAAGCAGTAGAAAAAGAGCACGAGTCACGACATACAATTTTGATAGGTAAGTCACGATGCAGAAGCCACCAAAACTTTGGCCGAGGACACTCCATTTGCGCTGGTCCGCGGGGTAGTCTTTCGTCAGGCAATGACGAACCGCCTCGCAGTCACGCACGATATTGTCCGCGCGGAAGTTCTTAAGATACTCTGCCTGTTTAATGGCATCACCCTGGAGAGCGAGAGTACCCGCCGTGATAGTTGAGCTAAGACCGGTCCCCCGTTGGTCCAGGAAGAGGATCTGGGGATTCACGGTCAGTCACAGCCCACCAAACCAAGATATTTTATTTATTGGAAAGGACGTTTATCGGTTTCACTTACTTGGTACCCCTTGTTCAGCACCGGTTCAATCCAGCCGTAATTCTGCGGGGCACCGCATCCATGTCCCGGTCCACCTTGCAGGTAAAGCAACCAGGGAAGTTTATTTTCTTCCTTCTTGGCCTCGACGGGCTTGTTCAGCCGACTGACACTACGGGCAAAGAGCTTCAGTGTGCCCTCGTTGGGTTTGCTGTAGTCTACGGGGACGTCGAAGAACAGCTCGGCCACCCGGAGTTTGCCTGAGATTCCGGTCAGCCTAGGAGTCTAGGGCTATCACTGGTATACGCACCTGGGACATTGTGGAATCGTCTATCGATCAGCTTCGCGGCCATAGTTTCTTTTGGGTGATGCTGTTGTTGGCCAAGGGAGGACATGTTGGAGAAGATGGAAATTCAAGTCTCCACTGCGGGAGAGGTACGTGTCCTCGTTTCGTCTTGGTGCTTCGTTGGAGTCATACGTGCACTTTCCCCCCAGTACCCTCTTCACCGTCAATCCTGCGTAGAGATAAGCTCGAGGCAAGGCTGCTGACGCTCCACAATAGCTGCTTGTGGCAAGTCCAGCCGGATTGTGTGCGATTCAACAGCATCTGACATTGTCAGCCTAATGAGTCGAGACCTATAAATCGGCATTGATCTCCTTCTACCTTTTCACAAAAGATTATACCAGCAATGGATCCCTTACACGAGCGCATTTTGTCCCAACCTGAAATCCTTCGGGATTTATGGGAAGCCGCACAGGCGCCCTGGCAGTCCGGCGTGTTGCCCAGTGCCGACGAATTAGCTCACGCCAGGGCTTCTCTTCCGACTACGCTACCAGACACCGGTGTCGGGTTTGAGTCTATACAGAAACATATCATGGAAGACATTGTGCCAGCGTTCAACGCCGGCAGCATCAGCCCCAATTACTACGGCTTCATCACCGGCGGGGTTACGCCCGCGGCGCTCTTCGCAGATAATGTCGTCTCGGCTTACGACCAGAATGTCCAGGTGCATCTCTCGAATCACTCCATCGTGACCGATGTCGAGTACAATGCCCTTGGTCTGCTTCTGGATCTCTTGCAGCTCGATCGTCCAGTGTGGCACAATGGCACTTTTACTACGGGTGCCACGGCGAGCAATATCCTCGGTCTAGCCTGTGGCCGTGAATATGCGCTTAGGAGGGCCGCAGAGAAGCAAGGGAGCCTAGTGAAAAGTGTTGCAGAAGACGGCTTGTTCGAAGTCCTGCTGGCACTGGGTCTCTCTGGGGTTCAGGTCCTCTCAACACTGCCGCACTCATCTCTGGTCAAGGCAGCGGGTGTGTTAGGCATTGGTCGATCGAATGTGCACAATATTTGTCGCGCGGACGATCCCCTTCGCTTTGACATGGAGCGACTCGAAGTGGAACTAGCAAGAACCGACAAGGCTAGTATCGTGGCTGTCTCCTGTGGAGAAGTGAACACCGGACGCTTTGCCACAACCGGTCTAGAGGACCTGAGTCAAATCCGTCAGCTGTGTGATAAGTACAGCGCCTGGTTGCATGTAGACGGAGCCTTCGGCATCTTCTCCCGAGTGTTGGACGACATACCCGAGTTTGCAACCATTAAGAAGGGAGGCGAGGGCATGGAACTAGCCGACTCGATAACCGGCGATGGACACAAGCTGCTGAATGTCCCCTACGACTGCGGTTTTTTCTTCTGCAAGCACCCCGACCTTGGAGCCCAGGTCTTTCAAAATGCGAATGCAGCCTACTTGACGGCTGGGAGCTCAAGCGGGCCTACTATTCCGTCGCCGCTCAATATCGGGATTGAGAACTCGCGCCGGTTCAGGGCATTGCCTGTCTATGCGTCTTTGCTTGCGTATGGGAAAGAGGGCTATCGCGAGATGCTAGAGCGTCAGATTCGACTAGCGAGAATGATCAATGGCTGGATTCATGAGCACCCGCAGTATACGACTTTGCCGGAATCCGGATCTAAGGCTGAGTTGCTGGATCAGACATACATGAGTGTTTTGTTCCGTGCTAAAAACGATGCTTTGAATGGTGAGCTTGGGGCGAGGATCAATGCCACCTCCAAGATGTTTGTTTCGGGCACCAGCTGGCAGGGAACGCCGGCTTGTCGGATCGCAATTTCGAATTGGAGAGTCTCTGAGCAGCGGGACTTTGTGTTGGTGACTTCGGTTCTGGATAAAGTGGCCATATGCAACTCGTGAAATCTATAGATCAACATGACGGAACATATTCCCCTTAATATATATAATGCATCCATTACGTCTTCCGATCCTATTTTCTCTCCATGTACCATTGGATCAACGACGACGACCAGCGCCTCCCATATTCTCTGCTCGGTCTGCCATGCTGACCACTTCACCAATACCCGCGGCTTCCTGCTCATCCTCGAGGGCGGTGATCTCTTCACGGCTATCCCACCATTTCTCTTCCGCCATATCAAACGCAGCCTTGCGGAGCTCCTTGACTGTCTTCTCGGCAGAATCTCCCTTATGCGTCATCGTCTCAATCAAAAACTTCTGCCAGTCTTCCGAAGTGCGACTGAAGAACTCTCGCAGACTTTCGAAGGGACGAGGAACTGGTCTGCTGTCATTGATGCCTGCCTCTTGCTCTTCCACCTCGAGTTGTTCCATTTCCTGAGTAACAGATGGAACCGTCACCTCCGTTGGGGCGGGCGACGATATATCAAGAGACATAGTATCGTCTTCCTCGTCCTCGTCCATGCCATCTTCTTCTTCCTCGTCCTCATCCATTTCCTCATCGCTATCTTCTTCATCCATGAGACCCCAGTTCTCGGGCTCACGGAAGAAAATCTCTTTGACACCGTCCATCTTGGCCAGATCGATCGAGTACATGTCATCAAAGGTGAATTCGCGATCACCCTTTTCAAAGGTCCCACCGAAGATAAAGAGCGTGTCTTCTTGCACAGCTAACTGGGCATTGAACCGCCTATGTGGCATCTCGAAACGGACCACAGCAGGCTTCGCAGGCTCAACAGATTCATCAGCCTTGGGCGTATTCAGCTGCATTGCCTCGTCCACGTCGTCACCGTCATCCGTGAACACGCCCTTGGCCTCTAGAGCTTTTAAATTCTTCAAAAGCTCCTCCTCATCGGCCTTGCCGCGGTTACGAGATTTCGTGGCCTGGTTTGCTTGCTGTTTCTTGCCTGGCGCCCGCGGCCGGCGCAAACTCAACGGGAAAAACCGGTTCCGGTCGGTGTTCCAGGCAAACAACGTGTCAAAGAACTCACTGTCAATGCCTTCCTCTGTAAGTTCCACGTCATGCACACCGCCAAACATGATCCCACGCCCCTTATGGTAGGCCATGGTAGAGCCTGCACGTGCGGGATTCGGGGTGTTGGCGGGCTTCTTCCTCCGCTCCCAACGCACAGTTGGCCCGACCGACATAGGTGCATCTGCGGCGGGTGGTGTGATGCGAAGAAACCAGGTGTCTTGGTGGACCATGGGCCGCAAAGTCATGCGCTGAGATTGTCCTTTGGCTTGTTTTCCGCCAGCCCCTCCAGCTGCTGCTTTGACGCGAGAATATCCTCCGTACAGAACAGCACCCGTTTCGTGGGGCAAGAAAGAAAATGAGGAGCGAGGGTCGGGCTTTTGCGAGGCTAGGGTCAATGCGGGATTGAACCAGGAGTATTTCTGGCAATCGTATATCCACAAGTCCTGCAGATACTTGGTCTGTTGAGAGGTATCTTGAAATCCGCCGAACAAGATAATGTAGTTCTTGTAGTAGGTCATCCGGTGGCCGCTTCTAGCCGGAGGACCCTTGCCCTTGGTCTCGAGACGAGACCATTCTCTGGTTGCAGGATCCAGGTGCCAGAAGTCGTTGTAGTGGTAGAAGGTGCCTTGCTTGGGTGACGAAAACTCCCCTGTTACGTAGTCAGATCATTATATGCCTCGGCTGTCCATAACCATATTGTCATACCTCCAAACAGATATACACCTCCGGTATTCCCTCCTCGACACCACGCATGTCCGCTGCGCGGCAGCGGACTGTTGGGGCTCGTGACCTCTTTCCACTCGTCACGATCAAGGTTGTATATAAACAGGTTGTTGAAAAACGTTGCATGTGTCCCGTCATAGTACTCGCCCCCAAAAAGCAGCAGCTCGTTCCGGTTGGACGGAGACGCAAGCACCGTGGCAGAGGACCGCGGCACCGGAGGCCCCGACACAACCTCGGTGACTTTCAGAAACTTGGCCTGTTCTTCGGCGTACTGGGCGAGGATGGCGTCCAGGTCTGCGTCCTCGGCGTCGCTGTCTGCATCGCGGCCCTTGGCTTTCGACTTCTTTTCCTTCTGCGCGGTCTTCTTGGATTGCTTTGCCGCAACCCGGTCCTTGTGCTCGGCCGACTTCTTGTTCTTCTTGCCCATGTTTGCTGTCTGCGCTGGTCCTGCCTCTACAGGGTTGTCCGAGACGAATTGGAGGTGCTTCGAGTCTTTAAGAGTCGCTGGTTATCGCGGGGCAAAAAAAATGTCGGTTTCCCCACAGTCGCTTCTTATCGCATATCGGCTAGTCCAGATCTTGTATGCGATAAATTGCGCCAGATAGAACGTGGATCAGTGCCTGCGGATATAATATTCCAGGAGAAGACATCCAAGGAGAAAGCAATAAAGAGAATCGAAGATGAACCGCTTTCTTCAAGGTGCTGAGTCCGAGTCCATCTACATAGTACCCATCACACCGCCCACGTGCCTCGACGCGACCCGTGTTTGTCGCGAGACCGAGTGTGTTTGTTCGCGATCTTGCTTGTTTGCTTGGACACACCGAGCGAGTACCAGGGGAAAGAATCAGCCATGCATGACACCCGCCTCTATGACGAAGAATAACTTGGCTGCTCATCTTAAATGGCTGCTGAATCGAGGTCCGTCCTTGTACCCGCCTTTGGCTCCGGACACCCGCCCGCGTGTTGAAGAGCGCGTGTCCCAGCAACCCACGCCGCCCGCTGACGAGCCGGACCTCCTTGATGACGATTTTCTGGACGACGTCGACGATGTAACTACAGACGAAACAATGGCACGATTGCTCTTTGCTCCCGAGTCCGCGAGCAAACCTCGGATGCTCAGCCGCCCCGACTCTCTTCCACAGAAGACACCGTCAACATCCAGAAAAAAGTCTCCACCGAGACAGACCAGTGCCGTCCAAGGTGAGTTGTGAATGACGACAAGCTCGAATAGATATGAACAGGCTAATAATTGCGCGTGACGATCAGGAACCAAATATGCACCGCAATCCTCGTCCTGCAAGAAAAGCCGTTCCAAAGCGACACCGCTTCGGTCAGAGCCTGAATTTGATGGAGACTCGCCATTTGGTCCCGTCGAGTCAATTGACTTGACGGGAGATGTTGATCGGTCTTCGGCCAAAATCGAGTTTGGGGAACCGCGTCGACTATGGACCGAGGAGACCGCATCACGCGCGACCCCTGTCGAGAAACGAGGAAAGAAACGGAAGAGCGACGAGTACAAGTCAGACCTCTTGTCACCCTCAAAGCACGCGTCGAAAGTACGGACACCCTCGAAGGCGGACAGACCGCCACACTCCAACAGCTATTCCCCGTCTGTCTCATGTACGGCTGGCAAAGCCGGTTCTTCCAGTACAGCGGAACCGCCTCAGGCAGGCTCTACTGCTCCTCCACCAAGCCATAGAAAGCGGGAGATTGCGGATTCTGACGATGAGGATGACACATTCGACAGTTGGATCGATGGTATCGACGAGGTCGATAAGATGATGACAGATGCTATATCGTATCCAAAACTTCCAGAGATAAATCGAATAGGCAATGGGAAAACGAATGGGCCTTCAGCAAGTGCATTACCTGGAGGTACATTCAGCAAACCACTGGCACGCCCGAAGTCGTCAGACCAGGCAGAGACAAATGTGGTCGCCAAAGACTCCAGCGCTCCGCAATCAACCCCATGGCCGAAACAGTCAAGCTCCCAAGAGAAACCCGAGGATCTTGTACGATTCTTGGCTCTACCACCAGACTCCCTCGTGCAATCCCTCGCGCAGGGGAAGAATACTTTGCAAAAGAATGCCGAAGTCGTTTACCAGCAGGCAATGGAAGGCCGACCTGCCCCGGAACTCATTGCCGAGAACAAAATGCTGGTTTCCAGGATCCAGGCCATTGAATCTTTACAAACAGAACGAGATGCTCTCAATAACTGCATAGCTCGCAGGGAGGGGCTCAAGAAAACGCTCATGACCGCCATCTCTCAAGGCCTTGACCCAACAACAATGCCGGAGCAGCTTGCATCAAGTCGAGCGGTTGAGGCAGAACTCGAGCAGATTGAGACAAAGATCTGCAGTCTTCTTCCCCAGGCCAATTTGTTCGAGTCCACAACGGGCTCGCGGGTTACCTACTATGACTCGCCGTTGCAAGGTTCTCACAAGGAACCTACTCGACCGGTGAGTTGTGTTCCAGACACAAGTTTCAGTCGACCCTCACAACCGGCCTCTTCATCACGAACCACCTTCAAACCGTCGACACCCCGGAAGAACCAGTCATCCTGCACGCAAGAGACAAAAGCGGATACCAGCCTATTCGACTATGACAATGGCTGCATATCTCGAAATATGGGTTCCCCACCGCTCGATAACATGGACCTTGACGAATTTGACTGGGATGCTGGTGACGACGACATTCTTGAAGCAGCAGCCAGCTTTGAGGACCACTCCGCGCCCGTCCGCGAACGAGATTCCCAGCCCCGCAAGGTCTTTGCAGAAACGTCTGGCAATACCCCGCGGGCGCCAACGACCAAGAAGTCCCCCGGCCGCAGCGCCTTTTGGTCTAACCACACATGGTCTCACGAAGTGCGGACGGTGCTCAAGGACCGATTCCACCTCCGAGGGTTCCGTCCAAATCAGCTCGAAGCGGTAGATGCGACTCTTGCTGGCAAAGACACATTCGTCTTGATGCCCACGGGTGGCGGAAAGTCTCTGTGCTACCAATTGCCTGCTGTTGTTACCAGCGGCCGCACGACGGGAGTAACCATTGTCATCTCCCCACTTCTCAGTTTGATGCAGGACCAAGTGTCGCACTTGCACAAATTAAACATCAACGCTTTCTTGATCAATGGAGAGTCGGATAAGAGTGAACGCCAGTGGATCATCAGCCAGCTTTCCAATGAAGGAGGTGACGGTATGGAGTTACTCTATATCACGCCGGAGATGATCAACAAAAGCACGGTCTTGGTGAGAGCATTGGAGAAGCTTCACCGAATGCAGAAACTCGCGCGCATTGTCATAGATGAAGCCCACTGTGTCAGCCAATGGGGCCATGACTTCCGACCCGATTACAAAGAGCTTGGAGAAATGCGTGCCAAGTTCCCAGGTGTTCCAGTTATGGCCTTGACTGCAACCGCCACGGAGAATGTGAAGGTGGACGTCATACACAATCTCCAGATGACTGGGTGCGAGGTGTTTTTGCAAAGCTTCAACCGCCCGAACTTGACCTACGAAGTGCGGCCAAAGGGGAAGAATGACGCGACACTCGCCAGCATTGCAGAAACGATTACGAGTTCTTATCGAAATCAGTGCGGCATCATTTACTGTCTCTCACGGGCGACTTGCGAAAAAGTTGCCAAAGATCTGAATGAGAAATACAAGATCAAGGCCAAGCATTACCACGCAGCGATGCAACCCGAAGAAAAGGCGGGTGTGCAGAATGAATGGCAGATGGGCAGGTGTCATGTTATCGTCGCAACCATTGCTTTTGGGATGGGAATTGACAAGCCGGATGTTCGATTCGTCGTCCACCACAGCATTCCAAAGAGTTTAGAAGGGTACTACCAGGAGACCGGTCGCGCCGGCAGAGATGGAAAGCGCTCAGGCTGCTACCTCTACTATAGCTACGGAGACACGGCCACGCTCAAGCGCATGATCGATGATGGAGACGGCAGTTTCGAGCAGAAAGCACGTCAGAAACACATGCTTCGGAATGTTGTTCAGTTCTGTGAGAATCGCAGCGACTGTCGACGAGTCCAAGTCCTGGCCTATTTTAATGAATACTTCCGCCGAGAAGACTGTGGCTCCTCTTGTGACAACTGCAAGTCTGACTTGGTGTTTGAGGTTCAAGATTTCTCCCAGTATGCATCCTCGGCCATTAAAATTGTGCGGCACTTCCAGGACAAATTGGCAGAGAGGGTCACAATGCTTTACTGTGTCGATCTACTTCGAGGAGACCTAAAGAGGGCAAAAACCGCATCACACAAACAAATCCCATGGTATGGAAATGGATCTGATCTGGACCGAGGTGAAACAGAACGGCTTTTTTATCGCTTGCTCGGTGAAGACGCGCTCGCCGAAGAAAATGTCATGAATGGGAAAGGCTTTGCCACTCAATATGTCAGACTCGGACGACGGGCTGCAGATTTCGAGTCGGGACGGCGTCAGATGAAATTGCAGGTTCGCGTCTCTCCGAACGGCAAGACCAAAGCGGCTCGGCCAGCGCAAAAGCCGGCGACTGCCAAAAGTACCCAAGGCTATCCACAGTCGACAATGGTATCTTCGCCCATTCAGTCGGCGAATGATCGTCGCGCCGCCCGCTTCACGAAGCCCACCGTACAAGCGGATCATTACTCAGAGGATGACGAGAGTGATGGATTCGAGCCTCTTCGAGTCGCTGGGAGACCGAATGCACAGAAATCCCGCGGATTAGGACCTCCGATTACCAGAGACCAAAAGATGGATCAGCTGGACCACCTTCACCGAGCTGTCGCTGAGGACTTTGAGGTGACTGCCAAGCGGTACCTGCAAGATGTAAGAGGCTCTTTTCCATTGCTTTCACAGCTCTATGGAAATGCTAACATACTCCACAGATCGTTGTTGAAAAGGGTCTACGCTGCCAGCCGTTCCCTGACCATTTGCTGCGCGAGATGGCCATATCATTCCCCAAAGGTAAATCGCATGCTGCTCCTGTAGGCGTTGGGTCGAAACTGATCACTCTGTAGATCTCTCGGAGCTATCTGCCCTCCCAGGCATCGACCAAGACAAGGTGAAGCGCTATGGACACAAGATGCTCAGGTTGGTGGAGAATGCCAAACGGCGCTACCACGAATTGAAGCAAGAAGAGGAGACCAATGGCATCGTTCCGGATCCGAACCATCACAATGTCATTAATCTCAGCAGCAGCGACGAGTACAGCGACGATGATCTTTTCGCGGATGACCCCTCGGCTTTCGATCTGGATAAGCCTGTGGACAATAATACCACCGGCGACATCACCAGTCGCTATTTCCCTCCTCCGCCGTCCCCTGGCTACGACTTGGGTGACGATATTGGTCCTGGTTCCGCAGCTTCCGGTAATGCTCGGTCTCGCAAACGTCAGCCCAGCAAGCGGCCGGCACGACGGAAGAATGGCTCGTCGGGTGGCTGGAAGGCAAAGGCTCCAAGATCCAGGGGCAAGACTGGTGATCGTGCGCCGAGAGGCACCTCTGCGCCCCGAAAGACGACGGCCAAAGCCAAGACACCAAAGTCCTCCATTGCCATGATGCCTATTTGAGCGTGTTTCTTGTCGAGGTGGATGATGTTCTGATTGGGCGTTCTCAGCATGAAGCATTGTGAAGGCGTTTTCCCCAGTGAATCGATTTCATAGCGTGAGGTTCATTATTTGGTTCATTTCTTCGATGCTATGGAATACACACACAAGATATCCATAATACCAGAGTTGAATTTATCTCAATTAGTCCCCAAGTCGCCCATTCAATCTCCAAGCGAGCGCCCAAAATCGATCAACCGCAGGCGTCGTGCATCCCGTGGATGGAATTGGGCCACTTTAGCCCTCACCAAAAACCTGGAGGTGGCCGAGTCGCGCGGGACATCGACATAGGAGAAGCCGCTTTCCAGCAGCGCGTCAAGTAGAGAATGCATTTCTGTGGCTGCTGCCTGCCGTTTGTTCGTGGGAGGAGCATCGTGGTCTCCATTGGTTGTGCTGCGGCGCACAAACTGATCGATCCGTTGCTGCCCGCCATCCTCTTCCTCGGCCGACTGCTTTGGTTTCTTCGGCTTCCCGTGTGCCGTATATCCCGCTCGCAGAGTAGCATCCGACACTTCCAGGGCATCGCCGACTGTCGGTCCACCAAGCTCCTCAGCGGCGAGCATGGGCGCAAGCGTTTCGTCCACGAATTTATCCAGCGAGACCTTGAGTTCACTCGACGCGCGGTCGAGCTGCTTGTTCTTCTTTTTCTGCTGCGCGACTTGCTCCCGAGCCACCTGCGACGGCGTCTGTTCTTCCTTCCGCGCATTGTCGTCGCGGATTCGCTCGATCCGCTCACGCAGCCCGCTGGCTATTGAGCGAGAGTCGCGCAGATTCGCGTCCTCGATGCGCAGGCGCTCACGGTCAGTAGACAGTTTCTCGGCTGTCATTCGGACTGAGACCTTGCTGTCCTTGATGAGCTGGGTGGTCTCTCCAATGGCCAGTAGCGAGGGAAGCGGTGACTGCGCGTCGGGAAGTTTATCCTCGGACTGCAGCAGTGAATCATACGCCTTTTTGGCTCTGCGCGCTTGTGAGACGCGTTCCCAGGGATCTGTGTCTGCATTGGAGACTTCAAGCGAGTTGGACTCCCGCAGCTGGGTGCAGTGTTAGCTATCGCAGCTCGGATGACGCGCAGTTGCGTTGTAAATACCCTATTTAGTTCTGTTTCTTGGCGTCGAACTTGCTCTTGCAGTGATTGCAGCGTCGCATCTAGCCTTCGAGTATAGGCTTGCAGAGTCGTTGCGCTGAGAGGCTCTTTGGCGTACTCAGCCTCTGCATCCTGGCGATTGTTAACAAACTGCTGGACTTTCTTCACGGTCTCTTCGGCCACATCCATTTTCCTGCTGGTGGTGCTCAGTACAATCACAGACGCATCATAAACACCGTGTCGAGTGGTACACAGCACGTGACCGGCTCGTAGTGAATCACGTGACTCTCCTGAGTCCGTGTCCCATCTGCCGCTCATCTTCTCCTCTCCGGCGTCGTTCAGGCATTCACTTCGGTTTCCGTGGCCTGCTATATCTTCTCCTTTCCCTCTCCCCGTCCTTTTCGACCTTCTCAGCCTTCTTCTCCAGCACTATCCCCCTCTCTCCCGCCCCGAGGCTTCAGTGGTACACCAGGCCCCGTACCGCCGCAGCTTGAGCATCTTCCCTACCCGATTTCCTACATTCCGGTCTTCTCTTTTGTCTTCTCTTACCGTCGCTTTCATCACGGCTTTCATCACCCTCACCCAATACCCTCCGCGTCATACCCTTTCCGCACATCTCCACCGGACACCCGTCACCCATCACGCTTTTATCTGCTTATCCTGACCTGCACTTGTTCCCGTCCCGTCACGGCACTCCCTTCCAGCACCTCAAAAGCACCAGATTCTCCCTCTCCCGTCCACCGCCAGCACCAGCAAGTTTTCTTCAGAACCTCTGGTGTACATAAAGCGATCATCATTCAAGAAGAAAGCAGATTGTCATTCCTGACACACCTTCGACCTTTCACGTAAAGAATCAAAGCACAAACAGCCCAGTGAACGACCATGTCGGCTTCTCCCACCAACCTGCAGTCGACCAAGCGTCCTCTTGAGGATCCGTCGTCGCCCTCGGGCCCCACCGACCAGCCCGAGGCCAAGCGTCCCGCGTTGGACAAAGTAGTCCGGAACGACGGTGACGCCGAGACCGAGAAGATCCCCGCCATCGATGGTTCCAAGGATACCCAGGAAGACACCGTCGTCCCTGATGCACCCAATGGCAAGGGACCCAGCACCGAGACCCAGCCTATCCAGTCGACTGCCTCGCATGGGGACCGCGCCGGCTCTCAGTCCGATCAGCAGGGTCCGCCCCAGGATGAGACGAATTGGGTACATATTCGTGCCGTAATCTCCAGCCCGGAGGCAGCTACCGTCATTGGAAAGGGAGGTGAGAATGTGTCCCAGATCCGTCGTCTGTCGGGTGCCAAGTGCACCGTCAGCGATTATTCTCGGGGTGCCGTGGAGCGTATTTTGACCGTGAGCGGCCCCCAGGATGCCGTTGCCAAGGTAAGTCTCTCGACTCTTCTTTGTCTTGATTACATCTAACAGGACGCCCAGGCGTTTGGTCTGATCATCCGTACCCTGAACACTGAACCCCTTGATGCCCCTTCCACTGCCCAGTCCAAGACGTACCCCCTGCGTTTGCTAATGCCGCACATTCTCATCGGCTCTATCATCGGCAAAGGTGGTAGTCGCATCCGTGAGATCCAGGAGGCATCCGGTGCGCGGCTCAACGCCTCCGACGCCTGCCTTCCACTCTCCACCGAGCGTTCCCTCGTCATTCTCGGCGTGGCCGATGCCGTGCACATCGCTACCTACTACGTTGCAGTCACCCTGGTTGAGCAGCTGACCGAACGTTTCGGCGGTCCTGCGGCTTCAGCCTACGCCACCCGCAGCGGCGGTCCTGCTGGCGCCGTGCCGGGCGGCATGCAAGTGGTTCCATACGTTCCCCAGCCAGCTGGCGGCCAGTACGGCCACCCGGACACCTTCAAGCGACACCACCCGCACCCCAACCGTGCCCAAGCCGGCGCCTACGGTGTCCCCTACATGCACGGCCAGCCTGCTCCCACTCCCGTGGGCCAGCCGGCAATGCCCTATGGCGGTGCCCCGCATACTCCTTATGCTGGCGCCGGTCCTCATCAGCCCGCGCCCTACGCCGGTGGCCCGCAGCCGAGCCCCAACCGCGGTGCCCCACAGCAAGCTCCCCAAGCTCCGGTGGGCGGCGCCATGCCCGGCCAGCCACTGACCCAGCAGATCTACATCCCCAATGACATGGTCGGAGCCATCATCGGCAAGGGCGGCGCCAAGATCAACGAGATCCGTCATCTGAGTGGCAGCGTTATCAAAATCAATGAGCCCCAGGAGAGCAGCAATGAGCGTCTGGTCACTATTACCGGTACCCAGGAGTGCAACCAGATGGCTCTGTACATGCTGTACTCGCGACTTGGTTCGTTTTTGCTTCCCTGTCTATGATATGAGTCTATACTAACTTCCATCCAGAAAGCGAGAAGCACCGAGTCTGATGGGATCGTGGAAATCTAGGTTTGCTGTCGTTTCTTCCACAAAAGCTTACGGTGGTCTATGTTGTTCATTTCTGATTTTTTGCCCCACGGAGTGTGTCTTCTTTTATCACCTTCTTGTTGTATCTTATCTGAGGCCAGCGATCCGACCCTTTGCGTCCTAATAGTGAGATCTGATTTTTTCAACCCCACGCAGTAGTTTTGTCTTTCTTCTACCCATATTTTATTATCCATCGTCCTCTCTTCTCCATTAACCAACGCTCTCAAAAGCACACATTCACCACTATCGTCATCACATCAACCCTTCTGGAATCTAACGTGTTTCAACCCCAACCCAGGAACAGGCCCGAGCATCTTGTCCCGAATAGGCGCAATACTTCTCCCAAACTCCTCAGTCTGCTTAGCATTCATATGCGCTTCGACACTCTCCCACCCAACAGCCAGCAGATGCAGCACCGCCATCCCGGAGGGACTCTTGTCATGCTTCACCATACTCGGCCGATCAATCTGGCCCATTGCCCAGGACCGCGGGCGCACGGTTTGCGGCAGCTGCCCAACCAGCGTCGTGCGGAAGCTAATCAGGTCGCTGTGCAACTGCATCGTCTCTGAGGCGGCCAGCGAGCTCGCAAACGGCAGGATGCTCAGATCTGTCACGGGGTTCTTGGTTAGGGTGTCTGTGTCGAAGATTGGTGGCATTAGCGTTGTGTACAGCGCTGTCGGAGGCTGCGGGTTGATGGAGTCCAGGAAGGGATTAGGCGGTTGGTGGCTATGGAGCCGCGGGCGTCGGTCCAGTCTGTTTTTTTTTTTTTTTTTTTTTTTTGTTCGCGGGGGTTATTAGTTAATTGTGCCAACTGTCTACACATAAGCCCCGGGGGCGAGTGTTATTTGCGAGGTGGATGAGCAGTATATATATGTGAGTATGAGTGTGATATGGGGGTCCCGAGGGTTTGTTTAGGAACAGTGAATGTATAGGCAAGGTAAACCGCACCGACAACCCAAACCAAATTATCCTCGTCTTCGGCGCTGCGTCCCCAGACAGAGCTCTTTTGGCCGCTTTGCTGATACACAGTGCGGAGAGCTTGGAGCAGGGCCTCGCCTTTCGCGTTGGAAGATCTTCCGGTTTGACGGTGGGCTTGACCTTGTAGAATATGAACTCGCTGATGGTCCCAGGACATGATGGCTGATTGATCGGAAATAGTTGAGAGAGAAGAAGAAAGCGATTTTGATAGAGCTGATGTCACGCCGATGATGTCAGTGTCTACAAGGCCGGTCGTCGATTGTTGTTGGTGTTGAAGAGTCAAGAGTCAATTAGCAGAAAGTAATTTTATGTACATGCTCCCAGACTGGTTCGCTTCGCCTTCCGGTTCATACAACACAACACGCCTGATTAAGAATAACAAAACACCCCAAGAAACCAAATGCATGAACACACAAGCCTCTAAAGACACCACCACCACCACCACCACCCCTATAGGTCGTCCACACCTCGCACTTTCGTCTTCTTGCTATCAATTGCCTTCTTCAGATGTTCAACCAGCTGGTGGCGGCGCTGATTCTTGGCCTTCCACCGGGCACTCTCCTCTTCTGCAAGAACGGGCACCATGGCCCCCTCCACACTGCGCAGACGACTCGCCTTCGCGGACCCGTTGATGCTGGCGCGGAAGTTGGCTCCGCGCGATGCAGATTCCGGAGTGTGGTAGGCACTGCCGTCCAAAGACCCGCGAGAGCCTGGCGTCGTTGGGAATCGGCCGGCATTCTTGCGGGGAGTGGTGAAGGGAGACTCCTCGCGGCTCCCGGGGACGCTGGCAATGTCTACACCGAGCTTGCGCATCTGGGCTTCCAAAACGTCAATGTCGCTGCTCTTGTTTTCAGCCATGCTCATCATAGTCGCAATCGTAGACGTGACGGCTTCGACGGTGGGCCGCTTCATCTTCTTAGAGTCACCATCGGCGCCTTCCGGACGTGGAATGTCGGCGATCTTTGCACGCAGAAGCGACACACCCTGCTCCAGATCGGCCATCTGGGCCTGGATCCCTGTAAACGCGGTCCGCAGGTCGTGCTGAAGAGTAGCTTGTTCTGCAGAAAGAGGCGCCGCGAGTATAGCCCCAGTATCGGTGTGGGCGTCGAGAGTCTTGCGAATGCTAGCACACTGCCCGCGCAGCACCACGATCTCCTTAGCCAGAAGGTCCCGGCATTGTTCCAGCTTGTCTTCGACACCCTGCACGCGCTGTTCGCTGAGGGAACGGGCTAGAGCAACCACTACTTCATCAAGACTGGCGATGTCATTCAAGAACAGCTTCTGGTCCAAAACATCAGCAGGCTGGTCACCTTGCAGGATATCCACCAATTTGGCAGCATCGGTTGTTTGCGCAGGTTGCTGGAACAGGAGGTATGACTCCATCGAACGAGCGTTGATTCCCAAAGTATCGACCATGGAATTGATGTCTCGGTACAGTCGTTCGATTTGGCCCGCAATGCCGGGTTTGGCTGTCTCACCCATGTAGTTCTGGTGAGGTAGGAATGGGTCAAGCGTCGAAACAGGCTCCGCAGGACGGGCCAGATCAGCACGTAGACGCTCATCTTCATCGTCATCCGAAAGAACAAGTTCCTCTTCTTCCTCTCTCTGCCGGGCAGCAGCATTTGCACGGTCCTGTTCCTCACGAGCGATGTCGCTGGGCTTTCGGAGCTGCCTATCACGACCCGCAAGTTGAGTCAACGAAGCCTTGCGAGCAGACAAAGCGCTTCCTATATCTTTGCGTGTCTCTGGCTTCGAGAACAAGACACTCTTCTGCGAACTGACTCGGGTAGGACTGGGTGATCGTTCAGGTTCACGCCCCACATGAGCGACAGGTCCAGGAGGTGGAAGAAGGGGCTGCTTGGGAATTTCGCCAAAGAGCTGTCGTGGTTTTTGTTGTTCCTTTTCGTCCTGTGCGGGCTTCGAAACGCCGCTAAAGAGACCACTGGTAGCGCTCTTCACGGACGGAGCACCGAATGAGCTTTGGGCCGACAGCGCCTTCGAGTCGGTTTCCTCTGTAGGGCTCTCCTCATTCTCAATTTCTTCGCCGCTATCGGAGAATTCAGATTCGTCCGGCTCTTGCTCCGAGTCCGCATCCGAACCATCAGGAATGGGGATTGCCTTCTCCGGAGATTTGGATCTGGCCTTTGAAGCGACGGGGTCCGGGGGCAATGGTGCATCCTCAGGAACAGCTTCGGTCTCTGCTTTCTTCGGTTTGGTCAAGAAATCAGGAGGAAGAGGTGCATCCTCACGTGGCGAAGTAGGTTTTTTCTTGGAAATAAAATCCGGGGGAAGCGGTGCATCATCCTCCACCTTGGGCTCCGACTTCTTTCGGCCAATGAAATCTGGAGGAAGAGGTGCATCTTCTACTGAGCTCTTCGATACGTTCGAAGAGGCCGACGTGTCTCCGGGGGCATAGGAGGCTCTGCTTGTAGGATCAGGTGGTAGTGGTGCCTCGAGAGCTGAGAATGGAGGTGTAGCTGGAAGCTGCTCTTTCATCGGCGTGGCAGTCTTATCTGAGGGCTCCGATAAAGGGCTAGTCACTTGGTTCGGAGTCACATTATTGCCAAACATTGAGAAGCTTGATTTGCCAATCTCGACCTCGGTCGTTGTTTTGTTGGATTGCGTCTGCGCGCCGAAGATGGACGGGGTAGTCTGGGAAGCAGGTTTACTCGCTGCGCCGAAGATGGAAGGTGTCTCAGTCTTCGCAGGCTGCGCCAGCGGTGATTCACCCGCATCTTCCATATCGTCCATAGATTCAGCCGGAGGACTGGCCTTGCTCGGTGATGAGATCATTTCATCGAACGAACCACCAAAGGAGAATGCACCTCCTGAAGGCTTGTCGGGCTTGGGGCCATCATTGGCGGCCGTCCCATCGCCCTTGAAGGTAGATCCTAGGGTAAAACCACCGGGCGTAGGGCCGAATGGATTTTTCACTTCGGTGGGTTTTGAGGGAGCAGCAAAAGCGGTGTTGTTCTGAGTGGAAGCACCAAATGGCGACTCTGAACCTTTGGCGAAAGCACTTTCGCCGGTTTTCGCGAACGGCGAATCTCCGGGCTTTGCCGCAGCAAATCCACCAAATCCACCTCCAGTCGAGAATGAACTGAAGCCGCCTCCACTAGCGGCACCACCGGTTCCCAGAAGGCTCTTTCCGGGGGTGCTCGGCTGCCCGAATGTTGAGCTTGAACCCATTGTCCCAAACCCAGACCTTCCAAACTGCGGCGCAGTTTGTCCGGGAGTACTAGGAGCACCAAAAGCAGGTCCAGGTTGAGAGGGGGCTCCGAACGAGGGACCAGGGGCAGACGGCTTTCCAAAAGCTGGGGCTGCGCCTCCGCCTAATTGCGAAGGGCTTCCGAATGAAGCAGCAGCAGATGGCTTTCCGAACGCTGTGGCGCCCATAGTGGAGGCGCCCATGCCGGATGGACTACCGAAAGTGGCTCCACCGGATGGTTTTCCAAACGTCGATCCGCCAAATGGTGAGGGGTTGCCGAATGACGGCTGGCCAAAGGAAGGCTGCTGCGCTGGCGCCGGCGTTGGGGCGGGTTGCTGGGGTTGTGACTGTGCTGGGTTCGCTGGGGCTTGGCCGGAATATGGAATTTTCTGACGAATGGACTCATTGTAGATAAACCACCAAGAGGAAAGGATACCGTCGTTATTGAGAAGAAGCAGATTGGGCAGAGGCGTCGAACTCTCCTGTATCTCTTCACCAGCAATAGGTTCGATTACACTCTCAGTGCTCGAGAGATCAGCCGAGAAACCAATGACCGATGTGTCGTCGCTGGAGTCTCTCAGTGGTATAGATGCTCGTTTAGTGTCGTCATTGAAGTCGGTGGTGGTAAATTGACCGACGGCCTTTTTGGCGGCGTCATCATGTGCCAGAGGCTGGTCGGACCGAGTGATGAGACCAACATCGGCAGACGCAGTTGACGAAATAATCAATGCATCCTTTAAATGAGGCTTGTAGTCTCTCAACCGCACAATGAACTGGTAGGCGGGAGTGCGCTTCATGGCGAAACCAAGAGTCGAGCAGATTTCGGGCAATTTTTGGATCAGGAATGGCGCCTGTTTGCGCCTCGTGATAATGTAATAGGAAGATGGTGGATTCTGCCCCATATCATCCTCGAGAGAATTTGGGGTATACACCACGAAGAAGATATCATTTTCAAGCCAGGCGATGGATGAGACTGTGTGGAGGTATGAGCACCCGTTTTTGAGCAGTTAAGCAAGAGCGGAAGGGACTTACTATGACATTCACCTTCCAAATCCGATGGCCGTGGGATCTCATCCTTCTTCGTTCCATCTGGGGTCATCTGGTATCCGGTTCCATCCGCCAACCCGGCCACAAGCTGCTTCCCTTTATTGCTCCAGGAAACGCTGCTGACACCAGTCTTGAGAACAGGTCCATTTGGCCCCGAAACGAGATTTCCAGCCTTCAGGTCAGCCATGAGTAGCTCGCCATTGGCAGTGACCAGTCCGACAAAGGTCGAATTAGGATCAGGATTCGGCGCGACAGCGCGCAGAGACACGCCATTTGTCTGGATCGAAAAAGCCGGCTGTCCATTTCCTTGCATAAGGCTGGTTGTTTGGAAAACAGATATCTGAGAGCCGTTCTCTGTGGCGAGTACCAACGCGTCGTCGCCCGATGTGAAGGCCACATGTGTCGGCCGGGCAGGAAGGGGAATCGTCGCCTGTGGTTGGAAGGGCTTGGTTTTGATCTTGTCCGCCCCAGTAGGTGCCACAATAGATTCCCTCAGAGCATTTGTGCTCGCGACAACAAGGGTGTCGGGGCCAGCGCCGACAACCACTCCCTTTGTCTGCGCGACAGCTAAAAGGGAGGATGTTGGAGACGGGAGTGCGTTGTCGGGCCAGGGGGTGGGGAGGAATCGAATATTTGCGTCGCCAGAGACACCTTTGAAACCAACCTCCTGTGATAAATGTTAGAGACGAACTGTCCAGGATCAGTGAAATTTGGCGGGGTGGCATACATCTGTGAAGACATCTGAAAGCTCCGGCCCAAGCTCCGCTGACGCGCTTCCAGCAGCGGGGACGGATGCCCCAAAGCCGAAAGACATTGTGAGCTGGTCGAGTTCGGGATGAGTCGCCTAATGGTGCGCTGGTCTTGGAAGCATTGAGGGATGAGGAGCTTGACGGCGTAAGAGAGAAGGATACTCGGGGTGCCTACGGACTCCGCTAACGAGGTGCAGAGTACGCGCAAAGTCCCAGGCGCGGCGACTGTTGAGGAAGAAAAAGAGCGTGACAAAGAAAACAGGATGCGGTCGAGATCGATGATGGACTGGAATCCCGGTGGAAGAAAGAGCACCACCGCGAAGAGGGATGGAGGTTGTTGGACTGGAAAATAACAAACGGACGGCAAAAACACCACAAGAGAGCTTTGGCTGCCTTAGCGCCTGACAGCTTAGGCCGCAACGAAGTTAGGCTGCGGGAGCTTCGTCACTCCAAACAGCTCGACTGCCTCTCTCTCACTCCCATCACCAGCTGCCTTCCTCATCCCTTCCACCTCCCCCTTCGCGTCTACTTCGTGCTGGTCCGTCTCTTGCCTCAGCACCATCTGCATTCCCGTTTCATCCCCACACAGATCGTGCACACCTGCGCCGCCAGGATGCCGGGTTTCGACTTCTCCAATTACAACCGCAACGCGGCCCTTCACGCCAGGGGCGTCCCCCTCCCCAAAGCTACCAGCACCGGTACAACAATTGTTGGCTGTATTTACGATAATGGCGTTGTGGTATGTTTTCGATGATTGCCAGGCTGTGTGGCCGTCCAGCGCTGACCAGTACGGGGGATGGACAGATTGCCGCAGATACCAGAGCTACCAGCGGTCCTATAGTAGCAGACAAGGTATGGACAGCACGTGCTTTTGGGGAGGCGTGTTTCTGGTTCGAAGCTGACATGGATCCGATGGCAGAACTGCGAGAAACTACACTACATCTCGCCGAAGATCTGGTGTGCTGGCGCCGGTACAGCCGCCGACACCGAATTCACCACCGCCCTCATCAGCTCCAATGTCGAACTGCACTCCCTATCGACGGGCCGCGATCCGCGCGTCATCACCTGCATGACGATGCTCAAGCAGCACCTGTTCCGGTACCAGGGTCACATCGGGGCGTACCTGGTGGTTGCTGGCGTGGACCCGACGGGCGTCGGGCTGTTCACTGTGCACGCGCACGGCTCGACAGACAAGCTGCCGTACGTGACCATGGGCTCTGGTTCACTGGCGGCGATGTCGGTGTTCGAGTCGATGTGGCGGCCCAACCTGGACCGCGAGGGGGCGATCGCGCTCTGCTCCGAGGCCATCAAGGCGGGTATCTTCAACGACCTGGGTTCCGGTAGCAATGTCGATGTGTGTGTCATCTCGAAGGATAAGCCCACCGAGCTGCTGCGCAACTACATGAAGCCCAATGAGCGCGGCCTCAAGGAGCGCAACTACCGCTTCCCCAAGGGCACCACCGCGTGGCTGAACCAGAAGATCATCAGCAAGGAGGATATGAAGAATTATGTCACCATCGAAAACTTGTCGGGCAGTGACGAGCTGGCGACTGGGGAGAAGATGGAGGTGGATTCTTAGGCTGCGTCGGATTCGGTTGTCTTAATACGCTTCTGGGTTGATCTATTTCACTGCTATATTGTACGATGATAACCAGTGCGGCCGTGGTTGGCCTGTTCGTGGAGTTTGTGCTGGGGCTTCAAGTATCATCGACGTTACACCTAGAAACACGAAATCAAGACAAGATTGATTTGATCATGAAAAAATGTAATTTGGGTATCTCTCTATATACTACGCTGCCTTTCCCATTTATTAAGCGCGCGCCACCATTGCCGGTCGGACATAGTACCTGGTTTCGCGGCCTTGCGAGCAGCCTTCCTGCTCTTGTCGGCGAGAATCGCGTTAATAGAAGCAGGACACTCAAGTCCGATTGGAGAAGGCGTATTTGGTTGCCCAAGAGAATCAGGCCATTCAAACTTCGAGATGGCTTTCATGATGTACTCATACTGCGTAGGCACAACGGACCGTCCTTCTCGACGATATCGTACCACGCCAGCATGATACATAGCCCGCACAAACGACGGATACACTGGTGCACCACACTTGCGCAAGTAAGCGTACAGCCAGCGGATGAGATGGAACGAGCGCGATGGATTCAGCTGCTCTGAGCAGGAAACCGCAATAGCCAGTTGGTGGATGAAGTCCACTGCAGCGCGCGGATCGGGGTAATGGCTGGAGCGGGGCCCTGGATGGTAGCGCACGAGAGCTTTTTCTCCCGGATCGACGATGTGTAGCCAAGCCTTGTGGAGGGACATTTTCAACGGGGTATGCATGTCGAGGAGCCGGGTGAGGATCCAGACGCTCTCCGAGTCTCCTGCTCGGGCCAGACGCAGGCACTCTTCCATGGATGACGAATTGGTGAGATCTATGTGGCGGACCATTTGTTCAAATGCGCCGTAGAAAATGTTTCGGACCCCGTTGTAAGCTATCTGGTTATTCCAGACATCGTTCAAAGAGATCTGAGAGGTTTCCAGCAGTTCGAGAGTTTTGCGATTGGCTTTGTTAACCAGCTTTCCCAGCTTGAGATCGACAGCCAGCAATAGGAGGCTATTGTAAGGAAGCTCTACATCGAGAATTCCGCGCATCAAGTCCGAGAGGAAAGACCCATCACTTTGGGTTGTTGTGGTCTCGTAGAGGTTGAACAGCAGCATGATTGGCATGTCTGTGATTCGGGCGCTTTGATTATACATGGCCCCAACAGATTGGCATAATGTCCGTAAAACCCAAAGGCGCACAATGATCTGATGCTGTGCCGGTAGATTGGATGTGCTGGAAGCCAGGTTCTCTCCGAGCCCTTCGGTATAGGCATCGGGAAGATCCAGCCAGACATGTGAACTCGCAATGTTCGAAACGTTGGGCACATTCAACAAGCAATCCCTCCACCGCTCGAGCAGTCGATATCTGTGAGTCTTGTCCTTGGACGACACAAAGGACTCGGTCACTTGAATGAGACAAGTGGCTGCGGAGTCTGTGTCCAATTGGGTGAGCAGTTTGCTAGGATATCGTAGTCCCGTATCTGTATCGAGCGGCCCCATGACCTCCAGCCAGCTTTTGATCAAGGTTGAGGCCCAGCGACTATCTGAATCGGGATTATGTGTAGCAATGATGATTTCCTCGGCAAAGTAAAAAGTGCGCGTCTTGAGGAGTTGTCCTAGCCAAGCATCCACAACTTTCGTGTCCAGGTCACGATACCCAAGAACGTTACATCGTCCGATTGCTGTCCACATTGCCCGGTAGTGTTTTCGAAGCGTCTTGGGATACCAGTCTCCCAGCCTGTTATTCCCCTCGATGATAGTTTTCGGTAGAGTCTTAATGATGAGACAGAGTTCATCAGCCGGAATTAATCCCAGCTCCAGGGCACGGTTAATCGCGCCAAAAAATGCAGTCTGCATAGAACGTTTCGTTTTCGTTCGAGTGAAGGGCTCCATGGCTGCAAGAAAATTCCCAGAGCCGCAAGTGTTCAAGAACGGGTCCTGCAGAAATGCAATGGCCTCTGTTATGTCGGAACGCTGGCGCAACTTCTCGAATATCTGTCGGCTATACCGTGGCTCCCGCTGGAGATCAATTTGCACTCGACGGACAAAATCCCTGGCATCCTCAATCCCCCACTTATCTTTTCCCAGAAATTGATCCAGGAGCTCACTGCGCGTGGCTGTGCCAGCATCAAAGGAATTGGACAACTGATGCTCTGGCGAATGGGATTCACGCGTGTTTGGATTCTGGCCGTAAAAAGGGAAAGGAGCCTCGGGAATGCCTAGTGAGTAATCGTCGAGGTTTTCTGGGCCTGTTAGATCAAGAAAATTTCATCTTCTGGGTCGCACCTACCTTGAGGTTTCAAATGCGCTCTCTGCCAGGGACGGTCCGTCCACTTCATATGTTCCCTCCCATTGCGCCCAAACAGACACGCAAGATCATCCGATGATCCTCCGCCCATGCTCGCGAGAACAGTGTTCCGCCGCTTCGCAAGGCGCCTTCGTGCCTCAAGAGGCCCGGGAACGTAACTGCCATGTCGTCGCTGACCATTGGCGAAGCGACGGAAGGTCGCGGCGAGCAAATCATCACTGATCCACAGGTGGTCGAGAATCTGAGCGGGCGGTGGCTTTAGCGCATGCCGGTAGGCATGTCTACCAAATGACATGAGGATAATGTTGGCATACGTGAGCCAATTGAGGGTTGCAAATGTCGCAGCGGTGGTTGGCGAAAGCCGAAGCTTCAGGGTCAGTCGGCCTTGGCGGTGACTAATCAAGATTATATAAGCACCCTGACCGTGGGGACTATACGGAAGTAAACAAGACCAATAATCAATGAGAAAATAATAGTAGTCAATAGAAGTAAGTTATGCTGGTCAAGGTATATAAAAGAAAGGCGAATGGAAATGCAATCCCCCGCGCCTATGCAATGCATGCAAAGTCATGGTCCTTCGTCAATGGTGTTTCTCATGCAAATCATCTCAGCGATATCGAACGGTGGGTAAGGTCAGCGTGATGAGGACGCTGGAGGAGGCGTTTCGTTTGAAAGGGGCTTTCGGCCTGTGACCACATAGTAGTCCATATAGGCGTGCACACTGCGGTTCTGGATACTCTTCCTCACATCGACAAGGAAGACTTCGATTTCCGGTTTCGACCAGCCCAGTGCAATAAATGGTTTGTATGACCATCCCGAAAGGGCCTCGAGCCAATTACTCTCGCTCCAGGACCCTATCCGTTTCATATGGTCATCGTTGTGCCAGGGATTGGTGGGCACTTTGTAGACACGCTGCTGGACATCCACAAATCCTGTTTCTTTCATCCACTTCTCGATCCGGTGTGCTATTCGGAACTGCCGAGGCGGATCGGCATCCTGGCTTGAGCGCATGTTAAGATCGAACCAATCATGTAGAGCAAAGGCGCTGTAGCCGTCAGGGTTTTCGGGAGGCATAGTATCGTCGTCGCATTTTGGCTTGGGGTCCATCTCCTGGCATTCGATGTAAGCCCCAGGCTTGAGGTATTTGTAGGATTGTCGAAGAAGTTTCTTGAATGAGGGCATTGCGCCTGTCATGTGAGAAGTATGAATGAAGTCGAAGTGGTTTTGGTCCCAAAGCCACTCTTCTTCGGTGGCATCGTCAATGAGAAAATGGACGTTCTCGGGCACTTCTGTTGGCTGCACCGGCGAGAGGTCTGTTCCTGTAATTTCGGCTTTTGGGAACAAAGCCGCTGCAGAGACAAAAATTGTGAATATATTTGTAATACTTTTTGGGTGGGTGGGTAATAGTAACATACCCATCTCGATTGGCCATATTCCAGAGCCAGTGCCAATGTCGAGAATGTGCTTCGGATTGTCAAGCGGGACATGAAATAGGTTGCCATTTTGTACCATTTTAAACATGTGATGCTGCATGTCTAGACGATCCAGCTCTTGCTCGTCGTTGGGGTAGAGATAGGCTACATTTCGAGTTAGACACACTAGTCAGCAGACCAAAAGAACGCAAAACGTACCCCCTTCATGGTACTTGTGATACCGTCTTCCGTTTTCAATAGGGTAGTCCGTCACACTGTCAGTCAGTGACTGCGTGTCACTATTGGCGCCCAGTCAGTCATGGCTGTTCTTCATCGCCGTTGGAGCAGCATTACCAGTCACGGTCAGGGTCCTGCATCTCACTATATTAGCATATCTGAGTGGTACAATTATGGGGGATATCGAAAACACAGGATATAGAGATGAAACACCAGATTCGCTACAGAAGGCATGCGGGACAAGAGTAGAAGAAAGTGCTTACTGGAGGTCTTGAAACCATTTTGACGGTCTCGAGTTGCACCCAGCGGGCCAACTTCAAGGAGGGCGCAATGCGACAGTCAACGGACGCGGATCTTGTAGCAAAAGATGATTATCGGATAGACGTGAACTGTGAAATAGGTTAGAACCTGCATCCTAGCAATGGGGGATGTTTTGGGCCCCAGGAAAAGGCCCAGAGAAGATTACTTACTTCATGGAGAGGACCAGAGCATCTGACAATAATACCCCATTTCACGGCCCACTCCGAGCGATCATGCCTTACTTAAATCGAGTCAAAATTAAAGATAGCAGGGATGAGGTGGTGGCGGAATGAAAACCTCTGCTGCAGTTCGTCCGTCGAGCCCGACAGCTTGGGTTAAGTTATAATTTGGCAGGACGGGAAGGCGATCCGGACGACTACCCAAGAAGAGAGATCGACGACCGGGTGTCCTATTTCATAAACCTATAACCCGAGGGGTGTCTGTGGTGGTGGTCGGGGTGGAGTCCCCAGTACGTGCATGGATGGGGGGTACAAGGTTGAAGCCAGTCTATGAGAGCGGTTCGGGCGGACACAATGATCCAAATTTCAATGTGCGGGTCGATCAAAGGGGGATCTGACCTTGCTGGGTGAATATTAGTTATTATTTTTTCTGGCTTCGCTTGGAAGGAGGGGCAAGGTGAAGGCACGGGGTCTTGGTGTCTTCAGAGCGGAGCCGGAGAGAAATACAGAATTACTGTACAAAAAAAAGTATTGAACGAACAAACCCTGCCCTGTTTTTTTTTTTTCCGTTTTCGCCTACGATCATAGTCGGACAGTGCGTCCAACAACGTTCATGATTGATTTATTTTATCCATAAATCCGACTGGGCGTTCCAGGGCGCCGGGAGTATTGTTGCGGAGCGCCCGAACAGCTGGGCGAACCCTCCTTTTTTGCCCCGAAATAATAAATGGACCTGGATCCAATCCTGTTGACACTGCCTCCCAAACGCGCCATGCCGTCATGCACGCGCACCCCTTTTCAGAGAGTCCTCGCCCACAATGATGATCTACAATGGACTGTCGGACCCATCCTGATGGGAATTCCCGACCGGGCGGCGGGCCGCTTCATCCTTTCTGCTGGGACTTGCTTGTTTTATTCTTGACTAGACTGGTCCGGTGAGAAACAGGGTCATCCCGGAGAGGGAAGCAACCCTAACCTTCCAGTTACTCTGGAGCTTTCGGCGCAACTTCCGGCTGTAATAATGCTAGATTTTGTCGAGTGCACAAGACGAAGCGATAATTAGCAGGTGCTGGCTGATCGACTACTTGAGTTGGAGCCATCGGCCCCGCAGAGATAGCCAAAGTCGTGGGCGGAGCTGTCAGGATTCCACTCACACTCAAGAGCAAATACGTACATAATAATACAAAATACCCTAGACCTTCTAGTCTCCAGGCGCCAAGGAAATTTTGGTAAATGGGCAGTACATAACAGCGTTCCCAAGAAATCTCGCCCCAGGGACTGTCGCCCACGCTGAGACAGGCTACACTTCGAAGGCATAGGTTCCGGAAGGCAGAAGGGACAAGACTCCTGCCATTTCCAGGCCTAGCCCGCGTCAAATGAGTGATCGGTCAGAAATAGCGTGGCACCGGAATCCGACCTGTGGCGCGACGCCCCTGCGAACGGTTTGCGGTTTAGGGTAGTATGATACTGTGCAATCCCCCCAAAGTCAAAACCAGCCTAATCCCGGAAAGCAATCGGTGCAATCAGGAGCCAAGATCGTAGAATATCTATGGAACCTAAAAACATAGGACCGACTTGTACTTATGTCCGTACTGCGTATGCGCAACCAAGTCCACGATCCAGAAAAATAATAAAACGAATGAATAATGATGATTCCCCTCGCGCTAGCCAAAACCCTCGGGGCTCCACTCTATCCTGAACAAGCCCCTGTGTCCTCTGTCTCGTGCACGTAATTATTGCAACCGTCGATCCGAGCTGGCCAAGCACTGTCCCGAACGGATCGACGGGGCGCTTCACGATTGGTAGTGAGCAGAAGCATGTCCCACATGTCGCGTTGCACTTCCGCGGCTTTTTCTTCCCTTTCGGCTCTTTCACACGCATACACTCGGTGTACCCCGACATTAGGTACTCGAGGACTACGCAGAAAATTGAAATAGAAAACATGATAATAATAACAAGATTATAATAATAATGATGATGGCAGACATCCTTATAGACAATGACGCCAAAAATAACATCCCCGTGAATTCTATTGACAATCGGACGAGTCAGAATAATTGGGTCGACCCGGCTGCTGGGAAAGTGTCGGGTCCCAAAGTGTCGGGAACGCCGGCGCGAGAGCCAAAACCCATACTTGGGGTGCTCCCAGAATTGTATGAAGAGCGCAGAGAATGGTCCGTCTATGCAGAACAAATTTGTCCCGAACCGGAGCATAGGCAAGCCGCTTCAAAATTGCATGACACGGAACAAGGACAGTCTGGCCAGGCAAGCTAGCGGAGCGTGTCCTAGAAAGGCATGGGTTCCAGGCACTACTGTATCGTCTCCGACCATAGACTCGGAAAGATTTGGGATAGTGAAACCGGGCCAAACCGAAATTGGCTCATCTGCAGGCGACGGTCGAGAAGCAAGTCATTTTAGAATTGCATATGGAGAATCCCAACCCCTCCCTACTCCGAATGGATTTAACAATGCCGAGGCATGTTACACCGACCGTCAGGGTCTCGACGATCCGGTATTCCCTGCAGGACTCGTGCTGAGGAGGCTGAGAGACTATCATGATGTACAGCAAAGTGGTCGATGCGACAGCCGCATGTATCACCCTTTTCAAGAGGCATTGGACCGAAGTATGTAGGTTATGCAATATCTGCTTAACCCAACGATATGTCTTTAGTTACTCTTCTCTTTCAATTGTCCTATTCGCAACAACTCAATGAGCGCCTTTCCAGGATCATCGTGTTGGGCTCGGCCAATTTCGGATTTCCACATTTTCGCTCCCTAACTAATACCAAGCTGGTCTACATCTATTCGCCGAAACCCTCCAGGGAAGCGGCCAGGCAACCCGTCTTGCAGATGAAAGTTCGACTTTGCTGGCATTGACAAATCCTGATTCTCCACCAACGACCCTTTGTACCTCCAGACTGGAGTATGTTTGGACCAACAACCAAACAGAATTCGTATCTGAAAACCGCTAGAAATGACTTGAAATGCATCACCAACGGCCCAATAATCTAGCTTTCAGGAAGGTGTTCAAATAATTTGTCATTGCGGTTTGCGTAAGTGAATGCGGGGTGTTGTTTGATCATCATGATCGTCTACGGAGGCCCACCCGCTGAACCTTTTAGTAGAAGTCAAACAGCTGGCGAGTATGCGCAAGGACAGGAAAAGTATGTATTTGGAATTTCGCCTGAGTAAGATATTAACCCCTCGCGGGCAGAGACACCTGCGGGCTGTTTATCAGACCCAATCGGAAGAAGAGTTGTATGGGCGGAGACTGTCAACTGCAAGCCCTGTAGATCGAAGTACTGCATCTCGAACATCGCTAATCTATAGCTACCAATGATATTGACCTGTTACGAGAGCAGCTAGGAGGGGCTGGAATTCAACATTGTTTTCCTAAGACGGGTAGCGTCGGGGCTAAGAAAATGGCGGCGGTATTAAATCCCCAGTTATTTGTCATTCTTGCTCTTCAAGTTATCTTTTTCTCTTTTCAAGCATGGCTAATATCAATACCTGCGCAAGGCACCACCTCAGCCAGCCACGGTGTAATTAATGCCCCCGCTCCGCGATGCGCCCGGATGGGTGTACCCGAGGCACTCGTGTCAGGCCAAATCAACAGGCTTAAGCGGCAGACAGAATCCTCTCGACCGAGGCGACATTGCCCTCCATTGGTTGAACTTTATCAGTCCTGTTAAAGCCATCAGGAATCAGGCAGAAAGATACAGCTCAGGGTGTGGTCGTAAATGGTGCCCTCATACCTGGTTTGAATCCGAATGTCTGTCTGGACCCTGGCGATCCCTTGCTGATGGATGAAGGTGTGTTCGAATCCAATTAACTGAACTACCTGGTCCCAAGGACCATCTGTGCATGAATCTTTAGATGTCGGTCTTTAGATGTGTTAAGTCTCAAGGGGAAATGTACCAATTGTCGTTCCTGTGGCATGCATCTGAAACTTCAGGCCGGACTGCTGGACCAAGCGCTGGATATCGGCGATTTGTTGGGGAAATGATGCATTCTGGGATCCAATCTGCCAAAACCCTCAGCACTCGTGGTCAGTTCTTCATGTTTTATAGGATAGACACACTGGTATCAGTGAGAAGTCCGCTGTACACCTGGAAGGTGTTGCCAGAGCCAGATTCGTACAGGCCATGTTCATGATATTAATATTTATCTAGAGGTAGGATCACTTAACTGATGTGCAATTGTAAAATTTGGGCGAAGGCGCAGAGCATATCTCGGGGCTTGCTACTTTTAGATTTGACGTGAATATGATTCCATTGTGACGTTGGTTGATGTAAACACGCCGAATGCATTTAGCCCACCGTTCATATTGTTTATTGGCGGTTTGAAACTGCAATTAGAAGCATAGTCGGTGTCTATGAGACTAGTACCAACTCTCTTCGAGCGCTCTTCCACGCCTCTGCAGAGGCTCACTGCCCGGTACATAGATGTCCCCAAACAACACACCACGACAAGGCTCCAGGACAGGCATTTGCTCAGCTTGTTGGACCTCCTGGCTGACCATTTTCCGTACATCTCTGTCAATGGTCTTTGCCTCATCGTCCGTGATGATATCCCAGTGAACCAATTTCCTCTTCAGTGTGGTAATTGGATCGTTGCCCCGTTCCCTCTTCAGCTCTTCGCGGCCCCGATAAGCCACACCTGGATCAGACATAGAGTGGCCAGCGTATCGATATGTGACATATTCGTATAGAAGGGGACCATTGCCCGCTTTCACAAAGTCACGGCCGTGTCTGACTGCTGACAAGACAGCTAGTACGTCCATTCCATCTACCCGAAGACCGGGTATGTATTGGCCGCGCTTGTAGTACTCAGTCGTGGCGGAGGCTCTGTCGGCGGAAGTCCCCATTCCATATTTGTTGTCTATTCGTGCCTTTATTAGCCTGTCACATGTTACAAGGGAATAGGCAAGATGAGCTTACTTTCGCAGCAAAATATCACAGGCAAGCTCCACAGCTTCGCCATATTGAACGCCTCATATACTTGGCCCTGATTTGCCGCCCCGTCGCCATATAAATTCATGGTGACATAGGTCGTGTTGTTGTATTTCTGAGCAAATGCAATGCCAGCTCCCAAGGGCACATTGGCACCAACAATGCCGTTTCCTCCGTAGAAGCTGTTGGCGTACATGTGCATCGAGCCGCCTTTGCCATGTGCGATGCCATCGCGCCGGCCCAGCAGCTCTCCGATGATTGACTTTATCGTCCCCCCGCGCATCATAGTAAAGCTGTGGGCACGATATGCTGTGATAATTCGGTCTTCTTTGCTGATGGCGTGCTCTATACCTACTGAAACAGCTTCTTGTCCGGTAGACAGGTGACAAAATCCGCGGATTTTTTTCTCCTTGTACAACTGGTCGGCGGCCAGTTCCATGCGCCTGTAACCGTTTAGTTGTATTTGATTATATTATTTCTCACTACCTACCGAACCTTTGCCATGTCATAATACAGCTGCTTCAATTGATTCTTGGTGGTTTCGATGGAGTATGGGGGCGGATCAAAATTGTGTGTCTCGAAGCTCTTTTCTGATATAGGGACAGTGAACGGCTTGTCATTGTCCTGGAAGAAATCAATATGTGTCACATCTGCTTCAAGAAAGGACAACTAACCACTGGAATGTCTTCTAGGGTTGCTATTTGAGAAAGTCCTCGAGAGATCTGTGGCCGGTGCAGTGAAAGAGTTGGGAGGATGGGCACGTCTCCTACCGGAGAAAGAAACAATCTTCCTCGACAGAAGGCCATGTTAGTACTCGATCAGTTTCGAAGGTGTGATCTATCTTCTAAGTCGATTTCCTAGGGAGAGGTAATTGCAACTTTGTTTCTCGTGATCTCTTGTGACGCAATCATGAATTCATAAGTAGAGACTTTCCAGCTGAGATAGTAAAGTGCAAAGCTATAGGGAAAACATTTCCGTGAAAAACGGCACTACACGGTATTAAAGTATTGTTCTGCTGGTTCAAAGGGGCGCATTAACTTTGGTTCACTGGTTACATATAACCATGCTGTGAATATGTACGCGGTATTTTGTGTCTAGCAAGGAGTGCAGATACCAGCTAGTATAAACTAGGACTATTCATTCTTTCATGTTTCAATATCCTAGACATGCCAATTATAATGCACGCCATCATCCGCGATCATGAACAACACAGTGCCTAATCGGGTTATATAGGCTGACATTCTCGGGTCAACCGATTATCCGGTCCCGATGACGCATCCCACCGAGACAGACAAGGTCAACATTGTTCTGCACAACGTTTCTACTTCTTATTCATGGATCCAGTTTTACATCTTTTTGAGTTCTTTGGATCTACCCACTCTCATTCAAATGTTGTAACCTTGAAGGATTTGCAACACGATCTCCAACAGCAGAACTGCTTCCCGCGCGTCCCACCCCACGCGTAGCACCTGCTCTGTCCTGAAAGCAAACAGAGTGAGACTGCCTCATGCGCTTGAAAGATCCAGCCTGCCATGGCACGTCATACCCCAGCCGGCCCCGGTCGGAGTAGGGCATCGCGTGGCCGTGGCTCTTCTCGAAAGCGTGACAGAGATGATGATGAAGAGCTCCCCGATGTCTACCAGGAGATGCTGCAGGAGGCGGAAACGCGAGATCCTGCCCAGTTTTCTTCGGATAGGCCGATCAAAAGACGTAAGGCTGGAGACATAAATGCCATCCCTGTTGAGCAAGAACATATCCGGGCAGAAGACGATGATCAACCAATTCAGACCATCTATGACTCTTCTACAGCGGATGAATCAGATGTTGAATGGGAAGATGTTGACATCACACAACATACGGACAGCTTGCCGAGTACAGTCTCAGCAGCTCATGGCGGCGAGGATACACTCCAAATTACTTTCGATCAAGGCTCTCATAAGCCAAAGAAGACCATCCAGCGGCGAAAGCCAGTCTCTGGAGCCGAAAGGAAAATTCGATTGGATATTCACAAAGTTCATATTCTTTGCCTGCTAGGCCATGTCCATTTGCGCAATCTCTGGTGCAACGACCGGGAATTACAGGTACAACATAATCCTCTCAGACCTCATCTTCAGTCTGTAACCCATGTATAGGGATTTCTTTCCAAAATGCTTCCCAGGAATGTGAAGATTTTGTTACACCCAAGCGAAGACAAAGCGCAGTACCTCAGGTCTACTACATTCATGGATGGACTGAATCAAGCTGGCGATATCTTTAGTCGAAGGTTTGGAGTCACAAAGCCGGGTTTGAAGCGTGCCCACTGGGCCGAGAGTCAAGATCAGTTGAAGCAGAAATTGGTATCTCTCTCCCCGGTATTCTTTTCAGAAGAGCTCCCCTGACAATGAACAGGAATCAATCATGTCCGACGCTGAGGTTTTTCTGTCAAAAGCAGACTACGTAAGTCAGGCCAAGACATTACAGGGCTCTCGAGATTTCGGGGCTCAGTTGTTCTGTGCCCTACTACGATCTGCAGGCGTTGAGGCGAGACTTGTTTGCTCCCTCCAACCCCTGCCGTTCTCCGGCACTGTCAAGGATATGACCCCTGTCAAGACAGATCGAAAGTACATCGTGATATCTTCCGACGACCATGAAACGTCTACGGATGAGCATAATCACTCGAGCAATTCTCCCACTCCTTCTCGAGCTCGCCGAATAGGCCAGCCCCAGTTCACTCCGTCACGACCATTTCAGTCATCTTCCCGCTCCGGTTTGTGGCGTTTGTCACCGATTACTCTGTGTAGTTTTGGCAAAGCTAATATTCACAGGTCCTCGCCCGAATCTTCGAGAGTCCTCCTACCCTGTGTTCTGGGTGGAAGCATTTAATGAAGCCGTGCAAAAGTGGTTTCCGATCGATCCTATAGTAACCAAGTCACTCGCAAAGGCTGTCAAATTCGAACCTCCCGCCAGTGATCCGTATAACTTTATGAGCTACGTGGTTGCCTTTGATGACGATGCTTCTGTTGTAGATGTCACTCAACGATACACCAAGGCTTACAATGCGAAAACCCGCAAACTTCGGGTTGAATCTACCCGGCACGGAGACAGATGGTGGCAGAAAGCGCTGAATGCCTACGAGAAGCCGTTTTTGCTGGATCGAGATGAAGCCGAAATCAGTGAACTCACATCCAAATCAGCTGCCGAACCTATGCCACGCAATATTCAAGATTTCAAAGATCACCCAATCTATGCGCTTGAAAGACATCTTCGTCGCAACGAAGTCATTCACCCAAAACGCGTTATTGGACATGTCGGCCTAAGCAAGCCAACGTCGAACAGTGACCATTTGGATACAGTGTATCGCCGATCTGACGTTCATATCGTGCGCAGTGCTGATAAGTGGTATCGCCTCGGACGGGATATCAGAGTGGGCGAGCAACCTCTCAAGCGTGTTCCTGCCAGTCGAAGCAAGGTAGGGATTCTCAGTGATGAGGATGATACCGAGCCCGAAGAGACGGCATTGTACGCCGGATTCCAGACTGAGATATACAAACCGCCGCCAGTTGTCCAAGGAAAGATCCCCAAGAATGCCTACGGAAACCTCGACATTTATGTTCCAAGTATGGTTCCGCCTGGTGCAGTCCATATCAGGCGACCGGAGGCCGCCCGAGCAGCCCGGATTCTTGGAGTCGACTATGCAGATGCGGTGACGGGGTTTGATTTCAGAGGACGTCGTGGGACAGCTGTTCTGCAAGGTGTTATCATTGCGACTGAGTACCAGGAGGCTTTGAACGAGGTTCTGAGAAGCATTGAAGATGAACGACTGCATGCTGCGTTCGAAGCCAGATCCGCAGAATCACTTCGTCTCTGGCGATTATTCCTAGCAAAACTTCGAATTGCGGAACGCGTAAAAGCCTATGCAGGTGATGATGATGCACGGTCAGACATGAGTATTGATGTTGAAGCAGACGAAGCGGGTGGGGGATTTATCCCCGAACCTGGTCAGCAGCTCGACAGTCGGCCCTTGGTGCTCTTGGGAGGAAAGAATCTGGCCCAGCGTGCCGTTTCGCCCATTCCCGAGACCGAAAACGGTCCGGCTTTCGCTTCGAGCAAGAACTATGAGTTTCCAGGAGGATCCATCCCTGGTGGGCCAGTTGACCAAGACTCGACTACGGCATCTGCTACGCCAACGACAAGCCTCCCTGCTGGTCTCCAACGGAACTGGGGAACACGACGCCCTCCCATACCGCGCTATCAATTGGTCGTTGTTCCAAATGATAGTGTCAACGACAGTGGCAATTCGAGGCCCGGCATAATATTCGGCAATTTGCCCACAACCCCAGCAGCAGCCGAGCCTAGATACCCTGAAGGGTCGTCTGAAAAGGCTCCCATCACAGTGGATTCATCAAACGAAGGCTCAAAGTCTGCCAGCGTTGAACTTGTGTCCAAGCCAGCTTCTCCAGTGCCGCAACGTCAATCTCCCGTGCCAATGGACCAGGATTCCGACAGTGAGATCGAGAAGGGATCGTTGATGTCAGAGGATCCCGAGGATGAAGATGCCATTCCCGAGTGGCTTGTGTAATTAGTATCTCCATCATGTTGACTAGACAATAAAGTCTGGAATGGCCATCCAAAAAGTACCTTGCAGCAATCAGGTAGACAGAACTACCCTGGGACAACCTACGATTTCCACCTTTCACTATGAATGGGGAATGTCGTGAATAGTTCTGCCCTAATTGATCTAGATCTCTTGGGCGGTCAGATTCTGCCGATGCGCGTCGACGCGGTCAGCCTCAGGCATCAGCACTTAAGCGTCATTTGACTCGGAGCAACGTCCGTCAACACTTCCAGCCTGTCGCCAAATGCATGTGTTGACGCTGTACGTTCCGGATTGCACATGGCAGCTGCAATGATACCACAGCAGAGTTCCGAACGCCCACCAGAGACCGCTTGCCATCAATTTCGCACACCCAGCAGACCCGCCTCTCACAGTGGCGCCATATCTACGACTTCGAAAAGCACTACCTCGAAGCGAGCCCGGTCTCCGGCATCATCGGTGCTCTCGAGAACCCACAAGCGTAATTTGTTGTCAAATCCACGGGCCCAGCCCACCCTCACCCAGATCGACTTTGTCACGCAGCCTGAGCCGGATTATGATCAACTCGCATACGTCAACGAACCCATTTCTCGACATGATACCCAAAATACAGCGGCCTCTACGGTAGACGATGGCTCAGACGATGATCTCGACTATCGCCCGCCGCCGGCTCGACCAGCCCGTAGTGCCAATGAGCAAAGTGTCAAACGCAGACCAAGTTCTGGAATCAACAGCCGAGATGCACGTCGGAACGGCGTACGAAAAAGTGCAACCCCGAGGGCAAGTGTAAAGTCTCGGGGTGGTCGAAAATCCATGGAGAAGCCGGGCGCAAAACGAGACAAGACCCTCACGCAGATGGACTTTGTACGGCGATACATTACAATCGACGATGACGATGACGATGTGAACATGGGATACTTAGAGCCATTCCCCCAAAGGAATGTTAATCAGGGGGCACAATCTCCCCCACCTGTCGAAGCACAAACTGAACGCTGTGGGCCTGGACAGGTTTCTCCAGAGCGCAATCGCAGGGTTCATGATGTGGAAGTGGACCTGTCCACAGGAGAGCCTATATCAGAATCAGGCGGTACCCATGACAGAGGCGTCAGTGATGTGCACAATGACAAGCCGGCATCTGCGGGTCCGGTTACACCGCAGAAGTCTCGGAGACTCGAGATTCCATCCTCACAATCACCAGAAAGTCCTGGACTCGCAATTATTACCTCGTCTCAATTTCGCAGTGCTACGCGTTCTCCTCTAAAACAAAAGACTTTGAACCCTATACAGCAACCTCCCGAGCCCATCAAGGAGGAATCTCCAGAACCCCAGTTCTTGCAGGACGAAGAGAGTGATTCACTTGCCAGAAATTTGACGTTTGACTTTCCCAAAGTGTCGAGCTCTCTTCCACCACAACTCCCTACATCTCTTAAGGTCCATTCGACTGCTCCATCCACACCCCGAGACGACGAACGCCGAATTGAACACCCGAAAAGCGAGAGGACCGTGGTTTATGAAACGGATGCGGAGACCGATTATGGCGACTTTGAAAACGACGAGGACTCCTTGAAAATTGAAGCTGAGATTCCTTCTGAACCAAATGAGCCATCAAAGGACGATGCTACCACGCAAACAAGCTCAACACCTCAACAGGACGACTCCCAGGAGTACCCTTTGCCGACCATGCTGCCGAATACGGACCACGACTTCGGTTCGACGGTCGAACCCTCATCAGATGCCTCAGTCTGCTATCAGAGGCTGCATCCAGCTACCCAGTTCCCTCACGAACCTATTCCAGCGCTGAATACGCAAAAGCTCTCCGAGCTGTTTTCTCATGAGGGCAGTGCTCGCTACCTGAGAGCTGGCCCGCCGCGATCATCTCCTGAACACCTCCCGGGACCACTGCCACCCTACCAGATTCAAACGCAAACGCAAACGCAAAGCCAGGATCCAGGGAAAACATCAACTGAGATCGTGCCCGAGTCGTCTCCCATTCGGGGCCAAGAGAACGACCCGGACTTGCACGAACACCCCTTCCAGCGGCCTCCGGCCCCCGACCCCGTGGTGCAAGTTGAATCATCGCAGGCTGTAGATCGGGGGAGCTCGCGGCCGGGGGTGTTATCACGGAGCCAGCTGCTGACGTCCAGCGTGATGGAGAGTGTTCCACTGCCGAATTTCTGGATGGGCAGTCAGGATAGCGTGGGCGAGCCGTACAGTCTGCCGGAGGGGTAGTGTATGATTATTAGGAACTTCACGAGTAACGAAATAGACACAATTATTATCTACTTGTTATAGTTAGTAACCATGGATGAGTTCGTCCACCGCCCATAAGCGGGGCCAAACTATCCGAACGCGGCCATGCGGAACTTGGCATCGTCAACTCCCCCCGACCGACATGGACATCGCCTACGACCACATCCAGGAGGAGATTCTCTCCGCCAAGGAGCACAGCGAGGGTGGTGAGTCCAAAACAGACCTCAACGCCGAGCTCCAAGAGACTTTCCGCGCCTTTTCCTCTAGCCCATGGGGCACCCGCATCGGCGGCCTGTGGGACAACGTACGCAAGCAGGGTGAAAGCTACTACGAAGGCGCCCGCCAGGAATATGCCGCCGCTAGCGAGGAAGCCGCCAAGGGCTTCTCAGATCTGCGGGATACTCTCGTTGATCGGACCCGAGGGCTCTCCCTGAGCACGGCGACGCTCACGGGGGCCGCGGGCGAAGGACAGAAGGATGACGCGGCTACACCGACGGAATCGTCTGAGAATACCGGCAAGGGGAAGGAGAGCGTCAACGGCGAGGGATTCATCTCGCGGTTCAAGGCTGAGGCTGCGCGACGACTCAAGGAGATCGAGAAGGCCGAGGACGCGGCCGATGAGGCCATCTTGCGCTTTGGTATGAGCATCAGTCAGAAATTCCGCGACGCTGTCAGCATCGTCCCACCCGAGACGGACGAGACCGGCAGGATTCTTTTCGAGAGCAAGGATGCCGATGGCAAGAGGGTTATTCACGCGACGCGATTCGAGGCCCAACTGCACGTCATCCATTCCAACTTGGAGAGCTTCACCAAGGATCCCAGCAGCGAGCAGTGGCCCGAGTTCAAAAAGGAGTTCAATGTTGAGAGCAAGACGGACGAGATCGCCTCGGACCTGGAGAAATATCCCGAGCTCCGGTCCGCCATGGAGAAGCTCGTCCCCGAGCAAGTGGAGTACGCCGACTTTTGGACCCGTTACTACTTCTTCCGCCTCATCGTTGAGACCGAGGAGAAGAAGCGAAAGGAGCTTCTGAAGGGTATGTCTCCCCTTCCCTGTATTTCTGTTTCGTATCAATTATTCTAACCACCCCGTGTACTTCCTAGATGCCAACGTCGACGAAGAAGAGGAGGTCGGCTGGGATGACGATTCCGACTCGGACTCCCCCTCTACCCCCCAAGTCCGCACCGGTTCCCAGCAGCATCTCGCCCCCAAAGTTTCCCAGAAAACCGAGCCGCGTCGCTCGAACGACCAGCAGTCCCAACCCGATAGCGAATCTAGCTATGACGTCGTTAGCGGCACCGTGAGCCGCAACCCGGGCAGCCCCAAGGAAAAGAGCCCGGATGCCAAGGGGGACGACAGTGATGAGGATTGGGAATAAATAAAAATAGCTGCCCTCGACAAGGGAGAGGCCCTACCCACTTCTTGCTTGCGCTTTGCGGTCCTGGATTTGCCGGAGTTTGGGTTTCGACACGGTTTCATCGGCGTTGCTCAGGAGCATATCCCCTTTTTGTTCTTGTTTTTCAACATGCAAATTTTCTATCTTGCTTTCTGGGTTGAACTGGCTTTGGCTAATCAATCGAAGCCTTCTACATTGTCTGTTTTTGGGCCCATCCGATATCTGAATATGCACAGTACTCGCTCTTCTTACATATCCCCCCTCTGTCAACATGTATGTAGCAACACCCATTATCAAATCAATTTCAGGATTATCAAAATCGTTATTATCTGCTGCAACGCTCAAATTCCCTAGGTCGCTGCACTCTCTTTACACATACACCAGACAAGGTCATAACTCATGCATAGGCACACATTGCTATTACTCCGCCGTTCCCGATCCAGCGCCCTTCTTGTCCTTGGACACAGACCCCGACTTCCTCGCTAGCGGCGATGACGCCTCCCTAAATCCCGAGTCATCGCTATAGGCAGGCGTAACACCACGTAACCCACTAGGCCGTCTCTGCTCCGATTTCATACCCGGCGAAGCGCGCTGCTGTTGCTGCCCCAGTGTCTCAGGCGTATTCTCCCGCGAGCGCAGCCTCAGGCCCGGAGATCCTCCGCCAGGCGAATAGAGTTCACCGCCTCCTTCCGGGTACCTGGACGGACTGCCAGGCACCCAGCCATACTGGTAATCCTCACCGCGGCGCTTGACGGGGCTTTCATCGTACGGGTCCCAGCCCACGCGACGGCGGGCTTCGGAGCGGAGACGCTGGCGATGCTGCTCGTCGCCGCCGGCGCCGGTGGAGGAGGATTCCTCTAGGAAGAAGTTCAGGAGCTCGTCGCTGATGGAGAGGTGGGATTGTTGCTGGAATTGTTGAAGGGAGGTTAGCCGGAGGAGCGTTTCCAGGAGGGAGAGCGAGGTGCGGATGTTTTCGAAGAGTGGGTTGGAGACTGTTGTTGTTTCTGGGGCAGCGGATGGTTGGTGGGAGATAATCTTTCGGGCGGATGGGGATGGGGATGGTGACGGCGAAGAGGTGTGTCGTTTGTCTTTTATGGATAGCTTGGCCATCTTTTCCACTGCGTTGTCGGTGGTGGATGTTTGGGTTGTTTCGATTTCGGATTCTGAGTCGGACGAGGAGTCTTCGTTGTAAACTTCAAATGCAATCCATTCTGGATCTAACCCTGGCGGCAAACGCCATTCATCAGGGATGAAGTCTTCGTGCAAAGAATTAAAGCTCGCGCTGGTCGGACCACCGGCTCCATTGAGTTGTGCGTCAAGCTGAGCCTGCTCCTCGTCTTCCGGTTCCTCATGCTCTGCTGCTTCATGTTCCTCTTCCACATCATCGCGTTCCATCATTCGCCGTGGCGGCAGAGCGTTCAAATCTCTTTTCAGGAGGAGCACCGGGTTGTTCGTTTCTCCATCGGTACTGATATTCAAAATCTTGCCCGTATCGGCGTAAAAGATCTTAGAAATCTGATGAATTGGCAGAATCTCTCGAATTCCTGCCGTCATCAACCCCTCGTAACTCTGTGGCTGAGGTTCATTGTCCTCAAAAGTATGAACTCGGCCATCGTCCAGGTCCTCAATGATTAGAACTTGATAGGCGTATTCATCGATCCCAGCTTGTCCGGGGAACTGGGGCCGTTGTCCTTGGCCTCCAAGATCGTAATACAAGTCCATTGGCACACGTCGCACTTTCAATTTTGCTTTGTGCATGACTTCCTTCCACGTCGCTTCGCGCATAGATTCTTCGTCGTGGGGGCGCAAGTGGCTGGCAAACAACATGTACATGGACAGTGTAAACGTCGGTCCTATCTGGACTGCCTGGGACTGCGACTGTGACATCGAATATTGGGTATCTCCGGCAGTAAGGAATGTGCTGGCCTGGAGAAGTCGAGAAGGAGACACAGTTGCTGGTAAATTGGTCGACAGTTTGGCGCCTGATGTAGTGATGGCTAGGTTCATGAGCGGTACTGCATCCTCGATACGGACTAGCAAGGCCTTTATATCTTGGACGATGTGTTTGATCTCTGCATGGATTTGGGAGCGATCTTGTGGAGATTTGGATCCTTTCTTCAGTTTTTCTTCAGATGCGGCTGCTTTGCCTATCCGTTGCCCAAGAGCTTGGATATCCCAGCGAAGAGATTTTGTGAGAGCAACAGCAGATTCCAGTGAAGTGTTTCCCCGAGCAGCACTAATAGTCGTTAGGTTTTCATGGCATATATCGGAGCGGGACGAGCTTACATCAATTCAATCATGTCAATTGCAGGTGAAATGACTTGGATCTTGCTTTCCAGTCGTTGCTGCAATAATAGCAGCTCTTCCCGCTCTTTGCCATCTACACTCTGGGCGAATGAAGGGCATATATCAGTATATCATCCCTCCACACTGGGTCACGGGGTAGATCATACTTTCAACAGACGCGACGACTGGTTCATGGCATAAGTCGCCGTAATCGCAATGCCCGAGCTATTACAAACTGTATTAGATAGGCGCTTGGTTCATCGATTGAGCACTTACCGAATGGCATAGTTCATTGCCTGCTGTGTGAGCTACTCGCCGGGTACAAGTCAGATATCCGTGGAAGGACGGCCAGCTGGGGGGAGAAAACAAACTCGAGTGAGAAAGACATCCATTGTGAAGACAGGCGACTGGGATTGTGCACTTCGAGACGGATATTTCTTCTGCTGCTCAACTGCCCCCTGAGCAATGGCCGGCGTTAGAGGGACGAGATTGAGCTTATCGATAACCGGCAGAGGTTGGCGTGCGGCAGCCCAAGTATTGATAGTGACGGACGCCTTGACGAGACTGTGCGCCTCTGGCTCCGAGGAGGGGTAGAACAACTAACTCCCGAAAGAATTGGGTTCAATAATGGAGCGAGACTCTGTCTGCGGATCTCAAAAGAGAGAAAGAAAAGCAACATTGAAAGGAAAGCATGGTCCACGTGACCCTGTCGCGGGGCGCTGAGTCAGCCGCAAAAACCAAGCGAATGTTGGGCCCCTCCTTCACTCTTCGTCCTATCATTCCTTTTGTGTGCCACCATGTCGAACCAGACTCCCGATAACTGGGAGGATGAGCTCTCTCAGCAGACTCAGGGTGTCAACCTGAACGCACAGGGCCGCCCTCAAGCCCAGGCGCCCAGCTTCCAGCCCGGCACCGCTTCTTTCACGCCCGGTGCCTCTGCGTTTGTCCCCGGTCAGCAGTACCAGCAGTACGGTGGCCAGCCCTACGGTGGCCAGCCCTACGCTCAATATGGTCAACAGTATGGTGGATATCCTCAGCAACAAGCCTACGGCCAGTACGGAGCCGCATACAACCAGCAGCCCGGTGGCTACAATCAGTACTACAATCAGCAGCAACAGCAACAACAGCAGCAATACGGTGGCTACAACCAACAGCCTCGTCAGAATGTTCCTGTAGCCGCACCGCAGCAAACTGCCCCAGTTCAGTCCGCTCCCAAACCTGCTTCGAACGCCGCCCCTCCCAAGGCCAAGGTCCTCTCGATTGGCGCTACTTCATCAAGCGCCGCCCCGAAGACGAAGGTCCTTTCTATCGGCACTCCCCCCCCGCCCCTACCGCCAGCACTTCGGGAGCCAACACAGCAAAGGATACCAAGGGTGCGGCGGCCGCGGAGGCTGGTGCTAAAGTGACTGCTAGCAAGGCCATTGACAAGACGGAAAACAAGGCGGACGCGAAGGCTGCTGCCGCTGGTAACTCCTCGCCAGCTCCATCTTCGGGCCGTTCGAGCCCAGGACGTGCCAGCCCCTCTCGAGTTGAAGCGGCCAAGGCTGCTCGTGACGTTGATGCTGTTGCTAAGTCGCAACAGGCGGATGTCGACGAGGCAACGCTGAAGGAAATTTATGGCGAAAAGAGAGAGCATGTCAATGTCGTGTTCATCGGCCACGTCGACGCTGGCAAGTCCACCCTTGGCGGCTCTCTGCTCTACTGCACTGGCATGGTGGATGACCGGACAATGGAGAAGTACAAGAAGGAGGCCAAGGAGGCCGGTCGAGAGACCTGGTACCTCTCCTGGGCGTTGGACTTGACCAACGAGGAGCGTGCCAAGGGTAAGACCGTTGAGGTCGGCCGTGCCTTTTTCAAGGTTCAAGTTCCGTCGCCAGATGGGCCCATTGAACGTCAGTTCTCCATTCTGGACGCCCCCGGCCATAAGTCCTATGTGCCCCACATGATTGGCGGTGCTTCCCAAGCAGATCTTGGTGTCCTGGTTATCTCGTCCCGAAAGGGTGAGTATGAGACTGGTTTTGAGAAGGGTGGCCAGACTCGTGAGCATGCACTTCTTGCGCGGAACTCTGGTGTCGAGAAGCTCGTTCTGGTTGTGAACAAGATGGACGACCCCACTGTGAATTGGAGCAAGGCTCGGTTCGACGAGTGCACGGTCAAGGTCCTGAAATTCCTGGAGGCCCTTGGCTACAAGAAAGCGGACGTTTTCTGTATGCCTATTTCAGCTCAGCGCACTATCGGAATCAAGGACCGAGTGCCCAAGGATCTAGCGCCATGGTATGATGGACCCTCGCTGCTTGAATACCTTACCGACTTCAAACTTCCCGAGCGCAAGGTCAACGCTCCCTTTATGATGCCGATTAGCGCAAAATACCGAGACATGGGTACCATGGCAGAGGGTCGCATCGAATCGGGTGTGATCAAGAAGAACGGCACTTATCTGATGATGCCCAACCGGACGGAGGTCCAGGTTTCCGCTCTGTATGGTGAAACTGAAGACGAGATTTCGACCGCCACCTGCGGTGACCAAGTCCGTCTGCGGCTGCGTGGTGTGGAAGAAGACGATTTCTTCCCTGGCTTCGTTCTTTGCTCGCCGAAGCGCCCTGTCCACTGCGTCTCTGCCTTTGAGGCCAAGATTCGTATCCTGGAGTTGAAGAGCATTCTCTCCGCTGGTTTCAACTGCGTGCTCCACGTCCACTCTGCTATCGAAGAAGTCACATTTGCTGCCCTCCTTCACAAGCTTGAGCCCGGCACCGGCCGCAAGAGCAAGCGCCCACCTCCCTTCGCTAGCAGGGGCCAGACGATCATTGCTCGCCTCGAGGTCACCAGCACCGCTGGTGCAGTCTGCGTTGAGAAGTTCGAGGATTACCAGCAGCTTGGACGATTCACTCTGCGTGACCAGGTACGAGCTTATGTGTCTATCTCTTTTGTGTTTTTACTGACAGCTTTGCTTTCCAGGGACAAACCATTGGTATTGGCATGATCACTAAGCTCATCCACAGCGAGACCGACACCGCCACAGCGTGAGGAATCTGTGGAGCATCCATGGCCCAGCATTCACTTTTCCAACAAAACCATCTCCGAAAAAAAGTCCAATGATATCAGCGTTTGATTTCTCGTCATTTCGTTCAATTTTGCCATGAGACAAGGGCTTTTGGTCACGTAAAGCCGGTGGACATATACCACGGCCCGTCTGAAGCGATGATGATGAATTCTTCTTTCTAAATAGACCTTTGCTCTACCCTTCAAATGAAAGCAGTGGCCATTACCCAGGACACTGTATTTTCTCCATTCTTTATATACACGTAGTTGATTCGGTACTACACATGATGGATATGTATCTATTCTATCCACGACAAGATGAGCTCGAACGTAAAATCCTCAACGCTTCGACTTTCCGACGACCTTAGTAAACCCGTCTTCGTCAACCTCCGGCTCGACCTTCGCCCTCGGCGCCCTCACCAAAGCAGGTGCATCATCCATATCAACATCCATCCCCTCAGCATCATCACTATCCTCCTCATCATCCGTCTCCTGATCCTCATCTCTAGCCTCCACCTTCTTAAACATCTCCGCACCGCCACCAGCCTTCTGCTGACTCTTCTGTTGGTAATTCTCCCACATCTGCCGAATAGGCCCAAACTCGCCGCGCGCCGTCTGCACCTTCATCTCCATGATCTCCGCCGCAACGTTGCCTGCGCTCTCGTCGTCCACCACCACATCGAACTCGTCGTTCATCACCTGGATCAGCACATCCTCCAGGTCCTCGGCGTCTGTCTCCGGCCGCTCGCTGAGCATATCGGAGACCGCACCGCAGAGCCAGTCGCGCTTGTCGCTTGACGTTGGTCCGCCCCAGTTTGATTGCACTGCCAGCGAAAGTGCCGGCCAGCTGTTCAGAGCTAGTGTGATTCCGAGGTCGAGGTAGGAGGAGGCGTTTGTGGCCGCGGGGGTTGGGCGGAGGATGTGGCCATTGTGAGGATCAGCGAGTATGCAGATTGGGAAAAAAAGTTTCTTTCAATCGATCGGCCTGTTCGAAAGGCGAGGGAGGATTTTCGGATTGCAGATGCCCCGCGATACTCGATGGAGAGGATAGTCGGCGTCGCTGGTGTATGAGGAGCGGGATCAATGGTACAAGAGTCTCTTCGGGGGGGAGTATAGAGTGCGCTGGTTCTTCTCGATACGTGCGGTCAATTGACCTGATCTCAAAATTTGGCGATTAGATACGATAAGGTCATGTGATTTCCATAGCGGACCATGCTTTCTTTTGACAGAGCAGTTTCGTGTCATTCGTTGTAGTTATTTATCATGGACACCAAATAAAACCACAAAGAACCCAAAAAGAAACCCCAGACAGAATCCTTGAGAGATGCTGTAAGGCCGGAGAAAAAAAAGAAATTTTGCATCAGCGGGGAGTCGAACCCCGGTCTCATCGTTTCAACCAACCTATTCAGGTAGTTATGGAAGCGAAGAATGATAACCGCTACACTACTAATGCTAGTTATTATGAATTCTTAACCAGAACATCTCTTCAACAATTGAAATTGTCCTAGAAAAAGCTCCTTAACCAAGGAAATCTACGATAGAAACAGAACTGGGGTTCTCTAATTTAGGTCGAAGGAAAAGGATATAACAAGGAACAAGTGGATAACCTAGACTTGACTGAAGAGTTCTAGTGTCACTGTTAATTCGTGGGTTTCTCACAAATGTTGTCGCTACACCACCAGCAGCACGATGTAGACATTCACTTACTGCAGTGCATTATGATCACGTAGCGCCCCAATATCTTGCTGCCAACTAAAGTACTATGGCGGAAGAATATGGATCACCATTTCTGTAGCTTCACGGTTGAGGGGCATTTAACTACTTTTACCTGGATTAGATGTCCTCAAGCTATATATATCTATACTGTCAATGTTGTGATACTTGAAAATCTTCATTCTGGTATCTTTGTTTATATTGTCGTCTCTAAATAACAAACCCAAAATCCAATATTCTCAAAGCCCGATTCCGAATGATTCCATGCTCTGCTCATTCGGATCGCTGACATGCACCACAATCTTCCCCCTCGCACGCCCCGATCGAAGCTTCTCAAAGGCTTTCCCTGCATCACCAAAATCATGCACGCTATCCAGCTGCATCTGAATCGCGCCCTTCGCCAGCCACTCCCCAAGCTGCACAAGCTGCCCCTGATTATTCTTCGCCATCACAACCACGTACTTCCTTCGTCCGCCGCCAAGAAAAGAAGGCCACCCGAGTCGTCCGACGAAGGTCATCAAACCCGACACCCCAACCTGCACAAACGCCCCATCTTCCTTGAGAAAATGATGACACTGGTAATACAGCGCCAAAGGCAAGCCAATATGATCAAGGATACAGTCAAAAACCACCTTTCGCTGCACCAACTTCGCCACCAGATCCGGCTCCGCCGTGTAATCAATCACCTCATCCGCACCCAGACGGAAACACAACTCCATATTCCGCGTCGAGCACGTCGTCGTAACGTGACACCCCATCTGCTTCGCGATCTGAATTGCAAAAACCCCACAACCCCCAGAGCCCCCATTGATAAACACCTTCTCTCCAGCCTTCACGTGCCCCTCCAGACTCTGATACGCCGTCTGGCCCGCGACCGCAACACCAGCCGCATGATCTACCGCAACGCCATCCGGCACAAGCGCAATCTTGTCCGCCGGAATACTGACATACTCCGCCAGCGACCCGAACTGCACCGGCCGCGCAGGACATCCGAAGACCAGTTGGCCCTCTTTGAAATGTTTCGCGTGAGGTCCTGTCGCCGCGACGCGCCCACAAAAATCCATGCCTGGGGTCGCGGGCATGCCGATGACCATTCGTGCTGGCAGGCCCACTTCTGGGAGCTTGTAATCCACGGTATTCAGGGCCGCGGAGAGCACCCGCACCAGGACCTCGTTGCCTTGTGGGGCGGGAGGTGCGCGGGCGCACATGTCTAGGCGCAGGTTCTGTTCGAGGCCGTGAGCTGTGCTCGAGTAGAGCCAGGCTTTCATGGATTCGGGGTGGTACGCAGACATGTCCAAGGGGGGCATTGTTGGGTTCATTTTGGTTGATTTGAAGCCCGTTTTGGGGGGTGCGGGTTCAATGTTCCTTTTTTTAATCTCATGTGGCTCAGTCTGGAAGGTTCGCGCTTTTGAGCGGCTGTGTGATGAATCTTAATTGAGGATCATTTTTGAAGGCATTCCTGTAGGATGGGAGTTCGATTTTTTGGTTGATTATTGGCGGATACTAACGGTGGTCGGTTCAGTGTTGTCGATCCAGGGCACGCTATTGGTGCAATGCTTTTAGGGTTCTCTGACACGGAACAAGACCTATAAATGCTCTCCCATCGTCCCCTCTGGGCTCGGATTTCTTTTATTATAAGGTACATTCTACGCTCTACAGATACATAGTTCTAACGACTAGCAATGGCATGTGTACACCATAAAACCACATACCAAAAAAAAAAAAGAATCGCCTCCGTCCCCACATCTGTCTGACCAAAACTAAAATACAACCGCACAGGGTCCCGCCAGCCTTCCCTACGCGGGTAGAAGGCGTCTAGATGCTGGCTGCCCCACGGGTCTCACGCCGATATGCATCCAGCGTTTCCTCTACTACCGCGGAAGTCCAGTTGACGGGAATCGACTCTGCTTCCGCGCTACTTTGAGTTGTTAGTATGTGTTCCATTCTTGACCGGATGGAAGAAAATCAAAAGAATCAGTCCCATGTCATCCGTAGGCATTTAGGGTATACATGTCTCATTAAATGGCATTTATATCTGTTCTCAAGTCAGCAATGCAACATGTTATAGTTACTTACCTTACTCTTCTTCGATGTCCTCACCAGGCACACCACCCCTCTCGAGGCGGCTGTGGACGTCGCTGAATGAAGCCCTCTGGGTTTGATGGCCGACACCCAACTCCAGGATCGTAGACCGGGTCGAAGTAAGGGTTCTGCACGTCAACCGGAGTGTTGAAGTAGGTAGTCACATTCGTGAGAGCCCTGCCACTCGCTTCCCTCATATCCCTGCAGGGGTCCCTCCTGGGGACGGGCGGGGGCTTATTGCCAACGTCCTCGTTGGAAGTTCATAGAGACGATCCTGCCGATTATACAGAGCAACATAAGCCAATCAGCGAAATACACAGGTTCCGAACTATTCCCTTCAAGCAGGCCCTTTAATTATATTCCAGCCCTTTGCCTATCTCTTCCGTCTACCTTCTCGTCGCTTAAGACGTCGGGGAAGAAGCGTATTTTGGTGGCGGTAATTCATCGACCAGGTCAAATGGGTTATCGGTATTACCGACCATCAACCCCAGCACGGCGGCGAAAAACAATCGGCAGCCATACCAATAGCGTGGACCGCGCACATAAAAAACAAGTTCGAATGTCTTCCGGAGATGTGCCTTTTGCTTTGAGTCTAGTTGAAAGCCCCGGGCTTGCTCACAACATAAACACTCCACCGTACAATGGCCAGCGGCGAATTTTCGGTCTGTCATGGTTTGGCGATTTGAGCAGCATCCGCAGCCTCTTCCACAACATCCTCCCCTTCCAGCACAGTCATTAGCAAGCACTTGATGCATATACCATTTCGGGTGCGAGCGCCACAAGTCGAACCCTCGAGTCATCGGGCAGTCCTGATGTGAACTCCGAATCTCCCACCAACGCCGTTCCAAAAGCCAGTACTGCTTTGCAAACTTTGAAATCTTCCCTTGTAAGTCTTGAACGAGAGCCAGGTTGCGGTTGTGGTTGCCTTCCTCGATGGTTTCCCCGACAAGCCTGCTGAGCTTTTCTCTGAGGGCCATCTCGCGTTGAGTACATTCGCGAAGTAAGAATTCAATCTCAAGCAGGCTGGGAAAATCAATCTTATTTCGATATTCCCACCAGTGACAATACCGATATGTCTGAAGAGAATGGATATTTCCGGATTTTTCTAGATCAATCTCGGTAGACGTTTTGACCATGTCAGACGTTTTGACCCTGTCTAAGTCCGGCTCATCGTCTCGGAGCAAACGTCTGGCAATGAAAATCGTACACCAGAGCAATATAAGTCCCATATACCAGAACAACATCCTTCCCATCAAACCGCGCTTGATTATTCTGGACCCACAAGTTGTTCAATGATTATCGCTGACAAGGGTGGTATCTTGACTGACTGAATGTGATTTCGATGGGGGTATTTGAGGTGCGATTGAGCAGAGTGAGTAGGGGTTGCGAAGTTAACCAGTAAATATGATGTCAGCCCTCATTCGTCTCGCACCCGAATAGGAATGGAACCCTGTTGGGCGTGGAACTTAGCCTGAGCTAGAAAACCAAGAATATGAATTAATACTATCTAGGATTCTAATAGGAAAAGAGTACCATGGGTGATCGCCACTGGTTCTTTTACTAGAGAAAAATCCGACTTAAAGCTCGCATTATTAATTCAAGTCAATTAACTTAAGGACAGATGACTCAGAGCTAAGGTATCATGAAAATATGAACATTTCTTTTAGTCCTTCACCTCCCCTAAAGCTTTTCAAAAACTTCAACGGCCGCCTTTGCGGTGGAAAGTGCGCTAGCAGGGTTTTGGCCAGTCACCAGGCGACCATCAACAACATGGAAATCATCCCAGATACCAGCAGAACGTTCATCTAAACCAATATCAGTAAAGATAGACCAGGACTGAAGAGAGATGGATTGACTTACAGGTAGCACCCAACCGCTGAGCGACTTCATCCACCATCTCAGCCCCCAGAGCCCTCAATTCACCCATAATACCCATGGTATTCTCCGCCTCCGAAGTAAACCCAGTGAGCCTCTTGCCCTTGATAAGCGGCTCTCCAGTAGCAGTGTCAAGCAAATTGGCAAAGATAGCTGGGCCATGGCAAACAGATGCCACAACGCCGCCATTAGCCCAAACCTGCTCGGCGATCCTCTGCAGCGCGCTGGCAGTGGGATAGTCGATGAGCGCGGCGTGGCCAGCGGAGGCATAGAACAGGCCGTACTTCGATCCGTCGAGGTCAGCTGCTTTGGTCATGTTGTCGAGCTTCTTCCGGAAGTCGCTGTTCGTGTCATTCCAGATCTCCAGGTCTTCGCCGTTAAGGAAGTCTGGCTGTTGAGAGAGCCAGTCCGGCGTGTAGCTGCCTGTCTCAGATGACAGGTCTACTTCGAAGCCGGCAGCGACTAGGACTTTGTAGGGGTGCAGGGCTTCGCTGATGAAGAGGCCGGTTGTTTCTTTGCCATTGAATAGCGTGGCGTTGGCTGAGGTGATGGATATGAGAGCTCGGCGGGCAGGCATTTTGCTGGCGTTGATTGAGAATGTATAGTGAAGTTAATGGAGATTTAGGCTTGTTGTGCTGAGATGAATCTCTCTTTTTGCTGTTGCTTTGCTGCTGTTGTTGTTCTGGATATTATCGGGGGCATGAGCACCTTTTTATATTCCAACCTGGAATCAGTGATAATGAGCGCATTCCTGCATAGAGCGTGTGATTCCAGGTGACTGCTACGTGGTGGCTGTTTCCAACCACCTAGACTCCGGCTCCTAGTCTCTGAAACTTGGACTGCATACAACTGGACCGGGTCCGACTCCTTGACTCCGTCACCAATCCTCCGAAACTCCTAGACTCCGTCGCCAAACACTCCTAAACTCCTAGACTCCGCGACACCGAGACTCATCAGTTAGGAGGGATCAGCGGGACGGAGTTCCGGAGTCGCGGATTTGTGGGGCTGAAAAGGGCTGAAGTCCTCGCGGGTAGCCTATCACACTCCTCCCATGGGTGTCTGACTCCGGAACTCCTTAAGTGAATGGTATCATTCCATGAAAAACACATTATTGACAATCAGGATTTGTAACTAGCTGGAGACATATTTGGATATATAAATGCGATTCTTTGAGCATATTAGGATTTTACGACTCCAAGTGAACGACGTCTTTGGATTAAACCCTACTGCGCAATATACATACCTGGCCAGAAGTCGCGGTCCTTTCATATATTTCCCAGCAATAATTCACACACAAGTCAACATGAATCCGAATGCAGACAACTACGTACCCTCAGAGTCCAGGCTCTTCAAGCCGTTAAAAGTTGGCCACTTCACGCTACAAAATCGCATCGTCTTCCCTCCTTTGACTCGCCTCCGCAGCGACGACGGCCATGTTCCTCTGCCGCTTATGCAGAAATACTACGCCGACCGTGGCTCCTCACCCGGGACGCTAGTTATTTCAGAAGCCACAGCGATTTCACACCTTGAAGAGGGCAATTGGAATAACCCCGGATTCGTCAGCGATATGCAAACCGAAGCCTGGCGCAACATCATCGATGCGGTCCACGCCAATGGGTCCTTCTTCTTCCAGCAGATCTGGGCTATGGGACGGGCATCTCAGCCCGACTTACTGGCAGCACGAGGGTTCCCCTACCGATCCAGCAGTGCTGTGGCCATGAAGGGCTCTGCAATTGTACCCAGAGCTATGACGGAAGACGAGATCTTGGAGACTATCCAAGAGTTTGCCAGCACAGCAAAGCGGGCGGTTTCGGCTGGCGCTGATGGCGTTGAGATACACTCTGCCCACGGTTATCTACTCGATCAGTTCCTCACGGCCGGTGTTAACCAGCGCACTGATAAATGGGGTGGCTCCATCGAGAACCGAGCTCGGCTAACTCTAGAAGTTGTCAAGGCTGTCGTCGGAGCTATTGGTGGCGAAAGGGTGGCTATCCGGTTTTCTCCATATGCTGGTTTCCAAGGGTCCGAGAAGACCGATTTTCTTGAACTGTACACGTACCTCATCACGGAGCTCAAGAAGATGAATGTGAAGTTTGCGTACCTGTCTCTTGTCGAGGCAACTGGGGACCCCGGAGCCTTGATTTGGAACGACAAGAAGATTCATCAGGACAAGACACTGGACTTCATCCTCGAGGAATGGAACAACCTATCACCCGTTATCGTTGCAGGTGGCTACCAGCCAAATACCGCAGCCTGGGCAGTCGAGAATCGTTACAAAAAGTGGGACGTCATGATCGCTTTTGGTCGCCATTTCATCGCCAATCCGGACTTGGTCTTCAGGATTAAGAATGGGATCCCTCTGGCAAAGTACAACAGATCGACTTTCTACAGCAACAAGCAATGGTTGGGCTATAATGACTATCCATTTAGCCAGGAATTTATGGAGGCACACCCACATGCTGTGCATCCAATGATTGAGCAGAAGCAAGAGGCGGTTGTCGCATAGTTAGTAGGATTTGTTGTTTACTCACGTTGATCCCGGAAACCCTTGGCTTTATATATTGATAGATTTCCAGAGAGCTTAGAACAGTGTCTTGAACCATTAGAATCAATAATCTGGTCTCTACTTTTGATCCAAGTTGATGAATCTCATATCTATAACAATCACGTGAGTACCATTGCTCGGTCGGCATTGGCCCGTCGGTCGGGTTCTAGCCCGAGTGGAATCCATCGGTCTTACACGTCTCCCCACCACTCGTCTGAGCATGATTTGCTGGCACATGGCCTATTGACCCCGAATTGAGGGCTACTGCAATCGATATTTATTGATCTGCCATGCATGCACCGGCGCGAAACAGGATAGGCTCGGCGAAGGCAAGCCCTTCTATCAAACCCCTGCGGAAACAAGTGCCACGCGCCTGCGACTGGTGTCGCGCGAGAAGGGCCAAGTGTGACAATGAACGCCCATGTAGAGCCTGTATTCGAAGGAATGAGCCGTGCCTGCAGAGTGGGTCGGATGAGCCCAGAACCCTACCACAGGCGATGAGGTATGGAATATCACTCGAAATAGTGTATATTTCCATCATCTAATGGTATCATTACAGAGAGGTAGAAAGGCTAAAAGGGCACATTAACCAAATCGAAGATGAATTGCTCTGGTACAGAACTCAGTACCCGTCGAGCTCCATGGCCAGCTCGTTGCGGACGCCCAGTTCTCCTGGACAGACCTCGTTGCCAGGTCTAGCATGGTCGTCCAGTCGCACCAGCCATTCGCCCCCAGACATAAACAGCTCGCAAAGACAAGCAGAAAGGGACTGCAATCGACGCAGCCCTTGGGAGGGCATCGAGATCGGCACTGCTCGCTCTCCAAACTCGTCATGGTATGGGCCGTCGTCGCTCTTTCATTTTATCGGGCGCATGAATAGTTACTTGGGTGGAATCCTCCAGCAGACCCAGATGTCCAATCAAATGGTTCTTCATGGCTCCGCAACCACACTACTAAACGGTACCACCGATAAAAATCCGGACGACGACTTCGATCAGCAAGTCGCCCTTTCCGCTGGGGTCCCCTTCGCGGCAACGGAATTCCTGAGTCCAACACAAGAAGAGTACTTCCTCGATTTGTTTTGGAAATCTTACCATACATGTCTATTTCCTATCATCAATGAATCCGAATTCATGGACCACTATCGATCACTGTGGACAGCATCTGGAGACACAAGAAGGCCTTCTGCGCTCGTTGACATTGTGATTGCCATGTGCATGCAGTATGGTATTTCACAGGTATCCCCTCAGCGACAAAAGCCCATCATCGATGGAGACGCCAGTGTCGCCGGCCGTCGGTACTTCCAACGCTGTCAGCAGCTAGTTACCTACCAGCTTGAAAGCCCCACAATCTCGACGGTACAATCTCTCATCTTGTGCTCCATATACTTATGCAACGGATCTTTCCAAAACATGTCAGCTTCCTGGTGTGGCACAGCCGCTAGAGCAGCTTATGCCGCCGGGCTCCATGTTGCGCCCTCGGACGCAGTACCGACACCGGAACGCGAGCTGAGGAAGCGTTTGTGGTGGGCTCTTTATGAGCTTGACGCCAAAATTGGCATAAAACTAGGTCGACCGTTTCTTCTCTACCGCTCTCCTGCCGAGCCCGGGCTTCCAGACGACCAGCCTGAAGCCGCGAAGCAGTCCGGGTCTCATTTGGCTCATTTGGGCGAAAACAAAACTTGGCTCAGTTTTCACCTATACAACGCGAAGCTGTTCATTGCTGCGCGGGAGATTCACGAGGCATTTTACGCACGGGATGTGAACATTCTCCAAGGACAGTCCATCTGGGATGACCCCCAGGCCCTAGAATCTCATGCCGAGTTCTTGCAGCTGCATGCAAGAAGCCTAGACCAATGGGTAGATGAACTACCCCGTGTTCTCAAAACAAGCAGACAAGAAGATGGCATCCCCTTCTCCACAGATGGAACCAAACTGGATATCGAGCCATTTGCGCCGGTATGGCTCCAGCGTCAACGCCTAAACCTGGAGCTGATGTATCACAATCTTTGTACTAACATCTATCGACCCTTTATCTCCTTTGTCCCGGGACCAACTTCAAGTTTGGCCGAGAAGTTGGCCACGAAATGCGCTCTCCATGCTATGGCACTCACCAACATAATGCATCAAACGCTGTCATCAACAAGTATTTTGACTGGTTGGCATGAGGCTTTCCAATGGCAGTGGAATGCATCCATGACAATTGTTGGCTTTGTACTAGCTTATCCGCGTGGTGCGCTGACACCCGAAGCCATCAAAGCAGTAGACCTGTCTATAACTGTCTGCGAAATATTTGGAGAGCGCTTCTCCGTTGCGACCAGCGCTGCCATGATCTTACGGAGTCTCGGCCCCAAGATCAACTTTCTGCTGCAGTATCATTCGGAAACACACACCGCAATACAGGATGATCATATTGAGCAGGGAAATGCCACCCATGGTTTAATCAAGCCGGCAGCTAACACAGAATGGCTTGATAATATCATGGCTGGGACTCCTGGGCTTGATGCTTCTTTCATGGTGCCGATGCAAGACGTGTTTCAGATGGCTTATTCGATTGAGCAGTGGAGTGCCTTGGATGACCTATTGCCAAATATGGAAGGCGACCTGTGGAGCTTGCAGGGCTTAGGGGGCTGATGAAACTACTAGTAGTGAATATGCGCGAAGGGCTTTCCCTGCCTTTCTTTCTGCCTGTGCAGGACCGATCTCAGCATGATAGCTACGTACGTATGGCATGGTTGCCGCGCGAGTACTATGGATGACCTACTCGCCTCTTTTTTAGCACCCAAACGAACCGTTCGAATGGTTGTGGAGTAAAGTAATAATAAAAATCTTGATGTGTCACTGATATTCATGCTACTGTACCTCGATTCATAGACTCTAGACATGCGGTTTGGTTATTTGGTCCTAGACATATGGGTTTGATATGGAATGAAGAATCACTGGAGTCATCGTGCATGACAGTTGGTCAGTTGAGAGTACCTGTTATTATCTTGACCGTCGGAGTGTTCTGGGTTTAAGCAGCAAGGGCATGACGTGGTCTACCACTTGAACAAAAGCAACATCTGGTTGCGTTCATGTCAGTGTTGTCATGGCCGATATTGGGTGATCATGGTGCTACATTCTCTGTTGCTTCGTGGAAAGAGAAAGCTGTACTGGGTTGGTTAGATATGAGTAGGTTAATTCGTTAGCACGCGAAGCCATGTGCCGGTAAGACCAGCACAAGTATAGTAGGCATCTTATGCTGGGCCCAAGAGGTAGAAGATAATACAACCAAGAAGGCAACTCCGGAGAGGTTCGGGGATTGTTGACATGGCATGTACCCGGGTGGAACGCCACAATCTCATGCACACGTTCAGTGGAGCAAGCAGCGCAATGCGAGGGCCCGCCTCGATGCGGACACGGTCCACCGATGTGCATGCATTGCAGCCTTTGGTCTTTCGGGTAGCAAGCCTTGATATGCACGGATCTCTCTAGGCCGAACGGACAGGGAAGTGGTTGTTGCATTAGCTGCAGATGGAAGCGCACCCCGGCCACGGGGTTCCATTGGACGACGCGCTCTGCTGCCTCCTCAGACGTTTCTTCCGGCCGTCCAATCCGTGGCCGCTGACCAGATACGGGGCGGCGGGCCCTCTCAACTGTCGAATCCCCCAAGGTGAATGTGTCGCCCACCATTTGTCGCCTAGCACCAGCATGTGCGTAAATGGGTGCGGGAGTGTCCGTCAACTTGGAGATCACGGGACCTGACGAGCCCGGCGCTGTGGAAAAGTGCATGCGGGTCTGAAAATTCAATTTCAACGTTGAAGCACGCTGTTCCGAAGGACATGGGGCGACAAAATGACCATAAAGTGGCACCGAATCGTCTGAAATGACCCAAAACAACGCACCGTAAGGCACGAACCATGCCAGTGATCTCCTATTGTTTTCGGACAGATATTGGGTACCTGGGTCAAAGATTGGTACACCAAAGGCAGGCTAGGGGATTTCGGCCGTAAGACAGGGGGCCGAGAGGCAAAAAGGCAGGGGGGGCTTGGAGAGGCCATTCGAGGGCTTCAGTGCTGATGCGACTAGTTCGCCGCATGAAAGAACCGATCCTCCTAGCAATTGCGCCCCATCGAGGCTGCTGGCCATCGTTGACCAGGGATATTGAGTTGGCCATGTCATGGATCGTCTGTATCGTTCCAAGCCGCGGACGTAATGGGGCAGCAAACCCGACGATCTAGTGCCCGATTGATGAGTCCGTCCCTACAAAAGTCGAACACGGATGCACTGTCAACCCATCCCGGACAAAGATCAATGTCCGTTGATTCTCGCGGATGGAAATAGCATCTGGGTCTCTTGGTGGAGCCAGTCTGATAGTCGCGCTTTATGTCCTCTCGTTCTCGGATCCATCCCAGTCAAGTCCCGGATGCCAGGTCTTGACATGGAGGACCAAAAGCAACGCGCCACGTCAGAGTCCCTGAGCTCTGGGTGCAGCTGCATGCGGTTGAGCAGGATGTGGAAGGAGTCACGATTCTTGCCGGCGAGGAACGCCGCGCAGCAAGGAGATCCTATCATTTCCGTAGGCGATGACGATGAACCATACACATGAGCGGGAACAGATGCAGGATCCCTCCTCTGCAGGCGCAAGTGATCAGCTGAACGAAAATGGATCTATCTCGCTCGGATTGTATTTGGGCCGGGCGAGACAAGAGTCAATTCGGTGGCTCATGTTGACGAATAGGGTAAGTGCCGATGATGGGAGACTCGGTGACGCGACAATTGCCACTCGCGTGGCAATCCATTGGCTCAGACGCGACGCGGAAGGGTGTGGTAGGTGCTGGAACGAGGATCATAGCTGAATTCTGATACCCCTGCGAATTCCAAGCTCGGCAAAGGAAAGTGGGTGTGAGGGGATCAACAAGGATGGTCGCAGCGCCGTACACAGAGATCAAGGCAGTACGTCCGGTGAGAAAAGCCGCAACGTCTCCAGGAGTATATGCATATGCGGCCACACAGAGGAAAATATTGGATAGCAATTTTCGTCGCTGAGAGATGTGGCTTCCGGTAGGCATCCGTGTCAAAACTCATCGCCAGGGTCATATTGTTGAACCAATCGATGGCCATTGCGTTGGAAAAAACATGGGATTATCGAACATTCATTTCTGGTAGACAAGGGAAAAATGCAGGCAGTCCCCATGTTCTGGCAACAATAGTGCCTTCTGCTCTGCATGGAAACCAGGTAATCCTTGGCTGGAGAGGCCCGAGGAGTGTATCAGAGTGACAGCTGGCAAACGCCAACAGCCCTCCAGTGGGGGTTCTAGCTTCATGCGAACAGCATCCACATGAAGGCGGGGAAGGCGATTGACGGCGAGGTGACTGCAGTGGTCAGATCGCAGAGACGGAGAGAACGGCAGCCATGCAATGCGGGATTTTCTCTTCCTGGTGCGTCCCGTGGAGATAGGGAATCGCCACAGCAAGAAGCTGCATGCATTGATGAAGCAACCGTTTGATCCTGATAGTCCCTTTCCGGATGTTCTGAGCATCGCACGGTCTCCACCACCCGGAGAACTGCTGATAGCCAACCGGATCGACCATCAAGAAAAGGAGGTGTGGATTCCAGTGACCGAGAGCCCATGGGTGATAAGCCGTCACACAGTGGCGAGCGTCGATCAACAATCCGATGACACGAGCATCGAGGAGCCAGACCGTGGCATAAGAATCTTGTTCGAAACATAAATAGAGGAGTTGAGTCCCTCAACTGCTGGGGGCGCTTTCTCAATCAACCCCAGTTTCAAACTGCAAGCATCAGACCATCAATTGAGGTTAATAGATATTCCTACAAAAAACATTGAAATCAAAAGCTGTTTCAACTTGATTGAACAGCCCCAAGTCGTTGGCCAGCTCTGTCAAAGGGGTAATCGACATAGCCAAATCGAGGTTGACAGTCAGGAACCACCAATTGCGCTCGTGATCCAGGCTGAAACAACAGCCATACCTGTGAGCCAGTAGGTTTTTGGATCGGCGGTATCAGATGGGCCGGCGTTAACAGATCTGATAGGCATGTGTTTTTACAACCAGAAACGATATGCCTGTGGAGACTGGAGCTGGACGAGCTTTGCTCATCGGTGCAACTATGAATACCGTACAGGCGAAACATGCGGAATGAGGCTCGTCAATATGACTGAGAACGACAACAGCAAGTGTCGGCTCTGCGAGAAGATCGAGACCAAATTTCGCCGTCGAAGCGCTGAGCTTGACCGGCTGGAACGGTGGAAACGCGAGGGGGCCACGCTGATAGCCTCGATGGATCGATCTCTGAAGCTTATCAAAGATCTGGATTCCGAGATCCGCTCATTGCAGAGGGAGCGCGAGGATCGGAGGAGCACTCTCACGAGATAGGATCGCCTGTTGATTTGCAGCACCGACGATATGCTTCTGCAGGAACATTTTGATTTGGTTTCGGAATGTTGATATTTGCTTTTTTTCTCTCTCTCTCTGTTGCTTCCGTGGATATTTCCAAGGCGTTTCATGTTTGACCATTCCACGGTTTGTGGCTTCTAATTCGAGTCGGGTCTTTGCAGCATTAGGGCAAGATAGTAACCCCTTCGCGGGGAAATGGCGAAAAGTCTCATTGGTCGAGTTCCTCACATTTCCTGATTGATAGGCTGTAAATGTCCTTAGTCGTTCGACTCCATTGACAGGAGAGACTGTGGGACGGAACACCCCTATGCTAAGCGCCCTGCGGTTTTGGGTGAGCGGTTCGCTGAGACGGTCTCAATCGCATGGTAGAGGGGCACAGTCCCCGCAATTGAACATGACGGAGAAGGACCTGAAACACAGAAGAGTTGAGCTGCCAACCATTCGATTTTGCGTGGTGAGAAATCCCAATAGTCAGGAGGGCAAAGGGAGACAGCACGAGAGGACGAACGATGCCCCTCAATGATGGGAGCTGACACGTGACCAAGCGGCGGTGTATGGGAATCAAACAATAACATTGACATTTATGGTCTGTCCTTATCGTTAAGTCTAGGAGCCGGAGAATTAAATATCAGTCGCTGCGAGGACCATCGCCAACAAACTACGGATTCTACCCGAGGGCTGACTGGGGTCACAAGCCATTCAGGCCCCCATAGATACGTGGACGTGCCTATGTGCAGCGGTGGAAGTCAAGCTCGTCGAATGGGCTACTCAAGACAGCAATTGAGTTGAAGACCAGGACAGGTGGACACATGCCACGTCACAGAGAGTGCAGGAGACGGATGGTGGGAGAAACCCAGTTCGATTGCAAGTATCTGGAACAGAAGAAAGAGCGCAGAAAAGACTTTGTCTATTTTATGTCGCCCGCCTCCGGCTCATCATCAACCTTGGCAAGTCCTTGGTCTCGCAGCAGAGCGTCAATCTCATCGGCAGTCCATAGATGGTGGTAGATCTTGCCATCTTTGGTTCTTCCCACTGTTGCAAACTCGACTGAAGGGGATGGTCAGTAAATAGATCAACAAGGACGACAAGAGATATACTCACTCTTCTCGCTGCTCAACTTTGTCGAGTCCATCGTCTTGCTCAGAACTTTGACCGCCATGGCACATGCCTCCTTCAAATCACAATCCTCCTTGTAATCCTGCTTGAGGAGACTCTGCGCACTAGCATTGTTGGCGCCCACGCTCGTCGCCTTCCATCCACCGTAATTCCCGCTCGGGTTGCTCTGGTACAGCTGGAACTGGCGGAGGTGGTCGTACCCGGCATAGATGAATGACACACCGAACGGGCGGAGACCACCGTGCTGGGTGTAGCCTTGCTTCAGATCGCACAGTCGGCGAACGAGCTGTTCGCAGGGAATGTCTTCGTTGTAGGTGATGAGGTAGCGCTGGGCGTTTTGGCGGGCGTAGTTGATCAGGATATTGGCATCGGCATTCATGCCCGCGACGGCGCAGATCATGTTACTGCTAGGCATTAGAGGACCATACCACACATTAGGGGGGAAGGCAGGCGTACTCGTTGATGGTATAGAGCTTCTCGGCGGAAGTGTCCTGCTCCAAGAGCTTGCTGGTCACCTTCCTCTCGGCGGCGAGCACAATTCCATCCTTGGCAAGGATCCCTAGAGCTGTTCCGGCGTGGGAGATGGCTTCCAGCGCATATTCGACCTGGTACAATCGCCCCTCTGGGGAGAAAATGGTAGTCTGGGGGCATCAGTTAGCTGGAGCTGCTGGGACCGACGGGATGACGGAATGGACACACCCGTGAATCATATCTCCGAGACATGGTGCATGAAGCAGAAGAAGGGGATAGAGACAAGGATTATAATAGACAAGACACGACGGTCGAGGAAAGATTGAGGGAAGGTTGAGGGATGATGGATGGGGAGATTAGAAGCTCCGGCAGCAAGACCAGGCAGCTCGCCCTCGCGCGTCCCATGTCACGTGATCTATCACGATAGCGATTGACTTCGACTTCGCATTGTAGACACTTACTTACTCTACCACCATACATTGACCATGCTCAAGTCGACCTATACTCCTCCGGCCCCTTTGCCCCCGGGGTGGTCAGAGCATCGCGCTCCTTCAGGTGAGTTTATGTCCTTTCTACCCTCCACATGCCATTCTCTAACTCCCCGCCGCAGGTCACTTGTACTATTATAATTCCACCACAAAGCAGTCGACATATACTCGCCCACAAGTGCAGGTTCCTCAGCCTCCTGTGGCCGCGTCAGATTTGTCTCAGCCTGCATTGTCCTTTACGCCCGAGACCCTGCCACCTTTTTCTTCAACGCCGTACGGGCCCGTAGGCTTCGATCCCACACAATTTGGAGCACCGCAGCGTGGCCGTGGTCGCGGAGGGTTTCGTGGCGGAAAGGGTTACCATGACCGAGGGCGACGGGGCCCCGAAGACAGACCGAAGTCGAAACACCCCATTCCGGACTGTGCGCCATGGCTGCTGGTAAAAACCAGGTTTGGCAGGCGGTTTGTTCATAACCCGGAAACCAATGAGAGCTTTTGGAAGATTCCGCAGGAGGTGCTGAAGGGGGTGGTTGAATTTGACCATCTGGAGCGCGAGAAGCAAGAAAGAAAAGAACGAGGCGAGGAGTCCGGAGAACCAGCCCCAACTACTGAACAAATGACAACTGCTCCGCAAAAGGAGGAGATTGCCCCTGCGAAACCTCATGCCGCTGTTGAGGGCGCCGAGGGCGCTTACGATAGCGACGAATACGAGGAGGTTGAGGTGACGGACAGTGAAGGAGAAGGCAACCAACCATCAAAGCGTGCCCGGACGGAGAGCGAAGGTGCCCAGGACCAGCCGGTAGAGTTCACCGAGGCGGACCTTGAATACCAATTGGCTGCCATGGGTGAAGAATATGGATTGGACCCAGAAGAATATGGCGAGCCAGGGGAAGATTGGGAAGAAGGCGCAGAGGGCCTTGCACTGACCGACGCTGATGCGGAAGCGCTCTTCCGGGATCTACTCGACGACTATAACATTAATCCATTCACACCATGGGAAAGCATCATTGAAGAAGGCCGCATATTCGATGATAGCAGATACACCGCGCCTCAAAACATGAAAGCACGGCGCGAGATCTTCTCCAATTGGAGTCGGGACCGAATCCAAGAAGTCAAAGAACGCAAGGAGAAGCAAGAGAAACAGGACCCACGCATCAAGTATCTGGCTTTCCTGCAAGAATACGCCACGCCCAAGCTGTACTGGCCCGAGTTCAAGCGCAAGTACAGAAAGGAGCCGGAGATGAAGGACTCCCAGCTCTCCGATAAGGACCGCGAGAAGTTCTACCGCGACTACATTTCACGGCTCAAGCAACCCGAAAGTAACCGCAAGTCGGACCTTTCAGCTCTCCTCAAATCCGTCCCACTTCATGCCTTGAATCGATCATCCAACCTGGAGGCCCTGCCGATCTCAATCGTCACCGACATTCGTTACGTCGCCCTTGCGCCGACAGTGCGCAACCCATTAATCGAAGCCTTCATATCCACTCTCCCTCCCGCACCCGAAGAACAGTTGACTGCGGAGCAGCAAGCGGAGCTCGATCGGAGACGAGTCGAACGCGAGAAGCGTGAGAAGGCTCTGGCGGACCGAGAGAGGCGGGTGGACGAAGAGAAACGGCGTCAGCGTGGTGATCTGCTTCGGGGCAAGCACCTCTTGCGAGAAGGCGAGGCCGAAATCGAAGAGGCGATGCGAGTCGGCAAAGACGGACTCCGGAGCTACATGGAGATCGACGAGGTGGCCGGCGACGGACAAGAGCCGTGATTAACACCAAATATGTACACTACTTTATTAGATGGACAAATAATATGGATAGGAAACAGTTCATTCAATTTCCTGAGGGTATCACAGTAGACCAAGAGAGAAAAAAATGGTCATCTCATCATCATTTGAAGCGCCAATCATCCCAGTCCTCATCTACATCCTCGTCACTGTCACTATCACTCTCGGCAGAGACCATATCCTGGTCCTGCTGCTGGGGAATGCGATTCCGATCATCAACAAGCTTCTGCCGTAGTTCCTCCCGCTTATGCTTCATACTCTTCACGCGCTCTTCTAATTCCTCCATCTGGTCAAACTCTTCTTCCAACATCCGCGCCGCATCTTCCCGCTCGCCCTCCAGCTCGGCTTCACGTGTTCGCGTCGCACTCATCTCGTGTCCCCGATCTTGCTGCGCAGCCAGCTCCTCCGCCGTCACCGGCGCTGCTGAGATAGTAGCCTCAGCTGAGATTGCAGCCAGCGCCATTCGCGTCGGGGCGGCGACCTCGCGCTCGAAGGCCGCCCATTCATCTTCGTCGACTGCCGCTGATGATGTCTGCTGCTGCGCGGGCTCGGCAGTCGTCAACGGAGTCGTTTGTTGCGGACCTGCCAGTGGCAGAGGACCAGTCATTTCTTCGTCTTCGTCTATAGGAGGCTCGCGGCTAGCAACATCCGCCTCTTCTTCTGAGTCTTCTTCTTGGGCACTGGATGGCTGCGGATTTGGTGTGCTTGATGCAGAGTGAACGGCGTCGAGGGTTGTGCTGCGCAGCTTCTTGCGCATGTGCCCGTCCCCGCTGTCAACTTTGCGCTTCTTGCTGATTCGGTTGCCTGCGGTATTGGGCTGCGACGTGCCTTTGCGGGTAGCTAGTTCATTGCGGAGTAGCGAGCGAACGTCCGCCATGGTCAACACGATGGTAGGAAAACGCTGTATTATTGTTTAGAGGCAGATGGCAGATCCCAAAAACGATTCAGAGTGAAGAAAGTGGGCTGTACAGGTCGTATGCCAGTGGGGGAAATATGGAGACGCTCGATGATGGCACAGGTCCGTTTCAGCCGCGAGTGGCTGGTGTGGCAAGGCAAGGCGGTGGCAGAACAGATTGCTATCCCGTGACTGGACCATAACTAACGCACCAGTCCGTCCCGTCCTCTCCTGCTCAACCCTCCATCTTCATTCATCCTCCACCCACTCTCGCCAATACCACCACTATTCACCATCTGCTTGAGCGATCGTGTTTTCGCTTTCCATCGGTCGCTCCTCGCTCCTTTTCTCTTGCAGGGCGCGTTTTGGTGTCTCATACTCTCCACGTGACCCCGCTCAAGTTCGCGCACGCGCGGCAAAAGAGACAGACTCTGCGAACACCACGACCTGGCGCATTCCTCGCCATCGCGCGTCTGGATAGCTTGAGCACACACCAAGTAATACCGTGGACCAGGCACCCGCGCTTGTGCAGCGCCTTCTCTTGTGTATTACTTTAGCCCCTTTGAGCAACCGTAGAGAGTCTTTGTTGCGATCGCTGCTGGGTAGCGACGGTGCATAGTTTGAACCCAAGGAAGAGTCGTTCTTTTCTACAACGCGCCGTAGAAATCCACCAGTGACCTTCACCATGGCTGGTAAGCTCTTGTACATCGACCCTACGGGCCCATCGTCTCCGGACCACCCAGAGGTGGCCGCAGGCGATGGCGCTGGACTGGGGTTATTTGCTGGAAGGCACACGCTAACTGCAAGTCCAGATGAACCGCGACGCTCCGGCCGAGCCACTAAGGGCCAACACAAGAACCTCGATATCGTGGCCGCCGATGCCCCGAAGAAGGGCAAAGGGAAAGGCCCAAAAGACAAGAAAGCGTCCGCCGAACCTACCCCTGAATCCCCCGAAGGAGAAGACGAAGAGATAATTCGATGCATCTGTGGTGAATACGAAGAAGAGGAGGAAACAGAGCGAGATATGATCTGCTGTGATCAATGCTCTGCATGGCAACACAACGACTGCATGGGCCTGGTCTTTCCCAAGGGCCAGGAGCCAGACGAATACTATTGTGAGCAATGCCGGCCAGAGAATCACAAGGCACTTCTCGCAAAAATTGCGCGTGGCGAGAAACCCTGGGAAGAGCTTGCTGAAAAGCGGCGCCAGGAAGCCGAAGAGAAGAAGAAGAAGGGCAAGAAGGGCAAGAAGGGCGCCCGGAAGAGTCGGGCAAGCGAAGGTACGCCGGCCCGAACAGCAGCATCTGCGACACCTGTTCCGGCTGCTTCTCCCGCCGCAGCAGGATCAGCCTCAGCCGAGCCGGAGAAGAACGGCCATGCAGGGGATTCCCGTCGTTCCAGCACACAGAAGCGCAAGCTTGAAGACCACACAGACACAGAGACGGTGAGTGCTATCTGGACGAGTGGCAATATCCAGCTTGCTGACATATCAACAGGGACCCCAGATCAAGCAGCAACGAATGTCTCCTTCCGCAGTTACGGAGTCTCCCATTGTTGGTTCCCTTGAGGATCTTACGATTCCCGCTCGGAGAAGCGCTGCCACTGCGCTAGTCAAGCTATTTGTAGAACAGATTGCTGGGGCTCAGAAGAAGGGGACATTTACCCTGCCCACGGGGCAGTCACCGGAGGAGGCGGCACGGCAACTCGGTCTCCAGATCGAGAATGCCTTGTATGACAATATCTGCGGGAAGGCAGGAGAGCCCAACGAACCATATAAACTGCAATTACGGACGATCCTGTTCAACGTAAAGAAGAACCCTTCTCTACGAGATCGTTTGCTCGTAGGTGGTCTCTCCCCGGATTCTCTGTCTAAGATGAAGCCGGAGGAGATGGCCAGCGAGGAATTGCAGCAAAAGGACGCTGAGATCAAGCGCGAATCCGAGCGCCAACACATCATTGTCCAAGAGCAGGGGCCCCGAATCAGACGCACACACAAGGGCGAAGAGTTAGTGGAAGATGAGACGCATAGTGCCGCCACCGACTCCGTCTTCTCTGCTGCTCCGCGCCGAAGCATAGCTGAGACTGAGGGCAGCCCGTCTGCGCAGAGCCCAGTCAGTCCGAAGCTACAACATTCGACCAAGTCTAACGCCCCCGGGCAGCATGCCCGTGGCCAGTCACCAGATAGTGCGCACCACGATCACGTCTTCCCCGAGGTCGCCACCAACATCCGCGAGCCAGAATTCCGTGGCAAGGTCCAGGCGGATGCAGAGATCGACCAGCTTCTGCGCGATGAGGAACCGGACTCTCCGCCTTATTCACCCAAGGATTTCCACGAGGAAGGCATTGTTTGGCGCGGCAAGATGGCAATGACCCCTGTTGCGGAGTTTATGTCTTCCGCTAGACACGTCGGTGGTGCAGACCTGAGCGGACGAGTTTCATGGGGCCAACTTGCTCCACCGACCTTGCTGATTGACGGACGCATCGATGTCCAGCTGGCAAGCAACTACCTCTGTGGATTGCGCTTCAGCACCTCAACCGACGTGTCAGTGATTGCCGTCGGCAGCCCCGACTTACCTGGAGAGCAAGCCGGGTTCAACAAGCTGTTCGATTACTTCCAGGGCCGTAACCGGTACGGCGTGATCGGCAAGCACCCGGTGCCAATGGTGAAAGACACATACATTGTCCCCATCGAAGCCGGAGCTACGAAGAAGCCCGAGTTTATCGAGCTTTTGGAGAACAATTCGCTCGAAGGCCCCGCCGCTGAACGCATGCTTCTGGTCGTCTTCGTCGTCAAGACCGGCGAATCAAACCCTCCGTCTGTCCAGCCTCCTTCCCACCACCCCAGCCAGGAGCCCCCGGCCACCGCGAGTCCCGTCACTGCAACAGGCTCCACGCCCCAGCAACCCTATATGACTCCCGGCCATGGACCCGCTGCTCAAGTTGCGCCGACTCCCCCCTCTGCCTTCGGTGGATCCCCCGCCGTGTACGGCCAGCAAGCACCCGCTACCCAACCCGCCGGCCAGTTCCCGGCCTACCAGCAGCAGTCTGGCGGCGCTACCGGCATGGCCGCCGCAATGCAGGTCCTCGGTGCGCAGGTGAATTCTCCGGCTATCCAGAAACTTCTCCAAACCGCCCCGAACGTGGATATGGCGCAGCTGACTGTTGTCCGTGATATTCTCGTCCGACAGCCCGCCGCTGCAGCCAACTACGAAACCCTGATGCAAGCTCTGTTTGAGACTCAGGCGAACGGCCACGTTCCTCAGAGCTCATAGAAAGGAGGAAGAAACTTCCTGGCCTGTATTGTACAGCATTTTGTTTTGTGTCTGAGTTTAATTTTCACGATTTGATTCACTCATTTTTACCACGGCGGGTTGTTTGAGCCGTGTCAACTGCGGTCTGGTGTTATGGATGTTGTGCTTTTTTTTGTACCTGGGATGGATATTTGTATGGAATCGGACACACATGAGCAGTTGAATATCTTGCCGTAATATCTGCTTGTTCGGCCTGTTGTTCTTCCTCTCTAAAAAGGAACCGTTAGTTTTCTACATTATTAGTTATTGCCTTTATCTTTCAATCCTTTGTTTTTCGAGTCTGATGGCTTCGTTTTGAGGAATCTGGGCCATGCAGAGCCATCATTCCACACAGTTGTAGTTATTTGCAATTAGCAACAGCCCTTCACTAGGATGAATCCTTTCTTTTTTTCCTTTGACAAGAGAGCGCAAGCCATACCCTAAAAGACGTAGATTTTAGCCTGCAGCAGTCTGAGAAGGTCTGCAGTTGCATGAACGCGAAGGAGCAGGAAGACTTTGCCACCGCAGAACTTTACTGGCGAGGAAGACGGCATTACAATAAATACTGGTACCGGTCATCATGACCCATCGCTAGACAAAATAAAGCACTCACTGGATATCAAAGAGTAATCAGCAGTGTGGATTTTTCTTGCACAAAACGGGTGATTCTGATCAAATCTGTACCAAAAAAATATTATTCTAGATGTTTACTCTGTGGCCCTCTGACGGGTCAGGGTCAATGATTACACGCTCGCGGCTGTAGAAGACATGAACGTACTGTATCATAGTTCTACTGCGAGTTTGAGTTGGGGTTAGGGTAAAAGTCGATCTTCCCACCTTCCTGAATGATCCCCGTGCGGTCCAACAAGTTTCGTCCACGGACATAGGGATCCAAAGTCCAATAATTCAGGTGCAAGTTCACTATCGCATCTTCCCTTCGAGAACTAGCCTTATCTCTCTCCTCCTGAGTCTTTGCCTCGATCCACTCAGAGGTTGCGTTCAGTAACTCGGTCCCGATGCTTCTCCGTTCCGCATAGATAACGTCCCGAGTGGCTGTATCTTCCATCTTCGCATTTTCACCCTCAGTGGGCTCGACAAACTCGAATGACCAGTTCTCCTTGCCGTTCAGCCCCTGAATTAGTCGCTCTGGAGCAATGAACTGCCCAATTTCGGCCGTCGTGTATGTGAAGTGGATGCGAGATGCAGTCTCTGGTTCTATCCATCGCTTCATGGTTTTCCAGATACCTGGGGTTCGGCTGAATTAGGACTACAGATATATTGAAAGGAGTCATAGAGTGGCAGCGTACCGGAGAAAGCCCATGGTGCGTTGTGGATAAGAAGGGCGCCTAGAAATTCGGGATATCCAGTTTGGGAGCATTCGATTAGGAATTTTGCGGCTGCGTATTCCTGCAACCACATTAGTACTATTCGGCAATCAATACCGTATAGCACGAAAATAGTTTAGTATAGCAATAAAACATACCATATTAGACACAGAGAAGCCCGTCATATCAAATATAACAGTCTAGATGTGTACAAAATCAGCAACCCGTCCTTCACCACGAATTCAAGATACATAAAGAAGCATACCACGCCCTCAACTGGCGGTACAAGCACCAGTCGCGCAGCCTCAATCATATGAAGGATTCCTCGATTCAAAACCTCATTCTTCTCCGTCGATCGATGCAGTCGGCCTTGAAGGACAATGATAGGACGTCCGACTCGATCCGTCCCATGCAGAAAACATTTCCCGGTGCGCAGTTGCTCCAAGAACGCATGGCTCATCTTCGCCTTCTGCGGATCAGACGTATCGCGGGACTCTTTGAGGGCGTTCAGCTCGGTATTGGCCACCACGGTCTCGTCAACGCTGAGGTGCTTGTTTCGCCATACGAGCGCGTGGACCAACATCGCGAATGACTTGCCAACATCCCATTTGCGGGCTTTCAGGAACCGCAACAGGAGGCGATCGGGGGACTCTTGTCTTGTTGTGTTCAAGAAATACACAAAGAGTGTATCCGGAGAGAGATCGTTGACTTCATTCCGGAGCGTCTTGAGCTCGGATCGGCCGATCTTCTGATGAAGGAACTCTACGAGTTTGGGGGTGTACGCTGAATAAGTGGTCTCGAGGTTACTGTTGCGGTTGTGCATAGGCTGTTTCTTGTTAGAAGATCTCAATGTGGGTATCTGCTGATAAGATATGCTCATACATCCAGTAGCTCTAGGACTAAGCTCCAAAGTTGCTTCAACTTGTCTCTTTGCTCCTGAGACATCTGGCCCGGGGTGTTTTGAGTGGCAGTCATTTTGAGAATGAAGAGTAATCAATCTGATGAAAGTTTGAAAGATCTAGTAGATTGGCGCTACTCTTGAGCGCTTGTCCAGATAAATATTCATAGGTGTTGCCATGTGATTGTGACGATGTTGCATGTGAAGGAGTAAGGATGGAAGGACCGCAGGCCCCAGTCATTCATGGTAGCAGGGGCGGAAGAAGGCTACATCAGGCAGATACTCTTCAAATATTCACATGCGGAACCTAACGATGTAAAAGAGGAAAGTGGCCACATGCTGAACAGGATTCATTCGTCAAATTGGAGAAGTCGATGAGCGATACTCAAATATTGAATTCCCCACTCCCCCCAACGACTCAACGAAAGCATGTGCTTCATTCTACTGAACACTTGTTCAAAACTGCTCGGTTATGTATGAATGTATAGACGAGCGGGGTAAAGAGACTACATGTACATAGCTGGCTAGCCTCTAGGTTTTAGAGGCTGCTGAATAGTCTCAGAAATATACTAAGTCGCATCTTAAGGTTACCCACGAGTTTCTATTGCCCAAATCCGTAAACCAACTAACCCAGGGGTACTGGTAGGCACGCATAGTCCTCGCTGAGTATGGGAACCAGTTCGGAGGCGTTGCATCGTAAGTACTTCGGTGACATTGTACCGGGTGTTTATATAGTTCAGGCGGCTGCGAGGCAGGCGGTCTGGGATGGCGCCGGCACAAATGCTCTGTTATCGATAGCCCAACTATCACGGGTGCAAACCAGCCAAACCAAACGCTGAGTCAGCCACAAAAGATTGGAGCGGGGGCAAAAAAGTTCCGATAGCAGTCGCTTGAGTCTTCAACTCTTTCATTTTGCCCAGTTCTGCGGTTTGGGTCCTGCGCAAGATGTCGATGGATCTGGATGCCCCCGTCCCCATGTCGGGACTACAGGAGGAGCCCGTCAGTGCGACGTGAGTTGTCACCCAAATCCTATTTTTTTTTCAAATGCTAATCGGTGGGATGTAGAATTCTTTGCTGCAACTGCGGTGCTGCGATCGATGGAACCACTGCGGCCGGAGCATTGTGTCAGGATTGTGTGAGACTCACCATCGACGTGTCCCAAGGGTATATATCTCTGTTCGGTGTGCTGGAAAATTCGAAACCTTGCGGTTAACAACTGTTTTAGGATTCAACGAGACGGAGTGCTTCATGCGTGTAGGGACTGCGAGCGGTGGCTACAGCCCCCGTCTAGCTGGGTTGTGGCCGCTCTCGAATCGAAGGAACTGCTCGCTGTTTGTCTGCGTCGGCTTCGTGGCTTGTCGAAAGTCCGAATCATTGACGCTAGCTTCATCTGGACGGAACCTCACTCTCGCCGGATCAAGGTCAAGATCACTATCCAGCAAGAGGCTTTCCAGGGCACCATCATTCAGCAGACATTTGAGGTGGAGTTTGTGGTTGCATCGCAGCAGTGTCCTGGTATGCTAATCGATCCCCCGAAGAGGATGCTTTCGGATGAGAAGGTTGGCTAACCATTTCTCCTACTATTTAGACTGCCAGAAATCCTTTACCCATAATACGTGGAGAGCATCCGTTCAGGTTCGACAGAAAGTGCCTCACAAGCGTACTTTCCTATACCTAGAGCAGCTCATCCTCAAGAATGGCGCACACAAGGACACGGTTAATATCAAGGAAGCGAAGGACGGTCTAGACTTCTACTTTGCGTCAAGATCTCACGCGGAGAAGATGCACGAATTTCTTGCATCGTAAGTACACTGTTTCCGCCCCTACCTTTCGAGGTGATTGGGTCTAATTTGTGTCATTTTTACAGCGTGGTTCCCTGCAAAATGAAGAAGTCGCAGGAACTGATATCTATGGACACGCACACTTCAGTCAAAAGCTATAAGTTTACATTTTCAGGTCAGGAACACTACTTAGTTTTTTGCTCTAGATCATTCTAACTCCCTCACAGTCGAGCTGATCCCTATCTGCAAAGACGACCTGGTTGCCCTACCGATTAAGCTGGCCCGTCAGCTAGGCAACATCTCACCCTTGACCCTCTGCTACCGTATTGGAAGCTCCGTCAGCCTTATCGATCCAACTTCCCTCCAAACTGCTGAAATTCCGGCCAATATCTACTGGCGCTCGCCATTCAAGAACTTAGCGGATATCACTGAGTTGAAGGAGTTTATTGTTCTAGACATCGAGCCCATCGGCCAGTCAAATGGCCGATTTTTCCTGGCCGAAGCGACTGTGGCTCGTGCCTCGGATCTAGGATCTAACCAAAACCAGTACTTCGTACGGACTCACCTTGGTGGCATCCTTCATGTTGGTGATTCCGCATTAGGATATTTCATCAGCGGCACTGTCTTCAACAACGATAATTTCGAAGCTATCGAAGCAAGTGGCCAGTACAGCTCGACCATCCCGGATGTTGTCCTCGTCAAGAAGCACTATGCCCGCAAGAAGAAGCCCAAGAACCGTGCCTGGCGCCTCAGGCGCATGGCCCGTGAGTACGAGGAGGAGGCGCTTGCCGGTGCTGCTGTCCAGGCATCCCGCCGCCAGGAGCAGGAGCAGAACCGCCTCGAGGCCGACTATGAGATGTTCTTGCGTGATATCGAAGAGGATCACGAGATGAGGCAGACCCTGGATCTATATAAGGCCCGGAACAAGCCGCAAGCCATGGGCGAGACCGACGAGATGGAGGAGGACGATGGTAGCGATGATGAGGTGCCCAAGATCAACATGGATGAGTTGCTTGATAACTTTGACGAGTTGAACATGGAGGATGGCGAATGAGCTTTCTGCGAGTGATATCCTTGACGATCATGGCTGGCGTGTTTTCGACTCTTCTGTTCTCAATGGGTTCTCAATTCAACAAAAGTCCTGAAATAGACTTCAAAAAATGGCGTCAAACGGTAGTTGATACACAATTCACCAGTAACTAGTATTTGGGTGTAGAATATGAATTCGAGTAATTCCTACTTAACGGGTAAAAACGCCTGCGCTATGCCAAAGATCCGGACCGGAGACAAGATAAAAGAAATCACCACCTGCCTCCGCGCCTCCTATATCCACCACCGCCACCACCACCATACCGCGGACCCCGGCCACCAGCCCGACCACCATTAGTGTACGGGTTATCATCCTCCTCATGGTGCTGCCGCACAGGCGGAGCCCGACCCTTCAACTCTGCACTCAGCTTCTTGTATGTCTTGCGCATATCCGAATAGCCCATGTGCATCTTTCCGAAGAAGTGATCCGCCAGCCGTCGGTCATTATCAAGTCGGGAGAGGTAGGCGCCGCACACGTCGCAAACCTGCAGTTTCTGGTGTCCCGAAGGACCGGAGGTATCTTGGAGATTCTTGAGGTCGCGTTCGATCTGCTCCTTCTGGAATTTCGCCGTTTGGATCTTGTGCAGTTCGCTCATGGCCATTGCGACAGAGCCCGTCTCGCCCAGAACCGAGACTTCGAGAAGACCCGTGTTGATGGTGTTGGTGAGATCGGCGATTTGTTTGAGCTATTGGTAAAAAAAAGTCCATTAGTAGAGACATCTCGCTTTGAACACGTCGGGAAAACGTACAAGATCGTTCGTCTGCCGAATTTCATCAGGCGTCTTCTCCAGCCGGCGCTGCGCCGTCTCGATCCTCCGGTCACAGTCGTCGATGTACTTTTGCATATCGCGCATATAGTCGAAATCGAATCCCCATTTTGCTTTTTCTGCTGGCGAGGCTGTCTCGTACTCCGTTTTCAGGCCCTCGCTGTGCACCTTGGGGCAGGGACCGAGATCCTGCTTGGTGTTGGTGAAAAGGTCGTGTGGGCAAGTGCCCACGAGGTACGAGCGGCAGACTTTGGGGTCTGTGATGGTCAGCTGAGAATTGCGACCTTGGGCACCAGAGCCAATGAGCTGATCAGCTGTTGGGAGAAAAAAGCGTTGTTAGTTCTGTTCGATGAGCATATTGGGATAGATAGGCGCTTCTGATCTGGAGCGCGGCGCAGCGGACATACCTCCCATGAGCTGCTCCAGCAGCTTTCTCTGTTCCGCCGCCATAGTTAGGAGGGATTGCGTCCGTAAAGAGAATTAGCGCAAAGAGGGGCGTGGTGGGAGGAAGTTGAAGTCTTTCGCCGGAGCTTTTGCCGCGGAAGGCGGTGAGCGCGACTGTTGACAGGCCAGCGATTCGGGGCTGTTTCTTGTTCCGATTCGTGTGGTCGTCTCGTTGTTGATTGCTCCGCTGCGTTCGATTGTCTGGGCTTACGGTGTTCACAGCCTCCAAGCCCTCGGCTGCCCCAGTTCCAACTGCAACTGGTCCCAACTTCTCCCTGTCAATTGGTCTACGTCGCATGAACCGAGCCACCTAGACCGACACCCGGCAAGCATGAAGTGATGACGTTCCTCTCACGCTTCTCCCTGACGCTTCTTGCGCTATGGAGCGCGCTCGCTGCAGCATCCTCTGACTACCATGAACAACTCTTCCTCCACCCGCTTCCCCAATCGTCGCTGTTAGCATCGTTCAACTTCCGCAGCAACACCTCTCAGCAATCCTTCGACAATCAACATTTCAGATACTTCCCCCGAGCGTTAGGGCAGATTCTGCAACATGCCCACACAAAAGAACTTCATCTCCGCTTCACGACGGGGCGATGGGATGCAGAAAGCTGGGGTCCTCGGCCGTGGAACGGCAGCAAAGAAGGCGGCACTGGAGTGGAACTGTGGGCGTGGATTGATGCGCCGGGTGATGATGAGTACGTCGGCATTTGTAGACACCGGTTACAGGACTGACATTTTCTAGGGCATTTGCCAAATGGATTACTTTGACGCAATCCCTCTCTGGCCTGTTTTGTGCCTCGCTCAATTTCATTGACTCGACCCGTACTACTCGGCCAGTTGTGTCATTCGAGCCGGCCGGGGATCATCCGCCTACAGACGACCTGTATCTCCTACATGGAACCTTGCCAGGCGAGGTGGTTTGTACGGAGAATCTGACGCCCTTTCTGAAACTCCTTCCCTGCAAAGGAAAAGCAGGAGTATCAACCCTCTTTGACGGACACAAGCTGTTTGATGCAGCGTGGCAAAGTATGTCGGTGGATGTTCGACCGGTTTGTCCTCCAGAGGGAGAGTGTGTGGTACAAATCGAGCAGACAGTGGACATGGTCTTGGATATTGAACGATCCAAGCGACCTCGTGGTACGTATTGTTGAATCCTATCCCAAAACACATTTACTAATCGTTTTAGACAATCCAATTCCTCGCCCTGTTCCTAATGACCAGTTGGTCTGTGATACTTCCAAGCCGTACAACTCAGATGACACCTGCTACCCCCTCGAAACGACGACAGAAAAGGGATGGAGTCTTAGTGAGGTCTTTGGGCGGACGCTGAACGGTGTCTGTCCCCTCACAGATTCGAAAGATCCCCACGAATCAACCGTTTGCCTTCGAGTCCCGCACGACCGGGGTGTGTTTACCTCAGAAGGGACCTTGGAAACAAAACAGGCGGATGGCTTTACTCGCTGCTTCACGCTGAAAGCATCAGAGCCGTTTGACCTGGTTATACCCGAGCAGCCTGTCACCAGTCAGGTTCCGCTTGAGGAACCCATTCTGAATGCCGAACGAACTATTGTCGGCCACGGCGCAGAGCGGGGTGGCATGCGCATCATATTCGGCAATCCGTCTGACGCCAGCGACGTGGACTTCATTTTCTTTGAAACCCTCCCTTGGTTTCTGCGGCCGTATATCCACACCCTGCAGGCTACAATTACCGGCCGTGATGGGGTGCGGCGAGAGATTCCCGTGTCGGAAATTGTTAAAGAGACTTTTTACCGTCCGGCCATTGACCGCGAGCGTGGAACACAACTTGAGCTGGTGATGACCGTTCCTGCCGCCTCAATTGTCACCCTCACCTACGACTTCGAGAAGGCCATTCTTCGATACACAGAGTACCCTCCTGATGCCAACCGCGGATTCAACGTTGCACCTGCAGTAATTCGGATTCTGGATACGGCGCAAAATGCCCCCGTCTTCATTCGCTCCACCAGTCTTCTCCTGCCGCTACCAACCCCGGATTTCAGCATGCCGTACAACGTGATTATTCTTACCAGCACGGTTATTGCGCTTGGCTTCGGCACTATTTTCAACATCTTGGTTCGCCGCGTCGTCTCCGCCGACGAAGCAGCTGCTTTGGGTGCCCAGACCCTCAAGGCACGGATTCTAGGGAAGGTGGTGGCCATACGTGATAAACTTCGTGGCAAAGGTACCAAGGTGGAGTGATGGCCGACACCGTACAGTATGTAGCTAGTGCCAGTGATCCTAATTTATTTCTTTTGCCTCTTTTTACTGGTGTGTCCGTGTAGCTTCGTAAATCATTCAAACTTCGTAAACATACAGATAAAACGAATTCAAAGGTCATCAAGCTCAGCACCCTATCTCATCTTCCTTGACCGTGAAGCCTGCATGCAATCCTCAACAGCGACATTATCCAAGCAAATCCACCATCAGAAACAAACTTACGCCCCAAATACATGCTTTGCCGTCTCCCACCCAGGCAACGTGTTCGAGCATCCGGGTTTACGCTGCATGAAAGTATGATCCTCGCCGGCACAAGTAGGCTCCCCGGACTCCGTCGTCGGCGGAGCGTCGGCAGCCGCCAAGTCCGCCCTGTCCATGAACTTATTTTCGGCGCGGGTCTTCTGCTCCTGGAGACCGAGGAAGTTTCCGAAACTGGATCGAGGGTTCTCCGCCTAAAGCCAGCGGCAAGAATGGAGGAGATGTCAGTGAGTCGATCTATACATAATCTTCTCAAATGGGTTAGGGATCGTGGACACATACGGCCACATGCCCCAGTCCCTCGCGCGGAACGGCATCTGAGCCACCCTTGGAGAACCCCTTGTCTCCCCAGCCAGACCCGCCACCGACATTGTTCGCTGGTGTAGGCTTGGCACTGGTGCCGCCTGAGGTGGCGGTCGTAGGGTGGTTGGCGCTGCTGCTGGAGCCGTCTTGGTCGGGTTCGCCCATGGTTGTATTGTTTTAGAAGGGTTGTATTTGATGGTGGAAGATGCTTCAAGTGTGATGGTTAGTTAAGATATGATACTTGAGAATATTGTACTCTTAAATAAACCATGCGGTAATCACTGAAAGTCGAATTCCGGATGGAACAAAGGCTTAGTTATACTACAGGACCCCAAATTCGCCTGGCCTTTAAACTGGCTTTCGGTCTTGACCTCATTGTTGCCCTCGAGCAGGGAACGCCCGCCACCGCAGGATGAAGTCATCATGAATACGGGCCTTTAGCGCTATTGGCTTGAGGGAAGAGCTGAGTCAGGACAGGAACACCTTCAAAGCTCAATCGTTAAATTATAATCCACTAGAGAGTTTGATTAAATTTAATACCTGTATGTCTATTTACCTGTCATTTGTCGATACCTCAGAACTTGTGTTTGACCAACAATTAAAATGGCTCACGATGGCTGAGGGTGACTCCTGTCATACCAAGTGATCTTCAGAGCCGGCCATGACTGCAAAACTGTAGCTCCGATCATCAGGCATCCTGCAAATATTTGTGCCTTTAAAAAGTAGGCCTGATCAAGATTCACCAGTGCTCCTGCGATAGGCGTGCCCGCCAAAGCACCGAAAGACGAAATGCCCCACATCATTCCTAGGCGAGTACCCAAGGAATTGGGATCTGGCGTGAGCACGGGATGCGCAAGGATAGAAGTTGGAGCTGTGACATGGACACCACTCAGAATACCCCAGTAGCACGCCCAGACAATAAACCCGGGGATGTTTGTGGCCGCAATCCAGGTGAACATGGCGATGGCCGAGGCAGCTGCGGCAAAAATCAACATGTAGATTGGTTTAACCCAGGTGATTAGGAAGTACGGCCCGACACGACCAACGACGGATGATCCATTGACGATGGCGACCATATAGAATGACAGGTTGGCGGTCGTGTGCAGTGCTGTCCGCGCATATGAGGCGACATAGAAGATGGGCACGTAGTATGCAAGCATGACACATGTGAGGGAGACCGATAGCAGCATGAATGGAGGCTCACGGAACGCCGTAAAGTCAATAAGACTTCTGGCGCGCGTTCTCTCGCCGGGTTTCCGGCATAGAATCAAACAAGTTACGATGGCCAGGAACAAGCTGATGAAACCGATGCAACGGACTGCCCACGGGAACCCAATCCTGGGCTGCAGCTTGCGGAACATGATGGGATAGATAACGGCACCGACACTCGATCCAATGGAGGCGCAGCCGATGGCGAACGGGCGTTTTGTCGTGAAATGCGAGGAAACAACGACAAGTGAGGGAATGTACGAGATGCCGCCGCCGATTCCCACACAGAAGCCTTGGGCCAGAAGCACTTGGTAATACTGTGTTGCGAGGCTGGTCATCATCATTCCAAACACGATCAAGAAGCTGCCAGACATGATCAACGGGCGCAAATATCCTGAGTCCACTAGCGGGCCGGCCACCAGTCCGACCATGGGAATCATGGTGGCCTGGATACTGCCCACCCAGGAAATAGTGGACGGCGACATATGAGACAACAGCTCAGTTTGATAATATTCCTGAAAGGCGCCATATGTCGTCAACAGACCCCTGCGACGGTATGTTAACTTGGGTCCCAGTCGGCGTGGGGGAAGTATACGCACCAAGAGTTGACAAATACACAGAAACACGCGAGCACACTCAACCACGCCTCGAGCCCGCCGTTGAGCCTCTTAGGGGCTGCTTCGCCATTTTCAGGGTACTTCGTGGTGGCCAATTGCAGCTGCTGGGAAGCACCGTCATCCTCGCACGGGGACAGATCCTTTTCTGTCGTCGGCATGCCCATATGCTCACATCTGTGACGAACTCCGCACGGATATCGGGGCGGACCGCAATTTATGTTGTCCGATAATAATAATCCCACTTACCCCGATTCCCCCAGGTGGAGAATTGCTTCTCCACGGGATTTTCATTAGTAACGGACATTGGTCGCATCCGGTTAACCACCGGCACTGTTAGCCGAGCTCTGCCGGAAACGATGCTTTTGAAGGTAACTGTTATGCATCTTGAATAATATGAAGCTATGGGGAGGCGACGAAGCTGTGATCGGATACCCCATGTCATTATTAGTTTTTCTGTTCCTCCCACGTGCCATGGGTGGATACTGCGACGCCGGGTCACTTTAAGTGATCGTCATTTCCAGTTGTCCTTGATTTGCCGGACGATACGTGTGGTAGAAAAATTGAGATAAAGTAGTCGATTAACATTAGCCTCACTGGCAGAAAGCGCCCAGGCGATGCTGATAAAAATGAGGGATCACACCCTAGTGAGATCGGAGGTTGTACAAGACAATTTTGGTCTAGCACAAAGCTCCAATCCGAAACAAAAGGAATGGAACTAGCAGCTCAGTCTCGTGGCTGAAATGAATATGGAAAATTTGATCAAGAAACCTCTAGATCTGTCATGGGAAAATTTGCTCCTTTGTAAATCTGCTTATGTCGGAAGCGATCATTCTGTGATAGCCTTCGGATACCTAAGCCAATATTAAACAGTTCATACATCCAAGAAAGAATTGCTATCGTAGGATCATTTAGATAAGCTTATAGTGCAGAAATTTCGCTATCTCCATTTAGAATCGATTGGTGCTCTCAATAGTAGTCAAACACTCAGAGGATAACGGCTCTATTGAATTCATTGCATGGTTGACGGACTCTGAACCAAGCCTCAGTCATCCCTTGTGCTTCGGAGATGATACATAAGAACTTGAAATATCTGTCATCGGCGTCCGCAAACTGAAAATACTTGACAGTCGGTATGCAGTTTGCCTTTCAGAAGTTGAGTTGTGTCTACATAGGCATCCTATTCACTTGTTTAGTCACGTGAGTCCCCCGGTCAGCCACAGCCGTTGAACTGTGATCGGCGCTCTCCATGATTATTCTCCCTCATTATTGCGGTCGATTGATTCATCTATAAGACCGATGATATCCTTCTGTTGATAACCCTACCTCCAACTATCCTCTGGCACTTGTACAGATAATCCTTCCTGCCCGCAGAACTCCTCCCATCCAAGTCTCGCCCCGAAGAGCGCGTTGTATCGCGCCGTGTATCCAATTCGCCTAGGATCATAAGCTTCTTGCCAACAAAAAGACCAATGGCAGATATACCCGAAATGGATGAGTTTGCGCAGACCCGAGGCGCCGACGATCTATTCGACGATGAGATTATACCAGTGTCGGCGGAGCAGCAAGCACAGACGGACGTAGTTGTCCAAGAGGCAGCGCCTGCGCCACCAAAGGAGCCCGTGGTCGAAAAAACCCCCATCGAGAAGACGCCTGCGCGAGAGGACGCTTCGCAACGAAGTCGTGGCACAGAACGAGGGCGAGGCCGTGGCCGGGGGCGAGGAGGTCGGGGACGCGGAGGGCGCGGTGGACGTGTCGAGAATGCTCCACGGCACAAGGCCTCTGCGACTGCGGCTGAGCCCGAGAGTGAGCGAGATCCTGTGACTGTAGCTGAGGCTGAAAGCGCGCGAGAGGAGACGGCCACACCCGATAAGCCCCAGGAGGGTTTGAAGGAGCAGTCTAGCCAGAGTGAGGAAGCTACTACCGATGCTGCGGCTAATGGAGCTGAAGCGCAGCGTGTACCGGCTGTTCGTGGGGATCGCAGTGCCACTGGGGGAGTAAGGAAGGTATGGAGAAGCCTCCCCCTCGTTTCCATGAATTGACCAACTAATTCAATGTCCAGCCAAAACTCACCGAGGAAGAATTGTCAAAGCGCATTGCAGCTGCCAAGGAAAACGCGGCCAAAAAGGCAGCTGCTCACGCTCGCGCTGAAGCAGATGAGGCATCGTTCCTGGAACGGGAGCAGGTCGCAGCCGAGAAGCGTCGTCAGGAACAAGCAAATCGCCGAGTTATGGACAAAGAGCGTGAACAAAATCGCCAGCGCAAGCTTAAGGCCGTTGGTGGCCGGGAGTGGGATTCGCAGAAACAAGAGGAGGACTATAATCCGCGCGGTAGTGGGAGTCAGTTCAGACGGGGCATGCACGGCGGTGTGTCGGGATATGCGCGACGTGACTTCGACACTCGTTCACCGGATGATTTGACTGGCGACTCGCCAAGTCGCCGCGGGCGTGGACGTGGTGGTGGTCGAGGTGGTCGTGGCCGAGGACGCTCGCCTTCCGCGGGACCTTCCAAAAAGAGTCCATTGCCCACTGCTCCCAGTGCGAATAACGAAGCAGAATTCCCTGCTCTTCCCGTTGAAACCAAAAAGCTAGATACTACCTCGACAACAGGGTCTGAGTTGCCTAAGCTTGACAAGCTTGACTCCTTGTCACCTGTGCGCGGCAGTTGGGCCGATCAAGTCGAAGAGTAACAAGAAACGGGGATGGCTTTTCTTTTGTTTCTTTTCTTCTTTTCCCGCATCATTGACGACACGAAAAGCGTCCTGTCCACCAGTTTGATATCCTCTGCCTAGCTCAGGCGCAAAATCACTCAATTAATACGTCGATGCCACTATGGGCACTGACATATATTCATTAATCATCTCATACTGTATCTCTTCCAGAACCTTGGCCATAGTAAGCTTATGGGAGTAATGGGGGTCGAGGAAAGGATAGTCCTACTGGGTTTTCATTACTTTTGAGTTTGTATCGCAATGATGCTATTATTACGCTTCTGGCCGTCACCAAACAGATGATCAGTGCTGTTGGAACGTGCCACAGTATCTCATGTTGTTCACCTGTAGTTGACGTGGCACCATTGACATTCCATAACCAAACTTCATTGACTTCGTGCTGTTCTTTGCTGATTGACAAGCCATCATCCTGCAGCTCTTGGAATCACTGGAAACCAAACGATTTGGTGAACCGTGCTAGCCAGACGCAGCCGCAGCCCGCGCAAGGTGCATACTCTCACCTTTCTGAGTATATTTTTTTGGGGTTATGATTCCATTTATATGTACTTATATTTCATTGATTCCCTTGCTTTTGCTTCATCACATGTTTCTAGAATTTAATTTCTGCCAACTGATCAACTTGCCCCCTAGTCTTGCTAGACTCGCCGTAGAGCTGGGGGCGCTGGAGTATTAGCAAATTCAAGTGACTCAGGAGAGTGAGCAGGGATCTGGTGATGTTTGGCCAATCGATTTCAATGCAGGTCCTCTCGATTTAGAGAACGGTGGACGGATTTCTGACGCGATCCCTTACGAATTGCATATTTTACAATCGAAACTGTCCCTTCAATTACATGAAGTGGAATGAGAGAATCGAGCTTTGTAGGATGGGTAGGATGAGTGATTACTTTTCATTACTGTTCTCCTATCAAGCAAGTAGAACAGGAAATATCACTCAAGCATGCAAATGCGCTCTGCGGTGGTGCTGAGAGGCGTGTGAGGACATCCTATTAACCAACAGACCATTGCCCCAGACTGTCCTGGCTGCCGCTGCCCAAGCTGTGGCAAGGTGGGAGAGGGTTTCCCAGGTATAGAAAAGACGGTAATCGGCTGGCTCATAGATGAACTGGAGAGGCATATGCTCCTGGCCAGGCCGGTAGCCATTGAGGAAGTTGACACTGATCGTCTCAAGTCCTGTCAAAGGACCTTGTTCATTAGCTGCGAGTGTGATCTCCTTAAGGCGCTTCGGTTGCGCGTCAGTGAGAGTGGGATTGCCCTCTTGAGTGGCATTGGTTGCCGCATCCAGGGCTTCTTGATACAGCAGGGGAAGCATGCCACTAGAGATGTCCTCCTCGCCCTTGGTACCTCCAATGGCTTGCATTGGTCCATTGTGGGGTCGACCACCGAATACCAGACTTTTAACCTGCCCACTGTTCTTCATGAGCTCAGCGAAGGTCGCACAGGTGGACATGCAGACTCCGTTTGTGACCTAGAATTAGGATCCATATCCTGTTAACAATGCAAGGGCCCATCGAATACTCACAAATCGGACATACCATGATAATATCTTCGGCGGCAAACGGTGCCATAGTTTCTTTCTGCTTTGCAGGGCCATATCCACGAATAGAAGAGCCCTCGGCTGACATCAGCGTAAAATTGCCCAAGGCCATTAAAGAGGATACTGGGGTGCCGAGCTCTTCAGCGGGCTGAAAGCATCCGCCCAACTTGTGAAATTGGACTGCTGGTCTGGCGTTACCATGGTAGATAAGTCAAAACTGTAAGATTCCGCAATGACTGTTGACTGCGTGGTTTTGATCTTCGATAGTGCCTTGCCGACGAGATCTGAGGCTTCATGGGCACGGAATCGAGTAGCAGTGTACGCATGATGGTTGGGGAAGAACAGTTTGAAGAGGTCTACCCCCAAGTAAGGTGAGCCGCCCAGGTTGGATGACAGATCAATGATTAACTTCGTCTTTCCGGCCCGCTTCGCCGTGTAGACAAACTCCGTTGCTTTGTCGGCAAAGTTCTCCGCCTGTGGGGCGAAGGTTGAGACGAAGAGAACTGCTACGTCCTTCAGTCCAAGATGATCCAAATAGTAGCCCGAGACTGATCCCCCGTCGTCAGTCCGCATCACTGGGACAGGGTAGCCACTTGATATCGGGGACGACGAAGGCGTAGGGTTCGATGAAGCGGACCTAGTCCTAGTGGAGGTTTGGGATGTGAAGGGCTGGGCAGTCGAATGGTTGGCGGCCGGCGAGGACGATACAGAGGATGTCAGTTTAATGCAATAAATAATCCTCGAGCAATAGACTGCATCTACACCGGCGATGTAATGTGGAATAGAAGCACGATATAGTACATCTTGAGTATCTAGATCACAGAATCTGCTGTTTTCACCAACTGCCCTCAGAATTGAGACTGAGAATCGAGGGGAATGGCTGATGGACGAGATTTTTCTTGCCCCTGTTTTTTTGGCCAGCTTCTTGCAATGTCGATATTGGCACGGGGAAACCACATCTCGAGGAAAACATAGAGTAGGAAATCAGTCACAACACACAGACAGAACAGCTTGCCTGCCCAGACACCACAGCCATAGTATCGTTTGAGCCGGTCAATGAGGGCAAAGCTGCGAACTCTGTCACTACTCGCCTCCCTGCCCTGTCCTGGGTAATAGCCATAGAATTCCTCTGGGGATATATCGCCCGTAATGCCTTGGTAGACCCGCTCTGTACGCTCGGCCACATCCTGCCATGAATACATCATTTTCACCTGGTCGTGGAACCGGTCGGTCCGTACTTTGTTCGAGCGTAGGGCTGCGATTGCCTTACTTGTAGCAACAACCAGGTCATCCTCCTCTGGTTTCGCAAACGTAGTCATATGCTGTGGAAGTACCTCAGGGATACCTCCAACTCGAGTACAGACCACATATAACCCACAACTAGCGGCTTCGACAATGACTGTGCCAAAGGCTTCTGTTAAGCTAGGGTGTAGGTAAATGTGGCCTCGTACCATAACATCCCGAACTTCTTCGTGACGTACTGATCCTAGCATCTCAACCTTGTCTTGCAGGACATTCCGTTCCAGCATCTGTTCAAGGTCGATAGCTTTCGGACCGGAGCCAGCAATGATAAAGCGGGTATTGGGATTAAGGGCGAGGATTCGAGGAATGGCCGCGACCAATAGATCCGTGCCTTTGTTATAGAAAAGACGGGAGATGACCACAATTGTGATCGTGTCATTGGGCCCGATTGGTGCGGATGATGGTCGTGGATCGGCCGGAGAAGATGGGACGTGATCTGAGGCACGAGGCGCATATGAGAGAGGGCAGAAATTCTCTGCAACGACAGCATTGGGGATCACTGATACCATTAATGGATCCAATGAAGCTCGAAGGACCGTATTCTCCTTGCTGCTGCAAGTTAGTCGCTCTTCGCCTTTAGAGTTGGTGTTTGTGTCAATAACGTACCAAGTATGACTGACACAGATAGCATGATCAATGTCACTCAACGTGAATTTGAGAAGCTTGTTAGTAAGGATCGAGGCAGCGTCGGCAAATCCAAAAAGAGAGTGGTCGGTGAAAACGGTTCGTAGGCCCATTGTACGCGCATGGAGGATAGCTTCACCACAGAAGCTGCTAAGACTTTGATGACCATGGACGATCTCTATTTGTTCTCGAATTACAATGTTTCGAAAAATCGGGAAGAAGGAGAAGACGGTTGGGAAGGTGGTCTCGCGGTAGATAACGAGAAAAGGAACGTGGTAGATCTTGAGTCCATTCGTCAGATACCGGACACCTGTTCGACCTTTGTATGCATGGGTGATGACGATGACTTTATGGCCGCGATCAATCAGTTTCTAAAAAAGGTAAGTACAAGTGGCAAAGAGCCCATAGCAGAAATGTTTTGTTGATCACTCACGGACGACAGTTGGTATATGTGACTCTCAATTCCCCCTATGCTCCGTTAGTAATAATGAAAGTATCCACGAGACCACTATAATTAAGGAGGAGCATACCCGACTGGGGGAAAAAGAAGTCACAGACCATACTGAATGTCGAGCAAGATCATGTTAGCTCAGATTTGTTCTTCTAGTACCATTGAGACGGGGAGGGACCCATAGAGCTCACGCAATGTTATACGGCATGGTGGGTGTAGTTCTCGGCCAACGAAAACCAACAGAATTAAATGATTGGTATCAGTGTGTTATCCATGGCTAATAAACCAAGGACCTGTTAGGAACGCCTAGCCAAATCCATTCGCCGGTATTTCTACCACATCGATGCGATAGTTGCACCCGTACGCGCTCCGCATCAACAAGGGGCGGTGGGTATCAAAGCGGTGACTCACAGCTGACTTCTGCCGGCACAAAAAGTGTGTGGAATTTGCTCTTCTCCCATGAAAGCGCTGAGGAATGTATGTGCTTTGAAAGGATGGCCGGATCCAAGGCTACCAAGTCAGCCACCAAGATGACAACTCCCAACTCGACGAAGCCTTACAAACGAAAGCGTGATCTAGATGCCTCCCAGGCAACCACTCCAGCTCCAACACAGAAAGTACTCCTAAAGGGTCTTCCGTTAAGTGATCGTCATTTTCAACTGTAATACCATAAGCAATTTCCCCCGTCTCTTAAAGCCCTTCTCTCCCAAAGGCTCCTCAGGCAGATGAGCATCAGGCATGGCGATATGAAGCCCGGAATTTCTGTATCAGTTGCATACCTTAGACCGGTCACGGACAATATCCAGGTCTAAGACTACAGCGCTCAGCTTGTCCTGTCAGATACCTCCCAAGTTTCGCCATTTCGGTGTGCTCTGGCCCCAGGAGAAGCCAGTCAGCTGATGATTATTTTCGAGAGACTTGCTTTGGAAAGTCACAGGCTTGGTTCGCCCAATCTCGATCGTCTCACTACACTAAGTCGTATCAATGTGCAACGCGCAGCTATGAAGAATACCCTGGCTGTCGGGATGAATATGGAGTGTTAGCACCTTCAACATTCCTAAATTCAAAATGACATTGCACCTTCGAAAGATATACATGTTGACGGAAGAAGCCGGCACTGAAATGAAGAATGGGAAAGACGGAAATGCCTTCTCCAAAGACCTAAATAATACACTCCCATGCATTCTCATCCGTCCAGTTCCCAGGGCCCTTATAAACATTCCGACGCGGATACCTGCAGTGCTTGCGCTTATACTCCACCGCAGACCCAGGACCATCGACGAACTTAGCTCCACGCACCGTCTCAGGCGGCACACCTTCCTCAACCCATTTAACCATAGCCATGAGCACATTATCTTCAGGATCATTGCCATCATAGGTACCGACTCCCTGGCCGATGCCATAGGCACCATCACCGGCTCCGCAGTGGCCCATGCCGCTGATAGTGAAAAAGCGGTAGAACTCGTCCAGGTCCGGGGGAGGCAGCTTCATTGTGTCTGAGACGTGGGCATAGTACAGCTTGGAATCTTCGGAGCTGATCAGCTGGTCTTGCATGCCGTGGTAATGGAGCACCTTGCCGCCGGCGTTGCGGAAGGGAGACAGGTCGCCGTCCCATGTCTGGATGTTGTATGGGTTTTGGGCTAGTGCGACTGCGGCATCTTGGACTGTCCAGGTGGTGCCGCTCCAGGACGGGTCGTTGTATACAACGTACCGGTACCAGTCGTCGCTATAGGCGAAGGGCTGGCCGTTATACATGATTGGCGCGGCAAGGATCTCGGAACCGGGCTGCATCTGGGGATATAGAAGAGTGCCATTTACACCGTACAGTGGGGACAGTATCTGCTGAGCGGTCTGCACCTGGGCACTGGAGAGGCAGGTGGGATCGTTGGAAGTGTGGGATGGACAGATCAGTGTTTGTAGGATCGGGCGACAGAGAGTTGGATCTTCTATAATGCCATCCTTGGCGCCGTCGATTGTGTCGCATTGCCGGAGGATCTCCTCATGAACGACCTTCCACTCTGCGGGGGAAAGATACGTGTCAGAAGATGGCGGTCCAGTAATGGGGTAGAAATGCGCGCTCCACGAGAGTAAGTTGATGAAGTTGATTGCCGGTGATCCAGCCACCACGCCGTCGAAGTCATTTGGATATTTCTGGACTGACTTCCATCCCTGACGACCTCCAGTTGAGCAGCCGAGATAGTAGCTCTTCTTGAACCCCTCATCGTAGAACTTCTTGGTGAGTTCCTTGCCGACCACAACGCCTGTGTGGACGGAGCGATATGCGAAATCCTTGATCACCTCCGGGTGATGGAAAAAAGGCTCCCCAGACGTTCCGTTGTGACCATTGTTAGCACCGACGGTAGCAAAGCCCAATTGCGCCGTGTAGGCAAGGTCGTAGTACTGGATGCCTGGAGCAAATTTAGCAACAACTACCATACGGTTAAATTGTACATACATCCAGAAAGACCGCCATTTCCAGTACTCAGGAAGCGGCCCGTGTATTCACGCGGGAACCAGGCCTCGAGCGTGATTTCACTGCTCTCAGATGTAGAGACAGCCATAGTAACGCGACACAGATCAACGGAGACTGATTGGTAGCTTGCATCGCAGCTGGGCGGATTGTCGGCCAACGACAAATTCGTGCCTCCAGGGACAAAGTCCACAAAATTGACCTTCACGTTGGGTAGATCGATTTCATTGGCGAATCGCGAACATTTGGACTTGAAAGCCTCCTGGTTGGCAAGGGCGAGAGAGCCCAGAGCCAGAAGGGGCAAATTGCAAATACGAGTCATCTTCAGCACTTGCGTCCAAGTAAATGTCTGAGTCAACTTGCACGGAAGTCGACATTGCAACTTCAAGCGACGCTATATAGCTTGAATCAGCCTCGGCATCCCCATACTGGCTTTATGACAACGGAGCTCTAGAAGTAAAAGCAAGCCGGAGTTCGGCAAGCGTGCCCTCATTAACTCCCGATGTGCATTGTGATTGATGCAGACACAAAGCCAACTTGGAAACTCCGAGGATAACCCGGTGCCTGTGTGGGGCAAAATACGGGGGACAGCCAACGAAATGCGGGATCTAAGGTGATCTGGGAGACAAGTTGACCAGACAGAGGCCGGGACTTTGAGACCCGAGTGGAGACAATAGCGATCATTGTAGCCCGATATTCGATGGTACCGGTGCATTCAGTCTGGGGAATGAAGATCTCCATAAATGCGGGGGTGCTGGCTGTTGAACACGGCACTTGGCTAGAATAAAGCTTGATCATCATGAAACATGCCTCGGCGAAAAGGAACTAGCACAGTGGGCGAGGTTAAGCGTGCTAGAAGCAGATTATTTTCAGCATGATCTTTAACATCTACAAGGGATATTTTGGAAATTGGAGGTTTGTCAAGAAAGAAGCGGAAGCGAAGATACAAAATAAATTGATGATCGTAGAAGAAGAATGCGTGGAGCTAAAGCAGCAAGAAGTCAAAGTGCGAGGCCGTCATGCCGTCTCTCGGGAGGCTGAAGATATATGGCGAAATAGCGATAGGGTATAAAACAGCAGAATGCAGGCGAAAAGTATGTGTCGTTATTTAGCCGCCCGCCCACGGGAGATTGGCCAGAGAAAGTGCAAGAATATGTTGATAACTAAACCCACCGAGGAACATGAATTAGCGACAGTTCATATCTGGAACAGACATTCGAAGAAACCATTTTTCATACCTGAGATGAGAGCCAGTATAAGAAAGACGCAAAGAGCGCCTGAAATCCAGTCTCCGATTCCCCACAGATAGCCGAGGAAACTGGAGGTTTGGCGAAATTTGAGGCTTGTTTCTTCGATCTTGGATAGTAAATCAGCGGCAATAATGGCAGTTTGATCGATGAGTGCCTTAGAATTATTGGCATTGAGCAGGGTGGTCTCTTGAGCCTCAGACTGGGCAAGTATGGCTTCAGATTGCAAGAGCTGAGCTTTTTGCAACTCTCTGGCTGTCGTCTCCGATTGCTGCATAGACGTTTCCATATTTTGGAGCCGCTTCAGAATATTAGACGGGACTAGGCCAAGATATACCTAGGGTTCATACCTCAATCATCTTATTCTCCTGTGATAGTATCAGATCCATCCGGGTGATCAGCCATTCCTGTTTTGTCGGTTAGTTCGGGCAGCTTTTTTCAGGAAAATTCAGAGATAAATACTCACCAGAGCGGCATCAACACTTTCAATGCGTCGGTAGAGGTTGACCACATCTGTTTCCCTAAGAGATTCCAGCGAGAGGCTCAAGGAATTTGCAAGATCCTTGTGGATTAGAGCATTTTGTTCATGGGCCAGGAGTACATCCTTCGACCTGACCAGTGCCTCATCATTCACCGTTCGAAGAGTCTTTTGTAGCAAATGAGCCTGGTCCGACGTGCTTCGGATGCTCTATAATGATGTTAGAAGTTGTAACTTCGACGAAACAAGACAGAAAGAGAATCTTACCTTCTCAAGGGTAGCAGATTCGGTTTGCAAATGGTTCAAAGCCGTTGACACGGTACCGGTAACGGTAGTGATACCCGATTTGATTAACTGCAGCAAATCCGCAAAACTGCCTTTGAAGCGCACTTGCGCTTCTTCAAGGCCCGAAACAAATTGCGTCTGTAAAGCATCCACAGATTCCATAAACGCTTGGTTCCGGACAGCCTGCGCTGTCGCATTCAACAGAGCTTCGTGCAGTCCAGTATTGAGCTTCACGCTGCTCTTCACTATTGAGCGGTGCAAATCCAGCAGCTCTTCCTTTTCTCGTTCCATTCGCGTAGCTTGGCAGATAACCATGGCGTTCTGTCGACTGTTGCTGTAGGAAGTCCACCACTGAGGCCGCGACTCTAATGCCTGGAGACATGGCTCCAGAAGCTCCATTGGAATTGAGTCTCTGCCCGTGTCTGGAGGTGCGGATTTGGTTGGGAATCCGAATCGACCTGTGCCAGCAGCGGGAGGCGAGACTGTCACGGGGATACACGCAGAGGGAATCACGGTACCCGTGCCTTGGAGCTCACAGATTGCAAGTCGCGCCGCATAGACGGATCGTATCAGATCAAGCACCTCGTGAGTATCAGCGTCACTGCCCTTGCCATTGCCCACGGTCTGGCAAGATGTGAGTAGTCTCATTGCTGCGATGCGGTTGCAGGAAGGAGAAGATGCCATCGAGTCCAAGATTTGCGCTGCTTCGGTAAAGATCGCGTCCTGCTCATGCACGTTGGATCCGAAGTATGAAACCATGCCGAGACGCGCCGACAGATCATTGGGAGGAGTCTGGTTCTCTTTCTGAGTGTCAGTAAATGAAGATGGGCTTCATATGAGCAACTTTACCTCCACTTGAAACTCTCCTCCCAGTGCCAAAGCTAAACAGTGAGGACGCGATAACGAAGCATGACAAATAAAGGAGCATGAGGAGGAGGATGTGAATCAATCGAGAGAAGGTCATGGTGCTGAAAGACACGATGAGAGATGTTAATTGCGCGGTAAAGCAGTATGATCTAGCGAGATTCTGTTCTCGACTGATCAGTTGAATGGGGAGAAACAACGAAGGAAGAGAATACTGGACAAGAGATGGGCTGAAGGTTAGGTCTCAAGAGAGAGACGGGCGTTGAGGATGATTGAGACCAGTCGAATGCAAGTGCAGGCACACCTTGGTCTCACTCTTCGCTTTTATCTTTTCTCTCCTGAAATCCTCGCTGCTGGTGAAATGCTATTCAGATTAGAATCTTGGCGTTGAAGAGATAATGGGCACGGCATGAAGCAAGAGAAGTGAGATCCGGGGTGAGCTCAACTCAGATTATCAGCCACCTAAATAATGCTCTATGAAATATCGAGAAAGTAATCAGACATATTCCAAAGTACCCTCGACAAGCCAAAAAAAAAAATCATATCGATCCCTCTCTATAGAACAAAGAGCACGTGACATTCTAACCCAATCGGGCAACCTGCGGACAAAATCGAGAGATCGGACACTCATCATCCTCAGTTCCAATACGCGCAGTCATGGCGACTCTCCTCCCCCAACGCTGCGCCCGACTCCTTCGCGAGCCCAGTCGACGCGGCTCCTTGCCTCTTTTCCTTACGCCTGCGTTCTCGTCGCTCCGGTCACAATGCTTCTCCACGACCTCTCCGGCGCAGTCCCGAGTCGGCGGCGCGGCCATCTCTATTCCGCCCGAAGTGTCCATGTCCCTCGTTGATCTCCCCAAGTCCCTGTTCCGCTCGAGAGGAAAAGACATTCCCAAGGTCGCTGTCGAGATCCAGGGTCCTCGGGGTAGGTGTCCCTGTTCGCGGAGGGAGACATTGAATTGAATGCCCTGCTAACGTTTGGTCTCCAGGGAACATGACCCTTAGCGTCCCTTCCTTTCTTAACGTCAACTACGACGAAGCCGGCCGCAAAGCCACCCTCTCCGTGTTAGATTCGACGATTGCTCACCAGCGTGCTATGTGGGGTAAGTTTTTTCTTCTTCGTTTTTCTTGCACCCAATTCAATTGGTACATTATCTCTAATACCCATTCCCCTTATTCCAGGCACAACCCGCGCACTCCTCCAAAACCACATCCTCGGCGTATCAGAGGGCCACATCTGCATCCTGAGTCTGGTGGGTGTCGGATACAGGGCGACCATCGAGACCACGGCCACGACGGTCAAGCCGGAGTACGAAGGGCAAAAGTTCGTGTCCCTCAAGGTTGGATACTCGCACCCGATTGAGCTCGGTATTCCGCAAGGTGTCGAGGCTAGCACGCCCCAGCCGACGCGGATTCTGTTAGAGAGCGTGGACAAGAGGACTGTGACGCAGTTCGCGGCTAAGATTCGCGAGTGGAGGCGGCCGGAGCCGTACAAGGGCAAGGGTATCTTTGTGAATGGGGAGACGATCAAGTTGAAGGCGAAGAAGATCAAATAGATCTATGGCGCATTTGTGGGTTTGGGAAATGGCTTGTTTTCTGTGTATTTCTATACTCTCTTATCGACATATATTTCTTTCTTTCACACTTTGACCTGGCACTTCGGATTCTTCTGAAGGCCATTTAATTTTCTATCCACCTACAATTTTATCCTACGTAAACAGCAATCTCAGAGAATTGGCCAAAATCTTTTATTGATCAAAGCACCAACACGTGGCGGACATCTAGCTATATACGTCTATCACGCATCAAGCGCGACTCTTTACAACTTCAACACCACCTTGACGGCATCGATCACCTGGTCCTGCAGATCTTTTGGCGCAGCAACCACGCCCTTGTTGGCAGCCAAGGTCCGGCCCTTGCTGAAATCCAACCGGGCGCCATAGATATCCGTCACCTGGCCACCAGCCTCACGCACAATGATATCACCAGCGGCGTGATCCCAGATCTTCTCCTGGTAGTCCTTCTTGACCGGCAGGCGGAGGTAGATGTCACCGGCGCCCCGAGCAATGGAGCAGTACTTGGCCTGCGAGTCCAGTCGCACGCTCGGAGCGGTGATTCCCAGGCGCTCGGCGACGGCGGCATTGTCGCCCTGGGCCGAGTGGCCGGCCTCAACACCCTCGCAGAAGACAGCCTTGGCGATGTCGGGAACGGCGCGCATGGAGATCGCCTTGCTGGGGGCGAGGGCGCCGTTCGCCAGAGGGCGCGACGTCGAGCCCTGGCCCTGCACGGCAGAGAAGAGCACTCCGTTGACGGCGCTGCCGGTCTGCTGTGCGCCCGTGCTGGCATCAATGGTAGCGGAGTCATCCACCGGCAAGTTGGGGGTGCCAATGGCACCGACCTTGACGTCGCCGTCGACAATCAAGCCGAGACAGACGGCGTACTGGCCGCCGCGCAGGAAACCCTTGGTGCCGTCGATAGGGTCCAAAGCCCAGATGCGGCCTGTGGCACCACCGGCGCTCTTGCCCTCATCGATGATGTCCAGCATCCTCTCCTCGCTGGGCAGGGGGCCGCCCAGAACATTGTCGCTCTCGGCGTCGTCCAGCTTGATGTCTTTGACCAGACCCCAGATCTCGGCGCTGAGGGCCTTGTCCTCGCGCAGGGAGCTCGCCTCCTCTTCGGCAACGATCTCATCGTTGGGGAAATTCTTGCGGATGGCCTGGATGATGAGGGCCTGGGCGCCGAAATCGCCGATGGTGACGGGCGACTTGTCGTCCTTGGAGACGGTGCCCTTGGCCTTTTCGAAGAAGACCTTTTGGGTGAGGATGGAGGCGCGCTGGACGGCCAGCTCGGCAATGTAGCGTTCTTTCTCGTACGACATGATTGTGGTGGTGGTGGCGGTGGAGAAGGGGTGGGCGAGGTGGTGGGAAAGAAGACCCAGGCGAACGTGGGATTTCAGGGCGACACTGAGAGCCAGGATGAGTGTGGAGCAGATGGCCAGGCGGGACAGAACACGGATCCAGTGGGGGGGTGTGGCAGTCAGAGTCATCCACAGGGGCAGTCAATGGCTTCAATTGGCTTGGCTGAGGGATTTGGCTCTCTTTTTCCTTTTTCGACCGAGTTGTTGCAACGACCGGGCAGATGAGCAGCGTTCAAGCCGGACTATTATGTTCTGCCTCAGGCAGAAACACCCCGCCCTAAGCCGGAAGGGGCAGCGCAGGCAGCTGATAAGACTCTCTCCCTTTGTCTCTCTATTGTTGCTTTCTGGTTGCTTTCTTCGCCTGCAAACCACATTCTTGAACTTGGAAACACTCGCTGGTCTCCCGAACATTCTATGAACCCACTCACATTGCCGAGTAAAGCACGGATCTGCCCGCACTAGCGCCAAGCTCTCTGCGCTCCTGCCCCCTCCGACGTCACCGTTCTCCCCTGGTTTTACCGTGAAGCTTCGGCCAGGTGAAGGAGCAGGCTCTTCTGTCGCATTGACCAGCGGAGATAAAACCTTACACTCTCTTGTGTACACAATTCCTGCAGTGCTTTGTGTCGCCCAGCGTGTGCGGGGTTCTCTTCTTCAACCCCAGACTATCCAACGGCCGGTGAACAGATTCATGGGAGAGGGGCTCGCCGATATCCAACGACCTACACGTAAGAGACTATCGGTGCAGACGACTCCATCGCCATGTTTCAATCACATGTACGCCGAGAGCTACCACCTCCATCTCGAGCTTGTACTAACCACCCTTGCTCTAGAAACCCTACTCGGCAGTAACCGTGCAGGTCGAGGTGCTCACGAGCGAGCAATATGAGGAAGACGACCCAGCGGGTATTGTTGATCTGATCGAAGTCATTCGCATCCAAGCCAGCGGCCCGACCGAAGCCAGTCGAGCCCTGCGCAAGAAGCTGTGAGTGTCGCGGTCCAACGACAAACCCCCCTTCGGTTCTAACACACGCACAGGAAATACGGCAATCTCCACCGCCAACTCCGTGCGCTCACGATCCTCGACTTTCTGATCCAGAATGCGGGGGACCGGTTCCTTCGCGAATTTGCCGATGAGCCATTGCTCGAACGCCTTCGTATTGCGGCCACCGACTCTGTTTCCGACCCGCTCGTCAAGCGGAAATGCCAGCAGCTCTTTGGACAATGGGCTGCATCCTTCAAGGATAAACGGGGCATGGAGAAGATTGGTGCGCTGTACCAGCAGCTTCCGAAGCGGAAACAGCCAGCCAATCAAGCCAAGGCAAAAGTGCTCCGCGAAGGAGCAAACACGAACAATGACCAGCCTATGGGGCACAGAGTGTCTGTATCCACTGGAAGTGGCCCGGCCAGAGAATTGGCCAGCCCGAAGCCAAAGTCCAGCAGCAAGCCTAAGAAGGACAAGAAAGAGAGGAGACTCACCCAGACTGGTTCGTTTAATCTGGAGAAGGAGAGGCCGGAGATCGTGCAGACTCTAGCGTCTGTCGCCGTCGCGAGCACCAATTTATTGAATTCGCTCAAATTGGTGAATCGCGAGACGACGCGGGTTAGCGAGGATGCGGAGTGTATCAACCGGTTCGACAAGTGCAAGCATCTTCGGCGCCAAATTCTGCGGTACATCCAACACATCGAGAGCGAAGAGTTCCTCGGGGGGTTGATCCATGCCAACGACGAATTGGTGAATGCTCTGATGGCGTTCGAGGTGCTGGACAAGAGCGTGGATTACGACAGCGATAGTGATGATGAGTCGATGCATGCTTATTTGAAACACCAGTGGGGACACGAGGATGATAAAGTGAACCAAGGCTTGTCTGGACTGAGCGTCAATCCTCCCAAGCCACCGCGACCCAAGCAGCCTGCGACGAGCTCGTCTCAGCATCCGTTACAAGAACTGGAGAGCGAGAGTGAGCCGGAGGTGGAGGATGATGACGAGAATAACCCGTTCGGAGATCGGAATGCAATTAAGACTCCGGCGGTTGAGAAGTCGGGTTATAGCTGGTACCGTCCACCTCTCGATTGCTTGAACTATAAAACTGACAACTACACAGGAAAGAGGTTTGACGAAGGACTCGGATTGTGAACACACAATGAGTACAGCAACGGATCAATGAGAAATTACCATGGCTCTTTTACGTTATTGGCGAGGTGTAAATATTATTCCAGAAATGCATCTGATGATGATCTTGACTCGGATCTCGCCCAACCCCGTCGGTAACGTAACCCTGGCGTAGTAAGATAACGCAATGACCATCTTAACTAGCCATCCTAAAGACAGAGTGGTAAGAGATCAATAGCATCGATGTTGCTAAGGACAATGAACTACTCCCCTCCGGGTTCACGGCAATTCGATCATTATCAAACATGCCGTTCTGAATAGAATTAATAGCCTCGCTATGGGATCCCGTGATATTTATGATCCCCGACTAAACATGTATTTGTTCCAGAGCGATTGATTCTTTCCTCATAAGGCTATGAGAGCTGCTTGAAATCCAGTCCGTTGCCCAAACATACTTGGCTGGCTTAAAAGACACTGAATGGAGAAGAGCCTGGTGATGCGGAATCAGATGTGGAATTATAGTTGGGACTAAAGTGGAAGAAACATAGTATCGCATAGTTGGCTCTTACATCGGGTCAGCCCCGTCTTTAGCTGCGTTTTTGCGTGATTATTGATCACCGACTCATCGTATAGTTAATCTATATAGCAGGATATCGCTACTACTTGCGCGAGCACCCTCCTCAAGCACGCCATATCCTCAACGACCGAGGATTATAAATCGGCTTAGAAATACCATCATGATGGAACTGCATCCTGCCAGGTATATACAAAGGTATACAATCACTTCTCTCTTTATCTAGAAGGCGCGGCGGCAGAAGAAGCATAACCAAACCTGGTCCCAACAACACATCCACACGGTAGACACGATTCAATAACAAGATGGCCAACACTACTCAACCGAAGCGCCAACTGCACCTCACGGCCTTCATGCGGCCCGTATCATTGCACACAGGAGCCTGGCGCTTTCCCAACTCCTACCCTGACGCCAACTTCAACATCAAACACATAACAAACTTTGCCCAAAAGCTTGAAGCCGCCAAATTCGATGCCTTCTTCATGGCGGACCACCTCGCCGTGCTGAACATGCCCGTTGAAGCTCTGAAGCGCAGCCACACAGTGACCTCCTTCGAGCCGTTCACTCTACTCTCCGCGCTCTCGTCCGTGACAGAGAAGATCGGGCTCGCTGCCACAGCGAGTACGACATACGACCTGCCGTACCATGTTGCGCGACGCTTCGCCAGCCTCGACCACCTGAGCAACGGGCGTGCAGCGTGGAATATAGTGACGACGGGAAATCCAGAGTCGAGCCATAACTTCGGGTTCGATGAACACATGGCCCATGGCGATCGATACAAGCGCGCGCGGGAGTTTTACGAGGTCGTAACGGGGTTATGGGACAGTTTCGCCGACGATGCGTTTACTCGCAACGTCGAGACGGGGCAGTACTTCGATCCGGCGAAGATGCATGTACTCAACCATGTTGGTGAGGAGTTGAAGGTGCGAGGCCCGCTGAATATTGCGCGGCCGCCACAGGGCTGGCCGGTTATCGTGCAGGCTGGGCAGAGCGAGCCCGGGCGGCAGCTTGCGGCTGAGACGGCGGAGGTGGTGTTCTGTAGTCCGAAGGATATCGATGGTGCGAAGGCGCTTTATGCGGATATCAAGAACCGGGCTGAGAAGGCTGGTCGCAGCCGGGAACACCTGAAGATCTTGCCTGCGGCGATGATTATCGTCGGGGATAGCAAGGAGGATGCGCAGGAGAAGCGGCTGAAGCTGGATAGCCTGGTTCACTATGACAGCGCCATTGCGTCGTTGTCCATCGCGCTCGGGGTGGATGCTGCTGGCTTTGATCCGGACGGACCACTGCCGACGGACCTGCCGGAGACGAATGCAAGCAAGACGAGCAGGGAGGGTGTTGAGCGGCTGGCTAAGCAGGAGGGGCTGACTGTTCGCCAACTTGCGCAGCGGTATGGCGGATACTCTGGGCTGGCGTTCCTCGGCTCGCCTGGTGATATCGCGGAGGAGATGGAGACGTGGTTAAGGGAAGAGGCCTCGGATGGGTTTACGTGCACGTTTCCCTTCTTGCCTCAGGGTCTGGAAGAGGTGACCGATAGACTGGTCCCGGAGCTGCAGCGAAGAGGTCTGTTTCGCAAGGAGTATGCGGGCTCGACGCTGCGGGAGCACTTTGGTCTGCCGAGGCCGGAGAATCGATTCTTTAGCAAGACGGCCTAAGCGGCATGTATAGAGCTAACAGTTGAGAAAGGAACTAGTGGTCTATCACGAGGTATACTAGATACAATTTTGAATGCATATATTCGTGCTCCTCCATTTTATCAAACAGGAAAAAGCGCACTGTACTGTATATTGACAGCGAGGCGAAAGAGCCAAATGGGGTATTATGGGTCATCATCATCATGATCATCAGTGAGAAAAAGCGCAAAATCAACCAGACAACATAAGTAGAAAAGAAGAAGAAACCCCCGAGGCCCCAACTATTCAAAGTACCTTTGATTTCATCCACTCACTGGTACCAACGCCAAGGTTCAGCCCATTCCGCTCCCACCAGCGGCGCACACGGCCCTCAGCGCCGGAGGCCGGGTCCGCATCCTCGAGAGCCTCCTCAATATCACAGGTCTTGAACTCGACGCGCAGCCCGCAGGTCTTCCACCACTGCAGGACGTGGTCGTGGCCGTTTTTCGTCGGGCCCACGAGAACCTGATTATCGAAAATCATTTTAGGTCCTTTGAGTTGGTACCAGAACTGCAGCACGTGGACGTGGCCGTGCGTGCTGGCGATGCGGGCAACGTTCTCGGCGTGGCTGTATGGAATGCCCGAGGCATCCCACCAGGCGAGAGACTCGGTGCGGCCGGACTGCGCAGCAAGCAAGACGGACTTGCCAACTTTGAGAGGGAGGGGAGACTGTTGCACGGGTGTATTTGCCGACGCGGTTTTCCACCAGTCCAGGACTTCGACTCGGCCCTCTGCGCTCGCGGCCTCGAGGGCCCGTTCGCTATATCGGAGCGGGAGACCCGAGTGGAGCCACCAGTCTAGAACATGCAGGAACCCGGCGCGGGATGCACCGTCCACTGCGTCCGCTTTGTACTCCTTGTTCGGGAGAGCCGGGGCGTCGCGCCACCAGGTCAAGACACTGGGGTTGCCGTAGATGGCTGATGCGCGGTAGGGGATGTTGGTGAGACGAGAAGTCGTCCAGAGAAGGTCGAGGTGGTTTTCGGTGAGATAGGTAAGAATATCAGTGCGCGAGAATTTGACGATGAGGTGGCACGCGAGGTCGGATAAGGGTTTCCACCGAGGAAGAGCTTCAATCCGCTTCTTGATTGAAGCAAAGGAGCCCCGTAGGATTGTATATTCAAGGGAGGCTGGTGTGGACATCTTGAGCAGGTGGCTCTGCCATTCCTGTGGGACGGGGAGATTGGATGGGATGCCCACGGCTTTGGCAATCTCCCAATCCCCCAGCTGATCTTCGAAAATACTCAACCAGATCTCCAGGGGTAAGAAATGTGCATTCCCCTGCGGTTTTGGCCACTGTGCTTGCAGCTGTCGAAGTGTCGGGGCACTGCCGCCGCCCGATGATTTCCTCGTGGAGAGGGTAGGGTTTGCTGGCGCAGCAGCGCCACCTAATGCAGCATTAGTGGCCAAAGTATCTCCCCACAGAGGTAACTGCAGTGCTGTTTGGAGGGTCTCATGCAGCTTTTGGATGCCACCCCAGGGCAACGGTGTCAGGTCTTCTGGTCCATTCGACTTCCAGAGTACGGGCTCCACGAGTTGAATCCACGGGAAAAACCGTTTGATCTCATCGAGTTGCCGTGCACTTAACGGGTGATCCCATTCAGACACGGTCATCCCCGGAATCAGAACCACCGGTTTAGTCGAGACCCAGCCGCGCAGCAGCGCCAGTGTCAACGTATTGGTCAAGCCGGCCAACATCGACCCAAGAGCCCCAGCATCGATAGGCGCCACGAGCAACATATCAGCCCATTCGCACAGCTCAGCCGTCTTCGCCTTGAGCCACTTCCTCGCGCCCGTCTTCTTATCGAACGTCTGACTATCCACCGTATCCATATAATGCGGGATCTTATTTGTCCCCGCCAGCAGCGCCGAGGGCTCATCCGTGATCAGACGCAGTTCGAGGTAAGGGTTCTGGACGAGACTTGGAAGCACGGTGTCGGCGAAGACGCCATCGGTCGACAGGAGCAAGCGCTGGCGACGAGCTTGGGACGACGGCGTGGGAGGAGCAATCTGGGGCAACTTTTCGGAGCAAACTCGGTACCCTTCTTCGTTCCCTATCACCGCCGTCTCTTCGCAGTCGCCATCCACCTCCATCCCGCTGGCCCACGCCCCCTTAGCCGCGGGTCTTTGAATGGTTGGTGTCGTCGGTTCGGGTCGAACGCCAACTGCCATGCCACGAAAAGGATGAGAACGTCTGGAGTGGTCGGTCACTCATAAGACTTGAGGAAAACGTGTGGCGAGTTGAATGCTTGGGGTCAAATGCAATGAATCGTAATCCCAGTCAAATAATTGGGCCCCCAAGGCCGAGAGTTGGTTGAACCGGGTCTTATTTTTTTCTTCCTCGAGCGTCGCAGAGAAGGAAGTCCAGGATCAAGCCATGAATCATGTACTGTACCACGCCATCTGTCTGGTGAGCGGTGAGGGAGGTATGACAGCAAAGAAAAAGACCCTTTGCCACGACCAAGAATCACAGCTGAGCGAAAGCGTGCGACCCGCCAATCAGCGCGGCTACCAGCGGACACGCCGGCACTAAACCCGTTCGGGGAATCTTCAGATAGGACGAAGGATATATAAATTGGTACTTATTGGTCGGTAGTCTAGTCTATGAATGAGCACTTGGGTGCGGTGGACTGCGGAATTATCGCCGAGCCAAGTTATTGTGCAGGGTATGCTCGCGGAGGGCGATGCTACTGAGCGACCCCAGCACACTGACCCCCAGCAGGGTGAGGAAGACCGCCCGCAGCGAGTCCATGTAAGCATCCAGCACGCCAGGCCGCCAGTCAGCCGGCAGCTTCCAAATTTCATCTAGGTTGTCTCGAAGCCGCGCGATCAGCTCCGCAGCATGCTCGCGCCCAGCGAAACGGGCCCACAATCCCAGCTTGAGGGTGTTTTGAAACACCGCCGAAGCGATGGTAATCCCGATGGTGCTGCCGGTGCTGCGGAAGGCGTAGGAGGCAGACGTGACCACGGCGTGGTGCTGATGGTCGACGGCTGAGATCAGGGCCACCAGGGTGATGGTCAGCATGCTCCCGTAGGCGGTGCCCAGGAGGAAGAAATAGATGAATGGCAGCCAGGCGGGCGTGGAGAGGTTGAGCGTGCAGATCAAGGCGGTGGACACGACTTGCAGGGACAGAGCGACGTAATTGAGGGTCTTGTAGCGGCCGGTGGCGCGCATGAGGAACCCAGACGCCAGGGATCCGATCGAGGTTCCGATAGCCTGGGGGGCCAGGCGCACTCCCGCGGCCGTCGCGGACAGTCCCTGGACCTGGAAGAACAGCGGCAGGTAGAAGAGAAGGCCGAAGACCGTCATCGTGAGGAACCAATTGATCAGACAGGCCGCCAAGACGGTCCGGTCCAGCAGCAGGCGCACGGGAATGATGGGTTCCGAGGCAACCTTGACTTCCACGAAAATGAAGATCCCCAGAAACACCGCCGCTAGAGGCAGCGAGGTCAGCACGAGCGGGTGCGTCCACGGCACCTGGTTGCCGCCCGTATTGAGACCGAGCAGCAGAGTGACGAGCGTAATCACCAGGGTCACGGCGCCGAGGAAGTCAACGCGCTTGATCCGAGCCGTGTCCGACTCCTTGACGGGGATGTCCAGTTTCCAAGCGACAAGGACGCACGAGACCACCAGGAACGGAACCTGGATCAGAAAGGCCCATCGCCATCCGATCGTATCATTGACCCAACCACCAAACAGACCTCCGAGCCCACTTCCGGCGCCATAGCAGATATTGCCGATGCCCTGCCAGACGCCCCGCTTGCGCAGAGGCACCAAGTCCGACGTGACAAAGGTGGAAATCACCAGCAGACCGCCGCCGCCCATACCAGCCACGACACGACCAAAGATAAGCACCCATTCTGACCGTGCGAGGCCACAAATCAAATTGCCAATTGCGAAGAAAACATTCGAGAACACCAGGCCCCAGCGGCGCGAGAAGATATCCGTCAGCCGTCCACTGATCGGCTGAAAAGCAGCGTTGGCGATGAGGTAGGAGGTCGCCAGCCAGGAAAAGAGCGAGAGGGAATTGAACGAGGACGAGATGGGCGCTGATAGAGTCGCGACAATGGTCGTGTCTACCAATCAATCAATCAGTCGTCAGCGCTAGTTGAACAATGCTGGACATGTATCCGTTCGGTTTGCTCGATAGACGAGATAGAAAGCTTTTGGCCATTGTCGTTTAGTGAAGGGAAGGGGAGGGCGGGACGGGGCTCATCTCATACCTAGGGCAGCCAGGAACACGCCGATCCAGATGGTTCCCAGGATCACGACCAGCTCTCTCGTGCTGGCCTCTTTGCGCAGCGGGACGGGCGCATTATTCTGCTGCTGGGCCTGATCGGCGGCAGCATCCTCCCGTAGGAGCGGTGTCTGCTCGGTCGCACGAGCGGGAGTCTCGTCGTCTGACATGATGGTGGTGGGCAGTCGAGGAATGTGGTTTGAGTCAGACGGGCGGGAGAAGGGGTTAAGGGGGGTCAGACGGAAGCGGGACCCGCTCCCCACGCCGTGGTGGGGAGCGGGCCGATCAGTTGAAGCTCGATGTATCCGAGTTGGCACCAATACAGAATCAATGGGTTACGAAGAGCATCTATCTATGAGGCACGGATGGCGGGTCTCCATACATTAAGGGCCCGTTTCATGTCGAGATACAACAGGCTCCTAACACAGCCACGGAATTGACCCGGCCACGAGGAGCGGACCAGCTCGAGGGAATTGAATATTGGTCGATTGCTTGAGAATCGAAGCAATGAATGGAAAGCGTAACGAAGAAAGTAGTCACGTGGAAGCAATAGGTATATGGCGCAGGCCATCAACGTCGTCCGTTGCTTCCTTCCTTTCTCGTTCCCTCCTCTCTCCATCGTCTGATCCGAGACACATCCACCACCAACACTCCATTCTCTTCCCCGTTCCCAAACATCTTCTGTCTACCCAAGAACAGATCAAACTACCATCATGCCTGGCGTTCGTAAGTATCTTTCTGTCCCCACGCGTTGATATGCGCGGCAGGGTGCCATGGGTCCCACAGCTAACAGCCCCCGAGCTCTCGACTCGTACGAGCAGCTGAAGAAGGGCGTGAAGAACCTCTTCAGCCGGAAGAAGAAGGCTGCCAAGAAGGGCCCGGAGACTGACGAGCCCGAGGCCACGGCCGATTCGGGCGAGGCCACTGCTCCCTCGGCCACCGATGCCAGCCGCGCCGAGCCTGCTGCGGCGCTTGAAACTCAGACTGGTAGGACTCCCTCTCTCATTCTCCTCTGGTGCGATGCAGTCGCACAGGTCCCGTGACTCTTGGACATGTGAGACTAATCAGACGGATAGAGTCGGTCACGGCGGACCAGCCTGCTCAGCCTGCCGTCTCTGTCCACGAGAACACTGGCCCTGCTCAGGTCACTGGTAGGTTTGGCTCCAATTCGGCAATCCGATCAAGATTACTGATCATGCACAGAGGAACCGTCCAAGTAGTCCATCCAGGCTTGGGTCCACCTGTCGCTTGCAACTGACAGGCTGGTCACTTGTTTTTTCCATGGGACTCGCTCGGCCGCCGTGTTTGGACCTGTCCATTCCAGTCTTGCAGCCCATACCAGTTATGTTCCTCGCACCGAATTGATTCTTGTGCTTGTTATCGGCGTTTCACAATACCCCAATTTCTCGGATGACCATAGTTATTCACGGCCGGGTCCTTTTAGTCACTTATGTAGCACCAATATCAGAGGCCCGTCATTATTGAAAGTCTTCTTCGTCTCCGGAGGGATATCACAAGCAAGAAGATCAACTGTCTCCACCCTGGGAGGAGGCAACTTCGTCGACTTGTGTGCCTGTAGCTGCAGCCTTTTGCTCGCGCGCTTTCTGTCGACGCTTGATCTTGCGCTCGCGGTTTTTGCGATTTCGCTTCTCCGCCTCTGTCTCCTGGGCCGCCTTCGTAACGGCAGCACGCTTGCGAAGCTGTATCCGACGCTTTTTCCCAGGCTTCTTGCGAGACGTGGGGCTTTTGGAAGCCGGTGCACCCTCAACCACATAGATTGGAACATCTTTAGATGCTGGTGGCAGTTTCGTTTGATGTCTTTTGAGACGAATCACTCGCCATGGCAAATCACAGCCCGGCTGCACGAACAGGTTAGCATCGACCAGAATATATGTTGCCATTGCCACCGAAGAGATCAACCCACCCAGGCTTGGGACTTGGCCCACGTCAACATATGCTGTCCACTCACAGCGACATCCTCAAACTGTCGCTGCTTTTCTGCGATAATGTCTGCATCCTCGGTAGATTTTGGGTCTAATAAAGAAGGCGCTGAGACATAATACTGCCACCCGCGAAAGGCCTTCACAAATCGCCCTTCGGTGGGCACGGGTGTCGGCGACCGTAACCTGATCCGCAGCTTCTGGGGTTGTCCCTCAGTGGCCGATGGCTTTGTCTCCTTCTCATTTGTGGATTTATCTGGGCCTTCCCCTGTTTCCGCACCTTTCGTGGTGGTTGGGGCGCTGAACAGCCGGAACTCGAATTCTTGCTCTTCGTCCGAGTCGTTGTTCGCGTTGGCTAGTTGAGTCGGTTCATTATTATTTTGAAATGCCACTGCACCGATGAGTCCATCCAGATCTAGCAGCTTGCCAAGTCGCGCATGCGCGTCTTGCATGTCGGTTTCATCGGGCACGGGAGAGCGGGAGCGGGAGGAACGGGGCGAGAGAATCTCATCCCGACCGATCCTGGGATCGTTAGTCCATTGTATTCCGAAAGGCTTCCCCACGTGCTCTAGACATACTGTTTCGCACTCGGCAGGTCAAACATGGCGCGTACGGAGGGCGTGAAGGAGGAGGATGTCGGCCAGAGAAAACAGTCGTGCGAACCTTATCGCATGTTGCGCACGGACCTCTCTCCGTATCCTGCCCGTTCCTGCTCTTCGCCCTCTCTCATTATTATCGCCCTGAACGACTTTGCTTCACAGACTCCTTTGTATTCATTCCCACCCCCTGCACAATCCTTTGCATTTCCTTCCGTCTCCATTTCTCCGGTGAGAAACAGACACAAGAGGGTCCCACCACCGCATCATTCATTGGGGGGCGGTTAATGCCTCATGCCCGTCACCTCGTGCACCAGGGCCCGCTCTCCATCACGATAAATGGGTGTCTGTTCCTCGTGCCTGGGCGGCAGCCGCCAGGAATCTTCCGAGGTGAGTTCCTTCAGATTCAGCCATGTTCGAGTCGCAGATCCTCAGGCGCATGCGTCATGTCTGGGACTCGGCCCGGGAGGAACAACAGCAGTATTCTAATATGCCTTCTTCTGCGAAGCCTGAGTCCTCTCGTCTATTAGAGGAAGATCCATATCAAGCGGGTTATGGGTATGGAGCGTTCAATACTGCCCAGCATACGAACCAACCGGATCCGGAATCTGTGAGGCGTGAGCGGGAGGCTCTGGAGGCTATCTGCCAGCGAACATCAGAGTGAGTCTTTTATTTCTGCTATGTACATGCCATCCAGCAGTGCTGACCCTGTCAAAGTTCCGTCATCGATATCTGGTCCCTCCAACCCCAACCTCACCTCCAACCCCGTGCAACCCTCCACGGCCCTACGTCAGCATCAACTTCTCCAACTCCCGACAACGAGAATGCCACCCTCACCATCCCTGCGGACCGCACATCGCAAACCAGCCGACCTACCTCCGGCACTGGCGGCGCTGTCCCAAAACACTGGGGCGAAGTCGTGGTCAACCCGACCAAGAAGCGGTCTCGTCCGGACATGAAAGTCGACGGGGACGCGAAGCGTGACGTCTTCGGTGTCTTGCAGGTCAATTGAGCTGACGTGATGTTCCTCCTTGCACATGGCATCATCGACGGTGATGCACACGCCATGAAGAGTATGATGGGGTTAACCTGCTGGTTGGTTCATGAGGTTATGTATGGGATGGAATAGGATGGATGGTGTAATAAGTGGGAAAGGGCCTAGAGGAGCCCTGTAATATCTTTCCCTGAGCATTCTTTTGGTTGTTTCTTTTCGCATGGATCGCCGGTCGACAATTCGCACATACAACACCAAGCTCCTCACTGTAGTCGATACCTAGATTAGTTTGTTTCCTTTGCAATGAACTGTTTATCTCTCAATAGTGGCTGCTTATGGAGTTGATATAGAGCATTCCCATGTTTCTTTCTACATGTACGCAGGCGTCCATCTTCGAATGTACATATAGGCATCTAAACAAAACAGGACAGACCAAGTCTAAATAAAGAAATGGATTCATAACTAAAGAACTAAAAGCTTCGAAGAACCGAAAAGAAATTCATCATCAGTATTCGAAGCTGCAAGAAACAAACTAGCACACGAGCTGTGATCCTGTCCCTGACTCCTGCCACGACCATAGCAAATGCTCAAGTGTACCGGAAATTAGGAAAAGAAAGAGGAACAAAAACAAAATGATGAAAACTCCGCCGTGCACGAAACGCCCGCTGGTCTTGTTCTGATGATAGGTTGCAAAATATAGGAGTAGAGAGAGAAAGACTCGGTTGGGGTGTTGGTTATGCAATATGTCCGTGTAGGTCCGAGCCGAGACATAAATAGGGACTGGGGCCGGGAAGGGAAGGGAAGTAGTAGAGTTGATGGAATCAGACGTCGTCCATTGCTCCCGCGGGTTCTTCGCCCCCAGAATCGAAGCTGCCGGCTGAACTGAGTTCGTCCTCGGACTCGGTGTCCTCGCCCGCTTCGTCGACGGCCTCTTTGCTGGCGTACTTGGAGACGTATTCTGTGAGGTGACTCGTTAATATCTTGATACATCAAATTTTTATCAATACATACCCTTCACCTTTGCCTCATAGGCCTTTGGCTCTCGCATCAGCAACGCCGCGGCCTCGCCGTTCAGTGGGTCCGACGGGTTGGGGTATCGAAGAAGTTGCGGAAGAAAGACCTCGAAGATGTTGATCATGTCGTACATCGGCGACCATGTCTGGTTGATGACATCAAGGCAGACAGATCCAGACCTGTTTCAGTGAGGGATGAGAATCAGAGACCCAAAAGGATTGATTTGATTGATTGATTGTCACATACAGCTCATCGATGTTCGGGTGGAAGATGCGGTTGACAAAGCCAATACTTGGGCTTTTGTATGGGTACTGATCGGGCAGTTCCACGTGGATTTTCCAGTGACCTCCGGTGAAGGGTGCTATGTCGCAATTAGCACGGTCCAGTTTTTTGTGATAGCATGAACATACTCTCTTCTGGTCCTTTAAAGCGGACGTAAAATTCTTGCCTGAAACCATTATTCGCATCCATCATTCAGAGTTTGTTCCGGGGGGATGAGCGCATACACTAGATTCCTAGTTAGTATGCGCAGTGTACTCAAGATTCACTCGGTGCTCCTTACTATTGTCATTCACCAAAGTCACCTCATAATCGCTCATCAGCCTGTCATCTTTCGTCAGAATATATTCCGTGCATCAAAAGCTACCAGGAGAAGTCCAGCACGACCCAAGTGGCCAAATCGGAACGGATGGGGGATTCAGTGCGCGTACATCCTGGTCAAAAGTCAGTAAACACATTCCCAGGACTGTGAAATAGCTAACAGGCATACTTCATGACCTATATGAGCAGAAAGAGGTCAGCGTTCGCACTTCCGGGTACCCTGGTGGCGTTATCCGGGGGGGCGTAACTTACATCCGTCTCGATTCTCCGCTTGGGGCTGCTCATGATGGCGGTTGGAATAGACAGTCGAGTCTGGTTCAGAGTAGTTCTCCAAGAAAATCGGTCTATCCAGACGAGCACAGGCTGAGGTGTTGTTGCACGGGCAAGCGTAGTTCGGCGGAGCGGGGGAAGCAATGGAGCGGGGTAGGTCGGGGATGGAATGAGGGCAGGAAGGATGTGGGCGTTGACGATGCTGTAATGGGCAGGATAGTGGAAAGGCTAGGCGGAAAGATCGAGAGAGAGTCCAAATGCGAGCACGGAGAGAGTAGGGAGGGAGGAGGAGAACAGGACCAAGTGGTGATGTGAGTGATGTAAGCCGAGTCACGTGTGCCCGCGGAAGTATGTAGCTGTAAAACTGTCGGTCGATGACTGTTTACTCCCGGCAGTTCACTAACTAGCTCTGGTGGGCCCAATAGGCTAATATCATGTCTCAACACCCAAACTCAACTTCTACGTCTTCCTGTCCTCCTCGTCCACGTCGCCTCCATGAATCCCTCATCACCCTCGGAGCGCTCTGCCGGAGGCTCTCCCAGTGCCAACTTACCCGCCACGGCATCCAGCACTCTCAGTCATCGCCCCGCACCGGGCCGCAGCCAGAGCTCTGAGTCCCCATCGCCACAGCCTGGCAGCGCCCCGATTCCCGACGACGAGCATGGCGCCGATTTGCCGATGAACATGACCGCGTCGGTGATGCTTACGGGTCTTCCACGCGATGCGCATCAAGCTCTAGCTGACGTCGGAGCCATTGACACGGGGAAGAGTAAGCACCAGTCAAAGTTGTTTGTTCCTCTCACTACACAAACTAAAAGTACAACACCCCGCCAGTCACCGTCCGCTTCCAGCCACTCCCATCAGCCCCCATTCTTAAGAATCGGGTCTTCAAAGTCAGCGCCTCTCAAAAATTTGAGACGGTAGTCAAATTCCTGCGCAAGAAGCTGGATTGCAAAGATACGGACTCAGTATTTTGTTACGTGAACAGCGTTTTTGCGCCGGGCCTGGATGAGGGTATGGGTGGTTTATGGAGAGTAAGTCAGCTCACGTATTCTCCGTGCGATTTGCTAAGAAGCTTGTAGTGTTTCAAAACGGATGACCAGCTGATTGTTGCTTACTCGATGACTCCTGCGTTCGGCTGAACGGGCTCCCCGCTGTATGATCTTGTGTACAGACAACGCTTCATGAACAAATGTGTGCAAATATTTTGCCACTGATGATTGGAGGTTTGAAAGCCCTCCACGACTCATCACTCCGGATTGATGGTTCCCAATCAAGACTACCAAGGCGGCAAGGATTCAGACTTCGGCATGCCTTGTTTAATGAGATGATTAGACCCCGTCGGGAATTCGTTACTCGACAGAAATTGTCTATCGTCTTTTAAACTCTGTCAACTCTTCTTTCGAAGCGGGACAGCTGTGCTCATGCGAAGGGAGGGCTCGACTCATAACCTCGTGGTACTGAGCAACACCCCGCGAAGCCCCCTCAAACATCGGCGAACTACTTGACAAGCCCGCCAGACTAAAAGCAGCCAACCATGCCGACCGGCAGCATGCTGAAATTCACGGCTAGCCATCCTGAATCGACTATGAACCTTCGCCAATTGTGAAAGCGGCGAATGGACACAGTTTCTTTAGTCAATAATATCGAATTGCAATACTTGCAGCCATTGATTCATGCAATTGCTCTTCTGTAGTTATAGGTAGATCAGAACTGCCGAGCTAGCATTCATCGAAATGGATCCATCCGAGCCAACTCTTTCCAAATTCACTTTCCCTGTAGGCGTGCCCTCGTAGTTTTCCCAGCTCTGACCACCCCATGTAAGTCCAGCTGTCTTGGCTATTAGTAGTTTTTCTCAAGAATATATACCCAAAGACAAAGACCCAGACAAGAGAGAAATAACAACGAGGAACAAGGTAAACTCACACAACGCACTCAGTGACTCAAACGCCAGTCGCTTGTAAGTTGCCTTGGTATTCGTGGCAGCGAGGTTTGGGAGATTGACGTTCATTACCGGGCGAGTCCCCTCGGAGCTAAAAATTGCTGTCAACTGCAATCCAGTGAAGGCAGTACTGAATCGCACTTACAGCTCAGTCCATGGTTGCTCGTTGAGAAGCATAATGCGTTTGATGTCCTTCCCTTCCCAAATTTGGTACGCAGTAAGGTTGTCGTTATCAGTCCAGAGTTCATTGATATACTTCATAGCATTAGCAAAAATCACAAGGTTAAGAGCTTATTTAACTCACAGTATTTCCTGAGTTCCCGATGGCATCCGCCACAGCAAGATATCCATAGTAAAGAGGCATGACGTGTCGCTTGGCCGAGGGCTCATAGTCGTAGACATTACCTCCGATATGGTTAATCGGCTCCCATGCTGCGAATTAATTAGCACTAAACAGTTCTCTTCCCTTCTCCTCATTGCAGACAAACACACCGCTGTAGTTATAGCCAACACCCTGATGAAAATACAACCCCGTGGCTCCAATGCTAGCTGCCTGAAGACTATAGTCAATCATCCAGAGCGCCTGAGCAGCGGCGTTGCTGACCCCTGGAGAGCCATGCCCAGAGAAACTGTTAGTCTCGCCAAGAACGAAAGGAATACCGGCCCTTTGCGCAGAGTTGGCCGATGCAGCGTATCGTGCGAGGTTGCTGCGTATGTTGGCCTTGTTAACAAGGTCCTCAGCGTTTTCGGCATACACAGCAAGGGAAGTCAAGTTGTACTGGCTTCCGCTCTGGTAGTGGTGCTCAGAAATGGAGTTGACAAATCTGGGAAATACCAATTAGAAGAGAGGTATGACTTGTAGTGAGATGAGAGGATTTGGCTTACTCTCCCATCGGTGACTGCATGATATTTGTCGCCAGCAGCTGCTCGCTTGTCCAGTACTCGGCGAAATCTCCAATCCTATACTTTCGTCCGTTGTTCTTGAGTTCCTTGTTGATCATATTGAAAAAGTCAATTCTTCAAGTGAGTCAGTTTTCACGGTTTCAAGGGTATCCTGTCATTATCATAGGCAGTTGGTATCATACTGTCGTGTCTTGTAAGCCCAAAGGCCCCAGTTGTCGCCGAGATCTTGCAGATCCATCTCATTGCCAAGCTCGATATTGTACAGCGTGACATCTTTGCACCGAGGATCCTAGATATACAAAATGAGTTATTTCCATTCCGAGCATTTTTGCATAAGATAATCTAGGACTCACCGTAAAAGCACTCTCAATCTCCCGCACCTGAGCCACTCCCTCGCTAGCATTGGTTAAAAAGTTGACGCCCCAGGTAAACGCCGTTCCCGCAGGCAAGTTGCAGGAGGATAACCAAAAGTCAGATCCCGCGCCAACAAATGTAGCTTCGGGAAAGAGATCCGTGGTAATAGGCAGCGGCGTTGGAATTGGTGCGAAAACATCGTAGAACCCAGGGCTGCCTGTCAGACTAGGCTCATAGTGGATTGCGTCTTGGGTGTCACCACCGACTCTATCCGAGTGTGAGTAACAAAGTACCCAAATATTAGTAAAAAGCTATTGCTGACCTGATCCTTGGTGCAACACCCGTCTTCTCCTTCAGATTGCTTAGCAACGTATAAGTGAACTCGTTCCTGTGGGTGCCGTTGCCTGCCCAATCTGGCCATCTGTCTGGTTCAATGGAGAGTCCACAGAGGTCTTGGGGGAGCGGTACAGCAACTTCCGGGCGACTTAAAGAATACTGGACCGTGGATTTGGTGCTTCCATGTGCTATAGTGATGATGCCGGCGAGGGCAAGCAAAGTGGTGGGAAGACGGGGCATTCTGGCTTTTAATGGGCCTACTGCATCACAGGAAAAGTTGCGAAAATGAATAATGATCGAAAGAAATTGCAGCGGTCGTTCAACTCCTCTTTGTATAGAGTTCCCAGGCATCATTAGCTCGAAAAGATCTACAGAAGGCCAACAAAGCAGGCATGGTGCGGGTTGATCCCCAAAAGTAATCCCATCAATCAGCATAGGTACACCATGAGGAGCTAGAAAATGTATCTCTAGTCGGCTTAATCCGAATCAAGCGGGATTCTGAGAGGAGACCGTGCCAATCGGGTCTCCGCTCCCGAAAGGCGGGGATATATGTCGAACGATCCTACGCTGGCAGCTCATCTGGCCAACAACAAAATAATTCAAGTTCTCCCACAAATGAAAATCAACCTTTCTTACAAATGATTCTCATGGCTTAGGGCTCGGGTGATTAGCTTCCGCCCTGCATTCGTGGGCGTACTGAGTACTAAACAACCTTGATCATACTCTCAACCCCTCTATTATTACAGTGGACTATTGGTTCATTTATTTGATGCATTGCTGTATGTGTGGTGCATGTGTATACTTGCTCAAGGCGTTCGATATCCGAACCACCACGGACACAGCTGTCGATGAAGCTATGCCAAGGAGGTGATACATGGGATTTGGAAATTGACCAACCACGCCTGCTATGCCCTATTGGGAAAGATCAACCCATGAAAAACCACGGATCCAGTCCCTCCTTCAACTGCCGCGCCGGGGTCTTCATCACAACCGGAACGGTGTCACGGAATATCCCAGCTGGGAAATACCCGGAGCTTTCTGCTTTACCGTTCATCATGCCCTGCTTTCCTTGGGTAGTAAGGTCAGTCTCAGTGATAGGTACAACCACACCGCATTCCCAGTTACGGCAGTTCAGCTTTGGTTGACCTGTTCCTCGATCCTTGACTAGCCTTCCCCTATCATTTTGTTATGGTCAGTCAACTGTATCCAAGGCATTGTCTATCCAGAAGCAGGTGAATATCGGGAAATCTTACCAAGCACTTTCAGACAAATTGGCACTCCCGACATAAGCCCATCCGTGAAACTGGGTCTCATCTGGCAGGATAATAGCTTCTACCGGCGAGACATAGATGATCTGTATGAAATACTAGTCAGCAAAAGACACGCTCGAGCTGGAGGATTAAGCAAAGAGCGAAAGTATATTCTGTTGACGTACCTTGTTGTGCATCAACACAGACCCTCTCTCACTCTCGCAATCTCTCATCACATGCCGCGGGAACTTTGCGCCCTGCCACCACCTTGACTGGAAGCAGATAGTGCCTGCCGTCATGGCAGGGTTAGAATGTGCGCGTCTCACGGTCTGATCGGATGGAAAATAGACGCGGAACCGATCACGCCATTCCTTGCCTGTCTCTTTTGTGATTTTTTTCTCAGGATCTCTGGGGTGCGATGATACAGCGGAAGCTTTTGTGTTGCGGATTATGTACTCAGTCAGGCCGTCGTCACCTGCTATGGGTTAGCAGAGTCCGAGCATATCGACTGGTTACGTGCCTTGGCAGACGAGGTAGATAGCTCGAAGGAATTCCTCGGTCAGAGAGCCGACGGAAGACGTCTGTGGCCTTGGTCAGGTTGGTAAGATCTTAAACGGTTCTAGGGAACTGACCACAAACTCAATGTTGATTGGCTTGGGTGACTGAAGTCCCAACCTGGCCACCGCACGCCCTAGTCCGCAATGCCCAGTTCGCTTCCATGAGTCACCTGTGTGAGATCCCCCACTAATAAGTGATCATATCAGCATTTGCTTGCCGCTGAACGAAAAAATTTGGAAACGTACACTGTATGCACAAATGCGTAGCGGGCAGTCTTGCTGAAATCAAAGCTGTCAAGCTTGGAAATTACGTTCTCGTGAAGGGTCATGGCCTTGAGGAAGTAGACCAACTCTTCATAGAATGCAGTCTTCGAGCACTGGGAGGAAATGTCGTCGGATTTCTTGGGGAGATCAATCAAAAAGGCACTCTAGAATCTGGGGTCAGTTCTGTAGCAGATAGCTCAGGGTTATTTACATACGTTTTCCATCAAGCCGTTCTCGCCCCAATCAAAAGTAGTGAGGTTTGCTGTTGGAACTACGATGCGAAGGTATTCCCGGTGAAACAGAAGCATCAGCTTGGAGTGCATGCAGTTGATCTGGCCATCCATCGGTGGAAAGCACAGTTTGAGGTTCGGCATGTCTGATGTTTCTTGCTGATATTGAAGTTTCTGTTTGCATAGGAGTCTCTATCAGATACTATGCCACGAATCACAGGGGGAACTCTTCTTACTGTTTCTTCTTCCTTGGCCTGCATCACGAAAATAAATCTCGTTCGCTGAGTGTCCAGCTTTGAAAATAGCCATTCCATATCCCACATGAACGAGCTGAGAACTGCAAGCTCCAAGTCAGCTCGTTGAAACACCTCTTCAATTGTGATGTCATCCCCCTTTCGCGGGATACCGGACACATGTGTCTTCTTGACAGCTCCCAGGGGCCACTGGGGTACGGGTCGAGCGGTTGGCTGCACACCAAATTTCGATGAATTTGCTGCTGTGCTTTGGCAGATGTTCGAAGGAGGTGTCGAGGTCAAGGTAGGGCTTGAGAATGGGATAGCCGTGTCTCTCAGTACAGGCTCGGTTCTGGGAACCTTTGACTCCGATTCTGGCAATGGAGAAGAACCATCGTCGGCTTTGCGTTTTTTAAGTCGTGCGAGACGCTCTTCCTCCATCTGCTTTCGGTTCAGGCCCAGGATACCCGAGGGTTTCGAGGCCACTGGGACATTGGGAGCAGATGCGTTCGATAACATGGTGGAAATTTTCTCTGTTGCAGAGGGAATCGGAGCTTGAGAAACATCCTCCTTTGTGTTTTTCTCCAAGGACATTGCGAGGGCTCGCTTGAGTTCTTCGTCGTCCTCATCTTCTTCAGCCTCATCCTCAGTCTCAGAGCCAATGAGCGACTTGGACTTTGGGTGGACCTCTTTCACATCAGACTCGTCATCCGAATCAGCAGTCAGATCTACCAAACTGTGATGGGTCACTCGAGACGATGATTCGCCACTGGGATTAGATCTTTGGGTGTCTCGAAGCGAGGCTTCAATGGCGGCTTTGAGATCCGGGTCATTTAGATCATCAAGATCATCTTGATCCATATTGAATGGACTGGAAATTTCAAGCGGTTCAGTAAGATGGTATGGAATAAGTCGATCAAGCAGATTCCGAAAACCAGAGTTGTCCAGTGTTGAAGAAAGTTGGATCAGCACGATGGTTGATCACGTCCGATCATGCGCTGAGGCGATGGCAAGGCATGAAAGGCATCGAGATATATATAAGCAGACAATTAAAGTGAGCAAAGGACGGTATTGCTCGCCCGCGCCGATGAGTTCGAGGAGTGTGAAGAGGACAGCCCCTGTTGATGGTGTCGCTGCCTTTTACGGACGTGCACGTGACTATGACTGAGCCGACAGTGAGACAGAAGAGGCTCGTCGACTGGTCCTTACAAGTAGGTATGGTCTTAAATTGGTTTCAATGGTATTATATAGATCATTTTATGCCTTTATTCGACGGAGAAATGTCCCAACAACAGTCCTATATACAGACATCGAAGAATATCAGGACATTGCAATGCCAAAGCCCGGCTTGAGAACAATCTACCGTTTTATCTAGTTCACAGCATCAAAAGGAAGGCATTTGGAGGGGAAAACGAATCCCAAGAAGTTCTTCAAGTTTATATGCCACTAAGATACCATCCACGGGAAGCGATAGGGCAGCTTGCTTGGTTCAATAGCGGCAGCAGTCGATGACAGAGGCCGGAGAAACGTCGCGAACAAGGAAGATCCGTCATAGGCAGTGCGTCTTTTCGGAATTCAGCGAGGCATTAGACCTCGGAATGGCCCAGAATAACAGAATTGACGACTGGAATCGTGAGATATCTGGAATTCGCCAGGTCCTTCTCCACAGCAAAGTTTAGGGAAAGATTCTCCTAGAGGCGCCAAGTACTCTCCATGTCGCAAGAAAAAAGACCTGGTCTGGGACTCCCAAGACGAACCTTCACATGAGGCTGTCGAGGACTGGAGGGGAGGTCAACCAAGGACCATTCACGCAGTCTTGCAGTCGTAGGCAGGGACAAGCTCCCTCATTTTGCCCTGGTTAAGAACCAGGGTTCAATTCATCAGATACACTGCAAAACTAGGTCGATAATGGCAAAGAAGACATCTCGGTCTGCATCCGCTGTGACAAGTCCGAGGCCAAGAACAAGCAAGCGTTTTTCATCTGGTGTTTTGGTGGCAATGGCACTTGCAATTTGGCGAGCATACAGTTGGCCAACGGTATCATGTCCGGGAGCATGGCCACCCAATAATGAAGTTGCCGTCAAATTACTCAGAGGCAAAAGACCGTCACCGTCAACCTCGGATATGGTGTGCATGCCATCAGTCCCTGGGTTTCGATTCTCAAGGGGCACATGCAGCTAAATCGTCAGTATTAGAAGTCGTATGCCATGGTATATCCGGGACTCACCCAGTGCGCCAACCGGCCTTCTTGCGAAATGGTAATCAAGATCTTATCGCTGAAGCCCATGACCATAACATCGGTCTGGATCCCATTGACAATCCCCGCCACCTGCTTGGTGGATACAGGGAAAGGGAGCTGGAGAGACTCTTGCAGCAGGTTGGTGTCGAATGCCTCGGCCATGGTCAATTAATGGTTGTCAAGCCAGTTGTGTTTGTCGCGGCCGTTGTTTGAAGCTCCCCACGCGGTACGGGCGATAGCGGCCTTGGGGGAAAAAAGATGACTAAGCCCATACTTAAGATTTCAATGTTCACCGCTCTCAAGCCCGCCTTCGGCACAATCAATTTTTTGGTCCGCGAAAGACACAGCGACGAGACTCGCAACCATCAGTCGTTATTTCGAATTGGATGTCTGGGGTCCGACAAGATGCCCAAGTTTATTCCGCGTCAGCGGAAACAGAAGCATCGTCAAAGGGAACAACCGGCGCCCGTGGACACCAATGTCGTCGAGCTCCAGCCCATTTCCAAAGATGAAAAAGAAGCGAAAAGACAAAAACTCCGAGAGGAGCTGGGGCAGCAACATCCTAATGTGTCTTCGAAAAAGAAGAAGCGTCTGGATAAGTATATTGTATGTGGGACCGCTGCATTCACATCAAGAGAAGATCTCTAACACCCGGTGCAGGACAACAAACTCAAGAAAGAAGAGAACCTGGAGCTTCTGAAGAAACTGGCTCAGGCGCAAGTCGACACCTCCTCTTTGAAAAGTTCGAGGGAGCTGGGAACGCGCAAGACACCAGCAGGCGAACACCAATCCACGGCACCCGTCACCACTTCCACCGAACCCTCCGCCCCCGATCTGTCCGGAGATGAGTCCGACGAGGGAGACCGGAGGCTCAAGGTCTCCAATCCTGCAACCGACCCCGAGCCGGCACCGGTACTACAAGCAGCTATGGGAAGTGGATTGAAACGTCCGCTCGAGGTTGGGCCCGATGGCTTCCCGGTCATCAAGAAGCGAAAACGTGCCGCAAAGCCGACCCCTGCGCCGGTGGCAGAGGAGGTTGCATGGGAAGGGTTTGATTCGGATGATGAACAGGCAAGCGGCGGTGAAAATGATGCTGAAAGGGATTCAGAGGATGAAGATTCCGAGGGTTCCTCGGATCAAACATCAGACGATGAATCCGATGATGAAGACGAGGACTCTGAAAACAATGATGAAGAGAGCGAACCGGCTTCAAAACTCAAGGTTCGCCAGTCGGCCTTCAAGTCCTGGGCCGTTCAGCAAATCAACGACGCAATCGGCTTCCAGCCAACGACCGGACCTGTGGTGATTGAACAAAATCAAGCATTTGCGCCTCTCGAGAAGGCAGCCAAAAACTCAGTCTACGAGGAAGAACCTTTACCCCAAGAACTACAGGTGACCAAAGGAGATCCCAATCGCAAAGCATTTAGTGTTCCGGTCATCCGCTCAGAAGAGATTCAAACTGCCCGCCTTGGACTGCCAGTCGTGGGTGAAGAACAGAAAATCATGGAAGCAATCCACAACAATTCCACTGTCGTCATCTGGGGAGCTACAGGTAGCGGAAAGACGACCCAACTGCCGCAGTTTCTATTCGAGGCCGGCTACGGTAACCCAGACAGCCCTAATCCAGGTCTGATTGGTGTGACGCAGCCTCGCCGAGTTGCGGCTGTGAGTATGGCGAACCGTGTGTCTCAGGAATTGGGACAGTACTCCGACAAAGTCTCGTATCAGATTCGGTTCGAGACGACTGTATCGAGTAAAACAGCCATCAAATTCATGACGGACGGTATTCTACTACGAGAGATTGCAGATGACTTCTCTCTCCGCAAGTACTCTGTCATTATCATTGATGAGGCACATGAACGGAGTGTGAACACAGACATTCTCATTGGAATGGTCAGTCGCATCGTGGACCTGCGCAAATCGATGAGTGAGGAGGATCCGTCAGTCAAACCGCTCAAAGTCGTCATTATGTCTGCTACACTGCGCATCTCCGACTTCACACACAATACGAGCCTCTTCCGCCAAGGCCCGCCTCCTTTGGTCCAAGCAGAAGGGCGGCAGTATCCGGTCACGGTTCATTTCGCCCGGCGCACGCATCGCGACTACGTCGAGGAAGCCTTCAACAAAGTTTCAAGAGGACATCGTAAACTGCCACCGGGGGGGATGCTTGTGTTTTTGACTGGGCAGAACGAGATCCGACAACTCTCGAAGCGACTGAAGCAAGCTTTCAAGCCGACACAGCGGGGAGACACCACCCAGGCAAAAGTACAGCTTTCAGCCAACGATGCGCCTTTGGAAGCGGAGGATTTGGAGCTGGGGGGCACGGAGATGTCTCCAGCGGATCACGAAGATGATGATAGCGACGTGGAGATCACTGGCCTCGACGACCCTGAGGAAGAAGATGACGGGTTTGATCTGGGTGAAGAGGCCATGGATTCCTCAACAAAGGTCCACGTCTTGCCTCTGTACTCTCAACTACCCACCAAAGAGCAGATGAAAGTCTTCGAGCCCCCGCCAGAGAACTCACGACTGATTATCCTCGCCACCAACGTTGCCGAGACCTCACTCACGATCCCCGGTATCAAGTACGTCTTTGACTGCGGTCGAGCCAAGGAAAAGCAATTTGATTTGTTCACTGGCGTCCAAAGCTTCCAGATCGGCTGGATCAGCAAAGCCAGTGCAAGCCAGCGAGCTGGACGAGCCGGACGAACTGGGCCTGGTCACTGCTATCGGTTGTACTCCTCAGCGGTCTACGAGGGCGACTTCGCCGAATATACAGACCCGGAGATCTTGCGCACGCCCATTGAAGGTGTCGTCCTCCAGATGAAGAGCATGGGTCTCCACAGCGTGATCAACTTTCCGTTCCCCACGCCCCCCAGTCGGCAAGGTCTCGCCAAAGCAGAGAAACTACTGCAAAACCTCGGTGCCCTTTCTGGCGATGGCCGAGTGACGCAGATCGGTCGCCGTCTATCGACATATCCGCTCTCCCCGCGGTTCGGCAAGATGCTCTATATCGGCCACCAGCATGGCTGCATGCCCTATGTCATCGCTTTGGTGGCTGCCCTTGCTGTGGGCGATCTCTTTGTCACTGAGAACCAGTTCAATCCGACTGCCACACCGGCCAAGAAGAAGAATGACGAGGATGATTCGGACGAAGAAGGAAAAAGGATCTACACCAATGCAGACCGTCTCGAAGACACAGAGCGCGAGCAGCGCTCCAAAGACTACGCTCGTGTCCAACGTCTTTTCAGCAAACATGACGACACCTCCGACGCACTGAGATACCTTTCTGCAATCTGCGCCTACGCCTACGCAGCCGACGGCGACGCCTTCAGTGAAAAGATGTTCCTGCGCGCCAAAGCCTTCAAAGAAGCAACCCAGCTGCGCCGACAGCTGACCGATATCGTGCGCTCAAACAACCCAGGCCTGGTGGGCGACTACACGGCCCGGCTACCAGAGCCATCGCCGAAACAGCTCAAGGCCCTCAAACAAATCATCACCGCAGGATTCATCGACCAAGTCGCCATTCGCGCAGACTTGGCCCCCATTCCGCCGGAGATGCCGCGCACGCCTCGCCGCGCCATCGATGTGCCCTACCTGACTCTCTTCCGCTCGCGCAGCGACGGCTCAGCACAGGACATCCTCTCGCGCGCTGTCTTCGTGCATCCTTCTTCCTTGCTGGCTAAGCTGTCTCCCAAGGAAATGCCCCAGTACCTCGTCTACTCGCATCTCCAACAATCATCCGCCCACAGCGTCGGTAGTGAGCAGCAACCCAAGATTAGAATGTTCCCCCTGGTCGTACCGAGCGGCCTACAGCTCTCCGCTATTGCGCACGATACTCCGCTTATTGAGTACGGCAAGCCCATCGGCAAGACCGAACTTATAGATGGCATTCCGCAGCGCCGCTCCTGTTGGGTTGTTCCAGCTTTGGTGGGTGATGCGGGTAGTACTGGCTGGCCCTTACCTGCGAAGAAGGTGGTTCAGAAGAAAGATCCGAAAGAGGGGTGGGTTATTGAGAAGTTTGTAGCATAGATTCCCGTCTAATGAGATCATGAACTTGGTCATTTGCATCATTTCATTGCCTAGTGATTGACATTTTAGTCTTAAAGGTAAAGAATTTTCGATAGCAATGCAAGACATGCACCAATGCGCCTAGGTAGTAATCGTCCCAAACTCCATCATCCGAACGAAATAAGAGCATACCCCATCTAATAATCCCTCCTCCGACCCCTATCCTCGTATGGCCGTCGCCCACCACTAAGCTCCCCAGTCTGCCGATCCTCCTGAATGCCCAACGCCTTGCGCAACCGCTCACTTTCCTCGATCTTCGCCTCCGCCAGCTCGTGCACCTGATAAGATTTAAGCTGTCGTCGATCCTTAGGCAGAAGAGTTCTTTTGACTCGTCGAGCACCTCCGGCCTCTTCCTCCTCCAGTTCCTTAATCAGACGCTGCCGCAGCGCCTCGCACCGCTCATCAATTTCTTCCTCGGATAACACCTTCTCTCCCTTATCAGCTTCATCCTCGCCTGCCTCTTTCCCCTTCCCTTTCCCCTTAGACTGAGACTTAGATTTCGCCTGCTCTTCCTCAATCCGCTCATTCTCCTCTTCCAATCTCTCCCGCTCCTCCATAACCTTCACTTCAATCGCGCGCCGTCGGTCATGCTCGAGGATCTGCTTATCCGGCATACGCTGCTTGAATGGTTTCTCGGCGGCGTTGTTGGCGCCTGAAACGGGTGGGTAGGGCGCGCCGTAGCCCCGGTTACGCGGCTTCATGAGCGCGAAATTGCGTTGCACGTAGCCGGATGTACCGCTGCCGCGCGGGGGTGGAGAGACCGACATTTTCGGCCATTTTTGGAGGTGGGAGGTGTTTGTTAGAAGGGTGATTTTGAGTGTGCAACTGAGGTAGGGTGGAGAGGATATTCTCCTCTGCTTTGTCGGTGCTCTGTTTCTCGTTCGATTTCAGAGAGCTGCGTGTTGCAGAAATGAGGTGGTGATATCGCAGGAACGTGGGGCTTGGATAATATTATCGGAAATTGAAGATATGCTTTCAGGCTCGTTGATCAAGTGAGTCTTGTCTCCGGCGATGTAGTTCCGAGAAATTCATCGTCGCAAAGCTCCAAAGATCTTATCTTAATCACATGATATAACGAGTCACGTGATACGGACTCTGTAATGCTTCCCTCCGCTGTTTGAATGATGCTATCTACTCTGGGTTATTGGTTTGATGGTCAATCCAGGATGTCTAGAAATGGCAAGCAGCTCAAGTTGCATATAACAATACATCATGTCCCTCAACAACCAGCAAGTACATGTAACAAACGACCCACGGGAAGCACTGTTTAACAGGAGCAGCAGCCCAAGGGAGGTATTAGGTATGAGCAACAGATTTCAATTGAAGTAGGTCACTGTATACCGAAAACAAGAAAAAGAAAAAAGAGTCAGCGAAAATAAAACCCATGATGCAATTCCCATATAACAATGCTCAACAACGATTCTCTTTTGAACAAGTGACCGGCGCAAAGAAAAATGAAAGAACAAGAACAAAAAACAAAGTGTCATCTCCCATATTTCCGAATCCGAATTTCCTCTCAAGTCGTAAAAATAGAGCCATGTTCGTTTTTAATTTCACACTCCCATTTCCCACATACCCAGGTCCTGCAAAACACACAAAAAAAAGACACACAGAAGACGCCGAATTCAAAGACACACAGGTAAAGTTCTCAGACCGAGGCAGCGAGAAGCATTGACAATCGAATATTTGGCCGGAGGACATAAGGGAATAAAAGGTACCACAATCGTAGAAAATAAACAGTCGAATCACAGAAGGGATAAACAAGGTCAGCAAATCCGAGAAGAGAGTTAAAGATCAAACATCGAAGCCCTATTCTTGCGCCGTCAAGCCATGGTAAGGGGGGGAGAGAAAGAGGAAACACATAGACGTTGTTGGTAATCATATATCACACCGGGATCCCCTGTATGTATACGCCCATATTAGATAAGAGAGAACAAGAATCGGCTCAGCTCAAGTAATGATTAGAAGGATTATGTGGGCAAGCAAGTAAAGTGTGCAACGAATCAGTGAGTACTGGCGATGTCCACGGGGACGGTAACACCGGTGTTGCCCGCTTCCGGGCCCGAGACCGGGGTCACAGTGCTCTTAGCAAGTCCCTTCGGTTCAAGAGAGCCGTCAACGGTGCTCTGGTTGTCGGTTGGGGGAGGTGTGGGCGGCGCAGTCCCAACAAAGGCGCGAGGCTGCTCCATGGTCGGGATCAAGCGCTTAGAGGGCTGAGGTGAGGACTTGTGCGAGTTGGGAGGAGTGGTGGAGGTGGTGTGAGCCAGAGGGCCTGTCACCGGAGAGTTTGGGTCGAAGATGAGCTTCTCAATTGCGACGATCTGTTTGCCATAGCTGAATTTCTTCAACTGGCTCAGCATTGGCTTGATTTGGTCAATCAGAGCCTCGCGCTCGGCGCCCTTGAGCTGGCCGAGAACTTTCTCTGTAGATAATGTCAGAAAGAAACAAGGTTCGGTAGGCGGTTGACTTACGGATGACATAGTTGCCATACTGATCCCGCATCAGACCGAGCAGGGGGCTCTCGCCGCGATCGTTGGGAGAAGTCAAGGTGGAGATGATGTGGTGGCGTTGGTCTGCGGTGCCGAACTCGATGCTCTTCTCGACCACATTGCTGGCAAATTTGTGCTTGGAATAAGCCAGAAGCTGTGACATGACGATTTGGATCATGCGATCGCGATCCTTCTCGTCGCCGTTCTCAATCACATGTTGAATCACGTAGTTGCCGAACTGGTCGGGGATCAGATTGGCCGTGCACGCGTGAAGTTCGGCGAGGATAGACTCCCGGTCAACTTCCTCACAGTGTTCGAGCATGCGTTGGATAACTCGGCATCCGTACGGGTGTGCAGCAAGTCTGTTCACCTGGCCTCGGAAGGCATTGATGATAAACTGCACATATTGCGAAGGAACTCGTTCAATAGCTTTCTGAATGACGTGGTTGCCATTCTGGTCCCGAACACATTTGAGGACATGGTTCTCCAGCTCCTTGACCATGCCAGCTTGCTGGTCAGTCAGAATGTGCTCCAGTGCCTGATGTTGAGTCAGTAGCGTTCTTCCCATAAAAAGCAAAGCAAAATATACCTTTTGAACCACACGGCACCCGTACATCTGTGTTGACAAAGCAAGGACATGTCCTCGCATCTGGTTCGCCAGAACCTTCTTCTGGGTCTGATTGCCATGTTCGAACAGCTTTTGCACAACGTAGTTGCCAAAGACATCCGTCATCAGTTGCAAGCAGTTGGGCTGAATTTCACGGAAGACTTGCTCCTTCTCATCACTGTTGGCAGTCTCCAGCTTTTGCTGGATAAACCGTGAACCATGCTGATCACCACTGAACTCGACAACATGGTTGTAGATGTCCTTCAACTCATATCGTTTGTTTCCTTTGCTGTTCGCCCGGAACTCTTCCAGGAGGGGACTGCGAACAACTTGGGTGGGATCATGGTCGCGATGGCCTCGAGAGACTAGGGCAGCCGCTCCGAGCTGACCGAGGTGGGTGACGGGGTAGAATCCAGAAAGAGCATTCAGACGAGCTGACTGGTAGCCAGAATAGTCGTAGGAAGGAGGAAATTGTCCCCGCTGGAGGGAGCCCGAAGGGCCTTGCACTAGCTCCTGTTCCTGAAGATTCCGGAGTCTCCGCTCGAAAGCAGCTGCCTGGGTGTCGGAGAGACGGCCACCATTGTTTCGATACTGCACCGATGCCTCCGCCCCAGCGTACAAAGGACTATCCATGCGAGTATAGTCTGACGGGGAGATGGAGCCAGTGTCTGCCGCACGGGACCGACCCTGGTAGGCAAGATGCATGTCCGATGTGCCTTCTGCACCATACCCAGCCAGTGTCTGGTAGCCGACATCGTCGGCCTGGTACTTGACCCGCGGGTAGGACCCATCAAAGGATGCGTGAGGGACGTATGGAGGTCGCTGACCTGATTGCTGCGAGCCGTATCCGGCCTCGTTCAGTTGCAGCTTATTGAGACCAGCGCTCAGGTCGACACTGCCGTAACGGCTGTCAAGACCGTGGTTATCGGAGTAGAATGAGGGTTGAGCAGAGTGGGTCGGGCGTTGCGGCGCATATGAGGCAGAGTTGTGAGGCATGTGGGCGAGTGCACTGCGACCTTGGGGCGGGGACACCGTGTCTGACATCCCAGGGGCCAGGGATGACATACCCATCGGGGTGGCCATATCATCCGCGCGTGCACTATCCAGAGTAAAACCAGACTTCACCGGGAAGGTAGCCCCCACGGGACTGTTGCCCAGACCGCTCGAGTTGATCTGCCGTCGACCCTCGCCGTTGCGAAGACTAGGGAACCCACCAAATGATATGCCATCAGCCGAGGGGGAAATTCCCTCTGATGCCGTGTTGAGATATGGCCGGTGGCTCGCGGTACTAGCACCGCTGCTGATTCCCGACGTGCGAGGCATTGTAAAGTATGAGGTTTCACCCGCCTCATTGAGGACAGCTGCGCTCCGGTCATTGCCGCGAGTCTGAATGGGTGAAGTGGCCATGCCACCTCTGTTCTGGCCCATCGACAATGATGAGTTGACGGTACTCCAGGGCATGTTCGGACGGGCTGCCCAACCATCTGATTCAGATGAGGACAGCAACGAACCCGAACCGGACTTGCCCTCGAAAGCAGTCTCGCCAAGGTGTTGATCTACCAAACGGTCAGCATTCCTCCAAGTCTGTAATCCCGACAGCGACATACCATCCCCGAACCCACCTCCTAGGTTGGCATCACCCCAGATGTTGCTGTTCCAGTTGGACTTGCTAGTCCCGAAGCCCTTTCCTACACTGTTGCTCTGAGATCCACGCATGCGGTCACTGTTCATCCCGGATGAACCCATGTTGGAAGCTCGGCTCGATCGTACCTGTGAAACGACGGTTAGTCTTGTCTTCCCTGTTTCCTCCCAATGAAGACCCACGTTATGTACGCTGGTTGCATTAGCGGCCATGGTAGAAGCCATCCCAGGAAAAAGAGCCGATCAACAAATGAAGAAGCAGGTATGTACTCGAGCGGCGAGCGAATATTTGCAAGGAGTGCTAGTAGGACGGCGATCTGTTTGTACTAAATCACAATGCCGATACGACCGACCGAAGATTTGTCGGCCTGTATTTGCAACGGGCACCAGGCACCAAGAACGGCGTACACGAAGAAATATAAGACTGCAAGTCGCAGCGATCCTTGTTAGCAATGCCGTCCATCCAGGCGCAGTGACAGGTATACAGGGTGTCCAGGGCATCGAGGGGAGCAACTCACCAAAGGAGGAGCGAGAAGGGGGACGGTAGAAGCAGAGACGGAGAAAGAAGAGGTTGTTTTGTTCTTTTCCTTTTTGCTCAGCAGCCACAAGCCCGAAACATGTACAGAGTTGACAGGAGCGCAAAGAAGGGAGCCGAAAGGGAGGGAGCCTAGCAAGCTCCGACGGGGTGAGAAATGCTGGTGGGCAGCGAGATGGCTGGAGGAAGAAGAGCACAGCAGTGTAAGATGCAAGGCGACAGGAATTGACACGATCTAAACTGCCCTTCGTTTGCCAGTGCAGAGGGTGTGGCGGTTGATAGCCGGAAGGTCAATATTGAGGCTTGTCGCGACGTTACTCTGCGCCGGGCATGCTCCAGGAATCTCCCAACCTGCCGATCGTCTTCATGTGCCTTATGTGGAGAGGCGATCGCCGAGAATGGTAATCAGGACAGGGCCTTGGGTGATTGGCGGTAGGCAAGGGGGTGGTGCGAGTGAGTGTGTCGGCGGGACGAGGGGATAGTCGAGTCGAATAGCGTGAGCTGAGATTCGATGGAGGAGGAATGCCGCACACCGAAGGAGAATCCGAGGGCGAGGGAGAGAGGAGGGGGGAAGGAGAAAGGGTCAGGTTCAGTGGGTCGATGGATGGGAATGTGGGCGAGAGACAAAGCACGGCATTAATGTAGCCCAGCTGTCACACAGGAGCATGACACGCCCGACGACAGGGAGTCTGGGAGTTTGGGGACGTCGGTCGGTAGGGGATGTGGAGCAGAGGGAAAGGGCAAGAAGGAGAACAAGAGGGGGGAGGAGAAAGGGAGAAGGAATCGCACGCAAGAGCGGAAAAAGAAAAGCTGAAGGTCGTCGAGATGATAGATAAGGCGAGAGAAAAATGATGCGGCGAGTCCCAGAGAACTTTGGAGATCTGCCGCGTTACCGTTTGGTATGGTCATGCATCGAGCGATCATGGAACGGATACTTCGCCCACAATACATTGGATTACGGACGCCTATGTACCGCGCCGGTAACATACGGTCACCGTCGATCTACGATCTCTCCCCCAGCTCCCGGCGCTTCTTTTTAGCCTGGCCCCATCTCTTTCTTTGTTCCAGCGTCAATTGACGGACAGGACAGGACAGCAAACGACCGGAGCGAAAAGAACCCCCGGTTGCACCCCTGCAGCAGGGTCATCATGGTCAAATGCAGTAGCTCCCCCTCAGGGTTCCTTGGGCGACCGTGCTCAGTCGGGCCAGCCTGCGGAATCGAGGTGCAAAACTGAAGTCATTCACACCAAACCACCTTCGGCCAAAAGTTCCTAGCGATCCACTCCGACAACCTCCTGGCATGTTCGACAGCAACCACGGGAGGGCCCGACGCAGGGTCAGCGCATACCATGGGCTGTGCGGTGCTCCCCACGGACTCTGGCAGCAGGACACCATTTACCAAGAAGCATTATTGATTGCCTGTCCGGTGTGTATATACAGATGGAGGAGACCGACTGTCTGATCGATCGGGGCCCACTTAGCCCTACTCCGCCGAGTAAGGCTCCCCAGGGAAGGGACGCAACTAGCGATAAATAATCCCAGGGGCAGCAAACTGCGGTAACTTTACCAGAACAATCCCAGGGAATGCGGGTCGCCCGGGAGGCGACGGCGGCGCGAGTGGTCTTGCCCGGTTGAGGACGGAACATTCTTCTTTCTCCAGCCAAGCGTCCGCCACTTTTGTAACTAACGGGGCGCGCAGACTGAAAAGCGCCGCTCAGACAAGACCTCAACCAGACATGGTCTCTGGGGCCGCTTCCTGACCTGGATGTCCTTTCGTACATGATACTATCGAGATTGTCGCAGACATACAAGGGGGTGATGGTTGTCTCAAATAGCTGCGGATGGTCCCAACGGCCACGCCGATAGAACAACAATAGAACCTGCCAGATGTAAATAATCGACCCGGCCAGCCCCCTTGCGTCTCTCCCACTAACACTACTGACCCTTGGGTCCCTCTGGCGAGATAGTCTGCAAATCAGGACCATGCGCCAGGGCCCATCGGTACCTTCGCCCGTGATAATTCCAAAAGAGACCGAGACACCAAGGTAAAATAAAGTCATACAAGGCGCAGGCGAACAGGGATCTAGGCGTTCGCGATCCTTGCACCGGGGTTGCACAGGGTAGGTGTCAGTTGCCATCACTCGCAGAAAAGTCCGCGACCTCCCCCGGATCTGTTGTGAGTGTTGGGCTGGCTGAAACAGGCGGAAGTGTGACGAGTACTTGGCTCCACTAGGTAATCGTGATGTGTGTATATTTTAACTCAGCCGTTGGCGGTGACAGGTTGTAATATAGCTCGTTTTTGGCCCGATTCGGGATTTCTTGTTTGGGGGGCAGGATCAACAACGGCTTTAGATCGAGGCAGAATATTAAGGGTATTAAGGTTATTGAACAGAGTGTTATTCTAAAGTCTAGAGTTGTACGTGTCGGTATTGTTGTGGGTTGAACAAGATGATAGTTCAGATTCGGGGTTGTATATATATCGGGACCCACTGCTCAGTTCTTCTCACCCACATCAGATTTTGCTATGTCCAAGCGGATGTAAACGAGAGGAAACGGAACATCCACTATGCCCCTCTTGCTTTGGTTTTAGCAGAGGATACTCGTCAAATGACCACCATTGTGGACCAGACGGGTACGAGCATGCGCACTCAGGAGCATGTGGTTCGTGGCAGCGGTTCGCCAGAGAGGGAGGAACGAACGGCCGGAGTTGACTATGCGCTGGTTACACTACGCGACACGCTTGGTACGGCGGACAGGAGACTGCGAAATCCCCGGCGCTTCCAGGCATCAATCACTTGAACCTCTCCATTGCATCATCCTGGACCTGTCAGCACGCCCTAACACACGGACGCGGATCCTTTGAGCCCAGCCTTGGGGTCGGTTCGAAGGGAGTGGGTGTCAACCTGCTAACATCGACGACCGCGTCGGATACAGTCCTAGATAGGTCTCATATGATTCTCCCCAACGGCCACTGCCTACCAAATCGACGCAAAACCGGTGTGTCCGGGGCATCACGCTCAGGGGAAGCCAAAACCGTTCCGTGGGGCGGGCTAGATCATCACCCACTCACAGCGTTGCCAGGCCAAAAATCCAGGCACACCCGACCTCCGATTGGCCCCCAACGCGCCGACCAACAGTGCCATCAACAAACCCCTAAGCCCACTCCAGCCTAGCTCACTAGTCTAGCCCTGCCTCGCCCTCGCTCTCCCCTTTCTCCCCTTCCTCTCTCATTCTCCATCTCACTCCTCCATTCTTTCTTTCCCTTCACAACTCCCCCTCTCTCCCCCCCCTCTATCCCTCCCTTCAACGCACGAGTCAGCTTCACTCTTTCAGCTGCTCTGCAATCCATTCTTTCTTATCGTCCAGCCACTCATTCTCACTCGATTCCATTCTTTCTCCAGCCGTGTCCCGATCCGGCCAATTCATTCCAGTCGCGTCTTCGATCGATCTATCTTTATTTTGGTTATCTCAAATGATCTAAGCAACTCTTCGTGGATTCTGATTTCGACGATCAACAACCTCGTGTCGCCAACATCGAAAACCACCGACCGCCCAACCCACGATCACCCTTCGACCCGTGATCGACGACAAAGATGTTCTTTTCCCAGCTCATGCGTCGTGACGACAGTAACAATGGCGGACTCTCTACCCCCACAGTTGACCTCCTGATCACCCTACTGGTTCTCATCCTGATTGCCCTCGCCCTGGTCGGCGGCCTCCTCGTGCTGCGCCGCAAGCGCAACGCCCGCAAGGATCAATCGGTCCTTCCCATTCACAACGCACAATGCACCCAATCCCACCACTCGCGTCGGTTAACGATAACGGCCTCCCGGACCGAATCTGTCCTGTTGTACGACGAGAAGCGTAACTTAATGGAGAACTCGGACAGCCCGCCACCTAGCCCCGTGCCTGAAATCCGCATCACCTTCCCAGAAGAGGAAGATGAGTCCGGCAAGCGCAAGTCCGGCCGCATGGTCATCGTTCGCATCAGCGACGCCGGCAGTGTGGGCCTAGAACCATGTCACGAGGAGCTGCCGCCATATCAAACCACCGATTCTGGCCGTTTCCACTCCTTGGATATTGAACGGATGGGTGGGTTGAAAGAGAAAGAGGATGTGCGATATGCCTAGAGGACCTACTACCAGCGAAATCATCTGGCAACCTTGGTAGTCCTCGATCACCCCCGATCTTATCTCCGCACCCTTTCCCTACGACCAACCCAAAAGCATGACCAGCATCCTGGCGAACGTCACTGGTTTTTTTCTTCACTATACCTATTGTCCCCAAACCCACCCACCTGCGCAGTCTGCACATAGGCAGAGTAACTCTTTGGAATCGGCCTCATCCCAGGAAGTCCTTGAGACGACGGGTCTCGTGCAAGTCATGGCGCTTCTTCTCTCACAACTGGATACCAGCTGAGGCTGGATTGTGAATAGCGAGGGCCTGCCAATTGATTGTCTTTTTGTCTGAGCGTGTCATATCTTTATCATGGCGTTTTTGAATTCTTTCCTCGGTGCTCATCTCCAACCCTGTCATGTTCCTAGGGTCTGGAAGGATATGCACGAGGGCTTTCCTCTCCTTTTCTCTTTATCTTCTCTTCGACGAACCTCTTCATGGGGTGCACCTTTTCACTTTTTTTCTGTACTTTGTGGTGCCCCCTCTACTCCTTACCCTTCTTGTGTGCCCCTTGGTACTGGCAGCTGGATAATGTATGTACTTAGTCCTCCTATTTGAGTCCGCCTTCTGAGGCAGCTCTGCAATCTATTGCGCGTTTCTACCAGATTTCCTACATCAATCGTAGTCAAGTAAGAAGAACTGGAGCGTAGCTGAAATGTTGTTGTGTGCTCTTCGTCTCGGCCAATCACCGCCCATTTCCCCAAACCCGCCCGTTCCGCGACGTCACCCACTTTTTTCTTTCTCGACCTTCAATAGCTCTTTTTCTTCCTTTTTGCTTGCTGCCACTCTCCTTTTCAACCTCCAACAGTACCTACCGCCATGTACCTTTTCTAGCTCCCCTACGTGCACGAAAGCCGGTCAACAGAAAGAGCTCAGAAGGGGCCAGCTGCGTGACCCGTGTCCGGCGCGGCCAGCTTTCACTTTAGACTCATTCAGTTCTTTCGCGTTTCCTCTCGTCTGAGTCCGGCCAATTGAAACAGTTGACCGCGTGCTTACCGTCGGATAACCTCTCGCACCACAATCCAGTATCACCGTGTCCCAAAACCCTTGTTCGGCATAGGAGTAGTGGCCCTCAACACCTCCCCTCAAAACCACCACACAGTCCGGGGACTACAGACATAACTCAAGAGAAAATGGTTCAATCACAAACCCCAAGGCCGGTGAGGGATAGCTTGAATCCCAATGGTTCGAGTCCCTCCAGCCCTCCATCTGGACCAAAAGGATCCCAGGGCAAAGTGCAGGCCGAGACGACACGGCAGCTGGAGCAGGACTTCAAGAGAAAGCACCTTGGTGTGGTAGGTGTGCTGGTGTGGATACTGTGAGTTTTTTAAAATATCTTTTGGTCTGGTCAGAATTGAAATGCTGATCTATTGTGTTTGGCACACAGGGTTGTGCATCTTGCCGGCATCTGGTTCTTCACGAAGGGGTTTCTCCTTACTCGCATGGTCTTGGAAGACAAATCATCATGCGATGTCCTTCCCTTGGACAATTCGGCCTCGCTGAGCAAGGCCCGTGATGGTTGTTGGCACGACAAGTCCTTCGACAAAGCTGTTGTTATCATCATAGATGCCCTGCGCTATGACTTTACAGTGCCATTCGCCGCAAAGGACGAAAGTGAATCCGCCCATCTGTTTCATGATAATATCCCTGTTCTCTATGAGACTGCAGTGAAGAATCCTGCGAATGCGTTTCTCCTGCCTTTCATTGCAGACCCGCCGACCACGACCCTGCAACGACTCAAGGGATTGACCACGGGCACTTTGCCCACGTTCCTCGATGCCGGCTCCAACTTTGCTGGAAGTGCCATTGACGAAGACAACTTGGTTGCCCAGCTGCGCAACGCTGGAAAGAACCTGGTCCATCTTGGTGACGATACCTGGCACGCTTTGTTCCCTGGTTACTTCGATGCCAACCTCACCCACGCCTACGACTCGTTCAATGTCTGGGATTTGCACACTGTCGACAATGGAGTCACAGAGCATCTCTTCCCTCTTCTTCGCCCCGAAAACAGGTCTAAATGGGATGTCATCTTTGGCCACTACCTCGGCGTCGATCATGCGGGCCACCGTTACGGTCCGAACCATGCCGCAATGGCTGCGAAGCTGCAGGAAATGGACCGCGTCATTCGCGATGTCATCGCTGCGCTGGACGATAAGACTCTCCTGGTGGTCATGGGCGACCACGGCATGGATATCAAGGGCGACCACGGAGGCGAGTCAGATGATGAAGTTGAAGCCGCTTTGTGGATGTACTCTAAGAAGGGTATATTTGGGCGTACGACAAAGGACACTTTGCTACCGCCCAAGCATGCTCGCGAACGCTTCGTGCCGCAGATTGATCTCGTTCCGACTCTGTCGCTGCTTCTAGGAATGCCGATCCCCTTCAACAACCTCGGTTCTCCCATTGAGGAAGCATTTGCAGGATCCAAAGGGAATGACTTCGCGAACTTGTTGGCAGTCAACCGGTTGACTTCGAGTCAAATTAAGAGGTATCAGCACCAGTATGCGATTGTTCGGGGTGCGGGTGATGATGCCGAGTCCATGGCTTTGTGGACTGCCGCGGAAGAAGAATGGAAGACAGCCTCGAAGTCTAAGACTGCGGCTGTGCGTACTAGCTATGATTTGTACCGAAAGTATCAGAGGCATACGCTGGAAATTTGTCGTGGATTGTGGGCCCGATTTGATGTGCTAAGCATGTTCCAGGGCATTGTGATTTTGTTTGCTGGGATCGCTCTCCTTGTGTTCTATGCCCGAGGCTTGAAAGGAGACCGAACGGAACTCACCCCTCGCCTTCTTACGTTTGTGGGTGTGGGATCTGGCGTGGGTGCTGTGGCTGGCGCTGCTTCGGGGTTGTTCGCGGTCACGGAGATGTCTCCTGTTGAAGCATCTGCGCTGCAGGGGACTATTGGAAGTCTTCTGGGTGCTTCCCTCGCAATCTTCAAGGAATCTTCGAACCTGACCTTGCCTCTTCCGAATGGCATGTGGGGATGGCTCGCCGTCTTCTTCACTGTTTCTCAGTCAATTGGGTTCGCTTCCAACTCGTACACGATCTGGGAAGATGATATCCTGCTGTTCTTCCTCACAACCTTTGGCATATGTGCCGGCATCTCATCCATGCGGCAGAAGGCGACTACAGACCGGGTCCTGGGCGTGTATCACTCAATTCTGTTCGTCATTCTGGGCCGGCTCGCTTCATTCTCCCGCCTCTGTCGTGAAGAGCAGATGCCCTTCTGTGTCTCGACCTACTACTCATCCGCAACGTCCTCCATCTCTGCACCCTGGCAACTTGCAATTCCATTTATGGTGACCCTCTTCCTCCCCGGGGTCGTGCGGTCCTTTTATGCCGGGTCCAAGTCCTACGAAGGTGCTGCTACCCTGTGGATTGGCTTTGCGTTCCGTCTGGGTCTCCTGGTCACCTCGATGTTTTGGATACTCGAAGCTGCCGACGACGGCGAGTGGCTCCCCCTTCGCAAAGATACCTTGAAAACCGTTCGGGTATTTCTAGCACAGCTCGTGCTTGCACTGGCTTTTGGAGCTGGCACAGGCGCGTATCTCTACTCCAAGCCCTGTGTCAGCATCAACGTGAGCAAACCCCAAGACGACCCTAATGCTCCTCCTGCGCCTATCATCGCCGGCCAGCAACAACAGCCCCGAACAACCGTCACCATCCTTGGTTTCGGCAATGTATACGGCACACGCTTCTTCTTCCTAGTGATCAACTTCGCACTCGCCATCATCCTCATGCAAAAACCAATGGGCCAGGGTGCCATCGGCCTCCTCGTCTGGCAGATTCTGTCCCTGTTGGAAATCCTCGACACCAACGCCCTAACCCTGACCAACTCCGCCATCGGCCCCGTCGTCCTAGGCCTGCTGGGATCCTTCTACTTCTTCAAAACAGGCCACCAGGCCGTCCTCTCCAGCATCCAGTGGGAAACAGCATTCATCCCTCTCTCCACCATCAAGTATCCCTGGTCGCCACTTCTGGTTATCCTCAACACCTTCGGCGCCCAGATCCTGGTCGCCATCGCCGTCCCGCTCACTGTGCTATGGAAACGGCCCCTCCAGACGCACGATCGCGTCTCCCAGCCATCATCCCCATCAGCCAAATTAATTAACCCCGCGGCGAAGATGCTCTCGGACGTTGTGCAAGCTGCTACTTCCCACCTCCTCTACCTAGCAACTATCAATCTTGCTACCACCATGTGGGCTGGCCATCTCCGCCGCCATCTCATGCTCTACCGTATCTTCAGCCCCCGTTTCATGATGGGTGCAGTTGTTTTGGCCGTTGTGGATGTCGTCCTCATCCTGTTCGCTGTCGCTGGTGTGCGGTGGAGCACTCTGAGCGTCGGCGAGATTTTTGGGTGGTGAGAGGTCAGGACTCTCAGTTAGTCTACCCTAGACCATATCTCTGTACAATGTGTCTTCGTTATTTTGCGTTAGTTCCCGGTCATATAGATTTGAATCTAGATAATCCTTGATCAGCTGTTCAAACGCTGGGGGCCTGAAGAGATTGACCCCGCACGTAAATTAGAATAGGAATACCAGCAAAGTGAACATCCGTAAATTTCACCTCATATTTGTCCAATATGTCCTCTCCCCAAGTGACTCTCTATGGAAGGTACTACTCAGACTGCTCAGCCCGTCTACGCCTCGCTATCCAGCTCAAGGACATCAACTATAAGTACGTGGCAGTGAACGACCAAAGCGCAGCGAGCTATACTGCCATAAACCCTTCAGGCTCGATACCCACATTAGTTATACAAGAGCCACAATCTGAAGAGGGAGCCAAAAACAAACCTAAAATAATTATACGGCAGTCCCTCGCCGCATTAGAGTATCTAGAAGAAAGATACCCACCATCAGCAAGACAAAGAGGTCTCCTACCGCTCGACACACAAGACCGAGCAACAGTCCGCTGTTTGATGAACATCATCGCGTCAGATATCCACCCGCTAACAACAGCTCGAGTGCGCCGACGGATCTACGAGCAATTCCCCAGTCCCGCCGCCGAAGCCGCGGCCGCCACGAGTAATCGCAAATGGGACAGATTCTGGATCGGGAGAGGGTTTGCTAGTTACGAGAGTGTTGTTCAAGAGAAATGTGGGATGTATAGCGTTGGCGATAGTATCACGCTCGCGGATGTGTGTCTCTTACCTGCCGTATGGACTGCGGAAAAATATGGGATGTCTCTCGATGAGTTTCCGACCATAAAGCGGATTGTTGACGCTTTGCATTGTGTTGAGGCTGTTCAGAGAGCTCACTGGAGATGCCAGCCTGATACACCAGAAGAAGACAGGATCGCACGGCCAACTCCGTAGTGATAGATGTTGAGAATCTTGCTGTCTAAATTAGCACTATGTATCCTCTCCAAGATCTATTCTACTTGCAAAGGAAAGCTCTTATGTTCGACAGTCGATTGAATTACGGAGTACTCCGTAGAAGACTGGAAATGCACCCATCTCTTGCAAATTGCCTCTCACTCATTTCATGAAGAAAGGAGCCAGGAAGAAAGCAAATCCTTCTGTCAAATGATCGACAGGGGTGGGGCGGGGCGGGAGGCGGGAGCTTGAAGGAAGATCGCCGTAGAGTTTCGCATCGATCATCTTGGAGCCATCTATAAAATAGAACACTGTGGGAATTGGAAACCTTAATGAACAGAGACTCAAAGCATGCGTTTTTTGAATGCGAAACTTTCATTCTCTTCATTGGTTAGCCTTTGATTATTCCTCGTTTTTAGAAGTATACTTGTAGCCCCATGTTCCTAATTTAGGCCCCATCCATATTCTTCAGCTCCGAGCTTTTCAGCCCCTAGAAGGATGGGATCTGAGCTCTTAAGTTGCCACTACTGAGCTGCCGTGCCTTCTACACTGCTACTCAGCTTCGCAGATAATGTATTTCGTGCGAGAGAGAGCTAGGCATCAAACACGGTGTGACTGACTCTTTACTCCTTGAACGGGAAAATTTGCTGGCCCTCACGAAACGGGACATAGATTCTAAACATAGTAACTATAGGTATCATTTCGCCACATGTTTAAGCTTGGTGGCCAACTCCCTTACGGAGGCAGGATGGGGTCATTGGGTGGCTCTAACGAATCCCTTGGCCATAAGTTTTCATCTCATGCTGTTATAAAGAACCGCGGATTTTCTCTCAGGAGGTCCCAGAAAATTTTGCTCAAAGTCCAACCCCAATCAATCATCCAGACTACAACCATTTCAGAACAACAATGCGTTTCGAAAGCCCGCTTCTTATCCTTGGCCTCTCAGTCCCCCTAGCTCTCTGCCAGGGCGGCACTGTCGAGATCCAGATCCAAGACGGACAATGTGTCTTCCAAGGAACAACACCGAACTGCATGGAGACCACTGGGCCATTCGCTAACGCTAACGGCAACGACTGTTCCGGTAAGTTCTGATATATCCTACCGGAATATTCACAATGGTTAAAATGTAGGCGCTAACTTGACTTTTTTCTCCCAGATGTAACTAATAGCTCGCATGGCCTTTGCGGCAAGAATGCCGATAACTATACCAATCAAGTGATCAACATGTATGGCGATGGGGGGAGACACATCAGTTTCGCGGGCGGGTGGTGCTGGCTTCCGGCGCTGGAGGATGGCGCTACGTGCACTGTTCCTGCGCCGTCATCTTCCAGTGTAGCAACGCCTTCCAGTACGGCACTGCCTTCCAGCACGCCGGCCGCGCGCCGGAAAAGGGAATTTTGAGTTCGTTGAGAACAGCGTTGAATGGGAATAAGAAGCTTGCAGTGCTTTTATTCTTCTGAATGGGGGCTGGCGGAGTTGTGGTTCCACACCTAACCCGTCTCCTACGTATCACATGTTTTCCTCCGGCCGGATCTTGCTCTGTGCTGTGTATATACATCGGTATAAATATGCTATACATTTAGAAACCACCGTTGCTTCTTGCGTATCCAGTAGTCGCTATGGAAAAAAAAGGAAAAGAAAAGAAAAGAAAACCAGTTGGCTGCGTACTGACTCGCTCCCAATTCATTTCCTTCTTAATGTGCTGGCAATATTTTGAGATCGCTAATGAGACTAAATTTGCATGTCCCCGCAACGTCAAGGGAGATATCCTGTTTAACCCAGTTGGTGTGGCATCATCCCCATGGGGCACAAGACTCATTGTACAAGGTTTTTTCATTTTTCATCAGCTAGAGCAAGATAATATAGAAAAGTAACACCCTTAACTAGGATAGATAGATGTATACCCGCTGAACATAAGAGATAACGAAGCAAGGAAAACGACAAACTTTTGGGGCAGAAGGGGGTATTCACAAATGCTGCCATGGCGCATCGAAATCAAAACACTTTGATGTACATGAAAGTCGTCACTGGGGTAGATAGGTTGAGTCGTTGAACAAAGTTTCTGTCGTTTTGTTTTTGTTTTTGGGGGGGGGGGGGGTGTATGGGGAAATGTCGAGAATAAGAGGGAGAGAGGAGAGGGTGGGTATCAAGAAAAGATAGAAGGAAGCAGAAGGCGGTTTCCTCCGGTCAAAGATCCGAATTAACGACTCCAGCGAGAGAAATCTAGATTCTGCAGGACATTGGTATCGGCCGCTGCATTCCAGTCCGCAGCCAGATCCGGGGGCGCGGGAGCAGTGCGAGTAGTCGTCACCTCTTCTGAGAAGATGTTAGGTTTTGTATTCCGGCGCTGGCCGGGATAGGCACCCTCAGCGGCCTCAGCACCCTGCGCTTGCGTTGCCAGAGCTCGCTCGCGGACTTTCTTAATCTCACGGAGACGGGTGCGCCAGGACGAAGTATGCTCGCCGCCCTTGATATTCCAGACGAGCGAGAAGACAGATGCGTTCAGGGCGAGAATGCGCACGAACGCGGCTAGATTCTTGCCGGAGATGACCTTGGGCGTTGCGGCGGGTGACACGCTGGGGAAGCCGGGCTTGCTCATGACTTGGACGTTGTAAAAGAGCTTTTCGGGGTCGGTTTCGCCCTTTGTTCCTCCGGATTCGGTGTAGGCAATGCGGCAGGCTGGGGTGATGATGATGTTGATGGAGTTGAACTCGGATGGGATTGTGTCGAAGTTGAAGGGTAGATTGGATCGGTTGAAGACGATGGTGACGTGGTTGTTTCCGATGTTACGTTTCTTGTTGATGCAGTTCGGATCTTGCTCGATGTTCGTCGGCATCATCGTCGCGACATGGTACACAATCTCCGTCACTCGGTCTCGCCACGCGTACGTGGCTTCTCCATCAGTGTCAGCGTAAAGGCCTTGGGTATTGAACTGCGCATTTCGAAGCGAGACCTTCGCCCCCAGACCTGACAAAAAGTGGTCATAGTCTGTACTGCCGCCGGTATTGGCTAGAATCTCCGTCTCCTTGGTCTGTCCGTTATCAACATAGACAACTCCAATGCGATGTCCGTCCACGATGTCGGTTCGGTCGAAGTTACCAATAGCACGTCGAGTTATGTCATCCTCAGGCACTGGGAGGGGCTGCACCACTGTAGGCGTAGGGAAGGCCGTAGCGGTCAGCTGGAGCATGACGTGACTGGGAAGAATAGCCGTGCGCATGGCATCTGAATGCAAATGTGCATCTGGGGTCGGAGGCACTTGGTGAGGCAGGACTGGTGCCGTTCGTTGCTGGTAGACAGCATAAGTTGTGCCAGAGGCTTGGCGCTTGGTGATCTGGGTCAAGCCCGTCACACCAGCAGTCTCCATCGTAACGATACTCATCCCCACGACCCATGACCTTTTCGAGACGGGTCCATCTGAGGGAGATGGAGGGAAAGTCTCGAAAGGAATGGTTTCTCCCAGATCGGAGAATGCCACACGCTGCATCAGGTCGATGAACACTTGGCACTGTTCCTCAACCACCTCTTGCCCTTGGTCGTCGTGGAAAATAAGTCTGCTGGTGAGCCAATTGACGTGCTTAGGCCGATCTTGGAGCTTCAGCGACAGGAACCAGAAGACCATGACATGGTAAGTCAGATTGTTGATGTACTTCGACATGCCATCCTGGGGAGCAGTTTCGGCCGCCTCCGCTTGCTGCGAGGCAATTTCTTTGACACCGCCACTCAATCTCGATTGAGGCGCTCGGCCAGTAGGAGACTCGGACACTTTGTACCGGTGTTCTCGGGAGGTCTGCAAGAACCGAATGCAGATGCCAAACACGGTGCGAATTTCCTCCTCACGCAAATTGACATAAACATCAGGAAGTCGGGCGAGCAGCGCCAAGAACTCCAAGATATGCACGGCAACATTGGACATTGTAATCACCTTGGCCATCCTGTCCAGGATGCTGGTTAAAGACTTTGTAACCGAAAGAGGAATCTCGTGGCAGGCGAGTGAAAGAGCCTGGATACATCCACGAGACGTGGCGCCCCACGACCCGATAATGCCCAGCATGAAGGCCCGGACAAGATCATCCTCTTCGCTCTTTGCAAAGTGTTCATGGTAACTGATCAGCATGCAAAGCGAGTCGAAAATGCAGGCCGCCACGTCACTCTTCTTGATACCTGTATGCGCCGGCGGTTCGTGGAAAGTCTCGTTCTTCACTTGGTCGCACAGAATACTGCGAAGCAATTTGATCTGTGGGATGGCATTGTTGAACAAGTCCCGATTGCCAAGCTGGGGCCCCACATGAGTGAGAACGTAGCTGTAGACATCCCAGTCGGTCTCCCGTTGCAGCAGCGAGATAATAATCTCAAGCCACATGTTGACCTTTAAAACGCCTATCTGCGCGGAGACTGGCTCCGGCGGTTGCGATGCATCGTCTGCCTGGGCGTATACATACACAAAGGGACTGGGTCCATCAGGTGGCTGTCCAGGAAGTACTTGTGGTAAGGCGTACGTCCAGACTGGAGGCGTGGGTTTTGAAGCACGACCAGAAAGGCTCCCGCTACGTCCCAGGCCAGGTTTAGAAATGGTTGGAACACCAGTTTCTTTGACGGGAAGCTTGGTGCTCGGGGTAGCTGGCACGGCGTCATGCAGAAGATGTTCTTTGACAGGGCTGTCGACGGGGACTTGCGGATTGGGATCCATGCCAATGCTTCGGCCCAGCGCATTGATCAGGAACTCATTCTCCGATGTCGAGATGACAATGACCGATCCAGCCGAATCGCATCGGAGTCGAAACAGGAGCTTCAGCACCGTTAGCCGGGAATCAGCAGGGCGATCCGAAGACTGCGCAATGCGTAAAAGTGCCTCATAGACCAGAACCGTCTTTGTTGCAGAGTGATTCAAGGCGCCTAGCATCATCTTTACAAGGCCCACGGCACACACATTGGCCAGCGTCAATTCCAGAACACTGGCAGACGTGCGGCGGGGCGGAGAGGCGTAACTGGGAGATACCACTTCGCGTGGTTCATGTTTGCGTACGTCACGCTTCATGGGCATACTCAGCGTGGTCACCAGTGTTTTAAAGGTCTCGTCATCACTGAATTGAACTGCTGAGTCGGCAAGGAAAGAGACCAGCGACTCCAGGAACAAGAAATCGTTCTCGGCGGAGAAGTCTTCCAGCAAAAGCCCACAAAGCCCGTGCTCTTGAGTGAAGAGCATTTTCTCCTTGTCGGACAGGGCTTCCTTGAGCGTATCCAAAGCCAGGATACGAACATCCGAAGTCTGTTTCCGTGACGAGACGAACCGGGTGATCAAGTCTTGACAGTGGCGGACCCAAGTCAAATCCTCGGATGGATAACACAGCTTGTCCTCTCGCATGGAATTGACGATCAGTTCGGCCTGAGTCGGTTCAACATGCTGATAAGCCTTCGTGAGAAACTGCACAGCAAGTTGTTTCTGCTCTCTGCCCATCCGCTCCCACAGACATTCGAGAACAGATGCGATCCGAATGAGGTTTGCGAGAATGCTGGACTTTGTATCGTCATGCATAGAGCCTTTGTGAAGCTGAGGCTGTGGTGGGCTTGCCGCAGCAGGCGATTCTTCCCTTTCATCCACCACTCTTCGCGAACAGAGATTGAGAAGGCTGATGAAGGCTGCCCAGTTCCGCTCTAAAGCCACGCGCACATAGTCTCCCTCTAGTATATTCAAACACAAGTCCAGTATATCGGCATCCACGCGACCATCATCTTTCTGGGCAACGACCTGAAGCGAATCGATCAATTGGTCGAACGGGAGTTGGGGCATGCCATCCTGGCCATAAGCACGAATGAGGTCCGAGAAGACGTAGAGAGTGCCACGTAGGACATTCAGATTCCGAACCTGTTCGGGAGCAGATGACTCTGTCAGGAAAGTGCGGAGCGTATTCACCATCTCAGCCTGCCGACGAGATTTGGCGAGACTGCGCACCGCTCGAGACGTGGGACCAGACAGAGATTTGACCGATGCATGGATGCTGCACAGAACCTCCAGCAGTGTATCGAAGCTTGCGTTGGGCACATCGGCATACATGATGACGGCATCGAATACAGCCAGCGAGTTCTTGATGTCGCCGGCGACGCTGGTTCTCCTGCAGATGGTGAACGTCTCGGTCATCAATGATTCAATCTCTTCCGGGGTTGGTGGTTTGCGTTGCAAGGTGATTAAATCGACTGCAAATTGGAACAGATCTCCGAAAACAGCCTCATCCTGGTTAAGGCCGTCTGGTTTCTTTCCTTTTTTCGCTTTGGAACGCCCGGCCGCGATAGAAGTGTAGAGGGGTACGATCCACGAGGAAATGATATGCAGGATGGACGAACTGGTGAAATCGAGCTTCCTCCCATGGTCTGATAGCGAGATTAAGGCCTGGACTTGAGAAGCAACGACGTCTTCTTCGGAAGGACAAGCGATCGACTCAAATATCAAGCGCCGAGCCGCGGGTGACAGGTCCTGCCGAGCCGCAATGGTCTCCAGCAACCTGGCGGCACTTTTCTGGGCCTCCGGAGAGCTATCATGATGCAGGAGATACTCCGCAGCTTCCCACAGCACCACCGACTGATCAGCCGTAAACCACTGCAAAGTCCTCGACAAAAGATCCGCCTCTTCAATCGCCTGCGTCACATTCTGTTTCTGCGAGAGGTTTCGTAGCGAGGTATCGAAATCCGGGCCACCAGGGGCGTCCGAGGAACTGGACACGACGCTGCCTCGATGCATTGATTCAAGTCCTACCACAAGCCGGTTGCTGCCTCGGTGTCCATCGGTCGTGTGCGACAGGGAGTCACTGCTGCTTTCCTGTAGGGAGACGGGGGAATGTGATTTTGGACGGCCGACACCTAGCGTCTTGAAGACATCCGCGAAACTGGATGAGGAGGGTTTATGTTGGGGTGCTGGTGGTGGAGGAACATCGTCGGAAGACATCCGCTTGGCCGAAAGCGCTGGAATTGTAGAGAGGGGAAGGTTGATGCCTATTGGGTTGTGCCGGATGTGTTAGTCGTGGAATAATAATCATCTTGCATCACTCGCTGCCCAACGACAAAGCCATCAGGGGCAATACTGTGCATACCTGCTGAAATATCACTCAAAAGAGCATTTCACCGCATGGGCAGCTCCTATAGGGATAGGTTACACATCCAGAGGTGGCGAAAGGGAGGCAGACGACGTGTGCCAGAGGCTGCCCTAGAGATTGATATCGCCGCGGGAAACAGCTGGACCACGGGGGTGGGTGGGTGGATATTGGAACCAAGAGTAAATGAGGGCCGCGAAAGGATAAGTCTTCCTGCGCGAGTGGCGACAAAGAGAAAGCGATAAAGACTGGGTCCTTCGGGGGGGATCTCACGGGCGATGACAGAGGGGCTGAATGAGTGCTCAGAATCGCATGTTCACCCGGAATTGAGGTTATTCCAGCCCTAGCCGGTCTGATATGATAGGCGGAGGCAGTCACCGCCTATCATATCGCCCGGCAGATTTCAATACTGACAGTGGGGGGCGGTGGAATCATTGACAGCATGAAAACGGAAACAATATCCACTCAATAATCATGATGCGTCATTGGTTTATCGCACGGGAAATACACAGGCGAATTTGAACGAATATAACTCCTCTATGTGATTATAATATAGTGTAAAATACATGGTTGATCGGCCCTATCCCTGTCTATGCGCTGCGGTATGCATGGCAGAAAAAAATCAAGTAGACGAGGGATTTACCGGCAAGCCCTGCTGCTCAGCGCGGCGAATAGCCGCAGCAAAAAGCTCTTTACAGGGCACCCGACTGCCCAGACGAGCACAGAGCAGGAAGGCACCACTCAGCTTGCGGTGGAGACTGTACGTCTCCTCGGGCGGGGGCGCAAGGCGCTCACGGATCATCAGTGGGATCAGGTCACGGACGCGGTCGGTGATGGTTTGATTGCGGAAGTCGTAGAGGTCCGGGGAGGATTGCATGAAGGGCTCGGCGATGGTGAGGATGGAGGAGACGTGGGCGTCGGCCATGGCGGTGGATTCTAGGCCGGTGAGGTAGCCCAATTCGACGGAGAGATCGTGGCAGGCGGCGCGGTCGTTGTGGGCGGCTGCAACGAGGGTGCGCACGTAGGTGGTGATGAACTCGGTGGGGAACTCACGCGAGGCCCCGAAGTCGAGTAGCTCGATACGGTTGGTGGTGGCATTGTACAAAAAGTTGGTCCAGTTAGGGTCCGTCTGCATGTAGTGGAATTCGGTGATCTCGCGGAGACACAGTCGCATGATTTGAGTGCCGATCCAGTCACGCTGCTCCTGAGAGAAATTCTGGACCTTGGTGACGGCGACGCCCTCCAGCATCTCCATCGTCAACACATGCTTGCCCGACGCCTCGAGCATGATCTCGGGAACCACGAAGACAGGATCGTCGCGGAGGAGCTCGCGGAAGCGCTGGGCGCCCTCGGCTTCGCGGACGTAGTCGCATTCCCAGGCAAGTTCAGTTCGTGCATTGGCAATCGTCTTGTCGAGATACAGACCTCGCGGAAGAAGACGAGAAGCCGTGAGAAGAATAGACAGGTTATTCAGGTCGGAATCGATCGAGTCGGCAACTCCTGGGTATTGCACCTTGACGGCCACCGGTTTGCCCGTGCTTTTGAGGACGGCAGAGTGCACTTGACCGATCGACGCGGCTGCCATAGGAACTTCGTTGAAGCTGGTATACAGGTCCCGCCAGTTGGGGCCTAGGTTGTCGGTCAGGACCTTGTCTCGTTGGGAGGCGGGCATGTAGTCAGCGCGATCTTGCACGCGCTGGAGGACCTGGGCGATAGGCTCGGGCAACATTTTGGAATCTATACCATGTCAGCAACCGCAGATCCCGTTTATAAACGGGTACAAAACGCACCTTGGAAGCTCAGCATCTGGCCCAGCTTCAGAGCGGCGCCTCGCATCTTGGACAGTTTGCCCACCAATCGTTCAATATTACCGGCGCTGAACATGATGGATCCATTGTCTTGGCTACCGGTAGCGCGGCGAACGGTCTCACTGACAGCCCCAAATGCCATTGAGGTCGCCAGGCCGCCGTACTGCCACAGCCTAGCTAATCGCGTCGAGGGTACACGGGATTCCATCATCTGGTAGGCTACGTCTTTGTTCACATCAGTAGCCACTTCTGCGGTCGGTGTGATATCCTTTACAACGCTAGCCCCCAGCTTCTCCATTTCTTCCGCCTCCGCAGTCGCCGTAGCTTCCGCCTGAGCGCTGGGAGTGGTGGTGGTGGTGGAGTTCCCGGCTTGCCGCCACTTTTTGGTCCTCCATTCGGGAATCGGCTTCCCGGACAACATGCTCGAGACCTTCGGGCTGTGAAACAAGCCCTGCATCATCTCCTCCGGCAGCTCTTGCTGTTGCTTCTGAGCAGCCGGCTTGTCGGGTCCCACTGCCGAATGAAAGACATCTGCATTGAGGCCATCTGCTCCACCCTCCTGGACATCGCCTGTGGCCTTAGGGACCTTGATCCGGGGGAGTGCGGAGAGGCCCGGGGCGGAATGCCGCGACGGCTCGTAGAAGACATCCTGCTGGTTGCTCACATTCAACGCGCCCGGATTCTCATTGCCCTGGTATTCCGCGGCGGAGGCCGGGACCTGGAATTCAGCCCGGCGTTGAAGGATTCGGGCTTGTTCGGAAGAAAGCGAGCTTGCAGATGACAGAGAGCTGGCGGAGATTGGGGCTACAGGAGCAGTGCTGGCCGATGGGTCGGGCGAGGGCGAGTCTGCCGGCGAACGGGCACCGCTCGGCGGAGGTGCTGGCGAAGAATCATTGACGCGACGGGCGAGGGCGGCAGCCGCCTGCGCAGTTAAGATCAGTCCCTCGGTCTGATCCTTGATGCCCTTGGTGAGTGACGAGGTGCGCGTGTAGCGGTCGAGCTGGTGCTGGCGGATAGCCAGGTGCTTGGCGGCGACATTTCTGGAGACATTAAGGAATTGAATGGCATCGAGCAGACGCCTGCCGGACATGATGTGGAGAAAAGGGGAATTAAAAAAAGTCGGGATTAGTGTTACCGCACTGTGTGAATCATCATTAGCCGTCGAGTAATACGAATGAGTAACAAATTGATAAGAAACGGCGGCCTCCGAGTCTGCCGATCCCGGCCGGGCGCAATCGGGGCAACTATAGAGATAAGAACCAACACTCGTCCTCCCTTGACTTCTCCTCTTCATCACTCACATTTCTCGCAATAATGCTGCCCAACGAAACTCCCCACGACCTGCACGTAGAGGCGGCCCAGCTCGAGACCCGTCTCCAGGACATCCGGGCGCGTCTGGCCGCCGATTTCTACCCCAGCCCACCAGCAGATACCAAGACTTCCTGGAATGCACCTCAGGGTGAGTAAAACCCTACCGGGACTGGGGAATGGAGCTAACATCTCTCCAGACCCAGACACATATAAACATTCCAATAATAAATTCCAATCGGACTCTGTGCGCTCCTCCTCACTCCACGCTCTCCTCCTGCTCTCAGACTCCGCCCTCCCACTGGGCTCCTTCGCCTACTCCAGCGGGCTGGAGTCCTATCTCGCGCACAACAAACCCCGACGCACACACACCGTTTCCTCCTTCCACCGCTTCCTCCGCCTCTCCATCGCCTCCATCTGCAGCACCTCCGTCCCCTACGTGCTGGCAGGCTACCGCCAGCCCTCGACTCTTGAAACCCTCGATAACGACCTCGACGCGTCAACGCCCTGCATCGTTGCGCAGCGCGCGAGCGTCGCACAGGGCCGTGCCTTGCTTGGTGTGTGGGAGCGTGCGTTCCGGGGAGCTTCGCTGGTTCGGAGCAACTCCATGATAATAATAATAAGGACGCCGATGTCGGCGTCGCGGTGTGTGCTATCGACGACTTCTCGGAGGCATTGAAGTCTTCTGGATTTGACGATGCGGATGACCTCGGTCCCAACGGGCACTTTGCGCCGCTCTGGGGGTGGTCTGTCGGGCCATGGGTCTGGATTTGCAGCAGGCGGCCTATGTTTTTGTGTTGAACCATGCCAAAGCCGTGCTCAGTGCAGCGGTGCGCGCGTCGGTCATGGGGCCGTATCAGGCGCAGAGTGTGCTGGCGAGCCAGACTCTGCAGGATACCATTATGAAGCGTATTCGGCGCGAGTGGCATACTGAGGTGGAACAGGCTGGACAGGTTGTCCCGGCGCTGGATCTGTGGGTTGGACGCCATGAGTTATTGTATAGTAGAATCTTCAATTCATAAAGAAAGGCCTTTGGGGTCCATTGCATTCCATTCATCGAGTTCCTTTTCTTCTCCTCAACGCGCAGTACTCCTACATGACACAAAGATCTCAAAACGCCAATATGAACGGACAAGTCCAGTGCGCCAGCCAGTGAGAAGTGCATCCATCTGCCAGCTCGACGACCAAATCCCGCTATCCATTGCTTTCGGCCAGAATGCCACTGCATGAAAAAAGAGGAGCCCCCGAATGCAACAAAGCCAGGGCATATCCCGTAAACGCCGCCTCCCGAGACATCCTGTCCGACGAAAAACCAGTCACAAAACACCGCTCCATGAGCCTTTCCGATGGTAATCCAGAAGAGATAAAAACAAAACATAAAGGTGAACAGAAAAAGTCTATGGTACACGAAGCGAAGTTGTTGGTGATCGAATCAAAGGGTAACGTGCATGTAATCGTTAGCGCCGAAAGACCGGCTGCAGTTGGGGCACTTGCGGGAGCGCGAGGTGAGGCGCTCCTCGACGCAGTCCTTGCAGAATACATGGCCACAGGTCTTGATTGCCGTGTTCTTGAAATTCCGGCGACAGACCGTGCACAGCGCGAGCGTCTAAATGACTCGAGTTAATATATCGAATCAAACACTATAGCAAGATAATACTTACCCGCAGCATTTCGTATTCAGAGGATGAATTGCCCAGGCTCTTGGTCTTCCAATTTTCCATGTTTTTCTTGGTATCTGAAAGCGACTGCTTCAAACTCTCGACCTCCGTCTCCGATTGACGCAGAGCGGAAGTAGTGCTTGACAAAGACGCATCCTTGGAAACCGACAGAGCCTTGAGATCGGAAACCTGAGCCTTCAAGCCGTCAATCACAATGTTGCTTTCGGTCAGCCGCTGCTCTGTGGCCCGATGCTTATCGATAGCCGTTTTCAGAGCCTCCCTGGTCTCACTGGCTTGCTTCTCCAGGTTGGAGACCAAAGAGCGCGTTGCTGCTTCCGACTCTTTCAACTGCGAGACAATATCGGAAGTCTTCGAATTCTGCATTCGAAGAGTGCGAACCTCAACATCCCGGGCCTCTTTGCTCTTCATCGCCGCAAAGTACTTCTGGTCTGCTTTGGACTTCTCTGCTGTCAAGCGCGCCACTTTTTCTTCAAGAGCGCCAAAATCGGTAACTTTCTGCGATGCCAGAGTCGAGAATTTCTTGTAGGCTGTTTGCATGGATGTCAGCTCGGTGTTGAGCATAGAGTACTGCCGTTCCAAGCTGGTGTATTTTCCACGCAGCTCCTCGAGAGGCATGTCTCCCACATTGTCGGCCGGCTTGGAACCTTCCACCTGCAATCGCAGTCGTTGAACTTCTGACTCTAGAGCGGTGATCCGAGCCTCGCGAGCATCTGCCAATTCTTGTAATTTGACACCTGCGGTCTTCTCCTGGTCCTGAGCAGCTTTTCGCATCTGTTGGTCGGCTAGCAGCTCGTCGCGAGCGTTTCGTATCCGCGCCAAATCGGTTTCGGCCCGTACCAACTGCGCTTCTTTCTCGGCAATCGTGCCCTGAGCTTCTTCGTCGATCTGAATCTTGTATGCAACCCGTTCCGATCGGTACTTCTCGGCCTCCTCGCGCAGTTGTACGTTCGTCGCTTCCAGATGGTTGATCCGTTTGACTACATCGTCATGCTGTGATCTTAATTGTTTAAAGAGATCCGTGTGCGCGTAATCGTCGTCCGTGAGCTTTGAATACTGCGATACCAGTTAGACGAGAACCAACTTCGAGAATACCATGACCTTACCTTAATTTTGACTTCGGTGATCTGGCCAAGGAGACTGGCATTTTCAGTCTCCAGTTTTTGCAGCTGTTCCTTCTGCTTTTCCGATATCGCCGTGAGTCTGCTATTCGCCTCTTCCAACTCAGGGTTGCGATCTGCGACAGGGGTCCCCCCATTGACGGGGGATGATTCTTCCCGCTTTGCCTGTGCTCCCTCGGCGCCAGGTCGCTGTTGCCCACCCATGAGAAATTGTTTTTCCAACTTGGCGACTGTCAAGCTCCGCGCGCGGTCGAGTTTCTTCTCGGCGACCATATATCGCAACGAGGCAGCCTCCAGGCTCTCTTCCAGCTGTTGCTTTTCGGCCATGGTTTTCTCCAGCTCGGATATGGTGACCTTCTCTTCTGCCAGTTTCTTGGCCAGTTGGGTCTGTACCTCTGACACTTCGGGTGATCCACTAGCTGAGTGGGCATGCAGTTGAGAAATAATCTCGCGAATATCTTCAGATCGGGCTTTCAAATGCTTCTCAAAGCTTTCGGTGTCCTCGAACTGTAGCGAGCTCTGAAAGGTGCGCTCTGTCATAGTTGTCAGGACCGATTCACGGTCTGCTTGTCCAAGGCGCTGCTCACCTTTACCCTTATCTTGCGCAGAGCCCAGAAGTAATTTCATTTCATCGATCAACTTTTCATCGAGTTAGTATGTATTTGTGGGGCAGATGCATAAGGGACCGACTTACTTGATTGAACCACGCGTCGATCACACGGAGATGGTCATTATGATGTGCAGTATTCTTCGACATCTGATTCAACCGTGACTCCAACGTTGACTTCTCCCGCCTGTACTCGTACATCTGGCGCAATATCGCATCTTTTTGGTATCGCTGTCGCAGTATGCTGGTCAGCTCCGTCGCTTCATATCGCATACATAGAATGTCTCGCCTACCTCCAAATCATCTTTCCATGGCATATCCGCATCTGGATGAGGCTTGCTGCCACCGTTGACGGTGGTCGCCTGCTTCTTCTGCGGCGGAGCAGAGTCATTGTTATCTTGCGCGGCAGGCCTCTTCCGGTCTTCCATTTTGATAAGACCGGATTCTGAAGACACAATGGGCGATTCGGCGACCGGCATCAGTGGCTAGGCTGGCATGAGAGGGGGGAGGTGTCAATCACCACCGGGGCCGTCGTCAGTCAGCCAGAGACAAGCACCACGGCGGTGCCCAATTCTGTCACGGGCAAAGAGAGAAGGGCCGATGAACTAGATCGGGAGAGAGAAGAAAAGGGGGTTCAAGGAAGGAGGTGTGAGCGACAAAGGGGGGTGTGGGTTGGGAAATCGTGAGTTGAAGCCAAGGAGGATTTTACAAGTTTAGTCAGGTCTGCTGAGTAATATCGGACGACCCAATCGGGCAGTCAACTTTTTTCCTTCTGGTTCATCTGACAACGATGGGCAGCCATGAAGTCCTTCTCGAGTTCTGCCATCAGTGAGTGGCCTCACTTGCATATAACGCACTGTTCCTGTTCTGACCACGCTTGCTGCAGATAAATCGGGCAAGAAATTCGCCCCCAAGGCGCCCGCCCGCCGAGCGGCACCTGCCTCCACCGCATCCTCGAGGAGACCCAGTGCAACCCAGCATACAGCCCAGGGTCAAGTCGCGCAGGCTGCGCAGCACGAGAAAGATGTAGCTGCCACGGTCCCGCGGCCCTCCGTCGAGGCGGAACCCGCAGCGCCCGCTGTTGCTGAAGAGACGCCGACTGTCGAGTCAATTGCCCCTCAAGCAACCACGGTCGCCTCAACCTCTGCGACGGCCATTCCAATTCCTCGACCGAAGCGCAAGGCATCCATTTCTAAACCAGCTCCTCCCCCAACCACTGCGATCACCCCACCACCGACCCAGCATGTCCCTCTCTCTCCTACGCCAACCACCCAACCTCAATCTCAACCCGTTCCTTCAATAGAAACCGATATCAACGATGCCGACATGGACCTTGTGCGCCGCGCTGTTCAAAGTTCAAACAACATCCCTCCTGCATCCGCCGGTGAAGGCTCAGCCTCCGCTCCAAGTGAAGCCCGGGCAGCGAAACGGGCCAAGAGGACATCGGTGTCTCAACAAGCGGTTCCATTGATCGAAAGCACGAGTGCGACGCCAGCCGAATCTGTACCGCCATCTACCCCAGGCTCAAATCGGACCGCTGCAAAGGGCAAGAAACGAAAGACATCCAAAGTTGGGATGCCAGAAGCGGATGGAGACGCAGAGAAAGCCAAACGCGCTCGTCGCAAGAAGCGCGAGCCTACTCCCGAAGGCGCCGAGATGGTGGAGATCTTGCCGAATGTGATCAAGATGTCGGAGCTCTGCAAGGATCTGAAAACTGGCAAGAAGTCGAAACGGGAGACCGAATTGCGCAAGATGGATTTGACAGAGCAGGAACGCAAGAAACGGCCACAGGATGGCCAGGAAAGTGCCGAGGGGACGCCGATCAAGCAGAATGGCGATGCCGATTCAGCAACCAAAGACCGCCTGCCCGACTTTAAGCCCCAGTCTGGACCCGTGATGCGCATCGTCAACGGCGAGATCGTGCTGGATACTGCGTCGCTGCAGGTGGATCGGCATGCCGATGCCGTACGAAGCGCAGGCGATTTGGAAAACGTGGAGGAAAGTTCGCTCACACGCAAGATCAACCAGTCCTCGTACGGAAAGCGCTCCAAGACCGAGACCTGGGATGAGGAGATGACGGATCTCTTCTACCGCGGACTGCGCATGTTTGGCACCGACTTCATGGTGATCAGCAAGCTGTTCCCTGGCCGATCTCGTCGCCAGATCAAGCTGAAATTCAATAATGAGGAGCGCCGGGATCCGCATCGAATTAAGGAAACGCTGCTCGGGCCTCGCGAGTCCATTGATATTGAAACCTACTCGGAAATGACGAAAACCACCTATGATGACCCCAAGGTCATCCAGCAAGAACTTGATGATGAGAAGAAGCGCATTGAGGAGCAGCACGCCCAGGAGAAGAAGATGCAAGAGGACCTCTTCCACAACCCTGAAGGCAACAAAGATTCGACAGCGGCATCTGGTGGCGACAAGGCCAACGGGACTGCCGTCAAGGGCAAGTCGCGCAAGAAGTCCACGATCAAGACTATTGGAGGCGGGACCGAGGAAGTGCTCGGGTCGATTGACGATATCCCTGCGCCTGCTTAGAGGAGGCATTTCATCTGGCGATTTCAGACGGTACATGGTTTCGGGAGAGGTTATCTCAGACGGCGTTTTCTTTGGGTTCTCACGGATATGGGATATATGGAGGTTACGACCAGGAGTTTGTTGGATTAGGGCGAACGATTGCTTTTCTCCGGTGTTTTGCTAATGCCCCTCAGGGACTTGTGTGTATAGATGATGGGTTTGCTTGTTAATTAACCAATGCACTTTGATCTTTCCCGTCTTACCGACGCCTGGTCGAACCAAAGCCTGTACTGCTTGACGTGGCTGCGAGCGGCGCCGAAGAACTGCCTTGTCCAGGATCATGTCCACCTCTGCTGCGATGTCTGTTCCTGGCCAGGTGGAGATCCACGCTGGGATTATGTTGCCCGCTGCTGCTATTGGGATACGAGGTGTACGGTGGTGGTGGATCATCATCATCATCATCATCTCCTCTACCACCACCTGCGCCTCCTTGTTCTCGATCTCCCCCGAGGCAAGCCCTAATAAACAACCACCCAATGTAAAAAAGCGCGCCAAAGGTGAGCAGAACAACCAGGAAGCCCACCAGCTCACTCCACGAAGAATCCCGATGCAAGCTTTCAATCTTCTCGCCATACCTCTCATGCCCCCTCGCCGTAAGCAGCAAACGATACTCCACGCCACAGCTGCCCTTCAGCACCCACTCATCGTCTGCATCCCGGTAACCCTCACACATGACATCCGTAGCGCCCAGCTTGAACTCCGGCGGCAACGCTGCGTTGCAGGCCCATTGGACATCCTCCTTGTCGTCTTCTGCGTCATTCCCCAGATTCGTGCAGTGCATCTGCTCGACGTGGTAGAGATTACATATTTTGGATGGGCCAACGCAGTGGAGCTGGGGGATCGCAGGAACGCGGCGGGCGGTGGTTTGGCGGTCTCCGCGCAGGTTTAGGGCGTGGACGTTGGAGAGGAGGATGGCATTTTCGCCCGGTGGTGTGGCGGAGAGGGCGAGCGGGGTGAGGAGAGCCAAGAGAAGCGGGTGCATGTTGAGGGTTTCGTGAAGAGAGCGAGAGGAAAGAGGAATGTGTCCTATAGTCCCAGCTGATAAGCGATAAGCTCAGCCCAGCCAACATCCCGAGGCCGAACCATCTTTCCTTTCCCTGTTCACCTCCAATGGGGATGGATGACGATGGCTCTCCAACAACGTGAGTTGGTTCTCTCGGGTTTTTTGCTGTCCACTGTTTAACCAAATCTCCAGATGAGCCCGTGCTAGTCCAGGCTCCGTCCTCGTACGTGCTCCCCCTCGATCTGCGTCTGTCTGTTTGAACGAACTGCTAACGAACACCCACCTCAGCCTGTCATTCACCCAGGGATTCCTCCTCGGGCAGCTGTCAGTAGTCCTTCTGATCGGCGCGTTCATCAAGTTCTTCATCTTCGGCGAGCCACCACCACCCCCGTCGCGCGGCCTAGCCACACGCACCACCCACCGCCGCTACAGCTCTGTCTATCAGCCGCAAGACGGCGGCGGGGCAGCAGGAGGAGGCCCAAAGACACTGCGCGAGAAACCCTCCACGTCCAATGTCCTCCGGCCCGTCCCTTCGTCTGCGACCAACACCCGCTCCATCCTCCGCAAAACGTACTACAGCGCCATCCCCACCAACCCATCCTCCAAACATGGCCGGCATCGGATGCACCACTCGTCGCATCAGCCCGAGTCGTTGGACTGGTTTAATGTTCTCATCGCCCAGACAATAGCCCAGTACCGGCAGACCGCGTATCTGCTCAAGGACTCGCCCACCTCGTCCATCCTCAAATCCTTGACCGCGGCGATGAACAACCCGGAGAAAAAACCGTCGTTCATTGACAAGATTACCGTCACAGATATATCGCTCGGCGAAGAGTTTCCCATTTTCAGCAACTGTCGCATCATTGCAGTCGATGATCCCAATTCCGATGGTGGGAGGCTGCAGGCATTGTTGGATGTCGATCTCAGCGATGATAATCTCTCCATTGCCGTGGAAACTTCCATGGTCCTCAACTACCCCAAACCGCGAGCTGCCATCTTGCCAGTGGCGCTGTCAGTCTCTGTCGTTCGCTTCTCGGGGACGCTATGCATCTCTTTGATTCCAGCATCAACATCCCTACCTACAGACCCGTCCATGTCCCCGGCTCCCCCGCCAGACAGCAACCAAAGAGGTGATGCGGCCGGCGCCAATTCACCCAATCCCTCCACCGAAACTGGGAACCCGCAAGATCCATCTTCCAAAACAGCTAGCCCCAAAAGCAATGTCGCGTTCTCATTCCTCCCAGATTACCGACTCGACCTATCAGTTCGCTCGCTCATCGGATCCCGCAGCAGATTGCAGGATGTGCCCAAGGTAGCCCAGCTAGTGGAAGCCCGCGTGCATGCCTGGTTCGAAGAACGCGTCGTCGAGCCCCGCGTGCAGGTCGTGGGTCTTCCAGACCTGTGGCCGCGGATGGGCCGGACGGGTGTACGGACAGGCGATGAATCTGATGCCGGCTCCTCTGCACCACCACGCAGCGCTAGCTCCGCAGATCTGGGTGTACCGCCACCGCGGTTCTCGGACGATGCGGAGCTGGAGGGACTGCGCTTCCGGGGACCGTCCGATGCGCGGTTTGGGCTGGGTGTCGGCTCGCGCACGAGTAGTTTCAATGTCGATATGGGTGGCCTGCGGAGTTCGAGCATGACCCGGCAGGATAGCAGTGCTGCTCTGAGTGACGAGTATACTATGCCCGGTGCGATGCCGTCCCCGACGCCGGCAAGCTAAGGGGGAGCTGTGCAGAAGCCAACTCATCTCCAGTTTGGTGTCATTTCATCCAGTGTATACTAGTACCTAGCCGGACAATGATTTCAAAAATTCAAATGGTATGCGTAATATGGAAAAACCACAGTATTCTTATGCATCGTAATTACTCGAGGGACTCATTTCATTCGATGCCATCACTTTTATAAAGGGTTTAATAAAAATTTAATATAAAAAGTGTTACAAGCAGCAAAAACAATCGATCATGAGAATAAAAATACGTATCAAGCCGGAACCCCAATCCTCAGGCCCTCTAATTGACCGCGGTAGCCTTCTTCAGCACAGTGTCCACGTAAGTCTTACGGTGCAGATTAGCATCGACGTCAACGCCACGATTCAGCGGCGTCCACTTGGGCTCATCCTGGAACAGCCGCATAGCCTTGACATACTACAAACACATCAGTCAATCCATCATATCCAAACTCGAAACAAAAAGGGAGAGGGAGTGGCATACATTCTGCTCATTGGTTGTAAACCGATGATAAATGCCCGCCGGCAAAATAATCATATCATCCTTGACCAGACAAATGCGAATCCACTCATCTGCCTGTCCACGCACATCGAAATATCCTTCCCCGTCGAGGATGTAGCGGATCTCCTCGTCCTCGTGCAGATGTTCCGCGAAGAACATCTTCACTTTGTCCTCGTACACGGCGCCCATCGTCGCAGGCGACACGCAGATCTCGTCACGGTTCTTGTAGCCGCGCTCCTGGGCGATAACGTCCACGGCTTCGATCGTAGGACAGTGTTTGTATAGCACGCCCAGGCGGCTGAGGTCGTCTTCTGTGGCGGGGCGGCCGGAGTCGTGGGGTTCGCGCTGGTCGCCCTGTTCGTCGAGTTAGTCGTACTGTGATAGATGAATGGAGGAACTGTGGCATACCGGCTGGTTGTCGTACCAGTATGCCTTCATGGTGCTGGATCGGAATTCAGTAAGTGATGGATAAAGAAGATGTCAGACGAATAGCTGAATATCGGCGGGGCTGCAATTGGATGGCGTTATCGGATGTAGGTCACATGATGCCGATGATTTTCTTATCGCTGCGAATGTTTCTTTCGGCTGCGACTGACAGACTGTCTTTCACAATGGCTTCTCGGGCACTGGCGGTACGCCCACTGCTGAAGCAGAGATACGGGCTGCGCTCAGGATTGGCCCACACGCACCGCGGTCTGGCCACAGTCTCCGATGACTCGCAGTATGGACTTTCCTCCACCCCCCTTTTGAAGTACTACGCAACTCACCATTGCATCTCCAAACAGACCATACGATGTCGTCGTGATCGGAGGTGGCCATGCCGGATCTGAAGCCTGCGCGGCGGCAGCGCGCTCCGGCGCACGCACGGCCTTGATCACGCCCTCGCGATCGAATATCGGCGTCTGCTCATGCAATCCCAGCTTCGGCGGGATCGGCAAAGGCACGATGCTGCGCGAGGTGGATGCCATGGATGGCGTTGCGGGCCGGATTATCGACAAGGCGGGGATTATGTTTCGGATGTTGAATCGCTCCAAGGGGCCCGCGGTTTGGGGACCGCGTGCGCAGATCGATCGTGATCTGTACAAGAACTATATGCTGGAGGAATTGACGGGTACTCAGGGATTGAGTATCGTGGAGGGTAAGGTTGCGGATATCGTGGTCTCGAAGGACGGGGGAGAGAATGTCCCCGGGGCGCAGGGTAAGATTGTGGGCGTGCGTTTGGAGTCGGGGGAGGTGATTCCCACCGGGCGCGTGGTCATTACGACGGGCACGTTTCTGGGTGGTGAGATCCATATTGGTATGGATGTCTTCCCGTCGGGACGCATGGGCGAGGCACCGACCTACGGCCTGAGCAAGTCACTCCGCGACGCTGGCTTTCAGCTAGGCCGTCTGAAGACCGGCACGCCCCCCCGGTTGGACATGAAGACGATCGATTTCTCGAGCCTGGAAGTGCAAAGAGGGGATTCACCACCACAGCCATTCTCATATCTCAACAACTCCGTTCAAGTGGGCGACGAAGGCCAATTGACGTGCTGGATGACCCATACCAACGAAGCATCCCACGAAATCATCCGGGCCAATCTGGACAAATCAGTGCACATTCGCGAGACGGTCCGGGGACCACGATACTGTCCGTCGCTAGAATCGAAGATCATTCGGTTCAAAGACAAGACCCGACACCAGATCTGGCTAGAGCCGGAAGGATTTGCGCCCAACGAAGTGATCTACCCGAATGGCATCTCGATGACCGTTCCTGAGGACGCGCAATTCGCCATGCTGCGCACGGTGCGCGGCTTGGAGAACGTCCAGATGCTCCAGCCGGGCTACGGCGTGGAATACGACTACATCGATCCCCGGAATCTTCGACCAACCCTCGAAACAAAATTGATCAGCGGCCTCTACCTGGCCGGCCAGATCAATGGCACAACGGGCTACGAAGAAGCGGCCGGACAGGGTATTATCGCAGGCACGAACGCCGGACTGGCGGCGCAAAACCGCGACGCCTTGACTCTCACCCGGTCCGACGGGTTCATAGGCATCATGATCGACGACCTCATCACCAAGGGTGTCTCTGAGCCCTACCGGATGTTCACCACGCGCAGCGAATACCGTATCTCAACGCGCTCCGACAACGCAGACCTACGCCTAACCCGCATGGCCCGGGAGGCCGGCGTCGTCTCAGACAAGCGCTGGCGCCATTTCAGTGATACAGAAACGCAAATCCAAGAGCTCCAAGCTCTCCTCGCCAGCACAAAAATGTCATCAGTTGCATGGTCTCGCCGGGGCTTCAAGATCCGCGCCGACACCTCCGTCCGCTCAGCACTAGACATGCTCTGTCTTGAAGATGCCCAAATCGATACGCTGATTCCTCACATCGAGTCTGGTGGGCCAACAATATACACAACGTCCTCCTTCGCACCAGAGATCCGCACGCGCGTTGCCATCGAAGGCCGCTACGCGCCGTACCTCAAGCGCCAGGAAAAGATGGCCCGTCGGTTCCAGCAGGACGAGAACCTGTTTCTGCCTGCAGACCTGGATTACAGCTGCATTCCGGGAATTAGCAACGAGGAGCGCCAGGCGCTAGAGCGGGTTCGTCCCGCCAGCGTGGGCATGGCTCGTCGGATCGAGGGCATGACGCCCGCTGGGGCACTGAGGCTTTTGATGCATGTGAGGAAGGGGAGTGGGTTTGGTGCGCAGGAATTGGATGGGCGGGATGAGGTGGATAGGGCTGCTGCCGAGGAGGCTCTCCGCTCGTCGCCTTGATTTTCGATTTCGAGTGGACGAGTTTTTTTCTATTTTTGACATCGTTACTAGCGGGCAACTCATGGCGCCTTGGATTGTTCATCGCATTGCGCTGGGTATATACTATGTGGATTCGGTGATCTTTTGTCAGTCGTGTACTTATGTATATCACTTTTCTCTTCTCTTGCATGAATATCACAGTGAAGATACATACGCTCCTGTATGAGTGGGGGCCAGAATTACACCACAACAGAGTGAGGATCAATCGAGCGCCGAAAAATGGTTGCTGGCTCGGACATGTTTGGGGCCATTTTTACCCAAGTCCTGATTCATCCTACGGGTCACGTAATATGATTGAACTGTGCGCGTACGTACTCAGGGCCACCAACCCATAATTATAGCTAGTAGCAGACCGAGCGTAAGAACTCGAGAAATTCGGTCAGCGCTAGAAGAGCTCATGGCTAGAATGAATGGAATAAATTGAACGAAAATAGTATATTCGCTTTTAGGTTAAGGAGACATAGAAGAAGAATGAGAACACATCACCGGCCCCCAACTGCGCAGGGGTTGGGTCCAACCTGGAAGCGTCTCTTATATACGTAGATACAAATGCAGGAACTATTATTACGGTGAAATGCCACGCGCGCCGAGACAATTGCCCAGCCGCACTAGTTGCTTAATTGACAGATTGATGTCCGTGGAAGGAATGGACGGACCCCGCCGGGTAGGATGCCCGAAGCTTAGATTGGATCGAAAATGCCTCGACTCATTTGGCTTTGAGTTCCTTGGAATCTGGCCCTTCTTTTCGTTATTGTTGTCATGAAAGGCTGTTCATTTTAGCGCGTAATCGGTCGGCTATTTATGCCGTCGCTCTAAATCCTATAAGGGCCATATGTAGTTTGGCTTCATTCCTGCAGGCATAACTATTCCTTTTGGCTGCTTTGTATTGGGGCCAGGGCCAAGCTCAAAATAGCCCCTTTCTAAAAAATCTTACAGGCTGAACAGCACTTTGGCATCTTAGTTATTTTCGTCCAGTAAACAACCTTGAGGATCACGTTTTGGTGTTGACTAGTGTGAAAAGAGGGCCAGAAACGTCTCACTTGCCCAAGTCGGACCTACACCGTGCTTCAGATTAACATCCTGCTGCCCAGATCTGGCACCACCCCTTAGAACAGGTGCACAAATCAGCCAATAGAAGGGTAGTACTAAAATTCTCGCTTCCGATAATTAAAATCCTATAAACGTATTGTCAGATACCAATATAAAAAAACATATATTTTGACAATATTGGCAAAGCTTAACTTTTGCCAAGAATTGAAATGCCCGAATAATGCATTGGATCCTTATAGAGGACAATCGTGCTTAACGGTTTCAGAGGCTGGGCAACCTTCTTAATTTGAATGTGTATGTCCTTCATGATTATCTTTGTAAGCTAACGCTTCAAGTGATTAGAAAAATATCTGCTATGACAAGCTTTCTCAATAATAATCAATCTTCCGTTAGTCACTTTCCCTTATCGTTTCAACAACTGTTTTGGAGTTGAGAAAAATCCTTATGGCCCGCCCCGTTTTGAGAATTTCATAGCCCCGACCCACTTGGGCGTGGGCCGCTGATAATAGAATCTTTCAATATGCTTAAACATACACTATCATCTATGTCATTTGGCTCCATTTGGAAAGAATTCAGGACCCATGAAGCACAAAAGAATTTGTATAATAGATGATTTACTCCGTAAAATAAGCACCGCATGAAAGGGGGCCGTATTCGCAATGTACTCTTAGCCCTTGCCGTCTATTTAAGATTTGTTTTAAATGACCCGGTTCTTCCGTACTTGTTGTTCTTCTTGACACGTCTCTGATCTTCCGGATCTCGATTCAATATGCAGCTCATCTGGTGATTACTGCAGTTAACAGCCATAACCTCAGCCTTGCCTGGAAGTATTCAGCCAGGCCATCAAGCAAAGCTATCGACTCCTCTCCCGACGTCGGTCACAAGAACCCGACCCATACACTCCTCAGCTCTACCTGGGCAAGTGCTAGAACAAGGTAGATCTCAACTATCACCCAATTGAGCACCGGAGCTAATTTTTTCAAAGTTGGAGCCCATATTATAAAAGACAAAAAGGTCCCGGGAAATAGGAAACTTGGAAAACATGGACGAAAGAAAGCCACAGCATGCCGCGCTAAACATAAACACAACGGTATGATATCGAAGAAGCTTTTCCATCTGATCTAGACTAAATGAAGTTACCACAGGCCCAGCTTCGGCTACCACCTCACCAGCCTGCGGCTATTCTGGAAATCCAGCAGTTCCTTACGCTATCTGCACCTGTACGAATAGTTTCACGACAACACTATCGCTTCAAGGCTCTACCGGAACTTGCCCAACAACGATCCCGAAAACTTGGACCACGACGACCCCGAAGACGACCGCAGCGCCGCAGACTTCTACAATCCCTTTTTCTTTCTACAACTTGACAGACTCGGGGTTATATTATTGTGAATCGTCAACCATATCGGCCATAGCCGGACTTAGCACCATGATGTATGAGACGTATTGCGCGGGCTCTTCTTGGGTGAACCCCCATCAAATGGGTGTCGAATCAACTACTTCAGTAGACCCCTTTCTTCTGTCGGCAGTCATCAGTGGGAACTGGGGATATTATACTGAGTCAGTGACGTCGGGAACAGGCGCTTGGAACGCTACTTTAGCCTCATATGATTTGATGGCTAAATTCTACACCGCTTTCAGCAGCGCCTGCGCCTCTCCTACTATATCGGCCACTGCGGTAACTACTACGATGCAACTGTTAACATTTTCAAACCTTCCAGACGGTGCGAAGGGTTCAATTACAACAACAACCGAAACAGTCACCCAGTACGGGTGTAACCCATCAGCGGTGCCCGTCATGTCATGGACAGTCCAAGATAGCGGGTCTATTTCAGGTCTTGATCCTAGCGGAACGCTATATGCTACGGTTGCAAAGAGCCAGTTCACATTAGCGAACCTCGACGCATGGCTTTGGTTGCTAGCATTTAGATTTGCGCATTTGACCGTCGGAACCCTCGCCTACGGAAAAGTCACCCACCAGTCGGGCAGAGGACCAGCGTTGTCATACGATTACCCCTTCTTTAACGTCCCACGACTGATACAGCTCATTTACAAGGATGATATCAATACCGAACTGGAACAGATAAATATACAAATGACATGGAAGGATGCCGATTCTAATACTCTACTTTGCGAGATCCTAGTGAGTATTATGATGGCGCTGGTTTCGTTCATTCAGCCCGAGGGAGACGCACTATTAGAATCATTTGGTATCGAAGTATCAGATGAGGCCAAGGCCCTTATCAATAAAGGGATACAAAAAGGGATTAAAGCGGGTGGAAAATCGCTCAGAATGGGTTGTGTAGGTGAATCGGAGAATTCTTTTGGATGACCGATTGATTCCATTATGATTGATTTCCCTTCTCGATTGATTTATTTCTTCCATTGTATTCAATCTCCACCCTGTCGATTAAATTATGGCGCATCCAGAGTCGTTGAGACTGCTGAACAAAGAGCGCTATCAGATTACCTGATAGATTTATGCGTAATATCACTGAATACAAAACTGATGACGATAGTTATGTGTTGAGCTGGATAATCGGTGGCTATTCCACGGACAATTAAACTTCAAATCCCCTGGTTGGAAGGCAGTAAGACACATTACCTGCTCCTGGACAACCGTGCCATACCATGGGGTTCTCTCTTCATATACGTGGCCCATCAGTTTATCCACCGAATTGCTATTTGCAAATCCTCAGAAGCCATACTAGGCCTGTTGACGAATAACCTTGTTCATAGCCTCCTCGAATCCCCGAGACATAGGACGGGTCAATCTGCGCCAATAATATCATTGATTCCTGCCGGGTGTCAAAAGTCTCTATTCGGATGAAATCTAGACGCTAGTCTTCTTAGATGTAGAGCTATTAGTAGTCGTTTAGAGTTTGAGCTCATCGTATGTCTCCCTCATCTTACTAGCTAGTAAATCATCCAACCATAAACAACCCGGAAAGGCTTAAAGAGAATTCCAGAACATTGATGCCCAGGACTTTTGATCGCTGGCGATGCCACATCTGTTCGCAGATGGTCAGTATACACATGTATATCGGCGTCAGGAGGTCCCCGCCCTCAAACCCCTGTGCGTAGATTGTGATTGATCCAGCCATGCCAGGTATTCAAGGCGTGGTCTCAGGCCATAAATCACCATCTTGGGTCACGGCCCTGACGGTAACCAACGCAATGCCTTGGTGCCCAGATTTGTAGGTTTAACCCACTGCTCTTTTCATCCCCGGTATTCCCGACTGAGGTAGCTGGGGACGCATGAAGACGCGCAAGACTTTTTATGAACTTGTCAAAGAGTTCTTCATGTCCTTGCTAGTATGTTGGCCTGGTTTGAAGGTCAACATGAGGTTAATATTACTTTTATGATAATAACCGAACAAAGGACATATTGACAGTCGCCTTTCCCTTCGTGTCAGATGTGATATGGCCCAAAATATGAATAAATGCGCCTGATAGGCCGCATATATTTTACCTTGCGGTTTTCAAGCGTCAACCCGGCTTCTGTCATGCTTCTTCGCTTTCACAAGCCAGAGATCAGCTTTAGATGCCACACCATATGTCGGCCTATTGGCCATACCGGCAACGCTCTGCCGTGGTTCGTCCAGTCTGTGGTATCCTGGGTTTTCGCCACGCTGGATCTCTTGAGGGTTTTGTCAAGGGGGAGGGTTCTTTCATTATCCACCATGTATTGATTGCCCATCCTGTCTGAAGTTGCGTCAAAATCCTCGTTGGATTTCAATATATAGTCCGACAAAACAAAGAACAGAGGACTCGCTGGAACGTGCAGGTTGAAGCCCGAATCGGTCACGTAGATGGTGACCCCTTTCCCCAGGCTGGCATCGGCCCAGATAATCTCTACTAGGAAGGCCAGGTTGGCTCCATGGGAGCAATATCCGGTGAGAGGCACTGAGCCATTCCTCTTCTCTGTGTTCACGATCGATCGACCTGCATTTGTTTTAGCAATAGCATTTTTGATCCTCGTCTTAGCCAAAGATCCCTCTCTCTTTTTTGGGGTTTAACCTTCGTAGTATCCTTTACAAGGTCGGCTTAAAATTGCGTGTAGTGAGTCCAGAATGTGTCAACTGTGCAATAGCCGGGATTCGGCGATTCCGCCATTCTCCACTATCACCTGGTTTAATCGATGATTAGTGTCAGTCTTTATATGCTACCTATTTCTCGGGACGGGATATCCTTTTTTCACCAATTAAGCTCTTAACTTAACCTTTATGAATCTCTCCATCGAGCCATGCTTCTTCTCCTTCTCATCCTGACCTCGCACGGTCATTTTGTTCGTGATGTATACCCCCCTCTCACCTCTCAAAGGATGTGCATTGCATATAGTGCATGAGCTCGAAACCTTCAAGAACTCCCCATACAAATTGACACCGTCCCGCCACAGTGGTATCACGCAAGGGGGTGCGCGGATCGTTTCAGTTTGACAGGGATCCCTGGCACCTGTGACGGTGGCAGTAACAGTGATCTACGACGGCCTCGTGTTCTTAGAGGATACAATAATTTACCCGTCGGCACATTTTCATGTAGGAGTAGAGTTACATCTCATTAGGATGTAGTGACTAGTACTTCGGCCTCCACCGTTCCAGCGAGTCTCGAGTCTCACTAACTACCCCGGAGAACCGAAAACCGCCATTCCGGCCCCGACCCCGGCCAAACCCAACGAGCTTCAGGATAAGGTACCAGCCGCCAAGCACCACCCTAGTCCAGCAGTGGCCAGCCCAATCCCGAGAGCCAAGCGATCGGCTCATGAAAGCGGTTAGCACGGATGGAGACATCCGGAGGCAGACCGAGATGCCCACAGTGTAGATAAAAACACTCCTCTCCATTCACCACATGGACCTCCTCTCTGCTCGGTCGAGTCCGAGAGCTATGACACACCACGCACGAGGGCAGACGGTCAAGGCACCTGGATGGTAAGGCTACTAACTTACTGGGGCCAAGCTCCAACGCCGTCCAGGCTTGACCTTGATCTACACGAAATCCTGCGCGGGAACACGAGGCGCTGATCGCAGTTTGCGCGGTCCCGAGTTTTTTAATTTTTTTTTTTTGGCTTTTGGGTTTTCATGGCCACATGGCGATGGCAAGCACAGGGCGCTTCCTGTTAACTCCCCGAGACGGTAGTGCCTCTATATTATTTGATTATCTTTTTCCTTTTTCTGCGATCATCCACGGTCGTGCGACCTGAAGGGAATAATACTATTATTGATTATTATTATTATTATTATTATTATTATCATGATTATTATTCATGCGTGGAGTCCGTTAGCCGGCTCTCCCGGAACGGAAACAATAGACGATCACAGACGATGATCATGATCTTAGCGCTGGGTGCCTGTCCAGGTGCATCACCCAGATGCTGGCGATCAGAAAATCGCTCTGGAGTATTTTCGATATACTCCGACCGATCTCCGGCGCCTATTGAAGTGAAGCTATTGTCTTGGAGCCGGGCTAGTCGGTAGTGTGTACGTCCGGCTCCATACCGGATCTTCAGTCCATCATCGGTTTTTGTTGAGGCTGGGGCGACGGAGAGGGAGAGTTTGTTAGTCAGGTGTTAGAAGGAAAATCACGGACCATCAACCTAACCCAGCCCCAAACGCCCCCCTGAGATCGAGCCCTGTTGCGGGAATTAATGACCAGAGGGGGGGGAAACAAGATGGCCCCAGCGCCACCGTGCACTAGTGAGAGCAGGCCTGACCGGGGCATGTTAGCGTGCTTTTTTTTTTCTGTCGAGAGCTGCAGCCGTGCTTGGATGATCCTCTTCGACCTGATATGATGGTTGGGCATACATCATCCGTCATCATCGACCTCCCTGATCAGGACTGGGATGCCCGCTAGCGCAACCCCCTGTCTCAACCTCGCACGGATGCCTGGCCCGAAAGTCTGGTAGCTGGTGCGTGAAAGTGGGGGGTGGTGTGCCGAATAGGCATGAGGGATCGACATGGCACATTTTCCCTGGTCATGGCGCTCTGAGGCATATCACTCTCCGCTGCTGATTCGTCTTCCTCTCCCGATTGTGGGGTAAAGGGGCTGGTCGAGATGAGCGCCATCCTGAGGAGCCGTGGTCAAAAACGGATTTATGATTTCAAAGACTGTATGTACCGCTCCGGCCCCCTTTGCGCCCCTCCAGCTGACGCTGCCATGTTTCGAGGCTGTGGGAGACCGCGATGCGCGCTGATCAGGTCGACCTCCCAATCTCTTTTCTTGGGTCACCACGTCTAGATTTGCGCCGCCGGGGGATCCGCAGGATCCGTGCCAGTACCCAAAAAAAGAAGAGGGAGGTCCTGCAAATAGACAGGCCCATTGTTCTGCTCTGACATCTGTCAGTCCGCGCCAATTGAGTTTGAGCAAGCGTGCGCCAACTAGGATCTTCTCCGGTTCACCCATTCCCTTGGGACCTGCCAATCGAGACCTGAAACAACGGAGGACTGTGCTCCGGCATCTGACACGGTGCGCCGTTTTTCAGACATACTCCGTCCTCTAGCCACGCTGTGAGATGCCGATCCCGGATGAGAGGAAAGGGGGGAGGGGCGAGAGGCCCTTCCGGGGTACGACCAGTGGCGTGTCAGCGCGGAGATTGGGATGGTCCATCTCCTCCTGCTTCTGGCAGCAAATTGGATCTGCTGAGGATCTCCCGCGAAGGTTCGTCGGCGTATCCAGTAAAGGATTGTCACGCCAATCCCCGGGCTCCTCCTGCCCGCTGGCCCAACGCTCGAAAAAGAAAGACTCGCACTAGAACGCGTAGTCCCTCCGACCACGCCCGGTTCTGCACATCCGTCGGCGCTCATTGGCCGGCCCAGGCTGGGGGGACACGACGTTCAGGCACGGCGAATCATGCTGACGGCTTGGCCCCGGGGATCTCCCTAAGGGGGAAGTGCATTGGGTGGTGAGGCAGACTCTGCGCTCGGTCCCCGTCTTGGCCACCTGCTGCCTCGACATGCCCAGCGATCATCCTGTCTGCTGTGTCGGTTCTGTTCAGTCTTCCCGACCAGGGCGGAAAGGCGCGGCTTGTCGCTCCAAATCGCCCGGTGGGTAGGGGGGAGCAGGCCAGAGGCCGGATCTCGATGGAGTCGCCAGATCTCCAGGCTCAACCAATCAAGTGAACGGTGGACGTGGCCAGGCTCTTCCAGTTGCCCGATAGTCCCCGCTCGTGCTAAGCCGTTTGGCAACAACCATGGGACGGGGCGCGATCGTAGAGCGATGGTGATGATGCTGACTTGGCCCGCGGGGGCCCACCGGGTGGTGTGAGATTGGTTCGATGACGGGACCCTTTTCTCGGTGTCGCGATCATAATTGGTCGGGTTGGGCTGGTCGAAGGGAAGCGCCAAAGAGGACGGTTGTAGGGGAGAATAAATAATCACTGGATCATGTACATGATCTCATCTCGTCTCGTATCTCCCACCTCGGCTCAACTGTGCCATTAGCCTCCCGTGTGACCGTCGGGCGATCCTGCCCGTTTCTTGTGTCGCCCATCCGCTGCCTCTGCTGCTCTGCTCTGCACTCCAGTGCCATCACCGCCGCCTGTACGCTTGCTCACCCGTGGAACCGCGCTCGTCGCTGGATGCCTTGACCCAGGGCCCGTGCTTGGTCGATCCGGCCGCTGGAGGGGGTGCCCCCCAACCCAACTCAAAAACCCGCTGGTTGACTGCTCCATCAGACCCTGGTCGATCCCTGGAGCTTATCTTCTGCCACTTCCTCCCACAAACTGACGAACTCTCTCTCCAACACTCTAAAAAAGTCTCTTCCTGCCCCCTTCCATCTTCTTCCCCCCTCCACTCCCCTCCTCATCGCGGTTCCTGGCCTTGCCCGCAACCTTATCGAGCCAGAGAACAGCACTCCCCCTCCCTCACCCATCATGGTCAACGGCGCTGCGGCGGTGCTGGAGCCTACCTTCACCGGGTACGTTGCCACAACCCAAGATGCGCTGCTCCTTTTCGAGGCCTGCTTGACCGGGGTGCTACATCATGTTCCCCGCCGGCCGCACGATCGCGAGCGCAGCCAGTTGGTGCGCAGCGGCAGCGTTTTTATCTACGAAGAGAACTCCTCCGGCATCAAGCGATGGACCGACGGAGTGACCTGGAGTCCCAGTCGCATCCTGGGCAACTTCCTAGTCTACCGGGAGTTGGACAAACCATTCCCGCCCGGTGAGAAGAAGCGCGCGATGAAAAAAGGCAACCGACGCCCCACGCCCGCAACCCGGCCGGGGGAGCCGTACCCGCGACACGACAGCAACGGCCCGAGTTATTCACCTACTTCTCCACAGGGCTCGTTCGGAGACCGGCCCCATCAGTCAGAGGTGGAGCGGGCATTGGTCGGGTCGCTGGTCGATTCGTACGGGTTCAAGGACTCGGGTTTGGTCAAGAAGACGATGAGCGTGACGGTCTCGGGGGTGACACACCACCTGGTGTCGTACTACAGCGTGGACGATGTGATGCGCGGAGCGCTGAACCCACCCTCGATGGTGGACTCGCTGCGCTACCTGCGACCGCGCCCCGAACTTACCCAGAAACAGAGCTTCCGTGCCCCGATCGACGATCTGGAGACCGGCGCCATCGAGAACCCGCACGACCCATCCCACACCCTCTACGGCTATCGCCCACAGATGATGGCCCCACCAGGGTACGGGATGCCAAACCCATCGACCGACTTCTACATGCATGCCAGCCCTTACGCCGCCACACACCCTCCACAGACAGGACCCGGCCCGATCCCAGCATACTCGATGGCATCATCTTTGCCGGGACAGCCCGCGCCAAACCCTTACCTGCCAGCCCCCGGCTCGGCGACCATGCAGCCCAAGCCGGAAGATTACCATGCCTTCCGCGCGGGGCCATACGGCGGCAGTATGGATTCGGCGATGAGCCACGGATCTATTTCCTCCATCCCGGGCGCGCTCAACCCGGCCATGTCCGGGTCGCTGGGTGAGCGCAACCGATCGACCTCCGACCACAGCCAATCAGCCTACCGCAACTCATCCATCTCGTCGCGCAGCGCCGTCACTGATGCCACGTCCCCGTTGGACCCCTCGACACCGGCTACCTACTCGCGCAGCAGCTTTAGCCTGTCCGGCCAACTCGACACGACTCCGAGCGCGTCCATCGACACACCCCGTGGCCTTGGCCTTGATCCTAGCGTGCCGCGCCGAGAATCACATCCGGTTCAACCGGGATACTATGCTGGTGCCGACCGCCCTCAATACTACATGGGCGGCCCAGGTCCGATGAACAATCATCCTGCGCATTACGCAACCGCACAGCCGCTCTCGACATGGACAACGACTGCCCCCGCGCAGCCCCAAATATGATCTCTCTTCCTTGCTTTTTGCTTCCTTGTGTCCTTTGATGGTGTTTGTCCGGGAATCTTGGGAGCGTAGGAGTCGGGGAAACAAACGGGTGGCCTATTTTTCCGTGTTTCTTGCTTTTTGTCTGATGATAGAGACACTGTTCTGTGACTTCAATATCCCCGAGGACCCAAAAATCATTACGTCCTCTCGCTGTGTGTACTTGTCTGTTTCTCTCTGGGTTCGTTTTTTATTCTTCCCTTTTAATCTGCTCTCCCAATTCTGTTCATATCTAGGTGGATTTTGCTTTGCTTTACTTTTCATGTTGAATGGGCGGGGAAGGAACCTGTCTGTTTCTTCAAACGTTGGCTCTCTGATTCTGATCTGATCTAGGTCTGGAAGGATGGCGTTTTGTTTTCTGATTCTTATCTTTTCTTTTTCTGACGATGTGATGCTATATCAAACCACTATTGCGACAACCCCCAAAATTCTTGGTTGTCTCTTTGCTTTCCCTCTTTTCGATGTGTGTCGGCTTATGATATGACCCCTGCTCCTCCTTTTCCTCTCCACGCTTCCTTTCTTCTCCTCCAGTATCGCATGTATGCTTCTCTGTCGGAACTGCTATTTCTCATTGTCACCTATATTATTTTATTATATGCGACCACGATCGCGATCACGATCAACAACGATCTCGTGCGTGGGGCGGTGGGGTCTGATTCGATTTCGAGTTTTCCGTTCCAGGGTTGTGCATTGCTCCATATTTATGCTTAATCTTTGTAGGAGGGAGTTTAGGTTATGCTTTTTAAGTAAAGTTTGATATGCTGTGCTTGAGACAGATAGGCATGCTCTTTATCTTTTTCTTTTCTTTTTTTTTTTTTCCTGCTGGCGGTGTACCCTGGTCCACACAGGCTCTTGTCTCTATCCATCTACTCTCTGTCACTACACACTGGAATGGAGTGCTGTTTCATCAAACCATAACCTTTTTATTGATGTTGGTATCAACTCAGACATAGTCATACACTCAACACTCACTGGAGCCCATCCAGTCCAGTCCATTCAGACATACCACAGAGATAGGGTAAGGTAGATAGATCATCTGTAGATGCAGATGGGATCATGTAGAAAAAATGGAAAGTAGGCCCACAACCCACAGCTTCTACGAGGTAAGGTAAGGCGAGTGGTCTAGTCTAATGCTCCGCCAAAGCAGCAAGCACGGATGCTGTCAACGGCTGATTCGCCATGGTCATGACGCGGTGAATCCCATTTGCACGGGCACGGGATCTGCCACCGGGACTCTGAACACCAAGGTCGCGCTTGTCCTCCACCTTTTCATCGGCATCGTCATCCTTGAGTTCGCGCAGAGAGCTATTAGCCGCATCGCGCATGCGGAAACTAGCCGCCGTGCTCGTGTTCGTGTTCGCGTTGATGTTCGCACCGCTGGAGAAGCCTGCATTGAGATACTCCCGCGATCGGGTCCGGCGCAGCGTCGTCTCGGGACGGTACGCAGGGCCGCCGACAGGTGCAGTGGTAGTGGCAGGAGTTGGTCGGGAGGTCTGCGGGCTTTGACCTCGAAGCGGGCGCGGACTCTGGACGCGCATGTTGGCGATGTTTGAGGCTGTGGCGTGGTCGAGAAGAAGGCGGATGTTGATTGTATTTGCTTCGGGCATGAGCGCAGACCCGGTTTGTGCGGTGGAAGTTGTGACAGGGGCTGCGGCATTGGAATTGGCATTGGTATTGGTGGCCATGTTGGAAGAAGCAGTTGAGGACATGTTGCCGAAAGGAAGCGTCTGCGCGTGCAATCGACGGAGCTGGGTTTCTGCGAAGCTGTTTTGAGCGGAGATGCTGTTGTTCAGGAGCATTTGCATCGGGTTCATGTTCATGCCGTACTGGCACTGGTAGTTCTGCGGGTAGTTCTGAGGGTAATTCTGCTGTAGGGAGTTGTTGATGGGTGTGAGAGAGTTGGAGTTATCGGGGGGAATTTGGATCTATGAAACATCTTAGTTCTTTGCTTCACTTCTACAACCGAAACGAACTCACCTGGCGACTGTACTTCCTCCCCGGCATGGCGATGTAGTCATCGAACGAGCTCTCCAACGCCGCGAAATTGAACCGCCCCGTCTTATCCACCGGCTCGAAGCGCTGCCCCGTCTCCTGCCGGAAATCCACACCGCGACGCAGCTTGGGCCGGAACGCCGGCAGGGACAGGTACCAGCCCGGGTAACTGCCGAACCATGTCTGGATGACAGGTTCGATATCGATAGACAGCATGACACGATTATCGGCAGTGGGTTTCTGGATGAGCATGACAAAAGTGAATTCGCGCGGCAGACCGGAGCGCTGCAGATTGTTTTCCTCGAGAGACCAGACGATCTCACCGGCCTCGACGTCGAACTCCGGGCCGAGGTCGCTCTTCAGCGTGCGCGCCGAGCCCTGGATGCGCATCATCTCGTACCGCCGATACTGGCCGTTCATGCTGCCCGAGGGGATCACGCTGGCGCTGAACGGCGTCTCGGAGATGCCCAGCGATCCGGCAAGACTGAATGTCCACTCCATGGTCTCGGGGGACACGGTGCCGTAGATCAGGTGCGGTGCATGCATCAGAAAGCGCGGGTTGCCCGGCGGGTAGCCGTGCGGATACATGGCCGACGTGGATACCTCGCGACTGCCGTGGATCGAGGCGCGGATGGTGGCAGATTTGAAGCGGTGGGAGAGCGTGTGTGGCGAGTGCAATACGAAGCTGATGGCGAGGAAGTCTACATGCTCTGCGTCCTTGTCGGACACGGCGGTGCTCGAGTAGAAGCCGTGCTGGAGGCGCTGGACATGCGCGGTGATGTACGCATCGCCTGGGAGTTGGCGTTCGTAGATACAGGCGCGATTGACAAGAAGGCGCGGGTTGGCCATGTTTGGGTCCTGTAATTGGGTATTGTCTGGATGCGACGGGGAGGGAGGAGAGGAGTTGATTGGGGGAGGACCAGGTGTGGTCTCTGTGGGTGATGTTGCAGCCATTGTGGGCAGACACCCTCGGAGGTACAGAAAACGCTGTCCGCTGCAAAAGGCCTTATTTGAATCTCCATCTGGACATCTGTGGCTCTAGGCAGCGGTTTCCTCCCATCTTCCCTAGGCCAGGGTATATATATCGGCCGGCCATCATCACGGCCGTCAGGTGCGCTGTCATGTGCAGCATCTCGAAGCCGTCAGCTGGGCATCTAGTGCGTTCACAGATGACAACACAACAGTGCTGCCAAGACACATCCTGCCATGTACCCATCCAACGGGGACCGGCAGTTGATCATGAAAGAGGTGGAGAGGGAGTGCAGTCAGTAGTGATGGTCTCTTTGTCGGTCCTGTACCTCGGCTACGGAACAATATTCCTCCGCCTGACACCGTCCTCTGCATTTCAGCATCATCACCGACCTTGTCTTGGACAACCGTTTGATCGGGGTCTGGGTTCTTGTTCTCAGCTATAAGAGCCCTGCGGGAGGATTCTCTTTCTGAACAATTCCATAGTCCGGTTCCCCCCTACCCTCCTACTGCTGGGTACCCGAGAAATCTCAGCTAACGACCAGCAGTATACCTTCTGTATTATACGTGTCTGTGTTTATGCATTCATAGCCTTTTCTTTTTCTCAGGACTGTGGCTCCTCTATTGCCTGTTTGCCTCTTGCATTGTGCTAGGCCACCATCTGAAACCGGCCACTGGGCATGACAACGCTCGTTTCTCTTTCTTCTGTGTCACCATGATCTCTTCTCGTGCCGGCCAAGTTCTTCGGGGGAGTCCTCGGGCATGGAAAAGTCCATTCCTTTCTGTTCGGCCTAATCTGTCTCAACATCGGAACATCCAAAGACATGGGCTCTACTCACAGTCTCTGTCTACCTTCAGTCGACCTCCTATCTCACTTCAGTCTCTTTTAAGGTATGGATTCTGTCCGGACTTTACGTGCTGAAATTGACTGAATCTGTTCCAGCGAGGTCAACCGCCCGAGTTACTTCCAGGCTGCTCGGAAACCTGTGCGGATATCATTCTTGACCCAGCACAAGAGGTGGAATGCATCCAAACCCCCTGGGGATCAGGATGGAAGCTCCCCTGAAACGTACGTTTGCTGGCAATTCAACCCTGACACCAAACCCGCTGACTTTCTTTCCAGCAGACCGAAGAAACTTGGCATTCTTCCAAAACTATCTCTGCCCAAGACCCATGAAAACATCTACACCATCCCCAACATCCTCACCTTCTCCCGACTACTTGCTGCCCCCTTGGTCGGGTATCTCCTGGTACACAATTACCATGCAGCCGCGTTGTCGCTTTTCGCCTATGCAGGCATCACCGACCTGGTGGATGGCTACATCGCCCGGCGCTACCAGCTACAGACGGTGGTGGGGACCATCATTGACCCCATGGCCGACAAGCTGCTGATGACGATCGGGGTGGCATGTCTCGCGGTGAACGGGTCCCTGCCTGGTAAGTGGTTGTCTCCGTGTTTGTTTCGATTCTCGCTCTGATTGGTGTTCGTTACAGTCTGGCTGGCCGTGATCATCCTAGGACGGGATGTCGGCCTCGCCCTGTCCGCCATCTATTACCGCTGGATTTCACTGCCGCCGCCCAAGACCATGGCACGGTACTGGGACTTCTCGCTGCCCTCGGCAGAGGTGAAGCCGACTGAGATCTCAAAGATCAACACCGCGCTGCAGCTCGTGCTGGTGGGGAGTGCCATTGCGCTGCCCGTTGTGCCGGAGTCGATTATTCACTCCTGGCATTTGAGCGAGGCCATGATTGGATTCCAGTAAGTGTGTCACTTTTTTGCTATTTTCGTTTTTATTGTGGGTGAATACCTGGTGGGGGCGGGTATGAGCAGCTTTACGGGTGTTTTGAGTACATGCGACCACAGGGTGTGGAGAACAGGGCTTCCCGTCCGCTCAGCCGTACTTAAGCCACACGCCGGTCAGTTAGTAGTTGGGTGGGTGACCACCAGCGAATCCTGACTGTTGCATGTATTCTTCTTTTTTTTTTTTTTTCTGATTCTTTCTTTCTTGGCGATCTTCTTTTTTTTTTTGGTGCTAACTATATCTAGATACCTCGTTGCAGGAACCACCCTCTGGTCCGGCCTAAGCTACGTCTTCTCCAAGGATGCCGTGAAAATCCTAACGAAGGAGGAGGTGCAGAAGCGCATCGCCCAGGCTGCAGCGAAGCGGAAATCCTGAATTGTATTATAGTTGTTTGGATCCCTAGATGAATATCAAACCAGCATTTGTTTGCTGATTTTTTTTGCGTCCCTTTTTTGCTTTGCTACTTCCTAACCAGTTTCTTTCTCGGGCCATTCATTCATTGGTCCCTAGCATGAATACTCCTTCACCCCACGTGAGTAAGAGACGGTGACTCTACGGATGTAGAGCTAACTGACTTTAGGTGAGTGATGTCCATTTTATGGGTAAAACTAGCAAGTGGCGAATATTTGTCTTATCTGTCCTTGCATAGATTGCCTTGATACGGTTTATTCCTGGCTCAGGTTTCCCCATGTCATTTTGTAAATGCAGAGGCTCTATACTCCATCCATATCTTTTCATGTCCTGCTATCTCCTATCACGCTCCAGCTAGTCGTATAGGAACCAGGGCCCTAAAGGAGGGAAAGCAGACTCGCTATCGGTGCTACCGAACGAAAATACAAAGCTGAAGAACCAAACCCAACGCTAGGCCTGCCTTCCTAGATATATTCCACGCTTAGATAAATAGTAGGGCCAGGCCTTGTCAAGAGGGCACGGAACCGGGCATCGCGAACGAACGAAGGAAATACATATCGCGAATCCGCAGCAACACCAAGCAAGACATGCAATCAAAGCAGACACAACAAGCAGAACAAAGGATGAATAGGACGTGAGCATCCACAACTTACCAAATTTATCTGATGATTCCAGGAGATCAGCTACCCACCTGACCCTGATGACTGCCTAGGTAGTGTGTTGATACGGCGTCAATATATTCATGAGTAAATGCACGCAATGATATGGTACTGCCCAATCCTTTCCGACTCAAGCAAGAATTTACGGAGCAAAATACAGAACTACAAAAACAGATCTGTGTATTCGAGACGCGGAGGAAATATATTGCCAATGTGGACAGTGTAAATCAAACCTTCGCTCGCGGCAACTCTGAGTGGTCGATATCGACCTCTTCAAGATGGTACGAGTTTACGAAGATCAAGGCCAAACCGTCCAGCAGAAGCTATCAGGCTACATAGCCAGGTTATCCGGGACCCATCGTTACTACGGTCTTCGCAGCAGTACATCCTAATCTGCGTCATTATGGACTCTCTAGCCATCGAAGCTGAACAAGCTAAGGACTTGCCCCTCGCGCTACATCTTATATCCTCATCACCAGAATCACACATTATCAATAATTGTAGGACACGTGTATAGCCAGAGAGCTTGAAATGGGTAGTATCTTGCAATGGGTTTACTAAGCTACTCTTTTCCAAAGGTGATGTAGTAAAATATGAAGAGAAAGCCTTTGCATTTGCACAAGAGTGTAGGGAAACCTAATGATAGGAAAAACCTACACTAAGGCATTTGTAAGAACACCATCCCCTTCCCAAGTACCACATCTCCTAACGCTATCCATCCCGTGCCTCTGTCAGTCCTATATCCGGTAGTCATGTTATTGACGTCGAACTAAAGATAATCACTCACAAGCTATCCACGCCGTGCCTCTGTCAGTCCTATATCAAGTAGTCATTGGCGTTGAATCAAGGATTACACTCACCGCCTATCCATGCCATGCCTCTGTTAGCCCTATATCTAGTAGTCATTCGCGTCGAACCAAGGATTATTACTCACAACCTATCCATGCCATGCCTCTGTCAGTCCTATATCGAGTAGTCATTCGCGTCGAACCAAGAATTATTACTCACAACCTATCCATGCCATGCCTCTGTCAGTCCTATATCAAGTAGTCATTCGCATTGAATCAAGGGTTATCACTCACATCCTATCCACGCCGTGCCTCTGTCAGTCCTATATCTAGTAATCATTGGCGTTGAATCAAGGATTACACTCACCGCCTATCCATGCCATGCCTCTGTTAGCCCTATATCTAGTAGTCATTCGCGTCGAACCAAGGATTATTACTCACATCCTATCCGCCGTGCCTCTGTCAGTCCTACATCAAGTAGTCATTCGCATTGAGTCAAGGATTATCACTCACTTCCTATCCATACCGTGCCTCTGTCAGTCCTATATCAAGTAGTCATTCGCATTGAGTCAAGGATTATCACTCACAAGCTATCCATGCCATGCCTCTGTCAGTCCTATATCAAGTAGTCATTCGCGCCGAACCAAGAATTATCACTCACAAGCTATCCATGCCATGCCTCTGTCAGTCCTATATCTAGTAGTCATTCGCATCGAACCAAGGATTATCACTCACATCCTATCCATGCCATGTCTCTGTCAGTCCTATATCTGGTAGTCATTCGCATCGAACCAAGGGTTATCACTTACATCCTATCCATGCCATCCCTCTGTCAGTCCTATATCTAGTAGTCATTGGCGTTGAATCAAGGATTACACTCACAACCTATCCATGCCATGCCTCTGTCAGTCCTATATCTAGTAGTTAACCGCGTCGAACCAAGGATTATCACTCACAAGCTATCCACGTCGTGCCTCTATTAGTCTTATATCAAGTAGTCATTCGCGCCGAACCAAGGGTTATTACTCACAACCTATCCATGCCATGCCTCTGTCAGTCCTATATCTAGTAGTCATTCGCATCGAGCCAAGGGTCATCACTCACATCCTATTCATGCCGTGCCTCTGTTAGCCCTATATCTAGTAGTCATTCGCGTCGAACCAAGGATTATCACTCACAACCTATCCATGCCATGTCTCTGTCAGTCCTATATCTAGTAGTCATTCGCATCGAACCAAGGGTTATCACTCACACCCTATTCACGCCGTGCCTCTGTCAGTCCTATATCTAGTAGTCATTCGCGTCGAATCAAGGATTATCACTCACAGCCTATCCACGTAGTACTGTCAGTCCTATATCAAGCAGTCATTCGCGTCGAACCAAGTATTATCACTCACAAGCTATCCATGCCATGCCTCTATCAGTCCTATATCTAGTAGTCATTCGCGTCGAACCAAGAATTATCACTCACATCCTATCCACGTAGTACTGTCAGTCCTATTTCCAAAGATTTTCATGCCAAAATTCGCCATTGAGAAAAAAAAAGTAGCAGCCTCCCATACCTGACGTTTAGATAGGTCATTCATAGGGCCATTGGTAGCCGGTGCAGCCATGGCCACACTCAGGAGAAGCGTAAAAACAACGAAATAACGCATATTTGCTCTTTTGCTCTGGAGCTGTAGCTTTTATTAGCATATGAGTAACTTGCGAGAAGACAAAACATACATATAGATTTAAGGAAAATGTTCGTGTCGCAGGATGACAAAATTGAAAATCAGAATCTACAGCGACAAGGAAGAATACCCAGACAATATAGCGTTGTCGCTGTCTCTTTCCGCTTCTCCCCTATTTCGTGTGACGGTTATCCGAAACCAGCAGTTCCGTTTCCTCCCACGGGTGGAATGCCGTCGTCTTGGCGAAGTCCGGAAATAGAAACGTCACAGAGGCCGGATATCGATAGAGCCAAAATTTCGTGTACAATGAACTGCCTTTTATGGTCTGTTTCAATTGCTTAAGTTTAGAGATAGTTTTGTGGTTGTGGGATATTATATTTCTAGAGCACATAGTAACAGCAGAAATTAGTCAGTCCTCCCTCTATTGGCGAGATAGCATTATTTTAGCCATTAGTGTCTAAAATGCTGGGCAACAATAAGTATCAGGATAGTACAAGAATGAACTCCTTAAGTTAACTATTTGATGAGTCTCCGGATTCAAAAGTTCGAGCCCTACCGCTATACTACCTTAATATCGACCATCAAAAGTGACGGTCACTTCCCAATTAGGCCAAAGACCAAAACCGTCTCCGGAATGTGACATTAATGTAACCAACACTCTGCCTTAAAACCCAGCTATGTTATACGTCATGAAACGCTCGTTTTTAGCTCTAACATAGACCGCGGTAGAAACTGTTTAGCAAAACCAACTCACATTAGGCCATACCGAGACCCATAAAGCTGCTTACTTATCTGGGCAAATTAGTGTCGTTCACATCTTTTCTAGTCACTACAACGGCCGATCCAATAATCTGACTATATACCTTCATAGACTTGCAGAAATTCCTTTGTATGTTATAGTATTTGAGGCAATAATATATAAATTATATCTTAACGAGCGGATAAATTAGGATGGAGCGTCGTTGCTTGTAGGATTTAAGTATGTGATATAATGTTAGAAATGTATTTACTATAAACCAGGGTAGTGCGGTTCATGCTAAAAATACTTTATTACAATCACTCTCAAAAACACTTCTCTCTTGTAAGCATCTCGGAAGAACATATGGTCGTATTGCAGCATAGAGAGAAGGATACAGCATACACTTGGCCAAATACGCGATTACTATTTTCTCTATAAATCGGTTATCACAAGGTTCCAGAGGGAAGGGGATATGTATAGCTAATAAGTTATCTCGATGCCAGTTATATACTTATACACGTTTAGACCCAGAGAGTCTATCTCACGCCGCCTTTCAGCCCAATAAGAAGAAAACGACGAGCACCCATCTTCCAGGCCCGACGTTATTAGCAAGCAACGCCGAGACGCGGATGTTTCGCCTCGACCCGGACATATTTTCTCACGTAGTACGTTGAACTGTCCCCGGGATGGGTGTTGGTTCCAAACCGCATTGTGCAGATCCTACGTGGCTTGCTCTCGCGGAACCCCAGGGGACCACTTGCTTGGGGTGGTTGCGCATCCCTAGACCCCTAGACAAGGACGGCCGAATCAAATGGCAGCCCCCAGAGGGTGGATGCAATATGTATGATTATATCCTTTTAACCGAAGTCGACTTCACGAGACGGGTTCGGGGTCCTCCGGCCCATAGATGACACTCCAGTAATCCTTAACACCAGCACAAATCCCAGCTTGGCCCTCCCAGGTACGGAACTTATCCTCAAGCTGACAAGCGGTCCAAAGAATTTCGCGCCAAAAGTTTTTCTCAACGTCGTTCTTGGCGCTGAATTCCTCCACCACCTTCTCGGGGATGGTCCAGGCACGGGTATACGAGCCGTCGTCCGCAATGGCTGGGTTGACGGCCTGCGACGTGAAGACAGTGGCCGGGTTGAACTTAGGGAAATTGGCGTGGATGAAGAACACGGGCGGGGCGGGCGCCGAGTCGCCCTTGATGCGCCACTTGCCCTGGCGTGTGAGCGCGAAGTCGGCGACGGGGTCGAACTGCGCCATGGCGGATCCGGCTAGGCCGCCCGCTGTTGCGTGGCCGAGCGCGCAGATCGGCTCGCTGACTTGGTAGAAGGGCTCATTCATGGCTGTTGCGGCGGCCACGAAGGTTTCCTTGTCGCCTTCGCCTGCGGCACCCTGCGAGAGGAGCGGGTAGTAGTGCGTTGGTCCCCAGTAGTTGTAATAGGTGCACAGAAGGAGGGTGCGCAGGTGCTTGGACTTGGACATGACGATCTCGCCGGACTCAGTCGACTGGCGCAGGTCCATGGCTGGAACGGGCTGGCCGACGATCTCGTAAAAGAGTGGCGAGGCTGACGAGGCCCAGAAATCCGGCCAGGTGATCATACCCTTGGAGCGGAAGGGCTCGCTCTTGAACAAGACGTCTGGCTTCTCGAGCGGGAAGGCATCGGCGTCGAGAAACAGGATATCCTCGAATGAGGAGAAGAGCATGGCGAAGGGCTTGAACTGGTATTTGGAGATGGTGGTGGGTGCCACGTTCAGGATGTGCGAGAGCACGATGCATCGCGCGTTCAGTGCCGGCAGCACCACCTCACAGATATGTTCTTCGTATTCACTATCATCAGCCAAGAAGACTTCCATGGGCAACTTGGACCCCGTGCGACGAAGCATGCGCAACGAGATCACCAGCACGGGCAGATACGAGCCGCCGGCCGTCGAGACCAGACCCTTGGTGCCGGGCATATAGCGCAGCAGCGGCGGAGCGTGCGTTACCACGTCCACGAACCCCGTATGAGACTCCTTCATGGTGACGATCGCGGCCGCCGACAGGGACAGGTAATCTGGGCGCGACGCAGGGTTGGTCGCTTTGAAGCCCTCGGTCGGCGCCTTTTCCTCCTCGATCAGCGGGTCGGCGTCGGGCCCGTACTTCTCGAGGAGTGGGTGGAACTTATACCAGAACCATCGGTGGTGCTCCGTCAGGTCCACGGAGACCTGCGCCGACGTGTCGGGGCCGGTGAAGATGATGCGGTAGTCGTCGGAGTCATATCGCGTGTAGCCCCACGTCAGGAAGGCGATGAGAAACAGCACACCGAGCAGAGTGCGGATACGCAGTAGGAACCGCGGGAAGACCATGGTGGATGTATACGACAGGGGGGTCTGCGCGCGCAGGAGAGGCGAACTATGTACGGCGGCGGAATTGGCCCTGATCACGAATCCAGGGATCAGGTCACGTCAGCAGGGACGTAGCCGAGGATGGACAGGGGCGAGTGAGCGAGAGGATGAGAAGGAGACATGATTTACATGTCGATGAATCTGGGGGGGACCAAGTGAAATGAAGGATGAGGTTACAATCTAGATGCGGCACGCCCCACTAGGTTCGTTGGTTGCTGATGATGATGATGCGATGATGTGATGATGTCCTACTATGTTATGTACTGTCCTGGCTGGACTCTTCCTCTTCCACGATCGCCGTCGAGAGCAATTGGCGATCACCCATGGCCTTCCACTCGGCTAGGTAGTCGAATGGCGGCTCTTCGGGCTCTACGTCGTCTGGCGGCGGACTAGAATCCTCGGAGATGCGCAGAACATGCGATAGGGAGGCTCCCGTCCAATATACAAGCAAGCCAATCGTCGTCCCGGTCAACACGGCGCCCGCCACAAAAAAAAGGAAGACCTAAAAGAGTCCCGTGAGCGGATGTCAAATACCTGTAGTTCTAGTCTAACTTACCTCGAACCTGGCCAGGACCCGCACGGGGAGGAAAGCCAGGTGGAGGAGGCCATGGCCCACGTAGAGGAAAGGTATGGCCAGGAACCGGACCAGACCCAGTAGATAGGTGAACAATGCACTGAACACACTGAACACAAATGCCGGGCCGTACGTGAGGGCCGATAACCATTCCATGGCTGAATGCGAGAGACGCTCCGCTCTGGGGTTGAGGCCATCGTAGGGCGGGTAGGGCGTGCCCTAATTCCAGGCCCAAACCGGGGCTGCATCACGATGTCATGCTCTCCAACCGCTGTTCTTTCCGTCCTCCCACTTAGTCAGTGACTTCTTTATTGATTTACTTACTCACTCGGACATGGGCAGCACGTCCATGCTGCCATCTTGATCTACCTCTCCTCCCCTCCTCTTCCTCACCTCTCTCCCAACCAGCCTCGCCTCGCCGCCCAACGTCCTCCCCCGCCCTACATGGGGAACAACCCTTCCAAAGGCCCGGCCGGCGATGCGCCGCCAGGCCATGCGCATGCCGGCTCAACGGGGGACAGAAAGGTGATTCGTCGACCGTCCCTCAATGCAATTCCGACATCCAAAAGTGTGGCCGCCGACCCCTCCGCGACCAGAGAGACCGTCGCCGGCCACTCGGCAGCATACCAGGCACCCTCGCAACACCGGTTACAGACTCGGACTGTCCCCGATTCCCCAACCCGGCCTCACGGCCACCAGGAGAGACTTGACACACGGAGACCCCAGCCCGCTCAAAGCAAGAATATCCCCTCGCCCGACCCCACCAACCCGGTCCAGGTTCCAACCTCTCGCCATGGCGCGGGCCGCGACTCCGTGGCCCCCTCTGGCCCGCCTCTCAACTCTTACTATAGCGCGTCGGCGCACCTGCAGCGCCCACCGCGCATGCCCCTGCCCATTGGCGATGCTACCACCACTCCCGGCTCGCCGATCGTCGGCCCCGAAGACTCGCATATCCAATCGCTTCCCGCGGACCGGCTTCTGGATGAGCAGATGGACCAGGATGCGTCGACGGTCGGCAGCTCGACGTTGGATGGGGATGAGTTGGTGGACGAGCTGCAGCCGTATACTGTGAGTGGGGTGGGGAAGGCCGTGCCCACATTGATTGAATGGACGGGACCCGGGGAGAAGATCTATGTGACGGGAACATTTGTCAATTGGGAGAAGAAGTTTCGTCTACATAGAAGGTATGCTTTGTCCGTTCTGTTGATCAACTAGTCTAACCGGAGATCTAGCGAAAATGATGGATCCGTCAAGTGCACCACCACATTGAATCTGCGGCCCGGCACGCACCATTTGAAGTTTATTGTCGATGGCGAGATGAGAGCTGCAGATAACCTTCCGACAGCTGTGGATTTCACCAACCACCTGGTCAACTACGTCGAAATCAGCGCAGAAGATGCCCAGAGGGAAAACGACAAGACTCCGCAGTCCGGGGTTCCGCCGGGAGTCCACCCGCCACAGGCACTGCCCGAAGACCCGAAGCAAGACCAATCCGGGGAGACAGTGGAAGAGCCGCCGAAGGAAGAGATCGAGGAAGAAGTTGCGCCCGGGGATTTTGGCAGTGACATTCCTCAGTTCCTCGCTGATCTGGACAAGGAGGAAGACAGTCCCGCCTACTTGCAGGCTGCCAATGTGATTGGGGATATGGCCACTCCGCCGAGTCTGCCGCTGTTTTTGGGGAAATCGATCTTGAACGGTACCACCCCGATGAAGGACGATAGCAGCGTGCTCAACTACCCGAACCACACGGTTCTGAACCATCTTGCCACGAGCAGCATCAAGAATGGTGTTCTCGCTACGAGTGTCACTACCAGATACAAACGAAAGGTAAGTCCACTTTGCTGTATGAACTGTTCCTAGTTCGTACTAATAGTTCTACTCGCAGTACGTCACGACCATTTTGTACAAACCAACAGGCGACATCACGGGAGAATAGGTCAATCTGTATGTTGGCACAGTCGACTCGCAGATTCTTGCCCCGGAGAGTCTATGAAATTATTGCCGCGTTATTCACGGCTTTCACGCTTCCCATGTGGAGTCCACTTCTTCTGCACTAAAATCGTACAGACATTTGGTTGACACTTGTCGCACGAGAAGAATATCAATTCAATGTTTCCGGCAAGACATGATCGGGGACCACATATAGCATGAGTTCGAAGGCGTTGGGGGCGTGTCTGGGGGAGTTGGGAAATAGCACAGAAGAACTTTGGTTTCAATGTTCAATTATTCATGTTCCTTTCTCCAAGAATTCCGAACCCTTGTTTGGTTTTTCGCTTCATAACACATTATTATACTCATAGAAATTCATCCATTCAATCCTGCCGCCATTTCACAAATACTTCATCCGTCCGGAACCGCTGCGTACAGGTGGATTCCTTCAACGGGGTCGTCAAGCCTTCACGGAACGCAAGCATGCCCGCCTGCGCAATCATGATCCCATTATCGATGCAGAACCGCTCATCCGTCGCAAAGACACTGCCCCCACGGTCCCGCGCCATCACCCCCATCATCTCCTGTAAACGCAGATTCGAGCCGACGCCGCCGACAACCAGGACCTGTTTCGAGCCGACGTGCGCCATGGCGCGCTCGGTGATTTCCACCAGCATGGAATAGATGGTTTCCTGGAGCGAGAAGCACAGATCGGCGCGGGTGGGCTTGTCCCCATCTTCATTCTTGGTATCGGCATCACCGTCATCTTTCTGCGCCTGCTCGGCCCCCGCGAGACCCAAGGAGGCGGCCAGCGCATCCACCGCAGCCAGAATTCCCGAGAACGAACAGTCCATCCCCTTCACCACATACGGCAGGTCCACCAGCCGCTTCCCCCTTTTGGCCAGTTGCTCGATGTTATACCCCGGTGCCGGGTCATTGGGGATATGTAGCGTGCGCGCAAAGCGGTCCAGGCAATTCCCCACTGCGATATCGAGCGTCTCGCCGAAGATTCGGTACCGCTGTGAGCTGTACGCAATCACCTGTGTGTTGCCGCCGGAGACGTACAGGACAACGGGGTTCGTTGCGCCGGTGATAAGCCGGCCCATTTCGATGTCTAACGCTGGGTATTAACCATCTGAACTCATGAAACAAAGGAGAAAGAAAGGAGAGGAGAGAAGATAAAGAAACGTACGTCCAACGCAGTGGTTCACGCCAACCAATTCCTTTTCCCAAAGCAGACTGAGCATCCGCGCCGCGACGGCAATACTCTGCAGCGGGGCGCCCATCCCCGGGCCCTTTGTGTAGCAGATGCAGTCCACCTCGTCCACGGTTACCCGCGCCTCCTTCAGTGCCTGCTTCACTAGCTTGACGACCCATGCTCGGTGGTGCCGCGCTGTGTCTTTGGGCAGGAAGCCCTCGCCTGGTGGGGAGTTGTAGGTGTGACGCACGTTGGCGAGGACTCGGGGCTCGCTGCCGTCGGTCGGGTGTAGCATGATGCCTATCCCGACCTTGTTGGCGGAGCCTTCCATTCCGATGGCTATCATTTTGGATTCTGTGTGTGCGTCGAGTACTGGCGGGTGTTGTAGAGTCTTAGAGGATGGAACCTTGGCGGGAATTGATTTTCGTTATCGCTTGCTTATCAGCTGTTTCCCCGATCAACATCTACTTTTCTTCTTTTCTTCTTTTCTTCTCTCTTTCTCTCTCTCTCTGTGTACTGTACATTTTTGACTTGGGAGTGGCTGTCCTGCTGTCTTCCATCCGCACTCTCATACACATGCTTGACTTCGTTTCTGCATTCTTCTCTTCTCTATCAAGACCTACACCCACCATGTCCTCCACAGCCCATTTCCTCAACTCGGAGACGAACTCGCTCGTCGACCCCCAGACCTTCGAGCGAGAGTCACACAATTTTCTGGCCTGGCTCAAATCCAATCCTGGAGCCCACGTCAGCCCCAAAATCTCTCTGACAGACCTTCGATCCAGCGGTGCTGGACGAGGAGTCGGTGAGTGCCCCCAATTAACCCCCTCCCCACCCTGCACACAAAATTTCCCTTTTTGTGGACCACGCCCTAATAGATATTTCAATGGCAGTGGCTCGCACCAATATCGAAGAAGGAGAAGACCTCTTCTCCATTTCTCGCACCACAATCCTTTCCGTGCAAAACTCGGACTTGAAGACCCTGCTCGCCGCAGACCTGGATGAGCTGGGCCCATGGCTCTCTCTGATGCTGGTCATGATATATGAATACCTGCGCGGCGAATCCTCGAAATGGGCTCCATATTTCAAGGTCCTGCCCTCTCACTTCGATACCCTGATGTTCTGGTCTCCGGCCGAACTGCAGGAATTGCAGGCCAGTCCTGTGATTGAGAAGATTGGAAAGCAGGGTGCCGATGAGGCAATTCGAGACAAGATTCTCCCTATTGTTAGAGCGAATCCGTCTCAGTTCCCGCCTCTCAATTCCCGTGAGTCTTGGGAAGGCGAGGTGGCTGCCCACGCACTGCTGGAACTTGCTCACATGATGGGGTCCCTGATCATGGCTTATGCGTTTGACATTGAGAAGCCTGAAGACGATGATGAAGAAGAGGAGAATGGTGATGATGACGGGTATATGACCGATGACGAGGAGCAGCTGCCCAAGGGCATGGTGCCGCTGGCTGATCTCCTCAATGCGGATGCCCACCGCAACAATGTGAGTGTCCTACCATCTTTATTTCAAACCATTCACTAATTCCAAGTAGGCTCGGCTGTTCCAGGAAGAAGAAGCGCTGGTCATGAAAGCCATCAAACCGATTAACTTAGGCGAAGAGATCTTCAACGACTACGGAGAACTCCCGCGAGCGGATCTCCTGCGTCGCTACGGTTATGTGACCGACAACTACAAGCCTTTCGATGTAATAGAGCTGTCATCGAAGGAGATCTGCCAGGCAGCCGGTCTGGAAAATGCGGATGTGGAGTCTCAACCCAAGGTACATTTCTCTCTCTATCTCCACTACCTGCTCTTGGAATATTCTAACCACCATCCTAGCTCCAATTGCTCGAAAAATTCGACATCCTCGATGACGGCTACGTGATCTCCAGGCCAGCAGCAGAAAACTCCATCCACGACATATTCTCAACTGAGCTCGTGTCCCTCGTCACCATCCTCACTCAGACACCATCCGAATTCGACGTGCAAAAGTCAAAGAACAGACCCCCCAAACCAAAAATGGAGTCTGCTCAGATCGAGGTTCTCCAGCGGGCTCTGCGGACGAAGGCGATGTACTATCCTACGTCTATTTCGGAAGATGAACAGATATTGGCCCAGCTTCCCTACGTGGCTGAGGATGCATCCTCTCGTCGGAAGCGAATGGCCCTCCAGGTTCGTCTTGGCGAGAAAGAGACCCTGTCTGCTGCTCTGTCTGTGCTGGAGCGCCATCTTGCTCAGGTGACTGAACACCGGAAGCGGAGTGCCAGCAATGGGGATGAGACCAGACAGGCTAAAATGCCACGGATGTGAAGACGATCAACGATTGCGGGTGATTAAATATCTTTGATTTTCTCGGAAGATGCTTTTCTCTTTCGCTTTTCCAACATCGCTTGATCGAATCATAACGTCGGTTATCCGTACACAAGGCCAGGCCCGCCAACCACCCTTCGACCACCCCGAAGAAAAAAAAGGAACTATGTACATCAACAAGTGCAGAATACCTTGAGTCAAGCCCCGGTGTCTGTGTCAGCAAGAATGAAGAACGTGGGTGAGGTGGAGGAAGAAGGTGGGTGTGGGAAACAAGACAAACAGAGGGCGTTCAAAGCAGACTTCCCTTCGCCGCCCACGCAACCAACCAAAAAGAAAAAAAAAGCATGAGGGTACTAAACTACAAGGGGAGATTGAAGAGAAAAGAGGTTTAAAAAAAAATAAGAACAAACCCTCAAAAAACGCCCGCCAAATGCTGCCTGGGAAGAGTGGGAAAAAAAGTCGTTCGCGGTCAAGTCTTCACGTTTCCGACGGCGCAGCCTGCCCCGAATTGACCGGGGGGTTATGACCCGGCTGCTGGTCCGTCTGCAATCGTCGCTGAGATTGTGCCTGGGCGTGCGCCTGCGCATGAGCCTGGGCAGCCACGGCGGCCTGTTCGCGGGCCTTGGCCATGGTGATGGCGCGGTGCTGCATGATCTGGAGGCTATACCCATCGGTGTCATAGACGGGTTCGTCGTCCGAGTCCTCCTGGTCGTACTTGAAGCGGTCTGCTTTGAGGGGATCCAGATCGACGGAACAGCGCCCGGCCACCACGTTGCGCCGGTCCACCAGCAGCCGGCCGCCTCGCCCGATGCGGCGTCGGAAGGAGGGGAGTTTGTGCGGTTCTTCGTGCAGCTCCATTGCGCGCGAGGCGAACTTGTCTCGCGCGAAGAGGGGACTCGTCACGTCTAACGAGGTGTCCATCATGTTATGATCGGATGCCTCGGAGGATGGCGGTGTGGGCAGTTGCGCGGTGAACGCAGGCCGGAAGGCGGCTGTGTCGAATGTCCGCTCGGGAGATGGAGACAGTGGTGCGCGGGTGTGATCCACATAACCCTCGTTCCACTTGATGTGCTTGCTGATGTTCTGCTTGATATCGCGCAGGATGTCGTTCTCCTTCTCGGCCTGGACTTCCTCCAGCAACTGCAAGTCCTCGGCGCCGGTGACACCGCCCTTGAGAGGCAGACGCAGTTGTGGCGCACTGGGTCGCTGGGGCATTTCGGCCTGCTTCTTCTTCGGCTGGAGAAGGGAGTCAGCAAATGTGCGCGTGCATTGGCACAAAGCAGCAGAACGCACCTTCTGGTTGATGAGATCCTCATCGTCATCCTTGATATTGAGCTTCCGCTTCATCTCTTTGACCTCGGTGCGCTGGGCGAAGACCTGACGCTCCATCGAGATCATCTCCCGTCGGCCGATCTCGCGCTGGCGCACCAGCGCAATCAATTGCCGCGCGTCTTCCAGCTCCTTACGCAGACGCCGCAGCTTCTCCGCGCTCTGCGCATCTCTGCCACGAGTCTTGCGGATCTGCCGCACCTCGCGCCTACGGAAACAGACATACGGATCACTATCGTCCGTGTCTTGGCCGGTTTCAAACTGCACAGGATAGAGTCAGCGCGGTCGCACGATACAACAGTGGCTGGGGACACTCACCTTGAGACTTGGCTGCAGGCTATGGTTCTCCGTGGCCATCCGACGCGACTTCCAGTGCTCATAGATATCCTTGGCGAAGCGCTTGACACAATCCTCTACCGCGGCATCCATCGCACTTTCCATGTCCGCATAGGAGGGCACCGGGGGACTGTCGACTGCCGCGAACGGCTGCTTAGCCTGCGCGGTCTCCTCGAAGAAGTTCATGGTCGCCTCGAAGTCATCCTCGGAACACTGGTCGGCGGCGTCGCGCTTCTGGTTGAAGATCTTGAGGAACACATCGTCCTCCTCGGTCATGTTATACGGACATCCGCAGCAGTCCTCGACGGTGGAGGAGAAGCGGATGTACGTCGCGGGCTGCGAGAAAATGGGCGGGTACAGCTCATCATAGCGCAGGTTGCTGAGGATGGTCTCGGGGGTGGGGATGTGGGACGCGTTGACCTTGCCGCGGGCGCTGGCCTTGATGGCGACCTGCAGATGGAATTCCTAGAGGCGTGGTGCCGTGTTAGCATGCCGTTTTGTTTCCTGATGAAAAATTTGGTGATGATATCACGTGATCGTGCAGGGCTTGCGGCTAAAATTAGAGTGGCTAGGGGGGCGTACCTCCTCCTCGGCCTTTTCAACGCCGGTTTCGATGTTTTGTAGGGAGGACTGGATCTCTTCGTCGAGGGCATCGATCTCATCCTCGCGGACGATGGGGATGGACGCCTTGGAGGTGAGTTTCTTGGGGCGCGTCCGGCCCAGGCCCCCGTAGCGAGTCATTGGGACGGGACGCGCAAGCAGGCAACGACCATGGGCGGAGGGGGGGATGAAATGGGTATCAGGAGAAAGAGGAGATCATGGGCTGTATGGTGGTGGTATTTTCGTGATGAAAAACGATACGGGGAGGGGTGTTATGGACCAAACAATGATGCAGGGAGAGCAGCCAGGCGTTGGGTTGACGTTGCAGTGTGACCCGGGTCTGCTCGGGGTTGGTCCAGTGCACGGCCTCAGGGGCTCGCTTGCCACTCCCGATGCGGTTAGTGCGGGGGGACGGATATCAGATTCTCGGGTCGTTGTTATCATTCATCATCCTCCTCCCCATCGCCCCCATCATCATCATCACTCTTGCCTTTTCCAACCCAGTACATACCACGAGGCATGGACTCCTCCCACTATGCCACCCGTGCGAGGCGCGGCTCGGTTGGCACTACCCAACTGTTTGACAACATCGTGTCCGGCTCCAACTGTACGTGTCTCCGCCTGCTTCCCACTCCCGATGCTGACCGGATCCAGTCGACCGCGATGAGGTGGACCGACTGCGTAAACGGTTTATGAAACTCGATAAGGTGCGGTGACCAGGTACCACCCCCCGAAATGACGCTCACGTGGTCTCTCCCAGGACGCCTCCGGGGCAATCGATCGCGACGAGTTCCTCTCGCTCCCCCAAGTATCCTCCAACCCGCTCGCCACGCGGTATGTCTCATGCGCGCGCTCTCACCCATTGATCCCTGCCTGACATCTCTCCCTCTTAGGATGATCGCGATCTTCGACGAAGACGGCGGTGGCGATGTCGATTTCCAGGAATTCGTGACCGGGTTGTCGGCATTCAGTTCCAAGGGCAACAAGGAGGAGAAACTGCGGTTCGCGTTCAAGGTCTACGACATCGACCGCGATGGCTACATCTCCAACGGCGAGCTGTTCATCGTGCTGAAGATGATGGTCGGCAACAACCTGAAGGATGTGCAGCTGCAGCAGATCGTCGACAAGACTATCATGGAGGCCGACAAGGATCGCGATGGGCGAATCAGCTTCGAGGAGTTCACCGATATGGTCGAGAATACGGACGTGAATCTAAGCATGACCCTGAGTACGGCGCCCTCCCCGTCCCCTCGTTATTCACCACGCTGACCGTTAACCACTCAGACCAAATTTGATTTGTCTATGAATGAATAGTATCCTGGTGCAGGGGTGTGTGGTTGATGGCGTTTCTTTTGATTTACTTGTGGGCAATGACATGATGACCAGCGATGATTGAACATACATAGCCAAAATGTCAGGTCGGTCAGCAACCTGAAACGAGCGACCTTCCATGGTTTCATTTACTTCTTCTTCTTCCTTCCTTCCAAATGACCTCGGCGTCGCATCCTCCTTTCATTTCCTGGCCGACTTCCGGTCTCGTGGACCCAGTAGTTCTTTCTCTCCTGGCTGCAGCCCCAATCGCAAGTGTGTCAGGTGTCTCGGATTGTCGGGTCTGGTGAGACGCGACATCCGAATTCCGAGGCACTGGATTCGACGCAGGGGTGTCGAGACGTGGTACAGGCCGACTTCTTCGCCACGACCGCCTCGTGTTTTGTGCGACGAGTGATGACCACGGTATCGGGAGAGGATGGGGATGCTAGAACAGCCCCCAGAGTATAATACAGAGATCTGAAAATGATCTTCGGAGTAGTCATGTACACTGATCGAGGATCTGCTGCACGATCGAGACTAAGCCGAGAGAGTAACTAGACAAGAACAAAGTACCTCAAACCTCGACTCATCCCTCGTCCCCATCCCAACCAGTCCGCGGAACAATGCGCAGTATGACATCGTTCGCCCTTTCGTGCCCAATCCAATCCTTTTGCAAGCCTCGCCGATCATCCCCGTGTAGGCGTTCGGGGCAATCGATTTTGCCATTCATCTCGATCGGCGCAGATATCCGCCCGCGTCCGTTCGAGGCGTCGGCGGCTGTCCGGGCGATCGCTGGAATGAGCTTCCCTCACCCCCTAAATCAGTGCGGGCGTCTAATTAGGGAACTATCCAGCATTCGTCACGAAATGTACACGATACCTAACGAATGGTGCCTAATGTCTGCCCTATGGTTCTCCTGGGGGGGGGTGGGTGGTGTACTTCCATCCCTTTATCCCTGAGCGCCGGCAAGGGGAATAGCCCTAACTCCCAACTGTCTGACTCCTAAGTCAGCCCCAGAGTTACACATCGTCCCTCATTGACAGCTGAGATCGGGAACCCACTCAGGAACCTCCTCCCCGGGTTCCCGATGGTCCCAGGGCTGCCCAATGTAGATTAGCCGCGTCGATCCCATTCCTCTAGTGCGTAGTCAATAATGATGATAGTCCAGGTGCTCGGGTTTAGAAGAGAGGGTCAGGAATGGAACCCTCAAGCCCCCTCTAGCGTCATTACTACTATACGCTTGTTTTTCTTTTCTTTCTGCAGCTGCAGACAGACAACGTGCCCTACTACATCCTCCTACCTACGCCATACTTGCTGCCTACGTACCTGCCCAACAACCAACCCTACATCCACCTCACCCAACCTGGCATCCTACGCGAGTCCGCCGCAGTCTCCCAAATCGTGGGTTGACCTCGATCTGCACCGGGAGTCCGCGTGGGACAGCCTGATGGATGGCGATAATCGCCGATTAAAACACCATGACCGCCTGAGAGCCCTGGGCCATTCCAACTCGGCTCGATTTACGGCCATGAACAACTCGCGCGTTGTAGACTCGGCCGCCCTGTCGGCTGCGGAGAGGGCCCAGCAGATGCCCTACACCGGCTATGGAGGATACACAGGGACAGCCTTCCAAGCCGGTTCGTTGCAGGCGAATGAGGTACCTGGGGCTTACCAGCAGGACTTTGCGCGCCATCAGCAGCAGCAACCACCGCAAACACCGCAAACACCGCACCACCATAGACAACAACAACAACAACAACAACAACAACAACAACAACAGCGTCGCGGACAACCTCAACAGCAACATTCCCAAGACGTACAACCCCAGCAGCAGCCGACCTTCAATCCATACGAGTCGGCCATGCTGTACGGCTTTCAAGGCCCATCCACCCACAGTCAGGGCGCCTACGAGGTGGTGCCACAGTACTCGACGCGGCAGTCTGCAGCCACGATGGATGCTCTGTCGAACCAGTTTGGAGTTCCACAATACTATGCGCCAGAGGAATCATCTCGCGCCGGGGTGGTTCCTCAGTCGGTGCTTTCGCCCTATCTGAGCGCGCAACTCCAGCAGCAGCCATATAGTACCAACCAGCAGGTTGCGTCCATCGCGCGTCCCAATACGACAGCACAGCAGCCCTTCGCTGCTACGATGGCGGATTTTTCTTCGATTGGCACTGCACCGACAGCGCGAATCGACCCGCAACAACATCACCAGCAACAGCAACTATCTGCAGACCCCAGTCTGGACGAGGCATACACACAGTATCAACGCGCACTCCTCCTCACCTTCGAACACACCCGCGCAGGCCGACTAGTCGAAGCAAGCCGCTCCCTCCTCGAAATTTCCGAGTGGCTTGTCACGAACGCACGCGATCTCGGTACGCATCGTCCATCTCCCCAGCTGCAGGAACGATGCAATGCTAGCTAGCTCCACTGCACGAAAATGGAGCACCCTTGGACGAAACTGATCATCATGAATATCCAATTTAGGAATCCTCCGCGACGACCACCTCCTCCACGCAGACCGGGTCCAGCTCTGGAGCGACTTCAATCTGTGCTGGCTGGCCGTGTGCCAGAAACAGAAGGATCTGACGCGTGACCTCGTTGCGACGGGCCATCAGCCACCGCAGACGAGTCTGCTGCACCGTGAGCGGCTGGAGGCCATGGGAAAGGATCTGATCCACCTGTGCGATCAGCTTGAGCAGCACGGCCTGGTCGATTATCAGGTGGGGGTGTGGGAAGAGGAGATCCTTTGCGGTAAGTCATACTTTAGTTCGTCGGAACGGGACTAAGCTAAAAAGAACTAGTGCTCGGCCAATGTCTAGATCTGATCGAAGCCAGACCCGATCTGCTCCGTCTCCAGACCGTCCCTGAACCCGCTGCCGCGACACCTTGACCTTTGCCCCCCTTTCGTGCAGATAATTACCCGACAGAGTGGTTTCGCGCTCAGACGTCGATCGGAACCGACTGTCGTGCGCGGGGCTGGCGATTGACCAGTTCCCCGGGACTAGTTACCGCCACGATGGGCTATTGTTTACTAGCCTGCCATAGTTGGCTGGGGGCCACTACTACTCACTCTTATTGTTGTGGTGAGGATCGCTGATGATGCGATCGCTTCGAAAAGTAACGACAATTTGTCATTCCTCTCTCCCAAGGCGACCGGTGACGCGACCTCTCGTTGTTACGGTAGCTTTTCTTTAACCGTCTCTCTCTCCCCCTCTTTGCATCTTCGTCTTCCTCGGCCCACGCTCTGTGTGCGAAGAGGCTTTCCTTAGGGCTTAGCGAGACGGCGCTGCTCTGCTCTGCTGTCTGTGCTCGATTCGCTCATTATTACTCGCAGCTGACGCGGGAGCTTGTACATAGTGATCTGCGGATCGAGCTTGTTCTTTTGTCGTTGTTGTTCGGGTCTGATTTCCATTCTGGATCAATTGCATTCGGGGGGCGCATGCGGGCTGACGGGGGTCAAAAGGATTATCGGCGCAATTCGGCGTGGACCGTCTCTGGATGTCCGGAGCAATGTTCTAAGGAGAGAAGCCTCCTTTTGGTTACAGACATAGATACCCTCAGACATCACGAATGATAGTCCAATGTAAATCGAACCGCCAAAATAGTAACCCCGGATATGCATTTGAGTACAGGATATAGAACCGGAGTCGCGACTCTCGATCGGCTGCGCTATGGCAGGTGGAAAATAATACACATATGGAAAGAAAAAGGAAAGAAAATAGATCACCGCTTGACCCAGGTGGGCATCTTGCGGGCCTTGACGTGACCGGGCTTCTTCCTCTCGACGCGACGGGCATCGACGGAGATCACACCAGCTAGAAACAAGTATGTCAGTATTATGTTATACACCTTCCGCAAGTTGGAAGTGGTAGTAGACGTACCCTTTCTCAAAACAGGCTTCAGAGCTGGCTCATGCACCAACAATGCCCGCGCCGTAGCCAACGTAATAGCCTCCGCCTGGCCTGTTACACCGCCGCCACGCACATTGATCCACGCATTGTACTTATCCAGCCGCTGTGTACAACGCAGTGCCCACAGCGCGCTCTCGCGGTCATGCACGCGCTTGAACACGTCGACCAGCGACCTGCCGTTAACGAGGATCTCGCCCTCGCCTTCGACGAGATGCACCACAGCCGAGGATTCCTTGCGCTTGCCTCTTCCGCGCGCGCGCCCGCTCTCGTCCACAGTCGGAGGCGCCAGTTGCTGCGCGTACGGGTTCCCGGGCCGTAGGAAGGACTCCAGCGTGGTCCGCACCTCGGCGGGAACAGCGGCGGGCTGGATGCGGTTGAGCCGTTGTAGGATCTTGACTAGGCTCTTGTATTTCTTTGTGGGTACGGGTTCGCCGACAAAATCACGGAACTGGGCGAGCTTGAACCATGCCATTCGCGGTGCTTCGCTTGCTTCCATGGTCGGGAGCCCGGAGTATTTCGCTTGCAGTTTCTCGAGCTTTAGGACGTGGTCGATGAAGCGGGGGCTGCCGGAGAAGTAGGCCGGAGAGGCGGGGACAATTCGCGCGGGTGACCGGTTGCTAAAGGTTGAGAAGTCGATCTCCGGCGCTGCTGGGGATACTGCCTCCTCTGTCGTTGCATAGGTGCGGGTTTGGGTTCGGGGGTGTCGGAGGTGTGAAGGAGCACGGGAGACGGATACTCGGGAGGTGGATGATGGAAGCCGAAGCAATTGCATCGCCTGAGCGATACAATTGGACCTGTGTCCGGCCATGGTTGTTGTGTTCGAGAGCCTGTCCAGTCAATGTCTGACGAAGCGAGGTGTTGTATTGTGAAAGTAGTGGAGCCGATAAATTCAGAAGGGAGTGATCATGTGACTACACGTGATCCGCGAGGCCTCACGTCTGTACAGTAGTGGCGTAAAAGTCTGAGGCTCTCCATAGTATCTTTCTTTACCGCCTCTTTATAAATGGACCTTTTTCTAAGGGACATACCGTCCATTAATTGTAGTATTTGAGTGGTACGAACAATTATTGACGGCAAAATATTAGCGCGGTATTTGGAGAGTCTCTGACTTGTACACCACTAGTGAGACCAAAAGAGTGCTGTGTTAGTGGAGTCGGTAATTGAGTACAGTAGGAATTGCTCGCCCTATCGAGGACCGCGAAGACGACCCTATGGGATAGGGCTGTTGCAAATGCAAATATTCGCAATATTTAGGTCTGCGGATGCAAATATTCGCAAATTCTAGGCTCTGCGGATTTTATTCGCAATCCGCATCCGCAAAATTCAGAGCCTGCGGATTGCGGATTGCGAATAAAATCCGGCGAATAAAATTGCGGATTGCGAATATTTGCAACACCCCTACTAGTATGGGACTGCTCAATGGCATTGGCTTCAACGATGATAGGATCACGACTACCCGCTGTGACAATGCACAGACCGTCGATTTGGTGACCAAGGAGTGTCGCCAGGCCTATACAATGCATCGGCATGTCGATATCATACGGACTTAGTCCAAACAGAGAGTTGCTGCGGGCAACATCAAGGTGGAATGGACGAATATGCATAAGTCAAATTTACCTTCTGGATGCCGCCGGCCTAAGTATACTAATTTCTTAGCACGAGGCCTATTTGAAATTTCTGTCTTACACCTTCCTCTACTACCAAAATACCCACTAGTCGCTCTCGAGTCGCTTTGGAGCTGAACATGCGTTATATTCAGATGTCACTCACCCTATAATTTGTGCCTAAACTCCTTCCCTGGCAGCCATAACTGTCCCGGCGGACTAGTTTGACTCTCGCTACAGGGGTACTTGTGTGCAATAGAGACCGTGTGGAAATCATTCACGAGGGGAAAGTTACCTTCCTTCTCAAACCATTGATCCGTGAGGGTTACTACGGTTGGCCAAGGCTCTCCTCCCAAGAAGATCTATTACTTCCGCGATGGCGCTTCGCACTCTAATTTTCAAGGTGCTAGAAGAGGCAAAGCACATCAAACTAGTTAATGCTAAGGTCTACAACACTACTCTGTTTAGGGGCAAGATGACCGTGGTGATTTTCAACAAGCGTTACTACCCAAATAATATCATTGATCAGCATATAAAGTTCTTTACCACGTACCTCCAACCTATACGCAGACAACAGAGGAAAATAGGGGAAGGAAGAAAGGTAAACCCTTACTTTGGCTTCATCTCCATTAGAAGATTAATAACCCTTAGCACCACATTAAGGTGACTTCTCATGTCTGTCTATGGCAACGCCGGGCAGTGGTCGCAGCAGCAGCAACAACAATAACGGCACGACCAATGACAATGACAAGGACAAGGACGAGAATATATCCGTTGATTGAGATGATTACGATTCACGACTATTATTTCTGCCACAGAGATGGCCATTGACGTTCTTTTCTTCTCGATTGGATCAATATGATGTTCATATCAATTAAAACCGCAACAGAATACAGTGGAATAGCCAACAAATTGGAGCGTCCTTGGTACCACGTGACCACGCATTAACTAGTTTCTCCGGATGCCGACGGAACAGCCAACGCGCACAAAATTTCGTCTCCAGCCCCTCCTCCCATTCTTCTTCTTCTTCTCTCCATCTTTTCTTTCCTCCCCCCAAATCTTTCAAGATGACGTTCGGCAAGCTTTACGGTCTTCCTGTATGTTCATTCTCATCTCCTCCACTCTCTTATCCCAAACTAACTCCCTTCTCAGGACAACGGTCGCACCATCGCCATCCTGGTTGCTGCCAAGCACAACAACCTGGACCTGGAGCTGGTCAAGACTGAGGCCAAGGCTACTGCTGCTTTCAACTCCAGCGCTGAGTACCGCAAGATCAACCCCGTTGGCAAGATCCCCGCTTTCGTCGGCGCCAATGGCTACACTCTCACCGAGGCTATCGCCATCGCCATCTACGGTATGTTTGACGATGTTTATCTTTACCCAGCAACAACACCACACTTGCCCTCTCTTGTGCCCTTTGCATGATGAACAGTATCATTACTAGTTATCCCTGACTGAACTATACTTGTTGATAATACCAACTCTGATAAATTGGCCTACCCCGCTTTGGAGGAAAATTTTCCATCACATTGCCCCATTGTTGCTTCTGATTGCTCGAACGACCCACTTGGACATTCTGACTGACTTGTCCTTTTGCAGTGACCTCCCAGAACGAGAAGACCACTCTGCTGGGCAAGACCAAGCAGGACTACGCCTCCATCGTCCGCTGGCTCTCGTTCACCAACGCCGAGCTTCTGCCCAAACTCGGCGCCTGGTACCGCCCCCTCCTAGGCCTGGACGGCTACAACAAGAAGGCTGTCGATGAGGCTGCCAAGGTTGCTGTGAACACCCTCGGCGTCTTCGAGACCCACCTCACCAACAACACCTACCTCGTTGGCGAGCGCATCACCCTGGCTGACATCTTCGCCGCCTCCCTCCTCACCCGTGCCTTCGCTACTGTCCTGGACAAGAAGTTCCGCTCCAACAGCCCCGCGGTCTCCCGCTGGTACAACACCATCATCAACCAGGACGCTTTCAAGGCTGTCTTCCCCAACCCCGTCTTGGTCGAGGAGGTCATCAAGTACACTCCCCCCAAGAAGGAGGAGAAGCCGAAGGCTGCTGCTGCCCCCGCTGCTGCTGAGAAGCCCGCCGAGGAGAAGCCCAAGCCCAAGCACCCTCTGGAGGCTCTCGGCAAGCCCACTCTCATCCTGGACGAGTGGAAGCGCCAGTACTCCAACAGTGAGACCCGCGAGGAAGCTATGCCCTGGTTCTGGAAGAACTTCAACGCCCAGGAGTACTCGCTCTGGTCGGTCAACTACAAGTACAACGACGAGCTGAAGCTCACCTTCATGGCCAACAACCTGATCGGTGGCTTCCACGCTCGTCTCGAGGCATCCCGCAAGTACCTCTTCGGTGCTCAGGGCGTCTACGGTGAAAACTACAACTGTCTCATCAGGGGTGTCTTCATGGCCCGCGGCCAGGAGAGCCTCCCCGCCTTCGACGTCGCCCCCGACTGGGAGAGCTATGACTTCGTCAAGCTCGACCCCACCAGCGAGGCTGACCGCAAGCTTGTCGAGGACATGTGGGCCTGGGACGTCCCCGTCATCGTCGAGGGCAAGGAGTACCCCATGGTTGACGGCCACGTCTTCAAATAGATGTGACACGCAATTCTTTTCTTCTCTTCCATCCTCCCCCAAATACCCTCACCCTTCCCGTCCCCCTCTTAAAAAAGACTTACGCGCCGATGTTCCTTATGTTCATGGTTATGATACGTTGAGATGTGGAATGATGATCGATCAGGACCTAAGGTGTCTCCGTCTCAGTCTGGCTGCTTGATAGTTTAGTATGAATCGAACAAGGCAAACAGCATGAGATGTTCTCTCAATTCACTCATTCTTTATACCGTAGACGCAATGGCATTGTTATTAGTGTTGGGTATCCATCATAGTCATCTGGTTATATGTATTGAGATCATAACCCCATTGGCTTACAACTTTGGCCCTGTCACGAAACTGCATTTTGAGAAGTGTGCGACGTGATGCTCCCGTAGTAGATAGTGTAGCTCAGATGGTTGTGACAGAGAATCCACCGTGCGTTGGTTTAATATCCCCGACCTTTCAACTTCGCATCTACTTATCTGGGCCGATAGAGCATAGCAACCCGCAGGGGAAAAACGAAAGCTAATCCGAGGGCATGCGCAGACTTGGGAATCTAAGTTTCGGATGCATTTGGCCAACCTCGCCTTTCTACTACCTCGCGCCCAGATGCCGTTCTGAAGACTGAGGTTGAAGATGGCATCGGATGCAGAGATACCGTGTTCTGTGGAGTCACACTGGGCCTCTTTGTACGCTTTTTAAGCCAAGGCAAGAGGTTGAATACACCACCGCATGCGAAGATGCCCAACCAAAGTGCCAACTCACTTCCATATATAACTATGCCAAGGATGTTAATAGCCGGCCCGAATACTTATCGTATGTTAGCGACTGCTCTCTCATCCAAACATCTTACTCCACTCACGAATAGATACGAGAGAAAACAGATCACCAGCGGCGTCGATGCCCACAAAAAAGAAGCTGATTCCTCGTACTGTTCGGTGGACGTAAATGTCCCAGTAATGCCTCAGTACCCCTGCCGAGAGCAGAGATGCGCTTAGAACAGCCATCAAAATGAGAGGCCATCTGATATCACGAGATCTGGCTTCTTTTAATGCAAATATCAACCCCGCTTCAATGGCACCAAGAATCAGAAAAAGAGGTGCCACCGCGGCAATGCATTTCGTGACAGAGTACCTCTATTCCATAGTCAGCAATACGTAGACAATGAGATGAGACCGATTACCCTTACCTTCCCATAGTATAGGCACTGGCCCCAAGTAATAAGGCTCAGAGTAGTAAGTATTTGAGGCTGGACTCTTAGAGCCACGTTGAACTCTTCCACAATATTGTACACCCCGAGAGGGACCCCGGCAGTTGCCCACAATAGCATCATTGACCCTTGCAAACCTTCAATGTCATGTCTTCTGTAATTTATTATAATCTGGGGTAGGAGCTAAAAAAAAAATTAGCATAATCGAGTAAGATCTTAGCCAGACACGAATGCCCTACCTGGATAGACCAGCACACCTATGAGCTTTATTAGTCATTAGAATCAATATTTCAAGCAGTTGAACACACCGCGCCTACAGTTCCCAGGACATTTTCTGCTATAGGGATGTCCATGCCGAAAAGGTAGGAGAATATGAGAGGGCTTAGGAATCCAAAATATTGAAAGGGTTTGGTAGATAAGAACGATTCATCATGCCACGTGACAGTGGGTATATTTCCTAGAATTCTAATTGGGCGCTTTTTGGACGCACCCCCTTCCTCATTGCCATCGACCCTAATAATATGGACGCAGAAAACGAATTGAAGGAGTCTTTCAAGGCAAATAATTGACGGGCACCGCCGAATTTATGCGGGAGGGCAGAAACATTCTATCACTGTTTTATTCCTTGGATGTAAGATGACGCCAACGACACGACGCTTTATTCAAAGAATTGAAGCAACCTCTTTCACGTTCCACTCACGATCCCAGGATTAGTTTCCATAGTAAGGGTTCGGAACCGAGTCCGTAGTTGACTCGGTGCAACACTGGTCGAATATCTTTGCCCCGGTCGAGTCATACAAGCAGTTGTCGGCTCCGAAATAGATATCACCATAATTCCGGGGCCAGACAGCCTCAAGTTTGCAGCCAGGAACCACGTTATAATCAGTCTTGTCATCGCCATTGAACTTTGCATAGATGGTCGCAGTACTGTTGGCTGTGTTTTGATCCGCAATACCTATTTGGAAAGAGTTTCCTGTAAGATCAATCATAAATATTTATGAGAAATGTTATGACATACTTGTGGAGCTGGGATGGCATAAGTTCTGGTCGTTAACGTTGATGCATCCATCGTTAACGTGCTTCATCATCCATATTAGCCGATAACCTTCACGCACTAAATGATTCTTCTTTCGAACACGTACCAAGTTGGTTCCACCAGAGTTGTATCCAGATGGTGCAGTACAAGGCCAGTAGTCACCACCAGGAGCCCCATTCTCCACATTTTGGGCTGCAGTTGCGATATCGTCACAGATGGGCAAGTTGAAGAACCCAGGAGTGCGGATTCCGTTTTGAAAGATCACGTCACCTTCCGTTCCTTGTCCATCAATGACCTTTGACAGAGATGGCATTTTATAGCCATTTGCGTTATTATTCAGCTGATAAGCCTGGTACGAACTCTGCACAATATCCTCTAGAATGACACCACCGTAAGCAGTACCGTCGAGAGTCGAGTGAGTGCCACCAGGGAGACCACTGAAAGGCTGCATGCCAGGAGAAGTGTTGATGCTCACTACATAGTAAGCATCATTATTGTAGCAGACATAGCTGCCCACGAGGGTGCTTTCAGACATGTACTTGAGAACATCTTGATCCACGGATGTGGAACAACCACCTGCCTTGCGTCTGCATTAATTGGTAAGTATATCTCTTCTCCCAAGTAAGTCGGGGACTCATTCTTACAGAATTCGAGGATATTGTTTGGAAGGAGCTTCTGCCCAGGCAGCTGGAATCAGCTGCCCATAAAGGATCTTTTCTGCCTGGGCAGTCATCCCAGTCAGCTCCACCTGAGATGAAAGCAGAAGCATGGCACCGCTGGTGACCATACTCTGAAGAGCAGTGATGGAGGAGTCATCACTTGCTCCGCTAAAGAGGGATGTCATATATCCACTCTCCATGCCAGTCCAGGCTGAAAAATAAGTGCCAAGTGCATCCGAGATTCCATTTTCAGTACCTAATGCATTGCTTGCGCTGTTTTGGGTAAGCTTCTGGTCAATATCAAGCTGTGCCGCAGGGGTAAGAGAGATCACTGACGATGACATCGAGTCTTTGCCCATCGCAGTGCTGAAAGAGATGATAGCTGCGTTCGTTACGTCTTTGCCCATAGAGAAGTACTTCGAGCTGGCAATAACCTCGACTTGCTTTAGCGCTAAAATCCCGAATTCCAGTTAGCAGCAATCTTCAGATACAGCAAGGGATATTATTACCAATGTTCCATGCAAATGAGCTTGCAATGCCAGCAACCATGGTAATGGCATCCAGGATGAACTTGATTATTGTACTGTCATCCTGGATTTGGGGCGCAAATGTGCTGGAAAAAGTACCAATATCATTTTGCATGGCATTCAGAGCGTCACCGAGAGCATTATAGGTTTGCTGATGAAGCTGAGTGGACGATATTCCAGGTTAGGCAACAAAGAATACCGCGAATGACAAACAAATCCACATACCTGATGGATGGAGGAGAAAGAGTTCATGATCAGATATCTGCGTGTTCAATTGAGTACTTATACTTGTTTGTTCCAGAAAGAAAGTAGCTTACTTACCCAGCAGGGTATTTGAGTTGATTACAGGTGAGCACCGTAGAGCAAGGAACATTACCAATATCTCCGCAGTTCCAGTTGTCTGGGCCAACAAAGTAATTGCTGATGAATTCGGGGAAGTTTAAGCCACTGGCAGAACCCGAAGAAGACCAGGCAGCCAAAGCAGCTTTCAGGGCATCATCTGCATCTGCTGCATCCCAACGGGCGGTGGGGTTCAGCGTCGCGTCAGTGATTTTGGAAGTGCATTGGACATTCTTCCAACCCGATGAATTTGAGGTTCCATTAGGGCGGATAGATGAAGAAGGGACAGGCTTGGAAGGCCTCGGAGGCTTTGAAGGCTTCGGAGACTTTGCAGATGTTGCATGAACAACGCTAGGAGGGGCAGCTTGGCCCAGTACGCATAGCAAGGACAGCGACGTCCAGAAAAAGACAAATCGCATTTTGAATTGGTGCTTGGGTGATCAAACAGATAATGACTGAGAAAAGAGATCTTTGGTTGAAACAATTCAATGACAGCTACCATGTTGGTCTATTTATACCCTCAAGAGCGCCTCCTTTCCCGTCAAATATCTGGAGATGAAGAATACGAGAACTACAAACCCCCAAGACCAAATTGAGCATCCAGTCGGGCCAAAAAGTTGAAGCGTGCTTTGAGAACCATATGACATTCGCTGATGAATGCAGAGATCCTCTTTCTCGCCCCCATAGATGCAAGTGTGGCGACTACTCCGGCGTTTTGCATTATTACGCAAAAGGGAAACCGACGAGGATCAATGTCTGACAGGAAAGTTCGCTTAGCAGAAAGATCGTCAGGGCACTGAAAGCGGGAGATGAACCTTTGGGTTGTTCCCGAGCTAAGCATAGAATACGAGCGCCGCTTATTGCTCCTCCAATCGCTGCGCCCACATTTTCCACGTGGAGTGAGTGGGCCCTGAATGTTAGATGCAACTTTAGGAAAGTTGTCAACCTTGAGATATGCCTTATTCTGAAGACTCCACTAACCTAGATTATCATCAATCGGCCCATAGCATAAATACGAGTGATTAAAATAGATTCCGAGACGGACAATTTATTTTCATTTCCCGATTAGATTGATTGGCGCGCTCCGTTTCTAGTTCATACCAGAATTCTCGGTCTCTGATAGTTATGAGGCCGGTTCGTAAGAGTGATTTGCGTGCTCATCGTGATCAATTGAGTCCCGGGTCACTAAACTATCATCAACGCTATCGAAAGCAGACAACAAATCCTAAGCACTAGACCAGTGAAGAAGCTCTCCAATATAGCCTAGTGATTCCCGAAGCGGCACTCCATCCTGATATATTTAATTTAATTATAACTTGCTGGTGTATCTAAATAAATGGCCGCTCTATAACTCTCCTTCCCCGAAACAGTTCAAGCTAAGTCGGCAGTAGCAGAGCGTCGGAACAACGATGTCCTCCAGCCGCCGAAAGAGCAAGAGGATATCGCTTCGCAAAATCCCAAAACTTCAAGGCTGGCTGAAATCACTATTGAACGCTTTCAGACGGTAAGGAGAGGCAGGCCACCTTTTGACTCAGTTGCCTTTACTTGGACTCGCGCCCCTCAAACCTTTATGGATGACGCAGTTTTGGGCCCATATACCTGTAAGGATCCTGAAAACATCTCCAGAGCAGACGTGTGGCATCTTAGAAGAGGATGTAGGCTACGAATCTAGACCTATGACATTTTGGGAACCTTGCAGGGCATCTTAAGCGACAAATTGTGCGCTTCGTGTTACATGACACTGTCGAAGTGTTCTCGACACAAGTACGATTACGACCATTGGAACAGGGGATTTGAGAATGGAGACTATTAAGGATCATGGGGTTTAAGAAGATCTCCACCACTTATGACTCAAGGGCTCTCTTGCATGTCAGACATTAAGAGAGTCAGTCATTCATTCAAGAAGAAGGAACTTGATCCTGATCGAGAGGCTTCTGAAGAAGCTTCAATTGATATCTTAGGCTGATTCATCTGTGGTGAGGGCTTTTTTACCTTATGAGGAGATATACTACGATGATTTGTTTCATGGACGGTGAGGGCAAGAAGATGACGATGCCGGTGAACCTGATGAAGCTGATGAACGAGACCCGCAAGAACTGGTGTTAAAAAATAAGGATCGATTTGAAACCTGGCCCAATAATACAACTGACTGACAATCAATCTAGGCCATGATATATAAGAAGAAACTATTGAGATTCTCAAACATCGATAGGTCACATAATAATACTTGGAGGAAGAATGAGGTTAGTTAATAGTCTTAGTCAAGGAATCAAAGCGACCCCGCTAACCTCGTGGATCTAGAGGTCTTTGTTAGAACCACGGAGTATCTTTGACCGACTACCCTCATTGATCACTTTTCAATTACTACCATTCGAGCTTCGGCCTGAGCCCTCAAAAAGGCCGTATCTAAATCTATATTGAATTGACAACTTACTATAGTTAACAATAAGAGGAAGCTCTGGCTATATTCGCGCGTAGAGATTCTTGGCCCATAAATCTAGTTAGGGTAACATCCGTGTTTAGGCCTCCAGGGTTACTATAGTGCGTGGAACAGTAAAATGTGATTGTGGGAGTTCCATCCAGTCACAACCGTGCGCGGAGACCCATGCGGAGAAGCGGGTCATTCGGTTTGTCAGGTTCAGAACACCTGCTGCTTGTGAGTAGACTGTTAAAAACGATTCTTGCCATAGATTTGGGGGCTGCTGGGGTATTCAGGAACCCCGGGGATCTAAGAATGTGGATCTAGATGTTTGGTCAGTCGATTGCAGTGCACACATTGACTCGCTTCTCCTTCTCTAACTAGAGGACGACGATTATCCATTTTTGACCTCTTTTTGACTTCGGACTTTAGGGAAATGAATCAGTTGCTCTTTCCCCGCTTGCCATTTTCTTCCTGTCGATCGTTGCATCCCCCATAAATCTCCCGTAAATCGCCCGTCAACTTGGCTACTCCTCCAACAAAATTTTACAATCAATTTTTCCCTGGCCTTTCCACCTTGTCTAGCTATAGTATGTTATCCGGGCCTTTTTAAGTGTTTTTGTTTTTGGCTTCTCACATTCGCCTTATATATGTCACTCCCATTCTGATGATTTCGTATAGTTGTCTGCTCTCCCTGGTTAAATTTCCAGAGCGAGAGTTGTGCTCAGCCTGGGCCAGTCTGAGTTAAACAAAAGATTCTTTGGGCCTTGCGACATCTCGCTGAGGCTTTAGCAATGGTAAATATTTCGCTATGGCTGGCGGCTGTCCTTGCCGGCAGTATTAGCCCAGCTTCCGCAAGCCCAAAGCAGAAGGATTCAGTATACAACACGGGCTTTCCTGGTGTGACCTGGGATAACAGTGCTTGGACCTTGACAAGCACTCATGCCAACAACACGGACTGGTTTTCTCAGTCGTTCGTTTCCAACGGCTACATTGGCGCAAGCTTTGCCTCCACTGGGCCATTCCCACACAACTACGGCCCTCCGAGCGTCCCATATTTTAATGATCATGTCACTTTTTCCACCATCGCCGGGTTTTATGATCGACAACCGAATGTTACTTTTGCGGCGGATCCTTGGCTTAGCCAATATGGATGGGAAAGTTCCATAGCCGGGATCCCTTCTTGGGGCTCCATAGTGCTTGATCTAGGGAACGGCATATACCTTGACGGCACAACTGATGAGGCCGAGCTCTCAAATGTGACTTTGCAGCAAGATTACAAGCAGAGTATTGCCAGCTACTCCTACACTTGGTCACCGAAAAAGCTGCCCGGGGCAGCGATCGACGTTTCCTATATGGTACTGGCCGACAGACTACATCCGAATCGGGCTTACGTGCGAATGAGCATCACATCCTCAACAGCCATGTCCGCCAAGGTGGTGAACATTATTGATGGGGCTACGGCTCTGCGAACAGACTTTGTTGAAAAAGGCATGAACGAACGGTTCATTCACACGGCCATCCGTCCAGAAGGAGTGAGTAACGTGACAGGCTGGATCTTTTCCACGCTGGACAGTCCCAATGCGAACATGTCAGCTTTGCGACAGAGCACAGATGAGCCGTACATCAGTATGAGTGCCTCCACCGTTGCCCAAGAAATGGAAATAAAACTTCAGTCGCACCGACCGGTCAGTGTAGTCAAGTACGTGGGCATTGCAAGTTCCGACGCCTTTGAAGATCCCGAAGAATGGGCACTCAGACAAGCGAAGGCAGCGGTAGCAAGCGGGTTTGAGAAGTCCTTACAAGGCCACGTCCAAGAGTGGAGGGAGCTATTTCCTACAACTGCTGTTACCAGCTTTGCTGACCCGGAATCCCACCGACTTCCTGCGCACTTGGTGGACCGGCAAATCACGACGGTCGTTGCAGCGGCGATGCTGCTGATGACCAGCGTTACCGAAAATAACCTTGCCCAGGTTAACAACGCACCCATAAACATGTATGGTTTTGGCGTATGCGGGCTGCTCTCGGATTGTTACGGCGGCCAGCGATATTGGGACCAGGATATATGGATGGGTCCTTATCTTTTCGCCACGAATCCAGTCGCTGCGAAGCAGATACCACTCTCTCGAACATACTTCTACCACCAGGCACAGGCTAATATTGGAACAGCCTGGCAAGGTTCGAAACGAAACTACACATTCTCACCCGGCGCCGCCAACTTCGCCTGGTCGCAAGGGCGTGATGGTAACTGCACGGCCTTTGCCCCCTGCTGGGATTATGAATATCACAACAATGGGGACATCGTCATGGCCTTTATCGACTATTGGGCGGCTTCTGGCGACGATGAGTTTTTCAAAGAGTCGCTGCTTCCCATCACGAATTCAATTGCTACCTTCTACTCCGATCTGCTGCGACTAAACGAATCGACGGGGACCTGGACCGTGTCTAACATGACAGATCCGGACGAATACGCTTCTTTTGTTGATAACGGAGCCTACACAATGGCTCTGATGCAATACACGCTCCTCAATGCCAATGCTTTCAACTCGTACTTTGGGCAGTCACAAAACAGCCACTGGGATGAGCAAGCTTATGCTGTCGATATCCCAATCGATAAAAGCAGGAATCTGACTCTGGAGTATACGGGTATGCCCAGCTCGATATCCATCAAGCAAGCCGACGTTGTCCTCCTCACCTATCCTTTGAACAACAACAATAACGCAACATTCAGCAATCAGATAGAAAACCTCCAATACTATGCTTCTCAGCAAGCCCTGGATGGACCGGGAATGACATATGCGATCTATAGCATCGACTCTTCGGTTCTAGAACCTGAGGGATGTGCGGCGTACACATACGACCTATACTCGTGGACACCTTATATTCATGGACCCTGGTTCAAGACCTCCGAACAGATGGATGATGGTGGAGGGGCTTATCCCTTTTTCACTGGGATGGGCGGCATCCTGCAGATTGATTTGATGGGGTACCTTGGTCTGCGCTATGGTATGACGCCCGGCGACGTGCAGGTGTATCCAGACTTGCCGCCGCAGATACCGTACATGCGCTTTCCGACGTTCTATGTTTCAGGTTGGCCTATCCATGCGGAAGCGACTCAAGAACACACGGTTCTCAGACGCTCCGGGGAGAAACCATTGGCGACAGCAAACACGAAGTTTGGCTCAAAAAGCATCACCGTTCGATTGGCTCGTGGCGCATCAGACAACATCAAGACATTCGAGCTTCCACCAGGTGGCACATTAACCATTCCAAACATGAACTCGCAGACGAAGAAGAACGTCGTCCAGTGTCGTCCTGTGGTTCATTCAGAGCAAGCAAAGACACCTGGTCAGTTTGTCCAGGCCGCAATCGATGGCTCGAATAGCACGTCATGGTTGGCAGATGCCAATAAGACCAGCAGCTTTACCGTCGATCTGAGTGACGAAGGATTCCAGGTGGTCAACAGCCTCTTCGTTCAATGGACCACAGCACCCCCTGCCGATTCATTTGTCATATTCCACAACACTAGTAGTCTGAGCGGTCAGGACGTGACAAAGATTAACCTGTCCTCTGGTGCTATTACTTCCAAGTACAATCGCAGCAGACTGGAACCGAGTCTTATTCGGCAAGCCTATCAGGGATCTGTCAATATCAGCCTGGCTGGCAAAGGAGTTTGGACCGGACGATATGCAACCCTTCTCATTGATGGAAGTACTCAGCAAACGGGAGTGGCAGAATGGTCTGTACTTGTGTGATATTCCATAGGAGGCAAACAAGAACCAAGCATCGGGTATATCAACGGAAGGTTGGAGTTGCCACGGTATGTAGCCGTAAGCCACGTAGGATGCTTAAAACGTATGAAAATAGAGCGCGTAGTTGTTCTGTTAAGCATCTCCATAAGTGACAAGCTCAGTTGTCAGCTGAGACCAAATTCCTGCAACTTGAACTCAATACTGCTCTATATCTACTGCATCTGAGGTTCTTGCTCTTCGATTTGGATGCTGAGATGCTGATTAAGACGCCTGATCCACTCAAGCCCTAATAAGGCCCTTCGGTCAGCCTGCCGAGTACCATTATCTAGTCTATTGATGCCTGTGGACATGAAAGCTGGCTTTGGAGTAATGTTGTATCTTTCAACCGCGTGAAGGACTTGAGAAGGTTGTGTTTATTTTAATAGAAGAGTTGGAGGGGCAAGCCACAATGATTGAAGGCAGCAAATTATGACGATTCAAAACACCTACTAACGAGCACTTGGCCAAACTATATAAAGGCCGCCCCTCCCACTCCTCAATCCCTCTTTCTTTTCGGCCTCGTCTTTTCCCTCCCACACAGAACCCTTCTTGTCTTACGGAGAAAATACAAGGCTTCAAACAAAATACTTTTTTTCAAACTGCCGCCCTTCGTTTTCCTATAAGAACTTGTCAGCATGGCATCCGAAATCAGCACGAACAAAGTATACGTCGTCACCGGTGCCAACAGGGGTCTCGGCCTTGGTCTCACCAAGGCCCTTCTATCTCGTCCCAGCACTACCGTCATAGCCACAGTGCGCAACGACGAAGCAGCTGCAAGCCTGCACACTGAGCATTTAGATAGGACAGAAACTGGTCAGGGCAGTGCGCTGCACATCATCCAGCTGGATTTCACAGCAGCCTTAAGCCCTGAGAGAATCTTCGAACGCTTCTCCAAGACGGTCGACAAAATTGATCACATCGATGTTCTAATCAACAATGCCGGGTTCGCCGCGCCAATGCACCCCGCAACCCAAACCCCCGCCGAGGACCTCCGTGCCAGCTTTGAGGTGAACACAATCGCGCCGTTAATGGTCTTTCAAGCCCTTTGGCCTCTGCTCCAAAAGTCTCCCTCGGGAGCACCAAAAGTCATCCTGATTTCGTCATCTGTCGGCTCTATCCGAGCTCAGGAGCCCATGACTGGGGGTGCATATGGACCCAGCAAAGCAGCTGCAAACTGGCTAGTTCGTGCCCTACATCTTCAGAACAAGGATAAAGGGCTCGTTGCAGTTGCGCTTCATCCTGGTTGGGTTCAGACGAGGAATGGTCATTTCGCTGCGAAGGAGTGGAATTACGCCCCAGGTCCGCCGGATACGGTGGAGGATAGTGTGAAAGGTATGCTAGAGGTTATTGATAAAGCTACAAGGGATACTACCTCGGGAGAGTTTGTTGCGCAGACTGGGGAGGTTATTCCTTGGTAGTGACTATACGCGGAAAGAGACCCGTCAGGCATTCCTGGTGTGGCTCAATTTGACAGTTGTATCTTCAGCTAGGGCATTACTTAATTATAACACCAGAGAACACTTATTTGAATACGATATTTTATCCATAGCTATATACATAGTATCCAGCAGGGTTTAACCGCCATAAAGTCTGTCTATCTTACAGGGCTGAATTGGTTATAGCAACTATTTAATATATATCCCCTTCAAAGAAAATGGAGTGGCCGTCTTAGCCGATTCGTTGCTTTCGCCTGACCCAAACCTCCTTGTCATCACTCTCAGAAATCCCATCCGTCGATGATATCCGAGGCTCCCGCAGCTGGACCTCCCATATCTTCAGCTTGTAGTTTCCGCGATCTGCCTGGCCCGAGAAGATATCAAAGGACCATCCGTGCTTAGGACATGTAATCCCAGCACTGAGAGTGATGCCAAAGTCTTCAATGTCGAAGACATTGCCCTGAGAGAGAGGGAATGACGAATGCGGGCATTGCTATCCAAGGTTCAGCTTGATCCGAGAACCTGACCTCAGATATATGACCCATACTTACATGATCAACGGCGTGGACTTGCCCTTTATATTTAAACACGAGAACCTGTTCCTTCAGATCCCCCGGCTGGTCAATGTCCGCTTCTACCGGAGCCTCGGGCGCCTTTGCCTTCGTGGGGATGCGGAAAGCCTTGCATCTTGGGGCGATCCGATAGGCGTCCTTATCCAGGTCGAGGTCTGGCAGTGAGGAAGCAAGGCCAACCGGGTGCCAGGATGAATCGGCCCGGAACTGTTGTCTGAAGGGGTTCATGTCATGAGGGAGGTTTTATGTTCGGCGCAATCGGGAGGCGTTCTATGGAAGTTCTTTTTTTGGGTCTTTCCCGGCCCCACCAATCACCGTGGGCTGTCTTATCCATTTTTGTCAATGTCAGATCCGTGGGTGTGCTCAATTCTACTTGGTGATCAAATAGGTTTACAATGGAGAATAAATCACTGATTGAATATGAAAATTTTGTACATGAGTAATGTCTACTTGATGCAGTTGTACAAAAACAAGCAAAACGAAGCCCATCTGTCGTACAATACCATAAGGCCCTCCTCTGATCATCCCATAAAAATAGACAGTATGCAGCATAAATCTATCACCTAAAAGACATCTAAGCATATCAAGCCTGGTCGCTCTTTGTTTTCGTGAACCCAAACGACTCCTCCAACCGGTCAAGAAGCTCATTCTCCGATCCGGAAGAGTAGGAAACTGATGATATTGAGCGAGTTTGTCTTCGAGGTATATTTTCTGGCAGAAGCCGGCCAGCAAGGAGCGGCGATGCACTAGGAGATTGTCCCTGAGAGGTATTTGACGAGATTCCGCCTGAAAATTGCGGTGATGCAGTGGCAAATTCAGATTCAGCAAGCGTTGCGTTTTTCCGATCATCATACATGCGATCGGCTTTCATTTTGCGCTTGGATTCCTTCGTGACCATAACAGCTCGCTCATTTTTGACTTTCTTTGCTCGTTTGGGGAGGGAAGCAGGCACTGCTTTGGCGGCCAAAGACTTCGCTTCTCTGGCAGCAGCCTTTTTGAGGCGCTTCTTCTCCCTTTTCGCGGCCTTCCTGTCCTGCTGCTTTTGCAGAGATGCGGCAGAATCGCCCGTTTTCTCTGTATCCGCCACTAACGCAGCACCCTTCCGCTCCTTCTTGCGTTCCTTGGCACGCAATTTCTGACGGGAGCGAGCGTCCATAGAGTCAGTGGTGGGAAGTCCGTGGGAATCGGTAAAGAGGGCAGCGCCGCCGTCATCATCCTCATCGTCCTCTTCCTCCAAGGCTTTCTCTGTTTCCCAGAAACTTGGATCCTCTTCCACTGCTTTCAACTCCAAGATCCCTTGGTCTTCGAGCATCTGCTCGTTCCAGACTCGGAGGACTTTGCTGACATCGTCGTGGCGCGATAATGCATCCAATGCACCGAGGACCTTAGCAAAAAGCCGCGATTCATCGATGTTTGGGTTATTCATGAATTCCGGGATCTCGAGGATGTTGTACGGTTCTTTGGAAGCTTTCAACTTGCTGTCGTCAATTAGGACTGTATTGCTTTGGTCCCATCTTTGACCCACGGGGAGATGGGTGAGGAATCTCTGTTGTTCCTCTCGCATCTTGCTTTGAGTCAGGTGAGCTTTGTTCGAGGAGCTCCCCGCTGAAGGCGGTTTCGTTGTTGGGTTACTGTCGATGGGCAAAGTGTCACTGTCAAGAGTCTCCCTCGGGTATTGGATTTGGATAGTTGGGTCCCCCCACACCATTTCCAACTTTTTATAGACCTGAATCTTGTTGTTATATTGCGCACGGCTGAGGTTGAACTTGTCGCGTCCCCATTCTGCTGCAAGCGCTTTCCGCTTCTTGCCCGGGAATAATTTGTCGCAGACCGCCCGTACAGTCTGAGGTTGTGAGCTGGACCAGATCATAACCGTGTGTTTCTTCAACAGCAGTTCCAGGAAGCGATCCAGACCATCTCGCCGAGCAAATGACGGAGGAAACTTGCGCGCTTTCCGGTAGATGAGGGTGCCGTTGAGATCCAGGATGACTAGAAGGGGACGTGGCGAGTTGCACTTTTGGGGAGGCAGTGATGCCTGTGCTAGGTAGCCCTGGTCTGGGGTAGGGACCTTGACAGGCGGCGGCCCCGAAGGCTCCGGGGTCGAAACAGCCGTCGTGCTCATGGGCTGGAAAGAGCCCATTTGTTGGTAGGGAGACATGAGAAACGGGTTCATGTTCATTGGGGTTCCCATCATGGAGGAAAAAAGCATAGGATTGAAAGAGGGCATTGTCGGCATGGCATTAGGACCTGGGTGGGGGGGATTCCATAGTGGAACGCTGAACGCGCCGAAGGCAGTCGGGGACTGGTTCGGTGGTTGCGGAGGCAGTAAATTTCCATAGTGCGCAGGCTGTGAGCCTGAATTACCCTGGACATTCGCATAGGTACCGTAGGAGCCCATATTGAACTGGTCGTATTGCGGGAACGACGAAGTATTGCCTCTCGGTAACTCTCCTTCAACCTCCGCATCCCGGTTCTTACTCGGGAACGACATGTTCGGATTCCAAGGCGATTGTTTCGAGAATTGGTCATCCGACCCGTTACCAGTGAACCTTCGATTCATGTCTGGTTCATTATCGTATGGCAATCCCGTGTTGGAAAATGGTGCACAACCAGTTGCGACAGGTGCCGGTTTGAATGGTGTGGAGTGACTCGAGCCAGAAGGTGAGATGGAATAATCATAAACGACAGAAGACTGCGCTGAGACCTATGGAATCCCGAAAGACAGGCGATCAACTTGCGATCATGTGGATCTATCTGGGGGTATCAATCACCAACCTTCCCGAACTTAGGCCGGACTAGGGCGCGGTTTATTGTCAACGAACGATGGTAAGTAAAAGACCAGGGAGGCCGCAGCGACACGAGAAAAAGCGGGGCCATCCATGAGCGAGAAAGAGTGAAGAGTTGAGTTTGTGGCAAGTCAGGAAAGACCATAAAATTGTCGAGTCGGGGAGGTTATCGGGTTCACCGCCTTAACTGGCAGTATTTTTTTCTTTTATCGCTTCGTTCTTCTTCCCCGAGTCCTACCGTATGAAGACAACATGCCTATCTCGGACTTACTGAATCGCCGTGTGCGCGCACGACCAGAGGAAGAAGACGAAGTATACTCGGACGCATCTGCATCTAGCGAGGAAGGCCTGGAGAATGACGGAGAATTCGATGATGCCGACGTGCCATCGCAAGACGTATGTGTCTTTCGGCTTAAGATTTATGGGGAGATAATAAGTTAACCGACATTATTCTCAGTCAAACGAATCCGACACTGCGAATGAAGATAGTGACGATGGCGACAACTCTGATCAAGATGCAGCCGAAGAAGACGGCCTGAGCGACGACAATGATGACCTTCAAACCTCGCTAAACAACATTTCCTTCGGAGCCCTCGCCAAGGCACAAGCATCTATGGGCCCCAAGAAGCGCAAGAAGCAACCGACAACCTTAACCTCCACCGAAGAATCAACCTCTGCCCTCGACGACATCCGGGCCCAGATCCGCTCCGCGCGTGAGCAGAAGCGCTCCAAAGCCCAAGAGGACAACCCCGCCTCCACCGAAAGGAAAGAAAAGAAACGCTCTTCCAAGCACGCCCCCATGGTGCAATCCTCCAAATATGCCGTCTCCCGCAAGCGAACAGTAATCGAGCCCGCGGCCGTCGCCAAAGCGCGCGATCCCCGCTTCGACGCCGCAGTCATGGGCCACAGCGGGGCAGGGAAACACTCCGAAGCAGCAAGCAAAGCATACTCCTTCCTAGACGAGTACCGGGCATCCGAATTGAAAGATCTCAAGGAACAGTTCGCCAAGACCAAGAATGCACAGCAGAAAGAAGCGCTCAAGAAACAGATCCGGTCTGCGTCGGATAAGATGCGCGCTATGGAGGCACAGAAACGTGAACGGGATATTATTGCCGACCACAAGAAGAAGGAGAAGCAGCTTATTCGCGAGGGGAAGAAGAGTACCCCGTATTATCTGAAGAAGTCGGATTTGAAGAAGCAGGTTATGATGAAGAAGTATGAGGAGATGGGGTCGAGGGATCGGGCCAAGGCGCTTGAGAGGAGGAGGAAGAAGATGGCTTCGAAGGAGAGGAAGAATTTGCCCATGGAGCGGAGGGGGTTGGGTGGTGGCGGTGATGAGCCATCGCCGGGGCATGGAGCGAAGCGTAGACGGTTGTCATGAATGAATGAACAGATAGAATACCCGTGGAAATAATATTTACATTCTCGAGTCTGGAGATGATATGTGACGATCGTTTTGGATTAATCATAGGAAATCATTACCACATATAACACAGTGAGCAAACGATGCTAATAATTCATGCCTAGCAAAGTCCAAAAGGTATCGTATCCTGCGATAAATCGCCCAGAACGCCATAAAAACGCCAATGCAAGCAGTTCGGAAGTAAAAAGATCAAGAAATCGCTCCCGTCAGGAAGTTTTCGTAGCATAGGCTGCTTCAATGATAGATATAGAACATCAAGGTCATGCCTGCCGCGTCAATGACTGGGCAGGACTCCGGAGATGCCCTCAATTGGGCGGTGTATCTCGCTTCGGCTATAAGCTCGAGGCTGGACGAGTATGGGTTTTTGGGATTGTTCAACACGGCAGTATGGGGCAAAGTTTACCTCGTCATTGTCCGAGACCAGTCACAACCTCCTAGGGGAGTGTGCTGGGCAGTGCATTGAACAGTGGCCGACGGTGAAGCTTACATAGGCACTTGAGAACCCTTGGTCGCGATTGTTTGTCGGTATCCACACCTAGGAAGACGTTTGTTTGGAAGTCATCGGCGGAGCGATTCCAAATCACGAATGGAACAGGTCCCAGGCTCGTGCACACAAACCCAAGAACTCTTCCTTCTTTCTCCTCTGTGCTTCGGGAGAATCCCGCCCTGCACCAAAAGGACCGTGAAATGTGGCATTTGGACCAACGTTCGCCGCTGGGTTGGGTCGAGGATCGGGACCACGCCCTAGCGGCGGGCTGCCATTGTCCTGTTCGTATTCGCTTCGCGGACGACGGCGTGCGGTGCTATCGGCCGATTGCAGGAGCATAGGGGGAGCAGGGGCCGCACTGGTCATCGGGTCAGGACCCAGTGGTGCAGTTTTGGGGCCGGCGTGGGCGTGTGGAGAGGGCGGGGTGGGTGGCTGGTGTCCTCCATAGTGAACGATTCGAGGCAGTAATTCTTCCCGGCCACCAGACAGCTCTTGGACGGCTTCTTCGGCAGAATGATACTCGCGAGGTCGGTTCGGAGTTTGGGACATGGGCAGACCTGGGGAGGGTTGTGGAGCCAAGTTGTTAGATTGCGATGAGCCTTGATAGAAACTGGAGCGCCCAGGATCGCGATCACGGGAACCCAACGCATCAGATCCAAAAACATCGGATAGCGGAGGAAGACGGTTGTTTGTTTGATTCGCGTTTATTTGATGTATGTGGGAAGCTGAGCCCAACGTTGGACTTTGGTTGACCACATGGCGTGTCAACGGCTGCGGCCGGTAACCGGTGAATGTCGCATTCAACGGGGCAGATTGGATAACGCGCTCGTTCGCAAATTGAGAGGCAGATGGGGGGACAATTGACAGACCCGGCGGGGGTCTCTTCTTGGAGCCGGTCCTCGGCAATCCGAACGATTCGGATGGCTGGATTCCGTCGGGGCCGTCATCTTTGGCTGATTTCTGGAGCCGCGATTCAATGATCGATCGCTGCTGCTCTCGCACGGACATACTCCGCTGCAACTGCTCTCTCATGACCGGATCATGCGTCTGGAAACCGGGCGACAGACATGCCAATCCAACATCTTGCATACTAACTCCGTCGCGAGCCGTCATGGGCCCGTTGGGGGGGCGAACTGTCAAGCCACTGGCAGATGGCAGACTAGTAGAGAGGTCTAACTTCCGAGGCCGAGGTCGGGTCTGCATCCGTGGCGACGACGGTGGTTCCTTTTTTACTGTGATCCGGGGAGGAGGGTTGGCATTCCGGGATCTGAGGCCCAAATTATCAGCACTGGATCTTTTCCCTGGTGCAGCATAACTTACGGGGAAATTGGGGCTTGTTTGTCAGAAGGAGAATCTTTCCCAGCCGAGCCATCTTGCGAAGTTGTCGACATTCGGGACGGTGATGAGGCAGACGGGGCGCTGGGACCCGGCGGGGCCAAGGTCGGGCAATTCTTTGGGCTCGGGTTGCGAGTTGTATGTGGTGAGGATAACGGAGCCGCTGTCGCGGATGCAACTGCGGTCGACATGGCTGCCGGCAGGACAATACCGGGAGACCGCGGACGGGATCGCGATGGCTTGAGTGAGGAGGAGAGAAGAGAAGATACACGCAGACCTTGGAGGGGCCGGGTCAAACGTGGGATCGTCCAGGAGCTGGGGGCGGGCAGTTCGGTCGGTATCGAGCGCACAGGATTTGGGGAATTTGCGATGGCCAGCACACTGCCCAACAACACCAAACACGATCGATCAGTGAGGCGTTGAGAGATGCGGGCACGGCGGTTAGACGGCAGACAGGCGGCAAGAGAGAGTGTGACGAGGAGGAGAGGTACAGATCCAGGGCGACAAGCGAGAGAAATGGACCGAGTAGTGGTTTTGGGGGGAGGGGGGTCAGGGCAAGGACGGCTAAGGGGAGAGAAAGAGGGTCTGGACCCAGAGGAGGTGAAGCAAGAAAGGGGAGATGGCGGTAGCAATACCTGGTGCCTGTAGAGCGTAATGGTGGTGAAGGAAGTACCGGGTACAAGCCGGTGGAGTCCTGAGACACAAAGTGAAACTGGCTAGCATTATTAGGCCCCTGGACGACCTTTGCAGCCTGCGACCGCCAGCGTTCGAGGGAGGCAAGGAACCCCACCACAGCCCCGGGATCCTTCCGCTAGTGGTTGCAGATGTGATGCGTGATTGAAACAAACAATTAAATTTTATTTAGTTCTTTCCCGGGCACGACTGCTACACTGGGTGTATGTATACGACTGGACTCCGAGACTAGGACACCACGGGTCTCAGACATCTCCACGATCGCCCCGGTGGATCACCTAGTCCTACAAATAGGTAACAACCCAACCCTGATATCATCGCGATCGGTTCGCGGCCGGTGATCATCAAGAATATGGCGCTGCTAGTGGGCGCTTAGGGACCGGCTAATGCACGGACTCGAACTATTGGTGCTGTCTCACGCCACTGGCCCCTGTCTCAAGTGGTGTCCTGCAATCACATCTGGTTACCCACTGGGCCGCTTCCACGTTCGCACACGGACCAGATATCGGGCTGTCAAGTCCCAACTCCGTTGAACTAGAGATAGAATCAGGTGACTTGGGACCCTGGTATAATAATGCCGCTGCCTGGCTGCCTATTCGGGAAGGCTTGGGGCTGTCTGACTCTCACCCTGCTCTCGGTGTTACTCACAGCAGACCCAGTAGAGAAGTGGACTTCACACCACAATGCTGATGAAAGCCGAAGCGAATACTGATGAGGTTTAATAGCGCCTTGACTTACATTCTCTCTGCCTTCTAAAGAATTGTGCTGATCAGGGCTCGTGCCTCTATACGCCCCCCTCATTACGGGATTTCCTAAAGGATGGTCCCCAGAAAGCTTGTGCGAGCAAGGGACGCACCAACTTAACAGTCAAGTTCGAAAAGAGTTCTTTTGGTTCAGCCTTAGCTAAGTACATTATCAAGTATAAATTTGATCTACGCTAGGTGATTTCACTTAATTTATAATTAATGTGAAACTAGATACTTCATGCGCCAGGAATGCTACCTCATCGTCTTAATAATAAGAAAAGGACCGTCCTTTCTCTGCAAGAATGAGACTTGCACAATTGTGGCACTTGATCTGACGAGCTTCCATGATCTTGAGAAACCTCGAGACTGATGGAAGGTTGTTTACGGGCAAAACTTTCGAGAAGCGGTTTTCTATAGATATCTAGTGCTGGACATAGATTGGCGTCTTACATCCACGTCTGATTGATTGGGGATTCCCATGTAGACAGCCCCAACCATCTGTTCGAGAAGAACACAATAATAATAATATCATAATTTATATGATATCTCACCCTCCCTTTCCACAGTAGTCTTAGCCATCCATCCAGGATAGGAAGGCGGTGTGGCGACGTTAATCGATAACTAGTAACCCACTTTTTTTCTCGATCAGCTTCATTCATTATTCACCTCACTCAGTCTCTGCGAGGGCCATTGACTGAACTACTCGATCGTGAGGAACTTCCGTCTCACTGACTGGAATCACCGAATTCTCGCACTATCCATCACTGCGACCCGAACAAACTCTCAGCCTAACCTCGAATCCGAGTCCCCCAGTCCCAGCGAGATTTCACTTCTCTTCACAGCTCCTACCTCTCCTTCCACCACCTCTCAACATGCCGGGCTCCATCCACGACCAGGAACAAGAACAGGACCAGTCCATGATGGACGCCGAACGGGAACCCACCCCGCCGGGTAACCCCATCCTGTTGGAGGAGAAACACATTGTCGTGGTTGGTCTCTTTTTTCTCCCGAATAATATGCAAAATCATGCTGATGGCCACTCTTCCAGCTTCCTGGTTCAACAGAGACCGCTGCATCCTTCCAGTTTGCCGGCGAGGGCCACACGATGGGTAATGCGCTGCGATATGCGATTATGAAGAAGTGAGTGGTGGCTATACGTCTCGGATGGTTCCTTTGAAGAAAGAAAAGAACCTTTTTTTACTTTTCGGTATCGGTCCAACTGACTTGTTTTCCCTCTTCTAGCCCCGCCGTCGAGTTCTGCGGCTACACTATTCCTCACCCCTCGGACGCAAAAATGCACCTTCGTATTCAGACCTCCGGTACGTCTCCACTCTTTCTTCCATTAATCCGATCATATAGGAGGCAAACCTGCTAACAGCTCCTTTCCAGACTCTACTACTGCCCTCGAGGCCCTGGAGAAGGGCATGAATGACCTCATGGACCTGTGCGATGTTGTGACAGAAAAGTTCACTGACGCGCGGGATCAATTCAACGCCGAGTCTGGTGATCGGATGCAGTCGTGATTTTCTGTTCACCGTTGTTCTTTTTCTTATCGGCGTTTGTGGCTTGAGGCATAGAAAATGTGTCTGGCCATAGGTCTTGGAGTTGTGTTTCATTGTGCATATTACCCCCCCGAACCGACGAGCCCGGGGTTCATGAATATAGACTTGAAAGATGGTTGTATGATTTATGTGTCGATCTAAATATCAAAAATTGCTGGGTTTAAGAATGGTCCTATGAAGGTAGCAGTAAGACAGAAGGATGATTGAGAGCCTAGTCAGACACTATATACACATCATGCCTCGTCTCCACTAATGGGCGCAATTCGTTCAACTGCAGCACATAGTGGACCGGCATGAGGGGGAGAGGATAGGAAAGATGTTGATGAGAGACATGAAAAATGGGAAGAAAACAGCCAGGACCCAAAGTCTAATTGCGGCCCTCCAGGAAGCCAGAGACGAAGTTGCGGGGTAACCGCGCACCGGGGTCTTCTTCTGGTCGGAAGTACTTCATGACGTGGGAAAGCTGCTTCCAGTAGTTGAGGGTTTCCTTTTGAAGTCAATTAGTGTTCTGTCTGCGGTATATGAAACGAGCAGAAACAGCGCGAATGCCCAACACTAACCTGGAACTCGGCGTGGCTCTGGAAGAGCAGAACGTCTACCACGTTCAGCTGACTCACGTAGCGGTGCTTCTCAAACTCCTGGCGAATCTTCGTGCGGATGGCGGAGACGGGCATGCCCAGGGAGTACATGGTCTGGATCTCGGGAGACTGTATTCTCATCTCGAATTAGCTCGGTATTCTCCATAGCCGTTATCGCATCCACGATCATATAGACAACAGATTGTCAATTGTGCCACAACGAGTCCAGAGGAACGAGCAATGTCTGTCCGGCACAATCGGAAGGGGGAGGGAGGGCAGGTTAAAGGTTGAAAGGATCCAGGAAAAACTGACCGCACGAAGCCATTCGCGGTAGGAACTGAGGACTCGGGACTTTGCGTCGCCCAAGCTGCGAGCTATATCATAGACACAATTGTCAGTTTCATCATTTTCATCTTGGAAAGCATGCCAAAGCGATCGGAACACATCGGGGTGTCTCGAGGAGGAGAGTGCTGTTAGGGACACGTACAGGCGCGCGTGCGCTGCGCAAGATAGGTCGGGTTGATAGTCATGATGAGTGAATAGGAGGAGATGTCCACTCAAGTCGGAGCTCGGTCTCTGCCGAAGGAGGGTGAGTGGAGAGGGCAATTGGCAGGTGTGATGGACCGGGACTGGTTTCGCTGAGGTTGAGGCTGGCTTGCCCACCACTGACTCACCGCCTGCCCAATCCAAAAATTTCTTTTTCAGCGGCGAGACCAACCTCAACTGGTTTCTTCGTCTGCGCGGAACTGCTTGTCCTGGTTTTATTATTTTTTTGAAGAGTGCACGGTCCTGTGAGCTGTTTTATGCTACATTGATCACCCCTGCAGTTTCCTGAATTCCTCTCCCACAACGACCTCGCCCTCCAACCACTCTACCGTTTGATCTCTCGAAAGAAATTCCGAAATGGCGCCCATCAAAGGGTCATCCAAAGGTGCCGCTACAAAAGGCGGAGCCAAGCCGTCCAAGTCCTCTGCACCATCGTCTGGGTCGCGGGTGAGCAAATCCAGCAAGCCAAAGGGCAAACGACCGCCGCCAAAAGAAGTGAAGGCCAAAGCACGCACCGCACCGGAGAACCTGAAGAAGAAAAAGAAGAGAGTATACACAGAGGCGGAACTGGATCTGCCCAAGTTGAACGCGATCACACCTGTCGGGGTGGTGAAGCCGAAAGGCAAGAAGAAGGGAAAGACTTTTGTAGACGACCAGGTACGAGAACAATGTTTGAAAAGGAGATCTCAAAAGTCACTAATTTCATAAACAGGAGGGCATGATGACGATTCTTGCTATGGTCAACGCAGAGAAGGAAGGCCAGATCGAGTCGAAAATGATGAAGGCGCGCCAACTGGAGGAAATCCGTGAGGCTAAGAGAAAAGAAGCAGAAGCACGACTAGCCGAGAAGAAGAACAAGTTGGACGCTGCGAAGGATTCAATTCGCAACAAGAAGAAGCGCAAGAGTGATGGAGGAGACAGCTCTACAGCTGTGGCTGATGCTCCTGCGAAATCATCTAAAGGAAAACGGAAGAGCGTTGCATTTGCTTGAAAAAAGAGCCCGAAATTTGTTCATTGTCTATACCAAGATTTATGTACCTAATTGGGATTGGGGGTTTCGGCGTTCCCACCGGTTGTTTTTTATCTCCATGTCTATTCGTATTTGCTCATCTTTGTGCGTGTCACGAGTCGGGTGTATCACAATGGTCGTAAAGGTGGATGTCATTATAGCGGCCGGGGTAGTAACTTCTGTTGAGGTAGAGGTTTATTGCACAATTTCCAGGGCCAACTTGCGACGAACAGGATCAAATTCGGCTTTCGGTAGCAGGCCGAGGTCTTTCTCAGGCCCTTGACGGCTGGCAATGTTTCCAGGTAGCTTCTCGGGATGCTCGACGATGCCGGGAGTCGCCATGTCGATTTCGTTGGCCATCTTGTTCAGGAAGTTGGTCACCTAGAAAGGAGTGTCAGTAAAGACTCAGAAATCCCAGACGAAAAACATACCGGCTTAACAAACCATCTCGAGCCACCAAGCTCAAACCAGCCCAGATGACCACCCCACGAGGTAGTCAGCATAACACCGTACGGCGTCTGTGTGATTTCCTGGAACGGAAGAGCACTGCGTGAAGCAATCTAAAGTGGGTCAATACAATCTCTTTTGGACATAGATTGTTGACTTACGGGGTCATCTTCAGCCTGGATGGTCATGAACGGAATGCGGATTGCCAGCATCGAATCCGTAGATGAAGCATCACGGTAATATGCGCCTTCGGTTGGGTAGCCCCATAATGGACATTGCAAAGCCCTGCTTGGCATCAGACATCATGAGTTAGAAGGACAGATAATCATGCGTACCGATCAAATTCATGCAGGTACTTGATATTCCTCACGGCCTCGATATCAATACGCGGATTCTTCGAGACTTCCTCGACGTGTCTGGCGTAAAATGTTAACAGACAGACATATCTATCAGACAAAAGTTCGCTTACTGTTCGATCATTTTTTTCATACTGGAGCCCATGGTCGAGCTGTATACCTCCATACCCAGCCATGTACTCTGCAGGTTCACAGAGCTAACGTCGAGGTTCCACGGGCTTGCGCAGATCACAGCAGCCTTGAGTTGGCAGGCATCTCCTTCCTCTCCTAGGTACTGTATAAACTGTTAGCAAATATCTTCTATTATCGCTCTCATCAGTTCTTACGTTGGTAAGAATATTAGCACCCAGAGAGAACCCGATGCCAAAAAGCGGCCGGTTGGGAAACATCTTCCGGAGCCATTTCACGGACTGTCGGACATCCCATGTAGCCCGAGCATTGTAAAGAACGCCGCTGGTGATCTTAGTTTGTGCACATCCTCTCGAATTGACCACGCATGCTTCCCAGGACTGATCCGCGACAAGTGGAGCAAGGACATGCCGCAAGTACAGTTCATGCGAGCCACCACTCAGACCGTGGAGGACCACCAGCATGGGTTTTGTGTCGTCCGACGGCAGAGCCGCAAATTGATCTTCGGAGAAAAACGACGTTCGTTCTGGCAGGCCGGATTGCAGCGTGTATTTCCTCGCCTGGTCGGTGAGCTCTCCTTCTGGAGGCATGTCGTAGGGCTCCACAACGAAATCAATCGCATAGTGTCCCGTGAACGCTGCACTATCGGCCTGGAACACCTTTCGCTTATAGTAGATCGGCACCGGGTCGTATTTCATCACGGTCCAAGCGGTCTGCAGGTGGCCGTTGAATAGAAGTGGATTGAGGTGGCATTCTTTCGGTGTGGCACTGCGGCAGACGTCCACCAGAGTGGTCTTGTTCCCAGCCTTTGATTGCAGTAGTAACTGGTTGTCCTTGGAGTGATAGAATGAGATCCGCCCACTCGGACGAACCCAGGACAGCAGGCCCATTGTTGCTCACAAGAAGGTTGATAACAACCGTGAAAACGAGGGGATACGTTCTGAGGCGAAATCAAACAAGCGTTGCTAACAGTCTATGAAAAATTTTCCTTCTATGCTGGACCAGCTAAAACGTGGCGCGGATGAACTGCCTGAACAAGGGACGGGCCGAGGCATTTGCCCGATCAAGAGTAGATGACTCAGCAGATCATGTGACTGGTCGCTCTTATGAAGATGATTGCCTTAGTCATCCCTAGGTCGTCATCCACCTGCCTCGGTCACCCTCTCCTGTCAGTTGACACCGTCAGGACGCAACTCACAGTCTGTTCAGGACCCTGAAAACTCTCGGACTAAGAGATGCTGACGTCTGCAGCCATGTTGTTGCACAAAAATGGAGTGCCCACGCATTGTGCTCGATGCGGCAACCAACATACCGCATGCGGAAGTCCTGCACATCATCCGGCGCGGGCCACAACATGATAAGCAGACCCCGATGTTCTGACAATAATGCTATTCTAAGGAACAGAGGACTACCCTGAAGAATGTCCGGGGCTACTGCATTGGGAATACCTGTCAAAGAACGGCATTGGCAGCCCGGATCCTCGCCCAATATGTAATGCTGATTACATGCGCGACACCCACGTTCGGTGACCCAGTCCCATGGACCGTTTTCGTGCACTGCTGGATCTATTCTACAGGCTACTTGAAGGTCAACAGGTCCACCCTTGACTTTTCTTTCCTTCTGCCTCTTTGGTCACACGGGTACACCTTTCACCTTATTTTACAGTATGATCTGTCTGAACGAACAATCAAGCTCAAGCCCACCACTCTGAGAAAATTCTACTCATGGGATCTGGTCATAAAAGAACCTCCGTGGGTCTGTCCCGGACAATGAGCACCGGCTCTCTCCCATTGTCCATGCCCTTAAGAAGAACAGACATGCCGGATCGCCTGCGCCGTGCCACAGAGAAACTCAAGATTTTGACCAAAATGCGACCCTGGCCACCACATCGTTCGAGGAAGAGACAGCCGGAGAAAGGTTCCAGTCGCTGTCATCTTATGGAATTACCTACGGAGCTGCTCCTGGAAATCATCTCGCATCTCACACTGCTGCCAGAAGCAGCGCTGGCGCTTACTTGCAAGCGCATGTTTGCAATATCTGGAGAGATCCTCGCCTCCAAGTCCCTCCGATTCAGTCGTGACTTTGCGCCCTTGTTCCACCACTACCGCAACGGACACAATTACGTCACGCCAAGATGGCAGTTCCTCACCCTGCTAGAGAACAGCAGATGGCGTTTATGCTCGAAGTGCCTGAAACTCCATCCTCGAGCCGCATTTTTGCCCCGAGAGTTGCGACGCAAATCAGACAATCGAACCTGCAATATCGGAGACTTGGCAGGGATTGTCGACCTGTGCCCGTGCAAGAAGTTGACATTCCGGGACAAGATGGACCTAGTGGACCATCTGCGCGTGCGGCAGATCACTCTCGCGGCCCTCCAATCCCAGTTCGGCAATTCAGTCACAGACCGATATTGCTGGCACTCATGCACCGAGCAGTACGGGCCAACAGAGCTTAAAGTAGCTTTGTTTCCCGAAATCAACGAGGAGAACCAACTGGTCATTCGCACTGAGTACCATCTCACGACAGAGCCGGGCCAGGTCGGCAAGGAGGAATGCATGACGCCGCGTTTCGGGTGTGCTCACCGATCTGTGGACCTATGGCTCTCGAGCGTGCATCAAACCACCATCTGCCGGTTATACGATTCATTCTGCAGCTCCTGCAGACGCATTTCTGTCTGCAGTGCCTGCAACACGACGTTGAAGTGTCCTCGCAAGCAACCGCTCAACACGGACAAGTCCGGCAAGCTGGCGACCTATTCTTTCTGGACGCAGAGATCTCTTGGAAGCATTTCATCTTTTCCGGACCAGGACTGGGCTATTCAAAGAATCCACCCCGCTGAGCCGTCCATAAGCGTGGACAACTGTAATGAACTTTGCCCGTGGACTGTCCGGGAGCATCCCCCGCTTACTTTTGCGCCCAGTCTGGACCAGGAGATTATTGATCCTGCCGTGAATGATCAGACTATGTCCCAGCTGTATTCGTCGATTCGCATGATATAAAGGAGTTTCGTGGTGTTTACTTGGAGTTGGTTTGGGGGCATCGGGGTTTATGTACCATCATTTGCATTGCAGATTCCGTCATCTCGTGGGTGTATAGGTACTATGTTGCACAGAGCATTGTCTTGTTGTCATTTTATAGAGTGTCATCAGTGTATAAGGAGTCCATCTTTTTTCTGGCCATGTTATGTTCCTAAGAATACAGTTTCATTTACTAACCCCTCAATCTGCTGAACTCCGGGGGCAATTGGATGAAGCCCTCTTTTTGAATGCATGATTATTGTTTGTCTACTCGCAAATTGACAATCAACATCAGGATTTTTGCACACTTTGTAATTCTTGATCATTGATCTATCTCGGGATTATAGCATTCTCAATCCACTGAATCTGGTCCAGCAAGCCTGCTTAAAACACGCTAATCCATTCTTGCTTTACATTTTTATAATATCGAATGTTCTATATGAGGATATCACATGATAATTGGTCTCATGACTTGGTCGAAATACCTATAAATCGATTCCGACACCTCGATGATGCGCCTCAGCTTTCTGGTGTTGGGTTAACTATGACTGACAGTAGCACTGTGGTAAATTACTTGGATTTCGTACCGGGCAACTGTAAGCTAAATTGGGGAAGTGGAGAATATAGCATGGCACTAGTAAATTTACCAGGGAGTATGTCAGGTATGAGAAAGATGAGAGCGATGGTATTCTGTCCAGTTATTAGGGTTTTATTTATACTAGAAAGCGAAAAAACTCTATATAGTGAGATCTGCCCAAATCGGGGCCAGTTTCCTGATTGGGAAAATAACCTTCAGGATGTAGCAGTTGGATATGGGGTAAATTACCCGACGGATAATTACTATGGCATGAATTTCTCATTTAGTGTCCATCTAATCCACAACTGGTGAGATCCGGTTTTTGGCTTCATTGTAGGTAGTATTCACATTGCAGATCAAGTATTCATATTGCAGATCAACACGCACGTCCCCCTCAGTGGCAGTGTAATATTGGTAATGGAACACTGGTTTCTTAAGAGATACCCCGGCTTACAGCTCTATGGGTCATTCTAGCCGGCCGTTGCGCAATGATTCAGTGCTTTGCTTGGGCTACTATATATACACTGCGCCGTGTATGTTGGCCCCGAATGTCGAGTTGCGACTTTTAACGAGATTTGTTGTCCCAAATCGTGTGAACCATTTGACAAAACATCTCTCCAGCAACATGAAGACTACTGTATTAGCTACCCTTATGGCCGCTGGCTGTGCCCAGGCGGATCCTCTGTTCGTGCCATTCTATGGAACGAGTGCTAATGGGTTCAACGCACCACCCCGGGGATGGAATACATTTGGTCTGCAGGCCCTAGGAAACGATTATTTTACTCTCAACCAAGCCAATGTCCAAAAACAATGCGATCTGCTCAATGTGACTGCAGGATATACTCTCTGCAGCATTGATTCGGGATGGTCTGGCAACGGAGGAGATCCGTTCGGTCGCTTGGTCCCAGATCCGTCGGTCTTCCCAAATTTGACCGCGTTGGCAGACAATCTACACTCGCAGGGAAAGCTACTAGGGGTCTACATCTTACCGGGAGCGCTTTCAGCAGATGCAAATGTCACAGTCGAGGGCACGGATATCAAATTAGGCTCTTTGTTTGATTCATCTCAACCGAGTTACAACCTCCGGCAGACTTTTGATTTCAGCCTGGATGGCGTTCAACAGTGGCATAATTCGGTCGTTAATAACTTCGCAGCTATGTAAGTTGATCTGCTCCGTCGGTGCGGAGACAAATAGGGCCGGAATTGGGATGTTGTTTAGAGGCTGACTTCATACACAGGGGAATCGACATGATCAAGATCGATTATATGACACCAGGGAGCCCTGATGCCGGTGAAACCCTACCTGCAAACAACTCTCTGGCAGCAGTAGCATATCATAAGGCCATTCAACAATCCGGTCGGCAGATGCGCCTTGATCTCTCCTGGAAACTAGACAGAGACGTGGGGGACTGGTATCTCTGGCGCGGCAACGCCGACTCGCTGCGTCTGGATCAAGATATTAACAATTCCGGCCAATCTACATTGGTGTCCTTTGCCACGGTCCAGCGTGCAATTGAACAGTACCGCGTTTTTATCAACCAGCAGGAAGAGGACCCAACACGGCAAACGATCCCGATCATGATACGACCGGATATGGATAACATGTACACGGGAAATGCTCAGAGCTTGACAGGGCTGTCAGACGTAGAGCGATACTCGGTAGCCATTCACTGGGTTGGTGCAGGTGCTAATCTCATCACGGGCGCGGACCTCACAGCAATTGACTCCCTGGGTCAGACACTCCTGTATGATCCCGAGGTGCTCTCGGTGGCCGAATTGACCGCCAATTATCCAATGCAACCGAAAAATCCGTTCAATACGGCACAACCGGGCTCGCAGGCTTCAGAACAGCTGCAGGCTTGGATTGCTGGTCCTGATTCGCAGAATCAAAACGCGGCGGTGGTCCTGACCAATTATGGACCGGATCAGGGTCAAGGAGGGTTTGGATCCAGCCTTCAAGGAGTGCAATTGGTGAATATCTCCTTGTCGCTGCTGGGCATTGCCGATGGGCAGCCAAATGGCGCGCCAGGGTGGAGTGTCCGACGGGTCTTGGGCGGAGGCGGCTCCGGCGGACCAGACCACTCCAATCTGGGCGTGACCAACTCGTATCTGGCATCAAATCTAGGACCCGGAGAGAGTGCACTGTACTATTTGACGGCCGCTCAGTGAGGCGTGGTCCACGTTTGTCAGAATCCCTCAGAAGGAATGAGGGATTGATTCCGCTGTTGCTCATTACATTGACACAATGCTGCTCTTTTCTCCCTGAAGAAGTCTTCTAGGTACAAAACAGTGAAAAATTAGTGATGCTACTAGGGCACTTTTATATTAACTAGACATTCCTAGAAGACAGGTAACGCTATGGTTAATCTTTGTGGAATAAATAGTCCATTGAATGGATGGCTTAACGTAATCCTCCACCAAGTGGATTCAACGGACTACTCAATACAAAATAGACGACACTTGTCCTTCTAGATAAAGACGACGGTTAGTTACTCTACGGCGGTCACTCTAGTCAATGATACTAAGCGCTATTAGGAATGGAGAAAGCTTACTATGAGTGCCATGCTTAACGACTCCGAGACCCGAGTCGGAGCTTCCTATATCGGCTATGTTGAAAATAATAATGACAAAATAGTATCAAAGTTCGGAATCGACCAAGGGAACCTTCAGCTCACAAGTGTGTGAGTATCCTATATTCCACGTAGCTAGCCCATTTTATTAGCAATAATATCTGTTCCCAGTCGCTCACTTATGAACAGACCTTTCAACTTCTCGCAAAGCAATGATTTTCTACATACAAATTGTAATGCCCACATGACGATCGAAATTAACCGAATGAGCTGTGTGAGAACTTCAATTTATGAATTTAAAAAGTAGTGCAGAATCCATCAAATACACACCCCAATATATCATAAACAGTGTAATTTAATGCAAGGAATCATAAGGTTCCATAAGGGCGTTGTGTTCGACATCATGGGGAAACTTCTCTTCCGAGGCAGTAGTATGGCACCACGGCTTTATCGTAACTTCTTCTCTGATCTTCTTCGTGAAGCACTTGGACCAGTTGCGACGAGGGTAGTGAGAGACGACGTCTTTGACTGTATCGGGGTGGATGTACCCGGGTCGGTAGCCCATGTTGTCTATATTATGATACGATATTAACATGGCCAGATCTCCAGAGTAGAGACAAGAATAATTAACGCAGCAAAGCAAGGAGGGGGAAAGGTCAAACTGACCATATTGAGTAGCGAGCTGAATAAGCAAGCCGATGGTGTTAATGCTGCCGACTTCAACGGGATCCTGGTGACGGATTATAGCCTCGCTGACACTCTCGGCCTGGGCAATAGGTCCGTTGAGCTCCTTTAACTTCTGCAAAGCAAGGAAACCACCGTAAAACTCAAAAGACATAAGGGTGCCGTGAGTGTGCTTGTCGATAGTTCCAATGTCGTGGAAGAGGCAAGTCAGAAGCCATGTCTCGGTACTGAATTCCCATTTAGGAAATTGCTGAGATGTGATGGCCATGCCTAGAGATGGAGCGTGTCAGCGCTTCTCTTCATAACATCCCAGAATGTTGACCTCGGATCTATTTTCTTTACCATAGTAGAAGACACGCATGCTGTGGTTAAAGGTGTAGTCAGGAAGTTCCTTCCTAACATACTCCATAGCAGCATTTACAAGGGGGGTGTTAGGTAGAGGGACATCTTTGCAGAGCTGAGGAACAGGCTCCTTGTTGAATGACTTCGTGCCACCCCAGACTTTTGGGTCGCAGGAAAGCGCAATCCAGCCGTATTCCTTGATCTGCTGCTCGCGAGTAAGGGTCATTGTTTTCGATTTTCGAAGATTCAGAGGCTGAGGGGAAATATTGCTTTGCGGCGGATTAGGGAGATCTGTTTTAAATCAGGGCGTTCAATAATAATTTCACTGAAATCTTCTATATTAAATAATGCCCAGTGGTAGAACCTTATCTATGTCTGGACAAACCCAGTCCATGGTTTTGTCCAGATCTATCTTTATGTAAGAATGTTGCCTTCATCTGCCTGGATTGGATCCTGCAATACGAAGAGTAGAGAGTTGAATTCTTATCAAGCAAGTTAAGCCTAGCCCTCTTATGTAAGAGTTCTAACTAACTCCACTTAAAAATTGAAATAAGCTCATTCCAGCAGAACTTTAATAAATCTGTCAACATTTTGAGTTTACGTCAAGTCTTGGTACGTAGCGTGTCTCTAGGTAATAACCATGGAACCAAGCCGCCACACCAATCGTTGACTTCCCCCACAGGTACACCACGTGGACCAGTCTAGATTGGAAGCCTGAGTAATGCTATATTATAATTATTCACACAGGCCTGGACCCTTCTTGCTGTCAGCTTTACAGTGGCCTTGACAAATGGCTTCGGGCCTCGAGAAAACGCTTCTGGTGGAAACATCCACTCTGTTGGGAAATCTTGATTATCAAGCATGCGCTGTATTATCAAGCACGGCCTTACAACCGTTCTGCTAGTAGTAGCTTTTCAGAAGTGGTTTCGGGAAACGAGGAAATGTTAGTCTAGGAGAAAAGTTCCGTGGAGGAAGATTTTATTATAAAGTGTGCGCTGTTTTCCCCTTGAGGAATTATTTTCTCCTCTTAAAACCCTTTCAAGCATATCTCATTGTTCGTTACAGAATCATCATCTGCGCAGAGAAGTCCTATTTTCCAAAGCCTCAACAAGAAGCCTCGAAACCATGGCCGCGAATCAATGTCCAGTTCTTTCTCGCAAAGTACCAGGCAGCAACCTCCACTGGTGGCCCAACCGGCTGAAACTGAATCTTCTTCGCCAGCACACGGCTACGTCAAATCCACTAGACAAAGACTTCGATTATGCGGCGGCTTTCAAGAGTCTGGATTACAATGCACTGAAGAAAGATCTGCTTGAAGTGACAACCACCTCACAGGATTGGTGGCCAGCAGACTTCGGCAGCTATTGCGGATTATTCGTCCGTATGGCCTGGCATAGTGCTGGCACCTACCGTGTCCATGACGGCCGCGGTGGTGGTGCTCAGGCTCAGCAACGGTTTCCACCAATCAATAGCTGGCCAGATAACGTGCTTCTTGACAAGGCACGTCGCCTGTTGTGGCCAATCAAGCAGAAATACGGCGACAAGATTTCCTGGGCTGATTTGATCATTCTTGCCGGCAACGTGGGTTTCGAATCCATGGGCTTCAAGACCTTCGGCTTCGCCGGGGGCCGCGAGGATACCTGGGAGCCCGACGAGTCAGTGTACTGGGGTAGCGAGACGACGTGGATGGGCAACGAGTGTCGCTATGCAACCGGCTCAAACGCTGCCGGGGAGGCAAACAAGGACATCCGTTCGCGTGAGCTAGAATCGTCGCTAGCAGCCTCCCATATGGGTTTGATTTACGTGAACCCTGAGGGCCCCGACGGCAGTCCTGATCCCATTGCGGCGGCTCGTGATACCCGTATTACCTTTGAACGTATGGGAATGAATGATGAGGAAACAGTGGCACTGATAGCTGGTGGCCACACTCCCGGCAAGACGCACGGCGCCGCACCGAGCACTCATGTCGGTCCTGAACCAGAAGGCGCCGAACTTGAGGAGCAGGGCTTAGGGTGGAAGAGCAACTTCCGTTCTGGAAAGGGTCCTGACACTATTGGCAGTGGTCTAGAGGTCATCTGGACGCAAACTCCGACCAAGTGGAATTACGACTTTCTCAAGCACATTTTCGCCTATGACTGGGAACTCGTCAAGAGCCCCGCAGGCGCATGGCAATGGGTGGCGAAGGATGCGCCAGATATCATTCCAGATGCCTTCGACCCGGCTAAGAAGCACCCACCGAGGATGTTGACGACTGATATTATGTTGAAGTTTGATCCAGTCTATGAGAAGATCTCGCGTCGCTTCTTGGAAAACCCGGATACTTTTGATGACGTCTTCCGCCGTGCCTGGTTCAAATTGACACATCGCGACATGGGACCCGCCTCCTGTTATCTTGGGCCGGAAGCACCGTCTGAAGTGATGATCTGGCAGGATCCCATCCCTCCAGTCAACCACATGTTGATCGACAACATTGACGTCGCTGCACTCAAAGAGGCTATTCTATCAACTGGTGTAGACCGGTGCAAATTCATTTCGGCCGCCTGGGCTGCAGCGTCCACCTTCCGTGGTGGCGATAAACGTGGCGGTGCTAATGGTGGGCGCATTCGCCTTGCTCCGCAGCGCCACTGGGAAGCAAACAACCCAGCTCGGCTGGATGAGGTGCTTTCTGCATTGGAAGGTGTTCAAAGCCGTTTCCACGCTTCCCAGCAAGGTGGAAAGAAGGTGTCTTTGGCTGACCTAATTGTGCTAGCTGGTTGCACTGCCATCGAGCAAGCTGCCAAAGATGCTGGTATTGCGATCATTGTTCCCTTCCAGCCTGGCCGCATGGATGCCTCGCAGGAACAAACCGACGTCGAATCGATCGGTCATCTAGAACCGCTGGTGGATGGTTTCCGCAACTACGGCCGATCGACCTTGCATATGCGCAGCGAACACGCCCTCGTTGACAAGGCGCAGCTGCTCACATTGTCCGCTCCTGAAATGACAGTGCTTATGGGCGGTCTGCGAGCCCTGAATGCCAACTACGATGGCTCTGCTCATGGTGTGCTTACTAGCCGCCCAGGCCAGCTGACGAACGACTTCTTCGCGAACCTGCTGGACATCAACACAACTTGGACGGCAATTGACGGCTCTGACAAGGAATTGTTTCAAGGCACGGACCGCAAGACCGGGGCGAAGAAATGGACTGCAACCCGTGTTGACCTGGTGTTTGGCTCGAATTCTGAATTGCGTGCTATCGCCGAGGTATACGGTAGTACAGATGGCACGCGGAAGTTTGCGAAGGATTTTGTGACGGCCTGGGATAAGGTGATGAGCCTGGACCGCTTCGATTTGAAATGAAATTAGCCCAGAAATTTCTACATGGACAGTCCTGCTTTGTTTTTCTGCTGTCTATTGCTGTATTTATTGCTATTTAAAAACTGTTAGAGCGCGTTGGAAGCCATATTAGCGTTGATTCAACATACTTGGACAACACTAACAAAGAGCACTTTGACGCTTGAAACCCTCCTCCTTCCCCCCCTCTCTCTGACACTTAGGGTTGTCAATGCTGTTTGAGCCATCTTGCTCACCTAATACTTCGGGGTCGTTGATATGGTGAGATTACAAACTGGCTATTATTAGATTCACTCGACACTCTTGCATTGCGTCCTGTGGTGACATAGATTGAAAGTTATTTAATGAATCAGCATCAAAATTGCACACTATCTTCCATCCTAATGCCAAGTCAATTTCTTTCTTTCTCGCCATCGCAACCGAAGCTGTTTTTCGGGAGGATAAAGCAAAGAACTGGTCTGCTAATTCCTCCGGAAGAATGAGGAGAAGATTGCCCGTCTATGACGTCGGCGAGTTTTAGAAACTCGCTCAGGGGATTCCGTGGATTTGGTTTTCGTCTATTCACTCTCTTATTTCAATGGGCGCTTGAGTATATTGGGAAGACGGGGAGATGCCCATCCGACACTAGTTATTTAGAGTTGAAAATAGACAGCAAGGTTCTCTAAAGAGGCAGAGAGAATGGGTTTTAGAGACATGATAAATGGAGTTTGCATAAATGAATAAATGATCCCACATAAGTTCCGGGCGACTAAACCTTAACGAACGGCACAAGCAACTAGGCGGGAAACAATGCTCCCCTGAGATAAGGAAGCCATTATTAGCCGCTCTTCTTACTTTCCTCATCATACTCGGCGGGGGTCTTGAACTCGGCGGGTCCGTTTGGGCCCATCTGTCTTCCAGCAGGCGTCAGGTCCAGGAAGACATAAGTACCGGCAAGCGAATCCAACCGGTAATAGCTCGAGTAAGTATGATACACCACGCCATCCTCTAGCTTGAACACACTCAATCCGGGTTGCTCGCCGCTACCTGGACTTGTATCGAGCTCTTCCTTGCGCCGGAAGTCATATTCCACAGGCGCAACCTTCTCGTCAAGCGTGACGTGGAAGTCGTAGTTGAAATCACTGCCGTTGCTGCTGACCCACGGGAACTTCCAGAAGTTCTTATCCTTGAAACGCGTGATCTTCTCAATCGGTGCGCGCGAGACAGCAATTAGGGCCGTGTCCTTGTCGGCGAGGTGGCGCAGGTCGGGAAAGTTGGCTGCCATGAATGCGCAACCGTGACAGCCCTCCTCGGCCGTAGGCTCGAACATGTAGTGGTAAACAATTAGCTGGGATTTCGTACCGAAAAGCTCCCTGAGCGTGGTAGGGCCATCGGGGCTTTGAAAGATGTAGGTCTTCGCTACAGGGACCATAGGAAGGGCACGTAGCTCAGCCTTGATAGCTTCAGCGGTACGGGCGTGCTCTATCTCCTTTGCCAAAAGAGTAGAACGGGCAGCACGCCATTCCTCCGGAGTTCCAATCTTATACCCATGTCAATTCAAAAACATTATAACTGAGAAAGAAAGGGACTTACTCTGCCAGGCATTGTTGATGCTAGAGACTGTATACTGCTTAGGTTAGCTCTGCGACAGTCAGTGTCGCCGAAAAACTTTTATGGAGTGAAGTCAATATTATCGGAGATAGGATGTCTCAAGTTAGGTTCGGTGGTGAAGAAGATGAAGAGCTGGATGGTGGGTGCCATTCTACTGCTTATATACCCCACTTTCCTAGACTGGAGAACTCTGGGAAGCACCATTCCTCCATACTTCAAACGCTTTGATCTCTTAATTTGAGAGCACGGGTGATAGAAAAGCATGAATTTGGGACACTAACTGCACGGAGCTTATAGTAGGGAAGATAATCTATGGTGATGAATATGTTCGGTGAATTATGAATGGTCGATTACACTATGTTATCGAGCTGTTGCCTGACGGCTGCCTGGCCCCAACCAATATTATCGAGCTGCTGCCTGACGGCTGCCTGGCCCCTACCAATATTTATTCTTATGGTTACTTAACCTACGTCTCAATATGGGTAGCTCGCGAAGCGAATTGCAGGTAAGATTATGACACTGCATATCCTCCGAGTCATATTGACCTCTCACGACGCGAGGTCGATTGTTAGCACATATGCGTGTCCATTCAAGGGAGCCCTGGGACGGCCCAACCAACTAACTTAGTAAAGTAGACTAGTTAATTATCACCGACGCCGATGAGTAAGGCTCTTGCTTGTCGTAAATCCAATTTCGCAAAGACTTGTTATGCTACTGACTGACTGGAACAGAGGCAATCTTGCCACAAAAACCTATCTCATTTTCGCTGGCGCCATGGCAATATTTTTTGTCATAGCCTATTTTCACTACCGGAGGTCAAGGGCAGGAGTGCAACCGAGCTGGACGAGCTGTTCGCACAACGTATTCCAGCAATGGCATTTAAAGTATGACACCGTACTCCACTGGGAATCGAAGCGAAGTCTATAATATATAAGCCCACTCATCTCCTTTTAGGACATATATGCACTCGCATCGAAGAGAACTTCGGGATAGACAACATTGTGAAGAATAGTGTTCAAGAAGTTGAGATTGTCAGCCAGTCGGCCGTCAAGGCCTATAATTAATTACCGATATCTCTTACGAGAGCGCATATGTATATACTGAAGGGGTGCAGGGTGCGTCTTAATATTTATCTAGTTAACTAATTTCACGTTAGCATTAGTTACTTGGACACCTGAATACCACAAAATCGAAGAAGAGATCCTCCTAGACTATATTGCTTCCCAGTATCCTCCTACTCGAACAGGAGAAATCCTCGAGAAGCGATATAAAGTCGGGGCAAATTGTGATTTAAATCTACCTCAATGCAGTGGGAGCCCGACAAGCGTAGCTCCGCTAAGGAGCTATCAGAACACCAATGGATATACAAGCATTTGTAAAGATATATCAAGGAATGAATTCTACATAGGCTGCTACAGCGATATTCGAAATAGATTACCCCCTATGCTTTCACGATTTGTTTTAGTACTGCTGCTCTATCCCGTCCGTCTCGCCAATACGCACTACGTATTTAACAGCAGACGCCTTGCCTGCTTTAAGATCCTGCAACGCCCCTTCAAGTCCAGCTAACCCACCCGGACGAACTTCATACGGATGTCCCGAGAACCAGCCCTGCGCCAAACCACGGCCAATAAATTGGAAGAAAGCAGCGCCAAACTCGTTATCTTCGACCGTCTTGCCTGCTGCGGGAGACATGTGAACCGATCCAGCCATAGTTTGGCCCATGATAATTCCCTCAGGGGGCTGGTAGTCTCCACTAGACATCACGGTAGTGATATCCCCAGGTGCGGTCATAACCGCGCCGATATTCTGATGACTTCCATGTTCGCCCACCGCGTCATAAGCGTAGTGGATAGGTCGTCCACCAGCCGCTTCCTTGATCTTAGCCCGAACTACCTCGTCACCTTCACGATAATCAATGATCGTATCACCCTTCTCACGATCGATGAGGGTTTCGACAAGAGCGCTGCTTTTTCCAGCCACGGTGATAAGCGGGTGAATATTAGAAAGCCGGGCAAATTTGATCGCAAAGGCCCCAACAGCGGTTGCACCGCCATATACAACTAAAGGCAGAGGCTCAGTGGTCGGATTCCAGGGCAGAGGCAGCTTTAAGCGCTGGTAAAGGCCGAGTGCGGCGGTCATAGCAGCTAGCGGAATAGTAGCCGCCTCTGGCCGTATATCTATATTAGCTCCCGTGAGAATGATTGATCGGAATCAGACTCACCTTCAAATCTGGTTTTGGCAGGAATATGGAAGGTTGTGTGCTCGGGCGCAATCGCATATTCGGCGTAGCTGCCATGAGGTTTCATCACTTGATGGAATGCAGCGACCTTGTCGCCCTTATGAAATCCCATCACGCCCTCCCCCACTGCCTCTATGTATCCAGCGATATCATCGCCTTGGTTGGTGGGGGTCCCGTCTGCTGGCCACCACAGAGGGATCTTCCAGTCCTTAGGATTGGTGCCAGAAACGACCACGCGAATAAGGACCTGGCCAGCTTCAGGGACCGGAATTTCGGTGTCTCGAATGGTCAGTGTGATGTCCCTGTCGACAAATGCCTCCTTCATCTTGCTGGTGATTCTCTTAAATTGTTGCAAGGTCAAGAATATCTGTAGCAGCTTGTTGGTTCGTTGATGAGCACGGAAAGATTGAAGATCCCAGCCCCCAGGGACGACCCATGTTGTGTTTTTAAACAACGGGTGATCGCCGCCTACAGTAAGACCCCAACCGCGCAGCGTGTTGGGTCCGTTATCTCCGTCTCCATCGTCTACTAAGTCCGAAAACTTTTAGCGAAAGCGAATGAATCAGAATAGTGCTTACGTGTAATAGTGTTCACATGGGCCCTGCTATATAGATATTAATTTTTAGAAGGCCTCATATTTGCTGGCACAAGACAAGAAGCATAAGAATCTAGACATAGACTACCACTCTTATGTTTATACAAAATATGCCTACTGATACGTAAGAAGTACGGAGATGAGTTAGGTGCATGTGTTGAGTCGAGTAATCTGTACTTGACTTGAATGAAGGCTTATCATAAGAGAAGACATTATTGAACTATGATATTTGTGTCACCCCGGTCTCCACGACAGTGGTATCTACTGATGGATCCTGTGGCGTGGCTGTGTCCTGTACTAGCAGCGCATTTGCATCGTGAGTCTTGCCATATCCTGATGTCCCAAACGCCTACTGTATGAAGGTACCGTGATAAAAATATGGGTTGATATGCTATTTCTTCCAGCTGCTGTTTATCGCCCGGTACATGCACGAATGACTGTGGCTCGGCAGGCAATGGAACCGTCAGTTCTAACGGTCTATGTGGATCGAACAATAATTATATGACTTGCCCAGGTTCTGACTTTGATGATTGCTGCAGTAGTAAGTGATGCCCTGCCATTCGGTTTTCAAAGACCCTTCTGGGAGAGAAAGTTAAGCAAAAGATAGCAGACAGTGTGACTGACATATTTGTTTCCCCTAAACAGTCACCGGATTTGCGGAAATAGAACCACATTTTGCGGCGCAGGAAACTGTTATGCTGGAATCTGTGCGACTGACAATGGAGGCCCATCGTTGAATGATGAATGCGGACCTAATTTTGCTGGAAATAAAATTTGCGTAGGAACACAGTTCGGTAGCTGCTATCCAACAAGCGGCTATTGTTGGAATAGGAATGATTGTTGCAACCCGCCGAACTGCTACTCTGGCACCTGTTTGACATCAGGGTATACTTCCACTAATGGTGAGTGTGGTCCTATTTCTCAGGCAACATGACATGTCCGGGGTCCTTGTTCGGAGGTTGTTGCGCTGTAAGTGGAAATTGTGGCAATTCCGCTGCTTCTTGCTTAGGTTCAAACTCTTATGGTGGTGCTTGTACGTAGGAGATGTATTGATACTTGAAATCTATTGATGTTGCTTGTCCTTCTTTATGTGCTTCTCTCTCCTAAATAATTCAGTCAAATCTCACCAGGATGGGGGAATCCAGTAATCCTCCCAGGCGCCATGATCTGCATCCTGGAACATATCGATCCCTCCCTCCACGCCATTTTCGCCCACTGTCCACACGCCACTTTCGATCAATTCAGTCCATTGATCAAACAGTCTCTCCAATCTCTGTGCCCGGTGTTCTCCACCAAATGGGTGAAAAACGCCATGCTGGAAAAGCTGCGTGAATGAGCCAGATGGCACGAGAGTTCCATCACTCCGCCTAGCTCCATCCTCGTCGGCAAGATTCGGTCGTAGTGCGAATGGGAGGAGAAGGCAGAATCCAGTTTCTTCAGAATCGTATTCGAATCGATTGACCCTTGCACTATATAATCCTGTGGGAACTGGATCACCTTCGTTGAATGGCACATCATTTCTCGATCCAAAGAACAAACGATGAATTTCTTCGTTGAAAATGATCGTGCGACCATAATCCGCAGATGCAAAGAGTAGGAATGACGGTACATCCCTGCCCTGACCTTCCGCGTTAAACATCTGACGCGTTGTGAAGGCTTCCTTGTCGTGTGGAACCTCGAGGCCGGGCGCGATTAGCTTAAAACGTGGGGTTCTCACTCGATTCAGAAAAGAGCGAATAAAGCACTCCTTTGGCACTAAAGCCGCATCGAGCTCTGCATCTGTAAAAAATGGTGCATCCCGGGATATTGGCAAAAGAGACTGCATGCGTGATTCGATCGCGTCCGTGTAGCGGTCCATCGCAGCAACCGTACTATCAATCTGAGCAGCGCAGTATGGGTGCCAACACCATAATCCAATTTGATGTCGCGAATTCACTTCTTCATCGGACAAGTCTCTCTCGTTACGTGGATCGGCCGTGATTTTTCCCATTCGGAGCATATGGATCCATTGGGTAAGAATCGTCTCTAGTGGAAACCACATATCCCAATGTTCAGCAACAGGCTCGATACTTTCTGAATTTTCGATGGTCAATGGGAATGAGGCACGATGGTTCAGCTGGTCGTAGAGAACACCAAGACAGTGGGAGCCTAGATCAGGAGTTGTGTCGTATATGACCACAAACCGCTCTTTACCCTCGAAATTGTTGTCTTCGAGGGGGAAAACCTCGTCGGTAAGTTCCATTCGAAGCCTGCTCACCCAATAAAAGAATCCCGGCATCGGATCATAGATTGAATCAAGGAATGAGTTTAATGATGGGTCAAGCCGAGCGCGAATGGCGTCAATATTCTCTTTCGGCTGGTTGAAGAACCACGACTCGCTGGCGAGGGCGTCAAGATCGGGCGTATTTGTTCCATTGCGGGCCATGTAGGCATATGCGACCAGGTAGTTGTGCAATCTGGCGCAGCGCTGAAAGTCGAGTGTATCTTCATCGCGCGCTGGATTTTCGTCTGAAACGAGAGCATCTTCAATGTCAAGGATCTGTTCTGGCGTGGTGTTCATGACGAGGGTGGAGGGGCAAGAAAATAGTCTATGACAGTCGAGTATGGACGGGTGCTCTGGTTTCATAATTACGCATACACATAGGCAGTCAGACTGGTGGCTTCAGATGCCCGAAACATGGTATGGCATTGTAAATACGGTATATCAGTACTAGCACCACTTGCCTGTACTACTGCTCAATATTTCCAGCGGTTGAACTTCTACACTCCCACCAGTAGCATATTCCACGCATTACGCTCTAGATCCGAATGCTTTCATTTATGTACTTCAATTGTCTCTCTACTTGACCTAGAGAATCCCCGATTCGACACCGTGTAACAAACGCCGGCCAGGTTTCTCTTTCTCACCAAGTGCGACCAACGAACATATCAGAATCGAGACGACCTATAGCCTTATGGACCTGCTTCCCCCAGATACGCTCAGCAAACCTTCTCAGATTTTGCTCGGTTATTACGAAATCTCTCTCCAAGGAGTGGTGTGGGGAACGTGCAACGTTGTCGAAGGGTCGATCTAGCTGTATAGTAGTCAGAGTGGCGCCGTTTATGTAGGAGTCTCTAGTGACAGATGTCGTATTATTCGTTCGAGATAATATGAGGCATGAATTACGGCGCACTGAAAGATGGCATGATGTTGTAAGGACAGCATTTTGTCGAGAAAACGACTCCCATCGATACAAAATGATCTCGGGATGTTCGCGTTTGAAGCCCATCCACGGGTTTCACAGATAAGGAGTAAGTCTCAAGCCAACCGTGGGCATCAAGAGCATTGTTGTCGAGCAGACTCTGACAATCCCACCTCTACCGCCAAACACAGCCTTGCATTTGTTGAACCAGGAGCCCAGCAGCAGTCAGCCTGCTTTTTCCAATTTCCGACCGCGACTGGTGTCGAACCCTAAGGCCACACGTCATCATCGACATTCATCGCATGCAACTTAAGGGTGATGAGCGAATCAAATGATCTTATTGCAAATTCGTATGTAGGGTTCGGCATGATTTTTGCAATCAAGATTCCCATTTTCACGTTGTAAAAGAATCACCAGTACTTGCTTGTTCGCAACCGATCATCTATCTAGGGAATTCCGCTGTGGGGGACAGACGTGAAGACAAGGAACTGATCCCGGGTTCGGCCTCGGTAAAGCGCTCGTAGACGGTGTATGATGGTGGGAAGGGAGCGAGAGGGTGCACAGGACTAAGAGGTTGGAAGAAAAGAAAAGAGTCGATTATATACTCCATACTTGCTTTGATGCCTCAGGCATCAACCTCATTCGAAGACCACGACGCCGCCCAGGGCTTCCAACCATTTCGCGAACGTCAATTATTATCTTACTCGTTGCTTCAAGGGACCGTCTCTGCGATGAGCTTCCCACCACCGCACGGTCACTACCCCTATGTCCCGCCCTCTTATCCTCCTAATGGGCAGCATATCCCACCCCAGTTGCTGTACAACAATGTCGCGCCGAATCCGCCATCGCCGTATAACGCCGGCTATGGCAAGCCGGGGATGTATCCCCAGGCGATGATGCCGCAATACCCTGCCTACCCCCAGCAATATAATCAGCAGCAGTTCAATCAACAACCACAGTTACATCACTCTCCGTCTCAGCACCTCCAGCAAGCCCCTCCGCGGTCTCCCGCGCAGTCGTTTCCGCAGTCCCAAGTCCCTCACCACCGACCCTCATCACAGCAAGTACCACACGCTCAACTGCCGTCGCAATCACCCCGACCTCCCCCACCGCAGTCGCCTGTTCGGCACCCACCACCAGGGCCGCGCCCGCCTCCACCTCAGCAAGAAGAGCTCCACCAACAGTTCGTGAACCCGGCTCAGCTGTTCGTCCAGCCGCCTCTCCCGACTGCTCCTCGATCTCGATATACTCAAATCTCGTTGCAATATAATGAGCCACCCATACCCCCCGCTGCGACGGTCACTCCCCAACCACAACCTTTTCCGACCACCTCTCCGGCTCTGTCGCAAACACCCGCACCTCCGATTGCCCGCCCCCCTTCTGCGACCATAACGTCAAACAATGAGGATAGGTCACAACAGGCAAACGCAAATGCTCTTCAGCCATCGCCCATTATTAAGGCCGAGCTGGCGCCCAAGCCTTCCCCGAATGTGGAGTTGAAGAAAGCTCCACCCGTCCCTTCACCATCACCAAAGATCGCTCCGCAGATCGTGGTACCAAACCCTTCTTCAGAAACCCAGATGAAGGTTCAGAAACAGCAACAAAAGAAGCAGCCGTCGTACCCACAGCCACAGCCACAACCACAGCAGAACCAACAACCGAGCCAACAGGCAGCTGAGAAGCCGACGAAGCCTACAAAACCCCCAGTCGATTACCAGGTTCTGCTGCTGTCTTTGGCCGATGAGTATTTGAATGCTGCCCACAACTACGGAACGAAGGCGGCGCTGGCGACTCGGGAAGCAGATGTGGAGGAATATTACAAGCTAGTTGCGACAGGGCTTGGCTGCTTGGAAGCGGTGCTCAAGGTAAGGGGACCCTTTCTCGGGGTCGGCTTTGGCTAACAGATGACCTCAGAATTGGCGACTGCAACCTCGCAAAGAAGCTCTCGTACGACTTCGCTATGCGCGCATTCTATTTGAAGAAACGGATAACGATATCGAGGCGGAGACAGCTTTAAGCAAAGGGGTATGTTTTGGCCTGCTGTTCGTGGCTGCCGTGATCAACATGCTAACTTGTGGAATAGATCGATCTTTGTGAACGAGTTAGTATTCTGTCAATTCTCCGTTGCCCTCGTACTGACTCTTTACAGAATCGCATGCTCGACTTGAAATACAGTATGCAGCACCTTCTAGCACGAATGCTTCATAAGAAGAACCCCAAGACTTCTCTGAAGGCTGTCGATGGCATGATCCAAGATGTAGAGGCGTATGTGGTCTGCCCGTTTTATATGACTGCGATGCTAATGAGCCACAGATATCGCCATGCCGCTTGGGAATATGCATTCCGTTTTCTTCGAGTGACACTTTCGCTGTCGTCTCCGGCACACCAAGACTTTGTGCAAGCACTACAGCACCTTCACAAAATTGCAGCTATGGCCAGTCGGAATGGTGACAAGGCTGTCTCGGCCATGGCGGCTGTCATTGAAGCCCTAGCGCATCTACAGCAAGGGACGAGCTCGGACTCCATCGAGCAGGCACAGCGAGCGGTGGCAGTGGCACGGAGTCATCAACTGAACGACGAACTTCGTCACGTCCCCCAGCTGACGACCATTGTGCAGATGGTTGATATCTGCTGCAGCCTTTTGGAGTACGACGTAAACCAGTCCGCGCAAAAGCTGAAAGCCATGCAAACGCTCATGGATGAGGCACTGAGCGATACCACCAACTGGAGCTCTGATGGCTCTTTCTCCATTCCACTGAGTGGCAAATCAGCTGGGCCATCCTCAATGGATACCGGTGACATTTTGCAGGTCCACAATGGAACGCTGCTCCTAAGCTTCAACTGGCTCCCGCAGCATGATCTTTACACCCTTTGCTACTTCATCAGTTCGATCACCCTGAGCGCCAAAAATTCTTACGATGGTAGGAAGGCAGAGAAGTATCTTGACGAAGGGCTCCGGATGGTTCAAGGAGGGTTCAAGGTCCCACAGGAGATCTCAGAATCAATGGTTACTGCCAATCGACGTGTGGAGTGGCGGCAGGCCCTTCACTGCAATTTTCTTCTGCAGCGGATCTTCCTGGCATGTGCTCGGACCGACTGGGATCTCGCTAGTCAAACCCTCAACAACCTCCGACAACTTGCCCACGAGCTCGGCACCCGGCTTCCCGACAACGTCGAGTGTCTGATGGAATATGCGGCCGGCACCATCGCGCAGGCAACTGGAGACATCAAGGCAGCACTGGCAATTTTCCAGTCGCCAAGTTTGTCGCTATCGCCTTCCTTCAGCAAAACGGCGCGCAATGATCCCCGTCGTGATGCAGGTATCCTCGCCGCGCTCAACACCGTGCTCATCATCCGAGATCCAACACACCCCTCACATCACCACCTCCCTAACGTCCTGTCCACCCTCGAATCCTTCTGCCAAGGCAGCTCGAACAAATATATCCAAGCCGCTTATTATCTCATCTGCGCAACCGTTCACACAGACTCCACCATTCAGACCAAACAGTTCCTGCAGCACGCCCTGCAGTCCGCCACGGCTATCAGCAACAACCAGATCACCTGCATGACACTCACATTTATGAGCTGGAAATACTTTCGAGGTGTGGTCGGCGAGCAAGCAGAGAAGAGCGCGCGAGCTGGTCGTGCTATGGCCAAGAGAGCCAATGACCGTCTGTGGGCCAGCGTGACGGATGAAATGCTTGCGGAGACCCTTGAGCGCCAAGGTAAAAGCGAAGAAGCTCAGAATGTTCGGGAGGAAGGCCATCGGCTGACGATGGGATTGCCGCCTGCATTGAGACGGCCAGCCTAATTGATTAGTGTTCCGGAAGTTTTTCATATCATATCTATCACGTTTTGCTTTTCGGGCGCATCGTTTATGATACCATCTCATGGTTATACTGGAAGGCGTTCATTCTTTTCTTATTATCGGCGCTCCATGGGGTACAGTTTAGTGGCGCAGCGCTGGAAGATGTCTTCGATGCCGGCCTTTATGAGATCAATATATTGCTGGCTTTACCTTTAGGTAACTATTCATTATCGTGTAGGGCATCTCTATTACTTCTACATAGACATAGGATGTAGCTGGGTATCATCTTCTCGAGTCATCGATTGCTCTGCTTTCACCTCCTATAACACGATAACAGGCGACACCAGCCCGAATGTACAACACCCCTTGTCTCCTTGGTATAATAGCAGTCGTAGTCCGTCCTCATTCAGACCACCAACCAAAAAAAAAATTAAGAAGATCCTCGCAATAACAAAGAACACCAGCCCGAATACATGCCCACAAAACGCCTGGAGTGGCAGCTGAAGAGCAAACCACTCATTGCTCACAACACTGCCCAACAATAACAGGAGCAGCCACTGAGCAGCCACTCAGATTAGGAAACGAGACCCGATCAGGAAACAGATAACACCGCCGCAACAGGCAGTCCAGCAGAGAGGGGGGAAAGCAATCACCCGAGGCCTGCCCAAACCCCACGAATCCGCCTCGCAAGCTGAATATCCTTCTGCATAATGGTAACGCGCTTCGCATGGATGGCACACAGATTCGTGTCCTCAAACAGATGCACCATGAAAGCCTCCGCCGCTTCTTGCAGCGCCTGGATTGCATGCGACTGCCACCGCAGCTCGGCGCCACGGTCGGCCGGCAGAAGATCGAGCGCGACTTCACGAACTAGCCGCGCAAAGGGCAGTTTGGCAATCAGCAGGTCATAAGAGCGTTGGTACCGGCGGATTTCTTTGAGAGCCACGGTGCCGGGCTTGTAGCGCCGGCGTCGGCCTTGGGGGGTTGGGTCGCCGGCTATATTATTGATGTTAGGAAATGGGTTTGGTCAAGGGGTGTAAGGAAGGGTAAGAGAGTGTGGATGGGGTGGGTGCATACGCTGGACATTGGAGGCCCGTTTCCCAGCTGGTCGCTTGCCTGCCTTCACGGCGGATTTGCGCGCCTTTGCGGGTGAGGTTGTTGCGGAGGATGGGCGCGCGCCTGCTCGTGGTTGGTTGCCGGAAGCTGGGACTCTGCGCGCGAGCTTGGGCGGCATTGTGGGATTGAGATGCTGCGCTGAGCAGGAAGGAAATGGAGGGGTTGTTGTTCTCGACGACGGTCAATTGAAATGACCGCAGGATCGCGAGAGCTCTCCGTTGGTTAGGAGATACGCGGTCTAGGCGTGGTGGGGAGCGCCTTGCAGCAGCAATAGAGATTTTGTGTCGATTGTGTCAATTCACTTTCAGGGAGTGGAACAACAAAAGGCTTGATCCGATATTGATAATTGTAGGGGCTGGACATGAATGTAATCTTGCCGCTTTTAGTCTCTCTCCCAGCCCCCATCATTATTCGACGCGCCCGTGTCGTGTCGGCTCACGTGACGATAAGCGCCCGATATGCATTACTTGGTCTTTCCCGCTGTTATCAACCATCCTCGACGTTACTTCTACTGACGCAGCTAGTGATCCCAGTCAGCCACTCACTCTCCCGTCAAGCAATTATGGCCGCCATCTGGGAGAACAACGGGCAAGTGGGCCAGTTCCCACTGGAGCAATGGTTCTACGAGATGCCTCCCGTGACTCGATGGTGGACCGTCGCCACCGTCGCAACCTCCGTACTGGTGCAGTGCCACGTCGTGACTGCATACCAGCTCTTCTACAGCTTCCGCTCCGTGTACGCCAAATCCCAGTACTGGCGACTGCTCACCACATTCCTCTACTTTGGCCCCCTGAACCTCGACCTCTTATTCCATGTCTTCTTTCTACAGCGCTACTCGCGCCTCCTGGAGGAATCCTCCGGCCGCTCCCCCGCACACTTCGCCTGGCTGCTCTTCTACGCCATGTCCTCGCTGCTGCTGATGTCGCCGTTCCTGTCGCTGCCCTTCTTGGGCACGTCGCTCTCCTCGAGTCTGGTGTACATCTGGGCGAGGCGGAACCCGGAGACTCGGCTGAGCTTTTTGGGTCTGCTCGTCTTCACGGCGCCTTACTTACCCTGGGTGCTGATGGGTTTCAGCCTCATTGTCCATGGCACCGTGCCGAAGGACGAGATCTGTGGTGTCGTCGTTGGCCATGTTTGGTACTTCTTCAATGACGTCTATCCATCTCTGCATGGAGGACACCGGCCTCTGGATCCGCCGTTGTGGTGGCGCCGTCTGTTTGAGCGGGTGGATGCCGGTACAGATGCGACCAACATGAACCGTGAGTTTGCGGCCGCAGCTGCCCCGGAGGTGCGATGAGTGATGCCATCGAATTGAGCGAGACTATGGATGTTGAGATCGCATCCGGCTGCTTACACATGGCCGGTCTTGATTCTTACAGCCTTCTCATTGACCCTCCTATCGACCGAAGAAAAGTGAATTGGCTAGGATTCTCAATAGCCAAGAAAGTCAGCAGAGAGAAGTTGGGTCATGGATATGCATGGATTGGTTTACGAGCGAACTTTTTTTTTCAAATTCCTGTTTTGCATTGAACATAGCCAAGATAATAGATACCCTTGATCATTTGTATTGATTGCCGTGGAATACACAATATACACTACCGTTTCTCCCTCTGATTGGACTCCATCGTTAACTAGATCAGGTTTGGTCGCGGCCACTCACGTCACGTCCACCCGCTGATTCTTGGACTTGCAGTATAGTACCTCCATGGTACATACGGTCGAACAATCCCTTGCTGTTGCCTAGCGCTGCCTACCGTTGCCTAACGCTGCCTCCCGAGCCATGGGTTGGGAGGAGGCGAGGCTAGTCGAGTGGCTGTGGGGCCACCGCGCTGAAGGAAGACCTGGGTGCAGACTGCAAGCAAGGCGCCCCAGGCGAGTAGCCGGTCGAACAGTGTACATGAGGTCACTCAGTAGGAGGAGCAGCATCCAGGTGGGCGCAATCGATTAACCACCACCTAGCGCAACCCCAAGCCGCCCCGTGCACGCTCCACAACCCCGTGGCGAGGGCACTGCCACCATGATGATGCGCTTGTGGCAGTCCATGCGAGCCTGCGCCGGGCACGTTCCCTGTGGCCCGTGTGTGCGCTTAGCTCCCACCGGCCAGGCAAACTAGTAAACTCTTTGCAGCGCACTCCACATGGCCATGTGTACCTAGGGAAGTATTCTTCCTGATGACGAGGCCTCTGATAACCATGGACCGCGTGCGTAATCCAACTGGGTCAACGGTGAAAAATGCCCCTTTCAGACCCGCCGGGCGCGCGTGCAGCCAATGGCCATCGCCGCTGACTCAGATTAGCCACGGCCTCAGCCTCCTGTATGGCATGACCATACACCGTCTGACCAGTGCGTGCGCCATACCGTCATTTACCGCCCTCTTAGCCTCGCCCCTGGCTCTCCAGAGTTCAACTATCGCTTCTCTTTTGGCCTTAGTTCCCTCCCCACCTCCCGCTTGTCGCTCCTTTTGGCCTCCAACTTGGTTCCCCTGGGGATTTCCTCTCTTTCTTGTCTTTCTCTCCTTAATCTGATCATCCCCCCGTACTCCTCTCTTCCTCTCCACTGAATTCGACCCTCCTCCCCTGAGTGCCAACCCCAGGATTCCCCTGGAACGTCGGTCTCTCCGTGACAACTACTCCTTTCTTTCGTGTTTCTTCTCCCACGTGCCCCCGAGCACTCGACGAACTTCATGAACCGGGAATTGTGCTGAGTATTTGCTGTTGGAACTCGCTTTCGAATTGGTTGTTCTCGACGCGCGATTGTGGTTGAACCAAGCTGGGTTGTCCGTTCTTCTGTCGCCGCCGCCACTATGCGACGCGGACTCGTGATCTTTCTCCTGGTCAACCTGCTCATCATCTCGTTCCTGGTCCGCAGCGTCTCGACCCTGCTCTCGCTGCTCCTCGAAGATGCCGCCGCCGACGCCATCCACCATGCCGAGCTGCCCTCGCCGAATTCCAGCCTGATCGAGCAACGCCCGCAGATCATCCCCAAGATCATTCACCAGACCTACAAGAACGAGACTATTCCCGAGGTGTGGGTGGAGGCGCAGCAGACTTGCATTGACTTGCACCCTGATTATGAATATATTGTACGTGGTTGCCTGAACGTGCTTGGATCTGCAGAGAACTAACGAGTCCCAGCTCTGGACGAATGAGAAGTCGCGTGAATTCATCGCGGCCGAGTACCCCTGGTTTCTCGCGACGTTTGACGGCTACAAATACCCCATCCAGCGGGCTGATTCGATCCGCTACTTCGTGCTGGCGCACTACGGTGGAACATATATCGATCTGGACGATGTAGGAATCGCCCCCACGCGTTTTTGAAAGTCGAATTTCTAACATAACCGTAACAGGGCTGTAATCGCCGATTGGACCCCCTGCTCTCCTATCCCGCGTGGGTGCGCCGGACGGTCCCCACGGGCATCTCGAACGATGCCATGGGCTCTGTACCCCAGCACCCGTTCTTCCTCCGTGTGATCGAATTGTTGCAACAATATGACCGCAGCTGGCTGCTCCCATATATCACGGTCATGTATTCGACGGGTCCGCTGTTCTTGTCGGTCATCTGGAAGGAGTACATGCAGGACCGACCCAGCGAGGCCGGCCGCGTGCGCATCCTCATGCAGGACGAGTACAACCGGTTCTCCTGGAGCTTCTTCACCCACCATCGGGGCAACAGCTGGCACGGCAAGGACGCGCGCTTGATCTTCTGGATGGGCCAACACTGGATTCTCCTGACCTTCCTCGGCTTCATCCTGGCCGGTGTGGTGGGCTTCTGCCTCTGGTGGACGTATGGTCGGGTCATGCTCCTGGGAGCCAAGTACCGCTACCGCTACACGAAGGTACCCTCCCTCATCAGCCCGTCCCGCCTCTCCTCGCCCACGCGGCGCTCGCGCATGCTTCCCACGCTACTCCGGCGCGTCAGCTTCAAAGAAGACGAAGAAGCTCGCGGGGTTACCGAGACCTCGTACGAGCTCAGTCGCCGCGATGATTGATTTTTCTGTGTATTTGTGTGTATCGATACGGCCTTGGACACGATCTGTGCATCTCAGCATTTATATGTACACTTTTTTTTACCTTCTGTTTGGGAGCGCTATGCATGGTGATACAGTCTTGTTGGCGGGACCCTGGATTGACTGCTCACCTGGAGCCATTGGGTTTTGATTTTCTGCCATTTGAGGGATCTATGACCACACGCCTGCTGGGTGGTGGGATTGCTTTTTGGATTGCTTGGTCCCCTCTATTTATTTACCCTATGATTTATAACCAATTTTTAGACTTACTTTACTTCTGGGATCTGAGATCAAAGAAATCTATTTGCTTGACACTACTTGCTTCACATTCTTGGTGCTGGCATTCCTGGCTGAGGTTGGTTTGACCGGCGTTTCAGATCAGCCCTCCGAAACCCTAACTCCAGCGCCAATGACAAGCGCGTGCCTTGCATCGCTCAACCCATTCTCTCACATTCTCCGCGACGCACCCTTTGTCTACCAGCCTGCTGGCCACAATGCCCAGCAATGGGCGGCTATGCGGCGGTTCCCTCACCCACCACTCTCAGCAATGTAGTGGGCAGCCCATATAAAGCAACCACCCTCTGGGCATTCTCTGAACTACTGTCCTCTTCTCTCAGAAGATAATTGCTAGCCAATCTGCATAGCTCTCATTCGCCCTTTTCCCTCCCATACGCAAGATGTGGCACCTCTACCTCACCACCCTTTTCCTCCTCAACCTCTCCCTCTTCACCACCGCAGCCCCTATCTCATTCGCCTTTCCTCTGATCCCTCGCGACGCCACCCTCACCCAAGCCCAGGTGGAAGCCATTGCGCCGAAATCAAACACATGCGCCGATGCTCCAGCGAAGGACGAGTGTGCTACTGCAAAGACCGCCGCCAAGTACACCTCGCAATCCTTTGATACATACGATGTCACGTCCAAGGCAGAGCAGGCTGCGATCATCAGTCTGATGGCGTTTGAAAGTGTCGATTTCAAGTATAACAAGAACCATTTCCCAGGTGTGCCGGGCCAGGGCAGTATGCATTCCTTTCTTTTTCCATCTCGGTACATAAATGGGTGATGATTAACGAATCCTACAGCGCGCAACATGCAATCCCCGTCCTACAACAAAAAATACGCCTCCTCCCTCCCAGATCTCAAAGACAAGATCGCCAAAGTCGCCAGTAACCCCGTTGATCTTTTGGATCTGCTCCGCGATAACCACAGCTACGACTTCGGCTCTGGGGCGTGGTTCTTGACCACGCAGTGCTCCAAGGAGGTCCGGACTGCTTTGCAGACTGGCGGGGAGGAGGGGTGGCAGCGGTATATCAGTGATTGTGTGGGTACGTCTGTTACGGATGAGAGGAAGGAGTATTGGCAGAGGGCTATCAAGGCTCTTGGGGTGAAGAGTTCATGATTCTTTCTTCTGTGAAGGGCTGGCCCATGGCAGGGGTGGATCAGGTATTATCGAAGCAGGTTCTTCGATGGGTTTTGTGGATTATTGAAGTATTCATGATTGATGCATTACGGCACTTTTTAGAGATATGTTTAGCAATGAATTGATATCGACATTGTTAAACTCGGTTTCGAAATTGGCTCCCATGCTTTACCCGGAGACCCTTATCTAAACCCCTAATGCCAAGGCTATCGCTAAGCCTATTTAGGGCGGTGCTGCATGTTGTCCCAAATCCGTGAGATATCTGACAAGACGATACGCGCTGGCCATTTGAATTATTTATCTCGCCAATACACTTCCTGGGTGAGCACGCGAGCTTACTGTTATCCAGGAAAAGCGCCATCGAGGGCTCTTGAATACGACGGTTGAATACTCCGGCCAGAGTATGAGTGTAGGGATTCAAAAGACTTCTAAAGTGCTTTGTGACTAATGTTGGACTCTATCCTTATGTCTAGTCCAGTTAGTACATGTAGGCTAGATTAACTAGAACCAGGGTCTTCGTCACATCACCTACGCTCTGTCTGTCTACCCAATCGAGTCACTGCATTGGATTATTCGTTTTCTACTACTGTGCGGAATTGGCGTCGGTGCTGAATTCTCCCATTGCCCTGTCATTCTACCTGTTTCGACCAGGCACCTCGACCGCTGTGGCGACGAGGAGGAATAATGCAGTTTTTTGGAGGGCGGCAGCGTCCAGACACAACCCACTAGGAGCGGGCACTTACAGGTGTCGAATCAGACTCTAGGAAGACTTCCACTCCGTGGTCCAACCACACAACGTCGCCTAGGCCTGAGGATCCGGGACCCGGCGTAGATGCGAATGCGTGGCCCCTAAGTCTAGCAACAGTCTCACCATGGTCCTGTTGCCCTCAGCTTCCGCGTAATCCAGAGCCGTACGTTCCTTGTTATCCACCGCATTGATATTGGCCCCAGCGTCAAGGAGTCTGATCACCGTCATCGAATTCGCGGCCGTAGCGGCACAGTGCATTGCTGTTAGTCCCCCGGGGTTTCTCATCTCAATGTCGACCCATCCTCGACGCAGCATAAGTGTGACGATCTTGTAGCAGCCCCAGAGTGCCGCGGTGAAGAAGAGATGGCGGACCTCGAACGCGCTCTGCGTTTCAATATCGGCACCGAGCTCGACGAGCGCGGCAAACGCGTCGGCCGAGTCGCCGTCCAGCGCACTGGCGAGGTACCTGCCGCCATTAGGGTCCATGCCCCAGCGGACCAGCTCGCGCACGGTGGCCGTCTTGCCCGACTCGACGGCACAGTGCAGCGCGTCGCCGTACCAGTTCCGCAGGTGCGGATTGGCGCCGCGAGCTAGCAGGCCCCGGGTTGTCAACACGTGTCCGCCCGCTGCGGCGTGGATCACGGGCGTGGCGCCTCTCTGCGTCAGCTCGTTGACGTCGTAGGCGCCGCTGTCAAGAAGCCGATTGATTGCCCGCTCGAGCCCGTGGCGCGACGCATGGTGGAGCGCCGAGAAACTGCTACACTCGGCTGCATTCCAATAATTGCGGTTGTAGCCCATCGAGTACTGCCGTACCTGGTTCGCCACGGCCGTGGCGGCCGAGGAGGAGAAGAAGGCCAACAAGGTGGACCATACCTCCGCATCGGTTTCGGTCCGTCGGGCGAATTGTCCCCAGTACCTGGCGGCCCAGGGGAGAAAGGGGTACAGTTCCATTCTAGACTCGATATCGTCCTCATTTTGCCATGGCCCGTCCTGGAAGTTCTCAAAGACAAGGTAGCGAAGGCAAGTCACCGCAATCGTGGCTTCGGCTCGAGGAAAGAGTTCCTCCAAATGGTCTCCTAAGTACTCTTGAATTGCGTAATGTGCAAGGCGTACATAACCCTCCACGTCTACGGTCGCAAGACCTTGGCAGCATTCGAGAATAGTCTTGGTAGCTGGGCGATACTTGACGTTGACAGCATTCTGCGCGCTGCGGATAGCTAAGGCATCGCTGAGTTCAGATTCCGTCAATGCCCGAGCTGTTTGACTAAGCCACATGAGAGCACCCATTCCGAGTCGGCTGCGGCTCTCAGAGAGCTTTTGGATGCGGGAAATGGTATCTGCAAATGCGTCGTTGAGGCTATGGGACAGGTCTGCTACTCTGTCCTCCATCTCACCAAGAGTTGGCTCCTTGAGAATGGTCCGCACCCGTAGAACTGTGAGAAGAAACCTAATATGCGTAGGGCACATTTGTCAAGAATTCTTGTCTCAAAGCAGATGGATCTATATAGTGGCTTTCGGCGGAAAAAAAAAAAAACATACATTCCCTCTGCCCCTTGCACCAGCTTCTGAACTAGTCTGTTCACAAAGCCGTGATCTGCGATGTCATATATTCCTCCTTGATCGAGCTCCTGGTAGAGGTAGGTCTTGATGTCTTCCTCGTGGGCCTCGATCATAAGATTCGGATGCTGCTGGAAAAGATCTGTGAGGTCACGGATATGAGGCCGACTTGTGACCAGCAAACGGACTTGGCGACATCGAACCACATTCTGAATGCTTTGAAGGAACGATTTCCGATGTTCCGATTCGTCAAGTCCATCGAAAACTAGATAAGCACACCTCAGGCCTGAAGTGAGATCAGTAAGCAGTCTTTCGCATTGGTGGAGAGGCATTTGGCTTATGTGGCCGCTCTTCTCGAAGAGTTCAGTCACGGAAGTCGGGATTGCCGGTAGCTTCTCGAGAAGTTGTCTAAGAATAGAGCATAGAACTGCCGGCGTACTTTGAGTAGACTGATCCTGGTGGCCAAAGTAGAAGAACGCGACAGGTGCAACCTCGCCAGACATAGAGTCAAGAAGTTCATCAATGATGATCGAGCTGAAACATCAGTCAAGGCTCCAATTGCAACGATGCAGAGTCTTCTTACGCAAGGGTTGTTTTGCCTGAGCCTTGAATGCCATGACACACAAGAACATTTGACGGAGAGCTATCGTCTCGCCACTGAATAAATTCGTCCCTTTGGAGTATCCATTTCCCTGTATTTTGGGTCCTCGACGCTTGGATGAGCTGGTGTTTCTGATAGTGCTTTGAGGTCGATATCCAGTTCAGGATGCTCTTTCTCGTCTCCCGCTCGATATTGACCTGGGTCGCGCGCTTCTGGTCTTTCACAAGGTCGAGGATCTGAAGCGTGTCTGCTTCGAGTGTCTGGATGGTCCTAAACTGCTCTAGCTGCTCTCCCATCAGCTTCAAAACGTCGTCCGACGTCTGCGATAGTAGCCGGCAGCCATCGACCGACAAAGCAAAATGCATCCAGTTGGTAAAGTTACGTAATTCCTGGACTGTCTTCTGGATCTCCTTCTCGGTGAAAGGCCATAGGAAGCGCCCCAGTTTCCCATTTGGTTCTTGGCCCAGCCTTTGGCAGAGTGATCGCAGGGTTTCCTCGCACGAGGCAGAGCAGGTCAGGAGAACCGAACTCTCGTGGAATCGCAAAGGACTATCGTTTAACAAATCACCTTTCAGGAGGCCGTGCAGATTTACCACGTTGGATTGCAGCGCTTCAAGCTCGATTATAAGGGTCGTGATTGACTTCCTCGCCGACCTCACAGTGTCTATGTACTCTTTTGAAGTGGTGATCACACTGGCAATTAGAGGCAGAATGCCCGCAAGGCCAATGGATAGAGATAAAGGGTCCATTGCCAGGGTGTTAGTGACTTTGCAAAAGTGAGAGCATGCAGTAACTGAAGGACAGGTAAAACCCGGGTCCGTGCAAGAGTCAGTGCCCGTGCAGCATAGCCACAATAACATACAAAGGCGGTATTTGTGTTTGGAAAGTACTGTATCCTGTAGGTCTGACAGAACAGCTCTGCCTGCATCAGGCCTAGCGTGTTTCCACGTTTCCATGCTATGTGTAAAGCATGGAAGCCGACTTCGAATGTCAAGTGTATCATCCCACACAGCTTGCTATACATGACACCTAGATAAATAAAGGCACAATATATTCTAATCCCATCTCATCACACATACATATCGCATATTTACAATCAACCAAAAAACCTCAAATCTATAGAACTCCCTTAGTACTAACCACATCCCCTGCCCCAACCTCCCCCACACTCCTCCTCGTACAGGCCGTCCTCATCGCAACAGCGAGCGCCTTGAACGCGCTCTCCGCGCGATGGTGGTCATTATCGCCATACGTGCAGCCCACATGAAGGGTCACGCCCGCCGCCTGGGCGAAGCTCTGCAAGCCATGCGTGATCATCTCGGTGCTGAGGTCGCCGATCTTCTCGCGCTTGAATCCCAGGTCGATGACTGCCCAGGGTCGGCTGGATAGATCGATCACGGCCCACGAAAGGGCTTCGTCGAGGGGAGCATCGCCGCGTCCGAAGCGCGTGAGGGACTGCCGTGCGCCTAGGGCTTGCGTGAACGCCGAGCCGATGGCGAGGAATGTGTCTTCTGTTGTGTGGTGGTCGTCAACTGTAGATTGTCAGTCAGTATATAAGTTCAAGATGCCTAATTGACTTCATTCTCTTCTCGATTGCCAATTTGGGTGGGGGAGGGGAGTTGGACGCACTGTATAAATCCCCCTTCGCCCGCACTGCCAAACTCCACCCCGCATGCTTCGCCATCGCATGCAGCATATGATCCAGGAACCCGATCCCCGTGCTCACGGTGATCTGCTGGGTCGCCGTGAATTGCGTCGCATGCCCGGCATCCTTGGGCGGCACAATGCCATTTTTAGCAGCGGAGGCTTCTTGCGGGTCGCTGGGGGGTAAGAAGTGGGTGGAGGGCTCGTAGGGGGGTAAGACGCCGCCGTCGAGACTGAGTGAGACTTGGATCTTGGTTTCGTTTGTTACCCGCGAGAGAGATGCTGTGCGCGCGGTGAGGGCCATGTTGGTGTGTGGGTGTGAGTTGGAGTTGGAGGTCAGCGGCTTTTTCTCCGATCGGAGATCGTTGAGTGGGATTATTGTTGATCCGGTCCTCTCCTTAGGTCATTATTCTGTTCTCCCGTGCTTCTCTACCTCAACTCACTTGGACAGCTCTTTCTTCTTGTTTTCCTCTCTCCTGCCGGCCTCCCTTGGATTCAATTAAAAGCAGAGTGTATCCTCAGCTTCTCCTCTGTCCATTTCCCCGATCTCCCGCCCAATCTTACAATAAATACACTCAACCTTCAGTAAATAACCATCTACCATGCCTCCCCCACCAAGTCAAAGAGGAGACATCGAGCCGCCAGCGGAACTTACTCGCGAAGCCGCCAAGGGCTTCATGACTGGCGTGTTCCGAGTATGTACGCCAATCACAACCCTTCGCAACGGAGACTAACATCTGCTTCTTTACTGCGCTATAGTTCGGCTCCGTGTCCATCCTCGCCCATATGATCCTGATCCTCCCTCACCCATTCACTTTCACCGCGCCTACACCACCCGTCAGGCCTGACGCGCCACCCCGTCCACGCCCCTCGCCGTTCTCCCCTGCCGGACTCCGCTCGCGATTGTTCTACCGACCGCTCGAAGGCTTCTCCGAGTGGATCTCGCCGACGGCACGCGTCTACCGCGGCCTGACGCCTCAATTTAAGGTCTTCCTGCAGATTGCCGCGATGACGCTGGGTGGGTGTATCTGGGCGGAGCGGAGGGTGAATGATTACATCGAGCTGGTTCGCCGCATTAAGCGCGCGGAGCGGCGGCAAGCTGAAATGGAAGAGAGATCTCGTCCATGAGGAAATCCTGCGGGATTCCGGAGCTGCGGGATTCCGGAGCTTCGCCGGGACCCTCTTTCGTTCAATAATTCCAGAAGCTATCCGTAACAGCTCTGCTCCGACGGGGTTGGTGCTTGGGTGGCTATTCGGCTACTCCGTACAGACAACAAACAGACCGCAGAACCCCCACCGTTCTTCCTTCCTGCCACCCCTTACCCCTGGAGCGATCGGGCTGAAACGAGGCCCCCATCTGGATTCTGACCCCTGGCCTTCTCTCCCTGGACCTGCGTCGTTCAATTCCGGATGAGCGTGGAGTTGCCCGAGCTGTCGATCGGCGTGGTGGATCGTGTTTGCCCTCACTGAGTGGTCTCCTGCTCGATGCTAAGCACTACGCCCACCGGCACTAAGGAGACATCCTTGTTATAGTCGGCAATACTATCTATCACTGACAGCCTAGCCGATGCATGCGGTAGAGAACGCCTCTTACGTGACTTGGGCTCGAATGCGGATGCCATTCGATATGTGCGACCGCATGTCTCAGTGCCTCCACGGGAGGCAGGGATCCGGGACGACGTAAACAGAGTAAATCAACACCAAAATGCCCGATCGCGCGGTCTAGAAGACTTTCTTTCCGAAGTACACTCTGTTAAAGAATAAATAGAGACGAGAACCAACCCAGAAAAATCAATATGAAACACGGTACAAACGGTTCGTCCGAAGTGTTGGGCGTTTAACTGCATTCGGCCATTCCTCCCTCTCCCCTCCACCACCTTCCACCTTTTTCCTCTTTCTTACCTTCTACTCTCTCCGGCTGTTCTTTGCTGCTTCTCCTGTTCTGTTTGCAGCGCAGGATTTCCCCTTGACATCACTCCCGCCCGCGGCCTCTGATCATTCGTCGATTCCCTGCCGATCGCCCGCTCTTTTGATCCCATCCTTGCCGGATTAACCTTCACATCCCCCCGATTGATCACAATCCCCTTGTTCCCGCCGTTTTGGGTTGCCCTGACCGACGTCTCGCTGGTGGATGCGATTGCCTCCTTCCCTTCTTCTTCCGGCCACTCTCTCGAACCTACTTCCTGTTGCAATCGACCCTCTTCCTTTCGCCACATTGTTGACAGCTGCTTGACGTGTCGGCGGTGCCCATCCGTCTAAAGGTGCTAGTAGATATATTCGCTGGTGGTCCCACTTGCCTTCCTGTCCAATTGCTTCTCATGGCGCCCTGACGGATTGCAGTATGTACAGCTTGTCATGATGATTACTTCTAGGATTGTTGCTAATGCACTTCGTTCGTCTAGTGAGATCGACGTCGAGGTCGTCGATGAGATAAGTCTTTTATGCTCACCACCCTCGCGCCGCTAGCTTTTTTATTATTTTAATTTTTTAAAATTCTTCTCCCTGTCGTCCACATCTGTTTACGCCTGTCCGACTTCCACCATGGCTGAAATGGCGGTCAAAAAGCAGCGGCGGAAGAGCTTCAGCAGTGTGTTCAGTCCCTCGTCCACAACCTCGGCCCCTCCTCTCCGGCCCCGTCTCCATGATCGAACACCCTCGGACGACACCCTGACGCAAAGCAAAAAACGCCGCAATTCGGGGTTCTTTGGCCGGGCCCAGAGCCCGAATAGACGATCCACCGGCCCTAATGTCCTGCGTCGACCTGGGACGGCACACTCCGACATCACGAGTTTGTCCGCTTCATCTACGCCTGTTCTTGAGACCCCTCGACCCCGGAAGTCGCTGCAGAAGAAACGCACTTCCGTCTTTGGGTCCTTGCGGTCCTTGCACTCATTGGAAGACGATAATGACCCCCTCAGCGCGTCGGTCGGCTCGCTTGGAGACGACCAGCATGTCACTGATCCCCGACACGCGATCTGGTCGTCCGCCATTCTCCACCATGGTGAAATACAGACCACTGGCAGCATGTGGAGAAAGAAGAGTCAGTATCTCGTTCTGACAGACACGCATATCATCCGTTTCAAGAACCAGAGCAAGGCCGCCGATGCTTTTCCTTCCATTCCACCTTCCTATAATGTGCGGGCCCCGGCGCATCACCGCCAATCAATTGCCTCGATAAGCTCATTGCAGGATATGCACCCGATGGTCTCGAGCGACGCGTCTGCCGGTATTCCGCTGAATAGTATTATTGCGGTCTACATGCTGGAGGACGGGCGTTTGTCCCCAACAGTGGAGGTAGCGCACCTGGATGAGCGCACTCACAAAGCTGCCTTGGTTCAGATGCAGACGCCCGACCTTCAAGAACTGAACCTTTGGATGGTGGGCATTCGTCAGGCCGCCCAGATGGCACGCTCAAACGATCCGCTGCCGTTCACTCGAGGCTCGATCGAGTACGTGACTCGGATGCTGGAGCACGAGCGGGACTACGACCCGCAAGCTTTTCGTATGTTCCGCGTTATCCAAATCGCTTCGAGCAAGTCACCTACGCGATCTTCCTCTGATGATCTGGCGAAGTTGTCACCCACCGGCTGCTACCTCGCTCTTGGATCCCACAAAGTCCATCTTATTCCAATGCAAAAGACCGGCAGTCGATCATCAGTGGTCTCACTCACCGACTTGGAAGTGGGCGCCTCCTTTGGCTTCATGAATCTAACTGGTCTGTCGATGGAATACGGCGACGATAGCCTGCACCTTTCGTTCAGAGTCCCATTTCAGAAAACATTCAACGTCTTCCTGGCCTCGGTTCATTCGGTAGAAGTTGCTGGCTGGATTCGACAGCACACCGAGTTCCTGCGTCCTCTATGGACTAGACAGCCATATGAGTTTGTTGTGCCGCGTGAATTGCAAAATGACGACAACTTCCCGCCCGTAGCGCTGGATGAGGATTACGGCTGCTTCGACCGCACGCTGGTCGCCTACTCCGCCAGTTACGATATTGACACCTCCAACATTCGTTACACGATTGACTTGGAGTGTGAGGACGCTCCTTGCTTCCGATTACTCCGTCCGGCTTCCCCGAGACAGCCAAGATACAGCGCCCTCGAGCTGATTGCGGTCATGCGCGCCCTCCGGTATAACGAATGTTTCCGCTCAATATCTTTTCGCGGCGTCAACCTCGATGTGCTTCAGGGCCTTCGTGATATTCATGGAGCGGATATGGATGTGCACCTTGATCGTGGAGGTTGTCTTGTTCAAATCCCAGGTCAAGGGAATCTCGCCGTTCTCTCTGAAGAAATACGTGGTTTGGTCTTGAAGAGCAAATGGCTGCGGCGACTCGATTTCTCGTATTGTCTTACACGGACACCAACTTTCGACAAGGGGACTCGTGATCCAGGCTGTGGAATCCCAGAGGCCATTTTCCCTGTTTGTCGCCGGGAATTGACTAGCGTCGATTGGGTAGCCCTGAATGGGATCAAGCTCGGCGAATCGGACCTTGACTACTTGGTGGATGCGGCATCCCAACGACGGAGTCATCTGAGAGCATTGGAGGTCGGAGACTGCGGATTGTCTGTTCATGACTTAGACATGCTGCTATCAACCATTGTCGCGCAGGAGTCTACTCTCGAGGCTATCAATATCTCCGGCGTCCAGGGACGATTAAATCCCGATGTTCTTCAGCAGTACATCGGGTACTTTGGTCAGATTCGCAAGATCAACCTGTCCCGCATCTCCCGGACGTCTGGGCCCGAGCCGCTCATCACAGCAGAGATGTTGTTCAATTGGCGACTTGAAGAACTGGCCCTCAGCCGGACGACTGTCAACCGCCAGACAGTGGATGCCATCGCCACCTACCTGGCTAGTGATCGGTCCCGGAACCTCCGCGTCCTCCGGCTCGATCAGTGCGGCCTGACCGGAGAAGATGTTGCCATGTTCATGCATTCGATGGCGGCGGGTCCCGACACTTTGCGAAGCCTCCATTTGCATGTCAACGAGAACCGGCTTGACAATGGCTGTTCGTTTATTTTTGACGCAATTGCGAAAAACCAGACCCCGTCACATCTATCGATGCGGATGATTGATTTCAAAAAGGAAGACCAATTCCGGGAACTGGTGGATGCAGTCCGAAAAAACAGCAGCCTACGATATCTAGATATCTCCAAGGCGTCTCTTCCATACGATGCAGGTCCAGAGACGTGCCGCGCTCTGCAGGTCATGTTTGAGGAGAACGAGACGCTAGAAGCGTTGGACATCAGCGGGGAAAATGCGCATCTGGATGTCGCCCGATTCGGGATCGGTCTCAACCTAGCCCTGACTGGCTTGAAGAAAAATACGTCTCTCAGGGTGCTTCGAATCGAGCACCAGAAGCTGGGTCTCCAGGGCGCGAATACTCTGGCTTCGGTTTTGGAGTGCAATAACTCGCTGCGCGAGGTGCATTGCGAGAACAACGATATTAACCTTCAGTCGTTTACCGTGCTTGTCAATGGTCTGCAGTGCAACCGCACCCTGCTCAGTCTTTCATGCATGGATCGAGATCGAACTCTGTCCATCGACAAGGTGCGGCGGGAGGTTGACAATGTCCGATGGGATGCAAGCAATGTCCAAGGCTCTACGGCGAACTCGATCCGTCGCTCCCTGCATGCAGCGATGAATGTTGGCAATGCCCCCGTTGGGCATCGGTTGAGCAAACATCCACCGGCTAATGTTGCTGCCGCTCTGGAAACATCTCCATTCGCTAGCCACAACGTGGAGCTCGTCCTGCAGTCCCTGAACCGAAAATGGGACATGGAAGTCGCTCGCCTGCGCCGATATCTTCTCCGCAACTACAATATCGCTCACGGAATCCAAGACGACGTCGACGACGCATCTAGCGATGGCCGGCCCGCGACAGCCGCCAGTCTAGGTACGATGCTCGATGACCTCAAGTTCGAAGTCGCGGTATCAGCAGACGAAATCCATGCCTCGCCACCAGAAGACTCCGCATCATCTATCCACCTTGCCGAACAGGACTCGGGAAATCGGTCTCTTCCTCGTGTCCCCACAGCCGAGTTCACGTCCAACATACTGGCGCAAAGCGAACCAGATCCTCTCCCCCAACACGCTCGCGCGGCCCAGATTCTGCCCTCAGAATTCGGTCCCTCAAGCCCTATCTCTTCGTCCTCATCCTCACGCATGGCAAAGCCGGTCCCCGCCGTGCCTTCATCCGTCCACAGATCGAACAGCATTCGAAGCGCAAACAGCTCCAGCACCGTCTCAATTGGCAACCGCAGTGCGCGCAGTGCCTACGGCATGGCCTCATCCACTCTGCGCGGGTTTCTCAGTGGGAACGCCATGAAAGACCGTCGGAAGGTGCAGCACGACTCGCGTCCGCCGACGGTGTTCGTCCAGACGAATGACAAGCCGCCTCAGCTGGACTGGGCTCCGCCGAAACTCGATTTGCAGGAGCTGTGACTGCCGATTGATGTCTGCTAGCTGCGGTTTCTTTTTCGTGGTTACTGCTTGCTGTCGGATTGTAGATATCTGCTTTTGTACAGAATCAAGGTCCTTCCCCATCCTCCACCCCTCTCTCTTTCGCTCTCTTGGTCTTGGATCCTCCTTATTCATTCCCCGCACAGCTCTGCCTTCTGGCAATGATACCCTAATGCTGGTGTTTCTACACCATTTGAACTGTGTTGATCATCTGTCTTATTATCTTACTATTAAAAACCTCCTCCCCATCTCTCATAGAGATCCGATTATCATTGTTTTCTCTTGGTGTTTGCTTACATGTGCATTTGTGGGATTGAATTTCTTTACGTATGGGGCGTCTGCATCTACGAGTCATGGCGTTGAGATATATCCTCGTTTTTAATCTAATGTTATGATGCTCTTGTTTGTCCCTTGTCTTCCCGACTTGATACAGAATTATTTGGAACACAGAAAGAACTTGAGAATGGATTTCTATCGACCAATAATTGCCGTTCAAATGGGTATGGTTGTATACAAGATCCCCCGGAATGAAACCCGACAAAGACCAAACTAGAAACAAGTGAAGAAAAGGGAAAAAAAAACAATCTACTAATGTACAAGTGAAGTCCAACCAAAACTCCAAGACGATATACTTCCGTCATCTCTTTAAACCCAAGATTAGTGTACCGGTTCATTAAACACAACAACCCCGTTCTTCTCATCAAGCTCATTCTCCTTCTCGCGATGGCTACGACCTTGCTTAGCGACTTCGCGCAACTGCCGAATATAAGCATTAGCCGCGACGCCAATCTCATCCTCGCCACGGTCGTCGAGAACAGCGCGGCGGCGGCGCTGGCACATTTCGTACAGGTTGCGCGCCCGATAAGGTTCCAATTCGTTTAGTTCGTAGTCGACGGTCCATTCGTCGCCGGCCTTGAAGTTGGTAGGACGGTCGACTGGTTTTTTGTTCACTCTGTTTTTGACCGAGAGCACCATTCCGAGGAGCTCGGTTTCTTGCCCGCCCTTTTCTAGGTCTTCGGTGAACGACGGGTCGGGAGGAGCATCTGAGTCGTATATCGGGGCTGATGAGGCCTCTGAGGGAGACTCTGGCGTGTTGGTATCCGAGGAGAGGGCCTCAGACTCTTCTGAGGGTTTAGAGGGCGATGTTTCTTCTGTCACTGCTGCGGCGTCGAGGTCATCGTTAATATTATCTTTTGATTCGGGATGGAGAAGACGCTTCTGGTATGCCTCGATCTCGGCTTGGTTCTTCGTCTGGATAGCGTCGATCTCCTCGTCCGTGACGGGTTCAGCAAAAATGTACATGAATGGCGATGTTGCGTCTCTCGTTTCAAAATGGAAGCGCAGCGATTGCTTGGGGAACCGGGCAGTCGCCTTGTCTAGGACTTTATTCCACAGCCCTAAGCTCAGCTTGAACTCTTCATCTCCCAGCGCAGTGTCGCTCTGTCCGTGCAGGGCTTCATCCATCTCGGCAAGACTGATATACTGGAACCCGAAGATGCGCTCGATGTTGTGGAAAGCGACAAAAATCCCGTCCATGCGGCCGACGCGCACCTGCAGAGAATACTTCAGGAACGCGGCGCGGATCATGTCGAAGTATTCACGCTCAAAGGATTCGAAGTCACCGAACCGACCCTTGATCTCGTATCCAAGACCGTGCTCAAAGTTCTTTGCATCCATTCGAATCGAGACAACGGCACGCGTTTTCAAATCGAACATGCCAGTACCCGGCAGGCGAGGATCATAGGCATCCAGCTGGGAGCGCATGATGAAATCGCCATAGGTGGTGAAATGATAAGACTCGGGTACGGCTTCCTCTTCTTCCGGCGTGATCTTGTTCTCGTGCGATCGGCGATACCTCTCAAAATCATCCTTCGGCAAGGTGAGGAGCTTCTCCATTGATTTTCCAAGGTTCATAAGGATGTTGGCGTTATCAAACTCCTTGTCCGCGTCGATGGCGTACACCCCATCCTGGTACCGAAGGAACATGGCCGCGGGCGAGCGGAGGAGACGTGTGAAAGAACGCAACTTTTCGGAGAAGCCTTGTGATACGCTGTTCACATTGACGGCCCGCCAGCTCGAAAGCAGGTAATGGAAATGGGAGAGAACCGAAGTCATACTCGAAGAAGACCCAACGTACTTCTTCTGATGCTTGACAGCTATGTCACGTAAAGTCTCATCTTTGGACGAGGTGATGTATGCCTTCAGAGCTTCGAAATCAAACTCTGTAACTGGCATAATTGAACCCAAATATGGATCAAAGTTGTAGACACGAGACCGAGGATCACGAAGATGGTAGACGCCAGGACTGTATCGTGTTAGTTTCACAAATCATCTAGCAAAAGGAAGCAGCCTACTTGAAAAGCACCCGTTCCAGACCAAATGACAAAGTTGGAACAGGGGCCAGGGGAATATCCAATGCTTGGGGGAAGAAGAGTCAGCCGGGGTTCTGATAAATCATCCTCTAGCAACACTCACGGGTCAATGGCTGAGATCGTGCGTCTAGGGAGCCTTCGTCTTGCTTGAGTATGGACTTTGACTTGGTGGCAGGATTTTCCTCTCGCTCGCGTTTCGCCTTCCGGGGGGCGGTGGGTTAGGCTGCTCGGTCACTCGAGGAGCTGTAAACTCTTCGTTCTGTCCCTTGATCTGATGCTTGTCGGTGTCTTGCTTTTCTGCAGCGTTCTTCTTCTTCTGATTCTTGTCTGTGGCGACTTTCATGTCTGTAGCGCCCTTCCCGCCTTCAGCGACGGCTTTCATCTTTTCTAAACGGGCCTTCCGTTGTTCAGCGACCTTCCTCCTCTTCTCCTTCTTCTCCTTGTCTGCTGCGGCCCTCGCATCTTCAGCGGCGGCCTTCTTCCTTGCTTCAGTGGCCTTCTTCCTCTTCTCCTTCACCTTCTCCTTCTTGTCTTCTGCGGCCTTCCCATCTTCGGTGAGATTTTTTTCAGAAGCCTTCTTGTCTGCCTGTGCTGATGCTAATGATGTAGTCTTCTTTTTCTGTTTGGCCCGTAGCCTCGCCTTGCGTTTCGTGTTGCCCGCAAGGGGAATTTTCCTCTTTTCTTTTTTCCCTTCACCTTCTTGCTCTCCTTGTTCTTCTCGCCTTTCTTGTTCTTCTGGTGGTGGCTTTGGCTTTGGCTGGCGATTGAACTTTTTCGCAGCGCTCAAGGGCTGTGTTGTCACTTGGATGGAACCTTGAGAGTCTGGATGCAGGGTTTTGGAAGCCTTTCTATTGCGGTTTCCATCCGGAGATTCCTGCAAGAAACTCGGTTAGTTCTCCTTTCCGCGGGACAAAAGAAACGATGACAAGCTTCGTACCTGGGTCGCAGCCGCATATCCCCGAAACCGGGTTTGTGTCAGAAAGTAAGATCGTGTCTTCTTGTTTCTGCTAATGAAAAGAGGTGTGCTGTGAAAGGCGCGTAGCTTGTTGGGAGATCCAACCCGGCGTGCTAGACAGGAGAGGCAGACATGGTCGCGGAGAGGGTCTGAGACCGACCGCAGCGAGGCCCGAAACATCCGAGCCTGGAAAAGAGAGACAGAAAGATATAGAGAGCTCGCGGGCTATCAAACGGCGTTCCGGAACGGCAATTGATGGAGTTGAGAGCATCGATTCGAATCGCGCGTGTGTTTTTTTGTCTGCCGCGAGTCACCGCTTTAGAAACTAAGTGCCTGAGGCAGAGGCATGGAGAACAATGTAGATGGTTGTCCGAGAGGAAGAAATCAGGGAAACTGATATCGTCTAGTCTAGATCGGCCCTAGTAAGGAGGAAAGAGTGGGATTTGATATTGAATGGAAATTGCTGTTGTGCAGAAACCTGGATTCAACTGGAGCGGGTACATGCTGTACTGTACACCTTCGGTGTGGATGGATTTTCGGGCTAGAGATACCCAAACTGCAGATTATTCCTCTATCGAGTAGTTTTAACTATTACATATTGTCCTTGAATGACGTTCTTCAGTAGTCTCATACTAGGTATACTATCCGGGTCACTGTAAGGATCGCAGGTGGTGCCGGAGAAACACCGTCCCGGAGAAAAAAAAGTTAACGATAAGAAAATCGATGGTCAACTCGTCGCTCCTCGACCATCCACCATCCTCCCACAGCAGTTGCTTGTCAGTCTCCCGCGCGAGGTAAGTTCTCCTCTGCTCTCTGTCAATGCCTTAGTTTCCCTCTCTGTTTTCTCATTCATCGCCTTCCAATGCTTCTGTCTACCTGGAGGGGCAGCATCCATACCCCGCGGAAGAAAGCCCACAATCGCTAACCCATCACCCAGTAGTCCCTCGAGACACTGCTCCCACCATGGTTCCGGAACAATTGCGCGTCCTCATCGTCGGCAATGGCGGCCGTGAGCACGCTCTGGCCTGGAAACTGAGCCAATCGCCCCTCGTCGATGCCGTCTACGTTGCTCCCGGAAACGGCGGCACGGGGTTGGGCAACTCCAAGATCACCAACGCCAATGTCAAGGGCGATGACTACCCCGGCCTGGTAGATTTTGCGCAGACGAATAAGGTGAACCTCGTGGTGCCGGGCCCCGAGGCGCCGTTGGTAGATGGCATTCAGGGCTATTTCCAGGCTGGTAAGTCCAGTCAGGACCACTTTGACTTCCTAGCTAACACCACTTCATAATAGTCGGTATCCGATGCTTCGGTCCGTCCAAGGCTGCTGCCCGCATGGAGGGCTCGAAGACCTTCTCCAAGGACTTCATGAAGCGCCACCAGATCCCCACTGCTGAGTTTGGCAATTTCTCCGACTACGAATCTGCGCGCCGCTACCTCGACTCCGTCTCGCACAATGTGGTGATCAAGGCTGATGGCCTTGCTGGTGGCAAGGGTGTTCTCCTCCCAGCCACCAAGGAAGAGGCGCACCAGGGGCTGAAGGAGATGATGCTGGACCACCAGTTCGGCAAGGCCGGCGACGAGGTGGTCATTGAAGAGTACCTCGAGGGCGACGAACTGAGCGTGCTCACTTTCAGTGACGGCTACACCATCCGCTCGCTGCCTCCGGCGCAGGATCACAAGCGCATCTTTGACGGTGACCAGGGCCCCAACACGGGTGGCATGGGTTGCTATGCGCCTACACGCATTGCTCCCAAGGAGGTCATGGAAGAGATTGACCGGACCATTATCCAGCCGTCCGTTGATGGAATGAGAAGAGATGGTACGTGCGGCATGGCTGCCATGCAAAATTGCTGCTAACCTTTCTTCTTGATAGGCTTCCCCTTTGTTGGTATCTTGTTCACCGGCCTTATGATGACCAAGGATGGGCCCAAGGTTCTCGAGTATAACGTACGAGGCGGTGATCCCGAGACGCAGACTCTGTTGCCGCTCTTGAGCGAAGACACAGATCTGGCGCAGATCATGGTCGCCTGTACTGAGCACTGGCTCGATGGTGTCTCCGTCAAGATTGAGCCCAAGTTCTCCACCACCGTCGTCGCCGTGGCTGGTGGCTACCCTGGCTCGTATGCCAAGGGTACACCAATGACCCTTGACACTGCCCCAGCTGGTACCCTCATCTTCCACGCCGGCACGACTCTGTCCGGGACCGAGTTGCAGACATCCGGTGGCCGTGTGATCGCCGCAACAGCGACAGCATCAACCCTTGAAGAGGCCGTGTCTAAGAGTTACGAGGGCATCGCCACAATCCACTACGATGGCATGTTCTTCCGCAAGGATATCGCGCACCGGGCGTTCCGCCAGAATGCCAACACCGCTCTCACTTACGCCGCGGCAGGTGTCTCCATCGATGCCGGCAACGAGCTGGTGAACCGTATCAAGAGCTCCGTGAAGCGCACCAAGCGGCCCGGGACCGACGCCGTCATTGGCGGGTTCGGCGGCCTTTTCTCTCTGGCCGCCGCCAACCCAACTTACCACCCGCACTCGCCGACGCTCATCGGCGCCATTGACGGCGTGGGCACCAAGCTGAAGATCGCCCACACAGTGGGCATCCACGACACCGTAGGCGTGGACCTGGTCGCCATGAACGTTAACGATCTGGTCGTGCAGGGCGCCGAGCCGCTCTTCTTCCTGGACTGCTACTCCTGCGGCCACCTGGACGTACCCACAGCCACAGCCTTCGTGACCGGTGTTGCTGACGGCTGCGTGCAAGCCGGCTGCGCCTTGATCGGCGGCGAAACTGCTGAGATGCCGGGCCTCTTCATCGACGAATCCTACGACGCCGTGGGTGCCGCCGTCGGCGCCATCAACACTACCGGCGAGCACGCCCGTCGCATCCTACCGCACACGGACTCCATGCGCCCCGGCGATGTCCTCCTCGCGCTGGCTTCATCGGGCCCGCACTCAAACGGCTACTCACTGGTCCGCAAGATCGTCGACCGTGCCGGCCTGCAATACTCCGACCCGGCACCCTTCACCATGCCCGGCCAGTCGAACGAGCTCTCTCTCGGCCGCGCCCTCCTCACCCCAACCCGCATCTACGTCAAGCCCCTCCTGCACGCGCTGGCGTCCCACCCGGCTTCCATCAAGGGCCTGGCCCATATCACCGGCGGCGGACTTACCGAGAACGTGCCCCGTATGCTCCCCGCTACACTGACCGCGCATATCGACGTCCGCGCGTGGTCCCAGCCACCCGTGTTCGCCTGGCTCCAGAAAGCAGGAAACGTCTCCTCGGCGGAGATGGCTCGTGCCTTCAACTGCGGTGTCGGTATGATTATCGTCGTTGACCCGGCGGAGGAGGCTGCTGTGCGCGCCGACCTTGAGGCCCAGGGCGAGACGGTTTACCGGGTTGGAGAGCTGAAGGCTCGTGCTGAGGGTGAGGAAGGCTGTGTGCTTGGAGGCCTGTCTTCGTGGGGTGCTTAAAAATGTAGATCTGGTTTCTGGATTCGGTGGTATTATTTTGGATCTTTTGTGTTTCTTCGCTGTCTATATGAGTATGAGTGAAATGAGATATACCAACTTCTTCTTTGTTTGAGAGGACTTTTGCATCGTAGTAGAAACAGATATATATCTCAAGAATAATTTTGTTGAGGCTTATCTTCAAAAACAAGCAACTATGAAATGGATAGCTTGCAAGCTGGGTGTCATGAAGTCCTTCTACTTGGATATATATCTCCCTGTCAAACTACTCAACTTGCTCGAAATGGACCCCATGACTACAACGCATAACCACTACAAAAGAAGGCACTCACATGCTGAATCCAGGCAATTTGGTCGGAGATACAATTCAAGGTAAGGCTAGAACAGAGAAAGGAACGCGACCGGACTCCATGTACATCGCACCTACACCGTTGTCGTTGCCGCCAGATTGTTCCTCCCCTTGGGGCCGGCGATTGATTTTGTGAAAAACAAAAACATTTGGGGAAAAAAAGCAGAAGGGAGCGACGAGATAAGAAAAAAAGGGCGAGGGACTCGCGGACCGAAAGATCGCGAGAGAGAGAGAGAGAGAGAGAAAACGACAGACTCTATTCCACTAAAAATCGAGATTCCATTTTCAGGCTATCCGCTTGAGAATGCGAGTCCAATCCAACAACGCTTGCAATCCACCAGTGCCTCCATCCGGCCTTTTGATACACCAGGAACGTACGAGCGAAGACAAGTAGTAAAGCGCACAAGCTGAGATATCGTTAGCAACTACACGTTTTGATATTCCGACGGAGGGTGTTCACCTTAGAAGCACTTGCGGTGCACGATCGAGGGACCGCTCTCGTCGTACTCCTGCTTGGAGATCCACATCTGCTGGAAGGTCGACAGCGAGGCCAGGATGGAACCACCGATCCAGACGGAGTACTTGCGCTCGGGGGGAGCGATGATCTTGACCTTCATCGACGACGGAGCCAGCGCGGTGATCTCCTTCTGCATACGGTCGGAGATACCGGGGTACATGGTGGTACCACCAGACTGGAATTCTTGTCAGCCAAAAAAGCCCCCTCAAATTGGGAGAGGAAAGATCCTTACCATAACGATGTTGCCGTACAGATCCTTACGGACATCAACATCACACTTCATGATGGAGTTGAAGGTGGTGACGTGGATACCGCCGCTCTCCAGACCCAGGACGTTGGGCTGGAAGAGAGCCTCAGGAGCACGGAAGCGCTCGTTGCCAATGGTGATGACCTGGCCGTCGGGCAGCTCGTAGGACTTCTCCAGGGCGGAGCTCTGCGAGGAGGTCTGGATCTCCTGCTCGAAGTCAAGAGCGACGTAGCAGAGCTTCTCCTTGATGTCACGGACGATTTCACGCTCGGCGGTGGTGGAGAAGCTGTAACCCCGCTCCGCCAGGATCTTCATCAGGTAGTCCGTCAGGTCACGACCGGCCATGTCGACACGCGAGATGGCGTGGGGCAGCGAGAAACCCTCGTAGATGGGGACCACGTGGGTAACACCGTCACCAGAGTCGAGCACGATACCGGTGGTACGACCGGAGGCATACAGGGACAGCACGGCCTGGATGGAGACGTAGAAGGCGGGCGCGTTGAAGGTCTCGAACACGATCTGGGTCATCTTCTCACGGTTGGACTTGGGGTTGATGGGAGCTTCGGTCAACAGGATGGGGTGCTCCTCGGGGGCGACACGGAGCTCGTTGTAGAAGGTGTGGTGCCAGATCTTCTCCATGTCATCCCAGTTGGTGACGACACCATGCTCGATGGGGTAGCGGAGCGTGAGGATACCACGCTTCGACTGTGCCTCATCACCAACGTACGAGTCCTTCTGGCCCATACCAATCATGATACTGCAGCCATGTCAGCTCTTCGCCCGCTGGGCCCGAAAATGGCAGGAAGGTGAAGAATTTACCCATGGTGACGGGGACGACCGACAATGGACGCTATTGCATGTCAGTAATTGTGCAGGTGGGAAATGATCTCCGACGCAAGGGCTGGCGGGATGGCGGCCCTAACAAGGAGGAGGGGTGGGAAAGGATCAGGCTGTGGGGTTTGTACTTACGGAAGACAGCTCGTGGTGCGTCGTCACCGGCGAAACCGGCCTTGCACATACCCGAACTGGAAGCAATTCATCAGTACGAGTTCCCATCTGAGGCGTAGCGATGGCATTGAGATGAGTCTCAAGTGCCGGGGGTAGGTGGCGGGTGAGATGGGGGCAGCGCGACCGGGTTGGCGACGAGCCCCCTAAAACAGCGGATTCAAATCCATCACGTACCCATTGTCGATAACGAGAGCAGCGACTTCCTCTGTTGGAGTTGGAATGCATTAGCCAAGGGTCGCAATGTCAGGCGGCCTGAAAGACCGAGGTGGCCACAGCAGTGAGACCGGTCGGAGGGAGGGGGGGGGTGGGATGATGGTGGGAGCGAGAGTGGGAACGGGAGAGGTGGCCACAACAAACAAAGGGCGGGCAGCTTACCTTCCATGGTGAAGATTGCAGTAGAGAACTAAACGAGATGGAGAAGGAAGATAGAGGAATGGGGGAGAGACGAATGGATGGGAAGAAGAGTAAAAGGGAGGAAGAGAGAGAGAGAGGGAAGAGAGAAAGAGAAGAGGGAGGAAAGTGGGGAGAGATGGCTGGTTGGATTGGGTGTGTGCGCGAGGATTCGTTAGGACATTAGGCACGCCTACAAGGCCCTTATTATACTACATCCTCCTCCGATTCTGAAGCAATTGTTTAGTCGATCATGACGACTATACTCTTCTTCAAGGCAGCATGAATACTCTTTCCTCGCCGCCTATTCTCGTCGCTCCCGCCGTTCCTGGGAGCTGACGTATCCCACCCACTGCCAACCTCCAGGCCTTCCACGTCAACCCACCCACCCACCGGGACCCTCGATGAGGCTCCCTCCATGATTTAATTAGGCCCCGACATTCGCCCTAGTTCTCTGACAAACTCCTCCCCCACGGTCGTCTGCCTGCCCCAAACATTGTGGCGCAGCAGCGAGGATTGCAGCCTGAGGCAGCCTACGGCTGTTGACGAATAGAGCTGCTGGAGAGAAACGAGTGAACGATAGCGGGTGGATGGAATGGCACTCCAGAACACACAGAGACAACCAAGCTAGCCGACAATCTGCGGTCTGACAGTCACTTGGTTACCGCCATTTCGGCTGATATCAAGCAAGTCTAGACTGAGGGTCGGTGAGCACACTGCTGCCTGAGGCAATAAATGGTGGCCTGAGGCCGCACAGAACCCGCTGGGCGCCGCACGAATCGTCTGGAGCCATCCATCATTACCTAAGACATCCCACCTCGCCGCGGAGCTGTATAAATTTATTTTTCTTTTTCGACAGTTCACCCAACAACCAGTCCCCGTTATTTGAAATCGCCACGATTTTCGGTTGAATCTCCGCACTAGACACAATGGACCCCCAAATGAACAAGCTCCTCAAATGGAGCGTGCAAAATTCCCAGAATGCAGACGGCACCACCACCGATGCCCCGGCCAGTGCGCGCAACCTGACCCCGGACATGATCAATGCTCTGTTCGGCGGCCCCTCCGAAGCCGAGCTGATGAAGGCCGCCATGGAGGTGCTGCACTCGGACGACTCCGATCTGGAGAACAAGTTGATTGCCTTTGACAACTTCGAGCAAATGATCGAGTCCATTGACAATGCGAACAACCTGGAGCCACTGGGTCTGTGGTCCCCCTTGGCCCAGCTGCTGCAGCATGAGGAGGCGGATATCCGTCGTATGGCCGCCTGGTGTATCGGGACGGCGGTGCAGAATAATGAGAAGGCGCAGGATAAGGTATGTACTGCTGGTCTCTAAAACGTTTCCGGTATGAATTGAAGATACTGACAGATTATGTGACAGCTCGTCGTGCTGAATGTTATTCCTACGCTCGTGAACATGTCGACTACGGACCCCAACCCAGCTGCGCGCAAGAAGGCTGTGTATGCGCTTTCGTCGGCAGTGCGCAATTACCAGCCTGGCTTGAACGAATTGGTCAAGCATCTCCCAGAGGGCTACCCGAGTGACAAGGCAGATGCGGGAGATATGGAGGCAGTGGATGCCATCATGGATAAGCTGCGGTCTCACCCGGTCGAGTCCTCGTGAACGATGCCTGTGGGGCACACCGCATCTAGTCTCTGACGGAACCCAACCCGTTATTCATCATGATTCCTGATGCACTCCCTCTGGATGTGGCCTTGGGGCTGATATAGTCCCAGCGCCCGTGGATGACGTGGGCTACGTACACCCGTGATGAATCCAGGCGCTAGGATATCCGACGGTATCATCTGATATGATGATACGTGCCAAGGGCCACGAGTGTCCTTGCCAGGCTCCCTTTTGCAGGCCATATCTGTCGTGCGGCCTACTAGAGGAGCCGGAAAAGTGATTTGACCTTTATTACTGTATATAAATCATATCCCTACCATCTCACGAAGTGATCACGAGAAATGCCATTATGGAATTAATGTTAATACTGAAGATCCAGTAATCTGTGCTGCCTGTCCGTCCTGTGTTGATATAGAGCCGGCGGTTGGCCGGCGAAATGTTAGTCCGGCCTATCGTCATATTCATTCTCCCGTAGCTCTCCCGATCTCGCTCTGTTGTCACCTCACTGCTCATTCCCTGGCCTCCCCTCCATATTTTCTCGCCAACTTCCAATATGGACAACAGCAACCGCTTGTTCCGTTTCTCCAAGCCTGAGTGGCTGAACAACGCTGCCGTCCGTAACGCTGGCGTGTCCGTCGCCGGCGCGCTGGTGAGTGATCCCCCACAGCAGACCAGCCCGACCGACTAGTGTGCACCGGCATGCTCTCGCACTGGTCGCACACTGGCCACCATCCCTCTCCTCCGCTTGCATAGATGAAAGAAACGGTCAAAAGTTGAACCCAAGAACTAATGCGGAATGGTTGCACAGTTCGCCGTGGGATTCTTCTTCATGATCGATGCTGCGTCGTTCTCGCACAGCCCCCGCAATGGCTCCGACGTGCACGTCATGTTTGTCGACTGGATCCCCTTCATCTTTTCCTCGATCGGCATGCTTGTTATCAACTCCATCGAAAAGTCCCGTCTGCAGGCCGATAGCTTCAGCTACAGCGGCAGCGGTGTTGCCTGGAAGGCCCGCTTCGTCCTGTTCCTTGGGTTTTCCATGCTGGCTGGTGGCCTCGCAGGTAGTGTGGTATGGTTTCTTTCCTATCTGTCTTCCTTCTTGACCTACACCCTCATCAATTGCATCCTATGGAGCGTGGGAGACCCTCTATTTGGCTTTTGTCTTTTTTTCCAGCGACAGTTACGACCAGATCACCCCGGACTTTTCATTTCTCGATTTCATTCTTCTCGCACTACCGTCACACATCCCAGAATTGAACATCAGGCTAATCGTTTTGTTCCCTTTTTTCCCTCGCAGACGGTTATGGTCCTCAAATATCTCATCAAGGATTACCCGATTCAGACGCTCTACTTCGGAATCGCCAATGTCATTGCCAATGCTTTGACCATGCTCAGGTATGTTGTCTCTTCTGTTGTCTTGCCCATGGCATGGAGACTGATAGACTCGACTAGCACTGTTGTACTGTGGGTCTCGCAAAACATCGAAGATGACTACACTTACAATCTTGCTCTATAATATGATAACGGTGGAGATTTGGTTTGTGTGTTGTGTGTACTGTATTCGCTTTTGCCCCATCGGGGAGATTTCACATCTTTGAGCCTTTAGCAACAATTTATGTCTTTCATTTTCATCCATTCTATCGATCATCTCTAGGCTACTTTGGGTAATATCTTGATCCAATCTGACGAACCGCCCAAAGAGGGAACAATTGTTGTACATTGGTCAGAAGTTGGTAAGCTTCTGCCACGTGCACCCCACGAAATCACAGATATTCAGCACATGCTACGATGATGTTGATGACTAGCAATTAAGGAGCTAGAATTAATGCCGTCCAAGAAACCATAAAACAGACTACTGCGGGCTTTGCGATTCCTGATTAGCATTGCTGATCTTAGGCCTGATCTAGCAGCCGGAACACTTCCCACAGCCTTGAACCTCTCACAGCTTTTCCCATAGTCTACTGCACAAGGCTAGACGTACCACGCATATCTTGATCTACCGTCGACTGTTGCTCAGCACGTTTGGTGTTGAGAAACATTGAAACCGATCCTGATATACCTCAACTTGGCCACAGCATATGATACCTATGCCTTCGCTCGCTCATTACTTGATTGACTCAGCGAAGATTGTCCATCTGATAACAAACGATGTCATGATTTCAATCAATGCAGCCTTGCAGGATCTCAAGTGGCTAAGGTCAGAAACGATTTTTAAAGTTTAGGCCGAGGCTAATCTGAGCCTAGTGTAGAGTTAGCCCCATGATCTTATATAGGCATACTTCTTGATTTCGCACATACTATTGTAAATAGTAGAGGAAGTCCAGAGCAGGAGATATGTAAAGTCGGCTTTGCCCTTTCATGATGTCTACTTCCTATTCTTCTTTCCCTCATTACTCTGATCCCCTATTCCTGCCATCCAATATGCGATTCGCACTTATCGTACTCATCCTCGCCCTTCAACTCTCTGGGCCTGGTCCAACTACGGTTCCACGTGTCCTAGTTGCCAAATTATGAATGATGAATAATACGGAGGTGACGCCGGGGATCTAAAGCTGACTCCCCTATAAGCACTACTTTTGCTCTCATCCTCTCCGCCATCATGATCAAGTAGCTAGCTAACAGCGCTGTTAGAATTTGTAAACCATCTGATGATTAACGAGCGACGAGTAACATGTTAGTTCGATCTTAGTATCGAACTGAATTCCAAAAAAAGCAACCAAATTGATTGATGTTGAATCTTTCCAAATTGGCCCAATAGTTCCGGTGGGAGATTGGTCAAAATACCACTCCAGACCGATTGTCAGTACACTCGCACTGCCCATTCTAGCACACAGCTCCACCATCGTTGGTACCGTGGCACGTGCCAGCGCCACAGTCTTGAATCTCTGTCCAATAACCACCTCGGCACTGGACCTTTTCATAGGACAACACATTAGCAAAGATGGTCTGATATTTCAACGTGGATTGGTAACATACCACATCTGTCCTATCGCAACCGCAGAAGTCCCTATCTCCGTTCGAAGCTTCACAAGGACTATTCGTACGACGTTGGTCACCAGCATAGCCGGCACCGCAGGTGTCCAGAACCTCTCGTTCATAGATTGCTGAAGCACTTACGGCTGCGGCAGCCATAAGAGTGCAGAGGAGAGCTGTAACCTTCATTGTGGAAGTATTTTTAAATCGAAACGAGATGTTGTGATTGATGTTTTTGATTGCTCAGGAATGATTGATGTCCAAGAGTACGACTTCTGGAGGAGATATTTTGATATATTTATACTTCTTCGAAACAAATGCCAAGTCGTCTTCCTAGTCTAATTACCTAAGAGTTAATGTATGAGCTACTCGATCTATGTTTAGGCCCCCAGCGCTGAATGCAAGTATAGCATCCGCTAATATTGTAGGTGAGGAGGTTCAAGGTGCCTACAGTATACGGCACTGATGCCTATGACATCTGGAAGTTTAGTCAGATTGGGGGCCTCAATTAACCGTATGAGGCAATCACTTCATACACATGTGCCTTCTGTGGGTCTAAATGCGGCCGATCCCTGCTGCTTGGCGGCTTGGACTCATAAATTTTTTCTCAACCGAGCTGATTATTATATTCTGTACCCAGTCATACGACTAGTTGCCATGATCTACAGAGGGGAACCTAGCCTTGTGTCGGGCTTGGTATATCGAAGTACGCAACGAGCACCAACTTTTTTGCCTCCGCGCAATATGGGAATACTACGACTATCAAGATCTTCGAGCCATTCAGTTCTATAAATGCAGCGAGGATGTTACCAGGGACGCCTAGCTACGGCATTACGTCGCTCTGGAACCCTCAAACCTGTCTTCTCTAGACAAGTGGGTCTCGGTCTGAAGGGAGGACGTGAAGGCAAGCTGAAAGATTCATCTCGAGCAGTAGATCCCTTTCGAGCTACATACCATATCAGTCCAAGCGACTTCCTTGGAAAACCCTCGTATGCTGGTTGCCTGAGATGAGCTGGGTCAAGAAGAGCAAATGGCCGCAAACAGGCGGCCTATCTTCGAAAGTAAGAAGGCACTGTAAGAAAAGGCATGGCTGGCCTTGCTTGCAACATGCAACCTCATTAAGGGTGTGAGACACCTTGTGCAACGAATACGACCCAATGCACTTCCTTAGGATATTCGACGGCTGCATATCATGGGAACTAAACAGGGAGACGAACAGGTCGATTAGTCGCCGCTGAGCGAAGTCAGATTCGCGAATCGTCTTGGCGTGTTTCATGGGCATGTCGGCTGTGAACACGTACTTGGGCACTAGATGATGCAGCTGTTGCTCTGGCCTAAATCCGTTTGATATTGAAACGTGCGACACCGATCTTGCAGAGTTCCAAGACGGCGATGGCTGGATTTTGCATTACAATGGCATGCAAGATCCGTTAACTAGCTCCGAGAGCTCAAAGCTGTACTACCGGAACGTGGCCGAGTCGATGAATTTGGGCCGTCTGCGTTGGATAAGTTTTATCGCTTCTTCACGACAAGTGGAATGTCATTTTGCGCATTAGGCACGGGGCCATCCGCTATAGGCCAAGGTATTGGCACATATGTGAGCAGTAATGCGGAAGAGAGTGTATATATGGCGATGGTGAAACAGTAGTAGAAGATACTGCACCAGAGACAGCCTATATTTACGTGTTGTGACATAGTATGAGGCCAGGTACAGCGAATGAAGAAAAAATCGTGAGATAAACTGGAATTAGAGGTTCCAGCGACTGGTTAAGCTCAAGGGACATATGTATACCACACTTGGTGATTCAATCCCTGGAACAATTTCCAGAGTCCTACCTAGCAACTAACAGCCCAGATCTCGATGTGGTTAAAAGGCTGCTAAGATCGACCTCATGTACAGTAGTAGGATTTTGATTTCGGCTTTTGGGTCTTCATATGGCTTCATAGTACCAAGGTACCATCGGCCTCCCAATACAATCATCCCTGTAGGTCTTGCGAATGGGTTGTGTCACCATTTACTCACTTACGGCAAGATGGTGCCAAGACAAATCACGATTCAAGACGATTGGTGAACCCCCACAGAAGTAATCTCATCGATATGGTGTTAAGCCATAGGACACTATGAAAGATATGATGTTGCAGCCTAGTGCCAATTCAATAGTAGAAATTTACGTCCTCTATCACTTAAAATAGAAGTGAGACACACTGAAGTGTACCACAGTTCTATTTACACGAAGTTCTTCCGAGTCCAGGAAGGGTATGTGGAGATCGGCCAGTTCCGCTTTCTACCCGACTTCTTCAGGTCAGATCGAATTGAGTTTGAATGTTTCAAAAATGCTCTGAAGCGAACCCTAGATCGGCATCACGGCACACCGAATGTGTCAACGGTGGGCCTAAGTTGCGTGGCAGGGTTACCATCGCTTGTACAATTGTAGTCAGGCAGCAAGAAGTAGAGACAGGATGCAATATATAATGGAAGTCTTTCCCGCTCTAGTTGAATCTATCAATCCGAAATCTACCAGTGATCCTTCAATATGAAGCTTAACTTGGGCCTTCACCTTTTTGCGCTAAGTATCAGCACCAACCAAGTCCTCGCATCTCTATCGCAATGGCTCTACACAAGCGAAATCAACGACGAGGCTCTCACTCTCCTAGAGCGTCCCGAAATCCACGGCATCCAAAACCTCTACACGTGGAAATCTCTCGAGCCCCAAAAAGGTCAATACGACTTCTCCGCCATAGCACACGACCTCAACCTCACCCGCTCCAAGGGCAAGAACCTCTGGGTCCAGATCCAGGATCGCAGCTTCAGTCTTGAGTTCGATCCTGTCCCGCGCTACCTTCACAAACCAATTTACAACAACGGCAGCGTGCCCCAATGCGATGGGGATGACTGCGATAGCAACTTCGTGGCTGGGGGTTGGGCCGCGGCGCAATGGAATCCTCATGTCCGCGATCGATTCCAGCGTCTACTGAAAGCTTTAGCGGATAGATTCGACGGACAAGTCTACGGGTTCAATCTCCCCGAGACATCCATCGAAGTCCAGTCCAACAACACCGTCTCGGAATATACATGCCAAGGCTATTTCGAGGGAACGCTCGACAACGCGGGCTACCTAGCCAGCGTATTCAACCACTCTTACGCCGTGCAATACGTCAATTTCTGGCCGTGCGGTTGGGGAAATGCCCGCAACTACATGTCCACTTCGTTCAGTTTCTTTGCGGATCATGGCGTCGGCATCGGCGGGCCGGATAATATCCCCTTCAAGACGACTATGGAGAACAATGCGTACCCCTATATGTCTAAATATAGGCATAGGGTGCCGATTAATGTTGTTGCCGTGCAGGAGCCCGACCTGGCGGCGATTAATCCGAACACGAGCAAGCCGTTTACAAAAGAGGAGTTTATGGGGTTTGCAGAGAAGGAGCTGGGATCGCAGATTTTGTTTTGGGCTCTTTCTGCGCCGTGGTTGCATCAGTAAATTGGGCAGGAGATGCATGTTCTATATATGTATAATTAGATCGTTCGTTGACTTTTACCATCTGTGAAGCTGTTTGGGTGTATTATAGTATCGATTTGAAGCATATCATCTTTGCTGATAAATGTCCTTGACTGATTTACTCTGCTCAAGTTATCCCATGACGCCATGCTAAGAATGAAAATGCTAAATATGCTAACAAAGACCAACGCCGAGCCCCAATCTCAATGCAAAATGTCGACAGACCATCACCACAAATCATCCACCGCTTAATGCTCCTCACAGAACAACCGGAGCAACTCATCGATACAAGTCATAGCCTTCTCCTTATGCAAAACCGCAGGCGCAGACCCTGGAACAGCAGACAGCGGTTCCTTCAAGAACTTGCGCAGTGCAAAAGCAGCCGCTTTATATGTGGCATGATACATAGCCTTGAACTCATCGTCATCTGCCGAGACGGCTGGAGCGGGAGTTTCGGCGCGCATGCTCTCCGCCGGAGCGTCCAGTTCGGGATCTGCTACGCCCAAAGCTGGTTTGGTCGAGGCAGCTCGCATGGACGCACGATGAAAGCCGTAGAGCCGCATGCAAGTCAATATGGTGCGGGTGATGAGGTTTTTGTTCTCGGCGATGATAGTCTCTGGGTCCTTTGGCGGCGAGCCGGGGGAGGAGAGCAAGGGCTTCTCTTCCGCAGATAACGACGAGGATTGCAATTGTATTTGTTGCGAGCCGCGGCGGGCATTGTGTTCGAGGAAAGGATTCGGGGTTGATGCGCGTTTCTGTGGATCTGCGTTGACTCCGGGTGTTGCTCGTGCGCCTCGAACACTACCTGGACGATGCAGTCCCGCCCCGATAGACATGGATCGGGATCTATGGGCGGCGATGCGGTCCAAGGGTGGTCCGTTTTCATCTGGCTCGCGCTTTATGCGGAGGGACTGCAGGTTCTGTGATGACGAGGAAAGCGGGCGCGCGTGTGCCATCAGCTGGGAGACTCCCTCGCCGCCCTTCTGCCGTACTCGACGATGGTGTTGTGCCGCAACCTCGAATAGACTGGCGACCCGCTTGCGTTTCGGGCTGGGCGAGCTGATATCGGGCAGAAACTCCGCGCAACGGGCATGTTGATGTTGTTCCTCATCGGTACTGGGTGGTGGAGATGGGAAGGCTTCCACCTGCGTGAGAAGCGATGTAGATAGCGGAGCCGCATAGACCCTCAGCTCGTGCGGGCTGATTGAAGGTGTAGGGGCGTCCACCTCGGATGGTGATGAGTGCGGCGGGGTAGGTGGACGCGCACAAGTGGATGCGCCAGACAACACGCCGTAGATCAAGAGGTCTGAAGTGACCGCGCCGGAAGTTTTCTTGGTTACGGTGCCCTCGACGCTGACCAGCAGGCCGACAGGGCATTGGAGGGACCGGTGGAGGTCCAATTCGTCATCGTTCAACCAGATCGCGCTGGTCAGTTTGCTCTGGAGCCATCGTGATGATTCCGCGTTGGACGTGTGAAGCTCGAGGTTGGGGCCTATTCGCGCGTGAAGTGGGATAAGGACGGGATTCACGAAGCTCTGAAGACTCAGTTTGGCCTCCTTGGAGATGTCGGATTGCCAGTGAGAGGTCGGGTCGACCAAGCGAATCCCTAATGATGGTCAGCGAGGAACACGGGTGAGACGCGTTGGGTGATTTACCTTCCAGCTGGAGGTCGGGATTTAAGGCGATCGATCCGGACCAGGCGTTCATTGTTGGTGAATTGCAGCATTCACATATTCAGTTGGGCGTGTCAATAATAATCCCCGGCCGCGTTCTGATCGACGCGATGGACAGCACGTCACACGTGACTAGTTATAACCCGACGACAATAATGTAGATACTGAAAACAGGCTTACAATGAACAATAATCGCATCCAGTGGTCCTAGATTCCCCAGTGCCACTCTATATGTCCGCCATGTTATAGTACACGTAGAGAATCACGGCCAAATCGGGCGCTGCGGCCATCGAGAAACAGGGGCCGATGCTGAATCCGTCCCCGACCCCTCGTACAAAAGCAGGTCGAGCATCCATCGCAATCAGAAAGCGAATCATAAGAAAAAAGAGAAACAATATCATAGTTGTAAAAGCATATCCCTTGCGACCAGCAGGCATCGTCAAGCCCCGCGGAATTTCCCCAACCCCAAGATCGAACATCTCCCGATCAGAATTCCTCCTCTTCCTTGAAAAACATCGAAAAGCTGATAATGGTGCCGTAGATCAGCAATCCTCCGAGAATCGACATGATCATGGCTGGGATTTCAATTGCGCCGCTGTGCGCCAGGACGGCGGGGAGTGCTGCGAGAGAAGGTGTTAGCAAAAGATGCGAGAGGACAACAATTCAACAACGGCAGTCAGGACAGTATAGTAGGAAATAGTACATCCACCCAGGGATTTCAAAACGGGCCAAGTTCGAGGACGCCGCAAGAGTGCAAAAGGAAAACAGACGCAGGCAGCAACTCACCAATACCCGTCAAGACCAGAAATCCGGTCATGAACCGCCCAAAGTCCATAGCCGAGTTACTCGAGCTATCCATGAAATCATCTGGGTTTGCGCATCGTGCGCAGATCCAGTTCGGCAGGGGCGCAATCACATAAATGGCGACGACCAGCAGCGGCCAGTACTTGTGCCAGAGGGCGGAGGAGAGGATGACGAGGAGAAACCCGATAGCGAGGACCTGCATATTATCAGGATGGGTTCTCAAGTAGTCATAATATGGTTGTTGCTCTGTGTGTACATACGAACGAAAGCGCGATGATAGTCTTGAGTCCAGCCGCCATGATTGCGGAGACACGTAGGCTGGCCGATGGTCCAAAAAATGGGGGTGCTGCGGATGCTGAACAGGCTAGACGGTATAAGGAGGAACACAGGGAATGCTATGCCCCCATTGGCAGGAATCCGGGGGAGAGAAATAGAGAGTGGGAAAGACCACGATGGTTGTGACGTTGGCTGACAACTAAACGGGGTCACTGGGTCTTGGTGCCTGAGGCGGCCACAGCTCGCTCACCGCGTCACGTTGACTGCCTGCAGCTCTCCCAGCTCATCGTCCCGTTTATCCTCTTCCTTGTCCTGCCTGCTGCCCATCACTTGTCCATTGACCCCGTCTACGCATCTCTTTCGCCATGTTCCGCAACAACTACGACAATGATGCCGTCACCTTGTAAGCCACTCCCCATGATCATTCCCCTGCTCGGATCCATCCCAGCTGCTAATTCAGGCACAGCTCTCCACAGGGCCGGATATTCCAGGTGGAGTATGCACAGGAAGCCGTGAAGCAAGGATCCGTGGTAGTTGGCCTGGTGAATAAGACACACTCCGTGCTGGTCGGTCTGAAGGTGGGATATACTTGATCACTTCTTCCATCCCATCCTCGGACAGCTGACTGACCACATCAACAGCGCAACGCAGAAGAACTCTCCTCCTACCAGAAAAAAATCATCGAGATCGACTCGCACATGGCGGTGGCCATTGCCGGGCTCGCCTCAGATGCGCGCGTGCTCTCCAACTTCATGAAGCAGCAATCCCTCAGCTCGAAGATGACCTACGGCCGCCCTATCCCGCTGGACCGTATCGTCAACCAGATTGGCGACCGCGCGCAGACCAACACGCAGCAATACGGGAAACGGCCGTACGGCGTCGGACTCCTGGTCGCCGGCGTGGACGCGGCCGGCCCGCACCTGTTCGAGTTCCAGCCTTCGGGCCTGACGCACGAGATGCAGGCGTGTGCGATTGGGGCACGCTCGCAGATGGCTCGTACGTATCTTGAGCGGAATCTGGACAAGTTCACCGATTGTTCTCGTGATGAGCTTGTTACCCATGGCCTGCGGGCGCTCAAGGAGACCCTCTCCCAGGATAAGGAGCTCACGATGGATAATACCTCGGTCGGGGTGGTGGGGCTGGGTCCGAACGGGAAGACGGAGACCTTCAAGCTGTACGAGGGTCAGGATGCGGTGCCGCTGCTGGAGGCGCTGGAGCAGGCCGACTCGGCTGGCGCGGGCGAGGGCGAGTCGATGGAGGTTGATTCATGATTGCGTGTATTGTTTATTGGGTTAATAATTTGCGATAGACATGAAGAAAGGTGTCTTGATCGTTGATTTATTCGTAGCGTTTCTAACCTATCTACATATCTACTCCTGCCCCCAGTTCAGCTGCATCCGCCCACTACTCACCCGATACTCCAACAGCTTCGGCCACACCTCCTCCGCACAGCGCGCCTCAGCCAGGATCTCGCCATTGTCCGCACTGATAAACCCCTGCGCAACGGCATTGCGCACCCAGGCTAGCAGGCCATCCCAGTACCCGTTGATATTCAATAACACCACGCCCACCTTATGGATGCCCAGCTGGTTCCACGTCGTCATCTCCATCACCTCCTCGATGGTCCCAAACCCGCCCGCCAGCGAGACAAACCCAGACCCGGGCCCGCCCTCCAGCACCATGGTGGCCATCGTGCGCTTGCGCGTGTGCATGTCCGGCACAATGGTGGTCACGCCGTACTCGGACTCCGGAATGCCATTGTCCAACGTGTCATCCGACACCACGCGCTCAGCCGCTTTGCCCTCGCCCGAAGCCTCCGGTTGTGGGGGGCCATGAACATCCCCGGTCCTGGCCCCGTTCTTCTTGTTGGCTACCTTCACCAGCGCCCGCGGGATCACGCCGTGCACTGCTTTCGGGCCCGAGAGCGAGACCAGCGTCCGGGCTACCTCGCCCATCAGCCCGGTCGTTCCGCCGCCGTAGACTAGTCGCACGTTGTGCTTGTGGAACTCTTGGGCCAGTGCGCGCGCGGCTGCCATGTGTGTGGGACTATTGCCGGGGCTCGAGCCGCAGCTGTGGTTGTTTCGTTAGCAGGCTAGATTATGAGGATACGTGGGGTATGGTGGGCTACTCACAATACGCAGACGACGGCTGGCTTGTCTTGAGAAGAGGGGGCAGGCATTTTGGTAAGAGGGTTGTTGTAGGTAGAATGCGATACAGGAAGAAGGTCTTTCTCTCGGTCTATGCCAGGGAGGGTGTGAGTCATGAGACAAAAGGAAAGCGGAAGGGAAGAGGCAAGGCTGTGATATGCGATAAGATAAGAACCCACCAGCCGCCGTGTGGTCGAGGCGCGGATATTGACTGGACAGGGATCGTATAGACTCGTATAGATGGACTCCACTGCTCTTGAAAGACAAAACAAAAGGGGTATCATACACGAATCATGAGTTGGCAGCAGCCTTGCTCTTCTTCTTCTTCCCCTTATGCTCCGCCGAGCTTGGCGGCGAACTGCTTTTATCCGACGCTTTCCCCGGCGTTTCCACGCGCACCTGCGGCGTCGACACTCGCCCGGGCGGCCCACCAGATGGGGTATTTGTCCCCGTGGTCGTCGCACCTGGGATTTTGTTGGATGCTGGCTTGGCCGGTCCCGCCGTGCGATCCGTCTCGCCGCCATTCCGCGACAGGATGAACGAGCCCGGCTCGCCCGCTAGCGGATTCTCGTCCATGTATTCGTCGCCGTACCGTGTAAGCAGGTTAATTGCCTCTGCTAGACTCCGTGTGTCCTGGTAGCTGGAGCTGGTGGTCGAGACGCCCAGGCCCGCCTTGGCGGCTGCTTGTGAATCCGGGGCTTCGGGTATAGGAGTGGTTTCTTTACTTTGTTGGGAGGCCTGTTGGGCAGTCGCTGTTGTATCTGTAGCACGCGTGGGTGGCATATAGGTGTGACCGTAGGATGGGGTGAAAGTCGGCAGGGTGGAGGCAGTTTTCATAAGTCGCGATAGAGAAGTGACGGCCGAAAGCTGGGACGAATCAGCGGAGTAGTCATGACAAGAAAGAAAATAGCTTACAATTCGATTTCCCACGACGCTGGCGACCGAGGGCGCCATGTAGATACAGTCGCCGACAACAAAGTACGTCGACAGCACGGTCACCTCGTCGTCCATCCCACTTCGCTTCCGCCGATTTTGTTTCCGAATGACCCAAACATTCGACGGCTCGTGTGCAAAGCGCGTATCGGATTGCGCAGCCGCCTGCAATGGGTCGTAGGCGACGATGAACTCCAGCCCTTGCATGGTCTTCAAACGGTCCTCGAAGGCTTCGCGGGTCTCGACGAAGTGGCGGAAGGCGTCGTTGTAGTTGGCCTGGATGGCGAGCGAGGCATTGTTTGAGGTGGGGTCGAAGAAGGGGGATTCGGCAAAGTAGAAGAGGACTAGAGGGCGCTGTCAGTGCTGGCGGTTGGGTTCGGTGTGGTTGCCATGCTCACTGTTGTTGGAGTGCAGGAAGCCGCCCATCATCTGGACATGAGGCGGCGATCGCCAGAGAATTTCCTCCATGGAGGCATCTTGAGCCATTGTCTTATTAGAAGGATTGTATTGTAGGGAGGAAGAGGGGGAAGAGAAAGAGTTGGAGAGAGAGAGAGAGGTGATGCGGAGAAAGAATCATGTTTAGCTTGTTTGCAGATCTCGCTCTATGCTTCCCCAACACAACAACTATATTTTCTACCTATAAATTGTCTATATTCCACCGAGAAAGATGCCTAATTGAAATTGAAATACTTGAATGGCATCAGAGAGATGAGAAATTGATCACATTGTCTCTCGATACGGACATGGCAAACCGAGTGCTGTCCTTTCAACATGTTGGGCACAGCGAGACATGAGCTCTTTCTTGCCGGGGTTCTTCAATCAAGTTGGCTTAGAATCGCATCGAACCGCAAGCCCGGAAATGTCTGGTTCGAACGCTCTCCGAGGCACTGGTTGTGTCTTAGAGGCGGTCTTTCCTTCCCCGAGGGGAGTATTTGATTGTTTGAAACCGAAGATCGCGGCATGTTTTCCCGTCAGATTCATGGCGCGGCGAGCGACATGGCAGTTGAGGCAATGCTATCATCCCGGCAGATAGTGGCGTAAACAACCATGCCAAGACGGTGTAGCTTGTTCAGCAAATATTCAGCTACCCGTCTCAACAACGAAATAGGGGCCCTTCGTCTTGGACGCCGAGCCAAGGGCATCCCCATCCCAGGCATTGCCATCGGGTCGGTCGTTCTTTGCGATTTGCACGCGCTTCACTCTCTTCCGTCGCCCCGTCACTTGTTCCTGTGCCATGGCATCCTGGAGACGATCCAGCCCAATAGTTGTCTCCTTCACTGCCTCCGGGCTTTCATCGTAGATACTGCGCAGCGGTTCCACGCCAGTCGCGTCCACGCGCTGGATCTCTTTCACGAAGTGGATCTGCGACTCGAGGGTTTGGAGCATGGATCGCTCTTCTTCATCGCTGGCTGGCTGGGGAAGAGCCGATAGACGAAGAAGATGGTGGAGTTGCTTGGGGGTTATTGAGGGCGAGGAGGGTTGTGAGGCTCTGTCAGGCAGCAGGGAGCGGACAGACCAGCTGGGCTCAGCGAGGATCGACTCTAGATCTGCATTGCACTTAGAGGAGGAGAAACGAGAGGACGCTGTGTTCAGCCGACAGAGTGTCAACAATCGAGGACGAGCACTGGCCATCATGGTGGTGGTATATACAGTCGTAGTGATAACAGGAGTTGAATTCACTAATTACTTGGAGAAAACCGGCGGGTGTGCGTCACCGCCCTTGGACCCGCCTTGAGCTCATATCACCTTGGCTCTCCATCTACTATTATTGCCTCGATCACCAACTAACTCCCCTACCCCCAACATGACAGACCCTCGTGTTCTTCTGCAAAAAGTGAGTCGAAACGTCCAAAAGAGACAGCGACGATGGGCTGACCATACTCTCTGCCCAGGCCGACAAAGCGCTCTCCAGCGCCTCTGGTGGCTTTAGCCTGTTCGGCGGACGCACCGAGAAGTACGAGAATGCCGCGGACCTGTACACACAGGCAGCAAATGCCTTTCGAGTCCAGAAACTGAGTGAGACCCGAACTTCTCCCCGGTTCCTATCGTCCACAAAGGTTACTTATACTGACTGACTCATGATTCCGTTCAGACAAGGAAGCCGGTCTAGCTTTCGAGAAAGCCGCCTCCATCCAAGCCCAGAACCTCAACGAGCCCGATGACGCCGCAAACTCAAACCAGGAAGCCTTTAAAGTATACCGCAAGACAGAGCCTGTCGAGGCCGCGCGCGTGCTCTCCGCCGCCATCCAGCACTATGTTCTGCGGGGAAACCTGCGCCGTGCCGCGACGCAGCAGCAGCACTTGGCCGAGGTGTATGAGGTGGAACTGGGTGATACCAAGAAGGCGTTAGAGGCCTACGAACAAGCTGCGGACTGGTTTGAGAGTGATAATGCTGAGGCGTATGCATTGCCCCACCATCCCTCCCCGGAGCTAGTTTGAGGACGGAGAGGAACTAACATTTATTTTATATACAGACTTGCAAACAAGCACTACCTCAAGGTCGCCGATCTGGCTGCCCTGGAAGGGGACTATTACAAATCCATCAATCACTATGAGCGCGTGGGCAAGTCATCCGTCGGGAACAATCTAATGAGGTGGTCCGTGAAGGACTATTTCCTCAAGGCAGGCATCTGCCACCTCGCCACAAAAGTACATCTATTTCTACATTTCTTTTAGCGTCACACTGACCTCCTTTCTTCAGGATTTGGTCGAGTCAGGCCGTGCTCTCGAATCATACCGCGAGCTCGACCCGACCTTTGCTTCGACTAGAGAACACCAACTGCTCGTAGACCTGTTGGAAGCCGTTGAGAAGAATGACCAGGAGTCCTTCTCGGAGAAGCTGTACATGTTTGACCGGATGAGCACACTCGACCAGTGGAAGACGACTATGTTGCTGCGGGTGAAGAGCAATATCGAGGAGGCAGAGGAGGACTTTTCGTAGAGTGGCGGTTCTAGTGCTGGGCACGGAGTGTTCAAGATGCGTCGCAATTGAGCTTTTTTACCTTGTTTGGTTTTGATGATTTGCGCTAGGTACTTCTGGTCTGGAAACGAATGCAGATCAAGGAATCTCTCACACTTTATTCTGCTGGCATCCTTCTACTATACAGCAATGAGCGAATCGACCAAATACGTCTAGACTGGGCTCTAGGGTCTAGGGAAAAAATCGTAATTCATCGTTTCTATTTACCAGATGCTTTTCTTTTTGTAGACACAGTGCTTTGCAGATGGTCTCTCATCGCCTCATGTAGTCAATGGTATCATTTTCATCAGTTTCTTGCCATAAACAACCCGTCCACTTAGACAGCAACAGCATCCTCCAGCGCTTTCGCCTTGCGAGGGAAAACACGCTTGTACAAACTGATACCCACCGAGTCCTGCGGGTTGATCTTCGCATCGAAGGTAGCCTTGAAGTAACCGTGGGTACCAAGGCTCTCCTTGACGAAACCACTGCGGCCCCGACGGGTCCACAGCTGCAGAGCCTTGAACCAGTTGACGTCCTCGGAGTTGAAGAACATGTACCGAACCGTGACGACCTTCTTGTGGATCTTGTACGGGTGGCCCGTGAGGATGGCGCGCTTCGCAACCACACGGCCGTGGTCTGGTGCCACAACGGTTCCGGTACCGATCAGCTCCAGCTGATCCAGAGACAACAGATCCTGGGGGTTGGCGTCTGCCATGTCGAGGACCTCGGGGTCTTCGGGTTTCTTGCTCTTAAAAACGAGGACGGGCACTGCGCCCCAAGTCATGGGCCCGATCCAGGTTGCGATGGCGCTGCGGCCGGGGTGCAGGAAACGGTCAAACTTGTGCACATTGTTGGGTGTGTTGTCGCCGGCCGAGAAGATGGGGTTGACGACCAGTCGACGGGGGCCGACCTGCACAATCAATTCCTCCTTGGACTTGAGGGGCTGCTCGACGCTCCCGTTGAGAGTCATGTTGATGTTGACCACGGTGTGCTTGTGCTCGTGTCGGAGAAGGGAGAAGAGCGCCATTGGTTGCGGTTTGTTGCGAAGAGACGACGGCACTGACTTGAGATGCACATCCACGCGAATGCCCGGGTTGACGCCACCGATCAGAGTTTCACGAAGAATTCTGTTCTTGGCGCCCTTGTAGTCACCGAGCTGGAGCAATCGACGCCAGTCCTCCGGCTCAAACGGACGGTCTTCGGATAGTTCCCATGGGCTGATCTTGAGGTTTTTCAATCCCCGGAAGCGAGCCAGGCGCTCCCTCGCCAGCACGTTGGGGTGCAATTCAATCTCATCGGGGAATTCAAGGTCCTCATTGGCCTCGTTCCGGCGGCTGGCTCGATATTCCTCCAGCTGTTGGGCCTCGTCTTCAGGAGACGGGTCAAGGAACATCTCCGACTGTGGGTACTCGGACGGACCACCCTCGGTCATGGCGTCGTGGTTATCGGGGAACACACCATCTTCGGGTGCTCCGGCGGTATCCATCACCATCTCCTCGTCCTCGTCCTCCAAATCAGACCCAGAATCCGAGACATCGTCAAGGTACCATGCAGACTGGTAGTCGGAAGTACCCTTGGGTAACCGCTTCGGTCGGGCCGGGATATGTGATTCATCGTCCGAAAAGTAGTGGTGCTCGTCAAGCAAAACACCCTTTCGGTCGGTATCGGCCATTGATGGCATGTCGTCGTCCTCCATCTCGATTTCCTCTGGTGCAACCGTAGCCATATCATCCTGATCCGCCGTGGGGCCATCCAGGATCTTGGTGGTCTCGTTGCTGTCGACAGCCATGGCATCATCCCGCTTGTTCTTTGTGCTCGGTAGCGGTGCCGCCGTAATAGATTCAATCTGAAAATCGCCCCAGCCGGGGATATGCGCAATACGGTCTGCCTTCAGACCCTTGCCACGGACAATTCCTGTCACCACAACATCGTCCACCGTCTCCGAGTTCGTTTCTGGCCACTGGACTTGTTCGATAAACATCCAGCTACGCTCATCGCGCCAGCGGATGCCCTTGGGAGTTGCGGTGCAGAGAGAACGAATGATATTTGAGCATTCTTGTCTCGCATCAAGCGACATGACTTTCTCGACTGACGGGAAGAAGTGGTTGATGAAGGATTTCAAAGATGACGCCACCTGCGGCCTCTTCTTTGGCGGGTTCACTTTGTCGAGGCCCTGTACCACCGTCATAACATTGGAGATACCTTGGCTCTCAATTGACCGCAGCAATAGTTCTCCCTCCTCCTCGACCTCAACCTCAGCCGACAGCACCAAAACGACAAAATCAGCCATACGGCAGACATCCAAAGCGCTCAGCAAATCGTATTTGGCCGGAATATACAGCACACTCTGGCGGAAGCGATCGATTCGCACACGAGTCGGTCCATCCGGCGAGACATCAGCGGACACATCAACACTCTCGTTGACTGCACGAATGGCGGCGGCGATATCGATATCGGCGGACAGCGGCACGATAGCGACATGGCGGGGAGCACCATTCTGACCGGTGAAAATACTGGTTGCCTGGGCTTTCTCCTGGTGCTTCACCTGCTGCTTCTGGCGGGCCTGGTTGCGGCGATCGAGCTTCGACATGAGTTGCTGGTGGGGGGTTTTGCGAGTGCCCCGCTCTGCGTATTCGACTTTGCCTGTACGGTGTTAGGGTTAAAATTCAATTGGATAAAGAAAGTGATTGCTGCGTGTCTTACCCTTTGCCTTGTCCTTCAAAGCACTCTTGGAGGCATGCTTGGACTTGTAGGGTTTGTGAGACGCCTTGGTGGTCGAGCGGTGGTGATGCACCGTCTGGGTGGGCGCCATGTTGGCACCGCTAGACCCTTTGAAGCGAAACGGGAGAGAGTCCAGCTTGGTACTGGTCTCTACGAGTAACAGAAGAGAGAATGAGAATGAAGTATTATTATTGTGGGCATCAGCGAAAACAAAAAAAAAAAAAGGTGATCGATAAGAAAACAAAATTTCGGTGGAGGATAAGCGAGCGGTGAGCGCGGATCTTGGCACAATTTTTCTCTTTTAACTAAATCTCATCCAACCACTCTCTTCACCACTGCTCAAAATGGCCGATTCGTCCAAGGCCCTGGCGACGGCTGAAGACCGCGAGGCCAAACAGAGACTACTCGAAGCGCAGAACAAGTACGGACGAGGCAAAGGCATCACAGCCAAGAGCGCAAAGGGAAAGAAGCTGCACGCCAACCTCAAGGCCGTCGAATCCAAGCACAAAGACGCCGTTCTCAAGGCCAAAGATGCGGAGATCCTGCTCGAGCATGATCCCGGGTTCCTCGAGCCTGAGGGTGAGTTGGAGCGGACATACAATGTGCGACAGGATGAGATCCGCGACAGCGTGGGATTGGAAACCGCGAAGAAGGGCTTCGAGCTGAGGCTGAGCGATATGGGCCCCTATCGGATGGACTATACTCGGAACGGTCGCAATCTGCTGCTCGCCGGGCGGAAGGGCCATGTTGCAACGATGGACTGGCGGGACGGCAAACTGGGCTGCGAGCTCCAACTGAATGAGACTGTGCGGGATGCACGGTGGCTGCACAATAACCAGTTCTTTGCCGTGGCACAGAAGAAATATGTCTACATCTATGACCACAACGGCGTCGAGTTGCATTGTCTCAACAAGCATGTGGAGCCGCTTTTCTTGGAATTTCTCCCATATCACTTTCTGCTTGCCAGTGCGGTAGGTTTTTCGGTTTAGCTGTCACGAATCGATGCTAATTTTTTCTCACAGCAAATGAGTGGCTATCTCAAATATACCGATACCTCGATCGGCCAGACCGTCGCCGAGCTGCCTACCCGATTAGGCCGCCCGACCTCCCTCTGCCAGAACCCGTGGAATGCTATCCTGCATGTCGGACATCAAAACGGAACAGTGACACTGTGGTCACCCAATTCGCAGACTGCCCTTGTCAAGGCGCTCGTGCACCGTGGCCCCGTTCGGTCAATGGCAATCGATCGTCAGGGCCGGTATATGGTCTCGACCGGTCAGGATCAGAAGATGAGTGTCTGGGATATCCGAATGTACCGGGAGGTGCATTCGTATTCGTGCTACCAGCCCGGGGCATCTATTTCAATCAGTGACCGCGGTCTGACGGCAGTGGGCTGGGGCACGCAGGTGAGCGTGTGGCGCGGGCTCTTCGACGCGGCGCAGGCGGACCAAGGCAAAGTGCAGAGCCCATACATGGCTTGGGGTGGTGATGGCCAGCGCATCGAGAACCTGCGCTGGTGCCCCTTCGAAGACGTGTTGGGAGTGGCACACGACCAAGGATTCGCCAGTCTGATTGTTCCCGGCGCCGGCGAGCCCAACTTCGACTCGCTGGAAGCGAACCCATACGAGAACGTCAAGCAGCGCCAAGAGCACGAGGTGCACTCGTTGCTCACGAAGCTGCAGCCAGAGATGATCTCTCTCGACCCCAGCATCATCGGCAAACTCGACACAGTCAGCGACCAGAAGCGGCGCGAGCAGCGCAACCCGGACCAGCGGCCCGAGGACCCCATCGAGAAGCTCAAGAACCGTGGCCGCGGCCGCAACAGTGCGCTGCGCAAGTATCTGCGCAAGAAGGGCCGTGGCAATGTCATCGACGAGAAGCGGCTCAAGGCCGAGGCCCTGCGCAAGGAACATGCCGCGCGCTACAGGGAGAAGCAGAAGCAAGAGCGCGAGGATCTCGGTCCGGCTCTCGCTCGGTTTGCCAAGAAGGGCCCCTAGTTGTCACGCTCATGACTTGCATCTCGATATATACACTTGCATTCCTGGCGTTTTTGGTGCGTGCGAGGATTCGGAAAAGCAACCCTTTTGTTCATCATCTGTGTATCATCATGTATCACTTCTTCTCAGAACATATCCACGCATTAACAATAACCTAACTACTTATATCATCTACTCATCCACACTCCCCGACCCTCTCACCGCACCAGCCTTCCACCTCTTCAAACTCTCCTCATAAGCACCACTCCCCTTCCAAGCACTGAGTATCAAGTTAACAATATGCTCCAAACCCTTCCCCTCCTTAACAACCGCAAAAACAGTCGGACCCCCTCACGCATCTTACCCGCATCCCGCTCCATAACCCCCAGATCGGCACCAACCGCCTGCGCAAGGTCAATCTTGTTCACAACCAACAAGTCCGAGCCCGTAATCCCCGGCCCGCCCTTTCGCGGCACCTTGTCGCCGCCCGCTACGTCGATGACATAGATGATGAAATCGGCTAACTCGCGCGAGTAGTTGGCCGCGAGGTTGTCGCCGCCGGACTCGATGAGGAGGAGGTCTGTGGTAAATTGGCGTTGGAGCGTTTGTAGCGCGAGTAGGTTGGCGCTGATGTCTTCGCGCACTGCTGCGTGCGGGCACCCGCCTGTCTCGATGGCCCGGATGCGCTTGGGTGCGAGGGCTTTGTGGCGCGTTAGGAATTCGGCATCCTCGCTGTTTCGGTGCGGTTAGTCTACAGATCATATGGAGTGTGGCGTGAGAGAATATGTCTTACCGAGTGAAAATATCGTTCGTAACAGCTGCGATGTTATACTCATCGCGCAGAGCGTGACACAGCGCTAGCATTAGAGCCGTCTTGCCCGATCCGACGGGTCTGTTGATATGCAATCACTCATTCAGTCCACGGTCCTGCACCCCGCGAGCGAGAAGCAATGGAATACAGATACGCACCCTCCAATTCCAATAGTGAAAGCCCGATCCTTCCAGTCCCGGCCCTCGATCAGAGGCATCTCGCGGTTGGCGTATGAGCCCGGTCCGTCGAGAATCTCGTGCGAGTGGCCGTGGCCGTCGAGGGGGTCGTGGGAGTGGCTTAGGCCGGTGTCGTGGGAGTGTGAGTGTGCCATAGTACCTAGGTAGGTGTTTAGATATTCGGTTGTTGATATGGCGAGGAGGAATCAATGATCAAGTCAGCCGTTGAAGAGACAAAAGTAGGAGAGGCAGTGGAGCGAGGGGGGGTATTATTGATAACTGATAACGCTGGAATGCCGAGCGGCCGCACTATTTTGGCCGATGGCCGAGGCCGACGGAGCTGGCCGATGATTTACAAGAACTACAAGTACGATGGACTCAACGGCAACACGTATATGTGGTGGATTCGTCAAAATAATGCGGAGGACAGAGAGGTGTAAGCGGAGCGCAATTCATCAGGCACTCCGCTGAAACCACACCGGCACATCACAAGACGTAGCTCCAGAGGGGAAAAACCCCCCATCAAGACTAGAAGCCCGACGCCCGACAGTTCCATCGCCAATCAACCAACACGGATATCAAGAAGTTTGACCGTCAAAGAGAACAAGAAGAAAACAAATGACAGCGCTATCACACGAACCGCGAAGATAGTCAAAACAAAAAACCACAATAAAGATCAAAGTCGTCAAATCCCGAGCAGAAACAGAGAAATCACGCATGCACCAATGTGAGATGATGACAGATCCCGGGCCAACCAAAATAAACGCTGAAAAGGGAGATAGAGTACAACATTAGGGTCGGAGTCGATCCAGTTGCTGAGGCCGGACGCCATAGAAGGAAGCAATTGAACCCTCATATCGACTGGCAATATAGTATCGTCGTCAGGATAAGCCGAAAATGGGAAAACAGGAGATCTTTCAATGGGCCGTCATTGCCAAAAAACGCAAAAAGGGTCGAGGGGGGATAACCTCGCCCGGATATCCAAATCCAAATCGTACGCCAAACCCCTTGACACGATGAACAGAAATGACAGAAAACCATGCAACATCAACATCACGCGACTTGTCCTTTTTGTCGCTTGGGAACTCGAGGACTAGGCTTAATCTTGCCGGAACCGGGGCCAGTACCGTTGACCTCGTTCCCGCCAGCGTCCTCACCTTCCATCTTGACGGTACTCGCGCGGCGACGTTTGTTACCACCGACATTAGGGCTGTTGCCCACACCCACTGGAGAAGGTTGCATAGGCGGCTGCATCCCCGGAGGACCAGCCATTTGACTCTGAGCCGGGCTAGCATGTCCCGAACCGACCATGTGAGGAGAACCTTGGGCACCAGGAAGACCAAGATGCGCCATAGCGGGGGACGCAAACTGCGTTGGAGTATTCATATTTGGACCGCGCATATTAGGCCCAGGCTGCATTCCTGGGTTCATAGGACCCGGTATGAATCCGGCGTTAGGATTGTGTGTTTGGAGCGTATTGACGAGATTCCGGAGAGCTTCGGGGGGAGACATCTGGGGGTTCGATTGCGAGAACTGGAAGAGCATTTGCATCTGAGAGATCGTCTCGGCCACCTCCAAAAAGCCCATTACCGGAGTAGGGACGCCATTGGCAGTCACCATGGACTCTGGTAGCGATGGTGGGACTTGCTGAGCGCCCTTCTGAGTGCGCTTAGCATTCTTGGGGACTTTGGGGCTGTTCCTCAAGTCATTCTCCAATGCTTGCACCTGGCTCCGGGGGATGAATTCATTGTGACTGGTAACAATAATATCAAGCATCTCAATCTTGTTGTTCACATCGAAATGTGCACGCAGCGTCCCATTGGTGAAGAGCTGGCAATCATTGGCAAACCAGTAGATAAATGAGGTTCGAGGACTCTCCACTATGTGGCCGCCGTTGGGTGAATCCCGCTCACGGGCACCTTCGACCACCATCTGAATGTGACGGATTCCACTCGTAAATTGGGTCAGATAGTATCGCGCCAGGGCTGGCGTCGCGATTTCAAACTGTTTTGATCCAGCCTGAGGATTGAACACACCCTGTCGCAAGACGCCACCCGGAGAATAGAATCGATCGACAAACGATTGCCAATACATGAGATCGTGAGTTTCGCCACGACTCTGGAAGCTGCTCAGATGTTCCGCAAACATGTTGAGATATAAAATGGTTGCACCCTTCATGCTCATCCGTTGCTGCTGCTGCTGCTGCATCATCATAGCATTGGCGTTTTGTTGCTGCGCCTTCAGTTGGGCCTCCTGTGCAGTCATCGCTTGCTGATTCGGCGGGCCGGAGTGTTGGACCTGCTGGCCCTGACCACCTTGTTGGGGTTGTTGCTGCGCACCAGGCTGCGGCTGTCCTTGCTGGGGAGTGGGCAGCTGCTGCGTCGGCGGGTTTGGAGTAGCCTGGGCTTGTGGGGGGCCTCCTGCCGACTGCGGTGGTGGTTGGCTAGACGGCGGTTGAGGAGTTTGGTGTGGCTGGGGAGTGCCGTTATTTGGTGGCAGGCCATGCTGTGATTGAGGAGTGCCGACCTGTCCCTCGTGCATGTTCGGGGGTTGTGCCGAGCCGCGCTGCTGTGGCGTGTTCCGACCCGGCTGGTTACCCTGTTGGGCTTGCTGGGCTTGCTGGGCTTGGTGTGCTTGGTGTGCTTGCTGCGCCTGCGCCTGCTGGATCGCAAAAAGCTGCTGTTGCTGCTGGATGTTCTGTGGCTGGCCATGAGGCATCTGCTGCTGCATGTGCATCATATTGATGGGCCGCATCCCCGGATTTTGCTGCATCGCAGCCATTTGAGCTGCGGATAGCCCTTGGCTTAGCCCTTGGGTACCATTTGGTAGGCCGCCATGTCCCTGCTGCTGCTGTTGTTGCTGCTGTTGCTGTTGCTGTTGCTGCTGTTGCTGCTGGTACATCAAACGTTGGCGCATGAACTGCTGCTGTTGGTGCTGCTGTAGCAACTGCGGGTTGTTTGCAACTGAAGGTTGGGACGAGTAGTTAGTATGCGATCAGACGAAAATACGGGGGCAGGGAGGGAAACAAGAAAGCGATCGCGGCGGCAGCCAATCGCACTAGCGAGGCAGAAGGCGGCCGATGGGTAAGTACTCACAATTTTGGGGGAAGCCCTGCTGCTGGAACAAGTGCGCTTGCGCGGGGTTCAGATGGGAGAGAGCGTGAGCGTTGGGCACGGGGCCGCCAGCGGTGCCGCCCGTAGGCATTCCACCCATCATGGGGCCCGCCTGGCTAACCTGAGGGCCGCCTGGGGCAGAAACACCAGGATGCATCTGTTGCACCATTCCAGGCCCGGGGTGTCCGGCGTTGGGATGTTGCGCGGCCATTGGATGACCTGGGGGCAGCCCGTGCTGCGGCATGCCTTGGTGGGCGGGAAACGGTTGCGCCATCATCATTGCTGAGCGACGAAGTCACCACCGCGGGGAGACTTCGAGGAAATCGCGTTGGCGATGGGGAGCGACGAGGCGTGGAACCTCGCGAACGCGCCCGGGGGTGGGAAGACAACCGCTTTTAGCGTCGGGGCGGAGGGCCAAGACACAGGCAGAGCGACTCAGGCCGGGAGTAGACGCGAAGGCTGAAGCATCGATCGGGTCTCAGCCTGTCCTAGTCACTCTGACCCTCTCACCTCGATGAAGGCGAGGACTTTTTTCCGACTCCTGGTGGTGGTTGGGGGAAGAGTCAGTGGGGAGGTGAGAGAGATAAGAGGGAGCTGGCTCTCGGGGGGAAGGAGCCAGAACGGGGCGGATGTTAGGGGAAAGACGGTGGAGGGGCTGGGGGGGACGGGGGAGGCCTGGGTTCGATACTCACCACTCTTTGAGTGAAAATAGCGAGTCGAAAGAGTCGAATGGGAATGGGGTTAGGGGACGAGGGAAGAGAAAGAGAGAGAGAGTCGCGATCGGCCTGGGTGGAAGGATGATCGCCCTGGTGGGAGCGAAAGAGCGAGACTGGGGAACCGGGCAGCCGTGGAGAGAATGAACCGAGGGAGCCGGACACCACCACAATAATGGAATCGATCAGGGATAGAGATAATCGATCTCCTGTCGAGATAGATACTCACTCACTCCCAGTCTGTGAGGCTTTTTAATCCCTTTTCCTCTCCCGATTCCAAATCCATACGGCGCTAGTCCCCGATGGATCACGTAATGGATCACGTGATCCAGAAGACTTTGCCGGTGCTTTTTTTATTTTCTCTCTCGCTTTCTTTCTCTTTTCCTTTCACCTCTTCTCCCTCCCATCGGACGGTTGATCTGGGGAGGATGTGACTTAATGCTGTGATGATGTCTTACGCTCATGCCTCTCGCCACCACTAACACCCTGGTCAGGCTACCCTGACAGCTCACCATCCTTCTGTAAGTCCCAACGCTTTGTTTGTTTCGGAGTCGCTGTTCGAGGATGACAACCCTTTTTTACTTCTTTACCTTCCAAGTCGACCATGACGAGAGAATTCGGACCTTCCTTCGCCGGTTGGTCTGCTACTTGCCAGTACATGTTGTCTGAGAACTCATTTGCCAGCGCTGCATGCATTCTTGTTCCATGCCACATTCGAGGTGAACGTCTGCTGATCTCGCTGTCTCTAGGTCGCCAATTCGTTGGATGGTGGTTAGCCTGCGCGAGGAAACATATGTAGTTGAATTAGCGTACAATTAATCTGTCGTTCGAATCTTTTTTTTCCCTCTATCCTAGTTTTAATTAGGTTGGCCGAGCTGCGTAAACCTTCCAATCCTGGACGAAGATCGTCGGAGGACGGGCCGCTGTCATGCAACTTAGTCAGAACTTCGTGGCGATACCGACGAGGATACGCATTATTATCCTGGGAATAAGTTACTCGCCATCTGTTCAATACTACCCGCCATGAGGGCACCAGCGATGCGACAGATCCATCTCTCCAAGAGATATATCACGTGATATAGAGATGTCTCTGCGGGAGAAAAGCGGTCGACCGTCAATTCTCACACCTGCGTCCCTCGCGGCCGATGCGTCTCATCGATCTCCGCGACTTCACCCCCTGATTCCGGTGGCATCTTTGACCCCGGATGTATCGGTCAATGCAACAGACCCGGCTGCTAGTGCTCGCACGCCCGTGTCGCTTCGTCGCCCGCCGCCGGTATCCCGTGCTTCCGTCCGCGGTCTCGCGTCAATTCCACTCGTCTCGAATCGCTCTCTCGTCACCGCCACAGGGGTCTCATGATAGTGGGTCAGCAGTCCCCGAGGACCCCTCGGAGGAGGGCCCATCGCCCAACTCGGAGGGCGATATCTTGAACGATGCGCCGCTAGCGGCACCAGCATCCGCCGAACAGTCAATTAGGTTGGGGTCGAGGCCATACGGGTCTGCTGTGCGCAGAGCCTTGAGGAATAGGAAGCCAAGTCGCCAATACTCCCCGCCAGTCGCTACCGTCCCCAACTGGTTCCATGAGCGCAATACGGTGACATACAACACCCACAACCCTTCGACGGCGCAATCACAACATCAGGTTGGAATAGCAAAATCAGCAGTGGGGACTGGAGAAACAGCGGGAAGCCAGACCTCCGGGGGCGATCGAGGAGATCCTAATTCAACCGATCCTCCAACATCAGACAATCGCTACGCGGTGGCTGAGAGCTCGTGGGAGGGTCTTCGGGCTTCTGTCAAAGCAGGCCTGCAACTACCGCCAGCCAAGTATGCCAAAGAACCATCAGCAAACCGGTCCCATCTTGTTCTTCAATACCCGGGATCAAATGGAATCTTGTTCTTGGACGCGGTGGTGAAGAGGCTCACCCATGAGCTGAGTACCGATCTGGTGACGCTCAATGCCCAGGATATTGCCCAACTCTTCAGCGAGCAAGATCTTGCAGAACTCGGCATGACATCGCCTATTCGGTCTCTTGGATATGACGTGTACCGGCCTGCGTTCGGCCCAGGTCGACCAGAACAAGAGAACACGGAGGTAGATGACGAGGAGGATATGAGCGAATCATCTGGTCTTCCTCGAGATATCAGTGCGGCCATCAACACGCCCCGAATTATCACGATCGAGGGCCGGGGATCGGGCGATATTCGGCTCCCGTCTCTTTTCGGTCTGAAGTCGCTCATGGCACCATCCATGACTGGCGCTTCAGACCAAGAACCAATAATGTCTCGCCAAGCAGGCCAACGCATTGAGCATCGCTGGTCGCGACTGGTCAATGAGCTCCTTTCATCTTCGGGCCGACCACAGCCTTCGTCTTCCAGCGAGCAAGAGACAGAGGCACCAGCAGGGGGCGCAACGCTCTCGCCATCTCACGACCTCATTGTTCATGTACAGGATTATCGTGATATCCAGGGCACCGAGGAAGGCGCCAAGTTTATCTCACTGCTACAAAAAGCTATTCAAGAAAGGAGAGAAGCAGGTTCAAAAATTCTGCTGATCGGAACTGTCTCTGAAGAACCCCAACCTTTTCTGTTTGATGATCATTCCGCAAAGCCTTTGCTCGTCACTCCTGCCATGGGTGCAAAGGCTGCCGAGAAAACTTTTATGGAGGATCAGAAGAAGCGCACAAGAGACATCAACATCCGTCATCTACAGAGCATGCTGCGGTTCCGGCTCAATGAACAGGATTCGCCTCTAGAAGACGACATCTTTGGCGAGCGCGTCTGGCCGCTGGATTCGTCGACGATCAACGAATCTGGCCTTGAGGACCGCTACTGGACCTACAGTCAAGTACATTGGATCGCAAATCTTGCTCTGGGCTGCGTGGAGGCCAACGAGACATTTGGTTTCCAGCATATTTCAAAGGGCATTGGGCTTATGAACAAAGGTGAGCAAATCACAAAGGAGTGGTTGCAAGAAAAATCGCCCAAGTCGAAGGAGTCCGGAGCTGCACAGACCCGGGAGCAATTGTTGAGCTCATTGCGCAAAACATGCAATACGCATGAGAAGAAGCTGCTCAATGGTGTGGTTGATGCGAAGAGCATCCGAACCACGTTCGAGGATGTCCATGTGCCGGAGGAGACCATTGATGCCCTCAAGACGCTGACCTCTCTCTCCCTGATTCGACCGGAGGCCTTCACCTATGGCGTCCTGGCCACCGACAAAATTCCCGGGCTTCTTCTCTATGGTCCCCCCGGTACCGGTAAGACGCTTCTTGCCAAGGCTGTTGCACGTGAAAGCGGAGCCACGGTCCTCGAGGTCAGCGGATCTGAAGTATACGACATGTACGTTGGAGAAGGCGAGAAGAACGTCAAGGCCATCTTCACCCTCGCCAAGAAACTGAGCCCATGCGTGGTCTTTATTGATGAGGCAGATGCCATCTTCTGCTCGCGCACCGGAGCCAGCAGCCGCACGTCGCACCGCGAGCTGATCAACCAGTTCTTGCGCGAGTGGGACGGCATGAACGACCTTTCCGCCTTTATCATGGTCGCCACCAATCGACCTTTTGATCTGGATGATGCTGTGCTCCGCCGTCTCCCGCGTCGACTCCTGGTGGACCTGCCGACGGAAGAAGACCGCCTTGCCATCCTGAAGATTCATCTGAAGGAGGAACATATTGATCCCTCGGTGGATTTCGCTGAGCTGGCCCGTCGCACACCGCTTTATTCTGGTTCCGACTTGAAGAATCTGTCCGTGGCCGCAGCGCTGGCCTGCGTTCGAGAGGAGAACGACGCGGCGGCGCAGCATCAGGGCAAGGAACCGTACAGCTACCCGGAGCGGCGTACATTGACCCGGGCGCATTTTGAGAAGGGCATGGAAGAAATCAGTGCGTCTATTAGCGAAGACATGTCTTCGCTGTCGGCGATCCGCAAGTTCGACGAACAGTACGGCGATCGGAAGGGCCGGCGGCAGAAGAGCTCAGGCTGGGGTTTCACGCCCGCCAGTGGCGAGGAGAAGGTCGACTCAGCGCGAGTTCGCACATGAAAGGCTGATTTTTCTTTTGTATTTGCAAAGAGGATGTACGATTAGCGACTTAGAGTGTACCAATACCACCGCATCCGTATATAGATCGAGTGGGGCACGTGCCCCCGAGCACTGACATCGGCATCGCGCACTCTCCACCTCCGCCACCAACCTTCCCTCCCCCTCCCTCTGTCTCTCTCTTACTCTCTGCTCACCACTCACTAGAGGAGCCCGGGAATCCGATTTCCCACCTCTCGGTGCCAGAAACCGGGTAGCTGGCTCTTCGCCATTGAAATCTTGAATCCGTTCGCACTGCCTGCAGGACTGCTTGCTTCCCCTCACACGACCAACTCAAAAAAATCCCCCGCCAGCAATATCACAACCCCGACAGCTTTCCCCGCATTCCACCACCAGGCATGTCGTCCACTCTACCCACCGAAACCCGCGACGCGGCCATCCGCAACGCGAAGCTCTTCGTTCGCGAGGTCGTCCGCAATGACTGGGAATTTGAGCTTTCGGCCGTTCCCGACGGTGCCCACTCCACTACCTCCCCCTCCACCACCAAACCCCTCTCCAGCGCTCTAACCAACAACCGCGAGGCGGTCGAATGGCGCGAGAGAGAATTCGATAGCTCCGGCTCGGAGCTGGAACCCCAATCGTCCGACCATGATCTGGATCTCGAGACGCCCAGTGCTCTGAAGGCAGCGGGTGATTTGGAGATCGAGAGGCGGCGGAAGCGTCGTCGCCAAATGGAGGAGGAGATGGCGTGGAATGAGGGACTACGGGTGTGGCTCGCTAGGCGGGATGCGTGGTCTGGGGCCAGGACGAAACGGCAGATCCGCGCGCATGAGAAGCGGAGGGTTGCTGCTGGTGGTGCGGATGAGAAACAAGTGGAGTCAGCAACAGACGAAAGTAGAAGTTCGAAAGACAGTGAAGTGGTTGCAACTGAGACACCTGCGGAGACTGTCACAGACGGTGATGTCCATGACGATGACGACAAGACGACTGCCGTCCAAGCTGCGAAGGCAGAAGAGACCCTCAGCATTGCAGACCACGACCAACCCCGCGAGGAACCCTCCCAGCACCGCCAAGACCAAGAAGAAGAACAGTCCACAGCACCAGACGAGGAAACCAAACGCAAGGGCTCCATCGAAACAAGCATCACCGAGCCAGATCAACACGCACCCCTAGGCGCCGATACAGCAGCCGCCGACTCCGAGGAAGACGAACTCGACGAGCCTCTGCTCCCCGTAGCACCACCCTTCATCTCAGCCTCGAACCCTATCCGCGCCGGCATCAACACCTCCATCTACCCATCCATCTACACGAAAGTCGTCGTCCAGGGCATGACCCCCACCGTGCCCGTCAACCTCGCCGACCTAACCAAAGCAATGGTGCAAGGCTGGAAGACAGACGGCCAATGGCCACCCAAACCGGCGGTGTCCAACATCGTCCTCGCGGACGACGCGTCCATCCCGAAGAAAGACAAAGACGCTGATCGCGCGGCCGGTGACCGTCCCGCACGCAGGAAGGATAGCATCACCAGTGCCGTGCGCAAGGTCTTCCACATGGGCTCGCATGCGTTTCATCGTCGTGGCTCCAGTAGTCATGATGCTAATTCTGGTGGAGCCGGTAGTGCGTCGGGGCATCGCGTTTGATTTGATTCATTTTCAGATAACAGGGACGGGATTTGCGTCGTTGCTTGCATAGCCATTCGAAGCGTTGAGAATTGGGGTTTTGGTTTCTCGTACATGTGTGTTTCTTGGGGAATCGGTGGGCGTTGTTCCAATTTTCCTGCCATTTTCTCTCTGAGTCTTGTGCTTAGGCGTCCATTTGGCGCGGTGCTGGGGACATCTCGATATTTAGTATTTATGGTTCATCCATGAGACTGCGGCTACATACTGCGGCTGCTCCTGTCTTCTCTTCATCTTTTCGATCCCATCCTGCTCCCTTTCGAGCTTCATGCCGCTGTATCGAACTTCTAATGCTTGGTCATCTCTTGCACATCTTCTGAAGCAAAGCCCTACGTTCAGGGCTATCTACTTTGGGGAGTTCCTTTGCCAGCTCTTGACTTTCCCCTTCCGTTTTAGTTCTCAGGCCTGGCCGCTTTTTGCTCAGAAGGTTGGGATGTCGCTGTGCTTCAGTTTGTGGGTGAGCACTTGGAACGTCTCCCGCGGCAAGTGGTGAGAAGAATCTATAGTTGCACACGCGGCCACGGAACGGCGTGGTTGGTTTCTGTGTTTTTTGTCGGTGTTAACAAATTTTACTTGCTTCCATCCGCCATTTATAACCTGTGGCATCGTCTGGGAGACTGCAGCTAAATTTCAGGTAGACATCCCGGGTGCTCTTTCGAACCACGGCACGAATAGACGTATAAAGTAAGACTCCTCCTGGTCCAAAAAAGCATATATGAGACAAGAAAGGATTGCAGGCTACCGTATAACGTAATAGAAATATCATAATTTTTCCCTAGCCGATTGTTAAATCCTATACTTCGGCGAAACGCTTACAAAAGGAAACGCCTATAGTTCTATGGTTTGAATCCGTTAAAACCAAAATGAAGCGAGTCAAACCCGGACTCTCCCCGAAAATACACAGAACTAGATCCATCAATCCATATTAAGATCACTCACTACGGTACGCAGGAGTAATATCAGGCTCAGTAGCAGTTTGCATAACAACGTGAAACAGATATGCATTGGAATACGTATATGTAGTATTAGTCGTATAAACGTCTATGTTAGAGCACCTTCACATAGTGTCTCTGCACCAAACACACACAAAAGAGGAACAAAGTTGCGTCCCGTCAACCACAGAAAGGTTTGAGCGTGAAAAACATATTTGGCTCTGGGAAGCCATCAAGCCAGAATACCGATATACTTTCAATGGTCTTCCAACCCAGCCCAGCAGGATAATCTTTCAGAAGATACAGGACTCCAACGCCATTAGGTGTTGCGAGTGCAGCATAAAATTGTTCATCGTCCGGTGTCCACGTGGTGACTATCGAGGTTCCGACTTGGTCGTATTTCTTGGCTTTTGCAGCGATCATTGCTGCATCTAGGGCCTTTTTGGTTTGAGCGTTGATGATGTGGTCTCGGAAAATGTAATCAAGCCCCGATGGGTCTTGATTGTTAGCTTGCCTACAAGCCTGCTTCCAAAGATACCATGTCACGGCGGACCATCGGTCTGGGGCAGGCGCCGCGGCACCGACTACGTGTCCATAGTTGTTTTTTGCGATAATGGCGCCTATTGAGGGTGACATAGCGTTCGTGTAATAGATTCGACTGTCTGTTTTAAGATTTGCTGTGATGGACAGAAATTTCTGTTGGGTATTGAGTCCGGCTTTTTGCATAGCGAACTGCGCAGTCGCGGGCGCCGAGATGATATTGAGCGAACGAGCCTCCCATCTTGAGTCGAAGTCGATTGTAGCAACATCAGCCGCATCAGGGTTTTGCAGGACGGTTTGCAGCTCCTCCCAATAACCACGGCCTTTTCCGACATATTTCTCGTAGAGATCATTGGAGTCGTCTCGCGGAGATAAGATACCCGGTTCAGAAGCTGATTCTGTCGAAGCTTTTCCTAGAACAGCTGCTTGGGTTACAGCCGAGAGAGCTGTAATTGCAGCGAAGAGGGATAATTTCATGATGGGCACTTAATGAGACGGTGATTGGGCATCGGAAGAGGTGATTGCAGACTTCGCCGCTATCAACGCGAGGTAGAAGAAAACAAAAGGTGCTGGGGCGACAGGTCCAGGTCGCGTACAAGAATCGCCCATATAATTCGAAGAGTGGCGCGGAACTAAATAGGGGCTATAGTGCCAAAGTTAGTCGTATACTCGCCTCAAAGTCAGCAGCCCCAAACTGCTGCACAGCTGTGGGCTCTCGCCCCTTCTTAATGATACCCATCAAACTAATCAAAATGAAGGAACACTCCCCTTTCTTGACGCCAGAAGGGGGCCAAGGTCAAAAGCTCCTTCCTCATATAGTACGCAATGGCATCATGAACGTAATTCGTCTTATCGTCCGATTCTGATCAAAGCTCGTATGGACCAAAGCAGCTCACCAGTTCTATAAGGAGCTTTATTTGAAAGAGAGTGAACTGAGGAGACAGTGTGAGGAACAAAAAGACATCCACTCGGAGAAAATTGTCCGATTCACTTCCTTAAATCTCTACGATCTTTGCTTTGCCGATTATCCTTCGCGCGCTAGGTAACATGGCGTGGTAGGGAAATAATGGGATGTAATAAACAGATATGACATAAGTCACCTTAGTAGTTCATACCATGTCATCTAGTGTCTGGATCTGATACTCTCTCTTTCCCTCATATACATTCTTCTCAAGCAACCCACAGACAAAACACACAAATCCCATCCAGTTCGTTTATACAAGCCATATATAATGTAACATAATCACCCACTAATCCAGCAGCTCCAAGCCCTTCACCCGATCCAAGAACCACCGCGCAGCAACATCCAACCCACGCCTCGCCTCCTCCGCATTCTCCACAACTGTCGCGAGTCTAGACTCAAGCGTAACCTCCTGCTGTCTCGCCGCGCCGCGCCGAGTAATGTAGTACTTCCCTTGATGTCGAGACCAGCTTGCGAGATAGGACTGGAGTTCCTTGCCGGCGAGACGAGCCGCCTCAGGAAGGAAGGCGGGAAGTCTTCCAGACGACGATGATGAGGTCGGGCCGGGGGGTGCTGGAGGTTGAATTGCGGCGATGGCTGCAGTAGGATCGAAACCGGGCTCGACCGTGGGTGTTGTTGGATTTGTGCTGATAGGAGACGTCGTCACAATCACGGCTTGAGCAAAGTCGCGGAACCAGCGCATTTGATCGATGGCTTCATCGATGGCGGGTCCTTCTACTGCAATTCGCGCGGGCACAGCGTCGATGATACGGTCGATGTAGTCCAGGACGATGAGAGAGGAAGAGAACATGTCCATGTAAGATGATAGCGTGGAGAGGACGGCCGAATCATTAAATCTCTCGGGAGAAGTCGAAAGGGAGCGCAGAGCCCGATGCGACGCCCGAAACACGCTGGTGAAGATAGTCGCGATGGACAAGACACAAGCAGAGTCTGCAGTATCTATGTTGCACAGCAGGTCCTTGAAGAGGAGGGTGACTGTCTGTATGATAGGCCGGCTGAGAAGCCAGGCCGCGCCATTGCTGAATGCCAGTTCGAGGTAGGCGGGGAACACGCACTGCAACAGAGTAGCACGCAGCGTTGGTCTTCCTGGGATACCCGCTTCGAAGGTGTCTTTCATAGATGTATGCAGCTGTTCGACCAGGTAGCTCTGCTCGCCGTCGATGGCAGCGCGCTCGGAGATGCTCTGGATGAACATGGTCAGAGTCTTGACCTCCCGATCGGATGAGAGCTTCGTCTCGTAAGCTTTGAGCTTGGCGACGATGTACAGCGGGTCTGTGGACGGGAGAGGAAACGAGGACGGGTTCGTGAAGAATTGATCGATGGGCTCGATGTCACTGGTGTATTGTTGCAGGAACTGGATGACGCGGTGCACGAAGTCGATGTAGGCACCCTGGACGGGTTCTTCTGTTGCGTTGCCCAGTTCTTGGTAATTCTTCTTCATCGCTGTCATCAATCGTTGCAGAAGTTCTCGATACCCTTGCTTTGTGACGTTGATGTCTCGCTGCAGCGATTCTCGACGCTCTCGCTTTTGCCCGTCCAGGTCTCGACTGCCCATGGGCTTCATGTTCCGGAGTTGTTCGTTCATGACTTGGAGATGCTCGCGCATATTAGAGAGCAGGCTGGAAATAAGGGATAGTCTTCGTTGGCCAAATTCTTCGAGCGTGATGGCATATTGATCATTCTTGTGGTCCTTAAAGAACGGCAGGTTTTCCAGTAGAGGATCATTGGGGCTTTCGTTCAAGAGCGCTTCCGTGAGGCGATGTTGGAACTTGAGCATAGAAGACCGCTCGACGAGGGAGGACATCCACATTTCGAGGACCTGCAGTCGACAATCGAAAAGGAAGCGGGAGTCTTTCTCAATGCAGGAAGCGACAAACTGCGGCGTGAACTTTCGGGTCTGGATTGTCGATAAGAGATTGGCCCAGGAGAGACCATCGTAACGATCCAGGTACGTCTCCCAGTGTCGAAGCCCATAGCGGACCAGAATCTGGGCGATTGATGTCCAGCAGTCGACCACGTTGACTAGGATGGCATCCTCGGGACAGTGGTCTGCACCAAAGCAGTTCGAAACAAGCGGTGCGACAGCTGGGAGGCACACGTTTTCCACGTATTTGATAGCGTCGCTCAGTGAGGTTTCTTGTCCGTATGCGGCCTCGATTGCCGTCCAATCACCATACTCTTGGCTGTCATCTTCAGTAGAAACCGCAGCAGGTGGTTTGGCATTGTCTTTGTCTTTGCGGATGTACGCTATGATCACCTGCAAAGTCCCCGACACAACAACATTGACCCGCTCAAGTTTGGGATCGAACAATCCAAGCAGCAACTCGAACGGAAGCCTGGAAATAATCTGGTGCGCATGATCCAGGGAAGGTGCCAATTCGACTGCAACCTTCATCGCATTGAGTGCAGTGTTGAGCAAAGACTCGATGTGGCGCTGGTTCTGAGCAATCGTCTTCTCGATGAGCTCCTTCGAGACCTGGTTGTTCCCTTTGCTTTGCGACTCGATCTCTGTGCGAGCAAGGGACCGCTGCTTCAGAAGCTCTGTCACGAAATAGCCGTGCCAGTCTGCAAACGGGACCAGGTCGGACAGATCTTCATTTGTCGACAATTTGAATCGAACGAGTCGAGCCCATGACCGAAGGCTGATGCTGCAGGTTTCGCGGTGCGAACGAGCTGGATCCACTAGGTTGCGAATTGAATCCAGACGAGGTCGACATCCTTCAGGTGCAGCCCAGTACAGAGTCGAGAGGAGGTCATGGTGGTTTCTCAGTGCATCGAGATCCTCATGACGCAGCTCCTGTTCCTTCGGATACACGCGGCCGTGATTGGGTAGCAGACGCCAGACGAACCCCAGAATTTTCTTCTTGGGAAATTTTTCTGTCAAGAAGGGCAGACCGCGTGCTATGATTTTCAGCAGGGTATGGAAGCAGGGTTCACCGGGTCGAACATGCAAGGAAGGCTTGCCGTCAAGCTCGTCGAGGAATGAGGGTGAGCCGAAAGTCTCCTCCAGCTTGAGATTATAGAGCGTCTTTCTGGCGAAGAAGTCGTAGAGCGTGTCAAGGATAGGCTTGCAGTCTCGCCAACCCCAGGCGCTGAGCAGATGATAGCACCTATGGAAAACTGTTCGGCAATATGTGTTGAATGAGAATGTATGCGTCACGGAGTTGGCATCGGCATGGTCCAGAACCGGTGACAAAAGCTGTTTGACAAGCTTCCAGTTGTCATCCGCCCCTTGAAATCTGGATCCTCGGCGCAAGATACCAAATTGATCGATCTCATTGAGAGGTAAGACCGTAAATAGACCACGCCACCCGTTCTCTAAAATCCCTACATCCTTTGTGCTTTGCAAGCCGCCATTGATGCAAGCTTCGGTCTGCATGTCCTTAAACCAGCCACAGTATCTTTCTGAACTGTGCACGAGATGCTTGGTGATAACATAAGCTTCCACCAATGGGAAATCTTCGCGAATGCCACATTCTCGCCGCTCGGTCTTCTTGTTCTCGTCCAAAAATCGCTGCAATTGGGACAGGTTTTCTTTATCTGATATCAAAATACCGACATCCTTGATCAAAGTGTTGACAAGCGCGAGTAATTCATCCGCAAGTGTGTTATCAACCAGAGAATGCGTCGCGATCTGATAAACCTGGTTAGCGAAGACCGGGCCATATGACGCTACTTTCACCAGGGCACTTTTATTGCACTCCTCGCCGGCGCAGAAAGGAGCCAAAGAGTCCCTTAATTTTGAAATCAGGCTCTGTGCTCGTGTGACAAAAGCAGTCCGGTCGACAGGGTCCATGAACGTCAAATACGACGTCACATATTTGATCAAGGACCTATATATGGTGACCGCCGAGTCCAGTGCTTGCCCGGGGACTGTGTCGGGAGAGACGGAAGTGTTGGATTCAATTTGAACAATCATGGCATCGAACGCATGCCCCATATCGGAGGACACCATATCGTTCCAAGCACCCCAGCGGAAGGACTGGTCCTTGACATGAACAAATAGATGCCCAGCATCCCGATCCAGGTCCCGCTTCAGCACATCGAGAGATCGAGCAAATTCTCCACTTCCGATGAAAGTAGATTCATGAAAGAAAGTGCCAGCCTGCAAGGGCATGATCCCGAAATCCACTGAGTAAGAACGTTGCCAATTGAACAGTCCACCTATGTTCTGAAACGAAGGGCGCGCATGTCCAGCTGGGGTGGCCGTGGGGGTCGGGTCATCGGCAATAATCGCCGCGGGTTCTTGTTGTTCGTAAAAGCCGTCCGAGTCAAGATTGATGCGATTGGGAGTACGCTTCTTTAATCGACGATGAGAGGGCTGGAGAGGTGTGGTTGACTGCTCACTTCTCGTTTCCGTCTGAGGCGCCACAGCGGTTTTGGAGGTTTGGTTGGTTGCAGGGTTTGATCCATTGTCAGTGAGGTATCGATCTAGAGTCAGACTAGGCCGATAGGGTTTTGATGTGGGCTGGTGCCTGTAGTTTCGATTAAGCATGGAAAGAGATTTGTGGAAATGGGCTGATGAAGGCTGGCTGCCCTGGCCTGCCGCAGGACGAGGATCGTTTCGTCTGAGTGATGTTATTGCAACATTTCTGCGAACAACCCATTGGTGGCCTCGCTTCTCTGGCTGCGAAGGTCTGCTCACGGCTGCATTCTGGGTGGATGTGGCAGCAGGCACTGCAGGGTCATAGCGTGGGCCCTGCTCTGGTACGGCCCGTTCATCAGGCGGCAAGGCAATATGCGAGGGTTCTATGGTGGCATGTTGGCTTGTTCGAGTACTCTGAAGATGTGGCCGGGCCTGATTGATTAGAGATTGAAAGCTTGGTTGTGGCCCCCGTTTGCGCGGCTTTACTTGCGGTGGATTGATCTTCGTCTGACGTATCGCACCTTTTTCCCAGCGACGCAACGATTCGTTCGCATCGGCCGTGTCCTTTCTCGTGGCCAGTTGGAAGAACTTGCGCGTGGGACTTTGTCGCCCTCCTTCTTTACGTGCACGAGCCTTTCTTGCAGCAACGCGAAGAAATTGCGGTTGTTCTTTGGGAGGGCGCTGGGCAACATCCGGAGCATCGAGGATGCCGAGCTTTGGCACTGACACTTTGGTGGATTGCTTCGTTCTCCGTCCTCCATAAGAGGTATCAGTCAGCCTGGTTTGTCGTTTTAGTCGAGCCCTCTTCCGCTGTCTTTCTTCTAACTTGTCATTTCCTTTGGGCTTCTGCCGTTTCAGGGTTTTTTGCTTCTGTCCGCCAGAGCTCGAAGACTTGCGCGGCACCGGTGCAAACATGCCATCAATTCGATTGTCCTCAGGGATATCATCTTCATCTTGACCGTAGGGGTCCTCGAATCCGACGAAGTTGGCCAGCCTCTCGTCGGTATCGTCTTTCTCAGGAACACGGGGAGCTTCATTGTTGTCATCCTCGTCACCATCAGAATCCTCGAAGTCGATAAGAGCACGGTGTCGGTAAGGACTTGAGGGCCCTGATGGGTTACTCTTTCGAACAATCTTGCGCGCAACACCCTTGGCCGACTCCGTCCTTTGCAGGGCCGCATGTCGATCCCGCTGTGCCTGAGTTTGCGTCCCCTGCTGCTTTTTCTGATCCAAACGAAGCCACGAGGCAGGGAGAACACCTTTGATTCTGCGCTGATACATTCGTCTCGCATGATCCTCCTCATCGGACTCTTCTTCTGCGTCGGAACTCTGCTGGCTGCGCGAGGTGTCAGATTGCGTCTCTTCATTATCTTTGGCAATGGGAACAGGTAGTTCCACAAGGCTAGAGCCGTCTTCTTCCTGAATTCTAGATTTTGGTTCAGTGGCAGCCAGGGTTGTAAATTCCGGAGGAGGTGAGGATCCTCCTATCGGCCAACGAAATCCTCCTGAGGTCCTGGGAGTCCTCGTGATTGTCGACGCACTTCCTGAACGTGGGGGGCTTGGTGGGATGTTGTATATAGAGAGACCATTGTCACCATTTAGAGACGTGTTGTGGTCCATCGTCATTCGAGGTCTGGAGAAATCATGTTGCCGTCGATAAGTATCAGAGCGTGATATCTTTCGCCGCTTCACCACGTGTTGTCGTTGATGCTCAAGGGGCTCGTTACGCCTGTTTCGTTGTCCTTCTGAATGCGGCTCCCTTCTTGGCGGAGGAAGGTATTCCTCAGCAGGAGGACTCGATGGAGGCGCATCAGGGTCGTAGGAATCCTGCGCTTGATCTTGGTCCTGGCTTTCTTGTGCGGCCTTGCGCAGCTGCTGTTCGATAGCTATACGCACAGGTCGGACGCCTCTGGCTTTCATGAGCGTCTGGTATTGGGCCTGTTCCAGGAGGTAGGGATGCAGCTGGATGGGATTGCGTTCTCTCAGGGATCGTCGCGCTGGTTGAGACAACTCCCGCAGGACCTCCTCTGGGATATCAAGATCGGTGATCATGTCATCCAGATTGTGATTTGGCAGCGGGATCGACACAGAAGGGGTCTCCATGTCTGCGTCAGGGGCAATGGTATCCAGTTGGGCAGCGAAAGACGATGGAGGAGATGACAATGGAGAGTCGGTGGCAGATGTGATTTGCGATATACCCTTGTCTTCAGCAATTTTGGGGGGGGCTAGGTTGTTTTGTAGCAGGTTGGGGAATCAATGCCAATTCATCTGGAGAGCTCGGGATGTTCCATAAGTCCTCGACCTCTTTTGGTGGAGGAGTCTGCTGGCGTTGACCAGTCGAGGATCGTGGCAACCGGGGAGATGTGGGCAGTTTTGGGCTTATCTGAAGCCCTGGGAGGCCATATTCTTCGTCTGATGAACTGGGGATGTCCCATATTGTGTCGCTTGGTTTCGTAGCAGACGATTTTTCCCGAGACGACTTGCGTGCCGACGCGAGCACCACCAAGGGTTTCGTTGGTGAAGAGCTGGGAACACTCCATACATCATCCCCTTTCTGGGTCTCTTTCGGTCCTATCGATCTCGGGGTAGAAGACTTGGGCGTGTTCAGTCCACTGGAAGCACTTTTGCGCAGGCTTCCTCTCCCTTTGCCAATCCTCAGAGGCGACTGTGTGCTCTTCCTAACAGTCCGTCTCTTCATGCGTGCTGATCCATTTTCCACCACATCCACTTCATCCACGAGATCCTGTGACGCTTCAACGGGTTCTCGGTGCGGTTTCGAAGCGCTCTCGGGCTGTGTGTCCTCGCGTCGAGTCTTGAGAGCGGTCCCTGCGTGGGGGTTTGGTGACGGCACAGCAATATAGGCGAGAGTCGGGCCATCGGTGTCATTGACGAGATTCCCCTTCTTCGAGTCCAGCGAGTCGAATTCGTCCTCTTCGTCCGAGTCCGGTACAAAGCCTCGTTCCCGCCATGAGTCCATTTGCATCCTGGCGCCGATCGCCCATGTCTAACAAGTCATTACCGGGGAGAATATCGCAACAGAGAGAAAATGAACACGTTCACCGTGGTTGTGGGGGTTCGTTGGGTGAAGGGAGTGTCTTTGGACGCAGTCGTCTTATCGACGCGACATGAAGCCGTTATCAGCACGAGATCGGCATCTTTCTCTTCCCTCTCTTCCTTTCCTCTTCACTCCCTCACTCACTACTCACTGCCACAATGAGTCGCAACTTCATCCCCGCCGCCCTCTCCATTGGAGTTGGCATCTTCACTGGTATCTATCTCATTCTCACTCGTCACCATAACCTCCCAGCACTAAGATAGGGACAGGATACTACATCTTCCAGCCTGCCATCCGCGAACTCGAGGCCGAAAAAGCGAAAACACCCCAGTCTCCTCCTGTCCAATCTCCCCCGTCTGCTTCCGACAATAAAAAATAAGACGCTATAGTGCAGAACCCGGAAGACTAGTTGGGAGATTCTCTCACGAAGGTTTATCAAAAGCCGCCGATGTGCCTCGAGGCACGGCGCAGATGGCACTATATGAAAGCCCAGATACCTGGGTGATTATTCCACCCGCGCCGTGATCTTTGTCCTTCTAGGATGCCATTGGCAATGCTCCGTATACTGAAGGGACAGCGGGCTAGGTGCTGGTCACACTGGCTGCCCATAAATCATCTCTCGATCTGGTTTGGCGGCATGGATCTTGCCTGGGGTGCGCTGCCAATGAAATTGGTGACATGATTTGGTTTTTCAGAGATAGTTAACCACCGGCAGCGTGCGTTGTATACATAATGTACAGTATATCAAAGATGTCCTCCGAGTGTACCAATATTGATGAATTATATCTTGCTTCCTGTATGCATGGCAATGATCTCGTTTCCCCCCCAAACTGAAACATCCAAACTCCTTCCCCGAGTAATCAAACCAACGGTCCCGTGCCAGAAATGCCGGTGTAGATACACTTTTCCCCAATGCGCCTTGTCTTGTTCCTATGATGAACCGTCACAGCTCCTCGACGAGCTTTCCGGTGGCCGCGGAAGGTGCACCAAATATCCGTCCAGCTGGCGTGCCCAGCCATTCCTCGGGCACACTGACACTGCAGCCATTCGGGCCGCTGATCCATCGCACGAAGGTGGCATCGGCTTTCTCCTGTTCCTGGGCCTCCAGGTCGCCGGGCGTGACGTCGGCGGTACCTTCTGCGGCGGAGACTCGACCGCGCCGCTTGGGAGCTTGTTTTTTGAGCAGTCGATTGATGGTGTCCATCTGGATAAACAGCGTTAACCTAGATTGAAATGTTGATAGCGGGGGGTTTGTCACGTACCTTCTCTTCTTCGTTCCGTTTCTCGCTCAAATTCTTCCGCCGGCGAGCCATTTCGGTCCGTCGCATAGCACGCTCCTCAGCTGTGAGATGTTTCTTGACCTGCGGTTCTGTCTGCCGGTTAGCACTGCTTCAGATTCATTCTGCGCATGATGGCCTTACCCATGGGGAGTTGCAGAAAGTCGTCGCCCAGATTTCCTCGCTGGCGTTTGGTGGTCTGTCGGCCGCTATCAAGGAGAAGTGCATCGCTGTCCATGTCATCGTCCACTTCATCCTCTTCGTCCAGATCCAATGCATCTCCAGTCTCATCTGGGGCGGCACTTTCTTCATTCACGTCATCGGGTTCTCCCACCGCATCGGATTCCTCGTTAAACGCCTCCTCTTCCTCCTCTTCCTCCTCCTCGTCCTCGTCCTCCTCTTCTTCTACCTCCTCCTCTTCATCATCTTCTTCTTCCTCTAGTTCCATTTCCTTGGCTTCGACACTCTTGGCAGCTTTGCCACGAGCCGCAGCTGCTCGTGCCTGCCGCCTAATCGGTGCTTGCGGCGGGGCATCATCCATGTCGACGTCGCCGTCAGCATCGGCATCTTCGTCATCATCTTCACCGGGTGCGTCTTCTTCATCTCCGATCTCGTCTTCTTCTTCTTGGTCGTCGTCGTCCTCTTCATCGCTCGTGTTCACCTCTACGAGCCTCTTTCTGGTGCGACTGGTGCGGGGTCCAGACACGATGGGGTTCTCTCGGAAAACATTGACGTTGCGTCTTCCGGGACGGCCGCCAGTGGTGGCTTCCCGCAGTTTGCCAGCAGGCATTCTTACGGTGAGGCGGAGATGTTTGGTTGGCTCTCCTGATGAATCAGATGGTGGTCGGGAGACTGTCACCGATGCAGATGCTGCTGCTGTTGCTGCAAAACGAGTGAGTCTCGTTGGCCTGGTGCGGGTGTTAGCATCTTGTTCGAGGGACTCGTGCAGTGAACCCCGCGATCGTTGAGAGCGACGAAGTGACATAGTGGCAAGCAATGCAGAAGTGGGGAGTATTGCGTAGAAGGTGAGTAGAGGGGATGGTGGCAAGAGTGAGGGTCAGTTGGGATGTTGGATGGGGAAGGCGAGGTGGGCAGGGCAGGATGGCAGGGAATAAAACGGTCCCGCGTTTGCCAGGCAAACGGGTATGGCCCCGATCACTGTCTGAGGGCGAGGAGTTTGCGCCGACAGAGCGCATAACAGGGGAGGTTGTGATGAGGGCAGTGGCCTCGAGGGGAATAGTTCCAAATACAATAAGGCTTCTAGGGGGGTAATTGCAACATTGGGAAGATACTTACCAGGACTAATGATATATTTTTTCTTTTTTCGTCACCGTTTCCGCGATGCTGAATGGCGCTGACGCTTGATGAACGAATGAAGTGACCATCGCCATTCTGCCGGGCGGTGTGGGCGGTAAAAGTATGCCAGGACCAGCGGAAGGTGGTCCATGAGATAAAAGGTATTACAATTGATAGAGTCGCAAATATCGCAGTTAATCGATCGTAGCGATCCACTGGCTCTAATTACTTAGGTTCAAATATACAGGGCGAATCATGGTACAATGTCTACACTATGTAGTGTGGTGGCTGCTCGGCCCACTCAGCCGAGGTCGGGCCCTCACATGTCCCCGTCCGGGGAAGTCGACCTGCTTCTTCACTCCTCACACCCCTTCTCTCTCTCGCGCCGCACCTGCCTTGGCCTGCTCTCCCAGCCCTCGCCATGTCAGATCCTACATCCAAGAAGCCATCCATTCCTTCGTGGCAACAACAGTCTGCCAACCCACCAGCTGATCAGCCACCCTCATCGCCGAACTCCGACGCCGCGCCGTCCGCCTCCCGGCAAGAGCTGGTCGACCAAGCAGCCCGATTCCTCGAGGATGACTCGATTCGCGACGCATCCACAAACCACAAGGTGTCCTTCCTCGAATCTAAAGGCTTAACCCCCGACGAGATCCAGACCCTGCTTGGTGTTTCCCGAAACGCGGAGGCGACCAGCATCAACCCAGACACAGCCGAGGGCAAAGCACCTCCTTCCTCTTCTCCTTCTTCTTCCTCTTCCTCAGAATCCCAATCAACCGAAGTGTCCCCTTCCTCCTCCTCCGCGACCTCGCCATCCCCTTCCACCACCATGTCGCAACCGCGCTCGACGACCAGCGCACCGCAAAAAGACGTGCCGCCTATAATCACCTATCCCGAATTCCTCGTCCAGTCCTCCAAACCACCGCCATTAGTCACAATGCGCAGCGTACTCTACACCCTCTACGGCGCTGCAGGTCTAGGTGCCAGCATCTACGGCGCAAGCGAATTTCTCGTGAAACCGATGCTAGCAAGCCTAACGAGCGCGCGGCACGACCTCGCCATCACTGCCCACCAAAACCTGCAGAAACTCAACGAGAAGCTCGAGCAGAACGTCTCTGTCATCCCAGCACATCTCACAGCTCGCAAACCCAAACTTGCACTGGACGATGAGGAGGACGAAGTCGACCACGACGGCGACTCGGTCACCTCCGACCCAACGGAACTGTTCCACCGGGACGTTGCGACGCAGACAACTCCCGAAGAATCTTCGACGCCGCTCTCCTCGAGCTCATCTACGGACGAACTCACCTTGACAGGCGCAGGCATTGCAGTTTCCAACCACCTCAAGCGCCTCGAGTCAATCCAGTCCCAATTGCGCGAGGTAGTCGACTGCGAAAAAGACGCCAGCTCTCTCGAGGACTCGATGCGATCCGGTCTCACGGATCTGCACCACTACCTCGACGGCCTGATCTACAGCGCCCCTGCTTACACGGCTGCTGGTGCTTCGTACGGTGTGTACGGCGGGAGCGGCTCGAGCGTGGATAACAGTGCCATGGGCGTGCGCAAGGCTGAAGATGACGCCATTGCAGCCTTCAAGGCGGATATTCGTGGTGTCAAGGGCGCGCTGCTGAGCGCGAGGAATTTCCCAGCTAGTCGCGGTGGACGGCTGGGTGGTGTGCCTGCTGCTGGCGCGAGGTGAGTTGATTTTATGAGCTGGTTGTATAGTTCAAGGTGTTATCATATTTGTCTAGGTAGAGGGTTGTAAATGTATATAGCATTATTTGAATCAAATCTTCTCATCTAGAACATACCGTTCAAAAGTGGATTAATAATATCGTCTGCATCAGTTTTATATTCCGAGTCCATGTGCTCTGACAGTCTAACCAACAACCCATCATCAACAATTGAAGCCCCAGAAAAAAACCCCAAGCCCGCTTTTGTTTCTTTTCACGGCAAAAGGAAACCAATGGATTTTTCTCTTTTCTCTAGCGGGAGTTAACTCGAGAGAACAGACAGACTAGACCTCCCTGAGGAGAAGAGAGGAGCGGCAAGAGAAAGAAAGAAGGAAATACGCAGACATTAATAAATAGAATGAACAAGAAAAAAGAAACCTGAACTAGAAGTCCCCGAGCACTGAACTATACTCGGTCAGCGCTTCGCGGACTCTGTCCTCCTTCTATCCGTCCACAGACAAAACGAAACAACTCGCTTTCGCTCCGCGGGCACTGGTATAACTCTCACGCTCAAGATCACGGGGTAGCACGGCTCATACTGATCAGACGCTTGACGCCGACCTATTTCATTCCAAGTCAGTATATCAGTCGTAATACGAGGTGTGAAGATAAAAAAAACAAGAGGAGGGGACGCACCATCCAGTTACCACACTCATCTATCCGGTGGGTCATGATATCGACGTGAATTGCCTGTGCGGTCTCGTAGTCGCGGCTTTGAAGAGCGTTGGCCAGTGTCGCCAGATCGTTGACGGTGTTAGGCTTGAGCAGATCCTCGTTGTTCAAGTGGTCGAACAGGAGGTTCAAACGGCGCTCAGCATCGTCGACCTGCTTCTTGAAGGAAGACGGGGCGCGGGCCTTGACGCGTTCCATGTCTGCAGAGAGAAGCTCGAAGACAGGCATTGCGTTGGCGGGGATGTGAGATCGATCACCGGGGGCTAAGATGTATTAGTTTTCATACATGAAAATCAAACAGGGACAAACGTACGGTACTTGGGAGGCACGGCAGCTGCCTTCTGGGATTGGGACGTGCCAGGTCGAGAGCCCTGAGGTGGTGGTGGTGGTGGTGCGTGACCCATAGGCGGCGCTTGACCCATAGACGGTGCTTGACCCATAGGCGGTGCTTGACCCATAGGTGGAGGCTGCACAGTGGTCGGCGTACTGGGAGCGTACGGGTTGGCGGCCGGTGGCTGTGATGCCTGCTGAGGAGCATACGCTTGCTGAGGAGCATATGGCGAAGGAGCCGCCTGAGGGGGGGGGGCGGCATAGGACCGCGCGTCTGCATCTGCGGGCTGGCAGCTTGGGCAGCCGGGCTCGGCGCATACCGGTTAGTTGGCGGCGGCATGCTGGGCGGGGCATTATACGGCGAAGGTCCGCGCGGGATTGATGCCGGAGGAGGGGCCATGTTCGAGGCTGGTGGCGGCGATTGGGTGAGGGAAGCATAGGGGTTGGCCGGGGGCGGCGGAGCGAAGGAGGCCGCCGGAGGTGGTGCAGCAGTCGGGGGAGATGTCACGCGTGGCGGGGGTGCTGCACCCTTGGGCGGAGGAGGTGGCACCGAGGGTGTTCGTTGAGGACCACCTGGCGGCGCACCCACGCCCATGGGTGGAGGCCCTTGACCAGGAGGCGGAGACTGATTGGGGAACGGCGAGATGATGGTCTGGGAAGGCCGTTGAGAAGCCGGGGTGCCACGACGCGAGGCAGGCTTAGCAAAACCTTCGGGCAGATCATTCCATGCAGGGAGGCCGGTGGCCGTGGTGTAGGTCGTGACAGTGTTGGCTGGTGATTGATTGGACGCGCGCGGAGGGGGAGGGACCGCTGAACCCGTAGGCTGTCCGCCAAACGCGGACGGGGGCGGTCCGTAGGCCGCTGGCCTCATCCCCTGCCCTTGCTGGTAGCCAGGTTGTCCGTAGCCGCCGGCGCCACTAGGAATGGAGGCATACGGGTTGACAGCCTGGGCTGGTGCACCGGACGGAGGAGCATAGGGGTTCACTGGCTGTGACGGAGCGGCTGTAGGAGGTGCGTAACCATGCTGGACAGGAGCTGCGGGAGCCGCAGGGGTGAAATTCTGCTGCGGCGGGCCGTAAGGGCTGGGTTGTCTGGGCTGTTGCGGGAGAGGCTTGAACCCCGTCTTCGCCGCAGTTCCAGCTTGTGCCTTTTGCGGGGCCTGTCGCATAGCCAGCTTGATACGGTTGCGGGCAACTTCAGCCTCAGGGTGCTTGTCAGGCACCAGATCCAGGTATCTCTGCGCGACCTGCAGGCGTCCATGTGTGGCGACAACATCGGCGTATTCGATGTATTTGTCATACAGGTTACTGAGTCGCCAGTCCGAATCCTTGCTGCGTTCGGTGTCCTGGAATTTGGTGACTTGGCGGAAGATGGTCACCTTCTCGATCAGCGCTTGCAGAGCGCGGACGTGGATGGAGAAGGTGGAGTTATCCGTGTCGGTCTCAATTCCTTTTTGCTCGTTCTCACGCAGTTCCTCAACCCAGATAGCGACAACCTTCTCCAATTTCGAGCCGGCCAGGTAGCAGAAAGAGGCGTCTTTGCGGGCACTCTTGTCGCCGGAACTCTTGATCTGCTCGTCCAGTCGGTCACCGAGAGCATCGCAAAGATCAGGGAACTCCTTCTGGTCAGCGAAAGTACACAGGGCAGCCATGACCTCCTTCCAGTTGGACAGCTCGGCATTGTGAACCACATCCCAAAGGTTCTTGCCCACGATAGACGCAAGGAGACGCAAGTAGTTGGGGCCGCCGGTCTGCTTGGAGAAGTAGTGCTCCTGTGCCTTCTCGATGCACTTCTGACCACCGCAAATGGCGATCATGAAAGCATCCGACATACGGTCCTCTTGGAGAGCCACGTCGAGGGCTTTGTCGAACTGGCCCAAAAGCAAGGCTCGAGTGATCTGTTTCTCGGCATCGGTTTCCGACCCATTGAAGATCTGGAACGGGTTATTCGTACGGGCACCCTTGGAAGCAGCCAGATCCGAGAGGAAGTTGTCACTCTCGGGATTTGGATCGAACATGGACTGCAGTCGCTTGTGCTTTTTGGTGGGAGATCCTGTCTCAAGGACACCATTCGTCTCCTCGCCTCCCTTCGTATCCAGGCCAAGTTTTGCCAGGGTATCAGCGGCCTCGTCTGCTGAATCCTGGAAGCCCAGATACTCCACCAGGCCCTTACGAGGATTCTCGGAGAGCAAGGCCTCGATCACCTTCCAGTCAGCCTTCTCTTCTTCGCTCGAGGCGGCCGATGCTCTGGTTTCGCAGAGATTCCGAAGATCACCCTCTTTCAGCGCATTCTCAAAGCTCTCGGTCGCATTGCCCACGCTCGCATCCACCTCAAATGGCGTGATCCTGACCTTAGAGGCGCGGGAACCCTGATCAGCTAGTCCAACAGAAACAACCCGTCCGCCAAAAGCGAAGTTGGCACCACATGGCCGCTCCAGCCAGCGAGGAGCCTTGGGCAATGAAAACGTGGAGACCTTGGGCTGAGTCTGTGCCTTGGCAAAAAAGTCCTCCCCATCGAGAGCCTGGTTCTGGTTGGCAATAGCCTTGGCGGTGTCGGTGCTGGTGTTTTGAAGAGTCTGGACCGAGATTCTGCCGTCAAAGGATGCAGTGGCAAAGAAGTTGGGGTTGTGCGGGTTCCAACGGGTCTGGAATGTCCAGTTCGTGACCACGGGGAATTCGCCATATGCCTGGCCGGTTTGCGGGTTCCAGCAGACGTTGCGGTTATCTTTGCCGGAAGAAAGGAGCAGGTCCGGATCTTGGGCGCACCAGGAAAGCGAGAGCACACCAGATTCGTGGCCACGAAGGGTCCGTTCGGGGGCGTGGGAGTTTCGGAGATCCCAAACGCAGATCAAGGGGTCTGACTCCAGAGGTGTCGCAGTGACAAGCTTCGTGGGCTTCTCGGGATCCCAGGCCACGGCAGACACAGCCTTCCGGCCCATATTGTTCAACGTCAAGCTCTCCTTCTTGGTCTTGACGTCCCAGACGGTCACAAACCCAGCACTGCTGCCAGTGACCAGGATGTGAGCGACCTTCTTGTTCCAGTCCAAGCATTCAATATCATCTGTGCGAGCGGCCGTACTCCCAAGCCGAGATGGGCTGTTGAGGTTGTTCAGGTCTGAAATGAACAGCTAATCAAGAGAGTGTTAGTCAAGCACATAGGGTATTGCAATTGATTCTCGGAAGCATACCTCTCCTTTAGCTCCACCGGTGGCCAGTAGATTCGAATGTTTTGGGTTGAACTGAAGGGCCTTGATGGCGCCGCTGTGGTGAGAGGTCCTTGAGAGCAAAGCATCACTTGGGATCGATCAGCTACCAGGCCCCGTATAAAGTTCTTCGGAATAACCAACCTGTTCCCTCCAAGCAGCTTATCGGCATTCCACATATCCAACGCGCCATTCTCCAGACCACCCGCAATCACACCACGTTGGCTATCGTCGGAAACGGTCCATGCAATGTCATTGAAACTAAGCAGATTATTTTGTCAGCCAAAGTATCATCCAGTGTCCAAATGGCCACCCTACCCCGAATCGGTGTCGATCTTAGCTAGCGGCTGTAGCTCCTCGCTGGCGTCCTGGCGATCCAGACCAAGATCCCAGAGCTCCAGGCATGTCTTGTTGGAGAAATCGACATCCACGGCACCCGCTCGAGTCCCCGTGGCAATCAATGGTGATGCAGCCCCGGGCGACCAGGCGAAGGTGGCCGTCCGTGGGATTTCCCTCAGGCGCACCATTGTGAGTATGATGGAAGACTAGGGATGTTTCTGGAGCAAGAAGAGACAAAACGCAGCGAAAGGAAGTAAACGAAGGAAAAAGAGAACAAAATCCCACCCCAGTAAATCAAGAACGGGGGGATAGTGCGATGTGCAGTTGGCAGGTTGGAAGACAACCAAGTGGCCTCCTGGACTTGGAGGGACCGGGGGGACGCGCTAAACCCATTGGGGCACTCGCCAAAACAGTGGCCCAGCACGTGATATCAATCATTCTTGGGATTCCAGCTCGGGTTCTTTTTGCTCGGCGACACGACTCCCTTGTATTACATCCCACCCCCAGACAAAATGAGCGACAGCACCCGGCTCAAGAGCACGGTCTACGTCGGTGGCCTCGACCAGACTGTGACGCAGCAGACCCTCGCAGAGGCTTTTGTCCCCTTCGGCGAAGTAGTCGACATCTCGCTCCCCAAGCCGGATGCGCCCAACTCCACCGACCAGCACCGGGGATTCGGATATGTGGAATTTGATCTGCCACAAGATGCCAAAGAGGCCATCGACAACATGGACGGCAGCGAGCTCTATGGGCGCACAATCAAGGTCGCGGCCGCGAAACCGCAAAAGGACACCAGCGAGGGACTGGGCAGCAAGACCGCCATCTGGGAACAGGTATGTAGTTCTCCCATGTAGTCTATGAGAGATGGACTGACGAATACCCCACAGGAGGGCTACCTGGCCAAACATGCTGTTAACGAGGAGGATCGGCAAGCAACCGAAGAGGCTCAGAATGCAGGCAATCTCCCGCAGGACCCCATGCAGGGATTGGAGCAGCTCGATGTGGCTGGGCCGAAACCAGAATGAGCCTGCACAGCCAGAATGGAAGGGCACGACTTCGCAATGGCTACGAAGATAATGAATATCTATACTACACGTTCTACAATACGCCGACAGCAATACTCGTCGAAATGGCCACCATCCAACTATTCAATTACACAACACACCCGCGCGGCCGGATATGTACACACCCTTGCGCTTCAGTTCCGAAGCGAATCACTTTTTTTTTCACCTCTGCTTCTTTTCTCCACGACTTGATATCACTCCTTCCCGGCAATTTTCCAATCTTGTCTCAAATACAAAAGCGGCAAGAAAGAAACCAAACAACTATGACTTGCATTTGGAGCTCAAAGATACATGATGGTACATTTAGTGCTCACGGCTTTCGGGGCTGTTGCGCGAGAGACGCAGGGTCTTGTCGGTCATCAGCTTGTGGCCGCTGGAGTAGATGGCAGCCACAACGGCAACGCTACACGGACACAGTGTTAGTACATGACAAGAAAAAGTCTGGTCGCGAGAGGCGCAGATAGATATCTGTGCCTCGGTCGCGAAGCCAAATGGCACAGTTGATGTTAGGTAGAACGTACCCCAGGACAAGACCTGTATGCCAGAAAATGTTAGAAATCGCAGAGAAGAAACATGTCAGGAGTAGACAACGTACCGAGAGGGATCAACTCCGGAGGGATCCTCTTCAGCGTGCGGATGCGCTGCGAGATGGTGTGGGCTGTTGTCGGGGCTGGTCAGTCCAATTGCTCTCTCATAAGAGATTCAAACACCCGCAGAGGGTCTTGGTCACGAAGACTCGGGGGTCGGGAAAGGCTGCGTACCGCTGTGGTTCTCCTTCTGTAGACAGGGAATTAGCATTAACCGAGGAGAAGCTGGGAGGGCTCGTTCAGGAGGAAGCGGGAGGGGAAGTCCAGGGGCCACATACAGGAGCGGGACGGAACATAGGCCGGGTGGCCTGCATCCGCAGAATGCGAGTGGGATACATGGTGGGGTGGAGATGAGAAGACCAAGTGTGGGATGAGAAGATGACGAGTGGTGAAGCTCTCAAAGCGGCGAGTCGTTATTATTCGTTCGGGTGCCGGAGGGAACGGGAAAAAGTGTTGTCCCGGGCGCAGCCGGGAGCACCACCTAACTTCAACTCGGCGTCACCTCTTCTTGACCTTGACACACTAACTACTCCCTATTCCACTCCAACACCCACACCCCCCACCTCAGCTCTTCTTGTGTACTGGGATCTCTCGTCAACATGGGTGCTATTCCCGAAGCCGACCCCGATGAGGCCATCGAGACCAAGCCTTTCAAGTTCGTGACTGGTACGTTCCTCCACACACCCACCCACCCCCCTCCTCCTCCGAGGGGGGTCAATGGCACTCATTTCAAGCTCAATGGCTAATTCCGGGACAGCTGGTACGTCTTCGGTCGATATTATTCTGTGGTATACGTCGGGTTGGGGGATACACCTCCACGAGAGGACCCTGACCGCTTTGGGGAGGTGAAATTGACAATTTCGATTCGATTGCAGGCTACGATGCTCGTTTCCCGCAGATGAACCAGTACGGCCATTCCTCTTACCTGTATCTGGCGATATCTAACCCCGATCCTCAGGACCAAGCACTGCTGGCAGAATTACGTCGATTACTACAAGTGCGTCAACGCCAAGGGCGATGACTTCCGCCCTTGCCGTCAGGTATGAACCTTGAAACCTCCCAGAAACACCAGACGATGTCAAATCACTAATACACCCCAGTTCTACCACGCCTACCGTTCTCTCTGCCCCAAGGCCTGGACCGACCGTTGGGATGGCCAGCGCGGTACGCATCCCACAATCCATCTTTATGTTCGAGGCCTCATACTAACTGACCATTTCCCATGCAGAGGGCGGCAACTTCCCCGCGATCCTGGACCGGTAAATGACCAGCGGCCGCTGTGGGTTGGTTATTTTCTTATATTGTGTATGGACAACTTCCAATGTACTCTACCTGGTCTGACCGTGCGCGGGTACATTCCCTGCTTCGTTGGGTCGCGCTGTGCTTCCATAGGAGTAGGGGTGTATAGACTCGCTCAATTACAAAGAAATTGTGTGGATCCTGTGCTTTCGTAAATCCTTCTTTTTTTCACTGTGGATGCCAGTTAAGGCCGTGGGCTCTTCGTAGCCCTAGAAATTCATCATTTCCAATTGTGCCTGTACTAGATTGTGCTCATATTGAATATGGACCCGTGAAAGATAGTAGTCAGGTAATTGAAGTCAATATTGGCGAGGAGGGGTGAACAAGGCGATGGGATGACCCGTTTCTTATAGCTTGTTGGTTCTGTGTCTAGTCCTTTTGATGCCAAATGTATGTTGAAGCTCCCACCAAGGCAGGTATAACATCCTAAAAAAAGAATGTTTCGGGTTTTCTTCACGGAAACTTGAATGCCATTCAGGGTGTATCAGGTGTATCTTTTAAGTCTATGTAATCCGCTCTCCCAACCCGGAGGTATATCTATCAAACCCTGCAGGATGGCCGTGTCCAAAGTAAGCGCCCAATGGCTCAGAGTCTTTGCAAGACCAGGCCAATCATAAACAAAGCGAGAAAAATGCAAGATATGTACAAGCCAAGATAATGCTCGAGTGTCAAATGAGGCGTCCCGCCGAAATCGGAAAATATCAGATCCAAAGCGGGAAAAAAATTCGTATGTGCCAGAAAAGGAGGAAGCTGGTGCGATATGGCTGGCGGCCACATAGCCAAGATGAAGATTGAAAAGAAGGAATGATTATTAAACCTCATTCGGAATACCCTTCAATCGTCGGTAGAGTTTCTTGTGCTCCTCGAGGAAAATAAATGTGGCAATGGTATGAGGGCCCAAGCGAATAAAGCTCGGCACCCAGCCTCGGAAAGTCCACGCCAGACCCTCCTTGCGACAGATATCGCGCAGCAAGCCCAGCATGGTATGGCCGCGGCTCTGTGCAGGCGAAGCCGTCATAACGCGGGTCTTGATCACGTCGACGGGGCTGCAGACCGTGGTGGCAACGAATCCGGCCATCAACGAGGCCGTGAAGTGTGTGGCGAGGTTATCGGCCATACCGACCTTTTCCATGCAGATTTTCTTGAACGTGTCGTAGGAAGTCAGTTGCGATGCCGTCATAAGCACCGCGCGCGTCGAGTTGGGCCACACGCCGCGGAAGAGTGAGCTGACGCCCTCCGCGCGGGTCATTTGTACCAGTCCGTGGAGGGCATGTTTGTAGTTTCGTCGTTGTGCTGGCGGGAGCGCGGCGTCGGATTGCATGCGCACGTTGAGCACGTCTGCTGGGTTGCCGGCGAAACCGCCGATGAAGCCTGAAGCGCAGGCTATGCCGAGGAGGGTGAATAGGCCCGGGGATGATGTGGACGAATTTGGCGAGGGAGAGGCAAAATGTTGTTTTAGCTCTTCGTAAATGCCGAAGCGCGTTGTGGAATATGTCAATTGTCGGAGGACTGCTGCGGAGAGCTACAATTTGTCGGAGTCAGTCATATAATTTCATCCACTGCGACTGCTGAACATACTCCGCTGTATAACCCCGTAACCCCATTGTTTCTCACGATATGTGCAAAAGTGCCGACCATTGTCCTCGGAGCGTCGGGTGCTCGCGTTTGTAACCGGACCTGCGATGCTTAGTATGTATGACTCTTCAATTCCCGAAGCAAGTGGCGTACCTTGACTGCGCAGCGTCAGCGAGCGATCTTAACTGTAGAGGGGGAAACTTGACTTACCCAAGTCTAAAGGATGCGTCACAGCGGCCGCAAAGCACGACGCCGAACCTCCAAACCAAAACGGATAATGCACTTTGTTTTGTTTAGACGGCATCGTTGTCGTCGTCGCCAGCCGCGGGCGAGCCGCGGGCGACGAACCCTCTAGCAATTTTCCGTCTGCCATGCTCTGCAGTTCTGGAAAAAGAAGGTGGCGAGGGGGCGGGGAGTTGGAGAAAAGGGTCGCGAGGCCTTTTTTTCGGTTCGGCGCTTCAAAATCAGGCTCCGAGAGCCACCGGAGCCTGCGCCAATCAGCGTCTCGGTTCTGCGGAGCATTCGCATCCAGCCTGTAAGAGCGTACGGATTACTTCATCTCGGGCGGAGCAGGGGACTTCGGCGGTGTAATGTAGACGCCGATAGTTAGCAGCTGTTGTCGTTATTTCGTCGTAGTCAATCGTAAGTGGCGCTCGAGATGGCAGGCGGTGATCTTCGGTGGAATCGCGGTGATTGAGTTGGTTATGCGGAAGTAACTGGGCTTTACCGAGGGAGCGTTATCTACCGGGTGAGACAGGCTGAGAGTTTGCTATATTTCTGTCTTCGGACACAATCACATAGGGAATCAACAAATTGAATATAGCCGTGATAATGAATCATAATCTAGTTACTACGTACTCCATGCATTATTATTGAGAGTGAACTGGCACAATAGCAGTGTACTTCGGCCACTCGTTTTGCCGATCCGTCTCTCAACAGTCGGCCTTCTTTTGCAGCACGCACTGCTCAGCCCTGGCTGAAGCTGCGCACCATCCCACTCCATGCGTCTATTAGCCACCGGCAGAGCCCTGCGTGCCAGCAGTGGTCGCTGGACCATTGCCGCATCGTGTTTGAGAATTGCGCGCCCACCCCTATCAACAGTCCACCACCGCGAATGGAGCTCAACCACACCTCGTCGGACAGCCGACCACCCTTTAGCCACCTCAACCTCTCAGACTTCCAAACAGCGAGCCAATCTCACCATTGAAGGCGAGCCCTACCCCACGGACCAATGGACCAACACCCCCGACACCATTCTGTCGCATGTCGGCCGACGGCTATACCTGGACGACAATCACCCGCTCGCAATCACGCGCAAGCTCATCGAAAGCCAATTCCCCAGCCCTGTCTTCGGCAACTACTCTGAGAAAAACCCCGTCGTCACCACGGCACAGAACTTCGACGTCCTCGGCTTCCCGCCAGATCACCCGGGCCGCAGCCGCACTGATACATACTATGTTAATGAGAAGACGGTGCTTCGCACTCACACGAGCGCACACCAGCAGGCATACTTCCAGCAGATTAATCGCAATGAACAGACACGCCCGGAGGAGGTCGGGTACACCGTGATCGCGGATGTCTACCGCCGCGACGCCATTGACCGCAGCCACTACCCGGTCTTCCACCAGATGGAGGGTGCTATGCTGTGGAAGCGGCCGTCCCCGGATCCGCTGGCGCATTCCAGCGCAACAGCCGCAAAGGTCATGGCGGATCTGGACAAGCTCCCGCGTCACGACGTCGTGGTCGAAGACCCGAACCCGACCATCCACCCGGAGCGCAATCCGCTGCAAGCGGAGCATCACAGTGCCGAGGAGGCCGAGGCCGTAGGCGCGCACCTGAAGCGGTCTCTGGAGAACATGGTGATCCGCATCTTCACTGAGGCCAGCAAAGCCGCGGCCGCAAGCACAGGCACCCAAACCGAACAGGAACCCTTGAAAGTGCGCTGGGTCGAGGCCTACTTCCCGTTCACCAGCCCATCCTGGGAGCTTGAAGTCTTCTGGCAAGGCGACTGGCTCGAGATTCTAGGCTGCGGCGTCATCAAACAAGAACTCCTGATCAACTCCGATGTATCCGACCGCATGGGCTGGGCGTTTGGCTTGGGCATCGAACGCATCGCCATGCTCCTCTTTAACATCCCTGATATTCGCCTCTTCTGGTCCCGCGATGAGCGGTTCCTATCCCAGTTCCGCGCCGGCCACATCGCGCGCTTCGAACCTTTCTCGAAGCATCCGGCCTGCTACAAGGACGTTGCCTTTTGGCTGCCTCCTGCTGCCGTCACTGGTGGTAAGAGTGCGGCAGGCGGTGCTGTTCCCTTTCATGAAAATGACGTGATGGAGATTGTGCGCGGCATCGGCGGTGATCTTGTCGAGGATGTTGCTCTTATTGATGAGTTTACGCATCCCAAGACGGGCCGCAAGAGCATGTGCTATCGTATCAACTACCGCAGTCTTGAGCGCACCTTGACGAACGAGGAGACCAATGGACTACATGATCAGGTCCGGGAGAAGCTTGTTGGGCTCCTGGGCGTGGAATTGAGGTGACGAGATGTATTATATTGTAAAAATCTGCACCAGAAGATCTAGTTCCGCTCATGATGAGAGTGTTTTTAAAAAAAAAAACTTTTCACTTTGTACTCAGTGCTAGTAGGATGCCAGATTGCTCTACCATACTCAAGGAAACTCAAGATCAGACGAACCACTAGGGTGTATGTGTATTATACAAAATGAGGAGAGAGTTATCAGGAGACAGGGAACAGGAAGACACCGATTGCAAAGAAAACGTGAAGACAACCCCAACACGAATACAATCCGGACGCCTCCAGGCACATGCAACAAGATGATGGGAAGTGTATCATACAGACGGGGATCCAAGACCAAGAGACAAGACAGAAAGAGATATCAAGAAAATCTGAAAGTTCCTTTTTCCTCCCCGAGTCCAACCGCCAGCAGCATCCGAGTGTAAACACCCCTGTCGTGATCGTGATGTGTGTGTATGATATATGGTACAAAGGGAACAAAGAAACCCGAAATCGAAAAAAAAGGCGTATCGAGGGGTGGGTAGGTTATGGGATTAGGTGTTCTTGACGACGCCGACCTTGGCAGCCTATAACGATATGTATTAGCAGACGCTCCCCCACAACTTGGGACAGAGATACATACCCGCAGCACGCGACCGTTCAGCATGAAGCCCTTGCTCTGGATGTGCATCACATCACCATCTTCCAAATCCTTAGACGGGGCCATGAAAGTAGCCTCGTGGCGATTGGGATCGAATTTCTGCACCTTGCCATCCTCAGTCTTCTCGCCGGGGTCGAAGCGCTGCAGACCGTGTTTCGTGAGGGTGCTCATGAGGATGTTCTCGGTCATCTTGAGGCCTGCGACGAGATCCAGCAGGTCCTTGTTGGCCTCGTTCTCGGGGGCGTTGAGCTTGTCGGCGGGAACGGCGAGCAGGGCGCGGTCGAGGTTGTCGATGCTCTCCAGAAGGTCGACGGCGAAGCGCTGGATGGCGAAGTTGCGGGCGCTCTCCATCTCGCGCTTCGTGCGCTCCTGGAGGTTGCGGAAGTCGGCGACAGAGCGGAGGTATTTATCCTGATCGCGGCGTTAGGGCAGGTCGAGGGATTGTCGGGATTGCGAGGTAAATTACCTTGAGATCAAGCACCTCCTTCTTCTTTTCCTCTAGCTCTTTGCGAACGGGATCCTCAGTTTGCTCGGAGGCTTCGGTAGCTTCTGATGAGGCTTCCTTCTGTTCCGTGGAGTAGAACCGGGACATGGGTTGGGGAGCGAAGGGCCGGACAGACTGCGGCAGACGGGGTTGCAATCGTGACGTCTGACGAAGTGCCATCGGCGCGGCAGATGTGGAGGCCAGGACTGACCGGGCAGCCTGAGCTTGTCTGAGGAGGGTTCGTGGAAACATGGTGGGCAGGAATTGAGGTGAGGGAGAGCTTAGGGAAGGTGTTGCAGCATCGGGAGTGGTAACGGGCAATTTTCATAGCGCGTCACCTGACCGGCGGGAAAAACGCTGGGCCGAACTATATTGGGTACACCGCTGGGGAACGAAAGAGACCTATAAGAGGAGAGTTTGGAAGGCCTTCCAGTATGATTTTAGGCAGCAGTAAGTATTATTCAGGGATTAAAATCCTTTTTCAGACGCGCATGTCATTCGCCTCAAAGTGAAGTTGTGGGGCTTGTCGGCCCCAGACAGGTTCAACTAATCATACTACACAGCCCTGTCCCTCTCTTATAAGAGTCTTCTGCGCCCTTCAGAGATTCCCAACAAGACAGATCACAGACATTGATTCTGGTGCTGGCAAAACAAGAAATCCATTGGGAGTTTCAACATAATGTCTCTGGGATCACTGGCACAATGGGAATCTGCCCTGCTCAGCCTCGCGGAGTTCGGTCGCACGGTGTCGTGTCGTGAGTTGGAGATCCCGATGACTGTGGTCGCCACAGCACTCGTAGGGTTGATGGTTTACTTCCATGTGAGTAAGATCTAACAACTATTTTCAATTGACTCGAAGCTGACCGCCTTCTTCAGTTCGCATACACAGATGGAAGCGTGAGAGCGGCGCTGGCCCTTCTCGAGACCCCAACAAAGATCGATGCTTCCAATCTTGAGAAGGTTGAAAAAGAGCCTGGTGATGCTTCATCAAGTGATTCGGCGGCAAATCCGAAGCCGTTTCTCTGGAGGCTGGTATATGCGCTTGGGTTGCACTGCCTGATCGGCGCCTCCAATTACTTTCTCATGGTGTTTTTTGACATAAACGTGGAGCTCAAAAGCCTTATATTTCTCCAGTTGCTCCTTGCGATGAATACAGTACTATCCATGAATTCTGCTCATCCACCCGACCCCGATGCTATTACGGCTCAACGAAGTCGTGCTCGTCGACACTTACAAAGCCAAGGAACAGGATTTTGGTCCACTTATCCGGGACTCGCTATGTTCTTGGTGTATATGCTGCTTTCGAGCTTGATCAATGTCCCAGCCAAACTCTGGCTTCACGACAAGAGAATTGAGTTTTCTGTCAGGATCATGTGGGGACTTCTCCTGACGAATTTGCATACAGCCTGGGTTCACATCGTCATTTCAAAGCCCAGCAAGAAATCGTTCTGGCAGCGGATTCCGGGCTGGCGAGAATGGATTGAAATCCTCCCGGCCGCTTCTCTGGATATAATACTGCCGTCCCTTGTCTACCATTTGCTCAAGACACCGCTGGCACTTCTTCACGACAGCCTCTTTTCCGATGCTACAGGCGATAAGGACATTAAAGCATACATCGAGATAGTCTTCATGCTGCCACTGGCCTTGGCGTACGCGACCTCACTTATCACTCGGGCTATATATATCAGAGTTGCAGCCTCGATACTGCCCAGCGAGGACGAACCCCTTGTGCCCTTCGACCGCAGTTTCGGCGGCCAAGCAAGAAACAGCCAGACATACAGTCTCAGTATCAAGAATGCTAGAGCTGGGAAAGCGCAGAGTTGGAATCGGTACGTGAATACCGTTTGGGGAACGCTGGGGGCCGAGCTTATCTGCTTGGGTGTCTCTTCCCTTATCCTCTCTGCAGAGTTGGTTTTTTGGACGCCGTGTACTGTGATGGGGTTGATCAAGTTGGCTTTTGCAGATGCTTCTTAGTCTTCACATACCTGTATCTATTACCAAAACGTGAACATAGTAGTGACATTCGGAGACTTCCTATTTCGACGGACTCCGGGTTCAAGTACCTACTAAACCCCGACGGGCGGGGCCTCGCTCGGTTAGAAAGATCGTTGTTCAATAGCAACGCAAGCTTCTCTTGGTGACCAACCGCGGCTACTCATGTTGCCCGTTGACTCATTGTTGCCTGTTGAAAACCTTAGATCGACCGACTAAGATGTGCTAAATACACTTGGCGCCGATTTCGCGCGGGCCTGCTCAGCGCTGACTTAGTATTCGTTGATTCCCGTTCCGAATGAATCACCCCAGCAAGTGGGGTTCGAGCGACTGACGGCCAGTAGATATATTGGGGCCATTTGCACGACTCGACTCTTATTTGCACTGCCCAAATCACCCTCCCATCCATACAAAATATCTCCCTCGTATAACACAATGCCTATTAAATGGGATCCTGAATTCCGCGAGGCTGTCGCGCCCATCTTCGCCGCCCGTGCCAACGAACCCAAGCCCGATGCACCGGACCCCCTGGCTGTGCGAGCTGCAGTCACCGCCGCTTTCGAAACCATGCTGAGCCAGCTGCCGCGAGCCACGGAGGTTGAGCACAGCGAGCACCGAGTCCCTTCATACGACGGCGAGACCATTCCCGTGCACCGGTTCTGGAAAAAAGAGACCGAAACAACAACACCTGCTCCAGCACTCATCCACCTCCACGGCGGCGGCATGATCTTCGGCAGCGGAGACATGTTCCACAATTCCTGCGCCTTGACGGTGCAGGAGACCGGGGTGCAGATCTTCACGGTCGACTATCGCCTCGCGCCGGAGCACCGCTTCCCCACCCCGGTCGAAGACTGCTATGCGGCGCTGGCGTGGGTGCACAAGAATGCAGAGCAGTTCGGCATCGACCGCCAGCGCATCGGGGCGCTCGGCGGAAGCGCTGGGGCCAACCTTGCGGCGGCGATCACGCTAATGGCCCGGGACCGCGGCCTGTCACCCGGCGTGGCGAAGCAGATCCTCGTCTATCCTATGCTGGACGATACGAATACCGTTGCTCGGCCGGTGCGGGACGCCGCGGCCATCTGGACCACGACGACCAACGCGATGGCCTGGTCGACTTATCTGGGCGATCTGTATGGGTCTGACCACGTCTCGCCATATGCGGCCCCGGCGCGCGTAGTCAGTGTCGAGGGTCTGCCGCCCACGTATCTGGAGATTGGCACGGCGGACATCTTCCTGGAAGAGACGTTGAAGTTTGCGTCACGGCTGGCTGCGGCGGATATCGAGGTAGAGCTCCATGTGCATCCCGGCCTGCCTCATGGGTTTGAAATCTACGCGCCTTTTATTGGGGCGACACAGAGGGCGATGGCGAATCGATATCGGGCCATGTCCACTATGTAATCTTAATCTTGACCATAGATGCTGCGCCTTGTTCCAATCATGACCGATTCATCCCCCGCATTTCTGCCGGAGCAAAGCGAAGTGGGTTGTGGCGATACTCAGGGCGCAGTGACCGCGTCAAGCTCTGGTTTTAGGCAGAATGATATTTCGCGGTAGGGGTCCAGGAGTAGGCTCAGATAGAGGCACAGCTAACGTGCTGGAGCTCGGGGTGCCCGTTTCCGCTGTGGCGCAAGATGTGGCGCAAGATATGGCGCCCCCTTGTTAAGTGGATCGCCGGGGGATCGCGACCAAGACGACGTAAGCCGAATCGAATCGAGGCAGTGCAGCATACTGCGCCTCCAATAATTGCGTTGGTGGGAATACGATTGAAGAGTTTTGCTGCGGTGTCTCTGTTTTGCCCGAAACGGACAACAGGAGAAAAAACGTACTCAGTGGCAAGGGCGTATTTATTCATCTTGCCGCCTCCGTCTCCCCTGATCTTCATCTCTCTCCTCCATCTCTCTCCACACACCACACCACACAATAACAACCAGCAATATGGGACTTCACTCGCCTCCCACACTCCCCTCCTCTCCCTCCATCACCATGAGTCGCTCCTCGTCTCGCCCATCTCTCTCCCTAGACCTCTCCAATCTCCCATCGCTCTCGCAGCCATCACCACCATCCAACACCCTCCTCATCACCGAGCTGCACGATCTACACCTCTTCCAGCCCTCCGCCCTCGACGCCATCCGCTCCCAGCTCACAGCCGTGGCGCCACTGAACTCCTTCTCCCCACTGCCCTCCCTGCGTCGCATCGTCTGCTCCTTCCACTCCGACGACGACGCAGTCGCCACCCGCAAGATGCTAGAGGGAAACCGGCTCCTGGGCCGCGTGCGTCCGCGCATCTACTTCGGCGAGCATACCCCCATTCTCTCGGCTGAGGAGGCCCGCCGTCCCAAGCTGCTCGAGGCGCCCCAGCCCGATAAGATGTTCTTTATCTCGCCCCCGCCCAGCCCACCGCACGGCTGGGTTATGCGCAATGAGGAGCCGCCGAACAAGGAGGTACATGCTCATGACCTCGCCCATGCGCTGTCTATGCTCAAGACCGATCACGCGCCGCAGGCCCCAGAGCCCATGGCTGTGGATCCTGCTACCCCGGTGTCTATCTCCTCGGACAAGCGCACGGGCAGTTGGCCGCTGGCTGGTGAGCAGCGCCGCAGCAGGAGCAGCACGCTGATCTATCATCCTGAAGATCACGGCGGCAGCCCCGGCTTGCCTGCCGTGCTGGTTGAGGATACCACTGTGGTAGGCGATGATGACGAGGATGTGGACATGGAACTGAGCCCCATCGACATGACTGTCAAGAAGATGCCGCCCAAGACTTCCCGGCCACCGGTCGAGTTGATGGAGTAAAGGTGGTGGAACCGTGCTCGTGCATTTCTAGCGATTGTTTTGTTTTCTGCATCGATCGGACGATCAGGCGTTGAAAGGGTGGGCCCATTGCTACACAGCATTGATTGCCCGGATCCGGATCGGGGGTACATAATCTGTTCTCTATCCTAATAATACATATCATACTTCATTTGGAGTCTTGGGTTCGGACCAACTATATGTTGTAGCAAAGTAGTCCAGGGTTTCTTTCATACTGAGACTGAGACCAGATCAAACTGCCGGACGAGGCTCTTTCTGGCTGAGACTATATATATCCTTGTCCAAGACAAGACCAAGAGATCTCTTATACTTGGACGGCATTCTCCCTCACGGTCGAGGATGGATATTTCCAAGATAGAAGATATACGAATGGTGCTTTCTCAACTTCTTTCCACGTGCAACCTCCTCCAAGCGGGTATACCCCTTTCTGTCCTCTCGTCCTCATTGAGCTACACGAACACAATGTCTCCAATCCAAGATACCCGCAAGTTCACCTCCCAATCCAAAACGCAAGCACATGGCGAAGGTAAACTCACCACCACAGCCGAAACTAGTCTAATCGAACACCTGAACAGAAAGATTCTCCAGACCATCGTCTACCTCGAGGACGAATACAAGGGCAGTGTCCTTGTTCCAGCACAGAATCCTAACCCAAAACAGGCGCGACGACTTTCTCTTCTCACGGTGAAAGACAGCAGCAGTGCTGAGTATACTACGCATATCCTGTTCCCCTTGAGCACGCACCCGGTGCTGGATCGGTTGTATGTACCTAGTAGGACGGTTCTGGCTGATGGCATGTCCAGATCCAGTAGAGCCCCAAGCTGGAATTCACACTCACTGGCAGGATCAGGACCCGGTTTAAACTCAGAGTCATCATGTACCTCCTACTCATCCGTCTCAAACGACCTCCCTCGCAACAACATCGAATCCATCACAAGGGGGAAACAAATGGTTCAATGAGTAGGAATCCCGCTCCCCATACCCATCAACAACAACAATCTGCACAGCACACCAGAAGACTTCGTCGACACACTCGACCGGTCAATCGAGATACTAGGCGCGAATTTCATCGTCGATGACTCAGAAGACGCAGTGTCGCAGCAACGGGCGTTTCTCATGGAGATTCGCGGTCTCTTTCGGGATCGGTGGGATGTGCTCGCTGCGGCGCAGAGACATGTTGATTTGTTGGATCAGCTTGTTAGGGGTGGGTTTGTTGAGTTGGAGGAGGTACTTGGGGGTGGGAAGATGGAGTAGACGGTTCTCTTTATCCTTTCTTTCCTTTCCTGTTTATGCTTGTGCTGAGTTGGTTGGTTCATGGGTATAGGTTAAGGTGAATTTATAGCTGGACAAGGGAGCGAGAACGAATACTTTTTTTTCATTCATATGGACAAGCATTTTCTCTAACCTAAATATCATCATCAGCGGTTTTATAATCATACACATAGAACGCCCGATTGCGCCCCTTAATCCAAACTCCAAGCCGCATGCAGTGCCACCTCTCCTCAGAACCCATACGCGCTCTGCCCGTACGGCGTAGCCCCATAGGGAGTCTGAGCACTGGCGCCCCAAGCACTCGCTGCCCCATTCCCATACGACGTGAGATTCCCATCAATCCCCTCAGGCGGCTCGTAGTCTCCATCGCCGGCGCCCATCATGTCGGCATCCTCGGCGCCGCCGTGGCCCTCGCCTTCGCCTGAGAGGTAGGAGACGGTTGTGGCGAGTTTTCGCTGCAGCGTGACGATGCCCTGCTGGATGATCATGTCTGGCTCGAGGTTGCCGATGCTCTCGACGTCTATGTAGAAGGTGTTCGGCTCTGCGTCGTAGTCGAAGGGTTGGTCTGGATTAGACGCGGGTTCCCATGCTGCATTCTCGGAGACGGGCCTGCAGATGAACATGTCAGAGTGAATCATGACCAGGAGGGAGGAGAAGAGAGAGAAACATACCATTCCTTGATGGGATCCTGCTCGTACCAGTAATCCACATGGCGTAGGTTATTGTTTGGATCATACTCGAATCCCACCGCCGCGGTGGGCGCCCACTTTGCGTGCTCCTTTGCCGTGCCTTTCTTTGCGAGACATGTAAGTTTGATCTCCTGCCCGCGCCGCAACTTGCAAATTAAAGGCCCCTTCAGCTCCGGGTCCGTAATGACGGGGTTGCCAATGGTTTCATTCATCCGTTCGCCGACGACAATCAGGTCGCGCGCGTAGACGGGCATGATGCCCGCGGAGTTGCACCGCGCGTGGAGGGAGAGCGTCACGCTGCAGCGCACGCAGTGGTCCTCGCAGTCGCAGTCGCGCGTGTACTCCAGATCCTGATCGCAGTTCCGCGAGTTGAGCGGGATCATGCCGAGACGGTGAGCAAGCATTTCGTCGGGGAGCACAGAGGTGTTGGCTTCGATTTCGACCAGGTCGAGGGCCACGGTGGGCACCTCGGCCAGGATGGTGCGGCGCAGAGAGTTGGCGAAGGCGAGGTCGACCGCGCTAAGGCGGAAGTCGACGCGGTAGGGTTCCGCCTGCACTCGTTAGTCTTTCTTCTTCTCTGGGAGTGTGTGGGCAGGCCAGGAGTTACGCACTTCGCGGACGGTGACTTGCGGGCCCGTGGGCTCCAGGTCCATCTCGTAATCCATGGTGAGTGTCTGTCGCAGCGCTGGGAGCCGCCCGGTGTGGTGGGGTGGGTCAAGGTTATGTGGACATAGAGATAAAGAGGCAAGGATGGAAGAGATGGGGGCGTGGGATGGGAGGGAAGGGAGGCCAAACCAGAGTCGTGGTGGTGGTGAAGGGAAAAGGTGAAGAGTCGCGGGTTCGGAGCTCTTGGCGCTTGTCCTCATTGGGAACACCGTGACCCGGTCTTTGACTACGCGACACACCAGGCGAATTACCGGCAAGACTAAGAATGGGAGAGTAGATGGTGTCTCATATTCACTTCCAGATAGAGAAATTCAAGCAAAGGCCCTTGTGGTCCAGGATTTTACAGGACTGGAAAATGACAAACTCTCCTCGGGGGAATTTCAAAGCCTGCGACCTTCTTTTTGGATCGGGCATCAGATGTCTATCACAAACGTGATGAAAAGCACAAGGGAAAACATAAATCGGTCTCTGGCCGATGGAATGGCCAACGGGTACGCCGGAAGCCCGTGGCAGATATGCGAAGATGGAGTGGGAAACAAACCCACACTGGGAACCTTTTTTTCGGGAGATTTTCAGCGGGTCATGTCAAGTCGTAGCGGTGAATGCGAATCGAAGTGATGAGCGGAAATGGTGGTGACAAGAGAAGAAAGACGCTATGTACGAGACGGAGAGACAGAGACGCGGGACGATTAGCGCTTCAGCGAGCTGCGGTTGAGCGCCTCCAGCAGCTCGGGGCGATTGGCAAGCGCGGTCGCAGCCTGCGAGTAGCTGACCCACTGACGCTTGCGCTTGTACCGCTCAGGCCAGTCATCGCGCTCCTCGTCCACGGTGACCTCAAAGAACTGATAAGAAGCCTTGGGGGCGTGCGCCGTCAGCAGGGCCGAGGCGCGCATGTCGGGGATGACGCCCAGGTCGCGCTGCACGGTGCAGACCACACCGGCTTCCTCCCAGGCCTCGCGGCAGGCAGCTTCGGCAGCTTCTTCATCGGTCTCCCAGCCACCCTTGGGGAGCACCCATCCTCCGGGGCCGGCAGATTGGATCATCAACACCTTGGTCTGATCGGGGGACAGTGGGACAACACCAGCCACCAGTCGCTCGCCCTTGGTGCCGTAGCCTACAATGCGATGCACCGGTCAGTGATTTGGAGCACCGCGGGAGTGCGGTCGACTTACGCTGGTTGGTGCGGCCAGTGCGGGACTCCATGGTGTGAAGCTGCGCCATGGCGGGAGAAATTTCCAGGTTCGGGATTGTTTCGGTAGAAAGAGAAAAAGATAGGGTGAACAAGAAGAGAAAGAGTGTGCGAGCGGGCAGCGAACAGCCCAGGACTCCCGCGGAGCCTAGAGGGTCTCGTGGGAGAGAGGTGGGAGGTGGTCAACGGTCCACGAGCTGGCGAAGAGGGCGGTCGGGAGAAAATTTCCTCCTGGGGGAGAGAGTGAGACGGCGGAGAGATTAGGTGTACCCGTTGATGCCCGTGGTGGACCGGAGAGTCAAAGGGAGAAGGCTAAGAGGCATGGTCGAGAGAGTCAGGAGCAGGAGAAGGAAGTGAAGAAAGAGTCGCGAGAGGTGTAAAGGCAGAGACGGAGTGGGAAGTGGAGGGGCCCTAGAGCGGCGTCGGCCGGGAACATTAATTAACGATGGGCGGTATTGCTAGGCAAGAACCGCAGGGCCGATGCGCTTTGCTTGCCTGGACGGTCCTGCTCAACGACCCATTCAGTGTTCTCATGCCTCCGATGCACTGCTCGTCGTCGTAGTCACGATTCATTCACCACAGTGCGAGGGTCGGATAAGACCTTAACTCCGAGCGATCGATACCTAGGTCAACGGGTGCGGTAGTATAGTAGTCCCTGAGGCGTCCGTGATGACTCTGTTGAGCAATTGAGCGCTCGATATCAGATCTCTATACTATGGCCAGCTCCTGACATGGATGTGCTGCACGTTCATCCCGCCCCGCCGAGAGGGCAAAACATCCCACCTCCAACCTTGTCACAACCACAACCTGGGATCATCCACGCTTCTCCCGTCCGACTACTCCACTTCCTTCCTCCCCCATTTTTCATCTGTTCCGCCAGAACCGCCCACCATCCCAGGGCTGATCCTCGCGAATGGAGCCCGTTGACGCCGAACGCGCGCGCCAGCTGTCCCTCTTCCGGCCATTGGGTATGTCCCACTCTCCTGCATAGAGCCACTGAGCTCCGCTGGTGCACTCCCCGTGCAATGTCCACTGGCCCTGGTGGCTGCATTGGGGGACCATCTGGCGGGGTGGCAGGACAGATCACCCCTGCAGAGAGACGTGAAGCTAACTCGATATAGGCTATCAGCGCAATTCCTGTGGCTACTGCAAATCAGACCATGGCAGTGAGTGTTATGTAGGCCTCTCGGCTCAATAGGGAATATTGACACGTGTCTAGGTGCTTCATACTACACCAGCTCGGTGGTGGTACACCCGGAGCACTATGATGAGCTGATCAATCGGGGCTGGAGACGGTATGGCCAGACAGACCGAAGCTGCCATATATACTGATGGTGGATCTAGATCGGGCACTCTATACTATAAGCAGAACCTACAACGGTCTTGCTGCCCGCATTACACCATGAGGTATGAACGACCTCCCATTATCAGTTCACCTGCTCATGATTTCCTAGGCTGGAAGCGTCTGCCTTCACCCCCCGCCGTGATCAGCGCAAGGCCATCAATCGCTGGAACAAGTTTGTTCTGGGTCCAGAGTACATGCGCAAAGCAGCTCGGCTGTGTCCCCGATCACGCGAGTGGGTGTACCTCGTTGTCCTTGACCGTTGAAAAAGACACTGACCAGTGCATAGGGAGAAAAAGCACCGTAAATGCAATTTTGACCTTTTACCAGCAGTCCATGAAGCAGAGTATAGCAATATCCAGCGCCCCATGGACCCAGACACCAAGCGTCCCTTGGAACCGGCGCATCGCTTCGAGGTCAACATCGAAGGGGACTCTGTCTCCCAGGCCAAGTTCGACCTGTTTGTCAAGTACCAAACCACCATCCACCGGGAGGATGTGTCGCGCTGGAAGCAGAAGGACTTCCAGCGCTTCTTGTGTTCGGGCATCAAACGCTCCCAGCCATCTGCCAGCGCCAAATCTACCGAGAAGAGACTGGGCTCGTGGCATCAGTGCTATCGATTAGATGGGAAACTTATTGCAGTGGCGGTGCTAGATTTGATTCCTAGCGGTGTTAGCTCGGTCTATGTCTTGTGAGTGATTACCAAACTATCTTGTAGCATCAACTGACCGTTTCCTTCTAGTTATGACCCTGAATATGAGCAGTGGGAGATTGGGAAGCTGAGTGCTCTGCGGGAGATTGGGCTCGCCCTGGAAAATGAGTATCTCTACTACTACATGGGTTTGTGATGGCAAAAGAGTAATTGAAACATGCCTGACCGTTCGAATACAGGATACTATATTCACTCCTGCCAGAAGATGCGCTACAAAGCTTCCTTTCGCCCTCAATACATCCTCGGTAAGCCTTTGACCGCATGCATTCTATATCACTCGGCCCTGATCTTACACATTTATGGTTTGCAGACCCCGAAACCAACACCTACGACCCACTGGATGGCGAACTCTCCCAGAAACTGGACAGCCGACCCTATGTCTCTCTCTCCGGAGACCGATCCTCCACCTCCTCCACAGACCCCACATCCCAACCGCAGCTTGACCACGATGACAACGAAGAGGAGCTCTCCCTATTTAACATCCACATGCCCGGCGTGCTGACCCTGGACCAAGTCAAAGCCCTAGACCTAGATCATTGGTACTTGGTGGTTCATGGATCATTCGTGCATATGAATGTACGCACCCCTTCCTCTCTCTTTTGGATCTATATTTACTGACGATACATAAACTAGGACCTCGTCGGCTGGGAACACATGGCGATGGATAGCCCCCAGTCCGTGAAGGGGATCATTGCCGAGCTGGCTGCTGTTCTAGGGCCGAAACTTGTGAAAGATAGCGCCGTGGTGCTATTTGATTAGTCGGAAGATTGAAAAATCAAGCATCTTGGTAGATAGAGAATTCCATATTGGAGGTTTTGAGAGCTTCAGTAACGTTCCTTTGTATTTATATGAAATTAGTGGATGCAATAGAAAAACATAATAATGTCACCAGCAGGCAAAAGGACGTATCATTGTACGGTTCTGGTTTTTTCCGCATTAGTTAATCTGGGTGGATCTTCATCGCGCCCTATTAACGACATCATCTATCCACTTGAGATTTTTGTCTCGGATTCAATTAAATGTTCACCATTAACCAACATTAATATTATCGTTGGTTACCATCAGGGCGTTCACTGAGGGGAAAACTGCATCCGCCATGACAACGCAACCCCAATCAACCTCAACAGCCATCGAGCTGCAAGATCGGCAGTCGGCAGAAGAAAGACTCACCCGGCTCACGAACGATGCAGCCGGCGCCACAGATGAAGACGAAGTAATGCAGGCTTCCAGACTAGCCGATTCCGAGGTCCCCGACGGCGGAGAAGGTTGGGTTGTTATCGCCGGATGCGCAATCATCACCTGGTGGTTCGTCGGCACGTCCTACTGCTGGGGAGTCCTGCAGGCAGCCCTGGTCAAGGAAGGTGTCTCGACATCTTCCACACTGGCGTTTGTGGGGTCGCTTGCTCCCGCCTGCATTTCATTTTTGGGCATTTTGAATGTCCGAGTCATCCGAAAACTGGGAACGCGCCTCTCGGCTCTCTTGGGTGTCTTCCTGCTAGGCTTGGGGGAGGCCCTTAGTGGGTTTGCTATCCACAATGTTAAAGGGTTATTCGCGACTGCTGGTGTTGTGATGGGGATTGGGATTAGGTGAGTAGATGCCTGTCCAAGTCCGATCGTGATGTGCTGACTGACTCGCGCTGGACAGTCTCTGTTTTATGGTCGTCTCGGTGACGCCTGCGCAATATTTCAGAGCGAAGCGTGGAATCGCTAATGGGATTGTTTATGCTGCTGGTGGTCTGGGTGGTGCAGTCATTAGTTTTCTGTTGAATGCACTGCTCACCAAAGTCGGCACAGCCTGGACATTTAGAATCCTTGGCTTCATGACCTGGGCCACTGGCCTACCAGCGGCATACTTGGTAAAACAGCGCCTCCCCATTCCTCGCTCGGCAATTGTTGAATGGTATGCTACAATCTCCAATAAAAAGAAACTGTCCATTGATTGACTCTTACCCCAGGCGCCTACTTCGTGATATTCGCTTCGTTCTCCTCTTTGCCGCCGGTGCAATTGCAACCTTTCCACTGCTCGTGCCTCCATTCTTCTTGCCATTGTACACCGATTCAATGGGAATGGCATCCAGCACTGGCGCCGCCGTGGTTGCGGCATTTAATTTCTCCTCTGCGATGGGCCGACTTCTTTGTGGATTTTGCAGCGATTTCGTCGGACCGCTAAACACTTTGTTCTTCTCCATTATCCTGAGTGCTCTGAGCATGCTCATCCTCTGGCCGGTCTCAACTTCTATTGGTCCTCTGATTGTTTTCGTCATTATTAATGGTATGGCTAATGGCGGGTTCTTCTCGACTATGCCTACTGTTGTCGGGACGGTGTTTGGCTCTGCGAGGGTGTCTGTTGCGATGGGGATGATTGTTACTGGGTGGGCGGGCGGATACCTACTTGTAAGTTTTATATCCTTTTTTTGCCTTCGGTATCATGCTGACTATTTTCTACCCAGGGAGCCCCCATTGCCGGGTATATACTTGCTGCGTCCGGTGGACAGGACAGCGGTGTTAGCGCCTATCGTCCTGCTATCTTCTATGCAGGCGGCATGGCGTTGGTGGCTGCTTTGATGGCCATCTTCGTACGCCTCAAGACTGATGCTCGGCCATTCAAGAGATTGTAGATACATATCTTTAAATAATACATTCATTCTCTCTCTTTCTCTCTCATTTTCTTCATCATCACCAGGCGTCATCAGGAATCTCGCACCCCCACGCCAATTGAAAAGGCGCATTTTCAAAAAGCTTCTTCGAGTCATGATTCTCCGGCCAAGACACCTCCACCCGGAAATTCGGGATCCAGTCTATCTTCATCAGTGGCTGCAAGGCAGATTCCTCTGTGGTAAACCAGGAGAAGCGTCTATCCGGCTGTGCAGCGGGACCCCCAACCTCAACGCCACCAAACCGCACCAGGAGTCTGCGCAGGCCTTTCATGGTAGCGATGACATCCCACACAGTGTCCGGAAGCGGGCCTCTATAGCCGTCAGAGTTTTGCAACTCCCATTTCCTATTATAGAGCTGCCAGTCTCTAAAATGCCAGAACCTGACTCTGACATCCAGAGATCTTATAGCATCAAATCGCTGAGGCACGAATACACTTCTGAGCTCGGCGGGTAGCTCGAAGGCTGGGAGTACCCCGTCGTCAAGTTGAAGGGTGTTACCAGAGTATAGGATATTGATAGCCTCGGAATAGCTAGGTTTCTCGATTATCAGCAGCATTCACACAGGTCGAGTATGTTCGATACGCACATCTCCCGACATGTCAAGAGCAGAGAAATTCTGCGTAACTTCGTCCCAGATGCCTCGTCTATTGTTGGATCACCCTCCCCATCTTCGGTTGGAAGCCATTTAGTGTGCAGTCTAGAAGTCCCTCGCCCGATAAGAATGGTTTTACCCCCAAGGACATGGTGGTAGATTTGTTCCCGGAGCTCGGGGGTAGCTTTCTCAGGAGCAGGCACTGATCCTGCCGTCTGGTTTGACGTCTCCGCCATAGTTTCCAGGTACGCTCTTCTGGTAATGGAAGGGTGAGAGCCCGTTTGCGTGGTAGAGGAGATTGGAGCTCGCGGGCAAGGGTCCTTTTGTTGTTAAACCCACACTTGGCCGCCATGGAGACGGCTAGGGGAAAGCAAGGATGAAAGATAACGTAAAGACAACCAGCAAGGATGCTATTACGGATCTATTTTGAACGACTTTTAGAACACCTCCTGCCCTCGCGAAGTATGACGGAATCCTTTGGGGTCCATCATTTTGGCCCCCACACGACGACCTTGCGCTGAACCCTGACGGATAGTCATCAACGAACTATGCCTTTTTATAGAAATTGGACATACCGCGTGACTGTTGTTATTACAGGCGACGGCATTTTTATTTCTAAGTCCGACTGCTCGACTGATATCTTTTGGGTGGTATCGCCTGATGATATAGCAACCTTTTCGTCATTCTGTTTCAGATAGTGCCAATCCAGAAATTTATTTGCTCGAAATTTATTCGGATTGCTTTGGATAGTCTGTAAAGCCTCACCAAAATCTTCAATGAGTGGGAGTTTCTTTTATGTGCCTCTAAAATCTAGAATTCTCAAATGAGATTGATATATCACAACTGATCACATAGCAGCCACCAATATATTGCCCGATAGCACTAGCAGTTCCCTCCACTTAACGTCGTGGATTCAGCAACATATCCGGCATTCCTCCTAATCCCCTAGCCCTCACCCAGACATCCACAATCTTCGCTGCGCCAGCATCCGCCTCCGAATCTACAACAAGATACCATTCATAGTACGCGCTGGTAATACAAGCATGATTCGGGAAGATCTTGACCGTCTGTCCAACGTGCAACGGAATCTTCTCGTCCGCGCTATGCTCCCAGGATACGATGGCGTGTTCCTGGCTAATCCGATCGACGATCAACCGATCTGAGGAACCTGGGTTTGCTTCTTGTCGCCAGGACGAAAGAGTTCCCCAGCCTCGATAGCTGGGACATGGTTCGCGGCCGAGAGCTAGCGTCCCTGCTGCGAGAAGAGCTTCTGGTTTGGAGCGTTCGCCGTCGTTATAAACGCTGCATACTTCTGCGAGGACTGAGATGGCGACTTCGTGTTCTGGGTTGGTTGCGCGTCCTCTCGCGTTCGTGGAGAGCTGTTGCATATCCAGGATTGGGTAGACGCCTGCGTGCAGCTCGATCTTGACGTTCGAGTTTGGATCCGAGTCCGGATTGCGCAGCAACTCTTTCAACTTCTGGGCCTCTGCGCTGAGTGGTTCGTCCGCTACCAGATTCTGCGATGAGACAACCTGCGGCGATGCGCCGACGCTGATAACTAGCTCCCTGTCTTTGTCTTGCGGGAGGAGATGCCGATTCTGCTTCAGTGCCTCGACACACCCCGTAATCTCAGAAACCAGGTGGTTCATAGCTTCGTCGGCTGTCGTCCCCGCGTAGCTGAGACTACTGTGGGAATACAATCCCAGGACTTTAGCATGCCCCGCCTGTTCTGCGGCGGCGAGTTTTTCGAGCAACCCGTTTTTATTCAGAGAGGCCGGCGGCAGCCCGGCACGGTGATACCCGGTATCAATCTTGAGAAACACACACGCAGGAAAGCCAGCCAGGGCAGCGAATTTCTCAAGAGCGGCCAGCTGGTCTGGATGATCGATCATCACCGTGACGCTGTTCTTGCCCAGCAGCGATGCGACGGCGGCTAGTCTTTCCACCTGCGAAGGTGGCAACGGGATGCCATAGAGCACATTTACTGCGCGGCCATGTTGGCCAAGCTCCGCGAACAGCAGCTGGAGCGATTCGATTTCAAAGACTGTCGAGGCGATGAAGTTGGCCGGGCTGTTCTCGTCATCTCCGACTTGTAGTGCTGCAACGTGGTGGGTCTGCAGTTCATTAATTTTGGGTATCTTCTGATTGATGGTGTCATTCGCCTACTTTGTGTGTCTTGACGTGTGCGCGGAATCCCACGTTCAGCACCTTCATGGTGCGGAGCATTTGCTCGCAGTGGCGTTTGATGATCGCTGCATCGAGCACGGCAGATGGTTTAGGGACATCGTTGAGATCTTTGCCGACGTAGTATTCTCTCAGGTCCTCTTCCGAGGGCAGAGTGTGTTGTGACATTGTGATTGTTAACGAATTCACGGGAAGTTGATGTTCCAAAGCACCGTGGAGAAGAGGTGGGGCGGGACGGTAGAAAGAAAGCCCTGGATATTCTGCCTGAGAGGAGGATCGAATACAAATAAATGACTAGAAAACATATACTATGTAGTAGAAGCCATGCCAACCAACCCAACCGAGGCATCGAGACAGTAGTTATGCGCCGTCTGTCTATCGCTTTTGCCCCTGCAAGACCAACCTACGATGCCTTCCGTGCCATAACCCTCGAACGCCAGAAAAAGAGTAAACCCCCACCAGAAACAAGCCTATGCGCCCTCAATAGCATCCTCCAGCCCATCCAGCCCGCCTAGCATAGAGTGAGGAGGTTTCCTCCCCGCGCCATAGACCATCTCCAAGAGCTTTGCCTTCTGCTGCTCGCGAACGGAGCGCAGGTAATCGTACGCGCCCTCCAGTCCACGGATCTGGCCATCTATCACTGCTTCAACGGCACTGAGGGTGCGCCCTGGCGTCCCAGCACTGCTAGCAGCGTTGCTCCCATCCACGGAGCCCACGAAACTAACCGAGTCATTGCGCCGCACGAGCGGGCTAACCAGCTTTCGGCGCAGAGTCTCCAGGTTCACCTTGAGAGTCAGCAGACGACCGCGGTGATCGACGAGAAGGTGTTTGTTCGCAACGGTGCGGCTGCGCACATTGGCAAGAAGCCGCTTGTTTTTCTCGTACTTGCGCACCACGGCGGCGTCGGGACCGAGGACGCGAGTCCAGAGGGAACTGAGCATCTCGCCCTCGGCGCGCTCTTGGGCGTCGGACTCGCGGACGACGGTGCGTTGGAGATTGAGGAATTGGCGGTCGATTGATTCGAAAAGCGCGAAAAGTGCGGTTGAGTGCGTTAGTTCGCTGTTGATTGATTCTTCGAGCACAGATAGGAACTCGGTAAAGGTTCGTGTGAGAGCGGTGCGTGTGCGCTGGGCTGAGGTCGGACCGAAGATGGCCATTACGAAGTGACCCACTGTGGTGGACGTCGTCGTCGTTGGCCCGTCCGAGACTTGGACGGTGTGTTCCAGGGCGCCGAGCCGGGAGAGCATGTTGTGCATATTGTCGAAAACAATAGTCGGCAAAGTACTAGGTGGTTGCGCCGATAGCGTCTCAAGTTCGCGCTTCGCCCAGTCCATCACGATGAGAATCGAGTCAATGTCCGAGTCAACGTTTGCAAAGAACCGGGTCAACTCCAGGGAGAGCGACTTGAGCGAGTCAGACAACTCGTCTAGTTGACGCACAATGATTGGAGCACTGGTCATATTGGTGCCGCGCACCGACTCGCTGAGATCCCAGACGGCCACTCCCGTTTCTTGGAGTGTGCCAATCTGCTGTACGCCATTTTCGGAGTAGTAGATCAGCGGCTCGAAGGACCGTGCAAAACTTGAGAGCTTCACTAGATCCGGGATGGACTGGGGCAAGCCAGGTAGGAGAAGGGCGCGCATGAATGCAACAGACACCAACACAATCAGGACGGAAAGCGTGGTGTTCGACTTGGTGCTGGTGATGCGCTCGATCTGGGTACGCAAGTACCCAAACATGGCAGCAAAGGGCTCGCGGTGCTGAACCTCGGCGCGAACAGCGAAACGGAAATCTTTTGGTGTCAGTATTTTTCCTGCGCATTCCAATCATACACGCAGATCACAGGGCATACAGTTACTCAGGTTCCCTCCTCCTCCAAAGTCCGACTCATCAGCCTCAGCACTGTGTCGCGGCAGTCCCGGGCTCGGTGATCGACCCTTCTGTGGCGAAGCAGATCCTCTGGGAAGCGGCACATTGGCCGCAATAGTGACATCCGCATTATCATGATCATTCGAATCTCCTTCCAACGCATCCTCATACTGTGGACTCGGCTCGCGCGACATAGACGGCGAAAGAGTCATCCCAATCGTCGGTTTGAGCTCCAGACTGGGATTGGGCTTGTGCAGGTACGGCTGATGGCGATACCAGCCACTGCCTCGCACGTAGTCATGCTGCCGCAGGCCTGGAGGTGACCAGCGCTCTCCCGCAGCAGGGTCTTCGATCTCACCTTCTTCTGAGTCTTCCGATCGGAATCCGGAGTGCTGCGATGGAAGCCCGAAGACCGGAGAGCGGTGGGGATTGCTGTTGTTCTCGAAGTCCTCGAGCGACACATCCAAGGACGGATGGTCGTCGAACTCTTGCTCTAGCTCATCCAGCATGGTGGACGGCGAGTTGGAAGGTTAGCGCCAGAGAGTGAGAGAGTGCGTCGATAATGTTTTTGCGATCTTTTGTAGGTGGGCGGTTAGTTCAGGCGCCTGCGCAGTAAGTGGGATGCGCTGGTTGCAGCAGAGAGGGTTACGACAGAGGGGTCTGCGCGGTGTACAACGTTCCGAAGATGCGATGAATGCGATCAGAAGCGATCAGGGTGAATATGGCAGTCGATGTAAACACGAGAGACTCGGTGATGGTCGCATTCGCCAACAGAGAGCAGCGATGAAATTTGAGGACAGCAACATCCGTTAAGCGCCCAGCATGAAGAGGGAAGAGAAGAGACAAGAACATCCCCCTCCCGCTCGATGTATCAAGTTCAGGTGGCTGGGCCAATCACTCATCTTCCTTCGTTGGGTCATGTGCAGCGTGGTACTCGAGTCTCCGACGGTACTTGCGTGATCGGTACTGTACAAGTACCTTTTTGCCGGGAGCTGGCGGGTGGGGAACCATGACAGTACCGCCGAGGAAAGTCCCCTGCGTGTGCCTGACCGCCACAGGTTCGTTGGCCCAAAATACATCTGCCCCATGGACTAAGTATAGTACCTGCACCAAGATGAAAAATAATAATAAAATTTAAAAGAGGTGAGAAGAATCAGATCTATTGCGGGTCAACCCATGGTAATCAGATAATAGTACATGCCCGTGTCCCTCTCGAAGGCCCGGTAAATCGGCCCACGGCGCCAAAACCAATTCCCAGACATCTATGAGGATCCTCGCGAGAGACCAGGAGAACAAAAAGCCGTGCGGTGGTAATGGTATCACGTCTATGCCGTCGACTCCTTGAGGTAGGTGATCAGGTCGTTGCGCTCCTTGCCCTTCTTCAGACCACCGAAGGCCATCTTGGTGCCGGGGATGAACTTCTTGGGGTTCTCGAGGTACTTGAACTGTAGAAGAGATGGGTTAGCATGCATTTCTGCTAATTCGGCGGCTGTGCGGGAGACATACCAGAGTGTTCTCGTCCCAGGTCACACCGGCCTGCTTGTTGGCGTCGGTGTAGGCGTAGCCGTCGGCCTGGCCGGTCTTACGGCCGAAGAGACCGTGCAAGTTGGGGCCGACCTTGTGGCCGCCGCCATTCTCGACGGTGTGGCACTGCGCGCAGCGAGTCTGGAAGAGCTTGGCGCCCTTCTTGGAGTCGCCTGGGTTGGACAGGTCAGCGATCGGGTTCGGCTTAGGGGTGGCCTTTGCTTTGGCCTCCGCTTCAAGCTCGGCCTCGCGCATGTCCATGACGGACACGAAGCAGAAGACGTCAAAAGTTCGTCATGGTGAGGAGCGAAAGCGAGAGCGAAGGCAGAGCAAAAGGCGCAGGTTGAAGTGCTGGGAGCGAGTCGCAAGGCGGGTGGCGAGGAGAGGGTTGGAAGGAACAGAGAGGCAGGACGAAGCCAAGAAAGGGCAACTGTCGAGCTTCATTCACTGCTGCGAGCCTCCCCAGCAAACAATGGCGCCGCCGCAGTGAATGAACGGGTGTCCCCCAACCCAACCCCCGAAACTCCGAATTGCGATCGCATCCAGCAAGGAAAGGGCAGCAGAGCGCAACTTACCAGGTGCGAAGCTCTCGTCTTTACCCATTATTGTGATGAATTGTAGTTTTTGGAGGAGTTCTGGAGAGGTGGAGAGGTCTTTTCTAAAGAGCGTGAAGGTGTTGGGAAGAAGGAAAAAGATTTTCGTTGACTATTTTGCCCTGCTCCGGCTCCCGTGACCAGTGAAGGACCAATCAGCTAGTATGATTTCTCAGCTCGGGAACAACCGGTTCGAAACAAATTAAACCGGCTTCTGCCAGTATTTACTATTAAAGAGGTTTGGAGTGACGGTGGCTACGTACGTATCAGGCATTGCCACAATCCATCTACAATCCAGCCATTGAGTCCCTAGGAGTCCCTGAACCTCTCAAAACCGGCCTTTGAGAGGGCCATGACCTCATACCTGATCACACCCTCAGAGACTAGGGGGAACTCTGACTACTGGTTCCGACACAATGACAATGTCCAGTTAAGTCTACATAACAGTAATTGCTCTTGTCTGGTCCAATTCACCCCGTGAAAGGGGGCCTGTTGGGTCCACGGAGAGATTTGAAACGGGCCAGCTTTCATTTGCCCCAGCGATCCGCTTTCCCGAATGTCCCGGGTGTGGATCCGAGGACAGATTGTCCTCGGCCGAGCGAATACTTGACCGGTTACGATAAGGATTAGGATATTCGGTGTCTATGATCCAGCATGAGACCCGTGACCTAGTGGATAATCAAACTAGGACAAAGGCAATTGAACCAATAGAACTTGTTAGTCAATAACTAACTACAGTACCGATTCAGGTGGAACATGAACTGTTCCTAGTGGTTAACGTAGCCCAGCGAGTCACTCTGATAGACGCTTTAATGGCAGCTACTAGAGTTAATGAGATTTGACTTGTTTCTAAATAGAGAGGGGAGAGCAAAGACATGCGTCTGTATTGATTATCTACAACCGTTAATTATGTATGCGCCACCACTACGGGCTGGGCGCTCCGGTTGCATCCTTCCGGGGCATGTATATTGGGCAGCACCTGATCGAGATGCTGTAATCGCAGTGAAATGTCCTCCTTCTGCAGGCTCTTATCCGATATTCTACACTTCCATCCTCATACGGAGGGATGATATGGAAACAGATATATTGATACGTCATACAGTAACTTCAGTAATGTGCCAGCTGCGACTACTTCAAGTTGCTGTTGCGAGAGAGAAACTAGACCATTCCTTCCACCAATTGCGCCCTGCAGAGTTCTGAGTCTCTCTCTTCCTCTTCTCCGTCCTTCTCCCAATCAACCATTTTGATAAAGCCTTTTCCTTTTGCCATTGCAAACTGCTCTGCCAAGGCTCATCTTTCATGGGCCATATCTTTCGAAAGATGATCGCTTGCCATAGCGGCAGCGGCATTCTTCTTTTTTGACGAATTTCATGCGTGAGCTCAGCTTCGCGGGCGACAAGCTCATTGCTACCTCCTCGTGTGCGCCCAACTTGCCAGGAATGAGCGAAAATACGATTCTTCTCTGGCTCGTCTATGCGAATATTAATTCCTTCCAGAGGTAGGGTGTCTGGACCTTGGTTCTTGCTTGAAGAAATGACTCTGAAAATTGCACAGGCGAGACTTTCATCCACAGCACTGTTGATCATAAACCGACGAATGTGACCATCGCGGTTGCGAAAGTATCCGCCCAGGTCTTGGAAGGAAAGGTGGTTGTCGAGTCTATCCCAAGAAGTATGTGTCGAGGACATAGCTTGAGGAGGGTCACCCCATCCTCCCCAGCTGGGGGAATAATTTATAACATGTGTCTCTTCACCTCCGTTTAGCGAGGGATCGTATGCGGCAAGATACAAGGTCAGGTATTTCAGACGATTGATAGTACCCAGCGCTCGATAGGAAGCGACCTCCGAGGCGTCTCCTTGGGATCTCTGGATTTTGCAAGCTAGTTCTTCAAGGAGCGGGCACTCTCGGGCGATTATTTTTATTGCAGGCTCTGTCAGACAGCGTTGGTGATGGCGGTGCTCGTAGAGGAGAGCTAGTCTTCGCAATCGTGGTCCGTGATGTTCCACAATAGATTCCACGGGAAGAAGTGAGTGCCATCCTTCAATATCAAGCTCTTCCAACGGTGGAAGAGTACAAAGAAATTGTCTCGCAATGTCGTAAAAATCAGCTGGCTGTTCGCGTTGCTTCATGCAAATTACTAGCCTGCGGAGCGATGGAAATGAATATTCTCGAGACCAGAGGCTAAGTGCCCTCTTGTTTACCCCTGCTTCTACCACCAGACTTTCGAGGACAGAAAAATCTGTATGGTGTTTCCACATTCCTAGTGTTGACCATAGATCGATAATTTGAATATGCGTCAATTCACACATTGAGGTTGGAGGTCTGTTCAGTTCAGACTTTGCAGGCCATGGAAGGCTGATGGGCGAACCCGCACTGGTTCCTGTGATCCAGGGCTGGGTATTACCAGCATTGTATACCTCTTTTAGATTCGGGGCCAGTCGTAGCCAAAGTAGATTATAGTACTCGGTGTCCGGAGCTTCGATATCAATGTCCTGAGGGTTCGAGGGGCGAGTCCAACTAGTGACCTGCCAGATGAGCACGACACTGTACAACAAAGGGGACGTTAACATTTGAAGAATAGGCAGATGACAGATAGTGTTCAATCGGAGTGAATGATGCCGAAGCCTACACCTAGGCTGGAATTCCTCCAGAGCCTCAAGAAGACGGCGGGGAAACGGTTCAGCGCATAGCCATACCAAATCTTTCAACTGGGTTAATTTCTGGATCAATGTAGCAACCGGCTCCCAGATCGATGAATTGGAGTTGGTCACAGTTCCTGGCCGATTAGAAGAGCGTCGTTGAAGCTCTCCCTCACGCCACACAGGCCGGTATCGGCGATCGTGTTGATAAGACAAGTTTTCGTAAAATGGCGTGTATGGCTTGCCAGGCATATCGCTTCTCAAATCCTCTATAGTATGTGAATGCGAGAAAGAATTGTCTTTGCATGAATCGCAGCAATAATCGTCGATCACAAGTCGACGAACGAGCGCCATCGTTCCTTTCTGTTCGAGCTTTCGAACATAGTTGTTGACTTCTTTAGTGAATCCATGGCTGTCCTGGACCGAGTTCTCCGCGATGACGCTGATATATGCGTCATGAAAGAGGAGATTGTTCACCAAGGGCTTGCACCAACGAAAAATGGCTTTGTTGACGAGGGCGAGGCTTACGAGGCTCGGCGGATCGTACGTCGCGAGGTGCGATGTCACCAGCTCAAGTACCTCTGCTGGAAGAGCTTCGATCGACATTTTGATTTTGCTGTAGCTTTGTCGTTTATAGCATGGATCGCAATCAGTTTCGCCATCAACTCACAGAGATCCTTTTTCGAACCCTGTCATGAGCTAACCTATAAAGAGGGCTCGAGAAAGAATATCTGTGTGTGAATGGTGAATCTGAATTCGATCCGTCCTGTATGGAACTTGAAAGTGAGATTTCAAGGTGTGATGGGTGCTAAGTCCTGCAGTTGGGCCAGGTATCTGCCATCGTTGGCCCCTGTCATCCGTCGTGGTAGAAATTGGGGGCCATTTGTTTTAATTTTCATTTGGTCAAGAAGAGGGACTAAAAGAGAGACTAAATTCTGATATAATAGTTGCGTGTACCTACCACATATACTGGAGGTTTTTTTCGTGAAAGTTGTTACTATCTATATCTGTGCGAAATAAAAAGGGCGGCAAACGACATCCGCAAAAGGGGGCCAAAATATTGATAGCTGCGGTGGTTTGGCCCGGTTAGAGTCAACAATTTGCCTCTCTTCAAGCGGAGTGTGTTCTTGTAATAAAATTCTAGCTCAGAAATGACCTAGAAAGTTAGACATAATGAGTGAATACTTCCCTTACTTAGATAATAAGACGGCAGTTGATTTACCTTCCTCCGAAAAGATTTTCGCGTTAGATTTCCCCGTGCAAAAAGACCAGACGGCGGCGGACCGAGAAGATATATCATTTCGGCAAGATGCGCTCGACTGCGTTAAGCCTGAAAATCTGGATCTTGGCCGGTGAACAAGGGCCCGCCTTCGACAATGTTCCAAATCTATAACGTAAGTCTAAGAACTTTTGCAGTAGTATTATCGGACTAGTCTTACTATGCATCCCACACTTCATATATCAACACTAGATATGTCATAGAACTTCCAAAATTATTTCAGGTGCTCGATAGACATCAAGTTGAATGCCTTCTGAGTGATATTTTGTCTCTAAGTACGAGTAAGCCCAAGTCGCATAGTACCAGAGCAACTAATTGCTTGAGCATTTTAATTTCCCTGGAGGCGTAAATTGTCCCCATCTAGCTCCTTCCTACGACAGGGGTCCTAAAGCTCATTCTCATCAAAATCACTAAGAAGCGAATCACCGGCGATCCCAAACATATATTGTCGGCCTTGATGTCTAATGGCATGCCTAAGGAACTGAAATTACAGAAGCAGAAGGCCGAATAGAAGCACGTACTCTTATGTATATTCTTGCATTCTGTATGTAGATTGTCAAGTGCCAAAAACAAACGGTGAAGCACAATAACCAAAATTAGTGTAGACAGTCTCCGTACCGGGTTGCGGAATAGAAAAGCCAACACGCTCTCCCATAATAGAGGATGTACGAGGCATCGATGTTTGTCTCCAGGTCCGTCAGCATCAAACGAGTCGACCAACGATCTGACATATGTATGGCCTAATTGTTTTGTGAGACTCCTTCTATGCGGTTGTATATGTTGAAAATAGACTTATTGAAGATCTTAAGAGTAACGTAATGACGGCAGCTGTGGTTTTGGTTAGCGAGTGGAGGCAGGATAGTCCTAAATATAGATTCCATGGGTGTCTCGCTCCCCTGTCCCATGTAAGCCACACAGTTAAGCTAGCTCCAAATGCTGGCTTTCCAACGACTTGATACCGATTCTCAATGATTCCTCCTATTTGAGTAGGGTAGAACCGGGATGCAACATAATCTGGGATGATCTCCTCTTCAATTGCCTAGCTTGCATGTATCCGGATCAAAATTCGGATTCGAGAAATTAAGTGGCGTCCATCTTCATCCGGGCAGAGGTAAGGACAGTAGAAAAGACATCGACATATTCTAAGGTGAGCGGAAGCAGGTTTATTACACAGGATTATGGAATAAAACCAGGGTTTGAAAGCTGGTAATATCGGGACAATAATGTAAGATGATAGCAGATGCGCAGCTGGCGCTGCCAGATTCAGATGTACTCTCGTGCGCCCCAAACTTTTGATAGGCAAAGGAATGAGTAGTGTTGTTGACTGAAGTGATTCTCCCAAACGGGAAGGTCTACTTATCTATCTGGTGGCGGTGAACGCTGACACCTCAGGCATCCCGCAGAGGTTGAAAATCACCCGTTGCTACAACGCTCAACCACGACGGACTCGCAATCACCGAGGCAGTCAAGATGCCTCCGCCTCCAATCCCCCAATTCCTCCTCCCGCGAGGTCTACCATCTATGCGTGTCCTGCGAACCCTGCAACAACGCCAACAACATGGGATCATCAACACACCCAGTTCGCGCGCCTTCACCTCCACTCGACACACCCTCGCCAAATCCAAGAACCAGGAACAGGACAAGAACCGCACCCTCGGTCAGCCCGACAAATTCCGCCCGCCATCCCATCCCCAGCGCCGCGTCGTCAATCCCTCCTCGCGATCCGGCCAACCCATCAACTATGGACCCCGACTCACAGCCGAGGAGCGCGAGGCCCAGAACAAAAAACAGTACCCGAACATGTTCCCGCCGGAGGGGACGGTAATGTTCAAGTTTCTGACAAGCCGGTGGATTCATATCTGGATTGCCATGGTAAATCCCTGCCTCCATACATGATCCATAATCGGTTTGATATACTAACCATCTGCAATGAATAGGGCACCCTCACAGCCTTGGCCACTTTCACCTTCACCACCAACTTCAAGGCAAACTCGCCCTTCGCGCATCTCCTCCCGCCCTGGTCCAACCTGCTGCCCCACCCGATCGATACAGTCTCGCAGGCGTTCTCGGTGTACCGCATGCATGTGCAGCATGAGTCGATGCGTGTGCGCGAGCAGCGGCATCGCCGCATTGACGATGCAGAGAAGAGGCGCCAGTACCGGGTGGCGCATGGGTTGGAGGAGCCAACTGAGAAAGACCGTGAGGGTGACGGCGAGGGTGCGGCGAAAGATGATCAGTCGCCTATTGCTGTAGAGAAGAGCTCGGCGGAGTATGTTGATTGGGAGGGGAATAAGAAGCCTGCTAAGAAGTGGTTGGGGATTTGGTGAGTTCCTCGGTTCTAGGAGAGCTTGTGCATATACCGCCAGTCCATCTTGTTTGTATATTAGATCGTTAGAAGGAGCTTTTGTGTATTCCCTGAAAACCTAGACTCCGATATGCTCATAAAACACGGCATTCCATGCATCTCCCTCCTCATATTCATTCAACTTGGACACCCTCCAATCCCTCCAGAACCTCTTCGCCTACGCCACCCTTCTTAAGGACTGTTTTGACCATCTGCGCAATAACGCTGCGCTTGACACCACCTCGTCGCGGACGCCAGACACCGGGAACCTCCTCCTCGCCGGTAGCAGGATTCAAAACGGCCACATCTTCCGTCGGCGCCGTAGCACCGAGCGCATTCACATTCTCTGAGTTCGGGACGCCAGGCTGCGTCAATCGCGAGGGCGGATCGATGGTACGGATAGAAAGGAGTTTCAGGTTCTTGTCGCCGCCGTCACGGGCAACCGAAATAGCCAGCACGGCGTCCGCGACAGCGATCTCTTCACGGCTGGGATCAAAAATGGTGTTCTCGCCTACTGAGATCACAAGCAGGGTAATCGGTGGGCGGACTTGAGGCACTGATGAACCCAATTTCGAGGTGGAGTTCGTCGTCCCCCGAGGGTACAGGTGCTCTGCGACAGCCCAGTCGTCATCGAAAAATGGGTCCTCTTCGCCTTGGGACTTGAGTTTTGGGAGTTTTGTGGAGAGAAGTGCGAGGTGAGTTGTGAGTGATAGGAGGGGGAGAGGGTATGACAAGGGCTGGGAGAGAAGAAGAACCTATGTAGAGTATTGTCAGCAAAGTTCCAGACCAGGACGTCAAAGGATAGACTTACATCGATGTACAACCTCCAATGCCACCGCATATTGATAACCAGTCTCCCTTTCAGCCCTCCGGCCATCTCATCACCGGAGTCATTTCCACTGGCGACAGAACCCACAAGCGACTCGCGCATCATCTCCGACAGAAAGACCGGCAAGGCATCATCATCCCGGAACCCGGGGATCTCAATAGACACCTGAACCCAAGATCCATGGCCCGCAACAGCCGCCGATCCAGTTCCCTCACTGTCGTCGCGACCTTCCTTGGCCACGAAATCCCCCTGCTGCTGTGAAAGATTGCTTGCGTCGAGTGTATCTGCCGAGAGAACCGTCTTCTCGACCTCAGCCTTGACGCCCACGACGGCCTGCGTCCCGTCCGCGAACCCGATGCGCGCGCTCCCGTTTGTGCCCGGGAGGATATCCGGTTCGGCTGTCAAGGGCCGGAATTGTGTTGGGGAGCGCCCGTCTGGTCGGATTGGGTTTTGCGGGAGGGAGAGAGAGGTGTAGAGGTAGGAGAGCTCGGCGGGGGAGAGATGCGGGGTTTGAGAGGCCGATGAGGCCTTTTGTTGTGCGGCCATGACAATGTGAAGGTAAAAGGTGCAGTAGGTGGTAAATAACCCGTGCAGCAGCACTTCAATTGGAGTAGTATCGCAGAGAAGTTCAGATGCTCCATTGGGAAATCTTGATATGCACGGATAATTGTTGTTCCGGTGCCGAACTACGAGATAAGCGGATTATCACAGCAACCTGTCTGTCCACCGAGCGAGGCGAGGGTCATGACGTGTATCATGATGTTATAAATGAGGCGTCGGATCAATAATTACTTCATTTACCCCTACCCTTAGTTACCCCTATCATATACACGTCTCCCAAGTCAGACTGTTAGTTATTCTCAGGTCACTGAGAATGTTTGTTCAAGAGCAGAGTGGAAGAAGTTGGAATCAATAAATATTATGAATATCAAAGTATGTATAAGTAGGTACGGGTAGGTATGATATATGTCCCTGACCATCATCGCGATGAAGTCAGAATCGGGAGGAGAATATTATATTACAACAAAAAGTAATAGAACGGACTGAACCCAGCCAGTCCTTCTTGCGGTGAGTGTACTGTAGGAGATAAACAAGACAAGACAAGACAGTGGTGATGATGATGTTGATGATGCAAAGAGAGCGGCAAGCAGGCCAAACGCCAGAGGTAGGTGTACATCGAAAAAGTAAGTAAGGAAAGAGGCGGATGCCTAGGCAATGTACAGGACGAGACAAAGAACAGTGGAAAGTGTATGGACAAATGAAAAAACAGCTTGTGTATATGGAAGTGGTGACCAAAAAAGGAAACGGTGGTGTATAGTGCGGCTGGCGCTGTGGTATCAATGGTGAAAGAAAGAAAAAGAAATGGGTATGTGCCAAACGCAGATCACGGGCGGGAAAAATGACTCCAGGTAAATCCGGGCAAAAATGTGTCTATAAAAGGGAAGAAAAACCTTGAAGGGGTATGAAGAAGAAGTGGCAAAAAAAGACCGAATAAACCCCATTCCCCATGGATATAAGAAAACCGGAAGACTTTGGTGAGAGAGAAAAAGACCGAAATCCATACGCCGAGAACGCGGTTCGTTTTTTGCGCAATATCGCCAGGTTGTTTTTCTCCGGTTGGAAGACCGAAGTATGTGCGTGGAAAGGTGGATAGAGAATGGTGGTTTCCGCTTCTTAGATGAAGTTGGATTCTGAAGTGAAGTAGTGTGAGGTGGGAGCCTTTTTGGTCCACTCCGCCTCCTCATAGGGAGGCGTGGGCCATTGGCGGCTCGACATCGAGTCCATCTTGCTGGCGGTAGACTTGCAAGGCGTCGAAGTGTTGGTGTCGAACGAGGACGATCCGTCCTTGGCCGTCGGTGAAGGGGTAGGGTATGGGCTTGGGAGCGGACGGTTCTTGTCATACCGGTGCGCAGTGGTCGGGTCGACGGCCATGGACTGGGTCTGTGCAAGACGCCTGGCTGCCTTGCTGGCCGAGTGCAGCACCTCGTCCAGAAGCTCATCTTCTTCCTCGGGGGTCTCGTAGCGGTGAACGGGGTGCGTCGACATCTGCAGAGCACGGCGGGTCCGGCTTGAGATCGGGCCACCGGTCGCGCTGGTAGTCTGAGGCATTGATTGGCGCTTGATGAGGTTGCCCTCTCCGCCAGAGTTCAATTGTACTGGGACATTGCCGGGCGAGGACGAGTCCAGAGAGTATTTCACGCCCTGAAGAGCCTTGTCCAGCTCGCTGAAGTCTGATGGCTTGGCGTCGCCGGGGTTGGCTCCGTCCAATGCCATGGATGAGCGGTTCGACCACGGGATGCAGCCTGCGTTGGCTTCGACGTCGTCAGGAACAGCGGCGACCTGGTTGCGGCCTGATAACCGGCGCGCGCGTTTGCGCAGATGGGAGAAGAAGCTTTCCTTGGTGCTCGAGGTGTTGCCCGAGCCGATCAGCATCCTCTCGGCCTCCTGGCGGTGGATATCGGCGTAATGGTTGCCATTGGAATTGACCGACAGTTGACGACCAATCTTTTTGCTCTTGCTGGCATCTTGTTCTGTCGATTTTGATGCTTTGGTCTGAGCGACCGTCGAGTGGGTCGCCTGCGCCGTGACGGCGTTGGACAGAGGAGACACCGGCCGGATAGAAGGCAGGATGGGCATCGGGGCACCGTTGGTCCACGTGGCCCGCTTGGTGTTTGGTGGCCGCGCCTTTGCGGGTTGCAGATCAGGCACGGTATTGTGCGACACAGCGGGCGGCCGAGACGGACTGTCGTTCTCGATGGTCGGTGCAGGACTATCCGAGCGACCAATCAAGGATCTCCGGAACCATGACGGCTTTGATGAGAGCGTGGGGGAATCGCAGGGGTCCCGCGCCGGGGACCTCAAGACCTTGTCAGAGTGCTTCCGGCCCAGCAACCGCGAGGAAGTAGACGACTTGGGGCGTAGCGGGTCGACCGCATCGGCAAAGTACTCGTGGTTCAATGCCTGGGTAGACGTTGGCCGGGCCTTGGGGTCCCACATGAGACACCAGGTAACGAATTCGCTAAGGGCAGTCGGCCACTGGGGCGCTTGGAGCACGCTCTCCATGGGATGAGGGGCCATCTTGGGGAAGGTAAAGCCCAGCTTGTGGGCCAGGCGCGAACCCTCACGCCATTCACCGCCACCAATCTTCGCGCCGGACTTGCTATACCAGTTCCCGGGGCTACCCATGATCTCACAGACGCGCCAGACTTGGTCCACCTCGTTGCCACCAGGGAAAAGAGGTTTGAGGGTAGCAATCTCAACCGCCATGGCACCGATGGCCCACATATCCACTGGCGCCGAGTACTCCCCGGCGCGCAGAAGAACTTCAGGTGCCCGGTACCATCGTGTCGAGACGTAGGTGGTGTAAGGCTGTTTGGAGTGAGTTTCACGAGCAAGACCAAAATCGGCAATCTTCACGGAGTAGGTCGGAGGAGTGGACGGCGGAGTGACCAGGTTGGAATAGCGGCTAAAAGCCGAGTCATTCGGAGCAGAAGTGGACACGAGGATGTTTTCGGGCTTGATGTCTCGATGGAAGAAGTGGTGTGCGTGGATGTGGTCTAGTCCCGACAGGATCTGGTAGAGGATGCTCTTGACATGTTTGCTTTCGAAGTACTTGTGGTCGCGGGCCTTCATCAATTGGTAGAGGTTGCCGTCCATGTACTCCATGCAAATGTGCAGTTTGCGGGAAAGCGGGTCGAGGAAGATATCGAGGGCAGGCACCAAGTGAGCGTGCACGGGTAATGTGCGCAAGAAGATGACTTCGCGGAGTTCGAGGCATGGCGACAGCGAGTCGAATGTCTTCTTCATTGTTTTGATCGCGACCTATCGACAGCGGGTCAGTGGCCATTTCGCCCCACACCCTCACCCAACATCGTGTCTCTTACCATCGTGCCTCTCCGCGCGATATGAGCGCCTGCAGTGCGCACACGTGCGACGGCAACGCTACCGAAACTGCCATCACCAACCTCCTTGATCACCTCGAAGCGGTCTTCGAGCGTAGCCATTGAGGCCTGAGCGCCCCGGGCGGGCGACTCGTATGTGACAGTCATGGTGTGGTTTGCGGTCTGCCAGCAGATCGAAGAGTGTGTATGTGTGTAGTGCGGGAGGGAGGGAGAGAGGGAGAAAAGGGAGGCTGGTCTGCAGTCAGTCTTTGCCTGCAGGTCCCGTGACGAGAACAGAAGTATAGGCGCTCACCCTTGTTGGGGTTCCCAGGGGTGTGTGTATTAATAGTAATTGGCACCGGTGCTCATTCTCTGGGGAGTCGGGAATAAAGAGACTGCTCCCATTTGACGGTTCTTTAAGGAGTGACGAAGTAGTTGGGAGAGTCTTGGGGGTGGGTGGAGGGAGGATGGGATCGGGAGGGAGAGAGAAGTCGCAGAGGGAGGGGGGGGGGGGGGAGGTAGGTCATGTATTCTTCGTTCGTCGATCGAGAAGAGACGACAAGCCCCTGACCGTCGCTGACAGCTTCGAAGTGTTGGTGGAGACTGGTAATTTACGTGGATCGTACCTGTCGAACGGGAGAACCCGCGCCACCCAATGGATCCCCGAGTCTGGTTTTGCCCCTTTGTTTGGGTCGAGTGGTGTCTGGGGCGAAAGACGAAGATTCGGCGCAGAGGTCGTGGAGAGGGATCTTTTTATCATCCATGGAGTTCTGACCGATGGGAACCTCAACTAATGCCTCCGGAGGATGTGTGGTTCGGGAGTTGGGCAGCACCGGGTACCGCAGGGCACACTTAGGGCAAGCCGCGTCTTTGCTGGCCTTTGGATCGGTCAGTCGGTGCAGGGACCATCCCTCCAGGAGGAGGGCATGGTGCTACGGAGGATGGACCATGGAGCTATCCCCGTTCCCATCTACAAATCGCCCGGGAGAAATGACAGATGCGTTCGCATCCCCAGATGTATCCGAGTGGCTGGGACTCGCATCTGATGCATTCGCCAACCCCCAGTGTGTGTGAGAACGATCATAAATACCAGTCATGATCATGACCATGTACGGACCTGGTAAATACAACCATGCAAAACGTCAGACCCGACGAACCCTGGGGCGACCGTTTGGCCCGCAAGGATCTTGCCCAGCCTAGCTAGCCCCGTGAAGCAGATGCTACACTCTCATTATTCTCCCTCAGCGGTGTCCGAGCTACGTAATGTCCTCCTAGCCGAATGATCCCTCTACCTCAAACCCTCGAGGTATGATTCTGTCTACTCCCTACCCGCGCGGACCTCACAACAATTACGCTGTGGATACCCACTCAAGGACCGTACCGACTATAGTCATAGTGGGACGGGGACTTACTCGAAAAGGCAAGAATCCAGCCAGACCTCTCCACTACTCTTAGCTCCAACCCAGTCCTTGGGCATCAGGAACAGCGCGGAACGGGGCGAAACAAATGATCAGAACGGCGCGTGGACGTATCGAGCGTCACAAATATGGACGCGTTGAATATTGACTCGGGATCAATACCGCTAACCTGGAATTGGGCAAGTCTCCCTCCCCTGTTCCGTCCCGCCGGCTCGACGGCCTGGACTCTACTCTCCACTTCCTCCCAACGCGGTGGAGATCCGCCGTTCCCCGAAAGGAAGAAGAGTGGGCGACGGGGTGGGCAGCGGTCCAGGGGGCAAACCCGAGCGCTGATCGCTAAACTCACTCACTACTGGCCACGGCACTATTTAATTAATTAAGAGACCGTTCCCAGAGCCTCGGGAGGCGCCGTTGTGTTCCTTCGGCTTTCCAGAAGGGCTTCCGCGGCCAATGCGGTCTAATCTGGGATCATTAACCTCATCCTGAGCCGTGGCCACATTTTTGAGTACACGAGTTGGTCTGATCATCTTTTCCCCGTCATGACACTCCCGTCTGTTTCTTTGTTCTCTCTCCCCACTAGATGCGTGGTCCGTCCCGCTACTAGTTACCCCTGTTAGGATGCCGGTGTCCATACATACACCGCTGGACAATTGGACCGACTCCATACCTCCATGCGGACTAACCTAGCTCGTGGGCAATAGGCCCACAGTACACGCCGAGCACCCGCCCCTTATTATGTAAATCCAGAAGGAGCCTAAGTGATGGCCTCGTGCGCCTGCACCCGCCCCCTGGGAATGGTTCGGGTAGATCAGGGTAGTTTCCGGCGGTCCGCACGAGGGATGAAGAGATGGATTGTCACTGCAGTAACCGTCCTCAAGCTTTCACTAATCCGGAAGGTCAATTTCGGAGAATTTCCCCTTGGCGGCGCGGCGCTGGGGCTTCGTAATCTCTGGTTGCTTCGGAAATGGACCGTCCTGCGCCATCATCTATTTGGGGGTGTGGCTGTTAGAGACAAACTGTGCAAGGAATTGCAACTGGGGACGCTGCGAGTTGGGTCATTGGAATCTTTGTCTTTGTGTTCTGTTGGACTGGCAGAGGGTATGCTCAACCATGCTAGCCCTGCGGGAGTGGAGTACTGCTCTGAATTGCAAACACACTTGCCTCTCAAAAATGAGATATAATATTCTATGACGGAGTAGTAATCTGATCATGAGCGTGCTATACTGCCTAGTGGTCTATATTTGGCTGCCACTTACGGGTATCGAGTGCAGGCCGAACCGGCCAGTCGTGGTGCATGGAGATATATCTGATCTCTGAAACCGACCGACTGGCAGGCTTTTCTTTACCAACATGCACCACAGGGTTTTTCGTTATTCAAATTGTATGGAGAATCGCTATTTTGAAGATCCAGTATTGCTATTGCCAGCTTTCTACTATATTCAACACCCATATCCATGGAGCTGCTCTATAGCGTGTGTTTGGCAAGCGCCAGTGACCTATATACTCGGCCACTGCCATTGACTCGCACGCAGACACATCCAACTCGATCTCTTTATTGTTTGTCACAACATAAACACTCCGGCCATATCTCCTCTCTTCTCTCACTCCTTCCTCCTCCTTCCCACGCCCACCTCTTCCGACAGAACCGTCATCTCTCCTCTCTCTTTCCTCCTCGCGACCCCCAATATCGCCTGACAGAACCATCCACCCGATCTACCCTTTGCTGAACCATCAACATAATATGCCCCGAAAGTACACTCCGTACTCGGGTGGCTGGAGCGCCTCGCTGCAGCGCGAGTAAGTCACTCATTTCCCATGAACCCTAGGCATTCTGACCCAGACATCCACAGGGTGGAAGCCGTTAAGCTGCCTCCCGAGTAAGTCCTCCTCTATCATCTCGAGATCCTTCACGCTCACCATCACCAGGATCATGTGTACAATTTGTAAACAGCCCTGCCCGCAAGAAACCTTTTCAAAGAGTCAACTCCTCGCCCTGCGCAACGCCGTGGCGTCCCAGGGCTACCAGTTCTTAAACCTGCAGGATATTGCCAAATGTACCCCCTGCGCCAGTTCTGTGATTTGCGAGCGCAAGTGCCACCTCTGTGGTCGCTTCCAGGGCATTGACGACTTCTCCCGGAACCAGCGGACGCGCGAACACCCAGTATGTTGCTTGAAAAAAAACCATGTCTCTCGATTTGCTAATCCGGGTTAGATCTGTTTCCGTTGCATGAACTTCAGCCATGCAGATGAAGTTGAGACCCTCGAAGCTGCCATCGATTCCGCGCCGCAGTGTGACAGTGCCACCGACGACCCGCACTCCAGAAATCAGAGTCTGTTGGAGGAGAACACTGTATGTGGTGGCTTTCAGACCATCTACCCAGGCTAATCATGACATAGGACTATGATGACAACAGGTCCATGGCCCTCGTGCTGCAGGGCAGCAACCGCAGCATCCAGGCTACCGAGACGGGGACTACCTATTCGGAGGGGTCGAAGGAGAACTACACCAGCAAAGCAGGGTTTGCGCGGATCAAGGTGAATCCCACAATTATGGTTCTGTGGCCAGATAATCATTCGATCATAGGCCTACAAACCCCCCAAGGAGGAGCGCGCACCAGTGCCCGAGCCGGAGTGGTCGGATTCCCCAGGGCATGGAGGAGGATAGGGATGATGCGCTGGAGACTTCGCTGAAGGCGTTTGACTATCTTTGAACCTGTCTTTTCAAGCGTACCTTTCTTCTGCTCCTCTCATTCGCTTAGTTCTACATGGCAATCTATTTTCACATCATAACAAAGGATCCATGGGTATGACATCGGTGGTGCCCGTGGTCTCCACCGGAACCAGACAATATAGATTGCTGTCTTCGTCGGGAGCCACTGAGAGCCAGTCGGGCCACTGTTGATCCCAGGCCATGATGATGAATCGGGGTGCCACCGAGTGACGTCCTTTTGCAAGGTTGTTTGATCGACTTGACCCCACAGCCCCTCTTCTTCTTTCTTTTCTACTTCTCCGTTTCTTTCCTACAGTCTCATCGTGTTCCAAGCCATGGCATACGATGAGCCCCCCGATCCATACCAGGACCACCACCCTCCCTATCCCTCGCAGGATGCCCCCGATCGAATCGACATGCCCCATCCGCAGGTGCCGCCGCCCGCCGCCCCGCACCCCGGCAGCATCAACGAGGCCGTCAGCTCCGCCGTTCACCAGGCCGACACCTCATCCTACCTGTCCCCGGAGATTCTGACCCAAATCACAGCGACTGTGATCCAGCAACTCAAAGCCACTGGCCTGGAAAACATCCAAACATCCCCTTCTCGATCGCAGTCCCAACCGCCGCCGCCACTGCCACAGCAGCAGCAGCCACCACCACCACCACCACCAGTATGGCCGTCTGCAGAGCCGACCTCGCTACGCACACAGGCAGATCCACCTCATTCGACGGCTTCGCCGCAAGTCCATCATAACTATGCCGACATGCAGTACAACCCCTACCCACCACCATCGGGATATGCGAGCGACGTCCGTCCCAGCCCTAAGCCGTCGCCCGATCCTGTAGCAAATCGACGCAACTCGGTTTCCAGCCAGAGCAGTGCGCGTAGCGCGAAGACGGATTATCGGCCGAAACCGCCCGACAGGGACGCGACTGCCATCGAGATGACAACGCTTGAGAAAATCTGGGGGAAATTGTTTGAGGATGGGAAGCCGACGAAGAGATTGGGACAGTTTTTGAGGGGGATTGCTATGCATTTGGTGCGTGGTTTTCTTCCCTTCATTGAAGAGTGTGGCTAACGTGGTACAGATCGAGGACTATCCACCCGGGAATACTCTTGTTGTTGTCCCGGACAAGTTGCAGAAATTCTACAAAGACACTCATGTCTCGTGGGATCCTTATCCGTGGCAGGGTATGTCGACCAACCGTTCCGTCAAGGAAGACACTAACGGGGTTCAGACATTTTCGATGACCGCACATCCTCCATCTCACGACTGTTTCGTGTAGTCCAAGCAGAGCACTTTCTGGTGCAGGCGCCAAACAAATTCAACGAACGACCCGATATCCCAGGCCTCACACCAAGGGGATTCGAGAAATGGGTTACCCTCATGATCCAAGCCAACCCCGATCGCGAGTACGAGCGCCTCCAAAAGGCTGTGCTGAACATGCCCATCAACAACCCGGACGACAAGAAAGAACGCTTCCCCAAAGAAATCCCGCGCCAGCTCTTCCCCAAGGTGGGTAATTTGGAGCTCCGAGAAGAGACTGAGGAATACATCATGAAGCACTGCGGCGTCGACCTGCCTCATATCACGGACGAAGAATGGTCCAAGGCTGCCTCCAAGTCGTCTCCCACCCCAACCCCAGCGTCTGCACCCTCTATGGAACGAATGCCATCATACGAACGAGGCCGCCCCCCGCCCTCCGCATCATCATCCTCCGCCGTCCTCGACGACGAAGATGAAACTATCTCCCCGGCCCCGATCGAACGCGAACGAAAGCCCTACAGCGTCCAGCCGGGCAGCGGAAAAGTCTACGACGAATTCCAATCCCCGCGCAACTCCACGGGTTCCTTCTCGACGAGCTCTCGCCCAGACACGATGGGCCGATCCGAGCTGTATGATCGAGACCGAGACCGAGACCGAGACCCGCTCTACGCGCGCTCGGGCTCCGTCCAAACCCAGCCCCCTTCCGCACACCGGCTCTCAACCCACCACCGCCGCTCCCGCAGTTCTTCTCGCAGTGTCAACCCTCCCAGTGAGTATCGTCACTCGGAGGGTGACCTCCTCGGCCGGGAGGGTCATATCCCCCGCTACGGCGGCGTCTCCGCCGGAGGAGATATCTACTCGGAATCGCCGTCGTCGACTCTCCCGTTTGACTCGGGGGCTCATTCCAGAGATCATTTGTCCTCACACCGTGGAAGCCGTGCTGGCGAAGAGGAGTACTACCGCGGTATGCTCGGTGGGCAGGGCGGCGGGCCGGTTCATGAGAGATATTATCGTTAGCATTTTTTTTTTGAGCATTGCGAGCACTGCGTATCTGCTTAGCGTTTTGTGCTCTGTTGCATGCATGATGATATCCTTTCTTTTAGCGCTTGATTTCTTTGGCCATGAAGTTATGCTTACAATAATGGGGGTTTCCTTCTCTTTTTCCATTCAGAATACAAAAAGTTTAATGCGTTCATGATATGGTATGATATAAATACAACATCCAAGTCAGAGACTTCCATCCCTCTGTTGCCTCATCTCCCCCATAGCCCTTCCTCCTTCAACCCTAAGCACACCGGCCTCTTGCGCCCTCCTCCTCTCCTCCTTCTCATACCGTCTCGCAATAAGCCTCTGATCCCTCTCCTCGCGCTCTTTGCGCTTCCTAGCACGCTTGTCAGCACGCCGCTTCTCCTCCCCGATCTTCATCCCATCGTGTTCCGCTTCGATGCGTAACCCTTCAATCTCGGAATCGAGCAGAACCCACGGCTTGGATAGGACTTCGACGAGGAACCGCAACCGCGAGTCCAGGAATTCCATCTCCGCGTTCGTGTCGCGGATTAGCTCGTACCGCTCAAGGTTCAGTTGCATCCGTGATCGGAATTGCGAGAGCGTGCCTTTTACTCGGACGCTTGTGCCCGGGGTGAGAGTTGTGATGTCTAGTTCTGTGCGTTCTGTTGCGGAGATATGTGTTGTTGGTGTTACAGTAGATGGGTATTTTGTTGTAGAGGAAGCTGCCTGTGCTGCCGCAGCGGTAGCGCTGCTCTTTTCGGGCTCTGCTTGCAGAACGGCGACGTCGATGGTGGCCCCGCTGCTGTCGTCCAGCGTTAGGATCGTGCGCCGCGTAATCTCTGTGCGGGCGACGATGAGCCCGACGAAGCTGACGAAGCGGATAGGGTGGTTATTGTAGAAGAAGATGTTTTGACCTGCGGAATATGTTAGCTTTTCAGTTGAGCAGATGCATGGGAAGCCATGGAGAAATAATCGAGTTATGTGTTCAGGTCAATGATATGACAAAAGAACAGATGTATATAAAGATGTAACAGGCAGGAATATGCAAACCAATTCATTTTGGAAATATAGTAGGCTAGAACTCACCCTCAAATCCGGGCTGTCTCCTTAAACGATGCACGTCGACAGCCGCCATCTTCACCCAGGCGAAGTGGGTTGGCGACGCCTTGAAGCAGAATGCGGGGTAGAAGACCAGGCCCGCATTGTTGAGCGTCGCCATCGGGTCATTTTCTGGCTGTTCCTCCGTGGTATACTGTTTGGAGGTGAGGTGAGTTGTGCTGTGATGTGATCATGGACGGCAACGAAGAAGGGACCGCGTCACGTGGGGTCCATGTATATCAACAGGAACATTCGATGGACAAGAAAGTGAGGATAGCATAATAGCTACAGTAGTTAATTCAAGTCGCTGAGGGATCACTGATTGTTTTTATTGATTCGTTAGTTATCTGGCAGTCTTGCGAAGGCTTCGGTCGAAGCCAAGCGCTCCAACTACTCGTTGCATATAGATCGTTTCACCACAGCTATACCCAATAGACTAATTTTCTAATAAATCCTCGTCTCCCCTTCCATCATCCTCTTCTTCGGATTCCTTGGCTGTTCTTCGTGACTCCTCGTCCCTTCACTAGCATCCGCATCCCCCAACGCTGCCCTAATCTCCTCTTCCCGATTGTCATGCCCGGCCACCGCTACCGTCAAGATCTGCTTCTCCAAACCGGAGATATGCTCCCACTCAATCCCTGCCTCAGTCAACAGTCGACACCCCTCGGACTGACCCACAAACGTGCCAGGCTCCTTAACCCCAAAAAACACCTTTTTAATTCCCGGACGACCGGCCGTGCGGGTGTTGATAATGCGCTGCACACACGGTGCATTCCCAGACAGCCGTTTCCCGCACGGCTCCATCGTCACGTACATCACGAGTGCTCGGCCCGGCTCGGCGGGGAGCACTGAGGCGACTTCCTCATCGGGGACGCTGTGCACGGCTGCGTAGTTGGCGAAACAGCATTGCTCGGCGTGCGTATTGCCGGCCAGTTCCATTGTGTAGCCCGTTGATAGGATCTGGTCGTCGGACATGGAGGGGTCGTTGTCTTTGCGGGAGATGAGGAGGGCGCCGACGCGGAAGTTCGTCGGGCGTGGAGGCGACTTTTCGGCTAGGGTGAGGCATTGCCGGATGTAGGGAACGTGGGGGGACGGCATGGTGGGATATTTTGGAGGTGTTGTTGAGAAGAGAGAAGAGGCCGACAGAGCTATAGCCCAGGTAGGCGGGGAGCGATGACGGAATGCGCGCCGCGTCCAAGGCGCGTAACTTGACATTTGACAACTTCTGCTCTCAACCACCACAATGACCAACGCAAAGCCAACCGATGGCTCGGATGGGCACATGCCCGAGGCGGAGGGAAATCTCTACAAAATCCTGGGCGTGGAATCCACAGCCACCCCCGAGGCCATCAAAACCGCCTACAAAAAGAACGCCCTCAGACACCACCCCGGTACGAACCACACACACACGCTTTCCAAAAACCAACTAACTCCTCACAAGACAAGGCCAGCGAAAACACCCGCGATGCAGCACACGCCAAATTCCAACAAATTGCGCTCGCCTACAGCGTCCTCTCCGACGCGCGCCGACGCAAAGTGTACGACCGCACCGGCAGCACGGACGAGGTCTTCGGCGAAGATGGTGACTTCGACTGGATGGATTTCTATCGCGAGCAGCTATCCGCGATGCTGGACACGCGCGCGATCGACGATTTTCGGAAAAAATACAAGGGCTCGGACGAGGAGACGAAAGATATCTTGGCGGCCTACGACACACACGAGGGAGACATGGATGGCGTTTATGACTCGGTCATGCTATCCAATGTGCTTGATGATGATGCTCGTTTCCGGGGCATCATTGACCAAGCCATTGCTGATGGGACAGTGGAGGATTATCCGCGCTACTCCCAGGAAACCGAGAAGAGGAAGGAGCAGCGCGTGAAGCGCGCCAGGAAAGAGGCCAAAGAGGCGGAGAAACTGGCAAAAGAGGTTGAGGAGAATAAGAAGACGAAGAAGAAGGCTGCTGCGTCGAAGAAAGGTCCCGCGGCCGGGGATGATGATCTGCTGGCGATGATCACCAAGCGACAGCAGCAGCGCGGGCAGGGATTCCTGGCGCATCTGGAGGAGAAGTATGGCGCGCCCAATAATGGGAAGAAGCGTGGACCGGCGGATGAGCCGTCTGAGGAAGCATTTGCGGCGATGAACGCGCGGAAGAAGTCTGTCAAGAAGAAATGATGACCATCTTCCACCTCTATCCATGCTCTTTAATCATATTAATCGGTGGGTGATCTAGTAATAGTATCGTATATCGTATGTAGGGTTGTCGCAGCGGAGTACCCAAGGAGGCGGACGCGCCTTCTTGTTCTTGTTTAAATCGTGTCTACTCCGTACTTGTCCTTGTGCCTGTCTTGTTCTTCGACTGGTATCTACATCCACATTCCGCGCGGTGCTTGGCACATGGTCTCCACCCAGCCGGACCCGGCAGCCCACGCGATGTCATACCCTCTCACCGATCATCATCCTCCCTCTTCCTCCTCTTCTTCCTCCTCCTCCAAACCAGAGCGACAACCGCCATCTCTCACTCCTTATAGTCGCTCTCCCGCGCTCAATCCACCTCTCGCGGCCCCCAAACTCCCCAGATCGGGCCTGAGTCGGGCCGTTCACAGTCTGCTGGGTGCCCCGCAGCCCAGCCCAAGCTCGTCGGGCCGTGGAAGCCTCTTTTCCGCCAGTCGTCTGAGTCTCCGGAACACTGTCGAACCACTCGTCTCATCACCTCTGCGCATCAGCTCCTCAATGGCCTCTGCTCCCAGTTCCCCGGAGCGCTCCAGGCGCGAGACCGAGGATGCGCCGCGGCGATCCTTGGATCACCTGCCCAATGACCCCGACCGTCCCGCGTCCATGAGCCATATGCTTGATCTGGACGAAAAGGCAACGTCAAACACGCAACCGATACAGGGTCCGCCGACTCCTAAGAAACGCAAAGACAAAACCCACGGCCGGGGTACCATGGCTGCTGTGATGTTCGGCTTGGAATCCAAGTTCTTGCCTAAGAGCTTCACCCGTGGACGGGATTCGAGCCGGGAACCGTCGAGACGCGGCTCGTCACTGGACTCCAGGTCTGAGTCGTCCACTTCTCGTCGTCCAATGTCTCCCGGTGCCCGGTTCTTCCACGTGGGCTCGTCAAAACCAAGCACAGATCGGAGCAAGCTGATCAACATGGAAGAAGCGCACAATAAATCGGATGAGGCCTTGGCCAAACATACAAACATTCTGCCTGATTATGTGAAACCCTCCGAGCACGAGGAGTCCGGTGAGCGCTTGGCTAAGGATGTGTTTGATCGCGAGAAAAATATGATCGAAAGCAGCGAAGAAGAAGATGAGGGGAGCTCGAGCGAGGAAGAACACATCCCCGAGGGTTCATCGCTGGAAGCAGGCCAAAAGAAAGGCCCCGACCTCAGTGCTATCACCCAGAGCGCCTTTGAAACCCCCAAGGGCGACAAAACACCTGCTGCCTCTGACGAAGAACGTAAGCAAACCTTTGTTATTGAGTGACCCAGCTTACTGACTGGATTTAGAAAAATCTCCCGGGAGGCCGATTGATGAGAAGAAGCCCCGGAAATCCGCGTTAAAAGCCACCGTTCATCCGCAGACCAGCTTTGACATTCAGACTCCGAATACGCAATCGGCAGCCAACACCCCTTACGGCTCAGAAGATGAAGACGAGATGATAGACATCAAGCGAGCTCAGAAGCTCGGCATTTCCATGTCCGCCATTGACAATCTGGTGCCCAACCGATCTATCCGCACGATCGTCCGTGGAGATTATAATGGTCTGCAAGAGGAGGCCGATCATGGCCGCCTCCGCCAACGTAAATACCTAGTCGCCACAGACCTGAGTGAGGAGTCCGTGTACGCACTGGAATGGACCATCGGAACCATTCTTCGCGACGGTGATACCATGTTCGCTCTCTACGTTTTACATGAAGACTCCAATATGTCCTCGGGACAAGTCGGGGAAGGTGCGAAAGCGATTCAGGACGCGAACGCTGTTGTGCGTACCCAGACGAAAGAAGCGACTCAGAACACGGGCGGATCGCGCACAATCCTGGGTCGTCTAGGCCCAGGATCCACTCCGAGGGGCTCAATTGACGTGCGAGCCTCGCCCAAAGCGGAGGCAGAGCGAGTCAAGGCTGTTGAGCAAGTGTCTAACACGTGCGTGAAGCTGTTGCGGAAGACTCTCTTGCAGGTTCGCATCGCCGTGGAGGTTATCCACTGCAAGAACCCCAAGCTTTTGATTACTGAAGCCGTGAGTCTCGGGTCTCATTACTGTAGGATACAGCCCGCTAATTACGATCAGGTTGACGAACTAGAGCCCACCCTCGTCATTGTCGGTGCTCGAGGCCAGAGTGCTTTGAAGGGGTAAGTGTGACACCAATTGACATATCTTAAAAGCTCGATCTCGATCTAACATTCTACAACAGTGTCCTTCTCGGTTCCTTCTCGAACTACCTGCTCTCCAATTCCTCGGTGCCAGTCATGGTCGCACGTCGCAAACTCAAACGACACCATTCCAAGGGCCGGAACAAGACCACCGTGCGCCTATCCAATAACCTTACCACCCCGAAGAGTCTCATCGATGCGAAGGTGGACTGATCTTCTAAGTTTCTTTGCATTTTCACGGGTCATGGGCGGAGGCTGCAGTCTGCCACATTTGCACAGCGGCGCGATCGGAGCATTGGTTTCTTTGTCTTGTCTTGTTTTGTCTTGAGTTTTCCTTTTTTTCCCGCCCTGCTCCTGTATGGATACCCTCAAGTCTGATGTTTTTGTTGTCTCTGGTTGCATTTTCGGGTATACCCCGTCATTTCTATCCTTCTTGTGAACATTTTGGCTTGTCCGGCTGGTGGCATGAAGTGTATGCATTCAATGGGTCGGATTGTACTTTCGTTGCTCTCTCGCTGTCAGGTACGGATTAGAAGAAATATACCATATTCCGAACGTGGTATAGAACTGAGAAGTAATGGGATTGTGCCTAAGCGACACCGTATACAGACATGCAATCGCCTGGATATTATTTTTCATTTCTGTCGATATTAAGCGGTTCCTGAGACGAGGAAGTTCGTATTTACTTCCAGTGCTAGCAGCCGTATATCATTTGAGCACTTGTAGTCCAACCAGTTCTTATCCGGTAATTGGGATATGATGTCACGTGATTTCCACTGTCCACACCGCCCACAGCTGCCCCATCCCGACGACAGCTGGTCGTCCGCCCCCTCTGTCGATAGTTTACTTAACTACGCCTTCACTTCCTCGGGAGATCCAATTCGCCCGCCATGGCCGACTTTGTCGATCCCCGGATGACCTCCATCAAGCCTCGCATCCGCTACAACACCATCGGAGGCATCAACGGTCCGCTGGTCGTCTTGGACAATGTGAGCTGGCCCGCAACCCAGACGGAGATCACGACTTGCTTATCATCGATCAGGTCAAATTCCCTCGTTTCAACGAAATCGTCTCCCTGACTCTCCCGGACGGTACGGAACGATCGGGTCAGGTTCTGGAGGCTAGAGGTAGGTCTTTCCCCCACTCGCCGCTATGTTGCTCGGATTATTCCATTTGCATTACATGACGTTCTGACTTGATATTCCTCTTAAATAGGAAACAGAGCTGTCGTGCAGGTACGCTCCAAGACCGATCCCATCCCGACCCCCTTAATCGCACGAGGTGTTAACGCAGCTGTCGGTGTACTAGGTGTTCGAGGGTACTTCTGGTATTGATGTGAAGAAGGTATATTCTGAAGAACAAAATTGAATATGAGCAAACAACTGACATGGAACCAGACCAAAGTCGAGTTTACCGGCCACAGCTTGAAGCTGGGTGTGTCCGAGGACATGCTGGGTCGAGTCTTCGACGGTTCGGGACGTGCCATCGATAAGGGCCCCAAGGTGCTGGCGGAGGACTACCTGGATATCAACGGCCAGCCCATTAATCCTTACTCTCGAGTATGCGCACCTCCTCGTGAATCTCCGGAAAAGCTAACCCCACTTACCTAGGTCTACCCCGAGGAAATGATTTCCACCGGTATCTCCGCTATCGACACCATGAACTCCATTGCCCGTGGACAAAAGATCCCTATTTTCTCAGCCGCCGGTCTCCCCCACAACGAAATCGCCGCTCAGATCTGTCGTCAAGCCAGTCTGGTCAATCGGCCAACCAAGGACGTGCATGACGGACACGACGATAACTTCTCGATCGTCTTCGCTGCTATGGGTGTCAACATGGAAACCAGTCGATTCTTCACGCGCGACTTTGAAGAGAACGGCAGTATGGAGCGTGTCACTCTGTTCCTCAACTTGGCCAACGACCCTACCATCGAGCGTATCATTACCCCTCGTCTTGCCTTGACAACTGCCGAGTACTACGCCTATCAGCTTGAGAAACATGTTCTGGTCATCATGACGGATTTGTCTGCCTACTGTGATGCTCTGCGTGAGGTGTCCGCCGCCCGAGAAGAAGTTCCCGGTCGTCGTGGTTACCCCGGTTACATGTACACGGATTTGTCGACCATCTACGAGCGTGCAGGACGTGTCCAGGGCCGTAATGGATCGATCACTCAGATTCCTATTCTGACCATGCCTAACGATGGTGAGGTCTTTGCTCTGTTGTCAATGGCTTCTTGCTAATTATTCTAGATATCACGCATCCCATTCCTGACCTTACAGGTTATATTACCGAAGGCCAGATCTTCATTGATCGTCAACTCTACAACAAGGGTGTCTACCCACCGATCAACGTCCTGCCGTCGCTATCACGTCTCATGAAATCTGCCATTGGCGAGGGCCGCACCCGCAAGGACCACTCCGATGTGTCCAATCAGCTGTATGCTAAGTACGCCATTGGTCGTGACGCTGGTGAGTATTTCATTGATTTACATTTCGAATATTACCCTGACACCCCAAATAGCTGCCATGAAAGCCGTCGTTGGTGAAGAGGCCCTCTCCTCCGAAGACAAGCTGTCACTCGAGTTCCTCGACAAATTCGAGCGCACCTTTATCAGCCAGTCTCCCTATGAATCCCGGACCATTTACGAGTCGCTCGATATCGCCTGGAACCTGCTCCGCATCTACCCTAAGGAACTGCTCAACCGTGTTCCCAAGCGTGTGCTGGATGAGTTCTATGCTCGCTCGGCTCGGAAGCTCCCCAGCAAGGACACCCGGGATAACTCGGGTGAGCAGCAGCAGACGTCGGCGCAGCAGAGCGCCAATCTCATTGATGCGTGAATGGGAATGGAAGTTCCAGGGCTGTAGAAGACAGGACAACGCAGCGAGGAGTGGAGCGTTTGCGTGCATTTGGCGCACTTTGTCTCTAGCTGCTTGTGATTGCATATACTTTTTTCTTTCTTTTCGCGTCTGCGGGGCTGTGTCTGTCGCTATGTTTTTTCTTTGGTCGTGTTGACTTCCGGTAAGCCTTATACAACCTATCTATCTTGCAAAAACTAGAGAATTGTACTGCTCTAGAGTAGAAGTTTTTGTTCTCGGGCAACGCTTATATCGCCATTCATAAAACTGTTTTACTCCAACAGCTCAGTCTTCTGTTTCACATCCGGCATCAATTGAGACCATCGGCTCATATACACCCGGCCCTCCTTCATAACCGCCAAGATATGTGTCTCCGGCTTCTCCAGAATCTTGATATCTTCCAGGGGATTCGCATTGAGCACAAGCAAATCAGCTGCAAACCCTTCCTTAATCTGACCCAGAAAACTCTCCTGTCCCATCATTTGAGCCGGGTTGATCGTAGCACTACGCAAAACTTCCAACGGCGAGAGAACCTGAGCCCGAAGCCCGAATTCCAATGACTGTGCTTGCACCAGATGGCCCAGCAGATCAGTCCCAAAGCACATCGTCACGCCCGCATCTGCAGCCAGCCGCAAGGACTGTAGTCCCCGCGCCAGCACCTGGTCGTTCTTCTTCGCCGACTCCGGCGGCAGGAATCCATCCGAGGCATACTTGGCCATTGTCGAATAGGTCACCAAGGTGGGAGTTAGATAAACGCCTTTCTCTGCCATCAGCGCCGCGGTCTCCTCGTCAATCAGATTCCCGTGCTCGATGCCCGTGACTCCATTGCGGATCGCCTGCTGAATAGATGCCGGCGTGTATGCATGGCTGGTTACGTAGGTGTTGGCATTGCGCGCGACGCTAGTAATAGCCCGGATCTCCTCGTCGGTGAACTGGACATGCTCAACCTGATCAGTCGGGCTAGCAACGCCGCCACTGCCCATGATCTTGATAAAGTCCGAGCCTGTGCGCAGCGTGTCACGCGCCCCTTGTAGGCAAGCCGGCACGCCGTCGGCGATGATCCCCGACATAGCAGTTGCATGGCCGCAGCATTGCGGGACACTTGCCTGGTGGCTGCCGCGCATATCGCCATGTCCCCCCGTCTGGCTCAGATACCGGCCCGCAATGAAAAGACGCGGTCCGTGGATCAGTCCGTCGGCGATAGATTCTTTCAGGGAGAGTGTCGCGCCGCCGCAATCACGGACAGTGGTGAAGCCTCGATGCAGCATGGACTCGCACACGTAGCCCTGGCGCAGCGTCGAGGTCACTGTGTCGATTTGCCGAATGTCGCGCCAGTCGCTTTCGCCTGGCACGGCGGCTAGGTGGACATGGCAATCGGTTAGGCCTGGACAGAGATATTTTCCTTCTAAGTCTATCACGGCCGCGTCGCTGTTGTCAGGCTCTTTGGCTTGTCCGACGTATTGGACTAAGCCGTCCGCAACATGTACGCAGACCCCAGAATGCACTCGTCCACTTACGGGGTCAACGAGGTTCGCATTGCAAAACACATACCGACGAGGCGGGGCAGGTTTCCACGGCTTGGTCTGGTATTTTGAAGATTCCATGGCGGAGCGCGTTTGCTGGGAAGAAGGTAGAGCGACACGCATTTTAGATATTTCAGTGAGGGGAAAGAAACAACGATCTATCGTTGTCGGATAGATGGGTCCTTAAATACAACATTGAACCTAGCGTTATCCCCGCGTGGGCAGCCCTAAGTACGAACCCCGGGCCGGTGCAGATGGCACGCATGGGTACCCGATCGGCTAGGTGCATCCACGGTCGGGAATATGTACAGGGGTATCTTATCTGGGGAAGTATAACCTATCCTTTCTAAGAACTTTACTCGCTCTGAATTCGAATAATTACAATAGAAGAATAGGAACAGAGGCAAAGGTTATCATCATCGAGTCGTTAAATTTAGAAGGCTCAAGAAACTAAACACCACAGATTTCCAGGACTTTGTTCCCCTAGAAAACTGGCATTATGACCATATTGTCGTAATCAACGTTCGAAGCCACACCCTCAATCCGGTCAGTGCATGTGCCGAACACCCGGTCCCAAATGCGCGTCTGTTTGCCATAGTTATGGCTCTTCCTCCACCCTTTCCGATGATGAAGATCATGATCTTCAATGACTAGCTCGGCGTTGAAAATCCTCATCAGCCAAGTCAGTGGGTTTGGAGGCGTTGCATGTATACGGAGACCACTGTGACCGGCCGCCTCTGAGAAGAGAAGGTAAAGGTTGCAGATGTGCCACTCGTAGAACCCCATCGGAAGACCCATGAGTTTCAGAGTGAAGTACGTCATGAGAGGGATTCCCGCGATATCGAAGAACTCTTGTTCGGAGTCGGCGTAGATTGAGAGAAGCGGATTGGGATGCTTTGTTAGGTGGTGTGTACGGTGGTATTTCCAGAGGCCGTTGACGTCGTGCATGATGCGATGATACCAGTAAAACCAAAAGTCGAGGACAATGCCATAGAGACTGACTTCAACGGGAAGCCATCGCCAATTCATTGAGGCAGGTGCCAGACTTGCGTTGTAGGTGAGATATGTGATTATGAGTGGACGGACGATACCTCCCAACATAACTGACATCAGGGCCTTGGTAACGCCCACATCGGGTACGCCATCCCGTTCATGCTGATCACCGTCCAGGAATCCATAGATGTGGCCCATTTCGCGGAGCCCACGTAGCTCGCGAGTCATAAACACCCTAGCGGCGTAGTAATAGTAGAAGTAGGCAACGATGGGCCCGACATTGCTCCCCGTGAAATATACGTAGAGCTGGTGTAGGAGAAGTGGAATGGCGCCATGGATGATGATCCAGCGATGCATCGACAAGTCCGAGACATAGGGCACCTTGTCTGTCTTAGCGTGAACAGGAACCTCCCTGTCAAGGTCGACGTGGTAGGCGTTGACGAGATTCAGGATTTTGTGCGATAAATTCCATTCACTCTTGTCCCACCGGCGCCAGGTGGATTTCATCGAGTCTTTCGGATTCGGATTGGAACTCATGGTGGGCGTGCTGTTGGATCCCAACTTGCTCTGGTATTCGAGTTTGAGGAAAACATGAGGCCACCAACTAGGTTTTATGATGAGAGATGCTAGAAACACCCATCCGAGTTTTATGATATCGTTGTGGGCCTTCACAGGGTTTACATGAGGACGACCGAGGTATAACTACGAGAGCGGGCTTTGATTGGTCATTCGCACTGGTTTCCGTTTAAGGTATAGATCAGATGGATCGGCTCTGCGCTGATCATTTACAATTGAACTCCAGGCAGAAAGACTTACGACATAAATGCAGTCAGTGTCCTGAAGTTGTGGTTAAACTAGACCCTAATATCGAGAAGGTATTATGATTTGATTGCCAGATACATATTCCAACGAACAGTTAGACGGCAGTTGACCGTCACGCTTGAGCTCCCGCCGGTGCCAAGTTCTCCCGGATTTTCACACGCATCCAAATACATACTGCAATGGGACTTCGATTGCGAGGGGTATATTTATCACTTTACATGATGATTATGAGAAAATATTCAGGATAACATTCTAGTCAAACATTCTTTTAATCTTGCCACCTCTGACCCTGGAAGCACCTAGTGTAGACATGCCGCCAGTTGTTGCGAATTTACTGAATGTGACCAGGTAGCTGTGATCTGTGCCAATCCAGCGTATGCCCGTCGGTGACGATCACGGGGCAAAAATTGGTCCGTCGGCTTGTTAAGCTATCCCGATTAACAATGAAGCCACTAGAAATTCGTTCTCTGAAGTCAAATGTTATGAGCCACGGCAATAGTTAGAGATTGCTACATCTCTTTAAGCGTGTTCAAGACCCATACCGAGGAAACGACAGAGGGCATGAAATCTCTACTAGTTCTTCTTGTCCAGTCTGTCCAAGTAGAGCTGCACGACATCCTTGACGGCGTCCTCGAAGGGGCGAAATTTGATATTCAGATACTTCTCCGTCTCACTTGAGTCATATGAAATGGGGAGTGTGGGTAAAGTAGCCTGCTTGAGTAGGCTCGCGAACACTTCGTTTGGGAAATTTTTCTCCGCTAGGTGCCAGGCATCGTCATAACTGACCAGGCTGCAGGCACCAAAGCTGCGAGGGGTGTCGGCCTCGGGCTGTAGCTCCAGCACTTTCACGTATACCTGAGCCAGGTCATCGATGTGCACATAGCCCCCGTGGATGGGGGCCGGGCAGTCGGTCCCGGTCAAGCTGCGCAGCAGGATTCCAGACGAGCTACCCTTGCTTATCGCGGTGTCGGAATCTAGCACCAACTCATCGCGCCCGTAGACATACCCCGGAATGATAGTGGCGACGGAGAAATGTGGCTTCTGTTGCTTCACGAATGAATCAACGTTGTTGATCTCCGTGATCTTGGCGAGGACATAGGCCTCAAACACATTAGAAAAGGCTTCAGGGATCTCGGGTAGCTGCACGCGGGAGCTCGCAGTAACTGTGACGGAGGGATCGGGCATCGGAGCCATGTTCGCGACAATCGACGAAGTAATGAGCACCCGCTTGATCCCAGGGTATTTGAGTGCCGATGTAAGTAGGTTCGCTGTACCCTCCACTGTAGGCTTCCAGATTTGGTTGACAGGGTCAAAACCGGGCACGGGAACAGGGGACCCGGCGTGGATCACGTAGGTGATATTTTGCAATGCAGCGTCAAACGCCTGACTCAAAATGCTATCCGGAACAACAGTGTAGGTCAGTCGGTTACCAGGTTGAAGCTTTTGAATGACCGGGTTGGACAAGACAGTCTGGGCTTTAGCCTCGGAGCGCACGGTAATCCGGACTTCATTTTCATCTTTTAGAAGCTCCTGCAGTATTCGGAAACCAATCAGCCCGGTGGCGCCGGTGAGAAGAATACAAGGAGCCATGATGTGGAGGAGAAGAAGGAGGGGAATTGCGTCAAGTAGGGAGGAAAGGCGCTAATTGATAGTAGGGGCGAAGTATCTAACGAGAAGTGATGGAAAAACAAGAGAAACTACTATCCTAGGACTAGTCGCAAGGAAATATTTAACCGGCCCCTTTCATAAAGGGTCCGTAATAAATTGTAATTTATGAAAGGGGCCGGTTAGGTATCTCTATGTAGGGGATTTCCTCTGCCGTGTGGCTTTCCTATTTTAGGGGCCGCCGCTTTAGTGATGGCGCTCAGAGTCAGCACGTGACAGATCCAGACCCTAAGAGTAATAGGTGTCCGAGGTTGTAACGATGTGCGAAGACCGTAAAACAACTAAATACAGCCCGCTTCAGCCCTCGAGAGCTGGCAGTAAGGCCTCTCATCTAGCACTAGGAGGCTACTAAGTGGGTAGACAACCCACTCTTTCCCCATCTATTGCATTATAGTTTCTGCAGGCCGCCGGAACGATCTAGGAATTCATCGATGTCTAGATTTTTGTGCTCGATCAGACTGTGGGTGCGCAGATCAATGTCTAGCACTCGAGTCGGGATGGGTCTGAAGAATTGAATAGGACAGAGTGGCGTTTCCCTCTCCAAGCATCTTTGTCCCTCTCAGATACTATTTTATACTGCAAGTAGCACAAGTAGCTATTGAAAAAGAAATGGCCGGTACGTATATCACTCTCAAATCCAAATCCAAATCCTCCAAGCTTCTCCTACCACTCCTCCACCATCCAATCCAAAACGGCACTCCATTCTCATTTCTGTTGAGCAACCACCCGCTCGGCATTTTCCATCTATACATGCGAATCATTAGCTACTTCTTTAACCGCATGGTTAAGGATCTCGACAGCAACAGCGACCGGTACGGCTTCCTGGGCGCCAGCAGATACATAGCAAACGAGCGCGCGACAGCCAACGAGGTCATGATCCTAGCGTACTTGTGCACGTACGAGGGTTTGCATACATTTGCTCATGCGGAAGGTGGCGTGCATCGCGAGGCTTGGAGCTATTGGAATACCGAGGTTATGGCCAAGGGGAAGACTGAGGAGGGTCGCATGTTCAGCATCATGTATGAGGCCTACCAGGTCCCCGTCGGGAAGTGGGAGAACATCTATGTGAACTATGATCCCAGTGGACTGGGCGCGATGACACAGAAGGTCAATGTTCATGGCCGGGAGAAGTGGGTCCGTCCGTTAATTGATACAAGGAAGGGGCTGTTGAGGAACAGCAAGGGGCGGATGGCAGTGAGCGCGGAGAATGACCGAGAGATCTATGGAGATGACCCGTATGCGAATGAAACCGCTCGATTGGGCCCTAAGAGCTGATGCAGAATATCACGTTGTCAGTTGTGGGAGCAAATCATCCTACATCCACTGCTGAATGTATGTCCTTTCGAACCGAGCTGGTATGCCGATATTCGCCTCTCTGGCTTCTAGTTCCTTACTTCGCAGGGTTTGGCTTGTGCGCTTCAAATGCCAGCCGTGCGCTCTATACTTTTGTTGCCGATGTTGTACCTGTGGAAGAAAATTTCAGCCAAATTCTAGTGACGACTCGAAACCCATCTCTGAATAAAATCTCACTCGGTCTCTGCCTTACTAGCGACCAGGCAGCATGGCTCAAGAAACAGCGATTTCGCTTTGGTGAATTGATCATTGAGGAGGGCTGTATACAAACCGACAAGGGCGGCATTGGTCATGCTGCGTTCGGATTGGAAGGACAGACTAAACCGATCCAGAAGGGACTATCATATCATTGATCAAAGGTTTCCAACTGTAACCTTTTGTTGCGAACTAATCAATCGCTACGGTACACGTAATTATTCCAGCCTCTCGAATTTACTAACCAGTTTGGGCTAGTTTAGGCAACAAACACATGTGGCACTGGTTCCTCTTTCTGGAAGAATATCTTCCAAGTGCCAAGTCTGAATGGCTTTTTTATCTACATATTCTTCCAAGGTGCCTGCCTAGTCCAGAAACATCATGTCGTTATTAAAATTACCTACCGAATTATTGCAGCTCATCGCAACAACGCTCTCGGATGGACATCTTTCCTGTCTACTGCAGGTGAACCACCATCTGTACGGCCTACTTCTTCCATATCTCTATCGGCGCCGTCAAACGTATGGAGTCGATGAATGCGGGTGGCCAGCAAATTTTATGCGGACTATCGCTACTGGGAATGAACGAGGCACGCAGAATTTCCTACACTACGGTGCCAACGTGGATATTATCTGCGGAAATTGTTTCCTACGTGCAGCAAAAGTTCCGATCTTGCCCTGGTTTGACATGCAGACGCCCCTTAATATCGCAGCTAGCATAGGGAATGACGCGCTGGTGGTAATGTTGCTAGACCACGGGGCCGGAATCAACGGAGTGGTGCAAGAAAACTGGGGACCTTCTCGTATGCACACCCAGCCGGCTGTCGTGGATGCTCTATTATCAGGGCATGAGAGTACTGTTAGACTTCTTCTGGAGCGTGGGTCGGATCTCCAAGGACCTCATATAGCGGCTGGCGGACTGGTCAGCTACGCGGTAGATACGGGTCATTTGGCGATGCTCAAGCTTCTGGCTGAGTTCGGGGCAGATATGAACATCCCATATGCTGGCGTGTATCCTTTATACAAGGCAGTGTGCTCGACGCAACTATCGACTGATATAGTGCGATTCCTGCTAGACTATGGCGCAGAAATAGCCCCTATTGATGATGGTCATGGGCGTCTTATGAAAGAGGTGTTAAACCGTGGGACCATCGATACAGCCCGGTTGCTGCTAGAACGCGGAGCGGTATATCCCCCAGATGAATTCCGTTCGGCTATCTACTTCGGCACGCTCGATACTATCCGCCTGCTGATTGAATACGGCATGAAGCCTGATATCGAGTGGCTCAATATAGCTATAAGAACGCAGCGGCTCAACGTGCTGCAGCTTCTCCTCGAGGGGGGTTTTGATCTGAACACCAGAGACTCCGGAGGGTGTACAGTCCTGCATTATGCAGTAGGCCAGTGCGGCTTTGAATGGCCTACTCAGAGAATTGAACCACTGCCATGCGGGCTTCCATACTTTGGATCCGGCCGACTTGTGCGCCATATAAACGTCATCCCCCCGCAAAATGTATCAACCCCATGCAACAATCATGACAACGAAAGGGACGACGCGAAAGACATCCTGCGCTATCTGATCCACATGGGGGCGGATGTTAATGCCATGGATGGGCAAGGTCGGACCCCGCTGTATCTGGCCCGGAAATACGCACCGGCTGTGGAGCAGATACTGCTAGATAATGGTGCCAATTCTGAGAGAATGTTTCTAAAAGAGGAAGAGAGCGATGATGATTGATGGTGAAGCTAAGATCTACGTAGTGACGAACAGTTCGCCGCTATTCGCCGGCAGGGTGACGCGATATCAGACATCGAAGCAAGAGCGCGAATTCATAGTTCTCATTCTCTGAATAAAGATGACTTCAGAACTGGATTCAAAATCATCGTCTCAATGGTCTATAATCAGGTAGTTTGTGAAGCCCAGGTATGCGATGGTCAGACTCGTTCGAACCGTTTTTTCGGATAAATTTCTTCTCATCTTTCTGAGAATGTCGTGATTCATGTTTGGGCAAAAGTTCGAAAGCATGTTTGTGAACGGCTTCTTAAAATTCTGTCAGAGGCTTCAAACCTTCTGAAGCGCCACTGTATTGTTCTAAGGAATCCGGTAAATATTTCAAACCCCGAACAGTTGAGCAGCCTATGGTGATGGTGTGGGTCCATACAAACCTACAAACATGTTGTTATTGCTAATTTGCTGTGTCTCGTTTGGTTGGACCCGGCAGTTGGCGACGAGACTATTGTTAGCTTCTCCAGATCTGGACTCTACCCACACGGGATGGACCGATAGTCCGACGGCTAATACTAGCTGAGCGGGGTGGGGAAATGGTTGGAGAAGCATCGGCATAACGCGAAGACGGTCGGAGCAGCCTCGATAACGCTCCAAGATATGAGAGGGCATCCCCCAGGAGATAAGAACTACTTTCAGACAAACGTATTATAGCAAATCGTCGATCTGGCTATTCTTTCCAAGATGCCGAAAAGAGTTCTGATTGCGTACTGCATTGACGTCGACGCCTGCGCGAATTGGTAAGTTCGGAGCAATAACCGATGAATCTCTTTCACACATATTGACTGGTAATGAAGGCTTAACACAAAGACTGGTTCGCATGCAAACGCCAGTGATGTTTCGCGCGGTGTATTCGGCGCCAACGTCGGCACCGACCGGCTGCTCAAGTTCTTCGATCAGCAAGGGATCAAAGCGACTTGGTTCATGCCCTCGCATAGCATCCTCTCCTTCCCCGCACAAATGGCCAAGGTGCGCGATGCTGGACACGAGATCGGACTGCATGGATACACGCACGAGTACGTTTCGCATCTGACCGAGGCGCAGGAGCGCAAGGTCATGGCGAAGAGCATCGAAGTCTACAAGGAGTTCACGGGTAAACACCCCCGAGGCTGGGCCGCTCCTGCCTGGGAGGTCTCCCCACGCAGTATGAGCATTCTCGAGGAGTTCGGTTTGGAATACGATCACTCCATGATGCATCATGACTGCCAGCCCTACTACGTGGCGGACATGGGAGACACGGTTATTCACACGGACTACTCCAAAGATCCAGACGAGTGGATGGTGCCCATGAAGGAGCAGGTGCCGACCAAGATTGTTGAGCTGCCTGCTTCGTGGTTTATCGACGATTGGCCCCCGATGCAGTTTTCGCATCGCAACCCGGGCACTGGGTTTGTCAACCCCGAGGATGTGGAAAGGCAGTGGCGGGACCAATTCAGCTTCTTCTATCGCGAATATGACACTTTCATATTCCCTATCAGTGGGCACCCGCAGGTCAGCGGTCGGTCTAATGTGCTTCTCATGCAGGAACGGTTTATTGAGTGGCTCAAGACCCATGAAGGAGTCGAGTTTATGACACTGGAGCAGATTTGCGATGAGTACAAATCCGGGAAGATTGCCGGAGCGTCAGTGACTGCTGGTGTTTAGTTTTGGTATTTGGTTTATAAATGAAATAGCGAGTCAAACAGAGCCATGATGCATTCATTCCACGTAAAGGGAAAATATATTTCGACTTTTGCCGTTGAATACTTATTAGTCTGAATCTCATTTATCGGCCCTAAAGGTAAGGTCTCCTTGTTCATTGCCGTAACCTCCTAAATTAGTGCGATACAGTGGCTGAAGCAGCATACTTGTAGTACTTGGCCGCCGTCCGTCGCCTCTCTGCCTTTCCGAACCAAATAAAAGGGAAAAATGTGAGCGACAGCCCAAATGCCAACATCGCAACGGTAAGGAAAGTATTTTGTATACCCTCGGCTTCTACCCAAGGAGTGATAGCGTAAGAGGCAGCAAACCCCATCGTGTCACGGATAATGGTCATGGTTATCATGCCCTCTCCGGTGAGGTCTCTGTAACTGTCGCTGATGTATGCGATAGGAGAGGCACCACACACAACCCCGGCGATGCAGACTATACCGCCTCCAATAACGACACCAATCCAGTGGATTCCATTGGCGCTGCCAACACCGTACAGAAGGTTGCCCACCGTGAGTGTCACGGTGGCCATGACGTACAGAACCAGGCGCTGCTCGGGCTCGCGCACTCCTCCATTGCGTCGCGCTGCCCAGTTGTGGTACCAGTCTGCGAAGCGACCAGAATAAAGACCTCCAATAAGACTGCCAATAAAGGGGCCGATGTACATCAGACCAACGGTGCCGCCGGTGAAGTTGTAAGGACTGCCTCCGAAGATGGTGGTCCAGGTGCCGTTGAGGATGGTAAACATCATCAGGAAGAGACCGTTCTGAAAACCACTCATGGCAATGATGGGGAACTCGTACGCCAGTTTCAGCGAACGGATCATCATTGGTAGGATGACGTTCTTCTTGTTGGGCACTACCGTGAAGAGTCGCCGGCGTTGCCACCAGGTCAGTTGCTCATATCTCAGCGTGGCTGGTTCGTCAGTCGAGGAGGCTTCAAAATTTTTGATCGCCTCGACAGTCATGGCTGGGTCTTCTGCACTCGCATCTGGAATATTGGCTCTGGCCTCCGCAGCCCGACGCTCTGCGTTGTCTCGCATTAAGGCACGGTCGTACATGGACTCGTCCAGGACGAAGAAAAGAAGGATGGCAGTCAAACCGGTAAACACCGCTGGGAAGTAGAAGCACCATTTCCAGTTCATGTTCTGTGCCACATATGCGGAGGCGATGGGGGTTACGTATGAGCAACCTCCAAGCCAGACCATGAACCATCCAATATGTGTCCCTCGTTCATGAGTGAAGACTGTGAAGTCAGCACGGTCATTCGCAACTTCATCCTTTTAGTCACACTCACATATATCAGTCATGGACTGTTCCACCAAAGCCTCAATAGGTGCACCAAAGAAGCCATACAAGAATCGATGGGCGTACCAGGTCCCGACGGTGGTAGTGTAGGGAGCCCAGAGGTTCATCACCTGAGAATGATTCGTTATCATGGTGCGTTTCGTCTACGGAGAAATTAAGACATACCGTGCAGCCAATACAGGAGATAATGTAGACACCACGACGGCCGTACTGAAGCCCAATAGGGCACCATAGTAGAGTTCCCCAACCGAACATGAGGAAGAGAACACCAACGGCGCTGTTCAGCGTCGCTAGGGGAATTCCTGTGTTGGCAATGATATAGGGATACGTGGAATAACCTGTCGCAGAGCCCGCCCCAATAATGAAAGTGTAGCTGGTGAAGTTAGACAATACTTCTATGAATTTAGACACTAGAAAGAGAGGAAACAATACTCACAACTGCAGAGTGATGGAGTTGACCCATTTCCTTTTTTTAGACCAATTCAACGGGTCCTGAGGGTCGTCGCTGGGTGTTGGATGCAGGACAACATCGCCATCGCGTTTGACACCCTCCACCGTCTCCTGCTCATCGATCAAGTAGACAGTACCAGGCACTTCGTCTTCAATGGCAGCATCGCCTTGCTGCGGGTTTACGACCATGGTGGATTCGATCAGATTAGGACAAAGATGCGAGGTGAGCTGGTGTCGGGCCAGGTCTCCCTGGCCGATGGGTTTTATAACAACAATTCAAAAACGCGGAGGGGATAATCAACAAGAAATCCATTTCCTAGGGATTGTCCAAGTCACGACCTTCTTCTGGTCAAGGCCCGACCCAAGTTAGTGGGTATCGCGTTATTCCGACATGGGCCCCACAGCACTACTCCAGGCCAATCTCGACCAGCCATCTATAGATCAGTAGCCTCATCTGTCGGACATGACCGAGATGCAGTGGAATGAGCGGTGATTCCGTCGGACGGATGCCTCAAAGAGGGGGGAAGCATTGATAAACACCCGGTTGACACGCAATGACCTCCACGTCCCAATCATTTTCTTCTACATACCTCACTCGACATGCCCAGCGAGCTGAACATTGTCGTGGCCGGTGGCGGTCTTGGAATCGGCTTCCAGACCGTGACATATCTCTTGCAGCACACAGCGGCTAGGTTGGTCGTCTTGGATGTCGATATCTCGAAATTGACTGTGCTACAACGGGAGTACCCAGATCGGCTGTGGGTCATTGCCGGCGACATCACCAAGAGAGGAGACCGGGAGAGATTTAGAGAACTCGCTCTCCAGAAGCTGCAGACAATCACCTCGCTGGTCATCACCGCCGGCGTGATTGGTGAGATTGAGCGGATCGCAAGCTTTAGCCCTGATCGCCTCGTCAAGACCTTCAATATTAATGTGATCGGTCCTATCTTGCTGGTGAGTATTGCTATTGCGCGTCGCATCGTATGGAATTTGCTGAGACCAGACAGTGCCAATCCCTATTGGGAGAGCTCCGGAAAACAAAGGGACGAGCAATCATTTTGTCCTCGGCCGTGGATAAGGACATCAAATACGCCGGTTGGGCCCAATACTGCGTATCCAAAGCAGCATTGACTCGAGCCATTGAGCTCCTGGCACATGAAGAGCCCACGATCAACGTGATGGGTGTGTATCCGGGACTGACCCGGACCGGCATGCCGGCCGACATTATTGCAGGGAAATACAAGGGGACCATGTATGACTTTGAAGTCGAGAAGTTTCGCAATTGGGATGTGGCTGGAGAGATCGAGCCTCCGGAATGGTGTGCGAACGCAGTGGCCCAGTTGGCGGCAGGAGTCGTCGAGGGACTTCCCAGTGGACATGTGGGCTACTATTATGAACATGTTCTTCACTGTAAGGATGATTGGCCGAAGGCCCGTTTGTGATGTAGATGGATAGTTAGAGGTCCGCAATATTGCTGTTTGAATATTGGCGTACTCATTCCATCTGTAACACTATATACTTGATTATGATGCAGTACGTCCCGAAACTGATGCGACCACCTACATATAATTTTCGATTGATTCTCTAGCCCCAATACCAAAACACACCAGTCCATTCTCTAGTAGCTTCCCGTCATCGTCTGTACAAGGTTCCCCATTCTCTGCGAAATGTTTTCTGGCTGCTGCACGATGTTCGGCTTGGCCGTTTACCCGAGGGTCGTCATCCCCATTTGCACGGCGAGGGCTGCCCTCCCGACAACATCACAGCCGCTGTACTCTCGCGTGTACCTTTGCATGCTTTGGTGGTTGGCATCGAGTCCGAAGAGAAGGTGGCCAGGTCCCAATGCCTGCATGTTTCCGTCACAGACACCAATGCTCAATTTATGAGAGTAGTGTAGTTTAATCAAAATAGAAAATCCAACGATAAACCAAGCCTCGCTGATCTTACACTACGTACTTTGGACCTAGATGATTCGAAAAGTAATTGCTTAGTCTTTCATATATCTATAACGGCGCGCTGGAACAATTACAATCCATCAGAAAATACTATAACAAAGACTGCCACAGACTCGCGGGTATCACAAGAGAGTTAAGCCAGTGATGGGCATTTTAGCGCCGTGCAAGCAAAAGAAAGACTTCGTTGCCTACGGTGGACGCGAACTAGTCAGAGACATACTGTCAATTTTCTCTCAAGTTTAGCTTTCCTAGACTCGTACTAACTATTAATCCGGTTAACAGGAAGAAACCGATTCATGTATCCGCCACCCGTTGTCCCGCATCGCGTTATTCCGACATCCAAAAAGCGGAAGAACGGCACGGCTCCGAAGAATCATAGAGTTAAAATAATACAGCTCTCGAAGTACTCCATCCTATTATTGCCTCTCACGATAATAACATCACCACCCGGTAATTACGCCACGAAAATCATCATGCTCGACGTGACTTGCAAAGGCACCCCCTACGAAGTATGCTCGCCTCCATCTTGTCAACAACATACAGCTGACCAGCTAGATCGGGTTCACACATGGTTCGCAGGCCAAGAAGCAAGTACATGGCAGTATTGCATTCTACGACACACTCTTCCAATCCTCAGCACAGCTGCAATGGCCCGAGGTGCGCACGAAAGCAGACCAGTTCCTCGGCCATGCCGAAACCAACTACCCGCGTTACTATGAGGAGATGAAAGGCATCGCCGACGGGGCAGAAGTTCCCTTGGTGGACATCATGGCTCTCAATGCCCGCAGCGAGATCACGTTTGGACTCTTTGTGGAGACCAAGAAACAAGTCGACAGCGATGGATGTACCTCGATGGCGTTGAAGACGGCGCAGACTACCTTCATCAGCCAGAATTGGGACTGGATGCAGGAACAAAAGCCTAATCTAATTATCTGTCGCGTCTCCCAGACCGGCACGGACCTGCCCGATTTCCAAATGGTCACCGAGGCTGGCATCATTGGGAAGATTGGTTTCAACAATGCTGGTGTGGGCTGTTGCTTTAACGCCATTCGCGCGAGAGGGATGGACCCGACACGCATGCCGATTCATTTTGGGCTGCGGACTGTCCTGGAATCTCGATCGAAGGATCAGGCCATTGCAACTCTCAGACAGCACGGGCTTGCAGGGAGTGCCCATTTGCTGATTGGAGACAAGAATGGTGCTGTTGGCCTCGAGTGCTCACACGTGGGGTTCCAAGAGATCCATGCCGATAATCTGGGACGTGTATGCCATGCGAACAATTATATCGCACAACACGAAAATGTGTGTGAATCTATGTGGCTACAAGACTCGCCGGTCCGGACAGCGCGGATGCGCGAGCTGGTCAATCCCGAAGTGATGAAGCAGCCCAGTTGCTCCTCAATCCGAGAATTATACAAGGACGAGACGGGACTACCCGGCGCCATAAACCGCAAACAAGAAGGTTCCAGCCGCAGTGCTACCTTGTTCAATGTCGTGTTCGACTTGGGGTCCAAGGAGGGAGTTGTAACTATGGGAAGACCTACAGAGCCGGAAGAAGAGATCAAGTTTTCATTTAACTAGAGTATAGTGAAAAAAGGACTAACGATCAAATACTACTGCAGTCAAAACAGTTCTCCTTCTATTCAATCCTTCTTTATGTCGCCTTTTCCTCACCAATCTCTTCGATAATGTGGTTTGGAACCACCACACGATCCTCGGTGAAGTACAGGGTATCTTGAATGTGGAAATATGCCAGATAGGCAAAGATCAAGATACCAGTAGCGTACAAGGCAAATAGCACACCCGCCTCCCTCTCGAAAGGAATGAGTGTCGAGTCCGCACCGAAGATGATGGCTTCACCGGCAGCGAGCACACCGCGCCAGATACCGGAGTAGTTGGCTGCTTTCAGCGGATCATTGGACAGGGCTCCAAGCCAGTATACCACCAGGTATTGCCATAAAGACGAAGCGACCCAGTTCATGATGAAGAGCACACAGATGGGCGCAAATCCATCATCAGTCCAGTCCATCGTCACCTTGGGAGGATTGTGACGGTCATAGCCACGCACACGGATAATCTCCCAGATCCAAGCAGCCATGAGAGGGGTACCAACGAAGACGAGACCAGCAAACGCTCGGGATCGACGTCGCCAGGTCTTGTGATCCAACAGTGCCTGTAGGGCAAACCCACATGGGACCTGGATGACGAGCGCAACGAAGCCCAGCAGACAGCGGGTGCGAAGGTTGTTGTGAAATGCATTCGCCGAGCCAGAATACACCAGAAAGGCTTCCGCAGGAAAGAAGGCTGGAAACATCAGCAACAGCTTCCAGTCTTTGACAGCATCGATGTTCGCTTTGACTGCCTCCTTGAACTTCATTGGTTCGACCTCGATCAACGGGGAGCCGTCGTCACGGCGCACTTTACTTGGGGATACCAGAAGAAGGCCCAGTAGCGACATTAGCATCATCAGGACAATGAAGGTGATGTAGACTGCAGCTGGGACACCAGCTGACGAGCCTGTATCTTTGACGTCTATTCCCAACGCAATACTGCTGCCCACAATAGAGCCAAATGCCTGCAAACCCATTGCCGTCACCACATACTTTCCTTTCTCGTTCTCTTCCGGGTAGCATAGCTGGATGTAGCCGCTCACCACGAACAGGAAGCCGGCGCCAATGCCATTGAGACAGCCGGCGAAGATAGGGAACGCACGGCCACCGACTTGGTCAAAATACCAGAGGGAGCCGACATAGACCGCATATCCTAGGACTCCCAGACTGGTGGTGATTCCGGGGCCGAGATATTGCATGATAATCGAGGAAACGAAACTGGTCACAACCCAACATGCACACAAGCACGAATTGACGATGGAAGTGACGGCCTGTGAGTCTGGCCGACCGCCGCCGGCGCCCAGGATGTTGAGAGCGACATAGATTCCCGCGGTAAAGGCGACGCAGAGGCCCGAGATGATGTTCTGGGTGAAGGGACTGTGCAGTCGCAGCATCTTGAACGTCTTGCGGGTGCCATGTGGATCGAGGCGCTTGTGCTGCTCTTATGATGTTGCGGCATGTTCGTTCGATAGCAAGCGGAACAGCGCGACAAGGCGGATCAAGGCGAGTAGCCGGCTACCGGAACCCCCACAAACGCGAATCTCCCCGGACTGTGGTAACTGATAGCGACTTCGGTTATCCAATACCGTGTAGGTCCTGACCCACTGCGGAGGTACCGAAGGACTGACACTAGGACCAGACATGATAAGGCCCGGCTGCCGACTCGTGGTAGTCCGACCCCCCATCCTTCTACCCTAACTGGGGTCATGACAATATCATGCCGCCCAAAATGCATCGAGCCGCACAGGCCTGCGCCCGATGCTACAAGCGCAAGAAACGCTGTGACCGGGGGGTGCCCGCATGCTCGGGCTGCCGGAAGGCCAATGTGGAGTGCCATGGCATCTCGCGCAGCGACAATACGCAGATCCCTCGCAATATCGCGCGCTTCCTCGAATCCGCCATTGCGGACTTAGAGCTGCAGCTCGGCAATCGATCTGCTGCAGCAGCTGTCAGACACCAATGCGGCGATGCTATGATTCCCAGGGGTTTCATGGCGCCTCTGCCGCGGCAGTTCTGTCCATCGATTACCCAAACGCGGGCAGTGCCGTACAAGGCCTCATTCCTACAGCAGTCCAATTTTCCCCCTCAGTGAGGCTGCGACCACACTCGAGCAGGAAGTGGGGCGAATTTTCCTCTGAGCCCCTTGATAGACGGAAGCTAGCTGCCTTGGCAGTGCCTGCTGCCGTCGCCCGGACTTTGTTTGACGTGTATATCAATCGATTGTTGCCTCAATATCCTTTGTTCCACCCTGCCGAGCTGGAGAAAGTCTTTGCGCAGGTCTATGTGCAAGGCGAACAACAGCCATGGCTAAGCGCTGAAGGCCAGCGCCACCTGTTCATCGCCAGCATGGTGCTCGCGAACAGTGGCTGCGCATACAAGTTCACCAACTTGGGTCGAAATCGCTCCTTCTACAGTTCTCTTCAATCCGATGCATTATCGATGCTAAGCTGTGTACAACACACCTCTCTTGAGAGCTTACAATGTATGCTGTTGCTAGTCCAACACGCGCTGCTCAACCCACAGTCCGGCTCGCTGTACAATCTGGCTGGAGATGCGATGAAAATTGCCATTGCTTTGGGGCTGCATCAGGAACCTGTCTGCGTCGATATCAATGAGTGCGATCTGCGGCGGTCCCTTTTCTGGGCGGTATGCAATTAATACAAGGCATCTGGAAACTGTATACTGACTACATTAGTCCTATGTCCTCGACCGCTCTATAAACATCACTGGTCACAGACCACTAGCGCTGCGGGATGAGCATATCACCGTTCACCACCTTACTGACAAATCCCGAGTACACTTCGTCAACCACGTTCGTTATCGACAATTGCAGTCCGAGATGTACGCAGTCCAATTTCACAACAAGCCCATCCCTTCAGGTACCTACCAGGAGTGGATGGATGATATGGGGGAGCGCATCATGGCCTGGCGATCGTCAGCGCTGAGCAGTATCCAGGCACCGCCAGAATGGTTTGACTTTGGCACTTGGACTTGCGTCGTCCTTTTGCACCGCCCGTGCATCCGCAATCCCAATCCATCCGAAGCATCTATTAAAGAGAGTTTTGAAGCGGCGGTGCGCATATCTGATGGTAGTTCATAATATTTTTTCGTTACCTTGTTGGATTCTGACAAGTCACAGGATATTGGGAACAGTCGCAAGATAAACATGTCAAATATACCTTTCATGCTGTTCATAACGCCTTCGAGTCCGGCCTGGTACTGCTTTATGCGATAGAAGTGGCACCGGATATCTTGCGCCAGAACTACGGAGTCAAGCGTGTACTTGACGTCGTCAATCAGATCTCGGCGCTGTTCCTGGTCATTTCCAAAATCTGGCCGGACGCCATGCTAGTCGGAGATCGATACGACGAGCTGCAAAAGGCCGTCACTAAACGTTTCGTCCAAGAACCTGATGAGGAAACTGCCTACGATTCTGCGCTGCTCGACTGTCTACGTGACATGCTCTTTCGTGTCAATCGTGACGCTCGCTTCTCAAAGCCCGGACATCAATTTCCCGTATCACCAAGTGACCAGGGCAGCGGTCAATGGTCGAATTTACTAGCACCGCCGCTAGAAGGTCAATCAGCGTTGGCGCTTGGTTCATCGATGGACATTGACATGGAGTGGTTGGCGACAAACACGCTTGATGATAGCTGGGAGCTCTCTGTCTTCGAATGGCCGGGGTTTCCACCGGATATGACAGACACCCCCTCGAGGCCCGCGGTAGCCTCTCCACCAGCACTGGATCGCACAGCGGTTGATACGGCAATCGAGTTGTTGCCAGCATGCAGGCAGTGCCGGGAGCGTCGCGTGCGCTGTGATCGAGGGTTTCCCTCGTGCCAAAACTGCCGCTCTTCACAGGCCGAATGCATGCACAAAGACCCCGTCTCGGGAGAAATGACGCCGCGCAAGTACATTGCCGCCCTGCACCGCACGTTCACCAGCCTCATGGATGAGTGGGAGTCCACAGAGCCTGTCAGGATAGAGTCTACCGAGTCGATCAGCCCTACGGCCTCGTCAGTTGACTACGATAAATTGCAGCTCTTCGGTCCATCCACAGCAATGGCAGAAGTAACTGCAACGCTAACGGCGGGCGTCTATTCACAGCCAGCAGCACGCTCAGATGAGTCCTCGTGGTTTCTCTCATCGGGATGTAGCATGAACATACCGCCGCCTCATGTGCGCAGTGAGATCTTGCCCGAAATAAAACCGCTCAATCTCGTCTACCCGATATTCCAAGAAACAGACGAGTTTTTGCTCTCTTTCACTCAGAAGCAAAACCTACCAGCCACCGCCGAAAATCTTCTCGTAATCGCCATCTGCCTCCAGCTGCGCAGCAAAACCGATCCGAGATACAAAGGCCCCGCCATGGCCTATTTCAACGGTGCGCTGCACAAGCACAGCACCATAGACTTCACGACCCCGAGCATTCACCAAATTCAGATTTTCGCTCTGGAGTGTCTCTTTATCCTGCTCTGTCCCACCGCAGGCGACATCTGGCGTATGAGCGGCGCTGCCGTGCGCGCCTGCGTCGAGCTCTGCGAGGAGTACAACACAATCGACGAGACTTGCTGGCTACTCCTGCGTACCGTCTTCTGCTTGGAGATTAGCATCTGCGTAGCTCTCGGCCGACCTCCACAGTCACCCTGTTTATACGAGTCCCTCAAGCTCGATGTACCACCCACCCACGCCGCCGAAGCGTTCCAGATTGCCCTGTGCAACGTTTCATGGCTGCAAGCCTTAGATCTGATTGACCTGCTTGCTGGCGTGCCGTCCCCAGTACGACTGGAAACTCTTTTCCCAGGCCCCTACGACGACCCGATGCAGGACCAATTCTCCCAATACCTTCACGCCCGAGCGCTCCGCTCGCCGGTATCAATGGCACAGGCGCTCTCGATGGATATGGTCCGTACTCGCTTCCCGTTTTCGTGGGTCGATGCGCATGAAGTCGCGGCTGCTGTGCTACGCCCGTCTCAGCCGGCTCAGAGCGCGTGTCTTCAGGCCTTGAGATGGATGGCGGCGGATCCGGATCTTGCTTGTCAGGATCTATATGATAGCCTGGCAGTCTCGGTGTGATTGATTGGACGATACAATGTATATATGGATGTTCATGGTCTGATGTTTAATGGATAATGACACTTGGCGGTGTAAATAATATATATTTCAGTTTCTATCTAGATACAATATGCAATGGACCATACAACTCGGTGGTCTCTATATTGCATTCTTGGTGAATACAGGAAGGAAGCATGAGGATAGAAAACGTGTATTTCGGTATAAACACATACGCGCAATGGACTTTTTCTTGCTACTTTTCTCTAAACCCAGCGAGAGATGAAATTCAAAAGAAACCAAAGAGAGTAAAAACGCTGCGCGCGAAACCCCGGGAATAAAGCCAAAGACACGAAACATATATACGGCTGAGACCATCTTGTGCTCAGCGCGCAAGAGAAGATCCGAAACAATGTGCCCAAGGGGATAAACGAAAGGCTTAGAATCGCAGATCCCAGCCAATCTTCGGACCCAGCCGTGGGAGCTCATCTGCAACGCTCTGGACATCCTTGTCGCCTCTCCCGCTCAGGTTCAGAACAATGTTCTCGCCCTTTTTCATGGCCTTGGCCAGTTGCATAACGCCATAGACAGCGTGCGATGACTCCAAAGCGGGGATGATACCCTCGTGCTGGGCGAGAGCGCGGAAGCCCATCAGGGCCTGGCTGTCGTCGGCGGTGATGAAGGTGGCGCGGTTGGCATCCTTCCAGGCGCTCAGTTCAGGTCCGACACCAGGGTAGTCCAGACCAGCGGAAATAGAGTGCGTATCGGAAATCTGGCCGTGCTCGTTCTGAAGGACATAGGTGCGCACGCCGTGCAGGACACCCTTGGAACCGCCAGACAGGGTAGCGGAGTGTCGGGCAGTGTCAATGCCGTCGCCAGCAGCCTCGACACCAATGAGCTTGACGCTGGGATCCTTGGAGAAGGGATAGAACATGCCCACCGCATTGCTACCGCCACCGACGCAGGCAACAACGGCATCCGGGAGCTTGCCAATTTCCTTGGCCATCTGCTCTTTTGTCTCATCACCAATCACGGACTGGAAGGTACGCACAATAGTCGGGAAGGGGTGCGGGCCAATCGCAGAGCCGATAATGTAGTGGGTGGTGTCGAGCTCAACGACCCAGGCGCGAAGGGCCTCGTTGACAGCATCGCGCAGAGTGCGGCTGCCGGCATCCACAGCCACGACGGACGCACCGAGGAGCTTCATCCGGAAGACATTGAGAGCTTGACGGCGCACATCCTCGGCGCCCATGTACACTGTGCACTTCATGCCGAACTTGGCACACACAGTCGCCGTAGCAACACCGTGCTGGCCTGCGCCCGTCTCGGCGATAATCTGGGTCTTGCCCAGTCGGCGGGCAACCAGGATCTGGCCGAGAGCATTGTTGATCTTGTGGCTGCCCGTGTGGTTGAGATCCTCACGCTTCAACCAAATGTTAGCGCCGCCGACGTGATCCGTCAACCGTTGCGCCATGTGCAGGCTGCTGGGACGGCCCATGTACGGGTAGTAAGAGCGGAATTCTTCCCAGAACGTGGGATCATTGCACGCATCGGCGAAGCCCTGCTCCAGCTCGGCCAAGCAGTCCATCAGGGACTCGGGGACGTACTGGCCACCGAATTCTCCAAATCGCGAGGGCTGAGCGGAGGGGTCCTTGGTGACGTTGAGCGCCTCAAGCTGGTCACCAAGTCCCGGTCCAGAAGGAGTGTCCGCCTCCGTGATCACCTTTGTGGGCCGCGACACGGCAGGGGCCTGCGCCTTCTCAATGGCCTCGAGGACATTGATCTCATGGGTGAGCGAGCCCTGGGTATTACGCTCGAGCTTGCGGCCAGTGACGCTGGAGAGGTATTCCTCGGCCTTCTTAGCAGCCTGGCCTGCCGGAGCCTGGCCAACAACGGTGATAATCTGACTGCCAATCACCACACCCTCTGCGACATCCTGGATCGAAAGGAAGTGCTCGCGGGTGCTAACGCCGAAGCCCAAGGCAGCGGGGACATTGCCGGAGTATTCATGAACCCGAGCCAGCAACTCGGGCACGTTTGCGCTCAGCTTTCCAGTGGCACCAGTAACACCCATGCGCGAGACAACGTAGATGAAAGAGTCGGCGATCTTGCATAGAAGCTTCATACGGGATTCAGAGGTAGCGGGGGCAATAAGGGGAACGTAGGACAGCCTAAAATATCCAAAGGTCAGCTATTACAATCGTTGTGACTCTCAGGTTTACTTACCCCGTGCTAGAGCAGAGGTCACGGAACCGGACGGCCTCCTCGGGAGGCAAATCGACCATGATGAAGCCGTTGACACCCGCTTCCTTGCAATCCTGAAGCATGCGCTCCTCGCCATACCGTAGAACCGGGTTATAGTATCCCATGAGAAGAAGCGGGGTCTTCAAGCCCCGGCTTCGGGCGGTGCGTACAAGCTCCAACACGGTTGTGACCGTCACGCCATTCTGGAGGGCCTGGGTGTTCGCTTTTTGGATGGTCGGGCCGTCGGCAATCGGGTCTGTGAAGGGAATTCCAAGCTCAATGATATCTGCAACGACAAATCGTTAGCGCGGCTGTCTATGACTTGTGTGGTCACTTCATGGAGGGCATTCACATACCAGCGCCACCATTTTCCAGACCCAATAGGATATCGACTGCCTCCTCGACGGTCGGATAGCCGGCGGTGATGTAGGCCACTAGAGCAGCACGCTTCTGCTCCTTGCACTTGGCAAAGGTCTGCTTAATTGCATCCATGGCGAGGTGAGGGATTGGTATGAACGTGGGGCAAAAAGAATGTCAGACGAAAGAAAAAGAAAAGGTCGGTGCAATTGAGAGTGTGGATCACCACCAAAGCACGTATAGATGGGATGAGGGTATAATATGAACCACGGGGGGGAGAATGTGCAGTGTGATGATTCCAATGAGGCCCGGACCGGAAAGAAGAGCAATTCAACGAAGAGGAAGAGGACGTGCGTGAGTCACCCACTTGCCCTGTTCGCCTCTCCCCGCGAGTCACGTGCGATAAGATAAGGAGAAGTTGGAGTTCTTTTGGGCCACAGAAAAGGTTAGTCAGCTATCATAACTATTAGTAGGATGGAGTCATGCCATGGGCACGATAAACTTATGGACCAAGCAAATCACCGGCCGACTGGTTATTCGTCTGACTGTTGTGGGAGATGGTGACTAGGAAGCATGAGACAATACAGACAATGGTCAAAGACTGAATCCACTATTAATTCGAACTCAATCTGTCCAGCAAGCCGGACAGTGCGATGGGCCAGCTGAAATGAGCTACCTAGAAAACCACGCGGAAGGCGAAACACGGTCCATCGATTCATCCTTCCCGGTTCCCAAACGCCAAAACAATGCAGGAGTCGCTTGACACGACCAAAAAACAGTCAAAAACAAAGGTAGTAACAACTCCCAGGAAAATCCAACAAGGGACAAGAAATCCAAGAAAACAGAGGCGTCTCTGTTCCCTGGACCGTCCCCCGAACAAAACCGCCAATTCCCTTTCCCAAAAAAGTATCCCAAAATCTATCCCAATTCCCAATTCCGACCTGCGAATGCAAAAGGAATGACTGCAGCGCCCTGCTATGCCAAGTAATCGTACATATAGCCCAGTTGTGTAACCAAAAAAAGGAGAGTAAGCCCATAATGCCCCGGCAAAAATATATGCAACCCAATGTAAAAAGGAATGGAACAAGACACCGTCTAAAATGCGCAATGCACAGAGTCTTCGTGAAAAAAATGCAAAATGTGGGTAAGGGGGCATTCAGGCATCAAAAGCTTGTAAATGTAAAGGAGAGACGTGATATCGTGATCGATCGAAAGCGGCGCCGTTCATAGAGAAGAGCGCCATCGCTGCTGCTGACTGGGCGTGTTGTAAAGGAATGACTGGAAAGGGAATTCGTATCTTCAAAGCAAATCGAGGAAAAATAGCAAAATCCGAAGTGCAAAAAAACAAAAAGTTGTGTGCCGGTCACAACTATGAACCGGGCCAACGGGTTCATGAGCCAGGTGCCGTGTCGTGGAGAGAGTACACGGAATCCATGTAGGCGTAGCACGCGTTGTTGGTTGAAGCCGCCGTAGTAGGCACCCTGGCGTCGAGGCCATGCATATCCCAAGCTGCACGTGGCGCCGAGGCTGGCAGCCCGTGGGGGGTCTGGGACTGACAGATGGCCGGGTAGGAATAAGATCCAACAGACGTATAAGCCGGGCCGGCAGCCGGGAGTACAGATCGAAGCTCAGGAGCCGTTGTGAACGGAACACCGGCCTGATCCGCTTGCGGTGAATACGCCGGCACAACCATGCTAGCGGTATAGGCCAGGCCGGAGTCCGATACAGACTGAGGCGAGGTGGCTGTGTGAGGCTCTGTGCCTGAATCAGAACCCGTGGCGTGGCCGGTATAGTTAGTGGCTGCCGCAGGTAGAGCGCCTGCGGTGGAGGAGTAGCTGGCGGACTAGAAAAACAAGTCAGTAATCAACTTGACCATGAGAGGACGGATACTCACGTATTTCCCGATAATTTTCTTCAGGGCGTGGCTGAGAATCTTCCATGGAAAGACCTTGACGTCCTTCTCAATATTGCGCGGCTTAGGAGCAGGGAAGCCCATGATGACCTTGAAGAAGTTCTCGCTGTCTGCCTTGGCCTTGGAGATAGTGAGTGGCCGGAAACCTTCCAGGTTGCGCCGAATCCGATTCTTCTCTTCCACGGTGAATCGCACGCCCACGAGAGACTCAAGTAGGTAGATGGTATCCACACTGGTGACATAGCACTCTTGCTTCTCCTCCCACAGGATGCAACTGATGCAGATGCTGTTGGGGGCGCGATCCTCGGGAGCCACAGGCTTGAAGTCGGCGTGGATTGTGCTTCCAGTCTGGGATCGCGTGAACTGCACCAGACGACGCTGGCTGTCCCGCTCCTCCGTGCTCCAACCTTCTGCCATGGCATCCAGATCTCCGTTAAGCTTGAGGATAGCCTTAGAGGGATACATGGCATACGGGTTGAAGGGCTGGTTCTGGCTCAGGCCGTTCCCTTGCTGGAGGGTGGAGGTGCGCATCAGAGTCGGGTTCGAAGAACGAACTGGCGATGCTCCCTTGTGCTGTGCGATCCCCTGCGCCATGGCGAGTGCCGGGTTCCGCACTTCATGGCTGACGGGCACGTAGGAAGGACTCCAGGACGGAGTGAGAGGCGACGGAGCACGGATGGTGGGCTGGGGCGCGGACACAGTAGAGTATTGTGCGATGCTTGTTCGAGGAGAGGAGCCAGGGTGGAAAGGCGTGACAAATGGAACCATGGCTGGAAGAGGCTGCAGATACGGCGAGAAAGATGCGGATCGGTTCTCGCGGTACGAGTAACTGTCCTGGGGCTCGATCTTGGACACCGAAGCCGTGTGTCTCTTGACCGGTCTGGCAACCGAGGCAGTCTCCGAAATCGAAGAGATCTTGCGTTTCCGCGAATCTCCCGAGGGCGACGGCTGGGGCACATGTTCATATGTGTAGACACCGACTTGAAGAGTGGTCGCAGGGCAATCGCTCTGAGTGCTCATAGTGACTTGCAGGGGCACGGCGAAGGACGGAGAACCCGTGGACAGGAACGGCGGAGCATCCATCGACAGAGCGTACTGGAAAGCGGAACCCTGAAACCCTAGGAAGTGGGGGACACATTCGCACTTCTTCGACCCAAAGACCAAGTACAACTCTGCATAGGCCGAGCTGTGCAGGTCATAAGGCGATTGGATCTGGACAAAAACACGCGTGCCCTCAGCGCCGCGTTGAGGGGGTGTAGGAGACGATCTCAGGCAGCTGCTGAGGCTGTGCACCCATCATCGGCGACTGGGCCTCTTCGTATGAGCTGGCATACTCCTGGTTGGGCAGGTAGGGCACACAGTCGGAGATCTGACTGGCCTGGTCCGCCATGGGCGACGGGACGAGCGATGCCGTCACATAAGGAGACTGGCCGTAGGCCGAATAGGAGCCAGCATCATGCAAAGATCGCGTGGAGCCGTAATCTGGTTGGATATCAGCACAGGCCTGAGGATGAGATGGAATAATGGTGGCATACCTAGTATGGTGCCGGCCGAGGGCTTCTGGAAAGCAGACATCGACAGGAAGGGCTCAGACTTGGCCCACAGGCCGTCTGAAAATGCACCAACAAACTGTGACTCTTCAGGATCCGAGAAATCCACGGACTCGCCTAGAACGAGAGGTGTTTGAAAGTCCGGGTCGAACTGTGATGGATAGGGGGTACAAAGTCAGTCCACGGTATTCACACACGCAGGAGGTTCGTTGGTATGGATTCAAACACAAGAGGACAGAAGGGGAAATGCGGGCATCCAGAACAGAAACAAGCAAAGGGAATTGGGTGCGGGTGTGATTCTCACCAAAACACCGTGTGTCTTCGAGTAAGCCAGCTTGAAGGTGTTGCAGCGACTGCAACAAGACTGAACACCCTGGAAAAGAAGCGAATGACTGGGAATTTATCCTCCAAACGACTGAATGTCAAAACGACCACGCTAGAACGGGGCTCTCCGAGACAGAACAAGCGAGGAAATGAAGCCGCTGTCAGGTTCACAAAAAGGTCGGCAACAAAAGGCCTCGAATCACCATTCAGCGAAGCTGAGACTGGGAAAGGCTGGCTGCAGAAAGAGATTCAGATCTCGGTCGCGCTGATCAAAGGCTCATAAAGACCGTGACGGCGGAACCTGTCGCGTAAGAGGGAAGCCCTAAAGCCACTGCCGGTCGGCGCAGATGTTCACACAAGATTGGATGATTTCCACGAGGTTGACCTTGATGACAGCGAACGCGGACTGGACGGGTTTTGCTTTCTTTCTTTTCCTGGTGCCGCGCGAGGTCTCGGAACGCTTTCAAGCAGATTGGGCAGACACACTGACGATGGCGAACTATCCAAGCAATGAGTACGAACCTTTGTTTTCCACCAGCGATAGAGGAACGGATGGGTGCATAGGCTAACAAAGGTGTGTGGGCTCACCGAGTGAATCAAGAAGATGGAAAAAAAATCTGAGACTGAATTGTCCGTGTCTCTAGATAATATGTCGCAGCTCGGACTCCCAAGTCAATGTTGACGGAATAGTCTATTCAATACTAATGTTAATAACAAACAGCTCAATCTGGGGGGTCGACTATCGACGGGGAAGGCCTCCGGCACGGGTCCATCGACGCTCGTCATCTCTTGGGCCCGTTGATGGTCCCGAGCAGCACGAGTTCCCGGATGCAAGGATGCACATAATGCAAGGCACGAGGGGGAGAGTGAGACCGTGGGCGAAGGGGGAAATGTCTCTCTTACTAACCTTGAGCCTGATCCTGCCTGTCCTTCTGCAAATTGACTGAGACCTTTCCACTCAGAGGCGATCGATGCCGTGTCCTCAGCCGAGACACAACGAATGGGCGATCTTCCTTTTATTCGCCGCAGTTTTGGCGATCGTAGACCAAAGAAGATTCAAATAGTTCAAATCAATCGTTGGTTGGCCAAACCGAGTCGGCGGGACAAACGGGCTCTACAGGCAAGCTGGATATCGCGATGCGCAAACGCGACTTTGTCTTTTTTTCTTCTCTCCCTCCGGGACCGCAATTTCCGAAGCTGTCAGGGCCTTGGAATAATTCTCCACTGGTGAAAACGAGGAGAGATCAAGGGCTCCGCAATGGGCGCAAGGTGTCTCCGATCGATAATTAAATATTAAATAATCCGGATATAATGGACCGTGTGTTTCAGTGTTCCTCGCTTCTCGTGTTTCTCTTTTTTGATTTTTAAAATGGTCAAACAAACGTAGCGAGCGTGGTTCTCGTGGCGGCAAGTAGCGAGCGTAAGAGCGAACGTGGGGGTGGTGTGGTGGTGAGCGAATGTGGACAATCAAGTCATAATAATGACTGGTCTTGTCAGATGGAGAGAGGAAGAGGGGAGGAGGGGGAGGAGAAAAGCGGCGAGGATGGCAAGAGGAATCGAAGTAAGGAAGAAGAGAGACCAGGGCAGAAAGTAACGAGGGCGATAATAATATATGATGCGAGGGTATTATTATTAGCATAGTAAATTCCGGCCTAACTGGTTCAGGCCCACGAGCGGTGTTTTGTTACATACACTGCCAATACCTGAACTAACTAATAAGGATCGTGGCGGGGGATGCACAGATGATTTCTTGGGAACTGGGGACTCGGGTTAGGACGGGTATTGCCCACGGCCTTCACACCGGTGGTACGATCTCAAGTGACACACGGTCCAGGGGCCTGACTCTCAGCCCGTCGCGTCGAACCAGGTGGTTGGCTGCGAGAGTTCCAATTATAATGCACGGCGATCACGATGCTGACTTGTCCCTCGAGGCTGCTGCTGATGGGCGTCTTCTCTTCCCTCCACCTACGTGGACCGCTGGCAAAGAAAAGGTGACCAGGTAGATGAACAGTGGACACTGTCCAATGCGGTGTATGGTCCGAAGTGGGTTGACGGGGTGCCGGACGGACCCAAATACCGTTCTCTCTTTTCTCTCCATCATCATGATCACCACCACATCTAGCGGGCTGTGCCGGGCATTAAAGTGGAGAGCGAACAGATTATTTGCTTGGGGACTGCTGACTTCCATGGCGGGCACAGACTTTCCTCGAATAATCCATGTTCGACTCAGCCAATCATCGGCGGCGGCACTAGTTATATTTAGTATCCGAGGTTGTTCCCTATTCCCAATCGGGTCATCGCGGCGGCCAATCCTCTGCACGCTTTGCAGACCCTTTTTTTTTGCACGCCCGATCGTGCACTCGGATCACACTTGCCGACCCTTGGATAGGTGTTATCGGCCGTACCATTATTACTCTTTGTTCGTTAAGGGTGTGACTCCTCTGTACTATTCACTGTAATTATAGCCTCCTAGGGCTTGCCGTCATCATACGATCATCTGACTCGAGCTAAACTTAGCAGGGTATCATCGTCTCGTGGTCGCTATCACTCTGCGATGTGACCCTAGCCCCCTTCTGGAAAGAAAAATAAAAAACACGAGCAACAACAACAAACAAAAACCGGTGTGACTGCTCTACTGTACCATTTCTGACCGCATCAGCCTTGTCGATCCACCCCGGCTTGTCGGTGATCATGGAATTATTATTAGTTTGTAGCTATCCCCTCGAGGCATCAGGCAAGGACGGTAGGTATCCCTCACTGGAGGGAATACGATCGCTCGGGAGAGTTCCGACCGCAACGGCTGGGATGCATATCCCTTGTGCAGATATCCCCAGCCACCACGATGTGCTGTGCGTACGGGACTCGTGCAAGGAGACCAGCATTTGTTAGCCTCCGTGATTTTCCCACGTTGAGTATATCCCCCGTCGTGGATAGCATAGAGTGGATGACTTCCCGGAGCCATTGTTCGGCTGTCGGGTTCGAGCGACGGTGGAGCGCTGATTGATCAGCGATCATATCAAAGCTTAGGGGTTCGTAGGTCCCAAAGACGATCAAACGCTCATCCTGATTCCCCAACCACATTTAATTAACACCAGCAAGGAGCTTTTTGTCCTTAAATCTATCCCTATTATTACCCCTTGTAATCAAATAAAACGAAGAGTCAGGGGCATAGCGTTTGTCTCTGTGGATTGACCCAGAAGGGTTAAAAAAAAATCCCCCTATCTCTCCGCCGTTGACAACCGGGTTCCGGGATCCACAGGCGGAGCCCATCGGCCAACGCAGAAAAGTGCCCGATTCGTTTGCGAGCCATTTTGAATTCCACCGGCGTCCAGGGAGATCCCAGGTCGGGCACTGCTGTTCAGAGCTTCGGACTTCCATCCCTGTTGGAGCCGTGCTCCGGATTTTCCACTGTGCGCGGCTGGTGTCGGCTCCTCCTGATCCACTACATGATTCATTGATTAATTATTGAATTTATTATTACTCTCATCGAACTCCATTGATTAAAGTGTATCTCCTCGGAACAGGAGTCACCATTGGTCAAGGGAATCAGAAAGAAAGCAGGAACCTTGCTTGCATCGGGATGGAATTGAGATTGACCCGAGACGACGGTGAACTTGCTGGAGAGAGACAGCCCTTGCAGCGACAAACCACATCCCCCCCGTGCTTCAGCCCGTGCTCTCTGTGTCCTGCGAGGTGCTCTGATGCCCACATGGGCTTTTGCAGGACATACTAGTGGAAGCTCCCCGAGCTGTGGACCTACCACTAACTGTTGCTGTTCGTAGCTTGCCAGTGGTTTCTCCGCCACAGCCTGTGCCCTGCCAATAATGGCCCCCTATTTCTCGTCCACCGGATCTCCCTAGCATACTCTAACTAATTGCAGGAGCCACTCAACGTTGTCGGGTTATTCGCTTGGTCAAGCCTGCGCACCGCGCCGCCGTATTAGCTTTAACTCTACGTCCTGTACTGGACAGGCGGAACGAGCGAATCACGGTATTTAACAATCCCCCGGTATCTGTGAGCTAGCCTCATTCTTCCTTAGCTGCCCTTGGCTGCTACATAGAGCAGTTAGCTGTCGTAGCTTCCTTCCTTCTTGCTCCTAGTGTCCCCTGCGCCTCTGCCACGCTGGGAGGGATCTACAGTCCCAACTACCGAACAGATGATGTCGTCTTCCCCCATACTCTGTGCATACTCTGTGCATACTCTGTGATCTCTCGGGAGCCTTTCCGCTCGTCTGCTTTACCCGGTGACAGCTGGCTCACTCTCTACCGCAAGCATTGAGTCCATGATACTATTCTGTAGCGCCGAGCAAGCATATCTGAGAAGTTCGCGCCCATAATCGTCAACCGAGCCGCGCATCCTATGAAGCTTACCGTGTCCCTGACCCGGCCACTTGGCAGGTCTCACCTTGTCGCTTTGCTCTGAATCTTTATTCGCTTGACATTTTTAGTTTGGGGCGGGGGGTGGAACAAGGATTAACCAGCCATGTCTCTGTGCTACCGTCGAGGCGATCATCACGGCGCCAGTCTCCAGCACCCCCGACTCCCAGCTTCATAGCCACTCGCTTGTCTCAGTGACGATGAAGATCGCGCGGGGGGACGTCAGGAAGGTCAGACCAATGCCGTCGGTGGAAATCGCATCTTCGGGCCAGTCGGTCAACCTTGGAAGATGCCCGATCTGCGCTGGAGTTGATGATCGCATACGCTCTTGGAGAAGCATGTGGCGCATTTTTGAAATAATCCTTGTATTTACGAATTACACAGTAGCTAGAGTTGGTTTCATCTCACTATCTTTTTTTCCCTCAGGCTCAGGGGAAGTGAGACCGATCATCGGTCTTTTTTCGCAACGGCACATTTGTGCCGCGTCGATCTGATTCTGATAGGATCTTGACCGGTCGGAGTCCGGCAACCTGTTTTTTGAGAATAGATGTGGGAATTGTAGGACGGAGGTCTTGCCTCATGTGATTGTAGCGGTTTTAAATCTAGTTTTAGGGTTCGAATTATTGTTTATCGTTGACAGAGGTGTTCGTCCACCTCGTGGCCCCCACGATATATATACAGCACAACTACATGACAACATATATATAACGCTGACTTGACACTCAACACGATTGCTTTATAACACGCTTCTAGAATAATAATATCAATCTTTCTTCACTTCTCTTGACTGTCTCAATCGCTAACAAAACCCACAACGATCGCCTTGATCATCCGCGCTTGAAACCATCGCCTATATACGGCCGTTTCAGATTGATCGGTAGCGCCAGCACCGACCGTGGATTTGCTTATCTGCAACAAAGCTAACCTTGAACTCCTGTTCCTTGCTCCCTTCCTTTTCCTTGTTTCCTATTTACCACCGTGTAATGATGAAGTGCTAATTTTCGAGCTTTCACATCGATAGTAGAATAATGAACAAGCCACGAGGATTACCCCTGTCTGTTCCCGGTGCATGCATGTCCTGTGTACACTTTCCTCTAACTGGACTAGGACCAGTGGGGAATCCCTCCATCGGGACCTCGGGAGCCATCAGCCTCCGATTGATTCTCCATGTGGTTCCCTGAGCTTCCGTCTACTAACTATTCCAGACTGGGTTGCTGCTGATTGTTTGGTTTGGTTCGGTTTTTGGGTTGCCCCAGAATTAGTAATGGAGAACATCATTGACTTCAGTACTTTTTCGGACCCGAGAATCTAGCGAACAAGCCCACTTTTTTTTTCTTGCCTCTTGTGGTTCTGCTACACTTTTACGGAGCACTGAATTATTGGATAAGGGAGCAATTGACTTTTTCCTTTGATTCCCACTCCTGCCAAGTGTATAGGCAACCACAAAAAAAAGAAAAATTAAGCGAACAACAGACAAGAACAACGGACCAAAAATACCATCCGACCAAGGCATAACGGCCCCTTTCGGAGACCAGATCCGGTAGGAGCAGGGAGATTACATCCGTGCTTGTTGATCCTGTGCCTCGGGGAATTTTCTTTTCTCTTCTCTCGCTTGCCACGAGGTGGAGGAGACGGACGACATGATGGACACGGGCGCGGAGTTGCTATCCAAGCGAACACACCAAGAAGCGTCCCCTGCCCTTCTCCCGCATCCCTCGAGTGGAGAATTCACTGAAATTGGGAATTCCCGCTATCCAATGTACTGACCACGGAGTACTGCACACAATTATGAACATGGGCGTGCACGATCTAACCCAGCACAGGCAAGAATCAGAAATCAATCAATTCAGATCAGTCAGCTCTGCTCATTTTAGGCTTCCTAGACTGATTGGCTGGTCTCATCCATCTCATCCTAGACTCATATGCAATGCTATTCTTAGAGAGACAGCACAAACTCTATTCTCTTCTCGACGATAAGCTGCGTGAGAGAGGTGAGCATTAACTTAGTACTGTAACATCCTACTCTCATCCTTGAGGCGCAGCCGCATCGATAAGCGGTGAGCTGCGTAACCCTGACCAACAAAAGGAATCGGGAGGAATGGAAGCAGTCTAGTTGGCAGGTGGCCTAAGCACATTTTTAGAAACACGTACACACAGTAGTGGAGTAGTAATGCATTTGCATGTCGCTAAGTAGTTGCTAGATGTGATTGTTGATGTTGTTGGTACAGACACAGATACAGACACATACTCATACAGCGCAGGGAGTAGCCAAAAAAAAGAAAGATGGCCCGTATCTGTCCACGCAGAATAAATGGAGATGGCAAATAGTTCAAAGAAACCTCCCGCCCAAAGAACTTCGTAAGATAAGATGCATGCACAAACATCCTTCATTTACCGCTTGCCCTTCTTCCGGGGCGCAACGACCTTGAACGCAGTGTTGCTCTCCTCTTCGCGCTGGGCAGCAGCAGCGGCAGCAACAATGCTCGCCGTGGAGCCCTTCTTAGCGACCTCGCTCCAGCCACTGCCATTCTTCTGTTCCCCAAAGGCACCAGGAGAAACAGGATCGACGATACCCTTGTCGGCGAGCTTGCGGCGACGGATGAATTCCTCGGCGAAACGACGACCGTCCAAGGTCTGGGAGTTGGCGTAGACTGAATCCGAAATGATCTCGGCCTCGGCAGGCAGGAAGAGTAGTTGCTGGACGAAGTCGTCGACTATAAAAGAGATAACGCATTAGTATTGCCAATGCATGAATTATGCTCGGTTTTAAGACTTACCATTGATGTTCAGGTTCAGCCCCTTGCCCAGTGCCAGCTTCGCCCACTTGGTGAACTCCTCAACGGCCTTGCTGGAGTTGGACTGCGGCACGCTGCCAACTGTCACAGTGCGAGTGCCCGCGGCAGGGCGGACCTTCGCAGAAGCAACAGCAGGTGCGATAGGAACAGTTCCGCTGATAGAGCGCGGGCCAAGCGGCGCATTGGGAGGGGCCTTGGGTTTGCCGCTTGCGCCGACAGTAGTCCAGGCTCCAGAGGAGGTCACGGCACCGGGAGCAACGGGAGCGGGAGCCTTGCTTGCGAGGTCAGCGTACCGCTTGCCAGCGGACATGGGGGGGCTAGGAGTCGCGGTTTGGGCCGCAGCGGTCGCGGCAGCAACTAGGCGCTGCTTGCGAGCCTCCTCTTCCTTCTGGATCTGCGCGAGAGTCTTCTTGGTGGCGGTGTTGGTTGCTACGGGCAGAGTTTTGCTACTCCACACGGAACCGGCAGACGTCGGGGTGGCAGGTGATCCGGCGCTGGCCCAGTTGGCCGACGAGGGGAGACCAGGAGCGGCCTGAGCTTGGGCTTGACTGAGACGCTCTTGTTCGGCAAGTAGCTGAGCACGGCGCGCGGCGGCGGCAATCTCCTCTCGTTGCGCAGCATTGCGAGCCTCGGCTTCTTGGATCTCCTTCAAAGACGGACCCTTGGGCAAATCGTGAGCCTCCTTGGCCCACGGGGCGACAGAGGTAGCCGGAGCATCAACAGGAGTCTGAGTCTGGGAACGGGAACCCGCAGCCAGACTTTCAGCCACATATTGACGGTTGCGCTGCGCGGCAGGCGCGGGCAGAGGCGACGCGGAGGGTGGTGGAGGGAATGGCTGAGGCATCGCATGGTCTTGTTTGACGATTCCCCAGGCCGACTCAGAAGGCCCTAATGCCTGCATCTGCTCTTCCTCCTCCTGCTGCTGGCGCTGAGCGGATGCAGTCTTCTGGACCTGCTGTGTGAGGGTCAGAGGGGGCGCGACACCAGCTTCAGCGAGTTGTTGAGCTGCCACTTCTGAGCCCGCGGCGGCTTCAGCTTCAAGTTGTTGTTGGGTGGCTGCGGCGGCGGGATGAGTAGGAAGACCACCAAGATCGCCTTCTTGAGCTCTGAGAGCATGGAATTGGCGAAGTCGTTCCTCGCGTGCTTGCTGATCGAACGGATCATTGGAATTCGCCTTGTCAAATTGCTCTTGCTCTTGATGCAGCTGAGCGCGGTCCTGAAGCATCGACGCGACCTGTTGGGACTGGAGGAAGTTGTCGGGTTGACGGGCAGCGAACGAAGTAGGACTGCCAAAAGCAAATGGGTCCTGGCGACCCACGTTCAAGCGATCGAGGAGGGCCGGGAGCTGATCCTGACTACCGCCGAGTTCCGTCCCAAGCATCCCCGGGCCTACATTGGGCAATCCACCGCTCTGTCTGATCGAGCCGGCCGCATCAAAGAAGCCAGGGACTCCCTGTTGGGTTTGCTGCTGCTGTTGCAGAGGGGCCTGAATCGGAGATGGTTGGTAGCCGACCGGGGAGGTGATGCTGCCAAAGCTAGGCTGGCTGTGAAGACTGTGCGCGCTGGATTGGTGCTGAAGCTGGGGCTGCAGGGAAGGAGGAGCACCTGGGACATGCATCTGCTTCATTATAGCTTGCTGCTGAGCGAGATGCTCCTTCTGTCGCGCCATAAGATACTGCTCTTCCTGCTTTCGCCTCTCCAATGCATTTTGCTGCTCCGCCGTCAAGGTAGTGCCAAAGCTGGGGAAACTACCAGGGAATGGTGGCTGAGCGTTGCCCGCGGTGCTGTTGGCAGTCCACTGGGTTCCGCCGGTAGGATCTGGGCCATGAGGAATACCGATCTGCGGCACGAGGAATGGCTCGCGAGAGTTCCCAATGCGTCGTACCAACTGCGCAAGCGGTTCAAACTCCGGATCCTCGAGCTTCTTGATCTGCAGATCGGGGCTGAAGAAACCCGCCTTGAACCAATCGTGCATCTCAAGACCTGTCCATGGCCCTTGGATGTTTCCTTGAGGATCACGGTAGATCCAGCGCATTCGATCGGGCATCACCATCATCCGCTGCTGAGCAGAGGACATGGTTCCACCAGGCGTCTGACTTGGCACATCGTGAGCGGCCACGTTGGCTGGGATAGCGCCAAGAGCCGAAACGGGGGTCTCTGACGCAGAGTTAGAACCAGCCTGGCTTTCCTGCTTGTCCACCTGCTGTCCGTCATCCATCTCGCCAATGTCCGGCATGCCTTGCTCGTCCTGCATGGTCGAGAACAGGGCGCCAAGCTTGCTCGATCGTCCGATACTGCCGGTACCAGCAACGCCCGCATGTGGACTGAAAAGACCTCCACCTCCCAAGTTCGCTAAGCTGGGAGATTGCAGATCGCCCATGGTACCAAAGATCGGGTCACCGAAGCCGCCCGGGAACGCGGAGCGTTCGCGAGTCGGGGTACCGACAGCACCACTGGACGGCCAACCGGAAGATGTCCCCAGAGAAGGGAGACCGCCCAGGCCACCAAGTCCCGAGAAGGCACGGTTCGCGTTGGCACTGGAGTTTTGGCTGCGATCAACGGTGGGAAGGTCCATTCCGGATCCAACGCGTCTCATCGAACCAAACGGATTGGAGGTGTCACGAAGACCACTCAAACCCGGATGTTGGGATTGCTGAATGTCTGACCCGTCGGTATCCACATCCTCCGCATTTTGTCGATCGCCATGCGGACTGTGATAGGGGTTCGTGTTGGTCGGGCTAGTGGGCTCGTGGCCTTGGAGGAGACTGGGGGTCGGATTGCGTGAATTCTCTTGGCTTTGCATCAGCTCGCGGAACCCAGGGATGCTGGAGGTCATGCCAAATGCGCCAAACCCAAGATCCGCGGCCTGGGGAGGTGACTCAACATCCTGAGACCCGCCAAGGGCGGCGCTTCCACTACGAGCCTCCTCAAACGGATTGGTGTCGCTGCGGCCGGTGCGAGTCTTGACAGCATCCCCCCAGGGCGACTGGGAGCGGCTGCCACTGTCATTCTCAGTGAGTCGTTCTAGGTTGCTCAACGAAGGCTTGTCCTTTGCCGACCCAGCGATGTCCTCCGAGCTATCCTTGGAAAGCAAGCCCTTGAACCTGCTTTCGCCGCGCAGACTGCCATATCCTGCCTTTTTCTCGGCTGGGGCCGCCTGTGCCGCGCTTGCACCACCAAGAGAGAAAGCTCCAAATGCACCCATGGGGGAGAAGTTGGCATTCTGCGAGGCCGTTCCCCAAGGGGAACTCGACCCGCTGACACCTGCACCCAAGGGGTTGGTGGTACTGCGTTTCAAAGATCCATAGGGAGCATCTGAACCGCCCTCCCGACCGGCTGAATCCTTCGCCTTGTCCGGGGTTGGTGCATCTCGGAAATCCGTCTTGCGGCGCAAGAGAGCAGGTGGTGGGGTGGAGGTGTTGGCCTCATCGCGGAAGAAGCGAGAGTTTGAAGCGGCCGTAGGGGACATGGGATTGCCCGCTGATTCGGTCGTTTCGCGGCGTCGCGGGCCAGGGCGCCCCGTGGTCGGTGAAGAGGTATTGTAGTTATTCGTGTGGCCCTGGGTATAGGAGATGGAGGATTTGCGGCCTCCCACTCCAGGAGCAGCGGGTTCCTTGGAGGCACTCGACGGTGGCGGCTTCAGAGGAGAGTTGACGGAGGCAGAGAAGAACTGTGGAGAAAAAAAAAACTTCGGGTTAGCATGAAAGGGAACAAAAGGCCCAGGAAGTGACCAACCTCTTTCTCATCGTCCGTCATCTCCGTAAGCCCCAGGGGCTCGAGCTGGCCCTCATGATCCCAGCAGACTTCGGGTCCTGCGGAGCTATTCTTGTGGTCGTCCCGTTTCCCCCACGCCCCGTTCACTGCAGGTGTCACCATGTGAGGGTCCCAGTCGGCGACGAAATATTCCTCCACGTTCTTGCCCAAGGTTCCAGTCTCACGCTGCACCTTATAGAAGTCTAGAAGTTGGTCCTTGGAGTACCGAGCCTCACCGTTGCGCAGAGTGCCGGACAAGTGATTTGAGCTCATGTGGGGAGGGATGTACGCTCCGGCGGCCGTGGGCGTCGCGGCTGAGGCCGGCTGGCTGCTCTCGCGGTGGTGAGGAGGGTTCGTAGCACCGGACGGGCGACGGAATGTCTGGGTGGCTCCGTTCATGCGGGTTCGGGACCTAAAGCTCACAAAAAAGCAAAATTAGAGATTCTCGTCTTTAAATAATATTGCAGATGAAGAAACGGCCAGTTTGGTGTCGGGTGACCAGCTGACATCCAGTCACCTGCGAAGACAGGGCGAGGGTTGCATACCATTCTCCACTGGCTGAGGAGCCGTCCCCTCTCCTGCTGGCGTCCTGGGTGTTGCCAGCAGCGGCCGAAGCAAAACTCGAAGGAAGTGGCGTGGGCATTATGAGAAACAGAGGATGCTAAATATGGATTGTTGATCCCCCACAATCGATTTTCTGGGAACCGTGCGTCGCGAGACCTTGTTTGAGGAGGTTGGAGGTTTTGGGGAGTTGTGTGGCTGCGAACGGAGTGTTGACGCAAGACACGAAAGAGAAAAATCAAGGACGAGAAGATAGCGAGATGCGCTGGTGGTCAATCGATCGGCGAGCTGGCGGGGAGGGAGTGAGACGAGAAGGGAATGCAAGAAACGCGACAGGCTATCGAGCAAGAGAAGAGAGAGAGAGGGAGTCTTTCGCTTGGAGAGAGCAAAAATGGGTTTGGCGGAGAGCGTGGCAGTTACGGAAAATACCGTGTATTGTGGACCAATCCTGGCGCGCGTTGGCTGGCAGGACCGTGTATTGCGATTACCGAGGTATTCCATACACGCACAATGTACGAACGCCGTGCCAGACCACAAGTACCAGTGACTTCATACCAGGACTATCTGATCACTGTACAAACAAAGCCCCTTTGGTAGAGACACACATCCAGCGACAGGGCATATGCGTGGCAGTAACAGGATAGGCATGCATCGCCCGCCAACACACACGCCCTGCCCGTGATTGGCCGCGCGGGTTTGGACGTGTTTCTTTTCTCTTTGCTTCACCACCAACACTGCGGCCCTTGCCGCACACCCAGCACAAAGACGGGGCGTGAGACATGCCGGCCTGGGGTACCTGCAGCTTGCATCCCTTTTTCTCTGTTGTCTTCCGCTCGGGATTCGGACTGGAATCTCTTTGAAGATGATGTGCGGCGGATTCTTCCTCTGTGTCTCATGCTACTCTGATATGGAGTTAGGGTTAGACAAGAATCACCATGATCGGCTCTACAAGACATCAATCCCGCTTACATATATCCCCATTGTCCTTTCCCCCAAAGACGTAAGCACACCCCTCTGTCTGCAACGATGAAGTATGCAACTCGCACCATTCCCTTCTCTTGGTACTGGAAAGGCAAGCCTCTCCCCAGAGGCCAGCTGCACGGCGAGCGCATTCGGCCTGTCTACCTCGGGGTGCCCGATAGAGATACCTTGTCGCTGGCAGGATGCTCCTCTGACTCCTCGATCGAGTCGACAACGGCGCAGGCAACTCACAGCCGGTGTGAGGGATGCAATGAACATGCCCACCATCACTACATGTTGAGCGGTAGCGATTGCCCGAATTGCGACAAGGCCAGGAAGCGCTGCCAATGCCGCCATGCCCACCGCGAGCCCGAAGCCACCCACCAGAAGGCGAAGGACACGGCCAAGGAAAAGTGTAGCTGTGACCACCATCTAAAGGCTGCTCCTGCACCGGCGAGGTCAGCGACTTCTGCTGCAACACCGCACCACCATTGCTGCGTGGCTACTAAAGTGCATTGTTGTGAGCATCATCATTACGGTGCCTCTTGCCCGGCATCTCCAGTCCCTGCGGCACCTGGCCCGCATCATTCGACTGACAGTCACCAACACAAAACGGCCCGATCTAGACGCTCAAGCAGACGACGTTCACACCCAGGGCCGGAAGGTCGATGCCCGAACTGCTTTCACGCCTGCGATTGCTATTCGGAGATCGCTCACTACCCCGTTGACGACGACATGATGTCCGAGATCTCGGTGGACGTGGGAGCGGGCAGCGATGGAGACACCGACGAATCGCGATGCCCACATCACCATTACCCTTCTTGGTGGGCGTACCGGCCTGCAATGGGGTATGGGAGGAGGTGACAATATAGATCCTCAATGAGTGTTGTGCTAGTTTGTTGGTTTCTCCTGGCTGCCTCTAGTTCAGAGCCAGCCGCATGTTTTTGTATATAGAGAGAGGGAGCAATGGCTAGTATCTGCAATTTACATTCCCATTATTTCACCCGGACGTCCAATAATCGTTGTCGTCGCTCCCGAGGATCGATAGTTAAGTTGGTTATAATCCTGGACAATTAGTAATGAGGTCATCCCTTGCCCCGTGGACCGAGCCGAGGCTTAAGATGCCTATTTGATATCAAACCTTAGAAGAATCACCAAAACCCCAGAAATAACTCCAACAGTTTCAGATTTGGATCCCCTCTTATCCTCAGATTTCCAACCACTCCTCACAGTGTGCCTATACTTCCGCATCAGATTCCATTCATTATCGATAAGCACCACCACATTCCCCGCACCGAAAGCCGAACACTCACCGAACAACCATGTCCAAGGCGATTTACATCTCGCCGATTGACGGCAAGCCTGGCAAACCAGGGCAGGTCTACTATCCGCTGTCACTGCGTACAATTCCCAAGCCATCGCCGCAGGGCGGAGAGCTGCTTGTGAAGCTCACTGCCGCCTCGCTCAATCACCGGGATCTCTTCCTCCGACAGCACCTATACCCCGGTGTGACATTTGATGTGCCTCTTCTGGCCGACGGCGTAGGCGTAGTGGTTGGCGCTGGCCCCAATGTCTCGAACCCGGAGCAATGGCAGGGCAAGCGGGTGATTCTAAACCCCGGCGTGGGCTGGAAGGACTCGCCGGACGGACCCGAAGAAGCGACAGGTTACCGCATCATGGGAGGTACCAAGGTCTATGACAAGGGTACCTTGCAAGAATATGTCGCCATTGAGGAAGGGGAAGTCGAAGAAGTACCCTCGCACCTCTCCGATGCAGAAGCAGCTGCTTTGCCGCTGACGGGACTGACCGGGTGGCGGGCACTCGTGTCGAAGGCGGGCGAGCGGAACTCGAGCACGGGTGCTGCTGTTTTAGTGACTGGCATTGGAGGAGGTGTTGCGCTGATGGCCCTGAGGTTTGCAGCTGCCAGAGGCGCGGATGTCTTCGTGACGAGCTCGAGTGAGGAGAAGATCCAGAAGGCTGTCCAGTTGGGAGCCAAGGGAGGTGTCAATTATAAAGAGGCCGGATGGGATAAGAAGCTGCTGGGGATGCTGCCTTCGGGCAAGAAGAACTTCGATGCCATTATCGACGGTGCCGGTGGTGATTCCATCGAGAAGGCGGCCAAGCTGCTCAAGGTGAGTTTGATCTGTACCGATTCTGTGGGGTGGGGTTAACATCAATCAATAGGCTGGTGGTGTGCTCTCTGTGTATGGCATGACGGTGTCTCCCAAGATGCCCTTCCTGATGCAGGCGGTGCTGAAGAACATCGATGTGCGAGGCTCGACCATGGGCTCTCGCAAGGAGTTCAAGGAGATGGTGGAGTTTGTCAAGACACACCAGATCCATCCGGTCGTGTCGCGAGTGTTGCAGACAGACCTGGATGATCTGGCTGGAATTGACGGACTGTTTGAGGATATGAAGGAGGGCAAGCAATTTGGCAAATTGGTGGTGGAGTTTGGCAAGTCCGGGGCCAGCAAGCTGTAGATCTGGTCGTGCCTTCTTTTTCTTCTTCTTCTTCTTCTTCTTCTCCTCCTTTCAAGCAACACTGTCAACGCAGTTGAAATACACACTCATTGCAGAACGACCACTCTCCTTGATTTACTTGTCCCTGTATATCCATCCTCCCCGTCATCATGATCTCCCGTCCAGCTTCAGTATCTTATTCACGACTCCCGCACACCATGTCCCGCACCCACGGCCCAGTGCCCCTGCCAAATGATCCCCCCAATTCTCGGGACGGCGAGGGAACTATAGTAATTATACCCCCAGAGGCAGAACCCACAGCGCGCTCGCTAAAGATAGACCCAGAGCCGCTACAGCCACTCCCACGCCATGATGCAAGCAACCCACTCCAATATCCAGCACAAAGTCGCAAAGCTGCAGGCCAACTCGCTTCGGTTGAAGCGCGAGCTCTTTCTTCTCCATCGACACATCAAATCGTTTCACCACCCGCTCCTTGAGACATGGGAAGCGGACATGCTCACTCGTCTCATTGAGATGGTGTATACCCGCCAATGCCTCCGGCTGCCCGGTGGGATTTCTGTCGGTGATGCCTTGTTCATGGAACGGGAACTGCTCTCGCGGGCGTACAGCATTGCGGCGAGGCGTATTCGTATTGATACCCTCTGGAGCCTGGGTCTTTCGGACAAATACCATGAGGCGCTGAAGCGTTACGAGGAGGTGAGCTTTCATTCCGTTTCGAAGGTTCCATGTCTTAACATGTCTCAGGTGACTGTCTACCGAAGCCCCAACCCATTCGAGACCGAAGTGCCGTTTGCTCGCTGGTTGGTAACCGAAAAGGAGGCACGACCCCAGGTGTATGAGTTCTGGTCGAAACTCTTCCCCGTATGCTGTGGCCGGACCGTCGAGGAGAGCAGTACCCTCTAATTGGGGTCAAGGTTGAGACGGAACTCAGCAAGGCGGCTTGCTCGTGGCGTGATGATGGGAATCTTTCACAACCCTTCAGTACATTGACCTTTGTTTTTTTTCTCCCGGTCAACTACGGTCTTTGCATTCCTGACTTTCTTTCTGCTTGCAATGTACATCCATACCACGTTATATTGTTATTCAGTCAACGGACAATAGACAATGTCATCCATTCGGTTCAACATACGATACTCAAGTCTCATTTCTTAGACTAACACAATTTGGCCATATATACCTGGGGTAATTCACTCCGAAGCATCCACCCACTCTCCAATCCACTTAGCAATCCACGCCTTATCAATTGCCGGCACAGCACGCAGCGCCTCACTCCTCCCCGCGGTCCGAGATGTCTCGAAGACCGTAGCCTGCAAAGACTGTTCCCTATTCTGAGCATCGAGCCCCTCATAAAAGTCCAACAGCTTCACAGCCGGGTTCGACCGAAGCAACCTCTCCAACTCCTGATCCTGAGCTCGGCCCTTCTCCTCCATATCCCTCCGCACACGCACAATCCATTCTCCGAGGGAGATAACCTCCAGCTCCTTGTCCCTCCCAGAAGACAGTGCCTTCTGCACCGCCGGCAGAATCGATAACCACGATTGTGGGTGCAGGTTATGAGGATGGAACACCTCGACAGAGCCAGGCGCGTCGCTCTCACTCAGGGCCAGACCGACTAGTACCTCCGAGAGCAGGTCAACAGGCACCCAGTCAATGCGATTCATGCTTGGGCCGAACGCATCCGGTATGGCGCCAATATGCCGCGAGCTGAGCGCCAGACTGGGGAACCACTCGGCTTTGTTCCAGAGACCGGGCATTCTTGCTGCGCCTGCTATCTGGCCCACGCGTGCGAAGGATAGCGGGAGGGATAGTTTGCGGGCGGCGTGTGCGAGTAATTGCTCGGATAAGTACTTGCTCTCTGCATATCCGTTGGGAGCAGGCGTGTCCGTGACCACACTCGCTTCTGGTATGATCCCAGATTCGGTTTGATGGTCCATTACCGAGCTGATAGAGGACATGAAGAAGAGACGGGGAGGAGGAGATGCTGCGTCGGCACAGAAGGATAGTAGGTTGACGATGCCCTGGAGCTGGGGCGTGAATGACGAGAGACTGAGGTTGAAGTTGACCGGCCAGGCGTTGTGGATGACTACCGTTGCGGTATCGCGGAGGGTCTGGTATGTTTCAGCTGGGAGGTCGAATTGCTCTTTGGATAGATCGCCTGTTAGGAAGGTTATCCGCGTGAAGTCGAGGGTCGTGCCTAGATGGTAGGTCTTGTTGGACTCGAGCTGTGCAGAGCGGCTGTCCTTTCGTCGGTTCAGACAGTAGATGTGTGCGACGGATGGGTTGTTCAGGAGTGTGTCTAGGAGGTACGTTCCCAGAACACCGGTGCTGCCAGTGAGGATCACAGAGTGTTTGTCTATGGAGCGAATGGCAGGCGTCGTCTTGGGGATTTGGTCGATCTGGTCCTGGAAATACTTGAGCATTTCCGATCTCTCTCGCAGTCGGCTGTCCTTGGTCGCTTGTGCTGCGACAGGCTCGTCTTCTTTGAGTTGCATAATTGCATCCGTCAAGTCAGAGACGGATGGTTTCATATAAATCAATGGCACCGAGATAGCAGCCATCTCGAGTCCATGCCGGAGAATCCGGACGGCAGTGATGGTCTGCAGGGAGTCCATTCCCCGGATGAAGATATTGTCCTCATCCTTCAAGTCGGTCCAGCGCATCAGCGAGACGATTGTCTCTGACACAAATTGCTTGACAGCCTCACGGTCTGCATTCCTCCCAGGACCATGCACAGCTTCGCCATTAGGCTGGACGGCCACGGTTTCAGCTTCACGGTAGAGTGCATCGAGCTCTTCTTCATACAAAGCCAAGCTCCCCGCTCGCTGGACCGTCCCTTTTCCAGCACGGAGAAACGGCTTATCCGGATGTGTGAAGAGAACATGCGATTTGGAGATACGAGCATGAGCAGGTGCTTCCTGGTTCGTCTCCTCAATGCTAGGCCAGATTTCTTCTAGCAGCGCAGCGCGCTCCGTCGGAGTCAAGACCTTGCCGTCCGTGGCGGCTTCGACAATCAGCGCAGCCTGGAAGCGCTGTGCCCCAGCCACCAGTGCGCCGGTGACCCGCTTGTTGCGCGCTGTGACGTACTGTTCCACCGAGATGGGGTTCGTCTTTTCTCCATTGAGAAAGACAACGATATCATCCTTGCGCGCATGCCACCGCCACAAATGCCGTTTCTTCTCGTCTGGATGCCGCACATATAGATCGCGAGTGTTATATTCTTGCAAATGTTTGAAATCCTCATGCACAAAGGGTACCTGGTGCCGCTCATAATTGGGGTGGCGGACCAGGACCAGCTCGTGCTCTCTGCCTGTGACAGGCCAAAATTCCACGCCCTGCTCAGGATGGAACTCCGAATACCCCCAGTCTTCGACATCCCGGTTAGACACAACCATTGGGAGCAGGCCCACCTCGGTGGCACCGTACTGGTTGTATACTTTGATCCGCTTTGCTACTACGTCTCCAATGGCCTGTGGAAGGTCTCCACCAGCATACATGATCATCTCAAGATTGTTGGCGCAGTAGTCCAGTAGGTCTGGGGTTTGACTCAGTTCGTGGATGATAGATGGAATGATAAAGGCCCCGTCCGCGGGGCTCTTTTTCAGTCCTTCGACCAGGCTGGCAGCATTTGGAATGCCGGCCGGTGTGAGGTGGATCAGCACCGTGCCGAAGGGAATAGCGTTGACCAAGTGGCTGGCGAGACCAGCGCCCTTGATGTAAGTTTAGTATTAAGTCAGACCTTGCGCTGCGGGATTCCTCACATGGAAAGGAGGGAACATCATGAACAGCCGCTTTCCCTCCTGTATTAGATGCAGAGACTCGGACCCCTCCGGTGGTTTCAGCTTTGCCATTCTCATGGCCCTCGCGCCGGCCTCGTTTGTCCAAATGATCGGGTTGGGGATCCCCGTTGACCCGGAGGTGTGGATGACAAACAATGGCTCTGCCGCTGCCGTCGCGAGGGTCTTTTCAAATGGGAAATGAGGAAATACTTCTCCCAGAAGCTCGTCCACGCTGGCCACCTCAAGTACCTGCACACCATCCACTGCTTCAACGATAGCGGTGATGGGCGCCGGCCGCGGGTTCGGCGAGATCAAGGTCTTGCAATTTAATCGTTTCAGGAGGCTCGCGTGGGCGGCGATGCTGTTCCGAGGCGAGGTAAAGAACATCTAGTGGATTTATCAGCATGCATATTAATCGGGAAGTGGTCACCCATACGCAATAGCCCGCCTTGACGGCCCCAATGGCCAGGGCAGGGTACCGGAGGTCATTCGGTCCGAAGTAGGTCAATTTCTCGCCGGTGCCGGGACCTAGCTGCCCATTCAGCCATCTAGCGATGCCATTGACTGCATTTGCCAAGTCCCGATAGGTGATTTTGCGGTATCCGTCTGCGTAACTTGTCGGCGAGAGGGGGTACTCGGCGTACACCTTGTCCGGGTGGACCGCGGCATAATGGTCCACGATAGTTGGCAGCAGCTCTTCGCACGGATCGAAGGTAGATGGTGGTGACATGGCATACAAAATAACACCGGGAAGGGTTGTTACAGGAACTGGGCACATGGAGTGGGCACCCCGGTCAATAATAAAGACAAAGTCAGGCAACAAGGGCCCCCGCTGGTTCCATCGTCCTGGGAAGCAGAACCGTTTAAGGCAGCGGGGCTAACAGCCGTCTGACCTATCTGGCGCTAATAATAGGGGGAAGTGCGAGGATAAACTCTTCCCGCTGGACGTTGCTAGCCTAGCAAGGCAAAATTGTAATCTGCCGATCCCGCCATTGTCTGACCTGACGGGTCCACCGTATCCCTGCTCTGACAGCTGGGGGACACTGACAGTCGACTGATCACAAATTGTCCAGGTGATCTGGACCTAATGGACCGAGGGTGATATTAGTGCGTTCCCTGTTGGTCCGTCTCCAGAATTCATGATTTGATTTTGGCCAACGATAATCCTGGGGGATTCCGGGCGTCGTTGACCGGTTCCAACGTCTGTCTGTCATGGCATATATGCCGAATGCCGAGGTCGGCTGGACGTGAGCTTAGTTGGAGGGAACGAATCATGGTTATGGGACCGGATCCTCAAGGGTAGATCCGATGCCATGGGATCAATAGGTTTGAAATCGGCTAAACACCCCTCTTCTCCCCTCGAGGACCCCACATGCCATAGCTCGGACTCTCTCACTCGGAGTAGGCACGGTGGAGATAATAATATACCTATTCGCCTTGATCCCCGGGTCGTCAACCCGACTCGGCTGGCGTCGGGTAGGGCCGACGCCCTTGCTCTGTTCTGACTCATGCGGGCCACCTCGAATAACTACGTATTGATTTGATCCCCGCGAAGGGAGCAGGCTACCTACATACCGAGAACTGCTACTCTATTGCCAAAATCAACATGGACGCCGCAATGGCCGACCTGGCGATCCACAACACAACAAAAGACCAATTGACGCCCTTCGGCAAGCCCATGCTCAAACATTGGTTGTTCGACCCGGCCTACAGGAACCTCAATCACGGTAGGTATCACCCGCGGATATGTATCTGAAGATGCTGAATGAACTCCGACCAGGCTCCTTCGGTGCACATCCAGCAGCGGTGGGCGCCGCCCAGCGCAAATTCCTGGATATCGCCGACGCGAGTCCAGATATCTACGTGCGCCAACAGCACGTCGTATACCTGGACGCGGCTCGCGCGGCGACAGCCAAGCTCTTAAATGTCCCGACAGACGAGTGCGTGTTCGTCAAGAACGCCACGACGGGCGTTGCGACGGTCCTGCACAATCTCGCGTTCAAGTCCAATGACGCCGTCGTCTACTTTGACCCCGTCTACGGGGCTGTCGAGAGGGGGATCATCTCCCTGCAGGAACTGAACGGGGTCCAGGGCCGCAAAGTGGCCTTTCACTTCCCCATCGCGGAGGAGGAGCTTGTGCGCCGCTTCCGCGAGGTTGTGCGCCATGCTCGTGTGGTGGAGAAGCTCACGGTCCGCGCGGCGGTCTTCGATACCATCGTCAGTAACCCTGGCGTCCGCTTCCCCTTTGAGCGGTTCACGGCGATCTGTCGCGAAGAGGGCATTCTCAGTGTCATTGACGGCGCTCACGGCATTGGGAATATCCACCTGGATCTGAGCAAGCTGCAGCCGGACTTTTTCACCTCGAACTGCCACAAGTATGAAACCCTCCCGTCAAGAGCCGCCTCAGCTGATTCTAACATATTTATAGATGGCTTTACACCCCGCGCAGCGCAGCGGTTCTCTACGTCCCCAAGCGCAACCAGCATCTCATGCGGACGACCCTCCCAACCTCCTGGGGGTTCATCCCCGCGCCAACATCGGCCGAGACCAAAGCTTCGGTCCTGAAAGACCCCCAGTCACCAGTGACAAAGACCCCCTTCGAGGAATTGTTCGAATTCGTCGCCACCAGCGACGACTCGGCCTACCTGTGCGTGCCTGCAGCGTTGAAATTCCGAGAAGACGTCTGCGGCGGCGAAGACGCCATCATCTCATACTGCGAGCGTCTAGCCAACGATGCTGCCGACGCTGTCTCCGCTGCGCTGGACACGGATGTGCTCCAGGAGCCGGATCTCAAGCCCGGCGAGATCAGCAATATGCGCAGGTGTACCATGACCACGGTCCGGCTGCCTCTTGCCATTGCTCTTGCTACCGTCGAGGAACAGGTGGAACAACCGAAGCCATTGGCGACATTCTCCGCGGAAGAGGCTGTCCTCGTGGAGGCGTGGATCAAGCGTATGCTCATGGATCAGTACAAGACTTTTGTTCCGGCTTTTGTCTACGGCCCGTGGCTGTGGGTTCGGCTGAGTGCCCAGGTGTATCTGGAGAAGAGTGATTTCGAGTGGCTAGGTGGTATTCTGCGGGATTTGTGTGAGCGTGCTGCGAAGGGGGAGTATCGGGGGAACTAGAGAGTGAGGTTATGTTGCAAGGACTTGATATATGAAAATTGACATGTTATTGTATCTCATACAATGGTCGAGTTGACACAGAAAGTGACATGGACATGGACAGCGCAGCTCACAGCGAAGAACCAAGGGGATTGGATAGGAGCAGTGAGGATGCTGGGGTATGAATAAAGAGAAATGCGTCATGACATCTTGAATCGCTGAAACAGAACCAAAGAAACGAAACCAGTAGGTAGGGGGAAGGCAGTACACCCCGGTAAGAAGACCAACTTTAGGTTTAGCTGCTTCCACCAAACCGGCTCCAGACCCAGCCCGAGATACCTCCACCACCTCCACCTTGGCTGTTATCGCTTCGGCTGGTCCGTCGAGAGGCAGGCTCCCTGGCTTCTGCAGACCTAGAAGAACGGCCACTGCGGACAGTCAAGACAGAGCTGCGCCGCCGCTGGGGGGCCACTTGTTCTGGACTATCTGGAATGACAACCGGGTTTTCGCTAGTGCCCGCGCCGGTTCTGTTCAAGATATGCGTGTCAGCGCGGAACCCTTCTCCCCATCAGGCTTATAAAAACTCACCCTCCAGCAGAATCGATGCCCCGCCGGCAGTGCGGACAGGTATTATGCTGGCTCAACCATGCCTCGATGCAGGGGAAATGAAACCAATGCGTGCAGGGCAACACGGTGACTTCTGTGCCGAGGTCCACAGGCTCCATGCAAATCGAGCACTCGGCTTTGCCATCCGTCCCCATCATCTGTTGATCTACCTTCTTCTTTGGCAGATTGTGGATTGCCTGTTCTGATGCCGGTGGCGGTGCCGTACCATTGACATTCTGGTCGATTAGCTGTGAAATCACCCGGTCCAGCTCTTCTTGGGAATAAACCGCGTCTCCATTGTGGTCTGCGTTGAATAATGCCGAGAGGATCGCAAGAGGGTTCGGGCCAGTCATGACGTGAGGACCGGCGATGCCGCCTCTCCTTGTGGTCCCGAAGTCTGTCCGGAAAGCGTCCAGCAACCTGAACGAAAATTAGGTCGGCGGCTCATATAGCAAGAGAGGAAACATACTCGGCCAGACTCCCCACTGGCGGGACCATAGGCTGTGGACCATTTGCATTGCGCGGGAACAAGCCTTCTGCACCAGGCGAGGCACTTGCGCGGGGAGAATGAGACTCTCCCCAACCTGGCGAATCCGTCTGGAATGACTCCTCGGACACACCTTGTTGTCCCTGGTGGTTATAGGTCTCTGCGAGACCCTGGAAGATCATATCCAAGCTCCGCACCATCATCGGAACCAGAGGATTGGGTTGCTCGCCTCCCTGGTGTGGCGAAGATCCGCCGCCAATGGTGGTGCTGCTAAAGGTGAACCGACCATCGGGTGATCGATATAAGCGACGGGAGTATGAGGGGGATCCACCACCGGCGAAGAAGTTGTCACCGTACTCTCGCCGGTCCGGGCTCTCTGGCCGTGCCCATGGGTTATGGTCGGCTAGAGGGTCTAGTGGGTTAAAATGGCGTGGCGATGTGCGGTCGATGGGTTCTAGCTCTGGCGGATCATCGGAGATTTCTTCAGGAGGTATTTCAATCTGCAGAGATCGAGATATGTTAGGGAAAAAAAGACAATCCACAAGAACTGAACCAAAGGTGTCGTACGATCTCTGTGAAGTCGGATTCGCAGTGCGGGCACGTCAGTCCGCTCTCATCTCGTAACCAGACTCCACCACAGGCATGGCAGAACATCCGGTCCCCGCTCTCAGACATGGTGGGATTGTGAGAGGTGGACAGAGGTGTCGGTGATGCAAACGCGGGTGGTGCGGGCGCGCGCCGCGGGGCCCGATAAGAGTCGAGATGTGATGCTGATTAGAAGGCCGAGGTTGAAGAAGGCCGGGTGGCACACGAGTCATAATCCGGTCTTATCGGTGGGGTGAGATGATCCTCTGGGACATGATCGAAGTGAAAGAAAAACCTCGGAGAGAGAATCGGGAGGTTGGGATGAAAAAGAAAAGAAGAGGAGCCGTAGAAAGAAGGAATGACGTTGATGCAATTCAGGCAAATCGGTGGATCATGAGGCAACGCCGTGGCTAATCGTAGGCAGCCCCAACTACTATCCGATGCCTCTTTGGTGGATTTTGATATTTTCGAGATTATAATTATCGGCGACAAGCATGTACGATGGTTCGGTATTTCGTTAGTTATGTAGCAACTCCCACCCATAGGGGCGAGTAGCGGAGCGTAGAGTAGAGTGACAGAGAAGAAAAACAAGATAGTGAAACAAATGAAAGAACGCCGTCGCATGCTCCCGAGACAATCCCCGAACCATATTACTATTCACAGTGTGCCTTGCATCTTCTACCGCCTTCGAACTCCCTTGATGACCAGGCTGCCCACCACGCCGGCGGCCACAGCCAAGCCACCCACGATCGCGATGCCCATCAGGCCCTCCTTGGCCACCTTGTCATCAATCAACGATCCCAGACTAGCAGCTTGCAGGTTGGCAGGCTCATGTTCGAGCAGCAGGTCGTTGTACCGACGGGCCTCGCCGTAGTTGCCTAGCTTGAAGTTGCCCAGTGCGAGATAGTACAGACACTCGCGCCGTCGCTCGGGGGCTGAGCGAAAGATCTCGGAGAGTAGGCGGACGCCCTCTTGTTGGTCGGGTCGGGTGTTGGATTTGATCAGGCCCTGTTTGTTGAAGGGGGAATGAGGTTAGCGATGGCGCATAACAAGTGTCTCTCTTCCGACACGTAGGTCGGTGAGAGAGCGAGCGAGAGGGAGAAAGATACCCATGCGTAGTTGAACTTGGTCTGGATTCCGACATAGTCGCCCTCCTTTTCATATTGTGCCCGCAGGACTTGGAGCTCTGCTGGCTTCAATGGGCTGGAAACTGGTGGTCAGTGCTATTGCGTCAGGCTTCAGCGAATGGATATTCCACGGACCTTTCCGCATCTGCGGCGTCTGCAACACGTGGTTAGTAAACGCGATCGAACATGGGAGCAGCAGAATAGACGCACATGGAAGACTTGTCATGTTGAAGGGTATGTAGCAGTGGTGTGAGTGTGTCGAGGGCAGAAGGGCAAGTATCGGGGGCGAGGGAAGATCAGCCGGGCGGTGCCAACCACGATCAGTGGCTGTTGCTGCCGCAACCAAACAAACCTGGACTGGACCACTTCCCCCACTAACACGACTCGACTCGACTCTACACCCACCACCACCACACACACCATGTTGCTCGACGAGGAGCCCGCCACAGTATGCTGTCCTTGTTGAACTCAACCTCTGATCATACGCTAACCCGGACAGCTGATCCACCACACCATCGGTAACTTCAACATCCACCCGGACAGACAAGCTGTCACGCGCATCAATGACTCCCTCGGCACGCTCCAGCAGTCGCGCGACCTACGAATTCACGACGCCGAGTCAGCCCTCCGCAAGCTCTCGCGCAATCTCCACTCCCTGGCTACGCAACACGAAGAAGCCGTCGCTGTTCACGACTCCGGCAAACACGCCGCCGAGATCGTCGAGCTCGATACGAAGAAGTTCCGCATCGCCAAGGCCGCCTCCGAGCTTGAGATTGAAAGCGAGCGCCTCGAGAGCGAGCTGGAGATGCTGAAGGAGAGACTGGCTGATCTGGAGGCCCAGGGGTTGGAGGGCGATGAGACCACGCGCCGGGAGCGTGAGGCGGATGATGCGACCATGTGAGTTGACCGTCCGGGATTTTTTGGAGAGTTACTAATTGGAACTTCTGTCCCAGTCTACGTCTGAAGATCTACCGCTCGCTCGGGGTCGATATCGAGCCCGATAACGCGGGCAACTTCAACCGCGCCGTCATTCGCAATAGTCGCAAGGGAGACGTGCACGTCGTCAATATCGACCCCAAGTTTTCGCGGTTCTTCTATGCCAACTACTTATGGCAGACGATACAAGGATAAATCGGGATTGGATTGGTTACTAGGGGCGTTTGGAATGGAGGAATTATTATACCCTTTGGAGTCTTTCTTGTCAGGTCATGAATCATACAGCTATTCTACATTATTTCCCCGGGTCTCTGCCGTGCTCGTTCCTGCATCACTTGCAAGACTTTCGTCCGATCAGACGCAGATATCTCTTCCGGCCCGGAAGGGCTGCTCCTATCCGGGAATAGGTTCTCAATGGTATCCAACAACGCCGCCTTCTCCGACAGAGCTACCCCCCACGAGGCAGCCCACTGGTCCTCTGCACGAGCCAGGTCCTGCTCCACGCAGTCCATATCTCGAATATCGCCCCCGTCCCAGGTCAAGGCAACCTCCGGAGACACCTTCTCCGACAGATCCCCGCCGCCCACCCCACCGGTATACCTCGCCTCGACCCCCAACGGCCCAAGCCCCAGCAGCTCAGTCCTTGCATTCCAAAGCGCCTGACGCATCGTCCCATCCCGCTCAATCATCATCCACAGTAGCGGATACCCACTCCGTGCCATCGCATCGCGCACCCCCTTCGTAGCCTCGCGCGGACTAACCAGCATCCCCACCGTCTGCTCCGTGCGCCACCCTACCGGCGCATTGCGAAGCGCACCCTCCAGCTCGCGGACGAGGTTCGGCCCCAGTTTGGTTTTCAGGGATTTACACTGCACCACGACGCGCAGGGCAAGCTCCTGCTCTCGCTCGGGAAGGTGCCATGTCCCCACTAGGTCGATGCCGGCGTCGTCGCGCCCGCCGACGCGGTGGAGGGTGAGCGCGCATTGGCGCAGTTTGTGGAGGACGGTGTATTCGTAGTGCGTGCCGACGTAGACGGTGCTTGTTTGCGGGAGGGAGATGCGCTCGGCGTAGGAGAGGAAGCTCGGGAGGTCGTGGTGGTGCGTGGAGGGTGTCGGGGCAGAGGGGAACTTGAAGAGGCGCCGGGTTAATGGATGTAGGTCATGTCGGGTCGCGCATGTTGAGAATTGTGTTATAGAGATTCGAGGACGTGGAGAGAGGTTCTGGCCATGGTGTAGTCGGAGAGGTAGGGGTCGCATTGAGGTGTGCAGGAGGGAGAATAAGCCTCACCGCATTGTACTATTTACCACGGTTTATGAGATTTTAAGATTTAACCGGCCCCTTTCATAAATTACAATTTATTACGGACCCTCGCATAACGAGGGTCCGCCACCCATATGATAAAGCCACCCATATGATAAATTCTATCAACATCCAATTTTGATCTTGATCCATGACACCTATACCCCCCTAAACTACGGATATTGTATAGTAAAAAGACGTAGTAGATACTTGATTTTCGATCCTATCTGCGCAACCGCCGTCCCTCCCGCTTACATTGCATTCGTAGCTCTCTCATTACCTTCTTCCACCGCGGTCGCAATCGATCCAGCGCCTCTAAATCATCCAAACCCTTCTCTTGACGCTTTATATTCAGAACATTCTTTGAATAAATGATTCCGGATAACCTCGCGCGCCTCCCAGATGTATTTCTTTGCGCCTCCCTAATCGATTGGGCATGTGTAGTGGCGTTGAGTTCTCGGCGAAGTTCAACGGCTAGATGCGCTTGAATTTGACTACCCTTCATCAACTTCTGGAGGGTATTTTGAAATGTAGTCGAATTCTTATCCAATCGATCTAACTTCTTCTCAATTCTTCGAAAGCGGGATGTAGTAGTTGGTGTATTTATGTCTGTAGGAATACTACTACCTGATGATGATGGTGAGTCTGGTAATGGCGACAATGGGACTGAATAATCTGCCAAATCATCGCATACGATACTAGGATTGTATGGCCATAAGCCGGTTAATCGATAACCAAGCTTAATTGTTGAAGGTTTGAAAGTCTGCTGTCGGATTGTGCGAATTGACTGGAGAAAGAGGTCTTTTGTGAACTTTGTACAACCATTCATAGTTGCAGCTTCAACTGCCTCACTATGCCAATGTTTGTAAACGTTGAATACTCCAACATCTAAAGGCTGAAGCTTGTGGCTTGAATGAGGCGGTAGAAAATATAGAATAATGTCGCTCTTCTCACAAAATTGGATGAATTCCCTAGTGATATGAGCACTAAGGCCATCACAAAGGAGGAGTCGATATTTCCCTATAGTTCGGCCTTTAGTTTCGCGATTGAAATGCTGGATCCACTGGTAGGCAAGTTGTTGATTCATATATCCAGTATCGTTGACTGCAATACACTCCTCGGTGATGTTGTCGAACCATCGAAGGAGAATCTGGCGGCCGGTAAGGATAATGAGTGGTGCAATCACGAAGCTACCATCTGCATTCACAGACTCAACGATAGTCACTAATTCCCGGTTGGTATCTGTCCCACTAAATATTTTCTTCGTAGGTTCCCTAGTGATAATCCACTGATCTTTGCCAACGCCAATTTGGAACCCAGTTTCATCAAAGTTGTAGATATCTTGGGGTAGAATCCCCTTCTCGACAATAATCTGATGATACTGGTTGAACCACGCCTGTGTAGCCGTTTTATCAAGTGCTTGCATTCGCTCGATGTCTAGAGCTCGTCGTCGTCGTCGTTTGAAGTCAGGATGACGCTTTAGAAAGCGTGTAACCCAGTGTTCGCCGACCGAGATAGATGGGTCCGATCGCGCTTCGCGGAGGATAGAGTTCGCCGCTGCTTCCACTTGTTTTCGCTTCGGGCAAAGGCCTAAGTCATCCATAGTATCCATAAAGGTACAGAGCACCTTTTCCTGGCTTTCATTGAGCAATCTGTGGGTTGGTTGGCGCTGTAGGAGGGAAGGTCGGCCTTGCCAGCGATATCGAAGCCGCTGGTAAGGAACATGATAATCTCGCGCAGTCTTCGAGATATTTGGTTTCTCCTGATTGGATAGCGCGGCGAGGGCATCCTGGATTTGATTCTCAATAGTTGCATTGTTTTCAGGCATTGTGGTGGATGGAAATGACGCGTTGAAGTTGGCGAGTTGAAAAAGGAGAATATTTATCATATGGGTGGCTTTATCATATGGGTGGCGGACCCTCGTTATGCGAGGGTCCGTAATAAATTGTAATTTATGAAAGGGGCCGGTTAGTGATCGGGATGTATTTTTTGGTAATGTATTAAAATCATTCTTTAATCTCGATTTCAGGGAGTCTATACTCTCTGTCATGCTTATGAATGATATCATATAATAATCCGGTAAAAAAAGTCTTGTGATGGTTGAAATAGCAAGTTGTAAAGATATCGCCTTTACGATGGTGTTTTAGGTTGAGTCACTCGCTTACCGAAGACGTTACCATTCAGCCACTCTGATTCTTGTCATTGGGGTTAAGAGAGTTGCTTTTCTACTGGTTCCCGAGTGGATTGAAGGATCTGGATCGAATGATCCGGAACTCTCGTCCTCGGCCCCTGTGTATCTCGCTTTCGAACGGCCGGCCTTAGATGCACAGGCATATTAAAGCCAGGTGAAATCTCCCGATGCTATTTCTCACGTACTCTATAGCTTTCTTAAAAATCTATCTTGTCCGCACGCTGGAGACATGGCAGCTCTTCTTCGGATTTTATCCAAATGCACTGTATGCCCAATTCATAGGTTCGGATATACCAAAGTCAAACTGACTTTCGGGCATCTAACGAGGATATTGTCAGTGGTTTTCCCACACAAGACTCCAAGGGAGAACACGATATGAACTTACCATAACTGTCCAGTCCCCAAGTAGATCCAGCATGCCATCAACGTCGAGATCATTGGAAATATCAAATTCCACTCCGTTATCTTGACCTTCGCCTGCCTTGTCCTCCAAAATAGACAAGCACACGGACATGGCATCTTCTGCAGCCTGCAGAAGCATGTATGGTAACTTTTCCTTGGAGGCGCCCATCATAAGAGCGTTGATCTGTGTATAAACCAAGCATGTGACAAGGTATCCTTTTGTATTCGTCTCTCCAGCCTCCATGCACTTCAAATACCAATTTTTGTAATCTTCAATGACACAAAGAAGATCACGCCGTACTGGAACTAGTCCAAGACTATATTCCTCCTGAAGCTGAGCTTTCAACTCCGACGCAATCAGCAAACACGATTGCATTGCAGCAGTGCGGAAAGGGCCGCACCCACACTGGGCCAATCGTGTCAGGTCTTGTTGCGTTGTATTCTGCTCTTCATTCGTGGTGCTGGCCATAAGAGATGAGGGGAAGATGGTAGACCAGATCTTGAGTGCGTTTTCGACAACAACCTGCTTCGAAAAGGCGAATGCCGTTTCATCTACGACACCGGCGAAAAATGGCATGTGTAGCGCGGCAAGGTAACGGCGGACAAGCCAGTCGAGAGTTCTGATTCCGAATTGTGATGTCCCACTAGTGGGCCCGTATTGTTTCAAGGTTTGATAGATGGGTTTGTAAGAGCGGCGCAGCTCCGAATCGACGTGGATTGTCTCTTCGTACGTCATGTGTGCGCTGAGCGCATTAAGTGATCTGACAATGGATAGACGGAGTGGGAACAACTTCCGAAGAGCCAAGCTAATAGACATTTGAGTAAATGTTTGTTCAGACTTTGATACCGGGTCATCGCTCATGATGTCCTCGTCATCAAAATTGCCCGGTGGGTGTGTGTCAAAGTCGCCCAGTGAGAATAGAGGAGGTCCTCCTGATGCCATGCTTGTCGAGAGAGCAATTTCCATTATTGTGTTCCAAAGTCTCCGTCGCATTTCGTTCGCGAACGCTGTGCTTTTCGGCAGGTATATTGGGTCTCGATTCAGGCCCATGTAAACTGCAGTCCTAAACAGCTGTCCTGTCGATATCCAGATCAGACCTCCATCGACCCCAACATTTTCTCGTGCAAGGAGCAGTAAAATCGAAGTCTGGAGGAATTGAATATTCAATCTTGCCTTGAACTCCGGTTCAGAGATCCATGTTTGTGCTTCGTGCACCCATCGCACGGCTGAGTTACGCAGAGAAAACTTGTCATCATACATTGTTGCGCCAATCGCAAAAACGAGTTTCAACTGCACCAGAAAAGCCATATCGGGGTTGGTATCCGATAGCCACAGCGAATTGTACTCTCTTCTGAAAGTGGGGATATGGAGAATCCTACAGAAAGTCTCAAATGTCCTGAGATAAATCTCAACGAGGGCATCCGCCACTTCTTTCGGTGGGAGGTCGGTATTCGGTGGTGCAGGCCACGCAGGTTTCCTCTGGTTCTTCATCAATTTTCCTAGATGCTTGCATCTTTGCAGATCGTACAAGGCCTTTGATGTTCCATTTCGAATGAGTGGCTCGAGCATCTCGAGCATGTCTCCGAACTGATACTGAATCAGTCCTTTATCGTCTCCAAGCGGATATAGCTTAGGATATTACCTGGGCGGCTCCATTCATCCAATGACTTTGGCCAAAGACGCGAGACTTATGCATAATAGTGCGTGATATTGTCGGAATACGACCATCTATAGGAACCTCCTCCTGCACATGGAATGTCCCGGCGATATGGGACGTTGTCGTACTAATGTTGTAACTTGGACTACGGGCGCCCAATTTAGCCGATTTTCGATTCGCACGCGCCAATTGATCTTCTAGCTGATGAATCTTGATCCGCAAGGACTCAACTTCTTGGGAAGAGGTCTGACTAGCTGGTGTCGACGGCGCTGTGGAGCTAGCGACCCCGGAGTTTGAAACCGACTGATAACTAGGCACCGTGGAATGGGCGATGCTATCAGAAGATTGACCTGTCGGTCTCGGGAACTGGTAGATCTCAGGCTCTGACCGATCAAGATCGGGTGTTCTAGTGTGACGAGGCCGTCGCATTGGCTGGGGGGACAAGCTCTCATACACGCAGTGACCACTTTTTGAGCGGACACAGTTACTGCAAGGAGATTCTCGATTGCATTTGATCTTCCGCGTTCTGCAGAGGGTACATGATCTGTCCATGGAATGTCAGCTCCATGCTCACTTCTGTTATCTCCGATCAACTTACACAGGCGGTCGCCGCCGTCGGCGCTCGGGCATACCGTGCGACTCATTCACAACGGCCCTCTCCATATCTTACATGCCAGACCTGTGGAATCGCACGACTCTGTGTATCGCAATTTCCGTAATTGAAGATAAATGAGAGAGAAAGGTGAAAAAGAGTTGGGGCCTTCAGATCTGATTACGGCAACTGCGCAAATGGTCCGTCACGCCCGCCATTCTCCGAGTCCGAGTCCGAGTCCACACGACGCCCCCAATCTATACAAATCCTGAGTTTACGCCGATGGGCTGACTTGTATAAAAGGAGTCATATCCCATTTTTTCATCATTATTTTTATCAATATCACATATTTCCGCTCGGTTTCTTCAATAAATCTTTTTTGAGACACGTATTTCTAACCAGAATTCGTTAATATATTTTGTCATGATGTCTTCCGTTAACATCGAAAACGATCCTAAGGTCCTGTCAGAAGCGACCACTATCACAAACGACAAGGAAGCTTCTAATATTTATGAATACCCTGAAGGGGGTGTCAAAGCCTGGTTGGTTGCCGCAGGAGGAGCATGCATCTTTTTCTCAGCTCTAGGCTTCGCCAACTCATTCGGAGTCTTCGAAGAGTATTTCCTCACCCACCAATTGAAAAAAGAGTCCGCCGACACTGTGGCATGGATCGGATCCATAGCCTCATTTCTTCAATTTGCAGCCGGCGCAATTGGCGGGCCATTATTCGACAGATACGGTGCATGGGTAAGCCCGGACTTTTGTCTCCAACACAATAACCTTTGCAAAGCTCTAACATATAGATTCAGGTGATTCGCCCAGCAGCAATTCTCTATGTCTTTGCTATTATGATGACAAGTCTGTGCCACAAATACTGGCAGTTCATGCTCGCACAGGGAGTGTTAATGGGAATAGCCATGGGCCTGATTCAGTTTCCAGCCATGGCCGCCGTGACACAATACTTTGACAAGAAGCGAGCAGCCGCCCTGGGTGCGGTGATTTCTGGATCCTCAATTGGTGGTGTGGTTATGCCGATCGCGCTATCTAAGATGCTGAACAGCACAAATCTCGGATTCGGATGGTCTGTACGGATCATTGGGTTCATCGTGACTCCGCTCCTCGCTTTCTCATGTCTCACCGTTAAGCCGCGACTACCGCCGCGAAAGACGAATTTCTTCACCCCCGCTGCCTTTAAGGATTCCCGATACGGACTGATTACTGCTGCTATGTTCTTCATGCTCATTGGTATGTTCGCACCGTTGTTTTATGTCCCCACGTATGCTGTTACGAGGGGCATGGACGCGACGCTCGCTTCTTACCTGCTTGCTATTCTCAATGCCGCGTCGACGTTCGGTCGCATTATCCCTGGAATCCTGGCAGACAAATTCGGTCGACTGAATGTGTTTACAATCGGTGGAATCACGACTGGTATCGTGATAATGTGTTTGAATGAGGCCAAGTCTACGCCTGCTTTGGTGGTGTACTCGCTCGCTGTGGGTTTCTCTTCAGGGACCATTATTTCGGGCGGGTCCGCTGCCTTGACGATCTGTATCAAGAACCCGCAAGAGGCTGGTGCGTATATGGGAATGGGAATGGGGATTGCTTCACTGGCAGCTTTAATTGGGCCTCCTGTTAATGGTGCATTTGTAACTCATTACGGGGGTTTCTCGCAGATGTCTATTTTTAGTGGGGTTATGTGCATATTTGGTGGGTTCATTGCGCTTGGAGCCAAGGCTGTTACTCCACAGGGGATTTTTGGACGGACATGAGCATTGTCATCTGTTTGCATTTCGCATAGCCAAGTGGACTGGGGGAACAAAGATGGTTGTGGTCCTTATATTTCATCCTCGAAACTTTGTGGATTGACTTTTCAGTATTGAGGAGAAACGCTCACGACCATGCGTTGCTACACTAATCCTATACACTTGCTCTTTGAAGACCTTAGAGGTACTGGGACATTTGACCGCACGAGTTGACAGTCTCGTAGTTGAGCCCAAAATCAACGGTCTCAGGAATGAGTCTGTAGTAGACGTTGGCAGTGTGACCGGTCTCGATGAAACCAATCATGTCATGGAGATCAGTCTCATCGGCAGTGTTGGCCCACCAATTGGCTAAGGAGGTGGCCATGTCGGCCTGATGAGCCTTGCTGAGCTCCGTAGGAAGACGAGCCGTGTAAGACAGTTTGAAGCCCGGAGCACTAGACAAACGTTTGCCAAGGCGACTGTGAATACTGGTCTCGCTGCGGTCCTCTAACATGTCGTGGGGCAAATGAACGTGGCCCTCGCCGTTGCCAAAGTCATATATATCCATGTTGACTGGGGTGTTGTTAAGGTGCTTGACGCCGTGCAAACTCGTCACTGAAAGGGGTTTGCGCTGATCCTTGCCGTAGAGTCGCAGTAGCTCTTCGGTCGAGTCAGTTATGGCCTTATATTCGATCCCATTATCTCCCAAGTGCTTGTGGAAGAAGTCGAACATGGACATCGTGTGTTTTTCCTCCTCTCGGGTGGAAAGGTTGATAGCACCTGTCTGGTGAAGGGCGGAGAGGATGGTCATGATGCCGGAGGCCACAACTAAGGCCAACGTCTTGCACTCTGCCCCATTCTTCAACTGGCAGACATAATAGGCGGTAGACCCGCCAAATGAACCGTAGATGACGATAGATTTGCTCGTCCCGATAGTCTCGATCTCGCTAGCGATTGTCTCGCAGCCATCGTCACGGCGCTGCAACTCGGCTACGCGAGTGTCGAGAGGCTTGAGGCTAGTCTTGCTGTCTCGAGGCAGTGGGCCGACTGTTGCTGCTAGCACTGAGCTAAACAGAAGGAGAGAGGTAGGGATGAGATGAGTAAAGCGCATCTTGATCAAGTCTCGCGTGCGAGGAACGATTTGTTCTATAATGGCGCGTTGGTTGAGATATCTTTTGCAGAAAAGCGAAAACCGCTGCTGAATATGTTTGTGCTTATCGTAGTAAATTCTCACTGATGACTTCCTAGTCCTTTCATCAATTTTACGAGGACATATGGGGTGCTTTTATATCTTAACGTTGAAGGTGCACTATGTGGTGTGGGTAAAACTTTTGCACAGAAGCGCAGTACAACGCGCACCCGAACAGCACATATTGAGTAAGGCGACCAGCAAAAGTGGGGAGGATATGCGAGTCAAATGTAACATAGCTGCGCGGGAAAGTCCTTGGCAAAGCCGGCGCCGAATCTTATGTATACTGAACCTGATCAGTCGGGAGACGCATCGAGCCAAATACTTCTAGGAACATGAATTGCTGATCTATATAGCGAATGACATAACGACCTAAAAAGCATGCCATAGTATTGAAGAAGTTACTTTGTAGTTGTAGGGGGTTCAAGAGCTAAGTGGCTGATAGTAGAAGGCTGAAAGTAGAAAACTCTTGGGCTATGTCTAAATATCAGTTCAGCTGGGCCGATGTTCATACAACGCTGATCAACTGATACACTAAACCTGTTTAGGAGTTATCGTGCGCTTGTAAGTTAACCTGTGGGGCTCGCCTCTGGATCGGGGAAACGGACGGGTTTCTCGAGGTCGTCCTCCTTCCAACGCAATGGATTTTCTACGTTTGATAAATTATATTTTCCAAATCGGCTTTGCTGTTAATTCCGAAAAGAGCGTCATGTGGCCAGATGCGAATCTGGTTTTGCTGTCCTATTGTGGACTTAGCGCTGACTTGCTTCTAGTTCTGAGGTCCAAGGGGGCTGTGGTAATGAAGATGAGAAGAATACTTGTTCTGTGAGACTGGCCCTAAATAGAGTAGTCATAGTTTTTGTTTCCCTGATTGTATCCTGTAATCCAGACTCGGTCTCCAAGCTTCTTCTTCTTCTTCTTCTTCTACACTTTATCTATTCTGTCAAGGATTGGAATTCCTACAGAGCTTTCGCGGGTACTGTACTTGTGGAATGTATCTTAAAATTCCTAACATCGTAATTTTTCCAATCTCTACAGATAATGATGGCCTGGGGAAAGTTGGGGCAGATCTGATATTGCTAAATAACGATCACACTTGTGCAACAGTGCCAGATTTGCGGAAATGCACAGGAGGTAAGTGGTTCTACAATTTAGTTAGGGCGTCATACTAACTCAGGTCTGCTTTAGGCAGCGAAAGCTGAGAAAAAGTAATACTCACATTACTAACCGTGGTGTCGCCCAAGCATACAGGTATTGCATGGAGTCATAGAAAGAGAACCAAAAAAAAAAAAATATCCAAAAGCTAGATGGACATCGCTCTGATTCATATTAATATGGTTATTTCCAGGACGTAAAATAGAAATAATCCCGCTGGTTCAACACTGCCAGACACGTCAAGAGAGCCACAACTGCGTCCATCTCCTGCGTGTTGATCACCAACACCCTCCGCGTTGGAAGCGGCCATTGTCCGACTCATATCGAGCCACCGGAGTTTTGGAGGATGTGCTCTCCCTGCAGAGTATGAGAGTCCCCGAAGAGAGTTTCCCAGCAGACTCCCAGACATAGCTTGCGCTATCTTTGACGAACCTCTGGCTACGATGGTGGATATTTGTTGGGGCGACCTCGATATTGTGCTCGCAATGCGGCGAGCCTTCCGGGAAGGTGATAGATGTGAAACCATGCGACCACAGAGGTGAGTGCCAGTCTGCAAGATGAGTTCCGTGGTTGTCGGTGACAGCCTTCGACGAATTACGGTACCATTTGGTGCTGGTGAGGATGATATTCGGCGGCGGTGAGCCCCTGACCAGGTGATTGGCCGTTTCCTTGAATTCTGGAGTGAAGCTACTCTTGTAATCGCCAGACAGTTCAGATGTCAGGTCGAGGACCTTCAGTTCCCTGACCGACTGGCCTGGAGGCAGGTAGAACACCCTGGTTGAGAGTTGTTCCATAGTGTGTAGGTGAAGCTGTGAGAAAGAGAAAATTGGTAAAATCATAAAAACAGCCAATAGTAAGCCAAAGATGTCTGTACTAATTTGCGCGACGACTCGGGGTAATCACGGAAGCCCCACCCTAAACCTGCTCCGATATGTGAGTTTGGCCATGCCAGACAAACAATATCCACTACAAGTAGCGTACTGTGATTTGCGATATCCTTAATATGGACCATTCTAGCCTTCGGGGTGCCAGTTGTTACCCTCACCTAGCCTATCCTATCCTTTCTTCGCATTCAAATTTTTCCGCGCCTTAGCCATCAATTCCCTCAAGCGCTCCGTCGCCTTGCTATCCAAAAACTCAACAACCCGCACAACCTTCTCTTGAGATTCATCCATCGTCAAAATAAAGATGTATTCACCCTGGAACTTCCAGTCGTCTACGGAGGCATTGTCGCCTTTGGCTTTCTCGTGGAAAATGGTTTCACTGGTCGCCCAGATCGTCACCTGGCCCAGACCTTCGTTCTCCCAAATCTCCTTGGGATATACCGGGAAGCCAGCTAGAACTTCTCGTAGACTTCCTAGGTGGTTGGCAAATGTAGCTGCATCCATGGACTGTGGGAGGTTGAGGGAGGCGGGGGCGAATTTATGCTCGGCTGATGGAGCTAGGATCGAAAGGAAGGCTTCTGGTGAAAGGGTTCTGAATCCATCAATGTATGCTAAGGCGGTCTGGTGTAGTTTTGAAGACATAATTGCAGGGTTATGTCGATTGAGAATGGAATGAAGAGCGATCCATCCTGATATACGTTGGGATCGGAGTTAAGGGACTTATCCCTACTTTATCGATTGTTGTATGTGATGCGGCGTACTAACCATTTTCAGACGATTAGACAATATTTTTGCCGGCAAAACGATTGGCTGTAAAGTCTTGGCCCTTTTGCGACAATCGCCTTCCGTACCGCATTGGAGAGCTCCGTTTTCTCCGCATCGCATTGATTGTCTTCGGTTTCTCAATCCCACCACTAACTGGTGCCTCCAACTTCCTCATCATCCTCTCTCTACCTTTCTCTCTTCTCCTCCCAGGCGCACAAATCCCCCAACTCGGCACCATGGCCGACATCCTCACTCAGCTCCAAACCTGCCTCGACCAAGTCCGTCTCTCTCCTCCCTTCTTCATAACAACTACAGCATAGATACTCACGTCAAGAACAGCTCGCAACCCAATTCTACGCAACACTCGGCTACCTAACAACCTACCACGACAATGTTCCCGCCACACCACTGCCCAACATCCCGAACGCCGCACCCGCCCTAGCAAAGATGCCCAAGAACTCCACCTCCCCTCCAATCCCGGCCTCAATCGCCGCATCCACTGGCGCCGCTGCAACGGCGGCACACGGACAAACATCTCCTCCCCTCGTACAACAACAAAACCAACAATCTGGCGCAGGAGCAGGGGCAGGAGCAGAAGAAGACCCCAACCTCCTACCAGCACCAGATTCACCACGTACCTTCGCAGCGCGCCAGCGCGAACTCGCCCGCGACCTGATTATCAAGGAGCAGCAGATCGAGTACCTGATCTCTGTGCTCCCCGGGATCGGGGCCTCGGAGGCGGAGCAGGAGGCGAAGATCCGGGAGTTGGAGGGGGAGTTGAGGGAGGTGGAGAGGGAGCGGATTGTGAGGGTTAGGGAGTTGAAGAGGCTGAGGGGGAGGTTGGAGGGTGTGCTTGGTGCGGTGGCGGTGGGTGTTTATGGGGAGAGGGGGTGTGAGAAGTAATCAAATTATCCCAGAGATTACAAGGTTTGTTTTGATACCTGGTCGGATATTCGGATCCGGAACTCTGCGGGGGATACGTTTTCTTTTCCTTTTTATTCGCATGGATCTAGGCGTCGCGGAGGGTGTTTTATGGATCTCCGGAAGGCGGATATGTTTCATGGCTTTATCGATGATACCAAGACCTGCTAGTTATCCTTTGGAGCGAAGATTCAAAACTAGACTATGCAGCATGCAAATTGATATGATAAAACTCGATCTAGTCATGTATCCAGGCGTGTATAGCAGCTGTCCAGCTCAAGGCATAAAAAAAGCAGATAGAATGGAAAAAGCGCCATATGTGAAAAACCTCCTTTTGTCCTGCCGGGTATCAAACGAAGCGTATCAAAAAACAGCAAAGGAGAGGAAAGAAACGCAGACTCTGGACCTTACGATGTATGCCACCAGAGGAATAACGGAGCGGCAGTCTGGAGGGCAGGATGTGTTGCAATGGAGCACAGATAGATAGTGGAGAGGGGAAGCAAGTTCAGGGAAAAGAAGATGGAAAAGGGAGGGAGGCTACTTGAACAGGCTGCGATATTCACTCATGCGCTGTTCTTGGACCTCCCGCTTATCGAGCTTGCCGCGATTCATGCTCATATCAGCCAGCTGCTGCTTCTTCTTCGCCAGCTCGAGAATCTTCTCTTCGATACTGCCCTTCATGATGAATTGGTATGTCCGCACGAGGCGGTTCTGGCCGAGTCGGTGGACGCGATCGATGGCCTGGGCCACTGACGCTGGGTTGTACTGAGGCTCCATGACGAAAACCCGCGAGGCAGATGTGAGATTGAGGCCGACGCCCCCGGCGCCGATGGTGGCAAGGAGGATGGTGATGGAGTTATCCTTGGCGAAGGCGCTGAGAGCTTTCCCGCGCGCTGCGAGGGTCATTGTTCCGTCGAGTCGAACAAATCCTGTCATGCCGTTGTCGCGCAGTGCAACTTCAATCAGATCCAGATGGGAGGTCCAGGCGGAGAAGACCACGCTTTTGATCGGGGGCTCGTCTGTCAAGGCTTCGCTTTCCGCCGCGATGTCCTGGAGATGATTTACCAGCGTGGTGGTCTTGGTATGGGGACCCTCGTACTCTCCGAAAGTCTTGCCCTGCTTGCGGCTCTGCTGTTCAGTGGTAATATGATGATGCAGGCCAGCAGGGGTGATTGTCGAGTAGGAGACCGGGATCCACCCGTCACAGACCTGGCACTTGATATCAGCGCCCGACTGCGTGTCGAAGGTCTGCTTCCAGGCCGAAAAGCAATCGGGACATAAAACGTCGAAGCAAGGCAAAAAAATCGCCATTGGAGCCTTGCGATTAACTTCTCCAGACGCGGTCAGCGGTTCCTCTAGGCGCTTGCTGCACAGAGCACACTGATCGCCTGAAGACTCTCGCATCAGTAAGAACATGTCGTACGCTTTCTTGTCGCTGGCGAGAGCGGTGTTGTCGTTAGCACCTTCTTCCAGGTCAATCGCATCTTGCACACTCAGTCCTTTGATTCTCTCCCGGTCCTCAATGCCCAACAGTTCTTTACCGTGAGCGCTGACCTGCCGCAGGATCATCATGGCCTTCAACACATGGTGATACACTCGGCCGCCCATTTTGGTTTTGGTTTCGTTTGCAATCACGCGCATCATTACTTGGGATTCGTTGCGGAAGAATTCATGCAGCTGCTGTTCCTTCTCCGTGAAGCTAAGGCTGATAATCTTGTCTTCGCGGGGAGGCAGGTCGATCTTGTCTTTGACCCGGCGCAGGGTGAACGAATCCACCAGAACTCGCAAGCTGGCGAGGACAGTCGGATCTCCAGTCTTGAAGGGGCTCAGGATGTGCTGGCTGAACCGAAACCGGTCGTCATAGGGGAACAAATTGAGGAACTTGGTGACAGACAGCAAATCTTCCAGGCGATTCTGGATGGGTGTACCGGTGACCGACCATCGACGCTGGGAGCACAGACCTAGAACTGCCTTGGTCTGCGCGGCGCTCTGCTCACGAATGATATGTGCTTCATCCAAGACAATCCGGAACATATTCATCTTGGCCAGCGGGCTCACTCCGCGCTTCGATCCTCGTCCAGAGACCTCGCTGAGGACAATGCTGTAAGTGGTGATGACAAGGTCGTATTTGGAAAGCTCATCCACATCATTCGTGCGGGATGAGCCGTGGAAGACGTAATAGGATACCGATTTTGGCTTCAGGTGTTCTTTGATTTGGGAAACCCAGTTGCTGACCGTGCTTAACGGAACGACCAAGAGTGTCGTACGGGTGTTGCGAATCCCAGGGAAGCGCCGAACGAGATCACGAGACGGCATCGTACGTTCCCACTCTCGAGCCTCTGTAAAGAGGGAGGCCGTGACCAGCGAGAGGACACTGAGGGTTTTCCCAAGACCCATCATGTCAGCCAGCAATCCGCCAAAAATCTGCGGCGGCTCTTCTTCCATGACGATCCCGCTGATTATTTCTCGGTAGCGTTTCTTTCCGTTGGCTTGGTACTCAATTCGCCACAGGGAATTGTTGTCTTCTTCCTTGGGACCGAATTTCCGTGGCTGTTCCTTCTCCGTCATGAACCACAGGGCCTGTTTCTGATGGTGAAGCAGGGGGGTCTTGATATGAGGTGTCGGCTCCATAGTCGGGATGTCAGCACTGACAAGCTGATCGAACATCTTCATAACGGCATCGTTGACCTCTTCTGCTGTGCGGACCTCGTAGTTGATCCCTGAGCCCTGGCGTGCACGCCCGGAGTTGTTGTTCAACTGAGCTGCCGCTGCCATGGCACGTCGTCTCTCCGCATGAGGGTTGAAGACTGGGATTCCCTGTTCGACGGAGTTCGGTGTACCCAGCCAAACGTTATGGTGGCCCAGGAAATTGCCAACCTTCTCCGCAGACTGTCGCTCACCATAGAGATTTATTGAAGCGCGGTAGATACCGGACGTGGGGCTCCAGATGATTTCACCTGGCACCTTCTTTCGAAAATCCAGACGCGCACTCAACTCCAGGTTGACCGTTTCAGAATCTAGCAAAGGACACAGCGCATGCGCAGTCTTCGCATCCACCATGCCGAAGACTTTGCCATGGGGGTCCGCGACGTCAATGCGATAACCAGGCCCCGAGACACGTCGTGTGGTCAGCTTCATTGACGGCCAGTCGTACGAAGAGCCTATGAATGCGGTGTTCGGTGGTCTTGGTACCAGGCTTGCATTGATCATAGCATTATCGATCTTGCCATAACAGACCCGCTGGGTGCTGAGGTTGACCGACCCTGTGACTTGTAAGTCGTCATCTTCCGGGGCTGTTGTTGAGAGGTCTGCCAGGCAATTAGTTTCGACTAATCACTTCTTCATCCTGAAATAGCATACCTGCCGTCAGGTCCACCACATCAGACAGGCCGGGAGTAGGAGTGGTGCCCGGTCTGGCCTCGCCTTCTTTCATCCACTGTCCAAGACCCGAGTTGCTAGAGATCGCGACTGTTTTTTGAGGAGCTAACGTATTCTCGTCTGCAGGATCATCGGTCTTGATCTTCTTGATGGGCTGGTTCTTGCGGCGCTCCACATCAAACATGCCTTCGATGAGAGAGCCAGGACGCGCACCATCCTCGCTGTCGCTGATTTCGTGGTAACTGCGTTTCGTCTCACTCTCATTTCCGTCATTGTTTGTAGTCGTGAATTGCACCTTTATATCTGAGTCGGACTTGGCTTTTTCCATCTGCGAAGCTGTGGGTGGTTTCATATCGCGCTGTGGCAATGTCGAGGTCGAGGCCATCTTCGATGAAGGATGCGCGTGACTGGGGTGAGGTGAGCGTGAGAGGGGAATAGTTCCTGCTGGAACAATCGTAGACGGAGAGCTGAGCGATGATCGGTCTGAATTATCCTGCGATGCGCCTGAGAAAAGAGTGAGCGCGAGGATTTAACCGAGTCATATGCATGGACTTCGGAGGGAAGAAGATGTTGGGGGGGGAGACATGGAAAGCGATAATATGAAAGAATCAGATCGAACAGTCTCGCAGTGTTGTTGTAGGTTGCTAGGCACCGAAAAGATGTAGGCGTGAGAGTACTTACCATTGGTCTGCAGCTGTTTCTTGAAGCCCTTCGGGTCCAAGAGCATCGCGGCGTGGGATGCCATGATTCTTGAGGTTTGAAGGGGTTTCAGATAGTATTATGAGAGAGAAGGATCGAAGGGAGAAGGTCGGGTTTAGGTGAGGGCGCTGCAGGACGTCGAGGGTCGTCGAAAGAGGATTCTGCGGCTCATGCGAGAGGGAGATGGCGCGAGTGACGGGCGAGGAAATGAGAGGCGCGGACCAGGCGCGAGAGTGGCTGCGCGTCTGGCGGCATTAGAAAGAAAGAGTGAAGAGTCCTCGATGGGGGTGGTCAACTCGGCCTCGAGGTGGGGGACGGGGGGAAGTTGCGACGAAGAGTGAAGAGTGAAGAGCGAGAGGATCATGACCTCACTGGACCAGCGGGTGATCCCGCCGATAAGCCTTATCACCGCTAGAACTGAGGTACCCCCTCTAGGCAATTATTGCTATACCTACAAGGGGTTACACTGTAGAAGATGGCCGGTATCATAGTATTAAGGAGTCTCGTCATATATGCTACATGAGGCAGTTCGCTCAATCAATGCGCCGCAACCCAAGGCCGAACAAGGTCTATATACAACAGAAAGGTCCCCCAATCATGATGAGCGTGTCCGACACGGACTCGTGCAAAAAAAAAAAAAAAAAAAACCAAAACAACAAAAGGAACTGCCTCAGAAAAGGGAAAGAAAAACGCTGTAACTCAGACAGATTAGGGTCAATAAAGAATGCAAGGAGATCAGCACCACGTAAACACGGGGTTTTTGCTCTTGACGGCCTCCAGCCGCTCCACGATGACTTTGCGCTGGTTGCCCTCCATGCCCTCGGCGGCGGCATAGCCCAGGTCGCCTTCCAGGTCATCGCTGCCGAAAGCGTTGACCTGGGGCCCGCGAAAGGAGAGAGAGCCGTATCTGCGGCTTTGTTTCTGGTGGGGCCGCGGCGGCAGCGTGGCCCAGCCATGGTCCAGAGACCGGCCGTGACTGTCATCGAGGTTTGGTCGGTCGCCATCAAAGTCGTACTCGACCGCCGTTGCAGGGCTGCCGATCGATGTCCTGCCGCGGTCGCTGGTAGTATCGGAGCGACCACGCGACAGTTCAAACCGGTTGGGATTGGGGAGCTCATTCGGGGGCGACATGCCCAAAAGATCACGCTCTGAGGCTGGTCGTGAAGAAATGACGGCGCCGATGTCCATCTCCTCCTCTTCCTCTTCATTCGCGATCTGGCGCCGTTGCAATTCTGAGGGAGTAGCCTGCATGGGGATGGCGACGGGGACATCCACCAGGTCATCCCACACGCAGACTCGGGTTCGTCGAGTCAATTCAAGGGGACCATGATCCGAATGCTTCAGCGTCTCCACAACGTTCCAGGCCTGGCCCTTCATGACGGCGATCTGTCGGGCAAACATGCTCTCCTTGAAATCTTCATCTTGAGCGAACACTTGCCGCAAAGCCATCTGTGTGCCGCTCCACCAAGCAGTCGAAGTCAGGAGTGGGAGGAAATGGTTGCGAGTTTTTTCTGAGAAAGGTTGACCGATTAGGGAGACTGGCAAGAAAAGCCAACCAAAGGGAAAGCTGCGCCACTGTGAGATTGTCAGTATCCGAGTCTTGCATGGGAAGGGCTGTTGAACATACAGCATCAGGGTGCTTCCATGGCCACGAAAGACTGTTATCAATGGCACCAATTTGGAGCGACGCTTGTTGATCGCGTGAATTCAAGGGAGTTCCCTCGCGGCTCACAGCCAGCATCTCGTGTCGTTTATAAGGTTGCGAGGAGCCGTTTGAATTCACAGAGACTGGCCGCGCAGGGGGCAAGAGTTCATCCTCGTCGTGTTTCGGCTGGGGTTCGTTGTTCTTGGGGGGATCCGCCACGATAGACACTTGTTCCGCGCCCATATCGATCTTGATCATCCAGTTATCCAGGCCACGGTCCGTATTCCGCATGATATAGTCTAAAATCACAAGCTTCTCCAACTCCTCGCGGAATGACTGTTTAAGATTTTCGGTCCAGTGAAACCGTCGTTCGGCACTTTCGTCACGCGAAGATGGTGTAGGAACATAGCCGTTCTCCTCGTCATCTTCGTCGTCGGACTGCATTCCTGAAGGGCGGCACGCCTCGTTCCATGGCCGCTTCTTGCGTTTCGGCGCATCCTCAGTGCGGAACCCGGTGTTAGCCTGATCCGGCCAGGGGTGCTCGCGGAGGAAGATATTGGCATCCCGGTATCCCTTGAGGAAGACTTGAAAGCTGCCTGCCTTGGGAGGCAGGGTCTTTTTGCCCTTCCACGCTTTTCTTCGGTCCCAGAAATCATAGAAGAACGATTTCGAGGAGAGCCGGACAATATCGGTATAAGGGACAAGATTCGTGCGGAGGCGAGCATCCAGAACGTAGGCGGCAGCTTCGGACACGTAAGAAAGGTTGGGGATGAGACACGCACGACCGAAGAAGCAGGGGAACAAGTTCCGATGGATCCACTTGGTCCATTTGGGGTTTCGCGAGGCGTACGGCTCCTCGTCCTTGGGCTTGAACACGCCGACTACTTTACCCTCGCTGTTCCGAGCAAAGTAACTGCCCGAGCTGCCCTGTGAAATCATTCGCGGATGCACGTCCAGCTCAATGGCGAGGCGCACGCTCTCGATAATCTCCTCGAATTCAGCTCGAGCGCGTCGCTGCTCGCCTTCGAACTCGTCGGACTCGAGCTGCTCGGCAGTCCACGGTCTCACGCCCACTGGTGGCTGGAATACCGAGTGGTAGATTTCCAGCTTCTCTTCCTCGTACGTTTTCCCCTTGACCCGGTGGATCTTGAACTTTGAGGCGATCTCTTCGGCCCAGCGTTCTAGGCGTGCATTGATGGCTTTGATGTCGACGCCCGAGTTTTGGCGCCCTCGTCGCCGGTGGTATCCGCTATGTCGGCGTTGATGACCGGGAGGCGTGGCGAGACCGGACGCCTGCATCTGGGCTCGGGAGGAGATGGGCTCATAGCGAGGGGCGGACACGGTGGAGGCGACGGCGCCGAGGTCGTCGTCGTCGGAGTCATCCTGTAGGAAGCCTCGCTGTTCTTCCTCTTGGGCTAGGCGGGCGTAGCCAGAGGTGGCCGGACGGTTGCGCGGCATGGTGACGGAGGGACAGAAGGTTTATGGAAGGAAGGGAGGCCAAACAACGGGTGAAAGAGAAAAGAAAAATAGTGGCATCGAAAGAGAGACAAGAAGGTCAATAATCCATTACAGGAGAGAGTCGTAGGGGGGAAATAAGATGAGGTGGTCTCCAAGGACGGACGGGAGAGATGAGAGGAAGAGAATAATAAATCGGTCCCATCCCGTCATTACATTGTTACCTGACACTGCTGGCGTGTCAAGCCGAGTTTGGGTGGACGGTGGCGGTAATACGGTGACGCACCGCCACAAGGGGTCCACCCACCCCTAAACTGTGCAGCTGGCCGGCATAAAAGGGGTGGCCAGTCGCTACTGAGGCCCGAGGATAGTAAACGGGGTAGTTTTCTTCTATAGTTCTGAATATTACAGGCGGTACCTTCACGGCCACCATGGGCATTGGCTACGAAATACACAAAGCATTGGTCTGGCGGCTCATTCCTGACATGCCGTGTGCAGGCAGGGGCGCGAGAGCAGAGAATGCAGCGGCCGGGAGAGTCCAGATGAACAATCATAGAGCGAGTCGGATTGATGCTGATTCAGATTGATGGACTGTATCTGTGTCCTGGAGAGTAGCACCAAGGACACAGAGGGAAGGAAGTCTTGGGGTTGAGGACCGAGGAAGAGCGTAGCCGATAAGTGATAAATACGATAATAACAATCGGGATAAGATTATTTCTCCCTCTCCTCGCCCTCCCTCTCTATCTTTCTCTTCCTCCATGCTCCCATCCCCCAACCCGTCTTCCAATCCAGTCATTCATTTACTTCGAACGGCAATTGCGGAAGAACCATTCGATTCTCCTCTTCTTCCTTATCTTCGCCGATTGACCTCTTCCCCAACCCTCGACTCGACCGATCCGATTCTTTTGCATCGCCCGTCTTGAACATCCTCCCTCGAGTCCCCGATCCTCTTCTCCCGTACCTCTCGACCTCTAATTCGGTCTCCCGTGGCCGGATTTCGAGTGATTGCACCCTCGCCCTCTCTCCATTGTGGCTTCTCTCCTCTACCGGGCGTCGCCCATCGACCCGCCTCTCCCTGGTGCCTCGACGCCGCAGAACTCCTCTCCCCACTACCATTCCCCGCCCGATCCCTCGTCGACGACGCGTTCCAAGGCTGCGGAAGGGTCCTCGTCCTACGGTACACCCCTATCGGACCTGAGTCGCATTGGAAAGCTCCACTATTCTGGCCGCGAGCACGAGAGCTACATCTCGAGCAGTGTGAGCACCTCTCTCCCAGGATTGGCTGCTCTAGCATCGGTCGCGTCCGCCCCCGAGTCGAACCTCCGGTATGTGTTTGGATTAGTATCGGTTCGGTCTTATCATGGCTGACCCCAGGGCCATTCCATTGTTCCCCCACAGCGCATCCAGCGATGCCAACATGGCGAACATCACCTACGCAACTTCATCCCCAGCCGCGACTACGGGTGGACCAGGCAGTCCGGTGAGTCCATCCTTGATCACAATTTTTGTTCGACCTGAATCTCGAGTAGATAAGCGCGGCTTATCTACTCGGGTGGTCTTGGCACCGCCCGATCCGTGCACCCGCCTTTTTCAGATCCTTATCGACGGGCAAATCTCTCATCTTATCATCACCCTCTTCTTCCTATCCTCGTCCCTTTCTTATCCTCCCATCTCTCCCCAACCATGGCGACCTCGTTGGCTGATGACAAGCGTCCACAATTACAGCCCGTCTGTCAGAACTGCGGCACTTCCACCACCCCCCTGTGGCGCAGAGACGAAGTCGGCTCGGTACTCTGCAATGCCTGCGGGCTCTTTTTGAAGCTGCACGGTCGCGCTCGTCCGATAAGCCTGAAAACCGATGTGATTAAAAGTCGCAACCGCGTCAAAACCGGGCAGGGCCCCAAGCGCAAGGTGAGTGTCGCGATCTGAAAAAATCTTCTCCTCGTCGCCGGCCTCTTGCCTCGACCGGACAGCTCGTTGCTGACCCGTTATCGCGATTCGTTATAGTCCACTGGTCCGATCGATGCCAACGGTCTTGCAGCCTCGAGATCAGATGCGGGGACTCCGCCTCTGGGCTCGCATGCCTACCGTCGCGCGTCGCGTAAGATGTCCCCCGGTCATTCGGATCGGTCGAACTCGCCACTGTCTCGCACGGAGACTCCTGGCTTTGCGGCCATGCACCAGCACAATTCCAATATCGCGCCCCAGCACATGTTTGACAGCGTGACCCTGGGCGACAATGCCCTGCACTCCTCCAGCAGTCTCCCTTCCCTGCAGCTGCGGCAGCCCTCCCCCGGCGCAGCGGACCGCCAACAAGAATCCCCTCAGACCTACGAAAGCCTCTTGGCGATCAACACATCTCTCAAGACCCGTGTCAGTGAACTTGAGCTCATCAACGGCCTGTTCCGGGGTCGCGTCGCGGAGCTCGAGCAGAGCGATGCCAATGCGCGCCGTTCAGAGATGATCGTCCGAGACTCCGAGGTGCGCCTGCGCCGGTCCCTGGAAGAGTCCCAGCGTCGCGAGGAAGATCTCAAACGCCGCGTCGGTGATCTCGAGCGCCAGCTGGGCACCGACGGCTCGGATGAGCCCGCCGCAAAGAAGATCCGGCTGGCGGACATGGTGGAGCAATCGGGCGAGGAAACATCGGCCAAGTCACCCACGAACGCATAAATGTCTTGTGGCTGCTAGCTTTTGTCCAACCTCTCCTGGTTCTTTTGATACCCTTCCCACCCAACACACTTTTGTCCTTGGTCGCTGGAACTAAAAGACAAAAAAGGACAAAGAAAAAGAAGCAAATGATCTTTCCTTGGCTGGTTTTTCTTAATACTTGTTTTCTTCGGATGTTGTGCGCGAGATGGTTTCGTTTTCTCTTCTGTTCTGATTTTGTTGTCGTCGCCCTGTGGTTGTGTACGAACTCTCTCCTGTTATGCCTTTCACGGCTCTTTCTTCCTAATACAATATCTCTCATCCTTTCTTTTCTTCTTCTTCGTTCCAAGCACAACGGCGCAGGAAATGATGGAACTTCAAAACAATACCCCGAAAAAGAACACAATGCCTCTGACATGTTTGGTTATCTCTTTTTTTCGCTGGTTTCTTTTCCCTGTTATGAAAGTACCGGTGATCTGTCTTGATCTGGTTTAAGAGAACATGCCGTTCTCCTTCTGTTTCCTCTGGTTTTTGCTTTTGGGATTCTTTCACGGGCTATAGAGTACTCAGGGCTAGTTAGTCTACGAAAATGAAAAGGCAAGGCGCATCTTTAAGTCAAGTCAGCAACTAAAACGACTCTTGCGCATGCATCATTTCGTAGTAAGGGAGCGAGCCAGTCTCGGATGGGCAGCCAGTGACCATCATGGCAGGTCTTCGCTGCGCCACCAGAGCTGAGCTGGTATCCTTGCCCTGATCATGCTTTCAGTAATAATATAGGGGGAAAGTTGCTCCAGATAGGCAGGAGAGCTGGGTGGCTATATAACGGCGAAGTCAGCGTGTCATACTACTTATCCATACCCGTGAACCTATATTTTGAGTCTATGGGGCGATGAGGAGGAGGAAAAGATAATAGTAAGAGTCCATTATGTGCAGGACCGCCTATATACAATTTGGAAATTCAAAGCCAGACATGCTCAAGATGTGATTCAACCACACACGAAAAAAACAACAAAAGCAGAAAAAGGCATGGAGTATCAAATGATCTATAACAAGAACGATGCATAATGGTTAGTGTGGCGTCGACAACCCCCAGAGGAAGGAAATGGATATATCTAATACATCTCGACATCCGTCGACTACCAAATGTACACTCGGCACGAAGCAGATGAAAAAAATAAAGGTGCGGTTCTCTTATCGGTATGACGTGCATCACAGTGTCACCTTATTCCAGTCGGTCATTGGGCTTCTGGTACACAGCGCCATGCAGGCGCTTCTCGCGCATAATGCTCCATAGACACACACCCATACCGCAGATTCCCGAGAGGAAAGTCATGAAGTAGGCGGTGCGGTAGCAGGCCAGACCATCGTCACACTCACGGTCACCATCTTCGCCGATGATGGAGTGGTGGTCGTAGATGCTGCCATAAAGCAGATTGAAAACGTTTCCGCTGAAGACCGGGGCCAGGGTCATGACGCCCCAGTTCTGGGAGAGACCGCTGATACCGAAGGTGGAAGCAGTCAGGGATGGGAAGACGCCGAACAAGAACCCGTAGGCTACTCCGGTGAAGGCGGAGACAATCACGAGCGTGTGTGGGTTGGAGATCGAGGCGCCGGCTAGTTGAGTGAGGGTGAAGACGCAGGAGGAGATGAATAGGCACCAAAAGCGGGACATGCCGAGCTTTTTGACTAGGATGTCGGAGCCGATACCTAAATGCAAGGATTTAGTATGATGTGATAGACGCTGAAGGGACTTGAACATACCGCTACAGAGACGCCCGAGGAAGTTGCCAAAGGACAGAATCGACACGTGCATGACCTGTCGCGCTTGAATAAACTGCGACGAAGCATTGGAATCGTAGGCGATCCATAGGGCCTTGGCGCTGTTGCCAATGTTACTATAGATCTCGTTAGTAGTTGCACAGGTACTAAAAATCGCCGACAACATACTTGATAGTCATCAATCCGATTCCAGACAACAGAGCCATGGTCAGAAACAGTTGCCAGAACTCGACTTTGCGCAGCATAGCCAGACCTCGGATATCAACCTGGTGAGACTCGAGGGCCACCTCATCTAGGAAGTCGTCATCTAGGGTATCGAAAGACGGTCGCACAACGTCTCCCTTGGACATTAGAGACGACGACTCGCCCATTTCCAAGTTGGCGAAGCTACGAGCCGCCGGATTGGAGACCGTTGATTGCCCCCGAGAATGATTGAAATGGCCCTGTCCAACGGCTGCGGAACCCTGAGCTTCGTCGTCGACTTCCTCCGGTACAGACTGGAGGGCGCTGGTCCGATGCAACAATCTTGACTCAGCCGGCTCGTCTCTTTCCTGAAGAGACGCGTACGAGTCAAGGGCAAAAATTCGGATAAAGGGCGTCGACACCAAGGACAGAATCGAGGTGCCGAGGGCTAGCAGAAGGAGAAATGCTCCTGTGTCATCTTTGAAGGCAAGGGTCGACACCGTCGACCAGAAAAAAGCGCTGAGGCCAAACGCGGCCAGAGGGAAAGCAGTCGCCGTGCCACGATGGTCAGGAAAGTTCGACGCCGCTGAGAGAATGGCTGAGTTAGAGATTCCGATATGCTCCGGATGTTGTGGCTAACACACCTGTCTTGATTGCAGCGGAGAAAGCACCACAACCGCCCGTTCCCGTGAGGAAAGCGAAGAAACATAAAAAGAAAACTGGCATCGACCCTTGGCCACCGTTATATGCTACTGACATCAGCGCTCGCATCCTAATTGACAGGTAGTGAAAACAACATACCAAGATGGATTGGGTAATATCCAATACCAAGGCAAATGGAGCCGACCAAGATTGAGGTCCGAGGGCCTCGCGCATCCGTCAACAGGCCCATGGGAACTCCCATAGCATACATGCCCAAGTTCCCCGCTGCACCCTAAAGAAGATGTTAGGAAATTTCTCCGATATTCTCAATTGTAACTCACGATGAGGTTGCTCTCGGTCGACGAGAGCTTCATGCGATGTGCGAATTGAGGGGCCCATGCCGAGTAAGCATACTGTGTCGAGGATTGTCAGATATCAAGGACCAGAGGGCGGTTTGGTGATCTATCACGCACGTTCGTTCCGCAGGACAGGGCGATCAATGTCCCCGCAATCACGGAGACCACCCGTGCGATTTGGTTCGTGGACTCGGACATTGTGTCGCGATTGACGTTTCCCGGAGTCTCGTTGAGCTGCGCTCCAATGGGGCCAGGTGTACAGCGTGCGCGGACCGGCTAAGTGTTCTAGCGAGAGACTAAGCGAAGCAGGTCCTCGCGGGTCAAGTATGAGAGGATTGACCAGAAGGGGTACATCGGAGCCAGACGCTGGAAAGAAACACGAGGAGAGGGAAAAGAGAGGACAGACAAGCGACAGCGGAGAAGACACCGAGCGATCGTCGTAATCGGGCCCCCCGTTAGTTACTTGGCCCTTTGCGATCATGTGACCTACTACAATATCAGACAAAATGCGTCTTCCGTAGGTTGCTTAAGATACATCTAGTACCTATATGCCTATACCGAAACCAATAGGATAAATACTAATGCTATGAGAGTACATGGCACGGCCAACCAGCTAGCCGTGCGATAAGGCACGGGGACTCAGAAAGAGGCATGGATACGAGTACGACAGAACGCGGAAAAGAAATCCAACAAACCAGATAGAAAGAAAAGAGTTAACTACCTATGTACCTAGGCAGCAAATGAATCACTGTTACTACGATTCCCTCCTGTACACTCCCTTTTCAACTCGAGTCATGTGTCTAAAAAATGCGATTATGTAATCCATCTCGTGACATGACGAAGGCGGTCATTCATTGGCACTGGCTTCCTCTCTCTCCCTCACTTCTTGTCTTCAACAACTTGATTCCATCGAGGCTCTTATCGCCGGACAACTGCTAGGATCAGCTCGGTTTTACATCGAGATCTGCACATCCTTCATAATGGGCGCCCTCTTGTCCCTGCCGCTGCTGGCAGTGCCCAGCGTTGGCACCGTACGTTGCGCCCCCGCTCTGTCCATTGACCTTGACTGGCTAACCTCGTCTCTTGGGAAATAGCTCATAACTATTGGAACTTCATGCTGCGGAGCTGCAACGTGTGGTGCTGTCTGCAGTGCCTGTGGCAAGTTTAACAACAGGTAGCGTCTCCCGGTTGCCTAGCGCCGACCCAGACTGACGTTGGAGAAACAGTATCGCAACGAGAATCGCCTATGCCTTCATCCTCTTGCTTAACTCCATCGTATCCTGGATTATGCTCACGCCATGGGCCCTGAAAAAACTGCAACACTTGACGCTTGACTACATGGAGATCCAATGCGACGGGAAAGAGTGTTACGGTTGGGTGGCGGTCCATCGCATCAACTTCGGTCTCGGTCTCTTCCACTTGATTCTCGCTCTTTTACTGCTCGGCGTCCACACATCCAGGGATAGCCGTGCTGCCCTCCAGAATGGCTTTTGGGGACCGAAGATTATCCTGTGGGTCGCATTTGTGGTGATGTCGTTTTTTATCCCTGAAGCCTTCTTCATGGTCTACGGCAGTTACATCGCCTTCTTTTGCGCCATGCTTTTTCTTCTCCTGGGTCTGATTCTCCTGGTCGACCTGGCCCATTCTTGGGCAGAGCTGTGTCTGCAGAAGATCGAGGACAGCGACTCGCGTCTGTGGCGCGGCCTGCTGATTGGTTCGACTCTGGGCATGTACCTTGCGTCGATCGTCATGACGATCCTGATGTACATCTTCTTTGCGAAAGGAGACTGCCGAATGAACCAGGCTGCTATTACGGTATGCACATGTCTCCCCTTGTCTACCCTTGTTGAGAGATCCCGACTAACTTGTCCAGATCAATTTGATCGTCTTCCTGGTCATCTCAATGATTTCGGTTCAACCTGCGGTTCAAGAATCCAATCCCCGGGCGGGCCTGGCGCAAGCGGCCATGGTCACCGTTTACTGTACCTATCTCACCATGTCTGCCGTCTCCATGGAGCCGGATGACAACCACTGCAACCCGCTGATTCGCTCCCGTGGCACGAGAACCGCCACGATTATCCTGGGCGCAATCGTGACGATGGCGACCATTGCGTACACGACCACTCGTGCCGCCACTCAGGGGATTGCATTGGGCTCCAAGGGTGGACACGGCTACGTCGAGCTGGGCACCGAGGACAACGAGCACGGCTTGGTGACCCAGCAGCCCAACCCCCGCCGCGAGATGCGTGCTGAAGCGCTCCGAGCCGCTGTGGAGAGCGGAAGTCTGCCAGCGAGTGCCTTGGACGACAGTGATGACGAGGATGAGGTCGAGGCCAGCAGCAAGGACGATGAGCGCGGATCGACGCAGTACAACTACTCACTCTTCCACATCATTTTCTTCCTCGCCACGACGTGGGTGGGCACGCTGTTGACCCAGAACCTCGACCTCGAGAGCTCGCAGGATTTTGCTCCCGTGGGCCGGACCTACTGGGCCAGCTGGGTGAAGATCATCAGTGCCTGGGTGTGCTATGCGATCTATCTCTGGACGCTTGTCGCGCCGGTTCTCCTGCCGGATCGATTTGCTGCGTAGGATGATGGATCTTTTCAGCGTTGGAATTTGAAATTTTGGAAATGGCGTTGAGCGATAGCACCCGAGTCATTCTTTGTTGTTATCCGGTATATCTGTGATTGTAGTAGCGATAATATTGAAAAGCATCCGTTATTGCTTGTATTTGGCTCTGTTTTCACCCAAACAATACATTAGGTAACTACTCGTTCCTGCTTAGCAAATCCCCGCGCGTAAAAGTGCGTCGCGCAACCACTTCTTCCTCCCTCTGCAAGACATCATGGAATGAAAATGGCCGCAATCCAGGCCATCGAGGCCCGTTCGGTATGTCTGCTACGGCTTATTCTCGAGAGATCAGCCTAACCCGCGCGTAGGTCCACCAAATCCAGTCGGGCCAGGTCATCGTCGACCTGTGCTCCGTCGCGAAAGAGCTGGTCGAGAACAGTCTTGATGCCGGCGCAACCTCCATCGGTGTGTTCAATTTCTCTGCTTCTAAAAAGGCTATCTGACTGACACAGCATCTAGAGGTTCGATTCAAAAACAACGGCCTAGACCTGATCGAAGTGCAGGATAATGGCGACGGGATCCCGCCAGACAGCTACGAGAGCGTTGGTGCGTCTTTCTCCCATGAGTTGCACGTTATAATGCTAATTCTAAAGAATATCAGCTTTGAAACACTACACATCCAAACTATCCTCATTCACCGATCTCACGTCCCTCCAAACCTTCGGCTTTCGCGGCGAGGCGCTCTCCTCGCTCTGCGCGCTCGCCGACTTCCACATTGTCACAGCACAAGCCAACCAAGTTCCTCGTGCGAACCGACTCGACTTTGAATCCTCTGGGAAGCTTCAAAAGACCCAGATTGTGGCAGGGCAGAAAGGTACCAGCGCGTCGGTGGAAGGCATCTTCAAGCGGCTTCCTGTCCGTCGCCGGGAACTGGAGAAGAATATCAAGCGGGAATACGGGAAGGTGTTGAACCTGCTACATGCCTACGCCTGTATCAGCACTGGGGTGCGTTTTAGCGTGCGCAACACCGTGGGCAAGACGCGGAACGTGGTCGTCTTTACCACGAACGGCAATCCAACGACCAGAGAGAATATCGCCAATGTCTACGGCGCAAAGACCTTGTCGGCGCTTATTCCGCTTGACTTGGAGCTGGAGTTTGAGCCCGCGGGAGCAACGAGACGAACTGATAGTGATCGGTCTAACCAAATTCTCGTCCGGGGTCACATCTCACGCCCGGTCTTTGGCGAAGGACGCCAGACGCCAGACCGCCAGATGTTTTTTGTCAACTCACGTCCTTGTGGGCTTCCCCAGATTGCCAAAGCGTTTAACGAAGTGTACAAGTCGTTTAATGTGTCACAATCGCCGTTCATCTTTGCGGATTTTCAGATGGACACAAATGCCTACGATGTGAATGTCTCGCCAGATAAACGTACTATTCTACTTCATGATGCGGGGGCTATGATCGAGTCGCTCAAAACGTCACTGGCACAGCTATTTGAAGCTGCTGATCAGACTGTGCCGCAGTCGCAGGTGCTTGGTTTCAAGCAAACCCCTGCTAAACAGCAGGCGTTAGCATCTCTACCTGGGTTTGTGAGTGCCCGGCAAATCAATGCGAGTGCTTCGACAACGAGCGAAAAGCCAGGTCATGACCAAGATGAAAATGGTTTGATTGACGAAGAGAGCGGGTCTGGCCGGCAAGAAGCTGGAAGCGAGATCCAACGCTTCATGAGCTCTCAAGATACCAACGCTAGCAAAGAGCTCGCGCCGCCCTCGTCCTCTCCGGCCGCGTCTACCAGACCACTAGAACGAGCGTCTGTCACTAGGCAGCAGCGAGAGCCGGACTCCCCGCCAGTTGCGACTGAGGACAGCAGTGGTTCTCAGATAGTTGACGACACCGCCGACGTTTCTCAAGAAGCATCCTTTCAGCTATCGGAGGTAGTACATCGTCCTGCCCTGCAGCAGGATGAATCCGACGAAACCCCCAACGCCATCCAAACCGCTTTTGATCGGATGCGTCCACTACGACGCCCAGCTGAAATGGCCACCATCACTATCGGAGGCACCCACACTGTGAAATCTATGATCGGGAGCGGGAACTTGCGAAAGCGAACATCCGATACTGCAGTTTCTGCCAACAGAGAGCCGAAGCCGCGGAAACGACGGATATTCACGCCGTCGCGACCGAGTTCATTTGGGCAGAGCATGAAAGCCTTTGCGGCCCCGGGAACACAAGGGCAGGAAGAGGAGGAGGGGGAGGATGGGGATGAGGATGGAGAGGAGGAAGAGGAGGACGAGGAAGGTGAAGAATTATCCGCCGAGGATGAGGACCAAGATAGTATCGAAGAGAATGAAGAGGACGACAAAGTGCCGTCAGAGGATGGCGACTATGCACCTGAGGACGCTCAGCATGCAGACTTGCCTGATTCTGCAGATCTCAACGACGACGCCCCAGAACAAGAGTCGATCACAGGTGCAGATGAAGACTTCGACGAAGCGACGAAAAAAGCACAGGAAGAGGCTGTAGTTCAGCGGCTGATCCATGAAGCCGAAGAAACCGCCGTGCTGCCACAGGAACACAATACCAGCCGAGCCAACAAGATGAATAAGGGAGCTTTGCACCGTGATGCTACTGTGAATCTGGTCGGCACGGTCAACGGGTCCGTCTCCCAGGTACAGGATCAAATCACCAAGCTGCGGAAAGGTCTGCAGCGACATACCCCGGTATCCAAACCCGACGAGCCCGAGGTCTCTCGCGAGGACAAATCCGCAGAAGACCGGTTGTCTCTGACGGTAACCAAGGCCGATTTTGCGCAGATGCGGATCATCGGCCAATTCAACCTGGGATTCATCCTGGCTGTGCGTCCCGGGACGGACCACGACGAGCTCTTCATCATCGACCAGCACGCCTCGGACGAGAAATTTAACTTCGAGCGCCTCCAAGCCGAAACCGTCGTTCAGAACCAACGACTCGTCCGACCCCAGCGGTTAGATCTGACAGCCGTCGAAGAAGAAATCGTGCTCGCGAACCGCGAGGCACTCGAAAAAAACGGGTTCGTGGTCACCATCGACGAGAGCGGCGACGAGCCCATCGGTCGACGATGCCAGCTCGTCTCCTTGCCGCTCAGCAAGGAAGTAGTCTTCGGCGCGCGCGATCTAGAGGAACTGATCGTTTTACTTTCTGAATGGGTGGGTCTGTCTTCTGCCTCGACGCACTCCGTGCCCCGGCCGAGTAAAGTACGCAAGATGTTCGCCATGCGCGCCTGTCGCTCGAGCATCATGGTGGGGAAGACCCTGACGAGTCGGCAGATGGAGCGTGTGGTGCGCAATATGGGCACGATCGATAAGCCGTGGAACTGTCCGCACGGTCGGCCTACGATGCGCCATCTGATGAGTTTGGGGCAGTGGGAGGCATGGGAGGAGGGTGCGAGTAACGACTTGGAGGTGTGGACGCAGTACCTAAAGACATGATAGATCTGGACCGGTAGACATACATATATCAATCAATCAATCGATCGATCTATCACCACCACGTCCACCACCCTCTCTTCCGTCCATCTATTTTCTTCTTTGGATCTTCTTCATGCTCTCCCAAAATACTAATTCCATTCACCCGCCTCTCCCCATCCCCACGGCCGTCCTCACTCCCCGTCTCCATCTCCACGTCCTCCTCCTGCTGCCTCCTCTCAACAACGCCAACCATCTCCTCTAACACCAACAAATCCCGCTCAATGACCTCCGCCCAATTCTGCACATCGCCGATCTCCTTCAACCCTTTGCGCGCATCCTCCGCCAGTCCCGCCCACTGCTCATTCTGCCTCGCCAGCTGCGCCGTATGCCCCGCCAGCTCGGCTTCCTGGCGTTCTAGAGCGACGGCGTTGGATTCGATTAGCGCTGCGCGGGAGCGGAGCGGTAGTTCCAGGGTTGTGCCCACTGAGTGGAGCGTTGCGGTGAATGCGGCCAGGGCTTCTTCTTTTTGTTGCTGCTCTTGGCTCGGGCTTGAGTCGGGTTGGGGTTGGGGTTGGGAGTGTGTGTCGGGGACGGGCTGGGTGTTTGGGGGGAGTGTGGAGGAGGAAGGTTGCTGGTCTGTCGACATGTTGTTGATACTGTAGTTTGTAGTTTGAATATAATACAGTATATATAGGTGTTAGGTGGTAGACGTAAACGGAGAAGTCCCCAAGCTGATAGTAGTTGACTATGATCTGCAACCCCACTCTGCTCCCGGGCGTGGCACGCTGTCAGTGGCCACGATAGGTAACTATTATCCCTGTACCCAGGCACGTACCTCTCTCTACGTAGGGAATTTCCTCCGGTGGGTGGGACTTTCCTATCTTAAAACCGCCGCTTCAGTGATGACGCTCAGAGTCAGGCTCTCTGAGTAGATGGTAGTTTACTGTGATATATATTTACTGTACCTCGTACTCCTCAATAACTGTTTTCGTCTCGTATAATATATCCGACAGGGACAGCAACTCCGGTATACGCTTGTGGAGCACTTCACCAATAATGCTATCAATTGATACTTAGAAGACTGTCCATTCTGAGGTGTTTATCTACCCCTATTTAGTAACTAATTAGTTATCAATAGCTAACCTAACCTAGTTCGTTAAATCAGATTATAAAGCGCTGGACAGACGAATCAGGTTGTTGGAATCATATGACCCGTATCATGGATGTTGATAAAGCCCTCTAAGTTATGAGCATTGGTAAATATCGCGAACAAAAATGGAGCCCGCTATCCTGAGTCTCAGGCCATTTAGGTGGACCTGTGTTCGGGTTGGAGTTTAGTGCTTGGCTCGACTGGATCTAAGATCACCTCACCGCCCGGGACACAGATTCTCCGGTTTCGTGATGTTAACATCGAGTGTCGTCGTCGTGATCCAATGGGTGCCTCGAATTTCGTATTAGGAATCTACAGGAGCATGCGATGAATCAATCATCCACACAAAACCCGTCGAAGCGACACCGTCCAAAAGTTTCTCTCGCTGATCGCAAGCGGATTGCGTTGGCCTGTACCTCATGCCGCCAGCGCAAGAGGAAATGTCGACTGACTCACGGGCAAGTATGCCAAAATTGTGAGAAAGCCGGCTTTCAGTGCATCTTTGAGGCGATGGGGACCGAAAACCAGGAGACAATGGTGAAGTTCGTGTGACTGCAGATTTGATTTGCCTCGGTAAGGTGGACTAACACTCAGATGACATAGTGAGAACTCTGCAGAGGGTGTTGATTTTGATGAAGTGATGAGACAATTCAATCGAAAATACCCTGAAGTTTGCTTGAACCAAGAACATGTTGTGAGCCTCGCGGAACTCATTAGAAAGTACCCTCAACGCCCCAGTCCTTTCCCGAGTGGACCTTCACAAAAGACCTCTCCAGCCCCAACTACTCGATTATCATCTTCTGCTTTTACGTCTTCTGGTATGTGCTACGCCGTTTATGAAACTGGGTCGCGTCTCACAAGGGACCTTAGCCCAAAACGGGATGCTTTCCGACGAAAGTTTTCTAATGGCTGCTACACGGGCCATTACGAGGGAGCACCAACCACCGTATTTTGAGGAATCCATGCAATGCATGGTAAGCCTTCCGTTTAGAGAACTAAAATTTTGTGTCGTGGAAGGACGCTGACTTTGTCCTGGTTAGAATCCGTTTCCATTTGAGAACCTATGTGGGGAGGATCAGCGGATACTGCTGGCTCAACTTCTAAAAGACTTCCCAACCCGAGAAGAAGCCGATTCACTTATGGCCACGCTTTTTTCACATGGTGAATCGAATTGGTACTATTTCGACGAAGCATGGTTCCGCGATCGAATTATGCAGATTTATGATAGCGATTTGCCGGAGACAGTTGCAGACTGCAGCTTTACCTGTCTTGCATTCGCAGCCTTTGCACTGAGTAGTCAATTCATGCATATTTGGCCAAACTTCCAGGGATCCATTGGTGTTTCCGGAGAAGCCGATTTGGCTGACGAGGGCTTTCCGGGAATGACTTACTTCCAAAACGCGCAGAGACTCATGCCATCGTTGCTCAGTACTTGTTCTCTGGAAAGCCTTCAGAGCTGCCTCTTGACTGCGCTATATGTGCTTCCCGCTCACAGCACCAAAATGGCTTACACTTACCTTGGCTTAGCTATGAGAATTGGCATCGCTCTTGGACTCCACAGCAAGACAGCTGACGTCTTGTCACCTGTGATTGTGGAAAATAACTGCCGAGTGTTTTGGACAACATACAGCATTGAACGGTGCGGTTATCCAATACTCTTAGGGACATGCAGGATCTAACATAACCAGTCGTCTATCTATCTCGCTGGGATACCCGGAAATGCTCCAGGAAAGGGAAATCAGTTGCCCCTTGCCACAAAGGCGAAATGACCTCGACGCACCAGACTCTCTCAAGGTTGAACGCCTGATCGCACACACGAAACTGTTGCTTCTTTTCAACGAGGTTATCCAAGTAAGGTAAGAATCTATGAGATAGCCGATAATTTGCCTCCGCCCGCTAGATATACTGACATTTCGTTACTATTTATACAGGCTGGCTGATGGAGACGCTCCGCGAGTCAATAGCATCCGTGAACGCCTTCTGTTATGGAAGGAGGATCTCCCACCGGCACTCCAGGCATTTGATCAAGATTGTTTAAGGGCCAATGTCCACCTTCAACTTCAATATCATATTGTATGGGTATGCCTCGGCCGTGCTGCCCTACTCCAACTGGTGCGGCGCAGTATCATGTCAAAGGAAACCGAGACTAACAAAAACCCGGTGGAATCGACGCCCCTTGGTTTGGATCTAACATATCCATGCGTTCGTTCAGCGTATGAGATTATCGATTTGATTGGACTGCTTCGCCGCTACCAACAACTTGCAAGGTTCTCTCACACAGATTTCCGTACATGCTGCTGTGCAACAATTATCGTTATCTTAGACAGCATTCTGTATCCGACCGTGAGAGCATCTTCCAAGGCTGCAGAAGCTTTTGATGCCTTACAGTATATGACATTCGGAAATGAGCATGCGAGAAGTAGTTTGAAATACATCGAAAGCTTTCTCGAGATTGTTAACTCAGCCTTGGCAAAATTTCACTGTCGGCAACCTCTGCAGAGTACCTTTCATCGCTCGTCCGAAGTACGTGGTTTTGACTCTTGCAGCACTTCAGATGAAAAGAATAATCGGCGAGATGATCACGAGAATTCATCACCGATGGCCGGCTCTAATTTGGAGACTATGCAGGAATGGCGAAGCGAGGGTGGCAACCCTTGTCAGCGTGCAGTTGCCGATTTTGACGGGCTAGAGTTCGGTCTCGACAATATTGAGGCTCTACTGAACGATTGCCCGCCAATGGATTTACATTTTCTCGGTCTAGGCGATTTTCACATGTAAATTATGGCCAAATGGGAAAAGAATATCAATTGATGCGCCGCTTGACAACGTCTCTTGATACTGTCCATGTAAATTTGGGCCCCAGTGAGGCCATTGACAGAGTTCTTAGCTCGGGGACGCCGAGAAAACAACCTCTTCATATCTCCCAGTGTTCCAGTGGTATACCTATATGACGGATCAGGTTGAGTACCTGAATGCCTTGTTCTGTTTATCTGTAGGATCTCGCCCTAGCTGATCGGAACTATCGCCCGCGTCGCTTGTCACCCGTTTCTTGTTCTCAGAGTAGCAAGTGTACCAATAAAAGGTCACAGCAGCAATTAAGACAACCCAGCTCACCAATGCCAAAACCAGACCATCATAATAGCGTGGGGCATTTTCATTCTTCCACAACAGGGGTCCAACTACAGCACCAGCCGAGTAACCCACAAAGAAGAGAGCATTGACAATGGCCTTTTTGGTGTTCCCTCGGACATTAGATGCACTTAGGCTTAGAAGGATGGTGAAAATGTTTGATATGACGGATGCCTGTGAAGATCTTAGTCTGATCAGTTCATATGCCACAGGGATTAGAGACATACCAGCCAAGAGGCAATTATCATGCCCCATCCAGCCGTCAAAGGAAGTGAGAAAAGCAGAATGGTTCCGGTTAAAGGCACAATTGTGAGACCAATTGTTATTGCGCATCGGCGGTGAGGCCAGAGGTGGCAAAAGAATAAACCAACCCAAATGAAGAATATTTGAACGGCACCTGACGGACAGGTGTAGAGCATTGTGTCAAATTTTCCATATCCGAGGTTTTCAATTAACAGCGAAGCGAACTGTCGGAGTTAGTACTCCAACTCAAAAGAAGGAAGGGGAAGACCTTACCGCAATAACAGGTGCTGGGAGCGTGATTAGAATACCAAAAAAGAGATTGAGGTAGCTTCTGATATCCGCTGCTGCCTCTCGTAATTGATAAATGGAGAACTCCGTTTGGTCACCACCATCGGCTTCGGTTTGAAGTCTCTCTCGCGCACAGCGACGTTCATCTGGCGTAAGGAACCAGGCTGTCTCGGGCCCAGTTGGCATCAAGACTAAGAAAATAATGCCAAGAACCGAAGTCAGTGCGCCACAGACGAGGAACATGATCTTCCATGCTTCCATGGACACATCCATCTTGCCGATGCCATACATAAATAAGGCACCCAAAACCTGGGCAAGTCCATTACACGAGATCCAGAGACTATACTCGATTTTAGTCGCCATGGCATTGACCATACCTCCAAGTTGATTCAGGAGACTTACCCAATTCGAAATGGATGTTCCTCTTTTTTGTACCAAATGCTAGTAATTGTAACAAATGCAGGCGAGACAGCTCCTTCTGCAAAGCCTAGAGCAAATCGCACTCCAACGAATGAGCTAAAAGTGGTGCTAGCCGCCAGGCACTTGGTGAAGTGTGAGTGCCACATTCGAGCCTTTTCAAATGAATTGTCTTATCAGATTTGCTTACCATGCATATCCCCCCCCAAATAATGCTATACGGATTGTTAGCTTGTTTTCATTTTGAATCTCTTTGCTTGATAACTCACATTGTGGCTCCCACAAATCTGACCAACGGCAATCTACTCATCAAGTAGATGAATGGAAATTCGGACACGAATTGACCGATATAAAACATCGATCCAAGCCAGGAAAATTGGAAGCTATCCAATCGAAGGTCTTCGATCAGCCCAAATACACTTGCGTAGCTTAGGCTTTGTTTGTCGAGGTCTAATATAGATCCAAAAGTCAGTATATGGAACCGTTCTTGTGAAATGGGGCTTTCAACTAGACGTCAGGATTGCAAGGCAACTTACACTGAGAGAAGAAAACCAGACACATCTGAGATTTCCTGTCAGCTATACTCCGGGCATATGAAAGCGAACTTTCTCAAATCAACTCACCAGAGGTAAGACGACCATATCAATTTTACGAAGCACCCTTCTTTCCATCTCATTGGTCATCTCTTGATCAGTACTCCCGATCATCCCGTGAGAAGAGACTTCTGCGATTTCAAATTGCTTTTCCATCTTGTCAATGACGCGAAGAAAAAATACTTCCAACTAGCAGGTGTTGGTTGCGACGCGTTCCACTCATCTTATACCCCGACCAACCCCAGATTTACGTGTCTGCGAATCGTTCCAGATAATTAATTCCCCGCCATTTTAAAGTTTTGGTGGAACTGTCTTTGATAAGAGAAATTTGTATTTTGGCGAGATCAAGTTCCAGCTCTCCCATGGGGTATTGGATTATCTCCGAGTCACCCAAGTGCTCCAACGCAACTATCACGTGTGGATGTGCAACGAATCTTGCGACCTGTGTGGCCGAGTAAACAAGACTCCCCACTCCTCTGCGGGTACGCGTACCCGCAGCCGCCTACCGACGGCCCTAGTACATATTTGTATTGTGTTATCGATAAGGAGATCGGGGTGCGGGTACGAGTACCCGCGACGACTGGGAATTCGGTCTATCTCGAAAGGTGACCTGACTATCGTACTCTGCATTAAATTGTTGGATATAAATATCTAAAAGGTCCAGATGACCTACTTCTCTCAATTGGCTGTTTTGCGTTTATAATTTTTCTTTTCGTCTTCATCATACAACGTTGCGGCTCAACCAACAATGGCACCTTCGCGGTCAGACCTCGAGAACATCATTACACCGTGGAAAAAGCCTCCTCACAAAAATTATGTCTTCAGTTCCGCGAATGTGATTGATCCAATTACTGGCAATGTAATCGAGAATGCGACTCTTCGGCTCAGAAACGGGATTGTCTCCTCAATCTCGGGACCTGAACATAGCGAGGACGATGACATGGCGGCGATTCGAATTGATTTGCGGAACAAATACATCTGTCCCGGCCTGATAGATTGTCATGTCCACCTATCGGCTGTTCCCGGTGCGAGTACTCTTCATGAAATGAAAGGCCTCAGCGCTCCTCTCGGCTTACTGAGGCAGCCACATGTGTGCCAGTCAATGCTTGATCGTGGATTTACAACAGTCCGTGACTGTGGGGGTGCAACTTTGGCACTCAAGCAATCCATTCAAGAGGATATTATCGCTGGACCTAGGCTTTTCATTGCAGGCCATGCCCTTTCTCAAACTGGTGGCCATGCAGACTCGCGCGGTCCGCATGATGCTTCTGAGTGCTGCGGTGGTCACCTCCTTGGTATAGGACGTATTGTGGATGGCACAGAACAATGTCTCAAGTTTGCTCGGGAAGAGCTTCGCCAGGGATCCGATTTCATCAAAATCATGGGGGGCGGAGGGGTCGCTAGCCCTACTGATCGAATCGATCATCAACAGTTCTCTCCCGAGGAGATAAGGGCCATTGTGACGGTAGCAGAGAATGCTGGAACATATGTCACTTCTCATGCCTATACACCTAAAGCCATTCAAGGTGCTATCAATCAAGGCGTGCGAGGCATTGAACATGGTAATCTTATCGACGAATCAACTGCACGACTTATGGCAGAAAAGGGCGTTTTCCTTACGCCGACTCTCGTTACGTATGCTACTATGGCATCTCCAGAATTTGCCGGATTTCTACCCCCGGCCTCTGCTAGAAAAAATAAGGAGGTATTGGAGAAAGGGCTCCACGCCATCCAGGTGGCAAAAAGGGCTGGGGTCACTATATGCTTCGGTACTGATCTTCTTGGGCCTTTACACTTTGCTCAGAGTCGAGAATTCCGCCTTCGAAGCAGTGTACAGAGTGCGTTGGAAATTCTGCAAAGCGCCACCATCAATGCAGCGCGAATGCTTCGGCAGGAGAACTTCCTAGGACAGGTTGCACCAGGTTTTGCTGCTGATCTACTGATTTTGAACAAAAATCCTTTAGAGGATATCACCGTCTTGGATCAACCCGAGCATCATGTACTCGCAACTTTCAAGGATGGTCGGGTGGTCACTTCTCGCTGGTCTAAGCTCGCTGTGGAAGAGAAAACCATGGCACAGATTGAGTAGCGTGGAAAACTGCAAGATTTTCCATATTGACACGACTAAGAACTAAATAAATAGCAAACTGGCCTTAACACTCTATTGTAAGTTGAGATGACCATCTCTCTTTATCACCCCAAGCTCTAGTAGCCCTCTAAAGCCTCATTAGGAGATCATAGGGCTAGTAAACGAAGTGTTCCTAGGAGCATCTAGAAAAGAATAGTAATGCTGATTTAGCAGTTGAGAAGCAGGCTCTATGATAACGCCATTAGTTGTATTTACTTTACTAGGATGAATAGTAACATTGATGATGACAGACCCCTTTTTTAAAGACGATGAGGGCTATCTCGTAAGGAGGAGTAATGTACGTAATGGACTAGCGTGGTGCGTTTTATTGATGTAGCTTACTCGGGCCGGCTCTTTCTACGCTCAGCTCAGACCCAGTGAGCGGGTCAGGGTGTTCAGGGGCGAGAATAGTTTTACTCAGTGAGCAAAAGCTGCCAGGCCTGAGCACTAGAACGGAAGAGGAAAGCCGAGAGCTGGGAGAGGAAATCCCCTAGGTAGTTATAGTACTGAAAGATAGTAGTGATCATTAGATTCGCTGGATGCTGCTAGTATTTCTTTCCTCCGAAAAACGCCAGACATGCCGAAAATGACGGAAAGTAACACAGCGCTGTGATGAAAAATGCTTATTACAATATCTTCCCCAAGTCAATACAAAAAAACAAAACAAACAAAACAAATCAGAATCAAATCACATATTCGCCAGTTCCTGGTCGATCTGCCGATCTAGGAACGCACGTTTGTCGCCAGTGAGCGAGGTTTGGAGGCGCTGTTCAACGAGAGAGCGCACTGGAGATGAGATGTTAGCTAATGATTCATCACACATGAGCAACAAAACTTACCCTGCTTCTTGGTCACCGTGTCCAAATCCACCTCGCCTAGACAGCTCCGGATAGCCTCTGTGATAGCCTGTTCGTCGGGTCCGCTGCTGCCACCGCGGAAATCGAACGCCGTACTAGCCGGTCGAGACGGGTACTGGCCCATCGGACTGCGAGACCGCGAGTTCGAGAGCAGATTCTCCGTGCTCTGCATTAGACCGATGCTGTGTCGGCTCGAGTGAAGGTTGGGCTGGTCTTGGTAGGCGCTGAGGTTGCCGACGGACATGTGCCGCGACGGCGCTGTCGGGGGTCCGCCTCCCATTTGCGGGTAGTCGGTGTACCGGGAGAAGTTCGACATGTGCGAGTTGCGGTTGCCTGGCATGTTTGCGCCGCCCATGAACGGGCCGGGGGATTGCGGGGGCATGTAGGGGTTGACTTGGCGTGCCTGGCCGGGGAACCCGGTCAGGATGGTGGATGCCGGTCGGACAGACGAGTACTGCGAGTGTATGTCGTCCATCTCCATGGCCGTCTCGTCGATGTACCGGCCGGTCGAGTAGACCTTCTCCTGGCTGGCGCCGAAATCGCCACGGCGGCCAGGGAGATTGTTAGCCATGGCATAGTCATCCCAGCGCTGGAGCGGAATGCTACGCGGGTCGAACCCTTCGTCCTCCACAGCAATGACTCGCTTGTCGCCTTTCTCGCCGATAACCACGCGGGTGTTACCCCACGTAAAGTCATCCTGGAACCAGAAGGAATACAGTGGCAAGACGAAGCTGTAGATGGGGAATGCAATGATGTAGATGATCATCCATCCGACGTGCTGCCACTGTCGCTTGATGATGAAGATGATCGCCTGCAAGCCGTACACACCCGCCAGCATTGCAATCGAAATGATCGGGAATGGGCCAGTACCACTGGCGACACGGTAGATGAGATATCCAAGGTAGACGCAGGTGGCTGGGAGGATGATCGTTCCGAGCAAGTCGACAAGCACAACAAAACGCATACTGAAACAGCAGAAACCACACAGGTCTTTGAGTGCTGCTAGTTCCACCAGGTTGTGGATGGTCGAGTTGATCCAGCGACGTCGTTGGGACAGTAGCACGCCCCATGTCTCCGGAGCAGCAGTGCTAGCGAACGCATCGGGGATGAACTTGTACCGCATCGTCGGGAAGTGCTTGGTCATGAGCGTTGTCAAGTACCGATCTTCGCCCAAAGACAGGAGATTCTTCTTGTGAAGGGTGTCGATGTCGTTGTCCGCATATTCCTTGATTACTTTATCCGAGATGATCAGAGGGCGTCCCTTGTCCGCCGTCCGGAGACGGTACATGCAGAAACTATCAACAGTCAGTATATCGAAATCAACCGGGGGAAACAAAAAACATACCATCCAGGAAGACAGGTCACACTCCCAAAGAGGGACTCAAATGCCTTGGCCAGGTGATGCGAGATGTAGTACTCATAGACCTGAATCATAGTCCACCAACTCCGCTCCTCGTTCTGGAGACTGGTTTCACCGCAAATGCCAGCAATCTTCGCGTCTGCTGCACATGCCGCAACCAACCGGTTGAGAGAATCCTCCTTGACGCTGGTATCTGCGTCGACCATGAAGCAGTATTCATACAGCTCCGGGTCCACGCCGATGACATTGTTGACCTGATGGAACATCTCCAGCTCCAGCGGCGACATGGGAGCCCGGTAGTGCACTCGATTCAAAAAGTTCATCATGAGAATCTGCGAGTCTCGCTTGCCTCGGTTGCCGGGCTTGGATTTGCTCTGTTCGGACTCCTTGCCCACCTTAACCACCACGATATAGGGCACGACGTTACCCTCGTATTCGTAGAGACCAGAATACACTTTGCCATAGTTGAGCTGCTCGCTCCCCTGGCCGATGGACTTGAACGGCAGCGCTGGTGGGTCCATCTTAGGGTCCACGCCCAAAATGTCCAGAACAATCTTGGGCGTAGGCCGGTCGTTTCCGCCACCAACGATCATACCGTCGCAGACCACACAGATCAGCTTCCTCTTGTTGTCATACTGCAGTGCCGTCAATGAATCCAGCCCTTTGCGCAATGCATCCTCGCCTTCCGTGTACGCTGGGACTAGACAAATCACAAACTTGTCCTGCGGGGACGGTCGACGTTTGGATCCTAACTGCAGAGCCGCAAGGAACTTGACGAGGATCACCGAACAGATCAGGATGGTGAAGGCCAGGAGAATCCAGTTGTTCACCGTACATCGAGGTGAGTCGCGGAAATCGACCTGGCCAACATAGAACACATAGTCCAGGCACGTCTGGGCATTGCGGAAGGCCGGTGTGTCTTGCCACTTATCGGTCACGTCGGTTCCCGGAAAGTTCTTGAAGAGCGTAGTGACCTCTTCCGGCAGGAATTCATATCCCTTGTAACCGGCCATCTGGTTGATCGTGTAAAAGTAGTTCGTCAAGTCGTAAACCTTCTGGTCCATGATAACCCAATACCGCTGGTAATTATTGGCTTGACTTTGAATTGTGCCCGTCGACCACACCAATTCACCTTTGTAGTAATTGGCGATCTTCGGGAGGAAGATGTCTTGGTACCAGCTGAGTTCGTGGAGTTTCGTGTTCGGGTCAGGCTGCTCCACCGGGCCGGAAGAGTGTACCGCGTTCGTGTACAGGACAGCGGTCGAGTCGTTGTTCTTCATCTGGATTTCCTGGCTGGTGACGAATGGGGCGCAGTATCGAACGAGCGGGGGAGGGAAATAACCGTCCAAGTTCAACCCGGCGAAGGGCTCCATATTGGCCGCGTCAGTGTTGTAGCCAGTCTTATCACTGTGTTGCAACCGCCAGAACTTGCTGATGTCGTAGACCCGACCATGGATGCTGACATAGAAATCATTATCTCCCGTATGGTAGCTGACCTGCTGGTTATTCCAGACTTTATCTTTGTTGGGACAAAGCAAGTTACCAAATGCAATGATGTAGAAGCAAACAATCCCATTGAAAAGCAGGATCAGGAGCACCAGGACCAGTTTCTCTCGCCAGGCCATTCGAATATCCGGGCGCTTCATGCGGCCAACGAACCTCAGCACGAAGGATGGGATCCAAAATGTCAGCGCCCAGACAAACCCTGCCCAAATCCGACGACCCGCAGTGATCTGTTTCTTCTCGATGTGTTTGGGGTCTCCGAATTCGGCATCGAGGTCACCCATGTATCGGCCGTAGTCGTCATAGTATGCAATGTCGCCCTTCTTGTCGTCCCCCTTGAGACCCAGCCCATAGTCACCGCCACTAGCGGCATGGGTATATGGCATGCTCGGGGCGATCGACTTGGCTCCTCCAAAAACACTCGGAGCTGCGAGGCCTGCTTGTTGCATGAGGATATCGTCTCGGCTCCCCATAAGGCTAGTCGCCTCACCGAGCGGATTGGCAGCAGGAGCCATGCTCGTGTCGTACGTGGTCGCACCATACACAAAGGGGTTTTGGGGGTTTTCATCTGGCTTGAGATCGAGCATGGACTCGGCTTCCCACCATGCACTCTCTCTCATCCAGACCCGTTGGTGGCCAACCACGGCATCGCCGTTGCTCCAGCCCCTCTCCATGATCCAGTTTTCAACACCGTCTTGGCCTTCAGTGCAGCCTAACCGCGCGTAGCGATCAACAAACTCCTCGACATCAAAATCGGCGGTGAAGTCGAGCTGCTTCAGGCGTCGGTTGGCCCATTCAGGGAATCGCCAGTCTCGCAGTTGGCGTGACACTGCGCCCGCTGACCAGACTGAAGTGGAACCGTTCAAGTTGTCTGGCGAGTCGTCGGTGGGGTGGACTGAGAGATGGTACCACACCCGACTGCTGCCGAGCATAGTGGAAAGATCGAAGCGACCTCGTTTACCGACAGAGATGCCCTCATTATCCACGGGGAAGAGCACTCGTCGCAGGAAAGAGTCCCCTTCAATCTCCACTCCGACCTTCTCCAGGACCCCCTGTCGTTTGTCGAGCTCGTATTCACGTTCTCGTCCAGCCGCGCCGGTAGTGATGCCAAGGTCAGGCTCGACTTGGGCTACTGCACCAGTCATCTCATTGACGACAGAAGACCCTATCGGGGGAATGGGAATTCCGTCCTCCTTCATCTCGGCGTTGATTCCCAGGTTGTCGTCAAAGACGCCTCTCATTGCAATAGCTTTGCCGAGAGCGGGCCGCGGAATGTCGACCACGACCAGGCTGACAGTGTCTTCATTCGCCCACCGAGCGCCGGCACCGCCATTGCTAGAGTCGTTGTCCAGCGTGTTTTGAACTTCGGCTGCGATCGCTTCGTTCGCTTGCCTGATCACCCAATCCACCAGTGCCTCGTAGATTCCACTAATCAAGACCTCGCGTTCATCTGTAGAACATTTGTGCAGCAGAATCTCCGGGTCCAAACCAAGTAGACCACCGACATCCTCACAAACCTCTTCCAGATCCTCTTCGTCCACTTGGAAGCCTGCTGCGTCACCAAGCTTGATCAGACCTGCAAGCACAGACAGTAAGCCTCGCAGAGCCGCTCCCTTGATACCAATGGTCTTTAACGAGGCCCGGAAGTCTTCCGCGGCCGCTGCATCGTCCGCGGCCGGCAGGTAGGATGGAGGCGAATACGTGCCGGACCGGTTGAGCAGGGTGTAAGCCGACAGATCCTTGAGACCCAGGAATTCACGCTCCGCGGCCGAGGAAGCGGAGGTCAGAAGGTAATAAAAGACATCAAAGGCACGATAGCCCGCCTCGCTCGGAATTTCTAACAGACCCTTCCGCACGTTGATACCAGAGGTCGACAGAGCCAGAGAGAGGTCAACGACGTTTCCTTGCAGCGTCAAGGTGTAGGAGGCCGACAGGGCCGAGTGCAGGGTGTAAGACGGGTTAAACGCTGTGACTGCAGAAAGAAAGGGTCGCAAGGCGGCTAGAGCGGCGAACGCAGCGTCCGGAGTGGGCAGTGGCAGCGCGGCGAGAAATGGTTCTAGAAGGGATGGGGTGGACTGATGTGTCGAGCTGTTATGCGGTCAGCTATGTGAACATTCTTTTTGGGAGGGGATTATGTCTCCTACCCTAAAACAACACAGCCATCCTCTGCCCGTCGCCGGGCATGTTCCCAAGCTCTCACGGCCAGGTCGCGGTCGACCGTGGCTCCGCTGCGGCCATCAGGGAGGGTGGTAGCCGCGGTGACCCAGGAGTTGACGACCAGGCTAGTGCTTGCGTCAAGCTGATAAGGTTGGCCCGCGGTGTAGAACGAGTGTAGAGCATTCAGCAAGGTCGTGGTCGAGACCTGCGTCGCATGCTGTGGCCGCGGCCCGGCTGATAGGCCCGCGGATTGGGTCGAGAAGACCGAATAGCGGTTCGACATGATGATGAAGTATGAATACAGCAGTGTCCGGTGTGTGTCTTAATACCACATGGGCAGCCCTGCTGCTGCGAGGGACACCACGCGCTTCCCCAGGTGGTGCTGCTGTTGCCAGTAGATGGCGTGGGGGGAGCACAAAGGGGAGGATTTCCGACAACCGCCGCAGCTGCGAGAAATCAATCAAATGAGAGGGAGAAGCGAGTGACTGGAACGAGAGATGGAGAGAAGAGAGAAGAGAGAAGAGAAAAGAATGAATGAGCCCGGTCGGGGGAGCAGCAAAAGAATGGGGAGAAACTCGGTTGTTTGAAAAATACGCGGAGGCAGTACGGGCGATCCATCATGGCATGATCGACTTTTCCCAGACTTGAAAGGTTCCTCAGGCCCGTTCAGGATTTGCAATTGCACCTACAATCAGAGCAGTCGAATTTACCAGTGTTTCCGTCGGTGACTGCTCACAATTCCTATTTCTACGCTCTCTCTTCCTCTGTTTGTTGATGGTTTTCTTGTTTGTGTTTTTTGTGTTTTCTTCCCCGTGAGCATCTGACACAGCTCCACCGGCTCCAGAACACTATCGAACGCTGGGTATTGGTAAGTAGCGGTACCGTCACTCCGGGCTAAATTTGGCCCATGTCTCACAAAAACTTCAGCGCTGGTGATCAACTGCGCCACTCAGAGAGCAGAGACTAGCTCACTTGGGTGGTCCTATTTCCATACTATGGACCATCTCGAGCATACATTCCGCGCGCTGGGACATACCGCACTCAACCTTGGAACTACCATCCCTGGTTTGAGGAACTCGATCCCGAGACGTTAAAGGAGAGTTCGCGATCTGACCTATACACCGAACCACTTGCAAGGAGGTGCCAATATGTATTATGTATTGCCCGAACGGGAGTGACCTGTCGAGCAAACCCCGAGACCCTGTTAAATACCCGTAGCCCAAGTGGGGATGTGTTCAACCTGAGACCCTGGCTTGACGAGAGGCGAAAGACTCGGACAACGGACACAAGATCAGTATTCCGTTGGCTCACTTGGTCGTGATCAGTGATGGCACTCCGATCGGATTCAACGACGACGACTCTCCATACGACATGCTACTACCTCCTATCGAATCGTCTCGCCGTCCACTCGGCCCCAGAGGATTCTCCCAGGCCGATCCGGTGGAGACACCCGGCCCAATCACGACAGCCCTATTCTTAGATGTTTCTTAGTTGCCCGAGCTAGTATTTTGTGTTTCCCAGTACGCCTCTTTTTTTTCTTTCCTTTCTGACCAAACCCCAGTCGGTCTTATCTCGCTCCTCCCAGTCCCTTTCTTTTTCTCCAACTTTGCATACCTTTCCACTCGTTCAGTCTTCCCACACTCGCTTTTTCCCTCTATGTGTGTGGTGTTGTCGTCAACATCGAACTAGGGGTTCATTCCACTCGCGCGGACATTCCACGCCCCCCATCCACGTTCATTCCCGGCCAACGGAGCGCCTGGTGTCTACGCCAGCTGCTACTGCTCCGTCGATTTGGTCGCCTTCCTCCCTCTTTGTGAGACCTCGTCGTGGAGGCTCCAATCACCATGGCCAGCCACTTGAACACAGCCAGCGCCCCGGCGCATGCTCAGTCCTCACTCCCGTCGCTACCAGCACATCTACAGTCCGATACGCATCTGACGGCTCATCTGGCCAGCCGGTAAGTGAACCATGATCCCAATCCATGGTCAAGCCAGCGCTAATCGACATGTCCCAGGTTCCATGTCGGTCTACCAACGGCTCGTCTTTCATCACAGGCCCTCATCAGCCTCAACACCTACACCACGGCCACGAAGGGTCCAGATGGCGGCAAGGAAGGCAGTGCCGCCGGTGAAGCCGAAGATCTCGCCCGGCGCGCCTTCACTCGCTTAGGGGCGCGGGGGGAGAACCAGGCGGTGGTGTTCCTGGGAGAAAGTGGATCGGGCAAGACCACCATTCGCTCGCATTTGCTCTCATCGTTCCTGTCCTTCTCCTCCACCCCACTTTCCTCCAAGCTGTCCTACGCCGCCTTTGTTTTCGACACCCTGACCACCACCAAATCCGTGACTACCCCCACTGCCTCCAAGGCCGGTCTCTTCCTCGAACTTCAATATGATGGATCCTCCTCGGTCAGCCCCACGCTCATCGGCGGCAAGATCATCGACTACCGACTGGAACGCAGCCGCATCTCCTCCGTGCCCACGGGCGAGCGCAGCTTCCATGTACTGTACTATCTGCTTGCCGGCACCAGTGCGGCGGAGAAGACCCATCTGGGATTCGACAATTCCGTTCATATCCAGACGGGCGGCGGGAAAGGCTCCTTGAGCCACAAGCGGTGGCGGTATCTGGGCCATCCAACACAGTTGAAGGTTGGAGTGAACGACACCGAAGGCTTCCAGCACTTCAAGACTGCTCTGCGGAAGCTCGAGTTTTCCCGCGGTGAGATTGCCGATATCTGTCAGGTCCTGGCCACCATTCTTCACATTGGCCAGCTCGAGTTTATTACTGGCCAGTCCACCACCACCGGTGCCGAAGAAAGCGGCGGCTACTCGCACGAGGGCGGAGAGATGGTTACCGTGGTGAAAAACAAGGATGTGCTCGCCATCGTGGCGGCATTCCTAGGGCTGAGCGTCGAGGCTCTCGAGATCAGCCTGGGTTACCGCACGAAGATGATCCACCGCGAGCGCGTGACGGTCATGCTGGATCCGCAAGGCGCACGACAGAACGCTGATGCTCTTGCCCGCATGATCTATTCGCTGCTAGTTACCTATGTCATTGAAACCGTGAACCAAAAACTCTGTGCGGCTGAGCACAGCGTTGCAAACACCATCTCCATTGTCGATTTCCCGGGATTCGCTCAAGCAGCCTCGACTGGGTCCACTTTGGACCAGCTGCTCAGCAACGCCGCAACCGAGTGCCTCTACAACTACTGCCTGCGGTCCTTCTTTGACCACAAGGCCGACATCCTGGATCGTGAGGAGATCAGCGTGCCCGCTACTAGCTACTTTGACAACACAGATACCGTACGTGGCCTTCTGAAGCAGAATAACGGGCTGTTGAGTATCCTGGACGACCAAACGCGGCGCGGCAAGTCGGATACCCAATTCCTAGAGAGCGTGCGCAAGCGCTTCGAGGGCAAGAACCCCGCTATCTCTGTGGGCGACTCCAACTCAGGTTCTTCCGGCGGTGGTTACTATTCGCAGAGTAACCGGACTGCCTTCACCGTCAAGCATTTTGCTGGCGAGGTCGACTACTCTGTCCATGGTCTGACTGAGGAGAATGGCGAGGTCATCTCCGGTGATCTGATGAACCTCATGAACTCTACCCACAGTGACTTCGTGCGAGACCTCTTCGGTCAGGATGCTCTGCAGACCGTTTCCCACCCTCGCGAGAAAACGACCATCATGCAAGCCCAAGTCAGCTCGAAGCCCATGCGGATGCCGAGCATGGCCAGGCGCAAAGTTAGCCCGCAGTCCCGCCTCGCCTCCTCGGACGCATCCCGTGCCGACAGTGAAGACACAGGCGAAAATGACAGCCAGGCAGCGAGCTCAAGACTCAGCATGGCAGGCCGGAAGAGTGGATTGTCCGCTGGCCCAGAGCAAGGGGCCGCTGGTCAGTTCCTGTCTGGTCTCGATATCATCAATAAATGTTTGAGCTCGTCTAATCTCAACCCGTATTTTGTGATCTGCCTCAAGCCCAACGACCGACGCATGGCCAACCAATTCGACAGCAAATGTGTGAGGATGCAGGTCCAGACATTTGGCGTTGCTGAGATCAGCCAGCGGTTGAGAAACGCCGACTTCAGCGTGTTCATCCCCTTTGAGGAGTTTTTGGGCTTGGCTGAGATCGGAAACCTGGTCGTGGGCAGTGACAAGGAAAAAGCGGAAGTCATCCTGGATGAGAAGCGATGGGCTGGTAACGAGGCTCGGGTGGGTAGTACGGGTGTCTTCCTGAGCGAACGCTGCTGGGCAGACCTTGCCAAGGTTGGGGAACGCGTGGTTCCAACCTACGGACTTCATGGGTCTGACGAAGGTGATGGTGAGCTACATGGAAACTTGGACGCAAAAGTCCGGCTCCTTCATCCTTCCGACCAGTCGCCTGGTGCCTTTATCTATGGGGATGAGTCTAAACAAGGCGGGTACTTCGGCAGCCGCGAGCTGGACGGACGCTCCGAGGCCGGCGCATCAGCTTTCAACTCTGGTGACATGTTTCACAATCTGGAGACACGAGAACAGATGCTGGAGAAAGGCAACGAAAAGAGGATGGAAGAAGTGGATGATGCCCCCGTCTCGGGAAGCCGTCGTCGCTGGATGTTCTTGGTCTACCTGCTCACCTTTTACATCCCGGATATCTTCATCAAGTGGTTTGGTCGCATGAAACGCAAGGATGTGCGGACTGCCTGGCGCGAGAAATTAGCAATTAACCTGATCATCTGGTTCGCTTGTGCAGTCGCCGTCTTCATGATCGTTGCCTTCCCTGCATTGATTTGCCCAACTCAACATGTCTACTCCGTTGGCGAACTCAGCAGCCACAACGGCAAAAACGGTGAAGACTCTTTCATTGCCATTCGAGGTATCGTGTTCAATCTGGGTGAGTTCATGCCCAGCCATTATCCCGATATCGTGCCGCAAACGTCCCTGAAGAATTACGCTGGTACCGATGCCACCAACCTCTTTCCCATCCAAGTCTCGGCCTTGTGTCAAGGTGTGAGCGGAAATGTCGACCCAGCGATTCCGCTGGACTATCGTGCAAACATGAACGTCTCAAATGTCAAGGAGTCCACCACTGACTACGACACCAACTCCGTGTATCACGACTTCCGATCTTGGACTGACCTGCCGCAGGCAGACTGGTTCTATGAGCAGATGGTCATGATGCGTGCGAATTACAAGGAAGGCTACGTCGGTTATACTCCTCAGTATCTGCAGACGTTGGCGAGCAAAGAGAGCAAGAACATCGGGAGTATCAATGGAAAAGTCTACGATCTGACCTACTACCTTGGAGGACCCCGGGTTCCGATCTATCCAAAGGGAGTGGATGGGCCCATGGATATCAACACCGACTACATGGCCCCGCTGCTGGTTGATCTTTTCCAACAAAAGCCAGGGATAGACCTGACGCACTATTGGGAAGACCTTCCCTTCGATGAAACACTGCGTTCGCGCATGCAGTTGTGTCTCGACAACCTGTTCTTCGTCGGCCATGTGGACACTCGAAATTCCGTCCAGTGTCAATTCGCCCGGTACTTCATCCTTGCCATTTCGATCATGCTGTGCGCCATTATCTCGTTCAAGTTCTTGGCCGCGCTGCAATTTGGCAAAAAGAATCTTCCGGAGAATCTGGACAAATTCATCATCTGCCAGGTCCCTGCCTACACCGAAGACGAAGATTCTTTGCGCCGTGCTATCGACTCCATGGCTCGTATGCGGTATGACGACAAGCGCAAGCTTCTGCTCATCATCTGTGACGGTATGATCATCGGTCAAGGTAACGACCGTCCGACGCCTCGAATTGTCCTGGACATCTTGGGTGTTCCTGAATCGGTGGATCCGGAGCCCCTCAGCTTCGAGAGTTTGGGCGAGGGTATGAAGCAGCACAACATGGGTAAAATCTACTCGGGTCTGTACGAGGTTCAGGGTCACATTGTCCCGTACTTGGTCGTCGTCAAGGTTGGCAAGCCCTCGGAGGTGTCGCGCCCCGGCAATCGTGGCAAGCGTGATTCTCAGATGGTCCTCATGCGCTTCCTCAACCGTATTCACTACAATCTTCCTATGAGTCCTATGGAGCTCGAGATGCACCACCAGATCCGGAACATTATTGGGGTCAATCCCACTTTCTACGAATACATCCTCCAAGTTGATGCCGATACGGTGGTCGCGCCAGATGCAGCTACTCGATTTGTCTCCGCGTTCTTGTCGGACACCCGCCTGATTGGGGCCTGCGGAGAAACGGCCTTGTCGAACGCCAAAACATCCATTGTGACTATGATTCAGGTGTACGAATACTACATCTCCCACAATCTGACCAAGGCTTTCGAGAGTCTATTTGGATCCGTCACCTGCTTGCCTGGTTGCTTTACTATGTACCGCATCCGTTCAGCAGAGACTGGGAAGCCCCTGTTCGTCAGCCAGGAAGTGGTCGAAGCCTACTCGGAGATCCGCGTGGATACACTCCACATGAAGAATTTGCTTCACCTGGGTGAGGATCGTTATTTGACGACCCTGCTCCTTAAGCACCACCCCAAGTTCAAGACCAAGTATATCTTCCGGTCTCATGCCTGGACTGTGGCACCCGAGAGCTTTGCCATCTTCTTGTCGCAACGTCGCCGATGGATCAACTCGACCGTGCATAATCTAATCGAGCTGATCCCACTTCAGCAGCTCTGTGGCTTCTGCTGCTTCAGTATGCGGTTTATTGTCTTCGTCGATCTGCTCAGTACCATCATCCAACCCGTCACCGTTGCCTATATCGTCTACCTGATATACTGGATGGTCACAGATACATCAGTCATTCCATGGACGGCGTTTGTTCTGCTCGGTGTCATCTACGGTCTGCAAGCGTTCATCTTCATCGTCAGGCGCAAATGGGAAATGGTCGGCTGGATGATCGTCTACATCCTCGCCATTCCCGTTTTCTCCCTTGCGTTACCGCTCTATTCGTTCTGGAACATGGACGACTTCACCTGGGGCAACACTCGCATCATCACCGGAGAAAAGGGCCGCAAGGTCGTCATCTCAGACGAGGGCAAGTTCGATCCGGCCTCTATTCCCAAGAAACGCTGGGAAGAATATCAGATGGAGCTGTGGGATGCGCAGACCTCGCGCGACGACACTCGCTCCGAGGTGTCGGGTTACTCGTACGGTACAAAGTCGCATGCCTTCCCGCAGTCCGAATACGGCTTCCCCAGCTCGCGCCCCGCCTCGCAGCTGGATCTGCCGCTGCTTACCTCCGGTTCGCGCATGTCGCTCGCTCCGTCTGAGATGATGAGCCGTCATATGGATATGGACATGGGCATGGAAGATTACTCCAATCTGCCCGCGGACGATGCCCTGCTCGCCGAGATCCGTGAAATCCTGCGCACCGCCGACTTGATGACTGTCACCAAGAAGAGTATCAAGCAGGAGCTGGAGAGGCGGTTTGGTGTTAACCTTGACGCCAAGCGGCCATACATTAATTCTGGTATGTTTTGACTTCTCGCCACTGCAAATGAACATCTGCTAACTCCTGATAATAGCCACCGAAGCGGTCCTGTCTGGTCTCCTTTGAAGAACGCCCTTATTCACGCCGTAGTTCGAGCACTGTGTTATTACTTCTTAGTTTTTCGAGCGACATCTCTTTACTTTTTAATTTGCATGAGAATCGCTTTTTCTTTCCAGCGAGTGATGGTTTTGGGTCTGGGGGATTTGTTGAATATTTTCGAAGGGTTTTTCATCCTGTCTTATAAAATACGTTATTCCGGCAAGCATTGCATCTCAATCTAATGCCTCCTTAGGAGTGTGAATCTGGCGAATTGTGAATTATCATGGTTCTAGAACGTTCAGTTTGTGGTCTCGTTTTATGCACGGCCCCGGCATCTTTGCGTAGGACATCGAGGATTTAGGGCTTCGTCGGCCAGTTTACTTGGAAAACTTAATATTCTTCTATGGTATTATGGCTATTCTGTAGGCTCCCTTACAATCAACTGCATATTATTCAAGTTCAAAACAACTATTTGCATTACGGCGTGATGCTATTAATCCCATTCCCATGTGAGAGCATTATATATAGAGGGTACCACAGGGTGTGTTCTCACTCCCGACTCAGCTCAGCTCGTTCATTGTCCGGGGCAGCCAAACCCGGGGGACCTGATTGCACCCCTGCAGGCCAGTTTGAAAGCAGCACGCCTCGCTGGTCCATCCAGTAGGAATTAATCTCGAGGTGACCACGTCCACCGATGATGGAGCTGAAGAGCGTTTGACCCACCACCCACGCCATACGAGATCATGACGTCGACCACTCGATCGCAGATCGTAAACATGAGCCTGTCCACTCTTAGGTATTTATTTACCGTCGATTCTTGTATAGATGAACCAAAAGAAAAGAAAAAGGAAAAGAAAGAGAAAGCGAGAGTGAGAGAGAGCGTGTGTGTGTGCTATCGACCACCTTGGTCTAGATCCTTCGGAGGAAAAGTACCTTGTTGTAAGTATGTGATGCGCACAAGAGGCCAGATCGTCGCCTAGGCCCTCCCTAGGCACCAGCGGTATGGACCGTGGCCCTAACTAACTCCAGCAACTAACAAGCCACGATCCACCCGCAGCCTGACGGCCCATTATTTGCTGGGCTCACTAACCTCTAACCAACCTAACCCCTCAGCTCGCGCTCTCTGCCCTCCCGGCGGCCGAGTCCGGACCACCCGGCTGGCCCTATCGTGCCCAGCTCACCGTGAGTGGAGGAGTGACTGTACGGGGTCGTACAGGGTTGTGCTTCCCGGGACCTATGACAGGCGCGGGTGGTGTATTGTACGGGCGGAATGATTCGGATGGTGCGAGTTGGGCACGTGATGGAGTGGTAAGTCGATCGAGTACTAGTAGTATAGGACAGGATAGGTCTAGCAGTGAAGACTTCGAGGGTAGCTACTATTATTATCATCAAAATATACATAGGAATATGCTCTGTACTAATCTTTTAACGTAGCACGAGGTATACCTAAGAAAAAGTCCCTTGATTCTCCCTTGAAGGCTGTGCACCCAGTAATCAACGGACCCGCACAAACTGACGACACTCGTCTTTCACTTCTTTCTTTCCACCAAATCATCACCCACCCCCCTTTACCTGCTCCGGTAAGGTCGGCCTGCTTTGCTTCCTCCCTCCCGATCTGCCACTCCCCATCCCGCCCCCCCAGCTGTGCCTAGCCCGGACACGCACTAGCTACTATTCGTTGCTGACGCCTCTTTGCCTGTGTGTGCTCAGCCTCTGCTTCTTCTTCTTTTCTCTTCATTCCTTTCGATTTATTATTCCGCGTGCCCACTTCATCGATCGATCTTCGTTCCCACCATTCCGCGTCAAAAAACCGCCCTGTCCAACCCACAGGGCCATTCCTTATCCCTGTCGAGAACGGTCTGACCACCCACTCCTCCACCACCCACCCACTCGACGACCGTCCAGCATCCATCCTCCACCATTCCTCCCTCTTCTTTCCCCTCGACACGTTCCAGGGGCCAGAGTTCTCGCCGAACCTGGTCATGCACAAGATTTCCAACTTCACGGGCCAGGCCCGTCATGGTTGGGAACGAATGACGCCGACCTTTGGGATGTCCCGACCTCACACCACCGACATGGCCATCCGCCGACCACACGGTGCGCCGCCCATGACGCCCCCGTCGAGTATCGACCCTACCGTCAATCAGTCCTTCAACGTGCCCTTCTCCTCTACCTTGGCCGGTCCCGACGTCGAAGACGTGATCCACGCTAGTCCCGCCGCCCTTCAGCGCTGGACCTTCCCCGAGGGCACCCCCGAGGGAACCCCGGTACACCAGCTGCCTGTGCACACCAACAACGTCGAGGGTTTGCGGAGACTATGCCGGCAAATAACGGAAAGCAATGCAGGACGGGTGGAGGCTTCTTTGACATCCTCGGAGCCCAAGGCTGTGCCTTCGCTACAGCGCCGGCCGAATGGTCTGATCACCAATGTCTGCGTCACGGGCGATGGTGAGACAGTGCGGAAGATGCGAGCAAAGATCTTGAACGAAACCCCGATCATGCTGGTACGTGGATGATTTTTTTCTTCTGGCACATCCCTTGCTAACACTTGGCCCCTTTACCAGCGGTGCGCGACTGTTGACGTCGATATGCACCTGATTATGGACGGATCGCCCAAAGGAGTTCGCCCGAGCGTCCTCGAACACCTGGATACCCTGGCCGCCTACACTGGAACTGATATTTTCCTGTTGACCCCGAAGCTTCACGATGCGGATAGTGCGGTGGTTTCGTCTTACGGTTACGCTTCTGACAATGGACTGGACCAACGCTTCCGGCTCGCCATCTACGGAGACATGGAGAGCACGGAGCATGCCAAGACGCGGGTGCTCATCATGATCGACCAAATCGTAGGTTCTTTCCTGAGCCTTGATAGGAAGAGTAAACTAACCTCGGAACAGCTCAAACGTCATGTGGACGCTATGAAGCTGGAGTTGACCATGCACACCCTAGTCTGTGGCCGCACCCGCAAGAACATCAAGCTCATCGAGGCTGCTACCGGCACCGCCATTTACTTTCCCCCACCATTCCCACGAATCTTCGGCTATACCCCTCCCGGTGCTAATCGCCGGAGTGAGGACGAGGTTTTCATCACGGGCGAGACCCCGGATCAGATTGCTCGGGCCAAACAAAAGCTGCGGGAGTTGGTGATGGGAGTCAAAATCTACGTGAAGGATGTGGTGGTCAATTCGAGCAAAATCGATAACATCCTGCTCGATCGTCTGGACAAGGTTCGCAAGGTGATGGAAATGAACGGTTCTTACGTTCTGTTTCCGCAACTCGGTAGCCAGCGCGGTCTCGTTCGTATCCAAGGCACGGAGGTCTTGCATGTCGAACGGACCGTCCGGGAGATCATGGCTCTGGTATGTTGTGCTTTGATATACTTTACAAAAGCATTGCTAATTTTTTCCTTTTTCTTTAGGCTGGTCAATTCTATAGTGCGTCGTGGTGGATCATCATGCCGGACCCAGCCCAAGGCGGTGTTCGTGCTCCGTCCACTCCCGAAGTCCGGTCCATGCTCTCGGATATCTGTATCAACTCGGAAGCAGAGGTCAGCTTCGACAACCTCACCTTCACCATAAATGGATCCGACGACGCGGTCAAGGCTGCGATGACAGTCATCAACCAAATCCCCTTTGTGACGCGCAGTCAATACCAGATGCGGGTCAAGATTGAACTGGCCAACGAGCACAAGGAGTTCGTCAGTGGCAAGAAGAACGGGAAGATCAACAAGATCATGGGTCAGAGTAAGTGTCGTTTCGCGGAAATTCCAAAGCGGTTGCTGATCCATAACTAGGCAATGTCCAAATTATCTTTGACGGATTCAACGAGTACAACTTCTACATCGATGTGTGCGGAAACCAATACGATTCGACCAAGAATGGCCTGGATCTGGTGGAACAGGAAATGCCTGCGTCCATTTCCTTCCATGTCCCGGACCAGTACCATAAGCGGATCATCGGAATCGGTGGACAGCACATCCAACGCATCATGAAGAAGTACTCTGTTTTCGTCAAATTTTCCAACGCCATGGACCGCGGCGGAATGGGCAAGGAAGACGATGACATCAAAGTTGACAATGTCATCTGCCGGACACCAGCTCGCAACGCGCAGAGCCTGGACCTTGTCAAGCAGGAGATCATGGACATGGTCGAGAAAGTTGTAAGTTGCTTGTTTCACCCACCTTGAATGCTTAAGAGACTCATAATGTTTCACAGGATGCCGAATACGTGTCCGAGCGAGTTGTTATCAACAGGCTGTATCACCGTGAACTGCTGGCCCGCATGACCGAGATTGACGAGCTGGAGAAGAAGTGGAACTGCAAGATCGAGTTTCCCAGCACTGAGCTTGCGAGCGATGTTGTGGCCATCTCCGGTCCCGAATACCAAGTTCCCCAAGCCGTGGATGCTCTACTGGGTATGGTCCCGGAGAGCCATGAGCTTCATTTCCAGAGCTCTACCGAACTCCGCGAGTACTTTAAGGCCCCCGACTTCATCGCAGATGTTCGGACCAAACTCAAGGAGCAGTACGAGGTCGATATCACGGTGGACGTTAATACCGATCTACCTTCGACGCCCGAAGATGGATCATCCCCAACTCCTGCTGGCCCCGAGGATCGAGTGGTGCTCGGATATACACGGAACAATGCTGGCGGTCTGAAGGATGCCATCGACTTCTTGATATCTGTGCTTGTGGCCCACGGACTCGATGCGACAACGGTCAAGGGAGCTATCCCGCGCCCCAAGTCTGACTCGTTTGAAGAGTCGTTGCCATTCTTCGACTCGAAGCTCTTACAGCACGCCCCGACACCGCTTGTGACCGACTCGCCGACTCGACCCAACTTCTCCGACGAGGCCAGTGAGCGGGGCTCGATCTTCGAGCGTCTCCGTAAGCCAGGCAGCATCTCGTCCTTCTCCTCGTTCATCGGCCGCAAGAACCACTCCGCCTCGCCGGGCTCGTTCTTCAAGCACGCCTCCAGCAACGCCTCCAAGGCGTCCCTGGTCTCAATGGAATCGCGAGACAGCGGATACCGCAACCCCTGGAACGATTCCGGCGTCAACCTCCCCGAGGATGACCTGCCCGTCCTGGGCAGCTCGCACAGTCACAAGAGCAGCAACAGCAACGGCGGCTGGCCGGCGCGCTTTGACGGCAAATTCCCCTTCGGCACGGCCCCTGGCGACATGACCCCTAAGCATGACCTGCGCGCCTCTTTTGACAGTGGTCGTCCTAGCACTTCAAATTCTACTTCTGGATACCCGGCCCCGATTGGGCCACCGCGTTAAAACACCCCCCCAAAATATCCATTTGCAGCAGTATACCCTTTTGATTTGATTTCTGATTTTTTGTTCAGTTTCCAGCGGTTGTGTGTTTCGGTTTGTTCTTTGTGTTTTTGATTGATACCACGGAACGCAAGCAATGAAAGGCGTCAAGAAAAGAAAACGAGATATCCAAGAACGCGCGATAGAGCGGGACTCGCTCCCGAGGAGTGGGAGTGGAGTTCGCATTTTTGTTTTATGTGGTTTTTATTCTGTCGTTTGTGTGATTTTTTCTTCCGTTGCAGCTTCACCGTCATACCCTTTCAAAGGACGGTAGGATAGGATTGGGATGGAGCCATCTGGATTGTCCAACACAGTTATGTGTGTGGTTTGATGATGGGTCTGACTGGATTTTCTCTGTTCGGTGACTGCTTTTCTGGAGTTCTTGTGTTCGTTTTATTGGTTCTGATCTTTGTTGTTGATGCTTTGATATCCCCAGATCAATGAGATTCTCCCTTGATTTTAGAGACCTTTGAAGTTTCCTGCCATTCAGGTTCTCCGGAGGATGACGTGTAGAACCTTCCATCATCAGCCAGCGTGCAACCAGACCAGTGCGCGCCAACCATCGCCCATCTACAGCGCCTGCATCCTGCCTCAACGAAAGGCTATACACGAGCTGGACACCCCAAAACACCGTAGTAATCTCAATTTACTCCTGGCTTGGTTCCCACGCTCTGACTTTATATCCGCTAACCCTATTGTGGTTACTTTCTTGATGACCCCTGCAGGTCATATGAGGAGGACAACAGCTCATGACTCATTATATTATAACAATCAGGATCCGTAGAATCAAGGACAATCTTGTATCCGAACGGGCAAACTGATCATACAGAGGACTCAACCCCTCTCTCCCACCACAAGCAGTCTTCGTTTAACCCCACCTACTAGAATCCTTCAAACAATCGACTCGATCCTCTAACTTGTCTTAATACCCTAGTGATCTTTATCTTCACTAGGACTCCCCGTGAACAATGTCGAGCCTGAATAGCTCCGCCGCAAGCACCACTACAAGATACAAATCGCCAATTCCTCCAAACGTCGAGATCGCCAAAACAAAGCCTGCGTTCGCTCGGATCCAAAATGCCAATTTAGGAACACTAGTCGGCCCTGAAAACGGCGGGTACTATCTCAAGTATCCGGAGGGCAAGGTCGTAGCTATCGCTTCTGATCGCCTTTGTTCTATTATGGACGAATCCTATATATCGCTCTATTTTCATTTCGAGAGGCAAGGTCTACACCAAGAAGCTGAGGAAATATTGGAGGACTTGCGGAAAGCTGGGATTGACGCGGATCGGCTTAAGAGAGATGCAAGTAATGCGATTAAAGGCGGTGCATGTGTTATAGACCCCGATGTCGACGTGGACGGAGGTGATAATAGCCAACAGGTGAAAGCTGAATTTTAACAAATATCCCAGCGGATTTAGACCTGTGAAAAGAAGTCTGTTATCCCGACTATGCTCACTAGGGACATGATATTCCACGGCATACAACCCTATTGACAGAGACAGTCTATGAATACGACCTCGCCGTTTTTTTGGTCTTTGTCCGGGGTCTCATGGCGAGAGGTGAAAGAATTTTGGTGGAGGCGAAGCATCTCGTGGACTTGGAGTTGAAGAATGAGGTCTGTATGAATCCTACTTTATAGAGGAATGGGCAGCAGCCAGTTGTAATGGATAATAGCAATGGATAATAATAGCAATGACCTCGAGCTCTACACCTGGCGCCGGACATTTGGGTTGCGACTACCCAACAGTGGCTGGTTCTGCTGGGCCTGAGTGGCCTTGCCTTCAACGTTTGGTTGGGGGGAGACGGTGGCGGTGCGTTTTCACCGGTTGGGGGGAGCTGATGTCGAGGCCGCAGTACCAACTTCTTCTTCTTCGGCTCCTCTTCTTCCATCTACTCCTCCAGCTCCTCCTCCCTCTCCTCCTCCAGCTCTTCCTCCCTCTCCTCCTCCAGCTCCTCCTCCAGCTCTGAACCAAAGTCATCAGAGTCCCAAAGAAACTCTTCGGCAGCTCCGCTGAGAGCGACAACTCGATTAAGGATCCACTGGAGCTGAAGCAGGTGCAGCGACGGGAGGGGGAGGATGTCTGGATCATCGGTACGCATGATAACGCGGTCTCCAGAGAAAATCGGGCGATCAGTCGTACGATCGTAGAGCTTAAGCCCGTCAGGGTCTGTAAGACCGGCGGGCACATCGGGGGGTCAACAAGACGAATAGAGGCATTAGCATCTGCCTTCGGAGGGAACCGCCAAAAGCGTGTGGTCAGCGTCTTCTTATCTTCGCTGAGCTCCACAGGCTCTATGGAGAAAAACCCCCGTCCCCATTCTCTATGCGCATCAGGCGAGAGGCATAGCATATTGGCGCAGGTTTCAGTGCCATCCCTAGCCAGTGCATTCTTCCAACTAGCAATCTTCGTACCATCCCAGAACAATCGTAAAGTTGCCCAGAATCTGGTCTGCTCAGGGGTTCCCTCATTCTGGCCTAAGGCGTATGGATAGATATGGGCAACTTCAGTAATGAAAGTACTATGGGTGATGACGCAGGCGTCATTGTCGCGCTTCTTGCACTACTTGTGGTTAGCAAAAGTTATATATATTGAACCAGCAAATGAGACTTACAGCATCTTTAACGTGTTCTGAGCGCACTTGGTAAACTGGGAGGAGACGTGGGCCTCCAGGAGCGATTGTTTTGCTTGGCTGAGAACCTTTTGCGGGAGATTTGGCGGGAGATTTGGACCGCTCCCGGCGAGGAATAGATGGCCTCTGAGACTTCGGAACCAGAGTTCGGGTGAATTGGCTGCGTCCCGACCCTAAAAGGCGTTAGCTTTGGTTTAGGCTAGCGAAGCCTCAAGTTGACTTACACATTTTGGCGAGATGATTGTTGTGTGGACCGGAAAGGCTAAATAGCAAGATGTGCGCGTCCCCATCTTCAGCCATTTTAACCAGTTGTTGTAGATTCGTGACGTCGGCTAGCCAGAAACAAGCCCATGTAGCCGGGTCGACATGGTCAAGCTCAAGCAGCTTGGCCAACTTATCAATGAGAGGTCGCCTCTCCTGCTCTACCGCCTCTGGTATTGGAGTAGGATTCATCTTAAGAGATTATGTTGACGACGCGATGGGAAAGTAGACTGGATGGATGATGAGTGAAGAAGAAGAAGAAGAAGAAGAAGAAGAAGAAGAAGAAGAAGAAGAAGAAGAAGAAGAAAGAAAGTAGGCAGGCAGGCAGGTGCAACTCACGCAGACAGGTGACGCATAGCGAAAGACCGCCTGCCTGCTATTCCTGATCGAGAACCAAAGGTATACAAAACCAGGGCTCGAATCTCGTCTTCACTATACGAAGATGGTCGGCCGGTTGAATCTCGGGACTATGCCACATTTGGACTAGATCCTGACAACCTTATACAGTGCCAAGTCATTAATATTATTTGATCCCCCCCTTTCCACTAGCCTAATTAAGAATAGTAGACTTCTTTATGGTAGTAGTACTTAGGGGTAGTGCCTTCAGCTACTTAAGATACTCTTTCATGGTTTAGGCCATGATATTCTATAGCATTTTGAGTTTACTAAAATCAGTGGGTTTAGAACCCTCCAATTATGCAACTACCTAAACACAAATTGCATAGGCCACGCTTGTAGATATGAGAGGGAAAAAGGGTCTTCAGTAACGCTGAGATCCACGCTGAACCAGATCACCAGCGCCGTCCGATGCAATATGACGTCCATCCTCGCCTTCATAGTATCGCCGCTCCCGAACGGGTCGCGGCGCAGGGACATAGACCGGTCGGTTCCAGTATTCGCCGACTGGGGGTTCTTCCACCCGGTACTCCGGTGCCCGGCGGTCTTCCACGTATACACTCGTCTCGCGACGGGGCCCAGTTGGCCTCACACTTCCAGCTCGCTGCACAACTTCCTCCGGCTCGTCGTATCGAGTTGGTTGAGGGCGCACACTTGTTGTGCGGATGATTCTTTCTAAGGGAGGGGGATTGTATTCTTCATAGTACGTCGGTTGTCGCGGAGCATATTCAGCCACCTGCACGCTACCGGGACGAGAGTAAGTCGTCTCATATCCGTCCAATGGTGCGGCATAGATCCGTCTGTCGCTGGTTGTGGGTGGGGCGTAGTCTGAGGTGACGCGCCGATAGACGGACTGTGGTGGTGGCATTTCTTGTACATACCGGTGCTCGCCATAAGCATCTTGCACAACAGACGGAGCGCGCATGCTGGCAGAACGGAGAGGCGCACGATCCTCGTACACATCGCTTCTCGATACCTGAGATACTGGACGAGGTGGCGGGGCCATGGGCTGTGTCCTCTGTGCCGGCAACATCTCAATATACTGAGTGCCATGCTCGTCGACCACAATCCGTCGCGGTGGAGGAGCCATTCTTCGTGCATGCGGGACCTCCTCGTAATATGGCTCCTGATATGTTGGCGGCGGTTCATCTACAGCAACGTAGCGGCGGCCATAGGAATGAGGGGCTTCTTCGTAATATCTCGGACGGTCGACCACCGTATAGGACGCGGATCGGGCCATATGTGGGTTGACCTCAGTGTATTCGCGAGGATAGTCTGACTGCCTAGCGTATTGAACGCTTGCAACACGGCGAAGTTCCCCGTCATCACGAACTGGCCGTCTGGTACTGAGCCGAGAACTTGTACGTAGCGGCCCTGGCTCCAATGCGCGCTCGTAGTACCCGTGAGTTTCGTGGACCGGCTCGCGCCTCTCAGCCACTGGCGTGTACCGTGGCGACACGCTGTCAATGTACACAGGCTGCTCTTGACGCGGTCGACCGCGAAGAACTTCGGGATCATCGGCAAATGGCGGTGGAGACACTGGCTCTTGTTTGATGTAGGTTTCTGTAGGGTTTGCATGTGATGCGCGGCCAGCTCCTCCGTCAAGTCTTCTCCTTTTTCGAGAGATCACATTCGGGGCGGGAGCAGTAGGGCTGCCAAGGGCAGAATCTGGGTCAGAATACACCTGGTCTGATTGGTATCCTGTACGCTCATCACGAAGTTGCTGGACGGCCGGGGCTTTCTTTGTGGCTAGAGGTGACACTCGCGATGGCCGCGGGGCTGCAGGAGAAGTGATATGGTTCTGAACCACTCTAATGCCGTTTGCAGGGGAAGGAGGTCTGCGCATTTCCTGGCTACGAACGGAATACCTGCCGTCCGAGACACGTCGTCGCCCCCTGGCGCCACGCTGGTCATCTTGATAGTCCACTGGGGGTACCGTTGGCGCAGGCGGAGAATACTCGGGCTCCTCCAGAGGTTCGACCGGTTGCTGTACCACGGCATGGCCCTGTCGCGGCTGCTGCTTCTGGACATACAATGAACGCTGGTCAGCCACAGGGTAAGCATCATGCATTTCCTGATCAGATCCAGGTGGGTTGAGAGCTTCCAGCCGTTGCAACTCATCTGATTTGTGGCCCTGAAGCCGAGCTCCCGGAGATGGCCTTTGGTGGTCGCCAATCTGGGGCGGAGAGTCTGGGGCTCTACTGGAATAAAACGAATTGTCGTCATCACCGGGGCCAGTAGCCTCCGAGGGATCACTCAGGGAGAGGGGTTTCACGAGCTCAAGTGCTCTGTTCAACACCTCTTCGACATCAAATCCCGGGGTTGTGTCCTGCAGCAAGAGCTTTTGTTTTGTTTCTTGCTTCTTCTGCTCCACTTGGTCCCGCAGCGCTCTCTCCACCCGTTGTCGTTGTAGCTGTAACTCCGCTCTGACGAGATCATCCGACTTGGTCAAGAAGATAGGATTGATCTCTGAGGCAGGTTTGGGGGCAACGCGGGCTGGGGGAGGAGTGGCGGTCGCAGGAGGTTGAGAGGCAGGTGTTTTGGAGGGCTTGGGTTTGGCTGGCTGTGTCTGGGCCACGGGAGCAGGTTGACCATTGCGCGTGGTTGATTTTCGCACAAACTGCTGAGGCACTTTGAGACGAGGATGTAGCCCCCAGAAAATGTCATCGCTGATCTTGAGAATTCTCTCATATTCCTGCACCTCGTCCGCCGCCACCGGCGCGGAGGGGGTCATCGGTCCTGCTGCAAGGTGAGTAGCTGACCCATGAGCTGCAGCCATGGTCTAAGGAAGAGGGATCTTGAATGCAGAAGCTTCTGGGACGGTGATGGACGAGGGACTTTAGCCTCATATGTCCCGTGTCTCTTCCAGAAGCAACTGGCGCGCGAATCAACGAAAGAAAGAAAAGAAGGACGGTGCAAGTTGATGCGCAAGGGAAAGATTGTTTGTCGGGCGCTAGTCCCGGAGCGGACTAGTCTGCCCAGTCACGGGAAACGCAGCTAAGCCAATAAGAATCCGCGGCCATCGGTCCCGGGGAGATGACTCTGAACTAACCGCCTGGCATGATGAACTAGCTATTCATGCTGTCTTCCCTCCTGCGCTTCTCTCACCCTCGATTCGCCTCGCTCCCGCGAGCTCGTCGCTTCACTATGGCCGCCATTGACTCCCGCCCGGTGTTCTTCTTTGACATCGACAACTGTGTACGTCAACCAATCCGAGCATGCGTAACTGCTGCAGCCGCTAACCCACAACTGGGCTTACAGTTGTATTCGAAATGTTGGAACCCAATCCTCAACGGCCAAAGGAGCCCAGGCTGACTCAACTCTCCAGCATGCAATGTCCACGACGAGATGCAGACCCTCATCCGTCCGTCCCTCCGAGCCTCGATCATGTCCGGGATGCGATGCTAACCAATTTGCGGGTTTTTCTAGACAAATTCTTCGTCAAACACCTGACTCTCAACAAGGACGATGCGCATATGCTTCACCAGAAGTACTACAAGGAATATGGACTCGCCATTGAGGGCCTCGCTCGTCACCACAAGATCGACCCGCTCCAGTTCAACTACGAGGTCGACGATGCCCTGCCCCTCGATGAGTGCCTGAAACCGGATCCCAAGCTGCGCAGCTTGCTGCAGAGCCTAGACACCAGCAAAGTGAAGCCGTGGTTGCTCACGAATGCCTACATCAACCATGCGAAACGGGTGGTGAAGTTGCTAGACGTCGAGGAATTCTTTGAGGGCATCACCTTCTGTGATTATGGGCAACTGCCGCTGGTCTGCAAACCGAGTCAGGATATGTATGCGAAGGCGGAGAAGGAGGCCGGTGCTCCTAGTACGGAGTCGTGCTTCTTTGTTGGTATGTATTTTCGTTTCCTGAATACCCCAAGCCGGCAGTCGGATGCTAATGTCGTACAGACGACTCTCACTTGAATTGCAAGCATGCGCAAGACCGGGGGTGGACCGTTGTCCACCTAGTTGAGCCAGGGCTACCGATTCCACGAATCCCGGCGTCGAGATACTTGGTTTCCAGCCTCCAGGAGCTTCGGACTCACTTTCCCCATGTCTTCAAGCCGGAAGTCGAAGAGGCTTAAGGTGATATTAGGATACACCATCCTGGTTGTTTGTCTATAGAAATCTCGCTTATGCGGGCTACGAATGTACATAGATTAATGAGTCTATTATTATTGTTCCCTTGGAGGATATTGTAGTTGTTCACTTTAGGGCAAGTTTCTGCCTCAGGCTGCTTAGTTGATCGGCGCGCGTCAAATGTCCGTTCAGGGACTCCGTGTCTTCCCTAGTCCTTCAACCCTCTTCGACCAACAGCGATAGTCAAAGCCCGTCGTGGCACCGCCTTTCCCACGATGGCCGATCGAGAGATCTCTTCCGGCTCGGTGATCAGCCTCACCGACGGACGCCAGGCCACCGTTCGCTTCCTCGGCGCCACGCACTTCGCGCCCGGAGAATGGGTTGGCGTCGAATTGAATGAAGCAACCGGCAAGAACGATGGATCTGTGCAAGGACAACGCTACTTTGACTGCGACCCGGGCTTCGGCATGTTTGTGCGTTCCACGGCCATCGCATCTATGATTCAACAGCCCGCGCGGGAGAGTAAACAAACCGCCAGACCCGGCACCGGTCCTGCAGGACCCAGATCCGCAGGCTTGAAGAGGCAGAGTGGACTTCCTGCTACAGGAATTAAGCGTCAGAGTACTGGTCTAGCTTCGACTCCCACTCCCGCCCAGAGAGTTGGAGCCCCCCGTTCGTCCCTGAGGGTATGTCGTGACTCCCTCATCCCCGGCAGGATTTTGAGCTAAACTTCCGTGTTTTTCATAGTCCCCTACAAAGTCACCGACAAAGCAACTTTCAGGATCCTCCGCGCCCTCCAGTCGCTCCTCGACCAGCGCTGCCGCTCGCACCTCTACCGTGGCGCCCACTCGTCCACGACCAACCAGCGCTGTCAGGTCCTCAATGGGTCCCTCAACATCTCAATCTGCTGTCTCCAAACCAGCGCGACCGTCAGCTGTCGGGACGGCGACTCGGACGACACGGCCTGGCTCCCAAAGCACATTGGCAAGCTCTGCGGCAGCTAAGCGTACTTCCCTGCGGCAGACTGCTGCTGCAAAGGCATCAGATGGCCCGGATACTGGAACGAGTGGACAGTCCGAAGATGCGACTGATGCGGAATCGCTTGACACCGATGGGGATGCGCCGCAAAACGAAGCTCCAGCACCAAAACCAGCTCGGCAGTCTTTGACTGCCGCACGTCCGGCTGGTGCAAGGGCAGGCATGACATCTTCGACATCACAACGCCAGCTGTCGAGTGCCAACGTTTCTCGAGAACTTGAGGAACTCCAAACAAAGCTTCGGGTCATGGAGAAGAAACGAGCGGAAGATCGAGAGAAACTCAAGACCCTTGAACGACTCCAGTCTGAGCGCGACAAGTTCGAATCCATTATTCAAAAGCTGCAGGCCAAGTATCAACCCCAGCAGATGGAGATCACTGAGCTGCGTAAGAACCTTAAAGAATCCGAAGGCAGGCTGGAGGAAGTTGAGCGCCTGCAGGCAGAACATGAGTCTCTCATGGAGATGGCTTCTCTTGACCGAGAAATGGCGGAGGAGACGGCCGAGGCATTCAAACATGAGTGTGATGCCCTTCGCTCAAAGATGGAAGAGCTTCAACTGGAGGTGGAAGTCCTTCGAGAGGAGAATGATGAGTATGGTCAGGAGACGAGTCCGGAAGATAGGTCTAGCCATGGATGGTTGCAGATGGAAAAGACGAACGAACGTCTCCGCGAGGCACTTATTCGCCTGCGAGATATGTCCCAGGCACAAGAAGCAGAACTCAAGGCCCAGGTCAAAGAACTGGAAGAGGACTTGGAAGAATACTCCAGAGTGAAATCGGAGTACGAAGCTACAAAGGAGAAACTGTTGGTGGCAGAGACCAATGTGGACGACCTCAAACAGCAACTGGAGACCGCGCTCGGTGCGGAAGAGATGATCGAAGAATTGGCAGACAAGAATATGTCCTACCAGGAGGAGATCAATGAACTCAAGGCTGCCATCGAAGACTTGGAAGCACTCAAAGAAATCAGTGATGAACTGGAGTACACCCACATCGAAACCGAGAAGCAGCTCCAGGAGGAGATCGACTATCGGGACGGCGTATTTAGTGAACAAACCCGAAGGATTGGACAGCAGGACGAAGTCATCGAAGACCTTGAGTACACATTGTCCCGTTTTCGGGAGCTGGTTACGAACCTGCAGAGCGATTTGGAAGACATGCGGGCCTCTCAGCAGATTTCCGAAGCAGAGGCTACCGACCTTACGTCCCGTTCTCGAGCCATGATAGACTTGAACATGAAGCTGCAGGCCTCCGTCTCAAAGTCACAGACCAAGTCTATTAACATGGAGCTGAACCGCATGGAGGCAGAGGAAGCATCGCAGCACCTGTCAATCCTAAAGCTGTACCTTCCCGAATACTTTGAGGGTGAGAAGAACTCTGTCCTGGCACTTTTGCGGTTCAAACGTGTCGGATTCAAGTCCGCAATGATGAGCAGCACCATCCGTGAACGCGTTTCGGATCAGTCAGCAATCTCGACGTACGAGGAAGTTTTTACGGCCCATGAAGTCCTGGAACATCTTCTTTGGATCTCTGCCCTATGCGACCAGTTCGTGAATCACATCACAGCTTGCTCGCCGGAGCAGTTTGGTGAAATCAAGGCTGCCTTGTTTGAAATGGAGCCAGTTGAGCGGACCTTAAATTTCTGGATCGAGAATTTGAAGAAGAACGAAGTCAACATGAAGAAGTTTGCAGTGGAGCTGCAACGGTCCATTGCTTTACTCACGCATCTGGCTGAGACGCTTCTTCCCTCGAACCCGGAAATGTTCTCGGGCGAGTTGTGTATGCGGGCAAACTTATCCCAGTCATATCTCGATCACGCGGCGGGGGCGATCTCGCGCCTCAAGTCTCTCATTCAATCAAAACTTGGGACTCCGGAGGAGGGCAGCGAGGAGATCTCCTTTGCTCTGAACAAGATGGACGGCTTCGTGTCTCAAGCTCGCGGATACAAAGTCGCCATGGGCAAAATCTCTCGGTCTCTTGACGAGCTTCGATCAAGATCACTTGCACTTTCTAAGGAGGCAGACGAACCTTTCAAGCTAACTGAAGATGCCACTCGAGGGCTTTCGGAGTTCGCTCGACAACTCGGCGAGAATATTGTCGTTCTAACCAGCGATGAAGGTCGCACCGAGCCATTCACTTTGCAAGAAGTCTTGGAAAGCATGTCACAGGTTTCCACGTCTTCTGTTCAGTCACCAGAGGCGTCAAGTGAAAATAATGATACGTTGTCTTTGCTCGTCAACAGATTGCGGGAGGTGGGCGGTCAATTGGAGGAGCTGGATGCCATATCGTCCGACCTGTCTCGAACAACTGAATTTGAGAGAGGCGCGTTCCCTTGGATTGCCCGTTCGGAAGAACTCAAATCCAACAAAACGATCTCCCCGGATGCGGATGAGGAGATTCGCCGCCTCAAAAATGAAGTCCATGAGGTTTCTACCGCGCTTGGCGTGAAAGACAACAACATCGAGGAGCAGACTATCAAGATCGAGCTCCTCGAATCCAGAATGAAGGAGGCAGGCAAGAAGGCTTCTATGGTGAAAGATCTCGAGGCAAAGATCGAAGAGACCCGAAACGCGGGCGATGAACTCGAGAAGACCGTCGAGCGTCAGAAGAAAGAACTGCAGACCGCCGAAGCCGAGCGAGACGAGTACAAGGTCCGACTGGAGCGTATGAAGCGTGTTTCTGGAACGGCAGGTGTCACCACCACTAGCGACGGTGTTGTAATCGACAGCGAGGCCTCCTTGGCCGCCATGCAGGAGAACGAGACACTCCGCGCCGAAGTCCAAAGCCTCCAATCGGCCGTGCGTTTCCTGCGCGAGGAGAACCGCCGCGCGAACATGCTCGACCCGTACTCCGTTCAGCGCTCCACTGAACTCCACGCTTGGCTAGACGCACCGCTCATCCGACCAAACCCAACCCCCGAACAAGAAAAGGCCCAGCGTACCGCCCTCGAGAGCCGTGATGTCCTAACCCACCTCCTAAAGCTGACAAAGGAGTCCCGCGTCTGCGATCTGAAATCAACTCTCCTCCCATCATCAGCCAGTGGCGAGACTACCACAAGCGTTGCCAGGACTGCATGGCGTCCATCGAAAACCCGCCTCCGCTACCAGGTTTTGCAGCAACGCGAGAACTTCGAGCACTGGGCTGAATGGCGCAATGATATCGTCGACTACGAACGTGAACAGGATCGTCTGGCGGCAGCTAAGCGGGAGCGCGCGTTGCGCCAGCGCGCCCCGAAGCATGCGCACAAGGCTTCCGTCGAGTTTCCTCAGGGCCTGGGACATGGCATGATGGGTGGCGCGTGGCGCATGCTTGGGATGGGTAATGATGAGGGCCGCAAGCCTGCTGCGCCTGGCTCGGGCGGCGTGGAGATTGTAACTACGGACTGATTAATGGTCCGACTTGTGTGTGAATATGCTTCGAGATGAAGAGAGATCTTCCCTTTGAGCTGTACATAATCTTGCTTCTGATTTTTTTTTTCTATGTTCTATTTTTGTCTTATACCCTCTACAAATACTACCAGCAGTGCTGTTGTTGAATCTCCGCTTGTCTGCTTTGTCCTTGTCATATGATAGCACAGTCTCAAGGATCTCACCTTGTGTAGAAGTATAGGTCTAGCTTGACGGCCGCGCCTATTCCACTTAAGCTCTTTGCCTTCTCTTAGCTACATATAATATTGACCGAATTCTCAGTGGTAATGTCACGAGCCAGTCCTGTTCCACGTTTCTCTTCCTTGCTTTGATCACATTCTCAGCCGAGAAGATAGATTGAATCTTTCCTTTGAAAGATAGAATGTTCTTCCTTAGAAGATCGATGTTGTGTTCATTCGTGCGCTGCTTCCCAATCATTTCAACAGTGAGGCGATCTCGCCGTTGTTTCTGTCGTGTAAACTCTGCCCCTTTCCCTGGGAGAAAGGAGCAGATGTAGAGCCACCATGCTTCCGCCGTAGCTTTTTCTCTCACCAGGCGTTCTCTCTCTCTCGCTAGCCTGTCTCTCTCCGCGTAAAATCTACCCACGTCCCTTTCTGCGTTCCACAAAAGGTTTTGCAATCTCTTGCGTTGATTCTCGAATTGTCGAATCTGTTTGTCTAGTTCCTTTTCAATTTTCTTGGGGAGTATCATTGTTTCATATCGCTGGTCGTACTCTCGGCGTTGATCGACATCGGAAAGTTGCCCGTATGCTTCGCCAAGCTAATTATTGTGGCTTTGATGAGTGATAACTCGCACGCCGAGCAGGAAGGGACTCACTTACTAGTTGGAATTCAGCTGTTGCATTGGGCTCCTTGTTTCGATCTGGGTGCTTGTCAAAAGCTCGACTTTTGTAAGCCCACTTGATAGTAGCCCCATCCGCGGACTGGTCAATCCCGACAGCCTGTGAAGTGCGACATGCTTAGTCCAGATCTGTGGGTGTGGATATCGATCGAGAGCTGATGGATGAAAGAAGGTCGGTTCGAGGAAACTCATGAGCGACTAATATTCTAAGAGGGGATCGTTGAGGAATCATATGTAAGACAGCCGACTAATAATATCTGGTATTAATGTTCGCCAGGTGAGCTTTCCTATCTGGGCTGCTGGCGCTCGTAAGGGCGCTTAGGCTTGGGCTCGGACGTAGTGACTTACTATGAATCTACAGAAGGGCGGACAGTGATGCAAAAGGCACTCTTAAAGATATACTGTCTACTATCTTAAGAAGACCAGGCATTTGTGACGAGATATATAATCCATGCTCTCATTACTTCAGTAGATTCAGTTATATAACATGTCAGTCTCCACGACCAAACCAAAGCATAATCATGAGAAAAAAGACACAGCAAAAAGAAGACCAAAAGCCAACGCGGGGGTATTTTGAGTACATAAATAATCAATCATTTGTAGACGGGCATGCCAACAACACCGAACTCAGCAACCCAAGCAAAAACGAAACCGAAAACGCTGAAATATTCCCTCCCTTGACTTAGAAAATCGCGCAGGTAAGTAAAGTAACCCTCTAGGTTATTTTAGAAAGCCACCCCAACAGCTGTACCACTCCACCGCTTTGAGTCCTCTGACGACGGATACTCATACTCCGAAAGGGGATATTGCTGCTGGTGGTCCTCATAGATTGTGGGGTAGCTGTTTCGCGGGGTGCTGATTCTATGACTGAGCGAGATACCAGCCTCGAGATCCTTTTCTGTGGACGGGGAGTAGCCGCGCAGTGAAGGCGTGTTGCTCATTGTGCTGGATATGGAAGAGTTATGGCGTGTTCGGTCAGGGCCAACTGTGGCTGTGATGCTCGTTCCGAGGGTGGACCCGCTCGATGTGCGGGTTCGGTCGAAAGTGAATCCCTTTTCGCCTGGCACGCCCGTTTGTTTGTTGCATGTGCTCAGGTCTTCATTGTTGCGATGGTGATGGGGCTGGAACCAGCCTGTCACGCGGGCGGGGAAGATGTTTTCTGGGGACTCTATCTGCTGGACTTCCTCGAGATCCGATTTGGGAGAAGGAGTTTTAGGTGAGACCGGTGTCGAAGATATTATTGCATCGTGTATCATTTGAGTAGCCGCCTCGATTTCCGCCGGTGATGGATAATAGCCGTACGGGCTGAATGGGCTGACCAGATCGGAATATAGGCTCATATTGTCAGAGAGGGGCGATGGGATATCCACCGGCGGGGGAAGGATCACGACCGGAGTGACGACTGAGAAATGCGGGATCAGCGCGCTGGTGACGCGCACTGGGGCCGGTTGCTCGACAAGCTCTTCTGTATCCCAGGCAGACGGTGTTGGCTTCCGCGGGATGGTGAGTGCAGCTGTTGTTGATTGAGTGCGCCGCGTTCGGTATTCAACAGAAGATAACGCCCGTGGGGGTGCCGCCAGCGTCTGGCGCTGGGGGCGGTCTTCCAGGCTGAAGGCTTCGAACGAGGGCAGATCCGATAGTCGCTTGCCGCCGTGATGGATAGTGAGCTCCAGTGGGCGAAAATGCCTGGGTAAAGACGGCACAGGCGGGGGCTGGAATCCGCCCACATATTGGAAGTCATAAGGCGCACTAATCCTGTGCTGGGCGTTCGATTTCCTTCTGATGTGCATGCTGGCTCGGGTATGAGCCCGAGACGCCAGATTCTTCCCCTCGACCACCCATGCTGACAATGAGTGCCGATTCTGACGCACACTTGGATCCGGGAGGTCATCGTAGACCCGCAGCATCATGGGCGGGACGAGATGGGGTTGACTATGGCATACCTCCATCTCCCGTTTGGTGCCTGGCGAGGTTGGTTAGCCGATGCTGAGGGTTATCTGCTGTGACGACTGACCTCCATAATTCCCCTGCCTTTGGGCATCTCCCTCCGCTGCTGGACACACACATGACAAGCATGACCGTATCCAACCCGGGAGTATAGATCCTGCTTCCTCCAAAGCCAGCGTCATGGCGACCAGCGCATCCGACACTAATCCATCGCCTTCGCAGAAGGCGGAGAAGGGTATGGGTACGAGAGAAGGTGAAGGAGGGGAGGAGAAGAGGAAGAAAAGACGAGTAGGAAGATGAGGAAAAGAAAACTAGAGTCGCATGTATGTCAGACCCCCCACATCTGCACAGGATGGCAATCCTCCGCGACCTGTCACGCTAATCCGAGCCCCGGGTTCGCCGGGCCTGCCTTCTAGTGCGGTGAAACACAACGCTTTGGGCCAAGACTAGACCCAACGGAGCAAGTCAGCCTGGCTTCCTGTGACCCGAGACGACCGTAGATCCCCCCCATCACGCTTGCCACGGTTGGCCTTATTCGTCAGGGGCCAGGCGGGGGTCGTCACTATCTTGCCCATCACGGATCTTGCGTGCTAAGTATAGCGGACTGGCTCATCCTGACAAGGACCGCGGTGGGGAGTTCGGGCGCGTATCATCGTGTCGCGTTTCAGATCGAGCGGACAGCCTTGCAAAGCTGTCGGATGTACTACCCAAAGGGTTCATCGAGCTTACAACTAACTTTCATCGCACTGACAAAATCCAAAATGCCGTCGTATGTGAACAATCGTATATGATACGTACGCTAGCCTACACCCAAAGGCTCTCCCCGCGAATGGTGATTATTTGCCCCAAACATTGTTGTCCTCGTCCAGAACTCCGTGGTACGCCCACCGTGGGGGGGATCGGGCTGGATCCTGCTCCTGGCCCTGAGGATCATGACGGAAGCCGCCACTTCCTTCTGAGGCTCCTTCGGGGGCCGAATCCACGGTGTTCTCTTGAGGCTCCGATCCAGCCTCTTCGTCAATTGGTTTCCCAGACGGCCTTCTGGAGAACGAACGATAAAATTAGAACCGCTTGTTGGAAAGGAACCGCTAGGTCAGACTTACGAAAACCGTCGGGTTTCTGGACCCGACCAGGCGGATCCAAGCTCTCGCTGTGCCTGGGCTCTGTCCTCCTCCTCAGCCTCGCGGTCTTCCACTACAAGATCAACCAGTTGGTCACGACGGGAGCCGCCGGAGCTATGGGAGGTGGAGCTGGGATTGCGCTGCACCGAACGGGGGGCGTCTGGGGCTTGACCGGACTGGTTGGAGCTGGGCCTATGGCCTCGCTGCGAACTGGTGCTGCCCGACGCTCGGCGTTTTCGGTGCGTGCGAGCCTTTTTGACCTCTCCCGATCGATGGGAGTCCTGGTCACTCCGGCCGATAGGCAGACGCTGGTCTCTTGGCACTTCGTTGGCGGTAATTACAGGGTACTAAGCGCCGTCAGCAATCTCGACTTTCCTTTCACACACTCCGGATCAACCTACATTCCAATCTCCGAATTCTAGTGCTCGGGCATTGGTGAACAGTCGCTCATCCTCATCGTCCATCGTAGTCTCCATCATAGTGTAAGAGCCGAAGCGTTCGTTACGGCTCGGTCGTTCGCTTCGACTGCTGTGCCTGGATTCGCTACCAGCCAAAAGGGGGGTACGGCTGTTGGCTTCCCCAGGTTTGCTGACCTCGCCAGGCTTCGGGATCCAGTATTTTGCCTTGCCTCCCCGCTCATACCGCATGCCGTCCATGACTCGCTTCACGCGCGAGTCCGACTCTTCATGCGCGATGACATTGTCGCCCGAGTCGAAGAGTCGGTATTCGTAGTTCTCGCCCCGAAGCGTGATCTTTGTATCTTCCACCAAGTCGAGAACTCCAAATGAATCCCGCAGCGCGTACTTCACCGGCATCCGCGCAGCGGAGATGGTGGGGTCCGCGAAGTCATGCCATGAGAACGCATACCAGTGAGCGATGGCAAAGAAGGGCATTTCACAACAGAGGAGACAGTCCTGAACTGCAGCAGCCAGGTTGTCCGGCGTGTACCCAGCAGGGCTGTTGGAAAAGGCTCCCAGCCACTGCAAAATGGACAAGCCGAATCCCTGCCAGTATGAAGCGAAAATGATGAGTTTGATACAAAGGAATTTGGGAACGGGGCGGAAAGGCTTCAAATCGTCGTGCAGGCACACCCAAAACATGGCCAGAGAGTACAAACTGATGGTGACACTGATGTTGTACACAATACCGGTCCAGAGATATCCGGATGAGATACCCAAATAGCCCTCCTGGTAGGTATCCGTCGCCTTCATCACGATCGAGATCAGAGCCAGGATGGGCTTCAGCCAGGCATATTGTAAAATCCCCCGCTTGATGGCCAGGAAGGTGTGCGGGTCGGAGATGTCGATCTTGGGGAGACATTCGTTGAGCGGCCAGGCATGCGAAACGGGTGGACGGCCATGAGTCATGATAATCAAAGCTCGTTCGCCTTCGAGAAAGTTGATTAGGAGCTGAAAGAATGTGTAGATCGTGAACGCCTGCCGAGAACGCCTGTCAGTATAGTCTTCCTCCCACGCACAACCGTGGAGCGCTCCCATACCTCATAGATATCACGAATTGGATCTAGAAATTGAGCCGCCTTGAGCGACATGATGCTCGTCCACGATGACGCAGCAAAGATGGGAACCCTGGCGGGAGAATTAGTACCATTCCCGATATTCGACCCCTGACCCTGCTCTAGCGAGCCAATACTAACATTAAGAGGATGCGAATGACATATCGTTGGAGTAGAGGCTTGCGGTAGTTTTTACTAAGAATGCTGGGTTAGCTGTCGGGACGGAGGGTATTGGCGCGACGGAAGCTCGTACGTCTGAAGCCATATGGACCTGCATAAGACGCTCACAGTCAGCTCTGGAGGGGACAAGGGATGGTCGCAGTAGCAGGGAAGCTCACACGAAGGACAAAATCGAGGCTACTAGAGCCGAAACACCAGAAACAATGATAATGGCTCGAGCCAGGCTGGAGCCCGTTCCACCCCCGTGGCCAGCCATGATGCAAAGAGTCGATAGAGTCTCAGGAGTGCGATCTCCGTGGATTTGAGACACTAGATTAGTCCGTGGGAGTTGAGCGCGCAATCATGGTGGTCAGCGAGTCCGGTGTCGTGGTGTCGGCATGGTTGGCGGTCGCCTGGAATGTGGAGTGTGTTCGATGATGTCTTTCTTGGGGTTGACCCGTGACACCGCTTTCCTTGCTTCTCCAAAATCACTCAAACACACTCGACTGACTACCTAGTCACTGTGAGCTCTGGCTCGTCGCTCAGTCTTGCTAACAATGCTCACGTCGGTCCCCGGCTTCCTGGAGACATGGCCAGCACCAGCTTGACCGCGACCTACCTGACGCCGAACCCGAGCTTCAATTGGTACTGCCCGACTCCCGTCCCAGTTCGCGCGCTGCGGGCTAATATTTGCTGAAAATAGGTTCTTCCTGCTGGAACTGATTGTCTCCTGCATTCTGTAAGTTTCCTTACCAGCCAACATTCCACTCGTGCTAATAGTGATCTACCCACGCGCCTAGTGCCTTGTTCTTCCTCCTGTACTTCAACCGCCTTTTCGCGACTCTCCTGTCGTATGCGATCCGAGCATACACCTGGCACTACTACCGCGCGTATGTCGACATCAAGGCGCTCCAGGTATCTTTACTTGGTGGCAGGATCTTCTTCACGGGCATCCGGTACCATGGCGTAAATGAGACGATCTTTATCCATGGGGGGTTCATAACATGGAGGTATTGGATGCGCACGGTAGAACGAACGGACTTGTCCGGTATTAGACGCAAGACAGACGCCCCTGAGCCATCAGAGAACACAAGGCCTCATCCTGCGCATGGCGAGGGAGGCGCTGGCGGCCAGGATGACAGCCTCGGGGAGGAAGGCGGCGTGGAGAAGACAGCTGAGCTGCCATGTCGGATATCCATCACGATGTATGGGCTCGAATGGTTTATCTATAATCGGACACCGGCCTACGACAGCATTCTGACGGGCTTCGGATATGTTGCGGATTTGGACGGTGATGCTGCCAGCGTACGAGACCCAATATCTCCAGGTTTCGCTCCGATTGTGCCACACGGGCGGACGAACAGCACCTTCAAGACAACCCATGGGAGCCAATCACAAAGCAGCGTGGATGAAAGAGAAGCCTTTGCCGGCCAGGATCCTGCGGCCCGTCGCAATACGGAGCTCTCAGAATCTGTGTCGAATCTGCTTCAGCTCCTACCGATCAAACTGGACTGCACTAAGGGCGCTATTGTGATTGGGAACGAAAACACCCGCTCCGTATTGACGACCGCCTTCGATAGCGCAACAGGTACCATCGATGCTTGCAATGCTGGCCCTCTCGACCTCTACCGGCAATTGTTCTCGTTCAAATTCAACCATCTAGTGGTCCAGATGCGCCCAAATCCTGATTTCAAACAGAATCAGCTGGTGACTGCGAAGGCATTAAGCACGGTGCGAGAAGAAGAAGATGAAGCCACCAACAAACGTTCAACATTTTTCAATTATCCGTTCCAAAGGCGCAAGCTATGGCATGGCATTCGTGACCTGGTACCATACTTCCAAACGTCTGTGGAGTCATTTAATGCTAGCCCTCGCCACGGTGACAGAATGCCAAGAACCCAGGCGGAATTTCCTGAAGTGCGTTGGATGGGCCTGTCTCGATATCTGGATGAGGGTGGCGAGGATGAACATGAAAAATGGAACTCGATCGAGTACGGCAGGTTCTCCACCATTATCGACAGTCCTAGCTTGAGCGTGACCTACTTTTGGGACATTCCGGGACGGATTGGACCCGAGCAACCGGCATCAATTCATTGCGGGTTGCTAAGAGACAACGATATTAATCGTGCCCTTCCTCCAGAATGGGGTGTTGATGTCAAGGTGGACGGTGGGTCCATCAACTACGGACCCTGGGCCGACAGGGAACGAGTTGGCTTGCAAAATGTCTTTGTCCCCAATTTCTACCGCAGCGCCGAGCCAGCGGAACAGTTGGCCCCCGGAGTTCTACGACAAAGCACAACTTTTAAACTGCGAATTGAGATCAGCGAAGAACTGACACTGCGAATCCCGACCAGAGAGCAATCCAAGGACTGGCAATGGAAAGAGCGCGCAGATGCTATCAGAGGTATTTCAAAGGCCAAACATCAAACCAAAAGAAGAAAAGCACGTCACAAAGAAGCCGAAAAAGGCCATATCGCCTCCGACATCCGCCCCTTTGGGTGGCTTTCTATTCGCGTAGGACCTGATTCTACCATCAATTACACCATGGACATGGTAGCATCAAGCCTTGGGTTTCGCAATGAGCTCGCCCTTGATCTACGAGAGTCAAAAATGTCTTCCAGCGTGAACCATGGCTTGTTATGGCAATCCCCTCGGCAATTGATCAATTGCGATCTCTCCAACCCTCTCTGCTGGAACAGTCTCCGGACCTGGAACTTTACTGTCGACAGTCAGCAGATGGAACTGTTTCTGTTGCGCGACCACATCTTTCTTCTAACGGATCTCGTGACCGATTGGGCTTCCGGACCACCATCGGACTACTATACATTTGTGCCCTTCATTTACAATCTTGACCTTACCTTCTCAAACTTCCAGCTTTTCATCAACGTGAATGATCGCAATATCATCAGCAACCCCACTGATTTGGACGACAACCGATTTATCGTGATCAAAGGCAAGCAGCTGACGTCGAGCGTGATGATCCCATTGGACAAATACAAACCGGATCAGAATACAGTGGAGTTCAAGGTCGATCTCGAGAACGGTGGCGTGGATTTCCTGACACCCTTGTGGGATACCCTGCATACATTTCTGCCTCAAAAGTCCATGGCAACACTCGACAATCTATTCATCGATGGGTCTTACAATTACTTTCAGTCCACATCACCAGACCTGACAGATACATTGGTGCTCAATGTTGATGGATCGTCTCCCCGACTTTACCTGTATGGATTCCTGATAAAGAGCTTCATGGCCATCAAAGAGAATTACTTTGGCGATGAAATGCACTTCAGAACCCTTGAAGAGTATCAAGAGTTGGTTTACGCCGATGAGCCGCCAGAAAATCCCACAGGCATCAATCCAAACCGCAAATCGAATGATATGGACGTCTTGGTTCATGTCACAGTTCGTGATCCTTGTGCCCTGCTCCCCGAGACCATCTACGACCACCTGAAATGTCTGAGACTACGCGCTGCTTCCCTTGAGGCAGACTTGCGATTCACGAACTATTATATGGACCTCCAATTGTCCATCAGCCCACTCAAAGTGGACTTGCAGTCGACCCAGCCTGAAGGCTCCACGACCATATCTGGCACCCAATTATTCATTGACGGCACTTCAGTCTATGGACATCGCCTGTTCGGATTACCCCCTGCGGAGCCGATCTACGTGTGCAACTGGGACTTCGACGTGGGAAGGATCATTGGTGAATGCTCCACGGAATTCCTGGCATGTCTGAGTGCCTCTTTGAAGAGTTTTGATTTTTCGTTTGACAACTGGGAGAACGGCCTCCCTCCAATCATCCCACCTGCTCTCCACGATGTGACTTTTCTCAGAGCCAAGATCCACTCGCTTCATATCTCTGTGCTGCTTGACGAAGTTTCCATCATATTAAATGCTCGGCCTTTGAACATCAAGTTCAATGATTGGATTAATTCCAAGTTCTCCAAACGGTTGAGCGTTTCTGCCCCGGATATTTCAATTGCGGCAGTTAACCGCCAGTCCGTGGCCCAGGCCAACAATCGATCATCCGACCGAAAAGTCTCTCCTTTGGGACTTCTCCAACTGTCAGTGGCTTTCAAGATGGCTCAACGGAAGTGGGATATTGGCGAGAGCCGAAGACTGCAACAAGAGCACATTCAAGTTCATGACCAACGGACCCATAGGGCACAGTGGCTTCTTTTTGACTGGGAGGAATTGGAAACAACTTCGCCACTTCCACAAAGCGACGATATCAATCCGCCAACAATGCACATCCCATCAATGCCAGAACCCATCCATGGACGTGTTGGTCTTCCGAACACACCATACCGAGGAATTCAGCTCAATGGCAGCTCTAAGAGCTTCCTGGTGCATTCTGAGGCGTCTAGCCTCAAGAGTGTCAAGATTAAGCGAACTGGTACTGCCGACCATGCTACTATCAAGCTGACGCCAGATTCTGAACCCAGACAAAGGCCAGTAACCCCTCATCGGGGCACCAGCATGTCTACGCTGCAGGTCTACCGACTTCATGACAACGAATCTGGCTCTAGAGTAGGGTCTTACTCATCTGCTGCGATCAGGGATGCCAATCCTTGGATTATGCCACAATTCTCCTACTACAAGCTTGCCTTGGACACATCCGAACTTCCACTGCCATACAAACCCGACGAGGATCCTCCAACCGATAATGAGGCCAGAAACAACACAGAGTCGATGTTCTTGACTTTCGATGATGACCAGACGACGCACACCAATCTTGCATTAGAGCTTCCGCTGGGCATCAGAGGGTATTGTACACCCCGATTCCTTTTTAGCTTGGCTTCCTTGCTGGATGAACTAGAGCCAAAACACCCAGTTCAAATTATCGACTCCTTACAGAAAGACGTGATCTCGGATATTGTTGGGTATGACAAGGCCATGAGCCACCCGAAGAAGTTGACAGCCATTGCCCTTCGTATCCCTTCCATACAACTGAGACTTGTTGACCTTTCGGAGTCCCCCAACAACAAGCGCATCGAGTTCTCGGATGAGTATAGCATTGAAGTCCGGCATCTTCGAGCTGAAATTCGTCGAAAGGTTCAGCGACAAAAACATGATTTGCTCGAAGGTCTCCAACAAGGTGTCACAGTCCATGCGGAGGCTGAGCACCTCTCAGTTTTGGTGGAAGGTAGTCGAGCAGATGCCTTCCAAGAGAAAGCTGTGTTCAATTGTCATTTGGGTGATATGAATTTTTGGCTGGTCGCAAACCCCAACATTCGGTCTCACCTTCACATGCGAACCTTCAATACAGTCACGTCTGCCAAGTCCGTGGAACGCCTGGCTTTTCTCGTCCGCCGAGCCACCACGATGTTTGACTCTGTGGCATCTTCCTTCCAGCATATTTCGTCTTTGAGCAAGACACGTCTGCAGTTTCTGATCTACTTTGCTACGCAGTCGGCTGCTGGTATATCAGATCCAATTTTCCTGACTCGTATCTCATACGTCCTCAGAGTTGCTTCGAGTCATTTGCGACAACATGACTCGTGGAAGATCCTCTCTCGCATTCGCAACATTTACAAGAACTTGCCCGTGCACCACAAGCGAGAGTTGGATCGAGCTTGCTCAGGCGATCATCTGCCTTTGCCAGCTGATGCGAAGACGACGGTGCTATCTGGCTTCGACAAGTGGCGCGCCTGGGATCTCGCTCATGTTGAGAAGAGCTATGTCATGCGCAAAGTCTGGCCCACTATGGAACCTCTCCGGAAAGTTGAAGAGCCGTCCATATTCTTCTCATTATCCATCAAGACCTTCCGGTTTTCACTGGATCCCGGGCCTCGAGAGAGCGATCTTATTCTCGAAAGCTTGTCGACCGTCACGACTTTTGACCCCAACAAATTCACCCGAGATGGTGACAAAGAACAGCGGAGAAAGCTTATTATCGTGCAATCCTATTGTGCCTCTGCTGCCGTGCGACTGCGATGGGAAGTCTTGGATCTAGTGGAAGGTGTCATGAAGGTCATGTCAACAGTCACGCTGGAGTCTGCGCTCGCCCAAAATCCCAGCCACAGTGGTGATGAAACAACACCCGTTGAATTACAGGTTATCTCCGGCACCGATTTTGGGTCTGTTAGTCTTGACGGTATCAACGTTAAAATGGTCTTGGTGGGAAAGTCCCTTCGAGGGTCTTTGGTGCATAGATCGTTCAACGCTGAGAAGACGAAGACAGAAGAGCTAGCCTTGCTGTTAAGCGCCGGAACATGCACATCTGAACTCCTCAGTCAGAATCGCATCTTGATGGTTTCAAAGATTGCTGGTCCATATACCTACTTCTCACTCATATCGGAAGAGGATGAGATTGAGCGCAAGCGCGCATTCCAGGCGGCTTGCTCATGCAGAATGCTTCGATATGACATGAAGGAAGACCCTGTCAGCCTGGCACACACGGGAGACCGAATCATTGAAGATGAAGTGAGATACATTCGACAGCTTGTGAAGAACGTCCATAGGCCCAAGCCGCAAACCGATATGCCCCAGGTTCTGCTAAAGCCAATCCGCGATACCTTCCATGTTGCAATGTTCCTGGATGACTATCGGTTGAGCTTCACTTTTCTGCCGTCTTTGACCTACCTCGTGTCTGGTGAAGGTGTCCGAATGTCCATTCTGCCCACGGAAGGGTCCAATATCGAGGTTGATTTCGACATCAAGAAGAACTCTCACATGTTCGTGTCTGGTGACAGTGACAAATACATTAATACTTTGTCGGTTCTAGAGATACCTCCTGTCAACGGCCGAATCCTGCCCAATTTCTCTTCTGGACACAAAGAAGTCGAAGTTGAAATGACTATCGAGCTCATTCGCCTGGAAACAAGCGCCGTCCGAAGTCTTCTAAGTGTCCTGACCGGATCCGATGTTTCCCACATGATATCGGATCTCAAAAAGAATGTCGACGTTCTTCAGGCACATCTGGACGATGTGTTGTCCTTGCAAAAGTCACCACCGGAGCTCCAAACATCTGCCGATGGCACCGAAATTCTCTACAAAGCCCGTCTTACAATGGCCGGAGTAGAGATTCACGCCACGGCACCGGGTCTGAAAGGAAGAGAGTACTCGGCAGAGATGCTTTTCCGCCTTGGAATGATGCGGATGCGTCTCCAGAATGGCTTGGATCGGGGCTACTACATGGATTTCCCCGAGTTCAACATCGACGCTTCTCAAATCAGCCTCGAGCTGCGGAAACAGGAGAAGCGAAGAACACAAGCGTATGGCGGCTTCTCCGCTGGTGTCAAACTACTGGGAACATCTACCGTCCGTGAAAATGGCGAGGTGATACGGTCCTATCAATTAAGCAGCGACAATTTCGATGTCGAGCTTTTCGCCGAAACAGCTGCGCTTGTGGTGGATATTGCTATCTACACTCAAGAGCGTATCAAGACGCTTGACCTGTCTCATGAAGTTGAACGTCTCAAACGACTTCGGCACCGCGGCCCTCCCGAGGCGAAAGAAAAGCCTGTAGAGGCACCTGAAATTCATGTCAATGATGATGACTCGGCTCCGCAGCCCTTCCTCAATGCCATGTTCTCCCTCCAATTCCTCAATATCCAAGTTGCGTGGAACATGACAACTTCATCCCCTGCACCTGGTCGCCGGCCAGAAGATCTCATCTTTTCAATCCAACGAGTTGAACTGTCCAATAAGAAAAAGAACTCCGCCAAACTTCGGATCGAGAACATGCAAGTTCAAATGGTACCATTTGGTGCAGACAGGAGGAAGCGCTCGCTCAACTCGGCCTTAATGCCTGAAGTGATATTCAATGTGGCCTACTATTCCCATGGAAAGGAACTGTGGCTCGCATTTCAGGCTGCGGGCAAAGCGTTGGACATTCGTGCGACATCTGAATTTATCATTCCGGGCAACATGATCCGAGAATCGATTGCATCTGCTATCAAGGCCTTGCGGGAAGGCAGAGAGACCTCTGCCGCAAATCCCTCTGTTGACACCAACAACGAAAAAGAGCGTAATCTTTTCGGCAATATGCGCCTTCGATCCGTTTTGGTTGACGTTGACTTCGCCGGTGCCACTGTCTCTCTTCAGGGCAAGAACGGAGACTACGAACAAACACTGTTGACAACGGCTTTGAAGGGTAGCCGACTCTCTGAAGCAAGATATGGCCAATATGTCCGGGGCGACGCTGCTACCACTGCCACCCTCCGGTCTCCTGGTGTGGCGTTGAAGGTTCAGTTTGAGGACAACGGGACCGATGGCCCGGCACTCAACGCCGAGTTAAAGATTGAGCCGTCCACAAATGTCTTGTACCCGACTCTTGTCCCTCTGGTCAGACAAATAACCGCCACGGTCAAGGAGGTCATGGGAGGCGAACACGACCAGCCCGGGCGGTCATCCGCCACGACCAAGTCACAGCCACAGAAACTGATGGAAGAGACACCTTTCAGCGCTCGAGATCCGAACACAATTCTTGGTCGCTGCAGGCTGAATATGGGAGTGCTCTTCTGCAAGCAGGAGTTCAGTTTGAGCTGTCAGCCTATTGCAAGGGTGGCGGCCACAACCAAGTTTGACAGCGTTTATGTGACCGTCAACACGATGCAGTCCAAGGAGCAAGGACGGTTTGTCGCCCTGTCTCTGGCATTCAACGGCCTGGAAACGTCAGTGAAGCACGTGTATTCCAACGAGCCCACCGCAAGCTTTGAAGTCCAGTCCATGGTTTTGTCCCTCATGAACAGCAAGCACCTCGGCCGTACAAGCGGGATGTCTGCCATCCTGCGAGTCAGCCCGATGAAAGTTTCTCTCAATGCCAAACAGGTACAGGATTCTCTACTGTTCCGGGAGATCTGGTTTCCATCCGACGATAAACCTAGTGCCAGCTCGCCGCCCCCGCCAACGCCGTCCGAGACTCAGACCTACATTGTACAACGATACCAGCAGGTCGCCGCCGCGTCGGTATTTCCCTGGAATACGACCATCGCTATTGAGAAGCTGGAGATCCAGCTTGACCTGGGCTCAACATTGGGCAGGGCGCAGTTTGCGATCAACAACCTGTGGGTGTCGTCCAACAAGACTTCAGATAACGAGCAGTCGATGTGCATCAACTTTGATAAGATCGCTATTGAAAGCAAGGGCCGCATGAGTGGCAGTGTCGAGCTGCGTACCCTCAAGGTCCATACATCTATCGAGTGGCCAGAGGATAGTCGCGATGCTGGGCATACCCCGCTGATCCAGGCCTCAATTGCCTTCCATCATCTCCAGACCAAGGTGTCGTTTGACTACCAGCCTTTCCTGGTTGCGCACATTGCCATGTTTGACTTCCTGATGTACAACGTGCGGGGCGCCTCCGGCGAGCAGAATCAGCGACTCTTCAGCATCCTGGAAGGAGACGAGGTCCAGGCCTTCTGCACGTCTCTGACGGCCTCACAGGCTCTTGCATTCTACCAAGCATGGCAGCGTCTGGTCCAAGACAAGCAAGCGGCGTACCAGGCGTCGCTGCGTGAAATGGAACGATATCTTCGGCGCAAATCTTCCTCTGGCGTTAGCCACATCGACATCCCCGCCAAGGCTCTGGCCAAGAAGGACAAAGACGACGCATTCACTGCGCCTCTTTCACTGCATACCGGGGTCGTTGTCAACATCCGTTACGTCAACATCGGAGCGTTCCCCAGCTCGTTTATTGACAATCAGATCTTCAAACTGGAGGCCCATGACGCCCAGGCTCGGTTTGCCGTCTCCCTCCGATCCGGCAAGCTCCACAGTGCCCTGGGCCTGACGCTGGGCCAGCTCCGCGTCGCTCTCTCCGCCATCAGCCGCCCCAGCTCCGCGCAACTCGAAGACTTGTCCGTGGACGAGATCGCCCAGCGCGCCGCCGGGTCCCGGGGCGGCACGATCCTCAAGGTCCCCCGGCTGGTGGCCAGCATGGAGACGTGGCAGGTGCCTGGCACGCAACAGATCGAGTACATCTTCCGCAGCACGTTCGAGGGCAAGGTGGATGTGGGCTGGAACTACTCGCGCATCAGCTTCATCCGGGATATGTGGGAGACGCACACGCGGGCCCTAGCCACGCGCCTCGGCAAGCCGCTGCCTCCGTCGGCCGTGCAGATTACTGGTGGTCCCGGGCGCAGTGCCGAGGGTGGCGATGCCGGTCCCGAGCAACAGGAGAAGATCACGGCGGTGGTCCATGTGCCGCAGTCCAAGTACAGCTACACGGCGCTTGAGCCGCCGGTTATTGAGACGCCGCAGCTCCGGGATATGGGCGAGGCTACACCGCCGCTGGAGTGGATTGGGCTGCATCGAGATAAGCTGCCCAATGTCACGCATCAGATCATTATTGTGCCGTTGCTGGAGATTGCGAAGGAGGTGGAGGATGCGTATGGGCGGATCCTGGGGGCGTGAATTCCTGCATGGGACGGCGTTTATCGGTTCTTCTTGTACATTTTGCATATCCTAGTTATCATCCGTAGCTGGAATTATTATTGTTACTGTCTACCTCTACTTCTTCTCCCTCCTTTCATCCCGTCTCCGCCTGAAGCACCAATACATTAGTCAGCTCCTGCTCGAAGCGGTCAGCAGCGTGTATTGACGCGAGCCTGCTGATTGGCGGACAGCTACTACCCACCCTCCGCCGCCGCGAGAATCGTGGTGGTGGACAGGCTCATCCAGCGATGGGGGATGACTCGGAATGCGGTGAATCAGCGTCCCGAGAGTGTCCTGGGAGGTGGAACGGAGGAATATCGCCCTCCTGGGCGGAAAGAGGGAGCCGACGAAGGGCTGAGTCGGGAGAACCACGGATGACGGCATGTCGTGAGTCAAGGAAGGAACATGACATGCTTTGAAATCAACTCATCACTAGTGAGTTTAGTAAAGAGACATGGGAAGGTGCAAAATCATCGACTAGTAGTACTGTAGTGTTGCCATGGCATAGCTCACTCGCCCGCCGTACAGCCGGGAGTGAAACGCACAAAACGGAGGGGCAGAAAGCCCCCACTTTCGCTTTTCCTTTTTTTTTCTCCCACTTTTCCTCCCCCTCCTTCTTCCCTTCCTCTTTCCTTCTTCACCCTCTTCACTCCGTCTTCTGGAGCAGTTGCACATAGTCTCTGGATTTTGTGATCGAGTCTCTGCTCGGTCCTGGTCGTCTGTGTGCTTTCTTGCTTCTACCTTTATCCCATCAACTCCTACCCCCGCCTCTAGGGCTTTACTGAGGAAACAACCGCCAACATGGTTAAGTAAGTCGGATCATCGATGAAGAAAAATCATTGACACCCTGGCTAACAAGAGTCTTTCTCTAGCTTCACCATCGAGGAGGTCCGTAATCTCTACTGATCCGCTGCCCCGATCGAGGGGCAGCCGGGCTTGCGTTTCATCTGACACTCAGCTAACCCTCATTAGATCCGTGCCCTGATGGACAAGCCGGCCAACATCCGGAACATGTCCGTCATTGCTCACGGTATGCTCCATCACCTCTGCATCCTGACGAGAATGATACTGACAAGGTTGATGCAGTCGATCACGGAAAGTCCACCCTGTCCGACTCCCTGGTCCAGCGTGCCGGTATCATTTCGGCCGCCAAGGCCGGTGAGTCTCGGTTCATGGACACCCGTCCCGATGAGCAGGACCGTTGCATTACCATCAAGTCCACCGCCATCTCCCTGTACGCCAAGTTCCCCGACCCGGAGGACCTGAAGGAGATCCCCCAGAAGGTCGACGGCCACGAGTTCCTGATCAACCTGATCGACTCGCCCGGTCACGTTGACTTCTCGTCCGAGGTCACGGCCGCTCTCCGTGTCACTGACGGTGCCCTGGTCGTCGTCGACTGCGTGTCCGGTGTCTGTGTCCAGACCGAGACTGTGCTGCGTCAGGCCCTGACCGAGCGTATCAAGCCGGTCCTGATTATCAACAAGGTCGACCGTGCTCTGCTCGAGCTGCAGGTGTCCAAGGAGGATCTGTACCAGTCTTTCTCCCGTACCATCGAGTCCGTCAATGTCATCATCGCCACCTACTTCGACAAGTCCCTCGGTGATGTCCAGGTCTACCCCGACCGCGGCACCATCGCCTTCGGTTCCGGTCTGCACGGCTGGGCGTTCACCGTCCGCCAGTTCGCTGTCAAGTACGCCAAGAAGTTCGGTGTCGACCGCAAGAAGATGCTGGAGCGTCTGTGGGGTGACAACTACTTCAACCCCAAGACCAAGAAGTGGACCAAGAACGGCGAGCACGAGGGCAAGCCGCTGGAGCGTGCCTTCAACCAGTTCATCCTGGACCCCATCTTCAAGATCTTCGCCGCTGTCAACCACAACAAGCGTGACGAGATCATGGCCCTCCTGGAGAAGCTCGAGGTCAAGCTGGCCTCCGAGGAGAAGGACCTCGAGGGCAAGCAGCTCCTCAAGGTTGTCATGCGCAAGTTCCTGCCTGCCGCCGACGCTCTGCTGGAGATGATCTGTATCCACCTGCCCTCGCCCGTCACGGCCCAGAAGTACCGTGCCGAGACTCTGTACGAGGGTCCCACCGACGATGCCGCCTGCATTGGTATCCGCGACTGTGACCCCAAGGCTCCTCTGATGCTGTACGTGTCCAAGATGGTGCCGACCTCCGATAAGGGCCGTTTCTACGCCTTCGGTCGTGTCTACGCCGGTACCGTCAAGTCCGGTCTCAAGGTCCGCATCCAGGGTCCCAACTACACCCCTGGCAAGAAGGAGGACCTGTTCATCAAGGCCATCCAGCGTACCATTCTGATGATGGGTCGCTTCATCGAGCCCATTGAGGACGTTCCCGCCGGTAACATCGTCGGTCTGGTCGGTATCGATCAGTTCCTGCTCAAGTCGGGTACCCTGACCACCGACGAGACCGCCCACAACCTCAAGGTCATGAAGTTCTCCGTCTCGCCCGTCGTGCAGCGTTCCGTCGAGGTCAAGAACGCCGCTGACCTGCCCAAGCTGGTCGAGGGTCTCAAGCGTCTGTCCAAGTCCGACCCCTGCGTCCTCACCCTCATCAACGAGTCTGGTGAGCACGTCGTTGCCGGTGCCGGCGAGCTGCACCTGGAGATCTGCCTGAAGGATCTGGAGGAGGACCACGCCGGTGTGCCCCTGCGCATCTCGGACCCCGTTGTGTCCTACCGTGAGACTGTTTCCGGCGTGTCGAGCATGACTGCCCTGTCCAAGTCGCCCAACAAGCACAACCGTCTGTACATGACTGCTCAGCCCATCGACGAGGAGGTCTCCCTCGCCATCGAGGCTGGCAAGATTAGCCCCCGTGACGACTTCAAGGCTCGTGCCCGTGTCCTGGCTGACGACTACGGTTGGGATGTCACCGATGCCCGTAAGATTTGGTGCTTCGGTCCCGACACCACCGGTGCCAACCTGCTGGTCGACCAGACCAAGGCCGTGCAGTACCTGAACGAAATCAAGGACTCCGTTGTCTCCGGTTTCCAGTGGGCCACCCGCGAGGGTCCCGTTGCCGAGGAGCCCATGCGCTCAGTCCGCTTCAACATCCTGGATGTTACCCTGCACGCCGATGCCATTCACCGTGGTGGTGGTCAGCTCATCCCCACTGCCCGTCGTGTCCTGTACGCCGCTGCCATGCTGGCTGACCCCGGTGTTCTCGAGCCCATCTTCAACGTCGAGATCCAGGTGCCCGAGCAGGCCATGGGTGGTATCTACGGTGTCCTTACCCGCCGTCGTGGTCACGTCTACTCCGAGGAGCAGCGTCCCGGTACTCCTCTGTTCAACGTCAAGGCCTACCTGCCCGTCAACGAGTCGTTCGGTTTCCCCGCCGATCTGCGCTCCGCCACCGGTGGCCAGGCCTTCCCCCAGTCCGTCTTCGACCACTGGGCCATCCTCCCTGGTGGCTCCCCTCTCGACCCGACCAGCAAGCCCGGTCAGGTTGTCGCCGAGATGCGGAAGCGCAAGGGTCTCAAGGAGCAGATCCCCGGCTACGAGAACGTAAGTTTTGATCCCCCTCGTGTTTTGTACATCCATCCCGCTAACTTTGGATCTAGTACTACGACAAGCTGTAAAAATGCTCACGGCTGCCCGGAATGGCGCTTCTGCCAGTCATACGTGGAATCTTTTTTTATGAGATTGATGAATGCAATACAACTTTCACGTTCAACCAAAATTCCACCCCTCTCAACAAAATACGTCGGGCCAACCATTGCTCTCCTATTGGGATAGCAATGGCTTCGGTAGCGGATGGCTATCCATCTGCTCCGACTCGACTCCATGACTTTTAACTTGGCTTTTGTCTTCATAATTTGTTTCGTGAGGGTTTGTTTTTTTCTTTTCTTTTTCTTTTGTCTCTTCGCTCCTGTCTAGTTATACCAGTTTGAGCATGAAAATAAACATGGTATAGCTAGGCAATCGCGCTTTTTCTTCTCGTAGTCACGTGTAGATTTAAGATAGTAGAGGAGATTGGCGCTGTTGTAACTCTACGGAGCTCAGCTGAAAGGTGTGCGCGGTCACGTGACCTATCGCGTGCCTCGCGTTCGCAATAGACGGATCCTGCACTTTTTGGTCTCCTGTTCCTCCTCCTGTCACCCGCCATGGCTGCATTTGCCGACACCGATCAATGATTGATTCTACCTCCTGATTGATAATTTACTGGGTTTATTTGTCCCTTGCAGCGGACCTCACAACTTCTCCGCAACTGGTGCTGGGCGCCGAATCCCTGCAGTCAGCCGCATCCTTTCCTCACTTCTTTCTTTGAAAGCCGAGTCACCAAATCCCAATCCACGCGGCCACGATGCAATTCACCGACGAACAAGCCGAGGGCGTGAAGAACTGGGTGGTGAAGAAATTAGAGGACATGTGGGTTTCCAATTAGCATCTGGATGATGATTCATTCGCTGACAAGATGGTCGCGCCGTCGTTGTAGCTCTGATGCGGACTCCGATGTACTTGCGGATTATGTCCTAGCGCTCATCAGATCCGATGCGCCGGATGAAGAGATCAGAAAGGTTTCAGTTGAGAACTTGGAGGACTTCCTGCGCGAGCGTTCGTTTACTGCCTCGGGCCACTTTTTTCTTACCAGATTACTGATTTTCCCCTCAGACACAACTTCGTTCGTTGATGAGCTCTTCGCCACATTCGATCCCAAAAAATCCGCTGCGCCGCCAGCGGCCCTTCCTCAGAGCCAGGCTCAATTCCCGAGCGATCTCCCGCACTCTTTCCCCCCCCTCTCAGCCGCAGCACCCGATCAATGCGCCAACCGGCCCGAGGGGGTCTACCTACGGACCAGGTGGCGGACAAGATGGAGCGAATTTTCCTAACCGGAAACGTACGTATAATGAGGGATTCCAGGGAGACCAAGAACTTCAAGAGGGCATGCTCCAGAACCGCGCTTTCAAAACCCCACGGCGTGGAGGAAGAGGTGGGGGCCGCGGAGACTGGATGGGCCGGGATGGCCGACAGGGACAGCAATTTGCGCAGCCACCGCCCGGCGGATTCCCTATGATGCCTGGTTTCCCGCCGTTTGATCAGAACGATCCCATGGCGGCGATGATGGCTATGCAGAGTATGGGATTCCCGCAAATGCCGGGAATGCCGCCTATGCCTGGCATGCCTGGTGGACCGCAGCCCGGCGAGCAGATCAATCAACGCTGCCCGTTCTATGATACCCAGGGTATTTGTTACTTGGGTGCCGCATGTCCGTATCAGCATGGAGATGGTGGAAACGAGGAAGGTATGTGTGAAATAATCTACGAGCCTCCTGACTGGCTGCTGACCAGATTTACAGAATATGACCCAAAGAACTTCGGCCGTATGGCCGACTCCAAGGGTCCGGGACGTGGTGGCGAACGTGGACGTGGCCGTGGCCGTGGAGGGCCGAGTGGGCGTGGACGAGGCGGCCGGTCTGATTTCTCGTCGGCTGGACCGAACGAGGACCGAACAATCAAAACGATTGTGGTTGAGCAGATCCCTGATGATAAGTTCTCTGAGGAGGCCGTGCGGGAGTTTTTCTCTCAGTTTGGCAACATCACCGAGGTCTCGTTGCAGCCTTACAAAAAGCTGGCTTTGGTCCACTATGACACGTATCCCGAGGCCAAGGCGGCTTGGTCCAGCCCTAAGGTCATTTTTGACAACCGCTTCGTCAAGGTCTACTGGCACAAGCCTAGCCGGAAGGACGAAAAGCACGGAGAAGCCGGGCCAGACGCCCCGGCGTTCAACCAGGAAGAATTCGAGAAGCAGCAAGAAGAAGCCCAAAAGGCACACGAAGAAAGGACAAAGAAACGCCAAGAGACCGAAGAAGCCAAGCAGGCTCTAGAGCGGCAGCGCGATGAGCTCTTGAAAAAGCAACAGGAAGAAAAAGCCCGCCTGCTGGAACGACTCGGCGGAGCTGCAGAGCCGAGCAATGGCACTGGTGCCGCGGAGGGTTCGCCTGTCGAAACAGCCGCCGATGAGAATGCTAGTGATCAGACCAAGCAATTGCGTGCACAGCTGGCGGCTCTTGAGGCCGAGGCAAAGAGCCTTGGATTGGATCCCTCAAATGCTGACGCCGCTGGCGGTCGGGGTGGCTACCGCGGTAGGGGCCGTGGCCGAGGTGGATATCGTGGACGCGGCGGCTATGACCCTTCGTACCGCGGAGGATATCGTGGACGTGGTGGATATGCGCCGCGCGGCAGAGGCGGCGTTCTTCGTTTGGATAACCGGCCCCGTCGGGTCTCTGTGACGGGCGTCGAGTTGAACTCGGACAAGGACGAAGCGCTGAGACAATATCTGATCGTAAGTTCTTTTGGTCTGTGTGTCTGGAAATTGCGTGCTAACCTCTCCCGCCAGGGCATCGGTGAATATGAATCCATCACGCCTAACCCGGGCCATTCCGACTCGGTCATCGTCACTTTCAAGGAACGCTACCAGGCCGAGAAGTTCATGTTCAGTCCCTGGAAGATCCCTTCGGTGGGCGAGGTCCAACTGGAATGGGTGGCTAACCCGCCTATCGCGGTTTCGACATCGACCCCCGCGGACGAGAGCAAGACAGGCCCTGGGCTGGTCGAGGATGATCAAGACACTGTCATGCAATCCGAGCCCGCGGTCAATGAAATGCCCGCTGGCAAAGAAGGAGTCCCTGATATGGATTATGACGTTGCGGAGGAGGATAGCTGGGGCGTGGAATGATTTTGTATTCTCGATATATCCGCTCATGTACTATTTATTGCACTATGTACAGCTGCTTCACTTCTTAGGCATGAAAAGTGACGCTCGCCAGATGATTTTTTTTTTTCATGGCACCACCATCTATCTATCTCCCTTCCTCACTCAACGCTCTGCGGAATCAGCTCAACCATATATCCATCCTAGTAGTCAAGTCAGTCCCAGCCTCAAACGAGTGCGTAAACAAACAATCCCACGCCCAAAACTCACCGGATCAGCAATCATAGCAAACTTCTCAAAAAACCACGCATAATTCTCATGGATCTCGCCCCTCCCAACTCCCCTCGCAGCCTCCCACTCCGACAAAGGCACCGCCTCCCTCGACGACACACCCACCTCCTTCAGGATCGGCACTCCGGCCGCCCTCAGCCTCTCCACCGCAGCCTTGGTATCCGGAACCGTGAACCCCAAATGCGCAAAACCCAGGTTCGGCGGCTGGTTCCCCGTCGAGACTTCCTCGCTATTGCCTTCCGTCCCATGCACATGATACAACTCAAGCAACCCCTCCGTCCGCGTCATCACAGGGATCTGACTTGTCTTCTCGGCCCAGTCGCCCAGATCGTCTGTGTCAGGCGGCGGGTGGCCCAGATAGTAGATCGTGAAGGGGCCGGCGTTCATGCTGAACACGACTCGCATCCCGAGAAGATCGACATAGAAGTGTAGAGAGCGCGAGGGCTCCCGGACCCGGATCGCGAGGTGGTTCAGTCGGTATCCCGTTGTGCTGGACGAGACGGGTGGATTGAAAGTGGCCGATGGGCCGCCTGGGAGGAAGGAGCCTGGCTGGCCTTGTTGGAGGGGCGAGAAGGAGTTGGGAGGCATTTTGACGTGCAATTGAGTGGTGGGTGAGAGTGGGCAGAGTAGGTACTGTAGAGCTGCTGGAAGTGGAAGATATGCGGGGGGTGAGGGGATCCACTCGCCTGTCAGTTAGTTAAACTAGGCAGTTAACTAACTAGCGGTGATGCCGGGGTCGAGTAATACTACATTGCATGCTAGATTTGCTCTCTGAAGAATACATTTGGACTTGTGAAGGGCAGGGAGGCCAAGGGAAGTAGACTAGCGACTACTAACTTAAGTGTATTCTGTATTCGACTACTAAGTGTATTTGTTGACGGCGAGCGATTCCTTACTGATAGACAATCATATCCAGTCCACCAGCGTAGGGCAGAGTCACTCTCTTAAATCCACTGCCCTCGGCATCAACGTAGTTGAACAGATCCTGGTAGCCCGCGGTAGCCTTGAGAGTATTATCCGCCATGATGACTGCCCCGCGCCGGAGATGCGGCTGTACGGCCTGGAGTGCGGGGAGCGCGAGAGGTGTCCAGACTGATTTGATCATTGGATAAGCATTTGATTGCCTTGGTTCCATGATCGATCACTTACTGTCCAACAACAGGAAATCCACCTCGCCGAGATTCTTCGTAAGAGTCTCGCGCAAATCGCCAATGCGCAGATCAATCACGCCCTTGATCTCCTTCCCGGCCTGTGCCCAGATCTCCTGGGCCCGCGCTGCCTTGGAAGGTTCCTTTTCAGTGGCAATCACCTGGGCGGTTTTACCTTCAGCGTGCGCATTCTGCGCGGCTGCCAGGGCCAGGTAGATGGTGCTCACGCCGAAGCTAGTCCCGGCCTCGACGACGGTCGTGGCCTTGATGCTGCGCAGGATATGGTAGATCAGCTCGGCTTTATCCTGGTCAAGTGCGATGAACTTGTCGCGCATGATGTCGTCGAAGGCATCGCTGGTTTGCGGAGGCAGGGTGGACCATTCCACGCCTGCTTCTTGCGTGAGAGATTGGCCGTGTAGGGCTTGCAGGAAGGAGCGGAGGGGCTCGGTGGCGATCAAAGCAGAGGGAGCCATTGTCGTTCTTTGTTGATTGGAAATCGAGTTGAAACTAGTTAACTCACTCTGGCCCGATATTTGAAGGATGTTGTGAGTCATAGACAGCACGAACGGCAAGGATTCGTTTATTTACATTAAATAGACCGAGGTCGGCTTGGGTTCTCCAATTCTGATTGGGTCAATCTCGCTCTAGCAGGTCTGCATAGCTATTTAGAGACCGCCCGATCAAATTGACCATCTCCCAGATATAGTCCGCCGTAAATAACCGCGCCCACAGACGTGTGACCGCGGCGCTGAGTCGGGTGTTGGTGGCGAGCAACCACTCGCGCGAGACCCCATGCTGGACCTCCATGACCATCTCCAGTACGAAATCCCGCAGCCGGGTTTCTTGCTCGGTCAGGGGTGGACCTGGGTGCTCTACAGTGATGGCCTCGAGCCATTTGGCTAGCAGCACGGCACACTCTAAGGAGCACAAGGCATGTTGGTTAGACCACAACACGACCTGCGAGTGAGCTACGAAACTAAGACCCAGTTTAACGGGCGTGCTCAGCGCGTGAGCGCAGTGGAGTGCTGCCCGTGTTAGACGGTCGCCTCGCCGTACGTGCAGATTCTCTTTCAGGCTGAACGCGATCTGGACCGGGTCCCACGTCTGCAATTGTCGGGCAGAACCACAGTCTGCGTTCAGCCGGATATATGCGAGTCGGAGCAGAGCGGCCGATGTAAAGGAGAGTGGGCCATGCGGGCTAAGAGGGTCGATAGACGATTCCTGATTGCGCTCCCAGCATTGACACCACCGTTCCAGCGCCTGCTCGACGGCCACGATCTCCTGCGTTGATGCCGGTGGCGGTCCGAACCGGCTGCGTCGGGAGACGGGGAGTCGACCCGCCTTGGTCATCAGCCAGATATCCTGCAGGATAGCGTGGATGAGCACATAGCCGCCGAGAGAGGAGAAGCGCTCCACTTCGCTGCTGGAAGGATTGAAGAGCGTGGCCAGCGCATCCTGGAATTTCGGTTCACCGGGACTCTGGCTGCGCTCTGCCTGCCAGATTTCGGCTTGTGATGCTTGCCATTCCTTTTCCGTGCACGGCAGATCTATCGCGACCTCCTCGGTTAGGATTACCGGGGGCAGATCGAAGACGATGGTATGAATGTTGAAGAAGCAGAATACAATCAGCTTGGTGCGTTTGACTCGTTCTCGCTGGATCCAGCTTTCCCAAGATCCATCGTGATCCGGTAGACGGTTTAACCCGCCTTTGCGTACCAGCGTCTCCATCAGGCTGCGGAACGACAAGGCCTCGTGGTATGGTGGGTTGTTGATGAACCATGAGGAGACAGAGGTGAGGAACAAGAGTGCTTGTACGGTCTCTAGGGTGTCGTTATCTTCAGCCGCACTGGCGGCGGGCATCGTCCCGGATTGAAAGACCCGGCGCACATGCTCGAGGGTAACGGGCTTGGCAATTTGATAGAGATGGTGGCTGGTATCTGGTTCGCGACAATACCGTGCCCCTAGCGCTGCCATGGAGAGGAAAAGTGGCAGAGTCATGGACTCGACATCCAGCGTGGGCATATGTACCACGGGGTAATGATCATGAAAGCCCATAAGATACCCAGTCAGACACCGCGATAGAGCATGCCGCGAAGGCAGCGAAGGGTTTGGAACCACATTCGCATAGTCAGATAGAAGACTCAAGATCTTTTCCCGACATTGTGCGGTGACAGGAACGAATCCCGTCGGCTGTCTCGTTTTGTAACTGGTTTGGTATCCCTCCGGCTGGAGGGATGGAAGTTGGGCCCCATGCCGAGGCAGCACCGAACTCGAAGGAGTCGAGGCGGGTTCACTGAGTGGCCCTCTCTCTGAAGAAGCTTGGTCATAGTCTGGGATCGGCGAAAAGTGAAATGGTGGAAACAATGGCAGCGGCTGGTACGCGGGGGAATAAGGATGACTGGGCAGAGGCACGCTATCCAAGAAAGAGGTGAAGTCATTTCCTTCGTACGTAGCGGCTGGGATTCCACCTAATGCATATCCAAATTCCGGCCCCGGGATAGGAGTGGTCGGCCCTGCTGACGGGGTGTGACTAGCAGCCAAGGGCGCGCCTAGCATCGGTGCACGATGCACGGTCGCCGACAAATCGGTCGGAAAATGAGCATTGCTCCCCGAAATGGCGCGATGGCTCGCATCAGCATGGTCAGTCACCACGGATGCCAACGTATCCAAGCCATCCACGGCGGGGTGAGCAGGGGATGGTGTCTGCGGTGGATGATGAGCCGGACTACCGGCCGAATGTGCCAGGCGTTCATGGCGCACCAGGAGATCTCTGGAGATAGAGTTAGTATGTGACAGGATATATGGACTACAGTGACGTACTTGCGCGTAAACGCCTTTTGGCACCGGACACAGCCGTACGGCTTCTCCTTGGTGTCTAACAGTGGATCAGCAGAAGTAGATTTTGGTGGTGGACAGAGGCTTACGCGACCGGTCATGACGTTGGAGATGCTCCAACCGGGCGAATGCACGGGGGCATCGCTGACATTGATAGGGTTTGCCATTCAACATGTCCATAATACATTATCCTGGTTGGATAATGGAGATGTGCCCAGGTGAGTGAAACTTCTCCAAATTGGAGATATCAAGATAGTGGAGACCATTGCTGACGTTAACGATGCATTAATAATAACATCGGGAGAGACCATCGGCTGTTGAAATCCGCACCCGCAGGATAATCAGCGCTCATATTAGTTGATTTCGTCAATAGTTCACTAAATATCACTAGATTTAATTCCGAGGAAATCTGCTTGATCGCCAGTACATAACGGCATCTTCATCCGCTCGGAGAGCAGTGCGAGCTCCGAGAGGGGCAAATGTGCCTCTAGCTTCTCCAATTTTTTTTTATCGGCCGGTCTTGGAGCCGACCCACGCCCTACGGTTTTCTGCACTCGGCTATAAAATATCATCCGTCCCCAAAAAGCGGTAGATCTGCCAAGCCCTACATCTTGCACGATATATCAGATTCCCACGTGGACGAGTACAAGAACGTGTGCATGGCCATCGACAAGCCATTCGCTCGTCTATCTGGTGGGACTGTTACAGCCATGGACAAACGCGAGGCCAGCCCAGACTCTGTGGCCGCGCAGCAGGAGATCGAATGGTTATATCTGGAATTCGAGACGCCGTTGCCTACGCCATGCATTACTTTGCCGCCCCAGCCTGGCCAGTCTGCCCCGCCGGAAGCGCCCAGCTTGGAGAAATATACATCGCCGTTCTTGTGGCCGAAATGGCGCAAGTCCATGATGACTTGGATTTCGTGTGCTGTCACGGCTCTGGCGGGTTATTCGGCTGGTGAGATCAGTCCGGCATCGGACGACTTGACCAAGGAGTGGGGGATCAGCGCCGTCGTGTATAATCTCGGCATCACCATCTTCTGCATCGGGTTTGCTTTGGCGCCTATGATTTTGGCGCCTTTCTCGGAGATCAATGGCCGCCGGCCGATTTTTGTGGCGAGCGGTATCCTATTCGTCGGTATGTTGGAGGTATTTGATTCTTTTGCGTCGGCTTCTGCTAACCCCGTGAATAGCATCCCTTGTTGCTTGTGGAGGAACGCATCTATTCGCTGGATTACTCGTTGCGCGCTTTTTACAGGGCGTGGGTGGATGTATGTATCCTTGGATTCCCAGAATATGTTTCAACACTGACATCTATCAGCTACTTTCTCCACCATGGTTGGTGGTGTGATTAGTGATATCTACCACACCGAGGACCGAAACACCCCCATGGCTCTGTTCGCGGGGGCTGCACTCTTCGGAACAGGTCTTGCTCCATTGCTGGCTGGAGTGATTGTCTCGCACACCAGTTGGCGCTGGGTTTATTACTCCCACGCCATCGTTTCCGCCGTTTTTGTGGTTGTCATCTTCCTGTTTTTCAAGGAAACGCGCGGTAGTGTCCTCCTCAGCCGCAAGGCAAACGCTTTGAACCGTTATTATGAGACCCTCGAGGCTTCGGGTCACTACGGTGTTATCATGGCAAACGAGGACTTCAACGAGGAGAAGACCACCAAACGCATTCGGTGGAAGGTGAAGGCTGACGAGCAGCGGGAGTCCCTGGTTAAAATGATTCAGATCTCGCTGTGGCGCCCTTTTCGTGAGCTTCTCCCCACAAAAACTTCTGGATTGCTGCTTACCACCCGATTCACGCAGATATGCTCATCACCGAGCCAGTGGTATTCTTCTTCTCCCTCTGGGTATCTTTCAGTTGGGCAGTTCTCTACCTCCAATTCGCATCTGTTCCTCTCGTATTCCGAACAAACCACGGCTTTAATATCGAGCAGACCGGAGCCGTGTTCACAGGTATTTCAAAACCCATCGTAGTCCCACGAACATAAAAGACTAATAAGCTTTCGTCCAGCAATGTGCGTCGGCGTCATCTTCATCACTGTCATCAGCATCTGGCAAGAAAAAATCGCCATGCGATTCGGCCGCCTCTCCAAGTCCGCCGAAGGTCGCCTGTACTTTGTCTGCGTCGAATCCATCCTCCTCCCCATTGGCCTATTCTGGTTCGGCTGGACCTCGTTCCCGTCTGTGCCGTGGATTGTGCCCGCCATCGCGGTGGGGTGTGCCACCATGGGCATCTTTTCGATCTATCTGGCTACCTTCAATTACTTGGCTGATACCTACCACCGATACGCAAGTTCGGCGATTGCGGCGCAATCTTGCTGTAAGTATTTCCTCGTTGTATCTTTTTGAACACTTTACTAATATGGAACAGGCCGGAACTTGCTCGGTGGCATTTTCCCTCTGGTGACGAATGCCATGTTCAATAATCTCGGCTACCCTGAGGCATCTAGTCTTCTCGGTGGAATTGTAAGTTGTGATTGTTTCCCGCAAAGAGCGTACGCTAACCGGGACTTAGGGCTTTGTTCTGACTCTGGTCCCCTGGGTACTTGTGTTCTACGGTCCCCAAATTCGGGCAAAGAGCAAACTGGCTAGTGTAAGAACAGCTTTCGATCGTGCTGTAAGAGGTATGCTAACCAAACCACAGGAACTTGCACATTAATGAATACCCTTCCTACATAGATAGCATACGGCAAAAGCCCATCTGATAGAATATAGATTAATGAATAGAGTACCCATTTAACGCATCAATTATGCACATCGTACACCCGAGACCATAATACCCTAAACAAGAGCCGACTCTGAATGCGGATGTAAAAATGCGTCTGTCCAAACCAGGGGCCCATGGTAATGAAAGGCGAAATGCGAGTGAAAAGCAAGACATGATGACAAGAAGGCGTCTCGCTCCGAACCAAATGCAAATATATCTATGTAAGGCTGGTGCAAATGGCAATAGCATAGACAAGATGCTGCGGCGAGTGCTTCATCTATCTCAGCTGCCCATGATGATATCCTCCAAGAGATCTCACTTGAAGATCCTGGGGAACGATTCGTCCATGATGGTATGATGTAAAGCGGCCTTCATCCTCACTATCACTCTCCATCTGATCCAAGATGCGATCGATCTCGTCTCCAGCGTGCGTTTCCAGCCCCGTGGCAGTGCCCTTAGACCCAATACCATTGCGATAGTTGCTACTCTGTGAGCTTTGGTTACTACCGGACATAGCTCCAACACCGTTGCCGTATAACGACGCATTGAGGCTGTTTTGCGTTGATGCAGATTGCAACGGTCGAGGGCTAGATCGATAGCCTGAATTTTCGGGGCTGGACATGAACAAGAGCGTTTCAATCGCGTCTTGCTCCATCGAGGTATTCTGAGATTGAGCTTGTGATCTGTAGAAGCCATTTTGAGAAGATGTAGGACGATTAAAGTGCGCGGGCGACTTGAGTGAAGGTGTCTCGGGTCCTAACACGGTGGGGGATCCAGCCGAACGCATAGAGAGGGGGTCCTGAATGGAATGATAGCGCCGGTGGCGGGAACGCGGGCTATGGTTGGAAGGCTTTGAGATTGCATTAGGGTTCGGGCGACGCCGCCGCGAATCGCCGTTGGAAGATACGATGTCTGCAGGCGGAGCTAGTTTAGGAGTCGGAAAGAGTTTGTTAGTTGGGGAGAGTTCAGACTGTGAGCGGGAATGAGTAAGGTATGCATGAGGGGTGTTCGAGGCTGAGGTTTGTAGGGTGAGGTCTTGGGAGTTGGATGTTGAGTTCGAGGCATGACCCAATAGGCTGTTCGGAATTCCCAATTGAGAATCTGCTTCGCGTAACTGCCGCGATTTTTCCACCTTGGCAGCTGCATATGACAGACGTGTTCGAATATGCACCGATAGCTATACCTTATGTGTTAGAAAGGCCTTGACGAGCAAATAAGAGAAGTCGCTACCTGGGCAATCCTGCTTCCGTATGCTGGCGAGCCAGTGCTCTTTGAACGACGCCGCGTAGTCCCATTAATGCTAGAACTCGGCGCCGGAAGCTCCGACGAAACCGACTTGACGTCTCCATCCACTGTTCTTTTCTGACCTGGAGCCAACTGAATGTCGGTGACCGAGTGTGTATGTTGGTGTTGGGGCGTTAAAGACCCATTGCCAAACTTTTCCGGGGCGAACGCGTCCGAAACTGCATATTGTCCATTTATTGCCATGTCTCCCTTCACCGGCAAGGCTCGGGGTGTCTCGTGGGAGTCAGGTGAATTTTCCTGTCCTTGCTTGTCGCTGAAGGTGTTCGGGCTGTCTAGATCCATAGACTGGCTTGCCCCATTCATCGAAATAGACGGGAGGCTGGACAAGGAGTCCGTGAGTGTGTTGGCAGACTGAAGCTCTGGACGTGGGCCTTCGGCCGACGTGTCACTACCGCGTTCCGAGGATTCGATATAGTCGATCTCGTTCGCGTCGCTTTCACCACGGGACACGGTGACTGCGTTCAGGCCATCTACCCGCAGGGACAACGTTTGAGGCAATCGCATGACCTGGATTTCATCGGAGGCGGGCTTGCGCGGCACGGGTGACGTCGCGACGTTCACGGAGGACTCGGTAGGCGCACTGGCCTCCGGATTGGGGAACCCGCGACTCGACGGAACATCACGGGCGTGATTCATCGTCGGGAGGGACAAGAGAAACAAAAAGAACAAGAAGGAGGAGGTGGTGGCGCGTGGAAAATACGTGGTCAAGCTTTCAACTACGGAGTTGCAGGGACCGAGACACGCATGACACTGGTGGATGGCGAGAGTCGGGACCGCATGGAGAAGGGCTTGTGGGGGGCAGGAACCAACACGGAGGAGCCAGGATTGCGCTAAAGTCTCAACGCCCTCGAGGACCGCGCGGGTGTTGCAATGGCGCTTCGGCGGGCGCCAGGAGCATCTGCCCGATGCAGTGGCGATCGACCAGCACGCGCAAGGATTGCGAGCGGCAAAAACGGCCGCCTAGTTCCAGGGTCCACCAGCGTTCTCGGGCGCGATGAGAAGTGCGCTGGAGGTGGGCGAGATGAGTTATTCTGGAACGTGAGGCTCAGAGGACAATTCAGGATCCAAAAACACACGTCGCCAGCATTGGGAGGGAAACAGAACCAAGTGGAGAGGGAAGGCACTCTTGGTCGCTCCGGCGCGTTCGAGACGCGGTCACGTGGACCTCATCACGCAAGACAAGGAGGGATGAAAGAGAATTCTACGAGGAGCGTCTCTATAGGAAGGACGTTGACCTTTTCAACAGTGCAATTCATATGGAAAGCAATAATAGTGGTGACGGTATACTTTTCCTGGGGTACCAACACTGTCCATGGAGGCCAGTGAAGCCGACTACAAGCAGACAGTAATCCATTTTTTTCACAAGTTCATTCAGGTATATCCAAAAGCCATCTCAACCCCTGCACGCAGTCCTCTTGTGCGATCACTGATACTTCCAAATGATGGTCATAAATCCAGAATATATGAGGCAGGCCCTAATGATATGATTTCAGATTAACAACAGAAGTGAGCCCAGAGAAACCACTTACCTTGTACAACGTTTCTCGCACCTCCACCCCAGCATCTCGCAACCCTCTCACGTAACAAACGGCATCATCACGCAGGATATCAAGTTCACAAATCTGGATATAGGCCCTTGGCGATCCACTGAACTCACTCCATAATGGATACGCATCAGGAGAAGTTAACTTGTTGAACGGAACACCAAGCGCATCTAAAAATACAGTCAGCGCCTCGGCCGTGAATAAATCTAGGACGACAGATTCGAACAAGGAATCTTTACCGTGATTTCGAATCATACTCATCCTGTCCAGTTCGGCACCCGTATAATCACTTGACCAAGAACGGTGGAGGTCTCGGAAACGAGGAGGGATGAACTCAGTGTCTGTCCCACGGACAGATACTGGAGCTCGAAGGAGGACTCCATTGAACGATATTTTTGCAGCATGTGTTGAATTTTCTGCTGCGCTGAGCCAGCTGCCTGCACGATGCGATACAATCGCCGCAAGCTGACCGCCGGAAGATGTCCCACTAACGACTAAGTTGACAGGCGTAGTGTGGATTTGAACCAAACTCGAGAGATTGCTCATAATATACTGAGTTGCATTCCACCCATCCTCGAGTGGGATGGGGTACAAGTATGCTGGACTGAGCCGATATTCGACGCTGATGACTGTGATGGGCGCGCCTAAAGCCATATATCGGCAGGACACTGTCAAATCGCGCCATGTCAGTGTCTGATATTTAGTGAGAGCAAATCAATATAGATAGATAGTATTGCAACGAGACATACCATCTTCTGTCTCAAGAGAGCCGCTAGTAAAGCCGCCGCTGTGAAAAAAAATCACAATCCCTGAGGAAATTCGAGTGGCTTTGGCGGTATAGATTCGAATAGGAATCCGATGGTTATCCTTTCCTGGAACAGTGGTATCGACTGTTGACACTTGAACGGAAAGCTCATTGCCAGCTGAGGAAGAGAAAAACAGACTGTTTCGTTCAGGGTCATCATGACGGAGGTTTGTGTGTTTCGCAATGAGTGCGTTCCATTCGGGGTGGAAAGAAGGCATACTGGTTATTTTTATCGTAGATCGTAAAGGAAGAGGCCAGTCGAAAATTGTATCCTTTCCCCAGACTTAGTGGGGCGCGTCAACTCTAGGTGAAGGGCGAAGTGAGTCACAAGATCTCGTATTGGGTGAGCATGGACGCCTATAATGGCTCCTGGGTTATCATGGGTAAACTATCCGACCCATTCCACTGCAAACATTAGTATGACCTGTGACTGCATAAGTTATGTCGTTTCACCTTGTATTTTGGGGGAATTCTTTTATAGTTGGAAATACGTTTAATCAAGGTTGAATTCAGAACGTTTTATTCACAATCAACTAACTACACCAACCGGTGTGACGGTTAGCAGGCGGCCGCATTACCAAAACTGGCTCCCGCCTTGACTATTATGCCTTCTCCAATAGCGAACTGTCCCTTTTCTACTCCTATTCTTCCGTAACATTCTTCTCTTATTTCCCACGACTATCTCCTTACCCACTATGATTCTCTTCGTACCCTCTCTTTCGTACTCCAAATTTCCCTTCGCCGGCTTTCTGTTGGACCTCGGGTTTGTGGGTGGCTTAAAATCGTTTGAAACGCTTTTATTATTCCTGGATTTGGCATTATTTTATAATATTGCAGTTATAGACATCAAAATGGATGGTGTTATATACCTTTTGCTGTCCCGACTACCAGTGACCCTACGGTACTACAGCAGTATCCAGCTGTGTGTCAACCAGGTCGAACCATACACCCCCATATCCAGACTCCCTGGATGCTCTAACCTGCTTGACAAATCCTTGGAGCTTTGCTGCACATATACTCTGAACAGTATATGATGATAAGTTTTCCAGTATCTCCTCTCCTGGCCCTTCGATCTCCAACATGGCCACTATCAAAGGAAATACCACTGGTAAAGCTGTCGCGTCCTTGGCAGCTGATTGAGCGAAGTATGATATCTCAGAGAAGATGCTATGTGCTAGATATGTTGCAGGATCATCTTCCACTCCAAATGGATATCGCAGGCGGTGGACGATCAATAGAGCTGCAAGACGGTAAACCGTTGCTTGGGTCATCATTATCAGGATTTCATGTCTCCCGTACTCGGTGAAGAAACGAGGAGGGATTTCTGGCTTCCACTCCCTAATTTTTTGCTCTATATCCGCGAACGAGTCGTGGACCCCTGGGTGAGGTCCTGATGTCGTGTCAAGGGCGGCTTTCTTCAGAGCATGGCTGCGTTCGCAGATATCGTACATATGAGGTAGGAGAGTGGAACAGAGGCCCACGTAGCGATCGACAATGATGCGGTCTGGAATCATGAGTCGGACGATGGGGACTTCACGGCGCACTAAACACTCGACTGTATCTATTAGAATCGGGGTTATGATCACGGTGTCCATGGCAGGACACTGAATCAATCTCGGATACCATTGCTTGGTCGTTATGAGCGAGCTCCGCACGATGGAATGGGCTGTCGAGGAAATGGCTGCCGTGAGTATGTTGAATACATACATGGCTTGGCCAAGGAAGAGGACGCAGGCCGCATCATTATCCCGGATGATGTTCACATTCTGCAAGCGTTTCAGGGCCTTTGCCGCTTTACAGATGTCAGGCTCGCCTCGGCGTAGGACAAGCGCCTTTTGGTAGCATGTCATTACCCCCAGGAATGCCAAGTATCCTTCGGTCAAAATCGGCGCTGACAGGTGTAGAGCTGCATAGGTCGCTCTTTGGAAGTCAGGAGTGAAACTGTTTCCCATCATAAACGGCATATGTATCACTGCGAACTGCTCCCTATTCTCCACAGTGCGCAGTGCATCAGAAGTCGTTCGGAGAGTGGTCGGGGCCGCAAGCAACCGTTCCGGCATCACTGCCCGAACATTGCCACTATATTTCTTGCGTTTCCAGACTTCTCTCGTCTCAGACGGTGAGATCGGCCTCGGGCGCGGACTGGGTGTGTGAGTAGAGAAACGGTGAGTGTTTGCCTCGGGCGTACTGCGTTGTGGTGGCTCGATGCTCCAGATCTGCATTTTTCCATGGGGAAAGGATTTCGCAGAGGGCCGGCGACCTACGCGCCTATTTTCTCGGGACGTAGTGCACACGATTTTCAGACGATGGCATCTGGTGCATGTCTTCTGGTCGCCTGTAAAAGAGCATTTCTCTTTGCTCCAATGGCAGTGGTCACAGGCCTTCAAAACCATGGTCTCAAAGGAGCGAAGAGAACGGGCACAGAATCACGAGAGTGATAGCCAAACAAGTGGTTTGAGATTACCGCTAAGGGGTGAATATAAGCATGTGGTAAGTGTGTGCCATCGATGCTTACCCCGCATCCCCAGCTTGGGTGATCGAATGACTAGGAAGAAAGACGACGCGGACTCTATTCGGATAAGGTTTTGCGGAAGCATAGCCTCAAGTGGCTCCTCCAAGCATGACAACACGTCAGGGCCCTACGAGTTTCAACATGGAATGCGGGACAGACAAGACCCCACCTCGGACTGTATAGTTACGACCATAAAGCTAATCAAGATGGAAGAATGAAGAGATATCGGTGCATTTAGTGAGTTCTGGCTTCCTAACGGTTCCCATCGGTTCTAGATCGGACATCACTTAGGTAGGTTGTATCTGGGGGATCTTCGCGTTTACATGGACTTCACTGTAGGATTGGTATAGATTCTAGCTGGTATTAAGAATGAATCGGACGTACGGTCTCTGTTCGCCTTGCACAATCTTGCTCTAGAACTGGCAATACTCGCAGCCTAAATAGTGAGATATTTCGGCTTACGCTGCTGAAGAACGCAGAGTAATAGTCGCGCCAGGGTCAGTTTTTGCATTTTCACGAGCCTCAGATATGCACAATTGAATTGTAAATAGAAGGGGCACAAGAGCAGATCAACATGCCATTTATTGCATGGCAGGGGTTACCTAAATTTCCACAAATTCAAGAGCCTTTGGAAAGCGTCATAGCGACCTTTGTGCCGTTAAAACTTGCCATTGTCAGAGTCAATCCTTCTTCAAACGGCTTCGGGTCCCGGTTCTCAATTGTCTCGAAGTGTTGCATGAGTCTGACCGTAGTGTATCCAGCCTCAGTCAGGGCGAACTGTTGCCCAATGCAGATGCGAGGACCTCCATTGAATGGGAGGTACGCCCAACCAGGCCTCAACGTCTCCCACCTCTCCGGTCGGTACTCATCTGCATCGGGACCAAAGTGCTCAGGAAGACGGTGCATAGTGTGTACACTGTACATCACCTCGTGGCCTTTGGCAATGTAGAGAGGGGATTTTCCGTCAGGACCCCCGCCGACAGGGAGGTAGGTGTCTTTGTTGGCCATGCGCGCATTCATAGGTACAATAGGGTAAAATCGAAGAGCTTCACACCATATTAGCCCCTTGCCTTCAGTTCGGGACTTCGGGGTGCTTACTTTCGTTCAGAACCCACGACAGGTAGGTCATGGATTTCAGATCTTCAAAAGATGGTTTCCGGCCCCCTAGGGTCAATACTTCTTCCCGCAGCTTTTTCCAGATCTCAGGTCGTCTAGCCATCGTAAAGAAGGTAATGCTCAACAAGCTTGCCGTTGTGTCGCGACCAGCTAGCAGGATACTCAACAGCTGGTCTGTGAGCTCTGCTTTGTCTCGAGTTCGCTTGGACAGTTCGTACAGAAATACGTATTGCTGCTCGTTGAGCTTGCGAGCATCCTCTGGAACCTTTTCACCACTATCCAGTGAGACTCGATAGTTAATCGCCTTCTGCACAAACCTGTCGACGTAGGCGCGTGCGTCGACCACGGCTTTGGAGAATTTCCGGTCTCGGTGGAAGAGCATGAGGGGACCAAGTCGAGTGCGGAAAGCCAATCCTTCTTGTGCAGTGTTGAAGTCCGTAGCAAAGGATGAGGCTGAGGTGGAGGTCCCATCGTTGAGCGAGTGGACGGATTCCCCGAACAGGAATTCTGTAGCCGAATCAAGGGTCTTGCCATGGGTCAGCCAAATACGAGAGAAAAGAAGTGTCAAAGAAGCAATCACCATGCGGAAAAAGAGATCCTGCAGATCGAAGGTGGATCCGTCGCAAGGTATCCGTTTTATGAGAGCGGCGACGTGTGTCTCGTAGACATTGATGTCGGTGATCTGGTTGCGAGTAAAGTTTGGACGGAGGAGGCCTCGAGAATGCTCCCATTTACTACCATCCGTGGAGAAAATACCGGATCCAAGGAGAGGACGAAATGCCCTATTCCGTAGCTCGCCCAGCTCAAAGTCTTTGAATTTGAGCGCTAAAACGGTCTGGACGTTCTTGGGTTCAACCGTGAAGACGATGGTTCGAGCGACCATCTTTGCCTTAAATGTAGTACCGAATTCTCGATGCCAGCCGTGAACAAGTTCGAGGATGCGATTTTCGCGAGCCGCGGCAAGCATATCCGTGACCAAACCGAGTCCTAACGGGCCGCGAACGACAGTGTGAATTGGCGGTTGGCAGCCATTATCGCGCGCGTACTTCCACTCTGGGTGATTATCAGCCCTGTTTCGGTTAACGCCCTCTCCTGAAGACAGTTACTCACCGTGAACAAATTGTGCAATCTTCAGAATGGTGAAGACAATAGCTACAGCTCCAGCAGCCAGGACAACATAGGGCGTTGCGGAGATATCAAGAGAAACCAACACCATGGTTGCGAGTGTTTCTTATGAGAGAACCTTCCACAGTGTGATATTGAAAGCAGCGAAACCCAGATACGGTGCAGGTGGCATCTTTGTATTTAATTTCGCTCGCGTTAGGCGCACCGTGGAATGGTCTGGCGCGGGCCATGTGCCAGAACTCCTCAGCTGGTAGATCCTTCAACATCCAATCATGCCTGCAGAGGTCTGGTGAAATCAAACGTGGCTGGACGTAAGCATTCTGCAACTTCTGAGCCGAAGACCCGACGACCAGGCGCCCTGCCGCATAACCATACTGAAATAACGGGTCTCGGATCCCCGGCGCTTTTTATCCATTCTGGGCATAGATCTACCATGCGGAATCTCATACAAGGATTGTTATTTGAGCACATCACCCTTCTTGCGTAGCCTTGACATGAAAAAGCGGAGTTTACGCAGTAGTCCAGTATACCGGGTTTGCTAAGAAAGAGGAATGACAGAATAATTGAATAATTTGGGGGCTTGGTCGCCTCCATTCGGAGGCTATTCAAAGGATAAGCATGAGAATCTGAGATTTATTCAGAGGTGAGATTGAAGAGATCATCACCAACTTTCTTCCGTTCCGCAAGAATGACGTTTCGTGTCTCAGAATCATGCAGTTTGTCATTTTCATGCGGCTTAGGGCTTAATGTGGTCATAATCCCAGTCCTTTCACCAGTGCAGACGGAGGAAGGACCAGGGAGGACCCCCATGGGGTAATCTGCAAGATCTGCAAACTTGCGTTCGATTGACAATCGGCGACCAAGACTAACTTAAAACCGTAGCAATACACCGGGCGAAATGAACCCAAGAATTCCCGCTGGCGAAAGCCCGGGCCCCAGATCGCATTTGGAATGTATTCCGAGGAGTCTAGCGCGCCTCCAGAACTGCAGGTCTGCGATTGACGCCGGTGGGAGTCGACCGGTGTCGCAGTGTGAGACGTTCAGAGAACTAACTCCCCCTCCACAGACGCTAGGGGGCCAACCTCATCCATACTAGCGTCGTGGGCGGCCATGTGAACACGACTGGAATCCGCAGAATTGGAAGGAAATTGAGGCTCGGACTGCTTTCTACTCCATTAGCCACCCTGTTCACAGTTGAGCTGTTCGGACCGAGACAAGACGTTGAGACTGGACCCTGGAGGTAGCCTTGGTTATGCCTGAGGCTGCATCGGTGGATGCTACGGCGTCCATGCTGTTCTATACTACTTCGTAGAGATACTCCGTAGAGACAAGTAGATTCAATTGATCCATATATACGGTTTTGCCAACACGAAAACGCCTGAAATATGCTTGGTATCTGAGCATGGATGGATACAAATCACCTGCGCTTCTTCCCACCACCACCGCCCGACTCTCCATCAGTGTTCTTCCGCTTCTTGCCCTCGCGCCGCCAGTAGTCATTGCTCTCTCTCTTCTCTCGCGCGTTCTTTTTCTCCAGGCTATCCGCCACTTTGGCGCGGTATACCTGTCGCCGCTCTTCCTGCTTCGCTGCCCGCTTAGCCTGCTTGTCGTTGCGAAGCGTGGTCAGCTTCTGCATCAGATCCCGGGCCTTCTTTTCTTCACCACCGAGAACCACGGCTCGCTTTTGCATGTAGGTCTCGCCCTGGCGGGGCTTCATCTTAGTGATCTGCGATTTGAAGGGCAGGTCGGCTGCCAGCTGTTTCGGTACGCGGAGAGGGTTGAAGTGGCGGGTGGTTCGTTCGATCGGGCGGTACGCCGAGTCTTTGATCTGCGGTGTGGGGATGCCCTTCTCGCGCCGGACCTCACCCGTCAGTCGCATTCCCTGCCATCCACCGTCACCGGAGCTGCCATCTTGGTCGAGAAGATTGGTCACGGGGTTGTAGAAGCGGTGCGGTTTGATCGGGTACCATGCGCGCAAGAAGACAATGTCGCTCATCAGAATCTTATCCTCAAAGGTGGCACGGAAGTAACCCTCTGGCTTGCTGAGGGCTCGTTTGATCTGACCGCGAACGCCGGAGACGGTTCGAATCGATGCGCCCTCGAACTTCGCAATCTCCAGAGACGAATTGAACATGTCCTTGATAAAAGCCGTGTTCTTGAAGATCTTGTAAGGAACACCGGTGAGCTTCAGCTTCTTTACAATCTCGGTGTGCTCGTCGACGCTGAGAACGACGCCCGTAGCAGCGATCCGGAAGCCCGGGTTTTGATTTGAAAAAGATGTCACGCAACAGAAACCGGTGTTGGGCGCCACCAACGGGCCGTAGAAAGTGGCGAAGCAGTGCATGTGTTCGGGAGTGTACTTCAACATGCGGTTTCGTGTTCGACTGTCCGAGGTGCTGTACATGGGGATGGTTTGGAAACGACGCCAACCCAGGGAGAAGATCAACGGATCATTGCTCTTCAGGATCTTCTTGTGCCAGCGGTGTCGCTTGATTCGGATCTGCACATAACCATAGCGGTCCTCGGTCGGTGCCAGGCCTCCGACAATGACAGGGAAGCGCGGGTTGAACTTGGAAGCGAATTCATAGGGGACGTTCTCGAGGACAATGCGCGCGTAGGTTCCGGCCTTGTAGCCTTCAGCTCGGGCGCGGGAAGCCGGGTCGAGCTCATCAAACTCGGCGCGGTTGATATCCAGCTGTTTCTGCATCTTGGCTTTTTGCATATCATACCACTCGTCCTCGCCAAACTGCTCGTCGCCACCCTCGCGAGCACCGTCCTTGGCGTTTGCAAATCCTTCGCGATCTTCCTCTTCGAATCGCAGCCGCAATTCTTCCTTTTTCTTTGCATTCCGTTCGCGTTCTGCTTCCAAGTCCAGAGGCTTGTCAGCAACAGCGTCTTCCTGGTTCTGGTCATCGTCCTCGTCGCCGCTGTCGTCGATCCCGTTGAAGACTTCGCCGGTCTCGAGGTCTTCGAATGCACCATCTCCCTCGTCATCGTCTTCATCAAAAGCATCATCCAGATCGTCATCCTCATCCTCATCTGACCCATCGCCTGACAGCTTGGCGGTCACGAAGCGGCGTCTTATAGACTCGAGGAGATCCCGATCCTGCCACTTTTGCTCGAGCTCCTCGTAGTCGTAATCTGGGACTGCTCGGAAGTCGGCCTGGTCTTCCTTTTCGTTATTTGTCTTCTTGAAGAAGTCATCCTCGTCGTTCTCGATATCCTCCTCTTCCTCGTCTTCGTCATTGTCGCCCCGCCATATTTGCACGACATCAGCTGGGCTGATAGAATCATCGTACATCATTCGTGACAGGTCTTTCACACGGAAGGCAGGTCGCTTTCCAAGAAGGGATTTGGCGTTGGCCAGCATGTTCTCCTTCCAACGCACATTGCCTTCTTCATCTTCCTCGTCGTCATCCTCGTCGCCACTATCCAGATCCTGGTCTTCGACGGACGAGATAGAGCCGAGGTCAGAGTCGCTGTCAGCGAAGGCGATGTCGCCATCTTCTGGGCGGACTGCTCCATTTTGCCGTTCCTTAAAGCTGGTCTCGAAGTCGGCTGGGGCGGAAATTTCGTCCTCGTCGATCTCTTCATCGCCGCTCAAGTCGCCATCCTCCTCAACTTCCTCATCCTCGCCCTCTTCTCCACTTTCAAAGCCTTCGTCATCTGACACATTTTGGACATCGCGTTCGGCATCGGCAACCCGAGCATGTCGTCTGTGTTTCCGGCCAGTCTCCTCGTCTTCCGCGTGGGCGATCGTCTCGCCACCCCGGAACAGTCGCACACCCTGATCAGCCTCACCGAGCATCCGCCGCTCACTTTGCAGACCAACAACAAGCTGCTCTCCCAGACCACGATCCTCACCATCAGATTCTTCATCTTCGCCTTTGTCGAATGTTGAAGTCTTGATATCGATATAAACAGCATCTTTGTCGACCAAAACGCCACCCACGTCGGACATGGGCGCGAAAAGCAGCTTTTGCTTCTCGCCCAACTTGCGTCTTGAGCCCTTACCCGACGCCTTGGCAATTTGTTGATCCATGAATGGGGTTGGGCATGGATCAGGTAAGGCCTCGATTCCAGAGACGGTCAAATCGCCCACACCGGGGACATGAACTCGCGCGCCCTGAGCTTGGAAATTGGTGCCTCGAAGATAGCCGTAGAGCGCCACAGTACGATCACATTTGGGATTCTCTTCAATCTGGGTGGGTGGTGTGATATCAAGGAAGCGATCTGCCAGAGCGTATGGATGCGAGTTGCGCCATACCAAAGGCCGAGGGTTCTTCATCACGGACAAGAATCGGGAGAGGTTGTGCACTTCACGATCCGGGTATCGACCGTTGATAACACCAGAGAGATAGAATAGTTTTGCACCTTGGTAAAGCTCGCTCCAGAAGCGGTGCTTGAGACGCTTCTTGGCCGTTCGCAAGGTGCTGTGACTCTTGAACAGATCGAGATGGGTGAGGATGCCGAAGACGTTACCCGGCATACCACTTGTCGACAAGGCGTTCAAAAACTCCATGGTCTCCATTTCAAAGCCATAGTTTCCATCAATCATGAGCAACACAATGTCGGCAATCTTGGAGACATCAATCATGGATGCGAGCGAGTCTGAGGGGCATTCGAGGAAGGTGAGGCGCTTCTTCTTGGATGTAACGACGGTGAGTGGACCTTGAGGCGAGCTGAGGGTTTGTTTCGTGTAGCGGCGGATCAGAGATTTGATCAAGGTAGTCTTGCCAACCTGGGAACGCAAATTGTTAGCATTGCGTTCTGCTCATGGTCAAACCCGGTCGAAAGCACTCACACCTGGGGGTCCAACAACTGCAACAACTATGGGCGGTGCTTCTTCCGGCATGCGATCCACCAACGGCACATGTAGTCGTTTTTCCTTGACCTGTAGCAAGCATCTCTGTCAGCTTTTGATCGTCCGGCAAAATTTTCAATGCGATGTCCATACATCATGCGAGCGCGCCGCGGCCTTCTTGAGTTTTCCTGGGGCCGAAAAGGCAAATGCCTTCGGATTTTGACCTACAAGAAGAACGATGGTCAGCATGGCCCGGCCAGAAATATTTTGCGCCAGCTTGATCGCAGATCAGTTTTGCGTGGATCATACCCTCGTATTTCTTCTTTTCCTTGACCGGGCGGTGCGCCCGGTTTGACTGTTGCTCCATTATGCAATCGAGGAGGTTCACAGCCTCCGGGATTTTCTTGCAGCGTGAAGACGAAAGAACAGCGAAGAGCGCGGATCCGTTGCAGCTATTTCGAAATTATTTTGTCGGGCCGGATTTACTTGGGCCCCGGTTGTATGCCTGAGGCAGAGAGCCAGGTGAGGCATGAATTAGTAATTACCAATAGGGTTTTTTCTCTCAGCAATTACTAGTTTTACTCAGAGGGGTTAACAGAAATATGTACACTGGTACAGGACTTCCGGAATCGGTGTCACCACCTACACTCTTTGATTGTTTCTCGAACCCTAATGCCAATATCCACTAGATCATATTTGAAAATAACCCGGAATATTAATAATCCTGGTAGTGCGGTTAGTTGGTTAACGTTAGTTATTCCTGCGAATAGTAAGAAGCAAAGAGAGAACTTTAATTTATTCGTTAGCTCGGAGATCATCACAAGGTCCAATTGATCTCATCAAGGAACACGTATTTTAGTCGCTTGAGAATACATCTTTTTGAAAATATTTGCGCTGGAACGGTTGTGAAAAAAAACTCTGAGCTGGGCTCGGCCTCCATGTCGCTTAACACCCGCGTCAAGTAGGAGGTTAAACGTTATAAGTACAGTACATGTACTGAAGAGTCGGCGTCACTCTTTTAGCCAAGATTTAGCCAGCACAATTGTGGTATTCTGAAAATTCCAATTAGTTAACTAGTGTAAGATTTGCGCTTTGACAAGCTGGCTCTACGGGTATTCCCAGTTGATTTTGCTCGTAAATGTTAGCTTTTTGTCTGTTGCTCTAATTCCATTCGTGAATGAATCTTTGTTGATCCGCATACCTAGATGCCCTTATTCCATTCGTGAATGAATATTTGTTGATCTGCATATCTAGATCTGCAAACTTCAATTCCGTTTTTAATAACAAATACAATAGATCAGGCAGACACGTTGTAGTAAGATTTATACTATACTATACTTATTGACAAATTTCATGCCCCACCACAGTCCACAATACTCTCTATGTCGGTTTTCTATGAATTGACCGCCGCAAGGCCGCCCCTGTACCGTGAAAGCTATTAATAAATGGCTCACTCCCCTCCTACGCCATGTGGATTTGCGATCAAGGTCCAATCGTGGATGCAATAAGGCCGCCGCGACGAGAATGTCGAATACCAGTAACCTTGAGATATTCCCGGGGTAGCCGCATCAGGCCTCAAAATCACAGCCTAGATACGCAAGGCCTCTCGCATTCATCAAAGACGAAGATTGTTTGTCGACAGATCAGCCTTCGGTCGGTTTTAGCACTCTTGCAACGAAGCTGCACATTCAGTGATGCACTGGTTAAAGCCAATACTACGGCTCTAGGCTAGTCTAAGGCAGGCCTGACGGCAACTATGCGTTTTAGTATACAGGTATTTCACCATGATTGGAAGTCTAGTCTCATACCCAGCATTCCTATCGATCAGTCGCCAATACATATACACTGTGAACCTACATTCTAGTCTAGTGAATGTCAGAATGAACAAAAGCAGACGGTGGAATGTTATTGACGAAGCCGTCTTCCTAGCGATAATTTATAACCGCTCCTGTCTTTCCTTTCCTCTTCAACAATTGCATTGCTACTGGACAAACTCAACCCTTCGTTTCAGGCCTCTACTGTTCTTGACAAAACACGAGGTGTTTCAGTTTAACCTCATCCAACTAGTAGCTATGAACATCCTAATTGCAGTACTCGCAGGCATAGCTTCTGCTGGAGCTGCGATGGGGCAAATTCCAGCCGGACAATGCAACCCTGGGCCTGTTCAATGCTGCCAAACCGTCGGTTTACCGAGTGACCCTTCGGTCGCTACACTGGCTGGCCTCCTCGGAGTTGATCTCCAGGGGGTGAGCGGTACAGTTGGACTAAACTGTAGGTCTCGTAACCACCCTTGTTGCACCAGGAAACTAACGAGTCAATCATGTTGACAGGCAATCCAATTATTAACATCGTTGGCCAGGGTGCAAGTTGCTCTGCCAATCCGGTTTGCTGTACTGGAAATGTCAGTCATGTTTCTCTCCGGCACTTGAGCCTAGGTATCCACCGTCATTCATTAGGAGTGTTTACTGACAATCATGTAGACTCAGAACGGTCTTGTGAATACCGGTTGTGTACCAGTCCTTTTAGATGCGTGAATCGAAAAAAGCAGAGAAGAGAAGATACCGCTACTTGGGTAGGGGGAAATTCCTGCTCGGTTTCTATATAAGAAATACAATAGCGTCGGTGTTGACATTGTTCCGGAAGGTGTGTCCTGGGCCAAAGTGTTCTATGAGGCCGAAAACAGAATTTGCCAAGAGCGTATAGATGTGCCTACATTAGCAGCTGCTTCTCTACCAGTGCCTAAGCAATAGTACTACTCTCGAAGCTTGGTGAAATCTCATTGAGAGCGATTAGTAATAGATACCACTAAATTGGTATCGTCTAGTCTCACCCGTGGATTGCGGCTATCTTCTGGCGTAAAATACTATAAGCCAGCCTTCGTCCTCGACTGCACACAGTGTGAATAGTATACAAACAACACGGTGTACGGGGCGCCAGTGATTCCCCCCATTCACCTAGTGAGGAGAAAGCCACATAGACCTAGAGAATGTAATATACTCCTTGATGAACAGATGGCCCGCGCAATGTGCGCAGAGGTCTTGCCCTGAATCCGCTCTATTGTGGCCTTTGATTGATGCCTGAGGCAGACACTGATAGCTGTATCAACGACCGGGCCGGTTGGTCCATGATTAGGGCTGGCCCTACTACTATCGGGCCGATGGACTTGTCTTAGGATACCAAAGCCCTTTTATCTTCTCTCCGTCTCTGGCTTTAATATTAAAATGTCGATACCCGGAACTATCTACCGAGATAAGGTTTAGTACTACTAATTGTCTACTCAGCACGGCACTGATGTGAGCGCAGATGTATACTTACCCCCGTACCTTGTATGTGGGGCATTCTTGACCTAACTATGGAACCGCAAGACCGGGGGTCTTCCGACCAGGACTCCGTTATAAATGGACCACCCTCCCCGGATTGGGAGAGGAACCCCTCAACCGCAAGATGTCCGCTCGTCGCCCTCCTCCCGCTTACACCGCACCGCCCGATTCGGGAGTGCATGCCACCTCACCGCTGTACCGGGCCATCTCCGAAACGGCCAGCAGCCCCTCAGCGCGAGTGCCCCAGAACTCATTTACCATTCGACCATGCTCCGGCCAAGCATGGGTGGTGCCCGCCGGTCACATCTGCCGCCTGACGACACCCAAGGGACCGCAGGTCGGCGACCTGAACATCTGGAACGCAAAGAACCCGCGAGAGCGCATGTGGGCGGCGCGGACGCGACAGATCCATGCCTCTCACGTCTCGGTCGGTGATCGCCTGTGGTCCAACCTGCCGTATTTACGACCTCTGGTCACGATCACGGGCGACTCCCTCGGCGGCGGACAGCTGCATGAGGTGCTTGACGCGGATGGCAAGCGGAAACCCGAGGTTGAGTTTGGGACGACGCAGTTCGGGGGCCGGGTGCATGATCTGCTCGGCACACGGTGCGATCCTTACGTCAATTTGCTCATGGGCGGGGAGACGTTTGATTTTCACTGTCACTCGAATCTGACCCGCTCGGTGGTACCGTATGGATTGACGGAGCTGGATGTGCATGACGTGTTGAATGTGTTTCAGGTGACAGGACTCGATGAGCAGGGCAAGTACTTTATGGAGACATCTCCGGCGAAGCAGGGGGAGTACTTTGAGTTTTTCGCTGAGGTGGATGTCCTCTGCGCGCTGTCGGCCTGTCCTGGCGGTGCGTGTCCTATTTGATGTGTTATGTGGTATATTTCGCAGCTAATTCGGACTGATGCAGGCGACCTTTCCAACTGGGGCTGGGATGACAAGGAGGGTGGCATGGGGGCAACCTGCCGTCCTCTGGGCGTGGAGGTGTATCAATTGGCGGATGACACGGTGCTGGCCGGGTGGAAGGAGCCCTCTAGTCCCCAATACCGAGGCATGCATGGGATGAAAATGCCTACGCGGGAGGCAGATGGCTACGTGGGGTTGTAGAGCATACTGTCTGACCTTTGCCTCGAATTGGTCGATAGTACTCCTTATACTTCCCCGGTCCCCCACCAGCACGTGACCACCGCCATTACCTCATCGGAGAGAATAGCGTCATCGCGCCTGGAGCAGGCTGAAAGATTTCATGCTGGGCTGCGATGCAAGGGAGGGCGCAGACGCCACCGGTACCGTTTGTGAGGCAATGGGAGAAATCCAAGATTTGACACCTGCTCCGTAGTATAATCATGGCGTAAACGGCTTATCAGTATATAATCTCCTCCCCCCTCTTCTGATCTTCTCTCCCCCCTCCTTGTCTCATCTCATCCCCTCCCCACCCATCGTCTCATCCACTCCCTCCGTACTATACCAACAACCGGCTAAGATGCCTCTGTATAACGTGAGTCATCACCTCGCCCTCTTTAGACAGAATCGAGTTAATGTCATGTTTAGGTGACCCTGAAGAAGGACTCGCCCCCTGAGGAGCTTGAGCGGTGGGGTTCCCCGCCATCGATCGATCTAAACCATGCTGATTATCTTCCACAGCGCCAAGCAGGACGTGCAGAAGAAGGGAGGAGTCATCAAGCACGAATACAGTCTCATCAAGGGCTTCACGTACGCCATCCATGAATCGGTGCCCCGGCCGGATCCCTCCCGTGCTAACCCACTCAATAAATAGTGCCGAGTTCCCGGAGGACCACGTCGGAACCCTCGAGTCCGACGAGCATATCCATGTCGAGCAGGACGGGGAAGTCAAGACCCAGTAGAGTGTCTTTGAGGGCCCGTGCGACAGGTCAGAGGAAGGGTTGACTTCAGATCCTTTGGAGACCAGGCTGAGAGGTCTACCACGTGCTTGACGATGTAAATAAATTTAAATGTTGTTCTTCCACTTTGTGATGTAGTGACTCTGCTCTCATTCTTATCGGTAAACAAAACAGGGCCCGCGAATATCCTCCCGTACCCGAGCGCGGATCCCGTCACCGCCTCCTACTGCGTGCCCTCTTTCATCTTCTCTTCTCCTTGCAACATGGCTGACGCCCACAATCAATGCCTCCCACTTCCTATCGATCGATCATGATGTGGAGAGGGAGAGCTCGCCTGAGCTCAGTGATCCAAGCAGTCCCTCTGCTCCGTCACTCTTCCACCGTGTCGCAGCCAACCAGCGGTTGGACCATCCATCCCGCCAATGCCGATGCAGCCAAGGACCAGGTCGCCCAGCTGGCGGCGAGTCCTCGCCGAGCGTTGACGCTGGCAGATTTACTGAGGTGGGTTGCCAGCAGCATTAAATGAGACACGAACAGGCCGTACTGACAAGTAATTCATCCCCAGACATGGCCGCCCGCCATTGTCCAAGGGCGCCCTCCTGGCCTCAGCCAACTTCACTCTTTCCCTTCTTCCGGCTCGACTGGCCTCCCGAATCCAAGCCCTGCGCAACCTCCCCTTTATCGTGGTATCGAACCCACATGTATCGAAAATCTATCACAATTACCTCCACTCCCTCTCGACCCTGCTCCCGTACCAGCAACGACAGATCAGTACCCTGGAAGAGGAGAAGCAGTTCGGAGACGTCCTCGCAGATCTCGTACAGACCCACACCAACACAATCCCGGTCCTGGCTCGTGGGTTTCTCGAGTGTCGGAAGTATATCAACCCGGGAGATGTGACGCACTTCCTGGACACGCACCTACGAGCGCGCATCGGAACGCGATTGATTGCTGAGCAACACTTGGCTCTCCATTTTGCCTCACAGCCTATCAGCGATGAGCCAACTACAGACACCTCCACCAAGGAATCGGTACCATCGAATTACATTGGGGTCATTGACACGGCCCTTCAACCTGCGCGCATTATTCGCTTGTGCGAAGACTTCGTGGGAGAAATTTGCGAGCTCAAATACGGAGTACGGCCCCGTCTGAAGATCGGCGGAGAACCAGATGCCTCTTTTGCCCATGTGCCAGTGCATGTGGAGTATATCATTACTGAGTTATTGAAAAACGCTTTCCGGGCTACCATTGAGTCTGGGAACGAGCGTGAACCCATTGAAGTGACAATCGCTTCCGCCCCTGATGTTCCTGGCCATGTACGACCTATTCAGGGAGACGCCGATGAGGGATTCCAGCTCGAGAGCCTGGCTGAGGAAGCCACTACACACGACGCTATTCAATTCCCAAACCCAGCATCACAATGTATCACAATCCGCATCCGCGATCGTGGTGGCGGCATCCCACCTGAGGTTCTGCCTCATATCTGGTCGTACAGTTTCACCACCTTTTCGGACATGGATTTCCAGAACTCGGTCAACGGTAACATGGATGCGCTGAACACGATTGCTGCCAGTGGCGGCCACTTGAGCAGTATTGCCGGTCTGGGTTATGGATTGCCGCTGAGCCGGGCATACGCCGAATACTTTGGGGGCAGCATCGCCGTGCAAAGCCTTTGGGGATGGGGTACAGATGTTTATCTGACCTTGCAAGGAGTGGGGAAGATCGATTGAGCATGAATGTCTTGCCGGGCCTGAAATCTCACAGCCTTGGGTGAGGACTCGAAGGAGCGGGTCGGACAAGCAGATCTACGAAATCCATGATCCGCATATCGTCATCTTCGGCCGCTTTTGAGATACGCGCAACCTCCGCCTCGGAAAACATATGCCTCATATTCTTTGCAAACTTTGCCTGAACCGCAGGCGAAGTTTTAGGATTCCGCACATGCCCAATGGGGTATTCAATCAGAACCTCGGACAAGGAAGACCCGTCATCGAGGTGAATGGTCACCCCCGATCCAATGCTCATTTTGTCCCAGTCGAGGTAGTCCTGAGTGAGCTTGGCGTCTGGATAGACTTCCATTTGTGAACGCAAATGTTCTAATTCCTTGCTGGATGCCCACTGGCTGTCGTTTGCATAGTCTGGGGCTTCCGGTGCACAGCCTTTCAAGAAAGCCAGAGCGACCACATACTGAATACAGTGGTCGCGGTCTGCAGAATTCTGAAGTGGACCCGTTTTATTGATTATTAGATCGGCAGCGGCGGTGGTACGCAAGACAACACGCTGTATGTGGTTCGTTGGGTCGGACAATCCTTTTTGCTGGAGTGCACGATGCTGAACCAATGCCGCCTCCACTGCCGCGATTCCATGCCCTTCTACGGGCATGACCTTGAACAGCACATTCTGAATTGTCCATGTCTCGAAAGATCGCGGCAGCTCGAATCCGGCCTCGCCGAAAGTTCGTTCCAAAAACCCCCATCGGGATGTAGTCAACGCTCCTGGGGCACCGGGCTGCCCAGCTCGCACTAGGAGAGCCAGTTGCACGGCTCTTCTCGCTGCGTCGCCCGCGGCCCATCCTTTTCGCGGAATGGTATTAGCACCAGAACGATACACTCGAGTTGGGTGGCCGTCCATCCAGACGTGGGAAATGGCTGCTCTGGTCTGGTTTTCGGTCAGTCCTACCAACCACGAGACAACCGTAGTGGCAGCTAGCTTAACGAGAACTACATGGTCAATCCCATAGACATTGAAAGCATTGCGCATCTGATAACAACCCTGGATCTCGTATGCTTTTATCAAAGCGACTAGCAGAGTTTTGATTGTCAGTGGTGGTCCATTGTCATCTTTCCCGAATACAGATGCGCGAGACAGCCAGTCCATGGTAGCCAAGATCGCCGCGAGGTTATCTGCCACCTCGTTAGCGTGAAAAGTCTACCAATGTACTCGCCGTTGACTCCTGGCTTATACCTGAAGGATGTCCCCATTCCGCACCCCCCAAAGCATCATTATGATCCAAGTACCGGATCAAAACACCCAAATCAAACGCCCCCTTCAGAGGATCTACCTGCAGCTCTGTGCCAGGAACCCTGAATCCATTTGGGACGACTGTGCCTGCCACGACAGGACCGAGTAAAGCTCTGCACTCGCGACTTATGGCTGCTGTCTCGATTGCACAGCCGATTGCGTCGAGGAGAGCTACCCGTGCACATTTCCATACTGCTTGCTCTGTGTCTGGTATTTGGTAGTGGAAGACGTAGTGTGCTACGTCGATGATGGGTTGGTCATATGGTTGAGGCATTTTGAATGTATGAATTCGAGTATATATTGGCTTTGAAAAACGGTCGTGAACACTATATTTCTCGCTATTGCCAGTGTTTGTTCGATATACTTCTGCAATCCTACTTGTGTAACATCGGGCCATTCTTTTTAAATTAGCCGTTGGCAACGGATTTCAATATGACACTCGTTCTAGAACAGGCCATGTAATTTGATTCTGAAGTGATCTTTGGAGAATCGACAGGATTTCCCAAGTCATTGCTGGATCAAATGGTTGGATTAACTTTGCCGCGGCCAAGTCGTGGGTCCAAAGAACGTGGTTCCCCGCGGGGCTCAGGGTTCGTCACTACATAATTTTGCGACTCCTTCAGCTCAGATTCAGTCAAGTGAAAGGGAATGGAAGAAGTCCATAATGCCGGCGGCGAAGGGCGGCCTTATCGCTCTCACTTACATCCAGCCTGTCTCCCGTGCAAGAAGCGCAAATCACGATGCAAAACCCGAGATTCCTCGGATAAGTGCATAATGTGTCAGGTCCATGACACGGAGTGCAACTTTCCAGAAGCAGACTCTAGGAGGACATCGGCATTTTCTTCGCGGAGAGTATCATCCAGAAGGAAGCAGGCGAGACTCTCTCAGAGTAGACGGTCGCTGGAACATCGAAATACGCAGAGTCCTCTTGCAGCCGTAGCGGAAGCTCCCCGAGCATACAGGGCGTCTAATAATGATAAAACGGAAGCGCTTTATTCCAGTGGAAATAAACAACAGGAACTCTCCAACCTGATGGGAATTGTTTCCGAGACCGGAGACGATAGCTCCCACATCGTCAGCCCAGCGATCGCAGATGACAACGACGCCCTGGAAAGTTATTTGTCAACGCTTCCAGATATTCGGCGACGATGTATTCAAACGAATTCAAGTTCCAACAGGCCGCCCAGACCAGTGCTATTTAATACTGTCCCCAGGCGGCCGCTCGGAGTGACAGCTAACCAATCGCTCGCGGCCATGAAGTGCGAGATTGTTGAGAAATATCTCGAGCCGTATGTTCAAGAAGTTGTTGATTTGTGGGTATTTTATTATTTTAATCATCTCTCTTATTTCTCTTTATCTACTAATAATGAATGAACGGCATATATCAGATACTTCGAGAAAGCCAATCCCTGCTTTCCGATATTTGATCAAGTCTCCTTCCAAACCGTCTTTTCTACACATAAGGATAAGATTTCTCCGGCTTTACTCTGCAATTTATACGCCAATGCTCTGATCTATTGGGAATCCTCACCCAAATTGTCCCGCATACGCTGTCCTGATATACGCTTTATCTGGAATCTTGCGAGCGAGGCGCTTCACTCGGAATTATTCCTGTCGCCAGGAATATCTTCAGTAATCAGTATCATTCTCACAGTCGGCGGGAGACCCAGTACGTCTGTTTTTGGGAATGGGGGGAAAGTGGGAACTGCTGTGGCCTTGTGCAATGCCATGGGGCTGAATCGAGACCCGTCTCATTGGAATATCTCGCCAATTGAGAAGAAGTTTCGCATTCGAATTTGGTGGCTGGTTGTTATACATGATCGATGGTAGGCTTTATCTCTGGGATTTGATCTTGTGTTTTGCTTTTTACTAATTCATATCTATAGGTGCAGTTTGGCATATGGAACACCGTTGCAAATTCATCGTGCGCAATATGATGTGCCATTCCCAACAATAGGTGACCTCAGCTCCTCAGACGCATCGACATCCCAGATTGCAGCCGCTTCAATATTCGTCGCATTGACTAGTTTGACCGAAGTACTAAGCTGCTACCTGGAACATGTGTACAGCGTATCCAAAGACTTCACACTGGAAAAGTCGGCTGCTGAGTTAGAGCAGCACTTTAGCGAATGGAGAGAGTCACTAAGTGACGATATCCGCCTCCTCCTTTTGCGAGGAGCGCATCTTCACGCCCCAGGGGCAGCAAACTTCCGGCTGGCATATCTCTCAGTCGAGCTTCTTCTACGGCGTATCCAACTGGATCTCGACAAGAGCTCCTCTCAATCTGACGAAGAAACAGTTTCCCCTTTTTATATGCAAGCACGGCGTGCGGCAGAGGACATCGTGCTTTTCATGCAGGAGTTGGATGAATCGCTTTTGAATGGGTTTTGGATTCCCGTCAATGCCTTCTCGCTCACCTCCTCTACTACATTTCTGTTACGAAGTGCTTTGCGAATGAAAACTTCGAATAGTCGCAATGGGCCTCTCAGAATGGCCAAGGATATGGTCGATGCACTTCATACTTATCAGCAGGACTTTTCTTGGGATCTTGCAGATCATTGTCTGGCAAATTGTGGGGATTTGGTCGAAAAGATCAGTTCTGTTGAGGCGTCTGGGGGAGATGCTTGGAGTCCTGGGTTTCCTGTGTTTTCGGAGTACCTGGATTTAGATGCTTCGGTTTTGGATGAGCTGTTTACGGGGTTTCCACTTGAGATGTAGTTAGTTTTCAGATACTTCCTCAGAAGGTTCATTAGAGTTGTGGGCATATGAAGCAATGCCGACCACTTCATCTTTTCCATAGAGAGTAGAACTCTAATAAAGCGCTCCCTAGGCCGGATATATAACCCACTCCCGCATCCACCCCATGCAATAGAAGATAGTGTCTGGACGAAGAGAGACAGGAGAGATCGACCATCGTAGCCAAAAAGAATACTATTGCATGAGTACCCTCAATACTTTGAAGTTGCACGGATATTCGCGGGGGTGTGGGGGAGGGAGGGGGACAATAATCATCATCGCGCCAGAATCATGCAGACCCCCACGCTATTCTGAGCCTCGGGATTGTCGCCGTCTTGTATCAGCAAATTCCCCCTCACTGTCCAGGTTCCCCTCATCTTCAGCATTTGTCTTCCACTCTCGGGCTTTGTCTTTTCACTTATTTTATTGCACTTCAAACCCGGCATTTTATTATAGACTTGCATAACTACGGATCATGTATGTGCAAACGGACCGTGATAGCATTGCGAGTCGATAGCTCACCTGAGGCTAGGGGTTACACTGCGTCCTTTGCTTTTTTCGAAGCTCTCTGGGAGGTCGGTCCCCACAGATACATAGGATTCATTTATTGCAATGCTGATTGACTACTAGAGCGGCGTCACCCATGTCTTCGTCAACCTGGGGTCCGATCACCCTTCCATCCTGGAGGCCATGGTGAAGGGCCAGAAGGAGAGAAGAGATCGGTTCCCTACAATCATCACCTGTCCCAATGAGGTCAGTTCTCTATACAAGCCATTGCTGTTTGCAGCAGAGCTAACCTGCGACAGATGGTCGCACTCTCAATGGCTGACGGCTACGCCCGCTTCACAGGCAAGCCCCAAGCAGTGATCGTCCACGTCGATGTCGGAACGCAGGGACTGGGTGCCGCCGTCCACAATGCCTCGTGCGGCCGCGCACCTGTTCTGATCTTTGCTGGCTTGTCGCCGTACACAATCGAAGGAGAGAGCCGCGGCTCTCGCACCGAGTATATCCACTGGATCCAGGATGTGCCAGACCAGAAGCAAATCGTCTCGCAATACTGCCGGTACTCTGGGGAGATTAAGACCGGCAAAAATATAAAGCAGATTGTCAGCCGTGCTTTACAATTCGCTACCAGTGACCCCCAAGGCCCCGTATACCTTGTCGGTGCCCGAGAAGTTATGGAAGAGGACATTGAGCCATATCAACTGAACCAGAGTCTCTGGGGGCCTGTTGCCCCGGCTGCTCTACCCAGTGACGCAGTGAACAAGATCGCATCAGAGCTCGCAGCTGCTAAGAACCCCTTGGTTATCGCTGGTTACACCGGCCGGAAGGCACAGGCTGTGGTGGAGCTGGTCAACTTGGCAAATCACTTTCAGGGCATCCGAGTCTTGGACACCGGAGGAAGTGATATGTGCTTCCCTGCCAATCATCCTGCTTGGCTCGGGCTGAGATACCCCGGTCACGAGGCTATTCAGACAGCCGACGTGATTCTTGTGATCGACTGCGATGTCCCCTGGGTTCCTACCCAGTTCAAACCTTCGCCATCAGCCAAGATTATTCACATCGACGTGGATCCGCTGAAGCAGCAGATCCCCGTCTTCTACATTAATGCCATGGCTACCTTTCGTGCCGACGCTACCACAGCGCTTAAGCAACTCAATGACCATGTTTCCTTAAATAACTCCCTTCAGCAGTTTGTCGCCTCCCAGCAAAATCGCAGCATGGGCAAGCGCCGGGACGATGAGTATTTGCAGCGACGGAAGGCCATCTCCGATCTCGCCGTCACACCCGCAGGCGGCACAAACGCAGCACTGAACATTCACTATCTCATGGCCCAGGTCCGCAAAGGATGCCCGCAAGACACAATCTGGGCCATCGAAGCCGTGACTCTGACCCATATGGTCGGCGACCAAATCGGGGCCACTCTGCCGCAATCCTGGATCAACTGTGGCGGCGGTGGTCTTGGCTGGTCAGGCGGTGGAGCACTGGGCATCAAGCTGGCGACGGATGTGCAGCACGGCGGACGCAACAAGGGCAAATTCGTGTGCCAGATCGTCGGCGATGGGACCTACCTGTTCTCCGTGCCGGGATCGGTGTACTGGATCTCGCGGCGCTACGGAATCCCCGTGCTGACCATTGTCCTCAACAACAAGGGCTGGAATGCACCGCGACGGAGCATGTTGCTTGTGCACCCGGAGGGCGATGGCTCTCGCGCTACCAATGAGGACCTCAATATCTCCTTCGCACCCACGCCAGACTACCCGGGCATTGCTAAGGCGGCCGCTGGCGGCCAGATCTGGGCTGGCCGCGCTGCAACTGTGGCCGAGCTGGCGCAGAAGCTGCCTGAGGCGATTCAGAGTGTGTTGAGCGGAAAGGGTGCTGTGTTGGAGGCACAGATGGATGGCACACTTGGCAAGTATGTGGAGCGGGCGAATCTATAGATCTGCGTATTTAGTTAGGTTCGCCGATGCAAAATGAACCACTCCAGTCACCCTCGACACCATACAATCCATATCCAGTATAGTTCCTCAGTCCACTTCCCTGTCGCGGACTCCGTTCCGATAAGCTGTCCGATGCCGGGGGTAGCCTTATCTAGCCACTGTACACTATCACCTGCCCATTCGGCCTGTACTCGAGTGTAGCTGCAACCCGCCCCGCACTTTGTCAATGGCAGGGCGCACAACCAAAGCTTTGTTGCCCTCGCACAGACATGCATTAGATAACAGAAAGTGGAGGGGGAATCAGAATCTCGTAATAAGAAGCGAAATGTAGAGCAGCAAAGGCGGTGAGTCACTATTATTGGCGGCCGAAACCGCCGAGGGCGGGCCGGGTATTCATTCATTCTAGTTGTAAACTCTTGCCCATTCCGCCTCTTGCCTCCTCGCCTCCGCCCCCTCTCTTCTTTCGCAACCACCATTTGATCTCGAGGTTGCTTCTTGAACTGCTATACTCTGCGTCGCGAAAAGCTACTGCTTCTTTCTAGCGGATCAGTTCTCTACCAACTCACCTAAAACCGATCTGCTCGCACACACAAAGCTGCGGAATTACGCTCCGGCTTCGCACCATTCCAGCCACGATGAGCCCACCCGCACCACTCGAAGTTGATTTGATGGGGGTTACGGATACCACTGCGATTTCCGTTCCGGACCCGTTGACGGTCAATGGCGTCCCGGCGTGGCGGGAGAAGATGGCGCAGATGCCCACTGGCGTCGCGGCGGCGTGCAGCAGCGATATGTTCAAGAGCCCGGTATGGTTTCATGGAATAGATATGCCGGAGAAGAGATGCTTATAAGGATACCGTTGTACTAGAGTTGCTATAACAAGCCCAAGGCTAAGCGGTTTGACCGTACGTTGCTGCACCGAGAATCATCTATACTTTTGCGCAGCTTGTGCTAACTAATTTTGTTGCCACAGATCTCTTGTCTCTCGAGGCCAAGTCGCGCAAGGTTCGCATACCGAATTATACAAAATTTCAAGTGCATGAAAGCTGATATTTCTGCCTTTCACAGTCGTCCACGTTGAAGGGCGCGGCTCGTTTCTTGAAGAACCCAGGTATCATCTCCCTGGGCGGTGGTCTGCCCTCTCCCGAGTACTTTCCCTTCGAACATCTCGACATAAAGGTGCCCACCCCTCCCGGTTTTTCTCCCGAGGCCACCCAGAAGACGGGTGAAGTGTTGCGGGCTGGCAAGCATGATATCCAAGAAGGAAAAAGCCTCTACGGTATGTGATATGGCAAAGTAGAGATGAAGTGGTCACTTATTGAGTGTCGTTTGCAGACCTTGAAATTGCGATGAACTATGGCCAAGCTACGGGAGCTGCTCAATTGCTCCGATTTGTGACTGAGCACACCGAGGTGAGCATTTCCAGACCTTCAAATTTCCGACTGTGTCTGATAGAGATAGATCATCCACAACCCCCCTTACTCAGATTGGCAATGCTCTCTGACTGCCGGTAGCACCTACGCCTGGGATACGGCACTGCGGGTGCTATGCGAGCGAGGCGACTACATCATCATGGAGGAGTACACGTTTGCCAGCGCAGCGGAGACCGCTTTCCCCCTAGGTATCAGAGCGCTGGGCGTCCCGATGGATGAGCAAGGCATGATCCCCGAGGCCTTGGATGACCTTCTCAGCAACTGGGATACAAAGGCCCGCGGTGCGCGCAAGCCCTACGTGATGTACACCATTCCAACAGGCCAGAACCCCACCGGAGCGACGCAGTCTGCTGAGCGCCGTCGGGCTGTGTACAAGGTCGCGCAAAAGCACGATCTTTACATCGTCGAAGACGAGCCCTACTATTTCCTGCAGATGCAGCCGTACGGCGGCGAGGGCGCCAAGCCCCTTCCCCCCCCTGCCTCCCACGCAGAGTTCATCAAGTCCCTGGTTCCGTCTTTCCTGAGCCTGGACGTCGATGGCCGCGTGCTGCGTCTCGAGTCTTTCTCCAAGGTCGTTGCGCCTGGCACCCGTGTCGGCTGGATTGTTGCCTCGGAGGAGATGCTTGAGCGCTTCGTGCGCACCTTTGAGGTCTCTTCGCAGAACCCCAGCGGTATCTCCCAGGTTGTGCTGTATAAGCTTCTGGACGAACACTGGGGCCACTCGGGCTATCTGGACTGGCTGATTAATCTGCGCATGCAGTATACCGGCCGTCGGGACTCGATGGTTCACGCCTGTGAGAAGCACCTGCCTAGAGAGATTGCTCACTGGGTTCCTCCGGCGGCAGGCATGTTCGTAAGTCTAACCGTCCGACCTCTAACTTTTGGTCGGTGCTAACAAATCGTACAGCACTGGATTGGAATCGACTGGCGCAAGCACCCTGGTGTCGCCTCCGGCAAGACCCGTGACCAAATCGAAGAGGAAATCTTCATGTCAGCAGTCGACAAGGGCGTCCTTATCTCGCGCGGGAGCTGGTTCTTGGCCGACCAGTCGGTTGCGGAGGATAAGATGTTCTTCCGTGCAACCTTTGCTGCGGCGTCGTCGGAAAAGATCTCCGAGGCTATTAGTCGGTTTGCTGAGTCTCTGCGGGCGCAGTTTGGTCTGTAGATGGAGTCTCATCGCATTGCTTTGGATGCTATATAGGCAGGCTCCGGTATATTTAGTTGAACATAGAAGACTCGTTGAGAATGTAAATAGATCTGGCGAGGTCATTTCTTTAATACGGGGCAATTTATTGATAGTTATGCTTCTATCAATGTGCCTCCATTTATTTCGGTCTCCTTTGCAAAAAGTCTCAGTGAATCAATTCTGGATCTTATCCTGCAACGGCGTATAGTTGAGAGACCGACGCTAGACCCAAAAGGGAGCATATCACGTGACTTCTCCCTTTCGACGCAAGACAGATAATGTTATTTGGCAATCATCAACAACATCCCAGCGCTTCCTTCTGTGCAATACATCTCTCTTGAATACATTGAACTAGTTCTCCTCTGCCACTCAGCAGTCCTGGTTGTCCCCGCCATTGTTGTCCATCACCAGTCGCGCCGCGGAGATCCCCTTCGTCAGGGAGTCTGGACTGCGGCCTAGCACATGACGCAGTTCAGTCGATTTCCTGTTCTGGATGCTCTGCATTGGGCCGATGGCACCTGACTACCACTTCGAGTAAGTCCATTCATTTATATACTTCTCGCTTGTGGCTTTCATTCCCCGCGCCTTCTTGGGCACCACTGGGACTTTCCACCCCGTCGCCAAAGACGTGCCACATTTTTGCTCGGGTCCTGCACCTGCGCCGGGTTTGATCTGATTGGCTAATGCATGTATAACAATATGACAGATTTGATCATTAAATATCACATTCTGCTCATTCATTGGTTTACTATCCGGTGTGCGACCGGAAGTCAGCTTCCCTTTCTACTGATGATAGCGCCATAGGTGAGTACGCCCGATTTTGGCTCCGCAATTGTCTGTTCGACGCCATGTTTCCTAACTCATACCCAGAATATTTCACCGAGTGTGCAACAGCCCAGTGCTGTGTGTTGACCACACCATATCACATATCTTGCACTTGACATCCGGTACTTTCTTATCAAGATGGAGCCACGGGTGTCACATTTGTTGGACCCATCGTCCGCATCCGCGATGGCGGCTATTACGAAACACAAAGCCGAGGCCATCAAGCTGGCGCGCGAGCAGGGGCAGGCCGTTCGAGAAATGTGCCGTCGCGCCAAGACCGAGGTGCCGCCGTATGAGTTCGAGGAGCTGATTGGCAAAGGCGCATACGGTCGTGTCTACAAAGGTCGACAGACTTCTTCGGATCGACTGGTGGCCATCAAGGTTTTAGACATCGACTCTTTGGATTACAAGTCTCTTCGTGATTTCAGGGATGAATCCATTAAGGATTTCATCCATGAGACCAAAGTCATGAAGCAAGTGAAGGACTCCGGGGCCAAGAATATTAACGAACTCATTGAGGCTATATCTATTCACTCACAACTGTGGCTGGTTTGCGAGTACTGCCCCGGTGGTAGTGTTCGGACTTTGGTATGGTGTCCTGCTTTTTCGTCCCTGGGATTGAGTTGTTGACCAATTCAGATGCGTGCGACTGGCGACAAACTGGATGAAAGATACATTATTCCCATTGCCCGTGAACTCGCTGTTGGACTCCGCGCTATACACGATGCTGGGATTATTCACCGCGACGTCAAAGCTGCGAACATTCTAATTCACGAGGAAGGCAGACTGGAAATCTGTGATTTTGGAGTTGCAGGTATTCTTCAATCTCAACGAGACAAACGGTCTACATGGATTGGAACGCCACATTGGATGCCTCCAGAAATGTTTGCAGCACGAGGTGAGGCGCATCAGTACAGCAGTGAAGTAAGTATCTCAACTTTTTTCGTGACAAGTTCGCGCTGACCAGTTCAGATCGATGTATGGGCCTATGGATGCACACTATACGAGTTCGCCACAGGGAACCCACCTAACTCGGGCCTAAGGGAGCGCATGCAAATTGGCCGTCAATTGAATCGCAATACTCCTAAATTGGAGAGCGACAGATACAGCCAGGGTCTGAAGGATCTCATTTCATTCGCACTCGAGTCAAATCCTTCCGCTCGACCCACAATGGCAGAAATTCTTGCGCATCCCTACCTTGCAGATACCGATGAAGCATATCCCACATCGTCGGTCAGCGAGCTGGTCCGGAACTATTATCAATGGTCTCAAAGAGGAGGTCAGCGCATTTCCCTATTCCACCCTGGAGGCGCTGCCGCTGCAGAGCTTCCTGGTACCGAAGAATCGGAGGATGATTGGAGCTTCAGTACCACCGATGGCTTTGAAAGACGATTCTCTGTCATCGATCTCGACCAAATTGCGGCTTCCTTAGCCCAAATGGAAGAAGAGATCAGTCCCACCACCCCGGCCGCTGACATTGATTTCAGCGATGATGTCTCCTTATCTGATGGGGAAATGAACCCGGAAGAAAAGGCAAACTTTGACGAACGAGTGCGTCGAGGTGCCGCGGCAATGGAGGGGCTTTTTAACGAAGAGTTGCCGAGTTACACATACGAAACCAAGAACGATTTTGTGCCGATCGACCCGTCTCCACCATCTACAGACCTTCCCCTTCGCACTGAAACCGATCGCTCTTCTGTCACCTCTACTTTCATCGATATCGATATTGGCTCATTTGACTCTGCACACTATGCGGCCGGCGCTGCGGCCACGCAGCCTTTCCAGCTGGCGGATGCTGATACCATTCGCGCCAACCGAAACTTGCAACGCAACTCTAATGAATCGACTTCGGAGAGCGATTCGTATGAGACCTTCAAACCCCAGTCAGGACCACGGCCTCCGACGATGGATTGGAAGTTTCCAACGTTCATGCCTCCAGAAGAAGAAGAACAATCATCCCAGACGACCAAAGAAATGTCAGTCCCAGAGCCTATCCAAGAGGAACCGACCCTAGACCCGGCCCTGGCAGAGAAGCGTGCGACCATGGAATGGACATTCCCTATCATGGGCGCTCCAACTGAAGAACAGGAGACAGCCACAGAGACGGATCGCCATGATACCGTCAAGGGGCCTGTACCGAGTCTCCAGCGGCAAGCCACAGACGATTCGATGATCTCCCGTCCATCAACATCTGCATCGAACAAATCCACAATGTCCGACTCAGACTACGATCCGTTCAGGTTCGATCGACCGGCAACCCCGGAAGGAATATCCTCCGTTCAGCAGACCCACCTTTTCAAGGAAGAGTTCCCTGCGATGATGGAAACGATAGGGTATAACGAATTCGAAGCGTCAGGACTTCTCGATGGACCGGGGCCAGATGAGGAGTCTCAGCCTCTTTGGGAAGACGACAAGGATGTGATGACGCCCAGTTACATGCCATTGCCAACCGCTATCCCGCAGCGTGAGTCCTCACGCGGGCCCTCGGCCTCATCAACGTCGGAGCCGGGATCTCCGATCTTCGAGGCCTTGCCAACTGCCCGTCGTGAGCCTGACTCGCGAGGCACTATTGGAAGATCAGATGACCTGAGCGCTATCCCATTCCCGGCCCTTGTTCCTCCCAGTGCGGAGAGTTTAATGGAGGGCGTCGATGATGGCGTGTTGACACTGGAGCTAGATCGCTTGCTTGGCGACTTTTTGGATTCCCTATCAGCTACGGGCGCGGCGCTGTCCAAGGCAAAACTTGGGTATGATGAGAATAGGGCAGATGATACCTCTGAGCAGGCTCAATGAGTTGAGGTTGTGTAGTTTTAATGAAACGAAATCATGGCCTGGAGCAAGTTATTTCTTGTAATTTGAGGACCTATGAATTCCCGTATGTGGTTAGTTCTATCGCGTCCGGTTTATCCCGGTTTACCGTCCCAATAGGGCGACTGGGGATCATAGATTATAATGATGTGCGTTGGTTGTGCAGTGCAATTGACTACACATCTTTGATCTTCAAGGTCTAGAATAAGTTAAACTGGGTCGAAAGATTTCGCCAGAATTGAGGGTAGCATATAGATTTGGCCCCCTTGGTTACTAGCGTGATTTGGATTATAAAATCAGGTGTAAGCAGGAGTTCGAGGATCTGTCTGGTGCAATTTGGGCAGTTTTCTCCTGCTTATCATGTACCTTAACGGATAAACATTTCTCCCATCATATCAACCGATTAAGTCCCCCTCCCCCACCTGGGATTATTGCTGGGAATCTGTTGTCTTTGTTCCTTGGCTTCTTTGGTCTGCACCGATTTGCCTGGTGCTATATCTGAAATGACTTCACTTGCAGATCTTCCTCCCGAATTGCTGGCCATTATTTTCTTCTATCTGGATCGGAACACCTTGAAAACCCTTAGGCGAACATGTCGATCTGTCTCACAATTAGCAAGGAATGAACTGTTCAAAGTGGTTAATCTTTTTCCTGATGATGAAGGCTTAAAGTCTTTCGAAAATATATTAGCGGAGGACCGGTTGCTGCAAAACATACGCACGATATATATACACAGCTCAAATTATGTGAGCAAGACGTTCCTGTGTATAGCCAAACTCGACTACAGATCTATTAACGTTGGCGGCCAGGAAACACCGAATCCACAGCAAGTGGTTTCCTACCGCTTCAAAGCTCATATTACCCGATTAAGGGACCTGCCATACTTGAGCAAAGTAGTCTTGCGCCTCGATGAATTTCCGGGCTTTGGAATGCAACGCATTCCCTTCGTAGAGAATATCACCAAGATGGTATTTGCAACACTTCTATCATGTCCGGTGCTTCCACAGACCTTGAAAATTCGCAACATGCCGATGACGGATCCCGCCGATCCCATGGTCAGGACCAACATCACAAAAGTCCTCCAGAATCTGCACGCCCTCGGTCTGAAAGTCGTCAGCGATTTTGACCAGGATGCGACGGACAACAACTTCTGGGTTTGTGTCTCTTATGAATATCGTTCCCTATTTAATCTCCTTTTTCTAATCTTAGCTGTCTCAGAACAATAGAAGACCGAGCCGCACACATTCTTTTCCAAACTTCCCTCAACCTGGCTTGCGCCTGCCACATCCACCCTCCGCCACCTCACCCTCTACAGTGATATGTATTTTGGCTTCTTCCCTAAACTGGATCTCAAGGAAGTTTACTTTCCGCATCTCAAGACTCTATCGCTCAACAAGTATACCTTCTTTCATGACAAGCAACTTGACTGGATTCTCTTACACGCGTCGACCTTGACCGAGATCTATCTTGACGACTGTCCTTTACTATTTGAAATAGCAGTGTCCAACCAGAACAAGGACCGGTGCAACCTCGAGCATGATGAGTGGTTCCGCCGCGATAATGACCCTTCCAGCGTTTGGGGCTACAGGTACGCGCGTCGCTGGAACAACTACTTCGATTCATTCAGTGAGAAGTTGCCTCATCTGCGACATTTCCGAATGGGATATGATACTCAACTCCGAGATTTCCCTCCGTTCGAGCACGAGACAGAACTCCCTCTGTGGCTGGTGGACGAACGGATGCAAGGATTTCATGACGGAGTGAGCTTCGGATCCCCGTACGTGGCTCTAGAATGCATGGACATGCACTTTGAAGGTACAGAAGGGTTTCTAATATACGACGAATGGGCCCCCGATTGGAGATTAGAGGACAAGAAGTCGTATGTGGCTTTGTTAAAAAAGATTGGGCAGAAGGAAGAACTCCGTTCTCGTTTATAATCATCCCTTTGCTACGGTTGGATGAATGGACTTCATTTATCCTAACCCCAACGACGGCCCGCCGCCGAAAGTTACGGGTGGAAGGGCAGCCATTTCTGGCGCCAGAGGCTGTCACTGTCGGCGTTGATTTCACAAGTCCCCATATCCTGTGTGTAGTTATTCTTCGCAGAACCCCAAATCAGGTCTAGCGTCGTCTTGCCCTTCTTCCCATTTGGGCATGGACATGTTGTGTTCCTTCCACCTCGACTTCGTGCTTTCTCTAAGTGACTACCTCAAGTCGTTCTAGTTTTTCTTCCCTTTTTCTTTCCCTCCCATCACAAGCCTCGCTCACTCCCTTAATCCTTCATTCTGTTCATACCCCCACCATGAACATGGATATCTCAAGCAACTATTCTCTTCTATCTTTTCCATCCACGCCGTGCCCTCGCACTCTTGATGAATGGAAGGACGCGCTCAACGGTGTGAAGCAGCTTTACGTCCAGCATCAATACAAGCAATGTCAGATGCGCTCTATGGAGCTCCTCGTAGCTGCAAAGGAACCTGTATGTGCCTTCGAGTTATATACTACTCGCCGCTTGCCTAACATACCTTGCTCTCCAGATTAACCCTATTCACAAGACTTACCTCCATTTCTACACCGCACTCTCTTACGAGTTTCAGGGTCGAGCTGCCCATGTTTACTCCAGCAACAAAATATCGCTTTTGCGCCTGTCCCTCGATCACTTCATCTCATGCAATGCCGCTTTACCGGACCCCATTCTGCTGCCGAGTCTCCAAGAAAAACATAATTTGTCTGTCTACGCTCAAGACTCTCGTACTGAGTATGGCCTCTTCCCATCTCCAGTCCACAAGTCCCTCGTTAGCAGCATCACACACATGATCGACAGTTCTCTGGTCAGTGCTGGGGATGATCCCTTCATTTCAGACCCCGAGCCCAGATCTGAGCTTCCTGCAACGTTTTCTTCGTACAAGCTTCCCCCAGACACCAAAGAGAGCAAAAGTGGGCGTCTCTTTCCCTCGCCTCTCAGAATTAGAAAGGCCTCTGTTGAAATTGCAACCTCCAGTAATGCTGCTGCAACAACCAAAGATCAGTCGAGCAAGACAATACTTCGGTCAGAATACTCGAACAGATCCCTTCCACCTCCGCTGCCGCTCAGGATTGTTCCCGCCAGTCGCCTAAATAGCAATAACCAGCGACCAAATACTGTTTTTCAGCCAAAGCCTGTGCTTTCCAAACACACCATCACAAATACCGCAAAGGCACAGAAGACTACAAACAAGCATCATGAATCAATACCGTTTGCTCGCGCAAGCGCTCAGTTCGACAACAACATCGAGTTTCTGCGGTCTCAGGTTAATTCGAGTATTACTTCCCTGCAATCCCAAATCGACAACATCACGGAGCTGCAGCATGCCCGTCGTGACCGAAACATGCGACGCTGTGCATCATTTTGGACATTCAGTCCTGTTAAGCATGATGATTTATCTGACCAAATGGAAGATGATGGCTGTGAAAAGATAGTGGACTGCTTTGGACAGCCTCTGCGGAAGGAAAGCAAGGAACAGCGCATCGCCCGCTTACGGGCCGAAGGCTGGGATACGATTGGATTGCGGTCTTATCGGAGTACTTGGAAGGGCGCCAAGTATTATCAGGAGTACTGCAATGCTGTTTTGGATGAGCTTTACCTGAATTCGTGATTGAGTTGAGCATTATTTGAGGTGCTGCCTGGCTGATACCAAGCGCTGGGATCTTATGCGATTAGTGTGGATTTACGTTGGATGTCACAAAGCTGAAGGTGCGATTTGAAAAATGTAAAATTTGGTTCAATGAGTGAACAATACAGCAATGCCAGATGTTGACTTTGAGCATCCATAGCTAGCCAATCCAAGTCCTTTGTATTATCCCCTCAAACCATAGCGGACTCACAGCACCTTGCCCAATGTCGACCCAATTCCCTCTCCAACCCCTCGTTTCCCAAATGTATCTCCAAGCTGATTTCCAAGCTGATCTTGAATCATGGCGAGATCCTTATTCTCACACAATTTCTTGCTCGTCAAGCTTTCTGCAGGGCCTCGCTGGTCAGAGATATGTAGTTATGAATGGCACAAGCAAGTTGGGAACGCACTCTTCATTCCATATGACACTTTAGTCTCCCCCATATAGCCCAAAAGAATTTCCTGTAGCTTTTTCTGGTGGTTGTCCAACATGCCGGAGACCCATGCGCCGAAGAGGACGAGTTGAGAGACAACGTAGAGGATGAAGTAGAACATGGTAAATATATTTCTTTGATTGAAGTTGGGGATGTTCTTGATTAAAGATGAGGGTTGGAAATGGTTCTTGAGGTTCAAATATTTATTGACATGTTTATCTCACCTACGCGCCTATGACGTCCAATATGACGATGTCGCGAGGTTCCGCCACGGTTGTGGGCTCGGGCCACGAATCAAAGGACGCATCCATATTAAAACGGGGCCTGAGTCCTGTTTAATCTATTTGCAGCAATATGTGAAGGAAAACGACTTTAAAGCGGTCTAATGAAGGATCGAGTCCCCGTTCTCTCCCAAATAGAGACAATCTGGAAAATTGACCCTGTGGCATTCTGGGTTAATAGAGATGCAATAACTAGAGAGCGTGTGCAGACATACCAAAAACCACCATTAAAGCCACAGTAATCGGACGCCATCCAATCAATTGCAGACAGGTCAGCCGCTGCATCGGAAGACGGTGTATTGAATTCTGGTGCATCCAGAGGCTGTAGGAGCAAGTCGACAACCGATTGCAGAGAACGTTTGGCCTGAGCAAACAATTTGAAATTTCCGTCGTTCGGACTATGTAATATATCCATGTGCGCGATCAACACGGAGAGGCTTTCAATTGTCTGTCGTCGAAGAGGGGCATCTATGTGCTTCAACCGGGATCGAGATGATGGTTGCAAAAGATAAAGAGCAAGAGCCCCTGCTGCAGGTAGAGCGCACGAGGCAACCTATGTGGAATTAGAAATGAGACGGCGCAGGCATGGAGTCGAGATTACATACTCTCCAAGCTAACGATATGAAGCCTAAACTTGGTAGTTGTTCTCGGCGCACCAGGGCCTCGTTGACCCAGGAAAGGAGGTCGCTTGCAGACTGGAATAGGGCTGACTGTTCGATACAGTGGCGCCAAGCTGCCCATTCGATCAGAAAGACCGATTGAAGATAAAACAGCCGGATCTGATGTAGACACTCGGTTTCACGACGGGATCTTGGACGGTGCCATAGTTCATGCGATGATACTATGAGGAAGCGAGGAAGCTTGGCCCATGCATCGCTGATGTCACGGCGCAGTTCACTAGATCTTATCAGTCAAATAATTTAGCAAAGCGGATGGAACGACGTACAATATCCGCTGTTGTACGTCGGATGCATTCTGACCAAGGAGTAATTCGAGTGTATCTTCTCGGATCATCGCAGTGGTTGTGGACCATCGCAAGACTGCACCCATCCGAATATGGCCCTGCGTATTCCATCCATCTTGGTCCAGCTTCCCCAATTCCCTGTCGAGGTCTTCACCTGTGATGGAATATATGTTCTCATCAACGTCAAGGGGAAAGTTGATGCAACAGAATCTTTTACTCATTCGAGGCGGTCGCCCGAGAAATGTTGCTAGGCTAACGTCAATTCCGTATAAGCGAGAAAAAATGCGCTTGCGAACTTCACACAGGAAGAAAGCAGCATTATATCCCTGCTGGGAATTTTCGTGAAGTCCAGCGGCAAGGAGAGCCCCTGCTGCATCATTCAATCGACGCCATGTCTTGAGACCTGCAGCACAGTCAGTCTACTTTCCTTTTGATATGCAAAGGTCGTATTTGTAACATACTTTGATCTCCGTAGAAGACCGACTGAAATTGAAATGTTTGGTATAGAAAAATTATGTGAACGTCGTTGAGTACATCCAAGGACTCGCAAAAGATGGCGCACTTGTTTCCGAAATGAACAAAATTCATTCGCAGCGTCTGCCGGTCTTGCTCGGTGTTATACAGAGTGTGTGGTGCGCGTAACTCTGCAGTAGCAATTCTATATATTTTGTCAGCCATTTGTATCAAATCTGTTAGAACAGACATGCAGAAGACAGCTTTCAGTACATACCCAGCAAGCGTAAGGACCACCCCCAATGTCTCCCAGCGTAAATTCGAACCCGTATACCGACCGACAAACTCCTGCAATGTCATCGAACGGTGGATATCCACGTCTCGACTGCTATTCTCAAACAAATGACGTGACAAAGTAAGAATGTCGGATTGTCGGGTTTCAGAACGCCGTAGACGTGCAATCTCTTCCGTGATTGAGTCAACAAAGGGCAGGACAAGGAACGCGCCAACATGCGACTCCAGCCCATTCCCTGTCCACTCGGAGAAAATCTGCCTGAAGGTGTTGTCAATGGCGGAGTTGATAAGTAATTCTAACAGCTGCGCTCCCTCGACTGTTGACGTGCTGTTCATCGAGTGGTCCGCAAAAGAGGTCGGACCTTCGCCATCGCGACAAATTGATAAGCTAGGCTCCGGCTCCCTAAATAATGTAGTTTGCTCTCGCAAATTATCCAGTACAGAATTCAGAGAGGATGAGCCCTGGAACCCCGGATTGGGATAAAGGCTGACTGACAGAGCTGGTTCGACGGTTCCTAGCATCGGCGCAGGCTCGAAACCTCGCAGACGTCTGAACAGAGATTAGAACTAATTTGTGTGGTATACTATAGAGCAAACATAACTCACCGCAAATCTGATAGCCGGGATACCATGGAGGACCGACTCCGCTTGAATGCATTCTTTCTGTAAACACATTCATCGGGAATGTCTCTACTAACGCAGCGAGAGCAAGGGTGTTGGTGGTCGCAGGCCAATTTGGACAGTCGACAGGCCTCGCACGATGCAATCCTCTGCGGACGTTGTGCCCTGTTCCCGTTCGAGCGAGTAGACATTGTGAGTTGACGGTCTCGGAGAAAAGTCCATGCTGACGGGCACTTCTTTTCGGCGTGTTCAAAACGAGCGATAAGCGGGGGCCTCCGCTATCTGGGGTAAACTAAGCCAATTAGAGTTCCGCTACATAACAAGAGGGACTGATAACATTATCTTGTTGGCTATTTAGTCATTGATTTATCAGACAGGGCGAGGTGTTGATTCCAGATTGTTTTATTTTTTTAATCTCGAGTACCCAAATTCCCCTTTGCATACCAACTAATTGGATAGCTTTAATGTTGGCAAAGATCCCTCCCAAGTCGGCTGAGCTCTTCCTTCCCAATAGCTCTCAATAGGTCGCGAATCAACTCTTTTCTGTATCTGCGCTGCCACCTTTTCATTCTCGCGCCAGACTCGAAGGATATTCCTTCCCACCAACTTATGCACCTGATCATCCGTTGCACCACGCCGCATGACTGCTTCAATGAGCCTCGGATATGCGGAAACATCTTCAATCCCAATAGCAACACTGCCAGTTCCGTCAAAATCGCTTCCTTCGAGATGTCAATATTGAGTAGTAGTTAACAATGAAGAAACGTCTTACCAATTCCGACATGATCCCAACCTGCAACAGATGCTGCATGATAGATATGGTCCACCACATCCTCCAGATTTGCTTTGTCTGGGTCATCGGGTCGAACGAATTTTTTTGCAAAAAAGATCATGATTAAGCCACCATTGTGCTTGAGCGCTCGAAGCACATCATCAGGTACATTTCGAAGACTTTTTCCAATTGTGTAGCACCCGGAGTGGGAGAAAATGACTGGAGCTTCTGTCATGGCCAGGACATCTCGCATTGTTCGGTGAGAAGTATGGGAGAGGTCCACCATCATCCCTAGACGGTTCATTTCTTGAACGGCGGCCCTTCCAAAATCGCTCAGTCCGTTGTCTTTGCCAGTCTCGGTAACCGTTGAGGCTGCTGTAGCGAAGGCATTGTCACAGTTATGAGTGATAGTGATGTAGCGAACTCCAATATCATATAACTGCCGGATAACAGCAATTGAAGATCCCACCTGGTGCAGTCCTTCTGCACCGAGCATCGAAGGGATTTTCTTGGACTTGAAAGCTCGTCGGGCACATTCTGCTGTCTCGCAGTATCGCAGTTCGTTGTATTCGGCAATTAATCGCTTTGCCACGTCCACTTGCTCAAGCGTATCCCGGACGCTATGCTGGAAACAGGGGATTAGTAATTATTTCAACGGTGTGATCTTAGGAGCACCTTACATTTGGGTCGTCAAGGTGGACGATAGGTGGACACTAATCTGTCTGTTAGAATTCGTCACTGTTTAAATATTCACGGTTGGGACTTTACCTCAACAAAGACAGACCAGAATTGTCCACCTACTTTGCCTTGCTTCATTCGCTTAAGATCCGTGTGGGATGCAAGACCTAAGGAGTCGTTATGGTCAGCTCCCCAAACTGTTAATTATTCCAAATGGATTAGTTCTCACCCTGGCGAAATGGAAGGTTATTTCCATAAATCTGATTGTTCAGCTGGAGCCGGACAAGAAATGGCAGGTCGTTATGTCCGTCTATGAGAGGCGTCTCTGAAAGAACCCGAGATGCTCTGGCTTGATAGTCGAGTGGATCAAACTTTTCTCCATGTAATATATCTTTTGTTTTCAGTGCCAGCCATATCGTTATAGATACAGAGGCAATAGCGACAATTTTGAGAGGATTCCATGTTCTTGCTCTCTGTTGGTTGAGTACCACCAGCTGTCCACCATTCTCGCGTGTTGTCCTCTCGGCCAATGTTGAGCCTGGTGGCCGTTGTGGCTTTATTGTGCCGGTGCGATCCATTGATACACAGGAGAATGCTTAAGATAAGATGTGTATACAAAAGGAAGCGAGAAGATACCAAGAGGGTCCGAACTGCGTAAGCCTTGGTATTTGAAAAATGCAATCACTCCACTCGCATGCGCGCTACTTTTAGAACCGGTGAAAATATCGCATCTCCAGCCTAGTATTCATGCCGGTATTCTTGGTCTCTAACAGATGGCCCCGTATATAGTTTATCTTGGCGATTTAAAGGTGCACCCGCCCTTTACATCCTCCTGTGCTCTCCGGAGTTCAAGGCCAGCTGCTCGCGATAAAGGAATTCTCGCGCAGTCTGTCTTCGATAGAAAAAATTTGCTTGGCTAGATTTACCAAAGACATCCGAATCCCAAGATCATAATCAGCCAAACAGTGCACTTACTAATTTCCCCCTCTTCGGGCAGAGATCGGAGTGTTGCACTTGGCCGGAGAGAGGAATTATCTCTTTCCCCAATGAACCTTGGATAAAATATGAGCCACCGGCCCAAGTTCAAGCATTCGGTCGTATCCACTTTCTCCGCTCTCTTTTAGCTAGCGAGGAGTTTTTTGGCGAGGAAAAGGAGAAGTGGATCTCGGAGAGAGAACGGACAAAATGACAGCTTAGCCGTGTGGATACTTCCACTAGCAAGGATGTTACTCCGAAACAAGTTCACCTCGTGCTGTTAGCGGCAAAGCTCCATACGAGCGCGCGGGGTGCCTTGCAGTACATAAGGATCCCAGACTGGCGAGCTCAAGACTGAAACAAGTTGCCCGGACAGCGTCCAAGACACGATGTTATCATCATCTTTGATCTCGCATATTGGATTTGTACTCTCTCTGGGTGCTTCCAGTGCACTCTCTATCCCTGAGTCGAGTTCCCTCCGCTATCGCAGAGCCGTCCAGCCTGCCTACATCGATGTATCTGTCGCAACATTATGGACCGATTCTAGCAAGCCGCGCGCCATAGACCAGCCGGCCCTGTCCAACCCGGCGCTCATCGAACAATGGCTCAATTCCATGAATGTTTCACAGTACCTCGATCTCACCACTGACAGCCGCACCCAAACCCAGGCATTGTATGGTGTCCGCGTTGATATCCTGGATGAGCAGAATGGCTGGTACGAAGTTGCTGTCACGGAACAGCCCACCCCAAAGAACAGCCTTGGCTACCCCGGCTGGGTCCCGTCTGCTCAGGTGTCCTTCGACACCGGCTATGGGCGGTTGCAATCGAGTAAACCATTTGCCCTAGTTGACAAGGCCGCGACTACAGCCATCTATCGAGATGCCCAATTGAAGTCAAAGTTCATTGAAATCAGCTACGACACCAGGCTGCCAGTTCTCGGCCATACCGGGGAAGCCATTCAAGTCGCAGTTCCTAGCGGTGGCTCAGCTTACTTGCCAGCACACGAGGCAACTGTCTATGACTCTGAGTCTGAAATTCCATATCCATCCAAGCTGGACCTGGTGAATGCGGCGAAGCTATTCGTCGGTCGGCCGTACCTATGGGGCGGCACAGCAGGCTTTGCCTTTGACTGTTCCGGGTTCACCCACACTCTCTACCATGCGCATGGCATCACAATTCCAAGGGACGCCGATGCTCAGGCGGATTTTACTGGTCATGGGGTACGTGTTTCCAAGGCGCAGCTGGAAGCGGGCGACCTTCTCTTCTACGCGAGCAACCAAAGCGATCCAAGTACCATCTACCATGTGGCAATGTATGTAGGCAATGGAGAGATGGCGGAGGCTTATGATGCTGGTACTCCGGTGAGGTTCACATCTGTGCGCTTCGGCGATGACTATTGGGGCGCTGAGCGGTTTCTGAAATAAGAATGAAAACAGCGGTCGGGCTTAGAACGGGCGTTGGCGATTCTCAATAGTGTGGCCCAATCAACAGACTTATTGCAAATTAACGTTTGAAATTCATTCGGGAATCACGCGGTCTTTGTGATTAAAGTCTGGTACTTAGATAAGTACCTTCTTAATTTGAAAGTGTGCAGAGAACCTCGGGAGGTTATCGCTGGAAATTGGCGAAAAGGCTAAGTCTAATCTCCAGCGCTAGTAATAATGCCCCATGGTTGAAAAAAAAATGTGGCTTCGCACAGCTGGTGCTACAGTAACAAATCTCACCTCTCGCTCGGGCCTCTTCCCCACCAGGACCCCGGTCCTGACTCCTTGGACTCCGACCTTATCACGGAGTTTACTAGCCGATGCGGCAATGACTAGCCGATCATTAGGCGTTCCACCATTCTATCGGTACAGGGCCGATATGCGAGATCCGATTTTTTAAGCTAATCAATCTTTCCGAGAAAGCGATAACAGGCATGTATGAGGCAAGTGACAGGCGCAGAGCTTATCGTTGCTTGTCGCTGGCCGACAAGACTCCGACCGAAGCTTGTTTTATGGGCCCTCTGATTGGAACAAAATCCACTGTTCTGCGAGGTCTAGTTGGGACGCTTAGCCCCGGGTTTTTCGGGCTCGGGCCATTACTGGAAACGAGCTGCTCTCCACATAAGATCCCCGCCGTCGCCTCCTTTTTTTTTAAAAAAAAAGGGGACGCTCGTGAACTATCGGGTGCAATAATTTCATTACTTTCGAAATCCAGAAATCATGGACGAAAAGCTGAGCGAAAAGCCAGGTTCCTCCGACCCTCCTCGGTATAGCACTTCGGAGGTGCCTGTGAGCACGCTTATCAAACCGCAAGCCCGCATCCCATATGATTCGAACGTCACGTTCGAGGAGTACAACTACTATGCGCAGAAGACCAGAGAGGAGGAGGAGACGCTGGAGGCACCGGTCATGGATATACGCCGGTTGCTGAGGAAAAAGCGCGAGGGTGAAGAAGATGATGTGCCAGCCACGCACCTGACGGAGGAGGATTTCACCAACCCCGAGAGGAGAATTCTTATCACGGATGAAGAGTGGCTCAATGCAAGCCGTTCGGCTAGATCCGCTGGATGGGGTGCTTGTGAGTGCAGAACACAATACGCGAAACTGCTTCAGATCTGATGGTAGCAACAGGCTTCTATTTGATTACGACCGACATCCTGGGACCGTATGGGTCTGGTTTCGCTATGGGAACATTGGGCTGGGGACCAGGTAAGCAAAATATAATTGCATAATGTCTGTATATGCCCGGTTTGTTGATTTAATGATAGGCATTGCCTTCTATACGGTTTTTGGATTGATGGTCGGTTACTCTGGATATCTCATCTGGCGTGTCTTCTGTGGTGTCGACAGTCACCAATTCCCGGCCAAGAATTATGGCGATCTTGGTTTTAGGACGCTGGGCCGCGGTGGTCGCTACGTGACCAATGTTTGCCAGGGTCTTTCACTGCTCCTGTTGGTGGGCCAGGTCACACTCCAGTTTGGCCAAAACATCTCCCAGGTCTCGAAGTTCAAGCTTTGCTACGCCGTTTGCCCTGCTCTCTTTGCCATCGCAGGCTTTTTCATCACTCAAATTCGGACTCTTAGAGCCTTTGGTTGGGTCGCAAACCTTTCCGTTTGGCTCAATATCTTTGTTATTTGTATGACGATGGGTATTTTTGCGCACTCCGAGCCAAACTACTCTGTCGCGAAATTAGGATCAGCAGGTGCATCGGTAGATCCAACGAGTATCACGCCTGTGAACGGGAAATTCCCTCCGATTATGCACTACACCAATATCCCTCCCGATGGCCTCGTTGGCTCAATCAACGGCATGCTGAATGGTGTGCTCGCATATGCGGGTGCCCAGCTTTTTGTGGAATTCATGGCTGAGATGAAGCGCCCTCGCGACTTCATTAAAGCCATGTGGCTTGCACAGTTCTTCATCTACAGCGTTTACCTCACCTACGGTTGTGTCATTTATCATTTCCAAGGACAGTATTCCTACACTCCGGCCTACCAAGGTGTCAGTATCTATTCATGGCAAACTGTCGGAAACATGATCACGTTGATCGCTGCTCTCATCGCCGGCGGTCTTTACGGCAACATTGGTATCAAGGTTGTCTACAACAACATCTTGCTGGATATCTTCAAAGCACCCCCGCTTACAACTCGGCGTGGCAAGATCATCTACGGGATCATGGTTCCGATCTGGTGGATCATCGCGTTTCTTATTGCCGCTGCTATTCCCGATTACTTCGGCTTTGTCAGTGTGATGTCTGCTTCGCTACTCCTGAACCTGTCCTACACGCTGCCTCCGTTATTTGCGCTCGGCTTCGATGTCCAGAAAAATGCCGTTCAAGTGGAACAGGGCGAAGGATTTGACCCAATCACAGGCCAAGTCAACAGGAATGTGTCTGGTGTCAAGAGATGGGTCCGTGGTTTCCTCGCCGGTGGTCTATTCCAAGTCACGATTAACATTTGGCACGTCCTCTACTTTTTGGCTTCACTGTCCATGTGCGGACTGGGGATGTATGGGGCTGTGTCGGGTTAGTATTCCTTCCATGACATCTCGTTCACCATTTAACGTCCATTTTAGGCATGATCGAGGTATTCCAAAATCCGCAGCTGACTTCGTTTTCCTGTCAATCGCCACTCAACCTTGGTTGATCCTAGTTTGAAAAATTGGTCCCTCTTCGATAAGTGCGATCTAGCTAGTTTCGCCTACGGCTATTTCGTTGAGATCTTGGAGTAACTTATGTCAAGTTGATTCGTAATAAATTGTGGTCCCGCTATAATGTCTATCAAACTATACTGAGAAGTAAGCTTAATGGATCACCTCCCAAATAGAGCCAGAATGATATTAAGCCTGGTATTTAAGACATCTGTCGACTCTCTTGGCCATTTCAAGACATTCTTCGTCCCGCATGGTCGGGGTAAAGACTTGTACTGCACACGGCGCGCCTTGAAGAGTATTAAAATCATCTGTAATTGTCAGTACCAGTAATATCAAAGGCAAAATAGATGGAGACCCTACATGGTGGTCCCGTCTGGCCCGGATGAAGTTCGAAAGTAGAGTTTGCATCAGCCTCTCCTACCTCTCCGTAAGGAATAATGCACGAGGGATACTGCAGAACATCATAGTCAGTCTTTTGCCCCAAAGAGGATCACTTTCCTACTCACGTCGAGACAATTCAACAGACAAGTGTACGGTGCGAAGCCATACTTGTCATGAGGGACAGCCGTCCCCTGTGCTCCTGGTGCCAAACAAATATCCAGGTTAAGTTGCTGCCACATCTTCCTCCAAACCTCTCGAAACTCTGCTCGACGGGTGTTCAGAAGCGCTAGTTTTCCCATGCGGTCTAGGCCTTCAGTGCTTCCCAAGGTGCTTTTATGGAACTGTTGTAGTGCTTCTGCCTGCTGCTTTATAGACAAGATTGCAGACGAGAAAGGCTCACCGGCTGCGGTGATCAGTTGAGCAGCGTTAGTGTCCAGGCTAAATAGGTTCCAAGCTACCTCGTTGATCTCTTCGAAGTGACACGCGGCTGCATCCAAGGTGATTATTTCATGACCCTGCGCTTCCAAGGCGCGGGCTGCTTCACTCAACACTCGTTTGACAGGTGGATGGAGAGGATACACCAGACTCTCAGGCAAAACACCAATTCGAAGAGTCGATTTGGGCGCAATTCGTCGCCAGGGCACATCAATCACGGTGGAGTCATATAGGGCGGGCTGTCCATCAACAACCTCTCGGCAGAAGATCTCAAGAGCATCCATATCCATGGCGAGCGGCCCAGCACAGGACAGTATAAACTTCAGGCCGCTGGTTGAGCAGATTCTCGTACCCGCGTTGGGAATTCGGCTGGTGCTGGGACGGAAACCGTATGTTCCACAACACAAAGCAGGGACTCTGATCGAGCCTAGAAGTAGGTTAGAAACCAAAGCCTGAATGAAGTGTCTGGAAAGATCTAACCTCCAACATCAGTTCCCACTCCCAATGGTGAGCCTCGAAGAGCTATCAAAGCACCTTCGCCACCACTGGATCCTCCTGGACCAAGCAACGTGTTCCGTGGGTTGAGAGTACGCCCGAAAACATTGTTTTCACATTCGCAGGTCTAGATATCTCAGTCATCGCAAGTTATTTAGGGTCTTAAGGAACGGTATAGGAGAAACGTACCATCATCGTCTGAGGCACGTTTGTTTTCACATAAATAACGGCTCCCAGTTTCAAGAGAAGATCAACCAAAGGTGAATTGGTCGTCGAAGTCTCATCAAGAAAAGCAACCATCCCAATGGTTGCCTGTGTGCCGTTGACATGGAAAGAGTCTTTGATACTCACCGGCAGACCGTGAAGCGGCCCACAGATCTTCCCCTGTGCCTTTTGCTCATCGAGCCATTGGGCTCTTTCCCTGGCTTGGGTGAACATCGTCTCTGTAAGGCATGACACCTAGCCATTTGTGAATTGTTAAATAATGGTCGGGTACAAACGAATCCATGGTCATACCAATTGCTGAGCAATAGCAGCGCGTTTAGAAAACGCGAGAGTCACTTCCAAAGCGGACAGTGTATTTTGACTCAGTGCAGCCAGAAGTTGAGAAACCGTGTAATCTTCAGTGATAGTCAACTCTTGTTCGGTCAAGATACCAGATTTGCGAATTGTCTCGTTGCCAACAAAGTCGTTTTTGTTCTGTGACAGTGGATGTTGTAAGGTAGACTTGAACTCATCCGAGAGTCTCCATTCTTCCGGTATAGCTTCCCAGCATGCTGCTCGTTTATTGGCTACCTTCTGGCGCCAGTTGTTCTCGGTTGACCCCATGTTTGGCAGTGTGGTAAGCTACGATGGGATTATAGGTGAAATGTACTGGGATGAGTTCTGGGTAAACATTCTCTTAAGAATTAGGACATGTCTAGGCACATTGGGTGCACAAGCACGCCATGTTTCACCTCGGCTCAGCAACCAACCTCAAGGCGTGGTGGTGCTCCAAGGCAGCCTGGAATTGGCCGGCTCGGCATGAGCCACTCATTGGTGAGACGCCTAAAGCGCCCGAATTCGTTGCATCCCCGCTCAAGGTGGATCTGAGCAGATGGCCATCTTAACATCTGCTCGTTGCATACTAATTAGGAAGCTGGTCTATAGTACAAATTAGATTGATCAATTAGAAAACACCTCAATGAAGAGAATAAACAAATCATCTTCTCTCCCTAAATGATTTTTCTAAAATGCTCCACGTAGAAGTCCAAACTTGTATCCCGGGCCAAGGGTTCAAAGGTATCGCTGGTTACGATTGCCGTAAGCGAGGTAACGAGCGAGCGGGGGCAACTAAACCTGGGGTTTGGTCTAAAATTTCCAATGCGAGCTCCCTGCTTTTTGCTCTCCATTCTCACTAAAGCCCGTGTTTGACTCATTTCCTTCCCAACCTTCGTATGATGTACAACATACTCCCGAAATTCAAGTTGGCCCCTTCTGCAAGCACCACCATGCTTCCTTTGCTCACCTGACTCCTGTCCTCTATCCTTTCCTCTCTTTAAAAACTTCCCTCAGCGCATTTCTAGTCATGAAGAGGAACAAATTGGAGGTATCTGGAGAGTATTTGCATTTAACTCTGCGAGATAGGTTTTACAATCCACACTTCCATGACATGTTATCAACAACCCTGGTGTGGAAATCAACAACTCTTATATTGTTTGTTCAACATGCAAGCTGTCCCCCCTTTGGCTCTCCTCAACTCTGCCTGTCTGATTTGCCATCCGCTTAAAATGTCGGGGTACCACCTTCAACGCATAGAGTTCATCGATCAAATTCCCTAGTGCTATGGTTTAGTAAACTCCGCTGAAGTAATAAAAGGGTCTTACCTTTGTTTCCGGGTATAAGAACCTTCCTCCAGTTGCAGCAATAAGCCCCTTCATCTCTCAGCATATAGCGAATGGCAAATTGCATGCAATCAGTCCGTCGCACACTTCCAGGGCACCTGGCGGGGCGCGCGAAGGCGACGACATGATCTTCATCGACGAGGACACCTGGCCGCCTAGCATGTACGGCACCGGCGGCGAGGACTATTTCACGCAGGGATGGGGCATGCCAAAAAATGCTCCCTCGAGTCCGGACATGCAAACCATCTGCGCGATGACCGGAATACGACCGCGTACTGGTACCAAACTCTTCCCGGTCCCAGGCTCGACAGTTTGCCCGTGGAAAAAGGCATTCCGCGCAGGCCTCAGTTCCCGTCGTCGGCCGATGTGCCGGAGCTGGAGGTGAGCAGCATGAGTGTGGAGAAGCAGGCGATGGTTTGGCAGCAGGGTGAGCACATGGAGGTGTTTGTTAAGGACCGCAATGAGTGGCTGTGGCGGAGGGCGCAGGTTTCTCAAGAGCGGGCGCGCAGTTATGTTCGAGATTTGCAAAGATATCCGGCGGCGTTTTCTGTAGGGGTTGGGCAATTAGGGCAAGCAATGCAGGTGCTTGAGATATAGATCTGATGGCAGACCAAACACAACATCCGCAAAATCCACAAACCTGTTATTGTTATTATTATACAACTATATTATTATGCGGTTTTGCTCAAAGCCTAGATCGAGAGCCACCATGTCATATATGGACAGACAGTAATTAGTATCGTGGCGGTGCACGCTAAACCCTACGGCCCCCTCATTACTTATCGTGAGGAACTCAGCTTTAACACGGTCTTTGCCTGCTTCTTCTCTTTCCTTCTTCATGAATATTCTCTGCAATTCTTAGGTCGTCGCCAGGAAACACGTCAGTCACCCACTTATTTCCCCCTGGATCGCCGATCGAGTCCGTCCAGACCCCGCAGGGTTTGGGGCGGCCGGGCCGTTCAGCTCTTGCGACCGTTGAACTAACACTAACACGCTGGACAGCTCTGCTCTTGCCAACCTCCCTCTTCGTCTTCCACCTTCTCGTCGCCTTCATTCCCCTTTCCGCCCTCCCTGGAATCGATTGACACCGCTCACAACTCTTTATCCCTGTTCTGTTCCCCGCGAGCGCATCCCTCCATTCGACCCCGCGGACTATCGCTACGCAGCCGGATCCCTACACGATGAGTTGTGAGTCGCCCATTCTATACTGCTTCTTCTTGCTTGCTTTTTGTGTGTGCAACACCTACGGATCTAGGCCGTTGGGCCACGTTTCTCGCCGAGGAACTGGACTTCAGCCTCGTCCTTGTCTCAGCCGCAACCATTAGATCCCCCCCCCAAAATTACTGCGTCTGTGCTCTGACGAGCAATGCGCTGGACACATACAGGGGGCGCTCAGCTGGCACTCGAGTCCGTTCCTGTCGTCTGCTCACTCACCTTGCTTGCTCTTCTTTATTTTCCTTTACGTGCATGCTAACTCGCAACCCTCCAGTCTCGAACATGTTGAACAAGCTGTCCGGGCAGCCGGAGAGCTACGAGAGGAAGTAGGTCGTTCCACCCATTGTTGAATACACCATTTTTGCTGAGACGCGACTTTGGGTGATTATAGGACACAGTACAAGTTTGGTCGAACATTGGGCGCGGGTACCTACGGCATTGTTCGCGAAGCCGATTCCCCTTACGGCAAGGTTGCCGTCAAGATCATCCTCAAGAAGAATGTCCGCGGTAACGAGGGCATGGTTTACGATGAGCTCGAGATGCTGCAGCAGCTCAACCATCCCCACATCGTCCACTTTGTTGACTGGTTTGAATCCAAGGTGAGCTCCGCGACCCATGCGATTACGCCCCCTCTAACAACCAGCCAGGATAAATTCTACATTGTCACGGACCTGGCCGTGGGCGGCGAGCTGTTTGACCGGATTTGCGAATACGGCAAGTTCACGGAGAAAGACGCCTCGCAGACGATGCGGCAGGTGTTTGATGCTGTCAACTATCTCCACGAGCGCAACATTGTTCACCGAGGTTGGTCCTGCTCACGCACGCCAAAGGATTACCTACTGATAGCGCGCTAGATCTGAAACCCGAGAACCTTCTGTATCAGACGCGCTCCCCTGACTCCCAATTAGTGCTGGCAGATTTCGGTATCGCCAAGACGCTGGAGAATCCGACCGAGGTGCTCACTAGTATGGCCGGTTCATTCGGCTATGCAGCGCCCGAGGTCATGCTCAAGCGAGGCCACGGTAAACCGGTCGATATCTGGTCGCTCGGTGTCATTACCTACACGCTGCTGTGCGGCTACTCCCCTTTCCGGTCCGAGAACCTGACCGACCTGATCGAAGAATGCCGGGCGGGCCGCATCATTTTCCACGAGCGGTACTGGAAGGGCGTCTCGCAGGATGCCAAGAACTTCATCATGACCCTTCTCCAGCCTGACCCGAATAATCGTCCCACCTCGCAAGAGGCCCTCAAGCACTCCTGGCTCAAGGGCGAGTCGGCCAGCGACCGCGACCTGCTGCCCGAGCTCCGCGCCTACATTGCCAAGGCGCGCCTTCGCCGCGGCATCGAGATTGTCAAGCTCGCCAACCGCATTGAGGCGCTTAAGATGCACGAGGACGAGGCGGACGGGGACGATATCCCCAGCCCCACAGCCATGGCTGAAGCAGCTGTTGATGGTGAGGCAGCTCCCGCTGAATCGAATGGTGAGGGCAAGAAGAAGCGCAGTCTGGGCGATGTTGCCAAGGGGGCCATCTTCCGAGAAGTGGTGCTGGCCAAGGTGCGTGAGATGAAGGAAAACGAGGAACTGGAGAAGGTGGAGCGCGAGGCCCGGGAGAAGGGGTCGCATTGAGCATTGTCTTTTTCTTTCATCTTCTGGTCATTTGTTTCTAATGGTTTGGTTGGTTTTCCTGGATATCCATTCTCATACATATCGTCGTTAGTTATGGTTCTGGCAGTATAGTCCATAAATCACGTGGGATCGTCATTTCTTATCTGGCTCTCCATCTTCCTTCCTCACCACATCCATGTACACTTCAGCGGGCAGTGTAAATAAAAGGCCGCCATGTTCGCCACGAAGCGCCTGAGCAAGGTACGTTCTATTCTGGTCAAAAGGATTCGCCCTCAGAACTGACGAGTCCATCTCGGAAATACAGGAGCTCCTAAAGGTACCGATACTCCCCACTTCCACTGTCTACCCTCGACACCCCCCTCCTTCCCCCCACACTGAATCGAGTCGGGCCAACTCCTTTTCTCTAGCTGAAAGAACACATCCCACCTGGCATCTCAATCGCCAAATCCGACAACCTCGAAGAATGGCAAATGGACATCAAAGTCCTAGACGACAACCCGCTCTACCAGAACCAAACCTATCGCTTGAAGTTCACCTTCGGAAAGAAATATCCAATCGGTACGCACCCCCTCTCACTCTGATTCCTATTCTTTTCCTCACCCTGTGTCGGTTGTACTGGTTAGAACCCCCCGAGGTCCAATTCATAACCGCCACCACCGCTTCCACCTCCACCTCGCCCTCCGAATCAAACAGCAACACCGAGCACAACACACCCCGCGCCATCCCCATGCACCCGCACATCTACAGCAACGGGATCATCTGTCTTGACCTCCTCAGCAGCGCGGGCTGGTCGCCAGTGCAGACGGTGGAGAGTGTGTGCATGAGTATTCAGAGCATGCTTACTGCGAACACGAAGAACGAGCGCCCGCCGGGGGACGCAGAGTTTGTGAATTATAATCGGCGCCGTATTCGGGATATTCCGTTTGTTTATGAGGATGATAACGTATAAGCTGGGGGCGGTGCGTTGGTGTGTCGAGGCGGAGGGGTGCCTTGCGACATGCTGTGGTACACTCGAGTGAGGAGGTGAGATTGGTCCAAGCACGGATTAGCTGGACACCTCTTTGTGATGATTGGCATTCCTGCATTGGCGTTCCTGCTGGCCTTTTGATGGCCGATGAGGTGGATTTGGAGCATGGCGTTGATGGGGTTAGAGCGATTCCTTACGTTTATTCAACCAGCAATTCAAGAACCATCTTCTGATAAATGATACTGATATCGTAGAATATCACCTGAATATCACCTTATCCTGCTCAAATCTACCTCCGCGCCTACAACTGCAATCTATAGCTGGAAAGACATCTCTTCGAAGATTCAGTTCACTATACACATGATTTATGGGAAGCAGGTAGGAAAAGACAATGAGGTGACAAAGGGAAAGGGGAAAAGAAAATAATAGAACAACGCCATGGGAAGAAACATGGAGGAAAGGTGTCCAGGTATGGGTACACCTGGGTTGGTCCAAGTGTTTGGTTATTGGTCACATCGAGGACGGCGCGATTGACACCGAGCCCGTGGGGAGGCGAGTTGAAAGCCTCTTTTGTTTTCATCTTTTTATAGTTGTGCAGAACCGTATTTACCGGTCGACCTCACCGAACACCAGATCCATAGTACCTAAGACGACATTAGCAATGGAAATATACGAGCGCGAAAGGTCGAGACTTACCGATAATGGCGACAGCATCAGCCAGCAAGTGGCCACGAGACACCTGGTCAAAGCCACCCAAGTGGGCGAAACCGGGCGCACGGATCTTGCAGCGGTAGGGCCGCTCGCTGCCGTCGCTGACCAGGAACACACCCATCTCACCCTTGGGCGCCTCAATGGCCGAGTATGTCTCCCCGGGGGGCACGGAGTAACCCTTGGTGAAGAGCAGGAAGTGGTGGATCAAAGCCTCCATGTTCTCCTTCATGGCGGCACGGGGCGGCGGCGAGATCTTGTAGTCCTCAACACGAACGGGGCCGGCGGGCATCTTGTTCAGGCACTGGTGAATGATGCGTAGAGACTGGCGGAACTCCTCCATCCGGCACAGGTATCGGTCGTAGCAGTCGCCGTTCACACCGACGGGAACGTCAAACTCCACCTGGTCATAGGCGTCGTACGGCTGCGACTTGCGGATATCCCAGGGAACACCAGAGCCACGGAGCATGACACCGGTGAAACTCATGCTCAGGGCATCCGCAACGGGGACAACACCCACACCCTGGGTTCTTGCCTTCCAGATACGGTTGTCCGTGAGCAGCTCCTCGGTCTCGTCGATGCGGTCACCGAATTGCGTGGCCCACTGGTAGATATCATCCAAAAGACCCAGGGGCAAGTCCTGCGAGACACCGCCAGGGCGGACGTAGGCAGCGTGGAGACGAGCACCGGAGACACGCTCGTAGAATTCCTGAAAAGAAACACAGACAAATCAGCCAATGGAGTTTACCGCGGAAATCATAATTTACTCACCATGAGCTTCTCACGCTCCTCGAACCCCCACAGGAAAGGGGTTAGAGCACCAACGTCCATAGCGTGCGAGAGGACGGACATGAGGTGGTTCAGTACACGAGTCATCTCGCCGAACAACGTGCGAATCCACTTGGCACGCTCCGGGATCTCGATATTCAGCAGCTTCTCGACAGCCAGCGAGAAGCACTGCTCGTTCGTCATCATGGAGACATAGTCCAGTCGGTCGAAGTAAGGCAGGGCCTGCATGTAGGTCTTGTACTCGATCAACTTCTCCGTGCCACGGTGTAGCAAACCGACGTGGGGATCGGAGCGAACGATTTCCTCGCCATTGAGCTCGAGAATCAGACGAAGCACACCGTGAGCAGCGGGATGCTGAGGACCGAAATTGACGGTGTAGTGACGGATCTTACGGTCCAATCCCTCGGCCTCGGACTCCAGAGCAGCAGCTTCCGGGTCCTCGGGCCCCCCCTTGTTGGCGAGGGACGTGAAGGTCGGGTCGGTCGGAATGAGTCTGGTGGCCTGGTAGCTGGTGGCCTCTGCATGTCGGCGCGGGACAGAGGTGGCTAGCGAGCGCGAACGGGGGACTGATGTGTTTAGGATGGTGGAGGGGCGGAGGCAGAGCCTTTTGGGCGCATTGCCCGCCAGGCGAGCGAAGGAAGCAGCCATTGGAGGGTCGTGGGAGAGATATGAGAAGGAGTGACGAGGGAGGGAGGGCTGATCCTCAGTCCAGGCGCATGCAATGGGTGGGGATGGGCGCGGGATTGGGGAAACGGACGACCACGATGAGGACGAAAGGCATTTCGGGGAGTCACGTGGTTGGGCGAGCTGTCATCAGCCGGGCTGTGGTTGGCCAGTGTGCCTGTCTATAATGCACCTATGGAGCACTGGTATGTATGATGATAGGGTGCTTTATAGCCTTCTGTTACTGCCTCAGGCCTCGCTAAAAATTAGCTGCGCCAGAAATTGGTCTTATCGTGAACAATCTCTCGTCTACACTTCACTTTCTCCCAAGTTGCCCACCATGGCGCCTCTTGTTCCCTCTCATGAGGAGCTGCAGCGTCGCCGAGTACGTCTGACTTCTCTTTCTTGCTCTCTACCAAACTAACCACTCCCAGATCATCGGCATCAACGCGGAAACCGTCACCAACATCCCCTCCACGGATTTCCCAGGCCACTGGCCCGGAGAGTCGCATGGCTGGGCAATTGATCAGTTCAAGAAAGTATGTACCATACATGGAGGGATCTGCAAAATTTTCACTTTCTAATGGCATGCGCGTTCCAGGATTTCCAAGTCGAGTTCCACAGCAATGACCAGTTCGAAGCCTCGTTTTCTCTGATCGGACTCGACGCCGCAGTCGCCAACGCCTTCCGTCGTATCCTGATGGCCGAGATTCCGACTCTGGCGATTGAGTACGTCTACGTGCACAACAATACCTCCGTCATCCAGGATGAAGTGCTCGCACAGCGACTGGGTCTTATCCCGCTCCAGGGCTCTGTCGAGGGAATAAACTGGATGCACTGGTTTCGGAAGCCGTCAGAGGATGACGAGGGCACGGAAGCCAACACTCCCAGCGATTTTAACACCGTCGTCCTGCGCCTGGAGGTCGAGTGTACCATCAACCCGGATGCCGCCGTGGATGAGCAGGATCCTCGCAAGAAATACAACAACGCCCATGTCTACGCAAAGGATATTGTGTTCGTCCCCGTTGGTCGCCAGGAAGAGTACTTCGTGGATGAGGGTGCCATCCGGCCCACCAATCCGGACATCCTAATCGCCAAGCTGCGCCCCGGCCAGAAGATTGAGATGGAACTGCACTGTGTCAAAGGTATTGGGGCCGACCATGCCAAGTTCTCGCCCGTTGCGACAGCTACCTACCGTCTCCTGCCGGATATCCAGATCGAGCGCCCGATCATTGGCGAAGATGCTAAAAAGTTCGCCAACTGCTTCCCCAAGGGGGTTATCGGCCTCGAGACTGTTACGAGGGAGGAAGCCGCGCGTCGTGGAAGCGGATACGAGGGACATGCGGGCGAGCAGAAGGCCGTTGTCAAGGATCCATTCAAGGATACCGTCAGCCGCGAATGTCTGCGCCATGAGGAATTCCAGGGCAAGGTCAAACTAGGACGAGTGCGGGATCACTTTATCTTCAACGTGGAGAGTACCGGCCAGTTCGACAGCGATGTCCTATTCCTAGAGTCGGTGAAGGTGCTGAAGCTCAAGTGTGCCCAGTGGAAGCGAGGTCTGACCGATCTCATGGCATAGAGGGTTGCCAGTATATTCTGCATTGCCTTGGCGTTGGATTGCTCTTTTAGTCTGCTTTATTTGTGATGTACACTATTACGAAAAGTTTGGTCAACTCTGTTGGATCTTTGATATAAAAGAAGAGAGCCACCTTTGGATTCTAACGAATAAACTGGGCTATATAATCGTTCATGTCATCATCGGAGAACTCACTTTGAGTGCTATTTGAAGTTCAACCTGTAGCGGAAGTCAATGGTGTAGGCCGGGTCGCTGACCGCGATCTCCTGTCCATCGGCAACCAAATCACGAAGCTTGAGCTGCAGATTCGGGCGGGTCTGCTCCTCCAGCTGAGGTGGGAAGCGCTGATACAATGTCTTCTCCTCTGTCCGCATGCTTGGTTTCTTAAGCTGTGCCTCCGCCCTCTCTCCAAGGCTCTCAATGAAGTCTCCCAGTGTCACATCAGGATCCACCTCCATCTTGCGAGCAAGATTGCCGCACACGGGGCAATCGGGCTTCTTTTCCGCTTGGAAGGTGTAGGTGTAAACCCCTTCTTCGCCAGCGTACATCATGTAGTTGTCCAGGTACGGATTGCACGAGGCTGCGATCTTGAGCACCTCCGATGTCGTGGACGCCGCAATCACGGCGTTGGTGGATGCAATGGCTGGGATGATGTTCTTCACCACGCCTTGCGTCATCTGGAAAGTCACTCCGTGGATATGGAATTGCTGCCCTCGTGCCAGGGCAGCATTGTACACCCAGGAAATGTGTTCCATATCGTCGCTGTCGAAAGGTTCATCTTTGCGCTTCTCCTGCCACGCAATCTGGTAAGCCCATTCGATGCAGTGTTGTGGCTGACGCGGAATAGTGGCAATGGTACATAGAGGCACCGCCGGGCGAGGGGCATGCATATCGAGTTGACACTCGATGCATGACGAGAGAGTAGGTAGAATCACACGAGATTGGCCCTTGAAGCCTGCTTGGTGATCAGCACACATTATTTTTTGGGTGTAACAGCCACTGCGTACCTTCGGTTCCTCCATCCACTAGTGGCTTCAGGCTCTCTGGGTTCTCCATGTCCACCATTGCGATGAGTGTGGAGTTAATCCAGCGTCGAGCTTCAATGCTATCCAGACCGCAGATGACAATCTTGAACTGCATGTAATAATCCTCGTCCTTATCTTGAATCTTACCAACGTAGGGAGTGATCTTGACTCCCTTCACCCGCTTCTCTACGAAAGCTGCCGCAACCTCGGCTTTAGGCTTGCCGATATCAGCCTGCCGGAAAAGAAACTGTCGATTCAAGTTTGAGATGTCGATGGTGTCTGTCGCATGCTGTTAGAATCTGGGGTGCCATGGCGTGCGGGGGGAAGTACCCATGTCGATGACATGAATGTCCTTGAAACCCGACAGTGCGAGGTTCTTCAGAATCTCACATCCCAATCCGCCCGCTCCGCTAGAGAGTTGTCAGCATTCATCTCGATGCGGGGCAACAACTTGGCGGATGGACAAACATCACCCTGGAATTGAGGTCAGCACAATTCGAGAGCTTCACAGTATATCGTCTTACAGGATCTTGGAGCTCTCCAAGGTGGCGATCGTTTCAGGGCCAAACTCCCAATCCTCATCGGTAAGCGGCCCGTTCTTGCTCAGAGCCTTGTAGAGATATGTCCTGCGTGATGTGAGTTCATGATGCAAGATCACTTGCATTAGATGTCTCACCATCGCGCTTGTGGATCGATGCTCATGGTGAAGAGATCAAATGTCCACTATTCGGGTCTCTCTATCTAGTCCTGTACCACGCGTCAAGGACCTTATTGTCAGAGTTGCCGTTGCTCCGGCGACACAGGAAATGAGTTATTTAGCCACAGTCTCTGCTATGGGAAGTGCAGGATTAGTTTCGACGTAAGAAGGATGTTGATGGAGGAAGAGCTGAGGTCGCCTTGTCCAGGCGTTTAATCGAGGCAGATAGTCACGTGATGTGCTCTCCCGGACAGTCGTACCTTGTTTCTTCCACATCACTCTCGCTCTGCCTCTTTCCGGTATTAACGAATCAATGGATGGTCTGTTGACTGCCGTCAATACGGTTAAGAGAGACGCAGAAACACCTTTGGTGACCTCTTCAGAGTCAGCTCAACAGCAAAAGCCTTTTCCCACATCAGATTTATATTCCAATCATGATGATCTATCACCAGACCAGATCATAAGCGTATTGCGGTCCAACCCAGACCGCGAACATCTTTCTGTTATTCTGGCTGCCCTTGATCCATTCAACAAATTTTCCAAAGCAAAGGATGTCGATATCAGGATCCCCAGTCCGACCACAGCCCAGATCCTCCAGGTTTTAGTCAGCGCCACGATACCTGACCACTGGAGATCGTTCGATGCAAAGGAGAGAAAGACCAAAGACAGCAAGACTCGAGCAGCATTATTGAGATGCCTCAGTAGTGTGGCCGGTCTCGGGTCCATCGTGGCCCAGGTACGGTCTCTGGTGGCCGCGGCTCGCGGCTCGATCAAAGAAGGTCAAGGCTCGGCCAGTCAACATGTCATCCAAGATATTCTTACCGTCCTTGCTGTCTTATTGGAGCCTAAAGACTTCTTGTCTCGTCTGTATGCAGACATTTCAGTCGTCTATGACCACAAGACCCGGCAGCAAGTGGCTTGGAGAGAGCTCGCCTCACTCGTTGCTGCGGGTCGAATTCTGTCCACGGCAGCGGAGGCACTCACTCTCGTGGATGATTCAAAGCCTTTATCATCAATTTCCTGGACTGGAAATGGCTCTCAATATGCATTATGGCTTGGCGACAATGTCTGTCATCTGGTCTCGAAGCTGAAACGCGAGGACGAAAATGCCTGGGGCTTTGCCGCTTTTCTCCTTGGGCGGGCATTAAGTCTTGGATACACAGGTAATTCCTTGCAAACAACTTCACATCTAATTTTCAACACTGACCCTCTACCAGATCAGTTAGTTAGGAAGATTTACTTGGGACTTTTGATCGAACCTTGCATCCCAGACCATTTTGGCATGCTTCTGGATCATCTCAGGCAGTCTGAGCAGCTTGCGGTTGTTGAGGCTATTTTCCGTGACGTGCAAAAGAAACATTTCTCAGAAGAATTGGCGGGTACAATCACCCAGCCATTTGCTCCAGATGAGATTGTCAAAGGGGTAGCGGCATTATGTGCGACCATCATTGGCAATCGCCCGTTCTTGAAGAGTCAAATATTGGAATGGCTCTCGAAAAGCCAAGGTGGTTCAATACAAACACTAGGGCTGCGAAGGGCTCTCTTAGCTACTCTTGCTAACCAGGAGGGTGAGTATGACCACTATAGCAGTCAGTCAGTTACTAATGTCAGGCAAGATGCGCTCAAGTCTCTTCTCGAACGCGGTCTAGAGCAATTTGGCGATAAGTTTCACATTAAACATCTTCCGATCATAACACAGAATGGTTGGTTGAAATCCGTTATTTTGTTTTACCTGCATACTAACAACCCCCAGCCAACGCTCAATTGGTCCTTTTGGCTGCGGGTCATCTTCGTCGCCTAAGTCCAGCCCAGCTGAAGGATATAGGGCGAACAGGGATCTTCCTCAATTCAGTCTCTAATCGACTTGCGTCATCTTCAAACAGAGCACGATTCCTGGGCATGATTGTTGGAACAGGGATGTCTAGGCTCATCGAAGAACCGGGCAAGGCGATGGAGTTTGATCTGGAAGAGATGCGAGGAGAAGAGGCACATCGGTACTTGAGCCTAATCACAGTCCAAGATGAGGTTGGATCGTTGGAGTCCATCAGGTCAATTCAAGACCTACGCCAACTCCCGCAACCGAAAGTGAAAGCTACCCTTTCCAAACGTACACCGCAGGCAAAGAGTCGCCCACAAACAGGCAAGATTGTGGCTATTGAGGAGATTGATGACAGCGACGAGGGAACAGATGAGGACGAGGACCTGATCCCATATGAAAAACCCGACGCTGATGCCTCTGATTCGGATGAGGACCCTACTTTGGTCCAACGTAACAAGCCTACAGCGCCAGTGTGGGTAGTTCGCGACCTTTGAAAAACTATCACTAACTAGCTTTTCTAGGTACATCCGTGATCTAATCACCTGCCTCCGAGATATTGAAAATGTCGAGCGTTATCACCTCGCCATCGCTACTGCACCGTCCTTAATCCGCCGCAAGACGGGGTTCGGAACCGAACTCATCGAACAGACAGAGGAGCTGGCGCTCATACTTGTTGGTCTACAAAACGACAGCAATGCCCCACAGTTTCACGAGTCACGTCTTCAAAGCATGATTGCATTGATCGTGTCCCAGCCACTAAAGATGGGCCGTTGGTTCACTGCCATCTACTTCGACGGCGATCTTTCCCAGGTTCAACGCTCTGCCGTCCTCACAGCCCTGGGCTTGAGTGCTCGCGAGATAGCCGGCAACGGAGATGATGATGCTCGAATGCTGGGTCTGCCAGCTAAGGGGGATACTTCATTCCCATCCAAGCGTCTGACTCCTGCTCAGGAAGCAATTTACTCGAGCACCCCCACTGAATCTCCCATCGCAACCCTCACAAGAGAAATGTCTCGGTCCTCCCTTCAACCGCTCGCCGCCGACGCAGCAGATGTCATCACGGGACCGAACGCGCTCAAAGTACGCACCTTTTCGTCCCGCATGGAAGTGGAGAAGAAGCGCCAGGAGCGTGATGCGCAGCGCCAGAAGTCAATTATCAAAGACCTACACAAGGTGTTGGCTGAAGGGTTCTTCTACCCCCTCCAAGGCCGGTTTGAGGTTATGATGCTACAGTTTTCCTCGTTCGTTCAAAACCTCTGTAATATCTGAATATCAACTGACGGCCACGCTATAGATCATCCGCTTCCTCATACAACCCCTTCTTCATCCCACATCTCCTCACTCTCTTCCTACAAACCCTATCTCTCACCCTCACAACGGCAGGCCCCCACACACCCTTCCTGGCAGGCCTAACACACGAAACGCTCTCCTTGCTCCTCTCACTACACTCAACAAACGTATCCAGTGAACCAACCGTCACGGCGGCGCTCCTCTCGCTCTTCCTAGCCGTGATAGATCTGAACGTTGCCTCCGGATCGAACGGCGAGGAGCGTCTGGTCACCGAGTACGCGACGCAGGTGATTGAGTTGCGCGAATGGGCTTCCCAGGTCTTTGATCGGATGCCGCCGGTGTCGAAATCCGATGCCAAGGATGATCCGCAGGAGCAGGTGCGCACCCTCGCTGCTGGGATTATGGTCCGGACGGGGGAGGTTATGGAGCGGTACCAGGGACGGTTGATGGGTGTTAATGCAGGATTCAGGTACTGAACTTGGACTTACTGTCCTAGATTTTATGCAAGTCAATGTCTACAGAATATAGAATTGTTCATGGGAAAAGCACACACAGTGTGCTTTCGTGATTGCTTGAGGGTATTATGTCGTGAACGATTACAACCAAAACCATACATCTCCTCACCCCCTACTCCGCTGGAGCGAAGCTGTCCTTCTCAACTGCCGCCTCCATCATCCGATCCCCACTGATAATCCCAGTCGTGCAAATAACGATCTTGCGACGCGGCGCCTCCTGCGCAGCAATAAATCGCAACGCCGCAATCTCCGTGAATGTGATGCCGCCAAGGAAGAAAACATACACGGTCTTGGTGGCCTGATTGCCGCTGAGAGTTTGTCTCGCCCGAACAGCCTTGTCGTCGCCCTTCTGGACAATGCTGAAGCTGGACCCACGCGCGCTCTTGACCACGTCCTCGAAGCCGAGCCAGCCCGGTGAGGCCGTGCTAGCGGCATTCATCGAAGCGGCAGGGGAGCCGCCCTTGATGAGAGAGAGCATGTAAGGTTTCTGTAACACGCATTGAACCAGGCGCACGCTGAGTGGCGCGAAGCCGCTGTACACGTAGGAAATATCATTGGGGTCCTTTTCGCTGACTTCCTCGATCACCAGGCGTAGATTTTTCCGCAGGTACCCGTAATTGGTCTTGGTGCCGGCATGGGCGCCGGAGGTCGTTGGAAGGAGCATGGTTGTCGCGGAGGAGCGCGGCTGGAGGAGCTCCATCTTTTCCAATGCCCAAAAAGTGAGGAGATGTTGATGGCCGTAAGCCTGGATGACTTGGCGTTTGAAGTTCTCCAGGTCTCGTGGACGTAGTCCGCCTGACATGCATGACTCTAGGCACAGCAGCCGGAGTACACTCTTTAGAGGGACATCGCGAGCAATGAGCTCTTCAATTGTCTCATGCTGGTATGTCGGGTCTGCACCCGCAGCATCATTCTGCTGGACTTCCAGCAGCTTGCGGAAAGTCTCTGAGCGGGTAAGCCTCATGATTTCCTCGGCGAGGTTGGTATGGATCCTCAAGCTCTGGTGCTCCAACTGGTATGTCGGTAATCTATTAACGAATTCGCGAAGTTCTCCGGTTGTTTTCGCCGTGTGTCGGCTCTCGTACTCGGTTTCCAGGCGGCGGGCCACCTTATTCAGAATATCTCCCACAATGGCAAAATTTGCGTCTCGCAGTTGGCTGAACAGCTGATCGGATGCATCAAGTTGGATCTTTCGTTTCAATCCCGGTTTTGACTGCTGTGGTGTCTTCGACGATTCCTGGGCTTGGGGTTGTGGGGCTTGCCCGACAATACTTGTATCCACATCGGCTTGGTTGTGTTTGATGCCGACATATTCATCAATGAGACCTTCGTAGGTAAGTTGCGTGAGAAGTGGAGTCCCAAAGTCCACATCTCGGTCAATAATAATCAGGTTTTCTGTGTCCGCGCTAGGCAGAAGTCCTCGCGAGGAGGGGTCTGCCAACCCGGAGCTTTCCTCCGCGTCGAGCTCTTTCCTCATCCGCAATAACAGGTCTGCCAGACGGCGTGCATTGTCGCCCTTGCCCACAATCCGAGGGAAATAGCCATGTCTTTGTTGGACTCCCATCAAAGCCTTGGCGGCCAAGAAGATGCAGCCCGGGTCTTTGTGCTGTTGGGAGTGAGGTTAACCATCTGAAGACCATATTTCGTGGCTCACTTACCAAGTACAAGTCGCTGAAAGCATCATTCAGTTCTAGGGACAATACATCCTGCTCCAATGGCATAAAGTAGAGTGGAAACTCGGCGACATTCACATCCCCTATGATGCCGGCCTCCTCCAAGACGGCATTGCTGACGAGTGTCCGCCTGGGCGCAAAGAAGATGGAGAACTCATGTTCCACATTGCTATTGTTCCGCAGACGTTTGATTTGTTCTGGGTCAAGAATGTCAGCTCATACTGATGGCGCTCAGTCGAGGCAGAAACAGGAAAGAATGCCAATGAAATGAGCTCGTGATACAAAAATAGAATCACAGAGGCTGATCTAGGGAGTCTGATACATTACGTAGAGTAGATAGTCCTTCTGCGTAATATACAGTGGTCCCATAAAACAAACATGAGCTAGGCAGCAGGGAAATCCACATACCGGCGACGATGCGCACATGCTGCGCCTTTTCGCCACGAACCAGGAACACAACGTGGCGCTGGGACGAGTCGATGTTGGCGTTTTCCAGGAGGAACACCCGATCCACGCCGTACTCCTGCAGCACGGAGAACTTGACAAACAGCCCAACTGGACCGGCCAGATCCTGGCTGATCACGAGGTTCTTCTTGCCTCGAGCCTGTCCGGGAGGGTTAGCCAGAATTCAGCAATATCAGACACCATACTCACCCCTTCCAGTAGGCCTAGCAGGTCACGCCGCGCCTTGTCCCTGACGTGGTCGGCGTCCATGGCGGGAGTCGTTCAAGACGGTTGTTGCTGTTGCTGCGTCGCTCTTTCCATATCCGGGTAGTCTAGAACATGACTCAGCAGGGGGCGGTGCTGTCTGTAATGACGGGGTAATGCAACCGCCACTCCCCGCCTGAGCCCACTGTTACGGCGGTATGGATGTTACGCCACTTAATGCGGCTGCGACTTTGAGTCTCTCTCCTGAAGATAAATCCTCACTCTTCAACTTCTTCACACCCTCTGACTGTGATCCCCCATTCCTTTCCTCCCTATTTTTGCATTCACTATTGATCTGTCGTTACTATGGGGCTCTTCAAGAAATCATCAGATGGCGATGAGGAATCGTCCCGCCGGGCCCTGTTCAGCTCCCGGTCGAAGAGCAAGAGCCCCGCGCCGATTTCCAATCCCTATGCCCAACCCGTACCGATGGACCCGTACACAAAAGCCAAGATCAGCGCCGGTGTGGCTTATCCCCCTCAGCCCGGCCAGAATGCCGGCGTGAGCGGTCCCCCTGGGCCCCATTCGATCCCAGCCGACAACAAGTACGGCGGCTACGCTCCCAATCAGTACGGCAATCAGGGTGGATATGGGAGCAATCGGTTCGGCGGACCCAGTGCTGGCGCTGGCGCTGGCGCTGGCGCTGCTGCTGCTGCTGCGCCATCTCGTTACGGTGCGGGTGGCTATGGAGGACTAGGCAGCTCCGACCCCAACGACCCCGCGGCCGCAGCCCAACGAAACGAGCTTTTTGGTGGTGCCCGAGACCGGGCACAGCAGAATCCGTCGGGCTCTGGAGCGCCGCCGCCATACTCGGACGATCAGCCGAATAACTATGGAGGCGGCAGCAACGAGTACAGCATGTCGACCTTCCAGGACCGACAGCTCACCGCGGAAGAGGAGGAAGAAGCGAGTATTCAGGATACCAAGCAAGAGATCCGCTTCGTTAAGCAGGGAGACGTTGCGTCCACCCGGAACGCCCTTCGTGCTGCCCAGCAGGCTGAGGAGACTGGTCGGGCCACACTAGCCCGCCTGGGGGGCCAGAGCGAGACGATCCACGACACCGAGAGGAGCCTTGACATGGCGGCAATTGAGGGCCGGCTCGCCCAGGAGAAAGCGCGAGAGCTTAAGACACTCAATAAGAGCATGTTCGCCATGCATGTCAACAACCCGTTCACCAGCAGCCAGCGTCGGCGAGATCGCGATGAGCGCATCCTCAACACCCACCGCGAGGAGCGTGGTCTACGTGAAGACACCAGGGCCGAGGCGTACCAGACCAACGCCCGGATGGAGCGGACATTCCGCGATATTGACAAGGAGGCGGCGAAGGCAGCCAAGGGACGCAAGGCCAATGTCACGGAGCGTGCCAAGTACCAGTTCGAGGCGGACAGCGAGGACGAGGCGATGGAGGATGAGATTGAGCAAAACCTGGACCTTCTCGGAGGAGCCGCGGGTCGGTTGAACGGGCTTGCTAAGGCGACCGGCCGCGAGCTGGACGAGCAGAACCGGCATCTGGATCGTATCATGGGCAAGGTCAGTCTTCTTACCCCAAGTCTATCTCTCATCCAACTAACGGCCATTACAGAGCGACTTCGTCGACGACCAGATTGCCATGAACCGGGCCAAGCTGGACCGCATCCATTAAGTATTTCTGTCATCCAGATTGGAGCTGCAATATGCCTGGCGCTGCGCGGCTCCGTAATCCCCACGAATAATCACCACAATCATCATAATCATCATAACCATCACCAATGGAGGCGTTTTGGGTCTTTTATGGAGGGGGGTTTTTCTCTCTCTCTTCTTTGCTCGTACACACAGCGCCATTGGCAAAAATCATCTTGTTTTCGAACTGCTTTAGACCAAGAATAATCGTTTCTTAATCAATGTCCGCTTCCACACCCCGAGCATATCTACCGTGTGAGCCTCGGGATAATTATCCTTGGTTGCAATTGAGCTAAGCTATAACGACTACTGTAACTACTATTTCTGCTACGGGCGGTCTGTTCCGTCCATTCGGAGATCAACACCCCGTGCGGGGACCGTGTGGAGAGCGACCAGGCCGAGACCGAGTGAGGAAACGCCGGAGGTTGAGTCTCCGAGTAACTACATCAAAAGAAAGAAGAAAAAAAGCCATATATCAGCTCATGACAGCCACACCCATTTAAATACCTCTCTGCATTATCTCACCGTTTATTCCGTTCCCTTCTCACATCTAAAGTAATCACATAATAATGTCCCCCCGCCACCAAGTACCTGCGACATCCTCGTCGTAGGCGGCGGCAACGCAGGCTTCTGCGCCGCGCTCTCCGCCGCTGAAAGCTCACCGCGCTCCCGCGTCGTCATCGTGGACAAATGCCCCTCCTCTTGGGCGGGCGGGAACAGCTACTTCACAGCGGGCGCCTTCCGCACCGCGCACGCGGGCCTGCACGACCTCCTCCCGCTGGTGAACAATACCACCCCCGAGCAGGCTGCGCGCATCGATATCCCCGTCTACTCGGAAGCGGACTTCATGCATGACATGCAGCGCATGACAGGCGGGCGCACCGAGCCCCCGCTGGCAAAGGCGCTTGTCGGCGAGAGTCGCGCCGCCGTCGGCTGGCTGGCGAAGAACGGCGTGCGCTTCCAGCTCTCCTTCAATCGGCAGGCGTACGAGGTCAATGGCCGCATCAAGTTCTGGGGCGGCATGGCGCTCAAGACACAGGATGGCGGAAAGGGTTTAATTGAGGATCATATGCGTGCTGCGGCGCGCGCCGGCATCCAGGTCGTCTTCGATACTGCCGCTACGAAACTGGTGACTTGTCCCGAGAGCGGTGCTGTGCTCGGCGTGGAGGTTGTGACCGGTGGCTCCACGCAAAAACGTCAGACGATGACGATCCGCGCCGGCGCCGTCGTCCTTGCCGCGGGCGGCTTCGAGGCCAATGCCCAGCAGCGCGCGCAGTACCTCGGTCCCGGCTGGGACGCCGCCCGCGTGCGCGGAACCCCCTATAACACGGGCGACGTGCTGGCCCTGGCTCAGCGCGACGCTGGAGCCAAGGCGGTTGGCAACTGGTCCGGGTGTCACTGCACCGCGTGGGATGCCGATGCGCCGGCGCACGCAGGCGACCGCGCGGTGTCGAACGAGTTCACCAAGTCCGGGTATCCGCTGGGGATCATGGTGAACCGCGACGGGGAGCGATTCGCAGACGAAGGCTTCGATATGCGCAACTACACCTACGCGATGATCGGGCGGCGCATCCTCCAGCAGCCGGGCCAGGTTGCCTTCCAGGTGTGGGATTCACGGACGATCTCGTGGTTGCGCGAGGAGGAGTACCGGCCCGAGGTCACGAAGCATATCACCGGGAATACCCTCGAGGAGCTGGCGGATCGCTGTGCGGAGGCGGGCTTGCAGGACCGCCAGCGGTTTGTCCAGACCATCAAAGAGTTTAACGCTGCTGTGCCCTCGGACGCAGAGGCAACACGCCGCTGGGACCCTGCCGTCAAGGACGGGCTGGCGACCAAGGGCCTCGCTGTGGCCAAGTCCAACTGGGCTCTGCGAATTGATAAGTCTCCTTTCCTGGCTGTGCGTGTCACGGCCGGTATCACTTTTACCTTTGGTGGACTTGCTGTGAACCCAGAAAACTCCGCCGTTATCTCCAACGTCACTGGCGCTGAGATTCCCGGACTGTATGCTGCTGGTGAGATGGTCGGCGGCATCTTCCATGACAACTACCCCGGCGGAAGTGGATTGACATCCGGAGCTGTGTTTGGACGCCGGGCTGGCAAGGCTGCGGCGCAGGTTGCGAACCGAAGGGGGACTACTACGTCTGCCCGACTGTGATACTGTGATCTTTATGTCCAATATAGAGTAGAAATGCATGGAATCTTAATACCAAAACTACAAGGACACGGGAGCAAGATGAATTAGACAATATCGTTGCTAATAACGACTGTACTACTGTGCAATATCTTTTTGCAGTACAGGACAATCTGCCAGGCCAGGCATGAACAACAATAGACCCGCCGTCACCGAAAACCTATGCCACGGGTATCATCGCAAGACCAGAACATAAATCGCAATTTCGTACCAGCCGTTCTTGCACTCCTCGAGAAACGCAGCAGACCCGGTGGAAAGACAGGCCAGAATAAAGAAGAAGCGGGGGGAAATGGTAACAAAGAATTCCAATGAAAAGATTCTCAGGCAATGTGGAGAATCGTGTAACCATGCAAGGCAAATATGCAAGGTCAAGAGAATATTAAAGTAGGGAAAAAAAAGTCGCAAACAAAAAGAGAAGAAACACTGTCCCAGAAGAAAAACACATCAAATCATCACAAGCCCATTGGTATCGAGACGGAAAAAAACAAAAAGGTGACTCCCAGGTCTAACGAAAGGAAAGAAGGAAAAAAATCAACCAGAACGCAAAGCCAGCCGGTGCCTCTATGGTCATAACGTTGAGAATAGGAAAAGCGTCATCAAGAAAAAGGCTCTCTCTTCCTTGTCGCCCTTCCTTGTCGCCCCTCATACCGTCCCCTAGACCGTATGAAGGGGACGTACATAAAAAACTGTGTGTGAAGATGCTCCCGAGACCTGATCGAGAGGAGGAAATGTTGAAAATGGTGGGATCGGACTGATTGCTATACAAGGAGTCGCAAGGGCCCAGCCCACCGGGGCTGATGCTAACACAGTTGGCCGATCAGTCGCTGGGAAGGGAAGTTCCATATCGGATAGGATATCAGGCGCAGGGATTTTGAGATATAGGGCGGAGGAAGAGAGAGACGCTCGCGATCAAGTCGAGTAGAAATTAGTCGTCAATGGTGAAAAAGAAAAGTTACTCGTCGTCGTCGCCAGAGGCGTCTTTCTCGCCCTTGTGCACCTTCTTGTGCCGACGCAAGTTCGAGACAACGGAGAAGTGTCGCCCACAGCCTGGAACGTCACACGCAAATGCTGGAATGAAGTTAGTACCGGTCGAGTCTTCTGTGCGATTCGAGTCAACTTACGCTTCTCGCCCGTATGGCTGTACATGTGCGTCTGCAACGAGGACGGGCGGGTGAACCGCTTGTCGCAAACCTTGCACTTGTGCTTCTTCTGGGTGTTGGAGGGCATCTTCGAGCTGAACTGGCTCATCATCGACTGCGGGCCAGGGGGCGCGCTGCCGGCCAAGAGACTGGTGGGTCGCGGCAGCGTCCGCGACTCGTACGACTCCGAAGTAGTCGAGCTGTAGTCCGTCACGGAAGAGTCGACGGAGCCCACTGAGGCGCTGTAGTAGGGGTAGTTGCCGCCGGACGAGATGGAGGAGGCAGACGAATGGGTCGAGGGGAATCCGTACGAGTCGGCTGAGCCGCGTGAGCCACGGGGGCCGTAGATGTTTCGCGGCGTCAGGTCCTGGCTGAGAGCAACCATACCACGGCTGGCGTCGAGCGCGTCACCAAACGTGGGCGCTGTCGGAGGCTGTCCGCGGGCATCACTGTGTCAATTCGGGTCAGCGTCTGCAAAAACCAATGGTGTTGAGGAGGCTGGGTGTCCTTACGAATGCGACATGCGACGGGCGTCCTGGGGCTGCGACGGGTGCACTGGGGCGTAGCTGACGGGCGCATAGCTGGGAGGCGCAAAGCTGCTCAAGGGCGGCGGCGCAGTCGTGTAGGTTGGTCCCTGCTCGAAGGTGGTTCGCGGCACCTCATGTTGCATGCCCATCACCTCGGGGCCCGGCCCATAACTGGCAGGCGGGTAGTTGCTCCCAGGCGGCACCATGGACGGCGCGGACACGGGGATGTTGGGATAGGGCATCGACATGCCGGCGGCAGAGCGGCTCACTTCTTCCTGCTTGACGGCGTTGAGGGGGATGGTATTGCTGTTGCCCATCGAGGTCGCGTAGACTGGGGGGGTCGAGTGCGACGAGGTGTGCGCGGCGGCCCAGGGATCGGTGAACTGAGGGGGAGTGTGGTGGTAAACATTCTCGAAGCTCATGCCGCCATATTGGCGGTTCTGGTTTTCCATGACCATCGTCATTGAGGGTGGCAGGGGGGAGGGAGTCGAGTCGCGACGGGCGCGAAGGGATATTCGCGAGTGTCGAGGGAAGGGAGTGTGTTGACTGGTGATTTGTATGTAGTGGGGAGATCGACTGGGTTGATCGGAGAGTTCAAAGTTCAACAGGGAGAGCAGCAGTGATGAGCGGAAGATCGCTTCAGCTGAGAAAGAAGAAACAACAAGCAGTCTGGGGAAAGGAAAGGGGATCGGCGAAGCTTATGAAGGGAGAACAATGAGCGAGTGCCACTGACGCCAGTTTGGGGTTGCAGATCAACATGATACGGTATTATTGATTACATACAGTCCACAGTGAATCGTATTTGGCATTGCTTAGCGTGCTGGGTGGATCGGGTGGTCCCTCTGTTATGATGGTGTACGGTACGGTGCATAGTTGATCTATGAAAAGAGCAACGAACGACACCCGAGGAATGTTCTGTTCTTCCTCCTCGACCCGAATGATGTTCTCCATCGTCGCAGAGGAAACTATTCCTCGTCATCGAATACGCCTACTCCCACCCTCCTCGCCGTGGTGGCTGCCGATAAGTGGCCCAGCTGAGCCGTGTCTGGGTTACACTATACCTCTTTGGGGGGAAATCCACAGCAGAAAAAGAAAAAAAGGGACGCCAAGAAATAAACTCACGATGCTGCGACCAAGGTTCGCCGTGCGCGGTTTCAAGGTAGCGGGGAACAGGCTGATCCACGACGTCAACTCACGGCGTGGGGGCAGAGTTAGTCACTGTACTGTGTATGTAACTACAGGTAGGGACAACATTCCTGGCCCGAGGGAGGGGAGAAGGACGGGAACCCCTTCTCGAGTCACGCTGGCAGTCCCCTCTTGGGGCAAAAACAAAAAATAAAATCGATAAATATATTTAATTCGAGCGGAATGGGCTGAGAGAAGGGGGTTGACACGGCACAGAGATGGTTTAGCGTGGGCGTAGCCCGACCTTACTTCCCCGCTAGGAAAAAAAATATTATTGAATTGGGATTGAGAATTATTCCATTCGCTGTGCCCAACGGGATTATTGAATATTGGTGATTAGTAGTTCTCTGAGGTGCGATGACGCCGGGGATTCTTCAACCCTCATGATTGCCGGCCAGGGGTCCTACTCCTAGCCTGACCTCATCGTGACCCACGCGCGAAACGAACTCAACCGTCGGATCTGCTCCGGGCGACTTCGTATTGGGTACACTGATCCGGATAGCCAAACGATCCATGACGGAATAATGCGGGAGTCGTTCATGATGCCCTCTCCTATCATTTTGGTGGTTCCTCGAGGGCCACAGGCTCATGACGCGATAACGAGCTGGGGCTGCAACCACGTCGAATCCTTTAGCGGGCAAAGGCCTGGACACACCGACGTCAGAGCGCGGAACAACGCAGTCCGCCATGGGGCATTAGCGGCGCGGCTGCTGCAAATAGCGCGGCAGTCCTCTGGAAAACTACTGTGCTGCTGTGTCGACACATCACACACCGTCTGAGGAACGGAGAGGTGATGGTGGTGGGGACGAAGAACCCGTGGTTAGCTGGATTCGGGGAGGGACATGGGCATTCCGAAAGAGTATCTCCCGTAGCACTGGGTATGAGGATGTAATAGTTGGTCGTGGACGGGCTGCATCGGAAATCACCCTTGCGCTCGAGAACCATGGGCTGGCAGATCATCTGCCTGTTCCTTTTGGCCTCGCGACGGGAGTTCTCCGCATTTCCCTGACCCAAGGCTCTGCCCGGGAGGGCGCACCATGGTTAGCGCGGGTTTCCAGAAAACCCAAGTGGTGCTCAGAGCCACTCAGGTAATGAAGGAGGCGTGCGAACCAGAGTAACGCGCAATTTGCCATTCCGGATGCAGGAGGTGAGGAGGGCTCAACCATGGGTCAACCCTCGAAAAGCAACCGTGGGTCCAGGCGAGGATTGGTTGGAGTAGTGTAATAGTGCTGTTGATAGTTCTGAATCCTACCCATTTGACTGTGTGTGTTGGTCCAACTAATTCGGTCTCCTCCTCGGGTCTAGCCATGGCACGTTGCCGACAGGAGATGATCTAGACGACCGGTGGGCATCACCTCACGCTTGGGCCGTGAGCTACCGAGTTGTGATGGAGTCTCCCTCTCACGGGCGACACACGGGAGCCGCGAAGAGGATCAGAGCGCATCGATGCATCAAAAACAAGCACGCTCGGGCTAGCGTGGGCTGCCCGTGGTGGGAGTGCCAAGGCAATGGCTTCTCACCACCCGGCTTGTGCAAAAGTATACGGAGCGTGCCGGATGGGCAGGGTGCAAAGTGTATCGTCCAGCCACCAGCCCCACCACTTGCGCCCGGTCTCGTCCAGCCAGTCGACGGGTCAGCCAACTGCCTGGTGAAGTCTGCGAGGGAAAAGATCACAACGAGGAAAACGACTCTTTTCCGTTCCCATTGTGTCTACCTAGCATGATAAGCCCGCAGATCCGCAGGGGAGCCTACTAAGCATACAACCCTGCACATCTCGAAGAGAGTGCGCCTCCAAAGCTTCCTGACCGCCGGGCCCCTCCCACCTCCCCGCCAGACCGCTTTTCTCTCCTCCACTGCGCTTGCCTCGGTCAGGAACATCGACCCGGCTCGAGTTCATGACGCGTCGAGTATAACGAATAGTCGTGCACCCCTCCCAATCATCCAAGCCAAAGCAAGTTCCGGAAAAGACAAGACATCTCCGCAGATTCGCAGAAATATCGGCGAATCTGCTGTCTTCTGCCACCACACACCCCAATAATCCCGGCCTGAAACAGCCAGTCACGGCTCTCACGGGAGTGCGACGGGGGTTGCATTGATCTCCTTTCTGTCTCTCCGCAGGAAATGTGCCCGAATGGATGCTAAAGTTTATCAACCTACGTACTGTGGTCGTAGGTGAAGATAGAATGGATCCGATCGTCCATCCTCAGCACGTTGGATCCCCGACGATCCGGGTGTCAATCATCCAGGCACCCTACGGTTGCCGAACCCAGCGCCCATCCGTCTGTCATCTGCACGGGGCTCCGATCTTGGCGGTGCCCACACGGCAGATCGTCATTGTCCTAAATCAAGGTTTGTCTGCAGCACATCATTTTACCGGATCCAACATATCTAGCATTTCCTTGGGGAATGATTCCTGGACGAGGGATCTGATTCCACGGTTGCATATCCCTGTTCTATAGATAGAATGGACAATTTCATCTAACCTTGGGTTCACCCAGAATCCAATCGTTCAGGAAGAGGAAGGTCCCAAGACGGGCTCCATCCGCGGGTGAAATGGGTAAATGAGCTCCTCTCCATCCTCGTCCACATCGCTCTCCACTTCCTACATATCATGTGAAAAAATATCTCGACAGTTGTACCACCCACCCTCCATAACGGGAGTCCCTGGAATGCCAGCGATACCGGGATCTCCACTTTATTCACCTTTGGATCCGCCCGCATTCGGACTAGTGGTTCCACTACACACGGCAGATAGTCGATAGCCGACCTTGGCGGTGCCGGATCGACCAGTCAGGAATCAAAGTCCCACCAGGAGCTGACGCGTAGTGGTTTTCCGTGCTGGGAGGAACGTGGATTATTGACCTGGGCTCTTCACGGGCATGAGAAGAACGGGTTTGGGCGCAGGGTGGACGCGGGCTCAGAGATGGCCTTCCCTCCTTTTTGACTCCATTTCCCGCCCAGGTTCGGCCGTATCGACTGTCCGAGTCTACAATGACGTGATTCCAGATCCCCGCAAAGCCCGTTGGTCCCCTAGGATCCCTGCGTGCGATCCTGGAAGGGTCCACTATTGCCGCTAGTCGAGCACTGCCACCCTCAGGACGGCGCTAGTGGTGACTTGAAACGCCCGGCTCGAGGTGGGAACTGCTCGGGGGGAACACCGGCCTGTTCTCCTCCAGTGGTCCTGTCCGGCCACCACATCACCAGAAACAGCTTTACTGCTTTGGGCAGGCCGTTACTTACCTAATGGACATTCCTCAGCCCTCCCATAATTTACGTATCACCACACGGCGTCCACCTCGAGACGACGGATTTGCTCGGGGAGGGGGCAGATCACGCTGCACTGAGGGCTTCGGAGACTCCCCCCGTAGCGCCACCACATCAGAAGGTTTGAGACCATCTGGGAGGAAGACATCCTACTGGACTGTTTACCAACTCCGCAACGTGAAGTTACGGTGAACAACAACGCTGGCCACTCCGGCCACTTTCCGATGTTCTAGTGACACCAAGAAGTCTTCCCTACTGGACTCAACCCGAGCATGCCGTCACTCTCCTCTCCATCAAAGCTTCCCCTGGCCAAGCCCGCGCTTGCATTAAAAATTTAAAATAAATAAAAATAAAATAAAAAAGGAAAGGGAAGAATGCGCCTTGGCCTATGTCACAGTTTCTACCCTTGGGGGCTGTAACCAATACTGCATACACCGTAGAGGCAAGGCGTCCAATATCTGGTCCTCCGTTCAGTCATTCTGCCCCTCGCTGGGCCCCGATGATGGTTGGAAAATAATGGGGGCTCCTGCAGGGTCCGCAATCCCTTGCAACCCAAAGAGCACTGACAAAGCCCAATCAGTGACTCTGGCAAGCCAAGCTCCACGCCTGATTGCCCGGGTCCGTTATCCTGCCAGCCTCGATCCCTGCGCTGTCTTGTTTTTTTCAATGGTGGGATCGTGACGTGCCTGATTGGGGGAGAATTTCTCATTTGGGATGTGTGGGCAAGCCACGCCCCTCCCTTTCCGGCCAGTGGTTTGTTCGAGAAATCCTCCCGACGCCTCTTTTCGTGGTTTTTCGGATAGAATCAACCCTGCCCTCTCTCTCACATGAACCCGAGGAATCTCGGCTTCTCGCATGCTTGACAGGAACTTACGCCTCCCGTCGCCTCCACAGAGTGATCCCCCCCACCGGGCGTTTGTATCGGGCGCATGCCACAATTACTATGGACAGAGACTATATAGCACTATGGACGCCGTCCTCTCAAATTTCATATAGTATCTTCGATGATATCGGGTGGGGTTACTCTCCCGAGCCATGCCCTGCATGTGCATCTCCACGATCAAGAGAATAGTGCTTGGATCCATGGTCCTTGCAGGAAGCGGGTTACGCTGGCCAACGGAGGGTGGATTGCGATGAAGGAGGGGCCGTGAGCCGTGTCCGCCACCGAACCAGCCCTGCTCGTAGAGAAAATAATAAAAAAGCAATAATAATAATAATGTAATTCTAAAAAACAAATAGAAAGAGCGCCAGCAAACTCTAAACCCTGATCCTCAGGGTCCCCCAGTATGAGGACTGGTGTCCTGAATGCGCATCGCAGACCCTGGATTGGATCCTGTACTATCTCGGAAAACTAGTGATCGCGTTACACAGAGTCATTGATCTGGTACCGACCGACCCTTCTCCAATCCATTCTCCAGTCCGATTGGGGTCTCTGGGAGCAACCAATTCAGGGGGAGGCTGTGTTGCGACTGGATCTCATATCCGTGTCAGGAATCTGCACGGACGCAGCTGTCCCAGAGTACTACATACGACGTATTTCATTGCTTTTAAAATTGTTTTATTACTACTATTACTTGATTGAAATTCCGAATCGCAAACTCAAATCCGCATACCCCCCAACAACCACCACTTTTATAATCAATCAGATTCGTCGCGATTACCATAAGACTATAGTTCGCTATTTGCCCATGGTGTAGTTATACTTGAAGTAGCCAAGCCCAGCTGACGCGGCATTTGCAGTGCCAAGTCTACCCACCACAAGCTTAGGCATTTAACGAATTGTGGACTGCGGCCTTGGCGCTTCCCCTCGTGGCGCCCGGGTATGTGGTCGTTCGTGTGCGGGTCTCCTAAGATTAGGAACAGACAACCACCACCAAATACGAGGAACGGAGTGGTTGGAGTCGAGAAAAATAAAATTAACTTTTGGACTGGCATTTGGGGGTCTGATTTTTGCGTTTGTTTTTCGTATGTACTGGTAAAACATGACCCAATCTTTCTCGGATTCTTCTCTTCTGTCCATTGCCGACGCTGCTGGGTCAGGAAAGTGCCCCGGTAGAGGGTGGCAACGAAGAAGAGGGGGCGAGGAATAGGAATAGGGGGAATAGGGGGTCAATTGCGGTCACCACATAGGAGAGAGAGATTGTACCGTGTGAAGGTCACCCAGATATCCAAAATGTCTTCGAGACGGTAGAAACGTCTGTCCAAAACAAAGTGTAGTGATTGACATGCTTGTCTTCGGCCTGGAGCGATCACTTCCCTATTTCTCCTGTCATCCCATGCTTGGCCGTCGATTACTCCAGGGTCTGCTGCGATCGGCTCTAGGTCGGTCCCTGGCGGGATCAAGTCGCCGGGATATGAATTATATACGTCGACCTAGAAAAAGAAGGATATATATGAGCGTGACAATGAACTGCATGGTTCTATCTAGTCCCATGTTTAATCTAATTTGCTTCGCGTGGCTGGCGAGCGCAATATATATTTATTGATGCCAAGCCATGCGATCGTGCTTTTATGAACTCGTAGATTCTTGCCAGCGCCCAAGATGTTGAATTGTAAATCACTGAAAACGGTACTATGGCAACGTAATAGCAACCAACTCAGGAATTTCAACTACTACGAGTGAAGAAGACATTTTTAAACCCATGGCATTCAAATTGATATACAGTCAACACGCCAAACGTCCCTGTCTGTAGGAAGAAACTCAATCATAAAGAACACCGGCTTGGAACGAAGATAGTTATGCAAGGCAAGAAAGAAAAAGAAACGTTCAAATACAGCACCGTCGCTCAGACGATGATCATCAACTCCGGCCGGTCCATGCCGTCGTCCTCCAAGCTGGGATAGTAAGGGACCATGGCGTCAGCGCCTTGGACGTAGGCGTCGTTGTACAACCGCCAGTAGGGAACGCGCACTTTCCGCGCGGGATGAAATAGTCCTGCCCAGACATAGTTCATGACCACGCCGGTGCCGACAGCCATGCGGATCGCGTCAATAGCTTCGATGACCCGGTCGATGACATGGGGGCTGGTCTCGAAGATGTTGGGGAAAACTAGATTGAGGAGATGAAGCATGGCATCCTCGCAGCCAAGCCCGACGACGCCAAGCGCGATGTGCTTGACAACGCTAGCGGCCGTCTGTCTGTGCACCTGATCGCGGTCAATGAGAGCGTCTTCGAGCAGAGGCGTGACTGCGTAGACGTAGTCCTTGGCCATCTCGCCAATGTACTCGAACAAGAATGACATGGCCTTCAGGACACCGTTCTGCACATTGAGTTCAGGAACGCGATACTCGTTCATCAGAGCCGGGAGCACCGTGAACGGCGCACAGGTTTCGGCCACAATGCCGATGGCGACAGCCGTGCAGACACGAGACTGACGCTCTTGCACGCGGAGGTTGTTGAGCAGCGTCGCCAGCACATCCTGAGGACCGATGGCTTTGGCGATGAACCCAAAAGTGTTGTTGGCCGCACGACGAATGCCCTTCTTGTGGGCCTTCAGCATATCGAGCAGCTCAAAGCAGATTCGCATCCATTCGCGAGCATTGACAGACTCCGGACCGCGATCAGCAATACGGCCGACCAGATCGATCGTGTTTTCTTGCACCTTTTCGTGACGGTTGCGCAGAATGGGTGTTAGGCGAGGCAGAAGGTCGCGAATGGGCGGCTGCATCTGATTGATACCGACCACGGTGACAATGGATCGAAGGGCACCCAGAATTGAGCCCAACACTTCAGGGTATTCCTCACCCAGGTACTCGTAGAGCACAACACCGAGCTTCCCCATCAGAGCATCCTCACCGCACTGCTTCATGACCATCGCGACCCGCGAAATCAGGTCGGCTGCCTGCTGTCGGACCGTCGCGGATTTGTTGTTCAACCGCCAGAGAATGGTACTGACAATTTGTGGGAGATATGGCTTGCATCGCGTGCCAAGCGCGTTCACCACAGTACCGAATCCGTTCAGGATGACAATGTCCTCGATACTTTGTTCTTGGAATGCGTAGAGGACACCATCGATGAGCCGCTCCTCCAGTCTTTCGGAAATGTCGGCAGCTCCAAGCGACGCGATGAGCTTCTCCACGGTTTCCACAGTCATCTTGCGGTACGGTTCGCTTTCGTCCTTCAGGTTGTTGACAACACGCTCAAGAATCTCCCCAACCCCAACTTTCTGGCCCAAATCGACGGTCGTATCCACCACCTGTCGGTAGTTCCTTCGGTCGAGGGCCATACGCCTCACCCAGAAGCTCTTGAAGAAATCGGTCAACACATGCTCCTTCAGGTAGCCGGAAGTGACGCCCTCGGTGCTGGCACACTGAGACACCACCTTCAAAACCACCTTCTTCATCTCTTCATCTGGAGATGAAAACTCTCGAAGAAGAATCTCCATAATTTGGCTGGTGTAGTAGTTGGCGTATTCTTCGTCCATGAGAGGAATGATATAACCGACGGCCTTGAGGAAAGCAGCAAGACCCTTGCCACGCTGCTTGCGTGCGCCGGTCCAGAGAGGGTTCAAGATCTCATCGAAGCTTTCAATACCGTAGGGATTGGCCGCTTCGGCCAGAGCAGCCACAGCCAGAGCAGTGACCGTTCGGACTTTGGCCTGCTCATCACTGAGATTATCTGAAATACAATCAACCAGACCCTTCAGGTGAGGCAAAATGGCGCAGCCCATCAAGATCGGAACCTGTTGGACGATCTTGACACCGGTGTGTCTGGCCTGCCAGGATTTCTTGCTGCGGCAGACGGCGCGGAGGAAAGGAAGAAGGGCGGGTATACCGAGCGCAGAAGCCACAACGGCAAAGGCACGCGCCGTGGTGTTTCGCACATACTCATCGACGTGATCGATATCCGGCCGCATGACACTGATCATCGTGGCCAGACCAGCGGCCTTGGCAAGATTGGAGATAATTTCGCGACCCTCAACTCGAGCATAGTAGTCTTGGTCAATAAGCAATGGCTCAATGACGACCAAGATTTTGTGAACGTAGGGGCGAACCAAGTCATCCAGTTTGTAGAGAACGCGATCAATGACCTTGACCAGCAAGTGGCGCTCCTGGTCCTCCAATGACTTCTCCATAAGCAAAGGCAGGATCTGGTTAAACAGAGGACCAGCGCCGAAGTTTCGTGCATTGTCGGTGAGTTGTCGTAGCGCGGTCTTCCGCATCGGTGGCGTGCCATTCTTGACCTTGAGGAGCAACCGCATGATCTTCCGTTCTTTCATCTCCTCGACAGTCATGGAGCTCTCATCTCCGCCTTCCATCAATTTACCGAAGTAGGCCATGTCCTCCGGCTTGAAGAACTGCAAGTCTCCAACACCCGGAATATCGGTGGGTAGTTCCTTGCTTAGCGAGCGAGCACTTTCTGGCTCTTGCATCATGAACCCTCCAACACCAGCGGCGCCAGCCACGGGTGCTGGTGTCGCCATCATTTTTCTGGCGGCCGTTCGAACGGGCTCATACCCTGGCGGAGGGTCGAGAATCTTGTACCCCTCGGAGGGTAACATCATATCTAGCTCCTCATCGGACCATACGGCATTGCGACCGGATACATCAGTTCCAAAACCGGGTCCAGCAGCGGCCGCGCCTCCTTGAGATGGATGCATGGGAGTGGCGAGGCCTTGGTTGCCCACAGGAGTCGCGGATGTGAGGGATGGTGCTTGATCCCATCTCGAGCGACGTTTGGCACCTTCCTCGGGAGCACCAGGGACGGGCGTTTGATCCCAGCGCGACCTTTTGGTCTTTGTCTCTGCCGCCGGCTCGGCTTTAGCCGCAGCTGCGTCCTCCGAAGCCACGTCCCATCTCTGCTTGCGCTTCCTTCCGATTGAAACCTCAACGGTCGAGCCAGCTTCGGCATTTTCTTTGTCGGTTTCTGCCGCCTTCAACGTCGCTTGGTGCTCCACAACATCATCTTCACCGCGCTCCCGCTTCTCAGCGATAAGCTTCTGAACACGCTCCTCTTCCTTCTCAATTTCACGAAGAGCCATGACTTCACGGTAGGTCTGGCCCTCTTCCTCCACATTTGCATGGGCGTTGGCAGCGAAAGGGTCGGCGCGCGTCGGCGTCAGGGGCCCGCGATCGAAACGGCGCTTCTGGTAGTCGGTCTCACGATCTGCGATTCGTCCCGCCTTCTCACGACCGAGAAGAATGTCCTCCTCCTCAACACCGTTGCCTCGGGCCATCTCGTCGATCTGGCTTCTAGTTGCGGTGTACTGGCCGACCAGACGATGTCCTGCGTCCGCATCTTCCATGTCCTCATCATCGCCATTCACAGCGATGGAGGTATCGTAGCCCGAGAACTTGTCTACCCCGGTCCGCTCGTACAGAGTGGTATCGAAGGAGTCCGTGAGGGAGGCCTTGGTCGAGCTGTCAGTGCGCTGAGCAGACGGATCAAATGTCTTTGAACCTTTTTTGGCAGCAGCAGCAGCATTACGCTCAGCTTGAAGCCGCCGGACGGTCTCGATGTCGGCTGCGACAGATGTCAGTGATGGTTCAAGGGGAGGAGCTGGGCAAAACGTACCGTCAGACATGGTGGTCAGCGTCGGGAGTCACGGGGATAACGGCAAGCCTATGTTACTGCAGCAGGAATGTTAACAGCTGCTACATCCGGATCGGGCACCGCTGAAACGGCCGCAGGGATGATGGTTGAGGATGCTGTTGTTACCGATGTCTTCGGGAGCGCAAAATGCAGACCTTGGAAGTCGCGCTAGAGCGATGACTAATGGACTCACGTGACCAAACTGAAGCGGAAAGGTGGCATGCAGACTATTAGTGACCTCTATTCCAATATTTTTATGTTGATGCATATGTTCATTACTCGCTCAGTCGCCTCGTGTTAGACCAAACTTCTGATAGAAACCAATTTGATTGCTTTGATTTTCCAGGTGGACGAAATGTAGTACTTGTTGAATACAAAGTAAGGGAGCACTGGATCGGGTTTCATAGATCATACTAGCTTTGATTTATCAAATGGAATATGAAAAAGGGAAACGATGTGGAATATAAAGCTCATGCGCAATTCACATGAAATTGACAGGGGATGATCTCGAGGTTTTGTTTGAGAGACATCAGGGAGGGGTCCGATAAATATCCATGTGCTGTTAATGCGACAGCATGCAACATGGAGGGATCCTAGACGACCGATTCATTTATTTGCGTAGTTGCTCCCAGGATCTCCATTCTTCAGCTTTCATAATGCATTTATGAGATGACCAATGGGAGATTTTTCTGCCCAATGGCAAGCCGATCCGCTACGCGCCGGCTCGCTCCAGGGTTGCAGGCGCTTCGCCAAGAATAGAAATAAATCTCACATGATGAAACAGATCTAAATAAAGGGCAAATAATTAAACTGAGTGACATCTAAAAACAGATTCCAGAACGTTCCTGAGTAATTTTACTGTGAGTGACATTGTCGACTCTGGGTAGTTGCCGCTGAATTATTATCTTTGCGGGGCTCGAACCCTTGTAAAACGACTGCACGGCCGGTATAGCTCACCCATGGTGAATTTTGTAAGTGTAAGATATAGATAGCATCTAGCAGAATAAAACCCGCATGATCAGTTTCCTGGCGGTTAGAAAGAAGCCATCACATTACCTTTCTATGGGAAATGACCGGAACAGATCTTAATGAGCAATCAGAAGTCCGCCATTTATGAGCAGGGCGTTTTGCCTAAATTGAATCTTGCTGAACTCTCGGAAGCCATTGGGTGTTGAAAACAAGGACTCCATTTTTAGCACTCACAGGTCCGTTTCAGGAAAGGCTTCTCCAAGCCGATAGATACAGTGCTGTATCGACAATGCGCCTAAAAGAAGCCCGTCATCCGCTAACTCTCAATAGGGCATAGACAACTCCCTTTAATCTAAACCCTGAGTAATCTGATTTGTTGGTATTCTAGTAAGCCTAACAACCTATTTTTACGGGAATCTCTCTCAGATGCTCGGCGGTTCGTTTGTTAGATATATATCAACAAAGCCTGAATGACTTCATCTTTGACGAAGCGCAGATTATAATTGCTTCCCCTGACTGGCATTTCCCATCATTACATACATGTGTCTATCCGGAACACAGACCTGAACATTTTCATCCTTCAATCTATGTTTTGCTCCTAATACCTTGCACCGTCCAATCTCATCATGAAGCTATTTGCGCTACTGTTTCTCTCCCTGGCGGCAACAGCGTGTTCGTCAGGGACTGCAACAAGTCTCCCAACGGCGCTCAACTTAGCCAACACCTTCTCCCAACTCACCAGCGAACTCGACCAAATCGCTCTCGGAAGCTGCTCTATCGCAAACGCTATTCTCCCCGTGAATAGTACCGGTGTCCAACTCCCCGTACCCGCTGCAGGCCTGGGTCTCAAGTACATTGCCCTCGGCCGCGGAACGCAGAACTACTCATGCTCCTCTTCGAACAGTTCTACAATTCCAGTAGCCACTGGCGCTGCTGCAACTCTATTCGACGCATCTTGCTTTGCATCGCAGTCCATGACTCTACTGCACGAGCTGCCTGCAGTTATTGAACAAGTTCCTCTTGGGTCTCTTGCGTTCATGGCCACGATTCTAGGACAAGTTACGAATACTACCGATCTCATCATTGGTGAACATTACTTCAACGCTGCAGGAAACCCATTCTTTGATCTCAAGTTGACGGGCAATGATATCTGGATGAACGCTTCTAAAAATGCATCCGTCACGGCCCCCATCAGAGTGGCCACCCCAGCTGATGCTAATGGGAGTGATGATGTTGCGTGGCTGAGACTTGTCTCTACCGCCGGCAATATTATCAAGGTATGACGTCCGTTTTGTGTCCATGAACTTCCGTAGCTGACTAGTCTGTAGGAGGTGTATCGTGTCCAGACCTTTAACGGAAACCCACCAGCGACTTGTGCCGGACAGCAAGGGACTGTATTGGTTGACTATGCTGCGGAGTACTGGTTTTATGGATGAAAGACACGCGATTCTTAATTGTTTATTTTTCTATCGTGGAACTCCTGCAAGGACCAGAATGAGCAGAGGAAGGGTCTAATTCTTATTTTATATAACAGATTTCTATTTCTACCAGAAGTATTAAGGTGTCACCTAGCTTTGATGAAGCAGCCATCGACCCTCGAGTAACCGCCTTGCTGTGCCATGTTTCCGTTAAGCAGGGTCCTAACAATTCGAAGAGAATCCTTTGGTACCTTGCCTACGCTTTCTGATGCCTTGATACCTAAGGCATTAATGTGGCGGGAACTGTGGCGGATGCTGCATGCACTGCGCCACACAGGACACAGTCTTCCCTGCAAATTCAGACAATAACAATAGGTCATGACTGCCAGCTGGTTGGTGCTGTGACATGGTATGATTGACTGCATGCCCGGCTCCAACCAAGTTTCGCGTGTAGTAAGGCAGAAAGAATAACTAACTACTCAGCTCGGAGTCGCCGATTGTACGAGTCTACCTGCTGTGATCAACAACTCGTGCTAATCTGGTGGTTGTCTGAACATTAGTCAATTGTCCAGAGTCGATGAGACCTAATGGCTTTACAGCTCTTCCCTACCTAGGCAGTTAATCATAGTCACCTGTTGTCATCGAGATGCGTGAATATAGTACATCACGTGACTTACCCAATCGGGCAAGCGCGACTGACTCCCGGTCGCGTTCCTCCCTGTTCTTCTCTGTTGTCATCGACCATCCACTCCCTCTCTAAGCTCCTCGTTCATCGAGCGCATAATGTGCCTTTGTTAAGTCCGAATCTCAACCTCCATAATATCTGTCATCGTCATCCATTCGTGCCTCAACCACCTCTTGAGCCCATTACGTGTGCATCTAACACAATGGCCACCGACTACGCCAAGAAGACCAATGCCGAGCTGATTGAGATCCTCAAGTCGCGCTCTCTCTCCCACACAGGCAAGAAGGCCGACCTTGTGTCTCGCCTCCAGCAGGACGACGAAAGCAAACCCGCCGGTAAGCCCGAGGTCGCCGACGATGTCATCGACTGGGACGACGAGGTCCCCGCCGAGAGTGCCGCGAAGCCGTCAACAGAGGCCGGCGCGGCGGCCATTGCTGCGGGCGGCAAGGGCGCCGTCGCCAACCCAGTCGCCGTGCCGAACCAGAAGCTGGACACCGATCCGGCCGCGACCGATGACCTGAAGGTAGAAGCGACAGGCGCTGCCGCCGCCACCGATGCTGCGCCCACCCAGGCAGCTGAAGCAAAGCCCGTCGTGGACTTCAGCAGGGGTCTTCCCTCGTCCGAGCTGGATGAGGAGCTGCGGAAGCGCAAGGTGCGCGCCGAGAAGTTCGGCATCGTTGAGGACTCGGAGACTGCATTGAAGGAGGCACAGAAGCAGCTGGAGCGATCCAAGCGGTTTAGCACTGGTGCTGGCGCCTCCGCTGAAAGCAGCGCCGGCGTTGGTGTCAAGGGCCTGGACGAGGCCCTCCCCGACGAGCGCTCTCGCAAGCGGGCGCGCGGTGACCAGGGAGGGCGTGGAGGCAAGAGACGTGATATGGGCGGCCGGCAGCAACGCAATCGCCCACGCGGAAGCGATGGTAACCGAAACCGCGAGGGTGGTGTGCAGAAGCCCCAGCCGCAGCAGAAAAGCTGGAGCGAGCAGGATGTTCAGGCAATGGAGGCGCGGAAGAAGCGGTTCTCGCAGGCGGCCTGAATGTTTCGAATACAAATGCCAGAATTATTTCTCATCGTCATGATCTTCCGTGGTTTACAGGGCGTTTGTACTATGTATGGAGTTAGAGAAATGGAATCACTCATCATCGTCAGCTGAAAGGTGCATTAGTCGCTGTTCCTGCAGTTCCCGATCGACACGATCGCAACTCCCGATCGACCGTTGTAAATCATGCTGGTGGCATCCTTGGACCACAGCGGGAGTGCTGGGCAGCCCACCATCCTTTTCTATCTCATCCTCGAATTCGGTCCTCGAGGGATCGGTGGAGTGTCACCGCTCGGCCAGATCCACCATCCGACCGCGACGGACGACTCCCACGGGTTAGTGAAGATCGGACGACGCTAAGTGATTTAGTCAGGCTGAGCAGACCGCGCTTTGCGAACGTCACTGGCTGGCCATTGTTACAAGCCCGACGGTATTACTGCCCTGGCCAGCGCCACGACAGGCTCGGGTCGGGCCTCCGCTGAACCATGGATACACGGTTGAGGATTCTCGTCGTCTTGCTTAATTCTCCGCCATCGTTCGGCGTCTCCGGGGATGATGTGTTGGCAGGCAAAGCATCTGGCTTGCGGCTCTAGACGGCGATCCGCGCAGCTCTCAGCTCGCATGTCCCCAACCTGATCCAAACCAGGCCCGTCCATGCATTAGTGACTGCCTCTTCTACGCCACCGGGGAATCGCAGCCTGTCAGCTCGTCCCGAACGACGATTCGACGGCCCAGTGGGGATCCAACCGTGCACGTTCGTCACTTTGTCACCCATGATGATAGTGGTATTATGGATTCAGTCTCCCGGCGGGGCAGTTGGTCCCCTTCCCTTATTCGGCCCCGACACATGGTCTAGTTCTTTTTACAGGCCCGGGCGGCGGTTTCGCATCCGCGACTCATCACAGCAGGAATCACCATCTGCGCCAATAATATCCGTAGGCAGCATCAGGCTCGGAGCCGCCGTCAATGGCACAAACCTCTGTGCGTTCCAGCATCTGCAAGGCCTTTTTTGCCCCCCACGTCGAGCGGACACGACTTCGTACAAAAAGACCCGCGCCTGGACAGGGGTCGAGCTTTTCTTTCCTTTTTACTTCTGGGCTCTTATTCTCCGAATCTTGCATTTTTCCTGCAGTTCCATCGGAGCTCTGACGTGGCGGGTCCAAAACCGGGCACAAAGCCACACGGCGACTCCAGACTGTGGCGAAGCAGCTCCGATTTAGACCGCTGATCGGCACAGGATCCGTGACTTATCTGCAGACGTTTGATAGATTTGAACGGCCTCGTGGCTGGTGGATCTTGCATCTTTTAATATCCAGGGTCCTTTTCGCGAAAGGACATCTTCTCTTGCCATCTACTCCGGAGTTCTGACGTGCGTGCTGGATACCTCGTCTCCCACTTTGCATGCGATGACCTGATGACCGGAATGCCGTACGTTCCCTGCTTCTATTCTTCCTAAAAAACCGAATAAGGCACTGATAAAAACACCACTGCAGGCGTGATGACCCCCACATTCTATCCTATGTACCTGTCGCTTAATTTCTTGTTTCTGGATTGGAGCCGGAGACTTCACTCAAGGTCGCACCATGTCGTGGAACAAGTCTGGCGGCCGTCGCTTGCCGCAACCGAAGGATCTTCGATCTCAACAGCCTGAGGTCTCGTCTCCAGCACCTTCGGGGATACCCCATCCCGGCATTACCTATTCTGGCCGGGGCCCTCGATCTCAGATTGCACGCCCAGTGAACTATACATCTCGAACACCCAGCAAGGGATCATCTCTATCAGACACCGAGGATGTTGGCCAGATTACTGCACTCCCACCGACGTCAAAGCAGATCCCAAGCCGTCCAAATCGCCAATCGTTGCTGCCGCGGCCCAACACTGGTCGTTCGCTATCTTCAACCTCACCGGTGTCTTCGATTGGCTCCCCAAACCATAATGAGCGCATTCCCACCTCGCTATCGACCCCGGAGGTCAACAACCCATTCGCATCTGTGATCCGTCCACAGCCTTCTACCCCCAAACGACCTCGCAACGTTCTTCGCAGGAAGGCTGCGACAATAGGCAACCACACCGGACAGAGCCAGCCTCAAAAGCTGAGCTTGGTGATCCCACAAGATTCCCGTTCCGAGGAAACCGCCCAGTCCAGCTATACCCCCTTCTCAGATTGTCAAACGCCAACGCTGTATGGGCGTGCCTATGCCCCAGAGCAGAAAAATGAGACCAGGATGGAGGAACAAGGACCGGCTGAGCTTGCTAGCCTTCGAACCACAGTTGATACGCAGAACCTCCCTCCTGCGCCTACTCCTTTCTTCCCCTCCGCCAGCACCCCCTCGACAAGATACTCCGAGTCTCCTGGGATGTGGAGCCGAACATCGACGCCGACTACCCTGTCATCGTATTCCCCAGGAATCGTGCAGTCGGCTAAGCCTGGGCGGCTCAGACAACCAAGCCCATCTCAAACGAGAATGCCATTCTTATCGCCATCAACTTCTTATGCCAGCCCGCAAAGCGATCGAGCAAGCCCTGTTATACAAAAGCCAACAACTCCGGCGAACTCTTCTGGGCCAAGCCTCAAGTCTGTGCCGACCAAGATTCGAGGCCCTCCATGCAGCCCTCCGCCTAGGAAATCTTCTGTGAACTTTAGTCCCCCGCAGAAATCGGATATCAATGTTGAAAGGGCTCACAGGGAAGTGGAGGAAGCAGAGAAGTCCCTGCACCAGCCTCGAACTACCACTCCTGCTGCACAACCCTCCGCACCAGAGAAACTATTGACTCCTCCAAGACCAAGCAGAGATGGCACCGATCGGTTGACCCTACAACAATCACCTGTGATCCAAAGCAATTTGCCGTATGTCAGATCAACGGGTCATACTAGGCGCGAGTCGGCTGAGAAGGTCATGACCGCCGAGAAGCTCAAGTCTCACCCAGCCCCGAACCGCTCAGCCGCTGCATCGACCGACTCCGTTCAATCAAAAAGTCTATCTCGCATCCCGACTAGGGAGACGGCGCCCCCAGTCCTCTCTCGAAAGTCACCTCGAACATTGACCAAGGAGCCACCGAAGGAGAAGGCTCCACCCAAGAGGACTGAAACTCCTAAACGGTTTGGTCTTTTTTCGAAGAAGTCCAAGGCCGAGCTGGGTGATAATACATCCGAGCCATCTAAGCCAGCCCGAAAGGGTCCTGCGGCCGGAACGGGCCATGAAGGATACGGGAAATATTCACAGCGTGGCAGAAAGTCGAGCGTCAGCAGCAGCGGAACAAGAGCTAGGTCAACAAGCACGACGGCTCGATCAGTGGCCAGCAGCAAGGGCAGCGCGTCCAGTCGCCCGGAGCTGGATATTGATGACTTTCTGATGGCCCGCCTGGAGCCAGTTATCATCAGTGGGGGAGGCATGGACGGGGCGGCACTCTCGCGAACGCAGAGTGAGCAGAGCATGAGCAGTGTTAGCGTTTCTTCCACTTCGAACATGCCTCGTCACACCCCGGTCACATCCTCTGCTCAGTCCACTGATTCGTTGGCAACATCGATTGGAACTTTTGAAGCGGGTACCCCCAGTGAATCGGGCTTGGGTCTCATCTACTCGCATACGAAGAGTTCGGAACGACGTCCAAGTATTAATGATACTCAAAAGCTTGCCACGTCTCAAATGCCTGTTTCACAGGGAAAGAGAAACAGTATCTTTGCGAATACCGAGGCTACCACAATTCGATCTTCTCTTTCCAGTCACGGTTCAAGCTCTGTGCCGACGAAAGGCAGAGCCCATCTGGCCGAGCAACCCACAGAGTCTACCCGACAAGAAGACACACAAGGAAAGAAGAGTAAGACTTCGAGGTGGAACCTGTTCCAGAGAAACCGTGGCAATGAGCAGAAGAGCACAAAATCGACTGAGCCGGCTTCCTATACCGCCCAGCTGCATGCTTCAATTTCACCGGTGGTGAACACTCGGCCTGTTGCACACTACGCAATGGTCGATACGGATTCAGACGAGCTGGAAGATATCATGAAGAAAATTGAAGATTCCCCGCCAACCGAAGACGAGTATTTCCAGCATGTGGCGGTCCCTGCGGGCCTAAACATCCAGAAAAAGCCATCCATCCTTCTCCGGTCTCCACCCAAGCTGAACGGAGAATTCCAGAGTTACTACCATCCATCTCCGAAGACGGCGATGTTCAATCGCAACCTCATGCGACAAAACCCTGATGAAAGCACTGAAGATAACCGTCCCAGTCGACTGGCATCTGTGGGCCGAATTCCGCAGGTGGTTTCTCGCCGTGATAGGTCGCACCGGCCTGCTGTGGACTCTTTCTCGCGGCCTTTCAGTATTGCTGACCTGCCGAATCTCACGGCGCCGGTGACGGAGGACTTGAATAATTTACTGCCAGCCAACAGCCCGCCTTCGAACGCATACTCAGATATCCGATCTGGTCAGCCTTTAGAATGGGGCTACCCGTACACTCAGGCGTTCAGCGGCCCCGAACAAGCTAGCGCTCTGGACTTCCTTGCTGGACCCTATTCGAGCAATGAGTTCTTCCATTTCTCTCCGAGCAGGAGCTCGCCGTCTTCCAGCAGCTCGGGAGCATTGGCGGCAGTGACAGCAGTGGCTCCGAAGCCTGGATCGGCACCGACTGAAGATGAGGTATGGAACGAGTACGACGACCTGATTGACTACACCCTGTCTCCGGAAGAACCGAAACCGGACCCATTGGCCGGAGAGGACAACAAGTTCGAATTGGCAACTAAGGCGAGCAAGACGCTTCAAGATGAGTTGAACAACACCGATCAACTTCAATCTTGCCTGCCGGCCGAGTCTGCTCGATCGAGCACCAGCTCTGTCCGACTCCGACGGTCTAGGATCATGTCGGCGTTGCGTTCATCAACCATCGCTCCGTCATCTCAACCGTCTTACAGTGATCTTATCGCGGGATATGCCGAACACAGCGACGAGCACTTGAATGTTCCTGGGGTGTCTAGCCATATTGAGCGTAGCCCATCATCTGAACACCTTCATGAGCAGCAGTCAACTTTTCTTCATTCCCTTGCAGCTGCTTCTCCGCCTGCGCCAGCCCCGTCTGTGCACAGTTCTTCCGAACGTGATTGGGATGCCGCGACACGCACCAACATGCGATCTGCCTCATTGATGACCAGTCGCTGGTTGTCGTTTGGCCGAGTTCTCTTCAGCCCGGCCCACAATCACGTTAAAACTGGTACTCATGGGCGAATTCTTGTGATCGACGGTCTGGGCAATGACGACTGGTCTTTCTATTGCTCCTTGACATATCCTGATGCAGAAGTCTACAGTCTGAGCGGTAGGCCGGTCTCTACCGCAATGCCTCATCCCGCGGCGTGGCAGCCACCGACCAACCATCACACCGTTTACCACATGGGATTGGGGAACCCGCTGCCCTTCCCCAAGGACTACTTCACTGTCGCCGTGTTGCGATTCCCCGCCGCCTGCTCCGAGACGATCCTGAGCAACATGGTCCAGGAATGCAAACGTGTGCTCCGTTCCGGTGGCTACCTCGAGATGAGCCTGCTGGATAGGGATATGGTGAATATGGGAGTACGCTCCCGCCGAGCCGTTCGTCGACTGAAGGAGATGACCTGTCTCGCAAACCCGTCTGTCAACCTCAAGCCGACCAGCGACAACGTCCAGCGTCTCGTCGGCTGCCAGGGCTTCGACAACCTGCAGCGCTGCATGGTCCGGATTCCCGTCGCCGGGATGGTTGTTCGGTCATCCGACTCGACCACATCGTCGTCGAACAAATCCATCTCCGCGACTGCCACTACCCCATCCACCGCGTTTTCGCTGCCCACCATTTCCGTGACCACCGCTTCGGGCAGCCAGAGCAAATCCCCATTAGAAGACGACAACATCTCCCTCGGGGATCTGCTATCCGATCCATCTCCCTCACCAGCAAACGACGAGTCCATTGCCAAGATCGTGGCGCGCGTTGGCCGTTGGTGGTACACGAAATGTTACGAGGATCCCGTCCTCCCGGACACGGGTGACGGCGCACCCAGCATGTGGAATGACCGCAAGGTCCTGCGCGAATGCCAGAAGCGCGGCACGGGATTCCGCATGTTGATAGCCTATGCGCAGAAACCGAGTGAAAAGCGGCGCACGGCGAGCGTCTAGCTTCTCTTCGCGATACTTACGATGATCTTTTCTTTTCTTTCTTTCTGGTGATGCCTATCCATGGACTTTTTATGATTCCCATCTTTTCAGCGAGCCATGCATGATCTGGTTACCAATACCCTTGTATTTGACTTTCGTTTATTTTTCTTTGATTTTTGTTATGTCTTTCAGCGAGAAACGGCTTTTATGATTATCAAGACTTGCATTATTGACCTGGAGGTCGACTTGTCTCCTAGCGTGCGCTATAGAGAGAATACGGGGGTTAATTTGCCCATCTGCCGAGCAGGACTTGAATGATGATGATGATGATTATCTGTGCCAAGTAAATCATAATTTGCTGTATCAGCCACAACCCGGGATATGATGAAGTCCGGATCTTCGCGTAAACAGGGCTGTGGGCTTGGCGGTTTTCTAGAAACAGTAAAATCATCACTAACGCCTCCACAAGGCTGTACACGATCCCCACTGCGCCACATTATTACCCCTCGTATACTTAAAGCCCATCTGCCGACTGTCTTGCGACAGCTGTCAGCCTTCTCCCTCATCGAGCCATGTCGTACTATCCTCCTCCTCGTGAGTCAATACGCATATTTCCGCGACATAGTTGACTAATGAAGCATCTAGAGTCTCAATATCCGCCCCACGGCCAGCCTCCGGGCCCTCCGCCGCCTCAAGGCTACCAGCAACAGCCCGCTTACGGGCAGCAGCCGCCCTACGGACAACAACCTCCGTATGGTCAACAGCCTCCTTCTTATGGTCAACAGCCTCCCTACGGACAGCAGCCGTATAGCGCACCTCCACCTCCTCAAGGCCATTATCCTCCTCAGCCCGGCTACCCACCACAGCAGGGCTACCCGCAACAGCCGTATGGTCAACAACCCTACCCCGGTCCGCCGTCGCCTCAGCCACCAGCGGGATACCAGCACACACCCTCGCCCCAGCCTCCCTACGGCCAACCACCTCACGGCTATGCCCCTCCGCCCGGTGGTGCTCCGGGCTATCCACCCCCAGGTCCATATGGCGCCCCGCCGCCTGGAGGCGCATACCCGCCGCAGCCCCAGATGCCGTCCATCGGCTATGACCCGCAAGCCAAGGCGCAGGGAGATTTCCGGCGCGAAGCCGACGAGCTGCGCAAGGCGATGAAGGGCTTCGGAACGGACGAGAAAGCTCTGATCTCCGTACTTTCGCGACTGGACCCGCTCCAGATGGCTGCCGTGCGCTCTACCTACACCCAGGCCCACCATCGCGACCTGCACAAGGATATCAAATCCGAGACAGACGGACACTTCGAACAGGGGCTGTTGGCTATTGTCGATGGCCCGCTTGAGCATGATGTCGAGTGCGCGCGCGAGTCGGTCAAGGGCATGGGTACGAAGGAGTGGCTTATGAACGACGTGCTTCTAGGCCGGAGCAATGCAGACCTCAACGCTATCAAGATGGCCTATGAGCGCAAGTATCACCGTTCGTTGGCGCGGGATATCGAGGATGACCTCTCCTTCAAGACGGCCGAGCTCTTCGCTGCCGTGCTACACGCCACTCGTCACGACGAGTTCGCCCCTATTAACCCGCAAACCATCGAATCCGAGGCCCGCGCCCTACACGACGCTACCTCGGGTCGCGCCGTTAACAACGTCTCCGAGTTCTGCGCCGTCTTCGCCCGTGTTTCGAACGCGGAGATCCGCGCTATCGACCAGGCATTCCAGGCTCGCTATCATACGTCGCTAGAGAGACATATCGAAAAGTCCTTCACGGGCCATATGCAAGAGGCTCTTCTGCACATACTCCGCTCGGCTACAGATCCGGCTATGCGCGATGCGATCCTGATTGATGAATGTGTCCGCGGCCCAGGAACAAGGGATGAGCGTCTTGTCGTTCGTGTTGTGCGTGCCCATTGGAACCGCGCGCATCTGGACCAGGTGAAGCGCGCTTATAAGCATAAGTACAAGACGGATCTTGTTGCCCGCGTGCGTGGGGAGACCTCGGGGGACCATCAGCGTTTGATGGTTGCTCTGCTTGAGTAAGTTGAACGATCATTTGTGTACAGTCTGTGATGTCCTTTATGTGTTTATGTGGGGTGGTATGTATTTTGTTCTTTCTGCGCATGTTTCTTCTAGCACGTGTTTTATAGCTGTTGATACTTCTTGCCCTGCTGCGGTCAGAATGTGAATTACATGATGAACGGCTGAGTCTACGTTCCTGAGCAATTTCTTTAGTATCTTCATAGTTTGTAATAATGGTGAGCCTGTGGGTAGCGATTGGCTCCCAGATCACGGGATGAGGCGATCCTCTTGTTCTTGAACTAGTCCATGTTAGATTTAGCGCCAATCTATCTTTGAAATGAGAAGCTAGAGTTGCTGACCTTGATCTTCTTCATCCCTTGGCATTCTGCGCTTTGAGCAGCCACCTTTCCAGACCCTCTTTAAAATGCCCCTACTGTGTTTGTTTGATGAAACTGCCTAACAGATCGAGAGTAAAAGAATTTTCAGAAACAGATTGTTTCCCAGTCCACATGTAAAGGCATGAGCGTAAAAGACTGCGGCGGAGAGTTTATTTCCAAAACTAAATATTGGCTATTTGACGAAAGAAATCTCATTACATGGTCGCAAGGACCCTATAATTTCTGGTGGCGCTTTGGGTGGCATCACTAGGCCGGCTTTCCTCTACGATTTTACTTATGGGTAACGTCTCATGAATTGAGATTGAGAGAATTATTTCTCGGGAAAAGCGGAACTAATTAGTTTTCGTTTCTTCGCGCTCCGGGATAGGAAAGCGCAAATAGTTGCCGGAAAAATAGAAACCTAGAAGCTTATGACTAAGACCGGAAATGGAGTGAAATGATTAGTTACCTGAAATGCGGACGCGCTGGAACATGCCCCGGAGAAGGAACATGCCCCGAAGGAACGAGTTAAATTACTAGATTTACTGTGGCATTAAGTGGCCGGTCGGTCCCGCTACGCGACAGGAGTGCGCAAATAGTTGCCTTGCAATTTCGACTTGACTCAGCTAGATTCTTAATGTGATTTCTAAGTAGGGGATCAAACTCAACCCTTGACGTCACGAATATGACCAGGAGACGTAGAACATATAAGAACGCCTTTTCTCTCTAAAAGCAACCGTGTCGACGTTCTATTTCATCCGCACATCATTCCCAATCAGATCTACGCAATGGCGTCGGGCAAGTTGAATATTCTCATCACCGGAGGCTCAGGATATATGTACGTCAAAATTTGCCCTGTGTTCCCAAGCATAATGCAATAGTTGAGACTTTCTTAGTGGTGGAGCCGTCTTGAATGCTCTCTTGTCGTCGGAATACGATGCTCTGAAAGTTTCTACGATCACCTGTCTGGTCCGAGGAACTGAGAAAGCCAAGTCTCTGGAAAAATTGGGCGTGAAGACTTTGCAGTTCCAGAGCTTGGATGAAACCGAAGTTCTCGCGAAAGCCGCAAGCGAAAATGATGGTATGTTCCTAAAACGATACTGGAAATTTGAGACGATTACTTAGTTGCCGTGACAGTTGTCATACATGCTGCATCTGGTTTCCATACTCTATCTGCACGAGCCCTTATCTTGGGACTGGCACAGCGAAAGCAATATACCGGCAGAGAGGTGTTTTACTTTCACGTAAGGCCCCATAATGGTGGATGACTGCGAATTACTCATGATTTCACTCTGTACAGACCTCCGGGACTTCTAATGTGGCTGACCGCCCTATGACTGAAGAGTACATCGAGAAAGGATATCCTTTGTCAGATCAGAGCGATATTTTCTCGTATTTGAAGAAGAGAGATTTTGGTGTCCCGTACGCTCAGCGTACATCTGATATCGTCGTCACCGAGATTGGACTTGAGGTTGGGGTGAAGACTGTGGTGTTGATGATGCCTTCCATCTATGGAATTGACTCTAATCCCTTACACGAGTTCTGCCATACCCCTATATTGATTCGAATGGCTCTAAAGCTAGGAAGAGTGCCTGTGGTAGGTGACGGATCAGGGATATGGGATCATATCCACATCCAAGATGTGGCGCGGTGTTATGAGTTTATTTTGAACAAGGCACTTGTTGGTGAAAATGTTCCCACCGGCAAAGAAGGAATCTTCTTTGTTGAATCCGGCGAGCACACTTGGCGGCAGCTTTCTCAGATCATTGCTGACGCTGGTGTCGCGCTCAATGCCTTGAAATCTGCCGACCTTCGGCATCTGTCCTTGGAAGAATCTGCCAAGTTTCTTGGAGGTGGTTGGGGTCTCATTGCGGAAATCGGGTGGGCATCAAAGTATACATTCCCTTGAATCACCAGTCCCGAGAAATAAGACTAATGGCACATAGTTCTCGCACAAGAGCCCACAAGGCAAGATCACTGGGCTGGAAGCCACTGAAAACTGAAGCTGATTTCGAATCCCATGCTGTCGCCGACTGGAGGGCTATTCTTGCTTCGAATGAAGCATCTCATGAATCTTTAGATGTTTAAATCGCTTGAATATGGAGCTTCATGATACTCTGGTGCGGTAGGGAAAGAATAAAACTGGAAAAAAAGGCTTCTTTGAAATACGGAATCGGGGCGGGCTTGGTATGACAAGGGAGGGAAGAGTGAAGTATGAATTTTTCGACACGTTGACCATAGATACTGTTTCTGTTTTTATAGCTTGCGCTTTAGAATTTTGCAATTGGGCTAGTATAAGCAACTTTCCTGTCTTTTTTAGTCGTAAATTCTATGTAGGCGAGACATTGACTAGACAAGGAGTTATGAGTGTCGACATTCAAGTCAATAGAGCTCTGAACACAACTAACAGTTAGTATCGAGGTCGAGGCTGGAGATATTTGCACGAAAGTCGGTTGGTCCTATACTTCAGTGCGCTCATTGGAATTAAGACCTAATGTAAAACCATGACGTCTTAGTGCTATAAACGATGAAGCAGTTGTATGGTTATCAATCACGCGGATCCAGTTTGCCTGTACCGTTGGTCCCCGGCGGGCTTGGATTGGTTACGCTGACAAATTCAAAGTTGAACACAGATGATAAAGGTCCGTAGGAACTCGGTCTGAATCGCAGTGCACTAGTTCCGACGAACGCAACATTCAACTTTAATACAAAATCAATACTTCCCTTGATCATGGAGCATTCAAATAGGCCATGTTGGAATTGCCGGGGTAAATGATTCCCATGCTTATTCCAAACTTTTTCTCTTACTGATTCTTTGGAGATCGCAAGATTCTCTGCGACAGATCAACACCTGCGTGTGCAAGTTGCGTGAAGCGAAAGAAAGTTTGTCCTGGTTACGGTCTTCGACTCTCTTGGCCCCGCACTGGAGATACGCGCCGCATGGTTGTGCGGGAGACTTCCAATAATCAAACAACAGATGATGGCATCGAGTCTGAACGCTTCGCGCATTCCGCGTTCATAAATGCGACGTACTGGGATTTAGAGATCGCACAAATACCGGAAGCTTTAGATTCCCATTCTGTAACGATTTCGAAATTTCTTCAACAAACCTGTGTCAATCAGAGGCCATCGGATTTCTCGCTTTCATCAAGTTTCTGTGCTAATGATGAAATGATATCTATATCGGAAACCCATGCGTCAGTGACTGGCAATGGATACGTTCAGTCCGACCTTGATGATCTCCTTCGACGAATGGCTTTTGTCGATGATTCGCCTCCAACGTTGGCCGTTCGGTTCGCTTTGGCTTCATTGTCAGCGCTGCGCAGAGCCGGTCCACTTTCAAAAGCTGCTGAATATCATCGTGGGAGGACCATTTCGATACTTCGGATGTCTATAGAGCAGCCACACATCAACGGAAGAGATGCTCTCCAAGCGATGGCAGCGAGCCTACTGATGAGCATGTATGAGGTAATTTTGCCCCTATCCAAAACATGATCCAACACCTCTTCAGCTTAACCAGGATCTGACTGTATTTTCAATTACGAACTTTTAGGCTTTGAGCAGCTCTCAATCTCCCATGAGCTGGACTGTCTTTTTCTGTGGTTCTAAAAGAATTGCTAAAATCATTTATGAGTACGACAAAACATATGAGAATGATTCTTCAACCCTCCTTGACTGGTTACTTTACCACGATGTTATGTACAAGTTCACCATCCACCATTGGGCCCAAAGGCTGGACGAGCAGCGCAAATTGGCGGCCGAACAAAAGTTCGTCTCGAAGGAACTCAATTCACCTTTGCGGAATATAGTACGTTAGCGGCCTAAATGTTTCGTTCTCAGAATCAATTTTGACCAAAGATTTCTCCTAATGTTTTAGATTATACCGTCGATTGGCTGCTCACTTGAACTTCTGGAGAATATCGCTCTGGTCATCGACCTTGTTCTGGATCGTCACGACCCCTCCTTTCTGTCTCCAGAACATGTCCAGAACGCGAGAGCCTTAGTAACAAGACTTGAGAAAATTCGGCAGGAACAGAAAGTTGATCTCCCTTGTGAAGGTCACTCGGACTCTTCACTGGTCACTGTCGACGAAAGGCTCAGAACAAGCAACATGGCGGAACTTTTCCGTATCGCGACGCTCATTTACCTTCACCGGTTGGGAATGAATCTACGTGCGTCATCTCCCAAGGTCCTGAGTCTCGTCCAGTCTGCTTTTGGTCTTCTTGAAACTTCTATTACGTGTGAAAGACCGTTCCCGCTCTTTGTTGTCGCCCTGGAAGCCCGAACGGAAGCACAGCGCCGGTTTGTTATTGATGTCATCGAAAAAACGCTCGCAAAATCGGCATGTTCTGCAAAAATACTCTTGTTGAGGCGAATGATTGAAGCTGCTTGGCTCCAGGAAGATTTGCGAGATGAAGATGACTCGGATATGCTTTTCATATATAACGTGGTCATTAGCGCGAATAAGGTCCCCCCCGCATTTGTATAATTATTTGGGCCTTGATAGAGGAATAGAGCCTATCTACTCGCGCAGCTGGGAATAACTGTTGGCTATCAGTATACACGAAGGCATTTCAGCTCCATGACAACGACGGGTACGTCTGCGGCGACCAGGAGACTCTTAAACATGTCCTGTGGGACTGTCTCAATCGAAAAAGAGTCGCGAAGAAAGTTCCGAAGGGAAGTTGGTGACGTTTTACGCCATGTCGAGCTTGATGAGAGGCTCTCGAGAAGTGAAGCTGAAAAAGAAGGCACAGGCCGTCAGTGCATCGACACTGATGCAAACGAGATACGAGCAAGTATCTACCTTCGTGTCTCAAAGGAACCAAGAGCCAGAGTCCAAGGCGCTGCAGATGTTAACTATGCGCTACCCATGGCAATCGTGGAGTTTGAACATCGATAAGATGGTGTCATGGCCTACTGCCAACCCTGCCAAGCGCTCTGGTGCGGCTTGCATTCCTACCGCACAAAGCACCACCACCACCACCACCATCGCCACTCCAGCTTCTACACCTCCTGTCCCTCCACCCGCTCCAAGTACAACTCTTACGCAGAAAGTTACGCCGGCACCCTCCGTAATCCCACCGGATTTGACAATCGCAGCGGAACCGAGAATCCCTCCAGAGTCATCAGTTGTCGTCACTCCTGTTGAATCCCGGTTAACAGAACGGAGAATCTGTTTCGCAGCAGGCCGTTCAGCCAGGCAAATAAGCCTCTGTTGAACGGCCCACTAACACTCATCAGAATTCGCCTTTTCGCTGGGTACAAACCATTTTTCGCTTTTCGACGTTATCTAGCACCAATAGAACGAATTTGATGGCGAGAGACGCCCACAGGCAGGCCGGGTGTGCTCGACTGTCAGGTATCCGTAGAACCCGCGGGTTATTCGCAACGGGCCGGACCAAAAGCCGCGCAAGAAACCGTCCGGTCCATTTGCCAAGGCCTACTTTTGAGTACTTTTCCTACGTAAGACTGCCTATATTGAATCCAGGCCGATGTGGTCCTGTGCACAGACCCCCTCCCCCCACACGGGGAGTGTCGGGTAGTACGCAAAATCTCAGACTGTTCATGATTTAGATCTAGATAATAGATGGATATGAATGATGCAATCTCTCGAAATGGTTAATTTAATTCATCCCTAAACCCTCTCTAATCATCAAAGTAACAAAAGTTCAAAGTCCCCAGCTGAACTAGTACATGAAAACAAGGGTAATCGTGACGATGTCGGAAACAAAGCCCCCGATCGATATCAAATTTATTCTGGAGAACGCGACCGCGGCAGAGAAATGTAACCTACTTGCAGGTTGGTGCTCCCCGTCCTTTTCTGGACCTGAATGATTGACTAATCTTGCACGGGCAGGATATGACTTTTGGCATACAACACCCTTGCCCAACTACAATGTCCCGTCGATCCGGATGTCCGATGGGCCCAACGGGATTCGAGGAACTAGATTCTTCAATGGTGTCCCTGCAGCATGCTTACCATGTGGCACGGCTCTAGGGGCAACCTGGGATATGGGGCTGATTCAAGAAGCTGGAATTCTAATTGGCAAAGAAGCCAAAGCTAAAGGTGCGGCGATTTGGCTGGGGCCAACCATAAATATACAAAGTAAGATTAATATACGCAATTATCAGTGTTTTCGGAAAGCTGACAATCCCGCGAACAGGATCGCCTCTTGGTGGTCGAGGCTTCGAATCATTCGCGGAAGATCCTCATCTGTCCGGTATGCTAGCAGCGGCCATTATTCAAGGTGTTCAGAGTGAAGGGGTGGTCGCAACCCCTAAACACTTCGTCTGTAATGATCAAGAGGACCGTCGGAGAGGATTGGAGACGATTGTCACCAGCCGAGCATTGCGAGAGATTTACCTGAAGCCGTTCCAGTTGGCATTGGCGCACGGCAACCCTCACGCGATTATGACTGCTTACAACAAACTCAACGGAAAGCTTTGCTCGCAAAGCCCAGATCTACTGCAGAAAATTTTGAGGGAGGAGTGGGAATTTCAAGGAGCTACGATCAGTGACTGGTATGATCCCCTTCGCAACTGTGTCCAGGCAAAAAGCTGTGCAAGCTGACGGGAGAATCAACAGGTACGGCACGTACTCCACCAGCGAAGCAGTGATCGCCGGGCTTGACCTCGAGATGCCGGGCCCGTCGCAGTGGAGAGGTAGGCTATTGTCAGCGGCAGTCTCTGCAATGGCTCTCCCAATGCGTACAGTCGATTCCCGAGTCCGAAGTGTTCTCCGACTGGTCAAACAGGCTAGCAAATGTGAGGTATCAAAGGAAGAAAGTGTTCGAGACACCCCGGAAGATCGAAACGTCCTTCGCCGTCTGGCATCGGAAAGCATCGTTTTGTTAAAAAACAATGATGCGCTGCTTCCTTGGGAGAAAGTCGAAAGCGTAGGAGTGATCGGAGTTCATTCCAAGGCTGCGATCTATTGCGGAGGTATGATATTTTCCTTGTGTCCCCCCTTTCCCACATGGAATCGATTTTAAACGTCTTCTATTAGGCGGATCCGCCCAACTGAGCCCTTATTACGTGGTGACGCCAATGGAGGGGATTCAATCGTACGTACAGAATATCGAGTACTGTCCCGGTGCCTATGGCCACCAACTTCAACCGTTGTTGGGTCCGTTTGTGAAGACGAAGCCAGGGATCACGGTGACCTTCTACAACCATCCTCACACGTCGAACAACCGAGTACCGTTAGAAACGGTAGAAATTGCCGATTCGTCATTCCAGCTATTGGATTACAAGCCACCAGGTGCGAGCGAGATTTTCTATGCCTCCATGAGAGGGTCTCTCACTCCCGAGAAGACCGCCGTATGGGATTTTGGGGTCATGTGCCACGGGACAGCGCTTTTATACATCAACGAAAAGCTCGTGATCGATAATGCCACTCATCAACGAGCCGGAGGGTCATTCTTTGGCAGTGGAACGGTCGAAGAATGTGGTTTTGTCGAGTTTCAGGCAGAGGTGACATATGATATCCGGCTTGAATGGGGTAATGGACGCACTTCGACGCTTCAACGACTCGGTGCCACTACACTATCAAACGGTGGCGCTCGGTTGGGAGGGTGTCCAAGAATAGATGCAAAACAGGCAATCGATGAAGCAGTCTTGATGGCAAAAAGCCAGAAGCACGTCGCCATCTTCACTGGTCTCAACGTAAGTTGACATTTCCCTATCTCTGAGCACACATAAGCATACTGAAACTCTTTCAGCAAGAGATCGAGAGTGAAGGTTACGATCGGAAATCTATGGACCTCCCCGGGCACACCGACGCTCTGATTGATGCGGTCCTCGACGCCAATCCCAATACAGTCGTGGTTGTGCAATCTGGAACACCAGTGACGATGCCTTGGGTCTCCAAAGCAAAGGCTGTGATCCAAGCTTGGTATGGCGGCAATGAGTTGGGAAATGCGATCGCGGATGTCATATTTGGTAAGGTGAATCCTAGCGGAAAGTTGCCCATGACCTTTCCCAAAGTGGTGCAAGACAACCCCGCCTTTCTTAACCTTAACGCCGATGATGGCAGAGTGTTGTATGGAGAGGATATTTTCGTTGGATATCGATTCTATGAGAAGATGAGGAAAGAGCCACAGTTCGCCTTTGGGTAAGAAATTCCGATTGATTTACCATGGGTGCTAGTCACCAGTTGATCCACAAACTAAGTGTTCCTGCAGGCACGGCTTATCGTATACCACTTTTGCGCTGTCAAATCTGGAAGTGTCTTCACCGGATGTCCACCTTACGGTGCAGAACTGTGGCAATCGACAGGGCGCAGAGGTTGTTCAAGTCTACATTGCACCTGTACAGTCTGCCACCTGTCGCCCGGTAAAGGAACTGAAAGCATTTGCCAAGGTCGTTTTAGCACCGGGAGAAGCAACAAAAGTGAAGATGAGTCTTGACCGGAATGCCACCAGCTACTGGAGTGAAACTCGGGACGCGTGGGTTTCCCAGAAAGGCGAATATGACATATTTGTCGGCACCTCCAGTGATCGAATCATGTTGACTGCTCGGATCACACAGGAGAGAACCGTCGTCTGGCGGGGGTTATAGCTGAGTGGGTGAAGGGTGGGTGAAGGGTGCGACCATGGATCAGGAGAGGGGCAGCGTGATCAGTAGCGCGTCTCTACTTTACCCATTTGGGACCCTTGTGTAGCTGTATACGGTGCGGAGAATTTGGCCCAGGGGTTGGAGATCGGCCGCCTCTTGCCCCCAAAATTCGATAACCGTTAGCGCTGTTTCCACACATGCGAACCAGTCATTTGGCATGGCCAATATGCCGCTCTGCGCCGCGGCAATCAGTGCCATCGCGCACCGGAAGGCCCCTCGGGCCACGAACCAGCTGCCATGGTGTCGATGCTGGATGGCGGTTTCAAGGATGTTCATCCGACACGCTTCCACACAGCGTTGCGCTAGATCAAAGACGACTTGAGGTTGAGTCTGGTCGGAATGTACTACCCGAAATAAGAATGGTTTGAAGAGACATTCCTGCATATGAAGTAATCGCCGATGTATGAAATAGGGCAGCTCGCGATCTCCCAGCTCTTCCCGTGAATAGTGTAGCCAAGGAGGCAGATTGGCGTCTATCGTGGCCAGCTGACGGTCTAATTCCAATGCAGTGCGAGCCATGTCATCTGAAGACGTCTGAAGCCATTGTTGGTCCGACTCTTGCGCATAGAACGAATTGAGTATACGATCCAGAATCCGCCTTTGTGAAATATCTGTTAGATAGTAGTACCAGCTTTCTTCCAGCGGGAATACTGTAGGGGCCTCTCCCTCTCTAGCTTCGTGCGGAGGCATTGGATATTCTTCGGCCAAGTCCCGGTTGGATGCTTTTAGGGGGGTGAGATTGATCTCCGTGCGGATTTCCCTATCATTCAACCCGATCAGTAATCCCCCAACGTCATGGTGAGGCTCAACTTACCGTTCTGATTTAAAGCATGACCACCGCAACCGCTCTTCCAGGTTTTGCGTTTCACTGCTTTCTAATCCTGGATACCTTGTTTTGAAATACAATTGCATGCTGCTACAGGCGGTATGGAAAGAGTGCCAGGCCGCCAACGGACGCAGGGTATACATTTCATAGACCCCTGACAGGAAGGTGGTCTGTATATACACTAATGAGGTCGTATCCAGTAGGCCGATGCGCTTTCGGGCGGCCGTATAATAGACCTCTGCTAAGGGAAGATCGGCTTTGACACTGTCCAGTTGTGTCACCGGGATTTGCTGAAACGGTTGAGAAACAATGCCCAATGCGCATGCCATGAGCTGACGAAACATTAGTCCATAGATGGTGTGCAATGAGATGCATCTACTTACGGTGACGCTGGTGGGCCCGTCCCAGGATAGACCGTTTTCAGCGATATCACGAACATACTTGCTCAGCAGGGTGTGGTCCACGACTGGGTTTTTGGTGTGCACATTGGTTAGAAATCGGTCCACATAGGAAGGGATATGGTCCTCGACAATTCCTCGCGACCTTGGATTCTTCTGTTGCGAGGCATTCGCCTGCCCCGTAAATAAGGTGTCCCCTGTTCGGTCATATTGGATCTCTTCGAAAATCGGCCATTCCAGGATTCGACACGAGATATTACACCGCGACGGGATTTCTTGCGACTCCGCATTGGCCGTCCACGGCCAGACGGCGCTACTCTGACTGTAGTCACTTGTGGCCGGCACGTTGGAATTTTCTGGCGGACCCAGTTTATTCTTCTCAACCAGCGAGATCATGTAGTCCATCCTCTCGAGCAAGGCCAATGCAGCGGGGTCGAATCTAGACCGATGAGCTTCCTCGTGGGGCCCAGCCGGCGGCATGAAGTTACTTACGAGGAATAATCTGTTTCTGGGGCTTGGTAAACGCATGATGCGCCGATGTTCTCGCAGAAGCCGCACGTGGGGCGGACATTGTCACATTTGGTTTTTCGGCGTCGGCAGAGTTGGCAGGCCGCCACGGCTCGTTTCCTGGGATAGGACATGGCCTGGGTGCTGGGCGGCACTGGTCGTTTCCTGCGTCGGGTTGATTCCGCCATGTGGGCGTATCCGAAGGACCGGGCACTCTTATCTGCCGCCCGTCGTACCTAGTGCTTGGTTCGCCGGTGCAAGATGCAGGAGACAAATTGAACGGGGAGTGTCGGAGCACGCAAGCTCTCTTGGTCAGGTGACGCGAGTCCCGTCTCTTTGAATCTAACCCAATCCAGGCGGGTCTATGGAATAACTAACCTCTATCGGATAACCAGTAAAACTAGTAAAGCATTGCCAATGATGGCATCAAATCAAATCAATCCAAATCAATCCAAATCAATCAAATAAATAAATGAACAGCCTCTCGTTTTTCTTTCCCCCTCGGCGTCTTTCTTACCTGTGGTCTTCTCCCTCCGTTGTCCTCCATCTCTCCCAAATTACATACCACACACAATGACACTCTCTACACCAGCGGCACGCAAAGTCCGCGTCGGCCTGATCGGCTGCGGCGAGATTTCGCAGGTGGTGCACATTCCCACTTTGAACTTCCTCTCCGACCTCTTCCAAATCACCTATCTCTGTGATATCTCTCGCACCTCGCTCACACACTGCAAGGCCAAGGTTATTGGCCTCGAAGCCCCTGAGACCACAACCGATCCTGAAGAACTGTGTGCATCCTCACGAGTCGATGTTGTCTTTGTCATTAACAGTGATGAATACCACGCCCTCCATGGAGTCCTCGCCTTGAAGCACAATAAACATGTCTTCATCGAGAAGCCCATGGCGCTCAATGACCGCGATGCCAATGCGATCATTGAGGCCGAAAAGATGTCCAAGGGTCGCGTCATGGTGGGATACATGAGACGATTCGCCCCGGCGTTTGAAGACGCGATTCGCGAGATCGGCGGAATAGACAAGATCCTCTACGCCCGCGTGAGAGGTACGTTGAAACACCTTCTCTGGTGGCCCCGGACGCAACAGGCTGACCACAGACGCAATACTAGATATTATCGGACCCAATGCCACATTCGTGGAGCAGTCCGGAACCTTCCCCAAAAAGGCCACGGATTTCGCTGCGGCAGATATAGAGGATCGGAACGTGCGCGCAGCGGAGATTGTCTCCCAGGGAATGCAAAAGGAGGCGGGCGTGAGCAGCTCCGACGTTCTCCCTCGCATCTGGAGGGCTTTGGGAGGACTCGGATCACACGATTTGAGTTTGATGCGAGAGGCCCTGGGTATGCCGGTGGGCGTGATCGGCGCCTATTTGAAACCGCCGTTTTGGAGGTAGGCGTGAATCCGGATTTGAATGGATGACCAGTCAGTCATTGACAGACAAACAGTGCGATTTTCGAATATCCAACCTTCTCTGTGACCTACGAGTCTGGCCTGGACTCTGTGCCGCGCTTCGACGCACACATTGAAGTCTATAGCGCGACCAAGACCGTTCGCGTCCAGTACGACTCGCCTTATATCAAGGGATTGCCCATCACCATGCATGTGCAGGAGAAAATCGACGGTGGGTTTAAAGACAGCATGATCCGCAGGACATACGAGGATCCATACACGACAGAGATGAAGGAACTTCACGCAATGGTGGTGGACGGCAAAGCGATCAAAACGACGGCCGAGGACGCGAAGAAAGACCTTGTAATCTTTAGAATGCTAGTGCGATCAGCAGCTACCAATGGAAAATGAGTAGCGCAATATCAAATATAGCACATAGATTGAAACCATCCTGATTCATCCACGTAGTTGGTACTAGAAATGATATCCACCGTGTAGATCCGGCGGCTGAGACTCTGGAAATTAATTCAGTGAGTAAATACAGACTGTAGATGATTCATCCAACTAAACCGCCCCTCAGCTGGTATGTCCTCCATGGCCTAGTTCCTAGAAGTTTGTTCATGTACGTAAGTGCTCGGCCTCGGTGAGAACATGCCCCCCACCCCATCATACAAATACGATCCCGTCTCTCGACAAATGCACTGCGACCTCTCCCCTCTCGTAACGCACAACAAAACTTCCCTCCTGTATTTTGTTAAATATTCTTCTCTTCACCTCTTTGAATTCTTTCCTCTTACGCCATGTCGTGTGGACTGCTACGACCTACTCTTCGATGGGGCATCATTGGTACATTCCCAGCTTTCTAAAACACCACGCATTTTTCTGATCTGGTATAGGGACCGGCCTCATATCGTCCTGGTTTGTGAGCGACATGGTTGTCCCACGGGCAGACGCGACTGCAACGCATATTATCCAAGCGATAGGTTCATCGGAGAAGGAGAAGGGTAGAGCATTTGTCCAAAAATATGGGGGCGATGCTACTCCATCGGTTTACGGCAGCTATGATGCGGTCTACGCAGACCCGGAAGTTGATATTGTCTACATCGGGATCCCGCACGCCTTCCACAAAAATGCATGCCTGAAGGCGATCAGCCATGGAAAACATGTCCTCTGCGAGAAGCCCTTTACCTTGAACACACAGGAGGCGCAGGAAGTCTTCGATGCAGCCAAAGACAAAGGTTTATTTGTGATGGAAGGTGAGGAAAAATTTCCATTTCTATCTGTGTTGTCACGGACAGCTTATAAGGTCCTTTTATACAGCGATGTGGACCCGATTTATGCCACTGACAGTGCAACTCCTACAATTGATCCATCGAGAAAAGGTGATCGGAGATGTGCATCGGGTCTTCTGTGACTTTGGTTTGGTCATGGACCTGGACAGCTTACCTGCTACCTCACGTCTGAAAGATCCAGCCTTGGGCGCGGGGAGTCTGCTCGACATCGGAGTGTATTCCCTGACCTGGGGATTGTTAGGACTGGACGAGGGTATTGCCGACACGGCATTGACTCCGCAGGTCTTTGCGGTGCAGAGTATCAGTCATGGCATTGATATCGCGACCTCGATTGTGCTGCATTACCCGCAGAACGGTCGTCAGGGCATTCTCACATCGACCATGAAGGCTAAGTCGGACCTGGTATTTGCCCGGATTGAGGGATCGCAAGGCACCATTCTCATTGAGGGGGTCGCCACGTCTGTGCCGCACCGGTTTATGGTCATTCCCAGTAATGCCACCGCAGAGCGCCAGGTTTATGATGCTCCCCCAAAGGTGGGCAAAGGATTTTTCTACGAAGCCGACGCGGTGGCGCATGATATTGCCGCTGGACGGGTCGAGAACGCGACCATGCCGTGGAATGAGACGCTCCGGGTGCTGGCGCTGATGGACGGCATCCGGATGCAGGGTGTTGCTCGTGATGCATAAGAATATTGTTTTTACTTTTCCATGTTGCGTTCTCTGTGTTCCACTTTGTGTATCAATGAAATAGTTGACCTTCTAAGAAGCTTTCAACCAACTAGTGCGTCAGCATGCTCGGCAATTGATCTGGAACTCGCTAAATAACTTGCTGTAACGAAGTAGGATCAGTTGCTATACCGGGGAGGAACTGACCTCTGGGGTTTCCCCGCAACGACCGCAGGTATGAGTCTGGGAGCAGTGGTTAGAGTTTTCTGTATCCCCGACACTCCCCGTGTGGACGTGACGTCCCCTCTGGGCCAGTCGTGGTGATTCGGCCTTGCGGGACTACCCCACAACCGCTCGCTTCCGAGTGACAGAATCTGGGGTTTGCCCACGCAGCTGGTTGCCCCCCAGCCTCTTGTTCCAGCTGTCTTTTGAATACAAAACCTCGTTGGTCCCGAGGGAGTGATGGCTGTTCGACCAATTTCACCCGCGGTTCGAAGAAGCGCCGTCCACAGTGCGCCCCCAGATCGCTCACGATGACCAAAATTTCTCTGAAGAATGTTGTGGGAGTTGACCTCCTCTCAGTGGGTGCACTCCGATTCTCTTTACTCGCGGCACACCTTGAACTGACATTGGCCAGGTCCTCCCGCCAGATCGAAAACAATGGTGGGAAACACCGCATCTGATCAAGTTGAACGGCTTCATCGTCGGTTTGCTGCTGTTTTCTAGTACGGTGGGCTACGATAGCTCGCTGATGAACGGCTTGCAATCTTTGTCACCGTGGACCAGCTTTATGGACAGTCCCTCGGGGGCCTGGCTGGGCTTTATCAGCGCCATCCAGTCCTTGGGGTCGATGCTTGGATTACCCACCCAAGCCTGGGCGGCCAACAAGTTTGGTCGCAAGCCATGTATTTTCGTGGGCTATCTCTTCCTCTTTATTGGTGTCGGCATTCAAGTGGGCGCGCATAATCCAGCGATGTTTATTGTGTCTCGTTTCTTCATCGGATACGCGGGCGCCTGGTTCCAAGCCGCCGTCATTCTCCTCACCGAGATCGCCTATCCTACCCACCGCTCCAAACTCACCGCGATGTACCAGTGCCAATACTACGTCGGCTCCATCCTGTCCGCGTGGCTGGTGTTTGGCTGCCGGAACATGGATTCCATGTGGGCGTGGAAGATCCCCTCCTTATGTCAGATTGCATTTCCCTTGGTGGCACTGCCACTGGTAGCCCTGTGCCCCGAGTCTCCTCGCTGGTTGATCAGTATGGATCGTCATGAAGAGGCCCGATCGTTTCTCGTTAGGTATCATGCGGGTGGGGATGTGGCCGCACCACTCGTTGCCTTTCAAATGGATGAAATCGCCAGATCCATTACCATGGAGCGAGAAAGCAGCAATTCCACTACCTGGCTCGATATGCTCCGGACCAAGGGTAATCGGCATCGACTCTTCATCAGTCTCACCCTGGGCATTTTTGCTCAATGGAATGGAATGCAAGTGACAATTGAACCCAAGCGTCTCCATCGCTGTTAACGGTCCGTCCCGCTAATGCTCTTCTCTTACCAGCGGTGTCGTCTCATATTATCTCACCCTGATTCTCAGAACAATCGGCATCACTTCGGTAACGAAACAAACACTCATCAATGGGTTCCTGCAGGTGTGGAACCTTGTCATGGCCGTAGTGGGTTCCATGCTGGTCGACTTCGCCGGACGCCGAACACTCTTTCTGTTGTCCACCTGCATCATGCTTGTCAGCTATATCATCATCACAGGTCTTTCGGGGACCTTTGCCAACAATCATGTGAGTAGTGTGGGCACAGCAGTGATCCCCTTCCTCTTTCTCTACTACGGCGGCTACGACATCGCCTTCACCCCCCTGGTCATGGCGTACCCCGCGGAGATCTGGCCGTATGCACTGCGCGCCAAAGGCGTGGCATTGACCTCGGTCAGCACGTTTCTGGCCTTGCTCTTCAATCAGTTTGTCAACCCGATTGCGCTGGACTCCATTGCATGGAAATATTATATCTTGTATATCTGTCTGCTGGTGGTCATTCTGGTGACCATCTATCTCACGTATCCCGAGACCCGGGGCTACTCGCTCGAGGAGATTGCAGTCATTTTCGACGGCGATGATGCCGCCGTGATAGCTACGACGGGGTTACGGAAGGAGGCCGAAGCGAACAAACGGGAAACAGAACATCTAGAGAGCTTTGCGAAGATCAGTTGATTCTGTGCATGCTCCATGCTCCCTACAGCCCACTCCCGGCCGCAGAGGTGGCAGGTCCGGATAAAAGGCGATTTATAGGGCTTTATCCACGGATTAGTTAGCTCTACGCGCTAGCTAATGCACTAGGAGCTATTACTGTACGACGCCGCTAGCGCCCCCACGATCCTATAGGACTAGATGATAGACGATGTGACGTAGCCTAAGCCTAGGTAGTGTTTTTTGAATAATAGCCGTACGTAGTAGCCCATCTAGGGGGTATAGTAGGTAATAGGACGGATCTAGAGTAAGCCCTAATTGTAGTAGCGGTTCGTTGATAGCCCTAAGCGTCGGTTCCGCATATGGGCTATCGAGCGACATATGTAGAACGTGGTTCATTTCTACAAGAAGCTTAGCGTAGCGATCAATGTCACTATGGGCTAGCTAGGACGGGCACTAGAGCTGTATCTTCTATCGTAACACCGAAGGGGGCCACTTTAATATATTCATTGAGAACGGGGTCGTCGTATTCGCCACAAAGTACTATAAGGGTGGTTTTATTCCATACTACTGGTGAATTCGGCCACCTTTTACTTGGTGTCCTATCAACTCAAACTACGTTCAGGCGAGGCATTCTCGCGAGACGGTGAAGTTGGCGGGTCTGTCCAAGCTGAGTCGGCGAAGCCCTCTAAGACTGTGTATATGCTAGAGTTTGAAAAATCTATATAGAATGCTAGATTCCCAAATGTTTGTCTTGTTAGTGCACTTACGATTTATAGTCCATAGATTAGGCTTTATCTACTCCTAAATCCATTCAATGATACGTTTTAGAATGCTTATTACATCCATCACTAAGTCAATTATCGAACTTTTCCTCAATTTGCCGTTAAGAGTATTTACATTCTAGATTGATACACATTGTACCCCAAGGAATCTCATTCTTTGTGGGATTAAGAGCTCAATGCTAAGCTTTACTTGCTTTAGGATTCAAGCACGATGGTGCATCCTCAGGGGATACGGTCTTGACAACATTTGCCCACTCTTCACAAAAATCTGCCATTTCAATATCTTTCCGCGAGAGGCCGGCTGGTGAATGAGTCTTCCAGCAAAAAGTAATAGAACTGTATGTCTTGAGCGCCTATTAGTAGTTTATGCAATAATCTGAACGCAGAGAGAACCTACTGTTCTTATCTCCGGGTGATGATTCACTTGCTTGCATTTTGTGCCCACGCCGCTAAAAAAATCCTAAAAGAATCAGTAAATGGGGCTGCCATAGATCATTCAATTTCAAAAACGAACAATTATTTTCGTCCAATTTCGGCAGTGAAATGTCTTCCGGATCTCGTCGTTGTTCAGTAGTTCCCAACCCGAAGTGTCGACTAGTCTGCGAATCCCGTCCTTCACAGAGTCATAGTGTTCTCCGTCTGATACTTTGATATTGGCAACGGAATCCATTGTGAGTTGTAGTTAGGGACAAAGAGTTCAGATTCAAGATGAGATGAATTGTCAATTAGAAGCGGGGTATTGAGTCCATTCAAGAAACACAAACAAGCACGTGATGCAAGAACGGAATATGTATAGCGGTGTCGAAGACAGAAAAACAAGCTTAAAACGCCTGCCGATCCTTTGCTCTTATTTTAGCTCCAAACTATATATGGTCGCGTTCTGCGTTTCGTCTATAGTCTCTCAAAACAGGCACTTTGCCATATGAAAATGTGTATCAGACTAAATACTTAGATAAAAATGGCGGGTCAAAATAACCAGTAGACAAAATACATGCTTAAACAGTCCACAAACAACTCCCATTTTATATCCAGCACAAAAAGTCCATGTGACTCCTTCCAGAATCTGAAAGACGGATATACGAGAGGGACGATATCTTGGACATCATAGGCGTGGTTGCCTCAGGCTAGTTAATGAATTGTCCACTGGCTTTCGGACTAGACTAACCGCTTTTTAGGCCAACAATTTATTCCAAGCAGCCCATCTCTGAAAGGACGGAAACGGCCCACCTACCTGCTACCGCATCGGTGGGAGCCGTAGCGAATAAACACAAAGAAGCTAGCTATAAAATATTCATCTCAAGCTGATCTCTGCTCCTATTGAGCAAGAAATACACATTCATCGCATAAAAGTAGTCATCACGGGCATAAAGCTTAGGTCGCTTGGAAGAGACCTATTAAGGCCTTGAAATCATTCATCTACCCACTAGAGGTCCTTAGTCGGAAGAAAATAGCCTGTCTGTCTCATTCTTACACCACCTCGCTGACAACAGTAACATGAGCCCCCGGAAACAGGCCCGTGCGGCCGGCATAGCAGCCCCAGAACCAGTCGTCGTTGATGTTCTCTGCTTCAGTAATCTCCGCGCCACGCGGGAAAGTCAATTCATCCTCAACCTCGTCCTCCGGATACCACGACCAGAGGGCGTGAACGACGAGACCAACGCCGCCATCAGGAGGGAAACGGCGGAAGGAAGGGGCTTGTTGAGGGACAGGGCTGCCAGTACTTGAGGGATCAGAGGTGGCAGTGTTGTTGTTAGAGGCCAAAGCACCGCGGAGACGTGAAGCTTTCTTCCGTCGATCGGAACCGTCTTTCCAACTCCAGTCACCCTTGCCCAGTTCGGGAGATGTTGGGGCGGGTGACGAGGTCGAGGATGCGACGTGCTCATCTTTGAGGGCACGGCCGCCCACCAAGTCGTGCACGACCACGCGTCGCTGCCCAGACTGGTGATCCTCGAATCCGACAATGATCATTCGGTGACCCGCTAGGCAGCGGCGCCAGCCATTGTGGCCATTTTCTTTGGTAATTTTAGAAGTAGCCACCAGCTTGAGGTAACAGTTCGTGCACACGTCGTAATCTCCGCCATTGCATTCCAGGCAATGGAACCGAGTCACCGAGGCAGGGATTGGATAAGTGCAGATGTCGCAGTTGGTAGAAAATGAAAGGATCTTGTAGCTCTCGGGTTCGGGCTGGCAGGTTGGACCGGCTGTCATAGCATCGGCCGGAGTCGAAGGAGCTGATGAGGACGTGCTGGCTGTGATGCGCCGGATCGGCAGCAGGGCATGAGTACAGCATCGCCCTTGGTTGACACATCGGTTGCAGAACCCCCAGTCTCCTTGGTTACACTGACTGCACTTCCAGAAACAGTCGTTGGCTACTGACTGACAGATGTCACAGAAGAGACCGGTTATTCGGCGATTAGCTGGGTTATCATTTGTAACCCGCCTGTTGTCAATGATTGTCCGATACGCAGATTCTGCGGGTCGAGTATATTTCACCGAGACAAGAATATGGCCTGTCTCCTTCGTCTGTGCTGGTTGCCGATTTGACGATGCAAGGATTTGTTCGAAGGTCTCTTGTGCAGATGCACCAAAGCCATTCCAGCGAAGACAGCCTCGTCCTGCTCGATAGCACCGCAGACAGATGTGATAGTTACCGTCTTTGCACTGAGGGCATCTTTTGTGCAGATTGTATTGGATATTTTGCTTTCCACAGCACTCGCAAGAGATACTTGGTTCGATGAAGTGAGCGCCCGGAGATGGAGGGACATTGGATCGTGATGAAGATGGTCGGGATCTACCAGATCGGAGAGAAAGATCGCCCCTGGTTGGAACAAGTGGCGATGACAGAGGATGAGTAGCTTGATCGGTCGGAGTGGAGCCGTGAGATGCCTCTAGTCGGGGAGAGGAGACTGAGGAAGGGGAGTTGGTCATCGTTTGGCTGCTAACCTGTCTCGAAGAGCTCCGCTCTCGCCCGCCTCCCATCCAAACATCGGAGATGTTCTGATCCGGCTCAGTTGCTCGTCGTAACCTTGTAGATGAGGCGTGCAGTCTCGGTCGTCCTGCTTGGGAGGCTCGAGAACGCTCTGAGGTCATGTCACTAGACGATCTTGCCGCAGGGCGCAACATGTCATCCGACGCCGAAGCCTGACTCAATGTAAGCGGCGATGTGTGCTGACGTTCACTAGTTTGGTCGGAGTTGCGTCGTTGATGTGTGTTGCTTGGGCGAGACTGGTCCAAAAGATGGGGTCTGGATACAGGTGGCCGCCTTTCATCCTGTTCCCGAGAGGTTGGAGCTGGCTCTGAAGATCTTTGGGCGGACTGGGATCTGGTCTGGGTTCGTGAGGTGACATCGGGCGAATGTCTTCGTGGATTGCTTTGCCGAGAGTTAGATCGCTGCATATGTCTCCGACGATAGGCATCTGCAATGCGTTCACTGAGTTCTTCCTCCTGCGCGGGTCCCAGGTTATCCAGATCAATGTCATCGAGCAATCCTTCCTCTATGATTTGCCGAAGAATTTCTTCTTCCATCGTCTCTGCCTCAGAAGACAAGCTCAACAATGACCGCAAGCTCGACTGGTGTTCGATACGCCGAGTGCGATCTCCATCACGACCTGGACGTGACCCGAGTCGTTGTGTACGCTGTTCCGCAGAAGTCTCATCTTGTCGGCGTCGAGTGCGACCCTCAGCTGCGTGCCGCCCTGAGTCGTTTCTTGGTTCATGGTTCCGTGAGGGGTCTGCCCGGCGGTTTTCGCGTCTCGCCTGTGCTCTACTCTCTCGTAAACTTAGTTCCCGAACTTCCTCCAGCAGCCTGTCATCGTCGTAGTTGTCCTCTTCAGCGCTCTCGTCGTGCGGGGGATCCGGTGGGAACACCGAGTCGCTCGGTTTGTATCGCTTCGCAATCTCATCCTTCTCGGCCGCAGATTTGACGCGATCTGGATGAGCCGCCAAGACCATGTCCACCAGAGTGGTCACGGTAGCATTTGGTCGGGTGCCGCGCACATCGGCCCGACAGGAGGGGCAGGTGAATCGGGCAGACGAAGACGTGGAGGGCCGGCGACGCGATCCCTGGGCCGTGAACCATTCTTTCACACACGAGCCGCAAAATGTGTGTAGGCAGTCGAGGAGGGTTAACGGCTGGTAGAGGAGCTCGGTACAGATCTGGCAAAGACACAGACGTCAGTCATGGCGGGGGGCGCAAGGAGGGAGAATGGAAGAATTTTGGAAGAGCTGGAAAGGAATGACACATACCGAGCATACCAGCTCCTTCTCCAGGTCAGCCAGACCTGGGCTGGCCAGTTGCGCCATGAACAGGAATAAGTTGGACAACGGTGGACCAACAGTAAACAGAGGAACCAAGGAACGCACGATCGTGGAAGGAGAGAAAGTGGCTGACTGTCGGGTGGAGCCCGATCTTATCTTGTTCATACTCTCTCTGACTACATCTACTGAGAGTAACGACACACTTTTGCATTGTAGATGTTCCGCTTATACTCGGGTGCAACTCAACTGAGCTGAAAGAAGATGCTAATGAATATTCATACGACTTGCCGGGGACTGAGGGGATACCAAGTCCAAGCATTGATGTATTGATCTAAATATATATTGCTCACGCTCGGCAGGATCAGCTGCCATTTACTGAGACAGGACGTGCCTTTCTCCTTTTTCAGATGATTGAAAGGCCGGGTAAAATTTGATACTGAGCTCTCTTACCCCGATGCGAGACTAGCCTGGTTTCTGAACCAAATTCCAGGTACCCTGTTTGCACCAACACTTCTGAATGGAACGAGACCAAAGGGGCTACAGAGCTAGCGCTGCCGGCCTTCACAGGTCACGGATGGGAGAAACGGGCGCGGACATCTTCCGGCGTAAGATTTTATATCCAGATACTAAGTCGCTGCCATCGGTGCGTCCGCGCGGTCATGGAGATATGGAATACAGCGGTTAGGGAACCTGCTGAGATTATAAAAAGGTTGAACAGCCCTGCATTCATCGCCAGCACTTATGATATACATATGCACCGACTGTTAGCCGTCAAAGATGTTTATCATAGCAGACAACCGCCGAAAGTCGCGAGGCCAAAATTAGAACGACCGCGAACCAATTCACCAGCGCGGCGATCGAGATCGCTCAGAACATCATATTGAGGCGATCGATTATAAGGACAAAGAGCATCGCGACAGCTCAACAGATGAGAAGAGCATTCGCTCAGATGAATGCACTATGACCCCATTCGAAGCTCACTTCGATGAGCTACTCGAATTCAAGACCGTTAGCGCGACCCGTGTATCGATAAACAGAACGGAGTGATGTCAGGAGTGATGAAGTTTCTCCCGATTGTTCCGTTGTGAAGTTAAAACAGTGTACCAAAAGGTAAGAAGTATGTAACTCATGATAAGCCAGAAGCACTCAGAAGAATGCAGATGCGTAGCAAAGAATACATTGCATCGCACAGCACGGAGGAGGCCCACATCCTACTTCTTAGCAGACTTTGAGATTGGCAGATAACTGATGACCAGATCAAGAAGTTGAAGAGCTCCGAATTCGCAGAAATGTGGAAAAAATGCAGGCTGGAGAACGGGCCGACCAAGTTTCAGCCTCCAAAAATCCAGAGGAAACTGCGGACAGACTCATATGGCAGAGTAAATGCCGGAATCTCTAGATAAGTGAAGCAGGAATACTAGGTGAGAAATCCAGAAGTGTTCAATTACTCTCACATGTGCAATTGCTCTTGAAGCCAACCATCTCTACAGTACATCTCCACTCATACAAACCCCCAATCTTCTTCACGCTCAGCCTAAAAATTCCAAACTAGGATAATCCTAATGCTAGATCAGCGGTGGCAAGCAATGCAGACAGGGCACACAGTTCAATGGTCTGATCGCGCACGCCCCATGCAACATTTCACATGAAGAAAAGCCAGCATACACCGCAGTTTGTTCGTTGGCATGTCGACCTCGACGAGGACTCGGCATGATTGCCCTACGCACACGAAGCAAAACAGAGTTTCGCCTCTGCTTTTCGCCTTCGTAATCACCCCTTCGCTGTGGTGGCGGCGTGGCGGTTTTGCGTATCATGCCAGCGCCCTGAGCTTAGCGGTGAGCATTGGGTGGATGGTCTCATCTTGCACGGTCCTGGCTCTGTCATTAGTTGAAACCACGGCCCCCCTTTTCCATGTGCATTTCTCTGCATTTCTCCTCGGATGCATGATTAGAGTAAGGCAGTAGTAATAGTGCAGATTGGCGCTTATGGGCAGATCATGTGCACATATCTTGCTTGATGCGGATGGTCCCACTGTCCCAGTCCTTGCCCTGTGGTCATTCCGCACGGAACCCCCGGCACGCGAGATGTAGCCGGACCTGAAATATCTCCCGAACGCTCATCGAGTATGATGGTCTGCCGCTGTAACGGCGCATGTTTTCCCTCCTGTCCTGCCCTTCGCGGATGTGGCTGACGCTGGGCATAGAGAAGAGGGCGGGGAAGTCTGATGAGAAGCGAGACCGTTGCCGAGCAAACAGAGGCAAGGGGGTGAGGGAGGAGTGAAAGTGAAGGCATTGGTGAGATAGAGCAGAGTTTCGCTCGGACATTGCGGTTGAGCTGGCAAGACCTGGCCAGCCCCCTGCGATGCACCCCGCAAATTTTCTTTTTTCGTAAGCGAATTCACTGCATGCGAGGATAGAGCGCAAATGAGGGGACTCAGATTGACCTGTAGGCAGTGATCGCCATGGCTGTGTCCGCAGGCATCCTCGAGTCTAATGCTCGGTCTGCCCTGATCCACACCACAGAGCAGAACCTCTAGTGATTTGCGGGTAAGAGATCCCCGAAGCGAACCTTTGGGTTTGGGATATAGTGGCGATGCAATTGACATTGGCAAAGCTGACATTGTGCCCTGGATCAGCATGGCCGAGGGCTAGATGGCGCCAATTTCCACAACAACCGCCATGGTCCAAGACACGGCGTCATCACAGCGCCGTTGGCATGAAGAACCAGGGGGCCTGATTTGTCCTGCTCGTGTTATCGTGGGGGAGGGGGAGGTCAAGGGGAGGACAGACCGTCAGCCTGGGTGGGTAACGCCTTACCCGGTCGTGCTGGTCTAGAGGCTTGGACCGTGATAATGACGGGCCAGTAAGAAAGAGTCGGACTAATAATTCCGTCCTGGGGTGCAGCAAGTAGTTGACACCATTTGTCTCGAGTTCCTGGCTGGATTGTCTTTTGCTCCCGACACAGTCCCTTTCCACGTCGGTCCGTGGTTGGTCGATCCGAGCGCCTCAACCTTGATGGGCGGGGATGTATGCTCCATGGCGGGGTTGTGTTTGCGATTAGACAATTCTCACCAAGCCCCTGAAACGCCAACAGCATCCCCATCCCGAGATACAGTCATGCCATGCACTGACCTCCTGCTGCACTATTCACAGCACGATGGCCCCACCAAGCCACCGGGCGCCAACATGAAGGAGCCAGTTAGGGCTTCGGGATCGAGCGCACTGACTACCGTGAGCAAGTCTAGGCTGTTGTCGATTATTCTGGTGGGGCTACCGGGTGCATGTTCCATTGTCTGTGCTATAGTTAGTTGAGGTGGGCGTTAACTCACTCCTGACAATTCTGTATAGTGCCAGATGATCCGCAGCATGCGTTTGAGGTTGCCATTGCTGCATCCCTGACCAAAATACCCCCTGTCGTTATCGACGCGAAATCAAGGCAGCTGCACGTTGGTCATGTGGATGACAGGGATTCTTCGGGCTAGGGTCAGATCAAGAGATGGAGACTGTTTCCATGTCTGACTCAAGAGCCCCCAACAGATCCTTTTGTGGCAAGCTCTCACTATAGAGGACACAAGATGACGTCCCATGGGCTACACCGACATTCTCGCGTGGTATTTGCAAGCTTACGACTTTATTATCTCAATTGCCAAACAGCTGTCGACCCCGCGGGGAGAAATCCCCAGCCTATAGACCAGGAGCCGCACGCCGTCAGCCCACCGGGCATCAATGGGGTCGGTGGGGATGGGATGTACGTGCATCCTGAGATGGCGTGCATTCCAACGAGGATCCACGCGGAACGAAATGTTTGGAGCACGCCATCATTCGAGGGAGGGTGGAAATAGAGACACGCAATGAGCTACGTACTATTGCTGCTGCAAAGGGAGCTTGAAGGTGAGCTCTGTCTTCCAAGGTTCAGCCACAGTAACGCCGTCGAGCGGGCGCGTCTGGTTTATCATTCGTAGGGGAATAGGAAGCAAAGGTCCAAGGCCGAACCTTGATCATCTAATTCATAGCCTGACCGCTCAGGCGTCAGACCATCTAGACCCTCCATACTCTAGGAAAAATTAACTCTCAGACAACCTTTGCTGGTGCGATCTCGAATAAGATCTTTCGGCAGTAGTCGACATTGGACGAAACTCTGAGAAAGGGCAACTAGCCACCGGGCGTTATCGCCTCCTGCAGAAGCTGCAGATGGCGGCAAACCTTCTGCTCACCGGGAGATTCAGATTGGCAGGTTGGATACGGTCTTATCGTCCATGTACCGGGTACATCTGGGGGTGGATCGACCTTCGCACGGGGTTCAATTGGGAGGGGGGGGGGGGGATTTCTGCTTGACAGGCAAAGGAAAATTTCTGTTTTGCGGGAGCGATCAACATCCCATGGATCCTCCAGCCTTGTTCTGCGGAGAGGCTGATCAGGGCGGACGGGCCAAGTGAGTCTCGACTCGCTAGCCGAGTGAACGGGCTCGGCTTTGCTCAGACGGGCGTCCCGACAGCAACCCATGGCAAAGCCCTATCTCGGTGCCAAAAAATGTTGTTACATAAAGTAAATCAATTTTAAACGACCAGCTCAAGCCACAAGATAGCCGCCGCCGTTGTGACTGTTGAGTGGCGAGAAATCAAAGAAAACTCTGCCACTCTACAGATGGCCCGGGCGCCAGGGCGAAGAATGGACCAAATTTAAAATTTTCTTTCTTTATGCATTCACAGTGAGACACAGCGCCTCCGAAGGTTGGATGGACCGGGATGGGGGCTGCGAATAAAGTCGTAAAACAAGAATACCAGCACGTTCAAGCGAGTCCGACCGATGTAACAGGTGGGTTCCACCGATTTGAACTGTCTGTCAGTCAACCAAGTTTTCTTCCAGTCCTCTCAGGGGGACCGGTACTCTATGACCCGACCATGTAGATCGACAACAACAGAATGTCGAATAGCAGTGTCGCTGCCACTGTCGACATCGATAGAGCAGGCTAGGCCACCGCCAAGCGGCGCGAAACCAAGGAAGTGGGCTCTGCGCGGTCAGTCCATGCGTCTTGACGTCAGTCATCGCGCGTGGCAGTATACCGCATATCACCACGCCCGCGATAGAGATAAATAGAGAGATGCTCGAGGAGTGAATGGAATTGAAGATGTCTCCTTTCCGATAGTTCTTGTCATTTGATTATTGGGATGATCCTTCTCCTGGACGACTGTGCTCGTCTCTTGCAAGAGCAGGCCCGTTCTATCTTTCAGGCTCACCGGTGGAGCGACTACTATGGAGACTGTAGCGCGCCACACCCACCTACTCCGGAGTACAGACGTCCTACTACAGTAGTTTCGCAATTGATCCCAGGCGCAGCATGCACGTCACAGAGCAATGCCACCTGGGCAAGGGTCAGACAGAATAATTTCCGGAGACCTGTTAGGCATTTGGATGTGGACGTAGCGGAGATAGTAGCAATGTTTCACCGCACCTTGAGGCCCGGTGTGGGTGTTAATGCCCAGGTTGTCGAAGTATGAATCGAAGGTTTCTGATGATTATTATTTCCCCCTCGGGTTGCACGGCAACTAAAGCATCAAGTGGAAGAGGGTTAAAAAAAAAAAAAAAAAAAAAAAGAGGGAGCATAGTTAACTAGCAGCCAGTGTGTCCGGTGCGTGGTCGATCCAATTGGTTATCTTGGTTCCAGGCAAATCGGGGCCACGGGCCTCGCCGCTAAGGATTGGTTGGGGCTTTGATAAGGATGGCGAGAATTAAGCAGACTGGGGGGAAAAGAGAGGCGAATAGACTACCCAGTACTCAGTGTAGCACGATTAAATAGCATTTTTCACAAACAGGAAGGTGGCTTGCGCAGGCGTAATAGCCCCAACGAAGGGATGGGACGGAGAAATCGGATGTTGTCAGTACAGTTGACCCACTCTGCTGGTGATATACGAGCGGAGTCGCTAGGGTGCTAGTCTAGATGCAGGCTTTTCACTCTGGTACGTACCAAGTACTTACATATCATTCCCCCATCCCATCGCCATCTTGCTTGCTCTTCCACCCACTCGCGCCGCCTCCCCAGGCAGCTTATCAACATCCATCCAAGCACGACATGTTCTTTTAATCTTTCTTCCCTTTACCCCGCCACATCCTCGTGCTTCCTTTCTCTCTTTCATCTCTACCCTTTCTTCGCTTCGTGCTTGTCTTTTTTCTTCCTTATCTTCCTCTTTACTCACCTCCATGTTCTTCTAAATCCATCCAGGTAGGCGATCGCTCCCTCTCTCCAATTCAATTGTCCTGTCCTCCTGCCCTCTCGCACCGCAGGCAATCCATCCATTGCCTTCGAGTGTCACTGTGTTGTGAGACCTCTCGTTATCTTGCCTACCACTGGCCCGCACTTGCCATCGCCGTCCCACCATCTGCTGCACCCATCCTGTGCCCCCAAGTGCTTTCTCTCCAGCCGGGATTGGGATGCTTTGCCTCTGTTCCGATCGTCGCCACCCCATCATTTACTTTTTTTACTGACGGTCACGCCTTCCTTCTTCAGGAACAACTCTGTGATCTATCAAGCTCCAGAGAAAAAGACTTCCTTCTTGTGTTGAAACACGCAAGTCGGCCGGATGCCATACACCGCGCCGTTGAAGTCGTTGCTCTCCGCGCAGCACATTGAATTCAGTGATCCCACTCCCGAGGCCCGTCCCGAACGACCTCGTCACAACTCCCGCTCCTACTCTTCCACCTCCTACGTGCGCCGACACCGCAGGAGTCCTTCGATCTGCAAACCCACCGCGCAGTCTTCGTCTGAGCCCGTCTCGCGCTCGTCTCCCTCTATTGACCCCCATGCCAGTTTGAGACAGTCCCCGCCGCCGTTGAACAATGCCGTCATTCCACCCGGGGCGGTGATCTCCCCACCAGAATCTGCTCTGAATTCGAGTGACGACGAGTCGCCGTATTCGGGTGGAGAGGGGATCTCCCTCGAAGATTTGGAGGCGGCCGTCCGGTCCATCGAGCAGAGGAGAGAATCGTCCCCAGAAAGAAGCATGGGGCCGGCGGAGCAGACCGGCACCGAGGCTCGTTCCTCGTCGAGTCTGCCCTTATCCAGAGAAGCCCGCAAGATCGCTCACTCGCGGTCATCGACCGAAAACTCGATTATCTTGAAACGGGAGGAGGCCCTGACAAGCTCTCCCGAGGACAGTGATGTGGAATTCGAGGCCAAACCGCCAATGGTTCGCAAGAAGTCGGGTGAACTGGTTCGTCCGGCACTGCGGCCTCCGTCGGCTCGCCGGCGCCCCTCCAGCATGCCGGGGACCCCGGTCTATTCAAAAGCTGTCCACTTTGACGCTCAGCTGGAACACATCCGCCACTTCCTGCAGCTGGACAAGCCCTTGGCTGTCAGTGCAGAGACCTCACCGGTAGAAAGCCATGATAATGAGGGCGAGTTCCCTTTTGGTTGCCAGGCGGAGTCTCGTACGACGTCCTGGGAATGGGATATTCGACTCTGCAACTTCCCCACGGATGTGTCTTTGAGTCAGACTAGACCCGTTCGCCTCGAGCGGTTGTTCTTGTCATCCGATAAGAACGTCCTGATCGGTACGGTTGCCGTGTCCAACCTCGCCTTCCATAAACAGGTCGCCGCCCGCTTCACATTTGATTACTGGAGGACGGTGTCGGAAGTGAGTGCGTCGTTTTGCCACGATATTCGCCGCAAGCATGCCCACGACGGGTACGACCGCTTCACCTTTGAAATCAAGCTCAACGACCAGACCAATCTAGAGTGCAAGACCATGTTTGTGTGCATTCGGTACAGTGTGAATGGCCAAGAGTTCTGGGATAACAACAATTCCATGAACTACCAGGTCGATTTCCTCAAGACGCCCAAGACGACCCCGTCTAAACCGTCCAATGGACCTCGTCCATCTCTTCCTCGCAGTCGCAGTTTCACCGGCTCCCACAGTTCTCGCCCACGCTCGATGCCCCCATCATTCGACGATTTTCCAGAGATCTCCAAGAACGTGGCATTCTCCAATCCCTTCTCGGCTACCGGCGGCGCGCCGTTGACTCGGAAGGCCTCTGACGATATCGACACCGTTGCTCCCCCGAAACCTCGCGAAAAGCATCACCCCCGAGCGTTTGGCACCCGGTATGATTTTGGGGCCTCATTGTCTGCTGCCATGCGGACCAAAACCCCCTTAGATCGGACCACTTTGGCGGCGCGCGCGAAGTCTGGACAGACGGCCGATGAGAACTCAGATAGGAAAAGCCCAGACATTGCCCTGGGCATGGCTTCTCCAGTGAGCGACGACATCTGCGATGGAGCTCGTGTGGGAGATATGAAACCGTCCTCATTGGTGTCTAGCAAGCCTCGTCTCGAGTCCTCCGTGTATAGAGAGCTGGTCGATCGGTACTGCTTCGTGAGTATCCTGTCTCCTTCCACCCCGGTCATACTCAAACTAACCCTCTGGCAGTATGGTTCTTCGCAAGGCGTAAATCAGAAGCCGCCGGCTCCAGTCTCGACTGCGACGGCGAATGATACAGAGCATGCGAAACATTCTCCTCCACCCGCGGGGTATGCTTCCTCGCCGCCTCTGTCTCCTCGCTCCCTTCCAGCTGAAACACCTCGTGAAGCACGCCCGGTATCTACTTCGCTGAGCCCGCACACCTCCCCGCGCACCTCACAGTCTCCCAAGTCGTTCCGCTACCCCTACCATCATCAGAACGGCTTCATGAATGACCCTCCGTCGTCACCGGTTATTAGAGGGTGAGTAACATAGATTGTGATATGACCACCACCTCCGGAGTCCGGCAATCATCCTTTTCCATTTCCTCCTTGACCATGTGTCGTTGACTTTGCGTTGAAGGGGATCGGGTCTTCCTGTTTTTCTGGAGATGGATCATCGCTCGAACGATTTTTTTTCCGTCGCCCCTATCCCAAGTGCTGCCAACCCGCCGTGTGTTGGGGTTTGGTGAAAATTTTCCGTCAGTAGGGTCTTGCTGGCCAGTCGCTGCAGACGTTGAGCACGATCATCCCTTTTGCGATGCACAATAAACCGCGAGGGCATCTGTTCATGCTGCATGGCTGGCTGGGGGTGTCCCTATTTGCCATGTCGAGAGAAATTATCGATGTGACGGGTTAATTGTTTGTGGTCATGGTTACGTTTTTCCTTTTTCCCTTTTCCTTTTTGTTTTTCCTCATTACGCTTGATGACGCTACGAGAGTTTGCTTTGATGCTTGCTCTCCCACGCCCAACCCACACCACTCCCGAGGCATTTTCGATTCTGCATCTGTCCGACCCGGCCAGAATATTAATTTTTTTATCGCGAAAAGTTGTTGTAGTCTGTCCGCTGCCTCTTGTCTTTTTTCTTCCCGATGCATCCTCTGCGTTGGACATTTTCTTGTTGAATGCATGGAGTCTGGTGTTTTGCTTTGTTTCCCCCCCTTTTCGGTCCACTAGTGTGGAGACAGGGATGAGGATGATACATGATCTGCTAGCTGATTGACATGAGAGAAATGAATGCACATGAGATGTTGCAGAGTATGTAACCATCCTGCCTAAGATGTAATGGCCTCGACCAAGTATGTAATCCCGCTCAGTCCCCACCCATTCCTCTCCGTGGCTATCTTATCTTATCGTCACATGACCACCTACCCGCTCCATTGTTTCCTGCGCCGCACCAATTCCCGGCCCTGCCTACACACACTTTCAAGCTGCTGCTTCCCGATCCTTTTTTCTGCCTGCCCGCCCGCCCAATCACCGCCGCATTGCAGAATGGCCATTCCCTTCCCTCCCCCCATTACATAATCCTGGCCCAAATCACTTGCTGACTTGTTAGTTATTTAATCGCCCGCCCTCGCCCTTGACTAATTCCCTCTTTCCCTTTTTCTTTTCCTCTTCTTCTTCTCTTCCCCATCCCGACACGCTCAACCTCATCAACCCGACGCGTCGCTTTCCATCAACCACCCACCGCCACCCACCTTTTCCATCTTAATTTTTCAATTTTTCGTTACTTTCACCACCTGTCAACATGTCTGGACGTAAGTTATCATTTATTTTTCGCCTGATTCATCGTCGCGCGTCGTGTTGTTGTCCATAACCATGATGCCCCTGGGGGCACGTGATTCATGCCTGAGGCCTCCAATTCATTCCCCCCATTCCTTCCCCCCGGTCCGCATCTGTTCATGGGCCTCGCAACATCTCATCTTCTCTTCTCATCTTCTCTCCCTGTCTTTGTCTCTCCTCTCGCATCCCACTAACGTCGTCATCTATAGGTGGTAAGGGCGGCAAGGGTCTCGGCAAGGGCGGCGCCAAGCGTCACCGCAAGATCTTGCGGGACAACATCCAGGGTATCACCAAGCCCGCCATCCGCCGTCTGGCTCGCCGTGGCGGTGTCAAGCGTATCTCCGCCATGATCTACGAGGAGACTCGCGGTGTGCTCAAGTCTTTCCTTGAGTCCGTCATCCGTGACGCCGTCACCTACACCGAGCACGCTAAGCGCAAGACCGTCACCTCGCTGGATGTCGTTTACGCGCTCAAGCGCCAGGGCCGTACCCTCTACGGTTTCGGCGGTTAATTGCCTTCCTTCCTTTTCTGGGGGAGGGCTGGAGCATTCCCTATCTACCATCTATATCTTCGTCTCTTGTTGTTGACATCTTGGGTTAGATGGATGCTCCCTTAATGCGCGATGCTCTTATGGTTCTTTATCTCCTTTTGGTTATGGTTTTTCTATTGCCCGGATTACATGGGCTACGGGGTTTGTTTTAGGAGGAATGGTCCCCCTGAGGATCTGGTGCGTTCTTTTTGTTCGGATGGGATATGCAATGGGTTTGCCTTTCATGGTAGCTAGTCGCCGAGTAGCCTAGGCGCTTCCTGCAGCCAAATCTAGCGATTGCCACCAGTACGTGGATTGCGACCGTAGACTCGATGTAGATACGGATGGACGAAGGCTTTCACGAGTAAGGTTGCGCACGGGCCCCACATGATGTAATGCCTCGGTCCTCTCTCTCCGCCATTCGATTCATTCCTGCTTCTCCTACTCTCTCATATCTCCCTCCCTTTTGTCATTCCATTTATCTCAGTTGAGGACAGGAGAGGAGATTCATAGCCATGGCTGAATACAAGCTCTCCTACGAGTCCCACCTGGTTCGTCCCTCCCCCATCCCTTCTTCAACGCGCCTATCTAATCTGACCTCTTATCTGCTGGCATCCAGGACGCCTTCCATCCTTCCTACCGCTACGACCAGCGCCATCCCAGCGAGGACTGGAAGGCAGCCGCTCTGCGCGGTCCTGCGCTACCTGTGCTCGGAAACGCAGTAGCCGGGGCCGTGGGTGCGGCTGTATCCAATGTTATTGTCTACCCCCTCAGCGTTGTCGTCGCTCGCCTTCAGACCCAGAAGAGGAAAGCCGAAAAGGGTTCGGAAGATGACGAGGAGGAAGAGTACGCCAGTCTCCTCGATGCCCTTCGAAAGGTCTATAACCAGCACGGTATCGCTGGGTTGTATCCGGGTTTGGCGCAGGATACGTGCAAGACGATCGCGGACCAGTTTCTCTTTTTCCTGGCATACAACACTATCCGTCAGAGGAGGATAGTGGCCCGCGTGGGACCCGCCCGGGCGGCGAAGAGCAAGAATATCATGCTCCCGGTGCTGGATGAGCTCGTTATCGGGATTCTAGCTGGGTCGTTCTCGAAATTGTTCACTACACCGCTATCAAACATCGTCACTCGCAAGCAGACTTCGGCGGCCCGCAAGGAGGCGAAGGGCGGCAAAGACCTGTCGACTGGTGACATTGCTGCCCAGATTCGGAAGGAAAAGGGCTTGCAGGGTTTCTGGTCGGGTTACTCGGCGACGCTAATCCTGACGCTCAATCCATCTATCACGTTCTTGCTGAACGAAATTCTAAAATACACGCTGCTCCCACGATCGAAACGCGATCATCCTTCTGCTTCAGTGACTTTTCTTCTGGCCGCCATCAGCAAAGTCGCCGCCTCATCTATCACCTATCCCTTCTCTCTCGCAAAAACTAGGGCCCAAACAATGAGTCCCGGCTCGCAAACTCAAACGTCATCGACTCCAAAGCAGCTCCACCAGCGCCTTTGTGCGGCTCTGACTCCGCAGATCTTGTCAACTGTATTTACAATCGCCCGCACGGAAGGCCTACCAGCCCTCTACGCAGGCCTTCAAGGCGAAGCCCTGAAAGGCTTTTTCTCACATGGTTTCACCATGCTCGCAAAGGATGCAGTGTATGCCTCCATCGTCAAGAGCTACTACATTCTCCTTATTTTGCTGCGCCGATACCCCTCTCCCGAAGAACTGCTTGAACGCGCTCGGGAGCAGGCAGAGGAATACGCTGAGATTATGCGTGAGGAGGCAAAGGATTTGGCAGAGAGAGCAAAGGACGGCGCTGGGGATGCGTTGAGCATGCATTCAGGTGCGGTCACTGTTGATATGACTTCGGATGCAGGCGCTGCTGCTGTCGCCGCTGAGGCTGCCAGTAGACAAGGTGCCAGTGGGGGTGTCGATGCCTCATCCGGCTTGAAGGTGCCACCTATGCCCGATGGCGCGGTGAATGCCACTGCTGAGCTGGTTGGGGACTATGTTGAAGAGGAGGCGGCGGAGTGGAAGAGCTTTTATCATTGGTTCTGGGATAAAGATCGGAGGCTGGGTAAGGCGTGATGCGTGTCGATATCCTCATATATACTGCATGACTCTTGATGTCCTTTGTGCGCTACCGGCCTGTCGAGGACCGAGCTAATAGGTAGTATTTCAACCATTGTATAGTTATTCCAATATCTGTTCCCAGATATAAATATATCTAATTATGTGTACATATGTCTCAAGCTTATGATGAATTTGGACTTGTATCTCTTGATTCTCATGATGGGTTTTCAAGCTCGAAGAACGGGTTGGTGACGTGGTGTCACCGTGAAGCAATCGGCAATGGATAGAAGTCCTCGTCCTAGCCTAGGGCGTAGTCGATTTCTTATTCATCAACCCTCGGTCTACAGGCACCATACCTAGTCAACATGGCCATGCACATTTCCGTCATTTTCTTGACCATGAAGAACTTTCAGATTATGCAAAATTTATACATTGGTCTACTTGTCATGGCCTACTTCTGGTCACACTATTTATTGTCCGTATCGAACCATGAAGCTATGATAGGACTGCATACCACGAGAACTCATTATCAGCTGGTTGATGTACACGTATCTCAAAGACTCGAGAAAATACCCAAGACCCTTGATAAATTCGATGTATGTTCGGCTAGACCTTAACGTAACCTCGGCTCGGCGACGATCCAACTTAGCCTAAAGAAGCATGGAACAAATTGACGGAATAATTCCCGAAGCAGGCTCACTTGCTCATTAATAATCTCCCTTTACAACGCCCTGAACCCCGCTCTGCTCTGGATGAATAATTTCAGGTCTTGAGGTGTTACTGTAGCTTCTTGCCCGATGGCGTCTAGATTTGATAATATGGGCTAATTGCGTGATTGATCCTGAACACCTCGCAGTTTCAACACTTTCTCTGGTCCGGATACTTTTCCTTCACAGAGCGGGAAAGTTATGTCAAACCCAACAAATAATGAAGCAGACGAGGCTGTTGCGACTGTCGCAAAGAATGATGTCTCGGCCGATGAGAAGAATTCCCCGCCTGCTGCTGCGCCGGTCAAAGAAGGCGGCATTCGAGGCTGGCTGCAAGTGATCGGTGCATTTTTCATCTTTTTCAATATTTGGTAAGAGAAGAACCATGTCCAGCAAAGGCTTGAAACTGACTATTCCATGCACAGGGGCGTGGCTTTTGCTTTTGGATCCTTTCAAAGCTTCTACGCTCTGACCTATCTCGTGTCCTCTGGCTCCTCAGCCATATCATGGATAGGCACCGTCCAGTCCTTCCTACTCATCGTTGGCGGAATTGTATCCGGCCCCCTCTTCGACCTGGGCTACTATCGCGCCATGATCTTCGTCGGCACGACCCTGTCTATTGTGGGGGTTATGATGCTCAGTCTCGCGGATGCATACTACCAAATCTTTTTGAGTCAGGGTATCTGTATGGGTCTGGGGTTCGGGCTGTTGTATATCCCCAGCCTTGCACTGGTTAGTCGGGCCTTTGTGCGCAAACGCGCTGTTGCACTCGGCGTCTCGACGAGCGGTGCTCCGACCGGAGGCATTATCTATACCATACTGTTCGAACAGCTTCTACCCCGTATCCAGTTTGCGTGGACGGTGCGGGTTATTGGCTTTGTTATGCTCACCCTGTTTGTTACGGCGGCATTTCTGCTGCTCTGGAAGAGTCCTAACACACAAAGACCTGCAGCTACTCCGGGGCGCACTCGAAGATTATTTGATCTGCGTGCTTTTGGAGATGGGCCCTTCTGGAGCTATACCATTGCAAATTTCTGCCTTTTTCTGGGATACATGACCCCGTTCTACTATATCCCGACCTATGCGGAGACTAAGCTCGGTACCACACGGTCACTGGGCCTCTATATTCTTATTATCTCGCAGGCTTCTTCGATCATTGGTCGCGTGGTCACTACCACCGTTGCACATCACTTTGGATCTATGATCCCATGGGTCTTCTGCGGGTTGCTTTCGGGAGTTCTGTGTCTGTCTTGGATCAGTGCACACAGTGTAGTGCGTTTTATCCTGTATTCGGCGTTTTATGGTAGGTCGTCCTATTTTCTCCTGGTTCTTCTGGCTGATTGTATTCAGGAGGTGTATCCGGTGCTCTGATCCCTCTTCCACCCAGCGTCTTCCCCCATGTATGTCCCGACCCATCAGCCCTGGGAACATGGCTGGGTATGGCGCAAGGTATCAGCGGGTTTGCGACTCTCATTGGTGCGCCCGTGGCGGGCGCATTGGCTTCCATTGGATCACGAGGCAACGCCGATCTGAACTTCGTGAACATCCAACTCTTCGGTGGAATTGCGATGATATCCGGAGCGTTCCAATTAATGGGGCTGTGGTTCCTGCTGTACAAGAAGAGAGATAAAAAGGGCCTGTTCTGAAATAGATGCATGCATTAGGTGTTATGTCCATTATCCAAAAAGAATTCCAATCGCATCTAGATATCCACTTCATATGAACCGGGGATCATATCTTCGTCCCGCTGTACTTTTACTGCTTCTTGCGGCTGGAGCCTGCCTCGGCCGCAACAAATGCCCCGCGAAGCTCCTTAGCCGCCTCCCACAGAACCCAAATAGGGATAAACACCCAGAGGGTGTTGAAGAAGACTAGATAGAGCCACAGGTAGACCGGATCCTCCGTGGCAAGCTGTGAGCTGCCAGTCAGCCACTCGGGCGCAAAAGTCATGAAGCCACCGTAGAGTTCCGCAGTCGCGAGCGCCGAAGCGACCAGCCACAGCGAACCTTTGGCGGCACCGCGAGCCGGCGCGCTGATGCTAGGGTTGGACGAACGGTACAGCAGATAGCAGGTGTACAATGCGGCCGGACCGCCCAGGAAGACGGTCAGCAGTTCCAATGAGACAACGGTGAGGTCGGCGCCGGCCCAGCGACGGTCAGCCTTGGCATATTCCTGCCACATGCGCGCACTGGGCCCGGAGCCGTACGCGGGGCCGTAAATGCGGTCTGCACGGTTGAGGAAGAAAGGCTCCGTGTTGTGGATCCCCGCGATGGTCGCGTAGCTGAAGAAACACTCGTAGAGGAAGCTACCTTCGATAAACAAGTGGGTGAGCGCGTCGTAGGCGTGCCAGAAGAACAGAATGCGGTCGCGTGTCCGATGCGCCGGGATAAAGGTCTTGCTGAGCAGGTATGCAATGGGCATGAACGAGAGCGCAAAAGCGATGCAGAGCACCGTGGGGGTGTCGAGCGTGAAGGAGTCTGTCGCGGACATTGTGGATTAGGGGATGAACTCGTCACTCCTGGAGGGAGGAAAGATTAAGTCGATGATTCAAGTAACACAGTAAGATCCAAGCTCCCGAGTCAAAATATGGAGGAGGAAAGGATCGTTCTCATGAAGGATCAGGGGATCGATCCAATCGGTTGCCTTAGGCATCAGTGGACCATCGGGGGGCACGTTCGGGCAAACCAACAACAAAGAATCCTTCTGGAACCATCACTCGCTTCTAAAGTCCCCATATTATTTTTCGCTGTTGGTCCTCCGACTCTCTTTGTTTCGCCCTGGGGCCGGTGCAGTTGGTGGCGCACAGGACCGAAGATAATCACTGGCCGAGTCGTCCGCCCGCTGACCAGGATCGGAGCCGTGGCCCCTTAGCGGCTCAATGATCCACCACCATGACTGGCTAATGTCCCCCAATATCGCGAATAATAGGTACAACAGTGCCCCGCTTTCACGCATGATTTAGTGGCAATTGTACGGGTTGCAACCCCCCGGCCGGGCCTTGCTTTGTCTTCGGGGACTCATGATACTCTCCGCGCTTTTCCTTTTGATCATCCTGTCTGCCGGCTTTGAGGATGTGTTCTTGCTCCAGACTTCGACATACTGGCGTGTGAGACGACGAATATCTGCATAGATTCACTTGCCCCTGGATTCTGTGTTCGTTCGTGCTGGTTGCAGCTGAAGTGTCGCTCTGGGGTAAACAGGCACCGATCTGCTTCGAGAGTGTTGCGACCAGCCTGCAGTTGCGCAACACTGGATCAATCTCAGAAGACCTTCGTTGGCTGTGAAGATCGGCAGATGCAAAGCATGGCCTCCGGTTTTGGGATTGTGGAAATCACGGGCCTCACAAAGCTGACGTGGGAGCTATACAGCCAGTGTCGCCTCGTCTCCCAAAAAAATGCCCCCGATGAATTCCAAAACCTAGTGACCGGACTGGGATCTCTGCAGGGCACTCTGCGCGCGCTTGGCGACGATGTCCACTCCAATATATTCTTCTTCGCGAAAATGAACGACGCCCGAAAACGTACCCTGGAGCAATGCTTGGAGGTGTGCTCCACAACTCTGCAGCAGCTGAAAGAAATTCTAGCCCAATATCGCTCGTGGGGAATTGGCGATGGATCACAGTTTTGGCAGAGAGTCCCGTGGGTGACCCAGTGTTCCCAAATCGAAGAGATAAGGTCCACGATTATGCTGCAAACTTATAACTTGACAATTTGCATGAGTGACATCGAAGAGTAAGTATGTTGCCTCGATATAAAAATGCGCATGCTGATCATCTCAGTGATTCCTTGACTCATTCGGAACGGTCAACGCTTCAGACGATGGACGAAGATGAGCTAGCGGTGTTACCTGCCGAGCTTCCAGCCGGTCCAGATGTGGAACTCAAACCATCACCCTTGAGTCCTCGCAATGCATTTTCAGGAGACTATGAGAAAGGGAGCAGGGCCGAATTTCGCGAAACCCCTATCAGCATATCTGGTCCACACGCTCCCAGGTTCTCTGCCAGTGGCCCGAGGGACATATCAATATCTTCAGATTCGGTTACATCCGGATCTGATGCATCGCTGTATAGTGGGACTGCTCCTACATCACCGCGGTCTTTGAACACCACGCGCTCCGTGACCAGCAGCATGATGAATGCATTCTGCGTCCATCCCGGAGAACGCTGCGACATACCAGATGGCCCATTCGATGGTCGAACTGTGGACGTGGGGGTTTGGGGATCTACTTTCGAAAAACAGAGCATGGCCCGCCCCAGTCAGTCCTCAAATACTGAAATTCAACGCAATGTCATGGATGCGGTCACCAATGCAATGCAGGAGCTGCGCCAGGTTCAATTATCAGATCAGCTTTCACCGCCCATCCGGTATGAGGTGCCGGACAAACTTCATAAGCCGGATCGCGAGGTTCTTGTGAGATTCGAAAACTCAGCCAATGGTGAGCTTAAAATCAGAAACCTAGACACTCAAGATTGGCTCCGCATTGCAACATGGTGGCTATTAAAGGTAAATGAGATCTCGCTGCTACGTGTTATATACAGCTAATCAGTTGTATCAGGCGCGTGCGACTCTAATCAACTGCAACAGGCACGTCTTTGTTAGTGCTCGAGGGAGTACAAGCCCATCCACGGATTCAAAGACTACCAGCCATCAGGCATATGCGGACCTTCTGAAGGCATCTTATATCTTGTACGATGTTGTGTTAAAGGATGAGGACTCGTCAGCTCTTCTAACCGACGAGAACCGGAAATCTGTCGTAGAACTTTCCGAAGTATGTAGCTCAAGTCTTTCTTGTGCGACTATATTAACATCATGACAGGGTATCAATGAAGAGCTATCTCAATATACATCAATTGATATCCCGGAAACATCCGATCTCTGCTCACAGAACCTGGAAATTTGGGAGCCTTTGCAACCAGAAGAAGCTGCAGAGAAGGGGAATGGTTTCTCCTTCAGGCGAGAGAATGCCCGCTGGATAACTGTTGATAAGGATGATGCTGGTGAGGAAGACGAAAGAGTCCTCTTCCGCACCTTTGTCAACGCCGGAATTGGCAGCAAGAAATTCCGCATGCGAACTAAAGGCGCCCCATACATGCTACTTCTGATAACCAAATACGGCGAAAGTGAACCGAAGGTCATTATGTGCAACCAGACTGGCAAGTTGTGTCTTCAGCGAGATTGTAAGTTGCAGGATTGTGTATTCGAGTTTGATAATGACACTAACTTGACTCTAAGTCTTGCCGAATGACTTACCGCCGCTTATTGCGCTGTCTAATCAAGCCATGACTGGGTTTCCGGGAGTGCGAATTTCAGAACCCTTTCCATTCAAATTCAACAACACGAGTGTTTCCATTTCATTCCAATTCGAGACTGACCTTAGCCAGTTCGTCAAAATTCCCAAGTCCTACTTCGAAGCAGTGCGTCAGAGAGAACCGATTGATTCGAATAAATTTAACGAGAGCATTATCTTCAAAACCTCGGTGGAGACCTTCGAACAGCTGAAGACGCCACACATGAAGTCTATGAATCCGTCCATTATATGGAAATCATGCGAGATTCGCATTCTGGAGCGGTCATATGGCGATGTCTGGCGGTCTACTCGGAGACTGGTAATCAGCTCCTCAGCTGCAGAGCAAAATCCCGGATGCATGGAGTTCTTCATGCCCCTGAGTCGTGTCCAAGTTTGCCGCGAGGATGTATCACGGCAAGTTCTGTTGAGATGGTCGGATACCTGCCAGGAACGATTAGACAAAACCGATGGAAGTTACAACACCTTGTATTCGTACGTGTATGATGCCGATACGCCGAATATTGGAGTCGGTTTGCGCTTCCGCACACAGCAAAGTGCGGAAGACTTTGAAAAGGCTATACTATATATGAATTTCCCCACAGACTTTGCTTGGTCTCAGCCCAGCAGCTCCGGCTGTATCTACGACGTCGTCGATACTGGAAAGGAGCACAAAAAATACAAAGCCGTGGCATTGTTTCAAACCAAGTTTTCGTGGCGATACTCGGAATTCTACTTTGTCTACCGTGACACAGACTACGCTTATGAACATGCCTCTCTCACTGTGCGGTTCCCACGCATCTCCTACGCGGATTACATCTCTACGCATGTTGACCGGCTCTACCATGCCGATAGTCCAGTGAGCTTCTCTCATTGTGAAAGAAAGACCGGCAAAATTGTCATCGAATTCGACAACCAGCCCGTATCGCGTTCGTTCCTCAGTGCCCTTTCTCCGTTTTATGATCTGCTCTTCTCTCGTCATGCGCTATCAATATCCACCAAGCACAAATCCCTCTTTGGATCGAAGAAGTCTAGCAAGGGCGGTGCTGAAGTTCAGGTTTGGCGTCGGGGAAATTCGATCCAACTCGCTGCACGTTGGGATGGCAGTGTCCAGGACAATTGGCTTACCGCTTCTGTCTCATCTACCAGTTCTGATTCCTCCAAAGAGAGCACGCGGGTCAATTTCCCGCGCTTGCCATTCTTCCGTGGAGTCTCACTTGACATGACAAACATTATGGCTCGCGGCCCTAGGTCGACAACTGATGGTCAACGGGAGGGCCCTATATCTATCTTGTTTCAGAATACTAGAGGTGAGTTGTGCTTTTATCGTGGACACGTTCGACATTCGATTAGCTGCTAACAATTCGCGCCAGATCGCCAAGAGTTCCTCGATGCCTTGAAGGGGAACCACTTCGCTTCATTTGTATAGTTCGCCCTTGTAGATTAACTTGCAGCATTCAGCTCTGCATCAACTCGTTTTTTTTTTAGAAATACCCAGTGATTTTATATAAATTTGAAAGATCTTTGCCAATATAAATCGTTGTCTTAACTGAAATATCAACCATTGCGACCAACGGCGATCACCTCATGCGAACCCCACGTCGGAGGTGGGGCATGACGTCGCCGTGAGCGGAAGTCGAAACTACTCCCTCTCCTCTTTGACACCCTTTACCTTTCACATTGGACCTTTCACTTTCAAAATATGGCCACATCAGATTATCCTCGCCCTGACTTTGCCCGTCCTTCTCTTAATTGGAGTTCTCTGGATGGGGCATGGGATTTTATCTTTGACGACTCCGACGTGGGGCTGTCGCAATCATGGGAGCAGAAGGGGATCCCAGGCCCCAAACGGAGCATCCAAGTCCCGTACGCATTTCAGTATCCCGCGTCGGGCATTGGTGTCCACGAAGCCCACGAGATACTGTGGTATGAGCGCAATATCGATGACATTCGTACCGCAGACGAAATCGCCAAAGGCAACCGCCTACTCGTGCGGTTCGGCGCAGTGGACTACGACTGCACCATTTGGGCGGATGGCCGCTTAGTCGGCGGCCACCAAGGAGGCCACGTTCCCTTCGATGTTGATGTCTCAGATGCTTTTGATTCGAATACCAAGACGGCCCGTCTGACTCTGCGCGTTCGGGATTCACCCTGGGACTTGGGCCAGCCCCGTGGAAAGCAGTACTGGAAACCTGTTCCCGAGAGTATTTTCTATACTCCGACTAGCGGCATCTGGCTGTCTGTCTGGCTGGAGAGTGTGCCTGCCATGCGACTCTCTTGTGGTAGTGGTGGCACTGTTCTCCGCTCGGATGATATCGAGCATGGAAAGCTGCATGCCCGCGTTGCTGTGGCAGGACGCCTAGTTGGCGCGAAATGTAGCGTCGAAATTGAATCTAGGCTTGCCAGCCATTCCGTTAGCAAGGCTGTGAACGACCTTCCAAAAGACAAAGGGTTCGCAAATCTTGAAGTTGACATGAAAGTGCCAAACCAGAAGGAACTGTTGTCTCAGGCTCCCTTTAACGTTGAAGGGGCTTGGCACGATGGTGTAGCACTATGGGCACCAGAGCACCCTATTCTATATGACCTGATTCTGCGCCTGTACGATGCTTCTGGAAAGTTGGTGGATGAAGTCCACACCACGACAGGCATGCGGAACATCTCATGGCAGAACGGTGATGGAACATTCCGACTGAACGGCAAGCCTATTTTCCAAATGCTATTCCTGGATCAGGGCTACTGGGATCATACTGGTATGACACCTCCCTCCGGACAGGCATTAAAAGACGACATTGTGATGTCCCAGAAAATGGGTTTCAACGGATGCCGCAAACACCAGAAGATCGAAGACCCTAGGTTTTATTACTGGGCCGATCGCCTAGGCTTTTTGGTCTGGGGCGAGATTGCCAATGCCTACGAGTTCAACCATGAGTATGTTGAGAGATTCAACAGCGAATGGACGGAGATCGTGAAAAGGGATATCAACCATCCGTCTATCGTCACCTGGACTCCTGTCAACGAGAGCTGGGCCTATACATCACTCAAGGACAACATTGAACAGCGGAATCATATTCGACAGCTGTACTACCTGACAAAGTATGTATTGGGGATATCGTTTCGGTTAATATACGCTAACGCCAATGAATAGGACACTGGACCCTAGCCGACCAATTAATGACAACTGCGGTTGGGAGCATGTCCTGACCGATCTGACGACCTATCATGACTACAGCGATTCAGCAGAGCTTGCTGCGACATGCTCCAAGATGGAAGGTGGAATACTAGGCCCGAAATCCAATCGCGACATGTTCAGCAAGCCAATTTCGGGCCCAGACTCCAATATTTTAGATCCGGGTGCACAACACAGGCAGGGTGCTCCAGTGATCTGCTCCGAATTTGGTGGTGTGAATATCGCCCCCACTAAGGGAGGCGCAGCTGGTGAGAGGGACTGGGGATATACGACCGCCAGTGATCCAGATGACTTTCTCGTCCGCTTTGAAAAGTTGGTCATGGCTGTAGTCAAAGGAGGCCACACTTGTGGCTTGGTTTATACTCAACTGTAAGACCATTTGTTTTGTCCCTCTATCCTTGCATGACTAACACATATTCCTAGAGCGGATATCGAACAAGAGGTCAACGGCTTGTACTCGATAGATCGGAAGGAAAAGGTCCCCGCAGCCAAAGTGAAGGCCATTATGGATGCGGCTCAAGTCTATTACCACACCAATGTGGCATCGAGGCATTCAAAAGGGCTGAAGTTCCTGCGGCACTTTAAGCGAGGCTAAAGGATGGTCTTTAGATCTAGATAAAATTGAGTCTATATCCTTCGACATTGCTTCTAGTTGATGGAACACTGTAGGCCACTAACGTATTTCACAAGCAAGTGGGTCAAACCAAAACACCATACCTAAGCTACCTGTGAAAGCAAACTACATTCGTCTACATTTAACGAAGGATTTGAATCAGAGAGTCACCATGTCTCACTCTTAAGCCACATCTAAAAATATTTTAGTGGCTAAACGCCTAGGCGCTTCAATTGGCTAAGGCGATCAGCGACCCTAATCGCTTTTGGGGAGATAGCTGAGTCCGAGCCAGTAAGAGCACTCTCCAGCCCCCACGAAGAGGTGCCTAAATTTGGATTAGCTTGATTTGGATCCCATCCTGACTGTTGGCCATAAGCTGTGTCGGCCTCGAAGGATCTAAGATACCCTAGTTGCATTACCGATGTAACTCGGCTCTTTGAGTCAGTGACCATAGCATCATCCTTTTTTAGAACTTGCGTACAAATGTGTAGAACGCCTAAGACGATGGAAAAGCCATAAAAGGGGAGGGGAATGCCCTCGAGAATGAGTATCATCAACAACCTCAACATCCCCTTCAGTCATCTCAGATCCTCGTCTCAATACAAATATAATAATTACTCGCTCAAGTTCAACTACAATAATATTACTATTCAAAATGAAGTTCACCACCATCTCTACTATCTGCCTGGCCGCCGGCACCACCTTCGCCGCTCCTACCGCTTCCAGCGGCGAGGAGAGCACTACTCTCCAGCCGATCTACATCGATAGCTGGACCGCCGCGTTGTACTCGGAGTTCAATCGGGGCACGATGATGTTCAACATGGGCGACCCCAACAAGAATGTTAAGACTAACTGCAGTGTTATCTGGTAAGTGCTTTCTTTTTCTCTCTATACATGCAAAGAAACACAGGTACTAACATTGATCTGCAGGGAACGCGGGTTGCCCGTACCCCATAACACGATGGTCAAGTGCGACAACAAAGCCTACGAGTTCGGTTTCCCTAAAGGCATCGACTCTATCGATGAATTCACTCTCAAGGTGGCTCGCACTAACGGTGCCTGGAGCGGACACTATGCAGCTAACTCGCAGAACAAGAATTGGAATTGCAACGAGTATGCTCATGGTGCGTTTAAGGAGAAGTGTGAATTGATTGGTACTTTGAATATGGAAGTGAATCACCCGAAATCATCCTGATCTCCCCGTGATTTAAGAATGGGTTCCTTTATTTCTTTGCATTCATTCATATCCGAGGAACACACATATGGAAGTTGGATATAGACTACGCTCCCTTTTCTTCTATGTATTGGCAAAAGTACGCTTGTTTCTTATATGAGCTTTGCAACGAATAGACTGGGAGAGAGCATTCATAGATCTCTAGTCTTAGTAAATCTATTGTTAACCAACATTCTAGAGTACTTACCTGGCCTGATCAATGTCGGACCGACAATGTCACTAACGACGCAAAAGTCCATCGTAGAAGATAGCCGCATGGATGCGATTTGCGACATACGCAATAGGAAAAGTAACGATCTCGATTCATACGCGTCGATTGTCTCAACACGGAACTGCGTAGGAAGAGAGACGATGACATCCTTGCACTCTTCAAGTACCTCGGCGGGCGAGCCAGCGATCGAAAGTGCTGCCAGTATTGCGCATCAGTCTTGGCCTTCTAGCTTTGTATGGAGTTTCTTCATAGTGGCCAGAATATCTTCCGCGCGAGGAGGGTTGTCTTCTTCTTCCAGCTAGCAGTGTCTGACGTATTTCACTTCTTGGTTGCACGGAACATTTGCAATATTGATGTGGATCTAATTTTGTCCCTAAACACCCGAATTGGCAGGATTGCCGAGGAATAAAGCGAAGATAAAAATACGACTCTTGATACTCACCCCACACTCTCCGCAATCGGTAAATTTACAATAATGGCCGAGGTAGCGACCAATGAAACGATTCTCTCAGTCGCAGATCTTGAAAGAGCGGTTCCGATAGTACTCCCGTGTGCCATGAAGGGTGAGTTACAGATTATTTGGCAATGTCTTCTTCTCATGATTCAGAGGGTAGCATGGACGCATCAGGCAAGCTTGGAAGCGGGTGGGATTGGAAAAGCAGCCCTGAAAAGAAGCAATCTGGAACTGGTTGTTTCTAGATTCAGCAGAATTCGACCGATAAAATACAACCGCCTATCTCATTTTCTATTCCCGAGCAAGAATAGCTGTCAATTTTAACGCATCCTCTCTGCGCTCCAACTGCTGCATATCGTCGTCTCTAAATTCTATCGATCCATCCAGGAGCGAGGGGGAGGCTACCAGAGGCATGATTTGCCGCTAGTTCTCGCTTCAACGCCTCGGATAGACGAAGCAGACGCTGATCAGTGGAGATCAGGGTCCACCTACCAGGGGCCAAAATTTCGTAATCATACGATCACCGGAGGGATTGGCGCCACCTAATGATGGCCTGCACGTGTAACACTGTTAAGCTCTCATAATAATCTACACAAAAGATAATTGAATGGAAGTGATAGGCTGTAGCGATTTTGAGGCTTGGATGGCAATATGAGCTCGATGTAAAGTGGCCTATTTTGGAAGTGCGATGCAGTCAGTATTTTGCCGCCAGCCGCCTCCAGTCAAGAGAATATTTTCTTGATTTACTCGAAATTGTAAATATGCTTTAAAAATCGACGGTCATGACCTGCAGAATCGGAAACATTCAATGATAAGATTCTTTTCGCTTACAGGACTCTAGAATAAGCATTGGTAAGTTTAGGTTTGGGTATGACCTCAGAGCATTGGACCCAGTATGTTTCTAATCTATGTTCTTGTTTTTTGAGCGAATGAAGACTACAAATAGTAAGTAATCTAGATATGTCCAAATTACATCCGTATTCGACTATGCTCCACAAACACCCCACATGATACACTGGTGTGATTGGAAGCCATGGTATCATACTCTGGCATATTTGGCCCCCATACATAGAACCTCCTTGGAGAATTTTACAGGCAAGTATTAATATCTCTGTCACGGATTGGACAAGGTCATCCGAGTTTAAAATCTGGGGGCTACTTGCGTCAGGCAAATGTTACATGACTTGACGTGGCGGAATCCACAGCTAATGACTATGACGAAAGCAATAGCTTCGAATTATTGATCTCCATTTGTCCCAAGGTATAAGTAGGACCATTACCGAGTACCCGTACATTTGACTTGAACACAATATCAATTTCTGCGTCCTTCAGAATCGCACGTGGTTTCATCTACCCATTGCAATAAAATCAAACTCGAACATCATAATGGTTTCAAAGACTCTACTTCTTGGTCTTGCCTTTGCAACCAACGCATTTGCCGATTTCTACCTTGGCAGCATGTCTGGAGAAGGCATATCGGGCTCTGCTGGAGCTGGTCCTGCTCAACAGTCCCAGTGTAACTATGTTCTTTGGGATGATGGAACGGACATCTGCGATGCCGGAAACTTTAACCCCGACGATGGTAGCGGCGGCTGCCCTGGCCAAAATTTCGACGCACCAGATTGGTGCGGCATGGATGTCAGTGGCATTGGTTGTCCAAGTGGGTATGTAATCGGTACCCCAGGAGGAAATGGTAAGCCCAATGCCCCTACTACTTATTAAATATAAAATCATTGATGTCGCTTTTCAAGACGACTGTGGTGCGGGTATGAACGACAATGGCGGCGAGACTCCATCTGCGGGCACATTCTACGCAAACGTGATTGATACGAGCCATAATAACACTGCCGTTGGTCGTTGTGTCTATGAACTCAGCAGTACAACGGACTGCGTCAGTAATGGAAGCTACGAGGCCGAGACGATTGTTCACTGCTACATGAAGGCGGGCTGCTAAATGTGTGATCTCTAAGCCTGTATGTTAAACTTGACGGCTGCATTGTGAATATGTATAACTCCCCTTTATGGTTCATGTTTCTCATTGATGCAATGAGACACGTCAAGAATATTAAGATCTTTATTGCAATACACTGTCTAGTTGCCTCCAGATGAAACGGAACTTATGGAGAGTTCCCAGGTTGGAATGACGGCTATATTAGGTGTCATATTCCAGTCTAGCTATATATCGCCGCTTTGCGAATCAATGGCTTTCCCAGAACTGTGCATCAATAGCGACCAGTCGGTTGAAAAGTTGATTTCGTGCTCGCATACCCGTGAGTTGAAAGGACTCGCCTTCTTTCCCACCTATAATCAAACCATCGGCTGCCTCTTTGCTCCCTGCTGTCAGCTCCACAATCAGCTTGCCCTTCCATCCCAATCCCTCAGTCTTCTTTAATTCCATAATATCCGGCACTGGAATCTGAAACAGCACTGATCCCTTTTTCCGACTTTCCAGTCGCAGATCATCCAATCCCGCAGATTGGTATGTCGTGAAGTACAAGATAGGTGGCTCCTTCGATAAATCAATGACCACCGCACCTCGCTTGCGTTGATATTTCGCATCGAATTTCAGAGGGCCAAAGGGAGCGGCAAGCCAGCCTTTCTTTTGCAACATGCCAATTAAATGCTTGGTATGTGTCGATCCTGCAATGGCTATCGCTCGGTCGAACGCAATATGCCCCTTAATCGCTGTTGCTATCGTCTGGCGCACGAACCTCAGAACTTTGAAGACCCATCTTTTCTTAGGCTTTGGTTTTGGCAAGTCTTCGGTCGACCTCTCTTTTTTGTGGAGACCATCGGTACTGTTTTGACCAATTTCCCGATCAGAGAGCTTCGCCTGGGACTTATTGCGACGTAGTGGCCAGGAACGCTCATTGTCCTGAGAGCCTGGTGGTGGTGGTAACGGTGCCGAGTTTATTTCGCCAATTCGCAGAAGGGTCAAGGTGAGCTGCGCGTTGGTGGGGACACCTTTCAATAGTGTCCTAAGCTGCCATTAGCGAATTAAAGATGACAGGTTCAATTGTTATTGGACTTACATTTGAATGTCTAAATGCTTTTTCCAGCCCGGAAATTTGAAATTCAAGATATCCAAGGCCCGTTGGAAAAGCGGATCGCCGAAGAAAACAAGTCCAACGGTAAATGCACCGAATTTGATAATCCAGTAGCTTGAAGTAAAGGGAATGACTACGCATACAACAGTCAATATAACTGCCAATCGTAGGCGAACTGCCGTCGTAAGAAATGGTGGGGTCGGAGACAGAAGACTGTGGCAGCGTTATTATTAACCTGACCCAACGATTAACTGGAGGATTACTTACTTAGCGAACTTTTCGTAAATGTCGGTTATGTCACTAATAACACGCATCGTCTTATCAGTGGCATTAGCCACTTTCCTCTTCATTGGCTTCTTTGTTTTGTCTTCAGGAGCAGCGTCAAGCTCCGTTTCTGTTGGGAGAGTCACTAGCTCCCCCTCATCAGGCGTAGGTGGCTCCTCGGAGGCATCTTGTGGTACACCCTGGCCATACTTTGCAGCCGCACTTTTGATGGCTACAGTAGCAACGCTGTTGACTAGATTGGTAGCTTCTTGCTCAGCGGCCTCGCCTTTATGTGACTCTGGTGCGCCAGTGATACTGTCTTGCGATTCGGGCTCTTCGGCCACAGGCTTCCTGGAGTTTTCACTCGAGTCATCCGTCGAAGCAACAACAGGAGGAAAGAGGAGAGGCCGTATTGGTGAACATATGATCAAACAGACGAAGAGGCCGATGATAGCGGGAATAAGGAGGTCTCTGAGCCACGCGCCAAAATAAACCTGCAGACAATCAATATCTCACTCAGTTCAGAAGCAAATTGTAGCACGTGAGATATACCGCACAGAATACAGATGTTCGGATCGGTTCTTTCCACGATCGCAGTCGGTTGATATGGTTGAAGAGATTGACAATCCCTACAATCACAGAAGTGTAGAACCGCTCCAAGGTCATCCGCAGCTTTTCTGGAGGAAATTGTTCATCTTCGGCCCTATTGAGATCAATATCTTGTGGTGGGGTCCCAGGGACAGCCTTCAAGTAATATATTTGCTGCCAGACGATGTCAGAATGTTTTGCTTGGTGCCATTGACCAGACAAACCTTGTTGAAGCGTCGGATGAGCATCCAGAGATCTTCATTAGAAAGCCCCGCAGCAAGATTCTCCTCAACAGTCTTGGATGATAGCTTCCATTGTGCAGCTGGTGTCCTCTTCGTTAAACTCCCACCAGTCTCACCTTCCAGCTCGTCTTGGGTGAGGTCATAGCTATCTGTATCTTCCAGCTCCCCGGGCATCGACTGTCCTTCGCTCATCTTGGCTACTTCTCGATAGAAGTAATTGGCACTTTTCGATGGGCTGGACTGGTCGCAGTTGAGATAATCCTAGGCAGCTGCAAAATCCACGGGTGAAACGCGTGATGTGGAGAAAGCCGTCTGACGTCATGGCAACCCCCACAGATTTGTTCGCAATCAAGGGACCAGCATTCTTTTTACCTTAGCATTTTATTGAGCTACGGGATAATAATTGTATGAATACAAATGTTCCAATAGCAACATTCCAATACCCAACAAACGTACGCATATAGGTCTTAGCTATAAAGAAAACAAGTGGAAATCACATCTATAGTAATGAGCGAACTTGAGCACCACTCGCAAAGCCTAATTTGGAATTGAGGCTGGTCGGAGTCCTTCCTCCGTGGCCTTTATCTGCAAGGCTACATGCCTGGAGTAGATGCGGCATATCGCGAGGTTGCCGCCCATGTACCAGAAATTCGGATGACCACTTTGCCGCCACATCTATTAAATAAGATTGAGCAAAGGTCCGCCCTCTAGAATCAAGATATATAGTACTCACTGCATTCAACTCTCCCTCTTGGTCCAAATCCCACACATCATGACAACGATCAGCCACTTTGTCGCCCATAACCTTCCGCAATGTGGTCCTCATGTTGTCGTAGCCAGTTGCCAGCACCACGATGTCTGCATTCAGATGGGTCCCATCTTTCAGCACCAAAGAATCAGGTGTGAACCCTGAAATACCATCGGGACTCTGATGGACTTTGATCTTGCCGTCAATGATGAGCTGGCTGCACCCAACGTCAATGTAGTAGCCACCTCCGCGTGTGTAGTAGAGGCGAGCAATTCCAGATCCATCAATACCCCATTCAATCTGAAAACCAGCTCGCTGAAGCCCTTCAATTGTCTCTTTCTCCTCTTCGGCAATACGCTTCGTCATGTCGATGCACAAAGCGAACTGTACCGGGTAGGGCAAGCTCTCTGCGACAATGTCGCTTTGCTCGGTAGGGGGCCTATATCGGGAGTGTAAGATAAAGACCTTTGCACAATAGAAGAAGAGAGGTCGAATTCACAAGTCGAAGTAAAATTCTCGACACGGAGGACTGCAACTTACCCATTTTCACAGTGCATGCCCTCGTGGAGAATAAAAACTCCCTTATCGAGAGTTAGGACATATGTGGGCCTCCGTTGCAGCATGGTCACCTCGGCACCGTTGCGATGGAAATCCTCTGCAATATCGTGGCCACTATTACCTGTACCGACTACAATGACCTTTTTTCCCTTTACGTCATATTCAGACGCATCTCGATGCTGGCTTCCATGGTAAACTTCACCCTTAAACTCCTGTTGACCAGGGAGAGAAGGAACCAAGGGTTCCCCTGCGTGCCCTGTGCAGAAGACAACGTGATGTGGGCGAATTGTTCGAGGCTTTCCATCACGTACGAGATCTACGGTCCACTCAGCTTTTGGATCATCGTAGCTCGCACTAGCGATAGTTGTTTTTGTCCACACGTTGAGTTCCATCAATGATGCATATGCCTCAAACCAGTCGCCCAGCTTGTCTTTTGGTGTGAATTGGGGCCAGTTCTTGGGAAATGGAAGGTATGCCATATGGGTAAACTCGGCCGGATCGTGCGTCACAAGAGTCTGTCTGTGCGTTAGCAGTGCATGTAGCTAAGGCGCCAAGTTAAAACCAACACTGTAACGATTTCTCCAATTATCTCCAACTCTGTCGTTCTTGTCGACTATCAAGCAGGACATCCCAAGTGACTGTAATCTAGCGCCAACGTTCAGTCCGGACTGACCTTCTCAAGGTATTAGCATGCAAAGAATACTGAACATTCGATCGTTTCGACACACCAGCGCCAATGACCAGTACCTGGGGCTCCTCATCAACAAAATTCAGCTTTCGTTCCCGCCGCTCCGACCATGTTCCTTGAGAGAAACCACCAGGCATTGAATCAATGGTCCCATACGGGCGTCTTTCACCAAGTGGCTCCTCCGATCCTTTGAGCTCTTGGAGAGTAACGTAAACCGCATACGCTTTCCAGACACCAGGTTTATCTTGGATCAATCTCAGGACACCGGATCCCTTTCCAATGCGCGTCTCGAAATGGAAAAGCGAAGAAATCCAAGTAAGACTCGAATCTTTTTTGACAATTTCCAGCTTCGGTTGGAAGTTACCTGTTTCCTGGAGACGAAATGATGACAGAGGACCTAACTGCTGGTTCTGCCGGAGGAATGTTTCAATTGGCTCCCGACCTCGAATGGTGCGAAAATCCCACTGCAGAGTAATGATATCGCGCCACCACGAGTCTTCGTGGAGGATTTCGTCCACTCGGGAGAAGTTCCCAGTAGCGAAGATGTCTTCAAGATTGCTTAGCCATTCCTGTGCCACCTTTCGGGCGTCCACCGCGAAATCGACTTGAGCCGTCTGCGGAAGCTGGATAATATGATCGTACTTTGTCGACGTCATTTTTTCAAAAGAGGTCTTGGTCTTGAAGGTAAAGAAGTTACAAAAATTTTTGTTTTTTCGCGGGCAGCTTCAGCTATACGGGAGTAAAAAGAATATCCAGTAGAAAAAACAATCGTCGAAAATTTTCAAGTCTCCCATATATATAGGCACAGAAGCTCGTGGAATTTTATGTCTGCCCCTCCCTCCTTGGTTCATGTGCTGGCATCACAGGGCAAGACGAAGGAATGAAAGTCCCACTGCGCAACTTAGCCAAACCAGCCCGAGGACGACAAGTCCGCATGACGAGCTATGGTGGGTCTGGACGAGAGAACTTCCATCACAGATCCAATCAACAGGTGCTTCACGGGCCGTCTAGATACCGTCCAACCCGAGCAATCACGGTGCCTGGGCCGCAAAGAGCGCTGAGTGGGGGCGACGCGGAGAAGATGGGCCCGACGACTCATCTTTGTGTTTTCCAACCGTGTTCACTGACGAGCACAGAATCCTTGGCTTGCTAATCTCGCATGTTTATGACAGGAATGCATACGAGAGATCAATGAAAGCTGGAAAGTGAAACGAGACCGCCCTGACTAGCTGCTTCGCATTTGTAGAAAAGCCGAGATGGACACAACCCCTCGTCCGGTCAGAGGCCAAAATGCCGCGTAGGCTTCTCACATTTCGCATAAGTTTCGTTTACACTAATTGCTACAAAGCTGTACCACATGCCGAAGTCGAAAAATCGCTTGCGATCGCCGCCGTCCCAGTTGCAGCTTTTGTCTGAACAACCAATTCGAATGCGACTATGCGGCCACTCGACGGCCCGGCGTCCGAGCGGGCTATATTGCCAAACTAGACCGTCGGCTCGTTGAGCTGGAGCAGCGGGTACAGATGCTAGAGAGCAGCCCTAAAGGTCTGTAAAAGATTTCTCGTACGACCAGATACTGGGATATGGACGGAGGCTCACACTGGTTCAAGATACTCGTGTTTCTGATAGGGAGTTCTCGGACCCAACAGTGGGTCGATCAGGAATGGACTTGACACAGACTATCTATTCCCAGGAGAATGATTTAGGCCGAAGCACTGGGCCCATTTTTGCCTCTTCCAACAGAGACAGTCCTGCCGACAACCCACAGAGTGCAAATACTGCGCAATTTGACCCTCTTTCATATCCAGTTCTATCTGAACTCTGCTCAATCTGGTTCAAGAAATACCATCCCTGGTTTCCGATTCTACATCAGCCTTCTTTGACTGCAAGTTTACAAAACCTGGAAGGCTCCAAAACATTAGGCCACTATCTTGTCGTCAAGGCAATCTGTGCCGTTACCCTCATTCATTATGAATCGCATTTGGTGGGATCTCATGAGCGACAACACTGGTCTGGTACTTTACGAGATAACGTCAGCTCACAAGCTCTCAAGTCCTGTTCTCTGCAATCGGTCCAGGCTTTGTTAATTCTCTCCAATCTCGAATATGGAGAAGGTCGATTCGAGCAGTTTTGGAATTTAATTGCCTTATGCAAACGGTACGTATATCTGGATCATGTGTTTGTTACGGTCAAATTAACATCTTTCAGTATGGCTTCCCAGCTGGGTTATGGAAAGTTAGTGAAAAAGCAGGTGGACCACATCCACTCGTCCACATCGGTGCCCCCACGCCTACATCCCTTGTCCACGACGATTATCGATCGAGAAGAACGTATTCGAGCACATTGGATGTCTGAGATGCTGGACAGTATGTCAACGGTGGGTGTGGATTGGGATATTGGTGCTTCGCCTCCCATGTCGAATGGCATATTGCCCTGTAGTGACTCTCTTTGGGCATTTCCTGAGCACATCATTAACATTTGGTCTTTTGGCCAATTTCGTTATTCCTCTGCATTTTCTCTGGGCATAATTCTCGCAACCAACGAACTATGGTTTGTTCATGGCTTTTTGCAAAAACCGTGGGACTTAAGTGTACCGCACGACCGCAGCCTGTGGCAGACTGAAGCTCAAAAAATTGATGAACGTCTAACAGCGTGGCGCGAAGAGTTTGTGGCGGCAGTCTACCGGTTGATCAACGCAGAGTTTGCGGAGGAGGAGCGAGCAGAGATGGATCCCAATATTGTCTTGACAAATTGTGTACTAGACGAGTAAGTTACCTTCGGTTTCTCCGGGCCAGACTTATCTAATGAAGGACAGAGCCGTCATTCTACTGTTCCAACGAATGTCGACAATTCCGCGCGAGATCGACCCATCTGCAGAGCCGGTATGTCTAATAGTTCCTGGTTTACTGCTTCGTAGCTAAGAATAATAGTGGCAATATGCAACAAATCGATGCATATATGCCTGCGATAACATGGTCTTCAAAGTGCGACAAATGACAGATGAAGAACTCAGCGTCAGCAACCCGCATTTGGTGCTTTGCTTTTTCACAGTCGCACGTTTTTATATTGGTATGGAGATAGGTACAATTTGCATGCGCCTACTGACAAGATACAGTTTATGCAAAGACGGTCAATGCCGACGTCCCTAGCGGTGTTCGCTCAATGGCCTATGCACTTCTCTGCTCCGGAAAACGATGGCCTCTAGCTCTCCGGTACGAGAGCATAATACGCACAGCGATCTCGGAACATAGATCGCTGATTTCAGCGTCATCGCTCCCCTCTCGCTTCTATGACCTTCGTTACTCCACACTAAACATAAAAGATGACCTGCGGAGCTGGTACGAGGGTGGGCTTCACATGACCCCTGACATAACTGTATGAGACAAAAAAAAGAGTGAATTACCTCGTTAGAAATTCGTGCACTCAATGCTGGCCGCACCATTTCCGTTTTGGCCTTTCAGATAAATGCGGGGACCAAGCCGGACCCCTCGGGGTTTCTCCGGTCGTAGTCGAAACGGTCGGGCCATGTCAATGCGACGCGAGGACTTTGCGGTCGCTGTCGGAGCAACACGGCCCGCCCAGGCCAGGCTGGGATGCGCTAACTATATGTGGCTAAACATAATCTTGCGGGGAACCAATGGCCATATCTGGGGATCTATGTGGAGTAGAAAAGCTGGGGTTGCGGAGTAGATTGTAAGTGTCGGTCGGAAGCTTTAAATGGCTTCATGGCCCGATATCCATCTCACAACTTGTTCGTTCATTTTACTTAGACCAGACATGTTAGACGGACGCAGTCTTGAAATTGTGCTTACGGCGGCAAATTCCGCCGCTCAAGCCTGGTATGGCTATGATCAGGTTTGCAGCCACTTCCACCAGAGCCGACAATATCTGGGAAGACTGACTGGAAATAGGGTGTCGTGAGCGGCATCCTCATCAGCCAGGACTTTATCAACGTCTTTCCTCAGACAAAGGTGTCGTCAATTCAAGGCATTACAGCCAGCTGCTTCTCCGTGCGTATGTTCAGGCATTATCAACTTCTAGTAACCTAACCGTTTTCTAGCTAGGAAACCTGGTAGGATGTTTATTGGCAGCCTGCTACGGAAATCGACTGGGCCGGAAGAACACATTGCGGACAGGATCGATCATCAGTGCCATTGGTGCTGTACTTCAATTCTCGTCATACTCATTTGCTCAGCTAATTGTTGGGCGTGTGATCAATGGAGTTGGAAACGGTACGTGTAATTTTTTTCTAAAAATTTCTCTTTCTTTCATGTCCTTGTCCTGATCTGTTGGAAAAGGAATAACCAGTTCAACTTGTGGTGTTTATCAAGCCGAGTCCTGTCGAAGCGATCGTCGAGGCAAACTATCCGTGGTTGTAGTTTGTCATAATGTAGTGTTTTATTGTGCTGCAACGTGGTTAACACTAGGCTGCTCGTTCCTTCCTGGTGGTTACCAATGGCGACTCCCTCTGGCTCTACAGGTACGATCCTCTTTGGTGACTATGAAAACGGCAGCTAATAGTTTTAGCTCATCCCATGCATGTGCCTCCTTTCACTCCTTCCCCTCATACCCGACAGTCCACGTTGGCTGTTGATGTCTGGTAGAACCGAACAGGGACTAGAGGCCATTCGACGGTATTCAGGAGAAGGCCTTGCAGTCGAAGACCCCATTGTTCAGAGTGAATACCACTCAATAGTGGGCGCTCTTTGCATCGAGAGGGAATCACAAATCTCGTTTACCCAAGTTCTTGCCCGTCGCGATAGGTCTGGTCACTTGAGGCGAATACTTCTTGGATGCGGTGGGCAATTCATGCAGGTACATACTATACCTCTATATCCCGCAAATTGGCATTTTTACTGACACTCTACTAGCAATTCAGCGGGATAAATGCCCTCAATTACTATTTCACGATTATTTTGATCAACAATGTGGGAGAAACTGAGCTTCTGGCAAGAATACTTACTGGATGCAATGCCACCTCGTATATGGTTTCTTCTGCAATGGCCTTCTGGTTAATTGAAAGATCTGGACGACGAATGCTGATGCTTAGTGGTCTCTCGCTGCAATGCCTGGCCTATGTGATGGTAGCCCTTTCTATCGCCTTACTCAACCAAGCCCCATTCCAGTGGGGTGTGGTAGCTGTTTCGTTTCTGTTCTTCTTTTACGCAGTATTTGGCTTTTCTTGGGGAATGGCTCCATGGGTATACCAAGCAGAGATTAACTCACTTGCTACGAGAACCCAGGGAGCTGCGGCAGCGACAGCGACAAACTGGGTTCGTTGGATATTGTGTAAATTTCCTGATTTGCCGAACTAATGCTTTCTAATAGCTATGCGGGTTTATTTGCACACAGTTTACGCCAACAGGCATCGAGAATATTGGGTATCGTTTCTATATTAGTATGGCGCACAACACCGAAAAGCAAACAAATTTACTGACTTGATTATCCAGTATTTGCGGTATTCAACATTGCATTCATACCAGTTGTCTATTTCCTATACCCCGAAACAGCCTACCGCACTCTTGAGGATCTAGATGTCTACTTCGACCGAGACTCTCCCCATGCTACCATCATCCCGATCAATGATAAAGTTGCCAAGCAATGCAAACGACCCTTGGAAGCTATTGAGGCAGAAGCTAACCGTGTTGCCGCCACAAAAGCTATTGATTTCAAGACCGGTACATCAGAGCACGTGGAGGACGTAGATGTGTAGTTGATACATGATACTTATGAGGGTTGGTCGGGTATGTGGAACCAAATTTCATATGCAATACGAATGACTCTGTCTATTTTGAATTTATTCTGGTACGGACGCCCGAAATGTTAAAATCATGATATGTTCAATAAAGATAGAAGTTTCCATCTCAAGCTATCGTAACGCACAAGAATCTATTCAGTTTTGCTAATAAGCTTTTGGGATATTCCTAAACAAAATAAAGAAAAGATAGAGGGAGGGAAAGACGCTCAGATAGACTGTACAAGAATTGATCTAGAAACTAAATTAGTTTTCTGATCGTGTAGATGTCCGTGTTCGAAGTGATAGAAGTGTAATAACGTGTTAAATACACAATACATCAATGTCAGTTAGGTCAATAGCTTAGAGAGAGCTTGGCCGATTAACCGATTCGTTTTTCTTCTTGAAAAGGGAACTAATTACCCTGTAGGGGAATTTGAACGTCCTTTATCATGAACATTTTATTCAACGTGATGAGTAGTGTTAGATATAAGAGGTATCATCAAGCATCCATGATGTATGCATCTGCACTTGGATGATGATTTTCCGGGCCGCTTGAATAAAATATAGTTGAAATTAGGTATTATGCCGTTTTATTGAGTTCAAGGAGCAAAATCTTTTTCCAAGGTTACAACTTTTTCTTGCTCTCCTGCCATGAACTTGCCTAACCACCCTAAATTTTCCAAAATTAGACTCAAATTAGGGGAGTGCGGAGGCCATTCTATTACCGCAACTCTATGCTCTCCAAACCACTTCTATAAAACGCTTGATTTGTGAATTTGCGCGTTATCTTATTGAATATAGTAATAGACTCATAGTATTCAATAAAATCTTCGAGTACATTAAGATAGGATTTAGTTGTATATCCGTTGCGCGCTAAGTCAGTCCCGTTCCATACAGACAGATTACTGATTGACAAAAGGCCATTGGGTTTCACTTTGCTAATTCAGGGGCCTAATAAAAATTTAGAAAGGAACAAGCAAAGTTGCGGGAAATTAAAAAGACACAAAAAATTCTCTCCCTCGGGGAATCGAACCCCGGTCTCCCGCGCTTCTCAGTGTTAATGACAAGCGGAAATCATGACCACTAGACCAAGGAAGATAAGCTGGCCGAGTTACTGCTCGGCCACTTGGTACTGGACAAGGTCAGCAGCTTCTTTTCATTATATGAGGTAATCTGCCTCCATGAGTGGTTCAACGATACCAGCTACTGACGATACCAGCTACAGATCTCCGCTCAAAGCTCCCCCGAAACCCGGTCCTGCAAGACTAGTGATAGCCAGGAATCACTTCTCAGGTCATCTACTAATTTAATGTTTCTCATCTGGCTGATCAATGATCGGTCACGGGGTATTGGCGGTGCTGGTCGTCTGACCAGCTCATCCCTCCGCCCTGGGCATACTCACCAAAAGCATGTGTCGCAGTGACTGTGTCGTATCGAAGTTTACTATCCATGATTTGCCCAGAAATGAGCGGGATCTCACAGTTTTAGGCACTGGAGCCCTGTTATTAATATATTTCCCGACTCGTGTTCCACGACGCCAAAGACACAAACACGACTTGCACTGCCTTGTCTAGAACGATCTCTGAACGGCCGCGACGCTGAATTTGAGTCACCCGGGTCCCTGGTAGTGTACACACTCTCCCTGCATGTGCGCCACTAACGGCGTTTGTCACCCGGAGGCGACTGCTTTATAATATGGGTACCTGCCAGGGAGACCTTGAAGACCCGTTTCTTCACTATGGGAAAAAGATAAAGGTTCTACTACCCATAAATCTTCCAATCTTGCTTACTACCCATGATCATTATCATGCCCAACCTCCACCATCACAGAAGACGCCACTCCTGGCCTCACTGCGGTTCGGAAACGTACATGCGCGAGCCTCGCAACCTCGAAGTGCGTGTTTCCCAGCTAGGAACCGGAGCTGTTCCTGTCAAGCATACCTCCTGGGCCTTTCAAGCCGCAATAATGGTTCCGCAGATTACCGAAGATGAGCCAGGTAATGATACTGATTTGGCGGGCATCATCCGCTCACGACCATCACGAATCCATCGTCTCTGGTCACGGCCGCTATCTGCAGACGGGCGTGAAAATACGCACCTCTCTGCCGGTGCACCTGAAGCGCGGCACAAAGCTCATAGGAGCATTCTGCGACGGCTAGCTCGTCGGCCGCCTTTTGGTAAGAGCCAGTCGCTCTTCGTCATGCCCACGACTTTGGCTGCTGGAAATAAAGTATTGATACCTGGCTGGATGCCGACGAGAATGTCGGCACGACCATTTGCTATTCGAGAAAAACAGCAGATTACATTGTCGGCAGACACCACTCGCATGGTACATGGGAAGCGACATCGACGGTGCCACTCTGAACAACCGCGTTCATGGAGAGAGCCTAGTGCAAGTTTGTGGGCATTAAGAGAAGAGTAATTTATGGAATCAATTTGACCTGCATTGCGGACCTCCCTCGATACAGCTGTTTTTGTCGCAGTAGATTAAGCTCCTTAAAAATCTCAAGCAAGGTCCTGCTTGTTCCTCTCAATGTGCTCGCCCACCTCCAACTATGCCATCTGAGGTCAAAGACAGCGGGTTACGGAGTTTTTGATAGGAAGTAAATTCAAGGTCGTACTTGCCTTCTAGCCCTAACCTTTCTTCCCTCTTGTCCATATCCTTATTTTCCCCATCAGTCAAGGCCTGGTCTCATGGCGCCTTTGTATCCTCGACAGATCATTCACTCACTGACTCCAACTCCTCCCCATCTTCCCGAAGACCCGCCTACCTCGTCGGCCTCGAACCCCGAGCACGCCAGCCCCTTGGTGCTTGGCGAGCTTTTAGCAGTCACCTTTGCCATCTTCGTACTAGCGGTACTGTTATGGAAGATTGGTCGATTCATCCGTTCTTTCAACAAGCACAAGGTGCTGCGTGAAGGGAAGCCTCCGACGGCTCGATATGCGCGAACATGGTACGGCTGGGTCTCCCTGAACACCCACAAACGGAACAAGAGAGTTGTCTACCGATGCTTTACCCGACTCCGAGAGTGGACGGCGTGGAAGTCAACCAGGGCGGACTATCGCTGGGTATGGTGGGATCCCGAGCAGAAGGAAATGCAACGTCGTCGGCGCGAACGGCGGTTTCTCAGATGGCTACCCGAATGGCTTCAGAGCTATGATTATAGCCCGGCGGATGGCTTCTGCCCTTCGCAACCCTTGCCCACATGCCGTGGTGCCAGGAGGGATCGCAATGCAACATCGGTTTCTTCCATCGTCGTCAAATCCTTGAGAGAACCGCAGCTGGCCAATCCGATTCGAGATCTGCGATCTAGTCATAGGGTACAGCAGGGAGAAAGGCAGGTTAAATTTCCTCGAGTCTTCAGCACCGGTGATTGCGCCTTTGATGAGGGCATGCAATGCCATTCGTTGTGTCTGAGAGCAGTGGCCGCTAAAGTTCGGCCATTGACGGAGAATATCACTCTCTTCCAGCGTGCTTGCCACTTTTCTCACAACATGGCTCCTTGGGCATCCTGCCACGAACATCGGTCTAGCGGTCAGCCAACGAACTTGTTTGCACAGAACAATATCCTGCAACCGAGTCCGCCAGATGACTATGGACAAACATGGGTAAAATCCCGACAGGATAAAAAAGCACTGCAATTGCCATCCACGTCCCAGCATCGACGTCTACATAGATACCGGATGTGGTCAGCGAGGATGCAGATGCAAACTGAAAGCCCTGGGCGGAACCGGGGTGCAACTTCATGCCCTCCCGGAACCCCAGTTACTGAGTTTCTGCCCAGCTGTCCGTCGGATCGAACTGCCGCCTCTCGTGCCTCAGGCTCAAGTCAAAGAAAGGAGTGCAGTGGGCATCAGTGGGAGTCGTGTGAAAAAGGATTCCGAGTGACTGAGGGCATGCTTATGCGACGACAAATGTGGCTGCTGGCTATCAACCGTGCGGACTCTGAGTCCATGAAATGGAATTCGGCACCCGCAAGGGTTCAATTGTCGAAAGGGCCATTGGCCCGGGCTGCCGTGCCGTTAGAACAGCAGGAATGGCAACTGATGCGACAGTCTAAAAGGGACGTGGATATCCTTGTTACTAGCGAGATGATGCGCCTCGACGACACAGTCTACAATTCCAAAGTCTCCAAATGCCCACAGGCTTTAAGTACACCGGAAAGACAAGAGCGCAAGGAGGACTTGTGTGACTGGGAAGTCCGGATGTTGCACAGGTTGAATCGAAAACTGGTATGGCTTTTCAATGAACTCACTCCGGGCCAAAAGCCCTATCATTTTGCGCTTCTCGCCAACCACTGGCTGAACAGGGAAACATGGCTGGTGATCGACCCCGTCTCGAGAGTCCCGATAGATGCGCGCCGCGAATGGGGGGACCCTCGCTTCAACGTCCCATACCTCCAGCCAACTTTCAGCCCCAAACCGAAGTACCCCGTTGTCCCGAGGACAGAAACTCGCATTCCTCGCGTCGAGTCATGGCGGGTGGCGGTCAACCAGCAAAGAAAGGCGTCGGGGATTCGAGACGCGATTCGGACTGTGGAATTATATGAAGAATCAGCGGATGAGCCGCCAGACGGGCATATCGATCCGGCCTGTTGGATTTTACGCAAACCCCCTCAGGGGTTTGAGTTGTCGACACGACAGAAAACTGCCTGGTACGAGGGGGTTGCCGGATGGCAAGAGAAGCTCGACGATTGGCAACATGTCCGGCATGGATACCTTATGCACAAGCTGATATATGGAGGCCGAGTCAATCGAACATGGCTCAAAGAGGTCGCGGCGCAAATCAACAAGCCACTCCAATTGGTTCATGACAAAGGGTCTGTACACAAGATTCACCAGGAGATTTGACAACACAATGTTTGCCTGTTCGGTCATCGGCATCTTGTGCCGCCGATGGGGTTTTGGCCGGAGAACAACCCAACATCTCCATCGCTTCTTATGCCATATCCTTCCCAAGCACAGCACCTGTCAACCCACTGCCTTACGCATTCAAGGCGGTGATCAGTAACCGTCTGCCTGTGGACCTATTTTTAAGGGATGCTCGCAAATGAAATGCAATTGTGAGGATGATATAGGTGCTGGGTAATAAGGATACATGCTAAATCACCGATCGTATCTTCCGTAGTCGCGGTGTAAATCCATAAAGCCAATAAGGAAACTCCTGACAGACGCCCCCACGTCAGACTGAGACGGTCGAGATGGGATGTATAATACAAATATCGAAAAAGAAGGATGGAGTCGACGCAGTCAAGTTCTGCTGATTAGAAACCGGGAGGATTCACCCGCTGGCTGACACGAGTCCACTTCGGCAGCTCTAGAGAACCCCAATTGTCAGTCATGCCCTTCCGTAAAAGAAAGCCCGTAGGGATGGTAATAAACGCACTGTGAATGCTCTTCCGGTACTTCTTCTCCTTCTTATCGAAGATCGTGTACTTGTCCTTGGGCAACATTTCCTCCTCGCGCGGCATCTCGGCATACCACCGCTCAACGGCCTTAGAGGTCTGTCCGGTGCGTTGCAGGGCGGCGCTGATGGTGTCGACGACGCGGTCCACGTTGCGCAGGCGTTTGCGCTGGCGGGCTTTTTGGGGCGAGGAGAGGCGCCATGGGGTCTTCCTGTTGGAGAAGAAGAAGGCCCGTTAGTTCTAGGCGCTGGATGGGAGGGGATCATGTGCTAGGGATTGAGTGGGAAGACGTACCAGAGAAGACCCCCTAGTAGAGACGAAGTGGGCTTGAACATGGCTGGCGGAGGAGGTTGAGTATGTCGTTGCGGAGATGCAGACGGAGAAAGAAAATGCTGGCGGTGAGTGGTCCGTGCGAGACATAGTAACATCAACGGCAGGCGGATATGTACAAGGACTGGGGGTTGTCAAGATCATGGTTGTGTTCGACGGAATCCCTAAAATACAATTATTCTGCTTTACTATCAATTGAAATAATACATGCCTGAATTCACTCCCCTCAAGTCGCCAAGGCAAAGCCCAACGGCAGTCATGTGATTTCACCCATATCCCGACCCTGAACCGGTTCCTGTTCCTTTTTCTCTCGGGCATGCGCAGACCTCCTCGAGGGACTCCGGGTCGAGGCCATTGATTCCGCTCATTTTCCTCCCAGCCCATGGATAAGTGATAGCACTGCTCCTCCGCGCAGCACCATGGATTCCCAAGGCACATCCGACGCCCCTTCTCTCGCCTGGCGCGCAGCCGCGTCCACGACCATGTGGGGAGTGGGCGGCCTGTGTCGCGCATTTCTTTCGTGCCTAACGCATGCCGAGGTTCATGGCGGAGAAGCTTTTACCGAGCTCCTCGATTCGCGACAGCAGCTGTCGGGTCGGTCAAAAGGATTGATTACAGGTACGTTCAGAGAATGCGCCCAATTCAAACTGGAGTGCTAATGGAGACTGGTCACAGTATCGAATCATACCAGTGTGTACGTACAACCGGGAACGGATACCGACGAGGCTTGGGGTGAACGATGGCTAACATTGGGTGCGAAAATTGTGCAGCATGGACGATCCGCTGGTCTGGGGGCTTCTGCCTTTTCGATTCTGGAATCGGCGGTGGTCATTCGGTAGCCATGATATCTGTTACCAGAATCGGTACTGTCCTCTATTGTTCCCTCCTGACTGCTGCTAACGAGAGGTGTCTTTACAGGCCACTAGCCTTTTTCTTCACCATGGGACAGGTCCTGCCTACGCATCGTCTTGGACACTCGCAATTCGGCGGTCTAGCACAGCCTGCTGTCACACAAGCGATCAGATTATTGTCCAAGGGCCCTTTCCCTGTCGACCACCACCGCGCGACCCCAGAACGCCAGCATTGGAGCCTCCACAACGTGTGTGTCGACCCTTTCTCCGATCTCCCGGTAGCCTACACAACCAACGGCGAAGACGCACACCAAGCACCCTCGGCCTTCGCGTGCAATACTTACTCGTGGGTGCACATCTTCCCCGAGGGCAAGATCCATCAGGCCCCGCGGAAAACAATGCGCTACTTCAAGTGGGGAATCGCGCGGCTCATTCTTGAGGCCAGCGAGTGTCCGGACGTGGTGCCTATGTGGATCGAGGGGTTCGACGAAATCATGCATGAGAGTCGGGAGTTCCCGCGGTTCCTACCGCGGCCTGGGAAAAATATTAGTGTTACGTTCGGCTCCAAGGTCGACTCGGAGGCTGTCTTTGGGGATATGAGGTCGCGATGGCAGAAGCTCAAGGCCAAGGCTGAGGCGGCCGATCCCCAATCGCGAGGTCTTCCGCTCGGTGTCTTGAGCGAGGAGCTGCTGAACAACCGAGAAGCCGTGGAGCTCCGCAAAGAAGTCACGATGAAAGTGCGAAACCTTGTGCTGGAGGTCCGGCGATCGCGCGGTCTGCCGGACGAGGACCCCAAGGAAGGACTAGTCGAGACCTGGCTTGAGGAGGGACCCAAGCGTGAGGGCCACATGAAGGACGATTCCTGGGTTCGAGATATCTGAGGAACGTAATCCTGTTGTATAGCACCATTGTACATAACCAAGTCAGTGTAGATAGACAGCATAGAAAGACGTGGGGCGATAAGCAATCCTCCCGCACTGCTTCCTACTTTCCTCCTTGTACATCTCCCTCCGAACTCTTCATGCCCAAGAAACATAACCGGCCCTTGTTCTCTAAGCCTGTCACTCCTGCTCATCATACCCTCTCATCCTCGGGACGTCATCAGGATGGGCCTTCTCGAGTTTCCGCCTCAACCGAGTCAAGCTCTGTCAACGACCTGATCAGCCATCTTCGCCGCACCCAAGTCGGCTCCCCGTCCGATGATGGCCCTTCACATTCCCCAAGACCATATGTGTCTCCCCGATCCGTTCATCCTTCGCTACGCAATCTCCTCGAGCTGCCGGAGACCCCGCCGCCTCGCCCGCGCCCCTATGCTCGCCGCGTTGGCGTGGCGGGGCATCGACTACGCCGGACAGCAGGACCTCCGCCACCTGCGAGCTGGCTTGCTGGCAGCACCAGCGAAGGAATATCCGTAACAGACGGTCAGCTAGAAACTGCAGCAGAAAGACGCGTATATCGCTTAGAAAGACTGCCCGGCGCTGCCTTTCCAGAAAAACAGCGTCTAGCGCACATGGTGCTCAAATCCATGGCGTTAAACTGGGCCTGGCATTTGGACTATGATGGCCCGTTTTTGGCACAGCTTCCCATTCACCTCAAGATGCTATTGTTTAGCTATATGGCAGTCTATGCGAGAGGTCAAGCTCTACAGGGCCGTATGAGGGGGTTGAAGCCGCTCATTTTGACGGAATCGGATCTCAGAAAGGAGATGGCTGTGGATGATAATGAGATTTTTAACACGGACTCGAAAATAACTCGTCTCGATATGGGCAATGCTCTTGGTTACTGGATATCCTTCAAACAGGTTACCAACGAGCTTCTGGCCTCCAAACCCGCTGCTGTCCGAACTCGGCGTGGATCAGAAGATGGCGTTCTAGCTTCGTGGGACGAGGAAGCAGATTCCGACGATGCCCTGATAGGTTCCGACAATCCAGAATCCCCCATTCCCAAGACTGTTACCAACATCCTGCGCTTCGACAACCTCCGCTTTCTCTCATTCGCACATCCACATCCCGGCGCCGCAAGCTGGAATTCTCTCTTACAGCTCCTATCACGTCTGTCGACAATCACTCACCTGTCTCTTGCTCACTGGCCTGCTCCAACTCGCACCCCCAATGCCGTCCACGCACGCATTCGCCACCCAAACCACCACTCCCTCACGTTTGCCTACAGCGGGACTGATACCTACGCCGCACTGGATAATAACTGGGCTGAGGCAGCCGGTCTCCTCCGCCAGCTCTCCCGCTCGACCTATTGCCTAAAGTGGCTCGACCTCGAAGGCTGCAGCGACTGGCTCCCCGCGTTGACCTGGACCGGTACGGACCCTGACGGTCAGACCTATCGCCCTGGAACTTCTGGTCCAGAGTGGAATGGTTCATGGAGAGACATTGAGTGGATTGGTCTGGGGCCAGGCTGGATTCCGGATCTCACTGATGATGGGTTTCTGGCAAGCCCTGACACACCGTCTCGTCCTTCGCGCTCGCTGGCGTCGTCGGTGCATTCCCCACTGCGAGATGCCGATTCCGATGATCTTCCCTGGGATGTAGAGAAAGAACGGGTTCGTTACCGTCGTGCTAAAGAGCTAGAGGCTTATCGCTGCTCTATTCGCACTGCTTTGGATGTTCACCGGCACGTTCTCCAGATCAGGCGCGAGAGCCGTGGCAAGTGGGTACATTCCTCGCTGGGGATTGAGGATATGGATGAGGATCTAGTGAGAAGTTTATTAGGGCCGGAGTACCCCCGAGTGTTTCCATAGATATACCAACTCCGTAAACATATGCTGCATATTTAACACTTGATTATTTTCTGGCTGTACAATAATGAATGGTATCATCCCTATTTCTTGCTCTGCCCCCGATTGAACGTCTTGAGCGGATCAACCCTTCCACCAACCGTCTTCTTCCCCTTGCCCCGTCCGCGATTGCGATCTCTGGCATTGCGAATACGATTCCCCTTCGCCTTCGAAAACCCAACATAGCCAACGTCCTCCTTGGAGATACCCTTGCGCCCTTTACTCGGCATCAGATAGTCCGGCACATGCTTGAGGTGCGGCTGGACCCGCGCCGCGCGCAGCTCGCCATCATGCCGCAGCTGGCGCAGCTCATCGGGGTTCTCCTCAAAATGTCGCTTGAGCTTCTCACTCTTGACGAGTTCCTGGCGGATTTCCCGCGCGCGGGCTTCCTGCACGGCGAGACGGGTCACCGCGCGCAGGGCGTCGGTCATGCGGTAACGGAATGCGTCGACTTGCTGCATCTCGAAGTGGTAGGGTTTTACCTCGTGGCCGAGTTTGGTTTGCCGCTTCACAATCTTGGATAGCACCTTCTCGTCGTTTTTTGTCGAGGCCACTGAAGTCGGCCTGTGCTTGCCGTATTGGTCCGCGGGAATCACGAACGAGAGCGCCATGCCGGCTTTGCCGGCGCGCCCTGTGCGCCCGATGCGGTGTGTGTAGGATTTCGAGGTGGTGGGGAGGTCAAAGTTGAGTACGCATGCGACGTTCTGGAAATCGATGCCGCGCGAGATGCCGTAGTCCTTTTCTTTGCCAGTCATTTTGCGCCGTTTCTCTGGCCGGGGTGCCTTTTTCTTTCCGCCTTCGTCCTCAACCTCGTCCTCGTCCTCGCTGGATCCGATCTCTTCCTTTTCTCCGACTTCCTCGTCGGCTTCTTGGGACTTCTTGGAGGATTTGGGAGCCCCCAGAACCTCCTGGTCATCGGCAGCAATTATGATATCGTAGACACCCTTGTTGAATTCTTGAACCACATGCAGCCGTGAGTTGATGGGCAGCTCAGAGTTGAGCACACAGCTCTTCAAGCCGAACTGTTCCAGGAATAATTTGACACGGTAGCACCGATCCACGTCGCCGACAAAGATAATAACTTTTCCTTTGATCAGTTGTAGTTTGAAGATGACATAAGTCAAAAGAAACTTTTCGTCTTCGGCACATCTGACATAAGGCGTTAGTACAACTGGTTGTTGTTGGTGACAGATGAACTTACTTGACGACAAATTGGCTGACTCCACCGCCTTTCTCCTCCTTGTCCTCCAATTTGAGAATAACTGGATTCCGGCAGAACAGACTTTTCAGAGTGTCGACTTCCGAGGTTAGGGTGGCGCTCATGAGAAAAGTCTGCACTCCTCGCGGGATAGCCTTGGAGAGGGTGTTGATATCGTCATCGTAGCCGTACGACAAAACCAGATCCGCCTCGTCAATCACCAGGTGCGAGAGTTTGTCGAGCGACAGAGCCGAGTTGTTGACATTGGACAGAACCCGGCTGGGTGTCGACACAACCAGATCCGGGAAATCAGCGAGCATCGACCGCTGTACAGCGTCGGAAACCTTTTGGGTCAGGTTGACCGATCGGACATCCTTCCCGCAAAAAATGGTGTACGAGGTGACCACTTTCTGGACTTGTTCCGCAAGTTCGCGAGTCGGTACGAGGATCAGACCGGTGGTTGCTTTCAGGGAGGGGTCCACCTGATTGCATATACCAGTCAGTTCATCCTTCGATTGGATTGATGGTGATAGAGTGCACATACCGATTTCTTCTGGAGAATAGATTGCAGGATCGGGAGAACGTAGGCCGCCGTTTTGCCAGAACCTGTCTTTGCACGGGCTGTCTCTGTCAGGATGAAGCCTTTTTCAAGTACGATTTGGGTGAGTACTTACCCAGAATATCTTTCCCTTCCAGGGCCAGTGGTATCGCCTTGGCCTGCACGAGGGTCGGCTTGCTGAACTTTTCTTTGATCAGGGCTTGGCAGAGTCGGGGATCAAGGTTCAGAGCTTCGAAATCCGGCTCCTGCTCGTCCCCAGCAGTGGCCTCCGGGGACGGTACGTCGTTGGCATCCAATTTGCGCTTCATTGTTGACAGTAAGTGTTGTTCAGTCAAGTCGGTCAAAGATGATGGCGGGAATTTTTTCGAGAAAATGTAGGGCGGTGAGAATTCTGCCGCAGATTTCTTCTTTCCTCATTAAGGTTAGCCTTGAATAGTGTATGCCTGCCGTGTACACCCAACGCTAAGTGACGGTCAATTGGAGATCGAAGATCGATGCATTTGACCAGACTAAGTAATGCTGAAAATAGTTTCTATCATGCAAGAAACTGACTTACCCTGATAGTAAAGACTAACGAACAGTAAGGATTCTCTTCATAGATGTTTACCAGTATTTATAAACTATCCACTGGCGCTCGCCGTATCCTTGGTGCTAACTAGTGAGTACTGGAAACCCTAGGGACTTTTGTACCTAATTGGCGAATAATGAACCGGCAGAATTGCATCATCTTGTTAAGTAAGAACGCATTCACAGAATCACTGACCTTCGCTAGTAGGACAGAGTACTTGGCGAAAGATACTAACTGTCACCATACATAGCCGGGACATGGAATCTAGGATGTTCGATACAGAATGAGGTATTGTGCCTGCGTTCGCAAAGCCATTGTCATGTTTGGCGTGGTCTTGTTCCGGCTAAATAGGCGACAAGATGGGAAGCCAGTGCATGCAAAGCTGCACATTGACAGTCCGTGTAGAATGTAGGGAGAGTTCCAGACTCAGGGTCAATCCAAGGTGAGTCCAAATCATGTTGGATGTAAATCTCATTCGTTCTAGTGAATGCGCTGATCCTTGACAGCAAATCGCCACCAAGACACATCAGAATAAGCCTGCTACTATGATAGGCAAGGTCGAAAACCCTTTCGTCTAACTCGAAATCATGAACCTTTTAAAAGGTCCATATGGGGTGAGTGCAAGTCTTGCATGTGATAAGACATATGACTGTGGATCGCCTGCTAGGTACATTTCGCGTATGCCGTGCCATATGATTTCATGGGAGTAGGGAATTGATCCGCTGCGACTAGTGGCCCTTTTGTGCTTTCACGATTTCCATTTTTCGAGGGGCGCCAGAAATGCAACGATGTGGAGAGGACGGGGATGATGAATTTCGGTGATGAACAAGCTAGAGTCAAGGATCAATTACAGAAACCTAGTTGTGCAAAGCCCATCACACAGAACAGATTAGGTTTAGTAACATATCAAAAGCTCAATGGTTAGTCTTCCTCGACCCCCCCCCCCCTGTCTAGACTGGCAGTGGAGGAACGGCAGTGGAAGAAGGGTCAAAAAAGCCGAGGTTAGGTTCATCTATGTATTAACTAGTGCAGCAGGTAGAAAAGTCCCAATAGCCACGGGAGACTAGCGCAAACATTATAATGTAGCCACCCTCTACCATGTGCCGACGCGCTGGGTCTTCGTGCCGTGGAAGTTCAGGATCTCGGAGCATGGATTTCATCGCCTTAACTACTATCCTACTAGTGTAAGTTTCTTATAACATATCCATGCGCACTTCGGAGCAAAGCCTTCTCATACTAGTCTCATGAATTTGAGAATAACAAGAAACATCAATCTCGATAGAAAAAAGGGAATTATCAGGTTGCTGCTGGTACTTTGGAAGGAACCGCCCATTGATAGTATTAAAGTTCTCATTGTTCTTTGTGGGCGATCATTCCATCCCGTAGGTTAGTAGCCTTTTCAGGCAACGAACCTGATCCTCAGCTGAACCTATCGGGCACCCCAAATATAGCCCCGCTCAATCATAAGACCAACTATGAGTGTGCCAAGACACCACTACGAAAGATCGAGAGATCCGAGCGCTGTCTGCGCTAGTATTTAGCCTAAACCTCTATTAAGCCCTCTCGTATTTCCGCTGCCTGTGTCAGAGTTTGCGCCCAACGCAAAACCCGCAAGGAATGACATATTGACACACCATAGTAGAGAGGCTGCCCTGAATATCGGTGAGCCAGTGACATATGACAGCTCAGTCACCGTCGGGGGAGGGAGACCTGTTCTTTGCCGAGGAGCGAATTGCGGACAGACAGACCGAAGTTCTTAGCGAAAGAAAACATGGCCGTTCGGCATTTATTGCTCACGTCCGGCTGCTTCACATGACACTAATATTGTTAAGATTCAGTACAATTGGAAGCATCGATTCCTGCGTTAAAATGGACGCCTTGAGGATGTGGTCTAGGCTTTCGACAGTATAAACCATGTTAGTTGATAGCTCTAGGACTCACAAGCTCTTGTAACGCCCCATAATGCAAGGATCTCCCTAAATGGTTTTTTGCAGGGCTGACCGATGATCCGGTAATGTTTCCCGGCCATTGACAAACTGGCCTTACGTGAGTGGAGAGAACTTTGACGCGGGAGGAGCCCGACTGGTCAGATTCCGAAAGCGCCGCAATGTCCCAAAAGTCTTTAGCGCCTGAGTAGGACACACTACAACCTTTATCAATAGTCCTGCATCCCTGACATTCCTCGCATGCGTGTACCCACGCAAGAATGTTTACAGCGGCAGTGGAATGGTTGACTTGATAATGACGTCCATTAGAGACGGTGAGACCATTCTTCTACAACGAAACCTCTGCCCATCTAACAAGGGTCCGTAGGCGGTTGTACTACTAGAGAACCTCGCGTGACCAGGACATGCGAGCGTGTTTCTCTTGGTAGTATCTTCAATAATAGTCGCAGACGTGCTAAGGATACCTGTTAGCTCTGTACCCATGAGATAGCCTAGAGCTGGTTCTATACGAAGATTAGTACTTTTGTTCGATCCATAAATGGGTGCATTGGGCCCTGTCGGAACCAGACCTCCCCGCACTGCTGACAGGGTTGACAGCACTAGTGCGCATGCCGCACCCAGCATGAACTGACTGTTTGAGGGCCAAAGTACATACATATGTATTTAGGAGACCAGTATCCTAAGTTTGAGTGAGAGGAGCAGTGAGCATCTGCTTTTCAGTGACAGTTGCAGTTCCTTCGCGCTAACATCTGGTCGGCTCTTAACGTTCAAGTCAAGTGCATAGGCTCAAATTCAAGGTGGAGTTCTTACTAGGCTGACCACTAGATCCAAATGAACTGACTGCTGGCCAGGCGCAGACAACGATGTCAGCCGAGGAGAAATCAGACGAATTGCCTTCACGATTTCTGCTTATATATCTCGACCAAGATGGCCAAATTCGGCTACAAACCTCTGGGTCAATGGCAGAGAGCAGCAAGGTAGTTCTATCTATGACGGTCAAGGATGCCTTTCTGAGAGCTATTGGTACATCGAACGACTTTCTCTCAAACTACCAGGGTAAGTATCATGTTCACTCCAGCGGTCGTTCTCACTAATGATGAAGGTCAGTCAAACCCGGGATCTCAGCGACGTGTTTCAAAACGATGAACATGTATGGAAATACACTCTCACCATCTCAGACTACTTCGATACCATATCTTGGAACTACATTTGAAGATGAAAGCCGCATAGGCCAGATGTCTCTAGCCGCGACTCCATTTCAGCCTACGGGGGGATCCGCTTGTAGGCAACCGTCGATCCGCTTGCCTCCCAAAGGCCGCACCTACGAATGGAGTGAATTATGCGATGAGAATGTCGAAGCTAAAAGTCCTAGGGGGGCCATAATATCCATTCAGGACCAAGAGACCTTGACCCTATACTACGAAAAGGCTTTCGAAAAGTTCCAACAGGTAAATTGTCGAATCCTTGCGAAAGCCTATGTCAAGCTTCTGGAGCCTCGCAAGCAGGTGAAATATCCATACAATGGACGGATGAATATTGCAGGTATCACAAGTCAGTTTGATCCGGATGCGACTAAGCCGCCATGGTGGCCCTCTCGGGTCACCCACCGGGAGCCAGACCATCTCCCTAAAGTTGGTAGGAAAACCACGATGCTTTCACAACCACAGTTCATCTAATCTGCAACAGAGCGCATTAGACTTCTAATTCACATTCTTCGCGAACTACGGAGCAGCCATGGAATTTCTGTCATGCAACTCGAAAAAGCTGATCAGTCAATTCGTCGGCTGATTTCTCCGCCGAAGCTAGTGCAGGTCCTGGACGAGATTTATTATGTTAGACGCCAAGAAGAACAATTTATGGAGGGAAATTTTTGTAGGTTCTTGACAGATGTTAGTCACCCAAGCAAGAGCTTAACGCCTCTTGTCGCAGATGGGCAACCGATGGTGTGGGTATATCACGCCGATTTTCCTGAAACCGCCGAGAACACTAGCCAGAGGCACAAAAGTGGAAATTATACGTGGACCTCCCCAGTCACCATTCGAGGTATGGAGACATATGCGGGCTGTGGTGAATATTCGTCTGCCTTGGACGCTCCTCGGGATGTATTTACGCCTGATGAAGTCCTAGCGTCTACCCATCACGCCCTCTCGCCAAACGAGAAGAGAGATCCTCGAGAACAAATACTCCCTCATAAAGTCAATTCCGACTCTGTTGTGGCTATCACTTCTCAATCTTCGAAAAGGAAGCGCGATAGTGTTGAAATCCATTCTACTAATCCAAGGGGTCCTTCCGTCGTTGCTCCCTTCCTATCGCCCACCCCTAGGGCTAGTCAACAGTTATCGATGAACATGTGCGGTGCTTCTTCTGCAATTCAGCCTTTGACGGTTTCATGGATCAAAAATTCAAGAACGGGAATTATGATGGAGCCATTGGAGGCTCATGTGGAGGCTCATGCAGCACGTTCCTATTATGACTATCGCGCGTGATCTTGAGAACGGGCAATTCTCTTTCCCTGATTACTGGGCTTCAACAATTCTCGTTTGTCAATTTTTAGAGGGCCTGTACAGATCTTTTGAATAGCAACGTCGTTGTCCAATTTTGTCATAATAGTGAACAGTCAATATATGTGACTCTTCCCTTCTTTTCAGACTTTCCTACCGCCTCTGTGATTTGCATCAAAGAGATTCAACACAGCCAGGGTGACTGAAATTAACCCACCCGTCAAACAATAGGGATAATCAAGGTGATGGAAAAAGAATTAGGAAATCTCACTCAGGGGCGTATTGCCCAGGAACTAAAGGGGTCAGGGGATGAAAAGCAGACCAAGGCCTATTAGAAACCCCTGAGTCGATCGCAACCCAAAACGACAGTCTTACCATCACCAATATAATATAACCTATGAAAAACATAATGCTTTTATTACAATAAATAGGAAAAGTGGGCGTTTCGGATATTGAGATAGTTTTTCGACGCTGCCTACTCATTACAACGTGGGAGATAGTATGTGCCATTGAGATATATAATCGCTCACCATTATCCCGGTCAATAGTCGTATTTACCTTTTTTGCCTTCCAAACCTGCCGGTTTTCCTCGTTCAAATTCCCCAGCCATTTTGGCGTTTCATGTCTGCATACCACGTCTTAACATACTCCACTCCCGCGTGAGGCCCGTACAAGTCAATTTCCCACTGCGGCTCAGGCGGAGCCAGCCCGGTCTCCGCAAAGCATGTCTGTCGCAAGCCCTCGATGCTGCCACCACGATCATAGGTCGGAATGTCTCCAAGCTTAGCACGCTCCACACACATTGTGTTCCTTAGCTCTTCGGTTGCTGCTAGGTCGACAGTGAAGTCGCTTTTCACGACGACACCGTACCCTTTGCGAGCGCCGTTCACTGTGACAAGCTTGCGATGGACTTCGAGGGCGACCTTCTCTGCAGGTCGACTCAACGGATCGCCGAGCCCACCTCCACCCCAAGTTACCCACTCAAGGAGATCATCTGGGTCAACGCGAATATGATCGCATTTAGAGGGCAGAACTTCTATGGCCGGGTTCTCTGCTGACTTGGAGTACCGGTACAGCACCTTCCGTGATCGCTGCCCCGGTCTGCCTCCTTTCATTCCCCACGGCTTGGTAAACCACCGGTCATCATGAAGACTGAATTCGCCGCGGCACAGGAATCGATACAATGTGCGCTGGGCGTTTCCACCGCGGTAGAAGCCAGGGCCACCGCTGTCTGCGACACTTTCATTGGCTTCGATGCGCAATGGGTAGTTCAACTCAATGCTCTCGGTGGGAATGGACTTGATAGCAGGGAACAAGCAGTGACAATCCGGACCATCGCCAGCCTGACGTGCAGGAACTCCTCCAAATCCAATCTGGTAGAGCTGGTACCACTCGCCACTGGGCTTGAATCCAGAGTAAAAGAAGTGAGGCGAGTCACTGAACCCAGCCGCGGCTTGGTAGGCTTCGTGCTTTTGGCCGATCAGTGCTTGGACAATATCAAGTGTACGGCCCATCAGATGAGTACGGCAAGAGATAGGAGCCGGCCGTACGGGTTTGAGCACTGTGCCTTCCGGGATATAGACATCGATGAGGTCGTGGAACCCGTCATTGATGACGGTACCTGGGGCAGCTGCGGCAATAAGATAGTACCCGATGAACATCTTGAACATGGTCTCTGACAGGTAAAAGTTGATACCATGTTGGCTCTGTGGAGATGTTCCACTCCAATCGAAAAGCAGCCGGTTGCCATCAATCTTCTTCATGGAGCAACTGAGAGCCCAGGGTCCGACTCCGTGGCCGTCATCATCGACAAAGTCGGTGAATTTACTTTCTTTGTCGTCGAATTGCCGTTCAATGATCTTGGCCAGGCCACTGCGGTTCCGGTACAGCAGCTCCGCGGACGCAGCCAGATATATCTCAGTTCCAAAACGGGTTGCCAGTTCGCAAACTCGCTTGGCTGCCATGGAGCATGCGGCGACAATGGCCGTGAGATCAGAACGGTACCACGCAGGCTGTCTGGAGTTTCTGCACAAAAGCTCCACGAGGTCTGAGTTCATGACACCACCACTGTATAGCTTGATGCATGGAATTTGAACGCCATCGTCGAACACAGAAGTGGCGTTGATGGACATACTGCCAGGCACCATGCCGCCTACATCCGTCAGATGGCCAAATTGCGACGCCCAGCCAATGAGGCGATGCTTGTAAAAGATGGGCATGAGCACGATCACGTCGTTCAGATGACTGATTGCTCCCTGCACTTGATAGGTGTCGTTGGTAACGAACACATCTCCTTCCTCTATGGTGCCCTCCCACACCTCGAGGAACTGAGTGATGAAGCTGCCGAACTGGCCCACAAGCATTTTACCCTGCGCATCAGTGATGACATTGAATTCATCTTGTTGTTCTCGAATAGCTGGCGACATACTGCACCGAAGCATCATCTTGTCCATCTCGCCTCGGATGGAGGCCAAGGCTGCAGATATCAACGTGGGAATCAAAGGAGTTCTTTTGACCAGATCATTGGCAGATTCAAGTGTATGATCGGTGGACTCCACAGGCTTTTTCTCCAGCGGATTGATCAGAATATTCCCGATGCTGTCAATTTCTCCATAGTAACCGGGCAGGATCAAAGTGTTACTGTCCATCTCTGTGATAATGCATGGCCCTTTTATCTGCACACCCTCCTTATTGATCTTCTGGCGGTCCCAGATGGTAGCGGTTTTCTGTTCGCCGTGCACCGTTATGGTCTGCTCCCCGACCTTGGCGTCGGCAGGAGGATCGATGGACGCTGTCTTCTCGACTTGCGGGATATCGATGTTGGGCGAGTCATCGACCAACACAACTCCCAGTCGCATTAATTCCAGCTCAAAATCGGGCAGACAGTAGGTAAATAGCTGTTGGTGCTGGCGGTCAAACTTCTCTCGCAGCACGCCACGCCACACGTCAGTGTTGGTAGCTAGCTCATCTGCTTCAAGGTCGACGGTAATTGTTAACGCCTGCCCTTTGTACCGGAGATCAGCCTGGTATTGGGCTTTCCACATCATGGGGTACGCTTCAACGGAGTTTCGTTGCAGGGTATCCTGGCACTGCTGCTCCAATGCCGCATATTGGTTTCGAATCTCAGCCACAGTTGTTTCAGACACCATTCGAATGAAGGTGGTCGATTGCTCATGGCTCATCTTGGTGGTAACGTCGCCTTGAGCACATAAGATACCCGGCGAAGGAGGGATTATAACCGGCCATGCGCCTAACAGTTGACCGATAGCGTTGGCATGCAACGGTCCAGCACCGCCAAAGGCTACCAGCGCAAAGTCTCGTGGGTCGTAACCTTGCTCTACTGAAACGAGACGCAGGGCGCCATAGATGGTCTCATTGGTAACCGCAATGATGTCTTCTGCTAGCTGGGAAACTGGGAGCTTCATTTGCGTCGCGATGCTTTCCACAGTTGCAATGGCCGCCTTCACGTCCAGCGCAAAGTCACCCCCCAACAAGGTTGAGGGCAAATATCCTAGAACAAGATTTGCATCTGTGACCGTCGCCTCAGTTCCGTTGTTCCCATAGCATGCAGGCCCTGGCGATGCGCCAGCACTTTCAGGACCCACTCGCAAAGTCTCTGTGAGTTCCATATATGTTGCGATGGAACCTCCACCAGCACCAACGGTGGTGATATCGACCGCCGGCGAGCGAACGGACAAATTCTCAACGGTCGTTTCTCGTCGCAACTGGGGCTGACCATTGTATATCAGCGCGCAATCCGTCGAGGTGCCGCCCATGTCCAGAGTAACCAAATTTTTGTATGGGGTACTCCGAGCCACAACATCTGCTACTCCCTTCACACCACCAGCTGGTCCTGACATGAGAATGTTAACTGGCAGCTCCCCAGCCAGCGTCAAGCTGGTCAAACCGCCATCGCTCTTAAGAACACGAATCGTCTCACTCTCTGTCGTGAGCTTATCGGCCAAGTTCCGAAGATATGTCTGCACCACGGGTTTGACAAGCGCATTCGTGCAGGTTGTTACCGTACGTTCGTACTCGCCAACCTCTCTCAACACATCTGCGGAGCAGATAATAGCCACACTGTCGCCAAGCTCCTCGCGGACGATACGTTGCACCACTCGCTCATGCGCATCGTTGCTGTGTGAATTCAGAAGGGAAATTGCCACGGCCTCTGGGTTCTGTCCAGCCAAAATTCTCAGGCTCCGCCGCAGGTCTTCAGTATCCACTTCAGTGACAGGCTCTCCTTGCACCGACATTCGTTCCTTGCATTGCACGACTCGTTCCAGTGGAACAATGGGCTCTGGCGGCGTGAAGTGTAGCCAGGCACCTAATCCTCCCGGAATCTGTGACCGTCGCAGTGCGAGAATATCCTTGTGGCCAGCAGTAACAACGAGAGCGGTCCGCGCTCCTTTACCCTCCAGGACCGCATTGGTCGCCGTTGTCGTGCCGTGGTGAATAAACTGGAAGGACCCGGACCAATCTGATTCGGCTTTGAGTATTTCTCGAGCTTTAGTAATGCCGTTCTGGATACCAATACTTTGGTCTGAGGGGGTAGTCGGGACTTTGGCTCGGACGGTTTGGCCGTGCGGCGTGAAGACATAAACGTCGGTGAAGGTACCGCCGACATCAACGCCAAGTTGATATCCTTGGCTGCCTCGTGGGTCCGACATGATGCACAGGGTCTGTCTTATCAATTGAGATGGCTTTTGCTAAGGAATATATTTTCTTTTGGCGAAGACCACAGCCCAGCAAAATGCGATGGAATAACGAAAAGACCTTGCTAAAGCTGAGGAGGGGAAGTGGGGAGAGGGACCCAACAAAAATACATTACTATTATTGTCGTGGCTGGTGTCAAGTTGCGAAACCTTTATCAAACTAGTCTCCGACAGCGGACGGACTCTTGGCCCCTGGCTGTTCTGCAGATGAACAAAGCTGTATCCAGCATACACTTGCAAATGGTCATTGGCGATACAATCGCTCCACTGTGGCCCACTATGTACTCCTGTGGTAATCCACCCCACTAGGACCAGGCGGGGCTAGGTGGGTGGGTGTTGGCGATGGATGGACAGGGTGGCGAGAACGATACGAAGTTCGTCAACCGAGCTTGATAGTTACAACCCGAAGCCCAGAATATCAGAGCAGTCTGCGGGTGGGCGACACTAGCTGCCGCGGCCCCACAGTAGATTACCGCCATGGCAGCTGATTGTAAGGGATTCGGGCGTTCCATGCCCTAATGGGAAGGTTCCAAACGACGGCCTCAGGAATGGCGATCAGGTTGGGCTGCTGCTACTATTGGGGCGCAAAGTGGCAGGATGGTCCACTTGCAAAACATTGAGGTTGTTTCTGTTTCTTCCCCCGATTTCAATTGATTTTCTGTCTCGTTCTTCCAGTCGGATGTGTGGATCATTCGACACAACTCGCTCACAATGACGGAGAAAGCACAGGAGCCGGTCAACTCGGACGATTCCGAGGGTGCCAGCATTCAAAACTCAGAAGAGGAGCATGAGGTCTTCAAGAAGACGCACGACGGTGTCCAGTTTCGCAATGTTGGATGGTTCAAGGCTTGCGTCATCTTCATCAAGATTCTCTTTGCGACAGGCGTGCTGTCACTGCCGTCGGCGCTGTACGCTGTCGGCGCAGTGCCCGGTGCAATCAGCATTGTCGCCTGGGGTGCCTTCAACACCTACGCCTTTGTGATTCTAGGAAATTTCCGCACGCGCCGACCTCACTGCCACTCCATCGCAGATATGGCAGAGGTGGTCGCTGGAAAAGCCGGAAAAGAGATCACAGGTCTGCTGTTCATTATTGGCTATGTTCTAGTTACGGGCAGCGGAATAATTGGGGTGTCGACAGCATTGAACGCCCTGTCGCATCATGCCGCATGTACTGTCTGGTGGTCCTTCATTGCTACGGCAGTGACCATCATCGCGGCCTCGACCCGCAAACTCACTCATGTCGGCTGGCTCACATATGCAGGATTTGTCTCGATCTATGTCGCGGTGTTGATTGTTGTTGTCGGCGTCACGACGCGCGACCGGCCCGCAGCTGCGCCGCAGACAGGTCCCTACGAGTTAGGATATGTGGCCGTCAATAACCCTCCGTTCTACGCCGGTATGGTCGCCTCCAGCACCCTTTTTGTCTCATCGGCAGGTACCAGCGCCTTCCTTCCCGTCGTGTCGGAAATGCGCAACCCGAAGGATTACAAAAAGTCGCTTTACGTTTGCATGGGACTGGTCACCGCGTCCTATCTCGCCTTCAGCTTGGTTGTCTATCGTTGGTGCGGACAATACGTCGCCAGCCCGTCGTTGGGGGTGTGTAGTCCTTCTTTCGTGAAATGCCCAATAACGTTGTCAATATCTAGAAGCTGACGGGGGTTTCACACACAGAGTGCCGGCCAAACGATAAAGATGGTGTCGTATGGCGTTGCCCTACTTGGGCTGATTGTGAGCTCGACGATCTACCTACATGTAGGATTTTAGCCATCTCGTTTCCGTCGCATGCTGAGCTCGCATTCTTTAGGTCGCTGCGAAGTACGTCTTCGTGCGTATCTTGGGTAAAACCCGTCATTTGCAGTCTAATACAATGATACATTGGGGAACTTGGCTGGCCTGCACCACTGTGCTTGGTGCCATTTCGTTTATACTCGCAGAGGCAATTCCGGTCTTCACCTTCGTGATTGCCCTTGTTGGCTCGGTTTGCTTTGCCCCCCTCGCCATTTGTCTTCCAGGTTGGCTGTGGCTGTACGACCACGGTGAATATCTCAAAGGCAATCTCACGAGAAAGATAGCGTATTTTCTACACTGGGGAATGATTCTCTTGGGTATTTTCTTCCTCGTCGGCGCGACTTACGGCGTCGCCATCGATATCAAACTGACCTACGCCAACGGCGGAATTGGCAAGTCTGCGACATTCTCTCGATAGCGCTGGACTTGGGCTAACATTTGTGGCAGGTACTGCCTTCAGCTGTGCTGACAACTCGAACTCGTCATAGGCCAGATTCCCGCGATTTGTCGGGCCGAGCTGAGATATTACGACGAGAAACAGATAGATTATGCAGGACAATAATAAAACTAATCGGATACCGAGGGGGTGGCCGGTCGTGCGTGTATCTAAAGAAGAGCATTCCTATCTCTTGCTCTCCCTGCAGGTCGATCTTTTACAGCTCACAGCCTCCATTTTGCTGAGAAGAGACAAATTAGACCTTCCCGCTTGGGGTCCTGAAATAGTTAACTATTATGTTAACCCATTGGATAGTGGTATTTATTATTCATGGTAACCGCCGTACATACCCCTCACTTCATGATTTTCAGCTTCACGAACGGGGCATTGTTGCGACCTTGATGGATGTATTTTCCATCGCTGAGATTCTAAATCTTCACGGCAAGGCACCGCGATTAACTTCAGCCACCTGAGACGGCCTGTTGGGACCAACGGGTCCCAACGAGTCTGTCCCCACCAATGGCGCTACGGACCGCTCGTCACGAACCCAGTCTAAAATGAATCGGGAATAAAGTCCTTCCACCGATAGGTAGGTTCCTTTTGCCGCACTATTGCCTTTCGTCGGCTTGGCCAGCATTCCGTATATCGAGTCACCCATTGTCCACTTAATATATTTTCGTTGGCCGTAGGCACCATCGATGATCAATTCTACCTTTCTGTGAAGCTCGGAAAGATCCCGTCTCACGACCTCCACTCAAGCGGCGATCATAACCAAGTACTAGTAACAGATGTACAGTACGCGCAATATCGTGTCGCGTCATCCCGCGTGGGGCCGCCGTCCCGTCTCAGCCTTGACAGTCCATATCTGACTTCGTAGCTGAACTCAAAATCTGGGGTCAAGGTCCGCTAGTAGCGCAGGGGAGACCAACTGTTCAGTCCATATATGGACCTAGCGCATCCTCTAGGATCCTTAGTGTCCTGATCATCGGGAACTAGGGCCGTATATACTTCAGTATTACTGTATCATGAGCCGTTACCCGTCAAACCGCGGACAAGGGTTATCAAATTTGAATAATAAATATTGATTTTTGATTGACTTTGCCGTGATTTCCTGCGTACTCCTGATGGAATGAATATCAACCCATTTTCCTTTCTATCCCATTCTCGATGACAGTCTCGATGCTGCCCATAGAGTCTTGTCTCAACTCTTCATCTCACTGTTGACTGGTATACGGGTCGCATTGGTGACGTTTGACACCTACCCAGATGGCGCAGCAGCCAGCTCTGCCGCCACCCCCAGGGCAGACTTCCAATTTTGCGCATCCCAAAGACGTCTTGCACACAGTGAACTTGGTGACACAGGTACTATGCATCATCGTTGTAACGTTGTTTGTGGCACTTCGTCTGTGGATCAAAGTTTGCTACCACCAGAACCTCAATCGAGAGGACTGTGAGTTGTCTCCGTCTAGTTATGTCTTATGCATTTTAATATTGACTGTCTACTCATATAGACCTAACGGCTAGTGGATGGGTACAGTTCTGTTATGCCTTTCTTTTGGTGCTACTAGTAATTCTGACTCTTTGAAAGGCGATTTTTACAGCTTTCTGTGTCTGCATGATGATACGTACGCACCTATATTCCCGAAAAGTGTTTCGCGAGCTAATAAGATAGTCAATAAATACGGAGGTGGATACAATATTTGGGATGTCCCTGAGACCGAATTCATCAAGTTTCAAAAGGTGCGAATGACTTGGTGTATATGCAAAAAGACAACTAACAAGTGAGCGAAACAAGGCATCGTACGCAACAACACTCATCTATGTTCCAATGGTCTTCGTCATCAAGATAGCTTTATTATCGGTGATGGCGAGAATCTTTGCCCCAGATCGACGAAAGGTCATCGTCATATACACCAGCATGGTCGTCCTGTTGGGCTACTACATCCCAGCTCTATTCATCAAAATCTTCTTCTGCAAGCCCATCTCCGCATATTGGTATGGCACTTCCAACGGCGGCTCGTGCCTCGACCAGCAGAAAGTCATCATCGCCGACTCGGCTATTAGCATTGCCGGCGACGTGTGGATTCTCATATTGCCTGTCCAGCTAATTTGGTCACTGCATATGACCACAGAAAAGAAACTTCGAGTTATCGGTATCCTAGGTGCTGGAGGATTGGCCACGGCGTTCAGTATATGGCGACTAGTGATCATGGTGGAGCAAGGCCATACAACGAACACGACGTGGTTCTGGATTCATTGTGTGTTGACTGCGTAAGATCACTTCTTCTTGTGTTAGTTTATTATATATCAGTTGCTAACTACCCATAGTAACGCCGAAGCTGGTATAGGACTTATCTGTGCCTGCCTGCCCGTGGTGAATAATTTCTTCACCTCGGTAAAAGAAAGGAGCAGGAATAATACCAGCGACGGCTACCTAAACAGTCACGAGCTTGACAACTACCAAAAACGGTCCGGCTCCAGCAAGAACAACAAGAGCATCCTCCAAGATAGCCTCTTCATACCTAGCCAGATCGACCAAGCACATCTGATCTCCACCGCCGCGGGTCCCGAGCCACGCGAGGACTCCTGGTCTAGCCTACATTCAAATGACAATCGAACAGATTCTGAGGGAATCAACAAGGATGTTACCGTGGAGCAAAGTTTTGAAGTTGTCAAATGATACCATGTGCAATGAGAGGTTATTCTTGAGTTGTTATGGGTCCATATTATGAAAGATCTGACGGATAGAACTTTCAACTGTATAAATGTATATTGTGTTTGATTAGCTATTGGATAGATGTGATGCCAAGGCTATTGCTCTCACGACGTATTTACGGAGTAGGATGACTGTTCCTGGCAGCTGTTTCTTGTGCCATTCTCATAAAAGGACGCAATGCACAATGGTTGTTCAAAGGCATCTGTTAAATAATACGTATCATGATACAAATAGAATATCCGACAATACATTCTGGGGTTTTCAAGCTCCGCTTAAGTGCGATAATTCTTAGTCAACATATTTCAAATATCTTATCTAACTAGTTCTTGTACGCTCCGACTGGCACAAGAACAAATGGGACAAAGAGGTCTTCGATAGCAATATCACTTTCCTCCAAGAGCCAAAAACGTCCGATTTAGTGATTAAACTCTGTTCGCGCATATGCGAGAAACTTTGATAGAGAGCTATCAGAGGTCTTTCCAGCCGGTAGCACTTTCACATTATGCTCAACTGCATAAAACTTACCATAAGACCAAATACCTACAACGATCCAATGCTTCATGTTCTCAGTTAGTCCTTGAGAGGACGTATAAAGGCTCAAGTACCATGCGCTGGGCTCAGCTATTAGTTCGTGCGAATGAATGACAGAATGAACGACTGACTACTAGCGTGTCATGGTGTCGTTGGACGTCCTCCAAAACTGTGTCATTGCGATGGTGTCGGCAGCTGGCCCCTGATGGGGTACCATGTTAAAGGAAACGTGATCTCGAAGGCTCAATCCTTGTTAGATCGTCCGCGATGGACTTTGGACGGGATATGTTGCTTCCCTCAGATCCAGTGACATCACTTCGGTTGGAGATGCTTCAGGGAAGCTTGCTGAGGTGTAAAAGGAGTACCTGATGATTAGAGAACAAAGAAACCTTCGTGAATAAGTTGGCATTATTCTAGAGACTGCGGCGCTTGCTTTTCTCATGCGATATCCGGATGAGAAGCATCAGATCGAGATTGACTTGGAGCTTGCTTATTGCCATAGCAGAATGCTAGGGTCACCAGTCAAGTATCCTTGAATCAGGTGTTGGAAAGGAACCCTGCCAGATCGAAGTAAATTCGGGTTCAGAAGAGCTATTTCACCTGATTAGCCCGCTCCGTGATCTCATAGCCGTAAATCGTGCCAGCTATATAGGATGAATGCGAGGCTTGTAAATCCGCGATGTGGTTCTCTAGTTCATCGTCGTCAATGGCTAGCACCTTAGCACAATCATCTTGGAGATTCTGAGTCTCGGACGGAAAGGACGAAGGTACAGTACTTCGATTGTATTCGAGGCGTTCTGCACAATAGCTGCGGGCAAGGTGGCGGTCCGAGCCGCAACGGCCTTTAGTGGAGGGTTGACATGATCGGAATCCAATGGATTTCGCGACACACATTGCCGCGTAAGGACTCCCAGCGGAGCTCATCAATCCTCCGGGTGGAGTGTGCCTTATGGTGCCGGTCTTCAGGTGGCCGCGGATGTGGTAGAGGCCGACCACGATCTCACAGGTTCCGTACATCCAGATACAGCACATACCTCCCGATCCGCAAGTGTTTGCAAGCAGGCATAACAGCAGCAGTTGTTATACATTACGGTGTTGCTGCCCTCAATTACTGCTCTGACCAATGGGGACGGGTTCCGATTCGACCGTGGGCAGGGCCGGTACTAAGGTAGAAGGTCTTCATCCGGAAACGTCCTAGGTCCTTTATGAGGGGGCATACTTCCAAATTTGATGGGTTGGGAGCGAGAAAAGTTCCGTACCACTGACTTACGACTGTATACGTGAGGAAATAAAACAGCTAGCATTGACTCATTCACCTCGATCATGTCCTACTTCCGTAATCATCCTTCCTCGGGGTTCCGAGCTCTTTCAATTGGCCTGCCAATGCTCGTGCCCAGAGAGTTGAACTACGGAACCCCATGCACACCACAAAATCACCTTCTTGCCCCAGGTGGGACACCAGCTCTGGAAGTGCAGATGGATCTGGCATTGAAATCGCATCCTCACGCCCATGGGAGTGCAGGTATTGAACAAGTGCCTCCCGTGCCTCGGCTGCTGGTATCGGATCAACTCCATCAGCTTGGCCGATAATGATGTGCGCTGAATCTTGAAAAGCCGCCAGGTATTCATCCAGCCACGCCTTGACATTTCTAACTACAATGGTAGGCTGATAGACAGCAATGACTCTGCGCGCACCCGCTTGCTTTGCCATCTTTTGTGTTGCCTTCATCTCTGCAGGGTGTGTGCCGAAATCGTCGATGATTTGAATGCCATTTGCTTCACCTACGTGAATGTAACGGCGATTTGTTCCTTGAAAGCTCCTCAAGGCATAACGAATGCTCTCTAGTCCAATGCCTAGCTCAAGAGCAATGGCAATAGTGGCTAACGCGTTTTGGACGTTATGCAATCCCAGAGCGTTCAAGACTATAGGTCCAATAACCCGCCGAGTTTCATCCTGTCGGTTTCTGACGGAAAGAACGAAGGTGCAGTCCTGCGGATTGTATTCGAGGTTTTCCGCACGGACATCTGCATCCTCTGAAACTCCGTACGTGATAATATTGCGGTCTTGAACCTCAGGGAGGATTTTGCGAACTCCCTGGTCGTCAATGCAAAGGACTGCGAGACCATAGAACGGCACATTCCGCACAAATTGAGAAAACGTTGCTCGCGTTTTTTCTTGTGTGCCATAAAATATTATATGGTCACTGTCAATACTTGTCACCACCGAAATCAAAGCAGGCAGCCGGACTAATGTACCGTCGCTTTCGTCAGCTTCAGCAATCATCCAGTTACCCGAGCCCAGGTGAGCGTTGCTGCCGTATTGAGTGACAACAGCACCTGATATAGTGGTCGGGGAGAGCCCACCGGCTTCTAGCATGCCCGCAACCATGCTAGTTGTAGTGCTCTTGCCATGACTGCCGCCAATGGCAATGGACTTGTGATGGCGCATCAACGAGGCTAACATTTCGGATCTGTGAATCACCGGGATCCGTCGGTCCTGAGCAGCTTTAACCTCAACATTGGTGTCGCCCTTTGTTGCTGCACTTGACACTACCACGAGCTTTGCAGAGCCTAGATGGTCTTTGTCATGGCCGATAAAAACTGTTGCACCCGCGGCCCGCAGTCGGGCGACATTGTCGCTTTCTTTAATATCGCTTCCTTGAACAACATATCCCAGATTCATCAAGATCAAAGCGATCGCTGATTGGCCATGTCCTCCAATGCAGACAAAATGAACAGGGCTGATAGATGGTGGGAACCCAGGCATGTGCACTGGGCGCTCGTAGCGGAGAGCTTCCTTCATGTCTGTAGAATGCATCCTGACGAACCTGGCGGGGGTTTGAGCTGTAGAACCAGAACGAATAGTTACTGGAAAGAAGTTGCTTTAATTTTGTTTTTTTTTTCTCCTTCAGTAGCATTGACCCCTCAGAGGAGTTTGCTGTCATCCACCAGTGACGCTACGGTAGGTAGCTGCATTTAGTCCGATTAGTTCGACCCACATGTTCGTCACTTGGCCGCCCGAAACACGGCTCCAGAATCCTACGTCATCGAAATTTGCAATTTTTGGATTTTTCTATCTAATAATGTTTACTTCAGGCACAAGGCACACTCCAAATTGACAGATAACATCCTTAGTAATCCGATCTGATAGCGCCTTCACTTCATCACCATCTGCCCCTCCAAAATTGACAATAATAAGAGCGTGGTTGTGATAAACTCCAACCCTGCCAATCCGCCTGCCTTTCCAGCCAGAGTTTTCGATGAACCACGCTGCTGGAATGAGGCGAAGCCCATTTGCCTTCGGGAAAACAGGCAGTGCGGGATATTTGCTCTTGATAGACTTGCAAGTAAAATCATCGACGGTAACATTTTGGAAAAAGCTTCCCGCATTACCCAACTCTCTTGGATCGGGCAGTTTGCGTCTGCGGATTAGACATACTACCTCACTGACCGACGATATGGTAGGTGTAGTGATTTCTCGCTCACTCAAAACTTGTTGGACCGAGCCGTATGTGGTATTCAGTCGATGGTGAGGAGCATTGGTAAGCTTTATGGTTATAGTAGCAATCAATACATCCTTTAGGCGCTTGAAAATGCTGTCTCGATACCGAAATTCACATTCGGCCCTCATCATGGTGCGAGTCTGGCCGTCCGCCAAGTCAACAATTTCCACGCTTTCGAGAACATCGCTGAGTTCCACCCCATAAGCACCGATATTTTGAATGGGAGCCGCGCCCACAGTGCCGGGAATGAGGGATAGGTTCTCGATACCACCAAGATTGTGGACGAGACAATAGTCAACCAGCAAGCTCCATGTTACGCCTCCGCCGACCTTGAGCGACGTATGCGTATCGTCTTGAGATATGGTTTCAATTCCGATAATCTCGTTCTTCAGAACAATGCCATCATAGATCTTCTCGGTAAAAAGTAAATTACTTCCCCCTCCCAGGATCATATGGCGATGATTTTGGAACAATGGTGACTGCACGAGCTCGTTGAGACCGGTATTCTGGATACGGACGACATAGCGTGCAGTCACTTGAATCTTGAAAGTGTTGTAGCATTGTAAGCTGACATTTTCCTCCCACTGAACGCTTGACATTTCTGGAATCGTGGTGTTTTGGTATTTCGATGAGTGTTGCAGTTACTGGGGTACTTAGTTGGTAGCCATCGAGCTCGGCAATACGCCGCGAAATTCGTAAAACTTGTGTTTTTTTCCGAATGCTGTCTCGTGCATTTTCATCTGTGTCGATCGCGACTATCTTATCCGTGCCTAGATTAGTCTGCTAAATAGCGCCGGCGGCTGAAAGTCAATCTTGGCCCAAACTGGAGTCATTTCCACGCCAGTCACGCGAGTTATGCAAACTCGCTTTTCGTAACAAAATCCCCAATCACAATCCACTGTAAAGCACAATGGCCCGCTATTGAACGCCATGGCCCGCTATGAAACCTCATGGTTGTCACATCGGTCTGAGCCGAACTTGAAGTTAGCGCGCCCTGCAGAGATCGATCTGGACGGGCCGATCTGATCTTGGAATTCCATTGTGCGAAATATTCTTCCTTAAAGAATATATCAGGACAGCAACATCCGGATCACACCATATGCGATGACAAACATTATAGCCATCGAAGGCGGTCATGACGTTGCGGGAGATATACACGTCTCTGGCTCGAAAAATGCAGGGCTAGCTCTCATGGCCGCCTCTTTACTGGCGTCTGGGCAAAGCACACTTGAGGGGATCCCGCCTGTGTCGGATATTGGCAACATGGGTCAGATTTGCCAGTTTTTGGGCGCAAACGTCATACGCACATCTGATTCCTTGCGGATTGATACGACGAATCTAGGCAGTCGTGAGATCCCAGACCGCCTTACGCGACCCCTACGAGCCTCAATATTGATGCTGGGTCCCCTCATTGCGCGCTTTGGGTTCGCAAAACTATGTCTCCCTGGAGGGTGTTCAATCGGAACACGGCCAATCGAGGAACATGTGAAAGGATTGAAGAAAATGGGAGCTTGTATCAAAGTCACGGGGGGGTCCATTGAAGCTTATGCCCCGTCGGGGTTACATGGGGTAACCATTCAGATGCAGACCCCGTCCGTGACAGGAACCATGAACTTGATGATGGCAGCATGTCTAGCCTCCGGAGTGACATATATCTACAATTCAGCCCGTGAACCCGAGGTGACAGATCTGGCCAACTGTCTCATCAGCATGGGCGTGATGATACAAGAAGGAGTGGGAGCCGATCCTATCACCGTTTTTGGCTGTGATAAGCCCCTACCCTATCAATACAAGGTCATGGAAGATCGAATTGAGGCAGGAACATTTCTGATTCTCGGAGCAATGGCTGGAAATCCTCTGGCAGTGCATAGCTGTACTTCTGAATACCAGACCGCATTGATAGAAAAGCTGCGTGCAGTCGGTGCTCGGGTCGACATCAAGAAAAAATCCATAATTGTCCACAAGGCTATACGTCCCATGGCCGTGGACATCCAGACAGGCCCGTATCCTGCCTACCCGACAGACCTTCAACCGCAATTCATGGCACTACTCTCAATAGCACATGGCACGTCCCGGGTCACTGAGACGGTCTTCGAGGAGCGTTTTAACCAATCCGCTGGACTAATTGCCATGGGAGCGCATATATGCGTTGACGGGCAAGACGCCGTGATATCGGGCGTGAGAGAGCTATCCGGGAGCATGGTAGCTGCAACTGATTTACGCGCTGGTGCTAGTCTAATTATTGCGGCCATCGCTGCCAAGGGTGTCACTGTTATTTCAGGCACTCAGCATATTGATCGGGGGTATTATGGGCTACAGAGCAAATTGGAGAAGATCGGTGTGAATGTGAAGCGGTCTCATAGCTTCGATGAAGGGGCCCGGAAAGTAGAGACTCGGATGACCGTTTCTACTCTCTGCTCCAAGGCGTAGCATCGTGAGCGATACGTTTCCGGATACTTATTTTTATATCGTTGTCAGAGGGTTCAGTGGTGGCTTCTTAGAGCTGAGTCGCAACATTCACATCGTCTGGTTTGATATGTGGTTGACACGGATTTTTCCAAGTATGAGGATTGAAGAAAGATACAACTGCATCCGATATAGCTAAAGAGGAACCACTTCGTGGAGACACTCTGCGCAGGATTTTAGAAGTAGTAGAGCACAGCGTACGATGACTGGCCCCACTCAATATCGGGTCTCTCACCCCGTCAGTCAAGTCAGCCTACCCTTCCCCCATAATCCCAATGTACCAGTTCGCATTGCTTGTGGAATTGTGAAAATCCTTCATGGTAACTATCCACGAAGTATCGGGCTAGCAATAACGGCACTCATTAAATGCGGGAATTTTCCCTTTGGTGAATGATCGAGGAAAGCCACATTATAAAGAGAAGAGCAGCCATAGCTCCCAGGCCAAGAACCCTGGTCTTTATATAACTGGTCGTTTCAGCGGACGTTTAACTCTGTGTTTAACAGTGCACTAGTGATATGTGGTTTAGAGTTGAAGAACAAAAAATCATACATAACTCATTTATATGTTGTACCTCCCTTCTTCGAGCAGTATATTTCGGCTTTCAATCTAATAATACGTAATTAAACTCGGCTGTCTCAAAACATTTCAGCGATAAACTCTATGGTGAGGCAACGCCGCGTCCTGGCCTACAGCTGTGAGAAATTGGTTAACTATTCAAGTCTCTTCTACTCGATAGTAATTTGTCTTTCTATTGAACATATACCATTCATTTCCTCCCGCACCCTTGAATATTAGCGTTTGTGGAGCTGCGATAATGTAACCACCAATACAACTACGCACGCCCCCTAGTCTTCGGTAGGCGATCAACAGTCCGACCAGCCAACGACATAGCCTTCCCGTAGATCTTGATCGACATGATCAACGCATTTTTGTTCCGGTTTCCCCTTTATCTCGCAGCGAAAGTTTGAGTCCCTTGGCAGAGCATCTCCGGGCCCTGATGATGCGGTTTCTCCAGGACTACACAAAACGTCACCGCAAATTACCTCTGGAATGCAGGTGAGCTCTTCAAGATCCAAGTCAAGAAGACTAATGTTTGAAATATGATCTTCCGTAGAATGATGTGAATCACGAGGAGTGAAGGCGCTCGTGGGTGAACACAGAAAGGATCCGGTGACTTGGTCTTGCAACAAACCGTGGGAAGAGTCTTGATTGCCGTAATTTTGAGAACTGCAAGAATTGCACATCTGCTGCGAGTAACTCGAGTCACCTTGGGTAGTAATGTCAGATATAAGTGACAAAGTGTCATTCCCAGAGTACGATGCATTAAACGGCCCTTTCAAATGGTCGCTGTAATGGTCATTGTAACCGAAATCCTCCGAAGACATCCTAAAAGGCTGAGTACTGTGAGGACACGGTGGTGATTTGTGTATCGGATTCGGATCTGGACGAATTTCAGTTGAGGGAAACTGCACCTCCGGCGAGAACGCTTTTGGCTTGGACGATGAACAGTTATTGGATATTGGAAGAGGAAATTTCAAGCCCGTGGTAATGAGGTACTTTTGTATCACCGCAATGCTTAGGCATTCCAAAGCCTGTTGGTATTCTCCTGCCATAGAACATTTGGCCACGAGATCATTCAAAACAGATGCTCCGGTGAGAATCGTATAATCTATATCATTCAGAGACTAGTGATTCGTCAGCAATACGAAAAATAGTTACAGATTTACATAAGCGCTAGAGACACATACGTATTTTCTGCGAACCTGTGGTGAATGCCAAATTGCAAAGAGGAAAAGACTGCCTAGATAAATGTAAGCTATTACGGATCAATGGAACAATATCAGTTGACAGGCACTTACTAGCTTGGAAAATGCTTTGCGATGCCAAATACGTAAAGTAGGCGAAGCGACCTTGGCGCATGATACGATGTATGTGAAGAACATTCTGACCGGCCTCGGCTACCGCTAAGCAGATTCGATGTTCATCTTCATTCTTTCCACAGAATTGCTGTCTCCTGAGTCGAGAACTGGTCGAATTGGAGGATTTCAAAAGCTCATTCGGATCCACGAAATTCCGTCGATAAAGCATGATAATGCTATTCCAATAGTCAAGCTCCATGTAAAGAATAGGAAATCGGACACCCGTAGCCTCTGCTGATGGTACGGAGATTCTCCAGTGATTAAGACGCCGAAGCATATTTTTTTGCCAGGAAGCAAGCGACTCAAATCCACGAAGAAACAGAGAGTGCCTTTTCTCACCGGCAGAACTGAGAGACGCCTGGCATATGGTGCGCTCGTGGTAGAAGACATCGTGAATCTCCGATTGAAGTTTTCTGAGCTTGAAAAAATGGCAAGCGACAAGTTTGTAGCTCGGCAAATTGTCTGGTGGAGATATTAATCCCGATTTGGAGATATACTTGTCGTCAAAACAAGAAGGGAAATCGGTCGTGATAATCTGATCCGGAATGCTAAATGGTCGTCCAGTATACGGAGTAATAAGACGGTCAAGGCTGTACACGCACCACCACAGACGTCGTCGTAAGTCGAGATTACAGTCGGAGTGGGCTGTTCTGTCCTTGTGGGAGGGTTGGCCGCTAAGATGGGTGTCATGCGTAGCCCCTCTGCTCGAGCCGTTCTCATTTTGGAAACCAAGATCCACGGCCAAGTCAACTGCCACTCTGGCAATATATCCTAAGCTCGGAACGCCTGGCCTGACTAAAGCAAAGCTGGCGAGCAGTAACACAGCCTGTAACTCTTGAAGTCTACCAACTTCGCCTTTTTGGCATTGAGAACCCAATGAAACCTCCAGATGAAACATAGCGGAAGAGTAATACTCTTCTGGCTTGTATTCTTGTTCCGATACCTTTTGTCGCTTTCTGTCACCAAATCCAGAAGACAACCGCCAACCACGAAGATTCTTCTCTGCTAAAGGCGTTCTGGTATCATGAACAACGCCAGAGCCTATTGCGTACACGATGTATATAAAGAAAAGACTGTAGGGCGAGAAATCCTCACGAGTAGAGTATACATCGTGAAGCAGAGTCATGAAATCGTCTCGGTGCAGTACTGGCATGTGCGGGTTCACATATTCGAAATACACGTCCACCAGTTCGTTTGCTATATCTCGCTCGGGGAGCGAGGTGCAGGCTCTACCTGATTTTCCTGCCTGAAGGCCAAAGAACGAATCACGAATAATTTTGGCTTCATCAGTCCCAGTTTGCAATCCATTTCCCCTGCTGTCGTGACAAGCAGAATTTCCCCCTGGCTTGCGCACGGCATCCATACTCCTTTCCCTCTTGCCGAGACTCCTTACACTTCCAGATCGTGGCACCCGCTCAGATTTCTCCAATGCAGTGCCGGCCATCGAGCTGCCTGGATTGTTTTGCGAGAACACCACATCGAAAGAGCACCCGCTCCCCTCAATTTCATCTTCGTCATAAGCAACTGCTGGCTTGAAGCTGATATTGTGGTCTACTAGCACCTTTTCCAGGTAGTTGACACGATGTTCGAGAAAGTACACATAGCTGCGAGGGATCTCTTGCTTGGTGATCAGATCGTATCCTACACAACGAAGTCCTGCCTTTTCACAGGGCTGACACTGTGGGAGCTGTTGATCACAGCGGTGTTTGCGTAACCGACAACGATGGCACGCCGATACATTGCGAAAGGATGAGGTCGGACCTAATGCCAGGATATTGTTGGGGGCAGGATCCGATACAGGGATCAAAGGAATAGCGCTCAGGCAATCGTCGAATTCATGCGGAGAGAGGTCTGCAGGGGTGTGGCTGTGCACCTGATTGGCTGGCCTATCGTGCGCGGCAGGCGAATTTGCAAGTTTTGGCATGACAAGAGAAAATAGCTGCTTCAAAAGCAAAGGTGGGCAAGGGAATAGTAAGGCAAGAAGCAGGTGTTTGAAAAAGGATCTCGCTTTAGAACAGTGCTTTCGCTGCAATACCAGTAGTGCGCAATTCCGGGCTTAAAACTGTTGGAAAGGTGCGAGAGCCTTCGGAGTGGGTATGAAGGTGGCATTGTAGCCCGAGGCAACTGATGGAGTTATTAGATTGCCGAGAGCATCCAATGATGATGGATAGAAACCATGTGGACGCTGGTGTATGACCGCACAAGGAGAGGGATTGACACGAGAAGCACGTTGTTGGGGTACCCATTACTCGATTGAAATCTGCTCACCATGGTGGGCAGAGAGGGAATAGCGTCGTTATCTATCGATTACTCGATTTGAATGTGTGAAAACCCAGACGATAAAGGAGGGGTTTGGGATCCAGGTGCAACGATTACTCGATAGAAATATAAGCGTGGCCTCAAGGCGGTCTGTGCTGCACGAAAGAGGCTTTCCGCGGGAAACCAAAGGGATAATAACGTGGAGCTAGTGAAGGGTGCAGGCGATGATGCCACGAGGAGGAAGTATAGGGATGACTAGTACCAAGACGAACAAGGCTGCAGGAAAATAGCACATATCCCTGCACGACCAAAGACAACACTAGGCTTTCTCGGACCGGATAAGGAGGCCAATTAGTCTGAGCAAAGTTGGAGATGAAATGGATTACGGTGGAGACTGCATGATCGGCTGTCGGGGTCAATCTATCGGGCGAGGAAGGATGTGGATAGGAGAATATGAAAAAGTTTCTCGGGAGCCAAGGTCAGGATAATTCATACAATATACAAATTCGCATTCCCAACAAAATTTCATGTTTGATTCGTCTATCATTTAATTCATCTATCACTTAATCGGCTTATAGGATAGAGGGTGACTCGATGTAGGCTTAACTCAGAATCCACCATGGCTGAATTCGGTGGATACGGATCCTTGCGATCCACTTGAATCCAGTAGTCCCACTCACGCTTCCTCCACTCTCTCCACTTCCTCTACTTTCTTGCCGTCATCGGGAGCCATGTGATTCATTTCATAGGGGATTTCGTTCCAGGTGGCGCTCGTGGCGGGGATAGGAACAGCCCGTGTTAAGACCCAGTAAACGGCCCCGGACACAATGAAACCAGAGAAGTAGTTGACTTCGTAGATATACTGTGCACCGATTGGGACGTCGACCCCCACAGCGCCGGCAAATCCAACAATGTTGATCAAAATGCCGCAGAGGTAGGCTGCATACCCGTGCCAAGAGACACCGCAGGTGCTATAGTACGGACCGTCTTTTCGAGCACTGTAAAGCTCTTCGATATTGAGGTAGCCCTTGCGAACTAAATAGTAGTCGCTGACCATCACACCTGCAATGGAGGAAAGAAACACCGAGTATGCAGAGAGGTAGAGGGTGAACTTGCTGGACGAAGAAACAAGTGTCCACTAATTCCATATGTTAATACTTGACCGCAGTAAAGTCGCTGGGCCTGTAGATTTTACCTACCGGACACATGGCGAGGCCAATCGCTGCACAAATATAGCCACCACGTCGGATTGTACAGAACCGTGGAAGTAACGCAGTCAGGTTTGTCCCGGCTGACACTGAATTTGCAGCAATGTTCGTTCCAAGTTGAGCCAGCGCGAAACCGCTCGAGATGACAAAAATGCCAAACCGTTCCGCTGAGCTGGCACCCTGTAGGAACATCCCCAAAAGAGTGAGGGGGTTCCATACTGGTTTATCGAAGATGACGCTTGAGGAGGAGGACACTATAATGCCAATAAATGACGTGACAGCGAATCCCATTGGGATCGTGATCAACTGCGCCCATAGTGCATCCTTCGGTTTGCGCGCATATCTCGCAAAGTCGGGGTTGTTGATAACCAAGGCTGCGAAATTTGCAATGCAATTCATGATGCTCTTCACAATAGCCCAGCCAAAAGCGCTACCATGGGCAGTGTTGGGCTGAGTGATGATAGGGCCTAACCCATGAGCCCGAGCAATGGCCCAGCCGAAGAAAGCAACAGCGCATGCGGGGGAAAAGTAGGCTTTGACTGTAAACAAATGCCGTATCTTGTAAATGGGAAACCAGAGAGCAGGCAGGGATATTAACCAGAACAGGAAGAAACTGGTGAATTGCTTAGTGGTGACACCGGCTCCTTCCGGGATCGTGTTGGGCAAGTCGTTGTAGCTAGGCCAGATCGATTCGATCATCAAGCTCACACATTGGCCTAAGTTTTCAATCAATTTTCAAGCAAGATGATGGATGGATAAATATAGTACCTCCGAGATATGTCTGGGTACAGGTAGCATAAGCAACGTTCGTTCATAAAACGATCAGTACGACTCACTTGAACACCATACCAAATCACCGCCATTGCAGCACGGTTTATAATGGGCCAAAATGACCCCCAGATTCCAAATGAGGCGCGGTTGGTCACAGCAAAAGGTATGCGATAAATAGCACCAATGCGGCCCATGGCGCATACAAATATTGCAGCAAGTGTGTAACCGACCCAGACACAAATCCATGACTGCCACCAGGACAGGCCATCCACGATCATGGAAGATGAAATCATCCACGTATTCTAAGACCAAGTTTGGACGGTTAGCTAGATTTGTATGCGTCACCAACAGGGCCGGCCAAATGAAAATATCCTGAATGAGTACTTACAACATTCAGAGAATCAGCAATCCAAAACGCAACAAAATTGAGCCATCTCCATTGCCGACGTTCTGGCTCCACTTCACGGGGCAATGTCAGCTACGATGCTTGATCTCAATGTCATCCCCTTCACCCACCCGCTACGGGTTGCTGACATCGAGGTGTTTCGAGGCATCATCTCACCTGGCCGAAGATCATCATTGGTCAGCATCAATTCGGATGTCGAGAGCCCCGGCTCTGTGGGCACCTGTAGCTTCCCAATCCAATGCTTGACATGCTTCATGTTGACGGCAGTGCAATACTAATCACGAAAATCAGGGAAGGAATCTTCGACGATATAAATGTGAGTCGACGGCCCTGCAATTGGAGGCACACCGTGTCTTTAATATCCTGATCCAGCTTTTATCCGCGGGAAAGAAAGGAACATCATTCCTGCAGATCTCCACGTCCAGTGGCCAACCTTGCGATCCCGGCACATGTGAACTTTAACCCCGCATTCCGATTGTTCTCCATCGTCTCCACGGCCCCATCGAACTTAGGTAATAGATTGAAGATTCGGCAATTGATCGGACTATTAGTTATAGACGATCGGACGATGACCAATCCTTATTCGGGTGCATCCCTCATGAAATTGAACTATGCTACTAGTAGTCGCTCCCAGCTGAGTAGAACAGGTGCTCGTCGAGATGAGATCGGCGTCGATCCGATCCCACGTATCACTATTTCAGTCTGTGCAGTTCGATGTGAGACGCTCATGGGGGTAGTGGGTTGCGATGACGGTGTCGACAATTTGTTCCGGATAATCGGCGATCAGGCGCGTGTGCAGCCCGGCTAACGTGGCGGATTTGGGTGGATACCACACGCTATACAGGGACCGTTCGTCGGCGCATTCGCCCAGAATGAGGCGCAGGTTGCGGGCGAGGAGCTTGCGTGCAAACTCACCATTGTCGAAGGATGAAAAGATGGTTGGGAGGATGAAGCCTCCCGCTGCTCTCGGCTGGAATTGGTGCACTTGAATGCTGTTTGCTGTATCTAGGAGCTGCTGGGGTGTTGTGGATAGGAGACGGGAGATCTTCTCGGTTACCGAGAGAGTCAGGGGGACGTTCAGCGTGGATAGGAGCTGGTCGAATTGTATTTGGGTCTCGGCGGGACCCTTGGACTGCACCGCGGACTCTTGTACCCGACGCATGCCTAGCGGATGATGGCATTGTCGTCGGGTTGGCGGAGGCCATATCCGACCTGATAAGACGGAATTCGCACCTGGATCGTAATCACAGTATCTCTCGGTGTCCCATCCGAAATGAAAGTAACGGATATTGAGGTATTAAGAGGTGCTGCTTGTTTATCTTATCTGCGGAATACCCAGAGATAGTGATATCCGGATTGCGTCCAAGCAAATGAATGTTTTCCGTCCACTCCATCGCCAGCCTTTGATCCCAGAATCCGAGATTCCCCACCAATTCCCCGACGGAGGCGGCCTCCTGCTCCAATTCCTTTCAGTAAAGGAACCCGCACAAGCTCACTCTGTACATCGGCAGGACTATCACGCACTGGAACCATTCCGATCGGTGACAGATTTATCCCCGGACCCGGGGTCTCTCGCAAACACACAGCTCCAGCTTGGCGGCCCAAGATAAGGGGCAAGATAAGGGGCATGGGTCATGGGATTCCCCGCACGTCAAAGCACGAGGCACCCGGACCTTTAAAGCGATGGATCTCCAGCGTTCTCAGGGGAAATCATGGCTGTTTTCGCCATTCTCCTCCTCTTCTAAGATATCCATCTCTGTCGGACCGCTATAGGCATGGAAATTCTGAATCGAGACGAGACCTTCTGGGCTCCGGGAACGGTTGCACTGGAAGACAGTAAGAGAAGCACTGTCCAGTTCTGAATCGCAGGGAGTGGCTCACACATCCAGTTCACCGAACAAGAGACCAGGTAGTTCTCTTCCCCACACCCTCAGCTGACCCTAATGATCCACTCAATTGGTCCACGGCTCGCAAAGCCCTCAATTTCACGCTGGTGAGCTTCTTTGTCCTGTGGACCTTTGTTCAGCTGGACATCGGCTTCACCGCATGGGGCCCCATGGAAACAGAGCTCGGCATGAGTGTTGACATTTTGAATGCTGGCGCCGCCGTCAATTACGGGGGTCTTGCCGTGGGATGCATCTTTTTTATTCCTTTGGTCCATAAATTCGGCCGTCGGCCGATCTACATTCTCAGCTCTGCTCTCCAATTTGCATCATGTATCTGGCAGGCCCGAACTAACACCGTCGGGGATCTTATTGGAAGCAACTTGATTTCCGGGCTGGGAGGTGCAATTAGCGAGATCGTCGTGCAGATCACTGTTGCTGATATGTTCTTCGTTCATGAGCATGCCACGATGAATGGATGGTTTGTCATCTTCCAATCCACGGGGGCCTTCCTCGGTCCCGTCGCTTCGGGGTATATCGTAGTATCACAGGGATGGAGATGGATGTGGTGGTGGTGCGTGATATTCTTTGGAGTGACCCTGCTCTGCGTGGTTTTTCTTTTCGAGGAATCGAAGTACATCCCCGAGGTCAACGGTCAGGGTGTTTCTTCCGCGCTTCAATTGGGTTCGGCAGATGCCCCAGAACCAGGTGTCAAACACAAAACATCAATCGGTAACGAGGATGCCAAAAAGACGGCGACAACTCGAGTCGCTACAAATCCTGAATTCGAGCTGAAGTCATATCGCCAGCGAATGGCCTTGGTCACCGTAACTAACGAATCGCTCTGGCCTCATTTCTACCAGCCAATCATCACGTTATTTACCTTCCCGGCTGTTGCATACGCGGCCATCACATACGGAGCCACCTTGAGCTGGTTTGCCATCATGACTTCGCTCCAAGCCTCCTACATGCTCCTGCCTCCATACAACTTCGACGCAATAGGCGTTGGCTTGATGAATGTTGCGCCCTTTGTTGGCGCCGTCTTGGGCTTCCCCTGTGGCGGATACTTGAGTGACAAGTCCATTTTGTGGCTGTCTAAGCGCAATGGCGGAATCTACGAGCCAGAGATGCGTCTCTGGCTTGCTCTTCCCGTGGCCATTATAAGCCCCGCGGGCATTTTGATGTTTGGCCTCGGGCTTGCTTATGTGAGTTTTGCTGGCTCAACATGATTTTGGGACATAAACCTAACATACGTTATAGGGCGTGCACTGGGCTCTTCTTGCTGTCGGGTTTGGCTTCTTTGGTTTCGCCTTGGCCTCCGTTAGCGGTATCTCTCTTTCGTACCTGATGGATTGTTATCAGGATGTGAGTATTCCCTCAACGCTACGAAAACTATCCAGCCAGGCTAGGCCTGAGTCGCTAATGTTCCGTTGTGATAGATTATTGGAGATGCCTTGGTGGGAGTTATCTTTATGCGAAACATCCTTTCGGTCATTGTCCTCTTCGTACTGACGCCGTGGGTCAACGGCATGGGTATGCAAAATTTGCATATTCTTGTCGCAATTGTTGCCTTTGTTCTTTTGTTGATTCCGATACCGTTGCTGATTTGGGGTAAGAAGGCCAGAGTTGCTACTGCAGCCAGATATAGGAAGATGGCCAAAAATCAGGTAAGTCATCGGACAGTATAGCTTTCTTCAGAAATTTAAAATATCTTCTCAATATTATCCTAATTCACTGAGACTTCCATCGGTTATCTGATCTTTGTATTGGAAGTCCTACCTTGATACGGTAGAACTTAGTACTAGCATCACAATAATTATCGGACAGCCTGCGGAGAGGGAAGCAAGGCAATAATTGCAAAGGAGCGTCAGATTAAGGCAGAGGGTACAAGAAGAAGAGCAAATGAATATAAATGATCCATACACCGAGTGGCGCAGTGGAGACTAGTAAGAGAATAATCTCCGACACTCGATGTAAGGAAGGGGAAAAGCAAGCGAGGGAGGGACATGGCGGTCGGACTATATAGGATCACAGCGAACCAGTTTTCAACGAGGGTGCCAAAAATAGCTTTGTCCTAAGAGGGTGAGCGAGGCTGAACGAGGATGGGTTGCGGCGGCCGAGTGGGTCGTTTCGGCCCATCGATCATAAAGTAAGCAGTAAGCAGATCTCGAAAGGGGTGACTTTGCCCTGCTGGAAAAAGGCTGAGCAGCCCTTCCTCCTCCTTACTTTTCATCACCGCTTCCACCATGTCGTCTTGCGATTCAAACCTCCGTTTTACCCTCTTCCGGGGGTTTCCCGGCACGGGCCACTACACCTGGTCCCCCTTTGTAACCAAACTCGAGGCGCGCATGCGTTTCTCGGGCATCTCCTATCGCACCGAATCAGGATCACCGAGAACTGCACCACGAGGCAAACTTCCATACTTGACTATCGAGTCGGATGACAATCAACCACCCCAGACGATTTCAGATTCCGCCTTAATAATCAAAGGTTTCGTGGAAAACGGCATGATGGAAGACCTGAACGCGCAACTTAGTCCGGCAGAAAAGGCACAAGACCTCGCCTTGCGCGCACTTCTTGAAGACCGTCTCTATTTTTTCCAGGTGAGTGAATCATCGCTTGGATCTGGCTGCCTTGTACTCACCCTTGGGCAGGGCCATGAAAAATGGATCCAGAACTTCTATAAACAGCGCGATCATGTCTTTGCCGCTATGCCTTACCCCATGCGTGTTGTGATTGGGTACCTAGCCTACCGGAAGACGACGCAGACGCTTTACGGCCAAGGGACTCTGCGGTTTTCGCCCGAAGAGATCAGTTCATTCCGAGATGAGATCTGGGCTAACCTCAATGGACTTATCACTGCCGCGAAGCTCCAAAGATCAGGCAAGGATGACAAGGAAGACCCATTCTGGGTCTTAGGGGGAGATAACCCAACGGATGCTGATTCTGTGCTCTTTGGATTCATTGTCGGGACGCTGATCTGTTGCTCGTTAGTATCTCTCATGTTTTTTTTCCAATGGTGTCGACTAACTCGCTACTAGATGTCCGGAGTCGCAGAAGACAGTCAAATCCTTTCCTGTCCTGGTGGAGTATGCAACCCGTATCCATGATCGCTTCTTTCCCGACTATACCTTCTCGGACGGAACTGCGTCTCGTTGATGCCATAATTGTCCTCAAATCACATATGTACAGTTGATAATTGAGAAGAGATAAACCGGAAACAAGCAAGTCAATACACAGTATCTGCGATAGAGCACGGATTTTGTGAACATCTAATCACCTTCAAACCCCTGTAGAACAAGTTCATTATTATTGTTCTTGACGACTCGATTTTCATAACAAGGGAAAGTCTTTTGACTGCTGTTAGGCAGATAAATCTATTCGTATATTCATCCAGTCATAACCACACCGAAAGAGTGCGAAATTCTCCCAAGTCCCTTTCACATCATTCATAGCGACATTTGCTCGGGAGATACTAGGACAATTCAGCCATAAGGACAACCCTAATTGTATCTAGGGATGACTTACACTCGCAAACGCCGCTGTGGAAGGTTCCACACTCCAACAGCGAGGAGAAGCTTTAGCACGATCTAGCACCTGCTGAAAAGAGAGACCATCGATATTTTTGGTTGCCATACTAGAGGGGCCACGTTTGCAGAGGATGTCGATAGCTGCCAACTTCTGGTTTCGTGCTGCTTTGTGCAGCGGCGTCTCCTGAAGAAAAGTATCCTGGACTTCAATAGTGGCTTTATACTCGAGGAGTTCTTTTATGCCTTCGATCCATCCGTCCGCCGCTGCTATGTGGAGCGGGGTTATACCTTCAACCATGCGCATGTCGGGGTCAGCTCTGTTCTTAAGCAGCATATGCACAAGGTTCTGTCGTCTGCCTTGCACTGCATAATGTAGCGGAGCCATGTTCGTCTTGAAGGCTAGGGCGTCCATGCTGGCGTTGTGGCTGATCAGGAATCGTAACATCTCTTCATGGCCTTGGAGCACTGCTTCATGGATTGGAGCCAAGCCCTGCTCAGATATTATTAGGCTGATGAATTAGTGAATCAGCCCAGGTTATCACTCACATTGATGTGTGTTCGCGAATTAATGTCAGTCCCAGCTTTCAGCAGTCGCTTTGCTACCGGCAGATGATTGTTCCTAACAGCTTCATGCAGCGGTGATCTCCCTCCACCTGTGCGTGCATTGGGGTTGGCACCGTATCGCAGAAGCAGCTTTACAACTTTGGAATGGCCCTGTGCTGCCGCAGCATGAATTGGGAATATTCCGGTGGCGAAGATGATGTGTTGATTGTCTTCGCGGGAATGGCTCAAGCTATAATTTTGAATGGACACCGAGGCGCCATGCTGAAGGAGCATGTCCACGATCTCTAGATTGCCCATTGCAGCGGCAACCGTCAGCGCTGTGTTTCCATCGTCATCTTGTACATTGACATCGATATGCGGTAGCGTGTCCTTGATCAAGGGAACCAAGTTACTGCGTACGAGTCTGATGATCTTGGTTGCTGTGGCCGGACTATTTTCGGGCAGTGGTTGTATTTCGCCACTGCCATCGGTTTTATTGTCGTTAGTCGGTTTTTTGAAAATTCTCGGTCGACGGTGCAGACGATTCATAGAATTGGAGAATCGAGTTAGGGCTGTGCCAGCATCGTCCTTTGGAGATTTAGTCGGTCGCCATAAGCCAGCAGTGACTGCTTTCAAGCAGATAACCCTTCAGAAATTAGTCCATGGAATAAGTCAGTTGAGCCCAGTTTCAACATACATTGTAACATTCTGCATCGCCGTGGCCAAAGTCAGCTTCGCCCGTTCCAACTCCCCGACCGAGTCAAGCACTTCACTGCGCTTGAAATACCATTTGACATGCCTGAAATCAATGTGCTGTTCGGCTAAGAGATTATGCTTCCGATTACCCGTCTCCTGTGCTCGGGAATAATGTCCCAGCTTTTTCTTGACGCTCAGACAGGCCTCGCGGCAGTTCCTAATGGGCGAGTGCAGCGTATCCAACGCCAACCGTATGTCCGAATCGGCCTTAACAACGGTCTGCACCTGCTCTTTACATAGTGAGGTATGTAAACTGTGCACCAAGGCGTAAATTGCTTTGACATCATTTCTAATGGTCTGGATCTGATTGCCAGCCTCACTCACTGTGGACAGGAACTGGATCAATTCCAACAAGGTCTTGGTGGTGAACTCGACGAGCGAAAAGAAAGTGACCACGGCTTCTGCCATAGTGATGCTCTATTCTGAAAAATTCGTGAACGAGGTTCTCCTAAATGTTGCGGCAGCTGCCAGCATTTTTATAATAGTTTCTGAACGCCGACTACTGCTCGTACGAGCAATTTTCATAGCTGCCGAATACCGATTCCTGCTCAGCCGCAATTAATTACAGCCCCCAGAGACTATTGCAGGGTCGGTCTCAGAAATTTTCATCTGAGTTGTGGTCCAACGACTGACTAGTAGCATAAAGAGCCTAGTTCGAGAAGCCCAAGTATAGTATACAGGAGCTCGGTGTAAACCTCAACGTGATTGGCGCAGACAGACAACGTTATTTCAGGTCAGATCTAAAAACATCTCACTCGCATAGTGATCTAACCCGATGAAGGCATTTGTTCCTCATCATAATTTCCCCGTCACGCCATCCTGAATCACTTCCAACTTGGCCATCAATTCTCTCCACAGGCGCTTTTGCGCCACTGCGCCTTCGTGGCTATGCACCAGCGACGCAGTCGGACTCACCTGGCAATTATTGAGGTAGTGGCTATGCGTATCGGCGAGGGCACTCGCTGCGTGTACCAGCGTGCGCGAGCCCTGTTCCGCCGTTCGCGCCAGAGCCTTCTTCAGTATTTTCATTTGTAAGTTCCCTCCCTCGCGCGCTAGGTCGCTCTCACAGAGGCCGGGGTTGAGCATGTTGATGGTAACCGGGTACTCCTCGCGCGGGCGGCGCTCGGCCATCTCCCGAACCGCAAAGATCTCCATCAGCTTGCTGAGCGCGTACCGGTCGCTCAAGTTGGCTTTGCTCTTATCCTTCAGATGATTGAAGATCCCCTCGGGCGCATCCTTCTCTGGAAAATCGATAAACATATGCGCGTCGCTGACGACGAATGTCAGGTTGGGCCGGGTGCTGTACTTCTTTGCCGTTTCTCGCATTTTTGGTAGAAGTAGAAAGGCTAGCAGGATGGTTGACACCACGTTCGCCGTGATCATCTGTTCGTTGTCCTCCGCTATGTTCCAGGTGAGGGAGGCCACGCTGGCATTTTCTAGTAGAACATCAATTCGGTCTAACTCGGTCGTTGCGCGCAGGCCGAATGCTTTCACACTGTCATAGCTAGATAGATCCAGCCGCCAGACCTCAATGACAGATGGGCCGCATCTCGTGGATCTTCTCAGGATTGTCTTGGCTTTCTCTCCTTTTGAAACGGACCGTACTGCCATGATAAGTTTTTTCGCGCCAAGTTTGATGATATGGCGCGCTGCCTCAAATCCTGGAAAACAGTCAGTGTAGGCTTGTTACATTTCAAATTTGAATGTACATACCAAGACCGCTATCCGACCCAGTGATAATAACCGTCCTCCCTTTAAACGAGCGCGTAGGTTTAGGCAAACGAGTGAATAGCTGTCCATAGATGAACTTGGGTAGGTATCCTGGCGTATCCCCAGGCATGGTGGCGGATGGAGTATACAATTTGGTGAAAAGGGAATAGAATCCGTGAAGATTGGAGGTTGTCTCTGTTGAAAAAGCTGCCATTCACGGGTTGACAAGTATAAGTAGCTACCCCAAACACTGAACCACCACGGTACAGGGCTCGCTCACTATTTACAAGTATGTATCTTCATTCTATCTGACGTGGGGAATGAAAACAAGCCGTCTCCACAGTGAGGCCAAGCATTCCACCGGGGCCCAATGAGCTCCCATCAGCCTAATCCGTAGACACGAATCAAGATTGCGATTTGAATATTAATGAGGTTCCCAGGATAAGGAGGATTCCATTGGTCCATAGTTGCGGTGAAGTTCATATCAGCGACATTGAGGTCAATCCCGCACTGCCTGCCAGTTTGACTATTATAGGCCCACAGAAAGAAACCAAAGTTGAGAAAATAATCCTGCTTTGTCCATCAAGAAATTGTTCATTATTTACATGCCCGTCCATACATAAATCACTGACGTAGTGCAGAAAACGCCCAAATAAACAGATACATATCACACATACAATCTTGTGCATTGAAAACAAACCTAACCCGCTTCGTGGTCTCCATATCAACAAATAAAATGCACTCTTTATGAGTACCGAGTCTCATCGCCCTCGCTGTCACTCAAGCTATCGCGACGGCGACTCCGTCCGTCACGACGGTATCCCTTCGTCAAGCCTGGGATCGGGTGGTGATAGCTCTTGGTACCCGAATCCTCGGTGTCGACGTTCGAGTACTGGTATTCTGAGCGCGAGCCGGCGGAAGAAAGGTCGAGGGGCTCGGTGAACTTGCCGGGCATGGACCGGCGGTCACGCTTGCGCGGGCTGCTTGTGCGGGACGAGGGAACAGAGGGTGGATCGGCTTGGCTGCGACGATCACGGCGGCGGTTCTGGCGGCGCGCAGACGGGTCCCGGAGCGGCTGCTCCTCAGTCGTCTGGCTGAGAACCTCTTCGTTGCCGGCAGTGAAGGAGAATCCAGATGTGTTGCGGTTGCGTTGTCCCCGTCGAGGCTCATAGCGAGCTTCACTCATCTCGCTATTTGTCGGCACCGCCGAGCTGTCGTAGTCACTGCCGTGATAGGTGCCGTCTGCTTCGCGATTCATGCCACCGATCCGAGCAGGCTTTTCCTCACGATATGCGCGCACATCGTGGTCGCCTTCGCCTTCCCAGCGCTCATCTTTGCGTCGTCGCAGCAATTTCTCCTTGGCAGTTTGTCTGAACTTGTTCTTCCGCTTGGGCTTCTCTTCGGTGACGGTCGTCGCCGTTTCCGTGTACCCAGTGTAAGTGTATCCATCATCGCTGTAGCCTCTGCCCACAACGCTGCCACCACCGAGCTTAGTGCTCTTGGTCGCATTACTGAGCGTCCGCCCATCTGGGCCTTTGCGTCGAAGAACGGTCGACTTGTATTCATCCCAGTCGCCTTTACGCCAGACAAAGCTACCGTTCTTTGCCCAGAAAAAGAACCAAATAGATCCAAGGACAAAGAAAGCGCCGATGATGGCAAACAGTGCGAAGATGCCTTGCATGTTGATGCTATTAGGGCTGATGGTCCCCGCCCCAGAGGGATGTTTGGTGGAGGCCGATGTGGACTCGGCGTCTGATCGGGCGGCAAAGGTATTGAGGTCGATAGCGGGTGAAGCAGCCACGGGGTTGACATTTTCCGCAGCACGAGTATCAAGTTCCACTGCTAGAATGCCGGGGAAATTCCCGGATGGTGGAACGGGAGCCATGGCGGATAGAGAGCGTAGTCAAGAGCGCACGGCTCAAGACTGGAACAAGAGTCAGAAATGCCACATTCTTGCTATCGAGCCTGTCATCGAGCTTACCTTTGCGTGAAATGATCAACGTTAGATCTAAATGAGGCTGTTGGTCGTGGAATGTGGGGACGGAAATTGGGGAGCGAAAGCCACACCTGGCGGATTGTCAGTAGAGTCTGAAGAGAAAAAATTAGGGAGAATACGGAGCCAGAAATATGAATGACGCTCAGATCTGCCTGAAATGGAGGAGGTTGGAAGTGAGAGGCTGGGACTGTTTATCTGCCTTCGTTGTCCTGGGCAACGGCTTAGGTCAGCTTCCCAGGCAATCGCGGACCCACAGTGGACTGATCGGCACTATAGAAAGCAACAACGATGATAAGAATGACGATGATATTAATGGTGAATTACAGCCAGGAATGAGTACCTAAGCTAAAGACCAACCACCCCCCCCATCAGCATATGTGATAGGCTGCAGAGAAATTTTTCCCAAAATGGATATCGGGCCAACAGAAAAATGGAAACACCGGATGGCACAAGAAGTAAATGGGTATATATCTCTCCCGGTCGGGATCGCAAATTTGGACAAATAGAGAACCAGGAGATAGACACAGGCCCAACACAAAGAGCTATACACGAACGCTGGCAAAGACAGGGCATCAAAAAACAAATTGGCAAAGAACATCGAACTTGTCATCACAGGTCATCAGAATCGTACAATCATATCACCGTAACAGGGCCACCCTTTGTCGGAACGAAGACGTGCCAGGAACGGGTGCCCAGACGCAAGAGATAGCAATTGCAAACAAAACCAGACAGAGAATCCTCCCAGTCCGATATAAAAAAAAGACAGGTGATCTGTCGGCAAGCCCCCAGAAATTAGGGCCTGCTCATCGCGCTTCCAAAGGCCTTTGCTCAAATGTTAACATTTTAGTTCCAAGCAGAGAGCCTGCCCCGAGATCAAACACAACCTGAACTTTTGGCAAACGAACCCGCCAAACCGCGACAAGAAAGCAATTTTGTCAAACAGACGAAACATGGAACACAAAAGAGAGTGGAAGGAATTAGGAAGAGACGGCGGTCACTCCTGGTAGCGGCTCCTACTGTAGGTAGACCGGCTGGATCGGCGACTAGCCTTGTCTGAGTGCCGGTCATCTCGTGAGTGCCGCCCATCCTCTAGTTCTCGGCGGGTATAGTCGGAGTATGGAGGGCCAGGGAGGTAGCCTTTGGGCTGTCGATTGCCCTCGATGTTGAGTCGGAAGCTACTATCTCCCCGGCGAATGTTGATTAATTTGCCATCGACCGACTCCCGCGTGAAGCTCATTTTCACTCCATCCATTACGAGGTTGATATCGTCGTCCCCTTTGGAGCCTCCACTGCCACGACTGCTGTTCGAGCGGCTCTTCTGGCTGCCGCTTTCACTGCCAACGCGGTTCGATGCCTTGCGGGGCAGCATCGTTTCGGCCGACAGCGGGATCGCAGCAGCGCCGGCCGGTCGGCCAGACCGAGCAGCCTGGTAATCTTCGATCTCCCGCTGTTTGTCCTCGAGGCTGCTAGTGCGGCCATGGCCGTTGTAGTGCTGCGACAGTCGAGGGCGCCGAGAACTCTCGACGGCCACCCGAGTTGCCCGCGAAGGGTCATTATAAGAGGTGGATCTCCGGGTCTCGCGCTGACTTTGACTGCGCTCCAGAAAAGTGCCCTCTCGCGACAGGCGACGGTGTGCATGGTCCGGCAGTACGGCCCCTAGATCGGACATGTCAAAAGCGTTAGGCTGACGGTGCTGCGAAGGCACGGCGCCAGCGGTTTGGGACTTCCGCGGCGGATCTGGGCGCTTGGCCTGGATGATCTGTGGCGCCAAACGGTGTTTCGAGGCGGGAGGTGGCGGGGGTGGCATGAGATAGTAATCTTCATCGCGTGGATAGGCTGAGTTGGATGACCGCCGTCCACGAATTTCCCGAGACGACCGGCGGTCCATTGGCTCACTCTCCTCATAATAGGGCGAGAAAACTTCAGATTCGACAACAGGAGGGCCATAAACAGACGACGACCGGCGCGCCCGCGACCGTTCTCGAGTGCTGGACCGCGAACGATCTCGCCCAGGCGGCGGGCCAGCAGTCGCATATTCCGGGCCAGGGTAGTAGAAGCCCGACGATCCGTATGATGACTCGGGATAGACTGGCGGGTTGGCATAGGCAGAGTTTGCCGGCGGCGGGCCATGCTCGTAGAAATTCATCGGTTGCTGGTGGTACATGCTCATACCTGGCAGCGCTCCATGGAAACTCACGGGTCGTTGGTTCAAATGGTAGGCGGACTGGGACTGGTAAGAGTTGGAGCGGCAGGCCCGAACTTGGGGACGGCTTGTTTGAGTGACGTTGATATCCTGGATGGCGGGTCCTGGATACCGAGGGGTGTGTGGTGAGGGTGGCATGTAGTCGGGCCCTGGGGGCCGATGTGGTGTATAAAAAGGATACTCCATCGCTGGCGGTTCCACTGGGGTGGATGAATGGTACATGCCGTTCGCACACTCGTAGCAGGAGTCGTGGTAATGCTGAACCTTGACCGAATCGCGCCGGCGACTCTTGGATGACGACCTTGGCACGGGGGCAGGAGGATGGGTAGGGAGCTGATAGGCACCAGCGTGCACCTTTTCGTCACGCGATGACCGTGAGGGTCGGTCCTTGTCCTTGAGACGATCTTTGCGGGTCGATGTTTTCCTTCCCAGATCGACTCGTTTGGAGGTGGTGTCTACCTTAAGAGGGATCGGTGGACCCCTCTCGCCCGATGGGCCCGATTGGGTACTGTTGACGGTGGCAGCGGTGCGACTAGAATAGCCTGAGTCACTGCCACCGTCAACCAGCACTTCAGCGGGGGTCTCGGTTCCAACCTGGATATTTTGGCAGCGGTATTGGCCACCTGACGAGTATCAGGCAGCGGGGCATGGTTTTCTTCGTCGAAGTCTTCGACAAAGGCGGCCTGAGCAATATTTGCCATGACTGCTGCGCCTGCGGGCTGACAGGAGGGCGCGCGCAAGACAGATGGATGAGTTCTGTGGGACGGTGGGCGACGTGGTACCTGCCACCGATCGTAGTGGCTTGGTCGACTGGCAGGAGCCAGCACCACTGCACTTTCCGGTGATTCAACAGGATCCCCCTTTCACCCCCGGAGTCTAATTCACCTCCCTTTCCTTGAACTTCCCCTGGCCACGCCCAAACGCAGATGGGCCGACACGGGTACGCGGACCAGCCGATCGCTCCGGCGATGGCAGGTAGTCACGGGTGTCGCGATGTCTGTCAGCGACCGGAGAGTGCGCAGTGGTGGTGATGGTGCTCTCCAGGTCGCAATATCTCCATCGAAACTATTGGTGCACGGGGGGGCGGTGATTCGGGCCAGAGAAGTGGCAGAGGACCAGGTCGGGCGCGAGCGCAGACGGCTAGAGTGGGGGGCCGCAAGGAGGACGGGCTCGCTCTAGACGGTGAATGGCGGCCAGCAGCTGCAGGCGCCTGCCCGAGTGTCCGAGGTGGTTGGGTTGAGATTTTTCGTGTGAGGCTCGTCTGCCCTACAGAGAGAGACTAACCAGGTGGGTGGGGTAGTGGAGATCGCGGGACGGAGAGATCGAGGGAGAGGGAGTGAGTATCGATGGGGTTGTGGAAAGGGAAGGAGGAAGATCAAAGAAGAGAGTGTGCTGGAGTTGGGTGGTGTGCGTCAAGGAGAGGATCGAGTGAAGAAGAGGAAGACGACGAGCGAAGAAAGAAAAAGAAAGGAAAAAAGAAGCAGAGAAAAAAAAAAGGGCCTGGGTACCCAACGAGTGGGGGACAGCGCGTCATATTATTATTTATTTATGTATACATCCCTCGTCCCCGTGCGACTGAGCCCCGATTCCATATCCTGGTTAGAGACGCCTGGGATCCATGGAACCGCTGTTTGGATTTTGCTCTTTTCTGCCGCGACTTGGTTCCCTGGTGATGCTGCTCGTGAGGTGGTTCGGCACTCTGCTGCCTCCCAACCCGACAGCCCGCCCAACCCTCACTTGCGGCCCAATGCTTCGGATGACTCTTCTGTCCTCCCCACCGAGACACCCAGAAGCCCCGAGAAGATAAAAGAGAGATCTTCGTCAGTTTCATCCCCCCCAAGAAGCGGACAGCGCCATTGTCACCCATTTCACCCGGGAAAAGTCGGTGGACCCAGACTGCACGCTGCACGTCCCCCAGGGCATGTGGCAGGCTATCTTTGGACCTGGTCTTTTCTCCGTGACTCACCCTTCCCTGGGGACGTGGAGGGTACCCCCGGTCGTTGCCCATAGGCATCAAGACCCCCAGCAGAGCAGGCGGCGAGGGTACTGAACAGACCAGACCCGGCTAGTTCGGTATGACATGCAGCCCTGACGCTCGATCCGTCTATCATTACTCGTCCGGGCGGGTCCCCATCACCTCCTTGCGTCCACCAGAGCTCGACCGTACCAGTCGTCGTGCTGGCTCACATTTGGCGGCCAGCGCCCCGCACGTGTGGGTGCTGTCTCGACGGAGGACGGTCAAGGGTCGGGATTAGGGTTGAGTGCCCTCCCCCGGTGCAGCCTGGGACGATGGGCATGGACGCGGCTGAAAACACCACCCAGCCGCATTTCCAAGACGATCTGGGGGATCGCAGGTACCAGCGGGACGGACAGGACGGATTCCAATGCTAATAATTCTCATGGTAACACCCAGACACATCCCGGGCACGTTCCATGACACTGGAGAACATGTAATGACTCCCATCTATTATTTGCCCGAGTCCTCGACTCAACTCTGAACAGGGAGACAGTGCGCTATCCCTTGCTTTACCTGGCGGGGGTGGCCATCGGCTTCCCAGGTCAATGCCCTCACCGCTCCTTTTTTTTTTGATATTGCCACAGGCCAAGAGGAGAACGAGGACGCGAATCTCATCCCGGATTGGGTCTTCAATCCCCCCGTCAAGGTTCTTCTTCTTCCAAATCCCTGGCCTTGTCCTGTTCATGACTCGCATCAAGCAGTTCAATTGATGGCGGCCTGCTATCGGCTCGCTGTCATCCACTCATCGAGTCGAGGACACGTACAAGTATCCTCAATCTCAGACCCGACACTCGGGGCGTCTCGGTACACAAGATTATCGAGATCGTCGAATGTTGCACGGGCGATGGACCTGCTGATCGCAATACACGCGGTGGCTGGCGCTGAGTGAGCCACATCAATACATTTCGCGCGAGCAACGATAGGGCCTATTGCTGCCAATCGATTGACCTTGTTTCATACAATAGAGTTACTTAAGCTGACCGACTGTTATTGCAAGTGACTGCATCTTGGCAAAACTTCGGGTTAGCCATGATATACTGAATGTGAATCCTATCACCTCGTGATGATGACATCGTGGTTTCTGTTTCGTGGAGATCGTGCGGTGTGTTTTGAACAGGTTGGACGACAGCAGGCACCAAGGATGAACCTTCCAGAGACTGCTTGCCAGTACTTGACATGTTTCCACATCCCGTCTGCCCGGGCTCTTTGCATGAACTTGCTGCGAACGAGATCCTTTCTCAAAACTCCTTACTTACTCGCACGCCATCGAGCGTAGCAGATCCGGTTTTTCTTCTTGGTGGCTTTTGCCACCTCTAGTCAGTAACTGCTACCGGGGATTACTTTCGAAGCAACAGAGAAAACAGTATTATGTCTCAAAAACTGTTGGATGTCGCTTAACATAGGGCCTGAGATGCCTAGTATCTGTTCATTCAGTCTCCTTGCACCGTGGCATGAAAACAATCCTCTAAAAATCTCCAACCACCTCCTACTCTCTTGGAGTTGGACGCTAATCCGAGACAGTGCTTCATGGCCCTGCTGCTAGCGGTTCCTGCACTTGAAAACCAAAATCCAGAGCATAATCACAGTACATTCCCTTGTGCTGCCCTTGAGCCTCACAGTCCCACCGATACCGAACCCGCGAAGCCAGAATTATATCTCACTGGACGATCATTGAGAAAAATGACGTTAGGTGAGAGATGGAATACAACGTCTTCCCCTAGAATCCCACCACGACTACAACGCCAGAGCCTCGAAGGCATCAAGGTCGCCAAGTCGTGGGGCTGCACAGCGCTGGTATTTGTTCGCTAGCTTTGCACTTCGAGGTTGGCACGATTGTGAAGCTCAAGATGCACTATCTCGAATAGGCATCTAGTTCGGCGGGAGTATGGTCTGGCAACTGTGAAAAGCTCTTCGTCTGTCGCTTCAATATCGATAGAGTATGATTTGGCCGCCCCGTTAGAAGAGGCAACATTTACTAAAATCAAATGGTATCTAGATAATCCCAGAAGTAAATTCCTCCATGACTAAGCTGATTGTCACTATCGTGAAGAACTCGGGTCTTGATAACGGCGGGTCTCGGTGTTCCTCCGAGAAGGCGTTTGTCTTACCCATTAAAATCCCCTCATGCCTCCAACTTCGCTCAACTAAAGCACAATGGCGCTGTCAGAGAGCAACCCCTTCCAGGTCCATGATGAGCGTTTCCGCGCGATTCTGGGCTCAGCTCCAACCCTCCAGTTACTCGCAGAAAACAAAGACTACCCTTTCGCCCACGAAGCTGGGATATACATCCCCGCGACAAAACACCTGTTCATCACCAGTAACCGATGCATTGATGCGCAGAACCAGCAGACGGTTCAAATCACCCGTGTCAATCTAAATGACGACCCAGTCACCTGCGAGGAGATCCAGTCTACAATCCTCATGGGCAATGGCGGTGTCAATTACGGCGAAGACAAAGTCCTCATTTGCGGCCAGGGCTCGATGACACAACCCAGTGGATTGTATGCCATGTCCACGACTGCCCCGTATAATGCGACACTTCTTGTGTCTGAGTTCTACGGCCGGCCATTTAATTCGGTAAATGATGTCGTGGTCCATTCCGACGGGTCCATCTGGTTCACCGATCCGATTTACGGCTTTATGCAGGGATTCCGGCCTAAGCCGTGCCTACCATGCCAGGCGTACCGGTGGAATCCTGCGGATGGGAGCATCCGAGCCATGGCTGATGGGTTTGGGCGACCGAACGGAATCTGCTTCTCTCCGGATGAAAAGACTGTATATATCACCGATACTGACCGCGTGCGCGGTGATGGGACGACGGACGATTACCGTGCTTCATCAATGTACGCCCCCTGACAATTTTTTTTTTGGAAATAGAATCCGACTAATATACAATATCCAGCTACGCCTTTGACCTCTCCACTCATCATGGCGAGCCCTTCCTCACGAACCGTCGTCTCTTCGCCATGACGGACGCAAGTGTCCCAGATGGCATCAAGTGCGATCTTGATGGAAACGTGTACAGTGGCTGTGGGGATGGTATCCATGTTTGGTCGCCCGGAGGTGTCCTGCTGGGGCGCATCCGAATTGACGGCGGCGCTGCGAACTTCTGCTTTGGACGAGAGGGGGAGATATTTGCGCTGAATGAGCACAGGCTGTGGCGGATACAGCTGGCAAGAAATATCAGGGGTGCTTTGCTCGGAATATAGTCAAATAGAGTCAGACAGAGAATGTATAGTTATCTACCCAGAATCGATGCGCAAGATCAAGATTAAGAATGTAGAAACGTGGTGGGCCCAAATTAAAGAGTAGAACTACAGAACAGGATTATTCGGGGCTCAATTCTATCCAGCATCTCAATGAAAGAAATATGAGTAGAGAATGTTGAATTGGACATGACACGGTGTGCGGCCGTGATTTGCCTTCACGTTCTGCGCAAGGAGAGGGCAATCCATCCAAAGAGGCGATACACAGCAATAATGCCGATTAAAATGCCAGCCCACTTGCCTGTCTTCCCAGTCGCATACTCATAAGTCTCTAACACCACAGTCCCACGAATCTTGCATTCTGATGCCAGATCAGTGGTATACATACACTGACATTGAGGACCACACGAGTATATTCTGTGCGAGAACTCATTAACCATCATACCTTGGAAAACGTATGCCTATAAAGATGAGTTTAGCACAAAAATAGAAAAGCCTGAGAGGAGTCGACATACCTGATAATCAATGTGATGGAAGACATATCTCCAGAACGGGTTAAGGATAGTCGGCGTCACAAGGAATCCACCCACGCTCATCCACAGCCCGTTGGTGAAGGCGACAAGGGCAAGTGCAATTACGAAATTGGGGAACACCGCTGTCACAAAGACCACAAGTGACTCTGCAGCCACGAGATCCAGGAATATCCACATAACCCAGGTGAAAAATGCTTCGAAAGTGGGCTGGAAGTTGGAAAGCCAGTATGAGACGATGGAAAATAGAAGAGAGATGAGGACTGTTATATCACAAGTTAGGCTCAAGGACATGGTCTTGAGAGAATATCAAGCACATACACAAGAACGGCAGGCCGATAATGAAATTGGACACCACGAATGGAGTTGCACTGTACAAACCGTTGACTCTCTCTTTGACAAAAGTTGCGCGGTCCTCCAGATAGGCCGGCACATAGGCGACAGCCATGAAGGACATAAATGCCGACCCGAAGAACTGTACGATAGTCAGTTTTGTGGAAGTATACATGTACTGAAAAGGCTCACAATCGCGTTGATAAAAGGCTGGATATACTCCTGTGACGGATTCAGACGTAGCCATACCGTGCCCATCATAATTGCCAGTCCTAGAAAATTAGTCCTAAGTCTCTAGGTCTCACAAAGTGGCTTCGTCACATACCGAGGTACATGACAATTCGAATCCCATAGGCGACGACATCACGGTAGCTCTTGATGAAAGAGCGATGCAGAAGAGTAGTGACGATTTTGATTCCACCTGGTCGAACCAGGTCCTCAGTGGACAGTTTTCCGTGCTCTTTTTCAGTCGCTCGGACATGCGCTGACATTTGTCTTGCCAGTTGATATACCTCAGCGGATTCTGCCCAAGCAGACTGGATCCCTTGAACACGATCCTGGGCCGCTTCCTTTGAGCTAGAGAAATCCGCACTGACAATATCTAAGAGAAACTCGGCTGGGTTTGTTTGTGAGGGAATCGGAAATCCAATGTCACGGAAATAGCCCTCCACGTTCGATATGGGCCCAAAGAAGCATGTTCGTCCACCCGAGAGTAGGAGCAACTGGTCAAACAGTTGAAAGGTGGTTGTTGACGGTTGGTGGATACTCGCAATGATAATAAGCTGTAGAATCTATGGGTCAGTTGCTGCATTTATGTTTAAATAACTGCGATACTCACGTTGTTGGCGCGAGCGAGTTCCTTCACATATGTTATTACTTCCACGCTGGCCGTCGAGTCCAATCCGCTAGTTGGTTCATCCAAGAACAATATCTTAGGGCAGGTAATCAGCTGGCTAGCAACACTGACCCGTCTCTTCTGGCCACCACTGATTCCCTTCCGAATAGGTGTTCCCACGAGAGTTGTGGCCTGACTCCGAATTCCCAAGGCTTCAATAAGAGTGTTGATGCGGTCCATGCGCTGTCGTTTTGAGACGGTGCTGATAATATCGCCCAGAAATTAGTATTTGTCGGGAAATATAATATTACAGCCTGGAAGAACCATGCCTGGGCAACGAGAGATCCGCCGCGAACTTTAACGTCTCTTGCACGGTCAACGACCCAATCAAGGCGTCCTCCTGCTCGACATACGAGGTGATCCGCTCAAAAACACGCGATTCAAGTTTGATGCCATTGACATAACTATCCCCGAGGACTTTTGCCCCCGATGCGGACCGTCGAGCCAATACATTCAGTAGCGTGGTTTTGCCGCAGCCCGAGGGCCCCATCAAGGCCACGAGCTCTCCTTAGCAGTGTTAATAGCGAACAAATGACATGAAACATAAGGAGCATACCCTGCTGCACATATCCGCTGATACCGTTGATCAGATCCAGCGATTTCTTGGTCTGACGATCTTTCACTGTCACAGTCAGGGCTTGCCAGGAGAAATCTTGCACGGTATGATTCCTCAAAAAGTGACCACTGTCATTACGCTCCAGGTCAGAAATACTGAAATCTTCCAAAGGGATCTCGTTGGCCATGGTGGTGTGGCTGCAGGGATATACTTGTAGAGGAGTCTGGAGAAAGCATACCAGATGGGTATATATATATATTTCGATTCCGTCCGATGAACCTGCATATCAGGCCCCCGCGGGGATCAGAGATTCATGTAAGCAAGGTGACCGTTCTATCTAGAGTCCCCAGGGTTCGATACGTGGTCCCCGAAGCAGGGGCGGTCATTCGTTTAGGGCTGATCTGGCTTAGGTAAGATATATGGTACCCCGGTCTTGGAAGGCGTCGGCGTCTATTGATTTTTCAATCGGAAACATCCATACACTAGTCTATCTGGGGTATGCTTACTCAATTTCAGGGTCCAGATGCCAATCCGATAATCTCGAACGAGAATATCAGTCTAACCGAGTGGAGCGCCCGAAACTTCGGGGTCGACTGGAGCCCGACTAGAAAGAAGCGGGATTTGCTTTGGGTGATAAATTGATGCAATTTTATCTACTGCGAAAATACAGCATAATCATAATGTTTCATTCATCCCTCACAGGTCCCGGATGCATAACAAAAGAGATAAGAAATATTGTATCGTGGAAAACGAACCCACCCGAACTGCAACACCGAATCACAATCCTCGATTTACATGCTAAGGAGAAGAGTGTCAGTACAAACGTCTCGGAGAAGGGGAAAAGGAGGCATACCGCTCCACGGGGCTGAGACCAAGCACCCGCATGCCGTTGTGCAGGACCTGGCGAGCCGAAGCGTACAGGGCCATGCGGGCCTTCTTCAGCTCGGGCTCGCTGCCGATCACCTTGAGCACATCGTAACTCGAGCTCAGCATGCGCGTCATGCGGAACAGGTAGCTGAGGACAGTGATGGGCTCTAGAGTCTTAGCCGTCTGCAAGAGCACATCCGGCCATTGGGCAAGCAGACGGGTCAGATCGACAGCGTGCTTCTCGGTGAGGAGATCGAAGTTGGCCGTGTGGAGTTCGTCCATGTTCAGCTCCGCCTTGCGGGCCATTGAGCACAGACGGGCGTGGGCGTACTGCAGGTAAGGGCCCGTGTCGCCCTCAAATGAGGTCATGGCCTCCAGGTTGAACTCGTAGCCATTAATACTAAAAAACCCAATTAGCACCCGATAATCACGCCGAAGATTCAAAATTCATACCGCTTGCCGGTCATATCCTGCACCATGACGGCCGTGATACCCAGGATATCGGCAGTTTTCGCCGGGTCCGCAACCTGCTCGTACTTGACAGTGTTCTTCTTCATGACTTCGTGCATCTTGTCACCGACATCCTGCAGGATATCATCCAGGAACTTGACGGTACCCTTGCGAGTGCTCATCCCACGGACCATACCGAAGTTAATGTGCTGACAGCGGCTGGCCAGATCCTTGTGGCCCATCAATTCGGTAATCTTGAAGAGCTGCGCCAAATGAAGATCCTGTTGCATCGCAACGCAATAGATCATCTTGTCGAAGTGATATGCCTCGTCACGCTCCGTGATGGCACCAATATCACGAGTCAAGTAGAGAGGGGTGCCGTCCTTGCGAACAATGATGGCCTTTTCCAGCTTCTTGGCTCCGTGTTTGCTGAAATCGACAATGACGGCACCATCGGACTCTTCGGACACACCAGCCTTCTTCATCTGCTCGTAGGCAGTTGCCATGCTTTCGGCTTTGATCTGCGACTCGCCGGAGTAGACGTCGAAGTCAATGTTGAGGCGGGCATATGTCTGCTTGTATTTCTCGATACTGAGGTCACGGAATCGGCGCCAGAGACCAAGCGCTTCCGGATCTCCATCCTCCATGCTCTTGAAGTAGCGGCGGGCCTTCTCGTCCTCGCTGGCATCCACCAGGGGAGCCAGCTCGACCTCCAGGGCGGCGACATCCTCGCCCTTGTCCTTCTTGGCCTTGATCTGCTCCTTCAATTCTTTGATCGGGCCGGCCTGCTCCGCAACGATGGCGTTGACCTTGACGTAAACTTCGAACAGGTGGTTGATCGGGTCCTTGGCCAGAGCCTCCTCGCTGCCGAAGTACTTGTAGCCGTTGGCCAGCAGGCCGTACTGTTTGCCCCAGTCACCCAGGTAGTTCATCTTGACCACGTCCCACCCCATGACCGTGTAAAGGTTGGAGAGGAAACCACCAATGATAGTGCTGCGCAGATGACCGGCATGGAAGGGCTTGGCAATGTTGGGCGATGAGAACTCGACAATGATCTTCTTCTTGCCCTTGGAGGGGTCTGAGGGGTCCTTCAGACCCTGGTTGCCGTTGGTTCCATACACCGCTTTCTCCGTCAAGATCCGGGGAGGACGGTGTGGGCCAGAGGCTGAGGCTTGAAGAAGAATTGCAAGTGGGTGCCAGTTGCTGTGGGAGGGTGGATGAGGTCGGACTCGGGGAACTTGGCGGCGAATTCCGTGCACAGTTCCTTGGGGTTCTTCCCCTTGAGTTGCAGAGACGGGACCTAAAAACACGCCGTGTCAGTCTCGCACTCTGCGCAGGCATCAATTTGTGCTTGTTGTCACGTACCGCCAGCGACAGATCACCCTTCTCCAGAGTGGCCGTCCACGCGATGCGAGGGAAGATCTTCTCGGCCTCGACGCCGGAGATCTTGGCCAATTCCTCCGACAGATGCTCGCGGTAGATATCGATGGGGTTCAACGACGGGAAGCAGTCCTGAAACTTGGACTTCTTGTCGGTGGACTGGAGGGAGAGGGCCTCAATGGAGGCGGACAGGTTCGCCATGGTTGCGAACGAGGTGCGGATATGCGCCGAAGGGGTGAAGCCAAAGGCAGCAGCAGGGCGAGACGGAGGGACGGGGGAAGGGGAAGCTGAAGACAGTCGCAAAGAGTCAAATACTCGCCGGGCCCCGCTTCGCAGACTCATAAAGTAGGGAAGCAGCGACGGAGTCACTTTTTTTTCGGGCAAGAGTCATCATTGGCTGACTCACTGCGACCGTCACGTGGTCTCCACCCGGAGTATACGAAATGCTGCCGACGGGGAGTCGAGGAGAACATGCGCCACACCATGATGGAATTCTTTAACTATATTTTGGATTGATATCCACGAGTCTATAGACACCTCGACCCACGCTCGGACACCCCAATATACACCCGATCAACGCCCGCACAGGACCGGTAGAGGAGGCGTGATCACCCTCACCGCCAGACACAGAATCCCTTAGAAGCAGAACACCTGGTCCTCCAGCTTGCTGACTGGACGCGCCTTGGTGTAGCCCAGGGACTCGGTAGCCTTCTTCATGGCGCTCACCATGGGCGGAGGTCCGCAGAGAAGGATCTTGACGTCGGCTGCCGGGGCGGGGAGACGCTCCTTGATCATATCCGGAGTGACGAAGCCCACGCCGCCAGTCCAGCCCTCGGGCGGGTTGTTGAGCACGTAGTAAACGCGGAATCCCTCGTCCTCCTGGACCAGCTTCTCCAGCTCCTCCTGGAGCAGGATGTCGTCCGGGTTGACGTTGGCGAAGATCAGGTCGACCTGGGTGGTGTCGTTGCCGCCGTTGCGGGGACGGTTGCGGATGATGGCCTTGATGATCTGGAGCATCGGGGTGATCCCAGTGCCACCAGCGATCATGCCGATGTGTCGGCACATGTTCGGGGTGTAGACCATGGCACCCTTGGGGCCGCGCACCTTCATGGTCTGGCCCACCTGGAGTTGGGTCAGGTACTTGGAGATGTTGCCCTGAGCGTACGCCTTGACGAGCAGGTCAAAGTAGCCGGCCTCGTGGTCGGAGGAGATCGGGGTGTAGGACCGGACGACCTCCTTGGGCTGGCCGGCGATGGTGGCGGCCAGGGAGATGTGCTGGCCGATCGGCAGGCCCAGGATGTCGGTGGGACGGGGCAGCGCAAAGCGGTAGATGGCGACATTGTGGGAGACCTCGGTCTTCTCCTTGAGCACGAAGTCCTGGAACTCGGTGGGGATGAGGACCTTCCGGGGCTCTGCGGGGAGTCGTGGTCAGTGTCTTCACCATCCTAGGCATGGATTGGGTCAGTCCACATACTGCTGCTGCCGAAGATCAGATAGCCACAGAGGAGGGCAACGACTGCCACGGCGTAGGGAAGATATTGGAGGGCACTGAAGTGGTGAGCCATTGTCGAAGAATTTGCAGCCCGTGAGACACTTACCTCATGGTGGGCAACGTCCTAGAATAGGATCAATCAAGACACAAGGGGGGGAAGGGGGCGGAGTGAAGAGTGGCAGTGGCGGAAGAGAGAAGAAGAAAAAGAAGCGGACGGGCCGATGGGCGGAATTGGGGAATTATTTTGGGGTCCATGTGGGGGAATTCTGTTCCCGTTCTAGTTGCGCGTTCCTGATGAGCGCAAACACCACTCAACAAACACTCACACAACCCGTCACGACTATAGTTACGAATTCCAGTGTTCCCTTTGCTGATTGCTCGACTCGCCATAATGACCCAGCCACCACCGGCCTTTCATCTCACCGAGCTTGACCACAAGCTGCTGGCCATGAGCGACGCGGACTTTGTGCCGCACGACTGGGACGAGCTAAAGGACATCATCGGTAGGTGAATCCATCAGTCATCCTCCAAGTCCCCAGCAAGTCCCGAACTCATCCGTGCCCACCTCCCCCAGCACGAGACGACCTCGGCGCACTGAAGAGGCGGCCCTCCGATCTGCGCCGATACCTGGCCTGGTCGCGGGACACCAAGGCGCGCTACGGCACCGTGATGGAATACATCTGCCAGCGCCGGCTACACTGGCAGTCCGCGCCGACCTCACCCGCGGGCTCAGAATCGGACGGGTCTAGCAGTGCCGCCACGCCCACTGCAGCTCCAGCGGGGACAGTCTTCGCCTTCAAGAACCCGGTCCCTTTTGCCGATCCGGAGGATTACAGGATCCTTCGCAACGACTGGCCCTACGGTCTCAGTCCTGGCATTTCGCACTTGGTCGTCTGGCTGCGCACGCCTATTGCGGTCAAGTCGTCTGAGGGCCATTTGACGGATGAGTCGCGGGCACTGATCGTGGCCTTTGTGCAGAAGAAATTCGTGGCCCGCCTGGCCCAGGACCCCGAGCGGTTCCCAGACCCGCAGTCCCATGTGATGTGGTTTAAGAATTGGGTTGGCCTCCAGAGCGTCAGGGCGTTGGAACATGTCCACATCCTGGTGCGCGATGTGCCAGAGGAGATCCTCTTGGAATGGTCCGGGGAGTCGGCCCCGGAGCCATAAAATAGATGTGCATGCTCCCAGAGGAGCTGATGTGATAACGACAGCGTTGCATTTTCACAGGGTTAACTAGAAAACTAGACCATGGATTTGGACTCCAGAATATATTCAATTGGTTGGGAAGAAAAGAGCAATCAATGGATATTGCAGTAAACGAAACAAGAATGCGCCAGCCAGCCAGTCCGTCCGGAGCAAAGTCAAATGTACATGCACACAGATCATAACCCACGCCATCACGACTTCTGTTCCTCCACGAACTTCAGCGCCTCCTCCCGCGAGACCACATCGATCGTACTGGCCTTCTGCCGGAAGCTGACGCCGTAACACTTCTCAGCCACATGCAGCATCTCCGGCCGGAAAGTGGTACAGATGAACTGCCCGTTGGTCGAGTCCGAGATGGACTTGAGCATCTGCGCCACAGCCGTCCGGTATTGGGCATCCAGGTTGGCGTCGATTTCATCAAAGAGATAGAAGGGAGCAGGGTCACACGCTTGAATGGCAAAGACAAGTGCCAGGGCGCAGAGACCTGGATAAGGCAAAGTTAGAGACGATACAGAAAACAAAGTAATAGTCGAGACTTACTCTTCTGCCCACCGCTAAGCTGTTGGATGCGCTGTTGGTCATCGTGCTTGCTATTGAAGCTTACACTAATACCGACACCAACGTAGTTCTCGACACTCTGTGAAGCCTCCTCGTCCTCTGAGTCCACTTCATCTTCGGGCCGCATTGTACGGTCCGTCTTGCGCTGAATGATCAGGCGGCCACGCCCAGCAGGGACGAGTTTCTCGAAGACGTTGGCAAATTCCCGGGAGACCTGCTTGAAGGTCCGTTCGATTGCTTCATCCTTGCGCTGATCCAGCACGGAGATGAGATCATCAATCGATTTTTGCGATGCGTCCAGCTCTTCACGACGGGAAGTCAGGGTCTCGCGCTGCTTGGTGAAACTGTTGTACTGCTCAAAAGCCTTCTTGTTAACGTGCGAGTATTTCTTCAACGCTTCGTTGGTCTTGTGGAGTTTCTTCACAACAGTATTCGAGTCGGTGTTCTGATATTTCGTAAACGCCTCATCTGGAAGAACACCAAGATCACGAATGTTGGCAGCACATTCCGCGCCCTGCTTGGCGAGCGCGGCCTTCTTCTGCATGCTCTTTTCCATGCGGCGTTGATGCTTTTCGATAGACCGCGCCAATTCCTCCATCTCTCGTCGGGTCTCGGAGTTGCGCTGCTGAAGCTCGGCGACGCGGGAGTTCCCTTCCTCGATCGACGTGTCCACTTGCTTCAACCGGCTGTTGAGTTTCTCTAGAGCTTTGCTAAGGCGCTTCTGCTCGCGCTGGGTTTCCTTGAGGTTGCCCTGGACTTGCTCTTCAGCCTCGTCAATATCCCGGTTAAGAAGTTGATCCAGGCGCGGGTTGAGGTTCTCCCGCAACTCGACCTCTAGCACCGACTTGCGGCCTTCGAGCTCGCTTCGCTTGCCGGACAGCTCTTGGTATTGGCGACGAAGATCCTGAACAGTGACACTCAATGACTCCAGCCGACCCTCCTCCTCGCTCGTAAGAGCTTTCTGGAAGGGCGAAGACAGTTCAGCCTCGAACGCGGTGACTTGGTCGTTCAAGGCTGCTAGGTTGGCCTCAACGTTTCGGAGAGCGCGACGTTTCGCATCAAGCGTATCGGTCTTGTTTTGTAGCAGGTCACGCTTGCTTCGCAACTCCTGTCGTAGTGGGCCGCTGCTATTCTGCACCTGTTGTTTCTGTTGCTCCAGCTTCTGCAGTTCACCAACCGCCCTGGTGATAACTTGGTCCAACTTCTCCAGCTCCTTGCGAATTTCGGTTCCGCGATTCCGCTTCGTTTCATACTCGTCCCTCCACTTGCCCAGGTTCTTGACTGCGTCCAGGCGCGACTGGCGAGAATCGTGGAAGCCACCAGTCAGAGCACCGCGCTTGTCAGAACGGTCGCCTTCCGGGGTGATTGCATTGACGCCGTGGCTGCGAGCATACTGTGATGCAACCTGCAGGTTGGGGCAGATGATGGTCTTTCCGAACACGTGCTGGAAAGCTCGCTCGTACGCAGGGTCAAACTGCATCTTCTCAATCATGGGGATTGTGTCGCTGGCTCGCGGCATGTTGAGAGGTCTGGATTGAAGACGGTTCAGGGGCATAAAGGTCACACGGCCAGCCTTTTCTTTTTGAAGGATTTCCAGAACCTTTGTCGCAGTCTCGTCGGTATCAACGACGTAGTGGAACAAACTCTGACCGGCGGTGACCTCGACGGCAGTCCGATACCGCTCGTTCACATCGAACAGCTCGGCCAAAGTGCCATAGACACCATCCAGGTTATGCTGACGCGTGATTCTTCGGACTGCTGCAATTCCGCGGCTAGTGTTGTGGTCCATCATCTGGGACAAGTTGCGCTCCGCACGGTCTACCTCTTGGGATGCGTTGGAAAGAACAGAGTCAAGCTTGGCCTCTTCTCTCCAGAGCTCCTTTCTCTGATCCATGAGTCTGTCTCGCTCGTCTTTGGCGCTCTGGACTTGCTGGTCTACCGAGTGCATGGTGTCGCCACGGCCATCAATTTGCTTTCGCAGACGCTCTGTTTCCGGTTCCAAGGAGGCAATCTCGCTCTCTAGCTCTTTGATGTCTTCCTGAGTTTGCGTAACGACTCCTTGGACGGACTTGATAGACATGTGACTCTCGCGAACCTCCATCTGCAACCATTTATCGCGCTCAGACTTGTTCTTAAATCGCGAGTTCCGGCCCTGCTTCGCATACAAGCGCTGTCGTGATGTCTCTGCCTCAGTGAGCTGCCCCTTGGTGGCGTCTTCCTGGTCCTTCAAGGCATTGAAACGAGGGAGAAGTTCCTGAAGTTCGCCTTCACGCTCGCGAATCGCGGATTGTACTGATTTCAGATCGGTATCATGGCGAGACTTCAATGCCTGAGTAGCGGACTGGTTGTCCACGAGCGACTTGGCCTGGAGTTCGATTTGGGCCAAGGCCTTGGAGGCCTCGCGGCGCTCATCTTCCAGTTGAGACTTGTCCACCTTTAGGAACTCGATTTGCTGTCGGCATTCTGCAATCTCAGCATCGATCTGGGCCATCGCCTTCTCGCCTTCAACAAATTGATCACGATTATTGTCTGCATCCTCGACGCCATTCTGTCGCTGTTCCTCGAGGTTATCAAGTACGCTGGCAATCTCCTGCTGCTCGCGCGAATAGATGGTATATTCCAAGCACCGACGCTCCTTGTCTTTCTCTTGGTAGTTTCGAAGTTCGTCCTTTTCCTCCTCGAGTTCGGCAAGACGCTCATTGATGTAATCCAGAAGTTCGTCGATCTTGGCACGCTTGCTGTTAGTCTCATTCATAATCTTCAAAGATTCCGCACGGCGAGCCTCGTAGACCTGTGTACCGGCGACCTCTTTGAGCAAAACCAGGCGTTCAGAGTCCTTCATGTTGGTCAAAGCAGTGACTCGACCCTGTGGCACGATGTAATAAGGATTCGATCGCGAGAACCCAGCGGACTCGAGGAGGTTCATTACATCGTTCTTGGTGGCGTTCTTGCGATCCAGTGTGTATTCGTCCTTCTTGATACCGATCGTTCGACGGAGCACAAGCTCAGGCTTGCCAGTGGGGAACCGATCGTCTGAGTTGTCAAAGATGATCTCGACATAGGCCGACATCACGGCGGAACCAGATCCTTCCTGCATGGGGTCAATAACCGGATCCGCGATCTTCCCGAGTGATACGTACGTGTAGAAGAGCTTGGCGCTCCTCTCTTCCGAGATGGGTGTAGGCATCGCTGAGAACGAAGCGAATAGCGGCAAAGAAGTTGCTTTTACCCGAACCATTGCGACCCACAATGACATTGTGTTTGGGGGAGAAGGGCTCAATGACCGTCTGGTCCTTGTAACTGCAGTCCGAGAGTCAGTGACATGGCGTCGAGAAGGAGTTGGGACTGTGAAATTACCTCTTGAAACCTTGGATGATAATCTGCTTGACATACATCTTGACGAGACGCGCGACGCGAAGATCCCCTAGAACAACTGCGGCATCACGCGACCGCGTGCAGTAAAGAGAAAATATATGAGCCCTGGCTGGTCGAGAAGAAATTTCCTTCCAAGGACACGAAAGACAGAAAGAAGGTGACAGGCGGGCTTGATGCTCTCGGGATTGCGCGACAGAAAGAACGCGAAGAAGCGAATCCGCGTGTTGATGGGCGCGGGGTTCTGCCGGGCGGTGAGAGACTCATTTTGATCCACAGAAAAAAAAGTCGACGATTCGATTCTCTCTTCCGTGACACTTCCATCATGGGGCCTGCCGAGACTCCTGTTCAAGCTGCTGGCCTCGCTGATGGCCTTCAGCCAAGCCATACTTATGTTCCCAACGAAGGCTACGTGAACCCAGACAGCAACGAGTCTGACCTGGCGGGGCAAAATCTCACCAGCCAACAAGAAGAAGAGGAAGACGATGAAGAGTACTACGATGATATCTTCGAGGAGGAAATGGATCAGGGCGATTTCCTATCCCAAAATCCAGCCGATCTGACCAAAGCCTACAACCGCCAACGGAAATTGAACGATCTGGCCGCCGACCCCAATGCTCCGAAATACACATATCCCAAGACCAATACGCAGAAACCGACGGTGAACACCTACGCCGCCGTGGACGACCAGGTCAAGTCATTGACTCGGCATGCCGCCAAAATCAAGCTCGACGACCAGCAGGCCGGATTGTCCACTCGAGGCGAGCGCGGAGGAGATAAATCGGATCGAGCGACGTCGGAGCAAGTGCTGGACCCGCGCACTCGGATGATTCTGTTGCAGATGATCAATCGAGGCCTTGTTTCTGAGATTCACGGATGTCTCTCGACCGGAAAAGAGGCCAACGTGTACCATGCCATCTCGTTCCCGGACAACGACGAGGACGCAGCCCCGCAACACCGAGCGATCAAGGTCTATAAGACGAGCATCCTGGTATTCAAGGACCGCGACAAGTATGTGACGGGCGAGTTCCGATTCCGCCAGGGATACAACAAGAGCAACAACCGAGCGATGGTGAAAGTGTGGGCGGAGAAGGAGATGCGCAATCTTCGACGGATTCACGCTGCCGGCATTCCTTGTCCCGAACCGATCTTCCTTCGATTACATGTTCTGGTCATGGGTTTTCTTGGCAGCTCCAAGGGACTAGGTGCTCCCCGTTTGAAGGACGTGGAGTTCAATATTCCCGAGCCCGAAACGCGCTGGCACAGCCTGTACGTGGAATTGCTGGGACTTATGCGCGTGATGTACCAGACTTGCCGATTGGTGCACGCTGATCTAAGCGAGTACAATATCCTCTATCACAAGGAACGCCTCTACATCATCGATGTCAGTCAAAGTGTCGAGCACGATCATCCCCGCAGCCTGGAGTTCCTGCGCATGGATATCAAGAACGTGAGCGATTTCTTCCGTCGCAAGGGCGTGCATACGCTGTCTGAACGGACGGTGTTCCAGTTCATCATCGCTGCTGAAGGCCCTGTAGATATGACGTCTTCGAACCAACAGATGGTCGATGCCATTGAGAAACTTTTGCGGCCCGCACAGATGCCGATGGGGAAGAGGAGTCTGAAGAAGTTGACACCGCCGTCTTCCGGCAGCAATACATTCCTCAGACTTTGGAGCAGGTCTATGATTTTGAGCGTGACGCAGAGAAGATCCGTGATGGCAGCGGCGCCGACCTGGTGTACGGTGATCTCCTAGCCCGGGGCAAGAAGGAAGAAGATGCCGAGTCTGATGCTAGCGGCGGTGTCTCTGTATCGGGCTCAGAGTCTGATGGCAGCGGAGACGAAGTTGACGGACAGCCTCGTGATCCGTTCGACAAGAAACCGCCGCGAGGGAAGCGTTTCGAGGACAAAGACGCCAAACGCGAACACAAACAAAAGGTCAAGGAGGAAAAGCGTGAGCAACGGTCGAAGAAGATGCCCAAGCATATGAAGAAGCGTCTCGTTTCGACATCCACGAAAAAGAAGAAATAGATCCGCATGTTTTTTCTTTGCATGTTCATGGACACGGGTGTTATGAATTGATGAAAATGCATATATGGATGGAGCATTTGGATATAACTACAGTGCGATACCTGCGTCATATTAGATAGGAATTGACTACAATTGATGAACAGTATCATGTTATTGGTATCTAGTGAATCACTAGCAAAGAAAGGTCCAACCGGCCTATCAGCGCTCTCTTTGAACGTCATGTTCCTTTGCTGCTATCGCCATCGATCGATGACAAGAAAACCACCTGCAGTGGTTACATCCCCACAAGTGGAGAGTATCCATCTGGCAGGGCAGAATCTGACAGTGTCCAAGGGCGATCATGAGCAAAGTATCAGACCAATTGAGCTTTCATCATCTGGGGCGCAGCTGAACCCCCAGAAAGGGAGAACGAGGAGAATAGTAGCGGCACATGAGATATCATAAACACTGTAAAAGGACAGCAAATAAATCGATTCAAATTGCTAGATGACTCGGGGATAAACGCCGCGCTAGATGAGAAAGAAGCCAAGGACTTGTGTAGAGATATTATAGAGAGTTGATTGACAGCGTGATTTATGCAACGCCTCTGGTTCGTGCCTTGAGTCGTACATAGGCCTGCTCGACGACTTGTTTTGACAGATCAGGGATCAATTCGCCTTCTCCCTCTTGGGCGGCCTTTTTGAGATCAGTTTCATAGTCGCCTGTATCCGGCTCTCCCGGTTCTTGTCCCTCTGCCTGAGTACTTTCGAGGTGGCCGCCTGAAAGGCGCAGAAATTGAACCTGCATGGGTGCTCGACCAACTCCGGGCCAGATGTCAGAGGGGAGGAAATCACCTTGGTCCACGCGGAATGCCTCGCGAGCGGTAACATCCTCTTCGTATAGCTGGTCAAGCTTGTGGCTGGTTTCGCGAAGGACCTTCTCTACCCGGTGGCGGATATGTCTTCGCCGCGCCACTTCGAGAATGAGACTGTCGTATGCATTCAGAAAACCATCGTACAGTGAATGCAGGTCGGAGAGCTCGGCAAGACCGTTGTTTATTCGGTCATGCTCTTCGTGCCAGACACGGGTGAAGTTGTGTGCCTGAGAAATATAGCGCGGGAGTCGAGTAGACGCAAGCGTGGACAGGTGGCGATACACCTCGGCAGTGGCCTTAGAGACCGACTGAAGCGCATCTCGCTGGGAGAGCATTTGCTCAAAGGTGGATTCCATCTCGCTAATCCGATCCTGGATCTCCACGACCACATCTTCCGCCTCGACTGCGTCCTTTATCAAGACGCTAACCATCTCTTGATATTCCGAGCCGGTCAACGGATCAAGAGGCGCATTCAAATTGGCATGGATCTCTTCTTCGATGTTGGGCATGGCACCCGCGCCGGCAGGGATATCACCGGTAATGGACTGGGCAGCAGCGCCGCCGCCCTCGGTGTGTTTCACAGCCGTGACACAAAGATCAAAGTGCCGTACCAGTGATTCAAGGAGACTGGCCATTTCCTGCGCATGCATCTCCAGGGCTTGTAGCATCCCGGGCATGGATGACAGAGTTAGGAGACCAGAGTCGGAAGCAGATGACGATGCAGATGCGGATGAGGACGCCGAGGCGCGAGAGGAAGCCAGTTTGGTGGCTGTCCGATAGTGGTGGAGCGCTTTCTTGATCGAGTCCAGCTCATCATCAAATTCGCGGTTGGAAGTATCCAGCTCCGTGCGGGCAGTGTTTGTTCGATCAATCGACTCCTTCATTGCTGTATGGAGCTCTTCCACGCCCCTCTCGTCCACGAAGTCGTGCAGACTCTTTGGGTCTTCGTCTTGGGGTCGGAAAGAAGAATCGACCATGGTCTCGCGGAGGAGGTCCAACGTCTTCTTTAGGCGCGTATCGGCAGTATCCAGACTTTTGAGGGAGGTCGTGAAGTCCTCCCGTCCACGATAAGAGATCTCCTCCACTTCTGACCGGACGCTGTAGAGCAGTCGTAACTGGTGGTTGAGACCTCGACGCAGAAAGCCTGTCCGCGCAGAAAGGACAACACTTTCCTCGAGAGCCGAACGAGATGACGTGACGATTTCGTTGGCGCGCCAGACATGGTTTATGCAGGAGAGCGACCGCTTTGCGGCAAGCAGGTGAGAAATGAGAGTGTCCAACTGAGGCCTCGATGGGGTGTCACGATGGCCATCATGGCCGAGTCCTGCATGGGCACTGGAGGCCGACGAAGACTGTGAAGACGCCATTTTGTGGAATGGGGAGCCGAACGGTTCAGGAATGGGGAGGCTGAAGTTGATAGGACCGTAATAATGCAAGTAGCCGATAACAAGAGCTCTAGAAGCAAAGCCTTAGCATCGCCCTGGTGGTTGATCAGGAAAATATCCGCCGATAACGAGCTTCTGCATGGCATAGAGCTTGTGCAACCTCCCACAAGGGCCACAAGAGAAGAAAAGAGCTGGCATTCAAGCAGCGATCTTACCTTGCTTTTGCGGGAGTCGGAGCTCCCCAAAAGGGTAAAGTTCACCAAGACCACTTCAATAATAGTCAACACGACGTCGATACATCACATCATGGCCGGGAGAGATATCAAACGCCCCAAGGTCCTCAGACGGCGGTCTGGGGCTGGCACCGAGCAATCACACCAGCAGGAGCAGCGATGAGGTGATTTGGTGCCAGCGGGCGGTGGAGATGGCGCCATCGAGGTCACGTGGTCGATCGGGTCAGGTGCCGCGGGTGGCTCTATTCTTGCGTGATCGAGTATGATTATTCTTCTGATGGGCTCATCGCATTCTGGACTGACTCAAGCGGATTGTGCAATCGGGGAGCGGTCTGACCAGTTCTGGCATATTTATTCGAACTCGCCTCGTCCTCTTTCCTCCATTTTTCACTACGTCTTGCCACACCGCCCGTGATCTTCTCTCGACCGCTCAGGGTACTCACCACGCTCCGTCATATATTTCACTCGCACCCTGTCTTGTCCCTCGAGCACTCCTTGTCGGCTTGCGATTGACTGGGAGAGTGTTTGATATATTCAACACTCCTGACTGCCTTGTTAAGCTCTTTATCTGGATTCGCATGCAGATGCTGAGCGTCTGAGCCTTATCGCCCAATCCCAGAGACCACATCTCGCCCCGCGGTAGCGACTGTCTCCCTCTGTCTCACCGGATACGGCGTGAACCGTCGCCATGGGCGATTCCTCGAAGACGTCCTCCAACCCTGAAAATCTCGTTGCTCCGGCCAGAGCATGGAGCGCTGAGAACACCGAGTCCAATCGCCACCCCGCGTCGAACGATGATCTGGCAGAACTTGCGAAGCAAAATGTCACACCCTTCCTGGAGAAGTACAACCCCAGACAATTTACGCCGTTGCATTCGGAGGCAGGGACGCCTTCCGGCTCCCGGCCGAGAAATGCCAGCTTCTGCTATCGTCACCAACCCGACTCGGCGTGCAGGCGTCAAGCCGATGAGGTTTCCATGGGCCAGTTACAAAAGGTATGTTTACTTGGACATAACATATGATTTGTGGGGTTGCTAACATACTGCAGGAACTCGAAACGCTCCCCCAGAGTGATCAACAAGGCATCGCGCATGTCTGGTCACTGTTCTCCGCCGCGCCCGCGAAACAACGGACTCTGATGCTGCAGGGTATTCTCGCACAGTGCTGCTTCCCGCAATTGTCGTTTATTTCGGCGAGCGTTCGCGAGCTCATTCGAATCGACTTCCTCACGGCCCTTCCCCCTGAGCTCTCCTTCAAAATCCTACAATACCTCGACACAGCCTCTCTTTGCCGAGCCGCACAAGTTTCACACCGCTGGAGGGCTCTCGCTGACGACGATGTTGTCTGGCACAGAATGTGCGAGCAACACATTCGCCGTAAGTGCAACAAGTGTGGATGGGGCTTACCTTTGCTCGATCGGAAGCGCCTTCGAGAATCGAAGCGCGAAATCGAGTTGCGGGCCACGACATGGGGCAACAACCAACCCTCCACACGCCCCGGCGAGGCTGTGACGAGCGAGAGCTGCTCCGTGGCCGAGTCTGCCGCTTCTGGAAAGCGCAAAATTGGGGCGGAGGAACCTAGCAGCTCACTGTCCAAGCGCCATTGTCTCTCGGCCGCTCATCGCTCTGAGGATGATGATGAGTATTTCAAAACCAGGTATCGGCCCTGGAAGGACGTTTACCGCGACCGATTCGTCGTTGGGATGAAGTGGAAGCACCGGCGCTGCGCCGTCAAAGTGTTCCGCGGCCACACCGACAGCGTTATGTGCCTGCAGTTCGAGGATAACATCTTGATGACGGGCTCCTATGACTCCACTGTCAAAATCTGGGATCTGGATACAGGCGAAGAGCTGCGCACGCTGCGTGGCCACAGGGCCGGAGTGCGTTGTCTTCAGTTCGATGATACCAAATTGATCACCGGCAGCCTGGACCATAGCATCCGGGTGTGGAATTGGCGCACAGGTGAATGCATCTCCAAGTATAACGGGCACACCGAGGCAGTCATCGCCCTCCACTTCGATGCGACCCTGCTTGCCTCCGCGTCTGTGGATACGACCGTGAAGATTTGGAACTTCAAGGACAAATCCACATTCATTCTGCCCCACCCTTCTTGTGTCAATGCTGTCAAGATCGATACACAATCCCGCACAGTCCTGACGGCTTGTGATGATGGGGCGGCCCGTCTGTGGGATCTCGACACTAAGACCTGTATCCGAGTCTTCCCCAACCATATTGGGGCGGTGCAGCAGGTGATTGCTCTGCCTCGAGAAATTGAACTCGAAAACCATCTAGCAGAGTGTGAGAACGACCACGTCAGCACTTCATCCAGGGACGGCGATGCTATCGTGAACACACTTTCCCCTCTACTTGAGTCGAAATCCCTGTCTGCGCAACCATCTCCGTTTGGGTCCTCCTTCGACCAGGACCCGGACCGCCAGGAACCTCCGAAGTACATCATCACTAGCAGCATCGATGCTACCATCCGCCTGTGGGAGACGAACACCGGCCGATGCCTTCGCACGTTCTTTGGCCACCTGGAAGGAATCTGGGCGCTTTCTGCTGACACTCTTCGCATTGCTTCTGGCGGATCTGATCGCATGGTCAAGATCTGGGATCCTCGCATTCCTACTTGCCAAGATACCTACGAAGGCCACACGGCTGCCGTCAACTGTATCGGCCTGAGCGACAGCCGCTTCATTACTGGCAGTGATGATTACCAGGTTCGCATGTACTGTTTCCGAGCCTGATTAGGCTCTTTTGATTCTTTGCATTTGATGCTTTCTTATTTGGAAACCCGGTGTAGTGGTTTTCTCGCATCTTGTTTATTATGCTTCTTGTCTAATATGGCCTGTCTGGACGATGGATGGTTTGGTTATACCCAGGCGCTCTTGGGAATGATTTTTTTTTTTTCACAGAGGATGTGACCCGGCGCCACATTTTGATTTGATGGGCTCTTATCTGTTATCCATGACTGCATCTCCGGTGTCCGATTCATTTGTTCTTTTATTCTCATGAGGTTTTCGTTGTTCATAGCTAGCTTTTCGCCGACTTCATGTCAAGTCCGAGTCCATCAATTAATGGAATTGTAACTATCACCAGCTTGTGTACTCCCATCTTCTGCAATAGCTTCGGTGTTAAATCTAGAGTCAAATCGGAATTGTGGACATCCAAGCCCGTTCAAGTGCGGTAGCGAGTTGGCCAAATATATTTCCAGATTGACGGACCAGATCAGGCTGTGAACCTTAACCAACCCATTTTCACCATCAGTCATCAGAATAATCCCAGGTACTGCCATCCGCAGTCAAGCCCGTGTCGGCCATGACGAATCCTCCGAGGTCAAATTAAGCGTCGGCGGTGCTGGAGAAACTAAACCTAAACGGGGCATTCATAGATGAGATCAGCCCTCTCTCCATCAGGGCTAGTCGATGATGATGAACTAACTCTAGTGTGGTAGAATGAAGTATGGTCAACGCCGCACGGTAATCTTCTCGTCTGCACCTATCGGTCTGTTTCTCAAAACTTCTGTTCGTTAAATTCGGTATCTGAATCTCATCCTCCATTAAGTGCCAGTCTAAGGGAGACATTATCTGCGATATTTCAAGATGGCTGATGGGATTACTTCAGTATCGCAGTCGGCAGACTTGCAGAGTCCATTATCGAAGCCTCCATCATCGTGGCCTTCATTTTCGAAGTCTTCATCCCCGAAGCCTCCGTCCTCAGAGCCTTCATTTTTTCAGTTTCCGTCGCAAGCGTCTTCTGTCATTGATCCTCCAATCGCCCCTATCCTTGCTGAGATCGCAAGGGATCACCCGGATCAGCTGTGGGAAGCAGCACTGGCATATCACGGCTGCCCCAGGACCGAAAAGCCCGAGGAAAAAACCACCAGATGGACTTGCTGGGGACTGAGGCAGCTTGTATCCAGGTCGATGGGGATGATTAGCATCATCGTGGCGTGTCTCGTAGTCATTGCCGTCCTCGGCATGATCTTCATATACGTCCCGCTCAACGAGCGTTCTCGGATGAAGGAGGCCGAAATTACACTCACAGAGCTGTCCTCTCTCAACACCACAGCCTCTGCCTCCATGCCGAGCGATATAGCGGACTCGGCCATTTCCAAGCATAAACGCCGCTCCCCTTCGTCTATGACCAATTTGGCCTCGCCTGCAACATCCATTCCAGTCCCGACTTCACGAACTGCGGTGTTCAACATTACAGCGACATACACTCCAATCAGAAGTATACCCCACGGCTCACAACGGCTCTCAAGCTCCTCAGATATTAGAACTGGACTGCCCCCGTGGTCTGAAACGACGTTTCGAATCTTGCCGATTCCAACAGGCCATACACCCAGCACAACCTTTGCTACTCGTCCTTTACGGACAACCCAACTTGGAATGCCAACCCCGGGTAATACTTCTTTGAATACACCAATGACTATTAACCCTATATCTACACAGATATAATATTGAAGGTTGATATTTTTAGTTGTCAACGGCTATGATATACTATGCTACACGTTGACAAAACCATGTCCTGAACACGTTGAGCAGGATCTTTGGGGGTTTGTCTTTGCTGATATTGGAGGGGAGGTTCGTTTCCTAGATGTACGGACTTTAAAAGAATGATCGATTTTGCTATTTGGCCAAAGCATAGTATCTGGAGGCTTTTACAACTGATATTGTCTGTACGATCTGCTGAACGTGGGATGCTTGGTTGCTTAACAGATATTGTACACTTGTATGATGGTCACCAGCAAGAGGAATCCCGAACGCTTTGAAATCTTTGTCTGTTACCAAGGCAGCGATGGAATATCATTCAGTGCGGACCAGTTGCTATTCTGTCTAACAAAGGGTGCAATATGGGAGGATGAGTAATGATTGCTGCACTAGTTATATGAAACAAAATGACAAACATAAACATATTTTCACACTGGCTCTTGCTGTGTCTGCTGATATAAATTGATAGAACTAAAATGAGTTAAGATTCTATATCTATTTGTTCAGCTCATGTCAGCCCTAAAGGCTGCTGCTATCTCCACCCGCGGCATCTCCGAGTGAGCCCTAAAAACCTGGCATTACCAAGGTAATTCCACGCCGGTCATCCAAAAATTGGGATATAGAAGTATCCAAGAATCTTCCGGCCGGTGAGCCCACGCCGAGACTTCTGTCATCGCAAAAGTCCACCCTAATCTTTCTTCAAATCCTCAACCTCTTTCTTCATTCGTCTCTCTCCAACATCGAGGAAGTCAAGCAAACGTAAGCCAATATCATTTCATCTGTTTATTGATGTTGAAGACACTGACACAAAACCAGCCCAATATGGCGTACACCCAGGAGAGACTGGCGAAAGCCTGCGAGCTTTTCCCACGAACAGCGAGCAGACTCGCTTTCGAGGATGTATCCTGTCCTGTCTATAACCTGAGAAAGCGAGACAAGCATGTTCTCTCTTCATGGATCGATGATGACGACAAGGATGAGGATTATACTCCTCGGGGTCGCATGATTCTGCCAAAGCGCAAGCTAGTGACTGGCCTTGACCAAGGCGACAGAAGCCGCGACCGACCTGTCAAACGAGCGAGAAGCCTGCCACTTACCTCGATGGTCACGCTTCGCTTGGGTTCCCACTCTGGCAAGGCGCTACTGTCATCGATCGTAAGCTCTCTGCATGACGTGCAGCTTAACACATGGGAAGAATACCGAACCGTCACCGATCTTGCCGACACCAGCCCTGCTGCCTCGCGCTATGCTCTCAAGGTTCAAAAGAGAACCATCACGAGCGCGGGCGATGACTCTGATGGCGACGATAATGCGACGCTGGAATTCCTCCTGCCAGCCGCGCACGACTTGGGAAACGTTGGAGCTGAGGTCCCCGTTGGAAAGCCATGTCTTTCATGTGAATATCTGGACATGGATTGCTCTCTGGTCAGAAAGCCGCTCTCATACCCTTGCAACAACTGCAAGGTCGACGGCTTGGAGTGCGAATTGACCACCCCGCCTCGCTGGAAGCGAGATTGCGAAAAGTGCAAGAGCCGTCATGGTGGCCCCAAATGCTCATACATCTTTGCCGACTGTGATCACAGTCTGCCGTGCATCTATTGTGGCGAGCCAGGATTCGAGTGCATCGCTGGACCAGCTGTAAGGCCTCCTGTCCGTCTCATGGCCAACTTTTACAACAATCACGGCAACGATGGCCAGCTTGCGCAATATGATGCGAGTTCCCCCGTTGATGAAGAAGATCAGAGCAGTGTTTCATCTAAAACCCATGGCACCGACAATACTGAAGATGATCCTACCACCAAGTTGGCGGTTGGTTCGGTCCCGAGGGACGACGTCTCCATCAGCTCTGGGCCTGAACCTACCGAGTACGATCCGGACGTCTTGCATCCTGAATCCATGGTCAATGTTGGCGAGACCTCGAATGCTTCCGGCTTACTCTCTGTTGAGCCAACTGAATATCATCTGGACCTTTTCAACCCTCGGCCAACCGTGGAAGTTGACAAGGGGAACAACATTTCCATCTCTACTGTATCTACTGAGCATCACTCGAGCGCCTTCACTGACATGGAAATTACGCGCCAGTATCGGATCACAACGTACTTTGCCCACCCCATGGAGTTCTTGTACGAGGCTCCTGACGATGGGACTCGCCCTTGCCACTGGTGCAACAACTATGCGTACGGACTCAAGGGACTTGGCAAGCGATGCGTTGAAATTGCGGACTTTGGCGATGGCCAGTGGATTGAACTGGAAAATGGCCACCAGCTGGATGGAAAAGAACCCAGCCGCATGTGCGTTGAGTGCGTCTTTGCCCGAATCCGGATCCTTCAGTGTCTTAAGCACAAGGGCAGAATACTTCCTCTAGAAATTGTCAACGGGTCGGTCGATATGGAGGCTGCGCGTAGTGCCATCCTCCGGGCAGAGAGGCACCTCGTCACCCCTGACACCATGATCGCCGGACCATCGGTCCCCCCACCCCAGCAGCCGTGGTGCTCGCTATGCCTCCAGCCGGCCACCCACTGCTGCGGCGCCCACCAGGACAACCCCACGCCGTCCTCGATCGGAGTCGGATGTGGGTTGACACTCTGCAAAAAGTGCCTTGATCGGTACATGTACCATGGCACCATCGAAGCCGTCGTGGAGCAGAATCGCACCATCCCCTCCGCCAATACCGAGACTCGTGCCGATGTGGATTTGATTCTGAAGGGGCCGTTCAATCTCATTTGGATCAAATACCTGGACTGACTGATGGGAAGCAAAACGGATGGAATACCAGGAGATCAGATGGAATGAGCGAGATGGTTGACACGCTGGTTGAGCAGAGCATGTCCTCTGATCCTGTCTTGATCTCGCCTGCGGTGGAATAGCCACGCGCCTGAATTTGATTATTTTCTCTCTTGTATTTGCTTGCAGGATTGAATTGCCATCTCTGACAAGGCAGCAAGAGCAAACTCCGACATTGAATGAAAATTCCGCCTGAATGGCGAATAATGGTATTTGCTGTGGTGAAGAACGGGTTCCTGCACAATAGACGTCATTTAGGGCTTCTGCTCAATTGAGCACCGAGCTTCAATAGCTTCGCATTCACCAGGGAATGGCCCTGGACATATATACTTCTTTTGGTCTCTTCGATTTCCCACCCTCACCCGCCTGTCATTTTGTCCTGCTTCTCACATCGTCACGCATGAGGGTCGCTCCCTCCCTCTGCAACGCTGGAGGCGGAGACTGACTAACATTTTCTGCCAGTTGAATTTGCTTTCGCTTTCTCCTCGCACGCCTTTTGCTTTCTTCCGCCTCGAAGATCGCAAATCCGACAAAATTAAAGAAGGTGAAGAGGCTGGCTTGCTCAGTCCCTTATCCTCCTTTCTTTTTTCCTCCGGTTGCCGCGAGCTGCCACGAAACGTGCGCAGCTCACCGTCACGACGTCTTCCACCAAGCGCCGAAAAGTTTCTCCAGAGCCTCGCAGCAGCCCAGGAGAGGCCCGACGTCACGGCCACTCTGAGCCTCCCTCCTCCGCCTTGCCACCGGACCGTCGCTCTTCGTCTACTTCCAACTCCCGAAGCAAGAGCTCGTCGCTCTCGCCGCCCCGCTACGTGCCGGCTCATCTTCAGTTCCCGGTCCCTGGAACTCGCCCCCAGTCCGGTGGCCGCTCGCCGACCCCCGCGACCGCATACGCTGGCCTCTCCCTATCGAGCGACTACTCTGTGATGCCGTCCGATCACCGTGACGGCTCTCCTCCGTCGAATGGCGACGGTCGGTCGCCTTCTCCAGGTGTCAAACGACCTGCCTCTGAGATTGCGGATTCGGACCCCGAGGGCGGCGTCAGCACATCTTTGGGGGGTGTTGACGCGCGCGACTCGGGCATCCTGACCGGGCCGGAAGACGATAACATCTATCCCACTCCGTCTAGCAGCGCACCCAACTCCAGCCAAGAGCACTGCAACCCCGCCTCCCAATCGCACGATGTTCCTTCGATCGACGACCAGCTGGCCCAAGTGACTGCGCTGGTGATGCGGCCTCTGCAAGATGGGCAGAAGGGCTACGTGATCTCTATGACGTGGATGAAGAAGGTGTTCGCGCGGAGCTCGACGCAAGCTGACAGAGCGGACAAGGAATCTCTCGAAAGCGAGCTGGGGCCGGTGGACAACTCGGACATCGTTCTGGATACCGACCCGGAGACTAGTGACTTCAAAGACGAGGCGAATGAGCCATATGTACCGTTGCGGCCCGGTCTCCAAATCAGCGAGGACTTTGAGCTTGTGCCGCAGGAGGGTTGGGATTTGATCATGAAGTGGTATGGGCTCGCGGATCAGTCGCCCGTCATCGTTCGCTACGCACACAACACCAACCCAGCTGGCGACATGGAGAATATCATTTATGAACTGCATCCACCTATTTTCACCTTTTTCAAGCTGTCGAATCCGTCCGCCGGCATGTCACCTCAGATGTTGAAGGAAAAGAACATGCCTGCCCCCCGGACGTTGGCCAGCCGCCAGATGTCATTCCAGAAGTGGTTGATGGTGGCAAAGCAACTGGCTGGAATTGACATGAACACCAAGGTTCGTGTGTGGAAGATTCTTGGCGGCCTGCAAAGCACCAACCCATCCGCATCAGCCACACCGGCAGTTTCCCGCGCTGCGTCACCGGCACCGGCAGCGGGCCTCATTCCTGGCCACAAAACGCTTGTCGTCGACCTGAACACTTTTCTGGCTTTGTCTGAAGGCAGCCAGCGGGTACTACTCGAGGGCGTCAAAGACCAGACTGCCAATGTCAACTACAATGGTCGAATGAGCTTGGACGTGGCTGGCCTTGCGGGAACTGACACTGTTGTCCTCGAGGAACATGTTGGCGGACCGAAAGGCGGAGATTGGGTGTCCGAAGCCTCAGCGCAGACGCTCAAGCGCTTGGGCATTCCCGCGGTCCATTCCAAGAAAGAGCTTTCCACCCAGTCTGCCAACAAAAGCCCGACTCCTAGCGGCAGATCCACGCCGGCTCCCGAGAACAGAGGTCGACGTGGTCGAGATATGGGTTTGACTGGCTTCGAGAATCTTGGCAACACATGCTACCAAAATGCGGCGACTCAATGTGTCCGAGCCGTTGAGGAGTTGACCTACTATTTTCTCAGTACGTATCCTCCATGGCTGTGTAGGTGGCGGCATGGCTGAGTTTGACCATACTAACGTCCCCCTGCAGGCGAATCTCACAAAAAAGATCTGAACCCGGAAAACCCGCTTGCCTACAACGGTGCTATTGCTAAATCATATGCTGGTTTGCTGCGTGATGTCTACCGTGAACCTGTGCCATCCAATATCAGTCCCGGGTATTTTCGACGCACGATCGGAAAATACAACCCGGCAATGTCTGGCTTCGAGCAGCATGATAGCCAGGAGTTTCTGATGTTCCTTCTGGACGGTCTTTCCGAGGATTTGAACCGAATCAAAAAGAAGCCGTACATTGAAAAGCCTGATTCGACTGACGAGATGGTGCACGACCGCGAAGCACTGGAGAAGTTCGCAACCAAGTCATGGGATATCTACAAGGCCCGCAATGACTCTGTCATCACTGATCTTTTTGCTGGCATGTACAAATCTACTCTTGTTTGCCCGGAGTGCGACAAGGTCAGCATCATCTTTGATCCTTTCAGCAGTCTTACATTGCCGATCCCGATGGACGAGCCTTTCGCTCGAGAGATCATCTACATTGGCTTGGGGCGCAAGCCGCTGAGAATTACCGTGGAGGTTGATCGAACGGCCAGCTTGAGAATGTGGAAAGAGGCGGTTGCCAAGAAGATGGACGTTGATGCCGATCGCATCATTGTGTCCGAGGTTTACCAGGGCACGTTCTTCAAACATTTCGACAGTGACAATCAATCCATTCAAGAGATGCGACTCTCGGCTCACGATGACATCGTTTTTTACGAGGTCGAGGCAACTCCCACCTCGACGGCGAAAGGGTCGATCTTGCGAGGACCTCCGAAGTTCAACTCACCCGAAGCTGATTACACTCTCGTCCCCATCTTCAACCGACGGAGGGTCGGAAACAAAAACCGGTCGCAGTTCGACATCTTTGGAAACCCGTCTTTCATCGTTGTCACTCGCGAGGAAGCTCAAGATTTCGGTGCCATCTTCCACAAGCTTCTGAACGTCGCTGCAAGCATGACGACCCGCGATATTCTCGGCGAGAGCCACAATGGGGTCGTGCAGTCGGCCCAAAGCTCCGAGGACTCGGACACTGTTCTGATGAATGCGGACGATGCAGAGTCCGCCGACTCCACGATCAAAACCTCTTCTGTCGAAGATGAGGACAGCATTGTTGACGTTTCGATGTATGATGTTTCACAGTCCTCGCCCACTCCCACTCAGGACCGAGAGTTAGAAGAGCAATCTCCCGCTCACCCATTGGCTGGCACAGTCGCCCCAGCGCTGCTCAGTCTCTTTGACGCCAAGGTCATGAAGACTAAAGAAAGTCTACCCAAGGGCCGGTCGATCGATCAGTCCAAAGACTACCCCCTGATCTCCAGTCTGATCAAACCTGCGTCCGTCCCGAAGAAAGACTCGGATGGGATGTCCCAGAACTCGGAAGAAGACAAGAGTGATGTAAGTAGCGAGACTGATGGCTCTGATTCGGAACCCAGCACCAATGGTGCCAATGGTGACTCGGAACCTGGTGAATGGCCCCTCATCTGTCCTGGTGATGCCATCTTGCTTGACTGGAATGACGACGCCTACGATGCGCTGTTTTGTGGCAATAAACGCGATGACAACGAGCTCAGAGGCGCAGGTACATGGCAGAATATTGAAGTCTTCTATGACCGCGAGCTTATCCGGCGTCGTGCACAGCGGGAAGATCGCAAGGCCCGGGGCATCACTCTTGATGAGTGCTTGGATGAATTCAGCAAGGAAGAGATTCTGTCCCAAAGTGATGCTTGGTATTGCCCCCGTTGCAAGGAACATCGCCAAGCTCGCAAGAAGTTCGAGTTGTGGAAGGCTCCCGATATCATGGTGATTCACCTCAAGCGCTTCGGCGCCCCGGTCCGTGGCATGCGAATGAAGCTCGACACCCTTGTTAAATTTCCCCTGGAAAACCTGGATATGACCGGCCGTGTGCAAGGCCCTGATGATGGCAATGGCTTGGTCTATGACTTGATCGGCGTGGACAACCACTCTGGCAGTATGGCCGGAGGACACTACACTGCATTTGCAAAGAACTTTGTCGAGGACAAGTGGTGCAGTTTCAATGGTAGGCATATGCATACTCTTTGTCTTGCCATCTACTGACTTTCGATTAGACTCTAACGCCACCGTTATGACCAACCCACAGCAAGCTGTCGGTTCTCGGGCGTATCTGCTCTTTTACCGGCGTCGATCCAACCGTCCTCTTGGTGGCCCTAAACTCCAAAAGATCGTTGATGACTACAAGCGTGGTTCTGAGGAAGGCGAGCACTCCACTGACTCGCGTGGCCCGTCACCTTCGGGGAAGGCCAGTGCCTCGGCGGCTCCTCCCGCAATGGGTCGTCGAGCGCCTTGATCGGAGCCGGAGCAGCTCACCAAGCGGGAGATGGTGGTTTGCGAGCCGGTCCTCCGGCGACGAAGGAGGGTGAGGATGATTCGCCTCCCCGGTACGGAGCACACGACGATGACGACCTCGCGGACAGCGAGTCCGATAGTGGACGACTGGAAGGTATGCAATTCACTGGCAATGTTTTCGAGCTCGACCACGAGAGACCCGACCCGCTCAGCATCAACCAGGACCCCTCCTGGTCCTTCAAGCGAGTGCCCGAAGCTCACGACTTCGAACAGATGACAGCCCATCCTCCGGGATCTTTCTCTAATGGCGTCCGCGATGATGACGATCTCTTTGACGACAATGATAGCACTGTGGCTGTGGGCGATGGAGACTTGGATGATCTTGATGCCCGTCTGCTCGATCTGAAAGACTCGCCTCCGGCTGGGCGCTCTCAGGGTTTCAAGTCCGGTCCGGGTTCCGAGGCTGATGCCTCTTTCGAAGATATCCCGCCCCTGATGGAGGACAACTCTGATGATGACCTGCCCGTTGTCGAGCTGCGTGTGGGTGATGATGACAAGATGGTCTCCGATTAATGGTGGAGGTAACAAAAGTGCGATTGGAGCATTGGGCGTTCGGGTACATACAAAAAGAAGACAAGAGGGGGTTGATCGTTTCCATGGGTTCTCTCAGACTTCCGACAGTCATCTCTGGTGGTCCTGCACGGTGGCAATCTGCTATGCCGATCTGCCTGCTTGCCAGTCTTCGTTCTTTTCGTCTGCTTCATGTGTATGTTATGATAACTACCTAGATGGTCCCGGCGGCACGGCTGGTCTTTTGTGTTCGTTACATCTTCGAGTGGATGCGGTTGCATCGCATATGGGAGGGATTCATCTTGATATGATGGCTTCTAGATTACTGTCACTTTCCAGTCGATTTCTAGATGTTTAGTGTGAAATGCGTGCATCCAGCTTTCGTCCGTTCATCCTCGAATGTGTCCTTCCTCTTTGAGGATGTAGGCTCTTTCCTTTCCTTCTCACTTCCTTTCTCTCTTTCCCTTTTTCTTTTCTCTCCCTCTCTCTTGTCTTCTCTTCTCTTCTCTTCGTTCTCTCCCTCGCCAGCTTCTTACCTGTTTGCTCAATGGTTATGGTCTTGAGCTACATCATTCACCCGCCCTCCACCATCCTCTATGGGGAAGACTCCTTCACCTCGATCAGCCAAACATCCTCGTCAAGAATGCCTCAAATCCAGGTCATTGTCCCTTCGATTCCTGGATCTCATGACAGAAACAACCGTCCAATCCTGCGCTCTGTTGAACGATCACCCATCCAGCGACCCATCGAGGCATCCTCGTCGCCGTCCGGCCTCTGCACTTCCACGCGCAACCGCGCCTGTGTCCTCAGCGAGAGTGAGATCAGTGTTCTTGATCTGGGCCCTGGGCTTGCCCCTGGACATATGAGGAACTCGGAGTACGCGAGGCTTTTTGCAGATACGACTGAGAAAGGACCAGAGATGTCTTTCATGCATGCTCCGTTGCCCTGGACGGAGGTGCCTGTTCCTGATGTCCTGCGTGATCCTCTTCAGCGAGGCCGGGTCAAAGCTACGCCTGGTGGTCGGCCTCCTGCTCTCCGTTCCGAGGACTCTGACTCGGTCGCTGTCACCTCTGACAGCATGTCCTTCAGCAACGAACACCCGCTTCGTCTTCGGGACCGTCGACACAACGACATTCGTATGGGTGCGCACGCAAAGAAATCCCGTGCTACTCGGCACACAGGATTCATGGGGTATGGATATGGATATGGATATGGCGGGTATGGAGAGGACCACTTCTTCATTCTGGCTGACGACGAGTTACACTGTGAGGCTCGTGCCCTCTTCGTCCGGCAGTCTTCCAGGCCGTCGCCTCCTTTATGGCCTGCTGTTCATCGCTCCAAGAGTTGGTTTGGTGGTATGTACCCCGAGATACCGGCTTTGCGTTATGGCCTTCCCGTCCCTGTAAACCGGCAAGAGGATGAGGAATTGTTTTCTGGAGTGGTTCTGGATGACGAGCTCATTGATGATTCGGACGGCGGGTTTTAATCATGGTCCTTCATTTATCGACTATTGAAGGATGCGGCAAGACAAATTATCAACAACGGATGGTGTATACGGTTTCACGAACACGAGTTTGCATGGGTGGCGCGTATTTTATGACATTCATTTTCAGAATTGGCAGGGCAGGGCTCTCGGTTGCATTATGATATCCAGGGACGGGAAGTGGAACGTTACGAAGGACCAACACCTAGGACTGCATGCGCATACCATCATAAAGTTATGACTTCAGCACGCATGCACTTAGTTTATACCAAATTAGTTACAGAGCATAACACAGCGCTTATCTTCTATGAAATGATAGTGCTGTGTTGCAAAAAGCCCAAGTCTATTCGTCTATACTTGTCAGCCCGCGGTATATACACCCATGAAGCACAAAATGTCAAGATATACCGCGACGCAAAACCAGAAAAATCGAAGACAACAATTCTATACCCAAATGACCAGGCGCCGGTAATGCAGAAAGAGATAGAGAATCAAAGAACTGGAAACTGGCCGAGTGGAAACCCATGAAGGCTCGGATATGACGATAAGGAAAAAGTTCTATTGGTGCAAAATGACAACAATCGTTGATGACTTTTTGGAGACTTTTTGGACGAGCTCGCGTAGGAAAGAGTATCGGCGCGGCAGGAATAGAGTGGATTAGGCCGAGACTAGCTGTTGCTTTTCGCATATATTTGGTTGTCCTGAAAGGGAATTAAAACATCGAGTCGAATTCGAAGTAATGACGCGTGTGCAATGATCACGGCATGGCGACAGGCCATCCATTGACGTAGTTCAGAGGATTATATCCTAGCATAGCATCCTTTTAAACACGGTGTGTCAGATATGAAGGTCTTATGACGTGTCGTGGCCTAATAAAGGGGACATTGAAGGATGATCGGCAGGAACAAGCATAATGTGTACCTATCCATAGGCCAATCAAGGAAAAATACTTACCGAAAATGCGATGCCAACACTGGTATTCACTGCAGAAGATATTAGCATTTTGATTACAGAGGGTTCAGATCACGAGTGTACGCACAATAGTGGTAATATAAGACGTCAGTATTGCCATCACGGAGCACGCCTTGGCCACCGGGGGCATAAACATCCCCATTTGAGCCATAGACGATGGTCCCGCCGCCGTCAACGAGATCCATGCCCGTTTTATCGATAAAGGGACCTCGTGGGCTGGTGGATCGGCCGACACGGATGCTGTACCTGTGGTCGATGTTAGTATCTGGGTTGTAATAGAGTGTTGCACATACTCCTGCCCTGCGGGTGGGAGCTTGTCCTCTTGTAAATCGCAACATCGGCCGTGGCTGAACCATAGATAGTAGTAACCTCTGTGGTACGACATAAAGGCGCCCTCGATAGCATGCGGACCTGTTGGATCCCCGCACATCATATTGGCGTTCTCGCTCGGCTTGCTGAGCGCAAGGGGCTCATAGGCCAGATGGCGCACCTCTGACTCGGCTGTGTTGGAAGGTCTCAACAAATCAGGTGTCAAAGGAACCTGGTAGATGCCGGTCCAGTAGCTCCCGAAAGAAAGATATCCTTGCCCATCAGCGCTGACCACGACACTGGGATCGATCGTATTCGACTGGTTGAACGGATAGAGGTCTGAATTCTCCCCCGTGCCAGATTGCACGACGACTCCATGATCCTGCCAATCTCCAGGGCCCGGAGAGGCGGATGTCACTACTCCGATCGCACTGTCCCGGCAGCCAGCCCTGCTGACACTGTAGAAGCAGTAGTACGTCTCGCCGACGGCGATGACGGACGGAGCCCAGGGCACGGCGCGGTCCCCTTTATCGATCACACTGTTGGCGTCCATCACACTGCCGATCTTCTGCCAGGGTCCGGCCATGTTGGGCGCGGTGTGGATGAAGATATGCTCGCCGACATTGTAGAGATAATACTCATCACCGACACGGATGATAGTGGGATCATGCGTATGCTGCTGTGTCTGACGAGTCGGAGGAAATACCGGTGTAGTCTGCTGTTCGTCCGGGAGCTGTCTGATGCTCAGACCAAACACAACCGAAAAGAAACATACAAAGGCCAATAGCGAAAGCATCTTGACCCAGCGTCGAGGAATTCCGTGAAGCCAAAGAGAGCGCAAAGACCACCCCTGGCTCTGAGAATTGTCAACCCATCCCACAGGCGGCATCACCGGCCGTGATAAGGAAGCACTCCTGGCGATCATGGCGGGCCAGGTCACTCATCGTTTGCAGTCGAGAGACGCACGGCGTGACCCCGTCTAGGGCCGGTGGGTGCGCGGTGCGGGACTAGAGGACGCCGTGAGGGATGCAACAGGGTCCACTCGGCCTGTCACTGGGGAGCATGCCTGTACGGTGTTTGGAATGCGTGGAAGATCGATCGATACTTCGATGGGCCGCGGCTCAATGTGACCGAATGCGGAAATACCGCGCAGTGCCCGCCCGAGTACGTCTGAAGATAGGCCGATACAAGGCAGGTATTTCAGTATGACTTGACGTCTCACAATTGCCGCAGCGAACACTTTGCCCGTCCTCGAGTCGACACGCAAGGGCGTACAGGAGTGAAGTGAACAGCGGATGCGGTAGGGTGCGGCTTCCTGTCGATCCTGCGGGTTCCACCGACTGGAATGCGGTGACAGGCAAGACAGCGTCGCAGTCTGGCTAAGACAAAGCTATTATGTAGGTCTGGAGTGTGAATTATTATTGGAATGCATTCAGCTACAGCTAGCGACCGAGCCATACGGGAATAAATACACAACAAATCTATCGTGCCACGATCTTTCCTACTTCTTCTCGCGCTTCGGTCCACGTCTCTAGATTCTTCCGCGCCCAGTCCAAGTGGCACCGCGCGTATGCGACCTATACAATCAATCTGGTTAGCGTCGATCGCGGGAAGTGGGTGCCCGACATACCATGTATCGTCGCAGATCGCCTTCTTTGTCCTTCTGGAAGCGTTTGAGGTCCTGGAGCACCCCGGCGCTGGCATCTTTGACGTCTTTCTCGGACACCTCGAGTGCTTGTTCCAGCTAGAGACAGGTCAGCATCGCGAAACCATCTGACACACGTTTTGAGGCTCCACATACCTGGATGAGACTTTCCTTGGTCTTCCCGATCTGGTCCCGACGGGTTCGTTCGGGGTCCACGTCCGCGAACCCATGGATCGCGTGACTGATACGCCCAAAGATCTTGTTCGCGACGAAGGTCCCGCTGGACGATTTGCGGTGCGCCGGGGAGGCGGACGGTGACGAGTCGGACCGCCCGTGCCCGGCTCCTGGCGACATGGGCGGGGGGCTGATCGACTCGCCATGGGTGGGTGGGAATTCCGATTCGCCCGAAGCTTCAGCTGCGCTTCCGGTTTCACTGCTCACGGTGGACGACGTGGAAAGCGAGCGCTGAGGCTTAGGACCTCCGGTGGGAGTGCTGCGGTTGAGATATTGCTCGATGCGTTTGGCTTCCAGCTCACTTCGCTCGAGGGAGTCAAGAAGGGTTTTCTTCTTCTCCAACTCGTCACGAGTCATCTCTTGTTGGACTCGCTTGAGTACCCGGTATCGCAGAACACCGCGCACCACGCTGGCAAATTGCGCACTCTCGCGCATGGGCTCGGAGAAGCTTGCGCTCAGAGCCGATGATAGTTCTTCGGTTTCAATGTAGGAAGTATCCGCAGCCTGACCGATGCGCTCCACTGCCGCGGCCACTGTCGGTGATTGCTCTGACAAAGAGAACCCATTGTAGCGTGCGCCAAGCTCCATGAGATCAGCAGACAGCGAGGATAGGTGCGATAATGTTCGACGGTTGACTTTCTCAATGTTGCCCTGCAATAGCAGCTCCAGTTCCCGGGTGGAGGCCTCAAAGTTGATAAAGTATGGATCCAGCTCCAGTTCGCTAAGCTTTCGTGATTCGGGCGGGAAGCGGCCTAGAACTTCGGGGCCAGGTATAGCTGGTGGAGGTCCATCAGTCGATTCAGAAGGTGAGGTAGGAGATGCAGGAGTCGTGGTCGCTCCACCAGTTGCCTTAAGCTTTGCAGAGGCAGATGGTATTGGCAGCCAGCCGTGGGCCGCCGTCGGATGAGCGGGATCAAGAGGGGGCGCCTTGAGATTGTTCTTAGGGACCGAAGACGCGGGATGAGCGAGTAGCACCTCACCCTGATATCACAGATTAGTGGATGATATGCAATCTTGCCGCGGTAACACTTACCCAGCTCACGTTTGGGTCGAGGAACCTCCACCAAACCCCGTCTTCGCGGATCTCTTTCATACGACGACACCGGTTCAAGAACACGGCCAGCATGCGTTTCCGGAGCTCGATGATTGCGGTATCTTCCTTGGCCTTGGTGGGTTTGGCAGCGTAGTCGGCCATGCTATGCTTTTCCGGAATTGGCGGAACGATTAAAGTGGGATGGAGATTGACGAGAGTTTGCCGCAGTGACGCGAATTCGGAATAACGGCGACGAACTTCGAGGTCCTATGGTCAAAGGTTTCAGCTCAGCTCCGGTCCTCCCAGCTGGACCGCCATGCATACCGCTGTCCGGATTGTGTAAACGATATAGCCCCCGCCCCCTTCATGATTTTTGCCTGCATCTGTGATGAGAATGGGCGCCTCGGGGTTCTCATAGAGGATCTGCTCGACACGACTGTCGTAGACGCTCTTCCGGGGGTATTGTTGGCTGGCGGCGGCATAATCGGCCACGTCCTCCTCGGCTTCTGGGTCGCTGAGATCGTCTGCACGGGAGAGGTAGTCCGGTGGGTCGAGATCGGAGTCTCGGCTGGAGGGAGGAGTGGCATCGTGGGCATCGAGAGCTGGGCAGGTCAGCTTGATTACATTCCAGACAGGCAGGCAGGTAGGGCGGCAGCCTGAGCTAGCTTACGGGGAGAGAGGGCGGCCGAGTGAAGCGAGTCCGACAGACGGGACTGGTCAAAGGCCCCGTAGGGGTTGTTGTCCTCGTCGTTCCACATCTTACTGGCAGGACGATAAGGAAGTCAACACAACAATAATAACAGGAAAGAAGGTACAGCTCCGACGCCTGGGGATCTGCGGGGCGCCCAACGTCACTGACTCCGGAAACGCAGAACGACCATTTGCGCAAGTCTCTTAGGTAAGCCGAAGTATACACCTTGATTCTTCTTATTCTTTTTCTTTCTTCTTCTAATAGTAAACAACTACCACTTGTTGAAGATCTGCTCCGTCTGCTCTCCCTTAGACTCTTTATTCCATTCGGTATTCGTATTCCCACCTGCTTCCTGCGCCCACGTATCGGCGGGATTGTTGTCGGTATTCTTGTTGTCGATGTTGTCCCACTCATGATTCGATGCACCTTTCGTAGGAGTCCTGGATTCGGACTGCCAATTGGCGGGCGACTGTGCCCTGGAGTGTTGCTGCTGTTGGATGTGATCTTTATTCGGCTGGTTCTGCTTGCGCTTTTGCTGTTGCTGCTGGGTTGGTTGCTTGTTCTGGTTCTTTTGCTTCCCCTGCTGTTGGTTCTGTTGATTTTGATTTTGCTTCCCTTGCTGCGGATTGTATTGCTTGTTCTGTTGCTTTGGACGTGTGTCCCTTTCCGGTATGCGATCTCCAGGCGATCGGAACTGCCGTAGAATCACATATTCGGGCTCGCGCAGCCTGGGCTGAGTCTCAACTCGGACGGCGCGCACCCAGCCGCGTCGATCGTACCGAGGTATATATGACCCATAGTCCCCCCGTTCCATATCATGATCACGACGATCTAGAGTCAGTCGGCCATGGACTTGGCTGATAAAAACCCCAGTGCTCACACGGTGTCGGTACCAGCAGTAAACGGCCCAGCCGATGCCGACCACGCCCAGCCCGACTCCGATGATTGTTGCGATGATCTCGTTTCCTTGCATGTAGAGGTGTGGTTTACCTTCTGTCGGATGAAATAATGTCAGCTGGGTGAAGAAAGGAACATACCGAACGGTTTTGCTACCTGAGATGTCCGAGTTGCGTGCAGTTTTGATGCCAGATAGACGCGAATGTTGTGGAAGAAGCCAATCCCGATGAAAAAGATATCCAGATTGCACTCAGCAGATATCGTGGTCAGATGATGCACGGGAGATGAATGGTGGTTGAAGCAAGAAACAGAAAATAGGGAGGGAGATTCACAACATCACGACTAAGTCCAAACCATGTCTATTTGCATTGCCCTCTATTTTACTTTCGGTCTCTATACATATTTAACTCCAGTTCCCAGTCCCTGCTGAATCCTTGACAGCCACTCATCGTGAAACGAGGCCTTTACTCCTATTACCCAGAGAGTCTGCATCTGCCTGTGCAGCTCATCTTGCCCAACGCTCATATAGTTTGGCAAAGGGAACTTCTCTGCCACCAGGACAGAGGCAATTCCAATCAGTCGCACTCCCACAGTAAAGGTCTCGGGTTTCGAGATCCATCCCAAAAGTCCATCTTGCCCTGCACTCTCGTTGGCGAGCTCGGTGAGATACACTAATCCCTGGGAGGCCCAGCACGAAAGATCGCGCACGACGCTTTCCTTGTATGCGGATTCCTTGAGGCGCAGAAGTGCTGGGGCCCAGACATCAACTTCTCGAACTCCGTCAATGAACAAGTTCTGCTTTTCTTCCATGAACAAAACGGTGCTCTCCTTCCGGTGTTCCGCCACTATATCCGATACGGGGAGCAGGCGTGATCGGCTATCAGAGCCACTGATACGAGGCTGCTGTCCAGTGATGTATCGAACCACATTCTCAGTGAGCGTAGGAGATTCGGCAAAGTTATCGGCGATGAACGCGGCCAAAAGTGCACTGGCATTCAACGGCCCGAGAGTGACAGCCGCGTTCGGTGATACAGATGAATAGGATAGGGCCCAGGACGCGGTAGCTGCGGCCATGTCGCGAAGTTCCTCGTCATCGTCATTGAGCATGTCGTATAGGGCAAGGTATATGTCCAACAAGATAGGGTCAATTCTCGGTGGGCAATTTGGGACTCGCAGGATCTTAGAAAAGCTGCCGAGAGATGCCACTGCAGCATAGCGAGATGTGAATTCCTAAAATGCATCTCCGTTAGTGCTGAAATATGCACTAAAACCATAGTTTTACTCACGGTTTCTTCACTCAGGGCAGATCGCAACTTGACAGCCCAGCCGCGAAGCTCTCCATCAAATGATGAGGGAGACTGCCACTCTCCAGAAGCGATGCGGATCGTCAGAAGGCAACCACAGAGACGAAGTTCTGCGTCAGTTGCGTCTCTGTTCCATAACTGAATGTTGGACTCGGGCCGGAAGCTCCCCCCAATCTTCTCCCATGGCAACCCCATGCCTTTAACAGTTTCCAACTCAGACAATAGCAATCCCTCAAGAATAGAGGCCAGATTCGATGCAGCCGCTGTCTTGATATTCGCAGGAGAGTCTGCTAGAATCGCAGAGGCGTAAAGATCGGCCAGAGGCTTTCTGTATCTCTTCTTCTCACCAATGCGCTCGACAAGCTCCTCCAAAATCCACCTAGCGGCGTCGACGTCGAATGTTACTACCTCAAGGTAGAATTGAGTAAGCTCTCCCCATTTACCTGAAACGAGCATCCTCAGCGTCATGCACCAGGCAAGCGCTCTTCGAAGCAAAGATGACGCGCGGGTCAAGCTGGAAATGTTCCAACCAGCATGGGAGGTATCGAAGACATGAGTTAGGATGCCGTGGAGATCAAATTCCCGGGATACCTCATCAAGGAAGGATGCAGTTTTAGATTCGATTTCTGCTTTGATTGCCCGTTCCACTGCATCATTCAGAATCTCAATAAGGGTAGCAGCAACAGCTGGAGACCTGGCCAGCGGAAGGATGGACGCAAGAACTCGACGTATTGTTTCCAGAAACCCTTGAATATGTGTCATCCAGTACAGGTCAGTGACAGACGAGAAACGACGCAGAGAATATCGGACACAAAGCGCTATTCCATGAAGAAAATTATCCGTGGCGGCTGATGGCGAAATATCCACAAGGTTGGACACATCCTGTAATATGTTGTTACGAGTGAGAAGAGATGCATACACGCGAGCCGCATGTTCCCTGACTCCCCAAACAGGGCTCTTCATATGCTCGAGGACCAGTGCGCGCAACATTGTGTCATGGTTGTCAGAGAACGTCGGGATTTTCTCGCCAACCAACTCCAGGGCTGGGAAGACACGCTCAGTCACAATATCAGTACTACCTCCCACAGCCGACGCATTATCTTCGGTAGGGGTAAGAAGGCGGGACAAAAGCTCAAGCAAGCCTGGGTACTTAGGAAATGAAACTCGAGAACCTGGCTCCGAGCCAGAACTACCACCGAAGCCTAATCCAGTCCCGGGAACCAGACGGCACATCTTGCTTAACAAGGCACGGAAGAGCATCAGGCCTGAATTCCGAAGTGCCCAACTGTGGTGTTGTTAGATATAATGTGTGTTCTGATGCGAGGTCTCACTTACATTGGTGATCCCAGCCGCTCCGCAGACAGAGTAAGAGCTGACATGATGAACGGTTCAGAATATTGTCCAAGCTTGGTGCTCGTGAAGATGTCTTTCAGGCAGTTCATTGCGTGAACTTGAGGCAACTCCAAATACTGCTGGTCTTTGTCGTACTCCACAGGAAGACGAGAGATATCGTGGAGCTCCTCCATGGCTTCCTTGAAGAATGTCGTTGCTGGATCAGAGCACAGTATACCGGTAACCAGTGCTGGCAGACCAGCAGAGCGGCGTGTGAGCTTCGAGGCCGATACAAATATGGTTGCTTTAGCTTCCTGGTACCATAGCCGAGGAAGTTCCCGGATTGAGAGATTATCGGATTTGCTGCATCTTTCACAGCATGTGGCGAACGTCTGTGAAACGGTCGAGAAGGCACCCCGATGACGAAGCTCAGCGAGTTGTGTGAAGCTTGCGCGGCCCACTTTCTCAAAATCCGCTCGTTGTAGTCCATCACCCCCTGGTGGTCCGTATGTCTGATTGATCATCGTAGCATGAAGCAACATACTAGACTCGCGGAGTGCTCTCCAGGAATATGAAAGGATATCCTTGGGTCCCACTGAGAGATCTTCGATGGGCTCATCGGTGTGGCCTTCGGGTGAGTCAATGCACAACACCGGCTTGACTTCCAGCCATATCTTGTCGCATATAGCAATAATTCGATCGTGTAGAGATCTCCAAACATGAGAATCATTTCCAGCTGATACCAAGGCCTGGAAGTTGGGCATCAGAACGATATATCTCAGTCCAGACATGTAGCCATGAAGTGGTGCCTCCCGCATGGAGGAAGTGAAAATTCCCTTCGGAGATGATAGTCGATCTTCCAGTCTTTGCAGAATAGTGTCAACAACTGACACTTTAGTGGCCCACCAACTTGAACCAGCAGAACCACTCCTTGAAGCGGCACAGAAGATAACATGATACAGACGAGCAACCGTGTCGGCATTGTCAGCCCGACTTGTGTTGCTGGCAATACTCTCAGCACGAGAAATAGCATCCGTCAGTTTCACACTTGCACCAGGTTGTTCGTTGGCTGTGTTAAGAAGACCACACATCAAAATATGCTGAGGGCATTGGTTTACTATCGAGGACGATGTTGCTCGCACCTCGTCGAAGGGATCAAGGATCAGGTCTAGGAGAAGCCGGAGCAAACCAGGGTGGAAAATATCCATATGAACTTTCCAGCGGTTTTCAAGTTCTGATTTCACCGGTTTGATGTCAGTCCGAGAGTCAAGCCCAGACTCGATCAATAACCTCAGTGCTTTCAATGCTGTGATGTGACGCGCGTACGACGCCGTGACACAAAGGTCTCCTGCCAAGAAGTGAATATATGCCCTGAGGAAGGACTTTGTCTCTTCATCAGTTTTGGCCAGGTCGGAAACCTGTTTCCCAGGAACCTTTGTAGAATCACGCTTCAAGATTCCACCTTTCAGACGGACAATAAGCTTTCGCGTCAAGCCCAGCACCTCGCCTCTTGTGTAGGAATCCGAGTCGGCGTGAATTGATGGAAGCCCTCTGAGTATGGCTTTAAAAGCCGCCGGTGTGAGCGGCTTCGTCGTCGAAACAGCTGTGATGAGCAGTGATAAGGCAGCAAGTCGGATACTAGGCTCCCGGTGGAGTAAGAATTTGCCAATGACCTCGCTTCTCAGCACTAGTGTCGACGCAGCACTATCTGCGAATCCACTAGCATCGGAGAGAGGGTCTGACGATGGTTAGTCTAGATCATGGAAGATTGATAAGAAGCATTCAACTCTTACGGTCATCATGGACAAGATTGATCTTCTTGCCAACTCGAAGAGTAGCAAACAACAACATGTACTCGTCGAGTGGAGCTTCTGACATATCACCCTGCAGCAGGCTTTTCAAAGGGAGCGTCTCGACAAAGATCCTAAACCCACTAGGGTCAACGGTGAATAAAGGCTCCAAAAGCTGGTTGCACTGTGTTTCGAGAGTATTCATATTCTGAAGAACCAAGTGCCTGGCAGGAGTGACCCAAATAGTCGACAATTCGTGCTGCGATACATCGGGCATAGGTTCGGTCTTCATCCTTTGTAGGAAGGCTTTCAACAGCCCACCTGATGAGGGCGCCATTTCCTTATTGTTGGTCTGAGTGAGGAGTCCAAAGACGAAGACCTTTGCCGCCATTTCGTCGGACAGCTCGTCCGGTGTGATACTGCTGGTCGGTTGATTGCCGAGAAATAGGGCAAAAGAGTCCTTTCCAAAAACAGAGACGCATCTTTCCATGTTTGGTGCGAGCCACTGGCGGGCCAACTGGAGGAGCTCGGAAGGGAGAATGGCGCCCTTGCGAACGAACAGCTCCAGGCACACCAGGCAGCCTTTCAATCGCGATCTTGGTTCGCCGAGCACAATGCTAGGAATTACAGCCTCGACAATCTTGCTCTGGATCAATCTGCGGTTGGGTCCATGATAATGCTTAGCCACAATGGAGGTTAGTGAGGCCAACAACTGCCTCAAAGGCTTCGGCTTGGCATCTTCGTATCGATTCAAGAATACATGAAATAGAGCTAGCCAATTGTCGGATATCAGCATCAAGCGCTTGGTCTCCTCATTTTGGGAATTGATCGAAGAATCAATAAATGCAATGACCGCAGTGCAAGCAGCCGAGGTATGCTGATGCGAGAGGGACGGAGTTGATAGTGTTTGGAGCAGAGACTGCCACACCCGGCTCACTTTCCTGTCGACCGAGTCAGCTTCTGCTTGTGCATGTTTTTGACCGAACCTTACTGATTATCGTCGCACGTCAATGCGTACTGAACGAGCGGGCCACGGGCGATGTCTTGAAGTGTCTTTTGGGGCACAAATTGTACCCTTTGTGCGATATCGTCCATGCCGACGGACACGGTGCATGGTACACCGTTAGAAGAATCCTCATCCATCAAGACAAAGTACATACATCGATGTCACTCGATGATTGATTTTGGATGTGGGATTCCCCATCAGGCCTAGTGTCGGCTGTACGTTCTTCCGAGCTCAAGTCACGGGACCCGAAGTTTTTTGCTGGCGATCGCGAAAAGGCGGAAAGCAAAGCTGGTGATCCTCTGTCTGTCCTTCGTACCTTCCTTGACCTCCCCCCCTCCTTCGTCTCCCTTCATCATCACAATGCCCATCTGGGACTCACTTGGCGGTCGCAAACAACCCCAGGGCTCCGAGTCCTACGACCCTTCCACCCACCAGGATGCCACCTCCTTCTTCTCCGAAGTCGCCATCCCCGACCCGACGAAACTGCATCCTCTGGCTGGCTTGAACCAAGACACGCTCGACTACCTCACCCTCGAAGACTCTGCCCTCGATGAACTCCCCGGCTCCCGATCACTTCTGCCATCCCGGGGCTGGTCCGACGACCTGTGTTACGGTGCAGGCACGACCTATCTCACAGCGCTCACCCTTGGGGGTGCATGGGGACTCGCGGAGGGACTCAACAAGACACCTGCGACTGCCCCCCCAAAGATCCGTTTAAACGGCGTTCTCAACTCGATTACCCGCCGCGGCCCGTTCCTAGGCAACTCAGCCGGTGTAGTGGCTATGGTGTACAATGGTTTTAACTCAGCCATCGGATACGCGAGGGGCAAACATGATGCTGCTAACAGCATAACGGCGGGGGCTCTGAGCGGGATGCTCTTCAAGAGTACGCGTGGTGTGAAGCCCATGATGATCTCAGGTGGAATCGTGGCCACCATTGCTGGTGCTTGGACCGTACGTCTGCCTCCTCTCTCTGGCTAAATTCTCTTCCCTAACATCCATCCTCCAGGTGACGAGAAGGGCCATCTTTTAAATCTCTGGCATTGGTCAGTTCTGATCTATCGAACTCTCCGGTCGTCCGAACTTCTGTATCCTCGACGCCCTCCTTCCATGACCTCTATCGGCGGCGAACCACACCCACCTCCCTTTCTCTTTCGCCCTGCGATGTATAACTAACAACGGCTTTTGATTATCCCCAACCAATCTCTTCACTCCGGCGCTTAAAGCGCTCAAAGCATCCATGTTTCGCATTTTTGTGTGGGTTGGTTACGGGGTTGTTACTGGGTTTGTACTTTTTTTTATTTCCTCTGTCTGTGTACATAGAAAAGTCTCATGCATATTTGGGGTTGATTCGCTACGACGCTCCAACAGCGTCTCTCCAGTGACGTCTCCTTAATTTGCCAGGGACTTGAATAGAGAAATCTTCTTGCATCTGATCAGGATGTCTTACGGGTCTCGGTTTTGCTATTGCGCAGCAGCTCAACAGCACAACCTCATCGTTCCTCTGCAACCCATCCTAGTCGCCTTGGTTTACCCGCTCAATTCAAATTTGGGACCGCGATTACGATTCTTTATGGAACTATAGAATGTATTACTACTATACAAGTTTTCTATTTAATCGTGTTGACAGGTGGTTCCGCTTTAGTTTTATCCATTATCCCAAGCTTCACGAGTCTGTAGTCTCCGAATCGAACACATGGACGGGCAGTGGCTGAGGATACTCGATCGGGCTGCAGAGACCGGCATGCCGTGTCCGTCTTGGCCTCGACCACCCAGTCTCGATCTATCAAGTGAAATTGGGAAATACAAACCCTATGGTGAATTTTGGAGTAGTAAATTCCCTAAAACGAAGCGTTATTGCTGCGACAGATTGCAGTTAGCAACGCAAGGATGGCCGGGTGGATACCCGGAGTAATATATATCATGGACGACTGCAAGCGATAAGAAGATATAAATAGTGGCAGGCTTGAGCGACATATGCTAGAGTGCATCCACTGGCAGATCTAATGTCAAACACGAATGTCTTTGTCGCCTATAGTACCATGTATGTAAATTTTGCCACCGAACTTGGCGAGATTTTTCTGCACTCTAAACGGGCAGTATGAGTACGCTCCAACACCATGACATATTAGTTATTAGACCAGATTTTCATGGCCCCTGATCTGCCCGACGTGATCTAAAGGCTATTTATTCCTCGCCAATGGCCATCGTTATGAACAACAATTAGCTTCGAGCCCTAACGTAGATCCCAGCAACAACACCGGCGAACGCCGACAAAGCGGGGACTCGCCAGAACAATTTTATCACGTACCCTAGAAGCTTCATCCTCTTCCGGTTCTCCACCCCAGCCTTGTGATGACCGATACTACAACGAAGAATGCAAAGACCCGAAAAGCGCGCAGCAAGACCTTTACAGGCTGCTGGACCTGCCGCGCGCGCCGGGTCAAGTGTGACGATGTGCACCCTCATTGTCTGCGGTGTCTACGCAGTGGATGGCAATGCCAAGGCTATGGACTGCGATTGGGATGGTCCCCAGCCCCGGGCAGCCGATCTCATCGCCGTCAGCTGTCGCCGGATCCACCACCGGCGCATAGCATGTCTGCGGCGGCTGTTACGGCGCTTTTGGCTGAGCTGGACGGCTGCTCTGCGGATGGCAGTGCCCAGCAGCGAGGGCCTTTCTCGGTGTTCTCCGTATCAAGTGTCGGCCTGAAAGATACAGAATACATCGGACATTCGAATTCAGCGCTGATTCTCTCTGGCTCGCATGATCATAGAGAAAGAAAGGCCCAGACAATCCCCGAACCTGGCGCCGGTGATTCAACAATAGGCACAGGAGATAGTGACCAGCCTCCTTCACTTGCATTGAAATCAGAGGAGTCCTACACTTCTGCGTCGTCATCAATTGCTGAAGACGACAGACAGATACTCCCAGATCCGCCCGAATCTGTCACAACGGCAGACGAGGATTCTCGATTCGCCACTCCCTCATTCACGACCGACCAAAAAAGTCCCTACCAAAATCTTAATCCTGATCTCGACAAACAACTTGCACTAATCAGACATTACCAGGGGAGTTCGTTAGGTCTGTCGCCTTCGACTACCTTGAATCCCTTTCCACTACCGCAAGCCGAGACTGAACTGGTCCACCACTGGGTTGTCTTCCTTAGCGGAAACATGCTTCTGATCGACACCCCGGATAACCCCTGCCGTACAGTGTTCATGCCAATGGCCCTGAAAGGACTTGACGCTCCTACGACAGAATCAAATATACACCTGTCCATATTCCACGCCATCTGCGCCTCTTCTGCCTTTAGTCTCTTTCATATTCGCAAAGACACTCGATATCAGTCCCTCGCGGTGAATCACGACCAGCAGGCTCTGCGTCATCTGCGCTGCAACTTGCAACGAGCACGTCGAATGAATGAACCCACATTGGCAGCAATCCTTTCCTGCATCACTGCTGAAGCCATGTCTGGTCGACGAAGTCGATGGCGGGCCCATGTGGCCGGTGGACTAGGCTTGCTAGAAAATGAAGTTCATGATGAATGGTTACGCAGTCCAACCGCTTCTCGTTTACTCCAAAGCTACCTGTCTCTATCATCACTTTGCAGCTTGCCCATGTCATCGCAGCTTGCCTCGCTTCTCAATGGGCCTTCCGAGTTACGGCACTACTTGGAACAATCCCATGGGGTTACAACACAATTAGTCCAGTTCCTTGCCCATGTTAATACGCTCATCGACTCCCACACCGTAATACATGCTGACATGTTGGATCGTCTTGAGCTGGAGCTCTATCTCAATTTTCCGTCCTTATCCACACCAACTACTACGGACTCCATCATCATCCAGCATGCTTTGAATGCATTCTACTATGCAACAATAGTATATTTCCGCCGGACATTACGCCGCGTGCCACTATACGATGTCCAAGGATTGGTCGAAAAGGCTGTTCAAGAATTGGAAGCCGCCGATGCCTTGACAAACGGGAGAGGCGGCTGTGCTTACAATTGGGCATGTTTCGTTACTGCAGCCGAATGCGAACGACGGGATCTACAGACTCGCATGCTGGCCTATTTCGACCGAAAGAGTCGCCACGGTATCCAAAATATCAATGTTCTCTGCGAGATAGTGCTGGCACTATGGCATCGACGAGCGAAAGCGCCACCTGAGACAGATATTCAGTGGCAGGAGATCGCGAAGGAGACAGACTTTGATATCATGCTTGTATAGATACAACACTCATAATAGATGCCAATAATCTACACTGTGTATCCTCCATCAGCCACCAGTGCTGCTCCACACATGTAACTGCTCATGGGGGAAGCGAGGAACAAAATTGCGTCCGAGATTTCCTCGACCTGGGCCGGACGCCCGATGGGGGTCATCTCGAACTGGGGATTCATCGAGCCGGACTGGATCTGCGCGCTGATAATAGGGGTGTCTACAAACCTGGGAAATGTCAGTATATCATAGTCTTATTTTCATAGGCATGTATACCCCGGGCAGATTGCATTGATTCGGATACCCTGTCGGGAATACGCTTTTGCGTCCTAGTGTGTGTTAGTGATGAGCCAATGGCCTGTACTGATGAACTGTACCATCTTCGTGACGCCAACCACCGCTAGGATCCATTAGATTTCGGTCAAACAAGAAGAGGCGCTCTACATACCATGCTTTGCCGCCGTATAATGAGGGATACTGAAAGGACCCGGAGGACCCCCAACGCCGAACATGGACGAGACATTGACGATCACACCACGATCATGACGCAGACCGCGCGATCTGGAACAGTTTAGTGTCTTTTTTTTTTTGCAAAGAGAATTGATTTTCTCTCACGTCTGACTGAGCATCTGTCGAATCAGTGCGCGTTGACAGAGCCACACACCTGTCTGGTTGACATTGATGACCTTCTGCCATTCTTCTAGGGGCATCTCATGAGTTGGAGTCGGTGTGCCGCTGATGCCTGCACAATTGATCCCAATGTCAATGCAGCCGAATATTTCCACTGTCTTACGCAGCGCTTCGTCGACTGACGTTTCGTCTGCGACGTTTACCTTCATGATTTCAACCTGAACATTAGGGTATTGTTTCTGTATCTCATCACGACTGGTTTCCAACAGTGGCAGGTTGAGATCTAGAAGAGCAAGCCCGGTGATACCGTTCTTTGCAAAAGCAATTGCTGTACTTTTGCCAATTCCTTTTGAAGTTGCTTAGCGGTACCTCATGTACACTCATACAGGGTGGCTGACTACCTGATCCGCCTCCAGTGATGAAAGCAATTCCTTCAACTTGACACGACATGTTGATCATATTTGAGTTGACGACGCGAGCTGCCAATAGAACTAAAATTTGGAGAGATACGGCCTTTATTGTGCCAGTGCTTGGAATAGCAAAGTGCTCGGAATAGCAAACGCGGGGCTTCCACGAAGCCTGACTTCGGCTGTTCTTACTCCTGACCAGGCCTCGGATGCGGAGATGGCATGATCCGAAAGACAAGACCCGCAAAGCCCTTCTGAACATAAATGGTAGTTACATTATGTGTCAACATGAAGAATCCCGGTCTGGGTCGAGTGGGGCCAGAGTGGGTTCGATACTGAAGCTACTCGCCGTCGGCTTCCTGATTCTATCGGGGACCTACAACGCCGATATCTACTACCAAGACTCGGGTTCAACTACTGTGTCGGATGCTGCACAGCCGTCTGGTAAACGGCGGCGTAATGAAAACCGCAAATATCTGCTCAGTACCCGCAGTGGAAATGCCCGAGTAGGTCAAAAAGAAGCTACTTTCCTTGATCAAGGGCTCGTTGTATAGCTCCAAAATCATTTTTTGTTCCTTTCCCATTGAATATCCTGTTCAGCAAACAACATGACCCGTTCTGATCCCCAGATCAACATGGACGCCATCGTCATCGGAGGTGGTTTCGGCGGCTGCAACTCTCTCTACAAGCTTCGCAAGATGGGCTTGTCCGTGAAGCTTATTGAGGCGGGCAGTGCCTTCGGGGGCGTATGGTACTGGAACAGATACCCTGGTGCGCGTGTCGATTCCGAAATGCCATCGTATCAGTTCAATATTCCTGCTGTCTGGAAAGACTGGAATTGGTCCGAGAGGTTCCCAGGAGACGATGAACTGCGCCAATATTTCCAGCACGTTGACTCGGTTCTCGGTCTCAGCGAGGATACCTTCTTCAACACCGTTGTGACAGGCGTGGAGTACGATAATACCACCCACCGATGGACTGTTCACACCAACACTGGGCTACAGGCTACCTGCAAATACCTGATCACCGCTACCGGGTCCTCCTACAAGAAGCATTACCCGCAATTTACCGGCCTGGGCACCTATGCAGGTCAGCTTGTTCATTCCGCTGACTATCCTGACAAGTTGGATGTGAAGGGCAAGCGAGTCGGCATCGTCGGAAATGGCGCTTCGGGCCTCCAAATCGTACAGGAACTGGCCAAACAAGACTGCCAGCTGACGGTTTTCATACGCACGCCCTGTTTTGCCATTCCGATGAAGCAGCGTGTAATTTCTCCGGAAGAATCCAACATGCTCAAAGGCTACTATGACGGTCTTTTCGAACGATCCTACAAGTCTGAGGCAGGATTTCCGCACAACACTCTGTTCCAGTCCGCGCACCAAGCCACTCCCGAAGAGCGAAATAAGCTTTTTGATGAGTTGTGGGAACGAGGCGGGTACAGCTTTTTGGTGTCCAACTACTACGACTTCCTGCTTGACGAAGGGGCAAACTCCATCTTCTACGACTACTGGGTCCAGCAGGTGCGCGCCCGTATGACCGACCAAAAGAAGATGGACATCGTGGCGCCGCTTAAACAAAAGTATCTTGTCGGGACGAAGCGGCCTAGCTTGGAGCAAGACTACTACGAAATGATCGATCGCCCTAATGTCGCGCTGCACGACTTGAAGAGGTCCCCCATCGTCGAATTTGATGCCAGCGGAGTAGTGACTCGCGATGGAGACGCGACACAGCACCATGATTTGGATGTCGTAATCTTTGCTACTGGCTACGACGCCGTCACGGGTAGTCTGCTTGACATGTCGATCACCGATAAGAACGGAATTCCCTTGGCAAAGAAGTGGCAGAACGGTGTTCTCACCCATCTGGGGATTATGGTTCCAGACGCACCGAATTTCTTCATGGTCTATGGACCCCAAGCCCCAACATCCTTGGCTAACGGCCCACCGTTTATTGAGATGGAAGTTAACTGGATCTGCAACGCAATTGGCAAGATGGAGAATGACGGCCTGAACTCAATTGAGCCCACCCTCTCTGCGGCAAAGGCATGGCGCGACCAGGTGGTTGCTGTTAGCCAACATACATTGTATCCGAAGACTGACTCATGGTACATGGGGACAAACATCCCTGGTAAACGGCGAGAGCCGCTGATTTACTTGGGTGGAATACAGAGCTGGTGGAAGAGCTGTAACGCGGCATTGGATCGGTGGGATGGGTTTCAGACAGAACGTTGAAACAAAAGACAATGTTTCCTTATCGCCTGAGTGTCATTAGTCCTCTGAAATATACATACACATATGCATATACTCAAGGCAAGCCCTCAGAAATGGGTTCTAAAAGTCTACTTAGATCCTAATCAATTAGAATTTGCTTGCCTACCACATTAGTACCAAAGCAGTATACTTCATCCATATTGATTTATCTTAATTTGTACTCGAATATTCTATGTAGACTATCTCCGCAGGCCTATGAGCCTTCACCTTCGACTGAGCCCTATTGTCGAAGAACTCAAATACTGTATGGCATACCTCCTCGGACTCATAAGATAGCCAGCGCATTCGGCGGACTTCCTACGCTGCCAGGCACATTCAATGGGCACGAGGTGAAAAAGAAACTGTAGCGGCCAGCTGCTTTACACTTCTCAGCTAGCTCTTTAAGATACCACAGCTCACCCAGCGGAAGGCCAAACAAGCTGAGACACCATTGGTGTAGAACAAGATTCGTTGGCGGCTTCTCTTCCCCATCTACGATGGGTGGCATGGCTTCAACTGCAACATTGTCGCTAGCAACCGCTGCAAAATGCTGGTTCCAAATCCACTTTGCCATGTCTTTGCTTCCTTCGATGCCACAGAAGCGGGTACCAGAGAAAGCTGCGGCTTGTTCTTCACCTGTCATGTTACCGAGTGCCTCTGTGAACCCGAACCGGATGATCAGAATGTCCCCTGGTCGGAAAGTTACTCCTTGAAAGGCAGCTACAGCCTCAATATCGGCCATGCCAATGCGAAAACCGGAGAATGGCGAATAGGAGGCACCTTTCGCTTCCGCGTAGGATTTGAAATCGATCAGTACACCTCGGCCAACTATGCAGCCCCGGTCGTGCCAGTCTGGGATAAAGGTTAGAGTGTTAAACCCATTTCAAATGCTCAAAGCAGGACTTACGGTTTATCGTGGGAAGTTTTTGTAAAGCCTCTGTCGAATTCTCCAATGCTTCCACTGTCGGTTTGGCTCCATTATACGCCTTGCCACTAGCAATGTGAAGGAAATGACCTAGGCGATGTTAATGTTTGGATTAAATTAATTGACTGGGAGACGGCACGTACACAAACTATCCCACTGGCTACTGGCTTGTGTATTGAACTCGACCTGAAGTAAAAATCAGGCTTTGTTTTGAGCGACAAGAATTGACAGACATACTTCGTCGTCAAATCCAAAATGTAAATCTGCCTGCTGGTCCTCCAGTTTCATAACTCGATGCGAGAGGCTTTTGCGCCAGAAGTTCGGTATTTTGATGCTCCCGATAGGCCAACTATTAAAGCAAGGTTAATGTCTAGTATCGTGGTCTCCGTATCTGGCAATAACTCACTTCAGTGAAATTGAGATACCCTCATGGACTTCTGTGGCAGCCGCCTTGACGACCTCCGGGGTGAGTAGATTGAGCGTCCCATATACGTCCTTTTTGCCGTCCACGTCGAAGACACCCCAAGCACAACCCTGGGGCATGCCTTCGACGGGCGGCAGATCGTCGAAACTTGGGATGTGGGCTGGCACCATGGCGTGTGTACCTGGTAAAATGTAGCGACTGTACTAAGTATTGACTGGCTGAAGTGAGAGATTCCGAGTGGTACAGGCATTGACTTAGGGCTTATCGATCACGCGGGGTCCCTCGCTGTGGCCTGCCAGAAAGAGCTGCTCCACAATCTGCTTCAACGACAACAACGGGCACAAATAACCATGAGCTCCGAAACGGGTGAAATATTAACATTGGGTCCGGAACGGTAAGATTGGAAAATGCGAAGACATAGGGACCGGAAGCTCCACTGCCGAGGGGTTTTGGACAAGGAAGGATTTAGTTAAGACGGCTCACGTCCTGTCCATTCATTCTTTATTCTACTGCTTGCTACTGCTTGCTACTGCGATACATCTAAAATGACTCTTCAATATGATCCCGAATTTGCTAGCCTAGCAGGCCCTGCGCTGCAGCAACTGGCCCAAACACCGAGACCCGCCGTGCACGACATTGCAACCAGAAGGGCCATGATGGAAGCCATGACAAATGAGAATTTCGAACTACCGAATAATGTCGAGAAAATTACTCATCACGTCCCTGCACCAGACGGTCACCAGGTGACGGTTTACCACTTTCGACTCAGGCGCGAGATTCGAGAAGCAAGAGAGCCGGCAATTGTTCACATCCACGGCGGCGGATTTATCGCTCTGAGCGCAGCGCAAACTTCGGAACCCTTAGCTATCGCAACAGCACGCACTGGCGTGCAGATTTTCACTGTGGATTATCGTCTGGCACCGGAGCACCCGTATCCTGTGCCACTCGACGACTGCTGGGCGGCGCTACAATGGGTTTACGAGCATACGGGACAGCTCTCAGTCGACCCCTCTCGTATTGCCGTTATGGGGGAAAGCGCTGGAGGAGGTCTGGCCGTAGCCCTGGCCCTCAAGGCGCGGGACCATACCCTTACGCCGCCGTTGGCAAAGCAAATATTGATGTATCCCATGCTGGATGATCGCACAGCCACCAACCACGCCGGTGATCTGGCATTCTGGACATTGGACGATAATATCACTGGATGGACCGCCTATCTAGGATCGGACGTAGGCACAAACAAAGTGGTGCCTTATGCCGCTCCTGCTCGGGTTCAGAGTGTGGAAGGACTGCCTCCGCTGTACTTTGACTGTCCGCAGTTGGATATTTTTGTCCATGAGGGAGTTGAGTATGTGCATCGATTCGTCACCGCCAACATCCCAACGGAGTGCCATATCTATCCGGGACTGCCTCATGGCTTTGAGGCACTGGCTCCCTCGGCTAGTATCACGAGTCTAGTAGTAGGCAACCGTCATAAAGCAATGTCGAGTTTCTAGGAGCATGTCCATAGACAAAAAGAATGAACAAAAATGAATCCCGATTTATAGGGTTGTCGTCATATACAGTTAGAGGGTTGGCAAGGCAGGCCCACTGGGCTTTAATTACCCGTGAACTCGGCTGAAACGGAATGAGGAGATGCCGGGCCCGAGAGGAGAATCTGTTGGTAACTATTATATAAGGCTAGTATGGCAAGCCCCATTGTCAGTCAGAAATATCTCCGTCAAACCTACAATTTCCGAAAATGTCTACCACTCCAAGACCTAGCCATAATACTCTGCGCAAGGCCGTAAACAATCAAGTTGCCATAATCACCGGTGCTGCCAGAGGTATTGGCTTTGCGACAGCCTCTCTCCTTGCACAGAATGGAGCCCGGGTTGTCCTCGTGGATCTGCGAGAGGAAGACCTGAAGAGTGCCTGCGCAACCATTGGGCCCCAATCAACTTATCAGGTGTGCGATGTCAGTGACTGGGACCAGCAGGTGGCTTTGTTCGACCGTGTCGCCAGTACAATTGGTCCGATCGACCTGCTGGTTTGCAATGCGGCCGTCAACCCTGAGATCGCCCTCCTGCAAACATCTGATGCCGCAACCCACGCTCAAATGAACTCGCAAGTCCTACACAATTATTTGGCGGACGAGCAAACCATGCACGGCCTCCAACGTCCCTCAACAAAACTATTCGAGATCAACGTGGACTCAGTTGTGTTTGGACTCAAGCTCGGCATCCATTACATGAAGAGCCACGGCGGAGGTCGGATCGTGGTCGTTGGATCTGCCGCCTCCTATGTCCCGGTGTCCTCGCAACCACTCTACACGGCGACCAAGCACGCGGTGCTGGGGCTGGTCCGCAGTACGGCTCAGATTCGCGAGGTCACACAGTCGGGGATTTCCATCTCCTGGGTGGCCCCCTGGTTGACCTTGACATCGATGGTCCAGGGTCTGGAGGCGGCATCTCACCCGGACACGCTGAAAAGCTCCCCAGAAGATGTTGCGTGGGCCATTGTCGCTGCAGCCGTGGCCGAGTCGGGGAATGGCAAGGGATACTGGGTGCAGGGAAAGACGGTCAGCGAAGTCGAGGGAGCCTATGGCCGACTGGCCGGAGAGCTCATTCACCCGGAGAATCGGTTTTAGATTGGATGTTGTTCTTCAGTCTTGTGTAGTGAAACAGTTGTGACACTCGATCTTGCGTAGGCCCGTTGTAATTGCAGTTGCCTCTCGCATGGCAGCGGTGATGCTGGTCCTCGATTGTGCTAAATTTAGCCTCGTATAGCCGAGACAAGGGCGGGCCTGCAGCAGACGGGCTCTGTGCTTTCCCCATGGGGAACAGCATTCCCGGCAGGTGGTAGACGGAAGTAGGAGCGTGGCTGCATACAACCCTCCCTCGGATGATGCCGTACGATACTACTACTACATACTTCCCCACGCCTTCCCCTTTTGGGGGGTTTCCGCCCACTCGGCTTACCCAATCGGGGGATCCACGGAGTCACCTGACCAGCTCCCAAGCTGGGGCAACCGCGAACTGGTCTCCCTTTTCTTTCTCTTCTTGCGCATCTCCAACCTCGTTCTGTGTCGTCCCAACCTGGGAACTCTCCTGTCTGTTGTTGCCCTGGCATGAATTAACGCCCATCCTACATGCTGTTCGGTCCACGTGCCCGCTATTTATAGACCCGTTGGCCCTGAACGGGTCTGCGCGCTAACGGCACAAACAAGCGGGCCTGGAGGAGGCTGAACGAGCGGACCCTGCACTCTCCGTTCGTTTCCTCACCTCTTCAATATTTATCGTGCTCATCGAGCGACCGTAGAGCCGCTGTTATTTCGCGGCGTCGCGGTTTCTCCCGGTTGCGGTCGAGCGCATTCCAAGCGGCAAAGACTCACTAGCTTTGTTCGATGGTTGCTGCCGACTCCGGTACGCCGACCGATAGGTCTGGTTTGACCTGTTCGCCCCGTGACTCCCTTAATGCCGCTCCCAGCAGTCATGGCGACCGTACCAAGCGCCCGGAGACGCTCTTGCTCCAGTCGGCCCTTTCAGTAGACGAATTCGCGCCTTCCGTACTGCACCCCGAGAACCTATTCGCGTCGCCGCTCCCCGAGCTTCAAATCCGTACCGATTTGCCCAGCGTCCGTCCGACCAGCTCAGGAAAAGAATCCGATCCCCTCGCCATAAACAGTTTGTCGTCGGGGAGCTTCCCGCATCGTACCCCGAGCCTGCGCGCCCTCGCCGCTCCCATTTCCAGTGCCGGATCGTTATCGCCCGCGTCATTCATGTCATCCCCTCAACTCAACGCCATGGGTGATATCACCCCGCTGCCGTCACCCATCGGCGGCTCTGCCCCATGGCGAAGGGGCGACTTACCATCCCTCTCACGCACGTCCTCCTTGGCGTCACGGAGCGGGTCCAGCTTGCGACTCAGTGATTCCTCCCAGATGCTAGGCCCGTCCACTCGGCCTCCCAACAAACCATACACCGGGCTAGAGCAATCGGGGCGCGAGTCGCCGGTTCCAACCCGTGCTTGGAGAGAATCGACCTCGACACATACTCGCAATCGCAGTTTAAGCGACTATGCGCCCCCCGGTCGTCCGTCGGTTTCCCCGCGACCTATTGCAGTTTCCGGGGCAGGTGGACCAGGTATCACATCATCCTCGAGTACCGACTCGAAATCCAATGCCTTGCACCGCGAACAATATCTGGCCGTTCATCGAGGAATCGCCTTGCCCACCATACGCCCGCCGAGCCCTCCTCGCAGCAGTGGAAGTGGATATGGAGACAACGACATCGAACCAGTCATCCGTCACCCGACGCCGCTCAGTGCCCCCGAAGAGATTTACTCAGTGCGCTCCATTCGTACGGATCAAGCTCGAATTTACCGAAAACTACGGGTTTTGGGCCAAGGCACATTCAGTCAAGTCAGTCTGGCAGCTAGAGTGGAGCAGGGTCATGATATCCAGTTTTCGCCTTCGACCGATGGACCGGCCGATGGGCCCAGCGATATTAAACCCTCTATGTCACAGAAGCTGGTCGCGATCAAGATTATTGAGCATGGTCCAGCTGGTGGGGCGGACGAGGAACGGCTGGAGGTGTCGCTCAAGCGTGAAGTGGACATTTTGAAATCAGTCAACCACCCGTCCTTGGTCCAGTTGAAGGCGTACGGAAGTGATGAGAAGCGTGCTCTACTGGTTCTCGACTATTGCCCCGGCGGGGACCTATTCGAGTACGCAACCTCTGGGCCTCGGCGCATGTCGCCGGGCCTCATCCGTCGTATTTTCGCAGAGCTGGTGGATGCAGTGCGATACTTACATTCCCACTACATTGTGCACCGGGATATTAAGCTAGAAAGTGAGTCTTTCCCGAGTGGTTCCCCGCTGGGAGAGAAGTGTTCTGACAATACCTCTAGACGTTTTGCTCACCATGCCGGAACATGCCATGGAGGCTGTGGATGATTGGAGCCATTACGATCGTGCCGTTGTCACTCTCAGCGATCTTGGTCTTTCACGGCGCATTCCCGAACCCCCGGAAAGTCCGCTTTTACACACACGGTGTGGTAGCGAGGACTACGCGGCCCCGGAAATCTTGATGGGCCAGGCCTATGATGGTCGTGCAACGGACGCGTGGGCCCTCGGCGTGCTGCTCTATGCCATCATGGAAAATCGTCTGCCGTTTGATGTTCTCCCAGGTACTCGCGGCGATCCTGCCAAACTCCGCGCTCGGACGCCGCACCGTATCGCTCGCTGTGAATGGGCGTGGTACCGGTATGCCGATGAGGAAGAGGAGTGGGATCCTGAGAAAGGCCGTGAATTGGAAGGTGCCCGTGAGTGTGTCGAGGGTCTATTGAAACGCAACACTCGGCGTAAAACACTCGATGACATTGCAGCCATGGAGTGGGTACGCGATGCAATAGACGTCCCCGATGGACTGAAAAGAGGTGACAAGGAAGTGCCATAGAGCGGGTCTCCTAATGAACGGCAGTATCTTTCGCTTCCTTTTTGTCTTTTTCTTCTCTTCTTATACATACCTGTTTTTTCTTTTCGTTGGGCGTGTTGATTTCCCAAGGAATATCGGCATATGGACTTTTTTTCTTGTTGGCTAGACTTTTTCTGTTGATATACCCTATTCACATACCATCCCGTGCTAGACACTATGTATCCTAATTGATATGCCATTCAGTTCGAAGAGCAGTCCGAAACCAACCAAATTCTTGCTTCGTGGTAAATAAAAAACATACAACAACCAACAATATGGTCATATTCAACAAACAAAACTGATTCTCTTTAGTATATGGAACTAATACTTGGATTAAACACCCAACTTTCAGCCTAGTTGCATGGATAGTGCGCAGATTTCACATTGGAGTTCTGAACGGTATGCTCATCCCAGTTGTTCCAAGCCTCACTTCCATTGCAGATATAGAAGTTGAATACCCCGGGGTGGACGGACCATTGTCCCACATATTCCATATAAACATAGACGATGAAGGGTCAGGAGTAGACCACCCGTTCTACATATGGTTGTTGACGTATGACTGGACAGAGCTATAATGCAATCAATGCCAGACCACTATGTATGGACAAAGAGACATTGTCTATTATAGGCGAGTGTTGGTTGAGCATGAGTAATCAGTTAAGTATGTAAGTTAACTAACTAACCAACCTTTGTAACGTAATTTGTAAATGAGCTGCACAGATATAATGTTAGCGTATCAGCAGAGATAGTTTTATAGGACCACAATGTCAGATGGCATAATGTGAATTGGGCTGAATAGGACAGAATACTCTGAGAGAGGAACTGTAAGTACACATAAGCAAGGCATCTCCTTTAATCCAAGTGTTCGGCTATCGACTTCTCGTCCATTTGGTTCTGCGCTTCCATATCCACCTCTGTCAGGCCAAACTGACGGCCTTTTTTCTCAGGTCCCAAGAACGTCACGATGATCACGAAGGCCACACAAGCACCGAGGAACACACAGATGACAAGAGCGTAGTTGTATCGCTTAACACCGGCCGTTGTGGACGCAAGTGGAAAATATCTCTCTCCCACGGACGACTGGATGGTTGCCGCGGGGCTGGACGCGAGATTCCCAAGCTGATATGCCGCCCCGACAACCAGTGTGCGGATGCCTGGCGGTGACAACTCCATTAGATGTGTGGGAATGACGCCGAACGCGCCCTGAACGAAGAACTGGACAAAAAAGGCGACGGCTGCGACTTGCAGTCCGGTAACGAACGTGTAGGGATATAATAAGGCTCCGGCGCAGACGCACGACACCATGATGGTAAGCCGACGACCGAATATCTCGGACAGGTAGCCGATGCAAATGCCGCCGGATGCCGCGCCGATATTTGCAACCACTTCAGTGATGGTCATGGCGTTGTCACTAAAGCCGAATTGGTCGATGAGCATCGTCGGGTAGAAGTCTTGAGATCCATGGGCCTAGAAGAGTTATGACCAGTTAGTGAAGTGTCTTTCTTGATCCGATACACAGATACGTACCATATAGTTAAATCCGGCCATGAGCAGGACCATGTAGATGAGCATTAGCCAGTGATCCTTGGCCGAGACTAAGTCTCTGGTGAAGCCACCACCGCGCGGGCTCACCATTTCTCGTTGACGAAAGGTCTGAGTCTCCGGTAACCACAACCGCCAGATGATCAGCAGCACGGGAGGGCCAGCACTGAACCAGAATAAAGATCGCCAGCCCGACGTGGTCGTGCTGACCAGGGCACGCGCAAAGGCCGTTGTGAGCAAATACCCCACGGGGTATCCCGCCTGGAAGAAGCCAGACAAGACTCCACGAGCCTCATCCGGCACGTCCTCGAGAGCCGATGCCACAGCGTTTCCGTATAGGCCACCCATGGCGACGCCAAACAATGCCCGACAAGCCAGAAACTCAGCATATGTGTTGCAGAAGCCAGTGGCCAGCTCTAGCACAATAAACAAACCGCAGTTGGTCACAAATGGCCATTTACGTCCGAACCGGTCCGACCAGACGCCAAAGATGACCGCGCCTGCGGAGCGGAACATGAGCACCAGCGTGATGCCCCAGGTGATTTTGGAGCTGGACTGGTTGAACTCTACTGCCAGTTCGGGCACGAGAAGACTAACACAAAAGAAATCCAGCGATTCCATAGTCCAGGCCGACCAGGCACACTGAAAATTAGCACGAGATAAAAGACACTCAACTTGGAATTAAGACTAACCAGGAAACACGCCCACTGGGAGGCTGTCAGCATGCGCAGGGCTGTAATAGGGTTGATGACCTTGTCCATCGGGGGTTTCAAGGTGGTGAACCGAGCGGCCATATAGCGGCCGATGGTCATCGTTGCATCTGTCTGAATTGTTCTCTCATCCATTGATCACTTGGAAATAATAGTATGATTCTCAACAGGTAGGACTAAATGAGATAAATAGTAACTGATATTATTGCGGGGAATTCTGGGGTGCAGCTCCCTTATCCGAAAGTCTAGAAGTATAGAATTCACCGCTTGCTCACCAAGCTAGGTTTCGCGCTATCTCTCCTGGACGACTTAGGCCGAGTGAGTGGCCTCAACTGCCGACTCCCGGCACTTAGATACCCCGAAGATAGCCCAATAGGAGCGCGAGGTAGATTCTCGGACGATCCGGTGCGAAAAACATAAAACTGCCGTGAAAGAAGAAGCCATTTTGGCAATGGTTTATTCTTGAACGTACGCAAATTAAACAGTATGGACTCTCTAGCAGCCGCCGAGACCCCCCTCGTCTCCGCCATGGACCTCTTCAACCTTCAAGGCAAGCAGGCCCTCGTCACAGGCGGTTCGCGAGGCATCGGGGCCGCTATGGCGCACGCCTTGGCCGATGCAGGCTGCTCGGTCTGCATCGCCCAGCACGATGTCACCAATACGGCTGTCACGGATGCCATCCGGGCCAAAGGGGTGCGGGCTGAGGTCCTCCAGTGCGATCTCAGCAACATGGACGAGGCGCGCGGGTTATTCCCCAAAGCGCTGGAGGTGATGGGCGGCCAGATCGATATCCTAATCAACTGCGCGGGCCTGTTGCACCGGAAACCGTCAGTAGATGTAACCGAGCAAGAGTGGGATAGTGTAATTCAATGATTCGACCTGAACACAAATGAACGGTACTGACCAACCAATAGGTGATTGACGTCAACCTCAAGGCGCTATTTCTCGTCTGCCAAGGTGCCGGGCGACATATGATCCCTCGGCGGTCCGGCAAAATCATCAACGTGTCGTCTCTGAATAGCTTTATCGGCGGTGAGATCGTTGCGTCGTATGCTGCATCTAAGGGGGCCGTGTCGCAGTTGACCAAGTCTTTGAGCAATGAGTGGGCCCGGTATAATATCCAGGTGAACGCGATCGCGCCTGGCTCCGTCGCTACGGACATGTGAGTGTACCTCTCAATAATCGGACGGCCATTTAAATACTACAGCGTGGACCTAACGGTGTGATTGAATAGAAACACGGATCTCCGCTCCGATCCAGAGCAATATGCAGCTCGCGTCGCCCGCTGTCCGGCCGGTCGATGGGGGCTGCCAGCCGACTTTGCAGGTGTGACTCTGTGGCTATCCAGCGCGGCGAGCCAGTTTGTGACGGGATCAGTGGTTGTTGTAGATGGAGGGTTCTTAGGGCGATGACCGGGTATCTTAAAGTGATCTATTTCTGCCTTTCTTACTAGGTCTTGTCATCGTTCCCTTCGATAACTAGTAATCAGAATAAATGACTTGTGCTTTCGGGCCTATTTCTCGAATGACTTGTATTTCTTAGCACTAGAGTTCGACAAGCCATCATAGTGCAGCTGCTATCACCAGTTTCGAGACGTCGTAAGGATACCTGGCGAGTGCTCAATTCTTCTTAAAGAAATCGACTATAGTAAGCGAGAGAAAGCTGATCTTTCATTGGTAGATATCTCACCGACTTCTCGTAAGCTTAAGCACTTTGATATGCTTTGATCTGGCAATGTTTGCCTAGACCGATGAACACACTTGAGCATGCATGTATTATTCGCTGAATGAAATTGGCGTCCACTCATACTCCTCTTCAATTCGAATGGCACATATGACAGATCCCGCATCGCTAGGCCTAGTGTGTAAAGCTCAAAATTCAAAATCAAATTCTTGCGACTATTCCTATGCGTCTCCTCTCTATCATTGGATAGTTTGTCGGCATAAATCATCTAATATCTAGATGGTCATTAGGTAGTTAGTGTATTCCTTCTGTTGCCATATGGCATGATATCAAATGGCCAAAGAGAAAAGGGTTGTACGTACATTATGTCAACTCTATAAATTCTTAGCCCTTCCCCAGGCAAAAGAGGCTGTTTTTCCTTCCCCGTGCTCGTATCGTCTGCAATTAATTTTTCTCCTCCAATTCACTACTTCAACCATGCAGCTCTTTCCGGGTCTTGGGGTTTTCCTTTTAGCCACTTACACCGCCTCCGCTGTTGGCAACCCCCTAGTGGGGCCAGTCGACATAGTGGAATGTTTGTTAGTAGAGGTCGTAGTCCAGGTCCTAGACGCTTGTAGCACTGCTACTCAGTTCTGTGAATCACTACTGGCTCCTACGATCACTGTTTCAACGACTACGTAAGTACATGTGTCATGGGTTTTCTGTAGAGATTCGAGGCTCAATAGTAATTAGTACGGCGACATACTCAAGCTGTGACTATACGTACACCCCTCAGCCAACTACAACTTCGGCACCGACATCTAAGGTGAGACACAAGACCTTCGAGTAATAGTTTATACCACTCACTTACTTCAAGAAATCCACCACCCCATGCCCGACCCCCAAGGCTCTGGAGGAATTCGCCGACTGGCAAATCACTGAAGCATGCCGGTGCCTCCATATTCCATCTACTGATATCCCAACGATCACGGCCACGAAGACATCGACCACCACCACCACTCTCTGTCCAGTTCCCACATCCTGTGGAAATGAGGGTGTACAATGGGCATACTATTATTTTGGCGAGGGTAACGTTCTGCCATACCACAATGGTGGCGAAAACTACATGTTTGATGTGACTGCTCTCAAGGACACCACGCCAGATGCCACCGGAACGACCGTGTATGTTGCGGAAAGTGGCACCTCATATGGTCCCACTATAGACATCTATGGGACCCAGCAGACTTTTGACTACTTCGCCCTCAACCAGCGCGGGTATATCTACGCAGAGACCACAGGCACCTACGTCTTCACCATTACAAACATCGACGAAGTCGCCTATTCCTGGGACAACACGACTGCATACTCGGGATGGGATGAATCCAATTTTGAAGCATACACTTCAGACAATTCACCAACGACCGGAAATATCTATAGTATGGACTTATTATCGGGGCAATACTTTCCCATTCGTATAGTTTCCGCCAATGCACAGGGTGCATCTAACTTGCAGATCTCTATTACTGCTCCGGACGGCTCGGTCATCCTTGGTCCTAACTCCTCGGCTTCCCCGTATATCGTGCAATACTCCTGCGATGGGACTTCAGCCCCGCTGTATCCGCCGTTCGGCTCTGAGACTTGACATACTCTCTCGGAGGGGTTCTACAAAGAAAGAGGGAAACATAACCAAGCCTGACTATGTGGGGGATTCACTATGAATTCAAGTGATTAGTCGCGATGGCCATTTCAATAACAAAAGTAGCCATAGAAGCGGATTGTTGCTCACCATACCCATTGCTTGCAACCATACAACTCTTGACTATGAATACAAAAATAATTGCCCGTCATTTGCATGTACAGGGAAAACTAATCCGTATTCCATACGGTAAACTACATAGTATATCGTGACGCAGGTTTCCATACTTCGGGCACTGAATTCTCCAAATTAGAAATGTGGGCAGCTAAGTGTGACACCGGACAAACTGGAATTACTTTGCATCCTCTTCTTCGTTACAAATCTGATAATTTTTGGACTATGCGGTTGGTACCCTATTTTCAAATGTAATATCCAACTCCTGATATGTTTTATACTGGGTCTATGACGCCGTCGGAGTTAGAGAAGTAATAGATTCACGGTAATGGGTGGTATACCTCTGGCAACCGAAAGTAAATCCATATCAATGAAAATACCGAATTTTTCCCAAAAGCGAACAGGTAAACATCAGTCGCGATGTGGTGATGCTCACAGAGGCCAGCCGCAAATATAAATATTGAAGATGTCGGATCGTATATGCAAATAACCAGCGGAATGCTTCAATTTGCTACGGTTCCCCTTTCTTCTTTGATTCCTGTTCCCGCCGTGCCCTCATCACCTCTTTAATCAGCTTCATCTTCTCTTTGTTCCCTTTTCCCTTCGTGCGAGCTCTTCAACCTCGACTGGTTCAGCTTCATACGCTTCCAGATGTTCCGGAATCTCCTCGTACTTTGCGTCCCGGTCGAATAGTTCCTCTAGTTCCTCAGCGATTTCCTTAGGGAGTCGTAGTTGATGCGGATTTCATGGCCGTCCATGCTCAAGCAATCGCTGCGTGGCTCGTAGAAGACAATTGTAGAAGAAAAGGACCGTAAAGTTGGCTAGGTAGAAAGAGAGGGGTTGGAAAAACGTAGACCCCTTCCTGGATTTACACAGACACCCCTGATTCTTAGGTTTACAAGGTAGCCGCGGCTTTTTGGCGCTCAATTTATCATCACCTGGCGTGGTGGTGTAACAAAGCTACCGCTCCAACTCTGGCACGTCGACCCACGCCCGCTTCTCCCAGCTTTGGATGCCTAGCTCCGTCAACTGCACGCCCTTGACCCCCTCGAACAGGCCGTTGGCCCACGGCTCATCCTTAACGACATGCCGCAGGAATAGCTCCCACTGCACCTTAAAAGCATTGTCACACACCTGATAGTCTGGCACGCGCGTCCAGCCGTCGCTATACCGGACGCCCGAGTCTACATCCGGGTTCCATGTTGGCCGCGGTGTCGCACTCTCATGTTGCGCCACGCAGTCGCGCAGGCCCGCTACGGCGCTGCCCTTGGTGCCGTCCACCTGCAGCGTCAGTAGGTCGTCACGCCGCACGCGCACCGCCCACGATGAGTTGAAGTGCGCCATAATACCACCAGCGAGCTCAAAGGTTGCGTACGCCGAGTCGTCGGCCGTGCAGGTATACGGCTTGCCCTGCTCGTCGATGCGTTCCTTGACATGCGTGGCCCCCGTGCAGGTCAACGCGTGGATGGGCCCAAACAAGTTCGTCAACACGTACTGCCAGTGGCAGAGCATATCGGTAATAATGCCCCCGCCATCCTCCTTGCGGTAGTTCCAACTGGGCCGTTGGGGCGTGACGGGCCCCTTTCCATCAAAGACCCAGTAGCCGAACTCGCCGCGGACGGAAAGGATCTCGCCAAAGAACCCGGTTTCAATCAGCGTGCGCAGCTTCACCAGCCCGGGCAACCAGAGCTTGTCCTGCACGACGCCATGCTTGACGCCAGCAGCCTCCGCGGCGCGGTACAGTGTGTACGCCTCGGCTGAGGAGATGCCGATGGGCTTCTCGCAGTAAACGTGTTTGCCAGCGGCGATGGCCCTAAGGACGGATTCGGCGCGGCGATCGGTCGTCTGCGCGTCAAAGTAGATGGTGTTGTAGTTGTCGGCGAGGCAGGCGTCTAGGTCAGTTGACCAGCGGGACACGCCGTGCGCGTCGCCTAGGCTGCGTAGCTTGATGGCATTGCGGCCCACGAGGATCGGATCCGGTATGATGATCTCACCATCGGCCAGCTGAATGCCTCCTTGCTTGCGGATCGCGCAGATAGAACGGATTAAATGTTGGTTGGTGCCCATCCGGCCGGTCACACCGTTCATGATGATGCCCACATTATGGATTTTAGCAGTCATGGTGAGGTTGTTATTTTCATAGATCAAATAGTGGTGGATTAATCTCTCGACTGTCTTATGGTGATATATAGCAGACTCCCCATGGTGATGGAGCGTTGTTAGGCCGACTCCAGCATCCACCGGAGCCGCGGACTATCTGTCGGACACAGACACACCGAACTCTATAGCCGGGTATATCATAAATAATAGATTCAAGACCAGTGAACTATGATAATAGTCGATTCGCTTCCCATATCAGCATGCGTGACGGCAAAAAATCCGTGTTGGTCATCAACGGCCCCAATCTCAACCTGTTGGGCACGCGCGAACCACAGTTGTACGGCTACGAGACCCTAACGGACGTCGAGGCTGCGGGAAAGCAGCAGGCCGAACAGCTGGGGGCTTATGTCGAGTTTTATCAGAGGTACGTCTGAGAATTTACCTATGGTATGGTTCGGCGGGGATGTTGATGGCTGTCCTAGCAACTGGGAGGGTGCCCTCGTCGACAAGATCCAAGCCGCAAGAACGGACGGCACCGATGGGATCGTAATCAACCCCGGCGGTTTTACGCACACGTCGGTGGCCCTCCGTGATGCACTACTCGGCGTCTCGATTCCGTTTATTGAGTTGCATGTCGCCAACATCCATGCGCGGGAGGAGTGGCGGCATCACTCGTACTTTTCAGATAAGGCCAAGGCCATTATTGTAAGTTTCCTCGAGAAGACGTGGAATTGTTCTCACAGTATCCTTCTGCTAGGTCGGTTGTGGTGCCGCCGGGTACCAATACGCCATTGAACATGTGGTCAACAAGTTTCCGGAGAGACATCGAGAATAATATTTTTTTCTACAATGATTAGCTTATCGAGTCCATAGCCCTCTGTACGGCGGGAATCCCTCCGATGCGGGGAAATAAATCGCGTAGTGGCTTCTGTTTCTTTTACCCCGAGACTTACCCCGAGTAACGCACACAATAACCATAATGGATGCACCGGTGGAGTCGGTGCTTGCGTGCAACTGCTGTAGGAGACGCAAACTGCGGTGTTCCCGCGAACTGCCCACCTGCAGCCAATGTAGGAGAACCGGTAGGACTGACCATGAGAATGAATGGTCTTCCAGGCTGACGGACGGACAGGCACCGAGTGCGAGTACAAGGGGGAGAAATGCAAGCCGGGCATGCGACCAGGGGTCATCGAGGCCATCCATCGCCGATTGGGTATATTCATTATCGTCCCTCTATAACCATCTTCTTTGCTATTACTCACTAGTAAACTATAGACGGCCTAGAGAAATCCATCGAAGAACTGAAGTCGTCCGAATCTAGCAATGCTCCCAAGTCTCAGGAACCACACGACATGGTCCGTCTGGCCAGAGAGCTGCACCGGCTCAATGAATCCGCCCATCTCGTCACCGGCTCACCTCACAAACGCCGTCGGATTGACGACGATGCTACTGCTCCTGTTCCCCAATACCCGGGCACACCCTCCCTGCCGCCAGAACCGATTCTACAGGCCATCATCGAGGCGTACTTCTCACACTTGCACCCGTGGATCCCCATGCTGCAACAGGCCCGCTTCAGCCAGCGTCTGGCCGACCCGGCCACGCGTCCGAAGCTCCTAGTCATCCTCCACGCGATGGTCGTCGCCGCCACGCGATACGTCGACCCGGCCTGCGTCTCCGGGCCGCTCCCAATGCCGGCCGAACGGGAACAGACGCGCAGCTGGGTCCTCTCGACGGCCATGAGCGCGCTGGTCATTGAGAACCTGCAAGCCTTAACTATCATAGCGTTCAACGACATCGGCAACGGTGAGGCGATGCGTGCGTGGGCCATCATCGGCTCCCTGACACGCACCGCCGAGTACCTCCAACTGACCGTCGAGAAGGATGGGCACGACGAGCAGGGTACCCCAGACCGAGCGTCCCTCTCCCGGCCCTTTGTCTCGCTGCCGCCCTCGCCGGGGGAGCCTTGGATCGAACGCGAGGAGCGGCGACGGGTGTTTTGGAACATCTTCAGCTTGGATCGCTTTTGCTCCATCACCACAGGCTGGAACACGAGCTTGACGTCGGATGACGTGTGTCGGCGTCTGCCCTGTGATATCAGTCTGTGGTGGCAAGACGAGCCGGTTGTGACGCCGTATTTCAACATCTGGGATAAGTCGGCCGGGCGGATCGGGAATCCCATCACCTTTCTCCCGTCCCAGTATACCAACAATGACAATTCCCATCACATGAACAAAGGCACCAGTCCGGCAGAATCCAGCCACTCGCCGAATCAGCACTCGCCCACAATCAACATGACGACGGTGGGCGCATTTGCGTATTCGATAGAAGCGACAGAGAGTCTCAGCCAGGTGACGACTTACTTTTTGCAGCAACGGGTCGACATGCGCGATCAGCATGAGTTGGGCAGCTGGCTCACACGCTTCAAGGAGCTGGACCTGCGCCTCATCCACTGGAAGATGCTGCTGCCGCAGAAATGGAAGGCCGACATGGCCCGTCAGGACAGCCGCATGGATCCCAATCTGACCCTCGCCCACGTCTCTCACAACACCTCCATCATCCTGCTCCACCAGCCCATCGCATTTCCCGCCCCCAGCTGGGCCTTTGCTGCCCGTCTACCCAGCGCCTGTAGTGCGGATACTTGTTCGGCCGCGGCAGTCGAGGTTGCAGCCATCGCCCGCAACTACCTCAAGACGCTGCCCGCGAGGCTCCCCGTGGCGAACCTGTTGGCATTTTGTCTGTTCATCGCTGCCCGTGCTCTCCTGATCCACTGGCAGTATTACCCACCGGCAGCCCTGGCGCCTGAGTTCCCATCCCTAGTGGGGAGTTTGGACGAGATGTCGAGGCTGTGGAGAGGGTACGACGAGGGCCGCCCCCCTCGGACCTGGCAGGGCGGTATGCGCAGAAACTGCGAGATCTACAATCCCGCTGCCTCAAGGAGGAGCTTTACTGTATCGATCCATCGGGATATACCGCTGAAGTATCGGATTTGGAACAGCCGCCAGTGCAGAATGCGGTGCCAGATATCTTGCAAAGCGTGGACAGCGTGCCGATTGGTCAGATTCCGGCTCATAATTCAGTGTACCCGACTGGCACTGGTGATCTGAATATGATATCGCAGATGTTTCTAGACCCCAAGTTTATGGACATGGATCGTATCATCAGCTTCCACGATGGCATGTTCAACGCGGATGATTATGCAGTATAAACTTGTCTATACCACATGATATGTATAAGAATCAATTCAAGGAGCCGTACAGTTTTGGGGGAGAGTCATCTCTCGAGTGTGTTGCCCTGCAGAAAACATGTTAGGGCAAGCTCACCAGCTCACCCTTGATTCTGCCTGAGGCAGCCCCAACCATCCACTGGGTACGCATACTGTCTACACTGGCAAATAATATCTCTCATAATCCCCAGACACCTCACTGTGCACCAGAATAAGTGAGATTTGCACCAGAACAATACCATGTAATTGGAGCTGACAACGGCCCGTCTGCGATTGGGGCCGCAGCCGGTGGACCCGCCCGGGGAGCAAGCACACCAACTCCGGCCGCCGCTCTTTCGCTGGACCCCGGCATTTCCTCCGCTCAGCATTATTATTCTCGGCAACCTTCCGGTGGTGTCATCTCCTCCTCCTCCCTCTGGTCTTTGGCGTGAATCACCTCCCGCCTCGACATCTTCACAATGCTGCTGCCCCAGACTCGGGCACGGATGCCCGCGGCTCTTCGGAGCCTGTCCCGGTCAAGCGCGACAGTGTGAGTTGCGGTAGAGCTTGAGCTTTGACAACAGAACCACTGACTTTTTTTCTTCTCTCTCTAGTCGGACTCTCTCGACGACACTCTCGCGCTACCAGAACGATGATAAGGCCCTCAACAAGGTCTCGCGGCATATCACCCAGCCCAAGTCCCAGGGTGCCTCCCAGGCCATGCTGTACGCGGTCGGTCTCACGGAGGAGGATATGAACAAGGCACAGGTGGGGATCTCATCGGTGTGGTTCAATGGAAATCCGTGCAACATGCACTTGCTCGACTTGAACAACCGGGTGCGCGAGGGTGTGCAGAAGTCCGGCTTGGTCGGCTTCCAGTTCAACACCGTGGGTGTCAGTGACGCGATCAGTATGGGCACCAAGGGCATGCGCTTCTCGCTTCAGAGCCGAGACCTGATTGCCGACTCCATTGAGACGGTGATGGGTGGCCAGTGGTACGACGCCAACATCAGCATCCCTGGCTGCGACAAGAACATGCCAGGTGTGCTGATGGCTATGGGCCGCGTCAATCGCCCCAGTCTGATGGTCTACGGTGGCACTATCAAGCCCGGGTGTGCTGCTACCCAGAACAATGCCGATATTGATATCGTCTCGGCCTTCCAGGCATACGGCCAATTCATCACTGGCGAGGTCTCCGAGCCCCAACGTTTTGACGTCATCCGCCATGCCTGCCCCGGCGAAGGCGCCTGTGGTGGCATGTACACGGCCAACACCATGGCGTCGGCTATCGAGACTATGGGTATGACTCTCCCTGGATCGTCTTCCAACCCGGCCGACTCCCAGGCCAAGTACCTGGAGTGTCTGGCGGCTGGTGGAGCGATCAAGAAGTTGCTGGCCGAGGACATCCGCCCGCGCGATATCCTGACTCGTCAAGCCTTCGAGAACGCGATGGTCGTTGTCAACATCACCGGTGGCTCCACCAACGCTGTGCTGCACTTGATTGCTATTGCCGACTCCGTGGGCATCAAACTTACCATCGACGACTTCCAGGCCGTCTCGGACCGCATCCCCTTCCTCGCCGACCTGAAGCCCTCTGGCAAGTATGTCATGGCTGATCTGTTCCACATTGGTGGCACACCGGCGCTGCTCAAGTTTTTGCTCAGGGAGGGCCTGATTGACGGCTCCGGTATGACCGTCACCGGTGAGACGATGGCAAAGAACCTGGAGAAGTATCCCGATTTCCCCGAGGATCAGAAGATCATCCGCCCGCTGTCCAACCCGATCAAGAAGACTGGTCACATCCAGATTCTGCGTGGCTCGCTGGCCCCGGGTGGCAGTGTTGGCAAGATCACTGGTAAGGAGGGTATGGCGTTCACGGGCAAAGCCCGCGTCTTCGATGATGAGGATGACTTCATCGCTGCGCTGGAACGCAACGAGATCAAGAAGGAGGAGAAGACTGTGGTGGTCATTCGCTACACTGGTCCCAAGGGCGCTCCCGGCATGCCTGGTATGTGCTGTCTTGCCATCACCTGAATCGTTACTAACAGAGCCCGCAGAGATGCTGAAGCCCTCCTCCGCCCTGATGGGTGCTGGCCTGGGGAATTCATGTGCCCTGATTACTGATGGCCGTTTCTCCGGCGGTTCTCACGGTTTCCTAATTGGTCACATTGTCCCTGAGGCTGCTGTGGGTGGCCCCATCGGGCTGGTTCAAGATGGCGATATCATTACCATCGACGCCGAGAAGCGCGTTCTCGACCTTGAAGTTCCCGAGGCGGAGATTGCTGAGCGACGGAAGGACTGGGAGGCCCGTAAGGCGGCCGGAAAGCTGCCTGAGACTGGTCTTACTATGAGGGGTACCCTCGGCAAATACGCCAGGTCAGTTTCCCCTGTCCCTTTTTTTTAATAAAGAGATTCAGTGCTGATATGTGTCACAGAAATGTCAAGGATGCCAGCCAAGGCTGTATCACCGACGCTGTAGAGTAAATGGAATCGTAGGGTTGAAAGGTCTTCCCGGGCGTTGACTCCGGCAAAAAGCGATGTATTTATTCAGGCCTGTGCTATATGATATCAAAAATGTCCAACAACCTATAAAGAAATTTATTCTGTTCAGCCCATACTTTTGCTATCTCTAAGAAGAGTCGCCACTGAAGAAGGTATTTTGAATCTGTTCGTGATCAATTTTCACCTTAAGCATCCCACAATCGAGCATCAGATTGTCGATCACCGCCATGGGATCTCCGATTTGCTCCCTGTTGAGGCGGTGCTGCGCTTTGACCCGTCACCATCCAGCGTTGTGGCGGTGGTCTCGCGGCCAGAATCTACAAATCAGCGACAGCTCCAGGGTCTCGTTTCTGGCCGATTCAACCGAGCTGAACTCAGTGGTGCTGAGATGGACCAACATCAGAGTTGCCTCCGCTCACATCAGGTTCATCTCCTGTCTTCATCCAGTCGTTCTATAATGGTCTTCGGGTTGTCAAAACGTTCGAGGCGGACGTACAGCTCAGAGCAATGTGCGCTGGACCCATGCAGAAAGAACGATGATTTGCAAAGAAACCAAATCTACGCGGCTCCGACTTGTCCTCACTCTGTCGACCTCCTTCCATGTGCCTCACACTTCGTGTCATCTCATCCATACCGAGACCGTGGTCCGATAGCAGCAGCTTCTATGGCTCAACTACCTCCTCCACAAGTGCCTGTACCTTTAGTTCTACCCACTCCAAGTGTTCAACCGGCCATTTTGCCAACGTCGCTATCTAGTCTGACAAAATGGACTAACACTACATTCAATAATCCGATATCTGATATTCTAAGCCACACCATTGGGAAGGCCAATGCCACAATCCTGGACCTCGACCATTTAATTCACCGAAGCATCGAAGGTGGTGTGAATGTGCGGGATACCCCGTCTCGGGTGTTAGACCAGGTCATCACATCGATCGATATGGGCTCCTTCAGTGGTAGGGAAAGGGATCTCCGTAAGCCAAGTATACCAAAGGGGTCAACCAGCTATTGATTCAAAATCCAGTTGCCGGTTTCTCGCTTCCATTTCGTACAGATATGAAAGATCACAAGTCACGCAAAAAGCCGAACAGATCTGGATCAGTGGATTATTTCTGCAAAGTATATCTATACGACAACTCGCGGATGCCACCCAATCTTCCGAGACTGAAGCTGTACGTCTATTTCAATAAACACGAGCGACCAAGCTAATATCTGATTGAGATCTATACCAACCTATCCTCTACTCCGACTCGCAGCCCAGTACTCGCGGCGCGTATACGACAGACCTGTCGGCAGAGAGCGACATACCTATGTTGACGCCGATTGGCGCCAAGGAACCAAGGCTATGGTCATCAACTCTCTGCCAGTTGACGATATGAACACGATCGTCTTCGCCATTCGTGGTACACAGAGCTTCCTTGACTGGGCTGTCAATTTCCACACGGCGCCAACCTCCCCTGCTGGGTTTCTCGATGATCTCTCTAACTATTGTCATGCTGGGTTCTTATCTGTAGCACGCAAAATGGCCGGTCCCATTGCGGCACGTCTGCGCGCCCTTCTAGCTGAAGACCCTTCTCGCATGTCCTACTCTCTTCTGATCACTGGTCACTCCGCTGGCGGAGCCGTGGCCAGCCTGCTGTATCTGCATCTTCTATCAGAATCACCAATGGTGCAATCTGACCTCACTCATCTTCGGGGTTGCTTCAGGTCTGTTCATTGCGTCACCTTTGGGGCACCACCTATATCTATCCGCCCGCTACAACAACCAAATTCGCCAAGTTTCCCCAAATCGAAGTCTTTATTCCTCTCATTTATTAATGAGGGCGACCCTGTGACTCGTGCTGATAAGGCGTACATTGTCTCTTTGGTGGATTTGTACGTTACGCCTGCTCCAGGGATAACACTCCATCGGCCCAGTGATAACAAAATTGCGCCGGCACCAAATCACTGGCGCGTTCCTCCCGCCACTTTAGCCAATGCAGGCCAACTCATTCTGCTTCGTGACCGGAGTCCGTTGAATGGTCCTTCTACAATTGCACCAGCTCGAAACCCAGGCGGCCCTCCCCTGCCGCGTCGTGAGCTTTTTGAAGCGTGTGTGATCAATGACGCTCAGCTACGAGGAGTGGTCTTCGGAGACCCATTAATGCATGTGATGGATCTTTATGCTCGCAGGATTGAGATACTCGCTGGAGGTGTCTGGAGGGAAAGATAACCTGGACTTGTAGATGGGTTGCACTTATGTTGAATATATAGTTCTTGTCCTAAAACAGATGGTATAGCAGGCCGCCATTATGTATTACTGAATGGAATTAATCTTGAATTTTTAAACACTCTCTTGTAATAACTGAACTGGAAACTAAATACTTTTCAATTTGACTTTTACAGCAATGAAAGCAAATTCATCCAAAATCCAAATAACAACCTAGAAAGTATTGGTCTAACAAGATTTACATTCCATTGGACGGTTGTTGTCTCACACGAAACCAAGCATCCTTTTCAACATTCAGAGCCAGAGAACATTCGTGACACATTCCAGGCCTTTCATCGCGCCGCTCATTTTGTGTGCCTTTTCGCGGTAGGGAACCCTTCATAAACCCGGAACATTTCTGACGTAGGTGCAGAGGCAGGCCGGCTTCACTACACAGTTCGCGATGTCCACGGTAGCTATGATCACAGAGGGCATAGGTGTAGAAATGTTGATTGCACATCCGTGACTCGGGTACCGGAGGACCTTGAGATAATAGTTCTGTAATAGGATTTATTGTAGGTATATCTCCTTAGAATTGCAGAAAGCCTTCCTGAGATTTATAGAGTGCGGGGATTTAGTGTGCTGTGTAATAGACAAAGAACACATATACAAAGTCAATAATATGCCCAATGTTTCTTGTTGAGATCCTTTCTTTGTTATGCACATGTGAAATATGTTTAATCAATAGTCTCACACAGAATTAGTCTACAAATTTGTACTCTCTCAGTTACTCAGCCACATTAGCTTGATCTCAGTAAACATGATAACAGTGATCGATGAACACAGCTAAATGCCCACGTTGCCTTAACTAGGCTAAGTCGGCGCATCGTCAGAGAGCATAAAAGTGAGATCCCGTATCAAGAATTCAATATGGTTGACTCCAAGTCCGGACATATCTACAGCATCCCGGAAAACCTCCGGTTTCATTCGTCTGTGCCTCACTACCCAAAGCCCTGTTCTCCCGCAGTGCTATTATTCAGATACTAAGATTTAATATATACCTAGGATATAATAACCGTCTTGTAAGGAGGTAGTATGTACATCATTATTCACAAGTGGACAGTCATGGAGACCCACATCTATTGAGACGCCGGAGCAGGGCTCTGCGGATTGCGGAACACATTGTTGGGATCGATGTCTTCCTTGATCTGGCGCAGTCGCTCCAAGTTGGTGCCCCAATAAGCCTCGGGCCCGTTGGGCATGAGGGGGTCAACGTAGCCTGGATAGGCGGCATAGGGAGCACCGTCAGTGCTGACTAGCGTATTGACATTTTCAAGGAAGTCGATCTGAGTCTGTGTAACGGGTCCCAGCAGGTTGATGGTATACGACTGCAGCCAGAACAGAACATCGCGATGTGCGTACGAAGTCGCATGGGTGGGAATAGTGTTGGTGAAACCACCCTGGAAATCAAACAGCAGGAACCAAACCAGGGAGCCCTTGTCTGCAGTCTCAATGTAATTGAAGAGCTTATCGATTGTCTCGTCCGACATCAATGTGTCTTTCGTCCACGAGTTCGACTTGGCGTAGAAGTTCGAGGGAACACCGCCGCCTAGCTCCAGAGCTGCGTCCTCAGCCCAGGACGCGACCAGACCCAGCCAGCTCTCAATGACGACGGCACTGCCATTGGCGCCAGGGAAGTGATCGTCAATACCTAGCTTGTCAAATTCCTCCATACTCCCGAAGAAAGTCCCCGTGATGATCAGGGTTTCCTCAAGCAAAGTGAGCGTAGACGCCAGCTTCCAGGTCAGGTCAGGGTTGGACATGTAGGCTTGCCACTGCTTGAATAGGGTGGCGCGCATCTCCGCGGTGCCAATGTCCAAGGAATAGGTGTATTGCACGGCAGTGCCGGGCTGGGGCTCGGTCCGGACCTTGAATGCGGTGACAATTCCAAACCCAGACGCAGCACCTTTGATAGCCCAGAAAACATCTTGGTTTTCAGTTTCGGAGGCCCACACAACGCTCGAGTTGGCCAACACCACTTCAGCCCCGATAATGTGGTCCAGAGCCGCACCGAACTGTCGCGAGGTAGGACCCAAACCGCCAATTGTAAAGTGTCCGCCCGAGCCAACCTGTGGACAAGTTCCATGCGACATTGCTCGTCCTCCGGCATCAGATAGACGTTGCGTCACATCCCCCAGCAGAGTACCGGCTCCAATGGTCGCCTGCCATGTAGTTTCGTCCATGGAAAACTGTTGAATATTTTTGAGGTCGACAACAATTGCTCCGTCCGTTCCACCAAGGCCTATTGCAAAATTCTGTCAGTTCATCGTCAAAAATAATCATACACATGCTCCAGCATACCATAGTTTCCATAGCTATGACCACCGCTCTTGGCCTGGACATGGTATCCACGGTCTGCGGCACATTTCACAATGGCAGCAACCTGCGCCGATGAAGTAGGGAAGGCCACGGCAGCCGGGGTCACGGGAATATTCAGGTTGTATGGGCTCACATCCGAGATCTGGTATAACGGGTCGCTGGGGAAAGCGACATTGCCGCCTCCAGTCAGTGCGGAGTTCAGACACGACTCCAGGCCATCACCACCAGCTGCCAGAGCTGCCGGTGTCGCCCCCAGCGCGAGAAGAATATTTCGCAAGAAACTCATGCTTGTTGGTTAGGCAAGGTGCTGATGCGACCTGCCGTCAGGGGCTACCGGTGATGGATCGTAGCCCTTTGATCGAACGAAGGGTGCGGAGGGCCGAGGTGTTAAAAGAGCCGATCCGATTGTCAAAAGGAGAACACGAGGCGCGACAGGGAGAGAGCTACCTATTATAAGGCCTTTCTACTCTGGCCAGGGTCCCTTTTGAAATGCGCCACTAGGGGATGCGCCACGGGTCCCAGCGGCCGTAAACAAACCCATCGGAGAAATCAACCCGACCAAGGAATGTGCGAGATCCTCAGGGAATCCTTAACGTGCTAGGTGGAGAACGATGTCCACTTCCACGCGGAGTGTCAATTCTGTTTCCCAAGAGAGTAAATGCGACGGCACAAGCTTGCTAGGCACGCAGAAGCGAGCCATCGGTTATGACCTTGCCCCAGAATCGGCTCGGGGAGTGTCATAGGCTGGACCTTTCGGGCAAGTGATGAACATGGCCTATGCGCCACTATGTATTATCGTAGCCAGGCGAGATGCACATCTCACAGTAGACTGGTCATGGATGCGGCTAGCCTGCTCGCAATCTCGCCTAGTGGCGTCGATCTTTCGGAGGGGGGTTTCGCACCCAGGGGTAGATCAACAGGGCTCCCCAACGCTCGGGCCTAATGAACACCGCCAACGCCCTAGGAAAGCCAATCAATACGTCCCGCAATAGTAATGTCACATTGTAGTTCCAGCCGAAGTTAGAACCGAGGAATTTCAGGATCTGGAAGCATGTGGAATACACAATACTACCACCCCACGACTAATGAATGTTCTGAACTCGCATCTTTGATATGCAGCCTGATTTATGAAGCTTTGTTCTAAGGAAGTGGTTCGAGACCGGTCTATCAGCAGTATCATAGACAACAGATCCAACAGGCTGGTTCTCGGTGGCATTAATGCGGAGAGTAATCCAGGCGAGAAGACCGTCGCTTAATTTGTCGCCCACATACAATACTGCCTGATCGGGTCGATGCTGGCTTTCGCGATCTCCGGTAGGAAGACGTCAACGGCGTTGGTGGTATACTTGTTGGGGTCCCGATTGTACGGCCATGTCTTATAGATCTATTGCTTGAGAGACTCGTCGAAGAAAACGTTTGTTACGTGCGAGGCGTGCGCCTCGTACAAATCAGAGAGTGCATTGTTCTTTTGAAGGGTGGCAAGATCCATCTTATAGCACATTTCTGCAGAAGCGAATCGTTGTTTCCAACTCTCACAAAGCGGGACTTGCGGTCTTGACAAAGTTGGGAACTTCGACCAGCATGCAGGTTGTGTTTGACCATGGCTGTTACGCTGCAGAACCCTGCAAGGCCCTCCAGAGAAGACCTGACGACACTATCTCTCAAACAATCAAGCAGAGTGTGGCAATTAAAGATAAGTGGGGTTATACATTCTATATACCATGCCACGCCGACTCTAAAAGAACGTGGGGGCTTGACTCGAATTATATACAAGGCAATAGGCCGCATCTGCTTAGATCCGCGGAAAGTAGTTGGCTTCCTTGGTAATATCAGGACCAAAATGCGCCGGTTCCATCTCGGACTCGAACGGAATTGGTTCTTGCAGTCGCGTATAATCACCTGGCTGATTGGAACCATTGGGAATCCAGAACCGCTTGTCGAGCCGGGTAAGGGTCAAGAGGAAGAGAATGACGATTTCAAGCGTGAAGTTGAAGACGAAGAAGCAAGCCTTGGAGTCGTACCAGGCTGGGTTGGTCATTGGACGCTGAGGGCTCCACATCGCACCGGCTTTGAACCCGGCGATGAGCATACACAGACATGAAGACAGGGTTATAATGATCACCTGACTTCTTGCACTACCCTCACCGAACGTCTCCTGCTCCTTGGAGCGAGGTGGTAAAAGCGCTATGGCGATCTGGACGATCGGTAGGCAGGTGAAGGTAAGCAGGTAGGTAAGCGCAGCGAGCTCGACGTCCCGACACTGGGCCTGAGTGTGGGGGTTGAGGGAGTATAGAGAGACAACCATCGCGGTAATCACCATGATCAGCGCACCTGCGATCGAACCATATAAGACCTTACTGCCAATTCGCAGAACAGGATTCCAGCCGATTTTGGGCTGCCTTGCTCGCAGAATGCGTTGAGCACAGATGAAGTTGATAATGTAGACGATCAATACGCCCGCATTAACCATGATCTGCGCAGCGATGGCGATTTTAACATTGGTTGGGCGAGTCGCCCAAGCAATGCGCAGTACCAGTGTCGTTGTCCGGGCCATGCAGAAACCGAATAGCACCGCCGACATGACGAACTTCTTTCCTCGCCGACGATTCCGCTGAAAGATGGTCATGTTCGTCGCGGCGAAGCAGAGATAGAGGAACATGAAAACACCGCAGACTGGGATGTCGGGAACTGTCGTCGGCAGGCCGCCAAGCCCAGCTTCCTTGGAGGGATACGGTCCCCCTGATCGTATTTGAAGCGACATTGCGGGGGCTCGCCGTCAGAATGCTGCACAGAGGCTGTGGGAGGGCACAGAATGCGGAGGATGGAATGTGCATCCTGACAGCCCCTGGACTCGGCTGGACCCTCTTTATACGCCGTCTGTTCGGCCTTTGCTGGGCGCGAGACCGACATTATGTGTCCCGCCGTTCTAATATGACTTTGATCAGGCTCGAGCAACAATCTTCCAGGGCCGGTATACCGGCCGGCGATCACCGACCGCTCAGCAAATCAGAGAAGCGAGGAGGCTCGGTCTCGGACCGGTTTTCGTCCGCGGACAACCGCTCTTCCGCTGGCCGAAATAACGTCGCCGTCTACTTCGTCGCATATCTGCTCGCACTCATATGATTGCCTACCATTTCCTAAAGATGCCATCAGATCAAAATTCCCGATGTCGGAAAGGGACCAAAAGCTGTACGGAATGTAAGAGGTAGCCACAACATCACCGTGGTCAGCAGCTAACCACCCATATCAGGCCGACGACGGAAAGTTCGTTGCATTCGCGTCTCGGAAGACGCACCAAAGTGCCGAAGATGTGAAGAGCGAAGCTCCGAATGTGTGGCGCAAACGTATATCCCCCGGCCAGCGGAGTCGCGTCGGTCTTCACGATACCGGATTTCTCAGCTGGAATCACAGGTCGACAGCTTGACCAAAGCCGTGCATGGCATCGAGTCAAGACTTGGGTATCAGATAACTCGGCCACCAAAGCTAGTAGCTCCACCGAGCCCTGGAGCCGAAAGCTCCGACGGTAATTCCAGCGTTTCAGACATCCTCGAGGCAGATCAACCGTTGCATCTCCGGTCACTCTTTCAAAACGACTGGCTCAGCGTAGACTCTCGACAACAGGATGAGCAGGCAGCAGAACGCAGGGTGAAAGCATCCACACACCTACTTGAAACTGCCAGACGGGCGCTGCAAGTGCTAATCCCGCCGCGAGAAGAAGTATCAGATATTTCCAAGATGGGGCCTGGCTGGCTTACCATACAGAGTGTCATGCTGCCTCTGCCATTTACTCCTAAGTCCGAACCAGAACTTCTTGAAAGCTACGAGGAGATGAGCGATCCCGACGTGGATCCCATCCGCCTTGCCTCGTGGCTACTTACCATTGCCCTCACGGGTCAGCAAGCGCCTGCAGGCAACCACAGTTCAGGCACACAGCATGATATCTGGCAGCGGCGATTAGCCCTCTCTAGAGCCATTTCCGAGACGGTTGATAGTACAATTCTGTGTCATGATAAATTAATTGGTACAACTCGAGGGCTTGTAGTATTCATGCAATTCATTCGACTGTAAGTACATCTGGCTGGGGGTTTTTTGCCCCAAACTAACAAATTGACAGTCTTATCGGCCAGGGCAGTTTCCAGAAAGCATGGATTCGGCTCCGCCATGTCATTGCAATCGCAGAATTAATGGGTCTTCCTAAGACCTTCCACGCTACGCAACACAACAAGACCACCGGGATTGATGATGACCATACACAACTCTGCCGGGCCCAACAGTGGGAGTTAATATGCTCTGCAGACCGACTGTTAAGCATGGTCATGAACATTCCCACGGACACCAGCCGACATAAACAGACCAACGAGCCCGCATTGATCATTGATGGCGTTGTCCAGCCGGGGGTGTATCTTCGAAGATTAACCGACCTTGCCGGCAAAATCCAGCTGCTAGACGACCTGAATTTCGCGCCCGAGTCTAGCACCGAACTGTATACCTCGGCCCTGGAGTTGGTTCGAGAACTTAGGGCTCTGGCCTCGCAAACCCCAGAGTCCTGGTGGGCGCGAGGCACGGAGCGCGTCGAAGCAGATCATATAGTGCAGATGATGCACTTTTACATCTCGATGAGAGTGCATTTACCCTTTACTATGCGCCCAGATGCCGGTGAGGAATATTTCTACCACCGTCTAGCCTGTATGGACGCGTGCGAGTCTATTGCGCATCGATATCTCTTCCTCCGTCGCAAGCTGCCGCCTGGTTTCTTTCTATTGGGCATATTGGACCTCCAGGTGTTCAGCGCAACGGTTGTCCTCCTCCTCACTAGTCACAGCTCGTCCTCGACCAATCGCTTCAACCTGCGCATCGACAAGACCCGGATCGACACGGTGGTTGGCCAGGTCATCAACCTCATGCGCGAACGATCAGACGGTGCCCCAAACTCAGACTCTGCTAAGAACGCAGCCTCCACCCTGAACGCACTGAACCATCTGCTCCGCGAAGACGACAGCGGGAACCAGGTGCATCAATTAACCGTCAAGGTTCCCCTTTTAGGCAAGGTCCATGTTCGACGCAATCCCCAGATGTGGCAGGCGCCCAAGGCCGACAAGCCCTGGTTCCAACCCCAGCCAGATACCGGAGCGTGGAAGCTCAACGAACAGGTCTTTCCTGCGTCTTTTCAAGGGAATCCGTCAGTGGGAACTACGTGGGGTGCGCAGGAGGACTGGCAGCTGGACCGATTGTCCTGGTCCATTGAGAATAGCCACGAGAATTTATTCCAGGATTCTCTCATGATGGACACATTCGACCAGTTTGCTATGTAGCAGCACAATTTACGTGCACTGGAAATTTGCAAACGTGTACATTATTCTATCAAAAGGGAAAAGAATGTGTACCACCTAGCCTCAATCACCAGGTGCGGCGCGTCTTGGTCCACTTTCGCACGAAATCCTGTTTATCCTTCACCCCCAGACCAACACGCTTGACCCGGCCCAACCGGGCAAGAGATTCACCCACATGATCGAGCAGAGCTTTTTCAGCCGCGGTGATACCGTCACCCCCATTCATGGCGGAATCATGGTCTATAGTATCCAGGTAGTTGGTGTTATAGTTGGATTTGCGCGTAGATCGGGCCGGTGGCATGTCGATAGCAGCCGTGCTGCGGCTACTCACAATCGCCTCAGCGATGCGCACGCGGATACAATGCGTTGGCTTGCTGAGCAGAGCCCAGAGAAAGCTTATATAACTACCCGGCAGCGGGGTCACCACGTCCACGGGGGTATATCGAAGGCTGACCGGGAAAATCTTGGTCCGACCCGGCACCCCCAGTAGCGCATGACTCAAGGGCAAGATGCCTCGACTGTTGGTGGTCGTGCATTCGGGGAACAGGACGATGGGCCGGTTGGGGTATTTCTCCACCAGATCGGCCATGTCCACCATCCGGGCGCCGGGTGCAGGCCGTGTGGATGGAGAAGCAAAGGCGCGGAAGATAGCCTGGAGGAGGGAAATGCGCTCCACCATTCGGCAATCGGGGTATGACGCGGTGAAGACCGGGTCGAAAATGGCAGCGAGGTACACGGCATCAATGGGGGAGGTGAAAGAGGAGGCGATGACCGATCCCGGTTGGGGCAAGCGGGCTTGCTGCTGCTTGGAAAGTGATCTGGAAAGTGATTGTCAACAACCTCTGTACTTGCCAGTGTGATGGAGAGAGAACGAACCCTTTCCTCACGCCGTCAATCTGCAGATCGATCCACCAGATACTCGGCACGCCCAAGATACACCAGAGGGCCGCCTTCTTGCCCAGCGAACCAATCGGGAGCCATTGGAGAACGAGGAAGTAGCTGACGGTGACGAAGATGAAGAGGGGGAGGCGGAAGCAGAAGAGGAAGAACCGCAAGGGCGCTTGCAGGCCAAGGGGCTCGGATGGGATGGGCAGAAAGGGCGCAATACCCGAGCCTGGCGCAAAGTCAATTGTTGGAAGTTGGGAGGATTAGGTAGATGAATCCACACATACCGCGATCTCGGAATTGGGAGTACTTTTCCATTTGGGGGTTTGGCCTTTTTTGATCCCGAAGCACAATGTAGTGTCGAGATTTCAGCTGGGAAGCGCAGCGCGCTAGGGACTTGTGGAGGAAGTCGAGCAACAGCAGCTGAAGAAAGTGAAGGGACGGAGACATGTGAAGAGCGGTCACATGATCCTATCGTGCCTGAGGATCGTGCCTGAGAATCGTGCCTGAGGCTGCCATTATATAGCTATTCCCAAAGGTCGTTATCATACATGGTGGTTGTTAGTTAGGGTTAATGTGAACCTGACCCTGGTGAATGGCCGTCTAAAATACATAATCTAAACATAATGGCCCGAATGCAGACATGCTATATACAATAAGATAATATACACCCAAAAAGTTCACTCCACGTGTTCCTCCTCGTCAAGCTCCCCAACCACAAACTCTGGCGCTGCGGACGACGAGGTCGGCAGTTGGAAACAGTAGATGGCCAGACCGACCAAGCAAAACAGACAACTCGTCATCATCCACGCCAGGCCGATCCAGAACCCGCCAAGTTGCAGGCCCAGCTGGAAGACCGACGTGATGGTCAGACTGGCCACGACGTTGCCGAGCGATTGCAGGATCTCGATCGCCGTGTATAGACGCGCGGTCTGGTCTCTTTCCACCAGTGTGGTGATCAGTGAGCGCGTCAGAAACATGAACCCCGACCCGGAGGTCTGGATGATCAGGCTAGGGATCAGAGCCGCCACGGACGGGGAGAGGCCGATCCCGAGAGTTCCCACCGTGAGGCAGCAGAGACTCGCACGAGCCAGCCAGAGATCCTTTTCGGCGACCGAGCGTCGCGGATTCAACATCCGATTCTTGATATACGGGATTCCCCAGAGGAAAAGTGGCACAGACACCAGAGGCTTGAAGGACACCAACAGGTTGGCCTGCGCGAGGGTCCATTTATACCGCGTGGAAATGTACTGGGTCAGGAACCAAGACGAGCCCCGACTCAGGCGGTACACTAAGAATGCGCTCAGCAGAAGTAAAACCGGCTTCCGGTTCAGGATGAATGTATACGGCGCCACATAAAATCTGTAGTTAGCGCGGCACCTGGCCAGCAGGGACTGACGCGGATACGCGCTAGGAGGGGCCGCGGACAGGGGGTCTTCACCGTCGAGGTCCAGGTCACTGTCGTCGTGATATAGGCCCGGTCCTTCGGGCTTGTGATAGTGATGTTTGGGTTCGCTGTTCTCGGATAGTTCCGAGAGCTCGACGTGAGAGGGCTCGGGTTTGCCATCTGGCAAGGCATGCTTGGTCTCTGGCAGAAACAGTGTGAGCGACATGCCAGCGAATACAATCCCCCAGCCGATTAGCATAGGCACCCATGGATTCATGGTCATCAGCCATGAACTGACCGCGCTGAACACAAAATCAGCGCCCATGGAGACAATGCCGAACTGGAAGAAGAGCGCAGATCGCTCCGACTCGGTGGTCACGTCGGCCATCATGGTCCAGATAATGGCAAACGCCACAACTGGACCACCCCCGACCAGCCAGGCCAGGCAAGACAGCCAGACCGCGCGCAGGGGGAAAATGTCCGAGAACCACGTCACAGTCAGGATGATGATCGTGTGAATGGCAAAGCCGGGGATGGCCAGGCAAAGCGTGGGTTTGCGGCCGCGCCGGTCTGCCAGCAGACCGTAAGGGAAGGCGAGGAGAGCAGCTGATCAGTCAGTTGATAGTCCATCAGGAAAGAAGGCGGGAAAACTGATCAACCTACTCATCAATCCATCAAAGAACACGTGGTACCCCTTGACCGCCGCCAATTCCGACTGGATGTCCGGTAGTTTGCACAATTTCTCGGGCACTTGGCCATTCGCGCCAATTTTGGACGGATCGACCTCGCCATAGTACTGGCGACAGGCAATCGCCTCGAAGATACGGACCATCGGTCCTTCCAGGAAGGCGAACCCGACTTCGACCATGAGGATCATGGCGAACAGGATCACTTTCAGGCGGAACCCAATGGCTTTGGCGGAGGCATTAGTGGGCTCGGGCCTCAGGTCTGATGAGATCCTCGGTTTGGAGTCACTGTGAGAATGGCGTGCGCGCACGGGGGACCCGGGGGCTGAAGGGGCAAGAAACGGCGCATCCTCGCGGTCGTCGCGGTCGAGGGGCTCATGGTGTTCCGGGGCCATGACGGACGGTCATTCCGCGAGATCGGGAGAGGAAAAGGAGGGAGAAGGAGAGAGAGAGAAGAGAGAGAGAAGAGAAAGAGGAACGGAGAGCGTGTTCCGTCTGATTGACAGCATGGTCCAGTGTTACGTGAGCCTGGGGGAGACGTTTCGGGAAGACCCACCGAACTCAGGGGGCCAATTCTATAGTTAGTCGGGCTGGGTGGGGCTCGGCGGATATGATTGACGCTACTGGACAGAGAAGCTGAATAACTCTTTACGGAGGACATAATCAGAATAGTGAAGTATGTTCAATTAATATCCCGCCTCTTCAAATAAACTCGCCCGCACTTGCACCACCGCCGAAAGCTCCAGCACGAATTCGTACAGGATTACCACGTTCGTCAGCACATGTCCCAGCGTCGCTGCAGATGCCCGTTCCCCACCAACCGTGGGTTCTTCGGGCTGGGTAGAATCAGTGTCTGCCGTCGTGGGAGCAGCAGTGGTAGGAGGGAACGGCGTGGCTAGTCGCTGCCGCAATGCCTCCGCAGCGGCCGTGCGAGAGACGGAGGTGCCCCGGGATTCAGCCTGTGGTGCCATCGATGCCTCGCGGCGTGCAGGACTCAGTGCGACGGCAGGTGAGCTCGAGGGGAGAGGGGAACGGCCCCGGGAGGCTGCAGGATCTGGTGACCCGGGGAAAGATGGATGCGATCGGTCTGCTGGCGTAGGAGCCCGCGGCTCAGAGGGCTCGCGCGATCGGTCTGGGGTGCGAGCACGACCGTCCTGGTGCAGTAGCTCTCGTCGGGCGGCAATCAGGACGTCGAAGTCGGGAAGATCCCGCTGCCATTGACGGACCTGGTCAACTAAACGTTGGACGGCACAGGTCAACGTAGGAGCGGCACTCGGGGGCCACGTAGGCGCCTGGTAGGCCTGGCGGATGCGGTCCAGCGCATCGTCCGTCTCCTCTGGCACGGAAGCATCGTACTGGGCCGGGTCGACCAGCACCCAGCCATCCAGCGAGAAGAGATGTGACGAGGCCAGACTGATGAAGACGCCCGTCAGCGCCAGGTTGACAATCACGCTGTTGGTAAAAAATGTGCCCAGGCATTCGAGAAGCGATTTCACGAGAGGATCGTCCTGTTGGAGCTGCATCGGTAGCGGGAATGCCTCAGCTTCGTCCCCAGCAGTGACAGGCAGACACAGACGGGATTCGAGAACCCAGGTCGCATCGGCAATGTAGTTTTCGTAGGACTCACTGAGTGTTGGGTCATCGATCAGTGAGCTAGCCAGGCCCACCAGTTGTTCGAGCTCAGCGTTGAATGCCCCGATAGACCGCTGCTGCGCTGGTTGAGTAGGGATGGTGTGGACCAAGCTCCGCGCAAACGGGTGATGCCGCTGCAGGACAACAGTCAAAAGCCGTAGCGTCGCGAGTACGGTCTGTCGGTTAGACGACTGGAGTCCGAGGAGAGCCAGATCGCGTAGATTGAAGAGCGACGGAGGCGGCTGGGCCGCTTCGGATGACAGCGCAGCCAGCACCGTCAGTGATTTCCGCCTGCTAGCGGACATGTCCATCTGCTCCTTCGGAGGAGCAGAGGCAAGTAGGAAATGTAAGATACGATGCACCAGCTCGCCTTGGTAAACCGAGTCCAGAATCCGACACAGGTAGGTCAACACGGCTGCTGTAGAGCCGCCCGCCACGTCCGATGATTCCAGCAGAGAAGGGTAAAGAAGCTGCTCGAGGAAGAGTACCTGAAAGTGATCCAACAAGGTATCGTTGACCTCGTCGGACTTACAATGGTCGATCGTGTCTTGCCAGAACAACAGGTATGACATGAACGAATCCATCGGTTGGCCTAGTTGCGGCTGCAGGGCCGTCTCCTGCTTTGCGTGGTCTGATAGGGCAACGATATGAGGCACGTTGTCACCGGAAGGGGTAAAAGACAGACTGTAGTATCATCAGCAGGGCCGCACTGGTTATAGGAATCAAAACTCACCTGCCGAGCTGGCTGTAAAGCGCACCCAGCCCAGTGGCCATCAGCGTAGCCAAATCACTCTCAATCAACCATTTCTCCAAGTCCTTGGACCTAGACGCCGTCTCGATCAAGTACAGTAGCCCCGTGCGCGCAAAGTCACCGGCACGGCCCTCGCTATGAACATAGTCCACCAGCAAGTAGAACAGTGGGAAGTCATCCTTGCGCATGGTTCCTGCAAATTCCGATCCGCTCGGAGCGGGTGACTCTCCATCCTGGGCTGCCCTGGGTCCAAACCACGCGGGCAGGATGGCAGGTTGCAGACGGATATTGTTGGCGATGCCGAATAGTAGTTCCACGAGTCTCCCTTCAATTTCATCGGTCGGCTTTTCGGACCGGCGAACGAGGTCCACCAGCGCGCGAGCGAATAGTCGGTTGTCTACCACGCCGTCGACCTCGGCGTCGATTAGGGTGTTGAAGAAGAGGGTGGCCGATCGGAGGACCCCTTCGTCGTAGTAGGACAAGGCGAGCTTGGTAACGGTGACGAAGACCTGGGACGAGGCCGCATAGGCCACACAGGGATGTGGCGCCGGTCCACGCGATTCTTCGCTGAGGATGGAATTCAGTCGTTCAATGTAAGCGCGAGCGTGGGCCGCCGACTGCTCGCCGGCTGGGGCATTGGTGGAGCGCCATATTTGCTAAGTCCGAATTCAATGAGCGAGTCTGTCCTCCCAGTCAGGAGAGGTTCGATTCCGTACCTGGAGAGCGTTGCAGGCGCGCTTGAATGCCGTCAGGCGCTCGGTGGGTAAGGTGGCCTTGGAGGTCTTCTTAGACAGTGCGCGCGAGCCGCCGATGAGACGAGACCACTAGAGAGAGAAAGAAGGAGATAATCAGTACCATCCATGGCAGAGCAAGGGATCCCACATACAAAGTCCATGATGCTGCGCGAACAGCATGATCTCCGTTCGCAAGTTGTTCGGGTCGAGGGGGCGGAAGGGAAGGAACGTGTGGAGCCGGTGGAACGGGTTGTTGATTTTCAGAAGTACAACTTGTACTAGAAGCTACATCCAAATCAATCATCGTACTGCCACTAACCATAATCCAATCCGATCCGATGGACTGTATCGAATCCAGGACCAATACGAAGCTATTCACAAGAAACATGCCCTCGAAATACGACAAACCCCAGCCGTCCCAACGCCAGATCATAATAGCGAAAAAGAGAGCGAAAAAAAAAAACCAGAACGAGAGAAACGGGAGAATCCCGCGGAAAATTGTGCCCAGTGCGCCTGCTCTCCAAGAATCCATCTAGCACAGTCATGAGTCGTTGTATGGGACGTCGCTAATCACTCTCCTCCTTGGGGCGACGCCCGCCACGCTTCCGCCGGCCTTCGTTCTGGTCGCTGCCGTCGTCCTCGTGTTTTCGCCCAGCCGGTTGGTCGGGCACTTTGGCAATGATGTCGGCGAGGAAATCCAATACTTCGTCTTTGGCCACCGCGTGCTTCAGGTGCCAGGCCGTGACACGTTTCGAGTTGCGCTCTTTGGCTTCATGGGCGGCTTTGGTGACCAGGGAGATCATGAAGAGCTCCAGTGCCTTGGCTGTCGAGGGTTGTCAGTTCGGAGCACAACATGGGACCAAAAGGGAAGATCACGTACACACTGCGATTGGCGTCACCTGGGCGACTTTGCCGACATCCTCATCGGCCTGCATGATGCGCTTGATGCGCGCCACGGGGAATTTGGTCTTGACCTCAATTCCGGCGCCGGGTTGTGGTTGTGCCTCCTCCGGCATGATGGGCGCCGCTACGGGCTCGACTGCGTATGGAGTGTGAAAGGACTCGGGGACGGCGGCAACGGGCGCGCCGTCCGTGGCGGAGAGTCGCGACGAGCGCCGGGCCATGTCGGGATCCAAGCCGGCCAGGGGAATCGGTGGCACGTACTGCTGGGTCGTCCGGCTGGCCGAGCTAGGACGCTGGTAGTTGGAGGAGAAGAAAGGCGAGGCGTCGTAGGAGGCGCGGTGAGCCAGTGGACTGGTCAGCGGCGCGTACTGGTCGGGCGGAGCGGTGGAAGGAGGGAATTGGAGCGAGGAGAGGTCTGGGGAGCGAGGGCGATAGTTGTCCTCTGTCATGCTGGGGTGGTGGTGAGTGTGAGCATCAGTCGTCCAATGGGTGTTGCAGAAGTGTCAGTAGGAAGTTCGTGGGAGGAAGAGAGAGAAGGAAAGAAGGAAGAAAGTGGCCCGAGCTCTCGAGGGAACCACGGCCCTTTTTATCTTTTTTGATCCACCATTCTTGCTTTCCTTCGTTCACCTCGGTGCATTCTTGATGATAATGATGATGATGATGATTTACTAACTCAGTACGTCCACAGTGGCTAACAGACTTAGTACATGTAGCTTCACGGCTGTAGGTTCACGGCTGGCCTTCACTACCATCGGTGAGACAGGACACCTCGTCCCGCCAGACCTCGCTGCTCCAACCCACCACCCCGCCGATGATGATTCCAGGAGTCCGGAGACACCACCCGCGGGATGATGCCACGCTGATGGTATCGCCCGTCGGCGTCGCTGAGGGACCAAAATTACTTGATCTAATCTGAGGACGGGAGGTGCGTTGGTGCTTGGATACCGGATCCTGAGGTTCTCCATCTCCCTAGCTTCGTACCCCGGTAACTACCAAGATCGATCTCTCTATGCCGTATAGGTACCTGTCCATAGATATCCCGAGGTCCATGTATCTAGATCTATCGTACAATAATCAGATGCAAGAGTGTCTGCGATGGTCGCTCTCTCCTCCGGACCAAGGTTGTTCCGTTCCCCCAAATGGCCGTCGCGTGTCTGATTCTTCCCGACTTCCTCGCGCTTCTTGCTCGACGATGTCTATGTCTGCTCTTGCCCACCGGTGAATCGCACTTTCCCTCTCAACCCTGAGCCGCCATGGCCGCGGCGGATGCGCCGGTTGGCCTGATGGACATTGCCACCACCCTAGCGCCGGCCGAGATTCCCTTCAAGCTGCGATGCGCCATCTGCAGCAACCTCGCCCTGAACGCTTTCCGTCTGCCGTGCTGTGACCAGTCCGTCTGCGAAAGCTGTAAGTGTTCATTCCCTCGCAGAGCCCCCGAAGCAGTCAGTCGCTGACAGACCTCGGTCCTAGGCCAAGGGTCCCTCCACGATACCTGTCCCGTCTGCGCGCACACGCCCGTCTCGGCGGACCTCTGCAAGCCCAACAAAGCTCTGCGGACCACGCTCAAGGCCTTCCTGCGCACCGAGGAGAAGAAGAGGGAAAGGGATCGCCAGGCCACGGTCCCGCCGACGCCCGACACACCGCCAGACAGCGTCGCAGCTCCGCAACAGACGCCCACAGAGTCGAAGGCGACGGAGCCAGCCCCGATCTCTACGACTCCGGATGCGACCCAGCCCGGAAAGGCAAGCTCGGAAGAGACGTCGGCCGATGCGGGGCCGGCTGGCACGACGACCGAGATCGAAGCAAAGACCGAGCCGAAGCCTGTGGACCAGGTAGGATTTTTGCATCTGAGTGCCTTGCGATCACCCAGCTAACAACTCTCACAGCCCGAACTTGCAGCTGATCAGCCGGTTACGTCTGTCCAAAATGCCGATGCGGGCAATACCGCTGAATCGAACAACTTTCCCGCCGAGGCAGATGTGCCAATCTACCACGATGATTCCGCCATGGCTGGACCGCAGGGCTTCTCACAGCAACAAAATCTCCAGTTTTTGCCCCAAAACATGGGCTCCGGAGGCTTCCCCGGCATGGGCTGGAACGGGAGCGCCAATTTTGGCGCAATGAATCCATACATGGCCAATGGCATGTTCAACTTCCCCAACGCGATGGGTCCGTTCTCCCTAGACATCCCTGTCCGCTGCCAAACCACTGACTCTCTCTCTTGCTTCAGGAATGCCGATGGCGATGGACCCGATGGCCGCAAATCAGGGGATGTTCGGTGATTACGGAATGAACATGTCGGGCATGATGAACATGGGGGTGAACTACAACGGGCAGGGCATGTACGGATCCTTAGGATGGGATGGCTCCCAGCAAAACAACATGTGGCATGGCGGCCAAGATAAATTCAATCCAAATGCTTTCGCAAATGGCACGGGCCCTCCATACGGAGCGGCATTTGGCGGGTCTAATATGTCTCCTTACCCTTCTAACCCGGACTTCCAGGCGGGCTATCATGGGCATGGTCGTGGTGGGTTTCGAGGCCGGGGCCGAGGCCACTTTGCTAATGCCGGACGAGGTGGTTTCGGGGGATCAGGCCCTTATATGCAAGGTGCCCACTCACCAGCGCTCCCCAGTCAGTCTCCCCCCAACGGTACCGCTCCAGGCGGGAACGATGGGACCCATACCGGCCCTGTATCTAATGAAAATGCTGCCGCCGAGGATTGCCAGGAAGGAGCTGCAGCAGCAGAGGGTCCGCCGGGCGATCAGACTGACCAGCAGCTCCGGGGAATTCCCACTATTGACAGCTTCGATCAACCAGTTTCAATGAAGCCCGGTGCGTACGCGACCCCTATGGGATCTGGATACGGGAGAGGTGGGTACATGCGCGGACCTGGCCGCGGTGGGTTTCATGGTGGTCCGATGTCTGGACCCTATCAGCCCACTAATACGCCCGTGGAGCCTCGTGGCGTCGGTGTGGAAGGTGCCCCAGCTGCACCGCGAGCAATGCGTCAAGGTCTTCCCAATACCAGCGTATTCCGACAGCGCGGCTTCCAAGTACAGGGCCTGGCCAGTAGTCACTCACGTGGACAGTCACAAGGGTGAGCATTCTGGGGACCGAAGTGCGAGCAGATATACTAAAATAACATCCATGCAGGGCAAACTCGGAGACTCCTCGCGACAACGTCCAGTCGCCACCCCCCGCCAACGCCCCATCTAAACCCGCGGGATCTCGGTCTCAATCACCCTCACAGACCCAGGTCCCTCGCTCTCCTTCTCCCAGTGTTCACGACCGAGACGATGGTCGAGATAGCGGACGTGAAAGAAACCCGGAGCGTAGTGGCCGGACTGGTCAAGATCGGCCCTCCCGATCCAGGTCCCCTAAAACTTCCCGCCGGTCCTCCCGGCGACGACACCACGAAAATGACGGAGACGGAAAAAGCAATCGTCGCCCTCACCACTCTCGTCGTCATCGCAGCCGAACAGGCAGTCGCAGCCGCAGTCCAAGCCGCAATGGAGACTGTCACCATGCGGATCGGCTAGCCCGAATCGCAGAAGAGCCAAAACCCAATGGACGCAGCAAAGCACCAGCTTCAGAAAAGGGCGGACGTGATCTCGCCAGTCGGATCAGCACTGGTATGCGATCCCGTCACCGTGAGGAGGAGCGCGAGAGTGGCCGGGACCGGGAACGTCGTCGTCGGGACCGGAAGCGCGATCGGGATCGTGATACCGAAGGCGAACCTCGTCGGGACCGTGAACGTGAAAAAGACCGCGTGCGGGAGTCCGATCGAGAACGCCCCCGCGAGCGGGACCGCAAGAGATCCCGTCGGGATCGATCTGAATCGGCTAACGCAAGTGCTCATCCCTCTCGAGAACATGCCCGCCGCACCAAGCGCAGCCGCGCCAACGACGGCCAAGCTCAAGACAGTCTGAACGATCCAGCCGAACCGCAAAAGGACCCGCCACACTGGAGCGCGAGGCGCGCAATCGCGAGCGTCTTCTGCGTGAACAGCAGCGGCGTGAAATGGCCAAATCGGGTCGTCGAGACAGCCGGCCGGACCGCGTGCTGAGTGGCCGTCCCATCAACTACAAATATGAAGATGAGCTTGATCACTAGATAGTGCATTGCTGGGAGGGGTTTACATGGGCATAAACTGGAGTGGCTTCTTTTCCCTTTGCACAGTTCATTATTTCCCTTCTGGGAACGAAACCGAAAGTCCAGTAGATATGGTCTTTCCGGGCATCAGTCCGAGCAGCCCGAGTAGATAGAAAATGATATGCTTGTCCAGCAATAATTGAGTTGGGGTTGCCACGATTAACGTGTAATCTCTAATACTGATAGGGTTGGTGGTATCAGCGAGGCACAGATATATATATCTGTGGCACCAACACCCTAACAACGTAGACTTGTCGCGAAACCAGAAAAAATTACAATGCTAAGAACACAACAGATTGATCCGCATGTATTGACAATTCCGCTAAGAACAATTCATGTTTATCCACATTGCGCCGGACCAGACATCGCAGATACGCAACACACGAGAGACGTGAATCCACTCCAGCACCTCCAACCCATCGACACATAACAGCAACATAATCAACAAGGCATATACCAACTAGGTCAGCTTGCTCTTGAGCGACTCAATTTCGCCGGTCAGGATCTGTATCTGCTGGGCCTGCGTGGCAATCGTCTTGGTCTGCTCAGCAATCAGGTTCTTAATCTCTTCAATTTCCCGGTGCACGGTGGCGACGGGCAGGTTCGATTCGCTAGCCGGGGATGAGGTAGTGAGAGTCTGTGCGATAACCAATTAGCGTACTGTCACTTGAAACATCCTGATCGGGGTATCATCCACATACAGCGACGCTTGGTTGTGGCATGGGCTCCTCTTTAGGTCGCAGAGGGCTGCTGACTCGGGGCGAGGATGACTCGGCCACGACCGGTCGAGCGGCGCGCTCAACCGGCTTAGGAACCTCCTCAAAACTGGAGGCATCGTCATCTTCTTCAACGGTATCGGCATCATCCTCCTCGTCGGCAAACTTGTTCACCATGGCCGCCATCGACGCGCCTTGCTCCTTCATCGATGGAGCTGGTTTCGCCACGGGGCTGGGTTCCGGCACAGGCTCCGGCTCCGGCTTCTTGGCCACCGGCTCGGGTTTCTTCTCAATGGGCGTCGACTCAACAGGCTCCATAGAGCCCGTCGGCTTGTCCTGGCTTCCCGACACCTCTTGGATACCCTGCCCGTCGTACAGACTGGCCATGGAAATCTTGGGAGGAATTGCCTCTTTGCCAGCCAGCCAGTCGGACGAGCCCATAGCTGGGGTCAGGCCAATCGTGGCCGGGTAGATGTCATCCTGGAAGGTCTCGGACCGACGGGGAACAATGAACGAAACAGGCTCGATGTATGTGTCGTTGACCGTCTTGTAGGCCCGGGCCACTTCGTGTTCGTGCATGTTCACACCGCGCTTAGGCATAAACGCGATACCACGCTGCGGGTCGGCAGACTTGTGCTCGGAGAGGAATTCGAATTTGTCATTCTCCAGCTCAAAGTAGCGGATGTTACCATCACTGGATGAATTAGTACTTGGCCGCAGAGTGTGATATGAAGCACTTACCCTCGTCCAGCCAGATACAAGCAGCTGGTACCATCGTCCCAGAAGGGCATGCACACACCGGAGATCGAGTCCAACGTCTTGAAACCATTGATGGGTTCCCGCACCGCACGGATATCCCACAGGGCCAGCTGGCGGTCACTCATCTTGGAGAAGCCGGTAGTCGCGATCCGGTCGCGCTCGCCCAGCCACACCGAACGACTGTTCTTGGCCCCCGTGTGTCCATTTGTCTCGTGTGCCGGCCGTTCCTGACGCACGTCCCATATTCGCAGCTTCTTGTCCCGCGACGTGGTGACCAGAAGTGAGCCGTTGGCACTCCACGACTGGGACTGCACAATGTCGCCGACGTTCAGGGTCAACTTCGGAGCACCCGCCTCGATATCCCAGATCTTCACGGTATAGTCGCCCGAGGCTGTTGCCAGCACGTTCTCTGCCGCGGGGTTGAAAAGCACGTGGCCGATCTTTCTGCAGGGCCGTTAGCACTGCTGAGCGTCGCGCACTGATGGCTGTTCTCACTTGGGGTGGCCAGTCAATTTCCCGACAGGCGCAATGTCCTTGATATCATCCGGGTCGGCATCGGAGCGGACGGTGAAGTTCTCCGGGACCCGCCAGAGCAAAACCTGGAGCTGGTCAGCGGCAGAAAGGAGGCAGGTTACTTGTCCGACTCTACCTTTCCGTCATCCGAGCTCGAGGCAATCAGATCATCATTGAAAGGGTTCCTGCAAGGATGGTGTAAATTGCAATTTCCATGATAACCTCCCGTGCTTGCGCGCACTGTTTCCTTACCAATCGGTGTCTAGAACGACCGCGGTGTGACCACGGAACAGAGGGATTCTGTCCGGCAATTTGCCACGCTCCTCCAGAGGAAGAACCGCAAAAGCGCCTCCACCGCCAGCTTCCCAATTGACCGCCAAATACTTCGGGTTGACCTAGATGTGGCGGGTGAGACGAGTAACAGGAGCGGTGGATGGGAGGGTGGTCACGCGCACCTTGACCAAATTGGTATCCCAGGCGTTTCTCGAGACGCGGAGATTATCGTAGCATTGTTCCTGCAGTCGGAGTCAAACGGATGTGTTGGGCGCATCAAAATTCGGCAAGGATGTACCTTTCGTGTCGGCCGCCCGAAAACGTGGCCTAAGACGGGCCGATTAGCCTTTTACCGTGAAGCCTGCGGGGGATTAAGGGGGAGCCATACGGTACTTGGAAGAACGTACAAACCGCCCGGACATGATGGGCGACCAGGAATTGGAGAGGTAAAGGACAAATGGGGGGAGTGAGGGGAGCAGAAGTTGGAGGAGAGAAAGAGTCGAGTCGTGGAGACAGTGAGACGGGGGCTGCGTGCCGCCGGTGTCGGGAATGCGGTGGAGTCGAGGGCGATCCCGACGTCAGGGAGCCAAACAGTGGATAGTGGGTAGGGTTGGCAATAATAATGGAGCAGAGAGGGAGCAGTATTCTGTATGCCTCGAAGAGAAGATGATTTCACGTCCAATAAAGCTTTCACCAAAAGAAAGAACCACATTTGAAACAAAGAACACCTGAAACTCAGCAAAGGTCACGTGCACAGCTGAGTCAGCTATTTGTTTACTCGGTCTCTCCAGAAACGAGCGCCGATCAACAACAGTCAGTGCTTCAACCAACTAACTGACTACCTCACTTCTCCCAACCACCATTATCGTTTCAACCGAGGACCGTGGCTGGCCGTGAACTCCTCCTCCTTGTCCGCATCCTATACTCGCCCGTGACCTGGCGGACAACGAGTCTCACCATGGAGGATGAGAACATGGTACATAAACACATCAATCGAGCATGGATTGACAGGGACTGACCGGCCGACAGACACACGCAAGGGCATCTGCCCGGACGCGCATCCCCCAGGCTGGTCTCCGCGAGATGACTTCGGCCACAACCAATTCGCGCTCGGGCATTCTTCCTCCTGGCTCCATTGCCAGCAAGGCGAGCGTCTCCCGTATGCAACACTCTCACTTGCCTTTCAATCCGAGTTACTCATCACGGCAGTAGCAACCCGTCCCAAGACAGCCAATCCCACCGAAACGAAACGATCTGGCTCCATCACTCGCCCGACTAAGATGCATAATAGAGGGAACTCCTTTGCTTCGTCGACCATATCACGACCAGGTTCAACCACCACCCGACCGACCAACGGGTCATTTTCCGCCACCGTCGGTTATGGCGCGCGACCCCCATCCGCGATATCTCGACCACAATCATCCCTGGGTGCGACTCGCAAACACGCAGGTCCATCAGTCTCGCGCCCAGCAACATCGTTGGCCACCCACAGTGAAGAGACAGGCAGTGTTCTCGGAAAGCGAAAGGGTATGCAACCTTTTTCTTTGTTTCCTACCTGCAACCCCTGTTACCCATTTGGAACCCAAGATGCACGGAGTCGCCGGGATTATGACAGGCACTCGGTCAGATCCTCTGTTGATGTAGGAAGGGACCTTGTGCTCTGATTTCTCCCGGTTGACTACGTGTGGAGCTGTCGTCGATTCGGCGCGGAGCCCATCTCCCAGTCGTCCCAAAGATTTCTATAAAGCCCCTTTGCCTATGTCCAAAGTCCCTGTCATGGAAACCCATGTCAGACCAAGATACAAAACCCCATCACCTTCCCCTAAGCGTTCCATTAGAAAACCGCAGCCACTCCTGTTCCTTCGCAAGGATTCCTCAGTCCAGACCTTTGACCATGCTACAGATGCCGAGTGGGACCAGGAGTCTCGGGAGAATAATATGGAGGACCTTTTCCTAAAGATGATATCGCAGTTGAACAAAACCGGACAGGAGAGCTTTGGTCTCAAAGAGACGGTGGATCTATACAAGACCAGAAGTAAGTCAAGCCAATTCTTGGGAGGAAATGCCACTCTAACTGCTTGACGCAGTCAGCGAACTGGAAAGTTCTCGCGACGGCCTGACCGAAACCAATCTGACTTTGCGGGTGGAATTGGAATCACTGAAAACCCAGCTCAGTACCGCCGAGAACGCATTGAAAGATGCACGACGAGAGCACGAAATTGCCCTTGATGAACTCGACCGCCGCCATTGCATTGAAATGGAGTCGATCAAGCAGGATGGCAAGACGGACTTGGAGATACTGGGTGTCCGACATCAGGACGAGATTCGGGAGCTGAAAAGGCAGTTTGAACGGGACATCGAGGATGAGAAAGCTGCCCGCGTCCGAGAACTGAGCCAGCTCACATCGCAATCTGCGATGGATACCCAAAAGACACAGATCGAATTGGAGAAGAAGGATCGTGAACTCACCTCTTTGGAGAAAGACCTGCACGTGATGAAAGTTGAGCTCGAACGCGAGCGGAGGAACACCATGGACCTCCGCCAAAACTTGGATACAGCGAGTAGCAACAGCGTCACATTGGAATATTCACTGCGGGCCCTCAAGGCACGTATTGAATTCCTGGAAGGTGGACGAGAGGAACAATCCGAGGCCTTTGAGCGATGCAACCAGCGGATGATGGACGCGTTGGCGGAAACTGACGCCGTCAAGGAAAAACTACGCAAAGAGGAGACCATGCGGCGTAAGCTTCACAACCAGGTGCAGGAGCTGAAAGGCAACATCCGCGTGTTCTGCCGTGTTCGTCCATCGTTGAATGGGGAACCCGACTCTGATATTACTCCGATGCAGTTCGCCGACCAGTCGGACGATGCCAAAGAGATCAATGTCCTGGGCCCGGAAGAGAAGAGCAGCCTCGGTACGATTTCGCGCAAAAACAACACTTTCTCCTTTGATCGGGTCTTCGGCCCGTCAACCCAGAATGGCGAAGTCTTCGATGAGATCAGCCAGCTGGTCCAGAGCGCGCTGGACGGCTACAATGTTTGCATTTTCTGTTATGGGCAAACTGGCAGTGGCAAGACATACACCATGTCCTCGCTAGACGGTATGATTCCCCGTGCCGTTCATCAAATCTACGACACCGCGCAGAGCTTGGAAGAGAAAGGCTGGGGGTACACGATGGCGGGCAACTTTGTCGAAGTGTACAACGAGAACCTCAACGACCTTCTGGGTAACCCGGAGGAGTTGGATAAGAAGAAGCACGAAATCCGACATGACATGCAACGTGGCAAGACTACCATCACCGACATTAACACCGTGCACCTCGACTCCCCCGAGATGGTCGAGTCCATCCTCAAACGGGCGGCGGCCAATCGGTCGGTAGCGGCCACCAAGGCCAATGAGCGTTCATCACGATCCCACTCCGTCTTCATTCTCAAGCTCATCGGCGAGAACCACATCACCGGTGAACGCAGTGAGGGGACTCTCAACTTAGTCGATCTGGCCGGTAGCGAGCGCCTTAGCCACAGCGGTGCTACAGGTGAGCGTCTCAAGGAGACGCAGAACATTAACCGCAGCCTCAGTTCCCTTGGTGATGTGATCGCCGCCCTGGGTCAGGGCAAGGATGGTGGACACATCCCCTACCGGAACAGCAAGGTATGTTTCCTGCACGTGTCTTTTCTGAGTCCCATATTAATGACAATCCAGCTCACCTACCTACTCCAATTTTCACTGGGTGGAAATTCCAAGACGCTCATGTTCGTCATGGTTAGCCCGCTCAAGGACCACTTGTCAGAGACGTTGACCAGCTTGAAATTCGCAACCAAGGTGCACAATACCCACATCGGCACGGCCAAGCGTCAGGCCCGTGTTCGAGACACTTGATTTATGATGATACCTCTTTCTTCGCTTCTGCATATACTGCTCTTTGTTTGTCTTATGGGTAGAGGTCTTTTTGATGAGCCTGTCTTCTACCCCCGGAGTTTTGGGTTACTTGTTTGGTGTCGTGAGCCCTGCTGTGGAAGATACTCCCCCGGTCCTGTTGATTGTGTGATTTATTGTATGGACCAGATGAACCTGATTAATCAATGCACAGTAGCCGGCTCTTGGCTTTCCAGTTTTCCTTGGATAAATCCCCGGATATCAGCCAGGGTGCGCTCCTTGTGCTCAATCCAGGGGAAATGCCCACACGCATCGTAGAGAATGGCCTGCGAATCTGGAATGCCCTCCGTCGTCCGCTCTGCAACCTTCACCCCACAGATCAGGTCATCGCGGCCAAAGATCACCAGCGTCTTTGCGCGGACATTCCGTAGCCGATCCATCATTTGCGTTGGATTTTCCAAGCCCTCATCGCACCGTCCTTGATTCTGATAACACCACACGCACATAGGCTGGTCCCCAATATCCCGTATAAGCCCCTGCACATACTGTTGCGGGTCATAAAAGTACAGCGGCCACAGCCCATTCACCGACGCAGTGAATGCCTCATCCGTCTCGCTCCGACGATGCAATAGATTCTTCCAGGCCCCCTGGTACCGCGGGTCGTGCCGTGTAGACTCGCACTGCAGCTGGCTCCGGTCCCGGAAGCCCACCACTTGGTGGTTCAGCAGGATCAGCCGCTGGATGCGGTCTGGATACATCTCCGCGTAGCCCAAAGCGATGGCGCCGCCGTTGGAATGGCCCAGCAGGACGGGATACTGGTCAAGACCCAGGTGAGAGCGCAGATCGTCGAGGTCCGAGGCCATGTCTGGCATTGTGCGCATCTGGGTTTCATCTCGCGGTCGCGATGATCCTGCTGTGCCGCGTGGATGAAAGAACACAACAATGAAGCCAGGCGAGGACTCCCACAGATCGGAGAGACCGCGTTGGAGGTACCGGGATCCGAGACCCCAGCCGGGGCATTGGACTACGACCAGACGATCGGGTACTGTGGATGGCTGATAGACGACATATTCTAATGTCACGCCCTTGGCTGGGACAGTGAAGGAGTGAGTGCCGGGACGAAGGGGAGAGGACATGGATTGATGGAAGAGGGAAGTGGGAGCTGTCACGGCTGGCTTGCGTCACTGCGTTGAACTATGTACCCTAACCATCAATTGACCTATCAACTCAACCGCCAAAATACCGATCGGCCTTTTGCTTCACCTGCTGTGCCTGTCTTTGGATGGCTGCTACGTCTAGAGTCCCCTTTTCGCTAATATAGCCATCGATCAGAGGTGCGGGCACCCACTCGAAAGAGGTGTTTTGCACACAATGTTGGGCCTCTCCTTCGAATATCTCCGCGCCCTTGGTGCTCCCAGTGATCCAGGAACGAATTACCTCATGGGGGTCGCCCTCCTCCGAGCGATGCTCGTCCCCCGCGCTGGGCTCAGCCACCTTTTCCAATTCACTGAAAATAAGCACTTTGGCATTGGGCGAGACGTGCTTCGCGCTGAGCACCGCCGGCAAAGACCCGGTCTTGTTGCTGATCCATCCGGAGTCAGAAATTCGGTCTGCGCCTAGCAACACAAAGTCGACATTCTGGGATGCGAGAGCGGCAGATGCGTCAGTGTAAACCGTCAATTTAAGCGCTCGGTCCCCCGGTGGTGGAAATTTGGACTGGAATTTGGCAGCAAGGGCTGCGGCCATGCTGACGCCCTCGTAAAGCGGTCGTGATTCCAGGATTCGTAGATCTAGGGTAGTAATAGGAAACGAGGAATAGGCATCGACAATACTATCTCGAATGGTCGAACTTGCGGAGAGCGTGAGAATGGACAGTACCTGCTGGGGCTCGGACATGAAGTGGTCGCGAAGATAAGCCGTAAAGGACTGCTGGATGCGTGTAGGCATCGCCTTGCGCTGCTCTATGTGGTGGTCGACTGTAGTAAGTAGTCGATCTTGCAAAAGTTCCGGATGGAGATCCTGATCCAGGACATGCTCAATATCGGCCAAAACCCCCAACAATGCATTCATAGTCGCTGCACCCATGCTCTCCCGGCCGTTCTTCCAGAGATGCCACGCCACCATGCGCACAGTTACCCACCACTGGTCTTCGCTCTCACCGTCCAGCTGCGCCAGTACATCCCGGAAGATCCGGAGTGCAATGGAAGTCAACTCGTGGGATCCGCTCTGACGGTCTGTCCTCAATTGGTGCAGGCCAGCGTTGAGTGTTTTGCTGGCGCTTTCAGACACATCGCCCTCGAACCAAACGCGTCGCAGGCTCTCGCGCAAATGCGGCACGCCGCCAAATTGGTCGTCATCTGCTACCGTCGCAGGATCGTGCCACTCCCATCCTTCATGCTCCCAGTCAATGTGGATGGCCTCTTCCCCCCGACCCCCTTCAGCGGAGCCTTTGAGACGAAATGAAAATGGGTGGATGGTCCATCGCCGCCCAACAGATGGGTCACTGAAAGAAAACGGATTTCCCTGCCGCCACAGGTCCAGGTCGCGTGTAGTCAAAGAGGTCTCTTCGGAGAGTTCGCGCCACGCGGTGGCCAGCGGCGTCTCACCGGCTTCGATGCTGCCTGAGATGGCGGCAAGATGATTGCTACGAATAGACCCGGACGTTTAGCATGCGCGGTAGTGCATTGACGATCAAGCAACATGTACCGAGACGCTCACCGATACGTTCTCACTTTGTCACTGCGCCGGAACAGGGCGACCAGTGGCTTCGAATCATTGGGAAAGGAGAAGATGAAGGCGGAGACGACAGATCGCTGTTGGAGCCCGGGCTGATGCTGTTGGGTCGCCATGGGATCGGATGACGTTTGGGGGAAGGACGCGCGAGCGAGAGGTTCATGTTCTTCATTCCATCATGGTCGCATCATCCCGCAACAGTCCACGCGAGTCGTGTCGGTGATTAGAATAACCTCGGATATTGGAGCTACGTCAGTCGCGTTCTATCCCACGGTCTGTGCGTTAATATAAATGATCATCCGTACAGTTGGGAAATGTGGTAAAGGAATACCTTCCAGCCAGAATCTATATAGTACAAACCTCATAAATCGATGGCTTCGTTACGCACACCACCACACTGATCTAACCCACAACTGCATAGTTTCCCTCTTTCGACCATCATATTAGTAGGGTCCCTACCCGATTCGGGATTTGTTTCCTGCAATCAGGATTGTCACCTCGACGAGTGACGTCATCACATCTTGAAGGTCTTGCTGAGATGGATGAGAGCCAATTCGACTTCAATCCCGACAAAAAAGAACAAAATGCCCACGTATCCCGGATCGTGCTTCTGCCGCAAAATTCAGTACGAGCTGCGTCTGGCCTCCCCTGACGACGCCCGCACCTCGCTTTGCCACTGCCGCAATTGCAAGGTAGGTCCATAGGTTTGCAACAAAGCATATTGCAGGGCTCTAACGCATTGCCATAAACAGAAAGCTTTCGGAACAAATTATGGTCTAACAACTAAGGTCCCCAAGGAATCCTTTCACCTGACAACAGGCAAACCAAAGGAGCATGAGTCGGATAATGGCTCCGGAGTCGTGATTCATCGAGAATTCTGCGACAACTGTGGTAGCTTCATTCTTGAATACGGGGTTTGTTTCCTATACCTCGTTTTGACATGCTTCTGGACTGACTTGTGAACAGACTGCCGCTAAAGATCATTTCCGCTACATCTGTGCCGGCTCTCTCGATGACCCGGAGGCACTACCGCCCAAAGGCGAGTTCTTCTGTAAATCACGGGCGACCTGGATGCCGGAAGTCCCAAGTGAGTGCTGCCACGTTGGTATGTGGAACATGGCTAACTCTCGGTAGATATATTTCACAAGCAGGAGATCACGGAGTAAAATGGAATGCATGAGTATGATTTTCCGGGAAGAGAGAAAGAAACAGATCAAACGCCGCACTGAGGACATTGCATTGCCTATTTCGAATCCACTATCGTCATGCTCTTCACTATCATATCCGGAGCCAGCAGCTTGTCACGGATGGCAAGGCCATTCAAATAATCATTGCTATCCACTCGACGAAACCCATCCTCCAGCGTCTTCTCAATACCAGCATGGACATGACGCTTGGCCGTTCGCACTCGCGCCTCCTGTAGATCCGTCTCCACGAAGACGCGGTAGTCAACTAGATCAGCCAGCTCTCGCCACCCGGGCTCGTTGAGAAGCAGGTAATTGCCTTCGATGATGATGACGGACGTGTCTGGCGTTATGGCAAACCCGTCCTCAACGGGGTCTTTGGCTTGATGGTCAAATGTCGGGACTCGAATTTCGTCTGCTGCCGACCAGGTCTCGGAATATGGGACCGCCAAGGGCATTTGGTCTGCCCATTCGCGTAGTCGATGCACAAAAGACACGAAACGGGCGACGTCAAAGGTCCATGGTGCGCCACGGCGGATATGCGCCTCCTCGGGGTTGGGCAGTTGGTCGAGAGCTGCCCGGGATAGGTGGAAGCCGTCCATGGAGAGTAGGGCTGCGCGTGTATTGGGAGAATCATTGAGCCGGCGTACTGCTGCTTCAGCGGTGGTAGTTTTGCCTGATCCGGGGACTCCAGCAATGGCTACCAGGAAGCGCTGCTTGGGGTGGGCATTGGCCTGTCGTTGGATTGCGTCCACTAGACGGCGGTACTCAGACTGCATCTGTAGCTGATAGTTAGGATTGCGATACACATTTGGGGGAGGCAAGACAAACCTCTGGATCAATTAAGCATCAATGAGATCTTGCGTGGATATAGATGTCAATCAGACTCTCGGTCTCAACCACAGCTCATTCCACAACAGTGTAAATCTGCCAGACACAAAAAGGGACTCCCCAGGCAATGCAATAGAAAGTTCATCCCATAGAAGCTCTCTATCTATAAGGGGGTGGAGCAGGTGCCGGCTCACAGTGCTCCGACCGGAGCACAATGTCCGCACCGCACCTTTCGTAGACATCTGAGGTTCTAGGGACTGGTAGATAAATCCGAGCGATATAACCAAGTTCTTGCTCGCAATAGGGGATGAAGCGTGGGGGTGAGGCTGGTGTCTTTGTTCGTCCTCGACGTCGAATCGCCTAGTTGCGCTGGATCCACAATACGACGTGAGTGATCAATGAGCATAGAATACTAGGATAAACCGAAATCACGTTGATCTGATCGCTCGACTAATCTTCACATTGATCTCTTTCGCCTATACTACTGCGCTCAAAAGACAATATGGACACTATTGAGAGAAGAAATGCACTCAAGGAAATTCATTGCATCGTGTAGACACTCATTCATAGATCGGACATTCACCCGGTCGCATTGACGATCTGGCGGTCTGGTGTATCGAGCGATGGCTCTAGCCTCGTCGCCTGACCGCGCTTGGGCTTGACCTTGGGTGTCACATAAAAACAGAGGATCTGCTGCTGCCAGCAGTGCGAGCACTGGGGGTGTGCCTGGTCGCAGGGAACATGCCATTCACGGCAGGCTTTGCAGTCCGCGGGGCTGTTTGCGGGGTTCGGAGCGCGTCGGGGAGGATCATGAGTGACTGGTGGCTCTTCAAACGCGGTGCCACGCCATCCAGACCACAACCATTGACATATGTGCCCACAGATTCCCTGGGCCACGGCAGTGGGCACGGGCGCTGCGTAGGTGTTGTGGCTTGGATCGGTCAGGGACGGGCGGTTGACCGGATAGACCCTTTGCGATCTACAGATAGTGGATCAGTCGTGGAAAGGGTTATTTATAGAGTGAAGACACCATACTCAGAGCCATTCATCCTAAGAGATGGAACGAGAGAGGATGCGATATGGTAAATAGAGACAGGGTCAGTAGATCAATAGGAAAGGCGAAGACTGGACGAAACAAGGAACAAAATAAATAACACCAGACAGCAGCATGCACGCAAACCCGTCCAGTAGGTGGAGTGCCCGCCCGCGAATCAATAGCCACCACACACGTCCATACATTATGCCTGGACTTCCTCCCTAGACTTCCTCCCCGGGCGACGTCAGATGGCCCGATCTCCAGCTTGCACAGATCGGAAGTTGCTTCCATCAGCTGCGATACGGTGGATGTAACTATAGCAAGACAAGTGGAACGTCATGATGGCTTCACGCTCCACGAGCTGAGAAATAGCTAACTAAGTATATGCAATTAGGCTAGGACAGCGGAGCAAATACCGGTAATCTCCCCATCAAGATGGCTCGAATCACCGATGCCATTGCCAAAGACCACCGTCTACTCGAGTCCTACTACGAGACGATCGTACGTGCCGAGGACGCCGATGAGCGGACACGCTTCCAAAACCAGTTTATCTGGGAGCTAGCTCGACACTCAGTGGCTGAGGAGCTGGTTGTCTATCCAGCGATGGCAAAATACCTGCGCAATGGGGATCAGCCAGTGGACAAGGACCGGCAGGGACATCAGACAGTCAGAGAGTGTGTTCAGGTTGAAGGCCAGGCACGACGCTAACTCGGTCGTAGCTCAAAGAACGCCTCAAGAACTTCCAGGACTTGAACTGTTCCGATCCGCGCTTCATTCCCACGATCACCATGCTGATGGAGGACCTCTCCAAGCACATCCACGACGAAGAGACCATGGACCTCGTCAAGCTAGAGGGTGCCATCACCGCAGAGGAGAGCAGGCGGCTGGCCAAGTCGCTCCGCCGCACCAAAATCTTTGTACCATCCCAAGCACACCCCGAAGCACCGGACAGGCCACCATTCGAGTCGGCGGTGGGGTTGCTGGTGGCTCCATTTGATCACTTACGGGATATCCTGCGTAAGTGGCCGGAGGATATCTTTTATCCGAATACGTCCATGGATTAGGTGCAAATACCAGAATCAAATTTCATTCTACCACTTCGTACAAAACGGTCTATTCTGAATCTACTCCGCGGGGGCCTGCTGGCTCAGCTTGTCAAGCTTCTCCGCGGAGCCCTGCTTGCCTCGCTCAGTATTACGAGGGTTACTCTGAGCACTGCATTTCTGTCCTCAACATCGATAATCAGAACATATGTTCGTGAAAAGACTTACGCTTTCAAACCACTAGCCACGCGGTTGGGGTCTTTGTTGCGAGCTCCGACGTCGTATAGCTCCTGCCGCGGGTTATCCCAGCCGAGCTCGTTGTTCAGCACCTCCGAGGCATGCTGCTTGGCCTCGTTGGACACCCTGGGATTTTTCAGGGTTCTAGAGAATAGCTTAATTTGATGATAGAGGATTATGCGACTCAAGACTCACGCCTTATAGCCGCGCATGGCATTCACTCGGTCTTCGGTGGAGGCATCGACCTCAGTATTTTCCCGCGAGTAAGACATGATGACAATGATGCGCGACGACAAAACTATCAAGAGCTGCAATCCGTGATATAATTTCTTGTAGAATCACAAAGGGCTGTAGTTTCAAAAATCCTGCTAGGTCTTGACGGAAGATCACGTTAGGGTACATACACCACATGAAAAAAGCACGGGATTATAGCCCCCTTGACCCGAGCTAAACATCATGACAGCGTCAAAAGAGGCAAATAAAATTGCCGTCAACGACATAACTAGTGGCGGACCCTCAGTTCGGAGAGTCGAGAACTCTATTCAATTATCTCTGATTGTTGCATCAGCAGACCAGGTCCCAGGGTGCCAAAATAACAGTTGCCCACGCGGAACTACCAGCCGGTTGATGTCAAGCTTGCATCAGATGGCAGTAGCGGCGACCCGAAGCAAGGTATCCTTAAATAAATATCGGTCTGGCATCCCGGAAGACTGGCTCTGTCGGGTCATCCTCGCATCACGGCTGTGAATCCGGCACCTTACTACCAACTTTGATCCTGAAATTCTTTTCGGCCCAAACACCAAAACACTCGCCCAAATCAAAGGTATCTATCTCGATCGCAAAAATGTCCAACCGCGTTGAAAGGGAGGCCGAGGACGACTACGAGGCTGAGAACGACCCTGCTCCCGTTTCGGACGAGATTGTGGACAATACGTACCTGGGCGAGACAAACCCGAACCTGAGGAATCAGATTCCTGTCCAGGCCGACGAGGATGACTATGAGGATCCCATGCAGCCTCCGTATTCTAACACCGATGAGCAGCTCGGTAAGTGGGTGCAAGCTGATAAAAAGCAACAAATATTGACTTCTGATCAGCGGACGATGACGACGAGGTGGTTGATCGGTCCAATGTGTTGAAGGGAGATCGGCTGCGCCATGCCAAACCCCAAACAGCAAATAGGTACAGCGAGGGTCCGAACGAAGATGATCTGCCATCAGACATCCGTGATGGTTTATCCGGTGTCTCGGGCGTGAAGCGGCTGTCATAGACTCAAACACCATGAATGCGATCAACATTTAGGATTGCGGTGAAGTATCTGGAATACAGTATATGTTTAGCCCTTTTGGTCTATAAGATCTGTGTATCATTATATTGAGTCCAAAAGATTGTAAAAGTTTGGCCAACATGAATTAGTGGTTGGGTACGTAGAACTGCCGCCGTTACATCCGGATTTCGGTGGTGGGCCCGTGTTCATGTCTATCATTGTATTCATAGGCTCTCGGAGAAATGTATTCAAGTCAACACGGCTTGTGCTAGGCAGCAAAGTATTCATTGGAGGCTCACTGGCTGTTGAGGGAGCCCCAATAGAGTAGACCATTACTATATCTGGACATGGATACGGGAACGAGGCGCTACTGCACACACTACGTAGCCGTTCTCCACCACGCCTTACCGAAAGGAGAGCGCAAAACGAGATACGAACGATAGTTTTGCTTCAACCTCGAGAAATTACTCTCAGGATCGTAGGACCCCTGAAAAGCGAAGAGAGTGAGAGAAGAACCATTTCTCTCACCTCCGTCATATAAATATGGCGTTCTGAGGGGGCATCAAGAACAGCGTTGGACAATTCAACTGTCTTCTATCCTGTCGCATTAATTTAACTATGGCCTGGGTCCTGTACTACTACACTCCATCTGGCCCAGCCGCTGGCATCTTTGTCGCCCTATTCGGCCTAGTTACTATCGTCCATTTCTACCAGCTCATCCGAACCCGGACCTGGTTCATGGTCCCCTTTTGCATTGGAGGCATCCGTGAGTACTCCCTGACGGTCATTTCGAGACCAGCACTGACCGTCTTCTTAAGTGGAAATAATTGGCTACATTGGCCGTCTCCTTTCCTCGCTGGAAACACCCGATTGGACCAAGGGTCCGTATGTCATCCAGAGCGCCCTGATTCTGATCGCACCCGCTTTGCTCGCCGCGAGTATCTATATGACCCTGGGCCGAATCATCCTCCTCCTCGATGCTGAGAAATGCTCGCTCATCCGACTGCAATGGTTAACCAAGATTTTTGTATCGGGTGACGTGCTTTCCTTTTTGATGCAGGCGTCCGGTAGATTTCCCCAGCTGGCTTCTTTGCTACCGTCGCTCACAACTCACAGGCGCCGGCGTCATGGTTGCAAACTCGAATCCGTCCACCGGTGAACATATCATTCTAGGTGGTCTATTTGTGCAAATTATTTTCTTCGGCTTCTTCATGATTACGTCCATGGTTTTTGAGATACGCATCCGCCGGAACCCTTCGCGTGCTTCGGTCGAACTGGCCCACGTCCGGCACCGTCACATGGTAGCCCTTTACATCACCAGTGCTCTGATTTTAGTCCGCTCGGTGGTACGGGTGGTGGGGTATCTGCAGGGATACGATGGATATCTCCTGCGACACGAGGTCTTTCTCTACGTCTTCGATGCCCTTCTGATGCTGGCGGCGATGGGCGTGTTGCAATATACACACCCCAGCGAGGTCAATTGCCTTCTGGGATGGAGCAACAAGTACTTGGAGAAAGTGTTCCAGACGCGGCGGTCGGTATCTCGGCCCGCAATGGAGATGGATGGGATGGCGTAGAGGCTCAGTGGATCAAGGATAGGGAGGAACTCTAACCCTACGTTTGATCAACGCGAGTTGTACTGCTATCGACCACAATTTCGTCCTTTTAGTTCCATCGTCTGCTATCGCTCTCTTCAGGCATGATTGGCGGGAGGATACGCGTGTAGTAGGAATGTGAGCTGGACTGGAAGCCGACCAGATTAGATAAAGAAAGATGACGGATCTACACTCCTCCCTCACTTGCCACTGATTTGTAGTCTCCGGGTTTTGGCTGGCTATTGACACCGTCTAGGCACCGGTATTTTATTTCTGGAGTGAAAAAATGGACAGCCGAGTCGTGTCGTGGATTCCTGCGACAAGAATGCTGGCCAGCCCGAACGGGGAGCGTTCAATGGTCAATGGACAATAACAACATTCACCGGATGGACATGAGATGACCCTCGCGCTTTCCTCTGCTATGGATACCACATTCCTTACCTTCGTTCCTCCTTTCTCTCCTCCCTGCTTCTCTTTTGTTCATCCTTTCTATTGACTGCTCTCTGTGAACTAGACTGCGTATAGTCGCTTTTCGGACCAAGTCCCTGTGTCTTTTCCCATATTGGGCAAGATGTTTTCTCCCTTCCTCTCGCTCGGCGCTGGCTCGCTGATGCTGTCTCTGTTGGCGTCGCCCGTCACGGCCAACCAGTCGAGCGCCAACGCCTATCAGCTGATGGAGCGCTGGCAGGCTAAGAACTTCCTGGAATACTTCAATTTCCACGTTGGACAAGATCCGACCAATGGCTATGTCAACTATCTGGACCAGGCCAGCGCGCAGGCGGCCGGTTTGGTCAAAGTCACCGACCGCGGCACGCTGTATCTAGGTGTCGACCACACCACCAAGCTCAGCCCGGGTGGGCCAGGCCGCAATTCCGTGCGCATCGGAACCAAGAAGTATTATGACCAAAGTCTGATCATTGCCGACATCGCGCACATGCCAGGAAGCATCTGCGGGAGCTGGCCTGCGTTCTGGTCCGTGGGCAAGGAGTGGCCGCAGGATGGCGAGATAGATATCATTGAGGGCGTGAATCTGCAGGAACACAATGAGATCGTCATGCACACAGGTGGTACCTGCAGTCTGACTGACCAGGGCATGACCGGTGTGGTCAATGCCACGGGCTGTGGAGAGGAGCTGGGTCCCGTAGGCTGCGTCGTCGAAGGCGACAAGGGCAGCTATGGCACCTCGTTCAATCGACAGGGAGGTGGTGTGTACGCCATGGAGTGGACCAACGAGTTTCTGAAGATTTGGTTCTTCCCTCGACGCTCTATCCCGTCCTCCATCTCCAACGGACACCCCGATGTCACTGAGTTCGGCACCCCGATGGCGCTGGTGCAGGAGGGGTGCGACGTGGCTAATAGCTTCAAGTCCCAGTCGTTCGTGTTTGATGTCACCTTCTGTGGTGACTGGGCTGGCGGCGTGTTTGGAGAGTCGGGCTGCCCTATGTCCAGTTCGGATCCCGTGCAGAGCTGCATCAACTATGTCGCTCAGAACCCATCCGCCTTTGAGCAGTCGTACTGGGAGATCAATTCTATCCAGATCTACCAGACCGGTGTGAATGGCCTGGCTTCGAACTCTAAGATAACCCATGCTCCGGCCACAATTCGCACGACGGCCGAAACTTCTGTTGTGGAAACCCACTCTGTTGTTTCTGCCCATGAGGGGGCCACGACTGTGCACTCGGCAATTACTACTTCTTCAATTGTGTCCGAACCGAAGTTGGCAACAGCTGTGCACCCCGAGACCGTTGAGAAGGCTCCGGCTACTACCGATGCCAAAAAAGCACCTGCTACCTTGTACGTGACGAACTTTGTGACTTCGACCGAGACTGTTTGCACCGACACTGTCACCGCGAAAATCGTCCCTTCCGCCACCGCGACTGCGGCTGAGATTGTCAATCGTCCGACTAATGGTAAGGACTTGAAATCGGCGGGCTCTGGGATTGCGGCCACGCGTGTCGAGACCATCGTTGAGCCACAGAACACCGCCAGCCATGGTACCAAGGGCAATCCTGCAAATGTGGTTACTAAAGCCCATGGCGTTAGTGCAGAGAGCGCAGCTTCAAACGCTGCACCCAACAATCATTTCGCACCTGCAAAAGACTCAGTTGATTCTGCTACATCACACAAGCCGACCGAGATTGAGAATGTATCTTCTGCAAACCGTGCCCCCGGCCTCCTATCGTCTGTACTATCTTCGCGCAATTCGATGCCTCTCATCCCTCATCCTAACACTGCCACACATACTCCCAGTTCTTCTCCGGTCGCTCTATTTACCGGCGCTGCTCACAAGGCGACTGGAAATGCCCTTGGGGCTGTCATTGCCTTTGTTCTCACCCTTTTGGTCTGATGTCTCTATTCTCTCCCTGTAAACCTAGGTCTTTAGGCCCAGTTATGGAGTTCTGTTGTATAATTGTCCTTTCTTTGACTGTTGTTCATAGACGTGTGTGTATCTCGGCTGGTTGTATCCTGTTTCTGTGTTGGCGAGAACACCGTGTACTTCAGACTGATTGTTTTTCAAATTGGTAACATTAGATAGTTCATGAATAAACCAAGTTTTCAATCCACAGAGAAAGCGACCTCTATTGGTCTATTTACAGAAATAACACATCGTCGCTGTCCATCATCCTCAAACAACCCAACGCGTCAGCCAATCACGGGCGTAACAATCCAAAATGCCGTCCTCAATGATCCGTAACCGACCATTTCGAAAAGTAACACTGTCACGTTCGGCTTTCTCAGTGACAAATCTCTTTGGCCACAGCCGTTGTGATCTCTTCTTCCCATGCATGGCCTCATAGTGACCGATCAACTTGACAGCAGGGTTGACTTTCGCCTCTCCTCTTGCCTCGCTGTCGCGAAGCATCTCCAGCCATTGCTCAAATGGCACCGTATCGAAATGAAATCCAGCACACTTGAGCGATGAGAGTAATGATGCCCAGGAAAACTCGCGCGGGTTAGACACGTTATAGATTGAATCATCAACGTACGCAATTGTTCTCGAGCTCGATGCCCCATTTGTCCCATAGTTACAATTCGGAGCAGCGCAAGCATTTGTCAGCTCAACAATAATTGAGGCCAGCGTATCCACTGGGAGCCATGAGCAGGTTTGGTCTAGGGCTGGGAGGGCCCGGACCGTCAACGTCGACCGAATCATGAGTGGGAGTGCTTCGGTGTCGTTCCACAGACCTTTCTTAGAATGACCGGATACTTGGCCAATTCGGAGAGAAAAGGTTTTCGCTCCCGATTGCCGTGCAATACTTGTGATCTTCTCACCTACAAGCTTGGATTGTCCGTAGCCCATATCAAGGGCAGTCCCAAGATCCTGCGTTGGTACCTCTTGGACCTCAGCGGAGGAGGATCCAAGGGCTGTGGAGATTGACGAGCAAAAAATCATAACGGCGGGTTCAGGCAGCCGAACAGATAGAGAAAATTGGATCAGGTTGTAAATCCCATGGACATGTGGCTCGAACTGGGTAAGGGGAAGATTGAAGTTTACCGGCCAAGCTGTGTGGATGATCCGGGACACAGAATTTTGCATTCGGCTTATGATGTGGTCATCAAGCCCAAGATTTGGCTGCTCAAGGGAGCAAGTTAACGCCATAATCTTCTGTTTCTGTTCAGGCGAAGCATCCAGATTCTTCTCCGCTAAAGCCTGCAAGACAGCTTCCTGCGGTAATGAACGCCGAGTGAGACAGAAGACTGTCAATACAGACTCGTCATTGAGAAGTTCGAACAGAGTGTGTGCACCAATAGATCCGGTGGCTCCCGTCAAAACCTTGGAAACGTTAGTGTAGATCACCAGAAGCATATAGATCATCGAAGCCTACCACGCTCTCTCCGCTTGAAGAGATCGGCCGCCGTGGTAAATGCTTTCGAAACGCAGAGTATTTGGTGATCAATTCAGCCATCACCGTCCTGGTTTTGATAGAAGTGACGTTTCTCCCATTCTGCAGAGCGCAAATGTATCTTGCCAACCCTGATACGCTGCCAGCCTCGAAAACCACGTTCTGTCCCAGACTGTCAGCCGACGCGATATTGAAATGGCGAAGAATCAAGCGTCGAAGGTGAATCGCCTTCAGACTGTCTACTCCTTCCGAGTAAAAATTGGCGTCTACGCTTGCGAGAGAAACTCCAAGTTCCTTGCAGCAGAGCTCCATCAGATAGGACTTCGTTCCGGTATAGTCAAGTGTCAGGTATCCATCTGCTGCTCGTTCGACTTTCGTATACATGCCGTTGATGATATCATTGTATTGAAAATATACCTGGGCACGGATCATAGATCCCTTGTCCGTTCGAGTAAACTGGGATGTGGAAGGCAAAGTGGCAATCATATCACGAGAGATTTGTGAGAATTGCTCTGACCGGGCGTTGGCTTCCTCGACGACCGGCCAGATTGTATCAAGATACTCGCTTTCCGATAGGTGCATCGATTGATCAGCTCGCAGGATCAAAAGCCCCGGGGTTGCCTTCCCGACTCCAACAACAACTGCTTCATGGACCAGAGAATGCTGTTTGATGTGACCTTCTATCGGAATCGGCAGAACTTTCTCGCCATTGACAAGGGTGATGCGATCATCCAACCTCGACATATACTTCCATCGGTGTGGAATTGTTGGGTGTGGGGTGAAAACATCCTTTGAATGAAAAGAACCTGGGGGCTCGTTGGAGTTGGAAGTGGTCAACGCTGGATGGCCAGCCAGATAAACGCACTCGTAGAGTGACAACCCGAGGGGCTTCATCCATATGTACGGCCTGATGTTGTCAAAAAATTTTAAGTAGTCCCAGGCGATATCACCCTTGGGGCGTGATATTGATTCAGCAACTAACCCGGCCTCCGTCCTAGACGGCTCGTCAGCTGCTTACAGTGGTTAATCTAGTGTATGAATTACCCACAGTCCAAAGGAACCACCAAATTGTACACCCTGGCTCACTAGGCAGTCTCCGAGCTCGTCTGGACATGGTGCGCCTCCGTAAGTAACCAGATGGCATTTACGCAAGGCAGAAATTCCGCGAGGGTTGTCGACCAGCAACTGAAGCATGTACGGAACAGCAGCCACAAATTCGGGTTGTGCCGCCTCCAGAGCAGCAACCACCAATTCAGCAGTCAAAGGTAGCGCGGCATCCCACATGTAAGCCGTCTTCCTCATCCACATTGCCTGCAATGCGGTAGAAAGCCCATGGAGGTGGTACCAGGGTAGTGAATTGAATGAGGTCAGACCCAGACCTCGTAGAGGGTGGGTCATCAACGCTCGGTGACTGAGGAAGAGAGGTTTGGGGGTTCCTGTTGATCCCGAGGAATGTAGAATAAGGGCTATCCTGTTGCACTGAACCTCGGAGTGGCGATTTCGGTGCAGAATAAGAATTGAAGTTTCCTCAGTATCGTCAAGATTGCTTTTGGAAAGCATCGGACGACAACTGACGAGCTTTTTCTGAAATATATCGCCCATTGTGGCCCGGATGCTGGGGGTATTCCCGTAGATAATTGTCCCACAGCCGACGGTATCGAGAAGGGCCACACACGCCTCTCCACATAGCCTTGGTGAGAGCATCATGACGGTGTAGCCTAATCGGCTAAGAGCAAAAAATGTGATCACCATGCTGATGTCGGAGAGGGCGAGAACGGCGACGGTTGCGCCATTGCCTTTAGGCTACAAGATGTCAACCCGCAAAATCCAAGTTAAATGGTCCAAATGCTGACTTACTGGCTGAAAGCCATCATTCATTAAGCAGGTGACCGCCTGGTCTATCATGTTGTCCAAATCCCGTCCAGTATAGTATTCGTATATCGCGGTCGGGGAGTCTGTTTTTGAACAGGGGTACGCGAGGATGGGATGCTGGACCATGTCTGCCGCCCGAAGTCGAATCAAATCATCAAGGACATGGAGTTGCCCAAATTGTTGGATCAAGTCATCTGTGGCACTTGATGAGTTCGCCTGTGCGATATGGTCACCGCGTTGAATACCCATGATGACTCAATGACAGGAGTTTAGGGAAGGGGCGAGAGTATGCGGCCTTTAATTGTAAAATAGAAGGTCCAAGATATTTAAACCTTTTTGTGGACGTCGGCCAACCCAGGAAACGAGCCGCCATCCGTCTTTTGCATCTATACACCAATGCGCTCGGGATAATCGGGAACGTACCCGTCTTCCGCCTTGAGCTGTTAACTTGGACCGTGACAACTATTTTTGTGTTCGTTCAAGATGGCTATTGACAGATCTGCGGGCGGTGCCAACCCAGACCGCTAGTGTTGGTTGTAGATTGTAAACGTTCGACCGGGGACAAGGGCAATAGAGGGGTGAGTTACCCTGCTCGGAAATAGCCTTATACAAACAGACCAATGCGGCATTAACAGAGAATTCCCGACGGTTAAAGGTCGTGGAGACAATTTTCCCGATGCAGGGGCAAACAACTTGGCAAACCGAATTGCTTCCCCAGACATAGGGGCTTGCGGCTCGGTTGCCAGGACAAAGACTCTGGAGCTGTATTTGTCAAACAGTTGATAGAAACATCGGATTTCCGAAGACTTTCCCAAGATTTGCTAGTACTGATTTTCTTGCTGCACATGTTCAATAGTGATCCCATCTAGCGCCAATGGCAACACGGCAGAGGTCCCCGAGACGGGTCCGCTGGAATCGAAATCCCGTTGGGATAGTCTGGGCCAAAATCAATTGTACCTATACCGGTTTGGGTGGATGAAACAGCTCTCGGTCATTCGAATTTGGATACAGACCTGCCAACATCTGCTACCTCCGTCTGGCCCGATGGCAATAACTCTTCGGCTTTGTACAAAGTGTAGTCGCAGAGTATCAAAGGATCGAAAAAAGAGATTGTTAGCCAGCTCGATAGACCACCCTATGGAAGGACTGCCTTAACTTTGTTACAATTAGCGGGTTTTCGGAAAGTGATTGTTGCCAATGTACCGAGACCTGTCAAACACTCATATCACTACGAAATTTGAGATGCTGTTTGCTTGTCCTTGACCGGAAATTATATTACTACGAAGACCCCTCTTAGATTGAATGTCGATGCAGACAGAATTCAAATGTAAGATCTTTAGAGGAAAATCACAGCGAGGCTAATTCTTCTGAAATCTGGATCGATCTGTTATGACCCACCTCCCGGGAGCTTATTTTCTGGGACTGGGCAGTCCATGGGTGGTGGATCGGAATCCTTGTCCGTCTTGTTGAATATTGATATACACTTTATGGAGGTAGTTCTCCAAGAACCCTAGGTAAATCGTACCTGTTTGCCGGAGAAGAATGTAACCCATCCGAATTATTCCGTCATTCCAATTTTGTGTCTGAAGAACCCCATCCTTTCGACATTTCAACCCCGAGGAACACCACAGTTTCCGGTGCGCCTAAGAGGGAAAAAAAAATTTGGCTCCCGCTGGGCATAACTATCACTTTATTTCCAAAATATCCAATCTACTCAGCCACGATCTGAGGCTCATCGATGGGCCCTCGAACGTAGTCGGAGATATATCACTGGCATCTGGACCCAGAACCCTGGAATGGAATCCGTAATTGAGGCTGTTCGGGTAACTTGACATGAAAGTCTTAGGGGGTTTGGATGCAGTTCCATTCAGGATTTCAAGACATTTGGACTTTATGGCTTTCAATGGAGATCTACTTATATATAAAGGTGCTATTTCCTCTCAATGAGGTATCTGGCTCCTGCAGATGCCGCATCGTCAACTATTTCCGTCGATCGGAAGCGCAGACCTCGATCGGCAAGACGGCGTTGCAGTGCTTTCTGGTATTCCGCATGTCTCATCACTCCTCCTGAGAGTACCAGTTCACATTCCTCGGGAGGAGTATACTCGCGACATCTGGGGTCGAACAGCCGAACGAACGTGTTATTGACTAGAAATGCGACTTGATTTTCGACAATAGCTGTAGCAGTCTCGTTGAACCCGGCCAGATTCAGCACGGTCTGCGCGATGGTGGAAATTCGGGCCTTCACACTCTTGTCACTGCGATGACATAGCACAGCGTTCAAAAGGTCGATGTTACTGTCCGCTATGGCCCGGCATCCGAGCTGTTGGACCACTCCCTCTTCCAACTCGCCAAACTCTTGTGTTCGTAGGCCTAGGGCTATCTCTTCTAGAACAACCAAAGTGTGTTTGATCGCTTCTAACCCTATGGCGTAGCCTCCACCTTCATCGCCCAGGAGATGGCCCCAGCCACCTGATCGAGCCACTCGGACAAACCCCTGTTTGGCAGCCCAGGTGTACCGCATGGCCACACTCCCAGTTCCCGCAATCAAGACGACGGCTGCGGGTGCATGATGGCTGGTTGCAACTGCCGCAGTTAGGAGATCCACATCATTGGTCAAACGGATCTGACCAGCGTTGTAATCCAGCCCAAACAGTTCTTCTAGTTTAGGTGCCAAATTGACGGAGAATCCAGCCCGATCCAAGCCAGCAAGACCGATCCAGACGGAATGGAAGCATGTCCGAATATACTCCTTCCACATGGACTCTGTGAATTCCGCACCTGCTGGTAGCTGATCTTCTAGCGCACTTTTTATGGTGTCAAACAAAGTGGCCATAGCTCCGTCCATGCCACCAATGTTATCGGTTCTACATGAATATATCAGCTCTGGGGAGACACGTAGTCAAATAAATGCCTTACAGATTGCATGGGCCAGCAGACCCACGGCCAATAACGCCAGTATCATCTGCCACAACAGCTGCGCATTTCGTTCCCCCACCATCAACACACAGGACGAACTTCCGAGCGGGCATCGCGGACCAATGTGGCCCTTCAGGTCTGATGAGAGCTTCTGACAGCACTCCTCCTACACACTCGAGCTGTCGAGCACAATCTTCGGCTGACTGACCCGTTTCGGCAGTCAGAATAGCGAGTTTTACACTGCCGTTGCACTTGACAAGGAGGGCATCCAATTCGGAATCTGACCAGCCACCACATTTCGGGCTCAGCTTGCGCAACATGTTGCGAGATCGTTGCTTCAACTTCAGATTTGATGCCACCATATCGACCATCTGAACCACTGCGATTAGCCCAGAGCTACATCACTCAGAGAGAAAGGGTGGAGTAGAACGTACCATATTGCCGTAGGTCTTGCCGGTTCTTATCATCGTGCCAGTACTAAGCATATTTAGAACCAGCTTTGTCGCAGTGCCTGCCTTGAGTCGAGTGCTGCCAGTGATCACTTCCGGCCCTGGAAGGGGCGCAATGAGGTAGTCCACGTTTCCCGATGAAGCCATGGCCGAGGGAGCAGCACACGCGACCCCAATCGTGAGGCATCCCAGCCGCTTGGCAAATGCAAGACACCCGAGGACATAGGGAGTGCGCCCCGAAGATGCAATACCGATGACACAGTCTCGCGCAGGGTCAAGGTTGAGGCTTACCAGATCCGCCTCGCCTGCTTGCTCGTTGTCCTCTGCGCCTTCCTGTGCCTCCCGAATCGCCGCATCGCCGCCGGCAATCAGGCCAACGAATTGGGATCGAGGTGCGGCAAAAGTGGGCGGAATCTCTGATGCATCCAGGATGCCGAGCCTAATCTCTTTCCGTCATCCGTCACCACTACTCTGGATGCTTTCTTATCGGGAGTGATGACTGACCTCCCGCTCGTCCCCGCGCCGACATACACCACTCTGCCACCATCTCGCACCCGTGGAGTCAGTGCATCAATGGCATCGGCAATCACGGGTAGACAAGGCGCAATGCTTTCCGCTACCAGGTGGTCGTCGGCATTAATGACAGTGCACATCTGAATGGTCGACAAGCGGTCAATGTGCGAAGTCCGGGGATTGACCCCTTCGGTCTGCAGCTGCGACAGATTGCTGAGATCCATGAAGTGCCAATCGGATTGTCGTCTTCGACACCCCGGAACCCTCGTGGATGCACGTCTCTTTTTCAATAACCGAGCGACCGGGCTTATCCAACGCCGAGGAATACGTCCTGCCAAAGTGCAATAAAACCGCCCCAATACGCGAGGGAAAAAATTAGCCGCGTGGGGTTACCAGCCAGGGTCGCAGCGGGTGTTGTTCCCAGAAACGAACTGCCCGAAGGGGAGTCTACACAGCGGCCGTCGCCGCCGTGCACGGAGCTGATCAGCGCAAGCATTCAGCCAACAGATGGCTCCACTCGAGATGCCACGGCGCCGGTGGTTGGAATCCAGGGCACTAGCGTCGGAGAGTCGGAGAGTCGGAGAGAGGCCAAACAAAGCTCGTATTCGCGGGGTCATCATAAAGATGGCACCGTCTCGCCCTCTGCCACCGATCGGCTGAGAGACTCTGGAGAACATGTCGCAGCCCACGAGCCCCGAGATGCCCACGTCCGATGCAGTGGCCAGCACTGGCCAAGGCCGCCGATCGGTCCTTTACCAGCTCTATACACATTGCTGGTCTCAGATCATCTTGATCAGCTTCATCTGTTTCTGCTGCCCCGGAGTGAGTGTCGTGTGCGTCTTCTCCGGGGAACCGTAGCTAACGATACCAGATGTACAATGCCCTCTCCGGCCTGGGAGGATCCGGCCAGGTCAATGAGACCGTCGCCGCTAACGCGACAGTCGCGCTGCTCGCTGCCACCGCAGGGACGGCGCTCTTCGTGGTTGGGCCCATCTTCGACCGCGTCGGTCCGCGAGTGTGTCTGCTGCTGGGTGGATGGACGTATCCCCTGTATTCGGGCAGTCTGCTCTGTTTCAACTGTATGCCGCCGATCGAATCTCTGACTCGGAACGAGCTGACATTCTTCTTTCGGCAGCCACGAAAAATGGAGCTTTTGTTATTGCCGCCGGCGCCATTCTCGGCGTAGGCGCGTCCTTCCTGTGGGTGGCACAGGGGGCCATCATGACAACCTACGTGCCCGAGTCGCAAAAAGGACGCGCGATTGCGGTCTTCTGGGTCATTTTCAACCTCGGCGGCGGCGTGGGTTCCCTCGCCAGCTTTGGCCTGAACTTCCACTCTACGAGCGGAACTGTATCGGACGGGACATATATTGCCCTGCTAATCATCATGGCCATTGGATGGCTCCTGGGCGTGCTCATCTGCCCACCCGCGGCCGTGCGACTTGAACAGCTGGAGGCAACACCCGAGAGCGAGAAGAATTGGCGGCGCGTCGCGAAGCTTTCGGCGGAGACGCTGAGCGACTGGCGAGTGCTGTGCATGCTGCCACTCTTCTTCTCGGCGAATGTGTTCTACTCGTACCAGCAGAACGTTGTCAATGGCTTGACTTTCAATATCCGCACGCGCTCGCTCAACGGTGCCCTGTACTGGTTGGCGCAGATGCTCGGTGGACTGATCATCGGCCTCATGCTGGACATGCCGTGGCTCACGCGACCCATGCGAGCCCGAGTTGGCTGGGCGTTTCTCTTCATCACGGGCATGGCCATCTGGGGCGGCGGATATGCCTTCCAGAAGTGGTTCGACCACCGCACGGCGCTGGGGTTCCAGCAGGATATCGACTACACGGACAGCCACCAGTCCGTTGGCCCGATCTTCCTCTACATCTTCTATGGCGCCTACGATGCATTCTGGCAGTCCTTCTGCTACTGGCTCATGGGCACCCGATCTAACTCGCCCGCCGTGGCGGCCATTCTGGTCGGTGCATACAAGACCTTCCAAGCTACCGGGGGCGCGATGGCATGGCGCATCAACGCGCTGCAAAAGCCCGCTGTGACGCAGTTTGCCATGGACTGGGGCTTGTGCATGGGATCGTTGGTCGTTGCGATCCCGACGGTCTGGTCCGTCACGCTGACTAGCGACGCCGCTTCCACGGACGGTCAGGATGTGCTGGACGCGACGGACAAGCCTCAGTCCGAGGGCAAGGTATAACGTGTCGTTCAGATCAGAGAATTGCAATAGGAGAGAGAAATCCACCGGGCCTGCTTTGTACCAATCCATGCACGAGACGACTCGTAGACTATGATTTCAGGACGTATTTACAAATTCTAATGTCTTCACCGCATGCACTTCTTCAGCACCGCCGCCTCCAGCAGCAGCTTGGTGTACTGTCGATGCAGCCATGCCACATATGGGCCCATAGGAGCCGCTTCCGCTTTGCCCAGGCCTTGGTAGAAGCAGCTCTTCAGACTGAACTCGGCAACGCCCTGGTCCTGCTTGATGACGGCGCCAATCTCGAAGAGTCCATCGGAGTCGCGGACCTCTCTGATGCGTGGGGAATCGCCACAGCGGACGGTGATGTGGTCCTCGGTCTTCTCGACCACTTCGAAGTGATCAGTGATAATCGTGCCTAGCTCGTAGGTGCTCGAGAGGAGGTCCTTGCGCTCCCAGAGGTGGTCGGCAGTTTCGGGGTTCTGGTACTTTCGGGCCATATAAGCGCGCTGGGGGATGTATCCTTGACGTCAAATGGCGGTTAGCTCTTGCCAGGATTATGTTACCCGCCATTGCGGGATGAGGCAAACGTACCCATGCCACCCCAGACGCCGGCGCAGAATGCCTCGACCAGCTTGCCCTTCTTCTCCAGCAGGGCAGGGTCGATCTTGTCCAACGGCACGCGGCGGACGCAGACGTCGTGCAGAGTTGGGTTCTTGTTGGGGTTGTACTTGTGGAAGGAGGGGGAGTGGAAGATGTGGTCGGAGGTGTCGATGGGCTCGAAGATGTCGTTACGGGTGGCGCCAAAGAAGACGCCGACGGAGGCCAGGCCACCAGCGGCGGCGACCTTGACGGCGCGACTGAAGATACCCATTGATTGTGTATAAGCGACCGCAAGAGTGAGCGTGAGGGGAAAAGGAGGTGCGGAATAGGTAGGTAGGAAAGAACGGAGGAAGGAAGGGAGTGAAGTTCCACGGAGAAAGAGCGGCTCGTCACGAGACTTCGGGGTTGTCGCCGGTCGCTCCTTCCTGGCAGGAGGGAGAAACTAACTAGTTAGCCAACTAACTTATAGATTCAATATTATTAAAACTCTTGTAAGCTGTCCTGATTCAATCGTTCTTTGGACGTAGCTAGGAGGAGGTAGTTCCTAGGTGTGAGAGCAGTCAGTCGGGATATATATTCCCGCACCTCAAATCCAAATGACCAACACGCATCGGAATTTCTGACCAGCTAGGGTGGGCTCATCAGCAACAAGAAGAATGGCATTCCAGCAGTCGGAATTGCCGACCCCGATGCTCCACGGGCGCCCCGGACCAGGCTTCCCCCATACTCGAGGGGGTAACGAGACCCCTACCGGCTATGAGAAGAACTGGCTCCCCTCAGGACAGTGGATGATTTCTCAAAACACATGGCGGACGTCAAGAATGAATCCTCTAGCCACCAGGGCGCCATGCCCGAAGCCGACGAAAGAGCACCATGATCAGGAACGGAAGACGGCTGAGGAGCGAGATGTCAACCACCCGCAGGTACAGCATACCCACCTCCATGGCCATCCCATCTGACACCGTGCGGTACAGAATTGGTCTCTGAGGGCCAAGATGTCCACGTATCTGACAATCTGCGGCTTCACCTTTTCCGCCAACGTCAACTCCAGCAACTTTACCGTCGCGACGCAGGAGATCATCAAAGAATTCCATGTCAGCCAGACCCAGGCCGGGCAGCTGGTGTGTTTCAATGTGTTCCTCTTCGGCGTGGGCAACATCTTCTGGGTCCCGCTCATGCGAGTGGTTGGGAAGCGTCCGGTGTACCTAGTGGCCATATTGGCGCTCTCCATGATGAACGTATGGTACAGCCAGGCCGTCAGTTATAACGAATTGCTTGCTTCGCGCATCCTCTCCGGATTTCCCGCCGCTGCGGCAGATGCGACGGTCCCCGCGGTCGTTACAGACATGTTCGGTCCCCAAGATTGTGGCCACTATATGATGTTCTTTCACCTTGCGCTGACCACGGGCCTGTTCATGGGGCCGTTGATCAACGCATACCTAGTCCAAGAGCGGGACTGGCGCTGGATGTGTTACTTTCTCTCCATCGCGGTTGGGATTAGGTTTGTGGTGTCTGTCTTCACGATCCGAGAAACCTCATACGTCAAGCGCCTTCCAGCGGGTTCATCGTCCACAACCACGCGTTCGCCGTGGCAGTGGATGTCCCTCACGATCGGGTACAACCGTGAGGCCTCTTTCATTCGAGCCTCGATGGATATCTGGCCCATGCCGGTTATCCGCCATTGATATGGTGTGCCTTCACTATTGGAATTTCCGTCGGATGGTTTGTATTACCTGGGAATGCCCTTTTTCAGCCACTAACTCTGGTCATAGGAATATCGTTGTGCAACTGACAGCATCCCGTACTTTTTTACAACCACCCTATAGTTGGCAATTGGGTAGCCTCGGTCTGCTGTCATTAGCAGGGTTCAACGGCGCGGTCCTTGCGTTTTATGTCGGTGGCCGGCTTATTGATATAATTTCGACCCGTAGCACTGCACGACATGGTGGTGTCCGTATGCCCGAATATCGACTGCCAGCCATCGTGATCCCCGGCACCATTGGCCCGGCGGGGATTTTGATCTTCGGGCTCTGCGTTGCGTACCGGACGCACTGGATCGGCCCAGCCTTCGGCAACGCCATGCAAGCATTTGGAGTTGCTGCCATCTCGAATGTCGCCGTAACCTATTCCCTAGACTCCTACAAACCAGTACGTTATTTGCTCCTCAGCTCGGCCTTGCACTCATGGGCCCCGTAATTGATTCTTCTTCAGGTAACCGGCGAAGCATTGGTGATCATCTTTGTGATTCGAAACACGATTGGAATGCTTTTGTCCCTTTACGCAGCGGACTGGATCGAGCACCATGGACCGGCACGCGTTTTCGGTGAAATGACGGCCATCCAGGTTGCCAGCGTTCTATGCGCCGTCCCGCTATTCTTGTGGGGACGATCATTAAGAGTCTTCACGTTTAGTTACGGACCAATGAAGCGTTTTCAGGAAGCGTGACGTGAGTTTGTAAGTAAAGCGAGTGATCGAATAGCTGGCGGACATAGTCAACCGAGTGTTAGGCAATGCTGCGGCCTTCCTCATGATTTGCCACTGCCCCACGCAGACGCGGGGAACCACAAACCAGGTGACCGTCGAACAATTGTAGTATTCGTATCCTCCTTTCTCTGTACCAATCTTCTTCACTTGGTTCGGCGGTTCTTGTATTATTGCCCAGAGCTTAGCTAAGACCATGACGAGTGCCTATGTCAGTCTCAATTAACCCAGATGCGGGAAACATATCACTTCCCAGATTCTACTGACCTGGATTAGCATTTCAACATCTGTTTTGAAAGTATTGAGGCATGGCAGGCATTTGAACCCTTTGATGACAAGTATGCTATTCGACCCATGCCAGTTTTGTTAGAATTTCTGACGGTGTCAAACAGATACAAGAAGAAGCTCGCGGCGATTGGAGCCCATGTCGGATTGGCTATTACAACCCGGTCATTACCGCCTATGTACAACTTTAGGCACGCCACCCTTCTTTCTTTCTTTTTCTTTGACTGACCAAATCTCCATGTCTAGGGCCGAGGTTCCACTGACGGTATCAATGAAGCAACTAATGGATGTCGAAGCTGGGGATGGGGTCAAAGTGCGCATCGAAAAGGGGGGATAGTTTCAAGGCCAAATTCAAAAGATATCAATTCAATTCAATGTTCTACTTGTACAGTCTCCCGACTCAATTCCGTAAAACATTTCTCACAAACAAAGATAGACCATAAACGAGTGGAACGGGTTTAACCATCGTCATGATAACCCATACGTTGCCATAGCTATCATTTCCCTCTGAGATCGGGGAACAGACTATGGCGTGAAGACAAAGTCATCGACATTCAACGAGTTCCGAAGCCGAACAGCGGAAGGCCGGTGGAAAGAGGAAGACCCGAGGCTGAGTTTGAGGCAGACGAAGAGATCTCGGATGGCAGGGAAACAAATCCGAAAGTAGTCGAAGAAGAGGCAGAAGAAGAAGAAGAAGTGGGAGCTGAAGAGGAAGTGAAAAGAGGAGTGCGAGTGGGAGTAGCAGAAGGCGAAGGCAAGACGCCACGCTTCTGGACACTGGCCGAGGCAAGAGCAGCGGCCACGGACTGAGCGTCAGCGAGTAGAGATGGCAGATCCGTGGGAATGGCTAGAGACTCTCCACGTTTCTGAGCACCACTGGAGGCTAGAGCGGCCGCCACAGATTCGGCATCAGAGATCAGAGATGGCAGATCCGTGGGGATAGAAAGCGACTCGCTACGCTTCTTCTGGGCACCAGCAGATGCGAGGGCGGCCGCGACAGACTGGGCATCAGAGATCAAAGATGCCAGACCCGTGGGGATAGCCGAAGAGTCACTGCGCTTGAACTCCGCAGGCTCCGAGTCAATTGTCGGCGTGGGCAGGAGAGTGCTGTTGGAGGGAGCCAAAGGGTTGGGGAACGGGCTGCTGGTGGAAACCAGAGAAGGAGTCACGATGCCCAAGGAAGTTGGAAAGACATAGGTGCCATTGGGGTTCTTGGGGCCAACGAAGGGAGCGGCAATGGCAGTACCTGTAAGAGTAATGGCAAGGATAGAAACTGAGGCTCTCATGACGAATATCGAACAAATAAGAGTATGACTTTCGATGAACGGTGAGGGGTCTCAAAGAACAAAGGTTTGCAATCCAGAAGCAATGTTGAGTCTGCTTAAAGAATGGAGCTTCGAAGGTAGAATTCGAAGGGGATTTTATATCTTTCAGAGAGGACGCTCTGACCGGCAAATCCATCTTGCATGGGGTCTTGGAGAAGCCTCCACCATCCTGCACGATGATCCGGCTTTTGCGAACTCCAAATCCGTGCTTATCTTTACTCATGGTGGACCGAGGATCTCGCACTCCGAGTGGCCGAGAACAGACGAGAGCACTTCTATCGTCATTCTGGGCCTGAGGTTTCGTAATGGCTAGCATGGAAGCGAGAGGCAATCGTCGACGAGATGGCGATCCGGTGTCTGGTTCGGAATGAGGTGCCCTAGCTCTAACCAAGGGCACATGGTAGAAGATCGACGGATTTGGCAGTTCGCCCTGCGCGAATTGTTGGAGAAATGGGCCGTCGGGGGTTTTCCAGGTAATAAGCCACACGTTCAGGGACTGCCGATTGACGATCGTTTGCTGATCCCCGTTCCCGCCGTTTTTGGCGACTCGACCGAGTGCCCGATGCTGGTCCGCCCAATGAGGAGTGTCCTCGATAGCATTTCCCACAAAGAAACCATGGATCAGCTCGGCTCCTTGGTGATCGGATCAACAGATACCGATCGAGTCGGCCAGAAGGAATCGGCATCTAGACATGATGTACGATGCCGGACGATCTGCACGTTCTTTTCAGGATGTCCCGGATCGTGTATCCGGAGATCGATCCGGTTGGGAATCTTGGAGACATCAGTATCTATGACGCATAGTGACCGACCCGAGTGCTTCAGTTCCCGGTGTCGGGCGCTTGCTGGCCAGTGATTGCAAAGGGAACTTCGGCGATGGATCGTTCGGTCAAGGTCCGTTCGATTGGTCTAGATGAGCAGAACAAATGCACCTCATAATACTAGCTTTCCATTCTCCATGGATCTCTAATTCGCACCGTCGCAACCGGAAAGCTTTGAGGGGTGAGCCGATACCTTGTTTTCTCTTGCTAAAGGACCAAGGTTACCTACGATGCATCGCATGATTGCCGAGGGAGATGGTTGTCCCAGTTTCTTCCAATTTAACAAACGACGGCTTGTTCCACTGTGTTTCGCGATAGAGATAGATATATTTCAGGCCAGGGAGTCGTCTTCGTTCCGTCGTAATTTTATAGGATGATAATTCGCCTTTCCTTGCGCTGCTTCATTCACAATTTATATCAAATAGTAATGGCAGTTCATTATTACTTCTGATGAGAGACTACCGCCCCATCCAGCCTCCGTCAACCGTGTGAATCTCGCCACTCACGTAGGCGCTGGCTCGGCTAGCCAGGTAGACCACTGGACCTTTGAAATCGTCCGGATTGCCCCATCGCGCGGCGGGGATGCGAGCCAGGATGCTGGCTGCACGTTCCTTGTCCTGTATCAGGGCTGTATTCATGTCCGTTGCGACGTAACCTGGGGCAATGGCGTTGACATTAATGCCCTTGGATGCCCACTCGTTCGAGAATGCTTTGGTGAGCTGTGCCACGCCACCCTTGGCCGCTGCATAGGCGGGCACCGTCAGCCCACCTTGGAACGAGACAAGCGAGGCTACATTGATGATGCTCCCGCGTTGTCCAGAATTGTTGGGCGTGCGGGTGAGCATGTAGGCACCGACATCGCGGCAGAGCGTGAAGACGGTGGTTAAGTTCACTTGGAGGACCTGTAAGAACGGTCAGGAATGGCTTATTGTGGGTCTCAGAGATAGAAACAAACTTCGTCCCAATCTTCTTGCGGGAACACATGGCTTGGGTGTCGTCGCTGAATTCCGGCACAATTTAGAAGAATGTTGATGTCGTGGCCGTCCTTGACGATCGTTGACACCAGTGCCGACACGGATTCTTGCGATGCTAGGTCGGCCGTGTAGATGGTGGCCTTTTGTCCCAGCTTGTTGATTTGCTCTTTGGTGTTCTGGTTGCTGGTATCTCTCTGGGCCAAGTCAGTTGTTTTTCACCGTGGTCAAGGAGACAAACACACCTGTACCAGAACCACATCGGCGCCGGCTTCAGCTAGGGCTAGGGCCATCGCCTGGCCAATGCCGCGCGTTCCACCGGTTACCAAGGCAGTTTTACCCGTCAGTGAGAAGAGATCCATGTTGTTTGTGTTCTTGACGGAACTTACAGAGGGAAGCTGGCTACATAAATACTGCATACTCGGCCTGTTGACCCCCATGCGGGGATGGCGTGGGGGTGGGGCGAAGGCTGAAAACAATTCACAAAGATAACTACAACAACTGAAACAGTAGCATTTTGCTACATGCGAACTTGACCTGAGTGTACCGTGCTAGATGCGTAGCTATAAATTAATATGCTCTCGAAAGCTCCCCTACCATTCGCGAATCGACCCGTCAGGCCCGTAGAACTCCTTGGGCTGCCAGGGCTCTGTCTCCTGGCTGATGCGCCGCACCAACTCTTCGTCTATCTCTATTCCTAGTCCGGGCTTGGTAGGCGCGGCCACAAAGCCTTCCTGGATCTCGAAGACGGTCTTGTCCACAAGATAGCTGTTAAGGTCAATGTCGCCTGCCTCGACATTGTAATGCATGCCTAGGGACATCTCCTGGATGACAAAGTTGGGAGTCGACACGGCTACCTGGAGCGAGGCTGCCAGGGCAATGGGACCCAACGGACAGTGAGGGGCGATGGCCACATCGTACGACTCAGCCATGGTCGCCATCCGCTTGGTCTCCGAGATACCGCCCGCGTGGGCAATGTCCGGCTGTAGAATGTCCACGGATGCATCTTCCAAGAAGCGCTTTACGTCCCATCGGGTGTACAGTCGCTCCCCAAAAGCGATGGGGATGCTCGTCTGGCTCGAAAGCTGTTTAATGGCCTCAGGGTGCTCACATAGCAGCGGCTCTTCGATAAACAAGGGCTGATACGGCTCCAGGGCCTTGACCAGCTGTTTGGCCATGGGTCGATGTAGTCGGCCATGGAAATCTAGGCCTGCATCCAAGCCGAGAGCCTTGACCTGCTTCAATCGCTCCACACACGACTGGAGCACGGCGGGTGAGTCCAGCCAGTTGACGTCCTCGGTGGCGTTCATTTTGACGCACTTGAGACCTTGAGCAATGCGAGCCTTACTGTTCATCATGGATGTCAGCAGAATGGTATCCCCGGGCACAGAGACACTCACGCTGCGGCCTCAACATCACTCGGTCGGTCCCCTCCAATCCAGGCGTACACCTGCACCTTCTGACGTACCTTCCCACCCAGCAGCTGATATACCGGTACGCCTAGCCGCCGGCCCTTCAGATCCCACAGCGCAATGTCGATTCCCGACAGAGCTGACATGAAGACGGGTCCACCCCGGTAGAATCCCAGTCGCCAGACCGTCTGCCAAATGTGTTCGATATCGCTGCGGCCGATCAGGATCAGCATCAAGGAAAAAGAAGACGACGATGGCTAGCGTACTCTGCTTCATAGCCCACAATCCTCGCAATTATCTCGTTCAGTGCGCCCTCGACGGCCAACGAGTGACCCTCGAGTGTGCCCTCTCCCCAGCCGATCTGGCCCTCATCGTCGGTGACCTTGACGAACAACCAGCGGGGCTTGACGCGAAAGTACTCGATTGCCTTGATCTTCGCCATGGTAAAATAGTGTGTGCAGCTTAGAGCGTATGCTACTTTCGGGCTGCGATTGCATTAGTTATAACCGCGGACGACGGTCTTCCCCACACGAGCATCCCACGCGGGGGTTGCACGGATGAAGTCCGACACGAGCTAAGATTGAACCCTATGTGCGGCTGATTGGTGGAAGAATTCGATACTGTCCTCCCAGTTGGCAAACAATGCCCGGGCAGATAATACATTATTGGAGATTTCCATTGTGTCCGTGGGGGTTTCTGTCATGCTGAGGCCTGTAAGATGGGACGCACCGACTACGCAGGATTTGCTCACCATAGCTCGATTGAGTTGTGACGATCGACGGGGGAACCCCCACGCCCCCGCGGCGAAGGGGATCAGCCGAGCGGACTTATCTTCATGGCGAAGAGTTCTCGTGTCGCAATCGGTGGATGAACAAGCACAATGAAGGTCTCGCGCAATGAGATCGAGCAGCACAACAGCCGCCGCTCATGCTGGGTGGCCATCCACGGCGCTGTCTACGATGTGACTGGTACGTTGCGGATGCGAGATGGACGGCCAACGCTGACCGACGGTCCAGATTTTCTGGACTCTCATCCCGGTGGTGCCCAGGTCATCCTGCGGTGCGCGGGTAGAGATGCCACCAGCGATTTTGACTCGGTTCATTCTCCTGAGTTGCTGGCTGAAGCTTTGCCAGAGACCGCCTGGCGTGGTCAGATCGACCCGGCTGAATTGGCCGCACCTCGCGGGCACTCTGATGTTGATAGTGAGAAGCAAAAGAGTGCATCCGATGTCCCGCCGCCGCTGAGGAATCTCCTGAACCTCCACGATTTTGAGGAGGTCGCGCAGCGCTATCTCTCCGCCAATGCCTGGGCCTACTACTCATCGGGCGCTGACGACGAGATCAGCAAGCGACAGAATGCCCGGGCCTACCAGAAAATCTCTTTGCGACCCCGAATTCTTCGCAAAATTACTACAGTTGATGCTACAACGTCTATCTTGGGCTATTCTTCATCTCTTCCTGTATACATGTCGCCTGTCGGCATTGCCAAGCTGGCTCATCCGGACGGCGAGTGTGCGCTGGCCGCAGCAGCGGGGAAAGAAGGTTTGGTCCAGGTGCTAGCCAACAGCTCGAGCATGCCCATTGAGCGGGTTGTGCAGAGTTGCGTTTCTCCAGATCAGCCCATCTTCCAACAGTTATATGTCAACCGGGATATCAGCAAGTCTGTGGATCTTGTGCGGCGTGCCGAGGCCGCTGGGGCACGAGCCATTTGGATCACGGTTGATTCACCGGTTGTGGGAAAGCGCGAAATGGATGAACGATTGAATCTGACTGTCACAGTATGGACCCGTTTCATAATTAGCAAGGAATAAGAACGCTGACCAGAGTTCAGGCTAGCGAAAGTGGCTCGCAGGGAGCCGGAGTGGCAAAGACCACGGCTAACTCGATCTCTCCATTCATAGACTGGAGCATTCTCTCGTGGCTTCGGGAACTCACCAGCCTGCCTGTTGTAATCAAAGGAATTCAAAGCGTCGAGGATGCTGTGCTCGCATACCAACATGGCGTGCAGGGCATCGTGCTCTCCAACCACGGCGGCCGATCGCAAGATACGTACGTTGAGCCTCGACAATGGTGATATCATTTAATGCATACTTATATATATATAGTGCCCAATCGCCGCTCCTGACTCTACTAGAGATTCGCAAATTTGCGCCATTCCTGATCAACTGCAAGATGCAGATCTTTATCGACGGCGGTATTCGCCGCGGTACCGACGTGCTCAAAGCCATTGCGCTGGGTGCTACAGCCGTCGGGCTGGGGAGGCCATTTCTGTTTAGTTTGTCTGCCGGTTACGGTGAAGATGGGGTGCGGCACATGCTGGCGGTGTTGCGGCAAGAGATCGAGTCCAACATGGTGTTTCTAGGAGCAACCACACTAAGCGAGCTGAGGCCGGAGATGGTCAACGCCAGCCGGCTGGAACGGGACTTGATCGGCAGCGTGAAGTTGTAAGGTCTAAACACGTTTCAGTCTGAATAATAATAATTAATGAATCTTTTACATCTTCCACCACCACGTTCCGTGGCGTCATTCTCGTCAGCCCCAGCGTCTCCACCCCCACGCTCCCACACTTCGGAGGATGGCCGGTGCTATGCGGGGTTGGATGAGTATTAAACAATCCGGCCACAACGTACTCTTCTACAGCGCTCGGCTTCGTCCACGCGATAATAATGTCAGACCAGATCGAGGTGCTGCTCTACGGCCTAGGAGCGTAGGTGTTCCTCGCTGCTGTGCAAAAGTGTTCGTGTCTGATCAATGCAGGATTGGCTCCTTTTACGCCTTCATCCTCAGCCGTTCTGACCGTGTGCGGTTGACGGTAGTAGCACGGTCAAATTATGACGCAGTATCTGCCAATGTATGCCATTCTCTTCTAGCTGTCGCGAGGAACAAAACGAGTTGACTTGTCGGGTTAGGGGATTACCATCGATAGCGAGAACCATGGCCAGCACACCTTTCACCCACACCGAGGTTGGTAGATTGCCGGTTTGCTCTGTGTAACCACCACACTGACAGGACCTGGCTGACAGTGGTCAAATCACCCGCCGAGGCACCGAAGATGGACTACATTGTATGCGCCCATAAGGCTATTGATCAGGACGGCGTGGCGGCGCAGTTACAACCGGTAGTCGACGATACCAGGTCTACAATTGTGATTATCCAAAACGGCGTCGGCAACGAGGAGCCATTTCGAAGGAAGTTCCCCCAATGTTCTATCCTGACCTGCGTGGTATGCTCGCCAATCACTCTATTGAGCGCCTCGGCTAATTTCCGCAGACATGGGTAGGGGCCACGCAGACGAGCCCCGGCATTGTCAAACATACCAAATCCGAAGACATGCAGATCGGCCTCTTCCCAAATTCACAGGTCGATGAGAAAGTCGAGCGCCAACGGCTGGAGAGGTTCGCTGACCTCCTCCACCACGGCCAGACGCGGTTCCAGATTTTGGAAGACATGCAGCGGCAGCGGTGGGAGAAGGTCGTCTGGAACGCTGCATGGAACTCGCTCACCACCCTGACCATGGTGGACACACAAACCTGGCTGCACTCCTCTGAGGATGCCACACCCTTCACTCGGCAGGTGATGCGCGAAGTTATCAACATTGGTCGCGGCTGTGGGGTGTCGCTGACCGAAGACCTCATCGACCAGCTAATGGGGAAGATTAACGCCATGCCGGGTATTGGTAGCAGCATGCAAACAGATTGCAAGAACGGGCGGCCGATGGAAATTGATGTGATCTTGGGCTTTCCCGTGCGAAAATCGCGAGAGCTAGGGATCTCGGCTCCGTTTCTAGAGACTCTCTATGTCATCTTGCGTGCAATCGACGGCCGATTGAAGGCCGCATTGTAGGTGAATATAGCTGATTGGTTGGGCAGCGAAGCGCGGTTATCAGAACGAATATATTTGTCTGTTCCATAAACAGATGCGATGCTAGTATAGAAAACCACAAGGACTCGGGAACATTAGAACCAGTCCACCAGAAATATATGCAAAAGAGGAACGCCGTAATCCAAGATCCAAATGGAACGAACCAGACCAGGACCGGCTCGTCTGTCCGTCATCTATATACTCCAAATTTTCTGGTCATTACCCCATAATGGCGACAACCAATATAAACAAAAAGCATCAAGATTGACATGAAATCATAGCGCGTGAATGTGAGAATGTCCGTGCTAAAGCGGATCATGGGGCTGAGGAAGCTCCTGCAGCTGGACGGACGTGGTTTTAGCGCTATCCGGCGCCTGATTACCAGGCGGGTCACCAGGCGGCTTGGGGCTTGGTGGTTCTTCGTCCACGGCGAAACGCCACCGGGCATCTGCACCCATAAACATACGAAACCCATATCGCTTATTGAGGGTGGAGAGGTGAGCGCGCCTTTGACTGTTGCTCCACGTGTGTGTTTTCTGGAAATCACTGAGCATCCGACTGTGCGCAACCCAGGGTATCACAGCCCCGATGGAACGCGGCAATCGAGGTCCACGGAACCGCCCGCGACGAGTCCCAAAGACGATTAGCACCACCAAAGTGTCGAGTGCGATGATAAGGAGAGCGATTGCGAGAGACGGAACCGAGGGTACCATACACCAGGTGCTGCGAGTCACCGTTGCATTGGCGACTGGTAGTGGTTCGGGGAGGAACTCAAGATAGATATCACGCCAAATCGAGAAGTAGGTACTGTACACCCACTGGTACACTGTCTGAGTTAGATCCATCAGACGCTCAGTGTGCAGGTACCCAAGGCCTGGATCGTCCCGTTCATAGAGACGCGCAACCAAGAAACCCGCCCAGTCATAGGAAGAGATATTGTAGCTCCCGTTTTCAGAGGTGGTGTTGCCCACGAAACTCTGAGGGATAGCGGCGAAAACTTTGTTGAACTGGCCCAGACTCACGGTGGCATTGTCAAACATAGTACCCGATGTGATTGAAGAGTTTGCCACGGGTTTACTGCTTTCGATCTGACCCCGCTGATCGAAACTGATGGTGAAATTTTGCAACTGGATTTGAGGTTCACAGTGCAGCGCAATGGTGTTCTGGTCGGTAATTGGAGTATCGGCCCGGTAATCCCAACGTCCGACCACCAGCACAGTGGAGGTCTGGCACCGATCCGAATCATTCATGTCGCTCGGAGACAGGAAATGAATGGACAGTGCAATTCCTTCGTCCTTGCTCCGGAGGGTGGGCATACTTGCATTGCATTGCACAGAAGGATCCTCAAACAGTGTGTACTGCCAATATTGATGCACATCATCTTTGTTGCGGACGAGAGCTTCAGCTGGGGACAGAGGTTGACACTGCAGCACTGTCCCAATGCCAAGGGTCGACGCCCCGTAGACAATATCAGGGTCCGGGTCGCGCATGGCGACAGGAATGAAAGACTGGTTGGGGCTCGTCCACGACAGCATGGGGACGCCGCTCGTGATGCTAGTCTGAATGAGGTCATATTCGGTGAACTCGGCAGCAAAGTCGGTCTGCCAAAAGGTGGACTGGCTATAGTTTGTCGATAATTCTCCGGTGGGAAGAGTGGAAGCCGTAAGCTGCTGTGTGAACAGCCCACCGGCGACGACCGTCAAGACCATGTTGATGATACAAATAAGGGAGACCAGCCCCAGCAACACGTGACGGTGTCGTACAGCCTTGAAGAAGACAGCAAACGGGCTTTGAGAGGAATAATTAAGTGACAATGACGCCCGTGCCGAGGCCATGCCTCGTTGAAGGTGAACCCATGGTTCGAGGACACTTAGGTTGCGGTAGATGGATGTGCATAGCGAACTCACAGAGGACGCTACTACCGAAGGAAGAAAGGAGAGGATGATTTGGAAGGTGCTTGAGTCGGACTGCGTTAAATGCCGGAATCGGCCATCCCGAAGGAGAGAAGATATGACTAGTCCCATGAGAATGATGACGGCCGCAAGGGCCAGACACTCGACAATAAAGAAGGGGATAACAAGGAAGTGTGGCATGGGGTCGACGCGTATTTGTAGGTCCTCGCCATTGAGTTGAACAGGGGAGCCTATTCGGCCGGGTCAGTTGGTGTATTGGGCGAACCCATGGGACACTGGGGTGGTTACGTACCATCTTCTGCGAGTATCTCCATACGGTTTCCAGTGGGCCCAGGCCGCCAGTAGCAACGGGCGTTCCGGAAGATGCGTCGTAGTTGTCTCGTGGAGAATTGATGAAATTCTAACTGCGGTTCTGCCAAAATGTTGCTCGGATGAAAGATATCGGCTGCGATACTGCACATGGCACCAATGGATCCTGGATCACTCTGGAGAAAGGTTTCCCGCGACCGGTACAGAAGGAGCAGATATAGCGCGGTGAGGGTTGCGAGCCCCAGAATGAACTCAGAACCCAACGCTGCAAAGCGTACGACAGCGATGGCGACTTGATCTGAAATGCGACGTGCAGGCACGATTGTCGGGGTGCGGTCGGGATCAAACAGTCGGCCGAGGGTGAGCACAAATGTTTGTTTCACATCACGATTAATCCTAGCCTTAAATTGGGCTTGGGTCATGACAGTAGAGGTATCCAGCACCAATAGCGGCTGCAGGTCTCCCAATTCCTCGCTGATGACGGGCAGTTCTGTGACGGTGCGACTGCCCGTTGTCTTATTGTCGCTGATGAAGAGCATGTCACTGGTATACGGCGAGCGTTGGGATAAGAGAGCCTGGAAATGCTCGATGTTGAACTGGGAGGCCGTCAGCGTCCGAGAGGTAGCATGATCAACCTGTATTCCTGTGATGGAGCTATTTGAATGCATGGAAACCTGAGCCTCCGCTTCATGGTAGGTGACATCGCAGGCAAAGGCAACACCCGTCGCACCGTATTGGGCAGCAGCGGAATCAGGATGCGAGACATTGATGGCAATGATCATGCCATAAAGATCGTACGGATCACATCCGGAAGATGAGAAAGCGTGTCTCCGGTTTGGATATTCGGCCCGTGTGACATTGGTGATGACAGGCTCCCAGTAGCGCACCTGCAGGTAGTCGGTCTCGGGAAAGAAAACAGTGTCATAGTGGAAGTCCAGTTTGCACCGGGTAGAATCTCCATTCTCGTCTTGCAGAGCGATGCCAGTGGCGTTCCACGACACGCTAGGGTATCCATTTTGGGGCTTGTGGATCGTCACCGAGAGTTTGTCATCTACCTTCACGTCGCGGCATTTGAGCTGGGCCCAGTACAAGGTCTGATCGAGAGACCACAGAGTGGTTTCCGACTCTGCGGTGGCGGGGATTTCCACGGGTGCAATCGCGAAATTGGCGGAGCGAGATCGGCGTAGGTTCTCATCCGAAGACAGCACCGAGTCGACTGTATTGTTGGCTTGAACGGACATCCAGGTTGCCTGAGTGGCCAGGTCGACCAGATGAGGCCAGCTGCGCATCGTCTCCCGCTGGACGACCGTCACTTCCCGGAGTTCGAAAACTGTGCTTTGCAGGGCTGGAAGAATCATGCGAATCAGCACGGTCATCAAGGAGACCCAGAGCACAACCCAATGATGGCGCCGCGCCGCATTGATCGGGGTGAGGATGGTCTGTCCGAAGGTGTAGTTGATAAATAGCACACTGGCCGGCGCCCCGTGTGGCTGTGACAACTGGAAATAGGGTTCGAGTCGGAGCACGTCGAAGTCGGTGACGGTCCAGATCATGAAGAGCACGAGGGCGACAATGATCGGGACGTAGTTGTAGCCGAACGATTGCAGGGCGGAGACTTCATCGGTGTCCGGAAAGAATGCCAACCCCCTTCCCGATCGCTGTACTGGCGAAGGCCTTCCAAGGCCAGCAGCATGGTGAGTGTGAAGCAGGCTAGTGCGGCGAGATACGGCGGCCGCAGGGCCACCGGGCGCCAGCCCTGGCGGTCGCTGCGGGCGGGAGGTGCGACGAGGGACCAGGTGAGACCTGACGGAGGGAGATGATCAGCCAAGCCTCGGGCAGAAAGGAAACGTAACTTACGGATCCATTGCGCCCAGGGCCTGCGCAGTAACTTGTCGCCCTCGACGAACATGCTGGGTGAACGGGCCCCGACGGCGCACACAGGGGGACAGAGCAACGCGGATCGCAGGGCATTGCCGATTTAACCGTCGAAAAGGGCTCCAAGTTGGAGGGTCATGGTTCTGATTATTCAGGGGAGACGGAATTGCGGCGAACGAATGGAAGATGGAGGGGGGGGAAAGACGAATGAGAAAAGAACGAAAAGCAACGACAAGGAAGGAACGAGATCGACGCCAAGAAGTGGGCATTGGCAGCATGACGCAGCAGAGAAAAGCAAGAACGAGACCCGGCGAAGAGGCTGATTTGGAGAGGGTCACCTGATTCGTGGGCCCCGGTGGACATGCATCCATGGTCGGCCCAGGTACAGTTCCTGTTCCATCCACGGAAGACACTGACATTTTGAACTAGGTACCTAGCTACACCCGTCACTGACAACCCCCATGTGTCCCTGTCGATCCGCCCCTCGCATCAAGCACCCGGCTGGCCACGTGGATCCAACTAACGCACTATATAGTCCCTTACGCACTAACCGTAGGCTCCTCCTTCGCCGTCATCTTCTCCGTAGCCGGCTCCTCGGCAGCCCTCTCGGTGGTCGAGGTTCGCGCCGCCGTCACTTCCTCGACGACCACCGGGTTGTGCGCCTTGGCCGCCTCCAGGTCGCCATGCTCCATGGCGATCGTCTCCCGGGTCTTGACGTGAGTCTTCCAGGCGGGCGTGCCCAGGTACTGGATCCCGTTCGGGTCCTCGAACATCAACTCCGTCTCTTCTAGGGTCTTGCCCGCGGTTTCGGGGAAGATGAAGTACACGTGGATGAACATGGCCGCGTTGAAGCAGCCGAAGATCAGATAGGTCTTCCACATGATATTCGTGAACGCCGGCGGAGTGAAGAGACCCAACGCCATGTTGAACACCCAGTTGCCCGAGGTCGACAGCGCCACGCCCTGACTACGCAGCCGCAGCGGGAACAGCTCGGGCGGGTAGGTCCACGACGCCGGCCCCCAGGTCGGGGCGTACGACGCGACAAACAGGTAGGTGCAGGCAATCAGACCCGAGGCCGCCGAGCCCGTCAGCCGCATCGACTCTTCCGGGGTACTATCAATCCCGCCGGGGACGACAACCCCATGGGAGCCCATGATGCCAGCGTTGGCGAACATGAAGATGGTCATGAAGAACGCGCCGACCAGCATCGTGGGACGCCGACCCCAACGATCCTGCCAGATCAGGGCCGGGAGGGTCATCACAACGTTGATAACATACTGGATCGACGACGACAGGATGCCCGAGTTACCAGAATAGCCCGCCATGCCGAATACGTAGCCGATGTAGTACACTGGAGCAGTCAGCGAGGGTCCGGACGAGGCGCTGGGGGGAGGGGGGAATACGGACTCATGACGTTCATGCCGGTCAGCTGAGACCAGATCTGCGTGAATAGACCGATGAGCGTGCGGTTCAGCATCTGTGGCTTGAAGAGATCGAGATAGGTGACGTGCTTGAACTGCCGCTCGATTTCGCACATGTCTCGGATATCTTGCAACTCGATGGCGATGAAGGGGTGGTTAGGTTCACCCCGGGCGTGCACCATCGTCAACACCTGCTGACACTCCTCCCACCGATCCTTTCGCGCCAGCCAGCGGGGGGACTCGGGGAGAAGGAACATGGCAAAGAAGAGCAGGATGGCCGGGATCATCTGCAGCGCCCAGGGAACCCGCCAGGCGGCCGGCCTATAGTCATACGAGTATTGGCCGCCAATGTACGCGCAGCCATACGAGATGCGATAAGGCCGTCAGCGGGACCGGAGAGAAGGGGAAACCGGACTTACTAGTACATGATCAGAATGCCCCAGGTGATGGCCCATTGTTGCAGGCCGACAAAACGACCACGCTTCGAAGGTGGAGACAATTCACTGACATACACGGGCACCTGGGCGGATTCGATACCCACACTCAGACCGTTGATGATACGGCCCACGATGAGCATGCTGATGTTCTGCGAGGCGCAGATCAAAGTTGAACCGATGACCCTGCAAGAAAAGGTCAGCTAGCGGAGCCGGCATCGCCATCGCGCACGAGAATGCCATACCAGATCAGACACCCGATCATGATCGAAGTCTTGCGGCCTAGGTGATCCGACAGCGGGCCTGAGATCAGGGCTCCGAGCCAGGAGCCGGCCGCCATAGCGGCTGTGATCCCACCCTGCACCGTGGACGTCGGGCCCGTGCAGTTCGGTTTGTCATTGAACGGAGGGCCGTCAGGGCCTTGGTTGAAGTAGCACTTGTACGAGTTTTCCGTCAGCTGCGCCGACATGGATGCGATGTCGAAGCCAAATAGGCCGCCGCCGACGACGGCGACGGCCGAAATCACGTAGATGTTGCCGACTTGTTTCATGATCAGTCAGATACGAGAGCAAAAATGTGGCGCTGCTTCACCGGAGAAGGGGGGCCCTTCCGGGTTATAAGTACTCACACACGCATCTTCGGTGCTGAACCATCGTATGCATCGTACATGGTGCCATGATTCAGGCCCCGGCGCACGCACCAGGAGGCAGGCGGGTTAGTTTGCTCCGAAGTACCATCGGGGTTAATAATTATTATTCATGATTATTATTTTTCGAGGATATACTACGATATTAGCGGGGCCTGGCACGGGTTTCTCATGGACGCGCGAATCATGGCCCTCCGATGGTAGCCAATAAAAACTGGTTTATAGGACCCAGTGCTATGTCGTTAGTCGAAAGGACGCGCGCGCACCACTTGGCCCCCATGGGGATCGGGGTGCTCTGGTCCACACCTCCATTCGGATCCCCACAAGACGCCAGATGAGGGAGATTCTGCTGTTGCTGTGATGTTTTTGATGATTTTCCATTTTGACCTTCGGTCCCGAATTTGCCGGCTCGACCGTGACATCCCGTCAGCCATGGCAAAGCTTGGTATGCTGGTGGCGTCGCCTGGAGCTTTCAACCGAGCCCTAACTCCACATGAGATGGATGCTCGAGCTCCCGTTCCACCAATGAATGTCTTGCCGACTGGCCGAGTCTGGGGAACAGGCGTACGACGGTTGTTTGGCGAAAGACGCTACACCGGTCTAGCGCCGCTGAGAATCATAGCGTGACCAGGAACGGGAAGATCGACGCGATCCATCGTCTCGCGTGCGTGGCATCGTTCGAATCGGTTGCGATGGCGATAGGTCAGCCAGGAAGGAACGACGCCGCTCAAGCACTGCATGGGTCTGGTTGCTCCTCCGCGATGGCCGAAGAAGGCAAAATTCCTGAAACAAAAGGACGTAAGAATCCTGGGCGGTGATGTCACGACGGACCCCAGAAAGGACGCAACTGCAGACGGCCCCGAGATCGGGGCTATTATAAGAATATTTTGCGCCTGTTCCACCATAATAGTACATGGTGTAGGATTTGCTCCGGAGATAAATTAATACGGAAGAATCACATTGCTGAACCTAGAAAAGTCACCGACTCTCGGGCCGCAGCAGATCGGGGTACAGGCTATACTCTAGCGCCGTGTTCTGCTTGGTTACCTAAATGAGGATTTAGGCCCTGCTGAACCATCGACATTTGCTGTGTCGAAGCCAAATATAACTGTGGTCCTCCTGTCGATCCAAGTTATCGGATGCCTGTGAATTGCATCCTCGCAGACGATTGTGGATCAAATCTCCGGATGCCAACGCCTGCTGCGAATCAAGAATCGAGACATGCACAGGATCCTCGAAATGGACTTCAATCATCTCTCCTAAAAGAAAATCACCGGCACGAACTGTGTGTCGCGCTGCGAGTTAAACAAATCGGGCCTCCGGCGCAAATATGTACATCCGAGCACAACCGAGGTCCAGCGGGGATGGCCATTGCAGGCCAACCAAAACCCCTCAACGGGTTTCACGGCAACCAACATACTACCTGCACCTAGTTGTTCCATGATCTGTCGGCCGTGATCATTCAAGCCCTGGCATTTAATTCATTATCGATATTGAAGATTCACTCGCCATGCAATCCGTGGTGTTCAAGGGTACCCTGCAGGTCGCGCTGGAGGAACGGCCGCGGCCTCAGATCCAAGATCCCACCGATGCCATTCTCAAAGTGCGGTACACGGCTCTGTGTGGCAGGTGAGTAATGCGCGTTGAGTAGTAACCTTGGGGGTTCATCTACTGACACTCGAGCGCGTTTCAGCGAGCTGCATGTCTTCCGTGGTCATCAACCGTCAGGAACGGGTTTCATAATGGGCCACGAGTTCACGGGAGAGGTAGTAGAAACCGGATCAGAGGTGCAAGTATTCCAGAAGGGCGATCGAGTCGTGTCACCCTTCACCGTCAGCTGTGGGAAATGCTTCTACTGCGAGAGCGGGGTTTCCTCCCGGTGTGCCCAAAGTAAACTGTACGGCTCGGCTGTGCTGGATGGAGGCCAGGCTGAGTATGTGCGAGTCCCTCTCGCAGATTCGACTCTATTTCATGCACCTGCGGCTATCGATGAGAAGAAGTTGGTGTTGATGGCCGATATCTTTCCCACTGGCTACTTTGCGGCGAAGAATGCCTTTCGCACCCTGGATGCCGCTGTCATTTCAACTAGCACGGTGTTACTCTTTGGATGTGGTCCTGTAGGGATTTGCGCCTTGGTCAGCGCCCTCGAGTATCAGCCGAAACACTTGATTGCCATCGACAGTGTGCCGTCGCGTCTCGAACTCGCACGGAGCCTCGGAGCGGAACCGTGGAATTTTCAAGAAAACGAATCCGGCCTGCGAGAACGAGTCAATGCCCTCACCGACGGTCGAGGCGCCGATGTAGTGATCGAGGTCGTCGGCCATAGCAGCGCACTGCGGATGGGATTCGAGATGCTTCGACCGTGGGGTCTCATCTCGAGTGTTGGTGTACACAATGGCGAGATCCCCTGGACCGGAAATGAGGCCTACGGGAAGAATCTGCGTATTCAAATGGGACGATGTCCAGTTCGAAGTAAGCGTGCTTGACTCGACCGTTCTTGCGTGGCTAAAGTTGTGGACACAGGTATCTTCGGTGAAGCAATGGATTTGTTGGCGAAGAAACAAGATCAGTTGGAGTAAGACGGTTGCAATCCAGAATAATGCATCAGGAAAGCTGACCGAGACCTACATAGCTTCATGTCACACGACATCCGTCCCCTCTCCCAAGCCGTCCAAGCGTAAGCGTTCCGCTCCCGCGAAGCTGGGCCAGACTGACTAAATGCAGATACGATGACTTCAACCACATGAAGTGCCAAAAGGTCATTTTCGAGGCCGGAAAATAAGGTAATAAAGTATTGGCGAACGCCGAATTTGGCGGCCAGAGGACTACTGGATACGGTGATATTTAAGGGTGCTCATATCTTCCGTTAGCAAGGCAATACATTGTGGCTTCTTTCAGATCAGAAGGTCTATATCATATTTATTACATCCAAATTTTGCTTCTAGCCTAATCCCTCCTAGATTCATTTCTTTCGGCGACAGATTGCACGTGCGATGATACGGAGCCCGTTGCCGGAACCATTTCAAACGCTCGACTCTGAGGCGCCATTTAGTAGTATCCCCGTCATAATCTGAGGATAAGCGGCAAAATACCTCTTTGAACTCACTTCTCTAGCGACCTGTCGGTTGATTTCGTCGACTGGTTTGCTCAACACCTGGTCTGATGTGGTAGCCCACTGCACCTGGTCCTGGTTGAGCGCGCTTTTCCCTGCGGCTGTAAGGTTGAGCAACCCTTTAATCTCCTCTTAAGGTCAGAGAACTTACTTGATCCAACCCCAGCTAATTCAGTGCTTTTGTTCGTGAGGAAGCGTATCTCCTCATCGGTTAAACGCTCGCCCCGACGTGCCCGCTCGAACATGCGGTGTCTGAACTGTAACGAGTCCATATCTGGATAGAGACACAACGAATACCTAAAGTCCTATCTGTTTTTACTGTCTTTCTATTTGAATTGTTGGCGGGGTTTGCGATCATAATATATACATGCTGTTGGTCGGATATGATGCTAGTGGTGGTAAGGAGTGGCTATACCCGATGACAGGTCGGCGACATCATTGCTTGCAACCAATAATCTATGTAGTACTATCGCCGATTCTATTGTCGTCACAAAAGACTCCTAGGCTGATCCACCACGGTAGATTGCAAAAGGAAATCTTCATGCGTCTCGTCAATCCACTCGCGTTCCAACATCATGAAGGTAAGCATCCTGAGATATATCCTTTCTGGTCAACCACTGACAAGTCCACGCTCTATCGGCAATAAAACATTCCAAAGCGTATTACCTAACAATATGTTTTTAGTCATCTCCATGGAGAAAATAGACCATTTGATGAAATTTTATGCAATAAATATAAGGCCCGGTTAGTATTTAGTTTAATTCATAATTTGATCGTTATCATCAAAGTTATTTAACTGTATCGTTACACGATAAATTGAATATATATCATATTGTACATAAGACCTCGGACAAGTACCTGGCGCTCTTCCATACGAAACAGAACTATCATGTCAATATCAGGTTTTGGAATATCGAATCGGCTGGTTTAATTATGTCCTATGTAAGTGCTTTAGCAAAGTTTCTGCCGATAATAAGAATGATGGGCGGAACTCACGACCCAGTGGCTTTGCGCGTTTAGAAATTGACTTGGCCTGGTCTTGTTTAATTTTTGCCAGCCGAGCTCTGCGAATAGAGAAGTTAGATCACAAATCACAATAGGGAAATATGTTGGATTTGTTAAAATCCTCGAAAAATGGCTCACTCTTCGGCTGCCTCCTTCTCTAGATGCTTGACATGATCTCTGGCCTGCTTGACAGCGCGCCGGGCTTCTATAAGGGCCTTATCTGCATCGCGCTCGGCAGCTTCCGCTCTGGAGACTTGTCCACGAGCTGCTTGGATAGATGGGTCTTCGGGATGGCGACGGATAATACTATGCCGGTGTGTGTTGCCCGTGGAAGAGCGAGACCCTGATGACACAGACGAGCGAGAAGAATGATGCCCAAAGAGTCTCCCAGTGCTGCTACGAGATTGATTTGGATCATCGATACTTTGAGAAGTGGATGACGAGCTGGCAATTGAATCGCGATGAAAAATAGCCATTGTTAAGTATGAACTTCACCTTAGTGGGACGAAAGTCTGGGTTAAAAGTGCAGGCCCGAAAGAAAAGGTCACTAAGAGTCAAGATCTTCTATGCGAAAGGTGCAACTACCTAGTAGCTTATATATATCGTCCTTTTAACTCAAGTGACGTCAACGCGTCGATCGCAGTCTTATAATATAGTAACAGCCAATATTGCTCCGCCATATTGTGTCGATCTGTGATGTCAACCATTCTATTTTTTCAGCCACGATATTGAAATAGGATACAGAAGCCGGCACGCTGGCAGGTTGGTCTCATTCTATAGGTTGTCTGTACACCAAATTATCCTGTAATTACGTAGCAGTAGGAATGAATCCGACTGATAGAAGAATATTTGGGTATTTTCATGACAGCATTTTCGCTGTTATTGCATCATTGATCTATGTCAGTTGCATAGTCAAAATATATTAAACGGCCACTAGCGAAGCACGTTTAAGCAAATCCACGCACATGCAAGTAAGATCACTGCTATTCTGAGTATTTGCTTTGGCCTACAATGGTGAATAAACTGTCGATCTCTATCAAGCCACAATACAGGTGGCGTTCTAGTGTCAAAGCGTGGTCGCACCACACGTCATTGTCCACCACTCCCAATTTTGATTTTGTTATAGTGCACGTGTCATACGAATAACGACCTCTCCGTATTATGAGAACATACAGCTCGACAACTTATAACAAGTTCTCAAGATGTTTGATAAATTTATTCACGTAAAACATAACACGTACGACTAAACTGAAGGGTTGGGTCCTAGGTTTCGCCCCGATTGGGTCACAAACACTGCAAACATTAGTATGACCTGTGACTATATAAGTTAGATAGTTTCGCCTTGTATTGTTTGGTGATTGTTTAATAGTTCGAGATAAATTTTATCAACGTTGAATTCAGAAAGCTTTATTCATATACCTAACATTTATAGGTTTCCTATCTAATTGTGGTGCTTGATTGATGTACGAATTGATTTTATGGTATCTCTACTTAGTGTAGCTCAAAAATGTCACTTTAAAAGAGAGGACTGGAACAGTGATAAATAAATAGTTAGTTAGTTAACTAACTATTATATTAACATGATCAGCGGCTTTGTGACTACCAAGACCTGGATTTACGCAAAGTTGGGTTTTCATGGGTCCTAATGGGGTGCTCACGAAGGGTCCTGGGTTGGGTCCTGGGTCGAAGTCTTGACCCATTTATGTATTATGAGATCGATGTATACTCTCTTTTTCAAAAGCGGAAGGCGGACCTATGGGCGGAAATTCCCTAGTTATGATATTGGTCATTCTGATCGGAAGGCGACTATCGCCTGCCGTAATCCGTCAGTTACGTCTAATCCTATTCCATCACCAGCCGCAACTCGCACGGATCATCAATCAGCCGGCACAGACTGTAAAAAGGAGGGGTAATTGAGATGGCTATTAAATCAGACAATAATTCCATTCCTCTCACCAAGTCATTAGAGCGCAGTATTACTAATGGAAACCAGAAATATCACCTCTAACATAGCCTCCTCTTATCCATCCAATCCAAATAGGGTTAGGTCTTTCCACTCGGGCTGATCAGTCCCCCTTATCTCCAGGACCAGCATACCTACCCACCGCCCGTCTGGTCTTCTCCGCATCCTGCAGCGCGCACTCTACAGTCACATCCATGCATGAGCGTCAGCGAGTGTGGCGTGCCTGTCAGGCATGCCGCCGCAAGAAAATAAAGTGTGATGGAGAGTCCCCATGCCAAAGTTGCAGTCGCAAGCAAGCAGCATGCGTCTATGTGGAGCCGAGCAGCAAGACAAGTCCAGCAGATCCACTGTGAGTGTCGGTTCATTATGTATGCCTATAGTGCACGATAGAAAGCTAACTAACCCGCGATAGATATGTCATGAGGCTCGAGAATCGAATCCAATTAATGGAGCACACACTACGGCTACAGCTAACCGGCCAACAAAAAGGAGAGAATAATCGGGTCTCTGGTACGCCAGTAGAGCGGCCAACCTCCAGTCTTCATGACGGGTTGGGCTCTTATCCGACGCAAGAGATCCAGGGTGTGCAATGTACCGGCTTGGCAGATGCGCGGCTGCCAGCATCCCGGTCGCCTCCTTCCGACGGTCATGACGGTAATCTACTAGTGGGTCTGGCTCTTGACGGCTCCGATTCTCTGTTGGATGACATTTTGGATCCTACGCCGCGGGAAAATTCAGAAACCACTGCAGTCGACGTGACGCGATTGACGGAGCCACTGTTGCAAGCTCTAATTGACACATTCTACTCCTCTTACTACCCGATATTCCCTATTGTTCAACAACAGGATTTTCAATGGCGATATGATCGCTGGTTATCCATGCACCGAAGCGACGATGGCGATGGCGGTGATTTTTCTTTTCTATTGTACGCATTACTCGCCGTGGCGGCGTCGGCGATCCCAGCTGACCACGCGATATTTGACCAACCTGGCCTGCAAATCTACAAGCGCGTAAACCTTGGAGATCTGCTTTACTCACATGCCACTTCCAAGTGTCCAGGACTGCCATTTCAGCGGGATGGAGAGCATTCCATAAACGCTGCCATTGCACTAGGTCTTCTCAGCCTCTATCTCATTGAGATCGGTAACGTGAGTAGTGCATGGGCCATCGCGGGTCACGCAATCCGCCTGTATCAAAGCCTGGAGCTTGAGGAGCTCGAGGATAGCGCAGATGGAGCGCCCGACGTAGGCGAGACTTGGAACCCACATGGCAATGTCTGGTGGTGCTTATATATTCTGGACTGCTCTCTCTCCACAGCTCTTTCCAAGCCATTGGCGATCTCTGATACGGAGAGTGATCTGAGATACTATGACGAAGAAAGTCGTCCCGCACTGGGGCTCGACGCCAAGACAAGCCCCTGGTTCTCTGTCATTGCAGACTTTCATATTACCATAAGCCGCATTTACAGGTCAATACGATGGATCCGCAAGACCCATCGAGTCCAGAATGATAAAATGTGGGAGACGCTTCGATCCTGCACGAAAAGATATGATACCGAACTGGAAAACTACTACAACAAGCAGGTTCTGTCAAAGGTCGAGGAGCCAAGCACACATGGGAGACCTCTAGCACTACAAACCATTGCCATATCATCATACTACATCGGAATCGTCCTTCTCTACCGGACATCTATTGAGCAGTTTAACGCCGCGGACCCGGAAGCATTTCTCCGTTGCGCAGAGGCCGCATCCAACTGTATCAAGGCCACACCGCAAGTGATTAAAAACGTGCCAATTAGCCATTTCGTGGTTCAGCAGACCCGTGCGGTTTATGCCAGTACCAAAGTCCTGTTACACTGTATGCGCCTAGCCCGGAATGTGACGTTCAACAGCAAGGCGTGGCGCGATGTCGAGACGGGTTTTGACATGCTGTGCAAGATCGACATCCAGTGGCCCCAAATTAGGAAATACCAGCAGCTCATCGAGGGGGATATGCAACGGACACAGATTGAATTTAATAGGCACGAGCTGTTTCATGGATTATTTGATCGCTACGGGCAGCAGGAAGCTAGTAAGAGAGGAGGTGAACCTGCTGAGCGCCACGAAGATCCACCGAGTATTGATATGGGTCAAGATTGGCAGCCTTTGGAACACCAACCAAAGCGACGCAAGCTGTCGCAGAACTTTGTTGGCCATGAGTCTGTTTCAACTGTTTCCTCAGTACTGAACATTGCACGGAGCGAGGAGCCAGACGGATATGCTGCGGTGGACCAGACAATAAACATCGGCGATTTTGTCCTCTCCGACCTTCCACCGTTGTCAATTGCTTTGGAAGATTCGTCATCGGCGAACTTTTTTGGAGATGCAACGTTAATGTCGCCCATGGATCAAATTGTCTCCTAGTGTGAGACAGCAGGAATATCTTCCCCTGGTGATACAACGCATACTTTTTCTGAGAAATACAGTTTTCTTGGCCAGATCTTCCCGCTGCATATTTACTCGTACTGCCTTATCCCCTACGCCAATTAACGAGCCATGCGCGTGTAAAATATCTGTAAAATTGACTTATCTAACGAAGGGAAGTATCTCCTCAAGATGGCTATGTACCAAAGATCTCATGCAGCCAAAACAGGTTCTCTAGCAAAGGCCGGCTCCTGTACATTTGCAGCCCTCATCTGTATCAAAGGACTGTCATCATTTATCCTTTCATAGACATGAGCGTCTAAGCATGCCTGCCGACTGTTCAGGACCGCTGGCGCTGTTCTCTCCACCATTCCCTGGGTGTAGATCTTACACGCCTCCTTCAAGTGCTCCCCAAGAGCGTCTTCGCTTGCCCTAAGTGCTGGCAGTACCGCGGACAAGAGCGACTCCACGTCCAAAATGCCGTGGTTGGCCGCCTCGCCTCTGTACATTGTCATGGCGTGCGCAGCATCACCTACCAATACGACGTGATCCGATCCAGGAACATTGGTCCACTGGTCGTGTGGGGGTACCCAGTCCTCTAGAGATATTGTCTTCGGTTCCGCCTCTTCTGGGATGGACTGGACAATCTCATGAAACGGCTCTGCCCAGCTGCTGGCCACCATTTTCATGAACGCTACACGCTCACGACTCTTCGTGGGAACGTCCAACGGTGCATCCTTGCCTAAGAACCCCCGGCGGTGCGGCCAGGAGACGAGGATCTGGCAGTCTCGGGTATCATCGCCGCGGCCGCTTGTCTCTGGGCTGTCCAGGAATGAAAACCAGTGGGACGCGTTTGTGAGCGGGTCACCTCCTTGGAAGAAAAAGGGATCCAGGGCACGCATTTTGGTGGCAAGCTTGCCGGGATAGATGGTACTCACGCCAAGGAGTCGGACCGGCAAACGGTAATTTTCATGCATGGACGGGGCAGGAAAGAGAGACGCACGAACGCGTGAATGAGAGCCGTCGCATCCGACAATGATGGAGCCTTCTATCGTGTGCGCCCCGTTGGGAGTGTTGAAAGTTGCTCTCACTGCACCATCGTCTGAGGCCTCAAAAGAGTGGAAGGTGTGGTCCCACTATGGAGAGTTGAGTTGAGGTGTTGAGTAATGGCTATTCGCATACATACCTGGATCTCAATCCCGTCCATCAGGAGTCTTCGAAACTTCTCACGAGCCATGCGAATTCTGCAACTGGGTGGTACTTGCCAGAGCGCCTCGCCGGTGCGCAAGTTGAAGAACAAGAAGTGTCCATTTTCGCCATTGCGAGTCGCTTCGGGATCGACGTATGCCTCCGGCAAGCGATCGGAGATGTGACGGGGCAGACATTCCATTAGCGATTTAAGAGCCCAATGGATGGTAATACCCCAGCCCTTGCCCCGGTACAGCGGATTGGGGTCCCGCTCGTAGACAATAAAAGGGATGGAGTGCTTCTTAAGGGTTTGCGCCAGCACTAGGCCCGTGATACCTGCACCCACAATGATAATGGGTGGTTGCGGCATGGTGATTGTTCGATCAATCAATGAAAGGCGCAGACTAGAAGCAGAAATATCTTGGATATCTGAGAGTTGCGGAGGCTCGAAAGTAGGCTTATCACTAGATAGTATAATGACTCGTTTTCGGATGCCGGACCGTTTGCGGAGATCCGGTCCGTGGATACCACCAACCAATCAAGGTGATTCTGTATTTTTCACACGACTTCTGTTATTCAATGAAAAAAAGTTGAACGGACGAGCGGGCCGAGCTTATTCCACACGGAAATAAAGATGACGTTGACTTGGGCTTTGCAACATGGCTGCTGGTTATATCACGGTTAGTTAGGTATCTGCATCTTCGTTTCTTCCTGGCCACAACGGACGCTAATCCACACCATGTATCTTACCAAAACGATCAACAAAATCGAGATATGCTACGATGAGTCCGGTTATGCTGATGGCCCACCCGTCGTGTTGGTGTCAGGCTGGGCCCACGACCTGCGTCTCTACGATGCCATGCTTCCCTACCTAGCTGAAAATCACCGGGTCATCCGAATCAATTGGCGGGGCCATGGCCCCAATAGGGACTATACAGACGACTTTGGTGTGGATGAGCAAGTCAATGACACAATCGGCATTTTACAGGCACTTGAAGTAGATCGTTTCTACCTGGTCTCGCACTCGCATGGCGGCTGGCCGGTGCTGGAAATTGCAGACCAACTAGGCAAGGACCGAGTTCTTCGACTGTTGATGATCGATCAGATCATGAGTTCCCCTCCACAGGAGTTTGAAGTTGGGCTAGAAGCCATGCAGGCACAGAAGACCTGGGTCGCAGCACGCAAGGATCTCTTTGTCCATTGGTTAGCGGGAAGCAGCAATACGGGCGTTCATGACCATTTGACCTATTGCATGGGCAGCTACGGACACCAGATGTGGGCGCTTTCATGTCGTGTTATTGCCGCCGCGTACAAGGCTCATGGGTCTCCCATGGATCGGATGCGAAAGATGGTCAACCCGCCGCCGATACGCCATGTCTTCTCTCATCCTCTTGGCATGCCGGAATACCGCCAGATGCACGACAAGTTTTCCAAGGCACATCCATGGTTCTCATATACAGATTTAGGAGGAAAGACTCATTTCCCGAGTGTCGAGCTGCCGCAGAAGGTGTGCGACGAACTCGAAGACTTGATCGAGACAGGCGGAACACAGCTACGCATCGGCTCTCTATAAATTCTACTTCTCCTATAACTCTGCATTAAACAAACAAAACATCCAGATGTCCACCCTAAATCCTCGTAGAGTTCGTGTCGGCACCTGCTTCCGTTATCTTCGTCTATATAGAGCACGCGTTGACTACAAGTTGCGAGCACGTAAAGCGCAAAATAGAACCATGTAGTTTAAGTTCGAGTTGGACGGCATGGTTTCCACAGCTTGAGTATTAAGCCAGCAAGACAAAATCGATAAAAATTGCATTGTATTCTTCCCTATGGGAGCGTAGCCTCTGCTCAGTACACGTAGATGAACGCCGGATTTGCGAGGTCCGTCAGATCTTCTTGCTCTTCTGTTACAATCGCCGATTCCCCGACTCTATTTGCAAGTTGCTCATCTCGATATCTCTTTGTCGATGCGTTGCGGTATGTGTACAGTAGCCTGAGGAGTGCTGAGACAAACATTGCGGCCCCTAGGACGGCAAAGAGGGTGATTTTGGCTGGAGTATACTGCGGCGCATCTTTGGCGCGAAAGGTCTGTGGTCCAATAATATTGGCAATGCTGAATCCAACCGCGATCATTACGTTGGCTCCTATTCTCTTCGTATATCCGGCAGTGTTGGCTCCCACCCAGGAGTAAATGAGCGCCATCGGGGCAACAGTGGTATTGAGTAGATAGATGCCAGCCAATCTTCCGCCTTGGTTGGATTGTGGGAGGAACGACATCAGGCCTGCACCGATAAGGGCAGGTGCTAGAACAATGATTATGCTGATCCAGCGTGGTGTTTTGTTGAGGACGGCGTATGTTGACCCACACGTTGCAATGATGCTAACGAATCCGGATGGCATATTGAGTAGCGCAGACTGCTTAGAGTCATATCCGAACCCTTTGATCAAGATTGCCGAGAAAGTGGTAATGACACCGCTTGGGATAACGGTCAGAGCAGCAAGGAGGGTCAATAGCCAGACTTGCAAGTCTATGAAAACCTCAGAGAGACCTTTCGTCTTGAACACCTTGAGTCCGTTCCCTGCTTGGTCGAGAACAAGCATGCGTCGGAGCGATTCCTTCTCAGTTGAGATGAGGAACCTGGCAGAGTCCAAAGTTGAAGGAAGGAATACGATGACTACTAATGCGATGCAAATGTTGAAAATGCCAACCGCAATCATCATGATACGCCATCCGCTGAGACCGGTCTCCGGACTATGCTGAGCTGCAAACGAGATAAGACCTCCAATTATTTGACCGGCACCGAGACCGCAACTAGTGACGTCTATTATTAGTATTCTATCATCATAATTATAAGAAGAAATGCTACAGTACTTACTACCAGATCCCATAACGAGGAGCTGCACAGCGCTTTGTATACCAGGTTGATGTAATCAAAACCAGCGCAGGCGAAATGACAGCTTCGCAGGTGCCGAGCAATATGCGAATCGTGAGGATTTGGCCGTAATTCTGAGCTGCGGCCATGCAAGCGACAAGGATTCCCCAGCAGAGCAAGTTCAATCCCAGTACCTTTGCCAAAGGAAATGCCTGCAGGAGGTAGCCTTGAGGTACTTCCGCCACTGCGAACCCGACGAAAAAGAGTGTCGCCATTAAGCTGAAGTTGTCGTCTGTCATGCCCAAATCTTCTTGTAGGCCCATGACGTCTGCATAATTGATGAGCACTTTGTCAAGGAACTCTAGAAAGTAACAGGCGAGCATGATGGGGACAATGTGCCAGTCCACTTTACGAAGGATTGCTGAGTATTCCTTGTGGTCGGGTCCCATGAGCTCTGGAGGGGCCGGTTTCCCACCCTCGACAGGGTTAGACGCTGACATCAAGTCATTGGAGGTCTTCATTCTCGATCAAGGATCGAACAAAGATGTCGAATGTAGTGAGGACTGCACAGGACATAGCCCCACATAAATTCAGCGGGGAGTTGATGGGAGAAGGCGAGCTAGAGAGGGCATCTCATCCGGAAGGCATCCGTGATCGACACAACCCTTCGGTCCGCCTCTCCCGGAATGCCAGGTCCTGCTCTCAATGTCTGCTCTGTCGTCGAAGATGACTCGATCGTTTTGAGGCAAACGAAATTGTGATGCTCAGGCCGACAATCTGCGGATGCTCTGGAGAAGTGGACCGACCCACCTCGGTAAAACGCCGGTTGGATCGGGGTAACCGGTTCGCCCGTCAATCCGTGGATATGTTGAAATTACACATGTCCAAATTGAGAAAAGATGGTTCAATCACATTCAGCATAATTGTCTATTTTGCAAAAGTAAAGTACTCATCAATGACAAACAGAGCAGAACTAGAGCCTAGTCCTTTGGCAAACGCTATCCAAAGGTTCTTGACCTCTGGCCCAACCCGTTCAACTAGTTCTCGTGCATTTCGTCCGCTCATCATCGGCGCGTCTTTCCAGTCGTTCCACGTCCCAAGCAGAAATGGCATGTCGATGGTGTGAATTGCACCAAACTGGTTCTGATCGGGCGCCAGGTGAAATTTATAAAACCATGGCTGTCCGCCAGCTTGAATAATCCTCTGAAATAACTGTTCCGCCGGATCCTGGAACCAGTTCTTGGAGATGAACCCAGCGACAGTTGTTCCTACGGGGATCTCAGGCACAGGACGCATTTGATCAAACATTCTCTCAAACGCTTGGCCCTCGTTTTTTGTGTAGCCGATAAACATCGGCACGCGGCGAATTGCCGACTCTAACCTTTCGTCGAATTTTGATTTCTCAGGTAGGGGTGAATGACCAAGAATGGGTCCAAATGGTATCACAGCTGTGGGGAACGACGTTGCTGCAACCATGAGCCTTTCCTGTACGGTTAAAAGTTCCTCTATCGATGCAGTATCGTGGTTTTTTGGTAGAAGATCCCCAGCCATCGATGAAAGTGACTCCACCATGTCTTGCCGATCACGCGGGGCCATATACCGGAACGACCACGGAGCACTTTGCAAGATAACCCGCTGAAAAAGACCTTTGACACCATCCGAACCAAGCAGACAGAATATTGAATCCGCGCCCGCTGACTCGCCAAATAGGCAAATCCTTTCAGAGTCACCACCAAAGAATTCGATATTGTCGTGGACCCAACGAAGTGCCGCAATTTGATCGAGGAGTCCTAGGTTTGGTGGCGCAATTCCTTCAATGGGCTGGTATCCAAAAATCCCTAGTCGATGGGTGATGTTAACAGCCACTACTCCCATAGAAGCAAGCAAAGCGCCACTATAGCAGTCAAGATCACCCGCCCCGGATGAGTAGCCACCCCCGTGCAAAAAAACCATGACCGGCATCGAAGCATCTTCCTTTAGGCGAGAAAGCGAGGGCGAGAAAACGCTGACGTGCAAGCAAGCTTCGTCCATAGTCCTTTTTGCGGCTATCGGGCCATTTATCATCTCGAGGCGGGAAGGTAGTTGGGGACATATACTAGCCGGCTGAGTGCAGACGACAATATCATCCCACTTTTGGCAAGGACGTGGAGGCTCGAATCGTCCCGCTTCGGCGTATTTTACGCCGCGAGTGATAACCAATCCTTCCCTTTGAAGAGCATAGATACGGCCATCTCGAAGCTGAACAACAACTTTCGATTCACCAGCCATGATGTTTCTAAGATATCGACAAATTGGAGTCTGACACACGAGGTGCAATCATAAACACACGCGAGATGGAACAATATGATGTTTGAAGGGGTGAAGTTTTGGTAAAGCAGGGTTGCCTTTATGAATCAGTTTTCGGTAAAATTTTGGCTCTGGTAGGCTCGATGGCAATTAACCGACCCCATTCAGATAAAACTTTAAAAGGGTCGGGTCGTCGGATAGGTCCGTCACTGGACAACGCGACGGATCTACCCGGATGTTCCTCCTTTATGAAGCCTCGATTGATAATAAAATCTCGTATACCTAAAAAAAAGATCCAGAGGTTGAAAAAACTCAGCAGATCTCTCTCATCCGAGAAGGGATGAAATAGACAATAAACTATAAAAATCCAGTCATAAAAGGATCAGCTTTGAACAAAATTCCCCAAGTCATTCAAGCCTTGTTCAGTGAGTGAAGTTTGCCCGAAGTACTCGAGAATAACATCCATCGGCTTCTCACAGTCCATATACGTCGACACAGCTGTAAGGTTTTCACGAATTTAAGGGATTCAAGGGTACGAAGAAACATCAACAACACGCAGAGCCTTCCATGGACCTGGAACTTTGAATCCAGAGCCGCCGTCGAGTCATTGTCTACATCAATAGGACAAGTGCTTCAGGCGCGGTGCTTCCAATCAACGCGTGGGAACGGGTTGGTTCAGCGCTTTATGAAACATCTTCCCATCACGATCATCCATTGCCTAATACTCAGCGCGTATATTAGTGAGAAGTGGAAAGCATTTGGGGCGTGATTATGATATATTGACATTTTGTTCATACAATGAAAAGTGTTTCGACTCAATTTTAAGCCTCATTCATTCCAATAATCTACATGTAAGGCAAATACTCCGAAATAGAGGTTAAACTCGCATATAATATACAAGGCATGAGTTCTACATGTTTATATTGTTTAAAAAACTGCGGGCTGTAGCGAAAACTACGCAAGATGCCGATACATTTTAAACCCGTAAGGCGCTGCAATTATTGGCTTGACAGCTGGCAAGTAGGGTTAGGACGGGATAAAAATACATCTAACACGTCAAAGCGACAGAGCGAACAAGTGGGCCTTGACATTTCTTTTTAGTTCCCGCCCAAACTTCTCGGAAGGAAATATCAAGGCCTACTGTACCAAGATGTAGTAAAATCGACATCCTTATCGGCACTTGTACTGATAGTATCAATTGCGAAGGCTAAATGGGCCGCTGGTGACTGGGGCCCGCTACATGGCCCGGCCCCATTATTTGGAGCGGGTTTTTCCAAGGAACACAATCCTAGCTGATCAAGATTTACAATAGAACAATAAACAATAAGATTTTGAGAATTATCAGGTCTATCGGACACTAGAAGCACAGATCGACAGTACAGGAAGCCCTCAATCTTGCGAGACAAAAAAGAATCTAGCTTAAGTGAAGGACAGGCTTAAACATGAGAATTGACGATCGCGGTTTGTTGCTTTTCATGGATCAAGGCAGCCGCCATAGTCTCCAGCCTCCATGTTCTTTTGGCCCTATGAGTTTATTGGCTCTACTCGAAAAGTACGGTTTGTTTGCGGGCATGAAAATCTTCAGGCCAGTAAAACTTGAAGTCGGGAAATGACGTTGTGAGTAAGAGAGTTGGAATTGAGGAGAACACGCGGCAGAACTTTGGAAATAGAATCTGCATATGAAGAACTGAGTTGTTTGACGCACTGTCGACTGTGTCAGGACTTGGGTAATGTGCTGACGCAGTTAACCGAGTCAATAGGGAGTATAGAATTGGCTCAAAGTGAATGAGAAAGTTTGGACCCCATTGCTTATCTCGAAGATCCTGTTGATCCTGACGTAACCTTCATGGAGAGCTTTGTCTATAAAAGGTAATTCCTATTAGAAAGTTTGGACCCCAATGTATATCACTGGGAGCATGTTATCATAGAGAGTTTCGTTCTGTAATAGGCAATTCCGATTAGAGGTTTTGGACCCCAATGTATATCACTGGGAGCATGTATCATATAGAGTTTCGTTCTGTAATAGGCAATTCCACTTAGAAGATTTGGACCCCAATGTATATCACTGGGAACTTGTATAATAGAGAGTTTCGTCCGCAATAGGCAATTCCTATTAGACACCTAGTGCTTGAAACTCTTGCTGCATCTAATCCATAACGTTTGCCAGCTATCTCAAGAGAGAGAAGGTCAAGGTATATAAAGACTCCCAATCCCCTTTTCATGAAAGACAAGATCATTCCTCCAAACACAAATCCGAAATCCCTCGCTACCTTGACAAGACCACTTGGATATTTCCAGCTTATATCAAACTTCAAAGCAAAACCCTAGGCCGTCACCTAACTCCGAACCCGAAATATGCAGCCTATAGCGATTCTCAGCATATTTATGGCGCTTGGCGCCGTTGGTGCTTCTCCTCTAGTGAGGGTTGGTTCTAACCACCCAAAAAAAGAAGAAAGAAATGGAAAAGATATGCTGACTGGTGCGCAGCCTAAGCCCTCAATAATGAAGAGACAGTCTCTCCAGGGCTGCAATGATCCTGGAGAAGACCAGTGTGCTGTCTTGACTACGGCTAGTCTGACTGGTATGCCCGAGGGGCCATATGGGACCGCCTGGGTCGGTACTAGTGGTGGCGGAGGAGTCTCGGTTGTTAATGGCAACTGTACCTCCATAGTTTCTGGGGGCTCCATTGGAACGGACAGCCCTGGATTCTCTGGCGACTTGCAAACGATTTATGGCACAACCGTTTATTACGGCGCCCAGAGTATTGGTCTCGGTTTTATTGATGGGATTACTTTCCAGTACAATGGCGCCAGTTACACCCAGTCGGACTGCTACAATATCGACATTTCGAGCTTTGGACAAGGATCTCAAACCGTCGAATGCCCCTTTTCGTGCTGATTGGATAACCTGAAACTTGATGAGGAATCAGCCTTGTTCTACAGCTAAGGACTCCTAATATCACCTCTATGGGAACCTAGACCTAATTTGGGCTGAAGTTTTCATGATTGCAGCTGCTGCTGTCTGACTGCCCAGACCAACCAGAACTAGCGGCTCTTCTCCTTTCCGTCCGTCTTCTCTCCTTCTTTGTATCTACATCTCCGCCCAGCTTAGTTCCCCTAACTACATTTGTTCATTATATCCTTCCTGCTTCCACTGAGCGCAGCGACCTCCATGCTGTCGCCTTTGAATTGTGATATAGTCTTTCCGCACCATGGATTGAAAATACTCAATGCTAACTGAGCATCTTGGCCATACAGTACATCGGGTAAATGGACAGAAATGGCATGGTTTAAAAGTTTTTGAAACGTATATCTGCTTGCCAAGTCACTAGTTATCAGCAGAATCAAATATCTATATATAGTTTCTTGCTAAGCATAATGCCATAATAAACAGCTGTTGCATAAATATAACTACGACATATACGAGTGGTCCGTACCTTCCCAAACTCGTTCTAATCAGTCTTACATTAAATCCGAAAAGATTTATGTACCTGATCATCTGAACTTTTATTCTCTTTAACTGCTACCGAGAGAGAATTCACTATTACTAAGTATAATGATGTAGTTATTAAACAGACATATTTCAAAAAGAAAATGAAAAAATAGAAATTACATAAACGTTAAAGGATAATGATTCATTCATGATGAGGCATAGAACTGGTCACTTATAAGAAACAATTTTGTATATTAGTCATCGTTTTCATCGAAGGTTAATATATTCTTTGTGGAAGGCGCCCAAAAATTACGCATATACAGTCCATAAGTGTCGCTTGGAGGGTCACACACTAGATTTCACGGCCCAGGGTCAGTCCGGGTCATGGCGAGGCCCCTTATTTTCTCTGGACCTCACGAGTTACCCGTGTTGAGTCAAATTAAACTGGAGGATCCCGGGCCAGACACACCACGATTGCTCGCGGCGCCGGGATATATCTTAAGCTGTACATCGTGCCTTTTCAGGCTGGGGCGCCAATTGAGAGATGACGGATTTCGTGTTGTGTCTCCTCCCCACCGAAGCTTGCGAATGTCTCCCTCGATCCGAGAAACCAATGATCCCATACAAAATCCATTCAATCATTTCAGTTCAAATCCCTCGCTCTGGATGACTACATCCCAGAGCAGACTGCCTCTAGGTACTCAAGCACACATACCGGACCAATATGTGCCAGAAATGGAGGATGCTTTCATAAGGCACTTATGTCTTAGCCACAAGTCCAGGGGGTACCATATTGTGGTGGGAGGAGAATACTGCCAATTAGGCAGATGAAGTTCGAATCTGACACTGTTATCTCTTCTTCAAAGAATAGTTCACTCAACAAGTCAGAATTGATACAAGGATGGAGATCGTCAGGCATTCGTGGGAATAGTAAGCCCAGAGAGGTACTTAGGACGTCGATAAGCCTACTCTTAATCCAGCATGCAAATCCACGGTGACTCCATAGAAAACGACAGGGCTAAGCCATATTCAGCACCTCCTGCACAAATTTGCTCGTCTCCGCTCCGATCAAATGCGGATTATCCTCCTGTAGATAATGACTTCCAGCACCAATTCCTATACTCCGAACATTCTTCAAACCGGCCTCAATCTCCCTGACTTTTTCTACAGAAATAATCGCCCCGGGTTCCCCCCAGAACATCAGCTTCGGTACCTCGTTTCTCTGCATCCAACCCCAATAGTCCTCTACTATTTCCACCACACCCGTCGGATGTCCATCTAACGGAAGCTCATTCGGAAACCGGTATACCGGCTCTCGATTCTTTGGCTCTAAGAACGGTTCGCGATAATGCCGCATCTCAGAGTCGCTCAGGCCACGCGCAGTCCCAGTTTGACCAAGAAGGACCTCGACGAAGACATTCTGCTCGATGATCAACTTGCGCCCTTCTTCTTCAGTACGAATGTCCGCGAAGAGAGTGCGAGCCCCCTCAGGAAAATCTTTGAGAGATAAACCTGCGCAGATAAACTCCATAAAGACAAGCCCTGCGATTCGGGAAGGATTCTTGCTAGCCCAGTCGAAACCGAGGGCGGAGCCCCAGTCGTGGACTACAAGGAAAAGTTTCTTTGTCTTCTCTTGGGGAACGACATCCTCCAGGAAGGCAGCGAGGTACCTCACATGATCGTGGAAATAGTAGCTGTTAGAAGGCATCTTGCCTGAGTTGCCGAAGCCCACGAGGTCGGGGGCAATGCATCGAGCGACTGGGGACACGTGCGGGATTATGTTGCGATACAGATAGGAGGATGTTGGATTGCCATGAAGAAAAACTACTGTCGGTGCAGTTGCAGTTGGTAGGCCCGTGTCAACGTAGGCCATTGTTGAATCTAGCACGGGCGTGTGGTGCTTCGTAAAGGGGAAATCGGCAGATATTGCGAGGGAGGCCATTATGAGAGGCAAGGCACAAGAAGAGTCGATCGGTTTGAGCAAGGGATAATTTGAACCAAATGAACATGAGATGATAATATCGAGAAGGGTTCTCTAACCAATATAGGGACAAACGACGTCCAACTAAGGCGAGATAATAACACGGAGCGATGTGGGTAACAAAAGAAAACCCCTTCTTATGTGACTTTCAGTAACGCAGAAGCAACATTAAGTAACTAACCAACCAACAATTTAAGTTAAAATTTATTGCTGACATAGTAGTTCAGTTAAGTTTTCGTTTAGCCCCATCACTCGGCCTTTGTCCTTCCCGACGGCCGAGAAGCCCTTACATGAAATAACTCTTACTACGGCGACCGCGCTCTGAGCCTAGGTATGACGTGAATACGCTATCATCGTAATCCACTTTTCGGATTTCTTGCCGATTGCGGCATATATGCCTCATGGCGCAATGAAAGAGCGGTCGGTTTGTGAAATAGACGCGTCGAGGTCTCGGAGGTGATTACGAAACATCAGATTGTCGGTGCCTGCTTTCTCCGCAAAATGCCAGAGTTGCCGAACGCGTGCATAATGCCAGATCCCTTAAGGTTCGGATCAAGTGCTACCAGGAGCACAGGCCGATTTGGACCGACGAGCCAGTTGTTAAGTTTGAAGCTTGAGCACAAAGATCTCAGTGAAGGTTCGGCAAGGATAATTCCATGCATGAGAATTTAAATCTCGTGAGAGCCTATGTCGATCAGATTGCTTTGGAACTCCATTTGAGGCGTCTTTTGGCGGAAGGCTTTGAGTCCTCTGAGAACATTACGTGAAATACTGGACTGCATCCAGAATATTGTAGCTTGGTGAATGTGTTCCCCCTACCTCGTTGTCCGTGCTAAGCTTTTCTTCAAGCATTTCATTTCGAGTTTGGGGAAGTAGTAATTAGTACTTAAAGGCAAAGCATCAGCTTCCGATATGGACACCAACGTTTATTTGGAGACACCACCCCGACTCAGCATTCTAGGAGGTCACCAAGACAGCTTTGGATACAATACTTAAGATTACGTCAGGCCCACCAGGAATTTATCATCACAAGACCGATTACGTCAGTTAACTGCCTGCCTTGATTTATAATCACCCGCCAGGCTTAGTTGACTAACTTAGCGCTGGAGTTTTCGATGACAAATTTAAATTTTTCTACCAAACAACAATCTCTCGATTGAAAAACATCCCAAGCACAACAGTTAGAGGTGTGCCTTTGTATCGCTCGAATTCACGGCACACCGGACAATATATTTTTGCCGTCTTCGCTCAGATCCTTGAAAATGTCCCAGAACGACAGTTCGGAGGTTGTCGCAGAGAGTGCGACGAGAATCAGTCTCTCTGGTGTACTTCGGCCTACAATATCGCCAGCTTCAACCCCGGATGTTGAGAGTAATCTGCCCCAGACATCCGCCTCTTGGAGCCATGATCCGCACAATCCGTTGAACTGGCCCGCATGGAAAAAAGCCCTGCAAGCTCTTATGCTGTCGTCGATGGCATTTACCACGTTCGTTTCCCGTAGATTCACCCTCTAGATGATCGCAAAGCTGACTCAAAAGTTTGAACTAGCTCTCTCGGCACTTCTATTATGTCGCCAGCCCACTCAGAGTTTGAGCGTGACTTCCATGTTAGCAGCACGGTTGCTTTGCTGCCGCTTAGTCTGTATTCTCTTGCTCTTGGTTTTGGGCCAGTCCTTGGTGGCCCTCTTTCCGAGACAATAGGACGTTATCCGGTATACTTGTGGGGTACACCACTTGGCGCACTATTCACGCTCGGAGCCGGCTTATCATCAACTTTTCCTGGAATCTGTATTCTTCGCTTTTTAGCGGGACTTTTCTGGGCGCCCTCGTTGGCTGTAGCTACTGGATCCATTGTCGAAACTTTCAAGCCTCGAAGGCGTGGACAAATGGTCGCCCTTTACATTTTAATGCCATTCCTTGGTCCCGGTTGTGGGCAAGTCTTTCCCCTTCACTCAATAACCATTGCTCCTTCTTCCTACTAGAACAACGGTGCTGACTCTTCCACAAGACCTTTGATCGGAGGTTACGTGGTCAGCCGAAAGGGCTGGCGCTGGACGCAATGGACGTTGATTTTTTTGCCATATTTTCTTTCATCACAGTATTGATGAACCAGGAGACATACCATCCAGTAATCCAGCACCGGTTGAACAAAGAGAGGCCCTGCTATGACGAGCAAAAAACATTCAAGTCCCGTTCTGATAGGTTCAAATCCTTCATCCGGATCTCTCTAATTCGGCCGCTGCATATGCTGGTTGCGGAGCCAATTGTTGCCTTGTTATGCCTTTATATCGCGGCCGAATTCGGGACCCTGTTCAGCTTCTTTGCCGCTGTACCATACACCTTTGGCACAGTCTATCAGTTTAGCCTGGAACAAGAGGGCCTCGTCTTTGCATCTATCATTATCGGATGTTTTTTAGCACTGCTCACTATATTGCTCTGCGATATCTTTATATACAATCGGCAGACTACACAGAATCAAGCAAGCTCGGTAGCACCAGAGCACCGGTTATACGCTGCCATGATGGGCAGTATTGGGCTGCCAATAGGCCTCTTCTGGTATGCTTGGACAGCCCGGTCGAGCATATCTTGGGCGAGTCCTGCTGCTGCTATCATCGTTTTTGCATGGGGAAACTTGTGCATCTTTGTCTCGGCTTTCCAATACATGGCTGATACCTACCGAGGCAGTGTTATTGCCAGCGCCGCCAGCGCAAACAGCCTTGCGCGCTATACATTTGCGGCAGTATTTCCCCTTTTCACCATTCAAAGTGAGTTTATAATCATTGTGTCATCTTGATTTAGTTCTAAATCTTCACAGTGTACGAAAGACTAGGTATCCATTGGGCCAGTAGTCTTCTCGGGTTTATCGCTCTAACCTTGATGCCAATTCCCTGGCTACTTTTCCGTTTTGGACCACGTATTAGAGCCAAAAGCCTGTATGAATCTCTTTGAGACAGCGGAGGATGTGTCAGCCTCTCTATCCTTCAGACAGATGAAAATTACATATCTTGAAATCCTCTTGACCTCAAATTTCGTTTTCAGTGGCTTATGAGCTTTATTCCGTAAACCGTACGATTGTTGGTTGCTCTAATTTGGAGTAAAATCTTTAGTATCATTCTGACAAAGACATAGTCTTATTCACTTGATGTCTACTCAAGTTTGTATTGTAATTTCTTTATATAATCAAACTATTTCGTATCTACGCATGAGGTTACACTGAGCTTCACAGATGAGCAAGAAGGAATATGTAAGATTTTCTCACTAATAACGTGGTGAAAATAGAGAATCTTGTGATAAGTAACAAGAAATAACAGCTTATTTAACTGGAAAAAAGTCATTGATTCATGCTCCGGTGCTTGTATTCGTATTGCGGAAAAGGGCTTTCGGAAACAGCTGGACTTCCTGATATACCTTGTTCATTTGGAAAGCTAGCGATAGGGTCAGGGTAATCAACTTTGCTTATGTGGAGAGAAACAGCAAGCCGCTGATCTATTGCATATTGTCCGTGTAATCTTCTTCTTTTAGCCTCAATCTGCCATTAAGGTCGGAATAAAGGCTACTGTTTGTCGACAATACATCCTAGTCGTCTTATAATTATGACGTGTTCACCATAACTCATCATCCTGGAGAAAGCCATATTTCCTCAGTCGAGGTCTCAAAAGTCGATTTGTCAGAGACAATTTTCCACATTGTACATCAAAATATGATCAAATTGACGAGATTGCAAGATAATTCGCACTACTAGACTTGGTCCTTGAACTCGTTGAAGAGGCTGGGCAAGATTTTGGCCAAGTCTGAACGAATAATATATCAACTATTAACTTTCAATTATCCATAGTCATAGGGCGATGAACTCACGAGGCATTTCAGTTCCACAATGGACACAAATATTGTGAGCAACGCTCTCAGGTGTACCTGGCCCAAGCCAAAATCTAGATCGCATCTCCCGCGTACCATCTGATTTACGGCGAATTTGGTGAGCAACATGGGAGATCCCATCAAACCCCTCAGTAACATGTCCTGTTAAATATTTTAGAAACGTGTATCTAGTGCCGCTTCGTGAATGCCTACCTGTTAGTCCCACCCTCGCTACTACAATGGTTTCAATGCCTTGAGCTGCCCATTTGGATTTGTCAAATCCTAGGTCAGCGGGCTCGATAAAGGCGACCGTGGCTTTTGAGTGGTCATTTCCGATGTATTCGTCGATGAAAGAAAACGTGTTGTAATATCGCTCGGCGTAGGATTTGTTTGTACAATCCAAGGTTTCTGGGTGGCGCCAACTGTACTGGTGTGCGGTCGGATGCCAAAGTTTATATCTATATTTTGTTTTGGATCAGCTGAGAACAGCGTCGTAAATGCTTCGAGACCGTGGAACACATGTCGCTCTAGCCAAAAGAGTCACCCGACTCACCTAGCAGACTCAACAGAGTGCCAAGCAAACCACCAGTCATAGGCTTCTCCAGTGACTTTAAAGAAACAAAACATCAATTATATTCTTCCGTATCTGGGGCCTGGTAATCTGTCCAGCTAACCTTGACCCATATCCGTACGGCATGCAACCATCCAGGCTCCTTGTGGAGTCTTCAGGTAGCCATTTTCGAAGGGCAAGTACCCTGGGCGGAGAAGAAAGTCGTGCGCCTCACTTGCTTCGTAGCCTATGTAGCTGTTAATGAATCAATGTGGTCATTATTTCTTATATAAAACCCATCGCTCTTACCAAGAGCACTCGCCCAAGGACTGCTGACTATGCCCTTCTGCAGTTCATCACTGATTGGACTGACGTTGAAATTGAAATACTTGGCGAATGGCTTGTCGTAGTCTGCATCCTTGTAGCCGACATAGTAGGCGGTGGGATCCGACTCGTACGTGTCAATATTCTTCGAGACATTTTCACCTGCCATTTTATTTGGAAGGAAGATGCGTGTTTTACCAAGCTACGGCTAGAGAGGGGACCAAATATGTAAGATTTATAACATTGCATTGGGTCATGATGTAATTACTGGAGGAAACAAATGGGAAATCCATGAAAGTGGGTCGATCCCTGAGAGTCTTATGCCATAGGTGTATTATGTGTCAATACCGGTAGTTGACCGTATCGGTCATTTGGAAAGTCACCGCAAAGGAAAGTGATGGATTATGACTACAAAGTGGCAAGAAAAGCAGCCAGACGGTACGTTAATTGGTCTATTCTCTACGGCCTTTTGTCACCTTGCTGCATTTGATTTATAATCTCGCAAGGCTCTCGTCATCAATTTGTATCACAAGGCCGGAGGCAAAGAACGGGTATTCATTGAACCCGCTGTCCTCAGTCGATGTCGCGCAATATTTTGGGAACGTTTACTTTTCGCGCGAGACCTTGGGTGAAAGCGATCAGCCCCATTAAATTCCATCCTTCTCCTTCGGCCTGGTGAAACTAATAACGAGGGGAGCCGAGGAGATTATAAATCAATTGTAGCCGGATGACAAATTGACCGTCCCGAGTGGACAAGTTTATAATATACTGCTTTTCTTGACATTTCAAGGCCATAATCCATCAGTCTCCTCTGCTAAGACCGATCCCTGTCCTTCGAAAACGCCGAAGTCAAGTGGAATTCTTCAACCTAGTCACAATGCCCCTCGTTGCGCACAATTCCCGGCCCCGGGTGATCCTTGGACTAATGAGCTTTGGGCCCAATGAGACCGACAATACTCGCATCACCTCACTTGATGAGTATAACCGCTGCCTGGACCACTTCCAACAACAAGGTTTCAACGAAGTCGACACCGCTCGCATATATGCAGGCGGAAAACAGGAAGCCTTCACCGCCAAGGCAAACTGGAAAGAACGAGGTCTGACTCTCGCGACGAAATGGTACCCGCTTGAACCGGGAGCGCACAAGCCTGCCGTATTACGCCAAAACTTCGAACTGTCCCTCAAGGAGTTGAACACCAACCAGGTCGACATCTTCTACCTTCATGCCCCGGATCGCTCGGTTCCCTTTGCTGAGACCCTCGAGACTGTCAATGATCTTCACAAGGAGGGCAAGTTTGTCCAGCTGGGTCTGAGTAATTATACGGCCTTTGAAGTCGCGGAAGTCGTTACTCTCTGTGCTCAGCGAGGCTGGAAGCGACCTACCATTTATCAAGCAATGTACAATGCTATCAGTATGTAATACGAACCGAATGCCTCGTATTGCTGTGATATCGATGGACTCTACAGGGTTTTGATAATAACCGCTTTCTGAATAAATAGCTCGCAATATTGAAACTGAACTGATACCTGCCTGCCGTCGCTATGGTCTCGATATCGTCATCTACAACCCTCTTGCTGGCGGCCTTTTGTCTGGAAAATACAAAACACACGACGTGCCTGCCAAAGGACGATACAGTGACAATACCTTCACGGGTACCATCTATCGCAAACGCTATTTCAAAGATGCGAACTTTGATGCTCTTAGAATTATCGAGCCTGTGGTGGAAAAGCACGGCTTGACTTTAGTGGAGACCGCACTGCGCTGGGTGCGCTACCATTCGGCACTTAACTTGGACAACGGTGGCGGAGACGGTATCCTGATCGGCGTTAGTAGCTTCGACCAGCTCGAGACTAATCTACGGGACCTACAGAAGGGTCCTCTCCCAGAAGAGGTGTTGCAAGTGCTTGACAAAGCATGGATGGTTACGAAGCCTACCTCTCCGAATTACTGGCACCTAGATCTGAAGTACACTTACAACACCCAGGAGGCCCTATTCATGTCGAAAGCGATGGCCTGAAATTAATAGAGCTATTGAGGGATGGTCCTAGCGGGCAATCTCATCTAAATGCATTTCACAGGGTCACTAGATATTCAAATTTCACTGGATAACTCTATTGATTGGAACCTTTAGTAGTTGCTGGCGGGATTATTTTAGGCTTTTCTGCCAGCTTGTTCATCTCGTCACTCTAATTAACGCTGGTCCTGTTACTGTTACATGGACTCAACGGCTCGGTGACAAAAAGAAGTCATTTCTCTTTACTCCTCTATTCGCAGTCGAGCCTTCTCTCGCCTTCCCACGCATACCTTTTGCTGAGCTCTACAGCCCGGCCAAGGCATGAACTGGTGGCCGCATACAGAAATGAAGTTTTGGCTGATGTGAAATTCAAAATCCTTTCGAATATTGAATCTTAAATTGGAGATCTGATTTTGGGAACCCCGGCGGTGACAACGGAGACCACCACTGAAGGCTATGCTCAAGGAGAAATGCCAGACCGGAAATAGTATAGAGATGCAGCGACCAGAGACTCTGTACCTGCTTCCGCTGTCGCTTAAACCGGTATTCCGAGTATATCACAATTCAAGGAGTCTCAGCCACATTATAAACCAGCTTTTCTCCGCTGACTTTGTTCGCCTTCAACAGCCGCAATCCATCAATAACACCCTTCAGGCCATCTATGCCAACCTTAGGCGGGTGAACCTTAATCTTTCCTTGAGCCAACAGCGGCCCAGCAATAGCCAAGAAGCCCTCCATGAAGGCCTTGTCGTCTGGCTTGGCCGGAAACGGAATATCGCCAAAGTTAAATGCCTCGCCGATGGCCGTATATGCAAGGATAGACCGAGTATTGACATTTGCGCGTTCGATCTTCTCGTTCCGAAGGCTGCAGTACTCGCCACCTTCCGTAGATAGAGCGTTGTCGCAGAAATGTGCGCTAGACACAAGGGAGATACAGTCCAAGACGAGCTTAAGATCATTGTTGGTATACTTTCGGATCTCGGCAGCAGTAGTGGAATCCTTGTAATCAAAGACTATATCCGCACCGAGACGGCGGACTAGATCGAAATTGTGCGGGGAGCAGGTCGTAAGAACTTTGTAGCCAGATAGTTTAGCGAACTGAATCGCGAGCGTACCCGTGGCTGTAGAACCAGCATAGATAAGAATCGGGGTCGGATCCTTAATCGGATCGGTAGGCAGAGCCAATTTCAGATTTTGATAGAGGGCCTGGCCAACAGTGTAGATACCTACGCCAAGTGTGGCAGCCTCCTGAAAACTTATATTATCGGGAATTTTCATTTGGATATCACCCTTTGCCACGATGTACTCAGCAAAAGCGCCGTCTTGGGGCTGGACAGCATTGGCACCGTGCGTGAATCCGCAGACACGGTCGCCCTTGTTGAACTTCTTGCGGACATCTTTACCGATGGCAGTCACGATTCCGGAGTAGTCGCAGCCCACTATCACACCCGGAGGCGCGGAAGAAGCGATGTGCTTCCAGTCGGTGGGATTCAACCCCACGCTCACTGTTTTGACGAGTATATAGTCGTCCCGGAGAATCGGGATGGGATGATCAGTGACCAGACTCTCCTTACCGGGCTCAGTAATGACAATGGCTTTTTGGGCAGACATATTTAGCGACTTGGATAGAGACCGAGACCTTAAGACAAGACGAGAGGCAGATTCTAGGGAGGAGCAATGATAAAATAGACCAGTCTCTGTCGATGACAAATGCCGCGGACCGATAACTCCGATGACAAATGCGAACAGCTGGGAACTAAACTAAGTCGATGACAAATGAGATCTGAACACGAGGGCCTGCATTGCTACAGATCCCGTCATTTGAAGGGAATCTAATCACTTAATTCTTTCGGAAATTCTATACCGACTCTTTACGCGGCAGGTACATTAAGTGGTCATTATGAGGTATTAGGGGGCTGTCAGAAAATTTGAATGTCTGGGTGGTTTGGGAAGACATTTTCGGAATACCCAACCCCCGATGGGAGAGACCGGGATACGTTTTACCTCCCTAGTAGTTTATTTAGCGAGGTCCATATTGTAAAGATGTCATTTATTCTGGTCTCAACCCTTAATTACTAAACATGAGCGCTAAGAAGTGCCGATTAACTGTGTAAGCTTTCCCTTCCAATCGTTCACAATTTCCTCAGCCGCTGCTGTCCGTTCCCTTGAGACTTTCAAGTCTGCTTCAAGCTGTGCATTCTTTGACCGGAGTTCTTCAATTTCCTTTAAAAGTGAGTCGTATTGGAACTTGTTCGTTCGTAATCTTGCCAACTCTTCAGCCTCACCTTTTCGGTTGTCTAGATTTCTGCGCAGGGAGGCTATATTGTTATCGCGGATTTTCAGGACCTGCAGGTGTTGTGTGTTTTGAACCCGCAAATCCTCCACTTGTGCTTTGAGGGAGGCGACGGATTCCAATTCGCGGTAGAGAACGGCTAGCGACGAATCAACCTCAGTAGGAAGCGTAGCAAATCGAGATTTGCGTTGTCGCTTCGGACGGGGTGTTCCTGCATTGTGATCGCTACTTTCGCCAGGCGCCTCAATATTCAACTGGCTCACAATATCTACAGCAGCAGGCCGTGGTTGTAGAGCGCGATAGTCGGTAGAATTAGGGGACGAAACATTCTCCGTAATACCATGCCCTTCCTGAACAGTAGGAAATTGCGAATGTGCGTCAGATTCAAGCGTCCCGGTAACTAGGCTAGGAATCGATGTCGCCCTTGTGGACGTATCTGTGGCCATAGGTGTCGTGGTGGCATCTAGCTGTCGCGCAGGAGCTGGCCCTGGAGAAGAAGGAGGTGTGAGTGCAGGAGGAGCCACATTCCAGCCACGTCGAACGCAAAGAGCACAGAAGATGCGGTTTTGAGAGTCGCGCAGGGAGCCGTGCGGGATGCAACGGAGATGAAATGCTGGCCTGCATGTACGGCAAGGATAGAGATCGCCAGGCTGCAGGCAAACGCGACAGATCTTCTCATTCAAAGACCCATTTCCTGCATGTAGTGGCAGCTTGATTAGCTTCAAACTGAATCCGCGGGTTAAAGGTACGTACGGCGCCAATCTTTGTATCTTTGTACTTGATCAGACATGGGGTCTCTTTCGAAGGCGGCGACGGTGGAAGTCCATGAGGTGACGGGATGCTGCGATGTTGGTCCAGACACACTACCCATTGTTCGATTCTGATCACTATCTCGTACGTTGCGCTGATTCTGATCACAGGCCTCAGGTTCGACCAGGGAAGAATTGCGGCGCGCTCTCTTGCGTTGCGCGTCGCTGCCTGGGCCTTGGGTGTTGTCTCTTTGACTCATTCTATGGGCCATCTAGTTGACAGCAGACAAGCTTTCGATTAAGGAACTGGGTAAAGACTGTGAAGCGAGAGTTAAGTAAAAGGATGCGAATTTGGGAGCGCGTGGCAGAATTGAGAGACGGAAATCGGAGAAAGGATCTCTAGCGTGCTCGACGTCTGACGTAAGGCCAAGCGGGAATGGGGGAATTGCTAAGGACAGCACATATTATATAATCTAATCCACTGCAGATCACATGGCATTTTTAATTAGTTATAGTTAACTAACTAACTATAATTGCTCATATTACGTAATTTGGATGCCCCTCGTTAACGAAGGCTGTGGTGTCTGTGATATTTCCGGAATGGCGGATTTTATTTTTAAGTACCGTTCTTCACTTCTTGCTGCTACCAGTGACCACTCTCCTTAGATCTATCCATGAACTACCCATGAACTATCAACTACTCCTTGCTCAGGGGACCACCATTACCAAATAAATTCGGTTTTGTACCTACTCAAAGAACTCGTGGACCCTTGGTCACCGCTTGTTTCTGGCCGCCGGACTCGGTTGATCGACTGCGGAGTCACAAGATCCTCACCTCCTACTATTCACATCTTTCGCATTATGGACCCGACAGACCCCCGGCCCGTTGGGGCACCGCGAGTATGTTTGTCATGCAAGGCGCAAAAACGGAAGTGTGACAAAGTCTTGCCCAGCTGCTCCGCTTGTCAACGAGGCAAGCGCCCGTGCACATACGCGTATCCTCTTGGTGTAGTTCGGTCACGTGGCGACGACCTACCCTCTCACTTTCATAGCCAATTTTTGTCCGTGGAACCTGTCGGTCATCTGCTTTCAGACGCGGTCTGCGACTCCCCAAATGTCTCTTCGCCGGCTTCATCTCTCTGGTCTGGCCAAGAGAGCGTTTCGGAGCGTTCGCTGTCGATGTTTTTTCTGGACACGGCTACCTGGCGACATGCGCAAATTCCTATAGCTTTCCCTGATTTGCCGCCCCCTCAAGAGCTATTTTCGTTGCTGGGGAGGACGACGGATATTCACGAGGTCGCAAGCAATTATTTTAAAGTCGTTCATCCATGGTTCCCGATCATTTGGAAGCGCGGGTTTTTTTCTCACACAAGTCTCCTGCAGCCTCCGGCTGACACCATACTGCTACTTGCCTGTATGAAGATTGTGTCTGAACATCCACGCATTGACTCGCGTCCCTCGTCTTCGCCGATTTATATCTTTGCCAAGAAATTTTGTGCTCAGATGGAATCTTCAGGATTCGCTTCCACTCGCTTGCTTCAGGTTGTAATTCTTCTAGCGCTGTATGAGATCGGCCATGGGATTTATCCAGCAGCTTATCTTTCCGTCGGTCACGCTGCTCAGCTTGCTCGGATTTTAGGATTTGGTTGTGAAGGGTCCATTAGACTCTTTAGACGCTCATTGTCGTGGAGCGAATGCGAGGAAGAGAGGAGAATAAGATACAGCATCACTGTCCTTGATAGGTGAGAATGTTCGGCTCATTGACTTCGTTAATTAGCCTCTTCGCATCTGTGCGTATCCAGCTGGAAATCGTGCTGACTGCGCATAGATTTGTAAATGCTGGTTTCATGGGCCGGTCTCTGTGTTCACAAGATTTCCTTCCTCACGATTCTTTACCTTGTGATACTGAAGCATGGGATCGCGGGGAGCTCGCTCCAAGTGAACCAATCTTCGTCACTGCGGCTACATCTGTGAAGACAGACTCATTTGGAAGACTTTGTCAGATGGGCCTGCTGTTAGGGCGCATTTTGGAACACAGAGACGATCAGCATACTTTGAATGGGGTTGACCGCTTTGAAAATGCGCTGCAGCTCAATAGGACCCTCCGCTCTCTTTTGTCGAAAGTCAAGAAAGAGTTTGCGTCTGGTTCATCCGATTATGGCCTGTCGGTATGTTTAGGCTTTACGGCTATGGTTGCCTTGCATGAATTGTACGCTTGCACTGGCACCAATCGAGGGACGAACACAGTGCAAGAAACGGAGATGCAAACGATATCGATCAAGGAGCTGAAGTCTCTCACAGCTGAAATACGCTCACATTTGGTCCAGTGGCTCGATAAACGTCTGAATTTGTGCGATATAGGGCCACTGGCCTGTAACTGTATTTACCAAGCAGCTGCTACATCTGCTTGGTACGCTAGAGAATCTGGAGACAGCTGGATGCAAGAATCACATGGAATCTTTGTCAACGCATTGGAGCAAATACAACCCCGCTGGGCTGTTGCTGGTGAGGAAGTCCGTCTTCTATTCCTAATTTAATTTGACTGAATGCTCTTTAGGTCTTTACCTCGCGATTTTACGGCCAGCGGAAAATGCTGTATGATCAACCTAGAATACTATTGGCGATCTTTCGAGATCAACGTGAGAGGTGGCGTCTCCGTTATTCAAGGGTTTCATGAACACGGAACTCAAGGCCGGTGCCACTCTCATAAACATAAATTCAGGGGCTAGTCATCTCTTTTATATCCTCGGTCTCACGGTGTATGCTGCATCGAAGCTTAGCCTGGCCAAGACTGTCGTAATCTTCCAGTCCATTGATCTGGCCTGGAGTACGGCTTGAGATCATTTAGTAATTAGACGAGAGAGTGAGATGCTCAAAGATGGTCTTTGAATGATACCATTAACAAGCTTATGACTGATGTTACATCGGCGCCAAGGCCGAGGCGCTACCAGACCGTGACTTGAAGACACAGCCGCTGTGTACTTAGGAAGCGGAAGTAAAAAGTAAATACAAGGCCGGCAAATACCAGAGATTCAGCGATGTAGATTAAATGAGTTGATCGAGAAAATAGTGCATGAATAAATTCAAACAGCTTACCTATATAAAGGACATTGCTGCAATATTTATTTTCAAATACCAATTTCTTAAGGAAATACGATAACATTGCGTACGCATGCAGTGCCACTTATGGCGCTGTCATAGGCACCTGTGAACTCCTCAATTGAAAACTCCTGGACCACTGCCTTCACCTTATTGATGGCAGAGTAGTTGAAGCAATTTTCAGCGTCCACTGCACAACCGCAAGCAAAGCCACGTAGGGTGGCACGGTTGATATTGAGTAAGAGGTTGGGGACTTGAATATTTCCATCCGTAGCAGCGGAGACTAGTGTGATTACCCCTAGGATGGAGGTCAGTACGAGAACTAGGATCAAATCCACAACGTAGATGAGAGAGGCAGATAAGCTAACCGTTCTGCGCAATAGCCGGAAGAATTGCGCTGATACTGTCCGAGTGTGGCGCAGTGCAAATAATGAGGTTTGCACCTCCAAGAGACTGCACATATTCGACAACATCTCTCTTGCTCGAGTCAATATGTTCCAAAGCACCTAAAGACAAAGCTAAGTCACGCTTTGAAGAGGTCGACGAGGCGGCATAAACCTGGGATACATGATTAGCGATAACTTTATACATATTTGTCTGGCAAAGTCTCTCATCTGCACCTTCATTCCAAGTTTGTTGGCGTACTGGATTGCCAAGTGGCCTAGCCCTCCCACCCCTTGGACCAGACACAAGTCCCCGGGAGACCATTTTGAGGTCAATATGGCATGAAAAACAGTTGCGCCGGCACAGCAGAGCGGGGCAAGCTCAGCATAAGATGCGCCTCTCAGAAATTCTTCTGGAATGTGAATAATGGCAGATGATGGTGCGAACATATACTCGCCGTGGCCTCCGTCAATTGTGAAGCCAGTATAATCCACATTCCGACACGTCCAGAATTCTCCCTTGCGGCAAAGGTCGCACTGGGTGCAATAACCGCCATTCCAACCCACACCAACCAAAGCGCCGATTCTGAAGCGGTCTTTGTTTGTAGATGTTCTTAGAAGCTCCGTACCCACGTCGGCGATGCGGCCAATAATCTCGTGGCCCGGAACGCGTGGATATTGAACTCCAGGCCAGGTTCCGTCTTTAATGAAATGATCGGAGTTGCAGATTCCAGACGCGTGCACGCGCACAAGCACTTCTGATGGGGCAGGGGCTCGCAGCGAAAGTGTGGCAAGTTCCCAAGAGCTGTTGGGGCTGAGGCATTGAACTGTGAATAGTCATGAGATGTTGGAGTCTGCGAAGTGTCTGTGATCGAAAGGAAGGGGTACTTACTTGCCTTGTAGGTTTTTGGAAGAGAAGAGTTCATCTTTTTTCAACGGTGCCTGTTACAACTCGAAAAGCAAAACCTAGCTCCTTTATATTCCTTACTTATGAAAATCATCTATGGGGCAAAACTGTCGCGAACATGGAATCGGTGTTATCTCGGAAAGTGCGGCCGCATCGGCCGATGCGGCCGATGCGGCCGGTCTGGCTTGTCGGTTTCCTGATACTCGGAACACCCCGCGCATCGACATACCGACATACTGCAGAGCTCTAAGATAGCCACATACACTCTCTCTATTCAATCAGTCGATCAATCAATATTTTATTTGTTGATTGTAGCTGGGGGGCTGAAACACGCCGAAGATCGAGTCGTCCTTGGCCCTTCCTATCATTGAATTGGGGCCACTAGATCCTTGATGTGTTTAGGGCAATCCTGCTGGGCAATGAAAGATTCAAACCTTAGCTCATCATGGCCCCTGAATAACTAACGTAATCCACAAGCGAGCACGCCACCCCAAAACACCAATATAAATACATTATTTTCGTAACTCTATATCTCAACAACTTATGTTAATTTTACTTGATTATTAGTATGAAGCTATTAATATTTGTAATGAATAGTAAAACTAATTGAAATCAACATAAAAAAGTTCTTTTATTGCATTACTAAAAAAACACAGATGTACATGCAACAAATATATATATCAGAAAAGTAACATCTTCCAAGATTTCCAAACTTTTTAAATAGGTTAGATATAGTCTAAATACTATGAAGATACTATAAAATCCTACACTAAGATATCGTTGTTGAGATATTAAGATCTAAATTTATCACATTTACTATGGTGTTTTGGGGTTGCGCGCTCGCTTGGATGGCGCGCTCGCTAGTGATTTACGTTAATCAAAAATGATTAGATAAAATTCATGTATCTGCGAGTCAATGATGATCCCCCTGTGTGTGGAATGGTGTAGAGGGAACGGTTTACTGTGCATAGAAAACTTCACGAAGAAACACTGGAAGCCATAAAATTCTTGATTGATGTTATTTGACTGCGATATCCGCTCTGCTGGATCATCCAGAGAAGGGCTGAAGCGAGATTGATTCGGTCCGAGCTGGCCCTGAGTAGCAAACCAAAAGCTTAGAGGAAGGAAAAGGGTCTCGACTATGCAGTCAATCTAGATATACTGATAAAATTGAACGGCATTTGTATACTCGTACATGGCCGACATCCAGCCCTGGCCCGTTACAATACTCCCCTCTTGCACTCCGAAGATGCATGGAGCCTGTATGGACTCGTCGCTTACGAGTCATCAGTGTATCGACTGGGTTCCTTGCAACTGATGACGGCATGGGCGTTGTGTTTGTCTACAATTGATCAAGTGCTTCACCACATCGGCCCATGCACCACGCTGCCGGCTGGTATTCCTATATTGTGAGTTGTTGATGTGTGCGTTCAATTGTAACTCGCCGACGGCCGTTATATGAGGGACTTCCCAATGGTCTAAAGTTGACTTCCACTTGAAGAGAATATGAAATCTACGGCATTCTTGATTGCCGCTGAAATCGACGGTGCATGCAAAGAGTACGCTCACATAGCCTCCAAGTGGCGATTCATAAAAATAAACAGTTGGTTCGTAAGACAGCGGAAAGGAAAAATGTCGAACCCTGTTGCGAAATTCAGGAGCAAAATACCTAGGTAATCGGACGATAGTCCGTCAGGACGGCTACGGTTTAAGAGACATGCCGTTCTATGACGACCTGGACCTATTCCAAACGAAAATTCTACTTGAGAATGGAGCATACCAAGATCAGACTTGCAAGCGGTCGTCCTAAAAGGGAAGGGTCCGCAAAGGCCAATGAAAATGCTATCCAGGGATGGAACAATTAGCCGCCAATCAACGTCAAGTTAACGTTTTAACGGTGTGGAATGTGTCAGGGTAAAACGACTTCATTACTCACCAAACCTTCTCATACCATCCCTCTAAAGTCTGGATTGGATATAGACTTCGGCGGCGTTATGCACACTGTCTACCTACCTACTGGATGCTTCCCAATGAGACCAAAATTCTCTTTTTTTTGGGGCAATATTTGACAGTTTGGTTAGGTCGAGCTGCGCACCCAGACCGGCTGTGCGGCCCAAAACACCATATTACATGCGATAACATGCGATAAACTGCAACTCCGTGCACTCAGATTTGAAATTGGCTTCCATGTTTTACACACAGAAGTTGTCTCAAACCATAACACCAAGGCCACGGCTAATCCTATATAGGGCAGGTGCAGGTAGCCTGTGCATATCATCCCTGTCCGTCAGATTGGAAATATAAGATATCAGACAAGACAAATATGCGGTGAACATTTGATTACGCGTCTCGCCAATATGGGTCCTCGCACGTGCTACTGGCCGCTTGAGTCCAATTTGTTGCAATTTACACCACTTCTGTGAGGACTACTGTACGGGCCCCACTACTGTACTGTGATGTATGCTGCGACTGTCATGCTGGTTTGTAAGGCTTGACCACTAGCTCGCTGTCGCGCATGGATTCACAGGCATTGACGTGAGTCGAGCGGGGAAAAGGCGTCTATACATAACTATTCCGCTGGTCCCTGAGTCTCAGGTGCCAGCTATCAGTCTTGAAATTATACTGAGTCGCACCCAAAGCCTCCTTGCGAGTTTTTGTTACCCAAATCCGCAAAACCACTACAACAGGTGTATCGTGAAATATATCCTGACAACTTCACCCCCAACAGCAGACGGAAAACCCACGGCGCAAGAATGGCCCCAAACCTGTCTCATGCTACTTGAGAGTTCATCCGCGATATGGTCTTGAGCTTAATGCTCCTAGGCTTGCTAGCAACATGAGAGTCACCTATTCTCTTTGAAATGCAGCTCGATCTCTTTCCCTGGAAATTGTATCTCGAATAGATAGTAATAATTTTTTTCATTTCATCTTTATCTTTGCCATGTTAATCAACTCCCCCAGCCATTTCGTCTCCTCCTTCGTAAACTCTTGTGTCGCCGTATTTGACAAGCAACACATATTGTTTGCCTCTAACTGCCACGCCCCTGGATCCAAAAAGTCCTTCGGCTCCTCCATAAACACGTCGAACTCTCCGATTGTTCGTTTGGTTCCCGCATACTTGTTATTATATAGCCACCCATTGAACCACAAAGGGCGCTTGTTGCGGTCCAGATGGAGGAGTTGTGGGGCGCAGATGGTGAGGTCGGATTCATGGCCCGGTGCCATTTTGCGGTCTCTTTTCGTGGCGCTAGCTGTAAAGCCCTGGTTGAGATTCGAGGCCGGTAGGTCGTTGGTCGTATTGAAATTGTCGAGGTCTCGAACTACGCCCATTATGCCAGTTGCGCCGGGGTGGAAAGCATAGGAGGTGTCACCAGCGAGCTCCCAGCCGATCCAGAAGGTTTCTTTGTCTCCTGTGTTTTCGCAGAAATTAGTAAAATAGACGGGATGGGTAAAGCGAGGGCGGAAACAAACCATAGACCATATCATAAGTCCCGACAATCCCCGCTCTCTTGTCCCCATATCTATCAGGCCCATTCATTCTACTTACCAGTAACAAGGCAACAAAGTGTCTCCACTTATCCACAACTACAACACCAGACTCTTGCATGTGCCCGCTCTCCCCCGTCCACATCCTGCTCTGCCGCACCAGTTTCGAAATCGGCTTTGGCAAGATCTGCTGTAGCCACTTTTTCTTGCTCTCGGGCATGATCATCCTATCTTTAAAAAACAGTGCGCCCGTGCGCACGTAGTCCTCGTCATTAAAGAGCGTTTCGGGATTTACGAAGAACAGTGCGTCGGCGTCGATTAAGATGACCTCGCGGAAAGACGAGAAGAGGATAGAGAACGGTTTACCCGCCCATCCGGTGAGCCACCAGCCTTCATCGCTAACCATGGCGGAGAGGTCACGCGTTGTCACACCCGGTAGAGCCTCGAGCTCTGCTCGGAAGTCTTCGCCCAAGTCTCTATCGCCGAGATACATGATTTCGATGGGCAGCTCGCAACCAAGGGTGCGGAGGGAGGGGATGGCTGCGAGGAGGAAGGGCGCGTGGTTTTCGCCCGCCGTAAACACGATGCCACGACCTCCATGGTACGAGGATGCGTGCAGGCTCATATGATCTCCGAAGTATGGGCTCGTCCACGGAAACAACAGCGCAGAGAGTTTGGCAAGGAAGTGACGATAGGAGTCATATTTGTGGAGCGTCTCAGGGAAGGTTTGCTCGCTGAATTTGGCACGGATGAAGGGGACGAGATCCTCCCGAACGTATATATTATCACTGTCTTCAGTGACGAGGTGGAGTTTCTCCCAGGCTTCGAAGAATTGTTTGTATGCGCGCGTGCGTAGACCGAGTTCACGCAGTTTCTCCGCACCCGTGCCTATCACGGGCCGCAGAAGCTCTCGGAGGTACATTTCGTTGGGAATTATAGAGAAGAGGTAGTCGAGGGCGGTATCGAAGTCATTCGGGAACGTATGCCTCGACTCCATATTCTTGTTGGAATATTTGGAGGTCTTCGGGACAGATTGCTGTGAATCTTGGTCATTCATTGCTGTAGACTTGACATTGGCATGCGGTTCCACTAGAGACGTCGCAATGAATTCTTCTTCAAACTTATTTTGCGATGTTGAACCCTGCCACCGTATCTCTGCAGATCTTGCAATAGCGGGCTGAATCCGCCGGAGTGTGTCCTTGGCCATGCCAAAAGTCGTCTGCGTACTCATTGCATCCGAAATTGGAGAACCAGTCCAGAAGAAAAAGTATGATATTATCAACCAGCCTGCTGCTGCAAAAATGAGGTGGATTGTCCGCAAAGCCGAGCATTTCCGTCGTACTTTGCCTTTGAACCTTGTAAATGGCGGGTGAGATCTGCCTTCTTTGAGCGGATTTGTATGCTGTGGGAGGTATGAGTTAATCATCACGGTGGGAGTATTATCGCGAAGGCAGCAATGGGAGAAGAGATTTTGCGAACGGGGCGATATTTGGTGTAGTAGGATAAAGTAATTGAGAAACTTGAGATACGGACCACCTGGTGGGGGATTTTAACCAATGCGCTTCACGCTGCTAAATATGGCTGGTAATGGCACAACACCCACTTTACAAACGCATTCCAAGAAAATGCCATTATCCTCTGCGGGTCTTCACCACCGTCAGTCAGTGGAAAATATGGTGAGATATTCTATTTATCGGCGACTGTACCTGTAGAACAAATTTATTTGCATCCCGTGTTTAACAAAAAGGTGCGGAGGGCCCCGGCTGCTATCGTTGAAGATTGGGGGGCAGGTTGTCCAACTCGGACAACAACATTGTACTTTTGAAATTCCGACCGTTGGAGGTGTTTGCAATATCTAGCCCTTGCATTATACAAATTCGGTCCTGTCAAAGTAAGCGTGATATTGACAACACATGCTCAGTAAAGTGCCATTGGTCCAGCAGCCTGCTAGGAATGTGGAGCTGACATACCATACTAACCATTACTATTCTTCTTCATGGCTCCTTCCAAATCAGGACTTAAGGGGTCGTTGGCTCAACTAACCTGTATCTCAGTCTCCTATTGCTTTCATTCTTGGGCTTTGACATATTATCGTTCTGTCAAATTCTGATCGCTTTCATTCCATTTTATACATTCCCATATGAGCAATCTTCTAATATCATCAATTCAAAGGTATTTCTTGTCTACGGTTATATGAACACTACACAGTATATAAAGGGTTAATTGAAGTTATATATATTGTAAATACCCGCCCAACAAGAGCGGTGCATATTTCGTCGCATATATGGCCGCAAAGATAATCAAACAGATTCGGTTTTTATTTTGCAGATATAAGCACTATCCTCTCCAATGAGGTATTTTACGAGAGAATGAGGAAGGCTACCCCTGGCAGAGGGATATGTTTTACTCCATAGCATTCTCCTCGGTCCAATCAAGGCGCCATACCTCCGCCAAGGCAGGGCATCACAATAGACCTGACCGTCGGAAATAATGTACATTGGTAGATGAGGAAAATCAAGGTTGATTCAAGGATCTCCTTGACAATAGACACTGGAAGTATTTAAGGTATAACCCCGCCCGCCAATTTATCACCCTGGTACAATTACTTATTGCATTTGAAAAATGTTTCTAAGGCTACTCACATCTGCACTCCTCTTCTCTACCATCAGCAATGCACAGTTCACTCCAGTTGGACTCGGCACTGCTGGGAACTTTCTTGTTCTTGCTGCCACAACAGTAACCAACACAAACACCGACACCATTGTTGATGGCGGCGATCTTGGGGTCTCTCCAGGAAATGCTGTCACGAACTTCCCCCCGGGTGAGGTCATTGGGGGAACAATCCACGCTGGTGATGCCGTCGCAGCACAGGCACAGTTAGATCTGGCAACGGCATATGGTGATGCAGCTGGCCAGGCACCTACAGCGACTCTTCAAAATCCAGAGCTTGGTGGTCTCACCCTTTTTGCTGGTACATATAAGGCTGGGTCCACGACTACATTTGGCATTACTGGCACTCTCACGCTTGACGGCCAAGGAGACCCGGATTCTGTTTGGATCTTTCAAATGGGAACCACTCTCATCACTGCAAGCTCCTCCCGAGTTGTGCTGACCAATGGTGCCCAAGCTTGCAATGTCTTCTGGCAAGTGGGAAGCTCCGCAACCCTGGGGACGGGAAGCACTTTCGTTGGGACCATCATGGCACTCACATCTATCACGGCGACTACAAATGTGGCTATTCAAGGACGTCTTCTTGCTCTTAATGCGGCGGTGACTCTAGACGACAACAAAATCACTGTTCCGGGTTGTTCCACTACATCAACCACTACGACATCAACCACTACGACATCAACCACTACGACCTCAACCACTACGACCACGCAGCCAATTATTACACTGCCTGTAATAGGTCCCATAGGGCCCATTGTTATACCCATTTTACCCGGCGGCATCGGCAACGATCAAGGCAGCGGCGGCAACGGCAACGGCCATGGTAGCGGCGGCAATGGCAACGGCAATGGCAATGGCAATGACAATGACAATGACAATGGTAATGGTAATGGTAATGGCAACGGCATACCCGGTGATATCGTTGGCAGCATTCTTGGCGACAAAGACAACGAAATATGGAATGGCAACGGCGGCCCGTCCCCCGCAGGGGGGATACCATACTCTGTCAACCAGCACAGCCACCACCACGACCAAGGCCACGGTCACTATGGACCATATGATGACCACTACGGTGGCTCTAACGGCGACCACTACGGCGGCTCAAACAACGACAACTACGGCGACCACTACGGCGGCTCAAACAACGACAACTACGGCGACTGGTCCACAGGATCCACAACCAAGCCATGGGAACCATCCATGACTGAGTCTGCCCCTTTCCAACCCGAGACATATAACCCCTCGTGGTCTACTGAACCTATCAGGGGCCGTTGACCGTGATAGCCATGATCAATGACATGGCATTGGGAATGAATATTGTACGAGGTTTTACTGTTTTGTTCTCGCGTAATGATAGCTGGTAATGGTGTTGAATGGATAGGCCTGAACACAATAGTTAAGGAAAATGTTTTCGTATTTGAATTTTATAAATTTGCAAAATTATTCGTGTCTGAATTCTTTTTGAGGGGCCCGTGTTAGCATTATTCGCAGTTCTAAAACGAGCTATCTTCATTACTGTACTGTAGAAGTACAGTACTCGCACGGAGGCTTTCATCATCTTCGTTGGTCGCCGATACTCCGAAGCTAAACTATTTTTTGCGCTAATTTTAGATTTCCGCCGAACAGAGGGACTCGAAGTGGAATCGCAGTAAAATTGAGGCGCAAGATTACATACGATGGCAAATTGTCTGCGCGCCCTCATTTTTGATCTCGTCCTATACCTTAGTAGCGACTGCACTCTAGCTGGAGCAGCGGACTCCATTAGAATTAGGGTCAAGGCCCTAATACTAAGAGGTCGGTCTTAAGATAGGTAATACCTCAACGGACATACTGAGATTCCTGCGTATAAAATTCGAGACAAATTCTTTTGCCTTATGTATTGTACAGCCATGGCAGCTTCAAGGCAATCTAGATATCTCTGTTAGAGACAGAAAATTATATTCCTTTAAATCCGAAATACGAAGGTCCCAAGACTGTGAGTTGCAAAAACAATTCTAAGTGCCAAAAGGTTGGTGGCGAGGTGAGTAAGCATTCATTGATCTCTAGCTTCTACCCATGGTACCTCCGAAAGGTTTGATGGACCAGATGATGATTTTACGAACATTATAAGATTATGGTTAAATTTGTTTTATAAAGCTTGACAGCTCCTTGGTTGTTATGTTATTTTCCTAGAAATTGTTGTGTCAAAATGTCTTCGCTATTTGAAAAGTGCCCTAACTGCAACGGAAAAACCACGGGATATTTATTTTGTTCTAAAGTATGTCGCTCGTCCTTTTTACACGGCTTGAATCAAGCCTGTAATCATGAAAATGGAGCCGTGGAGAAGTCGACAGAACCTCGCTCTTCACAGACGGCATCAGAAGAGCTGCCTTTCTACGGCATTACATTGCCAATGAGCCTGGAAACGTCTGAAATTGGAAAACAAAAATGCGACATGGAAAATGAACATTTTGGCTTGTGAGAAATGACCTCAAAACTATGAAGATTATTACGACAAATCCCGAAACTCCAAGAAACCAGGCGACACGTTCTTTGCACCAATACAATCATGACGTCATTGAGTCCACTATCCTATGGTGACTGAGGAATATCTGCTTTATCGCGGTAAAGGCCAATATGATTGGGACAATTAACAAAACTAACAGAGGCGACCATGGTGCGAAACGGTGGTCGAGCTTTCGACGCCATTCGGACCCTGTCCGCTTTGCAGACCTTGGCGCTCCTGGCACCATCGTTGTCATCCATCACACGGGTACGTCATGTTTGATGACCTCAATTTGATTGATGGTCTTCCATTCCAAATGGCATAATTTGACGTATTTTAGACTGCGGTATGATTCATTTTCATGACGCCGACATCAGAAAAGCACTGCTCGAAATCGCGACGCATGAGAAGGAGTTCATTGGAGCTTCTGAGTTTGGAGAAATTAAGAACAGGTTCGTAGTAACACGCAACATCAATCAATTTATCTCTTGCATCTCGACACTAACCATTGTCCCGCATTGAGGATAGTATTCTAGAAGAATTGGCATTCTCAAGGCCTCTCCACTGATCAGGAAGAGCACCCAGATTTTTGGCCTTGCCTATGAAATTAGTACTGGGCTTCTGATTGAGATTCCAGAAAGGAAAAAGCTGTGAACGCGGCGTAATGGGTGATCTATCTAACCGATCATGTAATCGTCAATTCTTCCTTGGAAATACAACGTTGCCTATTCTTCTATTATGTGATTCAATCCGTGGATGAATACAGAGGATGATGGATGGATGATTTCATCTACCTCGGCCCCCTGCTAAGTTGAATAACCACTAAGCTAAATACGAATCCGCACTCAGCCTAGTGGTTGGTGTTTTATAAGCAACTGCCGAAGCGATATGCAGGCTATCCACCCTGCGACCTTCCGTCGATACCAGCTTGTGCGGTTGCGCTTCAAGAATCCTCAGGTTACACTAAACACCGGTTGTAAGAATTCATTCCTCCTGGGAGCTAGGCGCTTCTGCCTGAGCACTGACAGCCTTCGGCGGCCGAGGACTCGGAAAGAGCCTAGAGGATAGTGCCTCTCTCTCAATCATATATCAGGTGATTGTACTAAATATAAACAGTCTCCGAATCTCGATACTGCGGAAAAATTTCACCGGGCTTGATTATTTTGATATGCACCGGAATGTGGGATAACAGCAAAACAGCCCAGAGTGCCTTGCAGTAAAGGTCAGTATGGCAGTCTGAACAGAATGGCGAAGAAATGGATCATCCACTCACCTGGAAGACCGTCTTCACTATGACAACATCTCCACCATGAATCGCTAACAGCCATGTCTCCCAGCTCTTTCCCCAAAAGCTCTCTGGGCAATGCTTGATCGCCATCGGGCTCACCTCATCATATGCTTGCGAGTATCCATCATACGCTACAGAGCCACTGCGCGCAACTTCGCGCAGCAAATCGCCCCGATTAACTGCCGGGTCCAGGTTTTTCATCCCAAAGCGTGCGTGAAACGCATATTGCACCTCTTGAAGCACTCCTATATCGAGAAAGTCCCATTCGATTCCCTGGAAGCGCCGAGGTTCATGCGCTAGTTGAATAAAGACATCGCGGACGGCATCAGCAGCTTTGATAGCATCGGTATCGAGATATTCGCGTGGGACTTTACCACATATATCGAAAGAGCACTTTTCTTCGGCGCTTAGGTCCCATTTAAAGAAGTGCTCAGGCCAATCATCCAATGCGCGTACCTCACTGTCGTACTCCCACACCCATTCCGCGATGGCAGCCCATAGACAAGCCCATTCAGCCCAATAGCGTCCTCGGCCGCCTTTCTTCGTTATCTCGATGGACTCAGCCACGACTTGGTATTCAGAATTCATAGTTCCTTTCGGCTTGATATTGTTGTATCCGTACTTCGAATACTCCCCAGGTGGCTGACCGGCATAGGTAAGATCCATGTATGCCCCTGGGCCACAGGCAAAACTGATAGCGGGACCGATAGCACAGGGCTGTGTATCAGGTCCCTCCATACCTGCGCGGCAAGTGGAGTTTGCTGCTCCAAGGAGGCTTATCAAGTCCTTGGGCAGGCCGACGGAGCTAGGATCTGTCCTGATGCAGATAACGGCCGGTTCCTTCAAGGTTGAGCCCCTGTCAGGTGAATTCACGGTACGGATCACAGCATCGAGCGATCCCTCTTCCTGGGAATAGCGTCTGGTGAAGAAAAAATATAGCTGTGACCAATCTTGGTGATCGAAGATGGGGCGCAGGATGTTTGCAAAGAGCGCAGTTGACTCATCCCGAGCGGAATGGTCGTTGATAAAGAAGAACTCATTCAGCGAGAAGCCTTCTTTGAATTGCTATTGTCTTATCTAAGCTTCAGGACGATAAATTATACGAGTACGGTCAGAAGTAAAATATACCGTGCCAGGCTTCAATCGCTGTTTCGTGTCCCAATCAAACGTTATGGGGCTGCGAAGGTGCAGAGCCAACGGAAGGGAGACATTCATTTGAAGGAGATCGTGAGAGATTGGTTATGATGGCTGTGAGCCTTTCACTAACAATATATGTGAGGAGTTGTCGTCAATATGATAACACTGAGATTTTATTTGACCTGCAATTTCCAGCAGGGGCTCCACAGTCTGTTTGCATCCGAATCTGCCTTATTTTTAATTCAATGGGGCTGGCGTGTTCATGAGGGGCAGTGCTTCCTCTCGAGCGGGATTGCGATATCAAACCAATCATCTTGTTTTGCTTGTATCCTATTCTGGACTAGCTCGAGTGAATACGAGATGCCCCAAAGTCAAATAGAGTAAAAGTGTGGATAAATTCTGGCGACATGGGGCGGTTGAACACGATTAAGCCCTCCTTGACGAGGTTTTGGCTTGTTTATCTATATCCCAGGCATACATGCGACACTATGGATCCGACAGGACTTGTTCTCGGGGCCACGTCTCTCGTTACTCTTTTCAAAACTTGCTTGGATTTGTATAATGCTATCGAATGTGGTAGAAATCTTGGTACAGACTACAGGATACTCGTCACGAAGGTTGGAGTTGAACGAGTCCGCTTGACACTTTGGGGAAGCTTGGTGGGGCTTTATGACTTGCAAAAAGATGAAGACTCTCAGGGAGATCGTTTTGCCGAATATTTCGATGTGCTGGATTCCCGACTTGTCGATCCGCGCATTGCCAGTGCAGTCGCAGATATTCTGAATTGCATGCGGCGCCTCTTTGAAGATAGTGGATCCCTGGTGAAGAAGTATGGGCTACAAGAGATGGCTTCGGATCATCTTGCAATTCTTACTATCGAGAACCCAGTCAAAATGACATTTAAGAAGACATATTCCCGTCTACAGGCGTCGGCATCGCGGATTCAGAAGAAACCGCCACTGGTTGCGGCAGCACGGTGGGCGATTAAGGACAAGAAGCAGTTTGAGCGTTTTGTCAACGATTTGCGTGACTTTAACGACAGTCTGACACTGCTTTTTCCGGATGTGGAGGAAAATACACGTACAGCCATGATAACCGAGATCAAAGAATCAACGGATCTTGACAGTCTTCAGCTCCTCGAGAATGCAGTTTCTGACCTGATTGGGGGTGAGGAACTCGTCGAGGCAGCGAGCTCACGCATTACGGAGATATCAAAATATTCAACAAGAGTGGCAGAGAAAGCAGCGACCCAAATCACGGACGACAGCACCGCTGAAGTCAATGTGGAACGTGTAAGCCGGCAGCTGCAGAAGATAGAAGTTATCATGAGCAAGCGAGCGGAGCTACGTGGATCACTGCGGTTTCAGCTTTCGAGTCTTGGAGATCAAATATTCCTTCTGTATGATTTCTTTGGAATCGACTATGGTGATCATATCGTGGATATACAAAAAGAGATGGAATATGTCAACCCTCCCTATCAAGCATGGTGTAGGTGCTCCTTCAATGATTTAATGTTTTCCACGGGTTCGTTTTCTAATCATGAAACAGCTTTGATGTGTATGTCGAACAGAGAAAGACCCCTGAAACTTGATTTCAGCCAGCAAGACGTCGAGGTGAGCACGGACGATTCCCATAACCATTAAATCACCATCTTAACCCCGATAAAATAGAGTGATCGCAAGTCTCATGGAAGATATCCAGGGACCCACACCATGGACGGCTATATCGCTGAATTCAACATGTGGATACGCAATAGCAACGGGACTCCCCAGCAGTTTTCGAATACCAATGATTTACTCCCAGATACTCCGCTGGATGTGTTGGTCGAACGGGTACGTCGTATAAGACTCCAAGGCCATCAATTCTGGAACCTTGACAGCCGTTCCTCAGACCAAGATCTTAGCGGACTCCTTGGTCCACCCCGCGGGTCTGGAATACGTGGCCAAGTAAACGACATACTAAACAATCTCAACCGTCGCCGCGTGTTTCCAGATGTTGAAGACGGACCGTCGCTCATCGAAATAGCGCTTACTTCCAACAGGGGCATTCCCAATTTTGTGCTACAAGTTATTCTGGCGCACGAGCTTCACATGCGCATGCTCCATTTACCGGGCGTCGTATTCGGCAACGTGAGTCGTCGAATCGTTGCAGCCTGCCAGGCATCCGAGAGATGGATTGGTGGCATGGATTTAAGAATCCCCGATCCTAAAGGACGACCTGCCTATTTCGAGCTACACAGCCTTGTTCATGAACGGCAGGTTGAGGGACTTGTCCGATTTGCGGAGACCATGGCATGGCCCGCGTTAGGGGAGATGCGAAGATTTACCGAAGAGGTCTATTCTGATATCAGGTCGGGCGGATCTACGAATCGCTTTTTATACGATTGGCTGTTTGGCTTGATGCTGCCTGGAAAGAAATTCATAAATACCATTATGGCATCCCTGGTGGCGGCGACTCCATCTCTCGCTCATCTTGGTGATGCTAGATACTATATTTCAGGCCTAGTGGTCGGAGATAGATCATATTGGCGAGTGAAATCCGTGCTGGGCCGCGTCCTTGGAGCGATGAAGGAGACTAGGGCAGCTAATGGCTGGATCGGACCGTTTCCGAGGCCAGTGGGGCTAAAAGCAGAGGGCATTGCAGATGGTTGGTCACACGTTCATGCAAGAGACGTGACCTTCAATGGCCATCTCCTGCCCGAAGATCAGTCTGGAGATAGTGAACGATTTCTCATGTTCAGGCATCGGGAAGAGGAAACAAGCGCGTCTTCTTGGCTTCGGGGGCTTACAGATCGTTCGAAATGGGTTGTTCCCGTTGGGCCTTCTAAATCGCCCTATAAAGTTGACTTTCATGCTACAAAACTGAAGAAAACAAGGCCAATCGACGAGAACTCTGATGAAGAGGAGACAGAGCCACAACAAAGAGCAACCTTGGAGTTGTTGATCAATGATCAATCTGTGGAATTCACTCTCTACAGTAATCCGGTCTTTGTTACTGCACCAAAGTGTATTGATGGACCACACGCTGCGCATGAAGATGACCTACCCAAGATGCAAAATATTTTGAGCGTCAGTCAGCTACCAGGACATGCTCACAATGACAGGAGGGTGCTCATCATTGACGCAACTGGACAAGGAGAGTGTGAGCTAGCCGCACGAGCGTGGTGCTCTGAGAATGGACAGCATGCAGTACTGGCGCGAGGCACTGGGACTTGCTTTGCGTGTGCGGTCAGAACTGCTAGTCAAGGTGCTCTTGCCGTTGGATGTCTTATTTGGACAGGTTGAAGATGATCAATAGTCGTAGCGGAGACATTATTCGAGCAGATTTATAGAATATCTAAACCATAACATGACCTTTTGATAAGTAGAGATACCTAAGCGATATGACGTCCTTATGTGTACTATGACAGGCAAACTAGTAAGAGGTAGGCAGGGTATTTTCCTATATGCACATGTGTGCTTCCGAGCCGAATTCAGCTTTGGCTAGACTATCTTGCATAAATGTATATCATCCCGTGCCAATACGAGTGACGCTTACTGAATGAACTCTAGCGTTGATTTGATATTGCGTGGGATACATCTGCACGGACCTCTAGTCCTCGTTTGTGTGACGCCCTGGGCCAACCCTTTCTGCTTCGCCACAATTTACAGTTTCAACAGCTTGGCGTAAGAATGGGCATCCGGGGTTATTCCGCGAGATGTGATAATAAAGACTTTATCACTTGGCTTAGAAATACTTTCGCTTTTATGAAAATGCGAACTGCACCAAGGAAATTTCTCCGTTATCAACTGTCCCAATGGAGATCGCAAGCACGGCAATCAGCGTGATTGGATTGGCGTCTCTCTTCAGCACTTGCATCGAAACACTTGATACACTTTCATCTGCAGCAAGATATGGGGTCAACCGAGAGATCCTGCAAACAAGAATAGAAGTCGAGCGACTCCGACTTAGAGTTTGGGGAGAGTCTGTCGGGCTCGCTAAGATTAACCCCGAGAGCAAAGAGAGCGAGATTACTGAAAAGGATCTTGCCGTTTTAGACGAGTCGATTCGGAGCAATACGTTGCGTCCAGCGGTGGCAGGATTATTAACTTGCTTTGCGCACTATTTTGAGGACATAGAAGAGCTACAGAAACGCTATGGCCTTACTCCCCGACGTGAAGGCCGAAGAAAGAGCCCCGCTCCGGATAAGACCCCAACAAGGGGAACGCTATTATTCAAGTTCCAGAAAACGTACTTGCGATTCCAAGAGCGGACATCGGAGGTCCAGAAAAAGACATCACCATTAAAGAAAGCTGTGTGGGCTGTGACAGATGAACGCAAATTCAGAGCTCTCCTTGCTGAGATCAAGGCCATTAATGATTCTTTGGTATCACTGCTGCCGGCTATTGGAGAAGCGTTAAGGGTCCGAATGCGCTCCGAAATCATGAAAAACAAAGACGTTGGCCAGCTCCAAAATATTGTGAACGCTGCGGAGGATATTACGGGTCTCATTGCGGAGACAGCTAGCTTGAGATTGGAGATATTGTCTACATCCGACCAACACCCGACCAGGTATCAGGCTCTAGAGCCTCTACGGGCAAAGACCCTTATGCCTAAGGCAACTCCAGCCACTGTACCTACACCTCCACCAGCTCCTGAGCCCAAGTCCGTGGTGGAAAGTTTGATTGCTGCATCTCTCGATGCTTCCCCGAGCTCTATCTCCGCACCTCCAGGATCATTATATGATTCATATGATGATTTCGGGGCACTCAACATCCACATAGCGTATTACAAACAGAAGTGCTTCAGGTGCTTCTCGTGGGTTCTTGGTTTGGATGAAAGTCCAGAGATACGATCACAAGTGCAACCAGTATTTCACCCCATTTTTGGTATGACCCTTCCCGCTGTATGAATTTGACTAATTTCAATTGCTAATACTGTAACAAGAGTTTCAATTTTTCCCAGAAGCTGTTTTGATCATTGCAGATGATTTGCTAGAGGCTGATGTTGCGGGAGACAAGAAATATGCTGGATGGTCACCCGGATCTACCTCCTTAACTGGTTTCGCTAGAGAGATATCGTTGTGGCAGATGGCCCATGCTCGTAAAAGGGATGAGCTAAGGTGGTCTCGAACAAAGACGAAGCCACTTCTCTCACAATTTGTGGACCAGAGATGGAGGGAGATAGTCAAGGATGGCCTCGGCGAGGACTTCACAGACAAAAAAGGATACGAAAAACTGCGGGAACTTATTGGCCCCACCGAGTATGTTATTGAGCTCCAGGTAAAATCATAGCTGAACCTATGTTCTAATATCTTTTAGACACACATGGCTCGACCCTGATGAAAACATCAAGCTACGGCACCAAATCACAGACCTCCTCGGAGCCATAACCAGCTCCATACTGCCCAACCTTGAAGAAGTCGGTAGTATGAGTCTTGTGGCATACCGTGAGAAACTTGACCCAAATTCAAAATACCGCTTCGTTGATTTCATTCGCCAGCTTCTTCTAGCACGAGAGGCAAACCTGCGCATCCAGCGAGCCGAGCGAAGTTGGTACGGCGGGATCACCAAGCGCGCCATCTACGATATGGTGGCAGCTGACTTATTCGCAAGACATATGGAGCCCCAAAATGGCCCTGAGCAAGGCTATACGCCCTCTCCCAGTTTAGTTAAGCAGCAGCTTGATGGCGTTATCAAATTTGCGGATGAGATGCAATGGCCATATGCAGACGAGATTCAGCAGGCAGCAAGAATACTCCAAAACACGAAGGTCGATGAAATGAACATTGATTTGCGTGTCAGTGACTGGATATGCGGTTGGGTGCTGCCTGGTGGAACATTCTCCATGATACTTGTTGCGGTGTTATACAACCTTTCGTCAACGTTACGAGGCCACTTGCCTGTCGGGGCTATTCAGATCAAACTAGGCTGCTTTGGCATAGTTTTTCCAAATGCCTCCTATTGGAGTGTTCGTTCAGTATTGGGCAAGGTTTTGGCACCACTTGCCCTTGATTCAGAATCGGGTCTTTCTCAGGTCAGGTGTCTGGGTGGGTGGGTTGGGCCATGTCTTTCAGTCTCTCTTCCTGATTGTGCCTTTGGTAGGCTGGTCACGCTGTCAGGACACCCACCTCCTTCCGTGAATAGCCAAGACAAAGAAACAACAAAGCACAAGAATAAACAAGAGCATGGTGCTGCATGGACTCTGCCAACACCGCCCAAGTTGTCCACCGACGCAGCTGTACTCCAAACTGTTCGCCTCTCAAAGGCACCACCAAGCCCCGAGACAATGGCAAAAGATGCAGAAAGCTTCACTGCGCGGCTTGATTTCCGACTAAGCCGCAGTCAGATCTTCGCGACATTCACACTCTATACAAACAGCGTGTTCATTGCTGCCCCTCCGTGTCAGGGCACACACAAAGTAGACCTACATGCCTCGGAGAGATACACTTTCGCAGTACGAGGGGTAGAGGAGTTGGCACAGGTTTCAAGGAAAGACGGTAGCTTCGCAAAAATGGCCATTCTGGTCGTCAATGCTACAGGTGGCCCAGCCAGCGAGGTATTTGCACGGGCATGGTGCTGTCATACAGGAACCAATGCAGTGATATGGAAGCGTGAGGGAGGAACGTGTTGCTTCAAATGTGCACTGATGTTGGCATCCAAGGATGGACTGGCTATGGGGGTGCTGGTTGCGACATGATGATATTTACAAATATTGCTAACCAAACCTTACATAATATCTTGGTATAATATACCTTTTGAGCTTCAAATTGAGACATTAAATGTAATTCCTCATTAACGCCGGCCTCTCAGAATCTTCGCTGATGGGGTGAAATGTCAGTATGAGAGTAGGGTACATGTGAATAATCGACGGTGCATGAGGAGGGGGGACGAACTCGTAGAATGGGAAAGACCAAAAGGGTTACATACCTGGATTTATGTCTCAGGTTGAGGTGCAACTTGCATCCAGGTCTTCTCCGAAACTTATGGCAGAGCGGTGAAGCTGAGCGGTCAATGTCTCAACGATTCAGCGTATTCAGGCCTTGACATTTTCCACAAAACTGAGAAACTCTTAGTCCCGTTGCTAGGACCTATTAATCCCATGGGAATTTTGAAATTCTAGTCCACTTTGCACTAGTCCCACGGGACTATCCGCGGGACTCATAGGAATTCCTATGGTCCCGTGCTAGCATAACTCTGCCAAGAATTATCTAAAACGGATAGATAAAATTCTTCGTTATTATAATAAAATACTTTTTTACGCCTATACTAGTCTATTTATAATCAATGCTACTTTCAGCATTTGTGCCGGGGCGGCTGGATTCGACCGCCCCTTCGACCAGGTTTAGCGTCTTGGTCACACCGCTCCCCATTTCGGTTTCGTCCATCCAAATCATACCAGTGAAGCTGGACGCTTCGTTAAATTCATTTCACCTCATTAAATTTCCGTCCTCACTTTCATCGCATCCCTATTCAAGCCAGTCTGCCTTGGTGGAAATGTAATTAGTCATAGAACACAGTGGCATGGTGATCCCCAGGCAGACACGGGGTGATACCTTGGCCATCAATATTCATCGTCACTGAAACTCATTTTTATCCAGATATTCGATACACACTTTTTGAACTTGAGTATTTTTGTTCAATATGAAAGCACGTAGACATGAAATCGCTCGCCCTCAACTTAAACGGTTTTAAAAAGAGTCGTAAACATGGAAAGCTAGACTCCCTGGTAAAGGGAAAGAGGTCTTGAATAAAGTATTTCAAAATAATTTAATTTAGAAAAACTGCTTGTAATATTCCTATTGGTCTGCCCTGCGGAAAACCCTCTCAAGTGATTGCTTTAACCTCTATATGTGATAAACATGAACCGTCTAATTGTTGAGAGGGTATAATTTTCCGTTCCTCATTTTCTTGAATATCCCTTTTTACTGCGTTGAATAACCTCAGGGTATCTTTTGTTCTTCACCATCCTTGTTCATCTCTTGGGTGATATAAGAAATCAGTGCTTCAAACTTCTGGTCAAGCATGTTGGCTGCAACTTGAAGCTTTTCGTCCTTATTCACCCCTGCAATTAGGCTGCTCGGTAAATAGTAGACCACCTCAGTGCCTTGACCACTATCCTCTTTTTCCTTCAGTAATAATTCCACAGGTACATAAATTCCCGCATTCAAGTCATGCTCAAGCATAGTGATGGCGATGAGAGGATTTCCCAGGATAATTCTCTTCATTTTCCGTCCATTTCCCACTCCGTACAATGATACCCACGTGTGATTGATATCGTAGAATTGCGTGAAACCGAATCGGCCAACCTTTTTAGTAAAGTAGTCGGTCCACGCAGCTTGCCCTTTTGAAGCCAACTCCCCAAGAGATTCAATGGGAACAGAGCCGCCAATGTCTTTGTTGAGTCTTTCAAGAACGACTTCATAAGGAACTGGTGTCAAAATGGTGACTCTTGTACCATTGAAAGTTTCTGCAATTCTGGTTGTCATATTGTGCAAAATGGCTTGGGTATTCAAATATATTAGGATTCTGAAACAGCTTCGGGAAAATAGGTTACAAGTGTTATTTGGAAAAGGGGATAATTCTAATTTGAAATTGAATGCTAGTTCAATGGTACTTATATATGTAAGAAGGGTGGCATCATCACTTAACTCTATTCAGTGATTTATAAGCTATTGATAACCAAGAGATTTCACATAATTGGTAAGCGGGCGCGTGCGCGCAAACCCGAGCGCCGCACCCAAAAACACCATATTAAAAGCGATATTTAACAACTTGATTGTTCAACAACAATAGCTTAGCAGACGACTTAATTATATTCTGATACTATTTAGGGCATGACTAGCCTATTTATGGAGTTTTAACAAAGTTCGAGATCTACGAATTTCGATACATATATAAATTGTGTCTGATACGTCGTCGTAGTATAAGTTTGTGTAAGTGCTTAATTAATTGTTGAATCTCAATCTAAGCTAATCTATGTTATTAATTATAACTATAAATAATGTCATAGTAATAATCAAATAAAAAGAATTCGTCATTGTCGAATAATCAAGTTGTAAGAATAATGAGTCTACTATGGTGTTTTAGGGTGCGGCTCTCGGTTACATGCGGCGCCCACTTACCAATTATTATCCTTACCTCCCTCCCTCTAAGTTTGAAGTCTACGTGCATTGTACTCATACTTGCTGCTCCATAGGTTCCATCGTAAATTTGGCTCCCGTTACACCTAATCTTAAAAAATGTTAGCCCCTAAGACAGTCATCGGTGTGAAGATGACGCGACCGCCTTGGTCAAGATGATATCACGAAGACGCTACCATCGATAGCTAGTGACACATGTACCAGCTTCTGTCCCTCAGTTCTTGTTTCGCAGTAGCCCCTGCTAACAAACTTAATGAGTTACCACCACCACTATACCACTACCACCACCTCCTCTAGGCTCAGTGCAAATTTTCAGGATCTCAACCAAGATCTAGTTAGGTATGTTAGCTTTCTCTATACTAACGCAATTTTCTCGACCATGTTTTTAGTATCGCGCCATAGGGTTTGACCTTTACACGAGCAGCCTGTTATAGAGCTAATCAGCATCGCTAAAAATATAGAGGTTGATATAGAAGCGTAACGACGTTACATACAGGGTAGACCCGCCCCCTGTAATCGGGCCTGACTTCTAAGGGGCGGGTATATCCATCTCCAATATCAGCCAACGGTTGTTAAAAGGAGCTAAAAAAACATACAACAGTCAGGATTCGCTGGTGGTCACCCACCCAACTACTAACTGACCGGCGTGTGGCTTAAGTACGGCTGAGCGGACGGGAAGCCCTGTTCTCCACACCCTGTGGTCGTATGTACTGGTTTTTGTTGAACGTGATTGATATTCTATAATTGTTGAAGTGAAGTCTAAATAGCTTGTCGAATATGAAAATGACTGTATTGGCTAGTCAAGTGCCTATAGTGCTTTTTGGTCTAGCGGTATAGCATTTTTGACATAACTACATACTATAAGTCCTAAAATCCTAGCTGTCACGGTGGTGAGAGTGGTAGGAGTGGCGGGAATGGTGAGAGCAACACCATCTAGACGGATAGAAATCTAGAAATTATTGAGATGCCCAAGTCATCAACACCTGGGTGCCTTGAAGTTAGTATCCTGTACTAGAAACACGCCACGAAACACTTGAATGAGCTGTTTAAAGGAATTTTCGGTTAGTTTTTGCTAGGTCAGTGTATACTCACTATTTCCATAGCTCCTACTAATCTAATCTGCATCTTTCGGTGAGTGTCTATAAATTCTCTTAATCCTAATATGTGATCTTTACCACTAGGAAAGGGCTATTTGATCAAGCTATTTGATGAAGACATTTAGAGGGCGCATAGATGGTTAAACTAAGAAGAAAAATGGGTCAGGATCGTTCCATTTCCTGTTGCTTGCTACCTTGGTTATAGTAAAACAACCTACGTGCATCTCAAAACTATCATAGTCTAAACAGCCCAGACTTATATAAAGCGAAGGCAAGTCTACTAGATCATAGCCAAATTAGAGTGAGTTCATCGCTACCAAAATGCCTAGTACATGTGAAGACCTGAAGGAAAAACCCAGATCACGTGGTCTCGTTTGCATTGTTTGCCTCTCTCTGTATTTAGTCTGCCTGCTTTCCTTCCTCTTTTTCTTCTTCTCTTCTCTCTCCAGTTTGAAGATTCTTGTAAGATGTCACTTCTTCTTCTTCGTTGAATCGAACCCTCACAACTAGAGAGCTAGATTAGAATGATTAACTAATGCTTTGCCTCTATTTTTAATACTTCTTCCATTTTCACTTCTGTCTTCTATTACATCCGATACACCTTTATCTATACAACCCACACCAAGTAATGGCGCTAGTAGGATCAGTAATGCGGCATCACCATGGGCCACTCGATCGTGGACTCTCTGCTTTATCCTTTGTCTAGCATTCAACATCATTTTTGACTAATAGTGACGCCGTGGGCGGGAAAGTCTAGCAATACAATATTATGCACACTGTGGCCGCTGTCTCGGGAACACGGCTGTCTTAGAAACCCGTTATGATGGTATCCGCAATGCAGACCTCCGTGGCCCTAGCAACTCCGACATGATGCAAGAGCAATCGACTACTAGGTATAGGGCTGCACTTGAGGGCTGCGTTTTACAAGTGACACAGGACATAGGCTGCTGTAGATAAGTAAAGACTCTTCCTCTGTCTCTTTGTCCTTTTCTCAAATTGGATAGCATCGTTGTTTTCTTTCTTAATCTGACACCCAGTCACACCCACGCATTTTAAGAGCGACTTGAGATGATACAATATATAACTTGAAGATTCACGGCAAATTGGCCGAGGAGAAGAGAACGACATTAGCAACGCTTTGGATACATTGTGATCGTCATGAACAGAACAAATATTCTTTCAATTTCGAGCACAATTCTCAAATACGGTGCTTCTGTGAAGTGTGATCGTAGCGTATGTCGAAGCTGTTCGTCCTATGTGAGCCTGTTGCTTCGAGCTGCCTCAACCGCACCATCAGAAGCCGTAGCTTTCTATACATTTGGACAGAAATATGAACTATGTTGGGACTATGAGGAATAGTGCAAATAGGACAGGGTTTGCGCTGTAGAACAATTAAAATCGAGACTACGACTGTGCGATAATGATACCGACACCATGGATAGCACAGTTGCCATGAGTCGCAATCACATGCCGTTATGGTCGCGTTTCTTTGTCTGATGCACAGACGGATGCGCCGAGGCCCTCCCACCTGGAGGCTTGCCAACGACATTCCTGTCTGCTCAGGATTGGCTGCACCCCGGCAAACGGAGCCACGAATGAAAAAAAGCTCCAACTCGTGAAGCTTGATCGAGATTGGATCCGCGTTTTACTTTCCCATGCCTGCTCTGCTTGATGCAAGTAATAAAAGGTGGTGAAAAGAGGGAGCGCATCGTTCTTGTAGTCCACCATTCATGCGCTCCCCATTCACCTAGATGGTGGTCTTCAGGTATAAGTGAAAAGGAATATGCCATTCCTTCTGTCTCTCTAAACAGGACATCAGGTATAGCGGTGCGTCGAGTCTCAATACTATTTCAGGCCTTGTATTTTCGATGAGCTTTTCACAGTCAGGTGAGTGATGTAGAGGGAAGGTCGTTTAAACAGAGGAAACTACCCACCTAAAATAATCAGACAGGGGTGCTATAACTCTCGTTCCTTTCATTGGCAATGGCCACAATGTCATGAATAATAAAATTGACAGGTCTATCTGGTTTATCAGTCTGCCCTACGCCAATTTCCTGCCTCGATGGCGAGTGGGAACGAATTACTGAGCGACCGATGCGAAACAAAGTTGGATGTGTTGACTCACAACACCCGTCATGCTTGTGAATGCGTCGATTGGTGGCTGTAGGGCTGTTATGAGACGTCGTTGTGTGGATGTGCCTATTGTTCGAGATATGTACCAGATCAGGTTCATCAATCGGAATAGTGCTGATAGCGCTGGTGAGGGTGCGTGGAAGGTGACACCCAACTTTAACAACGGGGATGGACAATCCATGAACAGCAATGCTGCAGATCACCAGTAACCACACAATTATGTTGACAGTTTCAGCAACTTGCTGTGAATCATCGCGCACCTTGGCATCGACAGTAATCCCTAAAAGAGATTCTCGGCTTATCGAAAGGTAGAAGATTGCGCCAACCCCAATGGGACCAAAGAACCCAACGATTCCGGCTTGTGCAAGATGCTCGATCTGATGGATATGCTTGTGCATAGCAAGTACGATCGGCAGCCGTCGAATCAAAAGAATGAGAATCCCTAGGAAGACGAGCCGGTATATGGAAATGATATCATTATTTAGGAATGAAAACCATAGGCAAACTGCACCGAACCATATAAAGACAGCTAAGTTAAGAAGCATATCGATGGTCGGTTGGAGTGAGTCGTCCATTGTCTCAAGGCGGTATCAATTGCTATCACGGTTAGGTATACCTTTCATAGATTTGACAGAGAAGACTTACTCCTGTGTGAACACATTTCCAGCAATGAAGCATGCAAGTAGGTCATCAGTACCAATCAGCCCACATGTTCCCACAATAAATAACCTTAGTCAAATTAGCAAAACAGCATCTAGCAGCATAGAGGGACCTACTGCGAGGGCGATAGCAAATACTAGGAAGCTCTCTCGATCTAAATATCGCTTTTCTTCGACCCAACGAAGTAGCTTCCGTGACAGCCATCCAGATACGGTTCCGTAAAGAACACTCAGAAAATAGTGTAGAACCAGGTCTCGTAGAACCACAGCCCCATTGCCTTCCAAACTCCACCGTTATAACCTTGCCCGTCCCTCCCCGTAAACCTAAGCAGATAAATTCCAAAGAAAAGGAACGGGTGACCAAGGCCATCATTGGCGCCGGACTCAGTCACGATGATCCTCTGCAGCGGACGCGGAATATGTTTATCTACAAACTTGCCCTTAACTATAGAGTTGGAAAGGACCGGATCCGTCGGGGTCACACAGGCACCTACGATTAAAGCTTGAAGGAACTTAGAATCAGGAACCATGGCCCAGACGACGAAGCTGCTGAAAATCCACATTGCAATCATCCCCGGGCCCAGCAGCAACGACAGGCTTCGCCATTCGATTTGAAGATAGCGCTTAGGGAGTTGTACACCCGCTAGGGCCTGTTAGTGTGGTAATATTTTTATTACAATACGGAAGGCCCGGTTAGTACTAGGGCGTACGAATATCCTGCGATCTGACATTACCAAATAAGATCGAATTGCTGACGCCTTCCTCTACAGAACTGGTTGGCCTGTGATTACCATGGGGCATCGGGACTTTACCCCTAAGAGGAATATAATGCAAAAACCCAGATCCAAACACCTCAATGATTCTAGTTCTCTTTTTGTCCTTGTTTTTCTATGGCGCTTGATGACCTCTGTCTGCAGAGCAGTGATGATTCGACAGTAAAAAAGCTCGCGATGATCTTTTCTTTCCTAATCGACGTGCTTAATCGAGGGATTTCTTTCGGTGAATCCGGATCCCACGCGCCATTACCGCATGGCAAAAACTTGGCTTGAACACCAAGAAGACGGTTCAAATTTGGTTGAAATACGAACAATATGGAATGGAGCCTGTATGGCGAAAATAAATCCCTCATCACGCGTCCCGAGCCCAGATCAGCTAGTGGTTCTTTCTCTAAGGCCATTCTGGCTGACCGAAGGAATCATGCTGGACCTTCCTGAAACAAAATCCCTAGATTATGTTACGCTACAGCTCGGGTCGTTTCTTTTCTCCACACGCCTATCCCGTATTGATGGATTTCCTTTCCTTGCGGGATTTTCTTGCCCTATCTCAATAATCTCCAAAATCAAACTCCGTATGCTTAACACTTTTTACACATTTGCTTCTATGAATTTACGTAAATAGCCATCAAGGCCGAAAAAGTTAGCGTTTGCATCGTGTCTCTATTCGTGCTAGGAGAGACAGACGCGGTTCTATAAGCAGGGTCGCTGCACTATCGAACCAGCGTTCAATAGTCTGCTTCAGCTTTGTTTTTCCAATACCATCCCTGATAGCAGCTTTTCTTCTATCTACGATAGCAGCCATTTTACTCATTTGGCTTCTCCTTCGGGCCGTCTCTTCTATATTTCTGTCTGGGCATGTATAAAGACAAGTCAAGCACCCAGCTTGATCAGGATCCCGTAGAAAATGCAAAGAGTCATCCCCAACCCGAGCAGTATGGAGTCAGCATGCAGCAGCGGGCTATATCCTTCGGCCCCGACGAGCGGCGTGGACGGAGAGGATCCAAGCATCGGCGATCAATCTCGCGCTCGCGTTCTCGCAGCCGTGCTCAATCCGTTTCTAGCATTCCAATCGAGTTCCGTCGGATGAGTTTCCAAATCGCCGAATCTGAGACTCGTGAGAAATCCGAGGTGGACCTGAAAGGTGGCGAAAACAAGAAGGGGGAGACCCCTGATGATTCGCGATATTTCGAGAGTCTTCAGTTTCATCACCAGTACATTGACGCCCTCTATCAACACTTCAACAGCACCATCGATGGACTGTCTTCCGGGGAAGCCGCTTCCCGTCTCGCTAGCAATGGCAAAAACGAACTGCCACACGTTCCAACGAACTACCTAAAGAGAATTCTAAAGTATGTCTTTGGTGGATTCTGCTCGATTCTCTGGATTGGTGTGATTATCTTCTTTATCTGCTGGCGCCCTCTTGGAGATCCGGATCCGGCACCATACAATCTGGGCCTTGCTATCCTGGTCTTGATTGTGATCTTTTTACAGGCCTCCTTCTCGGCATTTCAGGATTGGTCCACTGCTCGCACTATGAAGTCTATTCTGGACATGGTTCCGACTGATGCAATGGTGGTTCGATCTGGCGAGACTATGAAAATCTCTGCCGCCGATGTGGTTGTGGGAGATATTGTCAAAATAAGCGTGGGCAACAAGGTACCAGCGGATCTCCGTCTTCTCGCTACATCTGGAGATACCCGTTTTGACCGTTCTATGTTGACGGGAGAGTCCGAAGACGTTGACGGTGCCACTGAGATGACAGACAGCAATTTTTTAGAGACGCGCAATGTTGCCTTGATGGGAACTATGGTTACCAATGGAAGTGCCACGGGCATTGTGATCCTGACCGGACAGAATACTGTTATGGGACATATCACAGTTTCGTCTACTTCGGTCAAAGAGCAGCCAACACTCATTCAGCGTGAGATTACTCGATTCGTCAGAATTATTGTTGTTTTGACGGCGTTTCTGACCCTCTTGATTCTCCTCACCTGGGTTGGCTGGCTTCGGGTTAAACACTTCCAGTATATGAATGTGATTGACATGCTTGACGACGTGATGGGTTGCGTTGTGGCATTTATTCCTGAGGGTATGCCTGTGGGAGTTGCCCTCACTCTCATGCTCGTGGCGACGCGCATGAAGAACAACAATATTCTCCCAAAAGGTCTTTCCACGGTGGAAACACTCGGTTGTGTGAATGTCATTTGCTCCGACAAGACCGGTACTCTGACCCAGAACAGGATGAGAGTTGTTACAGCTACATTTGTGGACAAAGTCATGTCGGCTGAAGAGGCTATTCCAACTACCCTAGAAGGAAGCTTGAAGCCTCTTATGGATCTTCACAAGGCTGCAGCTCTGTGTAATGACGCTACTTTCGATACTGCGACTGTCAATTACCCCGTTTCGGAGAGGAAGGTCCTCGGTAACCCCACCGATGGAGCTGTGCTCAAATTTGTGGAAGAGGCTCAGCAAGGCGCCGTCCGGGAGTTGAACGAGAAATATCAGCGGGTTTTCGCCATTCCTTTTAATTCCAAGAATAAATGGATGCTCACCCTACACAAGACTGAGACATCCGACCCAGGAAACAACGGCTATCTGCTCCTGATGAAGGGCGCATCGGATATTCTGTTGCCGCATTGCAATTCTTACTGGTCCTGCATGACCAATACTGTCCGGACACTCGACGATACAGCTAAACAACAGTTTGCTGCAGCTCAAGAACAAATGTCTCGCAAAGCCCAGCGGGTCATTCTTCTCTGCCAGCGCTCCTACATGCCAACCCAACCTTTTGGAACAAATGCTTTTGGCGATGAGGTTTCAGGCTTCTGGAATTGCTGATCTCACTCTGATTGGCATGTTCGGTATCATTGATCCCCCTCGCCCGGAGGCCGCCGCAACCGTGGCATCTTGTCGTCGCGCCGGAGCTCGTTTTTTCATGGTTACTGGTGATCTTGGTCTTACTGGGGCTGCTATCGCCCGTGAAATTGGTATTTTCAATGGCACAGCCGCACCTGATACCTTTGAAACCATCGTGCAAAGGCGGAGCTTTAACGATTCTTCCGCTTCCCAGTTGTCAAACGAATCTGATCCGAGATGGTCACAGACCAGCCTGCTTCTTGAAGGCCCTTCCATCTCGCAGCTCACAGACAAGGATTGGGATTTGGTTTGTCAATATGAAGAAATTGTATTTGGCCGCACTTTGCCAGACCAGAAGCTGCGTATCGTCAATGAGTTCCGGGCGCGCGATAATGTCGTTGCAGTGACTGGAGACGGCGTGAATGATGCACCAGCCATGCGCGCTGCTGACGTTGGCGTGGCCGTGGTCACTGGCAGCGATGTGGCTCTTGAAGCTGCGGATTTGATATTGATGGATAAATTCGATTCGATAATTGAAGCAATTCGCCTCGGACGTCTGGTATTCCAAAATCTGCAGAAAGTAATCAGCTATCTTCTTCCTGCGGGCTCGTGGTCCGAGATTTGGCCAGTGCTTCTCAACGTTTTTTTTGGCGTCCCGCTCCCCCTGTCTTCCTTCTTGATGATCATCATTTGTGTTTTCACCGATTTGTTCTGCTCACTGTCCTTGATTATGGAACAGCAGGAGTTTGACTTGCTTGATCTGCCACCCCGTAATCACAAAAAAGATCATCTGATCAATTTGAAGGTCTACATCCAAAGCTATCTTTTCATTGGCGTCCTAGAAACTATCTGCGCGCATGCTATGTTCTTCTATTATTATTGGAAGCATGCTGGCATTCCCGCCAGTGCCCTTTTCTTCGCCTTTGAGAAGTACGCGGATGGATTCTACGGCTACACAGAGGCCGAGTTGACCCATTTCAACGTTGTTGGTCAGAGTGTTTACTTCATTGCCCTTCTCATAATGCAGTGGGGAAACATTCTCAGTGTCCGCAACAAACGACTTTCCATTCTGCAGGCAGATCCCATTCGCAAGCAGCGCCGCAACCCGTGGCTTATTGCGAGCATGGTTATCAGTCTATCCATTGCGATCTTTGTCACGGAGGAGCCGGGAATTCAGCAGATCTTTGGCACTGGCGCTGCGCCTCTAGAGTTTTGGTTCATGCCTATTCCCCTTGCATTGGGAATCCTGTTGATGGATGAACTTCGCAAGCTGTCCGTGCGGGTCTGGCCGAAGGGAATTACCGCACGCATTGCGTGGTAGCTTTGCGTGGAGAAAGAATCCTGGGGTTCTTCTTGAATGGTTTGAGGGGGTTGGGGTCTAATGTGATTGAGATCACTAATGATTATGGAGCAGATGAGTGCAAATTTACCGGAGAGAGCAATCTCGTGATTCAGCCGGCGTGAAAGCCGGTGTGAAATGTGGAAAATCTATATTGAGGGACAGCATCTTCTAGACGCAAATACCCCACATCCATGAACATTTCTGGTGTTATTCTATTTTTCCACCATAGAACACTATAATGCTAGTCGCTTCCTGTGTTTACGAAACAGTGACATCTCTAGGTGTTGATCCCCGCGCCTACAAGCATCTATACGGCCAACCCTAATCGCTAGTAACTAAAGCCTCGTAGAAATGGGTCCACTAGACTTTAATTGTCAATCAGCCATAGCACACTAGCATAACGGAATGGCTCAGAAAAATCCCGCGAATTCAGTCAGGTGACCTACGTGCCCGCAAGGGAGAATCAGCAGAAGCAGTTCTTTTTACTTTTAAGTTTCCGGAGACCAAAATATGGAGCGCTAAAACTTCTTGCTGCTTGCTGCGGGTTGAAAAAACGCAATGGCGCCAAGATCAACAAATGACACCCAAGTTTCCGTTTATCCTCCATTTCTGATCCCAGTTGTGTGTGTTGTGTTAGTCCTAGGTCTAAGGTCAGCATCTGAACTGAAAGTTTGGTTTTGGTCACACAGGCTAAAATATGTATCCAAACAGTGTTACCGTAGGTTTCAACTTCTGGTGCCGTACCCGAGCACGTTCAAGGCAGCACCTGCAATCCGAAGCTGTAGTGGCCTTTGTTCAGATACGGTCTCATTTATCCAAGGTGCATAAGCAGCACTTGCCGACAATCGATGATCTAAATACATATGTACCAGTCACGACATACAAGACCTGGAAGATCACCCACTCCGAAAAAAGGTGGATTGTACCTCTTCCTGCTTGTTAATACGTTATCCTCGGAATTTAAAAGGTCGTGCTAACGAGTAACAGAGTAATCCCTGTTCACGCTGCAGTTATGAATGTCCCAGCAATAACAACCGACTTGAGCCCAAAGTCCACCCTGCCTTGCTGTCCAAGCTCAGTCTTTCAGCCTTTTTCTAAGAAGGATCCGAAGAATGAAGATCTGAAGACAGCTGCTACTTTAAACAACGCAGGCAGTTATTCTCGACCCTTTAAGAACTCGACATTCATGACGTCGAGTGTAAGTATAACAACTTCAGACGAGTCATGTGCCATATGCTTGGAGAAAATGGAAGATGAAGATAATGTTCGTGGACTTGATTGTGCCCATGTGTTTCACGTTTCCTGTGTTGATAAGTGGTTAAGCCGTCGACGATCGTCCTGTCCAGTCTGCAGGGTTGACTACGAATTTCCTGTCGTTACGGTTTAATGATATGATGTCTCGATATAGTTTTATTTTTTGAGTAATGGACCCGATCTGTAGATCATCAATTCTTAACAGCTCGTAGCAGTAAACAAGGTGTTTGAACATATTCATCCATTTCAGCGACTATTCTTCACATAGCGCTTTCCCTACGTCGTTCAAGCACGCTGTATAGTCCGTGACCAGCCCCACCCAGCCCACCAGTCATTGTTGTAGGTTCAGGTGTCTTCTTTACGATCTCTGCTGTCGTACGATCATTGCCACCGGACTACGACTTTTTCGGAAGGGGCCATTATGGGATGCGCCAAGGGGCGAAAACCTTCTGGACGGCGGTTGCCCCTATTACAGTATGTATGAATGGCTTGGGGCAAATATTTTGCCATTGGTGTAATGTGCCTCGTTTCTACGAAAAGCTTGTCCAAGGGCTGGGGCTATCCGTAGCCGAGCTTCCATACCGGGATGTCAAAGCCAACTGGCTGGTCTCAGATCAGCTTTTTCAAGAAAATTCCATGAAAAGACATGGGAAGAGTGGAATGTTGTCTTTGACGGCACAGTTGCTTGCGCCATGCCGGTACTGGAACAAGATGAGCTGGAGATTGATCGATACGAACAGCGGATTCCATTCCATCTGCTTGACACACCCGATATGCCAGTCCAAACAGATCACGGAGGCTGATCTGGCGGTGGCTTGGTGCCTGGTTATGGGTTAGGGTGTTAGTCCGATATCAAGCAGATTCCTGATGACGCCGACTCTTTATTCAAGGATGCAGCTGCATACTATGGATCTAAGCGTGGAAACCACCCACGTTCGGATCAGAAAGTCCCTCCCTCCAGCTACGGTCTGATGGTGCGCTATGACTCATTCAACTTCCAACACCTGATCTCTCCACGGCCATTGTTGATAGTAGCCGGATCTCCAGGCCTCAGACTCTTCACTACAGTGAAACCGCAGTTGCTGCAGCCCGTCAAACTTAGTCCCCAAAAGTAGAACTCAAAAGCACTCTTATCAAACGCAGAGCCGTATGTGTAGTTCCGTCATGTGCGGTCCTGGTCACAATACAGTTAAGACAGAATTCATGGCCGCAAGCACTTGTGAACATAGAGGCGTAAAATTCCTCAAGGCTTGAGACACATTCCTTTGTCATACTAGGCGTTCGAGATGGAAGCCATGATCTATCTCTTCTACTGTGTATGCACAAAAAACTAGCGTCGCTAATATAGCTCTTGTTGGGCCTTAATAGGTCCTATTCAGTAGACCTGCCGATGCCTCAACACCTAACGGTAGTACATCCATTTACATGGGTTAACATCAGAATAGATCTTGATCTCTTAAGCATCTGAAAATATTTAAAACTCTCACTAATATCTCGCTCTACTGTACATTCGTTAGACCAGATTAGTTCAAGATAATTCATAGTCCGAAACAAAGCGAAGATGCTCTAGCGCCGATATTCATCAACATTCAGAATGAATGAATGATAAAACCTAACCCCTTCCATGAGTCCGTCAATGGGCATCCTCTCATCCACAGTATGCATTCTCGTACCCCGGGGATCATGGCTCGCTCTCCATGGACTCATTCGGTAGATCTGATTGGTCAAGTCCCAGTAGTATCGAGTGTCCGTGTTCCCTAATAAGATCGTTGGACATACAATGGTATGTTCCCCAAACACTCCCCGTATAGTGCCAGCAAGTAACTCAAATCGAGGATCGCTTGAGTCCGAAATTGGCGATGGATCAAGATCGTACTCGGAAATCAGGGTCAGTGTTCCAGTGGGATCCTCCAGCTCAGACACAACCTCACCGAATCCGTGAACTGCAAGGCGGTGCTTCTCGGCCCAGGGGTACAAAAGGCAAATGTAGTGGTCTTTCACGATGCGCACTGAATCATGAGGGGCGATTCGATGGTTGACCATAGCGTAAGATGACTCTGGAAGTGAGTTTACTATACTTAGATTAGTCTATGCCTTGGTTGTAAACCGAGAGTCATACCTTTGTCTCCTCCGTGTATGACGGTAACTGCAGTGCTGGTCTGAATTAAAGGTCGCAGATCTTTTGCCTGGAAAATATGTTTGAAACATTCATCAGAAGCCTTATATATGGAAGGATCGGCTGAATGTTCTGAGGCTTCACTGCAATATTGAGAGATCTGTTGGTGGGAAACTAGTCCAGGATTGTTCTTCGAGACCGTCGGAGTGAAAGGGTTGTCTTCAATAATCTGAACTGCCTGGGCAAGAAAGCCGACTATTCCAAAGTGAGAATTCGTGTTTCGATTCAACCTCGTGGGTATAAAAACGCACTGCTAGTATGGTCTGGAGGCTCTTGAGAGAGCCCTCCCGGAGTATCGACTCTCATGGTAACGTCCAGATACCCTTTTTCTGAAGTGGCGGGCAAGGCGAACTCCCTGCCGTGTCGTTCTTCCACGCTAGCCATGCCTTCATCGAACTAACAGAAGAGGACAATTAGTAGCCACAGTTGATCGCAAAACTTTTCAACTTACTATTAGTTCGATCCCATCCTTGCCATATTGCCGGAGTATCTCTTCAGCCAAACATCTTGCGCCATAGCTTTTCTCAGCGCCACCTTCCTCATCGAATCCCAGCGCCATAATGATTGTCCGTGCAGGCTTGAATTTAAAGGCCAGAAGAAGGTCCAAGGTCGACAATATGGCCACGACGTTAGCCTTGTCGTCCTCGGAGCCGCGACCCCAGATATATTTCCCATCGTAGTGGCCAGAGAAGGGCTTGTGTGTCCAATTTTCCGTGGTCCAAGTAGTCACGGGCACCACGTCTGAATGTGCCATCAGGAGCAAGGGCTTGAGATTTCGGTCGGAGCCCTCCCATGTGAAAAGATGCGCATGTTCATTGATCACAGTATGTTTGAGCTCCGTGAACCTATAATAAAATGTTAACTTAAAGCCATAACCCGTGCTTTTTGAACTTCGCTCACAGCGATGGATATGTATCTCGGAGCCACTTGGAGAACTGGTAGAAAATCTCCCACCGAGAGTCTTCACCCACATGGCCCATTCCATCGCCAACCTCAGTCGGGATGCGGACTGCTTCGGACAGGCGGCGAGCAATTTTCTCCTTAAAACTGGGCTTGTTTATTATATCGGACAAACTAGAAAACAATTCCTTATGTTGAGATGAATAGAGACCATGAAGTCTCTCTGATGGAGTAGTTGAACGCATGTCGATGTCTGCCTAGGCTGATTGTGGAACGAATCTGCCCTTGTTGTACTCAAGTCAAAATATCCAAGCCATTCGGGTAGTAATTTAAGCGATGGGTATAAGAAAGCGTCTTAAATCTCCGGGTTTGACTGATAGGCTTTGGTAGCAAGTCTTCCCTTATCGGGATCTGGACTAGTGCAAGGCTTTGCTATTCGTCTTCGAAACCGACTCCTGTTAAGCCAAAAGCTTACCGCCCCTATGGTCTTATCGCTGGCTAAGTGGGGTGATTCCTTAAACGGCAGTAATTAGGAGAAGTCAAGGTTTACACTGGACAGCAGCGTAACTATCACTCTTAGCTCACCTAATCAAATAATGGTCAGACTCAACAATGCGCTTCATCCACACCCACTCCATACACTGTGCCCCTTTATATTCACTCCAGGGTTTTGTTTTCTTGTGACTTTCGTTCAAACATTTGCCGACGCCGACCGAAACCACGCTTATCCCAAAATGGGTATAACTGGGAGAGCCGATACACTAGCGCGATAACTTCGGCTAGGAAAAAAGGCGATAGTGATTCCAGAAATCGCATTTGACCGTGCATAAATTCATAAACCCCATCCTCTCTGCCCACCGATTTCGGAAAAGGTTGGGTATTCCATTATCACCTCTAGAGGCGACTACTTCGTCGCTGAGGAATTAATATGAGCTCGATCCCGAGTTTTCCTATATTTCATCGAATGCCCTCGGCCCTCATAACCGTCTCCGACAGCACCTAGCAACCGTGCCCAATTGCGATTTTCCATTGCCGAAGCGCCTGTGCAACACCACAAGTAGAAAATGTCCCAGCGCGTTATTCCCTCGGGAAGCTCTAGCCAGAGCCATGCTCCCCCCGAACCGCAGCACGAGCCCTCTGCAACCGATAATGACCAAGGTCTCAAGCGAACACATACCTTCTGGAGCTGTAAGTCATCAGGTGCATATCCAGTGACGATTGGCTCGTAACAACAGCAGTGATGGCATATCAAACCACGATCCTTTGCTCTTGGAGCTGCAACATTGTTCTATATTACTACGTTTTTACCCTCGGCGGACCAGCATCATTCCTGTGGGGCACGTAAGGTTATCCAAATTCTCCACGCGAAAGAACTATCGGTACTAAGTACTATGCAGCGCTGCGGTTGCTATTGGACAGCTTCTTGTCATGACTTCATTAGCGGAATATTGTGCTCTGTGGCCCAGTGCTGGAGGACAGCAATTTTACACGCAGGTATGAGCTTCGATTCGAAGGCAGATCTCAAAACTTAACACGCCATAGATGGTCGCCCCCGAGAAATATCGCTTCTTTTTGTCCTATGCCGTCGGTTGGTGTATTGTGGTAGGTGAAGTATCGGTGGCCGCAGGATGTGCTTTGAACAGCGCCGAAATTGTATCCACATTTGTCCAAATTACGCATCCCGAAGTAACCTGGAAGGTATGCCTACCGACCAAGAAACATGAGAAAAGTTCTTTTTAACGCGAATTTTACACCAGCCATACATGACATTCCTACTGTATTGCGGATTCCTAATTTTGCCCTTCACCACTGGGGTTTTTGCCGGGTCAAAGTATCAACCGGTACTCCAGAAGGTTGGCGCCGCGTTCAATCTTGGGTCTTTTCTTATCTGGGCCATTGTTTTCTTGGTCATGGCCCCCAAGACCACTGCAAAATTTGTCTTCACCAAATTCATCAATACAACTGGCTGGAGTAATGATCCCTGGGTCTTTGTCCTGAGCTTCTATACGCCTCTGTACGGGCTATACGGTACAGATGCTGTGATGCATTGTAGGTTCCTTTGTCAGAGTCAGATCATGCTCCTGTACTGATATTTATTAGTGGCTGAAGAAATGAAAAACCCTTCCCGAGACGGCCCACGTGTCATGATCTGGTCGATGGTTTGGGCTGGAGTTTCGGCTTGGGTCTCTGCTGTGATCATGTGCTTTACTGTCGGTCCTGACTGGAAGCCACGCCTTGAATATCTGTCGAGTTACCTATCCTGGTTCATGGATGTGACAGGGTCCGTTTATGGAGGTGGAGTATTTTGCGCAATTATCATGATGGGACTGAACGTAAGCGGCTTCCTGCCATTGAGTGTTGATAGCTCTACTAACATCGCCTTAAACAAAGTACTTGATCATTGTGAACCAGTCCACGGCAAGTGCCCGGATTATTTGGAAAATGGCCAAAGAGCATGCATTTCCTGGCTCTAAGTATCTCGCTCCTATTGACCCGCGATTTAACATCCCCATCCGCGCCTTGATTGCTTTCTTCGTCATCAACGTGTTTATTGGACTTCTTGAGATCGGATCCGATCTCGCGTTCTATGCTATTCTCTCTGGCGGTGGTGTCGCACTTCAGGTGTCATACTTGATTCCAATCGCGTGCGTTATGTTCAGGGGGCGCGACAGACTGCTCCCTCCAGGAAGAAAAACATTAAATCTTGGAAACTTTTGGGGATATACGATCAATGCGGCAAGTTTATTATGGAGTACACTTGTCGTGATCCTATATGTCTTCCCCCAGTATCTGCCTGTGGTGAACGACCTTGCGAACATGAACTGGGCCATTGCCATTTTGGGAGCGGTGTTCATTTTCGCCGCTATTTCTTGGGTCACTACCGCCCAAAAGCATTATATGCGATCAAAAGCCCCTTTAATCATCGACAGCCAGGTTCCGGGCACAGTGGATAGTTCTCCTGAAGCAGGATATGTTAAGGCTTGGTCGGCAGTGACAGAGGGAAAGTGATAATTGTGTTTAATGGTAGAAGAAACAAAAAATACGTCGTCGGTCACGCTGATCGGACTCGCAAGTCTGTACCTACCTCGTTTCTGATAGCGATAAAGTGTTGTACATAATTCTACATATTTCTGTATTCTTGTTTATTGACACAAATATGAAAAGGCCTCTTTGAGGATCAAGATTGATATGACTGTCGGCTAATTAGACAAATAATCAAACAGCAATAATTGGTTGGCCACGCTCTTCCCATTGGCGTGCCAGAAGGCACCAATCTTCGTTCGGTCCTTGCCAAAGCTCCTCGAGAAAAGTCGAAAGATTGGTGTAGTGCTCAAATCGAGTGTCAGTACAGATCTGTTCACAAAGGGAACGCACAATCTGTCTCCGCTCCGGGTCTCCATGAGTGACAGTCCCCGCGATAAGAATCGGCCATGGGAAGTTTTGGAGACAGACATCCACATTCTCTATGTTCCTAAGGGCGTGGAACAATTTTGTGGAATGTTCTTTTTCAAGCCGATTGACAGTAGCCTTATCGGTGATACGAAGACGGCCACACGCATAGATCATTCCTGCATGATGGTATAGTTGTGAAACTCGCACAAAATCCGACGACGATGGCTGCTTAGCCGACCCGGTCATTAATGGGCCTGCCGCCATCAGCGTCAATCCGTGTGAAAGGTCAAATTCTGTCTCGAGGTTCAGGAGTGACAGCGTGTGCGTTGGCTGCACATCGCCCTGGTGCTGAAATGAGCACATTGTGATCCGTTGAATGATTTCGAGAAACCTCCCAAACGGAACATCTTGCCCTGGGACCGGTAGAGTCACATGTTCAACATGTCTATGATTAAACAGAGTGGTGCATGCGAGAATGTCATAAGTTGCCAACTGGTTTCGCAGGAAAATTGTCAGTTCATCGTCAGAGGGTCTGCTGAGTGATAAGGTATTGATGAGGACTCTTGCCGCATGTCGATGAGATTGAGCGGGGAAAATCTCGGATTTCAGGAGTGAGTGATTTGAGAGAGTAAGGATGGCGGCAAGTATCGCTTCAATCTCTCTGTTATCGTCTAGAATCTCAGCCCGCCGGCCATCTTCGCTCATCTCTATGAACTGTCGGACTCTATCAGTAATCATGATGACGGCATTTTGCCCAGCAGAGTGTGCAAATGTAGCCTCGAGTTTCAGCTCATGTTGGACGTGTGCTGCAGAAATAGCGAGAAGTGCTAGCCGCAACACAGCATGCGTTTCTGATAACGGCACCACAAGACGCTTATATGGATTGTGCTCGGAATCGAGCCATACCATCAACGGTGCAATGGAGGTGGAATAATGGTGGAGCAGGCGATCGACAATGCGTTCGGGCAAGGGTCGGGTAAGTAGTTCGACGCTCGAATGGCTTGCCTGGTCCTTGAAAGACTGATCAATTTCGTTTGCTTGCAGATCGACCGGAATTGTGCTACTTGTCGATTGCCTGGCTGCTCGAAATGTAGCAAGAGTCCCCAGCCCCTTGTATCGACCACGAATAGCGGCCGCATTGGTCCAGCGAATGAGAGGGCCATAGCCGGGACATTCAACACCCTTGATGTTACATTTGCGACATGATGGGACTGTGCGATCACATTTGATACGCCTCCGATTGCAGACACGGCAGTCTGGGGTACTTGTTATTGAAGTTGGTTTTTTGCTTCAGTGGGCCAAATAACTGACCCTTCGTCACCGTTTGACCATGCGTCCCAGTTTCCATGGGATCATTCCGGGATCCGGCTTACTCGAGTTCAAGACCTCCGAACCAAGCTGGTGGTGGATTACCGAGCGTGACTTTCTTCCCGCCGATCTGGCCTGATACCGGTCCACTTACTGTTGCTCACCAATTAACTACCGCCTTCTGATTTTGGCATATCGTTGGTAAACTAAATACAGGAAAGAGGCAAACAGTGCAAACAAAGTCATGTGACCCGGCCTGTGCCTTCAGATCTTCGAAGCTCTCTTTCAACAATTGTACACTCTCTCCTTCTCCCTCCATTTCGAAATCATACAACATTCCTTGCTCTTGACTTGTAATAGCGAGCTTTTGGGTTTGGGGACGCCGTATTCAGTCAAAAGCTTCGACTGCGCGTTCACGCTCATCCGCTTGCTAGGCATCTCTGACCAGTTCGCTCATCAAGAACGTGTCCTCAACTGCCATGCCAGCGCAAGACCCCTGATTTGGTATTACGGCCGAGCTGACAATCATCGGGGTAAGAAACCCTGTGGATAGTGTACAGATGCGGATCCTAGGACCACAGCTAGGCCAAGAATACTGGGTTGAAAGGGCCAGCATTGTGACCGGATGTCAGATCAAGAAAGAAAATCAATAAAGAATTCAATTTGAGTACGTAGTCGACGGGAGATCCAAGTTGAGAAAGGGAAGAAGAGACCGAAGAAGAGTCTCTACTTATCTACAACAGTCTATGCCCTGTGTCACCTGTCAAACGCAGTCTTCAAACGCAGTCTTCAATCGCAGTGATGCCAAACGCGGTCCCGTCAAGCGCAGACCCGTCGAGCGTGGTCCCGTCATGCGCAGTCCCGTTAAAATCCCATCAAGTGTGGTCACATTACCCCCCTCTGTAAGAGCATCTAGTCCCTTGATGCTGGTTTGTTGTCATCCGGATGATCGTCTAGGAATTCGTCGTCCAAGGCAGCTTTTGTCCATTCCTGTAGGCGGGCGGGCGGGCCAGGCTTGTCGGGGTATCGTTCGTGGAAATCGATTAGCTTTTGCGGGGCATTTTTGAAGTCCCCGGCTGGGTACCATGTGATGTCTTCATCTGTTCCGACCCACTTGACGCGGTAATTGAGCTTGCGGTAGTATAGTCGTGAGTCGAGGATTTCATCAACTTCCCATTCGTTATGATCGTTGACCTCCACTGGGGGCGGGGGGTCGATGTGCTGCCCAGTCAATGGCGTCGTCTTCGTTGCTCGGCGTAATTTGTCTGGTGAGAAGACGGGGTGTACCTTGATAGAGTTGGGTAGTTCGAGACGGTAAGAGTTGCCAACTTTTTCGATGATTCGGAAAGGTCCCGCGGATAGGTCGGCCAGTTTACGGCTTGGGCGTCCTGTATTCCAGTGTTTCGTTGTCACAAAGACTTCATCGTCGACATTAAAATCTTCCTGTCTGCGGTGTCGGTTTGCCTGTAGTTGTTGCCTCTCCTGCGCGCGGACGATTTGTTGTTAGGTGTCTTTCCAAATTTTCTCAAGTCGGGAGACATAGTCGCGTGCTGCGATGGCATCGGTCGACAGCTCCTGCGATGGAGGGGGCGATGGCTCTTGCCAATCGAACGATGTGCGGGGCTCGTATCCCCTCTCAATCATAAAGGGTGAGTTCTTCGTCGAATCTTGTGCTAGAGCAGCTGCAGCGAAATCAACTATCGGCAATAGCTCTGACCAGTCATCCTGGTGGTAGTTGACGTACGGGCGTAGGCGTTGTGCGATATGTTGGTTCATAATCTCTGTCTGTCCGTCGGTCTGTGGATGCCGGGCTGTTGAGAGTTTTCGTTTGATGCCTAGGAGACGGCAGAATTCGGTCCAGAATTCAGAAATAAACTGTCCTCCCCGGTCTGAGACGATCGAATCCGGGATCCCTACCCAACGGTAGACGTGTGTAATGAATAACTGGGCAGTTTCCTTCGCGGTGATCGTTTTGTAACAAGGAATTGATATTGGGCGCTTAGAGAACCGGTCAACGACTACAAGGATCGTGTCGTAGCCATTCTTGTCCTTTGGGAGGGTACAAAAATCCATTGAAAGGTGTTGCCATGGTCGGTCTGGGATTGGTAGTGGGTGTAATAATCCAGGTGTCTTGTCTCGCCAGTGCTTCGTTCGCTTGCAGACTCGGCAGTTGTCCACATATCGATCAACATCCACCGACCAGCCCTTCCAATAGTATCGTGCGTTCACGAGCTTGCGTAGCTTTTCTTGCCCAGGGTGAGCCATAGACGGCTGGCGGTGGATCTCATCAAGGAGTCTTGCACGAAGATCGCCCTCATCTGGTACAACCAGCCGATTTTCGTATAGCAGCAATCCATCGTTCATTGTCCATTGTGTTCCTCCACTCATTGCTCTATCCCTCCCTTCCTGCAGGCTGTAGTGGCGGCGGTTCGCTATCTTTACTCGTTCGGTGATCGGTTCAGTGGTAACAAGGGCGACGGAGGAGGGGGCTTCTTGGATTTCATCGAGGATTCTAGGATCGAGGCGTGATTTTGGGAGAAGGATTCGTTCGTTCGGGGGGCTCTGATCCTCTAGGTCTCTGCGCGAGAGAGTATCAGCTAGGGCGTTTCGCTTCCCTGGCCGATATTTGATCATAAAGTGGAATTGTGCTAAGAACTCGCTCCAACGAGCTTGTCTGCCGTTCAATTTCTTCGACGTTATAAAGTATTGGAGCGCCTCGTGGTCAGTGAGAATCCCAAAGGGCTCGGAGCGTTGTAGTCCAGAGAGTTCTGCCCGCCACTCTTGAAGCGCACGGATGATCGCTAGCATTTCCCTATCATGGATCTCGTAGTTCTGCTCAGCTATCTGCATCGTTTTCGAGAAGTAGCCAACTGGATGCCAGAGTTCGTCGACCCCCTGCTGCGATAATACTGCTCTGACTACTCCCTTCGACGCGTCAGTCTCTACCTGGGTTGGTAGGTCTGGGTTGTAGTGGGCGAGGATAGGTGCTGAGGTCAGATGTTGTTTTAGCTCTTGGAAGGCGTCCTCGCATTCTGTGGTCCAGACGAAAGCTTTATCCTTCTTTGTTAATTGATGAAGGGGTTTCGCTATGCGGCTATAATGGTGAATGAACCGTCGGTAGAAATTGCAAAATCCTAGGAAAGACTGGATGCTTCGGACTGTCGTTGGTCGCTTCCACTGATCGATTGCTATAGTCTTCTGGGGATCTACGGAAATCCTATCTGTGCTAATGATGAATCTAAGGAATTGGGTCGATGCAACGTGGAATTCGCACTTCCTAAGGCTTGCTTGTAGCCCAGCCTCCCGTAATCGCTGTAAGATCCTCCGAACATGTTGTATATGGTCTTCGAGAGTCTCGCTATAGATAAGGATATCATCCACAAAGGCAGTAGCGATTTCATCAAGGTACTCGCCCAAGACACTATTGATGTAGCGCTGGAATGTCGCAGGGCCGTTCGTCACCCCAAAGGGCATCACTTTGTACTTAAAGGAGCCGTATCTTGTACGGAAAGTCGTGAGATCCTCAGAATCAGGGTGCATACGAATCCGATGGAATCCTTGCCGAATGTCAAGCTTCGTAAAAAATTTAGCCCTTGAGACACGCTGTAGAAGTTCATCAATAAGCGGTAAGGGGTATCGATCCTTTCGGGTGATAGCGTTCAACTTTTGGTAGTCCACGCATAGTCGCATTCCTCCATCCTTCTTCCGAACCATAATTATTGGGGAAGCGTACGGCGCAGAGCTTGGTTCAATGAATCCCTTCGTTAGGTTGTCGAGGATGTATTGTCGGGCGGTCTCAAGTTCCTCCGTGGACATCTTGTATAGGGGGTAGTACCCGAGAGTCATCTTGTCCTCAAGGCAAATTTCGTGGTCAACGTTGGTACGAAAGGGCGGAAGGGTATCGGATTTTCTTTTCGAAAAGACGTCTGCGAAGTCATGGTATTCGTGTGGGATAGTCTATTCGATAGCCTCGCGCTCTGACTTCTCATCGATGATTCGGTCGATCTCATGAAGGGATGTGACGAACGTCTCGCTACCCTCCGTCTTCACTGACCGATAGAACCCGATAGCGCTAATCATCGTAATATCTACCGCCTTAGTTGCTTGACGCTAGGCAGCATTTCTAGCGATGGACGTGAGTTCCTTGCCCTAAAAGGCTCGCTCCATCTTTTGGACTTCGTCCTAGGGGGAGCCCCTATGATGACGTTTTAGCCGCTTCTGGTCCTCTCGTTCCATAAGGGCATTCCGTCTATCTGCATCTTCTTGGTGGGCGGGATTCGTTGCTGGTCGTCGAAGAATCGCTTGGGGGATAGTTGTAGTGAGTTTTGTTGCGATCTCATCCTTAAGAGGGCATTCCTTTGGCCAAATCAGGCGTCGTTTCTTACAGTCGGGGAGTACTTCATATCGTTCGAACCACATCCTTCCAAGAATGATATCGTGTTTTCCTAGATCTGCCACAAGCATAGGGAGTCGTGCCTGTTGTCGACCATCGATGTGGAGGGTAAGCTCTACCGCATGGGTGATCGGTTGCGATTTCTGCCCGTCAAATCCCTTTACAGGGCAATCACGAGGCAAGCGAATCGTGCGAAGTCCAAACTGTTGACCTAGTAGAACAGCAAGGTCTATGTCAATGAATATAAATCCATTCGCTCCAGTGTCTGCGAGAGCCGAGATATTGACTGAATGTCCATTGAATGCTAACTGAGCATTAAAAACAAGATCCCTTTGTCCAATCAGTTTTGTCAAATCAAGCGCATGTAAAGACACTATTTCTCCACCTGAGAAGGAGACTTTTCCCAGGCTCAGGCTTTTCCCGTCTCAGTAGTTTCCTCAAGCTCGATGAGCTGTTCTGTGTTCACTATAGCAACTGCTATCTTTTTTGGGCAGTCTCGGCTAAGGTGACCCCTTTCTCGACACGTGAAGCATCGACCTTCCTTCAATAGGGCTACCCGGTCGGTAGAGGTAGGGCTCGAGCCAGCTTCTCGCTTGGTAGCCGGGCTTCCAGTAGTCGATTCTCTTTTTCCTCCTCCGCTCGTCGTACGGCCTTGTGAACGGGAAGAGACTTGCTGTCCGATTAGGAGTGAGCATTCACGGCACTCAGAGGCGAAGTCTTTGAAGGAGACACGGTCGTTGTGAACTAATCTCATGACCTGATTTTGGAGGAGGTAAGGTAGTTTAGTGTAGAGATCCTCCTTCCGAACACTCATAGGGGTATCCGATTCTTCCGCAAGGCGGGCGAATTCGATCAGGAAGTCATCGAAGCTGTCCTTCGGCTTCATCTTTAGCTGTGTGTATTCGATTCGGGCCTTCGCACGGCGGTTCGGGTCTGAGAAAATCTCCTATAAGTGATCGAGGAGGTCGGTCTCATCATCATACGGAAGCGGCGCGTCCCTACGTAGGCGAGGGCCGATATGCTTCAAGGCCTTGCCTTCGCATCGGCTGGCCACGTAGTTGATCCGGAGGGTAGACGTCGGGTAGTGGTCGGCGTTGCCCTCTAGCTTCCGCTCCACTTGGGTTCTTCAGACCTCGAAATCCATATCCTTGCCATCGTCCATGATCGGAGCGTCAGGCATCTTAACAGATCGTCGGCCTCCGAAGTCGTTGGGTTTCAGGACCGCTATTCGCTGGTTCTGTAGGAGCTGGTGCGCGTAGTTGTTTCGCTCAGTCTCAAGGCGTAATTTCATGTCTTCATACTCGGCTTGTATCGCTTCTAGTTCTTGCTCGTGACCACTAGTCGTAGCGGGAGGCGCGGTACGCGCTTCCTGATCTTTAGTGTTGGCGTACACTGTCCAAAGGCGTTCCCTCTTTAAGATCATGTCAAAGAGGGCATCGGGGTCCTTCCTGAAGGCCTTCTTGAACTCAGATAGGGTAAGTTGCGTATATTTCAACTGCTCGCCGAGCCCCTGGGGGCCGGCGCTCGGATCGGGGTTGTCCTCTACTGCGCAGACGTAGAAGGACTCTCGTCGGCCCTCCTCAGCGGCTAGAGAGGTACGTGGGAGCTTCGGGTAGGTGATTTCCACCGGGATGGTTTCAGAGGGGACCGATGCTTCGCTTCTTGCATCTTCAGGACCCTCTTCATCGTTGATTTGGGGTGATTTCTCGGGTCGAGGAACGCTCTGGGCTCGGGTAGTCGATGACCTAGCCATGGTCCCTGGTTCGTTTCGTTTCGTTCGGGGGAGGCCGCCTTCTTAGCGCCGTTCGTAGTTCGTTGTTCGGTTCGGGTTCTTCAGCGCTATCGTGGCTGTCACGTCGGGTTCGAAAGAGTTGTTAGGCACCAAGGCGAGCTGGGACAGTAGACTTCAATGAAGTAGCGTCCGTACAGCTGTGCGGCGATGGTGGAAAGAATGTAATGAAAGAACTTGGATCTTATGTGACCGGATGTCAGATCAAGAAAGAAAATCAATAAAGAATTCAATTTGAGTACGTAGTCGACGGGAGATCCAAGTTGAGAAAGGGAAGAAGAGACCGAAGAAGAGTCTCTACTTATCTACAACAGTCTATGCCCTGTGTCACCTGTCAAACGCAGTCTTCAAACGCAGTCTTCAATCGCAGTGATGCCAAACGCGGTCCCGTCAAGCGCAGACCCGTCGAGCGTGGTCCCGTCATGCGCAGTCCCGTTAAAATCCCATCAAGTGTGGTCACAAGCATTACATACTACAACAAATGATTGGCGTGCCATAGTGAGAAGCCAATCGAATTATTGACGGTGTATGTAATATTGGAGAGCATAACAAAAGACCCAAGACCGAAACAACTGTCGCGGGTCGGATAGCTCCGAGTCCACCTCCCAGATGGCGACTATGAACTATCATATGTGTCATGTTTGTAAGTAAAACAAGGGTTCCCCTAGGTAAGTCCATCAATGTAGAGCTAGTTTTATACTAGGTCATGTCAACACGTAGTTCTTTTTGCGTGGGGATAAAAGGAGGCACAAATTTTGTGGAGTTAGCCGACGAGTTACGGAATGTGGTTAAGCTGAACACGAGCGCTTACAACGCACCGAGTCATGATCCATGCAGCCGGGCCGTGCACACACTCACAGTCATTTGCCTTACAATTCAGCGAGTATTCACTAAGTTGCTCCACTGGCTAGCGTGATGAGTTTAACAGACGAACAGGTTCGTCCATTAAAAGGAGATCATTACCAACCTAACGCCACGAAGCGTTAGGAGAGCCCAAACATTATTAGTGTAAGCCTTGCCAGGCCCAAGGTGAAATTGCGCCCTTAGCCATCAAAATTTGGCTCTAAAATGCACACTAAATTCAAAATTTGAGAACCTGATTACCACGGCAGGCGGAGCCAGTTTGTCGGAATACGAAATCATTGAAACCCTGCAAGCCAGGCAGAGCTATTAGACAATTTACTTCTACCAAGCGGAGAAACCCCCGTGCACAAGGCGCAGATGAGCCTAGCCTTGGTTTCTTTTGCCTCCCCCGCCGGTGTAGGCAGAGGGCAGGCTCGCATATTATCCTAGTAGGACTTGACATATACCGGCACGTTCCATATGTTATGCAAGACGGGAGTTCATACCATACAGAATATCCCCAAAGCCTCAATCTGAGTCACACAAAAAGTGATTTCATTCCTTGTACATGCGTGGAACTAGCTCACTCCGGTATAGCTCGGTGGCTTTGAGATGATGCGCAATGGCCCCAATCTCTTAGCTTGACGCATGTTGCTGAATTCAGGTGTGGGAATCAAATCTGTGGATACTTCCAATCCAAACAGGATTTGACCTGACTCGAGTTGCCACCGTAAGCTCTGGAACTTCTCTTAGCTACTTCTACACCAACTGTCAGTGCGCACCGTCACATGCCCCTACGACTCTGATATCGCAGATCTCATTGTCGATCCCGCGAACGAGACCAGGTCGAAACGATCGATCCAGCGCCCGATGCTACGATGGTTCGTTCTAATCTCTCGGAGCCGCGAATCCTTTTTAGCGGACATTGAACGACTCCCTCGATCCGCCTGCCATGTCTCTACCAACCTCCTTCAAAATATGAAAAGGAGTTTTTGGATAGCGACCTCCGCCACGGCTCGTGCTACGGTGTACGTTGCAGCTCATCCGCACTCCCCAATCAAACTCCAAAAGCAAAGGGGTGTTGGTACCCCGCTCTTAGGTTCGAAAGCAAGAGTTCAGGCCACACCCCACTCCCTCACAAAAATGGTACTTTTGTTACCGGGCCGTCCCATCCGTCCGGGTCTAGCTTCTTTAGCTGGACTCTGCCTTTCGCCAATCAGTGATTCTTTAAATTTAACAAAAACGAGAGTATCATCAATGGTTATGGGTTTCTAGTAACCAGCGGCTTCTCACGGAAAAAGAGCATCGGTCGGAATTAGTACGATCAACAGCACGACCAACCCCTTTTCGAACCAGAAACACCTGAGTAGGTAGTCTGGCTTCCCGTACCGCGGTTTCGGCCGTTTAATGTCAACGTCAACAATGCTGCACCAGGACGGAAGGATCACTATTATCGGCCCATTTTTTCAATTAATCTTCAACCAATCACTAAATTATCTTGACATATGCATGTTTCCGCTCAGACAGCGTAGATCGACACTCGGGAAGTTACCCGGCCATTGAAACGCTGCCTGAGATGACCGGAAAAACCTGACCGCTTCAACATAAGAAATATCACGGATAGTGGAAACAAGAGTACCGTTCGTACAGTAATATCGAAAATCTTTCCTTTACGCGTGCTTAGGAAGCTCCTGGACTTTCCAGGGCCCTAATCTACTCAGTTCTTCTTCCTGACACCATTCAGCTCAACATATTCTCCATATATGACATTCGTCCCGTCCGTGGGCCCCCTTAAGGGGTTTTTTACAACCAATGGAAATTTCAAACTTATAACTCCGTTCATAAGGCATTTGGTGGAACTTTGCTTCTGTAATGAACCTCCACGCGAGCCTAACGGGTGATCTGCATTCTGTTGATATATACGGTAGACGAACATGATGGACAATTTGAGAGCAGAAGAAGATTTGATTGCAGAGAACTATTCCTAGGTATTCAAAGCTACTTTGTATAGACTTCTGAACCGCCCATTATTTCTATGGAAACACATACAAAAAGGTTGGAATCCCTTAAGGTAAAATGTTGTAGAGCTTCAGCCTTCATCTCGCAGGCCGCTGTACAAACTATCGGTGATCATTTCTCTGCTGGTTACATTATCACGACCGCCACTGGCGGCAAGATGCTTGGCAGCGCCGAAGGAGTTCATCTGCCTGAATCGCCGAGAACTTAGCACATTCCAGAACCTTACATCCGGCACTAGGAAACCCATCGCGGTCTAATAATCACGCGATTGTGCTTCTGTGGCTCTTGGTTTGTTTCTTATAGGCCAGCAAGATCCAAGGATATAGAGGACCCCGGTTGGGCCTATTGCATACACGAAGTAGCCGATATTTGGCAGTACTGTTGTTGTTAACTCCATAGGTGGAGTGTGCCCTCTCAGTAAGTGGACCTATCTATGCTGTTAACAGGATTGGTAACGCTAGTGAGTGTGTCACAACTCGCAAGGAATAGCGATGCGCGACTCTTGCGACCAAGTTAACATCCTGTGGAATTTCAGGGAACCCTGGCTAACCATGCAGGATACGGCAGTCAGTCCTACGTCTCCGATTCCCAATCCCGGTCTTGCACATGTCAACCCTCTTGTTGAAACTCAAGTTGGCACTCTAAGGAAAGCCCTCGAATCATACAAGAATAACAATCACAAAAGAACCATGGGGCAGGGTAGTGGCAACGAGCGATCTTCGCAATTTGACCGTATAAGCTATTGCGATCTGACGTGATACTGTCAGATGATTCCTCTGCAGATATATGATATCGCTTGCATTTCGCAATTTAGGAAAGGTGGGTGACAGCAGGCCAAAATCGGCTGCCTCATTTCTGATACTGTCCACGATTCGCCTCAATAATCCCCATGGTAAGTGATCGACGTTACTGACGGGAATTGTCTCACTTGATCGATGATGCACGGACACGGCTAGTTCAGCCAAGGCGGTCTCTGGGATCCCAAGGCGCCATGGCGCCAAGGCGGCAATGCTCGATTCTCGATTCGGCAATGTCCATACCGTTACTGAAAATCAGCAAGGGAGAACCTTGCGTTGTATCTTTGCTTCCATCTGACCTTGAGGATGAAAACCTCATGCTGCTCTCGTTTCCCTTTGACAGCATCCAAAAATGGATGACCTTTATTTTCACCCGCCCTTTCATGATGATGTTTTCCAGTTCTCCGCCGTCGAGTCCGCTTCAATTAGTTCTAGCCAGCCAGCCACAAGGCACCAGGGGCTTCCGGTTAATTTTCCTGTGTATGAAAATCTGAGTGCCTCCTGCGATGACCTAGGCAGCCTCAACACCAATAGACCCTCGAACAGGAAAGTTCCTATCCCCCGAATTTCATCGCCTCACCACTTTACTAGCGGCGGTCGGGTCAGCCGAGCATGTGGAAACTGTCGCGAGCAGAAAGCCAAATGTAGCGGACACAAGCCAGCTTGCCATCGATGCCAGGACGATGGCCTGCAGTGCTCCTACAGCGAACGGAAGCGCGAGAGAGTAAACAAGTATGTTTCGTGTCATGGTACTGTGGCCTTTCTCACGTTACACAGACAAATAGCCGATCTGACCTCCCGAGTTCAAATATATGAGACGCTCCTACACACTCTCTATCCTCGACTTGACCCTCCATCTGCCCAGCATGTCGATCAAACTTTACACAGTGTAATGATCTGACTCCAAATCTCCCAGTCTTTCATATTCTGAAAATATCCAGCTTTCTAGCCAAGAGATACCCTGTGGCCCTCAGTCCGCAATAAAACCGATCCCTTTGCTCGGGAATTTGGCCTTCGGCGAAGAAGACTTAAACCACAGCAAGATCGTGCAGTCGATTGGGATCATGGGCCAGCTATCAGGGATGGCCTGCCTGTACCGACTCAAATGTCATATCCACCAGGACAGTTCGAAGATTGCAAGGGACCATCTGGACTGGCCTTCCATCTCCTCTGTGAACTATTTCCTAGACGACATTGAATTTCTGGTATCAGATGACGTGGATCTCTCCTGGTGGCCCCCGCAGCCCACTGCTGCTCAGCTCGTCCATCTCTATTTCCAAACCGTCCATCTCGCGTTTCCTGTTCTTTGCAAGCCGGTTTTTCTGGACCAATACCAAAGATTCTATTCGAGCCCAAATGCGCAACCTGGAAAACGGTGGTTGGCTTTGCTGAACCTCATTTTTGCACTCGCTGCAAGGCACTCAACAATAATGAACTGTCAGACCCCTTGCGATACCAATGACTATTCGACATATTTCTCTAGGGCATGGCGACTTAGTACAGGTAGTGCTGCGCCGATGGACCATCCAGACTTGCAGCAGGTACAAATTGAAGGCCTAACAGCCATGTACCTTCTCTCTGTAGGTCATGTGAACCGGTGGGTTACCCTTGTACTTCTTCATGGCTGATCTGCCTAACCAGGATGTGGATTCATGCTAGGTCATGGCGAGCTATCGGTAATGCGATCCGATCGGCTATCACGATGGGTCTTAACCTCCCTATTGGTACCTCCCGTATTAGTCAACGATCAAAGGAGACCAGGTACCGATTATGGTGGTCCCTCTTCGTGCTAGAGACAGATCTATGCGTGATGACTGGACGTCCACCTAGCACGACTAGGATCGACTGTGCAACACCACTTCCAGTCTCCTTCCAAGAAGATAACTTGGAGACTGGTAGCGTTCCAAAGCGTTTGGTGGATCCAGAAGCTCGGAACACTATAACAAATTCTATTCTGTCAAATGGTCGGAGGGCTTCCCTAGGGGGGGGACATGGTGGTCGCTATGCATTTGAAGCAGTCAAAACTAAGCGAAAAAACGCAATTCGAAGCGGTCGAGCAGGAGCTAAGTAAGATTTCTATGCCCAACACCTCGCTCTACTTCTCTTTCTTGGTGGACTTGACGTTCATTATGCGAGAGGCTATTGCCATCTTGTATGCCCCAGCCGCAGCTCAACGATCATGGCACAATATTGAAACAGCCGCCACTGCCCTCTCTGAGAATGCCGACCGTTTTCTTTCCCGCCTGCCATCGGATTTACAATTCACGAATATTTGTCTAAGCCAACCATTCATCCGTCAACGCGTCAGCCTGGCTTTCTACTTCTACTCCATGAAACTCATAATTTATCTTCCTTGCTTCTGCCGCATGGCCTACTCGCCGCCAAACATGAGACCGCTCGGTCCCGTATGCAGTACCCTAGCCACCCAATGCGTTGATGTGGCGGGCCAAATGCTCAACGTTCTCCCTGACTCGTTGGACATGATTCAACTATATGACTTTCCCCCGTGGTGGGATGTTTTCCATCATGTGATGCAGTCCAAGGTCGTTCTTCTGGTTCACTTATGCACTCAGAACCAGTTAGACAGTGATGAGATCAAGAAAATTTCGGAGACTGTCAAAAAGGCTGCGTGGTGGCTGAAAAAAATGTCTTCACATGATCCATCATCGAGTCGGGCTTTACGTGTCTGTCAAGACCTGATCTCCCAGCATGATCCGGAACTTGGGCTGGGACTTGATCTTGAGGGTTGACTATCAGTCTCTGGTGGCTTGGAAGGACGCATGTTGGCCGGATTCTGAATGGCCAATGTTAAGTGCATCCGATTTCTCGGAAATGGAGACATCAGTCACGGCATTAACTATCCGAGCACTGAAGCGCTGATCTGGCTTGGTGATAGATTATCACGCTATGAGGAGTAAAGGCCTCCATTTATATTGAAGACCAAGGCGACAAAAGGACAGGCATGTTGGGAAACGACCATGACAGATTGAATAATTTATACAGTAAATGTTTTCTTAGCGCAATAATTCCGGAGCCTACTGTAATCATTCACTGTGTTCCGCTGTCTTACAGTTACCAAATTTCCAATGCGTAGTTCGGGAAGAGGAGCATCCAGTTTTGGGCAAGAAGTCTTACTGTGGTGATACATCGTATTTCACCGTGTTCTAATTCAGAGGAAGATTACTTGTATTCTTAGGCAAGAAACTAAGGGTTTACGTACAATGTCCAGCCTGAATATTGTTTTCCAATCAATCATAGTCATTTCGTACAGAAGAAGGATAGGGTCCGGCGCATAAGATGGAACACAACACAGTGAAATACGATACTGTATCAGCAGGGGCCGTGCGACATTTGCAACTACAAAACAGGAACAGCCATCCAGTTACCGTTTTAGACCCTCAGGTTTTGGTTCCAACTCATGAGAATGTTCAGAGGACAGGATAAACCACTGTCTATGTTGTCATGACGGTGCGCATGATGAAGGGAGGGACATAGATTTGTGATAATTCGGTAATAAAAGAGATGTCGCGGTTTTATTGCAACTTGGGTTTGATCTTTCAACATCAAAGAGATTTGTCCAGGGTGCTTAAATTCGCCGATACCCGGCGCAATATCTTTATTTTCCACCTCACCTTCCTCAGGTCTCGTGAATATCTTCAAAATGCTCCACATGATCCTGTTATATCTTGCTAGCGTTTATATACGCGTCTCCTTGGGTGGTGGTCTGGAGGTCAACGACTATAATGGCCAGTGTCTGATATAGTCCGATGATAACTATGGGTGCACGGGATACTCCGCATCTTTCGGTCTTCTCGACGGAGCTGACTGTTCAAATACGTAAGGGTTTAATTTCATTTCTCTAGAATAGTGTTAACGGCCATTTAGAATTAAGCGAAGTCATAAAGGGCACTCGCCGAGACGAATCTGTACTTAAGGGAGATTGTTGTGGCACGGAACACGGTCAACTAACTGTATGGATTGTGGTGAATACCAATGGCCGAGTCACATTCTCTAATCAAAGTGGAGATAAATCTGTATGTCCGCTGGACAATGGACTAAAGGTTGGAAGCCAGTGCAGTGCCTCTGGTTCAGGCTCTATAACCTCCTCCTCCTCCTCCTCCTCCTCCTCCTCTTCAAGTTCATTATCTTCTGGCCAAGGATTCATATCCTCCATTTTGGGATCACCGGCACCTTCACTAACACCCTCACCTCATCAACGCTTCGTGGTACAGAGATAAAATGATCATTTGGGGTATTGCTAACAGGATGCTTTAAGAGTAAGTGTACGTCCGAGCACCACTAGTGCCTCCAGGGTTCATAACAGTTACAGAAACCGCACTAGTGCTAGAAGGTGCAACTGCACTAATCAAGGTATCACCGAGGACACTGAATGCAGCTGGGTCAGTCCCAAAAACCACATTAGTGGCTGTCGTGAAACCCCTTCCAGTAAGAGTCACATTATTGCCACCCGCAATGGCGCCACCAGTAGGAGACACGCTAGTAAGTGTCGGCCTATCGACATATAGGAACATGGCGCCGTTGCTAGTGGCAGAAGGAGTATTAACTGTTATGGCCCTTACCCCTGCTGCTCCAGCGGGGGAGGTTGCGGTTACCGTGTTATCCGAGCTAATAGTAAAGGTCGTTGCTGGAGTTATCCCAAAGTAGACGTCATGGGTATCGATCAAGCTTGCTCCCGTAATGGTCACCACAGCGCCTCCCGCAATTGGACCAGAAGTTGGAGTGATAGAACTAATCACTGGTGACTGCTGGAATTGGAAGCTAAGCGAGTTATCTGTGCCACCCAGCGTGGTAATATTGATTTGGATCGTGCCAGAAAGGTGCATTGGTGTGATAGCATCGACTTCCCTATCGCTAACGACCGTAAAGCTAGCTGCGGGGGTGGTTCCGAAATTCATGCTGGTGGTATCCAAGAGGTTAGTACCGGTGATGGTGACAATTTCGCCGCCAGCTATGACACCCGTGGTAGGAAACACTGCCATCGGTGCAGGTAGTGCGATGAAAGTATACCCGAATCCCGCGGTAGTACCAGCAGGCGTTATGACCACTACAGGGGCAGTCCCAACAGTACCTGATGGAGCCACAGCATTCACTTGAGTGGGTGAGGATATTGTGAAAGAAGTGGCTGGGGTACCAGCAAACGTAACCTCAGTGGCGCCATTGAGGTTCGAGCCCATGATAGTGACAGTATTCCCTCCGGATACCGGCCCACTCGAGGGGGTAAGCCCTGTGATGGTAGGAGTTGGAGTGGCATTATAGGTGTAGGTAGTGCTAGCGGCACTAGTACCACCTAATCCTGTGACGAAGACAGAGACGATGCCGCCAGCGCCAGGGCCTGGGGGGACCACGGCATTTACCACTGTGCTGGAGACCACGGTGAACGAGGTGGCAGCAGTTGAGCCGAATCTCACTGACGTGGCGTTCGCGAATCCAGAGCCGCCGATGGTTACGGTGTTTCCGCCAGCAGCAGGGCCGCTACTGGGACTCACACTGCTCACGACAGGAGCGACTGTATAGGTGTAGGTGGTGCTGGCGGCACTGGTACCACCTGGTCCGGTGACGAGGACAGAGACGTTGCCGCCAGTGCCAGGGCCTGGGGGGACCACGGCATTTACCACTGTGCTGGAGACCACGGTGAACGAGGTGGCAGCAGTTGAGCCGAATCTCACTGACGTGGCGAATATGAACCCGGAGCCGCTGACGACTGCTGTATTCCCGCCAGTAACAGGGCCGGATGTTGGATTAATTCTAGTGACAATAGGTGCGGACATCTTGATCCAAGAAAATAGAGAGTTGATTTCAAAAAATTGCAGTTGCGGAAGTAAAAAAAGGTCACTGCTGACTTTCTATGGTGAGAAGGTCTGAACTCCAGGAAATCCAATCACCATCCGCGTCAGCTAGCACTTGCATTTATAGGATAATAAACGGCATACAGCAGTTAGACCTGGGCTGACTGGACTTGTAGGACCGAATATGAGGTTTATTCCATTTATTACTCGTACCTCTAATTAATTTAATACGGACACTTTAATGTGGACACTCATCCGAAATTGCCAACTTACTTTCGAGATGGCCGCCAATTTATTTAACAGCATAAGTAAGCGACGGATTCCCGAATGCCTATCTTCAAGAATGTTTCCTTCAAACTTCTATTCGCCAAGGCCAGTGGCAGAACGAGAAATTAGTTCGGAGAGACGGATCCAGAAGGGACTATCAGAACAACCCGTTACAGGAGGTCGCAGGAATGCGTAAATCCAAAAGCCTGGGGGCCAGGACATTATTTTCCGGACATCAGATGATGGTACAGTCATGGTGTTGGAGTTGGCGAGGTGCGTATCGAACATAAGAGGGCCAAAGTCATCGGGTCAGTACACCCTTCCCCCGGCGTCAGGCTAGGGCATAGCGCTGCTGTTGGATTCGGCGAGGTGCATATCGAACATAAGAGGGCTACACTCATCGGGTCAGTACACCCTTTCCCCGGCGTCAGGCGAGGGCATAGCCTTGCTGTTGGATTCGGCGAGGTGCATATCGAACATAAGAGGGCTACACTCATCGGGTCAGTACACCCTTTCCCCGGCGTCAGGCGAGGGCATAGCCTTGCTGTTGGATTCGGCGAGGTGCATATCGAACATAAGAGGGCTACACTCATCGGGTCAGTACACCCTTTCCCCGGCGTCAGGCGAGGGCATAGCCTTGCTGTTGGATTCGGCGAGGTGCATATTGAACATAAGAGGGCTACACTCATCGCGTTAGTACACCCTTCCCCCGACGTCAGGCGATGGTTCGGCCACTTCTGGGATTCGGCGAGAGGCCAACTTTGTGTAACCAGGACAAACCTACTCATACATATCGTGTGACCATTAATTCTCGCGCCCCTTTCGGATTATCGTTATTTCTATGCTCCCTTGTTTAGGATGATATTTATTTAGAGGGAGCAATTCCCCTTCAGTTCAGACCTGTTCAACTTACGAAAAGAGCTGTGATCTTTATTAACTTCCGCAACTGCAATTCTTCGAGACTCAACTCTCTATTTTCTTGAATCAAGATGTCCGCACCTACTATCACTAGAATCAGTCCTACTTCTGGCCCTACTACCGGTGGCACGACGGTAATTATTTTTGGCACAAACCTTGCTAGTCCCTCAGCGGTTACGTTTGGTGGCACTCCTGCCACCATTAACTCGAGCAGTGCGACATCGGTCTCTGTCACAAACCCAGCAAATTCTGCTGGTGCAGCACGGGTTCTTGTAACCACTTCAGGTGGTACCACTACTCAACCAGTGAACTTCACTTATAGCGCTATCACCGCCCCTGTTATTGCTTCTATTTCTCCAGCAAGCGGGCCAGCATCTGGTGGGAACACGGTTACAATCAGCGGCACAAATCTCCTCTATACTACTGGTGTCACCTTCGGTTCTACTCCTGCCAGCAGCTTCGCTGTCCTTTCCGCTACTCAAGTTGCTGCGGTCACACCAGCAGGTACGGCAGGAGCTACAACGGTCAGTGTGACCAATGCAGCTGGTACTAGTGGCACTCTAGCATACACCTACAATGGGATAGCCGCTCCTATCATCACCAGCGTGAGCCCTGATAACGGCCCTGCTGCTGGCGGAAATACTGCTGTCATCAGCGGCACTGGTTTCACAAACGCCACAGCCGTGGCGTTTGGCTCAACTGCGGCCAGCTCATTCACCGTGGTCTCTAGTACGGTGATAAATGCGGTTGTCCCCCCAGGTAGCGGTGCAGTCTCTGTTAATGTCACTGGACCCGGCGGTACTAGTACCGGTGGCCCTACATATACTTATACAGCCGCTCCAACTCCTACTATCACCGGGCTTACCCCAGCCGCGTCCGGCCCGGTATCGGGTGGGAATACTGTCACCATCAGGGGCTCGAATCTCAATGGTGCTACAGCAGTTACGTTCGCTGGTAATGCAGCCAGTTCTTTCAGTATTCTATCACCCACTACAATAAACGCCATCACTCCACCAGGTATTGCTGGGACCGCCTCGGTAGTAGTTACAACGCCTGCTGGTGCTAGCCCGGGATTCAATTATACTTATATCGGCGCACCCGCGCCTACAGCAGTGTTTCCTACTATAGGAGTTATGGCTGGGGGCGATAGCGTCACCATCACCGGTGCTGATCTCACAGGTACTACGAGTGTGAGTTTCGGAACTACCCCCGCGACTAGCTTTTTAGTTGTTGATGATGGTGATGTAACTGCTGTCTTACCCGCACACGTTGCTGGCACGGTCCCAATCAACCTTACCACGCCAGGCGGCACGAGTAGCTCGCTCACCTTCAGCTTCCAGCCTGCACCGGTTATTGGTTCCATCACTCCAACTTCTGGGCCGACTACGGGGGGCACCGTGGTCACCATCACTGGGGCAGGATTGATTGATACCCTTGACGTATACTTTGGGGCAACTGCAGCAACAACCTTTACAGTCAACTCTGATAACGCGGTAACCGCAACCTCTCCAACTGGAGCAGGGGCTAGCGCTGTGACAGTTGACACTACTGCTGCTACCAGCAACGGCGCCACGTTCATATATACTGTTGCACCGACACTTATTGGCTTATCTCCCACTGGGGGACCGATTGCTGGCGGCAATAATGTGACTCTTTCTGGAGCAGGTTTCATAACAGCCACTGATGTTTTTTTTGGAGCTAACCCAGCTGTGTTCAGTATTATCGACGACACCTTGATTAGTGCAGTTGCACCTTCTGGCACAGGAGCTGTTTCAGTAACTGTTGTGAACCCTGGAGGCACAAGTGCCGCTCAGACTTACACTTACTCTTAAAGCATCCTGTTAATGAAACAATGTCTAGCTAGTCACGTAGGCAACATTGAGCTATTGTTTGATTGTCTTTGTTTTTTCTTTTGTTGTGTTTTGCTGTCATGATCCGAAGAATGAAGAGAAGACCAATGAAGGCATGACTATTGTTGACTGAATATCTGTGTTAAATTGACCTTATAGTCTTAAGAAGCATTGAAGTTCTTTCTATACTTTAGACAGTCGTCTTTGAGCGATTAACATTATCATCTTAGTTTATCATTAGGGTTCATCTACAACCGCGCTGTAACAGCATCATTGGCTTCTCCCCTGCATGTCTTTTACCATGCAACCACAGTATCTATGGTCTAACGAGTGCTTATGCCTTCATTGCCGTATACACGTCACTAAGGCGTACCTTTTATCAAGGTGTTGATTATCCACTAGTATTACAACTAACATATTTCCTGGGAGAGTGGGTCACCCAAGCTAGCAGGTCAGCCAAAACACCATAGTAAATGCATTATATTTACAACTCGATATTTCAACAACCACATGTTAATTTTATCTTATTATTAGTGTAGTAGTATTAATAGACATGATAAACAGTATACACAGTCCTAAATTTGAATTAAAAAAGTATTTCCTTGCTTTACCAAGAAATACAGCTATAGAGATGACAAATATATATATCTGAGCCACGAAATATGATAAACCTTATAAATCTCATAAATAGGTTTCATATGATTCCAAAAGTACTATTATATCATAAAACCTCATATTAAACTACGGTTGTTGGGATGTTGAGTTGTAAAATATCCCATTTACTATGGTGTTTTGGGCTGACCCAATCATTTGGGTGACCCACTCATCCAGGAAATACGTTATCTAAGTTGTGGTGTTCTGACAAAATCTAAGGTGGCTATAATTTATCAATTCCTCTGGATTCCGAACTTTTGCAACGCCACTGTACGTAACCCCTGGTCCGTGCAGTTAGCGTCTTGGCGATAAAGGGATTGAATTTGAGATCGCGAGTTTGATACATGGCCGGCTATATTATCCGTCCAATAAAAGGGGTTAAGTTTGAGACGGAGAGTTTGATACATGGCCGGCTATATTATCCGTCCAATAAAATAGAGCGCACCATTCATGCCACAGACTGAATTTAACCCATCCAATTAGCTCAAGGGACGTGCTAACTCGACCCCACCTAGCCGCGTGTGACGCGCCACGATTCGACGTTACTCACGTCACTTTTCTGCATTCCCTACCGAAACAAATAGAATTATTAACGCGTACTAAACTATGTCCATAAAAACCAAACCTGATGCGCATCTTAAGTGGCTGTATAACGGTCTCCCACAGGCGTTTGACCTAGAGAGCCTCTGGCTGCGGCCCTGGCGAGCGGATGGTCTATGTCAGGATGCTGGACAGAGTTGTATTTAGGAATCGACAAAATGGGTAACGGGTACGAGTACCTATGGTCAGACTATCTCCGAGTTATAGACAAGACGTAGCTCGAAGAGTTATGACAGGATCAACATCGGGGCTAGCAGAAATACAAAGTTCAGGCCACATGACCAACCAGGGGTCTACCGTGTGGACGGCCATCAGTAGGCAGCGGGGGGGGGGGGGGGGGGGGGGGCAACCACGGGCTCGCATAGTGACACTCTAGCCCTAATCCTAATTCCTCTAACTTTTTAATTCGGCTCCATTACTTTTTGATTCTCTTACGCCTCACGAACCTCAATTCTTCTATTCACATCTTTGACATATAGAGGACCTACTGTATTAATCTTTTGGGCGTGTTGAGTTTATCAACGCAGTATTTTGAGTTCCCCTTGTTTGAGGCTACCCTCAAAAATAAAATATACCCAGGTCGCTTGCTGAAATTTGGACTGATAGTATCTAACTGTTTCCAACGTCATTCACTGCATATTGTGCCTTACTCATGCCGCGACGTAAGTTCTGGATCATCTGTGGTAGAGAATTGGTTGTTGAGCTAGAGGACCTAGAGAGTGGGAGTGTTTATCATCGTCATAGATCAAACCTAGTTACAATCTTCCTAACGGATTTTTATCCTCCTCCTTTTAACTGTGCTTCCTATCCAGGCAGTCGGTGCTGTTTATAACCCCAACATTCTGAAGCGCCGCATTGACATGTTAACTCTAAGGTCGCAGCTGCTGCTTCAATCCTTACAGTCTGTTGAAGTAAGGATTAATTAAAGCTAGGTTATGGCTGGTTAGAAATTCTATGTGCGTTCTTCACGATGGTTGAATGCCAAGATCGCACAGTATGACATTCCATGTTTATTTGATAAGCACACTGCGTATTTGGCTATAGTAATAGATTATGTCCATTGACTAGAGACCCTACAAGAAAAATAAGGAAGAGATCTTGTTTCTCATAGAAGAAGAGTAGCAAATAGATGAGGAGGGCCCTAAAACTGGTAAATACAAATAATAGGCCCTTAGAGCTGTTTTTCCTTTGTAGCTACTAACCATTGTATAAGCCAAGTAAGAATTGTTCATCAAAAGTCTAAGCAAAACTCAACAGCGTCAGACCAGAGGCTTACATGAACATAAGCTTATAGACCAATGCTTCCTGCAACATTACCAACAGCATTAAGCACGGGCCTGAAAGCACCAGCAACAATAGAAGTGGAAGACGGCCCAGATTCATAAGTGCAATCCTATATATATAATTAGTACGTCTTCCATTATCCTCAACCGCATTTACAGAACAACACGTACAATGTTACCAATTTCACCATACTGATATGTGCAAAGCCACGAATATGGGAATGAGGAGCTGACTCCCTGAGGGCATACTCCTTTTGCGGGTCCGAATATGCAGGCGTAGGGGGGAGAATAGTTGTCTATGCCAGTGGAGTCAGGGCTCCCTTGGCAGCACATGTAGAAACTAAGCTCATTAGAAGCAGGTCCGGGAGAATGTCCAGGCCAAGATTCGGTGTCAGGTTGGCTGTGAGGCGGGGCGTCGAAATTATTTGGAGGACCAGCAATAGTTGAAACAATGAAACCACAGAGTGTGGCAATAGTAGAGAACTGCATTATGGTAATTAATGAGGGAATAGAGGATTGAATCAGGGAGTTGAGTTATTTATTTGGAGCAAGGCGGTCTTACTGAAGGTTTAAATAGTTATTGCAAAATGATAGATGTCATTACAAATATGTACATACCTAAGAGAAGAGGGATAAATGATATGCCTGTAGATTTTCTTTAACATACCGACCAGATGAAGGAAACTAGACTTAAATAGGAATAGACATTGATCCACCAAAATACCTGACAGTCAAACAAGAAGTCAGCATTTTGTAGAAATGCAATAGCCACTTTGGGTATGTTTCCTATCTTCTTAGGTCTACTAGCTATGCGCCCTTGAATGGTCCATTCTTGTCTCCTTTACAGAGAGATTGCGCAGGGCCGAGATATTCTGGCAGATTTTGTTCCGCTCGATAACTTTACTTCTGGACTGCTCCGAGGCTTTATTTTCAATCGATACTGAGTTTGACGACCACCCTTTTACCACAACGCAACTCGCGATTTTACCTCGGAAGCAATAACCAGGAAGATTAAATTCCACCTACCTGTCAAGCACGGCTCAACTGGACAATTCATCATCATCACGTGGTTAATTTGACCACCCAAGGGGTCGGCAAGAGAGTAGTAATAAATGATGTGTCGAGTCAATAGTAACCAAACTGTATTTTAGGGAGGATGGGCGAGGAATATCATCTAGGTCTTTCTGAACCATTTTATAGGTCTCTCGTTTAGAATTATCGGCTGTCTAGCCGGCTATCTCTCGATGTTCTGTGGCGTTTCAGGGTCCTATAGATCGTAGCAAAAAACGGGTCCCAGTGAATCCACGGATACCCGAGTACCCGTGCTTCAACTGTTACCCGTCTTCGTTGACGATATCTCACCTATCTCACCTTCCAACCTCATAGATCCAACGACGCCAAGACGGGATGACAGAGCAACACGCTCGTCACTTGCGTGTCTATACTATCGCTCGCGCCACATGAAATGCGACGGGAAGCGACAGTGCTCCAGTCGCTGTACTGAAGGGGGCAAGCAGTGCCAGTATGCTCTATCCCGCCGTGGTGGGCTAGATCGTGCCACCCTCGCAGAGCGGCGCAAACGAGTAGCTGCTACAGCCAATATTATAGTAATCGAAGAACTTAGTCTGCGCTAGCCGATAGATATTCAGCTAGCCTAAGGAGTAGAATTGTCGTCTCAATTCCTTGAGGCGGGCACGTCCAATGGCCATCGTCTGCTCGACGGCATCAATACTAGGGATGCAACATCGGGCACATCATCGCCACTGGCCACTCAAATTTCTCCTCGCGGTCTTTCGAATGATGCCCTGATCAATTGCTACTTCAAGAAGTTCCATACACTCCACCCGTTCCTGCCTCTACAAAACCACCTGATGAAACTATATTAGGACCAGAGCAAGCAAAATACTCTTGTACCCCTAATAGCTATTATTCGCCTTATTGGGTACATTTATAGTACGCGACAATAGTTAGTCTTACTGAAGGACTATGCCGACTCCTGCTTCTCCTAAGTGGTCTAGTGTCGCCTCCTATATTCAGTTGCCCTATTTTGGTATGACTACAAAGCCGAAGCCAAATGGCAAATGGACCAGGCAACTCGCTTAGCTATTGACTTGCAAATGAATCGCTAAGAACTCTCTACGACATAAGGAGCCAGAGATTCCGTCTTATAGGAGTGCTGGAGGAGAACATAGTGGACCCTATACATCGTGGATGCCTCCTATACAGGAACTTAAGGAACCATAAATTTCTAAGTTGTAGATATAGAATCTACCGTGGGGTTGTCTTACGAAGAGAAAGAATACTAGTCGGGTGTATATATAGCAAATGGAACTTTACGGCCACTTCCAGATAACTAACTGACTTCATCACAGGATATTCCAGAACCAAAAACCATATAAGATTAGGAAAATCGGGAATTTGCTCTAGATAATCTTGAGCTCTCGTCTTTCGCATATTTCATTGGCGCTATAAGATACATAACATTCATAGTATCCACGGCCCTAAATATTGCGATGAAGACTCGATGCATGTAATTCAAACTGCTGACTCGATATTGAATAGGTGGCTACTTTTATTACCAAAAAGCCGCAAGCAAATCATAAGCAAGACAGGGGAGGTCAATGAGCTCGTGTTCTAAGCCTATTTGCTCATTCTGTGTAAGTGCCTTAGTGATATTTCTCTAATGGCTGGAAAAAGGGCGATTCTAACAATCTATAGAACAACAATCTGCGTATACCGACCATTCTCGAACCTCAGATTTAATCCCATGGAAGATGTCTCAAGCTGCGCTTGAGAGCTACCACCAGATAACCCTACAATAGACCTCATCAATGTTCACGCTATGTGCGTTTTACGCTTAGTCGAGTCCGGGATACGTCTCCTAGCGTTGCCGGTCCGGCAATTCCACCACACGCCCTTCGTCACTTGCATGACTAGCGAAGGCACGCTTGCGTTGCTGTCAGCATGTAACTTTCTGTTGAAAGGAAAGATATGATGATCGCCAGGAATCGGATTCGAATGTCATTTGGATGCCTCAAAGAATTGGGTGAAGTATGCCCGAGAACGGCGAGAATTGTGCGAGAGATTCAGACAATCGCCCACCATGTTTTAGGATTGCTATCCAAAGCATCAAGCGACAGTATAAATTCCAGCAAGGTACAGCCTCTTTCTGGAGGCAAAGGCCTGGGAAGCATGAGATCAGAGGCTGATACATTGAGTGAAAGTCTCGACATGCTTCCTTCCCTGGGGGCTATCGACGGTCTCGTCGGGTGGTACGACTTTGGTCACCTTAACCAGAATATTCCATAGGATATGAGTAATCTTTCATCATTTTTATGGCGTAACGATAACTAAAATATTAGTATGTAGGATCATTCAAAACCACGAACGGAGTCAATGATTGGAAAGTATCAGAATTGCATGATTCTATTCCGAGTATAGTAATCTAAAAAGCTTTCAAATAACGGCTCTCTCATTCCAACAAAATCAATCGCAACCTTTTGTTCCCAGTTGCTATTTCGAGTATACACCTAAACCTGTTCCGCCCGTCTCTTCGAAAGGAAAGGAACTGACCACCAATGAGTTGGCAGAGCCTGTATCGATCATTCTAGCTGCCTGACTCAGTCTATCAGCATTAGGAGAGACCATAAAATGCATACACACAGGATAATGTCGGACATCCCGTGGCTTGCTCTTTCCGTTTGAGTGCTCACTCCCTCGCTCCCTGAGCAAAATTGAGCACGGCGCTGAGCGCCCTGATCTGCTTACGGATCGTGTCATAGCTACATCTGTTCCCTCAGTACTCACTGTTTTCCTTGATTCGCTCACTGAGCCGCTCTGCGGCGCCCTAAAGCATATTCGCCAATAAATTGCACATCGCTAGTTTCATTCCTGTGCAACATTTTCCCCTTGGAGTCGCTCGTATTCTCCCTATCAATAAGAATCTGGCGTCAGCAATGTGTCTCTTGTTGAACTTACAACCTACCTCTTACCTCAATGGCGGAATTTGCGGTAGATCCTGTTCGACAAGCCTGTTAATCCCTCGATACCCTGCGGTTCTATAGCTGGTTACACTGGTTTTTCGAATCTGTGATTATTCTCTGTCCAGTAGCGATGTGAATAACAATCATAGGCTTTTTACATATCTACCTGCAATTGTCAAACATCAATTGTTCTTAGTGTTAAAGCATTCCGGTTCAATTCACTGTATTCAGTCTGGTCTAGCAACAACCAATTCTAATTTTCATGACCCATATTCTGGGGCTATGTTACGCTCTTAGGAATACAGAATCGTCTACGAGTCCTTCATCTGCTGAACACCAGAGTAATTGGATGAAGGCGTTTGAAAATCCATAGCTTTGCCCTATGACTTTTCCATGCTAGTCTTATTCTCTTTGCGCCAGATGGCCTGGTATCATCAACATGATCGACGTTGGACCCCAGGGGTTTTGCTCCTAAAAACCTTCGTAGCACATGTGGAGTGAGGTCTATCGAGTGGTAACCTCTTCACATCCTGCGGTTTTTCATCTTTGCATCTTTTTCCTGAATACATGTTCGTTGTTTGTCAATAAACAAAGTGATAACAAAAATCCGGAATTTATATGATCTATAATTGTCATCTATTTATTTCCAAATTATAGTATTCTCACTTGATTCATTGTATCCATTCTTTTCTTCTTTAAGAATAACAAATTTTCTCCTCCAATTAAGCGATGACAATCTTCTTGGCCATGTTCTGTTCCTATGAATATAGCCTTGTTTAGGGACGGGTAACTTGTTTTTTTATCATGTTGAATTGGGCCTCGGCCAGGATCAGAATATTTTTTTTGCAATCCAGCACTGACCAAAAATACACAATTGAAGGCCGTTGGGAAATAAAGTAATACCACATGGTAGTCACAATAGATCCCCAAAATGTTGATCTCCTCGAACTCCTTTTGGCGAAGATCTTGATTAATTAATCCCGTATAGGGAGGTTAATCCTCATAAGTCTCAAAGATATCCTGAGCTTCTTGAAGTTCCCGGTAGATCACAGTACCATGATCCTTTGAACGTAGAGACAAGGTGACGGGAAATGGTTTTGGTGCTGTGAGAAAGCCATCTGTCCACTTGGTTCGAATATCGTCGTCAATATCTTCCGCGTTTAGGTGTAATCCAGTTCGAGTATCTCTGCCAGCGCGAATATCGAATGCCCAAATAACTTTAGCAATGTTAATTCGCTGTAGTTGATTAGCAAAAAGCACCTGGTATTCATGAACAAGACAAGAGATATACCAGAGAGTTCTCGGCGAGGTGAGATCCAGGGCAAATCCGTCTCCCTGCGCCAAAAGCGTATGTCTTTCTAATACCAGCGGTCTCGTTTAGGCCTGGTTTGAGTCCGAGCTCATTTTGCTCAAATCTCTCGGGTATAAACTTATCGGGGTCATCATAACATTCCGGATCATGGTGAATAGCCCTGAGAAATTAGCCCACAGACGTTAGTTCACTGTTATTCAACCCACGGAGAGATTGCTATACCATGTGTTTGCCAGGAATGTAGTCCCTTTGGGGAAATGATATCCTTGATACTCATCATCTATCATTGTAAGCACACTCGCCCATCGTTTTCTTTGTTTCAAGCATTCGAAGGAGCATTAACTGTACCTTGAACCAGTGTATGCGGAATACCGCCTGCGGCTACAGGTCTCCAGCGTAAAATCTACTCATAATGATTAAATGACGAGCAAGTACAAAGAGGGAGAGAACAGACCTCGGAGACGCAGCATTTGATGTACGGTAGCTGTGCTAGATCCTCAAAATTAGGAGACCTTTGCTTCCCACAAAGCGCATCAACATGCTTCTGCGCTTTCTGTAGCACGTGGGGATACTTCACCATAGCCAGAAGAAAGGAAAGCAGAGTCGACGACGTGGTGTCGGATCCACCTTCCATGAGTACTCCGCCAATATATGCAATATGCTCATCATCCAGAGAATACTTTTGTCGGAAAGATTCATCAAGTAACTGATCCATAAAACAGTTCCGTTTAATGCCTCGCGTCCGGCGGTCTTTGACGTCTTCCAGAAGCTCAAAGTATAGTCGTCGCTGCTCTGTTCGAATTCGGTACGCCCATCGACGCCAAGGGGTTAGAAAGTTCGGCAGGCTCTTCAGGATAGGAAAAACATCAACTGGTGGTGTTGCAGCTGTATCAAGAATCGCTGTGAATTGATCCTGAACTTTGTAGAGGCGCATGATATTCCGATGATGAAATTCCGGTCCGCGGACTCCAAAGACAGAGGAGAGTATCACCGCCGTGGAGTACCGACGGATATGATCGTAGTACCGCTCTGGTGATTGGTCTAGTTGATGGAGTGTCAAGACTGCTTCTGCTGCCTGTAGCGGTCGGAGGGATCCCACGGCAGTAATGCTGAGGATTGCTTGATAGATTCTCCTCTGCTCCCGCCACGCCTGACCATAAGGCATGAGCAGTAAATGAACATTATCGCGTGTGATGATTTCGGTGCCAATGTGATTTGGGGGTCGGCTCGAATAGATGGCGCCCCGTTTGTCGAATAATCTAAAGTTACGGATCGTGTCAATGTCAAGTGCTAAACCAAAACCGAAGAACAGGGATTGCTCACTCTCTGATATCTTTTGCTTTATTGAGAATAACCATGTCCGTAGGTCCCATCTTAACGGAAACGATCGGGCCGTATTTTATCCCCCATTCTTGAAACCTGGACGTTGGTCAGTATCAATCGATAGGTTGAATCCGGCATCCAGATTCGTACTTTAAAAACGCCTTGGTGGATGGGACTTGGTGCAAATTTCCTAATTACTGGTTAACTTGTTGCATTCGGAAAATAATGGGCCCATGTTACCTAGGAATGGTACTACTGGAGGTCCAGGAGGGAGGAATGGTGAGCGCTGGGTGGAGAGAGCAAATCGCAGGGTCTTCCAAGCAACCCAGGCAACCCCAAAGCATAGCAGCCAAGGGACTAACTTGATGAAATTTCCGTTTGCCATATCATCGAATTGATACATCTTGTAAATACTCTGCCTCACAAGAGGATTTAGGGTACATAAATATATACTTCCACCCTGCTGCTGGACGCGGAAGATCCCCACATGCTCCGTTGTGAGATGGCGGGGTGAAGGTGGATACCGAATGCGGGGTATGGGGTATTCACCCCGAAGAACCACTAAGTCGACAAACCTTTCCGTCTGGTGATCTCCAAAATTTCCACATACATTATTAGCCGACCCCTTCATTTACGAAGCTAGACCATTCACTTGATGCGGAGGGGTGGGATGAGTGACATACCAACCTATATGTCTTTTTGTTTGCTATCGTAATCTTTCTGATTTCCGCTTAGTGCCTAGCCCTCGCCGCTTTTTGCCTATTGTGTAGAAATTGGCACGCTTCAGGCGATCAGGGATCAAGGATTATTGTGTAATAACAAGGATTTGCATGTCTTCGATAGCAATTCAAAGGCGAGCAGTCAATACGGAATCCAGAAATATTTCTTGTCTTTCCTTTCACTTGCTATGGAGCAATCAACATCTAGAATTTCTAAGCTGCGTTGACATCCTAAGGTTTGAATAAGGCCATGTCAAATCATGATACACACCGCTAGTATTCACGGTAAAAAACATCCAGATGGTTGGGACAGTCATGAGAAAAGCAAAAGAGAATTTGCCCACGTCGGTGTCAAAGAAACGATTATTCAGTATCGATACTTGCTATTTACCAGATTTGGCAATTCCGTAATTTCGTCCTTTTCCAATTTTGCGGGTTCCCGGCAGATAACTAAGACTTGGCGAATTTTTGGCGTAGGTGACGCCGGTGTCTCCCGAAAAGATGCGGGGGTAATGATATACCACTCATTCTACAGTTGCTTTAATCACTGACAAATCCTGCAGTTCAATTGTGCCATCTCTCTCGTCTTCCCCAGATCCTTCTTTCCCTATTAACAATTCTAGTAAAAGTGCTCTTGGTATACACACATACACTTTGTGCGACGCCACTTTGCGTCGGCAGGATCGTTTCTTGCGGCACATGGATTTACGGATGTCCCCATAGATCCGGCACCATACATGTGCCAAGAAATAGACTAACTAGCAATACAACAGATAACGCAAGCCGTCCCTTTAAATGTGAATGTGGACATGCGTTTAAGCGCAAGTGTGTTTATCTCCTTTGCATCTGATGACTTTTCTAACGAGTTTGAACAGATATTCGCGCAAAAGACACTCTAGTTCATGCCTAGTTAGCTTAGAGAGCAACTAAACCATATTGAAACTCTCTCCTTCGAAAGAAAGAAAGAGAGGGACAGCATGTGACCAGTGTTACAAGCTCAAGAAGGGCTGCAGCTCAGGCTGTCCATGCGCATCATGCAAATCCAGGAACAAAGTATGTTCTTATAATCGACGAGACCCATTCCGCGCGATGCACGGGCCAAAAGCACAGCACAGTATCCGCGAAAAGGGGCGGAGACTATCCCCTCTCCAGCGGTAGAATCGAATGTAGATGTTCTGTCTAGACAGCAAAAAGAAACAGACCCAACCGGGGTGGGTATTATGCCTCCTGTCGCAGGACCTGAGTCCGCGGATATACTTCCTTATGGCATCGAGTTTCCCTTTCATTGGTCTTCTACTAACCATAACCCCTTTTCTGATTGGGATGACTTGAAGGTGTTATCAAAAATGTTAGGATCACCCTCTGCTGCCAATGTTTCGTCTTTACATATTCATTTCAAAGCACCTCCGAAACCCGACTACCTGAAACGAAGGACAAGCTCTTTTGGGCCGGCAAGCTCCTTTTAATGTATAACAAACGATCAAAGACAAACCGTGAACTCAATCATCATACACTACGGCCATGCCTAATGGGACAGCCTTGTGTCGGAGATTTCCGTGGTGTGCTTGAAGAACACGCTTTTTCCAAATACATAGTATTCCATGACCGAGAATTGCTCCGGACCGTTTTACATGGACGAGTATTGAACTTCTCAGAATGCTGAAAAATAGTTATTCATGTACTATGGTCCACCTTTTCGAAGGTGCATGCTTTCGACTTTTTGCACCACATAATCTTGGTTGCTTTTTCGACCTGTTTGGACGTTGTAGTACCCAAACTGCCCAATCATCTACAAGCCCTGTTTCGGCGTACAGGCTATATCTGAGATGTTTTTCACAAATATCAATTTGATAGAAGCCATTCTACTTCCGCACGAGGCCGATAATGACTTTGCCAGGCTGCTTCTGAACCGTGTGGCAGAAGCTGCCTTTGCAAAAAGACCATTCCCTGGAATTCTGTATCAAGGAGCTTCGATCTCTCAGACAGATAATCAGTCACACTAAAATTGAAGAGAACATCTGTTTCAAGGAACAGCCCTTTAAGAATGTTACAAGGCTCTCAGGACAAAACAGTTGCCCCTGCAGATGGTAAATCTAGCATCCGCCGAGGAGACTAAAAGTCTGTGTGGAGGTAGATGTCGTAATTCAGAGGAAAGTTACACTTATTTCAGCGGAAATACGGGAGACTGTATACACAAAGAGATGACCAAGTTTATTTTCAATCAGCTCGGTGCTTCGTCTAGATATATTAGGAATTATTTCCGTTAGGTGGCTTTGTTCTTGATCCGCACCAGCCTCATATCACAACTGTAGAGATTCCTTTGAAATGGTAGACCAGCTGCTTTATCCTACCGTGACAAATGAGGAATTGTTTAATGCACAGAAGTTTGGCCGTCCCGTAACATCAATAGCGTCGGGGCAACGTCTAGTAAGATGTTGATAAATGCGACACACTTTTAAGGCAATTAGCTTCTTAAAAGCATTAAAAAGATCGATTCAACACCAGGTTGGATTCTGGGGCATCTATCACTCCAGCTATATTAAGTCAATCAAGACTGCAGCGAGTGAATCTAAAATTGGCATTTATCGAATATACAGTATCCTGCCTACAGGAGGCCATGTCCGCCACGCCCTGGTCACTCATTCAATTTTTAGCTCCACTCTTTGCATCCAAATCATATTGAATGATCCGTATCGAAAATGCTGCCGCGAAAAGAAGTTCGGACAACTTTTAGGGGAATCACTTAAATATAGTGTGCCGATTTTAACTAAGACCTTTTTTAATTGATAAGCAGAGCCCACGCACAGATGTGAGGTCAGGGTATTGCGTTATATTCACAGCATGCCGGCGGATTTGCGTAATGCGCCCGGTTGAATTTTGAGATATAATTGTGCCGTCCTGATGTACATATATCATACCATTGATAATTTAGCCATTAATAAAATGTAACCGCGCATGACGGGACTGCGCTTGACGGGACCGCGTTTGGCATCACTGTTATTTAAGACTGCGTTTGAAGACTGCGTTTGACAGGTGACACAGGACATAGACTGTTGTAGATAAGTAGAAACTCTTCTTCTGTCTCTTCGCCCCTTTCTCAACTTGGATCTCCCGTCGACCAGAGCACTCAAATTGAATTCTTGTCCGCTTTCTTTTTTGATCTGTCAACCGGTCACATAAAAGACATATGGTCACATTTATCATCTACCCAGTGTAACGGATAGATTGTTGTTTCGAGCTTATTGAGAGGACTGTGTCTCCCCAGCAACGTTTCGGACTCACTGCTTCAGATATTCATCCAATTTCACTGCATTATCAAGCCGTGCAACAATGCCAATGTATCCATCAGTCCTAATTACTGCCAGTGCGCCCTGTGCGGGGTCCACTCCGTAGACCTTAGTAAGTATCATCCAGAGTAGCTCCGTCATAGAAACACAACTCCGCCTGCTGCTCCACACGAGCAGGGACATCATCCTACTGAAACGATCGATGGAGCCCAGGGTGTAGGACGGTCTGTTCAATGATTGTAGGGGGAAACTGACTAGTTAGTTGTGTGATTGCGTTAAGTGATAGCATAGAAAATGCTATTTCGGTCCAGAAGGTCTGCCGATGTGAGACACAAGATATGGAAACGACCTCTTGAAGGTGTATTCTTGTTTCGCTTTAACTATAGGTCCTCCTCTATAAGGGTGGCTCTTACTATCATGAATATCCCTCTCCGATCTATCAGCATGTCGTAGCACTCTAACATTCAATAGTCTTCGTTCTAGTCGGAGAATTCCGGATAGATAGTCCGTTCTTATTATGGGGTTGCTAAGACTATCTAGGCCGTCTCGGACTACAATCAAGTTCTCGGAGTACTCGATACATAGCTACTGGTGAACCTATTTCTACGGCTGAAGGTCTGCTGAAACTACTCTTAGGTAAGACTCTCTTTTGCCCTTGTCTTGCCAGAGAACATAGTTGAGAATTTCCGGTCGAAGTGGATGAGTTGCTAGGCAATTTCGTGTCGCTCGGTTTAATATGTGTGGAGCAAAGAAGTTAGGTTTTCGCTTGTTGATAGGGTGACAGTCCATTGATGTGGTAGGCCAATTTCTAGCAGAACTTGCAGGAGTCTATCATAGAGACATTCATGTCTTAGCCGGCCTGATGAGGTTGAGATTGTTAGTCATTTAGTTAACAATAGGTATATTCGTACCGGTACATAATTTAGGAGTATAAGTATGATAGGCTATATAATTAGGATTTATTGTTAGCTTTTCAACACGATATTGGCTAAGGGAGAAGTACTATCACCAGCCATAAACACCGGAGCGGCTCCTTTAGAATTCTTCGCAATAAACTTAGGTAAAACCCACTGTCCAATCTAATACGCTACTCACTAATAAACGGTACCTTCCTTTAGCCAGATATAATACGGCTACATTGCATTAACGGCCTGCTTCAAGATCCCTTCTAGAGTGATCTTGCTCCTCTGCTCTCTAGTATTTTAAGATTTGATATAATTCGCTCCGTTTGGTACCTAGTCGCTGTCTAGGGCTACTATATCTGGGACATACACATAAAGGCGAGTAAGGTATTCCCCTATAGCGATCTTCTCTCGCACAATAACCATCACTAAACAGGTAGGGGAGTATATAGCACATATTCGCCGGATATTAGAGGAATTCTGTATCAGCCACTAGATCCACGACACCCTAGATATAATACAGCGACTCGCTTTCTAGCTATAGACCCATATACTGCCGGACCACGGAGTGCGCACCATCAACACTAGCAAGATATTTCGTTCTTACCACCTTTTCCACGCCGCTAGTACCCATAATAACAAGAACCAGGAACTCCTCGTCCTGCTCATTAATCCGCACGTCCACATTAGTATCGCGAAAAATACCCCTCTTTGAATACCTCATTCAATCCATCCCTATAATACGTTCAGTACGCCCCTAATGAATAGTAGCTTCATAGGGGAATCGCACCAGAGATAGAACTTCCGGAACCATAGTAGTGCGTTCAATTGCCTTTTTCGTGTCGGTGGAAGTGTTCTAGAACGCGAATTGCCACATTTGGCATACTTCTCTGTCGATCTCGTCGGAGATCCCTAGATTCTTGAATACTTCCATTGTGCGGGGCTATAAGCCATACTTGGCCTGATTTCAGGGTGTTAGGCTTCCAGTCGATGTATAGGAGGGATTTGTCGTTTAGGCCATAGCGGGCAAGAAGGAGATTAGGATTAGTCCGGCTAGTCCTGCCTGTGATGAGATATATTCGTGAGATTTGGGAGCGATAAAAGCAAGAGGTCGTGAGTTGAGGGACATACTCCGACGATGACAACTTCATATATTTCTCTATTTTTATCTTTAAGCGAGAATAAAAGTGTCAATCGAGGAAGTGCTGGTGCAAAAGACGGAAGGACACGTTGGTTTCATGAAGAAGGAGCATACTCTGTAAAGATCGGCATCTTTCTGTACGACAAATCTGTTAAGGAGGAAGGTGAAAGGTATTCTGGATTGGTATTGTCTTCTTTATATTCTATTTACACTTCAAGATATCTATACTACTACCCTCTCCCCTCGGTTGTGATAATTATTTTGCCTATGGGAAAGGGCCTCTATCCCCACTGGCATTTTTTGCGGGGTGCTTGGAGCTCTGTTTGTCTCAATAAAAAATGGTTTGGATGATGAACTGGCCCTATGATGCGACGTGCAAATGTGGCGTGCACGCGGCTTTCATCAAAACTTTCCTGATATTCCTCCCTAGATTTTGGGCCTACATGGGTGGACCCTCACCCCGTTGGAATACGTATGTGGCTTGCGGGGTATAGAGAAGGCGATTAAACACGTCAACAAATGTTATTCCTCATACAAGTTTTACAGAGTGAGCATTTCATAAGATCACCTACCAAGGGCCGTGGGTAGCATTTTTGACACCATCTACCTTGAGGTACATGTGACCAGGCGGTCAAGTCAGAAGAGAAAACAACGAAAACGATGGTATTAGATCTGAGTAGTATGGTCGACGGGACTTCCAATTTTGGGAGAAGAAGAAAAGGAAATAATGAAGAAGTCCAGCTATCTACACGATGCATATCACGTGCGCCATTGCATCGCCGCGCCAGGGCACAGCATCAGGCTGGTCACATTGGAGTCGGCGCAAGCATACTCGACAATGAAACGGACGCTTATCGAAATCCATTCAAAGCAATCAGTACCGTTGGGTTTGTTTCAATATATTTTTCGAGAGCTACAAGAAATGTCCAGCAATATTCCTGTCGAAATGCGCGCGCTGGTCTTCCAGTGATCTTCTGACCACTCATGCCCTTGCCATCAACACAACGTCCTCCGAAATGTAAATTTCCTTTAGTATGATGCTACCTACCCGGCCATTTCTCATTGCCTGCCTCTGAGGCAAGTATTCTAAACAGCCAACGAGCGATGGAACCGAGGGTCAAGCCAGTTTTCAAGACTCGCAAGCCTACCAGGACATTGTTCAAGGCGCTCTGAGCTGTATTGAAGCCGCCGCCAAAACGGGTCATTTGCTTCATGAACTTCTTGTGGCAGGTATGCTCTTCAATAATATGTCTCTTGTGGTGTAAGTAGCAAGCCAAGGCGTAGCAATGTTCCTTTTGGCTAATGCGGGAACAGCGCATGGGTGTTTGTGTCAGCGTGACGATTTGTGCCGCTTATTTTGGGCAGTTAGGTGACACGACGGATTGTGAACTTGCCATCCACCGGGCCGGTCAGCTTTTACAACATTTTACGCTGAATAGCCCTCAGGCGGAACGGTATGATAATATACTAAAAGAATTATTCAAGGCCGTCATGGTCTATATCAATAGCTTGAGCCAGTGCGATCTTGTCGACCGGCGTGCCATCATGGCAGGCATATTCGGACTCGATGTGCAATATAGCTATGACCTTTCGGGGACCAATGGTACATCTGCTCCTACCAGTCCGTGCGCAAATCGGCAGCAGCGAAACATTTCCTGCTCGGTAAATCTTCAACTATTCATACCTCTCCAACAGCTACTGGAGAGGAAAACGACCCCAGGAAGTTGACTGGCGTCGAGGACTGTCTGTCCTAATATGATATTTCATCCTTCTATGTAGATGGGAGCAGGGGCTTCCATAATTCCAGCGATCGAACCGTGATTAGTTCTTCCAATTTCGATAATTTTGCCAGATTAAACCCCTCTCTAGACCTCCGTGATACCACTAGTATTTGGGAGATCGATTGGGATGGGGGCTTTTCTAGTTATTAGTGACACAAAACAAACCTATTGTTTTCAAAGGTCTCTGTTTGGATCGTACAAATTGTATATTTTGTTGCTATTGGATCACTCTAAGCCCCTTGAAAGACATTTCACCATCACCTTCTCTCTCTTTGTTGAATACTCTCGATTGGAATGCTGTGTCCAATTTCGGCCCGCTCGAGCCTGTACTGTACTGTGCGAATACAAGATGCGACAACGTATAGACATGTACGTAATTATTAATGAAAGTTACCCGCGTAGCGGTAGCTCCGATCGGACCTCGTGAGACACCTCGCTCTTCCCTGCGCTTGTACTTCACTCATCACTACTTACTATTACACGAGTATTTTTGGTTAGGCTTGGGTGAGCTCTCAAAAAGGCAGGTACAAGCAGAAATAGCTTTTGGTTCGGCCTTACGGAAGAGGCTGTTTGATAATTGCCCTTCCATTGCCACTCATCATCTACATTCCAAATTTGAAAGCACTCGGACGTCTAAGCCCAAACACGAATTGTCTTCGAAGAATTCCTCGTTCACAACGATCAAGACAACATATATTTACGTGCCTTTCATGCGGAATCGGACATTCCAACCCTCCAAGAATTCATTCGAAACAATCCTCTTGGAGTTTTCACGACGGCAATTCCTTCACCGGGCTTTCTGACACTCCAAGAAAGCCGTATTCCCTGGATTATTGACACGACGAAATATATTTCCAAATCTGCCAATGTGTTTCGCATAGACATATGGCTAGACAGAACTCCAAAGCAAAAACCTTGATTGAACCAGCAAAATCTACAATGGTAGAGGGGGCAAAGGTGGTATAGAGCTCAAGGATGAGGTTCTGGTGCTATTCACAGCAAACGTTTACCAAAAGAAGAGATGTTAATCAATTAATGAGGTCTGCTTGCCCATTTTCCCACGGCCAATCTCGAGAGCAGAGCTTGATATTCAATGAATCTTGAGGGTTATCTACTGATTAAATTGTGGAAGCGCTGGGCTTATGGCCAAAGACCTCGCGAACATGATCTTCTATCTGCAGGAGAAGAGGGCCCGGAGTTTTAGACACTAGCCTCTTTTGTATAGCCAAAATTCGATCTGCCACCTCGTGCCAGTGAATATCCTGGTTTGTTTCCAAGAAACCACTCTTTTCATTCCAATCAGTACCCTTGACTGGACATAGTTTCCCATTTTCCTTTCTCACCTCTCCATCTACAAGCACAGTTTTGACATCGCGTATTGTGGAATGTAGCACAATAGCCATGACAGGATCCCGCTGAGCAACACCAATCATAGCGGGACTGAGAGCATCAAATATTACCAGATCCGCCTTTTTGCCCACTTTAATACTACCAATGTCACGCTCCATGCCCAGGGCACGGGCACCATTGATAGTGCCCAAGTTGAAGGCATGAGAAGTTTTGTGTGTTACCTCTCTGGGCCATATTCCGCTTTGGTTGTGAGTTTCACTTTCAACCCCTCTTGCTGTCTGCAATGCCATCCGCATCTCATTTACCATGCTGCCGCTTGTTGCTGAGTGACAGTCGACACCTAGAGAGCATACTCTATCGATACCGGGAAGATCTTTCCGGAAGCAGACTGGAGGTCCAACTGCCATGGCAAGTTCGGTATTCGGTGTAGCAGAGACAAAGCAGTTTGCATCGTTCAATAACTTGACATCTTCTGAGGTAGCTCCACCACCATGGGAAAGCACGATGCCTTTCTGTAACAAGCCATAAGACTTTAACAAGGCAGGTAGACTCCCACTATCTTTGACGAAGTTTTGGATGAAATGTGATGTAATTACCATCGTGCCCAGGGATTTGACTTTCTGGAAAACCCCCAAGACAACGTCTTTGGGAAGATGATAGAAGTCAAACCCGAATCCCAATTTGACACGAGAACCGGGGTCGTTGAGTGGTTGCGATGTGGCAAGTTGCTCAAAGGTTTCCATAATCCAATTAGGCAAAAGCTCGGGTGAAAATTCAATCTTCGGCTTTGTACTTGCAACAATGTAAACCGGAGTAAAACCAAAGATTGAGCGCACGCCTGAGGAAATTGTCCCGGCTATTGCGGACCAGCCTTGGCATCGAAATCAGTATCGGAATATCTCATCGAGGGCTGCTATACTTACTGTGATCTTTGGACCAGTTCATATGAGCATGATCCAGAGTGGTGGTTGTTCCGGCATCGATAGATTCCATACTCCCTGCTAGATTCGCCCAAAACATATCTTCTGCTTTGAGTTCCATCCCAGCGGCAATTACTTCATATTGTTAGTGATTTATCGCTTCGATTTCCATTTAAGGTGCACGAACTGATTGCAAGATACGGGAAAAGAGCTGTGTCTCCGAAGAATCCCTTGAGAGGAGACTGCCAAACATGGCGATGTGTATCCACAAAGCCAGGGGAGATGATCTTATCGGTACAGTCTATGACATGACATCCAGGGGGCGCAAGAATGGAGGCCTCTATCTTAGAGATTCTGTCTCCCTCAATGAGGATATCAGCCAACTCGGGGAACACATCGTCCTTCTCGCCATGAATTAGAACGATTCCTCCTCTGAGGAGCTTTGAGGCTCTGTTACGAACAGCTGTGCCTCCTCTCAGAAGCGACGACATGATTAAACGATGGCTGTGCTGGTTGTTGAATGAGAAATCCGAGTAACAAGACCATGGGATGGGCCGAGGTAGAAATGGATGGACAGTTAGATTACAGATGGAAATTTAGATTAGGGGACAGGTCTTATATACGAAGTCTAGACAGGGTAGTTAGCGAAAACGCAGAAGATGAGCAAGTCGTGATTTCTGTGGAACCGGAACTATCGTCGGTGTTAAGAGCATAAGGCCGCAATTTCTACCGTCTTTTCCAGGGCCACAAAACGTCTCCTCCTGCATCGACACTAGTATACTCTCCATTACAGGACAAAAGAAGTTGACGCTTGTACCCACCGCCAGAGTGCTTGGAAATAAGCTCATGGCACCATACGAGTAGGCCAAAAAGCTTTCAACAAATCATGTAATATACTCACAATGGGACTTGACAATCAATCATGTAACGTGTAAGTATTCAGTATCAACCAAAACCGTGTGGTGGCAACTCAGATGCAGCTTTGGGTTCATAGAACCTTGTAAGAACTTACCCAAATAACTTCCCTTTTTGGAAAATGATACAGTGAAAATATTCACTTCGGCACATGTTAGCCTTCGGAGAGTCCTTGCATGACGGCCCGTGGGCAATTTGTCCAGTGGGCCTCCAAGCGGCATTTAGTTCCACTGCAAAATGTCTTTAAGTACGCAAATACACCATGGATATTTAAGTTTATTCTTGACCTAGCACTGAGAATGACTAATCATGGATCCACTCCAGACAACTTCTCTTCCTGGAAAGGATGAACTCTATTAAATCGACAAAAAGTCTATTATCGAATACTTTGTCTGCGAAGCATAGTGTCAGACCGCCTTGAAATATATCGACTTCTAGAACTTTGATGAGACTAGATTTGTAATAGGGCTCGCACCAGCGCACCAGCGCAAACGATTGTTATTTAAGCCGAATACTATGGTTGGCGATTAGTTTCATAACTAGGAAACTATAAATGAGTAACTACGATCGAGGCTATCTGCGCTAATAGCTATATACTATCTCCGTTTGTGATTTTCTAAGGTAAAGTTTATATAGAATCCTAGTTCGATAACTTACCGCAAGACCAGGCATTGAGGTCTCGAATAGCGGCTAAACTATTGATGAGATTGACTTTCGCTAACTTTAAAAAGTATTTATCCAATCAAAAAATCCGCGTGTACGGTGTAGACATCGACTTCTGATTCTTAGCGGCCACGGTAGCCATCTAACACCTCGATATGATCGAATCTGCGCAGAAAACTGGTTTAAATGCTTTAATAGTTCCTTAAGCATTGGTCATATAGCCCTCCGAGGAGCCCATCAAAAATTATGGTAGATCAGATCATCAAAGGCCACTATATATCACTGCACAACACAGCGTTACTAGCACAGAGAAATGCAAATATACGCGTAGCGAATGAGAAGAAACGCTAGAAAAACAAACCATCACGTCGATTAATGCCATATGATGGAGGTCTGTCAGTCGAAGAAAGTCTTCAGCTAGCTCAGCAGCTAACTTAGCTAGTCTAAGATCACCGAGTAGACTTACATACGCAAGGTGATCTGCCTAATTAGCAAGATCAGCCAACCAAAATGGCTCCACTAAGAGTATTGGATGCAGGAAGATTGACTACAGGGTCACTTCATGTAAAAAATGCTATGTTCAGTGTAGTTAATGCGTTTTGTTCGAGATAATATGATTCAAGCTTTCCTAATGGGAGTAGATGGCTAACCCGATTATGTGGCCAATCCGCTTGTGAATTACGTTAATTAACCTCAACTTTTCGGGCCAAAAGATGAAAGCACAAGGTTGTGGAAATATGAAAGCGGATCGGGAGACATCATGCGAGGAGGGGAAGCCTTGCCGCTGCCCGTTTCATAGGCCGGCCCAGGCTTAGCCCGCACCTGATCACAGGGTGAAAGACGATCAATCTTTACATGGTAATGTCGCCCCAAACATAACAAAAAAACCAAAACTTGGTATGACTCAAAAAGGAAGTGATCAGGGCGGAGCAGATATTAATCAACTGGCTTCTATGGGAGTTGCACATCGGGTTTAAACGAAACAGGATTCGGTGGTGGACATGAATGGACCCACCCAACTCAACTTCCTTTCTAGGTAAAATCGGATCAATAAGAAGCCGCCACTGCATTCTTTAACAACTGAGGTTACCACGGCCCCACCAGCATAGCCCCCTACCGCAGTCGCTCTACCAGTACTATACAGTATGATTGCTAACATCGCTATAGATACGGAAGCACCATCTGTTTTCTCCACAACTTGGACGGAGAACCAAATGATATATAACCCCGACGCGCTTCCCTGAACGCTCCACTACCATACACAAAGTAACTAGTCGACCGTCAACCACCCAAAAGCTACTTGCAAGACCTCCTCAGCAGCACGCACGGAAAATGAGCACCCCGCTAGAAACCTACAAGTTCTGCATAATCGTGGGTGCCGGTGTAGGAGGACTGATGCAGGCTGCAGAGCTGGTACGGAAGAAGGTTCTATCTATACACGATCTGCAAATCTTCGAACGGGACAGCGACTACGGTGGAGTTTGGAAGGCGGCTACTTATCCCGGAGCGGCCTGCGACGTATTCAGTTGCACGTACCAGATTAGTTGGCATCGAAACCCAGGTGCGTTATACTCGAGAGCTGGAATTCGATTGTAGTGGAACTAGTTTGTCCTTACCCTCTGTCACTACCGAGCCTCCTGGCTGACGTTTGTGTCGCCGAGAAGATTGGGACTCCCTCTTTCCCACAGGCGCAGAGCTCGTCCAATATTACAGACAATTTGCGGAGCACTATGGACTCCCCCAGTGCACGACCTTTGGCCAAAACGTTGTACAAGCCACATGGTCCGCGGAGAAGTCTTTGTGGATAGTAGATCTGGAGGATGTTCACTCCGGAAGTCGAACATGTTGGACTTGCCGTGTGTTGATCCAAGCGGCCGGCACCTACAATCGCAAATCCATTCCGGAATACCCTGGCATGCATTTGTTCAGAGGAGAGATGTGGCATGCGTCTGACTGGCCAGAGAACTACGATTTCGCGGGGAAGAGTGTGGCATATGTGGGCACCGGACCAACATCCGTCCAGGTCCTTCCTTACATCCAAGCCCAGGCGAAAGATGTCAACGTGTTCTGCAGAAGTATGACTTACTGTCATCCATTCACAAACATTAAGTACCCAGGCTGGGTAAAATGGGCGTTCCGGTGGATCCCTGGCCTGCTTGCTCTGTACGCCCTCATTGTCGCATCGCTCTTTGCCCTTTGGGCCTACTTCGCCTTTAGACCTGAAACCTGGCTTGCAAGATACACGGAGCGTTATTGTCGCAGGACTTTGGAGAAACGAGTCCCTGATCTGGCTCTCCGGGAAAAGTTGAACCCTATCGGTCGATTTGGGTCAAAAAGACCACTGGTCTCTCTCTCGGGATTCTTTGAGATTCTCCAGAAGGAGAATGTCAATGTGATCAGCAATCCAATCATAGCCGTGGACGAAACTGGCATCATCACAGAAGCACCCTCGACGAACGATGCGATAATTCAGATGGATGACGTAGAAATCAGTGTTTCAAGCGCCTCCACAGACAGGCCAAAAGTTGGAGGCACACATATAAAGGCAGATGTTCTCATCTGGGGCACCGGGTTCCAAATGCAGGGATGGGGTGGAGCGGTGCCCACTGTAGGCTACGAAGGCAAACTGCTTAGCGAACACTGGAAGGATTACCCGAAGACGCTCTTTGGTACGTGTGCTCTCCATTTACTTCTGTGGGGTCCCTACTGATTATGACAGGCACTATGACATCACATTTCCCCAACCTCATTCTGGTCAACGGTCCGAATACAACGACTCCTTGGGGCAGCCTGATACGGAGCCTCGAACATCAGACAAGCTTCAACCTCAAAGTTATCAGCCACATTCATGAACGCTCGGCAGACGATCCCAGCTACGCTATAGAGCCTCAACCAGAGAAAGAGTCTGCTTGGACGGAGTCGATGCAGCCAGAACTCGACAAGCTAGCCACCAGCCCTAAATATGGACCCGGATTCTACTATCTCAATTCTAAAGGCCAGAACACGTTCTTCTGGCCATGGCCGCAGCGATATTACTGGTGGAAGACAAGAAGATTAAACCTCAGAGATTATGTTGAGAGATTTGGCATCCACAAAGAACACTGATCTACTAGAAGCTTCTATGCTCACTTTCTCTAGTTAATGGATAATATCAATGGTTCATCATTTAACGTATCACTAATTGGATATATATCAAACCAATTTAGTGTACAATCTCTTGCTTCCTTTGCTGTTTCTATCTCATGATGAGTGGATGCCCCTGTAGGTATTCAAACTGTTCATCTTCCATATCGAACCTCGAAGCAGATAGGAACATCATTAACTCCTAAATTGTCACACGCGTGAATCTTCAGCGATAATGACAGATAACTTGAGCAGTATTAAATTCCCGTTCAAAGCCGGCTTCAGTTGTAGGAACCAAAAGCACATCCCGAGTGAGGGCTAGACCTCGGAATTACCCTCGCGAGGGTCCGGAACTTGGACACTCGACCCTCACCTCGCGAGGGTCGGCCCAAAACTTTTGACCCTCACCTGACCCTCGACCCTCGCCGACCCTCGCGCGGGTGACCCTCACTGACCCTCATAGACCCTCATTTTCATAAAATTTCTGCGCTTTACCTAATTCGGATGGATAAAAATGCTGATTCATTCAATAAAATACCGTTATTTATACCTGTTTTTGAGTAGTTTGGATAATAGATATTGTAAATCCGCCAAAATAAATTGAATCTTTTTGAAATCTCTCTAGATTTAAATAATACTCTCTTGAATCTTTAGTACTTTTACTAGCTATGTATGGAATTTTATTCAGGTAATTAAGATAGGTTGGCTAATAGACGTGTTGTTTGGGTGTAAATATATATTTAACGTGAAAATATACTAGTGTATCCGAATGGATTTTTATCGCATATGTATTTAATACTAAGGTCGATCGTGCTGAATCTTGGACACATAGGCAAGAGACATTTAGTAATTCTAATAGTATATCTATAATTATATTTTAGTATAAAACGAGGTTAATGCGACTCTTAAAGGTATGTCTTTGGGACTCAATTGGACATAGGTGGATTTTTTTGGAAACTATAAGGGTCGTGAGTGTCACGAGACTCACCCACGGGTGACCCTCAAATTTACGAGGGTAAATCTGCGGGTGACCCTCGCGACCCTCATATCCTAGCCAATCAAGAGAGGTGAGTCCCGCTGCCAAGTAGGTTGTATAGTGATCTATCAACTTCGAACCTTCAGCTCGTAGAGCTGTCTGAACCCCCCTTGTCGTCCCCCAGTCATCATGAATTTTACTAACTATTTACTTTTCTGTAAGTCTTTTAATTTCTCCTTCAACCTTATACTTCGTCTCTCCGTAAGCTATGTGACTATGTCTCTACACTTCTCTGATCTTCCATCCTCCTCTGTCTATGAGGGGAATTCTTCGGATCCTTTCTACTTTGGTTTCCCTCCGGATTCGCAGCTATTCACACCAGAGACCTTAGGAAGCCAAACAGCCTCAGTTGTTAAATCAGACTTTATTTTACCTCTACCAACACCTCCTATCCCCGAGATCTCAGCCTATCTGCTGGATGGTACAATGAACTCAATGAATTCAAGATGTTTCATTCTACGTTACGGTGTCGGCCAGGCAAATCGGCTAGGCGGTGTATCATTGTACTTGGTGGTGCGGGGTTCATAACCCAGAGGGCTGCGTACATCTCGACAGCTATACAATTGTCTTTATTCCGGAGGATATCGTTTGACCTTTAATTCGTCTGAAACCCGCCAAGGGAATCAGGCACCAAATTATGTCAACATGTGAAGAGGCAGAAAGCTCTGCGGGCAATTGTCTCTGCGGTGCAATCCAGTTTGAGATCCGCGGTAAGCCGGAGACAACTATCGTCTGCCATTGTGATAGCTGTCAAAAGGTCTCTGGTTCTGCGTTTATGGTGAATTGTTGGTTCAAAACAAGTGTTCGTATTCTACATACCTGTCTCTACCCGAACTACGACTCCGTTATTTGCAGGAATCCGTCTGACCATTAGAATAGAATCTCAAAATCATCAGTGGAGATGACCAACTACAAGAATATGAGAACAGAGAAACCTTTTCAGGATTGGTCCTCAAACGTTCTTTCTGCAGAGTCTGTGGATCGAATATGTTTCTCCAGAATCAGCACTTGAAAGATATGGGCTTTATTTCAATAACCACCGGGACGATCGAGAAAAAGGAGCACCTTCTTCCTGCTATTGAGTTTTTCAGTAGAAACAGACGACCTTGGGTATCCGAGATACCTACAACAGAGAAAAACGACGCCCAGTGAGAGGACTTATGGCAACCGCTATTGAATTTACCCTCAGTTCAGAGTTTCTTCGGTTGCTTTGCAGGGCCAAATGTTGACACGTCCAAAGCTAAATTATGCCATATCCATAATTTCTCCATAATCCCCATTTTGTAGTATTCAAAAGAGTCTAGATTCTTCGCTGCATGGTAGGCGTCGACACATAGGTAAGACGGACAGTATAGGACGCGAGATACCAGTACAAGTCGCGGACTCGAACCGTAGAAGCTTTCGGCCTTGTCGCAAAGCATTTGCAGCGCTGGCCTTGTCTGTTAGGCCCTTTTATTAAGGTACGGTATGCATGATTACATGGTGGTGCGTGCCATTAGTGGCAAGATTAGGTGGACCTAGACCTTGCATGCCTAGCCATCATTGCTCTCTTAGAGCAAGAGATGTCCAGGAAAGAACAATGTTCATTCTTCCTTTCCAGGAACCAACATCACTACCGTTCGCAGTCAACACAATCATCTCTGAATCCTCACCAAACTGGAGTGCAGTCGTAAAATCTAGAGCTACTAGATCTCTTCAGGGAAAGAGTGGGAGGTCTGATAATCGCGCCAAAATTTCATTGAGTACAGCTTCTACGGTGATATGGGGGTGCTTGCGAATATACATGGTGGTGAATAAGCGTGCAGATTTGAAGTAATGGTTAGTTGAATGAAAGCAATGACTACAGAAAGCTTGCCCTAAAGGAAAATTTTCAGAATGCATCTGCACATCTGCATCTACTTAAGGTCTAGACTGGATGTACATCCTTTGGCGAACAATAGGCCTAGCGTAGTCATATAAGATAAGTGGTCATTGGCGAATTTCATGGTCAGATGAATGTGGCTCATGATGAATTCATCAAACTGAATCTTCCGATTCGTTGTGGGGAATAGGACGCCCTAGTAGTATTCCAGCTTTCGAAGGAATATAGTCACAAGGCGTTTGTGGATGCCATGGTAAGAGGCACACTGTTCCAAGAACGCATCTGCCTCGTTTAAGAGTAGAACGGCGTTGAAGTGTTTGTCAATCTTGAATATGCGCTCAAGCTGCTGCTCAAGCGCACCAGAATCACCTCCATCGACAACAAGTTCACCCGCCTATATCTAGGCAAGTTAGTGAACTATTAGCAACCCTTATGGACAATGCTTACAGAATAGAGAAGAAGATCAAGCCGCTTTGAAGTTGCTTCAATGGTAAAGATCTTTCCGACACCGGTCCGGCCACTAGGAAAATCAGATGGGAAGCAATAGAAGGGACCTTCTAAACCCACAGTAAAAGGATATTGAGCCCGCGTCCTTTCCCATAGGTCACATCATCGAAAGTTATTGCTGGTACTAAACCCAGGCTGGCTTATGCCAAACAGGAGAGGAGCGTTTTTGTCTTCAACGAGATCTCTAGACTGTCGAAGGATTCGGAGATCCACTGCACGTCCTGAAGCGCACCAACAGCACATTCCACTTAATTGTACTAGCTAGGTAGCCATGTGGCAGCACATGATACTTACGGAACAGCTTTTGAAGCTGAAACAGCAACTGTTGTACATGCGATCAAGAAATCGACCTCCCGCAATTCTTGTCTGTCCACGCTCTCCTCCTGTATTCTTTCCTTCTCCCGCTCACGGCCCCTGCTGATTAGCATACAGTGTTTCTTGAAATCGCCTTGACCAATACACACGAGATATCTATTTTCTGTCCACGCCGCTAAGGCCTTGGCCCAGATCAATCATTGAGTGGGCCGCGTTAGTTCAAGGGCACAGTAAAATGCCCTTTGTATGTTACAGTACCTAGCTGCGTAAAATTACACTATACATACACAAGCCCGTAGAATTCCATAGAAGCCTCATCGGTGTCTGTGGCTTGGCGTAAGAATATCAACGGTTTGTGACCTTATTAGTAAATCTATATGCGACAGGCTAATCCAGAGCACAGTTCAAACGCTGGATGTTATACACTACGGATCGAAGGTTCGAGGCCACTCAACTAGCACATGACTTCGCAGAAACTGCGACAACTTGCGGGGGTCTCAACAGCGGAGTACGTTGAGCCACGACTCAAGCATCCCACTCGGACACTGGGATGGACGGTGTCTAAGCTCTTAGCGACTTTGTCGACGCTCTATCCTACTTTTTCTCCTGTTCGGTGGCTCTTCTGAAAACCCTTGACAAATGCCTCGAATCTGCCGTCGCCCAGGGATATAAGTTTGCGCAGGAGAAGAGTGCCGACTGATAAATACCAATCTAATAGACGGCAAGTGCATATGGACTGCACAACCAATATCAGTGTGGAAGATACTATAATCAGTTGCCAAGGACACATGGAGGAAATGGGGACAGGACAGATAGCGGGATCAAGTTTGTGAAAGTTATTGGAATCTCCACCGAAGTAAGAGGCTAAAGTCCACGCGGGATTGTGTCTAACCGAGCGGGGCGTTGATTAGCCGCTTATTGTGGGATGTGGGGATGTGGTCAAAATCAACAAGATGGAAGATGTCTGGCATTCTGAGTATAATCAAGCTATCTACAGAACGCATAGTAAGCGAGATGAACGCGCACTAGCAAAAGCGTCAAAAAGATAAATGCAGTTTAGTGCTGCAAACCTTTTATGGATCTACCATGGACACCATGGATCCCGACACTCTTATCAGCAGAAGGACGAATCACAGGGCCGAAAATGGATAGAATAACCTGCGGCAAAACAGTGTTGGGCAAGAGGCACCTGGGCCTTTGATCCTCTTGAGTCTGGCTTTGGTCTGTCAGGACGAAGCTGTTGAATCAAATTCCGCTAGTGGGGAGACGATAGGTTGTTACGGGTTTACCGTCTTATCATCTTATCAGTGGATCGCGATTGAAAGTTGAACCCCCAAAATAGGAAACAGCCATTGCCTCGACTTTCAACGCGTCGATATCGCCGACCTAGACGTGTTATTACGTGTCTGTTGAGTCATTGCCAGCCACATGACTTTAATAGGAAATATGGTCACGAACTGGCTGTCTAGGGTGAAGGACATAATTGATCCCGATGGTTGGATGGGATGTTCCGAATGTCCGCAGAGATATATATACACACCAATTCGATCATCAGGAAGAACCACCACCACCACAACACCATGTGTTGGACCAGATGCGCTCTCCGGAGTATCCCGCGTGTTTCACCGAAAGCCAGTCGGGATCGACAAGACGATGGTCGAGTCCACTGCGGCTGTACACGTCGAGTACACCAGACATCTTGCAAATAGCAGCGCACATTGCAAGGGACAAACACATACCACGGTTGATAGCAACCTCACCAGAAATTCGGCCACAACACAGCAGGCAATCTAGCTGAGCGAGAAAAATAAATATGGCTCCACGCCATTGAAGAGTAGCTCCTTACAGTACGATTATGCCCACCTCTACCGAAATAATGCACTCGTCGACCCTGATAAAACTGGAACGCAGAAAACAGTACAACGTCAATACCAGCCTGCCAGCAACGGTGATGGATGCTGCGATGTTCTCATCAACAAGAGTAGTGAGTGAATTCTCCTTTCACAAAAAAAAACATTTTTGCAATTATGTGGCAAGGTAACCAGCTGGCGCAGGAGCTGCCGCCGACATGAATGGATGCCAAGAATCTTGCTGTGAGTCTAAAGTCCTCTGCCACAAAGCTGTTGCTGACCTTTTCTGAACCGCTGGCAGACGCCGCGCCGGCAGAGGCCAACTCGGACCTCGCGTGGAAGAAACTCGACTGTTTATAGAGAGTGGAAGCCTGCTCAGCGAAATCCGACTGTCTACATGTCAGCCTGCTTTTACCGCGCAATTCGTCCTACCAAGATCCTCTGTCGATTTGCTCGTCTGCTTCCACGACTTCGGCATGAAGGAGCACTTTTTTTGTTCAACGACAATTAAATGCACGCGACTGGCTGGCAATTGCGAAGCGTAAGGAAGTCACGAAATCCCTCCACTGTCACATTTTTGTTATTGTGTGCTATTTCGCTTACTATACATTCTGCACTATTAAAGAGATAGCCAGAATATCCTTAGAATGTCGGACTTCTTCTATTTTGTGGTCATGATGACACACCACCATTACTAGTTGGATAATTAGTGGCGGATCAATTCTCCACCTGGATTCGATAAGAAGCTCTGCTGAAGATTTCGACCAGGTCTTTGACCTATGCCCCTGGACTTTAGGGTAAATGAAAATACCGTCGAAGATGAACGAGAGCGCGTCTTACCAGATAAGACGCTCTGCCTCGAGATGTCGTATCTTGCGCGGGGCATTGGGTTGGAGGAAAAAGCATATGTGGGCTACTCCGCTAACCGGAATACCATGCAATGCAGGTCTTTCGACAGACAAAATTGTACAATAAGTTAAGAGCCGTATCAGTAGTTACGAAACCGCTGGAGAATGGGCACAGAAGTCGCAACTTTACTGGAAGTCTTAAAATACTGCCGTCGATACCTTTCACCTAGTCAGGTATACTTATGTATATGAGATTCACCCAGTTCGAAGCCCTATCGAGTACAGCACAGTACAGTGACCTTCCTAGAATCTTACAATACCGAACGCAGTGCACTTTTCGACCTCCCGCAAGTTAATCAGGACAGGTCAAATGATTGATCTGCGCTAAGGACTTGATGGTGGGGCCAGCGCAGAGTCACTCAGTGTGTGTTGGTCAAGGCGATTTCGAGCCAGCCTGTATACGCTATCGAGTCGCAGACTACTTGGTGAGATTTATGATGATGGTAAGAGTCGATCAACACGGTCAGATTTTGACTGGTGATCTGCTTGTTTTGAGCGGGCTGTTGGGGATGTGTATCTCCATGTTGATGATGGCTGCTTGTGAATCAATAGGTTGTTCAGACGACGCTCGATCAAGTCTCACAGGTGATGAGAGTCTCATAAGGTCAAAACTTTACTATTCTTGTGGCCTCAAGGTAATTTGGGTAGCGGGGTTGAATACGTCGCATTTAATGACAGTCACATCAACGGTTGTTAAATGCCCAAGTGAATGTGGCCTAAAATCCGGGCACTGTTATCCCAGTTTGAAATGAACTTTACTGTGGCAAGCGCCATGTTGAACTAGGGCTTCCACGTAGTTTTGAGTCAACGAATTTTCTATGCCAGCCTCAAATTCTCGTCTACTGTATTGCTGCCCGCTACTCTGTTCTTTCATTGAAAAAAGGCTCTGAAAATATGCTTTTTACGGGCGGCAGTCCATAGATGGAACAGCAAATAACGACAATATCATTGCAATCGGAAGCATGCGAAAACAATCAGTTATTCTCAACCCGCACATATTTTTGGTGACAGAATAGTTCTTGAATCAACGTTGAACTGTAAATACATGAGATGGTCACACCCTGAAACGTGAGTATTTCAGTGATGGTTGAATAGTTCTACTTGCACCACAATTCCTCAAATTCGTAGACGGCGGAGGATTTGATCGTGAATCAACGTTTCTTGAACGATACCATCTCCATAAGGCCGCCGAGCATCACTATCTCAACAGGACCCTGGTGAGTGTTTCTGGCTGGCCATCTAAAATTGGTATTGAAAAAGGTTCTTCAAATAATGGAGGTAAAATGAAGACATGGCTTTCAACGGCCCTCAGTTAGAGTTAGTATCCAGATGTATCCTTCAACGTTTGCCACCAACCAAAGTACGCAAGGGACAAGACTAGCTGAGAGGTCTATAAATACCTCTAAACTCCAGTCAATTGCTCTACAAGATAATTTCATGACTACCCCAACACAGGATAGGTTCCCCTCTTTTTAGCTAATAACGGGCATTTCCACCGTCCTGACACGCATAGGATACAGCATTGACTCATGTGAGTCGGCGAGTACCAGTGATGCGGTCCATATACTCTTATTCCCCGCCAGTACTTCGGTAACAATGCATGCTCGCCGAACAAAGATGAAGGCAGATCATTCATTTGGGCGCCTTGGTCGAAACGCCTTTTCTGTACGAACATGAGTTTTCCGCCGTAACTGCCCGGCTGAGCTGATCCGTGTCCATCCCGCCTCTAGACATCCCCGAAATGCGAAAGCGTGACCGTTCATGACGCAGGTATGTGAACCTTAGCCTGACCTTGTCTGATACTGTACAGTATGACATTGAAGATGATGCGAATTAAGCAGATCCGTGCACACTGGCTCGTGCATATTGGGCTACTATGCACGAGCACAACATTCATTGAGTTCCATTGCAGGGTCGAGATCTTTTGTTGGCCAACTTGTATAGTGTATTCATACCTACAGGAGAACCTTGGTCCACTGACAGGTTAGAAAAGGGCAAAGCTTTTATATAGGACACTGGTTTGAAGACGTCTTGCAGAATGCACCTCACTACGCTCGTTTCCTTCTCTCCATGACCTTCCTCTTTTGGCATCTTCTTCGCCTTTTCCCGATCTCCCTGAGCTGCCGACGCTGATCAGACGCAAACCCAGCTTGGGTTTGCGTTTGGGTCCAAATCTTCGACCCAAAGTTGGGTTTTGGCGATGTCTACAATGGTGTGTGGTTAAAACCCAAGGGGGCAATTTGCTGGTAAGCCACTATAATTCAGCCTGAATAACTATCGCAGGCTAAATTGCACGGGGAGCAGCACAGGAGCTAAAATCATGGCGCCCATTCACCAAACTGGGTGTTCTGGATCCCCCCTTTTATGGGGTAAAAAGTGGAGAATAGGGAACACTTCTGTGTAAGCAGCTGCTGGCAGCCAACTCTAAATCACGTGCATGCCAACTGGGAGTCATTCTCTGGAGTTGCGGGGGTAGCTCGGCAATTGTGCAAGGTAGCGATGCCCGTAGCACCAAAGCAACATAAATGGCTCTTGATAGGCCTTCTTTCTCTCGGTTCCTTGATTTGGGTTATTCCGACAATTTGGGACGCATATCTAGATCCTGGAGTCTCCTGCAGGTCTTTTTGAATATCCCTTGGTCGATCTTTCAGGATTTATGTCAGACCTGTGCTCGACTTGAAAACACTTCTTCATAAGATAATAGTGTCATCACCAATGGATATCTCAGCGGAGAAGAATGTCATCGAGCAACTCGACCACATCGATGCCGTCAATCTGGCAAAGGCATCCGATGTCACCCAGCTCGTAGAACAAGATCTTGTGCCATGGTACAGGAAGAAGAATCTTCGAACCTTGTACATCGCTCTTGTTCCTTCCGCCTTAGGAGTCGAAATGACTTCTGGTTATGATGGAAGTGTGCTGAACGGTCTCCAGGCCGTTAAGTCCTGGCTCGATTGTCAGTGCTTTGTCGATGAATTTCATACAACATTTGCTAACTCTGGAGAAAGACTTCAACAATCCTCGAGGTGCTATTCTTGGTATCGTCACGGCTGCTTTCTCCCTCGGTGCTGTTGGTGCCATTCCTGCTGTTCCTTGGGTCAATGATCGTTTTGGTCGAAAGGCTAGTATCAAGCTTGGTTCTGTGTTTATCCTCATAGGCGTCATTCTCCAAACTGCATCTGTCAACAGTAGGACTTCCTTGATTCATCTCTCCTGGGTTTATGGGGCTAATTACGTACAGTTGCCATGTTCTTGGTTTCCCGATTCATTTTGGGAGCTGGTATTCCATTCGCTATCAACGGTGCATCCCAGCTCATCGCTGAGTTGGCATACCCCAAAGAGCGTGGTGTCATCACTGGTCTTTTCAACGAGTCCTGGTATGTCGGGTCGATCCTTGCAGCTGCCATCACTCTCGGAACATATCAAATGAGCAGCACCTGGGCGTGGCGACTCCCATCATTGTTTCAAATCATCCCCTCCTTGCTCCAAATCACCTTCATTTGGTTCGTCCCCGAATCCCCCCGTTGGCTCGTTTCCCAGGACCGTTCCGAGGAAGCATTCGATATCCTGGTCAAATACCACGCGGAAGGCAACCGCGACGATCCCTTCGTTATCGCTGAATTCAGACAAATCCGCGAAACCATCCACCTCGAGAAAGAAGCCTCAAACTCCAGCTGGATTGAGCTCTTCAAGAGCCGCGCCAATCTGCACCGTCTCCTGATCGCCTCCTGCATCGGCCTTTTCTCCCAATGGTCCGGCAACGGCCTCGTCTCTTACTACCTGGCCGAAGTCCTCGCAACAATAGGAATCACCGATACTCGCCGCCAGAACCAAATTAACCTCGGGCTGCAATGCTGGAACCTCGTTTCCGGGGTCTCGGGTGCTCTCATCGCCAAAAGTCTCCGCCGGCGCTGGCAATATCTTCTCTCCTTTGGCGGCATGACCGTCGTCTTCGCGTGCTGGACGGCTGCTTCTGCGATTTTCGCGCAGAATGGCAACCATAATGCTGCATCTGCGGTCGTTGCAATGATCTTCATCTACTACGGATTTTACAATCTCATGCATCCCTTGACGTATATGTACCTCACAGAGGTGTTCCCTTTCATCTCGCGGTCGAAGGGAGTCGCGATCACTCAGTTCTTCTCACGTGCTGGAAGCTCGTTCAATCAGTTTGTCAACCCGATTGGCCTGGGTAATCTCGGGTGGAAATTCTACCTTGTCTATAATGTCTGGTTGGCCTGCGAGACGGTGGTTATTTTCTTTGGATACTCCGAGACGAAGGGCCCTACTCTGGAGGAGTTGTCTATTGGTGAGTAGACCATCGGTCTTTTTGAGTAGTTCTAAGATGCTAACGCTTTTGTTTCTAGTTTTCGAGGGTAAAAAGGCAAATGTCGAGTTGGTTCACGTTAGGAACAAGGAGGGTGCACCAGAGACCGGACAGAATGAGAAGATTTGAATGCTGGTTTTGGAGAAATAGGATGTACTCTAGAAAGCATATTACTTAAAATAATATATATAGGTGCCTACTATCATGTAGACTTGGGTAACAGGTCGGGACAGCAGGGCAGGCTTTGGTCCATGTTACTGTGTGATCCTAAAATGCTGCAGGGTTAGGGTTGGAATTAGTCATTCAACCCAGTCCCGTCCCCGCAGAGGGGCGGGAGGGGGACTGGGGGAATAGAGCTTCCGGGGGAGGCATTTATCCGGTGGAAGAGATTAATGTTTTTATCGGGCGTTGCGGGCAGGTCATATTTATCCGGTGGGGGAATTAGGGGCATTTTACAATGATGTGCGGAAGTTTTCTGAGCTGCTGACATCGGTCTCTGACCGAAGGTTTCATGCGTCAAGGGTATTATTTTTTGGTCTCCTCTTGATTTTTGACCTTTGCTCCTCTGGAATACTTCCATTTCTCTCCTTTCCTTCGCATTGTAGTTCGACATAGACAGCCTCTCTTCTTCTCTTCACCAATTCCTCTCCATATCACAGGTCTATACTAGAAAGATCAGACTCTGCAACCTTTCTGATTCTAACATCATAAAGTCCGCTGCAGAAATGACAACAGGCATCCTTAAGGTCCGGGGTGACCGCGTCGTTGACTCAGCCGGCAACGACGTGATCCTCCGGGGCGCAGGCCTTGGTGGCTGGCTCAACATGGAGAACTTTATCACGGGCTACCCAGGCCATGAATCGTCGCACCGCGCCGCCATGTTGAAAGTGCTCGGCCAAGAGAACTACGACTTCTTCTTCGATCGGTGGCTAACGTACTTCTTCATGGAGGAGGATGCGAGGTATTTTGCCAGCTTAGGCCTTAATTGTATTAGGATCCCATTCAATTATCGACACTTTGAGGATGATATGAATCCACGTGTGCTGAAGGAAGAGGGCTTCAAACACTTGGATCGGGTTATTGAGTTGGTATGTCTCTTCAGTTTTTGAAACATAGTGGTGTGTTAGGGTGGCGGTGACTGGGAAAAGATCTCATATGGGAGCGGCAAGCAACGAAATCAAATCAAATCAAACGTAACGCTGATATCGCTGTCAATAGTGCGCAAAACACGGCCTCTACACAATCCTCGACATGCACACCCTTCCCGGTGGCCAAGGCCCAGGGTGGCACGCCGACAACCCGACTGCGCATGGCGCCTTCTGGGAACACAAAGACCACCAAGACCGAACCATCTGGCTCTGGACACAGCTCGCCGCGCGCTACAAACACAACTCCTGGATCGCAGGCTACAACCCGATCAATGAGCCCTGCGACCCTCAACACGTCCGCCTCCCGGCCTTCTACGCTCGCCTTGAAAAGGAAATCCGCAAAGTAGACCCAGACCACATACTCTGGCTCGACGGAAACACCTTTGCGATGGAGTTCAAAGGCTTCGATGTCGTGCTACCGAACTGCGTCTATGCGCTCCATGACTACAGCACCATGGGTTTCCCCACCGGTGCCCCGTATGTTGGCAGCGAGGAGCAGAAAGCGGCCTTGCGGCGCCAGTTCGCGCGAAAGACGGAATTCCACCGCGCGAACAAGACGGCGATCTGGAACGGCGAGTTCGGCCCCGTGTACGCAAATCCCAAGTACGAACCCGATGCGGAGAAGATCAATACCGCCCGGTACGAGCTCCTCGGGGAGCAGATGCGGATCTACGACGAGGCGAAGATCAGCTGGACAATCTGGCTATACAAAGATATTGGCCTACAGGGCATGGTGCACACATCTCCCACATCACCGTGGAATAAGCTTATCTCCCCGTTCCTCGAGAAAAAGAAAAGGCTCCAGCTCGACAGCTGGGGGAAGTATCCCTCCGAGGAGGTTGAAGCACTCCTTAAACCTCTGGTGGAGTGGATAGACCGCGTCAGCCCGACGGCCGCGCAGACCTATCCGACGAACTGGGACACGGGGAAGCACATCGACCGGGCGGTGTTGCAGACGTTTTTGAGCGAGAGCTTGCAGATGGAGTTTGCAGGCTTGTTTGCGGGGAAGAGTCTGGAGGACCTCGAGGAGCTGGCGGGCAGCTTCAAATTCGAGAATTGTGTCCAGCGGGAGGGGTTGAATCAGATTATGGCGCGTCATGCGAAGTTGAGGTCGTGAGAAGGGATGCCGAGGTGGAGAGTGGGGTTCTGGATGGGGATTTAGGACAGAGATGGAGTGTCAGAGATATAAAACTGACTAGGAGGAGAGAAACCTGAAGAGAGAGATTCCTTATAGTTGTTAGAGAGAGCGAAGAGATCCTCTTTGACTGAGAGAAGGAGCAGGGTTGCACGATAGTGCCATGTGACCTGCATCTCCGACATACCTACTGTTTAAATAGGAGCTTGTACGGGATGCCATGGGCCCTTACCGTTATATAAGAACTGGAAGACGCGCGCGGTGCGCGCATCGGCCCTGAAACGGTGAAAAGAAGAGGGTGGTAGGAGTGTAAAGTGTAAAGAACAGATGAATCGGTGAGTTGTAAGTCAACATGCATGTTAAACAAGATAGACCAATGAGGAAAGGCACAGGTTTGACTAATACCCGCACCGTAGAAAGAGGTGCAAAATCGATGGAACTTTTATTCAAGAGTTATATTTTGATCGAGCAAGTTCGCCTGCGTAGGGTGTTTTTCGCGGTCTCCCAGGGCGTCTCCCTGGCGTGGGAGTCTGAGGTTGTGGTGAAGATTGAGTGTCATCGGGTGTGTCCGGCCAGTTTATCTGCGTATCTTCGTCGTCGTTATTTAAAGTAGTAGTTTCAGTTGAGTTGTGTGATACTTGGATAGTCGAGGTCGAGTCATCTTGCAACAAGGCCACTGACTTGAATGGAGATCGTGGGTTAGCCCTTTGGGCCCAGCGGTCCTGGCGTTTGTACCAGTTGTTGGAGATGGGGTGGGGGTAAAAGATTGTGATAGTGTAGGAAGGAAATATATATCGTCCGTAATCACAGCCAATTGGCGATCTTCTTTGGTAGAGCCGAAAATACGCCCCGTCAGAAAAATGCTAGTGTTTACGTTTAAAGGTGGAAAGTTTGCCCAACGTTGACCATTCTTGAAGTATGCGGTTAGGGGAAATGTGTGATGGGTTCGAGACGAACTGTTGTATACTGTAGATTGGAGACGGTAGTGTAATAGGGTTGAACTAGCGTTTAGCTGACCCCCTCGTTCGAGGACAGTTCTGAGAATGGTGACGATAGGCTAAGCCGCTTCGGGGCAGTGTATGAAATATGAATCGGTATCTTCTTGATCGCCTGGGTGCCTAGACTATGTTAATTTTAATGTCGCTATGGTTGCGAAGATTACTAACCAGTCAACGCTGTTCGCGTGGAGAAGAATGTGAAAATTCTTACTCTTAGAGGAGTTAGTGAGAAAAGAGCCCCACGCATAGACAAAAGCGTTTGGTTGGTATATGCTAGGTCGGTTCCCCTTATCGAAAAATCTGATTAGGGTGGGAATGTCATCCTATTCAACATCGTCTGATTGTACATCTTTGTCTGGTATATTGAGTGAAACCCGTAGCTGCATGGAAAGTCCTTTGCTAGGGCGCGTTGGATCTGGTTCGACATGCTCGATGAAATCGCGAATATGAAGAATTGCGAGGGAAGACTTATTTGATGGCATGGTGAGAAGTTTTGTAGTCAAGTATGAGTTTGATATTCTAAGAGGATTAAAAATGTAGTAGATATACGGGGTTATAGCTAAGAAGAAGGTAGGAAGAGGTAAAGAACAATTTATTTTGGTGTAGAAGGCTATATTGCAGAGTCTGGTAGGGATGACCTAGTCGAGGCCTGTTATGATGTATGAGCATAGGCGCAGACACGAACCTAAATATGATTAGTCTAAAAACTTCTCTCACCGCTGGTCGTAGGACGAAGTTGGATAGAGAATAGAGAGGGTATGTGCCTGTCCTATTAATTCAAGCGGGCATGTACACAAGACGTGGAGGAGAATGATTGGGCATATAGTGAGTTATCTAGAGTTATTAGTTCGCTATGCAACAAGAGTGTCTAGTTCGAGTGCTTGCAATCATTGCATTTCACTAAGCAACTAAGAATCCGGTCTGTGCTAGAGGTCACCTATATCAATTGGCTATAGAAGATGAAGCCTAGTCAGTGAACGTAGGCGAGACAGTTGTACATAGGTAGAGCAATATTTCCGGTGCGAGTCTTGACGTCGACTACTACGATTATGCTTAAGGTCCAAAATGGCGGATTCGAGGGTGGCGCCTTAAATCTTATAGTCGGTGAGACAAAAGGCGGGACAAATAGGAACCTGTCTCCATCGCATAGAATACCCTTTCACTGTTATAGATGCCTCGAGGGGGAAAATGGGTAGAACATTTTCGTCTAGTTAATGAATAGAAACTGATTTCGATCAGTTCGGTCTAAACAGAAGGCACGCTAGAGGCTTAGTGTAGATGATGTACAAATCATTAAGTTCGTGAAAGTCTGCTATTCGTGCTTAGATTAGTCGAGATAGGCGATAGAATATATTTATTGAGCGGAGACTCACCCTCTAGGTCAACAACGACACCTACTGCCTCTCTAGTTACACCATTGACTAATCTAGCAGGCGTGCATATGTTTGTTAGAACCATCGTCGGCATGGAGAGTGTATAAAGAATGGGACCTGGAAAAGGAATTTTTGCGCCTTGCTCTAGAACGCTAAGTAGGTCATCTGCGTGAAGCGCTAGATCGGTCGGCCTAGAGGATCTTGTGCGGGTGTGGATAGTAGGGAAAATGATGATTCTCTGATATCTAGCCCAAGCGAAACGCTCGACCTAGAAATAGTTTATGACGTGTCGAAGAGCGTTTAGTTTAACGATAGCTATTGAAGTTTGTAGATGAGGATCGGTTAGTGAAGTAATCGCTTTTGAGTTTAACGTCAATATATCATCGAATGTGAGAGTGCTAGTCCTCGCTCGTGTTAGTAGATCTCGATATGGTAAGTCTTCTGCCTGTCGCATCTGCTTATGGAGGATGATGACTTGCTTGAATTGGGTCTAAATAAGTTTTCCGTCCTGATTAGTCTTATTCCTTGGTAGTTTCTAAAGGGGTTGGCCTTAGACTAGAGGAAATTAGTAAAAATCTCCTATGAGAATGACTATGGGTAAACCACTAAAGAGGTCTAGAGAGGATCTGTCAAGGGATCGCGTGCTCTTGTAGTGGGTGTTGATGATGCTAAGCGCGGTGAGGTCTACTATGCTCATCTCGTCTATTATCATAATAGTTTTTGGCGACTATAGCCTATAGACCCTTAGTCCCACTATAGCTCGCTGATAACGGTTTAAAGAAATCCTAAGAGATGTATAGTATATGCCTCCTCTAATGACATTAGCCGCTGCGCCTGTTAGGGCCATTAGGATGACTTCGTTCTTACGGTTGATTAGATCTATCGCGGCGACAATCGCTTTGATTATCTGGCTCTTGCCCACTCTACATTTACCTCCGACGTAGAGGAGTGTTTGCTTCCGTAGCAAAGGATCATATAGATGGTTAGCGTAGATGAGTACTTCGCCGAGCACCTTCTCTATAACGATACGTTGTTTCTTATTTAGGGGAATAATCTCGTACACGAGTAAGGTAATTAAAGCGCCCATTAGATCCTGTCCTACTCGCAAGCGAAGCTATAGCATGTTAGGGAGTGTATCTGAGTTAGTGAGTATAGGGACTAAGACGTCGTTAACGAATTCGAGATTAAAATCATTAAGGTAGGGCATAGTAGCGGCTGACGTTTCGGCATATGGATCTTAGTCTATAAGCTTAGTAATGTTCTTAATATGATCTTGCCATTCTTATAGGGTAGACGCTAGAAGGAATTTGAGACTAGAGGATTCACATAGCATATTATCTAGGCTGTGAAGGGGTTAGAGATTCTAGAGTTGAAGGGATAGAGGGAGAGATGAAAATGAAGCGAGAGTAGTGATTCGGCGCTAAGCGTCCTATGCTTCCTTCGTCTAGCGTCGACTTATTATGAAAAAAGCAGCTAGAAGGGTTTCTTTGCTTAGAGAATGATCTATATTCTGTGAAAGATGCGGAACCTTATTTTCTGAGTCAGAAGCAGGATAGGGAGGGTTAGCCAGTTCTTGGCCGTCTGGGCACGTATGTTGAGTAGACTGGCTGCGTAATATAGCATTAGCTTGGCAGTCACTTTTTGATTGACGTAAGAGTTCGACATTTTCTGCAGATGTACGAATATGTGCTGGAAGTGTTAGTTCAATAGATGTCTAGATGTGATATAGAATGCCGTGTGTGGTTGCGGTTGCAAGTGTTTGGTGAAAAATCGAGGATAAGTCTTGCTAAGGAATGAAAAGACTAAGGAGGATCTTAGCTAAATCATTCTGAATCGCCGTTGTTGTGGGATTCCTACCTAGCATAGAATCCTCTAAAGACTAAACTCGGTTAACTCGCCTTATAGAGTCACCGTAGCGGTGTGAGAAGGAGACTGAGCAAGCCTCTGTATATGCGTATGGTGTCTTAGGTGCTCTTCATCGAAGGGTACGTCTTCTGTTGTCGCATCCTGGCGTCTCTTGGTACGTACTATCATGTAGTATTCGAAGATGGATAGGTAAGATAGGAGATTTCCACGAAGCCTATAATTATCGAATATATTTGCTGGCGTAGGTGCGCTTTGGTCATAATTGCATGGCTCTTCTCCGATAGTATCGGATGGTAAGGCATCTCGACGAGACTGTTCTAGTAGAATAATCGAACGAACGTACCGTCTAAGCCACCAGAGATTAATGCGAGTGAAGTTGTAGTTAAGTATGTAGTAGGAGGGAAGTTGTAGTAACGTGCTTGCCACCTAGACTCCACTCATTTCCTAATCTTGTGATAAGCTATTGAAGTAGCGGAGAGCAAACTTATCTATACCCTTTCGCCAAAGCCTTAAATCCGCTGTAGTAGGAGTAGGGGCGGCGCTTGCGCGTTCAATCATTTGTTTTAATAACGTAGCTTTTGTCACTATGTGGCACGGAGAAACGTCATCCTTAGTAGCATAGTTGGTAATGTAATACAGAAGAGACAACGATTTCGACACAGTCGGAATCTAGGAAATGTCGTGATTTGAGCGGATGCAGCTAGCGATCGAGGGGTTCTATAGATTGACCTAAGCATGGTTACGGGTAAGGTGAATGATGCTATGCTCGTCTGCTTTGGACGCGTCTAGAAGGGTATAAGGCATGCCGAAGCGATAGACATTGTTGTTTGATCTTTGTGAGTAGTATTTGAAGTAGGTTGCTATGTGACGCTTAGAATGAAGTTGTTTGGTATGAGTAACACGGTTGCTATTATAGGAAAGGTTCTGAATGAATTCCGAGTCTGTCTCTAAGCCAGTTGACAAAGGTGGCGTATTTGAGATAGTAGACCCTAGGTCCTCATTAGAGCCATGTAAGCTATGCATCACGATAGCTTCTAAGAAGCTGATTATTCGGTTTGCAAAATCACCATCTACAAGGATATAGTCACGTAGCTGGATGAGACTAAGATTGCCTCGAACCCACACTAATATGTGGAGATGTAACATACCTCGTCTATTGCTCTCTACTACACCAAAGTAATTAGAAACGTCCCTAAGGATCCTAATGTCGGCAGTTTTGCTACTAAGGAGACTATCAAACACCGCCTTGTATGTATAGTGAAAGAATCTCGCTATAGCCATAGGGTCAGACGTCGCTACCGCGTATCGAATGGTTGATACCACGTTGGTAGAGAGCTTAGTTAAACACTATACGCTAGCAAGGACTAGAATAAGAGGGTTTTAAAGATCGGAGGGGTTGATTGTTAGCTAGAATACCGGCATCCCTTCCCGAACGAGTAGCCCTCGAAGTTCTGCCCGCATCCGTAGTTTTTAGAAGAAAGATCCTAGCACTTGAACACCGATGGCAGTTATGTTTTTGAGTAGCCATCGGACTAGCGGATCAGCTATGACTTGATTGGTAGAGAGCTCTTTGGCCGCTTTTTGTAGGCGATCAACATTGAGTGAGTTTAGATCCTAGGTTATAGAGGTCCACTAGGATCGTTTGATGAGAAGAGAATTGCCAAGGGACGAATTTCGTAGCTGTATAACGTCGTATAACAAGTATATGAATGTCCTGTGATAGGCAAACCTACCAAATTTTTGCGCATTTGGCTAGAGAAGAGCTTACCTCCGGCTATGGTGACGAAGTGCCCAATTTGCAAAAGCAATAAGGGAGACAGGTACAATACGATGGTCCAGATGACCTCTAATACCCGCTGGGAAAAGCGTAGGGAAAGCAGACGTGAGATAACGAGGATCCTGCCATTGATTTAGAAGCGATGCCTAACCTAGAATACTATATTCGATTACAGGCGTTCGTTGCTGAGTGGTAGTCAGTCGACTAGTACGGTTCCCGTGACTAGTAGAGGTATATTGAGGTTCCGCTTCGACTTGTGTTTAATTCATAAGGGTATACACTGTGTTCAGTAGACGTAAGTCGGGGTTCTAGCGATCTCCATTCAAGTCAGTGGTAACAGAAGCAGTGACTAGGAGAGGATCGTCGGTGAAATGGTCGTGGCTGTCCTCTACGGCTTGCTAGTCATTTTCGTAGTTGCCTTCTTGCAAATGGACACTATAGCCCGCCCGTTCCTAGTGATCCGTATCGCCCAAACATATAATGTTTTTGATGTCACTCATTGTCATTGGAAATCCCCTTAACCCTAGAATACTACTATCTATACCGAGAAACGATGTTTTACCAATAATAAAGCGAATTTAACTCGTAATAGTTGATATTGTAAATCACATTTCCTATGGTGTTTTGGGGTGGCTTTGGGGTGGCCAACTCTTTTACATGGCCAACTCGCTTACGGGATACGATAGACGAAGTGAACGAGGCTTAGACATCCGTTAATGCCGACAAATATTTGAAATATTCCGTAGCATCATGATTCGAACTCGATGCTGGCATCGAAGATATGCAAGTATATAAGAAATTCAACTACCGTCCCTCTTGACCATATCATCCACAATAAATCACCATTTCAGAAAGATATTTTACATTTGCTATACTTTCAAGGAGACTACTGAGATGAACTCTAATAGCCCTCAAGCTGCCTCAGTCTATTCTTGACTCCGGCCTTGCCCTTGGGATTGCTCTTGCTCCCTCGGCGAATGCTGCACCTGCCAAGACCTCAACATCAGAGCTCAGCTTGACGGCCCGACTATAACTTCCAGACACGTAACTCTCTAGAGACTCACTAAAGCACGCAAAATTAATGGTTGGATTGTCTAGCGCTATCGACCGCTACTAGCTCCTACCAAATGATGAAGATTTTATCTTCGATTTCAACAAAAGCGCGATTCCGATTGCTAGCCGCGTGAACTTTCCTGCACTTGTTGGTACTGGTGCAGCAGTGAGTGTCGGAGAAATTCCAGGTATTATACAGTATATCATACTTGTATGACACTTAGGATGAAACTGATTTTATTTAACAGCATAAAGCATGACCTTCGTTCATCTCCACCCTCGCGCCACAGAGCTTTTTGTCCTGACCTGAGGCCATGTGTACTCCGAAATGATACCAAAGGAAGCGCATTGGACTCCAATGGCAATTAGCGAGTCATGCGTGCGGATCTCGGCCCCAAAATGATGACCATTTATCCAAGGGGTTCATTCCACACACAGGTGAACCGGGGCTATGAACCTGCAGGTTTCGCTGCCACCTTCACGGCGGAGGACTATGGAATGACTTTAGTTGCGAACCAGACCTATGCCATGAGCGATGATATTATTGTTCGCACGTTTGGGCAAAGCATTGTCGGTGAGGATATTGGTAGGGTACGCGATGCTATTCCAAAGACTGCGTTAATCATGGTCGAGGAATGTCTGAGTAAGTGTGGCAAGAAGAAGAACCCCATATGACTGGATTGGCTCAAGACAAAAACGTTTTGGAGAGGGTGTGAAAAGATAGAGTGTAGCCCAATACTCCTTTACTAGATTGGATTAAGAGAGTGTAATTTGGGGAGCATCGATTGGCATATCTCCATGTTTCAATTTTTGATAGTCTAAGATTACATTCCAATCTCATTTTTAATTGCAAACCCGATCAGCTTTTTCGTCAAAGTCTTCATTACACGTCTCCTGGATATTGGCAATCTCGTATACCAAGCTGGCATAAATCTGGCAGCCCTCACCACCCATAACCCTTCCGGCATCCAAGTTACCACCGTAGCTCAGGACCTTCTCTGCCATGCCTTCTGCCACCTGAGAATTTCTGCTGGGGTCGTTCAGGTTGGTACCAGCGCGGTACTTGGCGTTTCCCGCAACGGCGGCGTAGCCCAGGCGTCGGGCATACAGGAAGGCCAGCTGCTCGTCGATTGCGTCTATGTACTTGCGCGCACAATCAAGTTCGTTGCTGCCGATGCGAGACGTGCAGATATCGGCGACAGGGACCTCAGACAGGAGGTTCAAATTGTACGGGGCAGACGAGATGGCGCTATGTTTGGGGGCGCCGGGGTAGTTGTCAATTGTGGCATTGGGTGAAGGCTTAAAGTGGCATTTCGATTTGGACCCCAGGCAGGTGGCTGCGAGAGACAAACTGAAAAGAATCGCGGATGCATGCATTGTGGTGGTGAAAAACCGCTGACCTTCTCGGTAGATTATTCTGGACGCCCTGTCGAAGGCTCACGAGTACGTTCGTAGGGCTTTAAACCTCCATACTGACATCCACCCGTTCTTGTCATCCGGACAATACGCCCCATTATTTAACTAGTGTCTCCATCAGCAGCCCCTGAAATAGTCAATTTATTATGAATTTACGGGAAGAGCTTTCCTAGCGCTTCGTATTATCATTTCGGTTCAATGATCCCGGTCGGGACTAGTGCATACTTGAATTCTCACAAAGGAATGCTGTCAACAGGAGGAACATGAGTCATGTACCTTTGGCATTATCCAGCTCGGTAAATAATCAATTTCTATTTCAATAGAGGTAAATCACCTGTACGAATTCCCAAATTCTGCATAGCATGGTATCACTGACCTGGAGCGTATAGCCATATAGGGTAGGGTTGCTAGAGGTGTATTCGTTCCCTAAAGGATCCGCAACGCCCGACGGGGATTGCGATGAGCTGAGATTAGCGTCCATGCAAGGTTTTCCTCTCCTTGATTTGTATTGTCCCCCTATGTAAAAAAAAAACCAAGTACTATCTATATATGTAGAAAGAACCTTTTCGGTGCGCATAGTAATTTCGTGCTCTTCAATAATAGTATTCAACTCTTTCGTTGAGCGGAGTAGTTGGTCTTAGGTCAGCGATGTGGGGCCACAGAGCGTATTCGATCAATGAGTACGACATTGGAGAAAAGTCGAGCTATGGTAATGACAATGCTATACCTTTTTTTGGCGGCAGTGACACAAGTGTTAAGAACAAACTCTTGGTATTGACTTGGCCCTTTAAAGTCTAGATAATAAGAAAGAACATTTCACTCTTTTTGGCCATTAGTCACAGTCACCTTTGAGAACCTTGCGTCCAATCCACTGGTCTCTACTTCGCCCTGATGGTGGTATTTGTCAATCTCGAATATACATACTGTACATGAAGGTCTAGCGACATACTCGCATTTTTAAGTATGGCGCGAAAGGGCTATTGTTATTGGCCGGCGCACGTTCAACACTCTCGCCGCCTGTGTATAGAAACCGGAATATGGCCGGGTGGGCCTGGCCTTGTGTGTTTTTAGTGAGGACAGTCGGGCCCGGTCCGGCATTGACCAGTACTGAACTGACACATGGTCTTGAAGAAGAAACTAGACAATGTCTTCCATGGGAAAGCCTCCCACGACGGAAGGGTGAGCGCTGATGATACTACAGTCGTCGTATCGGTAAACGAACGTTCCCATCGTGACCTGACTAAACGGTTTCATAACACTGATGTTATCTGGACTGCTATCGAGAAACAGCTCCTAATGTGGTAAGGCCTATTTTATCGTGGTAAGATACTCAGGTTGAGCATTTGTTTTAACTACGTAGATGACCGCCACCCTCCTTCTGCTGGTCGCAAGGGAGAGAAAAGAGGCAAGTCTTATGTCACTAGAAGGACACTTGATGAACGAGACGCGCAGCTCGATACAGAACAGCATGCGTCTGGTCAGAAACTAATCTAGCGTAGCGCCTATAATCTGATGCGATGTCCTTCGCCGATGTGCCATTCGGGACCCTATTGTTGAGTAGATCCAGTGGGAAAAAGCACTACCGACTCAGAACCTATCATCCAAGGCGTTTAGTTACCTACGCCGAAAAAGGCGGGGTTCTTAAAGGCCATAAAGATGTACCAGAAATAGTGCGCGAAGAATTATATATGGAAGAGTAATAGAAACTAGACAAAGACAAGGGCAGAGGAGATCATACCCTCGGTATTAGAGTACCGTATCCTCCTATCAACATCAACGTTAAGCTACTGTTCTTCATCCCACAGACTTCGCCTGCTAGTATAGTGAAAGAAATGCTCAAACTCTAGATTCACCGATTTCATCTTGTCACGGTGGGTTGTTATCGTGCGGACCGCGAGGTTCTTTCGGGATGTGCGACCAGCCATGTTGGCCAAATACGGTTGGAAAGATGGTAGTGGAAGTACAGGTCTCGGCAGGTGGGACAGATAGGCTGCATGAAATTTCAATTGACGCAAAGTCGAGTTAACTGAACGTCGCACATCCCAGTTCATCTCTTGACACTGGTGGTGTGTCGATTCTCTGTAGAGAGGAAGTCGCGAAGGTGTTAAGAGACAGCGGTGTTTTGAGGGAGTTGCTGAGTAAGTATGTGTTCCAAAACTCCCACCGTATTCAGACTACAACCAATGATAAGGAATTGTATTGCCGACTCTGTCCTTCCCGCTCCAATAACTAGAAAAATTAACCTCATGTATTATTGAAGAGCACAGTGCCATGAGTCAGGTGTGAAAGTGCTCTGTCTAGCACACCAGGTCCTATAAATTCTGTCTTTCTCCTAAAGCATGTTTTACGAGGAGACAAGAAAACAGTGGAAGGAACAAGAATGAAAATCTTTGACACTTGCTATAAACGAAATTATATGAAAGTTGCCCTAACGTGTGTCCTAAGGCAAGTGAATTCCTATGAATCGCAGAACAGCTAGGCTGAAACTTAGGAGGAAGCCATAGAACATCCTTACTATTCAGTTCTATCTATTGTCCTTATATAATAAAGATCGCCTGATTTTCATGGCTTAGGACAGAGCTATGATTCGCATGCCCACAATGAGAATCAAACGTGCCTAAATTGGTGATTAAAAATGAACTCTCTTGAGAAAATTTAAGTGTGGTAACAGATTTCTTAGTATCTAAAGTCCTTTGCAGAACGCCCGTCGCTAGGATCCAGAGCCATATAGTCTTATCGTCCGAGCTAGACGCCAGTAGCTTGCCGTCCAGTGAAAAGGCCACCAAGTGAATAGAGCCGGAATGGCCTTTAAGGCTTTGCAGCAGAACACCCGCCGTTAGATCCCAGAGCCGTACTGTCTTATCGTCTAAGATGGACGCCAGCAACTAGCCGTCGGGTGAGAAGGTCACTAAGCGAACAGAGCCTAAATGCCCCTCGAGGCTTTGCAGCAGGACGCCTATCACTAGATTCCATAGCCGCACGGTTTTATCTTCTAAGCTAGACGATAAGAACCGGCCGTCAGGCGAAAAACCCATAGAGTGAACCCAACTAGAATGGCCTTCGAGAGTCCGCTATAGAGTGCCCATCACTAGGTCCTAGAGCCGCACGGTCTTATCGTAAGAACTAGACGCTAGCAGCTAGCCGTTAGGCGAAAAGGCTACTAAGCGAACTAAGCCAGAGTGGCCCACAAGAGTTTGCTCTAGGGCGCCCGTTACTAGATCCTAGAGCCGTACGGTCTCATCGTAGGAGACGGAGGCTAGTAGCCGGCCGTCGTGCGAAAAGGCCACTGAGCGAACCTAGTCAGTATGGCCCTTAAGAGTGTGCTATAGGGCGCCCATCACCTAATCCTAGAGCCATATAGTCGCATCGTCTAAGCTAGACGCTAGCAGCTGGCTATTAGGCGAAGAGGCCACTAATTTTACCCCGCTAGTATAGGCTTTAAGAGCTTGTAATGCTAGACTCCAATTTTCATTAACTTGTGGGAACTAGCATATCTAACTAGGCAGCTCTGATCTGAACTCCCTACGAGTTATTGCCGTTATAGGAGTAAATATCAGCCCTGCGTAATAGATCTAGAGTGGTGCTTTATTGGCTATCTATAAATTATTTAGAATAAAGCGTCTTGCGTCATATAGAAAATCTAATATTACACAACTATTATTGGCCTATATCTCTTAGCTTAAGTCTCAAACGATTATCTATAAGATTACTTACTAGTATAATCGTATAGAGGACACTAAGCATACCCACTACCTCCCCTATGAGGCCTAACAAACTCATCGCCTCAACCTAATGTAGAAAATGTGTCTAGAAGAATAATAGTATATCTTCTACCTCGAAAGCTAAGGCCTAACTTTGTTTGAGATAGTGTATCTAGTAGCGACAAGAGTGGTGCAATTCTAGTAGGAGATACTAACGGATATATTAAGAGTGGATGTCTGTCCTATTTTTACTAGGGCTTAGTAAATTGTAGATGTTTCTCTGCAAACCAGATCGCATAGTTTTAAGATAGGCATTAGCAATTTCTCTATGCTTTCTCCGCTTATCTACATAGAAACTATGCGTATGCTAGACTAAGAATTCCAGAAATGATGGATATATGACCTTAGTAGGCTGGTCGCGATCACTGTGGAGGCTTAGAACCGATTGTAATAGATATAATTAAGTACTAATGTGGTCTGCTCCTATCCTAAGAAATAGTGCTAGCGAATTTATAGTAAATGGAGTAATAAGAAGGATTATTACACCAACTATGTCCTGGAACTCATGTAGGAGCTGCCGCAGCTCCGTCTCATCACTCGGTTAATCGCTCAGCAGTCGCTCTAGGATTAGTAGGTACGTCTTGTCCATCTTCGATTCATAATTTGCTTGGTCCGTGAGTAGCCTTGCGAGGCACGATTTAGGTTCCTAATCTGTATTTTCAATGTAACGACACACTAAGGCAGCCGATATAAACAGTGGAACGGACATCCTGACTAGCTCTTGGGAGACACCACTACTAGGCCAATCTTTACAAATAATTCGATCGTGTCTGATTTTCGCAAATCGATCGTATAGAAATAAATGTATGTCGTGTTCTATCACTTGTTTAGGAATCTCTTGAAACGCTATGCTCTAATGTTTGTGATCCACGACTAAGAAGCTAAAAGCTGATTAGGAGTATAGGTCTACTAGTTAAGAAGATTAGAAGGCGAACCGCTTTTATCTTCTATAGATAAAGTAGTAATCGAATTATGATTTGCGCATCCTAATCACTTTCATATTTATCTAAAGCGTCGATCACTATCAGAGCGGTTTGAGGGTGTTAGTCGAAATAGGCAAGAGTAAGCAATGCGTGGAGAAGTAGTTTCTCAAACTGTATCTAGAGTGATTTTGACGTAATATGAGGATCGTGGTAAATTGTTTTGATAATGCTAGACTTTAGCTTAGGAACTCTGAGCATTAGCTGTCTTATTAAGGTTGGAAAAAATTTCGTCGCATTCCCTCAGTCCCTATCACCCCTCTGAAAGTAAACGCTAGCACCTAGAAGGTTAGCGTCCTTGAGCGACCTTACTATAGTCTGAGAGATTATGGATTTTCCGATTTTAGCTACTCCTCTTAACTAGAAAATGCTTGTCTAGTGTAATCGCGTCTCGTCTACTACAAAGCGTGTCTTGCGAGTAGTAAGTTGTATTCTCACGGTCGCATAGTCACATAGTCGTTCGAATAGTCGAGGTACTATATTAACATGATGGCCCTAACATAATAATAGCATATGAATTTGAATTAATTAGATATTATTCGCGAATATATATGTATATACACATCCCTATGGGATAGACCATAGTAGCAAGATTATAGATAATTTGGAATTTCTAAGCGGTAGAAGAAATTCTAGAAAGTATGTCGATATCTGCGGAACTTGACCCTAAAGCAGGTGGAGGACTTTATAGCGTCATAGCGTCATACATCATCTACAACCTTGATTAGTCCAACGAGTAGCAATTGCAAAAGGCGCTAGGGACCAACTGCTAGGAGAAGGTGGGCGATTGTTCTAGGGGATAATGATGGGTTACTTAAGCGGACAAAAGCTAACATAGGATTCTAATAGGTAATGTGACCACACTTGATGGGATTTTAACGGGACTGCGCATGATGGGACCGCGCTCGACGGGTCTGCGCTTGACGGGACCGCGTTTGGCATCACTGCGATGGAAGACTGCGTTTGAAGACTGCGTTTGACAAGTGACACAGGACATAGACTGTTGTAGATAAGTAGAGACTCTTCTTCGGTCTCTTCTTCCCTTTCTCAACTTGGATCTCCCGTCGACTACGTACTCAAATTGAATTCTTTATTGATTTTCTTTCTTGATCTGACATCCGGTCACAGGTAAGAAGTCAAAGACGATTGAATTCTAGCTAAAATAGCGTCTAGGAACAATACGCTCGCCTGGTTCTTTTGCCCTCTGCCATAGCCTTCTCCCTAATTATGGCTTTCTCTATAGTGACTAGCCTGCCACAAATATCCTCTAGCTCTCCGCGGATTTCGATACATTCCAACTGGCTTAGTGGTGCCAAGAATCCTGGACAGACCTAGGGACGATCTTAGCGGTGTAGTTCTGTCTGGAAGGTGGCACAACTGACCTAGCTCGACCATCTCTTCGAACTTTCAGCCTGGATAATAAGCTGATCATTAGTGCCCAACCAAGCCTTACTGGCCTGAAAGCACGCGAACCTTGATTCCCGTTTGCACACGGCTGAGCAGTGAACTAAATTCCCGGCGCTTCGCCAATATCTCTTCATGTATACGACGTCTTCGTCTTCATCGAAATCGTACAATATTTGCGTGTCCCACAAATTCGCCGGATTTGTGATACTTACACACTCCGTGTGTACATTGTAATGTATGCCGCTAGACACACTTGGTGCCCACGACCCAATCAGCTCCGCTGGTATACCCCTCAGGAATCCACTGAAAATAACATCCAGTGTGTAGAGGCCAACATCCCATTGGCCTTGCTTTTCTCTCCTGTACGACAGTTTCGTTATCATGTCTGTGACATACACTTTGTCCGACTGCACCAAGTCTCTCACTATAAGTTCGACTTCCGAAACGTGCGATTCGGAAGCGTTGCGCGTATAGTAACACTTTCCGACATATCTCTGCTTCCACGCAGAAATCTTGCCGACAGCACTGTCGGCAATCGACCCTTGGAATTCGATAACACTCATTCTTTACCTACATCAATGGCTACCGCCCAGCTTTTATATTGCATGCCTACCAACGCATGCACCCTACCGAGTCACATGCGATGCACCTACTAACCGTAACTGGTAATTTCTGCTCACTCTCAGCAGAATCCGTGAGACTGAATTGAACGCCAAGAATAGCCTTTCTTGGTAAGCGGTGTTTTCTCACTTCAGGCTTAATGTCATACCGTCTCGTTACACGTAAACTGCCTACCGCCCAAACACTAGCTTAAGCTTAGGGGGGCTACCGCCCTAGCCCCTAGCCTCCCCGCTAAGTATCCTTCGGGCGCGGCACGCCTAACCAATCAGGGGTCACAAGAAAACCTTTCATCTGATCTTTGCTTGGCCGTTAGTGACATGTCTGATTTGCCCTTTTCTCATTGCCAGGGGTGCTCCAAAGCCTTTGGACTGTTATATGATAGCTACAGCACGTTCCAAGTTTTCGTTTCACCCAAGTTTGAATAGACCTAAATACGAACCCGTACCCAGCCTAGTGGGTTGTGGTTTAGAATCCAACTTCAACGAGGGTCAGGGTAATGAACTACACACACACACATATTTAATATAATGGTTGTGAACAAACGTGCACTTTCATTCACTTTCACATTAGCTTAAATATCATACCAATATTTGTTCAATGGCTGGGCTCCACCAGACGACATTTACCCCACAGTTTATTGATGGTCTTTTTTTTACTGAAGCGAATAACAGTAAACAATCTGTGGGGCGGCTTCGGTGTCCAGTGGAGCCCAGCTACTCTGTTTTAAAATTGTTGTTGTATGTGAGCTAATGTGAAAGGCCATAAAAACGCACCATTGTTCACAGTAGAAATCAGAAATGATTTTCATAGCGAATCTTGTAGTGATATTCCTTTTGCTAATTACATTCTATCGTCTTTAAGAATATATTGTATCACTTGGGCCAATCCTCCATTGCCTCCCCGTTCCTTGACGGCTTGTTGCATAAGTGACTCAAATGACTTCAACCCGCTTTCATCCACTCCTTCTTCTTTGCATGCTCGCAGAGCATTCCTGAGTCCGTCGAGCTGCATGCCAAGAGCGTTTCCCATGTCATTGTCCCAAGCCTTTTCATCCATGAGTTCCGCTAAGCGGCCGACATACGATGTCATCATCTGGAGTACAGGAACCACGATATTGTTTACACTGGGGCTGACCTTGCCGTCGCGGCTATCGAGCTGCCGCCGTGTCCTGCTGAGAAGTCCCATGCCAACTAAAGCCCCAGAAAACATGCCGAACATGGCCAGAAGGGCCGCTATATCCAATGACTCCGCTGCACCAGCATCGGGACCATCATAATAAGGCTGACCAAGATGCTCAAGGAGCCCAGAAATGACTTGAAAGCTCTCTTGGGTCTCGCCACTGCAGAGGATTGTTGAGCTAGGAGTCCCGATCAGTTGCGGCGTTGCCATGATAGCTCCGTCGAAATATTGGGCCGCTCCGTTTCTCTTGGTCCATGTCTGCATTTCAATAGCCTGACGTGGTGTACCGTTGCTGAAATTGACGAGAATTTTGCCGTCAATTGCGGTCGGGCAAAAATCGAGTAGCTGATAAATAGCGTCGTAGTTCAGCACGCAAAACAAGACCGCTTTAACACCCTTGGCAATAGCTGCTTCGATATCCGGTTCGAACGTAGCACCATCGGAGATCAGAGATTGTATCTGGATACGACTGGCAGTCCTATTCCAGATAGTCACACGGCTGCCGGACTTTAGAAGTGTGCGGCTCACGGCGGCGCCAATGTTGCCGATACCAACAACAGTAACGTCCTGAAGGTGATGGGACATAGTGAGGAAATGGAAAGTTTTCGAAGAAAGATGCGGGGTGCGTACGTTGCCGTCGTCTTCCGCGCACTGTGCAGGTCTGGGGACTTCTAAGGGAAACGGACAAGCACACACACACACATATATATACACTCGTGAAGTTAGCGTAGACGAACGGATCCGGGCAATCCGGTACTCCCAGGCAAATGGCGTTACTAGCGCCACTGGTTCTTAGCCATGTGTTCACTGGTCGACCGACAGACTGGCTACTCGTTGATAATTGAGAGATTTGAAACCAGGCAGTCTCTACAACAAACCCTAACGGCCAACTCTAACATGGATGCATTTTCTCGATTCGGGATTCGCGATGATCGTCATTCCGAGATGGACACACCTGGGCCTCAGTGTGATGATGCGAATAACTCCCAATTTGTAAAAAGCTTTGAACTAGCCCGCTGAGTCAGCGAACAATTAGCTAACGTAAACCACGGGCGAGTGGCCCACACGGGCGAGTGGCCCACCCACTCGCAACCGTACGCATTTAATTCAATATAAGTCAATTACCAACGCCTATTTTACATATGAAATACCCGCATACTAATCAGGGCATTTAGTCCTCCTATGCCCTATTTGCCAGCAATTTGAACACCGCGGTGGCGCACGCTGCTTGGTTGGTTCCGCTGCCGACGAAGGACCTGCTTCGGCAGTGTTTTCCACTTCAACGACTAATTGATCATCCAACATTCGCTGCACATTGTCCTCGCCTGTCATTCCTACTTCACTATCCATCCATTTGCTAGGTTTTGCCTGCTTTTGTTTCGTTTGGTTGACCTGGGAGCGTAGTTTCTCAATCTCGCGTGCCGATATAGCATTCTTATGCATCTCTCTTTCGTATCCTTTGACTAATTGCGCGAAAGCCTGTACAATAGGACTAGGCGGTGAATGCATACGCTGGCGAAGGAGCTTATTGATTGAATGTGCCTGACGACTTAGGTCCTTTGTATGATGAGGTGTATGGGGGACAAAACTGCTACTGTCGCTCCCACTAGTCCCTGGTGGTGATGGTGTATATATATCGGCAAGCAAAATATTTAGCTTGTCTAGCACACGCTGCGCATCTAGCGGAACGAGGCCAGCAGCGGCAAAGCTATTTCGTATAGTAATGCCTTGATATGCTTCATCTCGGGCACGTGGATATGCAGTAAGGAAATCAAGCTTATCAATATGGTTCCGGCCCCAGCGAATCCAGTCCTGGATAAGCTGACCATATGATCGCTTAATAACAGCAAAGCAGCCCACATCGAGAGGTTGTAATAGATGTGAGGAATGCGGTGGCATACATATAGAAACAATATTGTTTTCTATACATAAATCATCAAATGCTGCGGTCATATGGCTTCCATGGCCGTCTAATATTAATAGACGCCATACCCCCTGCGTGCGCTGTGTAGTCAATGGAATAAAATGGTGTTTTAACCATCGTAGATCAATTTCATCAGTAGTCCATCCATTGTCGCTCGTTTCGAGGCGCCAATCGGACGGAAGATCCACGAACCAAGACTGATTATATCGCTTGCCTTTGAAGATGATAGTAGGCGGAAGCGCCCATCCACTTGCATTGACTGTTTCAATAGCAGTGACCCATTCGCGATTACCAGGGCGTACTAACTTGCGCCTACCATAGTATTCCCTGCGTGTAACAACCTTTGAGGTGCTTGTAATACCCATTGCGAAGCCCGTTTCGTCAAAATTATAGATATCCATAGGCAGAATACCATATTGCTCAATAGTGCGTCGGACAGTAGTAAACCAATCCCGAATAACCACTGGATCTTCACATTGAGCGCGCTTATAGTCATAGCCCCTACTAAAGCGCATTGTAAGGTCGTCGTGGCGTTTCATAAAAGTCCCTGACCAATTAACTCCGACTGTTTGGATAGGGTCCTCGCCGCGCTTCGCAAGTAGAATATTTGCCATTTCTCGTATTAGGGCGTGATCGGCAGCAATTCCTCGGTCGTCCATAGAAAGAAGCCATTTCTTTAACGATTCCTCTTCTAATTGGGTCAATTTTGTGTTATTTGCGCGTGTAGTAGGACGATAGGTCTGGCCCGCGAGCCTGTTCCGGAGGGTGGTTCTGGGAATACCAAATCGACGTGCCGCTTCACGAATATTGACAATTTCGTTGTTCTTGTATGCTTGTATTGCGAGTAGGACCCTTCCTTCCTGATTAGAAGAATTAGGGCCCGATATACTGCGTTTTGGTGGCATGGTGGATGGTTGAGGAGAGTAGGAACGCGTCGGAGACGCGATTTGGGGGCAGGTGGGCCACTCGCCCGTGTGGGCCACTCGCCCGTGGTTTACGTTAACTAACATTGCTAAATAAGTGATAGGTGGTTGTACTGTGGAAGCGTACCGCAGTGGCAGTTCACCCAAAGCCCGGTGATCTGTCTCACCTTTATATTCCTTGTGAGTCCATCCCTGCTTCTGTATCTGCTATACGAATTGATGCACACCTTAGGAATCCCGTTATGATTTCTAATCTTTGGACTAAATCCAAGAATATGGTCATCTAACGTGGGATTTCCGTGATCTTCATTGGTAGATATCCACGCTGAAGCCGCGCACGCGATTTCCGGTACCCCAGTGTCTCCAATGAATACTGAAAGGAGTAAAGTCCTAGAAGCTGATTGTCGATTGTGTTTATATGAATTATATTTTTGAAAACTACGAAGAATAATGTTGAAAGCAGATCTGTCCGGGTTTCGTCACCCGTGACGCTTTTCTCATATTGCCTAGATTATGAACTACACGTCAAAAAGCTCTGATTGTTAAAATTCCGGAATTGTCCTTCGCGCTCGGTCTTCAAAGTCAACGAACTTCCTGAACCAATTGGTTTCTCGTTGAGTCAGCGGGCTGAAAGTGTACTTTCATCGGCCTGCTCATGCAGAACAGCCCCACATAGATTCTTCAGCAAGCAAGGATTTAGTAATTGCGGTCAAATGGATGGCGAATCAATCTGTATTCTACCGAGAGACTGTCTGTCTTGTGTCGAGTTGGGCCTTCTCAAAAGTGCATCGCCCTAATCTCGCAAGCTCGGTTGTAAACTTATCAAGAAATTCCAGTTGCACCATTTCGGCCAGAGTCAGTCTGCGAATCGGGATTTTCCGAAGCATTCCGGGGAAGTTGCCAAGAAGTTTTAGGTCCTCGGCAGCTGAAATGCCCGTAGGATTCTCAAGCAAATTGGAGAATATCCCAAATATCGCTGTCACGGGATAAAACAAAACAACCCTTCAGTAGAAAGGTTAAGTCAGCGATAGAGTACAGTGTCAAGACCAAGGCACTATATTACAAACCAGAAGCATTCGGACTTTATAGCAGGTAATGCTGTCTGTAGGTAGAGGATGGAAGATCTGCACGCATTGACGGATAGACTGAGTCTGCAGTCTATTCCTTCTTTTTCACGATGTGTATCTTTCGTCAAGCCTAAAAATCGAGCGCTCGCTTGATGGACGACAGACACGCAGTGATAGTAAGCAAGACGTAACATGATCGCTTGTGTGTTTAATGTCGTGCTCACTGGCGTGTGCTGAGAGAAGAACAAGGTTGGACGAAAGTCCGGATGAAGGGACAGCCTCCATTCTTCCAGTGCACTGTCGAGCGAACGAATGTTTGAAATGATTTCTGCTGGTGCCCTAAGAAAAGCACTAGCAGAGTAAAGGGTGTAGTAAACTCTATATTTGATCTTGGAAAGTCGAAGATCCCAAGGAAACAGAGCCACCGTATATGGAGTTATCGAAATCGTGGTACGTTGGATGTTCGAATTTTGCATCTCTATGTACCCGGCAGGCAATTTCAAATCGCAATGAGCATCTCCGATGGACGGGGGTCGGCCTGTTCGCATTGCAAGATCCTTATCAAACGAATAACACATCCAGAATAGGTCCCGTAGATGGCACTCAGAGTTCCTTTTATCGTATAAAAGCGGACCTGGGCGTACATGAGCATCGAATGTGTAGACGAAACGACTTGCAATCGATACAAAAGTCTCCGCAGAATGCAATTCGCCAGCAAAATATTGATATTGAATCTGACAACACAGAAGAATTGTCAGATAAGGGTTTCACAGCAAGATGTCTCGTCGTCATCATATAGGGAAAAAATGTAGGAAATACTCACAAGCATAACCAGTGTCTGCAGTCCATCGCTTGTCATTTCTTGTATTACGATTGGTAAAAGCCTTTCAGCTTCATTGGCATACTGCAGCGAAGGTATTTCTTCTGTTACCCCATCATCAAAGCCGAACAGTCTCACTAGTGCAAGGAAAGCATAGGTGCATGTCCTAGCGCTAACAAATCCGTGAATGCCGCGTTGCCCGTATGCCAAATTCAATGTTTTGGCCAAAAGTGATCTGCTGATAACAGGAAATGCTAGGCATTGGAAAGAAGAGCAATAAACGGAAACTAAGTTCTCAATCAAGGACCGAGGAGGCAGCTCGAACACGGTATGCAAAGATGGCAGGTTTTGAACTGAAAGTCCACCGGTGTTTTGCCATGGTAGCCGAAATGCGCGTAAGACATCAGGCGCCATTCTAGTACACGCCTGAGACTCAATCCATTGTTGGCCTTCTTCGCTCATCAAGGCGGTTCCATTAAGAAGACGCAATCCTCCTAGAGCAAATGGCGACCTTTCCATGATGGCTCCTCGGGTGACTGGATCAAGAGCTGCTGAGTGAGAGAAACAAAACGATAATTTAAGTTATAATTTGCTTACCACCGGCGTTTGGATCAGCCTTTCCAGCTAGAACAGACTCCAATCTCCTCATCTTCTCTTTCTGGTGCAAGCCGTTATTCCTAGATCAACGGGTCAAAAAACAGGCTCTGATATTGAAAGAGGGGTTCCCGAGCAGGAGAGGGCTATAGCTAGTCAACTGCAAGATCGCACCTTTTCGGCCCATTCTGGGTCGTTCGGTCGTAGGTACACGCGAGTGCATGATGCCTACACCAGTTGCACTGTGGGAAGGCTGCATCACACTGAATCTATTTGGAATCAGTGCCAAACAACCAAAATTTTTAAACAAGAGACGGAAAAGCCATCAGTGACAGAGAAACAAGGAGGCAAAGGTAGAAAATTGCGTGTGTACCTTCCTCTTGTAGCATGAATCGCACGCCTTCAGCCGGCGTCCCCGCATTGCATTCACGGCAACTAAGTAGATAAGAAACTAGCAACAAGGACGGATCGGCAAATTTGAAAGTTGCGATGCTTAAGGGAGAATGCATGGGCTGTTTCAAAATTGAAACCCCTCGTGGTTCATGAAACTTCGCTCGCCCCCAGCGCTCCCTGACTTTGCCACTGAGTCAGCCGACTATGGCCCAAGCTTGGAGCTTGCTCAAAAGGCCAGAGAGGCCTAAATGCTGTTTATGGTTGGCTGAAGAGACCGGTCCACCTAGTCCTCACCGCCCATGATTCTGCGATTCCCGAACCAGAACCAAGGATAAATTATATCTTTTTTTGCTGTTTTCCATAGGAAATTTGGCGCCTTAGCAAATATAAAGGAATTGTCTAGCGTTGTTCATTTTTATCTCGTCTCTCAAGTCCACGCTTATGTCTGAGGTGCAGTTAGCAGCATCCTTTATTTCTATTTCTGTTCTAACGTCATTTGCTCTGGTGACCTGACTTTCTCAATGATTTACCCATGGCTTCGCGGGGGCGGCCGGCAGACACCTTTCAAATCAATATTTTAGAGCAATTCTGTCCGGGGTTTCGCCACTCGGGACGCTCTGATAGTTAAATTCCGGCACAGTCCTTCGAGCTCGGTCTCCAAGGTGAACGAGCTTCAGAGCCAATCGTTTTCCCGTTGAGTCAGCGGGCTGAAAGCGCGCTTTTATTGGTCTGCACATGCGGGATAGCCCCACATAGGTTCTTTAGCAAGCAAGGATGGTTTTCCCATTTAAGTGTAGTTGTCGAATGCCAGCATGGTGGATCCCTGGCAAAGGTTGGTTCAGCACTAAACTGCTCTTGTTTTTCAACATTCTTGGCATTGTGCGATCATTTCGCTTATTATGCATTTTGTACTACAAAAGAGATAGCCAGGCTATCTCTAGAAAATCAGACTTCTTCTATCTTGAGATTTTTGACCACATGCCAGCATTACCACCTGAATCAGGTAATGAGTGGTAGATCTAGTTTCCAATTGGTTCGATCGCCCCACCAGGATTCGACAGAAAACTCTAAGAAGAGGGACAAAACTAAGCAATAAAAATAAAAGCAATAAATTCGAGTAAACAATGTCTTTCATCAGCATCAACATCCTCATAGTATCTGCCCCTAAACTAAGCCTTCGAATTCCTAACTGATCTCTCCCTGCCCTAAATAGCCTCTCAACGGATACCTCTGAAGCTGGGATCGCTAGAAATTCCCTCGCGGCCTCTGCCATTTGAGGGTATACACCCCTATGGATGCACCACCAATTGCATAGCCAGTCTGGATCCTCCGTCCCTTTGATAGTAAGCAGGGGACTATCAAAGTACTGATCAATATCAGAAACTAATCGAGATCCCTGAGGCTGGAGCTTATGAAGCATCCGCATCCGCATTGACTGTGGAATCGACTGTGGAATTGACTAGGGAGTCGACTGGGGAGTCGACTGGGGAATCGACTGGGGAATCGACTGTAGTGGATATCGCTCATGCAGCATTCGACGAGTCTCTCGCATGGTCATCCAGGAAGCTTCTTGATCCTCTATCTCATGAAGTATGAGGCCACCTTTGACCTCGGGATCAAGGATTAAGGCTGTATAATATGCCTCTGAGTTATCCATAGAGTCAGAGTACTTTTGGTACTTCTTCATGCTTGCCCTCATTGCATTTGTAATATCATTATTATATCCCACTAAGACTGTATCTTCTAAAAGATCATGAAGCGCATAGTAAATTGGGATAGTTGGAGTGATTTGTGGCTTTGATATAGATACTGAGTTCGTCAAGTCATTAAAGGTTTTGAGAGCCCTATGAACCTGACCAAGCCATTCCCATTCTACATTGGTAAAGGGAGGAATTTCACCTAATTAATCAACTAATTAGTGGTCCAATTATATAGTTTGATTGCTTACTTACCTTGTACAGAGCAAAATCGATTAATCTGACGCTGAGCATTGATTCCATCATCAAGGATTCGAAAGGTAGAATTCCACCGTGTCTCCACATCACACTCAATGAATTTATTATTAAGCTCCATTGCATCACAGCTCGAATTCATTCCTGCCTCCGTTGAGGGCTCCGCGAAATCCAAATAGCAAGAATCAGGAGTCTAGATAATGCTGATTAGGAGGATAAAGAGGTCGAATTCGATTGTATATTATCACAGATCTCATTAGCTTCTGAAATACTTCCAGATTTTAAGAATCGAAGAATATCTTTAACAATCAAGTTTAGGATATGAGCTAGACAGCGAATATAGCTATCAGCTCCACGGAATCGAATTGGCTGTAAAGATTTCTTTTGCAAAATTTGCAAAGTGAAATGAAGCTTAGAAACCATCTCCTGAATGTTTGAGGCATTATCCCCAGTGATTGTAGTCAACTTTAACGTGAGATCTAATTCTACCAAGGTTTTATAGACCGTGGCAGCAATATTCTCCCCTGTATGAGGTCCAAACATTTGACAGAATTCGAGAACCTCCTCACAATAGGAGAAGTCCTCTGTGAGCCAGTGACCTATAATGATTAATCTACTCTTAATTGCTCGCAGCAATCGCAGAGATCTTGAAACGGGCTCCATTGGTAAAGTCCTTACTTAAATACCGGTCAGAAAGCCCACCAACACCTACAAACAGGCAGTGGACGAGGTTCTCAAAGCATTTCAGATGGCAATGAATAACGTGCTATTAGTAACGCAGGAAAATGCACTTCTACGCGCGACGAATGAAATTACCACATTCACTATGTGTTTTGGGGTGGCCGATTCGCTTTTGAATTACGTTAGTGTCATGGCCGCTTGATCGACGACGGCAGCAAAGCGAGAGGGAACACATAACACTAAGAGAAAATAAATAGAGTTCGGGAAGTGGCTTAGCCTGATAAGTATACCTCTTCGATGGACCTCTGCGCGTTCATTCTGATTTACATATATATCCAGAATGATGGGGAGAAACAAAAATAAAAACGAAAATGAACGAACGGAAATGAAGAGAAAGAAGCCTCGTTTGTGCGCTCCATACCGAAATGAAAATCATGCCTCGAGTAACGCTATCGGCGCTTCGGTTGGTCTGCCTGTCTTTCACTCTTGATGAATGATGTCCAACGCAAATTTCTCGTAGATCAGATTCATTGATCTAATTTCGCGAGCACATCGTTCTCTTTGATGAACTCCTTCCAAGTCTTCAATGACAATCCAGGGATCTTAAATCAACTGTTAGAATATTATCATGACAGCTGCAGCATAGCAGATATATGCCTTTCACACAAGACGCACCTCAAAGGCTTGAATAAGATTCGGATCATCATAGATTTGTCCACACTCTTCAAAAATTTGGAGTTGTTCAGTATAGTCTAGAGCCATCACTGGGCTCATTCCACCACTTATGAGGCGGCTTTGGAATTGTGCAGGCGTGATAGATTTATACACCGTCGCGATACCCAGGACTGCATACCACTATTAGTTACCACAATTAGTAGTAAACACAGGAACTTACGTCTGCCCATTTCACGCAGTTTTTCAGCTTCTGATAGCGCTTCGGCGTAGAATGCAATGGACTTTCTAAAGTATTGTGCCCCATTTAGAATAACAAGGCGGACCAATTTTCCGGTGTCTGTGATCGAAACATTCGGTAGCAAAGTATTTTCGCTATGTAAAAATGAAAGCGTGTAAATACCAGATTCCTTGACCCTTAAATTAGCTCTCTGCAGTAGGTTGTGCTTAGGCTTTATAAGGCAAGAACGACGAGATGGAACAACATTGGTAGAAATCACCTTCTTCGGAAGATACCATTTCGGCATTGTCAGACAATTCTCGAAATAATTCGGGAACAGTATCGCAGTGGTCTTTATCCACAGATCAGGATACTTGGTCTTAATATATTCAGTCACGTCGGCTTTGCTTTGCCAGTGATGAACGTTCAGAAACTTCCCATTGGACACTTTGACTGGATCAGGCAAGGTGCCCCACAGGAAGTGCTTCAGTGTTGGAGTCGCAGCTGCAGCATCCGCAATGGCTTTGCCTTGCGCAGTTTCTATGTCTTTGGAGCCCGAGGAATAGAAATCCGTCATTCCATAGAGGACCTCCGCTCCCTCAAACGCCTCTATCAATTTTTCAAGGCTGTCGTTGAGGTCAACAGGATGTACCTCGACCCCCTGAGCTGAGAGAGCTAATGCGGAGGGCTTTTTGACATCGCGCGTGAGTGCCCTGATGTGAAACTCGTGGGCATACTTCAAAAGTTCAGTAACGATTGACCCGCCCTGTGATATAGCAGTGAGTTTTGATTCTCAGAAAGAACCTTAGTAATTAGGAGCAACATACCTGGGCACCTGTGGCGCCTACAACGACAACATTTTTGGGAGACATAATGAGTCTTTTCACGTTAAAATTTGTGATACAGATTCAGTGTGAATAGATGCACTTTAGAAAGTGTTGTTGCTAGGAGCTGTCCTGTTGTTCCTTTATATTACATGTTTGTGAGAGAACCTGGGTCCTTTTATACCCTGTTCGTCACTGCCCTTCCGCGGATGAACAGTTTGTCATCTTTCATGTCACATTATCAAATAAAGGCGATTGTTACAACTGACTCAGCGGAAAATAACATAGGCTAGTTTGCTTGGGTAATTGAGGGTTCATCGAATTACCATATTTTTCCCAGGTGGAGCAGGTCCAGTTACCTTGCCCTGGACTTCAACAACGACCAGGTGGACCCAGCAATTTAAATGTCTCATGGGCTGTTCCCAATACTAAGATAAAATTGCTCACATTTTTATCAAGCTATTCATAGATTTTCTATTAAGCCATTGTATCGTCTAATATAATAGCCGAGACAGAGGCCCCCATAATGCCCGAGCGACTTAAGGCTGGAAATCAATCCCGTTCATACATTGAGCAGCTCTAAACAGAAATCAATACAGAGTCGGCTTGTTGGGCCTAGCCGCGCTAATTCATAGTCCCGATATACTTTCCATCCATTTTTCGCTGTCGCCGAGGTGAAATTAGTAATAATGGAAATGAAGACCAATCAAAAGTTCACTTAGCTCCGCTGACTCAACGGAAAAACATGGACAAATCCTCGTCATTGCAACCTCAGTGATGAGGGCATTATATCACCGGACGAAACTGGACTCTATCTACCGCATGTTTAGTAGCAGCGGCAAAAATGACTTACTCAAGTCAATACTTGTTTGAGAGAAAATCCCTCACAGATCCTACATGACAAGCAGTCGTTAGGTACCCAAAGTAACTAGGAAGGCCTATGCGCGGTCTAAGAAAGATAAAATATTATTCGATCGCTTTTTCCAAGTCATCTTGATGGTTGGCTTATTTCGAAGCAAATGCATTGTGTACTTCAAATTTGCTCTCACTATTTCGATAAAAAGAATACCGAAGGATCATCGATTTACTGTACTTGGTAATATCACTTAGTAACTAAAATAATAGGCCCGTGCGTACCCACACCGCTCGTGTTGGTCCGCCAGAGCCCCGACGTAATTCCAGTGCCCAACGTAACTTTTGAAGGTATTCGGCTCTGTCGGAGTCTGAATTTCCTGTATTCACTAGTAAATTTACTAGATAGTGTCATGTGACAATGATTGAAAACGATGGTACTCTGGTCTAGCTATCATGTCCATATTTATAGTAGAGAAGCGGAAAAACTCTACATAGTGAGATCTGGCCACACCGGGGCACAGTTCCCTGATGGGGAATTCCCAGATGGGTAAGCGGACAGATGCGGCAGCTGGATAAATTACTAGGGGCCATTATTCTGACAGGCTCCATACCTTCACCCATACCAAGAATTCTTCGTATGAAGCCATTGAAAAGCGTATCCAGGCCGCCTGTGAAGTCGCCAGAGCTCGAAAACATGCGAAAATCGCATCGCTGGCGCGTGAGTTCGACGTTCCCGTATCCCGGCTGCGGCCGCGCCTCCAGGGTTGGCAACCTCGTACGCAGCGCCTTATCACCACCAGGCGCCTAGACGACGAGCAGGAAGCAGCATTAATCCGCTGGATCGAAGCTCTTGATGCCCTCCATGTTCAACCCACTGCCCGTATGGTAGAAGAGAGCGCGAATGCGATGATTCGGAGAGATGCTGAAGCGGCTGGAAATCCTATATCCTCTGTTAATAAGATGTGGATATATGAATTCATCAAGCGCCTACCAGAGGGCCTTCATTGGGTATAGCAGAAGCCAGCGGAGAAGGAGAGAATCGAGGCCGAGGATATTAGTATCTTGCAGGCCTGGTATGATCGTCTCGAGCCACATGTGAAATGTATCCCACCCTCGAATATCTACAATTTCGATGACACTGGCTTCCAGCTTGGCTAGGGAAAGCCTCAAAAGGTGATCAGTCGCAACCGGCAGCGTATGAGGCTTTTATCGGGCGAACGAGGTGATCTCTTGACTGGTATTGAGCGCATTGCAGCTGATTGATGGCTAATGGAGCCACACTTCGTTGCACTACGGTGCATCTAGAACGATGGTATGATGGCGAAACGCTCTCGGAGGGGTCACGAGTCGCAGTATCACCATATGGATATTCTAATAATGCCCCGCAATTAGTTGGCTTCATTTCTTCCAAGAGCATATACGAAATCGAGCTAGCAGTAGTGGTCAGCGGCTATTACTATTCGATGGCCATGGATCACACCTTACCTGGGCGTTCCTTTATCTCTGCGAACAGTGGAATATTATCGCTTTTGCCTTCCCTACGCATACTACACATATCGATCGTTCAGCCTCTTGATAGAAGCCCGTTTCGCGCCTTGAAGCAGAGATCCCTCATGAAATACAATATGATCGCCCAGTAGGGTGGAGACGCAAAGGAAATTGGCAACTTCTTCCGCGAAATCACGGGGATTCGACAGCAAGCTCTGACCTCCCGTACGATTCGGAATGCATTCGCCGATCGTGGTATTATCCATTTAATCCAGCTCAGTCATTGAACGTCTCCTTCAAGTCCTGACATATATTATTCATTCCATTTTTAACCCACATTCTTATTCAGTATTTAGATTTTTCGCCTCATTTGATAACGATAACCCCACATAAATATGTGTTATCTTCTTTCAACTTCGATATTCACCATATCCGCCCCTCTTCTTGAGTCTGCTCAGCATTCTTCACCTATGCTTCTTCTTTCATTCCTCCCCTTTCATTCTTCAACACTTCGACACCTGTCCCTCCCTCCTTCCCAGTTCTATTCTTTGTGGTGTTTTGTCCTGAATTGCGCTACACTGAGATTCAGCACATTTTCCGATCCTGTCGAATTGCGATCTTTTTGTTGTCATTCACCACGATTAGCCCGACCTCCAACAATAGTTTCTCAGTCTGTTGAGGTGAGTAGCTCTGTCATCTGAATCAAACCGGTACTATCTCACACAGACCACCTGTAGGTCTTTGCAGTCATCTTCATTAGACGCCAACATTGCCCTTTGCCCACGGTGACCTACTGTCATAGATTGCACAGGTCAAGTATGATTGTACTAACCGTCAAACCCGTTTTTTCTATTTTATCGCTCACAATTCTATGTCAAATGGGTCTTCTAAGTGAACAGGACAGTCTTCGTGGCCAAGCGTGGTAATGCAGCGCCGTTCTCCAAGTCATCACAGGCTCGATTGGTGGCTGATCTACTGATGCGAATTCTACTAAGTGACGTTCAATATTTATTGAACAAGAGGGACTCTGATTTCAAAGCGTGTGGCAAGTGTACTAGGCAAGCCAGAGATCTACTCGAGTTCGGAGAGCTCTGATCCCACTCTGATCGGACGCTCATCGTAGATGCCGAGACGGGCAGGCCAGGCCTGGGCAATATTAATTTCATTGAGAGCTGAATTGCCAACTTATTTGTTCTTAGCCAACACATTGCGTTCCTTCATTCTAGCCGCCGTTCAATTTCATGTCCTTTCCTTGCGAGTCAGGACCAACTGCTGCTACGATCGTTGCTGACAGTTGGACTTTAGCGCCCAACCACTGAAGATGGAGCTTGGCTGAACTAGTATTAATTGTACTAATTAGCTATCGCTAATGCGCAAAGTAGGTCTCAGAAAGCTTCCTTTCAACTAGGTAAGATCTCCTTGCGTATTAATAAGCTTTTACTTATTTTTACTGTAGCAAACAGTCATCTCCGTCAATTTAACACGAGATTCCAATTTTGTGTCCGGCCAACATTAGGTTCGACTTTTCAATTATTCCTCACGTGCTTTTGCTCTTCTGCATTCACTCCCAGCCAAAGCAGGTCTGGTCGACTATTATGTCCACAAGAATCCAACAAAGCCTTTTCCTTCAGAATTTGATCAAAATCCAGATCAGCATAGACAATACCCTCTTCCGTGGGCGTCAGGTCCTCCGTTAGTTTTCGTCCATCTGGACCGAAAATGGCACTTGAGCCTCCACCAGGTGCATTGAACACGTGGCCATCATTTGTTACCAGTTTATCCACTCCTTTGTCACTGATGGTGTTTGTTGAATGTAAAGTAAACGCCTGCGATTCTATCGAATACAACCGAGAGGCTGCTTCAACTCCTAGCGATATACACTGTAAGGCCCATACGAGAAAAGTATACTAATCAACTGACCTTCTTTAGACATAGAATATGCACTTGATCCGCCAGGGTGCGGCACGACGGGCGGCCATGCGGAAACGTGAATCTCCTCGTTCTGGAAAAAAGTGTGATACTTCAAGAGGGGCTGGTAGTGTTCCTTGATAACAATCAATTCTTAGTTTTCGGATTTGTGGTTTCGCAATTGCGCTTTCTTACTCCACAGGAAAGCGCTCCAACCCGTCCAATCGAGGTTTGCACCACATTTCGCAATGAAGGCCCATTACCGTCTCCGAATATAGTTCGCTCCATATGAACCGGTTTCAATTTTCTTCGTGCCATTAGAAGAGCTCCGTCGCTATTGATCGTGCACTGGGCGATGTAGACAGAGCCACAATACCGTTCTGAATACCCAAGACAGACAACTATGTTGTTTTCCGCTGCACACTGACAGATTTCTGCCATTTCATGGGAGTCATTCATAAGAGAATTTCTGAAATATTCAGTGTTTAGCGTGAAATCGATTGGTCGGCTCCTAGTAGAGTTAATTAAGAGAATACAGAAAAGCTAGGTCTTTAGCAATACCATATCCATCCTGGATATCCGGGTACCCAAAGCTCTGGGAAAGCCACAATTTGTGCCCCTCCCTGAGAAGCCTGGCTAATCAACTTGCAGGTTTTTTTGACGGAAGCCTCTAAATCGAGCCACTCGGGCTCAGCCTGTATCGCGGCACCTCGGATATGCATGGAGCCACTTGCTGAAATTTGAAGCCTATTGACTATAACTTTCGGGACGTGTGATTTAGAAGGAGTTTTGAAGAGTCTTATAAGGGCCTTATGTCATGAGGTAGGGTGGGCTAAGAGTGCCCTATAAATATTGCCTTGCGCTGAATATATTATGAAGGGCCCCACTTTTCCGGCATGTTTATTGGTGTCATTGATCAAGACCTTTCCTGACAAATCATGACGACCGCGAAGCCATGAACAGACTACCGGCGGTACAATGTGGTGACGCCATCACCGTAATGCCGAGTTCGTATTCCATAGGGGGCAATTATCGATTAACCTTTCGAATTACCCGAGACTCGTGACAAAATTTATATTGACAGGTAAGTAGCAGAACATCTCGGCCCCCCGGAACCGCGATTTTGAATCCTCTAGTATGATAGCCAGAGCCCTGTGATAACAAGGAAATTCTGTTTACCCGATTCACTACCTGTAGCTATCACATAAATGAGGCAAGAAAGCCACGGAATAATATCCTAGGATATTTTGGCGGAAGAAGAACCTGTAGCGCGTTATGGGTGCAGTGCCTCGTGCTTGGCTCGAAAGCATTATGTAGTGTTTTTTGTCAAAATCTGGGCGTACGACAGTCCCACGTGGACGTATAATTCACGAAGAAATAAATCTCTGATTCAGATAAATCTGGGAATGCCCGACAATTTAGAGGGCTCACTAACTAGTAAATGACTAATACATAATAGGAAATATTGGTGAGGGGTAAAATCCCTGTATGTGATCTGTAGGAATTCCAATTCTTGACACACCCCCCAGGGAGCTGGGTTGAGCGAGCTCCCTGGATTTAAGCTCAATTTCATGGTCAATTTCTGACCAATGAGCTGGCCGTAACCTGATTATTCATCGATCAGGTGGCCAATTTGCCTCAGTCCAAGCAATTCCACGAAGTGCTCATGTTTTTGACGCGGAAGTGGTTTGGTCAGGCCATCAGCAATCATTCTGGCTGTTGGAACCCATTCAATTCCTAGGTCCCCTTTCTGAATTCTTTCTCTCATCCAATGACGATGGATATCAACGTGACGAAGTTTTGTATTCATTGGTGAATCATCGACAGTCAAAAGCCTGACAGTCTGTCGATTATCGCATTGAATCGGGATCGCATGGGATGCTTTGAAAGCGATACCACCTAAAATCCTCTGCCACCATAGCAGAGTTTTTCCAGTTTCTGATATAGCTAAGAAATCTGCCTCTGTGGTAGATGTCGTGACTGTACTCTGTTTGGATGCCTTCCAATCAATTGGGCCTCCGTACAATTGGCATATATAGCCGTATGAGCTTCGTCGATCTGGATGGTCTACGAATGAGGCATCACTGCTCATCTTTATAGTGATCTGATTGTGGTCTTGGTTTTGATCCTGATCCTGATCCTGATCTCCATAGGGAGATCTATATTCGATTGCGAGATACCTTGTATGATATAGGTAGACCTCGCCCTCACCCGCGGGTCACTCGTGGGTGACCCAGGGTCACCCACGAGTGACCCGCGGGTGATCAAACAGGACAAACAGTAGGAACTCATGGCCTACATATTTTATGTAGATTTTGGCTGTATTTTTGAGTATTTCGCTTACATCGTCTAGTTACAGAGGAAGTTTACAGTGTGCATTTCACATAGATCAGATAAGAAGAGGTTTGTTTTTAGATCAAATCAGCTACAGAACTACATATTGTGCTTTATATCGCTTCATACCCATCAAGAAGTCTTGAACGTTTCTGGACTCTTCCTGACATACACTGCTGATATTAGGTAGTGGAAGGACTCCTGTATCTTCACTTTCATCCTCATCTTCATATCTATCGCCCTCTTCTAGTGTAGATATAATACTCATTCGCTGCTTACCCTAGCTTCGCTCGCTAGGAGCTTGATCTGTGTATCATATCTGAGTAGAATCTCCCTCTCCTGCTCCCTCATCGTCACTGATTAGATCAAATTCACTCGCCTGGGTATCGCTTTCCTCCCTAGCCGTCTATATCTCTTCAAACGAGAGGTACTTATTGTGACCGGATGTTAGATCAAGAAAGAAAAATCAATAAAGAATTCAATTTGAGTACGTAGTCGACGGGAGATCCAAGTGAGAAAGGGAAGAAGAGACCGAAGAAGAGTCTCTACTTATCTACAACAGTCTATGCCCTGTGTCACCTGTCAAACGTAGTCTTCAAACGCAGTCTTCAATCGCAGTGATGCCAAACGCGGACCCGTCAAGCGCGGACCCGTCGAGCGCGGTCCCGTCATGCGCAGTCCCGTTGAGATCCCATCAAGTGTGGTCACACATCAGAGCGCCGTGATAAGCTACCTTAATGGCTTCTATTCTAGCCTCTCAGTGATCCACTCGCTAGGCAGACGGAGAGGATATGACTGAGCTAAACCCCGCTTTCGACATATTACTTGATTTGCCCTAGCGCATAATGAGCCTAGTGATTGCATGCATGGTCGGGCATCTGAGAGTGCATAGCTGGCTGAAGACCTGGTAGGCATTCGGCGGCACTCAGCTACCGCAGATTCTGGCGGAGCTGACGACGGTTTATAAGCCGTAATTGATTCTAGGCTTAGAAATTCCGGATTGATACTAAAAGGGTGCGGAGTAGTTTGCTACAATTTTCCCTTAGGATTCTAAGAACCAGCATGGTCGAAGCTGGTTGTCTAAAGAGGGAGCTCCGGCCAAAAAGAGTGCCTCCATTCCTAATCCCGAATAGGGCAACAGACTTTTGCCATCGAGTACGGACATATTACTCATGAAATAGAGACATTCTAGTTGTATGTATGCCAGAAGTGGTATAAAACTGATACAGTGACGCTCCTTGATTCACAGACTTTGGCAACCTAGTTTCGCGTGGACAACAGGTCGTCCATGCTATCCTTAACCCTTCATTCCTTCCGCAGAGCCGGGCACAATATAATGCTAACAAGAATGAATAACTCACAATTTAATGTGAAGATCAATAAAAGAATTTGATTTACATTTCCGTGGCCTATACCAGAAATTAGTTCTGTTCTCGTGTAACCTGACCAACCTATGTGACGGTGTATGCAAGGGTGCATACATACATACCAAAAGCTTGGTGGCCCTTTTATTCCTATGAGGTGAAATGACGCCGATACATTGGACTATGTCCAATGGTACCTGCATTTTGCCGAAGTCGAATATTAAAAGAAGCTCTAATCCTGTACAAGCTTCCCCTCTGTTACCCTCAATTCACGCAATCACAGCAAATTCTTACATTGATAGCAACATCTCTGTAATAAAAATCCGTCTAGGAAAGTGTTCTGTATGCTTCAGCCAATTGTCAGTCAGATATATTCTCGCTAATGGTTGAAACAACTTGCTTAAAGTATCTTCAGCACGAACGACAATGAAGATCACCATAATCGCCATCTTCATCGCCGGTCTGGCGAGGGCTGCTACTAAGGGTTTGTTTAAGACTTTTCAGCCTTGTTTTGAACATAGCACATTGCTGATTCTATTCGAGTTTAGACATGCAAACCGTTGGAGTCGCTAACGGCCAACCTGCCCCTGATGGGTGCTACTGGGCCGGAACTGCCCCTTTCTGCGAGGGAGAGTGCGCTAGCGGAGACGCGGAATGCTTTCTAGATAAATGCGGTGATGGCTTATGCTGTGTTACTGGTGAAAAGAAGCTTTGCTGCGAACAGGCTTCTAAATGCCCTACTTAGGACTAGATGTCGCGTGATTAATGGTCAATTTGCTGATCTGCTAAGACTCAATATCAGGGTCAGTGATGGTTAATCATTTGTCTACTTTCTAGAGAGGGTTGAGTGTCAATGAAATAAATGAGATTATTGGCAGACGATGCGTAAAGAGGGAGGGCCTTGCCTAGTTAGGTATTAATATTACGGTCCTCGATAGAGCATATCCGTGCAACGGCTAAATATTCAACAAGTATCAGGGTTGCTAAGACTTCTATCATTTGACGCATCCTGGGATAGCGATAGTAGGGGCATGTTTCCGATTAGATTATCGGTTTAGCTACATTGTAACTATAACTTTCCTAAATTACAAAGACCTCGTAAATTAAGGGATCGTCTACTCGCAAGACACTTTTAACTACCCGCAAGACGCCGAAAAAAGATGGCAAACTGGTCTTGGATCACCAATTGACACCAGATCGTTTTTCTCACCTAGCCAATCTAACTCAAGAGTGCTTATGGCTCTTCGTTAAGTATCCATCAGAACTGAAATGAGCATAGACTACAAATACGAGAACGGGCCACTATGATAATGATTCACAGGCAAGCCTAAAGCGATAGGTTAGAATATAGAGAACCAGAATTGCACATAATATTCAATTGCCCCTCCAGGGGATCTAATGTACGGAGCTAGGGAATTAGATATGTGATGCTGCCTCGAGATCTAGTGAGAGGTCTTCTTTATCGCTGATATTTGTCTCTTTGTAAGGATATAGATTCACATGGCTATCGAGAAGAAATTAGCAAAATCTTTGTTGCGTGAGTGTTGTCATAGCTGAAGGAATACCTACCAGACAGGACAAGTACTCGACACTCTGAGCAACTAATAATTAACACACTCCTTGTGAAACCTGTGACCACAGGGCAAAATTCGCAAGTATTGATTATTCTCAAAATCATTAGTACAAATGGGACATGTTGAATGGCATGTCTCAATCGTTGCAGACGCTTTAATGTCGGATGGAGTACCATTTAACTGAGAGAATCCGTGTCTCGCCCCTATATACCCTGATCCAGAATGCCTCAAAGGACCGTGCCCAGAGTCCGGACTTCTCTATGCATTCATTGGTCCTAGATCCCTCCGCGCCCCACCGGTATGCCTCTAAGACGGAACCGTGACGCGACGCGTTCGTCCTTATTGTTGATCATCCAATAAATGCACCATATGGATTTGAAATAACCAAAATCGTAAAGACGCCTTTTCTTTTCTATCACTTACATTACTTCTCTATTATAGACTCTATCC